AGACTTTTATAAATCTATCTCTAAAATCATTGTCTTTTCTATCTATTTTAGAATTACAAGTTTTTTCAAAACTTTTAGCTTCTTTAAACTATACTATCCTTTTTTTCAAAAATTAATAGTATTCTATTTCTATATTAATTTCTATTTATAGTTTAATATTTTTACTTATTTCTTTTTCTTAGAAAATAGCTTTAGCTTTCTTTTACTTTCCTATAGATTATATATAAATCCATTATATAAAAGATTTAATATAATAATCTATATTCTAAATAATCTTTCTCTTTAAAGATTACTCTATACTTAGTTTTATATTTATTTTTAAAATATATTTAAACTTTATAAAACTTCTACTTTCTTTTTTCTTTATTAGCTATTTTTAAACTTTTAATATTATTTAAAGCTTTATTTAATTAACTTTCTATCTTTTTAATCTGATTTATCTTTTTATATTATTATTATCTTTAGCTTTCTAAAATTTTATCTATTTCTAAGAACTCTTTAATATCTCTTAATTCATACTATTCTATAATATTATAATCATATTCTAAATAAGATTCTCTATCTTTTTTATTTATTATATTTAACTATTATCTTTATAATTTAACTCTATACTCTTTTCTAAAGTGGTCTATCTTTCTATAATTATAATATTTTATTTTTAATTTATTAAATTTTATTTTTAATTATTCTTAAATGATATTTAATTCTATAGATTAAGATCTATATAGATTCTCTCTTTTCTTATAATAATATAATTTCTTATCACTATTTCAACTTCTATTATATTTCTTTTCTATACATTATTTATAAAATCTATTATTAAGTTTGATTACTATATTAATCATATCTATAAAATTATCTAATCTAGTGGATATTCTAGCTATCTTATTCTTAATATCATCTTTTAATCTTTAATAAAATCAATCTACTTTAACTTCATTATTCTATCCAAAATAAGAGCTAATCTAATAGAATTTCAATATATAATTTAAAACTAATATAATCTACTTTAAATATTAAATTTTCTAAACTATATTATTTCTTTCATTAATTTCTTTAAAGATTGATTTAATCTTCTTAATAAATATATTATAATTTATAAAGATTTTATCAATCTTATCTTTTCTATTATCTAAAATTACTTTAAACTATATCTATATATAGAGTTTAAACCAATCTATAGCTTCTCTTTTTAAAAATATTAACACTATTAAAATTTTATTTAATTCTTTATATAGTAAATATAAATTAATAGAAAAATATAACTATATCTATATTAGATAGCTCTTTAACTTAATCCTATCCTTTTAAATAAAATTAATTTATTAATCTTAATTCTTATATATAATATATTCTCTAATTAATTAATCTATTTATATAATTATTAATTAACTATTATTACAGATTAAATACTGAATATCTATCCTTTAATAGTATTAAATATTAAAATTATATTATTATCTATTATAATTAATAGTCTTATTAAAATAATACTTTCTTAATATAGTAATTAATTCTATTTAATAATACTTATTCTATATCATTTCTTAGAATCAAAATAATAATTCTTTTATTATATACTAGAATCTACTCTAATTATCATTAGCTATATCAAAAAATAATATAATATATTAAACTATATAAAGATTCCTTAAGAATAACTAATAATAAAATATAGAGATTATTAAAAAATAAAAATAAAGATAAAATATAACTAAAATAAGAATAATATCTTAAAATACTATAATACTTTAAATAAGATTATTTTATTAATCTTTATAATATAACTGATAATAATAATTATAATAATTTATATTAAAGAATTATACTAAAATAAACTAGATATATAGAAATAAATATATTTATATAAATATTATTTCTATAATATTTCTATAATCTATCTATATATAGATTATATATTTAATTATTTTTTTATTTTTTTTATACTTCTTTTATATTCTTATTATATATCTAAATATAGATACTTATATAATATATAATTCTATATGAATAGTAAACAGACTATATATAATTATAATAACTGATTAGCTATAGTATTAGCTGCTTTAACAGGTGCTTATCCTGAAGTAGCTTGAGTCGTCCTAATCTGTTCTTAGCCTTACATATGTTGGTTTCGTAACATGGCGGTTTAGGGGTGGTGTAAGGGCTAGGGTTGGTAGAGTGTGAATATATTGATTCCTATATCGCATGAGGCTTCACTAGTATGTGCCCTGCGTATGGGTAGCTATTTTGCTGCTCCCTTTTACTATGAGGATTTGGCCGCCTGCGTCACGTGCGCTATATAGAATCAACACCAACCTCTGTGCATATGAATAGGGGCGTTACAGGTGGTCGGTTCGGGGGTGGATTCGTTAAATAGAGAGCATTTATTAAGCCGAACTAGCGGCTACTAGCGCATACACAGATGAGAGGGAAGGCTGATATAGCAGCAGTTACACAGCCCTCTCACATAATAGTATATTAATATTAACTTTAACTACACTACATTAATGTGGTTTCCTAACTTAGAAACCTAAACTGCTCTAGTGCAGGTATGGTTCGGTTCGGTGTGATTTTTAGGTTTGGTTTTTGCCACTCTAAGTGCATTATTTTTAAAGATATACTTGCTTATTTTTTTGGCATGTCATGAAGGATCATCCTCATCCATTACACCGTTACAAGAATCCCTAGTGTCTACATAAGCCACGTATTATTGCTGAGGTATCTATATTACTTTCGGTCTAATTACCCATTTCCGTAACCGATGCGTGTGTAAAATTGTCGAGCTAGCCTTGTAACCTTCGGTCCAATAACCCATTTCCGTAAGCGATGCGTGTGTAAAATTGCCGAGTTAGCTACAGTGGTATGAATTACATTTGAGGATATCACTAAAAAATGTGGTAAGAAAAATAAGCACTTAAGATTTAACTAAACCGAAAATAGACAAATTCTTTTGTTATAATGTATAATTTCAGACTAATGCTAAATTATTATGGGGCAATACAAGTACAAATTTTTAGTACTCTCCTCAAACATAATTCATCCCACTGTATGTTATCTTCGGGCTACTTACCCATTTCCGTAACCGATGCGTGTGTAAAAGCATTATTCCTTACATTAACGTGATCTACAGCCGGGCTGTCAACTCAAAGCTTTATGATAAACCGACACACCATGAGGCGTCAGCATTGGCCCTGCTCAGAACTAGATGTTCTCGGTTGAAGGAATCCCTTTTAAGATCAGCTGTACAGAGGATGATCAATGTCTGCGTTAAGTAAAAACGAAATCACCAAAACACTTATTCCGACGGACTCATCCTAGATGGGATCCCGATCGACGATAATACAAAAATGTGGCAGCCTAAGACGGAAGTGGTCAAGGTAGTGTTCAACGTTGTCAAGAAGACGAGACTCTCAGTGGAGAACTTGGTGAAAAGCGATGGTAAGGTTAGGAATTTATATTAATATAGGTGTAACCACCACGACAAGGGCAATTATATAGCACTAACTAGGGGATTATATGCAGCCTACGACCGCGAAAAGCCTAGGAATAAAAGTAAAAGTAAAGTGATAGAGTTCATGTCTTATCTATGGCTCTTTGAAAGCTTCTTTTAGTGCCATGCTCTCAAAGGAAATAACGGCACAGCAAGTCAGTCGATTTGACACATAGCCAGGTGAAAATGTATAGTACCATCTGTGCATGAGGCCGGACGGTGAGATTGTGTATCATGCTTTCCCAGAAATCGTTACTAAGCTGATCCGTGTCTCACCGAAGTACTCCTATACAAGCTATACTCTATTTTACTAGAGCTGTATCGAAGCTGTGACTCAAGTCACACTAGACTGATAATCCATCTGCTAGGTTGTGAGATATACAAGGAGACGGTAAGATCGCATTCAATGGTCACAATCCCAGCCATAGCGCTGTGAGGTCCGAAGCTTTGATTGGATAGGGGACAAGGTGGTTGACTAGTGCGGTGGCTTCGAGTTTGTGATCGTTCCACAGTCACTTAATGGCTGACGCGGATGAAGTAAAGTTGTTTGGAATTTGGAGGTCGTTTTGTTCGAGTCAATTAGAACACCGGTTGCAATGTACCACAATGCTACGATAATCTTACACGCGTGCACGAAATTAAACTTTTTTCGTCACATTACCCGGGATGGGGCCGTGCTGATCATGGTTAATGTTGGCTATTCAGCACTAGGATTGATTATAGCTGTTATATTAATCGGGCAAAGATATCGGCTACGGCTGCAAAATGAATCAATGCCTGCAGTAGTATATTGTGCTGCCTAGATAGTAATCACTGAGAACCTGATATAGTACAGATAATCGCCTTTAAAAGTGGACAATAGCAAAAAAGGTAACAATCAAGAAATATGTATGCGTACATCTAACTGATCTGCCTAAAAAAAGATATAGATGGAGATATGAAGCTGACATTAAATGAGCAGCTTGGACTCATAATATACATGATGCTTAAGCGTTAAAAACTCCTGATATAACTGCCTGGGTAGGATTCAAATGGATTAAAGGCATAACTTTACATAATCTAGATGTATGTAAGGTCTCGTTTATCCGAAGTGGGCCTAAGCTGCAGCGGGTACGGCGGAACAAAGCTAGAAAGAGGCGGAACCAGAAAAACTCAAACCCAGTAGATAAACCCACCAACAGAAAAAAAGGGAGGAAATAGTCATGTTACTGTGCATATAAATAGTCTGGAGGCTCAATGGAAATGGTGCATTGCAAGTCTTGAACGCTGAGTCACATGAGTTTGTAGCTCATTCTACCAGTCTAAAGAGAAAGACAATATATTTATATAGCTTCATTAGACCGTTTACAAAATGATAGAGCGAGAAGAAAGTGTCAAGACATAATTTAGTACGTATGGAAGGATAAAGCAAGACTATTGTCTTATATTGATGGATGGATAATTAGACTACCCAAAAGTAATAATCCGGCCTGAGTAGGAAGATCACTTCTGTTCCTACTTATTGTGATCAATATGTAAGGAATAGCTGGACAACAATATCTCTGCTCGTTGGGTTATATCGGAAAAGATCTGTTGTTGATCCTGCTGCAGGCACTTCAGATGCATACCATGTAAATCCAAGGTCTGAGTAGTACATTCGAATTGGGCTTGTTCTGTCATCACTCTACATCGATATTAGCATCACTAATAATGAATGTTTGTAATCCTGTTACTGAGTAACCTACGTAAAACAATATTGGGTCGGCGGTAGTCATTTCCATTATCCCTGAAGTCACATCCAACCCAATGCTTTGTCCGTTGACTGAAATTTGGCCATTGGTAGCAGTGAAAGTCGCACATGCACTGGCGTCAGCGGTGAATTGAGCTTTGCTGTCAAGGCAGCCCAGGTTCTGAGCATCATCTGTATCAGTGGTCACCTGGACTGTGCCGCTGGTGCCATTAATATATATGTAATTATTTTGGCGTAGCGAGAGAGAAGCTGGAGATGCAAGCGCCGTGGCAGCAAGAACGAGAACAGAAACTTGTAATTGCATAGTGGCTGAGCAAGTTTTGATACAATGATTGATTTATTGGTGTACCTTAATTGCAATGCAGAAAAACATGAAAGGGCAGGCTATTTATAATAGGTTTTCTAGCACTTCATTTACACGAAAGGATCAGGTTTGGAATACTTTGAGTTCGCAATTGTAACCTTCGTCTTACGGTGTAACATGGCGTTTTTGTCGGACCAAACGGAGTGTTCCGGACAATGCTATAACTATTTGTTTATTTATAGCTAATTAGTTAATTGTCCGTTGCTACAGTACAGCACAGCACATAGTTAAGTTAAGCAGCAGCGTAAAGAATTGAATATTCATCCTGCAGTGGTCTCCTACAGAGGCGTCCACCGATCGGTTCCCGACTAGCTTCACCGTGGTTTATGTCGCCAATATAACTAGAGCTTGGTTGAGAAGAAAAGGCCAATGAAAGAAGCAACATATCGCATCAGAGTGGTACTGATCTGAAAAGTCCACCTTGCCACTTTAACATTCGCATCCCTCTCGGTGTTTATTTAATAGCGAGCGAAAGCGAGGCTTACTAATTTGGCCCAATACTTCAACTATTGCGAGTCTCATAGGAATGGAGACTAAAATTACTGTAACCAGATAACCAACTCAATCCCCAAGGAGATTGAATACGCATGTTACCATTTATAATAGCTAGGAGCTTCTAGAGGATCGCTAGAATAACCGCACAACTTTTTTACGTCCCGCGAGGCTGTGTACCCTATAGTGGCCCTTTTTAATAGTGCTCCTTTATCTTTTGTAGTTAACATTAAACGTCAATTCCACATGTTCTTCAATTGTTAAATTCAAAAATAATCTGACTCTTATCTCTAGTGTCTGTCTCTAGAGTCTGCATCATTACCGGCGATGATAATTTCCGTTCCACTAAAGGCCACCAGGGAAATCTATTAGCATGTATTACATCGGTAAATTATTCCTTACAAGTTTTCCCTTTATGGGACTAGCTCTACTAAATATAAAGGGGCACAAAGGTCTTGCATTGGATGTTTTGTTGGCCCTCGGACCTGTTACTTTCCGTCCATAGAATAGTTCGACTCTGTAACCCCAGGAAGCTAACGGTGATGGTTGGAATACAGAGTAACGAGTCTTTAATTCGTTTGTGGGGCAGATCTGAAATAATTTAATACTCTTAATCCGAAAGCACTGAGCCCCGTCCTGTTATAAAACCAATTTGCATAACGCTAAGCCGGTTAGGGCCCAGGCTCCACGCGGCACACGGATACATTTACATATTTTAGTTAGGGCCTGATTTAATGAGAAAATGAGGAATTTTATACAAATAATATAGTGAGATCAAACGACTTATTGGTCGATAATGGTTTTGATGATATGGATCATTCGGGTACGCGCTTGCTGAGTGTTTGAGACATGGTTTCGATGTATATCACGACTCGAATTAAATGGTAATTATATCACTAACATTTGTGACAAAGGAAAGGCAAATCGTTCATAAATAAAACCAGTAGCGACGTTGTGACTAAAACTACAGCATGTTATTCGGACATTTAATTCGCTCTTCCAATCTAGTCTACTCATAGATCTCACACGGAAACCGGCCCGACCGGAAACGTAGAAGACGGAATATGGCACTGATGCACTAAATCACAGTTAAATCAAACGTACGCTTATCAGTAAGGATGAACTTACTCGTTCGAGGACCATAGCTCGTGGGATAGTCGATAGAACTGTGTAAGACCTCCTGCTACCATCAGTCCCCCGATGTATAGAAATAGAAGAGAATGAAGACACTTACCCAATTATTGAACATTACAACATCCCCTTCCTCATACTCTGGGACTAATATTGTTTCCGGAATGCAAATTCGGTCTAGTATGTCATTCAACCAAAGTCGAATTTCTTCCCCATCGTCAACTACGCGCTCTTCGCCCTGCGGCCCAGACTTCATATACAATCTCCGCACCACATCCGGCAGGATTTGGAAAGATTTAACGCCCGTTATTGGGTTTACCCAGACCATTGGAAACTTGTATACCTTCTCCGCCGTCCATGTTGGCAGTTGGTCCAGAGACACTGTCTGACCACCCGGCGCCATGCCCAAGCCGCAATTGCGAATTTTTCGAGTGCCGGTCCACACGTATGGCTGTGGAGCGGGCTCCCACTGGCTGTGATCTGCAAGTGTCCTCTCTTCATCCGTAAGGAGATTATAAAGCTGGGCACTGTCCAAGAAAGCGGTGAGTCCGGGTTTTACGCGCATACTCCGACCAGAGCCGTCGTCCCAGCGGACGGTAAGATCGGGGCCCTTGGGAGCTCGTACGCAGCGGAGCGTCGTAACTCGCGAGGGATACGATCCATAGATAACTCCGTCAAAGTGGAATGCTCCAAATCGAGTTTGCTGATTCTCTAACTCTTCTGGCGAGAGGGGTTCAATATGTGCATCTACGTGTGTGGTGGATCGCACGGTGATCCCTTTGAGTCCGTAATGATCATCCCCTTGGTAACCTTGACCGACAACAGTCACTCCTTTTGACCCGGGGATTGTATGGAACCGTGGCTGGGTGGAATTAATGAATTGAATCCATGGTATTTAACAAAGAAATACTTTGTAGGAAGGGGGACGTACACCGAGAACACCTGTGGTTTCCTCTGTCACATCCTCAGTCTCAAAGCCATGGACCTCCTTTGCACCTGGGTCTAGTCGGTGCACAAAATTGAACTGATTTACCGGGTCCAGATTGTGCTGTCCCTTGACTATGATGACCTTGTGAATGTAGATCGCCTCTTGGATCAATCTAAACTCTACATCACTGAGATTATTCAGATCGGCCCCGGTAACGATTGCTCCAAACTAATTTGCTTTAGTTCCATTTGTTGGTAATAAAGCCTGTTTATATTCATTTACACCCACCTTTGGATTTAATTTGGAGTTTGTGGACAACGGGGTCACTTTGACAGAAGACATGGTGAAGCACTTGCAGCGGAATAGCCGGCGTAACATGAATTTAACTATGACCAATATGATGGCATCAATGATATACGGGAAGATGAGACCGTTTATATATAGGGTGAGTTCATGGCCATCGTCTGGTGTCGTACCGCTATCAACTGCCATTCCTGGCGATCTCCACTTGGATATGAAGAATAATGTGTAATAATATAATGCAAAACAGCCGACTTCCGGAGATGTCTCGTGATCTTAGCCGCCGAGGCGCCAAACGATTCAACCACCAATGATCCGCTGAGTGTTTATCTCAACACAGACTCTTTCTTGGAAGGGCCAACACTAAAATGTGGGCAGACTAGTCATTAAAAGAGGAGCGCACAATATTGCTCATCGCCTAGTCTAATTTGGCGTCAGCTGAAGCTTCTGAGAGCGAGTTAACCGAGCGTATCGTTATCGTGCTGATAAACATACTCCCGGATGGGAAGCTGACAGCGAGCGCCGGGAGCGGGCAATGACCCATGGCTATCTCGCTAGCTGTACGGGACGACAAAATGGTATAACGAACTCGACTCTTATCTGAACGGATTGGTAGATAACAGCATGTTTTGATGATACTTAGGCGTAGGAATCTGTCCATAATGGCGACCTTGCCTCTGAGCTACAAATGCAATTAACAACCTAAATATTGTTTATTCGCAATTGCCATAGTTAGCTGACACCATGACTTCTTCGCTTGATATGGACATACATTCATGGCCCCCAGGCACAGTCCTGCTCGAAGAACAACGAACTCAGGATGCGGACCTTTTCCTCCAGCCCCAACCCTCTGAGGACCCTAATGAACCTTTAAACTGGGGGAGCCTCCGGAAGCATGTTAATTTCGGCTTGACCTGTCTCTACTCGCTGCTCATAACCGAGTTTCTATGCGCTGCTACACCAACCTGGGGCCCGATGCACGATGAGCTTGGCTTTAGTTGGGATATTCTATTTGACAGTTACGCCATAGGGTGTGGCTTCCTGGGTATCGGAGCCGTGCTCCTGACCCCGTTCGCACTCAAATTCGGGCGGCGATCACTGTACCTCCTCAGTATAGTGGTCACCTTCTGCGTCAGCATCTGGAGCGCCAAGATGAGCACAGTTGCCGACATCCTGCTCATCAACGCAATTTCATGTCTATTTGGAGCGCTCTCCGAAGTTATTATCCAAATGACTGTCGTGGACATCTTCTTTGTTCATCAACGTGGACGTATGAATGCGATATTCATCTGGACAGTCCAGATCGGGGCATCCTTGGGCCCCCTAGCAGCTGGTTACGTGACAGTCTCGCAGGGCTGGCGTTGGGTATGGTGGTGGAATGTGGTCTTTTTTGGTATCTGTATTATTCTTTTCGCCTTTTTTTACGAAGAGACCAAGTATATTCCTCACGTCCTTGGCACAAATAACGAGGGTGATGCGGTGGTGTCTCAGACAACACAACGAAAGGGAGACACAGAAATCAAATGCACCAACACGACCTCAGTTTCGTGCGCCGTAGAGGATCCAAAAGCAGATTATCACCCACAACCCAAAACCAGCATAGTCATAAATCCCAACATTCCTATGCGCAGCTATCGTCAGCGCCTCTCGCTTGCTACTTCCTTGCCAGGAGAGTGGAAAGCCTTTGCCCGCCACGCTTGGCAACCGTTCATAATCCTCGTTACTTTCCCGGGTGTACTCTTTGTCGCCCTTGTCTACGGCATTCTGATAGCGCTACAGAACGCTCTGAGCACCACCATGTCCAGTCTCATGACAGAGCCCCCGTACAATTTCTCTGCTAACCAGATCGGCCTCATGAACCTACCACTGTTCATCGGCGTGACGATCGGATCCCTGCTCGTCGGCCCTCTCAGCGATCGCTGGATCGTTTTGTGCGCCCGTCGAAACGGCGGTATCTACGAGCCTGAAAGCCGCCTGTGGTTAATCCTTCCATGGATTCCCATCCTGCTAGCTGGGGCCCTGACTTTTGGGTTTGGCATTGAACAGGGTTTACCGTGGCCCGTAATCGCGGTAGGTATCGTCCTTTGTTCAGCAGGAGTCGCGCCTATCAATATCATTGCTTTGACATATGTTACTGATTCTTATAATGATGTAAGTTCTAACTCACCTTTTTTTAATTCTGTTCCTTCCGCTCCATTCTCGCTCTTTGTTAGATCTAGTATTAACTATTGGTAGATCGTTGGTGATGCACTGGTAGGCATCACTTTTATACGTAATGCGGTCAATACAGGTATTATCTTCGCCCTCACCCCTTGGTTTGCGGCGATAGGCGTCCAATATGTGATCTTAACGTTAGCACTTATTGCAACCTTGATCTTGTCCTTTGTGATGGTTTTTTTGAAATGGGGCAAGCGTTTCCGAGAACAAACATCAGTCAGGTATAAGAAGTTTTCGTTCAAGTAGACAACTCAAGGCGCATAATAGGCTTATATTGTCTATAAAGGTACCGAATTCTTCTATATTGCGTATTTATTCCTTTTCCGGATAGCCTCCACAAATTGCCAGCGTTGTTTGTGACCTGTTGTTAGATTCTAGGTTGAACAATTTTAAAAATCTCGATGTCTTACTTATGCTAATCGGTAGGATCATATGTAGCTAGAATTCCTGTTACCCCCATGCATTTATTTGATTATCAATAGCGATGACGCTCATTAGACATAATCAGAGGGAACTAAGCAATGTGACGTATTCCACAAGTAACTGATCTGGCCATACAGCTGTAACTTATGTATCTGATCTACGCGCAAAAAGTTCACATGATCGTGTGAATCAGCTCTGTATTGCACAGAAATTCGCCATTGTGAGATCTTAACTTAACTATTCACAATACTTATCAATAATATTTGAATAAAATTTAACTCCTATATACAGGGTCGCATAAATAATACAGTCTTTAAACAGCGTTTTATAGAATCCAATATTTCCTGAAACTCCGCTCTATTAATAAACTGTAATTTATTCTATACAATATCTATCTATATAAATTTATATGATTTATCATTTTTAATATCATATTTGTCATATTATTAGTATATTATTAAAGTTTATGAAGCGTTATCAAGCAAAAAAGCGGATATTAAAGTTTTAGAAACGGTCATGAGAACTGATCAATACGCGATTATCGGGTGTAACGGCATATGTTATGGTTTGGCCGAGCCTCGGTGTCTAAGTCGGCTGAACCCCAGAGAGCGGGATTGGATTTTTCTTCTTGAACTGAGCATCATTAATGCATACAGGAAAATGGCTAGAAAATCTGTGGACCTGAAGATTCCAGTTCCTAAAACAAAGACATTCAATGGGTAAAGTTACGCATACGTCCCAGTTAACTGATCAGGAGGTAATTAACATGACCTCGTAGCTGCTGGACATGTCGCCAGAGAAAGGTCAAGTGCGATCTGGCGCGACCAAGCTGTCTGCGGTGCCGACAGGCAGGGAAGCATTGTGAAGGATATGGCTTGAAACTGACTTGGACGAATGTCAAGAGTGACAAACCTTCTACTAAACGGAGACAGATGGTCGCCCCTCGTACGTCGTGGGGATTCAATATGCGCCAAATGCTCTACCTGCTCTCCCATATCGACTGTGTAGTTGCCAACTCCTCAGTCCAGAGTGGCCCCTTTTCTGTGTTTCCAGTGTACACACCACATTTACCACCTTGTATAGATAATCCAATAATACGGAGAAATCAACCTGCTTCTTCACCATCCGATGAAAGGCTATCATTGATTCCGGCACCAAGCACATCTTGTCAACGGCCGCTCGCTGCGCGGTTATTTCACCATTATGTCACGTGTGTGAGTACTCTCTTGCAGCCTGTTGGCCACCTCACAAATTACTACAACATTGTGTATACTCCTCAAGCCATGATTGGTGCCGGGAATCTTTTTGGTCCTACAATTCTAGAGCCCCCATCTAGTACCCAATCAATATTCTATTCCTTACTTGCCACTGCAGCTTTCCATCTCCGCGGGATCCAAGCGGAGCAGACATTAAACTCTAGGGAGATGGATCGAATCGGTAGATTTTGCCGTATGTTGGCCTACCAGCATCTCCGGAGGGGCCTGGAAAGCACGGAGGACCTCCAGACTGCCATGGCGGCGGTTCTGTCAATGGTTACAATTGATGTAGGATAAAACTTCCTTCTGCAGCTCATGTCTATGTTCTGACTCTCCAATCTCAATAAGGTAATGGAAGGAAACTTGTTAGAATATTGGCACCACCTCAAAGGCTTTCAACAGCTCCGGCTTCTCCAAGGGGCAACTACTTCTAGCAAGTCTATCCAGACGTATCTTCAGACCATCTTTTATTTTCAATCAACCCTCTCCCAGAGTACAGACTGCAGCCTGCCTCAGATCCCTTGGCCGGTCGACACCCGAGGCTCGCTAATGCACATACAAGCGCTCACAGCCATTCCAGACATTGACAACCACCTTCTCCAGCAAACATACAGTATCACCTCCACTCTGGTCATGTTCATCCGCCTTATTACCTGCCTCTCCCAGCATGTTTCCTACTTTATCTCTGAACAGTTGTCCCTCCCTAAGATCTTTTGTGACGCTCTTGCCACACTAGAAAAGAACCTCCACTTATACGACATTGGCTGTGAGAAACTAATAAATATGACCCCGATCCAAAGTACGTTATTCCGTCTTCATCTCTTGGCCTTCCAGCAAGCGATCCACATCTACTACCTAACCTCGCTGGTCCTGCCACTGGAGACCCAAGAAAGCCATGGGACCTCTTGCATTGAACTACGAGTCCAACGCTACGCGCGCCAGGTAGGAAATTATCTACTCCGTATTGAGTTTTTGAAGCGAGAAAGTACAACGCCTTGTGACGGATTCCAAACCGCCCCAATTCCGTGGCCCGGGTTTATTGCCTCGTGCGAAGCGGATCCTAGTCAGCGTCAACTGTGGACAGAATGGTGGACGGGGATGTTAGGATACCAGATCGGTAATATTCACGTCTTATTTGAAATAGTCCAAGATGTATGGCGTTCTCGGGATCAACTTCAGGGAAAGGAAACGGATAAAAGGGAGTATGGCGAAGGGAGACTGCCAATTTGGAAGAGGGTGTTGTCCCGTGGTAAAAAGAGGATTCTTGCTCTTTAACGAACCCCATTTGAGTAAATCAAATTTCTATGAGTCAAACTCTTGGGTCTAATACCACGTCAGAACTTCATAATCCTGGCTGAAACTCTAAAAGCTTCAAGGCTGGCTGTGCAATTCACGGCAACTCTCGTAAGCTAAGAAATGCGGCTATGATATACAAGCACCCGAATGACAATTTCCCTTGCCACAATAATCCGTTGAATTTTCATATTATCCTGAAATAGAGCAGCAAGTTCCAAAATAAGTGTCAGCACATGTTTTGTTTCCCGAAAAAAACAAGCCCGCAGGTGCCACAAGTGCCAGGTCCTCCATTATTAGGATCACAAGCCCCATTGTATCAGTTACCAGGACCACAAAAGTCGGTTGTATTTCCACCGTAACCGTAGATAGATCAGCAGTTACCAGATAGGCAGTCATAATAGTTGTTTGCAGGACCACATGAGCCATTTGATATAGCACGCCAGCTTCAAATTCCTTCCTCGGGTGATTGTTTTGGGATCCCATCAAGATCCAGATCTGAAGGTGTTGTTTGTTTCTTTCCATTAAGGGCTACTTTCATGAGCATGTGTAATGCCATACAAGCATCAACTCGAGGCAGAGTAGGTAACTATTGCTAACTTCTGAAACTTCTGTCCGGTCCGTCACAAGATGATACAAATTGAGGTTGAGGTTTACTTTTCTTTTTACAAATTTTCTAAATAGAATGATCACAACCCCGTATCAGAGTGTGCTATGTATTTAGCTATAGCACATATGAAGAAAGCAGCAGCCATCTACTTCGTAACTGTCTGGTAGCAACTTCTACTACCACTCCAACTCTCAACAGCGACGACCTGTAAGTTTAGAGTTCCTAGGTCCATTCCAAGCTCCCTCCAGGCATTGAAATGGTTTTCAACAGTGATAGTTCCACTCACTCGGGAGGAGTCGCGGATTGAGATGCACTGATTGAAGGTTGCGGTGCCTTCAATAGACGGCTCGTTAACGCGCTCATTCTCCCAAATAGAGTATGTGGCACCGTCACTATACACAGTCCCCTTTTTGGTACCACCCTGGTCCATGTTTACTTCTTCGTCAATTATATAATATTCAACTAGTGGATTGGTACTCCACCCATACACAGAAAGGCTAGCAAATCCAGAATCAACACTGAAGCTACCAGCATGAGTAATGGGTCTGCAGAGAAAACGTCAGTCATAATGATGACAAAATGGAAGCATTATATATACTCGGTATCTCCAGGATTCCAGCCAACACCCACAACAAAATCATCCGTGGTATCCCAAGAGACGTAGAATTCACCATTCGCAGGAGAGAAGGACACCGTTCCGCCAGTGGTATAGTCCTGCTCATAATTAGTAGAACGGCGGGACAATGTCAAGTACGGGGGGCGAGCAAAAGTGGGTTGTCGAAATCCAAGATGAAGTTGTGAGAGCCACGTTTCGTCAGGACAGATGGTTGAGAGAGTTCAGCAGAAATAACTCTTGATGTGGCTACAACAGCAAGGGCCATGATAATGTGCGCAAGATAAGACATACTGACAATGATGTTGTTATCTGAGATGAGATATTTAAATTATATTCATATGAGTACGATACGCAGAATGTGTTGAGCAAAGACACTTCTCAGCGTGTTTTGCCTGTCTTCATACGAAAAGCTTTATAGGGTCAGTTGCTAGAAGTTGACCAGACATTGCCAATAGATCTGCAAACAGTAGAGACGTTACGTCTTTTCCCTTCCAGAGATCTAATACGGCGGTATTGCGATGGGGTTCTTTTATTTTTTTCAAAATCATAGCTTTTTTGTGGATTATCAAACTAACCTATCAATAAGATCTAAACCCCAGGCCGATATTCCGCAACACGAAATTTGCCATACTCCGCTTATTATCCGGTACAAAATAGCCTGCTTTTCATGTTGTGTAAAATTATTTAGCCAGAACTCTTGAAGGGTTTCTTCCTTTCTCGTCATATTCGAATATCAATGCTACCGAGAATTGTAAACTCTAAAGAGAATAATTTTTAAGGAATATAATAACAACATAACACAGGTGGTTAACTATAGGCCATGTATAAATATTTTAAACCCTATGTGGTCGGCGAAAAATCTAGGTTTTCAATCCCAGACTTATTCTCACACCTAGATTCATACCCAGCTGTCCCTCGTGCAAAAAAAAGGCTTAGTTGCAATGTTTATCAAGTAATCATCCAACAAACCCGGCTAATAGTACTACGCCATCGGAATTATGGAGTTCTAGCGTTGCTCATGTATTAGGCTGTGAAGTACGGAGTATTTAAATAAATTTGCATATGATGCTCTTTTCCCTTCTTCGTTTGAAGATATCTCTACACTAGACTGAGTTTGGTTGGTTAATTAGATATATATAAGTTACCACAGACGTTTATTGGCGGGATGATTGCCCACTACCGAGTAGCTACTTCGCGGGGTAACATTGCAAGGCGCTCTACTTGGAGCTATGCAGATTACGGAAATTTCCCGACGGGCCATGCTTCCTGCAATTGGACTAGCGTTTCATTATGTTTCGTATCAAATGGACTTTATATTAACATACTTAGGTTCATGGTGCAACATGTTTTGAAACACGTTTTGATTGGGGCAAAAAAGAGGCGCAAATATGAAGTATCTCCGCGATTGGTTAATACTCTCTCTTTGAGCACACCTGCCGGGATTCCTCCGTGTAGTGTTATGTCAATGATACAACCAAACTATTTCTTAATTTATGCAGTGTTCCAAAAGCTGACGCACCATACGTGATGAAAGCTTGGATATAACCGCAACCGAGCATGAGACACCATCAGTCATGAGAGCTTCAATGTGAACAGATTAAATCACTAGATATTTTATCATATAACAGGTGTTTTTATCAATACTCACCAAGTCCTACTTGGACGACTTATCGACAAATTATGTCATATTAGCGCCGAACGTACTATACAGCTTGAAGGCCCCGGCATACTACTAGCCATCAACACTACCTCATGATCGTAAAAGATCGTCATACTTTACAACAAGTTCCACAGTAAGAAATAGGTCGCATTTGAATACACCCTGTTTAGCCTAAAGTCTTATCTACTTCTTCTGATGTAATTTACTCGTCTATTTTTACCGGACATGGTCCTTGTAAATGTTTCAGTGATGCAGGGGGTCATTATAAATAAGAAGGAGATGACAAGGTATATCAGTGCGACCTTGAACAACATTTGATCTTGCCAGGCTTTCTTCCAATACACTTTTAACATGATTTCATTTGCCACTGTGTACCTGGCAGTGCTCCCAGTTGTAGCTGGCCGAGCACTGCTCGGGGTTAGAGATGCTTCGGTGGCCTCGAGTACCTGTGCTCTTCCGTCGACGTATGAGTGGTCATCAACCGGATCGCTAGCGAGCCCGCGGACGGGTTTTGTCTCTGTTAAGGATTTCAGCCACGTTCCATACAATGGCCAGCATCTCGTGTATGCGTCAGACGTCAATTCTGGAGGAAGCTATGGTTCCTTACAGTTCAGTCTTTTCTCGGACTGGTCTGAGATGACCTCGGCGAGCCAGAATACGATGAATACAGGAGCAGTCGCGCCTTGCCTTTTCTACTTCACTCCAAAGAGCGTATGGGTACTCGCCTACGAATGGGGGGCGAGCCCATTCAATTACATGACGTCAAGTGATCCTACCAATGCAAATGGATGGTCATCGCCGCAGTCGCTCTCCACTGGAAGCCTCTCCAGCTCAAGCACGGGCCCTATCGACCCGGCACTCATTGGTGATGACACGAATATGTATTTGTTCTTTGCTGGAGATGATGGCAAAATTTACCGGTCCAGCATGGCCCTCGATGAGTTCCCGAGCAGCTTCGGCTCGTCTGCAACAGTGGTCCTTAGCGATTCGACGGACAACCTGTTTGAAGCCGTTCAGGTATACTCTGTCGAGGGCCAGAATCAGTATCTCATGATCGTCGAGGCGATTGGAGCAAATGGGAGGTACTTCCGCTCATTCACCGCTACTAGTCTAAACGGATCCTGGACATCGCAAGCCACAAGTGAATCAGCGCCGTTCGCTGGCAAGGCCAACAGCGGTTCCACCTGGACCAACGACATCAGTAGCGGCGACCTCATTCGCAGCAGTGCTGATTATACGATGCCCATCGATCCTTGCAACCTGCAATTCCTCTACCAAGGGCGAGCCACCGATTCCAGTGGCTCTTATAACCTCCTGCCTTATCGGCCCGGTCTTCTGACACTGAAGACCTAGGTTGTGATGGGGTGCATGTGACGGGCCAGAGGTCTCGATCAGCCAATGAATGTCGTAGTATATCTTGGGCTATCCGAGAGCTAGTATTCAGGTTTGGTAACAAGATATACCGCAAAGAAGATAAATCTATCTAGATACTTTCATTAGGATGGATAGGGGCCTATGTCGACCTTTGTACGCAATAGTGAAAGTACTCAGCAACAAATCGAGCTTAGTCACAAATTCTTCGAACAGATTGAGATACAAGCCTGATTTCCAGGAACTCATCTATCTAGACGGTTTTATATCCAGATTTACATTATTATCTCAGGGGTAAGGGGACATTAATTCATTCTCGTCACTTTTGGTGCAGTGTTTTGACGCGGTTGATGGTAATTTTAGGCGTTCCAAATCTATCCCTAAAATGCTTTGTGCCAAATATTCCGACAGGTGCTCTAAATGACGTGGTGTTAATCCCTCCCTGGTACACTAAGCTCAGCACCTAGTAATTCTGTATGGCAGAATAATAACTCGCCAGAAAACTGTATTTTTACAAAGATAAAAATGCTCATAATTCAGAAAGAACCGCCTGGGTTAATTGCTTGATCTATTTCTGTAAACAAATACACGTGGAATCCAGCAATTGACATACCTACGAACACCATTTCTTAAGAACAACCAAACATAGCCCATTCATGTCGCTGTGTATAATATTTTTTTGCTCTTTACGAACTAGTACTTCAAAACTTATAATGTGTAGTAAATACACCATCTGTTGATCACCTCGAATATGTCAGTTCCTGGTATGAACCATGTAAAGGGTATGGATCATTGGATGATGGTGTCACTTATGAAATCAGTAAGGGCATATAAATAATACAGAAAAGCAAGATATATACCTCAAAACTTTTCATAATACTGATCTCTTCTACTCTTCTCTTACTGGGCGCATCTACATAGGACCGCGAGGTGTGAGAGCAATCTGGTAAGAGTATTCCACAAAAATTAACCTTGCTGCTGTGTATAATTAAGAACCCACTTCTATCCTGATCTTAGTAATTTTAGCTATGGTAAGAACATGTTATCTGCAGAAAAAGATAGCAAAGACTGGTAAGATGCCAATAACCATTGCTAGATTAATCAGCCTTATTTAGCAAAATACTATAACAGTAAAATAAGGAAGAAAATTCCTTACTAATATCTACTTTAATTATTACCTAAAAAGATAATTATAAATTAGAAGCTATATTGGTCCTCTTCAATCCTAATCTAATTTATATAGTATGAATAATAATTATCATAACAAGAACTGTAAAATCGAAAATGGCCAATACCCTGTTCGCCCCACTAATCACCACTAGCCCTGAGGGATGACGTTAAGCTTGTGCGGGATGATCAGACATACTTTTCTCTATTTTTTAGGAAAACAATTATATCAAGTGTCTTAGATATTTAGATTAGATAATCACAATTATATAGCTTGGTTAGCGAGGCCCTTCATATTCAGATGGCATGCGCACATAAACCAAGAAGAATTAGTTACATGATACTACATTGCCGAGGATAATTGTCGGGGCTTTGATTATTATTATCAGTACAATTCCATTCCACTATAATCTAATATGTTGCGCCGTACAGCCTTGACCGACTTCCAATGGTCAGACGAAGAGGGAAAGTTGAGCGGAGAGACGAAGATTCCTACAAAGTAAGTAGCGCTTACTTACTCTGAGCGAAATTTCTAAATTCATGTTTGTAGTATTCACTTGGACCTTCTGGCAGCCAAGCACATTCCAGACCCTTTCATTAGCACCAATGAAAAAGATGTTCAATGGGTTGATTCGAAAAATTGGGTGTATACCACCCATTTTACTGCGAGTCCTGAAGTGGCAGGATATCAAGCCGCTCTTTTGTTCGAAGGACTGGACACTTTTGCTAGTGTGGAGTTGAACGGTGCTCAGCTATGCAAGTGAGTATAAAGCATCACACTTCGAGTAATGGCAAAGACGTGGAATAAGGAATGCTAATAAGCCTAGGTCCGATAACATGTTCGTTCCTAAGCATATCGAACTGGCGCCCGGTCTACTGAAGAATGAAAACGTCCTCAAAATTACTTTTCAGTCGGCAATGAAGGTAGGAAACTCAATATATAAAGAAAGAGGTCACCTTGTATGCTGGAATGGCCAGTATGAGCGAGTATATGTACGAAAAGCACAGTACCATTTTGGTTGGGACTGGGGACCCTCGCTTGTCACGGCAGGACCCTGGAAGCCAATTTATCTGGAGACCTACCAAGCTCGACTTGACGATGTTAGAGTCGAGGCGCGATTATCCGAAGATCTTAAAGATGGAACATTGTTTTTGAGCTGTGATATTCGCCACGACTCTGATGGGTACGCACTGGAGAGTACTGTTGTTGATCCTAAGGGGGTAACACTAATCTCGAGAAATATTGAAAAGAAACAAGGCACAGCTATCTCTATTCCTGATGTACAAGTTTGGTATCCCTTCACCCATGGCAAACAACCTCTATACGAAGTGAGAACATCTCTTCGCAACAGTGATGACAATACAATCCTCCACACAGTGTCTCACACTGTTGGCTTCCGTCGGGTTAAATTAGTCCAGTCGCCACTGAAAGAGGGATCGACATTTTACTTTAAAATCAATGAAATACCTATATTCATGGGCGGCAGTAACTGGATCCCTGGTGACAATTTCCTCACTCGAATGACTCCAGATCGATATGCTAGGTGGATCGATCTAGCTGTGCGTGGCAACCAGAATATGATCCGGGTTTGGGGTGGAGGAATATATGAAGACGATGCCTTTTTTGATGAATGCGACCGTCGCGGATTGCTTGTCTGGCAAGACTTTGCATTCGCATGTGGACAGTATCCATCTGATGAAAGGTTTGTCGAGAGCGTTAAAAAGGAAGCTGTGGCAGCAGTACAGCGGCTACGCAACCATCCATCGTTGTGTATATTTGCGGGCAATAACGAAGATTATCAGGTTGCCAATGAAGGATGTATGTGCCTCGGTTTATACAAGATTGTGAGACAAGCAGCTGACCTCATTTAGTGAAACATGACATGAAAACTCCAGAATCCGAATGGAAAAATACTAAATTCGGTGCTCGCTATACCTACGAGAAGATTCTCCCAGACATTATTCGTCAGCACGCACCCTGGATCACGTATTGGCCAGGCTCTCCTTTTGGCGGAGAAGACAACAATAGTGACCGCACGATTGGAGATGTACATATCTGGAATGTTTCTAGTGGGATGTTGGTTCCTTACCAAAGGTATCCCGACCTTTGTGCACGGTTTATTTCTGAGTTTGGCATGATTTCTTGTCCTCATTTCGAGACGGTGCAACAGGCTTTCTTTGATCCTGCTGATACAGATCGCCATCCTCAATCCCTTGCCTTCGAACACCATTGTAAAGCGTCGAGCTATGAAAAGAGGATGTTTACCTGCATGGGAGAGAATTTTCGACTATCATTTGATTTACAGAAATACATCTATTTGTCGCAATTGACGCAGAGTGAAGCAATGGGCTACGCTTTTCGGGGATGGAGAAGGCAATTCCAAGGGAGGCTGTGCGGCGGGGCCTTGGTATGGCAGGTTCGTTTCCTACATCTCCTTCTAGGAATAGATCCATCATTTCTAAATCATTTGATTCTATAGATGAATGATTCCTGGCCGGTATCTAGTTGGGCCATCGTCGACTACTACGAGAGACCGAAGCCAGCGTACCACGTGATCGCCAGAGCCCTGAAATCGCTTGCTATCGGTGTTATTCGACGACCCAAAATCGAAGTTCGGCCAAATTTCCAGCATTTGGCTCTGATCAATGGAAAAATGAAAGCTGACGCTGCGGGGGTTATTGCGCATGCCACGCCTCACATCTACCCTCCCAAAGAATCTACCTTTTCTGTCTGGATTGCCAACTCTGGAATGGAGAGAGTGAGAGGAACTGTGGAGCTGAGATATGTTTCTATTGTGACAGGACTAGACGTGTGTTTGGCACAGACATGGTCAATTGATATTCTAGCCCTGGGGACGACGGAAATCGTTGCAGACAAGGAGACCCCAGAGGGTGAGCCGACGGTTTTGGCTGCTAGACTGTTTGATGAGTCTAGAGAATGTGTCATATCGAGAGAAAGTGATTGGCCACAGCCATTTAAACATTATACATTTCCTGACAGGGGTCTGATAGTTAAAGCTGTTGGAGAGACGGTGTATATCTCGGCAAAGAAACCTGTCAAGGGGCTGGTGTTGTTGAATGATGGTGTGACGTGGTCCGATAATTGTCTTGATATTATTCCGGGCGACCCTCAAACTGTTGAAGCAATGGGTCTTAATGGGGAAGTGGAATTTATTTATTACGGACAAGAGGATTCATGATCTCAAAGCTGCTGGTCATATATTCTATTTCTTAGTCAATCTATTTACCTACCGTTCTGCTTTAGTCATCATATCGAGGAGCATTCTGCCATCCTGCAAACACCATTGGTAACTTTTCAGGTGTCTGGTTTGGAAAACTTTGATGGATCACGTCTCTCACTTCCCTGTAAAGCAGTCTATACCCGTCCGCACTTAGATGGAGACCTTGATGAAGTCAGTATCAATTTCAGTATACAGCGAAAGGGAGAAATTACCATCGTATAAAAGACTCTGAAGTACCTCGTTTTTCTGAACCTCCAGTGATCCCTTCAATGCCCGCCCTTGCTCCCATCCAGCTTCTCTCATAAATGCCGACCAGATATCAACTCCAACGACATTCATTCTGCTCGCAACATCCAAACAAGCCTCTGCATACTTTTTAGTATTCTCAGCTCGTCTCCTCAAAAATGGAAACCCCTTTTGTATATCAAGCTGCTTTTGCTGGTGTTCGCAGATTGGAGGTGGAGTGACCACGATGATATTTGGATTTTGTTGGCGGGTAGACGGATGCGTGATAATGTATTCGAGATTGGCCTTGTATTCGTCTACGGAGACGTGATGTCTCGAAGTTCGGTCGATGACAGAGTCATTGGCACCGAAGAACAGCAGCTTGCGAAATATTAGATATTAATTCAATGTTCCTGGAGACATTTCAGGAATAGAGGAAAGGTTACAAGAAATCGCACACGAGCAATGTGCGGAGGTGGAAAAAACCGAGGATATATCAGTCTTATATTGGCAGTGTTGTATCCACTAAAATGGGTCAATTATGTTTGCATATCTATATAATTACATTTTCGCATTGGATTTCTAACCTGAAGCCACGGTTAATGACGTCCAACCGACGAGCGTAATCTTCTTGGTGATTAAATGTCAATCAATTTAGATAGGTAGAAGCATGGCATACCATGTGCTAAAGCGGGAACAAACCCAAATCCGCCCTCATGGTTTGAAGCGTTCTGCGTGATTGAATCACCAAGCAGAATGAATTGATCAAAGGTGACAAAATCTTCAGCCAAGGCATCAGCCGTACGCTCGTGAGACATCGCGACGGACGGCGTCATAAAGTTGCAAGGGTTGAACTTAGCAAGGGTTGGAGAAAGGCGGCAATCAAATTATTTTTAATCGAGGGCACATCAATTGCCGAGCCGATGAAGTGGAAATAAGGTTCGCGATTGGCCCCGTTCAGTGGGAACTGTGGGATAGAAGATCAGAAGATCATCCCGCACTGCGCAGAGCACCCCTGAGACACGACACAAGCCTTGGCATTGACGCTGACATTTGGGAATGTGGAGACGTGACCTGAAGGGCTTTTATATCCAAAGACACCTCTTGCATCTATGCGCAAGATGTGGTTAATCCTCACAGTAGTAGGAATTCACTGAACCAGGGTCATGTCCGAACTCAAAGACGACACCGTGTCTCATGTCGAGATGTCTAAGGACGCACACCTCGACAGCCTAGAGGCTGAGATGAGGACTGAAATGCTCCATTCAAAGACAAAGAAATTCTCCAAGGCATCGATACAGCTGTATCTCTTTTTGTTCTTGGCCTACTGCAGTAAGACATCTCCCTCTCAAAGGCAGCCAGCAGACCGCATGATTGACGATAGCAGACTCATGGGGCACCGGATTCGACTCCTCGCTCATGTCAGCCATGAACAGCAGCGACCGCTGGCACAGCGATCTAGGTGTGCCCAAAACTGGCAGTCTCCTCGGCATTGTTACCGCCATCTACACCATTGGCAATATGACAGGGTCATTTGTCGCCGGACCAGCTGGTGATCGCTGGGGACGGAAAGTGGGCATGGTGATCGGCAGCACAATCACGCTGGTAGGTGCCATAGTACTATTTTCGGCTCAGAACCACCATGCATTCCTCGCCGGTCGCTTCCTGACAGGTTTTGGCCTGGCTATCAACCGGTCCTCGGCGCCCTCGTGGGTGGCCGAAATGAGTCCTCCGCAATGGCGCGGTCCGGCTATCATGTTGTACAACTCGCTCTGGCTGATCGGTGCGATTATTGCCAGTGCGATTGCATTTGCGTCGGGCCCGATTCAGTCGTCGCTCTCTTGGAGATTGCCATTGATCCTTCAGGTGGTGCCCACGTCGATTGTTCTCCTTGGTGTCTGGTTCTTGCCCGAGTCGCCTCGGTGGTTGATTGCCAATGATCGATTAGACGACGCTCATCGCATCTTAACTAAATATCACGCAGACGGCGACGAGAATTCTTGTCTTGTTTCTCTGGAGATTGCCGAAATGCGGGAGAGCATTAAACTTGAGGCGTCTGATAAACGCTGGTACGACTACTCGGAACTTGTCACCACGCGGGCAAATCGGTATAGGCTGTTTATGGTTGTTTCGATAGGAGTGATCGGTATTTCACCACTATTCCAAGTTTTATTGTGTTAATAACTTACTCTTTCTGCAGGCCAATGGGGCGGCAGCAACCTCACTGGGTATTACCTGGCCAACAACCTGCGCAACATCGGCATCACAGCACCGAACCGGCTGCTGTTGTTCAACATGGCATACTACATATCGTCGTTGGGCGGGGCGACTATTGGTTCATTGCTCTCGAACAAAATCGGTCGTCGTCCGCAACTCCTCTTCGGGTGTCTGTCGATGAGTGCATGTTTAGTTGCTCTAACCGGGGTGACATCGCAATACCATCGGGGAGAAGCATCCTCGCTGTCTAACCTTACTATTGCATTTATCTTCTTCGTCGGCATTTTCCATGCCGGGGGAGTGAATCCGCTGGTAGTCGCGTATCCAGTGGAATGTCTACATACAAATACACGCTCAAAGGGCATGGGGGTTAATAATTTAGTGCTCAACGCGGCGGAGTTTGTGAATACGTATGCGGCACCCATTGCGTTGGCGAATATTGCCTGGAGGATTTATATTGTGTATGCGGTTTGGAATATTGTGCAGGCTATTTGGGTGTACTTGTTTTTTGTGGAGACAAAGGATAGGACTTTGGAGGAGATGGATGAGATTTTCGAGGCGAAGAGCCCGGTTAAGGCGTCCATACGTAGATGATGCAAATGCTCCAATTCTTAGTATTCTGATACCTGAACCACTTATGGTGCTAAAATACCATCAGTCTACCTTGACTATGTATATCTATGAGTGATTCTTCAAATCAATGAGATATCCAGAAATCACCAAGTTCACGGTACTGCTTAATGAGTACATGTGATATTCTTATCAGCTTCAAATGTTCTAAATGTCCAATTATACATGTTTGGTATTGACCATTGTACGATTTCAAATATAGGGTATAAAATCAAATATCACATCAATTGAAAATCTCCAAACAGTTACGAATTAACTATCTTAACGCCTTCCGAATAACTAACATTAAACAACTTCATCTCCTCAAACGTCGTCGCCGGGGTCTTATTCTGAAACATGTACACATCACCAATCGTCACGCCACTCACCATCGACGACTGATTAAAGCCCTGCAAAAACGCATTCCTTGAACCCTGCTGCCTCGCCCTTATATTCCTAATCGTCAAATCCTTCAAAGGCCCAACACCCTCGCCCGCATTATCCACATAAATCGCCATCCAAGACGCCATCCCGCCTGGCGAACCCGACAACCTCTCAATATCAATATCCTCAAAGGTAATATTACTCGCCACCTCCGAGCCAAACTTATGATGAATCCCAATCCCCACGCCAGCTTTATACGCCACGCTGTTCCGAAACGTCACATTATCCTGTACCTCCCACACGCCTTCCCCGATCTTGTACGAATAGCACAGTGTCCACGCCAAACAGTCGTCGAACAGCACATCCCGCAACTCCCGCGGCGCGTACGGATACGGCACCGTCGTGTGCACTTTATACGGCCAGGTCTTGGCCGAAAAGCTATCGTCGTTGGCAATCGCGATAGCCCGGCGCACCGTCACGCGCGTCGACTCAACAACATCAATCCCGTCGTCCTGCGTGACGTCCTGCCGGTCTAGAATCTTGATGTTCGTAATCAGCGCGTCCGTGACCTGGATCGGCGTGACGGCCCAGAACGAGCTGTCGCGCACGAGAACCCCGTCACAGGTGAAATTCGTTGTGCCGACGGGCACCAGCAGGTCGGCCATGAACTTTGCCTTTCGCGTGTTATACCCATTCCCGTCGATTGTGCCCCGGCCGTACACCTTGATGTTGGTCGAGTTGATTTCCGTCTGGATCCACCACGTCCCGTTGTACAGGTCCGGCTTGTTGTAGAGCGTTGTGTAGTCCTTTGGGTCCCCCGAGAAGCGCAGCACCGCGCCGCCCGCGAGGTATAGTGAGGTGTGGTTGCGGAGGAGCAGGTTGCCGATTGTATATAGGCCCGCTGGCACGTAGACGATGCTGCCGGGGTTCCCTGCCGCCGCGTCCATGGCGGCTTGGATGCCCTTTGTCACGGACTTTCCGGTGTCGTCTGCATTGTAGTCGCGCACATTATACACATTCGCACCAGAGCTAGCCGGCACGTCGAGCTCGCTCGGATCAAGCAGCACGACAAACTCCTTTTCGTCATTGATCTTCACAATTAAATAATGCGCCTTCGTGAGCGAGAAGACGAGCTCATTGCCCTCCGTCTTCGCAGAAATAGGGAGTCGTTCCGGCGAAATGGAGTAGGACGTGATGCTATCTCCGCTCGTCAGTGCAATGCGAAATTCCGTGGCGTAGCCCTCGTCCATGGAGAGCTGCACGTAGTCGTAGCCATCGTAGCTGACAGTGTACGCGTATGTGCCGTTTACTTTGAGCGAGAAGTGTGCGGATTTGGAGTAGATGGAGGGGCGAGGGTAGCTGATGAAGGCAGCGTCGACGTGGATGCATGAGAGGAGGAGCGCCAGGAGGGCGAGGAGCTGGTGGTGGAGGAGCATTTCATCTACACTTCTTTTCTCCCTTTACACTACTTTTGGATTTTGGAGTTGGGTGATGACATTGAGTGCAATTTATATTCGTAAGATTCAATTGATATAGCCCCCATGTCAGCTCAGCTCAGATAATAGCTGGGGCCGCCAAGCATGAGCTTCGATGTTGAGGACGAAGTTGAAAGGTTGTATACAGAGTACATCAATAACTCAATTAACTTTGAAATTTATATGCGAGTTCACAATACTGATTCCGCTCAACAATATACACTCGTTTTATTATCTATCGATCAATTGACAGCCAAACTACGGAATATTGAATATAGAAACGTTTGGTATCGCCAAGAACTATTCCTGATGTAGCAGCCCATCCATCCCGCATATCCCGCAGGCGATCATTAGTGCTGAGGGATAAGGTTATTGCGTTGACAGTGTAAATATAGCAGCAGAATCAGCTAGGCGGATCTGGGCTAGGTCTAGAAGTAATTAGATGTGTAGAAATTAAGTGCAAGGATAACACGTATTATCAATAAACAAAAGAAAAACTATCTAGGAAACGCCCTCTATATTTGTATTTTCCAGGCACCAAGCCTGCCCAAAACTAACTACCAGAACAGAACAGAACATCGATGTACCAGGTCGCGGTACGGGCGGTGGTATCATATGTACACAATGCTAAGAAACGTAGATTATGAACGGTCGAGGAAGCCCTGGCTCTCGAGGATCAGGACGATCTCGTGAACGATGCTGCGCACGCTCTGCTTCTGTACGTCGACAACAAGGTCGGCGTTGCGTGGCGCCTCGTACGGGTCGTCAACACCTGTGAAGCCCTTGATTTCGCCGCGACGAGCGCTGGCGTAGACGCCCCTCTTGTCGGTGGCTTCGCAATATTCGAGCGGCGTGGCCACGTGCACGAGGAAGAAGCTGCCGACTTGCGAGATGGTTTCGCGGGCGACCTGGCGTGATTCCTCGTAGGGTGCGATCGGGGCGGCGATGACGGCGGCGCCAGCCTTGGTCAGTTCGGCTGCGACGAAGGCGATGCGCTGGATGTTCCTGTGGCGGTCTTCACGGCTGAAACCCAGTTCGGAGGATAGTTCGTGACGGACAGTATCGCCGAGGAGCAGGGAGACAGAGCGGCCACCTTGCTGGTTCAGCGTGACCTGAAGCGCGCGGGCAATGGCATCCTTGCCGGAGTTTTGGTAACCAGTCAGGAAGACCGTGAAGCCTTGGGAGGCGCGGGGCGGGTTGGATTCGCGCAAGACGCGGATGACTTCAGGGTAGGAAAACCACTCTGGGATATGGGCGCCGCTGCGGAGGCGCTTTCGAAGCTCGGTACCGGAGATGTCGAGGGTCTTCGTGCCAGCAGGGACTTCGTCGACGGGTTTGTACTCGTCGGTGTCGGGGAGGTAGGTGACCTGTTGGAATTCGACGACCTCGATGCCGAGTTCGTCTCTGTACTTCTCGACGGCGTGCTGGGCGTCGTAGGGGCCGTAGAATTCAACGCCCTTGGAGTTCTTGCCGGGGCCGGCGTGGTCGCGGCCGACGATGAAGTGGGTGGCTCCGTGATTCTTGCGGATGATTGCGTGCCAGATGGCCTCGCGAGGACCGCCCATGCGCATAGCCAGAGGCAGCAGACCGAGGACGGCCATGCCGTTAGGGTAGCGGGGGAGCAAGGCCTGGTAGACGCGGACTCGGGTGAAGTGGTCGATATCACCAGGCTTCGTGAGACCGACGACGGGGTGGATGAGCACGTTCGCTTGGCGGGCGCGAGCAGCGCGCACAGTCAGCTCACGATGAGCTCTGTGCATGGGGTTTCTCGTCTGGAAAGCAACAACGCGGGTCCAGCCGAGCTTGTCGAAGTGAGTGCGCAATTCGGCGGGGGTGACTATGCAGATTAGTTGGTTGGTCATGGAATTGACAGTGCAACTCACATCGCAGAGCAACATAATCGTAGTGGTTGAGCTTGTTGACAGCCTCGACCTTTCCTCCAATGTAGAACTCCTGGACTTGGGTGTTTAGGTATTTAATGGCGGGGTGTTCCTCATCACCGCCGAAGACGAGCTGTGCTTCTTTGGTCCTGGCACACAACAAATCAGCAGGAGAATATCAAGTGAATAAAAAACCCTGAACTCACTTATCCGGGCGATAGACATCGTCAATTGTCAGAATAGCAAGATTGCGGTCGTCGCGGAAATCACGCAGAGTCACACGAGCACCAGGCTTCAACCCCAGCTGCTGGACACTTTCGCTGGAGACATCGAGAGTAATGGGCATGGTGAAAAGATTGCCATCGGCGAGACGAGAGTCGGCGACGACGCTGTGGAACAAGAGTTAGCTACAAATCCAATTTTAATATTGAGGTTGCTTTAGGTCCTCTCCCGCGTATCGGCGCAGCTCCGAGGGCGGAGTGCAGCCCCTCCACGGTACAGAATGCGCAAGATAGTGCAAGAATGGTGCAAGAATGCTGGAAGTGGTGTGAGAGCGAACGTACCCGTCGTAATCCTTCTGGTTCATGAAGCCTGTAAAATAAATCAGTAGCTGGTAGATAAATTTCGATTGAGTACGGTATAGTCTCGAATGATGGTAGTCGCATTCGAATAAATAGAATGAATGAAGGAATGCAACTAAGAGAATGGGTACACACCCTCCAAAGGACTGAAGCCTCCGTTCATAATCAGCTCCAGATCGCACAATTGGCGCTCGGTCAGGACGATGGCAGGCAGGGTGCCAGCCTCTGCCTCCAACTGATCATGGCGCGGGGCATCGCGAGCGACCAAGTCCTTGAGGACACCGCCATGGGGTTTGTTGGCCATGATGATAATATTGGGAGTGAAACAAGAACTTTCTGATGGCAGGAATGGGGAGGAGAAAAAGAAGGAGAAGACAGGTGTACAAGTCAGAAGCTGGCAAGAAAAAAGTCGAGCGGGGGAGAATCGGAGAAGGACTCAGTGCATGTATTACAGTACAGTATTAATACTGAGGAAGGTGCTCTCCACGGGCCACGGAAGTAAGCACCACAACGTCAGCACCTGTATTATATAATACCATCGTCCAATTAACTACGTCCGTTCCATATATATACTAGATTATCTCTCAGGACCAGAAGTCTGCTACTACAACCACAGCGGTACGACCGCCAACGACGATCGCGACACCGACATCCGGGCCCTCTTGGCACTCGTCCGACCGCACTGCTTTGATGAGGATTGCCGTCCGCGTGGGATCGTTACGTGTTACTTCTGTTGATAGACGGCTAAGCAGCGACCGTGCTCGTTCTTGATCATGTTTGCGAGCAGCGTTCACGACGCTCAGTGGGGGCAGCGCCGCGCGTTCGGGCTTGGCGTGACGAGTTATTATATATTCGACCGTTATTATCATATTCAAGTGTACGCCATCAACCTGTACAAGTAATAGGGGCTCGGTTCTTCTGGCTGTTCTCCATGAAACATGCGCTGCTGATCCCTGGGACCTTCCGAAATGTCCAGCTCAGCGTTATCTTCCTGTGTCGAGTCGAGAGCATACGTAGCATCGAGGATAACAGCGATCAGCGCCGCGTGGCCCTGGTAATCAGAGATAAAACACAGACCCGCCGATCATGGTTACATGGGCGTAAGCAGAGGCATTATCCTGATATTCAACAATTTGATTATTAATCCAGGGAATCACATCATCTCAACATTGCAGCAACATAGATGATTAAAGTATGAAGCGTATGTGTAGTTGAGCCTCTACAGCCTTGACAGCCCTAAGCGGAGCTAGCAATACAATCCGATTACAGCCGGGGCGTCTGTAATCACGCAATTGCTTCAGCGGCGGTTCTGATTGCTGCGTTTTGTTGAAGGGTTCAGGTTTTGACTGCTCCACTCGTCCGATCGCGGCGCTGATAGGACAGGCGCTGATCACGACATTGCTTTGACGGCTTGCGTGATTCTTTTCTGTTCCTGGCTCTGCGGAATATTAATACTTTAAGCTATTTAACACTGGCATGTTGCGTGGGGGATTTGCGGCTAGTGCTTAGATCTGAGATGTGCAGTGTGCTACTCTGGTGACTGGTATGAATTTAGAAAGACTTTTATGGCCTATTCTATCTCTCTAAATACACGACGCCGGCTTGACATGTACTCATATAATATAATCAACGCTCAAACGCCAGTAATGCTCTAATTAAACAAACATAAACATCAATCGTGCCTGTGCAGCTAGGTTTGCTGCACCTGGGCATTCTGTAGTGCCTGCACCAGGGCTTCTTCCTGCCGCTTGCGCTCCATCTCCATCAGGAACTGCGCGTACTTGGAGCGCGGGTTGTGGATGCCACACTCGGTCTTGTTCTGGCCTTGCCAACGGCCCGACCGCTCGTCTTCGTTCTCCTTGACCGGCTTGGTCGAGTGATAGTCGCCTACACTCTTATAGCCGCGGTCCAGCAGCCCGTTGTATGGCACGTCGTTCTCTTTGATATATTGCCGCACATTCTCAAACGTCCAGTTGGCCAGCGGGTTGATCTTGATGAGGCCCGCGTCGTCAATCTCAATCACGTCGAGCTCGCCTCGCTTGCCACCCTGGCTGCGCCGACGGCCGGTCAGGACGGCATCGACCTTGAGTTCCCGGTACGCACGCTGGGCAGGCTCGACCTTGGCCACCCAGTCGTACCGCTCATCATCGGTCTCCCACAGTCGAGCACCGTATTTGGCGGCAAATGCTTCTTCAGAATCCACCCCGGCGGGCTTGTATGAGTGGATGTTGATGTGAGGGTACTTTTGGCGGACGCGGTCCACGAGGGAGAGCGTCTCTTTGAAGTGGTGCAGGGTGTCGAAGAAGATGATATCAACCACCTGCGGGCGAGGGACGTTGAGTTTGGACAGCATGTCAGTGATGACCAGGCCGGTTAAGCCAAAGGCTGTGGTCTGGTAGAGATTGGGGAGCGTGGTGATGCACCATCGCAAGACATCTGCATACTGTTAGCACGACAGCACAATCACAACCCCGCCCCCGCTATCGCCAAAGAGTATAGAGGAATCCTATAGAGAAAGACTAACCCTGAGGCTCGAGGAACTGCAATTGTCGGTTGAGAAACTGCAGATGAGGCTTTGTGAAGATGACCTCAGGCAGGCTGGCCTCGCTGGATGAGGCACTAGCATAGCCAGACTCGTTGTCGGCAACCTCGACGTCGAGGGGGTAGTGGGATTGTACCTTGACAGGCATTGTGGGGTGGAAATGTATGGGCAGAAGAGCCAGTTGAACCAACAGAGGCAAAGAAACGGTATTCTTCTGGTCGTCGTCTTATTTGCTTTTTCTATCAGTGGCTTGGGCTGTTCAAGGACGACCTGACGAGGAGGCAGGGAGATATATCGCAGCAGGCGATTACGTTGAAGTGATCTGCTTTGAAATCACTCCCTGCCAGCTCGGTGACTCCATTTTGGCCTCGTTCCTCGCCATGTTTGGCTGCTGCGAAAATGCCCATGTTGCCTGATTAGGAAATGCGAGCACGCCATAGCAGGTCGAACGGCCACCGCCTGCCGCTTTGGGCATGGCTGCTGAAAGAATGCAAAATCACGCCATTCTTGCGCTTGTGGCGTTGTGGGCTGCCGTAGAGGAGCAAACAGTGCAAACATGCATACTGTCGTGTCTAGCCTGTTCCTTGCAGGACTAGGAAGATTATTATTAATATGGATCTTGACTATCAGCAGAGTAAGCATGCACCTCTATCAATTATCAATTGCCGTCTGGACACGGTTGGCACCTACGCTCGTGCTGACTCTGATCCGATCCTGCCTGACGTCATCGTCGATCGCCTGCGATGCTCAGGACATGCCCTTGCATCTACCCCAGAGAGGAACTCCTGGAGAATGCAATAGCTCTAGCCTGTGTATGCGGTAACACAAGCATCATCAATGGATGTGATGTTAAGAGGCCAACACTGAGTATAGAGTAGAGATGGGGTGGATAGAGGAGTGGAGAGGTTGAAACAGCGGGGAAGATGACGTCCCTTTTTTGCTTCCTGATTTAGTGGCCAATCACACCGGCCGTCCCCTCCATCACGTGGTCAATCCCTGCGTGACCGATGCAGGCTGCCTCTACTCGCTGACGACCTCGACAGACATCGTCTCCTGGCAGGCCTACAGAAGCTGGCATTTACCTGATGGCTACTGAGTGCTGAACGACGCTTTCTACCCATCTCCTCTCCAACTCGATACCGTCGACCCTGCCCAAATTCTCAATTGTCAACATGGCGGCAACCACTCGCTCCGAACGACCAGTCCTCCGCCACAGCTCCCTGTCGGGCGGCTCCTTCATCCAAGACCACCAGCAGTACAAGCCTACGCCCCCCATCACCCAGAATATCACCGACGTGCTGCTCGCGGCGGGCGACACCGACAACAATGACCTCAGCAGCAAAACCCCGCTCCACTTCAACGCGAACCCTATCAGCGCAGACCCTGAGAAGGTGACCGAGAGCGGCATCGTGCACAGCATCTTCCCCAGGTCCCCCAATCCGCTTCCTGCAGGAACCCCGAAACTCGTCGCCACCATCTTCTACAAGTCCGCCCCTCCTCACTACTCAGATGCCACCAGCCTAGCGGTCGACGGCCGATTACCCTCTCCGACCATCCCCATGGGTTCTGCGCCGACCATGGATATGGAGAAGCTTCCACGGGAACCCCCAGCCCCAGAGCCCGAGCAACTGGATCACCTGTATGGTCCATTCGTGTCGCAATTATGCCTGACTCATTTCCTGCAAATCGTGGAAAGCCTGCATACGCCGTACCAGCGGATGAACACATCGCATCGGTGTCTGGATCAAGAAGAGCAACCCCGCGTGGTGGAAGTCACCATTTCACCGCTACCCAACCCGGATTATTTGTCATTTGATGACCTGCGCAAGCATGAGAGCATCTGGCGGTTTGAGAGGGAATGGAATGTCGAGGTCGTGCTGCAAAAACAGAGTGTTTTCAGGCAATACAAGCGCCTGGCTATTTTTGATATGGATAGTACGCTGATTCAGAATGAGACAATTGACGAAATCGCCAAGTTTGTTGGTGTTGAGAAAGAAGTCTCGGTGTGTATATATACACCTGTATTGCAGACGGCAGCTAATAATATTAGGAAATCACTGCACGTGCCATGAATGGCGAGCTCGACTTCACCGCGTCTTTGAAAGCTCGTGTCAGTTTATTGAAGGGTGTCCCTGCGGATGTATGGGACAAACTCAAAACCATTGTCACCATCTCTCCGGGAGCCCGAGAATTATGCAGGTCATTAAAAGTCTTGGGCTACAAGATGGCCGTCCTCAGCGGCGGCTTCCAACCTCTCGCCGAGTGGCTTGCAGGCGAGCTTGGCATTGACTATGCATTTGCCAACCATGTACGTTATATATATATATATATCTATCTCTCTCTCTCGTTATCTATGGTATTGACGAATCGCAGCTCGAAGTGGACGAAAAAACACAAACCCTAACCGGAAACCTAGTCCCATCCTTCCCCATCATCGACGCGGCCCAGAAACGCTCGCTTCTCCGGACTATCGCAGCCAAAAACAACATCCCCATCAAGCAAACAATCGCCATTGGTGATGGCGCCAATGATCTGCCCATGTTACACGAAGCCGGTCTCGGAGTGGCATGGTGCGCGAAGAGTAAAGTGCAGTTAGAGGCGCCGACGCGGTTGAATGGGGAGAGTCTGACAGATATTCTGTACCTCCTCGGGCTCGGCGATGAAGAGATCAAAGAATTGGATTCAGTGGCGATTTGATACTTGTACACGTTCAATTAATCAATGTATCCGTTCTAGATTCCAGAGGTGACAGGGCAGTACACGTAGCCGATTTGCTGGAAGCACCATAGACAGACCATTTCCTAAATCGTTCTATCTACCATTCATACTCCACCTCATGACCATATACATGCCGCGGCATGCCCGATATAATGACAGAAATGACCTCTCCACCTAAAGCCGCTCCCCCTTTTATATCCCATAGTCTAGACTCTACACGCAAGCAATCAATCCGACCCACCAGTTCGATATCAAACAATGAACCCACCCACATCTCCACACACACCACCATCGTCACCGTAGCTTACCCGATGCGGTGTATACACACCGTCCTACCCACTCCAGGCCGGTGCCCTATTAGCAACCGCCAACCCATCAACACGAGTCCAGATAACCACGTGCAAACGCCCGTTCATATCAGAGAATTTCCCACTTCCCTCTGCTTTTCTCTTCTTTCCTCTATATCCTCGACTTACTACGTAGATAGGAGCTCTTGTACTGTATGTGTCCCGTCGATCAGAGGCTGGGATGATCTCATGATTATCGCAGGCATGAAGATATATGCACTATAAGAGTCAGCGCTGACGTATATAGATGTGCTTGCAACGATGATTACTGACTTGACTCTGCGGAGGGGTAATTTTGATCCTGCCACTACCAAACCTGCCTGCTTGTATGGGTTTGATGCGTAAGATGGTCAGCTGCAAGGTATCGAAACAGGCGATGATGTTTCAATCAAACCACCTGGTTATCATAACCCTTCTTCTCGTCAACACCTAGAAAATTCTCTCGTTGCAAAGACAGTTCGACTCTCCCTTTATCCTGAACCGCTCTGAATATCCGTTTCATATGGCATCTGGAATCGAAAAAATCAAGGCAGGGTTGGTCGAATTAAGTTGGCCGGGTAAGTCTATCAGCGCGTTTTACTTGCTGGAAAATCTTGAACTTTCATCAGTAAGTATTCATTAATAGATGCGGCAGGAAGCCCCCTCTATGTGCATCGTATAAGCTTCTAAGGCTGATATTGTATAGATATGCCTCCAGTATGATTACTGGCTCGTAGAGGGTGGTAATATGCTGTCCAAGCCCACGACGAACTCTGTCTGGGCATGTCATTTTCAACTACCACCACCTCATTCCTCTGCTGCTTAAGGGGGCAGTTAAGTTCTTAGTTAGGAACATTTTTCCCCGATGTGAGAGGTTCGTGTACCTAGTCTCTGGATTCTGCTATTGACCCTAGAGATGATAGTCTCCAAGTGAATAGTCTACGGCCTCTTGCTAGCTAGCAACCTAGGCAAGTCCAAAGGAACCGGCTTAAGGTGTATGTGGTTTTCGATAGTATGGAAAAGATGCAAACAGGCTCTCCGGCATTTCTATGGAGAAAGAGCTCTACAGAAGAGACCTGAGGACCCATGAGGCCAAGTTCGCTCATTGGCGTTCTCAGCTGCCGATAGTTTCTCATCATAATAAGGGATACTAAGTTTTGGGACATCGCCGCAGTTATGATTGATACCTCCGGCTTCCTCTGCTGCTTAAGGAACCAATGACGTCGTCATCGACAAATATCTCCGCTCTAAACTGCATTCTGAACAATCACTAGGTTGAGAATGACTTTCGAGGTCTCCTAGAAGAGAAAAGACCGGGGGCAAAGGAGAAGGATAATGGGATTTTCACAAGCTTCATAGCGGTGCCTTCGAAAATGCTCCTGTGCATGGGCATGTCTTTTTTAACCATCGTACAGCAACCAAGGCCACCCAATCTCTCTGTGCTTAAGGGTAGATTCAGAGTTCTCGTGGATAGTTTTCCCCGCTCTGAAATGTTCTACTGTATCAAGATCAGAAGGTCTCAAAATCAGACTTCATTTCGCCGAGATATCACCACGATCCACGCTGATGTTTTGTCGAGCCTGTGGAACCCGCAGCTCGGCACTCAAAGCTTCGCATTACGGACGGATGCTCGAGAAAAGTTTTCGCTTAAAATACAACATGCAGTGAGATTTACTCAGACGAACTGCTAAATCTGTGCCCGGCCATTTTATACGATGACATCGTCAATTACTTCCTACCTTTTGGGGGAAATTTTCGACCAGGACAGGCCTCGGAGAAGATCAAGGAACTAGAGACTCTACTGTCATTTACACCAGACTGCTTAGGGGATGTCATTGACGCCAGTAAGGAATGGTTCTGCGCTAGGGGCCCCGTATGCTGCCTGCTTCATTGCCTGCTGGGTGAGATTCCTGCCCGGTTTAGATTGATTGAGACTGATCGCAGTACTAGGGCAAATAGCACTTTATATGCAGGATTACGGTATGACGTACGGTTTAGTAACAGAGACAAAGGAGCATCATCCGTATTTGTTGCAAGAGATCTATCGATTCTTCGTTTTCGAAGGAATTTCCGAGATCAGAAAGTCGATTTGCCGGCAAAAATTACTATTGAGAAATGGGAGCAGGAGAACGATCAGAATCATAGAGTTCATCAAGTAATTATCTATAGAGATAGCGCCCAGACACAGTTTCGCCACCTTCGATCACCCATATAACCACTACTAATGGTTATACTTGAATCTTATATTCAAGGATCAGCCTTTCCCAGTGCCTGTCACTACATGCGCCCCATCGTCAATTTCCGTTGGCTAAAGGGCTACTACACGGTACGACATAAGCTCTTGGTCGACCAGATCTGGTTGAATATTCTCGGCCTGTACTTTGGAGTACGAGATGATTTTGGAGTGGAAGAGAACCATACGTACAACCCTCTAAACTCCACGAAGGCAAATGTTGCTGTGACAAACCTTCGCAGATCTCGGCGATCAGGTCAGAGCCTCCTGCAAGATGCTCTGCATTAGATCACACGGAATGGCTATTATCTATATCTCAAAGCTATCGACGGGAAACTCCAAATAAGGACATTCGTTCACTACATGAACTGCGACATCGTCTTTCAAATCGGACGCATCAATACTATCCAATGGTGCACCGGCTCTGACCAAACCAGGCATAGATTTACTCCTCTTCACTATAACCTCAATTTCATATATTAGAACTAAGCTAAAAATAGAGAATGCTGTAAAGAATTAAACAATGGAATCAAAATTGTCTAAGATTTACATCTTCGCCTTCAGTGAAATTCAGGACATAAAGAGATTCTCTCTAGGTTTGCTTGACGAGACGAGTAGGCAAAAACGAAGCTTTTATTCCCAGTTGTTTCATACGGTAGAAACCATTTCTACTAATCCTATTCTTTGTATCCTTGGCCGGCTATTGGTATAAAATTAGTTACGAGTTGCGCACGGGATGATAGACGGTTTTGTCAAGCTTACCATATGTGGGAAATTTAGAGAGTTCATCCCAATTCTTCGCTTGGGAAAGGTCAACAGCCCTCTGATAGGTTTCCTTTGGAAGATAAATTTCATGTCGCTCCCCCGAGTTGTCAAAAAAGACCATCTTGTCGGGATGCACGGTTCGTTTGCATGTACTCGGATCACTAGCCCCATCAACCGCAGGAGTAATATTCAAAATGTCGCTATTCTTTTTTTCCCCAGCCATGGTGTCTGATTGTTTTTTGGCACCACCGACGTAGCAGGAACAGGTTGAGCACACGTATTGCCAGCCCCTAGACCAATACAACAGTATGCACCGTCACCTAGATCTTGACAAACGTCAAAGGGAGCGCCAGTGCAGCTTCCGCGATTAAAGGGGTAATGATCGTTTTCTTGATTGCAGCCGTTACGATAAACGAGTTGGCAAAAAGTTTCCTGCGATGCAAAAGTAACCTGCTGGTACGTTACCACATTGCATATGAACGATTTTATTATTGCAGGATCCCGTATTGAGCAAAAAAATAGATTCACGGACAGAGAAGAAATACACAATGCAATATATGCTAACAGAGTGGTAATGAATTGGAGATTTTTACCATTCAAGATCTGAAGCAAAGTAAGAAATTGTTAGAACATCTTTTTGAAATGTGAAAGACTGAATTCAATGACTTACAGTACAGGATCAAGTTGCAACTAGAGTAGGGCGGGTTTCGTAGATTATCTAGTATATCGCGCAGGACTTGGAAGAGATGACGGGCTAGTCACGTACAATAAGACTAAATTAGCAAACAAGGATACAGAGTCCAATGAAAATATTTTTTTTCTTCGCCAGTGTCATCCAGGAGACTCACTGTATCGGTTTGACCGTTTTACCCCTCACTGTTGCACTGAATCTGCACGACTTTCAACGCGACCACTCTGCGTGAAGCGATTTAGCTTTCCTTGAAGCAGAACAGGTAACTAACCGACTAACTTAAACCCTGAGAATAATGGAAGGGGATCCGGATGGACCGAAATCCTTACTGTATGATTTGCGCGGATGTGGCGATGCGATTCCAACGGGTGTGGACTGGGAAAGACTCCAGGCATACCCTGTCGCGTTCCAAGTAGGCTAAATAGCAACTCACCGCGAGTGGAAGAGCGGTGGGAAGCGGGTGGTACGTACCAATCCATGGCAGAAAAGGAGGGCTTGAGTATTCATTATGTTGATTTCACTCATCTTATCAAGCTAGTCAGGCAATTAAAAAGGTTACCTTTGATTTGTTATGTCCATGACAACTAGATGGAGGATGGAGCTTAATCAAGTAGTTTCAGCTCTTCTTTAATCTGAAGAGTACAGGAACACCAAGCACATAGAGGCAATGGAGTTACGGGTTGTGAACATATTTATTATTATATATAGGTGCTAGGTAGGATTGCGCATGCATTGGATACGGATAAAGAAAGTAGGCATTTGTTAATACGGAAAACCCATCATGCTAAATATTACGCTATGTTTATGCTGGAGATGACTCTGGAAGGGAAGGGGGTGGATGAGATTCGGGTTCATGCGAATACGGTTTTTGGGAGTTGTTAGAATTGAGAACAGGAATTCGTAGGAACGGTAGTAGAATGAATGTATTTATGATTCCAAACATGAGTGAGTCTCCATTGCAACCAGCGGTTGTATACTTTCGAAAAGTCGGGAGCTCACTATACTCCATGATACAATGCTCCGAAAGCCGACTCTCTTCCAAGCAAGACCTGTGGACTATCGCACTCCACAAGCTTACCTCGTCTCAAAACAGCAACTTTATCAAAACTTGTAATATATGTAAACCGATGCAGGACCGATATCACAGTCCAATCACGGAACTCAGTATCAATTATCTCTTGCATAATAGCCTCAGTTCGCGCATCAACACCACTCGTAGCCTCGTCGAGAATCAGTATTCTGCAATCTGATTTGAGCAAGGCTCTTGCCAGACAGAAAAGTTGTCTTTCACCGTGAGACCATTCTGTCGAAATGAACTCTTGATCGATTACGCGCCTACTTTCAGTATGGTCAATGGTAAACTGTTGCGTACCGGGGGTAACGAGTTTCTCCCATAGACCGACTCTGCGAAGTGCCGTCTCGATAGCTTCGTTGCTAGCCAGGTTTCGCGGGTCTAGATTGAATTTGAGTGTGCCGCGAAGGAAGAATGGTTGTTGAGAAATGACGTTGATGCGAGAGCGGACTTGCTCGCCTTGAAAGAGGGATATATCCATTTCGTCTATGGTTATCTGTCCTTCGACCACGTCCATCATGCGTAGGAGTGTCATGATTAATGATGTTTTGCCGCTTCCTGTGGAACCACAGAGAGCAATTTTCTCTCGAGGGTTAACTGTTAAGTTCACATCTTGTAGGATTGGCGGGGTATCAGGACTGTCTATATGTTAGTTACTTTTTCCAACAAAAAAATGAAAACCGTACTCATGGCAAGCAGTGACATGATGAAAACGAATCCCTCCCTTTTCTGGCCAATTCAATGACGGGTCATGAGGGCAAGTTGGATCCGATGGCGTCTCATAAATAAACTCCTGAACGCGAGTCACTGCACCAATTGTAGTCTCCAGCCTAGTCCAAGCTTGAATAGTTTGAGTAAGAACCGAATTAAATTGTAAAATCAGAACGAGCGCAACGCCAATACTTCCAGCACTGACGTTACTAGTAACAGAGGTTGCAAACACGACGAGGAGAACAGCTAATGCACCAATAACTAGATCAAGGACAAGCTGAAGCCATTGCTGAACGCAGAACAGCATATAAAACGGCCTCTGTGCTTGATTTAATGTTTCTCCGTGTTTTAAGTAGAATGAGTCGCTCCATTTAAAAGACCGGATGGTTGATACACCAGTCGAGGTTTACAAATAGGTTGTAAAGAGGAGCTTTAACTTCGATGTCTATTAAACGGAGTCGTCGGGAGGTGCGTAAGTAGTACCTTTGGACAAGGAATAGGACTGCAATGAGAATGGGGACGGTGGCGGTAAGGTATTTTCCGAGGATGCATAGGATGATTAACTGGGTGATACCAGATGCAGCACCTCGGTTTGAGATTAGCTTGGGAGTTAGAAATGAAGAGGGATTAGAGGGGGTACCTGTAGTAAATTGAATCGCTTGTGAAGGGAGCCTCATGTCGATGAGGTCTATATCTTGACTGAATCTATACATAGTTACTTATGCCTATAATAGCGCACAGAATATGACAAGCCTAGATACCTATTTATAATTGAACCAACATCTGTCTTTTGAAAGAATTGAAATGGGGCTCTATAAAAAAGGCGACCAATTAAGTAAATTTGAATCCGCATTACACAGTGTCTGATCACGTACCTCATCGTCACTTTCAGGAGGTCGGAATGCATCTTCAATGCCGTGTTATTGATGACCTTTATAAAGAAAACCCTGTTTATAACATTACTTCCTGTTTATTTCTTAACTTTATCAAAAACTCGCCAGCATTCCCCGAGAATGCTCACATTTGCCAACACAACGAGCATGGTATAAATGCCTAGGTAGAAACCAAGCTGTATATTGGGCTGTTTTTGATTTGCGTCCGTCCATTTTTCGATCCATATATCTGGAGTCGAATCAATAACCACTGTTGCATTCAAATATAAATATCTCCATAAGTTGAAGGCAATATGACTTACTTGTATAGCTCGTGGTAACTGCACCAACAAGAGTGAAGAATGCCCATAGAAATAGATTCATGGACCTGGCACTGCGGGCATAGTAGATATAGGAATACCAGTTTCCTTTTCGCTTTTGAGGGACAGACTCTCTAAGACTAGTTTCAGCCTGACTATTAGGTGTTGATTGTTTACTTATCACCTCGTTATTTGATGATTGATTATAGTCGCTCTGAACAGCCGAACGAAGAATTTCTGTGCCAAGAGACGAGACTTTTAATCCACCAAAGTTTTGTTGCCGTCCTACCATGTCGCTGTATGGGCCAGAAAAGAGAACGCTGCCGGATTTAATGGCGATTATAGTGTCCATATGAGGAAGAATGAGCTCTAGCAGAGATCAGCAACTGTCCGTCGCTCTAGTAATATGTCAACCAACCATTGTGAGTGACAATTATAACAGTTATTCCAGCCTTCCTAAAATACCCCTGCTGGCTGAATAGCCCAGATATTATGTCACTAGTAGTCATAGGATCCAACCCGCTCATGACTTCGTCTAAGATGACTATCGGATGTCTGGAATAAACAGCTCGGGCTAGTGCCTGATATTATCAACGTTAACATCAATAATAAATTCATAACAAAAATATCAACAAACCACTCTTTGCTGCTGTCCTCCACTCAATGACGAACCATTGCTTCCAGCCATTGAAAGATCTCCCCGAGGCATTTGCTGCAGATCATGCTTCAAACAACAAACAGATACGCAAAATTCATACCATTTCTGGTCAACTATATCTGTATCTCCAGTGATATTTTGTCGTATTGTTGTGTTCATAAGCCAAGAGGGCTGGGGACAGAATGCAATTCCACTGGAAATACTCGATCGCATGGAGCCTCGCAGCACGATCGTTTCACCGATTATGCTTTCTAAGATGGTGGACTTTCCAGAAGCAATAGGTCCTACTATAGCAGTGAAGCCTGCATTGATAGTTAATGTTAGATCCCGTAAGACCGGTTCTGTTGAATCAGAAGACCAGGCGATGTCAGCATGTTGAAAAGATATCAACGTTCCGTGTGACTTTGTATTTCTCAAGTTTGTAAGTTCATGGCCAGACTCTACTAATTCCGCTTCCTGAGATGCTAAAGCCGCTGGCTCTTTCAAGCAAAACTCTTCAATCCGACGAAAACAGGAAACTGCTTGAAAGAACGACGGCAGTGATTGACAGAAGAGAAGTACTGGGTCTGTTAACAGGTTTATCAAAGATAGTGATGCAAACGCCTGTGCCAGTAACAATGGCTCGTCTTTCCTCACAGCCATTATGATGGCATAAACAGCAAAGGTCAGGAATGGGGCGAGGGTTGTGGGAGTATTTGCTACACACATAATAAGTCCTTCAGCACAATTCTCATTTTGATTCTATTGAACTTACAAACTAGGATTCCCAATATCCTCAGGGCGCGAAATTTCTCAGAAGTACGAAGTTCCAGGGACCGCAATTCCTCGATTGTTTCAGAAAGTACTCCGGACAAGTTAAGCATCTTCACACAGTCAATATGCCTTAGCATGTTGATGGTCACAGCAATTCTCTTCTGAACGCGCTCTGTCCATGCTCTTTGGGCAGGGCCAAAACGCGCGGCAATATATGATGCTCCTATTACAGACACTATAAATGGTAAGTTAGCAAGATATGAAAATGGAGAAATGATCAGAGGTAGTGGCCTACTAATTCCAACAAGCAATGGCATCAGAGATGCAAAAGAAACCTGGCGCACCAAGAGCCACGTTGCGATGCCAACTTCGACAATGGATGCCCATAGTTCGTGAACGTATGTCAAAGAATCAACGATTCGCTCCACATCTGTTCCCATCAGAGTGACAGCTTCCGAATCTTTCAGGTCACGTCCTGGAAGAATGCTCATATGCCGGTATATCTTGGCGGTCAGACCAGACCGTATTTTGGCTATCATTCGATATGTTTGACGCCAATATACTGCCCGGGATATCTGAAATTTGAATAAGACATGGGTTACACGTAAATGTATAAAAGGCGATCGTTTCATACATACTGCGATACCTAGATAGACAAGAACGAAACCGCCGACAAGAGCCCGCCCATACACCTTTTGGTTCTCGTCTGATGATGAGCTTAAATTCGAGACTGTCGAATCAATTAGAAAGGGCTGGCATAATGTAAAAGCAGACAATGCTAAACGTGGTGGAATTGCAGACAAAAAAGACCATCGGTATGCAGCAAAGGCTGCACGAAGTAAGCGATGCTGGCCATGAGTACGAATCCATGCTGAATCTAAATATGTGAAAGTCAATTGTTCTTCGATGTCTTTATCTATGTTCGGGATGTCTGTTAACTGCAAATGCTTTGTGTAGCCAGTATGGAAGAACGGAAGCACCCAAATGAAAAAGCTCCGACTCCAAAAGCCAGCAGTTTGCTCTGGGGTGCTGCTTTGATAATGAGGTTGTAGAATATTTGTCTTATTTACCGACTCAATAATAACTGCGAGCACATTTGTTGTGAAAATGATGGTCCATATAATTTTAGGGCCAGGATCGGCATCAATGAGCCAGAGTGAACGTAACCGGGGGATTGAAAAAATGGTGAATGCAGAGAAGTATAGAACCAGCAGATCTGACGGACACAGCGATCGTTGGTCCTCCAGCAATGAGTGTATTATTGCAACTGCGACCGAAATAACATTGAGAATTTCTGATGAGAGCGAGAGTTTCGTGTACAGTCGAGACGATCTCACGCTGAATGCAAGAAATAATAAATGGCAGATGAAAAGCACCGCCAGTACGCCCTTGAAATAACCACTGCATCTCAGATAAGTCCTTTACTAGCTAGAATATAGAATAATAACTACCAATTTCCAGGTTGCCAGTCGATACGAATCGACCTTTACAGGTGATTGACGAAGCGCTCGGAGGCGCAGCGGAAACAGTAGCAGAAAGAGCGTTGCTGGCAGCGCAATGAAGAAAGCATCTTCGAACAAGAGTGTGAAGTCGAAAGAACGACAGGCTATATTGACTCGAGGACCAAACTGGTCGTCGCAATTTTCTATGTTTTGACTTATCGCCATCACGATTTACCTGTAGGAGGACTTGATTGAGTAGCTAATATGTGAGGGGAAACGATAGGTAAGCCTGGGACGAGAGCAAGGGTTTGGCACTAAGGAATACAACAAGGCCGCAGGTCATCACACATACAATTAGTCCTGCATTACAAGTACAGTCTATTTTATTATCAACATTAGCATTTGAAATAGCGGTTTATTAAAAAAGTATCTAGGCGTCATAGAAAAGAAGGTTGACTCTTTTCCTTTCCAAAACTTTGAACAGCTGTAGTTATGCACCTAGTCAATACCGTTGAAGCAAAGTCAATTAACAAAAAGAGAGAAAAACGCCAAGACCCCAGAAGTCATGATTATGTCTTCTCTCATGCAAAATAGCCTAGATTAATAGTACATAAACACAAATTCTATTTCGTTATTTCATCGACAACCAGTCCGGAACCGGTCCTCGATGGCATCCCATCAGCAGCACCACTGCCTGACCTTCTCTTTTTAAGCACATTCTCGATAAACGCTTCACCGGCCTTGTAGCTGCTCCGCACCAAAGGTCCAGAAGCACAATACAAGAATCCCATGTCTAAGGCGCGCTGTTTCCAGAGCTCGAATTTATCCGGCGTCACGTACTCGTGTACAGCCATGTGTCGCTTCGTTGGACGCATGTACTGTCCGAATGTGACGACGTCAACATCCGAAGCACGGAGTTGGCGGAGGGCATCCCACATTTGAGACTCAGTTTCACCGAAGCCCAACATCATAGATGTCTTAGTGATGAGAGACGGATTGGCGCGTTTTGCGGCCTCGAGAGTACGTAGTGATTGTTGGAAGGTAGCACGACGGTCACGGACTTGCGGAGTGAGAGCCTCGACGGTCTCAACGTTATGCGCATAGACATCCAAACCGGAGCGGGCGAGCACAGCCACCATGTCAAGATCTCCCTTGAAGTCGCCGGTCAAACATTCCACAAGAATACTGGACTTTTTCTGTTTGATTTTCATTACGGTCTCTGCGACATGGTGGGCACCACCGTCAGGCAGGTCATCACGATCAACATTGGTCAGAACGACGTATCCCAGTCCCCATCGCGATAGGGCTTCTGCAGTGTTCTCTGGTTCGTGCGGATCGAGCGGGCCAGGAGTACGAGATGTCTTGACGCTGCAGAAACGGCATCCCCGTGTGCAAGTATCACCCATTAACATGATTGTCGCTGTCGCAGAAGACTTGTCGCTTCCACCCCAACAGTCTGAAATATTAGGGCATCGAGCCTCCTCGCAAACAGTGTGCAAATTCAAACCGCGGAGATCGTTCTTGATACGCTTAAAGTTCTGTGAATCTGGAATAGGGGTCTTCAGCCATGATGGAAGACGTGTGTACTCTTTCTTGCGACCAGCTGGTCCAGCCATAACAGTCTCGAATTTGTAGGCCTCTGAGGGGCTCAGCGGTGCATCGTCACCACTGACAAAATCGGCGAATGAAGGGCCGGCGTTCAGCTTATCTTGGAATGTCGTTGACCGTCTGCGAGTGGGTGCTTTATCTGCGAGTGACGGGGTAGTCGAGGAGTCTGAATTGGCAGTTGCATAGTGGCGAGATAGGCCTGTTAAGGATGGGGGATGGACTTTCTTCACGGACGATGCATACAAGCATCGCAGCTTCGTCGATGAGGCTGCAGCCATATTGACTGGTGTAAATCTGCAGCGTGACAGCAGATTGGATGATAAAAAGCAATCGTAATGCTTGGATTGCAAATCATTGAAATCAACAATTTGCTCAGAGTCAGCGATAAATCGATGATAGCACGCCAAATACACTAGCCATTATGGGATTAGCGCATAGTTCGCCGCGGACCGGCGGAGAAGACGGCTGAGTCAGCCGGTCAATTAAAAGCACGTGACCTTCGCCCGAATTCAGCCGAGATCGAGGGGCCTTGTCTTTCAGATACTGTAATTCGCTCGCACCTGCAGGCGTCTTTGCGGAGTCTGCACCGCCCAATGAAGCGATCTGCAATGCGTCCACAACTCGACCCTTCAACGATTTAAGCTTCTTCTACGCGATCTATGATGGGCGTTTCCCAATCTCGCAATGCCTCGGTTGAGAACCAGTCAGCACTAACCACATGATGGCTTTGCACAACCTAGACTGTTTTTCTCCTGCTATGTTGGCTGATATTTCACGTCAGATAATTCACTTTTAACAATTGACATTACTATCGCACGAGACAACGCTTCACGACAAGACTTGAACCTGGACTGGTACGAATTTGTTGGAACTGTCAACGAAATTCTTTCATGTGAATCTCGCTCAAAACACTGTTGTTATAAATTCAGGGCATCATTACGAGAAAAAAACCCCCCTGGACCTCAGTATCTCATCAATTCAATACATACATAATCAAGACTTAGCTCGCCACTATGCCAGGAGATATCCCGCGCTACAATGTAGCGCACAAAATAGGGCGGTCACCAGCTCTCGACTTCTCAACAACCTTCCAGATCGATCCTTCCCACGTGAAAGACAAAACAATCGTCATCACCGGAGGAGCATCCGGCTTTGGTGCTGGTTTTGCCAGAAAGTGGGCATCATACGGCGCCAATATTATCATAGGCGACATCAGCGTTCCCGCCGGTGAAGCCATCGTAGCCGAACTACGTCAGAAGACGAACAACAAAAATCACCATTTCATTCGCCTAGATGTTACCTCGTGGAACTCCCAGGTTATTTTCTTTCGCCAAGCAGCTCAGCTCAGCCCCCATGGCGGGATCGACACTGTAGTCGTCAACGCAGGAATCAATAACTCGGAAGAGCAGAACCAATTTGAGAATCCTACGAATGTGGATTATCTGAACGACCCGTCTCCTCCGCCACCGACGATGGCAACCATTGATGTGAATCTCACAGGAGCATTGTACACCACACATTTGGGTATATGGTATCTGGAGCGAAACCCGAATTCAGGGTCTTTGTCTGTGGGCGGACGGGATAGACACTTGCTACTGCTGGGCTCAGTAGCTAGCCTATTCCCAATAATCACTCAGCCATACTACGCAGTCTCGAAACATGGTATCCTCGCTCTGTTCCGATGCTTGCGAGCTGGGTCGTTTGTTGTACACGGCATTCGTGTGAATCTGATCTGCCCGTATTTCATCGACACACCCATTGTTCCACCGGCCGGAAAGCTGATTCTTGCTGGTGGCGCAACAGGAGTTGTAGAAGATGTAGTTCAAGCTGCAAGTCTATTTGTCTCACGCCCTGATATTATCGGACGCGCAGTCGTTGTTGGCCCAAAGGTCAAAATTCGTGTTCCCACAGACTCAGAAGGCAAAGCATCCATCATTGGTGCAGCTGGTGTTCCTCAAATTGAAAATTCCTTCGAGGTTATCGATCCTGAGAGGAAGGCCAAAATTCAAGAAGGTCCCGACGGGGTGGTGCAAGAACGAGCGATATGGGAGTTTTATGCAGAGGATTTCGAGGATGTCGATCTCTTCACGAAGCGGATGGTGACTATATTGAATGCTTTTGGGGCGGCAAAAGGATGGGTTGGGTTTTTCAGAGATGTCGCTGGTGCAGTTGGTTCAGGTGTGTCAAAATTGGTCTTTGGAAGATAGTTGGACTGTCTACTTCATGTGACCATGTGACCTTCCAAACCCTAGCTACGAGCACTGTGACTTTCTCCGCCGTTAATGCTAGGATAGTAGTAATATTGATCAAAAATGGAAATAATATATTAATCATAATATCCCTCTGTTTCTATCTAATTACTGAGCAACATCAATCGATAAGTTGCATTGATATTTCCTAACTAGGAAGGTTCACCGCATCTCCACCTTGACGGCCTGCATACTTATCAGCATTTTGATGTTTATCACACCTGAATATGGAGTACATCGTACGATACAAGTGTTCTAAAATCCACACAGGGATAATATAGACAGACTTGGACCAACCATTCTATGATGATGCTAAGGTATTGTGCGGAGGTCATGCTATCTATAAATATATCGGACTACGTGTGTTTGTATGATGATAATTTTTGTTCTAAATCCAGGAACTGAAACTCGTTGTGAGTCCATCTCGTTATTCATTAAATCATATTCTGCTGGATACCAAATTGCCAGGCATCTTTTAAGGTCTGACACCCTCCATATGGCCATTATAGATTATTTTCTTACAATTTCAAGTATTTGTCTCAACAAAGTCATAAACTGCAGGTGTGCAAACAGTCCAACATAACAATAGGGAGAATATTAACGATATCTATCCTTATCATCTGCCCATCATAGCTCATCAGAAGCCTTCGACTGATCCAAAAGCGCAAGAATACCCGAACAATGTACTTCATAAGGCCTCCCCGTGATCAAACTTTCATGCTTAGGCGACCCCGTATTCATCTCGTATATCGCGTCCCGCTCATTCTCTCGACCGCATACAAGCACCGTATTGACGAATATATAGCAATGCTGACCTTGTAGCCGATATCCCGTCGAGGTATACTCTTCACACAACTGGTGAATTTCCTTGTCACTGTATGAAGATTTTCGACTTTCTGACGAATGAGAATTCAAGTAAAACTGTGCGTCAGGTAGCTGTCCGAGGTTATTTAAGCCATCAAGTTCATCTTTCGGCTTTTGACGTGGTGTGGACTGTGCAGGAATCTGCTTCACAGCAAGGAGATATAGAAGCCAGCAGTACGATAGCATTCTGGGCAATAAGATAAAAAAAACATCACTTAGAAAAACATATGCGTAAGGATAGAAAAATGAAATGGAAGTAAAAATTCATAGATATTTGCATGTTTTATAGGAAATTTACAAAACTTAACAAGTGGCTTCAGGGCTGCGGATATGCTAGGAATATTTTCCTTAGCCGTAAGTGACCTACGTTAGTGTCAAGACTAGCATTGAGGAGAATAGTGATGCCTAAATAATTTATAAGTACTACATATATATCATGGAGCATTACGTGTCACCACGGAACTTGTCGGTTCACTAGTTACATTTATGTTCCAATAAATTACCCAGGCTTCAGTGAATCAATGCAATGCAATTGCTAATAATAGATAGGAGTACACATGGGGTAGTTATAATGAAACATGAGTAAGAAATCATTGGCAAGGAGAAGCAGTCGAGTTATTATTGGTTGGTTCGTATGCACGACCCATATATGTGTATTTTCTTTTAGCTGCTGAATGGCCTGAGTCCCAACAGGATCGGTATATTCTACTCCAGAAGGTTCGCGGCATCTACATGTGCTATTCCAGACTGACTCACGTACTCTACTTTCAGATTATTTCTTCAATCTAATTTCTCATCCAATATTTCAAGTCTTATCTAGAAATAACACCGAACATGTAAAACAAATAATATAAAATACAATGCTAGATATTGCGGAGGATATCAAAATGATGCTAACTTCGCACTAAGCCAAATAAAGAAAATATATAGAGAGAGGTGGCTAGCAATGTATGAAAATGAAGGCAACTCCACAAACGGTCCATGTATATCCAGAAAGAGCAGAACATAGAGATTAAACAGAGGGGTATACCCAAATAAAGAAATGCAATATAAGAAAACATAAAGAATGAGTGAGTGAGTAATATCACAGAGATGACTTCCGAAGCGGAGAGAAAAGAACGGATGACTATTCCAAAGTCATCATACTTAATAGACTTAGAGTAAGTTTGTAATGATAGAAAAAATCGGTTGATGAGAGAGTGAGGACAGCTTTTTGCAATAAACACAGCAAGTTGAATGTGTGAATATAAAAGGGAGGAAATATAATAGACATAAAACATTAGTGTATGAGAAGTTTTGAAAGAAGGAGTGCATGGAGGTCATGCTTTGGCTTCGAGCACTTGTGCCAGCACTGTTACAGATGCTTTCAAGGTCTCGTCCTGTCGACCACAGATTGAGTACAGTAATTTATCCACAATGCGGTCGAGACCCTTTTGAAGTTCGACACTTCGTGTGCCTATGAGTCGATCGGTGACTTGAAACTTTGATGAAGTGGGCAGTGCAATGCCCAATGTAGCCCGTGCCTTTTCCGGTACACTGTCGAGTTTTGAGAGGTTATTCGGCACTTGTGATAGTGGTGGAGTCATGGAGCTGTTTAGTCTGTGATGTGTTGAAGCCATGGAGACTAGATAATTCTTCGCAATCAAGGCGGCGCATAGGTAATCGATTAAATTGTCTGGCGCGCCGGGGAAAACCTTCCTGAATGGCCGTAGCAATGCTTTTTCTTGATTTGTTCTTATCAGAATAATGACGGGTGACGTGAGACGAAGAGACTGCTTCGGAAATTCCTTGATAGAAGACTCGAGTTGATCAAGTGTCCATTCGTAATCCCACCATTTTTCCAGGCTTTCTTGTTCGATGGTCCTGGGCGATACGGCTGGAGGAGTACGTGGTCCCTCTTTCCGTGCATAAGTGGGAGCATATTGCCTCTTGTAGCACGAGACGTATCCATTCTTAGACTGGATTTTCCCCGAGAACACGTCAATAGCAAAAGATAAATTTCCAGGTGGGTCCGAAGTTACACGGGTGTCCATTGAGCCGTCGACATAGTCATCATCATGGTATTCATGGCTCTCCTCAGATGAACGATTGAATTGCTGAGTGACATAACCACTATCGGGAATATCCTGCGGTGTGTCTGGACTAAATGCCGATATTTCATTAATGCTGCGTTGCTCTGGGGTCGATGGTCGCCTCCACGACGGAGGAGGATGGATTGGCACCGAAAATGTTGTGCCTGATGATGAAGGTCGAGAGATATCAACGAGTTTTGGCTTTGTTTTACTGGCTACAGCAAGCCTCTATGATGGTTCAATGATTAGACAAGACAAATATACAGAGAGAATTCACTTACTACTAAATTGTTTGCTGCATTTGTATCAATACTCAGATCAACTGGCCTTCGACTTTGGCTTCTGTTTCCACTAGATAAAGGCTCATCGATTTGTTGTATTATCTGGAACTTTCGCCTATTGGCTTCTCGAGCCTTTTCATCATTGCGTTCTGGAGTCTCTAAGGGTACTCTTTGCAACCAAGACTCGCAGTACGATAAATCCCCAGGTACCCAACTCGTTGCACTGGAGACAGTAGCTGTTCTCGTGCGCTTCTTGTTGCTGCTAGTGGAGGAACTTGGCGACGGTTTCACCACTGTAGAGCCTAAATGTGGAGTAGACTTTGGGTCAATAAATCCTGGAGGAGGGAAGAGTTCTTCGTGTACTCGAGCTATTTTTTCCGTGTCGGCGGCATTAGGTGCGTCTTCGGGGTCTGTAGGAGGCTTTCTTTCTGATCCATACGTTTCAATAATGCAAACCCCGCACCGCTCATTATTTAATGAGCAGGTGCATTTCGTAACTGAGGGCTCGTCCTGTATGACAGGCTCGGTCCGTTCAACCTTCGCCATAATCCGAGAATCTGACAGACTAGGACTGGGTAGAAGTCCAAATGTTTGGAGCGCCCCGGCAACTAGGTTTTGATCGGATCGACAACTTCGAAGAGGACGTAGACCGATAGGTGATTGGAGAGTTCGTGTTTGGGGCTTGTTTTCTTTTGAGTCTCTGTTTGAGACAGGCTGGAAATGACCAGGGTCGAATGAAGGAGAGCTTGGAAGTTTCAGTTGAAAAGGCTCCTTCATCTGACGAACAGATCGAAACGGCGAGATATTTACAGTGGCTCGATCCATTGCTCGTCGAGAAGATGGGAGTGGAAGATCCAGGAAGTCCGACCGGCAACCGGAGGAAGAAAGGAATGACAAGGACCCGTGCGATCGTCTGGGTCGTGAGGTGTGGGAGAGGACAGAAGCTGTAGAGAGTGTTGAGTGATAATTAGTATTCTCGAAACATGGCTGGTGAATGTCATTGACGGTACTAGGATGGTGAGCCAGTAACGAATCACCAATGGATGGCAATTGGACCTCGACGCCGGGCATGTTGCACCAAGCTCTGTAACAAAGGAAGAAAGGAGCGACACAGAGTGTAATGCGACCAGGAATGCCACCTAGTAAGTTCAGGAAGGGGAGACGAAGGGTGGTCAGGGCCCTTATATTAGACAATATAGATTACACAAACGCCTCCCCCTTCCATGGTATGATTATTATTATTGTCCGCTCCGTCTGGAAAATAGTCCCGATCGGAAAGATGATGCCAGGTGCAGTGCCATGCTCTGAATACAATACAACGAGCAGAGGCTGCATATGTGAGCTGGATCCTAATATCCTTGCATACTTAGGGAGGACAAATAAAGCTCGCGGTTTACCCATTGGCTACAGGGCAAGACAGGCGGGGTGTTTCCCCGTCAGGCTTCGAGAGCAACAGTGGCCAGGTCTCCAGGTCCTGATGATAAAAGGCCCATCCGCTGCACGCAACGACGAACTAGGGATGTGTTTTGGGGAGAATTGTGTCAGGCGCAGCAGACAGGGAGGGGCACGAAATCACTAGGGCCATCCCTTGCATCGCGGCACGGCTTTCACCGTCATATTTCTCTGTGGCAACCCCGAGACCTGGCGATTTCTGTCTCGTAGACACATACCGAGTCTGGGGGTAATTACTAGCGACCAATTTCTTTCTCATACCCCTTCCAGTGAGGTTGTTCTTTGCCACAACAATATGTCATCAAAGGTGGTCAAAGAAGTTGATGCTTAGGTGTTCGCTGTAGGAGTATATACGTCACATCTACATGACGGTGAGAGCGGGTTGTGTCCAGGACAAAATAATCAGTCAATTGATCAACTCCTTAACAGTCTCGTACATTGAACTGGCCAGGATCAAGCTTAACAAGTCCGCAAATCAGGGGGAGCGAGGCTGCGATAAGATCGTTGAATCAACGATGTTTTGTGGGGATAGTCCATGATCCATCGCATCTCACCTTTTGGCGGCGAACACCCACAACACACCGAATCTTGTGATCGGATAAAATGTCCTAGCCCTCGAGCTTAGTCCCAGGCTAAGGTTGGCGCCGTCGGGATGGTTAAAGTTGCGTTGGATCTGGTGAGTTGTCGCGTAGGAAATGTCAGATTTCCCTGTGCGACGTATCACTTTTAGGCACCTCCCGCCGTGCAAACAGTGCAAACAGGCCCGTTATCGATAAGCCGGCTCTATCAGTAATTTTTGTCTACCGCAAAATTAAAAAAGTTTCGAGGCGCATTGGGACGAAACTATCTGCATCACGTCATTCGCCTCCCTTTGCAAACGCAGACATGCTGACGGAGAGCTTAGTTGCTTCCGTGCTGGGATCAGCAAAGACGCAGACTTCGTCGACGCTAAAAGACGTGGGAATTTGCATCCAGGAGCTGCAGCCCACTTCCGCGCTGCGAGCAACGTTCAAGAAGAGCTCTACCCCTCCCAACGGACTAGCTGTCACACCAACGCATGTCTTTGCCGCACAGACCGATAAGGCTGTCATTCATGTCTACAGTAGGCTCAGGGGAAATCAGGAAGCCACCATACCCTTTCCAGAGCGAATTCGGAGTGTAGCTGTGGCTGGCGGGCAAAATGGCGAGATCCTAGTTTTGGGCACGGAGGGTGGTCGATTGATTCTGTGGGAGGTAAGTCGGCTTCGGTTACATTTAATTGCTTTCCTCTCAACTAACACTTCAAAGACATGTACGGGACGACAAGTCTCGACAACACCTTCTCATCTTCAACCTGTCACTTCTTTAGTAGTTGACCCAACATCTCAATTCATCATATCCGGATCATCTGATGCCAGTGTTCACGTATGGTCCATACCGCAATTGCTGTCTTTCTCTAGAGCAGCAGCGGCAGCTCGAGACCAAAAAGCCCCCAACTCGCCGATTCGATCATTTTCAAACCACCGAACAGCTATCACGGCCCTGGCTGTCGGGCATGCTTGCAGCCGCAGTAACATTGCTATATCTGCGGCACGAGACAATACGGCCGTTGTGTGGGAATACAACACTGGAAATGTTTTAAGGACATATTTGCTTCCTTTCACGGCGATTTCCATTGCAGTCGATCCTGCAGATCGAGCGTTCTATGTTGGATACGAAGCTGGAAATGTCCAGCGTGTCGACTTTTACGAGACCCCATCAGCGCAGCACCCTCTATATGATGTACGACTGCAGAATACTCCCTCACAAATTAATTCTCAAGACCAATGGCTAGTCCCGTCTACAGACAAAGGTGCTGCGACAACACTAGCCTTGTCATATGATGGCATGACACTATATTCGGGACACCCGAATGGCTCTGTGCTTTCGTGGGACGTAACCCGCGGGAAGTACTCTTCAACAGTCGCTGATTATTTAAGTCCAGTAACAAATCTACATACACTTCTGCCAGTGGGGTTTCCTTCAAGTGCCTCTCAAAATCAAAACTACACAATCCCAAACATCATCAAGCCTCAATATAGCAAAGGCATGTCGGATGCGTCCCAAGGCAATGGGGCTGTTCCGTCAAACTATACACTTAGTGTCCAGCTGACTCCTAACCCTCAAAATAGTTCGACCCTATTTTCTGAAGCATTGACCCACGCATCTTTCCCAGCATCTTTGATTGAAGAAGGTCTCGCAGAACTGGCAGCGTTCGGCCAAGGACAGACAGTGAACGGTACAAGCACTACACAAATAAGCTCAACGAATAAATACACCGCCAACACCATTGATTCTACACAAATCGCCACCTTAGAGGAAGAAATCGCTAGTTTAAAAAGACAGCTTTCAGTCAGCGAAGATGCACGACAGGCACAAACAGAAGAAGTGATCAAATTGAGGACTGATTTGCGGGGACTACAAGACTACACAAGCCAATTCCAGCAGGATCGAGCACGTCTCAACAGCGACAAAGCAGCCAGCCGTGCGAATAATGAAGATCGGGATTTCCAACGACGACAGGAATGGTTCGAGGCCGAGAAGGGGGGTATAAAAGGGGACGCCACGCTCAGAAATGCGCGAACACGAGACGAAGACGTCAGTGATTCTGATTAAATTCATACCAACTGAATTGACAACTGTTTGGTTTTTGTATTTATACAACCAAGCCTTGCTCTGCACAGCGGCGTAATCTCATTTAGGGATATTCTTATCGACACATAATTTCAGCGACACAATTTTGGAATAATCCAGCTCATACAGCTCATACTATCAATCCTTCTCCTTCTTCTTCCAAGTTTCTCAAAATAAAATGCTATCCCAGCCTGACAGCGAGTTGGAATGTGCGGCAAGACCCGGAATGCAGCTCACGCAAAACGTCCTAATCTGCCAGCCACAGAATTGACAACGTGTCGCTGCTAACTTCCCTGCCATTCTCCCGCATTTACCCCCGTCAGATTCCATGCAAGAGAAGGAATGGAAGATTCAATAGAGTACTCACTAGAGCTTCGTCGCACATTTAATTTGAGAGGGGCAAATGTGCGATACGTATGTAGTAATGTTAGTGTATGCACATTCATGCCACTAAAAAGTAATTTCCGCTAATTTACCAATGTTCCCAGCAGTGACGATTACAGCGTTGATCACAATAAAATAAATTCTTTGGCCATACTTCTCCTAGTCTCCATTCGATCCTTATACTATTGGATTTACCGATATACGTACATATTAATGAGGTCATCCCTACCTCTAACACCGTCTTTACTTTTTTCTGACACGTGGGCATGGCATTTTTGAGCCCCAGTTCCATCCCTTTCTCGGTGCAGGTACGCGTTTTAACGTAATTTGCTTAGCCCCGCTCACATTCTTGCTATCCACATTCATACGAATTACTATTTCAGCCTCCTCCACGACTGTCCTGTCATCAAAAATAGTGGATCTTCGGAGTCGTGAGATATAAGCGACATTCCCAACTTCGCCATCGGCAGGGAAGGGTTTATTTCTGGAATCGGTTAGTTTGTCAAAAATGACTACAGAATATTGACGCATAAAGTCTTCAAAAAAAAAAAAAAAAAGATGTAACATTACGAACAGGACGAGTGAATGGTGTGCTAGAAACGTTACTGGAGAAATGAATAAAGATGGGTCTAAATATTCAGCCAGAGGAGGGCGAACAGGAGTTGAGATTGTGACGTCCACATTTTCTACCCAAGGATCGTCCATATGGAGTTCAATCCCACCATCATCGCTCTTCTTTAAGGACAATTGTCACTTCATGCTACTAACTGCATAGCCAGGTCGAGCAAAGCCTTACCAACACTTAATGCCAGTTGTCGGATATTAAAGGAGATATCATGAGGCGGTACTCATAAATCTATACCAGCGAACGCTAGCCCAGAGCGCTGAATGCGATTAATAGCTTGCAGAGGTATTGGGAGGCCAAAGAGGAAACAGAGTAAATAGGCATTCAACCATTACTATATTAAACTTTTGCCATATGAGTTGAGTGTCAAAGCACTCGCCACGGTTCAATGCGCTTCGGGCATTGTTGAAATCATATCAGTGCAAATCTCATAAAACTCATGCATTCGTAATCAACTAGCACAAATGATTTAGTGCTGCCTGTCTTGCAACAAGCTAGTCTCAAACGCACCCGTCCTATATAATCAATTTCCTTTCCTCGCTAGATTGGATCAGCCATTGAATTCTGCCGGTGCAAGAAGAATACATCCTCCTAGATTCCTTTGATGTGATGGGTAAAAGACAGACTATTTCCGGTCAATATCCCCCTATTGTACCACCCAGTGGCGTCGAAGCATTCGGCCGCACAGCATTACCAGCCAGCTCATTCACGATCTTAACACCAGCACTCGCACCAATCCTCGATGCGCCCGCCTTGATCATCTCAACAGCATCCTCTGCCGTGCGAATACCTCCCGAGGCTTTCACCTTGCACCCATTGGCAAGCATATCCACAACCTCCCGCATCAATCTCACATTTTCGATATTCGCCCCCGCACCGTTAAACCCCGTCGACGTCTTCACGAAATCCGCACCTGCCATATCACTAATCACACATCCCGTAATGATCTCATCCCGCGTGAGCTGGGAGGTCTCCAGAATGACTTTCAATTTCGTCCTGGGACGCGGCGCGGCGCGGCGCACAGCGTGGATGTCTGCGTACACGGCTGTGTACTTGCCTTGTTTGAGCTGCGGCCAGTTCAGTACCATATCAAGCTCTGATGCTCCCGCCGCGATGGCTTTGGTGGCTTCCTGAACCTTTTCGTTGGTAGGGTAGGTGCCCTCGTGGAAGCCAACCACGCAGGCGATGCCAACGTCTTTACTCTTGGAATCTTGCAAGTTCTCAGCGGCGCGGGAGACAAAGGGTAAACGGACGCAGACGGTTGCGAATTTGTGTTCTTGGGCTTCCTTGCAGAGAGTGTCGATTTGTGAGGCTGTTGCGTCGACGGCGAGCTGGGTGTGGTCGATGCTGCGAGCGACGGCGTCAGGGAGAGGCGTGTGGTAGACTGTGTGTACTTCGGGTAGATCGTCTTTGACTGTCGAGATGAGAGCAGCCCACTCGGGGTCTGTGGTGGGAGTTTCGAGTCTGGTTGCCATTTTGTTTGTGTGATGTGAGTTTCGATGTGGAAGCGTGTTTGTTTACGGGCAGGTTATATTGTCCGGGTAGCCAAGAGCGCTTGGCTTGGACCCGCACTATGGGGACGGCCTTATAAAAAGCAAAGTGTGCAGTGTTTTGAAGCTGTGAGCAGTCAGGACGTGCAAGTGCCACCAGGTGACTTCATCTGAAGGTATACAAGAAATTTGATTCGGCGGAGCTTGTCGCCGCGCCCCCTCTCGTCGCTGCTCCCCACATCTTGCCGGCCGATCTTTCTCTCCACTGTAGTATGAGCCGCCGCATCACGTGGTGGTAGAGCCGATTGCAAAAACGGTGCACGCTTTTACAGACTTCGATTGTTAGGGACACTAAACTATGTTCATAAATTGATCCGAAGCCCTGGTACGGTATGTTTGATGTCTCGGTTCATTTGACTCATGTACTCGTAATGCAAATTGTTCAGCACGCAATGTGGGCCTTCAACTTGCTGGACGATCATCCCGAAAATTGATATCCAGTATACGACATTGGAGTTAAAGGTACAGTTCCATCTTAATCCAAAGCCAAATCATCCGTGCCTAATGTCGTGATGTTGAACGTGAGCTTAAGTTAAATTCCAACAGAATTAACCAATGATCCTCAATCGTGCAAGAATAAGGCTTGGCTTCAGGATCACGAATGTGCAGCCAGACAAAAGAGTAGCAGTAATCGAACATGACGAAATTGTACCATTCCGTTACGTCTACGACGCTATTATTCTTTTCGATCGTCTGTTGGAGCTTTTGAATAAGAGTATCGACAAAGGGGAGCAGAAGGCTCTCATGCAACTTCTGTGCCGGTTCTGGAAATTTCCGGAGAATGGCCAGCTTTTGCCGGCTATGGACACCATCCGAAGCGACCAGAACAGTTGGGGCTTGGTTCTTGGATACATGATAAAATCGCATGCCTTTTGGAAAGTTCTGCGAGCGGTCGTGGATGTCTTTCCACGCTTGTTGGTTTCGGTAGCTCAATTCATCTGGAGTGACACGGACGACACCCCCATACCGGTCATGGAGGAGCTTACCCTCGCCTAAGGAATTCTCGACACGGTCCAAAGAATTGGGCCCGGGTAACGACTCAGAGGGTGAAGGTGTCGATTAAAGAACATTGTCCATGCTGTGAGCAAAAGAGCCTACCATCCATCCGTCAGGCTTTTGAGGCTTGTTGTGCCGGCTCGGTAATACTTACTAGAAGGAATATTGTGTAACTGCTGTAGGAAAAGAGTCATTGGGTTCATTGGAATCGTTGGGGTCATTGAATAAATGGACATGGCATGTCCAGCAATGGTTTTTTTGCTAACCGAGCAGAGAAGCGGAGAGAGCTTCCTGCGTGCAAAGACCCAGTAGCCTAGTAGCTGTCTACAGGAAAGAGCGACAATCATGAAGGCTGGCTGGCTGAACTGGTTGTCATGACGCGGGCTGGCGGATGGCGCCTTGTAGTTACATCGATCGAAATGGGAGGGACTTAGCAACAAGGGCTTAGGAGATGGAAAACCACAACGAGATGTAATTCGTATTCTGTGTTATACTTGTCAGCTTACTGCATAGATGGTCTTGGCCTCTTGGACAACAAATTAACAGTGGAGAGTCATGGTCGGCGGGAGATGCACCGTAGGGAATCCAATGAGGAAGCGGAAGAGCTATCTGTAAGGTTGCTGAACAAGCGTAACTTTGCGGCGTGGGGTCAAACTCTATCCTCCATGCAAATCACGGTGTCTTCCTTCCTGTTCCTTTCAATCAAAAGTATTCACAGGGTGGCTGTGATCAACATCGAACTACTGCAGCTAAGACGACTCAAAAATGAAAACGGATATACACTATCATTGGAGTAGATGATGACGACTAGGATAACTCCTGGGCGGTCAGGGTCTGGTGCCAATATTCACGCTACAGCCGGTCTGCGCCAAGCACCAAACTAACCAATCCCTAGATAGAAAGATCTCTCAAATATTATATCAGAGTTTGGAAGATCTGAGTTTCAACACATACAAGCAGATGTACTGATCATGTTCGTACAGGAACCTCTACCCACTGTTAGCCTTATTGCCTATCTTTCCGTCACATATAATCCAGGCCTTTACATCCACCTTGAATATCACTTGTTCACAAAGATCCTTCCTTTAGCCTGTTTTTACCCTCCGGACACTCCTGCATCACCTGAAGCCATAATGATCCCCATCAATGGGGTAACTACCAAATCAACAACCATATTGGTTGATCTTAGGGCCGTCTTCACGCACCCACAAGTGGAACACAAGCTGGCGACTCGCGGCTCCACCGTCTCCTTGCGGAGAATCATGTCCACGTCAGTGTGGATGAACTATGAAACTGGACTGCTCAGTGAGAAAGAATGTTTTGCACAATTAGCCGAGGACTATCACTTTCAGGCGTGCGACCTGGCGGCAATGATCCAGAATCTCCGTGAAACTACCAACTGGGACCAGGCTGCTGCTTCCATCTTCAAAGAAATCAAACGGATAGGGACCCGTATATTCCTGGTATCTAATATATCCAAAGAAGATTACGCCGCACTCCGAAACCGGTGGGACAATGAATTCTGGTCCATCTTTGACGGCGTTTTCACCTCGTCAACACTAGGCGTCCGAAAGCCCAGTTTGCACTTCTATCGCCATGTTCTACGAGCCACGCGGGCAGTACCTCATCAGACCTTCTTCGTGGATGACAGCCCTGAGAACGTGCTCGCGGCGCTCTCTGTTGGAATGAGAGGAACATATAAAATCTCAGAGCTCTACCGAACTGTCACCAACTTCGTCGGCGATCCCGTAGAACGAGGACTTGCTTTCCTGCGACGCCAGGGTGGAAGTTTTCCTACAACCACCCAACATAACGAAACCATCACTGAAAACTACGCTTTACTCGTGATCTTAGAAGTGTTGAATGACCCGCAAGTCTCTCTATGACACCAGCACCCACAGTTTGCTAACCAGCATGAATCAGAAGCCTGGTGAACCTCAAAGCCCCACCTCGACTCTGGAACTTCTTTAGTGGTCAGCCCCCCTGTATATCCTCCGCCTCTTTATACTAGAGTCATTAATACAGATTCAGGCGAGCCAAAATACACAAGTGATGCCTACCCCGACGACTTAGACACGACGTCCCTCGGCTTGCTAACATTGCCCCCTGACTCTGTCATAGCCCACTCCATCCTAGACGAAATGCACGACTACATCGACAAAGATGGCAACGTGCAGGTGCGCCCTTGAGAGTCCTTTATGCCATTACACCAGTAAAAGAGCTAACACCATCCTGAAGACATACTTCGACAAATCAAGGCCACGAGTCGATGCGGTCGTAGCCCTCAACGTATTAACTCTATTTCACAGATACGGGCGGGGCCACGAGCTCCCTGACACAATGGAGTGGATCTACAGTGTCCTGCTTAACAGGGCATACATCAATGGGACACGCTACTACCCTAATGCAGAGTGTTTCCTCTACTCTCTAACGCGTCTTCTTCGCGTATCAAGTGATCCCACCCTCAAGGAGAGGGTCGAAGCTCCTCTTAGAAAACGTGTGGCCGAGAGGGTCGGAGGGGCTGGCGATGCATACTGCCTTGGCATGCGAGTATTGGCGTGCAATTACCTTGGGATTGACAATCATCCCGATCGCCAGAAACTCGCCGATATGCAGCAGGAAGACGGCGGCTGGGAGGCCTCCTGCATGTATTTGATTCCAGGTGCCAAACGAGAGGTTGGAAATAGAGGAGCCAGCACAGCATTTGCTGTGAAGGCCCTTGAGGACTGGTCTGAACAGTAACAGACAATACAACCATGACATCTAAATTATCTATGTAGCATAATTCATTTCCATGCTCGGAAGACTAGACAAGGCAGGGCAGAAGAATCCAGTCGAATATAGTACATTTCATGGAAGACTTTCATCCCTATCTCCCGGGGTAGAACCTACGTACGCCAATCAGAGAGTTTGAATTCGTGCGTGAATAGCACCGCTACAGTCAGATTGTAGGAATGACACTATTCTTCGCCAACGCAGGGTTGACAGACAACCACTTCGGAGATGGTCGACAACCAGCTGGTTTTACATTTTAAAAGTCGAAACATTATAAAAATATGGAAAGAAGACGACTACCGGCGATATTATTATTCATGTCTATGTAGTCAGCAGAATCTGCTATGGAAACTTCATTGTCATTGGTACGTTCACGCTTGCTGAACCTTCAATTTGATAATCCTATGTGTAAAAGGTACTCAATCATTTTCCGAGCCCACAAAGGATTCTCTTGAATAGCAATCGTTCCTAGAGATTAGAGCCGATCAGAACTGGAATCTCATTGTATTTTGCAATGCCTTTCAAAAGCCACTTGTCGCTTTGCTTTCAAAATCTTGGACCATAGCGTTACCTGTGGCTCCTCCGACGTCTGTTGTGGTACAGTATGCCTATGGGTGATGATTTAGGGTCAAAGAAGGATGATATGAAATAGAGAATCTAAAGGTACTAATACGTTGAGTAAAATTCATAGCGATGGAGCACCAACACTTTGATCAAACCACGAAAACTAATTAAGTAGAATCTAAACAGATTGGGTTGGTTATAGTTTACGGCCGTGGGGCTGATAAGGGCTTCTTGGAGTTTACGGAGCCATTCGATGTGATGTGCACGGAAGGTTCCATCCAGACTGTATGGGAGTTTCAAATGACATCGTGTTATTTAACAGTAGATTACGGTTTGATAAACAATCGAAGACTGTAAAGACGTCCACCGTTTTTGCAATCAGCTGTATGGGCTTGCTTTCACGGTCACGTTGTTTAGAGAAGGCACAATTGTGTAAATGACTTTATTGAGAGTATAATATCCATATCCATAATCATATCCATATCCGACGCATCGAGTCATAAAGAAACATGTCCTTCCAGATCCTGAAACGGACAGCAGGAACCAAGACAGCTGGAGTGTACTATTGTATATGCTGCAGCATAGGTATTCAAAGACAGCAGATTGGTTATTGACAGCTCTTGCACTCCGGTCCTCGAATATCGTCTACTCGTCCGAGCCTTTTTCCACCGCCTGGTCCGCTGTCGCCGCCGCCGCCACCACCACCAGGCTTTCCTCCTCCGCTGCCACCGCTTCCTCCCCAACGGGATCTGGTATTGGGGTCATTGTGCGATGCGGCGATGTTGAACTGTGAGCTTTCGGCGGCACCGTAGGAGTCGAACTATTGAGACATAATCATTAGTTAAAAAAATCCGTAGAAAGAATCCGAAGGATGCTTGATCAAGGGAAGGCAAGTCGGGTGCGCTTCTGCCAGATATTCGATATCAAACAAAAGCCCCTCATACTTATTGGATATACCATGGATAGGAAGCAGGAAAGGCGACATACCGCAAATAAAGAGACAAAGTAAAGACCGAAGAAGAGATACAGACTGTCGACCCAACGAACAACTCGGGCTGTGAGTGGAGGACTAGCAAATATTCTCGTCAGTAAATATCAAAATAAAAAGCATTAATCCAATGACCCCAATAGCTTCAATAGCGAGATGGAATAGGATGAGCTTATAACCCATCCCGGCCAACCAGCGCAAATGAGAAAGGGAATGCCATCTGGACTATCCAGCAACACTCACGTTTCGAGCATCCGCCCGTTGGACAAATACGGGGTTTGCGTAGTTCTTGGTGCAGACATGATGCTGGCTTCTGGACAAGACTGTGAGGGGGATGTAGATTGTTGTTGGTTGGTTGTCTAGATTGAGGCTGTCGACTTAGTAATGCCAGATTGCAGCTTCACCGCCTTGTGCTTAGATAGCTTTCTGCCGGTATTAATTCATCCTGCCAGTTGACATCATGTTTCATCTTTTCTTTCAAAGAAAAAAGAAAAGCGGTTCGAAATCGATTGGGTAGTTAAAAACAGTTTTGAGTAATTTAATTGTACCTCTATGGGTGTTGTCCTGTTAACTATAAGGGAGATACTATGGTTGCTAGAAGTCCACAGCGTTTGACTTGATCGCCCGACTTTAGGGCTCAGCCGCTCAACTACTTAAACAAGGCATATCTCGGTGTCCAGAATTCTACTTACCAGGAAGGGTTGGAGGGATACTGAGGATGAGCAACCAAATTTAGATTGATACGAAGAGTAAGGCCTTAAAACAAAACCATAGTCATCCGTGGAGTTACCACTTGTAAAACAACGGCCGAAGTAGCCATTTCTTGCCACTCCAGATCGTAAAAGGACCTTAGTATCTATTATTCAACTCTCATTATGTATGGTTACTGATGTAATCACTCTTACTGTGTATCAAGATTTTATGGTTCAAATGTTGGCTTGCATATATATCACAAAGCAATGGTATATGTAGTCTTGTAGAACATTTAAGGTATATATATATATATCCGCCTAACCCCCAACCAAGCAGCAAGACCTTGAATTACAGTCATCAATTGAATGTAATGCGTCGAGATTTCGAATTAGACACCATCCTTCCCCCATTCCAGAGTTTCTAATTATAGTCAAATCAAGAATAAAATAGAGGGAAGCAAAATGGCATAAGAAAATAAAATGAAGACGTTACACCCATGAATACAAATGGATTATCAACCAAGATATCTACTACATCAAAAGGTCTACTGTGACCAAAGTATGGAAGCAAAGCAATGGTATCTCATGTAACGTTTATCCTACGCTATTCAATGCGATCTCTGTATACATAACTCAAAACTAAACCGGCTACTTCACGCTTTCGTATCGTTATCACCATTAAGAAGCAACTCTGCCTCGCCTCTCAATTCATCCAAGCCCCGAAACCCTTCTTCAACAACCCACTTTTGTCCTTCTGGGGAATGAAGAACATGACAACTTGCGCCAACAATCAATAAACCTGGAGGCCGGGACCCTTCCTGTTCCACTGCCCGACAAACATGTTCTAATGTAGTGCGAATAATTCTCTGATCTGGACAAGATGCTCGTTCAACGACTGTACAGGGTGTATTGACTGGCCAGAGAACTCTGCGTTCTTTTTCTTCTGAAGGTGCTGTGTTAGTCAACGTTTCAACAAGCGAGGAAAGCCGATGAAGAGCCATCAGGAAGACAACTGTCTGAGTTGGGACGTAAGTGGGAGGTTCTGGAGCTGCCCCCTTTCTCCCAGTTCCCGTACAGATAAGCACCTGGTCTGAAACCCCACGGTGCGTTGCTGGGATATCAGCAAATAGTGGAGCGCTCAGAGCGCTCGTTATACCTGGAAGCACAACAGGGATGTAACCCTCGTTCCTGAAAAAATCGTATTCTTCTGCGCCACGGCCGTAGAGATAGGGATCTCCTTGTTTTAACCGTAAAACATGTTTCCCTTCCCGTAGCGCTTTCAAGCCCATCTGTAAAAATTCTTCTTGAGCTTGATCTGCATTTCCAGGGAATTTCCGCGCAATGTGGACTTCTGTCCGTCGAGGAATAAGGTCTAGAACTGGCGCTGGGACGAGTTTGTCGGCTAGAATGATATCTGCGTTTCTAATCGCATTATGTGTAGCTCGCGTTAGGAGGTCTGGGTGTCCAGGGCCTGATCCTGCGAGAATTATCTTTCCTTGGTTACGCTTCGAGATAATATCGGTATTCGGCGGAGTCCCATTGGAATGATCTGCTGCATATGCGTTCAAGATCGCATCCACGTCAGAGTCTGTTATCGACGCAAGCCTCTGCAAGGGCCAGTATTCGCATATTTGAGATAACCACCTCATTCGTCTTGTCTTTGCGGCGTTTGCGTCCTCGGCCGTGACGAGAGAGTTGAATGTGTGACTTTGCGCGACCGAATCCTCATCTTCGACTTCAAGTTTCGCAACGGACCGGCCCGCTGCTTGATCTTCCTCCCATATCCGTCTTCTCAAAGCTCCTAATCTATCAACAGCTTGTCCGAAATCAGCCGGTAGCGAAGATGCAATTTCTCGTCTTAGCCGCGAGGAGAGTTTGCACCCACGACCAGATGTGGTGATGCCAATGTGCAATGGTCCATCTGAATGCGTTGAGAGTAATGTAAAAGTGCACAGGTCAGGCGCATCAGTCACGTTGACCGGTATCCTCAGTCGCTTACAGAGTTTAGATATATGTGCCACTGGTAAAACCTAGTTCAGCCCTGGTCGGATGGAAGTGAATAGACTATCTTACCAAGAGGTGTTTCAGCACCTGAAGTAACAAATACAGCGTCCACAACGTGGTCGACCTCTTCCCGGCCTAGTGTAGTCAAATCTTGGTCTTGAAATTCTTTCTTGACCCATTGCGCCAAACCCTGCTCGATATTCCCCCTTAAAGAGAAATGAATGTCTGCAGCCTCTGGGGCCAGGATGATTGGTCGGGCACCTGCTTGTAGACTTTTCGTACAGCGCGCAGCTGCTAAGGAAGTCGCGCCAATTATGAGATGCACCTGTGCAGCTGCATTGAGAGCAACTAGCAAGGGCGCATGGTCGTTGTCTGTTGGAGGTTTCATAATTGATACAGTTGGTTGTCTAATATCAGTCTCAAACGGATGATTTTGACTGTCTTCCCGACAAACTATATATTCAATTGATTGCTTGATGGCTGTCCTATCGGTGCTTGGAGAGACTTCCGCGGAGATGTGAGTATAGCGTTGGAAGATTAGCGAATCAATCAAGTAATCATCGCCTAACCACCGCGGGGTTTTGGAATCTTTTTGAAAATAATATTAATCAAGCGGGCTCGTACGCACGGACAGAAATGAAAATAAGAAGCGAATAAAGATTGATGGATCAACAAGCTCGGAATGATTCTTGAAGCTTGATCGATAAATTCGATATACTGAGCGAAACGGGTTAGCTGTGAAAATCTGCGGCTGCGATGGCGTGATTGAGGCGATAAGGCCGATAACGCTAGTGAAGAGCCTAAGCTGCAATTGCTAGAGCCTCACCAACATACCCAAGTCAGACATGCTATTATTATTCATGATTCACTAAGTTATAGACTTCGATTTCGTGGTAGAGCCTTCTGCATGGTGCTTTTATATAGTATGTATGTTATAAATTATTTCGGATAATAGGCAAGCGGGTGCTGTCTAAAAAGCCCTCTACCTACTAGATATCAGTTTCAAAAAAGAAAAAATATATATTATTCGAAAATCCAAAACAGTTCAAACAAAATAGCAAATAGTACAATATCCAATTGGCCGTGGTGTAACTATACAATATAGTATAAGTACTATAAACAGTCGAGAGCGTCACGTGACCCCGTTAGCGGCCCGCGGCCGCGCAGCTTGGAGCTCAGCGTGCTGGCTGGAGCTCCTTCGATCCCATACCAATCACTTCCACATCTCCCAAGCCCCAACCTGCACCTCTGACACAAGCCCATTAGCTGCTTTGAGTCGAACTTTAAGAACCCATTTTTATCTTACGACTCGAACCTCCCCACCCGTACTGTGTCGGACGGTGACCGATCAGCAGTCGTCATCATGTCCGAAGCCTTCCTCAAACCGGAGAAGGACTACAGCAAAGAGGCAGATAAGATCATCCCCGAGGCGCAAGAGCTTGCCAAGGTTTGTCAAATATTTTTTTCATTTTCATAGGGAGATCTTTTCTAATGAAGAATTCGAATAGAGCAATGTCCAAGCCGCCATCGACAAGCTGTCTTTGTTAGAGAAGCAAGCTCGCCAGGTACGAACCGTCAGCACTCACCATCACGAACAATACTTATAAGAATCGAAATCTCTAGGCTTCAGATCTTGCTACCACCTCGCGTGTTCTAGTTACCATCGTCACTATCAGCAAAGACTCCGGCGACTGGAGCCTATTGAATGACCAGGTCCTGTTGCTGTCCAAGAAGCATGGCCAACTCAAGCAGGCCACGACCAAGATGGTCCAGGTCGTCATGGGATTTCTAGATGAGACCCCTAGCGTGGAAACGAAACTTTCAGTCATCGAGACCCTGCGAACAGTCACAGAGGGCAAGGTTTGTGTCGCGAGGCAATATATACATTGTGCGGACGCTTACTTTTTCAGATCTTCGTGGAAGTTGAACGAGCCCGCATCACCCGTGCTCTGTCCAATATTAAAAAGTCTCAAGGCGATTTGAATTCTGCAGCCGATATCCTTTGCGAACTCCAGGTCGAAACATTTGGTTCGATGGCACGAAGAGAAAAGACCGAGTTCATTTTAGAACAGGTTGCTTTGTGTATTGAGCGAGGTGACTGGACACAAGCCGCCATTCTCAGCCGGAAAATCAGCAAACGTTACTTTGCACGCAAGCCTAAGAAGACACCAGAACAGCTGGAGAAGGAGCAGAAGGAGTATGAGGAACGGTTAAAGACCCGTGCTTCGGACGAGCCTATGCCGGAGAAGGATGAGGACGTGACCGATCTCAAGCTCCGATATTATGAACAGCAGATCACCCTGGCTAAGCATGACCATAACTATCTCGACACCTGCAAGCACTATCGCGATGTTCTCGATACCGAGTCCGTCGAGGAGAACCCGGAGCAGCTTCGCGCCGTGAGTATTCTGAATGGAAGTAGTGAACTAAGATTAATATGGTATAGGTCCTCGCACGAATTGTCTACTACGTGGTACTCGCACCTTATGACAACGAACAGTCCGACTTGTTGCACCGTATCCAGCAAGACTCACGTTTGACACAAGTACCCGTGGAATCTCGTCTTCTCAAACTCTTCACGGTACATGAGCTGATGCGCTGGCCCGAAATTGCAGAAACTTTTGGACCTCACTTGACAGGGACTGATGTTTTTAGCGCTGAGAAGAATTCGACCGAACCGGATGCATTCCTCAGATGGCAAGACTTGCGCAAGCGTGTGATTGAGCACAATGTGCGTGTTATTGCCAAGTACTACACGCGCATCCAAATGGGCCGGTTGACGCAGCTGCTCGACTTGAATGAGGAAGAGACGGAGAAGTACATTAGCGATCTAGTGACTTCGAAGACCATCTATGCCAAGATTGACCGTCCTGCGCGTCAGGTCAATTTTGCCAAACCTCGTGATGCCGACGACGTATTGAATGAATGGAGCAGTGACATGAGGAGTCTCTTGGGGCTGCTGGAGAGAATCGATCATCTGATCACCAAGGAAGAGATGATGGCCCGAATCCAGCCGACCAAGGGCGACAAGGTCAGGGCCTGATCGTATACCTGTATAGTAGAGACATACACAGCGAGCTAAAAATCGATAAATCTATCTACATGTGTAATATTCTAAAACAGACTCTTCAATGTGCATCATCAAAACGGCATATCCATATCCTCGACCCTTTCCTCCTCTCCATCCTTTTTATTCCCACCCTCTAGTGACCTTCTCACAAACACCACCGCTGCATCCAAATAAGTCTTTTGACTCGGCACAAAATGGCCACCGGGGTGAAACACCACCCTCCCATCCTTTTCTGGATCACCTGCACACGCAGCCATCAACTCTCGACCCCGCTGTTCATCGACAACTGCATCCAGCGTCCCCAAAACATGCAACGCGGGCGTCCTCAGCTGCGGATTCTCATAAAATCCACGATACCTGGACCCCGGCGCTCGAAACCCACTATACAGAATGGCGAATTTGAAAGGTGGATGATTACCAGTATTCTCAGGGGCGAATTCTTCTGGGAATGGAATTCCAGTAATACCGCCGTCCTCACCATTACAACTACTATTACCATTACTTGCACTACCAAGCGCTGCAAAATGATCAAAGGCACCCTTCCTCTCCTCCTCCAACAAACTCGCAACCATATACGCCATCGTGGCACCCTGCGAAAACCCAATTACGCCATCAAACGGCCCTTCTTCCCTGAGCGTCTTCGCGACCGTGGCAAGCCCGTTGTTGATGCCGACGTACTCCGGTGGATTTGCGGTGTTTGAGCGGCGCCACCAGCCGTATGCTTCGATTTCGTTGGCTTCGGCGACGGGGTCGTTCCAGGAGGGCGTGTAGCCGGGGACGTCGGAGGGGGTGAGGCGTAAGGGACCTGTCGGGTAGGAGAGGGAGACGGTGTGTAGGGGGAAGGCTTTGGTGAGGGCTTTGGCTAATGCGCCGGTTTTGGCGCGGAAGAGACTGCCGGATTGTGTGTAGCCGTGTAACATGAGTATTTTGAGGGGTTGGCGTTCTGTCGAGGTGGTGCTCGGGGCCATCGTGGGTGGTGAGGGAGAGTGCGTGGTACAGTGGGAGAGGACCTGTTGGAGGCGATTGGATGGCTGGCGGGTTTGAGAATTGAGCAGTCTATGCATAGCATGCGGCAGCAGCTATCGCTGGAATTGAATTGAGTGATGGAGCGATCAATTGGTGGTGTGAGATGAGAAGGTGAGTCCGATAAGATAACCCTAATACACAAACACAATACAATACATGCGGATTTCCAAGCAAAACAGTACAAGTAACAAACAGCCCAATAACACACCGCATGGCGGCCACATCCGATCAGTTCGACGTTATGCGCTTGTAATTGGTAATCGAATGCTTTAGAACATGCTGCAGGAAACACATAGAAAGGTGGTTGTACATCATTTCCCCTTTCAATTCTGCTGCACCGTTCCTTAATAACCTTTTAGCTTCTAGTCCCTATTTCGTGACGTCGCACTGGGGGAACGAGTGTGATAAGTTGGTGATATTCATCGCCACCGGATCCAGCACTATCACTTGACTCCGACTAGTTATTTACTAGTAGTATATTGCTAAATCTTATTTACCTCGGTGGCTAAATTTCATCATACTTCAACATATTCTTCACATAAACACGGACTTAAACACGGACTTAAACAAAAACACAGTACAAAAGAGACTTGAGGAAATCTCTAGCTAGAAAGGAGAGAAGAAGAGAAATGTCGGCGGTTCTCGACTTCAATGCTGCGCGGGTGGACGCGCAGATGGCCGAATTGCTAGAGTAACATTTTCCTATTATTACCATTATCAAATATCCTCACTATTCTCCCACTAATACATAACTAAACATCTACCACCCACCTAGTCAATAGCACACTAGTTAACAAGTTTAACCCCAACTCCAAAACAGGTCCTTTGAAAGCCACCCATTGATGCAACCACCCGACACCCACCCAACACTCTTCTTCCTCTTCGATTTCATCCGCAATACGCACCGACAGCTGAAAACCATCGACATTGAGAAACTGAGCGCCGGCGATGACGAGGCCAAGAATCAGGTCACCGAGGTGATCGGCCGCAACCATTTCGCAAATGTCTTGATCAATGATACAACGGGGAAATTGGCGATGTTGACAGGAGGGGATCCCAGCAATCCCGTCGATTTCGGGCCAGAGATTAAACGGAAAGCGGAGGCCTTGAGTCAGGATTGAATTTACTAGTTATCGTTTAATTACTGTGTCTGTCATGTTCGGTTTGTGCTTTGAAGGTCTGGGATCATGGAGGAGATAATTGTTTGGCTGATATGTAGGACGAACTGTCATTCGACGACTAAAGCCATGGCACTACGGTTGATTTGTTAATAAATTGATATCATGTCTTTCATATACCAGCGTTTTAATTAATTACTACGGGGTCTACATCTTGATCTACAACTCTAACATGGTCGATGTATAGTGCGTGCAGTGTAGATGTACGTGCAGTTAATTAGCTCTAGCATACAGGCAAGGTGTAGAGAGCTACAACCCTGCAGGGTAACAACCCAGGTATCTATCATCAACAGTCACATCCACCGTCCTAGCACATGACCATCTGCTAATTCTCATCTTTCGACCGAGAATCTCGACAAGACAGACAATGCTCATGCAGATGCCGGTCTCCGTTACCTCGTGCTGGAACAAAAGGCAATGAAGACAAAGACAAACACAATATGGTCGAGGCAATAGTAGTAGGCCCAGATATCCGGAACTCCGCTCCATGAATGAATTGTTTTAACATTTTTTCCATTGGGAATTTTTCTTTTGTTGGTATATTCAAGTATCCTTCCCCAGGGGCGAATCGGTCCATCTTCTATCTGTTCTTTTTTCTTTCATATAAAAAAAAAGAGCAAATAAAAAATCAAATCAAAAACGAAAACACACACATGATCACATGGCACAAGGAACACACATAATCGATCGATTCAATCGACCAGGGTGATGATAATGAAGTATTGAAGAATTAGAACTTGTGGCAACGCCCCACACACACACACACTCAAAAAGTTTTTGCTTTTTTAACTCATGACCGTTCGAATGAATCCGCTAGGTTGCTGACGTGGTATAACAAAAATTCTTCGCTTTTGAATTGGAAAATTTGTCGTTTACTTGCGTCGGAAAGAGCAGCCCTCGGTCAGACGGGCCTTACCACCGGTAGGTTGGCAAAGAACGGTCGAGCAGCCGGCGCAGATGACGACGGTCTGGGCGTGTGAGAAGACGGTGGTGATTGTGAAGCATCCTGGGCACTTGACGTCCATGAAGAAAGAGCGAGGAGCAGGCACAAGGGTCTGTTGTAGCGTGTTAACAACTTCCATCCCACTCGTCGCTCATTTCAAATCGGCATAATTCCATACCTTCAACTTGTGCTTGCGAGCCTCACTCTGAGGAGTAGGGTTGAGGAGATCGACCGCGAGAACCTGTTGATGAGAAGAGTAGGTTAGAGACAGATATTTAAGATGACACTCATCACAAAGGCATCGCCGAAATCATCGAAAAGAGTCGACTCGACGGAGCAGCACAAAACATACCATCTTGACGGAGTTGAAATGCAATCAGCGAATGTTTGTTATCCGGGAATGGGCGCTGAAAGAGATGGTCGGGGATGGGGGTTGGGTCTCGTGTCGTGGGTTGGAGATAGACGGAGCAGTGAAATCCCTAATTGTCAGTGGAGTCTGCCGCCAAGCCCTCGATTTGAGTGTGTGCTCTCGCTTAGTTTGCGCGGTTTGCTCGGTTTGCGCCCGGCCGCTCTGATTTCCCGGCCCCGGCGGTCCTCGGCCAATCAGAGGGCATTCCCAGGATGAGGAATCATGAATCATGATTCATCAGTAAACAATAATTGAGCCAATTCCATGTGTTATATGTGTATATATATGTAAATGCATGAAGAGATTATTTATTAAGATAAAACTAGATGTTACAGTCTGGTATAAGTCCCTCCGTAGTCGGATTGCAGCACAGTTGCATCGATTGTCGTAAATCGTGGTTGAGAACTAATTAGCAATTAAGTGGTTTGCGACTATAAGTTAAGTCGTCGAGTTGGCAAGTCAAGGCCTAAGAGTGCTTCTTCACGTGGCTATTGGTGTGCCCGTTGCTGCGCTCTTGGCCTTCAGTGTACGGGTGCTTGATAGTCAAGCACCAAATGTCCAGATAGTCACAAATCGTCACAATCACCGTATGCTAGAGAATGTGTCAGCTGCACAGTCCAGGAATTTACGCGGCATACATACAACAAAGCTGGAATATACGCCAATTGCAATACCCAGGGTGGTAAACAGGAAGGCAATCTGGTAGATCCCGTCTCCAAGCGCACTAGGCCAAAGGCCGAGATACGGGCCTAGACTATCAACCACTGCTACGGCCAATGGCCAGACGAGTATATTACCCATAGGGAAAGAGGTTTTTAGAAGATGGGCGGTGATCATTTGGCCGACGGAATAGGCATTGACGATGCCGGCATAGAGCACAAATGGAACCAAATGGTTTTCCAAAATGTTCGGTTGGAGATAAAGATAGGCTGGGAAAAGCACCCACATTTTCGCGAGAGGGAAGAGACCTAGCAGCGGTGTGATCGGGCTCTCTCCGCGCTTGCGACGGGCGTCCATGACATTGATAATGCTGGATCCTGTTGCGAAAAACAGAACCAGGGCACCGTAGACCATGTACCAGGAGGTGAAAGGCAATTCGTAGATGGTGTCAGGAAGGAAGTCGGGTTTGCCAACACCGACAGTTTCCAACATCGGGCGATGCCAGAAACTGCCGCCGCCCATGTACGCTGTGAACAGAAATACTGAGCAAAGAGTGAGGATGCCCTCGACTGGGCCAGAAACGATTCCGAGGGTCAGAATATGAGTGAAGTATTCATCCCAGGTTTGGACGTAGAAGGTCATGGCGGCTTAACAGTCAGTATACTGATAGCAATCGATAAAGTGCTGCCCATACCTCCCCATAAAGTAAGTACCGTCTCCCATGACTGACCCAAGTTCATTGCAGCGGCAAAGATCAGGACACCCAAAACCGTGTTGCAAGCATCGACACCTGACATAATTAATACGAGCCACTAGAAAAGCCTTAGGTACAACTTACCGTGATCAAATAGTTCACCTAGAGGACCGCTTTGCTTGGTTCGACGACTATATTATGCTCCCTCATTAGCGGATATGTCAACCGCCTTGCAGAACGTTGTACGCACGCTTGCATTCCGTCCACGGCATCGAATGTCTGGTACAGAAACAATCCAATCGCCCAGCTAACATATACCCACGGCGGACAGTCTTGATCCAGAGTGGGATTATAGTAGAGCATTGTGAGGAAGTTCAAAACAACGAAACCGAAGCCAGTCAGAGTGATCTGAGATTCGCCGTACGTCAGTAACTGTAACACTACTATAGGGTTCGGCGGGAGAATGACTCACGAGGTTGGGTCTATGAAAAGGGTTTCCAAATTAGCCAAATACGATCAAAATTTCAATTCCTTGCAAGAAAATGTGTGAATACTCACGCCATGTTCATCGGAAATAAACCAATAACAAAGTTATTGTAAAACGGCTTGAGAATATACCGACTGACCAACGAATGGTCGACACCGGAATATTTGTATTCTCGAAGTTTTGGGAGGTCATTTTGGCGTATCCAAGTCATTGCTTTTGATGTGTCGCGAGACTGGTTTCGTGCACAAAGGACAGCAAAGCTTCGCCGGAGGATAGGGGTGCGTCGAGATTTTCAAAATGGATACAACACGCTATATATTCGAAAATTCAAAAAATATTCCAGTGAAAGAGACGCTGATAGAAAGGGAATAATTCGCAATGGAAAAGCGCAGCAAGGCTCTTGTTGACCGCGCGGTGTCAAAATCAATGCCGGTTTTTTTCTAATTGCGCGTGGAGAAACGCAGACCAAGAATGCGACGTCATCAGCCGGCCCGTTCTGGTTTGATTGGCCAGCCGGCATATACTCTGTGCCTGAACCTGAACACCGCAAATAACAAATTAAAACAACGCCGTTACAAATACTAATTGGTGTCAATTTTTTTGTGGCCTATGACTACCTCAGATCATGTCGATTTACAGCAACGGACAGGATAACGCGGATTTACCCGTGGCTATTTTCTTGCATGACAAGATAGGACAGATTATTCATTACACTCGGTATCTTCACTTGTCCGACGTAGGCCATCAAAAATCGAAGCCTGACCATATCTCAATGCATACTTACCGGGCTTGTAATGAAACAGCTTGGGAGAGAAGAGAAGAGAAGAGGAGGAAGATAGGGAGAGAGGAGGGAATATAACCAGCTCCTCCTGGCGAGAGCGAGGGAAAGAGCGATGTTCTCTTCCTCGCAAGCAGGCATTAGGAAGGTGCATGGCTAGTCATCCGCAACAGGCGTACTCCAGCCTTACGTACTTGAAAATAGCATTTCTAGTCATTCACTACTGGGGACCGCCTGCCTGTCATGCTTTCAATTACGCACAGGAGAAAACAGGGTCTAACGCATTACAGAATAGCAATCACATTCAACCCACAGCTATGGTGATAGTCATCAGGTGACAGTCAACACCCAGCCCCTATCCACGACACATATTCAAATCGTTCATTGAGCTGCTTTTGACGCGGAACGGCTTCAAATGCCGTCTCAGTATGTTGATACCATACGTTATCCGCTTGGTCCATAGCTTTGCCGAAGAATCTCTCAGCGATCAAGATGTAAAAGGGGTAATCATATCTTTTCAGGAATTTCCATCGGGCACCGGATATTGTTGTCTGACACCATAAGCAAGACATTCGGTCTTTCGAAATATTCCACTTCTGACCATCAATGACCTGAGATAGCTCATATCCAAGTTGGCGCCGGTATATTGCATGTTGATATTCGAGATTTTGCATATGTCGGTAAAGACTCCGATGGGGACATGGTAACATGGTATCGTGGAAGAGCATGCGTGGACGTTTAGTATCCGCGATTGTGTACTTAGTCTCCACAACGAAGTTCTCGCACTCTTCAAGTTTCAAACTAACTTCGCACTTTAGACTTGCAGTTTTCGTCTCAGTAGCATATGAATGCAAACACTGATGGCGCCCAGCAGAACCGAAAAACTCAAAAAAGCCATCATGAATCCTGTAGGGCTCTACTCGCCTCTCTGGTGATGATAATATTTTCGTGAGCTTCCTCTTGTCCCGAAACGTCATATCCATACAAGGACATAGATGAACAATTCCAACAAGAGGTCCATAAATACATGTTCGTTTCGAAGCGGGAGTTTTGAGATCCTTAGAAGAAAATTCGTGCGAGGGATGGAGCCTGAAGCAACCAAAGCAACATCGCCAGTACGAGTTCTCCAGTCTCTGAAGAAGCCTCCACCGATCAGTGCGGCGCTTATTGGCGCTTAATCTGGCATCATATGGAAATGCCGGAAGCGCTTTGCAATCTCTGAACTTTGGTAGCTGTTGTAAGGTTGCCGATTCGTCAAGGTGGTGCAGTAATGATTTGCAAGTTAGGGCAAGACACAGGTGATCGATATCAGGCAGGTATTTTACAATCTCGAGCACAAGTTCAGTTGGCAAATCTCGAAATCCAGTTTCCAGTCTCTTTCGGCATTTCCACGGCCACCAAGATATGATCGAAGACATTTTGTTCTGGGTTTGTTAGAGAAAGGTGATAATGATATGCGACCACAAGACGAAAACCAATGCCGGCTGGATTTGTGCAGGTTGTAGGCCATTAAATGTTAGCTTCTGTAAACGTGTTAAGAGCATATGTCAGTGAATGAGATTAATCGACATCTGGAGGCCCGTTGACGTAAATGATTGGTGTCTGCGTCATCTAGTATGTCAGAATATTTGGCGCTAACGGTTTTGGGGATAGGTTGATCAACTGCGCCAAAACACCCGGCCAAAGTTTCCGGCTGAAAATCACAATCCCAATATGAATAGGCGCAAGAAATTATTTCGATGGGTCATGCATATGTTTTTTGGGAGTGGATTTACACCTAAAGGGAGTTGACCCGCCAGAAAGAAGACCCGAGGGCAGTGGGGTTGTTCTAGATGTAATCGTTGTAATTGTTAGCCAAGCTAGCACAAGCCCTAGAGCAATAGATAGTACTGGCCTAAGAACTGTAGAGGGCAATATTAAATATCTATTATGAATACGTTGCAAACAGATATGAGAATAACAAGATAAATTTCTTTTTAATCTATTAATTTCTATATTATACAATAAGATAATTAGCTTTTTCTCATATAAGAGATAAATTGATAATTAAAGAGATAATCCACAGTTATTTAGATCTAATATCTATTTAATAAGTAATTCCTTTTCAAATTCTAACAATTTATATCTATTAATATACACAGTAGTTTCCTCTAAAATTTCCCTTGCCTTGGATGAAAATGATCATCTCCCAAAGACATTAATATTTTTAGCCCGTTGTGGTCCGCGTCTTCAGAATGGAATTCCGAATGCCCATATGGGTAGACCAATAGTTGTGATCATTGCCTCAAATTGAGCCGTCGTTCCAAGTCCAGAGCCCCTATAGAATAGGCGCAAGATAGCTACGTGGCAGGCTGAAGGGAAGCAGCTAATCTCGATGTATAAAAACGTATAGATTATAAAAGGTGTAAATTAGGTCTAGCGGCAACGGGCCGAGAGCTAAAAGCTAAAGCAAAACGCCAAGCTAAAGCAAAACGCCATGCCAAAAATTGACATTCCTCATTTTTCAATACGCTACCCCTGATGACAAATATTAGTGTAAATTGGCATATATATGCGTCTTGATAGGTGAGTTCTTTGCAAGTCAGGCTTGTATCTCAATCCAATCGAATTTTCCACTAAACTCAATCTGTTCTAACGCTTAAAAAGTCCGACACGTCGTTTTGGCCTCGTGGTTGGCATTCTTTTCTTTTCTTTTTTTCCCTCCAGCTGAACAGGGATAATTAGCTTGGACGTGCATCATCAGCTTTGGCCCTGTTGGCGTCGAACCAGTCGCCGCTTGGACCACACTCCTCATCGTGGATCGACCAATCCTGTCAAATAGATATGACTAAATTTTACTTTGATGAAGGCCACTATTGTTATTTTAGCATGGTGAGGCTGAAGAACGTCGGCGAATGTACTAAAAGCAGACTGGTTTGCTCAGTTTCGATTCTGAACAAGGCTAAACGACCGACTTTTCGACAGACAGGTCGCACGTAGCATTGCGGGCTGTGACTATAAACAAGAAGATTTTCATCTCGAGATTAATTAGTTAATACTGACAATCGTCGAGAAACTGGGGTTCACTGAAATGCCTGATACAACATCCTCATGTCGGCCACGGAACGACAAACGCCTCCCTCAGGTGCTAGCACCACCTCCGTAGATTGGACCAGCCCTACGAACAGCAATACGAAGCCGAATACCCACACCCATGAGGACGACATACCCCTCTTGCCCTTAGAAGTGTTAGTCCAATTACTCCTTCGCATGCTATAGTAATGCCAGACCAAATAGATGGCAATCTAAACCGCTGCCATACAGAGTCGCCGAGGTTCAACATCGACGCAACGACACCCAACCGGGCCAGTCCGGCCTGATCAAAATAATTCAGGAGGCGAAGCAGGTCGATGAGCATGCTGCTGGTGAGGACAAGGTTCGCTTAAGTGCGCGGCCTCTGTCACGAGAATGGCTGAAATTGATGCTGAGTCTGGGCATCAGGGTGATTCAAATCGCCATCATTGCCGTGTACGTTTGCTCTTTTTGCCTTTTATGAAACCAGACGTTTTGTATCCTTTTATTGACGGTCAACAGCGTGTTCTATATCGGAGGCAAGCAACAAGCCTTCAACCTCAGCGATGATCAAGTGATGCGGGGTATCATGGTGTCAGTTGACGCCCAACTGGCTGTGTTTGGTGTCGCTAACAAGATTCTCGATTACCTCATGGACATGGCATTGGATCATGCCGTCTCGGTAACGTTGACTCTGTGGATGGCTTGTAAGTCTGTTTCTATTTCCAGATTCCCTATGTCACTCCACTTACTCACGATGGGTTATTGTCAAAGGCTCCATCAGCGATCACTACGCTGGTATCAAAGTCGATGATTTCTCTATAAAAGAAGAGCTTTCCAAGCCGTGGATTGCAGGATGGGCTTTCATCCAACGCTGGCGCAAAGATGGCTTCCGGTTTACCTCCCTCGGACGTGGAATGCTCTGTCTGGCTGTTTCCCTCGCGGTCGTGCTGCAGGGAGCTGGAGTCAACACCATCGGCATGCCAAAGGCCCGGTGGTCGCCCTCTTACTATGGCGGCGTTCCAGATTCGTCTCAGACTCTGATATTGCCTCTCATGCGTATGCTTAACGCCAATGTTGATGCGATCTGGACTCAAGCTGCCGCGATGAGCGCCGACCCAGACCCGAACGCAATCGGACAGATCGTCGCAGCTCTAGAGGCTTCTATGACTTTCACCGGTCTCTCGGGGTTGTGAGTATCATACTCTCGGTTTTAGCGTTAGAAGAAATCTGACTAATATCTGACAGGAGAAATGCCATGAACAGCGACCCAACGAAGCCCGGTTGGTACGAGGTGTATAAGTCGTCAGGCAGCTATATCACGAGCATCCAGGTTCCGACAAACACTTCTCAAAGGAGCATCCAAACCGTTTCCATGCAGTTCGGTGGTATCACCGCTATCTGGCAGTCGCAAACAATATACGGGAATCAATGGGCTCGTGGTTCGACCGGTTATACAGGCAACCTCAATTTGACCTTGCCTTTTCTCCAGACTGAATGCGTTCCAAGCACAAACTTGACAGCAACGGCCAACGACACGATGATTGCCCAGCATCCAGTCGATATGAATTCCAGTGACGCTACAATTCGGGTTTTGGTCGGGGCATCCGGGAATTTCACGGGAGCCAACTGCAGTGTGACCTTCCGACAAGGACTCTTTCGTAAGTGACTGCTCCGCTGCTAAACAGAATAACCAACTGACTGAAGCTTTGAACACAGCGGTCGCTGTCTGGATTGTGGACAACGCAGCTCCAGATGCCTCGCTAGTCAACTACAACAATCCGTGGTGGCTCGCCAATGATCCGCTGAACCCACCCACGTATCTATTCCCACCGACCAAGAACGACACGGCCTTCGCTGCGAATCTGGCCGATCTCTTCAACGGGATTGCCCCCAATCTGATGGGTCTTGTTCAGCGCGGACCCAGTCTGACGGATCATATGGTTGCGCTCTCGCGACAATTTGTCGCCCTCAATCGGACCGCCTGGGATTCTGACGCGGCAGGAATGACGCCTGTCATCGGGACACTGCTAAGCCAGACCCTGACCACGGCCACCTGGAAGGAAGAAGCCGATCCCGAGGGTGCCACCGTGACCAGTGCCCCTATTACATGGCAGGGCTACGGATCTAGTCCGCGGCTCCTCTGGGAATGGACCATCGCGCTCGCGCTAGGAGTGGTTCTGGTCGTGGCCGTGTGGGACATTTTCCTGATTCTGTATTACCATCTATCCGAACCACCTGTGAGGGATACCGGGGGTCTGTGGTTACGAAAACCGGAGGGCATTCAGGAATCGAAGATTGAGGAGACGTTTGAGAAGGTCTACTATTTACGGGAGACGGATCGAGAGGTCTTTATTACGGTGGACAAACAAGGTGGGAAGGTTCTGAAGCCGGATGTTGAGTATACATGGCGTCATTGATATCCTTTGCTCCTACATGGAGGGTGGAGTTTTCAAAGCATAGCATTGCAAGGAGTCTATGGACGAGACGAAGGAAGACAAAATTTGTTCAGTCAAAAATAGAGGATCGATAGCGGTTTCTTTCTTATCATAAAAGGCAGAAGGATAGAGTCTTGGATATCCGAGAAATGCGACTTGAAGGTATCATCCAAAAAGCTCACTGTGTTGGAGAAACTTGAATGAGGGATTTGCAAACATGGAGAATGACTGATGGCGACGACTTCGTCTTGCATCGAGTGCATTATGATGGGAAACGACTCCACTCTCAGGCCAGATCCAAGCGTCACTCTAGAAGAGATAAATGAGGTCCTAGACCAGCTTGCCGGTGTCGGCTTTTCTTTCAGTGGAACTGAAGGGGACGGACAGATCTCAAAGATCAGTTCGGGCATAATAACACGCTTGTGAGCATCTTTCGCCATGTACATAGCTCGGAGGAAAAGTGGATGGTTCTGATGATATTGAACTGCTGGCGAAGCTAGAGGAGCTCGACGGTCGACTGAATGGGGCGAGGTCAGCACTCTTAAAAAAAGTAACTTTATTGTCATCTTATATCCTCTCTCTATAGTATATTTTAATAACATCTGAATATCATTATCTATTAAATTATATCAACACCATAAATAAGCAATAGAATTAGCATATATTGTGATAGAATGGAACAAGCGAGCAACTAATTCTTCTTGTATGAACATGATTTTCTTCTGCATTGTTGCTCCTGGAAGACATAATCTGGCTTACAATTTATATGTAATTCCTTGATTTAATCTGATTTGACCGTCGTACTCATGTTGGGAACCATATTCTTGGTGTTCCTTGGGCCTGCGATCCGGTTGGTATTGTCAACTGGTATATGTAACTTACGGTAAGGAGTTTCAATCGATATGTAGAATTTTGAATGAGATGTAGATAAAATTGAGATCGGGCTGTCGCCATAACAATGATTACCATGTTGACAATCGATTACATAAATAGCTGAACTCTTATTCTCTTTCGCGAGGACCACTACACATTGGGAGGTAGGTCTAGCTCTACTTTGTTCGAGTATTTATGATATGAATTACATTGACACAGGAAATATTTCCGGTCGAGTAGCGTGCAGGATGCAGTTAGCCTTTCTTAGCAAACAGTGTACTGATATACCAGAATATCTGCCTTGCAGATGATAATTTGTACATGTCAAAAGGCGTAGAATATCGGTAGTCTGACAGATCAATGGCAGGCTCAACCCACCGGGCTCCAAGGCATCGGGATCAAGATCCTGCTTTGCATCGACTGAATGAGTGGTACCGTTCGGTGAACAGTGTCGGCCCAGCCCTCAATTCCCCATGACTGTTCGCGACGAATCTTCCTTTCCTCCAAGTTTGCGAATTGCCAAAGATGATGCACTGTGTTCAGATCACCGATTTGCACAAACCAGGCGCCCACGCCTTCCATCACCTCCCGACGGGCCTTGAGTCCTTGGCGCCAGTGAGTCTCCCACTCCAGCAGGTTACCAGGATGGAGAGTGTATGAGCGCAATTCGAAAAGACCGCCTAGACTGCGTGGCGGCGTCGTTGGCCAGAATGAAAACTCCTGCATGAGTGACGTCTTTTTGCTTTTGATCAAGTTCTTCAGCTTCTTGTCAAAATCTCGAAACTCTGGGTGTTGTGAGATAGAGTGCAGGGACTCGTGGTAGCCCGTGTAGCGCTGATATTCCCAAATATGTACTATCCAGGATGTCAGCGATGATCGCCAGTAGAACTGTATATTACATACTGAATGTATCGTTGTCTCCAACCTGGGTGCGCCAGCTTCCCACCAGGTTGACTTTGTTCTCTTCTAGCGAGGCCATCTTCGGGTACCATTTTCCAACAAGCTCTACATACTCCTCGACCTTGTCCGGCTTGACTTCGTGGAAGACAATGGAATGGACATATTTACCCCGGGCCAGCACCTGTGAGAATGAGCGCTCGATGTCCTTGTCAAATACCTGCCCTTCCTTGGTGCCGTAGATCAACGAAGAAAGAGCCCCTCGCTTTGCACTGCTTTCGCTCGCGGCATCTAATTGCAGTTGTTCTTCTGTAGACAGTCAGATAACGAAACCAATTAATCAAAACAACAGCAAGCAGCCACTTCAATGAAGCAGACAATTCACCACTCGCATTGCTCACCATCGGAGCAGTGGGAGTCCAAGGAAAACTCACGGGCACGGTCACGACGGGGATTCGGAACAGACGAATTGGCAGACTGACTCTCTTGCTCTTCTTTCTTCTTCCGGGCTAACTCTAGATTCTCACGGAATTCCTTCTGCCGCTGGTCGAACTCGACAGCATTTTCAGGAGTGATATCACGGATGGAGGGGGAGCGATAGGAGGTGGAGGAAGTGGTAAAGGGGCGTAGGGCGGCGAATGCGGGGAAGGCGCGGATAGCCCGCGATGGCAACATGCTGTTGGTCTGGACTGCGGACGCGCCAGAAACGAACAGAAGGAAGCTGATCTTGGGATAGAAAGTGCAAAGAGTAGAAAGGAAGAAGACAAGAGGGGTCTCAGCAGTGGTCGAGGGCAGCTGAGGTGGTCAGGAGCGTACCAGAGAGGGGTGAGAGACGGTAGCAAGAAGCAAGCAGAGCAGAGAGCAGTTGCAGTTGGCAGTAGCAGTAGAGCACAAAGTCCGGGGTAAGGCTTAAGCAACGGCTGGTAGATCCAGTAATAGGTGAATCTGGGTTAGGTTGTTTGGGTCGAGCTGGTGATTGGCCGCAGAGGGATGGATCAGCCAATGGCGGCAGCAAGAATGTCACGTCGCAGTTGGTGGTGTAGCAGTACGGTCCAAGCGGGCAGGTCGAGGAACTGGACTGGGGGAGATGCAAGAGGAGAAGAGGAGAGGGGAGGAAGAGGAGGAGGAGGAGAGCTGCAGGACGGAAGCGGTGCTTGCCACCACTGACTACTGCCTGCCGGGGGAGCTCCACCTCACTAGTCTCACTAAACAAGGCACGCCGGGCAGTCTGCACACTGGCGATTCCGGGGAAGCTCTGGCCTCGCAGGACGCGTTGATCATTTAAACATTACTATCCGTGATTTCATGATCCCCAAGATGCGCACGACAGAGGAACTACCGTGCCATTCACACTACTCGCTGCTCACTACTCGCTCCCTGGCAATTATTGGCTGCTGCCCAACAGCGAGGGACTGAATACAGGCAGGATCAGATGACGTCGTGGCGGTGGGCCAACCACAGCCAAGAGCCCGGCCCCAGTCCAACTTGCAACTGGTGATGTACCACTGCCATCCAGCCCGCCTCGATCGGCAGCGAGCTTCATCACGGCCACGTCTTGGTGGAATAATGGAATAAATCATCTGTACCCCCGAGAAGTTGAGCTACCCTTATTACAATATCATTCTTATCCCTGGCCTGTCTACCTGGTCGACCTAGTCTCTTCTCTCTCGCGCCATGGCCGACACCACCAATCCCCCCCTCAGCTACGAGGCGTCGGCCACCACTACCCATCCGTACGTGGGCACCACGCTGCCGCCCGAAGTCATCACCTGTCTCAAGAACTCGCGATACGTACGCCGCTCAATTGCGCCTGTCTTCATTCTAGGATGCGTACTGACCTATACATAGCTGCACTTGGCAACATGTGACGGCCTCACCCCACACGTCTCGCTCATGTCCTATACCTATCTCCCCAGCACGCCATTCGATGTCTACCCCAGTATCATCATGACTACGAATCCCTCATCACGGAAAACGCTCAATCTGCAAGGGAATCCGCGCGTCTCGCTGCTTGTCCACGACTGGGTCTCCCACCGGCCGCCCACTCGCCCCCCGAACGGCCGTGACGGCTCCCCTCCACCTGCCGCAACTCGATCCTCGCTCGCAAGCCTTTTGCTCAATTTAAATACAAGTGCCTTGTCGAGTATCTCTACCACAATAACCGGTACGGCGCGGTTCTTGGAATCGGGCTCCGAGGAGGAGGAGTGGTGCAAGAATCAACATCTAGAGAACAACACATTTGTGGCTGCGCCCGGTGAGGAAATCCCATTCGCACAGCGCCGTGGCAGTGGAGTTGCAGAGACCCCCATGATCGATGATAATAGCCGTGTTGTGGTTGTGCAGGTGCGAGAAGGGCGTATTGCAGATTGGAAGGGCGGGGTCCGAGATTGGCAGTTACTGAGAGAGGGTGAAGCGCTTCATGGGGGGATCAATGGGGTGTCCTCTTAGTATCTAAAAGCTATTTGATTAAACAAACTATATGCAGGGTAGAAAACTATGTGAATGGCGTGAATACAACATTTATTGCAGTATCATGAATCGTGACCGTAAATCACGTGCCATGTAGCTTTAACGGAGCTCGCCCTATGGCGTCACCTCGCAGCAAGCTTCACCCGACAGCAACCAGCGAATAATACGCCAACGAACGAGATCACTTGCAGAATCACCTATATAGACATACCTCACCATCTACCCGCTCGTAATTTGCAATACCCACCCGTCAATTGCGCGGTGCACCGCTATGCGTCTCGCCCACCTGCATATCCCCGGAATAACCTCATTCACGACGGTCTCGAAAATCCAACAATCGCTCGCTCTCGGCCACCTCGCACACAAAAAGGCCATTTCCCTCCCTTCCACAAAGCAATCTGTTCTACACTCCTCAATATCCCCTTCCCCCGCCGCCAACTCTCCTCCTAACACCCCTCCCGATCCGGCCATCATCACCTTCACGCCTAACCCAGTCTACACCACCGGCCGCCGTGATCTGCCACCATCAAACACCTCCTCTCCCTTCGATCCCCAGCCCTCTGGAGAACTTTCCCTCCCACCTTCCCTCGAGCCAATCCGCTCGTTACTAGCCGGCGATGCGAACCATCAGCCTGTCGCAGAATACCATCCGACCCTGCGCGGTGGCCAGACTACCTACCACGGCCCCGGCCAATTAGTCGCATACACAATCCTCGACCTGCGGCGCCTGGGCTTGTCGCCACGCTGTCATATACGTTTACTCGAGAACTCGGTCATCGATGTCCTCGCCGAGTACGGAGTTCGGGGCTTCGTCACCGAGGATCCGGGAGTATGGGTTGGGAGTGATAATACAAATAATAAGGGAAATAACAATGATAATAATAATAAAGATACCTCTACTGCAAAAAAGATTACGGCCGTCGGCGTCCATCTCCGCCGCCATATTAGCTCCTATGGAATCGGTCTGAATGTTACGCAGGAACCGATGTGGTTCTTCAAACAGATCGTCGCGTGTGGACTTGAAGGCCGCGAGGCGACCAGTTTGGAAGGCCAGGGGGTGCAGCCTGCGAAATTGCAGATGGATGATGTTGCGAATAAGTTTGTGAGCGCGTTTGTGAATAGATTAAGAACGGACTTTGCGGCCGAAGGTAGGGAAGGGGTGGATGAGGTTTATAAGATTGGGTTGGAGGATCTAATTGCGTTGGAGAAGGAGAGTGGGAGCACGTATACAGATCAGCTGAGTAGTTGATACGAAGATAAAATAAGTTACAGACTAGACTACATGTGTGGTATATATGCAGAATCAAATAGTTGATAGAAACAACGTCGCTGACAAATCTCCTCCATAACATTGATTAATATAATTAGACAGAGCATCATGTTCTTCTGCTCAGATAGTAAAGTAAACGTGATCAGCTAAATGCAGACACTGAATAAGTCATTCGTGGTGGGATATCAAATCATATCGCGACGGTGGTGAAAACCCCAACTCCAAATGCTGAATAAGTAACCAAACTAATACTCTTGTCGAAGAGACGTCGGTAGATGAGAAATATAAGAAGAAAAAATCAGTCGAGTCATGGTTTGTTTTCGAATGTTGTGGGTGTTCAACCATGTCGTAAGAATGTTCATGAATGGAAGGGTATGAAAAAGTTGTAGATTAGAACGAGTGGTCGTGAGTTGCAGGTGGAATAGGCGTCAAAGTATCAATCACATAATAATGCATCCACTGCTGGTGCTTCCACCGGCTGGTTTCACCTCGAGCGCGACTTTGGCCGCTTCGTAGAAAGTTTCGCGGATACCACGATTTTGCACTGCTGAGCATTCTATTTATTATATGTTAGCAAGTCTCGCTCCAGGGATTGAAATTAAGAACTAGTCTCGAACCAAGATATTTCACAGCGCCAACCTCCTTGGCCTTAGCAAGGCCCTCGTCAAAAGCAACGGCATCCGGGTTCTCATTTTGCTCTTCGTCCTTTCGCAAGTCACATTTTAGTGCTGTCAGCACCAGTTTCACGCCGGGACAGTTTTCGTGGATTTCAGCCATCCATTTGGACGAGACATTTTCAAAGGAATCCCTGTTGTCAACCTTCACGACATTAGACAGTATTTTCAACCAATGAACGTGCCGACGTACACTAAAACAAAGCATTATAACGTGGGTATCCTCGTACGAAAGAGCGCGGAGGCGGTCGAATTCTTCTTGTCCGGCGGTATCCCACAGCGACAACTCCATGTGAACATTATCGACGAAGATATCTTCAGACGTCAGTCTAGATCTCGGCGAGCGAGGACGAGAATGGGAAAGTACCGTGAACATAGTTTTCTAAAAAATCGTTAGTATGCACCACCATCAGCATTCCTGCGTATAAACTCACCAAAAACAGTAGGTTCGCTGGTAAAACCAAGGCATGTCAGCACCAAAACCCGTCAATAATCGCAAAGAAGCAGGCTTACTAAACAGTAGGGAAAAACCTATAAGCACAAGCAGTCAGTACAAGGCGCTTCTTTGGGTAATTCAATACAGGACTAACCCCCTGGTAAACACATTCAAAGCCGAGGTCTTGCCGCAAGCACCGTCCCCTCTAGAAACACCTGCATTAGTCGCGCAGCCTTTGTTTTACTGGGTGGTGTGAATGTGACTAAACCTACAGCAGAACCATCTTCCGCTGGACGACTTTCTGGCGCCCGCATAGCTGCATAATGCTAGATACCATGGAAAACCTCGGTGCTGTCCAACTTGGGGGCGACGGTGGTGGTCTGGCGTTTCGAGACGAAGGCGGAAGGCAAAACAGGAGCTTGCTGGCGGTACGAGACGAAATGCAGTCAAAACAATAACACCACGATGGAAATGGTATAGGGAGTTTTATAAATATATCTCATATATATCGTCTGCAGCGCTTCGGACATATAGTCGTCGTCAACAGTCGCAGCAGCAGTGCAAAAAGGAGGGGGTCGCTATAATTGAACAGATTAGCAGTAAACCAGCGCAAGTGCTAGTGGATTTCTGGCGCGGCAGCAGATGTCATCGCGCAACTTCCGCGATGGGGCTGGCCCAGACAGGCATGTCGATCGATGTCACTTGCTAATTAGATTGAGTAGCTACACAACCAGTGCTTGGCAATCAGATGGATTGATAGATTTGAAAATTATATGAAAATTAGTATGTTGATAACATTATGGAATATATCCAACGCAATTTGGTATCTCTCTGCATTGCAAATGCATTCTTGTCTTGAACCCACAACTCGTGCAACTGCCAAAACGCGCCGGTCATCTGAACATTGTAGCCTATATGTTTAAAAAAATCAGTACGCTTCCTGCTCCTTTTCGATATTACGCCTGCCGCGCTGGAGCCGTTCAGAAAGGTCTAGATCTCCAGCACGCTTGTTGACGCCCGACAAGAATGACCCCTTACCCCCGCCTTTACTCGTCCTAGCCCTGGCTGCTTCGTCTGCTTCACGCTCAGCTTCCTCCCGAGCATCCACAGCTGCTAGCCGCTCAGCTCGCATTTTGTCCAAGTCGCTCGCATTTTGCTGCATTGCCACCAACTTGGCTTCGCGGTCTTCAGTCGTTGAGTTTGAGTTCGAAGGTTGCGACTCGCGGTGAGATGGTGTTGGTCGCTGGTTGCGATGCCAGCTTTGTCGCTTGTCGTCTCTATCGCGTCGAGGCGAACGGTCGCGATGCGATGACTGTGGAGAGTACGATCTGCGCCGATCACGACGATATGGAGATCGGTCACGGCGGGACCCGTTCCTGGATGGTGATGGTGACCTTCTGGACCGACTTTCTCTGACAGGAGACCGAGTTCTGGAAGTGCTGATTGAGCGATCCCGACGACGCTTGTATCGCTGAGAGTCCTCATCATCATGTCTTCTCGAGCGATGTCGAGACCGTCTGTCGTCATCGTCTCGGTGTCGGTGTCGGTGGCGATGATGCCTGCGCTCCTTATCTGACGACCCATTTTCAGCCCCCGAGGCCCTGAGTAGCTGTCTTCGTCGGACAGGATCATTCATCATAGCCTCGAAGGCGGCTTGTTCTTGTTTCTTAATGGCCAACATCGGGTCCTCTCGAATCTTCGCTGCCGTGTCTCGGGCAGTGTTCGCATTTTGTATCGACATGAACGCATCCTCATTCGCGGATTTCTCCAGCTTCTGATTTTCTGTGCCCTTAATCAGCCCATCAATGCGACGCTTTCCCAGTAGATAACCCTCCATTTCCTCCGTAGTTCCGAGTTGGCCGTTTGACGGACCAGCGTACATCCAGTCAACCCGGTTCGCTCGTTTTTTGCCGCCAGCGGCTTCTTGGAGCTCTTGGATTTCTTGTAACTGTCGTTCTTCCTGGCGCTCACGCATCATCTGGTCGATACGTTTGCGCTCCTCGAGCGCCTTTTTCTCTGCTAGCCATGTTTTCTCCTGGTTCTTTTGGAGAACCGGATTCCAGCTCTTCTTCAAGTTCAAATCGCCACCCATGGTGAGAGATGCGGCGAGCCGATATAATGGCTGATTTGGGCAATTGAAAAGCGAATGGAATTATTGTGCTGTATGCAGCAACAAAGTGAGACGTAGTTGATGAATCTCGGGAATCGTGATGAGATTGACACAGGATTATTTCTGGTGGCGGGAGCGACAAAAAGGGTTGGCAGGCGCTAACGGTACTAGCGCGGGGAGGTTCCCCAGTCTTAGCCAGATAAGCCCGGCAGCGGCCTGCACTATCGACAGCAACAAACATCCAATACCTGTTTAATGATTCAGACCACACGCCATTCTTTGCCAGAATCATTCTTACTTGTCCCGCTTACTGAGATATCGAATCCCATTCCAGCTTCCTGTTGAGGTAAAGTTCGACCATGTCGGACGACGATGATTTCATGCAGGACTCCGACGAGGAGTAAGCTCCAACTCTGGATCTGTTGTTTGTGCGGTATTGACTGGCCTAGGTATGACTTCGAATACGAGGGCTCCGACGAAGACGATTCAGGGGATATCGGCATAGAGAATAAGTACTACAACGCGAAACAGATAAAAACAGACAACCCAGAAGAAGCCATAGATGAGTTCCTTGGGGTGCCTGCGCTGGAACAAGACAAAGGCGACTGGTAAGTCGGAGTTGAATTTCTACACAGTACAAATCTGACACTCTTGCGAAGGGGGTTCAAAGGGTTGAAACAAGCAATAAAGCTGGAGTTCAAGCTTGAACGATACGATGACGTGGGTAATCTCAGGCGGAGCTGGAACGTCATCACACTGACACGCCTTAGGCTATCGAACATTATCGCGAGCTCTTGACTTACGTGAAATCGGCTGTAACACGGAATTATTCAGAAAAATCAATTAATAATATGCTGGATTATATTGAGAAGGGTTCAGATGACGAAAAGGCTTATCACTGCATGGAAGAGTTCTATCGGTTAACACTCAAATCCTTCCAGAGCACAAATAATGAACGGCTATGGTTGAAGACGAATATCAAGCTGGCAAGGCTATGGCTGGATCGAAAGGAGTTCGCTCAGCTCACGAAAAAGCTACGAGAATTGCATCGCGCATGCCAACGGGAGGACGGCTCTGATGACCCCAGCAAAGGAACTTACTCCCTCGAAGTGTATGCATTGGAGATCCAGATGTATGCAGAGACGAAGAACAACAAACGACTCAAAGCGCTATATGAACGCGCATTGCGAGTACGATCCGCTGTTCCACACCCGAAGATTATGGGAATCATTCGCGAGTGTGGAGGCAAAATGCATATGAGTGAGGAGAACTGGGAACAGGCACAGAGCGATTTCTTCGAGTCGTTCCGCAACTACGACGAAGCGGGCTCTATACAGCGGATCCAAGTCCTCAAATACCTGGTTCTTACTACGATGCTTATGAAATCCGACATCAATCCATTCGACTCCCAAGAGACAAAACCATACAAAAACGACCCGCGTATATCGGCGATGACTGACCTTGTAGATGCCTATCAAAGAGACGATGTCCATGCATACGAGGAAATTCTGCAGAATAACCAGGACGTCTTGGCCGACCCATTCATTGCAGAGAATATCGATGAAGTCAGTCGTAATATGCGCACCAAAGCAGTTCTCAAGCTGATCGCGCCTTACACACGATTTACACTGAGCTTTATCTCAAAGCAAATCAAGATCTCGATCCCGGAGGTGCAGGAGATCCTGGGCTTCTTGATCATGGACAGGAAACTGAATGCACAGATTGACCAAGCTAGTGCCACAGTCATAGTGGATAGGACCAGCGATTTAGATCGTTTGCAAGCCCTTCGAGAATGGTCTTCGGCACTGAACTCACTTTGGCGCACGGCATTGAACGAGGGCGAGGGCTTCAAGGTGGACGAGGCGGCACTTGCGCAGATGGGAGCCTCCGCTTCGTCTTCATCTCCCTACACAGCATCGTTCGGCGACGAAACTCGGGCAGGCTTCGGCAAAGGCCGCGCCTGGAGGGGCAAGGCGGGACTGGGGCGCGGAAGTGGCTATTAGGGAGTAGAGAATCGTTTCGCTTAGGCGGTGGGCGACGAAGGATCCGCTGCCGCTATGCTGAGGATCTCGCGGTTTCAAGTTAAATACGTTCAGGTAGCAGTCAGGCCGTAAGCGGACTTGATCGGGTATAAGCATATATCATTATCCTACCACCACAATTAGGTCTGTAGTGACTAGGTAGCCAAGTCTTATCAACCAAGCGTTATAGTAACCACATATGTACCTCTCACCATGTAAAGCCATGTGCATATCACCAATTGGTGTTTTTCTCCGGAACGTCGTGCGTATCGTGCTGCAGATTGGCCTATCAAGGAGGCGTATAACGCAGGCCGCGGCAGTTCCTGTGGTATCCAACCAGTCGGGGCTTTTTCAATGCTCTCTGAGAGCACTAGCTAGTAAGTGGTGGCTCATGACTGGTCTATGGTTGTGGGTTCTGGAGAGCACCTGCATTCTTATAATTTTAGTAGCCATACAAAAAAAAAAATAGGATTGTATGCTGCCAGCGGTCAGGACGGGCCGGCTTCTCCACCGCGCGCTGGAGCTAGGGGCGGCCCGCTCAGGGCTAACGCTTACAGGTTACACTGATTGTACCGTCGTCCTCCCCGTCGCTAGGAATTATTTTGACCGATTATTGAGAAACTATGTAAAGTATGAATAACTACGAGTATGGGGGTGTTGGGCAGGGAATTTCTCTTGTTTATCGTCTGCTCTAGTCTATTCCAGTGTAGTCTAGGGTAACCATGATTGCCCTACATGGATCCCTCCACCTCGTCCAGAACTTGATTCGCGGCTAGACTATACGAGACTGTATACCTGCGTACGATTAAGACGCGTATAATAATATGTATAATATTACGTATAATGTTTGCTCACTGTCAACATGAGTAACTTAACTCTGGATTCTTTTTACGCACGACCGGGCAATCACACCGGCTTGTAGGATACTTAAATCATTAACTGGCCAGTGTTACACTGATGCGTTTATAGTCAGTCCGATTCACAACAGAGACCGTTCGCCGTGGACCTAGCCTAGCCTAGTCTATTCGCATATTCCTTTTCTAGTTACTCTTTTTATTTTTATTTTTCATTTTTTTTAATTTCGGGTTATTACACTAGTCAAGGGTTTCCTTGTTTTTGAAATTTAAAAATTTTATTCGTTGGGGCCCCGCCATTCCATCACTGCGCTGAGATTAACTTCATGATACTCATGAATATTAGCGTATGTGCGATACTTGCTTTATTTCTAGTTTTTCCTCGGAGATTCTTAGCTCCCCGTTAATAATTGATATCAATAAGAAGGCTGCAAATTGGTGAGATGCAATAACGCCAATGGATATATCAAATTATTATGGATACGGTTCTCTACTCTCGGTGCCGATTTTTACCCGACGCCACATCATGTATGCACTTCATGTAACATTTATTTCGACATAACAGGGAATAAATTAATTGGATGTATGTTGTAATCAACGTAGCTGATTGGGTGTTATGCGCTGCTATATATATATGAAACACTGTTTACATGTGAAGCTTGAAGACGTATTGATATTACAATCAATACGAGATAATGCCAATGTGTGCCGTGATTATGTACGATGCAGCATGTGCCTTTATGCCGAAATTGCTCGTCGACGTCCGGGTTTTGGATCCCCGAGCAAATATGTAGGTGGTCAATGTGGAGAACTGAGGTGCAGCTCTTCCTCCTTTCTTTTTCGGTGCTATATGAATTGAGCATTGATCAGCGAGATTCCTTGCTAGACTTCGTTTCGACTTCCAGCAAGTCGGCCAGACGATCACAACCGGTCAGCCTTGAATTTTCACCTAAATATTAGAATACGGACATGTATCGGTACATGTGTACCGGCTGCAGTGCTGCTAGTAGTTAGTGGTACCAGTACAACCCCGCCTGTTGCCCGCAGCCGGCAACCTGCTCGCTCTTTTAGTTCTCACCGTGGCATTTTTAGCATCAGCGCTGGGAACCCGCCTAGTCTCTTGGCTAGGCTGGTTATTATTATCACAATCTAGTTCTCAAGACATCTAGCGACTACGAGCTGTCGGCACTTCTCATTTCTCATAGTGGATTCTTGTTCTTAACGTCTTTGGGGAATAGTTGTTGGTGATAGCGTTGGGATGAAGAAACGGTTGTTGCTTATTAAGTTATTAGCCTGGTTCTTCTAGCACCAGACCTAGAGTGACGCCCTGAGCGCTGGATCATCGATCGTAGGTAGGGTCTGTGACATGTGGCCTCGCGAGAGCGCGCACAGAGACGGCGACTCGGCTGAACGATCGGGATCTGTTAGAGCCTTGGCCATTGGGACAACTGTTCCGATAGGTGTGACACGGGCGAAGGGCCATGATGGTGTGAAGCAACAGGCTGATCATGATGGCAATATACCCGTCTCACGATTCCAGCCAGCTTATGCTCAGCAGGCAATCAACAGACAACAGCAACATGGTTCCGTGCCAATAACCAAGGACGTCAATAGGCACGTAGCACCCATAGATAGAGATCCAGGAAAAATGCAGTGGCAGCACGTGTGGGGACTAGATAGTTGCGTGTGTTGGCTAGTGATAATATTAAATGGTGGGCACTGCATGGGAAGAGTGATAGAAGAATAGCCTTGTCGCATTAAGTAATTGGTAAGGTAAGGTAAGGAATACGTACTAATAATACGGCTCGGAAGCTGCCCCGATCCCTGTGCTGCACCCAATCATCCCGCGGCTTCCCCGCTTGCGCTTTCGCTTCTCGCATCACCGACTCCAATAATAACAACAGCGACAACAATAACAACAATACTACCGAACGACGGATGCTACCCGCATATCCAGCTGCTTCCTATCGTCCCGTCCACAGATCTCCCTTCCCGGCCCGTCCTCAGCCTGTCACTCCCGCCGCAACCTGGACGAATTGCTGGTAAATCAGCCAGCAGACTGTACTTGGCATTGGCCTGTAGGTGACCCATACACCCTTTTTCAACTCTCTCTTTCTCGTTCTTCTCTCTCTCGTTTTCTGGGTCAATCATCAATCGTCCAGCCTCGACCAAAATCCCTGGATCCTCCACTGCTCACGTCACCCCGCACTCACCCGAGGGCCCCTCCTTCAAAAACCGACAGCCTCGTTCGTCATCTGCATGTTCTTGCACGCTCGCCATCTGACTATAGTAGGCTTCTACTCTCTTATATCCTCTTTGGGCCACTCTTTGTTTTTGTTTTTGCCCCCTCAGACTATATTTTCTCAACTATACTCCCCACGCCCGTTCGTGGTTCGCCTGTGTTTCGGCGTACATCTAACACGCTTGTCCGTATACCGAATAGCTACACCGTGGTCGTGCTGCTGGCATTGTGGAGAGAGATATAGTTTGCCAATACTGTTGAAACCAGCGACAGTCAATTCTGATATTACCTTCTGACACTCGGACTCTAGGTGCACGCCGATTACTGTAATTTCTTCCACGTGAATTCGAATTTCGGACTTGATTGCCCGGAAAAATAATAAGCACTCAACATTTGGAAGAGGATTGGCGTCGAGCCCAACAGCTAGCTGGTCTTGCAATCGGCGGCTTGCGCTGCATGAGCTTTTAGTGCTTCAAAGCGAGACCAATTGAACCAGGCGCCTGGTGCCACTGGGCCCGTTTCGACTTTGCCCACCGGAAGTATTATTCGTACCAAAGAAGATCCATGTCAGCTCCCTCCGCTGATCGGCTACAAGCATAACGGCTGTTACTTGAACCCTGGTCCGTCTAGCCTTCCCCACAGGCTTGCTTTTTCTGCATGTCGGAGTCCCGCGGTGATAAGAGAGCTATTCGGTCCTGTTAAGATGCTTCTCTAATGTTTGTGCCCGTCTATTCTTGCTTCTCAAAATTGTTGTCTTCGTGAACTGACTGAATGACAATGCCGTCGGTAGCAATCCATCGTTTTAGAACATTGGAGCCGAAAATACACCATCTTTGTGATGCCGTGAACATCGCAGACAATTTATTTAACCACGCTAGTCTATACGGTCACTTCCTGCAGACTGACTACACGTCAAACTTTGATGGTAATACAAGCTCAAACTCACACGATACAAACTACGACCCACCACCTTTGATAAACCTCTCTGTTGCGCCAAATTCTAGATTTTCCACTATGGAGCCTCTATCTCGAGAAGAACTGGAACGTTTCCAGAAACTCTCAAATGAATATGAACCCGACGTACAGGTTGGTTGATATTGAACATAAATCCACCTTGCTGAGGCTGACTACTGGTAACAGGGCCCTTTAGTTTCCGCAAAACAAACCAGCCGAACAATTGCTGCTGAATACTCAAACGCCGACCCAACATATGTCACCAAAACAAATGTATGTGCCGCCACGCCGACTTGTTATTTGAAGGTCTGACTTGTTCTAGGCTCTTGCGGTAACGCATCCTTTTACACGAGTAATGAAGGGAGATGGGAATTGTGGATGGAGAGGTATGGAACAAGACCATGTCAGTTGGAAAATCACGCTTATTTGGCTTAGCGGTTGCATTTGGCTACTTTGAAAACCTCTTTATTCTCCGCGATACAGTAAAAGTTCAACAAGAACTCGCTCGAATCAAGTCTATGAACAGCATGCTCGACCAAGTGGGACATCAAGAATATCTGTATGAGACTTTTGTGGATGCTACGGTGGAGACCTTTAATCAAGTCATTGACTCGATAAATAAAGGCGTGCCCGATGAAACCTTCTTGGTGAACATCTTCAACGACTTTAACGAGTCTATGTCTATTATCACACATTTCAGGGTGGGCCAGCCTTGCATTTCGACATTCGGGATATGATAACTAACACAATTGGATTGATCATAGCTTCTCACTAGCTCTTGGATGAAAATTAATCACGTCCGATACCAAGCATTCCTCTCCACCCCTCTCGATCAATATTGCGCTACTCAAATCGAACCTACAAAATCCGAGATTGATGAAGTTGGACTACAGGCACTTGTAGATGGAGTCATCGAACAGTCCGGTATTGCTGTCGAGATTCTCTATCTGGACCGGAGTCAGGGCGATGCAGTTACTCCGCATCTTTTGTCGCCAAGCAGACAAACCTCTGCGACCATCAAGCTCTTATATCGCCCGTACGTCTTGAGTCATACCTTTAATATGATTGAGCTGAGTACTGACTTGTGAGTTAGCGGCCATTACGATATTTTGTACTCGGCAGAGCCCACTATCCATATGTCACCTGTGGTGAATTATCAATATGGAATGTCAATGAATTACACCCCATGGGATGAAGGAGCGCTGCCTTTTGATGTCAACCCGCATCTCATGTCGATTCCGGGGTTGATGATGGACCCATCTCCGTATACTCCTACGTCGAGCTCCATGTTGCCGCCGTCTTCGCAAGGTTACATGCCATCGCCTCCACAGCACGACTATTATTCTCCATCCATGAGTCCTTCAGTGCCGACCACCGTGTCTTCTCCTACTCCTTCAACTCTTCCACTAAGCCCGGTCCAAAACAAATCGAACGATGGACCTCAGATTAGACTGAATCCACTTGTGATGAAACAAAACCTTAGCCACTCGCTTCCAGTTACCACTCCCTTTAAGAAGTAAGTAATTAATGCTCCTCAACGCCATTCGCAGACTAACATTCGCAGCAGCTCCCCGTACAATCAAGCACACTTTCTCAACTCAGACTTCGAGCCGATCCATTGGGAACCAAATGAAGGACGTAAGTAGGATATTAGTTACGATGATCACCCGAACATCGAAGCTCAATTTTCATGGGCACATTATTTGCGAACATCTATCACTCGATCGAGCTGTCTGGCGGTATGGTAATTATGACACATTACGATCTGGTCTTCTTCATGACGCACACATTTTATTGTTTGCTAGCATGGCTCTTGATATTACAGCGATTGAGCCGTTTCTCGTTTACCGCATTTGTTAGATGTACGAGCTTTCGCTGTACCCTCAAGAATGCCTATTATTTCACATCTTGATATTCTCTTTCAAATTTTTTATTTCGCATGGCGGTCCCGTGAGTTTGTCTTTGCGCGTCCCATTGTTCTGTTATGTATGGATGAAAGATCTTGCCGGTTTGCCGAGCAGCCGGGCTAACAAGCCATCTTCTGGATGACCAACTTGTTATTTGAGACAGGAGAGATGGGAATGAGAAGATATGGGCAACAAGGTATTTTCAACTTCACAGCCAGTCACATTCGCAGACGTAGGCTAGCTATTTCGAAAGGCAGGAGCTACATTGAATTCTCTCGCTAGGGTTAGTTTACAAACGTCGGTGTTGTGCTTGTCTGACGGTGATTTCTCACATTGAGCCATTGATAGGATAACATACGAGTCCTATTCTGTTTATAACCGGCGTGCTGAGAATTTAGACTACATGTAGCAATGCTTGATAACAAGGGGATGGTCTTTTATGTAGAACATATCAATTTATTCTTCGAGATGACGTTACAGGTAAGTGAGACTCTATTATCGGTGTTCATAGGCCGGTTCTCGATACAAAGAGAGAAGTAATACGACGACGACATTTGGCGCCCAGGGACACTTCGCAGTGAGAAATATCAATTAACCCTAGGCAGATTCTTTAATTTTAGACCAGAGGTCCCACACCCTGTGCGTATAGGATTTTGGGGGTTCGTCCAATAAGATTGGTATTACCTGCAAAAGGGCGGCTAGAATGTGATAAGCCTGCATCAAAATGGCGATGTGACACTGTGACAACCCCCCACCAGCGAGGCTGAGAATGTTACCTACTATGGATAGCTAGTTCTCTCAGCCTGATAGTCAACGGAGGCTGAATGATTATTATCTCAATATCAATAAAATTAAACAAGGAAATGAGAAAGGTAAGCATATCCATCTGTAATCTATGATTGTGCCAAACTGCCTCTTTCACATCTGTGTTTGGCTAAAAACGCTCGCGAATTAGAGATGTCTGCACGACCTCAGCCCTACCGAGCTGGGTTGGGAACATCACTCCGTGTGAATCATGGCTTAGAATCTCTCGAAGACCACGAAAATTCCAACATTGTAGCACCGTCGCACCCCGAAACTATCATCCCTCCAACTGAAAACCCTGAAGTCAGAATACGGAGTACGATGCTTTCCCAAGGTGCTAGTGAGTCGTCCCCCAACGATGCCGAATCGAAAACACCCGAATCGTTCGTGGAGATGTATACAGTTGCTTGGATCTGTGCCTTGCATGAGGAACTCATGGCTGCTTGTCGAATGCTGGACGAAGAATATCAAGGCCCAGAACATCCAACGATAAACGACCATAACACTTATACATTTGGTCGGATTCGTGATCATTACGTGGTAGTTGGGTGCATGCAAATGGGCCGTGTGGGAACATGTAACGCTGCCAGTGTTGCTAGAGACATGGTTAGGTCTTTTCCGAATTTGAAATTTGGCTTAATGGTAGGCATTGGAGGGGGGGCTCCAACAAAAAAAAGAGACATTCGGCTCGGTGATGTCGTTGTTAGCGTTCCAGAGGGAACACAGCCTGGTGTTGTGCAATATGACTTTGGCAAAAGACTATCCGAAAATTGTTTTCAGCGAACCGGCCACTTGAACGCTCCCCCAAACTTACTGCTTGGAGCAACCCAGGTGTTGAAACGACTACACAACGATCCCAAGAAACCGGACAGTATTGCCACTCACATCAAAAGGATGGATGATATGCTTGACTATCAACACCCGGCGCAAGACTCCCTATATCGTACGAACTATGAACATAAAGATAGACAAGCTGGGCCGGAAAATAGTGAGGATGATGGAAGTGAAGATGAAGACGGCTGCCACAATTGTGGGAGCGAGGGATTGGTCCATCGAAAAGAGCGTCCAAGCGGGCGTAAAGTCTATATACATTACGGTACAATTGCCTCTGGGAATTCGGTCATGAAGGATCCAAAGACTAGAAATTATTACGCTAGAAATTCAGAGCTCAATGTTCTGTGTTTTGAGACAGAGGCCGCGGGCCTAATGAATAATCTGCCATGCCTCGTCATACGGGGAATCTCTGACTATTCGGATTCCCATAAGAATGACAGCTGGAAAAAGTTTGCAGCCCTCACAGCTGCAGCATATGCGAGGGAATTGCTTATTATTCTGAGGCCACAAAATGTGTGTGTTATGCCTTCATGGGCCAGGGACAGTACGTAGGATTGCCTCTCACACTTTGATTTTTCTGTTCAGGCGATGTGAACCCTAATGAATTTGAGATAGTGAAAAATGAAATTGATATGCTGCAAAATCGTCAAGAAGGTAATTGAAACTAGAAAGACTTAATACCAAACCTGACACGTGAGACTTCGAAGATATTTCACTAACAATTATTCTTAGACCTCTTAAGATTGAACGAGACAGTTTCAAAGGATGTGAAATATCTTCGCACACAAGGAATGAATCAGAAACATCAAGATATCTTGGAATGGCTCGCAGAAGCAGACTTCACTAATCAACAAAGTGATATCATTGCAAAACGACAGAAAGGTACTGGGGAATGGATGCTGGAATCAAATGAATTCAAACAATGGTTCGAACAAGAAAATCAAACTCTTTTCTGCCCGGGTATACCAGGAGCGGGCAAGACAGTTATCACTTCTGTTGTTATTCAACATCTCGACAGCGTATTCCGAAGTGACCCTACCGTAGGTATTGCGTACCTATATTTTAGTCTTCAGCAACCGCAACAGCACAATCAAACTGCCAAGATGATGAGAAGCCTTTTGAGGCAGCTAGTCCGGATTCCTACATCTGAAAGTTTAATGTGCCTTTACGGTCATTATAATTCTAAAGGAACAAGCCCTTCAGCTGATGAAGTTCTTGAGGTTTTATGCTCCGTTGCCGCTTCTTATTCCAGGGTGTTTATTGTAGTTGACGCACTCGACGAATTTCAAGGCTCTCAAGAAGAACGCATGGTGTTCTTATCAATGATGTTCAAAATTCAAGAGAGAATTGGTGCCAATATTTTTGCAACTTCGCGGTTTATCAAGGAGATCGAGAATGAATTTCGGGGAGCTATCAAACTAATGATCCGCGCCCACGACATAGATGTCCAGAAGTACATTGACGGTAGGTTGCAAAAAATCCCTTTGCTAGCTTCAAAGGATCTTTCTCTACTACAAGAGATCAAGGGTAGAGTCTCTAAAGCAGCTGGAGAGATGTATGGGGCAACACTCTCATGCTATTAAAAAAACATTCGCTGACATTATTTAGGTTTCTACTTGTGAAACTTTATATCGATTCTTTTGTTGATAAGACTACAATTAGGGCGGTAAAGATTGCGCTTAAGGATTTGGAGGTAAAGGACAATACACCTAATGACGTCGGGAGAACTAAAGCATTGGACCGCGCCTACATGCATGCTATGAAGCGAATAGATACCCAAGCAGAGGAACGTTGCAAACTAGCGAAGCAAATTCTGTCGTGGATTACCTTTGCTAAGAAACCCTTATCACGTTTAGAGCTTCAACAAGCTCTAGCTGTTGAGGTTGGTAAGCCTGAGCTTGACAATGAGAACATTCCCGACATAGAAGTCATGGTCTCTGTATGTGCTGGCTTAATCACTGTTGATGAGAGAAGTGAACACATCCGATTGGTCCACTATACAGCGCATGAATATTTTAAGCGGACCTGGGACACATGGCTCCCTAATATTGAGTCTGATATTACCACGGTATTGGTTACGTATCTGTCATTTGAGAATTTTGAAGTCGGCCCTTGTCAAACCTCTGAGGATCTTGAGGCAAGATTGCAGTCAAATCCCCTTTATAATTATGCTGCTCGATATTGGGGCTATCATGCTCGAGCAGCCTCGATGGAGCTGGACCATGCTATTCTGTTTTTTCTTGAGAATAATGCGAAAGTGGCTGCTGCCATCCAGGCAATGAAAGCGACCGCATGGACATTATTTACTAGCGACGAGCTTGACAGAATTGATGGATTAGCGGTACATATCGCCGCACACTTTGGGCTGACAAACACAATAGATGCATTATTGAGGAAGGGCTTTTCGGCAGACACCCCAGGCAGAGATATTTATGGACGAAGACATACGCCACTGGAAATTGCGGCATCAAGCGGGCATAAGACAATGGTGAAGTTGCTTCTCTCTCAGGAAGGCACCAATCCCAATCGTGAAGATCAATTCGGAAGAACTCCACTATCACATGCAGCAGAGAAAGGATATGAAGATATAGTCAAGCTGCTTCTTTCTCAAGAAAGTGACAATACGGACCCTAGGAGTGATAGCCCTTGTGGAAGAGGAAGGACTCCATTATCATACGCAGCAGAGAAAGGACGTGAAGCTGTAATCGAGCTGCTTCTCTCTCAAAAAGGTATCAACCCAGACAGCAAAGACAAAGATGGGAGAACTCCGCTATTCTATGCTGCAGGCAGAGGGAGTGAAGCTGTTGTCAAGCTGCTTCTCGCTACAAAAGGTGTCAACCCAGACAGTAAAGACATACTCAAAATAACCCCGCTACTAAAAGCAGCAGGGAGAGGGCATGCAGCTGTGGTTAATCTGCTTCTCGCTTCCAAACGTGTCAACGTAGAAAGTAAAGACAACTTAGGAAGCACTCCGCTATTACATGCAGCTCAGGAAGGACATGAAGCTGTGGTCAAGCTGCTTCTCGCAGAAAATGCTTATTCAGGCTCCACAGATATTGGTGAAAGAACGCCACTTTCGCATGCAGCACAATTAGGACATAAAGCTGTAGTTGAGCTGCTACTTGCAAATAATGTTGATCCAGACTCCGGAGATGCAAGGAAAAGGACACCGATATCATATGCAGCAGAATGGGGGCATGAAGCCGTAGTCAAGCTGCTTCTCTCTACGAAAAATGTCAATTTGGACTCCAAAGCCGTTTCTTTCGACTACAATCGCATCGACCACCACGGGTGGACTCCACTATTATATGCGATATACAGAAATCACAAGACAGTAGTAAAACTACTGCTTGATGCAGGCGCTAGTATTACCCTCGAAACACGAATATGGCTGGATACTCACGGTGGAAGCCACGAGGACGTCTTAAATTTGTTGGGAATGTCGTAGCTGGTAATATGACGTCCGGAATGTTCGCCAAGCTAGAATATCGGAGTTGCAACAGTTCGGAAAAGGCCGCCATTTATTTAAATCAATTGATACATATAGAAGTATTTATCTAAATCAACATCAACTACAAGAGGAGCATTGAATTGGGAGTATTTTAAGTCGTTCAGTAAATGGGGGTTCAATCGATTTATTCTCTTCTCCACATGTGCTCAGGTCGTTTACTACGTTAAAGTATCATTATTCTTGACATAAGTATATCTAGAAATGATCATTTTGATCACGCGCAGGCAGTTAGAAAGCTGTTAAACGGTAAAATGTAAACAGACCTTGCCATATATTCATATACACATCCAATAATATGCGTTAAGATAGCTGGCAGTATGTAACAATCAGCGAGGGTTCAACATCAGCAATAGCAGGTGTCATACAGGAGAACATAAGGGACGCAGTTATCCCATTGGGGAAGTGTGTTTATCGCAGCTTCTATTCTTAGTATCCGCCGTGTGGGGGGGGGCCGCGGGCTTGGTGAACTCCTGACGCGGCTTCCCAGTAGTGATGTGTCTCCAGTTTCAATGTTGGCTGCTTCAGCGAACGAATGTGCAGACATGTGCCACCTGAGCCCGCGGTGCTAAACATGAAGCCGAAATGTGAGTCCGCCCGGTTTACACTACAAGAAGCATACATTTGATTTATTTGAGGTGTACCCCAGCTGACGGGTTAGTGTAGGGTCGAGCTCGATGTACCCGTGCGTCTCCGACGTGCAATTCTGCAGAACGATGTCTTGCTGGTCAAGCGCATTGTGAAGAATAACCCGTCGTATCTGGAAAATCCGGATTTCGCAGACAAGAGTAATACCTCGTTGCATCTCGCTGCTATCAAGGGTCATGTCCACGTCCTGGTTCGCCGACTCCTCTGCAACTCCTTGTCAACATCGACTAACTGGCCTTTCTTGGTTAGAAACTCCTGCTATCCTTTGGCCATGATTCATGTACGCCAAATATCAACAGAACTGGCTATGACTCTGCACCTGGCATCAGTCTCAACACTGAATCCTCAACAAGCCTGCACCTCGCCGCCTCTCACTCCCACGCCGCCTGCGTCAACCACCTCTGCCAAACCTTCCCACACATTATAAACTGGCGGGATAAAAATGGCAAAACCGCCCTTATGCTCGCCGCCCAAAGCTCCAATCCAACCCACACTCCCCTCAGTACCTCCCATATCCCGCCCACGGGTCGACCGCGTGCTGTCTCGGCGGGAACGGCAATGGCCTCTGAGGACACGGCCACGGTCGCCGCGCTTCTGGCACATAACGCCTCGATGGCGTTGACGGATAATGCAGGGAACACGGCCCTGCATCACGCGAGTGCCTGGGGAAACCTCAAGGCTGTACGCGTGCTGCTTTCTGCCGGCGCACCTCCTTTCGCCCGCAACAAAGCGAATCATTCGCCTCTCGACTATTCCATTACAAAACAGGCTGCGCAGTATTTCCAAACGATTGTCTCGGAGCTAGGGAAAGCGGTGCAGGAGCCCAAGCTCAAGCTGAACACGGCTGTTTCGAACGTTATCGCGTCGGCTGATGAGTCGCGATCAGCTGGCCCGCGTTTGTCGCCGATTGTCTCACCCGTGCAGGCGAGAATGAACGCTAATAGGGAGTTCGCAAAGGCGATGGCGCCGAGCAAAGGCACTCCTGGCGGCCTTAGACTGGTTATTGATACGGAGAATAACGAACTGGCCAATCTCGAGGACGACGATGTCCCGTCAACCGCGAAGAGGCTTGAGCGCGAGCCTTAAATTTGGATCTGGTTTTACATGTCATGGATCATTACGAGACTTACTTGCTTTGTTGATATACGGATTGGATTTGTATCTATTTCAGACTGTACTATCTTGGTTTTTTTCTTTTGGGTTTATGTTTGGCATTTCCAGCGGGCGACCATCATATGGCATAGCATGTACATACGAAGATGTTTTCCTGTTGGTATTTCTGTTGATGAGTTTGGTACATACAAGCAATAGAGATAATAATACCACATGTGCAAACGATGGAAACTGAATGGTGCAGATCGGGCTGCTAGTCGTTAATTAGTTAGCATTAATTAATTACGTAGATACGATAAGACGTTGCAATCGGCGGGCGGGGATTGGCGCTAGGCGGACTGCTGCCTTTGTAATAATTAGTTTGTATGGGCCGGACGCTCCAGTTACTACGTACAACTGTGACGGCATCTGGTCCTTGTTGGTGCTTCGCCATCTGCTTACACTGCGTCTTCTGCTTCTTTACTTCTTCTCGGCTAGTCTAGTCTTGCTAGTCAGACTACTTCTTCCGTGTTGTTCCTCTCCATGGATTGGTCATTGCATCATCCGCTGTGAGGTGGCCTCCAAATGGGTTCCTTCACTGGATACGTTGTCATATACATCCTCGGCGGCGTCACGTTTCTTCCTCTCATCATTGCCCTCTTGGTCCTGCATGCCTACCTTACTCTTCGACCCCCTGCACCTAGCACTACTGCTGCTAGTCGTGGCAGCAGCACTAGCACCACCTCCCTCCTCGAACGCCCCAGCGATGACCAATACAGCCTGAAAAGCGGCACCGATGTCCTCGCCGAGAAATTCCAGCGGGCACACGAGTCCGATGTGGCCGCCGGTTACTTTGCTGTCTGTCGCGAATATGTGCCCGGCGGAGTGAATGGGAAGCCGCTTGAACGGACAACGCCAGCGGGCGACGTTGTGGCCTCGGAAAGCCCCAGTGTGTACAAGACCATGTATCGCAGCATCTTCGACCGGAAGCAGCCGCCGACGATCGAGCCTGCGGGGAATAATAATAATAACAACCCGAAAAATTTCAAGAAGGCGCGGAATGTGTTTTATATTGTCTTGAGGTATGTTGGGATATACCACCGTGTTGCGAGCGAAGTTTGGCGCTAATTTTGTATATAAGGCACGGCCATCTGATGCTCTACGACGATGAGCAGCAGGTCGAAGTACGCCATGTGATTTCTTTGGCACATCACGACGTTAGTATCTACGGCGGCGGGGAGGATATTCCAGAAGGAGAGCTTTATATCAAACGAAATGCTATATGTTTGGCTCGACGAGAGGATTCAATTGCCGATCTACGTGGCCTGACGCCTCCGTTTTATTTATTCTCGGAAACCCAGTCGGGAAAAGAGGACTTTTATCATGCCCTACTGAAAAACCAGGAGAAGATCCCTGATTCTCCGAATTCTCCCCCTTCGCCGCAGTTGTACAATGTCAAGGACATTGTCAAGCTGGTTCAGGACCTTCATTCCTCAGAAGAACATTTACAAACACGTTGGTTTAATGCGATGCTAGGGAGGTTGTTTCTTGCATTGTACAAAACTCCTGAGATGCATGAGTTCGTTCGGAATAAGATCACAAAGAAGATTTCGCGAGTTCCTAAGCCGAATTTCATTTCCAGAATTGCGTTACGGAAAATAGACATGGGCCAGGGTGCACCGTTCATTACGAATCCGAGGCTCAAGGATCTGACTGTCGACGGAGACTGTACTGTGGAAGCTGATGTAAACTACAGTGGCAATTTTCGTATTGAGATTTCTGCAACTGCTCGAATCGACCTTGGCCAGCGGTTTAAGGCTAGAGAGGTTGATCTGGTGCTCGCCGTGGTACTTAAGAAGTTGACGGGTCATATGCTGTTTCGCTTCAAGCCGCCCCCGAGCAATAGGATCTGGTTCTGCTTCGCGAGCAACCCTGACATGACCATGTCCATTGAACCCATCGTCAGCGCCAGGCAAATAACGTACACGTTCATTCTCCGGGCGATTGAAAGTAGAATCAGAGAAGTCGTGGAAGAGTCGCTCGTGCTTCCTCACTGGGACGATGTGCCGTTCCTTGATACAATCTCCTTACCCTTCCGTGGCGGTGTCTGGCAACGAGAAATCCCAAAAATAATAGACAAAGTTGAAATACCGGACGAAACGGAAGAACATGACGAGTCCGAAGAATCTGTTGATACAATTCCCGCCGAGGCTTTGAAATCCAAGGATGACCGCAGCTCGAGTACTCCTGATTTCTTCAAACCATACCCACCGAGCTTGAAGTCTCGCAAGAGCTCTAAATCGACTTCTTCCGATACGCCGATTGAGGAGGGCGCTGCTTCGTCCTCAGTTGATAAGCGTATCAGCTCATCGCCTCCAGAAGCAATCCGCGCGCGAACCTTTTCCAACGTTATTGACCCCATTGTCACACTCGATCATGGCAAGGTAGACAGGGTTGATAGTGAAATGCCGAAGGTCAATGGACGAGACAAAGCGAAACGAGATGCAACCAGCTCGATGATTGAGATCAAGACTCGTTCTCAGTCTAACTCTATTTCAAGCACGCCGTACGGGTCCCCACGAAAGGAACATACTTTTGAGAAGCCTTCATTCCAACCTCAGGGCGAAGACCTATTTTCTACCGAGCCACTCGACATGAAAGAGAACGAAGACCCGCGACGCCCAGACTCTTCCCACTCCGAGGCCTTTTCCAGCACGGTGTCATTGACATCTACAATAACCAATGAAGAGAAAAAGCGCAGTAAACCGTTTGAGGGAATCTCAAGGTCATTGACACAGTCGAGCTCTGATAGACGCTCAACAATGGCTGCTCTGGGAACAGCAACAGCTGCTGCTGCAAAGAAATGGGGCTGGAATGTTCTGTCCAAGGGTGAACAAGGCAGGGCAGGAGATACAGGCCCGAAACCAGGCACACCAGAATACCCCATCGGACGCGGTCGTCCTCTACCTCCACCCGGCACTCCTCTTCCACCACCAGAACGTAACAGCTTCAAATCCAATTCCATCAACGTCCCGCGCAGAAAACCGGTCCCTCCACTCCCTGACTTTCTACAAAGCGACAAGCGACCTGTTCCACCGCCTCCATTGCCGAAGAGGAAAAACGCACCTCTCCGCGAGACCAACGTTATTTTTACCGACGAGGTCCTCGTCGTCCAAGCCCCGGCTGATTCCTCCGAGCCCAATAGCCCAGCAATAGCTGCTCCGCATGTCGCAGACCTTCAAATCGACGTCTCGGAATCGCAACCCCATGTACACCATCTACAGCAACATCAGCTTCCAAGCGATGATGGCCACTCGGACTCGGGCTTTGAGCAGATCGGAAGCGAGTCTGTCAATGACGCTTGCAGTTCATTGCGCTCGCACTCTACGTCATCCCTTCCAGCACCAGCTGGACCCACGGCAGCGGTGGTGACGAGTGACTCTAAACCAGAGCATGAAGATGATGATGAGATTAAGAAGGATGAACTTGCACGCGACTCTTAGATTTCGCTCCAGAAGGGTTTGATCTTGTAATTCTCTACTCTGCTTTATTTGGCGGCGCTGTTGTATTCATTTCCATTGTTTAAGTTAATGTGTCCCTGCAGGTCTGGTCATCTGCAATGGCGTTGGGTGTATGCTACCCTTGATATCGAACTGTATATATCGACTTGCTTGATAGTCATGGGTATTTATTATATTTGCTTTGCTACTCTGAAGGATGAAATAGTTATTTTTTCAATAATTGGACTCGTCGACTAATGAGCCTTGTATTCATGTAATTACACCACCTACATGTAGGCATCTTGATGCGTGGCCAGGCACAAGTAAATTCCATCAATTGATAGGGTGAATGTAATCGAGAGTATGTCACACAGTTATCAATTGATATGATCGCAATCCCATTAATTTATTCTGTTTAATCGGTAAACATGAAGCAGATAAAAATAACATACAAGATAAGTCAACTACTATTTCTATTTATTCTAAGATATGCTATCCGATACAGTCTTCTACTCATGAGCCAATCCTTCACAGCTTGCGGGTTGCAACAGAATCTACGGCAATCTTTCCCCAACTATTCAGTTTATCGTTTTCTATGAGTGGTTCGCGATAACCGTCTCTCGCTACTCGCAGTATGGACGCGGCAAGATGATGCACCATAATCGAATTTGCCAGTTTCCCAGCAACCCAGTTGCGTACCGAAGCACCCTCAGGCTGAACAAAGCCTGGTCTAACCAGATAAACCTCAAACCCTCCTTTCTTGGTGTCACGGCCGAGTTTAATAAGAGCATTCTCCAGTTCTCCTCTCATCTTTCTATTCTCATTCAGAAACCACAGCTTCTTATTCTCGTCTTTCTCCGTGAGTGCGCCACTGAGATAGACGAACTTAAATGTTCTCTGTTCCTGTCCTTTATTCGCGATGAATGCTGCTGAGAAGGTATTGGCCGTACCAAGGGCAAACTCGAAGTTGATCTTGCGATTCAATTCTGCGGGTCGGACTGGCACATTTGTACCTAGACAGTAGATACAAGCATCGGCGCTGCTCACTTCGGCGAGAATCTCAGGCGAATAATGCGAAAAGTCGGAGTGTATAATGACGCGAAGTTTTGGATTTGTGACGTCGAGTTCTCGTCGTGACAAGGCAATGATAGAAGATAGCTGGGGATGCAAAAGACATTGTTTGAGGACTTCTTTACCGACATAGCCGGTACTTCCGGTCAGAATGATTTTCATTGTCACAGGAGCTTCATCACGAATGATTCAAGGTTCACCTTGAATATTGTATGGTACGTTCTGGCTATTTATGATTGTTTTTTTACCTTCTTTACATCTTCTTTCCTTAGTAGTAACACTGAAGCGGCATTTACAATTTGCCCGACGGGAGGACCAAAATTGCCGAAGCCGGCTACACCTATTTGTAGGGGTTCACTAAATATACATCCTTCAGTCATCTCTAAATCTAAGTTATTCCGTGTAACCATAAAGTAATGAATGAAGATAATTTGAAATTCTTTATATTCCTTGTTATATTATTGAATAATATTGCTTAGTCTAAATATTACCTTTACTATTATGAAATATTTTGAGATCGAAATCACTTAAATTAGGGCTACTAGAAGAGCACTCGCAGGTTATTAGATAAAGAATCCATCCAGCGTGTCAGTAGCAAACATTTGAATTCAGATATCAGAGATACTTATTCAAAAGAGCTCTTGGAAAAGGAGGATTAAATATAGAGGTTAAGATAAGAACTTTATGTAATGAATTGCCTTTTTACACTAATTATATTATTACATGTAATATCAAGCTCTATAAATTTAAATCATCCTTGGGATGTAAGGCTATCAATGATATTGAATGTATACCACTGAAGTTATTTTAAAAAAAACACGCCCGTTAGCTCTCTAGCTATATTATGACGTTATAAAATATTCATGTATACATGTATTCATTAGCATAAATTTCAAAGCATTTTTCATTTGGTATTAAGAAGATTTGAGATACGGAACTCTTCAGAAATTTGTAGTAAGAAGGCCTGTGGGCTGTAAACATGCTGTTTAACATCTTTCTTTGGTAAATAATGGCCCAAGCGGTGTAGAAAACAGTCTTTAGACGTTTCAGTATCAGAATAAAATGAAGAGATGATGTTTAGTATACCGTGATAACTTTTTATTTTGGTAAACTTGGTCCCGATTCTATGTGTAACAGGGATTATAGTAAAATCCATAATTGAAACTTCGTTAAGGCTAACTCTCGCTATGCTCCTGTACTCTTCGTGTATTTGGTGATATTATCCCAGGCTGTCGCCTTTATAAAGTTGGTAGGAGTACGTCAATTGAGTGAGGAAAAGCCCAAAAAGACTTCTCAGCTCTTAACAAAACTAAACTCGCACATATCCAAGACTATCAGAAGCAGAAGGCCCCCAATAATCACCGCGAATAACTATTGATGTTTGACGAATTATAGTGCGATTTGATTATCATGCTCTTGTCACCAATTGAGAATACGAATTAGAAATATCACTGCTGTCTTATCCTAGGAATAACTTCGTAGGGCAATTTTTCCACGGAATATCTATATTTGGTTTTATTGTCATGATCCCATATTACATCTATTGATGTATCATTAGTCGAGTCTCTATATGGACATGTAACTTGGCTGTAGTATAACACAACATATAACATTTTCTCTATAATCTCGTTCAAATAAATCATTTGTTTTATCAAATAAAATATAATAATTAACAAGTTGACTTTTCTTGAACTAGACCCAAGCCTTATCTATTAGGCTTGTGCGATAACATGGGCTCGGGCATGAATACACCCACATACCCCAAGTGACTCACCGCAAGACTCCACCAAACAGGCCCGTGGATAGCCGTTGTTCGACTGGAGAACAACGATTTATCAAGGACCCTTCCCTGTCCTTGCACAGTAGTCCGTCGTCCATTAAAAACTATCGGATTCTTGGTAGCGATCCTGGATTATGATAAAAGGACTTTGATTGACTCTTCGCGATGGCTGCTCGCGGGAATCTCGCCACTCTTGCTCTTCATGCTGATAACGAACTACCTGAAGAGTCTGATGTTGCGCCTCCAATACACCTCAGTACAACCTTTCGGTATATAAACCAAGTCAATAACCAGGAAGCTCCAGAGGGACCTGTTGTATGTTCTTCCTGAATAGACAATATATGCCGAAAGTAATCAGCCTTACACCACTTTTGCAGGTTGGGCCATATATCTACTCTCGCACCCGTACCCCAACCCGCACTCGATTAGAAGTTGTGCTGTCCGCTTTGATTCATGGTCCCACGCTGACCTATGCATCTGGTGTGGCTGCCGTACACGCCTATCTTGTCTTTCTGAAGCCGAAGCGAGTGGCCATTGGACCGGGCTACTATGGAAGTAGAAATGTCGTTGAATTGCATCGGCAATTGACAGGGTGTGAGATCCTCGGCTTAGATGACCTCGATGCACTCCGCGAGGGTGATGTGATTCAACTAGAGACACCTGTCAACCCGACTGGCGAAGCAATTAGTATCGAGTATTTTGCAGGGGAGGCACATAAGCGTGGTGCCTATCTGGTCGTAGACTCGACATTTGGCCCTCCCGGCATCCAGGACCCTTTTCTCTTTGGTGCCGATATAATCATACATAGTGGAACAAAATACTTTGGAGGTCACCATGATCTACTCTGCGGGACATTGAGCATTCCGCCTGCTCGAGAAAGTGAATGGTTCGACAAACTACATTCACAGCGCACTATTTTAGGTAGTGTTCTCGGCAGTGTTGAGGTATGGCTTAGCCTTCGAAGCCTTCGAACTCTAGATCTGCGAGTCAAGCGTCAGAGCCAGAATGCGACGGCTTTGGTGCAGTGGATAGAGGATCAGCTGAAGAGTCAAGAAAAAAATGTTGTCAAGAGGACCGTAAGTGCGGTCAGACACGCTAGCTTGCAGATTGAAGAAATGCATTGGTTGCGTCAACAGATGCCGAATGGGTTTGGGCCTGTATTTGCTCTTGAAATGCTGGATGAAGACATGGCTCGTCGATTGACCGGGCTGCTGAAGCTCTTTCAAAATGCAACCAGTCTTGGAGGAGTCGAGAGCCAGCTGGAATGGAGGAGATTAGTCGATCCATCTGAGAAGCCGAACCTACTTCGTGTAAGCGTTGGTGTGGAGGATCTAGAAGACTTGAAAGCAGATCTCCTTGAGGCTTTTATAGCTCTAGACAAGAGTGGCTCTTAGACAACAATCGAAGTTGCCAACGTTCCTCGAGGACGGCCAAGCAAATTCATACATGTAGTAAAGCAAATCATACTTGTTGTCGCAAGTTGAGTAGATTTCTTGCAAGCTCGGATATCATTTTCTATATAACAGGCAGAACAATTGTATGGACATAGACGACGCGTCCATGCGGCGAATTGCCACGCCAAGACCGGATGCTCCATATTGCCTGCCTCAGGAACCGGCTAGTGTGGCTTGGACCGTTGTGGTGCACGAGGCAACCACCAAAAGGACCTTGGAACGTCATTACATCAACTCTACTTCCTGTGTCCGACCTTAAATTCGACTGCGACTGAAAACAGTTTCTTGCAGCTTCTCATTCGTCTTCATTTTCTCTTATCTTTTGTCAATTAATGCGAGAGTGACCACCAAATCAACCGGCGCAAGGTCGCCTCGTCCCCACCACTTGTTTGCTCTCCTTAGCTACCTATCCGTTGGCGACAACCCTACCTTACTTGCTGCTGTCCTCTTGAGTGCATACTAGTGACAACCTGTTAATATGAGCAGGTATGTGATAAGATACAGTGACCTAGGGTTGCAGATTTTGGAATATGCTCATGATTGCCGCGCAGGACCGAGGCCGATCTCGCGGTCAATATCCGCAAAGCTACTAGTATTGGTATGTGCATACGGAAATTCACTTCTGGATTGTAGTTATTTCTTGATATGAATAAAGCTAACCTGATGTGTTACTATAGAGGAAACTGCACCCAAGCGTATGCCACTTCCACCCAGACTGATTGCGTGACCTTTCGCCCTCGCTTTGGATCCCTGATATTGTATGTGTCTGATTTCCTCGCTAGGAAAACATGTGCGGAGCTGTATCGTTTATACATGGGACCACAAGTCCTCTGCTGCCTTTTGGGCGGGTATGAAAGTGTACGTGATAGCTATGATAAGCACCTATGGGTCTGAACTAATTTGGTTCGCTTTGCAGCCAACCGATCCTCGCAGACGAAGTGCAAACCTTCAAAGCTCTTATCACGATCCACAAAGTTCTTCAAGAAGGCCATCAGGTCGTACTTGAAGAAGCTCAAAACCATCGGAATTGGATTCTTAGTCTGACGAGCGGTGTCGGGTCTGATGGCATGCGGGGTGCGTTGCATTGCACACGGAAGAAGGAAGAGAGGGGATGCTGACTGTGAATAATTAGGATATGGTCCTTTGATTCATGAATACGTCACCTTTCTGCAATCTAAGCTAGAATTTCACGGCAACCATTCAGGGTTCAATGGTAGGTTTGACTTGGGTCAATGGCATGTCAGTCAGAGACTAAATCGTATGGGTCAGGTCTTTTCGAGTACGAAGAGTATATCAGCTTAAAGTCTATCAACGACCCGAATGAGGGGTAGGTTTTGTGATAGTTCAAGTATACCGAAGTGTGACAAATGTTGACATGTTTTAGCTACGAGACTATCAGCGAGTTAATGACTCTTCAAGATCAAATTGATATATTCCAAAAATTAATCTTCTCTCACTTCCAACTTGGGACGAACAATGAATGCAGGATATCCGCTTTGGTACCTCTGGTTCAGGAAAGTTATGGAATTTACAAGTTCATCACTAGCATGTTACGAGCGATGCATACGAGTGAGTTATCTCTTTTGTCTTGATGTTGAAAGCCAATAACTTATGTATTAGCTACTGGTGATGACGAGGCTCTTGAACCTCTTCGCAGCCGTTACGACGCACAGCACTTCCGTCTAGTTCGCTTTTATTATGAATGCTCGAATCTGCGTTATCTCACGAGCTTAATCACCATCCCTAAGCTCCCACAGGATCCTCCAAGCCTGCTGTCCGAAGAAGACGAACAACGCCCAGCACTCCCCAGACGACCAGCGAAGGAGACTGAGAGAGAGGCTACTCCACCGGCCAAGCCGGCAGCTGTAGAACCAGAACCAATGAATGAGTTCTGGAATAACGAAGCCAGGCGTCAGCAGGAAGAGTTTGAGGCAGAGCAGCGACGGCTGCAGCAGCAATGGGAGGACCAGCAGCGTCAACAAATGCTCGCCCAGCAACAAGCACAGCGCGACTTTGAGGAGCAACAACGACTACAAGCTGAACAGCAACGACTCGCTCACGAAACGCTTCTTCGAGACCAATATGCACAGCATACGCAAGGCCGGATGGCTGAGTTGGAACAGGAGAACCTCAACGCTCGTGCGCAATATGAACGTGACCAGCTTTTGCTGCAGCAGTACGACAAGCGGATGAAGGATCTCGAGGAGCAGTTGAACAATTTGAACAGCAACATCAATTTGCAGATGAGCTCAAAAGACGATCAAATCAAGGCTCTACAAGAGCAAGTCAACACATGGCGGACCAAATACGAGGCTCTGGCGAAGTTGTACTCGCAATTAAGACAAGAACACTTGGATTTGTTGCAAACAACAAAGGCCTTGAAGCTGAAAGCCGCTTCTGCACAGGAAGCCATCGACAAGCGCGAGAAGCTTGAGCGGGAGATGAAGACGAAGAATCTCGAGCTTGCTGATATGATTAGAGAGCGTGATCGTGCCCTGCATGACCGGGATCGCTTGACCGGAACTAACAAGGATGAGCTCGAGAAGGTCAAGCGGGAGCTCCGGCTTGCTATCGAGCGTGCTGAGAACGCAGAGAGACAGAAAGGCACTGAGATTTCCTCCATGTTGTCTAAGTATAATCGTGAAATGGCAGATCTGGAAGAGGCATTGCGGGTTTGTATTTCTTTTACTTCTAGATTGATATTTGTGCTAATGTTATTAGAACAAAACCCGTGCCCTGGACGAGTTTGCGTCATCTAGAGGCGAGCTCAGTGAAGATCACCACACTGCCCTGCGCGAGAAGGACGAGGAGATTGAAGTTTATAAATCTGGTATGGAGCAAGCGCTCATGGAGCTTGAAGAATTGAAGATGGTACGTTTTGATTTTCTACACGGTGTGACGTTATATACTGATCTATGTAGAATCAAGGAGATGCGGACCATGCCCTTGACTCCCAAATCGACGAAGTTCTGCATGGCACGGTTTCCAAAATCAACGATATCATCGACTCGGTTCTTCAGAGCGGTGTTCAGCGCGTTGACGACGCTCTTTATGAGCTGGAGTCTTCCATGCAAGCTGGTAACCAGAATGCATCTCCTCCATATGTGCTGTCTCAGATTGAAAAGGCGTCTGCCTCCGCCACTGAGTTCTCTACTGCATTCAACAACTTCATTGCCGATGGTCCCAACAGTTCTCATTCCGAAATCATCCGAACAGTTGCTATCTTTGCTGGTTCCGTGTCTGATGTCTTGAGCAACACGAAGGGTCTTACTCGCTTTGCGACCGACGATAAAAGTAACGACCAGCTGATTGGTGCTGTCCGTAAGCCCGCACTGGCAACTATCCGCTTTTTCCGTGGCTTGCAGTCATTCCGTCTGGAGGGCCTTGAATCATTGCAGAAGACAGACGTTGTTGTCAACAACAACCTCGAGGTGCAGCGAGACCTCCAGAGCCTTTCCAAGCTCGTCGATACCTTTGCCCCCAAGGGCAGCAAGATCAGCACATCTGGCGACCTTGGTGATCTTGTCGACCAGGAACTCGAGAAGGCGGCTAACGCGATCGATGCCGCTGTTGCACGCCTGGCCAAGTTGCGAAACAAGCCTCGCGATGGTTACACAACTTATGAACTCCGCGTAAGCGACACTATCCTAGAAGCTGCCCTCGCAATCACCAGTGCCATTGCCGAGCTCATCAAAGCCGCAACCGAATCCCAGCAAGAGATCGTCCGCGAAGGCCGGGGTAGCTCTTCTCGAACAGCCTTCTACAAGAAGAACAACCGCTGGACGGAGGGCCTGATCTCTGCAGCCAAGGCGGTTGCCACTTCTACGAACCGACTGATCGAAACGGCCGACGGGGTTATCTCCGGCCGCAACTCCCCTGAACAACTTATCGTCGCGAGTAACGACGTTGCCGCCAGCACAGCGCAACTGGTGGCTGCGTCGCGCGTCAAAGCCACGTTTATGAGCAAGACACAAGAACGGCTTGAAAGTGCCAGCAAGGCCGTTGGTGCAGCCTGCAGGAGTCTTGTTCGTCAAGTCCAGGAGATCATTGCGGAGAAGAACAAGGATGAAGGCGATGCTGTTGATTACTCAAAATTGAGTGGACACGAATTCAAAGTACAGGAGATGGAGCAGCAGGTTTGTCCTAGCCATACCCCTGTTCTATATTCACAACAGAACCCTACTAATATGGCATTAATCTACAGGTCGAAATTCTCCAACTCGAAAACGCACTCTCACGAGCTCGCACGAGGTTGGGCGAGATGCGCAAGATTTCGTATCAAGAAGAGTAATTTGGCCGAGAACATGTCACGGGTTTACCAGAAGATGTTGTACAGAGCGCCTATTATCTATTTTGCCATGTAGGAGGAAAAAAGGAAGGAAATAGTCGTATTATTCACACCCTTCTCCGATCTTTTGTTTGCCTTATTTTGCGCCAGAGTGTATATGTTTGCTAGTTGACTTTTTGTATAGTTGCTGTCGAGTATCAAGCATTAAGTCTAGTCTTTCTTTCTTACTCGGTTGATCTTTGATCTATAGGGCATAGTTATAGTATCTATCCTGTGGTGCAACAATGTGGTGTTATACTGAACTGAACCCATTTGTTGGCTCTGTATTTGAATGATGCTGTGTTCAGTAAGTGCAGTGTTTATGCATAGGTGAGCAATTCTACATGTGCTCCAGCATTCACATACACGTTTTCGAGGGTGGAGGGATACATGATTGTCGGAATAATTCTGCTGTGTAGCTGTTACATGGGACGATGGATCGGGCGATTGACGGCAGTTAACAAGCTATAGATATATACATATTGATGTTTGACTATGTTTCTTTTTTATAACTATGTAGCCATTCTTTATACGGACTACCGACCATGCTCAGGTCGTATACACTATCTCATACACGCAAGGGCTATAATAGTAAGGAGTAATGTAAACTCCTGACAACCTATCATGGAGAAAGCCCGATCTTGGTCCCCTCGGTTATTTCGCACAGAAGTTGACAGGCTATGGATTCGATTCCATCTGGTTCTGCTATATGCATGTTCCTGAATAAAGTATCCATTATAAACCTGATCCACCTAATTTTTTCTCATTTTAATACCTGGCCCGACCCGTTGCATATGGAATGTAGAATTAGTATACTAAGTATGAAGCTAGTATCAACGCGCAGGAAAATGGATAAACTAGTGTGGTCTATGCCTAGAGTTGGATCGAAGGCCTGGAGACTAGTTACTAGAATATGCTGTGTAAAACTCGAGCGACGCGAGTCTTTTGTTCCATGCCTGGGGTATGTGGATCATCATTGAAGACAATTCCATCTCCACACAGGTTCGGATTGAGTGTGCTGGGTGCCGGGCTGGTCTAAAGCGTGAGGCGGCTTGTTGGTCTGGAAGTGTCTTATTGTTTTCTTTAAATGTGTATTGGTAAAAATTTCCCGGGATATCTTTTCCACGTGGACGATTGGGCTGTCGTTGATATTGGCTATGTCGTACGAACGACGGGCAATATGCTGAATTGTTCCCCGAGTCATCCGGATTTAGATTTCAATTGCCGTAAGACTACATGAAAGATTGCTTTTTCCGAGGGAAGCATCCCTTTCCAAAATTTGTATTCACCACAATGGGACGAAGTTTATGGCAAATCAGTCCGAGTAAAACAATCGATATATCGCCGGAACTGGGACATACTGCGAGGATTGGACGGTCAATGCATTTGCTGCTGCCAAAAGAAGCCAAGGACCCGTAATTTTATCACGTTCTTTGTCCGATATTGTTTGGTTCTACATTTCGGGCATAGTGGGGGAAAAAGTCTGGAATTGAAGACCGTGCAATCCTTGTCCCATATCTGCAAGCGTCAAATAGCTCTTTTCTTCTCCTACCGCCACCCTCTTAAGAATAATGACCTTTTCTGGGATGGGGTCTAGATCGGGTGAACCCATTGTCAGGATTTCATACATGCACGAAGCCCAAACGCAACGGGAAAAACTATGGTGTGGATCGTAATGCATCTGTGCTTTTTCTTCGGGTCTTGTGTGATCCATATTTCTCCCTTCCCATTAATGACATTCCGCCATGACACGGTGCGCAAAGCCTCGTCACTGAAACGTACCATTCGTATGGATGATGTCGAGAGAGCGAAGACAAAGAGATTGATGGTGGTTCTTCGCTTCCGGGAGATCTGCCCAATTGATATACTAAATCCGTCGGCAAGCGAGGGTTGAGGACCCTGAATGTAGACGGACCAGTTACACTGCTCAAACCTAAGTAAAAGAGTGTCTGCATGTGTTTTTGTGGTGATAGTGCCTCCCGGTGGCTGTCTCGCTGACTCTTGTTCGACTTGGTTCCTGCCTACAAGGTCGAGGCGGCATGGACTGGCATGGATAGGACATGTTTCTTTGGGGCCCGTTCCTTCACGATGTAACTTCGCACAGTAATACAAGTCGTGGGGGTGTTGAGTCATCGGATTTTGGACGGATCCGTGTTATTTCAGTAGTTAGTCACTGAATTGAGGAATAGCGACCATACGCGATGACAGCGGTTAGATTAGAGACGGAGGACATAGTACGTGCATAGCAAAAGTTCCCCTAGCATCAACGCAATCCACGGATTTCATGGTCTGAAAGAAATATTATCCTTGCAGGCAGTACGCTGTTGACGATGCAGTAGGGACAGTCTTCAGGATGGTGTGGGAAAAAAGGAAACCACCCTACCTGCCCGTGACTGCCAGCTCTACGCTCCACCACGAAGACCAGGAAACTTGGAAACGCTGCATTTTGCCATTAGATAGAAATTGCTAAATCACAGGATAACGAGTATAGCGATGGCAGTCAGGCTGACTACATATTCTTGCGAGAGAAAAAGCGCCAAGCAAAAGAAAAGAACCATCACTTGCTCCAATGAAACCCCTATTCCTATTAACCAGCTTCACACCACACGCCAGGCCATGCAAACGCTAATGCGACTACAACGATGCAATATCATATCCCTTTCCTGAATGATGCTGCCTGGAAATCCTGCGACTGTCCTCAAAAAGAAAGACATTGAAATCATTTTTCGATAGCTGGACGGGAGCAACGTAAGAATTCCGAGCCGGGACTGAGGGAAGGAGAAAAGCAAAAAACACCTTGAGAAAAGAAAACCTGACGAAAAAGGAAATCATTATAATCATGAACTTGAAAAAGCAAAGACAGTCAACTTCGGAAGTCATAGCATCCTTCTTGCCCAAACAAACAGCAAGCATCGGCTTGTCCCGCCCTGCCATATTGCCGTCAGCCCGTACGGTAAAGGATGAAGAACTGTCGAACATGCTGGGGTTGGTAGAGGAGAAAAAATATGAGAACGTAAACTTGGTCGACGAAGAGTTAGGTCTTTCACGTCACAACGTAGGCCATAGATAAGAGGTAATATTTCCGCGCCGAAAGACTTAAAAGTCCATTTCGTTGATATTGTATGGATCGAATGGATCATTTGCCATTGGATCAAATGTTGGGAATGCTTGAACGGCAGGGTTGAATGGTGCATAGAAATCCGGATCGCCTGCATTAGCTTCACTCAGGTCAACAACCGCGCCATCGATGATCTTGAAAAGCTCGTATTGAGTTCGAACAGGTTGGTTAACACTGAGATAGCTTTTGATAGTCTGTCCCATAGCGGCATCAACAGGCCTAGAAAGCTCAGTGTCCTGTACTATACGGTTGACATCATCCAGATTAATCGGCGCTTGATCAGTTTGAATTGGAAAAATAGTAGGCTTTGCTGCGAAAGGGACTTGAGTAGTGTCGTCGGGTAGTTCAGCACAAGGCGAATCTTTGATATAGCCGCATTCATAACAATGATTCACAATATCTGCTACTGAATAGTTTGTAGCAGAATTAGAGGCATCTGGACCAGTAGAGGAGATACTCTGAACCTGATATTGCTGATCAGCCGTCGTTATTATTTGACATCCCATAGCTTCCAGATAGCTTGCAGGCTGAATGAGTCCAATGAAAGGAACCATCAAGTCAAGGAATGTATCGAGGGAGACATTGTCTGAATGATCATCACGCAAAATAGAGTAAGCCTTGGCGAGTATAGCCCATTTTCCTTTGTAAGGATCGATCTGCCAAAGGTATTTGATGATCCCAGACTTGGACTTCTGGGTCATATCCGTAAACATAGTAGAGTAAAAACCTAATTTTCCGTTAGCCATTGAATTTCGAAGAAATTTAAAAGGGGGAACATGTTCATACTTCGATATGCGATAAAGCTATTCAATGGACGAAGCTTCTTCTCAGTCCCATTCTTGCTGCGACTAGAACGACTGCTAACACTTGGAGATTGTGGCATTCCGTGACCATCATCGTTTAAAGAAATTGATTTGAGGACTTCACCAGCTTGCCTGAGGATAGAATTCTCGGCGAATGGCTGTTCCTTGCCACTTGAGTGACGAGCGAAGGAAATGAGCTCATTCAAATCTCCTGTTGGTAGGTTCAGGATGAACATATTGAAGGCTCGCTGCAGAGGATCCAAACCCTGCTGAGCAGAATAAGAAACTGGCATCCTGATTGTGAATATTCAGCAATGGAGGAGAAGAATAGATACGTAGAGTGTAAAATTCAAGACTGGATGTCAACAGATATCGCAACTATGATGGAAGGATGTGATGTTTGTTACGGTAAATTTGTTAGAAGAGATGAATTTCAGAAAGGATGGAAAGAGAGAGTCGACAAAGGAGAGGAGGGGGGAATATCACAGTCTTCTCATTATACTCTTTCTGAACGAGCGGGTTAGGGGATTGGCTGATGGAAGGGGCTGGGTGCCGGTCTACGGCAAACAAAGAAACGCCCGACAGCATCCACTCGCGTCCTCGATAGGTATCCACTACTGGAGATTCAGATGAGGCACCAGCCTCATACTTATTATTATTGATGCGAGGATGCTAGCTTGTGTTTGCCATTTCCATTTCAAGAACCACCCCACCCTCCATCACAGCAACACCCTCCAAGGACAACCCATTTCCACCATCTTTGCTCTGATTAAATCCACCAGCCGTAGATTCTGTATTAGCCTACAGTAAAGGAGCATTCTAAAATTATGGAAGATCCTTTCATCCTTCCAGACAACCCTGACGCTCCTCTGTGTGTAGGGAGCTCTCTAAGGTGGACCTTTGACAAAGGCGCTGTCGACGGTAAAGTTATTTACGTCCGCAATTTTTAGCTACAAACTAACATATAACAAGACCAGGGTGATGTCATACGTCAATGCGATCATCAATTTCTCTTGGAAATTCTTCTAATAATGGAACGCGGCTACGAGAATGTGTTGAAACATCTTTCTGTGGAGGGATGGGACGAGTCTTCGTCCATTGAAGACTTTTCGGCCGCACATCCAGTGATACCAGAAGAGGTTAAAGTGACATTAAATATTGAGAAGTTGAATCTAGACGATATATCTCGTGCAATCCAAGATACGTCTCGTCTGTTTGTCGAGATTTCGAGAGAGATCCGTCGTCTCCAGCGCTACCAGGGACTTTATCCCAGCCAGAACTCAATCAAAACTTTTATTATCCATCTGAAGTCCAAACTGTCAACGAATCACAAGTTATGGACAAGGGTCTCAACGAAAATAGGCGATGAACACTTCTGGGCAAGACTGGAAAAGTCAGAGTATCTGATCGAGTTATGGATCAAGACCCCTACATACCAGTATGATCTCAAGCCATGGCAACAGTTCCTTAACGAAGGAGCTCCTGGTAGTGGAATAAACGCAAAAGCCAAATTCCTCGGCAAAGTTCCCGAAAGTGACGATTTCGATTACTCAGAAATAACTACGGATAGCAGTTTCCAGATTATTCCGCCGGGAGGGATGGCAATTTGGGCTAATTGGTTCAACCATATCAACGAATTGGAACGAAGAATAAAGATGGTAGGTGGAATATTAAACTATCTCGAAAACTACTCTTTACTGATAACTATTTAACTGAAATAGACCATTGTGCCTGAGCGCTTCAAGTGTGCAGATCCTAAGACAGTGAGTTTAGCATGCTCAGGAAGAAATCCTTTTGACTCTTTTTTCAGGCCACAATGAGAACGAAGAAGGAAGTAAAAGAACTGGCGCCTATGTTGTTTAGACGTGAGACCATCCACGTAAGGAAAACCATTCAAGAATTCGTCCTTCGCTGACATGTTCCAAGTTCGACTTTGAGCCGAACTTATGGAAACCCGAAGGATCAGGTGGCGATCATGTATTTTCGCCGGATTTACTCCCTTTCTTCGATACTATCATCGGTATGAAGTTGTAGAGATCATATTAGTATGACGCTGACTTTGGTTCTAGGACACCTCGAAAACGCAGATGGTGCGGAGCTCGACGATGATGCTACTAATGGGATTCTTGTTGCTACTGAACCAGGCGACGAGCATAGAGTCATGCATCACATATTTTGACCAGTGTCAAGTCAATATTTGCACAAAGAAGCGAATCAATACTACGCCAGACACAGCGACTCGCTCTCAGGCAAGTATGATATAGGGTTATTATCTTGACGACTCGACTCATCTGCAGATATATTCAATCACGATCATTAATGCAGTCCATTATATCCATCTTACAGGATTATTCGAAACTATGTTGACAGCAGATTGAAACATCAACACAAATACTCGGATGATTGATCTACGGGATGGTATCTTGAAAGCTAATTCTTCGTTTTCAAATTTGCATTTATTGCACGGCTGCCACATTTGCAGTTCTTTCTTATTCTACGGGGTCTAGCATGAGATACGGGGAGGGGGTAGGTAATGAATGGACATCGTTTACGTTCTGTTTTGTTGTTATCTGGAATATTAACTGGGAGTTTACAGCGGTGGAGATGGGAATTACGGGTTTTAAGGGGTTTTAAGGGGTGACGATGTGGTTCCTAATGCAACTACTGCTCATGATATTGAAAGAAGATGCACGTTTCTGCTTGTCTTGTTTTTTTCCTTTTAGATAGCTTAGGCTAGTTCTCTTAATCAACGAGATGATGAATTTTCTATTACTGGAGTGTAGATATGAGGTATCGTAAGTGCTGCAAGCGTAACATTAGTCTTCTTTGGAGTCTTTTTTAGTTTGAACTTCATTCTCTCGTAGCAGTTTCGCGTAAATTTTCAATACCGGGCTTAACTGATGGTTTGACTGTATATCCGATACATCAAGATAGGCCTCTAGCAAGGTATAGGCGAGCGAGTCCTAGGTAGTCATGTGCCGTGTGCCCCAGGCAACGAGCCAGCCACGAGCCAGCCACGGTGGCGGTCTCAGACGAGGCGGGGCCGGCGAGAAGCAGCAAGGTTAGGCAAATCAGAGCAGGAGAAAAGGATGGCTGGGGAAAGAGGATCAATTGACGTGGAGGGCAGGAACACACCGGCGGGAGCGGTGCCGAAAGAGGAAATAATGAGGGCATCGCGGGCGGGTGGTGGGAAGGAGCAGCCCAATGCCAGGGAGCGGCGATAACAAGGCAACTGCCGGGTGAGGGTTCCTGATTGGGCATCACGGCTGTCCATCTGGTGAGCAGACCATGTGATGTGCTGCGCCCTGAGAGATATATTGTTGCCCTGTTGGATATAGTCACAATTGGAATGTCTGCGATAGCCCGACGAAGGGCTCAGCCGGTCTGTTTCAGCCATGCCAGTATGTATGTATGTGTCTGAGCCTGTTGTGGGCTGCGTAAAATAGCTAGCATATAATATAGCAGAATTTCCGCCCTCCTCACTCCCTCTCGCAAACGAATACACCTAGCCATTCCAATCGCTCGCCCAGATAAATGTCCCGCATCGCCACTGCGTCCCTTTCTCCTTCTGCCCCGTCGGGCCCAGCGGTCGCGAGCACATCCAGAAGGACCGCCCACAGTTGACACCCGCTTTCTTCGTGGTCATCATCATGCAGGGCTCCTGGTGCTCTTCGCATTTGGGTGCTTCTTTCTTGGTGAATAGTTTCGACCATGACTCTTTGCTAACGATGGGATCAATGATAGTCTCCTCTTGCGTGTCTGATGTCGATGTTTCGGTTCGTGCTGTAGAGGGCTCAGAGATAGATGTCGTTTGTTTCGTAGGGCTGGTTTGTGACGTGTTGTGCTGATTGTTACCTTGTGGTTGCGCTTCTGCCGTCTGCTTGGGCCGGAAAAACCCCATCAGGCTTTGCTGTCCCTTGCTAGACTCGGATTTCCCAGACGATTTGGTCCTTTTGGGAGGCGGCGCGGAGATATTCTCGGCACGTAATCGTTTAGAAGTACCATTCGAAAGACTGCTTGGTGTCCGTTCAGTTACCGGTAGCGTAGGCTTGGATTGCGTTTGGCCTAGTGAAACTGCATCCTCGAGGTTGGGCTCGGGTATTGTTGGCGTCTGGCTTTCCTTCCCAGGAGCATTCTCTGGTGTGCGGCTACCGCTCGAAGACAACGAGGATGGTTTTCCGAAAAACATATCCTTAATGCTTCTACGACTGTTGAATTCCGGGATAAGACGACCAGACAGAGGCAGCAGATCCTTGGTTGAATATTCTCGTTGCCGTTCTCCATCCTTAAACACCCCTGGAGGATTGACTATGTCGTGAATATCGACCCGAACGCCATCAAATAGCACTTTATCATTGAAAACGGCAAATACGGGACAATGGTCAGAGCCCTTTGCAAGTTAGCAGCACGTCCAAGACAATTGGTACATGACAACGGACGAACCATGAGACCCTCTTGGATGTTTGAGTCCGCCCACCAGTCCTTCATATCGAGACTACTGAGAACGTAGTCGATCCTTGCACCATAGTTACCCGGTCTGGCATTCACCCTGGTCTCCCAACAGGTATACATGCCTCTTCTTCCAGGGTGGAACGATCGACATATATCATATAACGCGGGTGTCTCCCTTCCTTCGTCACGCTCGCTGATCACCTTCGTCCCTTCAACTAGCTGATTGAATATACGTCGCACAGGGGACGACAAATACTCTTCTTCATTCCCAGTGCCCTTGCGTATGGCTTCTGTCAAATGGGCTGAATCAATTTCGCCGGTCGAGATATTGAGGTCGCCGGTTAAAATTACTCTTTTCCCCATCGACACAAGGTTCCGAATACGTGCGTCCAGCAGGCTTACAAACCCATGTCGAAAATCGTCTCTGGTCTCATCACGGGCTGCTGGACTATATACGCCGAGAAGGACAAATGCTGGAAATTCAAGGACAACACAGCGTCCTTCACAGTCAAGCGTAGCAGCCTCGACTTGGACGTCGGATAACTGTTCGATAGAAGGATATCCGCCGATTTGCTGATCATCAGGCAATTCGCGAAAGGGCGTTGTCGAATTCGGCGGGCATAAGAATCCCGTAATCCCTTCCTCTGCGCGTATTGGCGCACAACTTGCATTACGTGTGTAGATAACTACTCCAGAGTAGCCTAGAAAATGTTAAACCAACCATCCCATCTTGTCAGCGTGTACTTACCTTTCTTGTGCTTCGGTAAACTGAAGAAGCAATCCCATCCGGGGATGAGAACCATGTCATCCCGAAGATCTTTCCTCTGAATTTTCGTTTCTTGGAAAACGACAATGTCTGCTTCCAGAATATCAAACATAGCCTGACAAGATGAAATAAGTAACTATCCACTTTCCGAGATGCCGCTTCTTACATCGAAGGACCGATTGTCTCGCCATGGCTGATATCCGAATGGATTTCTACAATATATAAGTAAACCTCCAGACGCCAAGTGTCCTGGCAGGAAACAGCTATACTTGCCGTATACCATTTACTACAACAGTGTCAGCATTGATTCGAAATTGCGATCGGACAAATAAATACCATTCCATGTTGTGATGCGAAAGCCCATCGCGACTTCTCTAGCCACTCTTTACATTCTCTGTTCAGAATCAACGCTTCCTATCAGACCGCATGTCGATATTTTCTTTTTTCCCAGTTCATGTCTGTTGCGCTTAAGGGTGACACGGAATCCCGTGACCTGATGCCGTAAACTGTTTTGAGTGATGTCACGGCTTGGCAGCCCACTCTAGCCGGCGAATCACGGGATCTCTAACCGATTTCGACCACCCACCCGAAACCTCCGTCGACATCGTACGATCGACGACCTTGAATACCTCCCTCTGATCAATCTCCCCTCCCCAACTACCGTACGGGTATACCAACCTCTTCCAACATGTATCGTCTCGGCCTTCGTACCGCCCAGCAGACCCGTGCGGCTCCTGTCCGCCGTCTCGTGCAGCGTCGCTTCAATAGCACTGAGAACAAGCCGTCTTGGATCGTCGACAACGCGTTCAACCGGGAGCGTGAGAATGTCAAGCACCACGCCGCTGCTACCAGCAGTACGTTATCTTTCCTTCTGCGAATTTGGGTGGATATTTGTGTCTGTGTAATTGGATTGGTGGAGCTAACGCAATGTTTTCTTTCTAGCCCTCTGGCGCAGACTTTCCATCTAGTATGTGGGATACTGTTCAATTGAGAAGGAGATATGTCGGGTGATGCTTACATTTGATAGCGCTGTTATTCCTTGCTTGATTTTGGGAGGCGTCAATGCTTACAACCTGTGGAATGAGCATTGGGAGCACTGGAGCCACCTACCCCCTCTCGAGGAGCGCACTGAGTACCCTTACCAGAACATCCGTTCCAAAAACTTCCAATGGGGAGATGGTGACAAGGTTAGTTCATTTCTTTGCCAAATAATTTACTTACATGCTAACGGGTTATTAGACCTTGTTGTGAGTCAAACTTGCGAACCTAGCAACGGGCGAAATTCCGTATAATTGAATGCTAACTGGAACAGCTGGAACTCCGAGGTCAACTATCACAACCCTGACAAGACCAAATAAACAAGTCTGCACCGAGTCGAGCTTGAGTTAAGTGTGAACATGCACTACGATAATTATCTCAGGTGTTGTATAATTGGTCTGCCGACGGACCGAGTACGAAAATTCAAGAATTATTTGATATTCCGAACCTGACACTAGAAGCTCAGGCCACAAATTTTGTGTGGATTATTGTGCCTGGCTGATACTACCCATTTGTTTCCTTTGTGATGTAACCTAGATCAAATGCAATGGTTTTCAAATCTTTATTTGGCTACTGTAATAGCACCCTGCTGGGCTGCTGTGTAGAAAAATTTGACCATCGTTGGCATGACAAACATGACTCTGATTGAACGCTAATTACTGCTGAGCGGATATGGGTATAACCTGAAAGCCAATCATGACACACGATGGGTAGGGGTAAACTGGCATTTAACATGCATAAACAACAACGATCACTTCAAACGGAAGATATACGACGGCAAGGCCTTGATAACCTGCCACAGGACGAACAGCATCCCCCGTCTCATACCTACATCATACTCCAACGCCCGATCACCGACGTCTGCCATGGTACACACCATCTCTGCAACGGGACCGGGGTATGTTGCTCTAAGATATGCTGCAACAAGATCATTCCCATTTGTGATTCCGCCTATCCCCATCAGTGCCCGTCCAATTACTAATACGCTTCAATTAATTGAGAAAAGAACTTACCAGCAGACCAAATATTTCCATCTTGCACCCAGCGCAGAGTATTATTCCACTTCGCCTTGGGAAACTTCTTCTGCAACTCGGGAATCAAGAACTTTGGGCCTGAGGCATGTCGACCGTCGTATATCCCGCTGTAACCGGCGGTATATGCGGCGGTGCAGATGACGAGAATGGTGGTATTGTGCTCGTTATGTGCACGCAGGAATTCCTGCGTTTCCTCGTCTGGTATGGTGTTTGGATCTGGGCCGGGGAGGAATAAGACGTCTAGATTGCCTGGTGCGACCTCCTTGTCGGCAGTGGTGTGTGTAAGAACGATGCCCGATGTGGCCGTGACTTGTTGGATTTTTCTGTCCTTGTCGCTCTCGTTATCTGTGGAAGATGCGGATTTCTTGCCGATGTTGTAGATTTTGCAGGGTTTGGCAAGTGAGACGATTGGAGGTGGGATATTGCACAGGGAGAGGTATTCTGGTGTCGCCATGGCGAAAAGGTCGATCGGCGCAAAATCAAGGAGTTGTACAGGGGCAGTCAGCAGCACGCCAATTTTTAGTTCTTTGGATGATGACATGGTTTTTGGTGGTATCGACCGCAATGATATGGGATACGAAAGTCAATGGGTGTCAATTATCTGGGAACCTGCATGCTAGGGATAGCTACAATCGCTACGGTTTCAGGGATATGCGCTTTATTAAATACATATCCATGAATTGAACGTATAGGCAGCCAAAGTTTCGAATGCGACTTAGAGTCTTCTAGTTGAAAGTTTGGAAGACCTGATTCCGAATGAACTTCGATCTTGGGATAGGTTTCGCGAAGCTACGTACCAGGCAGCAGCATTTAAGGGATGGCTTCCAACGCAAAGAACACAATCGGGACTTCGATTGGTCATGGTGGAGTTTACGATGGACTGGAGTGAGAACATTAGAGCAAATTAATTTGCTTTCTAGTATCACGTTTTGCAGCCAGCCTCATGATGATCCCTGGAAGCTGAAACACATACGCGCTCGGATTTATATACCGCTCGCCGTTAGCTGCACGTGGGAATAACCTTAATCCGGAACCAACCGTGGCTGTTCGTTGTCGGCTCCACAGCTCCCTCTCATCTTCAATACCTTCAGTCCCTGTGCATCGAGTCTGTCTTGGCAACTAGTTGAAAGGCGGCTGCATTGAGAAGCTAGTCCGATAAACTGCTCGGCTTTGTGATCGGAAACTGTAAGTTGTTCATATCCTTCGCAAATCCTCGTCTAGTTACCCCGCAGGGCTCCCCTCCTCCCCGTCAGCCCGCATACCAGACTCGTGCCCCTGACATCAGGCTAACCCTTCGTTGTTGTCAAGATGATTGAGTTTCTGTCCAATTGGGAGACAGTTCCTTTCGCTTGCAAGCTGTGCGGGCTCAATGCTGGAAAATGAGCAGCGTGCGAGATGCTCAGAACTTTGCCGTGAGTTTTGGAGGGCCGGTTGGCTGGCTATGCGGGGCGCGATACTGATACGATCGTTTGTCGACTAGTGCGATGAATGCAGAGCGAGAAAATCGAAGGTGGGTTTAGACTCTCTATGTGTTTGAGAAAACCTGCGAGAACTGTAGACTAAGGTCACTAGTGTTCCAAAGGAAAACCAATTTGTGACCAATGTTTGAAGATCGGCAAGGAATGTATCTACAGTCCAAAGGTCGTCCGGAGTCCGTTGACTCGCCAGTATGTATTTTCCTCGAAAACACCCATATGTCACATGCTGATAGTCTACTTGTGCAGGCATCTTACATACGTCGAAGACCGTCTGAGCGCGTACGAGACTGCCCTTGGAAAGTTATTCCCCGGCGGTGATTTGGACAGCGTTGTATCCTCACTCATTCAGGATCAAGACCCCCGTCCGAGGGCCTCGCTCTCCCCGTCTGCGTCTTCTAAAGACTCTCCATACCCCCGAACCGAAAGCCGTCATTCGCAGCCCGCCGCAGAGGCTGTTCCGCAACAAGCCGATGGCTTCGACTGGGCCGAGCGGGAGATCTCTCTTGGCGATTTAGCGGATGGAATGGCTGCGCTGTCCATACGGCCGGAAGGTGCTGGATACTTTGGAGCGTCGTCAAGTGTCGTGCCGTTGCGAGCGCTCACAGATCATGGATTTGACTTGAATATCCCTTCACCAGGCGAACATAATGCCGGCGGTTTCCATCGAACTGCACCGCTGAAATCTCAGCTTATCAGCTCTGCGCCTTCGGGTCTCGTGGAGCAAGCCTTTATTGACGCATATTTCATGAATTACCACAGCAGCTATCCCTTTGTTCATGAAAGTACCTTTAGAGCGCAATATCATGAACAAATCCCACGACCTCATGGACAGGCATGGCAGATTTTGTTGAATACCATTTTGGCACTGGGAGCTTGGAGTATCGGAGACGACAATTCGGATTTGGATATATCTTTTTACCAGGAAGCCAGGGGATATTTGCAGCAAGCATCGGTGTTTGAAATGGGTAATCTTACTCTCATACAGGGGCTTCTGCTTCTTAGCAATTACGCACAGAAACGCGACAAGCCGAACACGGGCTGGAACTATCTCGGACTGGCGGTGCGCATGTCCATGAGTCTTGGCATTCACAAGGAATTCCCTGGTTGGAAAATCAGCTTGTTGCAGCGCGAAATCCGGAGACGACTGTGGTGGGGTGTGTTTATATTTGACAGCGGCGCTGCGAAGACTTTTGGTAGGCCAATTCTACTACCAGAAGAGACTATTATGGACGCAAGACAGGTTCTCAATATCCATGACGAGTCTCTGACTCCTGCCACAACAACTCTGCCTCCAGAATCCAACGGGCCAACGCAATATACTGGCCTTATTGCGCAGACGAAATTCCATCTCAAGACCAACCATGTCTACCAACGATTGATTTCAAGCCCGAGTATCACCGCTGAAGAAACAAAGGAATTGCATAAATATATGGAGGAATGGTATAATGAGTTGCCCATGTATTTAAAGGGTCGCTCGCCTAATGAGCCTGACTGGCTCGCGTTGACACGCAATCGACTCATGTGGCGGGACTGGAATATGCGGATGCTAATCTACCGACCAATCGTCCTCCGCTGGGCTTCGGAACGCTGGACATCCACAGACTCACTGGACAACCAGGAAGACCCGGCAGAGCGAGAGTGCAGACTTTTATGTTTGCAATACGCCCGTACGAGTATAATGTCGATATCCGAGTTTATGGAGAACCACATGTGCACTAGGCTCGGCGCATGGTACATGCTCTACTTCCTTTTCCAAGCCGCCCTCATCCCCATCGTCTTTCTTATGACTGATCCCACCTCACCGGACACTTCGTCCTGGTATCAAGACGTTGAAACGACAAAATCCCTGCTTACACACCCCACGCTGAGCAACAACCGTCTCGCTGCACGCTGCCTTGATGTTATCACCCGTCTTTGCTCCCCAATTCCGTCAACTGAAAACCAGCCCCCTGACATACAGGGACAATTCGTGATGAATCCTCCCGGTCAGATATTTAATAACGCGGGCGCCTTTGGACTGTTTCAAAATGAGTTTGGAGGTGCTGGGGCTGTTGGGATTGGGCCGCCTGGAGCGGCCGGGTTTAATTTGGCGGAATGGGTGAATTTTCCAGGACAGGAGAACCTGACTTAATCAAATTGCCGATCCAACCCTTTCACAACATTATTACACTACGTTTTGTAGATGATACCAACACGCTTTTTTGTTATGCTATATATAGCATCCGCCCCTTCTGACACAGACGGCAGTTCCGCCATCACCTCGCTGCATATGTATCCGCATGCGCATGTTCCTGCTGCTCAATATCCGCTTTGAGAACCTCCTCACTGACAAGCGGTGTCCCACGCAACTGGGCTTCGATATGGACGATCCGTTGCTTTTCTTCGTACGCCGCGGTGTCGCCGAAAATGAGATCCATATCTTCCAAGGTCTGGCCAGAGAAAGAACAAGATCTGTCAGCAAATGATCTGGCTAGTCCTTTGTTGGATAATTGAACATACCTTTCCCCTCGTCTCCGGAATACAGAAGAACGTAAATGCAAGTGCTAGGAGACAGAATGCTGCAAAGAAGATGTACGTTCCCCAGGATATAGACGTCAGCATATCGGGTGTTACCAGGCCGATGATACTAGTGATATATCAGCAAGATGTATCCTAGTATCAGATATGAATAACGGATAATGGGGCATCATACAAGTTGCACATCCACGTCGCCGAAGTCGTGATAGAAATAGCTTTTGACCGGATCGAAAGATTGAAAATCTCAGACGGAAGAACCCATCCAATCGGTGCTGCAAATATTTTGTAAATCAGCATGTTAATAATAATCTTGTGCGGTCTTTCAAGTTGATATCGATGAATTTTGTTAAGCTTACCGAAGGAATATGAAAAATGGATATCATAAATATAAATAAATGCGATCCCAGCCCATCCAGCAGCCTTGTGATCGACTAGAGCAGATCCATAAGCCCCGAGAATTCCGCCGACGATTACCAGCGAGATGCATGTTCCGAGGGCACCCGACATAAGCAACTTGCGGCGACCTATCCTATCGATTAGGAATAGTGCTGGGAGTGTACTCAGACAGTTTACAATGCCGTAGACTCCCGTGGCGAGAAGAGATGTGGTGTTTCCGCTCAGGCCTAGTTGGGAGAAGATTGTTGGAGCATAGTATATCATTGCTGTTTCATCAACATGTTAGTCGAGGCACGTACATTTACTTGAAAAAAGGGACAGGAGGAGAAATGTACCATTGCAACCCATAAACTGCTGAAAAAACATCACACAAGACCCAATCGCCAGTCTCTTAAAACGAGCCCACGTCGTCACCAAAGAGAAATATTGCGCAGCATGCAGTTTTATACCTGACAATCCCGGCCACTTCTCTCTCGCGAACGTGTTTTCGAGCATAATCTGTGCTTTGATTTCCAAATACTCTCGCATCAAATCTGGGTCATTCCGCGAGTCATCGTGCTGCTGCCGTTGCTGCTTTCGTCGTAACCTGGACAAACTGGCCAGTGCATCGTCGTCGCGTTCATGCATGAGAAGCCACCGAGGGGACTCTGGGAAGAATACCATTCCGATTCCCAGCGTCAAGGCTGGAAGGATCTGCAGGGCGAAGGGCAGACGCCATGATGCCTCGGATTGTCCTGTGCATTGCCCGTTGGATGGGATGTCTGCGTATGGGTTGAAGATGCGAGAAGAGGCGGTTCCGCCAGTATACGGGATGTTAGGAGCACACCGTGTCCCGCCGATGTAATTTGTGCCATAGTCGATCCAGAAGCTAACTAGGATGCCGATTGTGACGGAGACTGAGGGTATTAGAGTAGAGATACGAGGAGGGTGGAGGTTGGGCTTAGGGCTTACGTTGTTGGAGAACGACGAGGCCACCACGAATCTCAGGGATAGAAATCTAACAGAGTGTGGGTAAGATTGGAGATTATATGATTATGGTGTAGAGCATACCTCGGATATAAATAGAGGAACAACTTGAGTCAGTTGTCCAATGGCGAGACCGGCAATGGCTCTTCCTAAGGGGAAGAATCAGAACTCTGTTATCATGCAGTGGTGATTCTATTTCAGACATACCAACAAATAGCATTGGAACCGTCACAGCACCGCACTGAATCGCCGAGCCAACGACAAAGATACCCACAGCAAGGAACATTGAGGCCCTACGTCCTAGACGGTCACTAATAGGGCCGTTGCACAGCGAGCCAAACCATGCAGCTGTAGACATAATTAAATATTATGCTCGGAGCATCAGAAGGCCATCATACCTAGCAACAATCTTGACACAAACCACCCCTTGAACCCGCTATCACTGTACACACGTGGGAAGCGTGCACCGAATGACTCCATCGTCAGAATACCAGAGACGACTCCCTGGTCATAACCAAATAGCAGACCACCGAGGGTCGAGAACTGGGATATGACGGTCAGCTTTATACAACAAATAGAACGTGCGAGATTGACTAACAAGGGCAACGCCGAAAAGATACGGATTCTTGTAGATAAGACCAAAACCACCCCTAGGAGCGGTTTGCTCTTCTGCATCTGTAATTGAAGCCATGGTGATTGGTAATGCGCTCAAACGAGAGGCTTCACTATGCTGACGGGATGTAGTAGTCACGACCGAACAGGACATGTAGGCTTTATACCTCGGTGCGAAGAAGACAAGAGACCCGTTCGTCTTGTCTGATGCTTGTCCTCGTGGTAGCTATGACCGATTCAGTGTAACGGACAACAGTAGTCCGGCAAATAGGGTAGCTAGTCCCCAGTCTTCTGCTTGTGTCCCGTTTGGAGAAGAGACTGGGAACCCGGACAAAGTTCCGGGGATTCTCTGACTGTATACTTCTCGTCCAAGTTTCCAGAATTCAGGAGGAAACAACCTAAAACCGGAAAGAATAATCACGGAGAACTGTGCTCCGGAAATATCGACATATAGGATTGCGTTGCTCCGTGAGACGGATCTTTTCTGAACCTAGATGTTCTGGGCTAGGTATCCTTGTATAGAGGTTGACAGCAGATGGTTGACATATGTACCGGAGACTTACCGAGAACACCAGACGCCTGCATTCGTACGAGACACCGAGTTCTAATGTCCATATTTTTCATATACGTATAATATTACCTGCGGTTATTGACCTCGTTCTGATCTCCACATGTAGAGCTGCACCCCGCATTTTTTGGATCGACAGCCGGAGGGAAGCCCGACGACATTAAACTACATGAAATGAAGCACGATGCCATATACAAAACTGACGAACAATCTATTTCTCACCAAAACAACACCTAAAAATAGAATGAAGGGCAAAAATCCAAATTTGACTAACATCCTCTGTAGTGGAAGAACTAGGTGGAAAGATTCCCCAGTCTCTGCTCCAATTCCACTGCTCTACTCACTCCTTCAACCTGTTGATGGTGCTGGCCACCAACCGGAGCACCGCACTCCGGGCATCGAGCCTGTTGCATCGGCATGCCGCATTCTCCAATCGTGAACGGATGTCTATTGACACAGAAGTACCAATGTCCCGTGCCGCGGAACTCGCCCGCCATCGCCTCAATCACTGCCAGTCGCTCTGCATTGGTGACGGCAGTGTATAATGTGCCTTGATTCACCATTTTTTCTGCCTCGTCAACCTCTTGTGATAGCCCCGTCGTTTGGCCAGGGTTTTCTTGGCACAGTCGTCGTGCTCTTTCAACTGCTATCGTGCCATACTCCATCATGCGTTCTGGTTGGGTCAGGTTTTCTCTATGGCCACGTTCCAGAGCATAGAGCTCTGCGAGAAAGATATGCCCTTCAACCTGCAAATACGCTCTGTTTGAGCTGGCCGCCTTGTGGATAAGCTCTTCACATTCTTGTCTCTTCCGGTTTAGGTTACCTGTATCTCGCTATCCAACGCCATCTTTCGAGAGAGGCCTTTCCTCCGCAATGACAAAAAGTCGGCGATGAGAGCAGTATCAAGACGAATCAATAGCGCAGCCGCCATCAAGAAACCTCTTATTCTGCAGAAAACTTTCGTGGAACTTGAAACCTACATCGGCTTTCTTCCGTCTCCGCATATTCTCCACTTTGTTGAGGGCTGTTCGTCTTTCGAGACCTTTTCGAGATATATCAACAATCGCTTTCGTAACGGCATCAGCTCACTCCAGCGAGACGGTTTGCACCTAGCTAATAAGTTAGATAACATCCTAACCTGATTATCGCACGGCCCTTCGATCCGTATTATCTTTGTGCCGTCGAATACCGCTGAAAATTTGAAGTCCGAATCATCTTGGAGGCTAGCCAGATGCTTGCTCACATTAGTAGCAATGGGGATGTACTCGTTGTTAGAATACAAGATGAATTTCTTGGTGCACTCGTCTCGCAAAGCACGGCGTACAAGTCGGCCATATCGGGCGATATCTCGGAGGGAACCACGACATGTGGCACATCTCTTCACATCATCAATTGAAAAGGGCTCAGAAGAAGAAGCTATAGAAATCGGAAACCCTTTCGTGTCCAAGTTATAACGCTTTTTCCAATCAAATAGACCATCCATGCTCTCCATAGTTAGAAAATGGTGACATTGAGGAAAGATGCACGGATTCTCGTTTAAATCAATTTCCTCATAAGTCTCTCCTAGAATAAAATCGACAGCTCGGTGTTTGACATCTTCGCTAGCACAAATCTGACAGAATTCGATAGGGGGACAGCTTTCTCCACAAACAGATGGACCGCACGGCAGCTTCTTCTCACATCGTTTTGAACATGGGGCATGGCCGCAGGGAGCAGAACATGGCATCGAACATTTAGAACGTGGACAGGCTGATAGACAGATATCCTCGGCACAAGGGATACAGAGCTCATGGTACTTGTTGCCGTACTTGGAGTGGCCGCAGTGGAAATCACAGGGTTTGTTGCAAGGAGGGCACGGCTTCTCACCATGGCATGAAATCCCGCATGAATGAGAACATGTTGATTGACCACGCCCACAATTTTGCGTACAAAGAACCATGATTTGTAAGAAGGGTTCCTGATTCATCACGAGAAATGCATTGATGGCATAATCGCTTACAACTATGTCCACAGGGCAAGTTTGACCTGCACTGCTTTTTGCATTTATAATCATTTTTTGTCATATCGACATAGCATAATTCGCTGACCTTGTGGTTACAACCAGGAATTGTCTTGTCGACTCTGACTGTACAGCGAAGATTTGAGAGGTTCTGTGCTTCCCAACATTTTAAATACGGTGCTGCATGTACACCAAGTACACGATGAGGATCATGAACTTTAACGGTGCATTTTGTCACACATTGGTCTCCACATTTCTTTGGACATTGGTAGTCGCACCCCTTGAGTGGCCTTGGGCAGTCCTCCAAGCAATAAACCGCGCTATGCAATGTAACTGAATGGCACTTCTGAACGCAAGCATGGCCACACGACAACCGGTTGACGCATCGAATATTACAACCTCCCTCTGGCGAAAATTGACTGAAGTGGTCTAGTTCCGAAACAAATAGGTGTATCAGGATGTCGTGGGCACCGTAGCTCCAACTCAGTGCCAAAGTTGTCGTTGCTCTCTAGGAGTTTGATAACATCCGCCCACATAGGGACGTGAGCTGATGTTGCAGAGTTCCCGATAATGTACATACCATGTCTTGCTCTAGAAAGCAAGACATTAATGCGATTTGAAGTACGTAGAAACCGCATTTATTCTGGCTGTTGCTTCGCACCAGAGATATCACGATCACTTTAGCCTCTCCTCCTTGAAAGTTGTCGACCGTCGCTACTCGGACAGACTCAAGCAATGTCGTTTTGATAAACTTCCTATATTTCGAAATTCTCTTGTTCTCGAGCTTAGTGTTATCTGGTAGTCCAGCTTTATCTAACTGTCCTTCATCACGTTCGTCCATCGAAATTCTCGTGAATTGTCCTATTTCCCTTCGCAAACGGTGAAGTTGTCCAAGGTAGGAAGTCAGAACAGCAATATCACCTTTCTTGTATGTTCCCTGCGAAGTTAGATGCTTGATAAGTGCTGCTGTAAGTTGTATTTCGTGTTGGTTCCAGTGAGAAGTTGCCAATGCATCGTCCCCAGAGGACCCTGCTTCCGGCGCACGGTGATCCAGCCAGAAAAGTCTGCGGCGCATACCCATCACTTCAGGATATACACAGACCGAAGGTGCATCGCTCAACCTTGGATATAATGTCTTCCTTATTAAATGTGCAATCGAAGGATGCATTCGTCGTTGTGTCTCCAGAGTATTGAACGGAACTTGGGCGCCATCTTCGGCGTTTTTGTCTACTAGTCTTTCGAACAAAGATACGTCTAGAGCATATTTTGACCCCCTCTAGGATTTTCTGACGATAAATCATAGTTCTGGATTTGTGATCGTAACTGAAGGTGGTCACCAATGAGGATTGCTTGCTGGACCGAAGGGAGAAGCGCAGTGAGGAGATTTACCTCAAGAACCTCCCCAGCTTCTTCACAAATAACGACTTTTGACTGTAAGCGTTGCAAAAATTTCAGATTTCGAGCCAAACCACTCGTAGTGATGCCAATGACATCCGCACTTTGGAGGAGTTGGAGATTCATTTCGTCCCGAACATCGTCAAATTTTAGTTTCGCATCTCTGTGATCTAAAATGGCTAGGGTAATATCCCTTTCCTCCTCTGATCGAATCTCTTCAAGCCAACTAGCATGTAGATTTCTCCTTTCTTGTGTCGTCATTGTCTCAAGGTCTGAATATTGGAGTTCCTGGATACTTCGAGAGGGGTTCTCATTCTGTCGTCCTTGATGCAGCCACTGCCCAATAGCACCATTACTTCCTCTAGAAGAATACCGATCCCACCCATCGATATTCTTTTCAAACAAATGGTGGTAATGAAGTGGATGCCTTTCCTTCAAATGTTTTGCAATTGAGTGGTTTTCCAGTAGACCCCGGAAGTCTCTAGTGACATCTTTCAGTTGGCCAACCTTGCAGAGAATGCGCGTTTCTCGAATCTCGTGTGACTAAAGTCCTTGGCGACGTTTCGCAAATTCAGTGGCTTCAGAACCTCGGATTTGGATTGGGAGCCAATACGGATAACCTGTGACGTGATTTTCGTCTCGAGGAGGTCTTCCAGTAACTGGTTCAGAGCATGGCTTGTATAACAGACACATACTATCGGGACCAGATCGGCCTTGCTTTTGTTTGCCAGAATACTTTGACCAAGGCAACACCTGTATAGCTCTTTCCAGTGCCGGGAGGGCCCTGGATGAGGCCCAGCTCTCGCGTCAGGGAGTTGACCAAAGCTTCGGCTTGTGCTTCATCGAGATCGCAGTTTCTTTGTAGATCCTGAATATCGAATGGGCGGCCAGGATACAAATTTAGTGGGCTGTGATCCTTCGTCAAGCCCTGCAGGTCGAAGAAGAATCCAGGGCGAGAAGCGTAACGCGGTGGGGGAATCTGCATATCGGGCGCGCCTGCCGCGGTGAGGATGTCTGCAAAGGGAAGGCGCGCGGATTTCTTTATCTGCTGTAGAGCACACAGTGTTGGCTGGAAAGACGGAAGAAGAACACCAGGGAATTCGACCAATGACAGCGATGCGCTAGCTGTAGCACGACCTGTTGCCATCGCCTGCAAAAGCCTCCGGATATTCTCGCCATCAGCCTCGACTAGGCCGAGCGTGATGCTTGCCAGAGCCTTATTGCTCCAGAGCGAAGGCTCGTCTCCTTCTGAAGGACCAAGCTGGTTTTGGCCTTCATTCTTCACTCGATCAGAACTTGGCCCTAATACAGAGCAAAGTACCGCGCATGTTCGGTAGTCAGTGAGGAAGACCAATGCTGATGACTGAAGCCGTCGTAACTGCTGCCATCATTCCTCTCGGCCTCGTCTGTTCATGCTTAGTGTTGCAGTCGGCCGAGTAAATTCAGCACGGATTCGAGGACCCTGGAATGTGTCAAGCTCCAGCTTAAAAAGTCTCACATTCCTGTATGCGTGTGTCCTTAGGTTGTTTCTATTTCCCTGTCCACCTGAACTAGGCACGATTTCGCTATGAATAGCATCCCGAAGTTGCCCTATAGTGTCTTCTCTCAATAGTCGAAAGTGTCGGTCTGGGAGACCATGTATACCATCTAACTGCCATTGACTCGGATCGCGAGGAGGTAGATATTCACTGCGAGTGGATTGAGTTTCTTGGAGGGTCGGCATGACTTTTATCAGGAAGATATCAGTGTGGTCATTATCATGCCATCCTCCGGGAGGCTTGAGAGGTGCAAGAAATTTCGCAGCGACTTTAGGCATGCGCGCCTTTGTTGACGACTGTAAATCGGGTAAGTGGCTTCCTATTTCGAGACACTGCTGAAACGTAATCGAGATTCAAACGAGCTTCTTGAAGCCACGGATCTAACTTTGAATCATGTAGGCTTATTTTAATCGCTTCAGACTTACGGACGACATCTTTCAACGGCTCACAAACGAATGCAGTGGAGTTGAGGTCAATAATGTGTCTGATGAGAAGAATGATGACCTCCAGATGCTTGACAACTTCACTTTTGACATCAACATTGTCCGCATTTCTTTCATCACGAGGTAACTGCATAACATCAGCAAGATAAGTTAACAGTTTTACCGCGCGCCCTCCTGCTTGACCAAAGATGAAGTTATAAATCGTTTCCACTGCCTGTTCGAGTAAAAGAGAGGCGAGGACTGTAGGATTGGTCATGAGTTGCAGAAACGGAAACACTTCGTCCTGGAACACGCGCATCTTCCGAAAGCCCGGCATTGTAGCGAAGTCAAGGTCAAGTAATTCGTGTACATTTCGGAGCACACCCTCCTCGGAAAGGCGGCTAACTACCTCCTTTGCTATGCCACGAGCCTCCTCGGCGAGCCGTTGAGCTTCATGAAAAAACCACCTACGCTTTGTACCAAGAGCGCTGTTTGGAGAACCAAAGGTGCGAAGGTCTCGAGGAATACCTCTTCTCCAAAGTAAAAATCTCTGGTTTTCTTTGGAATTGTTCGATGTATGGTTCCCATCTGAGGTCCGCCTGGCTTCCTTGCTCCCGTGTGACTCTCTTACATGATCGAATTTGCAGTTTCGCTGGTTGCATTTCCCGGTTTCCCTGAATTAAAAGCAGACTCTGTTTCTATTATGACTAAATGTCAGAGAAGCTCTCATTCAATTTCAAAAGACGATTTCTCACCCTAGGTGTCTCATTTTGAGAGCTAGCTAGTTTAGGCCAAAGTCGATTTGAAGACAGGAAAATATATTAATATTTTCTCCAAATAGTGCTTATGGCTGTCAAAAGAAAATTTTTTGATGAAAAAATTAAAATAGCTGACTTCAGGATGGTGAGTGTGTCCTTTTTAAGCAAACAGGAGAGGTGGATGCTCTGCTACATTTCTAGGCTTTGTCAGGCGGCGGCAACAACAACCACAATTTTATTTCACACGAGGCTGACTTACCAGTGACATGAGATTATTTATCACAGCCGCTTTTGTATTTCAGTCTACTTTCTCTACTTTCCACATAATATGGGGCTTGCTCTTGTGTGGTTTGTTATTCATTGTGGCAACGGCAGCCCGGATTCTCACAGGGCAGCAATGGCTAGTTCCATATAATGATGACTTAATAAGAATGGCCTATGGTATTAAGAATACTAGTCAGTTAGCTGAACATTTCAAAACATATAATTTTACTTTAATTCCTAGCAAACGAAATATCATTGTTCTGTCTGCGGCCTCTCCAGCTATAAGGAAAAGCTGGCCAATCAGAGACCCCCACTTACTTTGCCACACATGCAGCATACAAAGGGTTGATTTATGCGTCATGCTGTGCATTGTTTTGCCACAAAATTCTTTACCGTTTTATTCTTCCCTTCTTCTACATTATGACATCATACTTGATTTGATTCACTATTTTATTTATGATCAAACTTCCGATAGATAATAACGAAGGCAACTAGATAATATCGATATACTACAGCGAATAATGATTTAAAATGTCATACAAACTACATATGTACAGGGTTGAATCCAGAGAGTCATAGTTAGAAATAACATTTATTTAGTTATATTTGTATTTAGCCATCTATCCACTATGGTATTCAATCTATGCGTTGATTTCGAGGTTCGGTGGGTTTGGTGTTGTTTGGTGTTTTACGCGAACCCCTGCTTTGACTTGCATTCAAAATGTTGTCCGCATGGCAGATTGAATTACTTGGGATGATTTCAAATTGATATGAATGGCTCTACTTTTGCTGTTAATGCAATTAAAATCATCAATATCTAGTTTTAGGTCACAATTACTCCAGATAATGCATACAGGGTATCTTTCAAATCTCCGTCAACCAAAAACATACCAATCCCAACCAGCAGAACAAGACCCAAAAAAAAATATACAAAGTACTTCTAAATAGCCCAAAAACTTATTCTCCAAGCTACCAGTGCAAACTGTGTTCAGTCTGTTGTTCCAAATATTCAATGACAGGGCCTAGAACCGCGTTAGAATTCCTTAGTCTAGACACCTCTCGTGTTCTCGAGTAAAAAGCTGGACAGTCTTGACTGTCGCAGGTAACCTCATCGCCGAAAGATACACCCATACAAGAGCGACAGGCCTTTTGGAGATTGAGGGTCCGTCGTTCCGCTTGTCGGAGCCCAGATCTAAGTTTGAAAAGGGTGACATGTGGTTGACTGGCGCAAGATGTACACAGTGGAAGTCCGGTATTTTGCAGTTTCTCCTTACAGAGTATACATGACGAGGACTTCATGTATGATTCGAGCGTAGCTCTCTTCAGGCCGCCACTATTAGGATTGAGGTCTCTTCCCCCTACAGTCAAGGCTCCAGTCAAGGCTCCTTCAACGCGACGGATACGCTGGGTTTTAGGCATCTCATCATACCATTGTCGAACGTTTGCGCCTACAAGATTGAAAATTCTTTCCAGCGGGGAATGAGATTTTTGGTAATGTAATATTCTGCGTCCAACTCGAGATGTGCATTATCGAGCAATACTTCGGGGGCGACGCAGCGATCAATCAGTCTTGACCCGGGAGCACCACTTACAACAACATATGGAACACGTTCTCCATATTGAGGTTCCTGTCGATGGTCCTTCATCATCTTTTTTGTGCTGATCAGGGCTCCAGCAGGTATGGTGCCCTTCTCGCTATACGTCCCTAATTTGACTTCTCGGGCAAAGCAAAAATCTTGAATAGAGACTCTGCTTTGCATGATCTTTGAGCACTGGTTTTGGAAATAGCTCTTGACTTGACTAAGGTCTGCAGTTTTGAATAGAATTTGGAGTGCCTTTTCCTCGATTTTCTGTTCAGCGGGAGTACCATCGCGTCGTACAGTCTCGATTCCTTTCGCATCAAACTCGGGTTCAACCTGATCCCGATGCTCATATTTGAATCCGACATACCGCTTTTTTGCTAGAAGGACACATGGGTGATAGACTTTCTCGAACTTGAGTTTGATCGGACGTGGGTTCATCTTGGTAACTGCTTTCGAGATCTCTTCACCGATAGTGAACGCCTCGTCACGCGTTCGGCCTTTCAAGTAAATAAACAAACTGTCAGTATCACCGTACACGACTTCAGCATCCCATCGTTGAACAGAGTGAATGAATGCAATTGCCCTCTCCAAAGTTTCACGTGCGGTCTGAACAATACTATCGGCAATCTCTGAGCACGGCATTCGTCCAGAAAAAGATGCAGAGGTATAGCCATAAGTGACATTAGCAATCATTTTGAGCGCTAATTGCCGATGGTTGAGTAGTCGTTGCAGGGTCTTGTCATCTTTGTCCGCCTTCATGCCACCTTTGACCATGACGCGCGTCTCCAAAATCTCGCTCAACATACGAGCGATCAATGATTTGCGTATATTAGGCTTGGAATACATCATACCATTAGGAGCGATATTAACTTGGTCTTTCAATAATTCAAGTAATCGGGGCTCTCTCTCGTAGTCAATAAAGCCCATCTTATTTCGACCACGCCAATCAACAAGTCGTCCAAGAAAGGTTGAATAGCAATAATTATAGGCGATGATGATGCTTGGGTACAATGATTGAAAGTCCAACACAAGTAATGGACTCGGGTAGAAGTCACTTTGAGGTTCCATCACTAAAGGTAGGCATTCAAGAGCATTCTGTTGGGCTACCTGCTTTCTGCTTGGTGATATCAAGATGAAATTCTCCGGTTTTGCAATGCGGAACATCAGAGACTCGACTTTGAATTGTGAGCCACGCGAAAAGACAGAGAAAAAGTCCACGCCAAGCAGCCGTGCTTGCTCACTTGTTCGCGGGATAAGTTCGTTAGAGTCAAGGATCTCCAAATCCATTTGTGCACGAGAGAGAAAGTAATTGATGACTTTCATCACCTCACGGGGTTTGCCCCCAGTATACCACTTTGTGAGATCACTAAAATGGTAATGCGGGATACGTCTATGCAGCAGATGAAACACGACGTTTTCCATAGTATACCCAAGTAAGTTAAGCTCACTCCTCATAGCTCTCCAGATATTGATCATGTGTCGCCCCGTCACCTGGATCGTAGATGTAGTGTTGAATCCCCATCGATCACTGTCTCTCCCAAATCTGCCATGCCCCTGAGACTTGACTCGGGATAGTTCATCACACAAGTCGTAATCGTATTTCAATCGCGCCCTTTCAATAAGATAACCCCATGAGCCATTATGTACTTCGTAGCCCGTCAAAATATCCGGATCATATGAGCGTACAATATCAACAAGACGAGTTATAAGGTCCAATTCCGAGGCTTCGGTCTGCACTTCAATCGTCAGTGACTTGGTCACTGGCTCTAATATATGGCCTGGTTGGTTAATTAATCCCAACTGCATGCCATCAATACTGCTGTCGATAATCAAATCTTCATCGTCTGATTGAAGGCTCCAGAAAACGCATGCTATCTCATCCTCCTTTGGGTCTGGTGAGAGGTCCTTGCGGGTATTAATGTGCACTTCCAAACCCATGACACTCATGTATTGCGTTTGATGTTTCACACTAGTCGACCGTTGCTTCTGAGAATACCTGAACCCATGTGGGTTCTTTTGTGTCGCGCCTTCAATCTGTGATAACAAATCGGGCTTTGTGGGGGACTTTTTTGACTTAGATTTAGCAATGCTATACTGCTCTTTTTTTCTTTCGTTTTCGAGCCAGTCGACGACTTCGGCCCTGGTCGGCGGAACTTGTGCAAACTCCCATACCCTGGCAGAAGATAACTCACGGAGCCTTTGGTCATTTCTCCGCTGTTCATCGGGATCCGTAATAGGGGGAATCCTTTCGGCGTATAGATGAACTGAGGTTCCTTGTCTATCGAATTCGGGAAGAAATTGTAATGTGTTACTCGCTAAACGAAATTCTCGTCCCGCATACTCCCGCTGTTTCTCAGGAACATCGCTCTCGTCGCTATAATATGCTCTTTGGTAAACGACTGAAGGACTAATTGTGGTCGCAATCTCGCTAGGTGCTGGACACTGGTAGCGATAACACAATAATAGACGATCTTCGGGGATATCAAAGGCGTCGCGGACATTGGACATGAACATATCAACCTGAGAATTTCGGCAGGGCACAGTAGCGCTGCTTGTTGATTTATGCTCGGAAAATAGCTTATCCATACTGTTTTTCTGACTAGAATCATGGTCTTCCATAACTTGGGACAGTTCCGAATTTTCCTTAGATAGACCGCTTCTCTGACTGAAACGCAGCAAGGTATTAGGGTCGTTGGGATGCTTAACCACTGGAAAGGATAGACGTTGGCTTTGAATGCCAGAGTTGCCTTGGCCTATTCTTTGGGAATATGATAGTTCATCCTGTGAATTAGTCTGGGATGTATCGTCAGGGCCAATGCGATCAGCGTCCTGGGCGTCATCTCCCAAGGCCGTTGTCATATCAAACGAGGAAAAGTAGTCATCTCTTTGTGGAGCTGCAAGTTCGTGTGTTGGGCCATTTTCAATGTGCTTTAGGCGTTTCCCCTCGTTTTCACTACAGATATCTTCCTTCGCTGTTCGTTTGCGAAAGCCCTCGGAGCTTGTGTTTAGTTCACCATGATATGGCCCATTCTGTGCATGGCTTTCTCTATTTGATAACCGTCCATTAGCTCCAGCGGTTATTGTGTTTTTATCTGCAAGTGAGTCTGTAAATTCGTCATCCGTTTGGAAAGTACTACCCCGCAAATCTTGGATGGGTGCACCTAAGATATCCACAAACTCAGTCTCCGATTCTTCGCTAGTGTTTTGATGTTCATTGCTGTCGTCAAAATCATTATAAAAAGTCGTTCCATCGCTATAATCTCCGTTTGTGGCATTTTTAAGGATTGGGAATCCCAATTCAGAGCTGACCCGGTCCAGTTTCTGGGGGTAAAGGTCTTCCACACTTTCCAAGGCAGATTGCACAGCATTCTGGGCAGCGTCCTTCTTCACAAAACCATCAAAGAATACAGGTTCAGCCTTGTCCTTGCCTTCTTCTGTCGCCAGGTTGTGTAGTTTCTCTCGAAACTCCTCTTCGTGTATCCAGAGAATTTTTTCCTGGTCTCTCGGACTTGCAGACATGGAGACCAGTTCTTCCGCCGAAAATGGGTTGCTTGCGGTGTTTTCTATTCCTAATTTTCGCTTGCGCCTGCGCATTTCATCCTGCCACAAGCCTGCCATACTGTGAACAAGTTTTTCGTCAGCGGATACCGGATGCCCCCGCTCAACAAAGTCATGATGCAATGGCCTTTCTTTAATGATAGTTCGGTTGAGGATATGCTGAACACAAATGTCAACTTCCAATGTACAATGACTCTGCCTCGGAAGGACCATCTCGCTAGATATGTTGCCTTCGGGTATTGACCGGTCATGCCATCGATGGTCTAGACTAGGCAGCTCGAGATAATCAGGAACTGGGTGTCGAAACTTAAAATTTTCACACTCCATGTAAGCGCATCCGTACAAGTTATAATCACACATCCATTGAGGGATATATTGTAAGTGGCTTTCATAAGGTTGCAAGGGACGTTTCATGATAGCACCTTGCCGCAGGAGATCGGCCAGCCGAGTAATATTGAATGGATTTAGGAGATATATCTTGAAATAGAAGCGATATCCAACATGAAAGCCATAGAATGGAACCCCCTTGACAAGAGATATGTGCGCGACGTATGCTGTTTTCCCGTCGTACGCATTCTGACGATAGCTATTTGCCATAGCATGGTCGATGGAGCCGTGCAGGTTACGGATGGAATTTCTCACTGTAACACACAAAGGTTAGTCGAGTACGTAACTTCAAGCATAAATACCCACCTTCATCTGTCCCAAGGCCGCCACGATATTCAATATAGAGGTATGGAAATGCGCCATGGATATGAGCACAGACTTTTTGGCCTGTTTCCGTTGATCCAAAGGCGCGAATGACTGGCACCTTTGGCCTATGAGTTGACTGCGCTACGCCATTACCAAAAGGAACACGAGGATCAAATTCAGTGGGAGTAGCCTGGTAGTAATCAACGCAATTCAGACGGACCCGGAATGGCTCCATGATGACAATCAGCGAAATGGACCTGAGTTGCCAAAACCATGATGATAAGTATTGCGGTTTTAAATATTTTCAAAATTTCGGCAAACCTCAGCATGGAGACAAAGATATGCATTCATCACTGTGGACATTGAAGGCGTGTCTCCTGCATACCGCGCATCATCAACAATGGTTGGATGACGTGCATTAGTCCAGCCTCGCTAGTAGCCGCTAGGAATTGTCAATGCGCTAGTCCGTATTCAATTTAATCACGTGATATGGGATCGCAAAGGATTTCGACAACCGTCGTAATCACACCACAGCAAGTTTCCTACATCGGAAACCAGTCATTACTTTCGGACCATTTCAAATACCCAGAATACCCAGTATATTGTGGTCAGGAGTACTATCTCCATCCCAAATCGACATGTCCCGAAAACCGACCGATGTGGCGTCGAAAGAACGCAACGAGTACATCCCGTCTTTCATTGCGCAGAAACCATTCTATATCGACGACGAGTCCTCGGCCGCTGATTATCTAGAGCATCAACGCCTGAAAAAGCAACAGGCTGATTCGAAATGGTATGAACGTGGAAAACGTGCTGGTCCCGCCGCCACCAAGTATCGAAAAGGTGCTTGCGAGAACTGCGGTGCAATGACACACAAGACCAAAGAATGCTTGAGTCGACCAAGAAAGCACGGAGCAAAATGGACTGGTAAGGATATTCAAGCAGACGAGGTTCTTCAAGACGTGGAGCTCGGTTGGGATGCGAAACGAGACCGGTGGAACGGCTACGATGCAAGCGAATACCGCAATGTCGTGGAAGAATATGAAGAACTTGAAACTCTTAAGAAGAATACCAAGAAGGCTATGGAAGGAGCTGAGCCTGGCGAGGAAAGCGACAATGGAGGCCAGGAAGAAGCCCGATATGCGGAGGAATCAGATATGGGTCGAAAACAAAGCACCGCAACAAGGAACCTTCGTATTCGTGAAGATACAGCCAAATACCTGCTGAACTTAGACCTTGATTCTGCAAAGTACGACCCAAAGACGCGTTCGATGGTTGGTTTGGGTGCTCAGGCAGATCAAACATCAGCACTAGTTGCTGAGGAGAACTTCATTCGGGCGTCTGGAGATGCGGCAGAATTCGAAAGAGCGCAAACTTATGCATGGGAGTCACAAGAGCGCGGTGATAAGCAACACCATATTCAAGCAAATCCAACATCAGGTGAAATTCTACGGAAGCGAGAATTAGCTGAAGCAGAAGCGAAGCGGCAAGCACAACGAAAGGCCCTACTCGACAAATATGGTGGCGAGGAACATTTGCAAGCTGCTCCATTGCGCGATGCAGCAGTCATTGAAAACGAACGATATGTCGAATATGATGAAACCGGTGCTATCAAGGGAGCCCCCAAGAAGGCCGTCAAGTCAAAATATGCCGAAGACGTGCTTCTCAACAATCACAAGTCAGTTTGGGGAAGTTGGTGGTTCAACTTCGAGTGGGGATATTCTTGCTGCCACTCTACTGTTAAAAACAGCTACTGTACTGGGGAACAAGGATTACAGGCGTTTGAAGCTGCTCGCAACTTGGCTATACTCGACGCCCCAGAGCCAGACGGTTATGAAGAGAAAGTTGAGGAGGAAGAAAAGGGGGAGACACCACAGAAAGCGGATATTGATAGCAAAAAACGAGACCTCCGCGCTTTGCAGCAGGGTGTCGACGAAGAAGAGCTTGAATCATATAAGCGAAGCCGCCTAGCTGCAGCTGACCCAATGGCTGCATTTTTAGGAAAGGATGAGTTGATCCAATGATAAATCGAGGTGCAGTTATCATCATAAATATATCTGCCTGCTGATACAGTTGGTTCTATTTTCTTGCAACTATTTATCTTGACATACAGCATTAGCATAGGATGGCGTTTGATCATACCATACCCAAGCAGAATTACAAAACGCTTTATTAATACATATCGGATCATGTTCAGATTTCCGTATTTTATCTTATCATTTCGTTCAAACACGTAATAAAACATCGAATAAATGATCAATGATTATATCCAGCCATATTGTTATCATCCAACTATCGTTCCTCAGGTGCTATATCAGATATGTTTTCAACTACTGTTCACCTCCTTGGGTAAATAATAGAATATTAGCACTTATGATTCTCCTTATCATCAGAAAGAAAGCCTTCAATTCGTTAATGATGTCTCATTTATTTTCATTGCCATGTCCACGCCGAGTCTGTCAGCATGGCCAATCGTACGGTATCGCCGTGAAGTTCGACTCATAACTCCATTCCTGCCTTGGGCCAACTTGGGCCAACTTGGACGATGTCAAAGTCTTGAAGTAAAGTGGCAGTCACTTTTGATGCCTCCCGATGTGCCAAGAAACGGTTGGGGCATTGATTGTAGGTGGATTCAAACTGTATCAATCGAAACCAAATTAGCATTTTGAGTCCGATTCAACCGGCTTGATTCGTTCTGCTTATTTTCACCATGTCAAGACGCATAGGAGAACTGCTAATCATTTCGAGGTAGGATGCCCACTAACATTATTTTTGAGATTGACGACATTACTCAGCCTTGGACCTGGCCAAAGGACCATTTTAGCTTCATACATATTCGAACACTCGGTGGGTCAATCACAAACTGACCCGCATTTCTCAAAGAGGCCCTTACGTGCGTGTGCTCTATTCTCATTCCTTACCCACAAAGAGATATCAGATTGTGTAAACTAGTAGTATCAGGAACCTGAGAACCGGGGTGGGTAGAAATATCCGAAATTCGCACGCATTGTCACTGCGACGATAGAACATTTTCTGAAGATTCATACTGTAGGAAGTGAGAAGTACGAACCATCTCTCAGTGTGTTAAAGACAAGGGCGACATAATAATCAGAAATATCCTGTAGTCGACATTCCATCAAATTGCTTCTTCTATCGGCCTGAATTTTGATCAGATGCCCTATATGGAGAAATGGGTTAAAGGTATTGGTTTGGTGGACGTAAAGCAAACAGGACGATTGATTCCCATTGGACCATGGCCAAAAGACAAAATTGTGAAAGAGATTAGCAAGCTCTACCAGGTGCTTCTTCTAGAGGGTGGTAGGTCTTCGACTGTCATTGTAATACGCAAAATTGATTCAATGTTCTGCTAACGCAAAAAGGTATGGAAAACTACACAATAACTCTATTTACTCGCAACGGATGGACGACAGAGGAGTCCATGTCCTACTTGCCCATGTCCGAGCAGAAGTTAAAGAAAACAAAATTCATTTATACACTAAAACGTAGGCTCTACTGATGAAAGTTGTATCAACACTACAGATACCTGATTGCGAATTAGGGGTTTGTAACAGCCCAGGAAGAGCTAGCATAAATTAATCATATGATCAATTGAAATACAAAACGACATAACGATCTACGGCATGTTCCCGGCGTTCTGGTAATTATATTGATGGTCATTGGTTAATTAATTGTCAATCTGTGTCTAGGTTGGTTTGTATATAGATTGCGCGTTATTATTGACGACTGGAGCCTTGAAGGTTAGCAAGTAACAAGATTGAATATTTTGTTTTTAATCACTTGTACACGCAAATCATACCTTTATCCCTACATATCCCATAACCAGTATAGCTTGCGCAATCAACAAAGATCCATTATTGATTTCAATAGGCAGCATTGAATAATTTCTATCGCAAATCGCCTTGTGCGTGTATCAATTAACAGTTAACCGCGGCGATACCGTAAAGAATTATCAAGAAAGGTCCATGTGAAAGGAGATAAGATTTGAATTATATAACTATTCAAGGCATTAATATTCCATCAACTCGAATTTTTTCCGGCTTGCAATTTTTATGTAATGTCGATGATTTTCGGCTGGATCGTTCGTGATATATATAAGCAGGGCTAGAGAATTCAGCATATAAACATCTCAATGTTTCAATAATGTCTACAGCGACGAAGTAAATCTAACCTTTACACTGTTGAATAATTACAGGTACTATTGTACTTCATGCCGTAAACAAGATGTATTGATCCATACCAGTAGAAAGTTGTATGCATTTTGATTATATACATGTACCAGAAGACCTCGGGTGAATTATGAATTGCGCCAGTCTGCATGTATACAGGTTTCAATTATAATGAAGAAATACTGGCAAATAGAAATGGAATGTTTCTCGTAAACCAGTCCAATATATAATTAATACACATACTACTGGCAATATGGATATCCAAAGTATCGACCATCAGTAAATCAAAAGGGAATCTCAGAGGACAAAAATTATGGGGCTGAGGCGGCTTGGCGTATCTTTGGCGCGGTATACGCTAGTCCCGATTTGAGGCCAAGGCAAGGGCTAACCCTAGCCCTGGGCACCGCACGACGCTAAGCGATCAAACGGTTGGAAGACGAACTTGCGACTGCAGCGACCGACGACGACGACATCAACACCCCTTCAGCGGAATCCAGGTATGTTGCAGGCTCACATTCGTTTCTGTCGATAATTACACCCGCGAGAATTTATTATTGACCTTTTTCTCGTCCCATAGATATCTTGATTCAAGATGAGTATGTCGTTCACCCGAGTCTCGAAATTTCTGGCCATTCACCTTGCATACCAAGAACAATAAAAAACTGACAATTCAATAGCGAAGGGTACCTCCAGCTTTGGTAAGCGTCACAACAAGACGCACACGCTTTGCCGACGATGCGGTTAGTACACCTTTTCTCGATTGAAGTTTTGGTGGATGCATAGGGACAAAACGAATGTTTTGATTTGGTTGCAACGACAAGGATGCATGGAGATACAAACAAGGACCACGAGAGATATAATTGCTGACATGGACTGTCTCGACATTTAGGAAAGCGTTCTTTCCACATCCAGAAGAGCACCTGTGCCAACTGCGGTTACCCTGCTGCTAAGACACGGAAGTGTACGAACCCACCATCTCGCCCCGACCTTTGTTATGTGATTGCTTATTTTGAGAAATAGTCAACTGGGGTGAGAAGGCCAAACGCCGCAAGACCACCGGTTCCGGCCGTATGCGCTACCTCAAGACCGTCGACCGCAAATTCCACAACGGATTCCAGACTGGTGTCCCCAAGGGTTCCCGTGGCCCCTCCACTGCTTAAATTATACCGTTAACGAATCCTCTTGAACTCGTTTTTATGTTCCAATAAAGTCGATGGAGTTGGGGATAATGCATGTCTAAAAAACCGTGGGAAAATGTTGCAGCATCTGGATTCGTTGGAGGGGGTGGTCTGTGATGGATGAATGACCGACCAAGATAGACGATGGAGACTATTCACATCTCCTATTTTCACGTCTTACTTCATATTTGGCGACCACGACACTTTTCCGGTTTTGATGGGAAGGGTTGAAATGGCGCTTCTGAATTTTTCCAAATTTGTGTTGGTACCATGGCTGACCTGACTTACGGGCAAATTCATCATGTCAATTCCAAAAATTTCTGACAGTTCGGATATACCAAGAATGAACTGTTGAATTCATACTTCAATACTAACCAAAACATCGTGTTTTCTTCTATCCCGTAGGTTACATGATGTGGAAGACCGACAATACTTATCTAGACGTGGAACGCAAGTTGGTTACATTATTTCGGCACACATACGCTGGTCGCACTCCCCTTCCCTCAATTCATTTTGGAAGTTCTCATGAATAGCTACAACGTTTTACGCTTCACCTCTTCCGAATACCTTTATGCCCCCATCCCTCTGCACAAAATACAAGACCTCTTTTTCCTCCACCGTTTCATTTGCATCGTTCGCAAACCCACCACCTCTACTAATCCTAAGCACCCCACTAATGTCCTTTGCCGCGCCTGTATCTAATGTCCGTAACTGCATCACTAATCGCGCTTGGTGTGCTAGCCCAACCACGAATGCTGAATGCTGTGTTTCGAGTGGAGTAGCTTTGCCGTCTTCACCGGCCGCATATGCAGTATGTACGAGAGGGGAATCGGCGGACGCGGTGATTACTGTTGAGTGGACGTGCTTTGTTTCCGGGATGATAAGTTCCTGCTTCAAACAACCCTTCCTGCTATAGGGAGCACACACCTGTTGCAATGCCATAACCCAATCAGATATATCGGCTGCATTGATTCCTGGCGTAGCGGCCAGAAGGAGATCTGGCTGATCAAGGATTAAAAGGGGATCGTCACCCTCTGTAGACTTAATCGAGGATATTAGAGAAATTATATCTTTCTCCAGCCCTTCTAAGGCAGCATTACCATGACCGGATATGTATAGTTGCTTCTGCGTAGAGCTTCCACTGCTGCTAGTAGTAGAGCCAGTACTCGGAGCTTGTGCTAATGGAGGCGCGAGTGGCGCCCTGGCTATGCCAGCTGCTGGCCCTCGTAGAGGTGTTGGTCTTGCAGCTCCAACGCCGCTCCCAACGCCAGCCCCGCGGACTGAGGTAGGACTGACTTGTTTCGAGGCGACAGAGCCGTAAAGTTCACTAAGGCCATCCACAAATTTGAGCCTTCCTCCCTCTGCTGACCTCTGCAAATCTAATCCCTATTGAATCACCATGAGTTTGATAGCCAAAGAACCCGAATTGTATGAAATTATAAAACAACATCTGTATGAATTTACTTACTAATCTCTTTGCTTCTGTCCTCCAAAAATCCCAATTCCGCAAGAAACTGACGAGCACTATCTTCTTGGTCGGTCGCTCATCTCCATCTCTGTTGGGTGCTACATCTGTGGAAGAAAGAATAGAAATCAAATATCGTAAGACAAGCCAATTTGAAGTGGCTGCAAGGACAGATGTTATCAGTATAAGTGACTGTGCTGAGTGTGCAGATGGTGAGAGATATGGCGCAAGAAGATGTGGCACAGCCGGTTGAGAGGGCATGTTGATTTTTTTCAAGAGGATCAATATCCTCTAATGAGATTTTGGTTTTCCGTATACGAGGCGGATAAAAAGCATAGAGTGAGCCTATAGAAAGAGATTATAATTATTTTACAATATTTGAAAAGGCATAAAAGGGCATTGTATTCGAGAAATGACGTTGTATATCACAAAAAAAAAGCCTGGGCGGGGCTTTCTTTCCATTGGTTCATCCGCGGGGTCGCTCCTAGCAATGCTAACTTTGACTTCCCAGAGATAATACAGTTGCCTCTCCCATACTACTTTTTCTACTTATTTCATACGATACTGTTAATTGAAAATTTCAATGTTTACGATTGATTTGTCTATTCTATGAATGTAATTACATCTTTGATCGGCCGAATTCGAAGCCTAGCATTAATCCCCGTCCCGAGAGCCGCCACCAGCAGGAATGCTCATGGGTCATACAGATTGTCTTCATCGGAATCGTGAAGCATGTTCTGCAGAGAGTCAATTGCACTGGGCATTATGTCGGCCTCATCTTCCACCAAGTTGGCGTCTTCTTCGATCATTTGATTTTCCAGACTCTGTTCTAGAGAAGCCTCGGAGAGCAGGTCATCAAACAGTGATATCAAATCATCAGTTATGAGTGTAGTCACTTTTTCGACATCTTGGTCTATTTTTACCCCGCCGGTCTCTTTACCTGCCTTAAGCTCAGTGGCTTGAGTATCGACCGCAGGATTCACAAGCGCTGGATCTGAATCCTCAAAGTAGCGCAGAGCAATTCGTCCGAGGATGTCTGGGAAAAGCCAGGCAAAGCTAATCATGGGGAAACTGTTAATCTTGGGCTTCAAATCTGGGCTTGGATTTGTGCTATGAAACTCGACCAGCGCTGCGGTTACTTCATCGCTCGTAACCTTGTACATCGCAACCACGAGAGGCGCCACATGTTCAAACTGGCGGCTTCCAATCTTGTCATAACATTCTCCTTGAAAGCGGTCTCGCAATGATTTTGAAATGCGGCCAAGTTCCTCGTGGAACTTATAGTCCTTGCTTTGGTTAGCGTGGTTTAGCACGAATGTGGACCAAACTTCGAATTCTGTACGGATTTCTTGTTGAGCCATAATGCGCCGCATGGTCAAATCGTAGCTGACTTTGAGCTCTTTGGAGAATTCTACCAACTCATCTTTCACCACAATTCCGGACTCCAAGATTCGTTGATCGAATGGCATTTCAAAATTGGGGTAGAAGTCGACCCGGTCTACGGCGTCATACAACTGTCCGAGGATCTTCTTTGATGTGTAGATCTGATCCTTGGGTTTGTAGTTCTTTTCCATAAAATGCGGCCACTTGCGAGGACGTAGTTCTCGTGAAAGATAAGCTGGCTGACCTGTCTTGTTATAGTCGACAGCGTCCGAGTGCATTTTAGCTAGACGAATGCACTTTATTTCCTCAACTCCCCTTGGCAGCAGGTCAGACCAAGCCATATGGGCATGGGCAATCTTTGGCAAACAGTCATTCTTCATATAGTTGACGAAGAAAGAAGTCACATCATTGACCGTGACTGGACGGTCCAAATTAACCCCTTTCACGGGCGTATAATCCATAGGCGTTCGGAACCAGTCTTCTGGAATAAGGTCTTGGTCCCATATAACCAGGTAGTCATCACCATCCAAATCGCCACCAGAGCACATGCTGGCAATATCTCGATCTCCAAGCTGAGGAAGAACGACAACATCTTTGAGATCACCAAGTTCTCGCTTGTTGACAGCCTTGACCACTCGAATGTCGCCGGGATGAAGTGAGGGATTACGAGCCAGGAGGCACACTCCTTCAATAACGCAATATCTCTTCTCGTCAGCGCGATAAACTTTGAGAAAAATTTCAGGAAGTGCAGAGAGCCTATCTTCGTGGGATGTTCCAATATTTTGTATCTTCTCGTTCGAAAATCCTTGCAATGTGCCAGTTTCATCCATGACTCCAAGGACGCAGGCTCCGCCGTCGATAACAATCTTTGCTTTTTCCTTCAGATACTTGATTTGCCATGCCCTCCATAATGAAAGAAGCGAGACTAGAAAGGGTTCCTGAACAACCAAAAACCCGTCAGAGACCATTTGCGAAATTGTTAAGGTCATTTCGTTCGGATCGATGTACTTTTGTAGAAGGGACATAGCAGCTTTATCATCTTTAGTAATTTCTTCTAGGCTAGAAAGCATTCTCTGAAGCTTCTGATGGAAAATACTATCAGAAACGCCGAGTGAAGAAAGCACGGAAATAAGCTGTCGATTCAACGTTGCCATAGAAAATTGAGACCAACGAATGACCTCAAGGCCCTGATGCTCAGCAGGGAACTTTTCCTGGCTTGGACGAATATGAATTTCTTGTCCTCTGGCCTGTGATGAAAGAACAAGCATACCCTTGCAACCACCCAGTCGAAACTGATAAGCTGACGGAGGGTCGCGATCTGGTGTCTTGATATGTAGTTCCTGCTGGGTCATTTGCGCAAGGAACCTCGACATTCTGCCAACACCATCTGAGAACGTGTATGCTCCTCGGGTTACGTCATGTATTCTCTGGAGCTGTACAGAGCACGTATAAATGGCTCTTGTGGTTGAGAAACACTGACCAATCCGTGCAGCATATTTGGCAATATTTCTAATATCTGAAAATTCTCCCATCCAACCCCGAATTTGTGCAGCACCAATTTGGGAATCCGACGCAAAGAAATAGGCACCGTGTTCGCGAAATTGCGAATTGCCAAACGCGAGAAACTCGTATTTGCGATTTCCGAGTTTGATTCCATTGCTCATTGTGCGCTTGATTCTTGTGAAAATCTCATCCATAGTGTTGTGATTAGTGGAATTAATTCTCCCTTCAAGCTTCTCGCCCTTAAACCGCACTCTGAGGAAACGATCTGAGTACTGGGAAAAATTGCGAATGACGCGGTTGGTAATTTCCATGGAAGGCGTATCCCAGTACACCATTGTCGGAGTTACAGTTGTAGCATGCATCATGCAACAATAGGCGGGGATTTTTCTGCGAGTTGAAGCCTTTGGAAACAAAATATCGAAGATCTCCATTGGGTTCCAATATACTTTCTTGTCTGTGGCGACGTGCTCCAAAAGCGCCAGAGCCTTTCTCTCCTCTATGTCCTTGAGCCTGTGAACGAAAGCTTCATTAGTGGCAGCATACTCGCTAATAAAGCCATTGGATATGCAAACTTCGAGCTGGTAGCGAATTGAGAAGGGCAGAAGAACGTATGAATCACCCATCAATTCCGCACTTGCGGATCTCGTGCCTTCCGGCTCATCGCACACATCCCAAATGACCGGCACAGGCCGTACTTTAGGAATGTCAACCTTGAATTCATCATCGTCTTTGATTTCAATATTGAAATCTCGTAGTGCTTCGTGTAGTGATGCGAATCGTCTAGAATCCACGGTATCCTCGTCGTAAGTTATGCGAAATGTAGTCCATCGTCCAATATCAATTATTGGATTCGTCTTACGCAAGCTAACGGGAAGTTTGGGCCATTCGGGGTGGCGATGGACTATATCTGTCTGACGATACCAACAATCCATGGCTCTCCAATTATTTTCAGTATCGGGACAATCGAAACTAATCTCCGCATTGTGAAGGTGGCGATGGTAGATGGGCGGGCTATCAAAGCTGATTATGTGAGACAATCGCTTAGAGGACTGATTATGAGTTTGATATATTGTGGTTAGTTTGGCAAAGGGAACTGTGATTCGAAAATCGGAGTAGACTGGGAGCTCTCCTGGGGCTCTTTTGCTGGTATTCAATGCTGTCTGAAAGAATACCAGGAGCTCGCGTCGTCTCAAGTCGAGTACTAACTTTGGGTCTTCGTACGGGCTGCGTTCCAGACGTCTCAAAGATAACATGGTCTTTGGGGCTATCAGTGGACCAAATTCTAGAGTGTATATCGGGAGTTCCTAAAGTAGCAAAACAAATTAGGTATATATAATATATGTACTGTTCCGTACAGAACTTACAAGCTCTGATGGGTAAAAAAACTTGGGCTGAGCTAGACTTGGGATTCCTGGGGTTCTATCATCAGGCTGAATGAATATCTGAATTGACACCGATCGCCCATTTAGCAGTTCAACTTTCCAAGTCTTTCCTGTCCAGAAGTCTTTCTCGGGAGGAGGTCTTGTCGATGTCAGTGGTTACAACTTGACAAATAAGAGGGCATTTATGCTTACTTGAAGCGGAGTCTTCCTTTACCATTGCGTAGCCCATAATCGTTTTCGTACAAGTCAATTGAAATGATCCTGCCTTGAGACTTGAAAGCTCTCCAGATCATGAAAGCATTCACCTCGTTGGGAACAGCAAACAAGTTGACTGCCAGTGACTCCCAGCTTTGCCAGCAGGGTTTGAGAGATTCGATCGCCAGGTCCTGAGATGATTTGGGGATTGGTCTCGACGGTGGGCTTCTTGTCTTTTTGAGGATGAAATGGCCTCTCCCAGAGCTTCGTAAAGGGCTCGCTGTTGGATGGAGAGGGGTCATAGCTGTACGAACGTGCGGGGTTCGAGACGAAGCTGATTGTACTGGAGAAAAAGTCAGAATGTCTGGAAGTTGACCGTGATTTTAAATAATGACAGAGATAAAGTAGGAAGAGAAGGGAAAAACAGAGAAGAGGTTGAGACTTGAAGAGAGATGAAGAGAGACCCGCTGGGTGTCAGTGAGATGTGAGGTGAGGTGAAAGGCTCAATGTAGGAATCTACAACTTCACACCGCCCCCTCATTCAACCCTCTTGGTGGTTGTAAAGGTCTCGTGACGAAAATAATGGCAGATGCAAAGAAGACTCCTCCCTCAGAAAATGTCTTTTGCAAAAACTTTCATGAATCAACTACAAAACAAATCAGGACTCACCACTTGTCACATTCCTCCCACCTCCAACTTTGTCTGGTGATTTTCTGGGATGTCTTCCAGTCTGCCATGTATTTTTATTTCTTGATACCAAGAAGTTAGTTTTCGTATCGACTAGTCCGAGAGATCTGATCTGTTCGGCTGTTTTGAACTCTTACTTTTTCTCTTGGTTGTTCATCATACCTTTCTCGCTCTGATATCTTTCACCACCACGTTCCTGCCTCTATCCGACGGTTAGCAGAAATCAAAACAAGAAGCTAACACTGAGATTTGGTTGAGAGCTGAAAAGCTTGTTTGCACTCAACGGTTCGATCAGTCAGAATACCATGTTCAAAGCTATGGACGTATGATAAAACTCCGTTTTCAGGTAGAAGACGCAGAGCCATCGCACAATACAAGGTCAAATATGTCAAATCAAGCGCTTTATCGGAACGGTGCTAGATGACGGAATTCATACTCACATATAGTTGAACCATCACTCGGTGCTCACGAGGGACTGGATCGAGGTTGTCAGGAAAGTCGATATGGCCGTGCCAGTTAACACCATTATTGACAATCGAGGTTGAAAAGAAGAAAAGATATTGCCTGGGAGAAGAAAGAAAAATGCAATCTGCCGTTGATCCTCAAGCCCGTTTGCCACTGCCAAAAAATGATGCGGCCGGATTGGCTGTACCTCTTTTCATCTGAAGTCAACATTCGGGGGCGGCTTTGATAGGCGAAAAAAATTCGGGTTCTGTGGTCTGGAGGTTTCGAAATTTTTCATGTATCTTAGAAGATATGCTATTCTTTTTTTTCAGAGTAGCAAAGCTTTAAAACTAGGGCTAAAAGCTGGTGATTTGCTTCGACTTCGACTATAGATTTGGGTCCCTCTGAGTTTTTCGAAAACATAGAAAGGAAAAGAGAGAGTCTTGGTAACCAAATAGACGCTCATGAATTGGATGAAACCTCGCTCATTTGAAATGTCGCGACGAATGCTGGACATTTATTATATCATTTTGCCCATACCGTTTCATAGCTTCGAGACGAACGAGAAATGCGAAATGAGCATCTGAACACCTTTTCCCTTGAAAAGTTGACTGGGGACTGTCTGTTTGAGGCAACAGTCCATTCATTAATCCATAAACAGTTGATTGTTTCAAATTGCAGCCTTAGTTACATCGGTTGAAATTTCTCATCGACAGAGTCTTGCCTAACCCTTTGGAAAACAGGCCAAGCAAAGTTCAGATTCCCACTGATTTCCGAATAGCTATATTTGAGATTATCCAGCCGTCACCACTTACACCTTGTTCACTCAAAGGCTTTCCATCTCCTCCGGCTAGATTTGTCAGAAAAAGTCCCAATTCCTTAGTTGGTGAAATAACGTCGGACCACGTAGCCCGTACAATGGAAACCACCCCATTCCGTAAAACCCTTTTTACGAAAGTTTGCTGATCTGGTCGTTGGAGTACGGCGTCTTTAACTTTGGGGTCGTGGGTAGCGTCTACGAAAGCTGGTCTTACACTGTACGGTTTCAGACTGGGATATTTCTTCGAGAGCTCGATAAGTGCAGTTTCACAGTTGCCCTTGACACGGCCGAAGAATGGAGTAAAAATACCAGGATCGGATGTTGCCTGTGGTTTATTTAGATCAGCATTGAATTTAGATCTTTTATCACTTTCAATGTCAATTCATTTACGAAGCTGGAAAATGGGATAGGATGACTTACCCCTTCACCTGAAACATAGACGAAGTTGAACGAATCATTCAGACCTGCAAAGGCTTTTGCGGCAGCTAATGGATAATCCACAGTAATCCTAACATACTCTCTGTTGTAAAATGAATCAGCAATAATTTATACAGTCAAGAGACCAACACGATTTGGAACGCTGTCTAGTAGCCGAAATTCTTACTTACTCTTTCGATACTTGGGTCTGAGAGACCCCTAGTGCCCAGATACAGCCATGAGCCCCTTTTAGTTTATGGAGCAAGTCAGGAGAATAGTTTGTAAAATCACTATGCTGGATGACGGTGATATTTGGATGGTTCTCTGCCAAGGGAACTGGACTTCTGCTGAGAATGTACAAATGAGATATTTTTCCAGCCGGAAGGGACAGAATATGCGAAAGGGCAGCTGTGCCAACTAGACCGGTGGCGCCTGTTAAGATGATATTCATTTTATACTTGATGCATTCGGTTCCGAGCGCTTTAAATACTGTAGCGTAGCTAGACAGACCTAACCCTGGAGGCTGCTGAAATCGAAGTTTGGGATTTTTGGCCTGAAGATGCAGAGTTTTCGATATTATTTTCGAAAATTTCGACGAGGGTTCAAACACTTCTCTGCCAAAGTATTTATTCTCAAAATAATAAAAAACATACTAGGCATAATTCATCCCTATTTGTTATAGCCAAATTATAAGCTAACACCGGACATCAGCAGGTTGCATTAGTCTTTCGACTAAGATTTGTCAGCGAATTTCTGTCAAATAGATCGAACTATTGCGGACTCCACCATTGCGCCAATGCCGATTTACTGGAGACGCAAATGGTGTGGATACTTTTGGAAAGTAGAGCCGAGTTATCCAAATGGAGAAAAAGGTCTTGGATTGGAAGTTGATATGTCAAGAAAATAACATCGCCAAAGGAAGTCGCATCCAAAGGCTATGGGGGTCGTAGTGTAGTAAATAAGACCGTGATAATTGCAATGAAACAGAGTCCAGAACAAATCACGGGAGCCTTTCATATCCACGAACATAATATCATCCGCCATTATCCTAGGGAATTGTGGAGTCTCCACTAGCAGTATGTCGAGGTGCATAGCAACACATTATACGGCGTGAAGACCTCGTGTACTCCTGGACATGTGGTAGAACTTCAATCGTAACTCTCCTCCACAGGGTTGCTAGAAACGCTGGAACCTGTCCTAAGTTCATTCCATACGGATGGCAATGTAAGGGTTTAGATCGGTGGCCATCTCTGTTATTCTGAGAATCGAAGTGCACCTTGAAATTTCCAGCGATATTTGGATAGATGTCTGAGAATCTAGAAATAATGATGATGTTAATATGAAGTATGCATGTTTTAATGATCGATTGTAAACATAGATTAATCTTACTTCTCATAGAACTTGCCAAGCTTGGAGCGGCCTACGTAATTAATCGTCTTTTTCACCCTCACCCGGTAGAAAACGTGAAGAAGTTGTGAGCTTAACAAGTAGATAGGAATCCCCCGTGACTGGCGCCTTGGGGGCTGACTTTGGTCGGTTATGAAGTATGTTGTCAAGCCGTTCACATTAATCTGTCACCTACTGGGAGCTGAACTGTTTTCGTGATTAGTAATCAGAGAAAGATCATTTGAATGTAAAACCGATTCATTCCAGTCAATTCATAAGGGAAATCGTATGCTCATGCGATTTCCAGAATTCACCAGGTCAATCGAAAAACAAAACTTGGATTGTATGCCAGAGAGCTTGAAGAGACAATGGATAGTCGTTGTAGCTAGCTCCTATAATCTCTATAATTTTTGAAGTACTCGTGGGTTTTCGACACCCTAAACCTTATCAATTGATTCGTGGTATTGTTTTCCATATTATATCCTGTGATTCAATGTTGCCGAAAATGAAAGTTGACGTAGTTCCAGGTGAAGAGGATAAGAAGGAAAATACGCTTTCGCACTATGAAAATGATGGAATAAAGTGCAGCGTGTTTAAATCTGGCCTTTTCCTGAAATATCGATGATGTCGATGTACCCGTCGGTTGTCATCTGCTTTGGATTGAGCCATATTAAGATTCAGTCTAAACAAAAATCATTTGACACCCCCCTGGCGTTGATTCCTGCTTTGTTTGTCTTTTATTTCAGTCGAATCCCCGATTATCAACTATTTGACGAACCAACGGTGTTGACATCTGCTTTGGATTGTAGCCCCTCGATAGGTTGTCTGTGCATTGCGCTATATGCATGATGAAAAATCAATATCCTATGTTAATTAGACCAAACACGTCTTCTAGAGTTATATCTATCTTTTCGTGATAGAATGATAAATCGGTTTAGCTACCTGGTATCCAGGAGCCGATCGAAACCTCTGCGAATGGGTATGATCTCGTTGTCCAATATGTAAAATCGCTTATTGGTAATCATACCAATTAAAATTTTTAAAAATTTTATCTGTCAGAATGTGACCCGGTGCTGCTTTCCACAATAGCTGGACGTATACTCATCCGTCTCAGTACTGGAATTAGTTTTGTCGCGCATAACCTTAGCTGTCCGGAATGTCAAAGCTGTCCTCATACCATCAAAATTCCGATTGCAATGGTAATTTCCGCGGACACGCGGGCGAATAGGGCCAGCGCGACCATGACGTCTTCTGTCAACTGTCGAGCTACCTGTTCGTCCGTTTCAGTGCCTGGTCTAGATAAGGACGGCACGAGACATATCATGGCGATTTTGTAGGCTGCAGAAGCCATTAACTTCTACCTGAGTTGCGACGACTTGTGTGGTTTCAGCTTGGTACTCAGTTTCTATAGCGCAGTAGACATGCATTTTGCTTTCATCTATTGTTTGACGCCGGATTGATGCGATACTTTCCGCCGGTGGCACTGTACAGTCCCATGCCACGATAGGAAATCCATTCACAGTAGAGAATATGTCAAATTTCCACTGAGTGGATAATCAAAAGCTTCTGCAGTTTTGCGATACCATCCTCTCTGGTTACCCGCGTTGTCACAGTTCTCTAGGATGCAATGTTTGCCGGGTCCGCATTTTGTCTCGTCTATAAATTATTGTAATCACCGTTATGTTCTTAATAAAAGAAAGGCGCTGTCAGATATATTACCGCCTGAGCAAAAGGCACAACCTTGAGCGGAGTTCACCAAGCCTTAGCCAGCAAGTTCTCCGTCTTCTTTAAACCATTAGTGGTATTGGAAATAATACCTTTGGTGGGAATAGCGAATACTTATCATAGTTTTAATGTTCGTGTTTCTAAAAGTACACCACAGATGAACAAAAAGGAGAGCGCCATTCCCATCACTCTTTCATGGCAGCTTTCCACTGAATTCGACATAGCCCGGAGAGAAGTGGGTTTCGTGCTTCTATAAGAGACGCGAGAAAGTGTCGTCTTGTTGATTGTATCTCCGGGGGTAATGCGACTACCGTAGGTGTATGAATCCGTTATTTGGAATGTTCCTGGCAATAATAGTCTTTTAGAGTGGTTCTTCAATTGTCATAGTCCATTTTGAACGGCGTCGCCTCAGCATTTATTAAAAAAATATTGTTTATAATGAAAGGTCTGTGGCCAGCGAAACTAGTCACGCGAAACACTTCTTCTAAATGACTTTCTGCGAATCTGCACGGATGAAATCGTATCTTGTTCGCCTCTTGGTCGTGAATTTTGCAGTTGATAGCCACAAGGTTTTATGAAGTATTCGAATGTTAGCTCTGGCATATCATGCTGCAAGTTCTATGTTATTCCTTGTCAAGCGCTAGAACTGACATAAGCTTTCGTCGAATTTGTCCCTTTGGAACATATAGTTAGGCCCGGCCCGGAAGCTATCCTGCTCTGCCTTATCCCTGCCGTAAGAAATTCGAATTAGCGATGTGGCATTTGCCTTACTGCGATAATTCCGATACTATATTGATAGGATGGAGTCATTATTTCGTAGTTGGAGCGTAAACTGCAGATGGACGAACCATTGAGATATTGTGGTTATAAAACAATGATTTTGTCGCGTTGATCATAGTCTACTAGCGTTGCAAGTGTCGATGTTGGCTATTGCCTTTGGCAGAAGGACTGCATATATTTTGTAATGCACAATTCAAAACACCTGTCCACTTTGTATGACACTATTCGATAGCTCCATTGGGTGGCTATGGCTTGGTGGGGTTTGGATTTTCAATGTGAAAAGATTGACCGAAGAGAATGAGAGAAAAGCGATAGCGGCTGGAGCCCTGTCTAATGGGTGAAATGACTGCATTATCGCAGAAGATGTATTATTTTCCAGGTTTTATGGTGTTGGCAACGTCGCCTACTTCGGCGACCCCCCCTACTGCGAAAGAACGAAAGGCATTGGAAAGATGCATGCTTTCAATGTCTTTGTGTTTTCTTTTCCCTTAAAAAATTAATAAGTTGTTGGGACAAAAAATAATCTCGGAGTCAGAAATTTAACTTGGATATTACCTGCTAACCCCAAAGACTCACAAAATTCCACATCTATGTGAAAAAGAAAAGTCGATAGAAGCGAGTTAATCCAACATTCTAATAAAGTTGGAGTCAATTTTCAACGAAATAGTAAAGTGCATGTCGGTCGAAAAGGGAATCATGAACCAAAGTATTGGGGTGACTGTTTAACTTGTAGATGGCGACAACACTCATCGCTAAAATAACCCATCAATATTTCTGCTTTAAATAATTCCAGAAACATGTGTATCAAGAGTGGCGAAGAGGTTGGTGAACTTGATCGAATCCCTTCTAATGGCTTCCCTTGCATGGTCGCCGATGAGACCTTCCAAGCTGGCTCAGGCAGAATAATGCGGCGATACTTCTTGGGTTTGGATTTCTGCCTCAAGACCTTTTGACCAATTCAATATGCCGAGTGAAAAGAATAACCCTCGAAGGATACGATATTTGAAAAGTCAAATGTACCTAGACGATGATCAAAGGTACAGATGATAGTTGATCCAGAATGTTCGTTCACTTCAATCTTTGTGTAAGCTGGAAGGTAGCCGTGAGTCCAGGCCATGTAGCTTTCATCATACTTGAAGGAGAACCTGTTTGCCTATAGTTGGCTTGTTCAATGTTGTCTTCCATTTCTCGCTTTATTATTCCAGTTCATTTGGTTTCTCTTCTTTTTTAGACTGATCGTAAAGAAAAGGTACAATTAGTTAATCAAGTCTGGAAATTCTAGGTACATCGAAGCATAATGCCATGGATATACTTACAACCCTTTTGAAGAAGCAAATTAATCTTCAGCATCGAGGATTATTTGCCACGATGGCCAGGGGGCTCACCACCCACTTCCTTGCGTCGAGAGGCCGTAATAACCATCCGTCAGAAGTAGGATGTGACTATACGTTTAATATGCTCTTGAATTTCTGTCATAATAGAATATGAGGAGATCTCATGTTGGGTTCTTCAACCCAGAGTTTTGTTTTAGGGAGGAAGGAAAGTGAAGAAGAGGCCCTTTTCATGAAATATCGTTCCTGGACCGGTGTTTTATATGTTTGTTTTACGAATTGTTGCACAAAAGTTTGATTTTATTATATATATCGTTTCAAACAGGCACCACTGTCGGCTCCGATGATAATTTTTTCAAGGATGGGTGCCCCGGGGAAGGGGCTAGCTATTCGGAGAACACTAGACCGGTTCCATATTAGGTGTGCGCAACGAGAAAGGCCAAACAGGCAAAATTATTTATACTCTTCATAATATTCCGTATGACGAAAGAATTGTGTTCTAGATGGTGTCTATTGGTCTCCGATCACACCATCGTATGCTTCGGGCAATTGGTCGGTGTCGATGAAAATTTTCCAGCAGGGATCCAGGATTGACAAATTGGGTATAATCGGCAGGGTGGCTCTCCACCATAGATGTATTGAAACGGTATGGGTACAAAATTGTTTGTTCTTGGTGTCCATAAACCCACAATAACAGTGATTTTCTTTGATAGAAGATTCATAGCTGCGTAGGTGTCAGATACAGCGCAGTCCGGATTGTTCTATGGATGCATGTAAGAGTCACACAAGGATATATGTGAGGAAATAGTTTTCGTTGTCATAAGACGAGATCATGAAAATTAAATTATTTGTGGCTTTATTATCAAACAGCAAGTGTGTGTATTCAGCCTAAATTAATACTGTTGTCGGTCAGAGAGCGGATACATAGAGCCCAGCCGGGTTTGCACCCTATTATGATATGTATTATATCTTGACTAGTGTCAAATAATTTGTAGAAAAGATGGTTCATTTCTATAGTTCTGAAAAAGACAAGTAAGTATTGTATCATTTTTGGTTTTTGGCACTGACTAATAAGTGTTTTTCTAATATCCTTCCAAAACATTAGAGTTGTGAGAGAGACTAATTTGACCCAAAGCATGTAGCACGGATAAAGAACCCCTAAAAGATAGAAATAAGAAATCCATTTTTTTAAGATTACTACGTTACTAGGTTGATCTTTTGTTATATCTATATAGCATCTCAGAAACCCCCTTTGTAAAGAGAGATATTTGATGAAGTCATAACTAGCCCCTCACTAGGATGTGCACGTGCTCACCCATACCCTAGAACGTCAGGAATCGCCTTTTCAGGCAATCACCGGTGACCCATCTCTTTGTATCTACTACATAGTGGATAATAAATGAAGACAGGATAACATTTGAAGCAAGAAAATATTTTTGAGAGTTCTTCAAATATTCCATTGGGTATCGCTATTACTAAAAGAACTCCATCCAAAACTCTAATCATTTAGCCATTGTGCTCGTAAAAAGGTCATCGTCGTCAAAGTCCAGATCAATGTTGCCCCATTCTGTAGCATCTAGATTTACCTGCGACTGCGTCTTCTGGTCAAGCTCCCTGCATTCGTTATCCTGGGTCGCTTTTGGGCTCCCGCGTTGCGACTTTGATGGACTGTTTCTATCAACATCACTCAATGCCCGTCGCAGCGGCTCTCGGTCACGTACTGTGGATTCTTTCGTGTTGGGTGAGAAGGACCGATTTGGATCTACATATCCCGCATTTGAGACGCGCCGACTGCGACTGCGTGCGTTTTGCTGGAAAGAATTCGAAGTCTGGACAACCGGAGTCACGTTTGAGAATTGGGTGACCGTTGTTATCTCACCTTGAGAGGGCAGAAGAAATGACTGGGTTTGTAAGTCAACTAGACGCGACGACTGACGAAATTCCTTGGTTGTGTTTTCGGTTCCCGCCTCTTTCTTATCGTCGACTTTTGACTCTTTAAATCCTATAACATTCATCAATCGACCAATATGTTCCTGAGCTTCAGAAAAGTCGCGGGCTTTGGCAGAGCATTCGCTGTGAAGGAACTCAACCTAAATCAGAAATCAGTAATCATTGAGATTTATACTCGTCAGCATTGCCTCACCTTCTTCTCCAAATAGCGTATTTTCTTTTCCTTTGCGCGAAAATCTATTTCGGTTTTTGCGGAGAACTTCTCGGCGTTGTTCCTGAGAGTGGTGATTTCAAGCCGATATCGATCAGCTTCTTGGTTGGCCTGCATAGATTAGCTTCGTGTCTAGAAATTAGACTGTAAGAACCTACATCGGAATGGGCTTGAGCCATTTGTGTTGCGTGTTTAGACTCCATCTCAAGCATTGTAGACTTATGACGCTGCCGCTCTTCTTCGAAATCTGACCTTAAGCTCTCGTCGTCGGATCTTGCCTGTTTGATTGAGCACATGTGTAAGTAATTAAGTCATTTTAAGTTGATGTACCTTTAACTTACCCTCCCCTGGATGAAGTGAAGTTGTAAAGATAGGTCCCGGTTCGCATCACTTAAAGCTAAAACGCGAGCATCTTTCTCCTCATATACCAAGTCTCGCATGTGCATTATCTGCTCGAATTGAGAAATTTTGAGACGATGAGAATCATATTCATCAGCAGCTTCCTTCCGCGTCTTCACGACCTCCTCGCGAAGTCCGTCACATTTTTGAGATATCTCTAGGTTTTGCTGTGAGGTTTTCTCCAACTTTTCCTTGAGGGTCAGGTTTTCCCTCTTTAAGGAATCCATCTGCGCCTCTTGCTCCTCAAGAAAATCATCCCTCTCTGCAACAGTAGCCATCAGATCAAGCTCGCGGCTACGAGCTTTGATGCGCTCAGCTTCCACACTGTTGGATGATTGTTCACGAACGGAATCGATTTCGTTTTGCAAGACATCAATCTTTTCAGCCATTCCCTCTAGTTTCAGGGTGTAGCTTCTGTTACTTTCAGCTAGCTGGTCACGGTCATTTGTCAAACTAGATACTAGTTGAGAGTCCTGTAGAGCACGACCCTCTAACTCCATATTGACTTGACGTGCGTGTTCCAAGTTGCGTCGAATTTGGTCACGCTCCTGGATGACTTCTGCTAAGGGTTTTTTGATAGTTGAGCATCGTTCTTCAAAGTCCTTACACACCGCTTCCATTTGCTGGATGATGGATTCGTGGGAGTTCTGTGCACTTTCTAAAAGGGATGCAGCGAGTTTGGATCGCCACTCGTGACTTGCACCGTTGCTAGACACGGCTGATCCGTCTTTTGTTTGATTTTGGATGATGCTAGTAAGTCTCTCAAGATGTTTGTTTTGGGAAAACCGACAAAGAGGAGATCTGCCATCTCCGACTTTCAGGCACATAAGAAAGGACATGACCAAGTCATGTGACTGAGAGGGGACAGGCAAACTGGTTGCACCTCCCACGTTTGAGATTGCTTGGAAGCAATGGAGAATCTCAATAAAAAGCAATTTTCTTAAATCAGCATTTCTTGCAACACAGATCTGTAACCCTTCGCTTCGCACGTTGAGTCGTTCATGCAAGATGAGTATTCTACCATGTAAGCTTTTAAAATCTTTTCATCTGCAACAGGAAGGCGCTTCAAATACGAGGTAACAGCAGATAAGTGATGGTCCGATTCTCTTATAGCTGTAAAAGCAAGTATATTGACTCTCAGCATTGCCATATCTGCTACTTCTACCATTCTTCCCGGCGCTAGAGTTGATATCGAGGATGATAGAAGGTTGCAAAGCTCATTTTCATCGAAGTGTGCCTAGCAAGAGTCAACTCTGTACGACATGAATATCTATGCCTCTTCAGTTTCATTTACTTACCAATACTCGACGCAAAAGGGTATATTTAGTTGTTTCCGACATTTGATTGAGAATGATGAATCCTCCCTCTGCAAAGAGTCGCTCTCGTCCGGTGTTGTAAATTTCTGAAGGCAACGACAGACGTTCCAAAAAGGTTATTACAAATGTTAATCCCTAGCATTGTCAATGGTGAAACAAAGATGGATAGCAAGTCAAATACCATCATTTGAAGACTCGAGTCTATATCCGGTCGCCGTAGCTTATCACACAATTTTACGATTTTGGGAGAACCAGTACTGAGCCAAGACTTTTTCAAGTCTTCGTCAATGTTCTCGCAAATCTCTATGGATAATCGGACTATCAAAAGACGCTCCTCGGACGAGTATCCATTGCAGGTGTCTGAGCAAGCCATGATAGAAGATATTACTACCAAGTCAAGAGTCTTAGATACACGTTTAGAGCCGAAAATATGACAAATATTTTCGAGCCAAACTCGGTTGTCACAATTGTTGGCATTCTGCAGCCACAATTTACGTATTCGGGTAAAAGTGGCTAAACAGAGTAGGCTCCCCATGGGATCGTTCAGATTCCGCAAGATATTGGTCGATTCATGCTGGAAGCTGGCCATGAGATCATTCGGTATAATCTTGAGTATATTTGAATTACCAAGAAGGCCATCCATGACTTCGTATAAAGGTCGGATTGTCTTCACACCCGGCTCTTGTACCATCCTATGCAGCAGGTTGGTTAGGAATGCAGGAATTCTCGCAGGAATAGCGACATCCTCAGGCGCGCAACTCGACAGCATGGATATACATGCATCGATGTGCTATTAGCAGTTAGTTTTTCATCTGTTGACTGAGTTTCCCTCACGGCTTGCCTCTGCATCACCATTCTCGATAGGGCGCTGCAGCAGATGATCCAGCAGCGCAGGGTCCCGCTTTAATATAGCATCTCGGCATTCTTGTATGTATCCTTGATAGGATTCAGTTTCACTACTATTTCATTACTTCTAGTAAACGTGGCCACCAACCGAATTTCGTTAAAAGCTTGAGCGAATACGGCATTTGTTCGATAATTACCGCCGCTAGAAGTAGCACCTGGCAGGGCTTGCAATCAGCCCACTGGCGGAGAGCAACATTGGGAATATTTTCCACGATAGCTTCGAGTTTCTGAACCCAAGTCTTTTAGCGTACAGCATATGGTGTGAGTTGGTTCTTAGAACGCACATTGAGGGCGGGAGCATACGGAGTGGTCACAACACGCTCCACCTCGCGAATAAGACAGGGAACGTTCTCCTGCATGGCCACTAGCGGTGAATAAAAGTTCGATTTGTGCTAGTTATTTGCACCCCATATTTCGCTGAACTTCTGAAGGCCGTGACGCTGGATATTCAGAAATGCGATCGTCAATGTCAGTTGGTGTTTGAAGCGTGGTTCCCCTCCACGGTTGCCCCCTCAACCAGCTCTTTTATGGAACGTTAGGCGGCACAACGATTCTCGCAAGTAAGAGACTTTTGTCTGTCCACGGCAGGGTACTGTGAGAATACTCGATGAATTAAAATGGAATAACAGAAAGGTATGTATCCTGGAATGGCTACGCCCAGAGAAACCGTGTATTACAAGGCGCAAATTCATAATTATGATGGCAACTAATAGTATCATATGGGAATGCTTCAAAAGCTGAATTCAATTATACGTCCTCGTCCGATTCCTCGTCTGTTCCCACCTTCATGACCCAATCTTCAACATGAGTCTTAACCACCTCCCAACGGCGCTTGCCGCTAATATCGACCACTGGCAATAGATATGTCCTGGAGCCTTCCAAGTAGACTGCAGTCTCACACGTGACCAAGCATCCATGCCCGTTTCAAGAAAGGAAATAACAAAAATCATAGAGAATAATACATCTACCCTTGCAAGGGGTAGAAACTCCTTGCTGCGTCAACTCGTAAGCGGAGGCCCATATTCGGAAGGAAATACTTCAAGGTCAACCTCAGCCTAAGCACTTACTTCCATCAGTTTCAAACATTCATACCAATCACTAAATGTCTCGTCTGGATTAAAGAAGGATATCGTAACAGAGGTCGGGCTTGGTGCCTCCCTATTCTTGCTTTTGACATTATTACGAACGCATTGATACGTCCTTGTGTGAGCCATCTCAAAGGGATTCATTCCATATAGAGCAGATTTTCCGAAAGTTATATACTAATGTGGTAAGACATTCGCAAGTTGAATCATGCTAGAGTTGATGGACACTCCAAGTACGGCTCTCAGGGGCAGATTAAAACCAGTCAGGGTTGGAAAGGCAACAAGCAATCGAATCGTCCCTCTCATTTGGAATTCCATATCTGAATAAAGTTCATGTGCAAGGTCTTGCGCAGAGAGCATGACTTCAAATCTTAAACACCGCAACGTGTTACCTGCCGATCCTAAAGCGCAATCCACTTGGCTGGGGTCAAAACTATGTGTACCTGTATCTTCATCGAAGGTATCTAGGAAATATTCGTACGTCAACTCCGAATCCGAGGTGTAGCCGCTAATATATCCCCGTATTGTCTCTAATCTTTCCGGGCTCTGGAACAAATGGAGACACGTAAGGTTATCGCGCTTTCCACTTGAATCTCCAATTTGAGCCACCCGAATGTTGTATCCTCATTTGTCTCAGCCTTTATACATGTACATGGATACATTCAACCCTTGGCAAAGACAATAGCGTCCTCATGATGAATTGAAAATCGCCATCGATATCAATTTCGCGTAACTCATCATGACCTTGTAAAATTGGCGTTAGATATATTGAGGGTAAACCATAACTGTTTCGTGTCTCCAGACTCCTGAGGTTGTTATAACTGGCAACTAGAGTAGCTAACGCAGCATTGACCTATCCTTTCAGGATCTTTTTTACCCATAAACCTACTTCACCAGGACAACATGTACGCGGTGTCCACTACCTTGCTTCTCTTTGGGGAACCTTTAGCAAGTGGTGAGATCCTCCTGTGCCATCAATTGAGTATAGCTTAACATAGCTATCTAAACTGGGATTGGTTCGGATAGGGTGGCAGAATGCTGCAAGCTGCCTCTCAGCGTCTGATATGTCAGGGCGACCCGGGATAATGCATAAAGAACTCGATATCGCGATATCGCGATATAGTGTGGGTGTGATCAACTATTTAAGCATATGGAAAGTGCGTGTCAGTTTGCTCTTAGCATCCAGAGGCAAGTTTTCTTCGATCATGAGAAGTATCTCATTCAGCAGAGTAGAGAGAGAGTCCATAGTATAGATGCTTTGTAGGGCTTCTGAGATAGGCAATATCGATAGTAGCGAATTTGAATTAACTTACTAGGTAGGAACACGATACTTGGGTTATGTAATGCTCACAGGCAAAAGAAATAGTATAAGCAAACACTTAATATAAGCAAGCAATCTGGTACTCAAGCTATCATATTTGGTGAACAGTGGGCTAGACTATCTACGCAGGTTTGACCGCCAAACCATTGTTTGCTGGTGATCGATCACCATCAAATAGTTATACAGCGTTTGAGTTATAGTTATGTTGTTGATATCACTTCATACGAATACATGTATGGAATGCTATTGGTAACCTGCTCAATCCCTGCTTTAATCGACTCAAACAATTTATGTCCGTCGATTGTTCTCCGGGGGTTAACGACAGGCAATAACGAGAAGGCCAAGGGTTATTATATACATGACAATATAGTCTCTACAGATCAATGTTGTAATAGAGAATGCCATTTGCTAGTATCTCTAATGCCGACAGTAAAGTAAGAGCTTATTGGATTGTGACATACCATGCGACATCATTGAAAAATTTTTTCATCCTACGAGTATAGAAGAGTTAATTAGGTTGGGAGAGAAGCTAAAAATAGTTATAACAAGAGGGGTCCTAATATTGTCAGCGCAGGTCGAGAACATTTCCCTTAATCTTAAAATCGCCATTCAAGAAAAAAGTTATTCTGAAGAGATCCATAATGGGCTTGGCATCAAGGACCTATCAGCTAAAGGCTCGCAGCACCATTCGAAATCACTTAACATGCCGCATACGCAGAGAGGACTTGAAAGCTATGTCCACGTCGGATTTCCTAAAACCAGGCGCTCTGCCCAAAAGCACAACCCCTTGAAGAAGTGCTTTATTGGAAACGTAAGAAATTTACTAGTAGCAACTAGCATAAGGAATTAGACTTACTAGTAAAGAAAGATTCAACATCAAGAACATACTGAGTCGTATCATCGCATGGTGAAGGATGGATATCTATCTCTTGTAGATCTCGATTTATACTGACGTCAATGAACGCTGGCATTCGTTCGTTTGCACAGTCGATAGTCGCGAATAGTTGGTCACTTCTCAAGTCAACTCCAATTTCTTCCAAGTACCCTGCCACGTCATTGCAGTCAAACCATTCACCGTCGTATCCAAAGAGAGCAAGGTTTCGCAGACGTGTTCGTTTTGAGAAGATCTCATTACTTTCCGGCATGATGCCTAGTATCCTTCCAGGTAGCCGCATCTTTGAGGGATATATTGGATTTCCTTTCTCATCCCTCTGAGGGTAGTGCGTGCCGGCGCCTCCAATACAATACAACGGCAGCTTTGGGATTTCAAGGGGCTCCCTATTTCGACCACGGAGTACAAGTCTTCGGAAGTGAGGATACATATTAGACCGGTCACGAATACAAGGAACAAGTCGGAAAACTCGGTAAAAGTCCATGGGACTCGTAGTTGTGTCAGCGAATATTTGAAAAGCATACTCCAAGCAATACCGGTGCAGTCGGCGAGTGAAATCAGGCTCTTGAAAGCACAAAGTATAGCTCGAGTTGCTATTGATTGGTCTTTGTATTCTTTGAGGTTTATTGTTTTTCACCTTTGGGCGCCAAGCATGCCGGGACGTGTAGATTGCTTCTCCAGAATAGACATATGATGATTTTATATCGGCTTCCACGTGGATTCGGGGTTCGGAATCTTCTATCTCATCGCTGTCTATCATTTCAAGAGGGTCCATAAAATCATGAGGAGAACTACTATCTCCCAAGTGATACCAATCCGGAGTGTCCCGGTGATTTTCACGGTCGGTCGCTGTTATGACATCAGTCTGGATGCCATTTATAGGGAGGCGCATTTTGTCTAAGCACGCAAATAACTCCGGGTGCGTTTCCTTTATATTATACTTCAGTGCAACTTGTTCGAGATCAGCGAAATTCCGAGATGTCTCGTCTAATCTTTGCGCTAGATCGTCCACATGTCTTTGCAAGCTTTGAAGCTTCACTTCCTTTTTGAGTCTATACCTATTTTGGGCTTGGCGTACCTGTGTTCGTCGTTTCTATTGATAATGAACATTTATTAATAACAGAAGATGATGAGAAAAGGGCATTACTCAAATACCTCGGATAATATGGCACTGCCAGAGGCTCCATTTTGTGGCCGTCCTTTGCTTTGAGATGACCGTTTTCGTCTTTTATTCGTGGATAAGTCGCCTCCTGCTGCCTTGTCCCGAATGATACCGAAAGGCATTTGCGGTACTCTTGTATAGCTGCCATCGTCATCTTTTATGGATATGTATGCGGCATCCACAGTATTGGCGGGAAAATTACGCCTTTCAGAGTCTGCAATCGAGTGATATGAACGAGCCGAGAGATTTTTCAGAAATTCAGCCTCGGAAGTCTTCATGATTGACTGCAAGTGTGCATGTATATCAGTTAATTGATAATTTGATCACGTTTCCAAGCCGGATGGGTTCAGCAGTAGGGAGTGCCCGTTGACTTTGATCAGCTAACTAGCTCATCACGGTTGATATTGTAATCCTGCCAAAGTCCCTCGGCTCAACCAGGCCATCGATTGATTGGTGGGAGAAGGCGGGATTCAATCACTACTCTCATTGGATGGCAAAAAAGTTAAAAGAGTTGGTGCAATCGGATCAATTGATCTGCACAGCGCTAGTCATCCTGCAAATACTATTGGCTAGAAGATTGGTACACAGTAAAAGTAGTTGCAAGTTGCAGGCCTGCAGCAAACCTGGTAGATTTCATAAATCGTTTCGCTAACCGAATTGCACCTTTGTACCTGACTATTTATAAACTATACTGTCTGCCAGTATCCGAATTCAACTCTATCGTGTTGCAGTCTTGGTGTATGTAATTCTATGGAATAGAAGTAATATTCAAACCTAAGCGATGACATGGAATCAAATCCAACCCGATATTATCGCCAGGGCTTGCTGTCTCATATAATTGAGCACCACAATTATACTCCCTCGTACATTTCTAATCTATATCTAGGGTACATTCTCCCACGATAAATCAGAAGAAAAGTCCCCAAGGTTGTACCATCCACAGAGATCGTCAATGGAACTTAGGGAAGGCAGGATGCTCATTGCATTGGTAGAGGCGTCCGTGTCAGATCCGAGATTTCCCTGTCCTTCGCCGCCGGATAGGCCGGGTGCTTCACTAGACCCAGTCCTACTACTATCGCTCTCCACTTTAGACCCCAGACCTAGTACATGACGAGCAATTGTCTGAATCTCCCGAACATTTCTCGCTGTCCGAGGCCAAATCTCCCCCAACGCCTTGAGACATCCGATTGTCATTCGGATTTGTTCTCTTGCTATCGCCAATTCTTTTCCATTTAGTATAAAGTTGCAGGCGGAGAGCAAAGCTAGCGTTCCCTCGCTCACCATACATGTTGTAAAGGGTGTGTGATGAAACTTCTGAGTTGGCAACGCCAAAAGACGGATCTGTGCATTTACTGACCTTAGGACACGAACGCTATGCACATTTACAAGGTCCGGTGTTGGTGTATCAGGAGGTGGTTCTCGGGCACAACTTGAGACTTCTTCTACAAGATTGAACTTGAGGTCGGAAAACGGTCGGTGCAAGCCAATTGTAGCTCTGAGTAGCATTAGTATCTTGAGTTGCCTCCGATAAGCGGATGATAAAAGAGGGTTATAGCCTTACACATGAATGAGTAAATGTGCCTGAAACATGAGCTCGTCGATTTCTCCTGTTTTGCTCATGACTTCCTTTCGATCCTTGGGTAACAGATATAGCCATCCATCCAAAATAGCGTCCGCAGCTTGTATGACTTTCGTTGAATCCTCCTTCACCGCAGTCTTCGGGACTGTGGATATCGCTAATGCCGCACATCGTACAGCTTCAATAAGATAAGCGTAGGATGAAAACGTTGTATCATCAAATGCGAATTCACGGTGATTGAATTGTTCAAGCGTTTTCGGCTCGGGAATCTCCTATGGCACATCACATCAGTTATCGAAAGAGTGTTGTGAAAGGTTGACATAGGCTGAACCTACTCCCGACTCATAGTCTACCTCTTCACAAGGTAAGTCAACGGTGGCCTCAATATTCAAAACATGAAAGTTCATAGTTCCCAACGTCCCCGCATAAGCTGCATCTACGAAATATAACATCCACCAAGTCCGCCTCCAGCATTCTTGTAGTACAGGATCGTCGTCTCCATGCTTTGCCGAAAATTCTCGCAAGTGCATTCTCAATTCAACTGCTAGAAGGGTTGCATTATCCATTTGTGATCTCGATTCGGCCTTATACTCATACCAGAACAGGGCTATGGAGAATAGTAGTCTGCACTGGACCATGACGGGATCCATGGGCGAGGCTTGCGAGAAGCACTCCTCAACGTGATCTTTTAGCGGTATTGACCAGTCTCGCACACTATAAAGATATCCAATCAAGCGCATTACAGCTATAAGCGGTCTTAACTTAACTTCCCTGCTCGGAGCTTGATAAAGTCGCCTTAGGTGTTTCTGAGGTGGAAGGAACGGGTGGAGTTTGTGGAAGTTCTTATAATATGAATCGATGAGCGGGTCATTCTGGATCTCGCTGAAATGAAGTTGGGGTGTCCCTGGCCATACAAGGCCAGATAATTTGCCATCCACACTTATTCCATCCAGAAGGTTATGACTATCGGGGAGATCAAAGTCCACGACTTGTGGCGTGAACTCCTGATGCTGTTCGCTCTCTGTTGATCTTGTGGAGCTCGTGCTATTCATGAGTGCGACACTCTCTCCCCCCGCAAGTCTTTTCCGTCGTTCTGCAAGAGCTGCGCGATCCAGACCACCCCGCCGGGAGCGAGCATACTGGCACTGCCTGGAGAGTTCGGTGCATCGGCTACAGCATGGTCGGGTGCCATCACATTTCAAATGGCGCGAGCGACATGGCAGGCAGGCCAGCGATGAGCGCGTAACCCTACCAGGATGCGACGCCGTAACATTCGTGGGATTCATGAAGTCAAAGTTAGGCAGTTGTGAGAGATGTGGGGGGAGCAAGTTCAACATGCATCTCCGCGTATCCGCGATTCGGGAATCCGGGTAATCGATGGATACCCGCTTACCCCGTTAAGGTTATTCAATTTAAGCTTACCTTGCCTGGTTAGAGGATAGTCATCTTACTATTCCTCTCATGCTCCCTTTGGCGGTAAATGTATACCCGCATTGTTAATGTATGTCAGTTGCTGTGTATATAAGAAGAAACAGAATGGATTCAGAATACTCCACCAGTAACCAAGACATTGACTACCATACATTGCTTAAATCGTATCTGTTCAAAATTGTCTTTTTACACAATACTCTTGAATAGAGCATTCGAAATCATGTCGAATAAAATCGTCATTATTGGAGCCGGATTTGCTGGGGTCTGGAGCGCTCTCTCAGCGAAACGTCTAATCGGTCTCAGCCAAAATGAGAGACACATTGAGGTTATAGTAGTGGCACCTGGAGCATCTTTGGTGCTGCGTCCACGCCTGTACGAGTCCAAGCCTTCGAAGATGGCTTACCCTCTCAAGGCTCTTTTTGAGGCTGCAGGAATAACGTTCTTTCAAGGCACTGTAACATCTATTGATACAGAGAGACACGGCATACAAGTCAAATCTGCCAAGGGTGTCCAATCAACTATCGTCTACGACCGTCTCATTCTAGCAGCCGGAAGTACCATCGTGAAACCTAAAGGGATTATTGGGATTGAGGAAAATACATTTAACATCGACTCTCTAGATGCTGCTGTAACGCTTCAAGATCATCTCGAGAAGCTAGCGTCGCTTCCCGCGACCACGAGTAGGGATACTGTCGTTGTTTGTGGTGCTGGCTTTACCGGTATTGAAACCGCGAGCGAGCTGCCTAAGCGGCTTGGGCACATCCCCAATCACCGGATCATCTTAATTGAAAAGACAGGCCGAATCGGACCCGAACTCAGTCCTTGCTATCGTCCGGTTATCACACAAGCTTTACAAGAACTCGGCATAGATATCAAGCTCGGGTCTGCCGTAAAATCTGTTGATGCTAATGGGGTCAACTTTGAGTCTGGAGAACGTATTGAAACAAAAACAACGATCTGGACTGTTGGAGTGAGAGCAACGCACCTGACCCAGCAGATCCCTGGGGATAAAGACGCCTTCTCTCGCCTTCATGTTAACCGAGATTTACGGGTTCCATCAGTCAATCATGTATTTGCCACGGGGGATGCTGCCTGTGTCCTCGCTGATGACAGTGGCCACCATGCGCAAATGTCCTGTCAGCATGCTCTTCAGCTTGGATGCGTTTCTGGTCATAATGCTGCTGCAGATCTTCTTGGTGAACCGACTCTCAATTATAGTCAACCCATATATAACTGCTGTCTTGACCTTGGTGCATGGGGAGCGGTAGTTGGAGGAGGTTGGGAGGGCCAGGTCAAGGTTACTGGCGATTGGGCAAAGCGCGTGAAGGAGTATATTAACCAAAAGCTGATATATCCTCCGACAGATGTCCAGGAAGCTCTCAAATGGGCAAAGGCAGTCCGTCCTGATTCAGACTACTCTCTCGACCAGGTCATACAGGCGATGGCATAACTAATCCAGAAAACGATCAATAGCTCTCCCTTCAGTATTTGGTGAAAATGGATTTCTTTTATAACTACAGTGAATATTTCAATTAATGCCGTAAATGATAGATTGATTCCAAAATTATAGCGTATTCCTTTTCTCGTATCTTGACTGTCTGATAGTCTTCAAATCATAACCCACATCTTCCCATGAGCCATCGTTTACGGCGTTCATAAGATGTCAGTTGAAAAGTACGGGAGAGATTCTTACAGTTCGTGCTAAATTTCAGCCTTCTGGAATGGTTTCTTCCAAAAGTAGTTCGCAGTCTCTATCAATAACCATGACTTGGGGGATGGCGTAAATGCATGTGTTTATTCAGGTGATAAATGCCGAGATCAATTGATATCATAATCCACCCGGCTTTGCTAGTCGCAACAAGTAAATTATTCTCCCACCAAGTTATTATTCATCTTTATTCAAAACTAACTAACTATATACAAACCGTCAACTCTGCTCATGGTACACCTATGGCTAATAAGGTCGCATAATCTGGGAATGTTATATTCGTAACGAAGTTTAGTTCAAATATCTGCTTGAATTAAGATTAATTTCTGACGAATTCTCAAAAATTCAGTCTATTTTTCAGCAAAATCAGATTCTAGGTACAAAACTAGTTCGTGGTCGCAAAATGGTTTGCTGTCTCATACTCGCAAGCAAGCGGCCATCTTCATCCCAAACTCTCCCCTCACTGAAAGCCCTCGCATTTTCTGCTATAATAGTTTTCTGCTCCATTATATCGTAATTCATAAGATTCACATTCCGTGTAAAAATCCGAAGCGAGAAGTCCAGCGTTGCGCAAGCGCTAGCTTCCAGGTGCTAGTATCCGTTATTATTTGCAGGGATATAAGCTAGCACTCAGTCCATATAAAATGCGAGTGCTGACATGTTTTCAGCCTCGGTTATCAATAAGCCTTTCACGCGAAACTTTTCAATTGGTACTTTCTGCGGGGCAACCTGATGGTTTTTCCTTTCCCTTTTCTCGCCAGCTTCATCGTTGATATCGACCAGGATCGATTGCACGTCTGTGAAATGTCCGGCGTCCTTATATAGCCCATAGGGGTATGCAACAGAAGGTTTTGAGGCCAATTCAGATATATCCACCCATAATTTCGAATGAGGAAGTGTAGTGTAAGTCACCATTGCTCTGGAGGTCCTCAACGTGAAAATCGGCGGAAGTAACAAGACACAAGATAATAGATCCATCATCAGCCTCTTGTACCCCTCGTATATGACGGATTTCGAATGTTCTAGTGTTTCTGATTGCTTTCACCTGACATAGCGGATCTCGATCTGTGGTAGCAGGTCGTATGAAGCGTCCGCTGATAAAATACAAGTGATGTGAACCGAGATCGTTTGGTATGCGGCATTAACTGCAATTGCCAGGATGTTTCCTCCAAATACAGTAGAGGATAAGTCTCCCATTCGAGTTGGCCTCGTCACCGAAATACATTTTCCGGACCCTGGTGCCTTAACTTCTATCTGCCGGCTAAAGAGATGATTTGATCTGACATAGTTCCGATGCATAAGATGGCTACTCACCTGGTATCAAGAACTGATTCCCGAATAAATAAAATTGTTCAGGCAAGTTATGCATCCCAACATTATATACACTGTACATTTATAATATGCAATTCACGGAATTGATGACGTGGATGGTAACAGATTAGCCAAGGTGGTTGTGGATTGTAATTCAACAACACCTGCGAGAAATTGCCTCATTAATTTGTCAGCAGGTTATTCGGTATAATTCAGTATCATTCTGAAATATAAGTGACTATAGTAATATTTTTAAAAACTGAAAGTTGTATCCACTCTCTAATTGTTGTATATACGTCATTTTACTCCGGATATACCGTTAATACAACCCGGATAACTTTCTAGCATTTATTGATTCGAAACGGTACATATGTAGGTAAACGCTCTAGCAATCTCCTGAAATATCCATACAATGGTAGAGTAAATTTTTGTGAGAGCCTATTCCAAGCAATCTATTTTTGCTTTGGAAGACCGCCCATCACCAAGCCGGAGTCTACAAAGTGTTAATTTAGCAATAATTTCATACAAATCATTCAGAATAGATACTTCGACATACCAACCACTATTTGCTGCCCAGTAATAGAAGTATTTTTACTGAGGCTAACGTAAACATCGGCACAATCGTCCAAGTAAGTCTACGAGTGTCAGAATCATATGTCGATCTGTTGGATTATAATATATGGGAGAATATCTTCACCTCGTGTTTCAAAGCAGCCTTTTCCTGGAGATTTTTAATCTGTGCGTCGCCAAACTTTTTGCCCTTTGAGAGGTTAAGTTACACTTTGTAATTTGGTGGGATATATTTGGTATCTAATTTTCTTACCTGGTCTGTAAGCAAGATGCCCGGTAGAACCGCATTTACACGGATCTTGGGCCCGAAACAAAATGCAAAATGTTTCATGAGATGCAAGGCAGCTGATTTAGTAACGGAGTAGCCAATGCTACTTCCTGCTGGAGTGATTCCCTAATATAATCTTCCAATTAGTGTCTCAAGAGTAGAAAACAGATTTCCAAAGCAGGATGACCGAAAACTCACAGTTATGGATGATGTTAATATATATGCCCCACCTTCAGGGTTCTGCTCAAGAATGGGCTTCGCTGCTTGCATGAGTTGCAGGTGACTTAGCACATTGGCGTTCCAACACTGTAAAAGCCATAGGTCTGTCGTTAGCATAGTCATTTAGATAAGTAACTTCATTTCACGTATATACCGTGTTCCACTCATCAATTGACAAGTCATATATATCGCCAGGCTTAGCAAATCTTGTCCATCCTGCATTTGCAATCACAACGTCCAAGCCACCGAAGTTTGCTTTAGTCTCGTTGATAAGTCTTTCATTGTCCTCGGCGACTGTAGTATCCTTAAATGAATATTCGTGGTTAGTTTCAATCGCTTCATACCCAGGGTTAGTATATGATTGTAAAAGTGGAACCTCATACCCCTTTTATTATACAGGCTTTAACGGAATACTCTTCAATCAAGCGATTGGCCAAACTCTGGGCGGCTTCAACATTCGTGTAATAGTTAATGGCTACATTGCAGCCTTCTTCCGCGAATTTCTGGCAGATCTCTGCTCCAAGGCCGCTTTCATCGAAGTATAGTTAGATATTGAAATAACGTATCATTTTAAATGGATTCCTACCGCGATCCTGCCGTGACCAACACCCTTTTACCTTTGAGTGAAAATGGCATCTTGTTAATTGCTTCGAGAGAGGTCAAAAATGGTGGAAGGGAGGAGGCAAGAAAATGGTAGATTGCAAATACGACGGGAGATATTATATTTATTTTCAGAAACGTAACGACTTATTTTATGGGATTTAAATGATGACTTTATTAGAACAAACATAAAGCTTTGTGTCGTTGTGTTCCGACTTCTTTTCCCATAGATGTACAGTGAAGCCTGCCACCTACCCGCAACCCGCAGTAACCCTAATCCTTATTGCCGCAGTAACCGATGCGTGCTAACGATCAGAGCTTTACTCATATTAGACCATATGTTGTGGCAATAGCTTGAATCGTAAAGCAGAGACAAGTAAAACACCGTTATTAATTTATGTAGAGGGTCAAATGGGATAATTAGGCACGTTTCTATGTAAGAATACATCCGAGGTTCCGCATGTGAATGGTTTGTGGGCACAATTCACATACTATTTACGAGTACAGGTCTACAATGAAATACAATAATCATAACTGCGAGTACCATTTCATTCAAAGCGTATAGCACCATAAAACTAGATAGGAGATCCCAAACTAATCGTCCACATTGGGAACCTGGCAGTCAAATCCGTTGAGAACCACAGAAACGTAACTATAGAACGCAACAACCTGAACCAGTGCTGTAGCAGTATCTTTTCCAAGGGAACTCAACACATTATCCCACTTGTCTTGAGACAAGGGTCCAGATTTATGAACAAGACCATGGGCGAACTCAAACACAGACTTCTCCTCGTTCGTAAAATTCGCAGGGCATTGACCATGCACAATGGTGTCAAATTCGTCCTCTGAGATCCCGCGACTGAGTGCCAGATATCTATGCCCGTACAATTCGTATGCAGCATTGAACTTTGCTCCTGTGACGATGACTGCTATTTCGCGGTTTTTGGGACTCAGTCCAGGGAGTTGCGAGATTGCCTTGGTCATGCCGAGAAAATGCTCGCCGACCATGGGAGTGTGCAATTCGGCACCAAATGGTCCAACAAAACGACCATCCTTTTTCATGAAAACAGCCTTTCTAGAATTCTCCATTAATTGGCATCATAATAGATTTATCAAAGACGGAAAAAAAGACATATTCAATTACTCACCCGCCGCCATATTTAGTTGTTGTATACGAATACAACTTGTCATAGAACGTTTTGGCATTTTCGTCCAGTTCGCTAGGGTGCAGTAATCCGAGCCGGTTCATTTTTAAAAGCTCTTAATTTAGAGAGCTGGTGAAAAAAAAATGGAAATAGATTGAAAGTCGAGGTCTGTATACTGTTGATGTTGCAGTTGGGAGAATCGGCTCTTAATATAACATTTAAGCTCAGTTTTCTTGTTACGCATGACAACATTGATGTTTGGGTACTTCACTGTATGTATTATAATCCCATAGGATCCATCAAAAAGGGGGTAACTCCTTTTTTGGCGGCAAGTCTTAATTTAGGGTTCAAAAAAGCCAAATTGATCCGCAGAGCCGATATCCGACATGCTCGAAGTTAGCATTGAAGTGTAAACTACAACACCGCTCACATGCTTCTTCTTATTATATACAGGATACTTCATTGTATAGAAATCAACATTTAAAATTCGTTGATACCCAAGGTTGCAAAAAGAAACAACTAAAACAAATCCAGCATTCAAAACTTACATCTTATCAATCGATATAGATATTATTTGCCTCCCATGGAGCAAACTACGGCAACTGAAATCGCAACCTTCCCCCCTCGTTATCTCCTCGAAAATATTGTCGTTCGCCACGATGGTTCAATCATCATTACAGCCTATAATCAAAGGGAGCTTTACTATTTGCCCAATCCAGGTCAGAGTGAAGTAAAGCCTCGGTTAATGTACACGTTCAAAGACTATCCCACCGGAATTGTTGAAGCAACCCCTGATGTTTTCTATATTTCCACGGTTTCAATCATGCGTGGAAAGTTGGAAGGCAATCCAGCACGTCTCTACAAGCTAGACATGCGCAATTTCACCGGTGATCTTCCAGAACCAGTGCTTGCACTTACATTCCCTCCCGAAGCCCTTGGGTTGAATGGTTCTTGTGCCTTGTCTCCATCTGTCCTCTTACTCGCCGACTCCTGGGCTGGTCTTATATGGCGTGTGGATGTTCCAGAAATCGATTCTACGCCTCCTTCCGTCCAGGTGTGGTATAAACATGACATGATGGGCCGTGGTAAAAACCCCAGGACGATCGATGTTCCCGGCATAAACGGGGTCAAGTACCATTCCCGCCTCTACCAAGTATACTTTACCAACACAGCGCAAACTATCTTCGGGCGAGTTCAAGTTGACCCAGCTACTTTGGGGCCACTTGGTGATCCCGTCGAGGTTACTGACCGCTGGATGTGGGCGGATGACTTTATCATTGACGAGAGGGCCAATGTCGCGTACGTCACCACTCACCGACAGAATAGTATCGAGAAGATCCATCTCAAGACTGGAGTGAGACAGAATTGCATTGGGAATCCGCTCACTCTAAAGTTGTTGGGTCCTACAGCCGGTGCGTGGAGTCACCAGTCCAAGGATTATGGCCGTGTGGCATATTTTCTGACTGATGGCGGACATATGAATCCGTATGAGGGAGTCTTTAGGGATGCAAAGGTTTTGCGGGTTGAATTTCCTTCTGAAATCGCTGCTTAGCTCAAATACCCGTCAAGTGCTGTGGTGTTGATCGATTTTCAAATAATATAATATGCATTGTTTTCTTACATAATATGATGCAATTGTAAGAATACACAGAAACACATACAGTAATTATTTCCAACTCATGAAGCGATTACCTCTGAGGGGAACAGTCCAAAGAGTCATTTTGCATTCAAATGATACGAGCTTATTAGTGAACTAGTGGTGCTTCGGAAAGTACCCAGTCCAGATCTTCAGGACCCCACGCTCTCAAATCAAACGTAAAGTCAGTGCTGGATTGCGAAGTAGTCAGGTCAGCCATTGTGACTGGCACTGAAGGTACAGCGGGTTCCAAATATTCAAGAATTGTAAGATATGTCACCTCTTTTTCTTTTTTCTGCTTCATGGCACGTATCAAAAGCTGGAGCACTAACAATGCCTCCCTAATCGTTTTGCTGGGATAACGATCCTTGATCAAATTAATAGTCTGGAGAGTAAAGTGCAAATCACTGAGTGCGTCAATCGAGTCGAGCGAAATCAAAACACAGCACCACTGGAATAGTGTATTTAGCATATTCCACCATGCTTGACCCTTTTGAGCGAGAACGGTAGCTGCTTGTACGGCGGCTTTTCCAATGGAGACGATCTGTTGAGTCTGGCTCCGTGAGATAAGATTGAGTTCGCTGTTGACCCGAATACGCCGATATAGGCAGAAACATACATCTGCCTTGAGCAAAGTTAGATATGGATGTTCCCCTGTGGTGTCGGTTCTCGCAGCATCCAATAGATCTGTCAGGTGATTCAAGTCACTCTCAGAGCCGACTGTTCCATCCGTTAGCGGCAGTTTACAGCCTAGATGCGCTAGCATTGCGGCATTGCTCTTGTCTGTGGGTGCAAATGGGAATTGTCTAGTCACTCCAAGCAGAATGACGGGAGTGCGTCCCATTTCATGAGATATCAGTCTGTTTCCAGCACAGACCACCCAAAATAAATAGCTGCAGGATTCGGCATTCCACATTCCACTATGCTGGTCGAATCCGATTTCTTTATGCAGGCCGAGTGACTCCGCCATGTGCATGGTAGTGCAGCTGGCAAACCAAGTGATATGTGGTGTTGCTGTGGCCCGAAGATATAAAGCGCGAAGAAACAAAGCAGCCAGAAGGTCAACATTCGGTTCACTAAGGGTAGCCTGATCTGACAAAATGGCTTCGGCGTGTCGGACAATTTGGCTCTCGGACTGGGAATTACTTGAAATTGTGAGGATAGATGACATTCCAATGATACCACCGACCAGGGCTTCAAACGAAAGTCCTTGGGAATTACCCATAAAATGATTCTCCGTGCGATCTATCAAGGATTCAAAGTCCATGCATCCGCAGATCGGAAATTTCGCAGCGAAGAAAGACTGAAGATAATTTTTTGCCCTTGCCAAAGTCACCATTGAGCATATTGTATCCCCCACGCGGCATGGCGATTGTTCTCTGGCATGGAGATTCCACACATAGGGCTGCATCTGCGGTAAAATATCAGACTGTAGCTGCAGTCCAAGATATCGAGGGAAGGCTTCGAGAGAGTGTCTCCCGATGTATCGGGCTGGTGGCTCAACGAATGTGACATTATTGTTGCCAGTATTGCTGTTACTCTGTCTGCAACCTTGTATAAGGTCTGTCATCGACGCCTTAGCCTCGAGAGAGCTCTTGGCCCTATTAGCCTGTCGGGCATATTGCTCCTCTGGCACATCGGCTAGGGAGTCATTCTCATCCCAAGCTGTGTTGTTATTACTGGTGGGGGCGACCGGGAAACGGCGGCTTTGGCGATAACTACAGAGATAGCCATATCCATTGCAAGTGTCACACGGATAAGCCCCGTTGCATTTTCTCTTTCGGCTGGAGCAAGGAATGCAGGCTCTTCGCGTACGCAAGCGCTTTGAACTAGATCTCGGCTCAGCCATGGACAATCCCCGCTTTCGATAATAATGAATAAGGAACCCAAATTCGCTGACGTTGGAAAGGATCGAAAATACAATCCGCACCGAAGAGGACTCGAGCAGCTATTTGGGTCATAAAAACAGATTGCATCGGCTCATCGGCACGGCTGCACGAGGGAAAAGGATCAGTGCACAAGCAAGCACGAATCGGAAGGCTAACCTGTGTTCGAGGCGCAGTTTCTTTGTTTCCCCGTCCGAGCGCATATAGGCGGGGAAGTGGAGAATAGATTGGAGAATAGATTGGAGAATAGATTGGAGATTAACCGGGGTCGTGTTATCTTCATCTTCCCCTCATTCTGATTTAAAGTTTGAAGCACAAAGAAGCAGCGGGTATTGCGGGATGTTGTTTTTAGTATATTGCTGTCTGGCGTCCCGGGGCGAATTAGGGTTGCGAAGCCGCCAAGAGTCATGGGGATACTCATGGCCTGGTATACACACGACATTCTTCTAGGTTCGTAACGGCGTGGTTTCTCTTCGTGCGTATACTAGAATTGTGCAGGCATCACGTTTTATGCAATTGAAGGCTTTTGTCCCTAGGGCCGAGGTATACCGCGTTAAGCTGAGGATCGCTTCGTGATAAATAATAAGACGCGAAAGATATTTCTTAGCAGCTTAAAATCATGTTAACACCTCGTCAAATATAAAATTCAGCTATACATAGAAATTATACACCACGCACCTTCGCAAAAATCATCATGTCTCTAGAAACTGATGATGCCCACGAAAATGACTGGTACAACCAAGACTTTGGCGAATATCGCATCACTGAGCATCCCTTGTATACCAAGAGACAGCTACGAGTAATCTGTGTCGGAGCAGGTGCATCTGGACTGCAGCTTGCCTACAAGGCAGACCGTCTCTTGGACAACGTTGTTCTGCAGATATACGAGAAGAACTCAGATATCGGAGGAACATGGCTTGAAAACCGCTACCCTGGGTGCACTTGTGACATTCCTAGTCATAGCTATCAGTTCACTTGGGCGAGGAACCCTAACTGGTCCCATTATTACTCGTCGTCGGAAGAAATATGGAAGTATTTCAAAGATGTCTCCAGAAAGTATGATCTCGAAAAGTATATCGAATTCAATACAACAGTAAAAACAGTGACTTGGAATGAAGACAGAGGAACATGGAATGTTAGTGTTCTGCATCCAGATGGTTCACAGTCCAACGATTGGTGTGACATCTTGATCAGCGCTTGTGGAAATTTGAATTCTTGGAAATATCCGAATATCCCTGGCTTACAGCTATTCAAGGGGAAGCTGATGCACAGTGCCACCTGGGACAAGTCCTACGATCTCACTGGAAAGAAAGTTGCTGTCGTCGGTGGTGGCTCTTCCGCTGTCCAAATCATTCCGTCAATTCAACCCAAGGTAAAGCATTTAGTGGCATTTTTGAGATCTCCAGTCTGGATCACATCAGGTTTCGCATCCAAGTATGCCGGGCCTGGTGGTTCCAATTTCAAATATTCCTCAGAGCAGATGAAGAAATTTGAAAATGACCCGGAAGGTTATACCCAGTATTGTCGTGACATCGAGGGAGAGCTGAATCGACGTTTCACTTTGATGCAGTTGAGCAGCGAAGATCAGAAACAATCCCGTCAAGAAGTGAGCGCCCAGATGACTGAGCAACTAGGAGGCGACGACCGCCTAGCTAAGAAACTTATTCCTGAATTTGCGTTGGGTTGTCGCCGGATGACACCGGGCTCGGGGTATCTTAGGTCCTTAACAGCAAAGAATGTAGATGTTGTTTGCGAATCCGTGGTACGGTTTACAGAAAATGGTATTGTTGATGAATCCGGCGTTGAGCATGAGGTAGATGTAATCATATGTGCTACCGGCTTTGACACGTCTTTTACACCCCATTTCAATGTCATTGGTCGGGGTGGGCGAGATATCAAATCTCAGTTTGGTGAATTTCCTGTCGGATACATGGGTATCATGGCGAAGAACTTTCCTAATCTATTCCGTATGTTACTTCTTTTCATTCCCTTTTTGTGAACTCTTTGAAGCTGAACTAATGATTAAATTGCAGTCATGATTGGTCCCAATGGCCCAGCCAGTCACGGCTCAATCATCCCGGTCCTAGAGTGGTATACACGATACATCTTTGCAGTTATCGAAAAGGTTCAGAGAGAAAACATCAAGTCGTTTGAACCAAAGGAGGAAGCAATCAAAGACCTATATAACCATACCCACGAATTGATGAAAAGACTTGTTTGGTCATCCGGTAAGTCTCTCGCAGGACACCAACTCGTGTCACGAAGTTAATAACCTGAAAGCGTGTCGGTCTTGGTTCAAAAACGGCAAGGTCCATGGCCCTGTCACTGCCATCTATCCCGGGAGTCGACTTCATTTCTTTGAGGTGTTGAAGCATGTGCGTTGGGAGGACTTCGAACTTGGGTATCGAACGAAAAACAGGTTTCAATTCATGGGCAATGGATATACTCATACCGAATTGCAAGTTAATGGAGATCCAGTATGGTACTTTGACGATGACTTCACAAAGGTGTAAACTGTTCAAATACATAAATATGTAGCTAGTATACAGATAGATCATAGATATCAAATGAAATATGAGGTCCTACCATCATTGCGTCATCAACTAAAATACCTCAACAACAACAATTGCGATTCTCCTAACTTAGGGCCATAGGTATTTCTTCGATCTGACTCAGCGTAAATGGCAAATGTTGCCTGTTGTATACGATCATATTGTATCTTTGTTTCACCCCTGCATGGAGTGGGGGTCATTCGATGAAGCTCATCCTAAAGATGCATGACCTCATATCTCTCCAGCACAACAAATCCTCAGCTATCACAGAAGACCCCGTTCTATCTGCAGCCAGAGTATCAATTCTCCGGCTAACTCGCACGCTCGGTTCCGGGCAGATGGAGAAGAATGAAAAGATTGAAGACTTCTTCGACCCTCAACTCGGCTTCTCGGCCGACTGTCGCACTGCATCCCACGCGATGCCGAAACACAATTCTGGTGAAGCACGCTAACCCATCATACAAGAAGTACCCTCTGCGCTATTAATTGCTCATTTTTTCCTGCATAGAGAAAAAAGGCCAGTCTTCGATCGAGACAGCATTGAGTACATTGTCGACTACGAAGAGCGCGCGACATGAAAGCGTCTCTGCCTCTCCGGAGCTTCTCCACACCATGCCGGAGCCAATTCCGCCCTGGTTTCTACCGGCGGACACCTTCCTCTTCTCCACGACGATGGAACAGCACCAACAGCAGTAGTGGTGCAGGCCCTGCATCTGATGCTGCTTCTAGCACCAAGGCCTTTTGGACAACCAGCCGTGCTCTGGTTCTAGCTGTTGCGGCAAGCTCTGGTGCTTACGCATTCGCCAGCACGCGGGGATCTCTATCGTCAACAGCGCAAGCAAAAGAAGCCCCACGGTATGGAGATATCAAGCAGTTTGAAAAGGTACGCTTGGATTCGAGCCATAATAGCGACCGGTGAAATTGACGCGTTATAACCAGGCCATTGCAGAATTGCGTACAGATCTCGGCGAAGACGCTATTAGCACCGATGACGACGACCTTCACGACCACGGCTACTCTGAATGGTCGTCCGTGAACGCAGACCGGCTCCCCGTCGCAATTGCATACCCCAAAACTACCGAAGAGGTTTCTAAGATTGCCAAAGTATGCCACAAATACCGAATGCCCATGGTGCCATATTCTGGCGGATCAAGCTTGGAGGCCAACTTCTCTGCGCCTTACGGTGGCATGACGATCGATTTTGCCTTTATGGATCGCATTCTGGAGGTACACGAGAACGATTTGGACGTTGTTGTCCAGCCGTCGATACAATGGATGCACCTTAACAAGGAGCTGGAGAACACCGGTCTCTTCTTTCCAGTAGACCCTGGCCCGTCGGCCAAGATTGGCGGTATGGTCGGTACCAACTGCAGCGGCACGAATGCAGTCCGCTACGGCACGATGAAGGATTGGGTAGTCAATTTGACGGTTGTCTTGGCGGATGGCCAGATTATCAAGACGCGGAGACGTCCTCGCAAGACTTCAGCTGGATACAACCTGACGGGTATGTTTGTTGGGTCGGAAGGGACTCTAGGAATTGTCACCGAGATTACCCTCAAACTCGCACCTTCCCCGGAGCAAATGCGTGTAGGTATTGTGACTTTCCCTTCAATTCGAGATGCCGCGTCGGCAGCTATGCAGGTAACCCGCAGGGCGGTTCCTGTGCAGTCCATGGAGATCATGGATGATGTGCAAATGAATGTCATCAACCGTGCTGGAGGTACCGGCCGTGTCTGGAAAGAGCTACCCACACTTTTCTTCAAGTTTTCCGGTACCAAAGCTCAAATCGAGGACAGTATAAGGATAACGAAGGAAATCGTGAAGAATAATAAATCAACATCCTTTGAATTCGCCAAGAATGAGCAAGAAGGTCATGTGCTATGGTCTGCGCGCAAGGAGTCCTTATGGAGTATGCTTTCATTGCGCAAAGAGGGGTCTGAAGTTTGGTCTACAGATGTCGCAGTGCCCATTTCTCGACTGCCTGACATTATAGGTATGCCCGTTGGAGGCTTTACATACGACGGATCAGACTAATCAAATGAACGCAGAAAAGTCAAAGGAGGAACTCGATGATTTGAAGATTTTCGCTAGTCTACTGGGGCATATCGGCGATGGCAATTTCCATACCAGCATCATGTACAATCGAAAGGACCCGGATGAGAGAGCACGAGTTGAGACTGTCGTCCATAACATGGTAAACCGTGCTCTTGAAATGGAGGGATCCTGCACAGTAAGGCTACTACGCCTATAATTTCATGTATCATGTTGGTCTAGTAGCTGACTTTGCTTTTAGGGTGAGCACGGTATCGGGCTAGGAAAGAAGGAATCCCTCGTGAGCGAGCTAGGACCAGACACTATCAATGTCATGAGAAACATCAAGCGGGCTCTGGATCCCCACTGGCTGATGAATCCAGGCAAGATTTTCGACTATTCAACAGACAGTAAACCTACAAGTATAACCGATCTCGAGTCAGGTCGTTTAGCTGGCGCACAGAAGAAGGACTAGGATAGTGAAATTTTTGGTTGCATATAAAAAGATGGTTCATGTACATATTTGTAATGAATATATTATGCTTCATTCATATTGAGTTTAATCCAGAGATATTCCATAATTATATGGGATGATCTTGCATGAGTCAACTGTGGCGTGAGCGGGGGTCTGCATCCAGTCACATCACTGAACACCCCGCAGTGCGATATCGCAGTCCCGCGGAGGTCCAAACTTTTTTGTCGCAAGAACATCAATCTCACCCAAGCTACAAATCTCTCTCTATCTTGCTTTTCTCATCAATTGCTACAGGTTGCTTGGCAAAGAAACGTTTTCTGCTTGGTAAGTCTTGATTACGCTCAGTTGAATGTGTTTTTACTGTTCTCCTACCTGCTGTTATGTAGCTCCGGCTCCGGCGATAAGTGTGACTCTTCAGGTTTGCTGTTGTTCACCACGCCCCATTTTTTTACTATCAAATCAATTCCTTTTCATATGGATTATATTACTCTGAAGGTGTACTTACTGGCAGGAGCTGCAGATTAATCGAAGGAGAACACAAAGAAAATCAATTAGCGCGGCCTGCGGCATGTCGTCCCAGACTGTGAAGAAGTGCGGTTCGTCTATATACCTAAATTCCCTCTCACATAATCCATATTGAATATGAGAAGGTGTCCTCGGAGCCACAGGTTCAGTCGGTCAACGATTTATCCTTCTCCTCGCCGACCACCCCTTCCTCGTTCTGCACAAAGTCGGCGCCTCGTCTCGCTCCGCCGGCAAGAAGTACAAAGATGCCGTGAAATGGAAACAAGCCAGCCCCATGTCAAAAAAAATCGCTGAGCTGGTAGTTCAAGATTGCACAGCCGAGAACTTCACCGATTGCGACCTCGTATTTTCTGGGCTGGACAGCGATGTTGCTGGTGACGTTGGTATGGTGCACATGCAAGTACTTTTCATATGCGCATTTTTCTAACACTGTATAATGATAGAGATGCAATTCATCAAGGCCGAAATCCCAATCTTTTCGAATGCGAAGAATTACCGCAAGCACCCATTGGTTCCCCTGGTTGTGCCGACGGTCAACCCGTCGCATTTAGCCCTGATCCCGCATCAACGAAAAGAATTTGGCTTGAAGAAGGGCTTTCTTGTTTGTAACTCAAACTGCGCGGTGATCGGCATTGTCATACCATTTGCGGCCATCCAAGCCAAGTTCGGTCCCGTGGAGGAGGTCGAGATCTTTACAGAACAAGCTGTTTCCGGTGGCGGCTACCCAGGTGTTCCTTCCATGGACGTGTTAGACAATGTCATTCCGTTCATTAGCGGCGAGGAAGACAAGCTAGAGTCAGAGGCACAAAAGATTCTCGGAACACTCAATAGCGGAGCCACGGCGTGTGAGGAGCAAGCCGGTCTACGAGTTGGTGCTACTTGCACGAGGGTTGGCGTTACGGACGGCCACATGGCATTTGTGTCTATGCGCTTCAAGAATAGGCCTCCTCCCAGTGCCGAGCAAGTCAAGCAAGCGCTACGCGAATACAAGTCTGAGGCCCAGAAACTGGGTGCTCATTCTGCCCCAGAGCAAGCCATTGTTGTATTCGACGAGCCCGACCGACCTCAGCCTAGGCTTGACCGCAACCTCTCCAATGGATACGCAGTGAGCGTCGGCCGTGTGCGAGAAGGAAACCCAGGCGGGCATTTTGATATTCGCTTCGCCTGTCTCTCGCATAATACAGTGATAGGTGCTGCAGGCTCATCCACCATGAACGCAGAGTTGGCTGTCATCAAAGGATACATCTAAAAGTTGGGCATCGTACATATCTACATAGAGCAATCGATCACATACCCTTTTTCAGCAGTAGAAAATAGGCGGTGACTGCCGGCAGTAAATATAAATGCCAAGATAATGGCCATCCACGTGATCAGAGCTCGCCCTAAGCAACCCCCAATGGGGACTAAGGCAGCCCACACGGCCCACTCGCTTAGCGAGTTCTGCGCTTTGTCTTGTGCTCCGATTTCCAGCTTCTTTTTTCATCGCGACACTTCGACAATCCCAGGTACAGTCGACAACACAATACCGTCAAGATGGGCCGTGGACCGTAAGTCTTTTTTTCCTTCTCTGCGACGATGCGCTCTCGATGCATGTCAGAACAGTTAGAAATTCTTTCGCCTCGAGACGCCGCAAAATTTCCCATCATCGATTCGACTATGACTGACCCGATGTTTTGTGATATACAGAAAGAAGCACCAAAAGCGCTTGAGCGCTCCTGCGCACTGGCTCTTGGACAAAATGTCCGGGACGTACGCTCCCCGCGCCTCTGCCGGTCCTCACAAGCTGCGTGACTGCATGCCTTTGATCGTGTTCATCCGTAACCGGTTCGTACCAGCACATCACAGGCCAAAAGAAAGGGAAGGAAAACTGACTGGTGATTAGTCTCAAGTACGCTCTCAACGGCCGCGAGACCAAGGCCATCGTCATGCAGCGCCTCGTCAAGGTCGATGGCAAGGTCCGCACCGACCCAACCTACCCTGCTGGCTTCATGGACGTTATCAGCCTCGAGAAGACTGGCGAGAACTTCCGTCTGATCTACGACACCAAGGGTCGCTTCACCGTGCACCGTATCCAGGCGGAAGAGGCCGAATACAAGCTGGGCAAGGTCAAGCGCGTTCAGCTCGGCAAGGGCGGGATCCCATTCTTGGTTACGCACGATGCGAGAACGTGAGTTTTCACAACTCCCACGAAGTTCCGCGTCATTCAGTCGTTGGACCAAGCTTTGGTTGATCGACGGAGGACGGAGACGAACTTCGAGTAAGAATTCTATTGGTCATGACATGTGCTAATGCGAGGGTAATATAGCATCCGCTACCCTGACCCAGTGATCAAGGTCAACGACACTGTCAAGATCGACCTTGCCACTGGCAAGATCCTTGACTTCATCCGCTTCGACACTGGTGTTATCGCTATGGTCACTGGTGGTCGTAACATGGGTCGTGTTGGTGTCATCACCCACCGTGAGCGCCACGATGGTGGTTTCAACATTGTCCACATCAAGGACGCTGTTGACAACACCTTCGCTACCCGTGAAAGCAACGTCTTCATCATTGGACAGGATAAGCCATGGATCTCCCTGCCCAAGGGCAAGGGTGTCAAGGTACGTTATCAAATATCCACTTCGACTTTGTAAAACCTTTACTGATTCTATTTAACAGCTCTCTATCGCTGAGGAGCGTGACCGCCGTCGTGCCTATGCTATTGCTCAGGGTCACTAAATGTGCTCTGGTAGGTATTGTAGGATGAACACGAAAACCAAAAATTAGATAAAACCCCTTTTACAAGATACCCTGTCTCGAGAATTCACATCTCAGGCAGAAAAAACATCAAGTCGATTCATGGGTTGAAAAATGACTCAATTGACGAATGAACGATACCATAACCACGGAACGCACGTGTTTCTATGTGTTGTTCAACGTGGCACGACAATATTCAATAGTTAGGACGGAATTAATTTCTTTCTTGTTCAGTTGGGGTAATGGGCTTCTTGACTGTAGATTCCCTGTATTCGAGATATACCTAGTCACGTAACTGTAGCTTGTCGACTGATAGGCATATGTACACTTGATTTCTCTGTCAAGTTTTTAAGCATGGCATCACATCGTACACCTGTATCAATGATTATTTACTCTTGAGCAGGGTTTAGATCCAAGTTCAATATGATGCTATTTACTATATAAGATCTAAAGACAGCGCGATCACCATAATATCCCCCGAGTTAACGATCTTGTCAGGTTTCGCTTCGCAATCTAAGAGATTGTCGTCAATTTCAAATAATTCAATACATAAATTGATTTTATCCTGACACGACAATAGTATATATGACCAATTGACACATCTAATAGCATCATCTCCACAAATCCCGTCCAACACTAGTAATTGTATGCATCTACATAAAAATGCTTAGGCAGTTCTACCCGAACCCTGAACCGCCCAAAAATTGACACATCATTTACACCTGGACTTCTTGATATCATTTTATTCGGCATGCACTGGTGCCCGAGTGCAGAAGATTATAATACCATAAACTTATTGCTGGATAGTTAAATTTTATACATACATGGGCATGTGGATAGATTAGTGTGGTCGGATGTACATGGTAGATAGTTAATTGTATAAATAAACATTGAAATCTTTAATTTCAAGATCGAAGTAGAAACTATATCTAACTCGGACCAGGAAGTGATCAATATTCCAATAGTCTTCAAAACCTGAATGATGCCGATTTCTATCGCAACGATAATAATCTGGAATGTATAACAACATCCCAGCCAATGGATATCACAAACAAAATGTCGCAGATATGCTTGCAAGTCGCAAAATCAAAATCAATGACATGTGCTGAAATTTCAACAATTTACTGACCAAGCCTGATTCCCTGATCGTAGTACTGTACGCCAATGCATGATCCAAGACAGAAAAGCAATGAAACCAGGGCATGAAACATGCAGCCACAGTTACGCAAGACACAGCTCCTTAACAATGAAATATGCCCATGTTCGCAAACCAAAACAAATCGACCCTTTGCAATTTATATCACAACGCGTACACATAAGAAACATGTCAATGGGCTAGAGGTATATCCGAAAAAGGAAAAAGCGAAAAATTTGGGGGGGGGGGGGGGGGGGAGACATGCAAACCAAAGCAGGTCTATTGTGCTATGGTCGAGGCTGTGGCGTAATAAATAGCTCATCTAAAGCTACCTCACCATTCCGGCGGTATTCCACCACATGCGGCATCAGAAAGGGTATTCCCGGTGTAGTCTTCATAGCATATCGGTACGCAGCATAATTATTCGAGGCGTCCGACATCGACACCAAGTTAACCGGCGTAAGGGAGATCACCGATATCGATTCCTCGCCATTCGGGGAAAGAGTTGTCCATAGACACGACATGCTGACGAGCTGGAGGCCCCGAATTAACGCCAATGTGGAGTTATAGTTGCGTAACGAATGGAGGATCTATATTTATAATAACAAAAAGCGGATTGGCCTAGTTAGCCATTCATTCGTTTGTTGACCATTGTGATGACAAACATGAACATGGACCGGGCCGGATCGTTTGGAAACGTGCAGTTCAACGGTAAGACTCAGGAGATAAAGAAATTCTGACTTACCTCGGCACATTGCTGAATATAGGGAACGATTTCGGGCAGTGCAGTACAACATTCAAAAACGGATGTAGCTAGAATAGACCACCGGTCGTGTAGAGCTTCTACCGTAGGGTTATCCTCGCTCATGAGCTTGTCTCGGGATAGTTGGGCGAATTTGGATTCGTCAGAACGTGTCAGAGATCGAGCTAGATCAGCTGCTGATAGCGATGCTAGTAGGCTGTCTAATAAGGGAACCCTGGTGTCAAGCTTCTTGTGCCAGTCCATCTGCGGCACATGGATGTATGTTTGCTGGAAGCGAACTCTTAGGACGGACAGTAGTTTGACGGTATTGTATAGTCCCAAGCTAGATGCTTTAAACAATCCCTGTATCGGTCCCGCGATGAATTCAAAACCAGACATGCGAGCCTGAGAAATCCCAGCTATGCCTTGGTCTTGGAACTGAGACAAACATTGTACGATTGCCCGATGGGCGAAGGGACTCTTAGTCCTCATAATCTATATGGTGTTAGAACTATGAAACAATAACGCGGCTACGACACAGGCTTCATAGACAAACCTTTTCAACTTCTTGATACTTGGGCAGCTCGTCCGGATAGGTCTGGAGGTACGTTGATAGAATGACGTAGAATACCGTATGCTGCTGGAGGAACCAATCCACCTCTGGGGTAGCGTATCCCATAGAATATCGCACCCAAGTCTCAAACGGCACACTTTTAAACTGAGAATGGCTTTCTGCTTCAATTTCCTGTGCAACAGCCGCTGGATCTGTAACTCGACGAGCCCGCGTCGGGAAGCGACTCCATGGCACATTGACAGGTTCGACGGCCTGACACCGGCGTAAAATCTCCTCTACTCGCTGAGCATGAGAGAGTCCAGGCAGATAAGGCAGCTCGTACGGCTGTAATAGACCTTCAATGAATTTCTCGATGAACGCGGCGTCTCTCCTTTGCAAGGCGGCCCGCGGCTGATTCCCATCATTGAACAGGCCGAACCTGATTACCAGCATGATTTGTCGAATGTCGAAACTCCATAGCACGGTACGTGCCTCGTCTTCCCACCAGCGATATGGGGCATGGAAGCGTGGCCGCTCATCGGCGGAGGAAAAAAGTGGTCGATAAGACAGGGAAGAATGCACGGTTTCGACAGTTGCTGCCGCAGACGACACTGTTCCAGCAGTGTCATAGAGCACCTGTGCGGACGCATTGCCGGTTGCAGGTGTCGAGGTCGTCGCCGTTTGTGATGTTGTTGCTGGTGATGTTGTCATGGCCATGGTTGTTGGCATGACATCTATGAAGTCTGACGGGTAGGAAGAGGTAGTATCAAAGGATGAGGATGGATACGAAGTGTTAATTACTACAGACGAGCTGGTGGCCGGTTGCGTTACCCAGAAGTCATAGGTTGATCCCCACGAATCATATGCAGAGGCCGCTGTCATGATGCCTTGCAATCAAATTCAAAAATCCGATCAACCGATAATTGGCTAATAACGAAATGTCTCGGGCGAAGACAAAAGACCCATTGCGGTCGCCACTGTAATGTTGTCGCCTGGGGAAGCGCAGGTTCGGTCTAGGTTATTAAATTCACCTGGCGTATCGCTGCAGACAAGAGTGAATGAAAACCGTAGTACAGATAGGTGGCACGACAGAAGGCGAGAAGACGGAATCTTTTCAGGATGTAGATGCAAGCTGTAAGATGCGGTCATACAGACACCTGCCTCGCCACGCGCAGTTGTCAATAAAAAGCTTAGAGTGGTTCCTGGCGAAGCCGAGAGGGGCTGTCTTTTTCTTTTCTTTTTTCTTTACCCTACCATAGACGGCGCGAGTCTAAACAAGAGCGCCTCTTATCTTGCGTCGATGCCTGATTGCAAAGAACCAGCGGGTCTAGCAGGGACCGACGTGTTGGGTCTGCAGCGGAGTCTATCATATAGGCGAGCAACCCTTAATTTGGGAGGGGGCCGGAGGTAGCAGCAAGGCGTTTTCGGAGAAGTCATTGGAGAAGGCCAAAGTCAAAGTCCAAAAGTGAGGAGTGGAGTGTGGATTCCTGATTTCTTGTTAGACTGCGAATTATGCTGCCGATCCGGGAAGAGACAGAAGGATCAAGGATCAAGCTGATCCATGATCCATCAGTCCCGAGATGCCGGGTCAAACTTCCCACAACTGCTTGGCACTTCCACTTAGTACGTATTGCTATTGTTACTAAAATATTATTAAGGATTTTGTGCGTATGCCGGCTGTTGGCCAGGCTAACGGCCGTTTCTGGTATCCGCTCGCCTTGACTGATACTATAGACATCTAACTTTGCAATTCTACACAGTGCCACAATCACCACCTGAATCGACCACGCGTGATCAAATGCCCCTCCTTGATTAGGATAGGATAGGATGTAAGCGCCATAACTGGATCCAGACAGTGGTGTGAGCCAAGAGTTGTTGCTATGACACGCCGATGAGCATAGAAGCGGTCAGCCTGGAGCCAAAGCAAAAGCAACCTAGGATCTTGAATGCAGACCTTGCTGGTATGTAGACCGCCAGAGTCCTCGATTGCGAAGCTACTCCGAGTACGGCCGTCGCACCCCGTCATCGTTGACACACATTTCTTGCGGCCGGGAGTGCAAGCCATGACCGCATGATGTCAAAACAAAGAGCAGATAATCAATAGTTCAACGCTCAGCAACTATCGGTCCACTGTGTCCAACGGCCGGATAATAATCATTGATTCGACTGACTGGACGTCATTATTATTGCCCTTTTTTGTCTTCGGCTCAGACACAAGCGAAAGCCCCATATTCCAAGACTCACTAACGGATCGGAGCGGAGGAAATGAACAGACTAAATAGAATTCAACAACTGGACCACGTTTTTCCTCCCAGAGACGGGATTGCCGTGTGTTTCGGGATTCGGTGGCATCAGTATCACACGGCCTCCACCCCACGCTACTGAGTAATGTCTATTTATTCACCCCTCGCCACGAAAGATGGATTCATTATTGACTGTGCAATCGCCGTTGCGTACACCGAACGGAATGTGACAGATGATGCATGTCTTGGTCCGATGTCATCACTTTGTAACAAATGTCGGTGGCTAATCCCCTGCTTCCCACATATGTACACAGCTCAGCACTATGACGTGAACCAACAACGGTTGATACCTGACTGGCTGAGGTAATATTATTATCAGTATCAGACTATTAGTACTGGTATTATAGGGAGAATCAGTGGATCCAAGGATTACTAGTCTGCTGGACTTTGGGTGAGTATTGGTGTAAGAAAGGGTTATTGTCCGAACCAGTCCACGACTTTGTGCTGGTTTCTTTGGAGGTTGGGCTGCTTTCTTTCTGATGCATCAGATTTGCGAGAGCAAAAAGGAAAAAATCTCCGCTTGGCCCTAGTAACAATAGAAGCTGATTAGCTCGTTAAGCCGGTCAATCATAGCCCAGACTAATGATTGCCGCCTGCCCTCATTGGACGGGAGCGGCATACTTCCGAAATAGGAAGCTCTTCTAAGAGGGCTAACACAAGCACTAGAGCTCTCTGATGAGTAGGAGGAATAGGGATAATAATGCAACGTTGCCCGTTTATAGGCACATTCCTGCTGTTGTTTTGGTCACTGGACATGCCTATTTGGGTGCGAGTTTAGACCGACTCATCAAACTGAGTCATGTAGATTGGATGTCCCTATTGACGCCTCGTCTATTACCATCTATCCGTGGGTCACGGGATAGATTTGCTGGTAGCTTCAGGCACGGTCCGTTCTTAGTGCCGGTAGATGCTAGAGAATAATTTGTTTTTTTTTTTCAATCTATATTCGATCTTCGAGCCTGCTGAATGCAGCCTATGCTCGGCTGTGGTTGATTCGCCCCTCCAAGAGTCCAGGGTATTAGGAGAATGCAGTGTTACAAGGATACTGGCTGTATGCTGATTGCGTGTGGCAACTGACAATAATAGCGTATACTATTGAAACGAAAAGTATCGTAAAACAGTGGGTCCGGCGCGGTGAGTGTTCTGTAGAAAGAAAGCTCTGTGGAAAAGAAAAGAAAAAGAATATGAACTTGTGGGGGAAACGGCGAAAACAAGGTTTTTATATTTTCTTTTACTTCGCTTCAAGCGTCAGTCGTTCTGTAGACTCTTTTCCGAAGACTTGAGGATGTAGATAATGGTATTGTTGCTGTTTTCCCTGTCAGAGTTTTAAGATTGACACGTTGAACAATATTACAGGTGAGAGACAAAACGAGGAACAGGCTTAGCGGCTTGTTTTTGCCACCAGGAAGGATCACGAATCGCGATTGGATTTCGATATAATGGAGATACTCGGAGAAAGTAATTTCACCAATGTTATTGACGTTCCGGACTCGTGTTGAATGTGCGCCTCAGTTTTTTAGAGTTTTCTTCATCTATTCCAGCACCCCTTCCCATCAGCCCTGCAGTCATTGCGAAGTCTGCACTATTTCGTACTCCATACTAAGGTCCCAGCAACAGCAATAAAGTTAGTAATAAGTTACGCAGGCATTTGAAATACTGATGCGAGGTCTGAGCGTGCTGGGGCGCGGATTGGCTGGGTCGTTCAGGTAGTGTGCGTCCCAGCAGGTCGGTTACTGGGATTGATCATCGATCGTGAAAAGTCACCTGTTAGCCCCTACGTACGCCCCTGCCATTGGCTCTGGGCGCCTTCCCCTGCGCTGCTGACTGCTCATAAATGCGCGAAACTGGAGTTGCAATCGCCCCACTGACGCACAATTCGGTTCTTCACTGACTATTGGCTTGCCACTCGGAAGTATTAGCAATCTATGATGATTGCTGTTGCTGCTGTTGAGCAGTCGAAGGTGAGGGTCATGAATATTGATGATTCTGAAGGTGTCGACGAGAACTTCATTCAATCGACAGTCTTAGAAAACACTAGGTGGCCGAGATGGGGCCGTCGTCATGTCAGAGAGTACGTCCTTGTCGATCTGCCATCCCACCGATGGAGTCTTCGCAAGTCCTGCAGAGAAGACGGAACATTCACCAGAGAGTCAGCGTCTCCAAGGGGTACGACCCGAGGACCTGGATCCGGGAGGTGCCGATCAACATGGCCAATGGCCGATGCCTTTACTTTCACTAGAGGTTGAAGTCAATAATAATGAGAGAGAATTAGTAAATGACATAACAGTAATGGGTGGTATTTCCCTCGGGTCCTCGGCTTTTTCACGGATTTGGCCGGCCCATGAGAATTTCAGAGTACGACTCTGGCTGGTTAGTTGGTAGCCACCTGGTTACTACGTAATAAGAGCAGTTCTCTGGGCATTCCCCGACTCAAAAATGGGCACTTGTTTTCGGAGAATTGAAATGCCCGTGGTTATTATTATACATACTATTATAGTTGTTGTCCCCGCAATAACATCATGTGTGTATGCTGTAGGCCAACACTTGCAGTTTTGTGCGACTTGTTGGGAATGTACCAACCGTTCGGAATAATCTTTGCGGTCTAGTTTTCGTACATATTTCCCAGTATCCATACCTTGATACTTAATAACGGCTTTGACTCAGCCGCTCCATCCAAATAGCGCGAAACCGCCTCATTTGCTGCGGCCGAAACCAACATCGTTTTCAGGACATGACTCGCTTCAATTAGACCTCAAGACCGAAACCCTAGAGTAAGCCAAACTATATCATTGCTTGCCATAGCCAGAAAGCGTGCCAATCAATATATGTACGCGAGTAATTATCTTCCTTGTAGCCAACTTCATCCCAACATTGGCCATATTTACTTCCGTTTCTTGTCCTTCGCAGCCGGGTCAGGCCCCGACCCAAAGGCCCCCAACAAATACGCAACCCGATTTACAAACAGGAACGCGGTGAACCCGATATTTCCCCATGACACCCAGCTCCAGGAAGCCACATCGAAGAAGCCGTCTGCGCCCATGGCCGCATATGTCGCGTATATATGTCCAATATCGGCGATTGTGAGTGCCAGCACTGAGTTTCGAAGGACGCGGATTTCAGAGGTACCGTAAATCACTCCAAACACAAGCATTCCCACAAGGCCGTAGATATTGGCAAGTTGATAGTTGAGAGCGAGGGTACTCGGATGGTGTGGAAGAGGAGGTGGGTTGGAGGGAGAGGTTTGGCCGATGATGAAGCTGTCTGTGTCGAAGATGGGAGCAATGACTCCGCCAACCCTGTTTAAATATGTTAGCTAATGTAGCCGTTTGATAAACGTGGTCGAGATGCGTTAATGAGTAGCTTTCAGGTATGATGCTCACATAGAGAGAGGCTCCACGACCGCGAAGAGAATGAACGGCCATGTTGGAAAAAGTGTCAACATTTTGAATGCGTTGTTCGTTTCTTTCTTTCTTTCTGCGTCCACAATAGCAGTACAATATCCGTACCCTGGATATCTGTAAATTGCCTTGATAGAAGGAAGGGAGCTGCAGCAAGATGTGCGTGTATGGAAAGAGAGATGCTGAAGTGCGGAGAAGATGCCCCGGCCCGACCCTCGCCCGACCGCCACGGCCACGCAAAGTTCCCTATCCGTCAACAGCATCTAAACACCCTCCCCGCCATATTGACGGGGTTCTTGCTGTTGCCTGTCACGAGAAGAATCGTAATTGGCATTTGTGCTTGAAAGATATGATTTTGTTTTTCCCTCGCCTTGCCTCCGTCGCTAAGCTCAGCACGCATTCCGATGGCCACCCTGCCTCTAGATCCGATCCCAGCGATCCCAAATCAACACCATAATCCCAAACAATAATGACCAAACCTGGAGGCGGCTCTTCTTCCTCTCCTCCAGATGAATCTTCCTTCAGCCAAACTCGTGATATGCCTTCGCAGCTTCCAGGCCTGCGTATTGCTCCGTTACGCCAGCCGGTCACCCGCATCTTGAATTCGCCAATACCCAGCAAGTCTGAAATCACCACTGGCACTCCATCCACGACAGCCACAACGGCAGCCTTGACTACGACATCTGGTGGAACTAGTCTTCCGGAAAGGCTGCCTACGTTAGAAGAATTCCTGAACGCTGCTCGCACGACAGATGCTGATCTCGGCCCTTTCAATGTCGATTCGAATATCCCTCCTCCGCCGAAAACAATCCTTCCTGCGTTCATCAACCTGCAAGCAGTAGAGAAACTACCGTATGTGTTTGACCAAAATGGCCTGGCTAAACGCCGACGTCTCGATGTATCTGGGGATCACTTTGCTAGCGAACACCTTCAGCTCCCTGTTCCACAGACACAGCAGAACGACAAGAAGCTGCGACCTTTTGGTCCATATGCTATTTTAAATGGGCTTAACGAGCCACCGCCAAATGCTGCTCTGTTTCCGCCCATTGAACCTGGGTCTTTGCCGCCTATGTTGTCCAGACCTGCTGCAAATGAGTCCGAATCGATGCCGCCGGAGAGACAACTGGAGAAACAATCAGACAAACGAGAGTTGAGATTGGAGGAGATTCTCGATTCGAACAGGTTGGACGAACCAGTCGATGAATTGAATCCAGCTACTGGCCAGAAAGGCGATCCTGGCGAACCGTCCACCACACTAGACGCACCTCAAGCGAAGTCTGGCGAACCTAATGATCCCATGTCACCTAAGACTCGAGGCCGCTCGCGTAAGAATCTTCGCAGATGGACCGAACAAGAGACGACAGATTTGCTGAAAGGTGTTGTGAAATGCGGTATCGGCAATTGGACAGCAATATTGCAACAGCCAGAATTGAACTTTAACAAGCGCACCGCCTCCAATCTCAAGGACCGGTTTCGGGTCTGCTGTCCTTGGGCATACGGGGCAGCTGATCCTAACGAAGCAACGAGGCAAATCCAAGATACTCTAGCTAATGCATTGATAAATGCCGAATCGCTTTCTTCAGGAGCTGGTGGAAAGATCCTCCTTCCTGACCCACGCCCAAAAGATAACGCACCCGTCGACCCTGTTGAATCATCTGCATCTAAACTAAACGAACCGTCGCCAACAACTAGACCAAAACAATCGCTTTCAGTATCAAAGTCTCCTCTATCCCAGTCGCACAAATCCAAGTCCACTTTGTCGTCTTTAGGTATCCCAGAACCGTATTTCACTATCAAATCAAAACGCCGCTCACGCCGTCCCTTTACTTCTGTCGAAGATGAAGCATTACTCAAAGGTTATGCGGTCCATGGCTTTCAATGGACACTGATCCAGCAGGACAAACATCTTAACCTCTCACATCGGAAAGCGACAGATTTGCGGGACAGATTTCGAACAAAATTCCCCAGTGCGTACCGCGAGGGTGGTAGTGTCAGTGGGAAGAGTATTGAAGCATGGCAACCTCTGTCTGTAGACTCAAAATCTCCCTCAAATATGACTCCACCGGCCTTGTCTGCATCGCACCGGAAACGACCGCCAGCATCAGCAACATCGTCGTCGTCGTCGTCGTCATCGGCATCATCAATGCCGCCGCCACCACGATCCAAATCTGCCCCCGAAAAGAGACGTGAAGCATCGGCTTCATCTGTGACTGAGTCAATGTCTCATTCCAACTCGCTTCTACCGCCGTTGCCGCTGAGTCAACCAGGCATGCTGATGGATGCTAATGGTACCGCAGGGAGTAATAATAGTAGCAGTACAGGAGGAAGCCTTTCGTTTTCCATGGATGATACTGCTATAGGAGCATCGTCGTCTGTATTAAGCACAAATCCAGGAACAAGTACAGGGAATAGAAGTAATGGTAACAACCCTACTGCTTCTGTGACTACATGGGTGGATAACACATTACCGCCGTTGAATTGGGATGATCTAACGTAATTTATGAACTTGCTTAAACTAACTCATGAGGGTTCTATTTTTCAATACATATTTACATTAATATTAGCTTTGATTACGCCGCGATCAGCACAATAAAAGATAACTATGTCGTCAATACATTATATTCATCCAATATAAGTCAACATTATTACTATTGAAGACGAAATAACACATTGATTCAAATTCTCATGGGTACTTAGTTATTCACTACTTTTTAAGGGGACAGACTGGCATATTTCGAACAAACAAAGTCGTCAACTTTCATATTGTTCAATACTCAAATGTTGCAATAATAATGAGGGATTCGCTGAATATGCACTGACAAGAAGAGGAAACATAGCCCAAAAACGTGGTCAAACAGACTGACCAATTAACATGACAGTGAAATGGAAAAGGACCAAACCAACATAGCTGTTTGAACGGATATTAGGCAAATAAAGACAGGCGCCACACCAGCATATAAAATAGAGAGGGGGAGGGAGGAGATAGAAAGCGACAAACGCCGGCGGAATGAAAGTAAAGTTCCCAGAAAGCAAACGGCTCGGGTTGCCAGTTTGTTTCTTGAAGAGGGACGAGTAAATCAAATCTACCATGCGTTTCGGTCCCAATTCGGGTCTATTGAACGGCGAGTCAGCATCCTGACAGTATATTTCTCCCTTTTACCAACGCAATGAGAAGAAAAACTTACCCTGAATAAAACTCGCAAGCACTTTACTCCCCGTCTGCAACAACGGATGTCCCGCCACAATCTGCAGAAACCGCTGCAATCCTTCCCTCCGATGCTCAATCACATCATCACTAAACCGATTTGTGAAAACCTTCCCTGGCAGCGGCGGAATGGTCACACGCGATGACTCGCGCTCGAGTATGTCGCGGAAGTATTCAAAGTCAGAGTATCGGCGGCGCACAACTGAATGCTTGAGTTTGAAGGCTGGGATGTTGGTTCGACACACAATTTCGTAGGATGTGTACATCGAGCGCGATGTGCCGTGGGTTTGGGGGTTGCGGACCTGATGCATCAGTTAATACGTATACAGAATCTAAGAAGAAAATAGGAATGAGGGGGGTGTTATGTACCTCGATTTCAAGGAAGTTCTCCGGGGGGCCGTAGATTTCCTCGAACGTCTGAGAGCGAGCGTCCGGGATGGACTGCATTTTGTGCTTCTCTTATACCCTTCCTTGCTGAAGCTTATGAGTGGGAGATCTAAGTGACGAAATGAGGAGTACTTGTTGACGGGTCGTGAGCGCGGAGTGCAAGCGGTGGGATTATATCATTCGAGACAAAGTGACGCCAGACGTTCTTCGGCAGGCTGCAGTCGCTGGATTGTAGGTCCCGGAGAGTCAATTCGTCAGAACGCAGAGCTGGCCACTGGTCGTGCGACAGTTGATGGTGCTGTTGCAGCATGAGTGATGACAGGCAGTCTGATCCTTGTCATGGCGGGGCACAGCCACTCGCACGGACCAGTGCGTGTTTTATTGCGGAACTCGGTTGATCCGCGCCGAAGTATATATTGCCTATATACATACCTCCTCGGCATATTCGGTGAAATACATATTGATATACGTTATAGGATAAAGAAAAAAGTCAAGTCACCTTTTGCAGCAGTGTACGCTTTGCTTGATTTATTCCTGGTTGTTAGAAGGCTAGCCTATAAAGAATCGGGACTGAAAGATATTCGAAAGAGAGTCTCTTTCTAACGACTTGTCTATCGTGTATATACATTACATATTATATCTTCAAAAGTTCAAAGTGAACATCGAAATGTAACATCCCGTGTCTCCTTAAAAGAAAAATCCAAGGGTATTGAAGCCATGGTCAGCAACGTCATGCCTTATCGTAGAGAAAACGCTAATGCGGAAGGAAGAGAATACCATTGCGGCATTTACAGGTTGGCAGCAACAGTGTCGACAATGGTGCCGACGGGGACACCGAGAGCAGGGAGACCCAGACCGGAGAGCAGACCGGCAACGACAGGCGACAGAGAGACAAGGAGGAACTGGCCACCGTGCTCAACAGTGACAAGGAGACCGTCAACGCCGTGGCCGACCTTGGTGAGAAGCTCACCGACAGAGCTGGCTGAGGCAATGACGGAGCCGACAATTGCACCAACTGGAGGGAGGCCGAGACCGCTGACGAGAGCAGTGAGTTCGGGAGAGAGCTGGAGGAGCAGAGTGGTGGTCTCAGGGCCGGCGATAGTAAGGGCACCGTCAATGTGCTTGCCAAGGTCGGTCAAGAGCTGACCGGTACCTTCGGCACGCTTAACGTGGTCACCAAGAGTAGTGACGATGGTGCCGACAGGAACGGCAAGAGGAGGAAGAAGAAGACCACCGACGAGGGCAGCAACAGAAGGAGCAAGTTCGATGAGGAGAGCGCTGCCGTCCTGACCAGTGACGACAAGGATATTCTTGACCTCAGGGCTGATGTCCTTCAAGAGGTCACCAACGTTGGCGGCAGTCTTAACGACAGAGCCGAGAGGAACGCCGACGCTGGGAAGGCCGAGGCCGGAAACGAGTGCAGCAACCTCAGGGGAGAGCTCAACGAGGAGCTCCTTGGCATCGGTGCCAGTGACAGTCAGGGTCTTCTGGACCTCAGGGCCGAGATCAGAGACGATTTGGCCACTGTTAGGAGGGCTGGCAGGGAGAGCAAGGGCAGAGCCAGCGAGGAGGGCGAGAGCGTAGATGAACTTCATTTTGATATGATTGTTGTCTGATAGACGAGGTTGTAAAAGAGTGTCGGGAGAACGGGTCTCGTGGGATTAAGTGTAAATAGGAAGAAAGAGTGACTGCTGTGAGAGAAGGAAAGAACAATCAACGCATGGTAGTTGTGCTCTATTATATAGGGTCACCTCTGGCACAATACACCAGGACACGACCAGTACGGAGCTTCTCCCTCCCGTATGCGGCGGGCACATTTGCGAGATTGTAGAGGGGCGCTTTTGTCCAAACTGCTAGCTAAAGCATTTAGCTTGATGAGCTGGATCCGCCCAATATTACTTGGAAGGGTTTTAAGCGCTCTGCACCGTGGACGAGAGCGGAAATTTGAAGCCTCACGCCAGATTGGGCAGTTCTTGGAGGCTGATCTGCGATGGCGACTCTAAATCAGCACGACTTTTTCATGCTGATCAAAGCGGGGCTGGCTAGTGCATTCAGTAGTTGATGGATTTATTCATGGCTAGCTGGATGCTGTCGGTGTTCAGCAGCGTGGTTGGATGACTGTAGAAGCTAAACCCGAAATACCTCGTGTTTACCATGACATCAACAATTTGAGTTCGATCAACAGGCGGTCGATAGCTGCTCGGGAAAAAACTGTGGCCCCAAAGGGCTGGAACCAGCAAAGGATCGACATGTCCAAGTCAAATTGTCAAAATCGTGGAAAGAAGCTCGCCACGATGAAGGCCCGCTCCACATGGCGTCAGGGGAAAAGCAAAAGCCATCCAGCCTCAAGTCTTCCGAAGTTCCTAGTCTCTCACCTTCCGGAGTCCCTAATGTGGGTAGCCTCACGATAAACCGCTGATCTTAATATAACCCGAAGTCCACACCACCACACCCCCAAGAATGAGCATTATATATTTACAGTCAAAAATGGTTAGCTAGTTTCCTTGTCTTCTTTGGTTGTGTAGCTTTAAAACAATAGAATCACATGAAAATATCGTGGTTATTACCGGCGATAAGGTCTTGTGTATTTTCCGAGCCTGGCACTTGCTGGATGATCTCGGCGTCTACTAGATCGAGATCAGATTTTCATATCGATAATATTCCGTCATTTCACTAGGATTAGGCGCCGGAACGTCACTGGTGAAAAGAAAAGAAAAGAAACAAGGCAGAATTGGCTACTAACCCACTAGCACGAGGTCAAAGCGAGCCGTGGTAATTTTGTAAATATCAAATCATAAAATAGCGCCATGATGGACACGCGCTGTTCAATTAGGGCATTATTTATGTAAATTTCTCAAGTATCGCCACTCACTAATACGGGCTGGTATCTGCCTCTCGCACGGAAGACTGTTCGACGGAGACTATTTCCGTAATAGTAATAAGAGGGTTGTTTTCGTTTAATGGAAATGATGAGCACGGCGGACGATCTCGGTCTATCTCGGTGGGCCGACGACGGCTTGGACGGTTCCTGTCGATGTCGATTAGACTATATCACTTAGTAGGGAGTGCAAGGCCAATGAAACACAATTCCCGGGGGGTATCGCAGGAGAACAATTCTGAATTTCTGGGGGGGATTCCCGCCGCATCAACCGCCGCATCAACCCTTTGCCTGATTAATTCGCATGGTTCAGCGGTGTCGTCGCCCAGAGAATCGCAGACACGGCGACTACATCACTTGAGAAATGAGAACTGGAGCTTGCACTACTCGCTCACGGGCGATATTCTGATATGCCGTTCGTGGAGACAAGAATATGCCCCGAAAAAGATACTTGTCTGAATTTTGTCCCTGAGCAAACTTGTCTCGAATTTCTTATTGACAATTTTCGTGTCAGTATTTCCACAAAAATACGAAGCTATGGACAATAACCGGAACATAAGCTTTATTTGACTAATTGATTGCCTCAAATCAAGAAGCAAAGCACGTTGGCTGGCTATATCTGTGTGTCTACACTACTACTCCATAGTTTTACTAGTTGCTTACGACTAGCAGTAGCGTAAACCCAGCATAACGAACCGTGGGCAACGCTTAGGAGAAGGGCCACAAAGTCCCAGGTTCCAAGAATGTGATTCGCTAGTTGATGTTCCCGCAGTCCCGATTGATGGATGCCCTGCTTTTCGTACTCTGTAGTGCGTACAGTTACACAAGTTTGAAATTTGAATTCATGGAAATTTATGCAAGGCGTCCCAGACACCCAACCGGAAAATAAAACCACATGAAAAGGAAAGCAAAAACGCCCGTGGTTTGGATATGCCCGTTAACGGACCGTGCTGTTGTGCATGATATGTTGTGTTTAAACTACCTCATTTGATATACATCTAAATGGTCTCCTCGAACCACGAAGGAAGAAAAAAGTTATTATCACCCATCATCTAATTATTAGAAGAGGCCAAGTGGGTGTTCATTTAAATAGTGCACTAACGATTTAAAGGCGTTCCAGTTAGCTAGCCAGTTTTGTATTCATCAGGGTAAATTCCGTATTATTTTGCTTAGACAACATGTTTGGCCGACTGAGAAGTCGCTAGTGACATACTTTTGGGTAGATTATTAATCGCTCCGTAGACTTTGGAATAGTAATGGGTTGCAACCGGGAAATACCGTGCGTGCTGTGTTATTAGGCCTGGTGACGTGCTAGTTAGCCATTTCATTCTTGATACTTGAATTTCGGACAAATGACTAACTATTGGTTGCTGCTGCATGAGAGACCAGGCTAAGCAGGACGTTAAAGATGAATGCTACCTTATAATTTCCATTGCTTTTCTGCTTATAACAATACGCACGTATGAAATTGGGTGATCACAATGGTTCTCCGAGGCGGCCGACGTTGATGGGATCCGTTCAATGAATGCATCTGTTCAGCAAAGCGTAGACCCTTGTTTATTGTATTCCTTTATATAAGTGAGTGAGAGAGTTTGGTGAACATATAGAAAAAGCTGACATATGTGCAACTAAAAGTTATAGACACTGCATTTATACGGATGAACCATATCAGATGATATCCCCTCGACTATCCTTGACTGCAAGCCAGAACTCTTCTGTCCCTTTGAGCATATTTTCTGGCAATGGCCCCTTCCGTATCATAGCAACAGTCCCATGGATTTGTTCAAGCCTGCTGGCGCCGAGCAATACTCCATCCTGATCACTCAGAGCTGAGTGATAGACGATCCATCGAATGGCAACCTCAACCGGCGTTAGGTTGTGGGATGTCGCTTCGGTATTGAACTTTTTCAGCGCAGCAATCAAAGTATCAGAGCCAAACATTTTCTGAAGTGCCTTGCCGAGTGGATTGTCATCCGCAAAACGAGTGCCTGCGACCTGATTCGACACTGTCTTGCCAGTCAGGAAGCCGGCAGCGAGAGCTCTTGTTTGCATTTGTTAGTATGTAATAACATTGCTTTTGATCTCTACTACTTAATCCTGCAAAGGTGAACAACTCTCTTACCGAAAGGCATTAAATGACATCCCATGAGCACGCAGAAGCGGCAGAAGCTTCGTTTCCATTCCACGAGTAGCGAGGTTATAATCTCCCTGATAGCAGCTTGGTTTCTGCCAACCCTTTTCGTTGCAAATACGAAGAATTTCTTCCAGCACGTCGACCGGAACGTTTGACACTCCCCACTGGGCATATAGTCAGCGTCGCCGAACTCATACAATCGAGAAATGACGAAACTTACGGCTTTGCATCGGCCTTGGGCTATTTGTTGATTGAAGGCCTCAATCTGTTCCTCCAGCGGAGTAGAAGGGTCTGCACGATGCGCATAGAGCACATTGACCTAAACATCATCCAATGTTAGTGAATGCCGGACTAGTTAAAAATACTTATAGGTCCTCCTTACTCCCTCGGGTCTTTGGAGTCGCTTCAGGCTCGCATTTATAGAAGCCTCGACAGCTTCGCGTGTGAGGTCTCCGCTGCCGTCAGTCTGTGCATCGGTGTAGACCTTGGTGTCGACCGTGAAATGTCCACTGAGCGTCTTGGTTTCGCCGATGAGCTGCTCCGACCTTCCTGGACTTTTAGGTGGGTACCGGGCGCCTGAATCCAAACGCTGAATTCCCATTTCTTGAAGCGCTTCGAGAACAGCATTGACTGATTCGGGGTCCTGGAACTCGGTCTTATCCATACCGAATGTCGCCGTTCCGAATATAAGTTGTGGCGCCATTTCAGATTCCTTACTTGTTTTACTTTCCTATATTTGAATTTTGCTTTTCGTTGACTAGCTAGTTCGTTTTGTATATTCTTCTGACGACTTTCGTAGGACTTTTTGGTAGTTGACGGATGTAAGAAAATAGAAAGATTCTGCCCCACTGAATTGAGTAAACAAAGAATACATGAGAGCATCCAAAGGAAAGGCACCGTTTTAGCATCCAGCTTTATATCTAGCCTTAGAAATCATAATCGAGGATATTTCAAATCATTAGTAATAGCCGTTGAACGATGCCTAGACGTAGTATGGTATTAATTCTGTTGCTGGTCCTCTCATCACTCGGCTCCCGGAACCTCGTTCGAAATTATGCAGCCTTACAACAGAAAAATAGCCTGTCTCAAACATTATGTAAACACCCCCAATTACAGTAATAAGAAGAGCAACCAGGCAGGCATAAAATGTCTCAATTGAGGAATTCAAACATTTGAAGACTTCAATGTCGGCATAAAATACATATATATAAAAGAGGATAGTAATGCTTGGCTGCCTCAGGCCACTAATGGGACTTCTCTCCACTCCAAGATACGAGATCCAAGTAACACTGTGTGATGAATGAATATTCTCCAGGTTTCCCAAAAAATATAGAATAAACAAGATTTTAGCGATGAGCAATCGAATATTGACCAAGTCGAGGGTTAGCACCGGAAGTCCGGAGATAAGCTTGTACTATCGATAAGCAGCATGATTAAGCACACCGTCTCCGTCTCCGCATCGTCACTCGATCTCCACTCTTGCTCGTAACTGCCATTGTTCTCACTTATTTTTAACATTGCCTCGCTTGGTCAGAGCACATGTGTATGTGCTATTGACTTCAACCATTCTGCGCCATCAAATATACTACTATACCGTTGTCAACGCTGGCTGAATTTGACCATGCCTGACAGCAGTTCCCCGCCTGCACACCGGGCCGGCTCACAAACGCCTACCGCTGATCACTCAGACGACAATTTCCAGCTCGCCCACGAGTGGCCTGACGATGACGACGATGACATGGAATTCGAGCCAGAGTCTGAGGCCACCGACAATATAGAATACATCGACGATGATGAAGACTCGGACGACAGCGAAGATGGTGTAGCGCAGGCGACCGGCTTGTTCCGTAGGTCGTGAGAGGATCTTGCTATACCTACCGCTAATACATTATGAACAGGCGACTCGGATGGAAACATTCAGATAGAGCTCACTATGGGTTCTTTGGGTGAGGAAAATGAACAGGGTGAAGAGGAAGAAGATGGCCCGTACAGAACAACGAGAAGTACGTTCGTGTCACAGTTCCGTCCACCAAAGCCAGTAGTGCTCACCATTAACAGTGTCTCCAGCCCAGATTCTTTCGCTTCTTAATGCCGGTGGCCTGCGACGTATACTTCAAACGCACGGTTTGCTTGGAGGCGGCATCATCGCCGACGATGATGGTGATGGGTACCCTTATGGTGGTTACAGATCCCGCAGACGACGAGCAAACCGGGGGCCAGGTCACGCATTTCCAAAGGTACCGAGTGAGAACGGAAGAGCGTTGATGAATTCTGGCTTTTATGGAAACAATCTCAATTATGTAGACGAACAGAAAAAGCGCAAGAAGAGGTTAGCTACCCAGCTGATGTGGCGTGAGCTTGGTATTGGGTCAATCAGCGATCAGAAGCGGAATGTGCGGACAGTCTTCCAGGTAAGAGATACATTTGATAATCTAAGGTACGCGCAACTGACAAGAAATGTGTAAACCGGCAGGACTTAATTCCTGGAAGCACTGCTGACAAGATTATTCACTACGATACTCGATGTTATTCGGGCCAGTTCTCGGATGATGGAAACTTCTTCTTTTGCTGCGGCCAAGATTTCCGGGTACGGATGTATGATACATCGAATCCATACGATTGGAAGTACTACAAGAAAGTTCGCTATCACGGCGTCGGACAATGGACGATTACCGACGCAACTTTGAGCCCTGATAATAGATACCTAGCCTACAGCTCAATTCATCATGAAGTCTCCTTGGCCCCAACGGATCCTTACGACACTTCAGATCCAATGTCTCTTGACTTTTCCAACACAAGGCAAGGGCGGGGAGGGCACCGTCATTGGGGTGTATGTATCGGCCAGTTCTATCTTCTGATCGCTGCTGACTAAATTTATTAGATTTGGTCTCTGCGTTTCTCAGGTGACGGCAGAGAAATTGTTGCAGGTACTTCGGACCGTTCGGTCATTGTCTATGACCTTGAGACACGGCAATCGATACTGCGGCTACGTAACCATGAAGACGATGTTAATGCCGTTTGCTATGGTGATACATCATCACCACACATTCTCTACTCAGGCTCCGATGACACCACAATTCGAGTGTGGGATCGACGGTCTATGAACGATAGTCGTGAGGCTGGTGCTTTCGTGGGACATACAGAAGGTCTCACTTATGTCGATAGCAAAGGCGACGGACGGTACGTGCTCTCAAATGGGAAAGACCAGGTGATGAAACTGTGGGACTTGCGAAAAATGGTGACTACGGAGCAACTTGACAAGATCAACATTAATCACTATACTACTGGCTTTGACTATCGGTATATGGCGTACTCGGATGAAGACTATACACCGCATCCCCATGACTGCTCTGTAGTAACTTTCCGAGGTCACCGAGTGCTGAAGACTTTGATCCGTTGCCACTTTTCGCCTCCGTCAAGCACCAACTCCCGATATGTATATTCTGGTAGTGAAGATGGCAAGGTATATGTCTACAACATGGATGCCACCTTGGCAGCTGTCATCGATGTTGGAAGTGTGACCTACCAGTCGAGGCCACAAGATCGAGACTTGTTTGCTACTGAGTACGAGATGAGGAGTGGGGAGTATGCTTGGAGGACGTGTGTTCGGGATGCAAGCTGGCACCCTTCAGCGCCTGTTTTAGCTGGTAAGTGTACTATCTAGTCCAGAATTCGTTTACGATTCGCTAATGGAATCATTGTAGCTACTTCCTGGAACGGCTGGGGGATGGCTACTGGAACGTGTACAGTACATTCATGGAATGACTCAGCAAAGGAAGACGAAGGGGAGCCAGCCCTGGGTTTGAGCTACGATGAAGAGCTTGAGTATCATGACGAGTACAATGACTTCCGTGATGCTATACGCACCCGTGAACGCCACTCGCGGCAGCCGGTGCCTCCATACCAACCAGACGAATGGTAACAAATTTGAAATGTTTGCAACGTTATATGCGACCTTTTGTTTTTGTGCCTTTTACCGCCTAATATCCAATTTCAACAATTACGGCCATGACGAAATTACGCGACGGCCTTTGAATAGCCAGTATACTACCAGATTAGGGGTGGATGTAGTCGAGACAGAAGAAATATGGCGCCTCCTTGTTTTGAAAATGATGTTAAATATACAAAGGGTAAATAGAATTTGCCAATTGCTTAACAGAAAGAAGGGAACAATCAACTGGTATAAATTTCCCCACAACCGTACTCCTGATTATTCGTGAATAATTTGTGCATGTGCTTGATGTATTGCGCGAATATAGTTCCGCCGGACTGGAATAGCAAATCAATGGATTGTAATTATTCGTTGCTTTCTCAATTCTCTTTTGTTTCCATGTCGACGCCGGCGACAATGAGATATGCGACGCCGACTTGACGTGATTTGGGGGTTTTCGACTATCCGACGAGAACGTTGTTGACGGGGATATGGACTGTGATGTTGGTTAGTTATGCTTTGAGAAAACATGCCCTCTTTTTGCATAGAAGAGCCAGAGAAGCCTCCAGTATAGGGTAGTTGGCCACATACTCAATTTCACAAAGTACCCAATAGCTCCCTAATATCACCTAGTATTTAGCAACTGTGCGCTCGAGTGATGGTTCCAGGTAGTTACACACCATAACAACGAATCCAACACCTATTTGCCAACTAATTAGCACCTGCGTAACACTGTGTCAAGGCCGAGAGACTTACCAACAGCTTGGGAGATCTTGAGGAACTCGCGCTTGTCGGCTGTGAGAAACAAGTTAGACAAAGCAATTCGTCATGCCGGCAGGATAAGAAGGTCGACTAACGCTTGGTGCAACGGTTCACAAACATCATTCCATCTCGGACAAAGTCCTGGACAACAGTTAGACAATTATTCAAATGCGATGATCAGCGTAGCAGCTGGCGAATAAGTAATATTACCTTGGGAATGTCGGCGAGTTCTTGGAATGTGTCGGACATTGTGTACTTGGATGTATTGACCAGAGTCTTTCTCTCAGGGAATAGAAGCGAGAGGGAGCGACACTGAAAGACAGGTGGTTATAGAGGGCGAACGGTAAAGGAGACGAGTGATTGCGGAGGCGGCCCTTCCTTCCTTCCAGCTGGCCTCATCATGATAGATTTGTCCCGATGCGGACTAGCGCGGACTAGCATCTTGGCGGCTACGGAGAAATGTTGTGCAGCTCCGAGCTAAGCAGCGCGCGTCTGCTTCTCCGGCCGTTTGCGCGCCTACTATTGGTCGCTGTCCAGGCCGAGGCTCCACCGTGGCCTATCCTTGCTTGCGGCCACAAGCTTGCTTCACCTCTCTGCACGCTCTACTTGCTTGTCCAGGCTGTCTCTCTGCACATTGGAAGTCGACCCCGGTGAGTAGTTCTGCATCTACCCGCTCCTACCAGCGGAATCACGTGGTTCGAGCTCTTCACGGCGGTCTCGCTGTTCTGTTGCCGTACGTCTTTGCCATTCCCGTGAACGGTCTTACGTCAAGCCCTTCCAGGGACTTCTCAGAAAGAGAATCAACTTCCAGAAAACTCATTCTCGAACTCTACTAACCACCATCTAATTCCCAATTGCGTGCTTATAATTTCTCTTTTCTCTACTACAAGAAACCACTTCTTTCTTGACAGCCCTGCTGGTTTGTGGCAGACTGCTGCATCCTGTGAACTTCGTCTGATCGGACTCCTGTCAAACACAACAGAAGAAAACATAACCCGCACTTGCCATCAAGGGCAGTCGAGTTTCAAAAGAGTTTTATTCTCTGGTGCCCTGTTCATTTTCGGTGAAAGAAAAGAAGATAAAAGGAAAACTTGATTAGCTTCTCAGCTTGTACGTATCATTCATTCTTCTCATGTGTCGAGTTTCTTTCTGTTTTCCTGTCGCATGATGGATTTCTTTTCGCTCCACAAATCACTTTGGATAGGTTAAGGACAGATGAGTTTCCGCTTGCCAGGTCATGTTCCGTTTGTTGCGCTCCGTCCATACTAATGTACCTCGTTTGACAGACATGTACTACTCATTTTGATTCATCGAGCAAACAAGAAAGAAAAATTAAATCAGGCTTGTGCATAACAGAAAAGCAAACCAATCAATACCGGATTCTTTCTTCCCACTTTACGCTGAAACACACCTTTCTTTTAGCATACCACAACGATGGCTGAGGACGATAATTTTGATCTTGATATCTATGGAGATGGAGGCTACAATGGGCAGGAAGGCCCGGAGTTGATACTGGATGCCCCAGAAACTAACGGTCACGGAGGAGAGCACGGCCAATATGGTAATGATACCGCACCTGAAACCAATGGCCATCACGATGGAACACAACACGCTCAAGGTAATCAAGACTCTACTGGACAGAATCAGCCTACGCAGCAAGGTCAAAAACGAAAAGAAATGACTTCTTTCTCTTCTTCCGGTGATCGTCCGACGGACCCAGACGCTACTACTGCCCTTTTTGTCTCAGAGCTGTTTTGGTGGACTACTGATGATGACATCCGTGGCTGGGTCAATGAAGCTGGTGCCGAGGATGATTTGAAAGACATCACATTTAGTGAGCATAAAGTGAATGGAAAGAGCAAGAGGTTTGAGATGTCTTCTGCGATAGCGACTCCTAAACAACAAAACTGACAGAACATAGTCAAGCGTTTGTCGAATTCTCCAGTCTGCAGGCTGCTACCGCTGTTAAACACCTTATCGAGCACTACGCCAACACCGGTCAACCCGGTCGCAAACACACGGCCAACTACACCAGCCCGCACCAGAATCCCTTCCGTACCCTCCCTAAAGATGCGCCCGCCCGTAAAGACGACCGCAACAACAGACAATTCAATCAGATGGGTAACCAGAACATGAATTACGGTATGAACAATATGGGTGGTGGCGGCGGCGGTTTCCGTGGACGCGGGGGCTTCAACAACCGTGGTGGCATGGGCTACAATAATCGCAACTTCTCCGGTGGTATGGGCGGCGGCGGCTTCCAAGGTGGTGGTCCTATAGGCGGAGGAGGATTTCAAGCCCCAATGGGTGGCATGAATAACTATGGAGGGTTCAATAACCGCGGCGGTGGAAATATGATGGGCGGTGGCATGCGCGGCGGTCCGAATATGCGTGGTGGTCGCGGTGGTGCCGGCAACATGGGCGGAGGAGCACCTAATATGATGGGTATGGGGATGAATCCTATGGGAGGAATGGGTATGAATCCTGCCATGGCTGGTGGCATGAACCCTATGATGGGCAACATGGGCATGGGTGTGTCATCTACCCCTATAACGCACGCTTTCCCCGTTAGAAGATACATGCTAACTATTTCAAAGGCTTCCAAGGCGGAAACTTCAATCCTAACTTCGGTGGTGGCTTCCAGGGCAATCCTCAGATGGGAGGTGACCAGGGATCCTGGAACCCACATGGAGCAAAAAGGACAAGACAGGAGTAGAAATTGGCCAGCCTGTCTCATTTTCTCCTAATCCAAATATCTCCGTTTCTTCCCTCGTCTCTGAATTTTTGAGGCTTGAACTGCTCTGGCGTTATTTGTCCTTTTTTTATTTTTTATTTCAACGACTCGGTTTCGAAATAATTTAATGGTGCTATCAGTTTCAGTTTACAGTCAGTCATGGGAATGGATAAGGATCATGTAAAAATGGATTTGCTTGGCGGTGTTGGTATTTACCGTTTTTCTTCTTTGATATTTTTATATTGGGCTATGAAATTATTTTAGGATTTTCAACTTTTTTTACAATTTTCTTCATGACGTGTATATCAAGATAAAATTTAGTTACTCCCTTTAATCTTTGCTATTTAGCATGTTCTATCTCATCTTATATTATTTGGAAACGGTCCCTTAGCTATGATTGAATCCATGCCTGTGTGCTTTTTAAATTTCTTGATTTTGCAGATTCATGATACTGGCATTGGAATATTATCTGGTGGCCGTTACGTAATATACGTAGGTATGAAGGGTCAATTGATAGAATGAAATTCCAGTCCTATTTATAGAAAAACTCTTCGAAAGAATCGTTGATACAGTTTTGACTCCATATAATTAAGGCTCAGTTGGCGAGTGAAACCCTAGACCAGCGCTGATCAATTGTATCAATTGATATCGACAGTCCAAGGGGCGTTCGGTGGTTTCGTGAAATTGAATGCCACACCAGTATCATTCCCCAAAACCTTGGCAGAAATGACTTGGAGATTGGTGCTATAACCAAATGTGCCATTCACAACTAAATGGCCGTTGTCATAGCTAAAAGCGATGTCACTGCTAGTCGAATTCAAGCTCTTGTCATCATCCAGATAAAGAGAGCCAGTCGCTTGACCAGAGTTGTCTGGGGCAATAAATCGGCTGGGAATCCGGGTAGAGGTTCCCATGACGTGCGAAGTGCTGGGGAGTCCGGAGCACTCTCCGTGTAGGGATTGGAGCAAGGAGCACAGAAGTTGGCCGGCTGAAGTGGCAGAGTAAGCATGCTGCAGAAACAGTGCGAGGGGAAGATGTACCTCATTCATATCGATCCAAATGCCATCAACGCCAACACCAGACTCATCATCAAAGAAGGTGGTGATTTGGCCGCTCCAGAATGATTGAGAGTTTGGATGGAACCAGTCAACGTAACCAACAGGGCCTAGCCACATGCCTCCAACATAGACTTCCCCGGAGGAGTTTTTCATGAGCACGTCAGAGTCTATAGCGTTTTGCCAGGATGTACTGTCATTCAACGAAACTGGAGGGTCAACCATGAGAATGTACTGTTGCTGGTGATCATGAAGATACGTAACAAGCTCTTGCATCTTCTCCAATGGAAATCGATCTGGGTCCAAGTTCCATGTTCGTCGTAAATTCATATAATCGATATCAGTCCACATAGTTTCAAGCGGAATTCTGGCCGCCGAGTAATTATAAATTACCTCAGCCACTCTATAGACATCTCCCGTACCTGCATTGATGAAAGCCATACGTCCAGTAAGACTGCTCTATGGGCTGTATTCGTTAAAAACACATTTTAACTTCATTATGGATAGGAACTGGACAACCTTTCCAATGATTTCAGCGTACTGGCGGGAGACATCTGCAGGTTGAGGTCCAGATACGAAATAGAAACCAAGAACGCCACCATCGTTATTATACTCCAAATACTGGCCATCCGAGTCCTGATCGATCTTTATATCCATACCATTGCTATTCCATAGCAAAACTCCGTGTGCTTGACCATTTCTCATTTCAAGGTACACTGGATGACTCCCGTAAAGATTTTCATGATTAGGAAGGCCAGGGTTCCCCATATTCCACAATGTTCGTGTATTGTTCTTCGTCTCACATCGGAAACTATCCGAGTCTTCGCCCAATCCGTAGATATAAGGGTCACCGATCGAATGACATTTCGGTTGCACCGAGAAATAATAAAGTGAATATAGTGAATTTATCTTAAGCCTGATTAAAATGTTTACAAACGGGCATCAGCTTTATTTCCGCTTTCAATAGCCCCCAAATCTCACCATTTTAGTGTCTGGATGGATCATTATCATTTGACAAGCAAAGCCTAACGCATTCTAGCACATCTGTACTAGGATGATCAAAATAATCCAAATGATCCATCAATCATTATTCATTAATATATAAACATCAGGTTGAATAGTATTGACTAGCACTTTCCTTTTCCTTAAATATTGGCTCATAGAACCAGTAACCTAGTTCCAGGGATCCCATTCCTTATATAGCAATCTACCTAGAATGTGGTGCACCCCAGGAATGAGATCCTAGGATGCCGGATTGGCCTACGGCCCAGCTGGCTGTGTGGTATCGAATATATCGCCCTATGGGACATACAGCGTTAGAGAACAGTAATCAACAGCCCTCTATCTCATTAGGCTGTATAGAGGCGTCCTAATATCCCACTAGGCCCAGTATACGTAGGCATGAAGCAGTGAGTCCCAGGCCAAGTAAGAACAGACATAGACAGGAGACAGTAGCCCTATCGCTGCAAACAGGCAGCCAGACGTAAAACAGCCATCGGGATATTCAACACATCTGCAGCGATGGGGCTACTGCCTCCTGTCCATGTCTGTTCTTACGGGGCTTGGTACTATGCCTACTTCCTCTCGGCCCCGTCAGACATACAACGCCCTTCTTGGGGCCCAAACAGACTCGAGGCTATTGACTACTGCCCCTTGATGACGTATGGCCAATACGGCGATGTACCCAACGATATAGAACTAGCGAGATCCTAGGTCTATCGCATATCCTCATATATTAGGAAATGTATCGATAGTTAGTGAACATCCCTGATTTAAACCTGTCTTTAGGGGTAGGCTATTGGAATTAAGACTGCGATGGGCCTAAGTCACCAAGCTAGCCTTCCAGTTCAATGTATAACACTTTGGCATCTAAATATTCCGTGCCGGTCTACGAACGTGAGAGACGCTCTACATGTTTTACGAAGAGTAATACACCAATCCCGAAGGCGGTTGTTAGTACGATGATTTATTCACTGCTTCTACACATACGTTCAACTCATGAGATTTCTTCTCAGTAGAATTGTCAATTCTGTTTACGTTCACATCGGTTTATCAGATCTATCAATGCCAACTAGTATAGTCTTTCATTTTGGAACCATTTCATCCCTCTTGTCTGCACGTTGCTAAAAACATGGTTCTTTTAGCCTGCGTGCTGTTTTTCGTAAATGTCTTTGAACATGAAGATAAATGCCATATCGTCTTCTGCGTCCACGTCAGTGTTTCCCAGAACAAACCCTCGTCCCCATACCATGATGGTTTGTTGGAAACAATGGTTTCGTCTTAAAATAACTAAAAACTATTACTTTTGAAGGTTAAGAAGATTTGAGTGTATATAGATTAATTAACTAAGGATCAAAACCGTTAAGACCTTATAAGGAATTATAATTTCAGGCTTATACCCAAGTCAGGTTAAAGGGGGGTTGAGTGTATAATGCTTCTTAGAAATAGCTTTTTAAAGAAGTTTTTAAATTGCAGTAGTGCAAAATCACCCAACAGTCGATCATTTTTATCTGCATTACTGCTATTGGTTGATGTAATCGACTGTATGACAATGTCGCAGTGCGTAAATACGGAAAAAAAGTGCAAGGTCAGCAACAGTCGATCATTTCTATTTCCATTGCTGCTATTGGTTGATATAGTCGACTGTATGACAATGTCGCAGTGCGTGAATGCGAAAAAAAAATTGCCTTGAAAATAGTAACAGGGACTTCACATTAAGATCAATTATACTGTAAACTGAGCATATAAATCAAGATCCCTTTCATATTTTACTCTGTTGACATTACAATCAATAATATCAATTGATCAATGATGCATTCCCCAACCGCCTCCCTTATCACCCTCGCCATCCTCACCACTGCTGTTGCCGGCAAAAGTATCGGTCTACGCGCTGAAGGCACCGATTCCACTGTCGGCCAGTATGTATTACAGACGGGAGGGAACGCAGGGACCATATTTATAAACCTCTTGTCCAACTCAACCAACAACCCCAACAAGGTCGAAATTGACAACAGCACCAATCTATGGATCAACGGAGACGGTGGCCGCTATGCGCTTAACCTTGACATGGGGTCAACACCAGAATATGGACCCTCGAATTTGTCTAGTTACTCTTACTCGTACGATGGTGGTGGTGAACCTATCCCGGACCCGACGCCTGGGTTTTCTTGGGGTAGTGATGGTACACTAAAGGTTTCGCATAAGTCTTTTCATGGATGGGTTTCGTGTAATGACAATGGGGGTGATGAGGAGGGGAATTCTTTTATGTGGGCTACGGCGCCAATTAGGAATCTGTCATCTCCGTGTAAGCAAATTGATTTGGTTAAATTCGAGTTTTGAAGGATTTTTGCGATCAAGGGTTCATTCAATTGAAGGAGAAATGTGATACATGTCTTATCAACAATGCCAATATTCTGCTATTCACCACTATTCTACTACTAAACAGGATCTGGTAATTAATTTTTCACAGATTGCATGTAATTGATCCATGCCAATTTGTCTGAACGGGCATCCGAAATGCAAACACTTGTAGTGAACCCTCCATGAAAAGATCGCTCATGCGCAATACTGTGGCTTGTGGCACTAGTGCATGCAACCTTAGCCGAACTTGCCCCAGGATGTAGTTTCAACCCCGCTCAGGCCAGCTATTCAAAATAGCTCAAATAACTGCGGAGTGACTTACTTGTAGCTTCTAGGTATTCTATCTCTTTAGGAAGATTGCGTAGGTACGGAAGAGAGAAGATAATTATTCCCGCGACGCATCTAGCTCCCTATTTTCAGTTAGTGCTGAGATACATAATCAACAAATGGACAGCATACGATTAGCGCTAGCCTGTGATATCATCGTCTGCCTTGGCCCTTGATTTCCCCATAGAATTCTTTAAGATTGTGGATTTGTGGTCAAGCAATAGCTCTGCATAACTCGGAAATTATAAGCCATAATCACCGATTGGAGGAAAACACCAGCTAGCCTAAACATACGTATCAAGGTAGGGCTTAGCAGACAATTCTTGGCATTGATATAATCCTAATCCGGTAAAGTGTACGGGGTCCTATGCTGAGTAGCGGTAAAAATACAGATGAAGAATAACAGAAAGAGTAAAGAAAGTCAAATCAATCATCAAAACAGTCCCAATCGTTGGCGCCGGATTGCGCGACGTGCCAGAGGGCCACGACCCCGGAGAGCTAGTAAGCCCATGTCATCAGTGGTTGTAGTGCCGGGGTAATTTATGGTTGTGTTCATAGGGTAAGTCATCGGGGCGTTGACAGGATAGTTCATGGGTTGGCTGGGAGGGTAGTTGTTTGGATTATTGTTGCTATTGGGTCGTGTTAGCTCGTATTTCTCTGTAAGTGAAGCGTTCAAAGAGGTACTTACATACACTGGAAGTTTTCCATATAGAAAAAAGCTCAATTAATCTATTTAATGTACACGACGATGCTGACCACGTTTTCAATGTTGAGAAGTAATCAAGCAATGCAAAGATTCACAGTATCAGACTGCATTACCATACTATGGGCTGACATCTTTTCTTTTTTTAGACTTCAATACCCAATCGCCAGTACCCTATTTGCGGATATTCTCTAGTATTTGATATTTTTAAAAATAAAAAGCGGAACTAAACAACAATATTTGCACGCTGGATACTGCCCGCGCTCGGCAATGATGTGCGACATTGTGCATATACGTGCGCGCTCCACTTTCCTTAATCGTCACCATTGGACATCTGTTGATTTCATTACATCACCTTCACGTTACTTTGCATATAAATTCTTACACATCAATTGGATGCTGAGCTGATGGATTTAGTTGCATTCGTGTTGACGGAACATTCAAGTATTGAATTTACAAGCCAATCAACTGATATGATATATACATGACCTCTGAATCCAAGCGCTCTCCCTTTATATATACAGGTATATTTCGGGTATCACCATATACGAAAACATCAACACCAGAAATGAACTCCCCACAGCTGAAAAAAAAGATCAAACCTCATCCTAACGATGATATGTAATTGCGCACGCTTCTACCAACTTCTCTGTCAACTCGGTGTTTGTGAATGTTTCAGTTTCGAAGGAGAAGGAGGCTGCTCTGACGATAAACATCCTGAAAACCACCGGATCATTTCCTGCCATGTTTGAATCTTTTCTCGAGATTTTTTGCTGAATAGCGCTCCATCTACGATAGGGCACACATGACCCTCATTCTGGCCAACAAAGAAGACTAGATTCGGGAAAACGGACTGTACGGAATTACTATGAGAGTCAATTTGTTTCGGTTGTAGGGGACTAACCTGAACTTTATCGACGAATTCTTCTATCCCATTCAACAGAATCTCGTCAGACCCGGCGAGAACAAGGAATTCGCGCGCCCGCAAGCCTCGCCACCATTCTACTGGTGCCAGTGTCGGTTCGGACCATGGGTCAAAGGGGTTGTTATCGGTATACGAAGTGGCCCAGGCAAGCTCCGACTTTTTGGAAATGCAGTCTCTCTTACGATTCTCCTCTTCGGATGGACGGTCGAAGTTGAAGTCGATCCAGGGACTCAAACACACGATGCCGCCGAGATACGAGTCCGTCTCGACGAGATTGTGCGTGCCAGAGTTGATATCGTTATCTTCGTCAATCAGGGATGCGTGTGGGTGATGCGAGATGTGCAGTAATACGGAAATCGCGACGTTGGCGCCGGCGGAGTCGCCGCCGAGATATACGTTTTCGACTGGGATCGAGGAGTGGGTTGTGAGGATGTAGTCGAGGGCTTCGACGCATTGTTTGAGTTGCGTCGGGTATCGTGCGTGCGGAGTGAGGGAGTAGGCGACGAAGAAGATGGCGAGATCGAGGCCTGTCTTTTTGAGAGCGTTGATCAGGTCAAGGCAGAAGTCAAAGTAGACTTCGTTGGCGCTGAGGGCGAATCCGCCGCCTAAATCAAACAGTAATCAGTGTTATCCCTGTATATAAGCTATGGAAAACAGTGCATACCATGATAAAATACCATGACGTGCTTCGCTGTCGACTTGTCGCCTATCCACAGTCCCTTGGCCCCATACCGCGACAAGGCCACCGTGTCGACGACATGGCGCTTTGCTTTGCACCAGTCGTTATACGCATCCTCGGTCGGTTTCAGTAGATATCTATCAGAGCGATCTATCAGCACTGGCTCGCATTGTAATGGAAAAAAAAAAGGCAAACTCACTGGTACTCCCTATCGGTCAGAGTATCGCTCAACCTCCGAATCAACGCATGGGCGACATGTACGCGGAAGCTGCTGGCACCGCTGGCGCCTCGGAAAATACCACCGAGGCCATGGGTGACAGCAATGGTCGACGCGATTCTTGTCGCAGTCGTGTATAGCTTGAGCTTCTCGGTCAGCGACAGCTGTGGTGGGTATTCCTCCTGCTTGGCAGCCTTGGCGGTGCGGCTGGACGTTGTCATTTATTATCGCACGATCGCGAGAGGCGATTCGGAACGATGAATGCGACTGAGTCGTTATAAAATTAAGTATGTAAAATTCATTGGTCCCAGCTTGAGAGGATGGAAACGAAATGCTGCTTATGGGCACGGTGGAATGGAGTCAGACAGGGAGTTGAGGATGAAGCTTTTATGAGGCGGGTGGGGGAATCGGTCTTATTGAGAGGATCGCGGAGTTATCCTCCTTCTATACACATATGTAATTACATGTATCCGTCAAAGCCCCTGGCCGCGCGGCTTTTCTCCACAGCCGATCTGACAGCACGCCGAGTGATTCACGATTAACAAGGATATAACATTGGGGCTAATTATAGTACAAAAATGAGAGTGGAGAGACATTAATATATAACGTTACTATGTAGTTCCGAGAAGAGCCTCGTCGCCCTACTTCAATTCAAGCTTATCGCCGAGCACAATCCCATACGCAACAGTCGCGATCATGGCAATCAGATTGAGATGGATCGACATGGCGTGATTGTGCGAGAAGGATTTCTTTACTTTTTGCACAAGGGCTGCTGTCTCGGTGTCATTGGTGTCATTGTTCTTATTGTTGCTTGCTTCGCTTTCCTCCCGAGCCTCTGTATACACGTCAGCACTATTGCCACACAAACCATAATATTCGCGTCTCCAACCAGAACAAGCTTATTTAAGGGGGAAAAAAAAAAAGTAAATACCCTTCACAACCCTGGCCTTCTCAAGCATCGCATCATTCGTCCGTGGCCCGTAAATGTACCAATTCAACCCTGCCATCGCAGTCGCCAGACTCAGTAGCAAATTGCCCGCATTCGCCACGGGCGGCTGCAGCCATGACGCAGCAGGTTTGGTGACAAAGGTGAGCAGCGCGAGGCCGAGTTGGCAGCGGAAATAGACCGGGAACAGGCGCTTGTTCAGGTTATTGAAGTTTTGGGGCGGAAGGGAACGGTAGCAGATTTTGGTGTTGATGAAGGACTGGCTTAGGTATCAGCTGATTGGCTATAAGGTAATTACTATGGTGAGCGATACCTGGTAAAGTTGGCTGCCTAAGAAGGTGCCATAGGCTAAGATGTGATATGGAAGCGGATTGAGCAGAATCGACAGCATGGCAGGCATTGACAAAACAGTGGAGTTGTTGATATGATCTATTGGTATAAATCTTCAATTCTATTAAGGTTTTGAAAAAGAAGACAGGATTCTCTATTTATCCCAGACAAAACGACGCTTTCATAATATTTTAGCTCGTAATCCTGTCACTGCCAAGCTCGTCCCTGGCAAAATAGGGAATAGTGTTGAGCACATTAAAGTAATCGCCTATATAGCATTGGTCGAGAGCGTCGTGCGGGTCTCGCGCTCGGGGAAGAAGAACAATATGGTTGCCTATTAAGGACGACGAGAACTTTTGTTCCCTCTTTAACAGACTCGCAGGTGATGCCGTAACTTAGATATATGAGGTCATAGAAGATTAATAATAACGAGCTGCTCATGAGAACACCAATAGCAGTCCAGTTCCTGGCCTTTAATCAGGTCCTTCGGGATTGCCTCGGGCTGTTACCCGATTGGGACGATATTCAGCGATAGATAGTAAATAAATAGTTGGCATGATATTCCCAGAAAAATTGTTTGAAATGACATTTACCAAAGTCATAAATCATAGTAAATGAGAGGAAATGAGAGGAAATCGCTCAATCACCAGCCGTTAGTCATCAGGCTTGGATCAATGGCGGCCAGAACAAAGAACAAACAAACGATAAGATAAATACTAATAAAAACAGGCAAGAAGCAGCCAAAAAAACCAGTAACCCATTCACTCCATATCCTTTCCAACCCAAACATAATAGTCGGTTATCCGTACATTAGATGCAAACACATCCATCCAAAGGGTATCAAGATAGGTGGCTTGAGACTGTCCACCAAATGCGTATAAATGTGAGTGTTTCGTCACGAGCTCTTGTACAGTAATTAATTGGTTAGTAGCATCATACATTGCCTCATCGATAACTAGACAAGATACAACACCTAGGACTGCCGGCCATCCTGCCGACAGCATGGCTGAAGAAGACTTAAAGATAGGTTGCGAGAAGAAAACAAATCACCGCAAAAAGGCTGACTGGACACGGTCTTCGAGAAAGGTATGCGGATTGTATCCCGCTCCTTTCTTCGAGATAGACAGCTTTGGGTCAGAGATACTCGTCGCCAAAGCTCGTAAGAAAGGGCATGCTCTCGGGCCATCTTCAGCAAACGAACTTTTAGACCCGAGAATACCAGAATATGTCCAAAAGTCCCCTTGAAGATGTTTGTAAGCCAAATCATACAGAGCTTTGAGTTCTCGAGCCGGGGATGGCGAAATGGTTTTACCAATAGTGCGCAAAATACCGGGCTGACTAGCATCGTCGAAAACGCACTTTTCCGGGGTCTCCGGGGTCACCTCTTTTTGGAGGGCGAGGATAAATGTGACGGCACGGAGACGAGCCAACAGAGAGGAGAGTCTCTTCTGACGAGACTTCTGACTCTTGCTACGCGGGCACATCGCAGTGCCGGTAGACAATTCGAAGCTAATGGCACCCAAGCTGGCTTGACAGTGAGAAAGTTGCCGTGAGAGCTTTGAATGTGATATCGGGGAGTCCCGGTGTATACAAGTAAGTATATTTTGACCCGACACGAGGGGGTCAACGTCTGACTTCGGGTTGTAATCTATATTACCTTTGAGTTAGTTTATTTCACATACCAGGAATAAAGGGGGATTAGGATTGCGAGGTACCAGTGCATAAGGGTTCAGCCACACTAGAGTTTTTGGAAAGTTGGATGATAGAAACCACGAGAGAAGACATTGGATCATAACCATCGAATACAACGGAGAGGTATATCACCGTCATAATAGTCCTTGGTTTAGTATCGACGTCATCCTGCTGGCTGGCTGACTTGGGGGAGCAAGTCGATACATTTGCCCTAGATGGCCGGCATTCTAAAGATAGTTTGTTTACTCGACGAGATAAATTCGTTGATATGACTTCTTCTTTGTCCACTGGGAAGCACGGACGGTCCCTTCCCTGGACAAGTGTGTTCGTGCCGGAAGATATACTTGAAGAAATGACAAGGGCAGTCCGGTCAAGGCACGCATGGCAAGGAACTGAGGGTGTAGACCTTGATGGACAAGCAGCACATGAGTTGTACTCATGACCGCAGCTGTTGCAAGCGTCTTGCTTTGCTGTATCACCATTCTCATCCTTACGAGGTCTCTGGGTAAGGTTGGGCTTTGAGGATGATAGCAGACCCTTGTCTCTATTCGAGTGTTTCAAACAGGTGGGTTTTGTTGACCCGAGTTGAGAGACTTTGGACTTATCAGCTAGAACATCATCAGAAGTCGGAGATTCCGAGAAGGAACGCGTATTGTAGGCTCCACCTGAGCCAGTGAAACTCATACCCCAGCTACCCCCAAAGCTAGAGAACCCGCTTGGGCTAGGACTTAGTCCATGGCTACCAGGAAAAGCTGAACCATAACCGCCAGATCCTCCTCCATCTGGGTCTTGGTTAAATGGCCTCGGGCCACTAGTGCCTGTTGGCGAAGGTTCTGAATCGATGCGGCAGTGATCTTCTATCGCGTCGTACCATTCATCCCATGTGTTGAACATATTTACATGCACTTGAAGTCCTTGAGAAACACATATGTGGCAGAACGCAGGAACGGACTCCAATATCTCGCGAGCTGAAATTTGTTCAGTGTTGCTATTTAGAACCGAATGAATAGTTCTGAGATGACCCACAAGCTTGCTTCGTCGAGGATGCTTCCAAGAAGAACAAAGCCAGCAATGAAAATATGACTTGGGCAGGTGCTGCTCATTCACATGCCGTTTGAAAGTCCCTCTTACAGGGAATGTTCCAGGGTTTTCACAAAGGTAACAAACAAATTGAGAGCTGTTCGTCGCCAGGCGCGTAGGCTGCACGGGAGGGTTGATGCGAATATCCCCTGAGGCCCACCAGACGGAATTACGAAAAGTCTCGTCGTCCAAGTTATTTCGGGCGACCGAGAGAGCAAAGGAGGCTGGGTCTGGATGCTGATGAAACTGTTCTTGTAACCTTCTCATGACGAATATGAAGAGGGCTTGAGGATTCGAAGGGGTGGTTGAATCTAGATCTGGCAAGCCATCGTATCTGTTGGGGGTTTGTGGATCCACAGTCACTGCGGGAAACAAGTCTACGTTATCGCCTAAGGGAATGCTGTCTTCCACGGGGTTCGGGGTCGAGCCCCCCCAGACATAAGAGCCGGCTGTGTCCCCGTGGGTATTCTGTGTCGCTGCGGGGAGCAATAGTGAATCAGTTAAAGTCGCTTGATGAACGCTCTCGCTTGTATGTGAAGTGGGGGTAAGGGGGGACGAAGAGGTAGAGAAGTGGAGTTGCATGTAGCTCTATGTCGTGGTGCAGGTGCAAGTCAGCCATTGCTTTCCCCCGTTTGGCATTCTTGTACATACCTGTCCATCGGTCCAGGAGGCGGACGAGCGTCTGTTGCTAGACGGGCGCCGTACCGCACTCCCCGGATGAAGACGAGATGGATCATAAGACCGATTATCCATTGTTCACCTGGGTAGACTAGAGCAGCCTGTCTTCTTTTTCAGCGTGCCTCTACTGTCTGTCGATACGTGCTCAATATATAGATATATGAGTGCGCGTATATGAGATATATATATCAGTATGTAGACAGTCAGGGTTGGAGACAAGGAAGGAGGAGAGCCGCAGGAGATGAGGTCGAAGCTCCCGTCGGATGGGCGAGGCAGGACAGGAAGGAGATCCGGCCAGACCAGACCAGACCAGACGGGAGGAAGAAGAAGAGGAAGGAGCGAGGAGGGCTGGTGGCCGGCGGGGAGATGGAAGGAACGGACGAAGACTCACACCAGGAAGGTGCGGCCTGCCTGCCTTATATTATTATTGTTGTCATGAATAGTAGAATCGCTTTGTCACGCAAAGAAGGCCTTTAGTGCGTGTCGCCGGCCAGATGAGATCACCCATGGATGGTGGGGCGGGCTCCCCTCCAAACAGGGCGGACACGCTGCCAGCGGAAGATAACTGGGCAAGTCTGCTTTTCCTGCTCAATGTGATTGGCTGTGCTGCCTCAAGAATTGCCCGGGTTGGTACCCTAGGGCCCATCCGCCGCCCCCGCCCCACCGCGTGCCAATCGTCGAACACCCGGCCTCTGGCTTCAAATCACGCTACACCCGGGTCGAAGAAATCAACTGTGCTGTGCACCCCCGTCGAAGTGAGAGCGACACCGCTTCTTTGTACGAGCCGACGACGATACCTTGTAGACGTGGTGTGGATAACATGTGAAGAAGCACATCTCAGGCATCCGCTAGTTTGCTGTCGTGGCAGATCAAGGGCCCCATGATTGCTCCGGTTCCTCCTCAGTGCTCTCAGCGCAGGACTTGCCCGGGTGCACTAACTCATGCATAAAATTAAATGATATAGCTTCCATTAGGTTTGTCCCTCGACTCGGTCTTGGAGGCTCAACACACAGTCATTGGGTGCCTGGGTGGGTCTGCTGCCAATTAACCTCATCTTATAAGCGTTCAACGGCAACCGGTGACATGTACAGGCTTAGTAGATCAACCAATGAAATGTAAGATGGCGATGGCAAAACGTGCGACGAGAGATGAACCAACACCATCCCAGCAGCCCTAAGGCTTAAGCGGCGCCGAGCAAGCAAACAAGCAAAAAAGCCACAATTTGCCTATATTGTTTATTGAATCATTAAAGTCATTAAATTGGAGTCTTGGCATCGTCTGCAAGTCAAGTCGTACACGGAGCCTTCCTCGTGCGAGCTGCCGACGGGGCAGTGTTGACCCTGTTGAGCACCCCGTCATTATTATTGGAGGCCGCCCGCAACGAAGAACTGAGGATGACGCTGCACTGGGTTATTAGAGTTTTTCTCCGGAGGCTTGTTGGGCTCAACAATTCTTCGTCAATTGCTAGCTTTCATAGTTTCGGCTATGTTGCTACGATAGGAACCTGTCAGCGTTTCACAACGCCCAAGCTAGTTGCATCCAATAGGATCGCAGTTCCGTCCTGTGCCCACAGGCGCAACCCGGTGTGCCATTTCTCAGCACCCATGCGCGCTGTCGTTCGTCAAGTCGCAGTATGACAACTACAGCGCTCGTGGAACTCTCCTCTCTTGACTCATGACGAATTGTCGCTGCAACCATGGTCCACTAATTACCGGCAAAGTAAATAATGTGGGTGGCCGTGGGTCCCCGGTTTGGGCCGCACGGGAGCCGATCATGTCCCTTTTTTTTAAAAAAAAATTGAGCCGCATTCGACCATTGGCTGGCTCCTTAGTTACTGCCAGTCAGATTCTTGTCAAACACAGCCAGCTCGGAGAACTGACACGTTTGTAATGCTATTCGCTGGACTAGTCTCAGCCACAGGATTTATGGCAGCCAATCACCGGTGGAGCAGGCCTGCCGACCGCATGCCGGTGGATTCTCGGTAGCACGCCCAAGAGGAACTCCGTACCAGACAGACCCTGGCGCAGTACGACCGAGGGCTTCCAATGCCATTCGGTCGCCATCGCATCTGCTGCCAGCTTCCAGTTCCTAGGTGTCATCGGAAATTATTGAGCGAGTCTGAATTTTCACAACGATGCCCTGCAGGTATCCAGGCTCTTATGAGTTCCGAGTTGTCTGGCCCGCAAAGGGTCAAAGGCCGCAGCTCTTACATGGCGCTTCAAACGCGAACGGCTCACGCAAACGGCTCACGCAAAAGTCTGATTCCACCACAGGAGAAGGTGGGTGAGCTTCCTATAATACCTCTCATGAAAGGATCTGTCATTGATGATTTCATATGTAGCTTGGAAAGCCACAGAGCCGGAGAGATCATACGCAAGGCTAGAATTTTCCTTTTCGACTGCACAGCCTCTTTTGGTATGCTATGCAACAAATTCGTCAACGTGAGAAGCAAAAAAAAAAAAAAAAAAAAAAAAGAAAACTAACCTAAAAATTTGGCCGATCCCCAACTGTCCCCATACATTTACTTGCTCCGGTTTCGTTGATCCACTTTGTGAATGTTTCGCAATCTGTTTCATTTAGTCACTATTAATCTTTCGACGAACTACCCTCTTACAAAATTTGATACGTCGGTCGATTCGGGTGTAGCTGCAAAGAATTTTCACCCACGTGGCTGCTATTTCATTATAAGTCCACTGGTAATGTCGGTGTCTCACGAAACGGGTTCTTTAGTGGTGGATGGCATCCCTTAAATGTAAACCGTCTGCTCGAGGTTCTGCTAAGTACCATTTTATTTTGTCCTTACACCCTCCCTCGCATTCTCGTTTCCCCACACAAAACTACAGCTTCTTAAGCTCGGTCTACCCGGCTTGAATTACTACGACGTCTCGTCCATTCTAAAATGACCAAAATGACCGAAGTGCCTGAAACTTCCAACTACCCAAAAGACAAACCTCAAGCAGCACCACCGCCCGGAGGGCAAGAGAGTCTGCTCGCAACTGCCCGGAACGGTTGTTCAGGAACCAGGTATTTTTCTAAAAGGGCGTACCGAGTTACTGATACTCATCTATCAAAGTCCCTCTGGTCCTACGTTCCTCGGATCCTCTCGCCAAAATCAACCTTTGTGTTCCAGCTGGAACCATGAGTTTAGCGTCACGGATATTGACGCGATGCGGTCAACGGAGCCTCAAAGCAGCTCTATGATGTGCAACCTCAGCACTAAGTCGTGAACGGACTTCTGTTCTTACTATTATTCCAAAGGGAATAGATAGAGAGCTATGTAACTTGGTATGAATATTATCTGCCCAAGGATTCTTGTGTGGCTAACGAAGTTCTATAGATGCGAACTATATTCCTCGTATTCTAATATCCTCAACACCAAGATCGATAGTGTGCCATCGAGATGTCCTTTTCTATATTTTTCACTTGTTCACATTCTTGGAAACAATCTGCACTGTGACTTCATCCTCGCGTTATGTTGAGTCATGCTACATTTAAATCTACTCTATCACAAGGCCGACTGCAAATTGGTCAGTCGCCGCACGGCCTATCCGTCACTTTGTACTGTAAGGTCTGAAACTGGCTCTTACAAACTGCAAATATGTTATGATTCATAATTCTCTTTGGCCGCTTCGATGTTTTCTTTGGTGTGATAACAACCTGGTCATGCTATTCTTTTTTTTCCACTAGCAACACCAACCAAGTCCCCATATTTCAATGTGTTCATGGCAGCCGCAAATTGTTGGGTCGAAGGAGAGATAGTCAAGATCATGGCTGAATGATTATTTGTTGACGTCTGAAAGTGCTGGCGCAAGACCATCGTCAGGGGCGAAGACCTAAAAGGAATGCGAGTTTGATTCAACGCCGTGGCGCGGATAACCTCTTTTAGGGCCAAAAGGTCACTGTTGATCTGCCTCCCTTCCTGCTTTTCCTGAGGGGTCTGCTTTGGTCCAGGTCCAGTTCTACTGTCATCAGAGTACTCCGATCCAGCCAGATCCACAAAAACGAGCCTTCCCCCAATACATGCGTGACGACTGGCAATGTCTCTAAAGACCTTGGTTTCATAATCTTCTGCCTCCTTCACACGCTTTTCAAACTCTCCTTTCTTTAATTCCGCGGCGTCGATCCGCGATTGATTTATTTGGTAGTCAGGGTTAGGAATCCACTTCCCGTCACTGTTCAGCATGACTCCTCGAGACTGTTCCTCGATGTATACATCTGTTGCATGCTTCCCTACTGGAACAAGCTCTGACTGGCGTTCAAAAACAGCGTCACGTGCCACTGTCAGCTTTTCTGTAATTATCTCTAGCTCCAGAACTGCATGTGTTCTAGAACTCTGGTCATGGATTGTCGATGACCCGGTTGCTCGGAGTTTCAGACCGACTTGCAACTCTCGATGTAGATCTTCAAAGCTCCAGCATCCCACTGTGGTGATAGGCCGAACCCTTACTTTCCCATCCTCAAGCATCTCCGTCTCGCCGCGAATATATACCCGCCCGTCTGACCCTTCTCGAACATGACACTCCCGGTGTCCATTCAGCAGATCAAAAGCGCTATTCTTCCGCATCTCATACATCCGAATACCAATCCCAAGTTTATCACCCCGCCCACCATCATCTACCGTATTTAATTTTTTAAGAGCGGAAATCAGATGATGTGCAGCAGCTAAACAAAGACCGAATTCCTCGCTGTTGTCATAATTATATCCCATAATCGTATGGGACTTGCCACTGCCGGAGTGTCCATATGCAAAGAAATTACAGCACTGGCCCTGTAAAACATTAGATAGGACTGGTGACACTACCGAGTCAAAGACAATTTTGTTGTTGTCATTAGCGTCAAATATTCCTGAAAACGAGGACCCGCTCTTCCAAGCAATGTTACGGCGTGAAAGAGTCTTGGATTGAGGTGGCGCTGAGATTGATATTGTTGAATTATTCTCACTGTATTCACGTTTTATTTCTCCTTCACCTGACTCATTGGCGCTGAGCGGACGCCATCTCACGAACACTTGGAAGCGTGGCATTTCAAACTTAGCCTAGCACGGGAAGAAGAAAACTAAGAGAGGTAGAGAAAAGTCGATGAAAGGGGAGAAAAATCGTTATATAGAAGTATTATGTGATTTTTTTCGCACTAATTCTTACTTCCTTTTAACTCTAATCGATTGGACAAGTATATTTTCTCATGACCACACTTTGGAAACCAACATTGAATTCTCGTATTCGTTTCCATAGAGACGGTGGATACAAGAGTTGTGCGGTTGGGGGGACGAGAACCAGCACTTTACGTCATGGAACTGGCTGGGGGAGATGAAATTTAGTACTCGATACCAGTGTGAGTTATCAGATCGATTATTTTTTTTCTACTAGCAAAATGGAAAGGTAGGGATAATGTAGGCACCATGAAGATGTAGAGGGTATACGACGCTAACACCGAATTGTACAAGCGTGCCTGTAGCTAATTAGTCAGGCAATTGATGTCGACATATAATCGATTAAGACGACAAATCGAAAGAACGGATACATCATACATCTTTCAACCCTATTACAATTTCCTTAAGTAGCTGAGAACTACGATTAAATAATAGAGCTAAAACAATTGCTAATTAGCCATCTAGGGTGACGGCGTTATCCTACTGGCTCCAGATATCGGTGCCAAAACTTGGCTAATATTTATTTACATATTTCGATTGACTATGGCTCTGCATCTCGTGTTGCTAAAATAGATGTTTGACTTTTGAGGTAAAATAAATCTTCTCCTTGGGTCTTGTAGGTCCTTGTGTTGTCGCAAGTAACGATGTCCTAGAACGCGCCGGCATTTAAAATTTTAGATTTGGTATTCTTAAATAGACTACACAATGAGCTGGATTTGCAAACTGTTTGAATGTTTGTAAACACGATTAATATGAGAAAGAAAAATCTATACTGACGCTGTTGATATCGTGCGCCCAAGCGGATGCAACATTTGATTCTTAGGGCTTACGAGCCTCTCATACTCGCCGTAGATCTATATCTGAATTATTGCATAAGGACACCATCGGTGTAGTAGAACTAAATGACCGTAGTAATAATTATCATCATAAAAAATATGTGGAAACTTGGTATATATAGGTTCTACTTTGTTAAGCTCTCGCATCTATACGAAGCATAGGATGTGGCGGGGCCGCCATGCAGCATTGCTGACCCATTGGCGCCTTGTCGGATATCGACCGAGATAGTTATTATTATGTCTTGACGTTATGTATAACGACGACGTGGAATAATTACCACTGAGCTCCCACACTATTTCTCAGCGCGTTATTCGAAATTATTGTATAACATCGAAGTAGTTGGTGAATTCATACGACTCAAGATCCTTCGTGGTCAATTGATCGGCATTTTCATTCACAAACTCCGATCACGGCCCATCCCGGCTCTTGCAAACCCCTGCGAGCCTGTAAACCGACGGCGATCTTTACTGCCCTCCGTTAGTCCTGGTAGTTTATTGCTCAAGCCTAAACCTGACCACTGGCGTCAGCATTACTGTCCACCTTGGCGTCGCAGTATGTTTTACTTGTTTCGTGCATTTCCAATCCATCCATGGCATCATATCTGGATAAATAGGCAAATCCTACTACCACCTAACGGTAAAAAGAATCCCTGGAATTACCGTCGTTCCACATATACTACTAAGTGCCGTCGATGGTAGCAACACTCTTTGTGGTTGTTTCAAAGCCCTAAACCAACGCGCAATGTACTGCCAAGCTTCCCCTAGAAGACGCCACCCCCAATTTCTAATTATTTCGAGGCTGATTCTCACCAAGAGGTGCTAGCTAATTACAGCTCTCCATCAGCTGAATTCCCCGATTTCTGTAACTGCTAGTCTTCGTTTGGGAAAGTGGTAAGAACGCCGCTTAGCTTATTTCCGTTAACAAGTAAGCCGTTGTAACCTCATCTGAAAACGTAGCCCTAGTCTGACTCTATCTCCCCTGCGCCCCATCAGAGCTCATCGCCAACTCGTTCGTGCGCACTCTTAAGAAATATGCGGCAAGGAGCAGTTTGATGATGACACAGACATTAATAATTAATCATGAAGATATAAGAAGGAAGGATGTCGCCAGCCCCCATTCCCCTCCCTTTACATCATTGATCATCAACTTTAAAAAATTTTATACATAGAGATAGCATTGCTTTGAATCACTCCTTTGAACACATACACTCTCCGTCCTTTTCTTTTCTCATAATAATCTATACCAACTATGCAGCGTGGAATTCTGGCTGCATTCGTCATCGCAGGAGTCTCTGCTGCTCCTGTGCGGGTGCTCGATACCGATTTTCCTGATCCAAGTGTCGTATACACTGGGAGTGAATACTATGCGTTTGGGACCAATGGCAACGGCGTGAATGTGCAGGTCGCTTCCTCACCCGATTTCAACACTTGGACCTTGATGTCCGGTACAGACGCGCTCCCAGGCCCATTCCCATCGTGGGTGGATAGCTCGCCTAGTATCTGGGCGCCGGATGTGCTTAAATTGGTAAGTTTGGTCCATGTACGATTATTTCAAAGAAACTAACGTGTTTCTGAATAGTCCGACAATTCTTACACACTATACTACTCTGCCTCATCGGCATCAGACAACAGCAAGCACTGTGTTGGTGCTGCCACAGCCTCCTCTGCCCAAGGTCCCTACACCCCCGTCGACGGCGACAGTCTTGCCTGCCCTCTCGACCAAGGTGGCGCCATTGATCCTGATGGATTCATTGACAGCGACGGTACGATCTACGTTGTCTACAAGATTGACGGAAACAGCTTGGACGGGGACGGCACCACCCACTCCACGCCCATCATGCTCCAACAAATGGAATCCGACGGTGTCACACCTACCAGCGACCCGGTACAACTACTCGACCGTTCTGACCTGGACGGCCCCCTCATCGAAGCCCCTAGTCTGGTGCTGAGCAATGGCATCTACTACCTGTCGTTCTCGTCGAACTACTATAACACCGAATACTACGATACCTCATACGCCTACGCCACGTCAGTGGCCGGTCCATATACCAAGCAATCAGCCCCAAATGCGCCTCTGTTAGTTACTGGAACAAACACGGACAACGCTGGCTCCTTGAGTGCGCCGGGTGGTTCGGACTTTTCTGTTGATGGCACAAAGATTGTTTTCCATGCGAACGAGAATGGAAAAGATATCACGAATGGACGTGCAATGTTTGTCAGTGGTATCAGCGAGAATAATGATATAATTACTCTCCAGTAGTAGGTTGGGGAGAAAAAATTGTATATTCGATTAGATATTGAATTTTTTTTTTCGCTTCTTCTATGTATATATTAATTTGCAAGAAGTGACTGGTAAATATACGCAGTTACCCTGCATTGGGTCGCAGAAATTTTCGCTAAATAACTTGCACGGGCAATTAGGGCTACGTTAATTTCCTCTTTCAGTAGAACGACATTAGGCATTTAATATTGTATGAAGACATTGCCAGAGGTATAACTGTATAAGAATGGAAATACTTTCCGCATTTTTGTTGTCTATGCCTGTTTATGTAGGGATAGTATCTAAGCAGATAATCGAATGCTTCAGCGCCAGTTCGAGTATATGTTGACTATTGACTAGTAATTATGACGGACGTATAAAGGAATTGCCCAAGCTGGATGTACTTTCAAGAAGGAAAAGAAATTGAAGAGATGACGACGCATTCAATGGCCCGCTCTTCAAAACCAGTCCAATCAATAGTTTCGTTGTTCCGTCTTTCCAATTCCCGTAAATGAGAGCACTCTCAATGCAGATGACCTGCATGAAGACAAGACTCCGGGATTAACGAAGTAAGCATTTTTGTCACTCCCTGCCTCGGTTTTCAGCGGGTTTCCTGATAGCTCTCTGTAAATATATTAGTTGGGTTTATTGATAGCATCGGTTTTTACCGATAGAAACTTTTATCAATTGAACTATAGACGCTGACGTGATGAAGACATCATGAATTGTCGAATGAAAGGTTTGTAGGGAAGCTGTACGCGGGCACGAACTACATGTACTGTAAGGTTTGGGACCCGATGGCCGTCAACTTGATGATCTGCAACCACTGGTAGCTGCTGACCGATTCCGACGTCAGCTCGACTGGCCAGAATGTATCCGTGTACTACCTAAGATTGTGAGGCCACGATCAGGCCTTGAATAATATGGGGACCCGATCCGAGACTGTTGAGTCAATCCCCTCGTTAGAAGTTCCTGGCTCGGATGCTACAGATATGGTGCGGGTCCCGATGAACGGTGTGTGAAGATCACATCAGAATCCTTCTCAGCAACCGTATTTCCGGCCGAGGAAAGCTGCTGTATTAGTGTTCGCCGGTGCGAGGGTGCTCCTGAGGCCCTGATCAAGGGTCGAGGGTGAGGGGAGCTTCCTTGTCCTGGTAGGAAAGGCTGCCGATGCTACTCGCTGCGAACCGCACCTGCTCGGTGACAGATTCAGGGTCCTCCATCATGGCCAGATGGCCGCAGGCTGGCAGGGTCAGCGCCCGTCGAGGCTTGAGGGTAGCGTTCAGGCGTGCTCCGGCGGTTGAGGAGAGGACCCGGTTCTGCTGACCCCAGATGGTCGTGATGGGTGGGAAGGAACTATCGGGTTCGAAGGTGTCGAGAACGGCCAGGCGAGGCAGATCAGGCAGGATCTCTGCGAGTGGGAGTAGCCGGCCCTTTTCGGTCCAGCGGCGACGCAGAGCGGCGGTGGGCACTTCACCTCCGCTCTGCCCGAGTTGCTCGCGGATCACCAGTCCGGCGATCGGACCAGGTAGTTGGAGGGACACAGCGATCGGTCGGAGCGGAATATGACGCAGCAACCAAGCCGCCCATCCTGCCCTGGTAGGGCTGAGCGTGGCCGCGGTGAGCGGATTGATCAGCACTAATGCACGCACGTTGTCTGGTGACTGCTGTGCATAGAGCAGACACATTGCACTGCCGAAACAGTTGCCCACCAAAGTCACGTCGCGCAGTCCCTGGGAATCAATGAAGCTGGTTAGTAACCGCAGGTAGGTGTCGACGGTGTAGCCGTCGTCAGGCACGGCGGAGTCGCCATACCCGAGCCAGTCTAGGGCGTACACACTGTTCGTGGCCTTCAAGGCGTCGGCTTGCGCTGCCCAGATACTGCGCTCTCCCCCGAGATTGTGCAAGAAGAGTATCGGGGCACCGACTCCGGCGTGGTCGTAGGTGATCGGCAACCCCTCGAAGTCGAAGATGAGCGCACTCATTGCGGTCTGCTGCCTTATGGATTTGATTCTTTCAACGAGAGCGAGTAGCCGGCCTTGAGGACATCAAACGCTGTGGTATTCCTGGCGACGTTCGACAACTGTAGGTGTGCGCAGGACTGATGAGAGAATATAGCGGTACACTGGATGAAGGAATTATTCCTTCTACTTGAAGAGGGTCCTGCAAGACCATTCAGGGTTTCTGGTGATGGAGAGAGAGACTAGCAAAAATAGCTATGTCGACCATACGTAGAGGATGGGTGACAAGGGGCGGAGCATCAGGGTTATATTGGCAAAGTCCGTCGTAGTTTTGCCAGTGAGGAGCAGAAAGAGATCCACCCTGGGGAAGCTGCTACTCTAAGACTATATAATATACACCCATAGTCTCGTGGCCTCGTATCCTTACTAATTAGTTACTAGTCGACTCTATGCCACCACACTGTGACCTCGGCATATCCTTCTTAGGTTTAGTGGCCAGCCTTAGTCAGGCTTGTAGTTGCCTGTGCATATATACTATATAATGGGGATGAAAACTAAATCACTTTATAGGTTTCTCAATCGGCAAAACCAACAGCCCAGTATACGATGGGTCCGTTCTAGCAGACGAAGAAGATGTAATAGTTGTATCGGCAAACTATCGACTCAACGTTTTTGGTTCCCCTGGTGCTCCAGGACAGCCTTGGAATGTCGGACTGCGAGACCTACGACTTGCCCTTGAATGGGGGCGAGTCAACATAAAGTTCTTCGGAGGTGATGCATCTCACATCACTGTATTTGGTCAATCTGCCAGTGGTGCCTTGATCGACTTGAATGTATATTCCAACGTGGAGGACCCTATTGCGCATGCTTTAATCTCTAATCTGAAGTATATGACTGGGTTTGCGGCGGCAATTAGCTCCTAATAATCTGCTCAAAAGAGGTGATACAATGTGTCCCAGAGCCTGGGATGGTCGATGGTGGATTTTATTGCAGTGCTCAATTCAATGCAGCAGTTGAATACAACACGGAAATAACTCTGTAAGAGGGTCAATCGGGCACCTCTCAACCCAGTAAACAATGAAGCAATCAACTATTATGAAATTACTTAGCTATTTGTATGTAAAGCCGTCATGCAAATCAAAGTGGCTTTCAGCTCAGAAACATGAATACTATATTGATGCTCGAACCATTGGTATATATCGCTAAGGGTTGTATACTTGGAAACAAGGAAAGTCACTCACCAATTCTAAATAATTAAAGCACAGCCAATTCAACCTTATCCGCCATTGTTGATTGACTAATAGTTCTAGGCACCTATAGGGGCTCCAGCTCTCCATTTAGGGCTATCTCGGACCGATATTTTGACGTCCCTAATTAGGCATAGCGGCGTGTCCCCATCATCCGCAGCGAACGCCGCCTCCAAATTGCCACCAACTATAAACCTGCCAACAGGACACAATTTTACAATTTTGTGTCCTTTCCACACAACCCTGTCTCATACCCCCTACGAGTGGAGGATAATGCTGCGCTCTGTTATGGGAAAATGGCTACACGGACTTTTTTCCACATTGTTTCCCTGTTAGCCTCTTTTTCTAGCAATGTTTTGGCTTCGTCGCCACGGGAGATTAGCGGATATTCACATAGCCAACAAATCCCTGTAAGCTGTCTGAATCGCACAGTGTAAGTTAATATAGTGCATATCCGCTCGGGAGCGCATGCTACACTGAAGGCTCTACTCCATTTTTTCTTGTTTTTATATGTCGTCTTAGCTAATTATGTTATCGAAATAGAGATTCTGGTGAACACGTATGCACTCGTCGATGGTTCCCATCCTAGATCGATATTGACACCTTGCGCAGATCAAAGACAACTTGGGGCGACTCCAATATATTCCCTTTCCGACATGTAATGAAACCTCGCTTCCTCTAGCCCTCCGGTATGGCGTCACCGAGACCATCTCGTGCACGATCGATTCACTATCAGATGATATGTACCATCTGTTAGAATATTACGTCCATTCCGACGCACCTCTCTCATGCCGTGTACCCACCATCCCCTTAAACACTGCGAATGGCGCCAAATCAAACAGCGACACTACCACGGACGGAGAATATCAGGTTGTTGGCGTTGCTGGGGACGATGGAAGCGGAGGAGGCGGCGGCGGTGGGCCACCCTATACACCACTCACGATTGCACTGCAAGGAACGCTGCAGCTGAGCCATTTACATATATGGACAGATATGAACGTCCTTATGCATCGTTTGAGTTCTGTTGATTCCCCAAGGAAAAAGTCCGCGGGACATTCTGGCGCACCGGGATATGTTGTTGCCGGAACAGCGTACTCGCTGCCGGAACTCCATTCGAAAAACGAAGCAAAGCTTTCAAAAGAAGAACAGGATGCGGCTATGATTGAGAATGCGCGCAATCCGTGGACGGCCGGCCATGGTACCAAGGTTATCCGAGGCGAACCATTGACTTTAAATTTCAGAGTTAGTTGGGTCTCTGGCGCAGATAGTTTGGGATGGCTTGATCGCCCTTACCATCAGCAGCGGACGACTGTAGCAGGAGTCTTGACCAAAGTGGTGTTTTTCATCATGGCAGCGGGGATTGGAGCGCTTTTCGCTTCATATTATCAGAAAATGCGAAGAGGTGGTGGTTGGAGAGGAGATGGGATTCTCGGTCGTCCGATCACAGGTCGCCATGGTAGCACAAGCGGTGTCATGTATGGGAATGCTGGCAAATCGAATGGTTATGGGGGCTTTTCTCACACCAGCGTGTCGGTGGCTTCTGGGTCAGGTAACGGAGGATATGGTTATGGAGGGTACGGGAAAAATGATTGATTCTGGTTCGTTTTGAGTGGACACAAATTGATCACATACTCATGTGTACATGTACGATGTTAACTTTGTATACGACAAGATACCACAGAAGCGGGTGACGGAAGATACACATCAACTATATAATATTGAAGTAAAATCAGGATGCAGTTTTTATTATACAATATCAAAACAACCAAATATCCCCTGTCTACCAAATACATCAATCGACGTAGAATTGATAGTACGTCGGCGCACAATCAAATCACCATCCCTGGTCTCTCATGCGCTGAATCTTCTTAGCAGTTTCGGTGAATGAAAACTTGAACAATCTTCTCCATCGCTCCCGGCGAATGTCTTTACGCAACTGGCCACGTCTCACATGGAACTTCTGTGCGCGCTCTTGCTTCCGAAGTTGATTCGCACTACAAGATATTTCCAACATACGAATTGCGCTTGCGCAATCTATCCCCCTATCATTCTGAACAATCACCTGACGGCCCAGTTTGGGACCCAGCTTCAGGGACACGGGCTTGATCGTCGGGCGTATGGTTTCTTCAAGGTTCAGTTGTGTTGCCAAACTTTCCAATGACCCTTCCAGAGGAGCAGAGCTGGGATTGGGTGTCGTTGTCTCGACCGGAGTGGCCGGTGCGAAAGGTGTGGCAATTGTGGCGGGATACTTGTGGAGGACACGGGTTCGTAGAGCTGGGCTCTTCTTCTTAATGTCTCTCATCCGATCACCGAGAGCTCTTAACCTTTCGGTCGTGTTCAGCTCCGAGCTGTAACCTTGGCCTTCGTTTTCTGGTGTACTATTAAATCGTGATCTTTGGGGACGGCCGAGGTTCAATTCGTCAAGGAGAGTGTTTTCCAGTTCCTTAGAGGCTTCTGATGGAGATAGACGCGATTCCGACGAATTTTGTTCTGCGAGGGTGGGTGGCTCTGATGACTGTTTGCCAGTCTCTGTGTTACCGGTACCTTTAGGTTCTTTCTTCTCTGTCTTGGTTTCCCTGGGTCCGAATAAACTGTATGCAGACCTTTGCGATCGACGCACGAGTTGTTGTCCGGGAGTGCTGAGTTGAGGATATTGATGAAGGAGCGTAGACGACCCTGTCCGAAGACATCGCGCAAGAGAGGTATTCATCGCCATCGGTTCAATATATTGAAAATATTTGTAGAATATGAATTGAATTATTGGGTTCGCTGCGGCTCAATGCCGCCTGGAGAAATAATATCAAATAGTCAAACAAAATGCGGACAGCCGAACTCAGGACGGAATTTGGTATCACGTGACTGAATGGAGCTGTCGGAATATTTGGCACTAAGCACATTGGGAAAGGATTAGAAACACCCAAAATTACGATCAATAGTGCCAAAATGCTATGTCAAAAATTGATATTACTCAATTTTCAATACCTTACCTTTGATGACAAATATTAATGTAAATTTATATATAAATATATTTAAATAGATAAGTTCTTTATAACTTAGACTTATATCTTAATTCAATTAAATTTTAACATTAAACTAGTAATAATTTAAAGCTTTAAGATCTTTTAAAGTATATATTAAAGTAGTAATAATAGTTAATAAGTATTATTCTCTATATTAATAATTTAAAAAGATCTAATCTATTTTAGATTAAACTTTATAGAACCTTTTAATAGTACAATATTCTTGATTTAAAATATTATCTGATCTCTAATTTTAAACTATATATCTATATATTTTTTATTAAAGTATTTAGTCTATAATTTTAATACTTATTATAGTACTTCTTATAATATAGTAATTCTTCCACCAACTACACAACATTCAATATGCCTAAAACACGTACTAAAAATGATGTATCCTATGAAGGAAGGCTTCGGCTTGCCATTGATGCGTTAAACAGCCAAAAAATCAACGGATCACGCCATGCGGCGCGTATGTACGACGTGAGCGCGGCAACCTTACGAAGACGCCTCAAGGGCTCGATTACCTCAACGAGGCTGCAGCAGTGAACCATTATCTTGTTTAAATCTTTCCTAATAGTACGCCGCCCTCTTATTAACAGAATAACCCCTTAAACCTACATTCAACTGAAGAGTTCTCTCTGATCTAGAACCTCGCCAAGTTCGGTTTACCATAACTGCGTTGACTCAGCATCGCGCAGGTTTATGGTTGTATCCCCTTCGCTCCGTTTCTCCGTCACAGGATAAACGACCTAGACACGATTGTACACCTTCTTATTGTATATTGACCATCATCGCTATATTTCGACTACTGCCGTCATGTTTTCCGTCTGGCGCCATAGCCATTTTCGCAGCTGCTAGCTCCTCCTCATTCGGCAGATTTACAACCATGAGATAAAGGACATCTTTCAGTATCTTCCTCGGCATAGTGCTTGCTCCTTGAATCTGGGTCCGCAACTGCTCTCGTTGTAGCTGGAATTGTTGCTCGTAGAGTGCAATGATCTCTTGCTTCTGCAAGTCGGAGTAGCCCATGGCTATGCACTGGCTATGGAGCAGCTCTCGCTGGCAATTCTGCTGTTCCTGAAGGAGGGCTTCCTGCTGTTGAAGCGCAATTTTAATGTCTTCCATTGCCTTCTTTCGGTCCCTTGTAAGGTATCCGCCCGAGACTAAACCAAGGAGACCTCCGTTGGCAGCTGGATGATTAGGATCGAGGAAACGGTTTTTGAAATTTGGGCTCGGAGCTGTAGAAAGGGTGTCATTATTGCTTTCAGCGGCCTGTCACGACTTTTTATTAGAAGCCTCATCACTGACAGGTTACAAGTGACTTACATATCTTGCCCGCGCGCGTTTATCAAAGTATTGATTTATTTTGTTCCAAGGCTTGACTTTCGTTTTCACTTTTGTATCCTCATTTTCCTCCTCTGAAAATATCAGAGGTGCACATTCTGTTGGCAAATTTTGTTCCCCTTCGGTAGTGGCGGAGACTGGATTGCGCAAATTCACTGCAACTTTTTTATGCAATTTCATCGGTGATGCGGTAGAATCTATGTGAGAGGATGATGCGCCTATCATGGTGGTGATATCTCCTTGCTCTTTCACTGGGACAGGGTTGTATTTCACAATCACACAATAGAGCCCACGAGGACAGAATAATTCTCGATTCACCTGATCCAGAAAGGAGTTCACTCTTTATGAGCAGCATTAGAAAGGATACATTGGAGGAACGCACCAAGACCGGACTTACTTCCATCTAATTTGCGCTTTTGCTGCAATAACGGATGCCACCTGCACTGCTGCTGTCGCTCCCATGGAAATATGATTCGGGACGAAAGAAGCACCAAATGCTGCAATTTGTACAGCAGCAACCCATTTTGAAACTTGGATCGCTTTGTTTAGAGCATCAATGAAGTCGTGAAAATGTTCTTCACTGATGCCACATTGGGATAAAATCGGAGCATAGGCCTTCATAAATCCTCGCTGTTTGTTTCCGGGTCGCCGTTGAGGAATAACGACAGGGTATGCAATCCGGCCACCAGGGGGAACTATTGATATCCTAGAATTATTTTCCATGAATGAGCTAATTGTCGAGTCAGCTTCTTCTTCCGTTACGGTATCAACCATTGTGTCATCTGCTTCGCCACCAGGGTTCATTGTGAAGTTGTGTTGTAGGGAATCCTCATAGTCCTGAGGTTGAGGAGAGCTAGAAGCCATTTTTTAAAAAGTGGTGTGCCTGTTTTGTCAAGAGACAGTCGCAGGGCAGTTCTTTAATATTTGTTTTAGTTGAACATCAGCTTTAGCGACAATCTCTTTATCAAGGGCTCAAAATGACAACTGGCCAATGGAGACTGCCATATGTTATCATTTTGGGGCTTAGAGGGAGGCCTGACGAGGATTTTCTAATAAGCTTCCCTTTTAGGAGATATGATGTAGCTGGTATTCCTTAGATCTGTATTCCTTGAGACCTTCGTTCGCGAGACTTACTGTAATGGGTTTAGTGCATCACAAGATAAGAAACCAACACCTTTACCATACGACCAAAAACGGAGCCCTGTTAGTGGCTGGTACATTTAGTGGTCATATAAGTCTGTCATGACAAGGTTATATTACAGCTATTCCAAATATGGTGACCACAGCACATATCTCCACTTGCATGCTCTTATTGGCTGCTAGCCATAGGCGAAGCTCTATTATGAGGATATGCCAATATACCCTATTTCGAACTAGCGCACACAATCCTTTGCTGCACCGAACATGGCACACCAATGCCATTTACTTTCTTTAGATTAGACACATCACATTTACATTACATTACACGTTTCCACTCGATTTTTCACAAGATAAACTCAAGCCGAGGCCGAAACTCGATGGGATTTCTCATTCCCTACGAAGGCACGGTCTCTTTAGCTTCGTTCACAAGCCTTGCCCATCTTTAGCCTGTCGACCTGCCATCAATAAACACCTTTACCTGATCATCTTCAAGTATGATCGTTCTGGGACCATGTTCTGGTTGTTTCGCTGTCTTTCAGGCTTAGGCATGCGACGACTTGTAAATACTTCAATGAGCAGAGCATGCATGTCGGTCTAAATGACTGGGAATCCTACTCCTCAGATTGCTCTATACTCGCCTACCAGACGGACACATTATTCTCAAATGATTTCAAAGACTGCATTAGGGCTTTGCCACACTTCTTCGTAGCCAGGATAATACGCAATCTTACACCATAAATGAACTCGGTCTTCACATTCTGGCAGATTAATTTTCACACTCTTGAAAAGAATGGAATGTGTCCGCCCAGCTGTGCTGTCCACATAAAGTGGGTAGAAACTTTCGGAGGACGAGAGCTTGATGTATCCCCATAACACCTGCAATTACACGAAAGCATTCGAAAACCCACTCAGAAAGCGAAGACGGATGGTCATCCACGACCACGGCAAAAGAGAGTGGAAAGAGAAGTACAAATCCTCCAGCTGAACTTTTCAATTGTGAAGGCTCTGAATTGGAAGCATGCAAATCCAGTACGCCGAGGATATCAGGAGCACTATAGCATATTTCATCGGCAAGCTTGCGCATTTCTTTACGCATTTCGGAACATTTCGTTTGTGCCTCTTTATTTTGTATTGCATACCCCCTCATCGTGGCCAACGGGCGCAATTGGGATAAAATCATGTCATATACTAAAATCCGAGTGATACGGTAGTTGTTCCACATTAATGCCGAGGACAGATCTGGATATCTGTGACACAAGCCGCGATATGGGTGGAGGCTGGAGCCTTGCCCCATGTCGATGATGTCAGATATGGCAAAAGACTTATAAGCACAGCTCGGAGAGACCTGCTTAAGCCAGATTGAGAGCCCCGATTCGATAGATGATAACTCCTTCAGAATAATTCCGTCATTATCAAAAAGGCCGCTTGCTACGTGATACCGTAATTCCGACAACCTAGCCATGAGCAGTGTGAGCTGGTTTGAAGATGTTTCAATTGAGCTGCACGAGGCCGTTGCCAGTCGTGCTGATAAGCGGATAATGGTCGGAGGAACGGGAACTCGGCGATATATACAACCAAGAATCTGTGTCAAGGTGAAGTCAGGCACAGTTCAATCCAAATTTACATAGGCCAAATACAATTTGATCTCTCCAAGCTCTAAAGGTCGTCAGAGACGGTGTATTCATTAAACCATCTACACCGCGCATTTCCAATAGCTTAACAGAGCCATTGATATGCTGCAACCAATTGTCAATTGAAACTTCTTCGTAGCCGGTGATAACCTGGAGTTTCCATGAGCTACAAGAAAATACGAATCTGGAGAGTGAACAAACCTCAAACAAGGACAACAGAAAAATAGCAACAAGCGTAGAATCCTGGTTCCACTGATCAGCAGCAGAGACTGCGGCATTTGTCAACCGGAGCGAGGTAGAATAGTCAGACCTAGCCGAATGTATCAAGGAGCTTGACTTGTTGATGTTCCCAACCGTGGCTTTTCCAACAGCGGTCACGCCTGCTAGTAAAGCTCTTTCGCCCAAGGGGGCTTGCGCACTGTCAACACGGTAATCAAATACGCCGTGTATCAAGGCAGGAGAGCCAATCCACGTGTAATTTGTAAGAAAGAAGCATGAGGCTTGGTGTTCGGCATTAATGACAAGAGAATCAATTGGCAGTAAAAACAAATGGCCCCGCTTCTTGGCCGATTGGCTATTAAGATAGGTTTTCAATGACTCGTCAATGAGCGATTTGGAGGTCCTTCGAGATGTAGATGGAGGCACGTGGGCGCCAGCTTTCGCAAGCTGGATTACTGCTTGGGTTTCGTTGCGGAACTGGAGTTCATTTTGATCTCGGTATCCGGGGCATCTTCGGGCTGATTTAAGGCAACGAGCACACTGGGGTTGCTGAAGGTCACACTACTGCGGTATTAAGTACGAGGGAAATCATGAGGGACATCATCTCCATAACTGCCTACTTTGATTTTTCTTTTTCGGCATTCGCCGCATCCTTGACTGAACTTCCGAAAAGACATGTTTGGTAGACGTCGGAACCTTTGGACATCTGCTCTGAATGAGAGACAAGCGTAGTTGGAACTTATGGTTCGGAATCAATCCAAAAGACTACCCGCTCCAACTGCCAGGTGTGGGGAGGTGACGCGCGTTAGATAACATGGTATATATAAGTAAGTCTTTAATATATTAAAAAATTTAAAAAACATTTAATATAATATTAGATTTAAAAAAAACTGCTCCAGAAAATTAAAATCCGTTTTTTTTTTTTTGAATTCTAATGCCAATTGAGGGTATCTAGGGCTTCTAAATAGCCTCTAGAACCCCTGAAAACAGTGCTGACCTCCTAGAGCCTGGGGGGCAGATACTAGAGTAGAGTAAGCCTTAAAAGCCTCTTATAAGCACCCTAGGCTGTCATTTGGTTCGGTTCTGGTCCTGAGTTTCTGAACCAAACCCAAAAGTGGATTGGTTCAGTTTGATCCCTAATATTGGAACTAAAATCAAAAATTAAATAATTCTAACTCTCTAAACTGAAACTAAACCATACTAAAAAGAATTACTAATTATAATTAGATTAACCTGAATCTAATCTAATTTTTATTCAGATAACTAAACTATATTAAAGAATTTTTAATTATAGTTAGATTTTATTTTTAATAATATAAAAATTAGAATTAATTATTTAAATTATAATTTTCTATCTAATTGTTAAAATATATTAAAAAAATAGATAAATAATGATAAATATTATAGAATGAGTATAAAAATATATATAAATATTTTCTTTAATAAATAGATTAACTATTGGCTATATAATATAATCTAAAAAATATAAATAAAAAATAGAAAAGGTATTATCATTATTTAAATAATTCTTAAATAATGATTTAAATATTAAGAATTTATTATAATATTTATAAAAATATTTAAAATAAAATTCTAATTTAAAAAATATAAATTTAATTTATAAAAAGCTGCTTTAGAAATAATTATATAATCAATAATAATTATAAAGAATTAAGGTTAATTCTAAATATATTAATATTATTAATAGAAATCTATTAGTATTTAAATATTCAGATAAAACTAAATTAAAAATCTAAACTGAACTAGATCTAAATAGATTCTAAAAAATCATATGGTCCTAGACTTAGTAAATCAAACTGTTTTAGTTCGCTGTATATAGGACCAGAACTGGACCATTCAGGTTTCAGATCGGTTTTGGTTCGGTCCGAACCGAACCAAATGACAGCCTAATTAATAGTGTTAAAATACTATATTAAAAATTGATATTACTTAATTTTTAATATCTTATCTTTAATAATAAATATTAGTGTAAATTTGTATATAAATATGTCTAGATAGACAAGTTCTTTGTAACTCAGGCTTGTATCTCAATCCAATCGAATTTTGGCACTAAACTCAATTTGTTCTAACGCGTAAAAAGTCCGACAGGAGCCAACCCGTAAACGTCTCCGAAATACAGCTCTGACCCACTTTTAAAATGGCATATAAAATAACATAAATTTACATAAATACCTTTTCCAATGTCTTGGAGCACGTGGATTACGCAACCCTAATCCATAGCATTCATTGACATCAACAGAATCTGATTAATGTCACGACAAGTCTTGTTAGAGCAGCAAGACTACCAGTCGCATTGTACCTTCTCCGCTGGTCCAAACGAGTCCAAGCACTCTAACAATTTTGGCCACGTACGCTTCAGAAGAACGCAAGACAGCGCCGGCGTAGTACCTTCCCATGACTGTAAAGAGAGGAATAACAAAAGGTGAATCTACACTTTCCCAGCCTGTCGAGTGGTAATATGTTGGATGGCCGCGCTTCCCTCCTCGCTCTTGTGTGGAAGCTTCGTTCAGTATTGCGAGACTGAAATCTATCCCGTTGAAGATATTGGCTTTGAGCCAATTCGACATTAGTTGAAACGCCATATTTTTGTCACCGAACAACACGTTTGTAATTCTCTCTCGTATTGAAAGCGCTGAAAGAGAAGCATACGCCTTCAGCTGCTCCTCAGTGGCCTGCTCATTATAGTGTCGCAGGATAGCATTGCCAATTCTCCTAATGGCAGATGTAGCACTTTGTTGGCAGGACAGTTGAAAATAACGGCTGTTGGTGAATTCTGCACATACGCTGCATCTTTCCGAAATGCGGACTTGACACGAGTACGACAGTCAACCGCCATCATGGTCATAAAATTGCGATATAGTATGTGTGAGGCTTGAGGAATATAATCCGTCTCGAAGTTTGGGAATATTGACGCTGAACCTTTGAATAGATTTGCCCAAAATTCCTGGGTTACAGATTCGTCTATAGGTAAACACCAGGTTAAAAATTCTTTGTATCCAGCTGGATATTTGAGTTCTTGATCATAGTATACGCTCAAGATGCTTGGTCCATGATCCCATGATGAATGGGTAAAATCAACTTACGGTCAATGATTGCGGTTCGACATAGGGGTGTTCCCAAACCCATGGGGTGGGTGCTAACAAGATGAAAGTACTCTTCCACATTGCCAGGCGAACGCAAGGTGCAGTGACTGTCGTTGGTGACAGTCTGTATTATCCCTTGGCGGGAGACTACTAAGCGAGTACATAAGACCGCGTTGAGTGAGATGACCTTTCGAATAGCTATACAAAAGCGGTCTAGGGGTAGAGATGGAGAGAGTTTGAAGAGAAATTGGAACACTGGCTCTGGTGTGTATAGCCGGATTGCGGGCCCTTGAGATCTCTGTCAACGTTATTTCGTCGACCTCATGCCGCGACATGATCGTGGAGGGGGCCATGCTTTCAGACGATATGTGATATAACACTCTGTTGACATGTTTGTGGATTCCTTAAATATATCACCTGCTCCACGTTGGTACTATTAGAGAAGTTGGCACAATTTCGAATTCTCAATTTCCTTGAGTATTTGTAAGTTGAATTGCGTAGCAAAGCTCAGCTAGAAGGGAAGTCCCTTGGAAACTACAGGTGACTTGACAGACAAATTGTCATCCTTATTTGGTGCTGTTCTATCGGAACAACATCTACGGACTGTGGTAAAAGACGCTATCATCAGGCCCTCATCTGGCCTAAACAAAGCCGGTGAAGTCATTCTGTTCAGTTTTGCACGGCGAGAGGATATTAATACACTGTCTGGCAGTGCTTTCACCCCAGGGCCCTCCTAGATTATATCGGAGCCGAACCCGGTAGCGATGGTTCTATTATGCCTGAGCGAGGGGGTGATTCGCGCTTGAAGTGCCTGCAGCTTAGCGGTAAAAACGACCCACTGCTATTATTAGATGCTTTGGTGGATAAAGTCTCTCATATTACCGTGATAGAAAGAGATGAAGTAGGGCTAGGCACTTCCTCTCAACCTATGGCTTGGATTCTCTGGTTTCTGTCGAACTGCGTAACTAGATTCGCAGACAATCTGACGTGGAACTCCCACTCCCAAATATATCAAATTCCGGGAGCCTTCGAGGACTGGCAAAATATATACTCTCCAAGAGGGAATTGTGTCTAAGAAAAGCTGAGCCATTGGGTTGTGGACTGGATTACACTAACAGAAACTTCGAATACTCTGCTTTGCCATGAGATATAGTCAGAAAGCCGGTTTACTCAAGAAGGCTACTCTTTTACAGTAGATTTGATACACTCACATAGTGAAAATTTACTGAAAAATTTCCAAAGTCCTTATTTATCAACTGTTAATAGGAGATCGGTCCGTCTTGTAGTAAACAAGGAGTTGACAACACCCTCAGTCATGACTAGGCCACAAAATTTGAAATCGACAGCGGGTAAAGGACTGATCCGCCTCTTATCCTAAGATGAATGTCATCGATTCAGCAGTGTTTGACATTATTTTATAAGTTTATCCTGCAATGATAGACCACAACCCACAACTACATGTATATCACTAAATAGACTATGGCCCTATCCAAAGAGGAGTCCGTGGATGTAGTCTATGAGCGTGTTGTATGACCTTATCATTACGTATGTTCTTCTCGGCCAATATCATGGCCATCCTGTGAGTTCATTAGTAGCATTTGTGCCTCCTCCATCACTTGATCACACTCCTTGAGATGCGGTGGGACTGAAACAGGTTAGGAGGTGACACTGGTACTACTAGAGATGGTGCAATCTTGTAGTACACCAGGACAAGTTTGTCTCAGGCTCAGGCCTTTTATCACGTTGTTAAAAGCATAAAGTGAGGTTAAGATTCTTCCGTACCACATACTTAGCTTACACGATGGTATTTGATCCACTTAAAGACATGCCAGATATGGTCGGCAAAGTGATCCTTGTTACTAGGGGGGAGTGGTCGATCATTCAACTGTCCTATTTGTGTAAAATGAAATCAGTGTAGTTAACCGATAAATCAGGCAATTCAGGCTTAGGTGCTACAACAATTAGATTTTGGCCCATCACAATCCTTCCGCGATCTATTTATGTCTCCGCCCGTTCTACGTCTCTAGTGCAGAGTCAGTCGTCTTATCAATCAAGTTTTCAGTTCCGGATGCCAACATCAAGATCCGTCTGCTTGACCTTTCATCCTTCGACAGTATAAAACTACTAATGCCCAAACTTCTACGAGCCACTAATAAAGGCAGATACGTGCGTATCTTGGTTACTTCATCTATTGCTGCCCATATTAATCCACCCTCAATCGACCCCGTGCTTAATCAAATGAAAAACAAAGAGCCATAGCTTCATCATACCAGTGTTACGCAAACTCTAAGCTCGTCAATGTTCTCTTTACACGGAAGCTTTCACAGGTGTATCTCTCCATTTAGGTTAAGACTGGCTCATCAAGAAAACCACAGGGATCAACAAGTGAATCAGAAGGCTCGTAGCTATGTCATTTGTGTAGCGAATCGGGGTCAGTCCGGAAAAGGGAGCCAAAAATGGTCTTTGCCTGGAGGTGTCACAGACTCTGAAAATGGAGGCTGCTATAACCCTGTCGGGGTCCTGGATGATCACAGCCCTTTCTCGTGGATCAAAGCTAACGGATGAGCCATGGGATTGGGCAAATTATATATATATATATATATATAACAATTAGCAGTCCGCGGAGCGCCAGGAAGGCAAGCATGATTCGTGCTTGTAGATGGCGTATACACCGCTGATTGTGTCAATTTCATCCAATATGTATCAGTGGTATATGATTTATTTGCCTGTCCAATCAAGAAGGTAGTTCAAAATGTTCTTTCCTCATGAGTTAGAAAGTAATATCCAGACCAATCAAACATTTTATCGTTTATTGATATATTGAAATACCACTGACATCTTTCAAACTAAATTTTGAAGTAACTGTCATTAAACATATATGAACGATATTAGGGTTAGGGTTAGGGTTGTTTTTTCTCGCAGTTCAACTTGGAAATCAGGTGCATCAAATTTCGACAGATTCTGTCGAACTTTTAACCACTATACCAAAAAGGGCGCAACTCTTACTTAGTAAGGATTTCTAGTGGTATTATAGTTGCATAATTTTTCTGACAGATTCTACCGGTCACATGATATTACAGCCTAAGACGGAATAAAGACGGATGGGGACACCAAAAACAACTCGAAACACTAATCTTATTCCATCATAACCACGTACAATCCAACAACGCACTGACATTCCAAGTATCACCACGGCCACATTGCGTTCCACTCAACCTTCGTAATGAAGAGCTACGACGGCTGCTGGACGTGCCGGCTGAGGAAGAAGCGGTGCGATGAGATACAGCCAGTGTGCGGGAACTGCTCAGCGCTGCAAATTACCTGCCACTTCGGTGACGAGAAGCCGTCATGGATGGACAACGGACTTGGGCAGAAAGAGAAAGCTGAAGAGGTCAAGCGAGAGGTTAAGAGTGCTGCCGCGCGCCGTCGTGGGACCCTGCCGATGGATGTCCTTGCCGACAAGGACGCTGGGCTGGCTACGGGCGGACTGAAGCGACAGAGTGCGTCGACAAAGTGCCCGCCCTTTCACGCCGAGCCGACTCCAGACTCCAGTCCTGGTTGGGCCTCTACGCATACACAATTTAGCACAACATTGAGCAAGGCCCACCCAGATTCCTGGAATACGCTGGATAGGTTGTATATAAGCAACTCCTCTGATAGGGAACCAGGGGTCTCAGAGCTCGACCGCCGCTTCATGATGTTCTACTTTGACCACTTCTTCCCGTTTCTATTCCCCTTTTACCAGCCCCTTCTGCTTGAGGGTGGGCGTACCTGGGTCATGGAGCTTGTTGCAGGCGACCAAGCCATGTGGCACACCACACTTTGCCTTAGCACATACTTTGTCTCAGTCGCCCTGGATGGCACTGTATCAGGGCCCAACGTATGCAAGTCACTTGCTTGGGAAAAGCTTCTGAAGCAGATGGGTGTAACCTTCATGATGCTCCAGCGCAACCTCCAGGAAGTTGCTTCAAGTAATACGCAGGAGCTGATAGTCAAGACCTCCCGAATTATGGGAAGCATTATCCAGCTACAACGGTTCGAGATCTCGGTCGGGAACTTCGAGAATTGTCAAAAGCACCTTGGTGCGGCCATTACGCTGTTCAGACAGATTTTTTGGGCTGTAGAGAATGTCATCGACCGCGGCGAGCTGCCTACTTTCTACGGCGTCCTGAATCATATGGGACGGCCACTCTGGGCTATAACGTCTCAACAGAGCGGAGCCTGGAACTCCGATCAAGCAGCTTTCCGATTTTACTCCGCACTTCTGATCGTGGATGACATTATCGCCAGCACATGCATGGAGGAACCGCCTAGATTGCGCGAGTATCACGCTCGGCTCCTCACGAACGGCGGCAGCTCCGATGAGAGGCCTCCTCTGAACCTCGAGGACTTTATCGGCTGCGAGAACTGGGTCATGTTGCAGATCGGCGAGATAGCTGCGCTCGACGCGTGGAAGAAGTCAACAAAAAGGGCCGGGAGGCTGGATATGATGGAGCTGGTGGCGCGCGCGTCGGCAATCAAGCAAGTACTGCTCGGTAACCTCGCGCGCCTCGACGCCCCAGCAAACACGCCCAAGACCAACTGGCTCGGCTTGTTCACCCTCTATAATGACCAGTTACCGCCTATGCCGGGCGGCTGCACCGCCTTCGTCACCCGTGTCTGGGCGCATGCCGCATTGCTCTACCTCTCAGTTGTGGTCTCTGGGTGGCAGCCTGGGAGCGCTGCAATCCGAGAGAACGTGGTGCGAACACTAGCGCTGCTGGAACAGATGCCGGCACCCGAGCTGCTGCGGACCATGGTGTGGCCCTTCTGCATGGTCGGCTGCTTGGCCGAGCCAGGGGAGGAATACCGCTTTCGGGTCATGGCGGATGCACTGGTCCCGCATCGACTTTTTGGGGCCGCGCGGAAGGCACTGGAGATTATGGAGAACGTCTGGAAATGCAGAGGCGAGCTGGCCATTGACACAGACTTTGCGGCGTGCGTCTGCAGCTTGGGGTATATGTCCCTATTGGTCTGAATCCTTGGACGCCCGCGCGCGAGCAGCACTCAGCCACATGATCCTAAGTTGAAGTAACGCTTGAGTAACGAGGCAGACGTTGATAAGTCAACGTTACTGTTTGTCAGGCTGGAGACCATTTGCGAATGCCTATGTCTGCGTATAAATAGCGATGGGAATATGCTGGATCTCATTTACGCACAGCGACAGCAAGCACCTTGTTCACACTTCCACCCGTCTACAGCAACTACAGCAGCAGGCTTCTCAAGCCCGTTACTCTCGTCCTCGGCTCTGGTCCCTGAGTCGGTGCCGCGGTCGCTAAGCGATTTGCTAACACAGGCTATTTCGTGGCTATCGCTACTCGCAAGGCCGCAGAGTGTTATCTGTCTGTCAAGGCAGACTTGTCTAATCCTTCATCGATTCCGGTAGTCTTTGATGCTGTCAAGGCGGAGTTCCAAAGCACGCCGAGCGTCGTGGTGTACAAAGATGCAACCTTTACGCCGCTAAAAGGGCATGTAGATTGACGGCGACGCGCATGCCGATTTCTTCGCTCAGCTTGAATGAAGAGGGAGAAGTGGTAGGGTTACGTCAACTTCTAGATGAACTACTTTGCCATGCAGCATTAGATACAATTGATGCTGAATATGAAAACCTATTCTGCTCACGATGAATCAGCGTGAAGATCAAAAAGGAGTTCGTCTGAAACCCGATGTGCCCCATCTTGCTGCAAGTCATCACGTATGTGATTCGCTCAGGAAAGTACTCACTATGCCTATTGCAATCTACCTGCTAAGAACTTGATGCTTGATGGTCCGCTTGTATGGCCCTGGAGAGAGCACTCTGGCTCCTACCCGGATACAACCTCTCCTCCACTGTCAACTTCGGCCTAGCTTGTTTCCATGTTATCAAACAATTCAAGGTCCTCGAGGGACTAATACAGCACTTTGCATAATCACGTGAAACATTCTCAAATTTTAGTATGGACTATGTGCTAAGAAATGCTAGTGAGATTATAGTTACGGGCTGGCTCATGTAACTTTCCGGTGGTATCCCACCGTCACAGGACTAATACAATTGTAAATTCCTCGTATTGCTCCTTCCCTTTCCCCTATCATATCATCGCGGAAATTAATACCACAGGAAGGCACCAAAAGATTTGAACGACGCGCGCCAGCCATGACATATGCTCCGCCGAGTGGGCGGCAACCATTACGATTAAGCACCTGTCAGCTACGGGAAGAATGTCATTAAATGCATCCAATTGGCTACTCTGTATTCATTATGGTTTTGGGAGTTCTCCACCGCGCGCGGGATTGCGAGATGTTGCGCACGCACTGCATGCACGATCCTGAAGGATCCTTCCCGTGTTGGCGAACTGTCCCGCGCGGCTTGTGGAGCTGAAGTCAATCTGATGCTTATTCCTCTCAACCTTGAAAGGGCATAGCCAAGACCGTGATAACAAATTTTTGGAAATGAGCCAGTAACCCTAACCAAACCATCAACACCATGCTTGGTTCTAATATAGATAGGAGACATCTTACGTGTTGTACTCCTCTTCTTGTCTCCCAAAACTCCTCCTCGTTCACGAAATAGCCCACTACCATGAACAGGTACGAGTTTCTCAAAAAAACACCCGAACTTGTGGTGCAGCGACGCATTGCATTAGATTGGTACGCGAATCTAGCACAGATCTCGCAACTCTCAGTTCACCTAATCATCCTGGTCTGCGAATTGGTAGCTTCGGTCCAGGTCAGAGGATTCGCAAAAAATCAGAAAGGCGGTGCAGCTGTGCTTGCAAGAGGCCTGAAGTTTACATTGGGCACGGAAGTGGTCAAGGGATACGGCACGTATGGACAATGGACCTTTGGGATAGCCTGGACTGCATGGCTGGGATTCTTGTGTATCACCGAGACTGCGCCTGGTAGTGACATCTTATCTCCTAGACTAGCAAGCGAATATTGATAAGTATAGATTACTTGCATCTCACCAAGCGATTCGGTCTCATCGCAGCCTCGCAACTACCGATCCACTACCTCCTCGCCGCCACACCTCTTCAGCTCCTGCTTAAGAGTTCCTACAGACTAAATATGTCATTGCATAAAGTCACTGGAAATATTATCATCGCCTTCTTGGCCGTCCATATATCATTCTACAGTTTCTTGTTTGTGAAAATGGGCATATTTTGGCAAAGTATTCAGCAGTCAAATATTAAAGTAGCTGTGATCAGCGCTTGTATTTTTTTTATTCTTGGAATCACTGCCACTCAATTCTTCCGTCACAGACATTACTGGTGGTTTTATAAGTTACACGTTATTGGATCAGCTCTTGTGCTACCGCTGCTCTTCTTTCACGTTCATCATATCAGAACATATCTATTCGAGAGCGCGGCAGTTCTGATTATAAATGCTGTCCTTCGCACGTTCAGCTCTCGGGGTTGACATGGCGGAACTGGTAAGAGGATTTGGCATTGTTGAATATATCCATTCGAAGACCTCGTCACGAAACCTTATGCTCCTCGGCCCGTTAGCAGACTTGTATCTACTAATCCTCATCAACTATCCTCCACCGATCCAGTCCTCTCGCTTCTTCTACCCAGCACACATTCTCTGCAAGGTTATTTTGATTAACGTGGCTTTTCAAGACCCTGCGCACTTTTGCCAATTCTCCTCCCCATCACTCCAACACGCTTATTTTACACATCGTGGTCAGACCCTACGACTAGACGGCGACGTTGAGGATACTGGTGAACAATAATACTGTTGTCAGTGATGGCAATCTACTGATTACATACAAATTATATGGGATAATTGAATTGAATTCCGATTATAAATTGAGCCGTGTTCCTTTGGACTTATAAATTTATATGATAATATCGCTGCCTACAGGCTCTTACGTCACCGTGTTATGTTATGATTGGTGCAAAATCCGAGCTTCTTAAAGCTTTCGGTAATGACCAATCTAGTAATTCCAATTGGGGTCCATTATTACATGATTACAAACTCCGAATGGAGTCGGGAAATACATATGACAAATATTATACCTAAGTGGGATGGATTAGTGAGCTAGAGCTAGATAAGTTAATAGTTTACTAGTACTTTAAAGTTATCATACAGGCTTTTATTACCCGTCCGAGCTGAAACCCCAGTTGTTTAACATTTAACCTTTGGATAAAAGTAAATTAAACTCGTTACTACTCCGTACATATGTGTAGATCAATTTAATACATTGATGTATTTAGGTGGCGTCCAAAGGTGATATATTTAAGGACTAATTTGCGCAGTGCGTAGCACTGAGCTAATTATATTTTGTCAGAAAAAATATGCGACTATAATACCACTAGAAATCCTTACTCAGTAGGGGTTGCGCCCTTTTTGGTATAGTGGTTAAAAGTTCAACATATTTATACGCACACGTGCAATGGCTAAAACCAAAGCTCTGCTACTATTGGTTGACAATAAGCTGATACGACTGCCTCCATTAACTGGATTAGTTATAAACTTTTGAACCATCATATATTCCGCACTATATATTGAAATAGTGGGTCAGTCGATGCTCAGAAAGACCTCGGTTAATTGGAAGCAGCCAGCACTGGCCTGAGGATTACTTACGATTCACCTTGTCTTTTCAAATTCTTACCAATTCATATCACCAACCATTCACACCGTCACAGCCACCATGGCTCTTCTTTAGGAGAATGTGAGTAATTTATTGAAGAGTGATTAAAGACTGCTTCCAACTCCCTTCTTAATTAATTTAGAAGTGGTATATGCGCTATTTCAAGGATGTTTTGGATCGAAAGCCCGAGTTGCCGGGCTTTCGAGGTGGTGAGAAAAACAATTATTAAATCATCTCTCACTTTACCTTAACTAGTTCCCAAGAACTTAGAAACCCATTAAAGCAGGGTTAGACTAAGAACTTTCTAATTACTTTCAAACTACTTGCTAACTAATTCGATTAGGAGGATGAAGTTGTTGTGCTGCATTATGGGGAAATTTTTCGTCGTGTGCCTGAATGCTTCAAGGAAATAGGAAGTCTTTTATAATTACTTTAGACCTAGTTTCTACGTTGGAAATACTAAAAAATACTTCAATATACTCTAAAATCTTCATTTCTTCTTGAAAAATTTTCCTCAATATCTTCTCCCCCAATAGCCGAGAGACCACCTGATTCCTTTATGAAAATGAAGGAGCTGAAAAATAGTTTGGAAGTAGTTGAAGAATTTTGATAGAATATATGTGGAAGAAGAATTGAAATTGAAATTCATTCTGTTAGGTTTAGCTACGTGGATTCCGTGGTGCAATTCTAACAAAAGCCTTCACGTACATATACGCTATTCCTCTATTAAATACCCGTGTATTAGTGCCCTCTTGTTGGCTTGAATACCTTAAAACATCTTTTTCAGCAAGCATGACGTGTTTACGCCACAGATACTTGTATTATGTATTATTACATTGGTTCTTATGGTATTTTCGTCTTATCTACTCTGTAACTACTTAACAGGCCCAATGCAACTTACAGTAGACAAGTAAAATTCTTGATATTAAGAGTGAATAGTGGTTAGTTAATAAAAATCCTACTAGAAATAGCTTTAAATTACCAAAAAAATACAAATGATTTTATTTGAAGACTTTATCTTAAAATAAATAGCTTAGTATTCTTATTAAGGTACATTAGTTCCCTAATAAAATACTAGGAAAGATCAGTATACGAGAAAAATGCTTAATGTGAGCACTAGCACTCACTAGTCTCCGTGCGCTGGGGGCGTTGCCAGAACTTTCGTGCCCACCTTTGTAGTTGATTCAAAATAATTACAGCAACCGCCTTCCAAATTAGAATACACTAAAATCTTAAAACCTCTAAAGAGCTCTAATACATTGCCCTCATCTTGAAACTACGCACCCATAGAATCATGATGAACTACATATATTTCAACTATTTATGAACAAATTTCCCCTATAAGGTTCCCGAATCACTCCTGCGCATATAAGCGGCGCGAGGAATTCGTCCGCACATTAAAAAGCTAGGCACAAGCTCGGGGCATGTAGTGGGGGGAGATTAAGGGCTTAGACCCCAATAAGGCCCCTAGCGCCCGCTGAAACGAGATCTTCATTGCTTAAAGCTGGGTAAGGTTGTTAAAACTGATTAAATAATAATAATAATATAAGCAATTTGTGTCATTCTCACCAAGAGGAGGCCGTGGTGTATGATAAAAAGTCCAGCATAACCTGATCCCTGGAGGTTTGCAGGTCTTGCAACAATAAGCTGTTAGGAATTGCTTTGGAGGAGTATGACCTTACTATAACCCATTATCTTGTGAGCGAAACAATTATACGTGTATGAGCTTGTATGCATATATGCAGCTAGCTAGATACATGACATGAATGACAAATGATGTATTATTTATAGGAATTAGGGGGGATTATAATATCAAATTCGGTATGTCGGTAATCTCCCAGGTGTAATCCGTTCGATATATTGTAACGGTTCCTAACGATTTTCTGGAAAGTCGTTGATCTTGTTTCAACTTGTTCGAGCTGCCAACCTCACTAGCTCTTCCACCATTATCCTTAGCCTTCTTGGACCCCCAACATAGATCTTACCAGCCCAATAAACTGAGGTATCTAGCTCTGAGTAAGCCGCTTTTTGCTTTTCAACAGCCCTGTTGCTTTTCATATGTAAGCCTTGCTTACACAATAGCGTCCGTCTTTTATTCATTGGCTATGAGTTACCGATAAGCCGCTTCACGCCCTTTCTAGAAACGTGCTTATTATACCTTCATGACTTATAGTGTGTTTGGCTTTGCCGCAAATATATATAAAGCATATTTATCTACTCGAGAAGACCTCATCAAAACCAATTGAATCAGATTTTAATGTCTTCGAATATATTCTAAAATGTCGGGTCATCAGAAAAGCGTATATATATCCTTCTTCACTATATCACGCTGCCGCTAATTGAGAAAATAGAAACAAAAACACCCTAAGGATTCCATTGCAGACCAAGCATGCACTCGCTGCCGTGAGCGCAAGATTCGTTGTGGCCGTGAGCTCCCTCAATGCAATAATTGTGAGCGGGACGATAGCGTGACATGCGTTTATCAGAATCCCACCAAGAGAGTGAACCACCTAAAGTCGCTGTGAGTTCCGCTACTACCCTCTATATAATGAGAACATGTCTGATTGGCGCGCAGATTTGACAGTGTCAATGGGGTCAAGGAGCGCCTGGTTAATATAGAATCGCATCTTGGCCGTCTAACCGTCCACATCGCACAGAACATGGACCAGGACAATTCTTGCTCTACCTCATCGACCCGACAAGCCTCCATGGGCGGAAGTTTTGATGAAGAAGATGATGAAAATCCTTCGCCGTACAGCTATGACTGTACCGACTTGCACGTCTTCCACAACCAGGTGGACATGGTCGATTATTATCACGGACCAATGTCGCTATTCGTCCTCTGCAAGCAATTTAGATCTTGTGCTCTCTCTGTAAGCAATGCTGAATGTGGTGCTCCTTTACCTTTACAAGATATGTTGCAGAATTTATGTGAGAAAGCCGGCGTGCTTGAACCTTTCCCACCCTTTGGTGACCAGCCCGTCATCAATCTCCCGCCCAAGCAACAGGCCGCTACCATTATTGGCCATTTCTTCCAGCATGTTGACCGTGTGACCGATATTTTCGTAAAGAGTAATCTCCTTGCCCACGTCGAACGTATATACTTGCAATCAACAGAGCCTAGGGACGATGTATGGGCCATCTGTTTACAGGCCATTACTGTGCTTGTTTGGGGCATGGAAATCTCTGCCCAAGCAGGGAACGGCCTATTTGGCGACTTTGCACGTTCATTCCTTCCAAGTCGTGCTGCGCTGGTCAGCTCCCGTTTACTGACCACGCCCAGACTCATCAACGTGCAGACTTTGATAATTCTAGTATGTGCCGCCTCGATTAAATATCACACTAGCCAGCTGACCATTTGTCTAGAGCGTCGTAGCACAACAATTTGACCCTCCTGGATGGGCTGGGTTTATCTTCACCCACGCTTGTGGGCTTGCAAGAACCATGGGACTCCACCAAACACAACTCTTCCCCCACGAAACCAGTGCATATGAGACATTAGAGAGGGCAAAAGTCGTACAGTCGTTGTACGTCCGGGACAAGAGCTTGTGCACTACTCGAGGTTCTGTGTCCTGGATGCCGACTCACGACTGCAACATTGCTCCCCAACTAAACGCCGCCATCGAGCGGCAGGTGCCCTATTCTGACACACTGCAACTGGCAATGATCCAGGATGATATTTACCGCTTGACGCATACTGCCTCGTTTCGGACAAGTGGACCTAGTAAGTCACAAACTGCCAAGGCATTGCGATCCATCGAGCACCAACTGGACCAGTATACACGAACCTTCGGTATTTTAAACTGCCAGGCTTCCTCTTATAATTCCCGTCGTGCTATGTTGACGTTGGAGTTCCTGACCACCCGTATTCTTGCGCTACAGCACGGGTCCGAGCAACGACATGCCGAACAAGTACGTTCCGATGCAAGGGCCAGCTGCCTCCTATTGCTGATAGCACACGGGGTTCAAGACCGTCAAGTCATCGATACTTTCAACGCTTTGACTTGTCAGGGGACCGTCCCTTCTGATCGGGACGAGAACTTGTCCGCCATCGAAGTAAGCACAATCTCTTTCGCCAGTATACTCGACGCCTTCTCGTTACCAGCATTCTTTATACTACTCGAAGACCTTCTCCGGCCCTCAGAGAATGACAACGGCTATAATGCTGGTCTTGACCTGCTGCGGAGAGTGTCTACTTGCTACATCAATAGCACAGAGCGGATGCAATCTAACAGCTACCATCGCAAGGTAGCGTGGACCTTCGAGCAGCTGCTTACAATTAGTGATCTGATCAGAAACCCCGAACAGCATCAGCCGGCATCTGTTTCTCCAACAACATCCACGTCTCAGATGATGTTTTCTCTCAATACTCAGACAGACGATTTCTTCCACATGTCCCCCTCACGCCCAATAGGAGACGGATCAAGTTTCTCTTTCTCGCCACAACAGACGACGAGAAAGCCTTTCTCTTGGGATATCAGGCCATCGGTCCCACCTTCATTAGGACTATATACTCCCTTTGGTTCGGCAAATTCGGCGGATACTTCAGAGACTGGAATATCAGATATGCTCGATCAGCTGAGACAAGGCGACCCCAACGGCAGCCCAGAGCGGTCTATGTTATGGTCTGAAATCGCCCCTGAGCCTCCCACAACCAGGAAGCGTTTGCGGCCTAATGAAGAGTCAGATATTCCCACAGAGAAGAATGGGGCAAGTTTATATGAATTTTAATAATCCTCGGGTAAGAAACTTTCTTTCGACCAATGTTGGCAGTAGTTCGCCACTAATATAACAATACACTCTGAATTACTTCCAATGCGCTACTGTCAAAGCAAAGAAAAGCTTCAACCACTTGAGTATTTTCGCTATCTAGAATTATCACTAGCCAATCCCTGTATTTTTTAGTCATTAAGATCCTGCGGCAAGAACTTAAAACATCCAGCAACTTAGTATCACATATCTTGACTATCGTAACATCATCCTCTCCTATAATGATCTCATGCCTTCCAAGCGTCTCCTAAGGTATTTTTAGAGCCTCGGCATATAAGGCTTCTAATGGGTCCAGGTACTTCAAAAAGCAAGACGAGCTTTTATCGAATAAATGTTCAGCCCGGAATCAGCGGACCGTTATAACACTGGCAGGGATGTCGATTTCTGGAATTCTCAGGCCTTGGCAGCAGACTACCAGGTTTCGTTAGCACCCAAGGATGCGGTTTCCTGGGCCCGACAACTTCACAATTGACCACTTTGGTCCCCGTAAAAGCGCATTGTGTTGAATATTATCCTAAGCTTCCTTGAAGTCAATATTACTAATATTTGGTGAACCATTGAACTTTCCGAAAACTATGACGGTTGGATGAGTAGCTTCCTGGATCTGCCATGTCTGTACGTCCCCGTAAGTGGACAAGGGCTCAAACCCTACGGGTGGTGCTGAATCTGGAAATAGCATTATCTGAGCCCAATTGGGAAGCTTATCTAGCGAGGTGAGGGCTATAAAGAGCCACTAGACGTACATCAGCATAGCTGGTTCCTTTCTCCCTTTCCCCATGTTGAGTATTTTGTCGAGAGGCACCGTTTATAGTTAGGTAGCTAGTTGAGTAATAAAGCACGTTTAGCGCGTCACAAAAACAGCAGGATGGATGGCTGACTAAATTCTTGATATAGTATAACTGGTATAACTCGGAGGTATAAAGACTGTTCAATAGAGACTTCTTTTACGTTATAATGAAGGTAATAGCTTTTATGCCGTCTAAAAGTGACTCTATTTGCCTGTATAACGTTTATGAAACCTGGAACAGACTAGTACTAATTTTATAGAATTTTCAACATCCTAGTGAGTTTATAATGGGTCTTAAAAGCTCTCGGTCACTTCGCACCAGTATTACTTAGTATTTCATTAAAATCGGGATCAATATTTGAATCAAAAACGGAGATGTCGGGGGGTGGTGTAGCACGGTGTCGTAAACCGGTACTTAGCGAGTATCCAGATCAGAGTAAACTCTTCACTGAACAGCGGTTTAATAGTATTCTGCTAGCAAAAGGACAATAGAGTCAAAGACTCAGAGGAGATAGCAATCAGATAAACTATAACCCTGAATTGATCTGTGAGCAGTATGCTCAAGGTTGTACAGTTAATCCAAGACAGTAAAAAGAAACTAAATACATGGTGAATGAGCGTCCTTAAATGTCCGTAATGTTGAATCACCTTGCTTCAATATATCAAATCGCCCTTACTCTATATGTCACATGACTTGTACTACGAGGCTGACATCCCCGTCGGATTATTACTTGCGTGATGATGCCTAAGGTTGGCGTATTGATTTATTGGCTGTGGCGTTTCTAATTTTCTAATATGAGAGGCTAGCACCGCTATTTCCGCTAGTGCAGCATGTTGGAACCACAAGCCGCGCGGGTCGGATTGTAGTCTAATCTTAGTGTAACATCGGCGGGCCCAACCTTCGTAAACTCCTCCTCTTCGGACTCTCGGCTTTACTATACTAATTAAAAATCACACTTCTGTCTCAGCTTCCTGACAAATGACATGATATTGGCGCGCGCGCTCTTGATCCTCTTTACGCTTATACGGTAACGGAGTTTGCGGTGGTAAGTTAACTTATCTTATTTCATTGTTCCTCTACCTCGTTATCCTCCTCTTAAATTTATTGTGTTGGAGTCTTTCGCTTTTACCTTTGAGTATAAATCTAAAATGTCAATAGTCGACGACGAGGCAAGAACGCAGTATGATGGCGAGCTATCTGGAACACTAACACCATCGACGGGAACCTCCCATTCCCACAAGCTGCCAGAGGCTGATATTGAAGAGGGACCAGCAGTTGAAAATGAAAATGCGCAAACGGTATGTCCAGAAGATTAAAAATACAGACGCCAGCAGCTGATTCTTTGGGCTCCACCTAGATCGTGACCTGGGATGGTGCAGACGACCCCACAAACCCTAAGAACTGGTCTTTCAAGCGTAAATGGGGCATCACTGTTCTAGTATCGCTTATCACATTCATGACGGGCATATCTTCTGCCATCATCGCGCCTGCTAGCAATGTAATCGGTGATGAGTTTAACATCCACAGTTCTTTTCGAAGCCAGCTTAACTTCTCCATCATCCAACTTGCTTATGTTATCGGACCCCTGGTGTTAGCTCCGCTCTCCGAGGTATACGGACGGTCCATAATTCTTCAGCTCGCCAATATCTTTTTTTTGATCTTCAATTTTGTGAACGGCTTCGCGAATAGTGACGGCGAGTTCCTAGCCTTCCGCTTTCTCAGTGGTCTAGGCGCTTGTGCTCCATTGACAATTGGTGGAGGTGTCCTCTCTGATCTATGGCGTCCAGAGGAGATTGGTATGGCCATTGGACTTTACACTTTAGCGCCTTTACTTTCTCCTGCCCTCGGACCCTTGCTTGGAGCTTGGATTGTCGAGAAATCTACGTGGAACTGGTGCTTCTTTTCCATCACCATTTTCGGAGTGATTGTGCAAGTCCTCGTTTTCTTTACGCTGAAAGAGACCTACGGCCCACGAATCTTGCAAATGAAAGCCCAGAAGCTGCGTAAGGAGTCCGGGAATGACCAACTGCGGACGGACTTTGAGCTTAAAGATTTGCGCCTCACCTCTATCATGCGAACTTCGCTTGTTCGCGTCGTTCTTCTGCTTAGCACTCAACCCATCATTATTTTCCTCTCCGTCTACTTTGCGATGGTCTATGGCATCATTTACCTTATGCTGGTGAGTACTTATCGAATTTTCCATCTTCAATATTCGATGAGCTGATTTGGCATTCTCTTCCATAGTCTAGCTTCCCATCATTGTGGACGACTTATTATCACGAATCCGTTGGGATTGGCGGCCTCCACTACATCGCTATCATGATCGGTTTAACCATCGGCGCACAGGGGGGTGGTCGTATCGTAGACTACCTATACAAAACTCTCAAAGCTCGATCGCCTGATAATACTGGCGCACCCGAGTTTCGTGTGCCGCTTCTTTTCCTCTCCACCTTTTTAGTGGCAGCGGGACTTTTCATGTATGGATGGTCTGCCCAGGCGAGGACTTTCTGGGTTTCTGCAGACATCGGTGCTGCTATCTTCTCTATAGGGGCAGCTATGACTTTCACCTCAATACAGACATATATTATCGATTCTTACCCTCTTTTTGCAGCGTCTGCGATAGGTGCGACAGCGGTGCTGAGAAGTTTGACTGGGTTTGGGTTCCCGCTGTTCGCCCCCGCTATGTATGACAAACTTGGTTATGGCTGGGGTAATAGTGTGCTCGGGTTCGCCGTTCTGGCCGTTGGCTATGCCGGGGCTTTTGTCCTCTGGTTTTTCGGCAACCGGCTGAGGGATGCGAGTCCATATGCGAGGGGTTAAAAGACTTCAGGCACGAGAAGAAAAAACAGCTTCAAAAGGAGCTGGCAACGGAGCAACGTGTGGCGATTGCCCAGTCTATAAATCAGGATTCAATAAATCAATATAGATTTCCCTATTTAGGAAGCTTAATACTAGAATGCTAAGACAGGGAGAGAAGAAGGAAAACTAGCAAACAGTTGATATAATCGGGGCCACATGAAGGCACCCATTGACTAAGCCGTTACACATCGTCACGTAGGGTAGGAGGCCAAAAAGCAAGTCAAGCAGTATCAAGATAAGCAAAAGCGGTAGATAAGGCTTAAAATAAGTCAATCTAAGCATGAACCTGAGAGTGTAGAGGAGCTTTCCTCGTAGAAGTCAAAAACAGGGGTATCTCGCTCAAGCCGAGAAATCAACCTCCGTATTCAATTTAAGGACTAAAATTTTATACAATCTTGTTTTCTAAATTCTCCTTAATAATATGCCAGACTCTTATAATTATAACTTTATTGGTTGTGGATATATATTATCGAGGTAGACCCAGTTTTTCAAGTGTGTCGGACTACGTTAGACCATGCATATAAACACTCTCTCCGCTGCCGCACTTCTATTGAATAAACGTAGGAGAAGAATATTTACCTTATTACTATAGGTCATAAGTGTAATGAGAAATAAGCAGAAAGGAGAAGAAAAGGGTAAGTCTGCTTCAAGTATTTCGATTGCTAAAATGCGAATATTTTCAATGTTATAGGAAGCTGAAGAGTGCATAGATAATAAGCATTGACTAAAAGAGTTTTCTTTTGCAAAATAGTAGGACAATAAGTACCTAGCTAACTAATAAGCCAATGAATACCTAGAATTTGACATAGCCTTTGTCCTTGACAAACGTGGCATGCCACGGGATATTCTCAGCGCCGCTCGCCGCCAACTGCGTAAAGAAATCTGCATGCGCAGGCCCGTTAACCGTTGGGCCTGCGAGCTTGCCATCCGCTTGGCGCTGGTCGGCGTAAATGAATCTAGAAAAGTCAGAATTTCTGCTCTTCTTTGTGCGGATGGAACATGATTTTCGAAAGAGAACTTGCCGGTAACCCTTGGCTGCGTATGCCCCGTCAGCAACACCAAGCCAGTAGGCGGACGCCGCCTTTCCCATACCAGCGTTCAACAAAAGGGGTACAGGCACTATAGCGACATTTGTAATGTTGCCTGTGTAGATGAACAACTTCTTTTCCCCCGTGGGCAGAGTTTCCCAGTGTTTGATAGCCTCTTGTGCTGCAATGTACGGGCTGACAACATTGACGTTCAAGTCGTTGGTGACACGAGCCTGCAGAAAAATAAAGTTAGCATTTTCTTATTCAAGAAGGTTTGAAAAAATGCTTCCTTCTGAGGAAGATGTAAAGGATTTGAGGATTGAAGAAGTAAGGAATCAAGATTGACTTGCACTCGGAATAGACAAGACCGAATTTTCATCAGGCGGAGGAGTGATAGACCCAGCATTGTATATGACTACGCTAGGAGCCGCCTTGAACTCGCTCTTGACTTTGTCGAAGATGGAGGCTAGGAGGCTGGGATCGGTATTGGCAAAATCGGCCTGGAGCGAAAGATAGCCTTTCTCATTGATCGAGTTTGTCCCTTTCCTCGATACAAGGGCGACTTTGTATCCCTCTGCGGCGAACTTTTCGGAAACAGCATCGCCGATACGGGGGCCTGAGCCGAGAATAAGAACGGTGCGGGTGGCCATGTTTTTCGAGGATGTCAAATAGCTTCGTGCGTGAAGCAGCAGGTTTGCAGAGAATAATCTCATGAAATTAATGTATAAATAGAAGTGTTGGATGATATGATCATGAAAATAATTCCAGAGGAAAGAGGCTTGCTTATATCAGTAATCGGTTCTATAGTATAATTAAGCCGCGCGGGTGTGAGACCCATAACCCGCGCGCGATACTGAAATGCAGCCTTATATTACTCAAACCTGAGCTCTTGGTTGGCTAGGACCTTGCAGCGGTCAAATGTAGAACTGCGTATGGCGTACGCAGCGGGATTCGTGGCGCGCGGCTTTGAAATCAACATAGACAATTCATGTCTATACCTTTTTGATTTCGCCCATTGTGTCACTCTCGTTCCTCGGGTTCCGGAATCCCTCTGATCGATTTGTTCTCGTCTGTTCCTAAACTATGAACGCGGGGTGTCTGCTTGCCAACTACCGCTTGATATATAAACTCCGGAATTTCGAATCATCTTTCCGGAACAGGTATAGGACCAAGATTACCTTATAGGTCGTCGATTACTGAAGATCAAACCCACTTTGAAGAAGGCTGTCAGAAGCTGGCTTGGAACTGCCAGTTTCCCGGATGTGAATTTTTGTACGAACTAGTATGAGGCCCAGGAACAAAAGGATTAGTAAGTATTATGGATGAACAAACAAGTTGAACTGTTTGCAGCCTAGTATTACTAACAATTTGAATTGACTTTGATTGCATACTGAAGTCGAGTAGTTGATTATTTAACAGTATGATTGACGACGCTGTTAATGCACCATCTGAAGTACCATGAAGGACATGGAAATACTACAAACTTTCTCTATGTTGAGAGCCTTAACTAACTACGAAGCAGGTGGAACGACTTGTATTGCACAACCAGCTATAACCACCGGCACAAGAACATCAAACATAGGGGAAAGGAAAAAAAAGGAAGAGCTTGCATACATCCTTTACAATCCTAGCTAAAGTCAAGTAACTTCTCAACACAGCCCCGATGAGAGTATTCCCAGATTTGGCACTACTGGTTAGGGCCACAACCCTGCATCCGCATAGAGCCGCGCTCGCCGTCATAGCAGGCATCAATGAATCACTTGCCTCAATTCTGCCTAAACGAAATCTCGATGATCGAGTCGGTACTATTATGAGGCGTCTGCGCAATTAATGAAGTCAGTATTTTCTATTATGGATGTCTCAACTTATGAGTCAATTGAATTAGAGTGCTTACGATAATGCGGGTCAGCTCGAGATGGGAATCTGCCGCGCTGACGATTTCCCTCCACTCAGACTCACTTCGCTCCTGTGCATTTAGCAGTTGAACCATATTAAGGTCCCTGATTCTAGTAAAGCATTAGCAAAGAATACTTGACTGCGAAGTGGAAAAGTTACCGCAGGTACCGCTCTGCTATACTTGACATCGGTCGATCTGATGGTGAAACAACAATTTCGACCAGCAGAATCTTGCTTCCAGGCTTCATGGCCGTTACAATCTGGCGAATGATCTTGACGCTGTTTTCGGCGGACCAGTCGTGGCAGATGTGACGCAAAATGTAAACTTCTGCACCCACCACCGGTTGGGGATCAAAGAAGTTATGCGGCACAAACTTCACCCGACTGGTTAATTCGGGTGGCAATTGTGCAGCTCCCTGCTCAATGTTCTTCTTGTAATCTTCTACTACCAGTATCAGGTTCGGGTATGCTTGCGCGAGCTCTACACTCATGAAGCCAGATGAGCCGCCAACCTACACGAATGGACGTTAGCTATTCAGATAGAAAATGAAGAAGCAAATCAACTTGCGTCGACGACAGTAGCTTCTCCAAGCTCTGCCCATGGATATCCCGTTATAACGTGTCTCTGGCTTTGGCTAGGATCCTTGCCAACACCCTCCATCGCACCAGCGAACCGAGCTTGCAACTCGGGACGTTGCTCTAGAAACTGGAATAGGGTTTCTTTTGTGTTGAAGGCAAGACCAAAGGCAGTGTCCTCTGCAGCTGTGCTGTCTTGGTATTTCTCCAGCGCCTCGGCGAGTTTTGCGCTGGTAGGGAACATCTGCTCAACGAAGAAGCCGTAGTAATCCATCATGCTACGATTTCGCACAAGCAGGGCTGAGGCGGCGGTGTGAACAACATGGTCAGGGACGTCCTCTCGCAGCATACGGTTAATGGCTGCTTTACGCACAAGGGTTTTAATTTTCCTCTCAGCCAAACCGACTTTTGCGGAGATTTCCGCATAGGTGGCACCGCCCTCCAGTGGAATTGCTTGAAGAATGTTGAAGTGGTAGATGCATTGTTGGGCGGCATTGTCGAGGGACTAGACATATGTGATATTAGCAAGCCATGCTTTATCATTTTCCAAGCTTACTTACACCACCCCAAACCCGAGCCAGAACTTCTCGTGGGCCAAGAAGCAAGTCTTGTAGTGCGCTTGTGTCGTCTATAACCGCCAGCCGTGCTGCCTCGATCTCGGGCTCACCGGCAGTGTCAGGGAATTCGTCGTCAGCATCCTGCTCGAAGGACGGCATTCTGGCGTTCCTGCTGACCAACCATTTCTCGACTAGAGCCGAGTTGCTGGCAATTCATTCACTGAGATCTTTAATAGAAGGCATGTTGGATATTTGCGCGGGACTTCTTGTGGAATTGGTCATTGGAGCATGGGCTCTCCACAATTCTATATGCAGTTCTCAATACATTAGATAATAGCCTTGCATTCTGGTTTAGATCGGGGCTCGGCCGTCCATATTTTGGCTGCTCCTTCGCTTCGGCCGGCCGGGCCGTACAGCTACATTCAAAGAAGCTATTTTTGGACCTTCTCGAGCTTCTATGCTCAAAAGCAGAATGCACTAAGCTCGGGTTTAAGTTGAGTGCAGCTAGTATTAATAACCTAGTTACTCATGTCCCGAATCCCGAGTCGGCCAAATCCAGCGCTGACTTTGGAATCCCATATCCGTCAAGAGAAGGAATACGGTGCATCTAGCTTTAAGTTTAGATCTTCTTCTCTCTCTTCGAGTTAGTTATAAATAATTGGCACATAATATGGCTATGATTACTCCCAAATGTCTGTTCTTCTTACTGCAGTAATCGTCATTCCAAAATGTATTAGAATTCCCGCTATTTACAGTAAGCAGTCTTTATCTTTACCCTACTAGAACTAAGTATGAAGTGTTATAAAGCCTTAGAATATGTGGAACTGTTATATCGCAAAAGAAAAGGGTTTAGCTTGGATTTAGAAGAATCCATTTGCTACTAGACTTATTATCAAAGATAAGAAATAATATTTTATGCAAGTTTCTTCCAGAAAGCTAAATCCGATGCTAAAAGCAGTATTTACCCTACAACACTCACATCTGACAACACTACAGTCTTTAGCGGTATCGGTCTCGCCTCCCTGCCGAATGTAACAAACTTAGTCTCTTCGCCGTAGGCTTCGAGCACCGAGTTGGATGCCTTGATCGCCGCCTTGCCGCGTGTAATCATATCTACGTTGAACGCTGACACGAGATCCTTCAGCGTTTCGCCTGACGCCTGCATATCCCGCGCGCGTGTGAGGACTTCGCCGAGCTTGAAGGCGTCGACGAAGGCCGTGTTTGCAGCTAGAGCACGGACTTTGGCCCTTATCGTCAGTATGTTGTTCAATACATCCAGGGGAAAAAGACTTACATGGAGCCATCGAGTGCGCTGCATCCCCAATCAACAGCACCCTTCCAGCCGGCAGTTGTTCAAGTTCTAACTCCACACCCTGAAGCTGGAAGCCAGGGGCATTGTATCCCTCTATAGGGATCCTATCCACCAGGGAGCGGAGGTTGTCCGGGAAACCCTTGGTTTTTTCACGTGCAAAGGCCGCCAACTGTTCCTTTGATGCCGACTCAAACCAACGCTTCTCACCTGCGTCCGTAGGAGCCTGATGGTCCACCCAAAGAAGGATATAGTAGTAATATCCGGTCTTACCATCAGGGCTTACTCGGTTGAGGGCGCCGAAAATGACCGCCTGCTGGTCAGGAGGGAGCCTAGAGTCCATGACGATGTAGTTTGAATGTGAGAGTGTGAGCTGCTGTGAAAAGTCGTCGTCGCTGAGCGAGGTCTCGCCGAAAATTGAGCCGACCGGTAATGGTTTCATCACGTCCTGGCCTTGGAGGAGGTGCTTGCGCACCACACTGCGTGTACCCTCGGCGCCGACCAGGAAATCACCCGTCGCCGAAGTACCATCCTCGAAATACGCCGTGACTTTATCACCGTGCTCCTCCACGCGGAGCAGACGCTTGTTGAACTTTACGTCGATATTCTGCATCAGCCAGTCGCGCAGCCTGCGGCGGTTCGCTCGGACGGCCTTGAGAGTGTCATCGACGACGACACCGACCCGGAAGTCTGGGCGGGTAATGTCATAGAAAGCGAACTGTGGTGGGAGCTCAAGGGGAAACAGAGCGCTCGTCCGCTCCACGGGGCCCAATTCCGACGGCATCAAAGCCCTCATTAAGTCGAGGGCCTCTCCGAACAACGATAGCGCCCAACCTTGGCCGCGGGAGTCGTCGTTCAGATCTCGCTCGAAAACGGTGAAGGAAATGTTGTTTTTCTTCAATTGTTGCGCGAGCGTGAGACCGCTCATGCCAGCGCCGATGATAAGCACGTGAGGGGACGACATTTTGGGTGTTGTCATGTTGTATGTGAATGAAAAGTCCAAGTTTTCACAGTACTTTTGCGAGTCTGCGTTTGCGTCGATATTAGTATATATATTCTAATTTAGCCCTTAAATCGAACTTTTCAAAATCCGGGCCCCGGGGTCCGGAGGGACTTTTTTACACTTGTCATACGGAAGGCTTGCTGAAAGTCCGCAGAACCCCTAGGGAAAAATGAAGTTACAGGGGCATGCTTTGCTAAGTCGCAAGTTGTCCAGTAAGTCAGTCAGTCATCAGCTGAGGTCAAACGCACCTTATTACAAGCAAAATCCTAACCGTAGGGTGGTGCGCGACTTAAGCGATTCCGAAGACTTTAGTTTTATAACAGGAGTCAGACGCAAAATTATGCTGATCTTTATGAAACCTGAAATTTGGTTTCTAATTTATCTATGCTACTGTCGCAGAGATTATACCATGGAAGAGTTCATGGTCGTATACAATGGCCTCCTTGATTTCCAAGCCGACCTCCTTGAGCAGATCCTTCCACTGCTCCCCAGTCCGTTCTAGGCTACCACATGCACCCAGCATGACCAAGTCCAGCGCAGTGGCAAATGGCGGAATCTGCGTTTCTGGAAGGATCATGTCATTTATGAGCAGCACAGAACGTGGCGTCATGGCCGATTTGATTTGGCGCAAGATGGTCTTTGCTTTCTCATCGCTCCAATTGCGCAGAACCCAGCCTAGATGATAGAATTTGGCACCTAAGAATCACTAAAATCAGTCTGCGGGTCCAAATCACCATTCGGAGCTGCTTAAGTGTAATTCGCACACACCTTTAATCGGCTGCGGCTGGAAAAAGTCGTGTCCCAGTTTCTCGACTCCTGGCGTCGGCAGAGCATGAGTCAAAGTGTCAGTCAAATCTTCCAACAAGATGCGGCCTGGGATTTCAGAGAATCTGCTTTTAAACAAAGCACAATAATGTCCCACATTGCCACCAATATCCACGAAAAGCGCCTCCTCGGGATTTGGGTTCCAGCCTTGCGTCTGCTTTTCAAACGGATACTCCTGCAGCCAGCGACCTCGTACACCTTGCTCCAGACCCATGTACTTTATAAGAGCCTGCATATTCTCGGGGTGTTGAGAAAAGTATGCGTAGGTATCGAGCTCTGTATTGTATGCAGGCTGGAAGACGGTGGCCTTGCCATCTGTAACATCTTGGTAGTTGTTCTTCCGCAAGAACGCTGGCATTTCCTGGAAGAGAGGACCGCAGTTCTCGAAGCTGTAAATGTTTGGTTACAACGCGCTTACGCATAACTTGTTCGAGTGCGGTACGTACAAATGCGTCACAATTGTGATAGCCTCAGGAGCCGCAAGGTGGTGACATTTGCTGTTTGCTTCGAATCTATCGGCCGCGCTCTGGTGAATTAATCCAACAGAAGCCATGTATCTCAGCAGACGGCCTGACAGCGGGATCAGCCAAGCTGTTGGAGTCCGGGGGATACAAACACACCAAGGGTCAGAGGATGAGCGCCTGTCGAAGCTTGCAGGTCTTTCAGAGTCTGAGGGCCTTTGGTATCCAATGTCTGGAAAATCTTCAAGTCATGACCTATTCGAGCTGCTGCGGCTTGCAAAGGCTACAGAGCAGAGTTAGTGAAGGCGTGCAGGCGATTGCAAGAATGACTGAGCCTACATAGAGAGATCTCCCTAAAGTCAGCGGCATGTCTCCTTCTTTATTTCAAGTGCAAATTCTAAGCTTACAAGCGGATTGCCGTCTCTTTTGGCGTTTCAGCAGAGGCAATTGTTTCGTGTAACTCGCGTTGGAAGAGTTTTCGTGAAACCTCATCTTCGGAGGTCAAGCGTTTCCTAACTTCTGCCAAAAGATCTGCCATCGTGTTAAACTTTTGAGGTTGAGATGCTTGTGCAAATAGGACGGCTAGAGGTGTAAGCTCGGCTGGAAGAATGTTTCGAATCAATCGCTTAGCATCAATATGTTGCTAACAGAAGTACACCTCTTGAAAATACAGGCTGCCAACCTCGACACCTTGCATTCTTTCAAACCTGATTTTAGGGAATAGCTTGATCAGCCGAAAGTCCGATATAAGATAGCTGCGGGATTCGGCCGTCATGGATTAACGACTAGCGGGCTTAGGGCTACAGTCAGAAAATATAAGCGTCGGCAATTCGGCTGTCATTGATTAATGACTACTCTACCTATTCAGATTCCAGATGCCTTCAATTCACTGTAATCACTTAAATAGACTGTTAAGCTGATAGATTAGAACAGTGAACTTCCTGATCAGTCAATCACTTCAACGTGCTCCTTGACTGACTTATTTCCTGGTAAATGCCCCTTATTTATACTGAATCGCCGCCGATACTTCGCGTGGTAAAGGCCTAATGCGAAGCCTAAGTACCATGACGCGCGCGAAGATCATCTATTTGTCTGGCGAAATCCCTCAAGGGGACCCCGAAGGAGACCAGCGTACTTTGTTTAGAAAATTGCATCTATTGAGCAAAGAGAGAAATCACCCTATCCTTGCGTCGGCTCTCGAGGCGATCACTATTGCTGTGAAGCAAGAATGCCGGCGACTGGAGAAGTCTCAAAGGGAGTTCATCCCTACGTTTGAGAGCGTATTAGACCTGACCGATAGTGTTATTGAGCTCAGGAAGACGCCGTTAGGTGGAGCTATTGAGCGAGTCCTTGTTCTCGTCTTCCAGTTGGGTATCTTCATTGCGTAAGCCAAGAAGCAATGCAAAGACTTCAAACGCTGACCCATCAACCAAAGCTACCATGAAGCTCATCCTCTTGAATACGATTTTCGATCAGAAAATGCTGTGCTTATCGGACGGGGGCCAGGTTTGCTCTCTGGGGCCGCCATTGCACTCTCCCCTTCTCCGCTGTTGCTTCCAGTCATGGCCGCTGAAATCACGAAAGTCACATTCCGATTTGGACTTATCGTAGATCAAGTTTGTCGATCACTCGAGGTGTCGCCTAACGAGATCAATGCTGAAGGAGTAAGCAATCTTTCAGGAGGAAAATTTTCTAATCCGGGGGGATTCATAATTATGATACTGTCACATGAGGAAATATAGAGGTTACTAGAGCCTATTACTCTCGAAACAACTCTAAAGACAGTATCTTATACATGTTTCAACCCCGATACATCCTAAATAGGAAGTATTTGCTGACCTTTATGTCGCAGGCTTGGGTGTACTGCGCCCATGGGGCTGATCTAAAAGAGTCCCAACAAGCAGTAGCGGATTTCAATGCGAAAAAGGTAAGCTCATAGCACCTGCGGACTCAACGACCGCTGATCAACAAATCATCTCAGGCGTACCCTGAGGCCAGCATGGTGACGGTTTTCAACACCGACGATAAATCCGTGAGCATTGGCGGCCCGCCGTCAACTCTCAGATCCCTTTTCTCAGAGTCAGAATTCTTCAAACACACGAAAAACGTTCCAATGAGGAAGGTTCAGGGCATGTGGCATACTAATAAAGCTTATGGCCCAGAGCATATCAAGCAGATTGTCGAGGGCATCACAGTAAATAGTCAATTGTGCTTCCCTATATTCTCTCCTGTAACCGGCCGACCCTTCGAGGCGACAGATGGTACATCACTACTACTAGAGATGATGACGGAAATTCTAACACAAAGCATTCGATGGGACCAGACTATTGATGGTGTCTCTGCGCGTTTGAAACGACTTTCACCAGACGAAGCACAGCTGTGGAGTTTACAACCTTCGCATTATATGGAGAGCGTCCTCGAACGATGGAGCACCGAGCTTCCTGCCACAACTCTAGAGCACCAGACGATGATGCCCGCCGTAATAAGTCTAAATCTGGAGCAAAGCCCACCACGCGATGCAAAAGCAGCCAAAATCGCCGTCATTGGCACGGCATGCCGATTTCCTGGTGGCGCAGACGACACTGAGAAGTTCTGGGAGCTGTTGGTGCAGGGTCGCGACGTCCATTCACCTGTACCAGCTGATCGGTTCGATGTCGCAAGTCATGTCGACCCGACGGGAGAGAAGTCTAACACATCCAAAACACCCTACGGCTGTTTTGTAGACAATCCAGGGCTCTTCGATGCTTTGTTCTTCGGTATGTCTCCGCGTGAAGCCGAGCAGACCGATCCCATGCAGCGATTAGCTCTAGTCACAGCCTGCGAGGCTTTGGAGAGTGCAGGATACGTTCATAGCAGAGGTATTCACCAGCGTCGCGTCGGCACATTCTACGGATGTGCTAGCGACGATTACCGTGAGGTCAACTCTGGTCAGGATATTGGAACTTATTTCATTCCTGGCGGATGTAGAGCTTTTGGCCCTGGCCGCATCAATTATTTCCTGAAGTTCTGGGGACCAAGCTACAGCATCGATACAGCTTGTTCGTCCAGTTTGGCAGCTATTCAAGCTGCCTGTTCTTCACTCTGGAGCGGTGATATTGATATGGCGATCACAGGTGGTATGAACATTATCACCAACTCGGATGTCAGCGCTGGCTTGAGCAAGGGTCATTTTCTATCACCTACTGGAGGGTGCAAAACGTGGGACGAGGGAGCAGACGGCTACTGTCGCGCCGATGGTGTCGGCAGTATCGTCCTCAAGCGACTCGAAGATGCCGAAGCTGACAACGACAACATTCTCGCTGTTGTTCTTGCTGCAGGCACCGACCATTCGGCTGAGGCTGTATCCATCACACACCCCCACGACTTGGCACAGGCCCATCTTTATAACCAGATGGTCAAACGTGCTGGTATTGATCCATTGTCTGTAGGCTATGTCGAGTTTCACGGGACAGGCACTATCGCAGGGGATCCAACCGAGATGAGGTCAGTCACCAGTGTCTTTGCTAACGGGCAACCCAGAACCACAAGCCTCCATATTGGATCTGTAAAATCCAATGTCGGGCACGGTGAGGCTGCAGCTGGTATCATGTCATTTATCAAGACCATTCTAGTTTTCCAAAAAAGTGTTATCCCTCCACATGTTGGTATCAAGACTCGGCTGAATCCGGCTTTGCCCAAGGATTTGGATAAGAAAGGCGTTGTCATTCCGTTCACGGCCACACCATGGGAACGGAGAAGCGATCAGAAAAGATTGGCAATGGTGAACAATTTTGGAGCAGCTGGAGGAAATACAGCAATGATACTGGAAGAAGCGACGCCGCGTCCAACGGTTGGCAACGACACGCGACCTACGCACCCCATCATCATCTCGGCAAAGACACCATTCTCTCTTCAAGAGAACCTCAGACGTCTCGTGGCTTTTATTGAAACGCGACCAGATGTCTCTATTGCTGATCTGTCCTACACTTTGTCTGCACGGAAGAATCACTACAATTACCGGGTTTCGGTACTTGCGTCTTCCCTCACGGAGGCTGCTACACTGCTTCGTCCGCATATTGAAACCGCCTTAGACCACTTACCTACTTCTTCCAAACAAGCACCAGTGGCCTTCGCTTTCACTGGCCAAGGGACATTCTACATCGGCATTGGCGCACAACTTTACCGCGACTCTAGGCCTTTCCGGGAACAACTGGACCGACTCGACGGTATTGGGCGACGTCAGAAGTTCCCTTCGTTCTTGCCTATCATCAAGAGCACCTGCAATGTTGAAGATGTTCCCATAGTTTCCATGCATCTAGCTATCGTGTGCGTAGAGATCGCTCTAACACGACTCTGGGCCTTGTTTGGCGTCAAGCCAAGCGTCGTTATAGGCCACAGCCTGGGCGAGTATGCTGCATTGAATGCAGCATGTGTCTTCTCCGATAGTGACACTGTATTTCTCGTCGGAACACGTGCGGCACTGCTAGAGACAAAATGTACGCCTGCTACGCACGGCATGTTGTCCGTTCGAGCGTCTCACGAAAATGTCGTAAAGGCCGCCGACGGCATTCCCTTTGAAGTGGCTTGCATCAATGGTCCCGAGGAAACAGTACTCGGAGGTGCACTCGCAGACCTGGATGATCTTGCAACCGTTCTCGGGAAAGCGGGCTACAGGACCATAAGGCTTAATGTGCCCCATGCCTACCACACAAGCCAGATGGAAGTTTTGGTGAATGATTTTGTCAAACTGACGCAGGCTGTTGTATGCAAGCCGCCCAGAATTCCCGTCATTTCACCCCTCTACTCCAAAGTTCTTACTTCCGAAATTGATGTTACATACTTGGCTAAGGCGACTCGAGATACAGTCGACTATGTTGGTGGACTCAATGCCGCTTGGACATCTGGCGTTCTGTCGAAATCCAGCCTCTGGATAGAGATCGGCCATCATCCTTGCTGTGTCAGCTTTATCGCAAAGACATTGTCAGACACTCGATTGACGTGTCCAACATTGAACCGAGACCAAGACAACTGGACCACGCTCGGCAAGGCACTCACTGCGTTGTACAATGCTGGTTTGACCATAGATTGGACGGAGTACCATTTACCCTTCGAGCAGGCTCTCCGACTGGTCGATACCCCGACATACGCGTGGGACAATAAAAACTATTGGATTCAGTACAGCGGAGACTGGAATCTGACCAAGGGACGGGCGCTGTCTGATCCCAACTTCACCAAAGCCTTGACTCAGACTGTCAAGGGCTTCCGCACGACAAGCATCCATGAAATTTGTTCGGAGAACTACACTGAATCCTTAGCCCAGCTCGTGACTGAGTCAGACATGACCGACCCAGCGCTCAAGGATGTTATCGACGGACATGCCATGAACAACTACGGAGTTGCATCTTCTGTAAGTTTGATATTTATTGACCACAGCACTCCATTTCTAACATCAGTAGTTCCTCCACGCGGATATGGCTTTCACAGTCGCGAAACGTATTCTTGACAAAGGGCTTCCAAACTCAGCTAACATTGGCATCAACGTTGCCGACTTCGAGTATCACGAACCTGTAGTTAAGCACCGCAGCCCAACTGAAGCTCAGCCGATCGTGGTGAGTGCCGAAGCCGATTTAGAAAAAGGGCAAGCCCATATCAAATGGTATAATCCCGCCAAAGGCTTGTGGTATTGCCATGCGTCTATCTTCTACGAAGATCCCTCATCTTGGCTGTCGACATGGTCCCGTTCAGCAGGCCTTGTGACAAGTCGTATCGCGGCCCTGAACGATCTGGCCGCGAGCGGTAATGCCGATAGATTGACGACCAGTCTTGCATACAGCCTCTTTGGGAAATTAGTCGGCTACTCGGACATGTATCGAACAATGAAGTCTGTGATTCTCAACAAAGATGAAGCCGTGGCTGAGGTGGAATTCCCCGCCGATACCGCGGGCTCGTGGACGGTGCCTCCCCATTTCATCGACGGATGCGTGTCTCTGTCTGGTTTCATCCTGAATGGAGGCACCCATTTCGATAACACTAAATACTTTTACATCACGCCATCCTGGAAATCCATGCGGTTTGCAAAGCCGCTCGCGCCTGGCGGCCGATACCTAGCCTACGTCCGAATGGTCCCTGCCGACAACAACCATGACTTCGTTGGCGATGTGTACATCCTTCAAGGTGACGAGATTGTCGGTGTCGTCGAGGCGATTGTGTTCACACAATGGCCCCGCATCATGCTGGATCGTTTTTTCCGCCCTCCAGCTACAAAGGGCGCATCTCAGGCTCCCGATGTCTCTCATGTTGCCCTCCCTCTGACTTCATTGGGCTCGAGTGCAATTATGTCCAAGACGCAGTCGGTTCAGCCGTCACCCTTTGTGGGCAACCCTAAATTCGGTACAGGTCTGTTGACTCCTCCTTCGCCAGCACGGAGCGTTCAAGCACAAGAAAGCAAGGACGATTCAAACACAATAGCGTCGGATTCGGTCGTCCGCGCATTTGAAATCATAGCTGAGGAGTTGGCCATTGACGTCCGGATGCTAACTGATGATGCAAACATTTCCGATTTCGGGCTGGACTCACTTATGTCTCTCGTACTATCTCAGAGACTACGTGAGGAGCTCAAGACCGAAATCCGAGACGCTTTCTTTTTGGAAGTATCAACTTTTGGGGATTTGAAAACTTTGTTGGGGTAGTTTTACAATTTTATAGCTATTGAGCCTTGGGGTCTGTTGTGAAATCAGGGGAAAAGGGGGTAAAGTGAACGCTATCCAGCTACACGGAAGTCACCTACTAGAGGTGCGAATGATGCTATACTCACTATCACTCTCTGTATCTATCGTACAGGACTGTGAAGTATATCAACTCTCCATGTTGCACTTGGGGTCTTACCCCGCGAGAGTCGGGTGAGGCATTACATGGCGCTAAGGCTTTATGTGACGAGCCAATGATATGCTTCTTACAGGATCGAAATAGATGTTAGAATATATGTTAGACTTGTGGTGAGGTTTCTTCAATCTGCTATCACGGTTCATTGGAAGCTTATAATACTACGGGATGCGAAGCGCGATGAAGAGGCTTGCATTTATCCACTTATAAAAAGGTGGACATACTGTACACATAGACGCTTTATCATATAAACCTAAATTGAAGAAAGTGAAGAAAAAGAACGCTTATTGTAAATCTCTTTGAAGCTTTAGATGATAATTAAGATTGGGAAAATAGCCCTAACCATATGTCCAAGATCTACCCCTCCAACAATCCCCAAAGCCTATCAACCCCTCCTCCAAAACTCAGCTCATCACAATTATATTCTCCACAATCCGCGCATGTGTCTCCACTATTCCATAATCTCAAATTCCTTCATCATTTATTAGGCTCTGTTGTATCACTCCCATACCGTCGAGGATCATGAACGTCCCCATAATTTATATGCTCAGGGTTAGGGTTAATTTGTTGGAAAAGATCCAAGTCGATAGAGTCATTCGAGGTGAGTGATCATACTATTACGATAGTTTACTCACTCTACCCCTCCAAGGCCAACAAGTGCAGCACACTATGAGACTTTTCAATATCCATGATGGTGACCAACAAACATTCTACCCCTCTCAAAGGGATCTGTTGAAGAGGGCTTATGACGATCCGATACTTCAACAAAATAAAAGATACCAACACCCGAGGCCTTTGTTCAAACTTATTCAAGCCCACTAGGACATCCGGACATATCCAGTCAATATTTCATCGGTGCCTGCAGATGGGAAGAATTGCCAGAGAAGCAAAGATGGGGTTTCAATTTTCAGATCCGCGTTGCACACTGGAGATCATATGAAAGTGGCAAGCTTCACATTGTAAAAGAGGACGGGCTGAATACTAATGAAATTCGAGTTGAGCGAGAATGGTTGGAAGATTGCGTTCCTCAAAGTGCGAAGGAGGAAGATGGAGGGGCATGTTGTGACTCTTCTGCATGGTAAAGCATAATACGAGTTGGGCTGCTGGGAACATTCTTTCCTCCCCTCCCCCATATAAATGCTGTCCAGTTCCACCAAGGTACGGCAGAGTGAATCCAGATTCTTTAGGTACTGAGAGACATTCAAAGAATTTTTGACGGCACATTGCACTGCCTATATACTATACCGTTATATTCCAGCAAAAACAAACAAATGATAGTCCATGCGAACGTGATAGAATAGGGTGCGCAAACAATCTTATTCAGCCTAGAGTTCCCTCATGCCTCAGAGTCTGGTACTTGTGCTGGAGGCTCGCCGAACGCTGTATTAACCCGACAGGTACTGAAGTCATAATATTTCAACAATGTCACAAGACCTTGCTCGACAGCCCAGTATATACCAGCATGTGAGGGTGTATCGGGCAAAGCTAATATAACTGGAGCCAGTAAGCCTATCAGAAGCCCAACTAGGAGGAGTGATCCAAGGCCATAGCGAAGAATTGGCAATGCTTGAAGGCCCGACGACATAGCTTCATTGTAGAGCTGACGCGGTACGTTGTCAAATTGAACATCATAAAGATGACTGTCGCCATTCTGCCTCTCTTCGAATACCTTGAGTAAAATCGACCTGGCCTCCGCTCTTTTGTCGAATTCTTCTTCGGCTGGTATGCTCAGAAGTGAGAATATTTTCTCACCAGGATTGAGTCCCTCTGGCAAAGCTAGGAACACCCAAATTCGGTATTGATATGTCCATAGCCGCTTAGCCATTATGAACGCGAGTTTTGCTGGGTAGTTGATCCCAAGAAATTCATAGAATTTATCTTCAAAGTTGGCTTGGAAATCAGGAGGTAACTTTTTCCGTCTCTCACGGAATTGCACATCATGCGGGCCAAACCAAGCGTGTATACCCTTTGCGTAACATGAGTACGTAAAGACGCTGATCTCCTGGGTGATGGCCATGCTGGACCGGCTGAGTTCAGACAGAATTATCACAACTCTCGACCAGCTCGGGGGAAATAAAAAGATAATGAGCAGTATTCGAGTGGCGAGCAAGCTGATACATATGGTGAAGAAGTGGCAGAGCCTGGTTAAAGACAAAGCACCGGCTTCAAGAATTAACCTTCTAGAAAGTCTGAATCGACGGGTTTCCAGGACCTTTGTACGGTCTTGCCACAAATACGGTACGATAAAAGAGTTTAGACTCAAGTAAAATGTGATTTCTTTATTGTTAACTGGGCGGACATTGCTCGGACCTGGATCGTGGCTTTCATCGTTTTCATTCACAACATAGAGTTTTGCGATTCTTGTACTGGTGGAAAAAAATTGCAGTGGTGATAGTCGAGTAGAAATTCGGAGCCGAGTTCCTCGATCATGAGAATCACGCATATGAAGTAAACCAAATCGTGCTAAACGAAATCGCGAATTCGGATCTAGGTGTAGAATGAAATCGGAAACTGCCCATATAAATAGAAGGCCTGATGGAGCATCGAGGCATGCAATAGATGCCCGGAAAATTGAATCATTTCCAGAGAGGCCGCCGACACTTTCCGCACCTGGAGTTAGGAACTGGATGATTGTATAAACAACTAGGACTAGAGACTCGAAACTTGGCGTGAACATTTTAGATTTGTAGAGGGCAGATATAATCAGGCTTCACAAGTATGGACAAGTTTATGAAATGCACCCCAAGGTTACAGGTAAGAGGAGAGACGTAAGAGATTTAAATTAAATTACGCACAGCATAACCATGCAAGTCCACCCAGCCTCGTTGATATAAGAGAAATTATTAGCTCAGCCTTGTGCGATGTGTCACGGTCCCAATCCTGGAGCCTGCTTTGGGCGCCGCCGATCTTTGTTCCATCAGTTTCACGTCTTGGGAATAGTTTCACCAAGGGCTTTGTTGCTTGCTCTATTATACGGTTTTATTCTAGGATCTTTGTATTGATATAAAAGCATACTCCGTCAGGAATCATGCTCTGGAGCAAGCCCTGCGCAGGCTTAAATACAGGCTTGCTCCCATATAGATTAGTTTCTCTTCTTCAGCTCACGTCTTGTTAGTTTTCTATGCCGTACGTTTTATTTTGATATTTGAGCTCCGTTACAAGGCACACCGAGACCAGGACAGCAAGTCGAAGAGGAAGTCGGTGGGAAGCTCTAAAGCGGCCAGCAAAGGGTGAGGGCCGGCTGGTGAAAACGTCGGTTAAAACGGTGTCAAAAGACGACGAAAATAACTACGCTTTCACCAGAACGGACATTTATGAAATAATAAATATTAGTATAAATTCGTATATAAATATATTTAGATAACTTTCATAAATTTAGGTTTGTATCTTAATCTAATTAAATTTGTCACTAAGCTAAATTTGTTGCTGAGTAATCTAATGCGCTTAAAGATTCGACAATAATAATCAATTGATGGCTGGTATAACTCTGCAAGAAGACGGAATCTGTGCAAGACGACATACATAATTTATCATTTACATACACATTTTGAAGATATTCAACAATATAAAACTTGCCAAAAAACAGAACAAACCCCAGAATGTCCTCCATCTCCATTGCAACTCTTCCCCGCATGAGTCGAGATGTTCTCTCGTCCTTGCTCCTTTCGACGAGCACGCCCACCAAACTCGCCATTATCGACGTCCGAGACTCTGGTACGTGGCTCCTGTAGTACTCATATATACCTACTCTAACACTATCTGCTGTACAGATCATGTAGGCGGCCACATTTACACGTCTACATGGGTTCCCAGCTCAACCCTCGACTACCGCATGCCCGAACTCGTACGCACCCTGAAAGATAAAGAAAAAGTCGTTTTCCACTGCGCGCTCAGCCAGCAACGAGGTCCGTCTGCAGCTCTGCGTTATGCCCGCGAGCGAGAGAATGCTTTGGGCGTCGAGGAAAGCAAAAAGCAGCAAGTATACGTGCTTGAAGGCGGATTCGTGCAATGGCAAGAAAAGTACGGCGCGGATGAGAGGTTGACAGAGGCGTATGTGGAGGATATCTGGAAGGAGTATTGAAATTTTCCTACTCGCGGCTTCCTTTGTCTCTGCACACACTATGATGGTTTGAATGAGCAACGGTTTTTTTTTACAAAGGCAGGATTTATGTCTTTAGATGATACCCTCGATAGAATCGATTTATACTACACTATTAATACAAATATTGATGCATGATTGTACATCGAGAAGAAAGGATATCAACCCACAACACCACCCCCAAAACCGACTGGCCTCCTCCGGCCACCGTTCTCCGGGATGATTGCTAGAGCTTTATACAACTTACCCATTCCGTTTGGTCCGCTGTCGACCAATCGTTTCCAGGCACTCTCTATATTCTTTCGCTTTTCCTCGTCTTTCACTTCTTTCAGCAGCTGCTCTGCACGCTCCGCAATGCCCATTGACCGGAGAAAATCGGCCTGATCCACTGGTCCGTGAACTTCGACGTCCTCGCTAGCTTCGATGGCAGCCTCGGCTAAGCTGGTAAAGTCCACATCGGCGCTGACGTCTACCTGGCCTGGTAATGCGAAAGGGGAAATTTTTGCATGTTGTCGAATTCCACGGAGAGAGTTCATTGGGATGGTTGAAGATGTTCCATAGTCTAGAATCAATGCTGCTCCTAACGGCCTTGGTTTTGGGGCTTGTGTATCGGTGTTCTCAATCGGCTCCTTTGGTGCTACTTCACCGGGCTTCCTCGTTGGTGTTTTCTTTGGAGATGGCGTGAATCCACCAATTCGACGAGCGAAATCAGCCATGTAAATACGACTCTCGGGGCTAATCTCAATGATAGAACCTGGCTGAGACTTCAAGGATTTGTATCTTTGCGAAATCTCAGGTAGAATTAATGAATTGGGGGTAGCGGCTTTGGCCCGGGAGAGCTGGAATTCCGGCTGGTCTTTCTGGTCTTCAACAACGGATTTTGCGTTGAGTGCCACCATCAGTTCGCGCCACTGTGGAGTGGAAGCATGGGCCTGCGCCGAATTGGCATTGTCTATGTTGATCGGGCCAGTCGGCGTCATGATCTGCTGCGGTTTTGAGTTTGGATCAGGTGAAACCGATTCAAAAGCGTGAATTGGCAAAGCATCAAAGAACTCGTGTGCAAAAATAAACGGCGTTTTATCATCTAGATGGAGGAATCAATAACATGTAAATAATCTGAAACTTGCAGGTAGAACTCACTGTGTGATAATAATCTGATATCTTCTACCCAAATAATCGGCACGCCAATATGCTTACTGACGCCCCTGTGTCCAACCTCTATCTCCTCCAACGTGGTATCTGATCCACATAACAGGTTCTTCTGGATCTCCCGCAGCGACGCACTAGCTTCAACGAGGTATACGGCTTCAATACTCGACGAAAAGGTCTTGAAATTGCGAATAGTCTACCCGCCTCACTAATCAGCACCCAACCCATACAATGCAATAGATGCTCACTCACCCGTAATATATCATCCATCAACGTGCCTTTCCCTGGTCCAACCTCGATAAGCTCGACACCGGTTTTCGGTCTCCCCTGCGCCATCCATTCTGTAATCGTCCATAGACCAACCAACTCGCCGAATACCTGTGTGATTTCCGGCGATGTTATAAAATCACCTTTTGTGCCGAATACTTCTGTGCCGCTCTGTGAGCTCGGTGTTGTGTAGTATCCAGCGTCGGGGTTCGTGAGGACTTGTCGCATGTACGCTGCTATAGAAATTGGTCCGGTTGTCTGCATGGCTCTTAGATTAGTCGAGCTTTGAGGAAAGGGCTGTCTGGAGATGTATACCCTAATGGCATCGGCGAGTGTTTTGGCCAGGGGTGTTGACCACTCCTTTTTGACGATGTCAGAGACATATCGTCGGGTTTGAGTGAGCAAGGTTTGGCGACTGCATTGTTTGGCTATGTGTTGTGCTCCGCGCCTGAGTCCATGATTCATTTTTGACGCCTCCAATGGTGTCAATGCTTTCAAATCAAGTGTTGTGGTTCAGATATATGATATTATCTGGCACCAAAGCTTTATCGAGATTCAACTGTCACTTTATGTGACTGTGTTGGGTTGATCAAAATTGTTCTCTTGATCTCCGCAAACTCCGCATCCTCCGCGATTTCACGTGATTTTGCAATGCTTAAATGGTGCTGTTGTCTCAATCAATATTCCCACTTTGAATGATGTTGAGTATTCTTAATAGCTTTTTGACGGATATGGTTATTAAATACGCAGAGTGCTCCGTTTCCACTTCAACCAGAGACATGACTAGTAATACATAACTAAAATCACCATAAACCCTCTTACATCCACATCCAAGCGCCATGAAAAAAAAATGATTTACGAACAAATAGACGAGAAATAACTTCGTAGGATGAAAAGATCAACGAAACTTCCGTCCGCGCTGCGACGTCTGTGTAGCCGGAGCATCAACCATCATCTTATCGCTGTACAAACCACTGGTCTGGTGCTGACTGCGATTGTTCAACCCATTAGCACGCCCTCTACCTCGTCCAAATCGGCCCTTGTTATCGAAGGTCCCGTCTTGGAATAGATCTCCCTTTCGGTTCTCCACGCGCTCGCGGTTTGCCCGTTCTCTGAAAGCGTCGTAGTTAGATGGGGCGGTAGAGCTGTTGAACGATGATGAAGACCCAATGCCCTTATATTCCAGCGAAAGAACCCTTCCATCCGCCTACCTAATAGTCAGTTCTGTGCCACGGTATAAACTATAACGCCACGCCGTATCTGTACCTTTTTACCATGAAACTGAGCGACAATTGCCTCGGCGCCCCATTTCTCTGCGCACGCGATTTCAGCACTCACATGCGGCGAATACGACTTGATATTCACGCCAATTATCTCTCCAGCAACGGGTTCCAAGGCAGCCTCAATATCAGCCGCATTAGTGCCCGGTGCAAAATTTCTCCCGAGGACGACAAAGGGACCCGAGCCAGTGCCTTTGATGGAAATTCCCTTCCCGAAGCTATTCACCTGCACGTCGTTCCCCATGTCAATGTCTGCCATCATGCGATCCTCGCGAGTGCGTCGGGCGCCGCTGGGGCGAGCGGTTCGTGATGAAGCTGCGGCAGCGCGCGCAACGGCGATGGGGTTTGATTTCGGTCTTGACGAGGCTGAAGCGGAGCGCTGTAATCGACATTAACTGTCAGACAATACAGCCATGAAAGTATTATAAATATATAGGGAAGGCCAACCTTTACAACACCAATCCTACTCGCAAGGCTGCGTTCGATAGGCGCTTTCTTGCTGCCGATTCCAGGACCAGGAGCGCTAGCTCTTCTACTCTTTTTGCCGAGTAATTCATTTGCGAGGGTTTGGTTTTCCTTCTTTCGTCGCTCAAGGCGTTCTTTTCGCGTTAGTCAAAAAAGGAGAGCTCAAGGGTTGGACTGTCGAGTATTTACCAGCCTCAATGAAGGAATCAAACGATGGGGCAGCAGCTTTCTTGCCGGCTGCCATGATTTAGTCTTGTAATATTTGTCGCACAGTTATTTACTATGTCAGAATTTTGGATCTAGATTGAGAGTAAAAGAAAACGAAGAGATAGAAGTGGTGAGACAGAATGGAATTGGTGTTTGTGTAGCTGCAGCTCGGAGCAACCGATGTTAATAAATAGCGGCGGCGAAGGCGGACGGAGCCAATCGATAACAACAGAGCCGCCTCGTTCGCGGCTAGCGAGCGTTGTTCCAAATACAATTGCTGTTTGATAGGTAATTAAGCAGTCCGATCGAAAATTTATATTCGTTCGAGATATATTACATAGATATTGCTTAAAAACGATGAATATAGCTTCACGATATAGTAAAGTTTAGAATAGTTCTAGCCCAGTCTCAATGCAAACCCAGCTCCTGTCTCCTCAGCACTAGCAGCTGCTCCCCCAAAAACATTAGCGAAATCCAAATGCGGAGCTTCTTCGCCATGTTTGGGCGCTTCAGGCGTTGCTCTACGCCGACGTCTTTCTTGCCCAGCTTTCGAGGGAAAGGTGGGAAACATCTCCTTTGCTTTAGGTCTGGGGTCTTCCCGAAAGTAAGGATGCTTGAGGCATTCTGCAGCAGTTGGACGCGCAGCAGGGTTAAGCGCCAGCAGCGATGAAAGGAGATGCAATCCGGCATTTGTCAGATATGGAAATTTGGAGCGAGGAAGTAATGGTGGGTTTGTGAGTGAGCCTGACGATGATGCCGACCCTGGTGGAAGACGGAGAGATTTTGCATTGGGCAGGGAACGGAAAGTTGGCCATATCTGCTGTGTAGGGGGGCCAGTGACGGCAAAAATCTGTAGATATTTAGCGAATGACGTCTACAATAATAAAAGAAAGGAACTCACTTTCGACAGCTGGTCAACTTCGTTCTTACCCTGGAAGAGAGGATCTGTTGTTAGAAGCTCGCCAAAAATACATCCAACACTCCAGATATCGATTTCAGGGCCGTAGGATTCCGCTCCGAGAAGTAATTCCGGAGACCGGTACCATAAAGTCACGACCAGCTGTGTCAGCTTCGGCGGCGGGTCACCGTAATACCTTGCCATGCCGAAATCAGCGATCTTGATCTCGCCACGGTTGTTCATCAGCAGGTTCGAGGTTTTCAAATCGCGGTGTAGAATCCAGTGCGAATGGAGGAATTCCGTGGCTGAGATCATTTGTTGAAGTAGGGTCTTGATCTCCGATGGGAGAAACGGTTCTTGCATGTCATCAAGTAGGGTTTTCATGTCATGTTCGAGAAAGTCCATAACGAGGTATACACTACGAAAGGAAAGGAACGAGGTGCAAGAATGCCCCCGGGATCATGTGGTCAATAATCTTGTGCATCTAGAACTTTTCAGGGGGATAAAACAATAAAAATAAAAATACTCACTCATTCATGTTATTCCCCATGACAATCTCACGCAAACGGACAATATTGTTGTGTCTCGCGCGTTGTAGAGTCTGAATCTCGCGTAGCCCGGTGACAGGAAATCCATCAGGCGATTTATCGATTTTCAGCTTCTTGAGGGCGACGATTTCTCCTGTCACCAGGTCCTTCGCACGCGAAACTAGCCCATAAGATCCTTCTTCGATATGGTTGAGCCTTTGGTAGTTGTCGACATGACGACACGGTGCCCACTCTGGCGCTGGGAACTGGAGAAGCTTGCGGCGAGTCTCAATTTCCGCGTTTTCAGCGGACGTACCTGGTTCGTTGGAGAGTCGCCGTCGCTTTGATGGTCTTTCTGCTGCATTTTCAAGTTTTTCAATCTTGTCTTGTGTGGCGGGCGGTTGTTTTTGCTGTTCCAGCTTTCGTTGTTTTTCAGCTTTGGCGCGTTTCTTTTCCTCCTTTTCGCGTTTTTGCCGCGCAATGGCAGCTTCTTCTTCGGGGTCTTCGTTTGCCCATCGCGATTTCGACGGTGCAGACATGGTGCGTATACACTACTCCCAATGGCGTTGCGTGCGGAAGCTTCCAGGTTCCTAGAGGTAAGGTAAGGGAAAACGAGGTCGAGCTGTGGAGCTCACGCATCATCCGAAGCGCCTGCCGAGGCCGCGCCGATTTCAAAGCAAGGAGCACCCCACCATGCGCCGATTTGTAAGAGGAGAATCAATCGCCCATTTATCATCTGCTGGACTTATAACTGTTTGCTGATGTATTCAAGATTGAATTTATACAGTCTGATACGATAGAATATCGCTGGCCACTATGATCGAGCCATTCCAAGTATGCATATCCAACCTGCATTCCCCGCATCGTCACTAATGCAGCCATAGACCACCTTCTCTGTCCCCATGACATGCGACAGCTGCGTGGAAGATGTCTCGCAATCTATTAATAAGCTTCAGGGTAGGCAGCTTGATGCGGTGGTGCATGCACATGTCTAACTCGAGCAGGCATCAAGAAGGTGGAAGCAAAACTCGCCGACCAAATAGTCCTCGTTGAGGGCACAGCAGCGCCAAGCTCCATAGTTGCTGCCATTCAAGACACTGGTAGAGACGCTATTCTACGAGGAAGCGGGCAGTCAAATAGTGAGTGCCTTTTCATGCATACAGTTGGCCACTGCCGGCTTGTTGTGTTTGACTAACTGAACACCAAGGTGCTGCCGTTTGCATTCTCGAGACTCACAACACCACTGTCCCGGAAAAGATTCGCGGGCTCAGTCGCATGGTGCAGGTGTCAAACAACCAGACTTTGATTGATCTGACAATAAATGGGCTTTCTCCTGGGCGGTATTGGGCCACTATTCGGGAGACCGGAGATATCTCGGCCGGCGCAGCATCTACAGGAGGTGTATGGGAAGCTCTGAAAGCCAAGGTTTTAGGACGAGAAGAGCCACGTGGAGTTTTTGGAACAGTGGACGTTAATGAGAAGGGGAAAGGCAACGTGTTGCTGGACCAGCCAATTGCCGTATGGGAGATGATTGGACGCAGCATGGTGGTGTCCAAAAGCAAAGAAGGACCGTTCCAGACGGACGACCCTGACACGATCGTGGGCGTAATTGCCCGCAGCGCAGGTGTCTGGGATAATGATAAAATGGTCTGCTCCTGTTCCGGGAAGAACGTGTGGGAAGAGCGCAAGGAGCAAGTCAGCAAGGGGATGTTATGATGGATGATGTCTAGTGATATTCTTAGCAGCAGCGGCTTGACTGAGCCTGCAGTGGTTTGGCTTATGCAAGGCCTCCATCTCAGCAACTAATGCAATACTGCATAGATCTGTCTTGTTGTTTCCTAGCGACTATTAGATACATCGACTTCATGAACCAGCCATGAGTTTGCTAGGCATAACAGGTCGTCTGATACGATGCCGTGGTAGACAGCTCGCTTATCCACAAATTTAATGACGGCATGTGTGACGCATATGAGACGCAGGGCCCAGTAAGTCCTTAGTAAATATGAGCGGGATCAGTAATAGATGCGATGAGAGGATCAGTATAGAGGCAAAACCATCCTCAAACGTCGACGGTCACAACCGCCGTGGCTGCCCGGCTGCGCGTCAGCCAATCGGGGACGGGGCCTTATGCAAGGTGATCACACCAGCTTTCTGTGCATGCAGCGTTCTTTGAAGCGACGAATATAAAAATAGAATGCCACAAGGCACGAACTCGGACTGACGCGGTTGGCTGTTCAAGGATAATTTTATATGTTATATGCAAGGTCGTTGTGAAGCCGATTGGCGACGCAGGCACGGCAACGGCCCGCACCTTGCTTGCTTTCCCCTCTCTTTCCCCTTCCTGTCCTCGCCCGGAACATAATTCCACACTGTCCCACCTCGTCTGGCAGCATTGCGAATCATGCCTATACCAACGCGAACGGGGAGTTCAGTATACGAGGTGTACATGCAGTGGAATCAGGATGTGCCGTGAGATGCTTGATTGGCAGACTCCACGCCAATCACGGCCGATGCACGGGCTGCTGCAGATGATGCATCTAACAAGCGCCCTGGAACATTGGCCCCCCCCATCCACTCAGCGACCAGATTCGACGACGACTCGAAGCCCCTGTGGCTCACTTGAGGCCTGCGAGCGCCGACTGGCCATGGCCACGGCTGGTCCGTTATATGGGCGCTTCCATCCCCGACTCGCTTTCACTAAGTCCTCTCCAAATCGCTCACCAGAGTCACTACCTGGAGTAGTGGCTGGATCCTCTTCGAATTCGCTTAATTCTTCCATGTGCTGCTAGCCGGCGTTCTATAAATATTGCGAATCATCGAACACCACCAAGGAACACTGCAGGTCCGACTCTGGAAGTCGGAACTGAGGGTAGCTAATCGGCGGGACCGAATATCCTCATTTCACTCCATTCACTCCATTCACTCCTATCACCGCATTCAACGCGCATCTCCGCACATCGTTGCAACGTTGACCTACACCAAGCATTCGCTCGCAGTACCTGCACGGGCAATCACATGATCAATTTGAATTCTACTCGACTATGACCTTCTCGCGCTAGTTGATGGCTTATTTTTATCGTGCATGAAGCCCCGCACTATTCGAGTGCCACCAGCCACTGATTATACACTCATCACACGCCAATCATCCCACCTTTATCAACGGGTCTCCGGTCATTAGACGCTTAGTGGTACGACGCACCGGAACCCATATTATTATCCTCTCTGCCCCAGCGAAAGAAGTGCGAATTTCCCGACATTAAGCCCGCTTGCAGACAGTAAACATGTCTTTGAAGCAAGTGAGTCACCTGTATGTTTGATCGTCACAGGATGTGATTTCTGACACCTCATTAGGAAATTGAGACGTGGGTGCAGGCACTCGCGCACTACGATAATAATGAATTCGATGCGGCATTGAAGGTGTTTGACGGCATTGCCGATACATCTAGAATATTGTTTAATTGCGGAGTTATCCATGCGACCTTGGGCGAGCATGAGAAGGCGGTATGTCTACAACTTTTGTATATGTCATACATCTGCTAATAAATCTTCGACAGGTGGAATGCTATCAGCGTGCCATCACCTGCGACAACTACTTGGCTATTGCCTATTTCCAGGAAGGCGTCTCAAACTTTCTCTTGGGTGATTTCGAAGAAGCCCTGGCCAATTTCAATGATACATTGTTATATCTGCGAGGAAACACCTCAATTGACTATGAACAGTTGGGCTTGAAGTTCCGCTTATACTCATGCGAGGTGCTCTTCAATCGTGGTCTATGTTACATCTACCTCCAACAAATCGAGCCTGGCATGCAAGATCTGCAGTATGCAAAACAAGAAAAGGTCACAGCTGATCACGATGTGATTGACGAGGCCATTCGGGAACAGGCAGATGTAAGTACTCACGAACGCAACTGAAATCCCAATCTCACAAATTTCAAGGGCTACACGGTCTTCTCAATCCCCGTCGGTGTTATCTACCGACCCAACGAGGCCAAGGTAAAGAACCTCAAGACCAAAGATTACCTTGGCAAAGCTAGACTCGTCGCCGCATCTGACCGAAACAATGCCTTCACCGGATTCCAAGGGTCTGAACAGAAGAAAGCGCTGGCTGCCGAAGCCATCGCTAAGGATGACCGCCCAGCCGAAAACATTTCCTTTGGGGCAACAAACCTCGTGCACAAGGGTCTTAGCAGTCGTAGTCGGCAGCAGAGTGAGCCACCTATCGGTCGAAACACATTCCCCCAACACCGCCACCAGAGTCAGAAAAGGGGAACTCTGGCGGTAACAATAATGGCGGTCTAACACAGCGTGCTGCATCTGTCCGAGCTGGGCCTCCGCCTCGCCTGAACCTAGAACGACCAGGGGCTGCAGGAAGCAATGGTCAGACTGGGGGAGACATGCCATCGATGGGTAAAACACGAGTTGGCACAAGCAGGACGGCCTCTGAACCACGAGGACCACCTTCTCGACAGTATTCGGGTTCATCTGGACGGCCCCGGTTATATGGGGAGACGACTGGTAACGGATATGGCCGTATTACAGAAGACGGCCTTGCCGAAGAAGTTTACGAAATGTACATCAGTCCTCGGTCGACGGGCACGAATCGAAGTCGGGCACCAAAATACATCGACGAGGAAAATGAATACACCAGTGAATACGAAGATGACACAATCGTGGAGGGCGAATTTGAAATGATGGCGGCTCCAGCAGCAGAACCAGAAACAAAGACAGCGAGATCATCTATATCACAGCGCAGCGCTCCCCGCCGCGGCTCGTCACGAAAACCTGAAATCCGCAAATTCCGAGTCAAAGTGCATGCTAAAGAAGAGACAAGATACATCATGATCAGTGCGAGTATTGATTTTGGTGAACTCGAGGGTAAAATTAGAGATAAATTCAGGATTCCTGGGTTACTCCGAATCCGGATGCGTGATGATGGCGATATGATTACGATGGGGGATCAAGATGATCTCGACCTGCTGCTGAGTGTGGCCAAGGACGAGGCGAGAAGGGAGAATCAGGAGATGGGGAAGATGGAGGTATGTCTCTTCACTTACAATGATTTGAAGCTTTTTGCATGGCTAACTGGTTGCAGATTTGGGTTGAAGAAAAGAAATAAATAGATACGACAAACTGATGGCCTTTTTGTTCTTTTTGTTGTTCTTTATTGTTTATGGGTTAATTTTGTTGATATACATGCACTGGTTGAGTTGAGCGCGGAGTTATTCAGATAAGCATGATCATACATACGATGATTAGCAGTATTCAAGCACTTGATATCCCAAATTTACAATCAATTCCAAGCCTCCACCTCGTACAGTCACACCCCCGTCACCTTATCACCATTGACCAGGAGAATTTAACTACCCCCCTTGTATAGAGGGTAGCATGTTGTTATTCAATATTGTATTCATAGACATTGTTGTATTCTAATTAATTCTCCCCTGCAACTGAGTGATGAATGGATGTCAGGAGTCACTTGGTGGTTATGCGGAGTTAGGGCTACCGCCAAGCCAAGTTGGCTGCTGAGCTAAATATTAATAGTCGGACTACCGCTGTGACGTCTTGCCAGATTTCACCCTCGTCTCTCTACGCTTTCCTGCAATTATCACCTCACTTATTACTTATCACAGTTTCTCGATAAGGAACGAGCAAATGACCGACCTAACCCCCTCCATCCACAAACTCCTACAGGAGAAACAACCCGTCAGCACGCCTGCGCCTCCGACAGAGAAAACCGTCAACGAGTTTCTCAAAGAGGCATATCGAATTGTACACCTCCACTAAACCCCTACACCTGAATAAAACACATACACAAAAAAAAAAAAACACTAACTCAAGAGTTATAGAACTCCCACATCCAATCTCTCCTCCACTACCTCCAATCCATCCGCCAATCCTACCTCTCGACCAGCAGCAGCAGCCACAAACACCAACCCCCGTTAACAAACAAACCAAAACCCCTCACCGACGCAGACCGCGACTCAATCGACTCCTCCACCGCGCTCCTCCTCCGCGACCTCTCGTCGAGCATCACAAACCTCCAATCCGCCGAATCGCTCCGCCAAGAAACAGAGAGCAGGCTTCTAAGGAAAAAGTACGGACAGCCGGGGGGCGCGCTCTGGCGATGGGCCGGCGGCGGCGGGGACGACGGCGACAACAATGCCGGTAAATCAGACGCGCAAATCGCTGCAGAAGATACGGCAAGGTCTATACGTACGGTGCGCGAAAGCATACTATGGTTTTTACGTCGCGAGCTCGAGGAGGCGGCTGAGGTGCAGAGGGGCATGGTGGAGAAGCGGATTGAGCGGGTGCGCGAGAAGGAGAAGAGTGTGTTGTATAAAGTACGGCAGCAGCAGCAGCAGCAGCAACAACAGAAACAAATCCATCCCCAACAACGAGAATATGGTGCAGACCAACAGCCTAGCTTGCGACCAGACTCGCGCGCAGATCCAGCTCTGTCCGCGGAAGAAGCTGCGGCCATTGAGACACAGCTGACGCCGGAACAGCTCCAGCTCTTTGCAGAGGAGAATGATAGCATGTTGAAACACTATGAGGATACGTTAAGCAAAGTCCAGTGCGTCAGCACCCCTTTATTCTTTATATGGTTGTAGCTAACTTAGATGGATAAGGAACGCGGAGAAATCGCTACTCGAAATCTCCTCTCTCCAGCAAACGCTCGTCGGCCATCTGTCCACGCAGGAAGAATTTATCGGCCAACTAGTCACGGACGCATCGAGCACGTCAGAGAATGTCGGGCAGGGTAATAAGCAGCTGAAAAAGGCGACGGAGAGACGAAGTCCGGCGCAGATGGTGTTTTGGGGGACGGTGGGGTTGTGTACGTGGTTGATTGTTTGGGATGCTGTTTTCTAGCTCTACAATATTTATGAATGGATGAATATATATATATGGGTAGAATATGCGATGGTCATTTGTATGAGGGTTCAATCAGAATTGACATATAGTCAGAAGGGTAGTAAGACACGGTGGGAATAGCTAAGAAAAACAAGAACAAGACACAATATCCAGATCATGATGTCTCGCGGACAGTGCTATCCACAGCCTCGGCGAAATAATCAATGTTGTGAGTGTTCAGCCCCGCCATGGATATACGGCCATTCTTAGTCTACTATCATTAGCAAATGTATACAAGTACAAGTAAAGGGACATACCATATAAACATGCCACTTCTCCCGCAGAATCTGGACTTGTTTTTCATTCAGCCCTGTGAAACTGAACATGCCAATCTGGCTTGTGATATGATCCCACGTCCCCGGAGTGCCCTTGGCCTCGAGACGCTGACGCAAGCCGCGACGCATCTCGATGATCCGGCCACTCATCGTCCTCAGATCGTGCTCCCACTCCGCATACAATTTCGGGTCATTCAGCACGATGCTAGCAATGCGCGAGCCGTACGCAGGCGGATTCGAAATCTCTGAGCGCTGCAAGATCGCCAATTGACTAGCAATATTGGTGGTTGCACGCTGGGCCTCGGCGCCGGGGCCTGATACAAAGTGGAATGCACCAGCCCGTTCACCGTACAGACCAAAGTTTTTGGCAAAGGACTGGGAAACGCACGTCTCAAAGCCCTGGTCAATGAAATACCGGATGGCCCATGCGTCACGTGCCAGGTCGCCAGAGGCGAAGCCCTGATATGCGCAGTCGAAGAAGGGGAAATGTTGGCGCTCGCGGATCACCGAGGCGATTTGCTTCCATTGTTCTTGGGTCGGGTCAACGCCTGTCGGGTTATGGGCGCACGGGTGCAGCACGACAATCGAGCCGAGAGGTGCAGATTTGAGGCTGCTGAGCATGCCATCAATATCCAAGCCCTTGGTCGTGGGCGAGAAGTAGGGGTATTTGTCAATGGCCAGGCCGACGTTGGTGAAGATTTGGTTGTGGTTCGCCCATGTCGGGTTGGACAGGTAGACGGTCGGTCGGGGCTGGCGAGGGTGGAATTTGGCCAGGAACAGCGCACCTAGATGCACTGCTCCAGTGCCAGAAATTGTCTGGAGGCTAGTCACCTATCCGCCACGTTAGCTGCAGCTACTTTAGGGCCAATGATGCGGGGTGAGGGGGGGCGTACGCGGTTTTCTTTGATGGCCACACTATCAGCTCCTAGAATCAGCTTCTGGGCAGCAGAGGTAAAGTTCGCCAGACCCGAGATGGGCAGGTATTCATGATCGAGGTTGGGGTCGTTGTGCAGGATCTCGTCGGCCTAGCGGGTGTTAGTCACGCCATTGATTCCATGACACCCGACATATTCTCGTGCTTATCCGGATGAAGGGACATCATCGAGAGAAAAGGAATAGGAGTAAGTACCTTCCTGACCACGGGAAGAATCCACGGCTTCGCGTTGTTGTCGCGGTAGGCGCCAATGCCCAGGTCGATTTTCTTGTCGAAGTCGTCCTGGCGATAGGCACGCATCAGGCCGAACAGAGGGTCCTCGGGCGCCTGGGCGACCTGGGCCGGGGTGAAGACCGACGCGGTGGCAGTCGAGCCCATGATGTGCGAGGAGAGCTGTGAGAGACGAGAAACAGGAGTCGATGCAGAAGAAGTAGGTGCAGATGTAGAGTTGGATGATGATTGTGAAGGTGCGGGATTATTTGTAGATGGCAGCTGTGGGGACTGCAGTTGGAGAAGGTGAGGGGGAGCCATCTTTTACAGCTGGTCAGGAATACTAGTTAAACTATCGTCGCGGCGAGTCCTCCGTCAGCAGTGCAATGCTGGTAACAATAACTGACTCTGCTCACCGGCGGTTAGTAGCAGGAATAAGGAATACTGCAAGGATTATCCTCTTGGCTGCAGAATTTAGCCGTGGTCGCCGCACTAGAAGCGCTCCGAATGCAATATATTGATAGGAATGAAAGAAATACAATAATGTACAATAGAAACTCCGGGAGAAATAATATACAGCAGGCTCGTGAGGCTATCTGGATGAATAAATAAGGAATGAGAAGAGTAGAATTGCGAAGTTAGCAGCCGAGGTCCGGAGTCAGTGCCGACCTACTCTTAGTAAAGTGCCCGATTTAAGTGGTTGCGTGAATTATTGCTTCATGTGCCTGCTGCCATCACATGCTTACCTGGCTACTATTAATTATTTACTTACAGTGTAACAGCCAGTATACTACGATTAAGAATAGTAGGATAAGTTGGATTGGAATGGAAAAAAAAAATGAGGATAGTATGTACCTCTAGCTCATGTACAATGCAATACATAACCATGCTCGCAACGCCAACTCATCAATGGAAAAAGACGAAGACAAATCCAGCCTTTTTTATCCCCAGTCCCATATAAACAAATATGCTATTGACCAATGTACAGCGCCGCCAGCTAGCGTTCCCGGTCCCAGCAGGAATCGCATACATTTTATAAACAAAAAGAATAAAGAGCAATAAATCATGAAGAGGAAGGCTCTGGCGTGGCAGTGCCCGGTTCGTGTGGTCGCGTGCGGATACGGAATCGTTCCCGCAGACGCATCGTCAGTCCACGGCGTCCTTGAGTCTCCTCGGCCACTTCTTCGGTGGCATTTGCTTGCTGCTCATTCGTCTGACGGTAACGACGAAGAGCAGCAAGGCGCTCTTCCACGGGCGCGTTACGAGTGCGGCGAATATCCGACAGGTATGTCGTGAATCTGCGGTGTTGAGCGGAGCCAGCCCCTGGTCGATTGGCGGTGGTAGACTCTTCTGGAGTCGGTTCTGCTGTCGCATCTTCTCGTTGCTCTTGAGGCAATTCATCGCCTGGCGAGGCTCCTTCTTCTGCAGCCGGGTGCAGGTCGATTCGACACAGAGGGCAGGTTCCCGACACGTTGATCAACCACGGATCGATGCATTCCGGATGGAACTGGTGATTACAAGGCAAGACTCTCACGTCTTGGCCTTTGACAAACTCATCGGTGCAAATCGGGCACACATTGTTTCCGGGTTCGCCATGGGCCACCTCGGGGCTCACTGCCGGTGCCGGTTCTACGGCAGCCGGCGCAGTTTCATGACTGTGCCCCTGTCCTTCAGCTGCATTCTCCCGCGACTGCTCATCAGCAGCCGAATGATCGGGGTTGCTTTCATCCTGTGTTGGTGGAGCATTCGCTCCAGTCACTCCATCCTCCTCGTTACGGGAGGCCATCTCGTCATTACGGGAGGCCATCTCGACATCCCGCTTAGCGGCGTCCACTTGGGTCCCATTGGAGTCTCCAAACTTGACAATGGGAATAGTCTCGAGCATTGCTCTTGCTATGCCTCGCGCTCGACTTTGCCGAGGCCGCCCAACAATATTTCTAGGCCCATAGCGTTCTGGGTGTCGATGGGCACGTACTGCTCCAGTGATAATAATCCCCAGGAACAGCGCAGTGATGATGCCTGTAATTGTGTACAGGATAATCATCGCTACCGCCGTGGTAGGCGATGCAACTGCAAGACCTGACGAGCCTGGGCCCGAGTCGGAGCTATTGCCGCCGAACCCAGCACCACTACTGCTTGTCGCCATGCTGCCAAAGATTCCGTTGGGAGTGTCGCTGGGATTGGTGGCAAGCTGATTTAGGACGACCTGAGATGCCGATGCGTGAATAATTGAGAAAACAGGGGAGAAGCCGGCGGTTGAGTCGTCGGGGGTGTATGTGCAGTGGTCGGACTGTGACGTATACAAGACCACCGCAACGGGGCCACCAGACACTAAAATGGCAGAAGACAACGTCTGCGTAACATTGAGATACCCGGAATATTCAAAGGGGTCGCAGCTAATTAAAGCAATATCCTGCGCGTTAATAGACGCAGTGTTGGACGTTGTCGTGTGGATTAAGGTTCCTCCGATTTGGAATCGCTGGTGCCCCGGATGTCAGCGGCAACGGGGTTGTGCGCGGTGCGGTGGCTTAGAAGTGAGGGGAATAGGGTCGCTTACCTCGTAGTCGCCAGAGCTCGAAGTGGCCAGTGACGCGGTCAACGGCGCGAGATTGATCTGGGTCGGATAGGAGTGTTGCGTGTTTCTCAATTGAAAAGTGCGGTTCCCATACGGGAGAGAGTCGTTGGAGGGAGTGGCATTGAGGGTGGCGGAGGCTGACACTAATACTAATGCTAATAACGCGAATCGCACACAGAGGCTCCCGGGTCCTGCGCGGCGATCGATGTGGGGAAGCATCATTCTGAATCAGGATCGAAGGACTGGGTGAGTTTCGTGGTAAGAGCCTGAGACTGGCCGAGACGCAGACTGCGTCGGGTTTTCGTCCGGTGGTAGGGAAGAGGGGCAACTGCTTCAGGATGGAGAGTGCGCTGCAGTCATCAGAATAATGGATAATGGATAATTTTTGTGAAAGAGAGGAGCGTAAGCAGGCTAGCGACGGGGCGACCAGCGCAGAAAATTAAGTCATCCGGAGGTGATGCAGCGTGGGCGTGTACGTAAAATAGTATCAGGCAGTGTGAGATCGACTCGACGCATGAATCTAATAGTAGAGAGCATAGAACAGCATGAGCAGGCAAAGCGAGCGATACGAGAGGCTACGGTATCTGGTGGTATCTAATCGGCAGCGACCAGTGAGGGATGCGTGGGGGGCGGCACGACGCATCGGGTTAGCAGGCGTCTCATAACCGGGTCGCGACGACTGATGTGGTATACTGTGCGCACTAAGCACGTACACGTACATGGTAAGAAAAGCACTTGCCTTAATATCAATATTAAGTCGGGATCATGATCATGCCATGCACGCGCATGAGGTTAATCATATGGCATTGATGGTGAATATCATGCTAAGCGGATGATCGCCGAGGCTTGGAAGTTGGGACTGCCGCCCCTGGCACGATGAGGTCACCAGTCTCGGCCACTGCGGAGATGCTCCCGAGGTCATGTGCTTCTGCGCATTTCGTATTAATATCAATTATGCTTCCTCCTCTTAAATCCTTCTATTAATTCATCCATTCTTGTTTTTGTGCTTGTTGATTCCGGGCTTGCTTCCCCTACTACTACTACTACCTAGTATCAATTATCTATCGATTATTATCTGTTAATTATTACCTATTCATTATTATCTGTTCACTATCTACTTCTATTCTTCCGTCGATGCTGACAACCAGAAGATACATATTGCCTGTGTGTACTATTGCACTGCACCTCGCTTAGGCTATTTCCATCTACGAAATTGTCGGAGGATTGCGCTACGATGCAGGGGATGCCAATAGTCCAAGCGCTGACAGGGATGTGCTGGCGGCCGGCAGGGGTGTCGCCGATGGGCGATTACCACCATCAGGTACTTTGGTGCCCTGTTCCAGCACTTGCAATTAAAAGATAGACGTGTACATATATCCATCCAGGGTGTCTGGAAATACAAAGTAGTCCATGTTGACAGGAAAGCCAGCGGCATCCAGAATGCATAGTAAAACGCACCGGCTGACACCGGGCAGCATGTGCCTGCTGCCGCCCGGGCTAAACCGCAATGAGAATCTCGTACATGATGCACAGGGCATTGCGCAGCCAGTGGCCAGTTGTGTCGCGTCGACCGCGAGACGACGTTTGGTGAGAGAAACACACGCAAAAGATTGATAAACGGGCTAACGGAGAGTCCTGGTACTATTTGCTTTGTGCAGCCGCTGTGCGACAGGTCTCTTCTATTGCTAGCCGCAAGACCTTCTCAATAAGTTGTTCAATATTGGATAGTGTCAAGCAAAACCGGGATAAGGTTTAGTGGCGGCGCCGATGCCTTCTCTTTGTGCCTGCGTGCAGACAGGCGGCGAGGCAGCCAGTCAGCATGGACATCGCGTAGATTAAAACAGATGACAAACCGCAAAAACAGTGCGAATACGGCCAAATACACGCAAATATGCACACACACCCAAAGGCCGGTCCAGCCACAAGCCCCTCCGGGCCCAGCGGTGGGTCTGCATTCCACCGGGCGGTCTAGCCCCGGTCGAGCTGCGTCTGGCCTCGATGGGCGGCCCATGTTTCACTCGCGAGTCATCTGCTCTGCTCTACTGCTATGAACTATTAGTATTACCGTACTACTAATGCTGCCTTCCTGCCTGAGACGTTTGTTTCCTGCCCTCAACACTGCCTTCACCACTGCTGCCACCGACCTCACCCTCGCCATCACCACCACGGTGCTGCGCGCTGAGTTCCTCCATCTGCAGCTGCGACTCCCCCGGCCTCCGTCGCACAGTCCCGCTGACCATATATCCAACCAAGCGCCCGGCTGAAGCATCCCCCGATTCTCGGCAGCAGCAGCATGTCAATGACCACCGCGACCATTCGGCAGATTCGACAGCATGGCCCTACTCCCAGCACTATCGGTCTGAAATCGTTCCCGGTGTGTGCTGCACCAAACATGACTACAATGTAAGTCGTCGCCCCCGCTGCGGTACAATTGTGAACTTGATATTCCCTGTCTTGATCTTTATATCTGGGTTTTTAAACGTGGATATATTATTCAAAGGCTAGAATAGCGAGCCCAGTATTCTTTCATCGGCTAACTTGATTGGTCCTGCAGTGGAAATGCGAGAATGAAACTCGAAATCGAGATCAAACAGCTGCAACGGTCGTGGAGAGACTTTCAAGACTCGCTTCGCCATCATGAACAACGATCACAGACACTGGCCAGCCTAGACCTCGTCCGTGAATCAATAGAAGAGGCCGTGCAGCTCTGGTCCACCCCCAAACAACAGCCTTTACTCCAAAAGTCCGTCAAATGGGCCCAAACATGTCTCGATACCCTCGATGTGCACCCGCGGTTGATGGAATTTCTACCGGAGCCCCAGCGTGCCTACGATTTGTTTTTTGGTGTCGTATATTCGGTTATCAATGTGCGTCGTCTACACTAACCGTGCGACAGGCAGGCTGTTCTAACACTATATAGGCTTCGAAGGAACAATACCGCGTGGCCGGTGTCTTTCTCAAGTTCCTCACCAAGATCAACAAGGCTGTCTCATCCGCTCTAGTCCTGGCTTCCAGCGAGCTCGCTGCCTCGCTCTACGCCCAAATCTTCCTCTTCCTCGGCGAATTCATGCGTGACTATGTCGCCAAGTCCAGATGCCGCATCTTGTATAGTCACAACGAAGACTTCAAGACCAATTTCAAGAACCTCATCGATAGCGTTGAAAATTTCGCCGCTATGAAAACGGACTCGGTCTGTTCAAGTCCATGCGTATATACCGATACCGCCGGTCTGGTAAAGGTTGGCTTGGAGGGAGATGCTCGCGTTCAAGCTTCTCAGACAACCTTTATCCGCCAGTTGATATGGAACGTCCAGAAAAAGAAAGCCGTCAACGCCAAACTAGCCCAAGGATGGCGTAGAATATTCGATCTCTTCTTATCGGAATTGAAGGTCCGCGTGCGCAAGGTGGATGCTGATGGCGCTTTTTGCCAGTTATCGGGGAGTAGCCGTGAGTTGCATTACTCGTTCAGTATATTGCTCAGTACTAATTATGTTTGCAGTAGTGGATCAACAGAACCACCAGCCCGAGTCCGTGGATATAACCACGAAACGTCGACTGCTAAAACTAAGAGTACAACAAGACTCTTCATCCCTTCAGGATTTCTTTGACAACAACGAACAAACTCATCCTTTCGGTGTGGACGAACGACTAGCCATCCCGGCGCCTGTTGCTACCGAAATTTACAATTGGATGCGGGTTAATCCGTCATTACCCCTTGCCGTCGAGGGGTCTCACTCTCTTGGACTTCCCGGAAGACTGACGTTGATATCGGCTTGTTATGTCTCAATAGCCCGCAAACATAGCATACCTACGGTATCGCACTTTTGCGCCGCTTCCCCCCGTGCCAGCAAGGAGGCTGGAATTATTTCATTGGTATACAGTCTTATTCGGCAGTTGATCGACGTTGCGCCTCCCATGATGGATTGTGACAGCAACTGTGACCTGGGAAAGGAACGCTTCTGTCGGCTCAACGGGACAATGTCATCATGGACCGACGCTCTAGGAATTCTAGATGCCTTGCTACGATATAAACCACCGGTTCTGTTCTGCGTGATCGACGCATTAGACGTTTTAGAAGATGAGTCGACAGTGCAATACGTCAAACCTCTGGTTGATTTACTAGTCTCTCACACCACCCGCTGTTCAACCGCTCACTCGGACGTGCAGCAAACCGGCATCCCCAAAGACGGTTTAATCAAAGTTCTCTTTACGACCGCCGGACAGTGCCAGGCTATTCAGAATACATTCAACCAGGGCCGAGGACTGCTTATAACCACGGACCCGACGCACGTCCACGTGGTGAATGAAGATACCATGGATATCGACGCTTAACTTTCTCTTTCACTCTTCTATGTATTTCTTTTGCACGTGCCTTGCAGCGAATTTGGACTCGACGATGAATCAGTGACGATGAATGTATTTTGTGCGCATAATGATGGCGTTTGGGATATGGCAAAAAGCTACGGACGGGCTGGAACGGGAACGGGAGCCTGCAGCGGCAAGCAAGGTATAATGCCATTCATTCTTTCGATTTCAATTCTTGGAAAGGGAATGGTTTCCTTATCCAGTAGTGTTTATTATACCCTCGTTATTCCTGTCGAGTTCGATGTTCGGTGTTTAACTACCATTACATAATTATCAATCTTCCAATACAAGCAGGCGGATTTGGTTCCGTTCTATGTTTCACTCTTCTCTGCAGACTCAGTTTATCCTTTGACCGGTAGATATAGACGGGTGTTGATAAATATCAATAGTAGCACTATGAATCAATTTATTATATAATTTCAATTTTCAATATCGGTGAGCTACTTTGCATATACATGACAACGGGTATTACATGTAACATTGTAGATTGGATGTTGTGTGTGACGGACTCTGATAATAGGTATGTCTGGTTATATATTATTGTCATTACTACTACGTGTATTCAATGTTGGGATTAATATTGTGGAATTCGCTCTCCCCTCTCACCAGCTCAGTAACACAGCTACAATCGGAAAGCTACGGGACGAATGGTACAACCATCCTCGTCTATGGCCCAGGCGTATTCGTCTTGAAAGATGTAAACATCCACCTTCCACGGCATCATCTCTCACGAAAACCAACATCCGAAACCAGGCGACCACACTCGCCACCACCGGCGCCGAATACCCGCATCTAGAACTTCTTCAGCAAACAAGCCCTCGCCAACCCCGCCCCTCATTTGTCACCTAATATGTACCCCAACTCCTTAGCTCTGCCTCTTTAAGCGATGCCTAGCCCGGCCCTGCATACCACATCACAGCACAACCCAACATCGTGAAACCGGTACGGTAAAGCGCAGAACCCGCACCGTGATTACCATCTCGGTGTCCACGACCACTACCACTGCGCCTTGCCCTCCCGCGCTCGGCGCACATCGCCAGCCAGCTCCTGACCCTGTAAGGCGCCGTCTGCCATTTAAAACCGGCCCAACGAGGTTTTCACCTTTCAGCCAAGCAGTTTCAGCTGGGGGGTAAATGGTGTTCCGGATATTAGAGTTTCGGGATTATTTCTAGTCACGATATATCACCCACATCCTTGGAGAAAGGAGATGAGGTAATTTTCAATCCCTGCGCTTTTCCATGCTGCGGTGGCGAATGAGAGGGCTCGTGTGCGAGAATGTATTTGGTTTTGGAGGAGCCTTATCCCAAGAGGAGCCTTCCAATATAAGATTGACGAATGTAGTTGCTTAAACTTCATAAACGTAAGCATGATGGTTGACGACATATGATTGAGCAGTATTAGCTCTCGGTGCCTGAGGCACCCGGCGCCTCGGCCCGACATAAGGATTTCCCTAAGCAGGAGATAGAGAAACAAGGAGCATTTGATATCCTGGGCAACAGATATTTATTCCTGACGATATTTGGTATTGTCATGCATCCTCTACTATTGGCCCTTGCAAGTGAACAGTGACCAATGATCCTTGACATTGCAACTTTGGTACTTACACGGCAAGCAAGTCTGCCATATGATAGAGCTCTCTTTCCTTTTGACCGTTCGCTATTGCCTGACGCAACAGTACCACGTGTGCAAACGAAAATGCGTTTCATATGAAAACTTCTCCTCTCATGCTTTTCTTCTCTAACCAGTTGATCAGTCCTTCACAGCTGAGTCCATATCCAGCTGTTACTTCGCTTGGCTCTCATATTTCTCCAGCCGCACAAGTTGTACGCGCTGTTAGGGTGATGGAGAGCTCATTTAGCCAGGTAAACTACAGTTTTTGCAATTCTCAGCAGACTGTAAAAAATAGATGGATTTGCTGGTGGGCGACGGCGTACTTTTTGAAAGGCTGTTTTACCTACCTTGTTTCCTTTTATAAGAACTAAGATCTTAATCAAGGACCTGTATCGGGGTAATTTAACGAAGGGCTACTTAACTTCAATATTTTTCGTCATAACCCCTCGTCCCCTAGGGTTCGGTTGCACATCTCCTATATCTTACGGAGTCAAGAACCGAGGACTGAAAGTATCAATCGACGATTTTAATATGCATATATTCAACATTATGCATGACAACATATTTACCATTAACTACATGTAAATTAGGCAGGAATTTCTATTAAGAAGCAAAAGTCCTTTTGAGGAATTATAAAATACATCGCAAAGGGCCAGTCATAGATCTAGTTCACCACACCAACGAAGTCAATTATAGACACAAAAAGAATAAGACGTACCCTAGGGCCAATGGTGTATCCACTTATCATTCACTAGATGAAAGGATCCCGTGGTCTCGCAATATATTACATATAGAATATATCTCAAGGTGTTTGAGGCTGCAAAGACTGGCTGCATTCAAATCCGTGTTGATAGAGGTGGCATTCTTTCGGGTAAAAAACCACATTGTCCAAGATAGGCAGTTCTGTATCGCTGCTATCAACAACTAATACGCGTATTCTCACTAAGTAAAGTAAACTTGCGCAAGTGACAGTTCGGGCTCGTCTTCATCAAGGTAGTCTTGCACTAGTGGAATGTTACGATCTGTTCGTTGTCGCTTGTGGAAGGAGGTTGACGAGGAAGCCTCCCTTCTCTCATCGGTGTCATCGTCGATGGAAATAACTGTTCTAGCTCGTGAGTCTGCGCAGGGTTGTCTGGCACAACTGCAGTGTCACCGGTAGCGAAGCCTATCGTTTACTTCCTCTTTATTAATTGTATTACGTATAAAGACACATTGACCTGTTCTTATTTTGCCTATCAATTACCTGGTGATACATCAATCCTGTTTTGGGATAGGGTGTGCTGATTGGGACACCGGGTTCCTTTTTGAAAGCAGGCTGCGCAGAGGCAGAATTTTCTACCATCAACGTGGCAAGATTCACAGGAGTAGAAGGTTGTGTCTATAATATCCTCATGACAATGATCACAATACCCTATTCGAAAACTAATTGATACTGAATCTGTTATTTTTCCAACTCTAACACCTAGGCCTTTTCTGCGCCAGAGATCTGCAAGTTCTTTTAGGGCCCCTTGTGATCGCCTTCCATTAACAGCTTCATTAACAGCTTCTATGAACAAGGTGTCATCACGCTCACCTGATGGCGTGGTAGTCGTTGCATTTGCATCCAGCAGGGCCTTCACTGTTTCCCGTGATCCGCATCTTATGGCATACAATAGAGGAGTACGTCCAGCACGGTCCTTCGCGTCAACGTCAGCTCCGTTTTCCAGTAACCTGCGCACAATATTCACGTAGCCAGCAGCCGCTACCCAGGATAGTGGGGTTCGAAGATCTTGATCTCGAGACTCTAGGTCAACGTCCTTCTCAAGCAGAGCTTCCACTATGTTCGATCTCCCGCCCCCGGTCATATTCTCTATTGATAACTCCCAGTCTTCTTGAGAAGGATTTATACCAGGACGAAGTTCACAGGGAAAATGATCATATTGGTCCCCAGCCCACGATAGTGGAGTACGCCCATATTTGTCTTTCTGGTCAGGATTCGAATCATGCAGGAGGATTTCTTTGAAGGTTTCGATCTCCGCACCCTCTGCGGCATAGGACAGGAGGCTCCGACCACTAGTATCCTCACAGAGAGGGTAGATGCCGTCCTTTAGAAGAAGCTCGACGACGTTACGATTCCCTCGTTGAACAGCCCAGGAGAGGGGTGTTCGACCTGTGTTGTCATGCACGCCTAGGTCTGCTCCCCTGTCTAGTAGCTTCCGGATGACGGAAGCATTTCCAAGGCTTGCTGCCCAAGATAACGCAGTCCGTCCAAGGTCGTCTGTAGCATTAACCGCATTATCTGTGATTTCACCTAGGAGAATCGTCAATGCCTCAAGTGCCTTTCGGCTACTGACTGCCCACGAGAGGGGTGTGCGACCCGCAATGTCTGGTGAGTTCGGATCTGCGCCACGATCAATGAGGTCACGCAGAAGCTGTGTTTGCCCAGTCTCGGCTGCGAGCGAAACAGGTGTCCGTCCATTGCGATCTGCCAGATCAAGCGTTACTCCACGTTTGAAGATTGTGCGAAAGAGCTTTGCGTAGTCCTTAACAACTGAATGAGCGATCGTCTCGTAATGTCCAATCGACCTCTTCATCTGTGATTGGTGCTCGAGTCGCCAATGGTCGCCTTTATGTGTCACCAGAGTTGGCATTGCTGGTGTAGAGCCAGAGAATCCTCGAAAAGGCTTTTCAATGTATAGAGATATCTGGTCACTATTCTTGATCATCCATGAAAGAGGACTGCAGCCGCTTTTGTCCTGGCAGTTAACATCGATTCCCTGTTTGATCAAATACTTTGCAGGTTCCTCATGTCCACCTGCAGCTGCCCATGCTAGCGCATTCATACCTTGTTCATCAAATGCTCTCACATTCACACCACTGTCAACGAGATATTTGACGACTTTCATGTGACCCTTTCCCGCAGCCCAGTGCAGGGGCGTCCGTCCATCTGCGTCTGGAGAGTCGATGCTTTCCCCTCTCCGATGAAGCTCTTTCACAATATCAATGTATCCACCTTTTGCTGCCCATGCTAACGCGGTTTTGTTTAGCTTATCTTGCTGCATCATATTCGCGCCATGCCCAAGCAATGCACGAAAAGACCCATGATGTCCGTGAGTCGCAGCGTGGATCAACGGAGTACGGCCAGCTTTGTCGACATGATCTAAGCTCGCATGGTATTTGCACAATGTTGAAATGAGCTTTTTGCTACCTATGGCAGCAGCCCAAGAGAGTGGTGTCAATCCATCGCGATCTTTGGTATCTGGATCAGCCCCTCGTTCAAGAAGGAACTTAGCCATGCTTGTCCTGCGATATATCACAGCCCACGTAAGCGGCGAATAATGGCACAAGTCCGTCATCTGAATTCGGCTTCCATGACTGATGAGCAGCGCTGCAGCTTTAACATGCCCCCCCTGCGCCGCCCAAGACAGTGGTGTCCGGAATTCCTTGTCCCAGTGATGTATATATGCCCCTTTATCAAGGAGGAGGTTTATCATGGATATATTCCCAGCTTGAGCCGCGTAAGACAGAGCAGTACGCTGATCACTGTCCAGTGTGTCGACTTTCTCCCCGCTATTTAAAACCACTTTTGCCATCTGTATCTCGCCGAGTCGGCTGATGGCTATTAAAGTGTTCAACGGTTTGGCAGCATATCCAAGATCTATTCCTTCGATGTTAAAAAGGACAGAAACTGATCCAGATGCGTCATCGGAACCTGCTCCCTTCACTCTTGACCTGTCAACTGCAGTGTAGGCTGACAGGGTGTCAATCACCTCTTCATACCGCATGAAAGTTGCTAGCTCCAAGGCCGTCCTGGACTTTGCATCTATGATATTCACATCAATTTTCCAGCGAAGGAGAGCCGTGATGGCATCAATACGCCGGAAGGCTACAGCCCAGTGCAACGCAGTCCAGCCATCTTCGGCCTGCGCGTTTATATCTGCCCCATGACTCACCAGGTCCTCCATAATGTCTGTGGCCCCTATTTCGACCGCTGTTATCAGAGGTGTTTGGTATTGATTAAGAAGTATGCCTTGATTATTCTGTACTCTGGCGATTGCTTCCTTGAGAGTTTCATTGTAATCAGCTATGACAAGAAATTGAGCATGGGTCTCGGAGTAACGGTGATACCAGTAGTTGACTGGTGCGCCGCTTTCCAGGAGTAATTTGACGATAGTAGCGACCCCCTTTCTCACACAGTCTGGCCCATCTCCCTCCTGGGTTTTCGAGTCGTGTAGTAGTGCGTGTGTGGGCCAATAGATTGCGCGAGTAAGGGCTGTTGCGCCGCCTATTTCCACCGATTCCCGTATGCGGACATCAGCGCCGGCTTTGAGCAATCGTTTAACGACACTTTTGTGTCCTCTTCCTGCTGCCCAATGTAGTGCTGTGGCGCCATAGCAGTCTTTCATATTAATATCCAGGGTACGCTTTGCAACCAATATTTTAGTAATATTCTTAAGACCAAAATATGCCGCTATATGCAATCTTGAGAAGGAAAACACCAATGAATTCATATCAGGCGGTTTGTATTCGGTGGCAATTCTACGGCAGAGATACCACTGGCTGGCGTATCGATCGGTTAGGTCACCAGCAAGATATTCAACGGAACCAGTTAATATAAAGTCTGTTCCAGGTGACTTCCTTGCATGCGAACCCCAGAAACACGATGCGTAATCAAGAAGATCCAGACAATTACCCAGAGACTCAGGTGGACAAGAGCTGAGCGCCTCAGACTGCTTGGTGGAATATCGGATTACTTTTGGATGTGCGAGAAAGGCAAGGCACACTTTGGCAAGTAATTCTTCTGTATCGTTGAAAAGGCGGCGCCTAATATCCCCTTTGGGGGGTGTCGAATCCCGGAGATACTCCTGGAACGATATATGAAATGGACGAACCGTATGGTCAGATTCGTCAATCATGATTATTCCGAGGCAAGCATTCTTCAGGACCTCCTGGTTCACCAGGTCACCGTGTTCCAACCTGGGAACGGTACGTGACTTCCAAACGACATCTCCTGAGATCTGCTGCTCGATGGCAAGTGCCATCTGGAGTTCCTGGATTTTCAATGGCCTTCTGCAGTGCGAAACCCAAGCAAGAATACTATTGGCGAGTTTTCTATGCGTCTCCTTCTGGATTCTCAACAGCATATCAGAATATATGGCTTCAAGACTATCAGGTATCATGTTGGCGCGTTCACGAATCTCATTTTCTGTAACCCCGGCGAGGACGAATGCGATTAATTTATCCGCGAAGAGAAAGTTTTCCCCGGAATTTTGGATTATCTTGTCCATCATTTGTTCTCCAATATCGTTCCACCCGGAACTTGATTCAAGGACCCGAGTTTGGATGCATTGCTCAAGATCAACCCTGCTGGCCTTTATAGTCAAGTCTCTTGCGGCAGGGAACTGACTCATTATCTTGTCCTTGACATGATCACGTCCTGTTATAAAAATATGGAGATTTGAGCCGATCTTAGATAGCTCTTCCAGTAGTTTTGTTCTTTGGCGCCCATTCATTTCGTCCACTGCATCGATACAGATGTAAGTACGCTGGTATCTCGAACATGCAAATTCTAGTAGTTCGTCGGGAGGTAATAGACCTTCGACTAGCGTATCCACTCCAAACATCGAGATTTTCATCACCAACTGCGCAGCCAGTGAGGTTAGCAGACCTTCGCTAGTCTGATCAAGGTCCCCAGGTCTGCAATAGACATAAGCAAGCCCTGCATTGCGGGCTCTTTGCTTTTGTTCCCCCTCAAGCCACTTGACAACGAGAGACCTGAAAACGATTACTAAACGTTCTAATGCTAAGAAGAGGAAAAATAAGCAATTGACAGTTACCTACATCATACACGACTTCCCGGCACCGGGTAATCCATGGCAATATAAAACACGTGGGGTTGTTTGGGGATCGTTATACCATGCCACAAAAGTGGCACTCTCGAAGACAGACCCCCACGTTCCTTCCAGAGTTTTATCCAGATAATATTGGTGTCGTTTATTCATACCGAGGGGGTCAATGTTACGCAACGGCCCCTTCAGGGGTCCGTCTGCATGTCTCTCAGCCCTGTCTCTATAAACCAGCCATGGCCACACCAGAAGAAGAACTCACCGTGTTGATGACCGGGACCAATAAAATTGTGCAATTCTAGATTGCTTACTATGTCCCGTTAGTATGTGTCAATATATATATATTAAATACTACATCTTTTGTCATGAAAAGTGACTGCGAACATACCTTTGAGAAACGATTGCCTCCAAGTTACGAATGTGGAGGGAGTGTTCTCGAGAGATAAGGGATTCAGATGCGACAATAGTACCTTTGCAGTTGAAGCCGCCGTCAGGGAAGCATAATCATGCCACATATCATTCTTATGTGTATCCGCATAGTCACATATACCGCGGATTACGATGCATGGCAAGGTCCCATTCACGAGTCCAGCCGCTTCCATCTCAATGCAAATCGCGTTGTACCTCTCCCGCAGAGAATCTCGTAGTTGTGCGTCTTTGACGAGCATGTTTCCTGACGCAATAATGCCACAGTGGACAGCTGGGTCGAGAGATCGAGTGGGACTCGCTTGACGCGTATCGGTCCTAGTTTTATCACAGGAGGTGCAGGACCTGCTGCCATCGCTCACACACTTATAATCAGGTGGAAAGAGGTGGTCGTTCTCGAGTCCAGGGAACTCATACCGGCGTCTCTTATCCCCAGCCTTAGCTTGGGCCTCCCTGAGGCAGGCAGGTATGCTATTTTTGTTGATCCCTTGGTCCAATTCTGTCGTGAAACGCTTCAGCGCTACTAATAAAGCATGAGATGGTCTATTTATGGACCCTTTCAGCTGAAAAGTGTTATCCTGCTTTTGTGTTCCCATGTCAAACTGCACCACCCCACTGTACTGATTATTCGGCTCACTAATCACAACATCACCGAGACGAATCTCCTCCTCATCATTCGGGATCGCGGCACCAATTCCCACTAGTAAAACGCATTTCATATTGGGAAAGCTGCGTGCCATGTGGATGCCCGTTGTTGCTGCCGATGTCATTCCATACCGCCCAACAGGTAGGCTCGCAATAATTACGTTGTGTTGCCCTATTTTCCCAAAGCGGTAGTCATTGGGATCACCCGGGACAAAGTGGTCTTCGTGTTCCTCATCTAGGACGAGAAGGGCCGCACGGAATTCCTCTGCGAGTGCGCATACCCAACCAACACTATACTGGCTCTTATCCAGCCGTTTCCGGTTAGACAAGGGGTATGCGCTTGTCACCTCCAGTCCGTCCGCATTTGAGCGCCATAAAGAAATATCCAACTAATAATATGTCAATGAGGAAATTAAAATCTGAGAATGTCGATGGCGCGAGACAAACCAAATTACTCGGAGCCTGCCCGGTACGCGGGCCATCACTTGTCCCCGCAAACTGATCTTCCGGCTTCGCAACCACACCTGAGGAATAGCTCTCTAGCTTGAGTTTCGTCCGAGGTGCACATTCCATGGAACTCGAATGAGATGAATGTAGTCGTTTCATGGTAAGGCTTCATAAAATAAATCTTGAGAAAGGCAATTCCATGATATCTCAGTCCCAGGCTGGTCACTATAAAGCAGTTTGGTGAATGATGGATGGGTAGAAAAGAAAGGTGTTGGGAGCTTTCCACGTCACAATTTTCAAATGAGGCTACGCAAAGATTTAAATTAATCACAAAATTCACTGCCTCACTAATCTTAGAGATAGATGCCAGACGTCCATTTTTTCAGCCTTTCGTTGCGGGTCCTCGTGTACCTATTGGGTGGTTGTTTTTCGACGTGCCACTTCAGCACTGCATAATCTCAGCCTTTCGTTCCAGGGCTGTGTAGGAGTTCAGCCTCGTATTGGCCAAGTACTATACTACGAGGATTGATTTCGCAGGTGCCATTGCACTCATGTCTTTTCTTAAAAGGAAGGCATTTTACCTCGCTCTGAAAAAGTATCTTAGAACTGTTTCTTTCTCCGTCCCTTTCATTCTGATTCTTTCCATCCTTGTCGTTAGCCCAATCCCAATCTTCCATTGCATCTACTTTTTCACCCATCAAAAGAAACGACGAAAAATAATCAAAAAGGCGTAAAAGAAAAAGAGAAGGGGAACATTTTTCCAGACCATGGACGACCAAAATCAGGCAAAAACCCATTCACCAGGTAGCGAAGAGCCCATCAATGGGATCATTTCGAATCCAAACAATGCAACTAGCACCCTGAAAGACGAAATTCTGATGGCGCCCGGCGAACTTTCCGAGATCAAGACAATTTACCAACGTCCCGACGAGGAAGAAAATGTCTCTTGGGTGGATGAATGTCCCAAAGAAATTACTACCGGCCCGGATAGGAATGCCAAATCTACGCAGTTTGCTATAATTCTACGGCAGAAGCAGAGCAAATCTCCTCTCAGGGCGCTTGAAGCCCATTCCATTGTGATTCAGAGTCAAGCACTCAGAGATGCCCTGAGTGAATATGTTTTCAAAGACTACCCTGGTCCGGTGTGGGAGGTCGATCGAGTGGTTTTTGAAGCCCCATTCAGACCGTTTGTTAATCGCTGGGCCAAATTCCAAAAGTTGAAAAAGCGTCGGAACCTCGACGGCAAAACCAAAGAACATATCGCCCTGCTTTATGACCTCCTTAGTTCGGAGCTAAGCGATGCCATCAGTATGCACCAGGGTTATACCATTAGCAGGGTGGTGCCATGGCATAATCTATGGATGATCCTCATTTCCGGTGAAGTAGTCATTACGAACAACAACGGTAGCTTCGTTGCATCCAAGGTGCTGCAAGCCGGATATGGGAAAGACAAGGACGGGGAGTTTTTCAGCATTCATTACTTCTCCGTGGATTGGAGTGGTGATTTCTTCGGTTATTACGAGCAGGAGCAAAAAATCCGCCCGTACGAAGATCAAAGGGGGATTAATACGCTTCCAATATATCCTATTGATTTCCATGAAGATAAAAACCTCAGGAACCTCTTAACACTGCGGGGGAAGAAATTTGAAAGTTCAGTGGGATACCACTACAAATCGTAAGACACCATCCTGCCTATGCTATGACTTCCTATAGCTGATATCTTGTAACAGGTACAATGGCGCAGCCATAACTTGGAATCGATCCTCCTGTAATGAGGAAAAAGTCCATGTTTCTGGGCGTATCATTATCGATCGCCACGAATTTGCCCGCTATTCTCCCTTCAGTTTCCGGCACGTTCGGCGAAGACTTTCTCCCGAGAAAGATAACATTCCCAAGACGCTCACTTCCGATCACCATATGCTATGCATGGACCGTCTATACGGATACTCACCTCAATTACACACCTGGATGGACTTTTTTGTGGACAATATTCAAGATATCGAGTGGCGGACCAACACACTAGAGGGCCTGGTACTTCCAAAGCCCAAGAAAGATCTCCTTGCTGCCATAACCCGAGCAAAAAAGTCGGGCGAACACGAGTTCAGTGACTTTATTGAAGGTAAGGGAGAAGGTATCATCATGTTGCTTTCTGGCCCCCCCGGAACTGGAAAGACGCTCACGGCAGAGGCTATTGCGGAGGATATGCGGGTTCCATTAATTGCTATCACATTCTCCAATCTCGGCCACCACGTTTACATGATTGAGCGGGAACTGTCGAGAATATTTGAACTTGCTGCACACTGGAACTCCATTCTGTTACTGGATGAATGCGATGTGTTTCTCCAGGCTCGTTCACCAGATCGATTGGAACAAAATAACATTGTTTCAATATTCCTCCGCACGTTAGAATACTACAAAGGAATTCTCTTTATGACGTCAAATCACACTGCCAATATTGATCCGGCTTTTTCCTCTCGCATTCATCTATCTCTGGAATATCCCGAGCTCGATCAGGACTCCCGACTGCAGGTGTGGAATACTGTGCTAAAATCACTCGTCAAGTCCCACGAGTTATCCCATGAGGACATTCTGAGGCTGTCAAATCTGGATATCAACGGGAGGCAGATCAAAAACATTGCACGGATGGCACAGCTCCTGGCGTTAAGCAACAAACAGTCTCTCCGAATAGAGTCCATTGACACTATCCTATCCATTGAGAGCCGTCAAATAGCATCAATGCCGACTCGGGGATCGAGTGGCTCTTTTGAAACTCCACTATCAGTGGAGGGCCCTACCCGCAATCCAACGAACAAGGAAACCGACACTCGAGAGTCAACCGAGTCCCGAACAAAACGCAAGGCCACCAGAACTGACGACGTACAACCCTCCAGTCACCGCCGGAGAAGGCTATGAAACGGTTATCCCTGCCAGAAGATTCTTCTTTCGTAGCTAGGACAAAATCGTGCGATATAGTGACACTGATCCCATTCACCGTCTGCTGTTTCTCACTAATTGGTGTCTGTTTCATGTATATCAGGAGCAAAAGAGAGCATCTATTGATTCACCTCATCTTCTCGAGCCAATTACCTTCTGCGCATCGTTGATCATCTGGTGCCATGCTAAAATGGAGCCCTCTGACGTTCCCCATCGTACAAACAATCACACCAGCTTCCTGGGACGCTACATATCAGGAGCTGTATGTCATTTTCTCGTTGCCTAAAATACAAAAGTTGCATGAACACAGATCAGGTAGCATTGACTTACAGCTTCTTGATAGGAAAACTTCAGGGCACCAAATTTATTCTTAACAGTCTTAACATCTGGGTCTTGTTGACACTGTCTCTATTAGCAAGTGAATTATAATGATGAATTGCCTGTTACTGTTTATTAATTTTGAGTAGTGTGTAGTAGCTATTTATGTAGTGATCTGGGATTACTAGATAAGAAAGATAGAGTGTGTTATAATAGAAATATTAAAGAACTATATTTTAAATATACATTAGCATACTTGATTGGCAAAAGGAGTTTGCTCGAATTTATCAATTGATGTCAAATCGCAAGCAAATATGTCACATGTATATTTGTGATGGTCAGCCCTAGCCCTAGATTGACAAGTCAATTTGTCGGATCCAGGCATCATATCACTTTCTACTTTATTATGGGACAAACACATGCCATTACTACATATCATCACGATAATAATTTAATAGTAAGAGTTGCAATGCTGTGCAGTGTGCATTGATAGCATAATACATGATAGACGGTATACGGCTCGCCCATTGGCCAATGGTTCGACGTGAGTAATGTTGATGACGCAGCAGTATACTGGCCGAGAATGATGACAGCAAGGAGTAAATGGGCTACGACGAGGTTACTCTGGACTAAGAATAGCCGTTTCGCGATCGAGCATGCCCCTAATTAACTACGCTAATCTACTAATACTAATTAACACGTAGTCCTGCCGCCCCTGCGAAATTGAATTCGGTGTCTGACAGGCCGTGACAGCGGCTCGCATGTACAAACTAAGGAGTAAGAACACTCCGACTCTCAATCCATCATCTCCATATGGACTCAATGCGGCCCCTTTGGGGGACCCACGCTAGTCCATACCGGCAATAGTGCGCCACGCACTCCGTATTATTGTGTCATCACGACTGTGCGGTGCCGTTCTAGACCAGGCAGCACGTCAGTCAATGGAGCCCAATCGTCATTCCAATAACGAAGATTCCCTGTATTCTATACGATGGTAATTAATATTAATAGAATCGGTATAGTTCTGAGAACCTTGAGAAATGTATTAAAATAATAAATATTGACAGGCAAAGTTCAAGTGTTCCTGACAGTGAAACATGGTGGACCAACGGCTGTGCCAGTCGCCCAATCGTCGCGGGAGTGGCGTTACCGTCTACCAATAGGCAGGCCCCCGGTGGGCTGCACCATCCCGCAGCCATGGGTCGGACTACCTCAGATTCGCTGTGTGGGCCCACCTGCCCTGCTCTAGTGGGGCACTCCGGCCACTGAGAATGCGCGATCGGCTTGCCACAGCTTGGCGTCTGCTATCCCCGATAGCCACAAAGCATATTAACATTAATGTGCTTGATATAGGTGACTCGTGAAACGCCGCCTGACTGCGCCAGCGACTGAGTTTTTGTGTGCTCTTTCTCTTCTCCTTCCTCCTCGTCACTCGCTTTCAAACATTGTCTCGACATACACTGCACATTCTTTTCGTGTGTTCCCTGGAGGACGTTCGCCGTTTTGGATGCTAGTCCGCCTAGAGCCAATTTTAGGCCGTTTAGTCTGTTGATCGATTTCTCCACGCTCTTTTTATGCACCATTCAGCGTCGCCCGATCAGGACTCCCTCCATACACGCTCATTGATACTCGTTTGGCGATTCATTCTGCCCGTCATAGCTCGTCTGGAGCCGATCTTATCTGCTACCTTGGGCAATACTCTGTCGCTTAGATCCACTGCAATTTTTTAGTACCGGGACCTTCGTTTTGTTCCCCTCCTCTCTTTCCTCTTTCACTTTCTCTCTTTTTATCCAAAGTCATCGATGTCGGGTCGGCCTGGCGTCGCAGAGAAACGCTTCTCAGCAAATAAATTTCACCCACTCCCTGATGATTTGAACAGCAACCACGGTATGGCGAACCCCAACGACGCTACCATCGATATACCCTTGACCACCGTGCCCAGTCGAGGCGGCACTGGTGCCCGTAAGATCAACACCAATGGCTACGACGCCGCTTCTAACGGCAATTACGACAATGGCGAAAAGTCTGGCTCGGACTTGCCTAATCGACCTGGCCCTGGTCGTCGGAAGAAAACCAGTGGTGAAGCCTCTGCTAGCCAGATAAACGAGGAGGAGGATGCCATCAATCGCATGGGCCGGATTTACAATGCAATTCTCAACTTTTCTGTCATAACCCGCTATTTTATCTACGTCTCTCCATTGGCCCTGGTAATTGCTATTCCCATAATTATTGGAGCTACTGCTGCTCCCAACTCAAAAATTGGTGGTGTTAGGATTGTCTGGTTTTTCACTTGGATTGAGGTTGTCTGGTTGAGTTTGTGGGTGTCTAAGCTCTGTGCCCACTTTCTGCCATATCTCTTTCAGTTCCTTATTGGCATTGTTAGTGCTGGCACTAAGAAATATGCTCTCATTCTCCGTGCCTTGGAGATCCCTTTGTCCTTGGTCGGCTGGTCTCTGGTATCTTTAGCCACCTTTATGCCGATTATGACTTCAAACCCGGATAACAGCGCCCATGGCAACGATTCATCAGGCTGGGAATATACAGTCAAGCAAATTCTCTTTGCCCTCTTGATCTGCACCCTTATCCTTCTGGCTGAAAAGACGCTAGTCCAGTTGATTTCTGTCAGCTACCACCGGAAGCAATATGATACCAGAATCAAGGAGTCAAAGCACAATATCGACCTGCTTGGGTATCTCTATGAAGCGTCCCGGTCCATGTTCCCAGAGTTTTGCAAAGAGTTTGAAGAAGAGGACGCCGTCATTTCCGACACCATTCTTGGTATGGAAAAGAAGAAATGGAAGCGCCACGGCCATCACGACTCCGTCGCGCCTATGCGTCTCATCCGTAACGTAGGTCGCAATGTCGGTCGTGTTGGCGACAAGGTCACGGCTGCGTTTGGCAATGTTGCCTCTGAAATTACTGGCAAGCACATTTTTGATACCGGTTCCGCCCATTCAATTGTTACCAATGCATTGGATCGCCATCGCTCTTCTGAGGCACTTGCAAAGCGTATTTGGATGTCTTTCGTGGTTGAGGGCAAGGATGCACTATATGCAGAAGACATTGCTGAAGTGTTAGGCGCTGGCCGCGAACATGAAGCTGAAGAGTGCTTCCACATCCTGGACCGCGATGGAAATGGAGACGTCAGCATGGACGAAATGATTTTGACTGTAGCCGAGTTTGGCCGTGTGCGCAAGTCGATTTCCAGGAGCATGCACGATGTCGACCATGCCATTCACGTTCTAGACAACTTGCTTCTCGTCGTTGCTCTGATTATCATGATTCTTGTCTTCGTTTCTTTTGTGACTACCGGTGCTGCAACTGTTATTGCTGCTGGCGCGACCTCGTTATTGTCTCTCTCTTTCGTCTTTTCCGTCACCGCCCAGGAAGTGCTTGGTTCCTGCGTTTTCCTCTTCGTCAAACATCCCTTTGACGTCGGCGACCGCGTTCAGATTAGCACGCAGGAATTGTTCGTCGAGGAGATTTCCCTGCTGTATACAGTCTTCCGTACTGTCGCCGAGCAACGGATCACCCAAGTTCCCAACGTTGTTCTGAATACCACCTGGATTGACAACGTCACTCGTTCCAAGGCCATGCGGGAACGCATCTCTCTCTTCGTCGACTTTGCCACCACATTCGCTGACATCCAGCTGCTCAAGCTCGAGATGGAGAAGTTCGTGCGTGAGAAGGAAAACAGCCGTGACTTCCAACCTGACATTGACATCGAGGTGGTCGACCTAGGCAATATGGACAAATTGGAACTCCGCGTCGAAATCCGCCACAAGTCCAACTGGTCGAACGAGACTGTCCGCGCTGCGCGTCGATCCAAGTTCATGTGCGCTCTCGTACTGGCTATCCGCAAGGTTCCCATCAATGGTCCTGGCGGTGGTGGTGCCGCACTGGGTGCCCCTGGCAACCCATCCTACTCTGTCGCAATCTCCGACGAACTGGCCAAGAAGTACCGCGAGGACGCTGCAGCAGCTCAAGAAGACGCTCGTTGGATCCCAACCAGCCAGATGGCCGAGTTGCATTCCACTCTCTCCCCAACCATGGCCGCGAAATCCAGCGCTGTCGAGACCACCGGCAATGACAGTATCGTGCAGCGCGCCGCCGCAGGCAAGAAGATGAACGAAGCTGCTTTCGTCGAGGTCCTGAACAGCCGTCCAGCCGGCTACGACATCGCCCGTCCAGACGAGTCTGCGCAGCTCTTCCGCGTTCCCAGCGCTACGTCTGGCCAGGACATCAACAACCAGCTGAGTCCCGTCCAAGAGTCCGACCGCACATCACTCCTCCGTGGACCATCTGGTCGTCGACGCGGCGGTGCTGATACCTCGCCCGGACCTCCCTCACCACTGGCAATCCCACCGGCTGTAACCGGCGCCGCGGCCCCAACTGACCGCTACGAGATCCCCAGCTACTACTCTGCTGCCGTGTCCACTGGCGGTGCAGCTCCCTCTGGCGGCCAGTACGAATCCAACAACCCATACGGCCGCGTCTCGCCTGCCCACGGCCAATCCGCAAACCCCTACCAGTCCGTGCCCCCTCAATATCAATCCCCTCCAGCCCGCCGAGAAGTGCCGACCCAAGGCAATGCTTTCGCACAGATGCATCAACAGCAGGTCGTGCCGCAGATCCAGCACCCTGATGTATCGCCTGTGGACGACGAGGATGAGACGAACACCCCTCGCCGATGAATTTAATCATGACCTTGGCCTTCATTCTCTCACGGCTATGACTATCTAAAAAGCATCCGTTCTTTCCATAAATGACGATGTCTGTCATCTCCGAGTTCTAGCGGGATATGTAATTTGGAATCTTTTCTGTTCTGTTCTGCTCTAGCCAACTGGCCCGCTTTTTGGGGTGCAGTGGAATGTATTCATGTCAAATAGAATTTTGCATCTTGATTTTCGTATCAGACGTACATAACGGAGGACTCATTAGTGCGTTTTCACGAATAAAATACCATATCAAAAAATGATGGCCTATTTTGAAGACGTAACAGCGAATGTCTAGCCTGAAGTTGAAGTTATCGGTGTTTATAGTTAACTTCTATATGAAGGTGATAAAGAAAGTCTCGTTCAAATACAGGGTTGATATTAGAAAGGAATTAATTCGGCGTAAATCTAGTTCACTCCTACTAGACCCTCCAGTGGCCATTAATTACTATAATACAAGTGCAAGAGCCCTAATAACCTCCCTATTTGGTCTATTTGGTAGGCTTCCACGGATATGCAACCTCCTCATCCTTCCTCACCCAAATCTTGCTCCTCTTCTTACTCACTATATGCTCGACAAACACCTCCTTTGTATTCTGCGCCTTAAACCGCCGAATCCAACGCGGATCCCAGAGCTCGCTTGCAACCCCTAAATCCTTGCAGCAGCGCACCAACGCATTCGATTTGCATCCCTCAGTTGCTGTCGGGATGCCTTCAGGGTTGAAGTAGTCCTGCTCGCCGCGGGCAATCGAGACGAGGCTTGTCCAGTCAGCACTATACCACACGGAACCCAAACACCCATAGCGTCACTCACCGTCCATTGCATATCAACGCATACTCCCTCGTCACCATCTTCGGTGTCACAATACTCTCACTCCTCGGCACCAATCCCCATCCTCCCGGGCCAAACGCCTTGTTTAGAATCCGCCGATACTTGATCTCGGGCATATACACGATTCCGTCGGGTTTGATTTCGACATCGTCGGGATTCGGTGGCGCGAGCAGGATGTCGGCGACTTCTTTGGGGAAGGGTTTGTCACTGATGCCGTGAAAACTGCGTGTCCAGTCGATTTTCTCGTCATTGCTGTTGTAGCCAGAGGGGTTTAGGTCGAGGGGCGCGTCCGAGAGGCCGGATTTGAGGAGATTGGATGTTGTGGGATGGTTGGGCGTAGGTTGTTTGATTGCGTCGGCGCGGTTTGTTGAGCTGGGAGTGGAGGATGGGGGTTTTGATGGTGATGTCGCTGCTTGGGTTGTTTGCGGGCGAGATGTGAGGAGGGTAGGGAAAGGTCGTGAAGAGCGAAGGAGAATGGTTGCTTGTCGCGGATTCTGTGCTCTGAGAAGCCCCAGGCCTGCAAAGGACCGCCTTGCAGCAAGGGACGACATGATGAGTGTGTTGTGAGTGATGGTGATTGCACTTGCGGCGTCTTCGATGTTGAATATCAATGTTGACGACTCTTTGAAAGTTACTTCCGCTAGTCGGCCAGCCAATCACGGGCCGAGATTGGCAACTCAAGATCTCAACAGAACATTGAACATTTGAATAAAATGTCAATTGGAGACGCGGTCAATAGGTCAGAAATGACCAACTTTTGAGATTGTAGGAAGCTGAGATGGGTCATGCACGAATGAGGTTATATATGTTACAGGTAATACAGTAGTACAGCAAACAGCAAACAGCAATACAGCGATCAAGCATCTTTCGTTGACGTCCTTTGATCGTTACCCTGGCGTTTCCAGCACTCCCTGAAAGCTTCCATCTACAAAGAAAGGTATTAGTTGAAACCATATAACCCATGGGTAGCCATCAAGCATAGGAGTGGAAAGCGCAGAGTGGATATATTCTTGCCGCTCACCTCTTTCTTGCAGCTCCTCCAATCCCTCTTATCATAGTAGCAGTCATTCATTGTGAGTTGCTCCGCTGTATCCAGTCAATACTTTTGAACTCTTTGTGCTTGAATATTGCATGGTTAGTATACCTGCACACCCCGTACTGAAAATGCGCTTATCCCTGCGGAGAGCCTGAGTCAGTGCGGAGAAAAGAAAACCAGCGTCAACTTGACTGCAAACCTACCAATCATCAGGTTCATCGTCCGGGTCGGTCGCCGCGGTCGAGGTTGTCTTTTCGTTGTTAGACATTTTGTCTCAATCGCCGATTTTGAACAATTGCGATTCCGCCAGCAAACAGTATTGATCGGACGTGTTGAGGAATAGAAAATAAGTGGCGGACCTGCTCTGCTCCCCCCGCCGAACATGTCAGTCAACCGACTAGATCCAAAAAAGCTCAACGTGCTCGTATACACCGGTGCGCTCGCTCATCCACGCCATCACAAACTAGAAACAGAAATTACTGACATGCATGTACAGGCCATGGAAGCACGCTGGAATCCGTGCGTCACTGCCTGTACACCCTCCGTCGCCTGCTCGCGCCGAGCTATGCGGTCATCCCAGTCACGGCTGATATGATACTAAAAGAACCATGGACATCAACATGTGCTATGCTCGTCATGCCCGGCGGTGCAGATCTAGGATACTGTCAAGTGTTGAATGGCCACGGGAACCGACGAATCTCGCAATTCGTGCAACGAGGCGGCGCATACCTAGGTTTCTGTGCCGGCGGGTACTACGGGAGCAAGAGATGCGAATTCGAGGTCGGCGATAAGAAAATGCAGGTTATTGGGGAACGCGAGTTGGCGTTTTTCCCCGGTACTTGTCGGGGCTGTGCGTTTCCTGGATTCGTGTATTCGAGCGAAGCTGGCGCGCGTGCTGTGGAACTCAGGGCGTCCAAGTCGGCGTTGAATGCTGGTGCGGTGCCGGACGTTTTTCGGAGCTATTATAATGGCGGCGGTGTGTTTGTTGATGCTGAATCGTTTGCCGATCAAGGAGTGGAAGTGTTGGCGAGCTATACGGAAGAACTTCATGTTGACCCTGGGAATGGTGCAGCTGCTGTGGTATACTGCAAGGTTGGCGAGGGTGCCGCTGTTCTTACAGGACCCCATCCCGAGTTTGTATTTCATATATTTTGAATAGGATAGGAACTAACAAAATCCAGGTTTGCAGCGGCGAATCTCGACAAGTCGGCTGGCGGCCCGGAGTACGGCAAGGTGGTTGATCGACTAGCAGCAGACGACAAATCGAGGACGGATTTTCTCAAGTCATGTTTGTCGAAACTTGGCTTGCAAGTGAATCAAGACACGTCTACGGTACCATCCCTTTCTTGCTTACACCTTTCTTCTATCGAGCCTGAGTACACCCAGAGCATTGTACGCTCATTAGACGAGTTAATCACAAAAGAAGATGGGAAAGAGCTATTGAAGGATTTAAACGACACATTTCAAATAGAGAGATCGGACAAGAGTTTCCAAATGCAAGGTCTAGAGGAAGCTTTGTCTGATAATGTTAAGGATGCTGAAAAGACAAATACTGATGCCTCAGAGGACAGAATTATCGATTATAATGCGATAGTCAAGCGCCTTATGATCCACGACGAAATCCCGTCATCTAAACTGACACCTTATTTCAATCACCATGCCTTCTATGCCAATCTGAAATATTACCAGTCAAAGTCAAAAGAACCAGTGCTGGATTATGGGAGGCATTTACTGTACGGAGAAGTTGTGACGAGTACAAATACTATACTTGAAAAGTATGTCTCTGCTCATCATCATTCCGGTATTACAACATCTAACGCATTATTTAGGAACTCACGCCTCCTTCGCCATCTTCCCACCGGCTTCACTGCAGTAGCCACGATCCAGGTCGCCGGAAGAGGGCGCGGGTCCAATGTCTGGGTTTCGCCAGCTGGCGCTCTTATCTTCTCGACCGTGATCCGCCATCCCATGGAGAAGATGCAAAGCGCACCAGTCGTGTTCATCCAATACCTAGCAGCCATGGCTGTAGTCAAGGGCATAAAACGGTACGACAAAGGTTACGAAGACCTACCAGTGAAAATGAAATGGCCAAACGACATCTGTAAGTCTGCATAAATCTTCCAACCCTATATATACTAATCTTCGTGCAGACGCCCTCGACCCAGCAAACCCAGAGAAGAAGCAATACACGAAAATCTGCGGGATTCTAGTGAATTCACACTATTCCTCTCAAGAGTACATTTCCGTGGTCGGGATCGGAATCAACGCAACCAACGCATTGCCGACGACATCACTAAACGCACTGGTCGAGAAATTCGCATCGACATCGACACTCAAGTCCAACCCCATTACTCTCGAGAAGCTCCTGGCGCGGATCCTGACTGTCTTTGAAGAACTGTACACCCGGTTTTTACGCGTGGGTTTCGATAAGACGTTTGAAGAGATGTATTACGATGATTGGCTGCATATGCACCAGATTGTGACCCTGGAAGAAGAGGGCGGTGCGCGGGCACGGATTAAGGGGATTACGCGCGATTATGGATTGTTGTTGGCAGAAGAATTGGGCTGGGAGGATCGTCCGACTGGAAAGGTATGGCAGTTGCAAAGCGACAGTAATAGTTTTGACTTTTTCAGAGGCTTGGTGAAGAGAAAGGTATAATAAAACTCGGGGCTGTGCTTTTATATTGGGTAAGGCAGAAAAATTAGATCAATTAATTAAATGAATTCGTATCTACTCATTTTTCTATGTTGAATTCAAACACCAAATCACCCGTTCCCAATGGAATCGGCTGTATGTATTGATCATAAAGCGTCCTCTCCACGTACTTCACACGCCCGTGCGGGTCGACAAGCAGTATAGTCTGCTTCTGCGTTCCATACAATCCAGCTACATACCCAGCCAGTCCCAATTTCTCCAGACTCTTCATCTCAGCCTCAAACTTGGCGCGATCACCCAGCAGAGGAATGAAAATGGATTGTTTGAGGAGTTGCTGGTACTCGTCCTTAACGGGCTCGCAGTTCAACCGTGGCAGGGTATCAGTACTAAGTACTTCGAATAACCTGCGTATCAGGTCTTCTTCCCCCTCCGCATTTTTTTCTGCGGCTTGCACATGTGCGGCGATGGCGTTTTTCATGAGTTTCTCCCCATTGATGATCTTCGGCCATGTGCGGTCTGAGAAGAAGGTGTTACTCAATCCTACCGTCTCCCCCTTCTCCTTCGCAATCCAGGTCACACGGTCGACGTCGTCGGACATGCGGTTTGAAATGATTGCCAGCGGCTCGTCGAGCTTCCCACAGACGAGACTGAATCCGCCGGCCTTTTTGGTGACTTGGTTTTCGATTGTGTCAACGACGAACTGGCGTGTACTACGCGGTGGTGGTGATGATGATGTGGCGGGGGGTTCTGTTAAGAAGGCATTGACAATGGCGCCGCGGCTGACCGTGCCTATCGGCACGTTCTCACGGTAGTTGGTGAGAACAGCGACTCGGCCTTGTTTGGTCACACCCATCCATGTGCCTTGCTCTGGGCGAGCGAGGTCACGGGAGCCTAGGACATGGTTGTTGGGCTCTTGCCACCATCCCGCGGGAGCGGTTGGGCGGTGGAGGTATTCCTTTGCAGGTTAGTAAAGGGTCAAATGGAGAAAAGGGAGAGTATTTACATCTCGATTATCAATTATTATGAGTGGGTAAGAAGGGTGAGCCGTCGAGATAAGAGCAATACACATTGTTACATCAATGTATTCTCGAGTTATCAATTGATCAGTCGTGACTACCAACCAAGTAAAGTTCAGAGGAATAGCGGGCCAGTTGAGTGACTCTGAAGGCTGGATATATCAATATATCGATATTTTGCAGATTTAATATGTTGGATTCACGATGGGCAGAATTGTTGTCTTATATTACATAGAATGCTCAGCTGTACAATGTATATTCTGGTCTGCCGAGCATTGCCCGAGGAAGAAAGGCCCGTAACTTATGACGCTTATCTAAGCGGTCTGTCAGCCGATAGAGACTGGGGATCATCTTTGATCTGATATTACCATGATATAACAACGTGGTGCACTCTATTTAGTCTCTCTAAGTGTGTGTAGTTTAGTGATGGCATATAGATGTGATGTCATTTCGACGCTGACCCCAGTACATGCTTGAGGCACACATCACGTGAGCACAAAGACTATCAAATTTCATACTGCTAGATGTTGTGATAGTTTATATGAGAATTATTTCTCTTTCTCTTCGACATATCGAATCAAAAGGCGTTTGCTAAAAATAAATGGACTCATCAGTTGACTGGAGGTGCAGTATTTGTATGTTCTTTTCTATTCTTGAATGATCCGGATAATGTAAGAAGACAAGTAAAGGATGCGTGTAAATGTAGAGATTAGAAAACTAACTAACTAGATCAACAGGTCTACTGAATATAATAAGAGGATACTCGTATATACAGTAATGGCTTATGTGGAAGTATACCCCGCGCTATAGTATGCAATGCAGGCCTTAAGGCTACTGTTTGATCGACGATAAGCCTTTATCGCTCGTGACCGCTTCTCTCATCCCTCACATCCAACCTTCCCACCTCCAAGCTACCAGTGACGACAGGGCAGGCAGAAGAAACACCTTTCCATCGGTTTGTATCCGGTATTCTACAGCTTATAAAATGTTTGGCATTATCGCAGATCTTCTGTCGTAAGTCGTTCTCGGGTCGAATAGGCAGACGCGTTGTGCGGGGAGCTTGCCACGGCTGAGCTGTTCACCAGCACTGAATATCTGAGCTGACAATCTTGATAACCAGATCTATTGTGACCATCTTATTCCCGGCCTTTGCTTCCTTCAAAGCCATCAGGTCCGGTAATCCCGCCCAGCTTACACCATGGCTAATGTATTGGGTCGTCCTGTCGGGTGTCCTGTTGGTTGAGTCCTGGACCGTCTTCATCATAGGATGGTACTCGAGCCTGCCTTCCAAAAAGGCCATTGAACAACGCTGACAAGTTCCTGCATAGGTTCCCGTTTTACAGCTGGATCCGTCTTTTCGCCCTTTCGTACCTCGTCCTCCCTCAAACCCAAGGCGCCCGAATAATCTTCCAAGAATACCTCGACCCCTTCTTCGAACAACATGAGCGAGAGATTGAAGAATTCATCGGCCGAGCCCATGAGCGCGCAAAAGCACTCGGCCTTCAGTACTTCTATCAACTGATCGATCTGATCCGCGAAAAGGTTCTGAGGCTCCCACCCCAGCAACCAGCGACTGCCGCGCCTCCGCAAGCTACCGGTGCTGCGGGATACGCACAGTCGTTACTGTCTCGCTTCAACCTGCCATCCGCCATTGCGAGCAACGCACCAGCTACTGGAGGAGATTTGTACTCGTTGGTCACATCGGCCATGACGGCGATTACATCAACGGCCCAAACCCGCGAGGCGCAAGCAGAAGAGCTGTCCGCCAGTGGAATCCTGCATTCCGACAAAGTCGCCAGCCTGTCGCGATCTGAGAAAGTCGATTTCTACTCGTCCCAGCGCGAGAGACTGCAGGTTCTAGTGGCTGCGTTGGAGAAAGAGGAGAGAAAATTCACGTCGGACGAGGATCTCGCCTATGGCGCGCCAGGCGGACTACGAAAGAATACGAGCGAGCATTCGTTTGATCAGATCGACTCGGATGATCTCAGCGGAAATTCTACGCACGAGGGATGGACCAGTGGCTGGTTTGGAGGCCAGTCGGCAGCAACCAAACGGACTGTGTCTGGATCGGCGCGCACTGAATTTGCAGCACGGGCAGTGGACGAGATTAGTCGAGCCTCAGGCTTTTCGAGATAGACTATCATTATGTATTCATTTTCTGGCATCATAAAATTGACACTATTCCACAGGGTGGTATACTACGTGTAAGTGTAGGTGGCACAGAATCTTGCCATGTATGATATCACATGCTCTCTCGCTGAATTAGTTGCCTCATCCACGCACCGCGACGAATCACCAATCAGAGTCGCCGTCGATGAATCATTCCGGTTAAAGGCGGAAAAATACGCCGATTGGGCTGGTCCTATTATTTGGTATTATGACTCGGCCATCTGACAAGGTATAGTTAACTTGGTATAACGTATTGTTGCCTCTGTATCTCGTATTCTTTTCCAGCTGGTGGGTCTCGCGGCTCTCGCCTGGTAAATCCGCCATATTCACAGCTAATCTCCGAGAAAGAAAGAGAAAGACCATCACACCTCAGCATAGAATAGTTAATTAATTACCACGCAGGCTGCAGCATTGATGGCGATGCTCCAGCCTCGACACCCAGAAGCAGCAGTATTATTAATAATATAAGACCTGCATGCACACCGGGCGAGCTATCGTCGTCACTACCCCCGATTCTGAGTTACGTCAACGGCCAGACAGGGGTTTGATTCGCGGCGTGGCGAGAATTATCGTGCAGTCCGGAGCGTCGCATGCTCTTCAAGCTGGTCCTTGGTCGTAAGAACCGGTACTTATCGATAGCATCTCTGCAGTAGCATAGGCAGGGCGGATTGTAATGAATAACCAGTAAATATAGAGACAAGCAGTCATGACGCTTGCCTCCGCTTGATTTGTCTGGCAGTAACAAACAAAATATAAATAATAACCTGACAATGATAGATACATAAGACATAATAGCAGCCAAGAATAAGAAGTTATTGTCGCAGCAGGATCCACTAAGCCTGTTTGGGCCAACCCGGCAAGCGCCCCAAATTTTCTTCCCCCAAGTTTTCTCACCACCACCGCCAGCCTCTGCATTTATCCCTCTTCTCTCCTCAACCCATCCTTTTTCACTAGAGGACCCTCTTCTGTGTTTGAAGAGGAGGAACCATCGCGGATACCGTTTTTGTATATCCGCCACCATATCACGTCTGTGATCTGTTCAGCGCCTGCCCTTTTTGTGTGCGGCGAGGAAATTCACAGCCACTCCTTTGGTAAGTCCGTGTTTGTGTGTGCCTGAAGACCTCCGGCAATTCTCCTTCATTTCCCTCGCATTTCACCTGCCTTTGTTCGCAAAAGAACCCCCTCCAGTTCCTTCGTCACGCGATCCTTAAACCGATTCGCCAATTTCTTTCGTCCTGGCGGTCACTTTGCACCCTACTTCTCTGTCGGAAGTCATCGACTGCCTAACGGAAAGACTTTGCTTTTTTCCCCTTCAGTCTCCCTCTGCTGTCTGCAGCCGGGTTTTCGTGCGACCAACTAATTTTCTTTTCATCAAAGCGAAGCAGAGTCGCTCTCTCACGCCTCGATTCTTGACACTCTCGTCGAATCGCCATCCATTTCCTCACGCGTCTTTCTCCCTCGAGCGAATCCCGTCTAATGAGCTCGATCTCTCAGAAGCAGCCGGGTCTTCAGTCTCAAGGACAAAGCAACTCCACGCCGGCCGCTTCAAACGCCAGTTCGACAGCAAACAGCGCTGCTCGATCCCACGCTAGCGCCACTAAGAAGTCGACCGACTCTGAAGCTGCTGCGGCACACCATGGGAAGTCGCCTTCTACAACTCTTTCAGTAAACGGCAAATCATCCATGCAGAACAACCAACCTTCCGGGGTGACCATTGTGAATGGCGCTCCATCGTCTCAGGGCGGCGACCACAGCAGAAAACAATCAGTAACCATCAGCTCCACTGGCACCACCGGCTACCTCCCTAATGGCGGCCCAGCTGCCGGCGCGAATCGCAACAGCATCCAGTTTGGCGCGGTAGACCAAGAGGGCTCTCCTGCCATGGCTTCTTCCGTCGCTGTCCCCGCTGGCCAGGCTCAAGGCGGCCTTGGTGTTGCGCAACCTGCAAACCCTCGCGCTACTTCGCCTTCCACCTCGCCTTCGCCCATCCCACAGCCAGCCTCCAGTGGCGGACGGCCGCCGTCGACATATCACTCACAAGGAAACGGACCAAACTTTGGCAGCTTCCCGGAATCGGGAGACCCTGTAAGTTTAGTGGATGATGCAACTCGCCTTATGGAGATTTGTCATGTTGGGTAGGTGTAATTTTAATTTACTGACTGTCGACTCCAGAGACAAATGAGACCGAACCAAGCGCCACTGGGCCCAGGACATCAAGCCACCCATTTACGTCGCGAATCATCACAATCCGCACACAGTGACCACATCCCTGGAGGACCAGGTGGTCCAGGTCGCGGTGGCTACCCTCACCAGGGTGGCCGTGGTCGTGCCTACTCTCAATCTGGATACCAAAATCCGATGGCCTACTCTCCTGGCCCTAATTTCCGGTCTACACAAAACCAGCCTCGTGGAGGTTCAAATATGGCTCCTCAATATCACGGTCCCAACCAAGGACGACCTCTTGGACCATTCCCAAATTCTCCACACCAAGCTGCTCGTAGCCCGGCAGTACCAAACGCTCACCCGGTCACACCTCAGATGAACCAGGTACCCATGGCACACGCTCAGATGCCAAATCAGCATTATGGTTCTTATAACCAACATATGGCACCCCAAAATGTGAGACGCGATTTTTCTATGCCTTCTAAACCTTTTCGAAACCCCAAATCAAGATCATATCAAAAGGAACCCCCCAAAGCAAAGCACTCACAAGGAACCCGTACCCGACGTGATCTTACTGCACCTGCACAAGCCTCCCAGCCTTTACCCTCTACACTACCACCCCCTCCAGTGAACATCCCATCTCCAAATATCCCGCCTCCAATGAACTTTTTGCCCCGATTCCCTTCCCTTAACCTTGCTCCAGAGAGTGGTCAGTTTGAACGTTATCTAACTTTGTTGAAACCCCAGAATTACCCACAGGGATATGACCCGAATTATTATTATGCTGCGTATGGTATGCAGCACAATATGTATATGACACCTCCTTCGCCCCAACCTCGACCCGGCATGCCTTATACCCCGCAGGCGCCCTATATGGGAAACCAATACCAAGCTGGCGGAGTTCAACCTCCTGCACAGTCTACTCCCTTGTCGAGAAACCCTTCCCAGGTCTCTAATGACCGACCTGGCTCGAGTCTCGGCCAAGGCCCTGCTCCAACAGGTGCTCCTACTCCTGGACATGCTCACACTGCTAGCAGAACCTCGAACAGCCCTGCTCCTCAGAAGAACACTTTCGTCATCCCGACGCCGAAGAAAAGTGCCATCGTTATCAAGGATCCCAACAGCGGTGCTGTGAAGTCTTTCGACAAGCAGCAACCAGGGTCCCCAGCTCGTGCCACCCCGTCGCCTGTGAAGAGCTCGGCTCCTACTCCCCCCCTCGCACCACCAGTGGCGCCGAACACATCCGATCAGACAGTAAGTCGGTCAAGACGGATGAGGAGAAGAAGAAGGAACTTCGTGACGCAGTTCGTTTGAAGATTGAGCAAGAGGAAGCCGAACAACGTCGCAAGGAAGAGGATGCCAGGAAAGCTATTGAAAACCTTTCGCTTGAAGAAAAGGTAGACGACAAGAAGGCCAAAGAAACAGCTGCCCAGCCACCCAAAGCAGAGGCAGCCCCAGCTCCCCAGCCTGCAGCAGAGAAGAAACCTGAGGAGAAGCCGGCCCCAGCTCCTGCACCCGCCGCTGATGATGAGATCGACTTCGATGCTATTGAGCGCGAATTGGCCGAAATTGAGGCGAAAGAGCTTGCCGCTGAAGCCGAGTACTACAAGAGGAAACAGACCCAGAAGGAGGAAGAGGAGCGGAAGAAGAAGGAAGAAGACGAGGCTTGGGAGCGCAATATGAAACAGGCTGAGCGGGAAGCAGAGGCGATCGAGGAAGCGCGCATCAAGAAATTGGAAGCTGGCGGCGAAGTTGACGATTCCAAGAAGAGCTCTGAACTTTTCGCATCACTACGCAAGGGTGGTATCACTGCTGACGAAGGCGCCGCACCTCCAACTCCCGATGACAGTGGCGCCGCTACACCAGTTTCCGTGTCGGACGCCTCCATGGGACCCCCCTCCAAACCAGCCAGCGTCACCAAGCAGAAGCCTGGACCCCTCAAGCTCGAAACAAGCAAGGCTGTTGAACCACCACAGCCTAGTGCTGCCCTCAAATCTCTGACCGGCGCGAAGTTTTTGGAAAGCCTGTCATCCGTCACCTACCCATCCACCATCGTCTCTCCTAACCCTGCTCTGAACGTTAATGCGCCATCGGACCGCAAGTTCAAATATAACAAGGAATTCTTGCTTCAGTTCCAGAATGTCTTCAAGGAGAAGCCTACCCTGGACTGGGATCAGCGCGTTCGTGAGACTGTTGGCGATAGCGGTGATTCTTCACGGCCACAATCTGCTCGTACGCCAGGAATGGGTGGACGTAATACTTCTCGCCCAGGCATCCCATCGACCTTCAAAATCGGCAGCTTCGTTCATGGTGGTTTCCCTACAGCTGCAGGCACGTCTAAAGACGGCTTCCCCAACCCTGGTAGCCGTACTCCATCAATGGGAGGTGGACCATTCGGCCCCTTCGGATCTGGCCGCCCCGTCTCAATTGGACCTGGAGGACCGGGTCGATCTGGCTCATCTGCGGCTATGAATAACATGCCCGGAACTCCTCGATCCCTCTCCAAGAACACCCGTACGTCTAGCAAACGCGACAAGCACGTCGGCAAAAAGGAAGAGGATAGCAACAAGGCAATGCCTCTCACAGCTGGCACTACTTTGAAGCCTCTCGTTGTTTCAACCGGCGGTTGGAAGCCTCGCAGTCTCGTCCAACCTTCTACTGGTCCTACTCCAGGTGGTGACAGTGGTTACCTGGCTCCTGATGTCGTCCAGCGCAAGGTCAAGTCCAATTTGAACAAGATGACACCAGAGAACTTCGACCGTATCTCTGAACAAATTCTTACGATTGTCTCTCAGTCCAAAGACGAGACTGACGGCCGCACTCTTCGACAAGTCATCCAACTTACATTTGAGAAGGCCACCGATGAAGCCCACTGGGCTCCGATGTACGCCAAATTCTGCAAGCGTATGCTTGAGAGCATGAGCGCAGAAATCAAGGATGAGAGCATCCGCGACCGAAACGGCAACGTCGTTGCTGGCGGCAGCTTGTTCCGCAAGTACCTTCTGAACCGTTGTCAAGAGGAGTTCGAGCGTGGTTGGAAGGTTAACCTGCCACCTAAACCAGAGGGTGAGACCGAAGAAGCCGTTATGCTGTCGGATGAGTACTATACAGCTGCTGCCGCTAAGCGTCGTGGTCTTGGTTTGGTTAAGTTTATTGGAGAATTGTACAAGCTGGGCATGTTGACGGAACGTATTATGCACGAATGTGTCAAGAAACTTGTCGACTACGAGGGCATACCTGATGAAGCTGAAGTGGAGAGTTTGACGAGTCTCCTTCGTACTATTGGTGCCAGTTTGGATGTCTCCGAGAAGGGGCATGCCATGATGGACGCTTACTTCGCCCGAATCAGTATGATGATGGAGACACCGAACTTGCCCAGCCGTCTCAAGTTTATGTTACTGGTAAGTACCGTTGAATTTTACGGAAGTATTGTGATATTAATACTTTATTTAGGATGTCCTTGACTTGCGTTCTGCGGGCTGGAGATCGAAGGACGGCGACAAGGGTCCTAAGACACTCAGCGAGATTCGTGAAGAGGTATGAATATTGTAGCGAGCTAGTTGATTATTTCTAACGTATTGCAGGCTGCTCGCGCCCAGCATGAGGCCGAAATGGAGCGTCTCCGACAACAAGCCTCCCGGGGTGGTGGCCGCATGCCACTTGGCCGTGGTGATGCTCGTAACTTCTCCGGCGATTACCGCAACCAGGCTCCTCCTCCTGATTTTGCTTCTAGCAAGGTCGGCACTGACGATCTCCGTCGTCTTAAGACAGCGCGCACTGCGAACCAGCCTATGTCATTTGGCCCCTCAAGCATGTTTGGCTCACGTAGCAACAGTGGTCGCAAGAACCTTGGCCCTGGTGGTAACCTGGTTCGTGGCGGCGAGGACAGCGGAGCAAGCAGCCGCACAGGCACACCGCCAGCTGGAAAGAAGGAAGACAAGGAGGCAGCATCCTCGATCAACGCATTCAGGTTGGTTTTCATACCCGGATATTCAATTCACTCCAATACTAATGAGCGTCATACAGTGCTCTGGCCAGTCTCGAAGATAATATGGCAACATCTCCCCCGTCGAATCCCACTTCCCCTGAGTTGACTAAGTCTCAACCGGTGAAGAATGAAGAAGCGGCCTAGATGAAAAAGAAAAAAAAAGCATACAAATCACATCAACCCAAGATAAACCAAGATTCTTTCTAGCATCATCACATCATGCATCATTCGGTTTCGGAAAGACAAAAGTTTGGGTCCTACTTTTTTTTTTAATTTTTTCATCAGCTCGCTTTTTTCATTTTCGTTTGGGAGTATTTTAATACATTTCTCTTTTCTATACTACCTTTCTGATCACGCAAGAGCGCGGGGTGTGTTATACATATGAAACCTCTTCTTGACTTTCAGTCCAAAGCAATTCTAATAAGACATCTTTTTTTTTATCTGTTTTCATCCCTCTTCCTCTTTCTCTTTTTCAACACCAAACTGACAGAAAGATTATGAATGGAGGAGAGCGGATCTGGCAGAAAACCCACATATGTGTAGAATATTTTTTCTTTCCCCTCACCACTTCCGGTCTGACCGATGGATATTTGAGCATTCAACCCGAGAACGATTCTCATGCATGTCGCGACCGCATTGTGTGTAGTGTGTTATACGCTTCTTTCGCATTTGTTTTGCTTTGCTTTGCTATTCGTGTTTATCATTTTCTGGGTTTTTACTTTGCATGTGCTTTTTGTTTTGTGTGTCAATACCCGGAGAGAAATTTCTCCCCTTTTCTTGTTCCTGTTATCAATTTGTTTTGATGCTTATCAAATGTTGTGTTTATGGGAAATTATATTCAAATTTTTTCTGATTATATCTAATTTTCGTAAAAGATTAATGGTTGGTTTGTAAATTAAGTATTTGGGAGGTGACGTTGATATGGAGGCCCTTCCAGTCCCGCTTGAGCACGATGGAAATCTAAATACGTAGCGCTAAGATTAATTGATACATCTGTATTATCAACTGATATGTAGAAATCGGTACATACTCTACATATATGCAGTCAATGTAAAATATTAACGATGATATTTATTACGCAGCATATCCATACCGGAATTAATTTCTGCCTGCTACGTACATCAAGTGTACATGTGTGTGATCAATTGATAATGATATATTGATAAGATGTATAAAGTGACTTCAACCCTTCTCACGCTATGTAATTCCCATTCTTTGTACCCGGTAACCTAATAGTCCATACATGCGCACAATAACCCGAAAAAGAAAGGCAGGGCAATGATGAATGCAATGTCATGAGGCGTCCGCTAGCTGCAACTTGTTTGGGACGATTGTCTCCGTATCTGTCTCTCCGTCGGTTTCAGCATCCTTTGGTAGCTCTAATAATACACCCGGCGCGGTCTTTTCTTGCGACAATGATTCTTGCGATGACTCTCTGGCAAGCTCCTCGTTGTCACTCTCGCTTTCGCTGTCGGGTGGTGTCTCGAGGCTGGAAATCCCAGGGCTTTTCAGGACGCGGATCGCGCTTTCTTCGTCTTCTGGGGGCGAGGGTTGTGGGGTCTCGGTGCGTGATGCCTCGTCTTTGCTGGTGGCACCGTGTTGTTCGTCTTCGGCAGTAGAGCTGCTAGAAAGCTTCGAGTCGCTACCCGAGTGGGCATGGCGGAAGGTTCGAGGAAGACCAATGGCCTCGGCTACTGCTGCTGCTTCGTCGGCGGGTCGTTTGGCGATGCTGGCATCGCTGCCCACTTCTTTGTTGAATAATCCGCTTCCTCGCTGTTCGCTGATTTGCAGAATATTCCCGTAACTACGCCGATTTGGATCCGCCAGACGTTTCTTTTTCTTTTTCTCCCGTTTGGTGGATGGGCGGACGACGACGACAGGGATGGGTGATTGTTGGAGACAGTATTTTGAAACGGAGCCTGGGAGAAGACCCTGCATTCCACTGAGGCTGCGACCTCGTGTTCCCACGATTAGGACTGCTGGTTCATATATTTGAATCTACACGACAACATTAGTTATGGCCAATATACCCAGAGAATATAATTTGACATACCATGCGTTGGATAATTTCTTGAACCTTGCCTACAGCCAACTCTAGGACGAGACTAATTGCTTTTTCATCTTGCTGACTCTTGTCCATGACCTGTCTCAGTATATTCTCCGCTTCTTGGCGGTATCTTCCCTCGTCCACGCTCGCATCACTGGCGATTTTCGAGTCCTTCTCCACGACCCGTAAGCAGATAATCTCGTCGCCATCATCAACCAACTCATCAATGAGCCATTCGAGCGCGAATTCCGAGTAATCGTTTTGATCTGTTCCACAGAGAAACGTGCGGCTTCGCCTCGTAGCTTGATAATCTTTGTGCTTGTAGTTTAACGTGAAGGAAAAATCGGCGGCATCTCGGTTGTCGAAGGTGTCGAATGATACGCCTCTATGGAAAGAACTGAAATTCATCAGCACATAATCTTGGAAAAAGACGATATATGGAAATAGTAATTACCTTGGAGGTGGCGGGGATGATATCCTCCTTGCTGGTCTGAACTCTAGTGTTGGTGTAGATCTGCCGCCATTCCCTATAAGGCTCTCTAGAGGCTGACTCTCTGAACCACTTGACTGTGCAGATTTCCTTCTTGGTGCCTCCCCTCCCATGAACGATATCCGCTTGCTGTCCGATCGAGAGATTAGAGAACTCTCGAGAGAGCGTGTGGAGTCATTCTCGTTGACAGGAAGAGTAATGGCGGGGGTGTTCGCGTCGGAGGTTGCGGATGGCGTAGCCATGCTGCAGCACCGGCGGTGGTTTCAGGATTTTGAGTATGATATGCGATAAGGTATTGCTTTGAAGCAGCGTGGGATATCACTGGGAATATAAACCGAGTGAGGGCAAGAGTCTCGGTGTTGGTAACATGTGACTACTTCCCCAGGTGGGGGGGAGTGGCTAGGCTGGTCGGGTCTGACGTCGGGTGCCTCTCGACTGTGCTCAGCCACAATTCGTGAATGAAAAGGGATGCTCTTTTAGGCGACCAAGACGAGGCCCGCTACAGAGCGGTAATTCCGGCTATCCCTGGTTGTAGAGCGTATGCTTCGTCAACGGTGACAAGGTGGTTGGATCGGAACTCCTCTAGATCCGATTCCGAGAGTTGGAGTATGCGAGAATAGCGTCGAGAAGTAACTGACGATGGATTAATAGCAATGCTCGCAGAACGACAGAGGTAGAGGAGTGCCCGCACTCGAGACCATCCGCAGAGATGAGACGTGAGGCTGTGGCAGCGTCAACTTTTAATTTGACGTCTCTTTGTGTATTGTTGAAGAAGTTGTGACTTGTCAGGCATCAACGCTGGCCGCAGGTAGTTTTGCGGGGCAGCCGCTAGGCCCGAATGGGCCGCCCATTGCTGTGTGCTGTGTGCTGTTTGCTGTTTGGTGCCAGCAACTCGCATCCTGAACAATAATAAAACTACATACTTGACAGCCTGATGAAGATTCTATTTGCCGAGTTTCCGTTGAAATATAAATGTTCATGAACTGGCTAGGTCGTGTGCAACCGAGGAACTACAAAATGCCACGTGACCCGCGACATACAACCGCGATAGCGAACAAAAGATAGATTAGGTATGACACGAGAATGCTATATCATACCGGTCCGCGCTGATCTCTGCCGTGGACCAAAACTCCGTACGTGGGTGAAGAGGCTATGGGCCATGACGCGATGCGCGAGCCATCATCTAGTCTAGATTGAGGTTAATGTGCAATATTAAAGAGCAGCACGTTGACGTATATTAACAAAAGCATGACAAATAATCAAGATCACCATAGAATTTCCATATAGAAATTATCAAACAGGATATACAAATACACTCAAATTATTTATAATTCAAACATATTCATAATGCGCGCCTGGATACCCCCAAAGCTTCTTTCAAATGAGAAAATTAGAAAGCTTTCTAATACGCTCGACAGTCAAGCTGCCTGAGAGGCGTACTCTGATTAGTCCCCATTGATATTCCTCCGACGCTTGCCATGGTTCTCAAACATCATAACCAAGATAGCCAATTATACCTCAAAGGTGAGTGATTGTTGGTTGCTCGATTAAAGTCGGCGCTAAATAAATTCATATTCAGTCTTTTAAGCCATTGGCCCGAGAAGGCTACCGAGACCCGAATTGTGTTGGGAAGCTTGTTGAACCTTATTGAACCTTATCGAATACCGAAGGATGCGGCACCTCGGGAAGGGTCTGTTCTGCAATGCCGCCATCATGTGATGCGTACCCTAAATTTTCAATCTAAAGCGTCTCAAAAAGTGTCTCAAATGCGTCTTAAAAACACGCTTTACACTTGAGAGAATCCGATGAATCATCCCAATTATCATTACTATAGCAAATGAAAATTCTATCGGTTGAATAATCTGCAATGACGGAACAAAAGCATGCGAAGAAAACAGTGGCCGTCATCGGATCGGGAATGGCAGGTCTGGTAACTGCATACCTGATCCACCAAGACAAACAATGCAGATACCATGTGGAAGTGTTCGAGACGGTATAGGCACTTTTTACTTCCCTCTGCCTCTCATGCGACGTTCACTAATAAATCGCCTCAGCAAGATCAGCTGTCTCTAGACTCCGCCTCGTACACGATATCCTCGGCAGATGTCTACCCGTCGCTTCCCAATCGTATCGATATACCTATGCGTGCCTTCGATGAGGGTTTCCACATTAACCTGAAGCGGATGTATGACTACCTTGGGGTCGGATACATTACGCAAAAGTTTGTTTATTCTCTGTCGAAATATTCAACGGTTGATGGAAAGAAATCTCCTCCCTATTTCTTTCACTCTTCGAGCAATCACCGATTCCCTCCAGTTCGCCCTGAAGGCTATGGCTACCTGCAATGGATCGTGCAAATCATGTACTTAGCTGCGTGTTATTTTTGGTTCATCGTATGCTGCTTCGTCGTTAAACCAAAAATGGCTTCTACGTCCAAAGAGGAGGAAACTCTAGAGGTATATGTCAAACGAATCCGGTTACCATGGCATTTTGTCAAGAACTACTTATTGCCGCTCATGTCAAGTGTAACAACTTGTTCGCATGATGCTCTGCTGAGTTTTCCGGCACTGGACGCAGTAGATTACGCAAAAAGAACCTATCGACAGCCACATTACACTGTTATCGGTGGTGTCCAGGGTGTCCAATCGAAATTATCCAAGGGGCTGGCGGTCAGCTTTCAGGCAACGGTAACTTCAGTCAAGCGTGCTGATACAAAACTGGAGGTCACTTGGGTTGATTCCAATGACAAAAGCCATATCTCGTATTTCGATCACGTTGTTATGGCTGTGACCCCTGACGTTGTCGGTGCGTTGTTCGAACCTCTACGTGAAGTGATGCGCGAGATACCCGTTATCTGGGGAGAGTCAGTAGTCCATTATGATTCATCTGCTATCGCCAATAGCTCTCGGTTGCTCGAAAAATATTCTGCTAAGACTCAAAAAGCAGGCGACCAAGCGCAAATAATGCACATTACCTCCGATCCTTTGTCAACAGAATCTATACATCAGCAGTCCTCTACCCTGGTTACTAATTTTCCAATTTCCCCTATTGATCCAAACAAGATCGCTCATCGCGCCCGACTAGCTCGGGTTTTGCGTACTCCTAAAAGCAGGGAGATTGTCAATGATATATTTACTTTAGATAAAAGCGAGCTGAAACCGCCAAAAGAGGAACTATTTTGGTATAACGGAAAGGATAATGTTTGGCTTGTTGGTGCTTGGTGTTGGGATGGAATGGTGCTTTTAGAGGGGTGCATTGTTTCAGCAATGAGAGTTGCAACTAGCCTTGGAGTCGAGATACCGTGGACGATAACCTCTTCTGAGAGCTAGTGACCATCACAAGCCTTACGAGAAATATTTAAGAGAATACCCCCACTTGCATCTTGTTGTTTTAGTTAGAAGTGTAACTTAGGTACGCTGTTAGAATTTTACCGGCAAGAAGTCATTGTTTTTTATGTTCTATGAGCTATCACCACAAATCCTTGAACTACACCACTTCTAGCCCACCAGTCAAATACCTTCGCCGGAGCTTTGAATTTACCCACGGTCATTCCATACGTTTCCAACTCAAGCTCCCTTCTGCGTATATAATCCGCAATCCCCGCAAATACATCCTTCGAGATATTCTGCATATCAATCATATCTTGCTCGTACCCAGCGAGGCCTAACATAGCTCTATATTCCTTCTCAGTCATAAAGTTGGAATAAGGAATGCCGGCGACGAGGCACATCAACCTCAGGCGGAATCTGTCCCACAAGGAAGCGGACTCAGACAAGAGCAAGTCAAATGCCATGATTGAAGCCTGCATATCTCTATGCGCACATTCAAACAGTGGCGTACGAGACGGCTTGAAATGATACAACGTATCTAAGGCTAGTAGCCATGTTTGCACCTTTGCTGCCGGCTTTGCATCCTGCTCTGTATTGTGGGCAACCCTACTGTAGACAGCTTCCTTGAGTCTGAGATCCCACGATGCAGGATTGCCAGCATCGGCCACGAAAAGTTCTACCTTCGGTGTCGAGTGCAAAGAGGATGTGTGATCTTCACTAGAAGCTTTTAGAAGACGCTTTTTAGCAATGTCTACCTGAGACGGCGTTATGTTTATGCCTATGTATGAATCAAAAAGAGGGCGAAAATCTTGATTTGATGCCGTGGTACCGTCACCATTATTGCCAGCATCCACAGCTGACTCCGGAAGGGGGGTCTCAGATGGTTCGATTATTCGATCAAGCTTTCTTGTGAGATACAGTGACTGGTCCCCACAGCCAAATCCAACATCGATCAGTCTTATCTTAGCGTGTTGTTCATATTGTGATCTTTTCACTGTTGTTTCCCTTTCCCTTGAATGCGAAGGGAAACTTGGGGTTATGGCCGGTATATTCTGCTGACTGAGAAGTCCGGCGAAGAGGAGAACCTGATCGAGGAGTGCTTGACAAGCATGGGGAAATGAAGTCGTATCCTAAGAACATACCTTTAATCTTGAAATTCTAGGATTCGGTAATTTAAAATGACACCAAATTACCTTTTTCCTGGTGGCGTACGTACCTTCCAATATCCCATGTTCATCCACAGTTTGTCTGGGGGAACGGTCACGTTAAGAATAGCATGGTCTAATCCATATAGCTCGTCATGAATTCCAATTAGAGACATAAAGGCACGCTTAATAGAACGAGACATGGCTTTTATTGCAATATGAAGCTAGATTGGGACAAACTGTGTCTTTGATGCTCACAGCTGTTATTAGTTGCAACTTCGGACTTGTTGAACGTGGTCGTCAACGCCTTGACATTTTTTCACGTGAACGTACCGCTAGTGCGAACCCCACAGTTGCCTCCTAGTCGCCATGTCTAAGTTGGGATTGATTATTTATTTTAAGACTTAAATCGTGATGGTATTAATAGCTCATGCAATATTTAATTGGGCCACTTGATCTTTGTATGCAAGAGTGTGACACGGGTCTGGCATGGAGGCCAATGAAATCTCATCATTAAACGCGGATAGCTACACAGATGCATGAGAAATGTCACAGAACATTAGCTGGAAAATCGAGCTGAATCAAGGGCACCACCGCACTCGGCATTACCCCGAGAATATTTGACGGGGTCACTCCCCCTTCTATCATATCTTAAACATTTTAATCTTACTTTCAATTAACGGAGCTTTACAACATCCTCCTATCGTCTAATACATGTGAGAATTTTGATGAAATGGGGTCCGTTCATGTTTGATTCCCATCTTACCTGAGAACTAATCCATTGGCTCTACAAGAAATTGCGTCCCTATTTTGATATACATTAACATACGACCGCATTCATATGTTTGCGAATCGCTTGAAAACTTTCAGACCTTATTGGGGAAAACAATTAGACACTAGAACTTTTTTGGTCTTTAAACGTCACCATCGCTTCTATACCATCTTTGTTGTTCTTGCTGCTCTAATAAGCGAACTTGCGCTGGCGACTCTCACATTCAACGAATTTCATCCTACGACTTCAAGTTTGAGCCATGTTTCGGAAGGATTTCTCTGCAGTTCGCCAATCACATCGGGTATAGCAGCGATAATTGCAACAATATTGCTTTTTCAATATGATCACTTAGCAAAGGCCACACGACGAGACTTGGCAGTAGCTTGGTCACCATTGATATTCCTTGATCTAGCTATTACCGAGTTCCTGATCGGGTTGGTCTGTTGGTATGCTGATAAGAATTCCCGTTAGCGTGGCGCCTTAATGGAAACCCAGCTAGCTAGCCTATTCGCTATATGTTTTGTCTTGTCGGTCTGGTTGTGGGATTTCACAAAAATAATTAACCCACATAGTATCCCTCGGCAAGTCCTCGTCCGCAGCGATAGAAACTCTGTACTCCCAAACCGAGGTTTTGGTCAACAATCTTAGCGAAGACGGCGGCGTCGGGGCGTTTATTAATATCCGCGGTGATTTTCTGTGATCTCTCACCTCATTACGCACTACTTACTCAAATTGTATCATTGCCCACGGGCATGCATTATTCATATATCTATTGTACCGGCGTCGTTCGGGGTCTGAAATTGCGAGCATGCGTTGTATTGTTACTGAATATCCTATCACAAGTCAGAAATTACATTACACTCATAATTTAGGGTTGTATCTGACAACAAGATATGTACTCTCGCCTCGGCTGTATTAGCTATACCAGTCGTGAGTACAAGAGGAGGGATTGGAAAAGAGGGGACAGAAGCTACGCTAGCACATAAGCGCATCTTAGGAGAGTGACGGGACGATATCCCATTGTTCATGACCTTGCCTACAGTATCACTCCCAAGTCATATGATAAATGGCTCTTGCATTCCAATGGCATTGACCAAATGACGAATACTCGCAACCTTATGACAACAATAAATTCAACACAGACCGGTCTGAAGACTAACTCAAGCGCGCCTAGTACGCCAGACTGGCCATTATCTCTTTGTGTCAACGGTCTTTGGACTGAGCCTGAGTCTCTTCCTTGCCTAAGCCAGCTGGCTTCCGTATCGAAAGCCACATCAACGATGCAAGCACTATCGTTGAGCGGCTGCGTGCGAGTAGCCTTGCCGCTGCTGTTTCCGAAACGAACATCAAGAGGAAATCTTCTGCTGAATGGTGGACCTATACATGTCAACGTATTGATTCATTTCATCATGGAAAAGTGAAAAGATGCTCTATCTCTCCACCGATTGCGTCCGATGGTGGGTATGTTCACATAACGATACCGCTAGAAGTTGGCCTGGAATATGGGCTTCGTCTCAAGCGTGTTGTCGAAATGGGACTTGATATCCGCAGAGCAGCCAATCACTCTTCTCCATACGCCCTAACATCTCCTTCAGATAGCCCGATTCGACGTTTGGGTATACACATATCTGGAACAATTATGAAATGGCCTAGTGGTGGAAGTAATTTTTTAAGTCGGAAGATAGTCAGTGGGCTTTTTAATGAGCATGATGAGAATATAGATGGTACCAATGAAGAATGTGCGAAAAATTGGCGCTATGGCGATGACGGTGTTCACCTCGCTGGAGGATGGTGTAGGGATGGGATGGTCTTGCTGGAGGGATGCGTTGTATCCGCGATGAGGTTGGCGCCTGAACTTGACGTGAAGATTCCTTCGGCATGAAGATAGACACCATGATAGCATGACTTTGTGTGAGGGAGGACGAATACCCAATAACATATAGATGATTGTAATATATGGCTGAGACTCAAGTGCTGATTACATAACTGCTCCATTTCGCACCTTCCTTAGCGACACATCCTCACCTCACCTTCTCTCCCACAACATCCCATGCCGTGCTTCTAGCCTGATATTCTTGCAAATTCGAGATCTCCAAGCGTTTGAAAAGGAGGAGCCTTGGTCTTCGATTGAAAAGTCAAAATTAGGTTGTTTTCGCGAGTCGTGGTGTGTGCATCAGGGGGAATTCCGACAGCGTATCAGACACAGGACAGCTAATGATGAATTTTGAATCCTATACACGCTTCAACAGTCTCTACGATTAGGTCTACTACAAGTGACACGGGACAAGAAAAGTTGGTTGTTTCTGAGGTTCATTACATGGCCCTGCATGCATGTGAGACTCAGACATCCACAACAATAACGACCGATGCCCATCTCGAGTGTCTATTTACACCAATTAATGTCAATATAGACTTCCTATGTCTCTCCCGTAGACAATGCAAAAAATTCAAATATTATTAGTACTGGCAGGGGAGGACTCCTATACTCAATCCACTTTTGTGCTGGGAAAATCCTGGCCGTTTGCTACCAGACTATCCTGAAAATATCTATCGCAAAAAATCAAGATACAATTGATTCCTGCTGCGCGGCGGCTCATGTGATTCGCTTGATTAGGCAGGCGGCGGACGACAGCTCCTTCGTCTTCCCGCCTCGGGTGACTGTTTGACAACGCTCCTCTGGACTGTTCCGTTTCAGCTTATATTCAGGCTAAAAATAATGCAGTGCAGTCAGCACAGCTACCAGGTCCTTTTACCATGGATGATCACTATTCCAAGCTGCCAGCTGAGTTACGGGAGGCTATCCTTCAGTTCGTGTTCGATGATCTCGGTAACAAAGCATTCGTGAACGTTCTCTGCGTCAACAAGACATGGCATCTCGATGGCGTGGCAAGTCTTTGGCAACAAGTCACTCTGCGATCGATATGGTTTATCTACCGCTCTCAAAGGGCTATGATCTATCTCGCCAGCATTCGTTCGCTTGTCTTCGGCTTAGACGACGGTAAATACCACCAGGAAATCATCAGCCATTGTGGCAAACTAACGCTCCCACATCTGCAAGAAATTTCTTTTCTGCCTGGATTTTCTTTCAAGCATATATCGCTCGACTACCTTATCCCCTATCTGCAGCCTTCACTTCGCAAATTTCGCTGTGCAGGGGTCCCAGTACAACTTACCTTTTTGATGTCTCTGAAATCGGCATGTCCAGAACTCGAGGGAATCAAGGTCAAATTACAAACTCACATGAATTCTGCAACATATGATCCGGTGTTCGCTGATTGGGTGTCCGAGATGTCATCACTCCGCTCTATTTCCCTGTTCAATACAGGAAGTGGTCGCCGGGAGGACTTCAACAACATGAGATGCAGAATTCCGTTGGATTTCACGCTCCATCACTTGGTCAAGCGGAATCTTCGATCTCTAGAATTAGAACACCGCTTAGAGGACATTGATCTATTAAGAAGTAGTCCAGCCTTTGATACCCTGCGTGAGCTGAGCATCATCATTACACCGGAATCGGTTGGTCGCCTCCGAGATTTCAAAATTCTCGATAAGTTGCATATCTACATAGATGGCGTGTGCTCAGATGACCTATTGCCTTCAGTTACTTCACTCGTCAATTTGCGGTCCTTGAAAATCATCCTAGGGGTCCTGCAAGAACTGAGAACTGAGCATGTTATGCTGCTGAAATCACTTTCCAAACTGAGACTACTCGAAATCAGAACCAGCCAAAAGGGGCATATTGATGGCTTTGCATCGGAGAACTATCTTCCACTCACGGTTGGGCCTTTCAATGAGGAACACTTTGGTCAACTTGCATCGGCGTTACCGAAGATAGAACATCTCTGTCTTATTTTCAACTGGAAACCGATTAGTTCCCATGTCTTGAAAACGGTGGCCTTCATTTGGCCTCGGATCCAGTATCTGGCCTTGGGATATAACATCGACATTATAGAGAGTGTTATCATCTCCCATTTGGACGGACCATTTCTTCCGTGCTTGAAGCAGTTTACGAAAGTTAGGTCCTATGAAGCTGATGTTTCTGAAGATCCTCCAACAGTCATATCAGACCAGGAGTAAGTGCCCGAGACCTTCATATTCGTCCCCCTGCGCGGTCCGTGAAAGCTATTTGCTAACACCGACTAGAGTTGAAATTGAGAGGAGGTTTGATAACGTAGAAAGAGCGACCCGCAACCTTCGCGATGCGTTTCCTGCCCTTAAACGAGTTGAATTCAAAAACTCTAGGACTGAGCGTGGAATAGTTGCCAGAGAGGTCCGTAGAGTGTGGCCCGGCAATGAACAACAGTGGTCGCGTTATCGTTTGAACTGGGAGTGGGATTTTGAGTAGAAATAGTGTGGTAGGGTTCCAAGCGACAATGTAGCTAGTGAGTTTGAACAGTCTCCACCTACGGGATAACTCAATTCGGAATACTTTTCTTCTTCAACCTTCCAGCCTCGGGCAGGCCCCCGTACATGTACAATTGAAGGTCCTCACGGAAGTGCCAAATGCCAGCCCAATCACCCTCATTGGTGCTGGAAGTAGTCTGGCTTTCTCTTCGAAGTGAGTTCTGTTACCACGCACTATTTTGTTTGCTTACGATTGAAAACTGATATTCGATCGATAGTGTGTCAATATCAATACCAATCAATTCGCACGCGTATATACAGGAATATAACATATTTCCACAGTTTGGACCATCACACTCCCACTTCTGACTTGAATAGACCACTCTCTCATTTCGGGATTTTGGCGTATGCAGCATCAATGTCTTTCTTAAAAGTGTCCTCGATTTTTCGTCGGCTAATTTTCTGTGCTGCGGTTGTCATGCCCTATAGGATGTCAGTCAGCTTTGTCCTTTCCGAACTCGAAAATTCAGTATATATGGTCTCAATACTCACGTTTTCAGGCGTCCAAGGCTCATGAGATATAACCACGGCCTCCACAATCTCAAAGCTAGCTAGACCATGCTTGCGGCCGAGAGCCTGGAGATCCGTAAGAATGCTCCTTCGCAGAGTGTTGTCATTTCCTTTAGAGTCGGAAAGTGCCTGATCAGATGGAACAGCAATAACCATGGGTCTTGCCTTATCTGCAGCAGCATAGACACAGAGATTGACTACCGATGGTGATGTGCGGTAAATAGATTCCAACTGGTAACATTCAGTTTAGCTCTTGTTCATAAAGCATAGGAATAAAAGGCGCAATCATACCTTCTCCAAGGCAATGTACTCTCCGTTCATGGTCTTCACCAAACTTTTCTTTCGATCGATCACACGGATATGCCCGTTCTTATCAAACTCTCCTATGTCACCGGTATTGTACCACCCGTCTTTCGTCAGGGTTTGGGCTGTTTCCTCAGGATTTTCGTAGTATCCTTCCATGACACTGGCACCTCGAATCCAGATTTCTCCCTGTGGCGGGTTATTTGATGTTAGGTAACCTCCCTCTTTGAAATCGACGAGCTTCATTTCTATGGTACCGGGTATGTCACCAATCGCGTCCAGTGTCCAGCGAGTTGGTTCCGTAACACCTGCCATCCTATTGAACAAATTGTTAGCGGGAGTTAATTAAAATCATGAAAAGGACAACACCTACGCAGATGTTTCGGTCATGCCATACCCAATAATCATCGGACAGATGACCATGGATATAAACTTTTGCGTTGTCCTACCGATTGGCCCAGCACCACTCATACATAGTCGTAATCTGCCACCAGTCGCTTGAGCTACTTTACTGAAAACGATAGCATCAAGAATCCCTGATCCTGGAAGCTTGTTTTCGTGGAGGAAGCACTTCATATAAAAGGCCCCCAGAAGAGCCCACGCGTAATGATAGAGCCCTCCGCGACCTTTTTGGTAACTCCTTTCATAATAGCCTCCCATACGGTGGGCACGCCGACCATAAGAGTCGGTCGAAGTTCACGGATATCTCCTGCACAGTTTCTAACGGCTGTATCAGATAAAGAGCGCGGATGGCCGAATCCAAGGACAGCGCCCCAGAGTAAAACGACATTTTCAAACACCAGCTCGAAAATGTGAGCAAGTGGGAGGTATGCAATAACTGTATCCTGATGGCCTAGATGTTTACCAACTATCGAATCTGCACCGGCAACTACAAGAATTTGTCAGTCTGATTTGGCAAGGACCATGAAAGAGAGCTAATTTACCTCCGGCAATGAGATTTCTGTGTCGAAGTCTTACTCCTTTGGGTGTTCCTGTTGTTCCCGACGTGTACATTATACAGCAGAGGTCTTCTGGATGTGGAGGTACGGGTTCGAAAGATTGTTCCTGGCCGAGTTCTAGGAGTTCGTTGAAGCTGAGAACGCGAAGTGAAGGGTAAGAAGTTTTGAAAGCGTCAATCTCCTTGGTGTCCGTCGCGCGGTCGTCGTTGTATATGACAAACTCGATGCTCGCACCCTCAAGACAGTTCCCGAGAGTTTCCAGAAGACGAACATCTGTGAATATTGCTCTTGCCCGGGTCGCCAGGATAGATGCTCGCAAACCCTCCTCTCCGAGTGTCTCGTATGCGGTTACAATAGGCATTGACTGTGAAGCAGAGCCGTGCATTGTGGCGAGCCATCGTGCACTGCGCTCGTTAGCAAGCAGCTAAACCAGAAAGAAAAAAAAAACACCAACAAGGGGGAACCAACACACCTCGTTGCAGCATATAAATGGACACGATCATCCTTAACCAAACCGAGATGTCTCAATCCGGATCCAACTTGGAGAACCATCTCCTCATATTGCTTGAATGAAATCCATTTGTATCCCGTCAACTCAAAATACGTCCATTCCTTCGGCACCTCTGTCTCAACGCCATCGACAATCTTCTTAACTTTGGTGGTCTCCGTGTGTACCTTGACCAAATCGCGCCAACCCATACATCTGTCGTCACCGAATTTCTTCGCTGCACGTCCAACGAGGTCGAAAACGGTGTTGATGCCTTCTTCCGGCCGGGTTAGGAGCTGGTCCTTGTAGTCGACGTTACGGCGGGGAACAGTCTCTCCTTCTATCGACGGGGAATTTGCAACAGGGACTGAGAATGGGGGGAGGGCGGTCATGCGAGGCTCGAATTTGCTGGTAGAACCCATCTTGTCCTATGGCGTTAATTTACACGACTTGTTTTGGGGTTGCTGGGAATCTAGAAATATTATATTGTAAACACACAAGCCATGCTCGGCGCCACTCCATTCTCTCTTGGTAATACTACTGATTGTTGATTGACTCTGATCTACCTGTTCCGCATCGATCTGTCATAGTTCGTCCAATCGTGGTTTCAGTGGGGCGGATATACCTCGGCTACTGGAGCGCGGCGCCCGTGAAGCATGTTGTCCCTTGCCGTTTTGGGAACATCCTACCCCAACAAAGTCAAAGAGCCCTAAGAGACCTGTCGAGCGCTAGTTAGGCTTCGCATATAGGGACCACAGGAGCTAAGACCACTGCATAGAGGTGATTCTTCTCCACCCTATTTCTTTTCGGCCAGGCCCTTCTCATGCGGGGTAAAATAAAAATATAGTGTGGACCGAGTAACAGTCATTGTTGCTCGGACGGTTATGACGATGCTTTTTAGAGCCTCCCAAAATCAATGTTATACATTCTGCCTGCCCTCCTCCAAGTTGGGGCCTCCAATCTCATCTTCCTCCCCATCGAATCCTTCGTGTAATGTAGGAAACCAGCACAGACCGACGCTTGACATCTCTCTATTCAAAAGTAATTCGACATCAATAAAGAAATCTCATAATTTTAACAAAGTGTTAATTGACATTTTTACTACATTTGAGGACATGAATATCATATAGATCTATCAAGCTAGGACATAACGGGTTATAGAAATAATAATTGTCTCAAAAACCCCATTCTTTTCTTTACCCATATGATTGTCCACTTAATGACTACATTCAACGCTTGACTAGAGTTCTACACTAATGTGATCTCATCATTACCGATGGTGCTCATAACCAAGTGTCTATATTAGACGCCAAAGCCCTTCCAGCTGTTGTGACGGTACTGGTCAATGGGTGCCTGATAGATGCCCTGGAGCCTTATCACGTGGCCTCGATTATATCAACACCATTCACAATACTGCTCTCTAGTTTTCTCCCTTTCCCTCTTATTATTTTGTTGTCAAGCTCCCTAGATAGGGGAATATTGATTTACCGAACTTGCATTTAGATTGGGCAATCGTCACACTTCTCACCGAAACTTTCCAAGGAAGTAATGATCACAAACTCTAGTATTCAAACTTATTTTGAATTATCGTCATTATTCGTCGTCCAGAATGCAGCAAATACCCCTATAAGTCACGCAATTGAGGTTTGGACAACATTTGAACAGTGAACATATCTGTTGGCTTTGGTATTGCATTGAATCGAACTGTCGATACAGACTGTCCGAAACACCATATCGACTTGAAATGTTCGATGTTGGTGTAGAATAAATGGCATCCGTCACCATCCGATGTGAAGTCTAATATGTCTTCCAGGATCACACTTGAATCATCAATTACAAATTGTTATGAAATAATGAGATGAGAACAGAACCTAAAATATGTGGGAGTATAAGAAACTCCTCATTATCCCTTCCCATCTCTTCACTTTCATGATTCCGTTCCTACTATCAAGTCTGAAAGATAATCTGCTCGAGTCTAGTTTTCCTGCTCATCATGCGTTCAACTATCATCTTGTCTCTCCTCTATGTGGCAGGGCTTGGCGTAGCCATTCCTGCTCCACAGATATTCAACCCTAGATGCATAGAGGAAGGCGACCCCTGTGGCGTCGACAATCAACGCTGTTGCGATCATCTTTTCTGCGATTTGCGAGACGGGCGGAACGGCATATGCCGGGACCGTGACCGTGACCATGATCGAGACCACGACCACGACCATGAGGACCATGACCGTGACCGTGACCATGACCGTGACCATGAGGACCATGACCATGAGGACCATGACCACGAGGACCATGACCATGATAAGGACCGGGACCATGACCACGACCACGACCACGACAAGGACCCGGATCATGACCACGACCATGATCACGACCATGATCACGACCACGACCATGACCGGGACCGGGACCGGGACCATGAGGACCACGACCATGAGGGCCACGACCATGATAAGGGCCGGGATCATGACCACGACCATGACCACGACCGTGACCATGAGGACCACGACCATGACCGTGACCATGAGGACCATGAGGACCATGACCACGACCACGACCGTGACCATGATCATGACCGGGATCATGACCGGGATCATGACCGGGATCATGACCGGGATCATGAGGACCATGACCACGACCATGATCGAGACCATGAGAAAGACCATGACAAGGACCATGACAAGGACCATGACAAGGACCATGACAAGGACCATGACAAGGACCATGACAAGGACCATGACAAGGACCGTGGTAAGGACCATAAGTAAAACCAGAAAAGCTCTCTTGTATGTCTACACCTTATATATCGTACCTGAATTCCTAGTTTTGTATTGTCAGACTGACTCGTGGAGTTGCAGGGAGCTTCCGGGCTATGTGGTCTCTCGGACAGAAAACGTTGGCGTGGGAAGGAATACTGCAATTCAAGCATTTTTCAATATCAAGATCACGCCGGTATCGACAACTTTTCTTTAGGCAGCGTCTTTGAATTATCAACATAAAGCTTAGAGGAGCTTGGTCACTTCTATCTTCTGTTTCGCGGTCATGTATCAATATTAACTACTTTCTCTCGCCAATTGTTTTTGCCTTTGGACAATTAATAATACTTTATCATCTTAATGGATAGAAGTAATAAATCAAATCACTGATTGAGCTAGCAGTAGAGTAAATGCAAGGCACCATTATAGTAAGTGCATTTTAACTGACGAGTATACTTGAGAAATGAGCATGTAGCCAACTTTAACTAGGCCTGGAGGAAGGAAAATATGAACCAATTGACAGTATTGCACAAATAGACTCAACCGTAAATAGACATCACTACTATTTGGCCTCTAGGGAATTTGGAATATTCATTTGGATAATCTAAAGCAGTCGTGGTCTGTGGGAAGAAGACAATGATTTTGTTAGCATTATAGATTGCAGCGTGTCTTTGGGTTGATACTTCAAGGTACCTGTTAGATTGGCGGTTGTGATGATTGTGCCCGGTGGTTGAATGATTACATCAGAATTATGTGGGATATATTGCATGAATTACGATTCCTGCTTAATTGTCTATCATGGTGCTACCTAGGGGGATTTTTTTATAGATTATTACTACGTATGCCTTGTGGATGCCTCATATGATTGATCGACGAGGTGTCGAGATGTCCGGAGTATTCATTTCCTAGAGTTAATATTGCTGAGGCCTTCTCTGCACTTATCCAACAGTAGCTTTATGTGATTCTATAACATACATATCATGGTTCTGATTGCTTCTACAGTATTCAACAAATCCAGTAGGCGAAATGGCGTCCTTAGCACCAGGATATTGGCAGGTAATCAAAAGACGATCGAAACTGCTCGAAACTACGAAGTATGGCCTACATGTGTTGGAGAGTGGCAACGTAATTCTGTCTTGGAGTAAGGATGTACTCCAAATGCTCCTTACTCAGCGTCGTCTTCTCTTGCTCAGAGAGCCTCTTCGCAGCCATGAAGGAATTCTGTATATCTCTCCCAGTACGTGTCGCCATTTTGAAATTATTATCCCCAGCAAACTTGACAAGCTCGGGAATATCTAGGTCAGGCTGCTCGGCCTTGAGTCCCTGAAAAAGCCGACCCCATAGTTGCTCTTTGAACTCGTCTGTCATCGCATAGAAGTGAAAATGCTGAGTGAGGCGCGACTGAACAGCGCTGTCGAACTCGCTTAATCGTGCATGTGTAGTCAGTATTAAGGCACCCGAGAAGCGGTCCATTATGCGTAGAGTCACGAAAGTGTTTTCGGGATTTTTCTTGCCAAGAAATTGTTCGGCATGCTCAAGAACAACGATTGCGCCCCATCGCTGGGCGAAATGGAACTGGCGGGAGAGGAATTGCTCCAAATCTTCTGGTTTTGAGGATGCGGTGAGGACAGAGGATGTATCTCTTGTGGATGCAATGGTAAGAATGGGACATTGGATAGTTTCTGCGACCGAGGTTGCCGTGAACGTCTTGCCGGTGCCAGGGTCTCCATGAATTAACAATACAACTCCGTTACCATCGTGTCCAGTGACATTGTAGTCTCGTTCGAGAAGAAGTGAACGTTGCATCTTGTTTGTTGTACATGATTTTACTAGGTCGAGTATTCTAGTCTTGTTGGATTCGTTGTTGATATAGAGCTGGTCGAGGATATCATGCTGGAATAGAATATTGCTTATATCATCGACAAAAACTTTGTCTAGTGGTATTTCGCTTATCAGCATGCGTCAACGAGGATAGATAGAAAATGAAGGAAAGGGATACATACCCCATGTACGGTCTCGAAGATTATAAACGGATATTTTCGGTGGACAGACAAGCAGAACACATGCTTTGAGGGCATGGCTGTCTAACAACCGAGGAAACTCATCCTCAACTTCCTGGAAAGGGATTTCTTCGAAGGCGGCTGAAGATTGGAGATCCACAATGATTCGAATAGGGTCCTGGCATCATTTAGTCATCAGTTAAAGATTAACTTCGATATCGTTGCTTACGCCATTCTTTATAAACTGTTTGTAATGGATCCCATTTCCCAAGTTCCAGTACTTTCTGCCACGAAAGATAAGTTCCTTTCGAAGCTCGGCTTCTTCTGGAACGTATCCGGCTGGAACTAATTGAAGACTGGCAATTGGCTTCTCACCTGGAAACTGAGAGACCGGGAAGGTAGTATATCTCTTCGTAAAATAGGTACCATTGTGCTCGACACTCCATACTCGGATAAGAAGAGGACTATACATATTCAGGCTTCGGTGTTCCATGCCACTAAGCTCAGAAACAATATATGCTCTAAGTTGATTGTCGCCAGATGCTTTGTGGTATATCAAAGACTTCAAAGGATATAGCATAGGCAAACTAGAAAAGCTGACTGTACGCTCTGTACGCTCTTGAATATCAATCATCTTTTGTGGAAGGGACATATCATTCTGCATTATGGACAGAGAGGGTTGGCGCTGTGATGTAGATCTCGAATTGAACGGGAGCGCCAAAGTAGATTGCTCTGGGCTTGAAGCATCAAACTTGCCTTGTGCAATGCTAGCCGTAAGTAGAATCTTGACTATATTACCATTTCTGTTATTTACGAGGTCCTCAAGTTGTCGCAGCACAATTTGTCGTTCGCTTACTCCGTTTCGAACCTCTCCATGGTGTAGGTAGTCAATACTATTGATGATAATGAATGTGCAGTCTGCATTGACTTCAGCTAGGCATTCAAGAAAGAAATTCCACAATTGCATCAGATTGCTAGTTTGCTCTTTGCCAAGATTTGCAAATTTTGGCTGTAGAAGACGAGGTCGTTGTTTCCACATTTGGAATATTAGTGATTGAACGAGTGTACGGTAGTTATTTGTTTTCACAGTAAGGCCGTCGCCGCAGAAATGTCTGAGAACGAGAACTGATTCAAAAGAGTTCTCGCCGAGGATGAGCAGAGGTGCAGCGAATAAAGAGTTGAAATCCCCTCGATTGAGAATTTCATTACCGTCAATCCAGAGCAGTTGAGATTTCTTGGATTCAATCCATTGCATGATATTTTCAGCTTTGAGCAAGTTTCGTTTCATTGCACGATGGCTATGCATCTCAGGGAGCTCTTCCATGGCGTCTCGACGCTGTTTGTTTGTTGCCTCAAAGTCCCGTAGTTCGGTGAATACGTCTTGAAGAAACCGTTCATAGTCAGGCTCATCTGAGGTTCCTATATCGAGAAACGATATTAATGAAATTCGGAGTCACTCTAGTAAACATACGCACCTTCAGAACCTACGACGGTGTCTTGAAAGTCATCCAAACGAGGGTCGTCCAGTTTTTCTTCTACCTTTTGTTGCAACAAGGATGCAACCTCATGAATATCAGTCTCCTTTGATATTTTGACTGAAAGCGCCTCAACTTGCTCACTGAGCTGCTTTATTACTGCCAATGTACCTTCTCCGAGAGCAAGAAGAGATCTGCTGGTAGCAAGATTTTGCCGATTGATCGACAGGTTTGCTGAAGTATTTATCGCAGTATGGAACTGCGTAATGTCTTTTATCTTTGAATACGTGAATTCAATTGAGGTTACGATACCTTCCAGCTTGCGCCATGGTTTTGCGAACGCAGCAATGTACAGCTCTATTTAATTAGCGAAAGAAAAAAAGGGAATATTTATGGAAACACTCACTTAGTCTGTTCCTTGTATACAGCTTTATCGCTTTTGCCAAAAAGCGATTGAACAGCCCGTACATTTGTGCCACAGCGTTAACTAGATTGGCCGTTGGCATGTAAACCGTCAAATGATCAACCATGTCAAAAGTGACTTTGATCCTTTTCATATACTTATGCACATTGGATTTGAGCTCCTGTGAATTTATTTCTGCATAGAGTAAGATTTTTATCGCCCCATATGCTACCGAAACAAACGTAGGCGCTTGCTGGACTATAGTGTCGAGAATCTTCGAAAACTCAAAGGCTATCTCGGCAGCTTCACGGCATTGGGCCTTGAACATCTCAATAAACTTCTTTGCTACTGTTGGATTCTGAGAATTCGGATAGCGTTTTTCGTATGCGTCCTGCGCAGTTTTGACAATAGAGAGCAAGTTTTTGCGACTTTTCTCGTAGGCTTCTACTTCCGATGGAGAGGCTTGGAGTAAGAACTCATCAAGGCGACTTTGGAGCTTGTTTTCAGAAATTTGAATAGTGTCACTTTTCACACGGTTAGATAATACGATTTAGTTATAATAAGGAGCCATTTACCGCTCGAGAATGGCATTAGTCCATTGCTTTGATGTCCATTGTTTGGTATTGTCGCCTTTTGAACTCTCGACAGGCTCATAACCTGGCGGCGAAACATCGTCATCAGAATTATCATCTGAGTCTCTTACAGACGATATACTGGACTTCGAAGTAGCCTCGTGCATTGGTGTATATATCCTAAAGCGAATATATACAGTAAAATTTAAAAATCGATGTGATTGTATAAAACGAAGAATAGATAGAAACAAAGCGACAAATTAGCGATTAAAGGTGGTCAGCCTTTAGCGCCGTGTCTTTCTTCCAATCATGCCCTGCGACACCTCGTATTTTAGTGCAATCCACATACCATTTGTCTACATTTTTATTCAATGTGATTAAAAATATTGTTTGGTTGTAGTTTTGTGGTGTCATGAATTTTAATATTCTGGACTTATTTTCAAAATGGTCGTGGTTTATATTATTTAAATTAATGATATATAATCTCGAATCATTGATGATCAACACTTCAAATCATTGTTCAATTGACGACTGATATATCAATATGTAAAGTAATAAACAAATCACACAGGATAAAATTACTCACAACCAAATAGAAAAAGTATATACAGTATAAACCTTCCTGAAATGAAAATTAAACATTAAAATTGACAGTCCGACAATAACCAATGATTTCACAGCGAACACAGTTGAGGGGTTCTTCCGTGGAGCTAGATCCCCCTCATTTTGTATGCGCCGTTCATCCCATACAGTATACCCCTAGCGCCAGCGACCCTCGAAGTAAATTTGGTTCGTAGTCGATTCAGGTAATGCATTAAGTGGTTGGCCCGGCCCCAGGCAATCTAAGGACCTTTGTCTGAGATAAGAGGACATTTCTAGTATGATTTTAGGGGGCAGATTTTCGAGAGAGCGAACCATTTCGACGATAGGATATTGGATATAGGGCATTCGATATAAGATATCAGAGGGTGGGTTGTAGAATGAATGATCTCGAGAATATAGCTAGTAGAGGGTGTAGGATTGAGAAAATTGTAGATGGCAGCTGCTCGAGTGGTGACTTAAATGCTGCAAAAACGAATCGTGAATCATACTAAAAGAAAGGCTGGCCATTTTTGAATACATGTTGCCTGAAGAATGATCGTAATTCAATAACACAAAACTAAGCATTCTCTATTCGAGATTCGCTTGGTGTATCTTTCTTCCCAGTATCTCCAGCTTGCATTGATCCCCGTTCAAGATCTGTTGCAGGGGCGACAGCCTTTAAATCTGTGACTTGTACAACACCAAACAGCTCATCCATTTTCTCAAGAGAAATACCCTTGGTCTCGGGTATGAAAAACCACACGAAAATTCCCATGGCAAAGCAGAAACAGGCAAAGAAGATGTAAGTTCTGCAGGTATTTGTGAGTCGATATCATGAAATCATCTATCATTTAGGGCATGTGAAGATGTATGGGGAGATAGCAGACTTACCCATAACCATTAGAGCCCATTGTAACAAGCATGGATGGAACAGCTCTCGCCACTACAAAGTTGAACAGCCATTGTGTTGCAGCGCCAAATGCAACGTTTAATGAACGTAGTCTCGCAGTTGGAATTTCTGATACATATATCCAACACACTGGACCCCATCCAAATTGGAAGAATGCTGCAAAGAGGAAAATGCAAACCAATGCAACATATCCTGCTGGAGGGACAGTTTCTCCCGATTTGGGTGGGGATATCCGGATATAGAGTCCAATATACAACATAGCGAGAGCCTGGCCAACGGAAGTCCATAAAAGCGAACGACGTCTGCCCAGGGAGTCGGCAACAAAAATAAGAAAAACGGCGCAGGCTGCTGTCTTTACAATTCCATAAACACCGGTAGCAAAAAGATTGGTGGCATTTCCGACAACTCCAAGGTTTTTAAAAATTTGTGGTGCATAGTAGTTGATGGCATTCGTTCCCGTCATTTGCTGGCAAATCATCAAGATAATCGTGTATACGGCGCGCTTACGATTACCAGCAATGAACCACATCTCCCGCATCAAGTCCCAGAATCCAGACCCACCAATGAGCTGGCGTTCATTCTCAAGCTGCATGATAATTTCGTTGAATTCATTCACAACGTATGGGTGAGATTCTGGAAGGGCGCGGACTTTGGACAGGGTCATTTTGGCCCGTTCCCACCTATCCTGCCTTGCTAGCCAGCGTGGTGATTCATTACAAAGACTCATGCCGACAAAGAGGAGGACTGCTGGTATTGCCTGTGTAGATAGGGGTATGGCATACATGGCATTACCGTGAATGTGCAGCAAACATCCGTAATTTATCCAGAATGCGAGCATAATACCGAAGACGATGAAAAGCTGATATAAGCCCGTGAGGCCACCTCGAATAGCGCGAGGAGCGTTTTCCGAGACATAAAGAGGATTGACCATTGACGCTCCCCCGACCCCCAACCCCGTAATGAACCTAGAGAAAATTATGATATTAGCCCCCAAATGTTTAAGCTACTCCACAATGGTGAGGTAGTGTCATAACAGCTGCGAACAAAGGGCATCCATCCCAAGAAAGGTTTTGCGTACCTTCCAACATACATAGCCGCTAGCTGGCCTGATGCAGCGGCTTGCATGATGGTTCCAACAATGGAAAATATGGCAGAAATGAGAAGGGCTGGTTTTCTTCCCATCCTATCTGCTAAAGGAGATGCAAGAAGAGCCCCAGCAAAACAGCCCGCCTGCAACGTGGACACAATATTGGCAGAAAGATTTGCAGTGACAGTGTCAGGTTTGTTCGCCAGACCATATTTCCTATGGTAGACTTATTAGAAGACCATATTGAGTTTCTAATCTATGATTCAGTGATATCTACTCTTTAAACGGGTCCATGGTTAGAACACCCCCAATAATGCCGCTATCCATACCGAAAAGCATACCACCACAGCAAGCCTATTTAAAGAATATCAGTTCACCAAACCTTCCGAATCCATACGATTAAAAGGAACGTACTGAACAGGCCAAAAGATATACCCTCCATCCATAAATCTCCTTGGGATCGGATTTCATTGCCTCATTATGGACAATTTTGCGTAGTAGGAACGACATAGTTTCTGCTAGAACTGCATGAATCGAGGGCTGGTGAGTAAAACCCGTCGAAATTTTAGGTGTCTGGGTTTGACAATCACATTATAACGCGGGTCCCAGCATTAAATACGAGGATGTATCGCGTGAAATCTCACTACCGAAGCATACTCAAAGCCAAGACGGTCAGATTATTCCACGAATCTCATGCGTAACTAGGGGTTAACGGCCCAATGATTGCTCCATCGACTAGATAAGCTTGATTCGGTGGGGTGCCAAGTACGCGGGGTCTGGGGTGGTATGCGGGGGTTTTGATGACGATACGCTACTTTATTGGATTTATTTCCAGCCAATCAATTCGACGGTCTCACAGCACTTCAATCTGTAGATATTTAGACGAATATTGATGCTAGGCACTGAAGTCATTAAGGAAGTAACAAAGGAGGGCAAGTTATGACTGAGTAGCGGTCAATATTAACCGCTCCTGCCGCAGCAAACAAAGTCGTATGACTTATCTACTTGAAACCGACAAGTGTCGACGGATGCTCTCTTGAACTGCTTTCCAATGATACATCAATGATGTATTGATAAATTGATACACCTATGGTTGATGGAGAGAATGAGTATATTCTTTTCCCCACAGCAAAGTCCAGTACATATTGTCATTTTATGACATTGATAACGAGGCCGAACTCATACCGTTCTCAATTAAGTCTTTTTGATATATCATATTATGGTTACTCTACTTGACACTTGGATTATGACAAACCATGCCAACCCTCTGACTGCATCCATTCATTCGCATCAAAAGGTCTCGACACATGCGGATGAAGATCATCTGATTTCATAACTCAAACTTTGTGGAATACGTCCTTCAGATAATCAAATGCCCCTAAAGGAACGCCCAGGTGCCTCATAATACAATACGCCGACGTCAAGTGGAAGTGGAAGTTCGGAATCGCATAGTTCGACACATACTCCTGGCCAGTTGCAAAGCGGAAGTTGCCCATCTTGGTCTCCATAATCACCTCTTTGTCTCCAAACGCGTCTACCGCTTCGGGCTTGGCCGTCTCTAGGATCTCAATCGTCCGCTCGATTCGTGCTTGCAGCTCCTCAAAGGTGGTTTCGGTATCCTCTATTACAGGTACCTCGTGGTTGCCAAGGCGTTGGATGGTGGACTTGACTGTGTTGGAACAGCTCTGAACTTGGAAAGGAAGTCTGCCCGTAGGACATGCGGTCAGTGGACAAGGTTCCTGAATTTGAAGTATTAGGGTAAAGCGGGTTGCACTAGCTTACCCTCTCATGTCCTCAACCAGGCGGAATGACAGCATAGACGCAGCTGTCATACCTTCCTTCTCTTCACAAAATTGAGCACCCTTTTTAAGCAAATGTGACAGGTTCTTTAAATAGTGGATGAAGACGGGGACCGTCTGCTTGTAAAGGCTGGTGGTCATGGTGAAGACTTTACGAATGATCGCAAATTATGATATGAAATTGCAGCTGGTGGTAATATTTGCCCTTTCCACGAAATCTCAATTGTGAGAGGCGACAGGGCAAAGAAAATACGTGGCCCGTGGCGGGGTTGGTTTTGCATCTACCCGGGACCGCTTACCAACATCCAACAGAGTTCCTAGGTACCTTATTCGCTTATATTCTGCTCTGCTTTCCTGGACGATTTGTCAGACATAGTACATAGTAGAGGACATTTACATGTACAGGGATAATTTGTTTGAGCACTAAAAGTTCGAACACGCTAAAGATAAGGCTACACTAAAAGAAGAACGACGATATTTATTCCTTGCCGATAGCATCATTTATTATCCCCTTTTAGGAATAGCCTAACCCAGGAATTAGTAAAAATATGTGTATTTGTTTACGGTTAAGGTTACTCTGCGCCGCGTTCGCCTTTGTTTAGGCTTTGCTCTATCTTATATAGTAGCTTGCTGGGCTTTGTTTCAACATAACCATGCCATGTATAGAACATGACTAGGTATTGGGTACAACACGCGATATAGTTGGCCAGCATGTTTCCAACTATTGGTGTAACCCAACGTGGTCACCAACCGCAACGAGGTCCCTTAAGTTATCAATGAACCATCGCTCCTCTCCTCCATCGTCAATAACATCCACAAATAATGATACAGATCTCTTCGGATATCTCCTAGCGGAGACAACTTATTTCAGCTTCTCTCAGCACTCTTGCTTCCTTTCATCTGACAAATCCAATACTATCGATGTCTTCTCCAAAGCGCTGGGCATTGATCGCAGGTGTCTTAGAGGGTGGGATCGGAGATCGGAGATGCTCTCATAGTAGAATTTCCCTCTCGGTCTATGTGTTATCGCAACCTGCCTGGATATCAATTTCCTTGACTATCTCCTCAGCCAATAAGGACGACTCCAAACAGTGTAATTAAACGTAACCGATCCAGATTTATTGCCACTGCTGTTGCCCAAGTCATCTCGATTATGAATGGTAGACTATATTTCCTAATCAATAACGCCGGTTATGGCTTCATGATGCCACTCATCGAGGCCCCCATCTCGGAAAAACTACGACGTTAATGTGTTTGGTCTACTCGCTGTAACACAAACATTTCTCCCACTTCTAAGAGCTGCGCAAGGCATGGTGGTCAACCAGAGTAGCATTAGCGCCGTTGGAGCTAGAAATCAACCGTTCATTGGGATGTATAGCAGTTCAAAGGCTGCAGCTACGGCTATAAGTAATTCAATTAGAGTAGATTTCGAGCCGTTCAATGTCAAGGTAAGACAACGCATTTTAAGAGTCAATCGACGTTGATTGACAGGCCAGGTAATCACTCTCATGACAAGCGATGTTCAAATGAAGTTTTGGCAAAAAGCTTCAACAGCTTCAGTCGGATTACCACAATCATCACTATATGATCCTATCAGAGACAGCGTTGAAGCTATGATGCGGGGAGATTCAAACCCACCAGGTCAACATTCACATGAGAGATGGGCAAGGAAAGTGGCAGATGATTTATTGCGACGAAATCCTGCGCCTTACGTACGAGGCGGATATTTGGTGATGGCTTGTGAGTATATTCGTGCTCTGGTGGTTGCTTGATTCTTGCCATACCTGGCGCGCACAGTTAGATAGATTGAAGAAATTGGCAGCCAATGGACAGCCATAGTATTCCTCAATTTTCATTTATTTGTAATCCGTCTAGTCTAAACAGGTCTTAACAGGCCGCAGATTTATTGATATGATAAGTCTGCAGAGGCCATATTATCAATAAAGCGGAACTGTAGGAACTAAAGAGTTACTGTCAGTAATCCCCGCTCAAGACAATATCATCGCTTTCTTCACTAATGGCAAGATTCCCGTAAATTGCACAAGTATATATGTGGGCTATGAGAATCGGGAAACTGCCACCGTATACGAGCAAGCCAATTATAATGTGCGAGTGGAGACGCTTTCCCCTGTTCGGGCAGAACTTCGGCCTCAGGCATGAAGCTTCGTCATTGGCTGAGCTTCGACCAGCATCGACTTCGTCAGGTAAACACGCGGTTCAATTCATTGCCTGTTGCTGTGATTGCAGTATTGGGTATTCCGCTAACGCTTGGGGGTCTACTTAGGGAATCGGCTTACACAGGTTCGTTCTAGTTGGCTCAGTTACCACAAAGTGTTCTACGTTATTCCCCGCTTTAGCTGCCTGCTTGTCAAGTCGCGATTCGACAACGCGTGAACAGCTCCACCGAAAAAGCCTACTAGTTTAGTTTTATAAGAGACTCAATTCGTCTGAAATCAACATGGGCTCGTCAAAAGGCGGAACCACGGGCTTGAATAAGACTCCAAAGATCAGATCTGGAGCAGCCCGACGAAGACAATGGGCCCCAAAAGTACGCACCGGCTGCATGACCTGCAAGTAAGGATGCCTGCGATCCAATCAAATGTGATCGTGCTAAGCCTTGGGGTGATTACTGCTGATATGAGCTATAGAATACGCCGTGTCAAGTGCGATGAGACCAAGCCAGAGTAAGTCTAACCCCCCCTTGGTCTCATATCATATTCACCCCAGTTTAATGCCTTTATCCATACCAGCTGCCGAAGATGTCTGTCAACTGGTCGCAAATGCGATGGTTACGAAGACGCTGAACTTTCTCCTCCAAGTCATCGAGAGTCCGACATACCAGGCTCTCAGACCACTCAGTTGGTAGTTCCATATAGAGACTCGGCACATCATCTATTGTCGACACCGTCGACTCAGCATCTGCTTCCGGGCAATGAGACAGAGAATCAGTATTTCGACTTCTTTCGATTAGTCACTACATCTAATCTAGCCAATTCATTCGATTTTGGGTTTTGGTCCTATAATATTTTGCAGGCGTCGCATCAATACCCAGCTTTGTTCCACGCTACAACGGCTTTCGGTAGCATACATCGCGCTTTTTTAAGTGACACTACCCCAGCTACTGTCCCCCGCAAACACACTGAAAAGAATGTCGAGTTTGCTCTGAGACAGTTCAACAAATCCATCCGGTCTTTATCCAAATTATTGTCACAACGAACGTATACATTCTTGGATCAGCAGGTAGTTTTGACGACATGCATTTTATTCTCCTGTCTCTGTATTCTACAGGGTCGACAGTCACAGGCATTCATGCATGTAAACAACGGCCTCAAGATGCTCTATGAATGGAGACTAAATGATCGAAGTCTGCCTCGATCCGGGTCTAGGGGTGTCGTAATTGATATGCTGATGCTGGTGTTCACTCGTCTTGACACCCAGATCCGACCCTACCTAATTGGTCAGGAGGCTGTTCTTAAATGGACGGAGGCTCCAGTCATTCCACCACCAACAAACATTCCATTTCTTTCTCTTCTTGAAGCCTACGTTGATCTGGAAGTGATTTTTAACCACGCAATGCGACTGATAATGAATAAAGACTTCCACAAACCTATGCGACCTGCTTATATCGTGGATCAAAAGGAATTAATTTCTTGTCAATTATCAGACTGGGACACCCGACTTGCTGATTTTCTAAAGAATACCACACTTCATGAGAGAGAAATAGATCAGAACTCATTGGACCTAGTCCAACTTCGGCGTGGCTTTGCCACAGTTCTCCTCTATTCAGAGACGTTCCGCGGGCAACATATCCACGATAGCTTAAGTCCAATTTACGAAGAGCTACTTAGACTGTCAGCCAATGTTCTACGTCATACAGACTCTACAGAAAGTCCATCTCCTCTAACTTCCGTACTATTCGAGAAAAGACCGGAGCATCCAGCCTTCAATCTCGCTTCTGCAATCACCGAACCATTATTCTGGACAGGAATTCGCTGTCGCGAACCCATAATTCGCCGCAAAGCCTTACGGTTGCTACAGCTGTATCCCCGTCGCGAGGGAATTTGCGAGGGCATGCTCGCAGACAAGATCGTACGGACAGTTATTAGTATTGAGGAAAGTAACTGTCCTCGAAGCATAGAATATCGCCAATCAATATCCAATTCGTCATCATTATCATCTCAACCTTCCTCATCATCGCCATCCTCATCCGCCTCGTCACCTTCAACCAATGCAACATCTGAATATCTCACCCTAGACCACCTTTGTTCAATCCAAAACTTTGCCTCTCCAGCAATGTCTTTGGGTGGAGATAAAGCTGCGGATTTGAGCCCATGCTCCGAGGAAGGGCAATGGGTTTGCGAGAAACATCGAGTCGCCCATTTTCAATACATTCTCTTTACCGAACGTCAGCTGAAGGTTGTCATGTGGACGGTGGAGGATCTTCAGTTGGGAAGAGACGGGAGATCGCTTATTTCCTCATGGTGGTGATGGTATGCGCCTAACTCATTTGAAGAAAACTATTTCGGGTTGATGTACATTATACCTTCTCACTGCATTTCCAGCGTTTATCTGATGATCTATATATAATTGCTAATGTTAAACCGAGCAGGCAAAAGTGCGAATTTAACCCCACAAAATATTAAATCTCTCCCACCCAGTGACCTTGATAGGGACGTTGTCAGGATCATTTCGCGCTGCTTCGATCGCCTGTCGAATGGGGATTTCTTCTAGAGAAACAAAATTGGTGTTTCTGATGAGTTTGTACCCACCGTAGACAACAAGGACTAACGGAATATCCCTATACAAGTTCATATTAGCAGTTGTAGCAAATACACCAAGAACACGAAGGTGAACATACAGGTAACTGGAGACAAAACTAGATGGGTTCCAATTTCCTTCGGTAAATACGGTGAACCCGCCTGTTAAGAGAATGATGATGCAAGCTACCAGGGCAAACCACGATCCATATGCTATCACGCGTCAGTTTTTCGAGAGTCAAAATGAAAATGAGGATCCAGGGAACTTACGTGTCCAAAAATTATGCCAGGGCAATTCAGTAGGGGAAATGCCTTGCTTTTTTAAGGCTTTCATCAAACGAATATGGTTCAATGCAATAGTGATCCAGCTAATCAAAACGCCCGCGGCGGTCAAATCGACAAACCAATAGAAAACAGTGAGTGCTTCATTGGAAACACACATATACGAGAGAAACGAAAATGTGACCTGTAACGCAACGCACATGTATGGAATGCCGTATGGTGTAGTCCAGAGGAAGAATTTAGGAGCGTGGCCCTTGAGCGCAAGACCATACAAAGTCCGCGTACCAGCGAGAATCGACTGGTTGGATGCAGACCATGCCGATGTCAGGACAACCGCATTGACAATCGATGGAATCGCCTTGATGCCTGCATCGCTGGCAGCAATGACAAAAGGGCTCTGTGCTGCGGTGCCGGATTCATTGCTTAATCGATCATCATCGCTGGAAACAAGCATGCCCACAATCAAGATTGCGAGGACATAGAAAATTGTTAGTCTAGCGAAAACACGTTTACACGCTTTAGGGATGTTTTGTCGCGGATTTTTGGTCTCAGCAGCTGCCATGGCGAGTGACTCAACCCCGGCGAAGGAGTAGACGGCATTAGACATCACAGCCCAAAATCCCAGAAACCTGCCCCAGGAGCCAGTAGCAATGTACTCAACAAATGGGCCCGGGGTTTTCCAGTAATGGAAGCCGAGACGTGGTTGACCAGGGACGCCGCCCAGGTCGATAACAAGACCCATGATGATAATACCAATGACGAGCAAGATTTTGAGCAGGGCGAAGAAGAACTCAACTTCACCGTAGATACCGATAAAGATGACTGCCACAAGTACCGAGACTACAATCAGAACAGTTACCCATACGGCCGGATTGACGGTCTCGTTCCAGTACTGGATGAGCACCACGGCAGCCGAAATCTCGCTGGGGACCGATATGAATGCGCCATAAACAACGTTCCATCCAATAGCAAATGCTAGAGCCGGGTCAACGAATATCTCCTATTCAACGGTTAGAAATCTCAATAATTACTTTAGACGTACTGCTACTTTGACCTACTGCTTGGCGAACAAAGCTTCCAGTCACGGGGAACAGGGCGGTGACTTCGCCCAGGGAAAACTGAACCGCACACACAATGGAACCGACAAACAGATAACCCAGTAAGGAACCCAATGGACCAGCTGTGGCAATTGACGAACCAAGACCGAGGAATAGACCGGTTCCCTACAGCTGTTAGCAATTATTTCGTTCCCCTTTTGAACAGAAATTAATATTTAATTAATAAATGGAAAAACTTACGATAGCGCCGGCAATCGCAATCATCTGAATATGACGTTGTTTCAGGCCCCTTGCGAGATCTCTATTCTCCAGCTCGTGAACAATTTCCGCATCTTCATTGTTGTACCCGCGTTGCGGCGATACGGCCCTTGTGCTACCATAGTCGATGTTTTTCGCGGGGTTTAGCGATGTCTCCAATCCGGCCATGGCAACAGCACTCTGCCTTTAATTCAGACAGGGGCGATGACCACGTGGAAGAGAAGTATATCTGGACCTCAATCTGACCGCAGATATTTTAAGGAGACATAAATTAAAATTTTGCCATGAAGAAAAAGGTTACATCCGCTGTCACGACAAAACACAAATCACGCCATTTTGAGCCGTTATCATCGCCAATTTGTGGGCCAATCGGAATACGGCTTTGCCGATGCCTTCACTAGGGTTTGGTGAAGGTAGTGGAGTATATAATCTTCTCAATGGTATATAAAGTCGGACGAGACGTCTCTAAATATTGTACATATGGTTGTAATGGCGAATCGCCGGATCACCATTCTACTGGTGGTTTCTGGAGGACGTTCCTAATCGGGTGTGCGATATCATTTCTATTTTTCAGATTTAGTGATCCATTTTTTGATTAAGCGATTCTTCGATATATCGCATCTTAGTTATATCTTGAAAACCGCTAACTATATCCATCGTTATCGAACTTTATCGTGGTGTAGAAACATGCGCCTTATGTTGGTGGTATTTATTCGCTGCAAGATATCACCCGCATGCGGCCTTCGGGGTTGGTCTAGCAAGGTCGTGTCGATTGTCAAAAACTATACGAGACCATTTCCAGAGAATAGTAGAAATTACGGACGCGTTGTTGACCGAAGAAGAAATACTCAAGGTGTCGAAAAAGATAAGAGCTTGTGGAGAAATTCGCGGGGGGGCAGATTATCCACTCATGAGGAAGATGGTGGGTGATTATGTGCCTGCTACATTTACCCAAAAGATACGTTATACTGGTCAGATTAGTGCGGTAGTTTTATCTAGACATTATTGGTCGAAATTTATAAGAACAAGTTGAGTATATGTTGAGAGTATAACGGGAACTGGCCCACGACTCACGAGCACATAACTCTTATCATGTCTTAGGGTATAATGCTAGTATATGTACATGTTGAAATTACAATATAAATGTAGCTGTGAGTGTAAATATTTAACATATCAATCATAACTATAATCATAAAATACCATACCATAACATACCATAAGTTAATTTGGATATATGAAGACACTGACCTAGCAAACATCTATTGAATGTTTAGTGTATCATCAATGTTAGCGTTGGATCGAGACTGTAACATAAATATTATTACTTAATTCCCTTGCCAATCTCGGAAACTAGGTTATATTAACAAAAGACTTAAGCATTGAAGTCGAGATTAACGTTAATAGTAAACTGTTCTGTCAAAGCTTAAAAGACTCAAGCTATTCAAGAGTCCTTCGCAAGTAAAACACCACGATATCGCATTTTACCATTGCTTAGTACCTCGAATGCCCTTTCAATTCCGTCTTTGTTTAATGGAAAGGTCATCACAACGGGGCGTATATGTGTAGCACTACAAAATCCAACATTCTCTGAATCGATGGTCGACTGCCAACGGCCGAGCCTTGAATTCTAATACCATTGTTGATGAGCTGTTGAATTGGTACACTAGATGGTTGAAAGCTGACACTCAATGGATATATACTTCCAGTTGCTGCTGCAAGTGGGATCGGACTAGAAAATGAATGTCAGTCAAGATGTCACTTGTGCGAGTGGGTTGGGAAGACCTATGAATAACACATAAAAGGAAGCGCAATACGAACTTTTCAAAATTAGGATGTGAGCTACCAGTGCACAGAAGACGGTCCAACTTTTTAATGCTCGTTTTGAGAACGTCGTTATCATCGGTGACATGGAATTCCTTCGCTCCAAATTTCAGAGCCTCCTCTTTCTTGCTTTCACTATGGGATAGAACAACTACATTGCAGCCTAGCTTTGATGCAAATTCAATTGCCATATGGCCTAGCCCACCGATACCTAATACACCTACTCGGTCACCAGCCTTGAGCGGATAGGTGGTCAAGGTACTCCACACAGTAGCACCACCACACATCAGCGGTGCCGCAAATTCTGGTTCTAGCTGATTAGGAAGCTTTATAATCGTTTAATCGTGCCATATGACTTTATTGGCAAAAGTACCGACATCGGTGTCACCAAAGCCGTAACATGTTTGGTTGTCGCAGTAATTGTCATGTCCTATGTGAATATTAGTATGTTTCATCGAAAGCCGCTTCTTCTGGGGCTTGCATCACCGTGAGATCAAGAGCAGAATTTTTTTTAATACCATTCAAGCACGGACTGCAGATCCCACAGACCCTTTTTATATAGCCTTAACCCACTCTATCCCCAATTTCGACAATAGTAACTTCCTGGCCAATTTCCTCCACAACACCAGCACCCTCGTGGCCTAGAGCAATACCTTTATGTCGAAAATGTTGATCTGTCCCGCATAAACCTGCATGTGTGATTTTGACGAGGACGTCATGTGCATCAAGAAAAAGAGTTGTCTGGTCTGCTTTGATAGCAGTGGACTCGGTGTCGCGGAATACTGTGAATGTGCTTCCTGTCATTTTTGTTCTATAATCAGGGGGTTACACTTGGAGCTATTTGGGTTGTCTATTCCTGCTACTAAAAGCTAAGAGGTTTTGTGATTTACGAAAATGAGTTTAATAAGGTTGATATGTGCGTAAAGGTGAGATCATGAATGAATATTCACATTGAAAGAGGGATAGTACATTTGATGTCCTAAGTGGGGGGTCATGGATGGTAAGTAATTGTCTGGGGTGTAATGGAATAGGTTATTGGTGGAAATAGTCCAAGAAATGGAAGTGATAAATACAACGCTTTTAATTCGCTCCACTGATGCTTAATCATCATTGATTATCAAGTTAATTGATAAAGACAAATGTATGAACGTTATTGGACATACTGAAGTCCTTCTGAGACCTTCTACTGGCAATGGTTATCATTGAAATGAAGAATTTCACTATCTTTCACTGCACAAGGAAACTCGAATGGCTCGATCCAACAACAAATTGCCAAGAAAATTTCAAATTTACACACTGAACGAAGAATTGCATTTTAAGGTTGCTCGAACATCTTTATTTGTGGTTGAGAAAAGAAATCTTAGAAGCAGTTGGACCACGGATTCCATTGTTTCCTCTAAATTTAACGCGTCACAGAAACTCGATTAGGTATCAAACGCTAGGCTGCTCATGAAATTACCGAGTACCACTGACCGATTCTTAAGGAAAGTACTCGCGTGTATACTGCCAGCTAATTTTTGCTTCCTCCAACTGTCGTCGGCAGGATGGCGCGTCTTAGGCAGGCACTAAGTGATTCCTAAATGGGTTGATAATACAGAGTAATACTGTCTTTTTTATTACGATTAGATTATATAGGGCCTGTAGATTTGCATTCTGCAATTAGTTTAAAAATCTTGTTTGTTGGTATCTTATAAGGGTAATATTGATTAAAATCATTAATCTATATAGAGGCTCTCAGTTTATTAAAATTATACTCTAAATAGTTTCAGTAGACTCTGATTGGGTGATAAAATGTCGGCTTAGTAAGACTAAAAAGCGTCATAGACTCTTCCAAAAGAGACTGGTTTGTGCTTAATAATATGCGCACTAAAAGGTGATTGTAAGCCTTAATTGGCTTATTTTAAGGTAGTATTAATGATTAAGGAGTTCTGGCTTAATATTAATGGTATTAATTGATATTCATTTTAATAGGACTAGTTAAGAGATTTCTATTAATTAAGATAGGATGGATAAAATTAGCAGACTAGGGTTATGATGCTCTAAATCTAAAGATAGAAAATTGTTATTGGCCTGAGGCTGATAGAACTTAGAAACTAACAAGGTTCTTCATATAAGAAGTAGATAAAAAAGTAGAAACATGTATCTAAAAGAATCAAAGGAATTAAGCACTTAGTAGGATCCCTTACTTATCTATTGAACTCGCCGCCGGGAACCTGAGGCTTAGATGCGTGAATGAAGAATACTACTACTACTGCTACTACGACAAATGCCTGTAGGGGAGCAAAACATCTAGATGAGGCCGGCGGGCGGACTCGGAAACTTTTTTCTCGCATTTAATAATCAATTATTAATATTAAATTATCAATGGAGGACGACCGTTAAATTTCGTGCGGCGCTAACCCAGGAGTAACTCCTATTGGCTGAGGAGTTGTAGATACTAGGAGATGCTCCCATTGGATAGCGCACTGCCCCTTTCCTATTTGAGCCTTTAGAGTGTCCTAAGCATACCAAAATGCAAGGGTGTGGAACAACTATAAATACATTTAACATGCAGTTGCTTCTTTGGATCTTCGTTGTTGGAAAAATATAAACTTTCACAGCAGCTTGAAATACGACTTGCTTACCGACAGACAGCGTCCAGCTCAATACATCAAGCCTTTGGAATTGGCCTCCATGTTGTTTGAATTTTGATACATTCGACAATGTCCTCCGATAGCATTTCTTTCGACGTATTTCGTGGTGTTTCCGGCAAGATTGTTGCCGATCGCGTCACGAAATCACTTGGAGATAATGAAATCTTCATCGAGACTACGCACTCCGGTCTCTGCGGCACCGACCTACACTTCCTTCACTCCAACAAGGTGCTGGGACATGAAGGTGTTGGTATAGTTCGTAGACTAGGCCCCGGTGTGACATCGGTTAAAGTAGGAGATAGAGTTGGATTTGGGTACACTAGAAAAGTCTGCGGCAAATGTAAACATTGTTTGTCCGGTATGTGTCGCGACTAATAAAAACTGATTGGAAACTAATGCTATACATTAGGATGGGATCAATTCTGTGAAAATATCGCGGATTTCACAAACCGAGCTGACCCTGACATTGGTTCACTCTCGAATGGCGCTGTCTGGGACGCTGATGCAGTAGTTCGTGTTCCTAATGGTTACGATTCTTCCGACGCAGCACCATTACTCTGCGCAGGCGCCACAGTATGGACCGTTCTAACAGAATATGGCATTAAGCCAACGGATCGAGTCGGTATTCTTGGTATTGGAGGACTTGGCCATTTGGCTATAAAGCTGGCCTCTGCGTTAGGATGCCACGTGGTTGTGCTTTCCAGCTCTGAGTCAAAGCGACAAGAAGCCTTTGAATTCGGAGCAAAGGAGTATTTTGTTTTAAAATCAGGTGAAAAGCCCAGTGGCCTTCTTCCTTTGGACCACTTGTTAGTTTGTGGAAGCTCATCGAGCATGGACTATACCTTGTAAGTCGAACATTTCTTTCCATTCTTTCCGTCAAGTATCTAATTCGACCGACAGCCTCGTCAGTTTGATGGAGATCCATGGCTCTATTTACCCCCTCACTGTATCTTCTGACAAGGTTCCTATCCTTCTCCATGACGCTGTTCTTAAAGGCGTACGTGTTCAGGGATCTTTGACATCCTCACGTCGATCACTTCGCAGGTTGTTTGAATTCGTAGCTGAGCGAGACATTCATCCTACCTTGCAAAAATTCCCAATGTCTGTTGAGGGTATTGAAACTGCTGCCAAGGTTTTGGACAGCGGTAAGATGCGCTATCGTGGTGTTTTATGTTGGAATTAGAAGATCTGGTTCTTGAAAATTTCGAACTCTATATATGGATATTTGATTTGTTGATGAAAGTGTATGTGTACTGATTACATGTATTTATGGATCATGATATCATCAATGATCTATTCTTCAAATCTAATTTCAGTGGCTTCGAGGCCCACACTAAAGAAGACCTCTGACAGAAATTTGCTTTATCATGACATTGAATGTTACATTGGGGAGAGCATATATATCATGGTTTGTGACCTACTATCCAGCACTTGGGGTAGGGCATATTGAAAAGAATCAGACAAGATTTGTAAGTGGGTTATATTACATGATCCTCATCTTGGCCAAATGAATCTTCGGAGTTGCTCTCTGATGCTGATGTGTCATGGGGTGACCTCAACCGTGTTCCTTGAACCTTAAACCTTCTGCTAATATCTTCGGCAAGAGTGAAACCTTCCCTGCAGCCATCAAGAAGATAGAGATCATCTAGGACAACGTTTCTTTTCACAAATTAGTGACCAGTGATCAAATTTAAGGACTATCATTTCTAGTCCTCGAGTCTTTACATGAAAGTGCGTACTCACCTTTCATCCGGAATCGCTGTATTGCCTTTGATATCCATGGATGAAGCAGGGCGAGGAAAGTAAGACAGAGAAACTAGCAGGGCGAGTCTACCTAAACACCTAACAAGAACCGATGAGTGTAGCATAATGTACTCCAATCTAGTCATCGTGTCGTGGTAGGTGGTTGATTTCATCCTCCCGCTTTTGTGAAGGGCGATAGTCATGGCCTCAAGAGCTTCATCCGTGAAAGGTGAAAGTAAAGTATCAATGGCGTTCGTGACGGGGTATTGTCCCAATATATAGACAGCGAAGGACTCGGATTTTGCCACTACCTCAGTGTCATGCTGATAGGTATTTCCCTGTCCTTTCTGGTTTAACGAAAGAAGATATCTTTCAACTGCGTTACGATTTGACAATTCCAGAGAACGAATAACAATGTTCTTTATCCAGGAATCTTCCATTCTGTTTGAATCGGCCCAGACTGACGATGATTCTTCAGTATGTGTAGTTCTCGGTTCCCAGAGCCTTTTTGCGCCTGCCCGACCACCTTTACCGTATTTTGAGTCAAGCGTGTCAAGTTGAAACATACCATCGACCACACGAAGTACGGTATCCCATTCATTCAAGTTTAATGACACTCGCATTAGCCCAGCTCGAACGGATTGGCTATTGTATACAAGTATTTTCATAGAATGCAGTTCTGCTAGACAGGTCTTCCACAGTTTGAAGAGTGTTATTGCATATCGCCTCTCTTCGAGCTTCATTTGATGTGGCTCACTCTTGGGTCCTGTTGCTGAAATCCAGTAACTTTGAGGATCAGAAATGGATTCGATGACACCGAGGGCCGTTCTTTCTAAGTAAGGAGATATGATATCATCCATTTCAGCACTCTTTGACGCAGCCGCCATAAATTCAGAACCGTTTCTACCCCAGCTGTTGCTAATATAGTTACTAATCGGAACCCAAACCTGTTTTGCTTGCTGTCGGAGACCCTTAGATATCAGAGTTGCACGGTTGGTTGCTTGAGCTATACCAAATTCATAGACTCGTCGCACATCCTCGAAATTCCTGAGCTTATATTTCTCCCATTGTAACATGCAGACAACTGAAACCAAAAGGGATCTGTCCTTTTGACTGAGGTGCGTTAGATTCATTGATAGCGGATCATCGATCAACGGTCCGTGTGCCTGTTCCCAAAACTCAGTAATCGACAGATATGACACACATCTCATTTCAGCATATAAAGTGATTGCATCTTTAAATACTGGATCATCTGTTTCGAAGTCGAGTGTATGCCGAAAGCTATGAATCAGTTGGACTGTACAGTTGCGGGTCTCTTCACTGACACTGCTCAAGGTAATATTCGCCTGCGACGATCCTATCTCGAGCGTATCAGAAGAGCTCATCTTTGCAATCGTCTGTTTACCCCATGATGACTTAAAGCGGAAGAAACCGACGAGTACTTGTACCAAGATTAGCATTATCATGGGTGGAGCCTTCAACTTTTCCCGCGAAGCTTTGAGCACGCGAAGTATGGTTGTTGCTCTTTGCGACCAAATGTCGCTGTCATGCTCCTGCTCATTCCATTTGTTAATGGTCCATATCAGCGAGAATACGGGATGATATTGAGTTGGAGCTCGGCTTAAATAAGATGGTAACCAATCATTAACTTTGTGAAAGGCACGTTTGCTCATGAAAGAGCGGAATGCACTAGGGTGAGCCCGCCTAATCAGTGGCAATGATAGGAATAGTGCAATGCATTCAGGACGAGAAGGTTCCTCGTCCGAGTACTCCTGAAGGTTTAGGGCAATGTGCTCGGTATGAGGAGATATCAAGCCGATATTACATAACGCGTTTCCTAATGCTTCCGAGCGGCTTCCATTCATATTATCGAATACCAGCTCGAAGGGGAATGTCTGGTAGACTGCTAGGGCTGCACAAAGAGACATCCTTGCCTGCATAGCCCGATTCCCATTCAGCCGAAGCCTAATCCATTCGTGTACGAGGGGATGAATAGTGAGCTCATGTTCAGTGAAGCCGCGTTTGACCAACGAAAATGCACACAAAACCCCAACCGCAACTCTGAAACCCGCGTTCGGGGTTAGGCATCGCATTTCGGGCAATCTATTAGATTCCAATGAGAGACTTTGCGGTAGAAAGGTAAATTCCCATTGGCGTTCAACCATCGCGTTTAGAAGAAGCTTCTCAGATATTCGACTATGATGGAAGAATCCTAGAATCTGGAGTAACTCTGATGCCCTTGGGTGTTTTTTTGCGAGATAGTTGAATGAGATCTCCCAAGTTGTCATGATAGATTCTGGGTAGGTCGGATTTACTTGCTTGAATCTGAATAGAAGTTCCCGATCGCTTGCTTGCATAAGATATCGGAGATACTCAGAAAAAGTAGGAGAATTCTCGCGAATAAAAGCTGCAGCCTGGTCAATCGCTAAAGGAAACCCATGTAGCTCCTGAACAATGCGTTGAACAGTTTCGTGTTCTGGATGAGTCCAATAGTCTTCGCATTCATGAGTGGCATCACCCTGAAGTAATCTTAGGAACAGTTGTATACTCGTGTCAAATCCCATCTGTGGCAGTTCGAAGCCCGATGTTGCAATTGGACCAACAACTCGTTTATCCCGCGTAGTTATGATAACCATCCCAGATAATTTATGGTCAGGTAAATGTTCTGGCAGAAACTGTTGAACATTGACGCTGATATCATCATAATTGTCTAGAACGAGAATCCAGTTGTTACCTGGGATGGACATCCATTCTTTCACAAGTTCAACACCAGAGAGGGTTAGAAGAGTAGAACGTTGAGTATGGCTTTTTTTTTGATTCTCATCTTCAATAAGAAGTTTCTTCAACTTAATGCCGATGGAAATGAAGTCGGTATTTATCGCGTCTAGACTAGCCGCTGATACCCAGAGTATTGAAGTCTTAGAGTCCTTTCTATTACATCGAAATACGAATTCTGAAGCCAACTGTGTCTTTCTAGATAGATTATTATATAGTGAGTATTTGCTTTTCATCGGCCCCGGATTGATTGACTTACCCTATGCCACCTAGACCGTACACAGCTGTGATGGGGTAGGAATAGTTGTTTTCTAAAGTATACGATCGCAGGCTAGCCATTTCCTCAAGTTGTTTCAACTGGTATTCTCTTCCAGAGAATCGATGATTCCGTAAGACAGGAACACTAAATATCACTGGCAGGATATCATTATTTTTGTCCACGGCGGATAAATGTTTTCTTAGCCCTACTCAATTATATCAGTATGATCCTCTTGCGACGACTCAACAGAAATGAATCTTATATTTACCTCTTTTCAGACCAGGCCTCCATGATTCGAGAAGGGCCTTCGCGCATGATGCAGCCGTTGCCGCTGCATAGTTTTGCCATTGCTTGCTTTTATGGCTGTCTGCGTAATCAGAAACACCTTTTACAACGAGGCAGGGTATCCCATCTAGGTTATCCCAGACTGCAGCTGCTTCCATCTCCAATGCAATTATGCCTTCATCATGGGCTAATCGGTCACGGTCCTCCCCAGACTTCATTACCGTATCGGCAGAGGCAATTTTGCCAAAATGAATAAATGGCGCTGTACCTCTCTCTTTCAGTCGATTCCGCTGGACCAACTCGCCATCACATCCTAGCTGATCGCAATCCGCAACCGAAGCATCTTGACAGACCGAGGATTGCTCGTCGGAATCACACAGAGTACAAGGCGACAATATATCTCCCCCTGCTTTGCGATGGCTGTGCTTATAGGATGCCTCGAAGAGTATATCTTGTGAACTACCTGGGTATGCCCAGTCGCTTTCCACACTGTGTAGGTAGCTCAAGTGGGAAGAAATGTCATCCTGTAGCTTATTCCGAATCTTTTTGGTTTTCAAGTTGGCAATGAAACTTTTCAAATTCCGGTCATTGTTACATTTCTCGCCACCTTTTCTCTCGAAACCAGCTGGGTATCGCCTGCCGAAGTCATATTCGACTACACTGTCACCGATAACGATATCTCCGAGTAACATCTCAGTTCCTTTGGATGGAAAAGGTACTCCTCCACAGATCCCGACTAAGAGAACAAGTCGAATAGCAGTGAAGTTCAACAGGAGGGTTGAAGTGACGCCAGCCGCGCTACTCTTGCCAATCCCTGGCAGCTGCACCAAAGCTACATAATGACGTCCAATTCTCCCTACCGTGGAAATATTGTAGTTTCGCAGTTCATTTTCATCCGTCTCTTCCAAATTATCGTAACATTCATCAAAAAGTGCGTCTACGGCATCAACCTCTAGCGGAAGTGCGCAAATAATAGCAACGTCGATTTCATCCCGACTTGTTGGCGGCATAGTCGGGCATATTTAAGGACCATGGACCTAAAATTCTCGCTGGCTTGTGCGGAGTAGACGGGTCAGGCCATCCACGTGAATTCTGCACAAGATGTTAAGTTGCGATTTCGGAGGGGAACTCGGGCGAGGCTGAGCGTGTGGTTAGATATGCAACTAACTAGCTAGTGGATGGTGCGATTGGTGGGTGACTGCTGCACCAGTGCATACGCAAATAGCATCGACCCCCATGACCTGCAGAAGTCTTTCTATTCTTTCTTTTCTTTTTTTCTTAGGCATTAAAGGTTTCGGCGTGGTAATGGACCAATTGGGTGAGCACGAACATCCTACTTAGACGTACAAGTCCTCACGAGTGGTACTGACTGAATTTTCTCTTTTTGCCAAATAGAGAAGTTCCCATGTGACCGCCTACTATAATAAAACAAGGTTGACGACTTTATTCTTTCTTTTGAGGTATCACTGCAACGAGGAAAAAATATCCTGAAATTCAACAAAGTAATGAAGGTATCGAGCCATCAATTGATATTAATGACGGGACCGGTTTATCTCGCGCGAAATAAAGACTTGAAATGTTCCAACTTACATGAACTATGTGTGCCGAAGTATAGAGTAGCTTATTAAATTATACGAGTGCTCGCTCTTACGTTCTTTATAACCCATGCTGGAGTATGAGTAGACTATGAGACATAAGCTTTTACTACAGTAACCGAGGCTTTCGAGGACGTCCTTATACCCCGATGCATGATCAACCATAAAACCACATTATAACTAACATTGAAGACGACATATGTATATAATTGACTGACCTGACTATACGCGCGTACCATTTACACATTGGGCGTTCTTGAAGCTCATAGATAGATACAAAATGGAACCACAGTGGATAATCATTTCGCCCCCACAAGTTGGAACACATCTACAACTCATGTATGTAACAGAGGGAAATATTTGCTTTTTTTTTGTGGGTTCAGAGACCATTCGGTTTCAACTTTGTACTTTATAATGTTCTCGTTGGTCGTAGTGTACATTAGCTCCAGCACCGGTTCACATGTAAAGTGACAGGGGTATCGATAGACAAATGCGGCGCAGACGTACCCCTCCTCGATTATAAAATGGTCAAAGGAGCCCTCTGATTCCTGACTTTGAAAATATTTCCAGATGGAACTTATTTGTTAATGATACGACTCAGCATTAGTTGTTTACCCGACAAAAAGAATAATCGAACAAATAGGATAAGACACTATGGTGCCCCGTAGGGTCAATGATGATGCCAATCAAGAACCGACATCAAGTCCTCCAGTACGCCCAGCAAGTCAAAGTCAACCACCAGGGTGGTTGTTCTCTTCTTTGCGCGAGTTGCCGTCAACTACCCCGAGTGCCAGCTCCAGAGCAGCGACTCCTTCATCACCACAGCCAGCTTTCCAGTTTGGTTTGAGAACTGCACACGGAGCATTGGCACCACCTCAAGAAGAAGTATTCACCTTTCGAGTTCTACATAATGTTACGCCTCGGCCATCAGTTGAACCAGATGAGGTAAACCCCCCAGGCCCGCCGTCACTTCCAGCGGAGCTAGATGCGACTGCTTTACCCACGGCCAGAGACATTGAAAACATGCCTCATCATGTCACTTCAAGTATATCCGGTCAACCATTGGGTATTCCCGGTGAATTTCCCTCTGAGGAGGAAGAGGTGATTAGCCTTTCCTCGCGCATTGAGTCATTCTCGGGCCTTAGCGATATTCTCTCGCCATACCCCACAGCACTCCTAAGCCCTCCACGATTTAGTAGTCGTGGGCGAGCCGAATCCGATGTATCAGTCTACAGCGAGCTCAGTGACAGCGGAATTTCTACTACCTCGTACGATGTAAGAGATGAAGAAACTCCGATAGGGCCATTCTTTACTGCTCAGTTTCAAAATGCATTACAGCAAGGCCTGAATGTATCAAAAAGCGCAATGACTGCGATAGAGGAATTCAGGGGCTCTATTGAACCAGAAAGTAATCTGGGGAAGCTTCTTAGAGATGCTAGGTCTTTATCTACGTTTCATAGTGCGGACACAAGAACTATTGCTATTTTGGGTAATTCAGGCGAAGGTAAACAATCTTTGAGTTTATGAAGTCGGGACTTAAGCTAACTTTCTTCAGGGAAAAGTAGTCTAATAAATTCATTGCTTCATTATCCGGGGATTGCCAAGACCGTAAGTGGCATTCTCATTCATAAGATACAGTTTCTAGTTATGTTTACAAATAGCGTCTGACTTCTCTAGTCGGACCTGGGATCAGCATGTACCTCCGTAGTTACCGAATATCGACAGCAAAAAGAAGGGCAAATTGTACCAATTCTCATAGAGGTAGAGTATCTCCCTCAAGACCAAATTGAGGATCAAGTGCGAGAACTAGTGTGGAACTACCGTCAGCTGTATCATCCTGATATTGAGTCACCTGAGGTGTCTGCTGAGGACTACGCAAGAGTCCAAAGAGAGTCGGAGACAGCGTGGTCGGCACTACAAGCGGCATTTGGACACCATCCAGAATTTAATCAAAACGTTCTGTCGGATCAATCAGATGGAGCTTCAGAAAGCGTGACGAACAGGCTGATTGAATGGGCTAGAGAGATCGCTTGGCCACAAGGAGGAAATGATGGAAGATGGACTTCGACCGCTCAAGACGCTGAAGAATGTTGTGAGAAGACAGATCAATTTATGAAGGATCGACTTTGGCCATTCACTAAAATTATTCGGTATGTGATCATTGAGAAATGGCGTTAGCAGGTGGATATTGTTCACTAAAAGTCTTGACCTTCACCCTAGGATATATCTAAATTCCATTCTGCTAAAGACCGGCATCGTTCTGGCAGATCTCCCTGGTATAATACCGAATTTGACTACGTCTAAACGAGAAATCAGCTGATGACATGTCCAGGTCTCCAGGATACCAATTTAGCTAGGGTACAAGCAACCCAAACGTATCTCATGAAAGCCGACTACGTTTTGATTGTCGCAAAGATTATAAGAGCACGAACAGATAAATCCCTCAAAGATTCAATACATGCTGTAATCTCTAGGCACATCACCTTAGAAGATACTAAAGCACCATGGAATTTCCATTTGGCCGTGGTATGCACAAAGACAGATGTGGGACCTCTTGAATTTTTACTTTGCCTCATTCTTTTGAGTTGCTAAACAACAATAGGAAATTGACGAAGATGCGGCAAAGCGGGAATTCTGTGGTGCTGGGAAAAGAATTGAGCAGGCCGTAATCGATCAACTAAAGAGGGAAATAGATCATGCAAAAAGGTTTAAGACTGGCGATGTAAAGGCTTTAGAACTGAGGTTCGATAACAGTTTTGATAGTTTAAAAACTTATCATGACACGGTCAACTAACCACCGCCAATAGACAAAAACAGCTTCTTATCGACGCTCGTAACCAACATGTTACGGAAGGACTGCAAGAAGAGTACGGGCCAAAGTTGAGCGGGGGAAAGTTGGAAGTATTCTGTATCTCCAATAGGACTTACAAAAAGTTTTCGAGGGCAGGGAATGTGAGTATGGTTCGTGCCAGTGGAATTCCCGAACTACGGCGGTTTTGCCATTCCATAGTGGCGAACGCTAGGCTTCTAGAAGCCAAAAATGTTTTGCAATCAAAGATTTCTGGCCTTCTCAATTCGATCGAATTGTGGACTAGGACTGTGCCTGTTTCTGTGCCATCTCCAACAGGAGATGTCACGAACACTATCCAGCTAGACTATAAAGTCCTACAGGAAGCGAAATCAAAGGTATGTCCTTGTCAATTTCTTTTCTGCTGTGTTTTGGATCTGTTATAGGGTCTTGTAACTAAGAATTAATAGATTATAACTAAAGTCAATGGATCGAAGCAAAATATTCTTGATTCCTTCCAAGAGTTCATCCTTGACTTTCTAGGTAAGTGAATGAGAAAATATCTCTTGACCATCCATCATTGACATCATGCCCAAAACAGATCGAAGAGGTGAGATTTGGGAACACGCTGCTAAAGAGAAGAGCCAGGCGTGGTCCAGTGTATGTAGTTCACTCCCTTTTATAGAATTTATTATACGCTAACGCATATGGTCATTTGTAGTGGCATTGGTGTAAGTTTAGATATCCTGAAGATGTTAAAAAGGTTTTGTGTAGTTGGGGCTTGCAGCTAATCGTTAGCTCTCATTTACGTTACAGCGCAATATAATGCATGGTGCTTAAATAATGGCGACCATGCTACATCAAAAAGAGGTCACGTAAACTGGAACGGAGAATTGAATTGGAAAATGCGCTCTGAGTTAGCATATCAATGGGAATTGTTCGAGGATGATATCGTGAACGAGTTCAAAGACCTCTTAGCTTGTCTCAAAGGAAATTTGAAGGATCTTGAATCATATCTTGAAGGTCAGTGGAGAAATGGCTCTCGTCCCAAATACGAGTTTAGCTCATTATTATCTTAGATTTCGACGCATCACTCGTCGCAGCGGCAAATTTCCGCACACAAGATATTCAATACAGGTGCGGTTTAATTCAACGAGAGTTTCAACGCGATATACGGTATGTTACAGTTGAAATTGGCTATTTCATTGCTCTTGAATGAAGGAAGATTATAATTAAGCCCGTTGTGCATTTATACCTTTGCCCTAATATTGAATTTTACCTAGATTCATCCGCAGTCAGGCATCCGAAGCAAACGAGTCATCTTATATGGTAAAGGAAATGATTCCGACTTATCGAGCTGCATCCCAGGAATCTGGTTAGGCTCTAATTTCTTAATTACACCCTATTGACTCTTTCGTTCCTATTATAGATATTAAATACTGACTTGAACATAGGGACGAACAAAGGGTTAAGACAGCGTGTCAGAGTTCAAGGCAAGATTAGTGGCGGGACTCTCTTTGGGTGTATCCTACATCAAATATCGTCTGATGTGGGGGACAAAGTAAAGGAGAATTTCAGAAAGCTGCTTGCTATTCTGGAAGATGATGTCGCTCGCATAAAGGAAGACATTAGCATGGCTATGCCTGGGCAAGAGGCGTCAGTTCCTGGTAACGAGCGTGCACCGCATAGAGATGATGAACGCTTAGCAGAAGAGAGGCGATTCAAGGAGCACTTGGCAGGTCAAGTGAAGAAGCTTAAGGTAAAGCACGAGCAGGTCCTAGAGAGTATATCGTCCATTTGATGTCTTTGTCCCTTTCTCTTTTTATCTTTCCCAGTTTTTGGTCACCAGAAGTTTGATGGGTTAGTCAGTAGAGTACATTGCGTTCAAAATGAAAGTCGTTTGGAATTACCCAAGTCCACAGTTTAGATCATTGTTTGAACTTACATACAATGCATACAAATCTAACCTCTCGTCTGAACTACGGGTTCCTGTTCTTCTCTACATGTATATATGTCGGGGCTTGAGGTACTTGCGGCAGCTTGGACTTATATGCAATTGTAAATTTCAACAACATTTTGAAATCTTGGGAATCTGATGCTGCAAAACTTTTCCACGCAGTTATGACAACTGTTAATTTACATTTTCAGGGTTTACCACCGGCTGAAACCACAAAGCTTATATCTGCGGACTCTCTCTGGCATGGCATCGGCCTCAAAAACAATGCTGATTTCCAAATTAGTGGCTGAAAAAGCAAAATTGACACGTTCCAAATGCAAAATGTGAATTAACAGCACATGCAGGATGCCGATGCGGGGTAATGAGGGTGGCCTGATAGCATATGATAAGGATCGCTGATAAGAGCACCGCTTGGATTCCTTCAATTTCCCTCACTATTCACATTCACCTTAGTTGATAAAGGAGGAAAAAAACGGTAAAAATGGCCGCTTCCGGTTCTAAAAAGGAAGCATCCATCTCAACTGGAGTGGATCAAGATGATCTGACGATTCCGGTGCGCGCCCCTCTCAGGGTTTGAAAATGGCAATTAATACTGACGATATGAAAGGTCATCGACTTCTCAGCCTTTCTCTATGGGGGTGAGGAAGCCAAGAAAACCACAGCTTCAGCCATGCTGCATGCATTCCGCACGAGCGGTTTTCTTTATCTATCCAATTCAGGAATTCCACCGTCCACTGTGTCAACGATCTTCAACCAATCTGCCAAATTCTTCAGCCGGCCTACGGAACAAAAAGATAGTCTCGGATGGGACCGACCGGAGTCAAATCGTGGCTATGTAACATTTGGCCGAGAGAAAGTGACGGATTCAGCCGATCCGGAAGAAATCAGACGTCTGCGTGAGACCAACCCAGATTACAAGGAGACCATGGAGATTGGCCGAGAAGGGGTTGAAGGGATGCCTAACCAATGGCCAGACAAGTTTGACGAGGAAGGAAAGGAGTTTACTAGTATTATGAAGACGTTTTTTGATACCTGCAAGGACTTGCATGTTGAGGTCATGCGAGCAATTGCTTTGGGGCTGGGCTACGCGGATAGCTTTTTTGACGAATACACTGTTGTGGGAGATAATACTTTACGTCTGCTTCATTACCCACCAGTGCTTAAATCAGTATTCGCAGAAAACCCAAACGCAGTCAGGGCCGGCCCTCATTCTGACTACGGGTCAATTACGCTGTTGTTTCAGGATGACATTGGCGGTTTAGAGGTTAAGTCGCCCAAAGGTACATGGGTACGCGCGACACCGATCAAGGATACAATAGTGATCAATGCGGGTGATCTTCTCGCAAGATGGAGCAACGATACTATCAAGAGCACCAACCATCGGGTAGTACAGCCTCCATATGAAAGTGATAGCGATATGTATCCCCGACGATATAGTGTGGCCTATTTCTGCAATCCAGATTTCGACAAATTTATCGAGGCTCTTCCGGGAACATACAAGGCCGAAACCGACAAAAAGTATAAGGGAATCAACAGTGGCGAATACCTAGCCATGCGCCTGGCTGCTACATACTGAACCTTTGAACACCCAATCATTGATGTGTTCTTAATGAAAAATATATTAAAGATAAAATGGCATTTCTTAATGAGGATGATTTAACCATACCGAGCATTTTCCACCTCGTCATCAAACCATGTAGGCATAATCCCGTAGTTAAACACCGTACTCTTTACTTTCGTATAGCTCTCGTACGCCTCCCGACCATTCTCTTTTCCTAACCCACTCGTCTTGAACCCTCCCCATGGTGACGAAGGATCATTCAAGTGATGACCATTCACCCACACAATTCCGGCCTCAATTTTCCCTGCGACACGATGGGCTTGCTCAAAATCACGAGACCACACAGAAGCCCCCAGGGCAAAGTCTGTTCCATTAGCAATATTGATGATTTCATCTTCGGATTGGCATCTCAACACTGCAATTACAGGACCAAATACCTCATTGCAGGATAAATTGGACGTGGCGTTTGTTTCGATAAGCGTTGGCTGGAAGAAAAAACCCTTTTGATTGCTGGTTTCGAATGGCTTGCCACCACAAAGAAGTTTCCCTCCTTCTTCTATAGCTCGCGTCACAAATGTATGACATCTTTCAACCGCAGTTTTGTTTATTACGGCACCAATTTGCGTCTGTGGGTTGGTGGGATCACCCACACGTAGGGAGCTCGTTCTTTTCGTCAACAACTCGACGAATTCCTCGTAGATATCAGTGTGAACAAGGAGCCGACTCCCTGTCACGCAAGTCTGTCCACTTGCAATGAAACTAGCAAATAAAGCCGCCTTGACGGCATGCTCAACATCCATGCTGGGAAAGATACACACTGGCGCTTTTCCTCCTAGTTCAGCTGTTATGGGAATCATGTTGATGCCGGCAGAGGGGGCAATGGCCTTGTATGTTTCAAGCCCGCCAGTCAAATCGATCTTGGCCAAGTGAGGATTCTCACACAGAAACTTGCCCGTATCCCGGCCGTAACCAGAAACGATTTGCAGAGTTCCATCGGGCAACCCGGCCTCTTTGAATAAAGCACCCAACTTCAAAATCGACAAAGGGGCCAGCTCCGACGGTTTCACAATGACAACATTCCCAGCTGCCAGAGCTGCACCGATCTTCTTCGTGCTAATGAGAAGCGGGTGGTTCCAGGGAGTGATCTGGGCAACTACACCCAACGGGAGACGCACAAGTGTGTTTACCACTGGACCCTTGAAGGGTGTTACAGCGCCCTCATGAACACGTGCCAGACCAGCAAAGTACTCCAACCATTCCGGAACTCGCGCTAATTGGGCTCTCATTTCCCGAATCGGTCTTCCAGTCTGCTGAACTTCGAGTTCAACGAACTCTGGGATGCGGGTTCGCAGTAGCTCGGAGGCTTTGGCAAGAACAGAAAATCGCTGTGATACGTCCGCGCGAGACCAAGCACCATTTTCAAAGTTTTGAAGTGATTTCGAGACGATATCGTTGACGTCTTCCCGGCTGGTAGCGTCAATAGTAGCGATGGGCGATTCGCCTGCAGGGTTGATAACGAAAATACGATCCGCTGTATTGGCATGTGAGGGGGCACCGTTCACCCAGTTGGGGACGTGTGGGAATTCACTCATGGCGCAATATACGGTTTAGAGTCTTTCAACCTCTCAGACCCTTATTTGCGAAGATTGAGAAGATCAGGCATGTGAGGAGGACCTGTGAATTCGCTGATGTGGTTAGCGTTCCCACATCGGGTAAAACGCGCCCGTATGCCGTCCTGTTATGCGCCCCATCGCACCGTCTGATGATGTAGAGGCTTATCTCTCCCTGTTCTAACCATCGCCTGTTTGTCAATTGCTTCTCTTTTCTTCTCTTTCTTATCCTTCCTGTCCCCCGTAGTCGACGTTTGTCCGCGCTGCTGTGCTAGCTCCATCGTCCTAGTCCCGTTCTCTATGCAATGGCCTCTATCACCCCTCTTGGCTCCACCTCCACACCTCCCACGGAAAATAATGCTGAGAAGAGTGGCTGCCCTTGCTTTGATGAGGAAATATTCAGCGGCTAGATTGCAATTTAGGGCTTGGCCTTTGGGTCTGCCTTTCTATAGACGTCTTCTATAGCTCTTCGATCCTGTGATACTTCTCTCTTCGTTTATTCCTCTATATGATGCGATTGCAGTAATATCTACTTAGCTGTACTTTATATTGTATTGGTGTAAAGCAATATTATAAATATTTATGTATTTACTATTTTCTTAATTAATTTGAGACACCAGTAGATTTGAAAGCTGTTTTAGTGTCTTCTAGAATAGATTGTTTAAAAAGTTATCATATTATTCGTGAGGCCCAGGGCTCCCAGGGCCTCAACTTATAAGCGTGTTGGCCCAAGAGTGGGGCATATGCCCGATTACCTTCTTGTACTGTTTGAGTGCGCTGGAGGCCAACAACGTTACATTGTTTAAGCCTAAAAACCATAGTCTTAATACAATATGAGCATAAGCCTAGTTTCCTTTTTGTATTTCTTTGTATCTATGTTGGTGAATATGAACCGCTAAACTTCTACACCGCGGCTTTCCGAACTCCTTCACGCACCTATCCAAGACCAGCTATCGTTGATTGGCGAATTATACCTAAAAATATCTGCCCGATCGGATACTTTCAGCCTCAAACTGAGAATATTCGTTCTTCAGGTTTCGGTGTTCGCATCCGGCGTCCACTTATCCATGTTTGCTACTCTACATATGTAATTTTCTAAAGCGTCGATAAATTAAGTGATTTAACTTATATTTTCTCTTGATGATTCTGTTTTCGGCCTACGGATGGTGATTTCATTTTGTATAACATTTTGTCAGCCTTGCATTAGCCCTAGCCACAAATCCCGCTAGTCAAATCATGGCTGCTATTCAACGAGGCTGAGACGCAGTACACAGTGCCTATGCCATTTCTGATTCCCCGTCTTGCATTTTCCCATGGTCTCGAAAACGGGAGACTCGGTCAATAGAGAAATAACGTTCTTCTTGCGTTTTCACAATGCCGGCGACTATGATATGGTGGTGCTGCAAATGTGGTTTTGGCCCTAACAATGGCGAAATTGATACGCACTGCCCCGCCTGCCAATCACCGCGCTGTGATTACTGCAGAGTAGATGTCAATGAAGCATACGTGAGTGTCCAGAACCCCAAGCGTACTTCAAGGACTCAGAGCACTGCGCGGGTGACAACGGCTCTTCCGCTTGCAGTTAGACAGAACGATGTCGATCGAGTGCTGTCATTGCTTAGAGAAGGGGCCAATATAAATGACGATGAGTTTTCTGAGCCACTTCTCTGTACCGCCACTCAGAACGGAAACTCTACAATGGTAGAGTTCTTAGCCTCGAGAGGCGCCAATTTAAATGCCATGACTGACCAGGGCCGAACGGCCTTAAATATCGCACTGCAGACTGGGCAGCATAAGTTGGCAGAAAGGCTCCTGGATAAAGGAGCACTGTTGAGAGTGACAATTCGTGAACATATCCAGAAATGTTTTAAGCATGGCACAATCCAAATTCAAATGACGGTGTATTGGAGGATTCTGAGTTTTGTGCGAACCGAGCTCTCTGCCATTGATGACTTACGCAAAGCGGTAACGTTGACGGGCTCCGTGAAAAATGCACAAATGTTATCGTGTGAGGACTTTGTTGTCCAAACCTGGGGCGACAGCGGGCTTCGAGTCCTTGACGCAGTGATCGGAGGATTGAAGACCGGGTATAACGAAACGAGAATCACCGGAACCACTCCCAATGTGACCATTGAGACATACGAAGATGATTCGATGCGGGTAACCGTCGGGGGTTCGCTCAAACAAGCTACTGACGTGATTGAACAACTATCCTGGCTGTGTTGCGTTTTCGCATGTGATGATACTGCACCAAATAATGGCTTAATGGTGTCAGCCGGGTGCTTCAGGCCCTCTGGAGACAGTACGCGTTTTTATCTCTCATCGATTCACTCCTCACTTGATACATTCTCGGATGAGGTATGTTGGAGGAACATTGTGAGAGGTGGAACGTTGGCATTAGGGTATCCGGCGCCACCGCGAAAGGAAGGGATAGGGTTAGAAATACCCTTTCCGCTACTTTTACGTTTTGCAGATATATCTATATCGATGGATTACGACGGCGGAACTATTCTGGTGGGCTCATGTACGATATTGTTTCCTTCCAAACGGCTAGAAGATGGCATTCAGTGGCATGTTGTTGTTGCAACGTCGCCATCCGAAGCAGTGCAAAAGATTGATAGCTCATAAGATTGGGTTCGGACTCAAGATATTAGCCAGCTCAGTCAGCTTAAAGCCTACCTGGGATATTGTAGCCATGCTTTGGTGCTCTTAGGAACCCAAGAGCTAGTGATGTCCCAGTCGAGTTTTGATCTTTCTTCACTGCTTCCAAGAACTCAGTCTCGCATCGAAATGGCACGCGAAGGGACCACAAGTGTAGGGCTGTCAATTCGAGGTGTTGCAACCGCGACTGTGGGCGGCAAATGGATAATCCCCCAACGCCTGCAGGTCCCGCTGGGAGAAATCCGTGACGTTGAAGATCGTCTTATAAATGCTGATCGACGCCCTATCCTGATATACGACCGTACGAACGACCGTGGATGGCTCGTTTCGGAGCTTATATTGGTTTTGCACATGGCCTTAACATATCTGAACCAACCAGAAGTTCGTCAATATTGTGGAATCAGCAGCGAGAAGCCCCTTCCATACAAAAGTACAAGGCCAGATGACGGGCAGGAAGTGCGCGACTATGTCCGGAGCCATTGGAATCTTGAGCTATATAAGAGGCTGGAAGATGGGCAGAAGAAAACGTTCGGAATGGTGATTGATGATTTTTTGAAAGATTTTCAAAAATTACGAATGGCAGAGAATATAGGACGTGAAGGCAGAGGCTGGCGGTTGAAATTGCCATCTAGTCGTCAGCTTAGAGGTTGGGACTTCACCGATCTTACACTCAAAACAGACACAGTATCTCAACGGGAAATGAAGTGGCAAAGTGGTCGTGACCCCGCCTGGGTAATGTTAGGCGATACTGAAGATATGCTGGTTATTTTAGGTAGCAATTTTGGCGACTTGATCTGTCCTGATCTACAGAAGACTAAGGTATATCGGGAATGGGAGACGGTTCCTGACCACGCTGGCCTGCTTACTGCAACACCGACCTGTCTCATGCAACTGATGCAGAAACAAGTATTGATTCCTTTCAAAGATAAGATGGCATCTAAACAGGCGGGTGGCGAGTTGCTCTGGTACCGACCCATGTCACATAAGGACTGCAACCAGTTCTGCACCAGATCCTGCCTTCTCATCCACGAGATTACCCGAAGATCTGACCAAACGTGTACAACGATGAATCCACCACGAGAACTTGACAATTATGGGGCCATTGTGTTCGGGTGTGCGAGTCTGTACCACAAATCGCTAGAACAAAAATTTGGCCTATGATGAATCATCAAACTGAATATTGTTATGTTGCTCTTTGTCAGATTGGGGTACTGGAGAACAGGCCGCTGTTGTGTCAATAGTACTCGACTCTAAGTCTCGGTATATTATAAGGCCATTTATGGGTTGCTAATTACCAGATCTCAATATTTTGGATAGCTTTAACTTTTTAATTTCTTAAATGTTTGCGGTGATAATTGAGTACGTAAAGGAGTCCAAGTATTGTTCAAGTTTTATCGATCATGTTATATGGCTCCTATGTCCTTGACATGAGGCCTCGGGCTCTGTTGGGATATAGTGTGATCAACTCTGGAACAAGTTGACGTTGACACCTTTTTAGTCTGCTAGTCAAAAGGCCCTGATAGACTACAGCATTCACATAATCATGTTATTCTGCAGGAAGCTTTTGACTGCTTGTCTGATTAGGAATATTGCATAAATGGATAGATTTTCTCTTTCTTTTCCTCTCTTCAGGTTTAGAATTCTAGTTGTTCGATACCTATCACTACATTCTGTTGTAGATGATTGAGGCTGCGATAGCTTTAATATATCTAACTCCGCGGTCCTGGCTTTTGTTGTTTATAGGGACAATCCGGGGATTTGTTTTTATTGAGAGTGGTTTATTTGATAATAGTCTCGCCTAATAGGTATATCTGTACTTCAAACAACTAACTATTGGCAGAAATTTAAAAAGACTGTAAAAGACGAAATATTTGTTTCTAATTTAATAATGTGAAGTTACGGTATTGATTTCAACATATGTGTACAGTTACGCTAGACAATAAGCTAGGCGCAGGTCTGGTTCTTCCATGCAAGGACCAGCCAAGCGCACATTCTAGTTTGTCGATATTGTCTAGCATATCCGCCATTTCCAAACACATTCTCAGTCGGCCATGACAATTATTCGAGAGCCAGTTGCGCCACCAATACACCCTGTTGGATTTGAATACCAATTGGTATCTGAAGAGTCCGGAGGAGTTACACCAGTAAACCAGTCTTGCGTAAGTTAGAAACATTTTAGTATCTAAAGGATAAAGATTCTCACTCTCAAAGCCATCATAATTATCGGTGTGATCAGTCCATAAAGCGGACAAGACTCCTGCGGGAGCATTGAATACTGCGTAGTTCGCAGTAGGATGGATGGTCTCAACAACATCTGTACAAGATGCATCAGAGTAGCTAGTTTGAACATGTCAGCATAGCGAAATGTTGAAATTAAAAGAATAGAGAACGAACAAGTTAACAGTAAGAGCTGCAAGCGCGCCTTGAGCAATTAAGCCAGCAAGAAAGATGACAATCTTCATGTTTGAGTCGGATTTAATTCACTGTGCTTGTTCGAAGTCGAGATCAGATGTGAGTTTAATCGCAAGTTGTAAAAATATTTGAAGGATAACTTGTGGTTTATATTCTCCATAGCATCCAGATCCACGAGCTCAAGATATTCCAAGTTTCTGAGAAATGCACTGTTAACATAGAGCAAATGAATGCAATATTTAGTAAGCTTGCATCAGTGATGCTGTTTATCGGTGAAGTTACCTAGTTAGGAATGTCGTGTTCTACCAAAGTAGAATGTGGTGAAAGGGATATCTTCTATTTCAATTTCTATGCCGCTGTTGATAGCCTTCTTACCTTTATTAAGACATTCATCACTGATGCTAGCTCCGAGACGATGTAACTAACAATCGTATGGTCTAAAGCCAGGGATTATAAATTTACGTAATTATGCCCTATTTTGAGCGTTATAATATATATACACTTTTCATCAAGTCTCAGTTATTTCTACTAATGTGTAACTAATTCAATTGAAAATATTTCTTTTTAAGCTTAAAAATTATATCGGCGTCTATTGTATATTGTTTTACAGTGGGGGGTTAAGGACTGTAGAATTCCATTGCCCTTAAAACATTACTACCGACTCCCGTGTTCTCTTTTTGACCCTAGTGAATAATACACTTGTCTCTTAGAATACTCCTTTCTAACTAGACTGAAATTATAAGATTATAAATCCATAAAAGTTTCAAAAATCCTGTGATATCTTAACAGCCCATTTTACAGCAATTCTACATTACAATGTAATTGACACGCCAACACATGAATTCCGTTGATACCAGAACATTGCGTGACTATTATAGAACCTTTATTTATCGATCCCCATTCTAATAGCTTGGGAATTGGATATTCTGGACAGTAAGCACTATCTATAACGAACTCGACCGTAGCGAATACCTTCGGAGTACTCCGTAGACTGCACAAATCAAAAGTAATTCATACGCAGGCACCGGCCCCACCCCGCCGTAATTGAGCTAATGCACAGGTAGACATTTGCTGATCATTACTGTTGTTACCTATGGGAGTCATCCTGTCTTTCCACCCCACTATCGCCGATTATGGCTCCTTTATATTGTTCTACTTCCATTTATACTCAGCCAATGGTCCACATGACGTGCAGTGACTTGGGATACATACTGAAAAGGGATAGATTCGAAAGAATCAGCATTACTGTAAATGCTTGGTGGAGTAAGCCTACTTGTACGACTGACCCCGTAAATTCTCTGTGCTGCACCGTCGTCACGTAAACAATGGAATCTGCTGTATTTCAACATCTTAGGCCTCTATTTGCGAAGATTGAGAAGATTGGATATGTAAAACGAGGACTTCTAGCTGGCACTAATGCAACCGATGTCACTACTCGATCAGTCATAGTTCCATATGTTATCGCGCATGCGTAGCATTTCTTACATGAGGTCTGTTCATTTCACTACATACGCTTCGCTTTTTAGAGTGATATTAAATCATAACAGTTGAATTTCGCACCAACTAACGGCCGCAATTGCCTTGTAAATTCTGTTACTAAAGGATTGGACTAAGCGTAACAATATCGTGACATATCATATAAGTCATTGAACTAAATAACTCTAAATAACAAAACACTGGTTGAAGTTAAATATTCTCGTACATAACAGATTTCTGTTTCATTGTCAGCTGCGAGGTGGACACTTTCCCCTTATTTTGCACAGTGCGTCACAGGCAATATCGTGGAGAAAGAACTTACCCTTCCATTATCTAACGCTGTCATCGAGCATTCCCTGTATTTGCCCTATTAGCCTCTGCCTGCTGCACCTCTATACACATGATGCAACGCCGATGGGCTGCCATCTGATTCATCTCCAGAAGATCGGAATTAGGTTGTCGTATGCAGCTTCTGTATCACACGGAATCATGTCTGACTGTCTGCTTTTGAGGTAGGTCTCCGCTTCCTTTCGGTTGTCTTCCGCCTTTTCTAGGCTGTTGTTGTCGCTATCCTGAAGTAGTGCCTCTGATAACTTGAACAGATTGCGGGCATGCTCAACTGGCATGTTATTTCGGTGAAATTTGGTAACTACAATGGAATCATTGATATTCTTGCTGTAAAAAAACGAATTAATATGATTCGACAGTATGGTTGTACGTGCGTAAAGAAGTTGAGCTTAGCTTACATTGCAGCTTGAACTTTGCCCTGATCAAGACAGCACGCTCCAATCTTGTACATGCATCCGCCAACGAAGGGGTGAGCACGCTTCCGATCACCTTCCACCCAGGAGTTGTGTGCCTTTAAGAAGTGTTCTTCTGCCGTTTGGAAGTTGCGCTGTCGCCTTTCCAACTTTCCAAGGACAAAATATGCGCTACATGGCAACAGTTAGTTTCAGTCTAGGTGAAATATTGGGTAGTTAAATGTAGCGGAACTTACAAAGCAAGCATAGCCCATTGTGACGGCTTTGCCTTCTTTAGCTGAGGAATCGCGCTATCAAGTATTTCCCTCGCCTCTTCAGCTTTATCGAGATAGAGTTTACATCTGGCCATATTCACTAACGTCACCAACTTAAAATGTGGGGGATCCTTTTCCCGTTTTGCAGACTCCTCCCACCAGTCAAGAGACCTTTCAAACCAGACTAGAGCAGTCCTGTGGTCGTTGGCGGTATTGTGGCAGTATCCCAGGTTATTGGCAACCTGACAGAGTAAATCCTGTTTCCTGGGATCTTCCTCCAGTCGTATTGTGTAAACCTTGTTATTCAACTCGATGGCGCTTTTCACGTCGCCCCAGCTTTCAGCTAAGTTTGCCTGATGAGACATGATCGTAGCTTGCAGATCATTCTTTCGCGGCCCGTCTTCCAGACTTGTCACAGCAGCCAAGTTGACGTCGCATAGACTCTTGAGATCTGCCAATTGGTGAATCTCATAGAGGTACCTAAGAAAGTAAAACCACTGTTTAGTTGATCTGGTAATATGCGAGCTTATTTCTCATGGCATGCACTGACCGTTGAAACTGGATTAGGAGTTCGCAGAATTCCCATGACGCCTTGAAGACGTTGGTTCGCTCTATCTCCTCAGAGAAGCAGTTCTTCAAATTGAGAACGTGAGGCAGGTATTGATTGTAGATTTCCCACTCCTCATACAGTTGGCCCTTCGAAGTGTCTGGCTTCGGAAGAACATTATAAACAAGACTTACTGTTGCATCGAAGGTCTTCTGTCGCTGTTCTAAGCTTAAAAAGTATTTAAACTGCGTCTGGACTATTCTATGGATTGAAAGGATTCGCGTATCCCTATCCTTCTTGATCAGATTCATTGTGATCAGTCTTGTTAGTGCAGCTAAGAGACTTTTGGTCTTCATTAGTAAATATATTCATGGCTGGCACAGAACATGACTTACAGGAATTTATCAGAGCAGAAATTGAAATCACTGGAAGACTCATCATAGAGCCCTTTCTCGAAGAGTTTCTGGGGAATGTCATCTGGAACCAAGAATGATATTATGCCGAGAAGTGACAGACTGTTCTTGTCCAACTTTTGAAAAGACAGCTCCCAGGGCGCGGCGAGCTCATTCAGACTGTGTACACGGTAGGCGTTTTCTTTATAGATTGTTTCGAACTCCTCAATAGTTGATTCTCCATTACGAATAAGAGTTGCGACTTGTGCAAGGGCTAAAGCATGCCCGCTCATTCGTTCAGACAAATTCAATGCGGAATTGCTTTCCGCCTGCAGGTCACGTCCAATACTCTTCTCTAGGAGGAAAAGAAGAAACTTCGAACCCATTTTAGTATCCCAAGATGGGACTTCCAAGGGACGAGAGGCAAGCTTGGAGGCAAGCGAACGATTCTGAGTCGTGATAATAGCCTTGCCTTGTCCCGGTCCTGGCCAGAAGGCCATGAGGGTATCAAACGATTCAACATTGTCGTAGACAACCAACCACCTGCAATCTGTTTGCATGAAATTTAATGATCAGTTTACCCCACAGCTGAAATTTCAAAATTTTCGAAGGTGAAACTTGCCTGTGGACTGGAACCAGTCTTGAACGAGAATCAGATTCTCGTCGTGGGTCTGGGGATGCGCTTTATAGAGCTTGAGTCTCATCGCAATTTCGGTGAAACTCTGTCGCATAGACGACGCATTCTCTCCACGAACCCACAAAATAACATCATAATTATTTTCCTTGAAAACTTTTTCGACATAAGTCGAAGCAACAGTGCTTTTGCCTACCCCCCTTAACCCATACAATGCAACGGACTGAAAAGACGGTTCCTCGGACGTTGGGCCCAGGATACAGTCAAGCTTCTCGAACACACTGACTCTGTCAAAAAATCGAAAAGTCTTAGTATGTGGGAGCATAAGACAACGTGGCCTTGATGGTATTCTATTGGTGTCCGTGGGAGGCCCAGGTTGAACAGGCATTGGTAAGTTGGTCAGAGCCAGGTCCTCAATCCGTTTTAGTGCTTCATTGAGACCATCTTTTGTTGTTTTATGATAATGCTCAATAAGTTGTTTCAAGCTCATACTCTCCTGGCCAGGCGGAAAACGGTCCTCTGGATGGTTATCAACTTTACTACGGAAACCAATAAAGGGTGTTGATCGACATACGCAGCTTTTTACCCTCACCAGCAGCATGGAGACCGTTGATAGAGTCGGTGAAGAAGTTGACAAATAGTACTTGCATGTCGAAGCATGCTTCTTTGACTGTATTTCCAACTACCTGGGTATTTTTGCAATAGCGGTTGAAAGCCGCGGCCTTCTGGGTCAAGGGTTTTATCATAGCAGGAATCCAACCTAGACGATTGGGGTCATCATCGACAAGCTGTGAAGAAAAGCGTCAGCTACCTGATTTACAGATTTGATAACCAACAAAACATTAACTGGGACGACTAGCCTGTAAGAGGTGTGTTAGAGTGGCCCAAAGAAACGTTGTGTCGAGTTTCGTTTCGAGCTTTGTCTCGAAGAACTCGACGAATATTCTGAAATCGTCTAACTCAGACTGGATGCGCGCAGTAGACAGCACTTCGCTGTCATAAATGAGTTTTTGGAGATCGTCCCATGGTTTAATTTCCTCAACCCTCTCCAGGTCATCGTAATCCAATGATTCTCTCGATTTTTCGATTAACGTAGTCCATTGTTTCAGGAAAACCGCACTTCTGTAAAACACTCTTCAGGAGGTTGAAATAGAATCGAGTGTTCAGACACCTACAGATCTACCGCACCCATGATATCTTTAGCCTGCCGGTCAGCAGGGAATATCCCGGATGGTGATGATTGGAGCCCTGTATGATAACAATGAAGAAGTTGTCCTTGGGCCACGTCCTTCAGCACTAACGAGAGGTTCCTTTGGTTTTCTAAGTGGTCAGAATGGCTTAGTCCAGGATAATACTAGTAATAAGCTAGCACAGGGGATGAAGGTGATGCAAAATATGCATTGCTGATGTGCCTCGATGCAAAGATACTGACTGACTCGTCACGGAAGTGAGCAGGTTGATAGGAAGCTGGGCATGCATGAAAATGGGACGGTTTAAATGGAGAAGGGGGTGGTATTGGCGAGTAGTCGACAAACTGGGTAACGTTGCGGGGTACCATGCGTGAGTGGTGCATGAACCGCCACGGACCCTGCATGTTCCCTGCAAGGAACATGTACCCGAAAGTCGCCCCAGGTACGTTTCCTCGTTGAAAAATGTCTCTGATCCTGTTGCCGTGTTCTACCAAAAAATAATTACCATGATAAAAACAAGACAGAGATTCACGTCTATAAGCATATGCTTTTAATCCTTTATAAGCACAGTATTGATATCAGGCGCTTTCCGATGAGAATACCCCTCCAACCCCGCTCCAACAAAACTTTGGTTACAAGGGACCTGAACCAGGAATTCGAACCCAGATTTGAAACTAGCTGGTGCCGGAGGCTACAGTTATAGTCCGTTAAGTCCGAACTTTTATCCGGTGGTCGAGTTGGTTGCAGTTAGCGAAGCGGGTCGAGAATGTCCGAAATACGTTCTGCAGCCCTAAATTACTGGTACAAGGTATATATTCGTAAACTTACAGCACCGGTCTTTTCATTCACCACCCGGTATATCAGTCCCTCCCGTACATATTATTATAGGAGATCCCCTCATTGTGGCATAGTGTCACAGCCCATTCAAATTAACCCTTCCTTTACTCTATATCGTATCCACAGAAGCACCCGCTAATCCCAGAAAGAAGACGTTACCTAAATGTCTGTCCGTCCTATGGCTGCACTCGGGCAGCGAGATAAATTTGCGCGACACCCACTAGGACCTGCAGTACTGCTAATATGATACTCACTCCGCCAATCCACAGTACAGCCCAGAAGGTATACCATTGAAGCGGGTTCCGCCTGTCTCGCCAAAGGTCTCTCACCCTACTGGGCTGTTGCCTCATATTGTAGCGTTGCAATATCAGCAGCCGAGGGCCGAAGACAGGGAAGTCATTGCGGACCGAGTACGTATCAGATTCCTGGAGTTGGCCGTTAATGTCAAGCGCTGAGGAGGGAAAAATAGTGCCTGGAAGAAGGGTGGAAGCTTTATTCAGGCCGGTGAAGCCGAGAAAACGCCAGTGGGAGAGAAGTGGCGTGGTACAGATGGTGACAAGGAAAGGATCATTGTCGTCTGTGATGACACTGCTGATGGTGGAGGAGCGTTGGCTGTATTTTTTTGATGCTTTCGTTGATGACTGGCTGAGCAGCTGCCCGAGGAGCTTGCGGGAGCTGGAGGATTGCCCGAACAACAGGCGATATGACAACAGAATCTCACGGTGTAGCGCAGACTCTTCCTCCGAAGTGTCAGTGTAGCACTGAGAGTGTAGGAGTTTTTGGGTAATGCTAGATTATACGAGATGAGATGTTAGTTGCTTCGTTTAGCGATAGGAATACTTAGGAATACTCGCTATTTTAAAAGACGACATGAGAGATAGAACGGAGTGAGGGAGGAGAACAGAAGGAAGAGGCAATCACCAAATACACACCTTTTGAGAACTTGGACATCGCCGTTGCACAGTACCTTGGTTGCACAGAAAGAAGGAAAGCGGTAGACGGAGAGAACACGAGTCGAGCGGTCGAAAGCGAGGTGCGCGGTCAGCGTATCGACCCATTTCAGCTTGACTCGGCCAATCGTGGAGAGTGATGAATAATTCAGACTTGATTCGTATAGCACGTCATCGCTGCTGCCTCCACTGCTCTGATTACCGCCATTGGCGAGGTAGTCCCCCGGTTTCTGCACATCTGTAGTGTTGCTCTGAAAGTAAAAGAACACTTTGGCGATTGGTCGCCGTAAGTCTGAGGAATAGTAGTATATCCTGCAATTGTTCTCAGCCGCCAGTGAGGAACTCTGCTTCTTACTTGAGTTAGCTGTCTCCAGTGTGGAAGTTACTGCTTCAACGTCCAGGATGGGCTTTATTATTGCTGATGTCCAACATAGCACTGCGAACATCGCGCGCAGGACTTGTAGCTTATCGTATGACTCGATCTCATTTTCTGAGATCTTCGAATTCTCCAAGAGCCGCTTATAGGCCTTGTCCATGCATGATTCCTCGTCACTCAAAGCCTGAAAAGCCCTGATCACGGCAAAACACCAGTGCCAGCAACCTACTGCGGTTAAGGGAGCGGTGCAGCCCAAAATCCTCCAGATGGTCCCAAATTGTGGGTTTAGCAGCTCCTCAAAGCGGCTTTCCAGGTGAGAGCAGAAGACCAAAATTCCTGGCCATTCCAATGCGTGCTTGGCAGGCAACTGGAACAACAACTCGATTGCCTCATTACGGAGATCCGTTTCCTGCTCGTGACTATCTGTCAGAAAAGAAAACTAGTAGCTATTGATGAAATTACCAAAGGATTTGCCAGGTGCGTTGTTGAAGTTCTCAAAGCGAAGCTTTCCTACCCACCCGTACAAAGATTAGTTACAATCGCCCATGATTTCTTAAACGGAGATAAAGTAAACTTAGGAGAGGTTATACGAACGCCGAGTATTTTGGGCCGTCTCAACCAGCCAGGTATCCGCTGCCTGCTAGACCGATTTTTATTTCCCCCACCTCCCAAGACGTCAGTATTATCTTTTGCTTGCCGCTCAAGATCAACATCAACATCGACGGCAATGGCGGTGTCGTCTGTTTGCTGGCTTCGCATGCTGTTACTTGCGGAATTGCTCATTCTCGAGATTCTGTTTTGCTTTTCGCACTTTTCTGTCGTATTTTAACGCGGAATGCTGTACTATTGGAGAGTACTGTTCCAGTTTCGCTCTGGAGATAACTAGGTAAATACTACAGTGTACATGTGGAGAGTACTTATGGTCCACAGGATCGACAAGGCTACATTGGTAAGGCTGCGCCTCAAGCTATTCCAGTTGTAAAACGGCGGCAAATTCTAAGAGCTGAGCATCACATCTCATTTTGTGGTGGCCGTTGAAATTACTTTCTGCGGCGCAGGAGCCTACAGTATAGACTCTAGGTCTCGGTCCTCTCTTGATTATTATTTCGCGCTTCCAAATCACGGCTCTTCTTGTTGGAAACTTCTGAGTCAGGTCTCGATCGTCTCCGATCGAGCCCAAGAGAGCAGGATTATACTGTATGAGCGCGATTTGAAGATGGATGCACATTTGTCCAGGCAGCACTGTGGAGAACAGGCTGAATTGGCTGTGCCGCCTTGTCCTGGTGCTGCGGACCGTGTCCAGAAACGACCCCAGGCGCGTATTGGATACGAGGAAAATAATTGGCCCAACTACCCATGTCGAATGCACGGCGATAACGATGCAATGACCGGTCCCCGGCTGCCATTGGACAGAGCACTGTGATGATCACTTGCCAAGCCTGTGCACGGCGGCTACAGAACTGACGATAGCCATTCATTTGAAGCGGTTGATTGACCCGGGAAGAACTCTCCAATTTTCACTTAAAACGTAGGTTTCATTCGGTCGGACTTTTACGCGTTAGAACAAATTGAATTTAGTGGCAAATTCGATGGATTGACATACAAGCCAGAGTTGCAAAAACCTCATCTATCTAGACGCATTTATATGCGAAATTACACTAATGTTTGTCATCAGGTATAAGATATTGAAAATTGAGAATTGTCGAATTTTGGATGATATTTTGACACTATTAAACGTAATTTTGAACATTTCAAATCCTTGCCCAATTTGCTTAGTGCCAAGCATTCCAACACCTTCATACTATATGTGCAGCTGGGAGCTTCCAGCCTTACATATCCCAGGATGTCTATGTAGCTTCAACGGATGTTTAGGCTATATTCTACCTTGTTTAATTAATTATTTAAGCTTGGATTTTGTCTATTATAATCAGAGCCCGTGCTTGGCATATTTAATATGAATATTTACTCGTTATCTGTTGTGTATAATGACTCCATTTACATAATTTCTGCCTGTGATGACTGTCTACTCCAATCCTCCCAAGGTCCTAGTTGTGCCCAAGGCGGCAAAACAGTCACTTCTTAGAGCTTGTAAATACCCTAGGTGGACAAACCCCAGTTTCTTACTGAACAGATTCTCAAAAATAAATAGAATTCCTGGACCGTCATCAGTAGAATGCCACCAGTCTTACCTCAACACTTTCTCGGAGCGGCCCTTTTGCTTCCGGATTCGAGACGGCAGCATGGAAACCACCTGCAGATGATCTTAGCCGAACAAGCAACGAATAAGATAGATGACATGCGGAATTGATTGATACATATCTGGGTAATTAACTCACGCGCTCGTTTCCCATACGCATCTGAGTTGCGAAACACAATCAAGTCATTGACCCCTTGGTCCTTGAAGTAGTACCATCTATGGGCCTCGTTATGGTGTAGCAGGGAGCCCTCGCCGACGAGATCGCGCCGTATAGCGTCGTTAATGCGGATGTCTTCCTCGGTATCGATGGTGGTGTAATCACAGAGTGCCAGGGGCCAGTCGTCGGTGGGAGTCAGAGGACGCCATACACTGATCAGTCGACCTATTGTTAGCTTTCTAGTCTGGCACGGCTTTGTCTTTCATGCATTGCTAAGGAAACGAACTCACTTGAGCATGTCAAAATCTTTGTCTTTCCAATAGTCGTCTTGTCCCGGGAAGCAGTGCTGGAGAGTTAGAAACCCCCCTTTTTGAGAATAATCACTGTGAGCAGTGCTCGAGGGCTGCTCATATTCGTCTCGATATCCCCTCACTATGGCAGGGAACTCAGGGTCCCTTTTTCTAACCTGAATGAACCCGGTCAAATCAACGAAATCGGAGAAATAGGTCGCTGGCTGTAGTGCTCACCGTGAGATCATAACTCTCGATTCTTGAGTAATGTGGGAAGTGCTTGTGCAATATGGCCTCGATCTGGTACCAGTAGGCGTCCTGAATCTCTCTCTTCTTCGTATAGACGTCATTGCGATCGAGGTGGGTTTCGGCGTGCAGGAGACAGAATCCATGCACGTCTAGCTTCCACTGACTAGGGTTTTGAATCGCAGCCACAGTCATTAGCCGGTCATCAGCTTCATGATTTGTGCGTCGTGCCCCTTCAACATGATCAACTGGGAAATCTGTGCTGAAAGCCTTCTCTGTCTCGAAGATTGGACTCCGGGCTAGATATCTGACGCGAGTCTCCATTAGTCCAGGTAAAGCATCAATAACGCGGCTTGCCAGTTCGCTGATTTGACAGATCACGAATTGAAGAAGCTGTAGCCTTAATAATTCATTATTTGCAAATTAAATAGTAACAGAATGTTCTATAGTGCCGATCCGGTGTTCACGCGGGTAAAGCTGATGTTTCACTCCCGTGGGTTAGCCGGTCTCTGACGAAGATTTACTCACGTCACTAGTCCGGGCGCATTATCGGACTTCGGTGTTTCACAGTATAAAATAAGATGGGCCCTACTTGCAAGGAAGCTGACCCGGAGCCATTACATTATTGGCATGATGCTCACTAGTCCTCCGTTCCCATGAGACTTCCTGCACATACGCATAACGACGTGTCATGCCCCCGCTCCTCTATCACTACACTGCAATATGCAAGAGTTTCTACATGGGTGCAAAGTACATCAAGGGTAATAATGTGCAGTGCCGCACTTCTGAAGAAGGCATGTTGCATACTTAGTGGACAGTCAACAATGCCCGTTTCGATTGGTTGGTTGGCATCCTGGTTGTCACTAGGGCCTATGAGGATATAAGTATCCGCACAATTCCTGCTTGCCCACATACACCCACTCTTTTACTATGAACTAGAGCACATTTTAGAAGAATCTGATCCTCCCTACAACCCAAAGACCATTACACAGAATCAACAGGGCCCAACATGCCATCCGAGACTCAACAGTCAAAGCTTCAGCAGCCGTGGAAACAGTGGCATGCTTCTTTGAAACCGTGGAACCGAAAAGATGTTCGGGAGGGAAACGTTATTCTTGTGAACGCGGATAGTGGACACGGGACTACCGCTATCGACCAGAAGAACGTGGATCTGAAAGCAGACAAGAAAATCCCTGAGATGTATGTGACACCGTAGATATGCTTCAGGACTAACTGACATTGTGCCTTCAAAGTTGAGAAGCACTCAGCCGTCGCTTGCTAAAACAGAGCAGATTGGGGGGGGAGAGGTTGTCACGAAACTAAGGATCTAAGCATGTGTTTACAACGAGAAAGGCCACATGAATTCAGTCCTACCATCATAGTTATTTCTTATTAGTGTTGATTGAGACCAAATCTATATACGATCATTACGAATTAACTTCTGTTTCTTATGCCCGTCTTCTTGCGACCTGTCGTACGGTTTGGGGGCAATTGCGACAGGGTTCGGCTACGCAAAATGCACCGAACACGCCCCGTAAACACGCTCTAAGTGATGCAGGACAACGCACCATCACACTTCTGTCACAAAACTCGAGTCGAGTTCTTCTCGGCATGTACTTCTTAAGAGCGCTGTAGAGTCTACATGCGGGCGGGCACTCATCGTAAGCCCCCGCGGTTTCTTCATGCGAAGGTTAACTACTTTAGGTATCTTATATTTCGATTATTCATAACGGTTAAACCGACCATGCCTTAGTTGCAGCCTCTTTGTAAGTCTTCGAAGCTGCCTGACCAAATAAATGTGGCCACAGCATCACCTGCCCGCTTGCTGGAGCACATTATCAAATCCTACAAATGCACACGCATATAAATCAAGAATCTGCAATGAGGCTTGCAGATTCAATAAGCCCTGGCGAGTCTGTGGATGCAAAATGACCAAACCACGTTTCAGCGACAGCCTATCCTCGGTAATCCTGGATGGTAGACTAGAATGTGGCGAAGGTTGGTTTCCTTTGCGGGCGCAAAAATACTCACGGTATGCCCAAGGCAATTGACTGAATACAAACCAGCTGCATAGTTCGAAATCAAGTTGTACCCTAGCCATGCACTTCACCCTACAGCCCGGAATGCTGCGGGCCGATCCCGTAGTGCTTGCATGATGCATAAAGACTTAACTCATAAGTCGCTTCTGTGTCCGGACATTGTGGATATGGTGTCCACGCTTTAGCCCCGGACAAATAGCCTGCCCCTATTCTGGCCAAGATCTCGCCACGTCACCCCCCATACCGTGATGCTTACTGTGTTACAGTAATTGTCTAGTTTTACACTTACTAGTCATGTCAGGATCACGTTATTTCATTAACACACCATTCGGTTTGTGACCTTTAGAAGTGATCCGAGATTTGGACGAATTTCATTCTACCAGAACAACGCTGAGTATTCACAAGAAGGTGTATAAATACCAGGTCCTTGCGCTTTCATTATAAAATTCTCTTCACTCTCAGATTCGGATTGTTACGAAAAGCTCGGTATACACAAGCAATACTTTGTGCTGAACGCTGACCTGACCGATCCGAAGCCACGACGCGCCGTTTCAAAACCTGCACCAGAAGCCCTCAAGCCGGTTCATTTCCTTTGAATTTTATCGAGTCGATACGACCAACCTACTCCGAGTTACCCGCAAAGCCGATCTCGTCCCAAAGCCAATCTACAAACCGCTGCTATTAGCACGTTATTCGGGCATCGAACGAACAGGATATCATGGGACTTTTACAGAGCATTCTACAATTCGGCTCGTCAGGCTCGGGATAACACGGATGATGGATTATGGATGATGCAATAAAAGTCGAAAGCCGTTCAAGGTCAAGCCACCAAGCTTTCAATGAGTCGGTAGTTTCGGTGTCAAGTGGGCTTTTGAGATTCTCCACGCAAGTCGCTTGACTGTTCACCTTACCTGGCACTTCAAGTTACGTCATTGGCTCATAAAACTAGTCAAACGACCCGGCTTCCTTCACAAAGATCTCGCTTGCGAACCAAAATCCGACGGCGGCTTATGATATTTACGATACAGTCATTCGAATGACGAAGCTCCGTACTGCAAGTCGATCTAAGCAAACTTACTTGAAAGGGCCTCAACTCTTCTAAGTCGAGAAGACCCCTTAAGGAATTTGACAAAAGAGCCTGAGTACGGTGTAGTATTCAAGCAATAAAACAGCAGGAGGAATCTGTGAATTCAACGATGCGGAGATCGTGTCAAGTTGACAATTTGACACGATTTCTGAGACATCCATTCCCGCTCATAAGGAAAGGGAACCTGTTGAAGCTGATCACATCTTTCTTGCGTTCGTGTCAACTCTCTCTGCGACCGGATCCGTACCTACATACGCTATTCGAAAACCTGCCGTCAGGAACTAGGCTGGGGTTGGATATCCGAAATATGCGCGAGAATTAAGTGAAATCTGTAAAAACTGAGTGATAAGGGTGGTAGGTCGTAAGTCATCGTCTCGGACCACAATGTCGCTACGTGAACTGGAATTTAAAAGTCCTCAGTTTGCTCCCACTTGTACCAGTACCAACGATAACAGTGATTATAATTGACTACTACCACTGCGGGCCGGCCCGGCGTCGTACCAAGATACGACACAAGAAATCGCGCGAAGCCCTACTCCAAGGTTGCGCCCACAAACCATGTGGCATTACCAAGCCAGCCTTACACTGATGATTGTTTATTATTACTTTTACTAAAATACTGAACACCCTGGCATTAATATGATACACAATATACACCAAGTCAGCGCCATAAACAGTAAAAATTACAGCTAGCCTAGAAAGTGTTAGTAGCGCGATGGTGGTGGGCCCGGCCACATATGTGCGTTGCCGAAGCTGGGCGGGAATGTTTTCTTTCCGGCTCGTCTAAAAATTACTCCGCGCTGTACACGGCGGACTGCCCTTGCCCTTCTGCTAATCAGAGCAACCCGGAGAACTGTCGTCTACTGCAGGAGTCCGTTTTTGGTATATGGTGCCTCACCCAATATCTGTGATTGGTGATAGGTAGGATCACCTAATATCGAACACCAATAATTTTATTAATCAGTAGCCGCTGCAGGCGGCCTACACCTGCTTAGATTCTCTCTATGCTCATATCACTGTTCTTTGCTTCTGCAGCCAGTTAGTTGCGCATGGGTAGAATTAATTTATAAGCTAAGACTAGCCGATCTTACAATTGAAGATTCTGGTACGCCACGATCAGATCGTAATATATATTTCAGCCAGAATAATCAGTAGGAAGAGGAATATAAAACCATTTGTCATTCTGTGCCGCTGATTGGCTGGTTGCGGGCTACTTTTGATAGTCGAAACATTAAAGCAGCAGGAGAGAGAGCAGATGGAAATAATGTTGAAAATGCCTTCACTCGTCGTCATTTTGACTTCAAATTCACAGGTACTTATATTCTATATGTATAAAATTCGAGGGGTATATTGGCTTAGCGATGTGAGCATTCTACGCACTACACAGTAACGCCGTAGATAACTGAGTGAGCTGCTTGTGATCTGAGGATTCAATCGTCATTGCCTTTATTATCTGGATCATATTAGCACGATAATTGACACCAGGTCTGCCTAACGAGGAAAAGCTCCAACAAGAACCATAGGTATATTCAACACGACGAGTTTCAAACCTCATCCGAGTCGAAAATCAATTAATAGCAGTGAGACTCCGTTGAATCCAGTATATATTTTCACAAAATTTTCAATGTGACTATACCTAATATATGTAAGGTAACTCAAGAACCAACAAAGAGTTGACGGATCATGTCGATAGTGCTCGTACCAACTTTAAGATTCCTTTACCCTAAGTAAGGATTCCACTAGTATATCAAGTGCTTGTACAAGTCTCCATGTCTAGAGTGGCTAAAGTATCAAAAAATCGATGTCATAATCTTGCGCATCAAAAGAAGCCAAGTGGAGAGTAGTATTTCCAAAGGAGTCTACTGCGTTCTACGGGACGTTCCGAACTCGAATGATATGATACTGAACGAAGGAATGCCTGAGTAAGCAGACGCGTGAATTTATTTGTGATATGATGTTGTAATGAAGAAGTAGAAATCATCCCTAAAGTCCCTATCACGGAAATTTCAGAGCAATAAAAAACCTTCGAATATACGAAAAAGAATAGGAAAATGCTAACTCTACTACTTCAGGAGCTGAACTGGCAGGAAAGGGAAATTTCGTGTCGAAAAATTAAGTTTTCAAAGCCGCAAGACGGTTGACGCTTCTTTGGTAGTTAGATGTATATATAGCTTTACTTTGTGTACTTCAGTTACCGAATCTTCTATATAACGAACGGGACCAGATGTCTTTTTGATTCGTTAATTCGAGGTTTTACTGTCCCTCGCGAGCGAAGAGGTTAAACTAAAGCATGTATGTCTAGTAGGCTTCTCGCGGTTAAACTGATATTTCGGCGGCACTGGAAGTCATGTCCTTTCACAAAACATTTTATCTACTCATTCGTCTTCCAGCTAAACCATCATTCTATGCTTCATCCGCTGGTGATCACGAAGTTTGTCAAGACGATAGAATGCTCTGTTTCCCCTGCGGCCACAGTTGTTGACAAGGCAAGGGTATTCGGGGGTGAGATGTTTTTTGTAATGGCGGCGGAGATCACCCGCGCGGGCGAAAGTTGCATCGCAGCCTATGTAATTGCATTTAAGGCGGTTGGTATTGGCGTTAGCTGTGACGATGCCACTGACAGCGGGAGCGAAGAGGTTAGCGGAGGCCGCGACATCAGGCTGATCGTCGGCTCTTCCGAAGCTATTCATTCCATAAGTGGTAGTGGGGTTTGACGCGAAGTTGGGCCAACTAAAGTCGTCCAGCTGAAGGGTGGCATTACTATCCCCGATTGTAGCGTTAGAACTAGGGAAATTGTAACTGTCGAATACCAAAGCTGAAGAATTGAAATCGGCATTGCTGTGATATCCAGAAGTCGGCAGGTTGGCCGAGGTTAAAGGAGGAGCAAGAGTGTTCTGATACTGGAAGTCCTGGTTCCAGATGTGAGGGACGAAGTGACCTCTGATAACGCTTTGGTCCGAGAATTCTAGATTGGACGCATGAGACAATTTGGACGCATGGGACAATTTGGACGCTCTCCTGGGGGCATACCTGCGTTAGCGTGAAAAAAAAAAGTATTTTCTTACGCGGTGTCGGATGGCGACGTGCGCCCTTCTGGTTGGCTCAAACGATTGTTATCACTGTTGAATGACATAATGTAGGGCGACGAATTAGCAGAGATGAATACGGTCGAAAGCAGGTGTAAGTGGGGGTATTCTTTTAGGTACAAGGAAATCTTTAGAAGGGAGAGAGAGGAACCTAAATACCCCAGAGCATGCAGCCTGGTCTGTGCCTTTTACCTTTGAAGGGCGACCAGCAGGATTGTCGGTTGCCTCGTCCGTCACCCCACCTTTCGCCCTTCGCCCTTCGCCCCTCGCCCCTCGCCCTTGGTTATGATTTGTTCATGACGGTAATATAGGTCCGATAGTGCTGCTCTTGCTTAGGAGCCAACTAACAACAAATCCACCTTTTGAACATCACCATCATCGATATAATGCAGAACTCAAATGTTTGTTTCTCGTAGATGTCTTCATTATCTCCTCGGTTCGACATATATCTGCTCAGGTAACTTTGCACTGCTTAACGCTCACCAAGTTGTCACGAACTTTCCATCTTATTTTGTGATATTCATTGCAACGATGAACTTCAGCTGTGAATCCTGCCATAAGGTTTTCATTAGACGAGGAGAGTACAAGTAAATCTCCTTGCTCCTATTGAAAATACTCCTCATGCTGAAGAGTTTCTATGAAGCCGACATCGCAAAACCCATTCTCGACCATACCGCTGCGATAAGTGTGATAAAGGGTTTGGACTGAGAAATGATCTAGATCGCCATACAGCTAAACACGGGAGTGTTAGCGCGAAATTTTACTGCAAATGGCCGAGCTGCACTTTCAACGGAACTTCGCGGAGAGACCATCTGCTGAGGCACATGCGCAAAGCTCACCAAGCGGGAAAAATCGAGGAACGACAAGCGCTACAAGATGAAGCTCAAATATTCTACAAGGAGTCATTGAAGCAGCATAAGAGGACTATGGGAAATCTAGACCTAATATTAGCTGCATATAATGGGAACAGCTCAGTGGTATCGTTGTTGCTGGATGAGGGAGCCAACATCGCAATCAAATCTGACACTGGAAAAACAGTTCTCCACGCGGCGGCAATGAATGGAAATGAGGAAGTAGTACGGTTGCTCTTAAATGCAGGGGCTGACAGCAAGGTAAAAGATAATAATGGAAACCTGGCCCTCCACGACGCGGTGCTTTCTGGGCAAGAGGCAGTAGTACGATTACTACTGGAGAATGGAGCGGACGTCAATATGGGAAATAATGTGGGACAAACAGCATTACAACTTGCAGCCAAAAATGGGCATGAAGCGGTGGCGAGGTTGCTTTTGGAGAAGGGAGCAGATACCAACGCGACGGACTCGTCTAGACATACGGCTCTACATAGTGCGGCCAAGAATGGGCATGAGGTGGTGGTACGGCTGCTGCTGGAGAAGGAGTCCAGCGTGCGCTGGGATGAAGGGACGGCACTGTATTGTGCGGCCAAAAATGGGCACGAGGCGGTGGTGCGGCTGCTGCTAGAGAAGGGAGCCGATGTCAACGCTCGGAAAATGTGCATGTGGAACAAGGTGACGGCATTATATAGTGCGGCTGAGAACGGACACGAAGCGGTAGTGCGGCTGTTACTGAAGAAGGGAGCTGATGTCAACGCTTGGAACAAGGCGACTGAGAAGACGGCATTATATAGTGCGGCTGAGAACGGACACGAAGCGGTAGTGCGGCTGTTACTGAAGAAGGGAGCAGACGTTGAAGTGAAGGATTTTTGGGAGGAAAAGACGGCGCTATACAAGGCGGCTGAGAACGGACACGAAGCGGTATTGCGGCTGTTACTGGAGAAGGGAGCAGACGTTCAAGCGAAGGATCGGCAGGGAAGGACAGCGCTACACTGGGCGGCTGAGAACGGACACGAAGCGGTATTGCGGCTGTTACTGGAGAAGGGAGCAGACGTTCAAGTGAAGGATTCTTGGGAGGGAAGGACGGCGCTATACCGGGCGGCTGAGAACGGACACGAGGCGGTAGTGCAGATTTTATTAGAGTCCGGGCCCGACGACTACGCAGCCGCCAGAGATAGATTGATAGCGCTGTACCGGGCGGCCGAGAAAGGGCATGACGCTGTGGTGCAACTCATGAAAATTGTTGGCGTATGTGGTCTTCCATTCTACTCTATGTAAGGTACGATCCAGGGAACGGCTAGGGGAATATAATATGCTAGGAGCACGACCAAGATTACCCAGGGTGGGAATATACAGTGAACTTTTGTTCCATGGGTCGATCGGCCGAGGCTGTGAGGTTTCATAACTGAAAGGGCTATCCGTCATAGCCCGAAAGATGAATAGATCGTCGTATTATGAAGCTCAATTGCATTTATTGTTGAGTTTGCTAACTATGACTTCGCTCTTTTAAAGTTCATCCGAACTAAAATTTCTCTAGGGTCAATTGATTGGCCTATCAACAATTATCAATGTTGGACTAGTGCGGAACCAACAACACAACACACGAACGAAAGACGATTGGAGAAAGATCACCGCCCCCAAAATGGTGTCCGATCAACGAGTCGGTGGCGCAGGCTAGTAGTAGCAAATAGAGATTTGAACTTGCATTAGCTCTTTTACTGCTTATATAGAGAGATCTCTAGGCTTGACCTTGCTTACAAGAACACTGCTCAATTGATTACTTGAATTTACTTCCAGCAGTGACACACTGCGATCGGTAAAATAAGCACTGAGCATTCGTCCACACAGTGATTGGGTTGCCTGCTCAATTCTAAACTGCAAGACTTATAGAAGTCAAGATTTCCGACGAGAATTAGAGCTGTCGATTGCCACGACGTTCTTATTATATTCTAAACATGGAGGGCACGATGAAACCCACTGCAATTCTCATTGTTCACGGTGCCTACTTTCTTCCAGCTGCGTGGACACCATTCATGGACGATCTTATACAGGCCGGCTTCACAGTGCGCTGCCCACGTTTACCGACATGCGGCGATGAGCGGCCGCCAAAGGCTCTTTTGGAAGACGACGTGAAAGTTGTACGACAGGCGGCAACGGAGCTGATTGAGCAAGGGCATAAAATTTTGGTTCTGGCACACTCGTACGGAGGAGTTGTGACTACAGAAGCCATCAATCCATCATTTTACGCAGAGGGAACTACTCATCCCAACTCTGCCGGAGTCGTTTCACTTGCGTACCTCGCCGCCTTTCTGGTACAACCAGGTGATACTGTGGTTGGGGCGATGAGCAAGCATATTCCATCCGGAGAGGTTGATTTGGAGATCAACGATGATGGAACTGCGTTTGCTAAAAATGCGCCTACATCGTTTTATAACGACATCGAGTCTGCGCGTGCAGAAGAGCTGGCGCAAAATAACGTAACGCATAATTCGGGCGCTGTCCTTACTCTTACCATTCGATCGGCACCTTGGAAAAGTCTTCCAACTACGTACATCCATTGCATGCGAGACAAAGCGTTGGTGTTTCCATTGCAGCAGATCTTAGTAGAGGAGGCTCTCGCGACAAGTCGATCGGCGACGTTTGACAGAGCTTTCATTGACTCGGGGCACTGTCCATTCATTAGTAGACCAAACGAGTTGTTGCAGATTATCAAGAAAATTGCGGGGGGTTGTAATTGATAAACCCATTTTGATATATGTGATCTTTAGAATTAATTAGTTGACGTGATAGATTATCTATAGGTTCAACTTCTTTCTTAGTTAATGTTATATTTTACATATGGGCTACTTAATATGCATAGGACAGTTTTCATGTTGTTTCTATGGAACCAAATTTGAAATGAGTAATTGACTGGGCAATATCATTGGCCATTTTAAAGAGCTTAATCTTGTCACCCAAAAGGCCAATTCGAAAGCTTTCGAAAGTAACAATCGCCTAGAGAATCATTGGGCGACTAATAATCGTTGAACGTTATGCAGGACAGCAAAGGAATTTTTGAGGTTCTCTTCGGAATTTTCTCAAACCTTTGTAATCCAGGTCTAAAGTCCAGGATATGGAGTGGAGAGGCAGACTTTCCTCGAATGAACTCGCTGGATAAGGTAGATGCAGACATCGCGACCCATTTGGAGCTGTTCTATTTGATACCATACTTTGCATCATTTTGGATACAAAGCCACCATCGACTGAATTCCAAACGTTAATGCTTCTTCTAAACAGAGTACGCGGGTTTACAGCATTGGATAGGTATTTTACCTGTGTTGACTTGGGCTCAACAAACAGCGCGCTGGCCTCCGCAACCAATTCACCTTCTTCCTCCTCTATACCCACACCCTCATGAGTAGCAACAGCACGCTTGATCATTTCCTCGGGTCTAAATGATTTCAAAGACCGCATCTGGCCAACCATCCTCATCTTCCGGCCCTCAGTCTCGACTACCTCGGCACGGTATACATACAGACGATCCGGAATCGATGGCTTGCGAAAATCTATCTTCAGATTCGCCGTCATACCCACTCCACTGTCAAATGCGATGGAGGCGCAACGGGCGAAAACATCATCAAATAGTAAAGACAACAGGCCGCCATGTACAAACCCAGGGTGGCCGCATAGTTGACTGCCAATATAGCAAGCTGAAATCACTCGACAGATGGGCCGAGACTGAATAAAAAATACTGGGTCTACAGGGATTTTGTTCGCGCCAAATAATGAGCCACTAACCAGATGCAAGGATATGGCGGCTGGATGCATGGCTTGGTACGGGAGGGATTCTTGGTAGGCTGGAGGGTCCTCTGTATTGGAGGGTCCCCTAGGAGAAATAGAGCGTAAGTATCGAATCAGGGGTAGGGATGATATCATCTCATTCACTATCCGCTGTTTTTGATAATCGTCGTGAGACTCCGGACCATTGGGCGCAGCTGAATGTATTGATGTTCCCGTTGACATCTGTCTTGGTCTGATTCGGTAGCCATACACTCTAGACGGTAGGCCGATAGAGGATAATTTCTGCGTAGTAGAAAACGTTCTTCTCTGCGCAGCGGAAAATATTCTTCTTCCTAGATTCCCCTGCATTGGTGCTGACAGAATTGTTGATACAAAAAGACAAGTTAATCAGATCGCCTGGAATCATATGGGAGACCTTTAAACAGGATAATGAGTGTGACTCTACAAAATAAACGACGGTTAATAATGCACAGATTCTCTAATAGGGGTTTCTATGGGGAGTCGGAGTCATACGAAGTTGGGCCTCTTTGCACGTTGGTGAGATTAAATAAACAGCTTTGAGAATCGCACCTCGGTCTTCGGCACGACGGACTGGTTATGGTCGGTTATTGAAGGGAGCTCCATATCACTTACTAATAACCCATAGTTTGTCACATATTGGAGACTTTGCATATGTACATAAATTTATATCTATTATTTATATGAAAATTACATATAAATATGATAGTTGACACTTCAAGGCCCCTATTTAGTTTAACTAATTTGCTTGATTTATTATCATGTAGTTTACATGTATTGTCGATCCATAGTCTAACCCTAATATCGCACTCCGACAAAAATCTATGAAATTATCTGAGGATTGCAGTACTCTTAAATTGTCTTCCTGTAGGATACGCGGTGAGGAATCCTATCTCAAAATTCGATATCTCCTGCAAGGATGAGTTGTTTGGCGGCAAAATCACGTCTTACCAATTGACATGGATACAACATTTAACCTCCATGTTTAGACCAAGCTACTTCCGACCAACCCCAAGCACCGCAACACCCTTGCACACATTTCCGTGTTCCTCCACAATTTTGATATACTCCTCACAGCACCGATCCAGCTCGACCTCGCTCAGTTGCTTCAAGGCTGGCTGAAGCCCGGGATTAGCACTCCTCACCATGTTATTGGCATGCTTGACAGGGTCCTCTAGTTTCCAGTCAAATTCGACGTATTCGCTGTGCACGCTGTGGAATCCGGCGGCTTCGAGCTCGCCCTTGACGCCTTCTGTGTTTGTCCATTGCTCGAGCATGATACCTTTGGTCTATAAAGACTAATTAGTTTTACATTTCCGGAATATGAAGACTGAGGATATTTTAGACATACGAAGTCGAAGTCCAAGTCGGGTTTTGCTCGCTTCGCCGCTAAAATGACAAACGTCGTCCACTCTATTGTCATCGTCCAGCTGGTGCACGCAAACACTCCCCCCTCTTTCAATACTCGATGCGCTTCTAGCAACCCCTTCCTTGGATCGGGGATCATAAAATAAACCAAACTCCCTATGACATGTGACAAGCTATTTGATTGCACGTCCGACAAATCCTGAGCATTCATGACCTGCGTTTCGAGCCGTGCCCAGCAATTACCCACATCCTGACCAGCTGCAATGGTATCTTCTTTTCTGATCCGAGTCGCATCGACCATGCCCTTGGAATAGTCACTCGCAATAAGCCTGGCACTGGGCGAAATCTTATTTCCATAGCCATTGATCAGCAGGGTTTCCACAGTGCCGGGACCGCAGCCGACGTCGAGTATGGCGGTTGCAGAAGAGAAACTGGACACAGCGTCCATCTTAGCGAGCATCCGATTGCAGGGGTATATGAGGGGTCCTTGGATGGGCGTTTTGGAGTATTCAGATGAGGTTTTGTCCCATTCTGAGGACTGGATCTTGTTTAACGCCATAGTGAATCGATAAGCGGGTTGGATACGTCGAGTTGAAAATAAGGATAGGTGTGTAGGTAAAAAAATTTTAAATGTTGCTGTTCTCATAACTTTTTATTTCAGGATGATTACCTGGTTTAAATGTTGATTGCAAACGTCGAAAATGTGAACGGAGACTTTGCGGAGACTTTCCCGATCCTTTATTGATTCCACATTGGGGCATTCGATCTGCTCGCAAATCAGAGCGTGCAAAACTCGTATGGCTCTTACGCTTCTTCATACTAGTCTTAATTTATTTGCTCATATATGCTCGACCTCGTTATACACCAGCTCCCATTTAGGGAACATGTGTTGCAACCTTACATACTGGTTTGTAGGGTTACGGGTATCCTCGTGAGGCCCTTGGTTGGCGTTATGGATCAACCAACATTTTATTTGGCGGTGATTCTGCCAAAATATTTGCAACATTGCAGTGTATACATGTAGTTAAAAAGGTGTGAGAAATAAATGGTATCTGATCAATTGATTTCATAGAAGTGAGTATGTGCTATGCATGTATACATATGTGTAGTGCCTCAGGTATCAATCAGATCACGTGAAAAGTAGCATTTGCGCCAATATTATTATTTGAGGGGCTTACATGCCCTTTTACCCCGATCGCTTGAGTCGATAGTCGACGTTGGTGACCGATCGTTCGAGTAGTACAATTTACCCACAGCAAGGAAGGCGTGCGAGTACGCTAAGCTTCTCTCCCTAGTATCCGCAATGGTCCAAAAAAAAAAAAAAGAATGGTGAAGTTCTAGCCTCAGCCCGGATTTGGGGGCTCTTCTTCCCAGGGACGTTTCCAACGCCTACAGCGATCTAGTAATCAACGATACTACAGATGGAAAAATTCTGAATGGGCGAGACTGCGCTGCCAAGCTGGAAGATGTTTCAAGCAAAGCAACTGCTGCCTGGATCTTCACTCCTGAGTGGGTTGCTTTTCTTCTTTTCAGTAGTGCTTAGTCTAGGTAGGATGAATTTATGGTCTGATTCACTTGTTAGTAGTATTAGTAGTTCTCTGGATAATGCTATTACCATATATCCATTATCCACTGAGTTCTCCAAGCAGAGCTGATACCCGGCGCCTACATCAATCTAATACTTATCTGGGTTGTATGTTCCGTGAGGTCCTACGGTCAATGAAGAGTTTGTACTCATAATTATCGACGTAGTTGCTTTTAAATAAAGAGTATTCTCCCCCGGCTTTTTTCTTCGATCTTCAATCTGCTCCCGCTCACTGACTAACCCCCAGTACGTACGCACATACTGGAACGGCCGGAGTAGGCCTTCTCTTCTCCCCGACTCAACCCTGACTTGAGAGAGACCGGCTTTTTTCGACCTACGTTCTTCCTTCTAATAAGGGGACCGTTCGATACAATACCCTTTTTCTCCCTGGAGGTAGAGCCCGTTGCGTTCGATACTATCCAATTGCTAGCAATTCAAAAAAGAAAATACATACCCGCAGATATCTTTTCAACTAACTTCGAACTCAGTTACGCCTCAACTCTAAATTCTCCTTCAACGACCAACCTCCCAAAATCACCGAACCAATTCAGTCGCTCTTTCCCAAAACGGAAATATCTAGTCTATACAACCCAACGCGCTAACGTGGTTCACACTCCTCATACCACACAATTTTTTTCTTTTGACAAAATACTCTTATGAAATAAGATAGAGAGAAAATGTGCCGCTTCTCTCTCAACCTCCACATTTGGTGTTATTACCAAGAAATCTAACTCATCGAATCTTGTTACTCCGGTAGCGTCTTATCAAGCGGGGTTCCATTTTGAAAAGTCTAAAAGATACCTGGTACAAAATCCATGACCATTACCATGTCCTCCACCTTACCTGTGATATAGGTACCAAATGCCATATGTGCTGGATCATGCTTTATATAGTAATCTCGATCTTCAAACGAGCTAAATTCAAAAACAAAGCAGTGGGAGTATCCGCGCTATTTGATCTGAATTAACTTGAAATTCTTTTCCTTTTTTTTTTTAAAGATCGTACCTGAAGTCCTTCCGGGCTATTATCTTTTCCGCCCATAGTGGACACAATATATGGTTGATTTGTGGTTGGATGAATGCAAGCATCTTTGAGTCCTATGAAGTGCTGACAGACCTAAAAAATTGAGCATGGTCCGCGGCAGGAAATAATTTCCAGTAACTTACATCGCGGATGGTATCTTCTTCAACCTCCGGGAAAAACTTGAAGTGGACAAGGTGTAGAATTTTAGGCATGTCAGGATGCTGTGTCGATAAGCAACTTAACCAGTACACATGGATGGTATATTGCTAAATAAGGCTTACGTATGCATTGACCTGTTATCTTTTGCGCTGGCGAAGATCCAATTAGATTCAGGGCTAGGACCATCCACGGATGCGATGATCCGTACACGTGATTCGGTACACGCCCTCCCTCCGCCAACATAGCCAGCTCTAAAACTCGCGTGTTCAACGAGTCACGAAAAATCAATTGAAAGTGAAAGCCGGCTATGAATGAACTCAGAAGGCCGGTTGCTGCGCCTTCCATCATCGGTAGTACCAATCGTGTCAAGAATGCATGTACCGAGTGTAAGCGTCGCAAGGTCAAATGTGACGGCACGGAACCCTGCTTCTATTGCAGATGGTATAAGCATCCCGAACGTTGTGCATACCCACAACCCGCGCCAAGACCCTCATTAACGCGCAAGTATGCTCCTCAGTGTTCTGGAACAATAGGTAAAGGTGTCTAGATTGTGATTTGGTTACTAATGTCCAACCCCTGCAGGTCCCTAGACACGCTTCGGTCAAGACTAGCAAACAGTACCGATGTCCTCAAACGTCTGTTTCCGACCTCCACATTGGATGACCTGGTTCCTCTATCTCGGGAAGCACTTTTGGCCCTCTTGGATAATGACCAATCTGGAAATCACTCTCCCACAGCAACACCAACAGCAGCAGTAGCAGCACCAGCAAGTAGCACTGACATTAACATATCTCAGTCACCAGAAGGTTCACGTGGATCTCGTGATTTTGAGTATAACGAATCTATTGAGAATTTGGAAGAAACAGAAGCAGTCGCAGACGATGTTAATGCTCTGTTCCTTAAACCAGACCGCACATCATCGTATGTCGGGGCCTCCTCTGCCACAGCAGGGCTTCGGACCTTGTTAAAGATTGCCCCGGACCTGAGATTCATCAAGCCGAAGCTACCTCACCGAGCCAACTCCCAAGAGTCCAATAATAATCTCCGTGCCGATCCGTCTCAGGTCATTGAACGCAGCGGTGAGTCAAGGGCCCCACGCGATCTTCGAAGTCTAGTAGATGCCTACTTCTGGCATGTTCATTCTTCAACCCCAATCCTCGATGAATTTCAATTTAGAACTACCTTTGAGTCCAGAGAACGGAAAGATCCAACATGGTTTGCCCTGCTGCACATGGTGTGCGCCTTGGGTACGATTGCTCACACTACTTCTGACTCTAATGAGGATATCTATCACTACAAGATTGCCAAATCGTATCTGAGCCTTGACAGTTTTGGCAGTGGACACATAGATACCTTGCAGGCTCTCATCTTGATGGCTGGATGGTATTTACATTATCGTAATCGTCCAAACATGGCATCGGCCCTCATGGGGGCCGTCTTCAGAATGGCTCATGCACTGGGCCTTCACAAGGAGCTTCCCGGGAACGAGACTGCTCGGGATAAACATCAAAGAGAGCTACGACGTAGAATTTGGTGGAGTTTGGTAGTTCTTGATACAGGCGAAGGCACAACACTAGGTCGGGTCTCAAAGACAGAACTCTTCAACTCGGAGGTAAAATTACCGAGAAACATTAATGATCATGTACGTGGCCTTCCTCGAATTGCATGTAGTGTATCGTAATATCTTAATTAGTATGATACGCAGACCGGGGAAATCATTACTGGACCAACTGTATACTCCATGCTACTTGCCGATATCGAGTTCTCCCGCCAAGCCAGCAAGATCCAAGAGCGGCTCATCTCCTCTCCGTGCCTGGAGTTTAACGAAACCCTAGCACTTGATGCTCATCTGGTGTATTGGTTTGAAAGCATACCTTTCCTGAATAACCCCGAGCTGCTTCCGGAGTGCCTGCAGCAACCAAGATTGTCTACGAAATGGAAGTACCAGAATTTGCGCATTATTCTCCACCGCCCTACTTTGATGGAAGCAACTCTGCGTCACATACCATTTCAGGAGCTTCAGGGTGAGCAAAAGGTTTGTGTCAGGAAGTGTCAATCGCTTGCCGGTAAAGCCATTGAAAATATCGCTTCGGAATGGACGCAGAATCAATATTCAGGTTGGCCAGCGGTCTGGTTTCTGTTTCAAGCCTGCACGATCCCACTCCTGAGTCTTTATGGGTTCAATGATGATCTGGAAAACACTGAAGGCTGGAAGAAGCAAGTCGAGAGAGCGATTAAACTTTTTGAGGAAATGAAACCATGGAGCATTGCTGCACATCAAACTCATGTGTTTGTATCTCTGCTGTATGAGGCATATCACCAAAGTCAAGGGGCGCCATCTAATCCTAACTTTGTCGAGAACACGCCAACTCTTTTTCCGACCATGGAATCCTCCATGAATGCTATCGTTGCTGCTACTGGACGAGAGCTCCAGCATCAGCAACAACAATATCAGCAACAGCAACAGCAACAACAATTGCAAAACATGATGATGATGGAATGGCCGTCTTGGGAAGGGCTCGCCACCTATCCTGACTTGATGCCTTCAGTACCTATATTTCCTGACCTGAATTTCCCAGACCTAGGGCCAGTCATGAGTTCTTGGGACTTTCCGACAGAGGCGGAAGCCGGTGGAGAGACACTTGACGTGTCTTTGCGACATAGTATCCAACATGACAGCCGGGTATCCAGGAGAGGGGATGGATTAGATGGGAACTCCCCCGAAGGCGTCCTTGCTAAACCTCTTCAGACACTTGCCCTTGAGACTTTGAAGACATGCTAGTATATGCATGCATGGGCTGGGGGAAGAGCCAACAGCTGAAATTAAGGTCGTGTAACGAAGCACGATTTGAGACGGCGATTCTTGTGTTAGTAATGCGTGTATTCTAACTTCGTTGACATTGATATATGTATAATCCAAATGTACTGAAAATAATTAATTAATTTTTTGCCTATAGTAGCTGTCTTAAAAGAATTGATTTTATCAACTGAGTGGAATTTTCTATATCTAGATGTTAAAGATATTGCACGAAAGCCTTTAAAATGGCCAGCCTACTGCAGAGCTCAAGATTCCCCGATTAATTGATGATGGTTATTATCATTATATGGGAGGTGTTGATATTGTAAATCAATTGCGTGCAGTCTGTGAGACATATCGTAAGGCCTGGCGTTCACGGTGGCCATTATCTTATTGGTGTGTTGACATAGTATTGGTCAATGCTTATCGTATTAGTTATATACTACGTGAGGAATGGTAATTGCCTTCAATGAGTCATTCTGAATTCCGAGAGGCTTTATAAAGGTGCTTTTTACACAAGGACGTCAAGATCGTATCCCTCAGCCTCAGCCTGGTCAACACAAGTAACCAGGCAAGATAAATGGGAAAAAAAGTCGCTGAGAAATCCCGGTCAAAACACACTCAGATTATTTGTCAGACGCCGGATTCCGCTGTGTAAACCAGGGTTGAGAGATTGTTAGAAGGCATTTCATTCGCAGAAAACTTCTCTTGTTGAACGAAGTGTAAATATTTGATTTGTTCTTTCTCATACTAAGAATATTGTGCGTGCACTGTGTAGCAATAAGTTGACCCACCGGCAATTACTGGGCAATAAACACTAGGGGTTAGGGTAACCAGTCTGTAAGTGCTTGAGGGTTAGCAAGCTGTCATTTTATTATCAGTAGGAATTGTGAGATCAGATTCTGTGTTTAAGACTACTGCATAAGATAATGAAATAAATGGCTATATATTTACACTAATAAGTCGTGTTACATTTCTTATTTGATAAAATATCTCGTTGTCCACAATTGCAGCTGGGCGGAGGGGCTGTACGGCAGTGGTTCTCCGTGTACGGTATCTTTCGATCTTGAATTCCGCCCCAATATGCTACACTTGCGAATCGGCTTCATGACGGCAAATTGTCCAGGGACTAGTGAGATTGGCTAAAATTCTTGTGGAGCTCAAAAGTGCTTTGATAATCAAATCTCGCGTAGCAGCTATAGTAAGTACCATCCCCAGAGCATGGTCCTAAAAAAGACGCAATTCATTGCTTAAAATTATTGAAAAGAAAAAAGCCCTATATATATGCAGGACAGCATATTCATATTGTGGAAAACAACCGTAGAATTTTGGCATTATCCTGTTATCTTTCAATATTAGCAGCTTCCTGGTGTTCTGTTTTGGTTCGTTGAACTTAAACTGGCAAAAAAGACAAATCTGGTGCTAAACACTCCCTTACTTAGCTTCAATCATGGCCACGTACCACATCATCCCAATCGACAAGGGATGGACTTTCAAGCAGGCAGATAACGATGAATCAGAGTTTTTGCCTGTGGCTCAATTCCCGACGAATGTACATCTAGATCTAATGGCAAATAAGCTGCTCGAAGATCCGTTCATGGGAAAGAATGAACTTGGCGCGCAGTGGGTTGGCGAGGCTGTATGGGTTTATAAGACCACATTCGTAACGCCATCCTTTGTGGAGGGTGGTGAGAGTCTGGCCCAAGCTGTTATCTCTTTTGAGGGACTGGACACCTTCGCGACAGTGTTGTTGAATGGACAGGAAATCCTGAAGACAGAAAGCATGTTTATCTCAGAGAGAGTCGATGTGACGAACCTGCTGCGGAACGGTAGCGACAACGGCAATGAGATTCAGATCACATTCGACAGTGCATACCTGAAAGGGAAGAAACTCGTTGATGAGCACCCGGAACACAAATGGGGTTGCTGGAATGGGGACCCATCGAGATTGGCGGTCCGGAAAGCACAATATCACTGGGTAAGTCCTACAACGCGTATGTTGTTACATCGCGAAGCTGACTTGTAAAATAGGGATGGGATTGGGGACCAATGCTTATGACATGTGGTCCATGGCGCCCTATAAATCTAGAAATCTACACCAGTCGTGTCGCAGACCTGCATTTCAGCACCAAGATTGACCAGGCCCTTACTATGGCTGAAGTTGTCGTAGGGGTTGATGTGGAGGGTCCAGCTTCTCTAGTTAAGATTTCCATCTCACTTGACAAGAAGCTGGTGACCGAGGAGACAATACCAGTGAGCAATGGTCACGCCAAAACCAGCTTTCGGCTGAATGATCCTCAACTATGGTATCCGATCAGATACGGACAGCAACCTCTCTACACCGCTACAGCTACTCTTCTTGCAACAAGCACGGACAATACCAAAACTCACACCATCCACAGTGTCAGTAAGAAGTTCGGGGTGAGGAAAGTTGAGCTCATTCAGAGACCACTACTTGATCAACCAGGGACAACTTTCTTCTTTCAGGTCAACAATATCTCCATCTGGTGCGGAGGGAGTGACTGGATTCCGGCAGACAACTTCCTCCCCCGTATTACGAGAGAAAAATACTACGACTGGGTTAAACTGGTTGCCGAGGGTAATCAATTCATGATTCGCGTGTGGGGCGGTGGTATTTACGAAGACCAAGCCTTTTACGATGCGTGCGACGAGCTGGGAATCTTGGTATGGCAGGACTTTATGTTCGGCTGTGGTAACTACCCAGCCTATGCGGAGATCCTGGATCTGATTCAGAGAGAGGCGGAGGACAATGTGAAGCGCTTGCGTCACCACCCGTGCCTAGTTATCTGGGCTGGAAACAATGAAGACTACCAATATCAGGAAGACGAAAAGCTGACCTATGACTACGAAAACAAGAACCCGGATAGCTGGCTCCAGACGGATTTCCCTGCTCGTTATATATATGAGAAGGTCCTTGCTGATGTGTGCAGCTCTCTAATCCCAGAAACTGCCTACCATTACGGCTCACCCTGGGGTGGTGGAGTTGCCACTACAGACCGTACAGTGGGTGATATACATCAATGGAATGTCTGGCATGGCACCCAGGCCCGATATCAAGACTTTGACAAGTTGGTGGGGCGATTTGTCTCGGAATTCGGAATGGAGGCGTTCCCCAATATCAAGACAATTGATTCGTTCTTACCGCTAGGCAAAGCTGATCCAGATCGCTATCCACAGTCTTCCACCATCGACTTTCATAACAAAGCTGCGGGTCACGAGCGGCGAATTGCGCTTTATCTCGTCGAGAATTTCCGGTATGCCCCCGAGCCAATCGAGCAGTTTATCTACTGCACGCAGCTTATGCAAGCCGAGTGTCTTGCTTCAGCGTATCGCCTATGGAAACGGCAGTGGAAAGGACCCGGTCGGGAATACTGTGGTGGGGCTTTGGTGTGGCAGACTAATGACTGCTGGCCAGTTACTAGCTGGGCTATCGTTGACTTCTATCTGCGGCCCAAGCATGCGTACTTCACGATCAAGCGTGAGATGGCGCCGATCAGCTCTGGCATCAAGAGGACCGAGACATACATCCCGAGGGACAAATATACCAGCGCATATGTGACCAAGAAAACAACAATTGAGATTTGGGGTTCGAATCTGACCTTAGATGACACCGTCGTTAACGTTATCGTTAAGGCATGGGATATCATTACAGGTCAAGAAACGTACAGTGTGACACTAAAGTCTGAGTTCGTGCTTGGGGCGAACCAGAGCACAGAGATAGGTGAGATGGAAGTTCCAGTTCTTCATGAGGGTTATGAGAACCGCACTGTTATTGGAGTCTACTTTTTACAAGAAGGACGGCAAATTGCACGGTATATCAACTGGCCTGAGCCACTTAAATACGTACACTTACAGGCCCCGAAGCACCTGACTGCTGAGGTGTCCCAAGACGGAAAGTTAGTTGAGCTCTCCAGTGAAGTCCCGGTCAAGGGGGTGGTGGTGGAATGTGATGACGAGGAAGTGTCTTTCAGTGACAACATGGTTGATTTAGTTCCTGGAGAGATCATCCCGATTCAAATGAAGGGGGCTCACAAGGAATGTCAGATAAATGTGCGATACCTTGGGTTAGGAATGATCTAGCAGTGGTCATTAGACGTGAGAGAGGCCATTTTTGTTTTAGATCATATTAAATTGCTTCGGGTAGACTCGCTTCTGCATTTACAGATAAATATAGACCTGTTGATAACAGATATAGTTTTTAATGTTTGCAATTGTAAGATGAAACAAGTCGATATTTTTTCCTACCACAGTAGTTCGCGATTGAAGCCGATTAGCTACATTATCTATGCACATTAGTGATATATCGATTAGGTATAATAGATACGTACGATCATTTTCACATATAATCCGTGGAACTTGCCAAATGAAAATCATTGGTCATCCACTCCATATGAGATAGTAATCCAGGAGTTGTTTCTATACAACTGAGGACTGGGAGTCTCAGACAATTAATGGAATTGAATCATATTAGGTAATACATGCTTGCTTTGATGCTGGGGTACATGTCAACTAGTTCTTGGGACTAGCCAAAATTTCCTTCCTTTTATACTGTCGATTCGAATAGCCCCGGATGAATGCTTCTAACACCATTTCTGTGGCTTCCAGTTTGGAATGACGACAGTTCCATCATCATTCAGCATGTCCAAAGTACCCTCCTCTCGCCAAGCATGGATGAAGTATGCAGTGTTCTGCTCCTTCAAATATTTACAGTTTGCATCCACCGTCTTCCAAAATAATGTGTAGTCCTGGACGGAAACTTCTGCAACAGCAAAACCCGTGACATAGCCCCCTGCATGGAGTACATTGTAGCTTGTGGCCCACATCATCTATAGACGCAGATTAGTGTTGTCAAATCTCAGGATCTTTTTTTTTTCTGGTCTCCTCACCTCTGAGATAAGTAGTGGTAATTTGGGGAGGTATTGCTTGTACCACAGCACCTGAGATGCGGTATAGTTCCATGCATCCTGGACTTGAATGTTATGGTAATAAGCCATGATATGAGCATGACAGAAGTCGATGATTGGCGCGACGGCTTCTCCGATGACACCAAGTCCAACACCGACGCCATCTGCATTTGGCGGTCCGCTCATCAAGTTCGGGCGATCCCAGTCCTCACTGATACCAGCTGGAATACCAAACTGATGCATCTTATTGCGGAAGTTTGTCAGCCCTTGGGTGAGATTTGCCAAACTTGCTGGATCTGCTGGGTTTCCTGTGCTCCCCGCGGCACACATATCGCAGTCTCCAACGGGTTCGTTGAGATATTCAGCCGCAAAGATAACATAGGGTGCAATTGCGGCGTAAGGGCTGTCTGAGAGAACCTGGAACAAAGTACTCTCAAGAACTGCCTCTAGGGACAACTATAAATGAACTATTGTCAAAGCGAGTTCTTCATGTGGGTAGGGATCTGTGGAAGCATCTAAGGATCTACATGACTTACGGAGTTACCTGAAATGGGGAATGCCACTTGAACCACGACACCCATATTGTTGATGATGGCGGCTTGAAGAATGTTTTTCCACAGCTGTGTATTATAACTCTCTGGGATATATACGCGGAACATAGTGGCTCCAAATTGCTCCTTCATCATTACCAGGTGCTGGCTGATAGACTCGACGTCGTAATCCATGTTGGTGTATTGGAAAGGCATGGAAAAGCCGAGAAATCCATAGAAGTCCTCCTGTGCGCACCACCATTCCTCCCTTGACATCGGAGGAGGTTGTAGGTCTAAACTGAGTTTCCAGCTGTGAGAGACAGAAAATGGAAAGCAATGTGGAGAGGAAGGCCCATTGAGCTCTTCGGTTGGCAGCCCATTGGTGATTGAAGTAATTAGCGTTGTAGCCAACGTCAAGGGTAGAAGAGTATTGATTCTCATTTCGTATTGTAAAACCGAATTGATATCAATAGATGTTCTGGATATATACTGGTCAGTCACTTACAGTGAGCCCGGGTTTCACAAGAAAGCGGGTCGAATCGTGCTTTATATACATGCCACACCAGCACCTTATCAAGTTGTTACCACACCGAAGAAAGTTCACGGACTGCACGTTTCCGCGCCCAAAGCAAGGAGTGTGTGCTATGACCGTTCCATTCGGAAATTTAGCTCAGCCAAGTCAGACTAGTGAGAGCCATGGTCCACAGCCAGGTACCATTTGAACGACCTTCGGTGTAAAGTATTCTCCATTCCTCATGGAATTTCACTGAGGTCACGAGGATACTTCTAAACTTTTAATATCATGATCATTTTACTATGCTGTGATCAACCATTGACGTGAAGCAGACAAAGAAACCTTTTTGATTCAAAACTGACAAGCATAGTTAGTTAGCTCGTCTTATCTCTTTCGCATGTTTTATTCTTTCATTTACGAAGTTATAAATATTACTATAAATTGATTTCTGGCCTAAAGGTAGCTCTCAATAGTTCCACCTCCCGTACAAATGTTCTCAACTACAGCAACGTCGGCGATGGCCTGTTTTGGAGAACCTCTTGGGTCTTCATTTCCACTCTCAGTGGACCGAATAAACGAGGAAAACAGTTCCTTATAAGTGTCTGTACCGGCGATGACTTGGTCAGACACGACCCCTCCGGTTGCATCTTCAACGACGAGTCGAGTTCCTCCCGCTTCTCCTGTCACTGTCAAGGAACCCGTGCTTCCAATGAAAACATAACTATAATCGTTCTTCACTGACGCGAAAGACATGCTAAGCGTGCCCAATGCCCCTGATTCAAACTTCAGCACAGCCTGAACTGTATCTAGTGGAGGGAGATGGTCAAGGGTCTGTCTCGCGAAGGAAGCTGTTTCTACAATCTCCTCGCCTGCCACATAGCGGATGAAGGCAATAAAGTGGACGCCACCATCTAGCAAGAATCCTCCCATATATTCGGGCTTCTTGCGCCATTCTGTTTCATACCACTTGTTTCCAGGATTCACGAGATTCCAGATTCGCGCATGCACGGTGGCAAGTGTTCCAATACCGCCACTTGCGATAATTTGGCGTGCTTTTTCGTGCCCCGCATCATAACGGAACTGCTCCGCAACTGCGAGTACCAAGCCCTTTGGTTGATACTTGGCTTCATATTCATCCAGAAGTGCCTTGGAAGCCGCGATATTCTTGGCCATCGGCTTCTCCATCAACACATGTTTCCCGGCCTCCAGCGCCTTCAAAACTATAGAGGGCTGGACCAGGGTTGGCAGAGAGACGATGACCACTTTGACATCATCGCGTTTCAGTAAATCGTCAACATCACCATCGCCTCCTTGCTCGTTGCTGTATACACCAATAGATGGAGATACGAGCCCTGAAAGCTTCTTTGCCTCCTCAACGGCCTCTGAGGCTGTGTTGAGGGACTTCGAGTAGACTGCTACCAAGCTCACGCTGATAGCATGCAGGGCCGGAAGATACGCTGCCAGAGGATTAGCATCAGTTACTCGTCTTGGTGGTTTTCCTCGCGATATGTACATCGATCTCTACGAGAAACTCACCTTCTTTTGGGTACAACCCAGCTCCAAGCAACGCGACTCCAAACATGTTTAGATGATTTCTCTTTCCTTTGCCGACAATGCTAAATATGTTGAATAATGAATGCAATGTTGACCCCACCCCCGCTTTACCGGATCAGGCTAATCAGGCTACGGAAGCTGCTCCGACACATATTGTGGTTGCGCCACCTGATTCGGGACAGGTTTTCCGTGTGTAACCTTGCGGATACCACATACGTATTCACGGTCCGGCAAAGCCAGATAGCGTACTCGGTCTGAGTTTTAGCAACCTGTACTTACAAGGAATCGTATGTCGAGGTTTCTTTAGTTCGTGTGCTTGCTTAGAAGCATTGTTCAAAGTTACTTGTCCACCTAAGGGGATCCGAATTCTATACCGCCTTTCTAATAAAGGGACGCTACAAGACTGCGACGGACTAAACCAATCTTTAAGGACAATACAAGTTTTTTCTAAAAAATTGTAATTCTGCCGAAAAATGTGCTTTGTTTTCATTTACTCTTATTTTATTACTATGTAAGAGATTTTATTCGTTTCAATGTTATATGATATAGCTAGGGATAATAATTAAAACAAGCTTGCACTAGTCTAGAATATTATAATATTGAACTATATAGAACACACCTCCTTCTAGGATACCCTTAAAGGCGCCTTCTAAGTGAGAGACAAGGTTACTAGATTCGTAAATGTTTCATTTATTTTTAAATTCTATGATATGATTGGTTAAACATAATATTAGTTGCTATAGGCCGTGGAAGGACTTCGTAAAAAAAACTTGCATTGTCCTTAAGATCGATTTAGTCCACCGTACCTGTGAAGTTGTCACATGTCACTTGTCTATCGTAATTACTTTTAGTTCATTATTGCGCACCCGGAGGTCAGTTCGCTGACATAAACTATAGGCAGCACTTTATGACAGCCTAGTTCGACTAAATGCTAGCTACATCAACAGCCACACGTTGCATCCTCCGATTTCGTCACCAGCACAGATTTGTTAAACGATTGGGTTGATCGGGGCACATCAAGAGCCGCTGCCAGAATTCAGTAAAAGTTGTGGAGAAAAGTGGAATTGAAGTGTTACTTACGGTTCTTTGTGAAGAAGCCGCTGGGTTTTAGATCAACTGTAATGGTTTCGACGGGCATGATGGGGAAGTCCTCTGGTCTAGGGTTGTGAGTGAGACCGAATGCTATACAGGCGCGTTAGCTATCATTCGAAAAACGAAAATGACAAATGAGAGAAGCAAAAAGCTCAAATGCAAGGGAGAGGGGGGAGGGGGGTGCTATCCTACTGTGCCAGAATATAACGTCGCTGTTTTCGACATCGTCATCCCTTTTTGCCCATTTTGCCAGACCTGTATCCTCTCTGCTCTGGTTCGTAAACTCCCCAGCTGCGTATAGTTCGTCGTCCTGGTACTTAGTCACCCAGACCGGTTCCTTCGCAAACTCTGCGCGCTTAGTGTTGAAGGATTGCTCGTTCATAAGAATCATCTGGCTCGGGACTGTATGGATCGCATATGCAACGGGGTTGTATGAAACAGTATTGATAACGTCGTCGTTGCGAATCTTGAACACCCGGTGTCGGTCAACGTTTGTCTTTGCCGGGCCTGCCTTCTTGATCACCGTCTTTTCCACACCATATCCAATACCGTGAGGGTTCAATTTCTCATCGACGGGAAGAGGTACACTGTCTTCGTAGTAGATCGTGTTCTTATAACCATCAACGGCTGGGTCAATCCTCAAGGAAAACAAATGCTGGTGGAATGGAGCCATCACTCCCGGTGCAACTTGTGTAGCCCAAGGAACAGAGAGTCCCGGCTCGTCAACCGGTATTGTAGAAACAATACCCGTGGCGCGCACTTCGAATTGAATGCCAGCAGCTTGGTCAAAGTACCACGCAAAGGCATACTCATAGTTGGCAAGCGTGCAGATCATCTGCACCACAAGTTGACGGTTTCGTACGACAGTTGCTGCATTGTTACGGAAATTGGTATGTTTATGCAAAATTCCGTTATCTTGTTCATGTAGACAGATAACGTTCTTCAACAAAATCGGGTTACCCTTGGAATCTATGCGGAAACCATCGAAATATTTGATATAGCCAAGGCAATCACAGCCCAGCGCGAGCTGGTTAGCTGTAACTCCCAAGCCAACATCTCCTACATCAAATGCTTGTTTTCTGTGAAAAGGCATTCGCGGGTCTATATAGATGCAGCATCAGAGTCCGAGTTCTTTTCGCTAAGCTACGAGTGAGTGGCGTTGCTCACCTCCATATGGCACAGTCATTTCTGAGAGAGCAAGACGGTAAAACAAGTTTCGACTATCATATGTGACGTTATAGAGAATCAAACCTTCACGGTGATTAAATCCCACTCGAAATCGCCATTTCTGCCACTTCACCAGCTGACCTTCCACAGTAAATGAAGGCCCCTCTGGTTGCTGTACGATATATGGCATGAGGTCTTTCCTCAACGGCTCGTCAAGCAAATCGTGAGCATACTCCACAGCCTTGACGGGCTTCCAGGGCTTCGTGGGGCCGGTTTTTGTATCTGCTCCAGTGGGCAAGTAGTCCATGCGCACAAACTCTTTAGTCACAGAGTTAAACACGGGTGAGAAGGAAACAGGGAGCGAATAATGGTTGGTCTGTTCGTGATCAACTGGTCTCAAGTAGAGGTAGCATTGGCAAAGCCTTCGATCTTCATTTGAGTCATCTGTGCCGTAAATCCAGGGCTCGCAGCACAGATCGACACCCTCTGGCAATTGCAGCTTTTCCTTCTCCTCTAAAACCTTTGGATGGGTCATGCAAAGTTCTTCAAGTGCTTGCATCTCGTCGATGTCCGCAGGGCCCTATACGTTTTGTACATGTATTATAAGTCGATGAATCCATGTGGCAAATACAAAAAGCTACTAGGTGCATCATCGTGTTTACCTGGACGTGTTTTGGCATTTCCTTGACCCAATCCACTCTTCGTTCTTCGACGTTTACCATGGCCTTCATGAAAACGTAGGTATCCACTCCTATTTTTGAAGTGGTCAGTTGATAGGACCTCCAAGACGTTGTATCATCTGTTTCTCAATTTTCCGAGAACTGACTGTGAAACAAACACTGAATAAGCCTCGTTGGTGCTACTGGCAGCTCCTGATGAAGGCGCTCTGCTTCCACATACGGAATCGCTTCTTCCTTGATGGGCTCATTGACGTCGATGAGATTGAACCGGAGTCTAATGCCTTTGAACTTATCCTTCAGAATACCTACTGCTGCCCGCATCTCCTCCGGGGAGATGGGATCGAAGGGGTGGTACATTTTTGAAGCCATTTTCTGATCTTGTAAATGAATGTAGTGATTCGCGGTGTAAAGGGGATTTCCAAGCGAATTTCTCTGGTTGTCTGTGTTAAATCACAATTCAGAACCAACAAATCTATACAGTATTTATCTAGGGGAATAAGTAGGCCATCTTTGTATTCTTCTTATCATTTTCAGATAAGATTTGTAACCTGTCTTTTAATGATGTAACGGCTTCTATTAGTTTCGGTTGTATTGTGTTGGGCTTAGAGCTCGGTTTTTGCTTGGAGACAAAGGGCTTGGGTTTGCTAAGCAGTCTCCTCAGACGGAACATGGTGTCCCGTACTCCATTTCTCTACCACAGATTACTTCGGCCCACGCGGCGCATCCGTGCCTTATCATGACACATTCGTTTTGGAACGTGGAAGGTAGGTAATAGCGTTGCATTGAAGAATCAAAAGAATATCTATCTTTCGAAGGGCTCATCTCCTGATATCCTGTGGCGTATCAATCCATTCGCCAGTTCAGTATCTGCGTAGAATAGCTATTGATAGTGAAGGTCGTAGGATAGCTTAGCTGCTTAAGGCCAAGCACCATGGAGATGCAGTTGAACGTTGGTAACGGAAGAGTTCAGCATTATAAAATACTTTCAGTATAGTCTAAATTTTCGATGCCATCAACGTTCTGAAAAAATGAATAAAAATTCATAATCAATTTCTAATATATACTGTACACTTGAGAAAAAGTATAGAGCTGGCCAAACCTTACCAACCCAACTCAGGAAGAAGTTCAGCCTGCAGTCTACGAGAAGAACAATTAACGAACAGGCTCTTGCGCTGTTTGAATGATTTCTCATGGTGGCTAAGTGGTGAAGAAGAGATCATCAAGAGAGAAATAAAAATCAAAAAGTAATATTGACTAGAGTATTCCATATAGCTAGCATTGGAAAATAATTTAGCTCAAACTAAAAATACTATAAGCCTCTTCCTCATCAGTATCTCGCCTAAAGAAGCCTAATAGCCAGCTTGGTATACAGAATAAATATGTTATACAGTCTGCTTCACGTTTTGACCTTCGATAGTCTCGACCTTGTATGTCTTGAACTGCCTGATGGGAACCTTGGACTCGAACATGTAGTCCATTTCATCATAGGTACGACCCTTCGTCTCTGGCAATCGGAACCAACACCAGATGGTCGCCAGCAAACTGAGGCCTCCGAAGAAGAAACCTGTCTTGCCTCTCCAATTGGCAGACGATGCGTTGAGCATGTAAGGTACCGAGATTGTCATGACGATCTGGAAGATGGAACCGGTAGAAGTGGCCAGAGCACAAGTCTGTGAGCGGAGACGAGTTGAACCAATCTCCGAGAAAATGACGAAGTTAATGGGGCCCACAGTGCTCTGGAAGACGAATGTGAGGAGGTCAAGGAATCCCGCTTGTGCCCAAGCAAGACCAGGGTGAGAGTCGTAGTTGGGAATACAGTCCAGGATGCCGATGATGATCTGCGTGATAGCCATGATTCCGACGCCGGTCATGAAGAGAGTTCGACGTCCAAAGTATGCCATCATAAACCACGAGCTGCAGGTCGCGACGAAACCAATGGCCGTGTTTCCCACACCCATGTCGAATGATGCCGAGACGGGGAGGCCAGCAAGCTCGAAGAAGTAGACAGCGTATCCGATGAGAGAGATACCGGTAATAACCTGCCATACCTGCACCATCATGGCCACTTCGGTGCGGATTCGGTTGGTGTTGCGGAAACACTCGATGTAGCTGGTGTCCTCCTCCATCTCGGCTTCATGCTTCGTGGTTGCTTGCATATTTGCCAGCTTTGCCTTGATGTTTATGTTGGCGGATGATCTAACCAGTCGTCGCAGAGAATTCTCAGCCTCCTCGTAGCGTTCTTGACGAACTAGCCACCAGGGGGACTCAGGGGCAAACCATAGGAAAACAACCAGCACGGGCGGCCAGACCCATTGGATCGCAAATGGAACTCGGTAAGCCCACTGGGTCGTCCACAAAGCGACACCATCGCCGACGCCGGAGGAAATAAACTGTCCAATCACATAAGCCAGGTTCATTCCCGCATTAAGAATACCACGCAGAGCAACCGGGCAGACTTCAGACGCATAAGTCGGCGCCAATACAACGTAGGTTCCGTAGAGAATACCGGCCATGAACTCTCCAGCAGCGAGAGTATGGATGTCTTGAGCAAACATCTGGAGGAAAACAAAGGCGGTGGTGAAGAAAAGGGAACAGGCAAAAACTTTCTTGCGGCCCCATCGCTCCATGGGCCACGATGCAGTGAAGGCACCTAGGAACTGGCCGACCGGAGTACCCATACCAAGGACGTTCTGCCACTTTGCCGACACCTCGTAGCCAATGTCGGCGCCATAGTAGGTGCCGTACTTTTTCGTGAAGGCTGGCAGGGCATAGAAAGTATACAGGATACCCGAGTCGTATCCGACCATGATCAGGGAGGTGGCAAAGACAGAGGCCCACATGATGGCCATTGGGTACGTCTTGATGGCCTCCCAGGTCGACATGGCGTGTTCCTCGTCATTGGCAAGCTTGGCCTCGAGAGAGAGCTCCATCCCCTCATTCACATCGTGATCGTTTACGTCTTGTTTCATATCCGACTTGGTGAAGTCTTTTTCGTGAGATTCCTCCGACATGGTGAAGGGTTATCAATGGTGAATGGAGAGACCCGGGAAAGAAGAAACCAAAAAATTATGGAATCATCAGCTTTCAAGACGAAAATTGACGACTACAGGATGAAATATAAGTTTGCTGCATGGGACAACATTGTCTATTTAGCAAGGCGGCGAGGAGGGTTAGTCCCCGCGTGAACAGCAGCTTTAGCTCGAAAGCTGGGAACGAGGGTTAGGAATGTTAGTTCCTCAAACTGAGTTTGTGATAAGAAGCCGCCAAAAAAATCGAGGTGGTATTCGAAAGGGGTGGTGGTAACAACGAAAGATAGTCGCCTATCGGAATATTAGTATGAAATCGGTAGAGCCGTGGGACACGACTGGGTACGTAATCTAGGACGTCGGAAAGGTCAAGAGTTGGCGGCATCCCCGCAAAATACTTAATTAGGTTTCAAGATAACGAAAGGTCTGTGCTACTAAATTAACCACTTTTATGAGCTAAAATGTCAAGGCTCCCATTAAGGTCGGAGGCTCACATCCGTGTCATGTGAGTTAGATAACTAACCCCTCCTTATCAAACTGACTCAGCGCCCTGTTTTAGGCGCTCCCAAGAAGGTTCTCCGGCTTCCATCCTCCGTGTCAGGTGATCTCCGCTTGGTTTGGGTGGAGTAGTGAGAGGTGGACGAACGGTGATGTTCCCTCCATGCTTCCTGTCCATTGAGCTCTGGAATAAGGGACAGAAATTTCATGAGGTCTTATAAAATGGTAAAGGTAGTAACTCCATCCGGGTTTAAAATCAGTAACTGAGTACATCACTTGTATATACACATATATCCATATCTACATACCGGGACATTTCATTTTTCTTCCCACCAAGAATTACATACATTCAAAATGGCTCCGATTGCCGAGGTGACGGTTCCAGTCAAGGCACCTGCCACAGCAGAAGATCCATCATATATGCCTGCTCTCCCTCACAAGAGCCTCAACATTCCAGTCAGGGTCAAGCCGTCGCCAGAGGAGATCTCCAAGGGTCGCCTTAACGATGCTAACATCAAGCTCCTGCTCTCTGGTATGCACCGCGATGGTGTCGTCATCATTGAAGATGTCATTGACACGGCTCATCTGGATAAGATCAATGAGTTCATGGTCAACGATACCGAGAAGGAGCTCCAGAAGGGAGACAGCTTATACCGTAACTTCGGTGCCGAGAACATCCAACAGGGCCCGCCATTGTTTCCCCCTGAGTTTTTCTTTGACGATGTCTACCTGAACAGCATTTTGTTCCATGCTGTGACCCTCTACCTAGGACCCAATGCGAGCTGGAATATGATTACGGGCAACAATGCCCTCCCAAATGGAACGAAGAGACAACCCGTCCACTCTGATGCGATGTGCCGTCATCCTCCGGCTCCCTTCTATGCGATTGGCAACATATACACGGTCGATGCCAGCCCAGAGAACGCCTCTACCGAGATATGGCTAGGCACTCATCTCTACAACAGCGAGGCACAGTGTCCTCCCCGGCCCAAAGGAGATACGAACATCCTCGACGAGTTCGTCGAGGAGAGAAAGAAGACCCTTCCCGGTATTCAGCCTGTGGTGAAAAAGGGTTCCATTCTGTTCCGCGACATGCGCACCTGGCACGCTGGCATGCCTAACAGGTCGGACAAGCAGCGTTTCATGATAGCCCTTGGCTTCTCTGCCGCTTGGTGGCATGGTAAAGCTCGCTTCCGAGTACCAGCTAAGACGGGCACCTATGAGCGCCTCATGCACGGCACCAAGGATCACGGCATCTTCCCCTTAATGAATGAAGTTCCATTGGAGGAGTACAACCAGTTGAGGGATGCGCATGACTTTAATGATTCAGAGCAGCCAAGCTGGGATACAGAGATTTACTAAGGTTTGGCAAGGGTTGGTTCCCTTGTTAACGACCAGCCGAACTTTTCTCGCCTCTCATTTACCCTTCGGAAGCATGTATATGTCACCAGCATTGTCTTTTCAACTCTCATTTATCTGATAAGCACAATCATCAAGAAGACCAATCTTGCACCGTATTTGTTAGTAAGGAATGGATTCATCTAAGGTGGAAAGAAATTCTCTGGCTTCCACCAGATTATAGATCCATATGTATTGTTATAAAAGGTCTAGCAATCAGTCTATCTCACAGCTATTATAGAAATCAGGTAGTTCGGCCTACTCCCTTTATATAATATCCTCACAAAAAAATTGCAGATATATACTTCTACGTATACATCTATTAAAATAACTCTTCTTCAATCTAATAAGAGTACTATTATTTATGTTACTTTATAGATCTTGTCATATGATAGTACCACCAGTCTCCTGGGCTGTGGCTATGATCACTTTCTAAATATATGTTTATAGGCACTACCCTGCATATTGTGATAGTATCTCCCTCCTTGAGAAGGTGTGGTCTTGAGCTCTAATTTTAACTTCTGCATAGTCTTATTCATAAGGTTATCTTGAGGTTAGAATATAGTTGACGAGTTTGTTAGTAGTGCCGTTGGTGATAGCTTTACTTCCACAGCAGTCGGCCTTTCATTTTTTTACACTGCCCTGCATTGCCGCGTTATGCTGCAGATGTACATATCAATAATTGTTAACTCATTCTTATATTCAATTAAGTTATCCAATAAAGCTATTTAAGAGTATTATTGAAGGAATAAAACAATCTAGTTATAAATTTGGGCTAGCAGTAATATCTTGGTGAATCATTGGCAATATTTCGCTTATACCTCGCTTATGTCCAGAACAATGTAATGTAGAACGTAGACGCCTCTCCTCAGGCACAGGGTGACCAATGCATTAGAAGGGTCCTAATTTTTGTGGCGGGGTATTTCATGGTTGTGGTGGAACACTCGGTGGTTCGTGACCGTTTTGAGATAGCTGAGTCCCCTACTCTGGCTAAAATGGGATCATTGTATCAAAACAGCCTCGGTCGGGTTTGGTTAATTATTCACTTGGGCTTAACTTCAGTCACATATTGCCTAATAATCCCCGCGCTGCGAGGGAAGTTCAAGCCTCAGCGCTGTGAACCCTTGCTGTAGCTCTTGCAACCACCGATTGCGGGTATAAATGCCACAGGTAAGGGACAACAGACCAGCTGAAAGGTTCTCATAACAACCTTATTCCTTCGTTGATAATAGCTCCTTATGTATTAATTGTTGTCGAAACCAGATGGAATGCATGATCATGGAAAGTAAATGCTAGAAGGGCCAGCTTTGTTACTGTAAACTCTTCGTCGCTTTATCCTGACTGATCTGGGAAATCCCGCATGGAGGTTGACTAAGTGCCAGGCCATGTCAGTTATCCGTCCTGTCAAACCCTAAGCCCTAACTCGGGACACAGGTCACGTGCCGGACAAGCAATAATACGTATTAGTTAAAATTATCGGAATAAACTACTAAAAATTAAGAATTTATATCCTGTATATTACATATTTCTTAATTAATAAACTTTATGTTTAATTTGTTAAAGGGGTTGTCTTAATTCACCCACGTAATCTAACAATAATGCAACAATAGATTACTCTTCTCGACCAGCCGCATTCGACATTATTCATCACCAATCAGATACCTCGCGTTCGAACACTTCCATTCTGAAAGACCGGTGAATTATCGCAGTGCCAGCAGAGAGCATTAAATAAAGATCGAAGACGGCCGATTAAAATAGAACGCAAGTGCTGACCACTGCAAGCGGAGATCCGCGCTGTTTTGGGGACGAAAACAGCGGAGACTTTAACCTGTCCCGCCCGGGTCAATTTTGTCCTGGAGATTTGGGAGATTGGCCTGCAGGGGCCTCGCACTTAGTGCTGCTGTGTAATTACCATTGGCCGTGGTGATTGGCAGCATGTCAGCCCTGGAAACGCCAGCCCGTGCTTATTGGCTTGTTGGCTACTTGGCTACTGGCACCGCCGGCCGCAGACAACACTAACAGCCCGGTGACTCCTCAGGCTAATCCGACTGCTACTCCGCCTCAGGCCTAGCACTGCGTATCGACTGCCTGTTTCTTTCATTCTGGAATAATCTCACTCTCAGCTACCATGGCCTGACCTCTCGACCTCGCTCTCGCCCTCGTCCATCTCTGCGAGTTGTTCCTGACCTGAAAGATCCGGCGGTGCCGGCGGGGACACGAGCCTCCGCTAATTCACTCGAATCACTACGCCATAGAATCAATTAATCAATTGCCTGCCTGGCGAACATCACTCACTATCCACCATGGCCATCCGATCGTTTGCGACGCTGCTGTCAGTATCGTCGCTGCTCTTGAACCTGACGCCTGTGCTCGCCGCCGATACTTTCACCTTCATCCCGACCGCTGCGTCGTCGACGTTCCCTGCCTGCGGTATCTCCTGTTCCCTGCTGCAGCAGGCTCAATCAGCATGTATTCCGCCTGCCGTGGCCGTATCAAACGACGACACCACCTACGTCAATTGCTTTTGCGGCTCCCAGTACCTCCTTGGCCTGAAAACTTCCGGAGCCGTGTGCTCGACATGCACCTCCCTGTCTGACCAGGCCCTGTTGGTACAATGGTACGATGGATACTGTAACGGGAATTGGAAAACTACAACCGCAGCAGCTGCAACAGCAACCTCGACATCCTCGACCACAAGCGCAACCAACTCGGCGGCCACTTCGACATCAACAGCCGCCCCGTCCAACGACGGTACTACGGGCTCTGCAGCCGGGTCATCAAACCAGAGCTGGTGGGTTTGAAACAAACTGCCCACGTCAGTAGTCTACACTAACAATGCTATGCAGGTTCTCAACACACTGGAGATGGATCGTCATGCTGATCGTTCTGATCATCGGCTTCACGCTTCTCGGTGTAGGCGGTGTATGGCTGAAGAAACGTCTCGACGCGAAACAGCCAGGGCTGTACCACGGCGACGACCGCAATAACAGCAGCCGGCCCTCGCGGTCTCCCGCCGCCGCCGCCGGGTTCATGATCCCCAGCAGCCTGCGCAACATCTCGTCGCGGAACAGCATGAACAACACCGCCGCGACGACGACTCCGAACAATGCCAGTACACGGAACGTGAACTACCAGAACATGAACGCCACCATGGATGCGCACAACTATCCCACGCAGCAGCCGAATATGTCGATGACAAGCTTGTCGAATAATCGTCCTGAGATGTGGGGACCGCATCAGGCCACTACGCATACGCGCGGTTTCGACCATATCACACCCGTCGATGACGCTGCGTATGGCGCCGGGTCGGATATTTCGAGTCGATCACATAACCGTCGATTGAGTGTGAATTCAGCGGCTGGTTTGCATAGGGGTCATGAGCCTGTCAGCCCAGCCAGTCCGATCCAGTGATTTTTGTGCGTTTTTCTTATGAACTTTATCCGGAGAAAATATCTCTACCGCGACAATCTTGTCATGTCATCGTCCTTTTTTTTGTCTATCATTTCTGCATCTAGTTAGGTTATTTAGTCAGGGTTTTATCTGGGTTTTGTCGATCGATCTCGGGTGTATGTAAGGGGTGAATACATACCACTGTTCTACACGTGTAGTGTTTATTTTTGATATGTGTCCGGCGTTAATATTGAATGGAATGCACCTTCTGCATGTGCAGGATTGGAATCAAAAACACGTCGACATCTCCCTTGGATGTGCATATGTAATCATTGATCATTGCAAATATCCAAGCGCATCAACACCATAGTATGGGCTTTTTAAATAAAAGACTAGATAGGCAGACACTATATAAAATAATGCACAGCTCATGGTACGCTAATACTAACAATCTTCACGTCCTCCTCCGGCCGCTCCTTCTTCACCTTGACATTCTCAATACGATGCACAACATCCAATCCCTGCACCGCCCTGCCAAATATTGTATGTTTCCCATCCAACCACGGCGTCTTCTCCGTCGTAATAAAGAACTGCGAGCCATTACTGTTTGGTCCTGCATTCGCCATGCTCAGCGTGTACGGTTTATCGTGTTTGATATTCGGCGAGATTTCGTCTTGGAATTCTCCACCCCAGATACTCTCACCGCCCGTCCCGTCGCCGAGCGGATCGCCGCCTTGGATCATGAATTTGCGGATGACGCGGTGGAAGATGGTGTTGTTGTAGTACCCCTGGCGGGCGTGGGTAACAAAATTCTCGACTGCGAGAGGCGCGAGTTGAGGGAAGAGACGGAGATGAATGTCGCCCATTGTCGTGTGCAAGATGGCAGAGGTCCCCGATTGAATTTGTTTCTGTTTCGACTCTTGAGCTGAGATGTCGCTGTCACGCGGCTTTTCATTTTGGATGTCACGCATTGATTTCGAGACTTCGGTCTCGTTAGTGAACATATAGAAGCGCACTTTGCCGAACCCGGTCGAGACGAGTATCGGGTCGCGCTCTTCGGCTTCTTGGAGGAGAGGGTTGGCACTTGCTGCCATGCTGACGGTCACGACGCCCTTTTTCTGCGGCTGGCCTTGATACATAGTCAAATCTAAGGCGCGGAAGGGCTCGTCTTTGCCAAATACGCGGACGACGCGGTTGGTGAAGGTGTTGATACACTTGATGCCGTGCAGAGAGCCATAGAGAATGAAATGGCCAGACTCGTCGAATGCGACTTTCACTTTTGGCTTGGTTGCGGGATTCTCAAGCTCGCGCTCTACGGCCATTCGCCGCCCGAATTCGACTTCCTCCAGTCTTTCCAGGGCCGTGCCGGCTTGCTGCATATCAGTGATTGTATTCAGCGACTCATCATATGTTCTATACAATTTTCCAGACTGAAAGTCGAAGATCCGCACTTGGCGGTCTGGGAATGAAAATGTCGCAAACTGGTGACCTGACGGAGAAATAGTGATAGATGAAGGGACAGATTTATTTTTTCGAAATTCGAATAGACTTGTTGATGATTTCAGTTCAAATACGTTATCTGGCTTGGAAAAGTCGTCGGATGGCTGCCAGTATTCAATCATCCCGGCTTCGTCGGCAGATACGACACAGTCGAATGCGTTGTTGAATGCGATCGCCACGACAGGCTTTCTATGAATTGATGATAGTTTATGTAAGGGCGCTGTGTTTTCTCCACGGCCGTCGAATATTGATATCGTAGAGCTAGCCTCGTCGGTGACGGCTAAGAGAGGGAGAGACGCGCCTCGTCGATGGACCCAGCAGACGCAGCGCGGGGAGAATTCCAAGTTGATCATGGCAAGCAAATCTAAACAATATCAGTATTGAGACACCTGTAAAAAGAACCAAACATACCAAACGTAATCACATCGAAAATCTTGATCGTCTTATCGGTCCCTACTGTCGCAAAGCTCCTCCCATCCGCACTGACAGACGTACTCGTAATCTCGCCAGCGTGCGCGCGAAACTCCTTCACGAATTCCACCCCAACAGCCATCTTTTTCCAGAACTTGACGACGCCATCAATCGAGCTTGTGATCAGGAAGTCTGTGGAAGGCGTGAAGTCCACATACGCCAGTTGTTCCCTGTGCATGAGAGACTTGGAGTAGCGCGGCGACATGGGGAGCGCATTCACGTAGACCTTCTCGAAGGCAAGCTTTCGGCGTTTTTTCTTCGGCGCAGCTGCAGCCGGCAGTGCGGGACCAAAGTCATCGTCGGATGATGAGCCTGCGCCTGTATTTCGAAGCTGTTAGATGTGTAGAAAGAAGCGCAGAGTGGGATGAAGACTCACCATTTTCGTCGTCGACCACGTCTGACAACGGCCGTTTGCTGGGTGACGCAGCAGCTTCCTCTGGCGCAGCCATTGATTGACTGTGAAGCTCGAGTTAATGTCGAGGTCGACTATCGAGGGAATAATAACCAAATACCTTGTGTAGATGCGGCCGAGTGAAGAACAAGCGCGGAGGCTCTTTCCCTCGAAATAACTAGCGGAGACAACGCACGGGCCAGGCGAGGTGCTCTCCCAACTTTTTGCCGAAAATAAGAGTGTTACGACTCCCCGCCATTGATTCCACCATACTACACACTCCCCAGCACACACCATGGCCTCGAATAATCCGACCCAGATTTTTGCCGATGATGTCGTCGAGGAGAAGGGCGAGAACGCCCGTCTTTCTGCCTTTGTCGGTGCTATTGCTGTCGGAGACCTGGTCAAGTCGACATTAGGGCCTAAGGGCATGGACAAGATATTGCAGTCTGCGTATGTGCTGATGGTGCTGCTGGTGGAGGGATTTTAGCTGACGAATACTTCTGGTAGATCTACTGGTGAAATCCTGGTCACAAATGACGGCGCTACGATTCTCAAGTCGATTGCGCTCGACAATGCGGCCGCCAAGGTACGACACGCTCTTGTATGAAGCATCGGGTGGGCAGGGCTAATAATGAAATGATATTCAGGTCCTAGTCAACATTTCCAAGGTGCAAGACGACGAAGTCGGTGATGGAACAACGTCTGTCGCGGTTCTGGCAGCCGAATTGCTCAGGCAAGCGGAGATCCTCGTCGACAAGAAGATACACCCACAAACCATCATCGACGGATACCGGATAGCCAGCAAGGCTGCTCTGGAAGCGCTCGAGAAGTCGGCCGTGGACCGCAGCGGAGACCCCATTGCCTTCCGCAAGGACTTGCATGCTATTGCCCGCACAACTCTCAGCTCCAAGGTTCTCGCCCAGGACCGCGAGCACTTCGCAACGCTCGCCTGCGATGCTGTGCTCAGAATGAAGGGATCTACTGATCTGAGCCATATCCAGATTATCAAGAAGGCTGGTGGGAAGCTCTCAGACTCGTATCTTGATGAAGGGTTTATTCTCGATAAGAAGTTTGGCGTCAATCAACCGAAGCGATTGGAGAATGCCAAGATTTTGGTTGCGAACACGGCGATGGACACAGACAAGATCAAGATTTTTGGCGCACGCGTCAAGGTAGGGTTTATAGATTACTTCTGAGTTATATATTCTAACATTCATATAGGTTGATAGCACTGGTAAACTGGCTGAATTGGAAAAGGCCGAGCGGGAAAAGATGCGCGCTAAGGTTGAGAAGATCAAATCACACGGCATTAACTGCTTGTATGTTGAGCCAGACGTAAACACCTATTAGATAGGAGCTAACACTATTTAGTGTCAACCGACAGCTTATCTATAACTGGCCCGAGCAGCTTTTCAGTGAAGCTGGAATTGCCAGCATCGAGCATGCAGACTTCGACGGTATGTATCCATTCCGCTTAACACTGTAGGAAATACTGACTGTAGTAGGTGTTGAACGACTAGCCCTTGTCACAGGCGCTGAGATTGCGTCGACATTCGACAATCCCGACCAGGTCCAACTGGGTTACGCTGAGGTCATTGAAGAAGTCATAATCGGAGAAGATACACTGCTACGTTTCTCTGGAGTTACCAAGGGCGAAGGTTTGTCTCAACCTCCATGTTTTACTATACATGATAGACACTAAGAAAATGCAGCCTGCACTATCGTTTTACGCGGATCCACGGAACAGCTTCTTGACGAGGCTGAGCGGTCTCTCCACGACGCCCTCGCCGTTCTTTCACAGACCGTCAAAGAGCCCAAGGTCACCCTTGGTGGTGGATGTGCTGAAATGATAATGAGTTTGGCGGTGGAGCATGCTGCACAAAACACAACTGGAAAGAAACAGTTGGGTATGTACTCTAATATTGCTATCTATAGTCCAGCTAATGACGTCTTCCAGCTGTTGATTCATTCGCCCTCGCCCTACGACAACTTCCTACCATTCTAGCAGACAATGCTGGTCTCGACAGCTCAGATCTCGTCGCCCGACTCCGACAGGCCGTCAGCAAAGGCATGTCCAGCTCCGGCCTCGATCTGTTCAACAACAAAATCGGCAACATGGCCGAACTCGGAGTCGTAGAGGCGTACAAACTGAAGAGAGCCGTTGTCAACTCAGCTTCTGAAGCCGCGGAGCTTCTGCTGCGTGTAGACAATATCATCCGTGCGGCTCCTCGGCGGCGTGAGCGTATGTAGGGGTTGTACGAGTGAACTGAAATGTTAATGGTGAACCAATAAAATGAAAAGCAGGAAGCTGGAATGGATGACTCTTTTGCATGACACATGTGCTATAAAAAATAGATATGCCGATAATACCAGGCCCTGGCCGTTCTACAAGCTACTACCATTTACATGTAGTGTAACAACAAGTCATTGAATAGCAAGTTTCATTCATTTTGTATTTACATATCATCCATTATAGCACAGCCAAAGCTGCCTCGATGAACTCGCTACATCAAATGCCAAATTCCAGACCAATGCGTTATCATGTCACTGCAACTCATACCTCGGATGCGGCGTGCTCCCCGGCATTTCCATCTGCCCAGGACTCCAGCTCTCACCATGCAGCTCTGGTTGCTGCATGTGCTCGTGGTACTGATACTGCACGTTCTGCTGCTGACTCTGCGCGTATCCACCCAACTCCTGCGCTCCTCCGCTTGGATAATGATAATATCCCTGCTGCGTAGCCTGCAACTCATTCGCCCCGTTCGATGGGGTACTAACAGGCGACACCGGCGCCGCAACAGCTGTCGATGCATTATGGCTCGATGCAGACTGCTCATTCTGTAACGGCGAGACCGACCGTTCCTGCTGTGATTGTTGCTGGACACTCGCCAGTTGCGCGGCATCCATCTCGCTCTTATTATTATACATCCCTTTCTCATCAACCTCGCCTGACGACGGCGCGATAGGCGCGTATGCCGTTGTTGCTGTCGCCGGAGTGTTAGGGCTCGGCCGTCCCCGTGTCACGCACTTGTATATCGCAAATGCCACCGCCGCGATCAAGAGTAACCCGCCCACGCCGCTGCCAACGCCAATGCCGATCTTCGCGCCTGTGCTGAGGCCGCTGCTGGTTTTTTGGTTGGAGGTAGTCAGGCCGGGGATTGAGGAGGACGAGCCCGAGCTCGAACCGGAATCTGATCCTGAGCCGGACGACGATGATGAGGTATCCGTTGCTGCGGCTGCTGCTGTGCCGTGGTAGGTGTATGTGACTGTCGCAATATAGGTGCCGGAGACTGAGACGGTGGCGGTGACTGTCGCGGGGGCTTGTGCTGCGGTGATTGTGCTGTCTGATGCGTCTGCACTCGCGATCAATAAATTTCCCTTCTCATCATAATTCTTCACACAGACACAGAGCACAAACCTGTTCCTGACGTTGCTGTCGCTGTTGGTATCGCCGTATCTATCGCACTCGCATCTGTCGCACTCACGCCATACGTGCTACTACACGCCGTCGCAGCGACACTGGTAACCGTGACGTCGTATGCTCTGCAGAACCCCTGACTCTCCGACCAAACCACTAACGCTCTGATCAGTCATCACACATCTGGTAAAACAGGGGGTAAGCTAGACGTACGCGAAACATCGTAAGAATCGCAGGCGGAGCGCACGCAACACGACGAGAGTTGATGGAACAGGGAGCTGGCGCAGAAACAGCCGTAGTCCGTCGAATCGCAGTTTGTTGTGTAGAGTGCGGCTTGTTCAACGCATGGTTGCTTGAAATAGATGTTAGCGGCCAATTGCGTGTGTTGGAGAGGGGTATACATACCGCACATTTAGGTAGGAAGCTCCAGACTGAGGACTGTGCGGTTGAGCTTGCTATCAAGGATAGCAGGTACAGTAAACGTCGTGACATGGTGTAATCAGAGTGCTTTTGCTGCTGGCATACGGCAATATCAACGAATTGATATTGATATGTACTCCGTACATGTGAGAAAAGGAAAAGGATGGAGATCAGCCTCGCTCGCGCCTCGTCAAAGTTTATAAAAAAGCTTCTCTAGTCTCAGATCTCCCCCAGTCGAGATATTCCAGCCACGGGCCCATATCGATTCAGCCTCAGGAGGCACACCACGCCGCACCGCCCCTGTACACGTGTAGTTGGACTGCTGATAGTACTACGCTAGTTGACTCGGAGATATCGATGCGTACAAGTTCGGCGTTTTTAGATCGAACCGTGACCAATAACTAGTAAAGCGTAAGTAGAGGAGAGTATATTGATGCTCCAAAATAGGAAAGGGTTGAAGATTAGGGCCAGCGGGAACAAGTGTGCATGCTAGCTCCCTGGATATGGTTAGTACAGCCGATGCGGCCAATCGACGTGCAAAGCACTAAGTCGAGCGTGGTAAATAGAGACGAGGAGGCGTTCGCGTAGAATCAGCCTCGTCCGCATTAATATTGTCTATAACTTGAAGGAGTTCTCTCGCGGTATATGACTTGTTGGGGATAGCAGCAATTGATGGTATTAACATTATATTCAAATTTTGAAGGCAGAAGAAGGATGTCCATTTTCAAGAAACTGAATTCGAAATATTAACCATATACACATCTAATTAGTACTATCTAGCCTCGATCTACAATTAGTGGGCATGCAACCCATCCGTCGCAAGCTTCTTTCGGCACGCCTCTAGCATACGCGCCTGTTTAGCGATATCGCCTAGTCTGGAGATAACCTCCTTATTCCCATCCGTGAACGTGAACATCGCATACGGAATATCGACCTCTCGACAAAACTCTATAACCAGCTCCTGAGTACGACGGAGATTGTGTCGCGGAATACGAGGGTAGAGATGATGAATCGCCTGGAATTGCAGACCCCCGTGGAAGAAGTCCAGCCATGTCGGACAGTCAACGTCCATGGTAGTACGCAGCATTTTCTGAGCAAACGACTCGTGGATACCGAGATCAGCGGTCGACATGGCGAAGTGGGAAAGGGTGATTTGCACGTGTAATGGCGACTGTGCCATATGGGAAATGATGATGAACATGATCCGGTTGCTCCAGTCTGGGATGGAGCAATAGACCAAGCAGTATCCATACCAATACCAGAAGAACGCTTGCCCGACAAATTCATAATAGGTATGCCACCAAGCTGGGCCTCTTTTCGGGGCCTTTTTCGAGAGCAGATAGGACCAGCTCAGGACGTAGAGATTGAACCGCCCAAAGAGCATGAAGATGTAGTACATATAGTGTTGGTATTTGAGGACTACCTGGGCAACAGGATCATAAGCCATGACGCGGTTATAATATGTGCTGCGGAGACTGCCGAGAAGTCGATGAGAGATGGCGAAGAAGGGCATGTGCTGGATATCAGGATCATGCTCGGGAGCATTGGTCACGATGTGATGTACGTTGTGGTTATGCTTCCACCAGCACAAGCTCAGTCCGCCGATATAGCTGGCGATTGTCATGCCGATCGTCGAGTCAACCTGAAAGTTATGGGTAATGCCCATATGGCCGGCATCGTGAACAGTGAAGACGAGTTGCTGCCACATGAAGCCCATAAAAAATGCTGATGTCCAGTACCAACCCAGTCGCAGAAATGTGTATGAAAGCGCCGCGAGCAGGCTGTACCGAATGCTCTCTTGGAAGTAGGCCCAATAATTGCAGTTGTAGAGTCCCTCGGCACGAATGCGGTCGTTCAGCTCCCGATATTTCTGTACGATAAAGTCTTGCGTGTCTGCATCGAGGGATGGGTACTTGTCGAGGTCAAATACAATCTCCTCTTTTGTGCGGGCATCGAGGAAAGAAGGGTGCGGGTTCGCATCTTTACCGCCAGACGGGGTTGGCGGCGGAGATGATGAAGCTGTTGAGACTGATGCCTGTCTTTGGCGACGTCTTGTCTCCCCGATGGGCTCGTCGAAAACGGGGGATGACTCCCGTGTACTCGGCTGGCTTGAGTGGTCTGATTCGGAAGTGTCATTCGGGTCGTAGGGACGGAAGTGACCACCTTGAATAGGCGGGAGGAAATTCACCCACCGGCCTTCGACTCGACCGATCTGGTATGCGTGCATGCGTTGGCAGGCCTCTGCAGAGTGGAGTCTATATAACGATGACAATTGTCAATAAGGGTGGGTGTTGGGGTCCCTCAGGGAGTAAGCATACGCAAGTATCTCATCGGTGGCATCTCGACCGACCATATGCTTGATCGACTCCTGCCCGCCGGGGTGGAACATCAGCCAGGCATCTGCTTTCAAGACTCGTCCTTCGAAAATGAAAACATGGCGGCCGTCGGCGATGAGGCCCTCGATCTCTCTTCGTGAGAGGATGCGTTGTTTACGGTCTGACAGACCAGGTCGGAGCGGCTTTGCCATCGTTCCAATATACCACTGAAACAAAAAGAAAAAGAAAAAGCTCTATTGCAAGATCATCGGAGCAGCGACCAGTCACGAATTGGGAGTTTATAAGTTGGATGTGTTGTAGTTGATGAAATTGAGCGGGGAGTCCGGCCACTCCGGCGTGGGACGACGTTGGGATGCTGGAGGTTGTGGTCGGGGCCGACAAATAGCGAGTAACAACAGCAGTCACTAGTGTGAATCAATGGGATGATTGATGATTGGCAGGGAGAGAGAGGAGCTGCTGATCACCGCTTGTTCGGGGCTCGGCTGTCGCCTGTACTTGTACAGGAAGTTGTAGGTTGTAAGTTAAGGCGTAACGGTGTAGTAGAGTAAAATACTACTAGTACACAGTCAAGGTCTGGCAGGAGATGCACGGTGTTGGTAAAAGAGGCGGCAGGACCAGGCCCGCACCTGCTCTTGCCGCACGCACCTGTAACACCCATCCCCGCCGCCCTAAGCGCTAAATCCTAATATTAATTAAGCTGTAAGTTATCATCCACTCCAGGCTTCCTTGTTACTTTTTGTTACACCCGAGAACTAAATACTGCGCCAGCCATTGGTATCAGCAGTGACAACCAACAATAGTACATGCATGAGTAGTGCACTACGCGTGTCATGACTTCTGAGGTACTGTGCAACTCTATATCGTTCCAGTATTATGCCCGCTGATGATCATAGACATTGACTCGCCAGTGGCTGGAGTGGGATCAGGTGTGTGCTCTGTATTTTCTGCATCTCAGGCGCCTTCCGATGCTGATGAGCTTAGGACCTAGAAACCAGAGCAGAAATCCTGCAATTGAAAGACGACGACAATGATGCAGAGCTCGAGAAAAGACTGCGGAACCGTAAGCTAAATCAAAACTATATGAATCTACTTGCTGATAACCATACCAGGAATCCAATTCGGCACCGCTGGTCTCCGTGGCAAGATGCAAGCTGGGTTCGCCTTCATGAACTCGCTCACCGTGATCCAGACATCGCAGGGCCTTGCTGAGTTTCTCCATGACCATGATGCGGACCGCGCAGCTACCAACGGCGTCGTTGTGGGAGCTGATGCGCGGCGGAACTCGGAAAAGTACGCCAGTCTCGTGGTGAACGCTCTGCTTGCCAAGGGCCACAAGGTCTGGTGGCTTGGGGGTAACGTGCAGACTCCTTTGGTTTCTTTTGCCACATTGCAGTATGGAGCTGCAGCAGGGGTGATGATTACCGCGAGCCATGTGAGTCTGTCCAAAACAATCTAAGCAGCCGCTAATGTGCAGTAGAACCCTGCCCAGGATAACGGCTACAAAGTGTAAACAAGCTTCCTTATCTTAGGTATAGTCCGTGATCTGTAATGCTAACTCCATATAGCTACCTTCAAAAAGGCGTTCAAGTAAACTCGCCTAACGACGCAAAGATATCACAGTACATAGAGCATAACTTGACTCCGTGGGAAGGTGCATGGGAACCTCTCCAGACACATATTGACGGCGCAGAGAAGAAAGGATTCGACAATTCTTCGAATCAATTCCAATATCGCTACCTGGAGAAAATTGACCGCAGCTGGAGGACCCAGATATGCAATTATGCTGTGAGTTGTTTACCTTTTAAAACCAGCAAGCTCTAGAATTCTAATACAGAATGGCAGCAATCCACCGTGACTGGAGATCTGAAACCCTCACCATTTGTCTACACCCCTCTTCATGGCACAGGAGGACTCTGCCTACCTAAAGTAGTGGAGGAAATCGGCCTTGGCTCGCATATGATCTCCGTTGACAAACAATTTAAACCAGATGGAAATTTCCCTACCGTTCCATTTCCTAACCCAGAAGAGGATGGTGCTCTAAATCTATCTATGCTTTGCGCTGATGAACATGGTCGCGATCTTATCATTGCAAACGACCCTGACGCAGATCGTTTTGCCGTGGCACAAAAGATTCCAGGGTGAGTTGTTCCCTCTAATCAGCAATATTAAGCTAACATCAACAAGCCGCAAAACCTGGTATACTTTCACAGGAAATCAAATCGGCGTCCTCCTCGCCTCTCATATCCTCGAAAATCTACCCCAACCCAGTAAGAAAAAAGGTTACTACATGCTCAACAGTACTGTGTCCAGCAGCATGCTCTCCAAAATGTGCGCCGAATACGGAGTCTCTCACCGCGAAACCCTGACAGGGTTCAAGTGGATGGGCAACATCACCAACAACCTACAAGGGGAAGGCTACGAAGTACCCTTCGCCTTTGAAGAAGCGCTTGGATACATGTTTCCTGATGTCTGTTTCGACAAGGACGGAATCACCGCCGCCGCTGTGTTTCTGTTAGCAGCCGCACAATGGCGCAAACAACGCGACGTCACGCCTTGGGACAGACTGCGTGAATTATACCAACTGTATGGGCATCATGAAACACTCAACAACTATCTCCGCTCGCCGGACCCGAAAACCACGGCAGAGTTATTTGAAAATATCCGTGCAGGGAAATGGGCTAAGGGGGAGCGGTTTGGAAGGTTCAGGATTTCCCGTTGGAGAGATATGACGCTAGGCTATGACTCTGATACCCCAGATCATAAGCCCGAGTTACCGGTCGACAAGAGCAGTCATATGCTGACACTTTGGCTGAATGAGGACATCAAATTTACGCTGAGAGGGTCGGGGACGGAGCCGAAGGTCAAGTGTAAGATCCCCCTTTCCGCCACGTTTGCCGGAAATATAAGCTGATGTGGTGTAGTCTACATCGAGTCATGGAACCATGACCAGAGCAAAGCTATAGAAACGGTCTGCGATGTTTTGAAGGCTATACTGTCGGAATGGATCAAACCATTTGCGCCAACAATGACATACGCAAAGACCATGTCCACCTCGTCGTCAGAAATGCTCGAGTTATGAATTACGAAAGTCTGGCCATAATTCCGTCCCAATAACGAAAAGAGGAAGAAAAAATCTTACGATAATATACCAATAACAAATAAAATGTTGATTATAGAATTCTACATGAAGGATGTATAACAAGGGGAATTTTTCCTCGCCGGTGCAGCTAGCAACAAGTAATACATGACATGGCGACTACCACTGACTCGGAAACAGAAAATAGTAGCATCACGTCGACAGGGATCAATCAACGCGAGATAATCGTTGGTCTAGAAGTGGATGGGCTTGGAGTAGGTGGCCATGGCAGCCTCCTTGAAGGCTTCGGCCAGAGTTGGGTGAGCGTGGCATGTGCGAGCGACGTCTTCGCTGGAAGCGCCGTATCTAGATGCAAATTTAGTATTATTAAGGTATTATTTGGGTGAGGAACGTACTCAATGGCAAGAGTGGCTTCGGCAATCATCTCTCCGGCGCCAGGGCCGAGGATGTGGACACCCAGGATACGGTCTGTTTCAGCATCTGAGAGAAATTTAACCTGTAAAAGGCGTTAGAAGAGGTGCGCCATAGCGAGTTAATAGTCTAACTTACCAAGCCTTCGGTCTCGAGGTTGGTCTTGGCACGGCTGTTGGCAGAGAAGGGGAAGGTTCCTATAGTAGTCAGCGGACTGATAAATGGAGGCCTGTGTTAAGAAATCTCACCCTTGTTGTACTTGACGCCGGCCTTCTTTAGTTCCTCCTCATTCTGGCCAACCCAGGCAACTTCGGGGTGGGTGTACATGACGCTGGGGATGGCAGCGTAGTTGACGTGGCCGTGGCCCTTGGTGATGTACTCGATGGCAGCAACGGCTTCTTCCTCGGCCTTGTGGGCAAGCATAGGGCCGAATGTGCAATCTAGAAGTGATCAGCTAGCGATAGTGAAAGGGAGGAGATAGATACTGACCTCCAATCACACGAATGTGGGAGGACTTTGTGCGGTACTCCTGGTCAATGACCAATCGTCCCTTCTCATCAACCTCAAGGCCAACATTCTCCAACCCGAGACCGGTAGTGTACGGCCGACGGCCAATGGCAACCAAAACGGAGTCGGCATCGAGGGTCTGTTCCTTGCCACCTTTGGCAGCCTCAACATTGAGGGCAAGGGTGGAACCGCTGGCATCGCCGCTGGTGACTTTCGTGTTTGTCAGGAACTTGATGCCCTATTTTACCAATGTATTAGCACTGCCTCGAAAGAGAATGGCCTATATAAACCCACCTGCTTCGCGAGAATCTTCTGAGTAGCCTTGGCGATTTCGGCGTCCATACCAGGACCGCCGATTTGGCCAAGGAATTCCACAACAGTAACTTCCGATCCTAATCTGCTCCAGACAGAGGCCTAATCTGATTAGCGTCGTTTGTAACCCAAGGGAACAGTATTTATTTACCATCTCCAACCCGATGATACCTCCACCGATGACGACCATCTTCTTAGGAACTTCCGTAAGGGACCTGTTGCATTGTAAGATTGGTTCACAGACCCAGAGCGAACCACTTACAAAGCACCAGTGCTAGTGATGATTCTCTTTTCGTCGATTTCGAGGCCGGGGAAAGGTGTCGACTCGCTACCAGTAGCAATGATGATGTTCTTTCCGCGAAGAGTGCGCTCGCCTCCGTCAAGAAGGTTGACCTTGACCTCGTTCTCGTTGACAAAGCTTCCGGTTCCCTTGACATACTCGGCACCATTCTTCCTACACAAACAGACAATCGATATCAGTATGGTTATAATTCTCCATAGTCATTTGCTGAAAAAACGAACTTTAGAAGAAACTCAACGCCCTTTGTGAGACCCTCCACGGACGTATCCTTCGCCTTCATCATCTGCTCAAGGTTTAGCTTGACATCTCCGACTTCGATACCGCGCTTTTTTGTGTCGTGCAGGATCTGATGGTACAGGTGCGAGTTGTTCAACAGCGACTTGGAAGGGATACATCCGACGTTCAAGCAGGTACCGCCGAGCGCGCCACGTTTCTCGATGCAAGCAGTCTATGAAATTTCCCAACTGTCAGCGGACTTCCTAACTATTTTGAATTTCCCGCGGTGAATAAAAATGACGCACCTTCAAGCCCTCCTGTCCAGCCTTGATGGCGGCGACATAGCCAGCGACACCACCGCCAATGATGATGAGATCATGTTCATCAGCCTCCGAAGCGTATCCCCGTCGACCGAAAAGAGCAAGAGAAGGAGCAGGGACGACTGGAGAGGGGACGGCCACAGGTCTGGCTGTGCGGAGAAGAGTCCGCGCCGGAACCATTGAACGGAACATGGCGCAGATGGATAAATGTGCAAGAGAAAGGAAACCCCTCCGAGAGATAGTCGTAGACACGGAGGATAAATACCCAAAAAGCAAACAGGGATTGGGTGTGCAGAGAAGCAGTGTTGTTGTGGCGGGTGTTACAGAACACTTAAAGGTCAGCGATGTTCGATGTTGAAGCAAAAGCTACCCGTATTGTTGGCGTATTGTCATCCGCGTAATCAACTACATCATCCGCCAATCAGCGCTCGCCATCCTACAGCTCCGGTTACGGTACGGTTGCCCGGTGTGAAAAATACCGCATACAGTCGGCCCGATCAACGGAAGCCTCCGGCTCCACGGTGAAGGCAAAAGCGCAGCGGGATTCTACGGGGTATAACTAATCAATATATCGCTGTAGATTGGTATTTTGTACGATTTGGACGAACGATCTAAGCGAGTAGATGATCATCTGTCATAGCTTCGAGTCCCGACCTGGCCATATCCATATTCACCGCTTCATACTGTCGCAACAACTCTACATGTCCTTTACAGAGTCAACGAAATCTCCCCTCGCGTGGGCTTGCCCGTCTCTGGATCGATAACACTATTCTTGCGACTGCCAGCAGCAACCAGATCCGGATTCTCAGCCTTCAATCTGGCAAAAGTGCTTTCTGCATCCCAGTTCCATGGCGTGTCGGCGGCGAATAGCAGGTCCATGTCTTCGAGCGTGCGCTGATTGCTTTCCGGGTACAGTGCCCAGACCATTGGGATGGTGATCACGTTGGCAATGCCGAATATGTATAGAGTCTTTTCGCCGATTTTGCCGAACATCGTTGGACAGAGGAGGGTCTGAATATTTGTTAGCGGTCATTCTAGTCCCATACATGTAGTTATATATTTCGCTGTCAGGTGGCGAGAAGGTAAGATACATACCAACCAGCCGTTGCCAATACTCCATCCAACAACACCCCATGCATTTCCACGAGCACGTACGGCTAGAGGGAAGATCTCAGCTGGGTACAGCCAGGGCACAGTCAGCCATGTCGCCCCGAAGACGAAGGTGAAAATGAACACCATGGAAGCTGCCGCGGCTCCGTATTGTGATGCCTTGACGGTGTCTCCTGCTGCGGTAGCATTGATACCGAGTCGTGAGAAGCCGCCGGCAAGGAACATGGCAATTCCTTGTGCAACTGAGCCCCAATAAAGAGTCCATCTTCGGCCAATCCGGTCCAGTGTAAAAACACAGATCAGCGTTGCAAACTAACAACTGTTAGTGGCGGTTGTAGGAAATTGAAATATTTGATGTACCATGTAAAACACGTTATTTAATCCACTGATCCACTGGCTCTTTTCGGCATTGAAACCAGCGATTGAAAAGATAGTCGGCGCATCTGAATATCTTGTTAGAATGGTAAAATCACATGGCTGATATATGCAGAACATACACACTGTCACACCAGCAATGCCGACCCATTCCTGCATGATCTGTAGCCAGATGACTAATTGAACGCGGCGCCCAAGATGCAGTTTTCCCGACTTGTATCCAAACAGCATAGCCAAATACGAGTGGTTATGAGCAATGGACTTTTCCAGTTCAGCGATATTCAGGATATCGCGAAACTCGGAATCTGCTCTGACGCGGTCCTCCTCAGAGTCGCCACGTAGACGGCCGAGGATATATCGAGCTTCGTCTTCTCGCCCCATCTTGACCAACCAACGCGGCGATTCTGGGAAGAACCAGACGGCAGCGAAGAGGACAAGGAGGAAGATGATCTGGAAGGCAATCGGGAACCGCCATCGGATCGCTGATTTACCCCCGTCAACGAAGGATAGACCACTGGTTTTATGAGTAAGTGAAATAACAGGAGAGGTGGTTTGATATAACATACAATTCCATCCAATAAGCAATAACGACACCGAAAATATTCAATGTGAATTCAATCGCAATGAATTGGCCACGCGATGTGTGTTCCTATACTAATTAGGATTTGAATGCAAAAGGACTTGGATAGACATACACTAGTCTCTGTGGCCCATACTGGGATAATGGCATTGAGGATTCCAGTTCCGATTCCATTGATGGCACGAGCTGCAAACAATGCATCAATACTCATAATCCAATCTCAAAAAACCCAGTCTTACCGCAAATCATCCAATTGTGGTTCTGAGCAGACGTCTGCAAGGAGGCTCCAAAAACCCCCCAAACAGCCCCTAGCGCGATTGTCTTGATTCTCCCAATCCGGTCTCCCACCCAGCCTCCGAACAAAGCACCGAACAGCGTGCCCAGATAATACACAGATACAATGCCTCCTTGTAGCAGAGTATTGGTGACGACCGGTGTCAATGTGCCGTCGACATACTTTGTATACCCGAACCCCATCAGGTCGATGTAGTCCTTGGCATTATTCACACCGCTCATCAGACCCTGGTCGTAACCGAACATCAGAATCGACAGGGCGGCGACACAGTTGATGGCGATGAGAAGCGCCCGCTTCTCGAATCGGTGGACGACATTCCACCGGCTAATTTTGTCGCTCATGTTGTCCGATCAGAACTTGTATACATCAACTATAATCAACGGGGAAGGCCTCCAAAAGCCGCTGATGTTAGTACCAGTGTCACTTCGGACTTCTTCCCAGCGGGCCTCCCAGGCCATTTATATATGCAGGCCATTTCCCATACCAGCCTAGACCGGGATGTGTTTTCTTTCTCAATTCTGCAAGTCATCAACCTGCGATCTCCACTTGTACAGGCGATCGGCAGCCCAAGCGACCAATTGGTATAGCGTTGTCGCTCTTCTCCATCTTTGTCTCTTTTTCTCGAATGTCGTGGAGAATCTCCGCGTCCACCCCACGCAACACGGGCACAGCAACAAGGTTACTCAATTTCTAGCCAAAATGGCAAGGCACATATCCTCACTAAGCAAATATATGGCCCATATATGCATTTTCTCGCTGATCGGCATGCAAGCGTCTGCAGATATGGTCTCTCCACCGGGGAATTTTGCGGAGGACTAAAATTTAGCCGGATTCAATTAGCAGATCCCTTCCCGGCACTTTCATGCTCTGATGGTCACGGGTTCGGAGTTGCGCCGAGACAGTGGAGTATATTACTGCTATTTACTATCTGGAAGGGTAAAAATTACCGTATAGATTCTATTTGGTGCCACACGATATTCATCTTCACGTTGCACATTGCACGGTTCTGCTGGCTGTTGGCCAGGGGCGAAGCCTACTAGTTGTGTGATACGAGCGCACGGCATCCCATTCTCACAATCCACAAGCGAGATCTAGAATGCGCGGGTGGACTTTTTGTCTATTGAGCAAGTGAAAGAAGAAGCTTGATGATGTTTGAATAGGTATGTAATTTGTACAATGCCACAGTATTCCAGTCTGTTGGCATCGTAAGACTCATTTCGGAACAGTTTCCGAGTGTGCCAAGAGTCGATTGTCAAGCTTTCATGGCTCTGATTTGGTTCTGGGCCAATTACATATGGGTTCAGACAGGATATCTATTGTCTGCATATTCTCATAGATAAGAGCTGCATTCGATAAACCTAAAACATCAGCTTGAAGTTTGGCAGACCTGCTTAGGCCTCGGAAATGGCGGAATCGGCTCCGAGGCCGCTCGGAAGGTCGGAAGCACATATATCGAGTTTTATACAAATCTCGATTGTTATCTCTGGCCTTGCTTGAGCAAAGGCTAAAATTCAATTGAGAATCCATCTCTTCAAACTGTGTCTACTTTTTAAGGGTTTGCAGGCTTACCAACACGTGGCGGGGTATATGTAACCATACATATATGCAACCTTCACGTGAGGAGCAGGGAAGAACCAACACCATTCGCACACAACCCAACAATTCTCTTTTTATCACCGACATCCAACATTCAAAATTCCAAACATGTACCATCCTCTGAAAACTCTCTCCGAACAGGAGATAAACATTGCCAAGGATGTCATTTCAGCTTCACATCCGAACGTAGTCATTTTCTTTCGGGAGATATATCTAGAAGAACCTGCTAAAGCAGAGCTTATTCCTTATCTCGAGCTCGAACATAATGGCAAACTGAGCCCAACAACCCCTCGCCTACAAAGACTGGCAACATGCCAATATGATGTTATGGGCTCTGATCGAGTTCCTGAATTTCATGAAGCAGTTGTGGATGTGGAGAAGAAGCAACGAATTAAACATATCGTTGTCGGAAAAGAGCATCACGCTACATTGACTATGTATGTCCATAACTTATCTCGGTAAAACTTTTTGGATTTTCGACTTTTACTGATTAAATTTAGGGAGGAGTTTGAAATATTTATAAATACATGTCAAGCATCTTCAAAATACAAAGAAGCTGTTGCCGAATTCAATCTCCCTGAAGGATTCGATATCGTCATTGAGCCGTGGCCATATGGCGGCCGTGACCGTACCACCGACGATAGCCGCTACATCCAAGGCTTAATCTTTGCGCAAGATACGAGATCTGGTAATCCAGACTCGAATTTCTACGGCTATCCTCTGCCCATCATCCCCGTAATGGATTACCACAAACGCGAGATTGTCCGAATTGACCGTCTTGCAACAGGTGGCAAGGGAGATGGTTTGACGCAGGAAAGCTGGCGTGGGAATATCGTCGATCATTGCTCTCAGTCTGAATATATACCAGAATTACTCCCGAATGGCACAAGGAAAGACCTCAAAGCACTGAACGTGCTGCAGCCAGATGGGCCTTCGTTCAAGGTGACAGATGAGTCGCTCATTGAGTGGCAGAAGTGGAGGTTCCGTGTTGGGTTCAATCCACGCGAGGGTGCTACTATCCATGACGTCTGTTATGATGGAAGAAGTGTCTTTTACCGGCTTAGCATTAGCGAGATGGTGAGTAACTAACCGTATTGATACTATGGTACGGATGTTGATTTTAATAGACTGTTCCTTATGCGGACGCTCGATATCCCTTCCATCGCAAGCAAGCCTTTGACTTTGGTGATGGTGGCGCTGGAAACTTCGCAAATAACTTGTCACTTGGCTGCGATTGTTTGGGTGTTATAAAGGTAAGGAGCATATCGTAATTATCAACTTCAGATAGGCTCTAACAAAATGCATAGTACTTTGACGGCGTTGCCACTGACAGTGAGGGCAAACCAAAGGTTGTCCCTAATGTGGTTTGTCTTCATGAGCAGGACAACGGCATTGGCTGGAAACACACCAATTGGCGAACGGGACGTGCCGTAGTTACTAGGTCGCGCGAATTGGTTGTGCAATTCATAATCACCTTGGCCAATTATGAATACATCTTTGCGTATAAATTCGACCAAGCGGGTGGTATCAGTGTCGAGTCACGGGCGACCGGCATTGTCAGCGTCGTCAACATCGATCCAGGCAAACAATCCGACTACGGCAACGTTGTTGGAAATGGTGTTTTGGCACAAAACCACCAACATATCTTCTGTATCCGTATTGACCCTGCTGTCGACGGTCACAAGAACACTGTCTATGTTGAAGAATCGCATGCGGTGCCCATGAACGAGACCACCAACCCGGAGGGCAATTTCTATCAAATCCGCAAAACACCAGTTGAACAATCCAGCTGGTTTGACGCTGCACCTGAACATAATAGAATTATCAAAATGGTCAATACAAATAAAACTAACCCTATCAGCGGAAACCCGGTTGGGTACAAATTCACGCCCATGGCCACGCAGTTGCTTCTCGCCGACAAGCAATCCATTCAAGCCCACCGAGCGCAGTTCGCACAGCACCATGTTTGGGTCACGAAGTACCGTGATGGTGAGCTCTACGCTGGTGGAAGATACACATTACAGAGCCAGCACGAGATTGGAGGGGTTTCAGACGCAGTGAAACGAGGCGAGGCGGTCAAGGATGATGATGTTGTCGTCTGGAGTGTCTTTGGCATCACTCATAACCCTCGGGTTGAAGATTGGCCTGTGATGTGAGTACAATATATTCCCTTTCTTTTTATTCCTAACAGAGGATATTTTCTGACTGAATATTGCAGGCCAGTGGAGTCATTCCAACTTAATATCCGACCATCAGACTTTTTCACAGAGAACCCTGCTCTTGATGTACCGTCTAACAAAAATCTGTCTTCACAACTGGTAGTAGCTTCAGATTGCTGCTCAAAACCTACTCAGTAATGATGGAAGCATGTTTTTAAGTTATATGATATTCGCATACGATCGAGCGATATCAGTTCGCTTTGATTTACACTTTATGAACAACTTAGTAACATCTCTATATATAAATTGATGAGTTTAACCTAGAAGTTATACTGGAATGTACGTTCCATTGCGACAATCAAATCCAAGCTCTGGATTCAACTCTTCCGTAGCATTGATACATATCATGGTTGGTGGCGTCGCACTCTCCGGAACAACCTGAATGTTCTCAACGACAAAATTCTTACATGACGAGTTCGTATTGCACTCAATAATAATTGCCTCTGTGTGATTCAAATTCTGAAGACCGACATCATACCAGCATGGGTCCGTGACACAAGAACCATCCCCCGGACGAAATGTATTAATTATTCCGGTGAAATTAGCCCAGGTGAAGTCTTCCATCGTGACGGAGGAATTATTCGGCCGGTCTGCGCCAGTGCCTGCCCCCTGGTCATAGTAGCTCTGCGTAACGAAGATGGGGAACGTCACATTGTAGACGCGGATATTCTTCCAGGAGATATTCTTGGCTAGACCCTGGCCACCCATCCAAGACTTGAAACGGGCGGCATAAACGGCGTTAACGACTGTGACGTCGTCGAAGGTGACGTTTGAGACGCTGGCATAGGAGGCTTGGTTCGAGCCTAGCGAGCCGATGCTCATGCCGTGACTCTGATAGCCGATTGTTGCACGCTCGAAGATGATATCACTAGACCCACTCCCCACGGCGATCGCATCATCGCCGTTATAAATCACGGTATCTGAGATACGGATATTTGTGCCTGACACATCAAATCCGTCGGTGTTGAAGGGAAATCCGCCGTCCGAATATGCATCGACAAAAGTATCTGTGACGGCGATATCCTCGCCGCTGAGAGCAACGCCCCACGCGATGGGTTTGCGTGACTTGAAGTATTTCATTGAGCCATGCGTCACGTCGAAATTGAATAGGTGAGGACGTGATGCTGTCCCAGTGCCATTCACCGGGTTGGCATCCCACCATGCCTGGCCATACGAATTGATCCAGCCTGTGGTGACATTGGGGCTACCAACATAATCAATATATGAGCCAGCGAACTTGAACCATGTCAGACTTTTAGATGAGGTGGCGTTGACAAGCGTCTGGATCGCCGTGATGTTTTGTGGGAGGTGCAGGTTTCCTTGTACTTGGATTTCGACGTTGCTCAGGTTAGTGGCGGAAATGGGAGTGAAGATGTTGTAGTCAACGCCCTCCGAGAAAATTATTGTCGAGTTCAAGGAGCAGCGTGCAAATGTCTCAGTCACTGCAGCTGAATCGTCGGCTTGGCCATGGGAGGATGCATGTTTGGAGGGGACCACGCAGCGCTTAGGTCGAGCATGTGCAAGTGACGCTTCAACAACATCGAGCTGAAGAGCTGCAAAGAAGCCCATGAGGGGAAGAACTATTTTGCTCAGAAATGCCATCGTGATTGCATTAAGCTAGGTAGATTGGTATACTACCAATTCCCTTCCGGGTCACCCTGCCGTCCCCCATTTTTATACTCCAGATAGACAATGGCCAGTGCGGGGATTAAGGAATTTCCTCCGCCATTTGCACATATACGTCAACATTTTGAAAACTGGTGCGGGGAAGTAAATGTTGTTTTATGCAAGGCACAAGCATCGAGCTCTGCGATTGATGGAATTTCTTTTGGGGGAACAGATGCTTGAGCAATGATGTGGGGAAGCCATTGGTAGCGCTGCTTCGTGACTGGGGGAAAAACATCAAGAAATAGTTAGTCTGTTAAGGCTCGCTGGTTCTTTTTAGGAAACAAGTATTGAATAGTAAAGTAGTTTCGTTTGAAGGCATCGGTAGATTTCCGAGTAAGTACTATCATCTGCAGTGAGATAGGTATACCTGACGTCGGCTCACGCACATCTGCCGTAGAAATCCATGAATGTCTTCCAGGATAAATTTCAAATTAGAATACTCGTTTTTTTTTTATGGAGATCCAATGTTTCGGGTTTAATTTCTCCTTGTTAAATCTTCACTCTCTTCAGCTCTGCGTTTCTTAGACAACCTTTTGCTTCGACGTCGATGCTCTAGAAAGCGTCTACAGGCTATACACTGCCCATCTTCATCAAAGTAATGTTCATTTCTAGAAACAAGGTATTAGTTTGGCAGCTTTGAACATAGATCAATGGCAGCAAAGAAAGAACCCACAATTCAAGTTCGCATTCATGAACTTCCTCGTCATTGTCACATCCGTCGCAGCAAGGACGACGGTACGTACAATCATTCAAGGACCGGAACAATTCATACCACATGTTCTGGAGTGTCCCATCAAAATTATTATTCTTAGAATTGACTGGGTCATAGTCTTGACGATCTTCGACAGATACACGCAAGATCTTGACGGGAGGGCCATTGTGAACCTTCTCTACCCAGATCCATTCGTCACCCTCTCCAAGCATACTGTCCCCTTCATCTTCTGGCTCGTCCCACATGTCTGTCTCCATTTCGGGAGTCACCTGCTGATCGAAGTATACAAAGTAGAGTCCCTGTTGCACGACGTCGTCCCATGATTTGCAGCCCTCTGGGACCACAAGTATGAAACTCCGATATCTCATTTCGTTTGCAGAGGAATACCACGTGCTTTTCCAGAATGCAGGTGAACAACACCAAGCTGGCACAATATGTGGTAGAGGTTCCTTTCCTCGTAGTTTTAGCACTGCTTCTTCTGCAGCTTCGGCCACGTCAACTTCATCGCCACCAGCTGCTGCTGCTTCTGCAGCAGCGGTAGAAGCAGCACTCTTATGTAAATCTTCGACAGCCTTCCGACGAAAGGCCTTCTCACGTAGATGATGTTGCATACATTCTTCAATGCTGGAAAGCGGCGAGTAAACATCTACGCGAGGCCAGTAATTACGCATATTCCCGGCGTTACATATATCCCTGCTGGACAAAAAGCACTTTCCCATGGCATCTGGGCTGCAATCTAGGTCTTGCAAACAGTAAAGATGGAGGCTCAATTTGCAAATTGCCTTGTTGGGCAGGCTGTTATTGGTCACGGTGGTGTACGGTCGTCCAGTATGATCATCAAAGCGAAAGAACTGCGGCACGATACGTCTTGGAGGTTTTCCCCCAAGGGTTCTTCTAGCCGTCTGTTTACTGCGCGCCATGCTGGAGGTTTGCTATTAAATCAGGCAGGCTGCGGAGTGCCATATACAGACATGCCCCGTAATTTTCACCCGAATAAGGTTCGCACTAGTGTGCTTCTGGGACGCGCCACGTGACTTTCCCTCGGAGCGGCTGAATCTTAGTGCGTGCGCTGTTTTTGTGTTCATTGAGTGCCTGCGGTCAAGCGTCAATCGGAGAACCGGAATTCTGTATATCGGGTGCAATTTCTCACTACTAAGCTTTTAGCCCACGCCCTGCACAACCTCGTCCTCTAAATTCTCGATAAATTAAAAAAGCAAATCGTTGCTGAGACCAACTGATCTTAAAAATAATGACTAATGAACATAATGGCATGGTTACGATACCGAAATCACTTTTGCTGTTAGCCGATTAGTTATGCTGTTGTTACTGATATGAAAATAACTTGGTACAGCATTTGAAGTGTGTATATGAGTGTATCTCAGTACTTGTGTTGATAGGCTGCCGAAAAATTACGTCATATGGACATAAACATTTGAACATTCGCAGAGCAGAAGTAACAATAAATAAATTGATAAATGAGGAATCGCAGACTGTTTGATATTTGTGATTAGGCATCTGGTGAAACGATGGGCACTATATCTAGGTCTCGAAATATACCAAACAGCAAGGATCCTCTTCGAGGAGTGTCTGATGTTCGCCAGCAGTTAATATCATCACTACTTCGGCTCATTAAAATCTCACCCCCTCAGCGACCAGGAACTGCCGCGAATCAGAGTGGATCGAATGGACTGTTTTCAGGACCAACTTCTCTGGCATATCTATTTCTTTGGTTATCTGAAACTCATCCAGATCTAAATATTGATAAAAGGTCACCTCGAGAGTGGTGCCTTGCTTACCTAGATTCAGGTTCCGGTGACCTAACCCACGCTCAGGGCTTGAGGGGATGGGGCATTATGAACGAATACCTTGCATGGAATATCGTAAAAGCAGCGGTAACAGGGGAAGAATCGTCGGTATTGAAGCTAGTGAAAGCCGTGGAAATTGACTTTCGGTATTGCCCTAACGACGACAACGAGTTTTTCTCTGGTCGTGCAGGCACGCTCGCCTTGCTCCGCATTGTTCGACATTTCGTTCCTAGCGTGGCAGACCAAGTAAATCGGTGTATACCGTCTCTAACCAGCCATATTTTGACGCACGCACCATGGTATTTCCATGGTCGCTCTTATATTGGCGCGGCCCATGGGAATATTGGCAAATAAAAAGTAGCAGAACAACTATTCTATGATAAAGAGGTATTCAGACGTGGTACGTCTCTAAAACTTTGTGGCTCAAGACTGGCAACAAATTTTCGTATTGTCACACAAGCCGGATTCTGCAAGTATTTTGCGAGCAAGGCCTTTTCCTGCATCATTTGCTCCGAGGGAAGCGTGGCAAGGTGCATCATGACAACAGTCATAGGGAATGTCACGAGATGAACACGGAATATTCCAGTTGAAGGGTCAAAGAAGACGGGTACAATCTTAAGAATATTCCGACAAAATATTCCAGGATCGATGTATCTTTGTTTGAGAACATCATAATCATCATTCTGGAATAATAGTCTTCCTACCATCCCGTATATTATGATGCATGTAGTCCAGTAAAGTGTTGAAAGATGGGCTGTAGCTAACATCTGAGGCGTAATAACTTCGGTGATTTGAGTTTCATTATCGATATTGATCAATGCCGGAGAGAAATCTGTGTGCCATTGGACTAAACTTCTTTCAAGGGATAGATAGTGGTCACGAAGACGCTTGCAGAGTTGCGCCTTTCGAGTTGGCTCTTTACAGACCATCATCACGTCGATGGCTTCGAACATAGATGGCACGTCGACAAGAATGTCAACTAGTAAATCTTTGGGATACTTCTTTGCGACACTCCATGGGATAGTTTTCCAAGCCACTTCGCTGAGGAAAGACTTTTTTCTTGCCTTGAGTGCAGTGATAGTCTGGAATATGTTTCGTTAGCGACACCATTGATCATCGGGGCCTTAGTTCTGTATACCAAATGCAATCTCCCATCAACGAAAAGCCTATGAGAGGACCCTGTTGTAAAGGCTAATGGGCCTCTCTGCACGATCAATGCCACATTGCCGAAGCAATGTGTCAGCCAGCTCTTGGCCTGAGTTATGTCATTTTCGCCGTCATCGCCATATACAGCCTTTTGAAAAGCATTAGCACATCAAGGTCACTTGATTCTTGTATAGCTTGATGTTCATGGGATCTGGAATACCTCGAACAAGCTAAACAGCTGTACGGCGGCTAGAAGTCCATTTTCCTGTCGTTTCTGTGGGACTCGCAGCGTCACTACCGCTCCTTGCATCGCGTCGCCATAAAGTCTTCGGCCCTCTTCTTTCATCCAGGCAAGCGAAGCATCTTGCCGAGCAAGCGTGGATAGTGACAAAGCAAGAATGACCTTTCTAAGAACAATCTCAGTACCATACAAGTCCTGAATATTCTGCATCAATCCTCCAAGGACGCTATGAGCAACGTCTATTGGGAGCGCTTCCCCGTTTGGGAAATAGGATTGCCAGAATTGCTCTAAAATTTTAGTCTCATGCGCCGAACGCGCTATTTTGTTCGAGAAATCTACATGCAGACAATCCTTCTGGGAGGCCGCATCTTGTTCATGTCTTATGCCATCCTGCGCAAAGCTATTGATGAAAACACGTGGTTTACTATAGCCCTGACAGGGGATGCAAGCTTTTCGACACTGTCCGCATGAAGGTACTTGTTTATCGCACTGTGTTCAAACAGCCTGATTAGATATACGTTGAAGAAAAATCGTTCCATGCTGCCGGTGGAGGGTACCGGGTCGCTTACGCCTTTCTTCCGTTTAATGCAGGTCAAGCACGCCTTGGACCGCCTGATGCCTACCATGACTCGAGGATCGGAATGCTATCCCCTGCACTATGGAATGTATGCACCGTATTTCGAATAACGTGTGATCCTCATATAAACCACGTGGGGACTTTGAGAACGAGAATAAAAGAAGCAAGGGTTGCGTTCCCGTCATCGCGGCTTAAGGCTGTTAATTCGCCCCCAAATGAGTGTGGGGTGAGGCTAACCCCGACTTGGCTGCATACCGCGCCCGTTGCAGACCGCCAATAATTCTATGTTTGTAGACCAAATTGCTACTGCCGGAAGGTTGTTCAAAAGGGCTGATAGAAATAGGTATAAATATAATATTAATCACTAGATGTTAATGTAGTTATTCATTAGATTTCTTTCATTCCTTAGACTGGAACAAAAAGCCATCAATTGATCTACCTCAAACTTTCCTCATGCTTTTCCCTTTGATTTCCGTCCTCAGTCTTACTGCAAGTATCTGTTCGCTTATCAATCCAGCCATGGCTTCTAACATCCCAAATGCGAACGATGGAAACCAGAAAAAGCTTGAGAATGTTTTGAACAACTATCTGAGCATCTGGAATGGCGACGTGTCGCGAGTCAACTCGACATTCGCACCTGTACTTTCTTTCCATGGTGATCGTTTCCCAACTTCAAACGGTAGTCGATTAATTGAAATCGGGACCGCAGACGAGTTTGGTGCATTTGTTAAGAGCTCCCGGACTGGGTGGGACAAATACGAATTCAAGGTACATGCGTGGACAGGCTACGAAAACCAGATTGCGGTGCGCTGGAAATTGGAAGCGGTTGTGGGTGCAAACTTCACAATCGTGCCAACGTGAGACTCATTTTCCTGATCTTTCTCGGATTCAGCTAATGGAATCATTGTCAGGACTTTGAAGCAAGGCACTCCAGTCACGTACAACGGCACCGACTTCCTCATCCTAGATCAATGCACGGGGTTGATTAAAGAAATCAATATTGCACAGGATCTGATAAGCTTTTTCCATAATCTTGGTTTGACTGGTGTCACTGTCTGAGTCTTGAATAGCCTACACATACATATGTAGCGTTTAGTTGTAATAGATGTATATAGTGTACTTTGATATGTGACGAAAAACCTTAGTGCTAAATTCATTTATTGTATTATGATGAAAATAAAAGCCAACAATGAATGCAATTTATATTAATATTTCATCTTCTTTTCCTTTTTCGACATTATTTTAATTGTTTTTCCTTCATCTTCAACACGATCTATCTATTTTTGACCCTAGGTATGAACGTTTATCTTAGTTTCATGTTCAATTGATACCCCAATTAGTATCTTTTTCAAGGCTCAACTATAACCTTAAATAAAGCTAACATGGGGTCTTAAGCAGCTAGACTAGTGCTTACGCCTTGCGTCTCTGATCCCAGGTAAACGACTTGGAGTAGATGCTAAACCCTAAAGATACTCATTCGGCGCAGCTTGCAGCCCGAAGTTGTTAGGACCCACACTTTATTGTTATTAATCCGTCCGCAAGGCTGAAGCTCCCCGAAGACGCGGAGCACGGGACAATTCTTTCTAGTTTTTTAAAGCTTGAAAATAATGGATCCGTGATAGTATGGGCGTAGCCCTAAATATCCCAGCCTAGCCTTGCTCGGTTTATAATCCCGCGATGCATTTGGGGCATCGGGAGAATAGATGTAAACACGCCGAAGGCAGATTCAATTCCAATGAATAAGTCTATAAAACCTCCAGATGTCCTAGGTTGACGGAATTTTGTATCAATTCATCCAACGCCACTGAAGTCAAATAACAACCTCAAACTCTAATCTTCACACAATATCGCGATTCAACTCTTACAAATGCACAACAATCTTCCTACTCTTGCCTTCTTCGGGGCTACAGGGGGTTGCGTTATCGCTTGCCTCAAGTTAGCACTTGAAAATGGATATCATTGCAATGCTTGTAAGTAAATACATTGACTGCAGCTTTATTTATGGTGATTAACGATTTGACCTTTCAATTTAGTGGCCCGCAACCCCAACAAACTCAAAGACCTTCTCACTGAACGCGGTGTATATGACTCTGCTATCGCGAATAACCTTAGTATCACTGAAGGCAGTGTCACAGAAATAGATCTCGTCCGCCAGGCTCTGTTATACAACGATGTTCCTGTCGATATCATAATTTGTGGCATTGGCGGGAAGCTCATCTTTGAAAGCGCTCTGAAGCCCACTTTGGATAATCCCACTGTGTGCCAGGATGCTATGAGGAACATCCTCCAAGCTGCCCGCTCATTAAAGCGAGATGAAAATAGCAAAGACAATGAAAAGCCTCTTCTGGCTGTTCTCAGCACAACTGGAATCAGTCAGAAACGCGACTTGCCGATTCTCATGATGCCCATGTATAAGTGGATGCTGAAGGTGCCGCACGAGGACAAGAAAGTAATGGAGGATCTCATTCTCGAGGACATGGCTATGGAGAAATCTCAGCGAGGAATAGGAGACTATATTATTGTTCGACCGAGTTTCTTGACTGATGGCGATGGCGATGGATTGGGAAAGATCAAGGTCGGGCCAGAAGAGAAGCCGAGAGTCGGATACGTTATCGCAAGGAACGATGTCGGCGCCTGGTTGTTTGAGAATTCTGTACGAAGGGGATGGAGGGAAGATAATCCATATCGGGGAAAGGTTGTGACTATTACGACGTGAAGAACATTTGTCTTATGTGCTGGTTTGTATTTATTTGAAATGGTTGAGAAAGGGAATAATCTAGAATGTAGCGATTTGCGTATAAAATCCTTAAACCTAACACTTTTATGACGTCCATCAACTTACCAATTGATAAGAATTTCCAAACTACGAAATTTTGAAGACTAAAATTCAAATGACCGTCAGTGAGTCGTGAAAAGAAATTTAGTCAATCACCTGAAATATTCCTACGGGATCCGTTGTTAACGGTACAATGACCGGAGCCAACTCCGGCTTCGATTTCTGAGCTTCATACCTCCGAAACGCCATATGAAATATCTATTGTGACGGGAAAATATTGGGATAGATATTGCACATCTTGAAAATTCACACGTTAGGCTAAATAAGATCGTTGTCGTGCGGATTGTTCCAGCTATTACACTTCTAACGTGCAATTTTTTCTTGTATTGCTAGGGACCTCAAGTCGTGGCATCGTGACACTAAGAAATGTTTTCGAGCATTCAATTCCTCAAAATACATAAACCGGACGTCTCTCCGTATATTCCAATCGTCCACTAATTCCGGGTCTTTGCAACAACCCCCGCAATCCCGGTATTTCGACCCTCCTGCAAGTATATCGGGTTAAATATCGGTGTAGTTCCGATAAACAACATAAAACTTCATTCTTCAGTACTACGGGGATAGCATGATGCAGCCCTACCACATATTATCCTTGCTATCATATATGGAAAATGTTGCTTCAAAAGAAAGTAAACGCAATATCTGCTATTACAGTGCTCTTACACATGAGCTCTTCGCAGGCCTTATCTAGTGAATTAGCAAAGACCCCTTTGATGGGATGGAGTTCGTAAGTACTCCAAGCCAGGAGGAAAACACCAAAGCCCCACTAAATTAATAACCGATGTTTAGATGGAATGCTTTTGGAACAAATTTCAATTCTTCCTCCATCGAAAGAACCGTCCAGCTATTCCATGACCTTGGGTTGACCCAGGCTGGGTATGAATACGTTAACCTCGATGATGGCTGGTCTGCGTACTCCAGAACGGTGGATGGGTATTTGCAGGCTAACGAGACCACATTTCCAAATGGAATCGGGGCACTAGCCCATTACATTCACGCAAACGGGCTTAAGCTCGGCCTATACGGTGACAGTGGTGTGTATACATGTGAATTTCACCCGGGTAGTTCGGGGTATGAGAAACGAGACGCCCAAACGTTAGCTGAGTGGGGGGTCGATTATTGGAAGTATGACAATTGTGGTGGTTTCGCGGCAATGGTTGATAGTCCACAGATCCGATTTGGAGGTAGGATTATTAAAACAATTGTATAATTCTAGATTCACTAACTAGTAGTAGATATGAAAGATGCTCTGCTACTATCCGGCAGGGATATTGCTTACGAGGTATGTGAGTGGGGATACCAATTTCCATGGCACTGGGGAGGTGGTATGTTAATTGATACCCGATGAATGAAATTAACTGAAATCTTTCAGATATAGGCCATTCTTATCGGATCGGTGGAGATATCACAGACAAATTCATCAACGAAACAGGATGTGCTTGTAAGACAGCCTATTGTTTAGATACTGGATATGCAGGATGCTCGGTTACGACAATGATGCGGAAAATGCGCGAAATCAGCCAGTATCAGACTCCTGGTCATTGGGCGTACATGGATATGCTCCAAATCGGCAATGGCAATATGACTCTGTATCAACAGCAGACACATTTCGCATTTTGGGCAGCACTAAAATCTCCTCTTATCATCGGCACAAACTTGGAGACCTTGCCTAGTGCAAGTGCGGCTATTTTGACCAATGCAGACATTATCGCTATCAATCAGGATCCTCTCGGTTTAGCTGTTCACTACATGCAAGGGGCTAGCATCGAGAACTCCTTACAGGTCTGGGTGGGCGAAATTGAAGGTGGATACATAGTTCTTGTTTTCAACGAAAAGAGCTATCCGCAGCATGCAAGCATCTCATTTAATCAACTAGGGTTCGATATCCAAGGAAACGTCAATGTAAAGGAGCTTTGGTCAGGACATAACTGGGGGAGAATAAATAGTATTAGTACAACAGTGGAAAGCTACCAGACTTTGGTGTTCAAACTTGGACATTAAAATACATGTGCCCAACATTGAAACTGGAACATTGCAAGAAGGGTTGTTGAAACAGTGATCTTTAGATACTTTATGTACCCGGGATGTCAACTTGCACTGGAATAAAATCTAAATGATAAATGAAAAACAATGCTAGCGTATTGTGATATTATGAAGCGGTCATTTAACTACAGACTAAAAAATAGCACTGGTGTGTCTTCGCAATTAATATGGTTTGCTCATCGATCGATACTAATTCTAAAATAATAGAGCAATATAGTCTTTTCCTCTGTTCATCGGCCATATTTCACAATCAATTAAGAATGCAAAGCTATTCCTAGTTGCATGGTTCTATGCTCTTCAGCAATATGGCAAATTTAGATTCGAACAACTTCCAGGAATAAAAGCCTGTGAGATCTTTGCCGAATCACTTTCGTAAATCTGCGCAGACGGATCTAAAATTTTGTCAATAATATGAACCACCCCCTGTCAGTAAAAGGAATGTTAGTTACAACCATTCTAGTCATATTTCATAATTGGGATTTTGCTCACCTCGGTAATTTCCAAGTCACCCTCAACCACGTTGGCGACGTTGTTAAGAGTTAGGGTTTTGTTTGTGCCAACCACCTGCGCTCCAACATACAGAAATGAGGCCGTCTCATCACAATCAGTATTATTAAGTCACTTGAAAGAGAATGGCACTGTTTATATCATACCTGAAACCGCTGGTATTCTTCACTAAACGCGGATGTTTTCAATATCGTATTTGGGACGTAATGATTGATGATTGTATTTCCAATCCACCACTTGCCCTTTCTTCATATTGATAAGCAAGTTGCCTTTATCACACCAAGGACTCATAATTTACTTACGGGGTTACCTCTTTCGTCGTGAAATATTCCCCTGTATTATTGAATGCGTTATTGTTTGGGGCAAAAAAGGTGAATTTCCACGTCGGAGTCGTGTCGAATGCCTCTACGAAACCACCGCACTTCTCTAGTTCAGTGGCTAAGATGCTAAGATCGGATCGTGATTTGACAAAGGCTTGAAGCGTTGTGATATTGGTTTCTTTTTGAGGCGAATAAGTCCTGTTGATGTTGCGATAGTTGTATGGATCTGCAGATACTGCAGCATGAGCGATAGTAAACAGAAAATAATATGCTAGCCAGACAAATTTCGATTGCATAATAATTAACCGGAGGGGATGCATCTTGAACGGCATAAAAAAATAGATCAAAGTCTGGTAGTTTGTGGACCTAGAAAGGGTTTACAAGCATGGGGACGTTCCCTTCAAGAATATACCCCCAGTTTCTAGCAACTCGCGCTTGCCGGTAATTAGCCCGGCATACAAGCAGTGTGGGTATTTTCTCCACATATGAGAAGATTTTCGGAATTCTTTTGCTTCCTTACGGGGCTGACAAATATCACAGTCGCGAATTCTTGAAATCCAACTTATCGATTTACCAGATCTGCATATTGTTGATGCTCTGTGAAACTACACGACCCAGTCAATGTTAGCTCGTTTTACACGGCCTATATCATATCTCTAAATTAAACGGACAAATTTATATGGAGGATTTTGATGAAGATAATAGCTGTCTTGTTGTTATTTAGACTCCATTAATTTCGGTAAATGTTCTTTTCTTTTCTTTTCTTTCCTAGAAAACAGTTCTTTCATTTGTTAAGCTTTCCTAGCCCCCCTAGTAAGCGAACACCAGTGACCCCCAGCTAGGCAAGTCATCCACATTCTTATAGACCCGTCCCTCGAAGCCTTCTTTCGTGACTGCCTCGGTAGTATACGGTGCATGGATGCCCCTTTTGACAACATACTCATAGTATATCATGTCCCAAATGGGCCTCTGGTTAGTGACACCTCGATCTTCTTCCGATATATTTGCCCATGGACCATTGACTAACACGGCCTCGCATCGATACCAATCAGGGTCGTAATCGACAGTGTAATTTAGGTTATACTTAGCCGTGTACTCAGCTCCTTTCAATAAGAGGTTATTTCCCAAGCTGAATAGATCTGAGCCTTGGGTCTGAGCCGTTTTGGCCGCGAGGACAGTCCATCCGATTCCCGAAGTTGCATGTGCTGTTTTGAAAGTTAATTCATAAGACTGTAGGTGTATAAGAGGTAAGAAAATTACACTGATCTCGTCCCGACTCAGAACTTTGGCCGGTACTCGGCTCATATAGCGAGAATACACCAGCGCATCGGCCGTTAATATAGGCATTGATGGCATAGTTATATAAATCAACGTCATCAAGGTAAACTGCAAAACTCAGCAGCGACTTGATACTAACCATTCCATAGTTAGCCTGACCAATTACGGCCGACTGACGAGAGAAGAGCCAGTATAGTTGGTTACTAAACCCCGAACCACCAGTCCATGAGGCACCTGACTCGGTCCAATTGCCCTCCCAGCGCATGATCTCAGCAGCATTCACGAAAAGATCTCCTTCGAGGCCGATCAGTAACGATCTATCAATGCCGACAATATCCGTCAGCGTGGAACCCCATCCATTCAGAATGTCGGATGTGAGCTGCCAATGAGCCCGGTCTTTGGTAATATACCACATCAAAGCATTCTGCCAAGCAGCGCGGACATCGTTCGTAAATGTTGTATAGTTGTTCACCGCGCCGCGAGAGAGATACGCTACGGGTCCTTGAATGGTGTAGTTTGCTTGAGAATAGAAGTCGGCGCTGAACTCTTTGTACGCGGAAGCCCAAGGCTCCTTATTTTTCAAAACACCATTGCGTATGCGTTCGAGGTCATCGTGTGAATGCCAAATTCCTGGGTGAACAAAGTCCGATGGCTTCCGCTTGAAGTATTTGCCTGCGTCGACTGTGGACTCGGAGCCTAGTTGTTGGATGGGTCCGTAAATGCTGGGAATGTCTTGGGTTTTTGCCTTGGACCTGGTTACCAACAGTACTACCAGCGTCCAAATCATAAAAGATCTCCACTGTTAAAAATTAGCGTAGGCAGATATTTTTTGTCAAATCTCATACCGGTGTTGGCATAGTGCTACTGGATCAGAGACAAAATAAATTCCAGATGTCGTCCTTTGACTCAATTATCATACACCAATAGCTATTTTGGAGGAAATATCAAAATAAAAGGAAAACTGCCCAAACTATCCGGCACAAAGGTCGGAAGTCAGTCCATACCACGGTGACCAAACGGGCGGGAATGTTAAAGAATTGAATTCAACGTTCGCCTGATAACTCAGGAAGTTTAATTGGGGAGAAATGAAAAAGTTGGACAAGGCGGAGCCTCGCGTTAGGACTCCGGAGCAAGTTTCGGAATATATACCGGCGGAAATTCTATCAGCACCCTAGAGAGCAGTGGTGAGATGATACCGTTCAAGTTTTCTCTTTCATTTTCCTCTTTATTTTCTCTGTACATCCTTAATCTTATTGAAAATGTTCGAAGTTCTACGGAGGCAATGGGACTCGGCGAGAGAAACCATTTCCCCTTGATATCTTTCATAAATGACCCAAACGGAAGTAGCACAATGACACATGCATGTGGTCCCCAGTTCGTGAAAATTCCACATATTTCATCTTTATTATCTGCTGAGCATCGCTCCTCTCTTACTTTTCCGCCACTTTCTTCCAATATATCACTATTAGAAGATGTAGCTGATCTAGCTAGATAACGGGGTAGGCCTAAATTAGGACGTATTTATAGAAAAGTTATAAATATCGAAAGGCAATATAAACCGACCAGAAGATAGCCACCCGATAAGCAATTGATGCTGATGCAATCAGTCCCGCGGGTAGCAGCTATATTTAATGGAATGACTACCACTTGATTGGATCACTTAGAGTTATCCAAGTCAGACAAGGTCGAATGTTGATGAGCTATTGAATTACACAATCTCAACACCATTCATTCCCATCACATATAAAGTTGTTCAACTACATGTTTATAAAATGGGACTAGCAGTTCCGACGGTCTCAAGGGTGCTGAGACAGTCTCTGGGACATAAAAGTAGTCATGTTGAGCCCGATGAGGAAGTATATGTGGACGAATTACCACATATAGAAGAGGTGGAAGAATCATTGCCTGATGACGATGATGAGGTAGTTGTAATCAGGCGCTTGAGCGAGCCAAGAGGAATAAAAGTAGTTCATTAATCTGATACAGCTGCGCTCTTCCATGTCGCAGCTTTCAGACGTCGACTTTCACTGCTGCCTTAATCAATTTGAATTGCACGTAGTCTCCAGATGTCGTTTCGAGAGGCTGATGTTAGAATGGTGTGTTTCATTAATTACTCTAATTTGGCTATGCACATCTGCACTGTGATCGGTGGGTATTACAATATTTCATATGCTATATATATATATATTGTTGATTTAAAGAGTATTTTAATTTAGATAGGATAATATACTAGAGAAAGTATCTTTAATAATATTAATCAATTCCAGGTAATTATATATAATATTATTTAGAGTCTACATTAATATGTTTATAAAGTTAGATCTCAGAATTTAACTTGTAGACAATTATTTCTAGTACAATTTGGCCATATTTATTAACACGAAGTGTTGCAGTTAATTGATTGGTTGGCTGTGTGGAGCGGCTCGATGACGCCGCAGCCTGGTCACGGCTTTCATGTTGTTTCTCCAGCTTCACCAGCCAACACCGCCATGCCCAAGACCCTCTCCGAGTCGCGATGGGCTGTCCCATCCTCCACCACTGCTGATCCTGCCGGAGAGCCCTCGCCGCCACAGGAGCTTGCGCGCTTCATGAAAATCGTCTCTCGCTTGAAATGGAAACTTCCTTTTCTATCCGAAGCTTACAGCTTCGCTACATCGCGGGACGGTGTCCCACCCGATGATGTCGCATATGCTGAGATCATGTTCAAGATCGATTTCCACGAATACTACGCGCTTCTAGAGCGCGCGATTGTTCATTTACTCGCTGTCTTCGGCGTCTCTGTCAACAACCGCTTTCAAAAATCGCATGTTCCGCGGAATGGCAGCCATAGATACCACGCGAACGTCCTTGAAGCGCTCGAGAAGGAATCGTGTCCGCTGCATCCTATTCTTGGAAGCGGGGAGGTATTGGGGCAGCTGAGAAGAGCGAAACAACTGCGCAATCAGTGGAAGACAGCAGACTCGACGGAGGATGAGCGACAGCAGGAATTGCTGGCATCTTCAGAAAAGGACAAGGATACACTGCCTCTTGAGAGCTATGATCTTGAAAATATACTTACGGCCATTTTCGTGGGCTTGGAAGAGGCATATGCGCTTGCCCAAGGGCACGTCTCGGCCACCCCAATGGCGATCGAAACAAGTAGCGACGCGGCAGATCCGAGACCTTGGAACACTGAGACTGGCTGGGACTTTATTGTTGACGCTATGGACTGGCAAGCCGTTTAAAGCCTATGAATGAGGCGTGCAATGCATACTTTTCTGGATACACCTACCCTTTCGTTATTGATACCCCGTTACGACGAGACCTGATACCCAAAGCGCTGTTATATTGCCAAGCTATTCAGCGGTTAGATTTTGTTTCTATTCTACTTACATTTTAGATTACTACGATTATACCTGCCGGATTCTTGCTGGTTCTGGTTAGTTGCGACTGTCAAAGGCTTTTTCATGTGTGGATGCTGTTCAAGCGTTATGGTCAACACGCTGTATTTAGCTTTTCGCTTGGCTGCGAAATATTAGTTACTGAACATACTCTCATATTATATGAACGGAATTCCTCTCTATAGTATGAATATACATAAAAAAAAGCCCACGTGGAGACAAATGACGCTCTTATCAGTACATTCTTACGCTATACCCTATTGGTAAAGCTCCACCGGAATTCGTCCTCAATTCCGATGTTGCTGCGCAAGTGGTTTTCTCTACTGCATATAATCATCAGCCATCTGAAATATTACTGCGACTGTAAATACGGACTGATGGCTGAATGAAGAAAATGGACAGTCCGTCTTTGCGAGTACCAGAGAACAGCAACCACAGGAAGAGAGAAGGGGGCGAAAGCCCAGACAACGAACGTCGGAAACGCGGAAAATATACACAAGTAGCATGGTAAATTCCACCAGTCGTTTTGATGGGATCAAAAACGCAGACCAAGATGCTGACATTGGCTTAGTAATGAGTGCAAACGTCGAAAACTGAAATGTAGTGGAGGAGATGTATGTACTAGGTGTGCTGCAAATGGCATGCAGTGCATATATGCACTGCAGAGTCGGCCGCCAGCGGGAGGAGATGTACCAACCTCGACCCTAGAAAGGTATTTTATCTCACTTGATATACAACTGCAAGAGGGATTTCTCAAGTCATCTAACATACGTAATCCCGCAGCCCCTTCATGCGACTCGAAAATATGGAAACTCGCATGTCAGACATGCAGAGGCAGATGAATTTTATGTCTGATCAGATTCGAGCGCTACAGACAAAATCCCAGTGGCCAACTTCAACCCCTCCTGGCGCAGCTGTTAGCAATCATACAGATGGCCGTTGGGCTAGCCGTGGCCGTCCAGTATCGCCAAGCTACATTGGCCCTACAAGTGGCGAATTCGGCCTCCACGCCGTCCAGCCTGATGCACAGGAAGATGAGACTGAAAACTCAGAAGACGCATTTGCATCTGGCACAGCCAGTCCACACCCCCAAGGACAAAAGCATCTCAGAGCTATACCAAGCAACCCGCTCCTTGCTCTCACCGATGTAGACGCCTTAAGACTGGTTGATGTTTATGAAGATGCGGTTGGAATGATGTATCCCATAGTGGATCTTAAAAGCATAAGACGATATATCGCCGACTATTACCATCAACGGAAGACGGTGTCAGTTGATACTCTCAGCACCCCGCAAAATGGTGATGAGGATTGGTGGTTTTCGGCTCGGGATGCAGAAATTTTGAAAATTGTGCTCGCTATTGCATTGATTTCTGAATCACACGGTCGAAGTGACCTGGGCGATGCGCTTGCGGCGAATGTGGAAGATACATTTGCGTCAACGCGAACTCAAGTACCTGAAGTCGATATGAAAGAGTTGATCATCCTCACTTTAGTAGTAAGTATTTTGATTCGCTAGGTCCTGCCATTACTTATAATTTTTAGGCGCTGTATCACTCTTTGCGAGATGATGATGTCCTGGCATGGAGGACAATCGGTCTCGCGGCAAGAGGCGCAATGCAACTTGGATTGCACCGCTGGGACACCTGGCTTAGAACCGGGGGCGTCTTTCCAGGTGATTTAGAGCGTTCTTGGGCTATAAATTTGTTCTGGTGTTTATACGTCTTTGATAAGGAGTTTTCATTTGAAACAGGCTTGCCCTTTGCCATTCGAGATTCGGATATGGATTCGAGTCTTCCAGAGCCGGTATGTACAATTGGTACAGTGTTTATTCTATTTATCAACCCCACGGCTAACAGTAGTGAAGGTGGGCTATAATCCATACTTGACTTGTATGATTTCATACTGCCGCGTTGGAAGCAGTATTTGGGACTTGGTGGTAGGTTGGGGGAGTACTACGAGAGCTGTGGCAGCTGAGAATTGCACGTATCTCGACTTCCAAATAAAGCAGTGGCAAGATTCAATTCCACGCGAGTTTAGATTAAACAACAAAATTGATGAGCGGGGTGTATCGACGAGGAATAACTGGCTTGCAGTTTCACAAGTTCTGTTCCACATGCGCGCAAATCAGCTTGGGATTCTGGTGCACAAACAGAACTTACTCAACAGTCAATCAATTCACAGTAATTTAGATGGCGCAAGGATTGCTGTCGACAGAGCCAGGGATACGATTCAAACATTGGAAAAGTTCAGCCGCACATCAGCTATCTACTCACATCGCCCGGAGCCTTTCAACCGCTTCCTGTTCTCGGCGCTGGCGACTCTTTTTTTGGCAGTTTCTCATGCGCCAAGTCGGTTTACACAGTTATGCCGCAGCGAATTTTACAAAGCTCTGGACACATTGAAGCGGTCACCAACGCGTGGGAAGTACTCGCGACGACTTCAGAAAGTCATCAAAAATCTTAAACATATTAACATCAGGCGTCGATCTCACCCTCCAAATAGGGAAGCATTATATGTTGCGACCTCTGGCAACAGAACACCAGACCAGCCTTCCATTGCTGACACATCTACACCAATCACACCAACCGTCTCCACTGGTATAAACCATACAGACTACAATACTTCGATGCACTCGTCCCTAGTCAACGGGGATGCCTTGGACAGCAATGTCTACAACGACCTAACCGACTTTTTTGAACTAGCAGGCGATTGCTTCATGGACTCTCAATCCAATATCGACCCTGGAGTAACCAGTGAGACCGAGTTGCCGGCTAACCCTTCACAGCAGTTTCAAAACTCGATTGATATGTTCCAAGCGGAAGACGAGACACTTACGCGGCTAATGGTGGGGCTCCTCTGATGAGCTGAGACAAACCAAAACCAAATATTGCCCGTTTGGGAACAACAGTGGCAGGCAGGGCAGGGTAACGCCTAGGCAATTCCTATGCGGGGATATTCACAAGACTAGCCTATGCATCAGACCCCAGATCTCGGGCTTCGATCGAGACCCGAAGGCAACCATTTCAGACACGAGGTTAGACTGGAGGCTAGGCAGAAGTAAGTCGCATGATCTGTAAATATTGTTATTATTATTGTTATTATTATTATTATTATTATTGAGAGATCTCAGTCTAAGTGCTTTGGCACCGTGTGAATATTCAAGGAGGATGTATCATCTGCACGATGATATCAGCAGGTCATAAAGACTATTGGTTGGTCCCCTGGCATCAATATTGAAAATACCCAGCCAGTCAGGTTCTACAAGACTAGGAATGCTGGAGACGAGTGCCGAGGCACGACTTCCTCATTGGGTAATTGTGGAGACAACCAAATCTCTATGGGGAAAGGGAACCAATCAGACGGTCGGCACCCAATTGAGGATCGGCATTTCTGCCAGCTTCTCCAGAATACGCCACATTAAAAAGTCACTTTGCTTCTCGTACTTCACATGTTCCTCGGCGAAACAAGCAATCGCAAAGTCTCAATCCTTGTCTTCCAGAGATGCAATATGATGGTGTCGGTGCCGCTCATGTTCTAGCCGAGTTTCGTCCTTTACCGGTGCTTATATTTGATACAGACTCCCTTATTTTGCAAGGCCGATAGGATAGATACCCCACTCGCTTCTTTGTTCTTCGCTGTTACCAGGAGTATCGAGGGCCGCACCAGGTGACATTCTACAGACGCAATGAACGGACACGCCAATGGCCATGCAAATGGCTTTGCCAACGGAGGCGCAGAGAACATCGACGTCGTCATCATCGGCGCCGGCATCTCGGGCATCAACGCTGCGTACCGAGTCCAAACAAAGCTTCCCGACTACAGCTACAAGATATTGGAAGCTCGCGGCGATATTGGCGGAACTTGGGATCTCTTCAAATACCCCGGAATCCGCTCCGACTCGGATTTCTACACCTTCGGCTTCGAATGGAACACATGGCAGAAGGATCACCCTATTGTGCCTGGCAGCGAAATCAAGGAGTATCTCGACCAGTCCGTAAAGAAGGCCGATATCCGTCGCAACATTCGATTTCACCACAAGGTGCTGCGCTCAGAATGGTCGTCGGAGAAGAAGGGATGGACGCTCGCGGTGGAGGCTGATGGGCACACGCGATATATCCATGCTCGGTTTCTTATCGTCGGTACCGGATACTACGACTACAACAACCCCTTGAAAGCGAACATTCCAGGTCTTGATAATTTCAAGGGCACTCTCATCCACCCTCAGTTTTGGCCCGAGAAACTCGATTATACCAACAAGAAGGTTGTCATTATTGGTAGTGGTGCCACTGCAGTGACACTCGTCCCCAATATGGCCCCAACCGCCGCGAGCGTGACCATGATCCAGCGCAGCCCTACATATATTTACTCCCTACCCAACTCGACCCGCCGATGGTGGAGTTTCTTGATTCCAAGCTTCCTTCAGCACAAGATTTCTCGCCTGGCTTTCATTTTCCTGCAACGTCTAACCTACCTACTCTGCCGCAAGTACCCACGACAAGCGAAGGCAATTTTGAGGATGCATTCCCGCCGGCTATTGAAAGGCGTGTTGCCTGTTGATCCTCATTTCAACCCGAAATATAACCCCTGGGATCAGCGTGTCTGTATCGCTCCCGATGGCGATTTTTACGACGCTCTTCGGGGAGGTAAAGCAACCGTTAAAACCGGTATCATCAAGAACGTCACTGAAAATGCCGTTGAACTTGAAAATGGAGAAGTCATTGAAGCCGACATCCTTGTCACGGCCACAGGTCTCCGGATCAGCATCGCCGGTGGCGCAGAGCTCAAAGTTGACGGAGAGAAGGTCGACATTGGCGACAAGTTTATGTGGAATGGCTCCATGATCCAAGATGTCCCCAACGCTACTGTCATTCTAGGATATACAAATGCCTCGTGGACACTAGGTGCCGATGCCACCGCTCTTCTCACCGTTCGTCTATTGAAATATCTAGACCGACGCAATGCCGTCGCTGCTGTTCCTCGTGTCGCAGATCCGTCTGCCTTGACGCCGAAGAGATTGATGGATTTGAGCTCGACGTACCTTGATGTTGCGCAGCGGCTGATGCCCAAGGCGGCCGATCAATATCCCTGGAAGCCAAGAAGTAGTTACTATGTCGACATCTGGCAGGCCATGTTTGGCCGGATTGACGAGGGCTTGGAGTTGATTTGATCAGCGCTGGAATTATAAGTTAGAAGGGCAGGATCACTATTTGTACACATTTGGTAACTATATACCGATGGTTTATGAATTATCTCTTAGACTTTAACGTTATGTAAATTTTACGATATCTTTTAGTTCATGACAGTGTCTTCCATATTTTAATTTTCAACACTTAGTTCTTCATAGTCTGTAATCAAGACTATTAAACAACATCGGGCGTCGGGCGTCGGCGATGCAATCCCCGCAGCTTACGAACTAGAATGATAAAATCCCCTTCCTAAAAAGGAAAAACAGTCAAAACGCGTATCAGTTCCCCACCGAGGATGATGGCACTTGTGATTAAATAGTATTGCTGATCCACCCCAGTCTCCAGCTTAGCCCGTCAGCCGAGGCACATCGCAACCACACCCCAGATCCACATGTCCCCAACGAACGATACTCGTACATATTAATTGGAGCTAGATTAACAACCCAATGCGCAGCTACAGTTGTGTTAAAAGAAATAAAGAAAAGGGTGTGGCAAGCTCGGCACGTGCCTCATATTGACAATTAGTAAACGCCGCAATTATCACTTATTCCATGCAAGGGTTAGATCGTGGCACTATTTATTCATTGTCAATTTCTTCGAGGGATCAAAGCTTTGTGGTTTATTTGGATATATAAGCTCCTTTTCACTTGGCCCGAGACCTTACGTCTTTGATTGTGGAGCTAATTACTTGACCGTGGACTGTAAGTGTATGATTTCCTATGCCAAACCTTCGTTAACACTATCTAGCGCAACTGGCAAGATAAAGCAAGATCTGACTACCTCGACTGAGCTAAAACGAAACTTAGTTGATAATACTGTAGAATAGAGCTGGAAAATGTCAATAACCCCAAAGGACATCGAGGAGTTCTACAAAGCACAAGCATTGGAAGAGAAACAGAATGGCAAGGCGTCACTACCCATAAAATACACGAAAAGGTCGCGTATGTCCATTGGGGAAATCCTAGACCTTCCCATCGCCCTCCTCTCACTACCCATCGTCGGCTTCCTCGCTCTTCTCACCGGTCCGTTCCGAGCGAGGAAGCAGAAGCTGAATCCGCAGCAAACCGTTGCACGGACACTGCTTCTTCATGTCGGTTATTCAATTCTCAGGAGAGTTGTATCCCGGTTTTCGCCGTTGCAGATACAGTATGTTTCAGCCAGTATTAAGTGTTGTGGCTAGAGGTTGATTGAAGTCAATACAGATCGGTATCACCATCGACGACTGCTGAGTATAAGATCTACATTTGGAAGAAAGGGCTTAAGGATCATACCGTTGACCTCGGAGGAGGCGCGAAGGGACACTGGTTGGGGAATAAGGAAGCGAAGAATGTTTTAATCTGGATCCACGGTCAGTCCATGCCTATTCATTAAATTCATATCTAGTGTTACAGAAACTGATAGAGGATTATCAGGAGGTGGTTTCGCCTGCCCTGCAAATAGAGGCTATTTTGCCTTTTTTGGAAAGTTCCTCAGCGAGATGCAAGCTGCAGGCAAGGATATTGCGATTTTCGTAGTCGCATACACCCTGATCCCAGCAGGGACATACCCGACGCAACTGCGCCAGTCAGTAAGCGCACTGCGCTACATTCTCAAAAACACAAACCGCAAAGCCGACAATGTTTACTTCGGCGGCGACTCTGCCGGTGGAAACCTCGTTCTCGGAGTGTTGAGCCACCTTGCACACCCGCATCCTGAAATTGAGGCGCTCAAGCTTGCTAATGGAGAGGAGATTGGCGGTGCGACGTTATTTTCGCCTTGGACCTCGCTCGAAACTGTCTTCCCACCGCAGGATACAGAGCCACTAGGCGATTTGATTCACCCTCTCTGCGCGAAGTCTTGGGCTGGAGGCTACTTGGCTGGACGGGCAAGGGATAACTATACCGATGCCCGGTTGGCGCCGCTCGACTGGTGGCACAGTGTCCCTGTGAAAAAGGTCCTGGTTACCGCTGGTAACTATGAGTTATTGTACCCATTCATCGATGATTTCCAAGCGAAGTTGAAGGCTGGGCTTGGAGAGGATAAAGTGGAATACGTCGTTGGACAGGGAGAGGCTCATGTTGCGCCTATGTTTAATTTGATGCTAGGCGATAAAGTTGAGACGGAGCAGGGAAAGAAAGCTAAGGAGTTCTTCAGGGAGTTGATCTAAGTAGATTAATGTTTTTATGAGTATGAGTATGATGGTTTAGTGATTATTGTGCATGGCGGACAGCTATGATTTGAGTGTTGTTTAAAATCTAATTTTGACAGCCCTTATTTTATGACAGAAGATTAAGAGAATAAATGTCAAGTCTCCTCCGGTCAACTGGTTAATCTATATAGGCAATGGCAACATTATGTGATGCCTATGAGGTGAGCTAACAAAGCGCAATGACCGCTGACACTTGAGAGAAGTTTAGGGATTCTAGTTACAATCTTTGTAATTGAGGCTTAAATGATACTACAAACTTACAAATGAGTTCACGTGGCATAATTGTTATAAGAAGTGTATAGATATCCTTTGATAGACACTAGAAAGGATCTTACCTATGGCTCGCAGATAGAGACCCATCTTACATATGTAACTATATGGCTAGCCAATGATTTAGAATCGTAGCTATTTCGAATCCAAACCATCCCCCCGCAAGACCCTGTATCCCCACTTCCCCAGCCCGTTTAACTGACTTAACTGGATGGAATATCGTGGAGGTCTAAATGCCCCGCAGCGTCAGATTACGGTGGATTTCAAAAAAAAAAAACTCTATCAGCTATTACATTTTGCTTGTTGCGTATTATCTTCTTGACGGACTTTGGGTTCGAAAGCGTGGCAGAAGCTGACTGTCTTGTTGCAGAGGACACTGTGCTGGGTAGTGCTTGTGTGGGAGGAACGACTGTTGAAGACGTTGTTAAGCTTGTATTGGCGAATGTGTCGCAAATCGGAGGCGGAGAACAGAAACATCGAATTCATATACATCGCAAAAAGAGGCAATCTTGGAGCCATTCCGCGAATAAACCCTTTTCCTTTTTCTTCTCATCTACCCTCCCGCATTGAATTGACTTGCGGGTTGCCCGAGAATAACAGTTTCTCCTCCCTTTAATGTGTGAAATCCCCCTTTAATACACTAAACACCGAGAAGGCTTCAATATAGATGTCTAGTGCATCTAGCCTTCAATATTGCCACCCAATCAGCAATTCAATGTTAGATTGAAAACCCAGTCAGAAAAACCCAGCAGCCGTGGTCAAAAACCCAGCCCGGAATAAACAAAGGACTTTAAATATTTCTAAAGGAGCGCTTGTGATCAACAGGGTGAAAAAAATGTTTAATTAGTTTATCAGAAAAGCTAGAGCTTGTGTGGAGCCGAATACTATATTCTAAGCCAGACAAAGGCGGAGTGAAAGTTGAAACACTCGTGGAAACAGGCATCCAATGAAGTAGACAGCAGATCATCGTCATTATTTTGGGCAAGTCAAGACTCAGGACAAGTTTTGCAGTCTGACATTGGTGACTCACTTGTCAGATTGTTAGGTGCAGATTTTCTTGTGTTACAGTAGTAAAATGTAGTGGCGGCTTTCGGAGTCCCGGCCGTGCCGAACTCCGATCCACATTTAGTGATTTCCGGCAATGGACGAGCCCGGATTTTGCTTTCTTGTACACAATAATAACGTACCCCCATCGGATTTCATGCAAGTTGGTGGTGTTGAAGTTCGGGTTACCGACTAGCTGATACTTACCCGATTTTTGCAGCATGGAGCACAGTGCAGGAAAACCCGCGCCGTACGGCCGGGCTTGCATCAACTGTGCTCGGGCGAAATGCAAATGCATTCTGCGTGACGAAGGCAGTAGCTGTGAAAGGTGGAGATCCATCACTAAGACGAAGCCAACCAAGGTTTTCCAAAACTGATTTGTTCGAATAGATGTTCTCGTTTGAAAAAGCAATGCACGCCTTCACCGACTGTGAGAAAGAAACGGCAAAGAGGCAGCAATTCACAGACTGCTCGATTGGAGCAGAAACTAGATGGCCTGGTTTCCTTGTTGAAATCTGGGAATCGAAATAATGACTATTTTGGAAATACGTCTGCCGATGCATCCCCTGAGTGGGGTTTGAATGGAAACAGACAAAGTGAAACGGCAGAAGCATCTCATAGAGAAACACCAACCAGCACGAACAAAACGGTCGCTGCTCATACCATCAGCTCGTTGACGAATAGTATCAGCCCCTTGACGCCAGTCTCAGAATCACTAGCTCCATTCCCATATGCTATTCCCCCCGATGCCGACGTCTCTGCCGAAGACTCAGAGCATTATGTCCATATGTTCCGTACCCAGTATCTCAAGTTTTTTCCATTCTTCTGGCTTCGGGAGGGAAAGACGTCTCTTGAACTACGCCAAGAGTACCCCTTTCTATGGCTTTCCATTATGTCTATTTCTTCAACCCTTCTACCACAGCAAATGGCTCTAGCCCGGGTGGTGCGGGAGGTGACTTCACAAGAAATCATCATGAAAGGGGAGCGGAGTATTGATCTATTATTAGGCTTACTCTGCGTTGTCGCTTGGTATGTTAATTTTATTCTTTCTTGAGTCAAGGTCTCACAAGCTTACCGAGTTAGGGGGCATGCTCAGGTTCATTTAGGACCCCTCCTCGCAGTATTCTCCCATCTTATTATTGCGGTTGCAAACGATCTTGAACTTCACAAAGCACCAACAAAAGACTTTACCAAAATTCCTGGTTGTCCACCGCCAAATATTCACTATAAGTTCAAGATTCCCAACACAAGAACCATGGAACACCGACGCACTATCTTGGCTTGCTTCTTACTTACGGCAAGGTACTTGTTCCACTCTTCCGTCGATCTCAGCGAAACAAGCTAAAGGTTTTCAGCTTTGCATCAAACCATCAAAGGAACGATGGAATGTCATGGTCTCCATACCTTGATCAGTGTTTGAAGATCCTCGAGGAGTCAAAAGAAGCCCCGGATGACGAGTTTCTGGTGAACTGGATAAAAATACAGCATATAAAAAGCAAGAGTGTTGAAATTTTCACCCAGATCCGTGATTCCGACCACGAAGAATCTACGCGGTCTATCGGATCTCACGTATTCTCTCTAAAACATCAGTTGGAGTATATGAAGGAACAGATACCCTCCTATATCGCCACAAACCGTGAGTATTTTATCGTTCATACACATATCATTCTTGACCTCCCCCCTTTTTTTCTGACTGTCTTTAGAACTTTTACAACTCTCGCTATATAGTGCTGAAATGGCTATTCATGAGCTCGTGCTGTTACGTCTTGAGTTTGTACCTCTCGCCAGAGAGATCGGGTCTCAAACAATAGACGGCCTTTTCGGATGTCTCCGAGCCATAAGGTCCTTCCTGGATATTCTACTACAATACAAACCAACTGAATATCTCGGCCTCTCCTTTTTCATTTGGAAGCAGATGAGCTCGGCCGTATTCCTACTCGCGCGACTAGTTTCGTTGGGTGATCCTGGATGGGATGTCGGCTATGTGAAACGCGTGGTTGACCTCCCTAGTACTCTCGGTCAATTTTCTAGGAATATTGAGTACCTGGTGAACGTGTCTGGATGGAAATCGGCTACTCAAGAAAATGTTTATATGAGATCAACGCGAATGCTTGGGTTGATGAGCAATTGGGCTCAGTCGATATATCACTGTATTGATCAAGCGACTGGCACTGCTGCTACTCAAGAACCTATATCGATGCACCAGGCAGGTGCGCTGGCAACATTCGAAGACCAAGAACCGGGACGACGGCACGAGCAACAAAATCACACCGCAACAGGTGAAGCAATGGTGACTGCACAGCCGATGCAGATTCCGAATGCAATGCAGAACGCGCCAATAGTTCCGACTTTTGAGCCCGAGTTTTGGTCTGACGATATGTTTGGATTGTGGGATATTCACTCAGGAAGGGGGTTCACATTCGAGGAGTAAACGGTTCAGGATGGCTTGGGATTAGAAATATAGGGGTAGTATCGATTAATGACTCATTGGTTACAAGGTTGCGGGGTTTATCAGTAATATCAATGTGAGGGAGATGATATTGAGAATAGGAAAGGTTGTAATAACTTTCTGTCTCCTCATTATTTCAAATGTTGGAATGTAATACTACTGTGGCTGTACTTATGCACCTTCGGCGATGGAAAGACATGCCGATTTGGGAAGTTTGGCGAGAGATATAACTCCACACTGGCGATTTTGTTTCCTGCATATATCTAAATTTACATGTATTGTAACTATTACTGATTTAAAATGCTGTTAAGTTAGTATCTATTATTAAATATTCTATCTAGACGCCCATCTAGGAATGAAACAACACAACGCCGTCAGCCCTTTGAAGTGGAGATCAACCGAGCAATGCTATAACTAGTAAATGCAGTAGTAATTTCTAAGACACGAAGGCAATCAAGCCTCACTTTTACTGCCCTTCGTCTCTCCATCCTTTTCCAAGCCTACCTCAGGGTCTTTGTCCGCAACCTGCTCCTCTTTCTTCTTATCCTTCTTCCGAATATCCTTCCAGCCCATGAAACACGACACAACCATCATCGCACACGACGTGCCAGCCACCAGGTAGAAAATCGCATTAATGCTCTTCGAATACGCGACCAAGACCTCCATCAACATCGCCGCATTTCCGTGCACCGCCTGATCAACGCCCGACGCACCGGCATCAATCACCGCCGCAGCATCCACGTCGGGGGCGTATTTTTGTAGATTCTGGCGCAGTGTCGTTGATAGAATGGTTTCGCCGAAGGTCAGCCAGACTGCACCGCCAAAGGTTTGGCAGAAGGATATCAGGGCCATGGAAACGGGCACCATGTTTGGAGGAAGAGCGTTTTGAACGGCGATCATCGGTACTTGCATGCCCAGACCGCGAGCGAAGCCCATCAGGATCTGGTAGCCGATCCAGCGTCCAGTTGAAGTGGTCAGGGAGAAGGTCGACATGAGACCGCCGGACACGGCCCACAACATGCAACTGGCGACGATGAAGGGGAGATAGTACCCGACGCGGCCGACTAGAAGAAGTTAGATATGGAGATGAGACAGAGATGCAGAGGGGGGGGGGGGGCATACTGATGACACCGGATGTAACAGCAGTAAAGAGCTGCGCAATAATGTTCGGAAGGGTATAAACACCACTCAACAAAGCCGACTTCTGCCTAACGGTTTGGAAGTAAATTGGGATGTAGTAGGATGAGACTTGTACGCAGCCGAAGTAGAACAGCATCACCAAACATGAGGTCCAGACGGGTCTGAGCTTGATCATTGAGAACGGCAGCATCGCGTTGTCGCCCTCGAAGTACTCCCAGACCAAAAACACGATCAGCGTCGCTCCGGAGCCACAGAAAAGTCCGATCACCACGGAGCTGTTCCAGGCGTACTGGTTGCCACCGTAGTCGAGGGCGAGGAAGAATTGGATTGAGGCAGGGGCGAATAGTGCGAAGCCAATCAGGTCAAGCTTTGTGCGGATGATTTCGAGAACAGGTAGGGTGCGTGGTTTGACGGTTTCGGGCGGCTGGATGAATAAAAGGAAGACTGCGGCGACGGCGCCGACGGGGAGGTTAATGTAAAAGCCTGGAGATGGATTAGCTGGGATTAGGAGAAGATATGGGGATACGTACACCATCGCCAGCTAACATAGGTGGTAAATGCACCGCCTAGAAGCGGGCCACATACAATGCCCATCTGGGACAAACCCATCAGGATACCAAAGTACTTGGGTCGTTTGTGTAGTGGGATGGAGGCGGAAATGATCGTCAGACCACCATTGATAAGCCCCGAACCACCAATACCAGCTATGGCTCTGGCGATAATAAGCATCTTGGACGAAGTAGCAACACCGCAGAGAAGTGAGCCGAGCTCGAAGATGCCAAAGAAGACCAGGAATGTCCACTGTAGTCTCGTTAGCTTCATTCATACTCAGGGAAATGGTATTGGGCGTTTCGCTTGCCTTGGAGCGAAAGTTGGAGTATAGCTTTCCGGCTAGCGGTTGTAAGGAGGCGCTATGATTTATGTTAGGATCAGAGTCAATTGATAGATATTTATGGGAATGAGCTTACCAAGCTAGTTGGTATGAACTTCCATACCAACCCACATCTTCAAGCGAGTGAAATCTACTCGTAATACTCGGAATGGCCTGCATTCGTTAGCTCCTATTTTTCCATATCCAGGGTTTATGCTCAAGTGAAAACATACAGTAGCAACAATCGACATGTCAATCATAACCAAGAAGAACACCAGCGTCAGCGATCCCAGCAGAGCATATAGCCTGAATCCAGAGATATACTGTGGCTCTGATTGGGTACGTGTGACCGTGATGGCAGTAGCGTCTTCAGCATCTTCTTTGTTTGACATGAAATCTGCAGGTTCAGTTGTTTCTTGTGCTCTGTTTACTGATGGCGGGTAGCTGGAAGACTCAACAGCGTGAGTAGGCGCGGCCGGGTGTTTTTCTATTGCATCTGCTGCGTCACCGTTCAGGGTAGATGCGATAGAGGTATTATCGGGTCGTTTTTCGTCTGCCATGTTGACAGGAATTGATTTCTGGTGTCTCTTTTTCTCGATAAAAGCTGAGAATGAAGCTATGCTTGAGCCTCATAGGAGGTGTAAGATTACGGCGGGGATGATATCAAAAGGCGTACGTAATACTAGTATGGCTCGAGATAATCACGAAACACACAACATTTGAAACAAGTGGACTCAAACAATACACTTGAAAATTTGAATCTTCCCAAGAATTGTTTCTGTAATATGGACAACACCTTGCCTTTATTTAACAAATATGACCAGCTGAAAACTTCGCCAATCCTATTTATTTTTCAGCTTAAATCCGAGGATCAATACGGTCTTCGGTGTTGGCAGGGTTCATGCATCGCCCGAAATCCGGTCCAGGCTACAGCCTTCCAAATATGACTAGTAAGAAAACAGTAAGTAATCGTATGGCCTGTCGCAGCCTAGGATGTTAGTCTGTTGGATTAATAATTAATTATTCTGGTCTGCTAACTAACTTAGTTAAATGGCTTACCCAGTCATACTCTTATCGTCGACTCATCGGAGCCAGAGTTGGTTCTGAAATCCGACACATTAATTGGTATTTCCGTGAATTTCCACATTGGAATGATGTACGAGGGCTTCGGAATTCAAGTATGCCCTACGTACCAGCAGAGTTGAGGCACTCCTGAGTCGCTCAGCTTATTCATGAGTAGGAAAATCCGAGTCTTCTGTTTTACGATATAGAGATTGTTCGATTGTCTGATTAATTGAGATGAATTACACTTGTAGATAATTTAAAATAACTCGGTTAAGATGAGCTTCTCGCTGAACATCAAGTCTCTTATTTTCATTCATTCCTTAGAAAATAGAAAAGAAAAAGAACAAAAAGCAGGAGCAACAACCAACTTCCGGTCCGAAACCTTTATTCAATGATTATGTCGTGGCCCATCTTGTTGCGCTAAGCGTTGATATTTGATCGCTTTCCTTAGGACCATCCCATCACCCAACTGCTCAGTCTCCTGACGGAATATTTCCTGCCACGGTGTACTGCTAGGATACAATGGATATCCCCCGTTGCTCTCTAACTCCTGTCTCCGCCTCTTGATCTCATCATCGTTGATTAGAATATCCACCCGTCGTTTTGGCAAGTCAATTCGAAGTCTGTCTCCGTCCTGCAAAATAGCCAGATTCCCACCTGCAGCAGCCTCTGGAGTTGCATTGAGAATGGAAGGACACGCCGAAGTCCCAGACTGCCGCCCATCACCGATGCAAAACAGCGCATCAATACCCTGCTTAAGCAGTCGCCCTGGCGGGTGCATGTTCACGACTTCAGCTGCTCCAGGGTATCCCAACGGTCCCACGCCTCGCATAACCAAAATTGTGCGGTCATCAATTTCAGCCATCGACTCTATACGGCGATGATAATCTTCTGGTCCGTCGAATACGGCAACTGATCCCTCGAATGCGTCTGGATCATTAGGGTCGGATAGGTATCGCTGGCGAAATTGAGGAGACACCGCACAGATTTTCATTATCGCAGAGTCGAATAGTGTGCCTTTGAGATGAATGAAGCCGGCTTCCTTTAATAACGGCTCTTGGAATGGACGGATAACACTTCGATTCCACGAATGCTTGCCATTTGTATTTTCATATATGGTACACCCATTGCAAGTCATGCTATTAGGATGTAATTTCCCGGCATCAAACAACTCTGCCATAATGGCTGGAAGACCTCCAGCGCGGTAATAGTCCTCTCCAAGGAACTCCCCCGCTGGTTGCATGTTCAGAAGTAATGGGATCTGAGCGCCGATCTCATCCCAATCGTCCATCGATATCTCAATGCCCATATGCTTCGCGATCGCGTTTATGTGAATCGGAGCATTCGTGCTGCCACCAATAGCAGCATTCACCACAATCGCATTCTCGAATGCTTCGCGTGTCATCAAGTCACTTGGCTTTCGGTCTGACTCGACCATTTCGACGATTTGTTTACCTGTCTCGTAAGCACATTGGCCCCGTTGTCGATACGGAGCCGGGATGGCTGCTGATCCTGGAAGCGCCATGCCGAGGGCTTCTGCAAGTGCATTCATGGTTGATGCTGTTCCCATTGTATTACAGTGGCCAACAGATGGGGTTCTAGATATTTGAAAGTTACAATGCGTTCATTACTGCTCGACGGATAGGTGTTGTTTGGCTTACCCATGAGAAACGTAATCCATGAATTCTTTCTCGTCAATCTCCCCGGCTGCATAAAGTTCTCTGCTTTTCCAAATCACTGAACCTGACCCACATAGGCTTGCTTCGGAATAGCCGTTCAGCATCGGGCCTACGTTCATGCAAATTGCTGGGATATTCTGAGCATCGTTAGAGTAAGTACGAGTTGAAATATAAGAAGAAATAAGAACCATGGACATACCACGGAAGCAGCTGCCATCAAAAAAGCAGGAGTCGTTTTATCGCACCCCGTCAAAAGTACGATACCATCCAGAAAGTAACCAGTCATCACTTCGACCAGACCAAGATACGCCAAATTCCGATCCAAAGTCGCGGTTGGTCGCCGCGACGTTTCTTGAATCGGATGTGTAGGAAACTCAATTGCAATGCCACCAGCAGTGCGAATCCCTTCGCGTACCCGCTTGGCGAGTTCAATATGATGACGATTACACGGAGCAATGTCGGAGCCTGACTGCGCAATTCCAATAATCGGCATCCCGGACATCAGCTCCTCTCGGGTGATTCCATAGTTGAAATACCGCTCCATATAGAGGGCTGTCATGCCAGGATCGTCTTGACAGTTGAACCATTTGGATGATCGAAGTGGCCGTTTGGGCGTTGGCGGTTTTGGTTTGCTAGAACACTCCCGGTTGATCCCCAGTCTGTTTTCTAGATCCCGCGTACGAGTGCGGAAATATTCTAGGTCGCGCATGCAATCTTCAATGTTGATGGTTTGAGGTTCACCCTGAGAACAAGGGCAAGCCTTGCAGGATTCCTTGGACGGATCACACGGCATGATTGGTTATTTCCCAGGGCGCGTATACATGAAAGGGTTGAGAGCATTCCCTCTGTATGTTGATTTCGTGGAAGAGAAAATTTAGAGTAGATGTATTTGAATTTCATATTTTTTATATTGCTCAACCCATCGGGCCGAAAGGTACCGAGTTGGCTGCACATCAGAAAATCGTCGTATGACCGCATGCATCCCATCCGGCCCACTTTCGCCGGTTATTGATTTTCCGATTCGCTGCAAATATGTAGTACAAACCTTAATTGGGTGATATTTCTGAAGAGCATCACAGAAACCAGGAATTAAGAAAATGAAAAATGAAGGAGACCTTGAAAAAAGGTGCTGGGCTTATTGACTTCTTTCAAGCTCTAAACGGATGCATGAGAAAATTGAATTCCCCATCGACCGAAAATCCCTGTGTAACTGCTTCTAGGTCTAGATCCAACAAGTCCGAGTTCATTAAGTCGAGAGGTGGATTAACAGGATCCAGCCATTCAGGCAGTGCAATGACATCTTCTCCAGGACCATAGCCAGCAGCCTGGTGTGACAAATCACCACTCCAGGTCACAGAGTTGTCGTCCGTTATGTTAAACCCTAGATGACTCATAAACTTGTCGAGATTATCCATGGCCACCTCGGCAGCTTTATATAGACGTTTATGGCCTTGCAGTATAGTGCGGCAGACAAGGAGAGATTGAAATGCATTGGAGGTTTTCCCTTTCAATGCCACGATTCGAGCATGTACGGTTGCACTGATGTATGTCGCATACGAGAGCATATATGGGGCGCTGTCGATGGAAAAACGCTCACAATAGTCCTGCAAAATCTGAACTATTTGGTTCGCAGCAGTGGTACAGGAATTTACTGACTCATGAGCAGTCAATGATCTTTGACGGCCATTATTTTCAGTAATGAGAGGTCGTTGTGAGAGAATTATGAGAACATTGTACAAAGCCCTAATTTATTAGCATGAGCTGAAAAGTCACTGAGACGAACATACAAAAGGCAGAGAGATTGTGGTAGTATGACTGAGTCACTCCTGGGATGTAAAAGATAGTCCATCTCGGGAGGAAGACTCGCCCGCCATTTTTTCAAATTCGATTTGATATCCGCAAAGATATTCACGTTCTGGATCTGCTTCGCTTCCAATCCTGGTCCGGGATAGATCTCGCTCAGAATGCGCTCGATGATGATAGACACCTCGCAAAGCTTAGTCAGTAATGTGACATTCATAGATGGTACGGCTGGGGTTTCTGTGGTTGCCGTATAAGTAAGGCCTTGGAACTGTTCAAGTTCATCATATTCGTCTAAGAATCTGAGGGGAACATTGAAGTTGACCCTGCGGAGGATCGGGGGTCGACCCTGATAGAGGCACTGAACTTTGTCGATTGCTGATACCCATTAGCCAATTTCTGGTGAAAGGACGAGTATTTCCTTTTGCTTACAGTATGCACCCCACAGAATTCGTTTTCGGATTTCGAGTTCCTCTGCTGATATGCTGTTCATCGACGGCAATACGTGCAGCCCAAGATCAATAATCATATTGAAAGCATTGCCAGCATATAACCATGAAGTACTCCGTTCGTCACATCTCGAGAATAGTGCGTTTGACACTATCAGCAATGCCTGCAAGGTAGTAATTTCACTTCTATCAAAACTGTATCTCAGCAGCTCAGTAAAACGTTGGCGAAATTTCCATCCAGCAGTTGTAATATCCTCGGGGTCAGAACGTAGCTCTGGGCGGGGATTATGTTTTGAGACGACGAAAAAAATGGCATTTAGTAGCAGTTTGGAAAAATAGGGTCCTCCGCAGGCCATATCCCGCATGAATGCCGGTCGGTAGATAATTTGTGCCGTATAAAGCTGCCGGCTCCAATACATTAATAGTAATTCTTTTCCAATTTCAGGATCAACGTCGTCAAAGTCGAGTCGACCAGCAGCAAGATCAAATGGCTCCAATTGTCCTAAAGCGACTACATTAGTGGTGAAGTCTTCTGCATCTATGTATAACTTGGCTTACTTTGTTTGGCCGTCTGAGTAAATAGGAGATGTCGAGAACGGTCTAGATCGGCAATCGATTCGATATTTTCGGTATCTTGTGGCGAAGACTTGGCAGTTTCATCGTAGGCAGTACTAGTCGCTCCATGATATAAGGATACGCTGCTTCTATTTCTCTCGATTGGAGCTTCTGGGTGCGGTATATCATTCGTATATTGGTGGCGCGGTGTGTTGACTGTACCTGGAGTCTGGAACGACGGTCCTTCACGGAGCGACTCCGATTCTTCCCTACCTTTTACAGATACTTCATCCAGGAGCTGGGTGTAGCGTTGACGAAGGGCTTTATTTTCTAGCTCCAGTTGTGCAATTCGACTATTTGTCGGCCTTTATTGCTAATATGTCAGTAATGTTGGAGGGAATTGTAGATACTGATCTTCACCTTGGTTTGTGCAAAACAGTGCCTTGTTGACATTCGACGCCTTTTGCGAAGCAATTACCACATTTTGGTTTGATAGAGTCGCACTTTAACTATTCGGTTCAAATAAATCAGCCCGCCGCTTAATTCTCTAAAGATGATCCAAAGTTCTGTACCTTTTTTTGGCGGCAGGAAAGGCATGCCACTGCTGCCCGACCACGGCTTCGCCTATTCGGCATGATCCCAGGTTGAAGCCCATTCACGCTAGCGTGCTAGTTATTACGTGCGTTAGTTGTCTTTATCGGTGGCGTATTCGGGTGGTTGAAAAAATACATGAGGTTTGTGGTACAGTTCGGAAGGTCACCAGCCGAGTGCCCCACCTCCATCCCAGGCTCTTTTTTTACAATCAATTGAGTAATGTTCGAGGGCCTTAATATTTTAAGGACTGCGTGTGAATTCTGTTGGTATGGCATTGCTCAATAATTTACACCTGAGTATTATGTGAAAAGCCTAGACAATGTTTACCGGTGGAAGGGGGATTTTGGTGCCCAAAAATTCAAATGTTTCAGGGAATCAACCAAAAGTGTTGATAGATGTAGAAAATTTAAAAAGTCGAAACAGACCACCGGCTCAGACCCGCCGGCGCGCGCAGTCCTGATATTAATTGACATATGACTATTAAAGATATAAACAAGATTGGGAAATATATGGACAGAAATTGAGTATATATCCAAAACGATGAGCGTGTATATTCCCACTCATGTTATAATACCCTTATAACACCGGTGGTGAATCGGAGGTCCGACCAAACCAAGAAAAGCTAACAACAGAAAAGATACACAGAGAAAGACTGCGGTGAGAGGTATCACGGAGTATCACAAGGAAGTGAGACAGGGAATATATTGACATGAAGGAGAAATTCAAAATAACACCAAAGCTCCCAAAACAATAGACCAAGAAGAATAAAATAGTCATAACCATTCAAAAATTTACTCGGGAAGGCTTTTGTGTTATATGAATTACTTCATTTCAACATATCCCTTTTGTCTCCACTCGGCCTGCATGTTCATCATCTCGGTGCGTTCTTGCATGAATTTGTTGTTTTGTACATTCCATTCACGCTTGCCGACCCGGCGTTGCTTGATGCAGCAGAACAACAGAACCATCAGACCGATTGCCGCAACACCTCCAGCAGAGGCATAGATGGCGATCTTGGAGCCCGAGGACAGGTTGGCCCACTTTTGGGCTAAACTTTCATGTACGGTGTTGAGTGTGGCTTCGGCAGTTGAGTTTCCACTATTCATTGTTAGTACTTTTTCAGGTCTAGTTGCATAGTTCAGGGAAAACTTACGCAACAACGTTGATGCTCTGCCAAGTTCCGCTGTGGCCGTTGTAGGAGTATTCCTTGCCGGTAGAAAAGTCCTGGGCGCTCAATTGCGAGACGTACATGTTGTACGGACCAGCGTTGTAGTCGATCTCACCACCAGCCCAAATGATTGTGCCGTTGGGTTCCGAAGGGTCACCACCCGGCCACATACCAACACGAATCGTCATGGGGGTTTGCGGGTACCAGGTGCCACTACTGTTGGTAGCATTGTCATAGGTCAGAGTACGGAGCAGCTGGCCATCGTACCACCACTCGAGCTTGTCCTTATCCCACCATGTGGTGTAATTGTGGAAGGCGTCGGTTGTTGAACCACTAATATTGTGTGTCTGGCCGGTGTGTGGGAGGGTAATACCCTTTCCATAGTAGTTGGATTGCACCTGAGTGTTCTCTGAGCCTACCCACTCCCAGTCGATCTCGTCGAGATCGTCAGACTCGAGCACCACACTGCTGATGACGCCGTGGCCGGGGGCGGCCTGGACGTGATATTCCATGCGGCCGAAGAAGATGTAGAAGTTCGATTTGAAAGTGGGCGAGTCCATCTTTTTCTGGATCGACAATTTCAGGGAGCTATCGGTATAGTCGACGGCGCCGTTGGTCACGTTCCACGTGCTGTCCAGGAGAGAATTGGAGCTGAAGTTCCATGTGTGCGATGTGCCCAGCGCTGGGTCTGCCGGGCAGTCATGCGTCAGGGGCTGGCATTCCGTGGAGGTTTGGGCGTTGACGGTCGAGACGGCAGCGGCGAGCAGAGCCGCAAGAAGAGAGAACCGGGTCATGGTGTGCAGCAGCAAAATCGCTGTCGAGTAGAGAATGCAGTGCGAGAGTGATCGCACGAGTCGAAGTAAAGAGCGTAGTATGGGGTGTCGAGACCGAACACCCGTGAGCCGAATAAGCCAGACAGCGGCTGGAAAGGAGAGGACCGTAAACAAGTTACTTGGGAGGTATAAAGAGTGACGCTCGACGATTGTCGATAGGATGGACAGGAACGGGTCTCGCGAGGACGGGAGAGGAGAGGAGAGGAGAGAAGAGACGGCTGGGACAGAACGCAGCCGGGAATATTAATTCGCAGCAGGGCCAGAGACCAGGCCAGCCTCAGCCTCTGCTCCCAGCGTGCCATACACTAAGTAACTAGTAACGTCTACCTGGAGCACTACAGCAGAAGCAGCACAGCGCGGCGAACTAGCCCTGACGCCAGGCTGTGTACGGTTAGCCTTCAGCCGACGCCAGGGGGCGTTGATTACCTCTGCTGTTGTGATTGGCCGGTACCTGACCCGGACCCGCCACCGCACAGACTCGTAATTGCACATATTAGCATTCATTTGTCTTCCCACATTGTATATTGGTTTATATTATATATATATATATATTATAACATGTTACAGCAGGATATACTCATCTGTAATATGAGTATATATCAGGAGATACCAGCGCAGACTGCAAAGCAGGAAAAGCATGCTGAGAGAACCGGCCTCGGCGTCTCCTGATTGGCTGCCACCAGCTGACACGCTAGGCAGCCCCACGGTTTCGCCAAATCCACTTGCTCAATACGGCTAGTGCTATGCTCCCCCTATTCTATTCTGAGATTCTGCAGGCTCAACAATTTATTCTTCCATAAGCGGTTCCTATATGCCCGGCGTAATCAGTACTTACTACCAGGTTACGGTGAATGGGACGCATAATTCAGTACCAGTTCTTGTTTACTGAGTCTGGTGCCGGAGTAAATAATTCAACAATCCTCCAAATCATCTCACATGTCTCAGCCAAAACTCAACCAAACGCCGCCATGCCCGGTGGCTTATCGGGGGTTATCTAATAGGCTAATTGCCTGGGTTCTGCCCGTAGCACGCATCAGGTCGTCTTGCGGATATACGATCAGCTTCACGTAAAGATAGGATGTAAGTATATCTCAATCATGACTATTGAAAGTGGAATAATAATCTCATCACTACTTGTGCCACACACGTGCCGATTGTGAGGTTATTATCGTGCCGATCTCCGAACTATACCCTGCACGAGGTACTATTAATCGCATAAACTAGTGGAAAATAGGATCCATCATAACGACATCTGAAAAAACCATCAATTTATACAACTTCAAGCACACCCTGCAATTTGACTAACAATGACATAACCGCCGACATAAAGCATAGATTAAACATTCGTTCATTTCATTATACATATCCCATCAACATAGACCAACTATCAAAACGTGCCGCCAATATCTGGGGCCTTCTTCATCTCAACCCTAACTTAAGTGGTACTGCCTGCATACTCAGCATCATCTAGCTCAACCATCCCACCAACCCATTTGGCCAATATCAACCCATCAAGAAGAGACATAAACCCTCTCCGGCCTCTGCACTCTAATAACCTCACTCACCCCACTCCCTCGCCGGCTATGGCTCCTCGTCGGCTTCTCGATATAATCCACATAATCTGGACCCGACCGAACACTTCTTCTACGTCGGCGTCTTGCCGGCGTCTGGCTGTAGACAATATCCGATGTGTCCGGGTGCCTGTTTCCAGGAGCGCCCGGCAGGAAGCATGTTTTGATGAGCCAGACGATCAGCAGCGTGCCGGCGATTGTGCCGAGGACGACACCTGCGATGGCACCGCCGGAGAGGCCGCTGCAGGAAGAGGAGGAGGAGGAAGATTGGCGGGTGATGAGGTTGATGGGGGCCTGTGTTTATATTCTTGGTTAGTGGAGTTTTCCAATATGATATCATGATGGTGAGGATCCGCTTATGAACGGGTATATCCGATTGGCAATGTGGAACGTGGAACACAGAACGTACCATGGTTAAGATGAGACTGCAGCAACAACTTGAGTAAAGTATCGCAATCAATCTATTGATTGGTTGATGTCGATTGCACGACGCAGAAATACTTGCGCTCGGCTAGTAATAATGGCGGGGAAGAGACCAAGCAATCACTCAATGCGTCAAGCAAGCTTAATCAGATTAAGCTCTCACATCAACACCCAATTCAGGTTTATCACGCAGGAGACCAACGAAAAAGCACTTTTCAAGCAAAATGACGGTAGAGAAGAGGGGTAAATTATATGCTTCCTTTATATATTATACACCAGCCGCTAAGCTCTGCCTTGTTCTTGTTTATCGGGAAGTGAGGGTCGTGATTGTCCCGTGACGTCAGACCCACGGCACGTTCAAGGTTGGTTTTCAGCTTGTATGATCACGGCTGTGGCCAATAAGAGGATCAATTGCGAAGAGGATCACATTATTTGCTTATTATTAATATTTTATACCGAGATTACCATTCCTATTTGGATAATTTATGTATGGTTGGTGGAGTCAGGATTATTATTCATATGATGCAAGGACTTGGTCCACTCGGAAATTTTATTGACCACTGGAACTGCTTTGTCTGTATTCCATCACGCGGTACATACTTAGAAGTGGGATGTCATGCATATATGAAACCACCTAGTTTAATGTGACAGGTTTGGCCCTCCTGGTTGGTCGAAGACATCAATCGGACACTCATGCCTACATCATTGGCCAATTCGAGTTTATTAAAGAATTTAGACTAATATGAGACAAGTCTTACTATAGTATTAAAGTTTTCTGCCTATCTTTCATCTGCATGTGCACTAGTTTATATCAGATCAATTCAGATTAATTTCAGCGTTGGGGGGGGGGGGGGGGGGGGGCAGCTGTAGGTAATGCCCAAAGTTCAAATATTATTGATATTGATATTGGAGGGCCCTTACATAGGTATACCCAATCCATTTTTGTGGTGCTATATTCACACGTTGGCCCCCTTCAAACGTTCAATGTTACTGTAATTGGCTGGATGGGGTTGATAAGCAGATCAGTTGAAATGACCATTAACGTACTAAAATCATATCATAACATGTCACCATTGAACCCCTGAACCCATGAGCCATATCAGGTAAAAACGTCGGTCACAAATCTCTCATTTGTCCTCAACATCTCGAAAAACCTCTCCACCGCTGCCTCCTCATCCAGTTCAGGGCTCATTTTTTGCGTCACAGACCCATCGGCCAACTTCTTCCTCCTCTCACCCACATACAACTTCTTAATAGTCTCACGAACGCCATTCCCAACACTATTACTACCGCAGACATAAATCCGAGCACCCGCGTTAAACAAATCAATCAGATCCGCACCATTAGCAAGCATCGCGTCCTGAACATACCCTTTCTTTTGCCCCGTACCCTCCGGTCGTGAATACGCCCAATGAACCTGCACCGCACCCAGCCGCTCCCACTCCGCGAGTTCCTCAGCGTGCAGATCATCCTTGTCCTTTGTGCGACAGCCCGCATACAGAATTGCCGTGGCCGGTTTCAAGTCGCTGTCACCGCCGCGAGCCTTGATTTTCTCTGCCCGATCCATGATGAACCCCCGGAACGGCCCAATTCCGCTGCCCGCCGCAGCCATGATCATTGGCGTCTGCAGATCGACCGGCGGCTTGAAGCCGCTGTTCGACGGACGAACGGAGACGTGCGCACGGTCGCCCGGTTTCAGGGACGAGAGGTAGGTCGATGCCACGCCGAGATAGCGCTCCTCCTCGGACATATCGTGGGCGGCGGATAGAGAGGGAGAGTTGAGGACGGATAGCGTGACGGAGCACTCCGACGGGTCTCGGATTGGAGATGATGAAATCGAATATTGGCGCACCCGCATGGGAGGGAGCATGGACAGGTAGTCGCCGATGGGGAGGTCGATTTTGGGGTATCGGATGAGCAAGTCTAGGGGGCTGATGCGTTTGGCTACAATATCTTGAGCGAACCGGGTCGGGCTCGAGGCGATGAAGCGTAGTTCTGCTTGTGTGTCTGGGTCTGCAGCAGCGGCATCCGCAAGGACGTTGATATCTCTTTTCGAGACTGGCTGGGAAAGCTCAACATAGGTGGATAACAATTCGAATGCGGATATGGGGGTGTCTAGTGGGATCGACGGACCTGATGTTGCCCCAGGTGCTTTCTGGATTGTGAGCATGGCATCCCATGGCAGACCGAACCGGCGGATGGCTTTGCGAACGACATTGCTGGGGTTCACAGGCAGCACGGCGAGGTAGTCACCACATTGGTAGCTCGTATCAGACGGCAATTGAAATTTCACCAAGCGTTTATCGGGGACGTCAGGAGAAGTCAGCAGTTGGTTCTCCACGACAAGAGCCTCGCCGAGATTCAGACCCAATGTTGTTGCGCGCATTCCAGAGCTGATTTTCACATCCAATGCAGACTTTGGTTTCGATTTCTTGCCGTTAGACTTTGCTCCGAGCTGTGATTGCATCGCCGGCCAAAACGAGGATTCGCCCCAGGTGTCGAACGCGGTGAAAATGTCTGCATCGGCCGTGTCCGCCACTCCAATTTCACAGAGGCGATTACCACCGCGTTCTGACACAAGATTATTCACAGCTTTTGGAATGCGGTGGAAGGTTGCAGCCCAGTCACCTAGAGGCAGTGAGTTAGTTTTATAGAAAAATACTCCAGAAGGAAAAAGAAAAAGAAAAGGTGGACATACGGTGACCGGCTCCGAAGACAGCGTAGTTGACGCCCTCTAATTCATTCCCCTTCAATCCATTAAGCCATTCAAAGAACAGAGCGGCATTATCTGGCGGCTGGCCTTCGTACGAAGCGGTAATAAACACAACCGGATCCGACTTGGGAATCTTCTGCATCGCCGAGTCAAGCGAGTCGATACGTGCTGAGTAGCCAAACCCAGCAGCATCTTCAGCCAATCGTCGCGCAAATGCCTCGCAGGTTCCGGTGTTGCTTCCAAAAAAGATATGCATAGGCTTTCCAGCCTCAGCGGGGCCACTCGCAGCTACATGCTTCTGCTCCCGGGTCGCAAGCTTAGTTGCTTGACCGCTGTTCAGAACCGAGTCCAAGGTTGTAGCATCGAGGCCCTCTCGAAGAGTCGCTCTGATTTGGAAGTCCTTTGGTTTGACCGTCAACGCCTGTTTGATGCGCAGGTTGTAGCTCGGGTCATCGAGCTGGAAATTGAAGTTCTGGAGCAGCATAGCCACCACAATGAGCATCTCCTGCCACGCGAACGGCCGCCCAATGCACCCTCTCATACCATTCCCGAATGGCTTCCAGGCGTTTTTGGGATATTTTTCAAATTTACCGTCGAGCATGCGCTCCGGTTTGAATTCGGCTGCATCCTCACCCCAGACTGCAGGGTCGAGATGAAGTTTGGGGATGATGATGACGGCTTTTTCTCCCTTTTCGAGCTTATATTTACCGTTTCCGAGAGTTACTGGATCTTCGTGGTTCTTTGTTGGGTGTGCTTCGACAACGATGGCGGGCGCAGTAGGTCTCAGCCGTAGGGCTTCCCGTAGGCAGGCGTTGATATAAGGTAATTTGGAGAGGTCTTCAACGGTAATCTTCCTGCGACCAATGACATTGTCGACTTCTTCCTGTGCTTTCTTATACGCATGAGGGGTTTTTAGAAGAAAATAAAACAAGAATGAGAGGGATCCGGAAGTCGTTTCATGGCCTATTCAGTCAGATAATCCATTCAAATTCATTAAGCATGGAGCGAAGCATACCCGCAATCAAGAATGTAATCATATTGTTAATAATCGTATCGTCATTTAGTCCCTGACCAGTCTTCGGATCTCTGCCCAGAATCATAGCATTCAGCAAATCCTTCTTCTCTGGCTCGGGGTTATTGCGTCGATCCTCAAGCAGATCACGCGCAATCTTCTGACAAGCAGCGATATCGTTGAAGAATTTCGTGTTGTCGCTGGTTGGGAGACCATTGAGAATGCCAGGGCGACGGGCGCGTTGACCGGCACCTATCAACATACCCATCATGGCGTCGACAAAGGGATGCATTTCTTCATGATAAAAGCTGTTGAAGCGAGTGCCCATCGCGCACAGTGCGATGGTGTCCAGAGTCAAACGAGTGAAGTCATCTGTAGGCGTAATAGCATGCTTGGGGCCCTGTCGGGCCCATTTCAGCACGAGCTGTGTGGCGATATCATACATTTCTAGCCAATTCTCAGCTTCCGTATTCATTTCTTCGACTTGACAGGCAAGTTGTTTATGTTGTTTATATTGGGTCATTACTCACCATCAAACATCCCTCGAATCATTATCGGGCCAAAAGCCGGAACCAGCACACGGTGAGCAATCGCCCAGTTCTCCTCTCCGGGATAATCTGCAGTGAACAGTCCATCATGGATGCCATGGCGAATTTCCCGCAAGCCAGAGAAAACAGCCTTGCGGAAGCGTTCTTCATTGCATACTTCGTCGACTAATTCATGAGAACTAATCAAGACTCGTGAGACACCGAACGTTGTAAGTCGATATATGGGGCCTAGGTATGTTAGCAATCATGATTCATAATGCAATTGAGACTTTTTGGGATGTGGGATGTTGGTAGTACCATAGGTGTCGGCGAGAAGCTCCAGACTGGTCAAGGGGACCTCGCCGTCGATGTCAAAAATATTGCCGAGGAGTGGAACACCTGGCGGCTGAGGAATTGGAGTATATTCTTGCTCGGTCATATTGATATTGACTCATAAATCGACCAGTTGGTCGAATATCAGTCCTGTATGGCGACGAAAGACAATGTCTAGTGATGACGTGTGTGAAACAGGATCAAGCCCCCTGAAACAAGCGTATAGTCGTCCGGAACACCGCAATTTAACCAATATCCAATCCCATCAGCTCACAGATTAATTATCAGAATCCAACAGAGTTTAAAAAAAGAGGACATCCACAACACCTTATAAGCAAGGGCATCTTGGGGGTCTTGTTTGGCAGCGTGGGGTCCGATACTTGGTACTTCTGGGTCTTTTCCCCATCCGGCCCGACCACGGCATTTGCCTTTAACGGTCGCAAATTTTACTCTCTGTTAGACGATGACATAAAAATCTGAGCGAAACGTTATTTATCGGCGAAACACGAGCAGAAATTGCTGTGTACGTTTTCAAATGATGGATAAATTCTGCGGTGTGCATAACATTGGAAATAGTGCATCGAGTACATAATATAATAATATTAATTTGTTATAACACGGCCGATTCAATGATATCATACAAATCCACAGAGTTGATGATAATAATCAGCTCACGGAGAAACCCGATCGACAGCTCTGGGCTCGAGGCCTGGTGGGGCGAGCTATTTGTAAAACCGTGTTCTTCACTGCTTGCGTATTAGAATAGGCCCTAACTAGCTGCACGCCCGAATCCCCATGGTTTTACAGGCTGAAGATGAAACAGGAAAATAGAAAGGGACCAAGGTCTCCTCCTGGCTTATGTCAATTAGAAGGATAGAATCAATTACACGGTTTCTATGACACACATAACCTTTTATGAATTATGTCTATCGATTTCGACATCAATTGATTAAGGTAAAGCGCGATCAAAATTATTTGATTGACCGCACTACATATATGTAATAGCACAAAACATGTACAATTTTCCCGTTACATATCTCAGCTTCGAATTCTAGACGGTGGCATCCATTACTCTCACCGTTTGAACTAGATATCGCTTTCATACAATAGCTACACAGCAGATGCAAATTCTTTGGAAGCAATTTGTTAGCACTGCGGAAGCTAGAGCTGAGAGAAAATGTGGCCACCGCTGCCTAGATCTTCCCGGAGTCACCGAGCCTCTAGGGTTGCATTTTACCTCTTAGCATATCAGCAAAATAATGCCAAATCCATTCGCACTGCCCCCAACAAGAGTCCCCTCGCAAGAAACGGTGTAAAAATGGGTCAAATGCGTTAGTGATCCTGACAGCATCACCTTCGAGGACCGCCAGAAACTGCGTGTATTGCAGCCCTATGAAGCATCCGATAGGTTTTGTCGAGCCCGTACCGGCCTCGGAATCGAGGAGCTCGTTCAAAAGGCCGCACAAACGGATGACTTGAGTGAACTTGAAGCCAGAATCGTCACAGGCGGGACCGCCTGGTTGATGGATGATGGAGACAAGGAAATGACAGATATAATCTTTTGGCCTGCTGATGTTCGACAAACGTATTACGCTGCTGTAGAGGCTATTCTCACTGAAACAGAACGGCAAGCTAGGTTCAATGCCCAGCAAGCTTACAAAAGATATAGCGAGGAGAAAAGCAAGGCATTTAATAAGCTTTCTGATGCAGATAGGAATAACATCAAGCGAGCATGTCGCATTCCCTGGGTTGCTAATCTAGAGGATCGGACTGAAAAGTCATGGGAGTTTGTCTGTATTCGCACTTTATCACTGGCTTTAAAAAATAAATTGAATATATTATGATAACTGACTTCTTAAGCAGTTATTTCCGTGCACTTCGCAACCAAGGCAAGGTGGAACCTGGACTGCGACAGGACACATTCCTCTTTGCTGATACCCCTGCCATTCAATATGCAAAAGACCATTGTCCACTTCCTGAACGAGGCTATATGATTGCAGTGGATGCGTCGTATAGCGTCGAAAAGTTACCACATTATATAGACGGATTCACCGGCTCTGTGCGTGTTGCTCTGACCTCAGTTCTCACTACATTTTATGCGTGTCTAATTCCACGAGGCGGTTTCGAGGATGAACTCCCAAGTAGCAATATGAGACACATGCAGACGTGGGATGTAATTTACAGAAAAAGTAAATATGATCATAAGGATGGGATATATCCACCAACAGCCTTTCTCAATCAGGAATGGGATCTGAATATCTGAATAGAATAATATTGTTGAATGTTATTAGGTTCGATTAGTATGAACATCAATTGGCCTGAAAGATATTCAGCAATTGTAACCCAGAGAAGTGGTGTCCGTCTTGTTAACGCGGCAGGCCATTAGATAGTAAATCAGAGTTCTGAATAAGAAACTGTACCTACTCAAGTAGACAGATATGGCTGAGTATTACTACTGCTGAATAATATTTATTACCAGTAAGTAAGCATACAATAAACTAAAATATCTTCAAATATTGGTGTTAAGACACGTCCATAGGGAGCTAATATGCATTTAATATATTTTATATCGGTTCCAAAGACGACAGATTTGAAAACAACATCGCTCTAGATTTACCATTTCTTACAGTGGAAACTGGATTATATACAGACAACTGAATTCTACTTCCAACATGTTCCTTTGTAGCTATGGAATAATTTTGACTAGTGTTGTCATTGAAATCAGACCGCCAGCATAGTTAATCAACTTCCTCCAAGTCGAGATCTAGATCCACAGATGAAGCTCTTCTAGAAGCTATTATGAGAGGATGGTTTCTAAGGATGAGTTCATATCTAGCTGTTAACCCTTTGTGACTTGGGCGTGAGGTAGTGTGTTTTTCATCGGGCGGGTCGGGAATTACCACAGCTGCTGGGCTTTTCGCCGCTATTTTCGGATGGTCTTCGTGATTTGCATCCTGACCAGGTTCTTGTGGGTGTGTTTTCGGTAAGGAATGCTTTTCTTTCCAATGATTGAGGGCGCTAGTGGCGTCTCTGCTATTGGAATGCTCTGGTCCTAGTACCCTATTGTGAAGTTCAACACAATCTTCTAGGAAATTCAAGGAACTCTGGTTCTCCTCTTGATCTTTCAAAATCTCGGAGAGAAATAACATGACAATAAGAGTATGAGGATGCTCTGGTCCAAATACCTGCTTCCTACCCTCTAGTGCTTTCCTGAGCAGTTCTTCTGCTTCCTTCGTCCGCTCCTGTATCAAGAATAATACTCCTAGATTTTCCATACAAGGTATACTATCAGGGTGATATTCTTGACCAAGCATTTCCTTCCTGACTTCTATAACATTCAGTAGTAGATCTTCTGCTTCCTTCAATTTCCCCTGAGGCCAATATGTCGCTGCCAGATTTTGCATGCTCAATAAAGTGGAGGGATGTTCTGGCCCAAGTATTCGTTTTTGTAGTCCTAAAACATAACCTTGTAAATCTTGTGCTTCTTCCCATTTCTCCTGGCTCCTGTATGTGGATGTCAAGTTACTCATACTAGTCAAAGTATCAGGGTGTTCTGGCCCAAGCACTTCCTTTTCTGTTTCCACAACTTGCACTAATAGATCTTCTGACTCTTTCCATTTCTCTAAACTCTGATAGATCAATGCTAAATTGTTCATGTAGCGAAAAGCGAAGCGAGGTTCACGTGCTTGCATATCTGTCTCTGTAACCTGTATTAGTAAATTTTCTGCTTCTTTCCATTTCCCCTGGGCATGATAGGTCATTGCCAGGTCGTTCATGACTCTTAGGGTGTGATGGCTCTCTAGGCCCAATGTCTTGCTGCAGATGTCCAGCGCCTGCCTTTGTAAATTTTCAGCGTCTTTCAGTCGTCCTTGGCTGCAATATATCAATGCCAAGTTCACCTTGCTTTCCAGAATGGCAAGGCTGGTAGTGCCACTGTTTTCGTTCTGTGCCTGTACACTTTTCTCAAGTATCACAGCACCTTCGTTATACCTGCCATCACTAAATAGACAACACCCAATTTTATCAACTAAATCAACGTATTTCGCTTGGCCCCATTGAAATTCACTTTCTTGTATTAGCACAAGAGCGTGTGGTAAAAGTTCTCGCCACAGGGTTCGATTGACATCTTCATTATCAGGAAAGACTTGGTTTAATCGATCTGCTGCTTTCAATACCTGCATACTTAATCGCTGGTTCTTTCTCATCCAATTCCGAGTTGCAAGATGAACAAGCCGGTGAAGACTTAGACTTCTATTTCTAGTTTGTTCAGTGATGAACGAATAGCTCTTAAGAAGACCGAGAGCGTCAATCATTGTCCTCTTTGAAGCAGCCTCAGGAAGAATAGAGAGGGGAATATCTCGTGGGTTTATACAGGCCATGAATGATAGATAGTCTGCTGCAAGATTATTCGTGTTCTGGATTTGTTGAAAAGATATCCACCATGTAGTGGCGATTGGATTCTGAATATCATTGTACCGCCACTTATCCTGGAAATCATCGCTTAGTAGCTCAATTAGCTCAGGCTCCTGTTCCTTTAACAGCATGATGTAATCCTCTAAGCTTATGCCATTCCGGTTGATAAATGCAACTGCTTGGGAAATTGCCAGGGGGAGAAATGCCAAGTGCTCCAGAAGAGAAACATATATGTCACGGTTATTAAGCAAGTCTTTTTGTATTAATGACTTTTGCAGGAATGCCCAACCAGTGTCTTCATCTAGCTCAGTGATTGATATCACATGAGGGGACGCAAGATCCACCGCAAGCCTATGGTTGCGTGAAGTAAAAAGAATGCGACCATTTTCATTCTCCGGAAGAGAGTCTTTCAGAGCAGAAGCACCATTGACCCACATGTCCACGTCGTCAGCGTTGTCAAAGATAAGAAGCCATTTCCTAGCACTCTTCTGATTGAGATAAGCATTGACTTGATTCTTTACCTCAGCTGGATCCACGCCTTGAAGTCCAATTTCTTGCGCAATACTTATGTACGCCTGCTCGACGCTCGCGCGGCTGATACATGGAACCCAGAATATCGAGTACTCAGCATCTCTATCCCGGATACGATATGCTAGCTCAAGTGCGATCTGGGTTTTTCCCACCCCACCAAGTCCAGAAATTGCTAGCTCTTGGGGTCCATCTGGTGTGGAGATTAATTCCTCTAACTCGTCTATTTCATTCTGACGCCCCACAAATTGGTTGTTTCTTCTAAATGGCACTGTCCAGTGTCGTACCGTTATTTCCTCTTTTTTCCGACCACCATCCCTCTGATGTACAGGCACAACTCCCAGAAGAGACCTCGCATATGCTGCAGCAGAAAGAGCGGCGTATCCTTGCCATTGTTTGTGCTTGTGTGAATCACAATAGTCGCAGATGCCTCGAATTACCAGGCAGGGAAGCTGATCCACGATTCCAGCTGCTTCCATTTCAAAACAGAGGATGCTAGTATCCATATCCCGAGCGATAGAGTCGCGACTTTTAGCATCCTTCATAACTTGATTCCCAGAAGCGATCAATCCATAATGAATATACGGATCATCGGTCAGTCGCGGCACACGGTTCACCAATTGGGTCTGATCGCATGTTGAACAGTCAATGTTGTCGTTGCTTCCCTGATGATAATATTCTGACTTAAACAACCAGTCTTTGTCCGGGCGTGAAAAGTTTTCTCTTATTTCCTGGTGTTTCTCGAGTATATTGGATAAAGTTTCTGCAGCGGCTCTTTCTCCTCTCAGGGAATCACTTCGCAGTTGAGACACTGCCGTCAGTAAAAATTGAGGGGGCTTATTGAGTGACCCAGTACGCTGGAAACGTCCATGACGGAGCGATTTCCCATAGTCATACTGAATGATGCCCCCAGAGGTCGCAGTTGGGATACTAACAACCACATCACCAAGCCGAATATCAGTACCTTTGCTAGGCACTCCACCTCCTATACCTACCATTAATCCAAATTCAAGACTTGGAAATGTCCCTAGCATATGAGACACCACTGTCGCAGCAGATGTGGTTCCATAAACACCAGACGGTAGGCAGGCGATTACCACATTATGGTCACCAAGTCAGCCTAGGGTGTAAGCGTTATGGTCGGTCGGCGATTGAGAAAGCTGGCTGTGAGTCTCATCTAGCATGGTCTTCGCGGCGGCCATTTCTAGCGGCAACGCGCAGATCCATGAGACCGTGTAGTCATTGTGCGTGAAGGTCATTATGCCCTTCGTATATCAAATAATGAAGTTAGCCAAATCAGGATAGCATTTCAAAAGGAAAAGCATGACTTGGATTTGTTAAAGATGTGTGGATGGCCAGGCGAGAATGTTGACGAGGCTGAAACGGCGGGGCATCCATACGGCGGACTATATCCTAGATTGCAAGTTGACTTTCCGTTCCCCTCTGCCAATAACGTTCAATTAATATCTGAGATCAGTGAGTCGCCACGTGCCTTAGTAGAGTTTTAGAATGCAACCTGGCGCTTACAGTGTGGGCACATATACCATAATGGCTGAAGTACCCTATAGCCTATGGGTGTATGCTTCATATATATGCTTGTATCGTAAATAACTCCCCACTTCCCGCTTCATTAATTTGGTCTCAACTTCCAAAAAAAGGCTCTGGACCATGAATATTTGCTTTTCCAGGCTTAACCTGGTATTTCTACTAGGTGCTGTGCGGTTGATTAGTTGACGCCAGCAGCTTATCATTGTGCTGTTTTTTTCAATCATATAGATTCTTATCACTTAGTAGAGGAAGGTCTTCATACAGACCGTCTTGCATTCATCAGCACCTCATAGAGTTCAAGATTGAAAATAGAGTTGTATCTAGTCATAATAGTAACAGCCCCGAATACCACAGGGGCTAGAGATTGTATACTTAGTAAACAGCTTCTCCATTCATCCATTCACTAAAGATGATTTTTCATCATATTAGCATAAAGCGTTATGACAAAAAATTCCATCAGAGCTTGATCATATTTCTGCTACGGAAATTGGCTGGAACAGAGATCTACTAACAATCAGTTTTCATAAGACTCTTCTAATTGCAGTGGAACTGTACACAAAGCCTTCCAATGGCTATATTCAACAGTGAAAATGGTCTGAACTCGGGAGTGGTGGGGGCGTTTGTAACAGTGGAAGGATAAAAAAGGAAAAAAGGAGCATGACGGACCAAGACTGAATTCGAAGGATAAAGTCATTTATGGACTCCACGAGCCAGTTGAACATGATTCAACTGACCGATTTAGCAGTAGTTGTTTTCAGCATCACTGAAAAGCATGACAGGACTCTGTGAACAGACTAATACGCTCAAACCGTGCACACAACATTGTACATTGAAATCAGTATGAAATCACATTTCAATTCTAGAAAATATATATCAATTCACGATCAAGGTATAATGAATGATAAAGATAAGTTATATCCTAGTCAATCCTGCATATCACTATTTCTGGACACTTTCATACATCTTCCCACTGCCCAACCGCCTAGACCCTCAAGAGAATTCGTCACACATCGCATCCATCAGGTTAGTGAAAATAACAACGCCATTGGGTCAAGTTGCAAGTTCCAAATCAAACCAACCAATCAAATTGACCATTATTCCCCTTGCTGGAGTCGAAAGCTTCAATGCCAATAGAAGGAAACATTCACCCAGCTATGCATAAACGCCACGCTAATAAGAAATAGAAGCATAAAACAGCAGTAAAGAGTTATATTTCACAGGGTATGAAATATTTAACTCAGCAAACCAAAAGGGAAGGTAGCCATCCAGGTAAATGATAAAACTAGCTTGCAACGGCGAGTTGGGCCACTAGGTCAGATGCAACATCTAGATACGGATATGGGCTGGTGACTTCTTTCTCCTTGTTGCGGAACCGTTTGCTCACAGGTCGCCATTCACCGTCGATCTCAGCCCGGATAACGTTTTGATAGCCATCACATTTGAAATCGACCATGTAGTTATTAGCCTCGAGCTGGTATAATTGAATGTCGATGAAGACCCAAACGCCATATGATATCCGCATGGACTGCATTTGCTCCAAGGACGATGGACCGCTGCCACTCGCATTTTCGGAGCTAGCATGTACTGCTGCAGCAATGGCCGCTTTGTCTTCTGGACTAATAGAGGCATTCATCAGATTGACCTTCCGCCGGAGATCCCCCAGATCACTTCGACTACTATGAGCGCTGAGTGATACGCCAGGGGCGGAGACACCTTCTTTGAGTAACCTCGCACGGATGAACCACGGCTCTTTGGGAATATAATAGTCGGGTGGTAGATCGGGGTATTTACGCTGAAGTGGCTGGGTTTGATTTGGATCAAACTCAAATGGCGTAGCATCACCTTCTGCTAATTGTTATTGAGGTCCTCATTAAAATTCCATGCATCATGACATACCTGGCTCAGCTGGTTGGATTTCCCAAACACCACCCACGGCTGCAATGGCCTTATATAGACATAGCATTGCCTCGTAAGGCTGGTTTCGAGAGCGAATGCCGAATTGCCATTTCCTTGACCGCTTCTGTGGCATAGGTGCCGCGTGGAATTCTTCCGGTGGTTCGAGACGAAGCTTGTCTAAGTCTATAATGCTGCGAGAGTGGGGTTTTAACGCTCGAGCAGTCGCAGCCTGTTGTTCTGGTGTCCTTTCCACAGGGTGATAGCTTCCATCGACATCAAAATCTGGAGGCGAGTTTTCATTTTTCTGTCGCCTAGCACGTTCCCGTATACCATCTCGTTGTTCCATGATTTGTTCATGAACGTAAGGAAGACTGGTCGGTAAAATGCGCACATGGCTCACGCGTAGGTCATCATCCTGGTCAGACCGTGAATCATGCGTCCATGGAGGGGAAACATGCGCCGAGGGAGGCGCTAGGGGCGGAGTTGCTTCTCGTGATTGAACAGTCAATGGAGATACAGCGTGTTCTTGCCTGACCGCAGCTGCGACATTCTTTGGTGCTTGTGGGGATTGCACGGCCGGCTGCTCCTGCGGTGGGGGTGATGAAGCAGCCGGGGGGATGCAGCATCAAGGCTGTCCTCCTGGGGAGCTAGTACAGTCAGTATACCATGTTAAATCAGACAAGGGGGCGAGAATAACAGAATACTCACAATTCGTGTGCATTAATTCATTTTCTGCGATGATGAAAAATGCGTCCTTGACAGCACTTGGTTCAGACTTGCGAAGTGCGTCCTCAATTTCTTCTTTTTTGTAACCCATTGCATGCTCGAGCTTAGTCACGGCAAATTCATGAATCTGCTCCTGGAAGGAGATCGGCTTTCCCGGTGCAATTTTGCGTCGATCAACAGCTTTGTTTGGATCAGCACCTGTGGCAACAAACTCCTCTGGTGGTGGTTGGAGGTATTTTGGCAGATCTTGCAAAAACCAAGGATCTTGTCGAATCTCGGGAATACTTATTCTATGGACAGGATGAACTTGCAGCATGGCTCTGATCAGTCGAGCGGCTCCTGATGAGATATATGATGGCATGTGGAAGTTCCCCGCCGCGATCTTCTTGAACAAGGCAGGTATATAGTCATCGTCAAAGGGAAGTCGGCCGACAAGAAGTACATATAAAATGACACCGCAACTCCACACATCGACTTCGGGCCCAGCATATAATTTACCCGAGATGACTTCCGGCGCGGCGTAATTAGGACTTCCGCAACTTGTCTTCAGAAAATTACCGTCTGTCATAATGTTGCTAAGACCAAAATCAGCGATTTTGACATTCTTCTCGCTGTCGATCAGTAAATTTTCGGGCTTCAAGTCGCGATGCACGATTTTATGTCGATGACAGTATTCAACGGCGCAGATTATTTGTTGGAAGAACTTGCGCGCCTCATCATCATTGCACTTGCCCCGTTTCACCAAATAGTCAAACAACTCTTTCTCTGCGTATTCTAATACCATGACGATGTCGGATTTTGTTGGAATAACCGTATATCTGCAGAGAAGGGCAATTAATCAGCATCAGTTACACACAACCATTCCAGGAGGAATACAGCCTACAATTTTATAATGTGTGGGTGCCGTAATAATTGCAGGTACTGTATTTCACGTTCCACGCGACCAACCATATCTCTAGACAGCAATTTTCGACGTGGGATGATCTTGAGCGCAACCTGGCGGCCGCTCGGTTGGTGAATGGCCAGCTTCACTTTTCCAAACGAGCCCTCGCCCAATGCCTTTACCGTTTTATACTGATCTAACCGTTGCATGTCCCGCCGCGTCGCCGGCGATTGTACCGACGAAGAGCTGCGACCACTGTTCGGGGTGAGTGTATTTGGTCGCGGCGGCGGTGGCATCGCCAGGCCCGTTGGGTTTGAGGAAGGCATCGCACCGGCAGCCGATTGATCGCGTGGACGGCTATTAGGGTCTTGAGGATAGGAAGATAATGACACCGAAAGGTCCTCGTCGTCGAAGGCAGCAGCCATCTTAAGAGGGGTAGAATTACGATCGGGGGGTAGGATCAGGTCGGATTGGAGAGGAAATGACGTTTTTTTGAGAACGACCTGAGTTTCCGGGATTCCGTGGTCGCTTATTCCGGGTTTGGCAGCGAAGCAGGAGTCGGTCGTTCGCGCGGTCTCCGGAGAGGGGACCGTGGGCTTAATGACGGTTGAGTAATTGGGCGAGCCGAGCTCTCCCCACACAGCACAAGGAGCCACTCAACGTGGGGTGTGGTAATAACAATGCTGGTTCCGGACAACTTAGTTGGAAATGCGGGTGGTGGAGGGCGATAGCTAGGCGGCGGTGGTGGACAGAATGCATGAGTCGCTGGACGGGGAGGCGAGGAAGAGATGAAGCACGCAGAACAAGTTCGACGACGAACGATCCCAGCAGCTGCCAGCACCAACGGCGATGATCGAGTGATGTGTCCGACTGCCGGCCAACCAACGCTGCGGACGCTATGATGTGGAGCTGCGGCAAGCAACGTGGTTGGCCGTTGCGGGGGACAGCCAATCAGAGAACCGAGTTGTCTGTCAGGGTCATATTATATCCAATCGATACTAGCAGTATTCATCTAATCAATTGTATGTGGGATATTTTGGAGAGGATTATAAGAAATTTTCAAGAAATAGAACTACTTCAAGTATCAGGGTCAGCACTAGCCCATGATCAAATGTCCAATGCCTGTCTACTCATTAAAAAATCGACATATATACTTGCTAACAAACGTAACATGGGTAGCCTTTCACAAAATTCAAAATTGGAACTGTTAAAACGAACCATGATCAATTGATAATTCAGACTACAGTATCCAACATTTTTGAAGTGCTTGGGATTTGGTTATCCACCCAAGGTGATTCTCCCCGTCTTATCTCCTCTCTTCCATGTCCACTCCCTCAAGGCCATGCCATCCCGACATGTATGCATTCTCTCCGTCTGGCCCAACGCCGCCCACCGGGGCTGATCCGTCCATATCGCTTTGAGCGTGACTGGCGTCATATCACCGTGGCACAGAGTCGACTGTCTCAGCTGCTCAAGGCAATGATCGATATGCATCCGCTGGTACTCTTCTGGCAACCACATATGATCCTTGTAATACTCGAAATCAAGATGCTGGCGGATGGCATTCACACAGTGTAAGCTATGGAGCATGTCGGGCCCGCCGTAGTAGCCGGTTTTAGGAATAGCAGTGCCGCGGGCGGGCAAGGAATGGAGTTTGGGGAGTCCGTCATCCGAGTCGAGCCAACTCACATCGTCGTCAGAGAATAGAATGTATCGACCTTGTAAGAGAGTATTCCATGCATCGTCGATTTCTGCCGAAGGGGATCCGATGTAACGCGGCTCAGAAGGGTCGAAGACGGTGTATAAAGTTCCATTCGGTAAGTCTCGTATGGGGCTGCCGAATCGTTTCTGATGCAGCTTGATAGCTGGCTTCATAAAATCTAATCCACCAAATACCCAGTCAGCTAATCATATCCTAAAGTCAAGTGAAAAGGTTGAGGATCTGTATGTATTGTACCAAGTTCAGTGTCGAACCCGTGCTCATATGAATTTTTCAATCTTCTTGGTTGTGCGAATACATAGAGACTCTGGATAAGGAGTACAAGGAGCAAAACAAGTGTCGATATAACCCATGCTGGAGAGCGGAAAACACTGCTGTGCCGAGACTCCCGGTTACTGTCACTGTGGAGGAAGGGTTCTGTAGCATCACTGTCGACAGGATCTGTCCCTTCCGGGTCGATTATGTCAAATTCTTGGTGCTTTGATAGACTCATGTTGGCTATCGGTATTTCTATGTGCAACTTGAAGGGCTTGCAGAAAGAGCAATTTGTCGGCTCCAAGAGTATCGACGCCACTCGCTAACCGAGGAAGCCTTCTCAATTGGGAAGGCTGTACAACAAGAAAGACTGAGGCTGAATGGATATTAACGTGTTACAAATATTACGGAAATATTGTGTTCTGCTAAAGGCCCGCTCGTTCGAACTTCACGGACATTCCACGCGAAAATCTTTACTCGTTTCAAAAAATCAAGAAGGAAAGAAAAGAATGTTCCCCATCCGTTTTAGCTACATACTAATTGATTAGATACGTAGTTGAGCCTTGCCGAAAATATGATATCTACCGGCAGAATGTAACCAGAAGCCGAGAAAGGCTTGAAAGGATTATCCCTTGCTGGGAGCTGACGGGTCGCCTAGACTAAAAATAAGTATATATTTGCCGTAACAGAATAGGTGAAAAGTATGTAGAAATAAATGAAACAATCATATTAAATCGGAAGTATCCATCTGCTCAGTATTTCCTAGGAAATGAGAATGAGCGGTGTATGGTGGTTGAAAAACCTCATCCTGAAACATCAACTGATCTAATATGCCAAGAAAAGCTACAAAAGAGAATCATCAACAATCCGTAGGCCATGTGCATAATGTGTTAATGGTTATATAGTTTGTTCAATAGTAAAAGGAAGTTAGTGAGAGCAAATTAGAAAACAGGGCTCACGATATCACGTGGTCCTTCCCAACCTCAATAATAACTACTCCAGCGACCACTGACGTATATATTGCATTCATATGCAACATACCTGTAGTTACGCTTCTTTGAAAAATATACAAAGCCCGAAGACCGGAGGGAACTGTCATCAATATTTGTCGAGCTTCTCATACTATTATTGACAAGGAGCATGTTTTTTTAACTGATATGTATTCTAGCTTGCTAGTATTCTTCAAATGCAATTGATGAATATCAATTAATAATACTGGAAAAAGATTATGTGGACTTTTCAGCGACTTGATGCCATCCCAATCACACCCCAACATTTGAAGTCTTGTGCGGGTCTTGCTGTCTTGTTCAACGTTTTATTATGGGGGTGTCAGTATATTGTCAAGTACAACTTTCGTGCTGAGTTAGGCATTAACTAGAATGGTTCTAAATGTTGCAATAGAAATAATGCTACTTACTTGTTTGAAAATGGTTGATCATGGTTAATGTACATCTGACTTGATGCCATTTCAAACAAGCCAGCTTTTGGTCATAATGAATGCATGTGTACAAATTAATCAATAATTGCTATCACCGAGAAGCCCAATATGTGCACCGATAAATGCCACGTTCAAGTAAGGTCACCAAGATAAGACGCCGAACCTAGTTTAATCACCAGTAAAAAAAAAAAATAAGAAGTGGAATTCAAATCTCAGAAGAGGGGCAATCTTCGTCCGCCTCTTCGTCATCATCAAAATCGTAATCAGAGTCAAAGTCGAAAGCATCGACTACAGTCGCACGGTTCCCTAAAAAGGGGTTGTATGCCGGCATACTTGGATTTGCATATTGGCCATCATGGTCGTCGTGGCCGTCATCGCCTCCAGGACCACCGGGCCAGACTTCATTGGGGATATGCTTAGGGGCTTTTGTACAAACCAAATCGACATCAACATCTTGCGGCCCATGTAATGATTCAGATCCATATGTTGGACTGCGGGCAGCAATGCCGAGGACAATCTGCATGGCTTGCTGATCGGGGGTGGTGTTGGGAAGGTATGTCGTTCTCGACGGGCAGAACGGGTTGCCAGGGTCCGCAATCTGAATATTGTTGGGTTTACCAATGCTTGAGGTTTCGTTGATGAAAGCTAGTTATATAGTCAGCGACATGTTCTCCTAAGAAATTAGGGAAAAAAAGAGAGAGGCAGTGTTCATACGGGTTGTAGGAATGTCAACTGCGAGGAACATTTTTGATGGGCATCCTTCAATGGACATGTCCGGATTATCGATGAATGATTTCAAAACCGTTTCGAGAGCACTCTCATATGGCAGCTTGGATGTACTCAGGTTATAAATGGATTGTTGTAGGTATGACTTTAAGCTCTGAGAGCATTGAGGCCCCCAGACGGCTTTACACCCATGATGGTGGCCGCCAATCCAGCCCCGGATATTCAGCAGGCGAAGTCCAAATTCGGTGGTCCGGTTAATGCTAGGAGAGTCGTGAAGCTGGTTTCTGATCACATCCGAGTCGTACTGGAGCCAGTAGCCCACTTTAATTGACGATTTTCCGTCCTGTGGAGACCGCCCAGCATCGAAACTATAGACAAAAGAAAGCGGTATCGAGATATTTTGTAGACGGAAAGATGAAGTAGATTGGGCCAAGCCGTCGATGCAGTTGTTGTTATCGAATTCGCAGTATAATGTGCTCGTTGGAAAGACCTGACATGGGAAAAGGATCGCTGCCACCAGGCTGGTGTAGAACGGAAGCCGCCGCATCGCTTGTTCTGCTCCACGCTCGCCCTGGAAATCTAGATAAACCGCCGCTCACACCTATGGAGATGTCCGAGAAATTGGCGATGAAGGCGAAAGGACATGATAAGCCGCACAGCATGCCACTTGTCCCCCGGACAATAGAATTCTGCTTAGAACGAGGCTGGGCGACAAATCGTTCAATCGACCGACTGCTCGGTCGGTCGAAGCTTGGCGAGACGCGAGAGATTTAAGACACACAGCTGCTCAGTCCACAACCCCGCACGCTGTTGTGAAGATGGGAATCATGGCTAGGTGGATGACAGCGAAGAAAAGCAACAGGATGACCGGCCGGTTAGTTGCAGAGTCGTATTGGAACAGCACCAAGGGCCTCGGGCGGTCGGCGGACAAAGGCGGCTCACCGTGCTTGGCGGGCGATCCTAATCGACTAAGGACAGGCTTTAGCGGCGTTTTCTGACTCTCCTGGGCCGCAATGAAACCCTATGCTGGCCACTTAGCTCGCTGTTATCTTGTGTCGCCCAGCAGTGACCATTCTTATCGTGGCAGGCTGTCAGTCAATTCGACGCAGTTGTGTGTATACTGTATATGCTGAGTATTAACTATTACCGAATATTAATATCTGGACTCCAATGTCTTGGCGCCAACTCTCCTCTGGCAGGATACTATTGCCACTGCCCACTCAGAATGCTGCGTTGTTGGGACACCAACCCACCTTCCTTATCAGGGTGACAACATGTCATGCAATTGGCCAAAAACTATCCGGTCCGATAAAACTCCGCCCCACTTCAGAGCCGCAGAGGGAAAGGCGCTTGTTGGCGGGAGAGCCTCATCGGTAATGCCACTGACCCTCATTATAGCGGAACACGGCTTCACGTCTTATTGATCACGGCTCACAGCCTCAACGGTTCAACCTCTCTGTGCTGCACCGGGAGTCGGTGCACTCTTGTCGTCCTGCCCCCGCTCTTGTTCTGTCGTCGTTCGAGTTCCTCATGACCCCTCTATGACCACTCCAGATGCCTTCAGGGATGCAGAGTACTTCGCCGACGTCTCTGGCATCCCGGACCCTGGTGACGTCGCCATCCATGGCCATGACCATGACGGCCGCGAACCCGAACCTGCCGCACCCTCCGCCCAGCAGGTCCTGAGGCAGAGCGTACGGAAGAAGGCAAAAATCGCATTTATCGATCGTTTGTTGCGCGAGCTGGATATTGTGTTATACTGCGAGCTAGCGGCATTGTATTATATGGAGTATGCACCTCTCGAGACAGAAACATCGGACGTATTGGCGGCTACTGACCATATATAGCTGCTCCCTCCTTCTCTTTGCTTTACGTGCTATTGTACAACTCATACTCTTTACCCCCAAAGCGCCGCCTTTCGACCCGACTAGAAACCAACCATTTGTCGGTGCCATCTTCAGCAGCAACTTGCTATGCATGCTCCTCCACTTGTTGTTTATCCATCCCGGTGCCGGCGAAGAAACGCGCGGTTATCTCTACGGCGGCCTGTTCATTGATTTCGTGGGACAGAAGGCACCTGTGTCGCGATTACGATTCCTGGTTTTTGATGCTCTTATTCTGTTGATACATTTGGTCATGATGGGCTTGATCATGGAACGAGTGCGAACGAATGGGAATGCGCAGACGCCCAATGATGGCACTGCAGGTACGGCGGACGATACAACACCTGTTCAGGATCACGATGCCGAAGAGAGAGGCGTCCATAGGCATGAGGAGAACGATACGTTGCCAGATCCAATTGAGAGCACCTTGAATGACACACCAGAGCATACTGAACTGCTTGCTGAACCGGACGAGGATTATGCTGGCCAAGGCGCAAAGGATATTCATCCACTGGATACATTCGCGTCAGGTGAAGCCGTGATATTGGACATGGGGCTACTTGATACCATTCGTGACCAATGGGCTTACAACCCCGCTACCCTATCTCGGTCTACGTTTACGCCTTCCCCCGAAGCGACTTCATTTTTACGCGAACATCTAGGCATCGAGGTTGGACCTGATGGTCGCGTACTTAGAATTCAGCGATGACGTTGTAACTAGTACAATACATGTATGCAGGTGAAATGAATGCATGTCTTTTATTTGTTGCATACTTTCTGTAATAAAACATAACGCATACTTGTACGTGTTTCAGAGACTAAGTGTGGGATTGGCTAAGTGGAATAGTCATAACTGTACATACATATACTCGATCGCAAGTTTCAATCGTCTCCAATCAATGGTGAATATGGGGTGTCCCGTTATGGATTAGCGCGAATCGCAACACAGCCCGCATCGGAGCTGCGAACTGACAAGCTGGCCAAATAACAAAACTGGCCAAATAACAAAGTTGCCTAGATGACCAGCTGCCTAAATGACAACTATAAATTGCAACTGGGTCGACTAATGGGAGAAATAAATTGATACTTCTCGATATTGCCAAAATGGCATCTCCATCTCCCGCTTCGCACCGTCCCCGCCAAAAAAAGAAGCTCTTGTCATCTCCCTCCGGCTCCAACAATGATTTGATTCTTGAACTGGGCACCCCTCAAGCTGCGCCTGCTTTCCCTCTTGTCTCGTTCTTATGGGCTGCTCGAGGAGGAACATCGCAATGGATTATACTTCCCCTAATTCTCATGGCAGTGGGCTTATTCCGATGGGCTGTGAGTCTGTGGGGATATTCAGGTTGGTGGTCTGGAGGTTTCTATGTCGCGTTCGACATGCTCATTAGGCCTAGGCTTCCAAACCCCTCCTATGCACGGCGATTTCGAAGCGCAAAGACACTGGATGGAGCTTACAATCCATCTTTCTCCGACGAAGTGGTACTTCTACGACCTGAAGTACTGGGGTCTCGATTACCCGCCGTTGACTGCCTACCACAGCTGGTTGTTGGGGAAAATGTATGGCGAATTGACTACAACCTATAAAGGAAAGGTCGTAAGCTAACACCAAAGCTCTTATAGTGGAACCTGGGTTGATCCTACCTTTTTCGCTCTTGATTCCTCGCGTGGTGTTGAGGACCCTCTTCTGAAATTGTACATGCGGGCTACAGTCATCGTGTCTGAATTCCTAATCTATGTCCCCGCAGTCGTCTTATTCGTACGGCGATATGCTCGTTTGAATGGCTTGCCAACCTGGTCAACATCAATTTCACTGGTCGCCATTTTGATGCAACCATCCACTATTCTTATCGATCATGGCCATTTCCAGTACAATACGGTGATGCTGGGGTTGATGGCTGCAAGCATCGAAAGTATCTTGATTGGAAGATGGTCTCTTTCATGCGTCTTCTTCGTCGCCTCCATCGGTTTTAAGCAGATGGCCTTGTACTACGCACCGATCATGTTTTCTTTCCTTCTGGGGAGCTGCATCTTCCCGCGAATTAGGATCCCTCGTTTCTTTACCATTGCTTTGACAACACTCTTGGCGTTTGCTATCCTGCTGACTCCATTCATCCTTGTCTCCCTACATGATCAGAGTAATGGAGTTCCTTTGCCGGGTTCTTTGCCTGATTTCATCGATTACCTCCCAGCGCAAATAACTGAAAATGGTTGGTTTCATGGACCGATTCTTCAAGTCTCCCAGATAATCCATCGCATCTTCCCGTTTGCTAGAGGTTTATTCGAGGACAAGGTGGCAAATGCATGGTGTGCCATACACACTTTCTATAAATTGAATAATTTTCCCACCGATTTATTGCAGCGAATATCTCTCGGTGCTACTCTCGCCTCTATCTTCATTCCTTGTCTGGTGATCTTCCTCTACCCACGACCACAACTCATTCTACTAGCCCTTAGCAGCTGTGCCTGGGGATTCTTTCTCTTTTCTTTCCAGGTCCACGAAAAGAGCATCTTATTACCTTTACTTCCGATGACCCTTCTCCTCAGTGGCGATGGGGGGCTGAAAAAATCTTCTAGAGCATGGATTGGCTGGGCGAATATCCTTGGATCCTGGACTCTGTTTCCATTGTTGAAGCGAGAAGGACTTTCCATCCCATACTTTGTTATAACCTTACTGTGGGCCTATCTACTTGGTCTCCCCCCCACGTCCATCGAAACATATCGGTCACGCTCATCAAAAGAATCAACCGTGCATATTCTCACTGGACTTATTCACTGGGGATTCTACATCGGCATGGTTGCTTGGCATGTTCTTGAGGCATTCGTTCCACCACCAGAAACGAAACCTGAACTCTGGGTTGTGCTGAACGCATTGATTGGTGCTGGCGGGTTTGGTTTGGCTTATTTGTGGTCGATCGGAAATCTAGTTATGCAGGCTTATAAAATAAGTGGCAAGGAGTCTACGGAAGGATCTAAGAAGAAGACCCAATAAGGGAGAGATATTTGCTTAGACTTTGTACGATACCCTCGGTTGATTGTACTAATTGCGTGATTTGCACAGGAATTGAAATTCAGGCGTGATTTCTTCATTGTTTATATATTTACTTTCTATATCGGTCGATCACAACGACTGGAAGATTATATCCCTGATAAGAAACCACAAAAGGCAGGTGACCGGCACCTGGGGCTATTTGATATGCTTGTAGATCAATAAAATCGCGAATTTGAAGTTGTTTGCGTACTGTACATATATTTCTATCCATAAACGCCAAACGGAGAGGGGTGTATTCATAACCATCCCATGCTATGCGACAAATATTACAGTATATAATACAACAAATAGGGGCATTCTTTTCCTGAGTCGGACATAATCGGCCAATCTAAACCTTGAAGCCATATCCAGCCATACAGCTCTTGTATTCTTCAACCAGAGACTTGCATTCCGTCTGGGCGGGATCATCGGACTTGGAAAAGAGCATGCAGTCGTCACGCGTCGATTTCTCTTTTGTGCACACGCAGCATGGCTAGAAATGTTTATTCGACTTGTCAGTTTCTGGCCCAACTTATTAAGGGTGTACAATGTATTGACGGACTTACCTTGGGTTTGCTAGCGGGTTCAGCGCTCTTTTGTACAGAAGTCACCTCCGGTGCTGGTGCAGCAATGGAATCTATTCACAAGTGGCTTTAATTAGTAAATAATCGATAGAGTCAAAGTGTATTGAAGTTTCGAAATTATGCAATTGAGCAGGAAACTCGCAGAGGTTTGCGGAACAAGAAGACTCACTATTTGATGAGCCAAAGAACCACATGGTGGAAGCTGCAGGATGGTTTAAAACTTGTAGTTATAGCTCAATGGTAGAGGGCACAGCGACAGAACAGCTTGTATAACGTCGGCGACATGTAAAGAGCGCAATGCTGGTTGTGATTAATAATTGCTGGGTCGATGAATCGGCAGAAAAGAGCCCGGGCGGTGAGATCCGCGCGATAGTTGCCGCAGTCACTAATACTAAGATAGGAGAGAGGGGCGAGATCGAACTACTATTTATTTTTCTTAGTGGGGGCCATAGCAAATAGCACCACCCCTCCTATTTTTCTTGCATCGCTTTGTTAAGACTCGTTCAAGCCCCGCGGGGATTTTATTTATTTCTAACTGTGGCTATTTCACCCTGAACCCTGGAGTGTCTCCGAAGGTCTTATCTTATTTTCACAATGGCTCCAAAGATCTTCTCTCTAGATGGCAAGAGCCTCAAGCTCGACACTGCCGAAGATATCGAGGCTCACGTCAAGCCTCTTCTCGAAGATACATCATACACCGAAGTGCACCTTGGAGGAAACACGTTTGGTATTGCCGCTTCTGAGCGCCTTGCGACTGTGCTCGCAACGCAAAAGAGCCTTGAAGTTGCCGATCTTGCCGATATCTTCACATCACGACTCCTGTCGGAAATCCCTCCTGCGTTGACCGCCTTACTCAACGCCCTTCTGGAAATCCCTACACTTCACACCGTTAACCTTTCCGATAACGCATTCGGCCTGAACACGCAAGCACCCCTCGTCGATTTTCTCTCTCGCGCCGTGCCCTTGCGCCATCTTATCCTGAATAACAACGGTCTTGGTCCCAATGCCGGTACCTTGATTGCAAATGCGCTCACAAAACTTGCGGAACGCAAAGAGGAGGCTCGCAAAGAGGGCAAGGATGCTCCTCTTTTGGAATCTATTGTTTGCGGCCGCAACCGTCTTGAGAATGGCAGTATGGTCGCGTGGGCAAATGCTTACAAGGCCCATGCCAAGGGGATGCGTTCTGTAAAGATGACTCAAAATGGTATCCGGCAGGAGGGTATTTCGCTTCTTTTGAAGGAAGGTCTCAGCCATGCGGCTGCCTTGGAGGTTGTCGATCTGCAAGATAATACATTCACTCTTTTGGGGTCCACTGCTTTAGCGGGCGTCATTCAAGGGTGGACTTCCTTACGGGAACTCGGTGTTGGCGACTGCTTGTTGTCTGCTCGTGGTGGTATCAAGATCGCTGAGGCACTTGCCGCTGGCAAGAACCAGAAGGTTGAGACATTACGTTTACAATACAACGATATAAACGCCGCAGGGGTTAAACAATTCTTATTTGCAACAAAGACAGCCCTTCCAGCCCTTCGACGCATCGAGCTTAATGGCAATAAATTTCTTGAAGATGACGGTAATGTCGAGGATTTGCGCGAGCTTCTCGAAAATAGGAAAGAAGAGCATGGCTCAGATGATGACCCAAAAGACTCATGGGGAATCGATGAGCTTGATGAGCTCGAGGAAGAGGAGGAAGAAGAGGAAGAGGAGGAAGAGGAAGCAGATGAGGAAGAAGAAGAAAGATCACATCTGGCGGACAAGACTCTGAAGGAGACTATTCGAGCCGAAGACGAGCCCGTTAGCCAGAAGAAAGATGCCGATGTTGATGCATTGGCTGATACACTCGGCAAAACTGGCATATAAACAGCAAATATGTCAGACAACAATAATCTTCGGTTTTGATTCCCCCATTTTAAACTGTTTGAACTTAGAATTTGAGATCAATCGGCTACTACCACCCATACAATATGTCTATAAGATCAATTTGCAGCCTCTCAGTGAAGAGACTTGCTTCCATTTTCCAAACCCTTACCTCCAATACCTCTTGGACTTCATAGGTCTATTTTTGCGACGTCGTCAGATGATTAATGATGATAGATGGACCCTTACGCAGAACGAACTAGAAAATATACAGCATTCCACAACATCAATTTATTGGAACGTATGAAACTATATGAATCCTGTAATATATGCTTTACCTACTTGTCAGATATCAATTGATGCATCAACACTAGGGCATAGTCAGCAGCAATACCACGAGCCTCGAATATTTGCGATGTTAGTCGCTTAATACACGGTAGGTTGCCTATCAAGCTCATCGTCGGAAAGGGGTTTGGTAGTGGTCATTTTGGAAGGACGACGGTTTTATATACCGGGTGTGGAGTAGACAATTGTCTTTCCGGGGAAGATTAAACTCGCCTTGGAAAGGAGTTTGCTGGTAGCCATTCTAGAAGCAAATCAAAAAAATGATGGCGGCTTTTTGCTACCGGTTATGGTGATGATGGACAAAGACAAGAGCCAATATGGATGTTAGAAAGGCTTACTGTATGATTAGTCTCATTGATGAGTGGAATTGTTTATCTTTTCATGGTGAAGTGAAAGTCCTGTAAGCGAAGATACCGGTTAGCTAGTCAGTTGGTCGATGGATTGTTTGCTCTGGTTGGCCCATAAGTGCAGATACTGAGCATATGCTGAACCTATGCCGAACCCATGCCAAACCGATAATGAGGTTTCTGTGCGAGTCAGCGCTGGAATTCTTTTCATAAGCCTATATAAATTTATAAATAAGAAGCCTTTATATCGAAATTAGCCGATTTTATCCTTTCTAGCTTTGCTAGGGTGGTTCTGTGCAAGGAATCGTAGACAATTGTAGACCATGAAGAGGTGTTTCCGTCCTAAAAGGGAAGGCCGGTAACATTCAACCAATAGAACAAGATTTGAAGCTGAAAGTGGGTCGGCCTGCCCAAAAGGGCACGCAAGTCCCTCACAAACATCCCGCGGCTGCTGTCGCAAGACACCTTTCCTATCACTGACATCTCGCTCTGTCCCTCAGTTGCGCTTCCCTTCGTGTTCTTCTGGATTCTGTCTTCCTCATATTATTTCTGTTTCCTATTTTTATGAATCCTGTCACTTTGTGTGTCGCTGCAATCCTTGGTACTTGCAAGATCCGGCTTCTACGGACTTTTCCCTGATCGCATACTTTGGTCGGAGAGATTTGTGCCACAGCTTATACGCTATCAGCTGAACCCATACTCTTCGGCCTTATCCTATAATTGAATTCGGTGAGTTTTGAGATACGTCAACATGCAAGAAAGGTTGTATTCAATCTGTGTCTATCCGAATGTCGTCCTTGTGGAGAATGCGCCATAAGAGCATCAGACTGCGCAAGGCACTTCATTTGGTAATCTTTTATCATCTGTTCTTGACGTGGATACATGTTGTTAAACTTGACTAACTATCATAGTCTACGTCGAGACAGCCCTACCATGGATGCGAAAGAAATCGAGCTCAAAGCCAAAGCCCTGACCAAGGCGGCGACGTCCGGCGATCCTCCAGCAAATCTGATTAATATTTTGAAAGACCTTCAGAAAGGGGTGCGGCCCACAGAAGATCTCCTCCGCTCGACCCGGATTGGTATCGTGGTGAACAAACTAAAGCAGCACAAAACACCGGACGTTGCGCGACTCTCCTCCGAGATTGTCTCCAAATGGCGAAGCGAAGTTAAACAAAAGTCGAATGGTTCTCCAACTCCGAATCGCTCGAGCACACCAAACACGGGCGCGGGGTCGCCCGTATCAGTGAGCACACCTGGAGATAGAGCGTCCAAGTCATCGGTACCGCCCGAAAAGCGCACATGGAAAGCCGACGGCGTGGATACCAGTGTTACATCAAACAAAACCCGCGACAGCTGCTTAGGGCTTATGTATGATGGTCTATGCTTCATGAGTACTGAATCGCCGAAGCTCGTGCTTGCGAAAGCAACCGCCATCGAAACCGCAGCTTTCATTGCGTTTGGCCCTGAAACGAAGGAGCAATACAAGACGAAGATCCGAAGTCTCTTCCAGAATTTAAAGAATAAATCTAATCCCCAACTTCGACAGCGCTTGCTGTCCAATGAAGTGACACCTGAAAAATTTGTTAAAATGACGCATGATGAACTCAAGTCCGACGCACGCAGAGAAGCGGACAAGAAGATTCAGAAGGAGAACATGGACAAGGCAATGGTCGCCCAGGCAGAACGAAGTATCAGCTCAAGCTTGCAGTGCGGAAAATGCGGTCAACGCAAGGTTACATATACCGAGGCGCAAACACGCAGTGCGGATGAGCCGATGACACTGTTCTGCACGTGCTTGAATTGCGGAAAATCTTGGAAGCAATGATTTTGCTTTTTGTCTTTTTTCTTTTCTTCCCAATTTTTCCACCTCATTTTTATTTATTTCTGTCTTGGTTTTTTTTTGGCAGTGTATGCATGTCGAGACTACTGCTCATCTCGAAAAGTGAAGGGAGTTAAGGGGTTTTTATTCTTATTCAACCATGTATCTTTATCAGACTTTCCCATACGCCTTGATGCTACCTCGATATTTCCTATTTCTAACATAGAATAATAACTAGCTTGGTTTTTCTTTTCCTGCTCATCCACAACTACCATAAGCTGACAATCCATCTCCTAGTTTATGCTTCGCTGGATAATCCGACTCCTTACTGCCTGTCATAGGCCGTACATTCATCTCCACCCCAGTCCCCTTTGCGACATGTTTCAACTCCCCACGACTAGCCAAAAATACTGCCGCTGTATCCGCCCAAACTTGATACTCCTGCACCTTCAACCCCTGCCCTGGACCCGGTTCACTCTCCCCTGTCAAGTCCTCCGACAAGGTAACCCTCCACATAAAAGTCTCATTCCAGCTTTCTCCAGTCTCCTTGTATGTGAATTGTGCTTGCCCTCGAAGACATATAGTCATATTCTGAGGATCTACTACCCAGTCATCCTCACTCTCAAATACCATATCCCTGTATGAAAGATACTCAGCGAGTAAATCAAAGTACTCGCCCACCCTAGAAAGACCGATAAAGTCGCGACCTAGGAAGGGCAGACCGTGTCGAAAATAGCAACCCCCGTGCTCGTGAACTAGAGGGATTGGGGAGGCTGTGAAGTGTGTTAAAATGGTCGAAGAGGGCGCACCAGCAGCAAAAGCGGAGATAAGGGAGTGGATGGGAGAGAGGAGGACGGGGCGTGGAGGTGGCATTTTCAATACATGTATCTGGCTCTTGTAGAGTTTCCTTTTTGTTATCCCTTTTTTGTTTTCGGTATTAATGCTTTTAATGATGTATTTGGTTTAGACCGTATGGGATTTTGCATGTTTGTTCTTCTTCGTCTCTCTCTTCATTAAAGAGTGGTCCCTTCCAGACCTGGAAGCTCTGACAATAGGCGCCGACAGGATAAGCGTGGTATGCCCGAGAATGAGAAGCAAGCTCAAGTTGAATTGAATTAGACTATGCTCATTTCCGATTTATGCAAGTGAATTGCCATGAAGGCGACATGTAGTGGAAAGGCGCAGCTTTATAGTAGGACTGACATGATCATGATGTAATCGGGTCTGTCCGGAAGTGGAAATAGGGCACAGGGTTAGGGCTACGAAGTATACAAGTCTACCGAACCTGCACGAATCGGTGTTTCACGATTGAAACTGTTATTTTTATGGTTGTACTACTTATGTGCTTGCTCGACAATGTTCTCCACCAGATCGATTTCCAGAATGCCGCCTTCCACCATCTCCAACGGGGCTACAAAAGCCATCTGGCTCCACGACTCATAAACATTGTGGCCCCCGAATACAAGAACCTCGAAACGGCCTACAAAATTACCCTCAACCCAGCATCTGCTTCCTCGTATAGCATCGCTTGTGATTGTAATCTTTATTGGGTGATCAAGAGAGGGATTGGCGATGGCCACTGGCACGTGCGAAGATTCCGTCATATTCCCTGGTGGCGTCCCCCAAATACGACCCATGCCAGGCGATTCAGGGAAATAGGTGCTGTCGTTGTAAGATGTTGAGCGTAGAGGGTAAGACCAGCCGTCAGAGGTGAAGACTAAAGTGCTGGAGGAATTGCTGGAGATAGGAGCGGAGAGCGAGAGAGACACGTCAGAGGATGACAGATTAAAAGGCCCAGACACGGATAACGTAAGAGTATAATTGAGACCTTTACTACCCTTATTGAGATGATATTTTTCGGAATGATGTGGTTGACGCTTCCAAGAAAACAGCGAATCGCCTCTTGATTGAGAAGGAAGTAATACCCGATCTAGGTTCTCTCCTGGGATGCGTGGTGTTAGGAAGTCAATTGTCTGGTCGATGGTGTCTCCGTGTATCAATGGCCCCCTTGATCCAGACCAAGCCCGAGCAGCGACAAGAGGTACCCCTCGTCTGATAGCATAGTAAGCCTCTAGTTGGGTGCTTGCGTCAGGACCGTTATCGTTCCACGCCGCAAATATTGCGCCTTTATTAGACTTTGATGCAGGATCCAGCACTAGTGTCAAATTTTCATAGTTAATATCGCGTGGATCCCATTGATTGCCTTGCTTATCACCATAATTTAGCAACTTGGTCTCGTTGAAAAAGACTGGGTATGGGGCTGGTGAAATTGGGACATGGTCGTTCTTGATTGACATGTATGCCCATTTATCCTCGGAATTAATAATATTATATCCAGCAGCGACTAATTGAGTAGGGTCCGACTGGCCCGCTTGCCAGTGCTGAATGGTGATATCTTTTGATATGGTGAGATTCGTGGGCGATGGTTCGTACGTGCCCCAGATACGAATCTTCTTATTTGATGTCTTCTGTATCCAGTCCGACATCTCGTTGACAAAGTTGATGTAGTCATCTGCGAGTGTCGAGTCATATTCGTCAGCGCCGATATGCACTTCCTTTGAGTGAAGCCGCGGGAGAAAGTCAGTCCATATGCTCTTGACTGTGGGAATGGTATCGGGATGGCTGAGGTTGAGTAAGTCCTTAATAAAGAGGGCTAACTCTGGTTTCCACTTGGTGATCGAAAGAGCATGACCAGGAGCTTCGATTTCTGGTATTAGGGTAACCCCCCGTCTAGCACAATGCTGCTGAAAGTCTTCCAGGTCATCGGGACTTAGAGTTTCATTTTTTCGTTGCACAAGGCCAGATAAACCATCGCTTATGGGTCTCATTGAGAATTGGGAGTATACTTTGTACCAAGTTTCGTTGTGACCACGCGATAATGGGTAATTGTCGGCCGAGTGATAGTGAAACTCGGACATTTTGAAAAAAGACGCATATGTACAGAGGTCCTTCAAGAACGACAGAGAGTACCATTTTCTCCCGGCGTCAAGCATAAAACCACGGGTAGGGTATGCGGGTGCATCAACAAAATGTCCGACGGGTAGCTTCATGTTGCTTGGGGAGCTCTCTTTTTGTATGAGCATCTGTAATAATGTCCTCGTTCCCCACCACATGCCCCTGGAACCAGTCCCTGCAATAACAACGCCTCCATCGGAGCGAATGTCAAGAGTGTACCCTTCTTCAGTCGCGACCTTATTTTGATAAGTCAGGTTCTGGGCCGAGAATCCTAGGAATATACCATTTCCGTGCTTGGGGAGTTTCTCAACCACGTTCAGTGACCATGGTGTGCTGGTGATATCCTCAAGGTCGTCAATAAAGGTTTGCGCAAATTCGTATGCCGAGGGAGGAATCAGCGTGAGCCCAGCAGAGTCCCTTCGTTGGGAGAACCTGCGCTCAATATAGACCTTCTTTTCGACCAATACCGAAGAAAAATCAATAAAGGACTGCGATTCATTTGAGAAAGTCAATGGGGGTGGAAGCAACTGCCAAGTTACAGCTGTTGCCAGTGTTAAAAACAGTGGCGCTACAAGAAGTCTTCTCATTTCCGTTTATATGAATTGGCAATCTTCTTTATTTACACACAGGTTCCTTAGTTCAACAATGGATGTTGACTTGGTATTAAAATAAGCACTCCGCATTCCGATGGGCCGACGGGATTATGAATCTCTGCAAGGATGTGTGCCTAGTGGGCCTTGGGTTGCATCATGATGGGCCACGTTTTTCATGTTGCAGTTGTTTTCCTGTTCCTTATCGCCCTCAGATCCGAGCGGTCTGAGATTCGAGCTGACGAAAGATTCATCTCGTCGAGAAAGTATTGACAAGTAACCTGGAATTCCAATATCACCAGTTGAGGCCATTGATATTCCATTCGATTTCAAGAATCGGATTGCCGGAATTTTGGATAGAGAATATTTCCCCAACCTGTGTCCACTGATAGAAATAGATAGTACGTACATGTATTCTTCGGATTGACAACTGCGTGGGGTGTGAAATTTCTCCGCATTTCATGACCCACTGCATCCCGCGCAATACTTCTGCTGTTAATACGTAAGAGCTTCAACGTTACATGTCTCCTGTGTGGGATGAAGTTTATCTCACAGCTATTCAAATTTAGAGTAGGTGTTATACATCGGAAGTAGTGGTTATTCTAGGTAGCCTATTTAAGCTTTGCTGTCTGGTCTAGGTTAGGACATAAATACGACAGCACAGTACAACATCGATCCCCTCAGTTTGCAGTTTAGATTGCCAAATTGGCCGTAATGCGACGCAAAGCAGGGTCAGCCAGCACTATTCTTCATGAAGCGGCCGTATATTTGTGCTCTCGACTGTAGTTTACATTGAAGATGGAATGGGAGCGGCCGTTTCGGATGTAGGCGCATTGCATAAGATTTATCGCGATAGGTATTAACCCTCCACAGCGCTGTACAACAAAAACAAGTACAAATTCTTGGTGATCGCATTAACGGATAAAAGCGTTTCAAGTGTTATGATCGTTCGTTGCTGAACTATTTGTTGCCTGTAGGCTTATTCTTAGCTCTTCGAGTCTCGTGATACTCTTCGTGAAGAACCCATCGTGGCCATAAGGCTCGATATAGTCTCTCGACTCGGTAAGTTCGTCTATCGCATTGTTGATCCACTCTGTGCCTGTGACAGTCTCCCTCCTTTCCCTAGCTAGCTCATTCCTCTTCTTGTCGTACGCTGCATGCTGCCGCGCAATTTGGTTTCGCTGCTGCTTATTAGGCCGCCCTGTCTTGAACTCGCCAACACACGCATCTTCGTCTGTCCATCGGTGGGGTACAATAACGGCGGGGGAGGGAGAGGTGCATGGATCCACCATGGCAGCACGTAGATCGATGATCTTCATCATTTGCTCATCCATTAATGGGTATGTTTCCTCGCACTCGCCATACCCACTCATCTTGAAGCTAGCATCAATATCCCCGTATGCGTTCCAAGCTAGATAAAGTAGAAGGTTGAAAGCGCATCTCACACCCTGCTCGTCCATTTCGGAGAGCCTCACGGCTTCAGGAAGAAATTTGACCATGGCTGCCGAGTAGTCATCGGATGTTCTCCAGGGCCTGTTTGGATTTCTTCTCGGGTTTTGGGGAGTCGGAGATATTGAGCGCGTCATTTTCGGCGACTGAGCGTTTGCGTTTCTCGCCAGCTCTGGCATCCACGTCGGAACTTATCGAAGCAAAGGCTAGGCGTGCTTGTCGTACCATTTCGATATTGTACGTATCATTAGATAAGTAGAAATAGTAGTAGTAGTAGTAATAGTAGTAGTAGCAGAAGTTAAGTTGGACGTGCAAAACGCGTCTCGGCGTGTCGCGAAAACGCGTTGAGTGACCAGATTCCGGTTTTGCCTCAGGCACTCCATCCTTTCGAAAACAGACAAGACCATTGAAGGACGAACGTGGTATTTATTATATGTTATATAGTTGTGTTCATAAAATAAAGAATTAACTTGGGAAATGTCTGTTGAATTTTCGGATTTTAAGTGAATTTTATAAAGTGAATTTTATAATCTGAATATCAAGCCAGTGTAAGCTTCACTTTACTCACAACTGGTTACGAGACACCTTCGACTCGGCAATGCACTGCGTCATATGTACAAAGTCTGAGTGATTGTTATTCTTATTACTATCATTTGCTTTTTGGATCTATCATATTAAGTATACATACTTTATATATTCTATTTTTATTTTTATGTTTATTTTATAGTGTTTCCAATTTCTGTATCTAATTCTAGGTTATTTCTATTTTTATTTTTATTGAAAGCTTATGTTGATCTTTAAACGACGCGCTTTAGGATAATAGATAGGTAAATGAGCGATACATGTAGGTTATTATGATTAGACTATAATGCTCTACATTTACAACACAATGAACATATACAGAAAGAGGGGAGGCAGAGATTATTTCCTGGGCACTTGAATAATCGTCAAGCACCCGACAGATAATCCTATTCTCAAGAACTACACCATTCATTTTATTACAGGGTGTGTGTATTAATACGCTGAACTCCCCTTTAAGGATATGCAGGCGATTTAACTAGAGCTACTATCTAGAGTACATGTCACTAGTGATGTTCAATGAGTGGGATGCTGCAACTTCCAGATAGGCTCTTCAAGGCATTCACTTCCTCTGTGTAATTATCTTCTGAAATATTATAATGTGCCTGTTCATGATAGGAATTAGGAATTCCCATGGGCATGGTTCTATGGGAATTGTCAATGTCTACTCAGATGTTATGGGCATAAAGACACATATTCGTATATGCATATGTATAATTCGTTTATTACAATAAAATTCTTATCATAAATAATAACATACCTCTATTTCACAGTGCTATATAGTAAATTTCAGTATGGTTGAAAAGTATTTACTGATCGCTGCGCCGTCTATACCACAACCGGATCCAACTAATCCATCTGGCCTGATAATTACTACGCCACCTTCGGCCGTGTCAATTCCAAATTCAGCATGTGCCTCTTGGGCTGGATCGTAGTACATATCGCCAAACGGAACCATGCCTATTGCCTCATACGGCGAGCAGCCCAGAGAAGCACTAACTGTAATCCATCCAATAGCTGGGTGAAGATAGAGTCTATTGTTGGCATAAAGAAAACTTCGCAGTGCTTGGAGTGCACTGCTCGTCGATTCTACTTTACCGGCGAACACGACGACCCAGAATTTCCCTTGGTTGCGTGCGACACGGTGTAGCCGCGTCTTTTGGTTGATTCCGGGAACCGTCAGCTCAACATCAGAGGCACGACTGCCCGCCGTGACACTGATGTCTACAGACGGAGTCTGGTTGAGAACATTTGTCGAATAAGAGATGCCCAAGCCGGTGTTGAAAGATGTAGTCTCCTCGAAAATCTTCCCCAGTACCAAGTACGGGTCAGCAGCCTTGTCACCTGTATACCAAGAAGGCCATTTGTGCGTCATGAGGAGGGATATGTCCTTGTCGTAGTCTATCAGCTTCTCAACCGCTGTCTTGCGTTCCAGACCATATGTCTCCAGCACCTCAGACTTGGTGAAACCTCGGACTTGTAAGGCAAGCTTCCAACCCAGGTTCACAGCGTCATGGATACCGGTGTTCAATCCTTGCGCAGCACCACTACTGTGAGTATGCGCGGCATCACCACAGAGAAAGATTCGATTTCTAGTGGAGAAATGACGAGCCATGCGCTGTCCGATAGTGTACCTATTGGTAGTCCCATCTATTAGCTTTATATTACTGTTCCTTATGTGTAATGAACAGTTTTACCCACAGTGTCCACCAGTGTACCTCACGAAACTTAACTTGGAATGGACTCATGGACTCGATTGCTTCCTTCACAACTACCTCTTCGGTTACTCCATCGGGGTATCTGGCGGCAATCTCCGAAGTGTACGCATAACCGATTCTCGTCGCTCCGTGGTCGAGGGGTGCCCAGAGAACGTTCCCATGTGTTTTGCTTTCGATCGCACTGAATTTTGTCCGGTTAGGATATCAAATTGAGGTATGTAGTTATACCAAAGGTTGTGGGTTGACTTACCCATAAGCACGATTTATCGGCATATCGGTGTCGATAATACCGTCCACTCGAATCCACTTATCTTCAGAAGTATCGCCATCAAAGGGGATTTCCGCATGTCTTCGGACAAAACTACGACCTCCATCAGCCCCTACGAGGTATTTACTTTTCTCACTCCATCAGCATCCGTGTCAAGATGACAATTCAATAGCCGGAGAGTGTATACCTCTTCAACGTCATTTTCTCTTGAGTCTTCGTATTGACCCAATAGGATTTCACACCGTACTCATCAAGTGATGCAGCGTCGTTCACCTCAAAGCCAGTGCACTCAGTAGAGGCAAAGTAGACCGCACCCACTGACTTTAATTTTTCCCGGAAAATAGCCTCTGTGTATCTCTGACGGAGAACCAGTGCGAAATCGAATACAGTGCCCTTGATATTTTCCATAAACGTCCACACCCGCCCCGGCACTCTATGCAAGTGTTCAGCGAGACATTGTAATCAAGGGGGCTGACCGTCTACTTACTGTTCCACTCCATCCTTGTATGTGACGCTCGACCGACATGCAAATCCCAATTGCAACATGGCATTAGCTAGGTCAAGCTGGTCGAGCTGTTCCATTGTGCGTGGAAACAAAGCAATGGCCCGTCCAAAGGTATCCTGTGTCTCTTTGTCCTGTTTCTCTAACACGCACACCGACACGCCGAAACGTGCCATTTGGTATGCAACTAATAGACCAACAGGCCCACCACCTACGACGACCACATCAAAATCTAAGCCCAAGTTCACAGCCATGTTTGTCACTTGGGGAGAGATTAAGAATCCTCAAGAGCGATGCAAATTCGGAGATAATTTCCACTGAGGTGCGTTTATATGGGGAATTCAGAGACTGACGTCTCACACGGTAAACTACTCTCAGCTGCCTTTTTTGGTCTAATTTTCCCTTTTTTTTGGCCCTGCAATGTGGTCGCACGTCCGACAGAAGAGTCAAAAACACTCCTGACGGCGTTCTATCGCCCGTTGATAAGAGCTGTCCAATGGTTATGTGGCGAAACTTGTGCGGAGCGGGCGACGGCTACGGCGGCGGGTGGTATCATCTGATGAAACTCGGGCGTCAGAGGATAGGGCCTTGATCAGAATTCATGATGACACCAATGCATATTAATAATCTCATCTTACTGTGATTCCGATGCCGATTTCAAGGTGGAGTGATGATAGATCATTTCCATTTCGAGTTCACGTATATGTGCTTCACTACTGACCACCCAATGCTAACGATTTATTAAGAAAATAGTGTAAAATATTTTGAACTTTTAATAATATACAATTCTAGGTATATATAATTGCAATTATTTGTTGGGTATAATATGGACTATTCAATACCTCTCAATTAGAGAGTTCTGGCGATCCATTCAAGAGATACTCTGTATGATTGCAAGACACAGCTCGTTCTTCCACGTTATCGCAGCTATATATCTCTATGTCAAGCAAACAATGGTATTAATTGAAGGAAATTGATTAATGAGCTCACTAGTAAATTTGTAGGATCATGTAGCTTAATCCTCCTTTGTCAAACACAATATGGTTACTCTACACATCGACGTAAACAGGGGTGGCTGGAAGCGGTAGTCCAATGAGAACTACTACTCAGAATAGATAATTATCTCGGATAATCCTGACTTAGCTCATGGCCAAGTAATTTTCTATTCGTGCTACGAACTGAACCTCTTTCGATCGTATCGAAGAGCTGCCTGCAGTGCCACAGATGCTCCCATTGCGCAGTCTTCGGGTGTACAGTACTCTTGCGGATGATGACTGACACCCTCTCTACAAGGTACAAATATCATACTCGATGGCACTCGTTTCGAAGTACTGACGGTGTCGTGCCCAGCACCACTCACCATGTGTCGAATTTGGGATTGGGGATCGAGCACGACCGCTTCCGCAGATTCCTGGACACAGTCAATGCAGCTCGGATGAAATTCGACCTCTGGGGAATCGAAATCCAACTGCCACTCCACCATACACGGCTTTCCTCCACGCTGGGCAATCTGCGCGAATTCTGACCGCAACAAAGTCTCTGTCTGTATCACGGCGTCCATGGTCGGCCCTCTGACATCGAGACTGAAGGTTGCCAGACCGGGGACTGTGTTGACGCTTCCAGGAATGTCTGTACGATGCCGACACTGGCCAAACAACCATATGTGGCGACAGCTTCTCGAGCATTGACGATCATCTGAGCGGAAGCATACATGGCATCCGCGCGATGTTCAAAGGCAGTCGTACCAGAATGGCAATCCGATCCAGTCACTCGGATTCTGTACCAGCGATATGCTTGAGCGCCGATGGCCACCCCAACACTTTGTCCTCAAGATACCAGATATGGACCCTGCTCGATATGCAACTCAAAATGAGCAGCCATGGGCATCGCTTCGTATGAGCACGGTATATCACCTAGGTACTCAATTTTCTCGAGCGCACTTTTGACCGTGTCTGGTTGTGTGCTGGCAGTTGGTAAAGATGCCATTGTTGGAACTTCTTTTAAAGAATGAGCATGCGCCAAGTAGAAACTGCCAGCCCATACGCCGGAGGCAAGGATTGTCATTGGAAATCGGGCCCCCTCTTCGCTGAAAAACAAAACAAGTTAGCAGAACTGTTCCGCTGGACTAAAGCATCAGGGATAAAAAAGAAAATCTTACTTTGTCCAATTGACCACCCCAATTCCACCCTCCGACTCAATTCCTAGGTCGTCTATTACCTGCAATGCTTCAATTCCGGCCAAAACGCCGAGAATGCCGTCATATCTGCCGCCTGTTGGCTGCGTATCTAGGTGACTGCCGATGAACGTGGCAGGCACATCCTTCCTGCGCCCGGGACGTACCGCAAATATATTTCCCATCTCATCAACATCCACACGGCATCTCAACTGTTTCATTTTCTGTACAAACCAGTCACGAACACTTTTATCATCTTGAGACAAGGCGAGACGCTGCATCCCAGTTTCCGTAGGATCACTTTTGTTCAATTAATATTTATCATAGATTGATAGACGGTTATTCACGGTGATGTGTTCCGAGAATAACCAAGTAGCTTGCTCACCTCCCCCATCGAATTCCCGATCCCCATTGACAACTGAAATGTAAGTCGTGCATTAACCTGTCCTTGTTGGCTCTCAGAGCGGATAATTCGGCCTCAGACAGGTCACCTGTAAATGCCCTAGGCTGTGCTGACATTGAAATTTCGCGGATGGAATACTGGCCAAATGGTTTCGTGTAGGAACAAACACGCTTTGCGGCCGTGGTAGAACGTAACCTTGTGAGCAGCATTGTTGGTATCACCTTTCGAGTTCAAGCATCAGAGTCATCTCTCGATTAGTCGTTCTGAGATATACTGGGTCCAATTGCTGTCCCATCCTGCCTGTTTCTGTTGTGGGAATTCGTTGGCCGACGAATGCCACGGCCATGCCTATCCGGAGATCGGCCGTCGATTCGGGCAACTTTTCGGGCGTGACATCAGCTATTTGGACATATCTGCTTCAGTGCACTCCCAATGTTCTTACTCCCACTCTACAGATCCTAAATTCCAATTTACTTGCAGAGTAATTAATAGCTTTTTCTCCGAGCCAACCAAATCGTAAGATATGGGGCTCATACCAGCGCGCAAAGCAGTTGCGGTGCAAATCCGGCAGGATCAAATCATCAAGATCACTAACACCCATGGAAAGCAAGTCGTTGATTTCTGGGCATTTAATCCAAATGACACTCACGACTTTCTTTCAATGGTTCACACGCGAACTGTTCTTCGCAAGGTTTCTGTCCGCGTTGGAGATGCTATTGTGAGCACGCGCCGCAAGCCGATGATCACTATCGAAGAGGACACGACCCAAGGAGTACATGACATTATCTGGTCAGCTTGTGATGCTGAGCGCTATCGAATGCAAGGAGTTAAAGGACACCATGATAACTGCAGTGAGAATATGCACACCGCCCTGAAAGAGACATTTCCAGCTTTCCAAATCCCCGATGATTGGGTACCAGATCCGTTTAATCTGTTCATGAATGTCGCTATCGACCACCATGGTGGACTTGATATTAGACCCCCAACTAGTGAGAAAGGTCAGCATGTCGTATTACGAGCCCACTCGGATTTGATCTTGGTGATGAGTTCTTGTCCACAAGATATCGAGCAAGTCAACGCAGGCATGCCCACCGACTGTGAATATGATATTCTCACCACGCTGCCAGGCACTGGCGCTATACCCACATCAGAAAATTTTGGTATTACATCAATTCCTAGAAGTATTGACAAATTCCGTCATCGCAAAGTCAAGGTTGCCCTTTCTTTCGACTTTGATGCCATCTCGCACTGGCTCGGCACTGGTTGCCATCCTGACAACAACATGGCGGACTACAGCTCAGGGATATTTGCCGGTCGCGTGGGAGCTATTCGACTCTTGAACATGTTGAAGAAATTTCAAGTCGCTGACAAAGTGACCTGGTTCATTCCAGGACATACCATGGAGACATTCCCAGCGACGGTTCAGCAAATTGTCGACTCTGGGGCCGAAATAGGACTACACGGCTACGCCCATGAGGGAATTTATCAAATGACACCGGCACAGGAGCAAGATGTGCTTGAAAAATGCATTGACGTTGCGACCAAGCTCTGCGGCAAGAGACCTAGGGGATATCGAGCTCCCATGTATACGATCCGGGAGACAACGGTGGAGCTGCTGCGCAAACATGAGTTTCTATACGACACCTCACTCATGCATCATGATTCACAACCTTATTTCACCCCAAGTGACCCACCCATTGAGCCAATTGATTTCACAAAAGATGCCTCCTCATGGTTGCACCCGACTCAGTTAGCCTCCAGCAATCGTCCTCCCGAAGGTCAGATTCCACTTGTGGAGATTCCATGTGGATGGTATAATGAAGATATGATGCCCCTGCAATATTTGCCGCATCTGGCCAACAGTAATGGGTATGTCAGCACCCGCATGGTTGAGCAGATGTGGAAAGACAAGTTTTTGTGGTTGTGGGAGAACAGCGAGGATGGTAACGAATCGACAAGCTTCGTCTTCCCTATTCTCATGCATCCTGATACGAGTGGAATGTCACATATTATTGGCATGTCAGAGCGGGTTCTAGCATGGCTGAAAAGTTGGGGTGCAAGTGTGCAGTTCTCCACACATGAAGACATCGCTCGCGAGTGGTTGGCTGAGCAGAAACTGAACTAGATCGTTATTAACACGGTTATTATCGAAAATTGGACTAATAAATGGGGTTACAGCAGTTCTGTAACATTTCTAAGATTTATATAGTCATATCAGTTGGGTTGTTCTATACTACCTAATTCGTGTTGATGTTAGAATATCTAGAATTGAATTCTGTAGAGGAGTATGAAGAAGATCTGTGTCAAATCAAGAGATGTAACAAATCAATGTGCTGAAAGCCGACGTAAAATCTTATTTTATGTAAAGAGTGTATAAGTGGCATATAAGACCATGGCCTACATAATAAAAATTTCTCCTAACTCAACGTCATTGTTATGAGCTTGCAAGTCTAAGAGAATATGAGCAGGAACATCCATCTTTGTACCACCAACAACCTTTTCCAAACCAGCAAAATAAATTGCATCGAGTCGTATCGCAGCAAGTTTCAGCACTGGCCACGCTCGCGCTTGTGTGCGCAGTATCTGCTTCCATCTCTCTAGAAACTGTTTGTTCTCCACGGCTATTTTCATCGATTTTGACTGTACAAAGAGAAGGAGAATGAACGTGGATATATAGGCAAACTGATAACGAGCGTCTATATGAGAAATTCGACGTCAGTGAAAATCGGTGGATTGGAGGAAAACATATACATCAAGGCAAACAGGGCTGGGAGCTTGGAGATTAAGAAAAAAAAGCCGCTGCTACGCTCGACCCAGATGGATAACCTACATGAAGGCCAGAAGTCGATAAAATCCTTCGACATCAAACCGGAAACTAGCTCTACCGCCAGTTTAGCACAAGCTTGGCCACCTTCGAGCAGTGCAGAGGTTGACTGAGAATCGCCACTGTCGTGGTCAGGGACAGGTGGTCGAAGGATGGCTCGAAGAATAAGGACCTCCAAGGTCATGCGTGCAACTCGTAATGGGGCCCATTGATGAAGTTCCACACTGTCGAGACTAGCATTTTGGTCAAAAAAATAGCGTTGTTGCCAATCATTGAGCCGTTTCCGGAGTGGCTGCGCGAGAGAGATAATTTCCTCGAAAGCTTTTGGCTTGTATATGAACTTGACGGTGCTACAACATACAATCATTCGAAATTAGCTCGATAGGGAACAAACTATACTTTCCGACTCGAACTTACTAAAAGGTATCCAGGATGTCATTGGCAATTAATCCCAGGTCGCACATGGCTAGGAAGTATGAACTTCGACTACGAATGCGGTACTGGACCTCTACATCTTTATATTCATTGACTTCCAGGTCATTCAATTCGACCATGCGAACAAACCAACCTTCGGCATGGACATGGGATGGACGACCGAGAACTAAGGCACGCCATGTATGGTCGATGTAAATTATCCACCATAACCTCTTCCGTAGCTGAATCTCCCATCTGGGAAGTCGCCAGTTAGATGGATCTAAATTCAAACCCAAGCTTTCTGCAGCCGCTAACCCAGAGCATGAGAGCGCCCACAAACCCGGCGAGTCCCCGACTGCGAAGTTCTCCGGAGGTCGCTGCAATAGTAACAGACACAACTGCACCAGCCAGAGGCGCGGTTTCTGAAACAGACGTTGCAGGCTTCGATAGGCAATGCCCCAGAGCTTATTAGTTTCTGGCTGCATATACGCCGCATCGACACACAGCCGGTCATCCAGGAAGTCAAAGTGAATGGCTAGAGCATACGTTGCAGCCATAATACCAACAGGAAGGTCGCGTCCATCGCCGGAGCATAATTGATCGTACTTTCGGGCTGAGAAGACTGGATAGGATGGTTGGATGAATCGAAAGAATCTGCGAGATCTATCAGTTCCTATTTGCATATCGACATACAGTTGGGTCTGTGAGGCTCACAGATTCACTAATCGAGTGCCCAAGTCTTTCGGAATAATCTTTTTCAACAAATCCCAGTCGTCGTCTTCCGAGTTGTGGACGAAGAAATCTTGGTCTATAGACCTGATGTTCTCTTCACATATACTCTCGTTGAATACCTGGAAATTAATCGGTGCCGTGTCCCCTTGTAGAGTCGTAGTAGTCAAAGCACATGTCCGACCTTTGTGCAAGTCCATGTCGCCGGTCATTTTGCGATAAATAAGTCTACGCATTGTGTAATTGTCGAAAGCATCATAATGAAAATTGCGCAGAAGGAATGGATCAGTCTCGCTCGATAATCCAATCAATTGCGATGAGTATCCCGGTCTAGTCTCCAACGAGAATTCTTCAGGCCAGTCCATCGCATTTCCACCATGCGTAATGGGTGATGGGGAACCTCTGATATCTGACATCTGACTTCTAATCGCCGGAGAGTCGGTTCTTGAATGGATTTGCTCCAGTTCTATTGCCGAAGAAGCAGTACCCGGTCGACCTTGAGAGTCCCCCATAGTAGCAGGCTGGCTTCCAATATAATCATCCTTCTCGATGAACACTAGTACGGGTTACTATACTGAGAAATGCAACAAACCTCTTATGTTTTTGAGATTCCTTACCATTCCCCGACGCCATAAAAGGCCAACTCATGTTACTAGACAGGCCAGGGTTGAATGGGGGAATTTGGGTCGAAGGGGCAGACGCAACAAACATGTCTTCATTGAAAACAAGGCTGTCATGCATCCAAGTGGCGTCACCTGTCTGGCACTGTGAGACATCTAAGGTACTATCTGCCTGTCTCTGATCCGACACACCACAATCTGTCGAGATAGGTAGTCGTCCCTTCTTGAGCGGCTGAGAAAAAAATGTACATTCTTTCCGTTTCTTCTTGCATAGCTCGCAAACACTATTATCAGCTAGGATTCTGCAAACGGACTTACGACTCCGGCAGAGGTCACAGGGTCGCTGTCTTTTCGAGCGGTACTTGCGTGGCATAAGCGCGTGTTCCATTTCTTGGCCGGCCATCTCTATTGCTTTGACTTCTTGTTATTCGAGGGGAATCATTATAATTATCCTGGTCAGTGCGGTGGATTGCTTTAGGAATCACTGAGGTCGTTCGCGGTTGATGCGGAAGGAGAGAAATAAGTTAATTCTAATGACTTGACTATTTGAGCATCATATTCTTATCTCCGACAGATTGCCTCTTTTGGTCTGGTAGAAATATCTCCTCGGCCGGTGTTTGCGCTGTTTGCATAGACCACACCACCATGCCACTATTACCCGCCAGGGTTATAATAAAATGTCAGCCAATAAATACCAAATTAATTACTTTCACTAATGAGGGGAAAATTTTTTCGGCCAACAGTTATGAGCTTGGACCCCTTCCGAATGCTGAAAATACATACACCAAATTCAAATCCAAGCAAGATTAAAGTAATACATACAGCAGCGTCCTGAAGTGATGGCGAGGCGATGCACATTGGTATGGTGGAGACGTGGATTCACCAAAAGGACCTGTAGTTGTTCGATATCGATGGCTCTACAGACAACGCCTTACCCTTGCGGGTTGGAATATGCGGCACAGCTTGATTAGACGAATAGCTATGGCAACTACTTCGATTCCTTCCGTTTGCCTCCCCAATTCTCTGGATTTATACCTTATCCTGGGCATCCGAAGTCGATCAGTATCAACTCAGATCGGCTTCGCTTCGATACTTCAATCTTGAGCCGCACCGTCTTCCCCCATATTTTCCGTAGCTTGGTCGTGGACCTCTGTTACCCTCTCAAGATCATTCTGCAACTCATCCCAAGACTGGCCCGCTTTGAAAACATTACTCCACATTTCTTGGGCTCCCTTCACCAGTTTAGCATCTACGCCAATCTCATTTGCGAGTTGATTCGGGTCATTAAAGACCTCACTGGCTTTGTACGCCCATTCCATGTCCATTGATCGGGACTGATCAGTGAGATTAGTGAGAAGATTTCTGATTTTCCAGACCAGGTCGACCCATTCTCTTTTGTCCTCTAAGTTGACCTCCTTGTAAGGCTCCAAAAATTCAACAAGCCGTTCTAGCCCGTTGAATGACACCTCTAATTGCGGCAGATTGTCAGACATAGAGGCGAATAAAGGAGAGAGGTGCTTCCCGAACACCTTCATCAAAGGCAAAGAGGCCTTGCTGAATTGCATTTCGTCGCATGCCTGCTTCGCATGCCGATAGGCAGCAGGAGTATCATGCTTCGCTAAACAATCCAGGACCTGACGCAGGAAAAGGCTGGAATTTTCAGCCACGCGGGAAAGCATGGCCTGGTGAGCATCGTAGTCGTCGGCGACATCCAGTTCCCCGAGCCGGCGGCACACTTGGCGGAACTTCGAGGCCACAAGGACATGGCCATCGCGCTCTGCGACTTGGAGGCCTCTTCGGGCTGCGGCTATGGCCTGCGCTAGATCCCCCTGGCGGGTGTGTGTTAAGATGGGTGCTATAAGATCGCTGTACCAAGGGGGAATGCCTTGAAAGAAGTCCACCTTATGCATATAGAAAATCAAGTCGGCGTACCAGGCCATGTTCACTGGATTTCCCACGTAATGGAGGCCTTTGAGCCCATCAAATGGTTTCAGGAAGTTGTCAACCATCATGTCGAGGATTACTGACTGTGTTGCAAATTCGTCTTCAAAAGAGCTTCCGGCCGCGGTGTTCGGGCGACGTGCTCTGTCCTCTCTTAACTTGCGGACGTAATCTTCAAGTTGGACAGTCGAATCGTTGGTGTTGTTGAGTAAACCTATCACGTCATTGAGGAATGAACCCAGCAAACTCCAGCCATCTTCAGACTGTGCTCGCGCAGTTTTGACAGCCTCGATGCTTCGATCGATGTCGTCCTGGCTGGAATTTGGCGACATTAATGCAATTCGCATTTCGCTTATCAAAGCTTTCATTTCAGCCGCTTTGAAGTTGTCCTCCATCAACTCCTCCTTCCCCGTTCCCATACGACGCATTGCTGAAACCCTGCCCAGCAGTAGTTTTCGAAGACGTAGCGGCGTAGCTCGTTTGGCTTCTATGCAGTATCGCTGGGTCATGTCAATGGCCCAATTCAAAAGGTAGAGAAATGGCCCTAGTGGCTGGAGAAGCGGTTCATCCATGGAGTTAGGCATTATAGATGCCGCCATGTCGATATATTCCAGCACAATATGTGTGAGAAACCAGGTGCAGAAATCCTCCGTCGAACCACATATGGGAGCCAGAACATGGAACGAAGACCAGGCAAATGGCATGCCGCTCTCGAGAAACATTTCCCTTACGGCTGGAACCGTTATCATAGCTAACAGGTGACGATATTTCTGGTGCAAACCAACAACAGCTGTTATCAAGTTCCATTTCTCTCTCTGGATAAATGGAAACGCGAATGATTTGATGGCCGGAATGTCCTCGGTAACTGCAGGATTCAACTTGGCCATTTCGAGTGCCCTATTCTCAATGCAGTCAAAGAAGCTAATGAATACCCCGTCACAGTGCAGAATTCTCAAGATGCGCCGAATCCACAATGTGAGAGCAGGGTGAATATGATATCCAGGGGTTCCATCGATTAGAGGCTCGGTTGGCGTGGTGAGTAAATTGGCTCCCAAGAGCAGTCGCACAACGTACTTTAGAGAGCGTGCCATGGCCTCTTTCGAGAACTGTGGTTCTTCTGATTCAGGTGGAAGTCCCTCGTTCATAATAGACCAAAGCTTAAATGGCAGAAATGACGCTCCTAGTCGAACTTTCGGTATCTTCTCGATGATCATTCCAATCATTGGCACATTTGCCATCATGGAAAATTTAACCTCGAAGACAGTCACTATAGCATCAGGGTGGGGTAGAACGTCTGTCCATAAGCCAATGGATAGCAACGCCCATATTTCCTGGTACCTGTTGTGTCGACCCAGAAAGGCCAGGACTGTCAGCATGAGCTGATGGACACGACCCAGCCCTTCACTATCGTCGAGATCTAGCGTCTTGAACCTATTAATTTTGTTCTCAAAGATGTCTTCAATGTAGCTGAGGAATGTATTTTCCCCGTCATTCGGTTCTCTGGATGAGGTTGGTTGGCTCCAGGACAGAATAGTTTCAAGTCCATGAAATCTCTCCTGTAGCGCGCTTGAAAGACTCTTCATAACCATGGGGTTGTATTGCAGCATTTCGAAGATGCGAAGCAGGTGAGTGTCGGGTGATTCCTGAAAAGAGCCTGTCTCTTGAGTTTGTAGCTTGAATGACGAGATAAGATTTTGGGCATCTGTCGTGGTCAACTGGCGACTAATGGAGAACACATTGTCGTCCGTCCTGGTCTTAGAACAAATTGACGGCGAACATGTTGCCACTATGAATTTCAAACTGGACACTGACAAGATCTCGACAACGCGAAAGAAGCTAGTCCATCCCTCCAAGGTATCGTCACTTTTTGACGACTCGTGAAAAAGCTCATCGATTCCGTCGACGAGGATGATATAATCATGCCCTTTGGTCATTGCCACCATCTCCCTAATGTAATCGATGGCACGCGGATGCGTTGTGTGCGCTGCATTGTCGCCAATTACGGAGTTCCTTATGAACTTCGCAAGGGCATGAAGACCAACAGAGCTGTCGTGTTCGAGGTCAGTATCTATGAGAGACACATTTACGTAGACGACATTCTGGAACAAATGGATCTGCTTCCACCACCAGGCTAGATGCTTCATGAGGAGAGATTTTCCGGTGCCAATATCACCAATGAGCACTTGGAATGAAGTCTGCCCTCTCATCAACCTGCTCAGTCGATGGATATCGTCTTCTCGACCAATGATCTCTGGCAGCTTGGACGGTGCATATGCTCTGGCAATTTCCGGTTTTGATGGTATGCCTGCTAGCCGGAGATCAACACCGTCGACTATGTAGACTGCAGGCACCAATGAATCCTGGATCTCGACAAGTTCCCCATACTTGGCACGACGCGAGGAATCCGCCTGCATAGCACGTCGGGAAGCATATGCAGCTTCGACAAATGTCTTTCCTTCAAGGCAAAATGCCGTATAGAAGGAGGACGTCAAGATCGCCGCACCACTAGCCTTGAGTTCGTACCTCATGGCATAGACGCCTCTGATTCCATGTGTCAGGAAGTGGAGTGCCAGGTGGCCGAAGGTGGAGGTGGTTTGAGCAGTTCGGCAAGCGCATAACACTGTCCATTCAACTCCGTTCCTTCGAAGAACATTGGCAACAGAGGAAGCCGTATAAGCTGTGCGATACTTCGAATTGGGTTCGGTGAACTCGAGAACCGGGCTACTCTCATACCGAACAAGTCAGTTCTTAAATTGAAGGCAACTTCTATATTCAGGTAGGGATATGATCTTACCCTTTATTCTTGTCAATTTTGCCATGAAGATCAAAATGAACCAGATGGATCCTTTCAGATTCTGACCTTTCGTCTAATGCCTTTTCAAACTCCTGGAAAGTCCCTGTATGCACAAAAGCCAACTCTACCCCCGGCGCTCCTTCCAGCGTTCGCACTAGTGGAAGACTCGTCAGCCGAGGAGGTACATCACCCTTTTTTAAGTCTGACCGTGCTGACACGACCAAGATGCGGAAAACGCCGTCGATGGCCTGAGTGGATGAAGGAAGCAATGGGTCCAGGGCTGGCGTCCGCAATTCCCTGTGAACGATGACCCTGTGCTCGGAGCCATCGAGGTGCTCGAGTACTTCCCAATGAATTCGATCAAGCTCATGCTGGTCTTGAGATAAGTTGATGTGGAGAATGACGGTCGCATAACCGTCCAAGGATGAGCCGATGTCTAGTTGATTCCAGAGTAATATGCCGTACCGACGGAGCTCTGCCGCGGCTGCGCGAGCACGATATTTTGCGAATGGTTCGAGTGTGAAATCTTCCAGATACCACCGGACTAGATTATCTTCTGCTTGTGACTTAGAAGGGTTTTCCAGATCGATGGTTTTATTCATGCAATCGGTGGAGCTTATTGCAACCTTCCATGATCGAGGAGATAGAACAGCCGCCTGTTGGCACCAGATATGTATGGTTTTGGACATTTAGTCAAGAAGCGTGGAAATAGGTGTGTCTTGCATCGGGACAAGACTGTCTGCCTCAACTTATGAAGTGCTCATAGCATGTATTTACCCACAGCTTGGGCCCAGAGAAGAGGCTGGATGCTGTCCTCCGGGCGGAGTAACCCGTAGGAGGAGGATAGATGCCCGTGGCGACTGATGGTGTTTAGTGGCTTGGGGGCTGTGCACCACGTCAGCCTTCTGGCGAGTCTCTTTTGGCAAGCTTTGTATTTTTAGCCGTGTGGCGCTCGATTTCATGGGGTGTAGCTTGTTGCTGCGCCTGTGGCTTGACGCACTGCGATTAATCAGAGTGTAGGACCTTAGGGGGGCTTCCGATACACGAACATTCTGCAGGTGCGCTGGCTGATTTGGCGCATTCATATCTTTCCTTGTTAATATCTTCTCATCTCGGCAGGTTCTAGCGATTTCTAGTGGGGATATTATCGAGGCTGAGTTCCACTGTTATAGGTCCTAACGTCATCTCTATACCTCATAACTATGGTCTTGGAAGGTCGAATCTTGGGTTCGGTACTTGCTCTCGAACCTCCTGTCAACAAACTTTGCCTTCACAAAGACTGCCCGGCATAGCTAGTCGCACCTGGAGTTGAGTCTTAACAACTGCGAGGCATACAACACCGCTGATTGCAAATCACAACCATGTCGGCGCCTACCTTCCATTTTCTCGATCCTCTCAACCAGATACATGGCGCGGAGCTTGACAGCCTGCTGGGTCGCTTCGTTCTTGACCGGTGGCACCCCACGGTGCAGGCCAACGAGCCACCTGACCCGTCCATCATCATTACTCCCGAGTTTCTCAGCGAGGACCTCGAATTTGGCAATGCCGAGATGTACATCACCACAATCTCGCATCTCTCTGCGCAAGCAGCCGCGCGTAAGGCTCTCTCAGCGAACGGCGCTCGCACACAGGAAGGCGACGTGCACCTTTCCAGTGTCCAGGTGATGAGGCGTGGAGTAAGGCATGCCCCGTCAGCCTTCAACGCACTGATGGCCGACGAGCATGTCGTGAACAGAGTGCGCCGAATGATGCGCACTGCGGGAACGCACCAAGTTTGGATGATTACGGCAGTGTTGTACGCAACGGATGCCCATGTCAAGACGAACGCCACGAGGTCGAAAGAGGCGGATGTCAAGGTCAAGATGCAGCTACCGGTCGGGGCGGCAGCGGGGGCGGCGATAGGGGCTCCTGGCGTGGGACCGACGGCACTGGATGTCGACGTGGTGGAGGGATCAGTTTCGCATCAGCAGCAGTCCGCAGCCGGCATGGAGGCTGATATGACAGGCCACCGTGTGTTTGCGGTGCAGTACTGGCGTTGTGAAGACCCGAAGTTCTTTGACAGGCTCCGGGGGAAGATGTCGCTCCGTGGTAAAGGGCTCCAGAATGTGGATGCGGGATATAAGGGCTTGGGAGAATCAGACCATGAGGATGACGAGAGCAGTGATGATGATGAGAAGGCTCCGCCATTAGTTCTGAAAGAATGCGTGGAGGTTTAGGATGAGTTTTGGTGGCTGACGCCTATAGACGGCAGGCTGGGGACAGCCGAAGAGCTGAGCCTATATTGGTTGGTATGAGAATATGAGGACGCAAGTCCTTGAAATCCATAATCCGAATAACTCCAGCAGCTGCAAAACTCCTGTTATCCGCAGTAACATCCGAAATATCTTGGTTGAACTTCAACTACTCTCCAGACGTCCCACACAAAAAAATCAACATGGGGGGCCCTTAGTCATATGGGACTCCCAAAACTACATCCCTAGAGTTTGTGAAAGTTTATGAAAGATTGAAGGCCTTGATGATTTTTGTCCCAACTTTTAAAGACACATTACCGAGCATACAGTCAGTCGGATTTAAACACCTCTTCTAAAGCTTTATTCCCAAGGGTCTGTAATCAACCTAATTCCACTGACTCCTTTCTGCAACTTATCGAGTGTCTCATTAACTCCCCTTAAACCCCCACTAACCTTTTCTATTGGGAGCGGAATAATAGTTCCCTGAGATATTCCTTGCGGAAGATATGTTTGGATCACCCACTCTAGCAATCCTCGATTCTCTTCCTCGTAGAGCGGGTCTGACCATGGCTCAAAAACGCGCGATATGCCATTGGGAAGCATTTCTGGTCCAAATGCAGGTTGCGTGGCGTATAACTTCTCTCCACCCTGGGCTACAAGTACACGGGCTGTCACAGCAATTGTATCTGGCAGAGAGATAGCGTCCACCACAAGATCGTAAGGACCCTCTACAGCAATCGCCTCAATAATCTTGTCTTGTTCTAAGGTGTGATCTATCACAACGGTGGCTCCCAAGTTGGAGACAAAATTGGAATTCTTGGGCGACGAGGTCGTGATGACTTTATACCCTGCTTGGGAAAGGTACTGAACGGAAAGACTACCAAAACTTGAGGAGCCGCCGAAAATTAATATTTTCTGAGCTTTTGCTGGTGCAGATCCGTTGAGGCTAGGCTTGTCCAATCCCAATCTTCCAGTGAATAGACCGACCACACAGGTCAAATTCATCATAAGACTGGCTGGAATAGCAAGGTCAACGTCGGCTGGAACCTTGCTGACCATGATATCCCCAACTACCACATATCGTTGATATGCTCCATATTGATTATCTCTGATCCCGAACTTTTTTGATACCACCACCCTCTCGCCTATTTGAAACCCTGTGACTTGAGAGCCGACCGCTTCGACTCGTCCTCCAAAGGTAGAGCCAAGAATGGCTGGGTATTGAAGAGGAACGATACCGAGCTTCGCAATCTTGAATTCTACTGGATTGAAAGCGATGACTTCGTTCCTGATGAGTAATTCATCAGGACCGGGTTCATAGATGTCGATTTTATGGACCTCGAGAGGCGCCTTGGCGGCCGGTATTATAGCGGCAAGGTTGGCCATAATGGCGTAATGAAAGCTAAGAAAAATTGAATAGACAAATTTGATATGGAAATTACATAAAAACTATCATATGCAAGGTGGTAGGAATCAATTCATGTTTCTAAGCTTTATACTCGAGATTAGTATTAAGCCGGAGAGCTAATGGTTTGTCTGACTAATCATCGATTGCGTAACTCCCGATTCCATTCCCTACGTTACACATGTAGGAGTTGTCTATATTCCCTTTGGACCACTATATTGAATTGTCTCCGCAATCCTTCCATTGGCAATTCAACCTATCGTCGTCTACGGCGAGAGGGAATATAGCGGAAATAACCCGCTTTGCTTTATAAGCGGTTGGCAGTTGATATCATTATATTATTTATTATAAGAGAGAGGAGAATTTGACTTAAGGTATTTTGTGCACTACTATTACAATTACCCATCATAGGTTCGGAGTTCCAGTTGAATTGAAATGCAAGCTGAGGAGAGATTGAGCTGTAGAAGGTACTTGATGGCCGACGCATTACGACCGGCTGAGCCCATCACAAAATTTTCGGAATTCATGGCAGACATTGCGCTGAAAACCATTACTATAAATTCTACGGACAGCAACCCGAATTTGCAAGATGAGCAACATTGAGGTCGAAGACACTGTTCTTACCTGTGAACATCAGCTCGTGCATCACTATCGACTAGTCAGGTCCCTGAACAGCCATAGTCGCTTCCAGGTGGATTTTTATGAAAAATGCGGCTTCTGTTATTACTATCTGCTTAATTCGAAGAATTTTGCGCTTCAAAATCAAGTTGCTCAAACTGTAGATGGTACTACCCTAGTGAAATGTAAAATAATGCATCTAACTGTTTATTGGTCCCAACAAATGTTGCCGATATTGTGAAATAATGTTTTAAACGAGTCCGGAATTTGGAAAATTTACGTGATATACTGCTTTGCTAGACGACATCCGGCGAATCGGATTCATGATCTTCAGCAATCAATGTTGAAGGAAATTGTTCTTTTAGACAGGCATGTGCCTCCACGGGAGATGAACCCCCGACGGAGAACTACACTCCGTCGGACAATAACCGATTGGATTCAGTATTGAATAATACCTCAGCCATCAATTAAAACGATCCGTGGATTTAAAAGAAAATAAACGTCTTATTTTCACCTAAATCGAGGCGATTAACTCAAGTACCTTACTACATCTCGTCAAATTTCCCAAATACTGAAACATACGAGGTCGACGAAAATGTCAATCCCGTCGCTAGTTGATATCCTAGTGGTTGGTAGCGGAAATGCTGGCTTCTCTGCTGCCATCTCCGCTGCTCAAACCTCTCCATCGTCACGAATCATCCTCATTGATAAATGTCCAGAATCGTGGGCGGGCGGAAATTCCTACTTTACGGCTGGTGCCATGCGTACCGCCCATACCGGGCTTTCCAATATTTTACCTCTTGTCAATAATGTGGACAACAAGCTTGCAAAGATAATTGACTTGCCACCATACAAGATGACTGATTTCGAGAAAGACATTCAGCGGATCTGTGCGGGGCGGTCTGATCCGCAGTTGAGTAAGATCCTTATTGAAGACTCACGAGAAACTATTCAATGGCTCAAAGACATCGGTGTACGGTTTCAATTGAGCTTTAATCGTCAAGCATTCCTGGTAGATGGTCGATACAAATTTTGGGGTGGCCTTGCTTTGAAAACTCAAGATGGAGGGAAAGGTCTAATAGAAGACCACAAGAAAGCCGCCCAGAAACATGGTGTGGGAGTTTATTATCAGACTGCCGCAAAAGAATTGCATACGGATCCCCAAACTGGAGCCATTACTGGAATTACGGTCGTCTTAAATGGGAAATCAAAGTTAATTCAGACAAAGGCCGTGATTCTTGCTGCTGGTGGCTTCGAATCCAACTCACGAATGAGAGCACAATACTTGGGCCGCGGGTGGGATTTGGCCTATGTCCGTGGAACCCCATTTAATACGGGGGATTGCCTGGAGATGGCCGTTCGGGACGTTTCTGCGAAGCAAGTAGGGAATTGGTCTGGCTGTCATGCGACATGCTGGGATGCTAATGCAGATCCAAACACTGGAAACCGAGAGATTTCGAATGAATTCACAAAATCGGGTTATCCATTGGGGGTAATGATTAATACCCAGGGAAACAGATTTGTAGATGAGGGAATCGACTATAGAAATTATACCTATGCTATATTTGGGAGAGCGATTCTCCAGCAGCCGGATGGCATTGCGTTCCAGGTGTGGGATTCGCAGATGATTCCTTGGCTGAGGAGCGAAGAATACCGAGATGGGGTAGTGAAAAAGATCCATGGAGATACGATTGAAGAACTTGCCGAAAAGTGTGCATCAGAGGGTCTCAAAGGGAAAGAACAATTTGTCAAAACTCTCAAAGAATATAATCAAGCAGTGTATGAACACCGCAAGGAAAATCCCAGGGCCAAATGGGATCCGGCAATCAAAGATGAGCTCTCTACACAATCATCATCAACAGGTTTATCTCTTGCAAAGTCAAATTGGGCGACATCGATAGATCAAGGGCCCTTTATGGCCGTAAAGGTTACTGGAGGCATTACCTTCACTTTTGGTGGGCTGGGTGTGAACCCTGAAACTGCGGCGGTTGTGTCTTCCACTACAAATGCGGAGGTTCCCGGACTGTATAGCGTAGGTGAGATGTTAGGAGGATTATTCTACGGTAATTATCCAGGTGGTAGTGGATTAACATCTGGCGCGGTGTTTGGAAGACGAGCTGGTAGAGCTGCTGCCGCTTCAATTACTCGTTTGCAAGCTAGATTATAAGGCTGTCATGAATTTGAAGTGGAGATATGCCTAATACATTAGGTCTCCAGGTTAATCAGGAATATGGTCAGCCTAGCAAGGAATATTGTGGCTCAGTGAACATTTGAGAATTTACCTATGTTTTGGTCCTTTCCAAAGTTAGATGGGTTTCCTCTTCAGCCCTATTCGCGTACAACGCCGGCATCTCAATGGTGGACATAATTTTTCCGTGCTACCAGTCTGAACAATACCACTCAAGACATCAAGTTTTGCCATCCCTCAAAGCTCTTAGAGCCGGAAATTATCTTGCAAGGGCCATCTTGGTTATTTTCCGTGCTTAGTTGACTAGCTTATAATGTTGATAAGCTTTCAAAGATTCACTTAGACTCCGGCAGGCTAAAATGTGATTCAACCTCCAATTCCCCCGCAATTTTCTCCAGATTAACGGAGGCATCTAGTGATTGTTTTAGGCCCCCATTGGATTTTTGTGTATAAATTGTATGTTACTGTCTTGGATTTTCCTTTTTCTCCCCTTCCTAATTCACGAAAGCCCACTGCCATTTCACCAAATTTTAGGATAATTTCAAAACATGAAGTCAATATTTGCTTTATCTTGTCTCATCCCAACTGTGTTTTCTGCCCCAGCAAGCAACTCCCAGAAGGCCTACTCACGCATTCCCTGTCAAAAGGGTGCCATTGCCTCATGTCCACATAAAACAATTATTGTCTCCAACAACCCTTCGCATAAAGATTATGCAGACTTCACATCCATTCAATCGGCTATTCTTTCACTTCCACATGACCATTCATCTGCGACCATTCTTATTCGCGCTGGTAATTACACCGAGCAACTCAACGTCACCCGCCCCGGGCCTCTCACCTTGCTAGGCGAGACTTCAAACCCTCTCGGTGCAAGCCAGAATCAGGTCAATGTATTTTGGAGTGCGGCAAATAATGGCACTTACCCTGATAACGCTTTCACAAGTGTTTTGACTGTAGCCCCTACACAAAACGCTTCTTTAACAGGTGCGGGACCAACCGGATGGCCAGTTCCAGCAGATACACCCTTCGGGAATACAAATTTCAGGGTATACAATGTCGACTTTCGCAATGTCTTCTCTGAGTATAGTGCGGGACCCGCGCTAGCAGTCAGCGTGAGCTATGCGAATACGGGATTCTACTACTCGGGCTTCTATTCCTACCAAGACACGGTACGAGACATATGAAGAACTATAATCCTATTTTTTCTCAAACTTCAAATAAATCTGACATATATATTCCAGGTATACGTTGGGAAGCTTGGCAACTCGTACTTCTACTCGTCTATTATTGCCGGCCAAACTGATTTTCTATACGGGTTCGGTACAGCCTGGCTCCAGTCTTCCTCATTACAACTACGCTCATGCGGCGGAGGCGTTACGGCTTGGAAAGGCTCAAACACGACGTACGAGAACAAATTCGGAGTGTATATCGTTGACTCCAATGTAAAGGCAGCTAATTCGTCTATTGCGACTAAAATCGATGGCAAATGTGCACTAGGTAGGCCTTGGAATTCCCAACATCGATCTATCTTTGCGCGTACGTATGAGGATGCCAGTATTATCAGTAGTGGTTATATTAATTGGTTCGTTAATGGAGTCGGACGGTATGAGGAAGGAATAACGCTACAGGCTGAATTCGAGACTTACGGTCCGGGTTGGAACAAAACTGGGAGAGAGGCCGGTGGTGTTGATACTGTTCTGAATCAGACCCTATGGGCGGAATACGATGCGCCGGAAAAAGTCTTTCAGTATGGTTATGAAGATGGAAGATTTGGAAATGTTGGATGGATTGATTGGAAGCCGTGGGTTTAGACCGTTGTTTTATGAGTGACTAGATTCTAGTAGCGTTACTAGGATCGGAAAACAGAAGCTAACAGATTCACGTGTCTGAAGTATGGAAAAAGGAGTTCTTATATACATGATTCTAGAGTATCGTCAGTCAATAAATTATTGAAAAGTCATTTTCTTGACAGTGAATTCGCTCAACAGCTCCACCTGCTGTTTCCTTTCCTCAGGCACACCATAACCGCCACCACCCGGAGTTTGCACGATAATTCTATCACCCGTGTTCATCGCCATGGAGGCTTTACCTCCAACTGAGATAGCTCGCTCGGTGTTATCAATCGGATCTTTACGAATCCACAAATTGACACCCCGCTTGCCATCCTCTCCGCCAGCCATACCGTATGGAGGAACAACTCGTCGCTCAGAAAGTATACTGACCTGAAGTGGACGACGTACTTCAATATCGCGGATACATCCATCGCCACCATGGCTTCTACCGGCACCACCGCTTCCCTTCCGAATTGAAAACTCACGTAGTAGGACTGGATAACGTTTCTCTAATGTCTCGGGGTCTGTCATGCGAGTATTAGTGCTACCAGTATGTACACCGGACTGACCCTCCCAGTTAGCACCCGCACCAGCACCGCCTGCAATAGTTTCATAATAACCAAATCCCTTTGTGATTGCACCAGTCTCGATATCCTTACCGCCATAGCCGAATGTGAGGTTATTGCAGGTTCCCTGGCTGGCTGCGGATACCCGGAAGGCTTTGAGGATTACATCGATAACGCGCTGCGCCGTTTCGACGTTGGAACCGACCGTTGCTGCCTTGACACTTGGAGACAAAATCGAGTTAGGTGGGCATTCGACTTGAATAGGGTTCAAGCAGCCTTGGTTGAGCGGAATGTCAGATGAGATCATCGATCGGAGACAATACATGATGCCGCTGTACATAACAGCCGGTGGGCTGTTCAAGTTGTTAAGTGCTTCTGGGCCAGTTCCGTTAAAATCGAATTTTGCAGACCCGTTTTCGGGGTTGATGGTGATCTTCAGCGCAAGCGGTGTTCCGTCGTCCATGTAATCGACAGCCTCAAGAGGCTGTCCTTGGAAACGACGACTGAATTCTTTCAATAGGGCGCGCACCGTTTCCTCTGCATTATGTTGCACGGCATGCATGTAGAGTTCAACAACAGACCAACCGTACTCCCTGACAAGTCCTTGGATTAGATGGATACCTCTGTTATTGGATGCGATACCAGCTTTGAGATCTGAGATGTTATCACTCAATGTGCGCGTTCCACTGCAGCCGGGATACCTCGCTGGAACCTCGTATAAGTGATGAACGACACCTTCCTCGTCAAAAACGCCCTCCTTGACCAATTTGAATGACTCAATCGCGGCACCTTCTTGCCACAGCTCAGTCGAATTAGGCGGCATGCTACCAGCAGCAATACCACCAATATCAGCGTGATGGCCACGGTTGGCAACAAAGAACATAATTTTAGTAGGGTCGTTCTCATCGAAGACTGGCGTCGTTACGGTCAAATCGGGCAAATGAGTACCTCCCGCGATAGGATGGTTGGACAAGATAACATCACCAGGCTTCAGTTCACCCTTCGCATATCGTTTGGCTTGGTATGCAATTGCATAAGACATTGACCCTAAGTGGGCGGGAATATGGGGTGCGTTAGCGACAAGTCGACCATCGGATGAGAAGATAGCACAGCTGTAGTCAAGCCGTTCCTTGATATTTGTCGAAATAGATGTCTTGCGAAGGGTTTCACCCATCTGCTCTGCAACACTCATGAAGCGATGACTGAAGACAGACAACTGGATAGGATCGACTTCATCCGCAGAGACCTTCTTCGTTTCCGCATCGAGTAATTCAATGACAATATGTTCATCCAAAACAGTGGCTTCACTAGCAGGATCGACAACGATAGTTTGGGTTGCATCAATAATCATGGCCGGGCCAAGAATAACGCTACCCTTGGGAACATCTTTGAGATGGAAGATGCGTGAATCAACCCAGCCTTCCTTTTCGAAATACACTTTTCGAATAAGTGCGGGCTTCAATCCCGAGTTTGAATGCGTACGATCAATCTCTTTTAGTTGCTTGAAGGGACTGCTAGTTGCTAATTCCATCGCTTTGCCAACTGAACGAACCCGGACATCGTCCACCAAAATATCGCGTGGTTGTGTGAAACCAAATTCCTGTTTATGTTTGGCAATGAACCCGTCACCAAAGTTCGAAGCATCGATCTCGGAAATCATGAGCGATGTATCGCTGCCGCGGTAGCGCATGTTGAGGAAGACTTCGTGATGGATTCGTTCTGTTGTAAAACCTTCATTGATTAATTGCTCTGTGGCCCGTTGTTTTAGAGACTCAGTTCGTTTTGCTATGCGAAGGGTCGATTCCTTATTCCATGATTCGGATTCGGGTTCCTGGAGTTCGACAACAACATCCGCCAACGCCATCCCATAGGCAGACAGAATACTAGAGAAACGATGAATCAAAACACGCTTGATGCCGAGATCGCGCGCCATCGCAGTAGCATGCTGTCCACCTGCGCCACCAAAACAAGCCAAATTATGTGATGCAGTCTCGAAGCCTCGACCCTCACTGAGGGCCCGAATTGGACGGGTCATGGATGCGTTGGCTACAAGGAGGAATCCCATGGCAACCTCTTCCGGAGTCAGTTTCTCGGATCCCTTCTTCTCGGCATTGACTACTTCGGTTAATTCTAGGAATTTCTTCTTGACTATATCAAACTCGAGGGGACGAGCAAAGTAGTCTGGTAGAATACGTCCCAGAAAGAAATTGGCATCCGTGATGGTGAGAGGTCCCCCTTTACCATAGCACGCGGGACCAGGGAACGCCCCTGCTGATTCTGGGCCAGCAGCGAATAGACCATTTCTCCAGAAGAGCATGGATCCTCCACCAGCAGCAACGGTATGAACGTCCAACTGGGGACTTTGGACGGAGACTTGAGACACTGTTGTTTCAAACACATGCTCAAATGCACCGCTATAACGGGAGACATCTGTGCTCGTTCCCCCCATATCAAAACCTAGCACGGGTGTGCCCTCATCCTCATCATAGCATGTTTTTGCGCAGCCAATAACACCGGCAGCAGGACCCGACAGAATTGCCCGAAGACCAGTAAATCTCGAGACCGACGTAAGTCCACCGTCTGACTGGCAAAGAAGTAATTTCTTTGCATTATGGTCCTCAAGGCGGCCTTTGAAACCAGCACGGAACCCATCAATATATTGGGTAATGACGGGAGACAAATAAGCATCTGCAGTAGCCGATTGCGCGCGGGGGACTAGTCGGATCATAGGTTGCAACTCGGATGAGACGGATGTCTTGAAACCAATCTCACGAGCGATGGCTGCAACGGCAGCTTCATGTTTGGGGAAAGCAAATGAGTGCATGAATGCAACCGCTAGCGTGCGGTATCCTTCATCCCAGAGAGACTGCAGATCTCCACGTATTTGATCTAAATTAGGTTCTTTCAGTACTCTGATAGCCTCTCCAGTGAGACCTTCAACTAAAGCGGGGTCCGATTTAATATCAATCGGCTGAGGATCGGGATCTTCAGCGAATCCTTCTATCGTAACTCTTTCATCAACTTCAATGACTTTTTCATACAGACGATCAAGTTTGGAGACTGATAAATCGAATATACTAGGCCGTGCTTGGTTTCCAATAACGAGCAGGTCTTTGAAGCCTTTTGTGATGACGAGTGCGACTCGCTCTCCTTTTCGCTCTAAAAGGGCACTATCGTAATGTTAGCATAGAAGTTCTAAATGACTGAAAACCTGAAGCCTACTTTGTAGCAACTGTGGTACCCATACGAATTGATTCCACGGGTGTGATATCTAATGGTGTGCCTCGGGGAATGGTCTCTCCTGTGGCCATCTCGAGAATCTGCCGGATACCTTCAATAGGGGCATCGTCGTATTCGCCTGGGTTTCTCGATAGCAACTTGAAAATGACATCTTCTTTCCGATTTGGGATACTCGTCCAGCTATGTGAAAAGGTTAGAGTCTCCCATTTTTGGCTCAAGCTTGACATCATACAAATCACAGAAAGTTCCGCCTCTGTCAATAGCAATTCGAATACCTCTGGTCGTAGACGTAGCCATGGTGAATTGACTTTCTATATTTTATAACAAGCAATAAATCTTTTTAACATATCCAGATGGGGGGACAACTAGTATAGGTTGTGTTCAATGTATTACAAAATTTAAAGTTGAAAAGTTGACACCCGAGTGACTGTAACACGTTTATATATGATTTCCTGCTTATCGCTATCAGGCGGCAATGCCAATCAATGTCAGATCGCTCGCCATCCAAGCCATCTTACAAATGTCAGTTCGGCTTTGAAACGAGTTACCGATAACTAATAAAAAAAATAGATGCAAACCACATAGCAGAGCGAGAGCGATAATTCGGGATCTGGCGGGGTTCAACCGGTTCAGCCGAATCATCTTCGTCGGCTTTTGCTGCGGGGACCCGAAGAATATCTCGGCGCTGATAAGATATTGCCGACGCAGCCGCAAGTCTCTTGTCTTCCTCTATCAAACACGCGCAAATACAGATACCCCAGAAGCCCCACTGGGTTGTTATTCATGAGGTTTAGATTTCACTGTACTAACGTTGCTTGTTGAAACTATATGTCGCGACGCAGAGTGACCATGTCTTCTAAGGTGGGCCGAGCTACAGACGACTTGCCGGTCAACGAGCTGGAGGAGCGGCCTTCTAAACGTCCGCGCCGAAGCTTGGTTGCGTGAGTTTGCTTCCATGTGGATTTCGTATCCATTCTGTAATTTCAATCGGAAGAGCTAAGTGTGAGCAGATGTCTCAGATGCCACTCACACAAGGTCAAGTGCTCAGGTGGTAACCCATGCCATAATTGTTCTCAACAGGATGGAAATGTGGAGTGTACTTATCCGATGAGAGATCGGAAGATTTTGATACAGGAAAGGTTCGATAGTGTTCTCATTCCTGTCGCTATGCATACTCACTCTTTCTTTTCAGTTATTTGAATCAACTAAAGCAAGAGAACGACGCTCTCCGTCAAGGACGGAGGCTTTCTGGACAAGATGTGGACAAAACGGAGCCTCCTGAACAATATCTGGAGAGCAAAAATTTGAGGGAAGAAGACGAAAACCAGGAAAATGCCACGAGTAATGCTGATGTCGATCTTCGAAACCCTCTTATTGAAGACAAAGCTTGGTTCGTCCCTGACAATAATTCTCGACAACCAATTTATATTGGCGAGGCTGCATGTACTGCATTCGGCACCCGGTTGAGACAGTTCCTTAAAGGAAATGAACCTGTGGTTGCGTTGTCAAGATCCAAGTACACCAAGGATAAATCGTTTCTTCGCATGCCCGATCCAATATTTCAGTTGCCCAATCGCGCTTATGCAAATCTGTTGCTAAAGGTGGCATTACGCTTTCTAGGAAATGACTATCATTTGATGCTCCGCAAGTCGACTATGGAGCGAATGGAGGCTCTCTATAGACACCAGTCTTACGACGATCCCGTATTCCTCTGTAAACTGTTTGCCTTATTCTCTATGGGAGAGATGTACGCCAACCGACGACTGCCATCTACAAAAGGGCCTGATATCCCAGGTACTGGTTTCTTTGTTCAAGCAATGAGTCTATTCCAGGATATGCACGAGGAGGCTTCGGTTATGTATGTCGAAGCGCTTTTGATTATAGTCAGTCGATTCTCTATTCATTATATTGTTTGAATTTTGAATCATATTACTAATTATTCAGCAGTCTCTATTCTCTCTTGCACTCAACCGCACCAAATCAGCGTATACGTACGCAGGAATGGCACTACGCTTGTGTCTCACATTAGGCCTACATCACAATCTTCCTGAAGGCTATGCTATTTCGACTGTAGAGAGAGAGCATCGTATACGAGTGTGGTGGAGTGTTTACATCACTGATCGTATCACCAGTTCGAAACTTGGCCATCCTGTCACTGTTAGGGACAGCGATATTGATGTCGACCTGCCATCAATGGATAACCTAACCCCATTCGAGAAGGAGGAATTTTCTGACCCATCTCATTTGATTGCACACGTAAAACTAGCAAGAATCACAGGAGATATCATTGGAGATATATACGGGCGGGAAGGTCAAGCAAAAGCGTTTGTGCAGAGTGTACAGAAAATTCTTCGCAGCTTGCGCTCATGGGCAGAAACATTACCCCAAAGTGTTCAAATATCACCAGGAAAACCACCACAGAAATACGCGGCCAGACACGTGGCGTCATTGCATCTGTGCTTCAATCAGGTGAGCATTCAGTTATAGTGGAAAGAAATTTCTGGCTCATAAATGCACTGCTCTAGTGTGTTATTCTCACTACCCGACCAATTCTATTTCACGTATTCAAATCCCGTTTCCAACCTCAAGGGCCAGCAGCCGTCTCACCGACAACAATGGCCCTGTCCGAAGCTTGTATTCACGCAGCACGGAGTTCGAATAGTCTCCTGACTCAGCTTTGGATCGATGGTGGCATGGCAATCTTCGGCTACTTCGACTCTCACTATCTTTTCTCATCTACTATCATCCTCATGATGTCCAGCATTCTAGGCACAACGAACAGCGATGCAGACCGCGAAGCAGTCGATACGGCCTCCGACATTATGCAGTCAATGGTGCAGGATGGAAATCTACCTGCTGCTGGGTTTCACCCGCACTTTCTCGAGATTCGCAAGGGATTGCTCGAGTTTATTGAGCATGGCGGTCACCACCAAGGCGTAGGAGCAGCAATGGCAACAACAATTGGAGATCAAGATCCATTGCCAGAAGAGTTGCGCTTGAATCCTACTACCACACACATGAACGATAGCAGCAGTGCGTTTCTGGTGCAGAGTGCATTGGACGACCCATCTATTCAAAATTTCCTCACGCAGGCAGACACCCAATGGGGCTTTCCGGCCGGGATGGAAATGGCGGGCGATATGACATTAACGGCTCCCTGGCTGTTTGAATAGTCTTTGTTTGTAAATTGATGCTACGAAGGATGAATGACAAAGTAACGACCATGTATTTACCTATGTATGTGGTCACCGATAATCTTGAGACTCTGCAATGGGCATTTATTTGATAGTATCTACACTGACGGTCCTGAAAGAAGAGGCTTAGATCGAACATTATTGGTTGATACCCTCAAATCTTGGACCATTTCCACTCAACTCTGTAGTTGAAACCATTTAAACTCCCAAAACAACGATTAAGGTTAACACCTGCCGGTCGCTGGGCAGCAAGTCCACGGAAAGCCTCCTTCGAATAGAGTTTCTCACAGATACGGCATGGTGAGCAGTTATTGGTCAGACTGGGAAACCCCACACTTATTGGTCTGTGGGCCGCTATGTGGGGCAGGCCGGGTTTCCGAAGTCGGGGCCGGTGCAGTCGGGCCCGGGCACCGGCCGACGCATTGTGACGTGCTCATCCCACGTGATGGGCGGCATGGCGGCATTAGCCAGGCAGGATTTCTATCCAGGCATAGACAGCTGATACACTGCAGTCTGCAATTGAAAACCCGACTGCAGTTGCATGCATTCCTTATCGCTTAGAAATTCAACATCGATTTATATTGGAAATATATGGCGACAAACTTAGGCCGAATACTAGACCAAAGAGAGAAAGGAAACTGTCTTCAACTGGAGCCTGCCACTCAAGACCCCCACGAAGCCCCCACGGTCATTGGAGAGTACGTATAACGCACTGTTTTTCTCGCACGAGAAGGACAGGGTGTAATTGGACAAAGCCAGACTGACGCCAGACCCAGCAAAAGCGTGCTCGGCACGGTGGGTTCTTCGGTGGATTGGAGACAAGTTCTCTGCAGACCACGAGGTCAAGAGAATTGAGGCTGTAAGTACGGAAAGTCAATGGTACTATGCTAAAACTAGGCCGGCATTCTCATATCAAATATATTTGAACTGTATGCCTTAGACGCTACAGACCAAGTCGGTTGTATGTAGTAGTGATAGACAGAAAGAAGGTCTTATCCAATCACCCACCGGCTTTAGCTGGCTGGAACAGTAAACCAGAAAGGAAATTGATGCAGCCGATGTGAGCGGGGATCAAAAATAGCCACAACAGGCAAAAAAGCGCTCATTCCCCGCATCAGAGCGGGCCCGGCAAATGAAAAAGATCCATTCGACGCAACCGTGATTGGGCACCGGAATTCTTCCGTGAAGCTGTTTTGAAGAGGGAAGGTCGGGCGACGGGTTAAGAGTATAAGCGTGATGACATGTATTGAACGCTTGTGCGGTTTTTCCCTGTCATTGCTTTTTGAGTTGAGTCATAATCTGTTTCCCCAGGGCCCAGACACTTTGATTACATACTGTTGAGGGGTAGTTTCCTGGAAAATATCAGTCGTTCGAATAAAAACGAGGGGTTCTCTGCTTCTCCATAGTTCTAAATATTCTCCAAGTCAGCTCTCATACTTCGATTCTCCATGAAAAAAAAATGCTTTAGCACTCAACGCCAATAGTACGTAGATCAAATTGACTTACTTTCTTGTCGCCCAATCCAATATTCTATAATCATGCCGAAACGCTCGTGGAACCAAGTTGAAGGTGCAGCAACGCAGCCCACCACTCGTCGCACGTCTACCAAGAATGCAAATCAGAACTTGCGCATCAAGCCTGGAAGCCCACGCAGTCCCAAAGAATCCAAACTACACCTGCGCAATGGAAGCTTTTCCGAACATCAGCAGCACCACCCTCCAACTCCAAGCTTGACCGATGCCGGGTCTGAGCCACGATCTGCGAAGTCAGGTTCCCTTCAACGGGCTCCGAGCCTGGCTCATTCAGACGATAATGAAGCAATGATGTGGCCATCAATTACTCGCAAAGTGAAAGCATGTGCGGCCTGTCGGAAACAAAAGGTTGGTTTTTGCCATTGTTCGCAAATTGAAATTATGCTAAGGCAAATGGTGGGTTTAGATCAAATGTGATATGGACGACGACTCGCCACCTTGTAAACGATGCAAGGAGAGAGGCCTCTCGTGCAAGCTCAACAAAAGCTTACAGACCTTAATCGACGAGGAATCGAGGTAAGTAAACCAGTAGCCGAGAACGAATGACTTGCTAATGATAGTTAGATGGCGCAAGACGGTGGGCCACGATCTAACAGTCATGCACTCTGCCCTCAAACAGACATTGCAAGCTCTATCGCTCCCCTCGCTTCCTACCCTTCTCACGCCGGTGCCTGAACTCGGAAACAGCCACGAACAGGAATTTCAATCCATTCAACACACACTCGAACCCGCTCCCCATAAACCAACGTTTGACGTATCTCCTCAATTGCACCCAGCAGATCACGACACGATTGCACAAGTACCAATTGACTCCCTCTATGAACTCACTCACTTGCGCTCTCTCCGTGGAGAGACGCTGGAAGAGCAACACGGGAGTCGCCACGATGACTTCATCTCGCGAGGCCTGCTCCATATCGACGAAGCCGAAAGATTGTTCCAATTCTATCAGTCTCAGCTTGACCCATATATCTATGGACTTGCAAGCAAATACAAGACGCTGGATAGTCTTCGTAGCAGCTCATCCCTTCTGACTGCCTGTATTTGTGCGGTGGCGGCCTCTCATATAGCTGGCAACGGTAAGGTTTATGAGATATGCGATCAGGAATTCCGCAGACTGGTGTCCAATTCCGTTTTTGAGCGTCGTATCAACCTGGACTATCTCCGTGCTTTAGTAATTGGGTCGTACTGGCTGAGCGACGTATCATGGACGTTGGCCGGAGTTGCTGTCCGCCGTGCCAGTGATATTGACTTGCACAAATTTTATTATCGTATCCTAGACTCAACCAACGGGTTCGCTGAGACACCAAGCAGTTGGGATCCATCGGATCCAGAAGCTTCAATTGACCCCGTGCGATTATGGTATTTATTGTATATATGTGACCAGCATCTGTCAATTCTGTATACTAGAACACCCATGATCCGTGAAGATGATACGATTCGGGGGTGGCGAGGATACCTCGAATCCCCACATGCAACCCAGTCTGATGTGCGAATATCAAGTCAGGTCGCATTAATGATGCTTCTCAGCCAGATGCGGGAGCTTTTTGGTGTCGACGCAACTAAATTCGTTCCACGCGCCTTCGTCCCGCATATCAACACTTTCAGCCACCACCTCGATAAATGGCTAGCACATTGGTCATCTAAATTGCGTGAGTCATCTTGTCAAACATATGACTTTTCATAAGTTGGCTAACGAAATTAGGTGTCAACGAACATATTGGCAATTTCCCTTCGAAAGGGGTCCTCCTGCACTACCACTTTGGTAAACTTCATCTTTTCTCTCATGTTTTCCGCGGCCTAAAGTCGGGCGATCATATCGAACCTATTCCTTCATATTTCAAAGATGCCGCTTCGACGGCAGTGTCACACGCAACCACCATCCTCGAGCTTCTTCTTAACGACTCCGACCTGCGACGTAGCATCATAGGAGTCCCACACTACTTTCACACAATGATTGCCTTTGCCTGTGTGGTGCTTCTCAAAGTCGTCGATCGGTACCGTGAAGAGTTAGGTATTGACGCTCAGAGCACGTACGCTCTCATTCAACAGATCATCGAACTTCTGCGGCGCAATAATTGTGGTAGATACCATCTTGTGCACTGGATGGCTGGGGGACTTGAGAACATGCTTAAATCCTCTCGCCGTAACAATTCATTCCTTCCTCTGCCATGGAATAATAAAAATAGCAGCAGCAATAGCAGTCATGCGCTCAGTCCACTTGAGCAGGATGCTGTGGATAATTCGTTATTCAGCAGTGTAGCTGACATTCCCGAACAGCCTTCTTTTCTATCACTTGATCCGAATTTCGACATCCAGTCAGGTTTGAACGTTGATGAGAGCGAATATGTTGGCGGTAATAACGGCGCGCTGGGGAGCGGTCCGTTTCTGCCAATGCTAGATGGCGCTGATGGAGGAGATTATGGCCTAACTGATTTAAGTTTTAATTTTGTCTGATTATGTGTGTCTGATATTTCTCCCTTTTTTCATGTTAATATATTTCACGATTTTGAGGATTTGGGATTAGCACATACCCTTATGTCGGCGCAGGAGAAGCTGGGTTATTGAATTCGAAGTCTGCAAGAGAAGATAAACTCATTTGAACTTAACCTCGGATATCATCATTATAAACAAGTTTTCGCCTATTTTGAGATCCCCACATACTCACAAGTAACCCTATAAATGACCGGGATTTGTACGATATCCAGGTGACCGGACGGCATTCTCTCCGCCGGGTCTCAACATTACCTAGCACCCACGACGTAGCTCAACACGTATCTATTAAAATTTTGAGGATAGATTCTCATTAAATCTAGTAAGAAAGGTGTCAGGTGGTTGATGAAGAAAGAATTGGTTTACTAGTCCCCGTGCTGTAGGATACCAACGGGCTCAAGATATTCAACTCTCAAAGACCTGCAAATTCTTGGAATCGGCGTGAACGCCGTACTTTAAAGCATGACCGACGATAAACGTCATCGTCCAAAGCTGCTATCCCCGATAGTAGATTCTTCTTTGAGTAGTCTTTCTGTTAGCGATTGATAAGGTTAGCTGGAAAGTAAGGTAGACTAGCAAAACTGACGTTTGTGACTCACTAAATAGAGATTTGTCGAGACATAGTTTGGTATATGTAGATGTTTACTTGTGAAGTTCAAAATTTGAAAACTCGCTAATATTGGAGTCTATTCAATATATGGAAGAGCCAAAAATGCAACTACATGAAGGTTTACGCGAGAATATGATATATGGCTAGTCGATAAGTTTTAGAGGCTTTTCATAAACTACATATAAAAGCCACAAGCGTACATAGCTTTGGTCAGCTATGACTGTGGTACGCTACCAAAGCCCTAGGAGGAATAAAGAGAGATCAGGGTCGAGTGATTGCCATATGGCATAAACCCTCGGCCCTTACATATATTGAAATTCGAATGCTGGCTCTATATGATATTTTGAATAGCTTGAACTGACGGGTCTAAAATTGCAAATTAAATATCAAAGCTATGTCGTCTTCCAGGTCCACATGTTCATTCCCATCTTATTTCCAGATGTGACAGGCATTCCTGCATGCAATGTAAGTACATGACCACTATCGTCCGCATGCAGATTTTCCCAGTAAATCGCATTTCCCAGAATTGGCTTAAAAGTGACACCTTCATCCAGCGGGCGGTCGCAGTCAATGAACTCACACCAAGACTCATCGTCATCATTTGGAGGAGTAAGTCGAGCAAAGTTGGTCCCGCCTCCGGTGCAGTTTGCATGGATATATACAAAAAAAGTCGAAGCAATATTTCCACCAACAGCATGAGCGTCATCGAACCAGTCATAGTGATCGCGATATTGACCGGCAATACCATAGTTTTGCACCACTATTGGCATGAAGTCACCCAGGTTCTTGTAGAATGGGAAAGATCGTGCTCGATCCTCAAGCCTTTTAATGACCATATCAGTGCGGTCTAACTTAGCGGTCATCGAGAGCCGATATGCCTTGTCTATATGTGGCTTGCCGTCATTGTCCCACATGGGCGACGGCGCAAATCCCCCCTTGCTATTTCACGATAGTTAGACACTGGTGTTATGACAGGTGAAAATCAATCTGGACGTACGCAAGTTCAACAAGGTGAGCAGCTTCCTGTTCACTAACGAAATCTTTCACATACACTACTACGGGATCATTGGAGAGGGTGTATGTTTTGGGTTCTGACGTCGCTATCGTCTGGCCGCTTTTGCCGTTCAACTGCCAGAGGCCGGTTTGAAGAAGGCCATATACCACTGCCAGAGCTGGTACTAAGACGGCAATTGCCTTCAATGGTGCTAACAGTGCCATGTTGGCATTTGAGACTGGTTATTGTTCTGATTTCACCATGATCAGTTCTCGATGCAAGTTGATTTATTGGGATGACGCTGTGCTAGCCTGGATGGGACAGCGACCCACCCACGTTCAATACCGTACGTATATGTCATTGGCCCACTGACAGCTCCACTTCCATATTCGATATAGCGTTGATGTTCCCTCTCGGGATTAGACGACAATAAAGAAACATCCAGCAGCATCTTCGCATCCAATTGATACTTCTACCAACATGAACACCTCATAATGCCGCAAAAAACACAGTTATATATATGCATCTTGCTTCTAGCCCTCTTCCATTTCTGTCTTGCGACGGAGCTACATGCAATCAACGCCAAGGCATTTGAAAGGCGGGCTACGGCGCCCGCTATCTTCGTCGTGGCTTGTATGTGCCCACTTGCCATTGTTAAATGATTTGCAAATCCCTAGAGCTAAAACTTTAACAGTTTGTATGGTGTGTGGTGACATTCGTTGAAGTAAAGATTTCTTGTTATACTAATTCATCGGCTTATAACCCTAGCCTTGGTTGTAAGTTTAACTTCGTACTGGCGTCGAGTGAAGGACATGGGCTAATCAACATCGCCAGTGAGCCATGTAAAGCACTCAATATCGAGCTAGCAATTGCTGCTGAAAATCTTGGCAAGACATCAAACGTCGACGTCTATGAATTTGACTGCTCCAAAGATCCAAAATTTTGCGCGTCTATGGAGGTATTTTCGTTTCCCACGATTCGAATCTTCGACCATCAGGAATGGACCCGGTATCGTGGCCGACAAAAAGCTTCATCGTATGCTGTTGATGAATAGTTATATATTGAACTGCTAGCTTACCTATACAGAATCGTAACGAAAGTTCTAAAACAGGTCTTAAATTCCATTGTTCAGCTTGACGAACATCAATTCGATGTTATGAAGAGCTTGGATCTCCCACTAATGGTGCTGACACGACACAAGGGTGAAGAATTTTCTTACCAACTTATAGATTCTCTCGCGCAACAGGAACTGTCGGCAAATTTCTTTCTAGGGGAAATCGGGTTTGATTCACCATTGCTTGCCGATGTTACCAAATCGGTGACCCCACCATTCATAACTGTTTTTAATTCCCGCGACGAGACAACTCCAACATATGACGGAACTTTCGACATGGAGTCGCTATTAGAGTTTTTGAACAAAGTTTCTTCCCCTTTGATTACAGAATTACGACTCGACAACCTCGTGGGATTCATGGAGGTAGGTCATGTCTTTTGAATTTCGTTTGATCTGATTTAGAAATCTAACTGCATATAGTCCGGTCTGCCTTTAGCGATGCTATTTTCCGCCAACGAAAAAGAGCGCAAATCACTTGCAAGGGGTCTCACAGATACTGCCCTGAAATACCGAGGACGGGTTAACTTCGTCACTGTCGATGCCGAGAAGAACTCGTTTACTTTAACGCCGTTGGGCCTGAGTGCAGGCGATCTCCCAGCATTTGTGATACAAACGACCGACAACGTCTTTAAATTTAATTCTGATTTGCAACAACAGCCCTCGGGTGCTGTTGATGAGTTTGTTCAGCAGAGTATTGGCTCTGTAAATCCATTAAAGGTGCAAGCGAATGGTGTGCCCTAAGGCTGCTGATACTATATGAAATAATTGCCAGTGTAGGGGGAAAGCCTCTATAAATCTATCGGAGCATGTAACGGTGTCAAAATATTACATCAAGATATTATTGTGAGCGAGAACCTCCGTACATTGAATAGTTATTTGTGCCTTTGTATAATACAATGATGAACTCTAGAACGCAATGCAATGCAAAAGACTCTGACCTACCAGAACGGCAAACCTACCTAGTTCCAATAAAACAAAGAAAATCAAAGGAAGGAAGTCTTACACAAGTCCAGTAACTAGCATTGAATCCTTCCGACATTAGGGTTTGGAAAACATGGTTTGGGTCATATTTGCTGGCCGTGGCCTGAAGGAATGCAGCACTTTCGCTACCATACCCACACAAGGGATTCTGGAAAGGGGCTATATAGTTGATGTAAAGGAAAGAGTGTAAGTGCCGTACTTCTGAGCGACAGAGACGGAAGAATATACAAATTGATTTCGTGCGCCTTCCACCATTTCATCCAAGATACCTCAGATTGTGTTTTAGCCATTTTGAAATGTCACGCTCGCTGTTATTTCACTGAACAAATCATTGCACGAGAACTGGGTTACATTAGGTCGCAATATGGGAACTTGCAGATACCCCTTGGCTTAAAAGTCGCTGACCTAGTGGACATAGTCGGCCATCTTGATAGGACCAGCAGCATTTTTAACCTGATTTAGTATTTCCAAGAATGGCTGAATAGCTTCCGGGCTTTTCCACACCATCATTGTTTCCAAAAGCGGCGTTTACTATTGACCCCGACCGTTGAAGGCGTTTTTAGACGCCTCAGTTGAAACCAGGACCCTTCAAGCAATCAGGAACACGGATGATTCGAAAGGCATAGCAAGGCATTATTCATTTCATTCTAACACGTGGTCTATGAAATGTTCTCGCTTATGTACTAGCTCTAAACATTCCACTTTCTGTGGACGCTGGATGTAATAATCCTCGGGTATGATGCAAGAATAGAAAACGTCCCCGTTACGACAATAATACAAGCACAATATATTCATGTTCAAAACTTCCGCGATCGAGCAATAACAATTCCAACCGCCATAGTGCATATGAACGCCATAATAAATGTGACCGCAACCATGGTGCAGCAATGTTTTTCCTTAAGACGGTTTTCTCTGCGCTCGAGCAGCTGATCGCATGCTTCACAATGGGTGTGTGGCTCAGGGAGATTGGTGGTGTCAGGGGCTTGACGAATGGGGTTGAGCGAAATTCCCGACGGTTCTGCATTATGTTGATGTTGTTGATATTGATGGCTAGGGTTGTGATTATGGCCGTTATGCTGATGCTGCTCTACGTCATCGTCGACATAGTCACTATTGGCGTCTGCTTGGGGTACTGAGGCATACTGATGTCGTAAGTATTTGGGCATAGAATAATAAAAAGTTCGATATAGAAATAAGATATCTAGTGAAAAATATGAACTTACTCCGTTGCGCGTTGAGCGGCGTTGATGCATCACCTCCTCATAAGCAGGGGCTGCTTCTATCGGGGAAGTCATGCCCATGCTCATTATCTCGTACAAAATGAAAATTAAATTTTCGTGTATATGAATAGGATAAAACCCCTTCGATTATCCTCAATCATCAGGCGGGTGTGCAGTCGAGTTTATAATCCTGCTGCCTAAGAGGAGCTTTGATAGCCGCATAGCCACCCATTCAACCAATCACGTCTCCTCATTAAAATGCTTGTTTTAATATGCCATAATCTCTCCACCTTACTTCCTTTGGCCCAAGATATTTGCACTTGACTTTATTCATCTAAAACTTACTAACACTATCAGGAGGCGCGCCGAGTTGTTCAGGGATCAATTTATTCGGCGATCAGTAGCCTGAGCTTAAGCCAATCCCCCGCTAACATTGAACCCACTCTAGTCTCGACCGCTAAAATTTTCTCCACAGTCCTATCATGGATGCCATCAATAGATGCTGTCCGCGTTTATATTAACTAGGATCTGGAAAACTCGTTGATAAATATCAAACCGATGATCTCTTTTTATAAAGCATTTTTTGTCACGGTGGTTCTCCTTGCGAGCCCTGCCGAAATGGGTCGTATGTCTCAGCGACAACAAGTCCTAGGGTCTATCCCGATCAATCCGGACGATTGCACAGTAAGCAATGAGGGAGCTCAAACTAAGGGTTTACAATTGACAAGGGATTAGGGAATGTTTATAGACCCACTTACTATTGAATACCGGGCGAACATGACAGAAGCCCCAAAGTACAGCCTTGACAGTAAACCTTCCTGGCTACCAGCGGGATGGGACATGGAGAGGGCGATGGATATGACGCAGAGTGACTGGAAGCATCTCACTGAACAAGTATTTATTTCCTATGGAATCTATTACTACTTCCTGGCTAACTGACTTGTATAGCAACAAGACGTTCTCCGTGCAGGATTGGAAGCATATTGCGGCACGGAATTTAAAGATGAAGTGTTCAAGGATATGTTTGAAAGACCAGAAAAACAAACCGGTAAGTTTACATTTAAATGCTTTTAAAACTATCCACAATATTGTCTTTTTTTTTCTTTCTTTTTTTATATTTCGCTTAATGATAAACTCTTTAGATGACAACAACCCACCCACTCTACCGCCAAACTTCATGAAGCCCTTGGAAAGATATCACGCGACGGGGAACTGGGGCTTTGTGTTCTATCGTACAACCTACGAAGGTGGTGAAGAACAATGGTCACTTGTGCAACAAAGACTCAACACAATGATCGAGTCCGTGTTTGATTATTACAGCAACATCGACGGCGTTAACGAAGCTAGACAGCGATGGAAATTACATTGGATTGACGACCCCCAGAAATTTGATCAAATGAGCCCACAGGATATAGCTGAGAACTATCGAAGCGCCTTCGAAACGTTGCCGGAAAATTATCAGCACTCCATGTGCTTTGCGGTTGACCATGCTTCAGCGCACTCTATTCTACTCGCAGATATAACCCGTATGCAGAAGCGCCCACGACTTGGAGATGTAGTGCCTTTTGTAGTTGCTATTGATCAGTACCTTGGATGGAAAGAGCCTGATGCACAAGAAGAAGATTTCGAAGAAGACTTAGAAAACTGGAGTGGGCCATTCCGTGCCCACCCGGCATCTATTGTCGATGGAATCTTCACGATCGTCGCACTACAAATCATGCAAACATATGAGTTTGCGTACCACGCCAAAGGGACGAATGGTGTCTGGTGGGATTCATATGGTGGCGTATGGACGGTGACTAGCGATGGTCGGTATGCCGAGCCGTTGTTTGAAGATGCGGCTTTGTTGAGGGCGGAATATAGGGAGAAAAAAAAGCCAAATCCAAGCAATTATTGATACATGCGTCGAATGAACCACGATATTGAATCCAAACGTAAATCAAGCCCCCTTAATAGCATAGCCAGCCATAGCTCTGAGTCTCTGAGAGATGCCCCCCCATATGGAGACCCCCGGAAAATTTCCGAGGCCCACTCGGCAATCGTCCGGCCCAGTACTCTTTGTTGCATTTGAGCGTTTACTCTTTCTATATCGAGGCCTGTCAGCTGTTCTCGGTCCCTTATTCCCCGAACGGCGAATAAACCCCTCCCTATCAGTGATTCTGTTATGCATTGCTGTCCCAAAATGCACGCATTCCGGTCACTGGCTGAGCAGCTCCAAGCCTGGGAGACCGCTCGGAATACCTGCTGCTTTTTACATCCCCATGACTTTATCCAGGGAATGTAGGACATGGCCAATCAGGGCCTCTGTGTTCCCCAGATTGACACCCCCACGCCCCACCCCGCATTGATCTTCTCCACGTCCTTTTCATAGTGGGACAAGATGGACTCCAGAGTTCTGCTCGCCAAGTTAGCGCTTCATCTCGTCCTATGCTTTGTGGCTAAAGACACGGTGCATCGTGGCTACGGCCAGACCTCGTATTTCTCTGCTACTGAGACTCCTTGCTCGGATTTACGCCGATACATTAGAAGTGTATATATCCAAGCTGTTTCTGGATAACCGTGCCGTCGTTGATGGGTTCAACATAATCCCCATTACGTGTAAAATTGTTAGGCAGGATCAACTACTGAATCACAAAATGGCGAACAATTTTTGGTATACCTTTGGCGTTGCCTTATTTGCCGCTATCGGCACTTTTCTTTTCGTAAGTTGCTTCTACTAGAAGTGTGGCACGATGTAGATACTGACCGGAAGCTAGGGCTTTGACACTGGGATTGCTACAACAAGTAAGTTTAACAAATTCATGAAACTGGCACGAGTAAGAGAAACTGACCCTGCTAGCAATCGCTCACCAAAGCTGGATTGATTACATGCATAACCCGTCTAATGGACTCACCGGTGCTGTTGTGTCCGTCTATATCGCTGGTGAGGCAGTTGGTGCCTTGACGCAGACAGCTATCGGAGACAAACTGGGACGTGTGCGATTTATGCAGCTTATGTGCATCGTCGTCACTATCGGCTGTGTCATCCAAACCGCGTCTGTCAACATCGGTATGTTCCTGGCTGGACGAGTACTCTCCGGGTTTGCTGTAGGGTAAGTCCTTGCCCCACCCCATAATTTGGAAAGCTATATTTAATGATGGCACGCAGTGGAATGGTTGCCACAGTTCCTATCTATCTGTCCGAGATCTCCTCACCCCAACACCGCGGTCTTATCGGTGGTATATCCGGCTGCGGCATCTCGTTCGGAACGATGATGTCCAATTGGGTCGGTTTTGCATGCGGATATGCGCCTAATGGGGCCCTCCAGTGGCGTTTACCACTTGGCATTCAAATACCCTGGGGTGTGATTATGTTTATCGGTCTAGCCACTTTCATGCCAAATTCTCCGCGTCAGTTAATCCGTAATGGGAAAGTGGACGATGCTCGCCGGCAGTTTATCAAAATTCGACGCGATTTACATTCTCATGAAATGCATACCGAATTTGCTTTGATGAGAGCACAAATAGAGTATGAGATGCAGCGAGAAATCACCTCTTACAAGGAAATTTTCAAGCTCTTCCGACATCGAGTGATGGTCTCAATTGTGGTACAGACGATGACTAGTCTGACGGGAGTGAATGTTATACAAGTAATTTATACTCTTTGTCCTTTTGTTTTCAGAGAGCTTTACTAACATACCCGTAGTACTACCAAAGTAGGAGCAAGCCTTATTGCAACTGGTACTGAAACTAATTACAACAGCGATTCTCTACAAATCTCTCGGCATTAATTCTCACACTATTCTCTCGCTGGCTGGAGTTTACGGAACATGCGCATTCTTATCGAACGCCATCACGACCAAGTATCTTACCGATCAATGGGGTCGAAGAAAGTAAGCTCCACATTTTAACAATGCCGCAGACAAATTTACATTTTCTGACATGAGCAGTATGATCCTTACTGGTCTCGGTGGAATTGTCCTCATCGAGATCTATGCCGCCGTTATGCAGCGCGAATTTCAAAATACCAATAACCGGGTTGGCAAAGGATTTGCCATTCTGGGAATTTACCTATTTGTTGTGTGCTACTGTATGACCCCCCTCTTTTTTAAAAAGGAAATATCTATGGACTTACGTAATTAACATTGCAAAGATGGCATGCTGAACAGCACAACGTGGCTGTATGGTGCTGAGGTGCTTCCGATTTCTATGCGTAGCAAGGTCATGGGTCTGGCAGCTGCATCGCATTTTATTGTCAACGTTGCAAGTACGTCTAGGTCTGATTTTGGTTTTTCCCAAGACATGTATCACTAACTTTTTGCTTAGTCACCGAAGCTGGCCCCAGTGCCTTTGCTAATATCAGAGAAAACTACTACTACGTCTTTGTCGGCTGCACCACTTTCTTCCTAGTAGTTGCTTATTTTTACTTTCCGTGAGCTACTACTCTCCCAGATCTAACTCTAATTTCATGCCACAAGACATACTAAGTTCTACTCAGTGAAACCAAACAGAAAACCCTCGAAGAAATCGCCGCTGCATTTGGTGACAAGGTGGTTGATTTGGAGGAAACTGACGTTGCAGTGGAAGAGGCGGTTATGGAAGCCAAGGCCGGGGCCCAGCATGTTGAATGAGTAGCTTGTCAGAAAGGGGAAATAATGCTGCGGTTAGAATTTCTGCCCATAAAAACTGGCTATCCTCTAGTTTAAAGAAAATGTACTCTATAATATATATGAAATTGGGAATGAAGTACAACGCTGAGATAATCCTCGCTAACTAAAGCAGCGTCGACCTAGACAGTTATCAGTACGATGTGCCGCTCCCCGCTTATTTTGAATAGGGATAGTGAGTGATATCCTCGATGACTCACACATATTGGCCAATCGCTGGCCATCATTTCATGCGTGTCTGAGAATTTAGATTGCAGCAGGCAGCAGGCATAATGAACAGTGTAGAGTGGATAGTGAACATTCATCAATGCAAAGATCGACAGTCAGTCAAAAAACAGTGAAGCTTGGGTGCTGCCTATAATACTTCAGTGTAATATTCTGTTTCAATCGAACATTGGTGCTAGATAGACCCTTCGGAATGAAGATACATTTGCTTTTGCGTCAGACTAATTCCAGAGTTTAGATAGCTTCGATGCAAATTAGATCGACGGCTGTAAATCTGGAAAATGGCCCAGCTTCAAGTATAATACAATATAAGCTAGTTGATGTCAAATAAATAGCTTGGCGTCTTTCCTAACACCCTTAAATGTTCCTTCGCCTAGGGTTTACACTAAAGCCGCATCTAGGGCAGCACCCCTTTGACTAGTGGCGGTGCAACTCGTACAGACTGCAGTTGACGGGGTTCCCCTATAAAAGGAATATGTGAATCGTGATTGAGCACCCTGAAAAGACAGTTCCTGATTTTGTTTTGTGTTCATCATGAAAGAAAGGGACCCTTCAGGTCGCCCGCAGGACAACGCGGAACAACTAGAAAAGAATTCCCCGACAACACTAGTGAGACAGCAGGAACACGAAAAGTCCAAGCCTTCCGCTGCAAATGAAACCACCGATAAAGACCTCTTGGTGCCTGCTGACAAGCAGGACTTTAGGTACTTTGTAGTCAGTTATCATTTCAATATTCCCCTTGATTTATTGCAGGCTAAATCGATATGGATTACAGAGAGTTCTCAAATATGGGTCAAAATTGGACTTTTTGGTGTTTGGGGTTGCGACAATATGCTCGCTTGGGTCCGGTGTGGTATGGGCCCGGAAAAAAATCCATCTTTAATTTTGAATGTTTGTTGATTACATGGATACCAGGTTCTCCCATTGATGAACATCGTATTTGGGCAACTCGTTGGTGGCTTTAGCGGATATTTCACTACAGGGAATGGTGTGTCACAAGAGGAGTTCACGAGTCAGACGAATCATAATGCGTGTGTAAAGATTCGAGCGCTGAATGAAGAGATGACTTCTAATCCCAAGCAGTCTCTTGATTGTGTACTTGTTTATAGGCAAGTTTGTTCTCACGTACATTTCGATGGTGAGTTTGACTACTCTCACAGCAGATACCTAAACCCAATCTCTAAATATATGCACAGTTTTGCTTTCGGATGGCAGGACTCCGTGTAACAGCAAACCTTCGTCGAGCCTACTTGCAAGCAGTCTTTTCTCTTCCCATTAGCACGCTGGATGAGATCTCTTCAGGCACAGTCTCTACTACTATCACCTCGTCGTCAAATACTATCCAGAGCAGCATCGCTGACAGGCTTGCCGTTCTGTTTCAGTCACTTGGTCTGTTGATCTCGGCTTATGCAGTTGCATTCAAATACTCCTGGCAGTTGACCCTGGCAGCCACTTCCTCAATAGTGTTCATGCTCATCGTCTATACCATCGGTTTTCCATTACTTATTAAATCGCAAAAGGAGGCCATTGAAGCAGATGAGAAGCATGCTTCGATTGCTGCTGAGATCTTTGGATCAATCCGAACAGTGTTTTCACTCGGTGCCAAGCGCGCATTATCTGAAAAGTACTTTCACTGGGTGGACATATCGCGCCAACGAAACGCAAGTATGGCATGGTCTATGGGAATACAACTCGGATTGGGTATGTTTGCAGTACCAGCAAACTATGCCCTTAGTTTCTGGCTGGGGTTGAATCTCTACGAAAAGGGGGTGATTCAAGACATCAACATTGTTATCACGTACGTATTCCCTTCGCATGGACATATAATTATCCAAAAGCTGTGAGATAACAATTTCTATCTAAGTGTATTCTTTTCTGTTCTCCTTGTCGGTACAATTATAGGCAGCATTGTCTTTCCACTCATGCAAATCACCAAAGCAGCCGCCGCTTCCACCGGATTTTTCAAAGTGATCGACAGCGAAGGTGTATATTTTGGTGGCCTGAAGGAGCCCGATGTTTCTGCACAAGCTGATATCGAATTCAAGGACGTGAGGTTTGCATATCCCACGCGAAGGGACGTCCCGGTTTTAAAAGGCTTAAATATTGTATTCGAAAAAGGAAAAACAACAGCATTGGTTGGGCCATCTGGGTGTGGCAAGAGCACCATTGTTGGGTTATTGGAGAGATGGTATCAAGTTGATACTACCCAGCAAGGGAAAAATGGCGACACGGATGACAACATTGACAACATTGACAAGCAGACCGGGGATGCGTCAGAATCGATTATTAACGTCGCTCATATAGCCAAGAACAGCGGTTCCGTTTTTGTCGATGGCCACAATTTAAACGACGTAAATATAAAGTGGTGGCGTGCGCAAATCGGTCTTGTCCAACAAGAACCATTTCTATTCAACGATACCATCTATAACAACGTCTGTTTGGGGCTGATTGGGTCCCAATGGGAAGATGAGTCTGAAGAAGTCAAGCGCAACCTTGTTAAAAGTGCTTGCAAAGAGGCTTTTGCGGATGAGTTTGTAGAGAGGCTTCCGGATGTAAGTGTCTTTTTATTATATTTCACGCTCCTTATCAATTGATACTAACTCAAATAGGGCTATGCTACAATGGTTGGCGAAAGCGGCATCAAACTCAGTGGTGGTCAACGCCAACGTCTTGCAATTGCTCGGAGTATTGTTAAAAGGCCAACCATCCTAATTCTTGACGAGGCCACTAGTTCTATCGACGTTCGTGGCGAGAGGATTGTTCAACAGGCGCTAGACAAAGTAGCAGCAACACGTACAACGATAATGATCGCCCACAGACTTTCAACAATCCGCAAAGCTGATCACATCATCGTTCTCCAAAATGGAGCAAAGGTCGAAGAGGGGTCTCATGATTCATTGATGAGTATAGATGACGGACTCTACTTCAATCTAGTCAATGCCCAAAAAATACTTTCGACGCCAACAGCTGAGACAGGCAGTGCAGAAATAGATAATGCCATTGAGACAGAAGGTTTGTTGGACAGGGAAACGACCTTGAAAGATGACGAAGGAGTTCAAAGGGGAAATGGTGAGAGAATGGATTACTTAGCATTACCGAAGATTGTCGGCGAACAAAAGTCGCTTTGGATGCTTTGGGCCCCGATTCTACTCTCTGGCATGGGATGCGGTGGTATGTCTTTCAGCATTACCAGAAGCTGAATAAATATCTAACATCTATGAAAAGGGGCTTATGCACTTGAGAGCTGGTTCTTTGCCCATCTCGTCCAGGTTTTTCAATATACTGGACAGCAGCTAACATCTTCCCGCAATTTTTGGGCTTTAATGTTTTTCGTACTGGGCTTGGCTGTTGCGGTCTGCTACTTTCTACTCGGTTCCATGTCAACATTGGTATCTGCTGTTCGTACATCTGCAATATGATGTTTCTCAAGATACAGAGACTAATAATGACACTAGATAATAACATCCACATATCGAAAAGAATACTACAACAACTTTCTCGCACAGCCTGTCCCTTTTCACGACGCCGAAAACAACTCTTCCGGCTCCCTACAATCCAAATTAACAACAGACCCAAAACAAATCCAAGAAGCCTTCAGTGTCAACGGTGCTTTCTCTCTGATTAGTATCTGGAACTTACTCGGATGCGTGGCAATCTCGTTCTCCTTTGGCTGGAAGCTCTCGCTCGTGGCCCTTTTAGCAGCGCTCCCTGTTATGTTTGTCGCAGCTTTCTTCCGCATCAGACATGAGATCAAATTCGAGGCAATGAATGCCGAGGTGTTTGCGGAAAGCAGCCAGTTTGCTACTGAAGCGATCGGCGCATTCCGAACGGTCTCGTCGCTGACTATGGAAGACTACATTTTGCGCCGGTTTGAAAACCTGGTCAAGGAGCAGATCAGACGAGCTTTTCGCAGAGCCAGCCATGCGACTCTAGTCTTTGCATTATCAGATAGTGTGGAGCTATGTGCTATGGCGCTCACGTTCTGGTAAGTTGCTCCCTTCCTTATATTCTTTATGACTAGTATCACAGGAGAAAATATCTCTTATTTTCTAACATCTGTTCCCCATTTGCAACAGGTACGGTGGGCAACTTCTTGCCAACCGTACATACGACCCTCTCCACTTCTTTGTAATTTACATCGCCGTCGTACAAGGAGGACAAGCCGCCGGTCAAGCATTCAGTCTTACTCCAGTCTTCGGGCAGGCTACGGGGGCTGCAAATCGCATTTTCCGACTTCGATCTCTCAATTCTAAGCCAAATAATCAAGGAAGAAGCTCCCAAGAAAAGGTAATATCCACTCACCAAAAGCAAACAGCAGCGAGTGTCGAAATAAAAAATGTAGCGTTCAAATACCCTACTCGAGATGTGCCAATATTTCACTCCCTTTCTCTATCGATCACTCCCGGGAGTTTCGTCGCATTTGTCGGGCCGTCTGGGTGCGGAAAAACGACCGTTATTTCCCTACTCGAGCGATTCTATGATCCTGTAGCTGGTACTATATCTTTCAATGGCATACCCATTGACGATATCGATGTGGCGGCATACAGAAGTCAGATCTCACTAGTCTCTCAGGAGCCGACATTATTCGATGGCTCAATTCAAGAAAACCTCCTTCTAGGGGTACCTTCATCGGATGAAGAAGACAGTGAAGACCTCGAAGCCAAGATGGAACAAGCATGTCGTGATGCCGAAATCCATGACTTCATCACCTCGCTCCCAGACGGGTACGCCACGCAACTCGGTATACGAACACAAACTGCGTTGAGCGGGGGGCAGAAACAACGTGTTTGTATTGCCCGTGCTCTACTACGGTCTCCGTCGTTACTCCTCCTCGATGAAGCCACGTCAAGTCTAGACTCACAGTCTGAGAAACTAGTCCAGGGCGCTCTGGATAGGCTAGCGGCCAAGAGAAACATAACCATTGTAGCTGTTGCGCACAGACTTGCCACGATACAGAAGGCAGATACAATCTATGTATTTGGTGAGAGTGAGAGGGGGACTGGGAGCCGAGTGGTTGAAAAGGGGGGCCATGATGAGTTGTTGAGGCGGAGAGGGATGTATTGGCAGATGGTGAGTATTTCTTCAACCTTCAACTACATGTGCGCTATTAAGTTTCGCTGACTTTTATTGATTAAAGTGTCAAGCTCAGGCCCTAGATCGATAAATGTCACTCATATTAGTCGTACTCTCCAAGAGTATATCTCTGACAATTATTGTTTTGACATGCAAGCTAGTTACTCCATATTCATTCCGCTCCAGATTCTCCAGACTCTTTGTGTATTGGAGAAAACATGTATTATAATCTCATCTTACTTAAATAGAGAATAGAGCTTCTCCAAATTTCTCAAAACTTTTCATCAACGAATCATACAACCCAGCTGAGACCATATAACATTCTTAGTGGGCAAATATAACCACAAGGAGAATAGTTTCCACCCCTTAGGTTTGAAGGCCACATGGCAATTCCAAATGCCAATCAAGCAAACAATATGGGAACTCTGTTATTTCGGTGCAAGTAATGTCCGCCGGCTATTAGGCTGTTGTGATCCGAAAATTGCCTCGGCCAAAATTTTCCCTCTAAGCAAGTTATTGGTTTGTTTCGAACCTGTTAGAGAATCTCAAATCCCGCGTGTTCTAGTAGCAGGCGCTAAATTAGTGCGGAGTCCGGACATCCCCGGTTTTTCAAGGCTGGGGTAAAATTCCCGGGGGGGAATCATCGTGAGTGCCCAATCACCTAGTCAGCAGGTACAATGGCCTCCCTCATTTTTAACAAGTTTTAGCTTTGGCTGCTGATCCGGCTTACCAAGCAGTCATTTTAGGTTGACTACTTATTTTTGGTTAATTTTATGCCTGCATCACAGGCATGGCTGTTGATAACGTTTACCCTTCTGCCAATAACATTTGATGTGAATTTGGGCGGGCTGGCTGTGGCTTTTCCCCCGTCGTATTTGGTACCGGTTTTGGCGTTATCTCCGGAGACCAACAAAATCAAGAGCTGTAATACCCAAGTCGTCTTTCGCTAAAGATGTTCACTAGAAGGAATGAAAGGTGTATCTATCGATATCTCTTCTTCTGTAAATGGCGGTCATCTGTCCATTAGTCTCATAGCGAAGTACCAAGCAGGTTTCCGGATGTGCCGGCCTTTTAAACAGTCAATGATCTGGCGTTTCCCCTAACACATGGCAACAGTAATCGGTAGCCCATGTAACCGTCCAATTCAACTAGTCGACTTGACTAGTAAAATGCGAAATAGCCCGCTGAGACAACCCCGCATGATACTATCTGGATCTTGGATCGAATACCGTAATTCAGTCTAGAGGCTGGCTAACATGGTAATTAAGCGGCAGTTGCAGCTCGTCAACCACTAGTTCCTTCCATATTTGGATTCCGCAAGCATGTTCCAGACCAGAGCGCCTGCAGGCTGTCCATTCGGAAAGCGATACATTAGTAGCTAATCGTGGAGTCGGTGCAGAAGCTGACAGGCAGACTTACAATAGGCCAAAATTCTCATTCCAGTTGTGTGCATAAATATAAGTTGACCTTCGCTCATCCAACTGCCAGTTTCTCTCCGGTAAATTTGCTTCTCCTTCCCAACCCCCCTTGAGGAACTTCCTAGACACAAAGGACATGTCAAACATTAACGAATTACGTCGTTTGGAGACGGCAGACATTGAGATTGGAGTCTCAGAAGCCTTGCAACGCCATGCCACGCGCCATGTCGCCCAGCACAAGCCTGTTTCGAGTCGTGTTCTAGAATTTGAGCGACGACGGCCGAGATGGTTGAGAGAATGCGTCGGCGAGGCCACCGGTGTGTTCCTTTACGTGTAAGTCATTAAACCATATCCATGTCATGGCTGCCCTTGAGACGTTCAATAACAAAAGCTGGTCATTGTAGCTTCCCCGGCATCGCCTCCGTTGCGGGTTTCTTACTACATGCTGGCACCGAGGAGCCTCCAGTCACAGTGTTTAGTAGTTTCTTTCAAATCGGTTTCGCTTTCGCTCTAGGTATCATGTTTGCCATTATCATTGCAGGCCCAACCTCGGGTGGCCACTTCAACCCTGCCGTGACAATATCTTTGGCTGTTTGGTGAGTTTTCTGCAATGCAGTCATCAGTTACCGTGTACTGTTCGTACTGAGACGATCAAATTCGTTGTGGTTAGGCAAGGTTTCCCCTTGAAGAAAGTTCCGCATTGTGAGTCGCTTCCTTCACCACCGTCAATATATGCAAGCTAATACATGTTAGACATTCTTTCCCAAATATTCGGTGCATTCATGGCGGCTCTACTAGTGATGGGGATGTATCGACAACAAATTCTCGAGTTTGAAGTCGCTGCCAAAGCAGCCGGGATTCCATTGGTTTCTGCATCGGGTCCTTCCTCGATATTTGCTGCCTATCCGCAAGAGGGCCAGAGCTTGGGATATCTTTTCTTGTAAGTTCTATCCGTAGACTCAGAGGTAAGCAAGCTAATTCTATACATTAGCATCGAATTTTTTGTCGACTCATTCATTGTACGTACTATCTGACTTTAAAAAATAAATGGAAGAAAAAATTTCTCCAAACTAACGAATGATCTGATAGGGTCTGGTTATATGGTCTTGCATCGATCCAGCTAACCCTTTTGTCTCTCCATCAACCGTCCCCATTGTCATCGGTATGGGCTATGCTGCCATGGTCTGGGGATTTGCCGACATCACGATCTCCACAAATCTGGCTAGGGATCTGGGATGTCGATTCGTAGCTGCCATATTCTATGGCCGCGAAGCCTTTGCGTACCAGTCGTACTGCTGGATTGCAATTCTCGTGAACATTCCTGCCACGCTGTTTGCGACAGGATTTTATGAGTTGTTCCTCAGAGACTCCGTGCAGATGATTAGTAAGGGAAGTGTTCGTCATCGTGACGGCGATGAAGGGCTGCGTCGCTATCTAAGTGAAGCAGGCGTGTTGAAGGAAAGCGATCAGGAGCCCTCGGCGATCCATGTCTCTAGCACGGTTACCAACGGGAAGGGGCTCTCTCAAAATTAAATGGTGTGTAGGCCACTCTTAGGAATCTTGCAAAGAGTGTTTAAAGACTAAGAACGTCAATTGGGAGGAGATTGGAGAGGGAAAAGGTGTTCGGTTTTCGCGGGCCGAGGTATAGCTGAATTTGTGGATTAGTGAACATTTTGACAAAATAACGATTTTTAAATTGGTCGAGATGAGCCAGCCAATCACCAGACACTCAAGTTACCCTTGCATAGGAGTTGGAAATAACCTGACGTGTAATTCTATGACTATATAGTGACCCTACAACAGCCAATGCTGTTCCGTTTATCAATAATCCAACTGCAGCAAACATAGCACCTCCAACGCCAGCCCTATGCTATTATAAACACGAACAAATGTTTTATCAAGTGATGTATGATGAAAGATTCATTGATTGACGGCATATCTCATTTTCCTCGGGTCCCATGCCGCCATGCCGAGCCCGGCTTTCGCAAAGTTGTTTGAACCATGTCAAACGACAATCTTCCTGTAACACCCAGTCGTGGGTGAAAATATTCGGTTGGCAGTTTTGGCAATTTGGTGAACTTGGGCAATTGATATATGGAGGATGCTCGTAGCCGACGTCTCGGAACCTTTGAGATCATAGTTAGATATCACGCAGGATTAAGGAATCTCATATGAAATCAACAAAGACCGATCAAACTTACCAATGAATCTGAGAGTTATCCGCAAAAAGACCAAGGGCAACACTGTGCACGGGGGCATCTCCCCACCGTTCATAGAAGAAACCGCCTGCCTTATCAAGATGGTCGAAGTACTGCTGATATTTTTCGCTGCGCCAGAAATCAAGATCTGCGATTTCAAAATTACTCCAGAAATGGCAAGTGCTGTATCCATTAGCCGCAAGGGTGTTCTCCGGGCGCAGGGTATTGTCAGTCAGCCATGTCATGGAGTTATCGGCACTCAGGTAGTCAGGATGCTCCTCCAAAAATGCCATTGACTGGGGCCATAGCGTTTCTACTGATGCAGGGTCATCGAAAATATTGATCGTAAAACCATAAACTTTGTTGTGGTCGGCCATGAATTGGAACAGATCGTAGTTGATGTCGCAGAAATATCTTAATGCAATCAGCTCGATCTATTCGCTTCTACCGCACCTAGAGAAACTCACTTGACATCGGGCTCAACCCGCCAGTAATACTTGTAGTTGTCAAGGATTGGATGCCTGTAGAAGAACCCCGAGTTCCACCGACACATTTGGTGGTAACTCAATGACTTGGCGTATTTAATCTTTTGGCTCTGTTGTCTTTGTATTGCCTGCTTCAGCAGGTCGTCATCTATCCATTCAGGTATCTCCCAGTGTTCCTTCGGAATCAATGCTATTTTCCCTGTTAGATCACTATAACAAGATAGAGCAGCGTTGTGATGCGGGTGGTAAAGATCAATTACCGTAGTGGCATTCGGCGCTGGTCTCGGCCTGTGTCCGCTCCTTGAACTCTTCGGTAAAAGGTACATCATTAAAAAATATCCAGGGATAGTTGTACTTCGAATTCCATGAGCGTTCCAACTGCCTCATTGACGAAATTATGCCTTTCAATTCCTCGTTCCGGACTAGCGATATGAGAGTCGCGTTTGCTCGACCCGCGATTGCTTGTGGCGTCGGTAGTTCGAGGTGTGCTATCAATGCTCTTCAGTTAGAGCGGAGCAAGTGCAAAGAAAGACATCATTCAACATACCAAAGTTCATCTGGGCAAGGGCCCGGTCACCCGAGGACAGGTACCACGCATCATAGTCATAATGCAGGTAAGCCGCAAATAGCAGCAATACGGAACAGAGACCAACGACGGCATTCCTGGACCATTTGCGCAATTTATTGGAGATCATGACAGCATTCGGATAGTCTTTTCTTTTCCGCCTGGAAATTATGACTTGTGGTTGTGCTAAGACGTTAGACAGCAAAACCAAAAGCGTTCTTGGTTAAAGCCCGTCTTGAAGACTGTTTGCTATTCAATCGACCAGCCGCAGTGTTCGCCTTGCAGAGGCGCGTAACCTATAGAATGGTGTTTTGGCGCATGTTCCTGTGCAATGTTGAGGCTGTGGAAAGAGAGTAGAGCAACACCCAAGATGAAACCTGGAGAAAGTTTAGCTGGCGCCTGGAGCAGCCGTCCACCAAGCCCTTAAATTTGGCCTCAGGCTTCAGCCGCGGCGGTGGAAGAACCCAGCGCCGGCGTCGATTGGCTGGGTACGGTGATCTGTCCGCCGTTCAGCCCATTCGGCGTTCCCCTTTTGGATACAGTCGGGCATTCTGGCTGAGTCATCAATTAGGGGGCCGCTGATTGGCTCAGTATTTTTAGAGGTAAATTCGTGACGAGGGTGATAGTGCCACAAAGTGCTGGTCAGACGCGGCTCTCTATGATGATGATGACTTGAATTTTTCTGTTGTTCTATATATAGTCCACAGAATAGTACTTCTCTATCCTTGAGAATTATTTACTCTTCTCGAAAGTTTTGACACGGAGGGCCACGATGACGCAGCGAGGGACGCGGCCTGAGCTGGCACGTGCTGTTCCATTTCCCCATATGGAATGGTTTCGTCACGTGATCTTATCTTTGCACGGCGGCACGCGAACCCCTAACCCTAGACAGTACACAACTCACAACAACATATCTAGTTAGATTACCCAAGAGTGGAATCATAAGTCTTATCGCATGCTGCATTGATACTGCCGCCGGGATTAGACACCAATGTTTTCGAAGTGCCTGCTTGTTGTCCTGCAAAGCTACGCCGCTGACGTCAATGCCTAAACAAGGCCAAGGAACCCTAATCGCTAATTATACCGCAGAAATAGCAGTATTCCTAAGGTCAGGACTTATTGAACGTGGAAATGCTACTAGTGTAATGCATTATGATGCATGTGCTCCTAATATATTGAGAAGGTACTTCATCCTCGATATATGAGCACACCGTTTCTATACATGAATAGACATGTCAATTGATCATGCCACTCCGGGCCTTGATGTCTTCGTGTTCTCTAACGTCGTCCAGCTATTGCAAAGTGGAAGCTCGCCAACATTTGTTAGAGAGTTATGTCTTCGTTACATGGATTGCATGTCTCGATGTTCATTCAATGTTTGTGCTATTTTATAACCAATCGGCAGCTTTCAGGAAGCGAATCTAAATTCGAGCCTTTTGCTTCCCTGGGCCTTCGAATTTCTGATATAGTCTTTTTGTTCTTCTTCCTTCATGTTATTCCAAATCCTATCTCTTCTCCTGTTCTCGTAGGTATAGTAAACTTTCGTGCCAATGAAGATGAAAACGACCAGTATATTTACCATCAATAACTCTGTGTTTCCACGATGGTACAGCGGTTTGTCATCATCGCGGTACATGAATAGTGCTATGATATCGCCTGCCTGGACGGCCATCTATGGGCTATATTAGTTTGCAGAAAAGTGGTACTCTGGTTAACACTTACATTGTACAGTGCGGATGACACGGTGCGTGCACCAACGCTATTAGAGTTTTTGGATGTCCAAGCAACAATGATTGCTGAAAGTGATCCAAACAAGTCAGTTCCAATATTTGATGAGTACGACTTGGAAAGTGAAGACCTACCATGGCAATTAGGTCCCCCGACTATAACCGTCACCAATGCGAAGGTTCCCCATGCATTTTCAATGAGACCCGACCAGAAGCGTAGAGCAATGAGAAATGGAAGAGCCCACATAGGTTGGATAATTGCTACCAATGACCTATTATTGAGCCACTCCGACGCATACGTAATCAAGAGCAAATTGAAAGCATAGAGTAGGCTGGGAAGAATTGTGAGAAGGCTAGTAACAAATTTGCTGAATCCAACTGAGCGTAGGATCAAAGTTATGTATATGCTTGGTGGGGTCTGTGGAATAAAGGCAACGAGGCCAATTATGTAGAGGGGCCATAGATGGTAGTCTGTGATTGCACTCCAGAGCTGCGATAGGGTGATAGGCTGGCGGTTATTCATATCTCCTTTGGAAGGATCGTCGCGCAAGACTCGGTTTACTACAATGGCAACTTCGCGGCTAGATTTAAACCACCCATTAGGTCGGAGAAAAGACTTTGTCTGCACTGCAGAAGCCGGCATCATCGCATACGATGTAATGCCGATGGCCAAAGTGAACAGACCCTCGATTAGGAAGAGCCATTGCCAACCAGCCCAGCCATTCACACCACTAAGGTGAAAGATAGCGAATGCCAGCAAGGAGGTTATCGTCACAGTAGCCGGCAATGTTGTCCAGAAAATGCTATATGGTTATTAGCCCAGACTGGACATTGAAGGTGCTGGATTGGAAATACCTCAGACGAATGGGGAGTTCAGTCGACGTATAAAAATACGACAACCACAATATGATATCTGGAATAAATCCCCCCTAAACACATCAGCCGAGAAACTATTAATTATGGGATTAGAGATATTACCTCAAGGGCACCAAGCAATGCCCGCGTAACGAAGAAGGACCATCGCCCAGTTAGGGCACATTGCGAAATTGCAACAATAGACCATAGAGTTATTTGAGTTGGTATCCAGCGATCTGGGCCAATTTTCTTCGATATAAACTGAGATGGCAATTCGGCCAATATAAAGGAGAGTCGAAAGATAGCGTTACCCCAGTTAAAGTCTTGGATATTTAATTAGCCTTTGGACACAGCTGCTTAGGAAATAGAGAGTTTTATTATAGAAATTCGAGTACAGCCAAGAGCAGTGAAAACTTCACAAATTGCGGGTAATAAATACGAGTATTGGAACTGCACACTCTACTGTTCAACTCACCATTAGTATTAAGCCCGAGATCTTGTAGAAATGTGTCCGACACAGCCTGCCCTAAATTACTTCGGTCTACCTGTAGGCTAAGAAACATCACACACTAGAAAATGTAAGCGTTATACGAGCGCATACATATTATCACGCAAATTCTGTGTCTTTTTTCTTACCGACCAAAGGCAGACGTTCCAGTCAATAAGTCGAATTAGTCGCTTCTCCTCCTCCTCGGACCATGTCAGGTTGGGGTCAAACAAGTGCCGGCACTCATATTTAGATTCTTCGTACGTACGTCGCCAGTGTTCGGCAACATCTGGGTCAAGAAATGGGTTCTTCTCGTAGGACTCTTGCTTAGTAAACTCCTCTGAGATGCTACTATCTCTCCGCTCTGAAAGAGGATTCCTTGACTCGGGCTCATCAATACTCGTGTCAGTTATACGTGGCTCTTCAGATGGCAGTAGTCGTTCTGTCTCTGATATATTTGACGAACCAGATGAGCGCCTGCGCCTTGTCATCAACATACGGACCATTTTGTCTCTGTGGAAGACACAGAGCTTTGACTCCGGTTGATTATACTCTTCGGTTAAGATCACTGGACGCAATATTCTTCAGTCATTCTTCAGTCACAGACTAGAGAAGAGCTAACTTATTATTGACCAGTGCTGTTGTCATTTAAGCTATAATTGCGTTACCCGGGCTGACTGGGTCCCACTACTGTATGCAGAAGACAGTATCTACGCTGCCGATAGTTCAAATATGATACAAGCGTATAACAAATTGATAGCCACGGGAAACCCGCACGGGATGCCCCGCTTGCTTTTAACTTACATTAAACAAAAGACGGTACATACTATATATTGTTGTTATTCTCCGTTCCGTATGATCCACGGCGCCAAATCATAGGGTCCACATCCGTTGGGACTAAGACCTACTCCAAATTTTGTAACTGCTGCCACTGGATGACAGCATTTAGGAAGGTCCAGAGCAACAAAGACCGGATGCAACGCTACTGATGTATTTATTGGAGTTGAAGATGGCCCCCAGTCATCCAGACTATGCCTGGAATAAGTCTTAGTGGAGATCTGCCTTCAAATGTTGTGCCTGTTGGGGCGTGCTGGAATTCCATATTTCTATTATACTAACAAGCCAGATACAGTATTGAGACTTGCACTCTGAAGAACTCATAGTTCTGTTCAAACATGAGCCCCTCAGTTGACCTAACGAATGTTAATGGCAATGGAGTAGCAATCCCGTTGCTCCCTGAGATATCGCGGCAACGCATGGAAAAAGCCGGAATTGATCTTTCTAATGGTTATCCTCAGAAACCCGACCGACATATTCAACAGGCTCCTTCTGGACGGGATCATAGCCAGCCGTATATTGACGCAGGAAGCCGAGCTGACAAAGAGAAAAGCAATCTTTTGTCTGCAGCTAAAGAAGTCATCCACTTATCAAAGCATATTGGCACAGAGCTTACCGGCCTGCAGCTAAAGGACCTTTCAAACCAGCAGAGGGATGAGTTAGCTCTGCTAATTGCTGAAAGAGGAGTTGTATTTTTCCGTGACCAGGATATTAGTCCCCAACAACAACACGAATTGGCAGAATATTATGGCGAGCCTGAAGTCCATGTAAGCCTCTAGTATATTCCAAGATTTCTACCGTTCTCGCTGATTCTCTTCCAGCCTGTAGCACCTCATGTTCCCGGTGTACCCAGCGCCAGTGTAATATGGCCTGACTTTCAAGCTACAGAGTGTGAGGCCAGCTTCCGTCGCCCAGGGGGTGTTTCAGGCTGGCACACTGATCTTGCGTTGGGTCACGACAAGCGACCCGCCGGGATAAGCCATTTGCACAACGACGCCGTTCCAAGTATTGGCGGAGATACTCTCTGGTCCAGTGGGTACTGTGCCTACGAGAAGTTGTCGCCGTCATTCCGGAAATTCATCGATGGTAAGAAAGTCATCTATCGTTCTGCCGTCGCCTTCATAGATAGTAGGAACCCTGCGGCCGGCCCGACGCATGTTGTTCGTGAATATCCGCTTGTAAGAACACATCCAGCCACAGGCTGGAGGTCTTTATGGGTTAATAGGGCTATGGCGGAGCGTATTGTGGGTTTGGATAAATCCGAAAGCGATCTGATTTTGAATTATTTGTGCGACCTTTATGAGAAGAGTGTGGATATCCAAGTCCGTTTTAGATGGACACCAAAAACCAGCGCGTTATGGGACAACAGGTAAGAAGACTTTCTTGATTCATTATTGACTCCTCCCTGCCATCCTTAAGTTGCGGCTAACTGGACCTTTCCTTCCAGAGTGACCATTCATGTCGCAAGCTGGGACTACGAGGGCTCCGAGCCTAGACATGGGACAAGGGCGACCGCATTGGCAGAACAACCATATTTTGATCCCAAGTCGCCTACAAGAAGAGAAGCACTAAGACTTTTGGGAGCTTCGGAAATTAGAGAATTGGAGGAGCAAGGAATTTTTTCAACATCTTAGTCCAACCGCGGATTGTCCTTGATCTCCGAAGAACATTCTAAAGAAAAAGATATCAGAACTTTAGGTTAAAGGCGCGTACACTGAGCCTAAGAGTTTGAACAAACTCCATACGTAATGTAACATCTCTATAATGTAGCCGAGCGAACAGGTGGTTTTAGAGCGTGCTTTCTAGTATGAAAATATGAGGCATACGCTACCAAATACGTTTACGTCACTTAAATTCGAGGAGTGAGCCCCCGCTCTGACACTAGTGCTAAGGTAGATATCATTTTAATGTTCATTGGTCAAATTCTGATTGTAGATCTCAAAGGATTGTCATTAATTAACCCACAACCCATTAGCTATATCGACTGTGGAGCAGAAAACCCCGCTGCGTCCAAGTGCTTAGGTTTTCTTTCACCACGTTTCGTTCCCCTAACCCTTTTTTTCATTCACCTTATTTACGTACACATTGCATATCAAAACCATAGGATAACTATCATTTCCGTATATTCACATTTCTAGACCTTACTAGAACGGTCAGAATGACTTCATTCAATCTACGAAGCCCTAGCCTGAAGCTCGGACAGAAACAACCGTTCCTTCTCTATGGAACTGCATTTAAACGCGAGAGGACAGCCGAATTTACGAAGACCGCTCTTGAGTTAGGATTTCAGGGAATAGATACAGCCAACCAGCCTAGTGCATACAGAGAAGCATTTGCGGGAGATGGACTCTCTGCTACGATTGATGCGGGAATCAAAAGAGAGGCCTTATTTGTACGCTCATTCTAATTCTATCTTGACAATAAGATCTTACAAATCAAATATAGATTCAATCCAAATTTACTCCTATCCGGGGCCATGATAAGGATAAGATTCCATTCAACCCTGACCAGAGTATCGAAGGACAGATTCGGGAGTCCATCTCGCAATCCCTTCAGCACCTCAAACTAGATTATCTTGACGCATTGATACTTCATTGCCCATTTGAGGACGACGCAGACAATCTTGTGGCTTGGAAGGTGTTTGAGACCTACGTGCCCAGCACTGTTCGCCACCTCGGTGTCTCCAATATCAGTCTTCCGGTGCTGCGTCAGATTTACGAGGAGGCAACTGTCAAACCGGTAATTATCCAAAATCGTTTTTTCAAAGGGACTGGATATGATGTCGAAGTTCGAGCGTTTGCCCAAGAGCATGGTATTCTTTATCAAACATTTGGTGTGTTGAAAAATAACCCGCATTTGTTGGCCTCGGGTCTGGTTGCTTCCGTGGCGGAGAAATTAAACTTGGAAAAAGAATTGGCATTATATGTGCTTGTCTTAGGTCTCGGTGATGTGCAGATACTAGACGGAACGACAAGCCCAGATCGTATGAAAAACGACTTGAAGACGATCGCAGAGGTGACAAATGATGATAGGCTGCTCAAAGACCTGGCTCCATCATTTAAGTCTTTTCCCCTACTACTCGAAAAGTCCGTCTAATCGCCAAAGCTTCTGAGTGTGGGTAGAATCATGTTGGTGAAGTCATCAGTTGACGCGGTACTGTCTCTGCCAGAACATGACCACCACAAGCCACAGCTAGCAGTTAATTCTATGAATCAAATTATAACCCTACGTATATACTATAGACAGTAAAAATTGATGTTCAGTTGATTCACGTATTGATTTTACATGCCAATATATTTCTGCTTGGCATACTTTTAGCGAAATGGTTTAATGTAATACGTGGTTCATTAGCTTTAAGATACATGTACACAGATGTAACCTGAGTGTTGCCAGCTCCTTGCCTAGGTGTTCGAAACAGCTAGGCGATCCAATATCCGATCCAGCCACGCATCAAACAGTAAGGCATGAATAATTTCTATGAGATATTTACCTCCAGCGTACTATATCGATGTTCCGGATTCCGTTCCTACGCCATAAATTTCGAAAATACCATTCCAGAGGAATATCAGTGAATCGATTCTCGCTTGTGGTTACGCACCTATAGGACTTTCAGCCCCCAAACGCCACTTAGTCCTGTGATGGAGCTTCTCAAGATCAGCATCTAAAAGTGGAGACCCCTATGCTTATCCATAATCCATAACATCTATTGTTTGTGAAGCGTATTCACAACCAATCGAAGATTAGGGGCTGGATAATGTAATATCAGCTATATTTTCGCTCCACTCGTAGACGCATATACGCACTTTAATGAAGAAGCTAGTCATTGGCACATATCAACCGCTACGGTCAACCAACGAAATACAAGATGTCAAACACTATAAATTCTTAAATCAACGATTTCTTGATATTTAAATTCTCATGTTATTATTCTTATGGTGAATTGTACTAGTTATAATCGTTATGTGATTCTATACCGCGTATTTTATAGAATTAGTTCAGTTTAGGAATACTAAATTCGAAGGATCCTCTATAGTACATGTACCCACATAAATTGAAGGCGAGCTTCTCCAGCAATCGCACGTAATTCAGCTATGCTTATCTATGTTTAGTATCATTTACTGTGCAATGTTACTAGACTGTAGTGTCAAATTGATTATACTAGAGACAAATGAACGTCGAGTCAAATACAGCTCTGCTCTACTGTACATAGTACTGTATGCGGTGCTTACATAGCACATGGATATCATATCAATGACTGGTCACTGCTTGATTGCTTTTATATCATGTCATAGATAGGCCAGTTGAGCTTTTGTCTCGGGTACTCAGGCCCACGAGCCAGAATTTCTTACTGCAATGGAACACCCTAAGTTACCAAATCCCGAGTCCCAATTAATAATAGGAGCTAGGCCAATTGATTCGTTTCATAACAACAGAGGTCCACTGTGAGAAAATTGATACGTGCTGTTTTCATAACTTCGTATTGCCTAGAGGCTAGTGCTGGTCTTTTTTTAAGCCACCCCGCAACTAATCCTCTCAAAACTGCTGGACTGGGGCCGCTAAAACTAGTGGTTGCGCAATTTACACTATAATTTCATCTTGCTGCAGGCTCAGCAGATCGAATCAAAAGCCACATTGTATTTAGTCTATACGAAGCGGTCTCGCATAAACATCTTGTTCTAGATTTTGCCACTGAAAAAATTAAAATATCTAATAGCAACCATTGTCTATTCAAATAACAATGTCTATCTACTCTTTACCCTGTTATACGCATTATTAATCCTAGGTATAGATTTCGAGTTCCTGTACATCCTTTTAATGTTCCTCCAGATTCTCGTATCACTTTAAGCTTAAAGCTATATTTATTTTAGAGTTAGTGCTGTAGGCGCATATTAAGTCCATCAAGGGGCTTAAGGACTATTATTGACTATAAAGTTTAAACCAATATACGTGTATCTTATTTAGTCAGCACCAAGGATCTGGTGATAAGTGTGTAAACTTTCTCAATAATCAACATTGAATTGATTAGTTGACATGCAGTACATGTCAACTTTCAACCACTACAGATAATAATAATGACATCTGGAGAAGGAAAGGACAAAATACTATAATAGCAACTACATTTAATCGAACATTTTATCATTTCACTAAATAGAGGTTCTCATTGCAATGATTAGTTCCAAGATTCTTAGTTATCACTTAGTCTGATATCTGTCTGCTTCGCTTTATATGTCTTTTACATCAATTAATACATGTAGTCCATGCGTGTCTCTTGGGTATTTTATCAAAAGTCCAGTCTATCAATTGATATGGTGTGATAAGAATAATGAATACTCATAAATATTATTTAACCATCTTTCATAGAGGTCTTTCGACCTCCTATTTCCCTCAAACACAATAGAATTAGTCTCTCTGTATTGGGATCCCTAGAAGCCGGCGTCACTCCATGTAAAATTCCATATCAATACAAGTAAAGTTGGTAGAAAACGGAATATAGAAATATCATGTTATCAACAAGGCACAGTCAGACCATATGTAGGTTACATTCTCTAGATTCATAATTTAATTCACTGCATCTTGAATACGCCAATTGGTGAAACTATTACGCAGTTCAAAGATGAGAGCAAAGCGTTACACTGTCATTTCAATTATCTTTCAAGCCTACAATATCTATTTGATACGTTCTAAATATGAACAGTTTCATTAATCGTAGTGTGCAATGTAGACTTAACTGCATTTTACATAGCTAGCAATTCTACGATCAGCAGCACAAAGGCAAACACAAGAGTGCGCGCCGAGAAATTTCGCTACTGAAAATTATTTAATGGTTCAATTTAATTCAATCTGATTTTGGGTACGGTGGCTGCGGAGCCAGACGGACAATGAGTACATATATACCCTTATAAAAGAACCAGTAGCATGATGAATATCGCGCACTTCACATCGAATGATTTACTCAAATTCGACGAACACTCGATTTCGATATCAATCGAATTCTTCTTGCGTGCATTCAAAGTCAACGATTTTTCAAAGGCATATTTATGCGACTTGGTATCAGTATTAGGATTTTTGTTTCGAAATGGAATCGGTTTCGGTTTTACATTTGAGACATTTTAAATAGTAAATCCACGTTTCTTCGAGTTAGTATGCGTAGAATGCAAATTGTCTAGGAAATAGCGTGGCTCACGACATTTTCTAGAAGGTATGGGACCTATGGGGCCAACACATTCGCGATTCCATCCCTGAAATCTGACCGGACCCCAAGCAGACAACCGTGTTGTGACCCACTCTTCAATTTCAAGACGTCACATTTATCAGTCCCAGTAGACGCCACGACTAGAATAATTATCCAAATTGCACCCTTGCTCTACATTCTTGTACATGTTTATGGCTCTGGAGTAGACAATGTCGTCCCTGCCGCCGTGCGATGCGGCTTTTGGTCCTAGGGTCGACCCTTCTTGCCGTGCTTTCGACTTCACACTATACTTTGAAGATATCTTCCTTACCATCCTTCCAAATGCTGCATTCATATTTTCACTTCCTGTTGGGCTTTATCCTTTGTTCAAGGGCACCAACGTGATCAAGTCGAACCGGCTAGTTAGCCTCAAAGCAGTATGGCATCCCCGCTAATCATGTCTACTAATTTATGTGTGGAAAAAAAAAGAATTAAATCTTGAATTTAGGCTGTATATGTATCTCTTGCTATATATCAGACAGTCTTTCTCGTATTTCGCCAACTGAAACCAAATATTGAGACCCGCGCATCGCTGGCCAGTGATGCTCTCGGCCTAGCTACGACAATCGGTGTGGGCATATTCTCATGGCTTCATCACCATAGGTCTGTACAGACGTCTACGCTACTTGAAATTTTTATGGGAATATCTTCCATACTCGATATCGCACGAGTCCGTACTCTATGGCTCGTCGCCGATAATTATGGCCCGGCTAGCATCTTATCTCTCACCTTAGCTATGAAAATCAGTGGTATATTTCTCGAATCCTTCAGCAAACGCAAGAACTTGCGGTTGTCCGACAATGAGCTATATATGAGTTCTGGTCCGGAGCCATTTATTGGCTTCTGGATTCGGGTTGGCTTTGGGTGGCTCTTTTCCACTCTGCGGCAAGGTTACCACCAGATCCTAGCTGTGGATGATCTTCCTGCCCTGGATTACCGACTACGAAGTGATGGGGTGTATAGCAGTCTTCAAACAACCATGGTAAAATGTAACATATTGATTTCTACAATAAAGTTATACGGCTAATATCCTTCCAGATGATATGGCAAAGAAATATAGTCTCCTCAGGGCCTGTTTCCGAGCTTACAATCGCACATTTCTTGGAGCAGTGATCCCCCGTTTGTGCTTAACAGGATTCACTTTTGCACAACCCTTCTTGATTAACGCCCTTATAAGCTATGTTGAAATAGATACTCCACTTTCAAATGGAAAAGCCATGATTGGTGCCTACGCTTTGGCGTATCTTGGCAAAGCAGTCTCAAATTCGGTTTTTTCATATCAAACCTTTCGCTTTCTCACCCAATTAAGAGGTGGATTGATTTCACTAATTTACCATGAGACCGCTCATGGCCGAAATGTGGACCAGGGTGAACTTGACAGTACTTCCTTGATGGGCACGGACGTGCAGCGAATTATTGTCGGCTTTCAGTCAATACACGAACTCTGGGGGTCTTTGATCGATATAGCAATTGCAACCTATCTTCTCCAAAGAGAGGTTTACGTGGCCTGTCTCGTTCCAGGTCTATTAGTATTAGGTAGGCATAGACATTTAACCAGCATTAAAATCCACTACAGTGCTAACGGATCAACAGCCTTTGTCCTAATGACTTTCAAAATCTCAGCGCGAGGCAAGCGATACCAGAAATTATGGGCTGAAAAAGTAGAAGAAAGATTGGCCGTTACTTCCAGTATGCTCGGTGATATGAGGGCTATTAAAATGCTCGGTCTCAGTGACAAGCTATTTGACATCGTCGATAAATTGCGCCGGACTGAAATTTACGAGTCTCGCAAATTTCGGATTTTGCTTGTCGGTGAGATTTTCTTTTGTAAGAATTGCCACCCCATTATCAACTATTTTGGATTTAATTCTAGCAGCAAACTCGCCAACTGTTCTGGCGCCTGTGGTAACATTTGCTGCGTTCGTTGCCATCGCCGCAGCTCGGCATGAGCATTCAATCTTGACAGCGCAAGCATTTACTTCTCTGTCCTTAATATCTCTTCAAACTACTCCGGCACTGTCATTAATCCAAGCCATTCCAGCAGTGATACAGTGCCTTAGTTGTTTCGATCGCATTCAGGAGTTTTGCTCCCGGGTTAACAAGAACGCTGTATCGGAAAACATGCAGCCACAGAACTCCGAGTATTCTCTCAACGAGCACGGTGAGGACATTATGGAACTTGCTTTGCTACCAAGGAAAAGCAAATATGTTAGAGAGTGGCAGTCTTCTCACATAGTCTCTTTCAATTGCCAAAGTTTTGCATGGAGCAAATCAGGGCTTGCAATATTAGACAGCATTGATGTGCAAATTTCAGCCGGTCGCATAACAGCTGTCATGGGACCTACTGGGAGCGGCAAGTCAACCTTGTTGGAGAGTATTTTGGGAGAAACAATACCTCTCTATGGACCTGATCGAACAGTTAGGAGTTTCTACACCGCCGCATATTGCTCTCAGACTCCTTGGCTGATAAATGGGACCATCCGTGAAAACATCATAGGCCAGTCAGCCGTGGAATCAGTGGATGAAGCCTGGTATGATACTGTTTTGTGGGCCTGCGGTCTTGAAGCAGATGTGAACCGTCTGAAAAGAGGAGACCATACAGCCGTGGGAAGCAAGGGCAGTTCTCTAAGTGGTGGACAAAAACAACGCGTTGTAGGTTGAAATTGGGTCTGATGAGCTTGTCGATTTTCATATTTACTAACATTAGCTGTTAGGCCTTAGCTCGTGCTATTTATTCCCGGTGCCAATTCGTTCTTCTGGATGATGTTTTTAGCGGTATTGATGCGTATAATGTATCCTTGATTTCAAATCGTTTATTTGGAGAGCATGGCTTGCTCAGAAGACAAAAGTCTACTGTTATCCTTGTGACACATGCCCGTGAGACTATAAATCCTGTCTGCTATAGAACTTACCAGCTAACAAAAACCCAGCCTCGGTGGTTGCATTTGCTCAGGATGTTATCGTGTTAGAGAGTGGCCGTATACGAAAAGCGGGCCCTCTGGAATCACTGCAAGGAACCGAGGGTTATCTGTCGACTTCCAAGCAACAAGTCGACAGTTTCAATGACTCTTCTCTCGATCCAGATACAACGACTTCGGTTAATACTAATGGAGATTTACACAAAGTTGCCAGTTCTTCCTTTGATGAGCAGACTAATGATCTAAACCGTCGTAACGGAGACCCGTCTGTATACAAATACTTCTCAAAAGCCTCAGGCCATATGACCGTTTTTGGCATTTTTGCATTTTTGGCGCTTTGTGTTTTTTGCGCTGAATTTTCCAGTAAGTTATAAAACCAGCAAGAATGATTAATATCTGCTTACTCGTTTACTCTAGCTGTCTGGGTGGACTGGTGGTCTGCAGCAAACTCAAATGACCCCAATAATAACGCCACTGGCATGTACCTTGGGGTTTATGCAACTTTGGGGATCTCTTCTACCCTTTTTATGACTGCAGCCTGCTGGTAAGTGATAGAGCTTTTACTCTGCAACAGCGTTTTGAATATTGATAAAATAGGCTTTTATTCGTCAAAGTCATATCAAACTCATCTCTAAACCTTCACACCGATCTTCTCACAACAACAGTTCGGTAAGTCTTCATGAATATGACTAATTGTAGTGGTAAGAATTTGCTAACTCCATCAACAGTGCAACGCTACAATTTTGCCTAGAAACAGACCTAGGGTCAATAGTGAATCGGTACCCACCATCCCTAGAACCCTTCAATCATTGCACGCAGACCAGCTAGTCTAACCAATATTGTCCCTATAGGTTCAGCCAGGATATGGAATTAATTGGAATGGATCTTTGTGGAGTCTCAATTAACTACACATATTGTGAGGTACCCGCTACATGAGGCGCGTAATATACATTAACATTGATCCTATAGCTGTTTGTGACCTTGTTGGCAAAGGCGTACTTCTCGCTGTCTTTGGAAAATACCTTAGTGTCGCCATACCATTCGTTGTTGTGATCGTCTACATCGTGCAAAAGTTCTACCTTCGTACTTCTCGACAGGTACGACTGTTGGACATTGAGGCTAAAGCTCCAGTCTATCAGCTTTTTCTAGAGACATCAAGCGGAGCCAATACATTACGAGCTTACGGCTGGCAATCCTCATTTCAAAAGATACTCGAGTCTCGCCTTGATCGGTCCCAGCGTCCGGTGTATTCGCTCTATTGTATACAGCGATTGCTGGCGTTCATCCTTGACCTTGTCATTGCTGCCCTTGCCGTGATACTCGTCTCTATTGTGGTCATGTGGAAAAGTTCATTTACAGCTGGTGCGGTTGGTATATCATTGGTTACAATTATGACATTTAATCGTACTATGGTTTCTGTTGTCAAATATTGGACAACCCTGGAAACATCAATTGGTGCCGTTGCGCGTATCAAGGATTTTGCGGAAAACACACCGGTGGAAAAAAATAGGAGTGATTGTCAGATGGTAGTCCCATCTAACTGGCCAACAGCTGGGACAATTGTGTATAAAAATGTGGTGGCGTCCTACAAGTATGTTCTTCCTTCCAATCTCAGTCTGGGTAGATATGCTAATAATTTTCAAATTTTAGGCCAGAAGCAGAGCCAGTGCTTAAAGGTATTTCGCTATCCATTAAGAAAGGAGAAAAAATAGCTATTTGTGGCCGCTCAGGGAGTGGCAAGACTTCAATGATCCTCAGCCTGCTAGCAATGATCCATTGTCATCAAGACAGTTCTATCGAAATCGATGGAATAGATATCGCCTCTCTCGCTCCGGCTGAATTGCGCTCGCGGATTAATGTGGTTCCACAAGACCCATTCCTTATGCCTGGGTCTATTCGATTCAATATTGATCCATATGGTAGTGTTTCCGATGAAGCAATTATTCGGGCTCTTCAGAAATTAAATCTCTGGAACATAGTCGAAAGTAGTGGAGGGCTAGATACACAAAGACCTACGACGTCTTGGTCTGTGGGCGAGAAACAACTGCTCTGTCTCGCAAGAGCAATGATTCGGAAAAGCCCTGTCTTAATTCTAGACGAAGCAACAAGCAGGTATGTCATTAAATGGTTCTACCCTGTACTTTGCATTTCTTTACATGAATATTCCCAAGCCAGTAGAGGTTGCTAATTTTTCCTATAATTGCAGTGTGGATTCTGTCACTGAAAGCATCATGCAAAATGTAATCGACACCGACTTTGTTGAGCACACTGTCATTGCAGTCGTTCATAGGCTTGGGTATATTAGACATTTCGACAAAGTTGCATTCTTACAGGCTGGAGAGCTCGTTGAATTCGATGGTCCAGATGCCCTTCTCACCAGGGACTCCGCTTTTGCGGACCTATATAATTCTATGTCTTATTAGCAACTTGTATTACTACTGATGAACAGTCGCCTTCTTCTCCAACAACAATTTTATATGTATTTTATGTTTCCTGGCGTCTTCAGGTGCAGTCTCTGCAAACAATAACCTCATGCAAAATGTTCGGTGTATTAGGGCGAAAGGGTTTAGGTTGATTCTGCTTTTCAGGCCCTGGGTTGTTTTTGGTTAGTGATATATAATTAATCTACATACATATCAATTCAATGTAATCTCGAACACCACTAGGTAGATTGCCATAGTTATCAATCTAATCGGTTTAAACGTCCTTTTCTCATAGATTTCAATACCAGTCTTACTTTGCAAGACCATAAAACGTTTAGACATATTAACTATTATTACATATGATTTTTAACAGGCTTGTTTGCAAGTTCCAGAAATGTTTATCATTATAGCACACCTGCGTCTTAACACTTTCAAGTTCATTGTTTTAAATAGAATAATAAACTTAGATGAGTGTTACGTATATGTAAGACAATATGGAGAACACAGTATGGCCAGCTTCATTCGGTTGATATCCATATGTACCTAAATATGTCAAAGACAAATCCAAAGAGACTAATATGTACTTGAAAGTCAATATCTTGAATATGTTATCACCAAGCCCTCCTAGTAGACTTGTACGTCGATCCAATGTCACCCCATTTGATGTTCGAAAATGTTACCGAAGTATAAGGCGCTGTTTGTTCGATTATTGACGGGTTCCCCTCGGTGCTATTACATGGCCCTGCATTTCCACTATCAAGCCAGTTCATGAACTGACTATTGTCGTTCCAGATAGAGAACACCAGCGTCATTCCACGATCAAGAGCCTCCCCTGAAGTCTTCAAACCCCCGCGGGATGCAAACCCACTATCAGCATTTGCACAATACTTATCAGTGATAGAGTCAGTTCCGACGAAAGGCGCCACCGTCGCAACGGCATTCTGGATCACAGTTCCATTCTGAACATACAGCCGGCGAATTTCAGAAAGAGTGCCCGTCGTCGTATTATCATTAGTCAAGAATTGTGTCACGACAGTGAATGGCTTGCTTGTGTCGATTCTGCCGCCGTACCCGTAATAGTTATGAAGACCCAGCCCATACGGATTGAATCCGCATCCAGACTCTTCACAAACCCCATTAGAGCCACAGTCATCACTAGAGCATCCGTAGATACCTGGCTTTGTGCATGGATGGGGAGTAAGCTGCGTGGATAGAGCATTGGCTTCCCATATATCCATTTCATTACAGCATGCGCCGAGGTCTTGAGTATTAACGGCTCCATTGAACCATGCTTGTTTCGGACACTGGGCATCACAATAACCTGCTCCATAAGCTGCACCTGCGGGACTAGATGTGCTTCGACCTCCAGTAAGGTCCATTTCAGAGAGGTACAAGGCGCCATTCATGCCGCATACCAGAGTCGAGACATCAACATCAAAGGCGAACTCCTGATTGAGTAATTGAAGCTTTGCATAATTCTGGCTCGCATTATCGAGAAGGTACAGCCGTGAGGAAGTCACTTCGGTCTCGCCTTTGACGGTCATGTATTGATGCATTGTTAAGGAGCTGCCAGCAACCGTAACGCCAAATTCCGTATAGTTCGCTGCACCATCAACGACACAGTTTTGGGTGCACATCTCAGTATCCGGGCAGAGGCTTGTGTCAACTGATCCATTATAGCAGGACGTACTACTATTCTTTTCGTGGACAGAGTGGAAGGTGAAGTCAATAACGACAGATGTGTCTTGTGCCTGACAACCTCCATTCGCCTTGCATTTGTACGTCACAAGCTGAGGATGGGCATCAGGTATGCCAACAGCTTGAGCAGATACCAGAGGCAAAACAAGTAATGTGCTGAGCGCGAGTGTTCCCGCCATTGCGTTCTGATAAATTAATCGATACAATAGAAATGTTTTAAAAGACGAAAACGAGTGACTGTTTATAATTCCATTCATAGGTCCAGGAATGTTACGGGCTATTTATGTTCAATCGAAACTTCAAAGCCTCTAGAACAATTAATTAAACAAAATCAAAGATAACTTATTTTCTTACATGCAACGCTCCGTTTAGGGATAACAGAATTTTCCTTAATGAGTTGGTCACCAATGATTGTCCTCGGTGCCTGAAGATCGTGCGACACGAATACACAAGTGAATAACCAAGGAGATCCTTATATTTTGGGTTTCATTTGTGAAATTAATATGCTAGTACTCTGCGGAATGTCGGAAGTTTCAAGTTTGGCCAGATAGGAAATTCGTCTAATTATGGACGATCGTTTTTCATTAGCGAAAAAACCCCACGCACAGAAACTTTCCCAAAGCACATAGCTATATGTAGTGATGAAATTCAATCCAAAATCAACAAGAGACATGAGCAAGCCACAATTCTTATTTTTGAACGATTTGCGCTTGACCTTCAAAATGCATCCTTAATAGGACCCACCAAGCCCTTCAAAGGCAACCCTAAATTAACCCACCAATCCGCTGGCAGAGCCCCTGACAAGGTACCACGCTCAGGAATGGAGCGGGGCCATTATGGCTGTGTACCACAAGGTCTTGAAGAACGAAAAGCATTAAATTGAAGAGGTAATACTAACATTGAGATAGGAACTGCACTTCAAATTGTATCCGAAGCAGCCTTCAACCTTTAAAATATATATTCTTAAATCAGTATAATCGAATGGGTCAGGTAGATTTGATAAGAATTCAAACGTTACGCGTATTATCAGTAAGGCCTCCGTTAATCCTGAACATATGAATAGTCAACGAATTGATAGACACAATGATAGTTGCTTGTAGCATGTACCCTGGGTAAATATAATCTATGTCATTGTTTGCAATTTACATTTAAAGGTCGTATGCCAAATTCATCGACAATGAAAATCGGACATCATACATTCTTAAGGGTTGTCATCTTCAAACTCTCATGCTTTACCAGCAAACCCATTTTTCTTCCCTCTTCTTTAGACTACTCTAGGTGTCTTGTTAATACCATATATAGCTAGGTATGGGGTCCTTGTATGTCGGTTTTAAATTTATTACGTTCACTATTCCCATTAGTGAGTCGCATCATCATCCATCAGGAAAGCCTTGGTTTGATCATCCCTGAGTCAGAACTATGAGTAATCATTGTAAAGCACAAGAACCACCCTACCGCCACAAAGGACTTCATTCCTTACTGGACACTATACTCTCGGGTTACAACAGAAATCAATAATATAGAAGTTGTTATTACCATTCGGCTTTGAAAAATGAATGAAATTCCCAATCCTCGTCTCTCGATATTGCCAGCCCCACTCAACCTCAGAAGCAAGGAGAGAAATTATCAAACACAATACCCTTCAACTGGCTTCAGTGCAACTCACTTGTTTCAATCCGCTTGGGAGAATCAAGACTATCAAGCTCGATCTTCTCGTCACTCTCAGACTGCGGAAACGACCTCGCCGGTATCACCGCTTGGCGAAGGGGATGTATGTAGTCTGGATTCTCCTGTTTCACCGATATCTCAAACCAGGATTGCAACCAAAGGCGTTGGCCGTTTTGAATTCCAAATCCAAATCACCAAGGATACAACTGTCGAAGAGTGTCTCAAAATCCGTTCCTTCAGACTACGAGCTTTAGCCACCACCACCCCTACTACTACTACTACTACTACTACTACCACCACCACGAGAACTCTTATTAGAGACACGAAAGACAAGCTTGGAATCCCCTGCACCTATGTTAAACCACCATGCGCATTCCGGACGGATATCAAATCCAAGGGCGGGTCACTCATATGTGATGGGTTCGAGCTTGTTCAGTACTACGCTGTCGTCAAAGACATTTCTTTTCCGCATGTTAAGGACGGCGATTGCAGTGAGTATATAATTGAAGGCGATTTAAAAATTGAACACCCACATTGCCATTTATGGCCGATCAAGTTGGAGCCTTTTCTGGTGACCGTTTAAAACATTCCTCACGCGAATATTCTGGCATATGAAGCGTAATCATCCAAACCTTCTCAACGGAGCTTCCTGCTGATTTAATGTTGGTTTTTTTGAAAATAGTTTACTATTCATGAACGCTTAATTACTGTTTGAATTAAACATGTTAAATTAAAGACTGATGTTCTTATTCAGCCTATTTCCTCCAACCTCCGGGACGAATATAAGTAATACAAGTCAAAATAAATTCCTAAAGTGCCTTTATGGCATAATTGTGCCGCTATATAATATCTGAGCACCCCTGGTCTAGTGTAAAACTGCACTCAAGTGTAGTTTCCGGCTCGAACTGCCAATGAAAACTTTCTTCGGCTCATCACTAATAACCCAATTTTGACTCACAACATCCCAGTTACTAAGGTCTCGACGATTGATACTACCACTGAACGTAGCACTTTCACCAGGCTTAATATGGATTCGATCAAAGTCACGCAACTGAACAGGCGGGTTGTCACCTCCCAAAGCTACATAAAGCTGTGCCACTTCATCCCCAGCAACGTCGCCGGTGTTTGTGATAGTGGCTATTACTTCATACATTATTTCGTATAATAATCGATTCCCGCCGGATGTGGAACGGTCTCCCGCTGGAAGTAGGGGCTGTGGAGAACTTTCATATGCATGCGGGGGGATAAAATCTCTTCTGCCATATTCCGGATCCATCGAAGCGGCTTCCAGCGATGATGTGTTATTCAGATAAGGATATATATAAGCTGTAGGATAAGGATAGGCGTCGGGGAGGGCATAGTCGCTTAGATTCAGACTAAAATTTCCAAAAGTCGGCGCTTTGATGGTTAAACCGACCGTAGGCTCGTACTTGGTGACATTTCTCTTAATGACTCGAATGTTAGAATAGTTGAAGGTCGTATAAGATAAGCCATGTCCGAATTCAAAGATCGGATCAATTCCAGCTTTGTCAAAATGACGGTAATCAATATATACCCCTTCTGAATAAGCCTGTTGGGGTGGGCCATTCCCATTGTTAGGTTCATATAGAATATCTGTACCATAATCCTCTCGCTGTCGGGCCCATGTAAAGGGACTACGACCAGCAGGATTTACCTTTCCCCAAAGGATGTCAACTAAGGAGTTCCCAGACTCCTGGCCAGGCAGACCAGCCCAGACAATAGCAGTAATGTTGGGATGATTGTACCACTCGGTCAGCAACACGGGACCAACCGTATGTAGAACGACAATGGTGTTACTACAAGATGAACTGACTTTCTGAATCACTTGATCCGCGTTTCGCCAAAGAGTCAGGTTATTGCGATCGCCCCAGTTGCCATCAACGGTAATAAAACCCTCCCCAGAATCAGCGTTACCAAAAACGATACAAGTCACCTCAGGCTTAGACACGAGAGTCAAGATAGAGTCCTCTGCCCAATTGTCTAAAACGCTTTCATAACGCCCGCCGTATGAAAGGACCTGGTTCTGAATGGCCGAGTCGGGAGTAATGAGGTAGGGAAATTCCGAAGTTCCAGATCCCCAGCCCATAGCCAGTGTGCCATTATCGCAACCACGGTCTGCACAACCATTGGGGCCATAAAGGCTAGGCCCAGCGTCCTCGCCAACGACAGCGACAAATTTGGGAGTTTTCAATGGCAGACCATCATTATTTTTTAATAACACAGTTCCCTTTGCAGCAATTTCACGAATTAGCCTGGCGTGATCACCTCGGACATCGACATGCCCATTGACCTGCTCATAATCTTCACTACCATATGCATATTTGTATCCATAAGTGTCATAGGTCCAGGAATTGAAGTTGACGTCTGGTTGATCTTCGATACGGTTGCCAACCTTGAAATATGCAGCCATTATGCGCATCGCCATGTCATCAAGCCTCCATTCCGGGACAGTTCCATTGAGAAGAGCGATTGTCAAATTAGCGCCAAAGTAGCTCAGACCGGTATCAAAGGCAGTATCACCTGGCATAGACATATCCATACCAGCCAGCGCAGAGGAAACGCCAGACTGATGGCCAGCCCAGTCACTGACAACAAAACCTTGGAAGCCCAACTCTCCTTTGAGTATATTGTTAAGTGTTTTACTATTCTGGCAACCGTATGAATTGTTAATCTGAGTGTATGAGCATAGGATAGAACCAACCCCGGCACGGACGGCATCAGCAAACGGCCAAAGGTACAGTTCATGAAGGGTTTTATCATCAATATTAGAAGACAACGTTTCGGAGATATTGTAACCGTGATCAGCTGATTCGCTTACTTGACGGAAACGCTCTTGTTCGTTACCAATGTAATGTTTCGCGGAGGCCACAATACCAGCGTCCTGTATTCCTTTAATAGTCTCGGCAATAGCAATTCCAGTGAGCACAGGATCTGGTGCAAAGCCTTCCCAAATACGACCACCCTCCGGTATACGGCCAAGCGGACCAGCGACCGGCCCTAACTGCATAGTGATACCCTTACCTTTGTGCTCATTAGCCATCGCATGTCCCCGATCATAAATTAGGGAGCGATCAAAGGTGGCTGCAGTAAGCTGGCCCGATGTGAAAGCAGACACATAGTCTGCAAAGCGAATACCTTGCGGTGAATCCTGATTACAAAAGCCTTTAAATCCAAGCCGAAGGACAGAACCGGTATTACCAACACATGGGCCATTTTCCCACCTAGGATATGCTTGCTTAGTCTACTAGAAACAGTATGACTGTGAGCTGAAAACTCACCCAACACCTGTAGTGAGGTTAACTTTCTCTAATAGATTAAGTTGAGAAACGAAGTCCTTTGCTTTCATGTAGGCATCTTCCCAACCATCAGCTTGAGGGTTCATCCATGGAGATGGATAGTAAGGATCGGAAATCCATTTTTCGTCGTAAGCTCCTAGAACCCCCTACATATACATGGCACATGTTCTGTCAGCGTTCATTCACATAAGTTTTTGGATGGTTCGATTCGTCTGAAGGTGATGAATAAATACCACATACCTCTTTCGATTCTTGAGAGTGTAGTGTAGCAGAAGCAGCATATATGCTGCTGACTACCACGAGGGCTAGGCTAACGGTCGGATTCCACATCGATAGTGATGGCACTAATTTCAAAGAAACGATCTTTCAACTATAAAGCTATCAAAAAAAATGAAGATGTAATTTTAGTTGTGGGATGGTGATGTCAATAGAAAATATCATACGAAATGTGCGCCAGATGCGCGATATATATAACATTGAAGGTTCACTTCAATATTGGCAGGACATCTTCGTATTTGCTCCTTTTTTCCATTTTGTGGTTATATCTTTATAATCAGCAGGAAAATCACTATGGTGTACCCCGCACGCATCACCAAGTAGCATCGCCAAGTAGAGTACATGCAGCCCTGGCTTAGCTCTGATCGCCAACAAATGGCTATCCCTTGCCAGTTGAGTCATCGTAGACAATTGGTTAACTTACATACTGCCGGCAAAACTTCGGCCTCTTTCGTGCCCCTCTCTGCCAATCAGAGATGGCATACCGAGGAGACCAACGACCAGGAATGCTCCGCTTATCCTAAGAATGCAGATCACGATTTTTAAATCTTTCTCAAATGATAGGCGAAGATTTTAATTGATCATCGATATGATCGTAACTGGCTTGAACGAAATATCACCACCTCCCACCTCAAGTGTGATACTCAAGCCTATTGAAGACGAGAGAATTTTGGCGTATACTAAGAATATGTGCCACTGTCTAGTTAGATGTCTCTTGTAAGAAGCCATTCTAGAAAGCAGCTAGGTAGTAGTAGGAGTCGTGGGCAATAAAAATTACGTTAAAGAATCTAAGAGACGGAGGCTCGTATTTCTTGTCCGTATTTCGTATTTCGTATTCCGTATCAGCCCAGGTGAGCGAAGAAATTCGCAGTGACCGACCGACACTCCGCTATTAACTAAATTATTTTCGGCATTGATCACTCATAGTCACTTTCCACTAGCCATATTGGCCAACACCTGAGTGGTAAGTCTAGATTAGTTATTTATGTTTTAACAGTTAAGACCACATGGATGGATCTTATGTTGTTTTGGCTACGAACCAGATCTCTTGCGACAGGGATCGGAGGCACACAACATTGAAGAATCAGGTATATATTAACTAAGGCATTCTCAAGGAAATTCAATCTGACCCAGTCTACATGCTTTAAAATGGAACCACGTTCACAAGAGACACGCAGAAAGAATTACCCTCCAGACAACGCGCGACTATTGAGGACGTTTTGCCGGAGAATACCCGGCCGTCGGACGCCAGACTGCGACACTTCAAATCAATATCTTGTGGCTTTTCATTCTTTGTAGCCGGAGTCAACGATGGAAGTCTTAGTACCATTCTACCTCATGTGCTTCGATCATATGATATAGGTACTAAACTAGTCTCAGCAGTATTCGCATGCTATATTTATGTGACTTAAAAGACTGCATATAGCAAGAAAGAATCAATTAAACCCCAATTTTGAAAAACCCTCAAGTGGAATTCTCACTTATACGTTCTTGCTATGACCAAGGCGATAGTACTAGGTGACATTTTTAATAATAGCAGATTTGTATAAATTAAGATTCATTCGCTGCCGCGGAATTGAAAAATGCTATTAAAAAAAGCCGTGTCTATGCCTTGCAGATCCCATTCGTCGCTCGAGTCCAGCCCAGGGACAAACCATTGAGAATACAATCCTGCAGTATCATTAAAGTCGAAGGCCCTGTCATCCTGCACTTGCAGACCAACAGGGCGTATATTAGTAGAGTTATCCGACATGCAGTCCTCGGAAATTCTCCTGCTTTGTACGTGTTCTGCAGGCCTTTCAATCAGCCCTGGGAGCGGCGGGTCGAAGCTTTCAGTTAATCCGGCTATTTCCCGAGACCTAAGCCCGGCTGGGACAGATGGTCTGAAGACGCCATGGCGCTCAATCCTGATTGTACCAATATAGGGGATGTAAATTTTTAATCCGGTACCGCCATCTATTAATATCCCATTACACTCCAGATCTTCCTGCTCAATGCTGTTCAACGAAGAATCAGCCTTGTAACTACCGCCCATCGCAGCGTCGTCCTCGATACTGAGTAGCTGCCGGGTTATGTGCGCGATTTTCGTAGCCATATTGTCATTGTTAGTTTGGCCTATGTATTCCATACTCTCGAGAACGCGTTCCATCATACCGCGGTCGCTGAGGCGCTGATGTGAGAGAAGGCCGAGTTGTGCACTGCCGCGGCCTTCGTTCGCACAGAAATTTATTTGGCGGCAAGCGTCAATATGCGCCAGACATAACGTAGTGCTCGCAATAAATGCGAGGAAATCAACACCGCGACAGAATGAACCATGGTTCTTAGAGCTTCGAAATGGCACGAAGCGAGATAGTAACTCTCGACTGGCCATCACGGCTGTGACCTTACTGTAGTCATACCGAGGATCTGTCGATGGGTGCAGAAGATATGGAAGATGGAGACGCTGGAGCAGGTGATAATATGTGAACTGGTTCATGAGGCGAACAGTGTCGTGGATGACATTCAAGTCGTCAGCATCCCTGGTCGACAGATCGGGGGCTAACCACCACTGGGGTGGCATTAAAGCCGCAGCACCTCGCAGCAACTTGTCGGTTTCTTGCGTGAATGCAAAATTTTGCTTGTCATCGTGCTTCCGTTGTATAATTTGCCCACCAGCAGAGCAGACCATCCTCTCCATCCGCTCCATGGGACTGCACTCTTCCATAACCTCAGCGATGGCGAAGTCATTATCCAGCGTACCTTGTGGTAGGCCTAACATGAGTGAGAGGTATCGATCAGATTGAATTATTCGGAACCACATATATGCTGGATCGATGCGTGTTCTGGTCTCGGGCTCGAGGGCCTTTAACAGGGACGAGTTGTTGCCTCTATCTAAACCAATCATTTGGGCAATAACTAATGCGCGGCGTATAATTAGATATGCTCGGCGCAGGTTGCCCTCATTGTTTCGGTACATGCTCTCTATCATTATGCACTCGATACCCTCGATCGTATTAACTAGATCGTCGTTACTAGTTACGAGCCGACTTGCCGTCTCAACCGCACGGTGCATGGTGTCTCGGTGAGGGATACTCAAATTTTTAAGCGCTTCAATATCAGTTGGTGGGATTCCTTGCAAATAGGTGCCTAGCATTAGAAGTTTCTGTGCAATCAGGACCGGGTGAGATCCTGGTGGTGGAAGCTGCAACATTTTCTGTGGAGAGGGTCTCTCTGGACCCATGAACTTTGAATATGGCATGCATATTACCCCATGAAAAATGGCCAAGCCTCCAAATCCTATGCTCAATATGATATTGAGATCTCGTAGACTGGGCCATGCCGCTGAAAGAGTTCGAGAGAGATCATTGTATGTATCTGCCGTACTTGTGTCCCGACCCAGACTAATGGCATTGACTAGAAGAGAAGGGCTCAGCAGAGACTTAAAATATGTGAGTTTTCATCAGCATTATAAATAGAATCCTAAGACCAAACTAAAATAACCTATTCGAGGGTGCAGTTATAGGGAGACGCACCGCTGGATCTTGACCATTCCAATTGAGCGTAGTAGAACTAGGAGATGTCGAGGCGCCGTCAGCCTGACCAGTCAGATATCGGTGCTCTACTCGCCCGTCTGATTGTGTGCTCCGAGGCGAAGTATCATTCGGGTCATCTTTACGACTGTCCCTTATGAGCCGCCCGACCAACTCCTCAACTCGGCCAAGCCTGTCTCCCAGCTGCCTCCGAGTGCTTCCCGGATCCTCTGGAAATTCTTGACTGATGCACGGAGTACCACGGCGCTTGCATCCGTGGCAGAGACTATCCGTTGGTGCGGTAAATATGCATTTAATCTTTTTTCGCTTGCACTCCCAGCAGCTCTGCGTGCCTTTCCGAACTTTCCTTCTCCTAGGCTCAATTCTCACTTCACCCACGGGTAACCCACGAGTTTGAGAGCCTCTATCTGTCATATCAATCTCTGAGCTAAACACTGTCATCCGGCTCATAGAATGCTATACATTTTCGGCGTAGAATAAAAGCAAATATCCAAACACACTTCAGCATCATGGAGGCTGGTAGTGGGTCAGACTCGGCTCTGATTCGTTGCTTTTGAGGCTCCGCCGTGTTCGGCGGTCGAAGTACTGCCCCATTAGGGACTAGCTCAGACCGTCACGATCTTCTTGGTGATGGTTGTCTTGGAAGGCTACATACAACCAACATGGCTCCTATGTAGATTGCTTTCCTTCTATTCATGTGATTACTCTCACTTGCGACTAAAATCTTATATGCAGAAAAGAAAAGACAAAAAGAAAGAAATGGGACTCGCCACGACAACATTCCTCGATATCTGCAATACCAAGTGAAAGATACTATATTAAATTTTTCAGCGACTGACCATTTTAATCAACGTGTGGCCTGTATATAGAACTAGAAAGAGGTTTCCCTTGATGTTTTACACTAATTATAAAATCCTCTAGATTTTGGCTGGAATTCAGCCTTCGACATTCTCTCTAAGCGGGGACAAGTTGATGTGAAATGGCCTAGAAGCTATACCCTGCAAGATATAACTTATTTAGAAATATGCCTCATATACCCTATCTACCATACAGTTATTCCAAATGTTCAAGGCTTGCAACGCCATGCATCAGCCAAAAAGTCCTCAGCTCCAGTCATCTCGTACTCCGGCAGCAGACGGTTCCACTCATCTGAGACTCTGAACGCTCCAGCCGACATTCCCAAGAGCACTCCAGAAACAAAACTCGCGGACAGTGCGTCTACCTGCTCAGGTGGAATGGCTGGATGATCAACCTTGGGCAGCCAGGTACTTTTTACCACGCCAGCCTGGAGATCTTCTGCTTTCATCTTCTCGATGGTAAACGGTCCGCCTTAGTCATTCAAGTCAGCATGCAAGTTGAACCATGCGGTCGGCATCAGTATCTTCTTGCTATACCAATATTACGTACCGCGAACTTTCTCCCCGACAGCAATTAGTTGCGCCACTGTCAGTTCCTCGCCTCTAATACCCCCAATAATAGGCCACACGTCTTCGTACTCTACCGCTCTAGCCACGACATTACAAAAGTCACGCACGGTGACAAGGCCAATTGGGGAGTCTTCGCCTCCCTCGAGCACGATAGCCCGACGGTTATTGAAATCGATCTGGTTCTGAAACGGGTGAACATGTTTTGATGTTTTGTATGGTGCTGTGTAGTAATTCACAAACATTCCAGGTTGGAAAAGGCAATACTCAAGAACCTACGTCCACAATTCAGCTAAGCCACTAAAGCATTTCCTCGTTTCGCAGTTCACCTTTTTGCTTCTGTTCAGCTCGTGGAGATACTCACGGACCTCACCCTTCCCCGCATACCAGGGCATGTAATCGAAGCTCGACCTAGATGTATTCAGTAAGTTGGGTTGGATGGTGAGTTGGATGGCTGGTGAACTTACGTAGCCCATTCGCTCGGCGCATAGCGCTTCACGCCAGCTTTGATCGCAGCGTCTATAAGATTCTTCTGGGAGGAGTTTCCGGGGTCCGACTGAGGTGTTATGAAGCAGAGCAGGGTGTGTACACCTTGAAGGACTTCCACTAGTCCTTCAGTGTCGTCGTAGTTTGCCTTGATCCAAGTCACACCTTGTGCAAGATTGGCAGGAACTTCCTGCAAAGCTATCAGCAGGGTAATATGACAGTTATCAGACAAGGATAGATATAGATAAGCGGACCTTTCTCGAAAGGAGAACTATCTGGTGCTTCCCTGTTGCGACGAGGACATCGAGGATTTCTTTGGCAACATCTATAGTAACGTTCAGTAAACTATCCAGCTCCATGGTGTTCGAGGGAGAGTCAGGCAAAAGAGAGAGAGAGACACAATCAAGAGCACATACTGCCACTGCCTCCAGCAACTGCAATATTCACCATATTTTTTTTCTTCTTCTTTTCCTTTTCGACAGAGAAGTTTGTCGAACTTCCTAGCGTTTAGGCGCAGTTTGTTTTGAAGGGGGGAATTTCAAGTTCGTTGATTTATCCAGGATGCTCTGAGAATCCGAGCTACTTATAACCTGAACAAGATTACACTATATGTCCGTGTTTCGGCGGAAACACGAAGTCTAATATGTATTATCCATCCTCCCTTTTTCTCACGTAACTGTAGCCCCGCCGAGAATATTCGGCTTCACTTGGTTATCTTTATCCACCAATTAGTATTATCTTACATGCAAGAAAGGAATATAACAAGAATAGGACAGAGTATCGACCCCTTATGGCACTTCGTAATAGGTTGTAACATCCAAAAAGGCCACCAAACCCTTACCTTAACCAGTAAGGATACTGCAGCTTGTAAAGAGTAAACCGAAAATCTGAAAAGGAGATAGTAAAGGAACAAAAATATTGAATTGGCGGTATTTACTAACCAAGGAGTTAACTCACCAATAAGAGGAGGAAATTTTTAGTAAGACATCATCTTCCATTACTCATATCGTGGACAGGCTAAAGCAACTTGTAAGTCAAATTAAACCTCATTTGCCAAGAAGTACTAAAGTATAGAGTTTTGAGCATAATCTACCTGAATTGGGGGGAAGAACCAATCCTGCTCTCCACAGTCGAGGGCGAGCCGAAGAAAACAGGGGGATGAATGGTCCGGAATACTTCTTACCACTGGCGTGACACTATCAAGCCAAAAGGTTAATCGGGCGACTGTAGGAGTTCTTCATGTTTAAATTACTTGAATGAGAAAAAGAATTGAAAATAAGCACTAAATTTACCGGTATTAAGCATACATACACATAAAGGAGAAAACACAGGCAAGTCAAGCTCTATGGCCCCAGGGAAGATGTACAACACTTGAAAAGTCTATGGTATGTTTGGTTCGCACGACAACTAGCAATAGTGCATTGAGGTTGTGGTTTGTGGCTGAGTTATGTTTCTTACAAGAAACGTCGCAGCATATGTTGGTATAGGAGCAAAAAAAGTAGAAATTAAAAAGAGAAATGAGTCTGAAGAAAGTGAATGAAAATTCTACCACTCCCTCATGCCCTAATGACAAGTCGTACGCATTTACTCGTCATCCTCCTCCTCAGGAGCACGAGTGGTGAGAACGTAGCGGGAGCGACCAGTGGCAGCATCCGTCTCGTGCTCAAGAGCCAGCTTGGAGAGGTGACCAATCATGTTCTCGAACTGGGTGTCGGCCTTGGAGCGAGTCTGACGGCCAAGGTTGTCCAACCATGGGATGTCGGTAAGGATAGCGTAGACAGTGGCAATGACAATGGTGACACCGATAGAGTAGGCCCAGATGATGACAACAGTGACAATGCTAGTGTGTCCGTTGAGAGTGAAATCGGCAGGGTCGGAGGGGTGGGTGACTTGGAGGTCAGGCGAGGTCAACCAACCGAAGACACAGAAGAGGGTAGCAAGAACATCGACACCGAAGATGGCGCCAACCAATTGCCAGGAAGGAAGGGTCTTGCCACCACGAGTAACGAAGATGAGCCAGTTTTCAGTGAGAGCGACCTCAAGGAAGATGATGCCCTGGGGATGACCGAAGTTCTCAATGATACCACCGTTGCTCATGAACATAGCACCACGGACAATCCAGGTAGCACCAGCAAGAAGGAGACCAAGAACAATAGAGATAACCCAGATCTTAGGCAACTGCCACTCGACGGGGCGTTGTTCGTAGTGGGCATTGTCATAGGCGACAGCGATGGTAGCCAAATCAGCGAAAAGGGCAATGAAGACAATGAGATCGGCAGGGATGGTCTCATCAATAATAATCATGGTCGTGACAAGATAGATCTCCAAGTGCAAGCAAAGGGCGATACGGTACTGGATATAAGCCTTCATACGCTGGAAAATTTGACGAGCGACTTTGATGGAGTCGACAATGGTGGAGAGACCAGGTGCAAGGAAGACAATATCAGCAGCAGCTTGGGCAGCCTCGGTAGCACCCTCGACAGCAATACCACAGTCGGACTTCTTGAGAGAAGGAGCGTCGTTAACACCGTCACCAGTCATGGCAGTCAAGTGACCACGCTGTTGCAACATTTCGACGACCTGGTATTTGTGCTCAGGGAAGACTTCAGCGAAACCATCAGCGCGCTCAACTAGATCGTGCTGGCGAGAACCAGTGAGACCACCATGGATGAGGCGTTCAGAGTTGTAGACCTTGGTCCCGAGAGCAAGCATCTTGCAAGTTTCCTTGGCAATAGCAATAGCGTCACCAGTTAACATCTTGACGGAGAGACCGAGGTTCTGGGCTTCAGTGATGGTGTGGGCAGTATCCTCACGAGGGGGGTCGAACATGGGATACATGCCGAGAAGTTGCCATGGCTCACCCTCCTTCTGGACGGCGACACCGAGAGAACGGAAACCACGGCGAGCGAACTCAGCAGCCTTGTCACGGTAGAGACGAGCCTCCTCATCAGAACACTCGGATAAGTTGAGAATAGCCTTGGGGGCACCCTTAGCGGCTGTGTAACGAACGCCATCGCAAGTGCAGACAGTGGTGATACGCTTGGAGACAGGGTCGAAAGGAGTGTACTTCTCGGTAACCCAGTTGCGAGCAAGGATCTCACGAGCCTTGGGGTAGCGACGAAGAGTGAGAATGGTGACCTTGTCAATAGGATCCAGGTTCTTAACGTTGTGAGAAGAGGCAATGGCGGCAACAGCGAACAACCAGTTGACGTCAACGCCCTCAGCAACGTAGGGCTCACGGATGGAAAGCTGATTAGCAGTCAAGGTACCAGTCTTATCGGAGCAGAGAACGTCAACACCAGCAAGAGATTCGATGGCAGTGAGCTTCTGGACGATAGCCTTCTGCTTGGCAAGGTAGGCAGCACCGACGGCAAGGGTAGTGGTGGTGACGACAGGAAGACCAACAGGCACACCAATGATGAACAGAATCAAAGTGTACTTCAGCAAGGTGTTGTCAGAAGCTTCAGGGGTAGCAATCCTCAAGTGACGGAAGAAACCACCAATCCAGGCAGCAAGAATGAAGAACATGACCAAAACCAAGAGAGTTGTACCGATGGAGTTCATAATAGCCTTGAAGTGACCCTGATCCTGGGCACCTTGAACCAAAGAGGCAGTCTTTCCGACGAAAGAGTGCTTAGCAGTGGCGGTAACGATAGCGAAAGCCTTGCCACGCTTGCAACCAGTAGTGTAGTAGCAAATGTCGGTCATGTACTTGTCAACAGCGAGAGATTCACCAGTCTGGTAGTTATTAGAATGCGGCGGATATGGTATGTCTCAAAATTGAGGGCACTCACGATAGCACTCTGGTCAACGGCAACGATGGAGACACCAGTGTGGTGGTCCTCCTCGTCGTCGTCCTCGCCCTTCTCCTTCAGGGTGTCCTCAGCGAGAGTGTTAAGATGCTCCTTGTACTTCTCGAACTCTTGAGGCTTCTCGTAGTCGCAGATAAGGCGAACATCGGCGGGGACGACCTGACCTTCCTCAATAATAACAATATCACCAACGACGAGCTCACGGGCTATTAAAAAAGGATATCAGTCGTACAATTCACTACCAATCGTGTTTTGATGCGTTTTTACTCACCAAGGATCTCCTGTTCGGAGCCGTCACGGACAACCCAGGCACGCATGGCAATGTCACCCTTCAGGGAAGCGACGACATCGGCAGCTTGCTTTTCTTGGTACCAACCGACAATGGCGTTAAGCATCAAAATACCAATAATGACACCGAGATCGATCCAGTCACGCAGACCGGCAGCCAGCAGGACAGCCAATTCCATGACTACGCGTTTCGTCCGTTAGCAAGAGGCCCCCTCATTTCGGCATCGCGGGCGACACGACGCGTCAAAGCCCGAAAACAAAACTCACCATACAAGATAGGACCGCGGAAATAACCGATGAACTGAATGAACAGGTTGGTCTTCTCGGTGACCAGCTCGTTCCAGCCAGTCTTGCGACGACGGGTCTCAATGTCGGAGCCCTTGAGACCAGAACGGATGTCGGTCTCGAGCCACTCATCGGGAGCAACGAACTGCTCGTCCTTGCCCATGCCATCGCTAGACTTCTTCCAGAACTGCCACGACTTCTTTGGCTTCTCGCCGGCTTCGAGGGCACCGGCGCTGGAGGTGGAACCGCGACGGCGGTCGCGGGCAGTCGAGATGTAGCGATTCAGGGCCGAGTACTCATCGAGAGCTGGGCCATCGTTGACGTCGGTTGAATTGCGCGTGTTCTGGCCGTTTTCGACGTCGGGAGCATAGGAGATTCTCCGTTCAGCCATGATTGCTGTCGGTGTAAGGCTGGGCAGCCTCGATAACCCGAATAATGAGCTGTTAGACGGAGGGACACTTGAGCAACGATGGTGAAGTGGGAGTAATCCTATGGAAGAAGGAAGGAGAAAAGGAAAGGGGAGAAAACAGAGACGGGATTGGGACGAAGGAGGGACGCGGCTTCTTATTTAAAGCAAGTGAGGCGCGACTTGCGAGCGACCGAAGAGATTTGCAGTGGAATTGGATTGGATTGGTTTGGGGGTGGGTGGAGGAGGGTGTGAGTGAGCGAGAGAGCGCCAGAGGAGCTTGAGGGTCCGGCTCAGGGAAGGGAAGGAAAGGAAAGGACAGGACAGGGTCGGTACGGTACCGTCACGACAGGTACCACGTATGCGCCGCCCGCGTGCGCAGATGCAGGGTGTATCAGACTGTATTTTTTGCGTCTTTTTGAGTATTTGGGCGGGTCCACTGGGGCCGAGCTGGGCTTAGCGCGGCTTCCGAATACGGCGGGCCTGGCTCGGCCATAACCGGGTGTAATTTCACCATGCCTGATCAGGACGTTTGCCCCGTCGCAGAATTTTTTTTCTTCTCTCATTTTTTTTTCTTTTGGTTTCTGACGCCGGTTCCAGCGGCATGCTGGCTCGCTCGCTCGCCCTCTTGTCTGGCGGCTGTCGGTTTTGGCGGCAAGTGTGCCTGTGTGCTTTTGCCTGCCGTGCGCAACACAGGCCAGCCACTGACACCATCCCACGGACCGCAACGCCCGCACACAGCGGCTGCCAATGCATCGCCCGGCCAGCACTACGATTAATCTGCTCTACGACGATGTGCGATGCGGCTTTACCAGCATCGGGTAGCTCGGTGAGGCGGTTTCTCCTGTACGTCATCCATCAAGAACACATCACCAAAAATCGAAAAATCGCGCGCCGGCGTCGGCGTCGACATCAACGTCATTACTTTCTGCTGTGCTTTTGCTTTTGCTGCTTCTGGCTTGGGCATCGTAGCAACAGACCAGCACGGCCAGTCGACACTCTCCGCGTCGTTGAAGGCGAATTTCATGTTCGCTGATTTGCAGCAATAGTGGACGAAATCCCGGGAGAGACGTGCCGATTGTGCTCCATCTCACTCATCATGAGAGGCCAGTCGCGGACCACGCTTCCCCATTGTCCTCCCTTCTCCATCCGGGGTGGGCAAAGCTCTTACATGCGTTTCGACCTTGTCACTGGCTGGTCGCGGTGATTAGGGCGGCCAGCATGTTGAAGGCGCCGCTCCTGATTCGAGTGCGGTCGGACATTTGTATGCGCGATTTTTTGGCCGTACGGTAATTACGCCGAACCCTGGATCCTCGATATCTCCGCGAGCGCTCCAGTCGTATCCGATACGTATTATCGTGGGTATCATGATTGCTCCTATCATTATTGTGATTATTATGACTATTATTATTCTCTCGTCTATCGGCGGTACGTGAATATTATCACACGCTCTTATCGTCGCATGCGTAACTCGATCCCAACAAGCTTTTCACAACACTACATTAGCACCTAGTACGTAAACCACTCACTCAAGAATGGCGAGCCAATAGGCCCCGGTGTAATTATATAAGATCGGTTCTCGCGGCAGCTCACAGGCTGATCATAGCAAAAACAAACTGCAGGTGTGAAGCCTTTGTATATGAAAACCAGAGACTCCGTTTCGGGCATGTGGATTAGCGAGGTTAATTTACCTTCCCGGTGCCATGTGGGCTCTCGTCCTTGTTTGCAACTTACTCCCTACACAGGACAATGATCAGGCGCCTCAAAGACAAACCGTGCAAACCACGAACAACTGAAGTGACTTTTCATAATATCAAATTTTGATCTAATGATTGACTTTGGCATCGCTGACTCCATGATCTACGCCAGGAATAACTACGGGTCCTGCGGACCCCCCCCCCCCCCTGCCAAGGCCTGGCTTGGATAGCTGGGGTGTAGTTTGAGTACCAGGAAATTGGATTTTGAAGATAAGGAATAAGACATCAACCTTGGCATTTGTATTATTGACTCTACAAAACCTGCTACGGTGTGCAACAGTACGACAAAGACGTATGACTGCGTCGCAAAATTCAGAACACCCCCAAAGCTGTAAGCAAGCCATAAGCCATTATTAAGAGCCCGTCTGTTGCATCCCTGATCTCGGCATTTCTTGGAACTCTTGGTATTCTCGGCCGAGCACAATAATGCCATATCAAAGTTCTGCTTTTTACGGACATATTGAGAGAATTATCCTTAATTGTCTCGGACCTCCTTACTCAACTACCAACACTGCCGCAACCCGCACATCTAAGGACGCTGATCCGACGACCATGCTCCAGATGGAGCGCACGTAGAGCAATATTGGCTTGGGCAGTGCTCTTGGCTGGCATTACTATATTCTCTTGGCGTCACAGCGATTGTTCCGGGCGATCATATCAACCGCTGTCATGCATTAAGTCGTACAGTAATCGACGCGCCAAGAGTCCAATTCTCCAGGCGAGAGATATTCGCAGGATCCCTGGTCCTCAAACTAAGTGATGATTTTCGCCCGCATTTGACATCGCTTATTGCCTCAGGATTCATACGGGGTTTGTACTACAAACTCTACTACAAACTCATTCCCAAATTTCGGCTTTTTGAATGCATCGATGTCTCGGGCGTTCGCGAATTACCGTGTATCGGGATGATGCGGACGGCTGGCTTGTACGGCGTACTGCTTGGCGCATGAGCTCTGATTTCTGCGTCATTGTCTTGAAACCTTGAAGTGTTTGAGCAATTGATATCAATATTTTGGATGCGATTTCGTTGTTCTCCGTTGAAGATTTGTACTTGTATGTAGGATCGTCATGGATCAAAGCTCCGCCCAGTAAGCACAGCTTACGACTGTTGTGGAGCTGCACTAGAGCTCGAGCTCAAGCTCCCCGGAGCTCAAGAGCCGTCAATTGGCAACTCCCAAGCCGTCAAGGTGAAGAATTAAAGAATAAATATAGCATGGCAGCTGTCATTCTCTTCTGTGTTCATGTTCTCGAACTCAGCCAGCATGGATTGGCAGCATGTGCCGCGAGCAGAGTATGGGACGGGGCAAAGTCAAATTGTTCCAAAAGGGAAAGCAACTAATAAGATGATCAGCGCCCGTTGGTGTTGCGGCCCGTGATTGGCCAATGGCAGTGTTACAGTTTCCTGTGGGCTGGGCTAGTCAGCATCCACACGCTTACAAGCCGTGTATTCCACTGTATGGTAATACCATTACGCCACCATAGCCCTACTAGAGTTTCCCTCCCGGGGATAGGTCGTTAGTAAGTTGAGCACTCATCATGTGGGTACGATTACGACGATACGCCGTGATTTGTATTTCGATCTGACGTTCTTACTTAAGCAAGATGGGCTCCCTGACTCAGCTTAGCTTGTATCGACGGTATGAACTATGGGCGGTATCGTACGGTATCACGGCAGGCGCACCGTGCGCATCGCAATCCAACAGGGCTTGTCGCATTACAGTATGCACACAGGCCACCAACCGCGTTGACGTCATGACTGCTCGACTACTGTTCAGTTGCCATTTGCCAGCTCCTAGGGGCGTAGACTGTAAGTACCGGCTAGTTCCTCGCGTCCTGACCACGATACGGTGGAGGATAAGTTGAGAGCTGGCGACTCACAACAGTTACCTACAAATCCTAAGCAGGTACGTACCCCTGAGCGACAAGTTCCCGTCGCCATAGAAACCACCCGGCGAAACCAAACCAAACACGCCGGATGCAACAGCCCCACTGCGGTGAGCTCTGGTACGTACCATTCCACCACTCAACACTGCTTAGTTATTCAACATTGATTTTGATTAATTGTTCGGGAAAGTCGTGTCTGGAGCTGCACTGCAATTGAGTCACCATATCGAAGTAGTAACAATCGCATCGCATATCGTCACGGGTGCTCGGCAGAGACACTTGATCGCAGTCAGACAATAATAATAGTATGACTAGCTCCAGCCGATCACTCTAACCCAAAGCGACCAAGTCATGCAAGCGAAAACGTCTCGAAAATGAGCGACAGGAGATCCTCGCTGAGCTAGCTCTATGCTTGCCCGTCAGCCTCTCTATCGCAACGCATACAGAGTACCAACTCTTTTGTCTACTTATCCACATATATGTAGATAGATAGATATATATGTAGACATATGTGCATAAGTATCCTCTTTATGCCGAATTAGATAAGGAAACTCTGTGGCATTAACGAACGAGCAGTCCTGATTGGCACATGGCTCCGAGACGAGGTCACCACCCGGTTATATTAGATACTTTCATTGGCCCCGCCGCCCCACTTAGCCTGGGTATCGCAATTCCTGTCAAATTTTTTCTTTTCTTTTTTTCTATGCTGCTCCCAAGACCAGGCCAATTCGATAATGCGGCGGCCTACCAGGAGCCAAGGTCATGGCACAAATAATCGCAGTAACCATCATCGCAAGAAGCAAGAACGCGCAGTCTGAACAAAGATTTCATGCCGGAGTATTGTGAATCCCGCCGTTGGCGCGCTTGCTCCCTCTTTTTGAAGCTCCCGTCCTTGTGCACGAAATGGGCATAGCGTGCAAAATCCTGATGGGGGCTGCAGGCTGCTCGATTTGATGGTATCGTATCGGTATCCGTATTACGGTGGTCGACGCTTACAGGAGGGAGTGTAGTGTACTGTTTGGTTTTTCTTCATATTATTGTGATAGACAGTCCTTAACTCAATCACTCCTAGCGATTCCTTCATAGTTGACTATGGATGACTAGCATAATGCATGGTGCATTACCATCATCGTCAAATGCTCATTACATCATCGGTGTATCGGCAAGTACACACCGAGATGTGATGCCATATTCCTTCAAACGTAGGAGTAGTATGCAGTGTGCCGGCAAATGTTGAGTAAACATGAGTAATCAGCTACACGACGATTTGAAAAATCGACGAATAGTATCGTGTGATCAGCACTGTGTTATTGGAAGCCATGCGGTTACACCCCGCTCTGTTTGAGGGATATATGCAAGAACACGTCCGCAAGTGGGATTACAGACCGTCGAATCACTATACAGTGGTGTAGTAGTCTAATGGCACTGGCAGATCGTGGCGATTTAAACGGTAGACTGGCGCGCGCTTTTTGCACAATTGGCGAGGCCTTACGTAGTCAACGGTACTCCATAGAGTAGGCTTTCCTTGACATAAGACATAAATATTTCTTATTTGCCGAATAAATGACCCGATTCGAAGGATTGATGGGCGTTCCTTGGTTCGCATGCAGAGGAACAAAACTCGGGGCGGTGAGGATTAATTTTTTTTTTTTTTTCATTTTGCCTTCATAAGATTTTAAATGTTTCTAGAAACTCGCGTACCATGGTTGACGTGAAACTGGAATGAAACGGTAAGACCCGCAGAATTCTGTGGTTGAATAAAACTTTTCAAAACCTTTCATCCATTATAATTATGGTCTTGTTGGCCACAAATTCTAATAATATTAAGGATAATTATTATGTGGAGGTATAATAGTTGGCGCAAATTATGAATCCGCTACTGCCGATTCATCCCCATCCCCATGGGAGTAGTAGCAGATTATCCAAACTACCTCGTATAAGTTGTTTCTTAACACACGGAGCTCCGATTAATTAATGTTAAAATTATCCCACGCCCATCAACGGGTGTGTGCCCACGGAGATGTTCCGACCTGGCCTGTACGGATTACTATGTGTCAACTCTCTTATTTCATATTTAACCATGTAGAGGCACTATATTTAACCGCGAATTTCCCGCCCTCGAATAATATTAATATCTAAATTCTCAACAATGGCCCATGGATTGCCCTGAAAGACACCATCGGGCCGACCGGTACGGTCGGACAACGGAAGCCGCTTTGACAGCGGCACAAGCTAGCAGCCAAAAGCCGACTTACCCTTTCTGCTGTGGTCGGCCGAATTTGAGGCATTATTACTATTCGTGCTGACTACACAGCTTGGTTTTCGTTAGTGCGTCGATTACGGTATGTGTATCTGTTCATACGTGGATGGACTCCACGTAGTCCCACTAGCCGCGCCTACGCCCGTAGCAGAGTTGCATGAATAATTCGTCCGCGATTGCAATGGAAATAATAGTAACGTGGGTACGCAATTCCCAATGCAGGCGAACATGAATCCACTCGGTTCGGGATGGGCACACTTAGATCAGCCTCATTGTGTGCCGATTGTCCGTTTGCCAGAAAAAAAGGACATCTAATTATGCCGTACGTACCCAAGGAATAGTGCAGCAATGTAGAGTCATATTTGCAGGCAACGTAACCGTCATCAAGCCAGTGCCCATATTTAGGCTTTTGATGTTGATAGTAAACTACTGTGGCTTGAATTAGGTGGTATTAGGCCAGGGGTCAGCATTTGCGATTGCATCTTGTCAGTTCCTCCACGGCTCATAGTCGCATTTTGTCTATATTCGTACGATTTAGTATTGTCCTTCGCCAAGGTATGTGCCATGTAAATGAATATGGATTGGCATTGCGCCAAGCAACATGCCAGTAACATATATGTATTAATTATCTTGGCATTGGCTTGGAAGAAATAGTTGCCCCTTGCCCGACATCACATAATGATCATCAGGTGACCTGACAATAACAAACAATGAAAACAATGATCTTAAACGCGACAATTTTGGATTTATTTAGGGTAAAGTTAAATGAATGAATGATAAATGTTATGATATTACATCGATCAAGTATTTTGAATTTTGAATGTTGTGCTGGTTTTAAATGCCTTGAAAAATGTTCCAGCGGCATCGAATGTAAAAATATATATATCTAGTTGACGATTTATATATCCGTCTGTAACGATCTAAAAATTCATATCTACACCAGAGAGCAATCGATCTCTCATTTATAGATAAATATTTAACCCATAGGCATAGATAATACCCACTATACATGTAATCAAGCATGTAAATGTGTCTCGTTCAATGCTTACACCCATCCGAATATCCGTTGAGTTGAATATTTTCGTATGCCTGTGACGAGATTGAACCGTCCGTTCCAGCCAAGAACAAGGGCGAAAATCATACTATCAATATGGAAACTTCTTGCCTAAATACATATTATTATTATTATATTGGTTTTTTTGGAAAGACCGAAAGTAACACGCCCAGACAAAAGGAATTCTTGGCGAAGCCAAAGTAAGTCCTAAGATATCAAATGACAAAAGCCAGCCGTTTCCGGTAAACACAGAAAGAGATCGGAATGTAGATCCTGTACCATGCCAAGGATCTACTTTGCATTCTTGATACAGCGATACCTTGGCGTATTGATTGATGGCGGTAGAAAACAGACTGCAATTCCGATTCCAATAATGTAGCTATTTCTGTATTGCGAAATTTCACCGACGACTGCGGAGTATTGAATTTTAACGTTTTTCTCCGGTTAGGTAAATGCAGATCAATGAGGTTACTCAATAATATAAGTTGAATAAAGAGAGAATCGAATTCGAGAGTTACGGTGTAGACAAACAGAAGAAAGAGTACATAAACGCGCTTACCGCTAATTTGTGTTTGCTGCATCCCCGTGGGGGCTCCTCATTTTTGCTTTTTCGTGGAGTCTAGATTGAGGCTTTTTCTTTCTTCTCTTTTCTTTCTTTCTTTTCATGATCACTTTGTGTGCTTGTAATATTAGTCAAATGGTCACGTACATAGACATCTTTAATTCATTGATAAGTATGAAATTTTGGCACCGAAATACACGCACTGTATGGAGCAGGGGGTATTACGAATTGTTCTGAAATTGATCTATTTCGAGGAACCACAACTCCCACCTTGCTCTCGTTCATGCATGGCAAAAATTAGTTCGCACGTGTATATCGTCATAGAAAGTCTGGTTTATCCTAGACACGTAGAAATGCATATCCCTTGCACGAAGCCGGACATATAATTTAGGCAATAGCCTGTAACCCATGCGTCTAAAAGGTCATTACATGCAACCACGAAAAACATGGCAAAGTTTGTAAAAATAGATAATATCTGTTGCAAGGGATGGATCTTATCTAGCGTGTACGGGTTGAGAGGCTGTGATCATAGGTTGTAAAACACTTGCAGTGCTGTAAAAGTACATGACGACTTTTGCGTTTGATAAAAACTCAATGATTCTACAAATCAATTGATGTCTGTCTTCTCAAATACTATGTACATTTCTAGTTCCCTGTTCTGTATATATATATTCATTTACTATATGCATTCACGACAAGGACATGAACTTTTAGGGCGGGAATCCTTAATATAAAGCTGAATACATCAATTCATACCATCGTATTATGCATTAATTTATGGCCAAATAATCATAGACTCTCCAGAGTTATCAGTATCTCGGCGAGTGTCGTCCCAATAACGCATCCAGTATCGTATGTGGCAGGATATGTTGGTTGTGGCCCAGTTTCATTATTGTACGCGAGTCGCAAAAGCGTAGACTCCAGCGGATTATACCGAGGGAAGCCATACCTAGATCTAGTAAGTCTGGAATAGAACGGATCAATGACGATAAAGTCGACGTTATCACTTACTTCGTCAGGCCATTTTCCGGATCATTAGCAAATGAAACCCATGCTTTTCGCAAGTACTCTGCAATTTGACCCTCTTCAGGAGTCCGGTCCACTATATTCTGAACACCCATATCTGTGTTAAATATGAGCAAAACCTCACTTCCATGCCACGCTCCTGAGTCGGGATTGATCGTCAACCTTAGATTTGGAAATTCGCCAAAATATCGATATCGCCATGTCGGCACATTACTGCTCACAGCGCCTGACGCACGATAACTCGCAGGGCACGTATAAAGAACCCAATTCAAATAATCCCATTGTGCGTCAGACAGAGTCAAATTCTCAGATTCGAAAATCGGACGGAATAATCCAATTTCGTTATTGTTGTTCCCAAGAAAGAGTGGTCGATAGATAAAATTCCCTGCCTCTAAACGTGCAGCATAGTCGTCAAAAATAACAATGTTGTCAATAGTAGGAACGAATGACCCTGTCACCCCAGATATACCCGAAGTTATAGGGATTGCATTTTGAACAGTTTCCCAATCTTTTAACCGCATGCAAGAAAGTAATGCATCCGGTTCTGAACTTTCATCTCCACATCCAAGCGTGGCAGTCACGTTATACCATGCTTTGGCAGCGGTGCTCGCATCTTCTTGGGCGGATGGGCTTAAGACTGTGCCGGACTCCGCGATGAATCCAGCTACAATGGGGTCAGAGGTCCATGCAAAGCTATAAAAGTCGACTGATTCCCCGCCGGCTGATTGCCCAAAGAGAGTGATACGATTGGGGTCTCCGCCGAATGCCTCTATATTGTCACGGACCCATTCCACTGCAAGACGTTGGTCGAGGAGCCCGAGATTATTTCGTATGTTAGGGTTCCCAGGAAATCCAAAGATATTCAGGCGATAGCTATAGACAATCAGTAAACTCAAACTTTGTAGCTTAGATGTCTGATTATTTACTTTGCCGAGACAATCACAACATCTTCGAGATCCGCAATGTACTTTCCGTTATAACCTGTGACATTGGTGCTCCCAGTTTTGAAACCTCCCCCATAGATCCAAAATAACACCGCCTTTTTAGTGTCACTAGTCGTTGGCCTGGTCCACACGTTAAGAGTCAGGCAGTCTTCGCTGTATTCTAGTTCCTCTTGCTCCAATAAATTTTCTAGGATCATCGGTGCTTGCTCAGTCAAACTGAACTCTTTCGACCTTGCAGTAAGTTCGGAATTAGGTGCAAAAGTCGCATTTGCTGGACAAGTATATCCCTTTTCTTTGATTAGTTATATCAATTCATGTTGAAATACTTCGGAGATACGCACAAATTCTGTAGCATCGATCACCCCAGACCCACTAAAGGGCTCTGGAGGAGCCCATCGTAATCGTCCGACCGGTGGTTGGGCCTATTCACGAATTAGAACTTATCTGATGATTGGTCACACTCTTTCTTACATAAGGTATCCCCAGATACTCAACAACCCCAGTGGTTCCGGATGCTAGTCTACCTTGGAGCTGACCTGACGTTGTTTTGACAGTCTGGAGAGCAGCAGCGGACCCGCTTGTATACAATGCGATGCCTAGAGAGACAGCCTTAAAGCCGGGAAACATGGTGCCTGGTGTGGCACTTATATATAGAATTCAATATTCCACATTATTTTCCGACGTGAGTGCTTTTACTTATATAATGTTTAAAAAGTGGAACTACGGTCATGATCGCATCGATCATTTCTCAAAAGTCTAATTATTGGGTCATCTTTGCATGGATTATTCATAGGGAATCGAAGAATGGAACTATTTTGCGCTCTGCATGCAACCATTGCTAATGTTATCCACTGATTGCTCACTAATGAACAAGCGGGGTACGGACGTCCAGGCTGCGACTTCACTAGCACCCTGGAATAATGCTGACAGGGATTGTATATTTTACTACTGTTGTTTTTCATATAAAAAGGGTGTTTTCAGAAATATCTAATTTATTTACTGTAATAAAGAACGAAAGAAATATATACAATATTGTCGCATGTAGAGTACGGCTCAATGTTGCTTTTCCGTAGGCATGATTTAAACCCGAAAAATCCAACTAAATGACGCTAGATCGTGAAAAGATTTGATATGACTGGGTTATCTACTACGGGTGACGACTTTATTAATTTTTCATCGCTCCTAGCCATGTTAATCTGCTAACCCCGCGTTCTCCATGAATTCTTTCCGTCGAATGACTTGGATCTGCGGCCACAAGATTGAGAAAACGAGACGATGCCTTTAGCTTAGAAGCTACTTCCAATAGTCATCCGATAGCGCTCGGTGGTTGGTCTGAAACAGCCGAAGATCTCCAGACATGGTGGTTTTTATTCTTCTGAAACACGTTGCTTTGATTGACCTGTAAGAGAGTCAGTCGCCTTGTAAGGAGAATGTCGATTAAAAGCTTAAAAAGCTTCAATTACAATATCTTGATACATCTCATATCACTTTATCTACTTTCAACATCCTGCCTCTCACAGAAGGCAAAATAGTTCGTGGATTGAATTCAAATTTGGCCCGTAATATTTTTTGAATTGAAATCCATCTATAAGACAAAGGCCCTTAGGAATATCTTTAGATTTTGCAGCAATTCAGAAAGCAAATTACATGTAGTTTTGGAGAGAAAGAGAACAAGAAGACCCTTCATTTCCCGAACCCAACTCCATCACAACCGATATCGTTCTATTCAACAATTATACCAAAAGAAGTATGAGTTTCTCGACCTAATTGAACGGTGTGGATCTAGTATTGTCCTAGGACGTTACCGTATGAGAGCCCATTAAATTCCAACTGAAAGTGAATATAGGCGGAGGTTGGTATCCTTACGAGGTCATAGCTAATCTTGTAAAATTCACGGCCTTTGCTTAAGAGACAGACATCTTCCTGACGACCGCGCGTGGATCAACTAATACTGCGCCTGAATACTGCCATACGAGGTTCCATTAAACTCCAACTGAGAGTGGATATATGCCGATTTTGGTATCATTATAAGGTCATAATTGATGCTGTAGTACTCGAGACCTGCGCTGTTCGTGCGTTTTTCGAACAGTCGTTTCGGTATCTGACTGAGGTCGGAACGCAAGTCGCATAGCTTTACAACAAGTGCAAACTTGAGCGTGGAGAGTTCGATTACCAGTTTCAGTGGAGCGATATTGGGGTATTCTATTCGAAAGAGCACATGAAAAGCGTGAACGCGGAGGATGATCAAGGGGCCATTGTCCAGATGAGTGTCTGGCCTGGTAGTGCCAAGATTTCCGCAGACAACGATCGCTTGCTTCTAGAAAGGGAGGCTGCTTGGACAAGTGTTCCGGTTGAGAAGAGCGAGCCGGTCATGGAGAGAGGGCATATGTTGGAGAATAATTCAACTCGGCGCAAGAGGAAATTGAAAGAAGAGATGTGTGCCTAGCACAGACCTAAGATCTGTGGGAAGAGGACTGCCGAGATCTCATTGAGAGAAAAGTATGAAGGGAGAGCAAAGACGCGTTTGGCACAGTAGCTTGCTAGTAATCAGAATGGAAAATTTGTTTCTGCTGCCTCAAGACTGCTTCTCAAACGATGTAGTCATTAGTACAACTAGGGTTTCAAGAACCAGAGGCAGCGTGGCATGTCCATCTCCAGCTGTTTGCATGACATTACGCACAACCATCATGCACAGCCTGGGTACAACAGGATAACTTAGTGTCTGGTCTATTGACGAAACTATTAGAACGTGATGGCAGGCAACAACAGATTCTCCGGGAAAAGGTAGCAATTCCCGCATATATTTTGTCCGAGAGGCGCCGCTATTCCGCTTCTGGAAGACATACAGACGTGGGCCAATCACGGCTAGCCTTGATATGGTAGCAGGGTGGATCGCATATTCACGCTCTGGTTGGCCTCGGCGCAGGCTGAGATAATTCAGGGATTTCCCGAACAGGCTTCAGCGGTGTTCGCCCAGATCGCCATTGTCCTAAGTCCGGCTGCGATAGACACTAAGGAACAATATCCCAGTCGAGCTCTGTGTTTCCATCATTATATAAAGACAGTCACCATGGCCTTTGCTATCAGTTTCTCAATCATACGCGCCTCTACCACCAATTACACACACATACCTGGACGCCTGTCTCCGATAACGATAACCTATCACCACATACTACCCATTCACAAATCTTAACAACATGCGTGTCTTCGTTACAGGAGCAGCTGGATTCATTGGCCGTGCTGTTATCCCAGAGCTCATCAATAACGGCCACACAGTCCTCGGCTTGGTACGTAGCGATGCGTCTGCCGAAACCATTACCAAGCTCGGCGCCGAAGTTCACAGAGGGGACTTGGAGGACATCGAGAGTCTCAAGAGCGGTGCTGCAGCTAGCGACGGTGTGATCCACCTCGCTTTCGTTCATGATTTCGCCAACATGGCCAAATCAAGTGCCATCGACAGAGCAGCCATCACCGCCATGGCCGACCACCTCGAAGGCAAGCCACTTGTGATCACCAACGGAACCATGTCTTGCCCCAAGGGCGTTTTGGCCACCGAGGACACAGAAGGAGAGACTGTCGGTCCTGCTGCTGACCGTGTCAAGGCCGAGGCTTTGGTCAAGGAGCTCACGAAGACCAAGGGTATCCGCGGTTCCGTTGTGCGTCTCACACCCACTGTCCACGGCTTGGAGGACAAGGGGTTCATCAAGATTGTTGCTGGTCTGTCCCAGAAGGCTGGTGCTGCTATTTACATCAACGATGGCTCCTCACGCTGGTCCGCCGTTCACCGATTAGACGCTGCCGTCTTGTATCGCTTGGCTCTGGAAAAAGGACAACCGGGGGCCATCTACCATGCTGTTGCTGAGGAGGGTGTCCCCACCAAGGATATCGTCACCTTGATCGGCAAGAAGACCGGTCTGCCAGTTGAAGGCAAGACGATGGAAGAGGCTACTCCTCTTTTGGGATTCTTTGCACATGCTCTCGCTGCTGACAACCCAGCAAGCAGCGAGAAGACCCGCAAGGAGTTGGGATGGACACCTACCCAGATCACATTGCTCAAAGACATTGAAGAGAACTACTTTAAATGAAAGAGATGCCAACATCAACAGTCTTGTCAATTTATGGTGGCCACTGTCTCTTAACCTTACGACTCTACATGAAGTCCTTTATGTGTTTCAACACCTGTATGTATAAGCGGAATAAGCTGAATGAAAATATTATATCTTGCAATTGTTCCATAAAATTTTGCGTACTGTATTGTTTACCGTAAAAGATCAACAAACTAGAGCGCTTAATAATGTTAAATCTCTGTTAGTCAATTGCTTTAACCCCAGTGTCCATTCGAGGCATGCTTTAACGTCCAAAGGGACTGGCATCGTATGATAAATTCTGGTAACTTTACTTTTGATACAAAAACACAAAATTGATAAGACGTTGTTCGATTTCGTTTTTCATGACTGTATAAAGTCATATGCTGGTAAATTATCCATATACGGACTTTAAACCGAAATTTTCATGAAGTTCAAGCGTATTTTTTGTGGACGGAAAATAATTAACTGCCTAAAGAACCTCATCCTAATTATACGATGGGCAACACCTTAAGGCGTCGGCAACAAGACCATCTATTTGCGATGTTGATATAGGTATTTCTGGATTTTTTTCAGATATATGATGAACAACCCATTTAACTAAATTGGAATTTAAGTAATATCACATTTTCTTATTATATAAAGGATAATAAATGTTGCAAATGACGCGTACTAACCATTGCTTTCGCCTCTTGATGCAATACACGTGTCTACGAAGAGAAGCTCCTTGTGGAACTCGACTACTACTTTCCGGCTATGGAAACATCGCGGATATATCAGTACTACTAATCAATAACATACGTAGGTGTAAGGGCCCTATGGGGTAATGATACGTATTTGGGCTTGTCTTGGGGTGCAATTCACGAGGTTTCTCCACATTTCATCACATAATGCCCGGCCATAAGCTTTCGGCCTTTTGCATAGAGGATGATTATAATCTCGCTTCCTCACCATATTGACCGCGAAATCTCAAGTTTGTTCTTTACAAACAACAGCATATGTAGTTGAGTTCCAATTGCCTCATTTGTTCTCAGAAATCTGTCCATCATTTCAGGTGGAAAGTTTCGCACTAATCGGACAACTTCCACTACATATATAATCATTAAGAATGACATCATAAAGAAATTTCCACCATAATTGTCATCGAAGACCATCATAGGCTTGAATGTTATAAAAATCGGAAGACTAGAAGACGGCATCGCTCAAACACCTTCGCAGGGCTTAGGTGTAACACACCGTTCCTCATCCGGTCTCAGTGTAGGAACATTGGTGGCATTTCCTTGAACAGGGAAGCGATATTCTATCATTATCTATCAGTCAAAACCTACTTGAAATCTTTGTGTTAAGCACTCACCTGTACAGGCCTCCAACTCATTCATCCCTACCGCATACCTGCCATATATTCTTTTCACCTCCTCATGGGAGACTGACCCATGGACTTCCGCCTTGTAAAGCTTTTTCACTTGGCTACTCAATCCCTTCCACTCTTTCTTCCGCCGATCCATCGCCGCTGTATCTGACAAGAGGGAAGACGAGGATGCCATTATTGCCTTAACCACACGTATATTATCAAGAATATTGGTGAAGAAACTTTTGCTATGGAACTCATGGACATATTTCTGTGCGCTGCGCCAATCTAAAAAGATTTCCCATAGTCAGAGTAGATTGTCGAGGCTAAAAATCTAACATACCATGTCGTCCGGACGTTACTACTTGCGAGTAGGTCGGTAACCCGTCTGAACTCATACTACCGAAACCGTTTTTCGTCAAATCTAGGGAGGACCCTTAATTCATAGATCTGTTTCTCATCTATGCCTCCGTTAATATATCCGGATATATCTTTACAAAAAAGAAAAACGCAATATCAATCAACTTTTTGTCAAGCAACTATATTTGAGACAGTGCTTTGTTCTAAGGGCCTCTTCCTTTGTGACATGGAGTCATTCCCACCCTGGCCAGGTGGCTACTAATCATTTGCCACATATAGTGATCTCTCGCTCTGGACTACAAGTTACCTGGGTTTGTACTATCATGCCTACGTCAAGAAAGCAGATATTAGTCAAACCAAATCTCAAGATTCTACACTGATGATACAAACGTGTCATGTATTTATTTCGAAACTTTTTATTAAAGGGTACGATCATCAAGATTCGCTGTTTCAACGAGTGAACGGACTGCAGATAAACGCTTCCTAAGAGGACGATGTGAAAAGTCTCCTACATAGTATATGAAACAGTTTTGACTATTTATTGTATATGAAAGAGTGGCCGCTACTACCGAGAATGGAAATGAGTCATTTAATAATTCTTCACAGACATTGTTAGTCACCCTCTGATTAACTAAATGAATGAAATATTGTGAGCCCCTTTTGATTATTTCATTACGATTGCTTCTGGAAATCTTTGTTCAAAATTCACCTTTTTCTTTTTCTTAATTAGGGTACTTGATCTTCATTGTTCTTAACTTTGGCTTTGTGTCTGTTATCTACTCCTTTGATCTAGAGACAACGGGCCTGGGGCTGGAGGAAATTGATGGTATCCTTTATAAGACCTCGTCATTTGTGCCGTTTACGGAGTGTACTAAATGGGTCTTTTTACGGCAGACCATCTTGATAACATAATCTCAAATATTGAGAGTAATAAGACGGCTGCCATGGAGGCAGAACATGTTGAGAGTGTTGTCTAAGGTTCCACGTCTTTTATGATGAAAGAGCTGGTGATAATGAGTGTGATTAAAAGGGAAAAAGACTATAGAATGCGATATATTATCAATATTCTAGGCATCCCATCAAGTTTGTATTGGTTGGATGCACCAGGGCTAGTACGACATACATGGAAATCCTCCAATAAATTTCATTTCGCCACGGAAGTTTTCAACATTTAAAGTAAATAGATAGAGAAATATCCGAGTATTCTTACTTCGAATCAACCTTGCCCAGTGAAGGGAGGTCTGCGAGAGCTTTGGACACGACAGAGAAAGTAGTGTCCTCAGGATAAAGCGTACTCCGAAGATACGCCCAGGTGAGCCTTTGAACCACGGCCACTCTTTCCGGACTCTCATCGTCCGTTTCTGCAGCGTCAAATCCAGATATACCGCCGAATATGTGTCCGGCACCATAAAGAGTGAGCAGGCTCTTAGGACCAGTGCTATGATTGTAAGGGTCGAAATGCCAATCCGGACCTCGGTTGTTCAAATGTGGCGAAGAATCGTTATCACCTGCTACTACAAGTGCTGGAGTTGCCATGTCGGCGAAGCTGATTTCCTTAAACCAAGGAAAGTTCTCCAGCACCCATGTGGACAAGTATGCTCCATCTTCTCCAGGACTACCCGGTGCACCAAGTAGGATGCCTGCTTTGATGCGACGATCTGTCCAATCCGTTACTGTTCCGTCGGTGGAATCCGTGGTTCGGGCACCTAGTAGTAAACTGGCCGTATGTCCACCCATGGAATGCCCTACGACAGCAATTCGAGTTCTGTCTAGCCGCCCTTTGACTTCGGGAACAGCACTTTCGATGTCATCGAGATGATCGAGGATGTGCTTCATATCTTCAACCCGTGATCTCCAGTAGAGAGGTCCTTCTGAGGGCGGGGTCCCCAGACTGAGTGATTTTGAGCTTAGATGTGTGGGCTGAATAACTGCAAAGCCGTGAGAGGCCCAGAAATTGGCGAGTGGACCGTAGCCATTGAGTGAAGAGAGATGGTTTGATTGTCCTTGGCCGTGCGAGAGCAGGATGATGGGTAGGTCATTTCCCGTCCTTGGTGCAGAGATCTTTACCTGCAAATCAACAACTCGGCCTGGAGCTGGTACTACAATTGGGCTAATGGAGATAAAGGAAACGGGTTTATTGACGGGGATTTTTTCGGCCTCGCCTATCAAAGCATGATCCTTTAATGGTTGAAGGTTGGACATGATGTTGGTTGACACGTTCGCTGTTCTTCAGCTCTTTTATTATTCCTCTTTTGTTTGAAAGATAAGAAAAAGAAGAACTAAACAGTAGATATAGAAGGTATCCTAGGATAATTTATAGAAAAAAGTTGAATGGAGTTGCCTTTCTGGAGAGGGCTAGTCATGCACTCATAAGACGCTAGTCTCATTCGGGAGATAGCAGCGAGCAAATTGACGACCTAAAAATGTCCAGCTCTTGTCATTGACGGATCGCTGTCGGAGTTAAGAATCCTGTTATGAGGGAGTTGTACTCGTAAATACGAGATCTTGGGATTTCGTCAGTCCTATTTGACCGATATAGACCGTAGCTGCCAACTTCAGCAAGATGCATGCGACGTCAACCACCCGATCGCCGATAATTTAAGCTCCTCCATCATACTTAAATCACAGGCAAATGGCTGAAAAAGGAATAGTTTCATAATATATTCGCCTCTTAGAAGAGGGAAAAAAAGGGAATGTAGCTTTAAGCAAACATTAGGCGCAGGAAAGAAAAGCCTTCCTCGTCCAATCCATACCGCTTCGAATAGGAACCTTAAATCTTTTGTTCGAATCTAAGAATGATCCTCTCAGCGCATCGTAGCTCCACTTCCTATCTCGAAGTTCTTGTGAACGTTCGTCATCTGCACAATAGTCTCGCCAATCGGCTTCCGGATCCAGTTCAATAGTGAGTAGTGCTGGCTGCTCACTCAAGACCCTAGAAGGGGAATTAAGAGGAAACTGGTCATTGCTACCATCATCCGAGGAAGAAGACGATGAATCCTGGAATTGAGCATCTAGGGCGAGGAGTAAAATTTGCTTGCTGTTGTTACCGTCGTCTCTTGATTCAATGATTTTAAGTTGTGGGTTTCTGTAAGGTGTCGAGTAGGGAAAATATGCCGGATTGCATAGTGTCTGAAATTGTTTTAATTTCGGCAAATCTTCGTTTTCGTTTTGACCACAGAGAGGGAGCCGTAAAACTTTTGCATTGCAAGACAGCGGTGGCAGCGCAATGTATAAGTTTTCAGAAGTCCACGTCGTTAAAATAAGAGGGTGCTGGATTTCACCGTAACATTCATAGCTAATGCTTTGTGCTGAGTAAAGTGGCTGCAAATCTACTAATTCCTCTTCCGAGCCCGACCGAGTGAACTGAAAGCAGAGAACTGTTACAGCTTGCTTGATTGATGTCTCTTGTTGCTCAGCTGTATATAAGAGGTAGTATAGTACGTCACCAGATTCCGAAAACCGGAACTCTTTTCTCATCGCACTGAGGTTGGAAAACTGAACAGTAGCAGGTTCTATCAAGATCTGCGAGAACAACTTCACAGGTTCAAGGTTTTGGACGAAAAGTTGGTGAGGAGCAGGGCTCCAAACAGCTATTTTCTCGACAGGATGAACAGCACATATTGACTCAATTTGGTTGTTGCTGGGTTTAGAGAATTGAAAAAGTGGTGGCTCGTTTTCATACAAAATTAGCATACAGTCATTAACAGGCGGATGGTCGGATGGAGCCTCAGAATCACTGTCTGCGTCAGAGTCGTTGTCACGAAGACTTGGTGCTGCAGAACCATAAGTGGAATCGCTTTGAATGTTTGGATCGTCTCGACTGGACCGTTCATCTAGAGAAGATAATTGGAAAGTAGCTGCTCTTTGCTGGTTATGTAGAGTGTGAATAGTTTTGCCGACTAAATGCCACTTATTTCCAATAGCTTGAGGAGGTCGTAATCCGGAGACCATTTCAATGCTAACATCTTTGTCCCTTTGTTTAACCTCATATTCTTTGATTTCAAGCAACGTAGGATTAAGGGCTGAAAGGTGATTTTGAGGTCGGGACCATTCATGGCTCAAGAGTATTGTTTCAGGAGTACATTCATTTGGAAGAAGCATCTTTTCAGACTGGAGGCCGACATGCAACGAACCATCTGGATGTATTTTAAGCCGGATACACCTGATTTGAGATGTACCTGCAATAATCTCATTGCCAATGATGTCAACGATAAGGTCTTTCGCATCATGTGTAACATCTACAACAGAAAGGCTGGAGATGCTGAATGGCCAGGGTTCACGGCCACATAAGCAATAGAGTTTCACGCGATCAGAGAGCCAGGATCGTCTACCAGGTAGGTGGGCCATGCATCGGAAGCTCATGGCACACTGATTCAATGCAGATGGTTGGGATATTAACAAGGCATGCCACTCATGAATAAAGCCAACGAAGGCTTGCGTAATTCCAGGGCCGAAAGGCTTGTAGTCCTCTAGCCATTCTGGTAAAGGTATTCCGTAATGAATTCGACTATTGTCACCACCTTTTGGACCCGTTCCCCTAAGCCTATACTGAGCTCCACCGACATTATCGTATTGAGCAAGTAAATAAGGCCCGAATCGACATTGAACGGCCACACATGTCCAGAATGCAGGACTTTCAATAAACTTCTTGACTCTTTCAAATAACTCTTGAGAGTGATCTCCATGGCTTAGATATGCATGCCAGAAAAGAGCAGCATGCCGAAGGAAGGCATGATCTTCTTGAGTGACGATAGACATGATATCTTGCGGTTTATTATATCTTTCGTAGCTGAGATAGGTAAGGCAGGCCTCTCCTAGTTCGCGGTTTGCGACGGATCTTGAAACGAAATACTTTTGGAGATTCTCTGGGGCTTTAAGTTCGGTTGGGTCTTCTAGAAAGAAGTCCTGTATGGATTTGTGGGCAACTTTCAGCGCTGGATCCGTTTCTGTACCATTGGAACTGCGATCGAATACAATTAGGTTTGAACACAAATCCTCAATGAGCTCAACCTTCCGTAAATTCTTGGTAGAAAAGTCAGTCGCGAAACCAATAGTACCCAAGGCATGCGACAACTCGCTCAAACGAAGGGGTTGATCTGCAGCCACTACCATTGAGAATATTCTTCTCGCAAGTTGTTGCTGCGGCTCTGAGCGTTTAGATAGCTGGTCCAAAGTGCGCATGTAGCAACCCGCCAGGCCTTTAGGAAATTTTTCAAGGGCTTCGTCGATTTCTGCGTCACAAGTAAGGTCGGCTCCTCCTAAAATTCGTAGCATAAGTACAGCCCATAGAAAGTTGCCTTCTGATTCTTCTGTCCAGAATTCAACGCATTCAGAGCAACTGTGATCTAACGTATTGCGAAGATATTCTGTGACATACAGTTTGATGTCTTGCTGCAAACTTATTTGTGGAGCGTTGATCTCGGTAATTTGGTGCTTTTTCATTATTGAACGTATGGCGCTATCCGGTCTGCTTGTAAAGAACCACTTTACGATTCCCGGGCGTTTGACTTCTAATAACGGCCGAATACATCTTGTGAGTAATTCCCGATCTTCACATTCGTCTAAGCCATCCACAATGATATGCACACGGGGCTGTTGCATTAGCAAGGCCCTAACAACCTCGACCGCAGTTCTTTGATCGTGCAACTCAAAGAAATGGCTCTCCACGTCTTCTTCATACAGCCTCTGTACCTTATCTGGAACCTGTCGAGCGTGAGTGAGTAACTGAAGGGCAAGGCATCGAAGTGCAGTAATAGGCTTTTTGCGAATAGTATCGTTGAAAGAGTAGAAGAAAGCCACTGTTTTGAGATCCCGATCCTGTAGTTTGCGCACAACTGTAGCAGCTAAAACAGTTTTCCCTGCACCAGGAGGTGCGCTGTACCATGCCCCGGTGGTTTCATTATGACCCAGCCAATCCTTCATCAGTGGGTGTTCAAAAAGCCATTCACATGTATTCTCATGGCAGATCTCCTCATTCTGGCGCAGGATCTTCCTAGTGTCAAGTTGTTCGCCGTCAATCCCACCCTTAATCCAGTCAACAACTTGTCGTTTCATCTTCTGAGATCGGCGCTCCTTCTGTTCCTCATCCTTATTCTTCTGCATGGTAGCACTTGTGGCGACAGCCAGCTTCAAAACTCTGTCAGAGTCGGCTTTCAATTTCTCTTTCCTTTCTGACCATTCTTTGGCCAACGGCTTAACGATTCCTTTCAAAAGTGTTTTGTATGCCGGCTTGCTAAGCAACTTTGCCGCATCTTGCCAAAAGGAGACAATATTTTTGTATGTTCTAATGAGAAGGGCTTGCATCTCGACTGACTTCTCGTATGCTCCGGCGAAACAATTGTAACAATCCAAAGAATTCCCCACTTCTTCCATTATCAGTAGTATTTGATCAAAACAATTGTGAAAGTTCAGCGCCAGCTGGAGAACCACCCTTGCGCCGCCATAGACAAGAATCCCAATTGACCCACCCGCTTGACTCATTACGTCGCAGATCTGTATGTACTGATCCAATCCAGATAGTAATGGGTGCAACTTTTCGCTAACCCAGCGCGTGTTACTGGTGCGTTTCTGTTTACGCTCAAGTTCCTCCACAAATGCGTGTAGGTTTTCCGCAGACAACTTGCTTTGGTCGCCATTTTGATGAGAATGAGTATTTATCTTACTGAGCACTTCTTTGTAAAAGGGACTTTGAGTGTCTTCTTTACGTTTAACATCGGAAATAAACTCTGTAATCGCTTTGACGAAAGGGTCGTTAACTTTTTTCGTCGCCATTGCACCGCAACTTAATCAACATTCTGGTTGAATATACGAGTTGGTTGCAAAATGTATGACCCGTTTCTGCGCTTCCGATAACCGGGTGTGGATGCTTGGGGGCTGAAGCGGAGTATTGAAGACAGATGCAAAACGAGGCTGAAAGCTGAAAATAAGGGATTCGTCATCCAAAATGGTCCCCACCAGATGGATGCCGGCTGACGCTGTGCACACAGACAAATAGCTAGACCTCAATCGGGTATGCGTCTATGTGAAGCTGCAGCGACGGCTTCGCTTTAGTCCGAGCCGACAAATCAACTGTCCAAATTAGCGGAAGAAACTTGCTTAGCCTGAAGATAGACGTCTCTAGCATAACCAATTAGGCATTCCTTTCGTAACTTAGCAAACATGTCATAGTGCATTAAGTATCGCCAACGAGGCTGGAGCAAGAAGGTGCTTATTAGCCGATCAAGGTATCCCCGCAAGAAAGTTAGTCTTCAACGATTATAATTTAAATGGTGTGTCATAAACCATCCTCCATTGACTAAATTGCAAGCCTTTGGTGATAAAATCGCATAAATTAACGTCGTTATTCTTAACGGTGATTTGAAGGCCCACCATAACACTAAAAACTGCTCTATTTGTGGTCCGACCTTCGAAGAAAGGGAAAAAAACCGACCATGCCCCTCGAAGACAGCCCCCAGAGTGATGGCAGTATCGGAGGCGACGACATCGAGGAGGTTGGCGCCAAATGTGAACTCCGCGTCTGGCAAAAACGTTACAAACGTGACGGTGGTGAGGAAAAGGTTATTGTAGAGAGCTGGGGCCAGAACCAGAATTTAGATAAAGCCTATGCTATTGTGGTTGACCAGGAGTTCACACCAGAAAACAGACTCGACTTTTCTCGACTCACCATCAATTCGGCGCATGTCCTGGAGGCTTTCCGCGAAGTGATTAAATCATATCCGACCGTGGCATCAGACTTTTCGGAACCATTTGATATGCGTAGTCCCTTTCAGATGCTGTATCATTACTGGGAGGACCTTGAGGCATACACAAAAGCTTTGGATGACGACGAAGCTCGTATGCATATGAATCTTTTGCTCGATTATATGGAAGTGGAAATGGGTCCGGATCGGAGGCGGATCGAAACGGAAATAAAAAAGGGCCAAATCAATTACTTGCAGGCATGGGTTTTGTACCGCCCAGGTGATCTCCTTGTATCATTTGAGAATGGACATCCTTGGCTCTCGACGGCAATTAAAACTGCATATGAGGAAAATACAAGAGAGGGGCCTTACCTAGAGGTACACTGCTCATATACTGATTACGATGGGGAGAACATTGGTCAGGCAAAGCGTGTGGTCAAAATGCTTCAGAAGCAACATTTTGCGTCTCATCACCCAGCTAATATTTTGGATCTTTCAGTTTTCCCTCGAAAATATTTATCACAAGATGAAAGTCTCGAGAAGAGCTTGGAAAGTCGCGGGGAAAAGTTTGCATCTCTGCGCGGAGCATTAACTCTTCAGTATGATGGTCTTGCTGAGTACATGAAAGAGACACCTCCTGACTATTTTCACCCCGCGATGTCAGACTTCGATGCTATCTGGTTACCCTTTACTGAAAATGGAAGGGTGATAATTGATAGAAAGACCTTTCAAGAAGAAAACTACATATCTCATGTGGCGGTTGGGAATGTGAAAGTCCCCGATTTAAAGCTATGCCCACCTTTTGCGTACGGGTATTCACTTTCGAGGAAAGAATGGAGTCGGTTTTACGTTCAGATTCTGGAACCCGTACCCTGGAAACAGAATAGTTTCGATTCCCTTGTCATGAAAGAAAACCAGAAAGCACTTTTACGGGCGTTAGTTACAAGCCACACGTTTCCAGAGAACGCACGCGATCAGATGCAGCAGAAATCGAAAGGACTAGTAGTCCTTCTTCATGGATCACCAGGGTCAGGGAAGACTCTAACAGCCGAGTGCTCAGCAGAGATAACAAAGCGACCATTATTCACAGCTAGTATAGCTGAGCTGAACAAATACGACCGGCCTTGGTACTTTGAGTACCAATTACAAAAAGTCCTGCAATTTGCGACTATCTGGAAAGCGGTTATCTTGCTTGACGAAGCAGATGTCTTTCTCGAAGCCCGCACGGATGAGGGCAATGACGCAGTAGCAAGAAATGCTCTTGTTGCGGTATTTCTACGACATCTTGAGTATTTCAGTGGCATAGTTTTTCTGACTACTAATCGCATTCACGTTTTCGATCCCGCGATGAAGAGTCGGATTCATCTTGCTCTGGGCTATAGTCCACCCGGCAATAGCATGAGACGGTCTATGTGGGTGAATTCCCTGAAGCAGTTGCCTCCTGATGACGTTGACATCGACTTCAATAATTCCAATGAGACAGTTGAGAGCATTGTCCAAGAGAAGCTGAATGGAAGAGAAATTACAAACACGATCAACACAGCTAGGACGCTCGCACGCTATGAGAATAAACCTCTTCGTCTTCACCATATTGAAACCGTGCTTGGCATTAGAACAGAGTTTGATCAGACATTGAAAAGGATGGCTATCGAGGCGGCGGATCCGCAGCGCGTTGGTTCTATAGGGCCTGTGCGACAAGGGTCATTACTGGCATCGATGAATATCACCAATGACCCGGAAGAGATCTAGTACTACGTTTCATTGAGGTAATGATTTTGTTACCTTTTATATCGCTACTTCTTGACATATGTTTAGATCTGAAAATGATTCAATATCAATGTTCTGGAAAGAAATTTATGTGCAGTATACTGTCCAGTCTTTGCTGACATAATAGCTATAGGTGGTTCGGATGTCGTGATTGATTTACCAGATTTCCATTTTTGAGGCTCTCTTCTATAAGAACAGAAACATATGTCATAATTTGGATATTTAAAAAAGCGTTCAACGTGTATCTAAAACTCAATCTCAACTAGAGCTATTTGGAGTTTCAATAAACAATGAATAGGCTACTATATCATTCAAGTACAACATAATACAAATAGCCACACCCCGTCCGTCAAGTCTCCTTGTTATCTACCAGTTCATGTAGTATTTCCAATAAGGCGCCAAGATATATCATGGCAAGTCATCCGTAGGTACGTAGCTCTCATTGGCAAACGATATGTTGTATGTAGAGCCTGATATGCTAGCTGGTGTTTTTCTACGTCGCCAATGTGTGGGTTCTAGACTTCAATGTTCACGCAGAACTAATTAGAGAGCAGCTATTTATCATTAATATAGATTAGTATGACACTAGAAAGGACCATTCCGAAATCGAGTGTAGTTGGGTCTGAAATCCTCAGTCCACGTTCCCAACCTTATTCTAATCCCTATGGGTTAATGTGATATTACTATGATAACTTGTTCATGTAGAGTTGAAGATAGCTATAAAATGATCGATATATGTCATGTACAAATTTAAAAGTCTAGTAGAAACCGTCTCACAAGCTGTGAACAAGGACCGCTAGCGAAGCATTTCAGCATACCAACATATCAACATTGAAAGGTTATATTTCGAAAAAACAAAAGATTTGTACAGCATTCCTAAAACTCTATCATGCCAAAACCAAAACTCAAAACATGCATGGGGGTATCTATGACTTTAATAAGCATCGAAATATTATTCAGCCGTGCTGTCTGAAGTCTCATGATGATACTTCGAAGTCGTTCATCAGTAGAGACATGTTCAGTAAAACCCCACCTGACATATTCCAGACAGGGGGAAGTGAGAAACACAATCAATAGAGTTTCGAGGCTATGCGAATGGTTGCATTGGCGAGGAAGTCTTTTTGTGACCCTAGCCGAATATTCTCCGCCACCATCCCTTCTTCCATGATCCACCAAATCGATGGTTTATACACGCGTGCGGGCTGTTAAATGGTTCTGAGCCACTATGCCTTTGTCCATTACCCCAGGCATTGACCGGCAAGACACAAAGCCCTCCCATGGAAGTCTCCACCGTGGCCTCCCGACCATCGACGCAGAGCGAATGTCGCAACCGATGAAATGGCGCCCAGGTAACCCGCCTCTCTATTTCACCAGTAGTTTCGGAAGTAAGGCCGTCAATTCCTGTATTTGATTCCATCGATATATTAACCAGATTGTGTGTGGGGGGGAGTGTTGCTGATAGGACGTCTAGAACAGCGTCGGTCACCACATCAGGCCCTGTCACTCCCAAAATTGTGTCCTGGCTGTACCTGGGACGTCCGAAGAGTATGCTTTTGTGTCGCTCGTTGTGCTGTTTGGTATGCGCTATAGAGCGGGTAATGATTTCTCGGACAATGGGACTGAAACGCCGTGGGGCATACATTGTGTACTGCATGAATCCATATCTCCTAGTCCATTTCCACATTCTCATAATACGAGGGGTTGCAAAAGGCTCATCGAGCTCGACACCGACCACAAGAGAGATGTTGGATTTTGTTAACCCATCGTCAGCCAAGATGGGCAGCAAATCTGGACAGGAATTGATTGGTCGCGCAGGGTAAACATCCATATCTGCGTAAAAGCCACCATAATACCATATCAAGAGATATCGAAGTAGGTCGGTACGGAGCACGTAGTAAGGGTAGGACGTGTAGGCTTCGGCGATATCGGGCACGGCTGACAATACTTTGGTGACAAATTCCATGGCTTTGTCGTCCGTCATCACCTGTTTTCGTCTGGTTAGAAAGCTGACAGAAAATTTAATGCGCGCAGATATGAAGACCCACCGAGTATTTCCAGCCTTTATTCTCTTGCTCCAAAGATAGCGAATCCGACCCTCGATGCTCATCATCTTTTGCGATTTGCCAAATTATGTTTTCTGCTAGGTTGTTTCCGTCGTTCTCTGAGAGTACGGTCTGTTCAATTCCCTGCAGAGCAAGTGACAAGCTTTTCTCGTACGCGAAATCGGGGTCATCGCGGAAGGGAGAGCGGTAAAGGAAACGAGGGGTGGCATCGTCAGGGTCTTGCGCTCCGCGAGCTATCGACAGTCGGTAAAAGATGAACAGCGTGCCAGTCACCAAGAGCCACAAAGACAGGCGACGAGGCGTTAGCAGACTATGAAGCAGTCTTTTTGAAAACATGGCGCTGGGGAGACCACCATCGCGCACGAGAGGAATGAGGAATGAATTAACTGATGCTAGGAGGCGGTCATTTTTAATTGGGGATGCTTACGGACACACCCCGACGCTTATGAACACCGTCATTTCGGCCCCATTTTAATCAATATAATATATTTAATAAAATATATTCTTGGTATTCTACTATTGATTCAATTTATACTGCATCCTTAGTATAAATACTCATTTTTATAAAATTTAAACCTAACTTTTTGAAGCACACTCGAGAGATTCGCAGACCATTGAACACATTAATTGATGTAGGTAGGGATATAAATTGCTATCTTATTCCCGTAAAATGGGCGTGCCCGTAAGCCTCCCCTTTTAGTTTCTGCTCAGCCTTGAGGTTTATTCGCGGCTCAGCCACAGAGTCGGCATTGTAACTGGCTCCCCACAGTGATGAGCTGGACATTGTTTCGTCTCGGCAAATCAGCGGTTTGGCTGCCTATTTCACTATCGGCGGAGCTGGTGGTTGTGACATCTGATCGCCGAAGATGACAACTGCGACACAGCGTACACCCCAACAATGATTCTGCGGCAGAAGTTAGAAAATGTCCGAAATTGTTCTTGGAGGTCTCCTGCCTTTGCAATTTTATAGAGGCCATATAACTCAACTGTCCATGGTTCGCCTTATAGGGTGGTCATTTAAAGCGTCCGTGTCAATGTGCTGTCAATTGACGGCGGCGATCTGCGGGATCTGCCTTGCATTGGAATCCTGAGAAACTATCGAGACTGGTTGAAAATTTGAGAGAATATTAGGCTCTTATTGTTTCTTGCTGATTTATTCTCTGGATTGTCTACCTTGGAACATAGATTGAGGCTGATATAAAACATTGAATGGGTGGATTACTTTATTTGTTTAGGGTTATCAACAAAATTGACCCAACTTTGAAGCACATGCAGGACTCATATCAATGTGTTTCCCAGCTACTTCCAGATGTCGTACTGAGGCATTAGTACTTTTTATATAGTTTAACGAAGGGTTTTCTTTTGTATCTGCATCTAATAAAAATTCCCTTACTTCGATACAGGTATATTTTCACACTATTCGACCGTGTCGCATCGCTGCTGCGAGAGGCGGTTCGACATCACTAAATGCACTCAAGCTATAACATAATGTTATCTTCAATACGAATTGGTTGTACTTGAATTTTGTGTAGGATAGCTCAGAAGTATTCGTACATGACAGGATGTTTTGCTTTTTGCTAGGGACTCTCATTTGATGGAGTGTAGAAATGCGCTGACGAATAGGCAAGTAAATAGCTAAGGATATTGGCATATACGATAGAAACAGCAATAATTACTATTGAGAAGTGAGGAATTCAAACATTCTTGATCCTTAATTTATCAATTGATGTATTTCAGGCCATGTAGGCCATAAAATCTCCTAAAGAAGTGGGGTTGTTAAAGCTGAAGGTGTACATATCATAGAAGCGCTTCGGTAGTGAGGTAGTGCTAATAAATCCATAGAACCCAATACCCCCATTTTTAAGAAAAATCGATTGGTAAGTTCGAGGGCTTTCCCCCAATTGTCCCTTGATGATCGGATCTTGGCGCGTCGACCATTGCTATGGGTAGGACGCGTTTGATCTTACTGGGTTTCGATCGGCGACTTTAGCGCGTCTAAATTTATGCTTGAAATTTAGAATTATTTGCTGGATAAAGCCAAGAATTGTGCGAGTGCCTCCGATTTACCCCATCGCAACCTTTCGTCTGTGGTAATATATAAATCTATCTCGATCTTCTGTAGCCCTTCCAATTATAATCGAAACAAGTATCGTCCATTCAAGATGCCCGGTCTCGCTGCATTCCAGGCTTACTTGAGCTGTTTAGCCTGCGTGACTGCTGCCCAATATACACCTCCATCCTCTTACAACGTCACAACCCTGACTGCGTCCAACAACGCCTCTGTTCTGCAATGCTGGTCTATACAACCTGGCTTTAGCACGTCAAGTCAGCCTGGTATTTCAGGATCCGCAGTCGTGAGCATTGGTACGTTGAATTCGACAACAAATGCAACCTTATCTGTCCTCCCAGGAAATTTTAATGGCGGGCAACATCACGCGCCGGCCGCGCAGTGAGTGTATTCTCTTCTTTTCGTATCAAAATATGCTTACCCATGACATAGATGGGTTTTCTTCTTGTCGGGTGTGGCACACATCACTCTCCCTCATTCCTCGGATGAGGCATACATTGTCGGTGGTAAGCACGGTGGCATTCTGGCCCTAGATACAGCCGATGTCAGTGTTGATGGTCATTTTACTGTGTATCCGACAAACGAGGTAACGACGTCTCTCGAACTTCAGCTGGAGAATGGCATAGCACCACCACATGTATCGCTGCATGACGGACCTTGCACTGCCGAAGAGCAGAATTATTAGAAGACCCAGCAGAGTCCATATAAACTAGAAAGCAGTTGAATGCTCAAACTTTCTGTGAACTGAAAATGGAAAACCAAAATCAATGTTTTATTTATATGGTATTGAATTCTTTCTGTTTTGCAATGCTGCCACTGGGCCTTCAATCCATTTGCGTAGCTTTTTATCTAGAACAGCCCATATCCTAGACACCATCGACTGGGAACTGCGTTCTGAGAACCACGCTTGGCATATGTCTCCGAAGAGGATAGCATAATGTGCAAACAAGATAAGCGCAATCGGGTGATGCTGTTCTAGTAATTCAATATATCGTTCGGACACATTGAAAACCCAGAAGAAGGCTTCGGCTACTAGCAGATCGTGTGCATCTGCGTATTCCGATTCGGAAAGCGCATTGTTCTCGGTCATCATTTTGTATCTTTGCATCGCAGTTGTGGAATACGTATGTCGGAGGAACGAGAATGACTCGTCGAAGGTTTTCCGATCAGTCTCGGTCAGGTCGAAAAGGGGTGTTTCACCCTGCCATAATTCCCCCAGAAATGGTAGACTGTGGGACATTGACGATGGTAGCTGCTGATTGGAAGGTGGGTTGTCTATGTTTTCCTCCGATGCCCTCGTCCTTTTATGATCTTCTTCAAATATGAGAAGAGACATCGGTCCTCTTTTTATTTTTTCAAAACGACCATCACTGACATCGCGTATTCCCCGAGCCAATCGAATCCATTTCCAGTCCAACATGCCAGTCTCGCCGTATTCATCCCCGGTCATGGCAATCGCGTAGATGAAAATTAATATAGATAAAGCAAAGACTGCGTCGTACTGATCTTCATCCGCATTTGGAATCGCTAGTTGATATAACCTGAGAGAAATGGTTTGATGCTCAGATGCATAATCAACTAGTTGTCTCGGATTATCGGACCCAGCGTGGGCCGCCTGCAATGCCGAGACAGCAAACAGACCATGCAGTAGGAAGCGATGATGGAAGGCCATCTCCACCACTGTCGTCGCCCACAGCTCCTGGGTCTTTGGACGTAGGGACAGCGTTCGACTTGTCTGGTAAGTAAAGTTATGGAGCATCGCGAGATCCATGAGACTAAATTCTGATGATTGCGAATACTTGCTAAAATCTGAGATAGCTGTCGGTGATGGGGTAACAGGTAGTGGCGATATCTGGGCTGAAACAGGAGTAGAGGCACTCTGTGATCCTGGCGATGGCACAGCTGGCATCATCCCAAGGAAGCTACAAATGCGGTCTGCTTGAATGCAGTTCCCACAGCGAGGCTTAGCCTCATCGCACTGGGGGGATGTTTAGCATTGATTATTTCAAAACGTAGGCTTGTTTCATGTGTCTAATTCGTAACTAACCTTGATATGGCGCTGTTTGCATTGGGCACAGCCATTCCGCGATTTGTGATGGTACTTCCGCCTCTCTTTCCGGGCCAATCTTGGTTCGGCCGGCATCACAAACTCTTGCAAAATATACAGTCATATATACAACCTGAATAATGGCTTTGCAACAACCATGAACCTGTTGTGCAACAACATTTCCTAGTGTCGGATTAGAGCGTGATTCTCGGCGTTTTTCGGCCACGCGGATCCGACGCGGTCACATGACTCCAGGCTCCAATTATCCATGGAGGAAAATAAATTAATTATTACGGTGGATTTTTGTAGTGTACGAACAAATCTGTTCCTCGATAAAGGCATATATACTCATGAAACATCGGCAATCCACATGAATCGGCTACGAAAAGATCCAGCTCGTTCGTGACTGTCATGACTAAGGGGCTTGATATGGTCGGTAAAAAAGTTTGAATTTTCACAATAATAACAAGAATAATAATAAATCAAACTGGGTCCACTGATATCTCTTCCCGGCGCCGTCGAACAAGCAGTTTTGCCTGTGCATCTGATGACACCATCCATCCCATTCTGAAGACTGTCGGATTAGTGTTTTCAGGCAACTTGAAGTCATATTTAAGCAGGATATGTATAAGCATAATTTTTACCTCATTGGCGGCAAAAAAGCGACCTGGACAGGCATGTTTTCCATAACCAAACCCTAGATGTTGTGGACTTGTTGATACAAAATGCGCTGTTTTCTCTGTCTCGGGATCCTCTGACATTCTAAGAAAGCGATAACCATCGAACTTCTCTGGGTTTTCGTAGAATGAAGAAGAGCCCCAAGACCAGTGAGATGATACCCCGAGCATGCTGCCTTTCGGAAGAAAGACACCGTCTTGCAGCGTCATGTCTTCGGTCACGTAGCGGCGCATCGACACTATAATTGTCAGAGATTCGCTTCAATTAATTGAGTTGGGGAAGGCTCAAAGTGAGGAACCCACCCAATCCTGTCGGCTTCAGACGCTGGCTCTCTTTCATCACACTATCCATGAGTCTGAGCTTATAAAGCCCAGTTCTTTTCCACCCCCCGTTCTTAAGCATTTCGATAGCCTCATCACGCAACGCTTGAATTAGATTAGGTTGCGGACAAATGTCAAATAGAATCTGATTGACTAAGTCCGTAGTAGTATGGATTGCTGCCATTGAAAGACCTAATTGCTGGATAGCTGGATCATAATTTCTGCCTTCAGACATTTCATGCATCCACTGTATTGCATCTGTATATCCTTGACCTCCTGGATGAACCCAACCAGCGGCAGCTCGTCGGTCAATTACCGGTTGGATGATACGGCGTGCTTCAGTGACTTGTGCACGAATCTTGCGCGTTTCAGGAAGATACCAATTGGCAATTCTATGAAGGAATTTCGGATATCGCTTTATTGCTGAGGATGCCATGAAGACATTGACGGTATAATCGATGGTAATGCGAATCCACTCTGGGTTTCGACAAACATCTAATCCGAGGAACACGCGAGACGAAAGCCGTGCAACCATCTCTAGCAGGGTTGATTTGAGCGGTACTTCATGCCACTCTGCCCTAGTTTTTAGCTTGTGTTTGCTGAGTCATTTATGTTTTCAAAGTCATTTAGGGCACGAACCAGTCTCTTCGCTCCACTGCTCGGGGAGAACTGCTGCCATTTCCTCCGATATATCTTCAGTAACAAGTCCTAATAAAGGCATTAGTTTGACGTCCATTTCACTCGAGTGAAACATACCCAAAGTGCGTGTTAGTTTCTTTCGCACGACATCCACACCTATCGCGTTAGCATCACTTTTAGAACTAAACACCTCAAATCCAGGAAGGTCTCCAGAGAAATCCTATGTGCAATATAAGTCATTCTCGCCCAAATTTGTGTGTTATATGTCTAGGTTTCAACTTACACGGCTAGTGAACTCTTTAAAACTGAGACGAGGGTCGTTTCGAAGTTCATCTGCGTATTGCGGCGACAAGATCATTTGGCGTCCTACGTCCGTATCCAGAAAATACCCTTTGGGAGACTATAATGTCGTATTGGTCACTTTGAATCGCCATCATTGTTTCCATGGTAATACCTTGGAAAATCCGTTGAGAAGTAACTCATCAGCACTCTGGCGAAAATTATTCTTCGCCTTAGATGGGTTAAAAGGCGAGGCTTTGTTATAGACAGGCCATTGAGGAAGACGATTCTGCTTTAATACCCACTGTAACACCCACTGTACAAGCACTAACAGACAAACAATTGAACCAGTGGTGACTGCGAGATTAGTGGAAGGTACAGCGATCCCAAGCATGGGTAGTTTGAAATGATAAGAACTCGACATGTTGCATGTAACTTATGCTGTGTCGACAATGACAGCAAGACAGGAGCGGTGTCGTTGATTTAAACCAACAAGCTGAGAATAACTGCTTTTATGTTTAGTTGAGGCTTCTTAAATATTGAAAGTGTGGGAGAATCCTGATCAATATATACGCAAAACGAAATGGTACCGTATACGTGGATACGATGTACGGTGAAAGGAGGGCTTGGCCGTAAAGAAGAGTTGTTGATTGGCTGATCGTTTCTAGAGAAGATGCCTGGATAAATGTTAGTGGCACGGTACATGAAGAGTTGTTGATTTGCTGATCGTTCCTGAAGAAGATGCCTGGATAAATGTTGGTGGCACGGTACATGAAGAGTTGTTGATTTGCTGATCGTCCCTGAAGAAGATGCCTGGATAAATGTTGGTGACACGGTATATGAAGAGTTGTTGATTAGCTGGTCGTTCCTGGAGAAGATGCCTGTTGAATGCGAGGGTAACACTAAACACTTCTAGCTAATACCCCTCTACGACCGTATTAATGCCCGTTAATGCCAATTCTGGTCGCGTCGTTCCGTCCCAATAATGATATCGAAACCCACCCCCATCTTTTATGCCCTTTATGGTATGGTCATGACGGATCGACATAGTAGCCCCGGCAGGCAACATCCCCCTATTCTTAGGGATGGTCCATCAACATGCCTTATGTTATGCCGCCAATCAAAGACCGAGCTTATGCCTTTTAAAAAACGTATTAGAGCTAGATAGCCTTGGCTATATTTCCTTTGAAAAATAGTGTGAAAGCTGCTCATTATCAAGGGCAAATATGTAATAAAAATCCACAAGGGGTTCGGCGCATTCGGGATCCGCAATGGAGGCCGCCCCCAGGCTTTCTCAATCTCTTCTCATTGGTTGATGAATATTAAGATTTGTATTCGGTTACGAGTGGTGATTTTGAGTGGGTGATTTAGTTGACTGCTCAGATTCCGCAGCCTCTGTAAGCGGAGTCCGAGGAATTATTGGATTCCTCATATCTGCTAATCCCGCGTACGCTCTAAGCGAGCCCTCCTCTATGGCACCACTTAATAGAGTGTAGAACCTTGCTAGGATCATAAAACCACACGGCCATGGCCAATAAAAATATTTACAACCATATGCATGAAACGAGTTAACCTTCGGTAAGAGGTTGATGGCAAAGAAGCAACGAGTTATATATGATTACATTGCTAATAAATGCAGGCTTAGGATCCTCTGTCGCTAGATATGTTCCTTTTCTTTGATGATGAGCATTAACCTGCATCATATATTCATGTCAATTAAATCGATCCCCTCAATTTAATATAGCAAATCTACATATCAGCTTGAGTTATGCTGTTATTGGTGTGACCGCTCCTCTTTATGCACTCTTCTGTTGTCTCTGAAGCCCTGAATCTGTCCTCCGTCCTATTTTTGGAATGTTAATAGGAAACCGCGGAGGGCAGCATTATGGTTTGACAATACGTTCTGTTGTATTAAAGGATCGAAATGTCTTAGGTTCCGACGTCCGCATTTCATTCTGGCCGGCTTAGAGGCTTTCGGGTACAACATTCATTCATGGGGTCATTCTATGTTTTAGAATCAAAACAACATTAAGTTCATCATTACAAGGAAAATTGATACTTGACATTATGAAAATTTGAGAATAAACATTTCATTGACAACTTGATGCCTTACGATCCTCTGGCAAGCCTGGCAGAAACACGCCGGTCATGATATGTCTGGACTCTGAGAGCATGTGTACAGCCGTCTGTAAAATACAAAGCCAAAATTAATTTCTCTCAGACACAGCCGTTCCACTTTCAGAGATTTCGGAGAATACATGTATAAGTGCGCGTAACTCCTGTCCCACTTTCTTAGAAATGATATGAACAAAGAATTTTGAGCCATCGACCCTATCAGCCAGCGGCATATGAACAAATGCCATATTTAGTCGAGCAAGGATCCCCTCAAGGAGAATATCAAGAAAATCGACAACTCTGAGACATCACTTCTGAAAAATCTATGTTCCGGATATGTTATAAAAATATATTATTCATGAATACTCGTCCAAACATAATTCTCTCGCTAATGATTCACACATGCATGAAGGGCATTGCATACAACTCTACATCTGCGCATAGTCAACAACATATCAAAGCGAGTGCTTTGCGTTGAAATGGACATAAATAAATGCTAGAACCCATTTATGTCACTTAAATACCAATTTAAAGTTTCTAGATCGCTAATTATTCTTGACAATCAAACACCACAACACTTGCTGACGTTTTCTTTCCCAATTTTATCCTCAAGTAAGATTCTTACTTTGGTCACAACATGAATATTTAATTGCAAATTTAGTAAAATATTAGTTTAAATTCATTGAGAAGGCCGAAGCTGTCGGTTATAATCAATGGTGATGAGAACTTTATACAATACGCAAGTCTATGATATATGATGATAAATTTTGAATACTTAGACAAAGGGAACCAACATTCAGCATGTTATTATACAATGCAAACGGCATTGATCATTTGATGACAATACAGAATAAATTTCCACGCCAACTTCACATGTATTGCATCAATCCTGTGTACGTGTCTTAAATAGCAACACCAGTTACCCATCTCACGCCTGCCTTAACGATATGCTCAATCACTTCCATTTCCGAAGTAGTTCGTGGCGCATACACCATGATCCATCCAGCATGAACTATTGGCAAAGGGAATCTTCGACCCCAACCTGCTTCCACGACTTTTCGGGCGTCCGAGGTGCTCAGCCAAACGTGCAGGCTTCTATCATTTGGATGTGCATGCGCAATTTCACCATCAAGTCTGTGCTGTGACAAGACCAATGGATTAAGCTTGGGGTTTTCTTTACGAGCGTATATCCCGTCGGTAGTTTTGCCTTCATTGACGGATGGCTTCACTTCCACAAGATCTGGATGCGCGCGGCCGATTTCGTTGACGAGTTTCATGAGATAGTTCTCGGTCGAAGGGTCGATGAACTCCGGTACTTGTCTTTGGGGTAGAATTCGCGGCATCATTTTTGGACCACCCCCAGCACGTGGAGCGATGGAAGTTTTCAAGTAGGATGGTTCCCCGTCACTAATTGTGTTGTGGTTAGTCTGGTTCGGTATGTGATATGCGAACATAATTCGAAGTAGAGTCATTCGGAAGTAGCCACTATAAGATATTAGCATGAATATGATATCGTCTAATACTCTTGGAGGTAGCGATTATTACTAACAATGGATTTGGCGGCGAACCACCAGTACCAAAGGCTACCCACTCATTGTAGTCATTAATGATCCTGCCACCTACTGGGTTAGCTATCTATGGTTTGAACAAATTTCTTGCTATTTGCCTTACCAGACAGACCCTAGAACTCCAGTTCCAATAAGTCCTGAGTAGAGAGGATTTTTTCTGACAGAAGCAAGCAACCGCTCAGCAAGGATGTTTATACTGTCAAGCCCGAGTGCGCTCATTGTGTTGTACAGTGATCGTTGTATGTCAAAACGAAGAGTTGATGCTTCGAGAAGATCAACTATTTATTGTCCCAAGAAGAAAGTGATGTATTGCTGGTGATGCGGTTATTTTTGATGTTGTTTAATTTTCTTTTTCAACTTACTGAGTCCAAGAGACGGTTTATAGAAGAGTGTTCGGCTTCGCTTTCGATCTCAATCAAAGAAATTCGGCGCTTAGTCGGCTTTATACAGTCTACGAATATAAATTTAACCCAGACGCAGTATTTACACGGCTTTCCAATAAAAAAGAATCCGCGTAGTTTCTAGTGGAACTCCAAGGTTACGGCAAATATAGGTCTCGACGCAGCTAATTTCGTCGCTCGGATAACAACCGGGGCCGACACTGTATATCCAAGGCGAAGCTGGTTAGTTTACCGGCTACAACGGAATCGAAAATGGCTAAATGTCGATCCTCGCCTCGTTGGGTTGGATTTGTTGGCAAATACGTCGATCAGACAGGATAGGAAATACTGGTACCCTGATTAATAAACATCCTGCATATTCGCGGAGTAAACCCTTCTCTTTTCTTACTGTGGACTAATCAGACTAAATTATCACAAATGGATCGGATCTTAACCTTGTGCAGGCAAGTCGGCCGAACAATTGATGGAAAGCTATACATCTCCGACATACCCAGTCTTCCCTTGATTAGATTTACATTCAACTCACCTTGACGTCATAAATCAGCCTTTCCCATCAATCCACTATGATTAACAATATATGCACGAGCTAATCAAGTAATTCTGTATCTTCTGGTGACATCTTTCAATCGAGTTCCGGGTATGCCGTTAAGAAGATCTTCATACACAAATGACCAAATCTCATTAAATTTAGGCCCTTATCAAGCCCCTTAGTAAAATGACACTGTTTTAATGAGCTCTTTATTATGTTCTTAACAACCCTCCCGTCGCTGCATCTTGGAGCTCTACTAATGAGAAAATTGCCAATAAGTAAACTTTGGAATGATTGAGCTTTGAAACAATAATACAGAAACTATGACGATATTTGTGAGCGCGAGAAGCAAAAACGCATCTATATTCTATAATAATGTAACATTGATACTTTTCAGTTCGTTCCTCGTGGAGAGTAACTATTTTTCATGATGCAAAACAGCACCTGGAGAATACGAAGTTGAAAATTGTATATCGCGCGACCTGCCTGCTGTTGGTTCTATCTGAAGTCTTAGCTATGATTGTATTTAAATATCTGATTTCATCAATTGATTTCTGGTGGTTTACGGCACAGTGGTATTTGAGATCGCTGGCGTAAGGTATTCGGGGCACCATGGAAACCAGAAGTCGTCGCCGTTACCATGCCGCTCAAATACATTTCAAGAGTATACTGACAGAATGAAACTTGGTAAGTAGTGTATTTATTTGCACCTCCGTGTTAATGTCACAGCTGGCTACTGTTGACAGGCGCTTAGGGTTAGGTCATGTGACTGATTTAGGCTTACGTGTCATGACCGTGGTCCCCTAAGCTTTACCTATCAAGCTTGCATTTGGATATGAAATAGGTCTATATGACAGATACATATTAATGAAACACCAAGATAGGTAACTGATTCGGGAAAAAAATCTCCAGGTATCGTGATCATAGTTTACTATGTCGGAATGTGACTGCGTACGTGGATTTCGCGAATTGTGCCAATTCCGTCCGTAGTCTGACCACGTCAGCCTTGTCCCTTTATCGCCTAAGCTCGCATTCCTCTACGGATTGGGACTAGTGCGAAGCACGGTGATCCAATGAAGTTTGTTTGAGGAAATACTGATGCCTTTTATGTTAGTCGGTGGTAAGGATTGTTAATTTTTTTCCGGGTTAAGAAATGGTAGGCTGACAGCAACATCAAGTTAATCGAGACAAGCTGTTACACAAATGGTTGCCTGCACATGGATGGATATAAAGGCTGAACGAGATCCTCTTTCCTTTTCCCTCATGATTATCCGTTCGATAATATCAGTAGATATCTGAATATCAAAAAATAATGTCATTAAAATTGGCCATCGTGGGCGCTGGTCCAGCCGGGTGTATGCTTGCTAGGTTGCTCCTCCACCAATTACAACCTGACCACCTCAGCAAGACCGCTACCTCATCCAGCGATGTGCAGCCTATAGAAGTAACCATTTTCGAAGGGGAGCCATCGATTGACTTCCGATCGCAGGGTGGCACACTAGACCTGCACACAAACACGGGTGTTTTGGCCCTGCAAAAAGCTGGCCTGTACGAGCAATTCGAAGCACATGCACGCTATGACGGCGAATATATGTTCTGGGGCGATAAAGACCTTAGAGCGTACGTCAAACTAACCGGGGAAACCGGGCGGCCGGAAATTGATCGCGCGGATTTGCGGAGGATTCTAGTTGAATCTTTACCTGAGAATCTTATACAATGGAGGAAAAAATTAGTTGACATGAAAAGGAAAGAGGCAGAAAAGGGTGCAAATCAATGGGAGCTGGAATTTGCGGATGGAACCACAGCATCAGGTTTTGACCTGGTTGTTGGCGCGGATGGAGCGTGGAGTAAAGTTCGTTTTCTTACCTTATCAGAGCAAATGCCCTACTTCTCTGGAGTGGGTGGCTACAACTTTATCATCCCAGACGCCAAACGTACCGCGCCGGATGCATACGAATTAGTGAATAGAGGAAGTTGTTTCTGCTTTCACGGGGGTGACAAGCCTCACTCAGGGCGAGGATTGATGAGCCAGCAATTAGCGAACGGGGACATCACCGTTTCCGCATACAGTGCGCGTTGGGAAGATTGGGAGAAACACGCAGATTACGACGTTAATGACGGTGCGGCGGTTAAGAAATTCGTGATCGAAGAACAGTTTAGCGACTGGCATCCGCGATTACTTGACCAGGTCCGAAAATCCGATGATAACAATGTCACATCTCGACCACTCTATATGCTACCGGTTGGGTTCACATGGCCACATCAGAAAGGCGTGACTATATTAGGCGATGCGGCTCATTTGATGACTCCATTCGCCGGTGAGGGAGTCAACCTTGCTTTTGAAGATGCGATGCATCTCTGTGATGCTATCAAACAGACAATTGAAATCCTCAAACAGGGCGAAGAAAAGTCGTCTGTGGAGGAAATCCTCGATCAGAATGTGGTTGTCTTCGAGAAGGACATGAACCAACGTGCCACATTAACTCAAACCCTCACCTTTGAGCAAACGACGGATTTATACTTGACACCAGGAGCACCGGGGAGTATTGTTGAACGTTTTGTTTTGCGAAATATGAAGTTTCCTTTGCGTGGAGGAAAACGGGTTATTTATTATCTGTTTTCTCCGGTCACCTCAGCATTGGTTTACACCGGGTATTGTGTTTATAAAAAATTCTTTTTGAAATGAAAGTCGTTCAACGGTGCGCTTTGGCGTTTTTTCTGTTGTGTAGTATTAGTCTTATAGAGAGTCCTACCCATTCATATTACACATGGCTTGAATATTCAATAATGCTTAGGAGTCAATCTTTTACGGCATACCATGAACAAGTAATACCATCTAACAAAATACTTAAACAAAAGGCGTTGGGAGCGTGAACAGACCTCATTTTATTTCCTTGCTCTCAGTGTTTCCTAGAAAGATTTTATACTGAGTAGAACTATATGCACAATATACAGAGACCTTCATCTCCATTATATTTTCATACTCCCTTCGCTTGCTTTTGCCCAACTCCGGGGATACCTAGCCATAAGCCTAGTCTAAATATAGTGGTTGTTGTATTTTTCCCGTTACACATTACATGTGTATGGTTAATTAGTACTTACTCCTTACAACCCCATAATAGTTGGTCCGATATTAACCCGAGACATTATTAGGCAGCAGGGCAAGCTAACAAAAGGAGTGTTCAAGATAAAGAATCCCTCTATAGGTTCATTTTTCGTGCTCTTTTGCGCTGGTTTCTAAACACCACTCTTGACTTGTATATTTCCCTTCAACGCGCTCTACTATTAGCAGACTATTTATACCCTAACATCTTTTATACTGACTAATGCGTCATTATGTTACCACGCATCTTGATATACACCCACCCGCCGCGCCCCTTTTGTCCCTAATCCTTTACATATCCCCAATAGCCTTCGAATACCGGCTTATTTATCCTCCATACCTACATATGATATATCACTCGCATTAATCGACCGTGCTTCTTAAAAATAATTTTTCATAGTATATCCTGGTATACTTTAAAGAATTGCCGTAATGGCTTCGACAATCAAAGATTGTTGTTATGTTACGGTCAGTGTCGTGTCGATATTATGGTCGGTAGATTGGTATATCGTCTAGCCAGAGGAGCAGGAAGGAAGAATCTTTTTGGCAGCTTCATTACTGTTGGCTTTCGGCCAGCCACTGCTGAAACTTCACCAGCGCCTTGTACCCGTGGGAGATCCGGTTCTGATTGAATCTATTAGTATAAGGTTCGCTTTCGGTGTCGTCTGTAAAGACAAGAACTAGACAGTGAGTAGGATCCTACCTTCTGCTCTATCTCCATCTCAGCATAGGTCACTTTCCCATCATACTCAAAGATAGGGTCCCAGCCTTCCAAGGATCACACATTAAAAAAAAATAGTCTCTACAAGTATAGCTTGAAATACACTTACCGAAGTTTGTTGGGCCTCGTGGCCGCACAATGGCACCCTGTACAATCGTACTCAGCTTCAAATAAAAACTAGACATTGATGTAGAATTCCCACCTCTGTTCTTCCTTGGAATAGGATGGGCTCTGCTCCGGGTCCGTTGCAGAACGCAAATGTGCACACAGCTTCAGCTGTCCTGTCGTTGAAGCCATCGAGCATCTTGTTCAAGCCTTCAAGACCCAAAGCATCGAGAAATGATTTGCTTAGCACTCATTAGATTCAATCAAAGCAAAAGTAGTATATTTCCTAAGAGACTCACATATAGGGTCCAGGAAGACCCTTAAGCGCGCGAAATTCCAGCGCACTGTCTTCGGTTAGGACAGGTCCATTGATCTGCTCATTCGTGAGTCAATGATAATACACAACACTTCGAACAAGGATATAGCGGGGATGAGATTACTAGCTCAGCTGCACGCCTAGCCTTTTCTTTGGCAATCTCCTCAATTGTTCCCTGGATCTCAGGGATATCGACCGCCTGATTGTCCACCTCAATGACGTTGCCGAGGATAGCCCGCACTTGGGCGAGTTTGTTCTTGTTTCCAGTGATGAAGTTGACTCTTTTCAGCGTCATTATGAATACTGTACTAATTGTGCGTCAGAGGATCTCTATGTGGTTCAATCTAATATCTGTGAATATTCAAAGCGTTTCAAGTTTACATGTGTGAAATTGCAGAGTTTCAGGGACCTGGCTGATCCCCACAACCCCGCCAGCTCTTGAGCATTCAGCACCTCAGTAGCGTTCTATCTATAGCAAGGTCTCCAATTTATTTACACCATCTAACTATGAAGAGAGTTGTCAAAAATATGTTTAAAAAGAAAAAAATTCTTTGAAAGGGTTAAAGAAAAATGTAAATATCTTACAAGAATGTCCTGAAACAATGTGTAAGGTGGTAGCATCACTGGCGCGTGCGACCGCAGGAAACGGCTAGCAAGACAGTATAGACATCGAATTTCCTCTTCTAGAATAGCGATACCTCTTAGCCCCTTTCTGTCGTTAGTGCTCATGCTCGCAGCCACTATCCGCTCGCTGTCAAGTCTGCAGGGGATGCTTCCAAGTTGGTTCGTCTGCTGATTCTGTGTGCATGTCACATAACTGGCCCTGGAACACTCCCCGAAAAAATTAACCTACAAAACGGGTGTCAGCCAGCAGTGCAATCTAACGCGCCACGGAACCGTATGTCGAAACTGTGTGTTGGTCCTTGACGTCAGGATAGAGAAAATATATGAAGCATGCTTGTGTCCTTCTGATCTGCCTTCTTTCTTCTCGTTTCTGTAATCGCTCCTTTTTCATTTAAAAGTCCTCAACAGCTTCCTCACCATCTCCACATTAAAATCATCCTCGGCAATATTAATTATCTCTTATTTAAGATACAGGATATCTACTCGGACCTCCTGTTTTCAAAAGTTCGAAACGTCTTCCGGCAGGGATTTGCGTGAACTTCGACCTTATATGTCGAAGTATGCGCGCACTCTGTTCGTAGTGTCCAACCGCAACCCAAGTAAATAGATACCATCGTAATTGCGCCAATATATTCCACTCTCTGGGCATATCAAAATTCTGCATGGAGGCATACTCGAAGTATATTGGATAGAAACCAGCAAAATCCAAATCTAGTATCCAAATCTCACCCGAAGGTGCCAGAAGAATATTCCGAGGTGCCAGGTCGTGATGTGTAAATACAAAATTCTTAGATTCTAGACAGGATCGCTCCTCAGAGTCTGCAACCCTGCCATGAGTTGCAGCCTGCATCGCATTACGCATGGTCGTAAAATTAGCCCAAAATCGATAGAAACAAGCAACATCTGCAGATTTGGACCTTGGTGGGAGGCCATAACGATCGTCCAGCCAGAATGACCTACACTCACCAGACACCAGAGACCCGGCGGTAAATGATGTTGCTGATTGAAGACGTTTGATAATGCGACGAAGCTGCAGAGCCACCTTGATTGTCAAAAACCACCCGAGATTTGACCACATATGCTCTAAGGTAATTCCTTCAATGCAGTCCATAATGCAATACGCATTTTGTTGATCGGTAATAACTCTTTTTACGTGAGGCGTAGGGATACTAAGCTGTTGAGCAAAAGCTATGGCATGGACTGCATCTTCCACCTCATTCGGCTCGTACTGTTTGGCAACGAGGTTCGCGGAGAGCAACGACAATCTGGACGAAGGCACCAATTGACGCGATTCAGCGATATATTGGAATAATTCAGTATCGGAGTGGCCCTGGAGTAGATCATCACCTGAAACAGATATCATCTGAGCAGAGGGCTTGTCTCTAGTTTTCGCTCAAGGTACGAAGAAAGAAAAATGATACCTTATGAATTTCTATCGTATCCATGAATATAAGGTCAATGGGGCTGAAAAATCCTCTGTTTGGGTAGTGCTAAGAGAGGAAAGGAAGTTGGGGTCATGGAGGATATCAGGGTTGCACGTGATACAAGGATAAAAGGTTTCCCGAGAGATCCGTCGTAGTTCAGCCCGATGGTTGTCAGTACTATTTACTTGAACGAAAGAAAAGGAAGATCAGAGATTGGTCGTTACACTGATACAGGTCACGCTTCTGCATAGTAAGACCAGTTGACATGTCTTATACACCAGTCCGGGATCCTCCCATGTCTAATAATACAGCGCCTGCAACACCAACTAAACAAATTCCGACTAGTGTAATATATACACATCTACTGAACTAGTGACCAATTTTCGTTCTTGCTCAACGCTCAATATTTCCTTCCCTTGTATTCTTGGTATCAAGCATGGTACCGCCGTGGCTGTATTCCGTCGATGGATGGAGTGGCGAATGCCTCAATGCGCGTAATGATATGGTGAAAATTGCGCATTATCGACGCGAGTTATTTCCATCCGAGGAAATTGGTGCTCTGTTGGAGGCTTGACTCCATCTAATGCCTAAAAATACGCATCTATGTATGACTACTGCCTAATACGTACTAGCGCCATTAGCATAAACTAGTCCTTATGTAGTTAGATCGTCTCAAGGCTTGCTTATATGTTAGCTGTCGCCTGCCACCTGGCGTCATCATCTCATAACTGTTGAGTAGATGATATGGAAATCACAGGATATAGTCCTTGTTCTTCATATAATATCCATCAAGTTAGTGTGCAGTCCTGAGAGGGTGGAATCTACCAGGCGGAAAGATGTCGACTGAACTGCCCAACCTCGTCGAAGTCGACTATCTCGAAATACAAGTCATTATCGACAATGAACTCGACCCTATGACGGCACCGGCTCCGGACACGGTGCAGATGTTAGGCGGAACAATGGGCCACATAGCGATGTCGACCGCACGGGCCCTACAGCCTGGTGAGCGCGGAGATGCGATAAAAGAAATCCGCATGGAGGATATATGTTGCTCAGCACATGGACTATCTATCATGGTAGTACGTTAGCTCGAGGCTCCTACTTCATCAAGCCTAGGTGTTAACAAGTAGCTGTAGACGGCTATACGAGGCGATATTAAGCACACCGTCCTGTTTGATGCAGGCCCTGAAGAGCAAGCCTGGAAGAGAAATGTCAATCGTCTCAAGACCGATATATCTCAAATTGAGGTTATCCAACTGTCACACTGGCATCGTGATCATTCTGGTGAGACACAGCAAAAAAGCACCTATCTGTACCCTTGACTGACTTGAGCTCTTAACAAATACAGGAGGTATCCCAGAAGCAATTCGCATGATCAAGAAAGCTAAAAGAGACAATGGTCATGTCGACGAGACTCTTGTTGTCGATGTACACCCAGATAGGCCAGATTACCGTGGCTTCGATATGCGCGACAAGATCATATCCCTTGAAGCAGACCCAACTTTTGAGGAAATGGAGAATAATGGCGCGCGAGTCAGCCAGCATAGTGAGACACATACAATTCTCGACGACATGTTTCTCATCTCTGGAGAGATCCCGCGAGAAACAAGCTATGAAACGGGTGCGAAATTTGGCATGCGTTTTGACAAGTCGGAAGGTGAATGGATTACGGACGAAAAGATTGCAGATGAACGATTATTGATGTGCAACTTGAAAGGTTAGTCCCATCATTGCTTGAACGAAATGTGCCGCTTACATCGGACGATAGGAAAAGGGATAGTCGTCTTTACCGGCTGCAGCCATGCGGGCGTCGTCAATACCTCCTGCCATGCAAAGAACCTCCTTGGCGGCAAAGTTCCCCTGCATGCGGTGGTGGGTGGATATCATCTGTCTCTCAGCGACGACAAAACAACCAACGATACTGTCGCCGACCTGAAGAAGCTTGATCCGGCAGTTCTTTTACCTGGACACTGCACGGGCTGGCGAGCCAAATTTGCCATTGAAAAGGCAATGCCCGGCAGTATGGTCCCGTGTACAGTCGGGTCGAAGTATGCGTTTTAACAGGCGCTGGAGGGGCATTGGGTTAGAAACCGGACGAGGAATTATGGATACAAGGACATGATAGCATGATGATAGAAGAGAATGGAGGTCCGCATGGGCGATGTGATCAAATCGATCAACTTTCTTGGCTAAATCGCGGAGGCAGGAGCGATCAGTGCATGCTGCTTCCTATTGGCATGATAAGCTAGCTGCACAGAGTATCTAAAGCGGGGAGAGAAGGCACGCGTCTCCGATAGGGTGGCGGGACCCACGTGCCCCTGCTGCAAAGAAACCATCTGCGGGGTTGGCGTTAAATTCACCGCGCGGCCCTGTTCCCATTGGTCCGTGGTCCGAGAAAGTCTAGATTATGCCAGATGAGGATGAGGGGACCAGCTAGTGGCTCTCATATCTTGGGCGCCTCTTTGCCTGATAAGCAAGGCAATGCCCAGGCCGATTGTCAGCCTCGTCCTTCACTGCCTGTTCTTTGGAGTACTTTGATCAGCCTGCACAATGCTGAACGAGCTAAGTCTGCGTGATTATCTCTTTCTGCCCGTCTACGGCGTGGTGGGATTGGTGCTTGTGGTTGCTGTCGTGAGAAACGTCAGGCTAGTCTGGTACAACTTTCGTGTCAGCAGACAGCATGGCGGCTTACACGCCCCAAAACTGCCGTCAGGCCCTGTCCTGCCGATAAGAGGCACGTACTATCCATCCCAAAGGCAGATTGTGGTTCCTGACAGAGGTGTAACCCAGATTTGCAATTCCTTCTTTCTGCCGGCAACGCCCACCGAAACAACCATCTTCTCGATTTCTTCAACGCCCGGATCAGCAAGCACGCTAGCCCAGCATGCCCGAACTGTATTGAGAGCAATTTCACCGGCGGACGACGTTATTTCCTGACTCGGGAGCCGGATCATATCAAGGCCGTGCTCACCGGAAATTTTGCAGATTACGGTAAAGGCAAAGTCTTTCACGATCTCTGGAGCCCGTTCCTGGGCGACAGCATATTCACGACGGACGGGAAATCGTGGAGTAATAGTCGGCAGTTGATCCGGCCTATGTTCATTAAGGATCGCATTTCAGATCTGGAGATATTTGAACGCAGGACACAAATTATGATGGGGCTGTTTGCCAACCCAGGCCAGACGTTCGATATTATGGATCTGTTTTATCGTATGACCTTGGATGTCACCACCGAATTCCTGCTAGGACACGGAATTCACTCGCTTGAGAATCCCAAGGCCGGGTTTGTGCAAGCCTTTGCAGACGTGCAGAGGATGCAGATGGCCTTGACTGTATTGCAGTAAGTTTTTCCTCTGATGTGCCAGGAATACGACTGACAATTACCAGGCCGATCCAGCATTTTATCCCCAAAGGAGGATATTACCGCGGCATCAAGACAATCAACGATTTTGTTATCCCTTTTGTGCAGGAGGCTCTGGAACTACCGCATGAAGAGCTCGAAAAGAGGGGTCGTTCTGAAAAGTCGTTCACGTTCTTGCACTCGTTGGCCAACTTCACTCGCGATCCAAAAGTTATTCGCGACCAAGTCGTTGCAGTACTGCTTGCTGGCCGTGACACCACTGCCGCAACCCTGTCGTGGCTCATCTACGAAATCGCACACTATCCCGAGATTGTCAAAAAACTACGAGAGGAAATCTTGTCCACTGTCGGACCGTCTCGCGCTCCTACATATGATGATCTCAAGAATATGACTTATTTGAAACACACCGTCAACGAAACTTTACGCCTTTACCCAGCCGTCCCATTCAATATTCGCTTCGCCCTTGCTGACAGTACGCTTCCCTCCGGTGGTGGTCCTAATGGCGATTTGCCTCTCTCTGTCCTTAAGGGTGATGGAGTCATCTACTCGACACTAGCAATGCAGCGCCGTGCCGACCTGTACCCACCAACGTCCGAGCAATTTGCCGACCCAGCGATATTTTCGCCCGAACGGTGGGAATCCTGGCAGCCAAAGGCCTGGCAATATATCCCCTTCAACGGCGGACCTCGCATCTGCATTGGACAAAATTTCGCGCTCGCCGAGGTTAGCTATGCGATCGTCAGGATTGTGCAGCGATATGACAGGATTGAGTATGATGGGTCATGGGAGGACCAGTTCCACAAAGCCGAGATTGTCGGCACTCCAGGAATGGGCGTCAAAGTGAAAATGTGGCCTGCAAAAGAGTAGGCGTTTGGTATCATACCCTGAGGATGGGAGTTTGTGGCGTTGGTTAATTTAGTTGAGGATTTGTATGCCAGAAATTGTAATAATATGAACTTCAATGTCGCCTCATCTGCGCAATGCGATGCCTGACTCGCCAGGCAATGATATACATCATCCACTTCCTTCAGCCTTAGGAAATCCTAGGTTCCGAGCGAAAATGCCAGTTCGTCATCTTAAACGTAATCTGGATTTTGAGAAATGGCCAGTTACTGTAATATTTAACAACACGTATTGTTGGATGGCAAATCACGGACAGTATCCGCACAGATGGAACGCCGCGATTGGCTCGGACTCGGAGATACGGGCGCTCGGCCGACGGCATTACAAAATGACGAAAAAGGCAGCCGCCGAGTCGGGGCCGCGCATCCTCCCGTACGAGGTACCGCAGTCATCAACAGCAGCATAACAGAACCTAATCCTGTTCTTCTCCTCTCTTCTCGCAGCCTATTACTTGAAGAGGGTCGCGCATGTCGCTGTCCATGGCCTAAAGAACAAGACAGCGAGCGAGCTGTATAACCGGGCCTCTTGGCCGCCTTTTTTCTCTTTCCCTCCACCTCCGGAGACATCGCCCATGGTGCCGCTATCGTCGTCGGGTCCTGCCCGAATCCTGTCCTCTATTCGCTTTCCTGCACGCAAGCCGGTCGTGGTCGTGTCTCAACTCTCCTTTCGTAGATTCGTTCATCCCAGCGAATTCGGCGCGTTCGTTCCTCCCTCTCCCAGCTCTCTTGGCAAAGCGACTCCTGCGAAAACCTATCCTCGAACTCGAAAATGGTTGCGTCGGCTTTTCTACTTTTCGTTGACGGTCGGGGGAATATACGTGGTTGATACACAGTTTTATGCGTCTTCGCTCACTCGCACGTCTCGTACCTTTGGACTCGGCTTGGTTGTTGCGTTAGACTACAAAATCAACTTTCGGCCTGATCCTCCTTTTGCATCGTCAATTACTGCCCTTCACCAGAGAAACGCGGAGCGTTTGTCGGAGCTTTTGCGCCATAATGGTGGATTGTATCTCAAGATAGGTCAGGCGATGGCCATGCAAGCCGCGATTTTGCCGCCGGAGTTCCAAAAGATGTTCTCGCGCATGTTTGACGATGCCCCGCAGAATGAATGGAAGGATGTTGAAAAAGTGATCAAAGAGGATTTCGGCAAGTCGGTAGAAGAAGTGTTCGGGGTTTCCTTTAATGGAGATCCCACAAAGGGTGTCATGGAGCGCAAGGCCGTAGCGAGCGCAAGTGTAGCGCAGGTGCATTGGGCGCGGCTGGCTGATGGAACAGAGGTGGCTATCAAGATTCAGAAGAGGGAGATTGCCGCCCAGGTCGCGTGGGACTTATGGGCTTTCAAGTAAGTGGCTTTATTTTCGTTATTGAAGGTTTTTCTGGGTTGACAATATGGTAGGGCCGTTTCTTGGGTTTACAGCAAGTGGTTCGACATTCCTTTCTATAATCTTGTACCTTTTGTGAGCGAACGATTATTTTTGGAAACAGATTTCGAAAATGAAGCCAGAAACGGTGAGAAGATCGCAGAGTATGTGTCACGGGAGCCTCGATTACGGGACCGAGTATATATTCCAAAAGTGTACCACGATCTCAGTTCCAAACGTGTCATGACCGCAGAATGGATCGAGGGCGTTCGCCTTTGGGACAAAGACTCCATAACTAGGCCATGGCAAGGCGGTAGGCGCGAGGGTAGCCCTGGTTCTCATGGAACCCCCTTGGACCCCCCTAGTCAGAAGCAATTAACTCGCGAGGAATTCGCTAAACGAAGTGTTGCCTCGATGAACATTAAACCTAAAAGAACACATTGGAAAGGCCGGAAAGAAACGGGGGGGCTAGGCTTGTCCTTGAAAGACGTAATGACTACGATGGTTGATCTATTTTCGGCACAGATGTTCTTATGGGGATGGGTGCACTGCGATCCTCACCCAGGCAACATTTTCGTCAGACGGCAACCGAATGGCAAGCCTGAGATTGTTTTGATTGACCATGGTCTTTATATTGAGATGGACCCGACATTCCGAAGCCAATACGCCACTTTCTGGAAAGCTCTGCTGACATTTGACAACAAGACTCTCAAAGACGTGGTCAGTCAGTGGGGCGTCAGTAACTCTGATATCTTTGCATCTGCAACATTGTTGCGACCGTACGAAGGTGGCAACATGACCACACTACGTGGCATCGAGAAACTCACCAAAGAGGAGCGACAACATCGCCATTACGAAATGCAACAGGCATTCCAAAAAGCCTTCCGCGAAATCCTAGGTGATGAAACTAAATGGCCTCGCGAACTGATTTTCATCGGCCGTAACCTGCGTATAGTGCAGGGAAATAATCAATTCCTAGGATCGCCTGTCAATCGCGTGAAAATCACGGGGATGTGGGCATCTCGTGCTCTAGCTGAGTCGCCGGATATGCCTGTGTCAGAGAGAATCAGTAGCTACGGACGACACGTCGTTTTCCGACTGGTTTTATTCTCATCAGATATAGTTTTCTATATTAGCAAGGTCCGGCAATGGCTCGGATGGGGCGGCGGTATGGAAGACGATATTGAGAAACAAATGCGAGTGATGGCCAAGGACATGGGCATGGAATTGAGCGAGGACCAAAAGTTGTTCGACAGTTGATTATAGATATCCCATATTCCTGTTCTCACGCCGTGAAAGGTCCTGTATCTATACCATGTAATATTGTGTGATAAACCCTACTCATAAACAAACGAATAGAATAGACAACCTCATTCCATTTCATCTTTTCGAACCCTAATAACAAGTATAGCCGCCGTCAACAATCTAAGTTAAGTTAGCAAACGAACCCCATGCTCAATTCTCAAGAGAACTTACAACATCAGACCCCGTTAGAAAGCTGCTCGCCTCACTCGCCATCCACACGACGGTACCCTGGAGTTCAGATGGATGTGCTAGTCGGAGTGCTGGGGTATCCTTCACCCACGAATCAACCAATTCGCCGCCCTCTTTGTCAAGCAAGTCGAGAATAAGATCTGTTCGTATGTAACCTGGCGATAAACTGTTTACGCGAATGGAATGACGGGCCCATCTATTTACTATTATATTAGTGTCATTTTCACAACAAAAGAAGAAGAAGATAGCTGACTCTGTCGCAAGCGATTTAGCCAGCATTATGACAGCCCCTTTACTCTAGACGCTTCATTAGCATAGAAACAAAAAAAGGCCCAAGAAAACAAGGCCGTACCGCATTATAAGCACACTGTTTCTGCGGCCGAACAGATACATGTCCGCAAATACTACCCACAAGGACCATACTCCCTTTAACTTTCTTCTTAATCATATGCTTCCCAACTTCCCTCGCACATAAAAAGGTTCCGTCAAGATTCACACTCATCATTTTTCTCCACCGCTCATATGAATATTCCTCCGCGGGAGCATTGTCGACAATCCCCGCCGCAGTCAAAAGAACATCGATTTGTCCGAAATTGTGCTCTTAATTTGTGACTCGGATATCACGTCGCATGCGTATGCTTTAAGATTAGGAGAGGGTAGATCGGGGGTTTGGGCTTGCATGTGGCTTCTGAATTACTGCTGGTTGCTGTTAGTTATGTTGTGACCATAAGTTGTTTTGGATAGACATACCCCATCGGCCGCAGCACCACCACCAGCGCCACCAGTCTCACCCTCAAAACGAGGGCCCAGTCGAAGCTCCTAATATACGATCAGACAAGACGGTCCATCATATTGAGTAACTGATAGACTTACTTCTCGATGATACTATCCACGAACAACAGCAAACATTTGTTAGTTCCTATTGCGAACAATGCTCATAAAGTAAAGAAGAGAATCGTACATTGATTTCTGTGTCCACTCTCTGAAGCCGGTGATCAGTAATATATTCTTGACGATGACCTTTACAGCCGCTCACTATAATCTCTTGATTGAGCGCCTGTAATTTTTGAGCCAATTAGCTTGATGTGTATATCGCAAAGAGATAGAATGATGCTCACCGTTATCTGAACGTCTATCAACTATTAATGAAAAGTAGCTTAGCATTAAAAGTAATCAAAAAACTACCATAGAAGTGGTATAAAATTACTTCAAGCCTTTTTTTTAAAAACTGACTTGTATATTAGTCTATGCTATGTTAAGAGCTTTGGAATATACATACTGCAATAACGTTCCGGTGATACTGAATAATGATCATGTAAGCTCATGTTGATATAAAATCCGAATTATTGCATACCTCTTCGGAACCCTGATATTCATAAAGCTATTAATACTTGGTCAAGACAAATATAAAGATTTTACTTACCACTTCACATCTCTAAACAGAGCGAATTCATTCAATATCAGAATATTACCATTTAAATAACAAACTGGATTCAATTAACACACCTCCTGGTCCTATTATACGGTCAGCGTAAAAGTAAATCAATGAATTTAGAGTCTCATACTTCCTGGGTAGTCCGACGTGGACAATCGGACTGAGTGTGGCCTTTTAAACCACACAATTTGCACTATATTCCTTTCAGTATCAAAGAAATACAGCTGATAATATGAATATATACATTTGGGTCTGATTTTAATAAAGCAAATATTAGCAATGGTTATATTATGATTAGAGATTCACAATTCACTCACTGGGAAATTTGAAGTCTTTTTGAAATTGGAGCGAATAATATTGATTAGCAACCTCTAGAATATAAAATAGTGGGAGGAATAAGCGCCTTCGAGGTATGTGAGCAGCAAACTTACCCATTTTGGAGCGTCTTGCTAGAGAAGAGAGTATATAAGTATAGCACAATGGTATCAACGAGGATCAGAATAAACTTACAAGTATGGATTTTGTTTCTTTCAATAGAAACCTACAGTTAGCCTTCGTTTCTTCAGCAGTAGTATGAAGTGTATCTTCTTATAAGCTCCTCCTAATGTGAAAAATTGCTTAAGGCGAATATCTGACTGACTTACGGTGCGATCGTCTTCTAATATCACATCAATCAGTCATTATCATTATCTGGAAGAGGGTTTGCATACTTACATGAAATTTAGATTGCTATATAGCGACAGCGACGTAAAGTTAGCAAAGATAGGCATACCGTGTAGCTGCGAGGGGTCATGGAGCATAGCTTACGCAGTTGCGATCTGGTGAGAGAGCAAAAGGAAGCAATTTGATCGCAAACAAATATTATAGGAGGGAGGCACAGGGGTTCTAATCACGTGCCTAGTCTTGTTTGCCAGACTCGGAAGGTGCGATAGTTCTGCCTCAGGCGCCAGTCCGACTTGCAGCCATTACACTAGAAACACTATATTGCCTGGCGGGATGTCATTTTCACCCTCTTGTAGCCTACATCGCATCAACAGCACATGCTATGAGGGAAAGTCTAGTTTGATATGGGACCATCGGGATAAACTCTCTGACATCAAGGCTCAGTATGAATTCTAAGATAGTTTGGACAACGGACATTGGGCCCTTGGGATTTTTATTGAGTTCCTTAGGTAGGTATTCTACAGACTGAGGGTGGACAGTGGCTTTGAGTCATGTGCCTCGTAGAAGCTGACCGCATCAGATAGAGGAATATTCAACACTCCCATCACACTTCCCATGGATTAAGGAGAGTAGTAGGTTCTAATGACTGGCTTCACTAAAAAAATCATTTTGAGCAGATTTCAGTTAGTTGGGCTCTTAAATGAGCCAAGGCCGAGGAAAAACAATATAAATCTTTCGTCGCAGAGAGGGAATAGATATTCTGGGGTAACGCCAGCGTGACCAACATTTTCTAGCTCGCCTAGTTCCCAGTGCATAGCTTCCAAGGCTTGTCATGAAATACTTATTTCCTCAGTGAATTTCGCCGCATGTCTGTTTTAGACCTACATCTATCAGCCTCTCTCTGCCATCCATAAGCACAGCCTTAGAACGAGTCCAGGCACGATTCTGGGCAAGAGTCCAGGCACGGATCTGGGAACTTCTCAGATAGAATCCAGATCCTAGTGCAACCCAGCTAAGTCGTTGGTCGTCCCAGATGCAGATACCAAGGTAGTCTATAAATTGATCGTCGTCGCCCAGTTTCGGTTTTGAATGACCCGAAGAAAAGTCCTTGGGAAGTTTATCCCTTCTCTTCAAACAAGCTATGAGATGAAATCCAACTCTGCGTGCCCCGATCTGCTTTCGTTCTTCAAACCTCCAGCACGGGTTCTCTTCGAAAACAGTAGCAAATACCCATTTCTCAAGCCCGAATTTAGAAGACTGGCGACTCGTAAATGGAGTAAATAAGCGCGAATCATGGGGAAAGCTCAAGAAATCACGAGTAGCACCTAGTACACACTTCATCTCTTCAACTGGATTCGTCGAAAACCTCTTGAATGAATACGGTCTAAAATATGGATCGATTCGCTTAATTGTTGCCCTGTATTTAGAAAAGTCATAATCATCTGTTGTTAGATCGGGACAGATTTCCTGGATATTCCAATAAATAATTAGATTCCAATATGCCCGCATAATTCGCGTCTTTTCAACCCTGGACAAAGACCACCATGCAACAGCCTGGAAATCAATCCCAGCCTTAGAATTTTTAATAGAGTAATTATGAGTCTCTGTATTAGGCAGAATGGGCCATAAAGCCTCATGGATGTTATGGAGAAGCGAGACAAAGCATATGTGTTGAAGGGTCTCTATACGATATGCTGTTAACACCAGGTAGCGAGGACCCGGTGTTCCATTCATAAACGCACAATATGCTGGAGCTGTGAAAAGAACTTCTTTCGGGAGATTTTTGTACCTATGAATTAGGCTTTCCAAGGTGAAATTTGAGGATGTTAACAATGTGCCTATAATAGCAACTATACGAGCTTCATGCTTAAATTCTGGGATTGAGCGCTCTATCGCAGCATCTAAAATATAAGATGAGTCGATGTTAAAAGCTGTATTTGCATTTGCGGAAGCACAGATAAATTTGTATATCGTTGAAAGATCTGGCGCGTATCGAAGTATAATAATCCACACCTCCAGTGGAAGACGATTAAATGAGCTGAACATTGTGGTTGCTAAACGGTACTTATTGTTGTGACTTTTGAATAGGAAAAGCGTCAAGTGCTTTGATGCATCAAGGGAAGAATCGCCCTTTGGCAAGCCTGGTTGCGAATGGGTTGTCTTGGAAGTGGAATTTCTTATCAGAGAATCCCAATAATACAATAAGTGGATGATATAAGATCAGATATTGGTAGAGAAAGAGGTTTTAATGGAAAGAGTGTAAGAAAGCTAGGCAACAGTAACTATGACCGGGTTGCAGTAGAACTAAGTTGGCGGGCGAGAGATGGACTCCAAAGCGCAGGCACGACGCGCGAATGGATTGCACTCCAGCGCGGATGACTGCACAGGTTGTGATCGCGTCGTATGGCAAGAGGAAGTGGAAAAGACTCAGGATAAAAGGGAAGAACAAGTGGAGAGGAGGGGAGAGGACGAGGTGGTGGTGTGGTTAAAACGGCAAAAGATAGTCGACGGGTCGCGGTGACGATGGGCGGACCAGGCCCGAGGCGGCAAAACCAGCCAGATGCAGGAATTCACAGGTCCCACTATTACTGAATAAATAATAAATACCTTTTAAATTTAATATGGCGTAAAGATTAAGAATTAATATCTAAAACTATCAGTTTTAAGTGAAAAAAAAGATTCAAATAATAAGCTTTCACAGCCCACTAAATCAGATAAGATAAGCTGTAAATAATAGTCTCATTGCACAATCGCGGATCCATTGTTTGCCTAGTCATTTTTCCACCAAGGACTTTCAGCACTTGGTACATGGTGTCTCTCTCTGTCGGATCAAGTTTCGTCATCATGGGTATCACTCGCTTTGTCTCAGCATCGAGATTTGAGAAAGTTTCCTCCATCCACTGATTGAATCGCATGCTTGCATTCTTAGCTGTTGTTTCTAACAGTTCCATTAAGATGGCGCTCCATCTTTCATCGTTAAATGGTATCTGTGCCAGCTACCTAGTCGCATCCGGTGACAGCTGTTCAGCCATTGCAGCTAGTCACAGCATTACAGTAGATAATATCAATTATTATAATAATGAGACCTGGGGCTGGATGGGCTGCTCAGATCTTCAAATTGGTAATTACATCTGCCTAAGCACAGGGAATCCGCCGTTGCCTGCCCCTGTTGCTAATGCAGTGTGTGGACCCCAGGTGAATGGCACGGTGGCACCGCCTGCTGGGGCCAATATAAGCCTCTAAACCCCTGTCCTTTGAATGCCTGTTGTGATATTTGGGGCCAGTGTGGCACTACGGCTGAGTTTTGTACTCAAAGCGACTCTGCCACTGGAGCTCCTGGGACAACCGCTCCTGAGCAAGATGGCTGGATCGCCAACTGCGGAACAGAAATCTTATCCTACAGTGCGCCTTCAGCATAGTTTAGAAAGGTCGGCTACTTTGAGGCCTACGACTGGCAACTGCCTTGTCTCTAGATGCTAACACGTCTGCCTATACCCATCTCCATTTAGCATTTGCTACACTCAATGCAGATTTTTCAATAAACGTCACGCACATTCAAGATCAATTTAACGCATTCATCGGTATGACTGGAATTCAGAGAATCATAAGTTTTGGTGGATGGGAATTCTCGACCAGTTCTGCGACCTTTGAAATCTTTCGTGAGGCGGTCCAGCTAGCCAACCGCGCAAACTTTACAAACAATGTGATAAACTTTCTGAACGATTATAACTTAGATGGCGCGGATTTCGATTAGCAATATCCTGGTGAGCCTGATACTCCAGGTATCCCTGCATCTACAAAGGAAGACGTGAGCAACTTTGTTGAGTTCATGGCGGCGCTGAAGAGAAATGTCACCAGCTTTGCACCTGGGAAGATACTCTCAATAACAGCCCCAGCTTCATACTGGTATTTGAAAGATATCCCAATTACTTCTGTTGCCGGTGCAGTTGACTACATTGTTTATAAGACATATGATCTTCATGGACAGTGGGACTATGGAAATGCATATTCTGACCCTGGCTGTCCGGCTGGAAATTGCTTGCGATCGCATGGCAATTTAACGGAGACGCTTAATGCACTATCAATGATCACCAAAGCTGGCATCCCATCCGTACACGTAGTGATAGGCGTGACTAGCTATGGCCGTTCCTTCCAGATGACAACAGAGGGCTGTTACACGGAAATGTGCATACCCTGTTTCTCCACTAAAAAGGGCAGAAGATCATATATCAGTATATTTGTTGTGTCATGGTATCCTCGTTGAATACTGCAAATACCATAAATGTGGTTAATGGAGGAGGTAGCCGATGGGAGAGTTAGGTCGATGCATGCTCTTCGTTTGGTGTTAGTTGGTTAGCCACATTTACATTGGGGATGAAGGGTATTCGCGCCCCTTTGCGCCGGAGAGAGTGAACGAATTCCTTTCCAAGGCCACGTGCTGCTCTGTCCTTCGTCGAATTTGATCAGTGAAGCCTTGAGAGGATAGTTACCCTGTTACTAATTTTCATAATTTTAGAAAACAGAAAAAGAGGAGATAAATGAGATGGAATGAACTTACCGAAACATGTCTTGCCTTGCAGTGAAAAGGCAGGTAATGTTTGAGGTTTGATATGGTAAGACCCATGTGTGGATATCGTTGATAGAGGTCGAAACGCCATCGACAGAGCTGGTCGTCGAATCCTAGGAGAGATCCGACATCCTGTTATGTGAAGTACAGGTTCACTGGATAATGAGGGTAGCATGATAATTATGTTAGCACTTCTCTTTGTACAGAACACTTAGTCCTGTGCAATTTTGAAGTCAGTTAGATATATCAAAAACAGGTCGATCAAGTATGTGTATAAAAGAATTAGACTTAAACGCTCGGCATTTTTGATGTAATTAGAAATAAACCAACAGATCAACTACATTTGCTAGTTACAGACAGATTCGAAACCTGCTTCACCTTTTTTACTCTCTCTGAATAAATTTGCCCCACTGATACACTACACATTCCGCTCAGTCCGGACATTGTCCCGAGACTACTTCGGTTTGGGCTAAGCAGGAAGCCACGCTCAAGAGGTGCCAACGCTTACATACTGAGAACTGTCAGCGGCCAAGCAGTAACTATGGACTTGCCCGTTTGCTCGTAAAGCCTTCGACTGCAAACCTGCCAACCAGCATAGTTTCCGGCTTGGTTATCATTTTGTTGAGTTGTAGTACATACACCATAGCTAGTCCGCATTACTAGTATATAGAAACTGGTTTTCTTTATAAATTTTTCGTCCTTTCAAGAACATTGTGTCTATGCAACACTGTTTGGTTTGAAACTAATCGCTACAGTGTGAAGCACGGTCTTACTATCTAATTTGGCTGATCCCCATCTTGGATCAGTGGCTGCTGTATCGTTGAATACCCGATAAAGCTTCTCTACACAATTCGTGTCAACAATGGTAGGGAGTCCAAGTTCAAATGTTGTGACCCCTCATTAATGCGGGGGGCCAACAGCAGCCCTAACTGGTTTTTAAACCGCCCTTCCCTTGATCACTGCACTTCATCACTTCATCACCCCATCTCTGACCTCGTTGACCACACACGTTCCAAGTTAGCGGAGCTCTAGACCTTCTAGACCTTTATCATGGAACCACACTGGCAGATCTCACCCAACCCAAGCCAAGAGGCCGTCGAGTCGGTCACGAACCTCTATAACGCCATTAATCTTAAATTCCCTGAGGGGGTGAGAAATTTCGAGTCCAAGTGGGCCGCATGGCATAATATCTGCCTTAAAACCCCAACATCTGCAAGGTAAAGACCCCCCTGGCTGGACAATACACGCTAAGTCTGATTGCTCAACAGTCTCTATGCGTGTACGCAAACAGATGAGTTCGAGGCCATTAAGATGCTCGGTCCGAAGATTATCCAATTCGTGATTTTCAAGCTCGCGAGAGACGACATTCACCAGAACTCGTACGGCGTATTTTTGTGTAAACCTTTGCTCTCACTATCGCTACTATATAGTGGATCCTACTAACCATACCCTAGATAACGCGCTAGAGTTTGATACTAACTATATTGTTAAACGGGATAGGCCCCTAGCCTCCCATGAGGAGCTACAGCGTGAGAGCAGCCAACTTGTTGAGCTTAACTACCAGCGAAACAAAATCGTCGAAGAACGCATTGCAGCGTGGCAAAGGCATCATGAGAACAACCAGATACATAGTAACAGCATCATATACACGGAGTGTGAAGAGTACTCTGATCTACTCGAAATGGGCCCGAGCATTATTCCGCAGATAATGCTCATGTATGAGGAGAATTATGAAGGCTTCTGGCACGAGCTGCTGTACGAGATTATTCACGGCCATAAGATGGGCGCGTGGTGCTACCAGAAGGGCTACCTGATCGACATGTGGTGTCAGTTCTTCAACGAGCGCGGGTGGAACGAGATCCCTGTTTATACCCCTTCCGAATTCGACCGGATGATGTCCAAGATTGACAGTGAAGATGAGGAAGGGGAGTCATTCAGGCAATCTGGTCAACAGTGAATCTTGGCGACAATGCTTGGTGGGAAAGTGGACTCTGTTTATTTTTTATTTTTTTTATCAAAGTTAACATTATATAATATTCGGCATGCTTTCTTGGCATAGAGTGATGGTTGATTCTGAGTCTCATATATTGTTGTTAACTAGAATGAATCACTCAAGGTGCCGGCAGAGCCTTAATGTCAGTGTAGAGCTGCTAGGTAGTCAGTATATAGGAGTGCTAGTCTGTAGATAGTAATAAGCTGGCAGAATAATAAGATAAAAGAAAAGATATAATAGCTTTTTAAAAAGAATAATTATATAATAAAAAGTAATTTTTTATATTTTTTAATTGTAAAATTTTCAATAAATTAGAACATGAAAAAATAGTATTTTACCCCTGAGATCATTCTTAGACTTAGACTGCATGCAACATCGGAAAGAGCCCATCATTGCTGTGGTTGGTGACTTGGTGGGACACTGCGGAGGACAAAGGTAGCCGCAGCACTCGGGGCTGATCAGGAAGCAAATACCACGGCATGTTCAGCCTCGTCTGTAGCGCTATGTAGCCATTTAAGAAAGGAAATGCGCTGTTATCACTCAGACTGATGTATGGTTAATTGTTCTATCTTATTATAAGCAATGGCGGTTCTTCAACGAATCAGAATAAAGCAGCACGCTGTCTGCCTGGAGTCCATGTAATGCCTATAAGCCAATGAAATCACCCGGGGTGATGGAGAATGGACAAGGCTGAGACAGAGTGGTGTTAAGCGCCGGGACCCCTGCCGATCTAAGCATGGATTGAGTGTGCTTTACAGGCATGGAGCCATTGAGCAAGGCAGAATGCCGCACATCTAATGAAATTGGAGGATGGAAGATCTAGCTGGATGTTGCCTAAGCCCAGAACCCTACAGCACCAACCTAGTGGGTGATGAGGCTATTTAGATGGCGCACCAACCTGTCCAGCGGTTAATCACCGTCTTGGCTGAGTGCGCTAGTGTGGTGCAATGTCGGCTCAGACCATTCAGCGCGTCAGAGTCTCATTGTTTATTATTTATACTATTATCATTATAATTGTATTGTCTTGAGGTATTTTTTCAAGTCGGTCCCTACGTGGCATGCTACCTATGTCGATTGTCTAATGTTATACGATAATATACTATTGTCTGATTTGTTGTCAACACCTGTTGCTGCCATAGTTTCAGTAGGATCAGTCAAATTAGCTCCACTATGCGTATAAGTCTTTATAGAACTGAAGATTATCTATTTTGTATCAAATTGATTGATGCATGTGTTGTTTAGTAGTCTCAGAGGGAATTGGTCAAGCGACTCAGGTGTCGGGGGCTTGCCATCATGAGTGACATTCTAGTGACCGCCGGACTTTAGGCTATCCTTGTACAAACAAGGTATTGAAGCCTTTAATCTTGTTCCCGTCCAGCTGCTGTTGCCCCCCACTCCCATGTTCATAGATTCTGGTAGATAAGGAATATAAGAAAGAGCCTCCAATCATAATCAAACAAAATATAATTAAAAGAAATGTCATAGTGAAATGGCCATACTAGTCTACTCATGATCTTGACAATGCATTAGATTAACATACGGGGCGTTGGAAATGTATAAGGTAACAGACCTCGAAGTGAGGGCCAGAAAACACCTTTTAGACCACAGTGAGCTATGCGCAACAGTAAAAGATGCAATATAATTCGCTAATAGTTTAATCAGAATACGAAGGTGGAGGCAGAGATAGCAAACGAGAAATCGTTAAATACACGCAAAGATGTCAAACAACAAAACAACAGGGACACTTTCCTCGGAAGCATTCTTGCGATGTCCAAAGTGGGACCCCCCTAGGCGCTTTTCCTGCGGCTTTTGTATGAGGTGGGGTGGGGGGACTGTTCATGGGTATCTTTGGCGAAGGAGATGATGCCACGAGGAAAGCGTCCAGAAATGGGGTTAGTAGTTTATTGAATTTGTTGTTGTCAAGCTCAGGCCTCGGTTATGACTCGCGCCATGCTCTTTGGGGATTTGGGAGCTGAATCCCTAGTGCTAGCCACCCTGATCCATTAACCATGACTTCCCGGCATTTGGTGATAGCAAGAAGCTCGGTCAATAGATTAGACCAGAAGTTGAGATAATTGAGCTTCTCGTTGTCGAGAAATCTCAAAAATTAGTTCCGAACTGAGGGTAGTTGGTTTCCCAATCGATGGATCATCAAGGTTGTGAAGATTAGAATGTGGCACGGCGGCCCGAAGTGACCAGATCATCCCTGTCCTCATTTGATTGGCGGTCCCTGCAGCATGAAACGCGTTGTCGTCCTAAGGCTGATTTAGGGCGAGTGGTATATGCCACCGCAGGATTAGATGCACAGAGCTTGGATGCTTTGCTAGCCTGTGACTAGTGTAATTAGCGCGGGTGCAATACTGCTAAACTCGGCAAATATGACGACTTTAAACGCAGACCTTGTCTCCAACCTGCATGCCGCAAAGATTTTGATTCAAGGAGGAAAAGGACTAAATTACGAGATTAGGGATAGCGACTGCTACACTGCTACATACAAACCCCCCCTCGCGGCGTTTTTCAGGTCGGGGTTGAATTGCATACATCCCGTCGTCCAAGCTGGACCAGGGCAGTTAGCGTGGCTAGTAGCGTGAGCAGTGTCGACATTGCTGCCATACGAGATCGGGCCGCGGCATCACCAGAAGATGTTACATTGAATGCGTTGGCGTGCGTGGTGCCGCACATATCAGCGGATGTTGCTGTTAAAAGATTGGGTGCCCGCCTAGTCCTGCTGAGTGAAGAGGGCAGCATTTCTCACGGTGGTGAATTGGGTTATATTGCTAATGGGGTCATTACTTTTTAAAGAAAAGATAGCAGTGTTATGATATAAGGTCTTTAACTATAATAGATATCTCCTATGCTATAAATAGATCAAAAGTATTATAAAATCATCAGCCACACCGCAGATACAATAGCAGTCAACGACAGAGGTCCCATGAGCTTACTTCTCGTCGACTCACTTGTGGTGTATCCGAAGTTCGCCGAATTGTTATTGAAACCAACGGTACGCAGCCATCCTGGTGTACTAGTATCATTTCTAAGAATGTCTGAATGATACGTATCGATGACACCTGAAAAGGTCAGTCTGAATTCCCCAGCGATTGTTGTGTCCCCCGTGGTCGAGGTGGAACCCGTCTCATAGATAGGATCAGCCTCAGCGTATCCCTGCAAAGTCAAGTTTGCAGTGGAGCCGTCAAACTGTAGATCTATGTTTGGGCTCGGGAGATTAGTGCCATTAAAATACCCCTTGTCCATGACGAACGACCATTCGGAGCTGCCAGCGCATGAAGTTGCGGTACGGACAGTGAAACCATTCCAGCCCACATAGCCGCTTGATATGGTGCTGGACAGAGTGTACGGTGGGCTTGTGGTGTTTTCAAGGGACCAGATCCAGTTATTTGAAGGATCGTCAGTACCATAGAGAGGGCTAAGCGATCTAAGTTAGTCATTGAATATTAATCTAGGCTTTAACGAAGATATGACTCACGTTGAGGAAAAGAGTGCATACTCCAAGCCAGGCATGAATATAATTATCTGGCCTGACAGCAACGTTGAGAAGTTGAAATCAAGGGGCCAGAGCGTCAGAAAGGCATTGACTGGGTCATTAGCCGAGTTGTACAGACTTGGCTCTGTGAGCCCTAGTCGTGCGGTGTAGTTTCTGGTGCCGGTTTGGTTGCTGAACGCTGCTGGACATTGACTCGTAATAGAAGCTGCCACTCCGCCATACGGTATGAAGTCGACTTGTGCAGTGGCATTGTAATACCTGTTTATTTGATCAGTATCGTCTCTCATAATCGGGCCCTAAGAAACTTACGATCCAACCCAAAGGTACAGATCATTTAGACTCGCACTCACGTTACCTGGTCGGTAGTTGAGGGAAGCGTTGTAATTTGAATTGTCTTCTGCTGCAATGGCAGCAGCATAGAGAACCATGCCCAAGGCTGTGGGAAGAAAACGCATCTTTGCAGAAAGTAAACACGGGAAATGGCTTGCTGTGGACATTTAAGTCCGACAGGACCAAGCAGCTAGGATTCTCTCCTGATAAGTTAGCTTGGTAACTTGATGGCGCTGCAGACCTGAGTTTAGTTGGTTGGCCATAGTAGACTGAACCTTATCTACAACGAATGATCAAATCCGCCGGTTCTGTTCGTTACAAGATACGGAGTATGTAGATTGTTACATTGCACAGGTAACACCTGCTTGGCATTCAAGTCCGCGCTATCACGCGGCCCTACGAGCTCAATGTTCCGATTGGTAATCACAATTACTATTAATAAGTAGTTAACTAATTTATAATTTTAATTATAATTAGATTTATATTAAAAAATCATTTAAAATACATTAAATAATAATAAAATTATTTTTATATTGAGCTAATTGGAATGAAAGGGCCGCGTAATAGCGCGGAACCAAATGTCAAGTAGGCGCCGGTTACAACTTTACAGGTTAGAGTCTCATACAATAGTGTGCATTAGTTTACTAACTATATAGTTACCGATAGGTCAGTGTAGTTTCTTGTTCATGCAGGGACCCTTGCTCGTGGCATTATGGTGTGCCAGGTAACCGCATACTAGTGATAGGGTCGTTTTTTATGGCATGGCCAGCCGGACTTGACGACCGCTGTAAGGAGCAATACTACTTTAGAGCTAGCCCTAGAACAAAATCCAGCTAAGCTTTTGTTCCTTTCGAAAGAGGACTAGAGCAGCATTAGATATATTGTTAGCCAATAAGTACCAAGTTAATTCCCCTCACTAATGAGGGGACCCCTTTTTGGTGTAGTGGTTTTTTCGGTCGACATCTAGTTTATGCCGCGAGCAATAAACAAGCACTGCGCCGCATCCGCGCGAGACCATGCGAGTACTGGCAAGTACTGGAGCAAGTGAGCAATAGAGTCAGCGTATGAGCAGGTACTTGCTTTATCACTTACTCATCTCGCTGACTACATAGTAGAGCTTGTTTGGGGGTGCATGGGAGAGCACGAGGGCACCAGACGACTAATAATACTTTGTGTCCATTGCGCATCCAGCCAGAACGCAATCTAGTAAAGAGCTGCTTATCGTTCTATCATGACTTTAATCGAACCAATGCGTACAGAGTACGTTCTAGCTCTTAGAAAGATATCGGGTATTCATAGCATAATTCCAATTAAACAAAGAGAAAAAATGCACAAATTTCGATAAGAAGCTGTTACTGAGACACTAGCTAGTGATGGCTTCCAAGGCTAGACCAGGTACCAGGGTAGGATGGACCATTTCATTTGCAGCCACAGCCTTGGAAGGCTCCAAGGGCTGAACGAATAGTCAGGTAGCTGAACAGGTATATAAAGGCCCGTCTAGTACTACGAACATTGAGATTGATCAGACAAGTCACTTCTTTCTTTTCTTTCTTTCTTCCTTGTTCCTCAAGATTCAAGATCCTTCGTCGTCCAAACGTTGAAGTGGAACTATCATGCGGTTCCTGGCTTCTATCCTCGGGGCTTCGGCTGCCTGGCTTGTTGATCAGGCTTGTGCTACCAGCCTTTCTGCGCTAGAGAATGGATTCAACTCTCCAGCTAGTATCTCTGCTCGTACTCGAGTTCAGAGGCCTACTCGATGCCCCAGTCAATGCAACAGCTATGACACCGCACAGTGGTTTGTCTACCCAAGTGCTTCAAGGGTTGCTCGCTGCAACGAGACAATGCTGTTGGACTTCACGGTCTACAACCCATTGAATGACAGCGACAGGCGTCATACAATCCGCAGTTGCGTTGCAAATAAAACTGGTACGCTGAAAAATGCTATAGGAGCCACATCATGCTGCCTAGTCTCTTCACAGTCCGAAACTACGTACCAGGTTGGGTCATGGAGTACCCCAAGCTCAACGGTCTCCAACAGCTCCAGTGAGGGCTCGTCTGTGTTACAAGATGTCTCGGCATACATGACGGGGAACTGCCAGAAGTCGTCGATCTTCGCGTTCTCTGAGTGTGCACACATCGCAGTAGGAATGTATGTCGGTGGCAGTGTCCACCATCCCCAGAACATCGACTCCGCGGTGAAAGAAGTGGCCAACGTACTTCAAGACACAAGCTCTTATCAAAGTATCACACTGCAGCACTGTGGGAAAAAACGCAAACTTTACTCTGGGTATTGCAGTCGACCTCAACGGCGATCTTGCAGCTGTTCAGCAACATGTGCAAACTTGGAGCGATGGCGATTGCGTCTCCGGGTTCACCACGATTAATAATGTGTCTAGAACCGTTTCTTCCACTAAATTTAAAGATTCATCTGCTCCTGGACAGTCAAATAGCACGCTGAGGGGGAGATCTTCCCATATGTAGAACTCTTCCGCAGCGCTCCAGCGCCGTTCAACCTGTTCGTATTTGAAGGTAGTTTGGGGAGATTTGTGTGCTTCCCTTGTCACTGAGTGTGGAATCACCGCCGACGAGTTTTACGAATACAATCCGGCTTCTGATCTCTATTCAACCCTTGCGATCGGACAATATGTCTGCTGCTCAGCAGGCAGTCTCCCTGACCTAGCGCCATCTTCTTACGCGAACGGAACTTGCTACACATATGATGTGCAATCCGGAGACACGTGCTCCAGAATCGCAGCTGACTATACGCTGACTGTGGATGACATCGATAGCTTCAACTTCGATACTTGGGGTTGGTACGGCTGCGATGATCTGCAAGCCGGTTCATCTATATGCCTTTCGAATGGTACTGCACCCTTGCCACTTCCAATAGCCAACGCGGTTTGCGGTCCTCAGGTCCCAGGAACCAACTTCACAGGCACTACTAACGCCGGCGAATGGGCCGCTTTGAATCCTTGTCCTATCAATGTGTGCTGTGATATTTGGGGCCAGTGTGGAAATACTCCTGACTACTGTAACTATACTTTGGCTGCCAGTGGAGCTCCTGGTACAGTACCTCCTGGCTCTAATGGCTGCATCTGGAATTGTGGAACCACAATCATCAATGACGCCACAGAGCCTGCGGCTTATTCAAGTGTTGGATACTTTGAAGCAACGAACATTGACCGGCCTTGCCTGGACATGAATGCCTTCACCATTGGTCCGGAAAGTTATACACACGTTCTTTTCGCCTTCGGAAACATCACCTCGGACTTTGCAGTCAGTGTCGCCGGTGCAGAACAGCAATTTAATTATTTCACTGAATTGGTCGGCATGAAGCGCATCATCTCTTTCGGTGGCTGGGATTTCTCAACGGACCCTGACACCTATATGATCTTCCGCGAAGGTGTCACCGCGGCCAACCGTGATACATTTGTTGAGAATGTAGCCAACTTTGTCACCGGAAATGATCTTGATGGAGTGGATTTTGACTGGGAGTATCCAGGTGAGCCTGATATTCCAGGAATCCCCGCAGGCAGCGATGAAGACGGCTCCAACTACCTGGAATTTCTCACTGCAATGCGTGCGGCTTTACCAGACAAGTCAATCTCTATCACTGCTCCGTCCTCCTACTGGTACCTAAAAGCTTTCCCTATCGTGGAGATCGCCGAGGCCGTGGATTTCATCACTTACATGACGTACGATTTGCAGGGAGTTTGGGACCTTGAAGATAAATGGGCCCAAGACGGCTGCACAGCGGGGGATTGCTTGTTCAGCCATGTCAACCTGACCGAAACGATGTGGGCGCTTTCCATGATCTCCAAGGCGCCCGTGGCCACCAGTATGATAATGGTAGGCGTTGCCAGCTACGGCCGCTCTTTCGAAATGACTACAGTGGGCTGCTGGACCTCGTCTTGTACCTGGGAGGCAGCTGGTGAGGCAGAGCCATGCACACAAACAGCAGGCTACATCTCCAATGCCGAAATTAATCAGATCCTGCAGGAGAATTCTAATGCACAGTCGCTCTATAGCAGCGGTGACTCCTCCAATATCCTAGTCTACAATGATACCCAGTGGGTAAGCTACATGAGCAGCGCGAATAAGGCCAATCGCATGGCGTACTACAAGACTTTCAATTTCGCAGGAACCGGCGAGTGGGCGATCGACTTGGAAGCATTTGAACCATATGTGTCTTCGTTCAGCAACAGCACCAGTCCTGGACTTACATTGGAGGAGTTTAGCAGTGATCCAGGTGGCGAGACATTGGATGTCGACACAGACATTCCATGCTACAGCGTGAGCCCAAGTATGAATACCAGTACTGAACTTGAGAGTGTCGTGGTTTTGGGGTCTATCTATATTGATGAAATTTTTACTGAATACGCAGGTAAGCTCACTCGTTTCGCACCCAAACGTGCTGTCAACTGATCCTTTTTTTCAGGTGACCCAACGGATTGGGTATTCCAGATGACAAGCGGTCATCTACATGATACATGCGCCTCCTTCCCATCGACAGGAAGCGGCTACTGCTCTGATCTGGATGAACAATGGTGTTTTGATGGCACTATAACAAGTGGCCTGTATTGGGCGTCGTTCCTGGCTTCAGAGCTTTATGCCACTTGGGTTCAATGGTACGACGCTTTCAACCAGGCTAGCTTTCTCAGCTTCCTTGATATATCGACCATCGCTACAACCTTCACGCCTACGACGGTAGGAAATAGTTTGAGCTTTGGCAGCTTTCTTAGTAGCTTTTCCACCGCACTCGGTATAGGCACCAGTGTGCTTCCGGATCCCACAGGTTTATTCGGTGACTTCAGCTCGGGAATCAGCACCATTGAGAGCATCATCGGTCTTTTCCCCTCGGAGTCCGATTTTACTCTCCCGGCTGAGTCTGATCTTGAAACAGGTATGTCTGTCATGCTGGGGACGCTGGTAAACTCGACTCTATATGCCTTGAGCAATCTTTCCATCGCAGTCTTCGAAAATCCGAACGAAGCCGCCACCAAGATTTCGGCTGATCTGATCGATGGGCCATTCACTCACCCTCTTGCCAACTATTTCTACAACGCAAAGACTGTATCCACAATCAACACTGGAAATTTTACGGCCCTGATAAACAAAATCACCAGCACAATAGAAAAGTACCTAGTTGGTGCTGCTCTCGCTGATGGCGACTATTATGTGGTGAAAGTCACAGTTATCAGTGAGGCCGATTGCACTGACGTTGCCGAATACTACATGAATGACGCCTGCTACAAGCTAGCCTACCCTGGCTCATCCACATCTGTAGCTGGCCAGTCCATACAGGCCGAAGCCAGCAACACCACCATCACCAACATCGAGAGCTACGATATTAATGTCGCAGACATGATTCAGAACTCCGAGGCCTGCCAGAACGCTACTGGAGTTTACTACGGTGCTGTGGATGTCAATGTCACCGATGTGGCTTCAAGCGGCACTCTCCCTGCTTGCTTTTACAACCTGCCTGTCTTTCAGCTTCACGATGTCACCCTTACGTCTTCGTCGGGTGGTGACTGCCAAACTTACACCCCTGCTGGTGAATTCAGCCCCTGCTATATCACCTTTTACCAGAATGGCAGCACGTCCACGGTCACTGCCGGGCAAACCTATCTGCCAACCAACTTGCAGTCGGCCTTCACTGAAAAGTACTGTACTTGTGGTTACACACCACCCTGCGAAGGAACGATGAATGGAACGACCAATGGAACGACCAATGGAGTTAATATCGTGCGCTAGTCTTGCTTATCTAGCATATTTACCGAAGAAATGTGATGTGTGTGTCAATTTTATGTCAAGGTGTACCTGGCTAAGCAATCAAAGAACGTGAGACCATATTCGCACTAATTATATAAAATTTTTTCTTATGTCGTAAGGAGCCCTAATGTCACATGAATCGATAACTCGCAGCCAATAAATAACTAAGTTATTGTAGCAGAAGCTACTACATAAGCACCATATATTAAATATTTATATAAAAGACTTTTTTAATTCTTTAAATTAGAAATAGTAATATCTAATAATATCTTTGAAGATATTAATTATATAACTATTAATTATTTTATATCTAGATTATATTTTTCATATTATAATATAAATAATTCATTATTTATTTTTAATTTATAAAATTCTTTTATACATCGCTATCTATTAGTCCTAATCAGAAAATAGAATATAATTGATTTTTATTACATTTTTGAGCGATTTGGACTCTCAGTCTAATATTTGGAGTAGTAATGCTTGTTTTTGTAAGGAGGGGGTGGGTGCGCGTTCGGGTAAAAACGCAAGTACATTTGGACTAGTACCTTATTTCCCACGAAAATAGGTCTGCAAGCCAGATAGACAAGGCGTTTATCTGCAGCTGAATACGCCATAATAAGCTCTTGAGTAGACATTCAACATTAATTTTCAAATAGGGTCTGCAGGGAAAGCTTCTTCGGTGGCGTCCGAAGTTGCAAGGAGTTGACTGATTGGCTTGATCGTCACGCTCTATCCATTCCCTTGATAACCTACACAGCAGGACAGCATCGCGATATCTACAACTCATCGTATCTCCCCCTACATTCCTCTCTACAATACCACGCAAAGATAGGCTAGTTCATCTACTGTCTAAGTAACCCTTTAAAGGGGATGTATAGCTAACATTGCGATTTCTGCATGATTTCTTAGCCTGTGTTCAGAACCGAACATTATTGGGCTGTAACCGCTTTTCCTGGCGACATCCCTTACAGATTGCCTTTGATTCCAATATACTTGACAGATCAATCGTTACATATTTCTACAAAACTCCCTAAAGATTGAGTCAGCAGATAGAGCGGTGTAGCTGAATGAGGCCACATCAGCACTACGTGTTCCATGCTTCCAACCGCTTTCCTTGCTCCCGAGTAGTTGATGAGTTTTGTATTCTGACACCACTCTGCTCTCATTAAGGGGAAAAAATTCGAAAGGCATTAAAACGGGGAACTGTTACCAATATTAAAAATGGAAAGGGACCCAAACCTATTATTCGCACTATAACTTTATATGGAAGATCACATTGAGTTGGAACATCAGCAAAAGGGAAAGAACCAGTTAGAAAGGGCGCTTGATGAACTTTGTACTTGGCTCCTTACAGCGAGCTGCACGCAACTTAGCTGATCACCCTGGCATGATTAACTAAGTTATTTACCCTTGCTCTGTAGGTATGAGGGAATTCAGTCAGATGCCGCCAAGGAACAGCCTGGAGTACCACGAGGATGGAAGTACGTATGGCCACGGAGCTCATACTCACATCTTGATTCGAAAGAATAAACCATACCGATCTCGAAACGACCGTAGTGCTCAGAGGAAAGTTATATGATCTACACGGAAGCGGATACACACTACATCGACTATCTCGCTGTATATCTATCGTGTACAGGATGCGCGTTGTATTTGTGTGTTGGGAATAACGGTGAAGCCATCTAGGAACGAGAACTTTACACAGCGTCAGGGCGCTAGATGCCAGGCCAATCATATTGCTTTAACATAGAGACACTAGTCATAGCTTGATTTATTGCAAGCCTCCATTTCGCATCTACTGTGCCTATATCAGATACCATTTCATATATTTAGGCTCCTTATTCTCACAATTCGGGAAATCCGTCTTCACATTGCTTGAAACCAGTCACCACAACCGCAATGGCCCAACCTCTCGATGTTGAATTCAATACAATTGATGGAGTCACTCTGCGTGGTTGCCTATACCCAGCGAATCAAAGAGGGCCTGGTGTTGTGATGACCTCTGGGGTAAGACTGAATCCCAGTACTCTCCATATTTTGAAGGTGCTAACCGTCTTCTTTACGCTAGCTTATTTGTGTTAAAGAAGCTTTTGGTTTACCAAAGGTAGCGCGAGATTTCCAGAAGGCTGGGATCACAGCCCTTATCTACGACACGCGGACTGTTGGACAGAGTGGTGGTCACCCACGCAATGATATAGATCCCTATAAGCAGATCGAGGATTGCTCAGATGCCCTCACATTTCTTGCCAATCACCCGACGGTAGACCCATCACAAGTTGGCCTTTGGGGGGTTTCCCTTGGCGGAGCAGTGTCCCTTTGCTGTGCTTCCTTAGATCCTCGCATTCGCTTTGTGATTAGCGCCTGTCCGATACTCAAATGCGAACAGAGAAAGGAAAGGCTCCCACAGCTGCTAGCAAAGGCCGTGCAGGACCGGGAGGCACAGATCAAGGGTAATCCGCCATTTTATCACTTAGCTTTCGCAGAACGCCGGGGGACTATAGGCTCTTCACCATTTTTGGGGGCCCATCACGCTGGATTAAAAGATTTGAGCATAAAAGACCCTCTTAATCCTACATCTGAACACAAGCTCAATCATGAGGTCTCCTTTCTCCCAAATCCACCAAACGCGGCAACCATTCAAACGACATATAGATTCTTAATGTGGAATCCATTCCCCATATTGGAACATCTGCACTCAACCCCTGTTCTTTTCATTATTCCGGAGGAGGACGAGTTTATACCCCCCAATGTGCAGCTTAAATACTTTGACGATCTCCAGGGACCCAAGCGACTGCATTTGGAGAAAGGTAGTATCCATACCAACATCTTTGATAGGGAGGGCAACCAGGAGATTTTGAACAAACAGGTAGAATTCGTTCGAGATGCATTGAATGGATGTGTGGGATCTAAAGATCCCAAATATTAGGGGCCGCAATGCAAATCACCGTCAAATCGCATGTTTATTCTCAATTAGGATGATAGGGGATAATGACCCACCATTACCAAACTATCATACAAGCTAGGATATTTATCATATCTTAACTGTTAAGGATTGAAACTATAACGTGGTCTGGTAATAACCACCTATCTCCACGCTATCAAAACGATAAGCAAAAATTGGAGACATCCCTACACCACAACTATTACCAGCATGGATTCTAGAGTAATAATTCTGATAGTGCTGCAAAGGAATAGCTGGCAGTAAAATACAAACACACCAAGCAACACAGAATTGCGAACTTGGGTAAACATGCGTTCATTCAAACTAGATCTGGCACCACAAAGCCTCATATCCTGCGTGGTGTTACCAAGGAAGAGGTTGTCAGTGTAACACAGCCCAATAATAATAGGCTTGTAATTTCAACTGACAGGCAACGTGGTTACATATTCATTATAGAATTACCCGCCATAACCCCTCTTTTTGAAGGTCAAGTCAGTGCTGACCGCATTGTTTGTTGGTTATCATCCCCCTTCATAATAAGATCTGCAAGGGCCCTATAGTCCATGTATTAGCAGCTAATAGTGTTTGGAATCTATATTTCCCTTCCCTCAGTTAGTGTGTAGTTGCTCTCCACGTCATCTTGTATTGTTACCTTGCTGTTTGCATATCCTGACCGCCACTTACGACCACTCCCAGTGAAACTCACGCATTATACCGGATATCAAAAGCCTCCTCGACTATATGCATAATATGTATTTTTTCTGAAATCCAGCTCTTTGCTATTCAGGTGGTAATGTAGGTAGGAAAGATGCAGACGTCAGTAATGCGGTTAGGGTTGCACTGCATTCTAAATCCGCTTCCCTCGGCCGATTTGTGTTACATGAATTTGGGAGATAGGACAGCATTATGTCAGCTATTCTAAAGCGAGAGCCTAGAATTAGTACTAGAGGAATTTCACAGGTGATGATCTGCACAAAGAATGCTGTCAGCACCGAAACTCGTTATCAGACTGAATTCAGGTGATCGTTACCAGACGATCTATCCACAAAAGTATCGTTTTCGTCATGCAATTAGCTATATAGAATTAGTAACTCCTAAATTTCGGAATTTTTAGATACATTGAAAAAATAGAACATTTTACATTTAGCTATGTTGTCACATTCTTATAACAGTCAATACGAAGGTGGCAATTCCGATTGACAGAATTCATACTAAAATATCTCTGTGAGGCAAGGTTACGTGGGTCCCTGGAGTTTGGGTTCGGTGAACTTTTACGGGCTTTACTCTTCTTCTATGCATTATATTGGCTGTATGTTTATGCAGGCTTTTTGCTTTTAAGATAAGAGAAAATGAAAGCAAATGTGTAAACCAATAGTGAGTAGTACTGTTTTTACATGCGTCAGCGTAATGGTAAACCGGCAGCTTCAAGCACGTTCACGCAGATGCTCAACCGAGAAGAAACTTGAGTAGAAGTCCTTAAAGAGCCCAAATACTCCCTACTGGAAAGACTTTTATTTCAATATTCCTTTATTGTTATTGGAGAATTATAAGAAAAAAATTGGAGAAAGAACACAAACAACAAAAAACGTAAAAAGAAGCAAGAAAAAGGCAAAAAAACAAACAAACAAACAAACAAACAGAAACGATGATTGACGGTACCAAAGGAGAAAAACCTGCTGTGGGAGGCAATTCCATCCATGGCCCTAATCTTCAGACTCCTAGGGCATTCCAGCAAGAGAAGATTGCAATCGTTGGTTTTGCTTGTAGACTTCCTGACAATTGTTCCTCACCCCGAGCACTATGGGAGTTCCTGCAGGAGGGAAGAGTTGCGAATAAAAAGCCACCTGCTTCCCGATTCACTCTCGATGCTCACGTATGTTCTCAGAAACCCTCTCAGAATTTTACATTTGGCCTAGCTTGCTGATACCATGGATTGAAAGTACGACGGCCGGAAGAGGCCCCAGACATTGGTCTCACCTGGCGGAATGTTTTTGCAGGATGTTGACCCACGGGACATTGATGCCCAATTCTTCAAATTAACCCCAATCGAGGCAACCGCTATGGATCCCCAGCAACGGCAGCTTCTTGAAGTGGTATATGAAGGTCTTGAGAACTCAGGAATCTCCCTGGAAAGCATATCTGGCAAGAAGGTTGGATGCTTTGTTGGGGCATTTGCCTCTGACTATACAGACATGCAAAACCGGGATCCCGAGGATCGTGTAGAGACAATGTACGCGGGAACGGGTCGGTCAATGATCAGTAATAGGATCAGCCATTTTTTGAACATCAAGGGCCCAAGGTGCGTAAGAATTCAGAGCATCATATATGTTCTTTCACCACATGAGGTGACCTGCGGGAGTCGTGCAATTTTGATTAATTCGCTCTATACAGTATGTCTATTGATACAGCATGCTCAAGCACTTTATACGGCGTGGATGTTGCATGCAAATATCTTCATACTGGGGAAATTGACGGGGCTATTGTTGGTGGCTGCAATTTATTTATGAACCCTGACCCTCTGATAGACCGTCGATACGGCACGGGGGATATCCACTTAACTCGCACAGGCGCATGCTTCACTTTTGATGCCCGGGCAGATGGCTATATGAAGGCTGAAGCAATAAATATGGTATATTTGAAACGGCTAGAAGACGCAATAAAGGATGGGAACCCTATTCGAGGAGTGATACGCGGGTCCGCAATGAGTAGTGACGGATGGACTGCAGGGATAATGAGCCCTGACCCAGACGCACAGGCTGATACAATCCGACAGGCATATGCAAATGCAGGTATCTCCGATATCTCCGAGACAAGTTATGTTGAGTTCCATGGAACCGGCACTAAGGTGGGGGACCTGATTGAGGTTAAGGGTGTTGCTTCAGTATTCAAGCATGGCACCATGAAGAGGCCATTGAGAATCGGATCAGTAAGACTCAAAAATGCCCCATATAATACCTGACAAGATCTAAACTGTTTCTAACCATAGGTGAAAAGTAATATCGGGCACTCTGAGCCAGCAGCAGGTATTTCAGGTCTGCTCAAAACTGTCCTGTCATTAGAGCATGGCAAAATTCCTGGGAACCCTACTTTCAAAAACCCAAATCCAAGGATTAACTTTGCCGAGTTGGGCCTACAGCCTTCTAATATTACCACTGATTGGCCCATAGTCCCTATTCGCAGGGCTAGTGTTAATTCATTTGGCTATGGTGGCTCTAATGCGCATGTCATTATTGAAGAAGCCAAGGAATTAGGGCAACATATCTCTTCATATCTTACAGAGCACGACGACCCATTTGCAGATGCAGAAGTGCTAAGCCGACCTTATCTTCTTCCACTCTCTGCTAATGATGAGAAGTCCCTCCAGGCTTATCTCTCATTACTAGATAGGCATCTTTTAAACCCCCAGGTGCGCATTTCACTTCGGGATCTTGCATATACCCTGTCAGAAAGAAGAACGAGGCACTATTCTCGGGGATTTCTCATTGCCTCAAGTTGCAAACTTGATGTGCACAGTCTTTTGACTAGTCATGCGCTGCCAGATGTACCAAAATTAGGATTTATCTTTACAGGGCAAGGCTCACAATGGGTGGCAATGGGGAAGGACCTGATTGGGACCTTCCCCATTGCTGAAGAACGTGTGAGGTATTTGGATAAAGTCCTAAAATCTATTCAAGATCCACCTACATGGAGCTTGCTTGGTGAGCATATTTTAGAGCTAGCTCATGGATGCTAGGCAAAACTATACTAACATTGACTAGATGCACTGACAAACGCATGGTCTTCGGAGGCTCTCAAAGTTCCTGAAATATCCCAGCCCCTTGTAACTGCAATCCAACTGGCCATTCTGGCGGTATTGGATGCTTGCAGTGTATCTCCCGGCGTGGTTGTTGGTCACTCTTCAGGGGAGATTGCAGCAGCAGTAGCGGCAGGACAGCTAAGCTCCTCTCAAGCAATTAAGATTGCATTCTATCGGGGCAAGGTTGCGTCATCTATTCAATATCTCGAGCCAGTAGGTATGCTTGCAGTTGGAGTTCCTGTTGAGGCATTAAAGCCATACCTTGAAGGTACTTCTGTTGAGATTGCCTGCTTCAACAGTCCAGTGAGCTTAACCCTCTCTGGGACTCGCTCTGAGCTATCTCAAATTGAATCTGCTATCAAGGCAAACGGACTATTTGCTCGGATGCTTCAGGTTAACGCGGCATATCACTCAAAATACATGGTTGGAATTGCGGAAGAATACCAGTTGCTCCTGGAGAAAAATGTGGACTGGTCAGGAGCTGGTGCAGGTGATATCCCGATGGCCTCCTCTACCACAGGAAAATTTGAATCATGGCTAGGCCCAAGTTACTGGGTAAAGAATATGCTCTCTCCTGTTCTTTTCAACCAGGCGGTGCAGAATGCGATCTCTCAGCTCGCCGGAATAGATCTGCTCGTGGAGATTGGACCAAGCAACACACTAGAAGGACCAGTCAAACAAATTAACAAATCTCTCCACGCTCCAGTTAAGTATTGCTCAACCTGGAAGCGTGGGCCTGATGCGCTGAAAACTATGCTAGAGCTAGCAGGAACCCTTTTCAACATGGGCTACCCTATTCAAGTAGATCAAATTAACAGGGACGGTGTACCCGATAAGCCAAAAGTCATTATAGACCTGCCAAATTATGCCTGGAATCACTCCACTAAATACTGGTATGAGAGCGAAGCAAGCAAAGAGTGGCGATTTCGTCCATTCATGCATCATGAGCTTTTAGGAAGTAAAGTCTTGGGCGTCCCATGGGCTCAACCAGTTTGGAAGCAACATCTCCGCCTGGACGATGTTCCGTGGCTTCGGGATCATAAGGTAAGTACCTGGATTGCGTTGGACGATGGTGTAGTGATTATGAAACTGATGCCTTTTCATTTATTTTAAAGATTAATGGCATAGTTATTCTTCCTGCCGCAGGTTACATCGCGATGGCGATTGAAGCCATATTCCAACAGGCAAGAGTGACAGGCAGCCTAGATGTGGCGATTGAAAGAAATCAAGTGACATACCAGCTCCGCAATGTGATGATCAAGCATCCATTAATGCTGGAAGATGGTAGTGTGGATAATAAAATATTTCTCTTCTTGACTGGTTCTCTTGAGAGTAATCAATCGTGGCGCAACTTTAGAATCTTATCGAGCAAAGACAATGTCATGACAAATCATTGTGAAGGCCAGATACGCATCACTGAGCTACCAAGACAGGGTAAGTTCAATCGGCTCTCTTAAAAAGGCACTGCGACTTTGTAGGTGACTTTGCTAAATGACCCAAAGTTGGAACAGAAACGGAGCTACGGCCACTCCAGCACCCTGAGCCAGCGATGGTCTGGTATGATATAGCGCGGCGGAGTTCTCTAGAATTTGGGCCTATGTTCCAGGTCTTAACTAAACTAGAGTGGAGTCCCAATTCTCTTGATGGAAGGACATTGATGTCCTTCAAAGAGCCGGATCCCAACAATCCCTCAACATGGTATGCGCTGCATCCCACCTGGATTGATGCTGGCGTTCAGGCAACCAACATGAAGTTTACGGACCCGAAGGTCAATCCACGCCAGAATAGTTGCCCCCCCGCAGCAATTGATGATGTGATAATATACTCGCAGACGTCAAGGCCCCTGGAGGCTTTGTCGGTGTCTAGTCTCACGTTTACCCAGGTGGGGCGGTCGGACGATCCTAAAAGCTACAAGGCGACCTCGTCCGTGTATAACAGAGAGAACGGCGAACTGCTTTTGGGTATAAATGGTATGCAGCTTAGCGAGCTCGAGACTAGGGATACAGATCATCTTGACCATAAATATACTCAGCTGGCGTGGCAGCCTGATATCTCTCTAATGTCAAACTCCAGCTTCGCTCAATTCGCGCTTGCCTCACCAAGTTCAGAGCCGGACAATACCCCCACGTCAGCCTTCGCTCAAGCTACAAAGCTGATCGATTTAGCTACTCATAAAGATCCATCGTTGAAGTTGTTGGAAGTTACTTGTTTCGACGATTCATTGAGCACATGGATGACTTACGGTCGTGTACAAGTGCCCGATGTTGTGGCCCGCTGTGACTATCACCTTTCCCTTCCATCAGATGCTGCTTTGGTCAAAGCCCAGTTAGAATCTGAAGAAGAGGAGCATTTGAACCTTTATGTTCATGGCAAAGAAAGACCGTTTACCAATTTTGGGGGTGGTATTAGCCATGCCTTCAAAGTAATCATCATCACTGTAAGTCTTTCCGCCCCCAAAATGTACCTTTCCTTTAAGTAGTGTGTATTCATGTGTTTTATGAAGGAACCACGGCTACATCAAGGACTAGTGAAAATGGTAGAAGACGTACGCGGATTATTACACGAAGAGGGTTTTATTATCGTTATTTATGGCGATGCTGAGATGGGCACAAACGATGGTATGGATTACTCTTTTTTCCAGCAAAAGGCTTATCAAGGCTAACCCGGTATAACACTGTTATTACAACTGAGTAGGAGAGTTAAGCTTGATTGAACGTCTTGACCCAGCCGGTTACGAGTGCATTTATCGTGAAGAACACGCCCTGGCCCAGGATACGAAGGGCTTCAGGATCGGATATATTGGATCAGTTGGCAAGCCAGAGCAAACGGATGCCAAACCACCTCCTACTGTTCATCTTATTCATTTTAGGCCCCAGGATGACACCAAGACGAAGATAAGAGACTTCCTTGAGAAGAATGGGTGGCGCCTATCAGAGCATACACTGCCGTGCGATAGTGCAATTCCAGAGAAAGCTTTGATTCTCGTCTTGGATGAGATTATCTCACCTTTGTTAACTGATATTGATGAGACACAGTTACAAGCCCTTCAAAATCTAATGAAACGTCAATGTCGCATTCTTTGGGTTACTTCAGGTGCACAGATGGAAGTGTCGAATCCGCATGGCAGCTTATTTTTCGGACTAGTGCGGTGTCTTCGTTCAGAGCATCCAACCAGTAGGATTATGGCACTGGATATCAGGTCACAGTCAACGCTAGAAAGCTTGTCCGCAGTCCATATCATCCTCAAACGGCTGTGTGGTCAAGACACAAGGGAACAAGATGATGAAGATGAATTTGTGGAAAGAGACGGAATACTACATATCAGCAGAGTAGTCCCTGATCATACTATCAATCAGCTAGCAAAACTAAAGGCTGAAGGACCTGAACTCGAACGGAAACAGTTCGATGACAATTCATCTATCATACGACTAATCAGTAACAGAACCTGGGCATTCAGTGGACTTCAATATTCGATGAACCCGGAAGAGCCAGCCCTTGAGGATGAGTGTGTGCAGATAGAAGTCCATGCGGCCGCCCTAAACTTCAAGGTAAGTCGAGGGATCCGGATAAGTGGCTCCTAGTAGCCAACTGACGCCTATACACAGGATGTGGCGGTTTCCCTGGGGCTTGTTCCAGGTGATACGGAGAAATTTGGCTTGGAATGTGCGGGTATCATTGTAAAAACTGGCAAGTCAGCGACTTCATTCTCTGTCGGTGACAGAGTCGTCGCTGGTGTGAGAAATGGTGGATGCTTTGCAAATAGAGTCAATATTCGTTCTTCTCTCGTCCAAAGGTTGCCCGATAGTGTAACATTTGAGGTATGCATGCTAGCCCTGAAATATTGATCATGTCTAACTTCCTGCACTTCAGGAAGCCTCAACCATGCCAGTCTGCTTTTCAACTGCTTTGTACGCTCTGGTCGACGTGGCAGCGATCAAGGAGGGACAAGTAAGTAGCCCATTCCAATTGCCCAGGTTTTTGGCATTCAATGCTTGAAATCCGGTTAACTCGTGAGAGCAGTCCGTTTTGATTCATTCGGCAGCCGGTGGCGTCGGCCTCGCCGCTATACAGATATGCAAATATCTTAAAGCCGAGGTAGGCCTTGTGCGAGTATTATATCTAGCCAACTTGGAACCCTAATGGTTTGTTGTACTTGCAGATTTTTGTCACCGTTGGTACACTTGAGAAACGACATTTCCTGAAGGAGGAATGGGATATCCCAGAAGACCATATGTTCTCTTCTCACTCTGCCACATTCTCCACAGAGCTCTTGAAAAAAACAAAAGGCCGTGGGGTAGATGTCATCCTTAACTCCCTCACAGGTGACTTACTTCATGAATCCTGGCGCTGTATTGCTGGTGGCGGTACATTCGTTGAAATCGGCAAGAAAGACATCTTAGACAGAAACACATTGTCACTAGAACCTTTCAACCGGAATGTAACGTTTCGTGCGCTTGACCTATCTGCCCCTTCTTTCAAAGAGAGCGACAACTCAAGGTGAGCTTTCATCAGGGCCTGTGGTGTCTTTATTCTCGACTTCAGTCCACCGTGAAAATACATCTAACACCATAACAGACTTCTGCGCCAGACAGTTGAGTTGCTCACTGATGGTCATATAAAGCCGATTCGTATTGACAAGATATTTTCCTTTGCGCAAATTGCCGATGCCTTTCGATATATGCGTGGTGGAAAACATATTGGCAAGGTTGTCATCTCCGATCAGGACCGGAGCAATATAAAAGTCATGGTATAGTTCTCTCCCTGGTAGTTTGCTGGCTATATTTTGACCTGAATATAGGTACAAGCTCCGCTCCCTATTCTGCGTCTAAGACAAGATGTCAGCTACCTGATCGTTGGAGGTCTAAAGGGCCTTTGCGGCAGCCTCGCCCTCTATCTTGTACAGAATGGAGCTAAGAACCTTGTTATCCTCGCCCGAGGTGGTTATGACGATGAGAAGTCCCAGTTGATTATTCACAATCTCACTGGAATGGGTGCACATCTCGATCTTTTACGCGGCGATGTGGCTAATTTGGAAGATGTGCGCCGTGTCTTCCGTAGCAGCTCATATCCCATCGGGGGTATTATTCAAGGGGCAATGGCTTTACGAGCAAGTCCAGCCCTTTCCCATCTATCAAAGTATTTTTTATAATAGACATTCGCTAATCTACTTTCAGGACAAGGCATTTATCTCAATGACTGCAGAAGACTTTCACGTACCTCTCAAATGCAAAGTCCAAGGTAGCTGGAACTTACACAATTGCGCCCTTGAACAAGAATCCCCGCTAGAGTTCTTTACTCTGCTCTCCAGTATCAGCTGCATTTTTGGTGGACATGGACAAGGTACCTACAGCGCAGGCAACATGTTCCTCGATAGCCTCGCTGCATACCGAAAATCCCTTGGTCTCCCCGCATGCTCGGTCAATTTGGGCGTAATTGAGGGTATTGGATATTTCAATCGAGACCGTACGCTCCTCCAGCGACATAAATCTCGGGGATTAAGCACTCTCGATGAAGTCTTGCTTCGAAAGACGCTTGCTTGGTCTATCATACAGCAAACAAGTCAAATTGGGAAACATCTAATGCAGAAGTCGCAACTAATTACTGGTGTCAGTGTTCCCATGGAACTTGACTCTTCAGTAATGATGGGACCCCGCTTCAGTACCTTAAAACCTGGCCCTCGGGCTAACCGTGCAGGTGAAGCGACGTGTACAGGCTCTAATAATGATGCCGACTTGGTCCTTCTAAAGAGGGCACGCAACATCCAACAGAAGAACGTGCATTCTTTACTTTTCCCAGCCACTGTAAATGTTGTTAATAAAGTGTTAATGAAAAGTCTGGGAATGACCACACCACTGGATGAGGCTCGGCCATTGACTAGCTATGGAGTTGACTCACTGGCGTCGGTTGAGCTGAGGAACTGGCTGCGAACCGAATTGAGTGTTGAACTAGGAGCTCTCGATGTGACCGGAGCCAAGACTATGGCAGCGTTATGTGAGACTATTTTGAAGCACTTGCTTAACTAGTTAGCGTTGGATATGAAGATGGGGGATGGATAGGTATTTGGGAGTGTTAAAGATCTAACACCTAGCGATTCAGATTAATTTGCAGAGGCTAGTAATCACTCACAGTATCTCTTTACAGGATTGTAAAATGTAAAATGCTATATTCGTAGATCCCGGTTGTGCTAGATACATCATGCTCCGTTACCTTCTATCATAGTCCGAGTGTGGCAACAGGAAAGGGCATGTAGTTAATAGGTACGGAAATAGGAGCCTGACGACGGGAAGATAGTATGAAGATTGGGGTCAGGAGAGAGGATGCCGGCGTCTTGATATACACGATGGTGATGGTAAGCTAGAAGACAGCGGCGAAATCATAGTGCTGTCAGATTCTAGCATGAGTCGATCATCTCCATCCAAACCCGCCGATACCGCTCCGCACGAATTTTCGAACTGTTCGAACTTCGCGCGTTTCGATGAATCGAATCGCATTCGAATGTATACACATGCCGAGTATCGATATACGATTAAGTTGAAAAGCTTCAAACAAGTATACCATATGTGAAGTATAAGCAAACCTGATGTTGAGTATGATGTGGATTACACTAAAGAGTGGTTTTGTTTATTTTGGTGTGTTTATTTAGTTGTGCAAGCTTAAAGTATATATTTGGTTTTACATTCAATGCCCGTCAATTTTATATCGTGATATTTGCCTTCCCTTTCTTTTCTTTCTTCCTTCTAACACCACACAAACATTGATTGTCAGTACCCCAGATCTAAATCAAGCATGTTCCAATAATATTAGAATGATATTGTGATGATATTTCTCACTATTCTTTTCTTAGGCATAGGCTTAACACATGTGCAATGGTGAGTAGTGGTCTCCACATAACTCGCCTCCTGCCGTCGTTTCGGGAGAATAGACCTGATCCCGGATCGTCTAAGATTATATCGTTATGCATTTACGATAAACTGGGAGACTTGGGCGCCGGAGAAGGATCACAACCAATGCTGAGGGCGATGGATGAGATGGAACAAGACTTTCGTTGTATCGTTAATGACGGTTTGGTAGCAACGCGGAGAGCGGGGGGCCTCCGACTTCATATAACTTCTAAGCTTTCATATACTAAATAGGACTGTGTTGGTATTGGTTTGTCATATGGTCTCACCCATCCCCGTCGAGACAAGGGACGTTCCTAGGCACTATGTGGTAGAGCCCGCAGACAAGACCAACAGAGCGGGTGAGGATGGTAGGGCGGCGATCGGAAGACCATGGGGTCCCCAGTGTCGGCGACAAACCTTTATACCGGGCGAGGGATGGCTTTATCACCGGTGATAAAAGTGGATGCGCTTCCTCATAGCCGTCCAATGGTACGCATAACACATGGGCTGGAGCGTCGATGAGAGATGGGAAAGATTCTGTGGTCTTCTAACGAAATCCATCAATGGTCACAAGTAGGTAACTCTCAATCCCTCCCGCCTTTCAAGGGGAAACCATGGATGTGAGCTTTTATCACCTGTAATGCGGGAGGGGAGAACTTGTTCCTGCTCCACTTCTATCACTTTACTTTACTTATATTCCTCAGCCTTCTCACGGCCGTAGGCTACATGTAGCCCTTTAATTTGATTCTACCACTAGACCAAAATACGAATCCGTACCCAGTCTAAGGTGTGGTAGTTTATAATCAACTCCCTAGCTAGTGCTATCTAATCGCGCTAGCTATGGCAGTTACACCCGCAAATACATGTATTAATTTTCCTCCTCCTTACGGTTCCTTTTCACCTGGTTCTCCACTGAGAATCTCATTGTTTTAATGAAAAAATTGAGCACTACTTTGACCACTTCCATGATGGGTTTCCATGTCGCTATATTGCCGTCAATGGTTTTCCTCTCCTGGTTGAGTCATGTAGATCGTCCCCCTAGCACGTAAGATAAGTCTCTAAATCTTTCCCCTATCATGCGGATCATCAGTTGTTGGAGCTCATCCTATTGTTTGCAACGAAATAAAAAGTGTTTTGCGGATTCAATTTCTTCCTAACACCGACACTGATCACTTTCAGTACAGTTACAACTAGTGTAGGTCCAGGTGCGTGACAGATGAAGCAGGCTTCAAATCCGTCTGTATTATTTATTCTGACAGTCCTAATGACTAACTGGCTGATCACATAGCTATAAAATAGTAGGCCAAGCTTTATTCGAAAATATTAAGAAGGTCGGTAATCTCACCGACAAATCTAGAACCTCGAAATTCTAAATTGGCTTGCATTGTGCCAACTCGGCAGACCTGCCTTAATCAACACCGGGTGCAGGAAGCGTAATGATCATCATTCATTGACCAACTGAATGTAAATCGTCTGCATTTGGACCCTTTAAAAAAGGCCTTCTTTGCCCATTGAGTCTAAAGAAATACTCAATCCAACCTAACAGTTCAATGGCATTAAATTCAGACTGTTAATCATTTGAATGTGGTGTGAAGATCAGAACCTACAGCTTCAAATGTTGTGTGGGGCTAAGTTCACGATATATCTGCAAAAACAGAGTAGATTTGGCGACTGAAAGCTACATATCTATGGGGAATCGTCTCTAAGATTGATGCTGCATTAATACACGTATGTCCGATTGTAATATATAAAGAAAAATGGTAAGTGTTGAAACAGCATTACATAGATAAAAAACCAGTTTTTGTCTTGCAAAAACAACCGAGAAGAGGTATCATAAAGAATAGGTGACATCTGAATAGATGAGAAGTAGAGCAAAAATGGGTATCCTGTTGACAGTCCGCTTGTACGCTCGTAATAGCGATAGAGAAAAAATAAGTACAAGTTCAAAATTGCAGATCCATCATGTATAACCAGTATAATGAAGGAAAGGGGTATTATAGAAATTATATGCATGTATAAAGAAGTTGATAATAATCAATAAGGCATCATCCAGTTTTCATATCCAGATGGCTGCCATTCCTGTCCTGGATATGCCGTGCTTGACATGACGATCTCTTCAGAATCGTCATCCCTAGGAACGGGCAATTCGACGGGAACGCTGTTCTTTGCGATAACTGATCTATCGTCATAGTACGGCGTGCTTTCTGGAGCTTGGCCATCGGTAGGATGGTACCGAGAAGCTTCGGAGTGACTATTGGATAAAAATGTTGGTTTCGACTCTTCTGGAATCGACAAAGCTGGTGGGTTATTTGATACCGCTTCGCGAGCAACGTTAGCCACTGCTGTGGCCGCCGCTATCGAGTGAACTGTAGTCCTTGATTGGAGTAGTCCCAAACCCGCATTCGAAGTTTTTCGGTTGTAAGCCATAGGCTCTGGTTGTATGGAATTTCGAGGAGATAGTGGATCTTTTTCCATTCCCTCAGGTAAAGTGATTGGAAAAGGGGTTGACTGATCACCAATACGAGATGTCTCAGTCACTGCATTGAATTTGCCCAAGTTATAAATCGGGTCTGAATAATTTACATTCCCGTCGAATCGGTCGACTGTTCTCCTGCTGACTGTTTGTGAAACCGGGCTACGAGAACGCAGTCGCAGGTCCTGTGCTCGGCTTCGACCGCGTTCCAATGGCTCCGGAGACGATGGCTTTTGCCATGGTGTTGATGGTATGCCACTCATAGGGGAACCGACAGAATACGAATGGCTGGAGCCGGAATTGCGTTGCTCTGGTGAGTAAACGGAATGTGGTGATTTGATGGGGTAATGGTTTTCAGGGTATGGCCGATATGTTCCAATATTATCAGGATGATAGGAATATCCCTGACTTGAATGACCATGGAGACTTTCTGTAGGTGGTGAGGGCTGAGGGGCATAATACCCACTGGGCGGAGGAGGTAACCCTTTGTTGTGGCTAGTGAGCGTTGCAGGCTGCGGTTGCTGTTGAGAAGACGGATAAGAAGAAGGTTGTTGCTGGGCATATTGATGGGGAGCTGGAACAGTCCATGTATTTGCACGGTGGGCTGCCCGCTGGTTTTCACGATGTTGAGAATTGACGGACGGGGCATCTTGTGAAACCCGGTGTTTTCCTTCCACCGGTTGACCCAAACTCGAGCGATTGAACATACCCTAAGAAAGGTTAGTAGCGTAAACACAGAGATTGCCTCGGATGCACGTACAGTGATCTTCGAAAAAGCGCCTCTCTTCGCTTCAGGGTTTTTCTCGGAATCCTTAGACATGTCAAGAGACATCTTGCTCTCAGCGTTGCTGTCAACCGAAGGAGCGTCGATCGAAGAGCCTCGAGCCCTCTTCCCAACGAATTTTATCCTGTTCTTGAAAGGTACTGAAAGCTTGAAAGATTTACCTGATGTAGCCGAGGCTGTTTCACTCTCCTGGTTTAGAGGGGAAGGGTCCATGCGTAGGTCATGTCGTGAGAGGGCAGCTTGAACCGCCATACTATCGCCACTTCCTAGGCTGTCTTCTTCGCGTCGTCCAGGCCCAAAAAAGTTGCTACTGCCAGTAGGTGGGCCACTATCACCCGAAAGAGGGCGTGAATGGGCACCCGCAGCAAGGCGACCATCGGTCCACCGCGACTTGCCAAGCCGACTGACAGCATTGATTGCATCCTTGGCTTTTGACTTTTGTATATTTGAGTTGAAAGAAACTTGGTTAGAAGATTGCGAAGGCTGTGGCTCGGGTGAAATTGTAGTTCGAGGTCCTTGGGTATTGGCAACTGTATTGCTTAAGGAAGAAACAGATGAACGGTGGGAATCACGGTGAGTCTGCGGCTCAGGCAATTGGCTTTTCCTCCATGTAGGCTCGTGGTTTGGTGAGAGTGATTCGATGGGTTGGTATTGCGGTAGGGTTGTAGACGCAGATGGACGACGGGTGTCAGCTTGTGAATCACGTCTAGGATCGTACGTAGGCGTTGTCTCATTCTCATTCACCTCCTTATTATCTGCCGAGTACGGTGCCGCAGGGTTTTCAAACGGCGGGGGCGGTTCGTCTGGTGCCTCTTCTCCTAATGTCACTGGGATCTGAGTCGAGACTTCCTGCTCCTGTGATGAATCTATCAATATCGGTTTCCTATAACCGGTGACAAGCATGGCTTCGGCAATAGCATGGCGGTCACTTTCAAATGAGAATCTCGAATGTCTTGAAAGCCTTTTATTACTCTCCGCACTTTGTGAGATGCGTCGGTCCTGGGGAAAACGTGATATCCTGACAACTGATATGGGCTGTGATTGTCGGCGGGGAGCTTGAGCACGGCGCGCTGGCTGTGTGGGCAGATCTTTTTGAGGGTCTTCATGGTAGCCAACTTCGGCTAGCTTTTCTTCCAGAGCAGCATCCACATCATCGTCTTCATCTTCAGATAAAGCGGAGACTTTGGAACCAGTTGGCGAAGGGTCTCTGAACTTAGTATAGAGGCCATCCTCGTCGAACTTCTCTCGAATGCGGTCCATGTCATCTTCAGATATATCCGAAACCTGCGAAGACGAAGAAAATCTTCTATTACTATCACTAGTTGGCGCATTTTCTGTTTCAGGCAATGGAGGTGACACAGGGCTGCGAGCACTATTATCAACCGGGATTGTTTTCTCAAATGCAAAGTTTAAGTTCGGTTCATTAGTTGAATCTTTGCTTTGATAAAAACGCGAAATGTGATGAATGCGAGGGGAGCTGTGCTGGTTATTCCCGGGAGGGTTTGGTGCTGGTAGAGTTGAGGACACCACCGCCAACTTTCGAGGCACTTCTAACGATGAGCCCCTGGCCGTTGACTGAAAGTTTGTTTGCTTTGTACCTCCTGGGGAGCCGATTGAGATTTCTCGAGGCACAAGACTGGATGGTCTCTTCGAAAGCGGCTCTGATATGTCAAGTGAGAGCTTATAGTTATCATCATTTGACAAGCTTGAGACTGCACTTAGGGATGTGCCAATATTTGTATCAGGTCCGCTCAGTTGTCTGTTTAATGGTTCTGGTTTTACCATCGTACTAGGTTGAAAACTTCGAGACGCGACAAAACCATTGCTCTGTAGAGCGTTCCCATTTCTAGGGAGATTTTCAACTTCTTTACCTTTATCATTGACCGTTGAATATGAGACCTGCCTCCCAGAAGAATGGCTGGGGGGTGAATGTAAATCTCCAGAGTCAGCAGGATCGACGGCAGCTACCTCAAATTGCATCATTGCCCTTCTTAGAGAACTGCTACTGCCCTGCCTAAAGATAGAGGGCTCTTCCTCAAACACAGGCTTGAGTTGGGTCCCCAAGTCAAGAGAAACTGCACGAGGTTTTTCTGAAGGGGTATTCTCCTCTTTGAATGGGTTTGAGAAAGATTGGCCTGGATTAAACTTGAACGAGGGAATCCGAGGTACTGGCTGCAGCGAATAACGCGATGACTCTAATGGGCTAGGAGGTGAGTGTGATTCCTCCTGGGTGAGATCTATCTCGGAGACCAGGGTCACGTTGGTCAATTGTGTACTTCGCCGTCGACCACTGAATATGGAAGTTTTTCCCTACAAAAACAAAGCCGAATTAGAATCATGAAAGTTTCCACATTCAAGATAGCTGCAGGTACGAATACATGGAAAAGGGCGTTCCTTCCCAACCACGTTTCCAAAATTGCTTCTACGCCGGAACACGATGGGAAGAATAAGGCGATAAAGGAGACAAAATAATAGGGGATATATAGACGTTACTCGCCATAAGTCACTGAAAGGAAGATGACTAAAGTTGCACAACGCAACATAACGGGAAAAAGAGAAAAGAATTTCAATCTACCTTGTCGGCTCCTCCTCGCAACTTGTTCTTGCCCTTAGCGAAAAGCCCGCGCGCTGCTCCTCCGGCCTTTCCACCAAGTACACCAGCACTGTGCAGGAGGTCTTTTCCTTTTGATTCAACATTTTGTCTGTTCATGCCGCCAGTCAGAGGCGACCCAGATGGCCGTCGAGCGTGGCTTGGGGAGTACCCTAGACCATCACCATGTGAGTGGGAGGAGGGTAAGGAAAGGTTTCCGAGAGACGTCAACTTTGGGAACTTGGCTTTAGGGGGTAAGACGCCGGTTGGCGCTCCTCCTGGAAGTTGACCATTTAATCGAATCAAATCTGCATGCTCGGGAAGTGATTCACTAGATCGTCGAATCCAATCTTCTAGACCGTTATCGATAAGAGCGAATTGCTCACGAGTCTCGTTGAAAGCCCGAACTTTCTCGCTCGGGGACTGAATGTCCATGATCTTACGAAAAGATGGCAACGACGCTTCGGCACCAAGAGGGTGAGTGGGCTGTTTCTGCAAAGCTGGGCTTGGAACAGGCGATTCAATTGGGGTCACTGTTTGAGAGCCCAGAGCAGGAGCTTCCTGGGTAGGGATCGAAGAGGATTCCCTTATAGGACCCGCAATCTCAACAGCGGGCTCTTCTGGGGGCTGTGTGGTCTCCCTTGCTATGGTAGAATAACGTGGTAAACCGTGGTCATCAAATGCGCCGATTTCATCTTGTAATGCGGTATCGCGGGTAACGTCATCGCCAAATGCAGCGGGTGCCGTGAACTGCGCATTTTTAGAACTTGATGGAGACTGTACCGTGGGGGCAATCGGTGTCTTCTCTGACTGTTCCTCCAGAACATCTTCCTCATCGGAGTCATCGGTAGCTTCCCAAGAAAACCTTTTCTTAAGAGTGCGTTGCGTCTCGGATACAGCTGAATCGGTTTCGGGCTCCTTCGAAACGGTTTCTGACACTGCCTTGGGGTTGATCGTTAAACTGAGTGGTTCTGTAGAAGGCACGGACGCCGGGGTTGTTGTAGTGGGTTTTGGTTGAAGAGGGCTTGTTGGAGTTACATCCTTTTGGTCATTCCAGTAACTATCGTATTCGCTCGGCAGATAGGTGCTTTCATGACCAGGGCGATACTGAGACTTTCGGAAGTCTATTGTCTCTGGATTTGGAGACGCACTGGCACTTGTTGGATCAGGGCTAAGAGAGCGCATGATTTCTTTGCGCAAACGGTCACTTTCCATATCTTGTGGCGAAGTTTCGGTACTCATTGATGGCACTATTTGTGGAATTTCCTGTGACTTGCTCTGCGGTATCTCTAATGGTGTTGGTTCACGTTGCTGCAACTGCTCCTTTTGCGGCCCATTTAGGTTCTCAACGGGTGCCGTGTATAGACTAGGATTCTCGATCGATGCGTGAGGTACTGAGCTAAGGTGAGGGGTAGCTTCTCCGGATTCAGGCTGGTCCTTGGAGACACTAGACTCTACAGTATCAGTGTCAGGTGCGGATAAGTTGTTTCCAGAAAGTGCAGGCGACACAACTTCGGCTGAATGGCTTGGCTCAACATTGGAAACTTCCGGGACCCTGTCAGGTCCATTTCCGGGAGCCGGTATGCTCAGATCTCGTCGGTGACCTGGTCTGAAATCTGCAGGAGGTCCCTGAGCGGAGGCTTCACCAGCAATATCTTCTGTAATGGTCGGGGTCTTTTCAGATTCCACATTCGTGCGGCTGATGATAGGACTAATAACGGACGTACTGTCGCTATTTGACCGACTAAAATTCCCATTACTCGAGGTAGGAGTTTCCGGGACATCAAAAGCCTGATTTACTACTGATCTGAAGCCCAGAGATGGATTGTGGTGCAAAGGCAAGTCCTCCGCTTGCCCTTGCTGTAGAGCGGCCTGGACGGGCTGTGAAGTTTGCTCGGAGTAGGCTGAACTGCCCAGAAAGTCCTGACCAAAGCCAGAGAGTCGCTTTAATTCAGGGATAACCAAGGACGAGGTGGATGGTTCAACATTTTCCCCTCGCAGTGTTGTTACTCCTTCGTGGGAATCCTGGGCGATCGCGAGAGGGCTGGGCGCAGATGGTGGAGCAGCTGTTGGGGGCAAAGACCCCGAACGTGACGAGTCTTCGGAAAAGCGCTCCTTTTCGCGCTCCTCTTGCATTCGCTTATATATATCCGCGGGCCGAACGAACGCAGGTGTCTGAGTTGAGGCCGGTTCGGATTTCTTTGACTCTGGAGGATTGGTCGGCTGGGAAGTAGCTACTGGGATTGAAGCAGGTTGGTTGGGTTGGAAGTTAGAGGAAGATTGTTGCTGGTTCGCGGAGAATCGAGAAGCGTCAGTAGGAAGAGGGGGGTTTCTTCCTCCTCCTCCTCTTCTTCTTCGTCATCGTCGTCACCCCAATCATCGCCGTCGTAGGAAACAGATTTGGCGGAAACCCATTTCTTTGTCTTCTTGCGATTGATGTCGGTCTTGAAAGAAACTGGTTGATTCGCTTGGGAGCCGGAACTGAAAGGCTGGTTGCCATTCCCGGGGTAACTGAACATCCAACATGGTTAGTATGAACAGCTGCTCGTTGGAATTACGGATGACAGGATAAACGTACGCGCGATACGGTCCCGACATGGTGGGAAACTCGTATGAGTTTTAAAAAGAAAGAGCAAAAAACAAAAAAATTAATCAAGATCCAGCATCAAGGGCTACCAGGGTTGCAATAACACTTGGAATAAAATTACGGAACAGGCTGCCAGGCAGCTAGCGTTGCGGGAGGCGGCACAAGCTGAGACGGGCTACAGCTGATGAATCGATCGGGAGAGGTCTGGGGCACACTGCTTGGTCATACAACACAGCGAACTCGTTGGAGTGCAGCGATGATAACTAAAGGAAGATGATGGAATATGGACAATTAGAAGAAAACAGATGCACGAGATATAGTGTGTAGTGGAGCGAGTCGCCACGAGGAGCGTGGATAGGCAGAAGAAGAGGGAGAACAGGGAGGAACAGAGAGCGCTGGGAGATTGGGGATGGCCCCAATCCAGTTAGCGCCAGCCGTGATGAAAAGAGGGGCACGTGGGCCAATGGGAGGCTCCGCTTCCGGCCGATCTCTGGCCACCTTAGAACTAGCGCGTTTGGCAGGGTGCAGCCAATCAGCGATCTTCACGACCGTGTTGTTTTATTTTGTCAATGAATCGGTATCCTAATTTGGCATCTGTCTGGCTATATTAGCCAGCTGAAGTAAACAAGGAGATCAATTGGCCCTGGAACCGGAGGTGTCTGTAACTGAATCGTTTGGTGTTTCTGCTGGCGATTTCAACGACCCTATTTGCAAGTACACATCTACATCGATGTCTGGCAGTTTTGCAATTTACTATATTAATGTTTGGATACACCCGCCGACATCTGGACGGATGAGGATGGCTCCTGACCCATATTTGCAGAAAGTTAGATGAAGGAGGGATTATAAGACTTTTGTGCCTTTTGAGACTGAAAGCTGGGAAATGGTTGACACCTCAAGGGATCGGTATTGTGTGCAGTTCATTAGGGCCAGGGGTAAGACCTGTGTGGACCAAAACACCAACCAGAGCGGTCTACTCAACATCAATTGATTCCATGTCGGTATGATTTTCAAAGTGTAAGATACAATTATAACGTTATCAATTGCTATGTACAAATGTGTTTAAGCAAATCAAGATATATGAATTCATAATCTGCGTGTACGTAACACGCCTCTACATAAAAAGGTCCATGTTCGCATTGAACATCGACAACATCGAGGTCTACTCAATTTTCCAGATGTTATATATGCTGCTTTGTTGTCTACGGCCCGAACTTTCCGCTTTCTGGAATTTCCAGATGCGCACAGCCTTTATAATCGCACGTATTCTACCATAGGTTAGCTATAGTTCTAAAACATAGAAATTGCTCAGGATACTTGCCTTATATACCGTTGTTCCCCACCAGCTGAATTTCGACGACGCACCACTGTAGTAAATTGAAAAGAAAATGACTACACCGGCCATTGACACAGATGAGTCCAACGCTGAGCTCGTCACAAAATTATACTTATACCACCACGCATGTAGTCGTCGTCGGATAAACCACCCAAATATAAGCCCCACTACAGCCCAGCTGCCATAACTTGTACCCGTAGCAGGAGGTAGATAGTTGAGACCGCCCAGGAATAATGGGACATTGATGTGACGCCAAAATGAGCTTGGGCGTCGTTGCTTCATGAAGTAGACTGGTATAGGAAGAATGGCACCAATGATGAAGAAGTAAAAAAGAGAGTGGTAGCCAACTTTGCTGGTAAAGTAACGCCAGGGTCCGATAGCACCCCAGATAAGAGATGTGTTGAAGTGTGTGCGCGAATATGGGCACGTAAAGCCATTTGTTCCGTCGGTTGTACAGACCCCCTCTATGTGATTGAGACTCCAGTTGAGGACTCCAAGTGAACTTAAGGTTCCGACTATCATACCTACACACTGCACTAGAAATAGAGATTTTTGTGGAACCTGTATTCATTGTCAGTTAGGCTATCATATTGTTTTCGTCTACTCGGACCTACATTGCAATAGTGGGCCAACTTCATGTCTTGGGCAAAGTAGAGTCCCTTGATAGTTGTGATGTAGCCCAGATCAAAGAACCAAATATTTGCGAGAACTTTGCCTTCAAAGACAAAACCAGCCACAATGCGACAGAAAATATCTATATTGATTTTCAGATTGGCAGTAGCATATACCAGAGCAAGCTACGGAGACTGTTAGAAATTCTGCACGCGAAGCAACTTTAGGCGGACAAGTTTAGCACTCACCGGAGCATAGAAAATCAAAGCGACAGCACAAGCTAATAAAACACCATACCAGCGAAGTTCGGCGTTCCAGTATTCGACAGCAAATATAGACATGAAAAGAGCTATGAGGCAACAGATAAGGTACCACCATATTGGTACCTCAATCTGTCCTGTTCCTCCTCCTGTGCTAATGTTCTTACGTCGCAAAAGAGACCCACTAATTAGTTTGGGAAGCCTTCGAACAGCTGTCATCATGACATGACGCTGTTCCAGTATTACCCAAACTAGCAGTGAACTAATGGTTGCAAAGGAAAGACCAAACATATTGATGGCATATGTAACAGGCATGTACACCTGAATAAGTCACAATAATATTAGATATTAGGAAACCAAGAAGGGAATGCGAAATCTTACTGGGGAGTAAGACTCGTACTTGGCAACGTCAATTTTGTAGCCGTCAGCTTTATTGACAATTCTAGACGCTTTGTATACCGCTCCTGTATTGTCATAAACTGATATATTGTTAATACTTAGACCAAATAATTATAATCAACTGGAAGTAGCCACCTGAAGAACTCTGGAACGGGAGGTAGCCAGTATACCAGGTATTAGTATAATAGCATGCAACTGCAACAATCCAAATCCAAAAGACAAGCCCCAAAAACACATTAAGAATAGCCCACGACGGAACGAGTAAGGGAGATCCAACATATGATATTTGACTCCCTGTTTTAACATCATTAGTTGTTTTCCATCCCTCAAATGAACAAGACAAATGGTGATGACTCACAGTCAAAGGTAATTGGCAGTAGTCCCATTCCCGACGTCATCCCAAACAGCTGGTTGACTACCTTACTCTTCGGATTAATCCAACATGGGAAAGTAAAGTAGCTTAACGCCGGGAAAATGAAGTCCGGGAACCAGTACCAGCAGAAGGATATGCAGAAGACCAGTGTGAAAAATGCGTATCGAGACATTCTGTATTTTGCGTATCTATTCCATTTCATAAGGAATGATCAAAAAGGATATCGGAAATCGAAAGGGCTTCTTACATCTCTTGAACACTACCTTTCTCGACATTGTGAAGTGTGGATGTGAGAGCAGTAGTGCCTAGTAGACCTGGCCAAATAAGCTCTCGGGGTTCAATGACTACGGAACGGAAAAGTCCAGCCAAGCAAAACCCGATGAGGAATGTAGACAAGGTAATGAGAACTTGAAAGCCCCAGCTAGTCTTGTAACCATAAAACATCTGTTGTTCGGTCAAAACGTCCGCGCCGAGGCGAACATAGATACTTAAATTTGACATAATGTAGATCAGTACATGTTCCTATTTTGGATTAGCACGACAGTTAATAGAGCAGGCTTATAAAAAGAAATATTCTACCTTTTGATTGAAGGGGCCAGGGTTTAGGCTAAATGACCACGATCTCAAGCGTGCGTTCCAATTTGGAACAACCTTTTCCCATAGTTTACCTAGCGGGTAGGACAGTAGGAGTACCACCGATGATGAGATCGTGATTGACGGATTTCGAAGGGTGTACAATGTGTTCAAACCACTGACTATGGCGCAAAATAAAATTCCCAATACCCACATCCGTAAGGTCAAGACTGGTTCAGTAGGATCATTTTGGTGGTTGCTGATGCCAGCCGCCTGCAACACGTCGGAGATGGAGTCTGCCAGAGAAGGGAATCAGTGATTTTTCCACATTTTCCTAGTTCACGATTTGTAGAAATTTATGATTTTACCATTGTCTGACTTTTGTGCAGCGTCAGGAATCTCCTGGCTAACAGTTTGCTTGGATTTATTCTCCATTTTACACAGACCACCCGGCTGCCAGCAGTTGCGTTAAAATGGACGCTGTCAGTGACAAATTTCCGATCAGATAAGATCAAAAAACAGGCTATGACTGGCTTAAAAGGCCTTGCTTAAAATAAGACTTTTTCCTGTGTGGATCTTTTTACCAACACTGACTCGCGTGTCTCGGGTATCTCGGCAGCCTTCCAAAATCTGACAAAAAGCCTGAATGTTATCCAGGTCAGCATGTAGTTCAGTCAACTAACTAAATTGTGTCAGCCCACGAAGCTAAGTCAGATTAAAGATTAATATATTTTCTCCATTTTATTTTATTGCATGTCCTCTTCGGTATCTCAACCTCCTGCTGAAAAACCAGATAACAATCCTGGCGGCTGCTTTATATGATGAGCAGAACTCATGAAAAAGTAACTCCGACGGTAAGTTGACGATTATGGTGGACCCGGGATCAATATTTAATTGGTCTAGTTTACGCTTTTTGGTCATGAGCGCTATATCGGCGTGGAGTTATAACGGGCAAATATTGTCCGTGAAACGCGCGACTGCACGCTGTGCTTGCAACTTTTGATAACATGTCTAATTTCCCTTACAAACAAAGACACCGCAGTGACTTTAGACCTTGATTGGCTGGTATCATTTCAAGTGCATCTTAAACTTTGAGCTAGGTACAGAATTGAGCCAATTGGCTTCACTTTCGCCACAACATACGTCGAGGTTGAGCCCCAGTTCCAGCGAGATGTGGAATCATGTTTAGAAGTTGCGAATGTCTGCATAGTTGGAATATACATCTAGACAATGCATTAATAATAAACAGTGGCTCCTTAGTACAATACAGCTTTAAGTAGTAGCGAAACACAAAGAAAGACGCGGTATTTTCATGTTAGGTTGAGCGTTCGGGCAGCACCATTAAGCCAGGCGCGGCTGAAGCAAAATGTAGGTTTTAATTATAGGACCATGGCTATTTCTGCGAACATTTCATTTATCAAGTACTTTTACCTGGTATCCATGCATTTTTCAGTCTCCATGAGAACACGTCAATTGATGTTTATATGATAGCAGCTATGATTACAGGGGCCGTCAATGTCAATTGATTCTATTATCTATTATCTTACAATGAAAGTAAAAGATATAGCAATATTCAAGATAAATTGACTGGCAATCTCTCATTTATTCTGCAGAATTTCTATCAATTTTCTAAATGGTTGAGCGAGGCCTTCGAACAATCCTGTAGGTAGTATTTAGCTCTACCAACGATCGCCTATATCAGACTGATCGCGAACTCACCCACGAAGTTCTACTATAGCTGCTTGATAACCGCCGCAAGATTTGTCATATCCTCCAAGAAGAAGTCGTTTTCTCCCTTGACTATCTCCATATCTTCATTGATATCGTCAGTCCACCTGTGAATATACACAGTTTTCATCCCAGCTTCTTTTCCGCCACGAGTATCATACGCGTGCGCAGCAACAAGAACTGTTTCCTCTGGCTTCAAGTTCACCAACCGCAACACTTCTTCATAGCTCTCTAAAGCAGGTTTATAGATACCGAGTAACTGGCTTGAGAATAGCATGTTGAAAGAAAGACCCGAAGATTTGCAGAGATCAAGTTGCAGTCGTGTGGTTCCATTAGCATGAACGAATACTTCATAGCCTACTGCTTTAAGCTGCTCAATTGCTTGGGCGACATCTGGCCATGCCGGCATTGAGTGCCATGCAGCTATACATCGGTCTTTTGTTTCTTTATCGAAAAGATGTTTATGAGCTGGTCGTGTTTCCAACAACGCATCGAGAGTCTTTTCAAGAGTAACTTCGATGTCCTCAACGGGCTTATTGGCAGCAAGACGTGCGGCATTAGAATCAAAATAGTCGTGACGCCATTTCAAAGCAATCTCTGATCTTTCCCCTTCAGGAATAGATTGTGGTAACGCTTTGATGGTTCCGCTATGCCAGTCTAGGCATGTGCCCATGAAGTCAAAAAAGATTGCTTTGATGTTCGTGTTCGCCATATTCTGTTATCCTGTACTGAAAAGTTAAAAAGTGTCGTCAATGACGCAGGTGACTTAGCGTATGGCTATAACATATATATTCAACGTTGCTGACAGGTGTCGATGATCATTAACATTCTTGCTCATTTTTGATGCTGCTGACAAATGTACATATGTCATCATTCCTGGAAATTAGCCGCACGGTCGCGGGGAACCAAGACGGCTAAGCCTCTCCATCACTTTCTCCATTTTCCATGAACGTGCATTCCAGTGAATGCAGTTCGATGGGACTCGGTTTCGACTTAGGAGAGGCTGATTAAAGATCACCGCGAAGATAGTGTAAAGGCTCGGATATGATCACCATTCTATCTTTTAACCTTTAGAATTTCTGGCAAAATATAAGGTCTTGAGACTCACCGTCCATGTCCTGATAGGAGATTTGTTGTCAATGCCATGCTTGATTCCTCTAGGATAAAATTGGCTTTTTAGGGCCGAGAAAGGTACATGATATATGTTTTGGAAACAGGAAGCTGCAGGGGCGCGATGTGATTGGTGCATTGGGAAATCATGAAGGCCCAATCACAGGCCTTATGCTCCGGCTGGAGATCCACCTTGCCCCTTGTCACGTGGAGGCGGTGGAGGACCCTCCGCACTAAACCTCATTCGGCCGGGGACATTCAAGTTCCGGACGCGGCTTTCAGTGAATGTTCTATTGTCGCACATCGATGGTTGCGCTCTTCCAATTTCCAGCCTGTCGACTTGTCATCTTTATACCTTTGTGAAGAATATACAGTTTCTTCAATCACGCTTGCCTCCTATTCTTCGTCTCGCTATTCGGTTCCGCCTTGATCTCTTGGAAATATCTGCCTTGACGAGGCCACGTCTCCCGTTTTGGCTGCGCCCCATGGATAATTTGCCTCTCGTCGACAACCCACGATTTTGAATCTATAGCCAACGGAGTCCAGTATTCGCCACACTGCAATTCTAAAGGAAAACACAATATTGATATCCGCCTCTCCGCATCTCAGAATGGCGGTAGCTTCGATACAGGACCGGACGAATGAGTTCCACTCCATTCTCGGACAAGCGCAGAAGCGAATGGCCTCGAATAAAGTTGGGGCTCAACGTCAGGCATTGCTTTCTGATTCACAGCGCCGACAAGCAAATGGTGCTCCCGATCCCACTGGGAAGAAGGGTAGATCAGAGTTTGCCAAACGAGCCGCCGAAATTGGACGAGGAATTACCGGAACCACGGCGAAGCTACAGCGATTGGCAGAGTGTATGTTGATGAACAGAGTAGAAATGTTGTTATCATGTTCTTACTAACTGGCGGTAGTGGCTAAACGGAAAACCCTTTTCGATGATCGTCCCGTTGAAATTTCCGAATTGACCTACGTGATTAAACAAGACCTAGCGGCGTTGAATTCTCAGATCGCACAACTACAAGCCCTCACACTATCACAACACCCCCGGGCGAACCGCAACAAATCGGATCAGGAGGGTGAACACAATGACAATGTATACACAACCATAAATCCATATAATTGGACGATGCTGATTAATTATTTAGGTTGTCGTCATGCTCCAGGGCAAGCTTGCTGATGTAGGCGCCAACTTCAAAGAGGTTCTCGAAGTACGCACCAAAAACATCCAGGCGTCACGATCTCGTACCGAAAATTTTGTTTCATCCGTCTCGTCCAAAAGCCAGACCCAGTTCGACCCTCAGCGGTCTGACTCGCCTCTTTACAGCGCACCTCGAAGCAGAACACCTCAGCCTGGGTTTCGCGGCAGCGGCAACTCATCAGACCTTCTCTCCATCGAACCCTCATCTACATCGGTACTCGGCCAACCGGGTTCCAGTCGTGCCGCGTCAGACCAACAGCTTCTCATGATGGAAGAAGCGCAGCCAAATAATACCTATATACAAGCGCGTGGAGAAGCCATAGAGGCAATTGAGCGCACCATCAATGAATTAGGTGGAATTTTCGGTCAACTCGCAACAATGGTGAGCGAGCAATCGGAAATGATCCAACGCATCGATGCAAACACAGAAGATGTTGTCGACAACGTCGAAGGCGCACAGCGGGAATTGATGAAATACTGGTCAAGGATGAGTGGTAACAGATGGCTTATTGCGAAGATGTTTGGCATTTTAATGGTACGTTCTATCGACTATTGGAAAATTGATGAATAAAATCAGTATTAACTTATTCAACAGATTTTCTTCCTCCTTTGGGTTTTAATATCCGGTTGAAGAGCCCGCCTTTCGCTCTTGATCTTCCGAAATTCCGCACGGATGTAGATATTCTGTACTATGTACGCTAATGACGACCTACGACTCTTCCGCTGGCCAGGGAGTCATGGCTTTTTCTTTTTATACCTTCGAACGCAGACACATACCTTTTCTATTTGACATAACATCTCGATGGATAATAATTCGAACCAACTTCTACGTCCCTCCTTTAAGTCGAAGGCTCTCTTGCCCCACTTTATCACATTTATTCCCATGTTCTGTTGCAACACATTCACTGTTGATGTCGTTAGAAATAGACAATGAGTCGAAAGCTCACCGCACATGCTAGGATACAAATTATGCTATATGCTGTCATAAATATAGGGCAGTTCATTGACCATTTTGTTTAAACTTCTAAATGATAACATAGATTTCCAATAAAGAAACAAACAAAATAGCCACGTTATGCTTAAAACAAATATTGATGGAGGACAGTTCTGCAAACCAAAGTAAACATTTATATCCGACCCAGCAGATTCTACCTATTCACAAACTAAATGAACCCATTTCGTGTCTACTGATAGTTCGGGGGCGGATTTCCATAATTAGTGTCAAATCTAACATCTGTGTATTGCGAGTATACGGACTCAGTGTATGCTGCATTACCGCGCATATTAGGCCGCTTAGGAGGTATGTATTTATCGCTCCCCATAGCACCATACACGCTGCCAGTCTCATCCGCAAACCCGGGGAATGTTGTGACATGCGAATCGTGCCGGCCGTTTGGGTTGGGGGTTCTCCCTCTCGCTTTAGGGTTCAGGGGCGGCGGGGATCTGGATATTGGATATCCTTGATTAGATTTGCCCCCATCATCAGGTCCATTATCACTGTGATCATTCTGAGAGTATTCGTCTATAACCGACATTGTAGCTGAACGGCGAGCTTGTGGAACAGGAGGAGGCGTTCTGGGCTGTTCGAATGCTTTCCCGTAAGGACCATCCGATATATTGGTAATTGTATCATGACCCTGATGTTGCGTCGTGTTAGGAATAGGCATTGGGTGAGAGATAGACAATGACCGTTGCAATGGCTTAGACGGTGCGCCAGTTAGCGAATTCCGGGCTTCATTATAGAAGGAGTTGAAGGACTCTCGATCTTTGAAGCTAGTTAAGAAGCTCGTTCTCGACGAGTCACGGTCCCCGGAATCTTTAAAGATGTTGAACACGCCTAGCTTCGTACCTAGGGTTTTTGTTCCAGGGCTTGGATAAGATATGTTATTATCGCTGCTTCCGAAACCAGTGCTAGATGCCTCGAACTGTTTATCGCGGCGCTGTAGTCGCCACCACAGGTAGACCACGCCAGCTATAAGGAGAACACCTCCGGCAGAGACACCCCCGATTATCGCGCTTTTGTTGACTGTAGCTCCAGTATTTCCATTCACAGAAGACAGCGACGGCGACGGTGATGGCGATGTAGTTGACTCAGGGCTTGATGTTGTCGAGGATACAGCATCAGTAGTTGCTACCGATAACAAGCTCGATGGTGCCGAAGCTGTATCAGACGTCGTTAATACACCGGTATTGCTCTTCGGATCACTTTTTATATCTGCTGTAGGAACAGGAGCCTCCGTCTCATGTGTTAAAACGTCTCCATGCGAAGTAATTGGAGGAATCGGGGGTGTGTATCAGTAGCTGTTGTGATTTCTGAATGTTGGTCATCACTAGTAGGCACAGCGCCACCCGGAGGGAGAGTTTTTGTGAGTTCGACAACCGTATTCACGGTTACGACTGCACTAATTACCGGTGGGATTTGTGAGATAGGGATGACGAGGAGAATAAGTTTGAATTTCATGGTGAAATGCTGTTGCCTCAATACAAACTAGAAAGTCTCCTTAGGGGTTCTAGCCCAGATTCATGATTATCATGGATCATTTACCATAAATTGACTGCGTGGTGGTGGGAAGAGTTAGAAAGACACATGTATAAATCAAAAGAATCATGAAGCTAACAAAGACGCTGACATATGAGTCAATCGACGTGACTAAAACTAATACATGGTGACAGGTTGCAGAGGTGACACCGCGACCATCTGAAGTATGAACTTTATGCGGTTTCAGAAATATATACTTGGGGATCATCGGTCCTCTACATTATCATTTGCGTCTTCACATCTTTCACTGTTTCGTCTCCGGTACTCATCACTGAGTTGTCTTAGTCCTCTCTCTAACTTATCCGCCAGTGCCTCGAGCAGCCATTCGGCCTCCTGCTTGTCACCCAAAAGCGGACTGCGATGTCCAATCCAGCTCCACTTCCCTCGGTCTTCCTCTTTGCCGCCCTCAGAAGCGTCAATGTAAGGTTTACGATGAGATTTATCATGAGCTTCCTCTTCACCAAGAAGTTTGAGAAAATACACCCACTCTTCATACTCAAATTCTTTGGGTGGGGTCATATTGATGTATTTGAACATCTGGCGCAGCTCCTTGATGAGTAGGAACTGATGATGGTGAATGTTTTCGGCAAGCACATCGCCATGTTCCCGTGCTTCTTGTTCTTCTCTGAGCTGCTCCTCTTCTAGGGCTTCTTCTGCACGAGATATTGATTGATTCTGCTCGCCGTTCTCATCAGAGGGTTTCTCTTTTGAGGTCCTTTCTGGTCCCTTTTCATCAGAGAGAAGCAATATGGCTTTTGCTCTTTCATAGACTTGTTTTATGCGTGCTCTATACCCCATTTCTCCGGGAAGGATAGTCAGTTCACCAAGATAGTCGACGAAGTCTCGGAATGCCCGTATCACAGTATTGCCCATGTTAGAAATAAAGATCGTCATGGTAGGCACGGCAAGCAAGGACCAAAAGACGAAGAACACTCGGCCCCAATTGGTTATGTTGTATATATCACCATAACCTATGGTGAGCAGACTAGTGTAGGCATAATACATGCCATCGAAATAGGTCCACTCCTGATAGGCCTCGGCATGTTCAAAGATTAAAGCTCCAATACACCACAGAAGAGCGACAGCAATAGTGGAGGACAGGAGTGATAACCAGCGATGTTGCAGATTTGCAATTTCTCTTACATGGCGCATAGCGAAGAATTCCCGTCTGCGAAGCTCCATTTCGTCTGGTTTCTCTTGCCTTTGGTCATCTGGGACACTTTTCTTGAAGAAGAATCTGGCGAAACCACCTTTAGCTGACTGGCTATTGAAATTACCGTATTTGGCGGCTAGCTTCTTCACACCGACTTGGCGGGATTTCTCAATCAAGCGCCTGCTCATTTTTGTCTTCCCACGTTCCATGACCAACGAACGGATTGAACTAATGACGATACCGACTATGAGAATTCCACCGAAAGCATAGGGGAAGAGCAGGCCACGTCCTAAGTGCGTTTTTGGGGCCGGGTATCCAATACCAATAGTTAAAATGGTAAAGTCAGACCACCATACGGCGTCGGTGAAGCGCCATCCTTCGATTTTCGAGTATACCGCCGAGCCCGCTAGTAGATATACGAAAAACGCAGTGGTTTGGATCATTAAGGTTCTCTGGCTCTTGGTAAGATGGAACTGTTTGCTGTAGTGACCCTTGAAAGCTCCATATACCGTGAAGAGGAGGAATGTTGAAAGTAAAAAGTAGAGACCAGCAGCGATTGCTCCGTAATAATACCCTTCAGTCATCTGAAGGCCGGGTGCGGTTTGACTTTGAGAAGCCACGTCACGAGCAGCAATAATTAAAATAATCGTCAATAAAATGGAGGATATATACCAGCCAACAATAACAATAGGCTGTGCAATGCTAAAGCTCATTCTCTGCGTCATCGTCATAAGCAAACAAAAATTTGCAATCAGAGCCGCCACGAGAGACACTGCATTAAGGGCAATGATTGTTGGAGGATCGGGTAGTGTCTCTGCTTGATCTATCGGCGGACCTCCTGGTTTAACAATTTCTCGCCAGTGCTGAGACAGAGAACAAACACTGAATGCATTCGCCATGGGCCCAAATGTTGCTGCTATGAGCGGGATCTCGGTGCTTGCGTACCACCATCGTGCAGGCTGTAGGTAGTGAGAAAGCTCTCTGTCTGCTGATACCCAATGAAGACTTGTATCTGGATCGTGCCTGTCGAAACTGCGCAATGACGAGCCATCTTGCTTCCGATTTTCAGCATCATTAGCCGTTTCGGCAATAGCCTCATCGAAACCGGGATCGTTCATGGCTTTCACGGTCACGAATAATTAAAGTGGCCTTGTTTGAGTAAAGCAAAATCGCATGGATCCAAGTATCATCCATTAACGGCTTTGAGGAGTATGGATTTTAGTAGGTTTTGCGGCTGTTGAGCGGAAACCAGAAAACCGGCATCTCGCCTACAAATCATGATTTTGCGCAATGTCCCAGGCCGTACTCCAGACAAGCTCAAGCCCGGCACCATACTGGCACTACTATGATGCACTTTAATTTGAGGTGGCGATCATGTCGTAATCGAAGGTGATTGTTCCTGGGCAGCGCAAAAGCTGAGTGTTGCGCCACAACGTCATCATCCGCGATCTCACGTGGGGCTCTCCTATGCAACGCTTGTTCATTAGCTTCACCTGTCTGGTCAGGCTTGGAGGAGATCGACGTTTTTTCAGGAAAACGGCCCCCCATTGGAGAGAAGGAAAATCGATATAGACGATCCGATTACGGGTTTCGTTCCAGCCCTGGCGCCTTCTCGGCTTGACGTCGACACATATCTAACTTGTGCGAGATTCTGTTCCCCAATATGCATCAATATTGATTGAACTTTCGCAGTCGACATTGCGCAAGATGACACGGTAATGATGGTTAAGAACAAGGCGATTTTGAAGAGCGGACGAAAATATTTGCTATTACTAATTTTGCAGAAGTCACGGTGTTGAGATGATTGGCTTCACGATCCTGCCCTCGGTCGCTCGTCGCTCTTCAAAAGGAGAGCAGCAAAAGCAGGGAGGAACAAGCAAAGCGCCTGAAAAAATTGCTATCTGCTGATGACTTAATGGAACTATCGGTCATCATTATTACCCCCCGCCCTAAGGTCTGCGGCTCGCATAAGAGTTCGCCTTTGTAAAGGCTCTAGATTGGGTGCAAGGGTTTTCCTCCATCACTGGAGTTAACTTCATCTTTCGCGATATTCCGCCAAGTCAGCGGCCCTGAATTGCATTTACGGCTCATAATCTAGCCTTGTCTTACATGCGCAAGCAGAACACTGGCTGTCGAAGGCTGATTACACGGCGTACGAGATGACGGTGGATAAGTCTCAATCGGAACTTCAATCGGTGTAAATATTCAGCGGCTGACAGGAGAACCACCTGTTGTGCCCCGGTGGCTCAGGCACGATGCATCAAGTCGTCGACTGAAGCGTGAAGAAAGTCATCAATTGTCAGGTTATTCGCCGAGTGGGCGCCATCGCTCCTGCTGCTGTTGCCTCCCGCGCTGTGATTGGCGCGGGCGGTGGGGGCAGTCAGTAGTTTGCTATTTTGGGAAGAACGTGCCTTTTGCATCTATCCGCATGTTTCAAGCACTGCAACGCAGTATGACAATCCCTGCTGCAGGATGATGCTGCCTCGTCTTGGTCTCGTCTTCTTGGTAAGGTAAAAAGCCTTCCTTTCTGCTGCCACCCCGAATCTTCTCCAACTATGGATTCTCGTCGCAAGATACAAGCAGCATGCGTTTGCTACCAGTCTTCGCATTTCTGTCCCCTTTATGTGCCTCCCTAGTCTCCAGTGATGCCGTATTCACAAATCCACCTCCATTCGCGCAAAGCGGCTACGAGGCAACCCAAAATCCTGTCTACGCAACAGGATCTACACTCCAGATAAGTTGGACAACCGGATCAGCCAAGGGTAACACGTCGTTGGCACTCTTTCAACTGAACGGTACAACATCCATGTATCCGTATGAGTTTCTAGCAAGTAAGCTTCCTTGACTTTCATTAACTCCAAATCGAGCCAACTGACTTTGCCGTCTCAGATAACCAGGGTGCGGATGTGACGTCTTTGGCATGGACGGTACAAACGGACAAAAACCTCACAATTTCCAATATGTTTTGGATGTGTCTGTTTCCAGAAGGCAGTTCAGATGCTGAAGCATGCACTCATTTCTTCAACATCACCGGTGGCCACAAAGCTGGGGCGCTAATGTCAGCTGGACCTGACTCTAGCTCTAGTTTGGGCCCGATAACAATGACGGCAAGCTCTATGGAGTTCAGCTCATTTACCACAACATTTACATCTTCTCCAACATCCATAGCCCAATCGGCGTCTATGCCTACAGTTGTTGCAGTATCGACATCGGCGTCCTCTACGATCACATCTAGCTCCCCCGCTCCTGATTCGACCTCCAGTGCGCTAACAACTGTTGAAAAAGCGGGACTAGGCGTTGGTGTATCGGTTGGGGCTCTTTTTGCTGTTGGTGGAGGTTGGCTCGCATTCTCTCGTTGGAGAAAATGGCGGGAAACACCTGTCGAAACAAATGCACGCACACGTAATTATATCTATGGATACTCACGTGAAAAACTAGATAGTATGTCTCGGATATCTACTCCTCATTCGGGCTGGAATTAGGCTTGGTATATGGTCGTGTCCCAAGGAGCAATGGGGTCATCGATAGACTTTCTGACAATGTTCAAACTCTATGTTTTCGTTTCGTGTAAATATCTATGCATTATGTTTGTCACCCTTCAAATCCCGAACGAGATTTCCTCTTCTGATATTTCTCAAAGAACTAAAAAAATTCGATCACCGAACCTCCGCGGTTTCGATGACTCCAGCTCATAGCAAGGTTCATTACTCTCGTGCCTGATCCTATACAACTCAAACGTTTCAGGAGCAGCTGGCTGGGGCGGATCCGATGGGATCAAATCAATGTCATGTTTCTTGTTTATACATGTAAACTGTGGAAATCGATTCGTATCATCCCCCCTTTGAAACTAACACATCGGCCAATGAACTAGCTTTTCTCCCCTTAAAGAAGAATCTTTCGCTCACATGATGAAAACCTGGACCTTACGTTGCTGAGATGAACCCTCCGCTCTACGAAAGTTTGTGAACCTATTATATTATCTAAAGAGGTCAATCGTAACAGACATTGACGGTTTTGACTTTGAATAACAACTAAGTCATGGAAATATTTTCATTCCATCCAACAATCAATACGTACGTAGTAGGGGCATGGAAAACAACTAAAGGTCTGATATCAGTCTCTTCACCATTGAATATTTGACGAAGGTTTAGTTTACATACTGTTCTTATATATCAACACAATATTTGAAACCTTGATTGCCTCAGGCTCAACATGAGTGACGTCATGTGACAGATAGCGCCCTATTTCGATACGCTTACTGCAGTTTATTCAATAAGATTTGTCCTATAAAAACACAGATCTTCAATTCGCGGTGGCTAAAGTCCCCCGAATTCTTTCTAAATAAAGATATAAAAGGCGTGAAGTATGCTTAGAATATTACCGACTTATTATCCGCTGAAGGTCAACGTTGCTGCTTCCACGTTAGAACACAAATATCGGGCTCTTTTCTTGAGAGTCCTCAGGGCGGATCTGCAGTTTGCCTCAACAGACACGGAGAACGCACTAATATTATCGATATCGAATCAGCTTTAGTTTTAATAATGACTAAACTCGGCTAGGTGTACCTAAATTCCTCACCAGCATATCAACAAATGCATGGAGAGCAGGAAGGCCCTTCCAGATCTTCTCAGTTGTCTTTACATCAGCAGAATGGGCATGAAGCACAGGGATGACCAGCTCAATATTTGCAGCTGAGCTTACAAACACAACGACCTTCCAAGTCTCAATATAAGTGAAAGAAATTCAAGAGTTTCATTTCTATTTTAGGAATAATAGTGTCGGAACTCATAGGAATTGTCGTGATTCTAGTAGGCTTGGGTATTGTGTTGTTTTGCATTTTCTGGGGGATATCAGCTACCACTGCCCTAGCTAAGGGTACAAAATACCTAAGCGTCAAGGCATTCTCGTTTCTAGTTTTTAGCATCAGAAGATAGGAATCTATTCTGTATCGCTAAAGTTAAGTAAAACTTCTATAACTGGAATAATCAAACTGAAATTCCAGTTCTATTCAGCGGACCACAAGTTTTCAAAAGTCCACGCAGCTGGATTACCAAAGAAGAATTCATCCAAAGGTTGTTCTGTATTCTCAAATGCGATCTATTGGAGTTAACTTGGGCCAGAAGGGAAAAGGAGAGAAAGTAGCACTTCATACCTGCGAAACATCTGAGTCAAGATTAAAAAGCCCAGCGTTATTTGTTATATTGGCCGAAATTTGGTCGTGATCTGCCCTCGTATCCACCTAACAATTGGTTTAGCAGTCATTTCATGAATCTCGGTAGAACCTAGGTATGAATAAAGAAATTATTTACTCACTCTTTTAATCTCGGTCGGTATAATTTGACGCTCCACATTTCGTAACTCTTCCTGTTCTGCCAATATGCGATGGTATTGTCTCGTAACTTTGCTTACTGCTTCTTCCATTTGTGTCGCCAATTCCGTAGAGTCTAAGACCGATCGAATAAAAGCATAGCCTGCACAAATGTACCAGTGATGCGTGTACCCAGTTCCTAGCCGCGATATTCTATCTTCGAGCATACCGAGAACAGACTGAAGATATTGAAGAATCATATTCGTGTTGGAGCTAAGAATCAAGTTGTCTGTAGTTGATCATATTAATAAGTGACAATAAAAATATTTCAGAGGAACGGATTGGAGGAATTACTTTGGTTACTGAGCGAGATGTACATATTGTGGCAAATAACCAAAGCTCCCCTGAAGTAGTCATGGCGAAGGAGCAGCAGCAGATAATTCGAAGAACTTGTGAGTCGCGAATGTCGTTCTATAATATCGCATGAAGCATTAAAACATACCATTCTTGACAAGGTATAGCGTGGGTTCGTGTTATCAGTTTGTCGTGCGAATGGCGCATGAATCATTATCAAGAATTGTCGAAGTTGAATGTCTAGGAGTAGTCTCGCCATCATTAAAATGGAGCCTTGGCTAAAGCCCTCACCTGTTTTTGTTTGACCCCACTTAGGCAGTCTTTCTAATTCTTTTAGAATAGCTTCCTCGTAATTCAACACTTCCTCATATCGGGAACGAGTGTTCAAATCATTCACCACCAAGTTCAGCGAAACTCGCAGAGAAAAGCTCGCAGCCGATAAATGGAGGAATGAGCAGTCCGTATACTCATCCCATGGCTTAGAAGTTGGCAAGCTATCACAGTCTGATATAAGATCTTCATCATTAATATTGAGAACTGGGGCGCTATCTGAAGGTATGCCCGCCGAGGCAGAGGGCATGCCTCTATCAATCGACGCCTGCAACTCTAACTCTAGCATCGTGGCCCATAGTCTACGTCGCATTTCTTGGTCAAAAAAGGACACGCGTTCACCAAAGAGACTGAAATCACGGTGGAAACCTGCTGACATGGCCTCCCTGATTAGCGTGCCCGCTGCTGTCCATTGTCGTTTTTTCTTGAAGATGTTTATTTGCTTTGCAAAAAGCAATAGACAACGAATTTGCCATATGGCCATGTAAACATTCTTCTGACTTTGAAGAGATAACCACCATTCAGAAACTTCGATCCATATCATAGCTCGCTCACGAGCGATCGAGCTGTCGCCAATATATGTAGGCTGTCCTTTCGATGCAATACAGCTCACCGAGGCCATGACCAGTAGCAAGATGATAACGAATGCAGGCTTCGCTGCTTTTTGGTCGTCCCAGAACATCTCGTAATCCTCGGCAAAGGTAGGATAGTGAAGAATTCTATAGACTGTTTCGACGGTCTTGAAGTAAATATTAACATGGTGATCGACGGTCTCCTTATCAGGCAGAAGGCAAAGAAGGTCCAAGTCCGGTCTAAAGGATATGCTAGCTTTGGCTGTTTTCCATTTAACCTGCAGCGCCTTCAACTCTCTTTGAACGCGTGGTAGAGATGATCGGTGCATAATTGTGTCTTTCATGAAAGACCGAAGCTCTGGAAACTGCATTTGTCAGCTTGATGATAGGATCCGACAGTAAGATGCCTTACATGAGAAATTAAGCCAATAGAATTGCTACTACCGTAATAGTGAGTTTTGAAATTCTCGCCTCTAAAAATCACTGCATCTGGTGTCGAAGGCCTATACGGAGAGTTGGCAGCGGCTGGAGTGGCATTGGAAATGGCCAGTCGCTCTTCATTGGGTGGTCCAGCGGAGGCAAATCGTCGACCAAGTAATTGCCAGCTCCCAGAGTTCCGCGTTGCTTCCAAGGAGGTTTTAAAATTAGCACTTTCATTCCACTCTGCAGCTGCGGGCGCTATCGGATTGGTAGACTCTGAGGCCCTCGAAGCGGAGCCATGATTCGCCGCAGGCGTGAAGGCGTTTGCCGTAGTCAACGATGTAGAGGGCGACGCAGGAAGAGCGGCCACTTGCTTTACTGGGAGTTTTGGAATTGGAATTTGGTCGTACGAGCAGGAATCCGCTAGTCCGGCTTTACGACACCGACTACATGCTGGTTGCTCGCGATCACATCGTAGTTTGCGTCGCCGGCAATCATAACACGATACAGTCTTTCGCCTGCGTCTCATGATGTCCGCGATGCCAGAGCTTTCTGTGCGAGCTCCGAACTGCCGGCTGTGATAGCTCGGTGACTGCATATTTAATAATAGCTGTCGGGGAAAGTAATTATGGCTTGCGTTCAAAAGAAAATATCTCGGAGATGAGATGATGAGATTGAAGAATTTCGTGGCACATATCGACCGGAGGTCTCGGAGATTGCGGGGATCGATAAATGGCTCGGCTCCGAGCTTATCAGTAGATTAGGGTTAGGGTTAGGACAATATCATGTTATTGGAATTTGGAATGCAACAACAAGTATACCTGCGGATGGAGTGATCTATCCAAATAAATATGAGCCTGAACAGAGTCCTAGATTAAACACTAAGGGGTGGCAACATGTACGGAAAGGTTAAAGGAGATGTTCGGACTTGTACACAATGCTGCACTAATCTTATGTACTTTGACAGCCAAGCAATTTCCTGGGTTATGCCTAGCAATACCCGATAGAAATAATCCTCGGGGCTTCATATTATACACATTGGTAGCTTATAGATTGTATGATATACCGGAAAATAGACACCTAGCTGGTCACGCCGCTATTTGTTTTACAATGTAAAAGGTGGAACGGAAGAAGAAAAAGAAATGACACGTTGAGGGGGCTGTGTTGTGGCGGAATGATACGGGAATGAAAATTAAATCGACAAGGATATGGAATAACTATCTACACTCAATAGAAAACGTGAGGCGTATTTGTAGTGGCTATGTTAAAGTTTCCTAGTTGCGCTTGCGGCTCAACCGGATGGTCACGATAGCCGAGAGAAGAGCATGATTTGACTCGTCAGAAACATGCCTTGAGGAGCCAACCGTCTCTTAACCAAGATTTTGAATATATATCTGAAGAATATGACGTAGTTTCCTCCACCTGCTAGAGCAGTCAGGTGCCTAAAAATCACCAATCACCATTGTTTGTCTAGTTCATTGACTCCGATTACCCATGTCTCTTGAAAAATTAAAAGCATCTACCTAGTGGGGAAAACAAAAGAGAAAGTTAATAATATGGCCTGATGATTCTATTTTCTTGATTCTGATTGGAAAGTAATCAAAGAAGCTTTTTATCATGCAGCCGTCGGCCAAAGATGCCTCCCGCCCAGGGCGAACGCTTGGCACACTATCTATGGATGCAGAATGATCCAGGACAAAGTGACATATAGGGCGGCTCTTTTTAGATACATATTTAGGCACCTAAATACCTAAGATGTTGGTTTCCTATATATATTCTAGAAAGTAGACCGATCCGAACCTTACATGCTCTTATTATCAATACCTCCCGTTATACTCTAATTGATGAAATATCAGAAGAAATTAGAACAAGTTTCTAGAGAGCCCATTCAATATGGTACAGAAATCCCCATATTTCTCCCTTATATCTGTGACACTTGAGGAATCTTGGACTGATAAAGAGATAGCCACTCCACCAGCTCCTACCGGACACCCAAAGTCTCACCGAAGATCAAATTAAAGTCCTCGAACAGCAAATCAAAGTCGAGTCAGTAATCCCACGAAAAAAACTATGCTTTGCTGAGATGTGATAGCATAATTGCCGTTCATGGCTTGAATCCATGGTCCAAAACGGACACGCAACACGCCTGGGATACATGGCAAAAACCCGCGGGACTAAATGGGAGACTATGGCTACGGGATGATTTGAAAGAAAAGACCCCGGAGGCTCGTGTCTTCTTATATCAATACAATTCGAAGCTAGTTTGGGGTGGAGATAAAGCCAGCTTCCTTCTGAAGGCAGATGAATTTCTTGAAGCAATTCGCTTGAAACGGAAGAAGGTACGGCTCTTCTATATTACCCTGGAAAGAACAATTTTCTAATAGACCTGACTGATGATAGACACCCCAACGACCGATAATTTTCATTGGCCATAGTTTAGGCGGACTTCTTATTGAACAGGTAAATTCAGGTCGCGGATATATCGATACATACTCTCACTCACGGGATATTAGGCCTTAGTGAACTCGCATAACAGTCGGCGATATGGCTCTATTGAGAAAGCAACGTAAGATCCCAAATGTCATTTTGAAAAAGTGAATCAACCGTCTAATAGAACGCAGCACCGGCTTGGTCTTTTTCGGTACACCTCATGGTGGCGGTAATCCTACACTAGTAACCATCGGATCTGCTGCTGCTCGGGTCGCCCGTGTGCTCGGAGCACAGAAGAGTATGGACATTGAACAAACTCTTCAAAGCGGTTCTCTATTTACGGAAATCTTACAGCATAGCTTCCGCAATCAGTTGATGAATTACCAGATTGTCAGCTTCTGGGAAGGAAAAGGCAACGTGAGTAGTCGCGGGCATGGGAAATTCCGATTGCTAATTAGTTACAAGATCGTGGACCGAAAAAGCGCAATGTTTGGCTTGCCAGACCACGTTGAGCAAGACGTAGAATTAAAAGCTACCCATGGTGATATGTGTCGCTTCGACACCGAAAATGAAGAAGACAAGGAGATTTTCAACATTGTCTGGGGCAACCTAGAAGATTTGTACGACAAGGCATTAGAACGCGGTGAGTGTGATCGAATCGATATTCCGCAAATATCAAACGAGGCCGAAGAACTAGATCTTGAGAAGCGGTTAGCTGCTTTGAAAACACCTGTGTGATATATTCTAAGCTTCGAAGATTGAATACAACAGTATTAGCGATCTACAAACTAAAAATTATGTTTCTCACGTGTGTTCAGCTATACCTTGCTCGTACCTTTCTTCCTTTTCTTTCTTTGCTCTTCCTGGTATAACATATGAGATGCTGTACTCTAGGCTAACTATCATTGAATCTGTATAGATCAAACACAGTTGATTTTAGGTGAGTTATGATCACCGCCACCACCTATATTACGATTTTGGAGGAGGGTTCGTTGACAGGTTGGGAATAGCTCGAGAAAAGTGGAACGTCCTAGAGTGGCTGCATCACGGTCCAGTTGATACACGACATCTTGACATACAACAAGCTCGCAGAGGTAATGGCCAGTGGCTGATACGGCATGACATATTTCAAGGCTGGATTGCCAACAATATAAGCAGTCGTATTCTATGGGCTAATGGCATAGGTATGATCACCCAGTTGCTGACGTTGATGCTATTACAAGGGTTCAATGCTTACACGGAGATATATAGCTGGGTCAGGAAAGACATTCTTGAGGTGAGTAGCGTTCGCAGTACAATACAATACTCCTCAGCTCTAAAAGAGACTACAGCTCATTCATAATTGACCACCTCTTTTCACTAACGGCAACTTCCACTTATGGTGTTGCATATATCTATCTTGAGTTTCAAGAAAGTACTCGTCAAACATCCCACTTCATTCTCAGCTGTTTACTAAAACAACTCGCTGATCAAAATGATGCGGTGATGGACTATGTGAAATCTCGAAAGAGGATACTAGATATTGAGCATCGCGTTCTTTCAACCCAAGACATTATAGACTGCCTAATAGCATCGGTATCAATGTACGAAAGAATATTCATTGTCATCGACGCACTTGATGAGCAGGGTGATATAAAACTGAGAGAACAGTTACTGCAGGATCTTCATAAAATTGTCCACGTCGGCGCTTTCTGTTACGTGACAAGCCGCCCGAATATCCGTGGCTCGTTTCGAGACGTCGAGCACTTGGAAATTCAGCCGGCGGATGAGGATATTAGAGCTTATGTTGAAGATTATATCGATAATCACCCATCTGCCCGGGCACTGTTAGGGCAGTCATTTAGAGAGAAGGTCGTGGATCGGCTTACAGAATGTGCCGACGGAATGTAAGATGCTCCACTCGTCAAAGGCGATACAATAAATATGGCCCTGCTATTACTGACTAACTCATAATACAGGTTTCTGCCTGTCAGATTTCAGATAGAATATCTTTGCCAACAAACTACACTGAGAGAGGTCATGAATCAATTGGACACACTTAGCGAAACAATGAAAGCGGAATATATCCTGGACACTTCATACGAACGAGCAATTAAATGTGTTCAAGGCCAGCCAGCACCCAAGAGGAATCTAGCTCACAGCATCTTCCGCTGGCTCATTGCATCTAAACGGATCTTAACAGTGATGGAACTGTGCACTGCATTAGCTGTGGCTGAAGGGGCTAGTGAGATAGACGAACTAGCAATTCCATCCAGCGACATGGTTATAGATGTATGTGGCGGATTTGTGACTCTTGATGAAGCCAGTAAGAGTGTCCGTATAGCACACGCAACTGCTAAGGACTATCTTTTGAAAGTATTGCCTGAGCTAGCTAAGCCCGATCAAAGCTTAGCCGTTATTCTTGCAACATACCTCACTTTCAACAGTTTTGAAGTTAGCCACCCAATGTCGCAGGAGAGTTTCAATAAACGTCGAGAGATATTTCCACTTTTAGACTATGCTGCTCATAATCTTAGTCTACACGCGATTTCTCGAGATGGCACAGCGAACACTCAGCTAGATGATATCATATTCAGAATAGTGACAACACCGGGGTTGGCTTGGTCATTCTTACAAGCATTTTATGCTCCTTCTGATACATCGACCGGATATGATTGGTTTCCCCGAGAAAGCTCATCATTACATGTGGCAACCACGATTGGACTAATCGGGGTTGTTAAGAGACTCTTGAAAGATGAAAAATATGACTCTCAAATATCGGAGAAAAATGTTAAAGGCCAGACTCCATTGCACATAGCGGCAATATATGGTCGATTGGATATTGCAGAATACTTTCTGCAAAAAGACGCCGACTCCGCTGATCCAGATAGGTATGGATTCACGCCATTCTTATACGCAGCTAGTGAAGGCCACATCGCCATCGTGGAATTGTTTCTCAAAGACAAAAAGGTCAGGCCGGAACTAGTAAAGTCGACTCTAAATAATGGAGACACTGCACTTCACCTTGCTGCTGCAAAGGGACATCACGCTGTAGCCCTACTACTCTTACAGTCGGATGCACAAGTTGATGCGAAGAACAAAAAGGGTGTCACCCCGAAGGATTTGGCGATGAAGTCTACATCTGTGTCAATGCAGAACACTATAATATCCTGGCTGGACATGAAGTCTGATAACCAACAAGAAAGTCACAGGTCGTTTTACCGACCGATTTGGGGTGGCATTCAAGGCATGGTTGTGGATATCGTGGGCAGGGCAGTAGATCGAATTTCAACTCCCCGAACAGGTAAATCGGGCTTTCATACGAGTGGCAAACAATCCAGCTAACCTCCAGTTTTCTAGATGCGAATGAAAGTCGAAGCTTGACCCCAGCTCGTGGGGTGACTCCAAGGCGTTCTGCAGAGCAAAGTCGTCCTCTCTTTGAACAAAACGTTGTTCAAACCCCCGAAGCCAATGAAGTACCCAGAGACAGCGAGGGAGATACCTCATCTCAGAACTCCCTCATAAGCTTTTCAGATTTCGAACGTAATACTCATTACGTGCTACCCGCTAGTATGTTCGAGCGAGTCATTGAGCTTTCGGATCGTCAATGTATGCTTGTGGACACAACCGCGGCGAATAACAGCGAAAGTCAGCACCCAAGTCAAGACCCCCTCCGTTTAAAATGGGTGTGCCTTTTAGAAGCTGACACTAATCTACGCTGTCTCTTCACCGGGCTTCCCAAGGGTCGGTACAAAGCAGTTTGGAAATTCACGTATATGGTTACCTCCCAGACCCACCGCGCGCATCTATTTGCAAACACTTACAACTGCACATTTGGTCGAGCCGTTGACCAGGAAATGTTCATCGCACGGACTACAAATCCTCTGCAGCCATTCATCTCGACAATTTTGAATTTTATTGACCCGAGGCAGACTTCTCAGCTTACAGTTCCACAGTATGAGCCCCTTGAGGGTGAAATTCCTAATATAGTCATTCATAGGGTTCATACGAACCTTGCTGTGAATTTGGAAACAACTATGGATCTAATGGTAGATTGGGATGGTCCGGTGGCCTTTCTGATTAAGAAAGTTGGACTTACATTCGCGGCGGGATTTCTTTCTTTTAACTCTGTGGAGATGGTGAAGATCAATCAAAGAGAGAGTGAGGAGATGCTTCCAATGCCTCTGGAGGTGCGATAGACATCCTTGAAGGAAACCTTGTATAATCTTGTTTCGAATGAGGTGGCTTTAGCCTCACATTGTGAATTGTCTACACAATGAAAAAAAATAAAGCTAAATACACATTTTTTAAAATCCCCACTGCTTCAACCAGTTATCCATCAAATCCTTATTAATCGGCTGTAAATTCCTCATTGTTTCGCTTGCTGCCTCAGCCTTGGTAGTTTCGGCGATGTAGCCTCCGTGGCTAGTATTAAGGTTTCTATAGAAGTCGAGTATTTTTAAAGATGGCTTATCCTCAATGTCGGCTTTCATTGGGTTGCTATACACTTCGAGCTCTTTGACCCAGTCTGCAAGGCTAATAGGCTCGACTGAATAATATTTCTGCATAGCCGGGAGCAGAGTCTCCCACTCCGTATTTGATGGGTTAATAAGGTGAAAAGCTGCGCAGCGCACATCGATTTCTGTTTTCTTTCTTGATCGTGTGATTTCCACAATAATTTTTGCAAGAGAGTCCTTCAAAGAAAGAAATTTTCAAGTCAAAATTTGAAAAATACTACAATATCAAGGTTGGACATACCACTGGAATCCAGCTCACTGACATACTCCCCAAATCTCTTGGAACCTTATGAAGAGTCTTCGAAGTTGCAACTAGAGAAGGAAGCCACTCCTGTTTATTCCAAACCCCCTTTTCAGTTGTCGGTCCTGCAATTTGCCCTACTCGATGAATCGTTGTTGGGATACCCAGTCTTTCTGAAGCAACATCACAAATACGCTCAGCCACATACTTAGATTCTGCATATCCTTGCCGAAGTACCGTGATTGATTCCTTCATGGGAACCTCGGCAGGTGGAGATGCTAGAGCATTCCCGATCGTGCCGATTGAGGATATGAAATGGATATGGGGGTGACAAGGACTTTCAAAGCTATATTCAACTAATTGACGAACACCATCAATGTGGGTATTTTCAAATGTCTCAACTCGGTGGTTGAAGTTGACTTTCCAGGCATTATGGATAACGACGTCAACCGAGTTTTTCAGCTTATCGTAAATCTCCGGGGAAAGTCCGAATTTCTCTGCGCCAAATTGCACTGTGTGGAATTCAACTCTGGACGAAAACCCCGATAGTAATCCTTTCTCCTCAAAACTTACAACCTGTCTGGCTTCAGCATCCGCCGATCGATTGAGGCAATAAACCTTGGAAACATTTGGATCTTTGAGAAGCTCGCTGAGAATATAGTTTCCAAGAGAGCCTGTAGATCCTGTGAGGATGACAGAGCTGCTAGTTTCTCTGTGTAATCCTGTGACTTGACTCCGAGGCAAATCTTTGGTGTATTTTGTAACGAGATCGGATAGCCTCGATTTTCGTTGTGAGTCAGACTCATTATTAGCATCCAATTGCTCATCAGTATTTTTTTCATGTATCACACTGTAAACGTATTGAGAAAGCTGAGTGACCGATGGGTACAAATAAATCTTTTGTGTAGACAATACTGCATTGACATCTAGATCGGGCCTCACAGAGCGAACAGCACCAACCAAATTCCTGCTAAGCTGGAGTGTTTGAAGCGAGTCTAGTCCCAGAGCAAAGATATCAGCATTCTCCGGTACGCGTCCAACGGACAGTACAGTCGCCAGCATTGATTCAACAATTTCTAATACATTCTCTAACGTCGGATCATGAGGAATTGTATAAGAACTCTCCTCTGAAGTATCTGTATAAAGATCTTGAATCTCTTGCTTATAATCAGCGATTGTGGCATTACGCTGTATCGATCCCTTTGGCGTGCTTTTAAACGGCTTTTCCCTAGAACCTAGCCTGATCTTGCTTTTCATCAGTCGGCCATATGCTGGCGCAATCTGATTGGCCTTTTCAACAGAAGACCATATCAGGTCAATGAAAGATTCTCTGTCAATTTTTGGATCCGGAAGAGCTTTCCAGTTAGGTTCGATGATCGCAGCGGAGTGGAATTGACCTTGTCCCACAACCAGAGACCTAGAAATGAGCGGATGTCCGTCAAGAGCTTTTTCCATCTCGATAGGATTGAATTTCTCTCCATTGCTGAGCACAATCACGTCATCAACACGGCCGTGATACCGCCATAGATTAGGCTTTGTTGGGTGTGGAAGGAAGACATCCTTTGTGTGATACTCATCAAGATGAGGAAATGTGTGGAAAATACAATGATAGTCCCGGTTTCTAGGGGTGCTTATCGGATCGCCAGGCTTTGGACGACACAAAACCATCTCATGCATTCCCTGGTCACTAATCGGTCGCATTTCAATTCCATAATATGGATTCCATTCAAAGTACTGCCAGTCAGGGCCACTACCGGTGTCGAATACCAAAGTGGGAAGCATTGCTTCTTCGCTGGAGCCAAGAGCAATTTCCAAATTTGATAGCTTATCTCCAACAGCTTGGGCCAGAGGAGCGCCGCCGAAGAAGATAGTTCTGAATCGTTCCAACGTCTTTTTCCCCTCTTCCGTTGAGGAGAGATCTTCCATGACAGAGGGAAGTAAGAGTCCCACTGTTGGCTTTTTCTCGTCCAAAATGCGAGTTATTAATTCAAGTGTCAAAGGCTTTTCTGGGGGGCTCAGAACAAAAGGGGTGTTATAACAGATGGACATTACAACTAAGTAATTTCCCATTTGGTGGAAGAATGGCGCAAGACCAAAGAAAATTCGATTAGGATCTATTTTGACCATCCCACCACGTTGTCTTCCAGGAGGTACTGGTAAGGAAAAAAGATTGCACATAGCGCTCCAGTAGCCATTCGTTATGTTGACAGGCTTCGGAAATCCTACAGGTTTTTAGAACTACTTTGTAGAGCAAGCAGTGGGTATAACTCACCAGTAGTTCCAGAGCTATGGATGATAATGGATGTGTCATCTTCCGCGTCGTTATACTCCCTTACGCAAGGATATGCGTTCCCTGTATACCCTATCATTTCCCAGAGAGGAGGAACCTCCCATGATTGAATGTTTTTTCTTACCCGTTGAAGGTCGTGGACCACTTTATATCTTTCAGGAGAATAAACAAACTTGTAGCATCCAGTTTCCTTCAAAAGGTGGAGAAACGCAGGCTCTGAATTTCTTGGTGATGGAAGGAAAGCCTGCAGAAATATCGTATCCACTCACAAGTCAGTCCATGTATATGCACACAAACCGAAGGAAATTGACTAACAGCATATCCAATCTTCATGCATGCCAAAACGAAAATTGGGTATCGAATATCATTAATCCCCACATAGGCCAGAGGCTCAGACCGGCCAGAGGTGCGGCCGATTTTTTTTTCGATCCACCATGCCATATAATTGACGGCAGCAGCGAGATCTCGAAAGCTGACATCGCGCCAGCCATCATTGAGTTCGGATGAGATAGGGTGGATACAAAAGGGCTTTTGAGATGAAGGCAGGTAATGGGCGCGTTCGTCCACGGCGTCGCACAGCAGCTGCTTGTGCGGCTGGTGACCTGAAAAGGCCATTTCTGCATGTGAATCTGCTATATAAATGTTTCTTTGCGGGTAATGTTTCAAATAAGGTGTAAATTCTGGATACTTATGCGATTTCTAGAGAAGTTTGTGTTAGTAAAGCACGATTTGAGACACTACTTTTCACAACTCCCTGGTTTACATTACTTATAAAAGACTCAGTATCCCACCATAATGACATGGCACTTGAGATCAGCCAGCCCGGGGGGCCAATATTTTCTTCAGATCGGAAACTCTGACTAATTGAGATCTGTAGGGAGATAGCATCATAGTATGCATCAAAACTTGCATAATTCGGCTAGTGCAGCTCAATAATTGGTCTTTCTTTATCCTCATCCAGTGAGGTTGCAGATACTTACTGGAGAATGCATGCACGCGCTATCTCTAGTTGCAGAACTGTCGAACTAGCCCCTCGGGCTCTCCGGTGCATCGCTACTAACCAATACATCAGTGCAAATTTATTCACAGGTGGAAGGAAGTGCTGGATGTGGCAATATTGGATTTCATCAGAAAGTGGCAAAAATTGATACAACACTCAGCTACGTGTATACCTGACGTAATCTAAAATTCGATACTTCAATGATGCTGGACTCGGGGACAGGAGGGATCGACAGCGAGATCGGCAATTGTATAAAGTTCATGCGGGAGACTATTCAATGTATAATTTGTTACTGTATATTATTTTCTTGGCCTATCATTGTAACTAAGTCAGCCTTTTATATCACTGCAAGGCCGCTCGGGAACAGGCCATCGGTGGATCTATTTCAACAACTACCCCTCCCAGGTAATGCACATTTAAAGAAAACAACAACCCGGCGTTCAATGTCCATAAATAATCTCCTCATCCTCGCTATCACTGGAGTATTCCAGCCATCTATTTTATTGCTGAAGGTTGACATTCAGCCCGAGAAAGCTCGTGAGATAGTCCCGCTTGCCGAGCGGCACCCCTTCTTTGCGCAGAATAGCATACGCTATGCTCAGATGAAAGTAGATATTGGGAATAACAGTTGCGTTAGCATATGTAGCACCGGTAATGTTGAACTCTTTACTCGGCCCGATTTTGGTTGGTGCAAGCTCTTCGCCACGCGTGTTGATGGTATCTTTGTCAACGGCATCCAAGGATTTGAGGGCCTTGTCGATACGCGCATAGAAATCCGCAAAGGATGAAAAATCGTTTTCAAATTTTTCGGCTTCGCGAAGCGTCAATCGTGCAACAAGATCCTCGGCCTTTTGTGTGACCTGATGGACTTGGAAAGTCAACGGCTTCATGTCCTCATACAATTGAGCAGTGAGAAGATTGGCCGAATTCGGCTGCTGCTCGGCCAATTTGAGGACATTGGTGAGCGAGCTGAGGGCAGCCTTGGCGGTGAGAATGGTGGCGTCGTAGAGAGTAAAGCCCATTGTGCCTATCACTGTCTGTTCGTAGGTAGAAAAATCGAGAGTGAGATGTGAACTGACAAGGCTGGTCTTTTAGAGGAGCGCGGGGTAAATAAATAGAAGTGTTCCTGAAATCGACCGGTCGTAAATTTACTACATGTAATTAATAATCAATGGCGACATCGAGCGATTATTAATCGCAATCACCGCCATTTTCCAGTCATCGATGGGGAATGGGCGGCATACTGCTGTCAATCAGGTACTGGCGCCCGAGACACGAGGCTCTGCGTTTAGTCGATGGTGCAATTCATCGCGGAGGTTGTCTTCGACTCCGTAGAGATGGCATGGCGGGGCGGGCATAAGCTTCAACGGTTTGACGGCTAGTAAGTAATTCCTAGTTGAGTCTTGTTTGAGAGCTATAGAACGTGAATTGATAAGTTGACAAGTTGACAGGATTTGGAAATAGTTCCATAACAGATGAAGAGCAGAATTCTCGGCAACTTAGCCGAGTTGAAATAGACCAAGAGAGATACGGTCGAGGCCCACGTATAGAAGCATAGCCTAGTTTATTTTGATGAAAAGGACAAGCAGATAAGTTACCAAGAGCAAGAGTTGGGTCTTATATATTATTGTCTCTGGGTCTAGTGTCACGCGATCCGTGATTTCCGGCGAATCAATCAGGAGGTATAACATCATAGAGTAGCCACTATAGCGAGATGGCTTATCTGTCATGCTCGATATTAATCATCAATTGATATTAATATCGGAAAAGGTCCTGTTTAGGAATAATAGCAAGGCAGTCTTTAAATCCCATTAAAAAAGAAGCGTTGTCACGAGAAATACAGACCGGCCCCAACCGCGAGCGCGCGCGGGACCTCACCGACTTAATCATTAGCAAATCCCAAATCTGTGAAATATGAGGGTTACACAATGGTGGATGCTCTTTGGGCCCAGTTGTCGGCAACTGACTGTAGACGGTGCTGCGTTAGTATTTGGGTGGTAGTAACAGTAATAACATAGAAACGTGTTTATTAATGCAATTGCATCATCTCATTCGGTATCGCGTATGAGATTAAACTATCAAGTTCCTGGAATGTATTATTGAGTAATTTCCCGCCCAAGGAAATGTAAGTATCTTCCCTTCCAGAGAGGGGTTCGCATGGCTGCATTCTAGACCGAGACAAGCAGCTCCGTGATTGATGGCGTTTCAGGCGTCGTACTACTCCGCACTACGGCCTCTTTCAAGCTCCAACAGCAACGTCGCTATCAAACACGACTCGTAGATGGCCTAGGCAAATGGGCAATCAATTTCCATGGTCACAACAGCCACTCAGCGGCGGTTATTGGCATGCCAGACCAACCGTGGGCCCGGGGTATTAGAGGATACCCAGCCAAAGTATGGACGCGGCGACGGTGATTGGCCGGCGACGATCTATCGCTGAGGCCGACTGGCACCAGTGGGATAGCAGTGGTCGAGGTGGAGCAGGCCTGTAACTTATCGCAGCCACACTCGCTTTGCGCAATCCAAGCGGCGAGCGGCGAGTCGTATTGAGAATTCTGTATTGATATCTGGGCGCATTCCATGGGACGGTTTTAAAGACGGCAGCTGTGCCATGGGCGACTCACTTTTTCGCTTGTTCTCCTTGGTACCTTCATCTCTGTAACGCGAATGGAGCACGGAGTAAGGTGTAACTGTATCGACAGGCCTGAAACCGCGGCCTCTGATTGTCCTTGCCCGCTCGGACTAACCTGAACAGCTCTAGCGCCGCCTTCGTTCCTCACCTCCACTCCGTTAGTTGCACCTCTCGACTATTCCATTACAGGTGTTCACTCTTTCCTATTGCTTCCATTTCCAGTCGCTGGCCAATTTCTCTCTTTTCTTCTCTGTCCCTCGTTCTTTCCTTCTTCTCTCTGGCTTTCGTGCTCGCTGGTCGAAATCGATCCGATTCCCTCAACGCTGCCAAGTCGTCTCACTGCAGTGCCGCGCCGGGCGCAATCCACCTGCTGCACCATCTACAAAGAGATCGAATCGATAAGCCAAGTTGTCTCGATGTGTCCATCTCCATGATTGCTCGTCTGTGCTCAATTTCATCGTGCCCGTCGCTCTGCCTGCGCTATCGGTCTTGGTCATCGTAATTGGACTCCTCTGCAGCAATGTTGCTGAAACCCGCTACTCCCCTCACCGTGCTGCTGCTGGCCGCCTTTGCTCTGCTTCTCCTCTCGACCCTGTCGACTCCCGTCATAAAGCAGGTGCCTTTGGCAACTTTCAAGAATGTCGACTTTGGCGTGTTTGGATACTGCAGAGGCGATGTCTGCACCCCCGCTCGGGTGGGATACGACACCAGCAACATCTTCGGCACTGAGGATTCAGATGGCGTCGACTTTAACCTGCCTTCGAGTGCCCGAAACTCACTTTCGTCGATCCTCATAGTTCATCCCGTCGCCGCCTTCTTGGCTCTCATTTGCTTGATCATGGCTGCTGCCTCGCATTTCCACTCGCCGTCGCATTCCCCTCGATATCTTCTCGCTCTCCTGATTCTCCTGCTTCCAACCGTTCTAGTATCGCTGTTAGCATTCCTGGTCGACATTCTGCTCTTCGTACCGCACCTGCAATGGGGTGGGTGGATTGTACTGGCCTCTACCATCATCTTGGTCGCCTGCGGGGTTGTCACCTGTGCGATGCGTCGAACCCTCGTTAGCCGGAAGGCGCGCAAAAAGCGCATCGCTGAAAACGCTGAGATGAGTGGCGCAGGCTTCTATGCTCGGCAGAACGCAGAATCCGCCGCACTCGCCAAAGCAGAGTCTCCTCCCCCGATGAGCACCGACACGAACGCTCCTTTACTCGTAGGTCCCAACCAACCATCCTTCACCTCGGCGCCAACATTTGCTACGTACGATTCAGCCACTACAACAACTGAAGATGAGTTGCGAAAACTACATTCGCGGACGCCTTCCAATCGAGTGCCCCAAGGCGAAGGAGAAATGGACCAATTTGGCACTGCAAGTCGACCGACACGACCTGGATATAACGGTCCACGTGATGAATACGGCAATCCCATCCCTCCCACAATGCCAGGCACTTACCGGACAGATCCTGGAATGATGAGGTCTAATTCGGATCCCCGACTCAATAATCAATACTCCGATGGCAGCTTGGGCTCTCGGCGTGGCCCTTCTCCGCAGAGCTATGGAGTCGCTGGACAGCCGCCGCGTAATCGAGGATACCCACCACCTCGAGGAGGATATGCACCTGGTGCACCTTACGGTGGCCGTGGGCGAGGTCCCCCGACAAATGGCCGAGGTGGCTCTATGCGTAGCATGCGTGGAGGACCGCCGCCTCGCAATATGGGACCTGGTCGAGGACCTCCTCCTGGTTATCCTCCAGGACGTGATGATGGATATGATACGTACGCAGCGGTTCCTCGTCGACCGTCGGACCGTGTCAGTCCCAACTTTTCTACTCCATATAATCTACGTAATCCATCTGCATCTCAGCCAAATCTCCCTGAAGTTGAAGAACCCGGCCACAGCTTCGAGATGGTGCCGCAAAGTAGTGAGCCTAATCTTCGTGTTCGGAACGAGTATCTCGAGGGTCAGCGAGATTCACACAATCAGTCTATACCCAGCCCTACGAGTGTTTACAGCAGCGAGTAAGTTTGTTTATTCTTGTGGCTTCCAGTTGCATTCTACTAACATTTGCAGACCCTACGTACCACCGCGATCTGCCTGGTCAAACAACCGGGCGATGGCTTCTAGTCAACCACGCGACATAAATACGAATCCTACACAACATATGCGGTCTGGATCAGGAGATCATTACTTTGAGGATGTGGAGCCCAGGTTCGCCGAAGTGCCTACCGCGGGGGGCAGTGGAGGGAGTGGAAGCGCAGTCCCATCAGCTCTCATGGCGGGACGACCAGCTGGTGAGATCCCACCACAATCATCCTCACTCAACATCCCCGGTGAGCAACCCATGGGGGAACCTCCTCGCTCACCAGCCGTTAGTGATATAAGCCACACAAGTCACTTTACGTCGATTTCCGAACGGCCGATCAACCCGCATTGGCAACCTCCTTCTCCTCCACCTGTCCCGTCGAACCTGAGATCGGCACCCCAGCCACGCGTGCAGGATATGGTTTTACAAGGAAACCCAGATTTTGAATTACCTGTCGCGGCTGGTCGAGGGGGTCCTCGATATGGCCGCGCCGGTCGAATGGCTCCAGTGATCGACTCTAAGTCAGGCGGGCGTTATCCTAATGCCACCATGTAGATCTATTTAGTGCTGTTACCTATGGCGCATCATTGTACACAGTTTGGGGTTTGAGTATGGCGTTCTAGGGAGAATTATTCAAGCAGTGTACCCCGGATGGCGTTTATATTTGTTTTGAGGGTCATATACATACAGCAAATCGAGCAATTAATACGATGCACTGGATCTTTATGGGTGATACTGATGACTGTTTTCTGCTTGTTTAGCGTTGGTATGGACAGCGCACAGCTAGCTCTGTATAGATGGAATACAACTTCCACAGCCCTGGTCACGTGCTGGGAGCAATACTCGTGCCAAGCCCAGCACCCAGCAAGAGAGGCATCGTGAGCATTACATAATTGCTGACAAAGTAATCACCAAACACGATCTCGTGATACTATTTTGCGCCGTAAATCCACATGCACCAATCAGCCTGGCAGACACGGCGCGATGTGGCCTGATATATACGGGCGCGCTCCCGGATAACTCGGGGCACCGCTGACTAAGTGGTGTCGTTGTGATTGTGCAGGGCTTACATCATGGAGGTAATCAATGCTTAGCTTTGCCCAATGCGTCCCTTGGCTGGCATGGCTATTCGGAAAAATCGCCGCCGTGCGATAAATCACAGTTGCGGAACTTGGGAGATGTGGAGTTCGCCTGTTGTTGGCTTGATGTGGACTGGGCTGGCTGTTCGGTGGAGGGGTTATGACGCAGAGGACTCCGAGTGACCGGTGTATATATAGCAGGTACACATCCCCAACGCCATTAGAGAGCTTTAGCATAAAATAACACTTTCTTTGGTAAAAGCTTCAGTGTACATCCTTCCTCCTTAACAATTCCTTGAATCGCATTTAATAATCCGTGTCAAAATGCCCGTCACCGTCCCCTCTGCAGACTCCCTCCACGACCTCTTCAGCCTCAAAGGCAAGGTCGTGGTGGTAACCGGCGCATCCGGCCCTCGCGGCATGGGCATCGAAGCAGCACGAGGCTGCGCTGAAATGGGCGCCAACATCGCCCTGACATACTCGTCTCGCCCCGAGGGCGGCGAGCGCAATGCCAAAGAACTAGCTGAGAAACACGGCATCAAAGCCAAAGCCTACAAATGCAATATCAGCAAGTGGGAAGATGTACAGCAGCTCGTCGCTGATGTGATCAAGGACTTTGGCCAAATCGATGGCTTCATCGCCAATGCCGGTCGTACCGCCGACTCGGGCATTCTCGAGGGCTCGGTCCAGGCTTGGGAGGAGGTCATCCAAACCGATCTGACAGGTACATTCCACTGTGCCAAGGCTGTCGGTCCGCATTTCAAGGAGCGTGGCAAGGGCAGTTTGGTCATCACGGCCAGTATGTCGGGCCACATCGCCAACTTTCCGCAGGAACAGACCTCGTATAATGTTGCCAAGGCTGGATGTATTCATTTCACAAAGTCGTTGGCCAACGAATGGCGGGATTTCGCACGTGTGAACTCGATTTCACCAGGTTATATTGATACTGGACTTTCCGACTTTGTGGCGCAGGATATTCAGGATCTTTGGAACTCGATGATTCCTTTGGGACGAAACGGTCAGGCGAAGGAGTTGAAGGGGGCGTATGTTTATTTGATCAGCGATGCTAGTTCATACACGACCGGGGCGGATATTATCATTGATGGCGGTTATACTGTACGATAAACATTTATCAAATAGCGATAGTAAGTAGCAAATTGTATGGCATGGATAATTAATTGATACTCAAAACTCAATATTTTGCTATGATAACATAATCACCAGAAAACTCCCCATCCCCTGCAACACCAGAGCCATGCGTTTCGATCGAGAACAATGGAAAACCCCGATAACAGCCCCAATCAACACTCCTGGAGGAGATAATAGTTAGCTAGGATTCAGATATAAAATACTTTCAGTGACATACCAAGAAACCCTCCACCATAGCTTGATAAACTGTGGCTGTGGCCTTGAGCCGAAAACTCAAAGCGCAACTATTTGAGCAATCTCTGAGCCACTTGACGGGGAGTTTCGACGACGTGAACTAGCCGGTCATGCATATAGACCTCAATCGACATACCTCTACCATCCACCAAGATAGTGCCGCGACTACCTTGCTCATCCGGCACTTCACGGAAAAGGTAGAACTTGAACTCTGGCTCCAGCTCCATTTCATGCAGTACCTGCCCTATAATCTCGATCTGATGTGGCATGGCCACAGTAATGCCGGGGTGAGACGGGCGAGGGTGAGTCGGATGAGGGACATGGTCACCTTGGGCTGTGTTGGGATCCCGACCTCCCTGGCTAGGAGGAAGTTCGAAGACGGAACACCAAACAATACAGTGCGTCTCGTGAGGACCAGTAGGGAAGAAACCGTCTTTAAATTCGTCGTACCAACCTTTCACCTCTTCCATCTTCGCACGAGCGTTTCTGCGCGCTGCGTCACGATCGCCGAGGAGATCGCCAGCGCAGCAGGGAGTGATGCTGCACATTATAGCTGCGTGGCCAGAAACGATCACCACGATCGTGGAGCCGTTGACATAGCGTGCTCCCAAGGCTTTAGGCTCAAAGTTGAGATTGAACATACAAAAGCGGCACTCGTTGATTTGGACCTCGATGGCCTGGCCTAGGTTGAGAATTTCGTGGCAGCGGGATACCATCTTGCTTGATGGTGATTTGTGTGGTTTTGCCAACAGTGAGTAGATGAGAAGGTGAGTAGGTGAAGGATGGATAGGCATCATTATAACCGTTTGACATCTGCGCAGGATTTCAGATTGTTGAAACAAAAAGCTGTGGGATTCTTCCCCGACAAGTCAATCGGCTGGGCAACTGTCGGGTGATTTTGACAACAAACAAATATTTCAGGCGTGAATATCCTCAACATATCAATTCACAGAGCTCCGGAATATTCTTTATATTTTCTTTCTTGTGAATAGTTTCAGGCAGTAGAAATGTCATACTAAAGAATATCTCATTTGAATTTAAAATAATAGAGCTATTCACACAGTCAGGCTTAACTATGGGCAACCCATTCTTATATCAACATATTGTTTAGTTGGAAATCCTTGGTAGGATCTAAGAGGAAAACTCACCATACTTTCTCTGTAACTTTATACTGATGAAATATAGTATAATTTGAAATTGACTGTATGTACTATTTCACAGTAGATGTGAAGCATGGTTGTATGCTAGTATAGACTAGCGCTAGGGCTATTTGCTAATTGCAGAGCAGATCGTCTTCTAAGCAAGCCTTGCATATCTGAACGAAATTTAATATCTATCTTCTAATATGAATGATATTATTCGGTATCCGTTTCTCCATGTTAGAGATGATTCATGGTCACTTGAAGTCAATCTGTTTCTTCCACTACGGTTAGCCCACGGGATACTTTGACCATATCTATAGTAGCAAAGAATAAATGAGATGTATATACATCGGTTTGAGTGTTAACTATAGTGATACTAGTAGTCAAAATATTTAAATAATTAAATAACTGATATTAGTTTCATACATATATGGGCTGTCAAAATTAGGTATATGGGGACTATGAAGCTTAAGACTACATCGCTTCTAGCTAGTCTGGGAGACAGAAAAAGACATTATTAATAACAAGAATATTAATATATGCCAGATCGCCATAAGTTGCATATTATCAATTGTTATTGATGGAATTAATCTATTTCCTGCTGGCTTTTGCTGGAATGTACGATCTTAATGCATGGCGGCCGCCGTCTGATTGGCCATATATATGTAGTCTATACAACTATCAAGTGATTAATTGATGCCATTGTAGCTATTAAAAAGTCAGTAGGCAGCCGAATAATTATTCTCCAACACTAACGTCCAAGCAGCTCTTCCCAAAAATATTTAATATTTAATATTCTATTAACGCGCACGTGCCGAAACCTCGGTTAAAAAACGGCGAAAAAAAGGCAAGACAAGGCGATCTTTTCTCTGCGCGGATCGTATTCCCCACCGTACCTTGTTGTGCAGTTCTAGATGATTTCAGGATCGACACCATTATGATCGCGCTTAATTCTACTTGTGGAAATACCGAGGCTCATCATTGACCCGGCTAGCGCCATCTCATCCCTCTACCAAACCCAGCTTCTCCATACATGTGTAGCTGCATGTAGCTAGCTCCTGCGGGGTAGAAATATACAAATTATATAAACTATTAATTACGTCGCGCCCTCTTTCTTTTCATCGTCTAATGTTCAGTATTTGCTAATTTCATCGCCATGGACTCCGCTATCAAAACCCTGCAGCAGCACGCTGCTAGCATCCAGGAGCAAATTGCTCCTCACATCACTCCTCTGCTGGAGAAGCTGCCCCCGTCAGTGCAGAACGCCATTACATCAACAACCACGCGCAATATTATCGCCTTTGTCGTTGCCTGGAACGTTTTGAAGTCCTTCAACGGCCTTTTGTCAAGCTTTGTCCTCAATAACTGGACTTCCGACAAGTGGGATTGGCCACGCGAGGTGGTTTTGATCACCGGTGGATGCAGTGGAATCGGCAAATATGTCGTCGAGAAGCTGGCCCGGAGGGGTATCAAGGTCGTTATCGTCGATATCCAGGAGCCACAGGCTAAATTACGTATGCCGGCACTTTGAACTTACACACTTCTGAACACCACTGACCGGGAATATAGCTGCCAATGTCTACTTTTACAAGGGCGATGTCACTTCCACGGACAGCGTCAAGGCAGTCGGTGCCAAAATCCGCAAGGAGCACGGTGACCCGACGGTGCTGATCAACAATGCCGGAATTGGTCACGAAGGACCTATCCTCGACAAGCCCGAGGGAGTTATCCGCAAAGTGTTCGAAGTCAACACCCTGTCTCACTGGTGGACTGTCAAAGAGTTCTTGCCGGCTATGATAAAGCGCAACCACGGACACATCATCACCATTGCTAGCGCCGCTAGCTTTTTGGGTCTCGGCGAAATGACTGATTACAGCTGCAGCAAGGCCAGTGCTTTGTCGTTCCATGAAGGTCTCACACAGGAGATTCGCTTGTGGTATAAAGCTAAGAAAGTTCGCACAAGGTATGTTCCTTCTTTTGATCATCTGAAAATATGAGTGGTTGCTAATCGTGAACGGAAATAGTATCATCCACCCCATCTGGGTCAAGACACCCCTCATCAAGCCCATCACCGATTCCGGTGTCAAGTTCCGCCAACCCATTTTGGAAGTTGAAGAAGTCGGAGACGTTATTACCAAACACATTCTGTCTGGTAACAGCGGTCAAGTCATCATTCCCAAGAGTATCAGAAATGCCGGCCTTGTCCGCGCCCTACCCAACTGGATTCAAGAAATTATCCGTAATATTGCTTCCGCTGATCTGAAGAAGATTCGCGAAGCTCAGGACGCGGCTTTGGCGGCAGAACAAAAATCTGGCAAATCTTAATTCGTATTTGTATGATTAAGCTGATGTGTATGTAACTTTTGCTTGTGGATAGAGATTTTCTGATAAACTGAACCATATGATGATACCTATATATATTAAAATTTCTGTCTACTATCTACATCCATTCAAAATCCCGAAACCCGAATTTTTAGAACACCTGTATCTCGTGCTCTAGGCTAGCAAGAACAAATGAGGCCGATCCATGCACACTGTTAAATAATAGCGGCTGCGTGACATAGTACTATATAAGTTAGCAAACAACATCAAAATGAAAGTGAAATGGTAATACCTCGTATGTTGCTGATGAATTCAGACTGCACACTGACACAGTCCCATTCCAGTCCAATGTGCCATTTTGATTCTTCACCACGAACGTGTTAGTCAGATACGCGTACGCCTTATCTGCAGTGTTCTTATATCTTTGATCTGACGATCGCAGATACCCTAGTCTGATGCCCTTGTATAATCCATACACAAACATAGCACTCCCGCTAGATTCGATATAATTCCCCTCACGCTCCGGGAAGTTCAACGCCTGCCACCACGCCCCGGACACAGGGTCGGCCGCCTTGACAATCCCATTCGCAATCGCAACGAACCGCGCGTGGACGTGTTCCCATTGGGTAGAGAGGCACTCAAAGCCGTTTATCTCTAGCCAGTCCACCAGCGCCATGAAATACCAACCTAACGCGCGATCCCATACAACTGGACTCGCGCCGGTTGCCGGATTCGCCCAAACGGCGGTTTTCGAGGCGTCGTAGCCGTGGAACAGCAGACCAGTGGAGTTGTCAAAGCAGTGGGCCCAGAGAAGATCGAGTTGGTAGATTATGTCGTCTGTCGTTTTATTTGTGACAGTGGGGTTGAAGAAGGTGGTGTAGAGAGAGTAGAATGACGCGTACGAGTACATGCCGTCCAGGTAGCTCCAGTTAGGGTACGTGAAATACCACAACCCGCCTGCTATATTGTCAGCAAAGAAATTGAGCATGTTAGCATCGGGTTGGGAGATATATACTATATTGATTTTCTGGTTGCAGGTCAATCGACCGTCTCAATGCATCTAACGCGGATTTAACAGTCTTGTTATCATGATCGCCGGTGTAATCTAGTAACAATCCCCGGCCAAGTGAAAGGCGATCTAGGGGGAATAATGTATCTTGAGACGCGTTGAGAAGCCTGCCTACAATACTCTGGGTGCCCTTTTCGACATAAGATCGATAATCCAGCTCGGTGCAACGGGACAACGGTGAATCTAATACTCGTAGCAGCGCCGTCTGCACAATCCCGATTTGCAAGAAAATGGAGGATTGGGTCTCTGCGGGAGCAATACCCTGGCCGCGCGAGATGATACTATCGGCCATCCATGTTGAATAGGGGCGGTGTGAACAGGAGGGATTATTAATCTTGTTATTACTGTCCTTCAAAGCGGTGACCGCGCTGGACATAGCCAGCCATTGGAGAGGTTTCATTGTTCCTGCTGTTAAACACAATTGACAAGACACAAGATAGAAGTTGGTATAGGTCACGAATTCATATATGTACTGATGAGGATGAGATGTGGAAGAGATGTAAAACGCGCCGAAGTTATTCCGGTTCTTGTCCAAATGATCGACAGTCGAACTAGGAAAGCTAGCTGGCCAATCAGAGACCTCGGATTTACTCCTCCAATTCTCCCCAATTCGGTGCTGTGTTGATACATACATTAATAATTATCGTATGCTCTGCGACACATGTAATTCAAAACCGTAATCATACTATCCAAGTCGTATCTGCAAAAATGCCAATATTCGGGTCCTGCACTGAGGGAGCGCTGATTCTTGATAATCCATGCATCCAGAAAATGTTGCGCTCAGCTTCGGATACTGTCATTTTCTATGAATAAATTTAATAGAAGGACATATCCCCGCTAATAATGCGTGGGGTCTGAAACCGACGTAATCATCACGTTAGCCAGCTTGCGATCCAGTCTGATGGGTAACCGAGGACCTTGAGCGACTAATATCGAACCATGTGAACGGGTTCGCCGCGTTGAAAATTACAATCCAGGCGAAGGAATGTGTTGAAAGTCACACACTCCTACTTCTCCCTCCTATTGAAGCAAGAAGCCCGAACTTGGTGGTTGCTCACATGAAGCATAGATAAATGCTGATCCAGATTATCGCCGGGACGCAGAAGCTGATAAAGAGGATCGGAGTTGACAGCGGGGCTGGTCGTTGGGCAACTTTGAATTCCATGGGGGGTGCTTTCTGTTCTGTAGGTTGCGGTTTATCTAATAATGAAAGGTTGGTATCTGTTTCCTCAGACATGTGTCGCTTTTGATAGTATGTTTTTCCTTGCTTGCTAATATCCAAGATGGTACGAAGGTGGAGAAGGAAAAGTATGTGGAGCCAAAACAAAGTCGGATTTAAAATGTTCGGGCCGCAGATTTGGCCCGTCAGCGCTCGGAATCCGAAGCATGGAAACTGATAACAAATGGGCTAGTATTGTTGCTTGCGAGGGACGTTTATCTTCCACCGTTTCTCCTTTCCAACGTGCACTACCGTTGCTACTACTCTGAACTCATATTGAGACTCATCCTATGCGGATCGGATAACACAATCCAAGACTCACGCGGACTCCATTGCGATGCTGATATGAAGGTGTTGCTTATCAATAGCTCGGATGAGACTGGCCCGTTTTAGTCTAATCCGCTATATACCAGGGTGTTATGATATAGTAACCAGTTGATAGGTTTGACATTCTTCTTAAATTATTAACGCAATGTATTCTGTTAAATAAAGAAGGATTTTCACTATTGACTTTTTATTATTATTACTGACAATGACCGCCAAACGAACCATTCACATTACCGGCTACTCGGACGGGCAGCCTTGGCTCAACCCTTGCTGTCGCCTTTCACAACGCTGGATGGCGTGTCTTCGCATCAGCTCACAAAATTTCCAGACTGAAACAAGTTCAAGCCGCTGGTATCGGGACTATCCAGTTGGACTACCTCCGACGAATCAATTGCAAGTAGCATTTCTCAAAACTCAGACCTCACGGACGGATCTCTCGATGCGTTGCTGAACAATGCTGGTGCCGGATATTCCATGCCGCTCATGGATCTAGACATAGCAGAAGCACGCAAACCGTTCGATCTCAACGTCTTTTCTCTGATTAGAGTGACACATGCCTTCTTTCCTCTTCTAGTCAAGTCAACGCTTGGCGAGATGGTTGTTAACAATACTGCATGTTCATCGTAAATTACTGGAGCGCTGCCTTTTGCAGGGGGAGCAATGCCTCCAAAGCAGCAGCAGCTAGCATCACAGAAGTCTTACGCTTGGAGTTTGGCCCGTTCTGTATTGAGGTGATAAACCTAATGATGGGGTCTGTACGCTGCCATAAAGTATTTTCGTACTCCACATATCATAACACAGACTAATCCATTTATATAAAATAAAGTAAGTGAAATTGGCTAAGCCGAAACCGAATAGATGTAAGAAACAAGTTAAACAATTCTATCATGATGCTGTAGAAAGATTATCATTGAGGAGACAACGTCTTCACACCGGTTCTAGATGGTTGTCGCTTCAAATCAGGTCTAGAGCATAAAACTCAATTGCCGTATTGACAGCGCAGTTTAAAAGGTTTAGGAATTCGTGTAAATTACGAGTCCAAAGCGATCAATTATCAACCGCTCGGCTTAAAGACCTACTTGTCATAACCAAAGCCAAATTCTGCAACATTTGACACCTTTGTCAATACCATCAGCATAAATTTCTATACCCAATCACAATAGAGCAATTCCGCGGGGTTCAATCCTATTTTAGAGAATGATTGTCGACATTTCGGATTTCGGATGAATCGAATCTCACAATTCCGGTACCGGCTACCCCAATTTGTCGCTCAATAATTTCTATTCGTCAAGTCGAAGTGTGTTTACAATGCATATGTGAGTCATTTATCACTATGTACAGTATTACAAATCCTCATGTTTGCACGGTTTGCATGGTGTGAATGGCTAAGGAATAAGAAGTGGATCCTGCAAATTACCCCAATGACTATTATTTAATATCGGCCGAAACGCGTCGTCATCTGAGATTATGATTTGGAACATCATACATCCATGTCATTTAGGAATAGAATCGCACGTCAAGAACCTCTTCCCATAGACCAAGCAAAACAATTCAGCCTCGGTAAAATGGAACCCAACTTCTCGCCGCGAGCTGGAACTCCTCACTCCAGCAGGACTGAGCTAATCATTGGTGGGTTGAGAACATATGTTTACGGGATAGAAGAAATTGAAAAGGCGGGATACCAAGATGTTGCTGTCCTATATCTTGCCCACGGTCGTACAAGAACCTACAGGGATATGGAGATGACGGCCTATGAGATTTTACATCAGTACCGGAATACGCAAGGACAGAAGAAAGCAGGTCTGATTGCTGTGGCATTTGATATGCGGAATCATGGAGAGAGAGTGGTATGTTCACTTCCAAATCCTTTTACTTTTGTCCCAGACCTAGTATCCATGATACACTCAATATCTCATGATGCTCACTTGCCTGATAGGTTACTCCAAAGTCAAATCAAGCATGGACCAACGGGAATGTAACACATGCGTAAGAAATGGCATGGATCTCTGCATTCTCAAAGTTGTGCTAAAATATCTCTTCTAGACAGGACATGATTGGTGCAGTATCTGGCTCTGCACAGGACATTGAACTTCTTATCAATTACCTCCCAACTTATCTTCCACAGTTTGACAAATTTTATAACGTTGTGTCCGGTGTTTCCCTTGGCGGGCACACTTCCTGGCGCGTAGGAACAGACGCAAACAGCAAATTGCAAGGTCTTGCTATAGTAATCGGCTCCCCAAATCTGACGGGCCTTTTACTTTCGCGACTGGGAGTAAAGATTGGTGAACTTTCCGTGCCGGAAGATGAGCTATACACGGTACCCTATGACAAGCTTTCTCCAGTGTTGACAGAAGAGCAACGCCGTCGGTGGCCTCGTGCGCTAAGCGAATTGATCGCTGAGTTGGATAGAAATACAGCGGAGAAGTTTCCACGAAATGTGCCGACCTATATTTTGAATGGGAAACTAGACCCATTGGTACCTGACCGGTTCACAAAAGCATGGGTTGCTAAACGTAGAGATGAGGGTTATGCCAACATCGACTATTTTGTCCAGGAAAACACCGGCCATACCTGCACCGATGTTATGGTGGATAACATTGCCCAGTGGCTAGTCAAGTTGTTTTCCATTTAACCATTTCACTTTCCTTACACCCTATGAGACGTGTGATATGGATGCGCCCTTAATTAGAACATGTTAGAAATGTGACTGTTGCGATTCGTTAGAAAATACGCAACATTATCCGTTGCGCCATTTTTGGAATGGTGGTTATAAATATGGCAGGATTTTGTTATCTACCCCGCCTTCTCATATAGCACAATGAAAGCCAGGCAGCATATTTTATAATTTCTATAAATGTCAGTTACGGTTCAGTTAAAGTTCATTTTTTTATTTTGTAAATAATAAAACCGAGACTTGCAAAGCGTGAAATAGCCATTCTGATTATACGTCCATCAACCATGCGCATTCGAGACTTGGGATATTCTCCCGGCCAACTCCAGCCTGGTCCTCAAAATTCTATACTTGATGTTAAAGGTAGCTCAGTTCCCGATAACCCACCTATTACGCACCGTTTTCAACGAATCGGAACGTTCTAATGTGTTTGTAGGAGTCCGAGTTGGGCAAACCACCATACATGAGGGTCAAGACATCCACACGGGGGTCACGGTGATTTTGCCACGGGGTCCGGATGAGATCCGACAGAAACCTTGCTATGCAGCAATACATAAACTAAATGGAATGGGGGAATTGACTGGAGGTCATCAAATAGAAGAATTCGGGAGCTTCAACACGGTTTGTTTTTCTCATTCATACTCATTCTATCCATTAATTTTTAAAATAAATGGTACCGGGAGGAATACGATTGCTGAAGGAATATTCAGCCAATTGCGATAACCAACTCGATCAGTATAGGCAAGGTCTATGATGCCATCTATAGCTGGATGTTTGACCTCGCAAAACAAAACCAAGAAAGCTTCGAAGAAACCTTTCGAAATATCGGAATCCCTGTAGTCGGTGAGACACTCGACTGTGTTCTCAATGATGTAACCAAATCTGCGGTTGAAAAGTCTCATGTTTACCAGGCAATTGAATCAGCTCTTTCAGACCCGCCGCTGCCGGTGCTTGAGGGCTCCTACGGCGGTGGTACGGGAATGCGATGCCATGGGTACAAAGGTGGCACGGGGACATCCTCTCGGATTGTCCCAGGAAGGAGTGACGATGAGACATTCACAGTTGGGGTATTGGTTCAGGCAAATTATGGCCATCAGAGAGATCTTCAAATTGGAGGAGTACCTGTCGGACGAATCCTGTCAGAAAAAAAGCCTACCGAGCCCGTGTCCAGTAAATTCGGGGAGGGAAGCATTATTATTGTTATTATGTATTTTGAACACAATTTATTCTAAGTTTATATTCAAGATAACAAGCTAACAAATCACAGGACGGACGCCCCCCTCCTTCCACACCAGTTACGTCGCGTTGCCCAAAGGGCCACTGCCGGTTTGTCCCAAGTTACTGGGCACGGTGCTGGCAGAACTTATTCAGGCGACATTTTTCTAGCCGTCTCAACTGGTAATATTCCTGACGATAGCCTAGACACAGGATTGCCTGGGTATCTTCCAACTGTCGAGACCTTCAACATACAGTCAATCAAGAACGAATGCATTGACAGTTTTTTCTATGCGGCGGCAGAGGCAACGGAGGAAGCTATTCTCAATGCACTGGTTGGGGCTAGAGATGGGCTTACCGGCTTTATGGGACATAGAGCTGAAGGGTTACCTGTTGATCGTGTCAAGGAATTGTTGGAAACTTATCGTGTCAAAATATAGCGCGAACGCGTCTAGTGTTTCATGTTTTTTCATAGAGACCCGATTCACGGATTCCAAGTAAACTAGTATATAGGCGCCATATAGTACTTAAATGCTAGATGGTAATGAATGGTATGCATAAATATTACTATTGGCCGCGTCAAGAGGGAAGCATAGGTCGAGACCCTCAAGGATAGATAGCAAATCCTTGAGCAGATGTATCAGCCCCAGCGATAACTATGTTATCAATGTCCCTAAAATGTCTTCCAGACACATCTATGGAAGCCACTCTCGCTATACTATCCTTCGGACTAAATGCTAAGGCAAAGAATTTGTCGGTAGCATCGACACTGAAATCTAACTGTCCTTTATTGCCATTAGTGGAGTTCCATTGTTGAGCGATTCTTCCAGATGGAAGTTCAACTTGGGTAATGGTGTTGGTGCCGGCGTCCGGGAAAAGTCCAGTTGGATATCTGTGGGTGACCGCCGACCAACAAATCGCCTTCTGCCCTGGAACCGCGATTTTGGCGACGGGCCGTTCGGGATTATTGACATCAAGGATATAACCACCGAGCTCGGGCTCTGCAACGAAAGCTAGGGTAGTCTCTGGGATTGGCACAATGCCAAAGGATGAGTTCAAGCCAGCAGGAACAGCGATTCCTGCCTTATCCGAAACTTCTCCCTCCCAACCAACTTCGTATGTAGCAACAAATCCTGGTGTTTGCGATGAGCCACGTGCGGTAACAACTAGCAATGAATCGTCTCTTGCGAACACAGCATCACTAACGAGAATTAGGGATGCGTTTGGGGGGTTTGATTGATGCAAGTCAAATTCTCGGACCGTATCAAACTTGCCAACTCCATGCGAGTCCCATTTGGCGCAACTGATACCTGCGGGGGAGCCAGCGTATCCCACACAGACGGTATCTCTCTTAACAGCAATAGTGTTGGGAAAGCCGCCATTCACAGGGTATGTTCCTACCAGGCTTAGGGAAGTTGGATCGTTACACGGAATGGAAAAGAGGGAAATATCGTTCGAGCCGGCGTTGGTAGTAAACAAGAACTGTAATTTGAGTTAGCCTCGGTTCATCAATCCTCTGTGGCGATTACAGTACATCTTCGTAGACAACTACACTGTGCTGACTTCCTAGCGGGTCCGGAGCGTCTGGCCCAGTAGAACCTATTTCAGCACCACCATGGCCTCCAGTAGCATAGAAACTGTAATTGCCAAGCTTGCCACTTGGGTGAACCTTAACAGCGGCTATTGCATTTGGCGACTTGTTGCTTTGAAAGTAAACAGCCTTGGCGCCATGCTTGAAGTCCAATGGAGAAGCAGTAGCACCGACAAGCAGTGCTACTGAACTGAGGAGTGCCGTGAAGTGATGCATTGTCTCTGTTACGATTGGGACCTTTCAAACTGAACCCAGAGCTTCAAATAGGTAATGGGTATTTATGTTTGAACCTCGATTAAGGGTTCCTGAATCGATACTTATATAACTTACTAATTAGAATTTAAATTCCCCTTAGATATTGGATTAACTCTTGTGCTACCATTATCGCTATGTTTTACTGCAGTAAACAATATGATTCCACATCACAGAAGCCCTAGTTTCCATTTCGGTAGTTCTATCGGCGATCTCATCACTAGCATAACACCAAAGGCCTACTATGACGGAATAAATTATACTGTCAATTTCCAAATTTAGATTTGCATTGAAAAATTTGGGACAAGGAAATGAATACTTGCGAGGCTAGGTCAGCTTCATTTGGCTAAAGAACAATGGACCCTTTCAAGTAACCATATGATTTGCTACAAATGAAGCACAGGTCAAATGAAAAAAAAAATATCCTTCATAGAAACACCCTAGATGATTCCTCAGCAAAGAATGGGTCGATACCACCTGATCCCGGCCCGGCTATTCCAGACCAAGCCTTCCCCAAAGGGGTAACTTTGATCTGTCATAGCCCCCGCATTTTAATGCAGTCCGTTACTTATTGGGGGTCTTGATTCGTAAGATCGGCGGTATGTCTAAATGAGAGATATATTACAAATGGGTACCCACCATAGGAATAATTAAAGCTAATTTCTTCAGATCAGGTACGAGAACTCGCCACAACCTTTCTCCCCCTGGCTCGAGGTGACCCAGCAACTTCTATTTTTTTCCATGCTCCGCTTTTTCAGAAAACAATAAGTCGACAATGAAAAAAAATATCCAGTTGTTTTGAAAAACGGAACATTGTTCTGAACATTGTTCTAACTACGCTCCTTTACCAGTGCTCACCCAATCAGCTTGCGGAAGGTCCAAGTGTACGACATTGTTCAGCCAGGAGTATAGAATTGTAAAACTATTCCCACACTACGGGCCTATGTGGAAGCACATACATGCCTAACAGCTACTTGACGGCGGGCCAGAGACAAGCCATCACGGGTCAGCCCTAGCACACGGTGTGACAGTTTCAAGCTAAAGAGCTTTACCAGTTCCCTGAAAACATCCTCTCCCACAGCTTGGACAGCTCCGAGCTTTGCTTTACAAGCGAACCTAGAATAGTTGAGAATGGTATACTGCGGAAAGCCGAGTAAGGGTTCGTTGCACAATTCGAGTAGGCAAATGGAGACTGTTGGTATTGCATTGTTTCGGTTAGGTCGCTCCTTGATGGTATAGTACCAGCCTGTGTTCGTTATAATGCTACGCTGGCCAAAATTGGAACTCTTACCCTTCTCCTCAAGTACCAAATCCCCTTCCATATCCAGCTTATATAGTGGCACAGACTGCCTCAGTAGCTCCTTGTCAATCTGCGCTACATTCTTCGTCCAGTCAGGCAATTCATCAGGAACAAAAGGTGGCCACGGGTCAACATCCCGATCACGTTAAGCACATTGGTCATTTCTCCGCAGACCTAGACTTAACCTCCAATTGACTACCTCATGTAACTCCTCAAGGATGCAAGCGATAACGGCATAACGAAGCGGACCAGGGTCTTTCGGGTTTGAGATATCTCGCAGCTTCCAGTCAGGACGATAAAAGAAATATTCTGTTTCATATTCCGTAATCTTATATCGATCAGCGAGGTGGAACTCCTAGGCCCGGTATACGGATCGCAGTGTCGTGTCGCCCATGCGCCAGATAGGAATAATTTGGAGATTATGTAAATCACCAAATTGTGAGCTAATTATCCTCGTCTCGTTCTTCCCGTCCTCAATGAGTGCACGGAGAGAAAATGGACCCGGAAGTGGGAAGAACCAAGATGGATATGGGATGAACATGCGTAGGAATGCAAACAAGGGATGCTTGTGGTATTCTCTGAGCCGGACGAGGATACTCAGTATTCGAAGAGGCGACTCCCAGTAGCGGAGCCATGTCTAAAAATGTGCTCAGAGAGATATTTTAGGCCGTCGATGGCGCTTTGGAGGCATTTTGGATTTAGCGGTACCGCATTAATTGAACAATGGTCAGTTCGTACTGTAGGGGACATGAAGGTTAGGGAACATGGCAGAGGAAAGTTACGGCTCGCAAATTCCCAAGGCCCACTCTAGTCTCGATTAAAGATTAATATTTGATAAATTACCATATCATATTAAAAATTTTATTTGTGTAGTGTGAACTAGGTGAAAATTTTAATTTTGTAAAAAGACGAGAAAAGGATGAGATTTTAATATTTTATAATTAATTTGGCGTGGAGAGGGCAGGAGATCATTTGAGATTCTGCAACGCCTTTCCCTACATACTTCTAGGCGTTAGAGGTATAGGCAAATTTAGTAGTCTGCGATAATAGCTAAAATGTGTTAGGGGAAATTTCAACGTTTTGACATATGTAATTTTGATGGCCGGGGGTGTTTACTACATTTGAAATGTGTGTTGTTCAATATCGGTTATTTATTCTTAATTGAGTGAGGTCTAGTTCCAAGTTTGATTATCTTTAAAAAAGGTATTCCCGAAATAGTAACTAAAGGCCTGATTTAAATGATTCCTAAGGGAGGGCTTGCGCATGCTAGCTCAGTAAAAAATTGACGTGTTGTGCAGCGAATATGTTATTAATTTTTGGCTCGCTTGTCGAAGTTTGAGCTCGTTTCATCGCAGTGCTCTTCGTCGCTTAATCGCAGCTTTCTCCTCCTTGATCTTATTTACCTCAACACCACCAAATTCTTTGCGCCATTCTTCTGCCTTTTCCGGTTTTATGCGGGTGAATAGGCATTCCGCTTTGCCAATCTCATGACCCGGCCTAACAGAATCTGCTTTCCAATGATCGGGGATGAGAATTGGTTTCATCCGGAGTTGCCGATTTATGGATATAGCTGTCTCAGGCATATATGGGGCAATGATCGAGGCTATGAGATGGATTAAATTGAGCGCTATACCAATAACAGCTGCACATTTAGACGGCTCGTTCTCAGCAAGATTATTGTCAAGTCTATTCGACTGAAGAAAGTGATTTCCTTGTTGAGAGATGAGAAGTGCTGTGGCTATTCCGGCCCTAATTTTGACAGTATCAAGTTCTTGGATGTACTGGGTAAGAAGCTTGTTCACTGCTGCCTTCCAGTCACCCCAGGATGTATCGCGATATTGTGTCCAGTCAGGCACAACGTTGTTGAAGTGGCGTGAGTTCACAAATTTCACGACGCGGTTAACAAAATTACCAAGATTTTTGAGGAGAGAATTGTTATTTGCACTAATGAAATAGTCCCAATCAAACTCACTATCTCCAGTTTCGGGTCGATACGATAGCAGGTAGTAACGCCAGATATCAGAAGGTACGCCAGTCTTCTGAGCTGAATCACCAAAGACTCCAATACCTCGAGATTTGGAAAATTTCCCACCTTCATATGTAAGATAGTCTGTCGCGGCGAGATGGTGGAGCTTTGTCCAAGGGTCTTTGGTGCCAATTTGAGTGCCTGGAAAAATTACTGAGTGGTAGACCACATTGTCTTTGCCCATAAATTGATAGAGACGAACATCGTCAGGATTTCGCCACCACCTTTCCCATTGATCCGTATAGTTGGCGGTAATAGAAACATAGCCAATGCAAGCATCAAACCACGCGTAAATAACCTTGTCTTTGTATTCTGGTAAAGGAACTGGGGTCCCCCATTTCATATCCCTGGTGATGCTGCGTGGTTTCAGCCCTTCTTTCAACCAAGAAGCGGTAATGACCTTCCCATTGCTGGACCAAGTACCATTGACTGATGATTCTCTAAAAAAGGATTCAATTTCAGGCTGGAGCTTGTCCAGTTCGAAGAAAATATGTTTCGTACTTCTAGTGATTGGCGTGGAATTGTCAACTTTGCATCGGGGGTTTTTGAGTTGAAGGGGATCGAGAAGGCCCCCACAAAAGTCACACTGATCCCCACGAGCTTCAGCGTAGCTACACATCGGACATTCACCTTCAACGAAGCGATCTGCAAGGAATGAATGGTGCTCTTGACAATAAAGCTGGGTTGTCATCTCCTCCTTCAAAAAGCCGTTGTCATTCAGTTTCATGAAGATGTCTTGGGTTATGTCCGTCTGGAGCTGGGTTGTGGTACGACCAAAGATGTCGAAACCGAGATTAAACCATTTATATATTCCAGCGTGAATATCATGGTATTTGTCACAGAGTTCTCGCGATGTACATTTCTCTACAAGCGCCCTTGCTTCTGTTGTCGTTCCGTACTCATCCGTGCCTACACATATATTTCATTATACTAGGTCACTACCAAAAAGAAAAATGGAATGAATCGCCATGATTACTTACCGCAGATATATAGAGTGTTAATACCACGAGCTCTGCAGTACCTCGCAAAAACATCAGCCGAGAGGACCGATCCTATGATATTCCCCAGATGTGGCACATTGTTCACGTAGGGTAGAGCGCTAGTAATAAGTATGTTTCGTTTTCCAGGCTCTGGGAGAATGATATCACGGCTGGGCGATTCTTCGGCCATGTTTCTCGATATTGACACCATGACAATAAAGTTGAAAGAAGCACCAGATCGATCGGAATTATCAGGTTTCTTTTAAAGAAAACTTTTACAAAATTTCCTTGTTGGACGGGGGCAAGAGGCATATTATGGAGGGGTTAATGTTTGCGGAAAATAGTTATTCCCTCAGACAAAGAACCAAGTACATGGTCTACAATGAAATCTTTCCTAGTGACGCATTTTTTTTTAAAGATCCTTTCTGTATTTTCCTTTTACAGTCCTACAGTTGGAGTACGCAACAAGGACTAAAGACATTGCGGTAAAGGCTCTTTCTTCTCTTTCGTCAATCCTCCATCTCACCAAATCTATGGTGAAACTTAGTCAATGATATTCAATAATCAAGATCAAACTACTTTGCCTCACTTCTGATATGTCTTAACAGAGCCGTTTGGTAGATCAAACAGACGATCTGGCACCCCGCAATCGTCAATGGGGGCAAAGCTTGAGTCCTGTCTTGGACAAGGACCCCTACATATGTGCAGTTCGGATGGTTAATTTATTCAAGAACCTCTGTTACTTACTCTTTATATTATTGCAGCACATAGTGTTTGAGAGAAAGTGGAGGATGTACAATTCTTTATGTAGATTTCAAAATACCTCTTGATACCTCATTAATCTGTTTCGGGGGTTCTATCTACGTTGATTAACATGGATACTTGTGCATATACAAGTTAAAAGACAAAGGCCAAGATCAAACATCCATCAATATCACTGATTGCACCTACCAATGAAACGGCATCCTTTTGAAAGGGCGGATATGGTAATGCGAAGGTCATGCACGAAACATGAGCGCAGATGACACAGTTGTTTACTCAAATTAATCATTCAGGTAGGTTTCATTATATCTTATAATCCTATCAATACTCTCACTTACTTTCTAGCTTGTATTGAACAGATTATGGAGCAGCTCCAGCCCCTGCAGTATAAAACCGCCGTCTTCGCAATTGAATGTTCCATCCTTTTCTTCTTCTATGCCTACCAACACTTTTCAGTTTAGTATCAATTTATATCTAAAGCAAAAAGCTTCGTCATTACATTTGTCTACCTCTTACGTTTTTTTCTTATTCTCAAAACAATATGGCTGCTTCCGAAATCCAGGAACCCATCGATCAACGCTACTCCGTCTGCGACGATTGCGGCTGGCAGGGTTCAAACTCTGCAGCCTCTTGCCCTGAATGCGGTGGATCTCTTGTCTCACGATGGCAGTTTCCTGGGAAAGTATAGAGACGAGCAAAACCAGCTTCACCAACAAATATTCTTTGATTGTTTCACTGCCCCACTGTCAAGCCACTAGCCTCGCAAAAAAAGGTGTAGAATAATGAACAATATAAGTGTTGTGCGATAATAATGTGGGTTAGCTTTTATATCGCATTTTTACGAGCTTGTCATAATTAGCAATCCAGATAATGTCTACTAGTTCTTTTGGCATTCTCAGCAATCTGGGATCAAGCCATTACCAACTGGCCAAAATGAGTTTGTTGCTGTATTGGATTCTGGACTAGTGGAATTATATAGGACATTCTATCAGCATGAGAAGGGCGTGTAGATTATCTAGTTCTCCCAGGCCTTCTTTTGGAAGGGGACCGAGAAGTAGAGGACGGAAAGAAAAGAAAAATCATTGATGTCTATGCTCGAAATCCTAGGAAGGAAATCCGCCCTGATGCGTGTCCCAGGGCAATTATACGATCCTTAATCGCCGAACAACTAGGCCGAAACTCGGGAGGAAGCCAGAGCACTTTATCACCACCCAGGGCTATCCACTCCCCCTGCTGTATAGATATATCTGTTATCTCTGTATTCACCAGGGTTGAACTAGAGGTATAATTGTAACACCCGAGCTGAAAATCAAAGGGTCCGAGGTTGGTGCTGATATATGAGCCATCATGAGAAAATTTAAGCTCAGTGACTACTCCGGCGACTCCTAGAGTCTGTCGCAGCGCCCCTGTTACTGTATCCCAGAGTCGGACTGTTTTATCTTCAGAGCCAGATGCTAGCAGCTGTCCGTCAGGCGAAAATCCTAGAGAACTAATTGAAGCCGAATGGCCCTCAAAAGTCCGCTGTAGAGCACCTGTAACGGTATCCCAGAGCCTGACTGTTTTATCATCGGAACCAGACGCCAGGATTTGGCTGTTGGGTGAGTATGCCAAAGCATGTACCCAGCCTAGATTGCCCGAAATATTCTGCTGCTCGACGCCGCTCTCGATATTCCATAGCCTGACTGATCGAAATGAGCCGGATGCTAGGGATAGGCCGTCGAAAGAGAACGCCATAGACCGAACCGAATTTGAATGGCGCTTAACATTCTGCAGCTGAATTCCCCTGTTGGTATCCCATAATCTGATTGTCTTATCACGGGAGCAAGATGCCAGCAGTCGACCATCTGGAGAGAACGCCACAGATCGAATTGAACTTGTATGACCTGCGAAGGTCTGCTGTAAGGCGCCCGTATAGGTATCCCAGAGCTTAACTGTCTCATCGCTAGAGCCAGATGCCACAAGTCGGCCATCTGGGGAAAATACCACGGAACAAACTAAATATTTATGGCCCTTGAGTGTCTGCTTTAGGGCGCTAGTGGCGACATCCCAAAGTCTGACCGTCTCATCATCGGAACCGGACGCCATGACGCGGTCGTCGGGTGAAAACGCCACACACCGAACTGAACCTGTATGGCCTTGAAAAGTCTGCTGTAAGGTGCTTGTGGCTAAATCCCAGACCCTGATCGTCTCATCATCAGAACCAGATGCCAAGACCCGGCCGTCGGGTGAAAATGCCACAGAACGAATAGAACCTGCATGGCCTTGGAAAGTCTGCTGTAAGGTGCCTGTGGCTAAATCCCAGACCCTGACCGTCTCGTCATCAGAACCAGACGCCAGGGCCTGGCCGTCGGGTGAGAATGCCACAGACTGAACTGAATGCGTATGACCCCAAGAGTCTGCTGTAAGATACCTGAAACTGTATCCCAGAGCTTGACTGTTTTATCGTCGGAGCCTGATGCAAGAAGCTTGCTAAACGGGGAGAATGCCACAGACTGAACTGAATGCGTATGACCCCCAAGAGTCTGCTGTAAGATACCTGAAACTGTATCCCAGAGCTTGACTGTTTTATCGTCGGAGCCTGATGCAAGAAGCTTGCTAAACGGGGAGAATGCCACAGACTGAACTGAATGCGTATGACCCTCAAGAGTCTCCTGTAAGGCACCTGTAGCAGTATCCCAGAGCTTGACTGTTCTATCATGGGAGCCGGACGCAAGTAGCCGACCATCAGGTGAGAATGCCACCGATTGAACTAAACTTGAATGGCCCTCGAGAGTCTGCAATTCTGCGCTCCAAGTTTCTTCAACCTCTGGCAACCTATATAACCAAGTAGGAAGGTCTTTATTGAAGATTTTGCGTATTAGCGCCTCCTGAGGCGCAAATACGAGACCTGAACAATAAAGCTGAAGGGGCGCCTCTGTAGCTGTCTGACAATTTCGAAGGACAAAGCGCTTTGCATCATTGAGAAATTCTGACATTGCGGAATGGTTTTCGCCCTATATTAATTAGTGTGAATCACATATGACTGTCGATGTAACTTACTGGTATAATCGTCTGGAGAAGATTGATCATCCCTACTAATTCCATTGCAGCGCCTAGAAGGCTCATTGCTTCCACCCAATGCAGGAAATGCTCCTGGAGAAAGAACAGAATATCTTCCATCTCAGAAGACGGGGCTTCGCTTTTTTCAAGGTGGTATGTCCAGTAACGACAGGAATATTGTAATTCTGGTGGTATATGCTGGTGGATAGATTGAGGATCGATTGCTGCTATTTGTATTCCAGGACCTTCGAGATTGCAGATATTTTTCTTCAGATAACTTTGCATGGTTTTAAGACAGCATTTAACAATATCTTTATGCTTTTTTGGTTCATTCACATAAAACTTGGTTCTAGACTGGACCAAAAAATCCCGGAATGATAGATGTAGAATCCTAATAGACTGATCTCGGTCATCTGGGATACTTAGAACCGATCGGAATGAATCTAATCGATTACTGATCTGGTCTACTCCTATCCCAAGAAACCGTGATAATGCATTTATAGAAAACGGAATAAGAAAAAGGATGATGACGCCAATTATTTCCTGAAACTCTTGTAGAAGCTGCTGCTGCTCTGACTTATCACTCTCTTGATCGTCCAGTAGTCGAGTCAGAATTGGTAGATATGTTCTATCCATTCTTGATACATATTTGGTTTGGTCTATAAGAAGCTCTGCGAGACGCAATTTAGGTTCCCATTTTGAATTTTTGATATAACGGCACACCGTGGCAGCTGAAATAAACAGTGGAACGGACATTGTGACCAATTCTTGAATAACGTTATCGCCGGGCCAGTCTTGAGAAATATTTCTATCGTGTTTGACCTTCGCAAACTGGTCCCGTAGGAATAAATGTATATCGTGTTCAGTCACTTCTTCGGGTATCTTATGAAGAGCTAGGTCCTGATATTCATGATCCGCAATCTCTGAAAAGCCGAGACTAATTGGGAGTTCAGGCCTGCTAGTCAAGAAGATCCGAAGGTCAATCGCTTTTACCTTCTGTAGAAGAGGCAGTAATCGAATTATATTTCGGACATCTTGATCGTGTTCACATTCGTCTAAAGCGTCGATCACCATTACAGCGGTTTGAGGTTGGCCGAGTTGGTTAAGATGCAGCAGTGATTGAAGAAATAGCTTCTCAAACTGCTCCCTGAGCGATTTTGACGCAATATCAGGGTCATGATCAAGTGTCTCTTGCACACCAAACCTCAGCCCGGGGATCCCGAGCATCAGTTGCCTTATTAATGTCGGGAAAAACTTCTTCGCATTTCCTCGGTCCCTTTCACCCCTCTTAAAGAAGAAGCTAGCACCTAGATGGTTGATATCCTTGAGCGACCTTGCCACAGTCCGAGATATTGTTGATTTTCCTGTCCCAGCCATTCCCTTCAACCAGAAAATGCGTTTTTGGGACGGCGATATAGCCCATTCCATTATATGCTGGAGAAGCTCGGTCCTAGTGCCTTGAAGACATTGGACTTCGTCTCGATCAGAGAATGACTCAAACCCCGCCTCCATCACGCCTTCCAACTTCCCAAGATTCAAATATTGATTAATACGATCGGTGTTCTGGGCCACGCCAACCATAAGAGAACTATGCAGACTTTGAATCAATTATACTGAGTGAAAATATCGCGCTTGATAAACGTACGTCTGATCCACCTGTAAAGATAAGAGGAATGAAGATTTATACCTCTCGAGGCTCTGAATAATACCTTCTACCTCTGCGCGCTTCAGGGGCCACTTTAAGGCTCGTAATCCCACTTTCCTCATCAGCTTCTTTCCCTTCCCTGAATCGACTCTTGCTTCTAAGGCTCGGAGGTCGGAGAGGCAGTCGGTAATGCTACTGGCTAGTTGTGAAGAGGTAGGTAGGGAATTTCGGTCATTACTTTGAAGGAATTTATGCAGTTCTTGGATTATGCCTTGGAGGGTTGCAATCGCCTGTTGTAGGGTGAAGATTTCAGCTCGTGCATCTTTCACCTCTTGAATGTAGCCTCCGCAAAGCTTCACGATGCTTCCCGTTAGTTGAATGAGCGCGATAACGCTCGATACCGAGGATAAACCATCCATTTGGAGGGACACGGCATAAAAGCCTATGTTAAACGTAGGTAGGTACGATGGCGACGAAATTAGGGTTCGGAATTGTAGGTTGGGCTGTTCTGGCGAAAAGATAAAGAGGGGTAATATAGGTGCCGGGCACGAGGCTGTGAACCAGAGTGCATCTCACGAGCCAATATGACTAATCATGCGTTTCCTTGGTGAAAAGCTAAGACTAAAGATGCAAGGAGAGTAGTCCACAGGAAACGAGCACTGTCATATAGTCACGGTGTGAAATACCACAACTTAATTCTATCGTGCTCAAACACAGACGGAATCTGTCCACTGTCGTCGGCCCGTACCGACCCAGACCCATCTCGTTGCCCTGCGCCCCTAGCCAGGTACCTCATCGACTTTTTCCGCTAACAGCGCGACAAAGACCATTATGGCGCCCTGACTTGCCCCCTCCCAGCTCGTGATGATCCGCGACATGATCAGAAGCAGATCGCTGACTACTTTACAGATAGCCGAGGCAGTTGGCTGCAGCAAACGTTCGATCATAACCATCAGGGCCAACCTCAAATGTTTGGCGATGTCCAAGCACTCTTGATTATTTGAAACATTACTACAGTACAGTGCTTTGCACTAATGGCCTTCCCACCTAGACACTTCTAGGCTCTTTTCTGAACCGTCCCCACCCCATGGGAGCTTGGGCCGATCCGAGAAGATTTCTACTATGAGACGCACATAACCTCTTGGAACGGATCAGATGCGTTGCAGTCTCGACAGTACGCCGGCCGCTCTTCCAACACGCCACCGCTGACTCTGGCTCTGATGTTTGAACAGTTCCTGTCGATAAAAAAAGCCGTACGGAGTGATTTAGCGGGACATCATTGAGGCGTGTTCCGTGTTCTGTGCTACTGCTGGAATGGGCGGCGGTAGCAGCGTCCATGGGCAGGGTAACTATGGCGGGTGCATTACCGACATCTCGTATTGACACAGCCACGTAAAGCTTTGCGACATCTCTAACCCTAACCCTGACGCATCTGCCGATCAGGAGACAGGCTCCATCGGTGGTGATAGGAGTGGACCGCTTCCTCACGGCTCGCCTCGTCACTGATCTGCGTGAAATATTAAACGTCCCCAGGACTCACACCAACGAGATTCAACAGCCCACCATCGAAGACAACAGTCGCAAGTGACTCATCATCTTATCACAGTCTTCCTTTGGCGATGCGAGAGTATTGCCCGCGGTCTATCACGGCCATAAGGTGGAGCTGGTCTTCGTCTCGACCATGACCGAGTCAGTCCGCGTATGGTCATGGTGTTCTGTTGACCGTGATATATACGATGGGCTGAACAACCAACCCGGGCAGCTTGGACCGGAGGATTCTTAATTGCAACTTTCTCTCAACATTTGACGTTGCAGTCTTTTAATACTTTGCCAGGTCTGATCTGTGCCCGAGGCTATTACGTATATGAACAAGTTGGCCCAGTTCAAGCCCTGGTTCATCGAAGAGCCCACCTCTCCCGACTCGGCCACGCCGCCATTCGCAAGGCGCTTTCCAAAACTCCATACGGACCCATTGGCGTTGCCACGGGCGAAATGTGCCAGAACAGAGTTATGGTCAAACAATTCCTACAAGCCGGAGCCCTCACTGTTCTCCAGGCCGACGCATGCCGTGTTGGCGGAGTCAACGAATGCCCGGCAATCCTCCTGCTTGCGGGCAAGTTTGGTGTTCCTATTGCCCCACATTCTGGCGGTGTCGGTCTGCTAGAGTATACGCAGCACCTGAGCACGATTGATTATGTTGTGGTGAGTGGAAAGAAGAGTCTGTTGGAATATGTGGACCACTTGCATGAGCATTCCGAGCATCCAGCTGGTGTCAAGGATGGGTATTTTGTCACGTCGACGGTACCAGGGTATAGCGTGCAGATGAAGCGTGATAGCATGAACCAGTACTCGTTCCCCGGAGAGGCTGGAAAGAGCTGGTGGACGTCTGAGGAGCCTAGAGTTATTCTGAACGGTCTGCGAGTTGTTTAGCTATACCAAATGATGTTTTATGTGGTTTGAATTATTTCCGTAAATAGCCATTTCACAACGTGGGTTTGAGCTTCTCATTCATATCAATTGAAACATGTAAAATCTTCTTTACTATTCACTCCACCTCCCAACCAATCCCTCCTCGGCTTGACCCAAAACAGGATCCCTCTCTGGTTTCACAACAGCCCAAACCTTTTCATAATCCCCAACGTGCCCTCCTCCAGTGCAAAAGTCCCATGCTCCTCCTTCTTTCGGATAAGCACCCATCATGGTAAACCCAGAAAGCGGTGTGTCAGCTATCGCCTGTCTTTGATCATGAGCCGAAACATCAGGACCGTTTCTGGGGGTCAATAGTGCGAATGGAAGAGAAGGGCTGGTATCAAACGTCTTGTGCGCGACGCCTGCGGGGATGACAAAGACGTCGCCTACGTGGGCTTGCACTTTGACACCGTCTTCTTCATGACCACCATTAGTGGCACCGGTACTACCATCTCCTCTATCCTCTTGATCCGCAGCACCAAACTGAATCGTGGCAGACCCAGAAAGCACTACCATGCATTCATGCGCGTTTGAGTGGTAATGCGAAGCCTGCGTAGAACCATAGCGGTATATCCACTGTGCCTGCCATCCATTCTCGGAGAGTATGTCATAGGCTTGAGCTGCTGCTGTAGACGATACGGGAAAGAAGCCTGGATAGTGGAGAATAGGCCGAGGGGAGTTGGGGATGAGCGATGTGGGGGGAAGTTGATAAGTTTTGACTTGAACCATTGTTTCTTGTGTTTTTGTATTCTCCATATTGATTTAACATTGTGATTTCGAGCTAGTGATAAATGGGACTGATATGTTATAGATGAAAGAGCGTCGGAGTAATCAGTTGTCAACCAGTAAACCGCACCTGAGTCGACCAATAGCCTCAATTGCTGTTCCAAACTGCTGATTAATGTACGTGGCCACAAGTAAAATCCTGATCTAGAAAAATTAGTAAGAATCAATGATTTATATAGAATTCTTATATAAATAGATAATTAATGATAATTTAGAATAATTAGATCTTTTAATATCTTTATAGAAGGAGTACTTTCATATGTATTCTGTAGTTATTAAATTTAATCTATAAAATGGTATAGTTATAAGTTTAGTCTTTACTTTATATTGATTATTATTTTCTATAGATTCTTAAGGCTATCTCAAAGTTATAGTTTTAAATTATATCACTTTGTGGGATATATTCCACGTGTACGTGTTGACTTTTATCATCAGTCGGGCTCTTTGATCTGATTGATGTCCAAAAAGGTTGCTTGATGAATCGAGAAAGAGAGAAACACAGACTTGTGAGATTGGTATCTTCATAATCTTTCGGGCTTCTGTTCGTACCACTTGGTCTCTGTAGATGAGTCGGGATGCGATACACGGGAGGGGATTAGACACACAGGGTGGTTGCCAGTGGGTATTACGCCCGTCCAGATTTCCCATTTCCAGCGAGTCCAGCGGTATCAGATTCTACTTGCATATGCTCAAGACAGGATTGGGTTGTCCCGGGTCTTTGAGGGGTCAACCGATGCTTGTGATTTTGAAGATTTCATTGAGCAGCTTTTTTAATATTGCGGTAAATGGCCAGAGCTAAAGTCTGTTCTTATCATGGAAAATGTGTCCTCTCATTGTCATATCTCTACTTCGCGACGAGTAATTATGACAAAGTTTTTGAGTCTAAGGTTGTAGGCTGGCAACGAATGTGGCTGGAATTTCGATACCTGTTTCCCTTGCGATAGAAGGGCTTCCGTGGTACGAAACCAAATAATTCATCCTAATAATATATTGAGTAGATAAAGAGCACGGTAGAGTGCGTTGATGATTACGGAGAAAGAAATATGAGTTAGGTATAGATGAAAATCTCAGCGCGCGGTATGCAGGGTTCAGTTCGGGCCCGAGACGTTCGGAGAGTCCGAGGATCCATGATCGCTCGGACTCTCATACTCACCGAGTTTACTGTCAAGACATGAACTAAGAAATTATAAATATAGCTGCCGATCCCCATCTCTCATATTTTAAAACACCATTTAAATACATATCAGACACAGTAACTCTCGCCTTCCCACATGAACCTAACAACTCTCTCAAAAATGGCGATCAAAAGAGAAAAGACATCTGTCCTTATTATTGGAGGGTCCCTAGTTGGTCTCTCCACCGCTGTGTTTCTATCCCACCAGGGCATTAAGCCTATTCTCATCGAACGGCATGCCGATAGCTCCCCTCACCCCCGGGCAATGGGTTTCCTATCGCGCTCCATGGAGGCGTATCGCTCTTCTGGATTGAAGGACAAGATACCTCTTGCCGACCCCAACTTCAAGCTCGTCCGTACTCGAGTGCACAGTTTAGCAGGTGATTGGCATGAGAACTCTTATTGGAATCCCGAAAAATCTGGAGCAGCACCGAAGAAGGGTGAGAGCGAAATTATGAACTATTCATACACTATTGGAGCTGACGCAGCTCAGGACGAAATGGAAGGGTATTTCAGAGAAGCTGCACTTAGCAAAGGCGCTGATCTACGCTATTCGACTACATTAATCAGCTTTCAACAAGATCAAAACGGCATCACTGCCTTGTTGAAAAACAGAGTTGACGGGACTGAATATGAGATTCGCGCAGATTACATGGTTGCTGCAGACGGTAACCGAAGCTTTGTTCGTGAGTCGTTGGGCATCGAACGCGACGGCCGTGGGCATATGCAGACCATGCGAAGTGTATTATTCAAGGCGCCCGGGCTCGATAAATATCGCAAAGATGCAGTGCAATTTAGCATTGACCAACCAGACCTGCAGGCGTTCTTAGTATATTATCGCAACAGTCGATGGGCACTAATGTTCTCTGACGAGGTAGAGAGAGATGAAACTGCCTATAAAGATGCCATTTACAAGGCTATTGGCGATGCTGATATTACTATCGAAATCATAACCACTGGCGAATGGGAGTTAACCGCATTAATCGCAAATTCATACCAATCTGGTCGCATCTTCCTAGCTGGCGATTCCGCCCATACTTTACCGCCGAATAGAGGTGGCTTTGGTGCAAATACTGGGATTGCTGACGCGTGGAATCTATCCTGGAAGCTAGCTTCTGTAGTGAAGGGACATTCTAGGCCAGAGCTTTTGGATACATATGAAGTTGAGCGACGACCAGTTGCTTTGTTCAGACACGATCAAATGTTTCTCCGACAAGACTACAAAACTTTCGCCGCGAAGGATGGAAAATCGGCAGTAGCATATGACGACATTGCTATTGAGCTAGGTGAATTGTATCGATCCAAGGCCGTTATCTCAGATTCTTCGAACGAAGAAATACCTGTAAAGCGACCAGATGAGTGGAACGGAGAACCTGGAACGCGGGCAGCACACTGGTGGTTGAGTGGTGACAAATCACGAAGCACTATTGATTTTTACGGAGAAAATTGGGTACTAATTACCGAAAGTGAAGAATGGAAGGATGCTGTTGCCCAAGTGAACGATGGATCGAAGTCGCTTAAGATTGACTGCATTCAACTTGGTGTTGACGAGAAAGTTGAGGATCTGGAAGGTCTTAGAAAGATTATGGGAATCACAGATACAGGAGCTTCCCTTATTCGCCCAGATGGAATTGTTGCTTGGAGATCGCAGCGGTTGTCGAGTTTAAACTTAACACCTGCTGAAGAGCTGAATCAAGTGTTATCTCAGGTCGCATTCTTGACTGATCTTTCGTGATTAAACTTTCGTTTGATCGTGTTATGTTACTATTCCTCTGATGCGGTTGTCGAAGGATTCAATATGTGTTATTAGGGAAAGAAGGAAAGAATTTTGATTTTGACCGTAGATACCTAGATATGAAATAATGATTAGCAATGACTTTTTCCTTTTGGGTTCATGTCTCATCCGAATTTTGGACACGTATAATCGCAGAATATATTTAGGAGCTTGAATTTGAGTACATATGTATTCATAATGTGCCAAACCACAGTGTTATGTAATTTAATACGAGTAACTATACATTTTATCCCAGTAATGATGAGTTTGCATGAGGTTATGAGATAAAATATCAACTATATGTGAGTCTCTTGAAGGGTGCCTGTTCATGAGACACCATATTTGGCAGCAAGGACACTTTTCTAAGTTCAGACGGTGTTAGAATCAGCCGCTCCGTGAGGCTTTTAACCGTACACCACAACCTGGTCCCCCATGAATCCAAAGCAACCTTGAGCATTCTGATTTGAATCCAGGATGGATATTCCATACGATTTTCAATCCATCTGCTTGAATCACGTAAATAACCGCGATAGGCGTTCCATATATCTGTGGATGTAGGGTTAAGCTATTCGAAGGTCTTCCGAAACTTGGGATCTTGGTTCAGAGGCTCGTTCATCGCAAATTGCTTTTAAGGGAAAGCTTCCATATTCGCCGGTTGTCTTTTGAATCTTGTGACCAAGCATTAAATCGGAAGTTTCTGCAGTGATTCCCACATCAACACCCTTTGGCCTAGACGCCTTATTAGTGCGTTTTTGCATAGTTGGCTTATGAACCGGCAAGATTTTAATTTCCCTTCAGTAAGATGAAATGTCAAATGAAGGAGGGTTTAAAATCTTATCACGATATATCACCAGCAAAGAGATCCGTTAACAGAGCTAGCCAGTCTCTGGCAGCAATCAGAGGCTGTGGTAAACGTCTACAAGTCCCTCGCAACACCGCTATCTTCGTCTCGCACCCATGTGAAGCAGATTCAGCATCTCCTACGGACGCTCTTTAATCCGGGTATCGACTGAAATGTTAACATGGCCTTCCTCAGTCCAGGCTCATTACAGCGGGAGGATGCAAAGTTGATTTTAGAAGATTGGAAGGTTAGAGCTGCTTCTGGAGGGTTTCTGAACAGTGATATTACGACACCTGAATATTTATTAGGCCAGTGAGAGACGAATGCGGCGACAAGTAGCATCAAGATTGCGGAGTCGTAGCTTCGTGAACAGCACTTCTTTTCTTGAGCTTCCAAAGTCGGCCAAGCCTTCCCAATGTCACACCATGGAGCCTTTCCAGGATAAGATGCTACTGTAAATCCCCTAGATTTACAATGGCCATATACTCAAGGACAGGAATTTCGATGTATTTGACCTTACTAGCTTTAGCATTTGTTTGACCATCTCCTAGGAAGTATCACTCTAGGAACGAAAACTAATCCCGAGCATGCTACGACAGGGTAGCAGCTGAAAGTTAGTCGAATGACAGCTGCAAGTCATTCCTTAACAATCCCCTCTTAACAAGCAGCATTGTTTCGAGACCTAGCCGAGGAACGTCTTCCATCAATTCAACGAATATCTTAGACCGCATAAAATCTTCCGCTATAGCAATTCTCGCAAATTTGAATGCCAAAGTCTCGCGCAGAGGCTGTAGTGCAGGATGGTCATTGTCGTAGAGAGTCGCAATAACCTGGTAGACAATCGTATGCGATTGGTGATCAAAGAAGAACATAACCCAATTACTAAAATGTCCCAAAAGATCTTCAACAAGTGAGGGAACATCATACTTGTCGGCGAGTATCAGCTCTTTGACAAGAAGGAGCATGTCATCTATCTCATACGAGTACAATGGAGGGCAGTCTTTATGTATGATCAAGCCTCCACGGCGCCGGTAGATGTAACGCAGCATTTTATCAATGGCAGCAGCATCCTCGTTTGGAGGAAATGTAAATATTTCTTTTTGTCCTTCCTATTTGCGATCAGTCTCTTGCCACCAATGAGGTAAAAAATATTGTCAAACCTTCCAAACACATCTACCATTATAATCTTTTCGAAAAGCTGCACGAAAGTAACCAGAGCACTTCTTCACAACATCCCAATGAGCATGTAGTCTCTTGTCACCGTACGAAAGAATAACGTCGGACCCTTCCGGAGAGTCCCATAGGCTGTGCGCGAGATTTTATTAGCATTTTCTGTGTGTAGAAATTTAATTAACTTCCATTAATACCTAGCCGGCAATGGTAGAGCGTCGTCGCTCATCGGGCGCTATGCGAAAGATCGATGCTCTGAATATGGATTGACCACTTGTAGGATAACCAGCCTCTCTTGTATGATAATCTATTTCCCACTATTATGATCTTTTCTATGAATGCAGCGGTGCTAGCGGATATTGGGGAATCGCGGATAGGTTTTCTTTGCAAAGAGATGCGAGAAGGGTAGCCGTTTGTAACTGTCCAGCAGCCTGTATCGTCAGAAGGTACTTCTCTATTGTAAAGTTGTTTGATCGATAAATTGAAAATCGGGATATGGTTGGGAAAGGAAGCAATGGGCGGCCTTATAAACCGCTAGAAATTAGGATTTCGCTGCTATTCGGGGCAGATGTAAATGGTGCTGGTGGAGGAATGTTTGATGACAAACAATAAAATGGTGAGAAGTGGCAAATAAAAGGTCATCTCAAAATTAGATGAAACTAAGCTGTTATAAAGAGTAGCCTTATTGAATAGGATCTCTATAAGGAAAACTACTTCTAACATAACTTATTTTTTTGAATGTCAAATTATACCGTTAATATCAGTGTTTTATTCACAGTTGGAGAATGGCAGAAATTTCCGAACACATCGTTTGTTCTTTCTAAAAGTCTGGGTTCTGACGAACTCTAGAGCAACTACCTAAAAGAATTTTCTTTCGTCTTGTAAAATGATTAGCCATAATGACAAGGTTATTCTTCAAAGCCAGGTCATTTAACAAAGAAGGAAAAGAAGTCAAATTTAATTAATGATCAAACATTTCATTCACGTCAACTGGTATTGAGTGAATTCAATGTGCATGTACCCTTTTGAAAAAAATGTCATTGTTGTCATTTGAAATTTCAATCAAACTGTTAACTGCCCAAACAATTTATAATATATTATTTTCTGTACATATTATAATATATATCATTATCTATATCATGGAATCTATGTCTGAAGAAAAGCATTATAATATTTTACTGCAAAATATATTGTAATAGCATAAAACTGATCAGCCAAGGGCCCAAGTTGTCTGAAGTATCCTAGAAGCTGCTATTAAAATAGCTGTTGTAAAGCTTATATTAACATAATACAATGAAATTAATTGGATAACTATAGAAAGATATATTGATTAACTTGGAAATATTATTCTTCTTTTTAGTCCACATTTAATGCTATTAATAAATATGATTCTAACATTCAACTAAGTAGAGGAAAGAGCCATAGCATTCTATCTCTCGATAGATTGGCTTCAATCGATGAAATACTGGTTTTGCGTATATGAATAGTTATCTAATCTTATATAGTATTATAAATTATCAAAATATTTTCCTTATATATTCGAAAAATCGGTCGTTAGGGAGGAACGGTCAACGGGTGGTGAACCACTGTAACCCTCACGAGGATCGGCTGGACCCTCCTGACGGGTGAGAATGTCGGACCCCCAACGCTCAAAACGAGGGCCGATATATCTATGGGGTGAGGTCTAAGTCTGTATTTGTAGATCTTATCTACTTTATCTTTTTTCTTTTTTTAAAAAAATAAATCAATACCCTTCGCAAAATGAAAAATAGTCATTGTATGTACGTAGAATTATATCCTGCTCTATCTCTCTTAATGGTTACTTAGTGTGTCATGTTTGAAAGGGATGAGGTTCATTATCTAGCAAAAGAAGAGAGAATCTTGTTTTCACGGCTCGAACACCTTCCCGGGATTCATGAGGCAACTATAGATCATCAGCATATTGAAGTGTGACTTCGGTCCAGGAACGTACTGGGGATCTAAACTGCGCTTCAATGTCCGCATCACGGCAACTGTCTCGAATCCAAGTTCTTCCATTAGACATTCCTTTTTGCCCAACCCAATACCATGTTCGCCCTAAAAATAAACCAGTCAGTTGAAAGGAGATATAGCGTCGTTGTAAGAGAACAAACTGAGACCGTCCCCTCCATTTCAACAGCTCTACGGACCATATTCTTGACACAGTCCTGTACTGCCTGGGTCTGCGACGCGATGTTCGGATCATACATAACGGCTTGGTGAAAGTTTCCGTCACCAACATGGCCCAGGACGCTGGAGAAGAGCCCTAAACCTTGGGACTCTTTTTTTGATAGATCTGAGAGCAAAAGTCAATCCAGTAAGCAAGACACACAGCTCACAGAAGAAACTGGCACTTACCAATAATCTCTGGTAATCTCGACAACGGCACCGCAACATCTGTGGACCATAGTTGTGTTCCCTCTGGCTTCTGTGCTAACATCGCCCAAATAGCTTCCTTGCGAGCGGCCCAAAGATTATGCATCTCCGTTTTTGTCCGCGCGAATTCAAACGCGCTGCCTCCCTGTTGGGCAATTATATCTTCGACACGCCTAATGTCAGCAGCTATGGAATCTGTGCTACCAGAAAATCTAGTAATTTGTAGTAAGTAAAAATTCAGGGAAGTAGGAGAGCTTTCGAGAGCTTTCCATCGGATGCGCTTACTTGAGCAGTAATGTTGGCTTCTCAGGCCACATTCTCCCGCCTGCTCCTCCGTTACGATTCAGAACTTCCATCTGTACTTCATCCATGAGCTCTACCGCGGCGACGAGGATCCCCTGGCGTATTATCTTCGAGGCACTGGCTACTGCATCTTTGACAGACGGAAAGGTAGCCACAGCGACACTTTCTTTCGCGGGAACTGGCGCGAGTTTGAGTGTAATCTCTGTGATCATTCCTAGAGTACCTTCCGAGCCGGTGAATAAGCCGGTGAGGTTATAGCCAGCTGACGTTTTCCTACTTCCCGTTAGAGAATCTTCCATGAGTACGATCGAGGGACAGGAAAAATACCGTGGTCGGTGTCGAGTTTTGATGACGGAACCATCCGCCAAAACGACTGTCAGGTTAATGACCCAGTCCTTCATGGTCCCGTATCTGACAGCGTTTGTTCCGCTACCAAGAAATTTCAGCTCTGTTCAAGGAAGGGGTTCTGCACACAGGGAGGATACCTGCAGTTCGTGGCAACCATACCTCCAATAAGGGCCTAGAAACCATATCAGTAATAGCAGCACTATAAGGCTAATGACGAGCATACAGTTGGGCTAGGATCCATGGGCAGGAAGAGCCCACTGTCCTTGATCTCATTGTTCAGATCCATCCAATTGACTCCTGGTTGGACGACCACATCCATGCTATTAAATGTCAGTAAGATGTAAAATGATAAGGCTTAGCATTGACGTACTCTTCTTCGTGAAAGGCGACAATTTGATTCATCTCAGAGAAGTCGATACTCAACCCTGAATATGGAGCTGTGAAATGCCCCTCGACACTAGACCCGCCACCAAAGGGAACTATGCTTGTCAAAGGTTGCCTTATAATCCAACTTGTGAGAACCTACTCATCGGAATTTTATACTCAGAACATATGCGCGCAATAATCGACACCTCTGCCGTATTCTTTGGTGTAACAACGGCGACTGGTCTGGTAGCGCATTGTGATGTCGAAATTTCCGAGTTGGAATGCAGATCAATGTCGTCTTCGTCCATTGTTACCGAGTCTGGCCCGAGCGCGTCGGAAATAGTTTGGACACCCTAACAACCCAACGACATGGTCAACCCTGGCTGCGACGCTCATAGACGAGCTTACCTTTAGCATAGTTTCTCGATCAGCGTATTTTATCTGTTGTTCTTCACTGTGGCCCGACGTCCATGGTTCATATGGCCAGGAAATTAGTCCAAGCCCAGTCACACCAGCTGCAATGAATGCAGAGGGCCACAATCTAGAGAGACCCTGGAGGGCTCTGGAGGTACTTTGTCGGGTACCGTGACTCTGGAATCTGCGGACGGATTGACGAACTCCATGGTATTGATTAGCTGTTTGGACAAGAGGTCGCACAATTTGACGAAATGCCCTTGCCAGTTTCATTTTTAATCGTGGCTTTTCGTTTTTCCAAGGCTTGATGTCAAAACGCGCCTTTATTTGTGAATCTTCATTGCGCGGGCGGAGATTCCCACAATGGAATATCCGACCCCAGATCGCATCCTTTCTCCCCACACTTTGCCCCATTTCCGCTAACCAATAAGGCCCGAACGTGACACCGTCTGCTATAAATCCCTGAGGATGCAGTTTAATTGAAGTTTGTTGCACCGAACATCCACCATGTCGTCTGATCTAAAGGTTGCTGAGCATACTGAAGTCGCTGATCCTTCCGTCAAGGACGGTAAGGTGGGCGACTGTTGTGAATTGTCCCCTGGCATCCCTGTTATTGATGAGGAGACAAACAGGAAGCTGCTACGCAAAATAGATATGCTCTTGATGCCCGTTGTAAGTCTCCATTTTGCAAAACAATCCTGATTGGCAAAATTCACCTCCTTCTAGATGTGTTTCACTTATGCACTCCAATACTACGACAAGGCACTTCTTAGCCAGGCTGCCATTTTCGGGCTTAGGAAGGATCTTGGCCTTGAAGACGGGCTGAAGTACTCCTGGATCTCGTTGATCTTCTACCTTGGGTACATCGCTGGCTGTTACCCTGTACGTCGCCTCGCAGCCCAACTCTGACAAGTATCTGACATCCCAAGATATCTTGGCTATCCCAGAAGTTCACGGTTGGCAAGGTTTGCCCTATCATCTGTTTCCTTTGGGCCGTGGTAGTCCTAAGCACCCCAGCATGCAAGAGCTATGCCGGTATACTCGTTAACCGCTTCATGCTTGGTTTGATCGAGAGCGGAGTTTCGCCAGCATTCATGCTCTGCACAGGCATGTGGTATACCCACTCGGAACAGGTCTTCCGATCCTCGTTATGGTACTCCTTCAGCGGTGGATCGAACATCATATCTCCTCTCATCAACTACGGGCTCGGTCATATCACCGGCGGAGCTCTCCACTCCTGGCAATACATGTATCTGATCGCCGGGCTCGTAACCCTAATCTGGTCCATCATCCTCTGGTTTGTCTTCCCTGGTAGTCCTCAAGTGGCAAAGGGCTTTACGGCCGAGGAACGGATCCTCATTCTCGAGCGAGTGCGCAGCAACAATGCAGGCGCCGAGAACCGCCATTTCAAACTGTACCAAATCAAGGAGACGCTCCTGTCTTACCATTTCTGGTTTGTATTCATCCTCTCACTCCTGTCAAGCATTGGCAGTGGGGCAGTGACTACGTTCGGCTCGATTATCTTCAATGGAATGGGATTCACAACTTTCCAGTCCTTGCTACTGAATATGCCAATTGGCGCCCTTGCCTTTATCTGCGTGCTTGGGTCTGGATATATCGGACGGAAAGTTCCCAATTCACGGCTCTACGTTGTGAGTGGCGCATGCGTACCGGTCATACTTGGGAGCTGTCTGATGTATGTTTTTGCCTTGAAGAATCATAATAGATATCGTCCAATCGCTAATTGATCCTTCCTCCTAGATGGCAACTTCCCTCCTCCGAGCGCGCCGCTCGTATCATAGGCTTTTATCTCATCAACTTCTTCGCCGCGGCCTGGGTCCAATGTATTGCCATGGGAACTTCAAATGTGGCTGGACACACAAAGAAAGCCACCATGGCTGCGGGAACCTTCATGGGCTACTCGCTTGGCAATGTCGTTGGACCTCTCACCTTTGACGCGTAAGTTGTCTCCTGCTAAGCTCTTTGCGTATGCGCCAACTACGGTATTGAGAGCCTAACTTTTGGAACGATATACTAGCCGTTATGCCCCGCGCTATGACCCCGGCTTCCAAGCGACGGTCATCTGCTTCACGATATGCTTGGTTCTAGCGCAGGTATTCAGGGCCCTGATGTATGCTCAGAACAAGAGAAGGGACAGCAAGTATGGGCCGCCAACACAAGAACACGGGTTGGAGGACTTGACGGACCGGGAGAACAAGTCTTTCCGATACCTCCTTTAGGCGCTTTCACTGTTATCACTAGACTGGGACTGCAGCTTCGCCTCGAGGAGATTATTTCTACGAGCTTCAGGCCCCTTAATTACCTTGGCCGTCTCTTTCTGGAACCTAGACGGGTAGAATGATCACAGCCGCCGTTGATGCACAGGGCTCCTATTGAGTAATATCATCTTCAGGCTTAGAGATATTGATATTAAATTGAAGTGGGTCGTAACAATTCATATATGAAATTTCTTCAGTGGCGTCAGATAGATTCATCACTCTATGGTCTCTCTCCGTACTCTTCACGGCCGGTATCTCTTTCTCCGCACCGAATTTCAAAGCTAAGGGGTGTGTTTGTTCAATTTTTAGAGATCACACGGATTCCAGCGGTAAATTGCTCTAATCACTAAGCCCATTACACAATTCCAGACTACAGACCATGTCTTTGCAAGTCTTTGATAAATTAGGGATACTTGCACATCCAAAATAATCTATCTAATCTATTCCGTACGGTCATCTGTTGAAAGGTTTATAAAAGATATTCAATTTTATGGTCCCTCCTTTGGTGGCTCCATTGGCAGTAGTTTTCTTCTTGAGTAGCCAAAGCTAGATGTTAAGCTGCTGACTCAAAGGACTGGGAGAGATTGCTGGACCGGTGAATGACCAGCAGATAGCTCCTCCGCACAACCGCAGCATCGATAACAACATTTAGGAATATGTGCAGTGATAAATATTAACGTTTAGTGTTCAGGTTGCGAAAGCTCTACAACCTGAGGAGGAGTGCTACCATCGAGCGCAACTCCTCAAAGCCGTGAAGATACCCACTGCGAAGTGCCGCGAGTTAGGACGTAGCCGAAAAAGTTAAAAGATTGCAACATGTCGCACCCTACAAGGATAAAATCTGACAGAGCCCAGGAGCAGGGCTAAGCCCCCGCCTCAATTTCCAAAGTTTAATCTCTCAATCAACCGGTCTGGTCGGGTGGTTCTCTAGAAAACACTGCCTGCTCAACTGATTTGAGTTCTGGCGGCTGTTCCTAATTCGGAGATCCGACGCTGCGGATATTCCAATTCAGGAAAGAGGTAGACCCAAAGAAATCATATCGCTTAATTTTCGATTATGCAACCACAGGAACTCTACGGATTTTGCTGACACTAAAGCCCTATACTGCACAGTACTCACAAATGCAGACCGCCCAGGTAGAATTCCCCACCGCGGGGTAACCACCTCCGACGTGGCTAGGAACGATTTTCTGGTCATGATTCCTTCACTCAATTGCTGCCAAATGATATGGTCTAATGCGACAACAACCAGCAGCAGGATTTTTCCCTTCTCCAAGTAACTCACAAGACATCACTTTCCTTCCCGTGAACCAATCCCATTCTCCTGGAAATGACCGCCCAAGACGGGGATACCAATCCTGCGACAACTGCCGACAAAAAAAGAAGAGATGCGAGCCCTCATCAACGGAAGTAACGTGTTTGCGCTGTCAGCAGGAGTCTCGGGTCTGTCGAACAACTCATCAGAGGAAAAGGAAGAAGCTGCGACCGGTAGTAGGCAGCACAACGTCTGACGTTTCTGGAAATGCCGACGTGGCCACTCCTTGCGCGACACCGACCGCAGAAACTTCCCCAAGAGATATCCGTTCGCTTGCTGCAGACCAGGGTTCCTCCACTCTGGAGGTGGTTTCAACCCATTGTGGCGACCTGCACTGGAGATCGAATACAAAGGAGCAGATTCTGTCGACAAATATTCTAGATGCATGCGATGCACTGGACCTTATTACAGTCGCCGGGTCTAATGAAATCACTGGCAAGAAGGGTCGGGGATCGCTGGATTTGCATGAAAGCCCGAACGTACCCTCACAGCCACCTGCATCTGTCAATCCAGCCCGAGAACCATCAGCCACTTCCTGGGATCGATTTTTCTTGGTCAAAAGAGGGATTATCCGGGCGCATGAAGCGGTGGAGTACCTGAGCTTCTACTTCGCACAGCTTTGGCATCTCTTCCCAATAATACCGCAATGGTACTCGTTACCAGCCCGCTATGGCATTTTGGCCGCCGAAGAGCCTGTGCTTACCATCAGCCTTGTGACAATAGCTTCCAGGTACCATCCACTGAGCGGATTCAATGGCCAAGCTAGGTCGGAAAGGATTCATTGGCGTACTTGGCCGTGGGTGCAACGACTCTTTCAGTCGTCAATCTGGGGATCGTCAGCAATGCGTAGCCTCGGTTCCATTGCGGCCATGTTGTTGTTTATTGAATGGCATCCCCGCGCAATTAATTCGCCAGAGGATCTGGTTGGTGACTGTGGCGACCTGGAGCTCTTTGAGCCACATTCTCAGATCTCCGACGATGAAGCGACAGGGATTGCGGAATCATACGGAAGACCTGACCCTTCGAGTACACCAGAAAGACTCAATATAGTGGCTCCAGCATACAGAAGCAACAAGATGTCTTGGTTAGCCTCCGCTCTGTTTTTGAATTTTTTTCCATTACTTACAGATGATAGGATGCTATTATCTACCGCCATTTCTTTGGCTCAAGAAATAGGATGTTTGGGCGATGAGCAGGTGTTGGCCCAGGCTTCTTCGAGAGGTTTAAGCGAGAGAAGTTCCGTCCGAAAAGAGTGGACTCGTCTCTTGTGCACTTTTATTCGTCTCACTGATGAGGCACTTGCGTTACGCCTCCGACTAGAGCCTCAATTAGCGAGCAGTTGCTCCGTGGAGATCGATCGCCTTGCTTCAAGCCTAATAGCTGATGGACTCTCGGAAAGCGCTGTTGACCTCGCCCCCCATATGCGCAAAGCAAGAGAACTTCTTCATAGCTGGAGAAAAAACCAACAGGGCACGGGGCCTGTTGTTCCAATCACCGCGTGGGATAGTTTTAAGCGGGGTCTAGATTGCTGGGAAAGAAAACGCCATCTTTGTCAAACAGGTGAGCTCAGTACGTCCTGTTTACTTACATATTCACATGCTAAAAAGTTGGGGACTAGGCCTTTCCCTTCGTGGAGCCTGCCTTGACATCGAATACTATTATACCCGTCTCTGCGGACTTAGTCCTGCAGCGCACATGTTCGAGAGCTCACCAAAGATTTACTCTTCAAACTCTTATATAAAGTCACTATCGGAGTTCGCGGAAGAGGCAACGAAAGCCTCAGTCAACATGCTTGAACTCATCGTGCAAATCTTTTCGTCTTCGGAGCCTTTCAGATACGCCGCGGTTAGATACTGGCTTTATACCCTCTGCGCCTCATTGTATCTTCTTAAGGCACGTTACAAATTTCCAGCCTAACACCCATAATACTCATTTTTCCCAGGTCACTCTCAGGACGGAGCAGTTAGATAGTACTAACCCTTCCATTGACCTGATTATGAGAGTAATTAATGGTATGAAGCAGTATGCTCCTGACGACATTCACATGTCTCAGCGTTACGCCGCTCTGCTGGAAATTCTTATCAACGCGGCGTTGCGGACTTCACAGATGACCACAGCCAGGGGCAATGGAATGGATTATAGCAGCCATTCAAGTCCGTACCCGATGGGAATTCCGATCTTTGAAAGTAACGAATTAGACGTGGGGGAGGACTGGATATATGACTCGAATTTCTGGGAGACATTGCCTGACATGGTGGGGTTAAATACCGTGCCTAACTTGATTACGTCGTCTTTTGAGTAGATTCGCAATACCAATTTCATTCTGAGCAAAGTTATTTTGTCTCCTCCAGAGATGGTGTATTCGCATTCTCTATATACATATACATAAAGGATACATGATGAGTGGAGGACATGTGGTGTGATGGACCTACATAACTTATCTGGGCTCCGATACGAAAAGTAGGGGCCGCTCGTCCCTAGAGAAGACCAAGCTGATGCTGGCATTGTCCAGTGCTGTGGATTTATGTTTAAATAAACAGAGATGCCATCAAGTTGAAATGGACTTGAAGTTATACCATTATACAGACATTTGGGGCCGTTTGATTCTTAATCACACAAACTGTTGAAGATGTATGCAACGATAATCGCTACCAATGACCCGTCTGTTAAAATAAAATAAACGTTAGACTCGGTTTGTGTGTGTGTGTGTGTGTGTATGTGTGGAAAATTGTGGTGACCGAATGACCTTCTGTAGAAGGAGAACGACGAGGCGCGTCGGGCTTTTGGGGGTCAAGAAGTAGCAGCTTCTGCAGCGCCTCTACCGGACATGCTCCGTTTCGTGTTCTCGCAAGAATGATCTATACTCCTTCGCGCTGGCGGTCTGTCTTACTACACTTGAGTGTGAGTTGCGCATGGTCGAACAAGGACGAAAATCTGACGTCGGAGTGCGTTATTTTTGTTACGAAGAAGGTTGAGCGTGCATGGGGGTCCTCTGTTTTGTAGGTGAATCCTCCGAGACGGAGGAACCCAGCACCCAATGCTACGAAATGTCACTAGAATAAGATTTCGGTGTTCCCATGACATAATAGTATCTCGTATTATTCTCCTTAGATGTTGACCGCTGTACATGAGGGGCTGGGTGCAAACAGTCGGGGGCTCTTTCGACATCATTTCAATATCTTTGTTCATTTACAGCTTTGCTGTTCTGCCCAGTTTTTGGGCCAGTAAATCGACCGCGTGTTCAGCCATGCCCCTATTGCCGCGTCAGTTTATGGCTCTTCGTTATTCGTATTAGATATCTCCGCTTACCATGACGATTGATACCCAGCTCCTCCAACACCATAGCTATGAACGATTACTTTTCCATTTCTCTCTTCGACATCTATACGTGCACCGCCAGTTCTAGCAGCTAAACAGAATGGAATCAGCAGCCCATTCTACTTGACGAAAAATCAAACTATACTCACGCCGAAGTCCAACGTTATGCCGAATAATCTGCAAGTCCTCGGGTTTCCCAAGTTCTGGACAAAGTTGGCACGCCCTTTGCTTCGTGCGCTCAGCTAGCGAAGGATCGTAAGTCTCGTCCCAGCGATCCTGAATACTCATACCGCCGATGATAACACCGCCGCCAAGCGGCCGAGGGAAGACATGCGCGAATTCATTGGGACCGAACAAAGAAGGCTGGGTCCAGATAGCCATTCTTTTCAGTGGGGTTATTGGTTCGGCTATGAGCAGTGTTTGGCCCTGTTGCGCCGTATGTCAGTAACGAGCACGTTTCCGTAGGATAAACGTAAACCTCCCTTAGCCGGATACACTTTCTCATCCTGGACACCTCCGAGCGTTCTCGCACCTAGTCCGGTACAATTGAAGACGGCTGATGCGTGGGGAAAGTCCGACATCACATCGTCGATATGTTTGTAGGACCGGCGAAGGATCCTCACACCGGCTTTAATCAACCTTGCATTCAACCTACAAAAGCCCGTAAGCAATGCCTACCTCTTTTTGACACCGCGGGCATACATACCAATGAAGATAAATATTCGGGTTAAACATGAACGTGACCAAATCCATTCCCTGCTGGGCTCCCTCTGGCAATTCCTCTTTGGGGACATCCTTCACCCCACCTACCAACTCCTCAAACCAAGGGTTTTCCGTAGTTCGTACATCGTGTCCAGATACAACTCTAAGTGGGAATCGCTTGATGCCACTTTCGGGGCTTTCCTCGGCGATTTTGATGAAGCGCTCAAAAGTGACCTTGTCGTAATGCGCGAATTTGTTGAATTCCGTTTGAAAAGTGAACCAATTGGCACCGGCTTGTGGAGAACAGTATTCTGTCTGGGATGTGTCGCCCGGCAGATGTTTGGCAACAATTGTTATATCGAGATTAGAGGAGGGGAATCGGCTGAGAAGAGTGTTGGCGGTGGTGAGACCGGTGACCCCCGCGCCTAAGATGACGACTGATGCTGGCATGTTGGCCATAGAATTCAGCAGTCCGTAGTGTGCAAAATATGGCGACACCGTTTTGTCAAATACACATCAGACTGAGAGTTTATGTTTATCCAAATTGCTTTCGTTTAAGATGAGTCAACAGTTGATTGCATGTTGTTTGTTGGATTGTTGGATTGTTGGATAGTGGAGACCACGGTTATCGCCGGATATTTCATATCCGATATAATACTAGGCCTTACCTTTCGAGTAAAAAAAAATACTTCACGTAACCAAGCTTTGAAAAGAATTGGAAAACAAAACTACCTAAAAGGGGTATATATATTAGGTGAAAGGAGTAGAGATACAGTAAAGTTGAACAAACTTCCATTACTTAATCCCCTTGCCCAAATTCACTCTCAGAGCAGGAATCTCTACGGTGGTGACACGTTTTTGCAATTCAACTCAAAGATAAACAAATCTGGAGCAGTGCCACCATATTTGAACTTATCCAGATCCATCTATGAAACACAAGTTGGCGTGCCAGTATCCGCGAATTCATTTTTGCCCTAATACACCGCACGAAACGCTTGTCTCAATGCAGTCTCCGCTGTTGATACCAAATGTGTGAGCGAGTGCGAAAGAAAGAATTGTCATGATGATAAACAAAAAGAGAAGGGTGAAATCTAGATAGTTTAATAATATTGGTAGTGTAATGCATGTCTGGTTCTACGGTGTGGTAATCTTGAATATAAACAATTTAGATCGGCTCGGAGATACATCACACTTACCCGAAAAAGAAAAAGAGAAAGTCTGACACTTTCGGAACGGAGATAGTTCAGCCCCAATTCGCACTCTCTCAACATTGCAGTGTGAATTGAAGGAAGGGGTTAGTAATCCTTATAAGTTACCAAGACGCAATATAGACTAAATTTTTTCGTTACTCATTACCAATATAATCAAACTGGAAGGAAAAGGGTCTTGAGCGACTCCCCAACATCCCAACATTCCCATATAGGAATATGAAGTGCTGCATTGCGAGAATAAAACCGATGATCAGACAAGCTGTCATCCTACCCAACCATTCATCATCCGATCGATAGCGACATTTAAATGCTCATCTTCTGGGGATGTGAAAAAGTCTTCAAAGTTTATGTCCGCGAAGAGATCATGTCGATTTTCCCAATACATAAATCCTTCTGAATCGCTTGTGGGAATAGACAATGCTGCTGGAGCGTCCTGTCTGTCAAACCACCTCTGAATATAAACAACGCGTTGCTGAAAATAATCGAAAACGTTGCGATCTCTACTCTGACTTGTATGAGCGGTGGCCAGCACACTAATCCGCAATCTCAACTGTTCCAAAGTGCTGATCCACGAGGCTCTACGCTGAGCAACGGCTGGCTCCGGCCCCAGTTTGGAACTCGCAGTAGCAATCAACTTACTTCCTACAATCATGGCAAATCCCAGTTGCACCCACTGGGTGTTGCTCAATGCCGTTTCGGACGCGGACGGTAGTGAAAGATATACATTAAGGGTCGATGAAGCTGCAACCAATGCAGCATACAGAAATTCATCTCCGAACCTGTTACCAGGTGGAGCATGGGTCAGTATCGGCTGCTTAATTGCAGATAAACTGAGTTGATATAAACACAGCTCAGCTGTTTGGAACTGTATGGCAAGAAGCGCTATCAACGGAGTTGTCAGCCTTGGATTGCAGTCAACGGAAAATTGACCCACGGAAATCATATAGCCCAAAGGGCAGTTCAGCAACAAATGTCTCCAAATCTGATTTCAAAGATGTCACGTACAACTCGGCGGCCGAGCCCGGACTTCCAAATTCTACGGCATGTCGAATAGATAATCGATCGATCTTCTCCGCCAAAACCTGTAGTCGAACGATATAGAACATGTATTTGTCATATGGAGCCCCCCCTGCATTGTATACGGACTTGCTGCAACTTTCTATGTACGGTGTGTGAGGGAAATTGGACTGTTTTTGAGTAAGAATTGAGATTCTGTGAGAAATTATAAGTGAGTGGTTTAGTATTCGATCTTATAAAATAAAGCAAAATCTAGAAGTGACTTACGTAGAAGCGAGATAGTAGCACCCCACAATGGCTCTTTGTTCATCAAGACCCCAGTACGGCCGGGTATGGGTTTCGATTTCCGAGGGAGGCTGATCTGCAAATCGGATACCGGTCTTCCATGTCTTTGTTTGTGGCGCTCTGTCTAGACGTAGCTCAATAATGATGCTAATGGCCAGTTGCATGAATTGGGAATAGCGATGCGGTCGGGCATGATAGTGCGTCCTTCAAAATCCGTATTAGCACATATCTACTGCACGGAATAGGGCAAAAGGAAGGGGAAGAAGAAGATAGGGTAATTGGTATTAAACTTACCACGCAATATACACCATCAATCCTTGGAGCAGATCAAACGATATCTTCCCGTTGATTATCATATGAGAAGCCACAGCTTTCTTCACCTCGGCATCTAATGCTCGCTGCAGCGCCACATCTAGAAATGAAGCCGACACCAGGATGGCCAGGAACAAGAATGGCTTTTCTCGACGGAGGTCTGCAGCACTGACGAGGGGAGGAATAATGACAAAGGGGAAATGTGAAAGCATGTCATTTTTGAACGTATGGACCAGAGATTCAGCCATATCCATGGATAGAAAGCCATGGTCGATGACATCTTCCTCGGCTATGTGAATAGGGGCTGCATCTATGCTATCAACGCTATTGGGACTGCGACTCCTAGATGAAGCAGTTCGCGTCCTCTTGAGTTCGTCGATCTTAGACTCGAGAGCCTTAATCTTTCTTTTTCGTGCGTTAGCCAGGCAATGTGGTTTGACTAGAAAAATATGTTTACAAATCTTTTTGAAATCCATAAAAGCGACGGCGTGCTTTGCGTTCAACGCATTCCTTGCCCAAACGGCGGCATCTGGTCTCTTCATCAGAACTGGTATTAAATTAGGCAGCAGGGGTAACACACCGAGTACAGACTTCTTCTCCGTTACGAACGCATCGGACCTTTGAATCGGCGCAATTCTGGCAAGTTCTCGATAGAGGGCTCAGTTCCGCAGTCCAGGCCTCAGACGCCATGCTTGCATAGTTAATGTTCCTCGAAAGAAGTTGTTTTTGCATCCGCCGTCGATCTCCTGGTAAAGCGGATAACTGTGAGGCTGAGCACACAATGCCGGTCTGTGATTGGTCGTGGTGGGCCTCTTCGGCCTATATCTAAGGCTATTACAAGGAGCTGGAAATACTCATACAAGCAATTAATACAGACTCGGAAAGGGTTTAGAAATCAATTAATATATATATATATATATTTCCTTTGACGAGCTTAGCAGAACATTGAATGGCGTCGTTATTGCCAAAACAAAACCATCCAACAAACAACAACAATCTTTATCAAGCCCTATTCGATGATCCGCAATACTAGGCTCTGTGAATCCGACTTTTCCTCTTAATCTTTTCACCTCGAACCCTCCTTTTTAATCCCCTCCTCAATGGCCTTGATCTGCAGTGCTAAGAACTTCGAGTAATACCTGCAGAAAAACAGATTGCCACCCATATACCAGAATGCTGGATGTCCACTTGGCCTCCACATAGACCTAAATTCGCCTTCCTTGTCAAACCCCCAGACGCTGCCAACACGGTCTGCTAGAGCGTCACCGAGAATGGCTCTTGCCTCTGTATGCATATTTTGATATCCCGTCGCAAAGACAATCTCATCCGCTGGTAAGGTGGAGCCGTCGGCAAATTCAATGCTATTTGCAAGGACCTGTGAGATCTCCTGGCCCTGTTTTATTTTGATTTTGCCGTCGACAATGAGCTGGCTGGCGCCAACGTCGATGTAGTATCCCCCACCTCGCTGAAAATATTTGAGAAAGAGCCCGGCGTCTTGAGGACCCATATCAACTTGGAAACCGGCCTTTTTCAGGCCCTCCAAGGTGTTTTTGTCGAATTGGTTCTGCGCTTTTGTGACTTTAATTTGTTGGCCCTTTAATATCTCGCTAGGCAAGCTTATCAGCCACGCATCGGCGTCTTCAGTCGGTGGACCATCTTCTTCATAGAGACCCTTCAGACCGACTTCCACAAGGGCATTAGAGGATATCACAAGCGTGGAGCTTCTTTGAACCATGGTCACATTGTAGCCTTTTTCATAGAAGTCTTGGGCTATGTCATGTCCGGAATTGCAGCAGCCGACAACAACGGCGTTTTTCCCTTTGGAGGCTGGGTTGGCGCCAGGGAAGTCGGAGCTATGACATAAAAGGTCGCCCTGGAATGCATCTGCGCCTTTGAAAGAGGGGAAATTCTTCTTTCCAGAATGTCCTGTAGCAAGAATTACATGGTGGGGGTGAAACGTGCGAGACTCCTTGCTTCCATCGTGTTGCTGTCTCTCTAAAGTGACCGTCCACTGGTTCTTATCATCGTCCCAGGATGAAGAGACCAAATTTGTTTTGGTCCAAACATTCAATTCTAACAAACTAGCGTAAGATTCGAAAAAGTCCGCCAACTTGTCTTTTGGCGTGAAGATTGGCCATGTCGGTGGGAACGGGATGTAGGGTAAATGATCAAGCCAGACGGGGTCATGCAAGACTAATTGACGGTACCTTCGCCGCCAGTTGTCCCCAATTCTATCCTCGCGGTCAATTACCAATGTTTCCACCCCAAGCATTTTCAAACGAGCAGCTGCGATAAGACCGCCTTGACCAGCACCTATTCATTGCACATCAGCCAGCACAATCAGTCAAGCGCAGGGTTGATGGTTTAAATCTAAACATACCGATTATTAGCACCTGCGGCTCCTTGCCGTCAAAGTTGCTCTCAGCGGCCCTTCTTTCCTGCCAGTTCTTACGCGTAGGGTCGCCTCCATGGTCCACGCCCCTTGGTCGCTGATGTCTCAGTCGTTCCTCGTGGCCATTTAGGTTCTGCAACGCAGTATAAAACGTGAAAATTTCCCATTGGTCTTTCGTAACCTCTGCCAACCGGGCAACACCAAACCCCGATCCAACATCACTCGTGAAGTTAATGAAGAACTCGACACCCTTGACCTCGCCAATGCCGCCATCTATTGGGCCAAAATGCGGGGCTCTAAAGGGACTGGAATTGTCGATTTCGACTTTTTCGAGTCGTATACCACCAGCTAAGAAATCTGCGATTTTCTGCCGGCTATTCAAGGTGCGAAAGTCCCAGGACAGGCCCAGATGGTCACGCCAATAACCATTGTCTACAAAGAGGCTTGCCACAGATTGGGGGTTCTTTGCTGCAAGGGCGCTGTTCAGATCATCGATAACGCGGGATGCGATATCGCCTGCAGAACGAGTGGTTTGCGTGTCCTCACAGTAGACCGATGTGGGGAGCTTGCCAATGGGGATATTGATTGAACCGGCCTCGATACGGTCTTTGGAGACGATTGGGACGGTACCAACTGTGCCAACTTCTACTGCCATTCTTCAAATTATCAGATGCAGACGTAGAAAGTACTTGTGATTATGGAGGGGGAGCATCAATTGATAGTGTGGTGTGGGCATGCTTATATATTGAGTGGTCACACAAGCATCATGCAAACCCCGCCTCGGCATACTTACGTGATTTGGCCGTCTCAATTCTCCAGGCTGTATCCACGTAATATTACATCCAATATTACTCCCCGTTGTCAATTACGCTGCATTCGTCCAAAATTGATTAAAATTGATTTTTCCAGCCACCAATACCGTTCATTCTTGCTCAGATGTTATTGCTTAGATGTTGGTGTCGCATGGTTGAACTTCTTTTATATAGCGCCAAGATACCAACCCCGCATATTAGATGCGTCCAATCATCGCAATGAGATTCATTCTTTTTTAATGACAATGAGAGCTCCCCAAGGTCATCAATTGGTATGAAGATATGAGCCTTAGGCAATGTAGATATCGATAAACACTGCTGAAATAAAAGCACCGACGTTACTTACGGCCAGCTTGCAGGTCTGCCGAAAGATGGGATATAACCCGCATATGTGGAATAGTCGGTCTCGAATAGAACATGACGGAAATATCAGTTGATATCAATAATATTAAATATTAACTAATAGATAAAGTATAACATTAAAGGCGTGACTGAAGTCTTAGTGGATCGATCCCCCGCTGTCTGGGGAAGGAGCCACTTACTAATACTCTACAGCGCCGAGAATGTTTAATGTTTACGACTCTGATTTCTCCTCAGCTCACTTATTCTTCCAGTCAACTACCGAATACGTTCCAGACAGCCGACGGTCTGATCGCTCGCACCAAACCACGCGCTAGTGCAAACTATGAGTCAACTAAGTTGTGCACGAACATCCCGGGCACGCTAGACGCTTGACGAGGCCGTAGAAATGGGAGGAGCTGATCAGCCTGACCAGATCTCCGAATGCCAGGAGCTGGATCTAGGTAAAGCCACTCTCGGACATATGCACACTCAGCTAATGCAGCCAGTCGTATAGGCGCAGCATGTCTGTTCTGAGTTGGACTTGAGAACGCCAAGATGCCGGGCTGGCGATGGATCGTGTGCATTCGCCGGTGGATGATTGGGCAATGGCGTGTGATCAGTCCCGGCGCGGAGCTGGTAGCAATGCATGCGTTAATCTTCAGCTCAGCCGCTCTTCATTAGTCGGACTCGGTGCGTAGCGTGGTGTATCGAAGGAAAAAGAAACGAGCTACACCCCTGCAGAGTAAGAATACTGAACAAATGGGTAGGCTGCATCTTTTTAAATAAGACCCAGGGTCCCCCATAGAGACAGCACCCGAAGCGATTCGGCCATGTACATTAGTGGACAATATGGTTAGTATTCTTGAAAACAGAGCATTTCGGCATAAGCGACTGATAGTATGTTGTGACGGTATGTTCTCAGATCACAAATAATTATGCATATCTGTAACATATTATCTGTAACACAGGGACGTGGGAGGATGGCACATCGTCAGAAATCAACTCTCCAGTCACCAATATCACTCGCATCTGTCGTGCCATTAACGGATATGCCAAAGTGGTTATTGAGGGCGTGCCAACATTAGTCCCCCAAATCACCTACTACCAGAAGGGCGTCGGCACGGGTGTTTTAGATCGCTATATTGGAGGTGCGTATTGTTGATATCATCTGCCTGCCTTGGTTGCGCCATGTTAATTTGCTAGGTATGTCCGGAGCTGGGCTCAGCGCAAATGTCCGAGCAGCATATGCCTTCCTGGCAGAAAACTTTGACGAGGGCGATCAAATTTATTTCTTCGGCTTCTCGCGAGGCGCCTATACAGCCCGCGCCGTGGCTGGGCTAGTGGCCGACATGGGCCTTTTGACGAACCGTGGCATGGACAATTTCAGCATTGTCTACAATGACTATTACAAGAACAAGAAGCTGGGATACGACGCCGAGACCCGCGCACGACTAGGGTTTCGACCTCCTTTACCTCGCTTCACAATCCAGGTCATCGGCGTCTTTGATACTGTTGGCTTTCATGACTTTCATCTCACAGCTCGTCTATTTGGCGAGAAGTTTGAACTTCCCAACACCATACTCTCGCCTGACGTTCGCTATGCCTTTCATGCACTATCCTTGGATGAAAGACGAGGCGCGTTTTCTCCCACTCTCTGGCATTCTCCCCAGAAAGTTCCCGACCAACAGCTTCTCCAGGTATGGTTTTCGGGGGCGCATGGAGACATCGGTGGCGGCGAGGAAGATCCTCGTCTGTCAAACATCGCGCTCGCGTGGATGATTCACCACTGCACTAAAAATAATCAATTGGACTTCAACCTGGACTATTTCTTCCCGGACCCGGCGCCGGCAATGGAAGACGCCATTATCCCCTGGGCCACCAGCCTGGGCCAGGAAGACTATTGGCATTTCACACAATACATGGAGGCGCTGTTTTTTGGAATGAAGAACCGCACCCCATTAGCCTATCTTGACGGAAACGAGCAAATTGGATACACGAATGAATGGATTCATGAGTCGGTCAAAGACCGCAAGATCAACAAGTTTGACAAGGCCACGGTGCCGTTTAGATTCTGGCCAAGTAAGGTGTTGGCACGCCGACTTGACTCCAACGCATGGGAGCTCAAGGACGGAAATCAGATCCATGAGGTGAAAGCTGCAGAACTCGAGCTGTTCCTCAAGGGGCGAATACGAACAGTGCGGGCTCTTCAGGTTGATCTGGCGTAAGCAAACAATTATGGTGGACTGCGAAAATAATTATATATATATATATTTGTATATATGTATATATATCTATTTCATAAATCTCGTGATCTAATACAGCACTGTCTAAAGTATTCAGTATTCACAGGGTATCGTAGACACGACTAAACAATTGCACCCAGGCCGACGCCGGCCCTTCTCCCGTTTATCAGGGCCATCAGACACTGCCCAACGCCCTCCAAATCGCCCAACAACCCAACATGTCCTCGGTCCGACCTGACAAGACCGTGCTTGATCGCGCGGTATCCAGACGGCAGCATCGCCGCCGAGGCCAGACAAACCCCGTCGCCCGCAGCAAACGCGAGGTCATCATACGCATCGACCTGTTTAATACAGTCCCTCGACTGCACTCTTGCGCCGTACACGGTGGGCAGAGCCTTGGAGTAGAGCACCGCTAACGGCGGATACCGGTTCGCCGACTGATGCGCTTCATTGAACGCCAATTCCTCTCTGAACTGCCGGACTTCCTTCAACGTGCGCTCCAAATACTCCATCGCGTCTTTGCGCGGGATCGTGCATGTTGCAGCGGCCACCTGCGAGTTGACGGCACCGCTTTTACCCGTGTTTGGCCCGACAACGCCCTCGAGACTTCCTACCGCTTGCCCTGCTGTGGTTTGCGCCGTGTCAGGTCCAACCATCTCTTCCTGGTCCTTTTCCTTCGGCTTTCCGAGCTTTACTGACAACCGCTTCCCAAGTCCGATCTTTGGGAATGTTTGGAATGTTTGGAGATTGTCCATTAAACCCTTCTTTGTGTCATTCCCAGCGGGAACCGATGGCGCCCGTATGCACGGCGACAAGGCGTACTCGTCCCAATTGTTGACATCGAAAAAGTCAACCAAGTACTCCTCTTTCGTGACCTTGTCGATAAAGCAGCGCCCATCATCGGGCAGCAGCGCGTAGCTGGTTCTGATGCTGAAGTTGACCTGCGCAGTGAGCACTTTTGAGCTCAACAACACCTCGTCGCCGTTTCGCAGCGGCCCGAGAATATTCACACAGTGCTGCGGTGTGCCTGCAAAAACGACGCCGGCGAAGAGCTCTGGTCGTTGGTTCACCGCGTGGCGCGTGATGAGACCCCCCAAGCTATGTGCGATCACGTACGCGCCTCGCTTCTCCCGTGGAAGATCTGGGGAGTTACAGGGTAGCCCTTCTAGGTACTTTATAAGCCGTTTTGAGAGCAGATGCGGACTTAGGCGCCAGTCATACCCATAGTCCCAAACGCGCAGCTTCCCCGGCCGGTTTTTCTCCGCCTTGCGCAGTCTCTGGAGCAGTCGCCGACAGATATCCACAGGGCCGATATGGGACAGGACTTCGGAGGCAATGATGGTTTCTTCCATGCGTTCTTCATCCTCTGGGCTGAGCCCGACTTCGAGGTCGACCTTGCGGATATTCAAGCCGACTTTCATGGGGACCCAGAGCTGGCGATGCGGCGGTTTTGCAGAGCGAAGAATGGAGCCGCGGTAACCGCCCATAACCACAACGTCGCCTTCCATGCGCGACGCGGCTTGGTCGAGCATTGGGTAGGGCGAGTTCTGCCAGGTTTGTACTTTAGGGCTGCTTTTTAGGGCCTGGTCGACTTGCCCTGGTTCCTTGCGCTGGTAATCGCCGAGGAAGCGGGATGGGTACCACTCGTTTCGAAAGTCGGGGAGGTTGAAGTTGGGCATGCTGAGAAGCCTGCTGCTCGAATCTTGCAGACTGTCTTTGATTGCCTTGTAGCGGCTGTTGACCATTGAATGAATATTTTCATAATGAGGGCGATTTTCCAGCGTCGACGCTCGTGACAGATTCCTCACATATAAGCTCTCGTCGGACACAGATGGTCGTACCTGGCGTTTCTTTGTCGCTGGAAGTCGCTGGTAAGAATGCGTTCTGACATTCTGCATCGGTCCCAAGGTGGCGACATTTTCCTCGCTCGAGGTATTTATACCGGCAGCATTTATCCTGGCTAACCGGTCGACTTCTCTCGAGTCGCAAAAAGGACTACTCGCCGATCGCGCTCGCGCTATATTGAGCGACTTTGATTTCATCGAGGGCGAGCCCGGTCGTTTCGTCAGTGCGCTGAGCGAGCTAATCGAGCTAATATCTGGCAAGAATTTCCTTAGGTTGAGATTATAAATCGAATCGCCAGACGACGCTCGCGATCGTCCGGAAAAACTAGACTTCAGCAATGACCGCGTAAACGAATAACGCCCTTCCTTCGCCGTCTTGGTGTCTGTTACTGTTTCCGACTGCGGCTCTTCGTCCGGCTCCTCGGTCATTTGCGAGAGATACTGACTCGCAGGCACAGCATTGAAATACCCGCCAGAGCTCTCAATCGCGCGCGACTTCTCCTCTGCGGGTGTCTGGCGCGCCTTTAGACGGCTTTGCTCGCGCCCGATACTGACTCCCAATACATCTTCGACCTGGTCGGCCTCTGCGTCGGGAACCTGTCGAGCTGCGTCTTCGTCCGAGACATCGCTGTCGGACAGCTTTGTCTGCTCGGGGGGAGAAGAAGAAGAAGAGGAAGAAGACTGCTGGTACTCAGTCGTGTCGTGCGATGTTGCGCATTGCACGGGCGTGACCACCACCCCGTTGATGCTTTGTGTCGCCATCTCTGCTTATGCAGTATTTTTCCTTATCGCAAACCAACCACCTCGCTTCGTGCCGTGTGTTGAAGTCTACTGTCGTCGCGAGTATACGCCACAGCCTCTAAATATTCTGGACCCGTGGCGATGTTCACGAACAGATACGAACCCATGCCCGTCACATTCGTCGACAATTGCGCGGATTGCGCGGCATCAAACGGGATTTTATGTTTTTTTTTATCTCAGGCGCTTTATCTTGAGCTGAGGCTGAAGCGAAGCGGGGTCTGATTTAAATAGCAAAAAAAAAAAAAGAACCACCAAAAAAAGGTAAGAAAAAAAAGGCAAGCTTCCACAACAAGCACAGCCTCTTATTCGTCGCTTCAGCGGCCTGCGAACAGGGCTGACTCCTATACGTCAATGGAGCAAACCAGAGACAGGATTTGCCGCCCCCCTTCCGGGCTGTGCCGGTTTGCTTACGGCGGACCCTGTACGGTGGACGCTGGGTTGGTCGGGGAGATAGACTGGTGCATGGTATTCTGTGTTTCTCTCCTACATATGTATCGTCATTATCCCATCATGCATATGTGTACTGTTAGTATTTGCTTGGCTGGCTTAGCCTTGCTTGTTATTGTTATGAATAACTGCGATCTTGAGCCTCGGTGGTTGGGTGGGCCCGACTAGACGCTTTTAGTGGGAACTATGCAGACTGATGTCAAAGAGATAGGAGAATCTGGCCAATGATAAGATACTACTATTTTTAGAGCATGCTGTTGGCAATAACTTCAATATTCAATGTATAACTATCTTGTACATTATTTTGTACTGTTTTTTACGCCCTGAGCATAGTCAATTGCTTGTCGTCTCCGATCAGAGTATATACATGTAGTAGAACACCAATTCAGATTGTTATTATATCTACTGTAACAATATCAAACACGCATTACATATCAATTGATGTATTTGTTTGCAGCATGTAAGTCACGGGCCTTGCTAAATCGGGTACCGGCGGTACCTGCCTTCTCATCGACTTGACTCTTGGCCTGTAATAATATTCTTTGCATCGTTCACTCGCCTCACCAACACCATTCTACGAGAATATCACTACGTCGTAACTGCATTTCCCCAGACTTAAGTTGCGAAAATGAATCCATCCTCCGCCTCTCCTGCCCCTTCTCGCGTACGTCTACAACCCATCCCATCTCTCACTTAGGTACATATTGATATTGATACTCCCAGCCTCTCAAACGCAAAGCCTCCAGCGAAACACCCACAGAACCAACCGACGTTGATGGCATCATCGACCCACACGACCCCGTCTTACAAACTCTCTCTAACGACGCTCACCGCTTCAACACGGCTTACAGTGAGACGACAGCGGCGATGCGGGATCTGCTAGAGCCTGGCAGTGCTAGTCCTACCACTGGAATCGATTATACCACCATGGCTATAATCGATGATCTCAAGCGGCGTCCGGAGCTGGCGAAAATGGATGATTCAAAGGCAATTTTAGAGCAGTGTGGGATTGGTTTGGAGGTGAGGGTTGGGCGGGATGGGAAGGAGAAGGTTGTAGTTAGGTTTAAGGGGAAGGAGGTGTAAGGGTTAATATCAACAACATGGATAGGTTGTGAAGGTGAGTTTCCGTGCCGTTATTCGCTTGTAATATGCTTGCTAATTGAATACGTTGTCAGGGCGAGCGGGATTTCAATGCATACATTTCATAACAGTCAAATACAACAATCTCTGATATGTCCAGTCGATAACACATGTGAGGTAAATATATAATCACTGACGGTCGGACTTGAATCCCTCGCGCTGCTTAGTTGAATTGGCAAATCTTCCTGCCTTTACCTCCCATTCGCCCTCACGAGCAATAGCCTGATTCTTGGCGACACCTTCTTGGTCATTGAATGCACGGTCAATCGCCGCGCCGACCGTTCCTCTGATAGATTCACCAGCACCCTGCTCAAATCAGCGCTAGAACAACCGAACGATAAACATGACTACATACGTGAATACCAGCAATTGCCCCTTTGATCCCCTTATCGGACTGTCCCTTCTTTGCATCCTTCTCACTCGTCGGGCCTGGCAATGTGCCCGAAGTATCAGTGCGCACGTGGTTCGGAGCTGTCCCCGCCGTTGTGGTCGGCGCCTGATAGTTCGGGTTGGTTCCAGCATCTCGCTTCTCCCTCTCCGGCGTGAAGCCGGAGCCGCTCGCAGGATTGTACATCGATCGTTCGTGAGGATAATCAGACGAGGCCGCAGCAGTGGGAGCAGCTGGCGAACCCGTCGATGCGCCTCCCACAGGGCCGCCGCCGATAGCCCCTCGCTCAGCATTTGAGCGGCCCAAAACAGGCTCTTGAGAAGCGCCTAATCCCTGGCTTCTGGTACCCATCTCGCCGGTCTTCCTGTTTACACGTGGATCAAGCGTGCTCTTCAAATCGGATTCGTAGGGGCCGAGGTTGTTCGCCTGGGGATTGGCGGCAAGAGTCGTCGCGCCGGCCTGAACGTTACCCTGTGTCGTCGTTCCTGGGGGGTATTGTGCGCGGTTATCCAGGTAGCTGTCAGCGCGGGGGTCGAGTTGGTTTGCGATATCAGACTGGTGCGAGGCCGCGGTGCGTCTCGCTGATCTGGTATCGTAGCGACTGGGGTTGGGGATGTTAGGCCCTCCTCCTGAGACGGGGTTTGACATTGTGATTCGTGTGGAATGGTCCTATCGTGGCAATATGAGGTATGAACTATGTTCTGCTGTTTTGATCGACTGGCCCGGATCACATCCTCAGCTGATTGATATATTTCTATATTCTTCTCTCATCGATCGTTCTTGACGTCACGATGATGATTGCCGCCATCGACCTACGTATAACCCTGCACTCTGCATGTTAGGCTTCGTATTATGCGCCACCGCAGCTAGGCTGGATAATAATAAATTGTCATATTGTCACTCGACAGTTCTCAGTACTCACTGGACGAAGACCAAACAACAATCAGAAAACGGAGAGAAAGATGCATAACTCGTCGCCAGAATTGTGCAGCTTAGTCACCCACATGACTAAGCTAGAACCCCTCGGCGTCCCCGCGCAGCAGCGCTGAAAGCAGTAAAAGCGCCGTGCTTAAGCTTCATTCGGATTAACCATTAATCATCTACACATATAGAGATGCTACGGACGTATCCACGAGCCGAGGTACTTTCCAGCTTTTTGATTGAGAGTTGAAGAGATATTTTAAGTGTTCATCCGTCTGTCAAAACGCAAAACATTAACTTACACACAATCGGTTTTTATCTACAATGGCCATCGCAAACAAACAAATCGTCTACTCCAAGACGCCCGCCCCGGCAATCGACCCCAGCCTCACTGATGGCACCTTTGCCGTCAAGAACACCTCCATCGCGGAGCCCATCCCAGACGACAAGGTTCTCGTCCGCGTGCACTACCTCTCCCTTGACCCGGCGATGCGGCAATGGCTCACCGCGACTCGATCGTACATTGCGCCAGTCCTGATCGGCGATGTGATGCGCAGCAATTCGGTGGCTCAAATCGTCAGCGTCGGGAGCAGCCTGAAGAACGAATTCAAGACCGGCGAATGGCTGGTCGCATCGACCGGCTGGCAAGAGTATGCGCTCTTGACCGCCAAGGAAGCGAAAGCCCAGAGAGTCGTTGTGCCGCCTGGCTGCACGCCGACAGACGCCATGTCCGTGCTCGGCCTGACGGGGTTGACTGCGTATTTCGGACTTCTCGAGGTCGGAAAAGTCAAGCCAGGCGACACGGTCGTCGTGTCCGGCGCTGCGGGCGCGACCGGCATGGTAGCTGGGCAAATCGCCAAGATCAAGGGCGCAAAACGCGTTGTTGGGCTGGCTGGAAGTCCCGATAAATGCAAGTTTCTGACTGAAGAGCTGGGCTTTGATACGGCGATTAATTATAAGGACAAGGACTGGCGGAAACAGCTCAAGGCCGCCTGTCCAGAGTATATTAATGTCTATTTTGACAATGTCGGTGGAGAAATCCTCGATGCGTGTCTGGCACTGGCGGCGCCGTTTTCGCGATTTGCGATTTGCGGACATATCAGTCAGTACTCTGCTGCGAAGCCTGAGGGACCACGCAGTATTATGATGATCATTGTAAGCCATTCTACCCATAAATCTTTGATGCATTACTAATGATGTAGGGCCAACGAGTTACCATGCAAGGATTCATCGTGTTCGACTATGCCAAACAGTACCCAGCAGCATTGAAAGAGCTCGGCCAGTGGCTCGTCGAGGGCAAAATCAAGCGGAAAGAACATATTATCAAGGGTGGTCTAGAAGCATGTCCGCAGGGATTGGTTGATTTGTACGCTGGTGTCAATACTGGCAAGATGATGGTTGAGCTTGCTCCCCTCTCACAGGCAATTCAGAGTAACCTCGGCGAAAAGCTATAATTGTTTATTTTACGAGTCTGAACAGAACTGTACATAATGATGCATTGGATATAGTCCACTATTGGATTCAAAATAGGTCATTTAAAAAGTCTTGAAATGTATGAATCTACGCTCGACTGTAACGTCATAGTGATACCGCAACAAAGAAATGCAGGTCATTCTCTGCAAATTCGTTATGAATTACACATTTCTAGTCTTTTCTAAATTGACATAAGACAACAGCCAGCTGGTGGATTTATTAAGATACTTGAAATAATGGAATTTTGCCAGTTTCGATTTAGTGTTGGTCCTAATTCCACGTTGGTCTGGAGATTATGTATAGAAGAAGTATATATAGATAAATAACAGCCAGTGCTGTAAATACATATATAAGGTATTGCTGTCTACTTCAGCCTCATCCTGCAGTATATTTGTCAAGTATTCTATAAATAGATCAATTGATATTCTTTACTGTCCTCTACCAAACTAAGATCGTCAAATTGCATATGCAGACATAATCCTAAGCGGGCAAAAAGATCCATTATCACCGATTGCTTTCTTATTGGACAAGCTGGGGAGATCCTTAATCGTCTTCAGTTTTAGAACTCATACATAATTAACTCTACGTGATGGACACTACAGCAGCCTGGATTGAGACCTGATAATTCTGTCCGGTGTGGAAATGCAAATAGTGGTAAGAGTACGCTGCTAATTACTAGCGATTGATCTTTAAGACAACAAATCCGTTCCACAAGTCTATCTAGTCCATAGTCCTTTCAGAGTTCCTATCACGAATATCCACCTTTCGGAATAGTTTCAACTCCGAAAATTGTGTAGAAACCGAACAAACACACTGTAATCTTTGAATAGAGGGGTCATCCAAATGATTCCAGTCCAGGCAGCCCAGAGCCACCAAGTGCGCTTGTCGGCAATGAAGCTTCTCAATAGTAATATCCTAAAGACAATAATCATCCCAATACTAACAGGCAGGACGTAGCCTAGAAAACTGAGCCTCCAGAATATCGGGCATGCAAAGGACCAGATTGCCGTAGGAATCGCTATTGTCCATCGTGCTGCTCCGTCGCCGATAACTAATGGTGCAGTACGCCTGTTCTTCGCGCGGTCACCTTCTTGATCTTTCATGTCTTGAACTTGCATTGTCGTGCCTATCACGCCACTTGTCACAGCCAGCCACCACCATGCTGCCGGAGAGACAGCATTCTCCCCCGTGGCAACGCGTAATGCTCCCTTATTGTATTGGGAAAAGGCTACAGCTATGATGATATTACGAACAATGAAGCCATCATCGCCCCCGCCAAGATCGTTGTACATCCAAGTCAAGGTGAATAGTAGTATTGTTTCCTCCCAAGCTCCCAGGCAATAATTTATACCTAGTACAACTGGAAGTGCGATTAAAAGCAAATGTCTAGTTTGGGAGACGCTAATGCGGCCGGACGGCAGCGGCCTCCATGGTTTGTTGATCGAATCTTCAAGAATGGACTCTGGATGTCGCTGATTGGCAAGATCAAAGATGAGTAGATTCAGCCAGTTCCACAACACAACGTATGGAAGTCTCCTTAGTATTTGTAGGAGGTCAGGGGAGGCGTTGCCAGTCAGTAAAGGGCCGGAAAGGGCAGCAAATATCCCAAACACGGTGTCGGGAAAAACGAACGTCGCAAAGTCGCTTTCAGTAAACAGCCAGAGTGTTTTTGCAAAACTCAGTAAAGGGAATGCGCCTTTCGTCTATCACCTCCGCTATTAGGACCGGTTTTGGTGCTGTAAATTATGAGGGACTGATGTCCTTACTGGAGGAAGCGTCGACTGAGCTAGATCTTCCTGCCTGCTCTTGGTCGAAACATTTTCCGGGGTCGCTGTCATCCTCCCAGACTGAAGATATACACAATAGAGTATTTAAGTTTTGGAATTTTTAGCCATCAGATATGGACCATAGTACCAGACCAGGTTCAGATTTAGTGTTATCAGGAACCCCGTTGCCTTCAGAACAAGATATCACTCAGTCTAAATGCTTCTGACCAACAGCCGCTTATCGCTCTTTTGCGCCTGCATCTAAATAAAATGATAATATACATCTTATCGTAAGTCTTATTCTTTTGGCATAGTTCCCTTTACGGCGATTCGCCAACCAGCCAGCCGTTTTAGGAAATATCCGACCCGAATGTTGGTTTACTTTTCTTGCTCACACTCTCAATGAACTTTACCCTCAAGTCTACCAACGTGGTATAGCTCAGATCACTCGGATATGTGCTATAATTTATTTTGAAACACGGGGATACTTTTGTCACAGTCACCTGTTTAGTGATTCGATGTGACATAATATAGTCGGTTCAAGTAGAATTAGCATACCATTATAAAAATCTATCATAAAAGTATTTAATATTTTCTCCATTTCAAGACTATTCAGCCAGTTAACATAACTAATATAAGTATTATACGCGTCTTTTGAACGAAATCATCAAGTCACCAAAATTGAGTGTGAACTTTTCCCTCGCCTTTTCTTCGAACCCTTTCCCATTCTCACCTGGGGCAAAGGAGGAATCGAATGTTGTGACTAGCCTTGCGAGCGTAGTACGAATATTGAGAAGAGCAAGAGGTCTACCGATGCATCCATAGGGACCTGTATTAGTAGAAAGGGATCAGTTACTTCGCCGCAAAAAAAGAAAAAAAAAAACAAAATGAGATGAAAACAGAATATATTTAGCTGGATTAAAAAGGGAGAAAGTGTGATGACCTACCAGTTGAGAATGGTGCAAAAGCAGTCTTATCTTTAACCATGCCTGGGTGTAGATACCAGCGTTCTGGAATAAAGGCCTCTGGTTTATCGTAGGCTGCTTCACCTACAAGTTGGAACCACAGATTGAATAAGTAAACAATCACGGATTTAAGGCGCGCGGAAACACCATGCAGCATATAGACTCACTTCGTCCAATTACATACTGTGGACACGATACAATTTTGTCTCCGGGCACATATGTTTCGTCAATTGTGATACCCTCGGGTGGAGTTTTCCGCTGTAGCATTGATGGAACGGGAGGATGTAATCGAAGTGTTTCGTTGATAATTGCATTGAGATGATCTAGATTGGCTATTTTCTCGTTTAACACTTCATTCGTTGGGTCAGTCATATACGGTGCAAGTTCCTCTCGTAATTTGTCGAGTTGTTCGGGGTGTCGCACGAGTTCAAATATGGCAGCCGTCAGCGTCGTTGCAGTAGTGTCACTAAGGCCTCTCAGGAACGACAATCGAAAAGTGTATTATCATCAATGTGTCTGGATTGCAACTACTTACCTGCCGGCAACAACTATAAGTTGTGCATCTCCTCGCAATAGAAGCCAATCTCGATCACTGGGCCGCTGACCCTTTAAAGGCGCTGACAGTGCCGACATAATATCCGGACTGTCTACCTCCGTCTATCTATAGTCAGCCACATTTATAAGATAGGTCGAAGAGCTGATGTCATTACTCTCAACCTTTGTTCCATTCGCTCAGCACAGAAGTCAATAAATCTCCACCAGTCATTTGCGAGCCCTGGTATTGCTGTTAGTAGCCTAAAAAACCAGACCGGAAATGCAAATGCAAGTGGTTCAAGGCCGTCGCTTAATAGTTTGATGGCCCAGTGCTCTTGACTAGTCTCTAACATATCAAACGACTTTCCATATGCAAGGTCGCCCATGAAATCAAAGCTATACAGATTAAACCATTTTTTAATGTTGATTGGCCGACCATCCAAAGTAGACAGGTGGTCCACTAGCTTATTACGATAGCCCCGCAATCGCTGTTCATACCCACGGAGGGCTTTATCGCTGAACGCTGTGCTCCAGACGCGACGCCTTTCGTCATGAAGGGACTTCTCGCGGAAGGTCTGTAGAGAGACCATCGGTTTTGTAAGATCGTACCAAGGTGCTTTGGAACACTTGGATCCAGATCCATAGATAATATTTACCGCCTTTGGATGAGCGATAGAAAGATTATTAGGCCCAATACGAACAAATGGCCCGTATAGGTCATGTAAGCTCTTGAGCTGTCTGAATGTATCTCCATGTCGTACCCGCCAAGACAGCCAGAAACTTGTGATTCTTGCACCCAGTGAACCAGGAAACTTGTTCAACGGATGAAGTAGCAAGCGGTAGAATACCACACTAGAATAGAGTCCAGAAACATAGGAGAGTGCGATCCAAGCGACTTTATTTAGAGCGGGAAGAAACGCGTCTGCTTGCCCGTACATGAAAATACTGAGTATGAAGAGGAATGCAACGAAAAATAGTTGAACATAACGAACTGCAAAGAGATGGTGTTCGCCTCTACTGAAGTATGTGACATGGCATAATACCCCAGCAATGGCAGGTACCATACGCTCCAAAGGTACGACCATTTTCAATGACTAGGCATCCCTTACAGATTAAGTGGAGGAGAAGGCAAAAAGTGAGAAATGTGTCTGTAAAAGGCCAAAGAACATGATGGGGCAGTCATGCCTGACATACAGATCGTATCCTGCCTAACCATCTAATAGACTGACTAATCCCAAGTTGGTATATCCCGAAGGCCGGTAAATCTTTGCGATTTTAGAACCAGTATTCTTCAATATGCCTACACCTTGTGGCATTTATCGCCGACTTCCATAATTTTCATGGGTATTTCCGACGGTTTTCCTGCATCAGGTCTTGGCCTTCGGTTGTACTAGGCGGTGCTCCTGGTGTTTAATGATTTGATAATATTTCTACATACTATATGTGTTTAAGTATATCTAGAGGCTACCATTCATCCCTGTACGAACTTTCTAAGATGAATCCCCGAAGTTTCTCATTCGGTAGTGGATATCGCTTTACCAACAATTGGCGTGATACGTATAACAGGGTAGGTTCATAATAAACCATATTGCAGCATCCCTGCCTGTTATCGGATAGGTTGTGCTTCTCGAACTTGAGTATACTTCGCTAACGATGCTTGAAAACAAACTTCACCGTTGGGTCAACCTTGTTGAGAATACCATCAAGTCCGTTCAAAACCGATGGTTCTTTTGGCGGATCTTTCAGTTTGAACTCATAATTGCGTAAGATCCGGGCCACAACTACTTTCGCTTCATGGATTGCGAAAAAGCGGCCAGGGCATGCTTGAGTTCCGTAGCCGAAAACCAAGTGGTCAGGTCCGGATGTTACCGCCTTTCACATGGTTAGTCTTGTCTGGTAGGAAAGAGAGTTCTGACTATGTATCGTACCTGGAACTTCTGCTCGTTGCCCGGTTCAGACCGCATATTGTAGTATCTACCATGTTGTCAGTAAGCTTTCTTAAATTTTCGACAAGAGGCATTACCGGTAACCGTCAAACTCATACGGGTTTTTTAGCGGTGACCTATCGAAATGAATGGTATGAGTGTCGAGACCACAGATAACTCCAGCTGGCAGGGTCTCGCCGGTCGCAATTTTCAATGGTTTAACGACCTTTCGAATCGTTCCAACTGGAGGCGATTGTCAGCGTCCTCTTCGGACAGTTATATCTATAAACTCACCAAGCATGAACTTATTAAACCGCTGAGCCTCTCTTATGAAAGAGTCAAGTTTTGCCAGCTTGGCCACATTTGCTCTGGTCATTGAGACCTCGCCGACCTCCAGGGCTTCTTGCCTCAGAGGCTCAATGTATTCTGGCCGCAGGCAAAGATCATATAAAAGGTGATATACGGTTGAGGCGGTTGTAAAAAGCGCCGCTCGACCAGTACCAATCTGTGCGCTGACTTGGTAATCTAGTGAGTTTCCTTTGTTGTTCGGAGAACCGTCAATCACCAACTGAATCAAATCTGGTGGTGGCTTAAACTTTGGATCTTTCATGGCCTCCAACCGCTCTTCCAGAATCGGTCGAAGCAAACTGTTTTCAAAGTGTTTGTCAGTAATTTCCTGTAGAAGGGACTTTGGTATCCTCCCTCAGAAGAACTCACGTTGTAGCTTTTGCTCTGTGTTTTCTGATTGCCCGCAGTTGTGGCAGCGACCATGCCACGAATGGTCGAAATAGCCAATGGATTCTCCATAATTTAGGAACTGAACTGAAGGCTCCACCGGTGCAATCCTGGATAGCTTGCAGCTTCTATATATTAGGAAAATGAGAAGTAGATGGAAGGAGTAGCTTGACCCACCCAGTCCGGATCCTTTGATAAACGCTCTCCAACGAACACACGCTGTGAGATTCTGATAATCATCTTCACGATTCTTGGAAACAAGACTATCTCGGTCCATTCTAAAAAGGACAAAATTTCAGTATACTGGCCCGCATAATGGCAATTTGAAATCGGCAGTTGCAAACCTTCACATGGTCCAATTTCTTCCAGAATGGCGTTCAGTGCTGCATCTTGAACAATCTCATACACTTGATCCAGAAGACGTCCAACATCTCGACGGATTAAGGTTGCTGTTGCCTGCTCATGGCCAGTGATACCAGTGAATTCCCCAATAAAGAAGTCGTACGAGCTCTCTTGGAAACTGAGGGTCGACTGGGCATTGGTTTTGATGTCATCCACACATTTACTAGGAAGAATAATGATTTCATCCGGAAAATGCTTAATCTTGTAGGGTCTGTCGGGATACTTTCAATCATGTCCGTTAATAATATTACTTGCTACTATGTCTCACTGAGGCTTACTGTGGCTGACCCGCGCGCCAGTACTTCACGGTATGTCTCACCAGGCTTTAGTTCAACCAATGGAGCGTCAAATTTTGGGGTTGTGAATCGAGCCAGAAGACTCCTTTGAGAAAAATGGGATGGCCTCTTGAGCCAGGTTTTTAGAAAGTCAAGATAGATGAAGTATAGGCCACCTAGAAGTACCGATGAGATGAGCAAAAAAATTGGTCGTTTGGCAGCCTCATGGCCTAGATAGTGAAAGGCGTCGATTAGGATGACTGCCATTTTCAAGCTGTCAATACAACTGTTGTGAGTTTGCCGATCATTAAGAGTATTCCTAGGTAATATTGTGAGATTTTGTTTGAAGAAACAGACTTAGAAAATTCAGATAATATTATATTATAACACAGCGATATTCCTTCGGTGCAACCGAAGAATACCAAAGTGAGGGGGTACATACACGTCGAAGTCCGCGACAATCGATTGATTTGATTTGACAGTGAAGTTATCTCAGATTCGGAGAATTCCTAACACAGAAAACTAAAACAGCATGGCCGATTCTGGAAGCTCGGTGGTTCTGGTTTTTCATCTCCCGACTGGTACGGGAAAAGGACTTTGCAATCCTAAATAAAGTCTCCCTCCTCTTTTTCTTCAATTTCCATCACGACTTGGGACATTTGGAGGTTCAGACAGTCTCTGTGCTTTCTACCACAGGGAGTCAAAAGGAAGCGGAATTATGATGTGTTCCTCAGTAACAGAAAGTAAAATTTACTTATACTTCGTCATGGCCGCTTGGGGAATCTTTCAATTTTACAGCGGGACAGACACATCCCAAATCTAAAGCGAGACATTCGATTTATAGTGACTGCTTTGGAAGGAGTATATATCATTGATCTATACAATGAGAATATAAGGGGGCTAGTGGAAGTTCTAGGCCTAATCGACATGATCAACTTAGTTGAGTTGTCAACAAAGATACACACCCCATAAAAAGATTCGATTGAATCAGCCTCGCACATAAATTTCTATTGAAATTATTTTCTTTGTTTCTTTTCCATATAAGCTTATAAGACCTAAAAATAATATATTGATGTTGTATTACTACATCTTATTTGTAAGGCTTATGCTCTGTCGGCATCTCAGTGCCGAAAAGTAACACGAAGGTAATCGGGTCAATGCCTGATTCCAGGGCCAACACGCTTATAATCCCCCGTGAGCGCCCCCGGAGGGGCTCACAAATAAAAAAAAATAAGTGATTAGACCTAATCGCCAAAACAGTTCTTGCCCATTCGTATCCAGGGTCGCAATAAATTTGCGTAAAAATCGGCCGATAAAGTTCTGATCGGGCCCACTTGCGAGCTGGTCGTCCTTTTGTTTGTCGAGGGATATTTAGAGATATTTAGGTTGGCCTAAATTTGAATGGGCAAAACCTCTGAATTTCAAATAACAGGCTGATCAACTTAATATATACCCAACTTACTAGTGGGCCGCATAGCCTATAATTACCCAAATAACATCGGTTTTTCTCCGGAAATTGGATGTAAAATAACACGTAAAAAACATGATTCTGTCATGCGTTCCTTGGTGCCAACCTTTAGTCTCTGGTGATCCACCTTCTCCACAGATATACGATCCGTCCCGTGATAAGACAAAATAGGAAAATTCCGAGACAGGGATATTCCACCTCCACCTCGGAAGATTCCTAATATGGACTACCCCATTTGATTAATACTGGATATTGGGGTGACAAAATTGGAAATTCCCGACTCTTTTCCTGATAGTTGACGTCCGTCACTCAATTCCCAGAAATGGAACCGCCTCCCATAATAAGTAATTTTTCGGTGACTGCTTAAGTCCGGTAGGAAAAATAATCCAAGTGCCCATGGCATCAGTATGCTATATGAAGCCAATGTCATGAATTGTACTCTCTCTATTTTATTAAATACGGTCTTGCGGCCCCCATGAAAATGCTGGAATCAATCCAGGGCCCCCTCCTCACTGTCAATTGATTACTATTCCTATCATTCCTATTATTATGATTACTGGCATTAGTGTTATTGTTTGAAATATAATGCCTGACGATTCAAGAGAACTGTTAAGTGACCACAATGCCTCACCAACCAAGTTGTTTGAACCAGTGCGAGTAACAATCACTACCTGTTCTGAAAGATTGGTAGTCGCGGAGTCGTTTTAAGGACAGCTTTGGCCGCTGACCTCGAGAGAAAAGACTGAAAGTAAAAGGTAATACATGGATCTCTGCCACTGGTAGAGGCCAGCACGCTTCAGAACCGGGACCAATAGAAAGGAGTCCTCAGTCATAAGTGTGGTAGGAGTATTAGTACAGTAGTTTGCAACTTGGAATGGATCAAGGCGGTCTGTCCTCCATATGACAATTGATGATACTATGTTACATGTGACGCAAATTTAGAACGAATACGAAGGACTCATTAGTACGAAAACAGTCCATGCGTAAACGATTCCCCTTTTGTCTCATTCACAGAGAATATAAGTACAGGGCAATACGCTGTGGATACTAGACCGCCCGTATTTAACGTAGTGGTTTTTGCGGTTACAGGAATCAATCAACACGCCATTTTGGAGTGCCGGCGGCGAGCTACCGAGGACCCTTGCCCCGCCAAGCGTCGTTAGCGGACGTGAATACCAGCCTGGGTTAGATAAGTTGTTTACAATACATTACGAGAAGCTAGAGCCCCAGGTTCGTGAAATGGCACCGCGGCTCGGCGAGTATTCTGTATCGAAATAAGCCACTAAAATGTTCCAAGATCGGCTGAACCACTAAAGTCCGATAAAAGTGTCAAAGCTCCAGATCCTACCATTACCGATAATGTAGAGCCAAGAACCAGGAAAGCCCTAGTATGCGTGGCACTCCTTCGCCCCCAGCTCGCCTCGTGAGATGTAAGCAACTTACTACCTAATGTCTAAGCGATGCTAAGTTATCAGGCTAAGACCACATTTAGGGGCAATTACTTCCGTCTCCAATCGTAATGAGGAATGGTTGCTGCCAAACACCACACAGAAGAATATTTATATGGATTGGGTTTACAGTGAACAGGTTTGTTAGTGGAAACCCCGATCCTTAAGCTTAACACAGAACAGTGTACATTACAAATATCTTCATAGGAAGGTTTATTCTCATACTGAACTGAGTGTAGGCAAAGGATTCTTCTAGAGAGCCTTCGTACAGCTTGACCCTGCATGGGGGCTTTAATATGCAATGTTTCGGAAGTAGTAGCTAAACCCCGAGTATTCCCACCTAATTCTATCCAACACAAGGTACCTCTGGCCCAGTAAGCGACCTGATGCTCAAAAGTCCTCATACAAAATAGCTAACAAAACCAGGGATACCTATATTAAAGTTTTCTTGTTCGTGCATATTCATACAAGTAAGTTCATCCACAATGTACCATAATAGTCTACGAAGAGGGATGTGTTTTTATTAAAGACAAATTGTCACTGGTGTGAGTTGGGGCGTGAGCGAGCCTTGGTCTATGCTCCAGCCATCTCGTAATCCAGGTCCTAGCTTGATCCTGTGGTTTAGATTAATGAATGAATATGGAGTATTTCCTTGCTCAATTGTTGGTTTGGTAAATAAACCTGGTTTCCAGCCGTTGGATTAATCTATTTTAACATCCTTCTTTTCTCTCATATACCTCCTTCCCTGCGCTGGTAAGAGTAACAACAGAGTGCGATGCTTTCCTCTCTTTGTACATAGATCGACAGAGTGAAAAAAAAATTAAAATAAAATGTGGTTGATGACGAGAATTTTCCTGTTGGTAGGCTTCCTCGCCGCGTTGATCATTGGGTGCGACGCCTGCGCCTGCACAACGACTACGCACACACCGGTACTCGTTCATCAATTTCCCAATGGCACGTGGGCTGAAAATATTATCGGCCTCGCGAACGGTTCGGTCTACACCACTTTATTCAACACGCCTGAGCTCATCCTCCTCGACCCAATACAATCCAACCCAGATCCCATCACCGCCGCCAATATCGCTACTAAAACCGGCTTACTGGGTGTAGCTCAACCTAGAAATGATATTATTACCGTTATTGCTGGTAGTTTCACCTCAACTGCACCAAGCACGACATCTGCTATCAATGGGTCTTACGCCATCCTCGTCTTCACGATTGACGTGGAGACTCCTAGTATCCCGCCTGTACTCCGAGCAAAGTACCCAATCCCGCAGGCAGGCTTCCTGGATGGTCTCACAGCACTGCCTCTTGATCCTCATCATGTCCTCGCTGGTGACTCCTTGAAAGGCGTCATCTGGCGCATCAACATCGATACGGGGGCAGTGGACTGTCCCATTTCGGATCCACTCCTCAAACAGGTGTCTGGATCCAGCACGCCAGGTGTCAATGGCCTCCATGCCTCCCCCACGGATCCCTACCTCTACTTTACCAACAGTGCAATGGCTATATTTGGGCGCGTACTGATCTCCTCGTCGGGCTCACAGCTTGCCTCGGCGGAAACTGTGGTTGCAGCCAGTGGTGATAATGCATACGATGATTTCGCGATCTCGCCTGACGGACATTGGGCATTCTTATGCAACACCCCGCCTGATGCAATCAGCCTGGTAGATATTTGGAGTACGGCGTTCCCAACGACGGCGACAATCGTCGCCGGTGGAAATGGAGACACAAATTTCGATCACCCGGTTGGCGCAACGTTCGGACGGGGACCAGAGCATAGCCAGCTATTTATTAGCACCGCGGGAGCGATTGAGGGGCTAGGTGGAAAAACCGGTGGACAGGTATTCAAGATCGATGTGAAAGATTTATTGGGCGAAACATCGTGTCGTATTTGAGGGGTGGGAACGCACGGCGGAGATGAAAATGTAAATAGACTGGCTGAATAAATATTTAGACCTGTGAATAGCATACTCCTATATTTCAATTTCTTTATATATGCTTTTGTATGTGGTTAATTATATAAATTCAGCGTGTAGCCTAAACCAGCCAGGCATATCGCCATCACTGCCAATCCAACAACTGCTTATAAAAACTACATTAAATGTAACAACCATGCTACGACCTATTAACACCAAGATCCTCGCATCACCCAGCATCTTGTCGACAATAACCTTTCATTCTTCTACCCTCTTCTTCACAAGCAATTTTGTTGACGGGTCCGCATATAAGAACTCATCCGCGTTAATGTTGGTCGGCCGGCCCTGCCCGTCTACAAACTTGAAGTCGTACCGCAATAGCAACTCCGTCAGAATCATCTTCATCTCGTTGCTAGCAAAGAAGCGGCCAGGGCACGCATGCCGCCCATGCCCAAAGTGCATGTGCGCTTTGTCTGTCTGCGCGAATGCTAGCCTCTTATCATTGGCTGGGTCATCGCGGAGCTTGTAGTAGCGCAGGCCATCATACTCCTGGTTCGGAAGAATGTCCTCATCACGAGAAATTTCATAGGAAGCAGTGCACACATGAGTCCCCGGGGGAAGGACTTTTCCGTCAGAGAGGGTGATAGGTTGGTTTTGAACAAGGCGGTGGAAACCCACTAGTGGTATCTCATTAGCATGGCCATGACTCTCAGGAGAGGTGGTAAACACAATTGAGGGCACTTACATAGACTGGGGGGACTGACACGCTGGCTCTCCTTCAACATACTGTCCAGCTTCCGCAACTTTGTCGGGGTTAACCTTTGCCAACCGTTGTCTTCCGCCAGCACTATTCGCATCTCGTCTCGCATGATATTGAAGTACTCAGGCATTTGGCACATATCAAACAATACGTGTGCTGTTGACATGGTCGTCGTGTGCACACTCGCTAGATTCATAACCAGCTCTCGCAAGGCTAGATTGTAAGTATCGCTCTCCTTCCCCTTCGCTTCATCAATCATCCATTGCAGTAGGTCGGACGGCCTTTCGTAACCAGGTTTCTCAGCGCTGACACGACGCTGGTCAATTATTGGAAGAATAATGTCTGCACCTCGTTTAACCCATTTCTTAGTATTCCAGTAAGACGGCAAGGCGCGTACAACGAATGGGCGGAATATGGCCGGAAGACCGCGAAGCAGCATTGTCGTAATTGTGGCGGCTTCCGTGTAGCGTATTGACGAAAAGATCCATTCATCGTTGCGGCAGGTTGGGAGGCCGACGAAAATCCGGGCGGAGACGCGCGCGACAATGGTACGCAGCACTTCGTATATTTCGACTTCTGACCATTGGTCTGCCGCACTTGAATTTTAGCACGATGTGAAGGCGAGAGACGAACAAGGGAATATCCATATCAACACGCACCAGTGACGTTGGGAAGAGCTTTAGCTAATGCATAATTCAACTCGTCAGCCATGGCTGATGTAAAATTGGCCAGATTCGGCGTGAGTTTCGACTGCAAGACCCGCGTGTGCAGGTTGCTCTCGAGCAGTACGTCCATATATGAATATTGACCGACCATATTCTAGTTGGTATACGTAAGCCATTATAACTTTCATATGCTTTGAGAGTAAATGCCCAGCTAAACTCGTGTGTGATAGGGGGGACAGCGTACATTGATCAGGGCCTGAATAGACGATAACCGCTCAGTTGGGTAGTTTCTCAGCTCATCGACATATTCTCTTGGGATGACCAAAATATTGCGATCATTACGCGGTAGCTGGAAGTATTTTCCTTTATACTAATGCTCATGTCAGGCTTGGCTGCTCTTTGAAGTTTTTCTATCGTAGACATCCAAGACCATAGATAAAAGGCTGTGGAAAATAAATTGCATACTTTCTCATAGCCGTCATGTATCATATCCCGGGCACCTAACCAAAACCGCATTCCCGCAAACCACTTCGGTTCCCATGGCTTCAATCCTCCAAAGGGATCGCTGGTGGAGGTGAAGAAATCAAAGAGCTTCTTGGTCACGGCCACAGCAATCAAACCAACAAACACAACTAACACCAATGGCGACACGTTGTGCAAACCACCCCAGACAAAATTGTCGCCCAACATTTTGTTAAAAGATAGGATGCGAAAAATCTCCTCGTTGTGATTTCGTGGTGATCGCTCGACACACAACAAGCTATGCGGTATTAAGCCACCCATTTAAGCAAATACTTACTATTAATTATGCTTTTTATTAATTTCCTTTTAATATCTCGTTATTTCCACTGGCTTCTCATTCTTCGCCCTTCTAACAGATACGTCACCATATAAACATTGACATACCACTGTCATGTATCAAAAATTACCACTAGAAATTTAAGTGAAAACGTGGATTATAGATGATACACAGAGGAAGCAATATCGATATGATAATAGCGCAAGGCTGAATGCTAGGCCAGCTAATCAAGCTTCATGTTCCGACACCCTTTAGCATATACGCTTACAAGATGAAAGCCGAGTCTAGTGCTGTAATGCAACATAAATGTATCAATACATAGACTAAAATAAGTATGAATTAGCCGTCTAGTTCTAAGGATATCAGCGTCCTTTTACGTTATTAGTGCCATGCTTCCAGTAACATGTAGGGACCTTGCCTGAGGTTCTTTAAAGAGTCCTTGTGTTCTTGGTGCATGAGGAATGAGGCCTTGAGCGAATATATCATTTTTACCATCTTGTCATTCTTAATACCAAGAGTTAAGTCCTTTAAGTCATATCCTTGCTGGTGTGGGCAATAGGGCAAAGGCTTCTTATCTATCTCACTAGGTAGCCTGCTTATGCAAGACTAATATAAGACCACTGTTCGAAATATATTTCTAAATGGTGACATACATAAGTGACGGAAATATAAGTAAACGCCCCCATCCTGCAAGTGTAATATTTATTTTTGGCCCCAATCCAACATCAATGATGCATATGAGTGGGCCGCAAATGACACTGATCGACTGACTGCGCACAGGCTCAATATTAGCTCTGTTTGTCAATCTAGTACGGCGTTTATAAATCAAAACGACATTGAATATAAGCAACCAACGTTTAAAGCATTGGACCTGAAGCATACTCGAGAGAAGCATATAGTTTTAGCTTTGAGCTAATCAGCCGTATCTTTCAAACTTTGTACCTATTCCTGATGCCCACATCCGTGAATATCTATCCTATGATCCCTTATGTCAGGGTTTAGTTCCTTTCGTGTTTATAGCATGGAGGCCAGTGACTTGCTGCCCATTTAAAATTTATATAGTCATTAGCATGTTCTCGACATTAAGATTCGACCCCCACGGAGCTGAGCCAATTCGGGTCGAGCGACAGCGTTATGCTCATGAGATCAATCAAGGACCAGGGCCACAGCATTCAGCTTGTGAAAATTGCCGGTTAAAAAAGGTCAGTCCTCGCGCTGCTGTCATTGAGATATCAGATGCTGGCAAAGAGAGAGATAGAATTTAGCTATCACAATGATCATAAGTCTGACGTTTGAGACCCTTCCAGTTACGATGTAGCGGCACAAGGCCAAGCTGCCACCGGTGCCAGGAAACATCAATTAAGTGTATATTTGAAACGCCACCAAAGTCCAAGAATGCCACATTATTTGATCCTACTAAAAGTAAATCAACATCGCAGCACAAAGTGCGTGCGGCAGAGTCGGGGTTGCACCTGCAATCTACCGTGGCTGGTGACGAACCTGACGGGCTTGAGGAAGATAGAGACAGCTCGAATCAACCATCGTTTTTGGCAAACTTAAATGACTGGACGGCAGAGGGCATGGAATTCGAGACAATGGACAATTTTAGTGAAGAAACTGAGATATCCCCCAATTCTCCCCTGGGAGAGACATACCGTCGACCTGGGGAGTCGTCAATTGAGGATTTTATGCAATACCTTGTCGATTCACCACCCCTTGGTAGGTCATCATTTTCTTCCCAGCTGCATTATATTCTAACCAAGGAAATTTTAACGATTGTAGATCAAGATATTGGCATGAATCTGAATCCAGCGGAAGAACATACTGCAACGGTTCAACACCGATTTCCTAGGACGACTATAAACAGGCGGAACGGCCGTTCTGATTCACTCCTGTCGCAGAACAGATCACAGAGGAACAACTCTTCACCAGCAATATTTTGTCCTAACCAACGTTCCCAAATACCGCCAACATATACTCACAATGGCATGCTGCCAGTAGCTATGTGCCACTGCTGGAGTGATATGGTAAACATCCTTGAAATGCTCGGCCAAGAGGGTTACGGTTCTGATGATCAAGGTATCCAACCCCCAATCGACTCTATTCTTTCATTTCAAAGAAGTGCTGTGGAAAAATGTACTTCGATGCTTGACTGCACTTTCTGCTTTTCTTCATCGGAGCGGATACTCGTTCTGGTGTTGGTGGGAGACAAGCTTATTTCCAAGTTTGAAGAGGTTCTGAAAAGACAACAATTTCTGCCTAACTCTAGACCCGATGCTTTTGACGCCGGGCTAACCAGGCCGGCCACTGCTACCACTGCATCTTCGAACCGCCCAGGAAATGGTGGAGTGAAACTATTTCTGGGAGATTATGAAATTCATACTTCTGAGTGGATGTCCCTGTTAGACACACTTTTGAATCTGCAAGTCAGAAGACTTGGAAATTTCATTTCTCGTCTCAAGGTGTGGGCAACATCCGCACACGGCATAGCCCACCTAGCTATGCTTTCTAAGCTGGAACGTCGATTTCAAGGACTCATGACAGTTTATCAGCCCGCCGACCGACTGCAGTAAAATGAGGTCGGGATTTTGATTTTTTTAGAATGTAGTATAGTACCCCGAAACAGCAAGCTGGTGGGTTTGGATACTATGATGGGATGAAAGCATGATACATTTATGTCGATACGTTTGCTTTTTTGCCCAAATTAGTGATCATATAAACTTCATCATATGTTGAAAGAGTGTACCTGTTCGTTAGATGCCTACATAGTTTGAATTGGTCAGTGCGGCGACGGGTCCAGACCTGGGAATAGAGTAATAGCCGTCTTTAGAGAACTTACAGAATTATGTGATCATTGGCGACTATTCTTTAATCCGAGCATGGCCGCGAGGGCCCAAAAGAATATATTTAAAGAGAAATTAAATAAATTAAATGATACGAAAATGTCCGACGGACAGGAGTTAAGTTCTTAATTCCGTCTTCGGAGGTCAAGCTATCTAGTAGACTGAAGATTCATTGTTGTAAAGCAAATTGAACAGGGAGAAAATTTTTGAGACAAATTCAACCAATGGGACAAAGGTCAAGATGTAACCAGAGTGCACGCGCCAGGGTTTGCACTTAAGAGCCCTTTTAGAATACTGTACAATGCAGCAATGGGGGGGCTTTCTTGCCTGTTTGGCAAGCTACCTATAGCCTACCTATCTACAGGCCACTTGACTTCGCGTCGCGGGTGGCAGTGACGTTCCTTTCCGTTACCTAAGGTGTGAGTGGCCCTTTCTCGAACCGAACAACAACCGAGTCTTAATCAATATTCGTATTTTATATGTTGGCGGGGATGCCTTCCTTATTGGGGTGATATATAGCACAGACCGCTAGCGGCCCGTCCGCTCGATCCCTGTAACTCTCCAAGCCCAGTTTGGGGGCCAGGGAATTCCAGGCCAAAAAACTATTTCCTGGGGGGTATTGATGGTTACACCTGGCGTCATTGCAGCGGGAGATCTACAGAGTGGGCGCTACTAGTGTAGGACTCCGTAACTTAGAAGTATAAGTTGGTAATAATTACAACCTAATACGGCTCCTGACAGGGACGCTAGCCACGCGGCCTTTCCTTACTAACTAAACTAACATTTCGGCATTTAATCAGAGTAGTACGAAATCGAGCGCCTAAGATGCGCCAGTAAGGAGTCAGTAGTAACATTGCTCGTATTATTGGTGGCTTGCTGACCACTCGTATATTCCGCTCGTGCTGCAGGCTATTCCTGATAAGGTATTTGTGATGCGGCACACCCCCAATTCCCAACTCCCATTTCCTACACAAAACTCGCATTTTCAAGACCTTAATAATTCAGCATTTTATTGCAAAAACATACCCCCAAAAAATACATCCTATAATGTAATGTAAATAGTCATATACTTCGATTCAAATAAAATCGAATCCAAAATCAGAATTATTTGAAAATTTAGATTTAGCTTTGGGTATTTTCAATACATATCTATATTATCCTAATTATTAATAATAATTATTTACCGAAATTTAAAATATATAATATTCAAAGCAAGTTATTGTATATTAAGGAATAAAAACTGTTGAATTGTTAAGATCTCAAAATGCCAGTTGTGCATATGGATTGGAGGGATGCACCGCTCGCCTTCGAAATACGTTACTCGTCAGCAACTAGATTATTACTAACTGTTCCTGATTAATTCCCATCATTGATAATCTTCTCAGGTGTGGCTTAGGTAGGATATATGGAAGCGAGGACAATTCTGAGAGGGCCGTTCAATCTAGTTTGCGCCCCCAAGTGCAATCTTCAGGCGGATGGTCAGGTCTGTGACACTCCCTCCATGTGTGACTTTAACCCAGGATTTTTTATCTCTTCTATTACCAAAATTTTGTTGGTTTTCATGTTCTTCTACATTTTTTTTTCCTTTTCAAGTTAAAATACCAAGCGTCCTCGGTTTTAGATGAGTCGTTCGCCATGCAGACCTCTAGGCAGGAGTCGCTAGTGGTAGTGTCTATAATCATGATAGTGATTCCATGTCTGGCGGTGGCCCTTCGAATATGGTCCATCATCATTGATAAAAAGTACAGAATGGGTTTGGATGATATCTGCATCATTGTTGCCTTAGTAAGTGATTGGCACGACTAACCCCGCTTCTTGAACGTACCACTTACGCTTCGCACTGAAGCCTTTCGTATGCGGAACCGTGGCGACAACGATTGCTCTGGTCTACGATGGTGGACTAGGGATGCATAAAGCTGATGTTGAACCAACAAAACTTCTCGCAAACCAGAAAATCTTTTTGGCGGCATCTATCCTTGACGACATCTCTCTAACCCTCCCAAAGCTTTCTGCAGTTTTCTTCTACAACCGCATTTTCCAGCGCACACACACTGCCTTCTATTATTCGTTCTGGATTCTTGGCTCCATCATTGTCAGCTGGTTAGTGGCAACTCTAGTCGTTAATTTAACAGTATGCACCCCTCCGTCAAAGGCATGGGATCCTACAGTCGATGGCCACTGTCGGGATTGGTTCCCTTCTTCGCTTGGGCCGGCCATTATGAGCGCAGTGATCGATTTGGCGATTCTTCTCTGGCCTATGCCCTTTTTATTCCAGCTCCGGCTTTCCAAGAAGAAAAGATTGCTGCTTGTCGGCGTGTTCGCCATCGGATATTGGTAAAGGCTCCGCGCTTAAATGACCGATCCTAGTTTAAAACTGACCAAATAACTTAATCTTTTTTAAAACAGTGTCCTCATCGTCTCCCTTGGTCGAGTAATTGCTCTCGCCAAAATCGGCCCCGATGCCTTTGCCGGTGACGCGACTTGTGAGTAACACCCATGCCATATACCTCTCTCCTTTTTTCGTCTCCACAGCGATGATTGCCTCAATTGCCATCTTTCTTACCATCTTTTCTTTTTCAGGGGATATCGTCTCTTACGTCCAGTGGGGTCAAGCCGAAGCCCCTGTGTCCGTCCTGTCTGTCTCCTTACCGCGCATCGCCTATGTGATTACTCACTACCTCCGCAAGACGTCGATCGGGCGATGGATGCTCAGGCCGAGTGACGATGACCATAAATCTAGCAAGGCATCTTTCCCCACGAAGAATAGCTATAATGGACACAGTGGACTTCGGTCCATTGAGGGCGAAGAATATGTACGCCTGAATGATGTGAATTACCTGCAGGAAAGGCCTCCCTACAATGCACAGGTGAATGCTAGTGGGATACTTTCAGCACCGACTACTCATTCGACCTGGTACGAGGATCCGACTGGAGCGAGGAGAAACATACCTGAGATTCATGTGAAAAGGGACATACAGGTGAGCAGGGAGGACCGTGTATGATAGTAACGTATTTGTATGGAAAAAATCAGTCATATTCATTCTACTGGCCCATATGTACAACGACCTCAAGGGCGAGAGAAGTAAAGTAAAGCTCGTTGTTTGTGCAGATTTTGTATGGAAGTCCAGTTGCTTAAAAACGTTATGTTACGTCCCATTATTTTCAAATCTATGCAGGGATTAGATTCCGTACAACATTCTTACCTATCTAGCATTAATGACTGATTGCTTTTTTTCCCTTTTTCATTTTCTTTTATCTTTGTTGCGAGCCCCTTTTATTGGGCCAGTCCTTAGAGTCACAGTCTAGCGCTTGATGATCCCGGCGCCATCTGCCCAATCTTTTTTGGTCATGTAATTGAGAGCCGGGACATGCTGCATAGTGTAACGGACTTTACCAATTAACGCCGCTACGTCCGTTTTGTGATTGATATTCAATTCCTATTAAAATACTAGCCAAGCGCTACGCGCTACACCCATAGAAAGTCACCACGGCGGTACACCACTCTCAAAACAACTAAACAACGCCTCTCCCTTCCTTCAGCAATGACGGAGACAGGATCGGGCTCGACTGACCTACAGCCAGAGCTTGAAAAACAGCCATCGACGACACCTGCAGAGGACATCGATCCGCCTAAAAGACAAGATGAAACTGCAGAGTCTGGAGACCCTGACCTGGTTGATTGGGATGGCCCTACCGATCCCCACAACCCTCAAAATTGGTCGAACGCGCGTAAATGGTGCTTAGTTACGCTGGTTTCAGCGGTGACTTGCAATATGTATGCTTGATATTACGATTCTTCACGCGCGACACATCTGGCTAACCGACCATAAAAGCTCAATGGCATCGACCGTGGCCGCTCCCGCGGTCCCCGCGATTATGGATCATTTCCACAACAGCAACCTGGAGTTGGAGTCCTTCGTGGTGTCGATCTATATCATCGGTTTTGTCTTCGGGCCATTGCTTGTCGCCCCCTTGAGTGAGCTGTACGGCCGCTCTATTATCTTGCATGTCACCAATGTCCTCTTCTTCATCTTCAACATTGCCTGTGCCGTGAGCACCGATCTTCCAATGTTCATCGTCTTCCGGCTCATAGTTGGTCTTATGGCATCCACGCCTTTGACACTTGGAGGTGGTTTCATTGCAGATTTGATGGTTGCCGAGAAACGTGCACGCGCTTTGACTATTTGGACAATGGGTCCTCTATTGGTATATGGATATTCTTGATCGCTTAAAAGTGACATGTTGCTAACATAACTGGTGAAACTTCTCAGGGTCCAGTACTAGGTATTTGAAGATTCTATCCCACCTTACTTTTGTCTTGATTCGGAATGTCACTAAAACTGCACAAAAGGTCCCGTTATTGGTGGATTTCTATCTCAAGGAGCGGGATGGCGATGGGTATTGTGGTTTGTCGTAATCATAGTAAGTGTCTGGATTATAGTTTTTTTTCTTTCGTATGTTTCACGTCCGCCTATATCCCTAGTTCACCGTTCTTCCTGACATGATCACATCTGGGCTGATTGTTATCACAGTCTGGAACTTTGACTCTCGCCTGTTTTATCTTTGTTCGAGAAACATATAGCCCTGTCCTCTTAATCCGCAAGGCGGCACGACTGCGCAAGGAAACTGGAAATCCAAAATTGCACTCCAAGTTCGACAGTTCTAAGACCGCTTATGAGACATTTTCCCAAGCTATTATCAGGCCAACCAAGATGCTGTTATTCGCACCAATTGTCACGATTCTTGCACTCTACATTGCTCTCATTTACACCTACATGTACTTGCTATTCACAACCTTCACCTTCATCTTCGAAGAGCAGTACGGATTTAACTCAGGCGAAGCGGGTCTCGCATACCTCGGGACGGGCATCGGGTTTATCTTGGGGTTGTTCGTCACCGGATTTTACTCCGACAAAGTCGTCAGAAAGATTCGGAAGACACAGCCTCCTAAACCTGAGCACCATCTTCCTCCCATGGCCGTGGGCGCAATCCTTCTTCCGATTGGCCTTTTTTTCTACGGTTGGACAGCTCAATACGCGGTCCATTGGATTGTTCCGATTATTGCGACGGGATTCTTTGGCCTAGGTCTGTTACTCGGATTCATGCCAGTGCAAGTTTATCTCGTGGAAACCTATACAATCTATGCGGCCAGTGCAATTGCGAGTAACACTGTGCTTCGATCTCTGTTTGGAGCAGTCGTGCCCCTGGCCGGCCAAAAGATGTACGCCACGCTTGGATACGGCTGGGGTAACAGTCTCCTTGGCTTCATCGCTTTGATTTTCATCCCAGCACCTTTTGCCCTTCTAAAATACGGAGAGCAGATCAGAACGAACCCACGGTTTCAAGTGAAGTTGTAAAATTTGCTTTCGTGACAGACAACTGCTGTATTTCGAGAGAGAATAAGTGCCTAGGTAGAATATGCTAGGGAAGAAGTAAAAACAAAAGTCAAGATTCTCGCCAGTTTAATAGTCGAAGGCCCTAATTTTGATAATTAACTAATTTCTCTCCAGTCGAGGTTAGACAACGCTCGAATTTTCAATAATGGACTAATCTATCACCTAACCCGGAGATATATGTGATCTTGACATCTTGAAATGATATACCAATTGTCTAGCTATTCTTAAAGACAAGTTAGCTCCAACCAAATACATGCTTTTTCCCTTTCAAGTAACATTCCATTCTTGGTTGTGATATTCCTATTTCTCTCATAGAAAGGGTAGCGCCACGACCTCATACTGTAGAACTCGATTTATATTAGTGGCTCGGAGTTATCGAAAACGGGCTAGTCAGTACACATTGATCTGGTCGTTTTCAACCTGCTACTACCACCCGCCTTAGACGCCACTGCTGCACAGTTCAAATGAATAGCTCAGCTGCATTCTATGGGTATACATGATACATATATTAAGCCTTCCCGGTATTCAGCATTCAGTATCCCATGTAGGTGGGAACGTAGATTGACTTGTTCACACACATAACAGGGTCTTGCAACATATCTTCCTTCTCTTTATCCAACCTACTACACATACTGTTCATTAGAGACAAATATCATGTCATTCGCAACTATGAGAGCTGTGGGTAAGTTTCTAGCCCAAGCACCTCATGAGACTCGTGTGGGAGGTACATCTAGTCAAGATACAGTGCGCAGCGTTGGAAAACAAACTGTATAAGCTGATGGAAATCGCCAAGGATCTTAGAGGAGTTATTGGAGGAAATTTTTTGGATTGGTCCTTTTCAGCATCCGAGAGGCATAAAGCCTACATGTGGAATCCTTCCTACTATATCTGAGTGTCAGAAGAAGAGTTTTCGTTCTACTAATCACTTTCTTAGACATATCTCCCGACGCTCCCCATCCACCCCCAGCGTCATCTCTCTATATCAACCACTCTATTCCCCGGCCCGTTGCCAAACCCAACGAATGCCTCATCCGCGTCAAAGCCTTTGGTCTTAACCGTGCCGACACCCTGCAGCGCGTGGGCTTGTATCCCTTGGACCCATCATGGCCTAAGATTATGGTAATCCCTTTATCAATGCTTACAGTGCCCATTGTCATCTACTAATTTGTGCACAGGGACTTGAGTTTAGCGGCATAATTGAGGAGGTTGGCTCTGAGCCGAGAGCTGACAGGGGGCTAGAGTGGAAAGTGGGCGATGAAGTTTTTGGTCTGGCGTACGGTGGTTGTTACGCAGAGTTCGTGGCCGTGCATAAACGCACTATTATGAAGAAGCCGGAGAAGATGAGCTGGGGAGTTGCAGCAGGCATCCCAGAGGTATGCATCCTTATATCTCCAGAGCCATATAAAATCAACACAAAGGTCTTTGCCTGTCACCAGAGTTTTCCTTCCCCCCCCTGGTGCTTCGTATACTCAGAACGTTAAAGTGAAATAATTAATTTGTACAAATCTCAAGGTCTGGTTCACCTCTATTCAAGCCCTCTACTTCGTCGGGAACTACTCCCCAACACAGACGCGCACAATCCTCTGGCATGCCGCTGCGTCTGCCGTCTCTATTGCAGGTATCCAGCTATCGCTCGCTGCCAACTCTAAGCTGGGCCACCAGCCTCCGAGAGTATACGCGACAGCCCGTCAAGACGCCAAATGCTCTGTTGCAACCTCCCTCGGTGCCACCGCCGCCATCAACACGACTACCACACCATCTTGGTCCACAGAACTCAAGCGCCTCAACAATGGGAAGGGAGTGGACCTGGTCATCGACTTTCTTGGCGCCTCCGCCTTTGCACAAAACTTAGACGTACTAGCGCTAGACGGATGCATTGTCCAGCTTGGATTAATGGGTGGGATGATGCTGCCAGAGAAGGTAGATATATCGGCGTTTGTGTTAAAACGCATACGCTTGGAGGGAAGTACACTGAGGACAAGGGATGTGGAGTATCAAGGCAGGTTGTTGGATATGTTCGAGGAAAACGTATTAGAGTGGTTGGTAGGAGGGCAGTTTAAGAGCGGAGTAGAGACTATTGTCGCATGGGATGAGGTGGGAGAAATGCATGGCCGATTGGAAAGAAATGAGACAAAAGGGAAGATTGTGTGTCTTGTTGACTGAGGTTATATTGCGCGATAGAGGGGATGAAGGTAAAGGGGCCGTGAAACGGTTTTGTGGAAATTGGGAGTCTAGAAATATTATATCATTGTGGTTCCTGTTTCGGTTAATTTAACTGCTGGTATTAACTGCCCGCTTGCCCACTCTAACCAGCTCTATATAAGACACTGTTCTAGATGCCGTACTAGATTTTGCAGAAACATCTTAGACGTTTCATAGTCGCAGGCCAAGGGGTCCACATGAACAAAACTGTAGGCAAATGGCCACCACATTCACCTAGACAAGACTCAAAGTTCGCCCATAGGATATGGTACTGAGTATAGTAGAGCTTGGGGATAGTTAGTTGTAGTAACCTGCATATCCCCTTGATAGGAAATGCCGATGTAAATGAATCCATCCATGTATCAATTCATATTGTAATAGTAGAAAATACCATCCACTGGAGGAACAGACATGCCAGATTCGGTAGCTAACAATAACAATTGCAGGGCGAAGTTCTATTGAATACCTACAGTAATGAAGATCCAGCACAATGTCCCCTATCTGAGACGAGAACTTCGACCTAGCCCCCGCTGTCACTGCGCAGATGAGAGCATCAGATGGAGTGGACTCCGATGGAGCGGACTCCACTGCACACTCTGGTATCAAAATAGTGCCCGGTTTTCTCAGCTGTAACTTCGTATTTTTTGATCATTTTCAAACTCCAAAAAATCTCCGCTGTGCAGTCGACATAGTCAGTACCAGTCTCAGCATAAGCTCTAAACGCATTGTCTCCATAAAGTGCATATAAACCAATCGTTGGGATTAGGCGAACCGTTTTTCTCGTTAATGCGGCAGGATTTCTTGAGGGTGGATGTTACATATTTCGATTTTCTAAAAACGAAAATCAGCCTCGCATTGTGAACGGCATGAGAGATTTCCTACTTGGAGGAGTATGCTTTGGATTCAATTCATTACAACGAGAGATGAGCTGCGCGAGCTTGTCCGCTGAGCGACCAGCAAACGCCCATTTGATATCGGCTGCAAGGTTGGTTGAAATGTGCTCAACTGTCAATTGGCCAGAATACCCAAAGGTACACGTCCATTCGCTAAAGTTGATTTACTTGCTGCGCTAGAAATGATTATATCATACATACGTATTGGCGATCATGATTTTTGAAAGACATGTCTACCAAGCTCGTGGCGCTGGGCTGTATAATCGTGGAAGTTGGAAAATGTAGCCTTATATCTAGGTAAGTGAGAAAAAGGGCCAGTATTAATAGATATACACCACTCGCTATTCAGCATCCCCCATTTCAGATTACTATCCAGGTCAGAATTCTTGCTGTCTTCGCCACTGAAACTAGCCATTTTATGAATTGCAATTTGGTTGTGCCTATAAACTGTAAATAATTCAGAGCTAGTGGTTATGACCTCATAAATATAGGATATTTTGTTCCTGATCTGGTTGAGATTTTCTGTAGACTATCTGCCGGCTGATATCAATCGATGTAGGGCTGCAGCATCTCGGAGAGACTTAACTCCCCGAACGTGACAATGATTGCCCCGGCGACAAGATCAATCTGCAACCAAATAACATGATCGATCAAACGCCCACTCGGCCAGGACAACGACCCGGCCACTTTCAAATGGCCATTTTTTAGACCTTTTATAAGTTTAATTGCCTTTTAATTTTAAAGAAGAAGAGCTAAATTCTTATATAATAAAACCTATGTATTAAAAGTATATAGAGACTTTATATTTTAAATATAAATATTGTAAAGTGCGAGGTTATGTCGGAAAAATGTGTATCGAAGGTGGCCAGGTCGATCCTGGCCGAGCGGGCGTCTTGTTACGGGGACTGTCGTATTACAAATCACCTCATAGTTGCACATATCTGTCTATGACCAGTAGTAGCTTAGATATTGTAATGTACGACAATTTGACTGGCATTTTGGGGTTTTCAGTGCTCAGCAGATCTCGGCACATCATCTCATCGATATTGAATTATGTTGAATTTAATGTGAATATAAATATGCACGAAGCTTCCAACTTTATCCTTCCGGCTTGATTTCAATGTTATACGGCGTCGACACATTGTTAACAAGACGATAATATATGAAAAAAACGAGCCTGTCATATATTAATCTTGAAGCATCGACTTATTAAAATGTCCAAAATTCCTTCTAGTACCTCCCAATGGGTTCTCGAGTCCAGCACTGGATCTTCGGATCTCACGCTGAAGCAGGACATACCTCTTCCACCCATCGGTAGACATGATGTTCTTGTCAAAATACACGCGGTAGCATTGAATTCCCGTGACAATCAAATCCTCCACGTACTCACCCTCTTTACTTCCTCAAAATATGTACCGCCGGACTGATCTGCTTGTAGAACACCTACCTCTGGGGCTCAACGCCTGGCGTCGTTCCACTCTCTGATGGAGCTGGCTTGGTCATTGCTGTCGGAGAAGCGGTCACTCGCTTCACCACTGGCTCCCGAGTAGCCGCGACCTTCCACCGGGGGTGGCTAAGCGGAAAACTCTCGTCCATTGCACAAGTCTCCCAAATCGGTGCGCATTCGGACGGTTTGCTGCGGCAGTATATTGTGTTTCATGAGGATGAGCTTGTTGCGATACCGTCGAATTGCAGCTTCGTGCAAGCTAGTACTTTGCCCTGTGCCGCCCTTACGGCGTGGAATGCACTCTTTTGCGGAAGTGTGAGCCTTAAGCCTGGTGATGTTGTTCTTGCCCAAGGTAGCGGAGGGGTTAGTCTATTCACGATCCAGTTTTCAAAGGCAGCCGGTGCGACGGTTATAGCAACTACAGGACAGTTGGGTGGAGAGCGCGAACGTTATCTCAGACAGCTTGGAGCAACTACAGTGCTAAGTTATAAGGATGCCGACTGGGGGAAGAAGGTAAAAGCGGCCACTGGTGGCCGAGGAGTGGACTTTATTGTGGAAGTCTCGGGGGCTGCAGACCAATGTGCAGCAGCGTTGAGGCTTGGTGGTCAGATTGCTGTGGTGGGCGGCGTTGGAGGGCCTGGAGGGTCAGTATTTGATATGCGCAACATATTGGGCGAATTGAGACGTGTAGTCGTGGGGAGTCGTGAGCAATTTGAGGATATGAATCGTGCCATTGAGGCAAATGATATCCAACCAGTGATAGATGAAACTGTCTGGGCATTTGAGCAGGCTAAGGAAGCATTTGAATATGCACAATCCGGAAAGACTATGGGTAAAGTAGTTATTCGTCTTGAGGACTACGAACGCCATTAGAATTAGATAATGGAGAGTTTTAAATTCCTAACTCAAGAAACCATATTTTAGAGCTCTTTTTGTATCTCACATCTTGAGTACTTAGAGCAGCAATAAACAAGGAAACACACTCCCATCGCTCCAGATAATAAAAAAAAAAATTTGAGAGCGCCATCTGCTATCCTAAGGGTCGCCTTCAGCTATCAAAGCTAGATGTTGGTACAGACTCCCTCAAAGCTTGCGCTCAATCATCGCGCGAAGCATGTCGTTTCCTTTTGCTGTAGGCGAATAAACACCGGCACCTCCGAGACCCTTGTATAACGCTGCACGACTTTCAATATCGGAGGGTAGACCACGAGACTTGCAGGCGTCTACGACGGACTTCGAATCCCAGACTGTCGAAGTAGACGTGACAGGAGCCTTGAAGAATATGCCTGTCGCCTTTTCAACAAGAGAGTCAATGCCTGACTGGAGCATTTGAGCGCTGAATTGCGTAACAGCATCAACGCCTTTGGCAACAAGAATATCAGCTATGGTCGGGCTAGGAGGAGCAGATTGCTTGCTGCCAGTTCTGCTCTCTTGGTTTGTTTCGGTGGAAGAAGGACCTGGCTCTCCATAGGCAGAGCGTCTAACAAATTTATTAATTAGTCAACAACCCCTCAAGCTCTCCACTGGAATAAGACCTTAGAACTTATAGAAAGGTATACACATACAGAGTTCCAGGCAGGGTGTGTGGTTCCATGGTCTTAAATCTAAGGTCGTTTTCCTGCTTTTCTGTAGCAAAGGATTAGACAGAATGACTCCTTGCCGTAGAGAAACAGGTGTTTTGGGGGGTTCTGTTTTAGGGTCCAGAGATGAGCCGTGCTGTCAAAGGTTCATCTATCAGGGCGTCTTTTAGGGCCTATTTATACCCTTACCTTCAGGAAACTCCCTTCTCCTTCCCTTCCATTATGGGAATTTTTCTACCGCTCCACCAGCATTTAGACTCGATAACTATTCAAAGTTTTTCTCCAGGGGCCGGAAAAGGCGGTGTTGACTGTTCCTATTCAAAATTGAAATTTTTCACTGATTCAGCCTCGTCATGCAAAGTGTTTGTGTTCCAATTAACACGTCACAACACTATGCATTTGCATGCTGCATGGATTCCTTTTCCCCATGTCCCCGGCGAATAATAACATTCAGTGCTGAGTTGTCAGATGATCAAAAAAATCTCAAGTTTGGCGAACTTCGCTCTGGCAGACCATAACGCCGACCCTCGCACTGCACAATGACATCTTCACCCAGGATAACCATGATTATGCCTGGTTGGTTTCTAATACCTTTCTTCCAGAACCGGAGCCGCAACGCACTTTTTGGGCAGTCCGAGCTAAATCTATCAGCGAGGCTGAATTGGTAAATGCCCTGCCCCAGTAATTGTCTACGCAATGCATGAATCGCTTGGCTATTCACACCAATTCACTTAACGGCCCCCAATTCTTTCGCCATTGGAATGCTCATCGGTGCACGAGTGTTGATAAACTCAGGATGCACCCAAGTCCCGGTCATTCCGGAATAGTTTATCTTACTTCCGCGTGACACACAATTATTATAATATTTTTACATTATTAGCTGCGTAGATTAGACTCTCCGGATATCTAGAAGCCCGAATCTCGCAGATTACACCATTGCATGGCTTGCCCCGCTATACTTTGAAGCTGCTGCTGCGTTTATACATGCCGATTCGAAAGGCAGGACAGACTGTACAATACCTACTTGGACGCATTGGACCCCACAATGTGGAAATCGCAGGGTTTCCCGCCAGTGAATTTGGGATTGGTATTGCAGCCAGTGTAGCGACAGAAGTATTGCGCGACTTTCCCGACCTAGAGGTTGGGCTGCTTGTAGGGATCGCCGCTGGCATACCATCACCCAACCACAATATTCGCCTGGGTGACGTAGCTGTCGCCGTACCGAGCGACGACACCGCTGGGGTAATTGGATATGATATGGTAAAAGTCGAACCCGAAGAAATTAAATTAAAGCAATGGCAAAACGCAAGCAGCCCGATACTGAGATCTACCATTACCAACATTAGGGCCCAGTCTGAGTATGAGGGAAACAAATTCCTAGGTCATTTAGAACGTTTCAAAGGAACCTCTTACAAAAGACCTGAGGCTCACGTGAGGAGCAAACAGTTAGCTCAGGCAATGCGAGAGCCATGCGGTCCTCCAGCAGTTCATTATGGCCAGATTCTATCTGGACACCGCGTCATCAGGTCCGCTAAACATAGAGATGACATCAATCGGAAGTACGACGCCATCGCCATTGAAATGGAAGCAGCAGGAATGGTAAATAGATTGCCGGTGGCAGTGATTCGAGGAATTAGCGATTTCGCAGACACAGACAAGAACGATGACTGTCAATTTTATGCAGCCGCAAATGCCGCCGCCTATGCAAAGGAGTTACTCGTGCAGCTTCAGTCATCTGCATTAGCCCCTCCTCCACGCTTTGTTTCCCCGGAAAGAATGAGCCAAGCAAGCCTTAATCTGCTACTGGATCAACGCGCCGAAGACAACCCCCAAAAGCTGGACTGGCGACATTCTGTAGTCGATCTCCTTAAGCTTCTGTCACTTGATGCCACCCTTGAGGCCCGCAAACAACTCGCTCGGAGATGGAATGTGTTTGTAGGGAAAGATGGTGATGCTGTGCAAAACGTTGCTCTCCATGGTGTCATAACAGACGACCTTGCAAAGAATCAGGGCCAAGTATCTCGGAATCTCAAAGAAGCTCTATTTGTAGATGACTGACATTTTATTGTTGGATTTCTATATTTCCCTATCGACAAAAGATCACTTTAACCTTCCATGGAGTATGGTTACTAGTTGATGTTCTTCATAATTTGTTTTATCAATCAATTGATGTCATTGAAACCAGATGCAGGTGATATTTTGAATGGACGCTAGGACTCTTATTCAGCTCTAAACCTCACTAACGAGTTCACCTGGTAATTAAGCATTCTTCAGTTCTTTTCACAACTCCTTTTGATACTGCCCTGTTTCATTATACGTATTCAATAGGAAAATTCTAAGAAAGAAAGAAAGAAATATTAACCGCGAACCAAACGTAGGAAACGGCGGTATATTTTGCCTTGTGTATCATGAGACTCATTTAAAGAAAACTAGTCCGTCCGTGTATTCTCGATCTTGAGCACCAAGATATCTGTCGCTCCCACTTTCGTCAATTCGTCCATGACGGTTGCGATCTTCTTCTTCTCAACCATGGCACTAACAGCAACCCAGTTCGGTGCCTCGAGGGCTGTAATGGTCGGCGCACGCTTGCCAGGTGTGATTACAGACGCAGAGGCGAGCTGGTCGCGGTTGATGTTGTACTGGCAGAGAACATACTTTTGAGCGGCTGAAAGAGGAAATTAGTATACAGTAGGAGACACATGAGTGGCATGACTCACCAATAACACCGCGAATTCGGCTAGCAATTAGCTCTGTGAGTTCATGTTTTGTGTTATTTGATTTGATCAACACAGCTGTGCTCTCAACAACAGTGTCGATGGCCTTCAGCCCAGCTGCCTTCATTGTCTCACCAGATTCTAGACGTCAATTAGCTCAACCCTGGTCTCCCGAGATGATTGCAAAGTTGTGCACGCACCGACCAAATCAACGATACCATCAGCAACACCCAAGGCGCAGGCGGCTTCGACACTGCCGCCGACATATTTAATCTTTGTTTTCAACTGCGATTGATCACTGACTCCTTCGATTTGAGCGAAGAATCTTGTCGCTAATGCAGTAAAGCTAGTCACCACATTTTTGCCAACAAGTTCCTTGGCTTGTTTGATTTCGCCCTTCTCAGGGACCTGCACCTGAAGCTTGCAGCCTCCAAATCCCAGGTCTAGGACTTCAGTCACACCAGATGCCTCGCCGCTAGCCAGATTTGCATCGTGTTCGCCAACTTGGTCTCGGCCCGTGATACCAATGTCAACACGACCCTCGCCAACGAATGTAGGAATGTCAGCGGCGGGGAGGAAAATCAGCGCGATTGGTAGGTTCTTAACGAGAGCGATGTCGAGACGCGTCTCACGGCGGAATTGAATATCGCATCCGGAGAGGAGATCTAACGTAGTTTGTTGCAGGCGGCCCTCTGTTGGTTTTCCAATTTGTTAGACACTGGTTGTGAGTCATCGCAGCATATCGTGAAACTGACTTTTGGGGACTGCGAATAGCAATCTTCCTTCGAGGCTGTGTTCAGATTCATGATTAGACCATTGAACTAAAACCAACATTTCTGGATTTTCCATATATTGGAATGACTCACTGGTTCACCAAATCCATGACGTCTCAATGTCGGCGCGAAATGCGCAGGCCCAGCTACCAAAGAACGTAATGCGGTGAAAGCAGGCTCAGCGCAGAAGCTGCAGGTTCAATGGGCAGACGATAAGCAATATCGAGTAGCAGGTATATCGTGACACTCGCAGATAAATTTCAAAGAACGCCAAAGAGCTTGAAAGGCGACGTGCAGCCAGCCAGAAAATATTGAGCGGGCTATGACTCTGCCGGAAATAATTGCTGCGGGGACAAGACGATATCGGCGGCACCTAATTGCTCACAGTGTGCTCCCAGATTCCACCATTGATCGCCCTCAGGCGCACACGTGTGCTCTTTTACATACTGCTTTTCGTTCATAAATGGGTTTGGGTTTTTGGATCTTTATCTCTCGTACGGCACAGAGTGTTTTATTGTCGTGGTGTCGCAGAGCCAGCTCCCTAAGCACGTATCTGCGGCTTGTGATTGGTCAGCGATCATGGAGGGGCAAGTTCTGCACGCAGTGAACCTCAACCTCAACGCTGATGAACCTATCTCGATAACTTCGCGGCCATTGCCATTGTGTATCAAAAGGTAATGGTCATAGAGTGGAATCCGATTTCTAATTTTAGCTCTAACAGATCCTCGACTGCCACCAAGTGTCGCCGACCCCGCACCACGACCAGCCTTCGTTTATAAACCTCCGTCATCGCTCTATTCCTTACAAGAATTATATTTTCCAACAGACAATAATCGAAATTTTTCACCCTCTATCTATACTTTACAAAATACCCCGTCTTATGTACAATGACTACTCACCTGCCGAGTATTGATATTGCGATACGTTTCACAGCTGCTCGACAATTGCCAGAAGCTTGTCAGTTGTCGAATCCACTCCTCCGCCTGCCCCAGCTACCGAGATATCTTTAGTGAGGATTTCGTCAACACTCTTTACAACGGCCGCAAGTCTTTTGCGCCTAATCTTCTCCTCCAGCTCGCTACTCTTCTCCTTCGCAACGTCCAATACCGACGAAGGGAGGTTTGCCAGTCGCGCCACATTCAGTCCGTAGCTCCGATGGGCAACACCCTCTCCAACCTCGTAGAGAAACGTAATTTCTGCATCTTGCCGGTCTCCACATTCCGTAAAGCGCATATGGACATTCCGAAGCTCGTTGTTGGAGTAAGACTTGGCCATGGCAGAAAGATGTTGGTAGTGTGTGATGAATAGCGTCAGACTACGCATAGAGCGGACCATGTAGTCAAGAACTGCTTGTGCAATAGCAACCCCATCATGCGTAGACGTGCCTCGGCCAAGCTCATCTAGTATAACCAATGAACGAGGCGTTGCCTGTTTCAAGATATCTGCCGTTTCGGAGAGTTCTACCATGAAGGTTGATTCGCCATTAAGCATGTTGTCGAACGCACCCATGCGCGTAAATACCGCATCTAGCATCCCCAATTTCGCTGACTTGGCAGGCACATACGAGCCAATCTGGCCCATTATCGCAATAAGGGCTACCTGGCGCACGTAACTCGATTTACCGCCCATATTCGGACCAGTAACCAGTAGGGCGCGAGTCCCATTCGCATCGAGACTGGTGTCATTGGGAACATAGGTATCCATAAGAAGCTGTTCAACCATAGGATGGCGTCCCTGCTCAACTGTAATGCATGTCTCGTCTGTGAATTCAGGCTTGGTATATCCAGGCTGATTGGCAATGGCAGCAAGAGAAAACAGACAGTCAAGTAATGCTAGAGCCTGGATACAGTCGCGAAATGACTGGTACTTGGCCGAGATATCCGCTAACAGGTCTTTATACGCTTTATCGCAAGCTGCTGCCAGTGCTTCTTTGTGTTGATCACGTTGCCTTAGGAGCCTAACCACCTCTGGTGTGTGAAAACGTGAAAGTCTCTTAGTTCCACTAATCTTTGCCCAAGATGCAGGTACTCGCTTGATCTGGGGCGAATTGTTCTCAACCTCGATAAGATACTCGATGCCCGCCGAAGTAGCATAATCGACTTTCTTCTTGCCCAGTGTTTCTGCGATAACAGAGCGGTGTTCCCCCAAGTCGTGTTCCACAGATGCTATACCAAGTTTCTGTTCCATTATACCGTCGTTTTCCTCAGACTCGCGAAAGAATTCGTATTTATCGTCATTCTTAGCGGCATGCATATTGATTTTGTCGAGGAAATGAACAACGTCCTCTTGAATGGTAGGCAACGCAGCAACAGCTTGACTTATAAGAGATGATTGGAATCCCGTATCACTAGGAGCGGTGATATGTGAGAATGCAGTGGTTATCATTTGCAACGTTTGGAGAACGGTGAGAAGCTCCGGCCGGGTACATTTTCCGTAGTAAATACGAATTAAGCTTCTCTCTAAGTCTGTTTTGACTTTCCCTAACAAATCTTTCAGCTTCTCAATATGAATATGTTGTTCTGAGGAGAGCAATTCTTCCACTGCGCCGACTCGTTCCTCAAGATGAGATTTATCCAGAAGAGGTCTTCCAACCCACTTCCGGAGCATTCTCTGACCGAAGCGCGTTCGAGTTCGATCCATCGTCCAGAATAGACTCCCTTTGCTGGAATAGTCGGTCTGGTTCTGGTATATTTCGAGGCTAGTCAAGGTGTTTCCGTTTAAAAGCATGTGAGATCTTGCAGAGAAGGATTGGAAGTACTTGGTGAGGTCAAACACATGCTCCAGGCCATATTCCGACAGATGATCGATCATCGAAGAAAGGCACACTGTGACCTGGTCGGGCAGCTGCAATACCTTTTCGAGTAGAGCATTAGCTTGGAGGTCGCCAGTGCCGCCAGCACTTTTCATCTTATCGGCATAAAAATTGGTCACGCGGTTATGCGCTTCTGCTGCGGCCGATTTAGACCATGTTTGTCTCTCAACACGCACTTTATCTCCAAAGACGTTCATTTTGCTTCCAGAAAGGTGTTTCACCAGCTTCTCCGTCGGTTTTGAAAGTTCTCCCACTATGAGAATCTCGCAAGGAGCAATATGAAGTAGTCTTGTTTCAATTTCGCCTCTCATAAAGCCATCTTCAAACTCGTCGTAGATAATATCTCCTGTCGCGGGTTGTACGGCAACGATTCCGACGTGTACACGTTCGTCGCTCCCACTGGTATTGGATTCGGTGATGCACAGAAGATAGCCGGTCGCCGGCGTGGCGCCACCCAGCGCTGCTGTCGGTCCTGATAGCCCTTCTACATCATCAATATAAGTTCCTTTTGTATACACATTTGTAAGCTTGCGGACGAAAGGCGCGTTTCGATTATCACCTGCCGCCTTGAGCGCCGCAGTCTCCAGCTGTCGCACCACACCGACTTTGTGGCCTGCGGAAACCAGCCGTTTCACATGCACATGTAATCGATGCGTAGGTATACTTGCTGATGCGAAACGGTCCAGATGTGCCTCTGATGGATGCTCGTCGAACCTCATCTTACCCGGTATACACACAATGCTCAGCTCCTTTGCGGCGGTTCTCGCATCCTCCCCAAAGAAGCGAAACTTGTAACCAACTTCAACGACAAGTAGAGTATCCATGTGTTTGCGCTTAATGTCGATAACCTGTTTCTCCATCGGCGTGAGTTTTGAACCTCCTTTCTTAGTCGCTTTTCCTTTGGCGACAGGCGCCGGTGCGGGCTCCTCGTCCTCTTCGGCATCTTCTTCTCCAGCTGCAGCATTGTCATCTCCGCCAGAAGATGTTTTACTGATACCAATCAGACAATCTGCGCCGCCCAACTTCTTGACGAATTTCTGGTGCATCTTATCTTTCTCTTTACGAGACAGACCGTCCTCCTCTCCCAGTCTATCTTCAACGACTGCCGGAGAGCTTGTGAACTTAAATCGATCTGTTCGCACGCTGCTTTGTGATAGCTTTGAGAGATCTGCATCTTTTCGTGACGTCGTGATTATTGACTCGTCGACCGTCGCCTTGACCCGTTTGGGGGGCGGAAGAACGATATCATCACGTTCTTCATCATGTTGGGCCGTCTGTTCTGACACTAAAGAGTTCTCTTTTCCAGATAAGACTCTCTTCGCAGCGTCTGCTGCCTCATTTGTGTTTGTTTCGTCAGAGGGTTTCCTTTCGGTAGTAGAAGGTTTCTTGGTAAAGAAGCTCGATATTGTCTGTTGCTTTCGTTTTAAAGCGGGCGATGAAGATGGCGGCGAGGATTGGGAAGGCATGTTCGAGCTTCTATACTCTATGTAAAAGTTCTAGTTAGCTACCTATTCAATGCTCTCAGGTGGCGGCATCGGAAGCCACCCCTGACCTAAACGAAAACACTTACTTGGAAAAGATGGATACGGCAGGGATAAGCAATAATCTGGTACACAGCACAATGCGTCAAGTTGCAGTAATTGACTGCGTCACCATGGCTAATTCAACGGACAAGATATGCGGTACTTCGTAGTTGTATTGTTTGATGCTCGGAATCGGCTGTGGAGACCTTGACGCGTGACGCGCGGGCCAGATTGGGTAAAATTGGTTACATAATCAGCAAGTGACAGCGAGTAACTTAAGTTATATTGTTTGTTTTACAAAATTATGAATTGATATTATGAAACATGGCTTGATTTTGTATTCCGCTACATAAGAAAATATTATAGTAGATATACTGCATAATCATCTTTATCAAACTTTGTGTCAAAAGTGTTCATCACAGAAGCCTATTTATGAGACTCAAAGCTGCCCATTGATGAATCCTTCCGCGAGAACCGCGCATATCAGAGGAAGAGGATTGAAGCCAAGCATAAGCACATGTATATTGGACTCAGTCGGTCAACGATGCATCACTAATTGCTCCTCCAGTTGCGCTAACCTACATTCTCGGAACCTCGTACGTTTGTCTTTAAGCGCAAGTCCCATCCACCCAAAGGCGGTTTTTACTCTCGGCTTCGTCGTCGTAAATAGTACTACCTGATGATGCTGCGCGGTTGTAAAGAAGGCCACTACTCAGCAGTGACTCATTCGAATTGTAATCCTCACGACCTGCATCCGATTCATGCCAGTCCCATCGGTAATGAAGCACATCTCCACTAATGAGTGGATCATGCAGCCCCCGCCTGTTCAATCCCGAAGAGGAATCTATCAAATACATACTGTCGATGTTTCTCATCTGAGTTCTAGAGAGACTAGGATGATCTTGAGAGTAGTCGTGAACGGTTGGCAAGCCTGACTGACTAAGGGAGGATGGAAACTGTTCGTAATCATTTGCTGCTGACAGAGTATTGATCGCGTTTGGTGTGCTCTGGTAGTATGCCATCCTAAAGGGTTCACCACGGGAAGTCGTAGCATCAATAAGATTAGGGGCAATCGTGTTATCCTTTGGCTCTCTCACAGGCTGGTCCATGTCTTTGAATACCTGTAGGCGAGATCCACGCCTTTGACTAGTCGCTTCAATTGAAAGCTGTAGATCGACATTTTCATCCTTTTTGAGACCACCAAAGCCGTTGACAGTATTTCGACTGTTTTTATTCAAAGATCTGCCGGCGATTACTAAATCTTGACCTGCAAGTTCTCGGCTGATTTGATGCTTAGGTTGATGTCCTTTCTTGGTGATTCGACCACTCAGGACATTTCGATTAGGATCCGAATCAAGTAACGCAACGCGTGCGGTTAGTCTACTACCATACCTAGTGGCATTTGAGTAAATGTCGAGACCATTGCGGTCACGGCGGTCGCGACGGTCTCGGCGTGGCTTTGGGATAGACCACTCTCCAGGTAGCAAGTCGTCTTCGTCTTCTACATACCCTGTGATCTCACGTTCCTTTCGAAGAGTTCCAGAAGGCGAGAATACCATCTCATTCGGCTCGGTAGCATCTGATGACTTTTCCATTGCCTTAAAGGTAGTTGCATCTTTTTTCTGGTTTCTCTGGCGCTTCATCGATTCTGTAGCGGCATCAAAGATGTCCATGCCTGGCCACTGAATACCTTTCAGCCTCATCATTTCATCTGATTTTGATTCTCCAATAATATGTGGCTTCGAATCCATAGGTGAATGAGAAAACATTGGAGGCGGTGTCCGATGAATCCTAGGACGAAAACCAAAAGGATGGCTTTCTTCCAGTTCAGGATGATCGACAGCGTTTCTCTGAAGAAGGTTCCCTGGCTGATATTCCTTCCATTCATATAAAGAGTCTGATTCGACCTTAATAAAGGTGTGCTCGTATGGATCGGAAAATGAGGACGCTGCCGCGTAGGACATCTCATCGACACTGGGTTGATGAATCGGATGCTGCATGTTGGATAGACGAGGATCGATATTATCCTCAAAGAAAGGCCATTGTGCTGATCGGTGCTCTGTATGATCATTGCAGTCTGACAGTGCTGGAAATTTTGAACCAACCGGCTCGTTCTTTATATTTCCAGCATCCTCGGTCGGCTCAGTCTGCCTGGAGCTCCGTCGCCTCCCCTTTGCTTTGGAGGACGTTGCCATGCGGTCGGAAAGCGATTTCGCAAGGCCATTCTGTTGGTACCAGCGGTCGTATAACGCTAGAGTCTGTCGTGCATCCGAGTCGTGGCGACTCTTGACCTGAAGCTTGAAGTAGGTGGCCAAATGGGCCTTTGAGGCAATGTGGGTCAGAAGATGGGATAAATCACTAAAGTGAGGTTTCTTGCTGCATATTGTGCAAGAAAGAGAATCTGCATCCATCGTGGGCCGGCAGGATGGTTCAATGCATATAAAAGCTGTGTGAATGGTAACAATCAAAGAAATAACAAATAACCAAAGCTAATCAACTCAAGTAAAAACAGATCGGTAAGTGACCTCCTCTAAGCACTGCCACGCGGTAATCAGGGGCAGATTTGAGTAGTGTTGAGAACAGGAAGAGGCACAGAGAAGAAGTGGGAGTGAGGCAACAAACAGAGCAAGAGAAGTGGGGAGGCAGACAGGGTCAGAGGATGAGAGAGCTACGGGGGAAGGCGCTGTGGGTGGGTGAGAGAGAGGGAGAGGGAGTCTACCAGCCCACAAGAACTCCAGCCTATCAACAAGAGACATCATCGGTTCACAGTATTTGATTGATTGGTTCTTTCATTCATCCAGCACTGAACTTTCATTATTATCACCTAGGTGTTACCTGATGCATGTCTAAAGGCTAGATGTTAAAGCTGACCAAGCGTAATGCTGCCAATCAGACATCCGGAGGCGATCGTTATTATCCCCTTATTTGTATCCCAGTATCCTATCTTCAGTGAATACTGGGAGGTGAGAGCTAGAGGAATGGTACTACTAATTCTACCTTGCAAACCAGTTCTTCGTTATCTCTTTGGGCATACAACTATCCTCAGGTTAGCAGTATCCTGCTCTATCGTGGGTATCAGATACTTACTACACAGGGTCAATTTCTTGCAACCCTGGATAATGCAGCAAACTCAGCCCAGCAATTCCAAAGTGCGTGTGAAATACATCGACCATATTCCCAGGCTGGTCAGCAATTCCACCTTCATCTGGGTCCTGTTTATTGTGGTTAGGATCTCCTTTCAGGACAATGAGATATAGCTAACCTGGCATCGCAGAATGAAAGCCTCGAGTTTCTGGCGATCGATCCAATGCAAACGCCCAATTATGTCCAAGCTCGCAGCCACCCACCAGCTATAGCAGACATCCTCGAGCTTCTCGGGTCGGCCATTGAGACCACCACTCTCCAGCTGCCGCTCACTGAGCCATGTCCCTAGGCGATCCTTATCGATCAAGTCAAGTCGTCCAACGATAGCCAGAGCAGCGACACACGTCAGGATCTGGCCCGAGTGGGATTCATGACCAGGGCGAACACCATATCCTCCGTCCAGATTTTCGCACTGTTGAATATAGGATATCGCCTTGTCAACCTCAACTTCGTCCAGCTTGCCCAGAAGGGACAGAGCAAGGAGAGCGGTATACACAAAGCGAGTGTCGGTCTCTCCCCATTCGTCCCCTTTGAAGACGCCAGACTCGCGATCTTGCAAGGAGGAAATGACTGCACAAGTTTAGCTAGATGTCAACACTAAATAGCGACGAATTGACGAGGTTTCTATGTGGACGGGCCCGACATACATGACACAACCCTCTGCTTCCCATCGCGACCTGACTTGTCGAGATCATCTACAGCATCGACCATGACGAGCATCTGCACTGCGGATGCTGTATATAACATGTGAGAATCATGACCCGGCGCAGCTCCAAACCCTCCGTCTCCGTTCTGGCAGGAGAGGATAAAATCAACCGTTTCTTGTCTTGGTAGTGCTTCTGGGTGGTTCATCAAATGCAAGGCATGCAGGCCCCAATAGACACCATTCATACGAAGATGCTCAGTATACCAATACTCGAGCTCATCTCTGCGCTAGACAGGAGTCAACTATGGTCTACACGGAATGATGACAACGGCTAGCATGTGAACGCACAGTGTCTAAGCTTTTGATGTAGGCCACATGTTTGTCTGTGCACAACTCGCTCTGACTACTCGAGCCCCCACCACCCCTGCCAGGGCCCGACACTAGCGACATCTTTAGATCGGCAGACCAGTGAAGGGATAGTGTGGCGTGGTTAAGAAGTGAAGTCGATTTGTCTTGGCGAAGATGGAGAATCAAGACATACCAGAGCGCACGCGAAACCGGATCTGGTAAGCGTCTTGGCACAGCTAGTGCCCTGATACCTCACATGTAAGGCAGCCGTCGACGAGGCCAAAGTGGTCATAGCAGCCAACCCTCCAGGACTTCCGATGCGTCACGCTACAGACGTGCTGACGGTGTGGACCCTACGGCTAACTTTTGGTTGAAGAAACAAGCTGTTTGACGAAAAGTATTCTGGCTCGCATTTTATGGTTATGCCTACTCGGAAGGCTATTCTGAACTTTCATCGAAATGGTAGTATCTATCTTTACAAGCCTCTATTCTTACCACCAAACAAACAACCACCCTGGAAGTAAAAAGGACATATGCAAGTTCTAGCCGCGGATATTCTAGCGATGGATAATTTAACAGGCTAGCAATTAACAGTCCAAACATATAAAGAAACAATTCCCTACACAGTTTTTAGGTTTTTTAACTTCAATATTTTAATATACATAAATGTTGAAAATTGTAATATTCGTAGCAAAGACACATCTCAAGTCTCTTACATTATCCTAGCCAATCACTTCTAAGCTACATAACAAGTTTATTCATAGCCTATTTGCTCCCTTCCGGTACTTTTCCTGACCAAGACATCAGTCAACGTCGGTAGCGGTGGCAATCGGTCTAGTAGCATCCAGGTCCCTCTGAAGCTCGCTAATCTTGGACTCAAGTGCAACCACACAATCCTTGCCTAGCAGTAGACGAAGATAATCGTAGCCCTCAACAGTGGCGTTGATGATTGCCTGTGCCGCTTTATCGGGGTCTCCTTTCACCCAGTCCGGAATCGACGTGAGATGCAGCGATCTGGTCATTGTCTGCTCGACTGGGGTGCCCTTGTAGCCGTCACTGAAACCGTTTTCTAACCCAGCAGGTGTCAGGATCCTCCTCGAAAATGGCGTCCGGAAGGCACCCGGTTCCACGATCAAGACCTTGACACCAAGGGGCTTGACCTCATAGGAAAGCGACTCGTGGATTGCCTCAATCGCAAATTTACTAGCGGAATAGGTCGCTTGTCCGGGCCGTGCAATGAATCTGTTCTTTCCGTCAGATCCTGCCTGCAAATCCATACTGGTATGGTCAAGCTAGGAGATACACGTACCCAGAACCGCTACTAATAAGGATGATGTGACCAGAGCCTTTGGCACGCATGACCGGGAGACAGGCCTGGACAGTCCGAAGCGGCCCATAAAAGTTGACTTCCATTTGATCACGGATGTCGGACTCACTGCACAACACATTGATATAAGTGAGTCCCGTTTCACAAAATACCTAGCAGCTGGAATTGGGGCTTACCTGGTATCCTCAACACCACCAATGAATGCATATCCCGCATTGTTGACTAGAACATCCACGTCATGTTCCTGACAGCACTTAGCGAATTTTTCGTAGGCATCCTTCTTCCCAGGGTCGAGCCCCAGCCAGATACCACCTTTGTCTTCAAAATCCGGGCAGGCGGTTTGTGCTTTGCTGACGTCGCGAGTGGTGCCGATGACATTAAAGCCGGCCCCGAGAGCTTTCAGAGCCAGGGACTCGCCCAGGCCGGACGAGGCACCGGTGATCAGCCAAGTGAGGGGTGATCCTGCCATGTTGAACGAGGCAAAGTCAATATTTGTTCTGGAACTAGAATTTTGTGTGGTAAGAGGCGGAGTGGAAGATTGGAAAGGGCAGATATTATGGCAGGCAATAGGTGGTAATAGCGGCGTTAAGAGCGTATCTCCTTCATCCAATCCGACCAGAATCACTTCCACCCTGTGCTCTGTTTCCTTTCTGTTATGGCGGGACGGATACGATGATCCGAAGCATGTAAGCTTAAGGTTCTATTCGCTCACCACTTGGAGATCCATCTTGGTTTTAATTATATCCACTGATATGCAAGTGTCTTTACGAACCTATACATTGTATACAAGTTTTCAACAACCAAAATGAAATCGTAAATCAAAATATACAAGAGTTCACCCAAAGTAATCATTTTCCTCGGAGTGGTTGAAAACTAACAGGACGGTTTGATGCAGATGGACCGCATAGAAATCGCTTTCGTCCCCCCATTTGCTTTGGAGAACGTCAGCCATTGTGTTGGAAACAGTGGCGCTGAGCCTTTCAATGTTCAGCGACAGTCTCTTCTGGACGACATCGATGGAGATCTCCGATTTAAGCAGCGTTCCAAAAGGCTCAAACCATGGCAGATAGCCTATTATATCCTTTGTAGATCATTAGCCCGTGGGCCATGTCCTATACACTGCACTTCTCATCTTGCTTAGCCCACAAACCCAATGCGCAAACTCCGTGAAGCTGAAGCGATGGTCATTCTTGATATAGTCCGCATAGTGCGGTGGAAGGTATGACATGAGTTTACGGTCGGCGACCAAGCAAAAACCGGCCGTCAGCCCTTCCAGTAACGTCGGTTAGTCGTCGCTCTCGATCATGAAAGGGTGGCTTGTCTATTAACCAGTCTCTGCCCATCCAGGAGTAGCTTGTTCGCATTGGCCCAGACTATTCTCCCTTCTTCACATTGATTTAAGGGATACTTGAGGGGTTTCTGGAGTGGACAGTACCAACGCAGACACGGACACGACTAACAAGGTCGAGATCACAAAGGGAACATTCAAAGGCGTATCCCAAACTGAAGCCATGTTGAGTGACTTCAGGAGTATAATATTTTTTGGGGAATGACGGTTGCTCTCTCATTCAACAAAGGTGTGTCTGACAATAATCCCAATAGTGTGATTAGAGGCTCCCAGACAGGCTCGCAGACTCCAAACATTTCCTTCCCTCGGCAATAAGGGGTGTCAAGCGTTCGGAGTTTACGTCGGACTTTGAGAGCGTGGACAGGATTCCTGCTAGTGTCGGTTCAAGGCTGCATCCGCATCCGAATCTGAGATGCGGGCAACCCCAGTTTAGCTTATTGATTGATCCGTTGAAGAGTGGGCAGCCTGATATCCACAGCGTATCACCGCCGTACACTTCTCTTCTCTGCGAATATGACAAAACAGCTTTATCAAGGGTCAAACATTTACACATGGGCTATTTTTGTATATGAACTCCTCTTATTCTTTGAACTACGAAACTAAGAATGAAAATAAGAAATAGCATAAAATCAATTTGATACATCAATTGATGTGGAACTGCTTTTTCTGGCATTATATATGACGAAACGTCTCAGATGTTCTAATCAGGACAACTCAAACATAAATGCATCGTTGAGAACAACTTGTATTTCGAAAGGCCCCTATCAAAGGCTCTTAAGACAAGCAGACCCTTCTTTAGAGAGTCGCAAGTAGAATACGAAGTGATAGTGATACCTGCAGGATATATAAATATTGGCACGCATGATATTGTGGTAATTGCTTGAAATAGAAAATTAATGATTAATTAATAGGACTGATAGCCGTATAGAATGTAGCGTACTAAACCACCCCTTCCATCTGCCTGCTGAATACATATAGCACACATCCAACGTGTTTTGACATCAAACACTATTCACCACCAGCATTGCCAATTTCCTAATTGCCCTTAATCAGGATCTGCTTCTCGGCTTTCAACTGGTCCACAACCTCCACGGGGATCTTGAGAACGGTGGCAACAACATCATGAGGAGTCAGTGCAAGCCACTGAGTGAGAGAAATGTCCTCAACCTTGTCACTCTTGAAGTTTTCAATCCAAATGAGGTCTTCGTTATCCGATGTATTTTCGATGTAATGACCTGTGCATGTTAGCCAGAAGATTACCTTATAGGAGATGAATAACATACCGCTGTTGGTAGGGAAGACAGCAGTATCACCAGCACGGAAGTCAAAGGTGCGCGCTTTCTGGCCTCCAATAAAGACGGTTGCGCGAGCTGTTCCTTGATGGAAGTATACCCATTCTTGAGCCTATACCATTTGTTATTCATAATGCTAGGAGACAAATTTTAGGAGAGCGGACATACGTTAGGATGCCAGTGCAATTCGCGCAGGCCCTTGGGTTCCAGAGTGAAAAATCCAGACGCAATAGTCGTAGCAACAGGGAAGGTGGTAGAGTCAATACGGCGGAATGTACCACCGCCACCAGGGACTTTCTCCAGCGCATGGTCCTTGGCATGATACACAAAGGAACTGTTGCCAATAAGAGCACCGGCAGGGCCAACAATATGAGTATCGTTACTGACAGTGCCATTCAGGATATAGGGGAATGTCGGAGGCACATTATCGAATACGGACGCATCGACACCAAAGTTCTTGGCTAGGATGTCCTTGGGCGTATGGGCAACCCAGTCGTCGATCATGAAAGTTGTTCTTATATAATTAGCAACCAGACGAAACAGAGGAACCAGGTGATAAGGAGATAGATGTGTAGTGAGGTGTCCGCATACCCCTGAGCTTCGAAGTCGCCGTCGTCAAAGACCAACAAGTATTCATTCGAGTCATCCTGACCTTGAACAGTATGCGCGATACCTGGTGGGAAGTACCACACATCGCCTGCTTCAAGTCTGTCAACCTGGTATTGGCCGTTTTGGTCGACAGCGGATAGGAGAAGAGATCCATTGTACAAGAACCCCCATTCAGCCTAAACAGTCAGTATCCTCACGTAGAGAGTAACCGTTATACGAAATCGCTTACAGTCCGGTGCCAGTGGAGCTCTCGAATGGCGCCCTTCTTCAGGTGCTGCTGCGCGCCAGCAATGTCAGTGCTCAACGGGAGATCTGTGATGATCTGTTCACGGCTCCAGCCCCCTGGGAAGATGTTGGTCTTGGAGTCGGAGAAACTCCATTTCAGATTAGGGACATATCCAGCGTCAGTGGACTGGCGACCCAGGTTGTCAGGGTTTTGGAGGTCGAGTTCGTGATTAGTCCCCCCTAGATAGAAGATTAGTCAGGTATATCAACTGGGACAGGTACGTCAAGCAATTTACCGATAATAGGAGCACCCTTTCCGGTCGCATCATTGATCGGTTCCCCATCAGAGAAACCGTCACGTTTCTGGATGCTTGCAGCTGAGGCTAGGCCTAGCAAAGAAAAGGCGAGGAAATGCATCACTGAAATCGGTGGTTGACAACTCAGTAAATGATATGGAAGTAGTGGAAGCCAAGAATGCTCCAAGGCTGGGCAGCCAGGGTGATAAATAGCAATTTTCTGACAAGCTTACATTTCGAATCATCATGGATCGATTTCTTACTTCATGTCACGATATCATTTCGAAATGATGACATCGAAGCTATGGTGAAGCTATTTGCACGAACGGCTCGGCCCATCGCTATAGATTAGAAGTCATCAAACTGTAGTTCAAATGGTGGGACTAATTCAAGCCGGACGAAGTAAAAGGACGATCGGCCGCGGCATCCCTAAATTGCGATATACAAGAATGAGCATTGGAGTTGTTTAGAGACATCGATGTTAGGGTCATAGCATACTTCGTGGTGGTTAGCGCGCCTCCAGCTGAATAATTGGAATGTGTCTGATGCTTGAGCCCTGGGGTTGTCCAACAGTCGTTGTTGGTGATGAGTGATGTTGAAGTAAGATGTCGCCATTACTTGGCAGCACGCATGCCAAGACCATTCCGCCCATGTAGACCGCCGCTCTGTTCTTCTGCTTCTTCCTACTTAGATGAATGCGGCATTGATGATACAATAATATCACGGGAAATAATTGACTAATTCTACGAGTGTGCGGGCCTGTGCGGAGCACAATCAACGAACCGCAGTGTTGGAGTACATGCATGTTATACTACACCAACAAAATATCCCAGGTAACCAATGGCTAGCTGTCAGGTATTAACTCTAGCAAAGTGAATCCCATCCAGATAGAATGGTCTAGTAGGAAATATGTGAATAAATTGGTGGCGTAAATGCTATCTCAATTCGGAAATAAGTAAGGATATTCCTCGCACTAGTCAGCTCTGCACTCTTAATGCTAGCCCTTTCAGATGAGGCTTTAAAAAAGATTTCTTGATCTGGCCTTGCAATTTATTCATAATTTATGCCAAGAATCACGTTTAGCGGCTCATGCTTTTCCATGCCGATTAGTCTCGATGACATATAGGGAGGATAGTACATGCGGGGACGATGTCGATACCCGGTTTAACTTACGCTAATATGTTCACTTGAAATAAAGAAGCTTTTGGTTAATACGAACCTTCTCGTCATCCCACAGCTCCTAAAGCGGGTTACGATTACGATCCTAATATTAGCATTAGCAAGTCCCGTCAAAAGCAAGAGTATATATATGTAAGCGAATATTGCATGATTAATGAGGATCTTTGGTGTTATTACAATATTTAGGCTGATTCACATAATACATATTTTATTGTAAGCAAATTAATACATTATGCCTCTTTTTTTGCTGGCACTGATCCAAACGAGGTTCCACCTATCCTCGTCAGGGGTAGAGTTCTATGGATGACTTATTCAGGTCCATGATTATTTCCCCCACACGCCATCCCCTTCCAATGCATATCCACTTTTATACAAGCACCTGCAAGTCGTTTCTTTTTCTGTCCTCCAAATTTCTCCGCGTCACGAGGCTCAGTGATTGATTTCCATAGTCACTTCCGAACATAGCTGAGATGTTATTTCATCTAGAAAGGAAACACTACTTTCCTAAAAGGGACATCCCGCGCTGACAGGAACAGGTTTTCTCCGCATATAAGCTTTGGTAGCAATGCATGACGTGAGAAATCTTCGTATCACGTTTGGGACAAGCTATATGAGTAATAGACCAGAGTCTGGAGCCAGGATTTGGATAAACATAAAGTTTAATGGTGCCTACGCTACTAGGATCTGTATTTAGTATCGTTTTTGGTAATAATAGCGGGTAGAGCAAAGAGGGCTAGTTCGTGACTTAATAGATGCAATTTCCATTTTTGATGAAAACCAACTGGTTACATTTTGGGCAGAAGTGACTGTGATCGTCTCGATGTCGCCGTGTTTTTCTAGCAGATCCCGAGATCATTGCAAAACTCTTACAGCAGGGCTTTAAGCGTCCACCAGATGGATCAAAGCACGACTGTAGCTTCAATTCCAACGCACGGGTACAGCTAATGACGCCAAAAGAATAGCCAAGCCAGCCAAGTCCAAATATCACATCCTCTCGAGCTATAAGATCTGCAACTGTGCGGTGGCGATTAGGGACTAGGGACAGCGTTCAAGAGCCACACTTCAACAAGGCTGGCTAGTGTTGCCCGTCTTGTCATCGCTCCAATCATCATCAAGAGAGCAAATGAGGATAGTCAAAAGAAGCTTTTATCCGGTTACCGCGGATGCATTTTAAATTATTTCTCTTGGAAGCTCATGCATGAACTCTAGGAAAACAATAGCGTATGCAGCTTGGATCGAACGTCCAAATATTGAGTGATATCGGTGTGTATTGAAAGTTAGTGCCCTTACTAGGAATTGTGATGCTGGATGATATCTCGGAAAGTTTTCAGCTACAAGCTGAGCAGGCTCCCTGAATGGCATCATTTCTTTTCGTCTTCATTCGTTCCCATCATGAATCCATATAATCTCATAGCTTCAAAGGAAAGGATCAGGGTGAATTTCATCATGGAAACAATTAATTGCGTATGAAATATTGATTTTACACATTTCCAGCTATATTGAGATGTTTAAGTTGATTCGAAAACAAGTGTGAATGGCAACAGGTATATATAATATAAATAATCTGCTCAAACTTTCTCCTTTTCTCTCCACCAGATCATTGTTATTTGTTCCACTTGCTTCGAACAGTAATTGATTGCAAGCCAATAATAATCATGCGTTATTCTATCGTTTTCCTCACGGGACTTGCTCCGCTGCTTCAAGCAAAGCCACTGGATATCAGTCTCCCACCCTTAATCCCCAAGATCCCCGGTGTGACCGAGGCATTGCCTGGTCTTGTCCCGCCTTTGCCCATTCTACAAGTTCCAACTCCACCTTTGGACAGTCCTCCATTCACTGCCAGCGATATCAAGCCTAAAAAGATTGGATACTACTGGACTGGAGCCGGGGACAAGGCACATGCAGGTTAGTTTCCTCTCACGGTCTTTCAGGACCAATGGGCTAATAAACGGATGTATACAGACTTCTTAGCAACATTCAGTCTTGACGACGTATGTGTTTATTTTCAACTTCATATTCCAGGTTGCCTAATAGATTCAGGACACTTACGGTACTCTACTCTGGATCACTGATGTGCCAACCAGCGGCAACGACCCTCACCATCTGACTCCTTCTCTCGACGGCAAAACAATTGTTGGCGGTGGCTTGCTTTCTCTGCTGAAGACCCAGGTTGGTATTCAACTATACATCTGAAGCCTTTTCTAACTAGTTACTAGGATACCGCATACTATTTTGACACTTCGGACCCCTACCGTCCCACTTTTAAGAAGAGCAACCGGGCCATTCTATCCTCCATTACCGATGAGATTCGTGCCAAGCCTGATGGTGGTTTCTACATCACTTACATGGGCTGTAAGAATTTCCTTCCCCACCTTGGATCATGCCTAATATGGTGTTTCTTTTTAGCTGCTCTCGGAACTAGTCCTGGCCGTCTGATAGAAACCGATGCCGATTTCAACATCATCCACGAATGGCCTGAGGATGTCGAGGGCACCCTCAACATTCTCGGCGAGCAGTTCTCTCCCCACGGATTGACTGTCGACTTTGACAAGCAGATTGCTATTACTTCTGACTTTGTCGTTCCACTCAGTATTCTCAAGCCCAGTCTCGGAGTGCAGCATGCAAACACATTAAGGTTGTGGGACCTGAAGACTCACACCATTCTCAACACAATCACCATCCCTGATGTACGTTCCTTATCTGCCACATGGCTCTGCCTACAATCTAACAAATCTTTAGGGAGGAGGTATCCAGGATGTAAAATTCATTCCCAACAACCCGGAAAATGCCGCCATTGCCACAGCTGTGCATCTTGGGCAGGTCTGGATTCTCTATCCTTTCCGCAAGGACGCAAATGGCAAGCAAGGAACTGCAGAATTGCTCTATGATCTTGGTGAAAAGGCTCGCGATACCGTCGCCATCTAGTATGTTGTCTCCTCGCAGATCAATTTTCCTAGCCCCCATCGAAGTTTGATAACTAACTACTTTGATCAGCTCTGACCTCACGCAAGATGGCAACTTTGCCTACTTCACCCTCACCACCGCCAATCACATTGCTGCTCTTGACATCTCCGATTTGAACAACATCAAACGCCTCGATGACCCAGATGAGGACCAGGACACCGTTGGTCCGCACTACATCAAGGTCACGCCCGACCAGAAACATATTTCCGTGACCGACTACTTTGTGCAGACTGGTGAAATTGGTATCATCAATACCCCTGCGGACTTTAGAGCTCTTTACATTGATATCAACGATGATGGCAGTCTGCATTTCAATCGTTCTATTGATTTCAGCAAGGAGTTTGAGAACCGCGGAGGTGCAAAGCCCCATTCGTCGGTTATTTACGACTTGACTGATCCCGAGAATCCTAAGTACTACTAATTTATCTAATAATATGGATGAGAAGAGAAGGGAGACTGTGTGGTAGAGCACAGAAATGTTGTTGGGGATACCGTTTCGGGGAAGCCAGGCATGATACCTGATTTATTGCTATGTCCCATTACTTTCGTTCGATTAGTCTACTTTACAGTAGTATTTCAATATATTCAATTTGGTCTATAATAATTGATATTAGTTTTACATAAGTCATCGGAACATTAATGACAAGCCGAGACGGCTGCTAGTAATAATGTTGGATGCTCACCCTTTCTCTCATTTTTTTGTTGATGTCGATTCTTTTAGAAGAAATATATGAGAAAATTTATGCTTGTTCAACAGTGGATTCATGTATAAGTTGGACGGAGCGCGTGTTGATGCCCATATCCTTATCAAAGGCTGTTAAGACACGGGTCCAGAAATTAGGGTTAGGGTTGGATTGGCGAAATAAACGGCCAAATTGTTAGGGGTGTTATACCCTAACAGAGCAGATCACTTTCAGCTAAGCACTTTCATCTCCCTTCTTAATTATATTTTTTTTATTTCAAACTGTGTTTAATTCAGTTCGAAAATAAACCCCAATAGCAAACGGACTTTCTTCCAGAGGTGCTTTATCGTGATTTTTATATGGATGTATTTTTATAAGGATGTGATAATCTCTAGAACTTGGGGTTAAGCCGGGCAGTAGTCATGTCAGCTTCAATTGAAAGGTTTGACTGTTTGAGGGGTTTATGACAAAGCGACTCATGATCGTTTCATTAATCTGATCCTGAACGAGATCCGGGACAAAATTAAGCCTCGCACCAGCAGGTCTAGCCTAACGTTTCGGCTATATTAGTATTCCTTCTCGGTATTCTCGATTGATAGCTTCTTAGAGTCTACGATACTACCCCGAATATATATATTTGAGGCGTTTTAATTGTTATTCCCATTGATTGTTCATACTGTTCAATTTCACATTAAATCTAGCCCTAGCCCTAACCCTAACTTGGATCAAAGGGAGTGTACGTACCATCGAGCAATAGCTAAGTGTAACTCCGAAAACTTGCATCAACTATTTGACAACAGCCATGAGAAACCCGTCGTGCTGCTTGGCACCGATTGTCTGCATAACCACTGCCTCCACCCTACCATCTTGTCCCACCTTCTCTACCAACGGAGTAACAGTTTCGTTTCTCTTCTCCGGCCCCACGATGCCACTTTCCAGGATCTCTTTCACCACATTATCCACATAGATGACACTTCCTTTTCCTTTCGAAAGACCAACCGCCAAATCGAAATACCGCCACTGATTCTCCCAATCTGCATCGATGAAGACAAAATCAAACTTCGGCCTTGTTCCGGCGCTGATCTCCTCTGCGAGCTTTGGCAGGACGTCCAGTGCAGCTCCAAGCAGAATTTCTGCTTCTGTAGGCACATTTATGCCTGCTACCTGCAGATTCTGAAGCGCGACCTCTCGCCGACTGCTGTCGATTTCAATACTCGTCAGTTTTCCGCCGCGGGCTTTGGTTGTCTGCGCAAACCAGATGCTGGAGTAACCGCCTAGAGTTCCTATTTCCAGAACATTCTGTGCTCCGCTTAAGCTAGTCAACAGAGAGAGGAATTTCCCCTGCACTGTGGAGACGGCTATGGTCGGTATGCCATGTTTGAGGCTGTTCTCACGGGCGTGGATGAGACCTGGTTGTTGCTGGACGAGATGGGTCTCGACGTAGGATTCTATTTCGATAGAGTGGGCGGCTGTTCTAATAGGCATTTTGAACGGTTTTGGTGTTTGTTTTTTTTTTTTTTGGTCGCGCGTATACCTTTTGAAGAGAAAAGCCCTAGCCCTGTAACGTACTTGGGATATGGCAAATGTATACTAGACACTTTTGAATAGACTTGAGATAATTATATTGCTTGTATGAAAACAATAATAAATTAAATTAAAAAATAGGAGGTTTTGCTTGTCTTTATAATGATGCTATGGGCATCAATTGTCAAGGCAGTCGTCATACTAAGTCCGAGCTCGGTTATAACTCGCGGGACGCTGACTTGCAAAATCCGAGCCAGTATCCTTCTCCACGACGGTCGGATTTAATGTACAATACTAGCATGCGTTGTCAGATTCGCTCTGAGCAGTCAGATTAGGGTTTTTTGGTATTAAATCCGATGCTAATATTTGGAGGTAATTACGTGTTGCCTTGAACTAGACATAGATAAATGGCATCCTTTACGACACAGAAATGGGGCTTCCACCACGTATTCCACGAGCCGTCTTGTCACTGCTGTCATGGGTGACGCACGATTAAAAAATCTCTTATATCCCGTTCCTCAGAAGTAAAACCCGAGTCCTCATTCTCTGAAACAGATGACTCAATATCCATTGTCGGACTGGGGCTAGGATCGAATATCTTCAGCCACTCATCCCTTGTCAACACCGGCTCGTTATATTCCACCCGTAATCCGTGTGGCCAAATTTCGGCATGCACCTTATCCATGCGATCCCACGGATACCCATGCTCTTTGCGCAACCACCAGGTCAGCGGAGTAAATGTAATTCCGATTTTCCGTAGTTTCGCCTTCCTGGCTATTGCAGCTCTCGCGAGCCCCCTTATCCAATTTTCTTCTGGGTCTCCGAAATCCTCAAAGTTCTCGCTGTGCTGATCGTGTACCGAAAAGTCCAGCCCAAATGTGTGGAGGTTGGGGCCCAGTAACAAATCAGCGTCCGCTTCAGAAAATGTCATTTCTCTTCCTGACTGCAATTCCAGCCCTAAAAACTGCCATCTTGAAAGTGATAGGACCTCTAAATTAGGAAAGTCTGCTGCGTTAAAAAGGTCGCTTCTGCCCATGGGAGATAGAGATCCGATATGGATCGAGCGAAGCGTATCTCTATGAATAGAGAGCCATGTACTGAACATCGGAAGGTCCATGGTAAAGCGATTGTTATAGAGGCTCTGAAGATGGAAATTAACCAACGACTTTGGCCACCGAAGGAGTTGCTCGGTTGCTTCGGGGCTCTCTTCGTAATCGGAAATGGTGAGTGAGGTGAACGTGGCAGTCCGGTGCTTCTGGTGAATGAATTAACTGTCAGATGTGTTAAATAAAGATGTATTATCTACATGTACACGTGGTATAATATGCAGTACCTTTGGATCTAGAACGCATTCTCTACCGTAAATCGGCTGATAAACTCCAGAGAGGTGTAAGCTTTCCAGCGACGCGAAGTCAACATGGTCCCAAATGTCCGGTAAATACAGGCCGCCACGTAAGCGACTGAGGGCGAGAGAGCGAACATTAGGTATGTTCTGGAAGGCTAGTCGAATCATAGCCCAGGTTTCTTGGGGATTGCGGTCGAATCCACCACTGAATGCCAATGACTGCAGTTTGGGAAGCTGTGAGATAATATCCTCTAGTATAGAGAAATGTCCACTAGGCAGAGGCCAAATATCGGCTATTCTGATATTGAGTTTCTGGCAATGGTCTCGGAAAAATACATGTGTACATGTATTTCTTTGTAGGGCAGCGTGAAGCCTTCTCAGTGATTTGGTACCTGGATCCAGTTGGATCGTGATGGTACGATAGATTAGAGGTAATGCGAACCAGCTGAACCGGTGGCATACCATGACTAGTTTCTTCAATGTATCAACATCCTGCTGAACAGCAAAATTGAGGATATGCTCGAGAATTTCGTAAGGGAGCTGCAAGATGTATCCCTTTTCAGGCACCGGTTTATCAGGGTCGACCAGGATGAGCTCCTCGTCCTGGGAGGATCCGAGATAGGTCTGGCGGACGGATCGAAACTTGACTACATTGCTGAGAAACATAGTAGAGTATCAATTCATAAAATGAGATGCCATCAAGATCCATGACGGGAAGCTCGGCACGTGTCCAGAACAAGTACCAGCTAGGACATATATGTGTGTGTGTGTGTGTGTGTGTGTGTGTGTGTGTTGTGACTCTGTATACAGGAAAGGTACTAGATAGCAGCGATAGAATAACAACAGATTTGTGCCTGGGAGCCGGAATCCGCATAACAGCCGACTAACTAGTATTAGTCTAGTGCTGGCTCGGTAAAAGACAGGCTAGCACGCTTCAGGACTAGCGCCGACGCCACCTGGTTCCATGTTTCAGAGCGGGTGGGGGCATTCCTATATACGGCGTAATTATTGAATAATGATATTATTATATACATTATTATATTCTCTATTGTTCAACTATTATTATTGCTACGATATGATTTTATTATTTTATTTACTGCACAGTAACATCCAGTTATTCTCTGATACTTGGATATAAACATATGTGCAACTCAGAACCACAAGGTTCCAGTGGACCCTGGCAACAATGAGTACCCCTTGGCCCGTGCGGCTATAGTTTTTATCATCCATTGGGATATATTATTATACTATTATACTATTATACTATTATATCATTATTCTTTATTATGCCGGTTGTAAGATGTCGGTATAATTATCTGCTCCAATGTTCTTCAAATGTTGTGTTGTCTCAGCAGGCCGACGAGGCGTGTAGACGCTCCCTCTCAATTCTCGCAGTAGTAAATATGCATGGGCTTCTGCTTTCTTGATCTGTCGGGTCCTGCTAACCCCAAGATAGCGTAAAAACAACATCACATAATATAATATAGTACAATATAATATACTCCGTACATGCAATAGACAGAATAATATCGTAGATATATGTAGAATAATAGCGTGGCCTGGATGACCCAGTCGGTTTCAGGATGCCTTGGGTGGATCTCGGCGCCCCTCCCCCTGGATCCCCACGCAGCCCTCGCCAGCAGTGATAACCATTATTATTCTAGTATTATCACGGCGTATGCTGGTTTTAACCCGTTATTGCTGAAGAGAGAATTCGCATCGTCGAGTTGCCTACTCTCCCTTATTAATATTAAGTTTATCATAGACGCTGAGCTGCGACAGAGCCGCCGAGCCAGGCACCGAACTAAAGCTTGCGATCCATGGCGGCTGGTGGAGGCATAGGCTCAATTCGTGTCAAGTAGAAAAAATAATTGTGTATCCTACGTGTAGATAGACCGGCGGCCGGCGATGGTCTGAGTTTCTCTGTGTCTTACTGCCGCTGCCGCCCTCCTTTCCACCACCGCCCACTCATCTCTCATCTCGCGCCTGCTACTCTCTACTCTCTCCTCTCTGCTCACTGCTGCTGGGCGACTGTCCACTCCTCTCGGACGACATTTTTAGCATTAGCACATCACTAGACGGCCACTTATATGCTAATACTACCGCACTACTGCTGCTGCATCGCACCGTGCCATTCTTAGCTCGACAGTGCCGTGCCTGCATTACGCTACCCCCGACACAGGAATGCTTTGTCCGTGCGAGCCTTGAGTCTGACCTGCCAAAACACGCCCTGCACAGCATTCTCTTCTCTCTTTGGATTTTCTTGTCTGTCGTCTCCCTGAAGAAAGACGGCAGTCAGTCTCATCAGTTGGGACATTGTCACAATTACCACCGCACCGCCATTACTGCTTCTCTGTCGCTTCAACGCCGATCCGCTCGCACACGCTCCCTCTCGAGGTAAACAGCAACCTGCTGTCCGACCATCCAAACCGCTTTGGCGCCATCGCTGGTGACTCAACAATTTTCATCAGTAGCCTCCGCATATTTGGAAAGGAGACTGCGACAAACGTACACTGGTGGCGGGGGGATAGACCATGACGGGGTTGACTTGGTATGCTTGATTTAGTAAATACTCTCATGATTCTTTCTACCTGCTGCGACTGCTTCTGCGCTTTGTCAATCCTTGTCCCTGCAAATTGTGGGCCACTATTCATAACGCAGAACCACCAGACGATATCTTTGATGTCGTTGTCAAATTTCACTGCTTGTTTCAGGAACATCAGACACCATCATGATCTCTTTGACTGACTCCTGCAGCTCTTATTTCACAGATCCGACTCTTCGTTATTAAGCGCCGCAAGTTAACGTCGGCGACCGCCATTGTTAACCCTTTGATTGCCTACAATTGTCCGTCTGGTAACAATCGTATTGGCGTTGCGGATTATTCTGGAATACAACTGCCGTTTTGATCTTCCAAAATGCCGTCCAAACAGAACCCCGTGCCAAATTTGGATCTCTCTGCGACCAAGATGAACAAGGATCTGCGGAATCCTGGGTCTCAGAGTGCCGATGCCTTAAAGCCCGATTCATCGCTCAGTCCTCTCACTCCCCGCTCCCCGAAATCGTCTCCTTCGTCACCTCTCTCAATAGCCAAGGGCTCGACGATTCGCCCTGTTTCCAGACGCTCCCAAACAGAGGCTTCCATGACCGCCCCTCTGTCGCCTGGCCAGACCCCAGAGCCCCCTACTCCGGGATTGACTGCTATGCCCCAGTATCCGTCATCACCTAGGGATACTAGGCACAGTCGAGACCCATCTCGATCCTTCTTTTCCAACCTAAAGGCCTCACGGTCCTCCCACAAAATCAGCAATTCTGACAGCTCAGGGCTGTCGGCCGACCAGCCGTCGAAAAGTCGCGCGAGTTCTCGTGATCGATCGCGTCCGATGGCGCGAAAGAACGGATCGACGCCAGATCTGCTGGAGTCCGCTAGTCGAACAGGAAAAGAGGATACCTCCGATGATCAGGGCGGGCCCCTGGGAGAAGACGCAAAAATTGGAGCTGAGTCTATGCAGGGTCCAACCTTGAAGAAGAGCAAGCCGAGATTTGCGAACTTATTGTCTCGCACGCGGTCGGTCCGAGTAGATGATAATTCTGCTCCCAGAAGCGCGGGTCCTCGTCGGCCATCCAATGCAACTCTTCTGAGAGTCACTGAAAGTAAAGAAGAGATCCCCCAGTCTCTCAAATCAGCTCCTTTGCGTCAGGATAGAAGCTTCACAGACATAGCCGACTCAACATCTCGAAGTCGCGCGGTCGATCGTCCAACGGAAAATCGCCCACAAACCAGCCGCCGCGACCGGAACCAGGCGTCCATGGTCACCTCCGCGTCGTTCAGTCAAGTCTCCGGTGCATCCGCCGCTCTCTTCAACAACATTAAACATAGCTCAAGTGGAGCCGCCGACAGACTGGGCAAAGCGAGCAAAGGTTTCCTCGGGAAGATTACCAGGAGCGGAAGCACCAATGAGCGGGATGTCGGCTTGGACGACAATTATGTTTGCTCTGTCATTAACCTTCCCCTGATCGAGCAAACCCGGAAAACACGAATCTCGAAACGATTGGAAGACTGCAGGGACAAGACAGAATTTTGGATGCCTGCTCTTCCCTATCGCTGCATCGACTACCTAAACTACAAGGGATGTGAAGAAGAGGGTCTTTATCGGGTGCCCGGCAGTGGCAGAGAAGTCAAGTACTGGCAACGCAGATTTGATTCGGAGGGGGACATTAACTTGTTCGACGAGCCGGAGTTGTATGATATCAACACTATCGGCTCCATGTTCAAAGCCTGGCTGCGAGAACTACCTGACGAAATATTCCCGAAGAAGACGCAACAGATGATCGCAGACAAATGCGAAGGTGCCACCACTGCTCCGCAGCTATTGAAGGACGAGCTGTCAAAGCTTCCTCCTTACAATTATTACCTACTATTCGCGATCACTTGCCATTTGAATCTTCTACACTCATATGTGGACCAGAATAAAATGGACTACCGGAATTTATGCATCTGCTTTCAGCCGTCCATGAAAATTGATGGGTTCTGCTTCCAATTCCTTGTTTGTGACTGGAAGAACTGCTGGCAGGGATGCTGGACAGAGAAGGAATGGGCCAAAATCGAAAAGGAGGAGCTCGAAAAGGCACAGCAAAACAGTGCTCAGGAAGCAAAACAGGACCATACCCGCAACGGCACCAAATTCAGTCAACGTGAAGCCCAATTCACTACTTCCGACGAGCGTGCGATTTCGTCTTCTGGAAGCAGTCAGGCTGGTCAATCGGATGAAACCCCAGCTTCTTCTTCTCATCAAAAAACCCCTCCTCGCAAACACCGTCCCGCAAACCTCGAGAGCACTCCTTCTCGACACGAGCGCAGCATCTCGCAGTTACCCGAGTTGGGACCTCCCTTGTCACCGATCAAGATCTAAACAGTTTGTCCCGCATATATATGCCTAAGCCAGCGACGATTTTGATATCTATTTTTTGCCATACTTCGTGTGCATAGCTTTTTTTACACTTTTTTTATCTTTGTGTTTGTTTCTATGCTAGTCTTGGAGCGTCCTCCATTCATGCATTAGAAATCTTGATTCAGTCCTTCCCACCCATGCTTCCGAGACGATCCCTCTTCCCATGTCTCTATCCATCCTGTTGATTTACTACTCCGCATCAGTATTGGCGTCTAGCGATCTCCCCGTCATCTCCTCTTATCCCCGGAGCATTCCCTGGCCATCAATTGACAGATATATCAATTGACTTTGCGAGCTATTCCATATGTCATGTTTTTTGCAATCATTTCCACATTTCCTTTCGTAAACCTTACTCGATTTATTCTGTTACTCATTTCCAACGGCGCTAGATTAATGGGATTTGATTTGCAGGGGGGTATATGGGTTCCTTGTTGTTGCTTTTTTTTTCCCATCATTCTGCTTTTATTATAGCAAATCAATATCGAAAGTTCTTGTCAGAGTCATTGATATACCATACCTTCTTGAATTGCGAAACACTCTTCTCAATACAACTTAAAGTAAACTGAAAAATAAAAAAAGAAGAAATTTTTGGGTTGATTCATTGACATTGCGTTCCTTGACAATGTCTAGTACATGTAGTTCATCCAATATTGCATTTCCTACCAAGAACAAAACTATACCAAATGGAAAAAGGTTTGAAGCGTAATCGTTGATTCAACTACATATGCAGAAACTAAAGAAATGCTAATATACCCAAAGATCATGTTCTCCAGATAACATCAATATTGCTACCATAGATACCATTCATGACAAAAAAGTAAAAGAACAACCATTTTCAATTCTTCCAAGTTATAAAAATCTTACAGTTTTGCCTTTGCTCCCTCGAGCAATTCAACACCGGCACCAGAGATGGCAGGCTTGCCAGTCTCGACGACGGTGGCTTGGAAGATAACCGTATTTCCTTCCTTCCACAGCTCCGTGCGGAGAGTCTGGCCGGGAAGAACCACGCCAGCAAAGCGGGCCTTGAGGCTCTTGAACGCGCCGTATTTCTGGAACACGTGCTTGCCGGTGATACCAAGCGAGCAGAGACCGTGCAGAATTGGGGTTTTGAAACCGCCGACTTTGCTGAAGTCGGGGTCGATGTGGAGGGGGTTGCGGTCACCGTTCAGGCGGTACAGTGCCGCCTGGTCCTCGGATGTCTTCTCCTCAATGACGACGTCGGCGGCACGCTTGGGAGGTTTGTAGGCCGCGACGGCGGCCTTAGGGCGCTGAGCAGTTGGCTTCGAGGAGCCACCGAAGCCACCGCTGCCTCGGATGAAGACGGTGGATTCGTTGTAGAACAGATCCTCGCCGGTTCGGGCGTCCTTGGTAGTGACGCCGGATACCACAATGGCCGCATTGCCCTTATCGATCACGTCGACCAATTTGGGGACGTTAATGGTCTTGGTCGCAGTAGGGATCGGGAACTTGCGGATCTCAAGGTATTGTTCGCCATGAAGCAACATCATGGGTGAGAAGTTCGCAACAATTTCATCCAGGCTGTACGGAGTTTGCGTGTCAAATCCTGGGATGACACCGAAGGTCGGGAGGGGCTGGAAGCTCTCGCTGTTCTCGTAGACCAATGGCAGATCTGTGCGCTTGGCACCCAAGCTGATGTTGTACAGAATGACGTCCCGGTCGTTGTATTCAAAAGGAGTACCCTCGACAGCAGTCAGGTTCTTCGCCTTCTCAATGTTGGCCAAGATACCCTGTTCGTCACTAGATGCAGCCTGGTCACCCGATCGGTTGTTTATGTTGGCCAAGATACGTTCAGTGCCAGCTTGAGAATCCTCAGGGTGGTCAGCGCGGCCGTCATCAAAGTCAACGATACGCTTCAACTGGGCAGCAACTGCCTCGGGAGTCAGCTTGACGTCCACAGGGAAGCCGTGGCCACCGCTGCGCTGCCACCTGGTGCTGGCAAACCAGCCGCTACCGACTTCGTACAGACCCTTGGTGCCAGATCCGGGGACGGCATCAGAGGAAAGGGCAACAACGAGTGGAGCAACGTAATCGGGCTTGAAGGCCTGGACCATCTCTTCGGGCATGATAGTACGGGTCATGTTAGTACCAGCGTTAGGGGCGATAGTGTTGACTTTGATGTTGTACTTGGCACCTTCAAGAGCCAAGGCACGGGAGAAACCAAGAATACCAAGTTTAGCAGCAGCATAGTTGGCTTGCCCAAAGTTGCCGTAGATACCGCTAGTACTTGTTGTGTTGACAACACGACCGTACTTCTGCTTCAAGAAGTAGGGCCAGGCAGCCTTGGTCACCTTATAGGTGCCTCGAAGGTGGACGTTCACCACTTGGTTCCAGAGGTTGTCGTCCATGTTGGTGAAAGCCTTGTCGCGCAAGATACCCGCATTGTTGATAACAATATCAATACGTCCGAAAGCATCAATGGCAGCCTTGACAACGGCATCACCGTCTTCAGCCGAGGCCTTGTTGCCAACAGCCTTGCCACCAGCCTTGATGATTTCCTGAACGACAGGCTCTGGGTCGGCCAAATCGTTAACAACGACGGATGCACCGAGTTTTGCAAAGAGAAGGGAGTATGCACGTCCAAGACTGGAGGAAATTTAGCAAGAGTTTTTATTTCACATGGTCAAGGTCATCTTACCCAGCACCACCTCCGGTGACCAAAGCTACACGGCCCTTGAAATCAAGATCAGGAGCAGAAGGGTTTGCGGAAAGGCCTTGAGCTTCTTCTAGAAGACTCATGAAATCGGCAGGGCCAGATGGATAGCTAGGCTTTGAGAAGTCATTGACATCGTCCCACTTGGCCAAAATGGATTGTGGGGTCAAAGAAGAATCGGTTTTGAGAAGAGCGCCCTTGGCCCGTTCCCATCGCAACTTGGCGACGTGACCACCGCCAACCTCAAAAATACCGCCGGATTCTGATGTGTTTGATGAATGCACGAGAACGGCAACAAGAGGAACGACCCATTCGGGCTTCAATTGCTCGAGAACCTCTGGGGGCATGACAGTTGCGGTCATTCGGCTGGCGGCTATCTACTTGTTAGAGATTGATCTTATCATTATTTCTTATTGTAGCTTACCAATAGGAGCGATGACGTTGGCGATGATGTTATATTTCGCACCCTCCTTGGCAAGGGTCTCGGTGAAACCAACCTGACTCAACTTGGCAGCTATTCAACGTCAGAATCATGGCTCATTTACGCTGTAGTAGAGCGATATCGTACCTGAGTAGTTGGTCTGACCAAAGCTACCGAACAATCCTGCAGCGGAAGCAGTGTTGATAACACGGCCGTACTTTTGTTTGCGGAAATGAGGCCATGCTGCGCGAGCACACTACATCGAGTGTAAATAGATTGCTGGGAAGCGACACGGATATTCAGACTCACCTTATAAGCACCATAGATGTGAACTCTGTTGATTAAATCCCAATCCTGGTCTTTCATGTTCTTGAAGGAGATGTCACGCAGGATACCCGCATTGTTGATGAGAACATCGATACGACCGAAGTTCTTGATTGCCGTGTCGATAATGGCCTCGCCATTCTCGACACTGTCGTAGTTTGCGACGGCTTTTCCGCCGGCCTTGCGAATCTCGTCGACGACAACATCGGCAGCCTATAAACCGACATTAGCGACTCTTTCTCTCGTCCTGGCGAAACCATCCGACTCACTTTACTCGAGTGGCCTTCGCCTTTGTGGGATCCACCGAGATCGTTCACGACGACGTTGGCGCCCCTCGAGCCGAAGAACAAGGCATATTCCCTTCCCAGGCCACCACCGGCACCAGTGACCACGACGGTCTGGTTGTCAAAGCGCAGCTCGGACATGTTGTCTCTGTGGTCCCCGCTCAAGCAACAAAATCGAAGGGGTGATTCAGATCGTGGAGATGGATAGCAGGAGTAGAAGAGCACGGGGTATTCAGGGTAATAAAGGAATCCGGAGAAAGAAATGAAACGAATAGAAGCAAAAGAACCAGCGGGATGCTGGCACGGAAGTTGCTACAGTCGAGCTCGGCTGATCTGGACCTCGGCTCGCGCTGGTGGGGAGCTCGGCGAATGGGAGCGTCCCCCACTGCCGGAAGCACCGCCTGTTGCCCCGGCTCTCACATGCCGTTGCTACGTCATGCACTACTACTGCTGTCGCAGCAGCTCTTCGCGACTCTTCATGTGATGCTCTATATTCTTATTAATATTAATTAAACATTAACGTTGTAATTAGACTTGTGCTGCTGCTTATTGAATATATCAATCTAACTATCTAGTATACCATTTATAAAGCTGTTCATGAATACTCGGCTTCCCACGTGACTTACTTTGCCGACTGTGAGACTCGATGTCACATGACTAATTAGACTTGCAGAATGGTCTATAGTAAGTTAATGAGAGATCAGGATGACAAAATAAAGGATTATGTAAGTGACTTGCATGTCAGCGCATAACTTAAGGCGATGCTGGGGCATTATCCCGTTATGTGCATAACTAGTAGGATTTTGGTCATGTGGTTGGATGTGCCCTAGCTGCCATCTTTACAGATTGACAATAACATCGTACATATATTCCTAGAACTGTCAATTGATAATAAGTCAACCAAAGACGTCTCCGTCGCAGATGAGATTCTATGGTGCCGCAAATTCCATGTGAAGTTAAAAAAATGCTTGAAATGTTCAATGTTATGCTAGTTACCGACAGGGAGATATATATTTCATTTAGCTCCGCATCAATGCATCAATTGATCAATTGATGAACTAGTACCTGCAACATTGAACATAATCAATTGACTAAATCTTACGATAAACCCATCAAGTTCAATTGAAAACGACGTATATCCAGCTAGTAGCTATTTTACTCTAGGCTTACAACTTAATATCAATTGAGTACTCCGCTTCTCCGCACAGGCAGAAATATCACCCGCGGGGCAGCATCGGCGTCATCAATTGATCAATGTATCGGCCGATACTTCGACTGTTGCTACTTTTAATATCAACACCCTCTACCATGATACTGTTTAATTAAAAGACCCAATTGAGCCTTTCCAGAAAATCGCAACATGCCAGAAGTAATTGACGACAAATCGCAGCATTGCATTCCCTTTCTTCTCAACCGCCTCAAAGCCCACCAGGCTCGCTACGCAAGCGATCCCGACGCGCCACCATTCTTCCTCGGGTTGAATGGCGTGCAAGGCGCCGGCAAGACTGTCCTGGTAATTTAGAATCCCATTACATACTAATCAATGCTGTTTTTAGGTGCAAAGCTGACTTCGCGGGTGCAGGTCTCGGAACTACAGAAAGCCCTGCGCTCGCCGCAATATTCTCTCTCCACAGTCATCTTCTCTTTGGACGATATTTATCTCACTCATGCAGATCAACTTGCGCTTGCCAAATCCCACCCAAACAATCCATTACTCCAGCACCGAGGCCAGCCCTCAACCCATGACCTGCGGCTCGGAAAGCGCGTCTTCGAATCGCTGCGTGCCAACAGGCCAACTGCAATCCCGCAGTACGACAAATCCGCGTTTGCGGGTCAAGGCGACCGAGTTCCAGAAGCACAATGGGAGGTTGTCAATACCGAAGGGAGCGAGACAATAAAAGTCGTTATATTTGAGGGATGGTGCGTTGGGTTTCGGCCATTAGATGATGATGTTTTGAGACAGAAATGGAATGCTGCGGTGGAACAGAAAGTGCAGAGTGGCAGTGGGTACGACGGCCGATTGGGATATGTGAAGCTTGAGGATGTGCAAGTGATCAACGACGCTTTGAGGGAGTATGACGGATTGACCGAGTAAGTTTGTTGGCTGGTATTGAAACTGGAAGAGAGAGAGTGTTTTATACTGACTTTTCCGGTACAGCCAACTCGACACCTTAATTCACATGTACGGGATATACCACTGAATTAGAAACTTGGTCGGCTAATTGATCTTTTTAGCGATGCCCAAAATACTCGATTTGTATATGACTGGCGACAGGAACAAGAAAGAACACTGCGCGCCGCTAAAGGAACGGGAATGACCGAAGAGCAAGTGAATCGCTTTGTCGACGGGTGTACGTATTAAGAGTCGTGTGTGAAGTGAGATTGAGTGAAACTGACATTTGGATTTATGTTTAGATTACCCTTCATATGAACTATTCACGGAAACCTTGCGAAAAGGCGTGTTTGCGTCAGAAACCATCGCAACATCCAAATCGTCGGATTGGCAGGGTCGACAACTTAGGCTCGTTGTCGACAAGAACCGCCGAGTCCAAGAAGTTATTCAAATATAAAGCGGGTCTAAAATGACAGTCTAAATGTGACAATGCATACAATATTCCTTATAATTAGAGCAGTTATGGGTTGTCTGAACACTGAATTGTCCTCATTAGGCTAGAGAATGCTACCTAAAGTATAGAATATCATAACGCTAATAACATGCATCCCTGTGAAACAAACAACCCATCATAAACGCTTGTGGTAGCCACAAAAGAAAAAACTTTTTAGTTCATCTGGCGGACGAGGTTGTTGATGTTCTCCTCACGGTTACCAGTGTCACCACCCTCGATGAAGTGGTTGAACTTGCGCTTGTGGAAACCACCGGTAGGGTTGGAGAGCTTGAAGGGCCACAGGAAGTTGGAGGCCTGCTTGAAGTTGGGACCGACTGTGTAGATCTCGTGGATAAGATCCTCAACGCAGACAATGCCGTACTTGCCAAGGCTCTGCTCAATGATCTGGTTGTCAGAGAGAGGGATACGCTGGCCGTTGATCTTGCCGTAACCGCGCTTATAGACGAGCTCACGGACGGTCTTGAGGTTGGGGTAACCGTAGGCAATGTAAGGGTCGATGATGGTGAGCATCTCAGCAGTGGCCTTGTTCAAACGAATGAAGACACCATTGTTGATCTGGAGCAGACGCAACAGCTGGAGGATCTTGCGAGGCTTAGGAGCGATCTTGTTGATACTAGAAACAGGTCAGGGTAGGCTAATATATTGTGATTCTGTTCCGCTTACCCCTTGATACGGATGACGAAGACCAACTTGGGCTCGTCCTCAACGTAGAAGGTACCCTGCTTGCGGCTCTCACGAGCAAGGCGGACCTTCTCGCGCTCAGCGTCACGGTATTCCTTGACATAGGACTCGGCACGCTTGAAGATGACACCGCGCTTCTCCTTGTTGGCCTATATCACAATATGTCAGCTTAATGTTGACAAAACTAACATAATCACTAATCAGTGCAGAGTTGTCGATTATCAGCCCCGAAAGATGGTTAACAAAAGCGACAGCATCGACTTTCGTCTAGTCGCGTTTGGGTATTTATCATCACCAAACCGTGTTCCTCCAATAGATATATGAAAATTCTCGACTAACCTGCTTGGTCTTCTCAGCCTCAGCACGGCGAGCGGCGCGAGCAGCTTCTTGGCTCTTGCGCTTCTTAAGGAGAGTCTCAGGGACGAGGACCTGGTCCTGGGTGGGGACACTATATTCAGATGCAAGGTCAGTATAGTCTGTCCTGGTAGACATAGAAGCATCGCCGAGCAGAAAGAACTGCAGCATAGTGCCACATTCTCGGACTGGCGCGTGTACGAATAAACTCGACGAAATGCTTTTAGTCGGTGAGAACTATGAGTGCATCACATCCATGTTACTTCTATGACCCCGATGAACGGGATATTTTCACAAGTGATTGATGACCCGATTTCTCATCCAACAAAACCCTTAAGCTTGACGCTCAGGAATGGTTTGTCAACGCTTGAGTCCCGGAAATTTCTTTTCGGAGACGATAGCAATGGCAATTGTTTTTAGGGAGAAAGAGCAATTCCTTCAACCCAAGACCCCAAGCCTCTTTTGCCAGACACGATTCGAAGCACACAGTGAAGCATGTCGGACCGGTTAACAGAAAAGGCACAGTGGGAAAAATCGAGCTGGTGCTGAGCATAGATTGCAGCAGCAACTCCAGCGAGAAAGGACGACTATGACTGGAGCCTCGCTGATCAGCTGTATGGCGGGAGGGGATCGTACGTGGTGGCAGCCATCTCGATTGTGCGTTGTCGAGTTTGTCGTTTGTCGGCGTTGGGCGTGTCGAGAGAGAAGAAGAAAACTCAAGTTTCTGTTAATTCAACAAATTTGCTTTGTGGGCGGCCGGCTGCACTAGGCCGACTGCGTTATAGCCTGCCAAGCCGTCTTGGGCCAATCGTGTCGCGGGCCTTATCTTATCGGGGATAGGGCTAGGGCTACGGACCCCGCTGCCGCTATCCTGCTACCTATGACGGTGTTGACAGTCATCCGAACCAGACGACATTATTCACATCATTCTCTGGGGATACACTATTATTATAATGTCCACTCGGCGCGGAGTTGGGCTGGGCGCTTTCGTGAACCGAAACCAGACCACTCAATCCTACGCGACGCATGGCGCAAACCTTCGATCAACACATCTCTCGTCATTACAAACCCAACTATCAGTATTCCAGTCGTTGCTTCACACGTTTGCCCTCGAACATGCCTCGAAGATCAAATCGAACCCGACTTTCCGTGCTGAATTTGCACGTATGTGCAATACCATCGGCGTTGATCCTCTAGCGGCCAGCAATGTCAAAGGCAAAGGTAGCCGCAAGGGACTTATGGATGGAGGGAGTTTCTGGACCCAGATATTGGGAGGAGATATGAACGACTTTTATTTTGAAGTTGCCGTACGTGTTGTCGAACTATGCAGGGAGACGAGGAGCGAGAACGGTGGCCTTATTGGGGTCAGTGAATGCCGTAAGAAAGTAGCCAGAGGGAAAGCCATTGGTGGCGGGTTGGAAGTATCAAAGTATGTGGAACAGTCCCTATAGCTATCTAGTATGAAATATAATAGCTAACTAGGTGTCTTCTATATAGCGATGATATCCTTCGTGCCGTCAAATCACTTGAACCGCTAGGCTCAGGGTTCAGCATCATCCACGTCGGCAACAAACAGTTCATTCGCTCTATACCAAAAGAGCTCAATACAGACCAGGCAACAGTGCTGGAGGTTATCCAGGTTCTTGGATATATCACAGTGTCAATGTTGCAAGCGAACCTCAGTTGGGAGAAAGCACGCGCAACTACCGTAATAGACGACCTTTTGGCTGATGGCCTCGTTTGGCTTGATAGCCAGTGTGCAGAAAACGAGTATTGGTCGCCTCAAAACCTCTTAGGCGAAGAGGGATAATTGTATAGATTTTATAAGCTTGGATGGTGATGTCTTTATCTGTGGCCTCGGTGGCCTGGGCTTTGAAGAGTCTGCAAAACAGTAGGGCCTGAGGTATCCGTATCCTTACTCTCCTATACAAAGGGTCATTTTTGTGCAACCACATTTTGCCTAACAACTTGAAAAATGCCCTCACAAGATTCCTGCCATCACGAGAATTTCCCGCTTTGGCTAGCCACCTATTGACCGCCTATTTTACCTAATATAGCTGCTGGAAGTCGCCGTCAATTCCCCAGCTATATACATTCATGTGCACGAAGACTACGAGAAGATTAAACCCACAGACATGAATATTGCACGTGTGCATGAGCATGGCGTTTGTTACAGGTATATCACATGTAAATATCAATTGATTCTATAGAGGAAAGAGGAATAAGGAACTTTATGTTCAAATCTAAGTCGCAATCATTAAAATATAAGTCATGATTTGATTTATTTCTACCTGACACTTTTCTGATAGTATTGTGTACGGGACATCAACATGGCGTGCCAACCAGCTTTTAATCCCATATCTTCATGATGAAAGAAAAGCAAACTCCAAAAGACATGAGATGCTGGACGTTGCTCCCGCGACAAAGGAAAATAGACGAAAAGATACATTAAAAAGGAATCGTGAAGTTCTGAAATTATGCCTTGATAGCACCACCCAATGCACCACCGCTAAATTGTTGATTACCCGGTCGTCGCTGTTGACCTCCAGGCAACCTATGTCCTCCACGAGCCTGGCCGCCACGTCCAGTGTTTCGACCACCACGGGCACCAGGACCTTGCTCTCTCTGGAAAGCATTGGCCATGCCTTGTGTGCGTTGCTCCAAAGTCTTCTCGTTGGCCTCCAGAAGAGACATGGACTTGTCGGCGAGAGTGACAATTTGAGATTGTAGACGAGACAGCTCGACACCCTTGGTGAACACAATTGCGTCATTGACTTGGTCAAGGGCTGCTGCAAGCTCGTCGTGAGAGATCATACGGCTGACAATGGAGATGATCTTCTTTTCAGCGAGCTCGAACATGTTGGCGAGGGTGGAGATGGATAGGGTGTCATAGAAAGGAGCGTAGGTGAACAAATAGGTACGTAGACCTTCTTCTTGGATTTGCTCAGCCAGCATAGTCTTAATCTTCTCGGGTTGTGCCATCAAATCCCAAATCTTGATCGAGTTCAGCAATTCTGTGGCCTTCTTCCAATCGCCAGCAGCCAAAAACTTGGCGCTCATAATCACACCATCACGAGTGTTCTCAGGAGGACCCGTAAAAACTTGTCTCTCGTTGTAGTCGAGCATGCGACGGAATGTCTTGGAAATGACACGACGCTTCATCTCAGGGCTAGAGGAGGTCTGTGCCATAAGGGGAACTTCCAAAAACATGCTTGAGGTAAGGTAAATGCATTCTAGTAGCTCCAAATTAATGTGCATGTGGAATGGCAACTGGCGCTGTCGCTCAAGCTTTTCCTGCTCGGGTGATACAGTTGAGTATCTCTGAAGGATAATACCTTGAGCGAGCAGCTCCTTTTGACGTCCGCTTCCGCAGATTTCGGAAAGTGTGTTTTGAGCCTCATAGACCAGGCCAGCACGGAAAGCGCAAAGGCCGATTTGCACAAGAGTTCTGTTGAACAAGATTTGTGTGCTCACATCAAAGTTGGCAATGTTCTCCGACAAATGAGACATGAGCATGAGGTCACGAGAGCGGTAATAATTTTCATGAAGTGCAAGGAAGTAGATTTGGCACAGCATTGCGCGAGCCCGAATGATGCCATCACTGTGCTTGAAAAGATAGTTGCATAGAGTCTGGACCAATTCAGGAACATCACTGGCTGAGCCGCGAGATGTAATGGCCGAGTCTAATTGTGATGGAAGGGCTTTCCATGTAGCCTCTTCAAGAATTGCGACGACTTGAGAAGGCTTAAAGTAGATATGCTCCAATCGTCGAATGACGATGCGGTTAATACTCTCTTGTTTTGGCTCGGTCTTGTCCGCCTTGCCGAGTTCCTCAACGTAGAATTGCGATCTAGCGATTGCAGTGTATAGTGATTGTTCGTCACTGAGACGCTCGATATACTCAGCGGTATGCGGGTCAATCTGCTGGAGAGAACGAGTAAGCTCATCATCTAGTCGCTCAACGAAAGACACGATGCTTCCGGGGATACGAAGGGCTTCCCCAGCAGCAACTTGAGGCTGCTTGTCATCATCCTCCCATTCCTCGGCACCTTCGACAACAACATGATCCCGGTTTGCCTCCAAGACGGATAGCAAACTCGAGAATTCGCTTTCGGCAGCTTTCCATTGTTCAGAGCTCATGTGCGTTGCGGTGGAAGACGAGGTCAGATCAAAGCGAGTGGCAATGAGGGTAAGATAAATACGGATGCGTTGGTACGGAGTTTGGGAGACTTCAAGAAGCTTCTCCATGGTCCGGATTTGCTCCTGACGATCGGTGTTCTTCTTTCCTCGTGACTCAACAATGATACGAAGGTGTTTGAGAATACTCTCAGGAGTATACTGCAAAGTCTTTCCATGACGTCCAACAGTCGAGAAGCCCTCTTCATCAGTGAGATTGGGAGTGTCCAAGGTTGCAGCAATGCGAACTGCAGAAGGCCCCGCAGCCCTGGGAGCAGTCCTGGTCACCTCAACTTCATCGGCCTCCATATAACGCTCCTTATCTTCCCGGTATTTATCAATCTCAGTGGCAAAATCCTTGTTATTCTTTTTGATGCGCTGCTTCACGGCATTAAGACCTTTGGCGTTGCTTGCATTCAACTTCTTCGTCGACACCTTTTGTTTGGCAATAGCCTCGTTCATAAAATCCTCGAGATCTGCAATTGCCTTGATGTAAATCTTTGGCGTAGGGCCGGACTGGATAATCTTGGCAATCTGTCGGTTCAACTTATCGAATTCTGACGAGAGACCATTGTTAGTAAATCGAGCGACAAGTAACAACATATAGCCCTGACTCACCAGCTGAAATCACAGTCCAATCATTAATTCTCTCAGCATTGTCAATAAGCTTCACTGTGCTTTCTAGCTCCTCAAGCCGCTTGTCCTTTGCACTTTTGACGACCACCGGCGCGCCCTCGTCTTCGCTTTCATCGCTGACCTCGCCCTCATCTTTTATGAAAAAGTTAGCTCCAGTTTTCCTGGGCTTATCCTCGTCCTCTGACGAGGACGTGGAGTCATTTTCTGAGAAATCTTCCTCTTCGCTGGATTCTTCTTCTTCGGACCGTTCTTCCTCATCGCGATCACTGTAGAGCTCCTCCTCGTCGGAGGAACTGGTTTCGCTGTCGCTACCGCCACCGTGGAAGAAACGAGACATCTTTGCGGCTGATCGGTCGAGAGACGAAGTTCTAGTTAATAAAACTGTTGCAGGAATATCCACTCCAGTGGGAGGGTCGACAAAATAGAGTGAACCTGGTTTAATGACCAAGACGTTCGTCGACGATGACAGTCCGCAGTGGGATGGCCCTCCAAGGCGGCGTTACGAAATTTAAGCGAGGGGTCGCTTAACCCGATATGGTAACGCCCGCGCCGTACTGGTGCCTGCGATTTAAGGCTCCGGCACCGCAATGCAGCTCGTGTTTTTAGTCTTGAAAATCAATATCTGGATTTTTGTTCTGCATATACTACATAAAAGGTGATAACATAAAGCGTATATATTTATAAAGGGTACTGAATTCTCCCCTTAGGTCCCATGTTGGAACACAGGGTTTTGCAGCGTCAAGAAATCAAATTTACCAACAGAATTGGAACATCATGCAACAGAACGCGAAATCTTTCCAAAATTTACGCCGGCGCTATGCCAAAACAACACCCCGATTGTCCGATAGAAGAAACATTCTTTAAATAAAGCAATCGCGGCAGGAACTCTAAGGCTCAACAAGTGTACGAAGCTCTCGAACATAAAATAACTGTCATTCCTAGGGACCGACTGTTTGTCTTGCAACACGATCAAGGACGCAGCCGCATGTATCCTCGCAATATGCATGCTTCGATGGTTCTTGAAATGGATCGATAAAATAAGATGATCAATACGTAGCTTGCACTTGTCAAAAATCTGTGCTTGACGAGTATTGGCACGTGCTATCCTTTGTCCGGAAGCTTCACCTCCAATATGGTTGACGTTATAGTTGCACATGCAAACACGGCGAGTAGATGCAAATCTTTGGAGGCTTTCACCTGCCTAGTAAGAGTATCCTCATATAATTTGCAGGCTGCACTAAAGCCGACAAAGACTAATGCCACTGTGACTGTGACTGTCCCATGAAACCATCGCCAAGAGCACCGTCCTCCAGCGTCCGAATGAAATCCCGATTGCGGTTACTGGCCCCAGCTCGACTTCCACGACGTCTGGCGCTTGCAGCAGATTCACTGTAGCCATCTGGGGGCGGAGGGTAATAGGCAGGGCTCGGTTGTAATCTAATTGGAGCATTCGGATCAAGATGGCTAGCAACGCGCTGGATACTCTGCGGTATGCCTCCCTGTTGCTGGTCTAGAGTAGTCGCCCGCTGTCGACCGGCTCTTGTAGTTGCCTGAGCAAAGAGACTTTGAGAAGGCGCATACTGGGGTTGATGAAGCTGCCCCTGCATCATGTTCATTTGGTGCCCATACCCTGGTGGCTGGGCCGGGTAAGGAGGCGGGGCGCCTTGTTGATGATTAGGATAGATGCCATTATAAACTGGTGGGGGTTGATTATGTGGTGGGGTGTGATATTGACCCATTTGTAATGCATATGCAGACTGAGCGGCTGACTGGGCTTGAGCCTGGGCTGCTTGAGCCGCTTGGGCTGCCCTCTGCTTGCTAGCAGCTTCTGCCTGTTGCTGCTGTTGTATTCCAGGAGCAATGCTCTTGTTAAGCGCGGAGTATTTCAAGTTCATAGGAGGTAAAAATGGACCAGTAAACTTTTGCTGGGTGATAAAAGGATGCAATTTTGCCTGCTGTGGAGACCATCTCTCTAGAGGATTAATTTGCAACAGACCACGCACGAAGTCGATGAATGCGACACGGTTATTTACCTCTGGTTCTTGTTAGCAGGCGGAATTGGAAAATTTAGGAATATCGTACCTCTTTCTATCTCCGACTGTTTCATATTCTTTCTTGGCATCGCGTAACTTCGGATAATTTCTTCCAAAGTGTTGGCCTGGAAATATTTTTTGCTGGGTTGTTCCTTGGTGTTGTGTTCCCGGGAATATTGCTCCATGCTTTTCAAGCGCCACGACTTTCTGCCGAACTCATCTTGGGTCTTTTCAAAGAACTCGCCGGATTGTTTTCCCATGTCAAGCATCCATGTAGGAGGCATTCCAAGCATCTCTGTGATCCGAGCTACTTGATTGTACTCCGAAGATCCTGGGAATAAAGGTAGACCAAGGAATAGTTCGACGACAATACACCCTAGTGACCACATGTCGATTGCTGAAGAGTATGGAAGTCCTAGCAAAACTTCAGGCGAACGGTAAAACCGAGATTGAATGTAAGTGTACACAGTCTGACGTTCATCACAAGCAGAGCCGAAATCAATTATCTTGATGATAGGGCTTTCTAAACTGAATTGCGAAAAGTCAATGTTAGCATTGCCTAGTAGAGATAAAGATAGGGGTGAATGCTTTGTGTTCTTACTTTTTTAGTAAGATGTTTTCAGGCTTGAGATCACAATGTATCAGTCGTGCTTTGTTTAACAGACTGAGCCCATTAAGCAGTTGCTGTGCAAACACGCGGACTAGTGTCGTGCTCAATCCACGGAATTGGTTTTGTTTGATTAGCTCATACAAATTCACGCTCAGTAACTCGAACACCAAACAAAGGTGTTGTCGATGTAGAAATGTATCTTTAAGTCGGAGAAGATGGTGGTCATCGTTCTTATCATACTTGGTATTAAGCTGGTGGCAATAGTTAGCATGCACATCGTAACACGCAATTGATCACGGAGCATACCAAGTCGAGAACGGAGACTTCCATCATGCTTTGGTTGAAATAAGCGGTTTTGTTTTTCACCACCTTGACAGCAACAACCTCCTGGGTCTTGAGATTCTGACATTTGACGACTTGTCCAAAAGTTCCCTGACCCAGAACATCCAGAATAAGATATCGATTCCTGTACCCGTCAGCATGAGTCATTTACAAAAGCAAGGGAAAACAAAGAAAAAAACATACTTGTGACTTCCGTCCTCACTGCCGAGGATATCATTTACGTAAAGAATGTAATCACTGTCTTCATTATCGTAGCCATCATTCTTAACGCCTTTGCTGGGTTTAGTGAGTACACGACGTGGGTTGCGTGATGTCTCGTATTTAAAACCCGGATTGCAGATTCGGTATGTAGCCGGTAGGTGAGTTGTGAGCGCTTGTAATGGCTGTGCCACAAGGTTAGTCCGAATTTCTCCAAGGCAGCGCAATACTTACACTAATGAAGCCTCCCTCGGGGTTCGCACGACGAAAAGGGGGTTGGCCGTGTGTTTTAGGCCGGAGTTCTTGTGTCGATTTAATGTTCGCAAACTTTGGTATCGGCCCACGTTCGGGCAGTTGGTTGTGGTTGATCTGCGGCGCGGGACGCGGCGATTTGGACTCAGACCCGAAAGGAGCGCTCAACAGAGATGAAGCAGAGGAAGGGAAATACTGCTCGGAACTCGCGTCTGAGGACTGCAAGGGGGGAAGTCGGGACATACGCGAGCCTAACAGGTATTACCGATGAGTTAGCTATAGCTATAGAGAGTATGTGTAACTGGAGAGACAAACCTGGTGGTGACTGATAAGTCTGTGGAGGTGACGCATAACCTGCTCTTGTAGGGGATTGTCGAGAGCTGCTGGGCCCAGAAGGCGAACCGACAAAAGGGTTCTGTCCCTTTGTTGGACTAGAGGTAAAAGGCAGAGTAGGTGATAGTATGTTCATAGGCGAATATCGGCGTGCGGCAGTCGATTCTTCGGTCGGCATGTATTGCGACGATGGGCGAGGGTTGTGAGTCAGCCTTGTTGGGTATTTTGAACGGTTAAAAGGGTCGGCATCCTCCATGGGAGTATCGGCGTCTGGGATATAGTCGTGTGTGTGCGGCGTCGCGGCTGGAGAGGAGGTCATTGGGTCTGGTTTGGAGTTGGGGCCTACGGTGGTGGCCTTTGCTGCCGTTATGGGCGATTGGTAGCTCTCGTAGGTGTATCCCGCAGGAGGTTGAGCTTGCGGGACCTGTGGTTGCCCGCCATACTTGGTATTGGTATTCAGTCGGGGGGGATAGGATCCTGGTGTGTTGTCTAGATGGCTCGTCGGACGACTCATCGAAGGGTCGCCCCCATAGGCCTGCCACTGCGAATCCATGTTGTCTAGTTTAGCTGCGCTCGATATTCATTCGGATGGCGACGACCACGCGATGGCTGCACCGGCGACAGAGATGGACCTCTGCCTCGGAATGGCTGGGAGAGGGCAACAGATCGATACTGGCACGCTTGCACCGTACAGGCGACGTAGCGCAGACTTGGCGGGGAAGACAGAATGGCCTCTGACGCAAGCGAGGCCAGCGACGCGTGAAATGAAGAATTGCCGCTATGTAGAGCTCCAGCTATTCATCATCCAGAGCGGAGCACGCCCGTTGCTGTGTACGGCTGGAAATGTTGCTGGAGGGCAGCGAGACGGGGTGGCAGACGTAAGGTGTTGCTGGCAGAGTTCGGCTCGCGAATGGACGTCGTTGGGCGGCCACAGCTGACAAGTTAACACTGCGCAGGCTGTGCTCGCTCGGGCGGTGGTGACAAGGACTGTCTGGCACGAAGACTGGGGGTTAATGGGGCTGCTGGCAGAGAGAAGAACAGCAGGACAGCTACACGCGTTACGATGCGGAAGCAGCGAGCGATGCAGGCCTGGCATGGGGGGGAATTGGTGGTAGAAACGAGGGTGATCGAAGCGATGGAGGAGGTGGAGTCAGCCACCGCCGGGGTTGGGCCGTTTGGGAGATGCCGGCGTCTCTTGTTGCTACGCTCGCTCGCTTTGGACACATCTTATGGATTTATCATCCCCAGCCATATACTGCCCGGTCTCTTTGTGTTTGTCTACATTCTAGTTTCACATCGCGACACTGCTGCTTTATTTGCTATTTGCATGCTCTTTTGTTAGGCCGGGGGCATTGCTTGAACAATACTCGAATGTAATGATGGAGTTACCAGGCGTCTCTATTTGATACCGCCTGTCCCAAGGACGCTGCGAATGGCAACAAGCGATGCGTCTGGTACGCGGTATTGAACGTCTGATATCATTGCGTAGAACTAGCGCCTATAGGATCAAGTACATGGAGGCTGGAGTGAATGTCGTACATAGAGTGTTCGAAATCCGACTGCTAGCGAGAGAGTTAGCGATCGGCAGCGCAAATACGGAGCACAGCAGTGAGTCAGAGAGGCGGTCACTGGGGCTAGAGGGACTATTGGACTAGGGTAACGGCAGTAACAGGAACAATGCGTCTGTAGATGTAGACTATTATTATATTGTGTGTGTATAACCATGGAGCCGTTTTTACGCAGCCTGCCAGAACTTCAGGCAAACAATCGCTATTGTCCCTGCTTGAGCTGTCAGGCAGCTCATCAGCCACAGGGTGACTCAGCGGCCGGCGGTGCTCTAGGCGGTCACCGTCGCCACCTTTTTCTGCCTTCGATATCGGATTCGCCATCTGACGGTCGTCGCTTTTTTTCTACTCTGTGATGCGCATGGGAAGGTCTGTTGGAGCGCCGCCCTCTTGTAAATATCCTATGCAACTAGACTTCCAATAGTCCTTTGCTGGGCATTTGAGTATACTTTTGTTTCTCCGTGGGAATGATCGCAACCAACCGCACTACTCTGCCGTGGTAGTCGTTGCTACTACCTTCGTGAAAGTACATGTGATGATGGAATCTGAAAAACCTGCTGATGCTGGTACCCAGCCGGATGCAGCTCAGACAGACGAGTCCGCAAAGCTGCGAGAGCTCGAAGCGAACGTTCGAGATCAAGATGACCTCGAAAGAGAGCTTGGCCATCAGGTATGAGTCGGTAGCCTTCACTAATTACTAAGAGATTCTGATAGGCTGCTATAGGCTGACCAACTGCTTATGGAACAAGCAGACGAGAGAGACCTGAAGAGAATCGATCGCACCACAAAAGAGAAGTCGTAGGCGGACCCTCTCTGCGGGATACCTAATGCGTATTAACAGAGACAGAAAAATCGAGGATCAGATATTGAAACTATATCAACGGCTAGAGCAACCAGCTGGCCCCGCTCTCAGAGTTCGCATTGAATCCGAAATAACGAAAGCGCAGGAGAAACTGTCTACATTAGAGTCGGACTTGAAGGAGATACAAGAGCGGATTGATAACCGGCATCAAACCCAAGATGTTGCACCAGCGACTGATACTGGGAGGCTACCCAACGAATCGCGACGGGACTACCTCATTCGCACGGGAAAAATCACGCCATTCTCGCAGATGGGAAGTGGTCCCAGGGAGGGCGCGCTGGCCACTTTACACGACGCACTTATCGATGCTGAGGACGAACGCGACGAGGCAGAAGCTTTACAGGATGCCTCCAAGAGAGTGACTGTCTCCCATCGTAATTTACGCCTTCCTGGACTGGGTCTTAGCGATGTTGGTGAGCCCAGCTCGGAGGATTTTGCGGACTCGGATCGGGCGCGGAAGCGAAGAAAAATTGCTCGTGGTGTTGCACAAAAAGCTACGAAGCATGCTCGGCGGAGTGATGCCGAAGATGATGATTCCTACATGGAGAGCGAAGAAAGCGAACCTTCTTCTACGGACGAATTCGACCCTACTCCAGGCGAGGTTCGGAGATCAAAGACTACTCGGAGAATAGAAAACGAGGATATCGAAGACCTCAGAGGCTTAGACGATGGCAATGAGGAGTATTATCAAGAAAGACTTAGACGCTGGGTTCGTCGTAGAGCTGCGGCTCGCAGACGAGTGGGCGAGATAAAAGAGGAGACAGAAGCTACCGATCGCAGGGAAGAGAATCCATTGGCCAGGGAGGGAGTCGAAGAATGGTTTTTACCACATCCGACCGTCCCTGATGCGGAATATGACGGCGGCTATCGTGTTCCTGGCGATATATTCCCAGTTCTCTTCGACTATCAGAAAACTGGCGTGCAGTGGCTTTGGGAACTTTACCAGCACCAAGTTGGGGGTATTATTGGCGACGAGATGGGACTTGGTAAAACTATACAGATCATTTCATTCCTAGCAGGCCTCCATCATAGCCACAAACTGAAAAAGCCCGTTATTGTTGTGGCCCCGGCCACTGTGATGAAACAATGGGTTACTGAGTTTCATCGATGGTGGCCTCCCTTCCGCGTCTCGATTTTGCATACTTCTGGAAGCGGTATGATCAATGTTCGAAATGAAAGCAATCGTGAAAATGCATTGAACACCCAAATATGGGATCCGAATCAACCTTATACCATGACGAAAGCTCAAAAAATGGCAAACAAGATCGTGCAAAGAGTTGTTGAGGAGGGTCATGTTCTCGTAACTACATACTCTGGCCTGCAAACGTATGCTCCTGTTCTGATTCCGGTTGAATGGGAGTGTGCTATCCTCGACGAAGGCCATAAAATTCGTAACCCGAATACATCAATTACTATACACTGCAAAGAGCTGCGCACCCCACATCGCTTGATTCTGTCCGGCACTCCGATGCAGAATAATCTGTCTGAACTGTGGTCTCTATTTGATTTTGTCTTTCCCATGCGCCTGGGCACTTTGGTTGATTTTCGGAATCAGTTCGAATTCCCCATTCGCCAAGGCGGTTATGCTAATGCAAGCAATTTGCAAGTGCAGACTGCAGCACGGTGTGCAGAGACTCTGAAGGAAGCCATAAGTCCGTATCTTCTGCAACGATTCAAAATCGACGTGGCTGCCGACCTACCTAAAAAGAGCGAACAAGTTCTCTTTTGCAAACTATCGCCACTTCAGCGCAAGGCTTACGAGCAATTTCTGAATTCCCAGGAATGCAATTCCATTCTCGCAGGCAGGAGACAGGTTCTGTACGGAGTTGATATGCTACGCAAGATCTGCAACCACCCTGATCTTGTAACTCACAAGCTTTTCTCCTCAAGGGCTGACTACGGAGATGCTTCTAAATCCGGGAAGATGCAGGTCGTCAAGGCGCTTCTTGAGCTATGGAAGGACACGGGACACAAGACTCTACTCTTCGCGCAGCATCGTATCATGCTGAATATCCTTGAGAAATTCATCAGGACGCTCCCAGGTTTCAATTACCGAAGGATGGACGGCGAAACCCCGATTCAACGTCGCCAGAACCTCGTGGATGAGTTTAACAATAGTCCAGATATTCACGTTTTCTTGCTCACAACCAAAGTCGGGGGACTTGGTGTTAACCTCACGGGCGCTGATCGTGTCATTATTTACGACCCAGATTGGAATCCATCAACCGACATGCAGGCACGAGAGAGAGCATGGCGGCTTGGACAGAAACGCGAAGTCACCATTTATCGCTTGATGACAGCCGGTACTATTGAAGAAAAGATTTATCACCGACAAATCTTCAAACAGTTCCTGACGAACAAAGTTTTGAAAGACCCAAAGCAACGACAGACGTTCGAAATGAGTAATCTCCATGATCTCTTCTCACTGGGACAGGAAGACCAGGCTGAAACTAGTAATCTTTTCAAGACCGAGGTCACTTACCAAGAAAACAGCAAGGCCAAGGGGAAAAATGGGAAGGAACAGAAGCTGTCTCCTGGCCAGCAGGATGTCAAGAATGTTGAGGGAGTCGCAGCTGTAGAAGAGTTTCACAACGAAAAGGAAGAAGCAGCAATCAAAGATGACAAGGAGCAAGGTGCCCCAAATTCCGAAGCTCGCCTGATGGAGGTCATCTTCTCACAATCTGGTGTTCACTCTGCTCTTGAACACGATCGCATCGTGAACGGCAAGAAAGTCATCGCACCAGACCGAGGTATCATCGAAGCAGAAGCGAAACGCCTCGCAGCCGAAGCGGCAGAGAAGCTCCGCAAAGCCGAAGAAACAGCGCGGTTGGTCCCAGTCGGGACCCCAACATGGACTGGACAGTTCGGCATCGCAGGGAGACCCGAGGATAGGTCTCGCTCGGCGTTTGGAGGAGCGGCCAGTACTGCACGGGGAGCTGGCGCTGGTCCATCATCCGCCAGTATTTTAGCAAATCTTGCGAATCGCACCGGTCGAAATAACTACGGTAACAATATTGAACCAGCTTCAGGAGGTGGCAATGGTCAACCCGAGTTCTTGCCGATGATCCGAGATTACATGCTGGCCCAGGGGGGATCGGTGTACACACAGATGCTGATTGATCACTTCAATCGATTCTGCACGACCCCCCAGCGATCCGCCGAATTCAAGGAGGTCCTCAAGACGGTGGCGGTGTTGGATAAGGGCGGCCGTAACGGACGCGGAAAATGGTCCCTGAAAAGGGAGTACGCCAAACGCAAATAATCATATTAGAGCATATCTCCACAGAGACATAGAATTGTAATGATGATTAATGATATACAATGATGAATAATAAAGGGGCGTGCTGTGATATCAATATTATGGGGTGTGGAGCGGGGAGGACAGAAGCTTTGACTATCGTTATTTGCGATAACCCACAATGACGATTTGGCCATGATTAGTATTCAATGTTAATTGGCAGACCATTCAACATCCGTACTCCGGACAATTTCCCCGATGGGAGCAGATCATCAATCTTCAAAGGTTCAAAATATGTGCGTACGTAGCAAGCACTATTCCGTACTTGCCGAGATATATGCCCGTGATACGGTCATGCTGTGGTCTATTCCGTATCTAGAAAATAATATATGGCGCTCGGCATCATGCAGGTCTTAAATCCAACGTTTCTGTCTAGCATTTACGTGAAATGCAAGCCCATAGATGCAACATTACATGTATTCGATTCGTCGATGCTGCAGACAACATGGCGAAACGTAATTGCCGAGGATTAGCGACTGGTAGCTAAGACATGCGCGCCGATCACCGCACTAAACAATACTTTCGAAAGGAAACGGGCTAACGAGTAAGCGGAGGAGAACAGCTTCGTGGCAAACACACTGCCAAGAAGCTTGTTTCATTTTGCAGCCTGGGGAACTGCCTGTTTCGTCAGTAGGCTTGGGCGGCGATCGCGGCGATCACCTGCTCCATCAGGCGTTCGTGGTTAGCAGCCACCGGTTTTCTTCTATTTGTTGCTTTTCTTATTATTCGTCAAAGCATGTGTCTCAAAGCTCCCCAGCACACGCAGCTGATTCGTGCAATGCCGCCGCTCCGCCCAGTGGAAGTCCGACAATCCAAACAACTGGATAAACAACTGATTAAACAACGTCATAGTCACAGAACTCCGCAACTAGTTTTGGGACCATGCATTAATCCCGCATCATTGTCTTGGCTTGTCGTGCCGTACATACTATTATTAAATATTATTAGCCAGCGTCGACAGCATCTCACATCTAGAGCTGACTCATATATAAACCCTCCGGATCCTGTGTCTCTTTATCTGGTGAAACACATTCCCTGTTAAACAATTTACCAAACAACCGAGTTGCCTCTTATATCAAAGTCCTCCGAGTTCCTTCTACCCCTCGAGACTACCAACTACAGCACAACCAAATCTCTCCACTAAAATGCTCTTCTCCCAAATTGTCTTGACGGCGGCCTCGCTGGCTGCCAGCGTCATCGCGGCACCTAACGAGTTCCGTATCAAGACCGTCTCGAGCTCTGCCTCCAAAAACGGCCTCTACGTCGAATCCTACCACACCGGCGCCGGCCTCGCCGACCCCGTCCTGACTACAAGCACTGCCAACGCCGGAAAATTCTACCTCAACAACACATACTTGCAGCAGGATATTGGCCAGGAATTCTCATACGGGTTTGAGCTTGGTGGTGCCACCAACTACGCAGGTGAGAGAAAGGCAGTCTCCTCCTGGGCAATTGTGTTTACTGATTTGTGAGCAGGCTGGGAATTTGTTGAAGTCAACGCTGGCCAGGGTGTCCCTGGCTTCGTGGTTCAGAATGGCAACATTGTCTGGAATTCGACCGAATCCACCGGCTGGCTCGGTAAGTTCCTCACCATTGTTGAAATTGTCCCTTGATTCATCCGTGCTAATACTGTTCCCAGCCTGCGACTGGTGGCACGGCGCTCCTCAACTGTTCTGGTCCGTTGCATATGAGAACTTCACACGCCCTATCAGCTGCAGCACTGTCAGCTTGACACAGGAATTCATCAGCTCTTGAACGCAATGATTACGATAATTATGATGCATGGCTCTTGAATTATGTTTGAAATGAGCGATATTGACGCGTTGACCTGCATTTGCTGTTTACCCGGCTTGGAAGTGCCGTTTAGATAGAACCTAACTCTAATGAAATATGAAAAAATTTGAAAAAATTCTTCCGATACGTTTAGTTGGACGAAATTGATGTAGTTACATGCAGTTCCAGACAGGCATCCATGTTGGGCCATGTCACATCAATAATTCGAAGTGATGCTGCAAGGGATCAATCCATTTTACGATGGCCGCTGTTATGATAGTTTAACAATCTTAAAATTTGAGTTTGTAAACAATGAATGGAATGCGGCAAATCATATAAAGAACGTTGCTAGGAGCGATGAACATGTATAAATAGGCTGGTTACAGATGAATCATTACTAAATGGACCCAAATCTACAACATATGCCGCCATAAATATAAACGTAAAATCGTGATTCATGATTCATGATTTCAACTGCTGTCATGCGCTACATCTGTACAATTTGAAAGTTCGTCAATCTATAGTTAAGAATAAAAATGAACTCGTATCAAGCCTCACCCTGGTGACAACAAACAACGAAAAAGGAGACGTGGACGAACTGACCATTTGATACGCTGGTGATGCTCTGCTCAGTTATTGCTTTAGCAAACAGCCGTAATACGAGAATTAACATAAACATCATGATTCCAAGCTCATTAAAACTCAAACAAAGGGGAAGGAGCTCTCATCTTTCCACAGCCAGGGACATGGTATATTTGTGGGCCAATCTTGATACTGTCACGCATAGACGTCAATATCGAGGACAACAGAAAGTAAATCTGAAAGTGAGGCCGACCAGGTATCACAATGTAAATAACAGCGTAGGTGGTCGGATCAAGATCAATAAGGGTATCCGGGTATTTGTCAAAGAGGGGCGGTAGCCATGTCATAATCCACAATCGTATACTGTGCGTAATCCACAGTACCGAGTATATTCTCTCAGCACGTATGATGCGTAAGTAGTTCTGTATGAGGCATCTAGTTACTGCGTGGCGGAGTTAAGACGACAAAAATAGTGGCGCTTGCCGTATCAGGAATGGCGCGACAGAATGTCTGAGACTTGCATGGGAATCGGCCAATAGAACGCGGTGAACACGGCCATGCTGCCTGATTCAGCTTAGCCGGTATTCTATGCCCGCCACCAGCCAATAGGATGTTGGCAAACGAGACAGGCGGCTTTGTTGACGGCGACTAGGGGCTATGCTATCGCGACTAGTCATGAGGCAGATCCTCGCTTCCTCCACTTGGCTAGAACAATCCTCCTGCGATCTCGACGATTTTCTGTTCTGCTTCTTCGTTTGCTCTGCGTCTTGATTTGCATCCCCTTCCACTCGCTTGTACCCTCACGGCCGTTTATTTTGCGGCTGCTTTTACTGTCTACTAGTGTTCTTCCTGGCCCCCTGTCCCCTAGGCTGTCTTGTTTCACTCCTATCCCTACATTCGGCAACCGTCGCTTGACGACGTACGACTTTGTATCACCAAGACCACTTGAGGGACGCTTTGTATCGACAATATTGTGGTTTCATTTTTACCACCGTCATTGGAAACTAAAGACCCTTTCAGTGTTGAGAAAAATCAACTAAATCTCGATTACCTACGTCCCCGCCCGGCCATCCCTAGAAGGGGGTCATTGGGTGTTGATAATCATCACAACACTCAACCATCAACATGCGTCCCAACACAATAGTGAGCCTACTTTGCAGCTTCGTTTTACTGGCATCAGTTGCATGGTCATGGCCAGACTATGTCGAAGATGTGTTTAAACGAGCCGATTTATTAATTCGAGGTAAGGAAAGAATTGAGCAGATAGTGTTCCGGATCATTGACCTCGATAGATGCATCATCTACAGACACAACTCAGTCCGCATCGGCATCCACGGGTTCGGCACAGTCCACGGGTACCGACTCGGCAACGGTCACTAATTCTGGTACTGGTACTGGTACTGGCACTGGAACAGGAACAGAAACAGGAACAGGAACTGGAACAGAAACAGGCTCAGCCGCAAAAGAAACTGGCAAGAGTACTGGTACCAAAACCGATAAAACCGATACTAGAACTACTGCAACATCTGTTTCCGTTGATCCCCGTCTGCCTGCTGGCGGAGCGTCGTTGACGAACCCCGTTTCCACATCAACCACCTACTACAAAATTGGGCAAAACGTGACGTTTGGTTGGAACTATACATCGTTGGTCAACCAGCCCACCGCCATTGACGTAATTGCATCATGCAGCTCGAATAAGGCCACTTACACGCTCGCCAACAACATGAGTTTCTCAACCAGCTCGGTTGTGTGGGACACCGGCAGCGATAATGCCACCGCGACGAGCCCTCTGCTTACCGCATACTATACATTGATCATTTATGAAGCCGGCAAGTCACCCTCTGATATTGCTGGGGCAGGAAACCTCGCGGCTGCTACATATTCTTTCGGCATGTACTTGACACAGACGCCAACTCCACTAGGCGGTTAGTTGTATCTCTTCGACCCAGAGACCTGTCCTTAATGCTAACACGGTGATTTCTAGAATACGTCTGCGTGACATGCAACGCCGCGATTTCTGATCTAGAACGTCAAGCGTTAGGTTTCGTGTTCACCATGGTCACGATCACCATCATCTCATTCTCCGTTTTTGCCGGTGGATTCGGTGTATTCTCATGATACGATTTAATTTCCGACCCTCCCATTTCAGCGTTTTTCGGAGATGCGACTTAAAAACTTTAATATTTTGTGGATTCAACATAATCAGTTCTCTCCAAGTGATGTACATGCATAAAATGCCTGCGGTTTCGATGTGTTCAGAAGCGTGATATATTTGTTTTATTACTTTTGTTAAGTCTATAAAATCGGCGTGGGGGATTATAAGATATTACAGGCATTAGGGCGTTTATTCTTCGTGATATTTTGTTTATAAATTCAATGTGATGTTATTACAACGGTAACCAAGGCTGATATCAATTCCAAATCAATATATGGTCTGCAAATGTGTTTGTTACAGTTCGCTGGCGGAGATAATATCCTTGTTTTGCTCATGCATCGAAAACTGCTATCGTACAATTATAAACAACTCGTGTGGTACGCTTCCCAAGTGATTGTGTTTTCACCATTCTCTGAGCCACTGCTAGCATTGATATTTTCACCAGTTGCCGAATTAGACCCCTGACCCACGGGTCTCCGAACTATTGGCAATTGTGCTTGGGAATCAGTCATCAAGTTGCATTTCTTGCATGGTGTGCGTTTGATATTTGTATAAGCTTGCATCATTTCCTATACTCCCATCAGTATGTTGCATTCTTGTTCGCATCTCTGTAAAAAACCGGGGGAAAGACAAACCAGTAAATAGCGCAAATCCCACTTCCTTGGTCTGTTATTGAGTTGTTGCACAATCGCCGACTCGAGTCGACTAGCTGGTCGACTGGCGATTGATTGCTGCGCAGCCGAGACGCGCCATTCTGGCAATGACCGCGAATAAGCAGATGCAGGAGTACCACTATCAGAAGTATTGGCTGCGTTGGTGATGATTTCTTGGATATCCAAAGTAATCCCGGCAAGCCCGAGAGTAACAATAATCATAGATGCATTTTTGCTAGTTGTGATGCGGAATCCTGGCGATTGATTATTTTGGAAGGATTCAATGATATTTTTCCATCCCTCTTTCCCTTCTTCTGTTTTCGACGATAGTGTGGTATGTTGAGTATCATCTTTCCCATTCTGATTCATCTCCGACTGTTTTGAATTATCTTCCCTTCCATCGATTTCCTTCAGTAGTATCTCGTAATCCCGATCCCACATCCCCGACGGTTGTGGGAAGCTGCCTTTATTCTCCGTCATTTTCTGGTTTATTCGCGCCCATATTTCTTGTACGTCGGGGCTCTGCCATAGTCCCTTGAAATTGTTGAGTTCAGCGACCCCTTCCGCCGCTGACTTTGTTAACCGCGCATTGAGTTCTTGTGGGTTCCGTGGGATCGGGTTTGATGGACTGCGTTGGCGGGGGTTGACAATTGGGCTGATTGGGGCGAGGAGACGGTCGGGGAGGAGAGAGCGGAGTTCATGTATCTATTCAATCAAAGAAGATATGCGGTTAGCATGACAGGTCTTGTGTAGAATGGACGGTTGGGGCTTGCCTTGGCTTCAAGTTCTTGGAGTTTGGCGAGGGAAGAAACGATCTGGCGTTCAGAGTCCCAGTCTACGGATTGTGTAGGAGGGTCTTCGAGTTTGATATTCATATTGTTACCATTCTGTGTATTTTGTTGAGTAACTGGCTGTTGTTTGGGCATGCTGGAGTTGTATTTGGATGTCTCTATGGAAGGGTTGAGTGTCGCATTACCAGTGAGACTGCGAATGGTTAGTATAATATCCAAAATATAGGTGATCAATACGGACACCAGTACCTAGCATTCTAGAAGCCTTATAATGTAACGTAAATTCACTTTGAATACCGTCAGCATAGGTTGGCAGACTGAACCGGTACGTTGATCGGGAGCTTGGACGGCGATAAGTCCGCAGATAAGGTGCACGTGCCACGACGACATACACCGCTGCGGCTTGGCTTCGTTTACATTTTACAACAAATCTCAATGATGTTGAAACCCTTTTTGCTTTCTATATATTAGGCCTGTTCTAGCCTTGATAGCTTGAACAAGTCGTTGGATAATCTTTTGACTCGATGCTACTACTGCTCACGATCTATATTCAGCTGAGTCTATGCTATGGCTAACAAGACTCGAATCGTGCTCAAACAGCAGACCATCACCGTCATGTAGATGATTGCAGTTTGCCCGCTCACAAAAAGCGAGCTTGTGAGAACGAATGTTGCGTATAGGTAGATCCCCACCGCTAATATTTCAATCCCAGCCTCGTAATATTCCCAGGCATAGTCAAAACGCATGGTAATTTCAACCTCGAACGCCTGATCTCTCAGACCTCGACTTTTTCTAGCTTCACTATTTTCTCCCCAAATAACTCCTCTACTATATTCAGACTGAGGCCATTTGTACGGATATTGGACCAGTTCTGGCCACGAACGCTCCCATCCCTCTGGATCCTCGCTATGCTGTATTCGGATTTTCTTCGCTAGTATAAGAAGGCCCATCATCGCAATCATGAGCCACATAACACAAGCAATCGGCCAGCAAATCAGTAAAAAGGAGTAATCGCATCTCCAGGAAATAACAATCTGCAAGCCTAACGTGACATTCTGCCATAGCATTACAGCAAGCAGAGCCAGGAAGACAATATCAATAGCAACCGTCCTCATCGGCCCTAACCACCACAGCCCTTGGGCTGAGTGATTCGTTGGAACCGGGACGATCCATCTCTGTACTCTTGGATCTGAAGTCTGTTTATCTGGCTGGATTAATCGGTGTGGAGAGAACTGACGAAACAGTCCTTGTGGGAGGCCGATGCCGAAGACACACAACACCAGGCCCCGTAAAGGGCAGGCAAGAGCGAGCTTGACGATCTCGATAGGTCTAACGCCTGAAAAATTGTCAGCAGTGTTCATTTTATATTCGAATTTTGTTTCTTTGTTACCTATCAAGGCAAGGGTCGTTGGTACTAACGATGCGATGTTACTCCCGCTTTGCATGCCGGCAGATATTTCTGAATGAAGGTTGTCCAAGACGCATCTCACAAGATAAGGACAGTGACCATAGCTAAATCCGGCACTAGGTGTCGTCTCTAAACACTGGGACACCAGAGATTGTAGAGTATCATCATTTGGGTCACCAATAGTACGCTTCATTGCGAAGGTCGTGGCTATAGCAGCCAGATTAGAGGATATATGATAATTTCGGAACGCTTCAAAGAAAACAAGATTGCTTTACATGAACGGTATTATGACGGGCTCATGAAGTTGAATAACCATCAGGATCTGATATTTGGTAAAATAAAACTCGAAACTCCCTCCATTTACTGGCAAGGCGCTGACGCGTCCTAAATAGTCTCGCACACATTTGACACTAGGTAGTTCGTGATATCTAATACATAAAACTAACTAGTGACGTGTATTGTCTAAAACGCAAGCGAATACTAAATTTAGACTTGTCCTGAATACTAACCCTTCTACAAGTGGTGCGGTGGCTCGCTCCCGAGATTTAAAAAGCGCGAGGACTTCTGCTTCCAGAGTGTTCGTATACTCACCACTATTTCCCAGTCCATCATTTTTAGTAAGTCCCCAAGTGCCCCATGGCAAATCGAGTGATCAGATTAACTGCTGAAAATTCATAGGTAAAAAACAGACTAATGCCCACTATATTGTTAGGGTTTTTCCATCTCGGTTAATTAGATAGGTAGCCGCCGACTTTGCACTATGTCATGAGCGAGTCATGACAGACTGTCATGACTCATGACATACTTACTAGTTCTTCATAACATTGAAGGCTTAATGGAACTTTGATGTTGTTTTTATTGGCTCTCATCACCGTCGATTTCATTTTATGCATCTAAATGATCCGACTTCCAGCGCCACAGTTCTTCAGTGCAATCGTAAGCTTTTACTTCTATTGAAAGTGATGATTAAATTCATAGACCTGAATAAAGATAACTATATTAATTTTTACAAGGCGTAGTAATGCTTGCACGTGTATTGTGAGAGGATTTCTAGGTCATGAAGCAACACGAAGTACATAGTAGAGCATTGTGAGGCATGATTACTTCGGATTTCTTTCCCCTAAGAGCAGTAAGACATCCTAGTCATCTTCCCAGAATATTATCTTATCAATTCTAGTGTGGTCGCTAGGTCGCCATATTAAGATTTCAAATTCCAAACTGCGCTTATTGGCTTGTTTGTTTAGATGTACTCCATGATCTAATCGTTCGGACCTCCTTCGAGAAGGATATTGCGTAACTCTAAAGTACCAAATTCCTTAATATTCTGAAAACATTAATACTGCAATCCGGTTTAGGAATAATATCAAAGTGACGTTTTTGGGAAAGATCCACCAAGCTTTTGAGTCGTTGAAAATCTGTGTATAGTAGACTAAGTGTCTAGTGAGAGAAAACTTCGATGTTCCATTCGCTAGACATCAGGCTGTTCATAAGCCAACATATAATAAGTTAATTACCAAAATGGATATTCTTTTTCACCGGTTTTATAATCAATTTCTGTTATCTGTGTTGAAGAGGTTGTGAAGATCTCAACTCGATTGAGCATTTCTCAATGCGGTTTACTCGGACAGCAAGATTTGAAGCAAGTATGATAAGTCTAAAGCAGCAATTTGACCTTTAAAAATGATAGAATGTCTCGAGATGCTTTTTTCAACGTGGCACAGACATTTATCGCTAGTCTCAGGGTTATCAGGGATGCCAGTGGGGTGAGCATTTGACTATTTACAGAGTCGTTGTTTTTTACTGCGCCTACAGCTATCCCAGGTAGTAGCAAGGACCAAGTGTAATAATAATATAAGTAGTTTGCACAATCAGCGTTACACCCGAAACATTCTCGGCTTTTGTTTGTCTCCTGCCAATCCCTAGCAAGTCCTGGCCCTACCTTCAATAGAGCATAACACCTAACACTAAATAGAAAGTCCCGTACCTAGCTGAAAATGGTACTGATGATGTCTATATTAGCTTTCCTGCCTGAACAGCCATTTATTAAACTGCACCGTATCTAGGCCCTTGGGCAGCGATTCCCTTGTTGTTTTCCACTTATTAGAATAAACTCCAAAGCTGCTATGATCTGCTGGTGAGAATGCAAGAGATTTCATTCGCATCGTATCAGGGCTATCCTCACCCTCACAGGTAACCCTAACTTTATACGCTCTCTCCGCAAATATACTCGCCCGCGCCTGATCCTTATGCGCGATACAGATCTGGAAAGCGTCGTAGTAGAGTCTGGCAACCAGCGCCCCAGGATGGCTATCGAATTCCTGCTCTAGGATTCGAAGCAGCGAGTAGCAGTCCCACAAGCTCTCATACGGGCTGGTCATCATGCGAAAGGGGTCCCCGATGGCTTCGTCGAGGATCTGGATCTGCGTGCGCCGGTTGTCGCTAGCTCGGAGTGACGAGGGAGGGAGAGTGCAGCCACTGCAGGTACAGATGAAACCGAAGGATTCTTTCAAGAATTCCTGTCGTGCACTCGACTGGCCCCCATGATCATATGAAATTGTGATCTCCTCTCCGATTTTGATGGGCCGGATCGCGTGGATGGTTTCATGTTCCTCGCTGCGGTTCCAGCTGTTGTGGGCGTTTGGAATGCAGCTGTGATTGATGAAGCACACTGTGGGATAGACACCGCCGACATGGGAACCGGATCCGCACGGCAGAGCATTCGTCTTGACGATACCGCTGAACGGGTACTTGCCTGGAAAGTTGTTGTGGAGGGCTAGGAACTGACGCTGCGACGCTCTCGACATGGCCTTCAGCTTCGTCACAAGGAGCGGCTCCAATTCTTCGCGTGGCTTAGATTGGATTCTGAGCAGCGGCTTCTCACATAGTAGGAGGGTACCACTGGATATATTTAAGCGGGCGACGAGGCCTTTGCCTTTCCCAGGGATGTCTTTGATTTCGAAGAGTGGGATTTTAAGTTCCTTGAGGGGATCGGTGCCGTTGAGGAATTGAGCGATAGTGGTGGGCATCTCGGAATCGTCTGGCTGTGTGTGGTTTGTTTAGACATTGTCAAGGAGTAGCAACGGCGAGCAAGAAGGGCATCACGAACCTGCTCATAAGACCTGATTGACTCACGAACTTTATTCCAGTCATAGACACCATACTGATCGGCACCCTCGTTCCAATACCGAATACGAGAACCAAAATGGACCTGTGCAAGACCTCTAATAGTATTGATATAGTGCTCTACTCCTGAGGTAATTGCAATCCTCCCTGAGACCTTCGAACTGAAACGCAGAAATTTGTGGCCCTCAAAGGGAAGCTTGGGATGTTCCCCTGCATTGAAGTTGATGTAATTCGGCTTTATCTCGACTTGTGTGTCAGCTTTGTAATGCTCCTTGATGAAATCGATAAACTGGCCCCAGTTTCGTCTGTCTACGACTCCTGTAGACAGAGGAGGAACCATATCGAAACCGGCGTCAATCCCCATGACTGCAGATGAATTTTGAGGTTAACGAACTCGCCAGTGCAATCGGTACTAGGAGAAAAGATGTCGAGGGGCGGGGGAGTCGATATTTTATTGTGTTTATGCTGTGTAACAGTGATATCACATTGTGAAAAACAAGCAAATGACACAAAGCTAGCTGTGATACCAAACCAGGGTGTCTCCCATTACAAAGTCTTGACAACATCAAATAATATTGTGCATATGTCAATGAAGCGGATTCAGCACGATCAGATTGGCAGCAGATATTCTACGGATCAAACTATCATCGCCTCTGAGCTATCAAACAAAATTATGACCAGGATGGCATTTTTTATGCTGCCACGACAGTTGAAGAGCAGTCGGCGCAGCAACCGGATGGAAAGCTAGATGTTGGTTGCCTAAAGACAAAGTACATAGACCATACTGCAAGCTAATTGTGAGCATCAACTTTCTTTACTTTTTGAATTCTCACTTTAGAATTTACAATATATGGAATGTACACGGATATCGTAAACTCTCAGCGAGACTCCGCGTTAGAATTAGGGTTTCTCGGCGAAAGGGGGTATTGTTGGCCATTTTCAGTGGCGTTTCATAACTAATGGTTCGGCTGAGTGATTCTGCGCATTTTTCGGAAAGCAGTCAAAAGGCTTGTCACTCATACATCTGGAAAATTTCTCATTATTCTGTGAGTATCAGGCGATCTAGATAACTAGTAAATTTGTCATAAATTTAAGCCTTATTGAATCTAGGGCATATTAAGTTGCACCAAATAATCCCTTGCACTGAGTTCAGCTAACATGTACTTTGTAAACGGTTTATACTCTTGACCCGAAGAATTTAAAATCCATATGAAATCAGTGAAATTAAAAGTGGGGAATCTTATTCTAAATGGCATCAACCAGGAGAGATGCTAAAATATCCATCCTTCCTACGCGCTTGGGATACCCCCAGTGCCAAATAGCTCCATATGAATTCGGTCAGGCGTTACACCGAGGCCTATCAATGACTGTGTCGTGGTAGTCATGAAGCCCTCAGGACCGCACACAAAGTATTGCGTGGAGGAATCGTCCAAAAACAACTTCTCATTCTTGTCCAGCGCTCCCAGGTCAATCGGTCCCTTCACATTATAGTCGTCTCCTTCTTTCTCCTCAGACGATGGGGCTGTATTAAACAAGGTGACTTGCAGATTAGGAAACTGCTTTGATAAAGACAGAAGGTGTTCTTTGAAAGCACGAGATTTGGCTTTTCGAGCACTGTGGATAAAATGTACTTTACGTGAGCTTGCTGTCTCACTTGCAGCAATCGTGTTCAACATCGATGTCAATGGAGTCAGGCCGACGCCGGCCGCGATTAGCACGACTGGATATGACGAACTCTTCGCATCTGCGAGATAGAAAACACCATGCGGGTGAGATACTTGGATAACGTCCCCTTCTTTCTTAACGTCGTGTAGGATGTTGGATATCCATCCTGGATTGTATTTTGTTTCTGGGTGTTTTGGGTCAAGGCCTGTCTCTTTCTTAACGCTGATTCGATAATACTCCGGCGAATACTTATCGCTTAGTGAGTATTGTCTGGGCTGCAGATGTTTGAGTTCTGGAACTTCCACCCGTACGGAAATATATTGTCCAGGTTGGAACTCAGGGAGAGATTTGCCGTCAACGGGCTTCAGATAGAAAGAAGTGATTTCTTCCGACTCTGATACCTTTTTATCAATGATAAAATCTCGCCAATCGGCCCAGCCTTCAGTTTCTTTGTATAATGCGCCTTCCTTGGCAATGAAAATATCGGCGAGTTGGAAGTATGCTGCGGCCCAAGCGTCGTGGATTTCGGGGGTTAAAGCATCACCTAGAACCTCTTTCATCGCAGCAAGAAGATAAGTGCCGACGACTTTGTAATGCTCCGGTTGGATATGCAAAGAGGCATGTTTGTGCACAATATTTTCGACGGCCGGGGCTAGTACACCCAGATTGTCGATATGAACAGCATAAGCATAGACAGCTCCAGCCAAGGCCTTTTGCTGGTGGCCGTTGAGCTGGTTTGTAGTGTTGAAAACCGAATTTAGCTCTGGATTCTCGCTGAGAATGTTTTTATAAAATGCTGTCGTGACGGTGGTGCCATGCTCTTGTAGGACAGGCACGGTGGACTTGATGATCTTGACCTGTTCTTCAGTCAATGCCATAGTGTTGAAGGTTAGCGTTTCGACTCTGGACGGTAGCCCAATTATTAAAATATGAATGTGAATCAGCAGTGAAGTTTTTACTTGAAAAGAAATAAAACGAGAGGTATGAATGAGAATTAACTAATTTATATCATAGGCGTGAAAGAACAGCTAATACTTCTATATCCAGTGATAAATTCACCAGCAGGATAAAAGTCACGCAAAATTTGCCTCAAAATCCGATAGTGCCCGAAATATTTCCACCGGATATTCCGCAATATCCGTTGTGTCAACTCTGGGATGGGCTTGGGATTCGTTCTACAGCAACTTCTCTTGGTTTCTCCGCGGAGGGCCCTGAATCCATTATGTACTGGGTTACTATTTATGTACTAGTTATGGGGTTGTCAAAGATGATAGCTCCACATTGCATGACTTTATCCAGTCGCCCCGTCGACTAATTAATATGTGGCACCTGATTGGCTGGCTGCGGGGTCTCGATGCAGTGTTTTCAATAGAATTATTTCCGGCTTGACATACCAGCCATGGTGTTTATTGACCCCGCGTAGGGCTTCGAACCTCGTGCTTGTAAACCCTATAACCCTATAATCCAAATTCGTCATGACTAGATAAGAGTGAAATTTTTCATTCTTTGTCATAAAAACAGTGTTCTCTCAATTTTTGGGCTTTTCTAGTCGTCACTATCCCAGCGGTCTTCCAGCCGGATTTTCATTGTGACGACTTCAAAATAAAAATGATGTGACGGTGCAAGATAAGTATTTGGATGTACTGATTAGGGCTCCAGGGCTATTTTCAAATCTATTGCTGGCTGCAGGTCACACCAAACTACCAGAGCTTTTGCGGTAACAATCAACACGCTTAATGCCTTATCAACCACTTTCTTTTGCTATGCTTGCTATTTAATACTAGGCTTGCGCGGGGGCTTAGTGCGAGCATGGGCTCCGCGGAGAAGATACCTCAAACTTGACACCCATGATCGTGTGGGTGGAATTCTATAAAGTAAGGAAGGGCTGGCCAATCGATAGCTGTTGATGGTTATCAGAAGGGTTCATTGTGCACATTGAACGGCCTAAGCGCCCATATCAATATCCTACATATGTACAGTACGATGACAAAAGTTTGAATATAGCGGCACAAAAATTGATGAGGTATAGGAGCCTTCCTTGTATCAATACTAATATTTCAACTTTTTGCATTATCTACGGGCGGGCCCTCGAAGAACCCTAAGTATAAGCTGATATAAATGATGTAAATGCAGATGAAAGACAGAAACTCTTAACATATACTAAACTTTTGTCCTATTAGTGTATGTTCAAATGTTGGTCCGTGGTAGGGATTATACACATGTATGCGACATGTCGGCAAATAAATTACTGACGCTGATCCATTCATAAATGATTGCGAGAACCAGCTGGTCATTTACTACGATGGGCCGCCAACTGCTTCCATATACATGTAGGATATTAATGTCTGCAGGTCATTGGATTATTTTGCGGCCTGAAGCCCCGCACTGATCTACGCTTACATCTCCACGTGCATATCTGCTTGCATACATGCTAGGCTACAATATTCCATTTGATACTCTCACTAATATACCTAATCAAACCTTTCAAGCTCTCGGTGTCATTTGAATACAAGGACTTCTAATATGTCGCCTAAATATAAGAAAACAACATCGATACAACCAGCCTTGTCGGAGACGCAGGAGGCCGATCATTCCTGGCTAGGCCCAATATGGGCCAGTGTTGATCGGATAATGAACGAAGAACAGGTGGATGCAAAAACATACATGGAAAGTTACACGGCTATCCACGAAATCGTGCGTTGTCCGAGCCCTTCTGTAAGAGATCAACCCTTCTGCTGGATATACTCCCACTAATGCTGTCCAGCTCTCGGCCCCAACTCTTTACAAACATTTTAGTGATTATCTGAAAAAATATCTTCTTTCCGTACAGCGTCGGCTGAAGGGCGCTACTGATGAGGATGTTCTGATTCTATATGTCAAAGAATGGGACAAATACGCTAAAGCAGCTCGATTGAATAACAACCTCTTCGGATTCTTGAATCGTCATTATGTACGAAGGGAAAGAGATGAAGGGAGAAAGAACATTTATATAATAGGCTCCTTGCACTTGATCCGATGGAAAGAAGACGTGATAAATGAGATACCGGAAGAGGTCACAAGAGAAATTCTGAAACAGCTCGAAAAACAACGAAATGGCGAAACTATTAAGCAGGACGTTCTAGAGCGTGTCATAGATTCTTTCAGTATGTTATGCTCCCTACTGGCTGTTCTTTTTGATTTATTGCTTACCAGTACATATGTACAGTCTCGCTGGGAACTGACATAATTGGTAATATCGAGCCAAACCTTGACGTCTATATGAAATGCTTCCAGGAGCCTGTTCTGGCGACTACCGGGGAATATTATATAAAAGAACCCCATCAGCTTGCAGGTGAAAATATTGTGGTCAAATACATGAGAAAGGTTTAACAGAATATCCTCACCCTATTGTGAAAAGTTACGCTGACTGACATCGACAGGCCGAGACTCGACTAGAAGAGGTGAAGAACAGGGCTGTTGTAGTTGCCGATCGCAATTAAAAATTTCTAATCGATCAATATAAAAATATGGATTTTCTCGTTGACCATGGACCTGGGCTATTACTGTGCCTTCGGGGTTTCTACCATCTAACACATCCGTTAAGGACAACAAAAGCGAACTGATCAGTAGCCACCCAAACATACCTTACGTATATTGAAACCCCCTGTCCCTTCTCTCTCACCCAGGCCTATAAGATACACCCAACCTATACTAACAAGATGCTAGGTTCCCCATATGTTTCTTTAGCAAGCACTACGCCGATTAAACCTTGTTACTGACTGCTTGGCTGTGTTTCCAATACTAGCGACATGCTAAATTGTACGCTATCCTTATGACAGGAGCGTCCCACCTCGCACAATTTAACTCTAGGCAGCCCGGCAATGATTATCCTCAACTATCTACCCATCACTCCAACATTGCTCTCCGCGCTTTTCGCACTGCTCGTAACGATAATGTCTTTGTCTTCGAAAAAGTAGACGCTATCATCGCTACGGCATTGCTTTTTGCCATGTATTCCTGCGACAAGCCTGTTTTTGAGCCTACATCCCAAAATATAGACGGCCTTCTCTCTCACACCAGTGGACTCTTTGATATTCTACGGAGTCATTAAGATATCGCCCCTTTCTCCATATTCAAGTCTGTTTGCGAGCCTAAATTACCTCCTTCCGTATTCCCAACGACTGGACCCGCATTAGCCCTTGCTAGGTTGGTTAACAGTCATTTTTCTCTCACTAAAAGACATGTGTACTTTGCGACTATCAAAAGCCTCACCCTCATTTTCGATACGGTAACATCGCAACCACAGCTCGGTGATACGCCACCGCCGGCACATTTTATTTACTGTTTTCGGTGGCTCGCTTTTCTACCCCTTGAATTCATTGCACTGGTTAAATGATTGCGAGAACCAGTTGGTCATTTACTACGATGAGCCGCCAACCACTTCTACACACTTTCATGGTTGTTATTTTGATTCAAATTTACACTGGGAAAAAATAGCCTTTCGAAATACAATTTTCTGTGTATCCGATGTGAATAGAATATTGGCACAGAATCAAAGTCGATGAGCTTTGACTTTCACCATTACCCCCTTTGATCCTGCTTTTGGCCTTGGGATAAAGAACTCGCGAGCGGGTAGGACATCATCGACTGTAGTTTCGTACAGTTCAAGATCAAATCGAGTTACAATTGCCGCTACGACGAGATATATTTCGGCATATGCAAGGCTAGTATGTAGATGAGAATCATCAACTATTAAAACTATAGAGAAATGAAAAACTTACTTGATTCCGACACACTGGCGGCTGCCCTTTGAAAAAGACACGAGATATCTCTGCAGCGGAAATCCCTCTTTCTCGGCCTTGAGCCATCTCTCCGGATGGAATTTCTCAGGTTCGGAGAATACAGTAGAATCCATGTGTACCCAGTAGTTGGTTGAGCTGAATGGCGTCTATTGCCCCTTTAGTTTTCACAAAGCGCCAGTAAATATTGATATTGCAACTCACCCCAGGCGGGATAGCCCAGTTTTTATACTGGATCGGCTCATGTGCGATGCGAGGTAGACGGCCTAGAGCCCCGTGGTTGACACGAATACCTTCGCTGACTACAGCACTCTATAAGCACAATTCTAGGTCAGTGCCGTATCTATTATGTTCTTGATATGATCTTACTAGATATGACTTCTGCTCCAGATAGCGCCATACAGGCCCATCGTGAGGCATGTCATGTAATTCTTCCCTTAGTTTCCGCATCATATGTCTATTCTGGAGAAGGTAGAAGATAATAAGAGTAATAGTCCAAGAAGTCGTCTCACTTCCAGCGCCCATAAGTGACTTGCCTTCATCAACCAGTCGCTGGCGAGACTTTTCTTCTTTTGGTAGGTCACTGTCAAGCAACAACTGGAAGACTGAGTTCTCAGAACCATCTTTTCCAGCCTTTCTCTGTTGGATAAGCTTCCCAACCTTTCGTTCAATGATTTGTTCCCACTCTAGTAGTGCGACCGCCTTCTCGCTAAGCAAGCGCAGCACCTGAATGGGTATTGCTTTGACTATTGGGACCACCCATGGGAAATGTCGGACAAATCCGCCTGCCGACACAGCACTCATCAGCATTTCCTTGAAAGAAACCTTGAAATCAGCTTCTTCGAGATAATGATAGCTTTCGCCATAACAGTAATGCATAATAATGTCATTCGTGAGTGCCATGAGTGCTGCATCAAGTCGAACAATGGATTTTGACAGAGATGCCTCCTCGAAACGAGAGCAGAGATATTCAATCTTTTCTTGCATAAGCCCTTCAATTTGGTAAATAGATCTTTTGGAGAAGAACGGATTCAATGCGTTACGTCGAATGCGATGATGGTCGTGTGGACAGGTAGCGAAGACGCCGGTTGGAACCCCTAGAAAAACCACCCATTTGGCATATTTGTCACGTTTCTGCTTGGATGCTGGCGCGTAGATTGTGTCGTAGAATTCAGTGTCGAGTATATGAACTTCGTGGGGATTAATTCTCACAATTGGTCCTGGGAGAACAGGGGTGAGTTGGTGTTTTCTTTTGCTAATGCTCAGGGGCGTGGTAAAATACCGTAGAGATCGTGCATCCGTTTAATCTCCCAGACAAACATTCCTCTTTTGATAACATCGTAGTAGAATTCGTAGAAATTCGTCACCGCAGCCAATTTGGAACCGGGGAAGTGGGCGAGAGGATGGAAATAGAGGCGATAAATGGCTAGAAAGCACGCGTACGATACGATAAACACCAGCGCCAACGATAAGGACGTCATGATAGGCGTCATATTGAGTGGCCACAATTTCGGAGATTCTGTCATTGCGATAATTGCGTTTGGATCCCTCTATGAGATGACTTCACTTGACTTCAGAGACACGACACCTGAGCGCACATAAGGGTTCCACGCTCACCTCGGGACGATCAGCAGAAAGCGAAAAATGTAGCGATCCACGAGACTTCAATAGCCCGGATTCGTTAGCGAGACAAAAACTAATTAGGCTTAGACCGTGGCAGACTCTTTGTTTCCGTATGTTGGTGGCGGGGAGAACCGTTCTCGAGGTCCGATTAAGGCTGGCAGCTTTGTTCTCTGCCCAATGTTTGCACGGGGAGAAAACAAAGACTTTGACACGCTCGTTTCTAGCTTATATAAATCTTCAACTGCTCTTATTGACCTCGTTTACTTTCTTTGTTTTCCTTTCTACTGCCTGCGTATCCTTCCCAGTATTGCTAGCCTTCTTGGTGTCTGCTAATCCATACAGACTATTATTGCGACCAGGACTTTGCAGAACAATCTGCAGATACGATCAAATTTTTCAAAATGACAGCAACAGGTGTGATAAACACTCGTCAAATGAAGTACAGCGGAGGGGCAATTAGAGCGCTGAAGAACGGTAACCTTGCTCCTGATGTAGACCTCAGCACTTCACGCAGCAATATCAGCAACCACCAGGCCTTCTCGAATCGAGTCTGGAGCGAAAAGCAAAACAAAATACATTCTCCCTTGATTGAAGATGAAGTACGTCATAGCATTGGCCCATACCCTCTCACATCAGAGCTTGCTCCGTGGGTTGCTGAAGCGCTATTGAAGTACAAACCTACCGACGAAGTCCTCAACTTGGTTCAGCCATATGCAGCCGAGTTTCACGACCACGTCGAGAAAGAGAGAGCAAACAGTACGGGTCTTCACAACTTGGATCTTGTGGAGCTCACGTATCAAGTCAGTCTTGAAGTCGGCGCCGCCTTGCTAATCGCAGCCCGGGAACATGAAGATGCTGTCGGTTTGGAGGTTGAGTTTCATTCTTCGCGGGCTGCTCGAGACTCCCATTTCGGTCCGTGGGGGCAATTACTCATAGGCCTTGAATGCGATCCTCCGATTATTTCTCAATTCCCTTTCTATCTGATGATGTGTCAGGCATTTGGCTTGGAGACCAGTGGTTCTCGAGAGGATTATGTGTATTCAGCCCTCACTGGAGTTGATTGGGCCAAAGGCCAGAACGTATTCAGCAATAGACTTGAAGCTTTTGAGAAAAAGGCGAGAGCAGCGGTTCCAAAACTCAACGATAAGCTCTCTGGGAAAGATCGGTCATTCTGGCGCATTGCCCTTGCTTATCTGGCTGCCATGAACAAGTGCGAAAACGCCCAAAAATTCACCACACCCAAAACCGCATCTATCAACCACGACCTTGACATAAACCTTATTATGGCTATACGCTCTTTTGATACCATTGGGTCCGCTTACATGTGCAGCGACGGTGCTGCTTTTTTGGACAATGCCGGTATGGATGCTCTTCTTGGATCTGCACTACCAAACGATGTCATGGACCTTCACACCGATATCAAGACTGGAGAAACACGTAACTTACTACGTCTGCTGTACCCTAATGGTCTCAACATCAAGGAATCTATTCAGATAATGTCAACAGTTTTGTCTGGCATGCTCTGCGAGATTTTTCGAGCACATAAGCGCGCCCGCTTTGAGAACAGGGAGGATGGCCGAATTTCCGCCACGTCTCCTCCTTATAGCTTCTGTCGAGCTCGCCATCGCCGTATTTTCGAGACCTTGGAGACATACATTCACCGCTACCCGTCGTTCTGGGACTGGACAGACGAAATATACAACGGTGCCAAGGCACAAATTACCGAAGCTGGTCTGAATGAGCTGCTAGTAAACGCTCTCAGAAGGGCTCGTGCCTATAATTCTCTTCCAGATTCTGACGCGAACAACTTTTATGACATTTACTTCGACATGATCGAAAATGGGAAAGGTCAAATGAGCAAGAAGAGACCGCTAGGCGTTCATGAAAATATAGCTTGGATTGTCCGTGAAATACACAGCTTGTGGCATGACCACTTGCACGACCCTGGCAAGAAGCCTGGCTGGGGTCGAGAATTTGACGAAAAGTCTGATTCGCTTCTGGGCGAGGCTGGGAACATTCTGGGCGAGAAAGGAGAAATTTCGGACGAAGTGTACAGGTTTGCTATTGCTTATGGACGGTTGAGTATGGCTCTGCCGTACGTCGCGTACCACACGGTCGATGCCATTATCATGACCTTTGGAATTGCAGAGTAGGTGGTTTATCTGCAGACTTTCGCCGTTCTTGGTTTGTTCTAATAGTTGCCTGTTCTTGGAAAAGGCTGGGAAATGTATATACTTTGACGTATCCTATTCATCAAATTGAGATCTTGAATTCTGTGGCGAGTTGGCCTGGAGCCGTGTAGTGGAATATGCGCGAAGCTGCAATACTACTGTTTTGAAGGGAATGATACTTGAATGTAATTCTATTCTGAATTTTGTTATCGGATGTGTCATTTGGTTAGTTTCATGAAAACTTTTACGTCAAATCCCGTTCTTTTAAATATTCTAGTGGCAATAATTCGTAAACATATGCTTCGGCCATAGGCACTTGAAGTATACCTAGATCGACTTTTCTCGTTACATACGTATCGCAAGTATCGGTCCTCAGTAGGTTGTCGAGTGTGCGATCTCCTTGGCCTGCAGCAAGTTCTCTTGCAATGTGTCAATTTTAGTCTGAAAGCGCTTATAGCAATCCGGTCCAAGCGGCAATCGAAGCAGATTTTCCTTTCCAACACCCATGCCTGTGCCTTCCACGACCTCTAAAATTCTCTGGGCACATTTCACAGCATCACCAGGTTGGGCACCCGTATTGGACTTGAATAGCTGAAGAACCTGCTCCAATGGTGTCCCCGCATAGTCCTTGTTCATACCCGCGGCGGGCTCGACATAGACAGACCAGAAATTCGTTCGAAGCGATCCGGGCTCGACGACAAGCACTCGAATACCAAAAGGTGCTAGTTCTCTGGCCAGACTTTCGGACATGCCTAATAATTTACATTAGTTACTCAAATGCAAGTGTGTTTCGACATAATCTACTCACCTTCAAGGGCAAATTTGCTTCCAGCATACATCGCACAAGTGGGCAGTCCATCAATACCAGCGCTACTACTGATATTAACCACAGTGCCAGACTTTCTCGCACGCATGAACGGAAGGACGCCCTTCAAGACACGGACAGGACCGTAAACATTCGTGCTAAACTGGGCCTCGATTTCGCTCTCACTCATGTCCTCTATGCTGCCCAGCAGTGAGTACCCGGCATTGTTGACAACGACATCAATGACGCCGCCGGCTTCTTTTACTGCGTCCTCAACTATCTTGGGAGTGTTTGGGCTTGTCACGTCGAGTTCAATCCATGTACCCCCGAGTTCTGAGATGCGTGGGTTGGCCTGGGCTGCTTTGGTGGGGTTGCGAGCTGTGGCAATTACTTTGTGGCCGGTCTGAAGGGCTGCTTCAGCGATCGCAGCACCGAGCCCAGAGGATGCACCAGTGACAAGCCAAGTCTTCATTTTAGCCAGAATAGTAATCGATCGGTAATATGGAGAGGTTGTGCGGGAATGGCCGGCAGAGTCTTAAATAGGTGAGTTTAAGACGAAGTGCAGTTTCCATAGCTATTTTGAAGACAGTAAAGTTCGGAGATTGGTTGCTAATACCGCTATGTCCGATGCGATAATAATCACGACTTGATACTTATCGACATGCCAGCGGCAGGAATGGATATTCGCTTGCTGTGGAGTTAACCGGGAGAATGACAAATTCATATGAAATTAACCAACGTAATCGGACTCCCACCCGGCCATCCCCATACACCATATAAAATGGCTATTTTTCTAACCTTACGTCAATAAAATTATAGTGTATTATTGATTTATTCATGTTTAACGACCTTACCCAGCTATAGCTATGAATGTCTTGTTTCAGTCGGCGCTAGGGAGCTTTATAAGGGCCTAAACCGCCAATTCCCCCCACTGCCTGGCCCGACTGGTGCCCAGCGTTTAATGTAAACAAATTCCTCACCCCAAGCCGCTTATATGCGCAGGGTGATTCGGGGGCCTTATAGGGGTTGGCGGGACCCCGACCTCTCTCCTGGGAATCAAACATGCGGGCGTCGCCTGCTGATGACGGGCCACCAGAGCTGTCACCGTTCCCCCGGGGGTCCGCCGCGCCTCGGGGGCCTCTTCGGCCGCTGAGAGCCCTCCCGCGGCTGCCGACACTGCCTGCCGTGGAGCAATAGGTACGCCACGGTCTGTGTGCCCCCTTTGAGCAACCCCCACACTGGGGGGTGTCGCGCCTGCCGATTCGGTGCATGTATGCCACCAGCGGGGCATGTCCGGTCTTGAACTGATATAGGTACCGTGCCACGGCCTTGGGGGCCTTGGCCGGCTCGGGGTCGATATGCCGTCCTCGGGAGGCGTCGTAGGGCTGGCGCCCTCTCTTTTTAACCCTCGCGGCGAGTTCTCTAGTGAGCCAATGTGAGGAGGTTATTTGGAAAGCAGGCAAGCGTTGGAGCCACCGGTCGAACGTAGGGTCCGAGTAGGTATAAACTGATTGCTGACCTGCGGCATATCTGGCCGCAGGTGCAGAATATATAGTGTCTCAGCTAGCTAGGGCCTTAGCAGGGCTCTTGTGAGACCTTCCGAAGGTAACGTATGTGCGTCAAAGGGTTATTGATATCTCTTAACATGTAGGGCCTCACAGCTGTATTTTTTGTAATCTCCATCAGTTCTGATTTATTTTTATTAATATTTTAAAATATAGTTAATAAAATATTTTATTATATGTATTAAAATTTAAGTGACTATTTGTATATAATTTTGATGAGGTATAAGGCTAGAAATAGCCATTTTATATGGCGTATGTGGGTGAAGGTGTCCGAGTACGTTAGTGAAGCCTGATACGCATCTGGCTAAAAGTTTTTTGGGTTAAGCGTGGCCAATTAATGTATTAGTAAATTCTCAGGGAGTCAGGGTTTTTAATTATTCAGATTGGTTCAGAGATTCTTTATCTTACAACAATTGGGTTTGTCTACTTCACCACGCAGCGTATATATGGAAGTGTCGATTTTCCTGAGGCAGGGCGCCAACTGACTAATTAAGAATCTACTCTGAAAATTGATGATTGCGCTTAACCGAAAAAACTTTAATCGAGTGCGTATCCAAATCTGGGTGCGCGTATCACGCCCCAATCATCAATCATGTCAATTCGTGCCTCAGGCATCCCAGTTCGTACACTAAACGAACTATACTCCACCATTCAATAAGAGATGTCAACTTTTCGACATGAAATTCAAAAAGTGACAGTGCATAGACAGCCCTAGATCAGGAATGTCTTCCCCTTTCGGTCATAGCCGACAAGAATGGGCCTCCTCATTGGTGCCTCACTATATTACTAGATTCTAAGTCTGATTCCGGGTCCAGCCAAAATCTCACGGGGGCCAAATGTCAACGTCGTATTTACTAATAGTATCCGTGTCTATTTTAAAGTATATGAGAAAATTAATCCAAGCTTTTAATTTTGTGATCCAATCCAATTTACATATTAAGCTTAAATTGGTCAGCTTGGCTTGCAGGTTGCAATGTATAAAAGCGGGACTGTCCCTGCCTGGTGACTTGGGGGCTTTTCGTCCAACTTTGACCTGAGGATGGCATCTGTTATCATTAGATTCGGGCTATTAGCCAACATTCTGAGTGTCTTCCAAGTTACTCACGCGCTGACTCTGAACGTCTCAACTACTGGTGGCAATGCGTCGAGTCCAATACTGTACGGTCTTTTATTTGAGGTATATCCTTTCTCCTTCCTTCAAACATAACAAGGACATTAAAAGGGGAAAAGGATGTATATCACTCCGGTGACGGTGGTCTCTACGCCGAATTGGTCCAAAATCGCGCATTCCAAGGCACCACAATCAATCTTGACAGCAACAACCATGTCGAGGGCCCATTTCAAAATCTAGATTACTGGCACTCGAGCGGACCAGAGGTCACATTAACACTGGACAACCAACAGCCCAGTTTATCCGATGCTTTGCCCTATCACATGCGAGTGGACGTTGCAAGTGGCTCGGGCAGTGACAATAATAACACGGGCTTCTGGAATGAAGGATTCTGGGGTATGAATATAACTACTGCCACCCGGTATGCTGCCAACTTTTACCTTCGAGGCGACTATGAAGGCGATATCGTGTGTGCGTTTTGGAGCAATACGACAAATTCCATGCTTGGGAATACGACGTTTACGGGTATATCCCAGACGGATTCTGATGGTTGGAAACTGTATCAACAAACCTTCACCCCATTTGCTTCTGGGCCGGATGAAAAGAATACTTTTCATTTGACATTCGATGGAACTGCTGTTGCTGGCAGTAATCTTCGTTTCAATATGATTAGTGTTTTCCAGCAAACCTGGAAAAATGGGAACAACGGGTTGAGAATGGATCTTGCAGAGGCTATGAATGATATCGGGGGGAAATATCTTCGGATGCCGGGTGGGAATAACCTCGAGGGACAGTCGTCACCATATAGATGGAAATGGAATGAGACTATTGGTTCTATTATTGATCGCCCTGGGTTCCCGGGGACTTGGGGATACTATAACACGAATGGGTTAGGACTGCTGGAGATGATGCAGGTGAGCTTGGCTACGAAAGTACATTTTTGATCAGCACTAACACAGTTAATTTTGCTTTTTTAATATAGTGGTGTATTGACATGGGCCTGGAGACCATTCTCGGCGTTTGGGGTGGATATTATCTAGACCATGAAGTCGTTGCAGAGGCGGATCTACAGCCGTATATTGACGATGTTCTCAACGAGCTAGAATTTTTATTGGTAACTTTGGCCGCCCCCCTTGTCCTGATTATATTAAGATGATTCTCTCAGGGACCAGAAAATTCTACCTATGGCTCTTTGCGTGCATCCTTGGGGTACCCGGACCCATTCACCATCAAGTATGTTGAAATTGGGAATGAAGATTTTTTCGACTCTTCGAACTCCTATATCAGTAAGTCAACAGTCGTTGCATAAAACAATTTTGTTCTAATATATGTAAATGTCAAGATTACCGCTTCTCAATGTTCTCAGACGCCATTAAAGCCGCATACCCAGACATGATCATCATATCCTCCATCTGGTCTGGCTACTTCACTGACCCTGTTCTCCCCAACGGTACAGTGCAAGATCTACACGATTATTTTTCTGCTTCAGATATGGTATCAAAATTCAATGGCTACGACAACGCAGACCGCAATTATCCTGTCCTTGTCGGTGAATACGCCGCTATATACGACGATGAACACACAAATCCTAACCAACTCGATAACCCAACCCTACAATCTGCAACTTCCGAGGCGGTTTATATCTTGGGACTAGAACGGAATTCAGATCTTGTTGTTGGATTTTCACATGGTGCGCTTATTAAAAGTCTGCATGATGAGCCAGATAATGTGGCAATGATGAAGCACTCACCTACAGAAATCGTCTTATCGATGAGTTACTACGTTGCGAAGTTATTCGCAACGAACTACGGCTCACAAACAGTTCCTGTTACGGCGGACACTGGGTATGGACCGCTGTACTGGTCTGTTATGAAGAATGAATCTGAAACGTATTTTGTGAAGATCGTGAATTATGATGGCGTGGACTCGACACCCGTGATGGTGAATATTCCGGGAAAATCAAATGAGGCCAAGTTGATCACCTTGACAGCTCCGGATATGTATAGCTCAAACTTGCCGGGGAATACAACGAGTATATGGACAGAGACGACGGTGGAATTCGATAATTCCACTGGGTATACTTTTACGCTGACGGGAAGTTATGTAAATGCTGTCTTGGTGGTATGATTGGATAAATAACACTACCTAGATGTCTGTATATTAAATTTGTTGAAATGTTTGTGTAGAACAAGAAACTCCGAGGTGGGAAAATTGTGGGTGCTAGAAACGACTGGTAGGAAGGCATCGTCGTAGGGCTGATTATATATTCTAATTGAGAAATTTTTTCGGATTTAGAAATGTTTTTGTTTTGGACATATGTTTGGTGTAAGATATAAATCTGTCACTATTAATATTATCAATTTAATAATGTTTTTTGAAAATGATGGTTATATAATGTTGCTTTGCTTGCAATAGTAACACAACTACATTAGGGCCTAGAGACGTTGCGGTAGCGTTTCTAACATTCAGCGCCTGTTAGTATTGTCCTGGTAACCTCACTTCACTATCAGTCAGCTGTCATAAAAATATTAAAACATATAAGCGATTTATTAAAATTTGTGACCTGGTAACATCAAAGAGAACTGAAGATTCATCCCCTTTTTCTGCTTTCACCTTTGTTGTTCGTTGTATTTTTCTGATATTTGATCATTGATTTGAAATAACTTTGGAACAGAAATATGTGAGGTGCAACAAATATTTCTCCGCTTACATCACTCTACCTGCAAGTCAATACATCATGGCCTTGCACAGTGAGGATTCAGATAGGGACGTTGCCATGGTAGACACTGAAAGACTTGAAATAAACAATGACACCGGTATGGCTATGAACATTTCCATGACCCAACAAATCGAAGACGAACGCGATATTTCCTGCTCTACATTCCCAGAAAAAAGCGTAGTAGCCATCAACTATGGTAGGATCTATGCAGGTCCTTGTCATGACACCGACCATCCTTGGCTTATCAACGAAGTGGCCCACGAACAGTCCTCACATACAGAACTCCGAAATACCTCACTATACACTTCCATGGTGCGCAAACTGCCCGGGTGTGGGAGACAAGTCCAACAAGCACGTCACCAAACAGCCGCCATTGCTGCTGAGCTCAACATAGACGTGACTACAATTCAGGGATCGCTAAAACCCCATGAACCACACGTCAACATTGCACAGATCTTACACGACGACATTTTCAACCCCTGGATTCCAGACTCGTGGGAGGTGGCCGATATTGTAGCTAGTCTCATTCAGCACTGCGACCGCGAGCTGTTTCTTAGACAGTATCTGGAAATGGGATTGGAAATTGGAGAAGTTGAACTTCAACGAGAGTTTCTAGTTTGGTTCCTTAATTTTGTTAATGATGTTTGCGAAGCTATGGACGATATCTACACAAGACCAGGGCCATCGACAAGCGAGTTTCCAGGCTACATATTTGACAGCCCCATGATAACTGAATAGCTATTATTCAGAGCTTTGAATATCGACAGATCATTTAATGGTGGATTAGGTTACCGATGCATTTAAGTGCAATCCGTTGTATATAACTTATCATATTGCAAATGGCGATTAGGATTAATTGATAGGGCACATTGAAAAGAATATCCGAGAAAAGCAATCCAACGAGCTGGAGATCGCCTAGAACGAATATAACAATCCAATAGGGATTAGACCTTGAAATACTGCAATACACTGATGGACTAGTCATAGTCACTCATAAACTCTGTCAACCACTTGTTCCTTCCAGTCCAGCTTCGGCATTTCTTCCCAAAAATCCATAGCGGGACTGTAAGCGAGCACGTAGCTAAGATAATACTCCCTAATACCACGAACACATTCAAGACCCCTGAATTCACCAGCCAATCCTCAATCACATACGACATGCCGAAAGCGAGAATGTTACGTAGGTTGAGTGCCACGAACGCCTCCGCATTCAGTGTTGGGTAACAATCGAGAACATATCCGTACAGACAGGTTGACGTAAAAGCCAATGCCATATTTGAAAGTCCATAGGTGAGCACAGGACCGGTCCAATGTGTCTGGTAATGGACGGTGGCGCCGAAGCCGAAGAAGCCCACGGTACTGAGGATAATGACAACAACAATGAGGACAAGACGAAACTCCGGCTCGTATATGCCCTTGTTCTTGCGAGTGAGGTACAAGCAGATAGCATCATTCAGAGGACCAGAAACGACCTCGCCAATAATGGCCAGGATTAGTGGGGAGAGTGACGTTAGACCGGCTTGAGAGACGCTGAAGTTGTACGGTGGAGCAACGAAAATTACGCCGATCACATTCGAGTAGACGACACTCCAACACATCATAACACCGAAGACCGCAAATAATACGAAGACAGCAGGATACCAGAACAGAATAAATGGCCGGGCAGCAACCTTGAACAGAGACGCGTTGCTATACCGACCAGAGTAGAGGTGGAGAGAATGCCAGTACGACATTTTGCGCTGGATGCCGTTAATTGAGCTGTCACTTGTACTCTGTTCAAATTCAGAGGCCTTTTTTCGAATCTTATTTTGTTTTGTTTCGAGATGCATAGCGGCGATATGATCGCCTTTGGCTTCATCGACCATTGCACGGACAACGATGCTACTTTCCCGGTTGTAGCAAGTCTCGGGAACAAAGAAGACGATGAGAAGTAATAAAACACCGTAAAGAATAGCACAGATCCAGAAACACCATTTCCAGCCCAAATTCTCAATGACATAACCTGAAATGAGTGCGCCGGCATTTATACCACACAGAAGGCACATATTCCAGAAAGCGATTCGTGTACCTCTCTCGTGCACGAAATACAGATCACCAATTGTGCATTGAACCAGTAATTCAAATGGTGCTAACCCGAAGGCGCCGATAATTCTACTGGCTTCAAACATATGGAATTCATTTGCGGTGCCTCCAACGACGGAGCTGATAAACAGCATCACGATGGAGAAGATATATATCGGTCTTCTACCATAGACCTTAGCCAAGGGGTTTAGCACAAAGAGTGAGAGTCCTATTGTGAGAATCATCCAGGCTGTGGCTTGGGCGAGCTGGCTGACGGAAATCCCGAGCTCCTTGGCAATTTCAACGAAGCCAGGTGAGAGCATGGGGCCATATGAACCAGCCACCCCGGCAGCAAGACCGATGATGAGAAGGACGGACTCCTTCCGCCATTGCGGCCACTATAACACGTTAATAATGGACATGTCTTCATAGGACTGCTTTGGGTACATGGATGGACCTGTCTATGGTTGATACGTACATTTAAAGGATCGTTAGGATCGTCGGAGGGCTGCGGGACAAGGATCACGGAAGAGAATCGCCCTTTGCCGTGCTTCAGTTGATCACGAGGGACTAGGGAGTATTCAGGTGGAAGATCGTCCTGGTCGCTGACAATAGCTGACATGTGTGATCAGCAGAGCGTCTAGGTGGGGTGGTAGGGCGCAGTATATTCAAACCTACCGGTACCAGGCACATTCTCTACTGCGTCACACTCAAGGATTCCAAAGGGCATTTTGCAAGATTTAGAGATCTTATGCCGGGCAACGATGTAAGATTGTAAGCCTGGATCGCTCCATGGAGGAGAATCTAAGGATTCATATGCACCCCAGAAAAGACCTTTTGTGTGTCTGTCTGCGGAACAGCGTTCCACCGTGTATTTTTTGTCCCGATTACCCCGAGTCCCGCATTTCAGGTCCCACCGGAACTGTCACAAAGTCAATTTTCTCCAGACCGTTCTCGAACGGATCCGTTTCACGGATTGAAAAATTGTAGCCTAACTTTAAACGTAGAGATGTTGCTAGGCTAGTAACCTACACCAAGGCCAAATGCCTATGGGAGAAAGGAATCAGGCAGTGTGCTCATTGATGGTCGGTAGCTCGTCTATCATATCATCACACAAAATTCTGACTAAATACCATGTAACCTTACGGGTGTGGATTATATGGTTATATTAATATTGAATTAATTTAAGCCGTCTAATTAATATTGGTGATATTTATTTACTATGTATATGCACAATATCCTTGAACACAGGTAGCCATAGTAACGCCTGGTGGTTTGTATTGTACTAGTAAAAAGAGTCCCAGAAGTCAGAATTGTGTCGGACCCCCCATTCGTTTGTCATGTGAGGTGTTGGTGTACAAAGTAACATGATGTTATCATCCTTGGCTTTATATGCAAGCCAATGTGATGGTGATACACGTTTCGCGGAGTCGTCAACGAAGTTTGGTGTGCCTCGGTGCGCGAAAGTGGTCCAGTAGTGCACCATTTGCCTGGCCAGTTGCTGTTGCGAGTCTGTAAGGGGTTGTGCTTTACCACTACCACCGCGGAAAAGAGGGAAAAGATACTGTAGCTCTATCGTATGCGCAGATCCATAGGGGAATGATACCTCCGGCCAAGGCGACGGTGAATCGGGAACATCGAATTCATAGGCGTACACCTCTGTCACGTGTTGAGCCATGACCCGTGTTGTCCGCCGGCCGGCAGTAGATATTAACCCAGCATCCCCTATTGCAGCAGCAAGTGCTCTACTTGCACTTGGGTGCGATCCAGCTGGGTAGAGTTCAAGAACCTGACTAATTGCATCAGACGGCACTATTACACCGTTGAGATGTAAAGTATTGAGTAGATCGATCGTATCAGTGAGGATTTGTGGATAAAAATCCGCGGAAACGACCTTTCCAGAGCGTAGTTCTATCATTGCCTGGAACCAGGAAAACTCGTCCCGGTTGACACCAATGATCATAGGAACTCGACTGAATTGGCCAGTCGAGAATTTTTCTCGAAGTGATTTTGGAACAACTTCCCCATCTTCCATTAACCCAAAGGGAAACTTCCCCAATCCAAAGGTGTCGTCTGGTAAAGCATCAGCGGCCATAATATCCTTGGTCGCGATTAGTCTAAGTTGTCGCGGTATTTGCTCCTTACAACCTGCGGCAGATGCGAGGCCAATCCCTTGCTTCTCGAGACTTTCAATGGTTGGAAACGGCATGGTAGGGGGTGATCCTCCACTCTGGATGATAACTTTGTGGAATAGGCCGATTGAGCCAGGGGAAACCATGTGTGCCATAACGCTGGCGCCTCCAGCGGATTCACCAAAGATGGTGACATTAGTCGCATCTCCGCCAAATACTTCAATGTTGCGCTGTATCCATGTGAGAGCAAACTGTTGATCCAGAATACCGTAGTTCCCTGACGGGTGATCCTCGGCGTTGATCGCAGGGTGAGAAAAAAAGCCGAAGATGTTGACACGATAGTTGAGAGATACAAATACGACATTGCCATCATTAACCAGTCTTATAGGGTTGTAGTCATTACTCGCACCACTGGAGAAGCCTCCGCCATGGATAAATGCCATTACTGGCAGCTTCTTTGAGCCCTCGGGTTCTCGGCGAGAATGAGCTGGCGTAAATACATTGAGATAAAGACAGTCTTCGGTGTAACTTGTATGACCAAAGCCGGGAAAGCTGGGTGTATGCTGAGCGCAAACGTTTCCAAAAGATACTGATTCTAAAGGCTCTTCCCACGCTATAGGCGCAACTGGAGGCCGCCATCTTAATTCGCCAGTCGGCGGGCTAGCGTATGGTATGCCTAGAAATTGACGCATACCGTCACTAACAAAGCCCCTGATGGGGCCATTGGTTGTGGGAATAATTTCCGTGAGTTCGTACTGACACGAGGGAGACATAGCTCGTTGCTTGTCGAGCGTATGCATGCCCCTGCCCTCTCTCTCTAATGCTGGTTGAGACTTTATGTGCAAGGTATTCCCTGGCGCCCCGCAAAAAGATGGCTGGATGTGGAAGCGTCCCGATTGGTCCCCGCATGGACTAAGCTTGAATATACGGTCCCACATGCCAAGATTACTGTATGTAACACAATTACGCAGGGTTGGGATCCATAATTATACCCGATGGAAACGGGCAAGCATTAGATCAAGTTGACTTCGACGGATGAACTCAGTGTATTTTGTCATGCCCAAAAGAATTCGAGCCGATTGAAAGAAGAAGCTGTAGATAAGAAGGGAATATGCCTATTAGGAACTCTAAATAAGATTAAATTGGATATTTAGCCTTATTATACAAGTATTATGTCAGGTCGAAGCTGACCTTAATATGAGGGGCTGGAAACGATTCCGGTCCGGAACGCCTTCCGAGAAACGTACAAATCAAGTCTCGGTGTGAATAGAACTGGCTAAAAATGATTCTGCCAAGGGAGCATCAAATTATCGTTTTCGTTTCATTTCTATTGTGATACAAAGTAATGAACTTGAAAGTCTCTAAAATACCCAACCCGTCCATCTCAAAATGTCATCAACAACGAACAACAGCTCGACGGTAGCTGAATCTGCAGAGAGAATAAAGTTAAATAATTTTTTCGAATGCCTTTCGAATAAAAATGTGGCTCCTCTGTGGATTTCTCTCCAAAAAATGGTCCCACCCAAACCTAACCCCACTGGAGTCATCGCTTTATGGCCTTATGCATCGATGAGGCCATCTCTAATAGAATCAGGGACTGTCGTTTCCGCCGAAGAAGCAGAAAGGCGAGTCCTCATGCTCGTAAACCCTGCCTTAACTGCCCCTTACACGACTGATACAATATATGCTGGGCTACAACTCATTCTTCCGGGTGAAACTGCCCCGGCTCACCGGCATATGGCGTTTGCTCTTAGGTTCATCATTGAAGGTTCTCAGGGCTTTACGGCTGTCGAAGGCGAGAAGATTATGATGGAACGAGGAGATGTTATTCTAACTCCAAGATGGGGTTGGCATGACCATGGAAATGATGGATCCGATCCCATGATCTGGCTAGATGGGCTAGATTTGCCAGTGTTTAGACTCTTGCCTATTAACTTTGCCGAAAATTATGAACACAATAGATACCCAAGTGAACTTGTCTCTGAAAGCAAGTTCAAGATAACTTGGTCGACAGTGTCCAGGGATTTGGATACTGATAAATTAGTTCAGCCGTATGCGCGATATGACTATCGTTTACCAGATGGATCGCATGTTTCAGAGACCATTTCTGCACAGGCAGAACGGGTTACAGCTGGATATACTACACAGAAATCACAAGAAACGTGTTCATTTGTATATCATGTCTACGAAGGACAGGGTTATTCAACTATTCTGCCCCCAAACGGACAGGAGCAAAAAGTCAGTTGGGAGGCGAAAGATACGTTTAGTGTTCCGGCATGGAGTGTTATCTCCCATACCTGCACAATGAACAGCGGTAATGCCTATTTATTTGCTATTAATGATCGGCCTATGGTGGAAGCTTTAGGTTTTGCGAGACGTGAGAGATATTAGTTCTACACTCATCTGATGTCAGCTTGTTAAGTTCGTTACCATGCTTTATTTCAATTTGAAGAAAAAGATAAATATTGGAGATAGTACACAACTTACGCAATATACGTACCACATGTAACACTTTGGATACCAGCTTGAGTGGTGTCTGGAAAGACTATATGACTCTATATAAGCTTACCATGGCTCTAATAGGATTGAAGATAGGGCAATATAGATACACAAGAATACAGAGGTTCAATATGAAGGCCAACTGCCCTCAGCAATCAACTTTATAGGTAATATCTAACAAATCCAAAGGGAATTACTCGATCCTCTATTTCCAAGCAGAGATTTCAAACTTATAAGGAATTGCCAATCCACAAGTTCTCGAAACATCGATTAGCTTGACAAAGACATATAAAACAGGTATAAAGTACACAATACATCAATAATGATCTACCATTATAGTTGAGATATTTATTCATGCAATTTTGTCAATTCTAATTTGCAAATAAACCGCTTGAGGTCTCACAGATACCCGGCTTCCTTGTAGAACTTGGCCGCGGCAGGATGTAGAGGGACTGGAGATAAAGCCATTTTCTTCGGATCAAGAGGATAGGTCAAAGGGCTCTTTTCAGGAGGAATATGACGATATTGACTCTCAAGAGCGTCTCGGGTTTCAACCAGGCACCACGTAAGCAGGTAAGCTACATCATCTGGCAGGTCATCTCGCACAAGTATAACAAAATCAGAAAAATCAAGGCATGGTAAGGGTTCCGTGAGATTACCCCAAAATCCAGCAGGTAGTGGATTAGGATCCGCCTTGCTTACTCCCGGGTTTTCCTCCACAAACCTCTCCAGCGCCGATTCTTCGATAGGTAGAGGAATAAAGTGTTTTTTTTGAATTACTTCTTCCCACCACGGCGTCATGATCGCCTCTTGCAAGAGAGCATCTGCCTTTCCGCTGAGAACGAGCATAACTGTTTGTTCTGGTCGTTGAGCGTGAACTATAGCACCACCCCATGAAACAAGCTCAGCTTCGGTGATTCCATGTGCCTTGAGATATGCATTGGCGGTATATCCAATGAAATTAGTGCCGTCATTAGTTGAGGTGGCGATTCGAAGTGGAGGTCTTTTGTTGCGCAGATCGTTAAAAGATCGGATTCCGAATTTTGGGTCAACAGCCAGTACCATACGATCGTTCTGAGGAAGGACAGCCAGCGCACGGAGTGAAGGCATTGGACCAAATTGAGAAAAAATTCCTTGACCAGTCAACGCTGTAGTTATCATTTGCGCAGGGGTAGCAATAGCCAATTGAGCCTGTCCCTGAAAGACAGAGGTCACTGCTTCAATACCTCCATATCGAATGCTCCAGGTTGCAACTCGACTATCGGGCCCTGCGCGGTCACAAAATTGTTGAGTCAGCCATGAACAAATACGATGGAAATTTGCCATTCCCCAGTCGCCGACAAAATGAAGAGTCATTGAACGTGCGATTCGCGGTTCATTTTGTTGGTGCTTTAGTGCTTGATTCAGGTCAGGAGTTGCCATTTTACTTCACTCTGTTCTGCTCTTTTGCTTTGTTTTGCTCCTTTCTTTTTGCAGGTTGGTTTGTATTTATCTTAGTTCCAGATTTGTACAGTTGAGGCGCGGGCACCAGTCGGAGTGAATTCCGTAGATTCCCCGGCGGGGAAATTCCATAGTTTGTTTCCTGCAGATTTGAGAGCGATTGATATATCGGATCGTCAAGCGCCGAAGCGCGAATTTGTAATGGTAGTCGGCGGTAAACTGAGCGAGTACCGACATTGGAGGTAGAACGAACGTTGGTCCCGCCGGGAACCCCAGCGTATATCGACATCATAAGAAACGGTAATTTGGCTGTGATTTGTAGCTTGTTACTGATACGGCAGTGTCCCCGCCACGCAGAGATGCATGAACGATTATTTGAATAACAGAGCTCTGGGGTAAACAAGATGGGGGCACGCAATCGGATGACTTCCACTTCTTCCCCTTATCCCACTCGACGGGATGTGGGACATGCATGTACCTACGGAGTCACCGAAATATGTCCTTATGGAAACCAGAAATCGCGAATTTCTATTGCGGGTCATACCGAGTTTGGTACGTCATCCAAATTTCGGCCGAAGCAGAGGATAGCTCTAACCCTAACCCAACTCTACATGAGCTGGTGGATACAAAAATAGCCAATACAAATAGCCTTGTTTATAAGTTGACGAACCCAATAGTTCCCAAGGGAAGATAGCTATTGCTGTTTTCTCAGTGCATGTAATATGAAGCTTAACGGGGAGCCAGGTCCGTAGGAACTTTTACCAACTAGGTATGCAGACCTGAATGAAAATCACGAAGCGATACAACAACTAATTCCCTTATCTTGTTTGGGTAGTGTGTTGTAATAGCAAGTCAATGGGACTCTCCCAGACAAATTAGCAACACTTCCTGATAAATTCAACCATCATGACTCTTGAAATCTTGTATACCTACACTGCGTAACTTAAGAAACTTTTACGTTTATAACGCTCGTTAACGGTAGGTACACTACATCTTCAAATTTAAGGCGAGAAGAAAAGAGCCCACGATTGAAAATTGAAGATTGCGCAGTTTAACTAGACGTGCTATCATAAAGGTTGGTTATTTCACCAATTAACCCATTTTCTTGGCTAGCCAGGCGCTTCGGCATAATATTTGAGATCGCTGTTGAATTTATTATATTGACGTACCATCTTTTTCCCAAGAACGGACGGTGTCATAAGGAATGAGATCGGGCCCATAAACTTCTCGATTTATTTCAATATAGTCGAGGAATCATCGTTTGCGGGCTCGATATGGAAGCTGTGAAGGCCGACGATGAGGCCGTGGACTAGTGGGCCTTGCCACTGGAAGGGGTTCTCTGAGTTTGCCTTTCGATCTTGCTGTCACTTTATTTATTGTCCACACCTTGTCTCAATAGAGGGGCAGAGAGCTTGCTCTGCTCACCGTGATGTTCGCAACGAATTTCATGTCATCAAAGTTGCATTTGACTTTATCGCCTGGTTTGAGCGCCGAAAGCAACTTGGAGCTATCCTCGGGATTCAGCAATTTGATTAATGTTGTGTGCCATTGTGGATATTTGGAGAAGTCGAGTAACTGTGAGGATACTATCCTAGCGGCCTAGCCTTTGGGATTGCGCGAGGAAAAATAGAAGAGCAGCAAGTACATACAATTTCTCGCACCTTAGAAGGCGGTGCGGCAATCTCAATTTGTGCTTCAATCGCCATTACGATGCTCCTCCGTGTTAACCCCGACGTCACGTTAATGAGTCATGTCGAAAGCTAAGAGGAACGAAGTGTAGCCTTGTTATGTTTTATCCAATCAAAGCGCGTTCTCATCGCCAGCACCAGAATTTCCTTGTTACATATATACCTTTGGATCTCGTCTTACATAGAATCGGGCCGGCGCAATGTAAAACAGACTCGGCGTTTTCATTACACCGGTAAGCGGAACCGTAAGCTGTAATTTTATTATTCGCGTTAGCGGTATTATTTGTACAGAACTGCTACATTTCCATAACGACTGATTGGTTGGAGGCTAATCACGATGTCAATCATATCAATAGAATGCGATTGCAATGCGTGGACTACTGGCTATGATGACACTTGTAGCGGGAGTTTTCCTCTTGTAGAGAACGTCTGAGCCTGAGATGGATAATTGGGATGAATATATATCCTCTTCTCAGCCGTTGATTCCAGGTGAAGATATTCGTGAGGAAGGTCAAGAACAGGCAGGAGTGGGAACTTTGTTGACTATATCATCTCATGGACGGACGAATGGTGACAATGAAAGCCGCTGTTAGCTGTATTTTAGTTTTGAGAAGATCCGTCAATTGCGAGGCGAAGAGTTCATTTGAGTATGGCTGGTATGAAGTTCAAATGTTCAATGTTGCTAGGGCTATGATACATCAAACCATGACTCTCTCAAATTAAGACCTGACTCTTGCATATGCAGGGCTATAGACAGGGTACGTACCATCAAGTACGTACTTCATCCACCCTACCGAATATGTCCACCTTGTCCTTTGGTTAGTAAGTATGCATCCCAATCGCATGAACTAGTCCACCCTCCTTGCATTATCCTAGCCCATGCGCCAGTTGACAGCTACCAGCTGCCAATGGCAGGCGCCAATGCGGATGCGGGATGTGGCCGATTCATCCGAGCAGTATTCCAGTTGCCCTGCTACACTGCATAATAGTCATTGCCGATCAGCGGTCAATGATCATGGGATCTGGTTGAGATCCCAGCGGGCCGGTCGGAACATTTGAAGCATTCAAATATTTGTTGGAAGGGTCCAATCCCGAAACCTCCCGCAGGGGGTTCGCGACGCAGAATCCAGCATGTGAAGGATCCACGTGATAATAAAATCACGTGTCTGCACGTTCAATGAAGGCATTACATTGTGGACGTAAACCACGACAGTTCATATTAACATGAATTGCATCTTCTACCAAGACTCAGTCGTAAATCAATGAAAATTATGTCTATACTCAATTGAACCTCTCCAATTCTTCGATATAACGTAATGGATAACGCCAGAACAATGTTTGATCGTAAATATTCAAGGGCCAATCCCTAAATATCCCGCAGCCACATGACTATCCCTTGCGCACTCCGCACAGATGAACGCGCATTGTAGTGCATTACTTATTACGCGCAATATTAGTCGAGATTCGAGACTCGAGAGGACTGCGAGTTGCGGATAGCTCGGGTCGCTGCTAGTCCGATGACTCAAGCAGGAACCCGAGGGTACTCGATCAGTACTAGTTTGCTGAATATTAATCGTACATCGCATAATCATATTCTTACTCTATCAGCTGTCAGCAGTCAGGGGGTTCTTTCAAATGATAATTAATTATTGATTGCAATTACAGTAATGCACACTCATAAATGCACAGGTGACCGCCCTTGAAGGGAAATAATAGAACTGTGTACGAACAAGGAGTTGAGAAAAAGGGTGTAGATGCAGATCTCTGGCGGTCATGTGGCCGCAAACCGGACCAGTGGCGCCGAAAGGCCGAAACCCGGACTCGCACTCTATTTGCCCGCCAGCCAATCAACAGGCCTCGTTTAGGATTTTTCTTAATTATTATTCAAATGGTGAGCAGCCAAGGCCTTGGGAGGACAGACTGGTCATACTGATCTGTTCATACTCAGGCTACGATGATTTTACTAGGAAAGGTTGGAGAATAGTTATTGTAAAGGTGAATGATTATATTCAGTCTCAACCCGTAGGGAGATCTATATACAGAGTAGAGTATTAGTTTTGGTAAATAAACAAGAATCGCTCAGATATGCACTTTCGCCAAATGCTCGTCAATCGCTAGCAGGGTATCGTAACATCATAGATGGTATTATCGTAATATCGCATTCAACTTTTTTTAGAATGCAGGTATCAACGTACCCTGCTCGATGTAAGCGTGATCGAACATGATGGACGACTGGTCCAGCCCATCGCTGCGCTTGGCAGGATGTTTTTGTGTGGCCATGAAGGCGTCGATGGCGACTTGTGTGGGCGATGGAGGCATTGAGTCCTCTTCTGAGTCGGACGAGCCATCCTCGACCAGCTCTGGTGGGGATGGAGGAGATTTGTGAGAAGGCGACCGTGTGAGTGTGAGACGGGCGGCTTCTTCATCATCATCTTCCTCCTCTTCGATATCTTCTTCTGAGATCTCTGATAATTTGGGAGCGACGCTCTTGATCGTGGCAAAGTCTTCTTCGTCAAACTCAGAGTCCGAGTCGCTCAAGTCAGAGTCGTCGTCGGAGTAGTCCTCGACAGACTCTTCCTCCACAGTATCGGCCCATCGAATGTGAGAGTGTTGGGCGGGCTTGGGGGATGGCTTGGAGGCGTTGCGGACGGTGCTGTTGAACCATCGCTCTTGTTCCTTCTCGGCATTGGCCAGGTCGAGCATCAGCGAGTCGAGCAGGTTGGCGTGGCCGACGAGCAGGCGTAGATCGTGGTCGGCCCGCGAAGCCTCCTTGGAGAGCTTGCTGCGGGCGGAGTGGGCGAGGTAGTATGTCTGGGTGATGCTCATTTTGTTGCGGGGGAGAATGGATGGAGCCATTGTGGTTGGGAGAGATTGTATTTATATAGTCGGGCGTCGACAATTAGGCAATAAGATTAGATGAGTCAACGCTGACGTGCTTGAGCCTTGAGCCTTATCTTGGCGGGGCGGTGAGTGTCTGAAGTAGTGCTTGGGTGGAATGTTTGATGTTTCACGATTGATGTGTGATTCGTAATAGCTTTAGTAGCTTCAGGATGTTGCTTGATTAAGTAACTTCGATTGTGTTTGTGCGAGTGTGAGTATTGTGACAGATTAGTTTCGGAATGGGCTGAAGGATATTATTTATGCCAGCTGAGATCCATCGTGAGTTGGGTCGCGGGTGTCGGAGGTAAGCCAGACTGGGTCCGGACGGAGCTTGGCGTGCCCGCCGCCTTACGGCCGATCCGTTTATCCATGGTTGTGATTAAAAATTGTACGGATGACTCACCATCAATTATCTCCGTCGGTACAACTAGGATTATGACTGACAAATAATTAAATATCATGCACATGCACGAACGAACATACACATAGCCATATGGTTATTATTATTATTGAAAACGATGCAATAGAATTGATCACTTCTACGATTCTATGACAGGTCACACTCACCGCTCCTTCCAGTTCACCGCTGCACTCTGTTACGACCGCGCGACCGCAGCAGCCGCAGTGCCGCACTAACTCGGCCGTGGATCTTCCAAGTTCCAGCCGCTTCACCCAGCGTCCACGGATTTATCAATCATAAATTTTAGCTTTAGCCTTCTCCCGCTTACCGAGCATCCCATCATTATTAATGTATTAATGATCTGATCACCAATTCCTGTTTGCATCTCTCATTAATCAGCTATACTTTTAAAGCAATGACATTGAATGATAATATGTTTGTCTTGCTCGTATACCCGTATTCAGCAATCTAATCATATGACAATGCACCTCCCCCCGCACTGATTAATATTCTGCCTGATCCTCGCATCGTCGTGCCCACTCCCAGTTGGGACAAAAATTTAAACGAATGCGAGCGCCAATGACAAATCCGGCTGCCTCAGTCCGCATTCCTCGCCCGGGCAACGCACTAGCCCGGTTGGGTTATGAATGCGAATTACCAAGTTAAAACTCTGCCCAGACCCTGCCCAGTCTCTGTTACTATGACTACTCCGTCCTATCTACGAAAGGAAAGTTCTGCGACCTGGTTATGAGGCTGAGTCGGCATTGGCCAATCGCCGCGCCCGCTGGATGATTCATCATGATCCCATTCCCCATTTCCCATTTTTCCATGCCGGCTATACAGACTAAACAGAAAATACAGGCTAGCGAGCTACCCCTGCCAAGGGCTAAGCCATGCTGATGCGTTTCAGGCAGTCACTTTCGATTACGATTACGATAATATCCATTTCTAGACAGGACCACATGGAAATAGGAATTCAAGGACTCGGCAGGCAGAAAGATGCGAAGGAGCGGATTTCGGAATTTAGCAACGCGAAAAGTCTATTCGCGCCAAGAAACGCTGAAAACCAGTGTAGGCGGCCATACTCGGGTCTCGGGTGTAGCCTTGCTGCATAATTATTATCCCCTGCCATTTATTCGATCTATTCATTCCATACTGTTCCTCCCGTGTTGGTCGCCACGAATGGTTCGCAGTCTCGTTGTGACTCTATTCTTGTTCATATAAATACATTATGCATACTGCAGAGAGTCAGGCTAGAAATGAAAACGTTAGCAGTGGAATGATATTCGTCCGAACAATCACCGATTCCCGTGCTGACCAAGACCACGCTAGCCCTATCTGGCACGCTATCCCGCATTGGACCACGGCTTTAACACATTCCGGCCGTCAGCCCTACATATCTCCATTATGCTGCTGAGTAACGGCTGTACGGATGCGGATACAAGCGAGCTCCCGGCGCGCCGGTCAATGACATGGGAGGCGCCGTTAGCCTCCACGCGCGGATCTGGACTCGTGTCTTCAACCTTGTTTTATTATTATTAATCTTCAAATCGAATACGAGATGACTTGATCAGGCAGGCCGGAGATAACATTTAGAAGCTAGACTGTACACGGAAATACCTTTGCTGCGATTACAAATTATCTTCATCGTCCTCTAACTATGCGAGAAGAGAAGAAATTTACATAATCATCCTCACATAAGCTGCCTCACTCGGACGTAACAACATTATTATTAATCCTTGCAACCACAATCACTCCCCGAACAACACCGCTCCCCGCCCACCACCCAAACACCTTCCCCGCGACTCTCAGCTTCCCCAACCCCATTCCAAACCGTCGCAGCTGCGCCTCTTTGAGCCTTATAAACCCTGCTATCCCCACAAACACGTGTTCTGATAGATCATGTACCTCGATGCTATCTTCCCGATACCCCGCCGCTACGAGCATATTGAGATACTCTCTGCGCGTGACGAGATTCGCGTACGGCGTGGACGCAACTAGGCAGAATAGCCATAGCATCACCCTCTGCCAGAAGGACGCCGAGTCTGAGCGTAGCAGATCAAAGACCATGATAGATGCGTGTAAGTCAGTGTGTGTGTATCGCGAAGTCCGGTGGCGGGAGGGTTTGAAATGGTTTAGTGTGTCGAGGGCCAGCAGCCATGTTGATGAGTCGGTTTGTAAACGCGTGGATTGTGTGAGTGATTGCTTGAGCTCGGCCGGCCAGGAGGCTGGCTTTGATGCATCGGTGCAGAAGAGCTACGTGGTTGCATGAGTAGTCACATCCAATCGGCCACGAGTGTACCTTGCCTGGACGGCATTGATCGTGATGCCGAAGTAGTTATCTGCAATAGAACAGTATTCTGTAGAGGTTTGTATTGGAAATAGTTCGCACGTCAGAAATAACGCCTGGTCACCGCATCCAAAGCCCACATCTACAAGATTAACCTTCTTTCCCGTCTCAGGTATCCGAGCATAGCCATGTTCATCCGTAGCTAGTAGACCGGCATGCTGCAGTACCTGCTGCAGAAACCCGCGACATGCAGATGGAGAACTCGACTCATTCTATGCAAGAAGCCGTCACTATCTATGCCATTGTGATAATATGATATGACGACATACCTCTTAATACCCCATATTCATCCACATCGCCTTGGGCGGAAGATCCGCAATATTGAAAATCGCATGTTCGAGGACACACAGCTGTTTATGGTCGGCAGAGCCAATGCCAGAAAGGAGCCAGAAAAGGAACTTGCTAGTGGTACGGCGAGGAACGCAGATATAAACCCGGTCAGAAATGGGGTGAAGTTGGAGGCAATCCAATGCTGAGTTTGGGTGATGATAGCATTGTTTTTGAGGGATAGTAGAATAGCCGATATAAGAGCAAGCAAGATAACCCGCTCGAATTTCTTTGTTGAGCATTTTGGGTGCCCACGAATCGCATTGCGATGTTTGCTTGGCGGTGACATTAGATGCCGTCATTACGTGATGGAGCTTACTAACCCGATTGGGGCTGCAGACATTAATGAAGGACTTTTTGATGATTTTCCTTTGATTTGATTTATATGCCAAGCACCTTGAATTGGATATAAATTGATATTGTTATTGATAACAACGATATAGCAGGTACAGAAGTGACGGCGACGTAGAGACCCTATGCATTTTATCAATTTGAATTTGTGTTGGCTCCTCATCAAATTAATTAAATTTTGCACAGTCATTAACTAGTAAGAGATCAAAATCTAGGATATAACCAGGCTATTCTACCACTCCTGATCTATATTACTCAGTGTGTAAAAGCATTGAAGCTGAGAGAATATTATTAAAGCTGAACGGGACTGCTACAGATAGATGCGGGGCTAATTCTCCCCACAACACCAAGCTTAACCTTAACACCGGCTTCTCATCATTCCCTCTTCATAATCTTCCACCATGTCTTTATGACCGACCAATGCCCTAACACAATTCTATATCTCATCGAATGATTAAGCTAAGGACACGCAATGTCCAACACCATAAAGGCACCCTCCCCACGCCTCCTCTCGCACCTATTCACCTCCCTCTCAACCACACCGCGCCCCTGGCATCTCCGTCGCATACTCCGCAGCGACAACCCAGCTGAGATAAATGGCGAATTAACCGGATCCGCAACATTCCACGCACTCCCCTCGCCATCATCACCATCATCATCGCCGACAGATCGATCTTGCGAAATGGTGTATAGAGAGGAAGGCGAGATGCCGAGCGGAATCATGGGTATGGCGGGGATGAAGTGGAGTAAGAAGTATATCTGGCGGATGAACAACATACCAAATAACAGAGACCAAGAGGAAGAAGGAGGGCCGGACGCCCAGGGGATAAGTGTCTGGTTTGTCAAGATCCAACCTGGCCCGGACGAGGCTGATTACCTGTTCCACGAATTCGACTTTGGGAGTCGAACGTTGACGACTGGGCAAGAGCAGGAAAAGGGGGAGGGAGAGGATACTATTGAGCCACCTACTCCGCCACTAGTTGGGGAAAGTGCGACGACGGTTATCAAGGCGCGAGGAAATCATCTGTGTATCAAGGATATGTATCGCACGGCATATTCGTTCAGAGTCGTGCCAGAAACGGGCCAGGTGCTTAGTTGGGCTAGTAGGCATGTGGTCAAGGGGCCGAAGAAGAATCAGGATATAGTTAATTTATATTTTCTGGATTAGACGAGTGATGAGTATGATACCATGATAGATTGTTCATATACTGTAGCTAAGTGTGAATGAAGGGGTTATATGACTAGGTAGTGTAAATAAAATCCGGCTTCTGGTCGCCCAACTCCTCGATCTCCTCCCGACTCAGCCCATCGACACGAGAATCACGCTCTCCATTTCGACGCTTCCGGTTTTCAGTCCGCAGAAGAATGGTCTGCAGGATGGATCCGCCGAGAAGAAACAGAGCAAGATACGCAAGAACGGTGCCGTGACCGGGGTAATAGTTTGGTGCATCCTCGGCGCGGTAGATATTCGACGAGACGATTCCATTCAGATTTCCCCAGCCAATCATTATGCCCAGAGTGACTCCGCGTTTGTAGACTCCTACAAATTTGAATTAGTTGGATGATCAATCAAGTATATTATAGGAAAGGGGCAGTACCCTCTATGTTGTTGCTCGTCCAGGAAATCGTGTTGGCGATACATGGATAAATCCCCATCGCACCCAGAAAAGTACCAGCATACCGCGTTCCAGCGGTCTTCGCACCGAGAAGCATACAGAACCCGACAATACCAATGACTGAGATGCCGATATTGCATAGGCCTCGCGCCCGCGTGCGATCTCCGATATATCCGATGGTAATGGTCAGAATCGCGGCTACGGCGTACGGTGGTACGGTGAGAAGTTGTGCCCGAGTTGATGAATAGCCCTGTTCGATTAATGGTGAGTTTTATACGCAGCATTTGAAAGGTACTTACCAATTCCTTAATAATGGTCGGAATAAATAGCGAAAACGCGTACAATGGCCCATCGCATCCCATGTAGATAACTGCGCCCATGTATGTCTTCCAATCCTTCAAACTAGCCCACAAATACGATGACTTCCACTCCTCATGATGCGCGCTGGCCTGCTGGTCCAGAGCTAAACGTCGCAAGACACGTTTCCGGTCAGCGTCAGAGAGAAAAGTTGCATTATCCGGGAAATCAACCACGAGCCAAAAGGACAAAAGACCCAAGACTATAGTCGCAAGACCCTCGAGAATGAAAATCCACGACCAGCCAGCCTTCCCGCCTATTCCGTCCATGTTGGAGATTGCAGCTGCTAGCAGACCACCAAATGAACCGGCGAGCGCGGCGGCAGAAAAGAAAATCGCCATGCGGATCCCGAATTCAGATCGTTTGTACCAGCATGAGAGATAGTAGCTGATGCCAGGAAAAAGGCCGGCTTCGGCGAGTCCGAGAAACCAACGAGTTGCCATGAGTCCAGCAAAATTATGAACGAGACCCATTGTAGTCATACAAATTCCCTAGAGACGGATTGGCTTATGAGCAAGGTGAGAGAAATCTGGTGAACTAACCCAGACAATAATTATCACCGAAATAAAAATTTTCGGTTTGGTACGCTTGAGCAGTACATTTGTTAACGGCTCAAAAACAGAGTAAGAGACGAAGAAGATCGTGAGCGACGAGTTGTACTGGTTGTTACTCATCTTCAACGCCTCTTGGAGACCCTCGATTTTTGCATTTCCGACATTGGTGCGGTCAAGAAAGGCGGCAAGGTATAGCAGGGAAAGCCAGGGGATCAAACGGAGGTCTAACTTGAGAAGCAGTTTACGGTCCTGCGATTAATCAGTCACTTTCAATACTTCTAGGAAGTGCATAAAGTTCTGGATCCGATACTTACAATAGCTGCCCTTTCCTCATCACTCAATCCCTTATCGGGATCTTCAACAAGCGAAGCATGTTCTACCAATGGCTTTTCCAAAGGGGGGTCTTCCATAGTGCAACAGGTAGTAATTAGAGACAGCAGATTTATTACGACGGCACTGGATTATGAACAAAAAGGGAGGAGGCTCGCTTTAAATACGACCGATCGCGCCGGGTGCGACTAAAAGTGAGGAGACCATGACGATCCTACCCACGTTTATCACTGTTCGTGCACACTGCAAAGTGGCACATGGGAGGAAAAGTTCCAAGAATCGACCAATGACGTGCAAATCACTGTTGATTTAGCTGCTGCATTTCCAACCAATCCACCAACTACAGCTCCTCTTCCCCGTTCCGTCCCTGTTAGGGGCAAAGGCTCGGATAAATGATAGATCTGCAGGCGGGGAAATCGGCTATGCGGAGAATTCAAATGAATCAGCAGCATATACGGAGGTGATTGGATAGAGAACGCAGTTGGACATTTCTTCAGCATTTTTCTTCGAACCCATTTTTCAAAATTCATTATGTAGGAGTTTTGAAAGGTGAGTTTAATTTGCTGGATTGTTCTGCGACTTGTTTTTCAAGCTTTCTTCTTTAACCCTTTTTTTTCATGTGGATGTATATTTTCGAACCCAGCTAGTATGAATCTCCACAACATTTGACACTGGAATTTCCCAGCCTGATCGGTGGTAGGAGCGACCGTACTTGACATAAATCCCACTCTAACAATTGAAGATAGCCTGCAAAGATAGCTCAGTAATCCATCAATGTATATAGACCGAGTAGCTCAGGTAGAGTAGAAGTTGTCGATTTCGTGAATGACATTTATGATTTAAGCAAGCCATTGCCTAGACTTTTTTGTTAAAAGAGAGCCCGATGTGAAGTCTGCCTTGATTGATAGATAAACCCAGCTGAGTTAAAGACAGAGGTAATGGAAATAATAGAAGTGATAGAGGTAACAGAAGTGGTGTGAGCTGAGCTGGATGCACCTTCCTCAGGCACCAAACCATGCATGCCACACCGTTTGCAACCCCCTCCTTGTTCTCCTTCTTTGTCGCTTCTCACATATACCGCCTCTTGTCTCCTTTTTTCTGCTTACCTTCTCACGACTCTTCATCTCATCCCATACCTCCCTCCCTTACCTCATCGTCAGATGTGTCTTATCACATCGTCAAAGGTATCTTGTCACTATCTCTCCTGGTCTACACACAGTTAGATCAAGAGTAGAACTGGGATATCAATATGGCAACAGTTGAAACAAACGTGAAGCACCGCCTAGAGCTTCTTGAGCGCACTGTCTATGCTCTCCAGGCTCAGCACCGTCTCCTAGAGTACCGCATACAGTACATCGAGGATGAGAACAGGTCCGTCCCGGGCAAGACAGCCTCAACTGTGGCTCAATTTAGCATATTTGAGCCGGTGACAACAACCATGGCACCTTCATCCAGTATTGTGACACCTCAAGTGAGTGATTATTCCTCGTTATGCGCGTTTTGCTTATCAGATATAGCCTACCACCCGGCCCAAAAATTACTTTTCTGGATTGACATCGCTTGCAGCTAGTGAGGATGCTACTAAAGGCCAGCCACCTGGGGCAGTGACTGGTCTTTCAAACAAGTTTTCGTTTTTGAGCATTCTGGATGAGCCAGGCCCTCTGGGTAGCCCTACCTCGAGTCCCTCTCGTCAAGTTAGTCGCACCCCTGCTTCCTTAGATAAAGCTAACCTTCTCATAGCATAGAGAATCGGCCGTTGACCAGATTGCCCTATGCCTGACACCCTGTCGCGAGGTAATTATCCCTGTACATTTATTATACTACCGCTAATATAGTTTAGGGCCCATCGAAGACTACTAGAGATGAAACTAACACTTCGATCTCGAACGGGTCGGTCCATCAGGAAAATGAGCCAAATAAAGCATCATCTGGTGGTCCCATCAGCGTAAGCATACTTGTAAATTTGATTCCATCAAAACTGACAAAAGCCAGGTCTTTGTTTCTTCAACTAGTTCAAAGCCTGATTATTTCGCCACAAAGAAGCCAAGAAAGTCCGGGGTGCCCTGGGATGGAACCATTGAATGGAAACTCATTCGCATTTTCACTGACCGAAAAGACGAGATCCAGGCTATGAACAACTACTCTTTGACAGTAGGGCAGGGCGCGCTAAAAGACCAATATCTCTTTCAGTATGGTCTTCGCTATTTGCCCAGGCCCCATGACAAGAATACCTACCGTACTGTCCGTGTAGAGGGGCTCCCTGATGATGCCACTCTTGATGGTTTGCTTGCCCAAGTTTGTTATGGTAACGTCTACTCTGCTGACTTGCTTAACACGATTGGAATTGTCGGTTATCACACAGCAAGAATCGTCTTCCTTCACCAGCAGTCTGCTCTTGCTTTTTGCAAGCATGTCAAATCAAACGGGATATTTGTCCATGGTTTCCGCGTGCGTGCTACTATGGAGAAGACTGCAACCTATCCCATGGGAAAATACATTAGTGACGCGATTTCCCATTACGGATGCACCCGGTGTGTGTCCATTTCCGGCATATCTGATGATTCGGTCGATTATGTCAAGAGATTGATTAATCAGACGTATCTCAAGTACTCAATCGAGACCCTCATTCACCGAGAAGACAAAGAAGAACTCATCGTGCGATTCCATTCTATGAAGTCGGCCTTAATTGCGCACCATGAGTTCAAGACGAGAATTAGGCTTCAGGGCTGCTGTGTGGAGTATAGGCAGGATCCTTGCAATCGTGTGCCTGTCAAAACTGCGATAGCGTCGGGCCATGCTTGAATGGGCTTGGGTATGACTTCTCAGATAAGTCTTCTCTGCCTTCTAGTACATCACTAAATCTTCCGCGCTTATGCAAAGACTTTGGCCACGGTCAAGAAGTTGTATTGACAATCTACGTCTTATCGAACCTTCAAAATCCAAAGTTTTCAGATACGGCGATGTGTTTTTTCTTTTCGTTTCTTCTCTGTTTCCCCCCCAAATGCAATACCATATTCAAGAGCTTGCACATCAGATGTAACATCCTTATTGTTCCTATGGAAACGCTGTATGCAGGATTCAAAATACTACAAGGGGGGCCCCGGAAAATCCTTGATGCAGAATACAGTTCCAGATATTCTCTTTTCATAGTCGGTGAACGTACTCAGAAATCAATCATCTTCTTACCAAATGGGTTTCTCGATATTATAATCTAAGTTGAAGAGCTACCTAAATCTAGCTCCGCATTTTTTGCATGAACAGGAAGATCTACTGGTTGCAAATAATGGTAGCTCAAGATATCTACATGTGCCTCGTACATGACTGGGATTAATGATAGTCTCGTTACCCAGTAACGTGACGCTGCCAATATCAAAGCAGCGAGTTTTGACAGCTCTTCATCCTTTATGTCAAGCAAGGGAAAAAGAAAACAGTTGAGCCATGAGACGAAGCATAAACAGAAACGGACATTTTTTTTATTGAATGCCTATCTCTTTGCCCACTTTGTCAGTGAAATCCAAGGCTTGTTTGCATCCAATTCTCACCGTAGATAGAGCATACCCAGTTTAGTTGGATCGAAGGCCTCCATTAATAGCATTCCAAGATAGAGTTCATCTGGTATCCATTGTGCGTCCCACAACTGAAACTAGCCATTGAAAGTGTGATGTTGATGGTTCTTAGGTATGCCCGTAAGAGAAGGAACAGGCGGAGATCCTAAATTCTTGCTAAGGAAGAACACAAGTCAGCCCTGGCTTTTAGTCAAGACATATCTGCGGGGTTGTCTTGTGATATCTACTCTGTTTTCACGACCTCAAAGCGTAGGAGTGGAACTGTCTAATGGCGCCTAAACGTGATATCATGATGTATAGTTGTTGATAATGTTTACTTCTGTCGATAGCGAACTGTGTGGTCGATCTGGAGTAAGTGAGTGTGTAGTGGCCCCAACAACATGGAGTCTGAATCGACTAGTTTAGAAGAGCAGGAGGAGGAGGAGTAAAACAGAAGCGAAAAATTGACAAATGCCAACGAAGGCGTTTGCAAACACCTGACTGAGTACCTCAAGTATACGTTGACATATGAAGAATTAGGTCAACGATTGACTGCTTCTCCAAAATAAGAGCTGATCATTACGTAACAATTCAACTGTTCCATCATATCAACTGGTGTATACAATGATCTTACACAAGTTACCCGATAGTTTTCTATTTATGCTCTTATGTATAGTGTATTTTAACACATATCAGTTGCAGCCCTTTTACATATTCCAGACAACATCTTACCAACTCTGTCAAAATCCTCTAGTGTCAAATATACCTGCCCAGACAATCTAACCCACAGACTCTCAGAATGCAAAATCACCGGTACAAAAGCGTCGTACTCCTCAGCACTGACTTTCTCAATCCATGCTCCAATCGACCTCCCTTTCCCCTCGGCTATATCGTTGCGAGATATGTCAATTGGCAGCCTCACCATCCCCATCGGACATTCCCTCTGCTCTGCCTCGCCGATAACCTCTGTCTCCAAGATTTCCGCAACTCTTTCCGATCCTCGTTGAGCGAGCGTGATGCAATACTTGATAATCTCTTCTTCTCCGCCACAGACCAAGTCGCGGTATTTGATTGCGTCAGACACACACAGAAAGGGTGAATAGTCTAGTGTGCCGACAAACTCAAACGACTGCACAAAGTATGATTTATCGCTCGCTGGAAGCGGGTTGTTGATTTTTGCTTTCCCAGGTTTGTCAATTGGCATGTATCCGTGTGAAGTTGGGAGGGATGATCTTATGAGATGCTGGTTTCGAGCTGGTACGTGAAGAAGGGCGCAAGAGCGAGGCGTGAACAGCCACCTAATCTTGTCAACATAACCCTCTCTTAAACTTCACTTCCTAGGGAGGGGTGTGGTGTACTTGTGTAAATTGCTCACAAAAAAGTCAGCATCCAATTGACGCAAGTCAAGTGGAATGCATCCAACACCGTGAGCGCCATCAATCAAGCTGAGAATATTATACTTCTTGCAGAGCAAAACCATTTCTTCAAACGGAAGTCTGAATGCCGGCATACTAGAAACGGTATCGAAAAGGGCGACTCTGACTCCTTGCAGGCTGATTGCATACTCAAACTTTTCCAAGATCTCCGCCTTGGACATAGGATACTGTATATCAACCCTTACTGCTTCCACACCGGTCACCTTTTCGGTAACATAATCAATGACTTTCTCACAAGCACCATATGTAGTGCTCAAATAAACAATTTTGTCTCCTGGCTCGTACTGTAAGTTCCATAGAACCGTGTGCACGCCTGTCGTAGCATTAGGGATGAGGACCACATTGTCGACATCGGCATTTATCAACCCCGCCACAGCGGCACGCGATTTATCAATCTGACCAGGGACTCTGTATCGTAGATAGATGTCTGGCTGAGCGTCAATCTGCCGTTGATAATTGTGCATGCTTTCGCTGATAGTGTATGGACAGGACCCAAAAGAGCCATTGTTGATGTTGATACCACTGCTGGGAAAAGGGAAGTGGGAGCGTATCGGACTTCCTAGGATATTAGAAAGGGCCATTGTTGCTTTTCTCACGTCCATCTTAGCTAGCTACGGTGGTATTAAATGCTTAGGATCCTTTTTCGACTTGAGATGACTCTTATGTAGATATGTAGCAAACTGCGCCCTAATTAAGACATGATGCCCCACTGGCGCCAGTCTACCAGCAGTCCACTTGGTGGGGTGCTAGAAGATATGAGTCAGAAGTATTTCCCAATAATATCGAAAACAAATTGAGAAAAAAATCTTACCTGATCTTATACATGTGACCTGCTTGACAAGATTTTGATTGATAAATGCTTCATTTGGGGCTGGACTGGGGGACTATTACATCCCCCCCCTTATTTAATGCCAATACGCCTCGCTCGTTTGGAAATAAAACTCCATCATGTTTCAATCTTTATTTATTTATTTTTCTTAGATAAACAGGCTAATTTATCTGGAGCTCATGAAACCTTGATCTAAAACCAGGTGAAGCAAAATTAGACGATGCGAGGTGGCCCTGACAATGAGGAAGCCGACAAGGTCACTGAGAGGCCGCCGAACGGCAAATATCTGCCTCGCCCACGTCAACAGGGTCTGCACGGAGGCCGTGGGGGGGTAATCGGCGGCGTGGCTCAGTAAAGTGCTAGCTAAAAGGGTTAGGAAGAGCAGATACAGATTCTTGGCGACATAACTTACAGCAAGAAGTTATTGAGGATGTCTTTAATATTGCAACTATTCTGACAAACGCTGATTTCAGCCAGGTTATGGCTGAATATACTTCAGCTGAGTCCTAATTCGTTTGTTTTGAGGTCTCCCAGTTTGAAGCAGTTTCTCTACATGCACCCCATCAAACGATATATAGAAGTTTCCTATCTCTTTATACGAAGTACATCACCTTCTCTCAATATATATATTTTCAGTTACATCCGGTCTGAAGATCATTGCGTAAGAGCTTATTTGGTTTAATATTCCTTATGGAAAGTATAAATAATAGCTGGAGATACTGATCTAGTTTACCCTTATAATTAATAGGTAGCGCATAAAACTTACACTCAGCTCTACAACTACATATAATGAACGACATTGAATGGAGAATTGAAGCAATCGACGGGCCGGCGGAGTCTCATAAAAATTGCTAATATTGACAATTCAGAATCGAAATAACGTGCAGGGCAATTGGTCTAGGGGTTAGTACTTTCAGCCCGTTTTTTCATCATCCATTTAACATAAATTCAGGTATGACGCAAAGTTCGCAAGAACTTCTTTGAGGTCCCGGGTTCGATTCCCGGATTGTCCATTTTTCCTTTCTTTTTTTAGGTGAAAGGCTCAAATGATGAACACCGTTGTCAAATCTAAGCGTAATTTATTATTACATAGGGGTTTTGTGGTGCCTTTATTATTCTCGTCCTCACTTTGCTACCTGAAGATCATAAAAGTTCAGATTCTCTCTCATACACACTACTTTTTTTAGTTCAGCATATCAAATTGAACTTTACCAAGCAAAACCTACTCTCTGATAGTGCAATTTTCACAATACCGAAATAAGAAGAGGGCGTGTGGTCTAGTGGTATGACGTTCGTTTTGCATACGAAAGGCCGGGGGTTCGATTCCCTCCTCGTCCATTTTTTTCTTGTCCATTTTTTTCTTGTCCATTTTTTTCTTGTCCATTTTTTTCTTGTCCATTTTTTCTTGTCCATTTTTTTCTTGTCCATTTTTTTCTTGTCCATTTTTTTCTTGTCCATTTTTTTCTTGTCCATTTTTTTCTTGTCCATTTTTTTCTTGTCCATTTTTTTCTTGTCCATTTTTTTCTTGTCCATTTTTTTCTTGTCCAATTTTTCCCGGTTCAGAGCCCTTTGCTATTGTTTTCATACTGTACCTAGCCTTACTTTTAAACTATGACAGTCCCGTTTTGGGGTACTCGAGGAGTCTTATTCCCGGCGCCGCCTGCCCCAAACTGGCGCACCTTCATACAAATATTATCTGCGCTAGACGATTCAATGACCTTATAGGTGCTACCCCAGCTACCCTCCTGAAAGCCAAACGTACCACTCCTGGTAATAACAGGCCGTGTAGAGCTGTTCCTTCCCCGTAACCCCCCCTTGGGGCCTCTTCTTCCCCCAAGCATCGCATCCTCATAAATCGGCCCTACAGGCTCCCTAGCGGCCTCCAGGTCCGATTTGCCATCCCCGAGGGACATAATAGGGTTGGCACCCCCTCGTATGTTAAAAATGTCTGATCATCCTGCTCTCCGAGGATCTTCAGTATGAGATGTTGAAACACTTATAGTATATTGAAGCTACGCTGCTCATCAGCGAGAATATTGGTTTAAGAACATGCGGTTTCTAGATTTCCTAAAGACATTGAAGTTTAGAGCTCGTGGTCATGAATTCTGCTAACAACAAGAAGGTGGGAGCTGGAGTGCAGGAAACGTTCAGTGTCGTGTAAAAAGAAACTAATAAAGATAGTAGGGAAAAGGTGAGAGTCTCGTAGATTATGAGGTTCATTTGTCAATAAAGGAGAAAACGGTAATCCGTTTGCATGCAGCAAACTATGGGTGCATCACATATGCATAGTGAGAACATAATATCATTTACTATGACTTATCTACTGCTGATGTTATCTGGCTCTTAGAACATGAAAACTTCTCTATTTGTACGATAGTCCTTTCTTGCGAGTTTCTTCGTTGAGGCCACTGATGTCTAGATATATACGCTCCCCACAGACATATTGCCCATTTATTATACCTTTCAATTAATATTTGATTTTGATACATGTTATCTACGCGTGGCCCTTGTGGAATCCAGTTGTTTTTGGATAAAATAGCATGTATATGCCTTCAATTTGGACAACTAGATAACTGAGGGATCGATACTTCAGCTCCTCGCCATTCTCATGCTGCCTGTTCGACTGTTTGTCCGGACAGGGTTGACATATAAAAACAAAGCAGCATTATTAAGCACTTAGCTATTTACTATGTGATTAATTATTCGGGGCCCCGCGTGCTAGTTGTAAGGAATGTTATCAATTTGGGAAGGATATTTGGGAGAGGAAAATATACGTAAGAAATTGTATTAGTGTGATTGAAAATTAATTGATATTCTGAAAGAATTAATATCGACATTGAAAGAAAAGAAGCGAAATTTAAATTGAAATTGAAAAGGAACAGGCATCACATCAACAGGTGCAGAGCCAGCCAGACTCCTTTTCTCATTCAGTAGCGCCGAAGCTCAAATTCATAGTGCCCTCAATTATTGGTACCTATGGGATAAAATACAAAAGGGTCACACAAAGAAGGGAGATGCGTATTGCACAATTTTCAATAGTTGGGAGACGGAGAATTGCCATGACTGGTAGCAATATAACCTCACGTAGCCTGTTTAATAAAGAGCGAATCTCTTCGCCATCTCGCGAATGTCCTACAGAATATGTCGCGACTTCTTTCGGTTGTATGCCCGTTGGTCCTTCAACCATTGACGATAACCCTGCACGCTGCCAATCTTCTCGCCATAGTAGTCAGGAACGGGGTTGGCAATAGAGTTTGATGAAGGATCGACGCGGTAGCGCTTGATGCGGTCGAAAAATTCTTTCTCTTTCTGTATAGGTAGGTTGTAAGTAATGGCTAAATAAATTAGAATTTTTGTACTCACAATAGCAACACCACTTCGGAAACGTCTGTTGACAAGACCCCATACCGCATTGCCTAGAACTGGACCAGCTAACCAGCCCAAAGCGCCGCAGGCAGCGGTGGCGAGACCCAAAACGATAAAAGGGTCAAGGCCCATGACTTGTGCACCAAGGGTGTCAAGGTTCTGAGCGGAGAGCACTTGCACACCAATGGCGGTACTGGCGAGAGACGCGAGGACGGACGAAACAAGAGAGTAACGTCGACGAGACGCGCGGAGTTTGAAGTACGTATTCCAGTCGAGAGCAGCAGCCGCAACTCGTGTAGCAGCACCGTCCTTGGAAGTTTTAGCATGAGCACTTACAGACTTTGCAAAAGACCGCTTGAATGAGATGGAAATCTGTGAGGAGAGGTTCGTCGGACGCTGGGTGAATATGTGGGACTGCGTATTTCCTTTTCGCAGTGAATTTTGTGTTCGAGACGTGCAAGTCGTCGAAGAATATGACCGAGCTTGGTTTATGCATGTTGTAGAAAAATTGGCGAGGTTTTTCTTGGGAGAGTTGTGTTCTGCTCGTGGTGTTGATGTGGATTGCTGTGCGAATGAAGTTGTTGGACCTGTACAGATGATCGGGGCAGCCAGGCCGCATGAGAAGCGTGAGCCTCCCAGAATGGCTATCCGCACGGGAGCGTTGATTAATGCGGCATGCATATTGCTAGGAATAATGAAGAAATCTCGCGGTCACTAATTCCCTGATGCAATGGCAGTGCGATTGCAGCTTCAGAAGCTGCGGAGATGCCGTCGCCGCGACTTTGATGCTGGAGACCCACATACGGCTTACATAATAGACTCACGGAATTTTATTGGTTGAATGGATTGATTAAATATTCAAGGAATTCCACCTAGATACATTCATAGACGTTGATAACTGAACTTCTTGAGCCGAATGTGTTTGTATATGATAACAAATAATGATGTTTATGCGCCTACATGAATATGTATATGAGTTTTGTAGCCGAAAATGTAGTGTTCCAGGTGGTTCCTTAACCTAACCAACGTGAGAATCACCAGTCATCGATAATAATAAGGATAACGATGGGGATCGTTCTTTTCAATAAGAATTAAGGATCTCATTCATGATAATCGGGTTTCTTGAGATCGCCGGGTCGGGCTTTTGGCTGTTCAACTCGTCCGAGATCATTGACGCGACCATACAGCCATTTCAACGTCACTGTGTTGACTGCCATAAGAAGAGCACTGACAGTAAATAGTGCAATACGCCCTTTTGTGTCTAAAAGCTCAAGAAGTGGATATGGGTACCTGTTTTGTATTAGATTTGACCCCGAGAGCAGTACAACAACTGTACATACCATCCGTTGATCGAGTAGCACTGCTCCAGCCAGAACCAGTAGCCAAATGCGATACAGCTCGATATCCCCATTGCAGGGAATGCAGTGACCGTCCATGGAGGCGAAAGATAGAGGAGGTCGAAAAGCATGAACAGAGTCGGAAGGAGATGGAAACCCAAATCTATGCAGGAATTAGCAATACGGAATTCTCCGACGATGGAGTAGACTTGCCGGCATAAAGCGGGATGACATCCTCTTCAGGCATCACTAATTTGGGGTCGATCTTAACCAGACAATTAGTATTATACGCAAATATGAACAACACATATCATACCGACTTGATACCCCAGTATAAGACAGTGATTAGGACCTCGAGCGGGGCACTGCAGACTGACAAAACATTCTTTAACAGAAAAAGGCGTCGAGCGAGTGTAATGTCTGCCAAGAACGCAATGGTAAAGGTAAGTGTGGACAGTGCTAGGCCCAGAATTGTCAGGAAAACAAAGTGCCAGCCATAGCCCTCGGAGCTGATTTGTCAATAAACGTCCTCGATGAATCCAGCGAGCAGTACTTACGCATAGTTCGGATTGTCAAGAAGGCTAGCCGGTGTCAGTCAACGATATCAAGAGAGACAGTCATTTTATAGGACCTACAATTTAAACGACGATGAGAAGCTGGCCAATCCAATCAACTAAATCCAAGTTAGCCATGGCATGGAAATCAGGCGCCAAACCTACATGGATAATCGCCGAAGTCTCGCGACTCGGGCTGGACAGCCGTTGCTGTGGGTGCTTTTTGATAAGAATTTCGGGAACCTTGGAAGCAGACATATCGATGCAATGACTATAGCGATTGGCCTGGAAGAATGAACGAACAGGGTATAGGAATAACAACACGGAACAGAAGGGAGAGAAAGCCCAACATCATCTCCGACTTTCGATGTGTTTTGCTCAGGCGCTAAACCGCTTCAGGAACACAGCCTCGAGTCCTCGACTCCACAAGCCAATGAGAGGCATCGCCCTTTCTCCTGCCTGGTTCAATCAGCGTGGACCAGCTTATCCGTCGGCGCCTATCGAAGCCACCCCACGCATACAAGGATCATTGTTGCTCCGGGGCCGGGTATCTCCGCAGCCTCGTGCGCGGCGAGATTGATCGCCGGTGTTAGCTGTCACCGTTTCGTGAATCGTTCTCGAAAACGCCTATTCTATAACCCTAATACCAGAATTAAGCTCGATTAAGACTCAATTTCTCTCCCAGTTTTGCTTACCTTCGCTCTTGTATGGCAACCGGCGAGTTCAAACGCCGATCTATTGCCTCGATGAACAGGAACCAGGGTGTTACTCCATCGATGAATTCTCCTATTATTTTAGGAGCCTCCACTGAAAAATACTTTATTCATATTTCAGAATCTATAGAACCGAGTTAAACCTTGATGGCTGCGAGTTTTCTTGTGAATTCGTCTCTTTATTCCTTTCTAATTCCAATTCCCCTTTCTATTTCTATTTGCTCAAGGTCCCTGGATCAGAATGCCGAGACCAAAACGTCCAGGTGCACCTGAGCCGAAACGAAGAAGTCGCCATGGATGCTGGTCAGTATTTCTATCCTCATATAATGAGACCAAAGGAAGCTAACATGAACCAGGCCGTGCAAAAGAAGAAAAGTCAAGTGGTATGCCTAAACAATTAAGTCTTGACGTAGAAAACAACTAAATTCTAGAAGTGGTGAAGAAAGGCCATCATGCTCAAACTGCGTACGTCAAGGCGATACCTGCGACTATAGTGTCCGCCTCAATTGGGAGGGAAGGACCAAAAGAAAGTCCATAGAACCAGGAACTCCCAGTTCGTATTCAGGGATGTCCATGTTCTCAACGACTACGTTCTCGCAGAGCCCAAGCATGGCATCGCCAACTCCGTCGGACTGGCAATCTCCGGCCGTGTTTTCTAATTTTGTTCAGCAAGAATGGTCCGTTGGTAGTGGATCGAGCCCGCAAGCATCGTCATCCAGTCCAGGCAACTCGCGAGTCCTTCGGATAACCCCTGTTTCCCCTTCATCAGCACTGGCAAACTCTCCTACGGGGTATGACAGTCACAGCCAAGGTACTATGGACCATTCAATGAAGATCGACTCTCCAGCTACGTCCACTGTTGCGGAGCGCGTCATGTCTCCCCCAGAGTACCCTGCTTCATTGGCTGTGGCAGCAACTGATAATCTACAGCGATCCCATGGTTTTCGATTTCCTGATTCGTCTGACCAAAATCTCTCGTTTGGGTCTAGCTTCAATCATTTCTCTCCGCTGGGTTTCGAGAACAATTCCATCTCACAGCCGACATCTTTTCTTCGTGAAACTTTTTCTCCCTCTGATGTGCCTGTGGACGCTTCTCTTCCTCTGGATGGCTCACACCGAGCTAAGCGTTACAAGGAAGCGGATCATGATTACCCGCATCATCGCAGATCATCTACTCGAAATAGTACCGGAAGCATCCCTCCTGCAGAGCTCCCTTCAGTACCGTTTATTCAAGGTCTTCGTCGAGTACCTCTGATGACCCTGCTATCGCAATCTGCAGAAGCAAGTTTAACATTAGAGGAGATCAAGAACATGGAGAACAGACAAGTTGTGATCAGTGGCCATGAAGTGATCTTCGGGTTTGACTGTGGCAATCCAGACTACGATGTTAACAAGAACGACGACTCTAGCGCAATAGAACCAATAGACACCTCATCCGAAGAGGTCTTTACGAACGAGGAACTGAGCACTGTGTCAGAAAAAACACTCATGGGATCTTTCCGAGTACGAAGAAGGTCTTCTTTTACAACAGGTGGAGGATATTATGTGACGCCTGTTCGAGTCAAGATTCCACGTCGAATGACGCCTCTGCCAGCAACGCTATTGGAAAATCCAGTCAATATGATGTACTTTCATCACTTCATTGATCATACAGCTCGCATTCTAGTTCCGCATGATTGCGATAAAAATGCATTCCTTGATGTGTTACCTGCTAGTAAGTGAAATATACTCCACTCAAGCCTTTTGGTCTAAGAAACGATGTTTAGTGGCTATTGCGGATCCGAATCTACTCAATTTAATGCTAGCATATTCGGCAAGTCACCGAGCGCGTTTTCTACGTCACCAAGAACCTTCTCTTCGGATCGCCCATTGGGTCAGAGCTGTTTTTCCAACATTACGCCATGCTTTAAACGAACCAGATGAAAAGGTTACCTACAGTCATTTGGCTACTGCTATCATGCTGCTGTCTTTGAAAATCGTTTCACCGAGTACCTTTGAGGTGCCCATCACCTGGCAGACTCATTTGAAGCTCGCTCGCGACTTGTTTGTTGCTTGCGGTGTCCATCGTGACGCGCGTCCTGAAAACAAAGAGGCATATTTTTTGGCTCATTGGTTCGGGTATCTTGATACTGTCGGCAGTCTATCATGTCGACGCAGCGGCGCTCCGTTGCTACAAACAAACTACTGGTCACCTACATTATCCGACCCTCTTCAAGATCACGAGGCAGAAGATGACGATGAAAACTACCGAGTCGACTGTTTTTCTGGTTGTACGCCGTCGACTGGAGCACACCTAGCACGGCTCGGACACTTGACTCACCAATGTGATAGCGAACGCTTCGACGAGGTTGATAACTTCCTACCTCACTGGACACCATCACCAGAAGTCATCCAGACCGCCGAGACCTTGCTACTCGACATGGAACACAGCCGGCAGCGCGGCCATGCGATGGGCACTCACCATACAGAGCTGGAAAACGACGAGATGATCGCCATCGACCAGGCATTCCACTGGTCCGCTATTCTGCACTTATACCGCCGCGTCCTGGGAAAGGATTCGTACTGCAGCGAAGTCCAGGAAGCAATCGGCTATCTCTGCAACGCCATCGCACGTATCCGTCCCGGTAGCTCGACAGAATGTTCTGTGCTATTCCCTCTTTTCACAGCCGGTTGTGAAGTTCAGGACCCAGAGCAGCGGCTGGAAATCATGACGCGGGTGATGAATTTTGAAGCAGAAGGTCTTAAGCAGGTAGGCTTAATCGGATAGTCTTTCTATGGTTGGTTTGCTAATGAGTACAGTTCAAAAATGCGCGGAAACTAATGCAGCGGTGCTGGGAGAAGGATCTGCCGTGGGTAGCGTTAGCGCAAGGGGAGTTTCTCGGGTAGATCTATTCTGCATGTGTGTAGTAGCACGTGTCAATATATAGGTAATCAATTTCGGGTTAATCATTCATTCAACTTAGGATTTAGCACAAGTATAACTATAGATCATAAACCGTGTGGTGTGGATTTGATGTTGCGGGTCGCAGAAGATCGATAGCAGCACAACTTTCTATGCTCTGTTCTCATAGTTATGTTGCCAATTTTTTTTATTATTGATTTTAATTCTCAAGTCACTAAAATGATCTCTATTATTTTGAAACTACGACAATACTACATAATATAAATCGAAGACAATTAAGAAGGCACAACATTTGAATGCTAGATAACTGCTAATAGACACCTGGTTGTAAGAAAAAAGACTTACATTTGGCGCGCATAAGGCAAACCCCAGCTCATCCTATTGTCTCATTGTCGACGCCGCAACTATGTCTGCTGTCAAGTTGAACGTACCATAGTCGTTCTCAAGGCCTGCGAAGCCAGACTCTGCACGATTCCATTCTCATCAAACCCCACAACAAATGCGTCCGGAGCCAGAAGGTTATAAGAAAGGCCATCTAATTGGAACCAGTAGTCATTATACTCACTCCAAGGATCGCTACTAATAGGTGCCCCATTTCGGGTCAAGCAATCCATATGGAATTTGTAATAGGTCAAGCCTTCGGAACTCCACATTTTCAGGTCTGTTGGATAGAGGCGGAAATCGTTGAATTCGGCATAGAATTCATTGTTTAGGAAATTAGTACTGTTGCTGATCCATTGCTTGATGACGACACCGGGACCGCCGTCTACTGCAAGAGTGATTGAAGAGTTGCGGTCGGTGGATTTGAATGTGCCTGTGAATGCGTTTGAGGCCTGCTGTTTGGCAGCCGCTTCTGCCGCGGTATACTTGAAGACGTTAGAGGTGGAAGATGTAATAGCTGGACTATTGCCATCTACTCACGAAAATATCAACTAGTGTCCCTCGTACAGGAGCTACTTGGGAATTTGGATTATCGCCTGCCGCAAGGACGGTGATGCCGATATTGTAGTCAGGGACAAGACCGAAGTAAGTGGAATATTGGCCGACGTCTCCGCTTTTGCTATATGTATCCACGATACGACTTGTATTCAGGATTGTGTTGATAAGGGTAGGAAGTCGATAGATCTCCCAAGGAGCCTTGTGAAAAGATACAGGTTAGCCCTCGAGTTCATTTAGGTGATCAAACTTTCCACTGACCCCGACTGCAGCTGCCCACTGCGATGTAAATGTTGTCGGTTTCATCCAGCGCCGAGTGACGACCGGTGATATCAATTTATTGTTTAGAATCGCTTGACCCCAAGTAATGAGATCCCTGGTCGAGATGTATTGACCGCCGGCTCTGGAGCAATATAAGTTTTACTGTGAAAAGTGGGTGCAAGTGAGACTGTTTCTTACGGATCCTGGACGTTCAAGTCATAACTCCACATCGCATAGCTGTCGTTTCTAGGGATGATAGCATCCACGTTGTTGCCAGGTGGTGTTGGTGTGGTCGAGTTCATACCTAGCTTTTGTGCAAAGTCAAGTTGGCCCTGGTTAATCGTCTTACCAGTAATGTTTTCATATGCATACCCAAGAATAGAATAGGCTATGTTGGAATAGCTGGGACTCGTGTAGGACAGAAAGACTGGGGGGTGATTGATAACCTGGGTGAAGAATTCTGAGATTCTCGAGTCAATTGGCTAGTCCACACGTAAAGACAGATTTACTTACGTGCTCTAGTGCAAGGGGGCTCCGGGCCATAGGAGCTACAGTTTATCACAGTTTCATTGCCTAGCGGAGGGAACCCATTTGGGATGTTGGTTGAAACAGGTGGCTGCTGGAAGCCTTCTGATGCTAGATCGCCAAGTGATACTTCTCTAAAAGTTAATATCGACAAGTAGAAAGTCCGAGGCATGTTTACCTCCACGCCCAATGCCTGATATTTGGGAGGCAAGAGAACCGACAGTTACTTCACTCCAGTTGGTTTGCAGGAGAGGGTTTTGATAACTCTGAGCGGCGGCGGCAAGTTCCGGCTATACCAGAGAATCAGCTTAGAACGCTGGTAGAGTCAAATATAGACGTCGAGCTTACCACATATTTCGTGATTGGCTCTGTGAATATGGAATCTCCAATATCTATCATCCAGGCATACATCACCAGGAGTTTTCCCAAGCTACCGGTTCGGTAGATTGTGTCATCTGTCAGCTTTCCTCTCGTACAAGAGCCATTGAGCTGAGGTGCTTCGAAATGAAAGTCGAATAAAGGTTCGTTATTTCCTAAATCGAAGACAGACGCGGAAAAAGAGGTGCCTAAGTTGTCGAATGGACCATAGGTGCTGTTTCCTGTCTGAATAATCACGTTTAGGGTAGCTGTAGCTTGTATTACGGCATTGTCCCATGCTTCAAAAGAACGGTTGGCGGAGGGAAGGTAGATAGGGCCAAGTAAACTTAGGTCGATCTTCGGATCAAAAACCACCGCCGAGGTGGATGCGGTAAGGGACACCCAAGGAAGAGCACGTTCAACTCTCATGACTCTGTCGATTAGACTGTATTGTTAAAGAAACTAAAAGGAATTAAGGATGATTGTCAGATAAAGCACTTGACGGTTCAGAGTGCAGAATGCAGTTTAAAAGGAAACCAGGTCACTGATGAGTCAACTGGTATTGCACTCTCCCCATTCTTATATAGTTGTGCGATATAACACCTGACTTCCCGTCACTTTGGAATAGACCGAAGGAATGAGGATCTACGCTAAGGAAATCAAACAAGCTATGAAACATTAAATTAACTTGGGGTCAAAGCCAATGCGTGCGGATTGGGTCGCGGTTTTTTTGGATAGGGAAACCGGGAAACCCTAACGTTGTTTCTTTGTACGAACTAAGGATTGTTACTGGGGCGGGTCACGAATCGAGAATAGTTAAAATTCTGTTTGAAAGAGATTGGAAATTCAAGCCTAGGTCATTTAATACCGACTACCAAACACCGATAGTTGTCAATTTTCGCGTTTGTCGATTTGCAATTTCCGAGAATTCCAACTATTCCATCAATGATAGTTCAAAGTTTAATTGGGAAGTATATACTTGACTGTTTAATGTTCTAAAAAGAATCATTTTTACCTATATACAGTCTATGGAAGTCATTATCACGATTCATAGATACAAGGGTTCTGATGAACCTTGCCATGCTGACTCATACTGGCTCACGCTTGCCTTTAGCTAAGGACTTGATACAGTTGTGTAGTTCCCCCAGCCGAGCCCCAGTCAGCCAGCGCAAGAAAGTGGTGTTGTTCATTCCTACCAGCCACGGCCAGATGATGCTAATCTCTGTCACATTTCTAGGGCTAGTGTCTCATGTCTGGCCGTTGTCGCTGCTTGTCACGATCTTCATATCTGGGCTGGTACCTAGTGCTGAGTACCCGTAGATATGGAACGAAGTGACTAAAGTGTCACCCGATTACAAAATCTGGGAGCACCAGCAGTGCTGCCGTCGGGAACCGTATAGAGCCGTATAGAGCCGTGCTTGACCACTCCACGAAGAGCCGTCGCCGCTAGACAAGACATAATCGATGGAGGACATTCCTAGTCCTATCTCAGTGTTTTCAAAACCCAAACTCCATGACATTAGACCTGTTACGCGAGACTTATATTTGATATATGTTGAAGACTTGTATCAAGTTCCCATTGTCATCGAGGTTGGCACCTCTACGTCCGATAGGTATGCCCACGATGAGCTGCCATCGTCGGAATATGACATAGTGATGCGTTAGGTCACAAATCAGCCGTCTGGATTTTTGTCGTGTTTCGATAGCGAAGAGGATACGCTCGCTTGACAGCTGCAGTGGGAAGGAGTTGTCTATCTCGGACGTGGAGGCTTGGTTCTGAATTACCTGTTCAGTATGGTTCATTGAATCATCTAGGGAGGAGTGTCATGATATAGTTTCTAGAGTGGCGATAGTGACCTGCGTCGTACCAAAAATACTTCCATATTGGCGGTCATTTTTATCTTCAACTTCGATTATGTTGGTCCGCAAATGTTTCGCTGACTGGTTGGGTACGTTGACTTGAAGAATCATCCAGACCGCATATGAACATGAGTCTGACTAAAATTATTTAGTTTGACCAGTTGTGTAACGTTGACATAGAAGAAATCTTAAGCTAAATATGTACCTAAGGCTGATTGACATATGCTGAGCTGATGGATTGTGTAACGTTAACTTGAAGAAGAGCAAATCAATCAACACATATAGATATGGATTAGGTCTAATATTAGTACATCCTTGGCATGCTGAAGGAATAAATACAGCGTCACTAATCTCTTTTAATTCTTCCACTTCACCTAATCTTTCCTGTTTTGTGATTTTTGATTTATAGTTTCTTTGGTGTTCTACTACTATCATCCCTTTGCACATGTAGTGTACTAGACAGGGCAGATATAGATTCCATTCCTCTTTAAGTATAATAATTGATATACTATTCCCTACAACGAATCACAGACATTAATTATAATATTATATCTCCACTACAAAGTTAATTGTGAGTTATTCATAGATTATTGTCAATGGCCTATGCTATGTAGTTGGCGTTATATTTGAAGATCTAACATGTACATTCCATCCTTACAGTTGACAACTTCTTAGGAACAAAAATATAGAATTCAGATCTACGGCTGATCATACGAGTAGTAGATTCAAGGCTGTAGGCAGTATTATTTATAAAGTCTGTACAGATGCTATCTAAAAGCCAATCCATCATCGATGTGCATAAAAAAGAGGCCGTTTCCATCAACAGGATGATCTCCATTCTCCACCGTTCTCTCGCTTTCAAACCATCACGGATCAAGCATTAAGTTTGTGTAGTGTGCATAATGATGACAAAGTAAATCCACTATAAGGAAAATTCAATTTAAATCCAAGCAAGAGCGTAATGAGATAATCACCAAAAACTACTATAACTTGTAAGATATTATGTATAGTCAAAAGAATTGATAAACACACTAAACAGTAGACCCAAAAAGTAAATATAAGATTTGAAATAGATAGATAAAAGCATAAAAGATAATGGAGATTAGTTTAGTTTCTTTCATATAATGATTTAAAGATATTGAATGCATATATGTTGTATTACATAAGCAGCGCTCAACCGTGGCGATGAAAAAAGTCTGGTCCGTGGTAAGTATGATGACAGCACAGCCACGTGAACCCGCACGTGGGAGCAGTCGGTGATAAGCCATGGCGATCAAGAGCGAGTCTCACAGTTGAGCAGAGCAGAGCAGACAGAGTAGACGAAGAGCAACTCATCGGTTCTCGCAAGCACGACAGAGCAGACAAGGAGAGAGAGAGGCGCGTAGAAGGGAAAGAGCGGGGCGGTGGCCAAGCAATCGCATTGGCATCCCCGCCGACAAAAATCTCTCCTCTCTCCCCTCTTTCCTGGCAGACAGACAGACAGACACAGCAGTCAAAGAACAGGTCGAAAGTAAAGAGACGACAGAAGCAAGAAACAAACTCCTCTCGTCACACCCGAAAGTTTCCTTCCTCGGTCGTCACACCATGTCGGGTCGCCAAGTGTCCCACGGTCGCGGCGGCGCAGGTAAGCACGCAAGCATGCCAGCTCTGTCCAGCAACCTGGCTCTGCAGTGTATATAATCGTCTCTAACCTGGTCTCTTGCATGCAGGGAACATCCACACGGATGGCAAGCCGCCCTCGCCCGCCGACCTCGTCACCCCCACCATCAAGCAGGACTTCTACACCACCGGCCGCGGGGGTTCAGGCAACATGATGTTCAACGACAAGGAGCGTCCAGAAATCGCGCGTGGTAGTCAGGATGTCGAGGAGCCGCCGAAGCGGTCGCAGGAGAACATCCAGTTTACTGGCCGCGGTGAGTCAGATCCTTCTGCCGTGCTGTGCTGAATTGCTAGCTGACATGGAGTCGTGTAGGTGGTGTCGCCAACGCTGTTATCCCCAGTGTCGAGGAACAGAAAGCCAAAGCCACTAACTCTGAACCACGAGAGCGAGTGCCATCGAAGGAACGGCCTAAGGGGGTACCTGGTGCATAATGGGTCTCAGTTCTGGTTATCAGTTTGTCAGTTGTCAGTCTCTGGTCTAGATTTGGACCGATAAAAGTGTTTAGCTGGGATACCCTTTTGGCGCATGGGTGTAATTCTAGGGTAGTCTGGGATATCTAGATATCCAGACCCGTGTTTGTGTGTTATATTATTGGCGTTATTGATTGAGTATTATTGTGAGTTTGAATAGAGAGAGTATGGCCAAACTAGACGGACACGACTTTTTAAAGCAAGCGGTGCAACGCAATAAGAAAGTAGCAACGAAAAAAGAAAAGAAAAGAAAGAAAATAAATATAGATTGAGCTAGCACCCCGCAACCTCGCAGCAATCGAATTGACGCTCGAGACGTTATCAGCTTATCTTTCTGCACCCCTTGTCATCATGCAACTAAAAGACAGCGTGGAGGGGTATTTCTGCTAATCAATAGCTGCATGGGCAATTGTTAATTTGTTACTGTAATGCTATAGGCTAATTTGGGAATGCCTATTGTTGTATCCAATCAATGTTATGTTATATAAGAACGCATCATCATGTTTAATTTCTCCGTACGTGTAGTGTGTAGTAACTCTCGGATGTTCTTCGGTGTCCTATTTAGGGGAACACTCATTTTTCACCCCACATATGCTCACCAGAGTCGTTGTAGTATGACAAGCGCTTGCAAGAAGACTTCCTGCCATCGGTCTACTATGGACCTCGCACTAAAGAGCCTGTTACAAGGGTTCCTTGAGACATTAGCTCTGAACTGTTTCAATGGATAGTGAAGAGTTGGTTGTTTCAGTCGACCGGTTTAGAGGCCCATAATAACTCAGATATATTCACAAGAAGAGTAATGAAGGATATAACATCAAGATATTAGTGTAAATGCAGATGAAAGATAGAAATCTGATATTGTATTCAAACTTTTGTCACATGAGTATATTCCACAGCTTCAGTCTCCTCCTCGTTTCAATATAGAGTGTACATTTACCTCGCGATGTGAATACGAATATTAATATTGCCTACTTCCACGCCCAAATATATCCTCACAGCTTAGACGCTTAGTAAGGCCGAATAATACTGTATTACAATTACCGCCGAATCCGGCAAAGCCAAACTAAGCCCGGAACGGCAGGGCTTTACAATTCAAAAGCTCCCATGAAGCGCGAATTACGTTTACCCCAAAGCTTCACCTTCACCATCTTCGAGTCGTATGCGGAATCGTGACGTGCGATCCTTAGAGCTCCTGGTGCCAAGCCGGTTCCTGCAGCTGGTTCCTGCCACTATATAACGTTATCCTATCCGTTCTGCATTTCTCTCCGACCGAACCCTCATCTGAACTTGCCTTCTCTCACCCCGCTCGTCTGAACCATGTATGCTGCCGTCGAGCCCGAAAGGTCGCAGCCGCTCCCTCACCAGCCGCCACCACTATCTATGGACCGTATTGCTCCTCCTGCGCCTGTCTACCAGACTTCTTCGTCCACCGGTCCGTTGCGCTCCACCGACCATCTTCAGCCCGTGTCCACCGTACATGATGGGCGCATCTGGTCGCTCCATGTCGTCCAGCAGCCGATCCGAGCCCGTATGTGCGGCTTTGGCGATAAGGTGTGCATATCGGAGAGTATATACAGGAAATGCAACAAGGTTACTAATTTGCATTTGCTAGGACCGACGCCCGATCACCCCGCCTCCATGTATCAGACTAGTGGTGAAGGACGCCAATACGGACAAAGAGATTGATATCAACGAAATTGACACCTCATTCTATGTGCTGACTGTCGACTTGTGGAATGCCGAAGGTACGAACGAGGTGAATCTTGTGCGCCACTCGGCCAACTCGCCGTCCATCTCGACCGCTACCTCCTCTTCCTATCCTCCACCGCCGCAACAGAACCTCTCGCCGACATACCCTTCCTCTTATGGCCAGTCACCGTACGGACAACAAATGGGATATCCTCAGGTTGGTTACTATGGTCAAAATCAGATGTATCATGGGAATCCGTATAGCAATCCTCAGGCTCCCTACTATGGTGGGGGAAGCTATTACCAGGGCATGCAGCAGCCCAATTTATCCGCCCAGACTGCTCCCCCCGGAGGCATGTTCACAAGGAATTTAATCGGCAGTCTTAGTGCGAGTGCTTTTCGCTTGACGGATCCAGATAACAAAATCGGAGTATGGTTTATTCTACAAGACCTAAGTGTCCGGACAGAAGGCACATTCCGGTAAGCCGACTGGGAAACCAACCCAGTGAAGACCAGATACTAATTTATATATACACAGCCTCAAAATGAATTTCGTCAATGTCGGCACTACACAGTCCTCGGATGCCAACGGCGCACCCGTCCTCAATCACGGATCAGCGCCGGTTTTAGCTTCCGTATTTTCAGATCCGTTCCAGGTTTTCTCCGCCAAAAAGTTCCCGGGCGTCATTGAGAGCACACCTCTGAGCAAATGCTTTGCATTACAGGGCATTAAAATCCCCATTCGCAAAGACGGCGTGAAAGGACGAGGGGGCGGCGGAGATGGCGACGACGAATACGACTGAATGGGGGATTGTCCGACTTTTATCTTCGTGTTTATTCTTCTAGTCCTTGCTTCTTTGCTTACTATTATTACGAGTCGGAGTTGGTATGTTCATAGGAGGAGAATAGAGGCGTTTTATGTTTGTTCCTCTGTGGGTTAAAAAAGGGATTGATACGGGGCCCCCCCATTTTACTCGGGGCATTGTTCTTAGCGTTTTTGATCGTCTCACCTGCAGTGAAAACCTCATTATCATTAATATCCTAAGCTGATTATTTAATACACTATATGCATAACTCATTAGAAGCGGAGTACTCGCTTTAGGCACCCTCGTATGGTTGGGGGCACGCCCCAGTAAAATTTCATTTCAGCAGGGCCTGTAATAAATTTCCTAGTGTTTTTAATCAACTTTGTGACGGCGCAGTTGCAGTCACTAGCTTCATATTCCTAGCCCTTAATGTTAACCGCTGTCATCCCTGCTGCTAAATCAAGTGCCAATTGGCGTGTATAACGGTTAGTGGTCTCAAATATCAGAATTGCAGGGTTCTTCCGCCATAGTATGGTATTATGCGAGGCTATTGTCTATTGGGCCCTGCCGTTTGCGTGCGATTGGCCATGTTATCGCACTGGATTGTCCTTAGCTGGCGGTTAGCACCATTCCTGTCCCGGCGCGATGCTTATCGATAGGCCGGATGCGGAGGTTCACCTTCACTACGGATACTCTACGAGTAATTATTTTACACGTAGGTAATACGGGTCGCGAGGGACTGTTTTTGTGTTATATCATATGAGCCCGTGGCCTACCTGGTCACTGCTACCAGCTCTGTTGGACCACCGCCCCAAAAAAGGTTTACGGTTAAGGGACTTGTAGATCAGCTCAGCAGTAATAAAATAACCAATGGATTATTAGGCACTGACCCGGTGATCATGGCGGGGTGATCCGCGTACCTAATACATAGTATAACTATATGCTACGACAGGATGACAGTGATCATCGGAACTATTGACAGTGTCGACAATAGTTATATGTAGCTCTGACGAGTCAGTACGCACCTAGTAGAACTCTTCAAATGCCGTAAGATAGTCATAATACACGGCACTTAATTAGGGCTTGGGCTGCTCGGCGCCTAGTGAAACGGCCACAGAGTAGCCACGCATGCTCACTTCACTGGTGATCATAGCATGACACGCTGTCTAGACTCCGATACGCGGAAAAGACAATATCCAGACAATCATTTCCCACTCTATTCAAGGTTTTACATGCATATGGCAGATGTACTCGACAGGGAAGTCAACGTTGAATCAACACTGACATGCAAAAAAAAAGAAGAAAAAAAAAAAAAGAGAACAAATATTATACATATGTTTGGCTGACGACTGAGTCTGAACTTAAAGTCAAGGAGTGGAAAGGGTATTGTTTGCAATCCCACTACCAAGAGGTCGACGGCGAGAGATTTCGTGGGACTGCAAGGCGCATATACATGAATAGCCCGTAGTTTGAACCACTTAAAAGCATTGTTCGACGAGTGGCGGCTTGAATATTGAGGGCTGATCGGCTCTATCGCTTTGTTTTTTGATCGTACTGTACATTTTTATTGCAGCATCAGTAACGGGAATCTCATAACTATCATTTTCTTTCAGCCGTGTCTTTGCACTCGCTAAGGTGAACATCGAAATGATCATGCATACATTTTCTAATATTGCCCCATTCAAAAGTGACATGATACCACTCCTTGAAAACCCCCCTAGATCAGTTGAAAAGAAAAGGAGAATGCATGATTTGGGAAAAGATGAGACGTAAACATAATTAAAGAGCATAGAAAGAATAAAACTACCCGATGATTTCCTCCGTCTCCTCAATGATTTCCTCCACAATCTCTTCCACCACTGTATCCGCAGTATCACCCTTGGCTGCTCCCTTGAGCGCGTCCGCGGCTTCTTCTTCTTCAGGGAGACCTTCTTCTTCCTTCTCCTCGGTCAACAGCTCCTTTTCTCTGCGAACCCAGGCAAGCCATTCGTTAAGCACGCGCTTGCGTTTCTCGACAACGGCCGTGTTGGCGATGTCGACAGCGTATTTGTCTTCTTCGTCGAATTCCTTGGAGTATTCCCGCAGGTTCTTGCGGACTTGTTTCTGCTCTTCACGGCTGAGGAGTGTTGGTGGGCGTGGTCGCCAGAGGAATTGCTTGAATTTTTCGGTGGGGTGTTCGGCGAGCGTTTCGCCAGAGAAGGTGTGAATGTTCCATCCGTTTTCCATCGAGTGAGTCCACACACTGGCGCTGCTGACTACGTAGCGGCCGGTTGGGTCCCAGTCTACATCGGTGACGCCGTAGTGTTCGACTGTCTTGAGCAGCATGACATTGGCGTTTAGGTCCTTCTCGGCCTCGGGTTTCTCGCCTTCGAAGTCGACATCGTAGAAGTCGAGATCGAAGCTGGATTGGGAGTGGACGGTGGCGACGACGACGAAACGTCCCTTGGGTGACCAGTAGATGCCGTTGCTGGTCTTTCGCTCGATTGTGCGTACGAGCTTAAAGCTACCGATGCCGGCACCTTTGACTTTTTCGGGTGCAAAGAACAAAACGGCTGTCTTGGGGGCGGTGGCTGCGCCAGCGACTGCTTCACCAGATGTGATGAGAACGAATCGGTCGCCCTTGGGTTCCCAGGCGAAGTTGATCACCGTGTCTTTCAAGCTGTCGACGACTTCAACGGGAACCCCCTTCTCCTTGATACGGAAAATCTCCAAGTTCGTGGCCATGCTCTTCTTGCTCTTGCTGTGACGGTCGACCTTGACGCAAAGGAATGCTGCTTGAGATTGCCACTATGGGAGCGTTAATGCTAGCTTATAGTGAATGTGGAAATGTATATTAGGAATACTTACGTGAAGCTTCACATCTGAGACCAAGAAAAGATTTCGTGTACGAACAATTTCTTTCGATGGAACACTCATTAAACCGACCTTTGCGGGATTGCTTCCAATTTCAGGAGTCCAGAAAGATAGTAATTGTTCGTATTGCTTGATACCCTCGCGCGCAACGGTCGCGGGAGCCCACTCGAAATCCACAATACCATCGATCTTTATAGGAGTCTTTTCCTTGTTCAACATGTGCATATCCGGTAGTTCGTAGATGGAAAGTGATTGTCCGGGAAGCATTCGTGCAACATATTTTTCATCAGCAGACCACTTGAAAGCGGGCCACTGGATCTTCTTCTTGGGCGCAGCATCCACCTCAGGACCAGCAATGTCGTGGGCGGCAAAAGACCGAAGAGGCTTCCCCGTCTCAATATCCCAGATAATGATGTGCTTTCCATCCTCCGCGTACGAAAGGGTTCCTTGCTGGCCTTCTTCTACTTGAATAGGGCGAGCGGACCACGTCGTAATGTACTTCTCACCAGGAGAAAACTCAATCAGTTGAACAAAAGGATGCGGCAATTGCCTTTGTTTGCCAAACGTAGAGCCACCCCACAGCTGCACACCTTGGGGGTGCATCGAAGCGAGGAATGTTCCTTGTGGCGACCATTGCACGAAGAGTTGTGTCCAGTGTGGGCGGTCAACGACATTCTCCGGGTCTTCCTTCTTCATATTCCAAAACACGCCAACTTTGTCGCCTCGGAAAAGCGCAAATTGATCCCGGGCGCTAGGGTCGCCCATCCATGATCGAAGGTGTTCCTTTTCTTTGAATGGTGGGATTTCAGGCGCGGTGTACTCCTCGTCGACGCGACCCTCGCGACCATATCGATCGATATCTGTGAGTTTGTTGACTAAAAGTGTATGTTTCCTATCAAGAGGGACAGCGTGTAGCGATTTAACGGCGGCAGTTGCCTGTTCTGGGGTCTCATATTCCACAAATGCGAATCTATCAACGGTCAGTCGATGGTGTGCTGAGAGTTGGACCTTGTACCAACCCTTCTGATTGATTGTCTTCGTTGATGGGCATGAAGAAGTCCACCACCCTTCCGACGGTATTCAGCTTTTTCGATACATATTTGACAAGTTTTTCCTTGTTCTCCTCTAGACAACACTGTTAGCAGCCTTAATCTTTAATTTTTGCGGGGCTAACAATTTTCTGCTGATAGAAGCAGGCCCCATTTCGGATTCTCTCAACGCACCTGTAACAATAGGCAATCCATCAAGAACAACAAAGGCGTCATAGCCTGACTCGAGTCGCACTTCAAATTGTTCGCGAAGATCTATAACCTGGTCAGCGGCGGAGGGGTAATCGTCGGCCGGAGAAATTTTGGATTTTTACCATCGAAGTTGATCTCGTCGTCGTCGAACTCGTCGTCAGACACGTTGTCGTAGCTGGGAGCCATATTGGGCAGACTGACAAAATGTCACCAGTAAAGGCCCGTTGCTTGAAGAAACAACGATGCGCACACGACTGATTATTCTCGCTCTCGTCAAGGCTATCTTGTCTGCTCTTGCTGGTCGAGAGACTAATTCTGTGTGTGGCGCTTAGTCATGCACCCGAGAATAGAAATGTGTGCAAAACAGGCAAACATCCATCAATATTATCATCGTGGCCAATCGGATTTATAAATTTTAACCCCCCCGCCCATCTCAATATTAATAACACTAACACTGTTTATACTGTCTACGGGCGGGACTTGAATCAGTCTATATCGCATTTAACTATATGGTTAGATTCAATACTAATCACCACCATTGAAAACAGCAGGTTGATATATTCTACATTGAAGTCCTGCTTAACTCATGGCTACTTCTCACTTTACCTAGGTTAGTTGCCTCTTCTGTTCCATATGTTCCAAGGCGGCCAAAAGCTTCTCAGCAAAGGCAGCCGGCTCAGCTTCATACCCAGAATGGTGGCTAGGAAAGATGAAGCGTGGGCAGTTTAGGATCTCAGATTGGTGGATTGTGGTTACAGCGTAGAAGGCATCCTCGCTTGCAAGCCCAGCGGCGACAGCTATCGAGACTCCATTCTCAACAATCTTGCGGAGCTCTGGACAATAGATGGTGAAAACGAGATACTCATTTTCCCAAAAATTTTCCGCGTCTTCTTGGCTGAGAACCTCCGCGGGTACATAATCTTGATAGCCTTTCATTTCGCCCATAAATGCTTGAAAGGCGGCCCTAACGCCGTGTTTTCTGTAAGTGTCAACTAGTTGGAAAGCTCTATCAAGGCGGTACGTAGAATTATCTAGGAGGCTAGTAGTTGGTGTTTCATGGGCAATGACGTGGTCAAGAAACTCAGGATAGCTGATAGCAAATTGAAAAGCGATTATTCCTCCACCACTGTTGGCAAAAATGGACGTCTTCTGGCGGCCCAAAGCTGTGACTATGGCGATTATGTCACGAGCTTGCTGCGCAGGGTTCATCAACTTATTCTCATTGACTTTGCTGGCATTTGTCTGTCGTCGATCGTATGTGCAGACCGTGAATTGCTCGTCCAGATGCTCAAAGAGGAGGTTGAACTGTCTTCCGATTCCCCCGCCGCCGGGGATCATAATCAGCAGTGGGCCCGTCCCCTGGTACCAGAAATGCAAGTCGCATCCTTCTGTTTCCACAGAAGCAGACGTAGGATTAAATTCCATGTTCACAATTTTGCAGGTCGAAGTTATCTCAACAAGCGCAGATGCCCGCTAAAGCTGGTTAAACGACTATTACCACTATGTAATATGTGGGGCGAGCACCTGTTAACCAAAACCTAACTACTAATTAGTGGCTCAGCTCCGATGGAGGATCAGTATTTAGCACCAACCGTGGGCGATCTTTCCTAAACATCTACCAGGACGCATGGCATAGCCTACTAAAGATGAGAGACAGGTTCACTATTATCCCACAATGGCAATTGTGGGACAGTATCTTGCATCATTATACATGAATGTCCCTGTGACTACATATATAGGGCTGGCGCCGGTTTTCATATCAGCTCGTTCGTTAGTGCTTAAATAAGTTTACGAGCTCTTACTAGTCCCATCCATATGTACGTATATAGGTATGTAGCTAGTCCATTTATAACACTCCATATCAGCACCACTTTCGGCCACCTTTCTTCCTCAACAACATTCACACTCGCAAGCGCCATAATGCCTCTTGAACTTCACAAGTTAAGTTCCGACGAGGAATTTCCCGCGTTGGTTGATGGTCTATGGAGGGGCTATGCCGAACCTTTCAACGGTTTCTGGGAAATCCTCAAGGGCCCAACGCAAGAAGAATGTACTGAACGCTACAAGTCATGGCACAAAGCTGATCCCACTAGCCACTGGCTATATGTCACCGACTCTGAAACGAAGAAGGTCGTCGGTGCGATGCAATGGAATGTTTTTGAGACCAACCCGTACATCAATGGTCCTCCATCGCTTCCAGCCTACTGGTGGCCTGAGGGTATGCCGTAGATTATTTCCTAGACCTCTACTTTTGTTTTCAGGTTCTTATATATCTTCATCTCAAACAGGTCCCCTGAAGGAAATCTCAGAGCAATTGTTCGCTGCCTTCTTTGCGGGCAGACCCAGCAAGTGTGGCCAGCCGCATGTTCGTAAGTAGAACGTGGGTATGATTAAAAGCCGCTTACTAACCCATCTCAAAGTGATCAGCTATTGTTTCACTGATCCCAAGTACCGGCATAAAGGTGTCGCAAGTCTGGCCATGGAGTGGGGAATCCACAAGAGCGAAGAACTTGACCTGGATGCATTCGTTGAGTCGACCGAAGATGGCCGCGGCTTCTACGAAGCGCATGGATTCGAAGTTCTGGATGAATTGCACTTGGATGCTGGCGTGGATAGTCCAAGTGCAGAATTCACTCAAAGAAGAAGGGAGCTTCAATTACCACTCCATGGGTTCTTCATGAAAAGACGTTGTGGTGCAAACAAGTCTGCGTAGGGAGTCCGATATTAGAACGCAGAGATCTAAATACCGAGCAATTCATTACACCTAAATCTAAGTTGTCATGAAATATAGTTGGAAATTGTTCCAGCCCCAGGCATCAACAAGGCCGTCGCAGGAACATTGTTATTCCGGTATGCGCTAATCCTAGAACGGCGACTCCTAGTCACGCGGCTTTTGCCGTGAAGCCTGGCCAAGTGGGGCACGCGGCATCTGGCCTGAGGCAGCTCAACTGCTGGAGGTCCTTGTGAGCTTCCAATCAACTACCCACTGTCCCTGCAAGTCATTGTTGCTTCCTGGAGCCATGCAGTACAAAGACCCTACTCCATAAGCTGTGTGCATACAATTCGTCGTGACCGCATCATCATTGCACTGCTACTCCATTTGCCTACCTTTTCATCCACTGCTGCCCTGTAATTAATTACAGCCTGAGCTCCAGCTTGCTGGCGATGCCCCACCTGTCGTCCTAAGCGCCGAAAGCCATAACGCTGCAACTCTCAATATTAATTCACCCTTGACTCTCATCTGGGCTCTCTGATCGCGCCAATACCTACCGCTGGGACAGCTGATTTCTGAATAGCCCCTGTCAGCGGTATCCCAGCGAGCCTTTTCACCATGTCGCGTGAGTGTGTCAAACGGACCTATAGCCGGAGCTAACCAGACATCATCAGTGTCCTCCGAGCAGCGCGACTCTTTTACGAAGGTCATTGACTCAATCCTGGCTGATAGTGACTTAAACACTATATCGTCAAAGAGCATACGGAAGGGGCTGCAGGAGAAGTTCCCCGAATATAACCTCAATGAATACAAGGTCTGTGATGACGTTCGTAGGCCGGCATCGATCAGTCACTCACATCGAACAGGATGCCGTGAAGGATCTTATCATGGAGCGGTTCGACATTTTTGCAAATAAGAACGAAACGGAATCGACGTCCTCAGAACATGTCGTACCCACCACTGAAACGACGAACGGTCACAAATCCAACGGAGTGCAAGCCGCCACTGCTATTTCACCAACCCCGTCTTCGACGCCAAGTAGGAAACGCGAATCCACAAGTGAGGACTTGGAGGAAAGTGAGCCTAAGAAACGACGACCCGAGCCGGATGTCGACGCGGATGCTCTTTTTGCAGCCAAACTGCAGGCTGAAGAGAACAAGCGCGCCCGTCCCACCCGAGGCAGCGCAACTCGCAAGTCCGCACCGGCAAAGAAAAAGTCCAAATCGAAGACCGCAAAGAAGGTAAGAGCAGAGGATGATTCGGATCTTGAATCTAGTTCAGAGACAACACGGAAAAAAGCGGTCAATCGCTCTACTGGTTTTCACGTGAGTAAAAGTAGGGACCTCAGATGTGGATTCATAACTCACTTTGCAGAAACCTCTCAACTTGTCACCCGCTCTTTCTGAGCTATTGGATGGCGAATTATCGGTGAGTTATTCGTGAAATACCTGGTCGGGAAGGCTTTCTGATTTAAATAGCTGTCGCGCCCCCAAACTGTTAAGCGGGTTTGGGATTATATTAAAAAGAATGACCTCCAAGATCCCACGGATAAACGACAGATTCGATGTGATGATCGACTGCGACCAGTTTTTAAACAAGACCGGGTTCACATGTTTACAATGACTAAGATCCTCAACCAGAACTTGTACGACCCTGGTGAATAATGTGGATCATTTGCTACCGACCTTACAGGTTCCACCATCGCATTCACTCACACATGAGTCTAAAAGCTGCTTCTGAAAGAAGACCATCCCATCTACAATATCCAGGTACATGGAGGTACACTCCTGCCTGTCTATGAAAGATACTTACCATCTACTACTATCACAACACCTACTCTCACCACTTCGACTGCATTGGTTCCACGGTGCTCACAGTGTTTTTATTCATCTTGAAATGTCCCTCAAATCGTTGAATCCTTTCTGACCTGCATCTTTTGCTCAGCGGTCGTATTATTGTTCTCGTTTAGCGGGTGTCGATCTTCGTCTTTGTTCATCGGAGCTTGCTTGTTAATGGCATTGGCTTATTCATTATTAATACAGCCTTAGCTATCTATCTAAAATTTGGAATCTATGCCTGTAATTTATGACTTGCGGATCAACCGATAGACAGCTAGTCCTATCTACGAGTACAAACAGAGTGAGACAAGGAAACAGTGAGGGTCATGTCAACTAGTTTGGTCTATTGGGTGCGTGGTTTGGTGAATCCAAACAATTCTAGGGATACGCCTCTGATGCACGCGTACGAGACCGACAAGAATATATTTGAGTGGATTAGCTCGTAAGGGTACGGTACTCATTTGAACGATTATCTCGATGGATGTAGCCTGGGTCGTTTGCCTTGGATGGATCCCAACATACCCTATTATGACAAAAGTTTGAATGAAGTATTGATATTTTCTACCTATCTTTCATCTCCATCTACCTCTATTTATATCAGATTAATTAGAGTTTCTTGGATGGCGTCTGTAAATAATACAAAAAAGTTCAAATATTATTAATACTGTTATGGGGGTGTTCCTATACCTAATCCACCTTTGTCGCGCTATATTCAAACTTTTGTCACCCTACTGTATATCCTGTTAAGGAAAGTCTCATTAATGGCGCTGACCCCAGCCCACAAGCTCCATTTATTGTAGATATTGGTACAGATAGGGGTTATAACATGGTTAAATTCGAGAGTTACTATCCTGACCAACTGGGACAGCTGATCCTTCAAGACCTGCCCGTTGTGATTGATCAAGTTAAGGATATAGATCTAGATATGATCTGTACGAGCTATGACTTCCATACTGAACAACCCATTAAAGGTAAGACCACTTATTCAAGTGCCATCAAACTTCAGACATTAACTTGCGTGTCAAGGTGCTCTGCGCCTACTTGATACAATCATGTCTCCACAACTAGGATGATGATACGTGCGCCAGCATCCTAGTACGGGTTGAAGCCGCCATGAAACCTGGATATAGCAAGATTTTGATCAGTGGAAATGTTATTCCCAAAACAAAAGCTCACTGGGATGCTACGGGGCTCGATATGGTAATCATAGCCCCTTGTTCCAGTGCAGAACTGACTGCTGTAGCCTGGTGTGACTTGATTGAGACCTGGGCTGGTCTGAAAATATGCAAGGTCTGGGGCGCCGGGGAAGATTCGGAGAGTTTGATCGAATGTGAGCGAGCTTAGTCGGTGTAACTCAACACCTGTATGCTGTCACGTTGTTATTGAGAACAGGGCGCACATCGTTTCTGATTCGACCATTGGATACGGTCGAAGTATCTTATCAAAGTGATAGTGTATATCCGAAGAGATATTTAGCATAGAATTGTGACCTTCTAGCTTCCTGGAAGCTCTTGGACATAGATCTCCAAACTGTCAGCTGTTTAGCATGAGTCATTAAGAGCAAGAAACATCAACTCCTACCAATTTCGGATAATAACGACTACACTATACTGAAAAAAGGAATTGTCTAGCTGCTTTCAGAATTTGCAGCAGCAGCAAGGCATGTATTGATCTTGATTGGCTGGGAGAGAGAGCGGGCCCCGCCAGCCCACCATCATCATCAGAATTGCAGGGCGAATAAATACTCTCCAGCCGCCTGCCTTGTTGAATATTACAAGTCCGGACTCGTTGTTATTTATTTATTGTACATTCTTTTATTTGTTTACCCCTTTTTGAACAATTTGTCATGGCTGAAGACTCTCATGCCCAAGCTCCAAACTCATCGGCAGGACCGCGAAATTCCAACCCCGGCGGTGGTAGACGACGAGGTGGCGGACGTGGTGCATCTCACAATTCAGATCGACCAGACAACCGCAGGCATGAGGGTCAATCGAGAGGTGCTCGCGGCCGTGGAGGTGGCGGAAGAGGTCGAGGTGGCGGTGATCGGTGGAATCGCAACAATAACAATCCCAAAGGTCACGTACCAAATACCGCGTTGGAAGGCGGAGGGGGAGGGGGTGGTACAGGACTTGATGGAGCAGGCAGCTCTGGTGATCACCCAGCTGGAGATGCCATAAATACGGAGGGTGAAGGTGCCGAGAAGGTCAAGCAATCAATTACACCCGCGACAGATGAACCAGATGATGGCGAGGTCTGTTTTATTTGCGCCTCAAAGGTCGAGCACACGTCGGTTGCACCATGCAACCATCGAACCTGCCATATCTGTGCGTTGCGACTGCGAGCTTTGTATAAAACTAAAGCCTGCGCGCATTGCCGAGTATGTCGATGATTGGAATTCCTTGCATGTTACTCTAGACTGATATCTTTTAGAGCGAGTCGCCGTTCGTGATTTTCACCGATGACCCGGTAAAACGGTTTGAAGACTTTCAAAACTCAGAGCTTTCACGTACGGACGATAACTTGGGAATAAAATATGAAAAGGACGAAATCTTCGAAGACACAGTGATATTGCTGAGGTACAACTGTCCTGACCAGGATTGCGATGTTGCCTGTCTTGGATGGCCAGATTTGCACCGGCATGTGAAGAGTAAACATGGCAAGTCTATGTGGTAAGTTAAATCAAGCTTTTGCGAATTTCCAGTTCTAACGAAGCTTCAAGCGACCTCTGCACTCGAAACAAAAAGGTGTTTACCCACGAGCACGAATTGTTCACTACGTCGCAGCTGCGAAAGCATGAAAAATATGGAGATGATACCCCGGGCGCTATTGATCAGAGTGGCTTCAAAGGACACCCTGAATGTGAATTTTGCCACCAACGGTTTTACGGAGATGATGAGCTTTATGCTCACTGTAGAGATAAACACGAGAGATGCCACATATGCGATCGCCAGCCCGACAATCGCCGTCATCAGTACTACATCAATTACGACGCACTTGAAGATCACTTTCAAAAAGATCATTTCCTGTGCTTAGATAAAGAGTGTTTGGATAAGAAATTTGTTGTCTTTGAGACTCAGATGGACTTGAAAGGCCATCAGTTGGAATCTCATCCAAACGGTCTCTCTAAGGATGCTCGAAGAGACGCACGAATGGTAGACATGTCCACATTTGACTTCCGAACCCCTTATCAGCCTCAGATTCGACAGCGAAGAGAAGGTCGGGGAGCAGGCAGAGGACGCGACCCCAACGCAGAAGCTCTCCCCGTCTCCAGTGCCCAGCCGTTGAGAAGAGACGAAATAGCTTATCAAAGACAAATGGCAATCCAAAGCGCGCAGTCAGTATCGACCAGAAGCTTTGGCGGTCAGCTTACACCTCGGGAGACCCCTGCCGCTCGAAACGTTGCAGGCCCTACGCCTGCTCAAGCAGCAGCAGCATCGGGACCAGCTGCGTCTTCTCGTGGCCCAGCAGCCCCCGTCGCACCTATGGAAAACCTCAACCTGAATAGTGACTCACTTGCCTCACTTTCACCTCAAGACCAAGCTCGTCGACTCCGACACACTGCCGTTGTCGAGCGGGCTTCCAACCTTCTCCAAAACGACGCCTCCAAAATCTCAGAATTCCGCACCAAAGTATCCAACTACCGCACATCCATCATATCCGCTACCGAACTGATTGACTCCTTTTTCTCTCTTTTTGACACTCCAAGTTCGGAGTTAGGAAAACTTATCAAGGAACTCGCCGAAATCTACGAAGACGAAAGCAAAAGGAACGGCTTACTCAAGGCTTGGAGCGACTGGAGGGCTATCAACGAGGACTATCCAGCCTTACCAGGACCGAACGGCATTCTACCTGGCATGTCATCAGGCACAACAGGGTCGGGAGGAAAACGTGTTTTACGCCTGAAGTCTTCAACGGCCCAGTCTTCGCGCTCTGCTGTTGGCCGCGCTGGTAGCAATGCTTTCCCACCCCTCCCTGCCTCCACATCAGCCAACAGCCGTTCTGGTACATCCTCACCCGCGCCAGCATGGAGTAGTAGCACTCCTACATCTCGGCCAACGGTCACAACCACATCCTCATTCTCACGCCCCCCGCCGCGAGCTCAGACAGGACCTCTTCCGCGCACGAATGACCGTGAAGCATTTCCGTCTCTCCCAGCTGCTCCAAAGCCGAACACGCTCATGGCGGGACTCACGCGTGGTACAATTCGTTGGGACGAACGTCGTGGACCCGCTCCAGCGGCCTGGGGTAGCAATTCTGGGTCCGGAACATCTACTCCGGGTGAAGAGTTGGACGAATTTAGTGTTTCTGGAGGCGGAAAAAGGGGTAAGGGGAAAAAGGGGAAACAGGTTCTATTTCAATTTGGTTAGATGGGTTTAGGATAGATGGTGGTTATCGCCTGAGCGTTTTGTAAATATTGATTAGATTTTCTCTTATTAATTCTGAATAATACTTGAGATGGAAATGATGCCTTCTAGATTCCCAAAATATAGCATAGCACCTCATGGATAATAATTGATATATTGAAGGAAATTCTTTAATGCCACAAGATGCGCGACTCGTTTCTATCGACTAAGTACATTTAAATCATATCATCGTCCAGGGTAGACCCAAACTCCTCAATGGGCATGAACGGGTTATCCTCAGATACTTTTTCCCCAGGACTATGGTGATCGATCTCTTCGATTCCACGACTACCTTCAATCCCCTCAACACTCTCCACCGGGACCTGGCCAAGGTCCGCTTCTATTGCCGCCATCTTCATGGCAAATTCTTCCTGTAGTCTTTGTAGCCACCCTCGGAGGTCTTCTCCATCTATATTCCCGTGATACGCTTGTAACAATTGCTCCCTTAGGAGAAGAACTAACTTACGCTTTCGAGCTGTTGCCAGAGCCTTAGAACTAGAAGCACGACGTTCAGCATTCGTGGTTAAGTATTCTGATACGTTCTGCGCGATTTCTAGGACCTGAGGAGGGAAGGGCAGAACTCGTGCGAGAGCGAGACCATAGAACTTTTCCTGTACATGGCCTTCTTGTACTTTGAACAACATTGTCATTTTACGGGCTTCCGAAATTTGAACGGCAAGATGCAAGTTGACAACGCCAGTCCGTCCAGCTAGTATATGCGCGAGATCGCGAAAATGAGTCGCAAACCAAACAAGTGCATGACTGTCGACGAGAGCTTCGGCTATTGCTATCGCAATCGCGAGCCCGTCTGTAGTGCTTGTTCCGCGACCAAGCTCGTCGACAATAACGAGACTTCGCGGATCTATATTCTGTAGAATGAAGGACATCTCACGCATTTCAGCGGCGAATGTCGAGACACTGGCGTTCAACTCGTCCACTGTGGCCGCCCGGGCAAATAGTTGGTGAATGATGGGAAATGAAGCATAATCAGCAGGAACAAAAGAGCCGATATGCGCCATTATGGCCATGAGCGCAATTGAACGTATGTACGTAGATTTTCCACTCATGTTACATCCAGTTACAATCTGAAATCGCGATTGCTGAGCAGCGTAGGTATCGTTGGGAACAAACTTGTCCTTGTGGATCTTCTCATGTATTGGATGGCGGCCAGACTTGATCGCGAGAACATTGGTGAATTCTGGCCGGATGTAGTCCTCTATTGTCACGAGGTGAGAAAAGGCAACTAGCATGTCAAGAGTTGCGATTGCCTCGCTGACTTTGAAGAGAATAGAAACATCCTGACAGATTTCGTCAATCAACTCCTGAATGGTTTGATCACTCATATTGATTACTTCATGGTGAGAGTCTGAAATTCTCTGGTTGAGTTTGACAAGGTCTAGTGTCTGACATTCAATACGGTCTTTTTTTCTGAAAATGTTGACAAACTCTTCAGGAAGCGGACCGTCTATTTCGACGACACAAAGACTGATATAGTAATGTCTTACATTATCGAACTTCAGATTTAGGGCTAGATTGTGCTGCTCTTCATGATTTTAGACAAGGTAAATAAAACAAGAACTGGAACATACCAGCCAAAGCAGTGACAAGCTCCGATGCATCGGCATTAGCTTCCTTGTATGCCTGACGAGCGACATCTAGTAAGCTATTTACTCCGGCCTAGGTCAATTTAGCATATATAATTGAGGATGGTGAGTCAATTTACCTTGATCGCGTAAGTCCTCTGGTTTCGCAAATCAAGAGGTTTGCTCTGGAAAGTCACGTCCTCGTTGAGTGTTCTATCTATAGTTTCTTTGATTGATTGATACGAGCTTGGTGCGCAGATCTAATCGTTATCAACATTGATAAATGAACTGAGCAGTTAACTCACATCTCTGATCTTGAGAAGAAGTGCGCTATCAGCACCGGCTAGGGCTTCGTATACAGGTTTGATGGAATAGATGTATGATTTCAAGGCAATGACGTGATTCACTGACTGCTCAACGTATTGTATGGATAGTTTTACTGGATTTAGAATAATCTTGATCTGTCAGGCGTGATTCATGATATTTGGAAGATCTTCCTACCGAAGTCAGGACCTTATCAGCATCGACAAATCCTTTCAGTGCTACTAGACATTCAGCGTTACTCGATGACGAACTTCATTCGAAGCAATACCTTGTCTCGTAGCGTAAAACAACTCTTCTTTGCTACTAAATTCTTCGACGGCATCGTGACGTGCTATGATTTTCTCGATTTCAGTGGCCGGCTGTAGAATATTAGTTTTCAGCAGACGGGCCCCCATTGGCGTTAGTGTCTCATTCAAAAGGCCCAACAAGCAATCCCTCGACTTGGAGTTCTGAAGATTTTGGATCAATTCGAGAGACGCAACTGTGGAAAGATCAATCAGCATTGAGCCTTGAGAAGCCTCAAACTTTATACGGAGTGAATGATATGCAAATGTCATGTCAAGTTGAAGCTCAACATATTTTAGTACCTCCACGATTGTCAGATCATATTCAAAGCATGCAGGTTACCTTACTCACTGCAGCGAGACAACATGCCGCAAAATAGTGATTTTCTAACGCCAGCTGGATTGAATCTAATTCGGCTGGAAAAGCCAGTTTGTCCACGTACTCATGGCTGGCTCTGTCAGACCAGTACCGCCGGTCAACGCAGTGGATAATGAGGTCAGGAATATACTCTTGGATAATTCCAAACAGCTTTGTCTGTTGCGCACTTCGCGTGCTCATGAAAAGAAGCTCGGTGGGTTCGAATACAGCTATTTTGTTGATTGTTCTCACATACGAGTTGTTGTCGCATACCTGGCAAAGCACCGCTTCGGACGTTGACAAGTTGACGAAAGCAAGGCCAACAGTCGGAGAAACCCCACGGGATTCGCTAACAGCACACAGCACTTCCTGAGATGCAATACTCGTCGCTCTGGTGGTTGGCCTCGTAATTTGGGTTACATGGCCAAGCACTGACCTAGCTGTAGGGGTTCGGCGATGTGGCACTGGTGAGGCAATGGATAGCATAGACGACATGTTTGGAAAGATATATCACGGCAGACTCATGACTTGAGATTCGCGAGGAGGGCAAGTAGTGTCAGGGAGAATGTCAGGATTCTGAATTGTCATGAAGTAGAAAGAAGGTCGAATACAGTGTCGTTTTGGGAAGGCGCGGTCGCAAAGCGGGTTAGTTGCTTTGACCGCCAGGAGGGTAGGCGCTCGCTTCACCCATCTCGTTGCAAAAAGTCGTCCAGGCATCCGAATTGATGAAGTTAGTCCAAGACCAGAGATCAAAATCCTCGAGTCCGTGGTCCATCTGGCATAGCTGGTACCCTGCGTCTGTGTCCTGTTGGACAGCGAGCGAATCGGTCCCTGAGGCTCGCCTCTCGGTGGCATCGGGTGCCTGGTCAATCTCGATTACCATTCTCAAGCCATTCACTTTGTCGCGAAGATAACGAGTGAAGCTCGCAGCACGAGCTGCCGCATCAGATTGACGACCTCCAAATTCAAAGGTTTCTAGAGCAAGGTTTACATTCCTAAGCACTGTCGGGCATAATGGGCAAGAGGGATACGCCAGCATGAATCCAATAAGTGTCAGTAGGGCATTCCATTGGTATTGATATAGTTCACTGGAACCATAAAATACATCGTGCTGCGACATACGCGAGTGGATGATTTGAACGGTTATCAACGCATGTTTCAATAATGTGACAACGAGGGTTTGAGTTACAGGCATGTTTCGTGCATTTGGCGGTCCTTTGGAAAATTTCATAAACCCACGATGCAGGCTGATGATGATGTCATGGTATTGAAGTTCTAGTTGAGTACTCAGTTGGATCTCAATGGGTCGGTGAGTCATATGCCCATCTTCCACATTTATTATGTGGGCTTCGTCTGATAGGGAGGAGTCTAGGACATCCAACCGAAGATGTTTGAAATATTCATCGTTCTTCACAGTATTTTTCCACTGCTCTATTGGCTGCAGCTTCTCTGAGAGCGCCAGAGCCTGAGTTTCTATATTCCAATCTTTCTCAGAGTTGGCATCGAATGTTATAGACTCTATGGACTCTATGACGGCAAGTGCGGCATACGACAATCGAAGAGATTGGGTATAATGCGGCGAAGAGTCGTGATCAACGGGGATGTCTGACAACGGATGTCGCGCCCAGAATTTAGAAATAGAGAACTGTGCTGTTGCAGGCTTGCCTGCATATCTTGAGCAACGAAAGTCAAGATGGACCAGTGTCCACCAAATACGTGAATGCTCTGCTTCTTCAGAAAGCACACCCGGGGGAGGAGCCCCATCGAGATTGAGAGACTGGGCAATCCGCACTGCTAATCCAATAATGTTGTATGCTGTGTGGTGTTGACCCGTGTCAAGGAGGTACAATGTCATAATACAATAACATTTCAAGGTGGTGAGAGAAGGTTCTGCAAATACGGAGTACTTGGTACAGCTGGCCAAGCATCGCTGAAAATATGGCATACCGACTACTCTTGACCGTTTGTTGCCCGTGTCAAAATGTTTCCACTGAAATCCTAGTAGCCGGGTATGAAGGCCTGAATGGAAGATGAACTGCATGGTGTATGCAACAACCGCATCCCGAAGTGGATTGGGAGTTTTGCTCTCTTGTTGGGCACTTGAACATTCGAGATCTTTTTCATCAATTATTGGAATTTGTGGGTGTAACCGTGTCCAGAACACCCACAACAGTCGATCCATCTCAGTAGGTGACAAGTCACACTGCGTAGAGCTTGTTTCATCCACAGCACCGGGACAGAAAGGCGATCTATATGGCCCGGGGTCATCGTCATGTGATGATGTCTGAGATAAAAGTGGCCGAAAATCTGCGCAAAACGCATATATGCGAGTAATGAATTCCAAGGTTGAGTCCAACTGATTAGTTGCAGTCCCTGATTGCTGATGGAGGCTTGATAAGCCGCTGGTTTCCGGGCTTGAAGATAAGATCTGGGCATTAAGTCGTTTGAACGCTCCTGGCCCCGCCCTTGAAGTGGGACAGAAGGAAGAAGTATTTTCATCCTTAGAAGCTACACCCCTAATAATACTTCGGCGTGAGGATTGGAGGCGACTGCAGGGCACCCTACTCGCTACGCATTGGGCGCACGGAGTGGTAGAATCACATCGGACGCGACTGACTCGACAAAATTCGCAGGCGCGTTTCACTCGCTGACGCTTGGCTATCAACCGAGAAGTTGAAAAGTTATAGAACATACTGATTAGCCTGTTGAAGTACTGCGATCTCCATACATGTCGTTTGCTCTAAGTAAAAATATGCAACAGGCATTTGTTGGAACATTGAATTGTTGGGTGAATAATATAAAGTGGAGAAGTGTCTGACCAATTGGAAGCTCCGGAAATCTCCCAAAACAGCAATTGAATCTCGAGTATGTAGATGACGACCAATATGAAGTGAACAAAGTGTAGATTTATGCTGCTGAAGAAGAGTCCGATTGTATTTGCAATGCGATTGGATACATAAGCTGAGTTATAATAAAACCCCCCAACCACAAAAAACCAACAATTGACAAATTTCATCCACAGGTCAACAATCCGGTACCCTTTCTGGTACCATCCAACAATTCCTATTGGCTGATGGGTATACTCGACGTCGCGGGATGGGGTTCAATATCGAAAACCTTCTGTGTTGATTGTGTAAATTAATAATGAATGATATTTGCTTTTATAATCGAATTTTGTAATCTTGGCCATACCCACCGACGAGCTGGAAATATATAAAGCAGGGGGTTATGTCATCTGAATGACTGTCGTTCTTCGACGACAATCTACAAAGCAACATTGAACGGTTATCACTGCATTCAACGACTATTTACAATGTCTCATAATATTCTCGTCACTGGTGCCTCTGGGTACCTTGGAGGAACTCTCCTTGCCCGTTGGAAAAGCGCCAATCTCCCTCCATATGGGAAGCTGTACGCCCTTGTCAGATCAGATCAGCAAGCGGAAGCCGTCAAGCAATATGGCGCCGAACCCCTGGAATTTGATCTCAACGACAAGGAGGAACTAAGAAATGGCATTGTGGGCAACGAAATTTCCATCATATTTTGGCTCATCGACTCCTTCAGTGATAAGCACCAGCCACCCTTGATTGAGGCTCTGGCGGAAGTCAAGGCCAAAACAGGAAGAGAAGTTCATTTTATACATACAGGGGGCGCGAAGCATTTTAGCAGTCACGCAAATCTTCCCACAGACAAGCCTTTGCTTGACACGGATCCGAAGCTTTATGAAATATTGAAAACCAGCACGTCCCCCCTCGAGTATTTCGCTCAAGTGAGTGCCAATCATCATTTACAACGTGCCGGCTTTAATGCTAATATGATGGTCTTGATCTATAGACTATTAAAACAAACGTATCTATTATTGATACTTCCGAGAAATATGGAGTGCGAGGCTATATATTCGCTCCTTGTATCGTATACGGGCAAAGTGAAGGGTTTGGAAATCAAATATCAATTCAAACCGTAGCAATTGTGAAGGCAGCTAAGAAGGCTCGAAGAGTTTACAAGGTTGATCCTGGAAACCCGGTACGTATACTTCAACCTCCCCTGCTGTTATCTGGTCTTATGAAATATTAATGTATAAGTAGACCTGGCCGGTCTGCCATATTGTGGATAATACTACGCTCTATGTCGAAATGCTGCGTAATATGCTCCTGAATATTGACATTGGCTACAACAAGAATGGATTTTACTTGGCCGCATCAGGCAGCGTGGCCTGGGAAGATATATACAAGAGTATGGCCACGGCATTAGCAAAACGTAACCTTGTGGATGACGACATTGTCTCGCAAGCCGATAATGCAGTCCTGGAAAAAATGGCCGAGGGACTCGGGGCACCATCGAATCTTGTGAATGTGATGTTAGGCGGAAAGTAAGTAACCTATCTACTGTTATTATTAAATTGGGATGGATTTTTGATCAAAAATAGATGCACGTACACTGCTGTGCATGGCACGCAAATTGGATGGAAACCTCAGTACCCTCCTGAGCACATCCTCGAGACTGCCGATGAAGAGGTTGAGCTAATCCTGAAACATATCAATGAATAGAAGTCGATTCTACTATGTTTTAAGAATTACTCATTTACATTCATATGTCAACATAACTCCCTGCTGTCGTCTGTATTCAAACCAATTTATGTCAGATTAAATATAGACTTCTCGGGATCTGCCTGTAGAGAATGCAAACATCTGAAGTTCTCAACTTTTGATTAGGATTGATATGGGGAGGGCTTCTTTACTCAATCCACTTTGTCGCCCCACTGTAGAGTATATGAATTATTCCGCAAATTTCTAGTGCTAGAATAACGCTTTTTTTCACATGCAATTGGTATCAGTTCGAGATGCGTTACATTAACTCTTCTAAACACTTCTCTTGCCCATGCTTTCAAATGGTAATAACAAGCTAGTAATAATCAAAGCGCCATACAACCCAGCACAAATCCACAGCGGCACAACAGTCTCTACATTGGCATAGCTACCCACCAGCACGCCAACAATGCCACCTATCCGATTCAGAACAACGCAAAGCCCATAACCCGTAGCACGATGAGCAGTTGGTAGAATTTCCGGAGTATACGCATATATCGTTCCATAGTAGATATTCGACGCCGCCGAAATAGCCGCCGAAACCCCCAGATTTTGTGCTGGGGTTTTGATTTGCGTGTATCCAAACTGTAAAGCAGTTGTAACCGCGGCGCCGATGGCAAGTGTGCCTCTTCGTCCTATGAATCGTGTTTCAACCAGAATTCCGGCAATTATAGGCCCGATCAAACCGGCCACTTGATTGACTGCATAGTTGCGCCAGGTGGTATAATTCGAATCATCCCCGGTTTGTGCTCCGCGGGACTTGAGATAATACGGCAAAAAGACACCGAATAGTGGTGAAACAGTCCCGATTAGTAGCCAGTTGATGATGATCATAATCGTAGAATATGCCAGTCGACGGGTGCTGAACAAACCGGAAAAATGGTTTCTGAGTCGGAGACCAGACCATACGGATTTATCTGTGTGAAGGACACGTCCCTGGGATTGAAGCTTCTCAAATGTCAAAGACAATGGTCGTTTATATTTCTCTGACAAATCGACGAGGATTCGGTAAAGCTCCTCATCGCGGTTCTGGCTCGTTAGCCATTTGGGTGTCTGTACCATACGGACAAGAAGCAAGCGTAGAACACTTAGGACAAGCACGAGGCTCCCACAGGTAAAGTGCAGATATCGCCATCCCATGTTATCGGCTCGAGTGCATTCTGTGACAGTAGCGTCAGGTGCACAGCTATAGTCGCTCATGAATGCCCATGCTAACAGCCCAGTGATGGTGTACCCGACTGCCCACCAAACAGCTAGAAAGGTGACGAGCCAGGCGTGCGATACGGGCAGAAATTCGAGGAAATTTGTCGCATCAAGAATGTAATTTCCTCCTGCCCCAGCTGAGTAGATAGCAACCCTGAGGAAGATTAGCCCTGAAAAAGAATAGATGACAAAAGGACATAGAGACAAACATGGCGCAGAAAGAAATATAGTTTGGCATTCCACCAGCAATCAACACGAATGCAGCACATAAAAAGAGGCTCGTGTTGAATGCGAGCTTCCGGCCAATAACGTCGGCTGAGAACCCCCAGACAGCGGCTCCGACAAGAAGGCCAACCTGAGAAGCAAGAGAAACACCAGCAATGTATTGGCTAGGATTGCCAAACTCCTGGGTAACTGCTGGCTGGGCAATAGACTGGCAGACGACGAGAAGCTGATGATGCATTCATTAGTCAACTGTGAGCGAGAACAAAAAAGCAATGAAAGCAAAATAGACTACCCACCGAATCAACAGCATATCCAAACCCATTCAGAAAGAAAAGCTTCCATTGAAACGGGGTCATGCCAATCTCGTCGATTGCGGCATTCACGAGGGCCATTTTCCTGGCGAGCACATCGTCCACGTCAGACGTATTGATGAGCTCGTCGCGCAAATCGATCGAATCCGATCCGGAGTCGTGGCCATAGTTGGTCTGGTCATCATCGCCGTGCGCATTAACGCTCGCTGATACCGCAGTCTTTGCATCCGAGTCCGTCATTTCTGCTACTTATCCTTCACGGTAGAAACTTCTGGGTGGAGAATTCTTGGGATTTATAAAATTATTTTCTTGCAATGATGTGACCTGAAGTGTTGGTTCGAGTCAGAATGGTGCGCTGGACCTCGTGTCGCGTATAATAACGCACTTGAGCCTTGTAATGAGGTGCTTTTAAGCACTTCGCTGTTTCTTCTAGTTGGTGTTGCTCCATTCCTCAACCGTGGCACATATGGCGTGCGAGCTAGTTGTTGGCCGTGCGCAACATTCGTTATTGTCTCCTTGATTCTTGTTTGTCCATGGAGGTTGAAGATAAGCAGGAATGCACCCGTGATTGGTCTGTTTCCTGGGTGATAGCATCATCGGGCCTAAGGTCATGCAATTTCCCCGGACAGGGAAAGAATTCCAGCAAAGCCGATATTCGCTCACGATATACTTTAATTGAATGTCTGGATTTGTAATCTTTTCTCTGCAGTGATTGTTGATATAAAGATAAAAGATCACGGCTGCCGCATCAACCTGCGCATTCACATTTGACGCTACGTAAACGGGTGAACCACTTTTCACAATCATTTGGAAATAACAATCAATATCTATAACGCCAAAATGATCGCGGCTCATACTGGACTCACCGAGCAAGTCTTTTCTTACAGGCCGGTTGACCCTCCGGTGCAGGAAATTCAGCCACCAAAAGACCGCGCATTCTTCGCCGATCCGGAGAAAAAGTCGCTTCTGTCGGTTGCCTCTAAAGTCAAACATCTCACTCCATATATTGGAACTGAAGTGCAGGGAGTGCAGCTGAGTCAGCTTGACGAAAAGCAGAAGGATGAATTAGCTTTATTAGTAGCTGAAGTGAGTATCATGACCGAGGAGGAGTAGAGCGCAACGCACTGACTGTTTGTTTAGAGAGGAGTTGTCTTTTTTAGAGACCAAGATCTCACCCTTGAAGGGCAGCATGAATTTTCAAAGCATTACGGAATTGTAAATTCTTCATGATAAAATTTGGGTACATTAACTTTACTAAATCTCCTTCAGCAAGATCGAGACCCAAATCAAGTTGACCCTCGACATGTGACCATTCTCGGGCGTGGAGGGTAAGTAAATGAAAAGTAGTCCTTAAGACAATATACTTATTTTCGCAGAGATATTCGTTCCTTTGAGAACACCAGTAGCGCCTTTGCCGAGTATCATTCCGATCACTCTTTTGAAATCAACCCTCCTTCCTATACTATGCTAAGAATGGTAAAGACACCTGAATATGGTAAATGCCCCATGTGTTGTGAAACTACATTTGTTACATGTGCTAACGTCGTCAAGGAGGTGACACCATTTTTACTAGCCAGACTGCGCTGTTTGATAAATTAAGCCCGACTTTCCAGAAAACATTCGAAGGTCTTCATGCTGTCCACAGCTCTGAGGTATTTAGCTGTATTCTGAATAAAAGGACAGCCACTAACAGGAAATAAAAGCATATTTTTATCAATACCCTCAATAGAGGTGGGAAAACTTTTCGTCTTCCTGTACGGAGAGAACACCCTCTTGTAGGTTCTACCCTCACATGACCATCCACTTGGACTGAGTGACAAATTCTGATGAGAATATAGATCCGTACTCACCCCGTAACATCTCTGAAAGCCTTATTCTACAACCCCGCCTTCATCTTGAACATCGCTGAACTCAAAGGCGCCGAATCTTTCCACACCCTCAACTTCCTTCGTGACCACCTTCACTCGGCAGACGACTTAACTGTTCGGTGGCACTGGGAAGCCGGAAGTGTCGCTTTCTGGGACAATCGCGTAGTCATTCATCGTGCTGTTCCTGGTGGCTACAATACCGACGAAAGGGAAGGGACCAGAACGGCTGTTTACGGCGAGAAACCGTTCTTTGATGCAGCGTCATCGAAGACGCTTAGTGAGTGGTCAGACCAGAAGTTGTCGGATACGGCGCCAGTTGTGAAGTTGGGGTTGGATGGGTTTTGATTGCAAAATATATATATTCAAGTTATCCACTACATAGGCAGTTGTCTGCCACCATTGTGCATACCACATACATATGTAGGCGCTAGGCTACCGAGATTGGTAATTGACAGCTGTTAATACGATGTTGAGAGCAATAACATGATCATGTAGCAATCAGTTTTTGACCAACTGTAGGGGCATCGAGCATAGAAGGCGGTCTGAAGAACCAAGAATGGCAACAACGTCAATTTGCCTGTTAGGGTTGATTAGGGTTGCAGATTGAGTTTGACGGCGACCCACTCTCTAGCCTTATCAGGGCTAGCCTCATTTGAGAAAATATTCTGGTTGAACTTCACAACTCACAGAACATTCATTGTTGTTACTTGCCTTCTTCTATATATTTTCCTTCCTTTGAGAAAGAAACCTGCAGGCGCTGAAAAGTCCCGCAGCCTCTTTTATCCTCTGCCAGCAATGGCGACTGTATTACCTCCGCCAAGCAAGCGACAAAAGCGCGAGTTAGCAGAGAAAACTCGGGAGCAGCAAGAAATCGATGTCATACCCCGCGACCTGGGCAGCATTGTCGTGCAATTCATAGATGAGTCCACTGGGAAACCGACGAAAGGCGAGATTAAGGTCCCCGTTGCGAATACGACTGTCAAAGAGCTTGAGACGATCCTGAACAGTATTTTAGAGAATGTAGGTAGGCTTTCTTGAGTTGTTTATCAGACGGCTGTTGCAGAAACTAATAATATCCTTGTTTCGCACGCACAGGATAACCACGACCGTGTCCCGTATAGATTCTCCTATAAACCAGAAGAAGAGGATGGTCAGGCAATCGATGTTGTATCTGATTTATGGCACGCCCTACTCAAACCCGGTGTCAAGACAACCGAAGACGTCATTCGGCTCAACTACACACCTCAAGCAGTCTTCCGAGTAAAGGCAGTTTCGCGGTGCTCCGCTGCGATAGCTGGACACGGCTCGGCGATTCTAGCCATTGCATTTTCGCCCGTCTCGTCGTCGACGATGGTTACCGGGAGTGGTGATAACACAGCCAGGATTTTTGATTGCGATACGGGGACGCCAGTTGAAACGTTAAAAGGGCATACGGATTGGGTGTTGGCGGTTTCGTTTTCTCCGAATGGTCAGATGATTGCTACGGGCAGTAAAGATAAGACAGTGCGATTGTGGGCGGCGGCGAAGGGTAAACCTTTGGGGACGCTCAAGGGGCATAGTCGTTGGATTAATAGTTTGGCGTGGGAGCCTTATCACTTACAGGAGGAGGGGAGACCACGACTGGCTTCTGCGTCGAAGGACTCAACCGTTCGTGTTTGGGACGTTATTAATAAACGAATCGAGATGGTTCTCAGCCATAAAGATTCGGTGACGTGCGTGCGCTGGGGTGGGATTGGAAAGATCTATACGGCTTCTTTGGACAAAACAGTTCGGGTTTGGTCTGCCAAAGAAGGAACACTCATCACATCACTCGGAGCACACACCCATCGGGTTAACCATCTAGCACTTTCAACCGACTTCGTCCTTCGAACTGCGTTCCATGACCATACGCACAAGGTGCCGGATACAGAAGCTGAAAGGGTCGAAGTTGCCAAATCCCGGTTCGAGAAAGCCGCTACAATCAATGGAAAGATCACCGAGAGACTTGTATCGGCGAGTGACGACTTTACTATGTATCTTTGGGATCCGGAAAATTCGACGAAACCAGTTGCACGAATGCTAGGCCATCAAAAGGCTGTCAATCATGTCACCTTTTCTCCTGACGGAGCTTATATTGCGAGGTAAGAATGTTGCAAGGTCAGCGTTTCTGACACATCTAATCTGAACTTTGTAGTGCTGCCTTTGATAACCATGTCAAATTGTGGAATGCTCGGGATGGAAAGTGAGTCGCAAAATCTAACAATGGTGACGTACAGCGCTGACAATCCGAATAGATTCATCAATACACTCCGTGGTCATGTCGCTGCCGTCTATCAATGTTGCTTCTCCGCAGATTCTCGATTGTTAGTGAGCGCGTCTCAAGACAGCACATTAAAAACCTTCGACGTTCGTACTGGAAAAATGGTCATGGATCTGCCTGGCCATGAAGACCAAGTATTCGCTGTCGACTGGTCACCCGATGGCGAAAGAGTAGGCAGTGGAGGCGCAGACAAAAAAGTCAGAATATGGAGGCATTAGAATATACTATAATGATACCCCTAGTTGAATGAAACATCAAAAAGCGATCCCTTTGCCATACATGTATACCAAAACCATCCCAGAAACGAGGACAAAAATCATAACACCTGCCAAAGAACACCAACAACAACGGCCACCCAAACCACCCTCCCAACACACCTACCCTCCATCACCCCCGACTCCACGACCGGATCAACATTCTCCTTGAAATACTCATCATCATCCCCTCCCACATTCCCCGGCGGCCAATACTCACAAAGAAAATACCACCCAAACGCCTCACCCCCATTCTCCTGAAACGTCTCATCATTCCGCGAACAATCCGCCACAGCACAGCCCAGCTGCGACGTAGCTTTCCAAACCAACTGCGTGAAATGGCCCGTCTGTTCACTGAACCCCGTGGGTTTGGTGTACGAGTAGTCGGTGCTTTCGCGGGCCCATGCGTCGATGGCAGAGGTGGTGTTGGAGAAGCCCTCGGCGAGGTTTTCGCCGTAGGGGCCACCCTAGGTAGACCGCAGTGTCAGTTTGGCCAGATGATAACGGGGTTGAATGGGAGATTATTACGGAGTGTTTCCAGTTACAATGGTCAGCCCAGTTCTGGGCGTAGGAAGCGAGGGTGGTATTCCATGTTAAGGCCGAGGCGTTGTGTTGTTGGCGGTAGAAGTTTGTTTGGGTCAGAGAGTCGAGTTGGAGTTGAGTGGAGTTGGTGTATGAGGGCGATGTAGTCGAGTGTGCCGGCTGTGCTGTTACGGTGACTATTGTAGTGAAGTAAACGACGTCTCGTGCCTGTAGGGTTGCTGTAGATTGGCGGGTTAGAGTTGTTGGATCTTGGCTGAAGCCGCAGACAGGATGGAGCGTAGCAAGGAAGAATAAAGCAAGCCTTGACATTTTCTGATTCTTTTGTCTACATATTTTTTGTAGTGAGGATAAGTTTTTTCATAAGAGATTGATGTTGTTTTGTCTGGCCCAGATCAAAAAATTATGAAGAATCGACACCCTTTGCGTACAGTCATTGAACGACTTAGACAGAGGACATGAACACAACCATGAAACAATGTCGATTCGATCTGACGAAACACAAAAGTAGAATTTTTTTTTTAGAAAACAAATCTTCGCCAATAGAATTTCTGCAGATCAATTTAGACTGCAAGGTGCATCCGCCGCACCATGAAAGATGCGCCTGCAACTGATTGGGTTTGTATCATCCGAATCATGTTTCAGTACGCGCTGTGTCAGAGCCGCTCCACAGGTGCAGCAGAAAAGGGAAAATTGGATAGTATAAATTCATCACTCGTTTATTTACATTGCTTCTGTCTGCTGAAAATAGTCAGAAATGGCTGGCTTCAAGCCTAGCACAAGTAATAAAAGACACACTTGAAAACCTCCCAACCCGCTACCAGCAATGCTTCTGGAAAATATGTACCGTTAAATATATGTATATATATATACTCTCCATGAAATACCGTATGTAAATGTTATCTCACATTACACTACATCCTACCCCGTACATGGCTCGTTCGACGTCGCGCCGAATCTGGAACCAGTCTGCCCTCCTTTCGGCAAACTCGTAAACTTCCTCTGCACGGAAAATACCGTAGAAGCGGTCATTATCCGCAATGACCGTTGCCAACTCCTTTGCATCGGATGGAGATACCAGGTAGATCTGCGACAGTTCGCGGAGAGCTTTAAAATAGAGCAGCAGTTCGTTGTTCTTCAGCGTCTCGATATATGTGAAGTAATGGTTCATATCGCTGTGGACTAACATTAGTGGAGTGTTGTGTGTTTGATGAAAATTATCAAGTCTTACCTGATCAGTTTGAGGGATCCGTCTACACTGATCCTTTGACGCTTGAGATGCTTGCAGACCGCTCCGAACAGTCTCAGCCCAACCTCTTGGTTGAAGACATCCAATGTGCTTTTATCTGTACTCCCCACAAGCATGGAGATATGGGATGAGACAACATCAACAACCGATGTGGCGGCTACACTCAGGCCAATGTCAGGAGCGTGTCTAGCCGAATCGATATCGGCGTCGGGGTTGAAATCCGTAGTCAGTTGTCTTGTGGCTAGAATATAGTCGACCTCGTCCATGAGTACGTCGATTCCTTTGTTCAGTCCCGACGCAACTCGCTCGTCTAACATTTGTTCGAACTTTTTCTTGCCTTTTGCGGCCGGGTCGAGAAAGTCGCTCCGGTCAATGAGCTTCGCTGCAATCAGTTCCTGCTCATAGAACACGTCTAGCATTTGTAATATAAGGTCGCCAACATTGACAAGCTCGAGAAATGTGACTAGGGGCTCTACGCCGCTCCTATCGCGCTCCCCTTGTTCCCGTGGCCGATAGTTGGACAGATGGTCAACTGCTTTGTCAAATCCTTCGATGACATGTCGGTGTCCAAGAATTGTTAGCAGAGAGATGAAAATGCTTTCACACTGTTGTTTGGTGGCATTTCCCCAAGGGCCTCCTAATTTGATAAATTGAATGGCGCGTTCAAGGCTGGTCTTGGCCGCGTGGACGAGACCCAAAGCAACCTCAATACTAAAAAGGGATTTGATACCCTCCAGTTTGGTGTTCATCAAAGCTGCCTTTGCGGCTAACTCGTCTGTGGGGGCTTCTGAAAGAGGAGCAGGCGCTGGAGGGGCAACGGTGGAGAATCGAGCTATAGCCTTATGTGCAGAGGCGCTGGCTTTGGCTGCTTCGTCTTCTTCCTCTTGTTGAGCTCTGGAGGTAAAAGTCGGTAAAGGAAGTATCGTCACTGGCATCATGAGCACTTTCTTGAAAGAGGTCAAAAAGTCCTTCTTATCGGCCTGTCTATTTACATTTGACATAAGGAATGATTCAGTCGATGCCGCTTGTTCTGATAGCTGTCTGTCCCATTCTCCAACGGTAGCATCGCAGCCTCTACGGAAAAAATCAAGTTCTTCCGCAAGATAAAGATCCAAATGAGGCTCGTATATTTCGCCAACGATACGTATAATGGTGTTATCTCTCTCTTCGTCGGATTGTCGCGGTATCTTCAGGTCAAACATGAAATTTAAACATTGAACAAACGTTCCAGAGACGGCCTTCAGGTATGCCTCTATATTGACTCGATGTAGCTCGTCGAATAAGCTAGTTAAAAACGGTACTAAAACATCTCTGCACACTTTGTCTAGAAATGGGGAGAACACATCTAGGGATTGAGGAAAAGCACGATCTATATTCGAAATTTCTTCGTTGTAAGCAACCCCAAACCGTGTAAAAAATGCTTGCGTATGCTCGAGCTTAATTTCTGCTGAATTTGAATCGATACAGTCCATTACGCTGCCGTACTGCAATTTTCGGGTCACCACGTTACTATGGCGTAGGAAACACTCAATGGCCGATTGACCACCGTTGAGATGCCACAAGACATGAGCATATCTGCGCATCTGTCCATCAATATCGTCGGCTTCGTATCCACTCCGGAATTCGCCGATCGCAGCAGTTTCAAATAATTGAATAGCATCTTCGAGACGTGCTTCGCGGTCAGGCCACCCATCTGAGTTGTCACTTTTCACAAATTTTAGAAGCTGAGCAAGCATCTTGGCTTGGTCTTCGGGGTCGCGGTATTGTTGAAACACTAAGTTGCTCGTCGAGCCACCCTTCTCTATTATATCATTGTACAAAGGAGCCAGGACAGCATGCACTTTGCCATATTCCTGTCGAGCACGTCCACGTATCGACTTGACGTGCTTCAAAATTTCTGTGTCTTTTTCTCGAGTCACGATCTCGGTCTTAGCTTTCTCGCCGGACGACACTGATATGGGGTCGAAGCCATCGGACGTCGAAGTTCTGCGAGCACTCGATCGTCTTCTTGTGCCGGTTGGGATAGGGACGTCCTGCCTCCAGCCTGATTGAATGCCCATGTTCTTGGACACTGTAGCCACATTCTGCTTCTCTGCATTTTTCCTAGCATCCTCTTCGTTCCAACAGTCCATTCGTTTTAACTGTACCACCCATCTCGCATCGTCGTAAACCATATCGCGCATGCGCTTCGATGCCTGGGCAACGTGGATGAGGTCAACGGGACCGACATAGTCTAAGACCTGCGACATCAACTCTGGTAGGCGTCAGTATTTATTCTGTGACCATCGAGTATCTAACCCACCCGCCGGTAGAAAAGGCACCAGGATCTCCATGGAGGCCATCTTGAGTGAAGCTAGGACATCCCTCCGGGGAGGGCCGGTGGGTGAAGGGGACTTTTTGGGTTTCGACATGTCTGTTATATTGGTAGTCCAATTGTGAGATAGTGTTGTGGGCACGATATTGCCAATGCTGACGCCTTTCACGCGGGGAAAAGGCTGACGGGTGGTATTTGTCTCATGGCAGCCATGTATTCGGCAGGAAGCATTTGTCGAGGGGGTTATGGGTCAGGACGAGATCATCATGTGAGAATAACAGCTGGAGGAGAGTCGCAGTTGAAGCCATCTGTAAGGTGCCAAGGCGGTGGCAGAATTCTACCACCAGTATATATGACATTAAATAGCTACACAACCAAACAGTGACAACAATTGAACAGAAACAAATGAAACCCAGGAATATATCATGGAGACATTGCCTATGATTGATAGTTACAGAATGAACCAAGCAACTATATATATGTTATAGCCAACTCATCACGCATAGGCAGTGAGGCAATTCACAGCGCCCATAGTTATCGAAGTATAAGTAGCCTAATTAATATAACATTCAGCATAATTATAACATACGATGTATATAATATACAATAATATACTAAAAACATACCATTCAATTGTTCACGCCGAATGCATGATGGACGTTCCGTGGTGTTTTCGTGGCCCAGGCTAAAGCCCGTCGGCAGCCAATCAGCGTGCAGACAATCAGCGAAAGCAAATTCCATCGACGCCGAAGCTCCGACTACGACTTCGACTTCAACCTTGGACTTCACCTCCAGCCCAGCCCAGCCAAGGCATTCACCACCCGCTCTCCCCTCCACCTCCTGCCGTGGCTCCTATCTCCTCGCCTCTGTATCACATACAGTGGCTCTCGCCTACTATTCGCAGCAATGCTGGCCCGTTCAGTCCTGCGCACCGCGCCCGCCCGGGCCATCGCTCGCCAGAGCCTCCGTCAGAACTCGGTACGCTTCCATCGCCAACGCCATGCCATTGGCCTCGCACCGCCCGTGCAATGGCTTTGTCTCGTGCTGTTGCTGGCTTCTGGGGTATTGTGCTAATTGTTGATGCAGCGTGCTTCTTCCACGGCATCCGGTGCTGAGAATGCCAGCTCTCCCTTCTACCTGACCGCGACCGCTACCGCTGCCACAATTGCCACGATCGGATCCGCTGCCTGGTATTATCATCTCTATGGCCAGGAGGCTTTCGCCATGACCCCTGCCGAGGAGGGGTGAGTACCTCCTACGACGAATGTCGGGAACGGAACTGATACAGTGATAGATTGCACCCGGCTAAATATCCATGGGAACATGCCCAGTGGACTAAGACTTTCGACCACCAAGCGTGAGTGACCTGACGCTGTAAGCGGTCCCAATTACTGATATATGGTAGTCTCCGTCGTGGTTTCCAGGTTTACCGTGAAGTCTGCGCCAGCTGCCACTCGCTGACTCGCGTTCCTTGGCGTGACTTTGTCGGTGTCCTCCATACCGTTGATGAGATGAAGACGATGGCTGAGGAAAACGAATACGACACCGAGCCCAATGACGAGGGTGAGATTGAGAAGCGCCCAGGAAAGCTTTCCGACTACATGCCCGCTCCTTACAAGAACGACGAGGCTGCACGTGCCGCCAACAACGGTGCTCTGCCTCCCGATCTGAGCTTGATCATCAAGGCCCGTCATGGTGGCTGCGACTACGTATTCTCCCTGTTGACTGGCTATCCTGACGAGCCTCCCGCCGGTGCCTCTGTCCAGGAGGGATTGAACTTCAACCCCTACTTCCCGGGTACCGGTATGTATAATCCTTCCGTCAATATAAGGAACCATGGCTAATAATTTCAGGTATTGCCATGGCTCGTGTTCTCTTTGATGGTCTCGTTGAATACGAAGATGGTACCCCCGCTACGACCTCCCAAATGGCCAAGGATGTTGTCGAGTTCCTGAACTGGGCCGCCGAACCCGAGATGGACGAGCGCAAGAAGATGGGTCTCAAAGCCATCACCATCTCCGCCGGTCTTTTCGCTCTCAGTGTCTGGGTCAAGCGCTACAAGTGGGCCGCCATCAAATCGAGAAAGATTGTCTACAACCCGCCCGTGCGACGTTAAACAGTAATACGTCTAAAGATTAGGAGAATATCCTCACATAATTTCCACCGCCTTATGTGCCAACTGATATCGCTCAGAATATATGTATCTGTACGCTAAAAGATATCTCTTTTTTGAAGGTTTGTTTGAGACAAAGCGGAAAGAAAGGCAAAAGACAAAACACCTCTCTTTGCAGGTATACATTGGGTGTGACCTGTGGACTCGTTGTATACATACTTTTTAAACAGCTTTACTGAGGGCTTAGATTTCCTTTGTGTCAATTTTGATAGTCGAATATGCATTTCATTGATCATCACATCCTCCTACCATATCACTGTATCTTATCTATTAAATCCCCGACACATCTCCAATCGTCCGCTCCCCATCCCCAAAAACCCTCCGAAACGAAACATCATAACTCTTCCACATCCCCCGCAAACACCTCCTTTGCAGTCTCGCAACCCACGGTGGCATAATCCCTTTTTCATCGGCCAACCACCGCGCCAAAACCATGACGAAAAGCGTCAACAGGCCCCATGTCCCCAGAAACAGAGCCCTGCCCACCATCTGCCGCCACGTCGTCACTTGGTACGGCCGAATCCCAGCTAAATACGCCCTGTAGTCCTCTGGCAAATCCAGCTCCGCAGCGCCGTCCATTATCAACTTCAGATACCGCGCTGACGGCTGCGCATACGCCGGGTCGGGCCGGATATGGGGGTCGTCGCCGTGCGCGCCATCCGGTGTCCACGGCGACAAAAGCGTATGCGCCATGAAGGGCGTTGTAGACGGGTGCGTGGGCGTCGGGTGCGATGGGTTGTAGTCCGCTGCGAATGGGTGGCAGGTTACCACGATATCCTTGTAGCCGCTGCCCCCGCCTTCAGTAGCGATAATATGCGCGTAGTCTTTCAGTGACACTTCGTATACCACGCCGATCAATGGTTTGTGCCAACGGTTTTTATGGTAGTCGGTGCCGCCATAGGGAGGAGGGTTCACGAGCGGTGTTTTCTCGATGTCTGAGGAGTCGAGGAGATGGGCTTCGCTGAGCGGCGTCTTCTCGTCGGTGTATGCTGTGTTCGGGTTCTGCTGGTCTGTTCGGTACTGGGTGCCCGCAAAGCAGGGTTCTAGGTATGGGACGGCCGCAAGGTCGAAGGTGAGTCGCAGGTCGGGGACGTAGACATTGATTTGGGAGAGAGGCGTGATGCCTCTGTATCCACGAAAGGTCTCGGTGGAGAGATTGGAGCCATAGGCGAGGTAGAGCACGGTCTCGGCTTGCTGGACAGAGGCCGGTTTGGTAGAGAGGGTTTGGGAGAGAGAAGGGTCGGCCTCGGCGGATGCTGGCTTGCTGGCTGATTGGAGTCGCGATGGAGAGGTGCGAGGAAGCCGTTGTGATGGAGGTGTGGGCCGCGACTCCATCTTCTCTAACGAAAATAATAATAGCAGCGGTCTTATTACTATGAGGCGTATGTATGCCAACATCAGTTCAACAGATGGCGTGATCAGTCAGCCTATTTAAGCCTGAAGACCAGTTAGGCACCCTGGATACGTATACAGTATATGTATGTAATCTTGCGCATCACGGCTGTCATTGGCCGGGCTTCGGTCGTTTTCGTGCGAAAACATAAGTAACAGCTGTATTATTCAGCAACATACATAAGCATAAAACATACAAGAATAAATATTTGGGAAGTTAATATATTCAAAATTCTAATTACGATGGAAGAATGGAATACATCAATTGTGAAGACTTTACATATGTAATGTTGGCTGTTACGGAACGAACTGAGAATACGTATAAAATTAACCTGCGTAAGCTCATCTACGTGAATTCAAATGATTGACTAAATACATGATCTGATAGGCCATGTCGTAAACTTCAACGTCATTGACAAAGATCGATGCACGCTAAAATCTAGTCTTGAACACCCTAAAGTCTCTATTGTTGGATACAACGACTGACTAATATGCCAATAACTTTTGGTTCGCGGTGAATTGTAACATGCTACGAGTTCAATGTTATTTACGGGGTTTCTAATTATCCAATAGTCACATAATATATACGAGGACTCGAGAACAATTGATTGAAAAAGAATTGAATTAATATAATAATTAGAAAGCAGTTATTCCAATATTATCTCAAATATTTCATACTAGAAATTCACATAACATCTTGCAATCCCTTTTACGAAGTCTTTCACGGACATACCAAAAACGGCATGCACTCGTTCCAGGCCGGAGGGGGACAACATATAGAATCAATGGGATCAAAATTAATGAAAAGTAGGGGCCTGCAACGATCCTTCCCGTGTCAGCCCTACAAGGCCCTCGTTTAGAAGGCACCTCGTTTACAAGCACCTCGTTTACCAAGTACCTCGTTTAGAACAGAATTATGACAGTCGATTTTTTAATTAGGAAAACACTCGTCACAGCCTTCTACTAGCCCTACACTAGACTAGGCTGAAGATCCACGTTTCAAGCCCCTTAGCAGTAGGACGATTTCCATTGGAGTATGGATTTGATCAAGTTCTTTTTGGCGGCTTTAGTTTGGATTGATCGCCAATAAGCTCTGAATCTGGGCATGTATTGTGCCCTGGCAAGGCTTGTATATACTAACCCATGCCGACTCCATTCCATAGCTCTGCGTCTTTTTCTATTACTATTGTTATTAATGTTCAGCTGCGTAGGCGGTTCAGGAGATTAAAATATCTACGGCCGTAAAATATATTCTACAGGTCGGAGAACGTTCCTCAGCTACTCGACTTGGGGCATTATTTCGAGTGTTTAAATGGAGAAGCTATCCCCAGACAACTGATACAATTCCTGCTCTCAAGACCGTCGCTTCATCAGTCACTTTAGCAACCGAGTGACCTCGAGTGTAAACTATGAAAGTTACTGTACTTTTCAGCTCTATTGCATTGGGACTCTTGCCGTGTAAGTCCTTGGTTGAAGTCTTGGAGGCAGCAATTGATCATTGTTCTTGCTTCATAGAAGCCGGAGACTAATGCCTCATCATCCAGCCATAATTGCCAGTTCCGCCCCGACAGACTACTGGACTGTCAAACCTCGTGCGCTCTCAGATGCCCCCAATGGCTATGCGCCAGTTCATGTTGCCTGTCCGGCAAACCGGCCTACTATTAGAAGCGCCTCGACGCTCTCCACCGAAGAAACATCCTGGCTGGACACCCGGCGCGGCAAGACCATCTTAGCCCTGAAAGACTTCTTCAGGCATGTCGAAATCGACGACTTTGACGCCTCAAGCTACATTGAAAGTCACTCCAGCAACTCATCCAACCTGCCCAATATTGGTATTGCCATATCCGGCGGTGGTTTCCGTGCATGCTTGAATGGTGCTGGTGCTCTCAAGGCCTTTGATAGCCGCACCCCAGGTGCAACTGCCAAAGGCCAGATAGGTGGTCTGCTGCAGTCGGCCACTTATGTTGCAGGCCTCAGTGGAGGCTCTTGGGCAGTCGCCTCGGTCTTTGTGAATAACTTTACCTCGATTTATGACCTGCAAGAAAACTTCTGGAACTTTTCCTCGGCTATGTATATAGGTGCACACGGCGCGGACCCCGTACAATTTTGGGATGATATCACGGCTCAAGTCAAGGCGAAGAAGGACGCTGGGTTTGTGACTAGTTCCCCAGACTTTTGGTAATACAACTTACGATTTTGGAGATGAAGTATAAAAGATTAACTAACCTTTTTAGGGGTCGGATGCAAGGCTACAACTTTTTCAATGCTAGTGATGGCGGAGTGGACATCACCTGGTCCTCCATTGCGAAGACCCAAGCCTTCAAAGATGGTGATATGCCACTACCTCTCGTGGTAGCTGATGGTCAGTATTTCAATAAGTCCGCGGACGAAGTGACCGCCTTGAATGACCCGGTTTATGAGTTCTCTCCTTGGGAGTTCGGAACTTTTGATACCTTGATCTATGGATTTGCGCCGCTAGAGTATCTGGGCTCTCGATTTGTGAATGGTGTGGTGCCAGATAACGAGACCTGTGTGCGTGGCTTTGATAATGCTGGCTTCATCACCGGCACGTCCAGTGATATATGGAACAGTGGTGGCATTGATCTCGCCGCAACCTTACGCCAGGCCATCTCTCAGACCCCGACTAATACTTCTGAAGGCGCCCAAACTGTAGAACTGCTTTCATATGCCGTGAAACAATATCTGAGCGCCGTAAGCTCGACCAATTCGACAGTGAATGGCCCTGCTGCCTACCAGCCCAACCCCTTCTACCAGTACAACCAGGACTCCTTTGCCCAAGACACGAGGCTGACTGTAGTTGACGGTGGCGAAAATAACGAAGATATTCCACTCAACCCGTTAATTCAGAGAAAGCGCAACGTGGATGTCATCTTTGCTGTTGATTCCGGCCAGGACACTGCGGAGACATGGCCCAATGGCACAACACTTATCGCGACTTATGAGCGTACCCTTGGTGGTTTCGCTAACGATACATCCTTTCCTTCTATTCCAGACGCAAACACATTTGTCAGCCTCGGTCTCAATACACGCCCTGTCTTCTTTGGTTGCAATAGCTCCAACCTGACGGCGCCCGCGCCTTTGATTGTGTACTTGCCTAATCACCTCGTCACCTACCCATCGAACGTATCCATGTATGTGACTAATTTCGACACCGCAACGCGGGACGCTATCATCCTTAATGGTTATAACGTTGCTACCCAGTCCAACAGCACAGTGGATTTCTCCTGGTCCACTTGTGTAGGCTGTTCCGTTCTCAGCCGCTCTTTCGATAGAACCGGTACCCCTGTTCCGAGCGCTTGCAGTCAGTGCTTCCAACATTACTGCTGGAATGGAACGACCGACGATCAGACCGTGCCTTCTTCGACATCCCCATCTGCCTCGTCATCTCCAACCGCTCATAACATGGGTTCCTCTCTTGTTCCTGCTGCGTGGTCTATCGTGATAGTAGTTGGCGTCATTCTTTTCACCGTCATCTAATCTGACGGGGGAATAGTGGTTAGATTTGGGTCGAGGGTAAATGTGATTCTTGTGTATATGCGGTGTAATGTAATCAGTTAGTTGATCAAGAGGTCACATATTGCGAGCCTGATGTAAGTTCAATAGTAATAAGTCAGTCATGGCATCTACCTCTCCCTGTTGCTGTTTTAAAGTAATATTACTAGACAGTGCCCGGTCAGATGTGCTAGCAATTGGAGGCTGACTGTATGTGGTCTAATGGTATTGCATGTTCGATATTTTATTGTGCTGAAGTTCGACAAACAAAGGGAAAGGGCAATTGGAAGGTGCTCGTGTCATCTCAGTCATCATCGGGACGAGTCCAAGAAGGGAACCCCGGTTGATGTCAAATCGCTCTATGGGACACAAACGTCACATATATTCTCTCAGGGAATTCCTTCATTTTATGGAAGTATGTAGGTATTCGCATATTTACTAAGTGATGTGTTTATGTCGGAAATGGCCTCGCCGATCATTAAAGTCGCTTTTGTGAGGGCGGTGGCCGTCGCAGACAAAGGACGAATTCTCCCCTCCCCTCCAACAATCCGTTTTCACTTCATGCATTCGAACACATTGTCAAACTTGAGAGTTTTAAAGTTACCAAGTTCTGCACATTTGTGGACTACAAAATATCTGGAATCCGGGACTCGCTGGCTCTATTAATAGTAGAGAAATCCAAAATCGCCTGCAGAAATGCCTGCCTGCCGGATCGCTCAGACTTTTCTCACTCAAATGGCAGACAACACAAAGCTCATACTTCCATCGATACTTCTTCTATTCGTGGTATATGTGGTGATATATGAGGTCATCTGCTGGCGTCGACTGCTACCTGGCTTCCCCCTACCGCCAGCATTACCGCTGATTGGCAACCTGCACCAGCTTCAATCCAATGCAGCAGAACAGCACCGTAAATGGGCTCGAAAATATGGACCCGTGTTCCAAGTCCGAATGGGCAATCTTCCTGTCCTTGTCATCAACAGTGCTGCCACTGCCAAAATCGTTTTTAGCCACAATTCACAGGCGACGGCGTCCCGGCCAGAGCTGTACACGTTTCACAAAGTGAGCAATCTAAAATGACAACTTTTGTAGAGACATAGTCTAATATAGCTATTCCAGCTTGTGTCAAATACTGCTGGCACCACCATTGGGTCCGCCCCGTACAACGAATCTCTCATTCGCCGACGAAAAGGGGCATCATCAGCTTTGAATCGACCTGCTGTGGAGACATATGTGCCCCATCTAGACCTCGAAACTAAAGACTTTATCAAAGATATATTAGAATTTGGAGAATCTGGCCACAGACTAGTGAATCCTGTGCCTCTAGTCCAAAGACTCAGTCTTTCGCTCTCCTTGACCCTGAACTGGGGTACACGAATCACAAGCCATAAGGATGGACTGTTCCAGGAGATTACTCATGTCGAGGAAGAAATCAATCGCTTTCGCAGCACCACTGATAACTTGCAAGATTACATCCCTCTACTACGTCTCGTTCCCTTCTCATTCAGAAACAAGGCTGTAGAGTACCGGCAGCGGCGGGACCGCTACCTACACAAGCTCAATCGAGAGCTCGATGACCGGATCAGGAACGGTACCCATGAGCCTTGCATCCAAGCCAACGTTATTCTAGACAAGGAGACTAAGCTGGATAACATCGAGCTCACGTCTATCAGCTTGACGATGCTCTCAGGCGGCTTTGAGACATTCTCTGCTGTGGCGACCTGGGCTATTGGGTTGCTGGCCACGAGGCTGGATATTCAGCAGAAAGCATATGATGAAATCCGTGGCATTTATGCAGCTGAAAACCCTCTCTGTGATGCTAAGGACGACCAGAAGTGTAAATATATCGTCGCCCTAGTGCGCGAGAGCCTCAGGTATAATCTACAAGCCCTAAGCTATGAGTGCATCTAACCATTTCTTAAAGATACTTCACTGTCCTCCGCCTTTCGCTTCCACGTGTAACAAATAAGGAATTCACTTACGACGGAAATTTGATCCCAGTCGGTACGATGGTATTTTTGAATTCATGGGCTTGCAACATGGGTGCGTCCTCTTCATCCGATCAGTTTTCATACCCCGTTTAACTCAGATACTAGATCCTGACCTATGGATCGACCCGGAAGTCTTCAGACCAGAGAGATGGTTCGAACAACCCAGCCAACCCATCTTCACGTTCGGAGTAGGTTACCGCATGTGTGCCGGCTCACTGCTAGCGTATCGAGAACTGTACCTTACATTCCTGCGCATGTTAGCGTCGTTTGAAATACAGAGCGATGGCCCAATTAATGTTGACCCGTTGCGAGGAGTCAATGAACTGACGAGTCTGGTCAGTGTACCGAAGAAGTACCATGTGCGATTTGTTCCGAGAAATGAGAGGATCCTCGTTGCCGCGTTGGAAGCGGCGAGTTTTTGACTAGTGACGTCTTCTCATAGTGCAGGTAGATGGCAAGGTTGTTAGATACTTGAATTTTCAGAAGGATATATTCATTCTGCGTCGGAGATAAGAATTCTGTAATATTCTATTCCCTCCAATTTCAAACTTATTGTTTTAATAGCATATTTTCGTCATTCAATCAATCCACTGCTTGCACGTCTGGAATGATTCAGCTCCGAAAGAATTGATGCGATTGGCCGACCCCAGAAAGTGTTAACTTTAACAAGCAACATAAATGTCACCTACGTATAAGTATATTTAGTTTGCAATATTAAACAGTAATCATGTAATACTATACGACACCATAACAAGCAGAGTTCGGTAACAAATTAACTGTAATATAGAACCATACGTATATAGTGTGTAGCGCAGGATGCCTCGGTTTATATACTGAATTGAAAAATTATATACAAGTGGTGAATCACCACGAAATAGTGGGTGAAAAAGAAATCAAATGGAAGCCGCAGAATGAGGAAAAATCTAGGACGATTGGTAAAATGATAAAATATTGAGATAGGACGGTTGACTTTCCCATTCCTAAAAGAAGGATTTTACAACACGACGAAGCTTCTCTTCTGATTTCGCTGGATGCCGCATTTGGTCAAACAAGAATCAACTCCATCAGCGACATTCTTTGGAACCAATCCTCGGAAAGTATCAATGTCTTTGCCATCAATCGTGGTATTAGTAGCGCCCAAAACAGCATCCACTAGATCTGTTCGAAAGCCTAGCAAAGTTTGAGCTGATTGCTGGACACCGGGGTCTTCATCAGCGAACCCAGCGACAAAAACGGCGTTGTCGCAGTCAGGGTTGAACTCTGCGTGCATTGCTCCCTTGGGGAAGACGGTCATGTGGTATTGGTCTAGAAGATTGAAAATAGGTCGTGCGCCGTTCTCAAGAATGTATTCCGTCCCAAGGCGGCCTGAAACGACAATGTTGATTTCCGAAGACCGTGGGTGAACATGGGGGGTATTGAAGCCGCAAGGTCCAATAAAGCCTACGGTCATAGCAACACCAGTTCCGATCAATGGAGGAAATACTTTTCGATCCACTTTCACTGTCGTTCCGCCTGTTTTATCCCTCAAAGGTTAGGGTAATTTGTTAAGAAATTCGTGTTTGATGCAGGAAAGACACACCTGCCCCTACAGTAAGGGCACCCGCGGGTGGATTTTGGAAGTCATACGCAAAGTCGGCGTCGTTAAGGATGAGTGCTTGACGATCCACCGCCGTCGGCGCACCCATCAGTTCGTTTATCAGAGTTAAGTTATTTGCGATGGCACCATCTTCTCTCTTTTCAATCAGGCCAAATGCGGAAGTTGTTGACCAGAGAGCAGTGGTGAAAAGAAACTGCCAAAACATTTTATGTACTAGTAAAATGTGCCACAAAATGTAGGATTGCAAGACGAAAACTCAATGTTATTCTGTAAGGACAATATTAGATAAGTTGGAATAATGTGATTTCGCTGGAAGTTATAATGGTTACTTTACGTAAAGATACCAAGCAGCGGCAAGCACCCAAATTCAATTCTACTAAGATGCTAAAAATAAAGGGCTGAGTAAATAAGCTTTACCAGGTCCACGTTTTTACCTCCGAGCCATAAGCAGACCGCAGCCTATCATTAAAATAGCAAGTTTTTAATGAATTGACATGAAAACCAAGTGCTATGTATCATATACGTAAATACAAATGTGCGGCTGCTTCTATTAGGTCATCCCTACTTCTTGTTACTTTACATTATATCATCCCCGTGCCGGGAGCCGAAGGTCTTGCAGGAGAAGTACTCAGCCCATCTGATTCTTCCGGTGCTGGCTCTTCATCAGTCCTAACCATCGTCCCCATATCGGCTCCTTCGATTTGCTGCCCCTCCTCCACCAGTGGCTCCTGTCCCGTCCTGTTCTTCTTCACTTTGCATGGCATTTCTTCCCATTTCTTTTAAGCGCTCGGCCGTCGACTGCAGCCTCCTTCTCATGCTCAGCAACATCATTGATCTTCGTTCGAAGTTGCAGGAAGATTATGTGTAGCGTAAGGCCACCCAACCGCTACTACCACCTTGCCGCTAGTCTGTGACTGCATATAAGATGGCTATTGTTAATACCAAATATCTCAACAAAATTTAATATAAATTATACTGTATGTTTTGTATTTTTGGTTAATTTAGGGGTATTTTCATTCAGTTTTTGATATGTTATTAATGAAGTCTTTTTAATGTACATATTTAATTTGAGTCTATACTTTATATGTATTTTCGTTGAATTGTTTCAGTAATAAATAATGCTGAGTGAGTGATCTCTGAGCTAGGCTGAGCATAAAGTGGCACCGTGCTGAGCGCCACATTTCATTTATGTAGGTTCCTGACATTTCTTGCCCAATCGAGTAGTTTAGGGCTGAGTCTACTAAAAATATCACCCATAGTTTAGTCGAGTTATGCGCCTATGCGCTGGAACTCTTAACGAGAATGGAAAAGAGTTTTTACCTAGACCGATAATTTTAGGCGGGGAAAATGGGCAGGCGGCGTTCCTGATGGTGTAAGCATATCTCCGGGCTCAGCCTGCTCACGTACAATTGTGGAACTGAACTACCCCAATAGTCGTTTCAAGTTGGTCTGTCCAATGAAAACCCCATTTTCATCCCGCAAAATATGGTGAGCGGGACAATTAACTGCTCAGCCTTCCGGATACACCCAAATGAGATGGTTCCACTTCCGGTATGAATGATTAATTTGTAATTGTCATTTCGAGTATAACATGCGAGGCAATACCAGTGAGAGAGCTTTGATCATTGGAAACACATCTCGGTCTAGAACTTCTTAGACATGGATCCAGTCTGTCATGATTCTGAGACGAGATGAGGTTCTCGTGAAAGGGGAATAAAGGAAATCAATTTGATTTCTGCAGCTTCTTTGTAGCAGTGCTGGATTTATTTACGATTCTACTACTTTGTCCAATACTAATCAGCGGAGAGCCTTTCTTTAGAAGGAGCGATTGAGTAAATGGGTGTTACCGGATTCTTCCTTTGCTCTGGTAGCGGAACAAATTGTTTTTCTTGGAGAGGCTTGACCCAGGGAGCTACTTTTTTATAAGGTGACATGGACGCATTATTGTTATAACTCTATGGAAGAAACTGGTGAATAATGAGTGGAATACCCACGTAATACACCGTTCAAATCCTCGATTCTCGATTCCCCCCACTTTGTAAGTCGCTGATGGGTGCAATCGTGTAAATATTCGACTGAGGAAAGAACCTCCGTAAGATAACTGCCCTTTGCGCAGTGAAGAGAGGGGTCTTAGATATCCGTGAGCAGTAAAGCCACGTAGCGCAGATCAATCTCGGTGTAGAAAACTACAAAATTTTCATTAAAATGACTGCCAAATTTAAATAGAAAAGGCTTCGTTTAGGCAATATTGATCACTAGAGAACAACTGTCTATCTTTAGGTTTCAGCCTTATTGCCCAGAGTCGGCACAACTCCGGGTCCATGCATGTCTATTGGCTTACTCCGGATTCCATAACGCTTCTCAGTTAGCGTACTAAGCCTGCTGACTACTGAGGCTGAATACCGAGCTGAGACACTGGAAAGAAAAGACGGATCATATACAGCGAAGGAAGTGGCGTGAATACGACGGACTAAATGAGTTTTAAGGACATAACGTGAACAGGAATGTTAATCTAACTTTCTTGGTGTCAATGGCACTTACGAAGTCAATCAGAAGACGTATAAAGATGGTAATTGCTTATCTCTCCTTTCTATTGTACTTCCTATTGGCATATACTTCAAATCATATATTCAGAATTAATGGAGTTTTATCTGATTCCCGCAATTAATCCATCCACCCAGTTGTTACTTACCAGGGAGTTATCTACTTAATCTAGTAGTGGCCAAGCTACTCATAGAATAACTTTGTCGGCTATTATGCTCACCGGTACAGGTAGATTCGAAACTGGCTTCACTTATTTACACTCTCTTTGATTTATTTGGCCCCACTGCCAAGGCACTTATTTCCACTGTAATATGTATGAAGTTAGTGCTGTATTATTCTGTATTGTTAAGTTTTGTTTACTGCCGACAGTATCACCCTCAAGGCTTGTGCGCTAAGAAAAACACCACCGTCACGGGGGCTGCGAAGTCTGACTCTGCCACCTCGTGGTGCAGCTTGGTAAAATCACTCAGGCGGTGATGGCCAAGAGCAGAGCGGCCAATATGGGCTCCTTGTTGAGTCCAAAATTCCTTGGAGATCGGCACGAATAATGCGGCACCCCAGAAGTCGATCGAACGCTCTCTGCCAAACACGAGAGAGCTCACCTTCTACGGACAGATACTGACGCCTTTCCATCGTCTTCACTATCGGCCAACCGCATGGTTTTCATGGCCTCCCTCCATAGCCCATGGGCTAATGACCTCCGCTCTGCGGAGCTTTCTAGGAGAAGGACCACTACCACTCCTCTGACTACCTGTACTTGTGGAGGTATTTTCCCCTTTTTCCTACGGGCATTTTGGGTTGTTTTTCCTTCGTACCATCGAAATCCTATATACTTGAGGGAATGGCTACTTCAAGAGACTGCAACACCGCAGGGGTTAGGGACCTGGGATATATATATATAGAGATAGATAGATATCACGGCCTACGGCCGTAAAATAATGACACACACACATACCCCGCCATCACGGCCAATGAGAGACCGCACGGATCTATCGGGGCTTGAGAGAGTCTGATACTGTATTAAAGCACAACTCTGATGTTCTACTTCCGGAGTTAGGAACTATGCAGATGCCCACTCTTCTATCGGGATCTGAGGGCTAACCCGCCAAGTTGCAACCACACGCAATTAGACATTTTTGGCGCCGCCAACTACCTGATCCGGCCATGGTATGTTCGTGTAGACGACAGGGTCGACCTGCTGAAATGAGTTGGATTGGTAGGCCGTGTTTCCTCTTCTCGGCCGTTAATGCTTAAGTCCATTCCCCGACGGACTTTATCACCCAGGGTTTTACATCTATACGGGCGGCCTCCCATCCAGGATACACCTATTATGATTCTAAATCACAGCTATAATTGCGAGAAGACGAAGAAAACGAAGAATAAAAGAACCGAACATGGCAACGAAACCAGCTGTTAACATAGTTTTTGGTGCTATGACGATTGGCAAGGGTAGCGATGAGTCTCGAGTTAGGTAGGTTGTCACCTAAGACTGCTGGAGGTTCACTGGCCTGACCTATCTAAGCGATCTGCAAGTGGCTAAGGAACTCCTGGACACCTTCCAGTCTCATGGCTACAATGAGGTTGATACTGCACGGTTTTATGGTTCTGGTACTTCTGAGGAGTACCTTGGCAACCTTAAATGGCAGGATCGAGGCATTATTATGGATACGAAGTGCTATCCGACAATAGTTCTACCAGGTGTTAAGGATCAATGGAGTCACAGGCCAGAGGACTTACGAGCAAATCTTAAGCAATCCTTGAAAGCTCTGCAAAGCGACAAAATTGCAATGTGGTATTTGCATGGACCCGACCGATCGACGCCCTATATTGATACTCTGAGAGCAGTCAACGATCTTCATAAAGAAGGATTGTTTGATCGCTTCGGTATTTCGAACTATATGGCATGGGAGGTAGCGCAGATATGTGAGATTTGTGACGCTAACGACTGGATTAAACCAGTTGTGTATCAAGGCATTTACAATGTACTGCTTAGAGCAGTTGAGCCTGAGCTATTTCCTTGCTTGAGGCATTATGGTATGGGTTTCTACGCATATAATCCCCTTGGTGGTGGCTTTTTAACCGGACAAATGGAGGAACACACATCCGTGGAGAAAGGATCTCGGTTCGACCCGGAATCAAGGCAAGGGAAGCGCTATCGACAACGCTATTGGAACGATGCGTATTTCAAGGCAATGGAACTTATACGACCCGCCGCAGAGAAGCATGGGCTTCGTATAGCTGAGGTGGCTCTACGATGGATGACCAACCACAGCAAACTTGGTTCTGAATATCCAGATGCTGTAATACTCGGGGCAAGCAGCCAGAAACATGTGGAACAGAACATACTAGACTTGGAAGGAGGCCCGCTACCGGATGAGGTTATAACTGCACTAGACAGAGCCTGGGAGCTGGTCAGACCTCTCACAGGCAGGTATTGGCACTAATAAGATAGTACGTTGTCTTCCAAAGCAGGTACGTAGCCTACTCGCCGAGTTTGGGTGACCAGTCTGCTGCCTTCGGCTTATGGGACTGCCATATCACCCAGGTGGCGCTCTCCGTGGACGGTTTTAAGTACGACTGGTTATAGTGTCTTATGACTTTTTGTTCCATCAATAAGTTAATTCGTTGAATATTGTTATAGTAGCGAATACATGTCAACAACTATTTGTCACAATGATGTATTCCGCCTGAACGAATAGATCAATATCCCTATGAATGTATTGCTTCAATCCCACTTAATAGCTATAAATCAAGCACCGTTCTGACTCTGAATTCCTCCACTCGGGGCTGTGACAAATACGCATCTGCTTTAAAGTCCAGTTTTTCTGTCCCGCAAATCTGACCCTTCCTCGTAGGTACTGACGGCCATTTCGGACCTCAGACAGAGTATGCCGGTCGGGAAACATGAAGAATATCGAATGTTTAACAATATTTCAAAAGAGCAACTCCGTCAACCAATCCCAAACTACCTGGTTGAGCCTTGAACCTGCCCCAATGGAACAATGTGCACTCGCTCCTTCCTCTCTGGTGAATTCCCCAATGTCCTTCTTGCACTTCAACCTGTCATATAGCTCCTTAGGCTGCCCTTGTAGAAAATGATCATCCGGGGCATCTAATACAAGTGTGGGTGTCTTGATGTTTTCCACAATCCCCTCTAATGTATACTTGTTTACCTCACGAATGACATCTACATCAGAAGTCAACCCAAAAACCCATTTGCCATTGGATACCCCCCAATTAAAGCCCGTATCCCATTGCTTCCTTCGGTGCATTAGCCAGTTCATCATGTTGTCCCAGCCGTTATTCATAAGATATTTTCCAAGAGCTGGGGTTTTGTTTCGGAAAGCACTGCCAAAGTCGTAAATACCGTCGTTGAGGACGATGGCAGCAGCACGATGCTCGAATGCCGAAGCACGGGCGACGAGATAGCCTCCCATGCTAATGCCGATAATTATAAGCTTATTATTATCGACGAATGGCTGAGAAATAGTGTAGTCCACGACTGGGGTGACAACGTTTTCCCAGTCATGCCTAAAGAAAAGGCGTTGGTCTCGAAGAGCTTGTCCCTGTCCCGGTCCATCAAAGGCCAAGACATTAAAACCACGCTCGAGAGCAGAGGCACCAAGTGAGTAGATAACTTCCTCTTTCGTTGAGTCATAGCCTCCGTTAAGAATAATAGTTGGCCGCGGCTCATCACTATTATCAGGCCGCATTATGATGCCGGGTAAATTTGTACCTTCGTATGGTATTCCCACATTTATAGTAGGAAACGGCATAAGATTTGTTGCTTCATGGAACATAGAGCGGCTTAGCTCCTCCAGAGCCTTGGATAACTCGTCATTGAATGGATCCTCACGGCGATAAAATTCAGCTGTACGGTAGTAGTTAGAGGCACGGAGAAAAGCATCTCTCGCATCGAACATGTTCCCTTTGGCAAGACTTGTTCGTGCGTTGGTGGCAGCACGGTCCCCAGCAGCCCTCCATTCGTGCAACCACTTGTCCTCGTCGCCGGAGGGGATTCGCGAGCAGATAGTAATGACTTCGGACACGTCGGCACCTCTGGTGTTGCTGTACCCAGCTGCGCGGAGGGCTTCGAAGCTAAAAGATTCGTTATTTGGGAAGAGGTGTTTCAAGAGATGCGCCATCGTATCGAGATATGTCTCTAACGGAGGAAAGAACTGGTTTATGCAAGAAGGATATTGCGTTCAGTAGGTAGTTGGACGTTGAGTGGCTTCTGGAGATTCTTCTTACGGTGGCAGAGACGACAGCTAGAGCCGCTAGTAAGAGCTATCCCTAGTTTGCTACGTGGATGTCGCCGTCACAGAATTCATGCCTTTGTGTATGATCTAAAACTCGGTACTTATAGTTAAAGACGACTGTTGGGCATAGAGCAAACGCGATGTAATTTTCCATTCTACTGCAAGGGTTACACCAATCAGCTCCGACTGATGCCTGCATTGGCCGAGTGGCCACACCAAAGTGGACCAGTCGCTGGTAGGGAACACGGAGAACCGGGAAACACGGAGAACCCCCTCAAAAAATCACTTACGGAGAGCAGCCGGAAAACGAACCTCTTGGCTAAAGCACACTTGTTTTTGACTCGAACAAGTGCTGGGCTATGAGTTCTCAATCTCTCAATTGCAGTAGTCGCGCTGCTGGGCTCGTGGGGGGCCGCCCGCGTACGGCTTGTGATGAGTGCAGGTCATTAAAGGTGAGTAACAAAGTTAGCCCCTTCGCACCCAACATGAGGACGCAATGTGTTTTGGCCCTGGAAGCCGGATGCTAAAGGCGATTCTGCAAAGCAGGTTCGCTGCAGTAATGAGCGGCCTTCATGCAAAAGGTGTCTCCGTCTCCGCCGGTCCTGCACTTGGAGACACAATCCAGTCACCCGACAAAATCAGCTTCGCGATGCCAGGCCAGAAGTAGGGCTTGCTGCGAGTGACTTAACTCACGATCCCGCTGGAGTTGGCATCCCTCCACAGTTGGTTTCTACTCTTGTTGAGCAGTATTTCTCGCATTTCTTCTATGCAACGCTCCTGCTGCACCACCGGCGTTTCAACGAGGCCTTCGCTTGTGGTGCAGCTACTAGGCATGTCGTCCTCAGCCTCTGTGCCGTCGCATCAAGGTACTGTACCTGCGCATGCGTACTCCACACCCCAATAAAAGGTTCAGCAACCGGACTAACCTCAAATTCACGCACTCTCTAGTATTCACCGGGACACTGATTGCCAGAGCTATCTTATGCAAGATGGGTTTTCGCAGCAGTGGGCCGAAGAGGCCGGCAGGCTTGTGCTCGCCGAGATTGGTTCCCCAACGGAAGACACATTCGTGTCACTCATTCACCTAACAATGTTCTGGTACTGTCAGGGCAAATGGCGGCGTGCATACATGTTCGGATGCAATAGCATATGCGCGGCTCGACTTTTGGACCTTTTCGACTCTGCCCATACAAATAGGGCTGACTTGTCGGCTGAGATCAGCCGGAGGAGGTTTTGGGCCGCCTATATCATCTGTCACACATCCAGCAGATCTGACTTGTTTGATGTTCCGCGAGCTTCAATAGAGCAATTAGGTCTACCGTGTAATGAAGATGACTTTGCTCTCGGTAACCTGCCTGAACAACTCGTGGCTCTAAATGACCGCGTACGGATTCCTAGCTTCTATGCGGAAATGATTAGACTTGGTGACCTCTGGTGAGCCTTCCTTTTAGTGCGTATTTAACTCCCAGTTGACGAAAATGCGCAAAATTTCGTGCTAACTGCGAATTGTGCCCTAAGGCGCCTGGTGCGTCTGCTTGTACGAGATACGGGACTGTCCGCTGATGAGAAGACCGTGAATATCCAAAATCTAGACATGGAACTTCACCAGTGGCGCCAGCATCTCCCAAACAGATTTGTGCTAACACCCACAAGCGTTGAAACCTCTTCGCCGGCCGTTCTGTCCCACCTCCTTCTACTGAACATCGTTTTTCATCAATGTTTATGCGTTTTACACTCGTCAATTGTTCCACTCTTCACGTTTGGGCCCGGAGGAGAGACCCTCCCTCACGTTCAATCCTCATCCGCGCAGACATGCTTCGATCATGCGAACCAAATGACCACCATATTTGAAATTGCTCTTCCATGGTGCACATCGCACGCGCCTGGTTTTGTGGGTTATGCCGCCTACTGCGCCTCGGCTATTCAGCTGCCTTTCCTGTGGTGCAACAATCCAGAAGTCAGCATGCGTGCATTTGCCAATATTAGAGTGAATGCTAAAGTATTAAATGGTATTGGGAAACGGTGGAAGTTTGTTGCCGGTTTGGTAAGGCATTATTCCCTCGATAATTGTACCAAAGGCTTTACCAGAGTTGCTTACTATTGTGCCATGCTCCTTGCCAGGAAAAACACGCTCAAACCCTTCGGCAATACCATGAAAATCGCGGCTCTGAATTAGCCGATAAGCCCGTGGGCCTGGCTATCTCCCAGCTGAACGAGTGCATTTGCATCTTCGCTCGCACGAGAACGTCCCTCCTTGGCCACAATGACATAGTATATGCTTCGGGATGCATCCCAGATTGTGGCAAAATTGACGCGCTAGAAGTCAATAACGATGTCGAAGAATGGTTGCAGAATCAAAGTGCGTACTTCACCCAAAAGATATTGGGCACCTGTTGACATGCTGCTTAGCTTCCTCCGTGCAAATATCGGGATCGGCCGAGTATCCTCAATCCCAGCAGAGTCTATCCGATATGCTGTTGGAACCATATTACCTATCGGATGATTTCAATATTCTGCTGAGTTAAGAGGGCTGGATTCGCCAAAGGCGGACTTCATCGTGAATATACCATTGGTCAGCATAACCACTGTATCAACCTCCAATATACAGGGGTCAAAGGGCGGAGGTGAGCGTTACTCAACCGTCATGGATACTTCAAACAATTTCCTTACGCCAAGTCCATTCCCGAGTTTGACGTCGTATTCGAACCAGGACGCAAACTGCAGCCAACTACACTTTCCAAAGGTCCGTTTACAGTAGAAGTGGTCGGTACTGGTTTCGACAAACCAGCAAATGCTCGGTATTATACCCTGCGGTTTCCTCGAGTGCTGAAGATCGATAATGATCGATCGTTTAAGGATACTATCAGCTTTGAAGAGTTGCAGGAGATGGCTAAAACATGCCTGGAGATGCCAGATGACCAAGAAAAAGAAGAGCAAAGTTGGCTCAGGAAATGACGAGGCTATGAGCAAGTGGCTGAGAGATCGAGGACGAGCTCTCCCAGAGACGACTCAGTTTCAACATGTGAAGAATCATGAAACTCAGATCATATATAACTCCTGTGAGGCTATTTATGTACATGCTGGCCTTATCCAAGAGGTAGGCATAAAAGCGGTGGGCCGTGGTTATAAGAATGTCATATATCCACAGAGCATGAAAACGCCATGGGTAACAAACGACCAGCTATTTCGCCAACCTATTCTGGAGAATAGCGATCTGGCGTACGCCTATTCTTACGCAGGCCATATTGCCGACTGGGAGCGGTACTCTCAGTAGATTAAAGCGATTCAGCAGGCCATAATTTTAATATAGCCATACTCCTTAATTGCCCAGCCCTCGAACGTACGTCTTGGAGGATCATCGATCATGGGACAAGCGGCCTCAGGAGATGGGCTCCCCCCATGGTTATTCTTGTTGAATATCTCGGTTTTTGTGTTGTTCCGATAAGGCTGTGGTCTGTATATAATCCTTCTGGCGGGGTTACCCATTGACCAATCGTTCACACCCCATGAGCAAAATTTCACGCTCCCTTTCCTATAATGGCCAACCAAATGTCGTGAGAAAGATATTCCTTATTTGAACAGGAAGGTTTAAGCGAAAGGGATTAGGTCTGGGGACCTCCCAATGATTAGTGAGTTCTCAACTATCCAGAGTCCGTGTGCGAATCGAGCCAAAGCCACGATGCAGAGCTCGAAGCTGACATTGGGCAGGCTGGACAAGGGTATTCAGCAATTGCTTGCCTCACTTCCAGCTCAGACTATCATTTGCATGGCCGTGCCTCTACGGGCTTTAGTTCGAACTTCAGTTGAAGAAGCAGTCAGAATAAGGTTTGGTTGATACGAACATATTACTCTGAAAGCTAAAGAGAACCTGCGCACTTTAGCTTTTTAAACTATCGCGTGGACCACTTCTATAGTCAGTCACTCGAGGAAATACAGGCCGAGGAGCATGATTGGGTAATTTTGAAAACAACAATGCCAACTTACCTTCGATTGGTAGTTAAGAAGCGTCGGCTATGTAAAACCCTATCTGGCCTGTCAGAGAGACTCGGATTACATCCATGCACTCGAAAACTCGAATCCTTTCTGGTCTCCATGATATTCCAAGTATCTTGAGATATTGCATTTTTCAGCCAGCCATTTTAAAAATTTGTTTTTCCTAAACGTTCTTATACCGAGGTTCTTTTCAAAGAGTCCCATTATGCACTCTACTAATACACAAAGATAATTTTCTCAGATATAAAAGTCCTTAAATACCCCTTCCACACTCCTGTAATTTTATCTAATTATCTAAAATCTAGTGAGCTATTTCTCTCTAAGCTGACAATCAAATCTGAATTTCCTCTTAATTGAATTAAGTTCTAACAACTTTGACTGATCTTTTCTAATTATGGCTGCCCTTGACCTTGCCAACTGGATGAAGTACCTGGAACCTAGTGAATATGTGATTAATTCATACATACCCTGCAGTCATGATGCCTCTGCATATCCATATGAAGGAGGTGAAAATGCAGCGCATGACCTCGTTGGCAGCATCTGCCAAAGTGCGGATTACACCGCCCAGCTCCTCGCAGGGTCTCGGTATTTCGATATGAGGATCACTCGCTTAGGGAATACCTTGGTCATGAAGCATAATATCATTACATTCCAGCCTTTTGAGACAGTACTCAATCAGATCAAAAACTTTGCTAAGTCTCACAAATCCGAATTTTTCTTCCTCGACCTCGACTTTAGTCACAAAAATGCCATTGCCGATGACGTTTTGGCCATGTTGATTAAAATCCTGGGAGACGGAAAAGAAGATGCATTTGCAACCGCACACGTGGGCCCTGATGGCAAATCTTACAACAAGGAGCTCACGTGGGCCAAGCTCAAGCAAGACGGCAAGCAGTACATTATAATATGGGGCGAGGATGAGACGATCGATGGAGACACGAAGCATTACGAGAGCGGCAAGCTCTGGGCTCCGCAAGCGGCAGATATTCGAGATAACTGGGAAGATGACTACCCTAACAAATCACCACAGGAGATTGTAAACTGGCTAGATGAAGCTCTCAGTCTATGGAAGAAGGAGAAGCTTTGGATAACCCAGCTCATAGATACTCCAAAACGATCCTACCTTCCTGGACATCATCCTAGTGACTGCGACAGCAAAGCAGCACCAGTCTTCAATGGATGGCTCACGAAATTTAAACCCGGCGACAAGTTAGGTATTGTCAAGCGTGACTTCGTCAATGAAGAATGGAATGAAGCCGGCATTTACCATGTCATTCGTCTGAATAAGTTTGCGCAAAGTCCTGACATCCCTCTTGGTCCAGAAATCGATTACTTGAACAATATTAGACTCAGGACACTGGACGGACGTTACCTCGCTGTGGATACCAAACCTCCCGGTAACACAAATCTGAGTCTAGTGACCCTTGTTGACCAGCCGGCGGACAACACTCGTTTCCTGATACGGGAGCGTCGGAAGGATTCAGCGTGGACGTGGCCATTCAGTGGAAACCTGGACGCTGACTCCTGTGGCGCTAATGGAAATGTCCGGCTCGCGCATGTTGACAGCAGCATTGGTAACGATACTGTATTATCTTGTGCGAAAAATTCTGGCGGGTTCCTGTATTGGGGTGTCAGCTGGAATGACGCGGACGATTGGGAGACTTTTCTCCCCTATAATCCTGCCAACACTGGGAGCAAGAATGTGATTCATCATGGCAGTATTATTGTCCTCCGAACACTATGGCACATGTACTGGAAGGTGGACCTAGATGAGAACTATTATACCAGGGTGTATGCAAGCGCTGGACCGATTGAAGATGCCACCCAGTTTGTGATAGAGAAGGCATGAGTCAGTAAATAGTTAGCACCAGGCCTAGGACTCATTTATTAGTGTGACAGACATCAAGAGAGTTAGTCAGATAATTAAAAGACCATCGTTATCCGCTAGATATCATTGCGGTACCGCAAAATCGCAGAGATTCGTACTTTTACAGCGACGCAAGGAACGACACTGGAAACGACTCGGAGCTCAAATAGGTGGATTTTTCCCTCAACATTGGTTTCCTACCAATATCTTTATCCCTAGTTAGTAAATGAGATACAGGAGTACTTTTAGTTAATCAAGACGTCGATAAAAGAGTGCTGTTCAGGAAGGAGGGAGACAAAAGGTCGAAGACCTACTGCAACATGGAGAGATCACATACGACTTGCTCGGGTTTCTTTTCAAGCCGAATGAAATTGTGCATAACCACCCGTGACGGAACGAGGAAGCCGCGATGTCTTCGATTTGGCATTGGAGATGAGAAAACCACGCTTTTCGGGCCCGTTTTTAGTCTAGGCTGTCAGTACCTGGACTCGGACGGCGAGAAAGTTGGCTTCGCTTCCATCGACCTCAACATTCCCAAATTCACTGGCGTAAAGCGTATCGCGTCGTTGCCTTGCTTCCCTCTGCAGTATCACCCTCAAAAAGGGCAGGTGAGAGGCTGAGTTGATTGCGCGCGGAAGGGAGTTCTACAGCTTGCGTGGATCCCATCACTGCCATTGCAAAGGCAAAGCCTTTGTGATGCAGGACGACGTAAAAGTAAAGCGCAATATCGACAGCCGTGTGATGATTGATGCGGCATTTTTTCGCCGGATGAAGTCGAATCCGCTAGTTTACCTGTTCCTCACCCTCACAATAGTTTATATAATAAATAATATAATGATATAACGTAATATCAGGGTATATTTAGGGTCAGGCGAATTGCTTTAATTGTATCTTGTTTTTTTGAACACCCGTCCGCACGGCGCCTGTTTGCAACGCCCACAAATATTCGCTTAGATAGATTTCTAGTGTGGTGATTAAAAGTTCGACATATCTTCATATTGAATACACATGCCACATATCTAAATATCGACTATCAAATATTATTAGACGAAATAGGCTTAAATCGATCACTTGACGGAGAGCGCTAATTGCATAGCCTCGTTAGCCTGATAGCCTCGTCGCAAGGCTGCGCGGGGGTTGACAGCCTCTTCCAAATGTCAACAAATAACTTTGGATCACTGAATCTTGAACGTACTTTTCATGTTGACGAATATACCGCTATGCCTCGAAAGAATAAAGCACTGCAAAAAGCTGATGGGGTATAGGAGCTCTCTCCAGACCAATATTAATTGCATCATCTACGGGCGGCCCTCCAAGAGCTCTAAATTTAAGCTGATATAAATTGGTGTAAATGCAGATGAAAGACAGAAACTTTTAACACCATATCCAAACTTTTTTCATATTAGGTGAAAAACTGATAATGGCATTATCGGTGTCTAACCTCAGCAAACTCACCCCCGAGGTCCAACTCGCGCAAGCTATTTCTGAATACGAAGCTGTCCTCTCTACCTCCGAAAAGGCGTCGCTGCGCAATTTCAAAGCCGAACAACAGAACCATTCACCGGATGCAACCGACGTAATCCGGCTAACTGCGAAGATTGACCAGACGTCGCAAATCGGCCGGAGATGTGTGGGCACGCGCTTTAGTAATGTACTCAATGCGATTCAGGCTTTTGCGGGTGTTGGCGATCTTGTCGTTGGAGGAGCGCAGAACTTGATGGCGAGCGGGCTGTGGGCGCTGGTGCGGCTTACCCTTCAGGTGGGCGACCCAAAAGAGGATAAATTGAGTAGCGTTAATATAAACAGATGGCGACAAACTATCTATCTTTCTTGGACAAGTTCTCTGAGCTGTTCATGAACATTGGTCGTTCCGCTCCTCGATATCAGAATCTGAGCCTGTTGTATCCCCAGTCGTCTGATCTCCAGCGTAGTGTCTGCGAATACTTCACCACTCTTGTACAGTTGTGCACCAAAGCTGTGAAATTCACGCGCAAAAGCGGATTGAATCGGTTGGTAGCCACGACATTGAGTTCGTTCGACACCGAGTTTGGCGGGTTCCTTGTCAAGCTCGAAAGGCTTGGGAATGAGATAAAAGAAGATGTCATGCTGCTGTCTGCAAAGGCGCAGCAAGACGAAGTCCGTGAGAACTCCAAATTTCGCTCTCTTGTCCGGCACAAAATAGACAAGAACCAAGCGGACAGGAACCAGCTCGACAGGAATGACCAGTTGCGGCGTGAACTTGCTGCCAAACTATCCCTGCTCGACCAATGCTCGACCTATGATCACGAGACAGCTTGGAGACAGATTCGGAAGAAAGGAAACTCGTCTTGGATACGTCAAGCACCCGAGTACGTGCAATGGAGAGATAAGACGGGCCGTGTCTTGACATGTTTTGGAAAGTTGGGATCGGGGAAAAGTGTTGTTGCTGCAAACGTGACAGAAGACTTGCTGATGCGCGAGCCCAAGGGGACGGTGGCGTACTTCTTCTGCAGGCACGACGTCGCCCAGTCGCTCAAGGCAAGAACCATCCTCGGTGCTCTGGCCCGGCAACTCCTGGAGTCGATCGACGCCGACAGTGAGTTGTATTCCACGAGTCAATGGACGCAGAGTCAGACACGCTCTTTCCAATTTTACGAGCTCGTTGGGCTGCTTCGTTACATTATGCTCGAAAGACGGCTGGAAAGAAGACACTACTCCATCACCCTCGTCATCGACGGCCTTGATGACTGCACGCAGGCCGACAAGCAAATCTTGCTCCGGGATCTGGATCTACGTTTTGTTCGCTTGTTTCTCACGACGAGATCAGAGCTGGAGCAGACGGCCGTTTTGATTAATGATTTTTTCCCTCTACAACCCACGCTACGCATGTCGTACCAGGCGGATGAGATAAACGATTATATTAATGATGAACTCAATCAGCGGCTTGAATCGGGGGCTCTTTGCCTAGGCAATCCTGAAATCATTGTGGAAATACAGGACACGCTGAAAGCGAATGCCCAAGGAATGTAAGCATTCATTTCATATAGCCTGCTCCTCATATTCCCGTGTTTTGACTGTTAACCATCGTCTGATAGGTTCCTCTGGGTCGTTCTCCAAATCGATAGCATATGCGACGAAGAATCAGACGACGCCATTTTGACTGCCTTGCGTGAACTACCGCCAGACCTACCAGCAGTGTACGACCGCATCCTGCAGAAAAAGTTACAATCCAAGTACCGAGATAAAACACTCCAGCTCGTCGCGTCAGCCTATCGACCATTAACATTAGGGGAACTTCGAGAAGCCCTCAGTGTGACTCCCGGTGACAATGTCATGGACACGACCAAATTCATCAACGACATACAAAAGACAGTATCTTGTTGCGGAGGCTTACTCGAGCTGGAGGAAGAAGCGCTGACTGTACACTTTGTTCATCCATCAGCAATACAGCATCTTTTTTGCGTAGAAAAAAACAGAGAGAGCAACAGCACGTCCGCCCGTTTCAGTAAGACTGAAGCTGATATTCTGATGGGAAGCATTTGTGTGACATACCTCAATTGGAACGTCTTTGAAACCAGACTCGCAGCGCAGCAAAAACAATGGCAAATAAATGCATCCAACACAGCTTCTGCAGTCGTAAATTCGTCGGTCCAATCTTCCAGTCTTGCAAAAAAAGTCGCCCAGATGTATCTAGAGAAGACACGACGGTCATCACCATCACTACCAGGGACCTCGTCTTTTGACTTTAAACGTGCGTTGATGGATGTCAAGTCCGGTATGAGCGAAAAGCAGCCTCAGGAATTCTTTTTCTTGCTGTACGCAAAGGAGTACTGGCTAGATCATAGTAAGGAATTCACCATATTAATGGGGGATGTCTGGGATATGTGGAACAGATTAATCAATGATTCCCCAGCAGTTGTCGGACGGTTACCATGGGATTATCCTACAACACTTCAGGATAATAAGATACAACTAACTTGGAACTGGGCTTGGGACGAACTTCATCATGCCCTCATCTATACAAAGGCACTAGAGCCTGTGAATAGAAAATTATTGTTCGAAAAGATTGAAAAGTGTGAAACTGAGGCTTTAGCTTATCAATTGAAAGGAGGCTGGGCCAATTCAGCCAATGTGCGCCAGGCTATTCTCATTCGCGTGGAACGACTGTACCCCCTTCTTCCCCGAGAGGTTATGACGGCAATGTGGAACCTGGCTATCTCGTACCATGTCTGTTTAGTGAATGACAAAGCCGAAGAGTTGCTAACAGACATTTTGCTGAAAAATAATGGCTCTCAGCCACTCCCTATTGCAATGCCTACATCATCGGCATTCCGATGTTTATTGAATAGTACCCTAGCCGATCACAGGGAGATTAGTCTGGAGTTTTTGAACAAGGTATTTTTGCTCAGCCGCAAACTGTGGGGGGACACTGTGCCTATGGAGGCGGTATTGGAATATAGAGAGGATCAAAAGTTCAAGAATCAGGATTTAGTCAATCGGCATATAGACTAGGGTGAAAAAGGTTGAATATAGAACCACAAAAGTTGATTGGGTATAGGAGGCCTTTCCATGCCAAAACTAATAATATTTGAACTTTCTGCATTATCTAGAGGTGGGCCCCCAAGAAGCCTAAATTAACACAACATTCATCGGTGTAAATGTAGATAAAATGCAGGTAAGAAATCTTAATATTATATCTAAACTTTTGTCAGTCCTGTTAGTGTAGATAAACCAGAGCTATAGGATAATCACTTAATAATAATCTTTTTTTTATATATGGAGTGTTAGTGTTTGAGTGTTACGAGAATGAGTAGCAGTAGGTAGTGAATTGGACAGTCGTCATCATGGCAACGACCAGCCCTCCCACTATATCCTATTAGATGTCGCGTTTGCCAGAGCGCAGCCTTTGTTTACTTCCATCCTCATCCTACAGCCTGCACCCACCTCATCCTTCCATGCTAGGTTGTTCATTAAGGATTCGTTAAAGACAATACTCAAGCCCGCCCAACGATGCAATCGAGACAGCAGGTTAGAAGTGACCTTTTGAAGGCCTTTCAAAGCTACACTCCTCGTGCAGATATCTCCTCCACACCCCAGCCCTCTTCGACGCCTCATCTGCCGAGCAATCCTGGCACGCCGAATCATCAGGCTAATATCAACATGGAAAGCAACGGTACATCTAAACTGTTGAATTGCTTTTGTCAGACTGACTTGACTGCTAATGACTGATGAAACAGGAAGCCAGAAAAACAGCCAGAAGTCACCAGCGTCAATAGCCAAACCACCCCCAAAGACTCGTAAAAGACTCCGTACCCCTGTCTTCGAGAGTAGTAGCTCAGGTTGCAGCGAATCAAGCGAAGAAGACCGGAATCTCAGAGAGAAGCGTCCTCGTCGTGCTGCGGCTGATAAGACAGGAGACTGTCTTAAGAAACAGACCGAGTATATCATGTCAGGCATGAACTCGGATATCAACGGTGCACATATAGACACTCTGTTTGTGGAGATGGAGAACAGCCAGAAGAGCGATCAGCAAGCTCCCGTCGTTGAAGCCAAACGTGTTGAACCCCCGGTACAAATGGTGTCTCAGAATGGCAAAATTTCAGGACAGAGCCACGGCAATGGAGCCTCAGCACAAGGCCAGGGCAATGGAGTCTCAACACAGAGCCATGGTAATGCAGCTTCTATGCCTGCACGGCCAATTCAGGAGACATCCATGCCCGCAACACAGCCGAGCCAAGTTATCGCCTTGCCTGATAACGGTTCTAAGGTTTTGGCCACTGAAAACAGCCTAGAGAAAGTTGTCGAGAGTATTGCATCTACAAACCAGGTACGCCAGTCCTCTACTAGTACTTGTAGCAACTGCACAGCTAACTGATATGTACAGCGCATGACAAGCTATCTCACGCGGAAGAACAGCGCCTTTCTAAATGACTTCCCCGCCAACGCACAGCTATTCTTCGAAGCTAGGCTTGCAGAGATCACACAGGAAGCCATTACCATGCATCAAGTGAAGATCGATGCTCTGAAGGCGGAATACATTGAGAAGCTGCAGAAGGATATGAGCGAGTGCCAGAGGATGATCGACATGCTGCGACAGAACCAGTGAGGTTGTGTGGTGATGTTATTATGTTGATAATAATATCTAGACTCAGTGTCGTGAAGAAGAATACAGTTGTAGTTGTGTAATAATTGGAGACCAGCGATTGGCTTGACGGCAGAGAGAAAAATGCGTCATGGAGCGGGGCAGGGCATGCCTGAAGCCAATTCGGCTTCCGAAATCGCTGCGGCGTTTCAAAGGGTTGTCACAAGCCAAGCTTTCTTTAAAATTAATATTCTGATACTTCATCTGTGTCATTCTTATTCTTCAGTATTGCTTAACATATTGATTAATATCCTATTTTTGTTTTGAAGCGCTGCTTGTCTTGCGGTAGACTACACTACGGTCGACAATTCGTCTGTTTCCGCGTTGAACGGTCAATTTCTCCATCATGTCGGTGAGTCATACAGTTTGGACAGTGAAGGGAGGCATCTTTCTGACCGTTGCAGTTCTTCATTGACAACCCTAACGTTGGCAACGCTGACCATCCCGAAGACCACCGAAGTACTATACTACTGCTAAAGATAATTTCCATACTGTATTTCTCTAACCGAACATACAGTCCGAGGATACAACCCTCTCACCCCTCCTAATCTGCTCCAACATGAAATCTCCCAGACCGAGAACTCCAAGAAAACCGTGCTCCAAGGCCGCAAAGAAGCCGCTGCGGTCGTCCAAGGTGCCGACCCGCTCAACCGTCTGCTCGTGATTGTCGGCCCCTGCTCAATTCACGACCCCGACATGGCCCTCGAATACTGCGATCGTCTCTTGAAATTGAAGGAGAAATACCAAGACTCTCTTCTCATTGTCATGCGCTCCTACCTCGAGAAACCCCGCACAACAGTCGGCTGGAAGGGGCTAATTAACGACCCGGATATTGACAACAGCTTCAAGATCAACAAGGGGCTGCGCACATCCCGCCAGCTCTTCGTCGATCTGACCAACAAGGGCATGCCAATTGCCAGTGAGATGCTGGATACGATCTCTCCCCAGTACACTGCCGATTGTCTGTCCCTTGGAGCCGTGGGTGCCCGCACCACCGAGTCCCAGGTCCATCGAGAACTGGCCTCGGGTCTGTCCTTCCCTGTTGGTTTCAAGAACGGCACTGACGGATCGCTGGATGTTGCCGTTGATGCCATCGGGGCTGTAAAGCACCCGCATCACTTCTTGTCGGTGACGAAACCGGGTGTTGTCGCTATTGTCGGGACAGTGGGTAATGAGGACTGCTTCGTGATTCTGCGTGGTGGCAAGAAGGGCACCAACTACGACGCGCAGAGCATTGCGGATGCAAAGAAGAAGCTCGTTGAAAAGGGCCTTCCGCCGCGTCTCATGGTCGACTGCTCCCACGGTAACTCGGAGAAGAATCACAAGAACCAGCCCAAGGTGGCAGCTGTTTTGAGCGAGCAGATCGCGGCTGGCGAAACGGGGATTATGGGAGTGATGATTGAAAGCAACATCAACGAGGGTAAGCCATTGTTAATTTTTCTTGAATCCCGTAAAGTTAACTAAGTATGGTGCAGGCAACCAAAAAGTTCCCCCTGAGGGAAAAGCTGGGCTCAAGTACGGCGTCAGTATCACCGATGCGTGCATCAACTGGGAAGACACCGAGACGGTGCTCGAGGGCCTGGCACAGGCTGTGCGAACGCGCCAGCAAGTTCTTTCCGGTAAATCAGCATAGGCATCAAAATTGGCATTCAAATTAGTTCTGTCTATTGCGAGACAGCACGTTTTTCCCTTCGCTATTCAGATTTGATGATGACATCTTCGTTTCGGATTCCCCTGTGATGTCTCTCTATTTTTCTCATATACCGTATACTCTAGACTGGGAACAGTTAGATGTCAGCTTGCAATAAACAAAAGTTTTGCATATCAACCAATAAATCAGTGGGAAAATGCTAGCAGACTAAAATAGTAAAGCAATAGTTATAAAGTCAAATTATGGTGCCTGAGGCTGCAGTCCCTAAACGGACTAGCGCAGACCCGCATTGAGATCATCGAAGGCGACACAAAAACATTGCAGCATTCAAGATTCCACAGAAGACTGCTGGATAGCATGGCTGTTGTCTCTGTATTTGTTCTAGTCGCAAGTTTCTGTCCTTGATTATTTATCTTTTGTTTTATACTTGTGTCCTTTCGATTGTCGCTCTCTACCGACATCCGAGCTTCCGGTTCCCATGACCTTGTAGACAACACACTCGCCGTGATAACCCCCTCGCAAAGGGCCTCACAAAGGGCCTTAGTCGGCGTAATATCACCATGGAGCATATTACTGCGAGTCCGATGATCGATTACACCGCGACAGCAGCTTTCCAAGCCGTCATAGAAAACACAGCAGTTCCCGGCAACGACACCAGCTACTGGGAACCCGACACCCAACGGGACTTGTTGACGCAGTTTGTTATCAGTATTACACTGGGATTAGTCGCCTTCTTTTCGTTTTGTGTGAGTTGAACTTGCAGCTATTTGATGAGCTTGCTGACAGAATTCTGCACAGCTTCTGCGACCGAAGTGGGCTGAGCTGTATGCTGCGAGACGCAGACGACGAAATGCTGCCTCGTCGCTGCCTGAATTGCCGGATACCCTGTTTGGCTGGCTCCCAGTTCTGTATAGAATTGGCGACGAAGAGATATTGAACTCGGCAGGGCTGGATGCTTATGTGGTGAGTGTGAGACTGATTGAGCGAAATTTGTACGGTTGCCCTAACATATGCTTGAAGTTCCTCTCGTTCTTCAAGTTTGCTCTCAGGTTCCTTTCAGCGACTTTCTTTTTCGCCGCGACTATCATTTCACCCCTGCATTGGCGATATATTGGCAAAACAGGAATCCCCGGAATCGACCGCCCTCCCACCGATGACGATGAAAAGAACAAGACTGATCCTACTTACTTGTGGATCTACGTCATCTTCCCTTACGTATTTACCGGTATCGCGGTTTATTTGCTCATCCAAGAAACGAATAAGATTATTGGTATAAGGCAAAAATATCTAGGAACTCAGACGTCAACAACCGACCGCACAATTCGACTGTCGGGTATCCCTCCGGAATTGCGATCGGAAGAGAAGATTAAGGAATACGTGGAAAGCTTGCAAATTGGAAAAGTAGAGATCATTTCTTTGTGTCGAAACTGGCACGAATTGGATTCTTTGATGGAAGAGCGGAAGAAAATTTTGAAGCAGCTCGAGCGAGCGTGGACAAAGCATCTTGGCTACAAGCAGAGACAAAGGTACAACGATACGCTGCCACTGGTGCATGCAGCGCGCGTCAGATCAGAGAGCATTCGGTCCGAGTCGGGGACGGAGAGTTCACAGCTTCTTGGAAGCGAAGATGGAAGAGTCCCTGTTAGGAGACATGATGACGGGCGTCCGAAGCATCGTATGTGGTATGGTCCGTTGAGACTGCGGTACAAGAATGTCGATTCGATCGACTATTTCGAAGAAAAGCTCCGTCGACTGGACGAAAACATTGTATCTGTGCGGCAGAAGGATTACAGTACGAGCGGGCTTGCGTTTGTCACGATGGAATCGATTGCGGCGTGTCAAATGGCCGTACAGGCTGTTCTCGACCCTAATCCGATGCAGATGGGGGCGACCCTTGCCCCAGCTCCAGCTGATGTGGTATGGAAGAACACGTATATATCTCGTTCAAATCGCATTTATCGGTCCTGGTCGATTACCGTAATTATTGGCTTTCTGACCGTGTTCTGGTCTGTACTTTTGGTGCCTTTTGTGTCGCTATTGAACTTGAGCACATTGCACGAGGCTATCCCTGGTCTCGCAGATGCTCTCGTACGGCATCCACTGGTGGGATCACTCGTTCGGACAGGTATGCCGACGCTTTTTTGGTCTTCGTTGACGGTCGCGGTGCCGTTCTTGTATAGCTGTAGGTGGCATTCTGATTTACATGCTTCCAGAACTAACAGTATTGCAGGGCTCTCAAGTCTTCAAGGTATGACATCTCGAGGAGACAGGGAGTTGTCTCTTATTTCCAAGAACTTTTTCTTCTCGTTTTTCAACCTATTCTTCCTCTTCACAGTGCTTGGTTCGGCGTCCAACTTTTGGGATTTGCTCAAACGGCTACAAGAATCATTCAAAGATGCGACCACAATTGCTTTTGCACTTGCTAGATCGTTGGAAGACCTTTCTCGGTTTTATATCAACCTGATCATTCTTCAAGGACTCGGCCTATTTCCCTTTCGATTGCTAGAATTCGGAAGCGTGATTATGTATCCCATCAACGTCTTGTCGGCCAAAACCCCCCGTGATTATGCGGAACTATCAACTCCGCCGATATTTCGCTATGGCTTTTCTATCCCGCAAACAATTCTGATCCTAGTCATTTGCATCGTGTACAGTGTCTTCCCCAGCTCCTGGCTGATTTGTCTCTGTGGGCTGGTGTACTTCTTCTTTGGACACATTATATACAAGTATCAGCTTTTGTATGCAATGGATCACCAGCAACACTCGACCGGCAGAGCGTGGCCGATGATATGCAGCCGAGTGTTTCTGGGTCTGGTATTCTTCCAACTCGCTGTGATCGGCTCACTTGCGCTTCGTCGCGCCGTCACCAAGTCCTTGCTTCTCCTCCCTCTCCTCGTGACGACTGTCTGGTTCACCTACTTTTTCGCACGCACCTACGAGCCATTAATGAAATTCATCGCCCTGCGGAGCATCGACCCAGACAACCCTAACAACAACGGCGACTCGGAGAACTCGCTCGGCTCGCCGACCCTCGTCTCCCCTCCCTCCGGCCTCGACCGCGACTCACTTCTTATTCTAATCGGCGGTCGTGAGATAGGCCTACGCTTGAAGAAATACGTGAACCCGAACCTGACCATCCCGCTCGACGGGCCATGGATTCCTAGTACCGATGGCTCGATTATGGTCCGGCCCAGTACATATGATGAGAGTAATAATGGTGCTGTCTAATCTCTCTTGTTGATATGTTCGTGTTTACGTCTGTACATACCGATCCCTCGTTACTTTTACTTTCTTTCTATCGTTGAGATACCACCTGTGCTGTTCTACTGTAATACTGTTATATTGTTGTTATACCTAGTTAAACGAATACACACCGATCTATTCCGCCAAGACTGATTCCTTGCATCATGCAGCCATGTCTTCCTCGCTTCCTCTTCCCTATATTATTATTAAGCAACATTAACCCGACATCAAATTAACTCGATAGTACTGAGGAATGTGAATTGTTTCAACAAGCGAGAAAGTGGCGAGTCGGGATATCCGCATCATCAGTGACAGGCGTTCTCCCTGCTTCTAGACTGATAACTAACTTTTGCGATAATTGGTTACGATAGGACATGTAAGTATATACATTAACTTTGACTGAGAATGTGGCTAGCGAGACATGGCTATCAGCAGCACATGGCATCCGAGCCACGCGTGGAGAAGCAACTAAATATCTACACGTTTCTTTTTCTTTTTTTCTTTTTCGAGATACATGTATGTAGGTGCTACCTATAGTGGCAAGTCCATGTCTCCTCTTGAATGCGACTAGTTCAAACGTTACTTGTTTGTGTGTGTGTGTAGTATGTGCATCGGAGATTTCGCAACACCGCAGTACACATGTAAGGTCGAGTATACAACGCAAGGAGGAAGGGAAAAGAATATCCCGCCGCACGCGACCTGCGGAATGCGCCTGCACGGAGTTTATCCTTACTGAGTAATACTGACCGTACTTGCATGTGAGACATGGAAGAAAGTACATATGTATGGCAGTGGGCTGACATTCCAGCGAGCGTCAGCTATCACTACCAGTGGCGCGGCGACTGTTGACGGTTGTATCCGAGATAGGATTATCATTTCATAATCATAATGATAACGATAATATCGCTAGTACTGTACCGTCCACAAGGATGATAATCGTGGCGTCGCACTACTGCCGGGGATGCATGCATTGTGCATCCAGCCAGTAGTGTACAACCCGGTCTGCAGCCACCTCATTCTTGTAAAAAGTCGGCGACCGCGGCTAAGAAGGCAGGCTGGCTTCGATCGTCTCTAGAAGCCGGAGGAGAAGAGAGGAGAAAGGTGATCTCCAGTGGCGAGATCGAATGAGAAGCGGCCGGTGGGCGGGCGCTGACGTAGCCGGAGCCTGGCACTAAGTAACTACTATATGCTCTAGCCGAACCATGGCTGCGTCTCCTTCCTCTATGGTTCAGCGTGAATCCTTTTCTCTCTCCCTGTTATCCCCTCTCTTCTCCCTATTTTACCATCGTGTCCGCTCTCTCGTCTCCGATATTCTTATATCTCCCATACCACCGTGGTCTCACCGCTATACATACCTGTCGTGTATATATATACCCTGTCCAAGTCGACGGCGAATGCCTAGTTAACAGCTAATGCCAGGCTAAATCCGCCCCGTCGTCCCGCCGCAAGTCACGCGGGCGTCTGATTCTGTCTGATAGTATACCTTCGATACGAGCGAGCAAGCCGTCAACAAAACAGGGGAAGGGGAGAGGAGATCGCAAATGCCAGCGCAGAGCTGGCTGTGTTTCGCGTCTTGCTTGTTTCATCCAGGCTAGATTGGCCGCTTTCTCGCCTACTGTTGCTGGCTCGACTCACCGACTCGCCGACGGAGGCTGCAGTCTAGACCTTCGACACTTGTTTATTGTCTATAATTGTCTATACAGCATATACATACCTACACACACTCATATATATACTGTTATTGATGGACGACATGAATCCGTCGTGGTGGGCCGGCATGCCTCAAAAGCAATTGAGTTGGGACGCCGAGCCCTTCCCAGGGCTTTCGCCAGATTCTCTGACCATGAACAGCCCAGAAACGGTCGCTTTAAACGCGACCGATCACCGTGCCGCCACCCCGGTACACCTCGAGAAGAACGACTACTTTTCCTCCCCCTGCACATCGGAAGACACAGGACTCTCTGAAAATAGCAGTTCGGCCTCTGGTGGCTCGAGCCCTGTCCACTCCGGCAGTGAATCGCCATCCTTTGAGTCCGGGTGGCAGGACCCAGTCGACCAGCTGCCTTCAGCGGCGAATATCGCGCCCCCGGAGATATTATTTCAGATCTTTTCTATGCTTAGCCCGAGAGATTTCGACAATGCTCGACGCACTTGTTCGCAATGGATGCGGGCCAGTTTGCAGCAGAAGCTTTTGGAGAGCATGGTCAAAAGGGCCGGGTGGTGGGATGCATGGCAGCAGGACTGCCAGTCTTATCATCCTGCCAACGGTGTCGAAGAGAGCGTTGTGTGGCGATTAAGCAAGCGTTTCTCAACCGAGTGTGTGCTATCCGGCCGAAAGGCAAATGTCGAGAAGAGCGGCTTTTTATCGACTGGAATGGTCGATTTTGGCCAGTTATCTCGCGAGTCGCTCCCCAAAGAGTCGCCTGGCCTGTCACGCGATATGTTCACTGGCCCAGCACCAAGATTGACTGCTGCGTTTAGAGACCCGGCATTTTCGCGTTCCATCAAGTTCAACGTCAGCGGTTGCGGGCATTATGTTTTGGCAGCGACGGGCTGTATGATATATGTTTACTACCTCGGGAACCGAAGGCGAGGCGACACTCGCCCTCATCGACCATCAGGACGGGAACTGGAGGATATGCTTGGTGACAACGATCTTGACATTTTACCAGTGTCGAGTATCGGATGCCCATACGAAGTGTTATCGGCGACTATTGATACTAGCACGCCGAAGTTTGTCATTGCAGCGTTACTGCGAGGACGGATTGGCATGATCTGTGATATTAAGGGTGTTCCTGTTCATCCATCCAGAGACCGAACATCGTCGCTACTGCGTCAAAACTCCGGCAATGAACAGCTACCTAAAAATGAAGCTGTGGCGTTGAATGAAATCCGCGAGGCGATTGCCTCCAGTGCGGCAATTGAAGAAGTTGCTACGCCAGACGGCCGACCGCCTATGCCGCCGCGTACCGTCTCAAATCGCAGAACTATGAATCGACTGACCCGTACGCCCCGAAAGTACTTCCACGACCTCTGTTCGAAGGAAGATCCCCCGCGAAGCGTGTCAATCTGTCCCGGTCGGAGATGCGTGGCTTTTGGATGTGGTTCCGGTATTGAGTTACACTGGTTTGACGAACGAACCCAAGAAGACTCGAGAAAGCTCTTCCCGCTTTCGCAGCCTGCCGAGGTCTTGCATTTCCTACCAAATCGCATTGAGATTGACGATATTTCGAAGCTCCGACTAGTTTCATCGCTTGCTGGTCCGGGTGCTTCTGGCTGTCAATGCCATCGAGCAGCCAACGGCGAGGACGTCATCTGCCAATTTCATCTAACTTCGAACGCAAACTCTTTCACGCATTGGACTCCTCGGAGGAATGGTCGTTTGAGTCTTGTAAAAGCTACACATTGTCATCACTATCGCGCGATCCCGGTGAATGACGGCCTCCATATCCTTTTCATCGAGCCAGTCTCTGGTCTTCTTTGCATTGGCTCAGATGCGCCGATTGGTGGACCCACAAACTTGACACGGGCTATGATTTGTATTCCTCCATTCGGCAACGACATTAGTTTTAAAGAGGAATGCGTTCCTACTGTTTTTTCTATCGGGTCGGACTTGAATTGGGGACTGCGGGTTGTGGCGGCATATCGAGATCGACTTGTCCTATACACTGTGCCTGTTGACGTGTATAATGTCCTTCGACGGGAACGAGAGCGACAGGGCGATGGCGTGATGGGCGACAGTGATTTGGCTAGGGACTGGTTTCTCGACAGCGAACGTAACTCCAAACGACGCGGCAGTCTCGCGCAGAACCAAAACGGCGACTGGGAGTTTTTGCTGCGAGTGAGCTATCGGCCAACCGCCATGCTCTGGCCGTTGAAGATATATGGCAAAGAGATCGGCCGTATGGAAAAGGTCGTTGAACTCTCAGTTCAGACGTCGAGTGGCGGAGTGCGTGTCTGGGCATTCGGTGCGTCTGGTGAAGCGCGTATCTTCGACATTGATACCCATACCTCGAAGAAACGGCCTGTCGTTGACATTGCTGTTAAATCCATGGGCATCGCATCGGACGGCAGCATTGGCTCGGCGATGTTGGTTGACCGTGCGGAATCGGGCCTGCTTTCACCACTACCAGTCAAAGCCACACGCAAGCGAAAGCAACTGAGCCAACCAGCGCCATTCGACCGGAAGCTGTTGAACATGTGGAAGAACAACAATTCCAACCCCGCCGATGGCGTCAAAAATACCGAAATGCTCCCGTCATCTGTTATAGCATCCCCCTCCCGGCCATCATCCAGCGCTCACGGCCCTGCGAATAGACCTCGCCGTACCTCATTCGCCGCGTGCATTATGGACTTGAAGATCCCTGAACTCAGCCACCGCGACGGCCAGTGGATTAACCATCACGCTGATACAGAACGTGGTTGTTCAACCGTGCCATGCACGCCAGCAAGCGAGTCTGAAAATACCGAATTCCACGACGTTGCGTCGTACGATCCGCAAGAAATTAGAAGATTTTATACAGTCTGGTCGACGTCCTCGGCGAATCCTTCTGGACGATGGCGTTGAATATTAGCGTGTACTGCATGATATATATTCACATGACATAGTCTTCATGATACGATTGATGATGATGATTTTTATGCTTTTAGTTATGTTTCACGAGCGTTGATACAGATGTATAAAACATTTCCACAAATAGCCTGTTTCGACAGTCCAAGCTATTTGTGGCTAGCTGATATACTGTGGATATTCAATTTTATAGATTGTATATAAATACACCATTTACTCAGTATTACGTTAATTGCTATCAGACTGATCTCATCTCTGCTAACGCATGAACCTGTTCCAACCTCTCGACTAACCACGCCTCTCACAAACACTGATGAAATTCGACGTCGGCCCTGCAGCTGTAAGCACTCATGTATTTATGTAGAGGTATACACTCACCACCCAGCCAAAACACATCCTTTCTCGCATCATGCACCACTGACGTCGTCCCCGGCAACACACTACACTCCCTATCCTCCAACACCTTCACCACTTCAAACCCCAACCCTTCACCCCCTTTCCTCCGAACCCGCCACACCGTCGTCGGCACCCCGATCGTCTCCGGCGTCCCCATCGCCTTCAACATCTTCTGCGCCTTCGGAAACCCCGCAGCGAAGATATCCCCCTCCGCATCAACAGAGAGGTTATCAAGCGGCATCCCTAGATATATTTCACCCACTTTTGTGAGCGTGCGGTTAGTGCTTAGCCTGTGTATGGAGACTTCGCCTGTCATCGCGCTGGGCGTGTAGTACAGTCCATCTGCACCCCGTACAATCCCGTTGGGGAAGTTGAATCCTGAGTTGGATGCGATGTGGCATTTGCTGGTCGCGGAGCAATACGCGATGCTCCCGCCGCCGAGGAGGAGATCGAGTTCACGGCGCTGAGAATCATACATATATTAGGCCGAACCTATAATTACATATGTACTTGCTTATAACGAGTACATATGTATATGAGAGCGTGACTTACAAAACCAACTACATTCAACCTAATCAGTACCCTAACCACAAGTCATACACAACAAGAGCCATACGTACCTTTCGCGCTATGATCATTCGTAACTACAAACCCCCCATCGCCCGTACTAGCAGGCCTATTTGGCGTCTGAATAGCCGGATCAGAAATCGTTCGAACAAATCGCAACTCGGTCTCCCCGCGCACGAGGTCGAACACCTCCACGGTCGAATTCGCGCCGTGCTGCCGAGCGTCTACCGGGCTCGAGGAGATGGCGCTCACTGGCCGGTGGTTGATGACGAAGAAACGTAGCCGCCCCTCGTCATTGTCGAGAACCTGCACGTCGAACCCGTGCAGATCGATCTCGCGGCCGCCGGTGGCGCTGGCGTACGGCCCGGTGAGCTGGAGCTCGTGCACGCCGTAGAGCTTCTCAGGGCCCGGCTCGTCGATGTTCAGGACAGAGATGTGATCCGTGAGTCCTCGCCCACTGGTGTTGAGTTTGTCGGCACTGGTATCTGGTTAGTGAGAGACTGTTAGGAGAGATATGGATTGACGCTCACGCGGGATTCCAGTGCTTGCGACTGCTAATCGCCGAACAGGCGGCATACAGTCGGCGGCCGGAATCATCGAGCCATAGATCCTCGCAGCTGTCGAGCAGGGGGTGGTAGATGCGGCGGCAGGAGTATGGGAATTCGTCGATTGATTGTAGGTCTCGGCCGTAGCCGAGAGTTGTGAAGAGGATGTCTTTGACGACGAATTGGAAGAGCACGGCTAGCAGGGCTATGATGCCGCCAGCGAGTTTGAGCGCCATTTTGAAGTATTTATGTTGAATGTTTAAGTATGGATAAGTATGGATATAGGATGATGTTCGGTATGTTGAAACACGTGACTGTGGATATCGCAACAGCTGGAATGTGGATAGGTAGTCTGTCTATCTAAATCGAAGAAGAGACAGATACAGCAGTTCCTGCACTCAGCCCAAATCATAGCCGATGGTTGTTGAAATGATCGATTTATCAATTGATGTCCTATTCAGTTGTAGTGTTGTTGAGCCGAGGCCCGACGCAATAATACCTGTCGGATAGATTGATGCCAGGCGTCCTTCCCCTCATTGACTTTCCTATCTATGCAATGAATCGGCATAGTCGCTTCGCAAGGATAAAACTTGGTCACAGGAGTTACTTTGAGACAGTGGCGACTAACATCAATGGGTATGCTACGGGTACATATGCAGACTAATAGTCTCAAATGTTGTACATAAAATTCGGCGGGCAATGTATTCTATACACAAGATTGCTTTAATAGATACAAAGACAGCTAATATTGAGGTAGCTTTAGCAGACAATTTCTGTCATAGCTCTAGTCAACGATATAGAAATTAAAATCTTTAAGAAGAATACTACATAGAAAAAAGAAACGATGATTGAATATACAATCCATGTCCCAGTTAACGCGCAAATTATGAGAGATTATAAAAAGAGCATGAGTATATAGGTACATCTATACCCATTGACATCTCTAATTATCTCGCTCTCCATAGTTGCAGTCTCTAAGTTACTGACGTAATTACTTCTAAGATCAGCAAGACAATCTACACCTAGAATTCTACAGCATCTTAAGGAACCTCTTCTACTTCATTTATAGACCCATTGTTACCCAAGATTCCAAAGCTTGCGCCGGGAAATGCTGGCACAGATAAAACTTAGAATCAGAGCGAAGAAGGACAACACATTTGTCCATAACGAACTTCATGCAGCCAGAATACTTTCTCACGTTATGAACCGCAAATGATCGCTTCATTGCAACTGAAGTGCAACTTTTGCACCTAAAATGATGGGATAGTATATAGACCCTCGAGTCAGTTTTATTTTGTCTAATGTCTAAGGAAACATAGGACAGGATCTCAGCGAGCCGCTTAAAATCCGCGACCGAGATGTTCCACTGATGAGCCCCTTGCTCTATATGCCCTGCATAGATCATAAACCCTGCGAAAGGAAAAAAATCCGAGTTGAGACAGATCAAAATATAATCCTCAAATTGGGTACATCGTGTAACCAGGACTTTGTGCAGACCGGGAGAACAACGGCAACAGTTGACAGGCTCAACGCCACCGCCGCCGCTATAAACATGTAACTACGAAGAGAATAGGGATTCTCAAGATTACTTGGGGGATCTAGGGCAGCTTCCGTAATGGGACTCTCGCCTGATGGGCTAACTCGGCTGCGTTCCGCACTTTTCCTGAGAGCGGATAGACCAGGCCTGTAACGCTTACCATACGGTCAACAATGAAACTGTATATACTGTATTGTGAGCTCCACGTTGAAAACCAAAACCACAAAAATGCCGAACATTGCCGGTGGCCTTCCCTCGTCCATCCCACTCCCATCCTACCCCCAACAATAATCACGCAGAACTCCTCCAAGGCCAATACAATCGTAAATGTCAGATTCAACCACGGTGAAGCTTCCGACTCGTGCTTACCAGGCATGTGTTCGCTGCCGCCGTCGGAAGGCCCGCTGCATAGTGCCTGAGGCGGCTTCGGGATCCCGCACGGCGTGTCTCCGCTGCACGCGGGAACGAAAGGAATGTGTCTTCACAGCAGAACGCTCTCGAAAACGATCAGCCTATTCCCCTCAGCATCCAAATCAGGCCCGCATTCATATAGCCAATGCGGCGGAGTCCAGTCATTTTGGAGCTGCAGACAGCCATCTGAATGTAGAACAGCCGCCTTGCTCCCAATCATCGCCCACAGCCACTCCTCCCAGGAGCGAGACAAACCGGCGAGAAGCGCCTTCGATATCAAGTCAGCTACAGACTGAATCCCCTGCTACCGAATTATTAGATCGTGTTACGCACACGGTGCTCTACAACCAAACTGATGCTCTGAACTTGCTGTTTGAGGCCGCCGAAGCCCATCACAGCAACGATGGATCTGCCCGACGCATAAGGTCGGAGATCGACGGCTCGGATGCTTATCGCAGCTCGATGTCAGAGCAACAAGGCGGCCTTCTTTCTGCTAGCTCTACTTCTCAGAGAGTATTCCAAACTTTTCCCGTGGCACAACCTTCCGACGCCGCTGTAAGAGCATTTGGTAAGTTGAAGTTTGTTAGGAAAAGGTGGCTCACGGCGCAGGAAGCTATCACATATGTTGAACTGTATGTATTCGGACGGTAGTAACCCGTATTACTTCACTAACCGACTTGGAGATTTTTCAAAAATTTGGGCCCTCTTTCGCCGGCGACCAACAATTTCTACCGCCATCCATCAAATTACCACCTGTTGGTCAAACAAGAGCCTGTCCTGTGTACAGTAATTCTTACTCTTTCCACCCGATATCATGTCTTGGATGTAGAAGGGTGGCTGTCGCGCAGTTATTTCCTTCATAACCGCCTTTGGAGATACAGCCAGTCTCTGTTGCAACAGGTGATTTGGGGCCAGGAGAAAGGGATTAAGAGCGCGACGCGTGGACTAGGCACCATAGAGGGCCTTCTTTTACTGGTCGACTGGCATGCGCGCTCCCTGCATATGCCACCGGATATAGAGGCGTGGGATTCCGACGATGATGAGGCCCAGGATAATGAATCCGACAGACCCTCAAAAAGTAGGTAGAATAATCTTCCTTTGAAAAGGCACTCGAAATGACAAACTATTGCAGTCCCTAGCCGGTGGTTGGAAGGGGTAGTGGAGCCGATGAGACGGTCAGGCAGAATGTCATGGTGAGTGTAACTTTGAACGGACTTTAAAGGACTGTCTGCAAAGAAAGCGAAGCCTAATGCGAGTATTTTCATCAAGGTCTCTTGCCCAGTCCGCTGTCAGCATTGGACAGGAGTTACAAGTTTTCGATGAAGATAAAGATGGCTCAGGATCGGATTCTGCTGGTTGCCCTGGGACCATTGAAGAGTTTACCATTCAAAGACGTCGTCGTATACGGATTCTGCTATACATGTATACCAACCAGCTAGCTTTTAGGATTGGACTTGCACCACTCATTCCCCAATCGCTTCTCTCTATTCCTACCAATTCCTTTAAAAAATCGACTACCGACTACGACCGTGAATGGTTCCAATTGATGTCCCTCTCGGTAGACCTGTCGAGACTAATGAGGACATCGTCAGACCTTCTTTTTTCATCTCAAAGTGCAACCCAGAAATTGGTTTCAAATGGTAGATATCAGCAGATTTTAGAACACTTCAAGCCGATGCTAGACAGCTGGTGGGGAAAGTATGAACAAATACTCGGTACGGGCTTTTTCCCTCTTCGCTGATATATGTAAAATTCATGCTGATGTCGTATTCCTTTCTCAGTCGAAGATCCTCTCAAAGACCTCTTCTTAATAGACTTTTTATATGCTAAAATATACCTGTACTCTTTCTCTTTACAGGCGGTTGCGGAGAAAATTCAGAATTATCAAAGTATACCAGGTCTTCCTGATGTACTTTTATTCGCTGTTCCTGATGTCAATGCAAAGGATTGTGAGTTCATCCAGTATGTCATTGATAGCGCAAAAGAGGTTTTGCGTATAATCATAGGGTTTGCGCCGATGGGAAGATTAAAATTTCTCCCTGTCCGCGTATATATTCGTGTTATCTCTACATGCATTTTCCTACTAAAGGTATGTCATAATCTCCTCTAAAATTCATAGAAAAGGTACTCTGAGACTTAGACAAATTGGGACCACCAGGCACTTGCGCTTGGCGTCCCTCTAGATGAACTGAACGCCTCGCTTGACCTGATCGACCAGAGTGCGCGAGTTCTCCGTTTACACAGTGTTGATGATGTTCATCTTGCCGGGGTTTTTGCATCTCTCCTAGAGACTTATACCCAAGGCTTTAGAGAGAGATTTATTATCATTCCTCAAGTGTCCAGATCAGATGGGTCTATACTTGGAAGTAGTAACTCTAATCCGCAAGCTGCCTCACTAGGGGTTGGCTTTTTTTCTAATTTGGAAGAGTCGGGCCGCAATCATGGTGAAGATGCTCCAATGCAGCCAGATACCTCCCTCGAAATCGACCAGAGCTGGCTGGCACACCCATTTGATCCATCAATTGCGCCATTTGGCGTTGGTTTCACCCAGCCGATTTGTGGTTTCGATAACGAGCTAAATTTTGTATGGAATGCCGGTCAATGAAACCTGTCAGGCTATTTATAACTTGCAAGCTATTAATCCCAATTTCGATCGGGCAATCTAGTCATCTACATAGGATCCTGCTCCTCTACTCCCTTCCTTCTCGTACAACCATCTATTTCTTCACTTCACCTTTGTATTTTAATGTATCAGTGTTAGGTATTCTAACAATGCATGATCGATACTCCCAGTCAGACGGACCTCAGTCGTACCACGCGATCTCAGGTATAGGCCTCGCCACGGCCGCGGGTCTACCCAACTGGGCCACCCATTACCCATTTCTTGGCGGGCAATGAGTAGAGAAGTCCAATCCACGTTGGGTTGTGGTAAGCTGGAGAATATTCATGGATATTTAGATAAGATCTATAGATAGAACAAACAGTATAGATAGGTAAATTTTATGAAGTGTATGAATTATATAATCAAGTTATACTTTCATGAAAATTGATTACCTCATTGAGAAGATGAATCTCGAATGATGTAGACCATGAGGATATGCCATTTCGAAATGAAAATGATTTTATGTGGACAAAGAAAAGTTGGAACTAACTTAAGTGAGATTTTACTGTATTAGAGGATATAAGTATTAAGTTGACCTCTCTAAATGGGATATAGGGAATCATCTAATTAAAGCAATCTGTAACACCACGTAAATACAGGTCTCTTGGTAACCAAGTGAGACATTATAAATATCTAGATAGACATGAGGGTCTAGAGATTAGATAGGCTGAGCTTGACTCAAGCTTTACTGATGAGGCTAGGTGACCATCTAGATTATTGATATCACTTTTATGCTGATGAAGATGGAAGTTTTGCTTATTTTCTTATTTGTGAATAAAGGTCACTGGAGATCAAATTTTGAGGTTTTTTTGATAGACTCCATGTATAAGCAATCAATATATATTTTTGTGGGATTAAGGTTTTTGGATGCAGAAGATATTAAGGCTTTCAATAGTCTTTTGGAGCAGCTACGTGACCTGAATAATAAGATGGGTTTAAAACATTCTATCATACTCTGAAAATGAATTTCATTGTCCATTAGCACGGATCGTTCACTTGTTAATGTTGTAAGTCAGAGAAAGGATGATTGTCATTCTATATCCTGAGGAAACTTGAGGTTTTATATACACAGCAGAAAGATTAGATTGACTTCCAATAAATCTGGTATTCAACGGAATAAATTGCATCAATGTCGCTTTTTATATCTACTTGATCAAGTCTTGGTTTTCAACACTACTACTTCTAAATGTGCCTTTCGGTACATGCCCACTGCCTCGGGCAAGAACGCATCTAAGCCATCCTCTAGGCTGTCACAATAGAATCAATGCAAGGTAGCCAAACGCTCCAAGGCGATAGTTTATCGTTACGATGACGACATCTCCTCTCGAAGCAAGATTTCCTCCATCATATTCTGACAGTGACCCTGCGCCTACGAGAAACGCGCCACCATGTATGTAGAACATGACAGACTTTAATTGAGCACCCGGCAGTTCAATGTTGGTCTTAGGGATAAAAGTAGTGAAGATGTTGAGGAACAACCAGGCTTCCGTACCCCCAAGATTATATTTTTGGGTGCAGTCTGAACCGTAAGCAATTGCTGATTAGCTCCCCAGTTTATCAAACATCTGAGAATAGGTAATCGCTCCTGCTGCTCTGCATAACGAACACCTAAGAAGTGAAATCCGATACGATTACGGTAGCCAGTAATTACCTGCTTACCAGTTTGTATTTCAGAGAGAAAAGCCTGTGAGCAGCAATGTCAAACCTTGCGGAATATACAGCATGGTAAATTTTTGATTGAAAACTAATTAGGCAGTAAAGCAAATTAGTCGTTTGTTGATGTCCAATTTGACAGGCTGTCTAGGTATTTATAATATCCCATAAACATTAGTTAATGTTAACTTTGATTTAGTTTATAAGCTTTATTATCATAACGACGACGGTTGATTTGATGTCGTCCAATTGGCACTTAGAGAGTCTCCTTAGTTGTTATTGCACCCGCTCCACCTTCCTCTTATATGTAGAGATGTGGCTAGCTCCATAGTTTGTTTATACCTACAGGATGTGTAATATGGCACAGGCCACGCATTTCTACCTTAATTTAGCAGTCCACACGACGTACCTCCTTGGATACAAACCGCTAAGGCGGGAGTGCAAGATGGCGTAGTTTGAGTTGAAATTGAAACAGGGCATCCTCTGGAGCTCATGTAGAGAGCAGCTGCAGTGACTTCATAAGCTCGCTATCCGCGTCAATCCGTTCTTGTTAAGGGGGTAGTCTAGATTTACTCTATAATGGAGACTATAGCCGTTTCGTTCAACTTTTCCGGAAAGGTCAAATCCGTCCTTTTCCTGACTTTGCCGACCACCGAGGGCAACCACGGATCATCCATCCTAGCTGTCGAGAGGTTCTACCGATCTAGGATCAAAGAATTTTTAGATATGATCCGTAATAAATCCTCCTCTCATAGCCCATATGCATCAGAATACTCTGTACACAGTGCGGGTCGCGGGTCTTCAAAACCTTTTGTCTATCAACACAATCATCCAGCAAAACTGATAGATTGGGATTCCCGCAAATGATTCATAATTTATTATGATGACTTCCAAGTGCGATGGATGGTCCTATTTAATTAGGTTTATCAATGGCAATGATAACCGCACCTACTTTGGAGACGCCATTTTGCCTGCTGGTGCCTCCGGCCTGGAAGATACCGCTGAGCCACTGTCCCTGGAAGCTCGTATAATTACGGGGAATCCGTTGTCAACAGAGTATGAAATATCCAACGAGCGAGTTCCTGTCAAAAAACTCTTAGGACCACTTGTCCGAGAGATTGTTCCAGATATCCGATGTATCGGTGGAAACTATAAGAGTCATCGTAAATCCCAATCCCCTGTACCCCTGGCCGAAGAGACGAAGAAATTTTAGACGCTAACACGTTTCATTCGTTTGTTCTTTCTATTTGAAATAGTCAAGGAACTAGGAGTTAAGCCTCCAAAATATCCAACGATGTTCCCAAAGCTCAACAACGCCCTTGCCGATCATGGAGATGTCACAGAGATTCCTAGAATTGCGCAGGATCAGCAAGCAGATTACGAAGGAGAGCTAGTCGTTGTTATCGGTAAAGATGCCAAGAACGTGTCTGAAGCTGATGCCTTGGATTATGTTCTTGGTTATTCAATTGCAAACGATGTATCTGCAAGGTACGGACGGGATGTCATTTTCGGGGACAATGGCAGGAGAATAATTAACAGCAGCTAGAAAATGGCAAATGGATCCAGATTTGGTAGGAACAAGCCCACCGCCACAGATGAGTTTCTCGAAAAGTTTTGATGGATTTTGTCCTGTCGGCCCATGTGTTGTATCTTCCAAGGTTAGCTACAATTTCTTAATTAAGCATGATATGAGGGAAATATCGGACTAAAACCATTCTAATTTCCTCCTTAGATCATCCGCGATGGTCTTGATTTGGCCCTATCAACAAAAGTGAATGGCGAGCTGCGTCAGAAAGGGACTACTTCGGATTTGCTCTTCAATGTGGCTCAAATTATCGCTTTTTGTAGTCAAGGAAGTTCTTTATTTGCTGGGAGTATCCTTTTAACGGGAACTCCATCGGGAGTTGGAATGGCTATGAAGCCGCCTCGATTCTTGCAAGACGGAGACGTGGTTGAGATCAGCATAGAAAAAATTGGCACCTTGCGCCATTCGATTAAATATGTTTGAATGTGCTGCGGCTTTGGAAAAGGAAAGTTCCGAAGCAAACTTTGAAATGCCCCGAGTAAAACTCTCACAACAGCATCTGGCATGATTCTAGACCTAGTATTCAGCATAGGGACAAGAATCGAAGATAAGAAAAGAAACATGCAATTTCATATATTGAGCTTCAAAAACATACACATAATCGCGGATTTGCCCAAGAGCAATCATGTCGTCTTGTTTCTCGAGTAGCTCACAAAACATTCTAGTAGTTAGCGTAGGGTCATCAGGTAGCAAAGCCCTTTTTTTGCGTACCTAAGGACCAAAATCGACTGGTCAGTGTACAGGTACGATACAGACTAGGTAAATTGTCTAATTACAAATTTTTTAAAATCTTTTGAATTTTATATCATACCCGACACACCTCAATACAACGTAACAAGATACAGGAATATTATCTTGGATTTGCAAGGTAATTTTTACCCCAAAACCAGTGATATTATATACATATTCATAGAACATAAATTAAAAAATAGAGCATAATAGAAGCGATAGATAATATTTTGCATTTATATAAGATTAGTCAACAGACATTTAGTATTTGATAAGCTAAGAAATTATTAAATTAATACATTTATTTCCTTAGCTTCCTGTTCCTTCCCCCTCTTACGTAGTCAATTTACTAAGTTCATATGCCAGAGTCTCCCTCAACAACTTTGTCCGTTGAAAATGCATTCCATGATTCGCATGTGCCTGTCAAACTGTCTTCGTCGATTAGATCTCGAATGATGTGGTATCGTTCCACGAACTGTAATGCGAATCCTTGGGACTGGTGCCAACCAATGTGGCAATGCATTAACCAAACATCGGATTATCGGCTTGAAATGTTAAGAGTAGATAGCCAGCTGTGGGTAGCGTTGCCGTATCTCTTCTGAGTGGGTTGATCAACGTAGTGTAAGAAGAAGCAGTGTAGTTCCCTGTCCCCTGTGCAAGGATAGAGAAGTCATGCTCGTGTAAGTGAATTGGGTGCGGTGTGGGGATAGAGGACTCGATAAGGACGTACACCCATTCGTCCACTTCTGAAAGCTGGATTATCCGAATCAAAAAACGAACTCTCGTTATTGTATATTTGAAGTAAGTTCGGGTTGTCCCATTTCACCTGCATTGTAAACCCATCGAGGTACAATCTCAATAGATACTCACATTTATTCGCCATTGCAATGACACCTTGTAGGTATATTCAAAAGGAGGGATCTTGGACACAACTGGTTGAAGATTGGATGAATCTTCATCTCACAATTATCAACATACGTGTATCCAGTTGTATTTGGTATGCCTGGTGAATCACCGTAGTAGACAATACTGCGGATGTTATCCGCGCTGTCGTTCTCTGAACATGCTGCCTGTGGAATAGCCCTTAACCAAAAGTTATCTACTCCAAATGATTTATCCGCCGTGATAATAACGTCATATCGTTGACCTGGTTATGGACATATCATGTACATAAGCTGAATGTTCTCACGTTGTGATTATCCACAGAGAGACTCACCTATGTCAATGCTAAGGATCGTTGTAGAATGCGGCTGGATCGGAACCAACTCGTTTGCAATTATGGTGAGTGCATTATTATCCACAGGAAAATTGAAACTAATCTCAATAGCTGCGTTGATTACGCGCAGGGAGATAGGATGTCCCAAGCGTCAATGAAATATCAAAGCGAAACCGCGTCTGGGCTGTAGATCCATCAGCACAATAGACGTTTGTGACATTGATTAAACCATTTTCTTGGCTCAGAGGGCGAAGTCTGATGAGTCCAGTCGTTGGGGAACAGAATACCCTCATCTTCACCGTATTTTGTGCTGGCAGGGCCATTGATAACGATACCCCCAACGACTCCCTCCCAAACCTGTAAGCCGAAATGAGAGTGATACCATGAGCTTCCGTACTGTATAGCTTTCTATGTGTACGTCTTAGTTGATCCAGGGGGACGGGACACTGGGTAATGGGTATTACTCTATCCATCATATTGGTGTAGTTTTGTCGAATAACATGGAAAGAAAAGCTTGTACCATTAGTGGAAGACTGTAAGGCATTAGTGACATGAACCATGACTGTATCTCCCCAGTCTGCAACCATTGTGGAGCCGTTAATGACAGGCCATGGATACCCATCTGGAGCAACAGTTACGTCGGTGATCTCGAAATGATATTCTCGAATTATTCCTGTATCTAGACCGGTTATAGTGTGGTCAGTATCAATGTTGTATTCACACTAGGTCCTCCTATCACTGGCCGTATTCCCGGGAAATGATGCAGCGGCAACACCGTGGGTGAATGCCAATACTGAGAAATGGAATAGTAGTTTCATGTTTCACGTGTAGTATTGAAATTGCTGACAGAAAAGAGCAAAAATGAATAAAAGGCACTAGATCGCAGAGACAGAAATAATCATTGTAATTAATCTTCATCTCTTACTTTGTACATGAGACTCCATGCTCAATATATTGAAGCCACAACAAATTCTACCTTAAACCAAACCGTTTCTAGCTTCTAGTACCCTGAGCCTAGCAAGCTCAACTGAAACATTTAGGCAACCTACTTTAATCCCCAAGTACAGGCCTTAGCAATAGAGGGAGGCTAGATTATGCACCTTCACGTACAAAATATCCGCATCATTCATTTCACAAAGTTAAACATCTAATTATACATTTATACCAATGAACTACGTAATATCCCTTGGAAATGCTGTTGAGAAGAGGTTGAAAGTGTCTCTCATACACAGCAACCGCAGTAACTCGATTTTCTCTAACGAGGCACAATAGCTACTAAATTTAGCAGTGTCTCTTATGTTGCGGAAAATCGTGGAAATTCCGCAAATTTCCGGCATTCCACTAGTGAAATTTCGGTTGAAAAGAAAAAATATTTATAATAATAATTATGATGATGATAATGGGCTGTGGCCATCAGCAAATGTCAAAATATGGTCGTTATTTATTCCAATCGTTAACTGTGATCCGTTAATTAGTTTTTGCTCAGCGGCCGAAACAAGCCGGTAAGGGTTCTAGAGCCCAGGGTGAGAGGTTCAGAGGCACCGGAGATTCAAGGCAAGCCACGGATATTAAGCGGACCTAAATAGACCTTGTGTGATTTAATAACCCAGGGATCTAAATGATTCAATATCACAACGTGCACTGACTGGTAAATTGGGTATATCCTCCCTCCCCCATAATTTAAAACAGTCGGGAAGATAGCCTGGTATTCTTCATTTTCTCATCAGACTCCATACAGTAGATTAAGCGTTGATGGATCAGCTACCTTGCCATTTCCGTATACTTAGTTATGTCCTCACAAGAGCTCTTAGAATTTCGCCGGAAGGTTCAAGGCACATGGCAATTGCTAAGTTATCGCGCTGAACCACTGAACAATGACGATCCTATCTATCCGTTCACGAAGGATGCTCAAGGCATCGTGATATATTCGTCTGATGGTTACATGTCTGCGCAACTGATGGCGCCAAGGCGAGTGCCATTCCATACACCAGATCGTCTATGTGGTACCGAAACCGAGCTTGCCGATGCTATGAGATCCTACATGGCGTACTCTGGGAAATTCGAAGTGTATCTAGACTCTGATGGACGCCCCTGTCTTCTTCATACTATGCAGGTGTCATCCTTTCCAAATTGGATAGGTGATACTCAGGAACGTTCGGCACACATTACTGAAGACATTTTAACTTTAAGTCCAATCCAGCCTGTGGGTCTTGCGGTATGTCTTTACTGTATTTCAACATTATTAAGGGCACTCGGAGGTCAACTAATAATTCCTCTAGGGAAAGCTTGTACGGCCTGTCCTGCGACTCAAAAAGATTACGTAAGACGTCTGAAATGTGGAGAGATTTCGAGAATCTGTATAATCTAAAGAATTAGAACTTAAATATTCTACCGGGAATGGTTCTCAAGTTTTAACAAGGGTGCATAGGAAGGAACTAAGGAGGTCAGTGAGGCTAGATGACATGTATCGACGTTAGGACAGACCTATACGTCTAGTATTACGAGATCATTGGGAATCTAGGATTTAGGATTTGAATATTATTCCTAATTTATTCCTATCAGTCAAGTTAATTGTATAACAGACATTTTCATACGAAAATCCGGCATAATCTTGTGATTTCAAATACGATCAAATTTACCTCTCATTTTCCTCCGAGTTCGTATACAGTATAGACCTTTAGTGGCTAGCATTCCCTTAATTAGATTTTCACATAAATACTAAATATGAAATTAACAAATGTATTCCGGTAATATTTTTAACATTAATTAATGGTCTGAAACTCTTATAAGAGAAGGGAACTTTGACCACCGTTTGATGTGTAATGACTTGACCAGAGATAGTTGTTTTAGTTGGCGGTCTTATGGAGGATTATAACGTTATTTCTGAAATGTAAAACGTATTTGAGCGAAGTGTAGACTACTCCGCAAAACTAACACCATGAATTAGCGTTCCAATCTTCGAGATTGTAATCTCGATCTTGTCCCCTGGCTTCAAATATTGAGGCGGCTTCATCCGTGAGCCTACTCCTGCAGGTGTTCCCGTTAAAATAACACTCCCCTTTTGTAGGGTTGTTCCCTGGCTAAGGAATGCAATTAAACGCGGTATAGTAAAGATGAAATGCGAGGTTGAGCTGCTTTGCCGAATCTCTCCGTTTACCTTGGTCGTCAGGGTGAGATCATGGGGATTTTTCAAACACTATATATGATACGTAGCCAATTAGTAACTGAAAGATTCATCGTGGGAATTCTGAACTCACCTGGCTGGATACAATGCAGGGCCCTATCGGACAAAATCCGTCAAAGCTTTTTGAGAAGCTCGCCTGTGGAGGAGATGATATTCCCCATATCTTAGGATCGTTTTGCCATTTTCTACAGCAAATTAGCCAAGAAAATAAGGAAATTACTAGATAACAGAAGTGTACCTTGCTGATACATCGTCTGCAACTGCATATCCTAAGACATAAGTCATTGCTGTGTCTTCTGTCGCATTTTTACAGTCATGACTGATGACTACCACTAGTTCTCCCTCATAATCAGCTTGATTATCTTGGGCAATTTTGGGTATCTCCACAATGGAACCATGGCCGGCAATGGTGTTCGGTGTTTTCGGGAACATGGCTGGATGTTTTACGGGTGCAACACTGACTTCACTGGCTGACTTTTAATTAGAATAGCTCATTTATTTTCTCTAATTACTATAAAAATACTAACCGTGGTCGGCGTAGTTTAAGCCAATGCATCTGATAGCAGGCACCGTGTCTGGTGTCAGAGGACCAAGAAGCTGTTTCACCTTGACGATCGAGTCTTCTCGAACCTTGCAGTCTCGATCGAATGGGTTCCCATGAATGAGTCTGGCCTTTAGCTCTACTCCAGAACCATCTTCGGCACCGATACTATAGTCATCGGCAGGGAGAATTGCGTCGCCGAAGTACACACAGTCATCGTGTTCACTTACGAACCGGATCAGGTGAGTCCATGGTACAGTATGAGACATGTTTAAAGCGACAATTGCTGTTCGTCTCAAAGATAACATTTACATTCAATGCCTTCTTCGTGAATCGTTCTCTGGCTAAATAAAAGAAGGCGGTTTAATACCATTTAGTTCGAATTAAAGCCTAGACGATATTAGTAAGTAATCATGATTTTCAATAACTAGTTCCATATTTTTCATACCGTCTATTTCCGTTGAATGCCGGGAGACAGCCAAATCCGTCCCGGATATTTAAATTATTCACGAGGCGTGAAAATATTGAAAGCAAGCTGCGTAAAGTCCGTTTTCATTGCTTATACATATATTCCTAGGAACTTAAGATGTGAAAACATATGTGGAATAAACTTACGCCGTACGGGTCAACTTCATTTTAATAAGTACTATTTATTGCTCGTGTGCGTGGTATGCTTCCAAAACCATTTTCCATGACGGTCTTGCCGTGAAACGTAACCACCAGTCATTTAGATGTGATCGTGAAGTTATCAACTCAGTCTCCCCTGCACGGATCAGGCCACTTATAGTAGGTGCATAAAAGATATCAACAAGGGAGAAAGTTTGACCTGCCAAATACTGTTGCTTGCTGAGGATGTCATCCAATATGTCCAATTTCATCTGTAACACCTCGAGAGCCGCCGTTACGGCAAATTCGTCGGTTTTTTTCCCTCTCAGTCTAAGAAGAATGGATACATGTCAGTTTGATCAAAGCTCGGCAAACCCTTGTTTAATTTTAAGTTGTAAAAACTTACGGAAATACATATTTTTGCAAGTAAATTGTGGTAGCAGGAGGATCAAAATGTGATAGTTCCACAGATGCCCACTGTTCAAACAATGCCCAGGCCTTGAGATCTTCCCAAGGAGGGACTAGTGGTGTCCCAATATTGGCGTATTTAATAGCCAAGTAACGTGCAATGGCTCGGGATTCTATTGTAATTAATTTATGAATTCAAAACCTGATCGTTTGTCGATAGTCCATGAACAAAGAGAGATACCAACCAAAAATGACATATTCTCCATCCTCCAAAATGGGAACCGTACCAAAGGGATTTTTATTGAGGAGCGGAGGTGTCTATACGTGTTTTGCGACGGTTAACATTGATCATATGCTGACGGCCGTGAATTTGCCACATAAGAAAGACTGCTTCACACCTTGAGTTCTCCATTTGCCATGTCTGGCTGGTAGAAACTGAACTCAATTTTTTTCTCCGCAAAGACGAGGAGGATCCGTGTTGTGCATGTTGACTTTGCAAGACCAATCAACCTCAACGATTCCTTATTTGCGGGCATTTTGTTGGGCTAACTTTAATTTGATCAACGAGAGGAACGAACCGTGGTTTGGAACCCCATATATCTGGATGAATATATTAATCTAAAATGGGTATAACGATTATATTTAAAAGGTGCGGCATCTAACGGATGTTTTGGATAGGTGCGGCAGTTTCAGGCCCGAAAATCACTTGGCGAGCAGCCGCCTAATGCCTCAGTCATAAAGAGATCTAGACTTGTGTGTCTGAATAATCATAGCCATCTTCTCCTGGCCCCAGGACGGGGGAGATGATGGAGGGGAGAGAGGGAAGACTGACTCAGCTAGCCCATTGACCTTGAGAGTATATGAAGTAAGGTAGTGCTCTTGCTGGGAATAGTCCTACAGCTGCATATATGCGGTTACTATTTAATCCCTTTCTCGTTGAAATTCTATAACCTTATTCTTTTACGTCGTCATCATGGCTTTCGAGAAGGAAACCGTCCAAAGCAACGTAGAGTCTGTGCCAATTCTCAGTCCCGTTAAGTTGGCGCATGTCGTCTTCCGCTCAACCCGGTTGCAGGAGATGGTCCAATTTTATCAGAAATTACTGGGAGCGCATGTTGCGTTCCAGAACAATATGGCTGCTTTTCTAGCCTATGATGATGAGCATCACCGGATTGGTATTCTCGCCGTGCCAGAAGGGTTATTTGCGAATCAGCCGTCCATTGTACCAACCATTGATCATGTTGCTTTTACGTACAACAACTTAGATGACTTAGCAATCAGCTACGAGCAACGAAAAGCAGCCGGTCTTAAACCAGTATGGTGTGTCAATCATGGCTCTACTACTAGTATGTACTATGACGACCCGGATGGGAACAAGGTGGAGATGCAGGTGGACAATTTCGAAACAATGGAAGAGGCATTTGCATTTACCAATTCGGAGGCTTTTCACATTAATCCAATAGGAACAGACTTTGATCCTGATGAGTTTGTTCAACGAGTTAGATCCGGTGAGGATCATCGCCTCATCAAGAAGCGCGTTGAAATTGGACCAAGGAAGTTTCCAGGAGTTTCCTGAATTCGGGAAATTATCACGATATTGAAGCGATATTGAAGACTTTAGGTTACCTAGAGGGCCATTATATATAACTTCACCTGACTCCATTTTCTACATATGTCATTTAACTTTAACGCGTTCTACCCGGCATGAGGTTGTGGCATATCTATCACAATTGTCTTTGTATACGTTATTGCCCCGTGCTTCATCTCGTTTGACTTTGATCAGAATGATTTACTGCCTACTGAGTCATCAACAATTCCATACCATGCCGTAGGGGTAAGACCAGACACATAACTGACAACGCCTATAAAGCCGTTAACTCCAGTAGAACGATCATTGTGTTAATTTCCCACTGGAAATTTACCAGTTTGACTACATTACGAGCTGAGTTAATTGAAGGGGAAAAAGGATTCAAATGGTGTACTTTTCCGCCGTCACTAGCGGAATCAACGGACTAGAAGAACTGAGCGGAATCATGACCTCAGAAGATCGCCTCATTTTAAATCCCAAGATCTGGGGGTTTCTGGGTATGTTCTGGGTGGATTCCCATGTAATTATCACAGGCGGCCTCTATGAAATATCTACCACGATTATATCCGCAGTACTATATGTTCTCCGTAGTATGTAGAACTCTTGTGTGAAGAGCAGACCAATGACTATTTCAACTCGGCTTCGGTTATCACCTAGTCTTTCTCTTACTCGCTCAAATACCCCATCTGTCTATATGTGAGAGAGATATAAAATTAAATGTAAATTACATATATATATTATGTTGAAACAGGATTAACGAGAGAACAGTAGAATTGTTGCGTGCCCTTCCCGGCTTCCTTGGGGGTTTATGCTTTCTTGTACAGGTTCTTGATCTTATTTGATTATAGTTGCCCAATCAAATCACAAAGGAAGTCAAAATTCCCCTTATATCCAATAATATTTTGACTTGAATGCATTCCTGCCGCGAAATTTGTATTCGCGTTGTTACATAGTTGATGACAACTGCTTCAGTCATCAGGTTCCTTTGTCGAAACACGCTGCTCTCTTAGATTATTCAGACCTAATTTCTTGGATTGATCCGACCTATTATAGATTAACTTGCTCGGCGATGATGCTTCAGGATCACTCCTCATTTGGTCTTTCAAGAACTTAACAAATCTTGGCAGTAGCGGAAACAAACTCGCAATCATGATGCTAGCAATTTCAGCGACCCTAAAAATGGATTTTCAGAGTTATTATCACGACCCGTAGAATGATTTGCAACAAAAAAGTGAGGTGACAAGAAGACTTACGCTCAGAGCCCGACTGGAAATATTGTCTAGGAGAAATCGTCAGTGAGAGTTAATTCTTACTCCGTATACTAGTCTGAAGAGGCTTGATATGCAGGTCCTAATTGAAAATGGTCAGTCTCAACGTCATTCAATGCACAATTACTGGTATTTTATATCACAGGACGACGGTTGTGAAAAAAGAAATGACCCAAAAACATATACTTTATTACTTGTGATAGAAAGGCACAGTTCATATCAGTCGAAGGTCCGCGAGGGAATGCACTTGAGGTGTGTTCATTCATTGGAAGAATCTTGAGGGAAACTCCCACAAAGCAACTGGTAATGGAAATAAGACAACGTTGAAGGTACGCAATCACATGGAAGCTGAGAAGAGAGGCGTCTGAACAACAAGATATTAAACAACCTGCGGAATATTCTTTGTTTAAGAAGATTTATTTTACTTGATCGATATGGCCATAGGTATCTTTGCGTGCATCTTAATCGATTTTATAACTCAAAGTGGCATATGAAGGATTAAATATATCAACCCAGGTTTACTAATGCAAATACACATGTTTACTCTGCTGTAAAGATGGGATACATATATAGACTACCTTAACAGAGAAAATTGATATAAACATCACTCCAATTCCACGGACACAATCACTGTAATTTTTAATGAACTTGATAACTTAACTCACTTTATAACTGTGTGACTGAATGAGATTGTATTAAGGTTGAAATAATTTAAGGCAGAGATATTTTGATAGAACAATAATATAAATTGCATTGAACAACACAATGAAGCCCAAGATAGTAATATCACAAGTGCAAGCCCATTCAGGCCCAAATTAAGCTAGGAATAATGCCCTTAGGGGTTATGAGAAAAATATTAAGATAATTCATCACAAGTAGTGCTGTATGACATAACGAAGGCGTCATACTACCAGTCTTCAAGTTTCACAATGAAATGGTTAAAGGCACTAGAAAAGATGCATAATAATTCAATTGTGCAGGTTATACTGATATCTCAGTAGGAGAATATTATAATAGGAAGGAGAGTAAAAGATTAATCAAACAATCAATAGGGTTCTCTTGGATATCTTGACATGGGTTATATAAGGTAAAATACTATAAATGATAATTCAGCAGAATCAACTGCATCATAGCCTGCAAAAAATATGTTTTATCAGTCTTGTAGATTCATCATTAAAGGTAAAACTATCTCACTGTAAGTAATCATACATTAGAGGGTAATTAGCACATTAACCTGTTGATAGGCGTGTCTAGATTGAAGTTATAAAGGGTGAAAATTGTAATATCCAAAAAAAGGGAGTTTAAATTCTCCGATGAAGATATATGGGACTGGATAAAATGAGCTATAAATAGCTTTTTAAGAGTATTTTTAGATAAGAGGGCTAGGTTATATTAGAGAATAAAATTGAGTGGTGTATTGGGGTCCTATCATGGTGATTTTCTGATAGAATCATCGTATTGAAAAAAATGGTCCTAGTTATTGGTCTAGAACAAAAGTGTTCTGAATAATGATATTGAGAATAGGTAGGGTAGGAAGTGTGAGATCGCACTATATATCCGGTTAAAATGAGGTAATCATGTTCTTAGAACTATCAAGTTACGAACCCTTATTCTGCGTTGCCGGCAGCTTCTGCAGGCTCTGGTTCGACCAGAAACGCCAGTCATATCTCAGGTGGAACATGACAATGACTGTCAGTGAAAGATGACGAGTATGAGGAGATTCATCGTCAATGGCAGCCTAGGCACTATACTATATATAGTTAGAAATGCGGGCTTTTAAGTAGTTAGACCCTCACGTTCGAATCAGTCTGGGGAAGTGGAGGCCGGCAGTGAGTTCGGGAAGTAGAGTTGGAATTAATTTCAGCTGTTGCATCATCATTCTATTACCTACTATTACCAGTGAGATTAACGCTTTGTATTGTTGTATGGTAACAAATACTAATCGATACAGTTCATGCTACTATCCAATTGTCAAATAATAATGACACCAAGCTCCAGAAGTACAAGGCAGAAAGCGAATGAAATATATATTCGTTAAGCCTTGAGATTTCAATACTTTAAAGAAAGTGAACACAATTAAATGTTCTAGAACTAACTAGTGTGACAGCTAGATCTGGGTATCAAAATTAATTAGAGCATTCTTAGTTCTCACTCAATTGAAAATTCAAATCAACTATACATCGTTCAAGCTTAAACTAAATTCGATCTGATATTGCAGCCATTGGCAGTTTTGTCCAAAATATGACAGGTAACTCAATCCGTCGGGAAGATCAATAATACGAACGAAGAGTTTTCACCCCGGGTATCACCGTTCTAGAGCACTAAAATGATGCCCGACGAGGTACAATCACGAACTGTAGAAGAATGACAGGAACAGAAACCAAAATGATTATTCCAGCCATTAAACCAGCGGACCCACGAAGGCCGCACGAGTCAAACATATATGGGAACCAAAATGGACCGGTCTGATCATATTAGTTCTGGAACTTTTAAGCAGTATGTCAAGTGAAACTAACAAAGCCCCAAGTACATCGAACAACGTTAATTGCGACTCCCAAAGCAGACGCGTTGTTTTCTTGATAACAATCGGTGGTATCTATGAGATTTGTCAACAATGCTTCTTGCATGAATCTAAGATTGAGCATCCTGACATGTGATGGCGATGGTAGTGACGATCTGGGCTCCAAAACCAGCCACTGCAGTACCGACAATCGGTCGGATACTCCAATGTAAAGGTTCGGCCTCTGCTAGAGTAACGCAGAAGATGACTATGCCAGCAGTAGACAGTGCAAATCCTGGGTAAATCAACCACAGCCGATGCTCTGGAGTGGTATGACTGGCTGCCTTTTTGAACGACTTGTTCTGCCACAGATCGCTGCTGGGACCTGAAACAATTTCTCCTAAGCAGCAACTATGCAACGTGTGAAGAAAATCAGAAAGAAGCCTCTCGTTATTCAAAACACAACCGGCAACATCACATGACATACCCGATAAGAAGACCCAAGAAGTTAATTCCCGTTTCCTGCGCATTGAGATGAAAGAGGAGTCCAAAACGAGAAGCAATTTCAACCGGTATCAACACTAGAGTAAAATTGAAGACTATTGCATATGCGACGGTCGGTATTAGCACCCTTAAATCACCAAGAACTCGAAAGGGGAGAAGAAGCTCTTCTTTCGTCAGAGGATCAGCGTTAATCCTGCCAAACTTGAAGTGCTGCCTTAAAAATCCAGGTTGGTTTTCAGTCCTAGGATGATTTCTGTTATACAATGTCTCAGTACCGAAAAAAAGGCAGCCAAAGAACTGAGCAAAATTGATCTATAGGGAGATTAGTCCAAACAGATAGAATAAACAAAGGCAGCATCATTTATTTGGCTTACGATGGCCATGAGCCAGAACATCCATTCCCAACTGAGATGCTGGATAACAAAACCCATTATAAAGGGGCCCACTGGTGGCCTATATTAACGTCAGGCATGGCATAGAGATTGAAAACGACTCCATCCTTACCCCAGTGTCAACATAAGTCTTCAATTTAGACCAGTTAGTATGTAGAGGCTCAACCTGTCGAAAGTTGTAGTGTTACTTACGTCCAAACACCCTAGTTCTACGTTAGTACTTTCGACAGACACAAATCTGCCAAGGAGAACGATTACCATTGCACGTCCCCGTTGATGTGTAAAGAACATCTCAGCCACCACCGCTTGGCCCATCGCTATGCCCGGGGAAATGAAGAAAGCTTGAAAAACCCGAAGTGTCATGAGAGCCCCATAACTCTGTGCTAACGCGCATCCAATGTTGAATAAACCGCTTCCAAATCCGGAAATTAGCCAGACCGGCCGTCGGCCATATCGACTTGCAAGAGGAAACCACAGGAGAGGTCCGAAAGCGAGAGCAATCATCTGGTTGTTGTCACTCCTAAGCAACCCCTAGTTTATGCCATCTCCAAAAGGAACATCAATACCTGAGCAGATCCCAAATAACTTGCAGTGGTTATTGAAGTGTCAAATCGCACGGCCCAAGTATTAAATGCTGGAGTAACCCCTACGGCCCCAGCAGTTGATATGAGGCCATGAAAGGCAACAAGCGCGAGGTTAACGTGTTTCTGTGTATTTAATCAGCGATACACGAGGAAAACAGGGCCGTCGAGTGCGCAATCACCTTCCATGAGGGCCAATTCAAGGGATCTTGTGGACCCTGTATCGGTAGGGGTATAAGATTCGCTGTCCCATGTCTTGCAAGGAGGTACGATCGATGATCCGGAGTTAGGGTTTCGACGTCGTATAATGAATCCTCAATATATTCAGCGTCGGCCTTCAAGTCCTTGGCCGCATCATTATCTCCGCGAGGAATTCCGGTCATTCTAGTAATCTCCATGATGCTAATAGGCCAGCAAATACAGTCCCTTTACCACAGAAAGCGAGCTCAGATGTAGGATATCCGATATGAAATAAAGGTGCTGGAGACAACATACGCAACTGGGGGCATCCCGTGGTGGAAGGACAAAGTGGATTCAGTTCTTAGGTACGTATGGTATCGGGGTAATTCTGTGGGATAATGGCAAGGGGGAAATACCGGTTTTAATTTACGTAGACCGTGCGCAAAAATAGAGAACAAGACTGAGCCTCCATGTTGTTTCTGGAGGTACTGGGCCGTCCTGGGCCGTCCTGGGCCGTCGCTTTCCTGGTCGCGCAATGGGGTAAGGAAGACCCGCCAATTCCGTTCCCCCAGATTGTCATCGTAGAAAATACTATAGGATTCAACTCCTTAACTACTACAAGGGCGTTCTATTGCCTCTGCTAAAATCAAGCAACGTCAGCAATTGTAACCACCTGCACAAATACAGCGGCATGGCTGAAAGCGTTCGCGTTGAGCTGGTTCAAAGCCTTCCAACCTCTGGTGCCCGGGCTGTAGCCTCGTTCTGCCTCCAAGGACATCAATACCTTGCAATTCCGCAATTGGCACAGGACATACCCGGAGGCGAAGCGGGTATGAACCTCGGGGATAGCAATGCTCCGCTGCTGATTTATCGAGCGGATAGCAGGAGTGATTTCCGTTTGTTTCAAGAATTGCCTGTTCCCGGAGGCGAGGATGCCGAGTTCTTCTCAATCAACGACCGCTATTTTTTGGCAACAGCCAGTTTACGTTCGGGAAAAGGCCCGTATAACCTTGACGTCAAATCTGTCATATTTGAGTGGAACGGATTGTGTTTTGAGAAATTTCAGGAGATTCCCACATTTGCTGCTAAACAGTGGCGATACTTCAGCATTGCTGGAAGACACTTTCTGGCGCTCGCCCAGGGAGTTGAGATCCCTGGAGTTGTGGCCACAGTTCCCAGTGATTCCACCATCTTCGAGTGGGATGGGTCAATATTCAATGAGTTCCAGACTGTCCCATCTAAATGGGGCTACAACTGGCTCCAGTTTTCTGTTGATCAACAGCAGTTTCTCGCTTACGCAGATCACATCGCGGGCTCCATTCTTTTGAAATGGGACGGTTCATCATTTGTTCACTTTCAAAATTTTGAAGGCATCCATGGGCGAGCATTCTGCTTTTTCAGCGATGAAGACGGCACTGCCTATCTCGCATTTTCTCGAATTTCCTCCGACAGTCTACTATACCGCTGGAACGGGGAATCTTTTGTGAACCATCAATGTCTAGAGGGAGCTGGAGGCAGGGAGTTCACCTTGGTAAGAACGGAGCAAAACTTGTATTTGGTCCACGTCAAATTCATCATAGGAGGTCGCAGTAATCCCAACCCAGCTCTTGATTCCGTGATCTACCAGGTGGAAAAAGATGGTCTAAAGGTCGTATCCACTTTTCCAACTTTAGGAGCCACGGATGTCATGGCACTATCGCGCAACGACCAACTATACATGGTTGTTACGGAGAGCCTCACAGCAGCACAGAGATTCCGAACAGATACTCATATCTATCATTTGGTCACAGGAAATACCAGCCATTCACGCCGTGATATCATCAACAAGAAGGCTTCATATCAATCTCCTGAATTCCTCGAATTGTTTACGGCCTATACCGCGTCCAATGTGAGTATTGGTTCTCAATTAACCACTACAATGGCGCAACAAATGTCGTCTTATCCATTGCTTGTTGCAACTAGCTTTGACATACTGCTCTTCCCGGGGAACGGGAAACAGCCTGAATATTTAAATTTCCGACTGGGTAACCGGGGATTCAAGGAATTGGCTGCCATATCCCATTTAGGTCCAGCCTTGGGCTCGTTGGTACAGATGCACGAGGCAGGAGCAGCACGCGATTCTTGGCAGCCACATGCTCGGAGGCTTCTTGAGAAAGTCATCGCTGTACAGAAAATAAACTCAGAAAGCCTGTGGCGCGACCTTATCCAGGCTGAGTCTTACAAAGGTCGTGAATCATCGATTTCGTCAATGATTGATTACGCTTGTGCTATCACTCGAAAGTACTTAGAACTTATGCTGGAAGACCTAAATGTACTTTCGGCGGAGTTCCTACGCGAAAATTATCTTGAAGCTGTAGGAGATCGACTAAATGCCACTGTCCCTTTCAATGCCATTATGATTGCCACTTTTTTCTTGGTTGGACTTGATACGTCATATCGAATAAGACAGTGGTTTGAGAATTATGATTTGGATTGGCAAAATGGCATGGTGCTTATCACTGGTAGACAGGGGCGCGAGACATCGGGAGTTACCATCAGCACGAGCTCTGTGGCTCAGATGATCCTGCAGTCATCGAATTTGAAACTGCCTGTTGAACGCTTGTATATAGCGCCACATGGGCCAGTCCCAGACATCAAGGATGCAACGGATATTCGTACTCTTCGTGATTACGAACCGCGATTCCGAAAATTGTGGAGTGGGCTTTATGGTATGGGCCAGCTTGGACAGACTATGTTCACAGCATATCCGGCCTTCATGCCCAAGCAGGATAGCATGCCGGTAATTGATAGTTCTACTACAACTGTATCCGAACTTCCTAAAATATCGAACCCAAACGATTGGTTTTCTATGAACACTCGAATGCGTGTCGTGTTGGAAGATCCCCGCCAGTTACTCTCAGGGTGTGTGGCCGATTATGCTGCCGAGCAGCTGCGCCTTTTTAGATCAGACCTGTCCAAAGTCATTGTACCTGGTCTGGACGGGGTTGATTATAGTTCAAAATTGCCGATCTATAAATTTTTGGTAAGAGAAAAAGCCTTCACCATTTCGTCCTGTCCGTACCCTCTGGGAACAGACTTACCCGCCACAATACGAACAATAAAAGTGAACGGTGGAACACTAGCATACCGGGAAAATGGTCCATCGAATGGTCAAACTGTTATTTGGATCCACGGACTTCCATTAGATAGTCGATCCTGGGCAGCTCAATTTGATTATTTCTCGGACAAGTATCAAAATATTTTTGTTGATCTCCGCGGCTATGGTTCATCTTCAAAGCTCCCATCAGGTATTACGGATATTACTCAGCTATATTGCGACGACATACTCGCACTAATGAACCATCTCAATATTTCTAGTGCGGCTATGGTGGGATTTGCGTCTGCAGGACATGTAGCATTGCGTTTTAGTGCTCAAAACCCTGGCAGGATAAGCAAACTTGTTGTTCTCAACGGGAGCCCTCGGTTCAAACGCAATGCCACCGACTATACATTTGGATTTTCGGACACTCAAATACAGGATCATTTCCTTGCTGCGGCTGATTCTGGGGGTGTTGAGGCCTTAGCCGATGCAATACTTGATCCAGTGGTCGTTTTTCAAGATCTGAATGCCTCAGACGCCGAGAAAGTATCGTCTTGGTTTCGCGTAATGTGCTACAACGCTGGGCTAGATACGTTGCTTGGATTTTTCAGAGGTATAGTAAATGACGATGACCGGCATTGGGTCCCTTTTATTCGAGCACCTGTTTTGATTCTTTCCTCATCTCTAGGCAAGGAGGTTCCTGCTCAAACGGCCATGTACCTGAGGCAACACATCCAGAAATCCAAGTTAGTCGAGATTCCAGATGCAGACCACTTCTTGCACATAACTCGGCCTGTTATTGTGAACCAGTTGATTGGAGGTTTTCTAGCTTCTGCGTCTTCATAATGTTACATAGAACTGAAATAGTCCCGCGCTTAGAATGTAAGTGATTGATCGCAATATATATTTTGAAATTCAAAGACTAGTGATTCAACAACTACTATCAGTTTATATGTACGCTATATCTTTAATCAATGTCTCCCTAACATTTCGCCTCTGTTGAGACTATGTTAACCTATAATAAAACACTGCTACAAATTGTGTTACTATAGCTAGCCCAGTCTTTTTACAAGTTGTGTATTGAGTCCGTAAAATCTTTGTCTATGTTAAGCTTGAGTGAGAAAAATGTCATTACCTAGGTAACACCCTACGTTCCTTCCTCTATCGCTCACTCCCTTTCTTTGCCGACCTGTCGGCCTATGGACGGGTAGTAGCGGATGAAAAATCACAAGGGTGTTCCTCAGCCTCGTATCTGTGCTTGTCGTGAAGGAATGGGCCCCCGCTCCGCTCTGTGGTAGGACGAATGAATAAATAAATTATAGCATGGATATGGAATCGGTTGATGTGTAATATTTGTGCTCAAGTGATGTTATATAGAACGGTGGAGCAAGTTGGAATGTGCAGAATTGAACAATCAACATTTGATATTTGGCATTAGAGCTTGAGACATGGAATTAGGCAGCGCAATAGAGGCCACAATAGGCCAAGAACGGACTTGGTTCTACGTGTTCTGCGGAGTGTCACTCTTGCTTTCATGGCAACTGATTGTAAGTGTTGATTACAGCTGCCTTGTGAACAGCGCGCTCACCAAAAGTTCTCTGTCTTGAGACCTTTCTCAACGATCCCTTATCTAGTATTCCCGGCCCCTTTCTGGGTAGAATATCCAGCCTATGGCTCTTAAAGCTGGACTCTTCTGGGCGACGGTCCCACACAATACATGAACTACACAAGCAGTATGGACGTGCTGTACGAATAAGTCCTAGCGAGATATCCTTTTCCAGTCGACAAGCAATGCGCGACATTTACGGGGCCAACAACAAATTGGTCAAAGCTCCTGTTTATGAAGCATTTGGGCGGCCTAGTTCTTTCACTATTTGTGACAGAGATGCCCATCGTACACGCCAGAAACGCATCGCGCATGTGTTTGCGCCGGCCGCTATTGCCGATGTTGAGCCTTTGGTCCATGAACAAGTGGATAAACTGCTTGCTGTATTAAACAAGAGGGATGGACAATCGATCGACATAATGGAATGGTTTAGGATCTTTGCACTTGACGTTGTCGGTATGTTTTCTCTCTTGTCAAGGTTTTTCAGCAGCATAGCATCTACTAATTATCGCTCTGTAGGAGCCGTCTTCCTCGGCCGAAACTTTGGTGGACTAGAAAGTGAGAAGCCTCCCGACATCCTTCTTGAATTGGATCAAGTTTTTCCATCATTGTGGGTAGAATGGCAATTCTCATCGATTCGATGGCTCCTTCTTGCGATACCTTACAAACCATTACACCATTTCCTGAACGTCGGGCCTAAATTCTACAAGGTATGCTCCTTATTAGACATCCATATATCGATATCAAATCAACCATTAATATAATCCTGCTATCTAGCATGGCCGGGACGCTTTTCACCATTACGTTTCACTCTATGGTCGCTCTGGTAACCGACGCGATCTACTCACAAAACTTATTGCTGGTCACAAAGATGTTGGACCGTTGAAAGATGACGAGATTGTCAATGAAATGACAAATTTGATCTTTGCGGGTACCGATACAACCAGCAATACATTCTCGTACATGTTCTACGAATTAGCCAAAATGCCCGAGTGGCAGGATCGGTTGCAGGAAGACCTAGATTCGATATCGTTTGATGCTGTACCGGACTATAAAGCTGTCGTAACGCTTCCTGTCCTAGATGCTTTAGTACATGAAACTTTGAGATTTCACCCAGCAGCGCCAGCGAGTCTACAACGAGTTACTCCACCTAGCGGCGTAACAATAGATGAGGTGCAAGTTCCCGGGAATGTGAGTGAAGATAAATCGCCATGTTCCCCCCGTTAATAAACTAGCTGACGATATCCTGCAGGTAACCGTATCCTGCCAATCTTATACGACGCAGCGCGATCCGGATATTTTTCCCAATCCCGACACATTTGATCCCGCGCGTTGGCTAAATGCAGACGAAGGTCATCTCAGAGTCATGCATGACCAAATTCTTGTTTGGGGAAAAGGCCAGCGTTCATGTCTTGGGAAACCATTGGCTTATATGGAGCTGAAAATTGGAACGGCTGCGGTCATGAAACGATTTCGATTCGAAATTGGTAGCCCTGTAACAGACGACGATATGGAAATGACGGATCATTTTACCTTGATCGCGAAAGGTCAAAGGTGTATTTTGCGCGTCATTAAGCGATAGAGTGTGGAAAGCATGGCACGGTCTACAATAGGTAAGGGGTAGGAAAGTATTCATACTCATTCGAAGTGTACATTTCATTGGGAGCTTCAATTTGTATGCAACGCTCAGTACATTTACACTCTCTATGAATATCACTACTCAAAGTGGTGTTTCTGCCCTAATCAAGACTTATTGACTGTTAATAATGGCTGTCTAATAGGGGACCATCAATGGTTTGGATAAACCTGATGGAATGGATATAAATACATCAGTAGATAAAAGAAGGTTTGCGTTCCTTCTATGTGAGCAAAAGTCAGTTCAAGTCAAGCTTGGCTCGTATAACATTTGTACATTTCGCAGCGCTCCTTCAAATGTCCATTTTCTTGAGTGTCTCGCATGCTATATCATGTTCAAGAAATCGCGATCCGAAACGACCGGGCCAAACACCGCGGAACAGTTATGTGCGTTTGTAGCATCGGGCTGGATCTACACCGTAAATCTCCAAAATGGGAACAGGCAGCGTAAGTGAGATACTGTTCTGTCCTCGATGGGAGACAACGGAATAGTTCATGCAGAAGCTGCCTAAATACCTCGTAGTCCCATTGTGCTCGCGTAATTCAACGCGGGGACAGGGGTTGGGAATCGTGGGGTCAGTTTGGATGCGGTGGCAAGTGAGCAACAATTTATTAGCTAGTGATATATCATATGTGCCCTTGGTTAAAGCCTAGCCCCGTTTCTAACAATCATGCACATAGACGGAAAAGTGCGGAATGTACGATCCTCGCCCCTACAGGGATAGCTCAACCCTTCGACTAAACTTTTACTTGAAGTGTGCCTACTTTCTTATATATTGTCAGTAATCTCTTTATACGATTGGACATATCTATTGCTCCTGTTGAGATTACCTAAAACGGATCTTCTAGATACAAAGAGAGAAAACGTTCTGCACCACTCTCCCTAGCATTTGAAACCTATATCTACTTGGTGAGTGTCCATTAGTCGATCTTTCCATTTCTTATTCCACATTTCTTTTTTTGCGACAACTCTAATTTTTCGCCGGCAATAGCTGTCACAAAAAAGTCTATCAAAAATAGAGACAATGTCAAAATGTCAAGGACAATGTCAACCATATCACAATACCCCGATACCGTATGCGTTATAAAATCTAACCAACTGTAACACCGCCTATTGAGTATCTTGTTCCCATTATATTGTAGAGGCATAAAAGAAAATATGTACATGTACACACATCAACCAGGAAGGCACTTTCATTGAATTTTTGATTTAAGTAAATAATAGGTCGCAACATTCTTCGTTAATGCGTTGACAGATACCTTGCTTTTAAACATTCCCTGAAAAACCGTAATTCCCTCCAAAAAGCATGTCAAAGAAAGTATTCATCGCCAGTCATCTCCAAACGAGGGAACTTGCTCTTCACAGTTAAACACATGTGAGATATTGGCCCCGTTTCTCAGCCTCGCAAAATACAATGGGCACAACTTTTCCCCTGTATACTACGAAAAGTAATCCAGGGGTATATCGAGAACATCGCATTGTGAAGCTTCATCAAATGCTATCTGTGACGACGGCCAATCTAGGCTTCTCAATGTAGCGCTTGAAGATGTGACAGATTGCCAAGTCCCTCCGGAGGCTGTTACTTGATCCAATGTGGAAGTGTATCCCCGAGCTGACAGATAGTCCGAGGTGGGATTTGGATTGCTAGTCCTCGTGAAGGAAGCCCACAAATCTAAGATGTACTGTTCAAATGGCAGATCAATGTTATCACGCAAGGGGACTCCCACGAATTCGATATTTCCAAAGGAATAAAGTATATCTCCGCCGTGGCACCTGATAGACATAAACATTAACCAAGGGTCAATTAAAAAAAGAAGAGGGAGAAAAGATATAAGAAATTGCGATACACAGTGTCTCACCTAAAATATGGCAGAGATGTATCACCGTACGGGTGTTCTTGATCCACTGGCGCTTGACATACTGGAGCATTAGGATCGAACTCTATATATTGATACGATCTTTCAAATTGATAGAACCAGTAGCTTTCGAAAAATCCGTCTGAAACCGCAGAGACTGCATATGCGTGATTGACACATCTAAAACCATAATCGGTAGATAAATGCGACGTTACATTGAAAATATTAGTGGTTGCGTTACTTCCTGTTGGTTCCGGGAATAGAGACGGATTATCAAGAACAACGGCAGCGTTATACCCAATGGCTTCGATAGCCTGTGAAATGTTTGTAGTGTTTGGGTATGAAATAAGGCCCGCCATATCGTCATGTAGCATACCAGCAAGAATATTGACCTTAGCATGTGGGAGGGAAGTGTTGAAAGTTATGTTAGACTGAGTAATATAGGTTCCATCGACGACAAGATACCTAGAGAATAAGCATTCCAGCCAGCTATGGCAATTTCACCTCTGGTATCACTTACGGAAGATTAGTTATAAGCAACTCGTCTGCGCTGACCGAGCGTAAGCAGCTCACTTGTGATGTTGCATTGGCGCAACCTGTAGACTCCAGGACAGGGTCCACTATCGCTACAACCTCTTCTTCAATAGTCGGGATGCTCATGTAATTATAAAACTCTCCAAGCCCCAGAGGATCACTCTGAACTATAGCCCCAGTGAATTTACCAACCGCCGGCGGAGATGTCAAAAGCTGCCGGACAGATGCTGCTCCTGCAGACTGCCCGATAAGAGTGATGAGATTCGCATCACCACCGAAAGCAGCAATGTTGGCCCTAACCCAGTCTAGAGCTGTAATCTGGTCTGCAATGCCAAAATTACCGTTGGTTATGCCATCATCAAGAGCTAAGAAGCCAAAAATGCCTAGCCGATAGTTGATTGACACAACGACAACGTCGCCTCTTGAAGCCATGTTTCCCCCATCATATTCAGGGTCAGCACCTGACCCTGAAACAAAACCTCCACCATGTATAAAAAACAAAACAGGCTTCAAGTTGGTTGAATCAGACCCGTTGCTTGGCAAGTGAGGGGTGTATATGTTCAAAAACAAACAGTCTTCTCCTCCGGCGATTCCTGTGGTGCCGGCTTGTAGGCACGATTGACCGTAGGAGAGTGCAGACAGGGCCGCAGTCTCATTGTAAACCTGAGAATACGTAAATCGCTCAGGCTGTGCTGCGTATCTGATACCTTGGAATCGAAAGGTTCTCCGGTCACGAAACCTACGTATCATTTTTTATAAATACTCATTTCACCATGAAAGACGAAAAAAGGATATAAGTACCCAGTGATTGCTTGGTTACCAGTATTAACTGTCACTTGATACTTCGATGTAGTGTCCGTATAAGTTGAGTTAGCAAACGGTGCAGACTGTGTACAGAGAGCCGGTAGACTCAGGTTACAGTTGGAAATTTTGACGTTCCCATAGATATCGGTCACTGCGCATGGGCCCTTCGAGGACGCAACCCAGAAAGACGTATAATTCAAGGCATGACCCAGTGTGCTAGTTAGATTCAGAGGGTTGCCGGCATTGACCGTGTATAAAGTTTCAGAAATGTTTTCACAAATTGGCAGGGTTGATGAGTAAGGCATTGGACTTGTGAGGATCAGCGCACCAGTTGAGTTACTTGAAGGCCCTTGGATTATTAGACTCATGATTACAGAACTGGGTAGCACTCATACCAAGCAAATCATTGTCGAAAAGCAAGCTCAGATCACTTGCAAGTAATGGTGGCGATGCGTGCCCAGCTACTACTGTAACTATATGCAGTAACAAACCTGCTATGCAATATTTAAAGAGAATCATATTATTCGATATTCTTTTTTGGTGATTGTGTAATTCCGCTTTGAAAAAAAGGACCGGTTTCGTATTTGCAAACAGTTGATGGTATATGAATTTTCAATGCGAGTATAGATGTCTCAACTGAAGTAATGGATTTGTTGACACCTATATATCAATTTGTCTCCATCCATCGCTTCACCTGCAAGTTTTCCCTCCCCCTTCCCCAAGTGGTTCCCCAAAACCCCAGGTTTCTCCATGTTCTAGGTTTCTCCACATCCTTGGTTTAGCGTATCCATGTCTCCGGTGGTATAATTTATTGGGCATATTAACCTTCCCGCACTTTACCGGACTTTCCCATATAGCTTTTCTAGGCTAATAATCACATTTATTTGGAAGCATACAGACCGTAGGAACCGAATCCTTTGTTGACGGCGGGACAGAGCAGCTTTTGATGAGGTAATCGGAAAGAGCATCAAGCATTATAGAGCTGACACCACGCTTGGTGGTCGGCTAGTACGGCTAAGACGAGGCCGCGCGGAACTAATGCTGTGCAACTTCCTGTAGAGAATTAAGACCGAACTCCGAGAACATTTTGCTGCATTTACTGTTTTCTGTGAAGTCAATTTCTTAGTACTAATCATATCAATGATCATTTGTACTCTTCCGCGGTTTAAGTGTCTTGCCATGTTGCCTTCCCGTAGCAGACTATCGGGAGGAGATAGTGAAAGATCGTCATAGAAAAATAGTGGATCATTCAGGATAACAAGAGAGGAAAGTTTTCGAGATTTCTCAATGAAGTCCCCAGAATGAGGATCATCACCACTAAAACGGAAGGTAAGCAAAAGTATCCTGGGAGAATTAAGTGGAGAGCGGGAAAACTGGCAGGTTTCATCGCAAGTAGGGAGAAGCCATCAAGACTCAAAGACTTAGTGAGTTATCCCAGTAGCTTATTGAGCAGTGGCTTCGGTACAGCGTTCGCTCAGCATACGGACAGTGAGCAGATAGGGCTTGCTCAGTGAGCATTCAACAAGCGTTTAGCAGAGATCAGTGATCCATTGATGATCTATCAGGTGATATAGTGTAAAAGCGTCGATGGACTTGGACATGATGTTGGCTGCCGTCGGCCATACTTGCTACATGTAGCGTACAAATGTAACGTTTCATAGTTCAGCGCAGCTGCAATGTTGGGAACAGCATGTAAATTAAACGGGCCGATGCGTAGGTTAAAATATATGGCCACTCTATGTCCTCTCAATCGCGTCAGTTCCAAAGCAGTAATAAAGAAACATACATATCTACTCGTACTACTGGATGATGTTGCTTTCCACGGTCACATCTGGGTATGGCTCATTCGTTATTTTGCAGTGGCGATATGAAGAAAATAATAAATTCCATTTCATTAGTTATGAAACCGTCTAGGTATCTATTTAGGTATAGTATATAACTGTTGATATAAGTCAAATTTCGGGGTAGAGGCGACCGATAGACAAGCATTTATTCATATCAATTGTTGGATATGTAGATTCAAAATTTGGATATACATTTCGTGCGCGGTAAATGAGCCAATACTTGGTACATCTACCCGAATTCAGAATTTTATGTCACCTCAGAGGCGCTTCTGAAGATCTAATCAGGTAGTATGATGAAAAAGGTAAACTTAATGTAGAATGAACTATCTCAGGAGCAACATAGAGAAAATTCGAAATTACTGGTGTTTTAGTATTTTATCATATCAATAAATCCCTTTCGTAAAATCGTGGCTCCATCACAACACTTCATGTGGTTAATTAGATAGAAGGAAGCATGAACTAATAAGCTAAAAATATTATTTCAATTAGATGGCTTTCTATTTTTGAACTGACGCAGTTGAATTAACGTAGGGCTATTGCGTTGAATATGTTGGCATGGTCTTCATACCGAGCTTTATCTAACGGAATTAGGGCTAATTTGGTTATATCCGTCTGATCTATTTTTATGTGACATATTCATAGAACCGGCGTTATGGCTTGCTGATTAAAATGGTTCCTAGTCCATTTTCCAACCCATCTGCATGTTGTAGATTTCTCAGGTCCGGCCAGAAATTTGATAACTTGAAACATGTAAATGCGTGGTCTTGAGTGTGATCTGTTATGCAGCCTATTAGACACGGTGCTATGCAAAGCCTCAGGTAGATCTATTTATTTCTCATTGAACACTGCATAATCTGAAAAGGGGGTTTGAGTTCGCGCGCATCAAGGGCAAGTTCGAGTAATTGACTAATTGTCATGGCCAGTCAGAACGAGCAACGCTGCCGATGGAGGTGTGTTTATCTTCTTTTCTTTTTCCTGTTGAAGCTGCATGTTATTTCCGGCGTTTCAGAAACCAAAGTCGAATTCATATAACCAATCAATAACATAATGACAACAACAGGATGTTAAGCTCAGCGCGTAACACATTTTCACTCAGCCTCGTTCATGCATGGTTCTCAAAGGTGCTCAGCCTTGCGATGAGAGATATATTAATCTTGTAAAGTTCCTTCCTCCGCAAGATCCAATACTCATTTTAGATATATCCAAGTTTCTCTGAAATTATTCTCCATCTTGAGCGATTCAATTTTATATTTGTTATTCTTCCTATCGAAGTTATCGATTTATATTCCGCGTCTGAAACCTCAATCATAGGCAGCAATGGCAGAAGATAATTTCTCGTAAGAAACTTTGGATTCGCGAACATTAACACCCATTCTAATACCCAAATTGTAGATATTCGGAGTCCGAAACAGTGTCTGTCAATCCGAGTTGCGTGAAATGTGAGGAAGGGGTCCATTCGACTGAGCTACTACTATGCAAGTTTTGCGAGGAATATCTTTGTCCCCTTCACTGGGACGAGTATGACCCTCACAAAAAAGGCAGAAATGTGGAAAAACATCAAAAAACATCTCTTAACAACGATGAAATCAAGAACTTTGAATCCGCTAGAGAATTCGAACGGTCGCTCTTCACTGAACCTGGAGAAGCGGAACATGAAAAGCTGCACGAACAAGACCTTGCAACTGTATGGTTCGGTATTGATGCGAAAACAAAACAAGGGCATTCTAACCCCGATGTCTATGGAGAAATCATACTGAGATCGACATTTTATCCTCGTTCACGTCAGTTTCCTAGCCTTGTCTCATTTATTGGGACAACTGGTGCTGGAAAGTCAACGCTCGTGGTAGGTGGTTCTTATTTCAGTTTGGATACTGTGAAAACATCTTTAGTTCTGCAAACTAGGTGGTCTACCGCATTTTGTATTTGATACTGACCAGTAATCAAGAAAGGAATCATCGACGTTGAACCGGTTAAGACAGAAACGAACGACCGAAATTGGCTTCGTAGTGTTCCTGTTCAAGGAATACGAAGTTTTTTCATGAAGCCCACAACTTCTGACGTTCATTTATATCATGATCCCCAGACGTTACATACTGATAGGCCTTTACTCTTGGCTGATTGCGAAGGTTTCGGAGGGGCTATGGAAGATCCTGTTGGATCTATACTCAAAAAGGGTGTGGAATATACAGCGTAAGTAAAGAGCTCTTATATAACATTGAACGCAAACTGACCACCTAAATCGTATCTAGGAAATTTTGGCCGTTGCATTCGTCAACAGAGAAGGATCACGGAAAATTGACACGAAAATTCTGTGTTGAGACGATATATCCCCGTATTCTCTATGCCTTTAGTGACATCTTGTGTTATGTTATTCAGCAGAATCCTCGAGTAATCGAGGAAAAGATCACAAAAATCATATTATGGGCTGAAAAGGTGCATGACGCCTCTCTAAACCAAGTGACTCTTCCTCGTGCTGTGCTCGTTCTTAACAATATTTCTATGTCACGGGAGGAAATGAAAATGTGGAAAGACGCGGCAACTGTAACAGCATATGTTACAGAAAGTCTGAGGAAGAAGACAAATTTTGCACCGGAGTTACTTCCTGCAGTCGAAAAGTGGAATGCTATTCTACCAGGTGAAGGAAAGATCAACTCTTTGTTGGATCTGTTTTTGCAATATTTCAGATCCGTATCGATCGTTTGTGTACCTCACCATACAGAGGAACAGCTAGCGACTGGATTTTTCAACAGTGTGAAAGAGCTTCGAAAGCTTATAGTTGACCTAAGCAATGAAGTTCATGAACAACGCCAGAAGGTTTCTCGCCAGATAAATTCAATACAGCTTGAGTCTTATCTTAGCAAGGGCATCGAACACTTTTTCACAAAATTTGACGAACCTTTTGATATTTACAAGTTCGCAATGGATCATCAAAACGTGCCAGAAAGTTTGACTGATCACGCAGTATATCTGATGAAAAGGATTAGAGAAGAGGAATATAACCCGAAGGCGTTTGACGAGCGTTGCGCCAAGCTCATCGCCTCATATCATACGATGAGAGCCATTATCAGGCAGGAGGAACTTGGTAAGTCTTTCTTCTCCTCAAGTGATCTAGGACATTTGCGAATGTGTCTATTTACGTTTTCATGATTACCTGACATATTTTTGCCAAACCCCTAGGAGTACTACGTCTACAGGATCCTACATATGTTGAACCCTATCGAACTGCTTATAAAGTGGTGCAGGAATCCTCACGTTGTTGGTTTCACGATGGTAGGAATTACTGTCGTTGCATTCGTGATGGTCACACTAAAGGTCATTATGATGCGAAAAATCAATTCATCGGTTGTGGGAATTACGAAAGTCCCTATACTGAGGAGTCCTGCATCCAGTTTGAGAAAAAGATCATAGAGCTGAGTAACGAAATAATACTCAGCGGCTCTGTCTCCTCGCGGCTAGAGTTTCAGATTAATAAACACACCACGATTCTTAAAAACGAAAGATCGTTTTGGTTGAAGACTTTCTCAAATAAAGTATGTTTCTCCTGCCTGGTTGAGGTCCCCGAATTTCGCCTCAAATGTGGCCATCGCATTTGTAGGGCTTGTGTCAAAATATTCGGAAAACAGGCGAAACAGGAGTTCATATATCAGCTTGATTCCTGCATACTATGCTCTGAAGGCTCTTATAACGACAACCCTTATGCAACCATTCAATTGAAACCCACTGGAGCTGGGGCTCGTATACTTGCTATTGACGGCGGAGGAGTGAGAGGAGTAATCTCTGCCCGAATTCTACAGTTTCTAGAAAATGAGATAGGTCTCCAGCTACCGCTTCATCACTTCTTTGATGTTATTATTGGAACCAGCTCAGGTAAGTTTATTTCTAACAACTTCCTACATACTAATGTGTTATTTGCTCAACAAAGTGAAAGGCTGATTTGATAAAGGCGGAATTTTATCTCTTGCGCTTGGTGCCAATCTATGGGATGCAGATACCTGCGTAAACAAGTTCAGAAGTCTTGCATCTGTATCATTCTCACAGCGTCTTCTTACCAAACTCCCCATTATCGGCGGGTTGTTTGGTATAGGTCTACATAGCTACTACGAGCCAGAGCCCATAGAAAAAGCGTTGGTTAATACATTCACTTGCGCGACCGGCAAGAGGTACCTGTCTCATGAGCCACGTATATATAAAAGTGACCAGAAAGAGGGGGATCATCTGAAATTTTACTTGAGAGAGCTGAACGTTGGTGTTACAACAGTAAATACAATCTCTAATGAGGCTGTATTGATGTCAAACTACAACCGAAAGCAGTCGAAAGATGGTAATTTATTTCCGCACAAATTTTATCACCGTAACCTAACTCCAAAAAAAGACTCAGGTGCAAAGTTATATCGCGCAGACCAAGAAGACGATGAGATTGAAGTTTGGCAAGCGTAAGTGATATTGATCCAAGGGTAACTAGATCCCAGTTTACTAATAGTTTTTGGAATTTAGAGGCCGATGCACATCTGCCGCTCCATCCATATTTCCTACTTATCGAGCTCCTAATAGGCAATCTTTCCAAGATGGTGGTCTAAAGCATAATAATCCAATTGGCCTAGCGGTGAAAGAAGGTAAAATTCTATGGCCAGATTCATCTGACGTGGACATCGCTGTCAGTATCGGCTCTGGATACGCTGAAACCCGATTGGCAGATGGGAACGTTGTCCACGGGTACGCTGTACATGGCTGGCTGAAGAGATGTATAGATGTTTGGGAAAGCAGCCTGGACTCAGAACGGCTTTGGCAGGAATATTCTCGTTCTCTTGACCCAGAGGAGAAGTCGCGTCACCATCGATTGAATGTCAAGATCTCTGACACACTCCCATTCATGGCCGATGTGGCGAAGATCGACGATATGGAGGAGCAGGCAATCCGCTTCTATAGCCAACCTGATTCGAAGCAGCAACTCCGACGAGCAGCCGAGGCCTCAATTGCAGCACTATTTTATATCCGCATCGATAGGGTTTTCCAAGCTGGAAGAGATTCGTATAATTACAATGGACGAATACTATGTCGATTAGAGAAGAAACACCATCTTAGACTCTTGAAAAGACTGCAAGAGTCTAATTGCACTTTTCTCATCAACGATAAAATCAATGATATGGACTTCTCAAAGCAAGAAAATAGAATACAAAATGGCGATGAGTTTCAACAACACTTCCATTGGAATACAGCTCGGCATCTACAAGCTGTTGATCTCTGTCTTGCATTTGTGGCAGCAAGCACGGAGGACAAGGAGAATGAGATACACGATAATGTGGGCGACACTTCGTCGATTTATCACATCAGCGGCAGCCCGTTTCGCAGATCGTTAGCCAACTAAAATTTACGTGGACAAATTCAGCGTGGTGGAAGGGTGGATGTGTTATAAAGATTGAATGATTTTCTTTGATGTGCTATGTATTTGCATTTAATTATCATTAAATTTCGGTATTATTACAACAGTTTTAGCGCATATGTAGGCAAGAGCAAGCAATCAGAGTTGGTGTACTATACTTTTCTTATCAGAATTCGAGTTTTATCATTATACGACATTTCCAATTGATATTTTTGAAATGCTTTCAAAGAATATGTGTGATTATGCATAACCCCAACCTATGTATAGAAATTCATTGTCTCCCATGCATCTATATTTGGCCTTCGTGTTCCCCTTCGCATCTACTTCTTTGTCTTATTAAATGTTAAATATCCTTAAATTACTAGAATAAAGAGGCCGCTCTACCTCTAGCTCACATAGAAAGTACATAAATAATGTGCTGGATGGATTCAATCCTTCCGTCTCATTCAACCTGAAAACATCGATCTTTTATACAATTTGCTTCTAATTCTCCACTCCGAATATCCAATATTGTCGAACAACAAAATGAAGAACACATGGACACTTCTCTCAGTCCTCTATCTCCTCACCTCGTCTCTCCCCGAAAACGCACTCGCCCACCCAACCCCAGCCGCCGATATCGAGATCCCTCAAATCATCCCTCACCCCGATCTTCCAAGCCTAAAGTCACTCGGCCTCACATCCGCGGGTCTCTACGGTCTATCCAGTGCCAACCACACCGCCCATAGTAAACCCCCCCCTTCTTGCAATAATATAATGATAAATAAAGGCTAACACTCCTCAGCAGCGCACCAACTACAGTCGCGCTTCCAAATAACCTGCGAAGACCTCGACTGGCCCGACGGCTACGCTGCCGACAACGACCGTGGCGATAACGGGCGTGCCAATATGCTTGATGCGCAGGCATGCTTGAATTACCTCTCTAAAACAGGCAGCGCACCCTGCACGGTGTCCTTCATGTACTCAGCTGTTATTTGGTGTCGCGCTGGCACAGCAACTGTGGGCGGGACACATGCGTCGGGGGTTACTCGGACTGTGATTTCTACATGGTGAGAATATGCACTGTTTCATACCCCAAGTAAAAATTGAATTTGGTGATGCATACAGGATTGGGTGACTGATTGGAATGGTGTCTTTAGTAGGGATGTAGCGATCGGTGGGCAGGAGATTATTGACCAGTGTAACTGGCCCAGAGGGGTCGCTGGTGAGTATATCTCATAGAGTCTGGTGGAAGATGAGACTGATGTTATTGATACCAGGAGCCAACGCCGCGAATGGGAATGGAGGTTTAATCGTCAAAATTGAGAAGTTCAATGAAACCTTAAAGCCAATAGGTCCAATACATCATTGATATACAGCAGGGAATTTTTATATTCCAATTCGTGTGGTTTTCAACTGGTGGTTTTAACATTTAGACGCTTTTTTTTTAATGATATTGATTGTATGATTGAAAGAAGCTAGAATATATATTTCCGATGCAAGTTCTACGCAGACGCCACATGAAGGGCATCGTAATAAACATCCAAAAGACACCCGGCAGACCAAGCTTGAGTTGGAGACTGAAGCCGTTAGCAACGAATCAAAAGGGGGAAAAAGGAAAAAGACGATATAGACTTACTGAATCCGCACAGTACGCTCCATTCTGATTCGTCAGCTCTGTCAAACCCTTCCATGGACTGTCCTTTAGAGCCTGTTTGCAACCTTCCAACCTCCTAGTCACCTGCTGGAATGTCTCGGTACGCTCTTCTGCGGTCTTCCTACGTAATAAGTCAAAATGGAGCAAGGCTCGGAGGAAATAACCACGCGGCCACACCCATTCAGGGCCCTGGTGGTAATTGCGGCCCTTGGAGGTGGCGAAGTCGGTTGAGTCTTCGGAGTTGTAGTAGTTGGGATGGTAGTTGAGGTCTGATGGATCGAGGGTGGCGACGCCAGTAGGACCGAGAAGGACTGAATCGGCCAGGGAAAGAGCTTGGAGAGCATGATGAGGATTGAACAGATCCGGAGCGACGGTCATTGCAATGGGAAAGTTACTGCGGAGCTGGTAGTCTTCATACGGCTTGCCGGATTTGTAGAGATCCTTGTAGATTCCGCGACGGTTGATGATGGCGGGGTCGACGTCGTAATTGGCGTCATCTGCAGCATCGACGGGGATGTAGTAGCATCGCTCAAAGTTTTGCTTGATTCTCGACGCCCAGTTGGCGAAGGTGATCAATTCACCGTTGTCTGCATCAACACCCTTGTGCTCGTAATTACCTGCTGACCGGAGCTCTTCGACCCATTTCAAACTACTATAAACGAGACCTGTGATTTCAACAGATGCCCCGTCTCTGGGTGTTCCCGGTACACCTTTATTTCCCGCCTTTTCGCTCTCGCCCATCTTATCTTGCCATGTCCCGCAATTATGCTGGTTGCCGCCGAATATGATCCCGGTTTCCCAGTCGACTTTCACATCAATCTGGAAACCTTCCGGCTTCATTTGAACATCGAGGTCTGGTCCGGCATTGTATTCTCTGAAACTAAGCCCAGAAGCATGTCTTTGGAAGACCTCCTGTATAATATCTCGGATTGTCGAAGATTTAGAATATGCTCGCTCATCATCATGAGGAAACCAGGTGTCATCGTAAGGCAAAAATCGGCGCGGAACTTTCTCATCCAGTATCTGGATGCCATTCGGGGCCATTTTGGTATAGTCCTGGATTGCTTGCAAGAAGAACCAGACGGAGTCACGGGAATTGTATCGCGGCAACCTTCCACTGCTCAGAAGATTCGGGATCATTCCATGTTTGAGAACACTAGCAAAACCAAAAATATGCTCTCTAGCATCGTCAAAGCGACCAGTACATAGAAGGAGACCGCGGAGAGAAATAAACACATCTCGCCCCCAGCATCGTGCCCAGTCTACGGCAAAGTGTGGCAACCCAGCGGCAAGACAGGGCACACTTTTGGATGGCCACACGGAAGCCGACTTGACATAACCAACTTGCTGAACACTTACCATCGCCAGTTGATGAATAAATCGTTGACCGTGCTGTATACTCTCGTCAAATAGCTGGATTCCACGCCACCAGGCAGCCATGAAAGCACTCTGGATGATGATAGCAAAGTAGCGGGGAAGTAGAAAGTTGGGTAATTTTCTAACCACATCAAAACGCTCTCGAAGCCAGGTCGCTGGGGTGTGAAGACTAGAGTATCCTTCCTGTTCTGCAGCCTTTTCTAGCCGTCCAATAATGTAGTCCAAAGCCCATTGCCCTTCTCGCAAATGATCACATAACGGGTGTCCAAGCTCGTTGTACTTGATGATACTTTCAAGAACACTCCACCAACCCTGGAGACCGGCATAAACTAAAGTTCCATGCTTTGGGATGTTGTATACTCCGTCTTTACCACCTGTGGAGTCTCTCTCTTCAGCCTCGCATCTATACAGGACAAAATTGAGGTCGATCAAGTTGAGCTTTGAGAATGCCTCATCAGCACCACTTGTGATATAGCTGTCTAAACCGTCAGTGTCCTCGACAGTTGGCATCCATGTCTCAAACAGGGCAATCGATCCAGGAACAAAATTATCTGATATTGTGAGTGTAGCGTTGTCCGATTGTAATTGAACTTTCGCTCCTTCCAAGTCCGTCACTCGACTGGGAAGCCCTTTAAGGTACTTTTGATCGTCAAGGACTGCTGCCTGAGATTTGTCGTCCACATCTACATCAAGTTTCCAACAACCGATAAGCTTTGCATGTGTGCCTGTCAGATGTGTAGGCGCAAGAACGCCATTTCCATTTCCGTACCCAGGGAATGCGGTATGGGCAATTAAGAATATACCCTTCCGCTTCTTCGGATGCACTCGGTGTACCGTGATATATTCGCCATCATGATGGATATGTGTCTCATCGTATCCATCTACGCCCATTCTGGTGTGCAATTTATTCAAGAGTTTCTTAACGCCGCCGATGCCTCCCTCTCCAGACCCGACTTCGACCGTGTCCTGATCAGAGAATTTAGACGCGTACAGGCGCGTCTCGGAAACAAGATTGATGAGTTTAGGGTAGATCTCATCATATCCCATAACGCTGCCTGTAGCAGAAGCACACATCGCGACGAGAGCAGCATTGGGAAGTGTATCTCTTGCATCTCTCTTCTGTGCTGGAACTTCGTTATCATGGGTGCAGTCCATAAACAACGCATGAACCGGGCTTTGACGGATATGGGAGACAGATTCCCCTTCCCTAGATCTCGAAGACGAGTTTGATGGAAGATCTAGGTCGAAACTTCCAATCGGTCGACCACCATGTCGGTGTACGAGTCGACTAAGTTCAGCGGTGCTCCATGCTTGCATGGCCTCTCTGATCAACGCACTCAGACCAAGGCGTTTCACGAAGACATAGTCAGTTTCTTCAGAGCCTGTAAAGAGCTCAGCAAAAACAGCTAAATTAGGTCGTACCCTGCGGGCTTGATCGAGAAGATATTCTGCTACCACTAGCGGGGTAGAATGGCAATTGTCGACACGGAAACCAGAGAAGTATTTGGCCATGAGTCTTGTATATCTTGCCATGTGATCCCAAAGGAATGGATTATCTTCAGGCGAGGATCCGTATCTCAGCTTTACACAGTCGCCCCATACGATGACTTCCCGTCTAAGGTATGCTCGGGAATCTGGCCCTGCATTGTCTTTCATTGCATCTGCGTTCCAGATCCAGCCGTTGTTGACCAAGGCAAGGGACTTTGGGCTGTGTTTCTTGGTAGTTTCATTCAAGGGTAATCTTGTGAAGTATGTCTCCACGAGGGAATTGGCTTTTGTCACCGGTCCTAACTTCGGTCCGTGATCATCAATCCTCATGTACTTGATACGGTTGAAGACTTGATCAAGGATATCGGTCACCTCAGCGTCGTACTCTTTGTAAAACGGGACGTTGAGTTCATCAAGAATGCGAGATACCTCGGCTTCAACCGCTGAAGGGTCCGTCGAACTGTTATTGTGCTGTCCGAAAAGTCCAACAAATAGACCAAGGGCTTTTTGTTGGTTCACTCGTCTAGAGAATCTGCCCAGTATACGAGATGAGTTCTCGAGTGCGTTATCACGGAGAAAGTCAGCCTTTTGCTTCAGAGACCATGATTGAACACCGTTGATAGACTCAACAGACCCGGAACTGCTTTCCCAGGCGTTCGCAATCCTCCTAGCTGTCTCCTTAACATCCACAACATAGAATTGCCACAGTTTTATCGCATCAACCACGTGCTTGCGCATCCCGCTCATGACTTTGACAAGGTCATCGACATTGTGAAACTCTGTCGGCAAGCCAAGCGTTTCCAACTCATCGCTATATTTCAGGAATGCGGTATCTAGGTCCAGAGCAGCTTCTAGCCATGGCGCTGTTTCCACATTATACCCAGCTTCAGGATGTGCTTCTAACCACTTGCTGTTATTCGCAGTATGGTTCCAAACCACATCAGTCAAAGCCAGCAACCCATATTCATTTTCCATGTTTTCGACCAGAGCAGCCACATCCTTCTCGCCACCCGGGAACGACTCGGGGTCAAACTCTAGCTGATCAAAGATGCTATACGGCGAATTGGAGTCACCGCGTTCCATCAATGGCGTAAAGTGGATCATGTTATAGTTCCGCTGCGAGATTCCCCGCAAATGGCTATCCCAATCCGTTGGATACTTTCCCATAAACTTCGAAATGACGGAGAAAATAGACAGCGCATCCAAGGGAACATCTTTACCCCGCAAAGTCAATGCCGGCGACACATCGACATAATGCACCGGTGTTTTCTCCTGCTCCGCCGTTGGCAGAGACGCGGCCGTAAACTTTGGAAGCGGCGAGTACGTCGTATAGAAAGCGAATGCTCCGGCTTGAGTAATAGGGACGTCAATGTGGATGTCTTTGTTGAAGTTCGGTTGGAGGCTATCAGCGTCAATTGAATAGCACAGCGGAAAAATGCATCATTCTCAACAAAAGACATAAGTTCTTACTCAAACTGCCGGAATTTCGAGCGATCAAACTCGGTGCCTGCTTCGGGGATGTTCACCCACAAGCTGCCCTTTCGACATATCGAGCTAGAGCCTTCGATCACGAAGCGCAGAGTATAGGCAGGGTCCGTCGGCGGAGGCAGATAGATGTAGCCTCCTGGAATATCGGGCGAGCCATCGTCTTTCAGAGGCAGTAGATACACCTGGCGAGTAGCGGGCATGGTTGCGGATCGTCGGTCCGCTTGGGACGGGAGTTCCTCCACCGGGTCGGATTAGGGTGACGCGAAAACGAAACAAACCGGCCAGCATTCACACGGGAACGCGTCGGCCTTAAATAAATGGACAAATGCAGCAATTGGCACTGTCACTGGCACTGGCACTTACATGAGCTTGGGAAGGAGAGAAAATCTCGCATGGGCAGACAGATACCTGAAGCAAGGCAGGAACAAGGTCTAGGCCCGTGGGGTCGCCTATGACATCATCGCACATACCCGGCGGTTACTGTTACTCATGCTTGCAACACCTTACTCAGCTGTTTGTACTATTTGCTCTTTTATTTGCCGTTACATACTGCGTTCTCATGCAGCTTCTATGCTATACTATTGCGTTCCTCATGGCAGCATGGCGTGGTCGTATCCTCTATCCAACGTCTGACTCCGAAAGAAACCTGCAAATGTCGCCCCCACATAATGCCCGAACAAAGACACAAAGGTACCATACAAGCAAAATTAATCTTTGGGCTCAAGAACGCCAGGCAAGTCTTCAACCTTCAGTTCGCCTTCCAGGATACCTGTCATAAGTTAGCAAAGAAAAAAAAACATGAGATGATGCTGGGCTTACGGTGCACCGAGGTGAACAGAGGATAGTCGTTTTCGACACCCTGCTTCTTCAAGAACTTGTTGACCTCGGCAGCAGTGAGTGTTCCTTGCAGCTTCTGGCCGTTCAGCTCCTGCTTCTCAATTTCCTCAATGGGCGCGTTTCGCTGCACGCTAAGCTTGGCACAGCGGAAGTTGCGGCCACCGCTGCAGCTGGTAATCAGATCAGCAACCCCGGCGCTTTCTTCGGTGAAGGTTTTCGTGTCAATAGAGTTGCCGAAGAACTGAGTACCGAATTTGACCATTTCAAGCAGTCCGACACGCATGACAGCAGCTTTCGCGTTGTCGCCCCAGCCAATGCCGTCGGCAAAACCAGCAGCAACGGCAATGACGTTTTTGAGAGCGCCACCCAGGGCAACTCCTGCAACATCATTCACCACACGGACATGGAAATAGGGACGATGGAAAAGCGTCTTGAGGAGGGCATGGTCGATTGGTGCGTAGTCGTTAGGTAGAGCGCGGAGCTTCACCTTGGAGTACTGTCCCGAGGTGTCCTTGTGCTCAAAGGAGATAAGGTCCACCTGTGATTGAGAGGGAGAGCCTCCAACGGGTGTTGGGGCTTTAGAATCAAGATGAGGAGGGTCATAGCCGATCGTAGTTTCGCACCACAGCTCCTTGGCAACCTCGTTGGCTATGTTGGCGCCAGAAAGGGCACCACAGTAGATTCCCAGCTTCTTGCCGATAGTCTCGGAAAAGAGACTGACTCCCTCTTCTTGTACATCTACACCCTTAATACACGAGATACCGCGAGCGTAGGGTAGAACCTGTCCTTGGAGCTGGTCGCAAATTCTGATAATAAATTGATGGGGGACGTTGAAAATCAAAATCGAAGAATCTTTAACAGAGTCTTCCAGCGACGGGTTGGCGTGGAGGTTCTTGGGGAGGGCGATTCCAGGAAGGTACTTCACGTTCTCGTTGTATTTGTTGATGAGCTCAGTCAGGTTCTGGGGACCTTGGCTGAGGGGATCTGATGGGTTGTAATGCTTCGAGTCCTTCGGTACTTCCACCTTCTCCTCGAACACCCACATTTCCACAGTCTCAAGGAACACATCACTATTCTGGAGGGTGTTTTCGGCGACGATCTTTGCGATAGCAGTGCCCCTGAACAGTTAGCGAAAATCCTCCTCGTAGAATAAAAGCAAGGCATACCAGTTACCAGACCCAATAACGCTGACCTTGTGTTTTCGGGTGTTGGTGGAGAGCAACATAGTTACGTCAGTGGAGATATATCGGGTCGGAGAGTTGTTTCGTATGAGCGAGGGCAAGATGCGACGATTGTTGCGTGTGGGACTCGAGTGAGCAGAGGTAGCGACAGCAAGAAAGCGTTGGGGCGCACAGGAGAAACGGCGGGGAGAGGCGATGCAGGGTCGTCTGGTGGCTGGCCACGTCGCGGGCCGCGAGCGATTCATATAAGAGCTGCGGGGGTACTGATGCAAGAGGGCTCTGATATCACGGCCACAAAAATGGCTCACAGTCGCCTTTGCAGCACCTTGTGATGTCAGGGCCGGATAGAGGTTAACGGCAAGGAACAGCTATCCCGACCAATTCGCCTTGGCTGTCGGCTTTGCTCCCCGCCCACTCAGGCCCAATGTCACATGCAAATACAACACGATAGAGGAAAAAGTAACAAAATATTAATAACTAGGGCTTATATAGTAGATAAATTTGAACTTTTGCCTATTTTCTATCAATATCGCATTGATTTTTTCACCGTCTTAAAAATCGAACGTTTATGTGTATATATGTATATTTTCCTAAGTAACTTTGAATATCACACATACTATACAGTCTGCACATACGCAGAGTATATACACGGGCTGCCAGACCCTAACCGTAGCCCTAATTGCTGCCTCAAGATAGTCTTTAAACCACAGCATAATGGGAGCGGACATTAGGGGTCTCTTAATAGATACGAAATTTGCAAGATTGAACCGTGCATCTCCCAGTAATGGTAGCTCGCCTGTGGACCAGCCAAGAGGTGAGAGTAGTAGAATTATCTACAATATGGTATAGTATCGTTGTGTTAATGAGATTGAAGGAAATTTCGAGGATATACCTCGATATTACACAGCGAGATTTCACTCGGTGAAGATAGGATTTAATGGTTTAGGGACCATACTAAAGTAGTCCTTTGCCTTGGTGAATAGCTGCCAACCGTTCTTGTCAGTAGCAAAATCGAAGCCATATTCAGCTACGATGAATGCCAGTTTCGCACGAATTTCTCTTGATGCTCTGCATAGTAAACGAGACAGTATAAAGTAAAGGTAAAGGTTTGTCGTATTGAATCACTATTGTCAACTAGGCCAGAGAGTCGGTAAAGTATGCACACCATTTGTTATTTCGTAACATCTTGCTATTCTCCTCGTGGAAGCTGGCGCTACAGTTGACCGTATGGCCGCTAAGCGCTCGCTGTTTGAAAATGGAAATTTTCTTTGGCTTTGTATCAATCGGGCAAATTTTTCTATAGTCTATCTAATACTTGATGTGTTGCCTTGAATAGGTTGTTTAATTATATCTACATGTATCTCATATATAATTAAACTCCTTAATATTCGTTTTATTGATCTTATGATCTATAAACATAAACCGTTCTGTATTTAAGGTTACAGTGCCGAACATAACGATCTCGCAAACAAGATGATAGCATACCTCGTCTGAAAGCTCTATACCCCCCGCAGCCGACTCGTTGCTCAACGCAATACCACTCAGTCCCGGAGCAGGCTTGGGCTCCTTATGTTCTTTTATCTCCCAATCCACCTCGACTTTCCACTCGTGTGTGTGTGTCCATACATCCGCGCGCCAGGTCCTTACCATTTGCATGCCCACCGACGGGGGCTGCACAGGTCTGCGTTGTCCCGCGTTGGTGTCGCTGTTCGTTAGGTAGTCGAGGTGGGGAGGTGGGAGTGGATAAGTCGACAGGAACGTCGACGATGTTGGCGGTGACGAGTAGCTCCGTCGTGACCATCGCCTGGTAGTTTTGGTCAGATGCAGCCGGCACTGTGAGGCTAAAGCAAGGTACATTCTACAGCTAACTTAACTAATCGAGAAGCTAATCCGTGATCTGATCTTGTCGGGCGACTGAACCGCTAGTCCACGTTCAGAAGACGACGCGGGGTCGTAATGCTGCCTGGATTACTTTAAATAGTGGTGCGCCGCAATAAACTTTGCTACGTAGCTGTTCTATCAATTTCAATTCAGTAATATGGCGATATGCTCAGAGTCCGTTGACGGCTCTCCATCGTTGTGCGCCGCAGAGTATATTGCACAAGACCGATTCCATCGTCGTTTCATACTACCAGCCACAGCAGATCATGGCGAGCTGCAAGTTAGTTACGCGGATGTTGGACGCACTTCGAAGCAAGGTGACGATGGCACTAATTATCCGACGATCCTATTCATTCCAGGAATGTTCGCATCGCGGTATCTCAGTGTCTTCATGCATGCTATCGCAGAAAAGCTGGGCGTCCGAGTTCTGATTGTGGATAGGTAGGTCTCACAATGCGGTCTCTCGATCTAGATGGACTAACGGACTTATCTCCTAGGCCAGGGATGGGCCATTCAACAGATGTACCGCTTCGCCAGCGACTCGATATTTGGATCGAATTGGTGCCTCTTTTTCTGGCGCATTTACAGATAGAACATGTCGCCTTGGCATCTCACAGTGCAGGCACGATTTACCTTCTAAACACACTTACTCGCTGTCGTAATATCCTTCATCCAAATACGCCACTGGTTGTCTTAGTAGGTATGGTTCTCATTCCGTCCATAAACACCACAAGGTGGTAGAGAACACGAAATAACTCAGCGACAGCACCGTGGGTCGATCCGGCCCATTCTCACATCATGACCATGCAGATGGTGCAATATCTACCCACCAGTGTATTTGGCGTTTGGCATCACATACCCAAGGTTGTATCTGCTAGCGGGACGGCGTTCAATAAAATCTCTAAATTGTTGCCTTCTAGCAGCGGTGTCGGTGTTGCAGACACTCTACCGCTAGAGAGAAATCGCCAGAGGATAGAGAGCGACTACGGGCTACCTCTAGAGCTGCAGAAGGAGCTGGAAACCCTTATTTTCAGGTCTATATTCAGCGAAAACACGGTCGGTGCAAACAGCGAGGCACTGCAGTGCTCCCGAAAAGGACCTGCTGGACTTTGGGGCGACTGTGAAGATTATGCGCTCTTTGTCAGGAAGCTGGCCGAGCTTGAGAGAAGCAGACGAGCAGACGAATGCGGTGTCAATGGAGAAAAGCTGAGAATCAGCGCTTACTTTGCCGAGAGCGATGCTCTGATCGGTAAAAGAGGCCAAAATTACATGGAGGACTGCTGGAAAGGCAGTGGGGGAGACGAGTTTCAGGACGTGCTCAAGTTTACGACCACGACGATCAGCGAGACAGATCACAATAGTGTCGTGCAGTCCGCAGAGGTTTTGAAGCAGATATTCATCAGTTCTGGTGGCGCTACATCGGCGAGCCTTTAAGATGGAGTTATCAAGGTCCACAAACATGATGTTTATTACTAGTCTCTATTTGATATCCGTCCCCAACCTTTCGAAATGTCTCAAAGGAATCCCATCTTGGGATATAAAACAAAGATAGGATAGCGATGAGGGCCCAATGGGCAAGAATTGGCTCCGCTCTGCGACGAAAAATTAGCATTGATAGTTAGCGGAGGTACCTTTGGTGACCCCCAATATCAGACCAGCGACCTCATTACACAGCTACTGTGTTATAAACAAATGGTACCGCTAAAGGTACCCGGGGCAGGGTTTACAAATTCTAGGCCATGTCAGAATGCTTCGGTTTGGGCATGCCTGCTCTCGATGTCACAGACGTCGTACGCAGCCACATGGTCCTCGTCCTAGATATTGTGCCAAGAAAGTTGGATTACGTTAAAAGTCGTGACAGTGAGTACTTAGATTTTAACAGTCATCTGTTAAGATAAACTCCTCTACTTCGACGCGGGAGGATGACGCCGACTACATCCCCATCTCGCCAACACCCAAAAAGGGCTTTGCAATCCAATTTCGACTCTGAAACTAGCATAACCGGTTATTTAAGCAATCCTTTGATGATTTGGCCAAAACATCAAAGAGGCCTGGAAGAGCTTCGAGACTACGCTCGACGTCGTGATTTGATTTGTGGGAAAGAGAGGTTATACTGCACTACAGAGTTTATGCCGCCTTACCTAGCTCTCTGCCATCTTACGAATATACTATCTCATACACCATCTTGGGATATTCGGCCTCATGTTGAAACTACTCATCGGGTTATTGTTGAATGTGTGGTTAGTCTATATTGATGTTGTCGTCCGAATCCAACTCTCATAACTGTATGCTTCCAGACCTCACGCTGGATATTCGTGCTACAAATCTGGTAGTTTCGTTATTACCACTTCCAGTACAGCCCAGTTGAGCTTTGGTTTCCTTTAACGCCTGATTTGAGAAACTTTTGTCGATTATTGTCGGTATACGTGATACATGTAAAATCTGCTTTAGAGGATCATATTCTAATCTGCTTTGGTCATATTAAGTTCTCTACTGGGGGGCTAATCCTTATAGAAACATACCTAAGGTTGTCATTCACGAAGCTTTCCAGTTTATGAATCTGTTTCAGTCTCGCCAAAAGATCCTTATATTTTAATGATTTCGCCTTCAATTGTCGTGTCTGATCCATTAAGTTATAACACCGGCGTTGTTTGACCAAGCCCAGTACTGCAGAGACTATGGACTAAAGATTGGATGTTGACTGCTATTCATCGATTACGGAAGGTATCAAGGTAATAAAATCTACCTTTTGGCAGTATCACATTAGCAGATACAAAGATAGTAGGTATCGAAGCTGACAGTCTCTTTTCATCATTTATTGCTAGGCTAGTAACGAACTTTGTTATTGTATTGCATTATTAATGTAGGAATCTGTCAGTCTCTGCGGCAATCTTGTCACCTATGAGTAGACCATATGACCCAACGGGCTATTGGGCTGAGTGTGTGAGAAAATGGGCATTCGTTGATAGCCGTAGTGTCTTGGCTTGAGAGCCTTCAAATATTAAAGTAAGCGATAGTAAGTTGTTCATTCAGATAACTGGCACATTTATATACACGTTCCCAATCCCTGTCATGCTGTTCCAGCCAGCGGGATACTCTTAAACCATTGTCTTTCCTGTAGCGCCCCCTGAAACGAGACCTTCATACCTTATAGCTGGGTAAGGTCGTTAAATTTGACTAAATAAATGAGTAACAACAGTGAATCCAGGTCCGTGACGATTAGCTATTGCGCATACGACACGAAAACCGGCTACGCTTTCACCAAGCTCAGTCACCAAGAGACCTATTTTTTATCACTTCTTAGTGCTGTGTTTTGGTGCTGTTGGTCGTATATTTGTGTATTTTAAACCTATCCCCGAAATGCTTTTGTGGTTGGTCAAAACTCCCAGGACAGCCCCCACAATTGGGTTATTCCTCATCGTCATCTTAACCTGATTGGGAAGTAAATCTCTTATTGGCTAGTGTTTATTATTATCCCCCGTACCATAAATAGGGTCAACTTCATGTCCACCGAATTAGGTAGGAAATCTCTTGTTGGCTATGTCCAATTTCTTATAACCCACATAGCATCCAATTCTGTATATAGTTTGACACAGTTAGTCGAGTGAAGACCATACCACACCCAGAGCGACATTGAAATATAAATACCACCTCCCACCCCCTAAAACAATCATCAGCTCGCATCATCCAGACAGTCCCGTGTCTCTTCATCTTCTAGAATACTAAAGATTTATCCTCTATTTAGTGGTTACTATTATAGATAACGCACCAAATGGCATCTACGACACATACCAAATTCACTGCAAACACTGAAGGATTCGATGTTGCAAAGGAGTTTGCACTTGGGATCCGTGGAAAGACAGTCATAGTCACGGGCGTGAACCGCGGTGGAATCGGTTTCTCGACCTCACAAGCCTTCGTAAGTGCCGTGTAGTGTTTCATGAATGCATTTCGCCTGTATTAATTTTCACACAGGCTTCTCAGTCCCCAGCCCACCTGATCATCACTGGTCGGAACCCATCCAAGATTCAAGAATGTATAAACGCTCTTCGAGCGGAGTACCCTAACATAGAATACCGTGGCTTGCAGGTTGATCTTTCAATCCAGCAGTCCGTCCGTGATGCAGCCGCCAAGGTCATGTCCTGGAGCGACGTGCCTATGATCGACATCCTTATCAATAATGCCGGTGTCATGGGCATCCGGGAGCGTACCTTGACCAGCGATGGCATCGAGACGCACTTTGCGACAAACCATATCGGTCACTGGCTCTTCACATGTCTGATAATGCCTAAATTAGCCAAAGCTGCCGAGAATAGCCCAAAAGGGGCCACGCGTGTTGTCAATGTGAGTTCTGCTTCTCCTTGGGTATCGGCTATGCGCTGGAGCGACCTGAACTTCGACAAGAAAAACAAGGATCTTCCCAAGGAAGAGCAGCCTAATTATGAGTGGTTCAAGGCCTGGGGATATACGGATCTGGAGAACCAATCTTATAATCCTCTTGACGGCTACAACCGCAGCAAGGTGGCAAATGTCCTTTCTGCTATCGGTGCGAACAAGCGTTTGTTCAATAAACATGGAGTGCTTTCCCTAGCCGTACACCCTGGAGTAATTGATACGGAGCTGGGTCGGAACTTTCCTCTCGAAACATTGGAAGCGGTCAAGACGTTGAAGGAGCAAGGAGTTTACAGTTCGAAAACGCTAGGTGCAGGAGCCTCAACTAGCATGGTTGCTGCACTAGACCCCAAATTAGCGGAAGGTGTCAGCAATGACAAGATGAATTCGGGCTCGTACCTAGTTGATTGTCAGATTAGTGATCAAGCTTGTCCACTTGCAGTGTCTAGCGAGGAGGCTGAAAAACTATGGGAACTATCTGAGAAGTTGGTTGGGCAGGCTTTTACGTGGTAAACGGACAACAGTGTGCTTGAGGCTTTGGACGTTCAGAAATCCCATCTTTTAGACTGAGACTGAAGAAAATGCTGGAAAATCGATACATAGTTTGTTAATCTATTGAAGCACCTAGTGGCTATTTTGTACTAGGCTCCATAGCTTGCAACCAGGCTGATCGTGTAAAGCATGGACCCAAGGAAACATACACACAGAACGTCTGGCTTCATCCCAGGTGTTAATACGCCGTCGTACAGCCATTTTCTGTATCCTTTGGTTGATCCAGCCGCCTTCAGCGCCATCTGAAATCCAAATACCACCAATAATCATGAACCAAAGAGTCAAATCATCCTCATCTCGGTGCAGTTCAGTGTCCATAACATCCCTCAGGCACAGAGAGAGCAACCTGTGGTTCATAATCCTGTGACGATTAAACTGTAAAAATGTCGTCATCATAAAAACTATCAACCCCACGTGGTATATATTTTGCACATCAGAATATTTCCTAGATTCATTTAATGAGCGGAAATTCAATAGGCGGTAGCAAATTGACACTAAAACTTCCTCGAATGTGAGAAAATCGATTACGAGATTATGTGTTTTGGCGTTTAGAAGGCGACAAAAGCTTATCACGTCGGAAAATATGCCTTGTAGAGATGGGTACAGCTGATTATATCGAGCTGGTTGTGAGGTTAACGGGTAGTCGAGTCGCAATCCTTTTGAGATGAGAAGATTTCGAACTTCAGCCATGCGGTCTCGAAAGTACATAGTGGACTTTCCATGCTGCAAGGAAAGCATTATATCTGCCCTTGGTTATGGTATGTCAGTAAGCAGGCTATGACGAACATTTTTTTATCACCTACTTGCAGATGCTCAACACGAGGGGCATGTTTCCTTCAAGTGAGCCAAGTCCTCCGCGGAGCTGAATCATTTTTTCCAAACCTTTGGCATGGATTTCCGCAGCACAAAGCTGATTTCTGATTTGCTCTTGGCTAATCAGTGACACCACTAGCGCTATAGAAGAATCAGACAATGCGTCATCACTTCCAAGTCTCCTCTGGACTCGGGTGAGCGTCTGAGATAGATGATGTAATGCTTTCAGCGAGCTATTGCCATCGCCCGAAAATATTTCATTGCACGCTTGCATCAATCCCACGTTGCAATGGTAACCTATGTATGAAGTTACATAATGTTTAGACACTGCGTAAATGTCTGCTAACTCACTGGCTTCGTCAGTCAATAATACCCGAAGCCACATCAGCTTGACGTCGTCTAACGAAAAACCAAGAGTGACAGGATATAGCCGCTCGGTCGTTAAACAAAAGACTGAACAAGAGTGCATCAGATTCATTAAAAAACCGTTTCATGAATTTATTCTTACACTTGTTAATGATTTTCAACGAATATGGTGTGATTCCCATTGTAGGAAGGGAGAGTGTTAGCATTGTATCCCCTAAATTCTTCAAAGGCCCTGTTCTCTCATCTGATTAAACGCTTTCTTGGTTGAGGTTCCCGGAACCATGTGAAGAGCCCGAGACATCGACAGCATTTCTCCGTAACCCCGGCCTTGACGGTCGATGAATCTTCTTGCCGGCATTTTTCCCCATCATCACATGGCGGCGCATGAGCTTCTTAGAATGCTTATTAGGTTGAAGGCCATCTATGAAACAAAAGGACTTCTCCATGATCGTTTCATGAGTGATTTGATGAAGAACGGATTTAATCTACTAGAGAGGCAAAGCGTAGCATTGATCTCTTTAAAGACACTACGTTCGGATCAATAACGTCCCCGCCCACGTGACGCACGCTACTTGTTGTATGCACTGGTCAAAAACCCTACTGGCCTTGTCATTGTCAAATGTGATCTAAAAGGGCTTTGTAATTGTCAAACTCAACAAACAGAACCCGCGGTTTAGAAGAAGAGAACCCAATCAGCGTATGTATTCATAGGCGCCGTCAAAAACGGCGTCAAATGTAGCCGTTATGGGGTGTCATTAACCGCCTTCATGTATAGTTTCGGAATTGAAACGCGCGCGCCTTTTGATGGAAATTAGAAGGTTCTAGATGGGTGTTTTAGAATATTATGTCTCTTCAAACCTCTGTATTGTATGTATATGGGAAGAAGGTCGGTTTTTTTTGGCCAGTGATCCCAGCTAGTGGTATAAGTTGTAGGGAAATGAAAATTGAATCCTATTGGTAAGAATGTCAAATCAGCAGATGTGAACATATTGATTCTATGATAGCGCCTACACCCACTTATAATTGCATATATACTGTTCACTATATTTTAACTACTGGCAAACCTAATAGGACTATTTGTTCTGGTGAGGAATTCATGATTACAACTTCTGATCCTGACACGCTTCAATTGCCAAGTTTGGGTTGCGTGAGATGTGAGTAGTGTCAAGATTATCTGAATAAATGTAAGCCATCAAGGCCGCAAGGCCATCCATGTCTAATAAGACTAGACCATAGTGGGGTATCTGTCATAGCTTATAGCTGCATACAGATAATAGGCTTGATTAAAAGAAAGAAGAAGGAACATAGTTCGTCTGTCTGGGAGTTCAACTCGATTCCGCCTGTGCCACTTTGCTAGAGAACGCAGTAGAGGATAGACTGGTTCAGCCTGCATTAATTTTGACTTGGGCTCAATTCGGCCCTAACCAGTTAAGTTAATAAACCAGATGGTGAGGGCTGACTAAGCCGTCTCGGGATCGCCGCGCTGCCTTGCCGACTGCCCGATTTTTCTCACATGAATGGGATAGAATTTCTTATCGCGTTGTTTTCTGACATGTGCTTTTGATACTGCCAATTCATATTCCCTGCTCCCCTAGAGCTATCCTTCGTTAGTTCGGCTACTCTGAATGCAGCTACGATGGTATGTTGGATGTAGATTTCCCGCACCCACCACTAACTCGTACAGGCTCCAGTTCGGCCATCAGCTCGTAAAGCATCAAGTGGCCGCGGCTCGATTGCCTCAGCCAACCATGGCCTTTTCAGCGATGATTTTCGTACTACAAAGAAAGATAAGCGGTTGATCAAACACTCCACGTTCATGGCCAAGGTGGCAAAGACGAACAAGAAGACCACCAAGCGAAGACGCCTGTCGAAAAAACTCGTCGCCAACCTCGATTCTCTCGCAGATGCCCTTCCCGACGCCGAGCAAAACGATCCATCTGAATCGAACAGCCAGATACACGTTATCCAGCATAAGACGTTGAGGAACCGTCCGGGAGCGATGAAGAGGAAAGAGAAGATGGAACAGCTCGAGCGCGACAGGTTTATGAAGAACATGTCGCAGATGAATAACATCGAACAAACGGCCGCGAAGGTGTCAACGGCTGGGCCTAGTACTGCTACCGAGTCGGACTCAACGTCAAGTCGCTGGGCGGCACTCAGGGGGTTCATTTCTCAGACGATGGAACACCAGCCTGCATTCAAGAATGGGAAATGAGTGAGAAAAGAGGAATAGGAAAGCAAGCACAAATAAAGAAGCATCCAGAATGCTCAGCGACAGGCACTGGAGTCTACAGATAGCAGGTCTACACGAGAAAACAGCATGGCTCCGCTCGGGACTGATTCAGCGTAACCTAATATTTGGTCCACCGCAACTCCAACATGATCATGCCTGAGCGTGTCCATCAGATTGAGATATTGCTGTATTCATAGCTGGAGGTCTCAATCTTACTCGTGGCTGTTCCCAGTTGAATATAGACTTGAAATCCCTAAGTCCAGAGCCATGATTAGCATATTAACTCTTAAAATTACAATGAACGGAAATTCGTCTCAACATGCGCATAGTAAGCAGTGGTGGTGGTAGTAGCATACGGCTGGCTGTTTCCTAGTAGAGCAAATATGCAGCCAGGGAAGGAGCGTGTAGCCACCCCGAACACTTCACGCTGTCACAATATCGACTGCTGCCTTGACTCTTCTTTTCTTTCACGCTTCACTCCGGTGGTCTGCCAATTTGCTTATCGTGATATGCATTAGTCGTCAAGCATCCTCTTCGATAGACCGATCCATATATCTAAACTGGACAACCCCGGACTCAAAAGTTCCTCGCATACCCATGCCGCAATCATATCGACACAACCTCCCCCCGGTCCGGGAGGCTTCCTCCCAACAAGAGATGGATGGCATCACAGATGTCAGGGAGGATCACCCGTATTCTAGAGACCAAGAAAAGGACAATGTTAACCAACCATGGAGCAGAAGATCGTCGATTGTAGCATACATGTGGTGCGTAGGCTGTTATTAGTACGTTGATGACATTGAGCTAACACCTGCAGCATCCTCATTGTCGTTTATGTCTGCTCCCTTCAGCAGCAAATCAGCGCAAGCCTTCTCACCCACATCATGAGCTCATTTGGACAACACCCTTTTATTGCGTTCTCGGGAATGCTTCAAAGTATATTCGGCACGGTATGTACTTTGCCTCTGGCAAAAGTCATTAATAACCGTGAATATACCATGGCCTGTATTTGGGCCTTCGCCTGGACAATAACAGGTATTATACCATTGCACACGCTTGTGTTCATCGTTCTAATTAGGAGTAGGGCTTGTGTTAACAGCGACCTCAAAGTCTGTAAGCGCCTTTATAGTACACCAGGTTAGTGGTAATTCCTCAACCAAAGGACTGAACTGACGAGACTAGATGTCTTGTTGGTGTGGGTATTATGGGATTTTCTACATCTTGGACGTTATGATCGCCGACATGTCCTCACTCGAGCATCGCGCCTTGCTTCTTGCATTCGCGAGGGCGCCTTATATCATGAATGCGTTCGTCGCACCCAATATCGCACAGCTAATCTATCAGCACAATACCTGGCGCTGGGCCTATGGTTCTTTTGCAATCCTTCTTTTCTTGGCGTTCATTGCCTTGCTCATATTTCTCAGCAGCCAAGGGACTCGGACGGCCAGGGTTAAAGATAGAGCTGACGAAACAAATATCCCGACTTTGAGTCACAATTTCAAGATCTTTTTGCTTCAATTCGATGGTTAGTTCTCGGACTCCACTTCGGAATGGACCTGACAAAACGTGCAGTGGTCGGCCTTTTTCTTCTCGCTATGGTGATCCCGGCCCTTTTAATACCATTTGGTGGTGAGAAAGATCGGACCATTTCAGAAAAAGTCGTATCTGTAGCTGTAGGTGGTGTGTTCTTATTGGCTTTCGGAATCTGGGAGACCGTCCATGCCCCCTTTCAGCTTGTACCTCTGGGCCTACTCCTCCGCTCAACCGTACTGGGTGTGTGTCTCGCCGGACTGATCTTATTCACCAACTTCTAGTAAGTTGCGGTCATCATCGTGTTATGTGATCTGAGGACTAACTCTGTGAAGCTGCTTGAATACGTATTTCATGTCGTATCTTCAAGTTGTTTACAACTTCTCAATCCCCGAAGCTGGTTTTATTCACAATATTTACGTCACCGGTGCTTGCTTTACTGCCATACTAACGGGAGTGTGAGATCTCCATTGAAAAGGCCAAATTGCACTTTTGCTGACATTGACAGGTTAATACGAGCCACAGGGAAATTTAAACTGTTGGCGATTATCGCAATGGTCTGGCATTTTATCGCAACAGGTCTCATCTTGCACTTCCGTCGGCCCAATAATATACCCGCCACCCTGATTGTTCTCTTTCAAGCACTAGTTTCCATCTCGGGCGGGGTATTGGGAATATGTGGACAAATCGCGATAATGGCAGCAACACCTGATTCGAATGTGGCAGCCGTGCTCTCATTGCTTAGTTTGTTCACGGGCCTAGGGGCCGCAATCGGGCAAGTTGTAGCCTCCGCTATATACACCCATTCCATGCCGAGGGCGCTATCCAAATACCTGCCTGCGGACACCCGGCCCTGGGCCAAGCATATATATGGCAGCATCACCCAGCAATTGAGTTATCCAATGACCAGCCCTGTCCGACAGGCTATTATTCAATCATACAGTGAATGCATGCGGTATATGTGTCTAGCAGCGTTGTGTGTCCTACCTATTTCGTTACTATCAGTCATGATGTGGAAGAATATCGGGGTCGGAAACGCCAAGCGTGCTCAGGTCGAAGCGATTTGAAGGCGTGGAGTTTCTAAACTTCATCACAACATCGGTCCGCGATTATCATTACTCTTCATGTCAATATTAATATAGACGCGGCTAATTTCTGTCTGTTGGCAGCGACGTGGTCGTGGATTAAGCGGCTCCTATTATATTCCTATCAGACAGCCTCATCTTTAGCGTGGGTAGAAGCAATGAAGTAGGAACGCACACATGCGATTTAACATTGGTTTGTCAGCGGCTTGTCCTGAAGAGGAGACGATTACAAATGGCGGGGAGACTGACTTAGGCTCACTCGAGTTATCTGAGTAATCCGGCGCGAGGTTGAGGCCGAGAAATAAGCAGCTCCGACCTGGCGGCCCACTTCGGCCGAAGTGGGCATTCCCCGCCGCTAATCAGCGCCGCGACGCTCGGACCCTACAGGAGATCCTTTAGATCAGATATCGCCATTACGCTAAATGTATACAGAAGAGAATATGTGCTGGTAGTTCAAGTGCATCAACAAGGGGATCCACAACGCCCGCAGAAACCCATAGCATCGGCGTACCAGCCTGTGCAACCCACAGGTGTGCAATTGATCCCAGTGAGGTGAGATATACGAAATGCGTCTGCTGGGGCTGCGTCTGGGGTATAAATGAGAGCATCCCACCTCTTCATTACCGCGAAACAAAGATCCAACAGACGAGCTATCAAAGCCTTCTCGATAATACATCTAGACTGTAAGATAGCTACTGAAAAACATCACAATGGCAGCCATCAAGCCCATCGCGATCTACGGCTCCTTCATAGGCCCCAACCCACTCAAAGTCGCCTTGATCCTTGAAGTCCTCGGCCTACCACACGAGGACATCGAAGTCCCCTACGGCGAAGTCAAATCCCCCTCCTACCTCGCCATCAACCCGAACGGCCGCCTCCCGTCCATCCACGACCCAAACACAGGCATTACGGTCTGGGAATCCGGTGCCATCATCGAGTACCTGATCGAGCGGTACGACACCACTGAACCCCGAAAACTCAGCTTTGCGCCAAAAACCCCCGAGGCCGAGCATGCCAGACAGTGGCTCTACCTGCAGACCACCGGCCAGGGCCCGTATTACGGGCAGGGTTACTGGTTTATGAAATTCCACTCGGAAAAGATCCAAAGCGCGGTGGATCGGTATGTGAACGAGGCGAAGCGGGTTACGGGGGTTTTGGATGGGTGGCTCGCGAAGCAGAAGGAGGAGTTCAAGGGTGAGCCTGGTGATGGCCCGTGGTTGGTTGGGAATAAGCTCTCGTATGCGGATTTGGCATTTATTCCCTGGCAGAGAGGCGCCAGACTTGGATTTGGGCATCTTGGGTTTGATGCCAAGGAGTTTCCGTATGAGAATGATTGGTACGAGAGAATGATTAATATTCCGGCTGTGAAGGCGATGTTGGAGAAAGAGCAGAAGAGAAGAGCGGAGATTGACGCGCAGAAGAAGTGACTGTATTCCTATTCCAACTTGGATAGAAGAATCTGGGGCGGATATTCGGGGATTGAATAGTTGGAGTATCGGATAGAGAATTCGATTTTTTTTCTTCTTCAAATATTGGCCCTCGTTCACTACCAGCTGTCTGCACTACGGATTGATACTAGAATTTAGTTTTTACAAAATTCGCCCATCCACACAGCGCGAGGGATCTTTAAAACATTGAACTTTATATACTTCACATTTCCTTATACTTAATAATTTTCATCTCAGGTGATATCGGGAACGGCCATGTCAGGGTGGGTCCCTCATATGAAGTAAATTTTTGTCAGATTTGATAAAACGTTCAAGGGCACGTTTGCTAAGAAATTATACATATGTAAGACTCTGTCCTTGTTTAGTTAAAGTTATTAAATTATTTAAGGTTCTACCCAAGTGCGAGACCCGAGAGTAACAAAAGGGAGACCTTGCTCCACCTCGGGGCGATGGTTCCCCCGCTGAGCCATAAAGGTGGGTGGATAGGGCTATTGTCGACGTTGAAGACTCACAGTCTAACCCATTGCCTATTGTAGGCTCCAGCAAGATAAATAGACCCAGTTCCTCTCGGGGTGAAGGTTCCCCCGCTGAGCCATAAAGGTGGGTGGATAGGCTATTGTCAACGTTGAAGATTCACAGTCTAATCCATTGCCTATTGTAAGCTCCAGCAAGATAAATAGACCCAGTTCCGAGCAGTAGCAACATGAACATGAACATGAATGTCACATCAACATCAACCACTCACAATGACCGACAAACGCACTGTCCTGATTTCCGGCTGTTCAGATGGCAGCTTGGGCTCAGAGCTGGCTCGCGCCTTTCATAGGCATGGATGGCGTGTCTTCGCCTCAGCCCGAAACCTGTCCAAGCTCAAGCAAGCTGAAGCCGAAGGGATCGAGACTGTACAGCTCGACACAACCTCCGAAGAATCCATCGCAGCCTGCGTTGCCCGTGTTTCAGAACTTACTGGGGGTTCTCTTGACATCCTCGTAAACAACGCCGGCGGCGGATACTGTATGCCCGTGCTAGACCTCGATATTGCTCGCACGAGAGAACTATTTGACCTAAACGTCTTCTCTTTAATTTCTGTTACACAGGCTTTCTTCCCCCTTCTCGCAAAGTCGTCCCGCGGCGGTTTGGTTGTAAACAACACGTCCGGAATGGCGCTTTTACATGCTTCAATGCCCTTCTCGGGTGCCTACAGCGCCTCCAAGGCAGCCGCAGCGAGTTTCAGCGAGGTTTTACGGCAAGAACTTGCGCCATTCGGGGTCAAAGTAACCAACCTAATAACAGGCTCTGTCAAATCGACTTTTCACGCCAACGCGCCTCACATCTCGCTACCGTCTACCTCAATTTATAATGTCGCCAAGGAGGCCGTTGAGTATTTCATGTCTGGTGAGAAGGCTGCCGCTACTGGTGCAGATCCTGTTCAATGGGCGGAAGGCGTTGTCAAGGATCTCAGTAAGGCCAAACCACCCCTTTGGATATGGAGAGGAAAGCTTTCGTGGGTGACGTGGCTTTCCTCATTCTTACCCGTTGGGTTTACGGATGGTATTTTGAAGAGCATGACGGGGTTGGATGAGGTAGAACGCAAACTGAAAGAGAAGGGTGGCGTAAATAATCTCGACGAGACGTAACGTAACGAGGAATATCATATAGATTTTGATGCAAAAAATGAAAGGAACGATTCCTAATCAATTTTAGTGTTGCTCTCCATCGATTGATGTCGGACTTCAAAATATATATATACTAGTCATTTATTGGCATGTATCATTCCTTCAAGTGCTGCATATGTGTACATTAGTCATGACTATGTTACAACGAGGATCGTTATGAGCTTTAGAATGAGCATGTTAGTGGGCATACGGCCGTTGATAGTCCGGAGATGTGGTTGACAAGCTGTGTTGCTAATAACAAAGAACTCTGTTGCCTACGTACATTAAGATTCCATCTTTTGAAATGACCCCTCAGAAGGATATTTATGAGTGCTGGCGTCTAAGATCTATTTCCACACGATCCAAGCTTATACTGAGATCGCTATAATCTTTTGTTAACTTGCGATGTCGATTCTCATCTGACAGATCTCTGTAAGTACATCGTCAAGCTGCCCATTTGTTTGAACTAGTTCGGAGTGGGCTGCGCCCATATCGGATCGGATATGCACCGTTTTAGAGCGGACTGCGGTTAGGTCGGATCGGACCGGACCAAGTTCATCCTCCATACAATCATGTTTTTCAACGAGAGTCATGCTGTGCGGATTGTAGAAGCGAGCGTTGAGTGAACTTGGGAAAGCTTCAAATGTTATGTCTTGGGCGTGGAAGCGGGAGGACGATAGGTTTGCTATGATCAAATAACGATTTGGTGTCTCTTGTGATGATAAGTGAAGAAGAGAAGAAGAAGAAGAAGAAGAAGAAGAAGAAGAAGAAGAAGAAGAAGAAGAAGAAGAAGAAGAAGAAGAAGAAGAAGAAGAAGAAGAAGAAGAAGAAGAAGAAGAAGAAGAGAAGAATCATGGGCAGATGGCAGATAAATACCTAAGGTAGTCATGCTGTAAAATTCGAAGGAGGGCCTGCATCCCAGCTAAGGCTTTCTTTTGAGGTGAGATTCCGTACATGGACGACAATTGCTGATTTATAACCGATTTGCCCTTTTTGGGTTTGACTTCTTTTCTTCTTTTAGTCTTGTTTTTCTTTAATTGCTAATTATTGACTGCCGATTACTATTCGTTTCTTTCTTTCTTTCTTTCTTTTCTTTTTGATGGTATAGATGTTCCAGTATCTATCGGCGACGGTTCTGAGGCTTAAAATAGTAGAATTTATATAAAACACAGCGTAACAATCCTTCAAACGCACTAGCCATTTCCAAAAGACATGCCATCTTTAAATACAAAAGGGTGTAGGACGAAAACTATGACTTCAGGAGGCATTTCCACGTGGGAGGAGCACTTGGGCGGTGCCATTCTCGTCTAGCAGCCCAGACAACCTTGGAGTGACTTGATTAGTTACAATAGCTGACTGGAGTATTCCCCCGTTTGTATTGTGCTTGTTTTCTACTACACTTCTCCACTTGAATGGCGACCTATCATCGCCAGCCTGCTTTAGGGCATGGCTCTATCCAAGCACACCGGCAGTGACGCCACCGGCTAGTGATATATCACATGCACATTACACCCGCAGTCTACCCAATCTTTGTATATCTCTCTACTGCGGTGGTGGTGTCCTTATGCAATTCCACTCTCTCACTTCGAGATAATAGGCAGGCCATTGTACGACGCTGATAGGGGTGACTTCCACCGGTGTTTGCCCTAATAGACAATATCAATCGATACCGCCGCAACGCCTGTCACGCCAGACCCGGCTCATGGCGCATCTTGATTCAGCTGCGAATCAATATTCTTTGTATTGTTTCTGGTTCTCGTGAATCTCCACTGATATACCGCTGCAGATGGTGTCACCGAGTGCATGACGAGAGCACCTCATGGGAGCACAGATCCATAGACTAGACCGGGATTTGCGAACTATTAACACAGGGCCATCGGCTGAAAACTCCTCTGTTTGGCACTGTCGGCTTCCTCGCATAAGTATATATTTCGAATGCCGCCGTCGCAGCATGGAGCCAGGGCCGGCACACTCGGCGCAAGCGTAGGACTTCGTGATGCACTACATATAAAAAGAACGGAGCCCCGAAAAAGAAGAAGGGGAACCTACAACAATTAGGGAGCCCATGGAGAGCACAGAAAATGAAACTATAAGGGAGTCAGTCTCACGCTGAGGAGAGAACAAAAACGACGGACATCTAGTGAAAGAATATACGCGCTATAGCCTGAAACGAGTATGGTCCACTTTGAATACGAGCGCGTTGCTATTGGATGACATAACCTGACTCGGATGACGGGCGGTCTTGAAGCTCGCCATCCTTGTTTTATTCCCTTACTAGCTAACTTACTATAGGTTGCCAACCCATCTGTTGCTGCGCTCTACAAATATGCCCTTGTCAACAGACCGGTACTGCCATGACATCAAGCGGCGCCTTGACCACATACTAATCTAACAAGTCTGTATATACTGCTACCCCTACTATTAGCCCCTATCCCGATACTTTGCTTACTTTACGAATAACCTCACAACTGCTTTAAGAAAACAAAAATTATATGTAAATATTTTATAAGAGTCTTTCTTGTTATCTATTTTATTTCTATTTATGAACACGATATTTACTAAGATTGAGATTATTAATAATAACGAGGCTATTACTTTTATGAATAACTATATCTACTAGATTGTTAGATCTAGTTTAGAGAAAATATGATATAACTATAGTAGATCATCCTTTGAATCGGAGAAGACATCTTATATTAAGAAATAAGTTATTCCAAGGATTCGTTGCGGCAAGCTTCTCTTACCATGTTTTTGTGGGGTTTTGACCTTAGATCTGATATATTAGATGAGGACACATCCTAGTGACATGATAAGAGTATTAAAATTGCTCACATATATAAGAATTTCTTTCTCAAAAAATCTCTTTCTAACATCGTTGGAATGTTCTTAGCTTGTTTCCATCTTTGCACCCAGTGTAGACGCAATTTTGTTTATCGAGGTTTTTCGTGTCAAACAATCAAAGAAACCTTATAGGGATTTATTCTTCATTTCAATTTTATCATAGGCTCTTCTTACTCCTTCAATGCGTTCTAAGTAATTCATTGATGTTGCAGACCTATAGATGACATGTTTCCCTCCGCTTTTTGAGAACGTATTTCCGAATATCTGGTTAAGGCATTGTCATTCTTGGAGTTTGTATATGTTAGCCATTAATTTATGATAGAATTAACGGAGGAGGTTTAACTTACCTAAAATTACTCAAGTTGAGAGATGGGTCCTTTCTGGCATTTTAGGATAGATCGATGTGGAGTTCCATCTATCGAGAAGATATTCGTCACTGGGCTGATGACGGAGACTATCTTCTTCTTGGCTAGGTTTTGCGGTTATAATTCGACGATTTTGAGTTGCGGCATTGTTTTCCGGTACTCGATTTAAACTCTGGTAACTGTTCTTAGTAGCACCTGCTTTAGTTGAGTCGAAGCGGCGTGATGCCAATTTTAATACAGGGCGTAATGTCGGAAGACACGCCGAGATAATCCCAGAAGAAACTTCGATGATAGTCCAGGTGATACTAACAGATCCTGAGTCTGATTCACAAATTTATTCAATTAGTGGAAACTATCATAAGAATGATTTTTATAAGCCACTTACATGTTGTATCAATCTGATCATAGGTAAGGAGCGGGACCATTCGGTAGCACGTGGTGAATGTAACACTAATCCGGGGTCAGTTAAGGACTATAGCAAATTGCCTGGGGAATTCTGGAAATACAGAGTACGATAAGAGAAAAGAAACATACAAACTGCCGAGGAGGAAGATGCCAATGATAGCAATCCGATGAGTCACTGAAGTATGAAGTTTCCATACACAGCGAACTGGCAAGCACAACATGGCTATATCAGACAATATATGCGGTGCTGATCCCATAACGAAATAGACTGTTCTGTTCATGCAATGGCCTGGAAGGGTTGTATTCCAATATTTTGCGACTGGCACACATTGAAAGATATTGGCAACAATACTAGCCAGTAACCATGATGTCACAAATGTTCCAACAATATATATCCCAATGCGAGTTGGTCTGTCAATAAAAATTCGGTAATACATGACAAGGACAGATAACTTGACGGCTGACATGGTAAAGCTATAGATATACTCGAAGGCAAAGCTTAGCTGCCAAAGGTATATGTAAATTAGAATAATAGCCAGGATAATACCGTTATTTCAGAGTAGATAGTCAAAACTTACCTTGAGAACAATTACAAGATTTTCCAGTGGAAAATCTTCAATATGTAAACCCATTCCGAGTCGTACCGCTATGCCTTGTTAGAAGATTACACAGAGAATAGTAGAAAGAAAAGGGTTGAATGAATAAGACGATGAAATATGTACCTGACAGATTTAGTCCCAACAATGCAAACTCGGTTACCTATGAAATTGCACGATAGAGGTTTGCAGTCAGTTCGCAAGTCTGCTTAGATATAGAGATCTACCATACCATTGCAAAGCATAGTAGGATATCATCAACACCATAACAACGATTATTCACCCAGCGTGCCAGGAAGCGTAAAGCAAGGAAGATCACAGCAAGAACAGTTATAGTAATTGTACCTGCCTTATTCTGTGCCTGATAGCTGCCATGAGTGGTCGCCATCTTTTGACAGATAAATAACTGTGTCTTATAGCTCGACAACACAATGTGTAGACGATGTTGGGTTCGCCTGCTGATTATTGATGTAATCTAGAAAGAGATATTTTGGAATTATTAGTACGTAGCATGCAATCCTGATTTCGAAAACCATGGTCAGATGGGAATAGATATGTAAATTCAAAACCATCTTAGGGTTCAAAGTCTCTTTAATTTGTCTTTTCTTTTCTTTTTTTTTGTTTTTGGTGTTTTGCTTTTATCGTTTCTCCGCGACCTGCGTCGCTGAAACCAATGCGCTTAGGCATCTCCGCCTTCTCCCCTAAAGGTAAAACTTAAACGGCGGCCATAGAATAGCTTGGGTTCGTATCACACTTGGAAGGTTTTATCCTGAAATGGCTTCATTCCAATGTTTCCTATTGGACGATAAGGCGGCTCGTGCCTTGGCTTTTCTGAGATTAGCACCTAGACTACTACTAATCCAATACGGAGAGCATAGTTCACAGTGTGCCGATAAGGGCTGAAGGTAACTAGTAAAGTCCAAGGTGGCCTAGAATATTGCCATGAGTCAGACCAGGAGAAATTAATGTTTAGCGAACAGACGTTGAGCTGTTATTAATGCTGAAGAAGAGAAAGTAAAGCTTAGAATCTCGAGTCAGTCCAGCTTGTGTAGGGTCTGAGCCACTTAATAACGGTGCGATATTAACCGAAACATTGTTGTGTAACTTGACCCGGAATTTGTATTCCGGAAGTCATAGCGCCGTACACTCGAACGCTATTCTGACTTTTTTCGATCCTTCGAGTAACGACGCCCACTCATACCAATAAATTACATAGGACGTAGCAACTCATCAGCAGAGAGACTATTGTTTGCTTTTTTGTTGTCTGTTTGTTGGATCAAGATTGATAGTCCGGTTTAGCAACATCCTTTTACCTGTCTCTATGCCAAGACTCTCTCAAGCTAAATACAGAAGACTATTACTCGGTTATTTTAATGGAGGATACAGGTGACCTGGTAGTGGATCTAGACCAGAAGGTTTGTGTGCCAAATTCGGGTTAGTTTCGGATTGCATGAAGCACCCATGATGCGGTTGGAAACCGGTCAGGGGTTGTCTGAGAGACTATATATGAAGGTGCGACATCTACTAGGCCCCGAGTCGAAGGCTACATGAAGTCAGCGATGGTGTCAATAAGGATAAGGCATATATAGAGGATTAGAAAGATAGTAGAAGGTGAATCGAAGCCGATTCGGCTTCAATATCAATGTCAGATTCAATTCCGAAAGTAATATATGGTGAATATACAAAATGAATTGGCTGAACCCTTGTCCAGTCTTGCCCGGTTGCCCCGGGGTTCAAGCTTATAAGCGTACGGCTCCTCTGGGGATCAGTCCCCAGTCTAACTGCTTTTGGCGTGTATGGGGCGAGTGGGAGGGGGTATGTTACGAAACCAACTTACCTGGCACTAAGTTGATGATAAACCCAAGATCGATAGGTTAGCTCATTATTGAAGCAGCCAATGTCATACTCAACCATTTCCAAGGCGGTGCACCACGGCTTTGACAGTACTGTAACGCCGATACTCAGTGCTCGATCAAATAATAATGGGATTAAGTGGTACGAATATTATATGTCTCTTTAAAACAATTATTTCTCTACTACCTCTTGAAAATCAGAATGGATAGACGCCCTTAATCATCGTCAAACTGGTACGAATGCAAAATAAAAGTGTTATCGCAGCTCCTGTTTTATCAATAATCTTCAAATGGCTTCCATAAAAGAGAGTAGAATATGGAAGGTTTCACAAGAATAATCGTATACGTTAAAGCGATTAACTTCTTCCTCCGGGTTTAATATAAATTTCTTTCGAGATTATTGCACTACCGGGGTTGACGAATATGTATGATGTGATGAGTGAATAGCCTTCCTTGCAGAGTTCTCTCACTAGGACATCCCAGGGTCTACTAGATGAAAGTGGAAAAAGTAAATTACCGGTTATAATGTGCTAACAAACACAGTAGAGTTCGGACGTAGTAATAACAAAAATGAGGTATTTTGGTTTGTCACAAAAATGCGACAGTCATGGATTTGTTAATTGGTCCCATCTAATATAAGATATTCCCCAGACACACTAGCATCCGTTCTCGCATGACGTGAGAATCGAGAAATATCGGGTTCCTTTTGTCCCCGGATAGAAGCCTTTACAGGTATCATCACAATGTTACCGGCTTCTACTTCAGATTGTCTGCGGCGGCTATGACTACTCGACCATTGTATCGCCGTTTCCCAGAACTTGGAGACCAACGGGTGTAATACGGATGCAGCAGTCACAGTGATGAAACTTCCTGTTTCAACCACGGTCCATAGTGTTATAGTGGTAGTCATTTGGATAAAGTTGTCGCTTGTAACCGCTTGCGGAATATAAATCATTCTGACAATAGTTGCTCCAAAAGACCTATAATATGTCATCGTTTCTTCAGTGTTATTCGAAACGAAGATAGGGAGTAGGGTTAAACTTACGTAGCACTCAAGGACATGAACGCACCAATGATAATTTTCTTCCGTCTTTTAATCATGACTTTTTTCAAAACCCAAATCGTTATGGTGACAACAATAACGTCCGCCGTAATCATAAATGCTCCGTTGATGTAATTAAGTACCTTTAATATGCTTGCATGGGAGCATTGAGAATGGCCATGAGTAGCTGGGTTGCACGTAATGAGAAGCCAGATGCAGAAGAAGGTGCTAAAAATGCTAAGGACCGCGATGAGAATATAAAGCATATATCTCTGGTGGGTATTTGCAACAGTGAGAAGGGTAACACTGAACGAAAGTTTGGCTGTAACGGCTGCGACGATGTATAGAAGTGTAGTGGCGTAGAAGACCTGATGATATTTAGCTTCAACGTATTCCTATGTGTTTGTTATAATCTGGAACCCCCACCTTTTCAATGTAGTCATAGTTTGCTGGCAAATTGTCAAGTTTGGTGTTTAACATTTGTGCAATCAGGATGGTTGCTACGCTAAATGTCAACTATGCACTCGTGAGTTGCAGAATATTAACGAAAGCAGCGAGAAACATACTATAGCCGTAATCACCAGGGCGTCATCAATTAGCAACATTTTCTTGATTCCGACGCGCGTATAGATTCGCAGGGCCATCATGGCCCAGGGCACGACCAACAAAACAATGGAGACAACAGTCAACGGACGAGTTTCAACGCGCTCCATGACTATGAACGAAGTTATTCACAAAACGACATTTGGAAATAAGAGAAGAGACATTCTTTGGTATGGAAAGCCTAGATTTCGGTAAATGGGCTAGCAGAGTTGGAGGAAGGTCGTCGCGCTCTAACATAACCTGCCTCAAAGTCGTCGGACTACTTGTCCGCAAGCGGTATGGTATATGTAATACCATGTTTGTTAATATTTTGTCAACTTCTAACCAAAAGGGCATTGCTACTTGGCACTTGCAACCAAACTTTAACCAGCGAGTCAGTCAAGCCTGAGCGTAACGATCATCTGTAACTTGGTGTGACTTGGCGAGTAAATCTTCCGCGAGTAAAATGCCGGTACCTGTCCGCCAAGGCGAAGGTTCCGTATCCCCGCACGCGTTGCAGGGAACCCCCCTGTAACTCAGATCATCCTCCACAAGGCGATACCTGTAAAGCAGTGGATCCCCAGGGGCCTAGGTGTACGGCCAATCCAATCATATTAGCAGGGCCCCCCCACTGAAAACCTTATGTGCCACTCTGCATGCATGAACCCGGACTTACCGGCCGGAAAAGGATCAAAGGAGGGAAGACATGGGTCAAAAAGTCTTCGTTTTATCAGCCTGGACTTTCAACCCATCTGCTCACATGCAGAGCGCCTGTAAGGCCCCTGATGTCAGACCATCGGACTTGGCGATACAATAGATGTCTCTGACTACCCAGTATGAAATCTCGACGGGCTCGTATCTTAGGATTAGGAATATTGACCAGATAACCATACTGAATTGAAGAAGCTAGTCAGATTTCGAATTTCTCAAAGATTTGACAGATAATAACTATTTGATATATTCTCTCACTATTTCTAAATTTTATTTTCAAGATAAATACTAGAATAAGATTCTATTATAAATTTCAGATAATAGATTACCGACAGAAACAACTAAATTTGTAGCTATAGATATTTATAGTATAAAATGATCTAATTCTCTTTTTAACCGACTTAATATCACCATAGAATATAGGGAATTAATTATAGCATTGGTAAAAACTTATTTAGGAGTAGTAGATCGTCTATAGTCTGATAATATCATGTTTGCTAAAGGCAGGGATTATACAGTGATATTATAGTATAAGTAATAGACTACAGAATGAAATTTATACTAATGTGTGGAGTGGACCTTCCAAGCTTAGAAAAACCTTAAATGTCTAAGTGGTTGTGGAATATCTTCAGCGTCTGTTGTACTCAGTGAGCATGAGTCCTGTGGATTATTGACTGTCCTTGGTCAGCACTTGGTATTTTAGATTTAGCTGAAGAATTTCTATACAATGCTGATATTCTGGAAAATTAATTATAACAGATCTTTATAATAACAAAGACCTAGAATGCTCTAGTTCTCTTTGACAAAGCCAATATAATTTTTAAAACCTTGCGTATGCGGAAGAGTTGCTGGGGATAATTCCCAGCTTTTGTGAGCGGCCATTAATCGATGTGGTGTCAAATATGAATACGGGTATCTTCAAATGTTCTATTCAAATATGAATTTCTGTAAATTCAAAGTCCTAGGATTATTAGTTACTAAGCAGTTGATGGTCTCATGTGTATTGGCCATACTGCTGCCGAAGTGGCTTCAATTGTGATAATAGAGACCGCCGAAATAAATGCACATATACTAATGGACCGCCAGTTAAGATGTAGTACAGCATCAAAGTATCGAATGATTAAAAGGACACCAGGAAAGCCAGGCCAAGATTATAATCCCAGCGACATCAAAGGGGAAACGATTGATTCAAATTACAGTAGAGCAGCAAAAGTTTGAATATAGCACCACTACATTTGAAAAGTGGATTGGGTATAGAAGCCCTCCCCATATCGATACTAATAGTACTTCATTATTTTGTACTATCTATGAGCAGGATTCTGAGAAGAATTTTAATCTGATCTTAATTAGGATAAATATGAATATAAACGTAGAAAATCTTGATACTATATTTAAATCTTGTCATTCCACTGTAAGAAACACAATGGTAGTGAGCCAAAAGTCAGATTCTGGAATCAGGAAAAGGGTTGGTCCCACCAGGGGATCTCCGCGATTTAGCCCCGTGTATGATGCTTTTTGTCCAAGATGTCTCTAGCATCATCGCTAGTAGATCTGGTAGCTACAATAAATTGAAGAAGGTTGACAATAATGCAAGAGATATGCGGATTGGGTCGCATTGGGTGCGAACCAGTGCAAGGCATTCTATAGTAGTCTAATTCTAGTATCGATTTTCTTGTCCTGCTATTACTGTGACGCTTCCTCAGATGAAAGGTGCCGTCGATTGGGATTTTCCCGATATCTGATCAATTTTGCTTCTTCTTCTTCTTCTTCTTCTTCTTCTTCTTCTTCTTCTTCTTCTTCTTCTTCTTCTTCTTCTTCTTCTTCTTCTTCTTCTTCTTCTTCTTCACCGAGAACACTCCGCCAGATGAAGCTATTCTAGTGTCCATAAATCCTTGGATGTTGTAGAATCCCATATATTCCATTCACTTTTCATCCCACAGAGCAAAGCCATGTTTTCGATATGATGCAAAGGGACGGCTATCCAACGGAGAGTAGTGTTTTCGCCTAAGAACTCGATATATTCTGTAAGCAGGCAATTGCGTGTACCAGCGAGCTTCCATGTACCAACGAGAGCTTTCATGCTCTTTAGGGTCCTTCCACGGTGCACAATGATAATGTAATTTGTAGGTGTCTGGAGTTGAAATGGGCGTTCCTTGTAAAGAAAAATCAAAATGATTCAAGCTCTCCAGGAATTCAAATTTTGTATAGACTTATTGTAGGAGATATCCAGAACCGCCCCTGTAGAAGCTGGTTACAGTCATACCTTCCAGGAGATTTCTATCAGAAGTTGACCAATGGTACAAGCGACCTTGATTCCGTGCAATTTGGAGCTTGAAAAACAATTAAACTCTCTATATATCTTGGATAGTCCGTTGTTCTTCAGTCCATGAAGGAGGGCCAGTAAACGGTGGCTGATACTTTTGCCTCGGGGCCTTTGCCTCGAAGGCTTCAATACATTGTAACGAACAGTTGGGTCATCTAAACATGACGGCTCCAATGCCATTAACCGTGGCAAGTAATGGTCCAGTCAATGGGGAATGGTACTGTTTAGAAATGCGAAAGAGGTGCTGGGGGTTTAGGTCCGGATTCTGTGAGCAGGACACTGCTTTTGGGATGTAGTGACCATCTGATACCATGTACCAATCAAACAGTTCCAAAACATACGGATTTTTGTCCAGGGATTTGATGTCCTAATTATTTGGATCAGAGAGTCGCAAGTTCAAGCCCAAATATGTCTCTTATATCTAAGGTAATTGTCTGTAGAACTTGGGCGAAATTTGGCATCACTTCTTGTTGGATATCAACACCCTATAGGAGTTATTGGAGATTCTGATATCGCTCGAAGATGCATGGTCTGTGATATTGTAAAGTCGTGATAGTATTGGGAGTGAGAGACTGGCAGCAGGCAGAAGAGAGGTCAGGCTCACTAGGCACTAGGTTATATCTAGACTAGCGTAGAGTAATATCTGTAATATTATTGGCCGGTCCTTATCAGGCTTGGCCCAGGTGGCAGCAGAAAATGGAATAGCTCCGAGGCCACGTGAGGACCCGCCAGAGAGTGATTGTCACTGACATGTTTTTGTCACTGTTTCTCTTCTGCAAATCGAGTTCTGTTGGCCTTTTTGGACGTGGCAGCTGTATCGCTGGTGGTATTGCCAGTATATATCTCATAAGCGATATGATCTGGGGTCACTATAGCGCCGCACGATAAGCCGATACAATAGGACGAAAATGGCATCATCCCGCCGCCTGGTCACGGACTCCGAGAAGCAGGTACGTATTTTACTTCTTTTACTCCCTCGCATGTTATTGAGAGTACCTTAACATCTCTAATATGTTAATGCAGGTTATCAGGTCAGATGACATGCAGCAAAAATGGTACCAACCGCCATCAAACCGAAGGGCTAGTCTTGTGAAGGCCTGCATTGTTACGGTAATTGCTCTTTTGGGGCTTTATATTTACCTTCCGGGATTAGACTTGGCTTCTTATTTCACGCCATGTGCATTTCAGAGGCAGTCTGTAGTCGGCGAGGACGCTAGCTTGGGTGCAGTGGCGAGCGAGAGCGCTGCATGCAGTGCTGCGGGGATTGAGATGTTGAAGAAAGGAGGTAACGCAGCAGATGCGGTGAGTATTTACTTTGGAAAAGGCGAATAATTAGCATTTCTGATCCAGCGTAGATGGTGGCAACGGTATTTTGTGTTGGCGTTATTGGTAGGTGAACCCATTTCCAGAGAAGACTGATTGAGCGCTAACATCACCTAGGCATGTATCATAGTGGCATTGGAGGTGGTGGCTTTATGTTGATACGATCTCCTGATGGCACCTTTGAGAGTGTTGATTTCCGTGAGACTGCACCGGCCGCTGCCTTTCAGGACATGTACACCAATGATACGAAGGCATCCATCGAAGGGGGACTAGCAAGGTAAGACACTAATCTAGCATCCGGACTATATATGTAGTATTAATATATGTGTTCAGCGGAGTGCCTAGCGAAATACGCGGCTTGGAGTATTTGCATGAAAACTATGGCGTCCTGCCGTGGTCCACAGTCTTGCAACCTGCCATAAAAACTGCTCGGTATGGCTTTCCCATGACGGAAGATTTGATGCGTGCAGTACGCTCGACGGTGAAAGGCGGGAAAACCTTTCTCGTAGAGGATCCATCATGGGCTTTAGACTTCGCACCTAATGGAACCTTGTTAAATCTTGAAGATACCGTGTACAGAAAGAGATATGCAGATACGCTTGAAACCATTGCGAACGAAGGACCAGATGCCTTCTATACCGGCTACATCGCTGAAACAATGATCAAAGCCGTTCAAGACGCTAATGGTACGATGACATTGCAGGACCTTGAGAACTACGGGGTAGTTGTGGGAGATACTCCCCAGATTGACTACAGAGGTTACAAAGTCACCAGTACGTCGGCACCATCGGCTGGCTCTATTGGGCTAAGCATATTGCGGATTGTAGAGGGATATGAAGATTTCTTTTCACCAGACTCGATTGCGCTGAGTACACATCGACTTGATGAAGCTATGCGGTTTGGTTACGGTCAGGTTTGTTTCTTATATTCATTTATGCTGCATTTTCCCATCTAACTTCAGGTTAGAGAACAACATTTGGTGATCCTGCATTTGTGGAGGGTTTGTACCAGCGCGAGCAGGATATTCTCAATGACACTACCGTTGAAGGTATTCGACGGCGTATTTCCGACCTACGTACTCAGAATATATCCGCGTATGATCCAGACGGACTTGAAAGCTTGGATACGTGGGTTTGACCTTTGAGAGACCTGTCATTCCATGGCTGACAAAATAACAGGCCCGGGACGTCTCATATTTCTACAGCCGATCGCTCCGGATTGGCGGTTACACTCACCACGACGATCAACTTATTCTTTGGCAGCTTGTTGATGGTCCCCGAGACTGGTATCATTATGAATAATGAAATGAACGGTTAGTACTTCTGAAGTCATACATACGCTATTAGTACCATCAAAACTTATTATCCTCCAGATTTCTCAATTCCTGGGTCATCGAACGAATTCGGCTTCGTCCCATCTCCCTCCAACTATATCCGGCCAGGGAAAAGACCCCTCTCGTCCATCACGCCTATGATCGTCACGCACCCTGATGGCTCCTTGTATTTCGTCACCGGTGCCGCCGGCGGCAGTCGCATCACGACCGCTACCGTGCAAAGCGTCATTAACGTAATTGACCGGGGAATGGACCCGTTCGGTGCGCTTGCCGAGCCGCGTTTGCACGATCAGTTGATCCCTAACCGGGTTACGTTTGAGTACAGCTTCAACAACGACACGGTCAAATCCATGCAGACACGCGGACACAATGTGACCTGGGTAGGACCGGGACAGAGCTCCGCCCAAAGCGTGCGACTATTGCCCAACGGCACATTTGAGGCCGCTGGAGAGCCACGGCAAAAGAATTCCGGAGGGTATGCTATATAATTGGTTATTTAATCTGATCTGTGACTTTATTTTATGTTAGATATAGATTGTTTTAGACAGAATGTTTGTTGATCAATATCATCCGACTTTCACACTAACCCTTTTTCATTGTTTCCACTTAATCCACTGTATACCAAGACTACATAGTTATGTATAGTAAGGTGGATTAGATCAGACAATAACGATCCCATGGGACACCCCGCTTCGGCCCGCGGTTCCAACCCAAACCTTGTTTAACTAACCCCCTCAAGCCAGGACTAAACACACAACAATTATGATTAATATTAAGAATTGATGGCTCGCTCACTGCACGCGGGTACCTGCTTACCTGCTTACTGCCCGTAAGCGAGCGGCGGCGCTGCCTAAGGCAGGAATCGCCGTTGAGGCAGCGATCCGCAGCGGCGACGGGCGGTCCGATTGGCCTGCGGCTTGCCGGGCGGTGAAGCGCGCGAGTATTGCTCGCCTCTGACTTGCTCGCAACTTCGCCCTACACGACTCAAATAATCAATCGCATGCTTTCTTCCATGTGATGCACACCGTGATTCGCGATTAATTTTAACATTTCTCCGTTTACTTGCTGTTTGATTTGGGGCCTGAATTCACGGAAGCCACCAGCGGCACAGCTTGCCATCCACTACCTGCTCTCCCCCGCCTCTAAACAGTAAGCGCTGCCCACGTCACATACTGGCTCCGCCGTCCCTCCAGCACATCGAACAGACACGGCAGCCAGATCTAGTGTGGCCGACATCCATAGTCTTGCAGGGCTTGGGCCGCATTATGTCTCCTCTTTTCACTTCCTCGCTATAGACTCCTGCTCATTCCATCAACAAGAGTAGTTGTGGTACGCCGCTGCAACTGCCAAGTTGTCATCCATCGTCCATCCACTACAGGCTGGTAAGCACCGTCTTCCACAGTGGGTACCTCGTGTTCTTTGAGTGGTAAGCTCATCTTAAGGTTTTCGACACTAATTAACATATTGCAAACTAGACCAGACACGTGCTTCCTGCTCCCCTCAACGGCTACTATCTGACTGACGTGCGTCATGTCCTCCAAGCCCAAGCTGTGGAATATCCTTGGCGACCGTGACGAGCGAGACAAACCAGCCACGAAATCGGCGAAGAATAATCGAGATAGAGAAAAGGACAAGGCGAAAGAGAAAGACAAGCGCGTCGCAAACCGCTCGTCCCATGGAAAGAAGGCGAGCACGCCAACCAAGGATCGCGACTCGGTTATAACCGCCCACTCCACTTCATCCACCTCGACTTCTCAGACTCGCACTCGTCGCTCGTCAATGCCCGAAGTTGACAGCGCCCCCAGGTCCGCGGCGACCTCTTTTCTCGAGTCGCGAACTAGCCTCCCGTATCCGACCTTCTCGAAAGCACATAGCAAAGTAGAGCTATGGGACAAGCACCAACGGGCGCAGAAGGGGGAAATCCCGACGCCGGACCCTACCGATGTTGCGGATGGAGATCATCGCCGTGGTGAGGGCCGCAAGTCGTCGTCGCGAAATGGCCATCGTCATGCTACTCCGCCGAGCCCGCCTCTCACCGCAGACCAGCGTTCGTCAAGGAAAGGAAGTTCGATGGGTAGCAAGGAGCTGAAGAATAAAGAGAAGGAGAGGGATGGGAAACCCAGAAGTCGAAAAGATCCAACGCGGTCAACGTCCAGCTTGGAGAGAAAAGTTGATGAGGAATCTGCCGTGAGTAGCAAGTCGCCTCTTTCAAGCACTCCAGTCAAGGTCCGACTACGAGAATCGTCGACACCAAATCGCTCGGCTAGTCATAAGACTTCTAGATCTACACTCCAGGGATCTGATGCGCCCAAGCGGACTTCAAGTCATAGCGCAAAAACACAAATACGTTCAACTGTTACAAACGGGACCGAAAGCACATCGGAGTTCACAAACGACTCCGATGCGACATCGGTTGCCCCGAATCAGCCGAAACCACCATCACGGATGCAAAATCGCTCATCTACTCCCCAGAGCCGCTTCGCCAGAAGGAACTCTCCCCAGATTGAAGTGTTCATGGAAGGAAATGAGTCTGTTGTCAATGGCGAACACTACGCGTCTTCCCCACCTCCACCGCCACCTCCTCCTCCTCCCCCGGAGATGCCTATTGCTCCTCCACGAGTGGATTACTTATTACAAAATGGCGGTTTAGCCTACCCACTACCAAAACATTTGCTCGGGGCGGGTCAGTCACCAAATATGCCTCACCAGCTCACCCAGCCCCAAAACGCCGTCATTCAAGTATTCGAACCATTCAATCGCATACTAGATGACTACAACCATGTCATGGAAAAGAATGGCTCTCTTGCAGTTGCAACAGGCTATCGATCTGTGGCCAGGCGTCTACTGGACCGACTAGAGGCTGTTTTTGCACGAGATATCTCCTCCGAGGCTTGCCAGTGTATCATGTGTGAAGATGATCAATTAGGTGAGATGTCTCCTGGTGTTAGCTGGGGGGAAGTGTTGGAATTGGTCTCTGGGCGACGGGAACTGCCCAGCTGGCCGCCGTTCCACATGGCAGCGTCGGTGAAGGCTCAGATGGTACCAGGCGAGGAGCATATCCCAATGCAGAAGCTTGATATTGATGTCCCAGAAGAATATCGCGAGCATTATGTCCGTCAGTCCCGCAAAACCAAGCAATCAGTCGATAAATGGCTTCTCGGTCAAACTGAGATGAGCCCACCGGAGGAAGTAGATGACGAGACATTGACTTTTGCGATGATGACCTACTTAGACTCGGCAAATCGAGACACCTTCTGCGCTCTTCTTGGCATCAAGTCAGCGACCCCAGTCCCTGGGAATGCTACGCCAGCTCCTCGGTCCCGCCCGGACTTTTTAATTGCTTCTTCTATAGCCATACAGCGTTTGTACCGGCTCGCCGCACCTGCTCGAGAATCCGAAACTGCGCTCTATATGCTCAATAACCCTTACATCCACAACGTCTTGGCGACGCTGGCAGCAATCAGCAATGATGAATGGGAGATCCTTATTTCAGGCCGTTTTGATGGGTTCCTGCGAAGCGGTGCTGAGGACAACTTCAGCCCATCCATGACGGCCTCAGCTCCCCCAAGATCTGCTAGCCGATCTGGAACGCCCTTCCTCCCTGGATCCTCTCGCGGAACAACTCCATTCCAAATGGACCCAACACTCCGACCAGTCAGTCAACCTTATGGATCATCCGTTGCATCTGCCTCCTACGGTGCCCCCATCGCACTCGACGAAGATACAGAAATTGCATCTCTAGCCGAAATCGAGAGGGACATCTACCAAAGCATGGAAGCTCTTGAAGATGCCTTCGAGGCGCTCCATTGCAAAGCCGAGGTCATTCGACGCAAACTTCGCGAGCGAGGCGCTGGCCTGTCAGTCGCCAACCAAGCCCGTCGCGGATCCGCTGCCAACCTTGATGCGCGAATGGGCACCCCCGCATCTATGTTCGGCGGTCAGTGGGACAGCAGCGGCTTGGATGAAGACGACGGCATCGACGATGACATGTCGCTCGCCCCCGACGACTCCGCAAGCAACATCAGCTCCAGCCGTAGGCGCCGACCGAAAAGACGTAGCGAGCGCCGCACCCCGGCGCCTGTAGAAGAAGAAGATGAAGAAGGGGACTATGATGTATACGAATCCCGACGAGATCGACGCCGGTAGTCGTATACTCGCTTACCTTCTACAAACGGTTAAAGAAACAGTTTTGTGCTAGCAGTCCAACAGCATGCATACTACTTTTTTGTGTGAATGATTTGATGATACCAATACCATTTTTCGAAATTATTCTAAAATTGACTTTGTGTTTTCATTTTTTTGGAAATATTTTGGTTGACGATGTGTGTTGGGGCTGTCCCGCAGAATGAATGGGGATACGCAGGACATGGTACTACTATTAGCGCTATTGCATGGTCTGGTTTATATATCACGAAGGGTATTGTCATAGTATTCAGTATTGCGGATGTTTTAAGCAATCAATTCAACATTTGCAAGGGTAACGACATAAAGTTTTTATATTTTTTTCAATGTCGTCACTGTCAACTACATTGTATCAGATTCAGTGTTCAATGGTTCTACGGTATGGTCTCAGAGTTACAAATATATTTTTACAAATGTAAGGTAAACGACAACTTTTGTCACCTGACTGTAAATCAATGTCGATAAATATCTTAGCAGGAAGAAGTTATTTCAGGAACCAATTCAAAATTTAATGTGATCATCTATATGTTAACTGATATACCTCGTCCAAATCGATGTCACTCATAAATAACTTGTGGTATCAAGACATTAAATAAGATGTTAGTATATTAAGAAATTAAAAATATAAAAATTATTTTTTCCACTGGAGAGAAACCACAAAGACTACTTCCCCCAGATTGGCCCCTTCACTGATGTCGTATGGTGGTGCATCTCGTCACTTGACCGTGGACTCGTATTTTGCGGGTACGCGGGCTCACTGGTAATCTCAATAGTGGTCTCCTGATACACCTTTCCAATCTCTCCAAGCTCAATATCCTTTTGCACGATATTGTCGGTTGACCCGGACCGTTCTGAGAGTGAAGAGCGCGTCTCTTTTGCACGCTGGCCAGCATTCCCAGCATTCTGCCGGCCCGCTCCTGCTCCCCCCCTAGTAACGGTGGTGATGGTTGTGGTTAAATTGGTTGAGCGGTTACGCCCCCCCTGACCACTGACAATGTTGTTATAAGCGCTGTTCCCACGATACTCAGAGTCCGTGATGAGGTTCCGACGGGTAAGCGTGTACACAAGCACGTCGACGAAGCCGGAGCTCGTCATCATGGCGCCTGCCAAGCAAAAGTATGTGAGGTTGGGGTTTTGGCCGCGAGCAGACGCCATTCGGCCGGCGGCAAGGGGAAGAGAGAGAACGACATAGGTGACGGGGTAGATAACCATGTAACCGACAACACGTCGAAGTCGTTTTAAGCTTTCGAGCTGAGCGCTTCCGCCGAGGATCGATGATGCGGAGATTTGGCGTCGCAGTTGAAAGTACATGATGGCGTAGAGAATGACGGTGCCGAATTCGGCGAGGAAAATCCATAGATAGTGAGTCCAGAGACGCTCGGCTTCGTATTTTTCGTTGATCCAGCACTGAGGGTTTGCGATGTTAGTGGATTGGATAGAAGCGTAGGCAGGGATGGTTACGTACCCATGCCCCGGAAGGAACCATCACATCGACTCCGTGGTTAGCAATCGGGATGGCCACGATGACAGCCAAAAAGACCCATACACCAACAACGGCAACTACAAACCATTTGTGTTCAAGTTTACGGCCTGAAGTGACGAGCATGAAAGTGTGTATGGCAATGGCAAGCACGAATAAACCACTGCCTGGATCCCCCACCTGTAGCCATAAGCCTTGTAGGAAACAAGCTGCCGTGCCGGCACGTATGGCGTCGTTGTGAATCCAATGAAGGCAAATCAGAAATCCCAATGATTGCTGCAGATCAGCGAGTAGAAGATTGTAAATGAGAATGATATACTGGTTGTGACCCAGGTATCGTTTGGCACCTTGTCGCCAGAAGACTAGCCGATAGGTGATGAAGCATAATAGGCCAAAAGTGGCTAACACAGACAGCATGGCGAGAACTGAAATGGCAATAAGTCCTTTGTACTGTGTGCTGGGTAGAGGATCAATGTCCAAAGGCGAACTCCTCGTCGAGAGAACATTGTTAGTGTGAGAAACATCGGTGCTGCTGCTAAGCAAGCTCACTGCCCGCCATAAATTCATTCTTAGAGTGAGGGTTAACTTTGATGGAAAACATAAACGCCGAATAAACGCTAACTGTTCGTGTATAGAGATCGCAAAGCGACTAGTCGTAGGTTATCAATCACCAGATATCTTCAGAAACAAACTCTAGAAGAATGGTACAGGGGCAAGACAATCTATATGCAAAATAAATGACAATGGGCTATCTCAAGAGGTACAAGAAAGGAGGGCCCAGTCCAGTTAACATGGAAAGGGATCGCACGGAAATAATAATGCCGGCTCTCGGTCAAAGCTTGAAAAATAAAGTCTGGGAACTTTAGAATGGACAAGCTTTTGAGACAGAATAAGACGAGAGTGGAAGAGATCACCAAGAAGGTAAGAGTTCACGCCGGTATTTTTGACATCCAAGGAACCGGACAGAACTATTGATTATTGCTATTGAGCACGAGGCAAATTCAGTTTGGATTCTGGACTGAATGGAACCGTGTGGTACCACAGGGATTTTCCTATTGACATGATAGGGCTCGAGCTAGCGATATGGAGCACGGCCGTCATACAAAATGCACATCTTGCCACGGCATTGTTCCTGCTGCGGCGACTACAGACCACTGCCCATCATGGCTAGACAAACAAGCATGTACTGAATCTGTTAACGGCAACGAGCCCCCATGCAAATACCGTTCGCTAGGGCCCCTATTGGCAGTGGGCTGGGCCGTTGGTGGGCTCGTGGCTCGTGCTCATCAACTTTAGTCTTTGAGATCAGTTTGGAATGACACCTTCAAACTTTTGCTTATGGCAGCTGGGGCAGTCTCAGCCTATGGGTTCTCAAACCCCCACGCTTCCACATGCCCGCTTTGTGCCAAGCCCTCGTTAGGTACGTAGAACTATTCGGCGGGGAAAAAGGTACAAAACCAACATCGGAAGCAAGAATCCGGGGAATACCGCCTATAATAGGTATGCACTGGTATGCCCTAGCATAGCCATCAATACGGGCACTTAACTTCGAAGTCCAACGAATACGGGTGCGTAAATGCGCAAGTTGCAAAAGCCTGCCGTTGAAGTCTTAAAATGCGGTGGACATTTTTGTTCAATTCGGGACCAGCTGGTGGGCATGGTGGAACCAGCAGCCAGGGTCCAACGGCCCTAATCAACGGTTAGCCATGTCGCTGCAAGTCAAAGGCCTCAGTGGCTGGTACGACGTACTTGTCTCCACGACTGTGGAGAATAGACATAATTGCTGCGGCAAGGATACGTAGTGCCTGTCTGCGCCGGAGACTCTGGACATTTTGGGCATTACTGCCGATTGTCGAATTCTTTGGAGAAATTTCAGCCGAGGCATTAAAATGTGTGTCATCTGAATGTGGATTAGGATGGTTCAGGGACAAGTCTATAGTGAACATTCTGATATAGACATTGAGACGCGGGTGACGAGCTAATAGAAAAATCAGATCACGATCACGATCATTGATCCTGATGCAAGAATCGCATGCAGGATCAGTAGACTCTGTGCTAGGGGAGGCCGTCTGCGGCTAGGTTCCGAGAGCGACACAAAGATGCTGTTGTTTGTGGTCTTTTTGTCGTTGTTCCATCAGCAAGAACCGGGGATCACGTGAAGGCCAGCAACCCTGTGCCTTTCGAAACTGCTGCTTTGATTTTGATATCTCCAGCAAATCCATTCCCCACTACCCATCATGACTTTAATTATTCCAATTTCCTGGCCGGCGATCATGATGTACATCTCCAGGCATATTCATTGGCCGAATCGCGAATGTCTTGGAGATTCTTGACCAGTCTAGATTGGGCGGCAATCAATCACTACTGAATTACTAATCCCAGTTGGTCTCTAATTGCATCTTGCACATCATCTACCACTAGCTTTCACCGGCGTGCAAATCTCGAAATTGCCTGCGGCACTACCTGCGTGATCCGTGGCCATCAGTCGAGTGGAGCGCCCCTTAAAGGCGCACCCCTCTATCTTAGCGGAGAAGTTGGTGCTATGCTCAAGCTAATGCAGTACTGAGATTTAGTAGTAAGCATCACCCTTTTGCATTATGAACCTTGTTAGCCACGTACGCGGCCAGTCACGGCTACTCATCTTATTGATCCTTGACCGGAGAATCGCAATGTAACGAGGACCTTCTGATTGCATGATCTCACAGCACATCTCCGTAAAGTCGGAGTTATGATATATGCAAGTGTCTCTCAACTCAAGAACTCGGGGGATATCATCAATATGGGCCAGCGAATTTATCATGATTAGGTTCATGATACATGATACTTGCAGAGATATTTTCTCATTCCTATTCAACACCCCCGCACACTAACTATCCTAGACGTTGCCACCCAGGGGGCTTGCACGATGCTGAGCGAACGAACCCCTGTCTCGACGCTACTTTTCGCTAGGTTTCAAAATGAGCCACGGACCACATGGAAAGAGTTTTCTCTCAGCATACGAACGGATCCGGTACATGCTTGTTCCGATACACACATTGGAGATGCCAGCGGGTTGCCAACGTGAGTTTTAATGCAAAAACTCAAAACAACCACCCGCAAACTTAACCGACCACCATCCCGACACCTTTACCCAAGCGGCTCCTGGTCTATGCCAGCCTATATGTGGCGCGGTTGGTGAAAGGTCCGCAACTGCCTAAGCGCGATTGCACTACTCGTGAACATGTGAGCGGCCAGCCGACGATCTTTTCTCGTCTACTTGCCTTTTCTTGCCTGGTCTCCAGATACAGCTGAAAGATCGATATCCAATAGGGGAGAAATAATAACCCCCCCCCCTGCCCCGCCTCCCCCCTGCCAAATTCAAGGTCAATGCGAATTCCCCTGCGTACGTAACACAGTAAGCTTTGACAATGCATGATGTGGTCGTGTTGGTGCCGGAGGAATTAGGCTAATAATTATGGGTCTCTTTTTCCCCTGACAGCGACGCTAGAAACTTCCAACCCATCTGGACTACTCCACCGGCCTTGATCTCGAATCAGCAGTCATAACATTGTATTCATGCTGAGTATGAGATACGGAGAGTTCCTTGCGCTAGATTGACAAAACCATTGTATGGCATATTAATGTATTCCACAAGCGAACGGCCACTCCCAAATTCCCATACAAAACACTACGTTAGTGAATATGTTACAATGCGACCCAGGCTGCCGCAGGTTGACGAACCAGGAAAAGTCACTAGTATACTCTTGAGGACGATAAAAAATCGCAACTATTAACATTATCTAATCGTGTTCAACCTCTCAAAATTGAGACATACGATAGCTTGAGAAAAATCTGATTTATTGCCACCAGTCCTGGCTATAATCATTCCTAGTGCTTACGTCCGTTAGCCTTTTTATGTAAGTAACCGGTACTAATGGATAATTTTTCCTTAATAAACTAGCCTTATGCGATTCCCCAGATCTCAGCTGCCAAAGAAGATAAAGAGCCGAAGATGGCGAAAATAAATATTCAATAGTGTGATCTTTGTTCCGGAATAGCTGCACATGTGCAAGTTTGACCTGAGACGTATGCGCATTCCCAAGACCTCGGGAATATTAAGATTCAATAGCGACGCCCGGAACGATGACGATCTACAAATAGCTGTATACTCTATATGCGAGGAAATCTTCACTATGCCTAACTGCAGTTAATCGCTGGCTTACTAATACACAGTCACCGTTTAAATTTGTATGCCTCGTTTCGATGAAAACCGAAAAATCTCCGTTTTATGCTGTTAGTGAATTAATCCTAAGAGATGTGTTTTCGGCCAATGGTATTGTAGATGTATATGCACATTTTGAGTTGAGACGAACTCGATCGGAAATAAGAATAACAAGTTTGGTGAGGGGACAACATTGAGGATTACGGTTGATATTTGAAATAGTTGCAACAGATTGATTGATTATATTTCCGTTGTGTGCTATGTGTGAACGAGGAAAGGTGGCTACATTGTAAGATTCTCAATACCATAGAGCAAGAAAGGATATATCTGGTGCAAGTTTGATATTCCAAATTGAAGGGTGCTTCATTCCCGATATTTCAAAATGGTTGGTCCTCCTGGAAATGCACCTGCTTACAGAATCCTGATCACTAAGAACAACACTCAGCAAAAGGCCAAAAAGAGAAGAATTGGTTGTTCATGATACAGAATCCTCGTCCCCGGCAGAATTCTGCATCTCAAGATCTTACGTTCACTCAATCGGATCACCGGTTTTAGGTGAATCCAAAACAAACGGTGGCGCTTGAAGGGATACAGAATTTACAGCTTGTCCGCCTGGTCGCATGAAGATGCTCCAATGCGAAGGCTAGATCTTCACAGTTGAGTGGTATGTTTTCAAGTGGGCTAGGCCGGTACTCAGGACACTATGCTTGGTTGCTCTGATACCTGCATAGCCTGCCTGTGTCATGGCAATGTTCACGAGAGATTTATTTGGTACAACATCGGGAACATCCACCAAATTTCATTTCCTTTCCATTCGACCGATGAATCGGACACTTGGAAACCCGTATCTTTTGCGGGCAAAATAAGAGAAGCTATTTTCACATGTTGAGGGACATTTCAGCAGTGTATCAATTTTGGTATGTACTCAGCGCAATCAAAACTCCGAACCCCGGCCTCACCAAATAAACAGACATCACTTTTTGTTGAATTCTCGGTACCACCATCTGTTGAACGACCAACTTTTCCTTGTCCGATACCCTTCCCTTTTGCGCCTATTCATTTACCCATTCATATCGTCCAGCCATGCATATTGGCACATTAATTTGGCTATTCTTTTTGACCTGAACCTCCACGCCCTGCCACGGCGTCCAGCCAATTTTCTGCCCGTCGTCAAATTCCAACTCAAATGCAATTTTGTATACCCCGAGAACCTGGAAGACTACATCCTTAATCTCTACTATGCCTGTTTTTGGCGTCCAAGCTTTGACAAGGAGACCGCCCCTGTCGCTGATGTCGATTTTCTTCATGCTAACATTGCCGTACAGATTGATATTGTTTTTGTTGATGAATTTCACATTCAAATCCTTGAACACAATCCACGTATTCAAACGACTTCCCTTGATCTCCCTGAACCCTTCACTATCCACATCCGTCGACAGGCCGATATTGTCAAAGAGCTCATGATCTGCCATACACCCCGCGCCATACTGAACCTTTGCGATGAACTGACTGATAACTATTTGAGGTTTTAGCGGTAGCGTATACCCCGAGAATTTCGGTACTGTGATGCGGATAGGTAGATTGGGATATGCCTGTCGGAATGTCGGCTTGAAGATGCCCTTGTCTTGTTTGGAGGGGGTGACGAAGGTGATCTCGTATTTTGACATCGTTCTCTGTCTTGATTCGCGTGTCCTTTTCCGTCGTTTGTCTTATTTCGTCTGGAACGTGAGTTGAATGGTTATTTGGCCTCGTGTACAAGGTTGTTACGGGGATTTTGCGTCATCGTTGATTCGTCTTTGCCCTCTAGGAATGATATCTCACTGCAAACTCGATTGAAGCAGTCGCACGACGATAGTTCTGTCGGTGTCTAGAGGAAAAGTGACAAAGTTTTCAAATAAAAAAACTTTTCTGCACCTACATTCCCCGCACTATCAAACCTAGTCAGTGTTGCGATGATGCAAGGGATTGTTCGGATATTAGTGCTAGTCACCAGAAAAAGAAAAAGAGGTTTTCCCGCCCAGGAAAAAAGAAGCGACCAGTCACCGTCCTGTCGCACAAGATCGCCTTAACAAACACCGGATCCCTGTTAATATTAGTCGCGACTATTATTCCGTCATAGTCAGTGTTTATGACTACCACGTATTGGGTGGATTGGCACCATGTTGTTATCCATTCTAGACTAGGGTTGGGTGATGCAATGTCTTGAAAGTGTTCTAGCATTATGGGACTAACTTCGATAGCTTACTAGTAAAGGGATCCCTAGGTTTTAACTTTATTAGAAATATAAACTGGTGCATCGCGGACTTTTTCGGTCCTCCATGTGTCGTTTGTTTACGTTGCTGAAATCATCTAGACGTGACTCGCTGTAGTGGTTTCCCGGCATCTTTCCATAGAAATATTGGATCAAATGAACGAGACTATGGAGGAATATGATATTATTGACTCAGACACAACTACTATCATACTATTTAGTGATGGTATGGATACAAATAGGGCATTACCAAAACTTTTCAACTCGATTCCACAACCATACCTCCTCTAGGAAGGGCCTTGGAATAGTCCCACGCGACACACTTCGAATAACATCGTTTGCTCATTTCTGAGAAGAAAGCTGTGCTAGCCTGTGTATGCCTCTTTCTCGGCCTTTTTGCGTATTATTCGGCGATATAAGAACAACAGAACCAGCCCCATAGCAACAATAAAGACGATACAGAAGACAAGGATGACGCCGGGATTCTTCGAAGCCCAATTGCGGCGTTTGGCGAGATCGTGTATTATATCGTGAATTTTCGGCCGATCAATTGCCTTATTGATAGCAGCCATAATAAAATGAGTGGGAAATGCCCGGTGTCGTCTAAGTGTCTGAGGTTAGTGCTGAGAGACCTCGCTGTCTGATCTTCAGGCACTTGCCTGGAACTGTAGTCGAGCACAAGGAAGAGAAGCAGCCACTTGTGTATAGAAGCAAACAGGACTAGCGGCAAGAAAGTTCTATTGTCTCGTAGCCCGGTTAGCGACGTTTCCTCCACATTTCAGGAAATCAGCGTAGTGCTAAAGTAGATGAACTTGCTATGCTTACCGGTAGTAATGTGGGAAAAAAGCACCCCGAAGAATAAAGCGAATCCGCCCGCGCATACAATATGGCTGCACCGTGTCAACAATCACGATACGCGATGCTAATTGATAGTTGTCGATAAGTGGGCGACGCGGAGAGTTGGAGGAAGTGAGAACGTGAAGAGAAAAGAAGCGACAGAAGACGCAACATAGACCCAGCAGCAGCAGAAGGCACCACGCCGGCGAGGAAGGAGCGAGTCTACCTCCATCCGCGGTTCACTGCACTTGCACTTTTGGATTTGCACCATCGTAAGCTTCGTGGTTGCCGCTGTCTTCCGGTCAGACGCTGCCTGCTACTGTTCTACAGTACCGGTTCTCTTCCATCTCGTTGTTGCTTTGAACTCCATCTGTACGTCGGATGCAGCCTGTACACTCTCCAGACGCTGTTCCCAAAGCCAAGTGATCTATATCGGTAGTTCACAAGCAAAACCACCCCGTTGATATGGATCGAGATATCGGATCTCTCTTCCGTCTCCCGACGTCATCTAGATAGCTGGCCCCGTCTCCACATCAAATGTTTCGGTATAAGAGTCGCAAAAGTAATCGAGCTAGGCATCCAGAGCTATGCAGTTTCGAGCGTTTGCAGGCAGTTAGAAAGTGCTTGACAAGTACCTTGGCTATTGTACATAACCGACACAGCGGTATCCCACTATCGGGGGATGGCCGACGGCAAATGACATACGACCGGCTAAATTCAACAGCTACGCCTGGGTGAATACAAGGCGGTGGTATTGGCTTTATTTGACAAGTCAACTTCCCGCCATTTTACCCGTGGTGGGCTGCTCTGAGACTCGGCTTTTTTTGCGGGATGCAGAAACTCTCGGAGTTCTCCCGAATGGCGCTGTGGGGTGAAAAAACAATCCAAGGCACTGAATTGGCCTTGTATTTATCCCAGCATTCTGACCTGTCTTCCAAGCCTCGCGGTTTTATCTTCTTTCGCATGTTTTTGGTTACCTGCAATTTTCTTATATCTGCAACAGCTAGTTGGCAATAATCTCAATCATGGCTTCTGGAAAGCCTGCCATTGGCTTCGTTGGCCTCGGTGCCATGGGATTTGGAATGGCCACAAATCTTGTCAGGCAAGGATATCCAGTCAAGGGTTACGATGTCTTTCCGGCATCTGTCGAGCGTTTCAAAGGAGCTGGTGGTATTCCTGCCGCTTCATTGAAGGAGTCTGCCGAGGGGAACCCGTACTATGTCTGCATGGTTGCGTCTGCTCCTCAAGTACAAGAAGTCCTGTTCAATGAACAAACAGGAATTATAAATGGTGCATAAAATTTGACTACATGTTGGAAAATTCCAAACTAAGGGATCTTTTATAGTACTTCCTAAAAATTCGACGTTCCTCCTCTGCTCTACAGTACCATCTGCATACGCCCAATCTGTCGAGAAAGAGCTTAAGGCACGCGGCCGCGATGATATATTCTTCATCGATAGCCCTGTATCAGGTGGCGCTAGCCGAGCAGCTGATGGTACTTTGTCGATAATGGCTGGTGGGAGTGACGCTGCGTTGGAGAATGGAAAATTAATTCTTCAAGAAATGTCAGATCCAAAGAAACTATACCTCGTCCCTGGTGGTATCGGGGCAGGAAGTAATATGAAAATGGTACACCAAGTCCTTGCAGCCATCCACATTCTCGGAGCAAGCGAGGCAATGGGCCTGGCAGCGCGTTTGGGCTTGGAGGCACATACCGCCGCTGACGCGATAATTAAATCTGACGCGTGGACATGGATGCACGAAAACAGACTCAATAGAATGCTCGAGGAAGACTGGAACCCGGGTGCCAGTGCACTGACAATTATTCTCAAGGATGTGGTATGTGCAATTGACTTTTGCAATTTGCAAGGCTAAAACTTTACAGGGAATCATCACCTCAACGGCACGACTGCAAAAGTTTCCTACGCCATTATCATCAACAGCAGAACAGGTCTACCTCACTGGCCTCGTTTATGGATGGGGTCCGAAAGATGACTCCGCTATGGTTCGCATGTATACTTCCGAGCCCATAATAAAAGTCAATTCTACGCTTTCACCTGAAGAAACTTCTCGTCGACTCCGAATGGTTACAAAGCTCATGCAATATACTAACATCGTTGCCGCCGCCGAAGCCGTTGCTTTTGCACGACATCTAAACGTCGACATGACGCAGTTCTACGATCTTGTCATCAACGCCGCCGGAGGCAGCAAGATGTTCAACACACTCGGTGCGACTATGATAAAAGGAATACCCATTGGGGTGGCTGCGACAGGAGACTTGACCGTAGATGATATTGTAAAGGAGCTAAGTGACATTGTTCAGGAGGCTCGTGACTTGTATACCCCGTTGAATCTAGCAACAGCAGCATTGAATCAATATCTGGTTGCGCAACGGCGTGGATGGGGGAAGGAAGCCGCTACAAGCATCATTAGAGCCTGGGAAATTTGATAGTCTGTTTAATATTCGAATTATCTGTAAACAAAATTGTATAATTCTTTTTCTAAATATATGTACAAACAATACCTTCAATGTTATCAACGAAACACCACGATTGGCAGGAGCTCGTGACCAGCGGCACGCAGCTCCCAGTCTTAAGAAGGAACTTGATCTAAGGATTTCTACTGCCTCCCCGCCTGCGGTCGACAACTCGTTGCTGCTGGGAATGTCCCCTATAGTCACCCCGATAAGTACGGTGTTGTGTTCCACGTGATTAAAAGCTCTGGACGTCCCTGGTAGGAGCATACTCATGGACAAATTGGCCTGTTTGGTAATTTCTGATGAAGCAGCCTTTTACTACACCAGCATCCCATTGAAATGGGTCGGTTATTGCATTGTGCGGGTATTGCATACTCCGCTATTGTATGAGCGATGCCCCCCGCACATAGTGGGTAATTTCACAGCCCTTTCGGACTTGCTCCGATCATGACCGGCGTTGACTCTCGCCATACGGACAAACACCCGATGCACCCGGGGGTATGAAATAGCTGCGACGACACATTTCAGTCAAAAACTCAATTGCATATTTCGCTTTTGGTTTTATTTGCAGTTTATCTGTTAACCATAGAGATTTTCGCGACTCCGAGCCATCTTTACCCGACCCCACTTTCTCGACAATCATTTACTCATTTGCAGACAATCACAAGAATCTGCAACCAGCCAGGGTCTGAATAATAAAAATGCCACACCCAAATCTCAAGGGCAACCGTGCCCTCTCCATCCTCGACAAAGCTATCGCCGAAAACTACGGTGTACCCGGCATGTGCTGTTACAACATCGAAGGAATCCTAGCTACAGTACGCGCTGCTGAAGCTAAAAAGTCGCCTGCCATGATCCTCCTATTCCCTTGGGCAATACACTACGCCGATGGTCTATTAGTACATGCGGCAGCCGAAGCCGCCAAAAAAGCTAAAGTCCCTGTTACAGTACACATGGATCACGCGCAAACACCCGAAATTATCCGGTACGCAGCTGATTTGGGCGGATTCGATAGTATCATGGTAGACATGAGCCACTACGAGAAGGAAGAAAACTTGGCAAAGACGCGTGAACTAGTGACATATTGTCACGAGCGTGGTATCGCGACAGAGGCTGAACCGGGTCGTATTGAGGGTGGTGAGGATGGTGTAGCCGACACGGCCGATTTATCTGGACTGTTGACGACGCCTGAGGAAAGCCAGGAATTTGTGGATACGGGGATTGACTGGCTGGCCCCCGCGTTTGGGAATGTGCATGGGTCATATGGCCCTCGAGGTATTCAGCTGGAGTATGACCGACTCGAGTCAATCAATCGTGCTGTGGGCGACAAAGTGCGCATTGTTCTACACGGTGCTGACCCCTTCACGACGGAGATTTTCCAAAAGTGTATATCGCACGGGGTGTCGAAGGTCAATATCAACAAGGTCATGAATAATGAGTATCTGCGGGTGCAGAGCGAAAAGGCGGACAAAGTGCCGTTGACGACGCTGCATGAGGAGGCCACTAATGCGATGCAAGCGGCAGTCGAGCGGTGTATGGATATGCTGGGATCGACAGGAAAGGCTTGATGGTTGTTTTGTTGAAGGAGAAAGCTGGTTAGAGTTGATCGATAAATGCAGGTACATCTGGATGAATGTATCAAATGCTAGAAATTAAGATAATAGAAAGTTTATTGAAACAGAACGTCTACAGCGCTGTATAGGCTCGTATCAATGCCAAATGTAATAATAACATTGATAATAATTGTCCATTGTGGAAGCCTACATTCCACCGCTACCTGCGCAAAGTAAGCTGTGTATGGCCCTACATTTCCCAATCTGTGGCTCATATTAATCTTCTTAAGCGTATTCTCAATATGCCACGACAAAACGCGCAGAGCAGCCAACGCTGGAACGTGTCCATCGTGTCCATCGTGCCTCCGACAGTTGGTATCGTAAGAAGGTGGAAGTCTTTCTTTTTCTTTCATTTCAATCCGTAATCCATGGGACTTGCTGACCTTGCCTGTTTGGATGAAATGTGATGTCGCTGTGCCAAATGCGATTGGTGCCCTCGCCATAATCTTGCCTGCACGTACCCTCGACCACGACGAGGAAATCTACATCCCGGCCAAACTTACCACAGTACGCATTCCTTACTCTTCTCCATTATTATATTCCACTCTGCCTGGTCCGTATCAGTCAGAGAGGCAAGTGCACAGCCTTAGTGAGCTCCAATTATGTCAATCAACATTGTCGGTTAACCTAAGGCGTTCTCTGTTTGAAAGACCATCTACAGTGCAACCCTTTGCAGCCCAACCAAGTAGTTCAACTAGAATTGGTATAATCTATGCTGACGTTGTATTATGAAAGTATTGACCAACTCGCCATTGACAGCCATTACTCCGGTTTTCAATGGCAATTATGGAAACACAACCGTTTCAAATGCCTACTTAATAGGGTGCCTGTATTTTGCCGATTATACACTGGGTAATGTCAGCCCTTTTAGTGATCTCCCATATCCCCCCTGAGTGGCCAAAAATGCATTGAAGACAGTAGAGGCGAGAAAGTAGGCTTTAGTGAGTATAATATTTTCGGGCCCCCTCTGCAATTTCCTCCGGATCTCAGTACGACAGGGTCGTTGGGTGTCACAAATAAAGACCCCTTGGAACATACCAGACCGATTATTGGTGTTCAATGCCTCGATCTGTTTTGCAAGTCTCGTGTCTATTCTCTATCTTCTATCATCACCAATACACTGTTTGAATTACTATCCGCCCGGTATACGATAGGGAATACTCGACGACATCACTAGGCTTAGGGAGTGCCACTGCGTGTACATATACGTTCCTTAAATGCCTCCACTACTCGATAGACGACGCGACGCTTCTTTTCTCGAGTGAAGTAGTTGTGCTGTATCATATCCGTGCTACAAACCTCCTACAGAACCTCTTTCTAGAGCTGGCCAGTTTAGATGGGTTGCAGGCTTTAATATTGCTAATAAGTCAAAGAAAAAAAGGATTAGAGGATGAAAAGAGATATGGCACCCTTTGTAAAAGAACGTAAATCTGACTTCGATCAAAGTGTCTTCTCATCAAGCGTCATATCGTGATATAGGTAGGTACCGTAGAGAAGCTACTCGTAGTTGCTGGGTGACTTGTTCTTCGGCTGGAGGGAAATCTATATCCATCATGTGAAAACAACGAGAATCTGTTCTGGGGATTGTACCTAGTTGATGAAGAGCTATGTTTCCGCATAGGCTACGCGCTGACGTTACACGAATCTCATTGCGACCTCACACTGCTAGCTCGAATCGAGCATGCAACTTATACTAGTATCGAATAATTAGATAGAAGTGTACTCTTCGCATTGAATTTGCGTCTCAGCATCGTGCAATGAAGGATATACAATGGCCTTTACTCTCCGCATATACTCCGCTGGTCAGACTTAGAACTACTTTGAAAAATTAGGAACCTAGACATAGAGCTACATGAATAGAGTTCGCTTCTTCCGAAATCCATATAGCTATATTCTAGCCCTACCGTTCCAACTGGTTCGGAAATTGGTGATATGCATGCTGCACTTTTTCGGCTCCACTGACATTCTTGTATAGTCGCAATTCATCAAGCCAGCAGAGCGTAGACGGGAAGTCAGAGCACTCATATTAAAGGCCTGAACTCTAGCTTGATAATTTCAGTCGATACCTCCCATGATCTGAAGGTGAACTCAACAAGCTCCAACTAGTCTGGACAGGTGAAACATTTCAGTATGTTTCTTCTTCCCTTTCCTCTCTCTCCTCTTCATTGAAATGGGTTCGTCTTGAAAATAGCCAATGTTATCTTGAGACTAGGCTTTTAATGTTTCACTTTAGCTTTGCAGATATTACAGTTCTTTTGCAATGTGCTTTTTTGCCTTCTGAATCCACAAACCTACGACGATGTCAATCTTATCCAGAAAGTGTCAGACCGTCTCGAGGTCTATAAGGAAAAGGCCGGCTCAATATACGCCCCTATTACCGTTAAGATGATTAAAGAGTTCATTCGCAAGCTGGATCGCCTGTTGAATGTGCTATCGTGAAAGCGCGCCGGTATTCCTGAGCGGTACACATATTAGGAAGAGGGACAGAGCCTTCAGGCGATAAACATCGGAATGAAATAATTTCACGTTTCCTGTTATGGCAACAACGGCCACTGAATACCAGTACAGGCATAGCGTAAGCTTAGTGCTATCGCCTGGAATATTTGCATGCCGGACGCACGCCAGTGTTGCATAAGCGTATATACAATCTGGTCTGGGAGCCTCCCCCGGCCCATGCGTTCGCTGCTGATAAGACCAAGATTGCGGGCCGGGGCCTATTCCTGCCTAGGCAATGACACGCTTAGCCTGACATATTTCGCTACTACTACCACGCCACGGCTGGAATGAATGCATATGTTTGGCTACTCCAGCCGCTTCATGACAGCAATCTGGCCTAGGGCTTGATAAGTTATCTGAGAAATCCTAATTCATAGTTAGGCGTTATCACGCGCCCTTGTCGTTCCATTGTTTAACACTATTTATTAATAATAGCTGAGTCCCGAGCTTCCCCAGAAAATGTTTCCGATTTCTCTTGTAAAATTATATCCATCATTAAAATGCCTGAAGAAAAAACGGCGGTCGATATTCGCGATGAGAGCCGTTTGGCTCAGCTTGGATACAAGCAGGAACTGAAGCGTGACTGGAAGCTAATGCACAATTTCGGTGTCTCATTCTCAATCATTGTGAGACGAAAACTCTCAACAAATCGTCGAAACCAAGACTATAGTTATACTAATACTTCAAACCTAGAGTGTTATCACTGGTATCACCACGCTTTTCAAGTGAAGCCCCTCTCGCCGACTATCCAGACTTTCGCTAACTAACAGGACAGTTATGGACTCACTACAGGCGGTCCGAGCGTCATGGCGGTCGGTTGGATCATTGTTTCGTTTATGACCTTTTTCGTCGGATTGAGTATGGCAGAGATTGTGTCTGCAATTCCAACTAGTGGAGGGCCATATTTCTGGGCTGCGACACTCGCCCCCCAGAAGTATAGCGCGTTTTTCTCTTGGTTGACAGGATGGTTCAATTTCGTCGGACAGGTGATTTCACATACTGACAGCTTTTGGGAGGTCGCATTTATTAACTTGATCAAACTTTTAGTTTGCAGTTACCACCGGAATCAGTTTCGGATGCGCGGGCCTCATTGCGACAGCTGCGACAATCAAAACGGACTTTGAGCCAACGGCAGGGAAGACAATCGGCATATACGCAGCTATTCTGGTCAGTCATGGGCTTGTGAATACTTTTGGTGTCCATGTGCTACGATATCTCAATACCACATCGATCATCCTCCATAGCTTAGGCGTGTCTAGTTTGGCGATTGCAGTTGTCGCGAAAGCTCCGACACATCAAACTGGGTCTGAAGTTTTCCAACATTTCTATGACGTAAGTGTCACCTTTCAAGCAATATAATGATCATAAACTTTTGACTGTTCACCAGGGAACCGGGGACCCAGGCTGGTCAGTAAGGGCATCGCCGGCATACGTTGCCATCTGTGGCATTCTCCTCAGTCAATATACGATCACAGGTATGCGATTTCCTTTGCATATACACTTATCAGCCGTAAGACAAAGATCGACTTGAATGCTTATTTTACTTTAGGATTTGACGCTTCTGCTCATCTGTCAGAGGAAACCCACCGTGCTGAATGGAACGCACCTATTGGTGTTCTCATGTCTATCGGTGTCTCCGCTGTCTTTGGATTCTTCCTCCTTCTTTGCCTTCTTTTCTCAATTCAGGATTTTGCTGCTACAGTGGACCCAAATCAAAACTATGGTCAACCTGTTTTCAAGATCTTCGTTGACGTCTTCGGCGAGTCTGGCGCCCTTGGCCTCATAAGCATTATCATTCTCTGTGTCTGGCACTGCGGCCTCTTCAGCCTCACAAGCAACAGCCGTATGATGTTTGCCTTTTCACGTGATGGTGCCCTGCCACGATTTTTTGACCACGTTGATAAACGGTTTCGAAGCCCCATTAGGACGGTATGGCTTGCTGCCTTTTTGGCCTTTTGCCTTGCCTTGCCGTCGCTGGGTAGCTCGGTTGCTTTCTCGGCAGCAACCAGTATTGCTACAATTGGATTGTATCTAAGTTACGCGATGCCTGTTCTGATTGCAGTGATCTGGCCGTCCAACTTCGCGAAGGGTCCTTTTAGTCTGGGGAAGTTTTCTTGGCCTATCGGTCTGATTGCTTGTCTTTGGGTGTGTTTTTTTCTCTCCTTTTTACGTAAAGTTACAACGTATGGTAGTTTCGGTTTGTTAACGTGTTTCAGGTCCTTTTCATCACTGTTGTGTTTTGCCTCCCTACTGCAAATCCTGTCACTGAACAAACTCTCAACTATACCCCGGTGGCGGTGGGAATAGTATTGGTTGGTACATTAGGATCGTGGGTCCTTTGGGCTCATCGCTGGTTCAAGGGGCCAATGCGTCAGATAGATGTTGATGCCATAAGCGAGTCTGTTCCAACAGAAGACCAAACGGTACTAGAAGCGAAGAAGGCGTAAGAATAGGCACATGTGGTTGTCAAGTAGGAGATGGACCATCACCATCGCATATGGGCGAAAGGTGTGTTGGATACATATGTTCTCTATACTGAAGGCAACAACTATTATCATTTAATTAAGCAACACAATCAAACCTGATAGTAAACGTGAATACTCAAACAAGCACTAAGGTGATGCAAAGGGAGTCAACTCCCTCATGCATCTTCCAATATGTGAGGAATTTCATATGCAAGTTCTGGGTTACAGGCCTGATAAGATTCAAAACCCTCGGAAATTGTATTGGCCATCAATCGATGTACCAACTGATGTAACTAGCGAGCTGATATCTGTATACCTTTCGCTAGTAGCCACTCATATCGCAACATCAAGGATTCTAAGATCGTGTTCGCATACGATCAATTGATGACTTTCAGCTGTTAACCACATGATCACCGATACGATGATGTTGATGGTGACTCTTGATATTATTCAGACGCTGGTAGCTGAATATCACACTAATCTCGTATCCATCAGAATATGGCCCAGGTGCAAAAAGTATCTTTATGAAGATCTTGCAAAATAGTACAATAAGTGGTCTACTTGTATACGAGCTGAGGTTGACGACTAAATCTTGGCAAAATGAATCGAACATAGAAAGATATGATCGACCGGAGCCCTACAGCGGATATCCACAAGTTCGTATTTGCCTCCATACAACGCTTTCAGCTCCGTTATTTTGGGGCGTCAAGACGTTGCATCATACAAAGGCGTCGCTGTTTGGCACAGCCTAGCAATACGGAATATATTTAGAAGGACTCGTTTACTAATTTCAAAATCGACAAATAAAAATGCAATGATGAAATTTACCCCGCGTTAGAAGGCGACGATATAGGAATGTATCAGGTCCAGGTTGGTTGATGCCTACATGCATACACGAGAAAATGGATGCCTCATCTTGAACGCTCTTTAGATCGATATTTATACTAAGCATACTTCAAAATCACATAACAAGAAAAAGGTGTAAGTAACCGTCAAGTCTTTGATGTCACAGTCATTAAGTCCTGTTCAAAAATATCAGAACGGCCAACTTCAAAACAGCCCTATCATCGTCTATATCAAAGGAATATCAAGATAATTATATCTTTCCAAGATGCATTTCTCTACCTTATCACCTTTGCCCTTATGCTCAGCTGTTCCGCTATTGCCATCGCAAGCAACACTGGTAGCTCTTTTGTCCCTAAGGAGCATTATCTCAACAATGTTGCCTTCACCCAGTTGTAGCGCCTGCTCGATTACTTGAGCAAGCACGGAGGATCCTTAACTACTGATCAGGTTGCCTGGTTCTCTAAAACAACAGTGGCCATTTCGACCTTCGATACCTCGACTTTTGGTTTCCTTAGAACTGAAGCAGAATCGTTGTTTGCTCCGGGGGAAGTAAAGTTCATCCTTACAGGCAAGAAAGAGTACCACAAGCAAACCTCGTCGTAATAATGGCAGTTTACTTAATAAACGATTTTCATGCACTTGCTCCACTACTGACAGCTACTGTGACAACAACACTGCTTATCAGGCGGGTGCCGATGGATGTGGCCCCGTTGGTGGCTGTGGTACATTCTACGCTTACGAGTGCGACGGCCTTTGCGAGAATGTGAACTAAGCTAATGCGCTTAAGACGACAATCGGAAACTGGTGTGACTTGTATATCTTCAATCGAAGGTGTGCTAATCGCGCGGACTATGTGTTTTTTCAGGGGATGATATTTAGCTTAAGAATGCAGAATAGTATCAGATTGTTTATATATGTCGGATTTGCTGCGTTATATTGATCTTCACTTCAGTTCTCTTGCTTTGATAATACTATTTCTAATAAAAAATAAAAATAAATTTGTTGCATATAACATTATATGAAGTCTCTTGCTAACTCTCAACCCCCGTTTGTTGGCTTCTTAGCTGGGCCCAGAGACTCAACTAAATCCGGGCGTTTCCAAGCTTCCTCAAACCCAGCAAAGAAGACCCATTTGCGCTCCCAAGGCCGGGGTGTATTCTTTGTTGTGTCCTGGCACAAACGGGCAATTTTCAACCACATGTCCCCTTTACAAGGGAAATAAGCTGCCCACTCTTCAGTTTCCTCATATTGTTTAGCCGTCTGCTGACCGTTCTTGAGCGCCCGAATGAATTTTGCTGCGTGACCATCGTCGGACTCCCGACAAACATCGCGGAACAGATCAACCCAGCTCAAGTCATCACTCTCCGGATTCATATACTCTGTTATGGCCCTGGCGTCCAACACGGGGCAGCCGATAGCAGCGTACCATAGCAAATCAGTTCGCGCCTTATACTCAACGAGTCGCACGCGATCGGCAAGCGGAATCCAGTCTTCCCGAATGAGAACCGTGCAAAATATGCTACTAGTAACAGTGTGCATGATGAAAAAGTCGATTTTGCGTGCGTGGCTGTCGTCGTGGGCAGCCCCAGATAGGTACGCACATAGACTGATCATTTCCGCCGTTCGCCGGTTCAGATCAGCTTCATCGTTCTTAATATGAAACTTAGCGGCCACACTGGCTATCTCATTGCTAGCTCGTCCAACAATACCGTCCTTCATCTTGTTGCCAAGGTCAGACCAGACTGCGGCAGTCCGGATTTTGTCGTTCGCACGTAGCTCTTGCACCAGGTCAATGAGAGACTTAGGTTTGTCATCAAAAGGACCGGCGATAGAGGCTTTCTTCTCAGCGGCGAAGAGTACTTCCTCGATATTCATGCGGTCGTGGCTTGCTGCTTGTGCGAGAGCTTCGGCCACGATTGCTGGCTGGTCGAATTCTACCCCAAAGCCCAGATGAATGATAGGATGGTATGCGCCCTCCACAATCTGTACGAGCATACGGTCTGCTACCTTGGTGTGTGAGAATAAATAATCCAAGACTACTTGGCGATATCCCTTGGTGGCGATTGCCTCCTTGAAAAATTCCAAGAAGGTATGATATTGATGAATCTGACCGATAGTGTCATAAAATACCTCCGCATCTCCCAATTTTGCGAGAAGTGATTCATCAATTTCCGGAATGGCTCGTTGGATTGGAACTAAATCATTGTAACGATCCTGCAACTCTTGGGTACTAGCACCGAGAGTTAAGCATGTGAGCAAACTGTGAACCATGTGATTGTGGAATGCCGGGTCACGATAGAAAATGTGGTAAGCTTCGTGGTTTTTCTCCAAAAGCACATTGCATTCTTCTAATACCCCAGGTGTAATCTCAGCAGCTTTGAAGAGGCCGACATGAGAAGGGGATAGTTGAATTGGAGCGACGACTTTAGGCATAGTGCTAGTCAAGTCCGCTAGACTTTGCTAAGTTTGTTTTGCATGGGCCAGAAAGTATAACTGTTTTTGAAGGATACTTGTTGAATTTTGTGTAGGATGCATTGACCTGAGGCGACATTGATATTGCCCAGTCTTGTAGAGGGCAATCACTTGTATGCAGCCTTCGGGACGTTTACAACAGCAGTTAACAATATGCCGTACGACAACCTCGGATGAATATTGCCAATCGGAAGCCGACACAACGGAGAATTTAAGTAAATTTGAATGACATTTTTCGTCCCTTCAAAATGAGAGAGAATGTAAAATAATCATCCGCTGATGTCTTTCGATTCACAAGATGGCCTCGGTTCGTTAAGTCACCGTCTACGCTGAGGTTCCCGAACCAACACTCTCTGTCAGGAGACGCTTGGAGATTATGGAGCCCGAGAACTTGTACATGAGTAGTACATATATAGAATACGTAGAAAAGAATCACCCCTTGTTTTGCCCGAAACCTCTGTATCCAGAAAGCCAGGACCAAATACGTGTAAAAAACCATGTGGATAACATTTGAAATAGACCTGCTTTGAGATATGTTTCGCAAGACCATTATTCTATTTTTTAAGAGCATGAAATATTATGTAGACTAACTCAAAATCATTTAGGCAGCAGTATATAGAATGCACACATATCAGCCACGCAGTCATAACTTTAATGAATCTAGTACACCACATATATCATCTCTCCCTCAGCGCAGTATATCCACAATTTCTGCTGCTAAATTACGAAGACGTGTGCGCATATCAACCTCCATCTGATCTAATAAAGACCCGGAAAGTGAGAATAAGTTATCACTGTACGAAAAGGACAATGCGTCTAATCTATTGTTAGATGGCCCCGACGAGCAAGAAGAAAAGCTCTTCGGTCGTCCCTCACATCTACTACTCTGACCGCTCTTTTTAAAGCGCTGACACAGGATATTCACCAGCCGCTGCACGCGATGAAGCTGGCTGAGAATATTCCGTGAGATCATACTGCCGTTTTGATCCTCACTTTCAGCGCCGTAGGCAACATCGGTTGCTGCGAAATTGGGTAAAAAGTTTGGTAGACCCTTTCCGTGTCGAAGGTGGAATGAATGGTTATTATCAAACGATTCTCTCCTGTGAGAATACATAATTTGGTCATCTTCCATACGACTTGCCGTTTGCTGTCGTACGATTGCCGTATACGAGGTCAGAATCTTGAGGGTTATGATTGATAGAATTGCCAGAAGATATTCATCGTCTGAGCACTGACATTGTAGTATATCACTGATAGTCTGCACACTTTTTTCAATTGTGGCTATCTTCGATTGAGCCCTTGGTAACGGGTAAATTTCGGTGTTGATTTCGAAAGCTTGCCCTTCATGCGACAGCGAACAAGAGTGTGCCATTGGGGAGGAAAGTTTTCTCAAGAGGTCAAGCGCACGTACAAAGTTGCATGTTAGCCCCGAATCATCGTCATCAATAGAAAGCGGGCGGCTATCAGACCAGCCTTGTGATGCTGCTGATGACGGCAACAGAAGCCCTTGGGGTGTGGCAGCTTCAACAAATGCAGGAAAACTGTCGTCCGTGGCAGCGGGTATTGCTGTTTCAGTAAAGTCGATGGAATTGTGGTTCTGCGCCTCAAATTGACCGGCTTCAGGTATCTCGCCCATATCAGGCAATTCTAACATAGAAAATGAAACCGGGGAAACAGGAAAATCATCGAAATCAAAGTTCAAGTAATCCAAACTGGTGGTGGGCGTCGATATCGTTGGATTGCTCAATGAGAAGATGGAAGAACTTATGTTTGCATGACTCAAAGGGTTTGGTATAGAGGTTGAATTTGTTGAATTGGGCTCTGATAAAAGTGTTGTCCAACTAGACACCACTGTGGAAATATCTGGAGCCACTGGAGGAGAAATAGGAGGAAGCGGGGGAGCAGAACTGGGAGAAAGTAGAACTCGATTGCGCGTTCGACTTCCTTGTTTTCGTCCGGCACGTTTAGTCAAAAAATACTCACAGAGCATTCCTCGTTTCGCGCAGCGAGCGCAAGTTGGTTTGTCCTTGCTACACTTCAGCTTAGATGCGGCACAACGGTTGCAACTGTCTCGCAGTTTGGGCATAGCTAGAGCCGTGTTTCGGCTAGGGGATGCCGGGAAGCACCTTGGGGTGGCCATAGAAAATACCAGGTTTTATTCAAGACAAGGGAAAATATAAGGGGATGGAATGCTAGTCACAATCCACATGTTTTGAAGTTGGGACGATAGGTATGACGGGATATCGATCGATTATGATAGTTTGCTATCGGTGGGAAGATGTAGCGATAAGCAATACGAATCAGAGTCAAGTTTAATGCAATGTTGTCTGATTCAATTCCATAAAATACAGCGGGGCGGCAGGTAATCGCACCATCATTGGGCTATAATGTAATTCTATAATAATAAACATTTATCAAATGGTTTACGGCGAAATCTAGTTACATTTAAACTTCTGTATTTAGAAGTTAGATTGGCAATTCTAATCATCTGAAAGCTAATTAGAGTTTTTATAAAGGTAACGCATTCTAGAAGACTGTCTCTTTCCATTACCGTGTCTCACTCCTTAAACGCCTTACAGTGGTGGGTTTCAGTCATACTTAATACTCCTCGGTTTACATAGACTTAGTACTACGAAATATTATGGTAGAGTATATTGTGTTTTTGAAAAGCAGAAAAAGCTTTGACGAACAAATTCTGACAGGGTCCTACCAAGTATGCATTGTATGACAGGCCAAGATCAGTCTTCGGGACGTCTTAGGGCTCGGTTTCGGAGCTCTCGCAATATATCATATTTCGGAGGGTCCACCTTGGCTTCGGGTGATTTCGCCACTCAAGCCTCCCGATATCCCCCCGATGTTCCCATTCAACAACAGGAACTACACATGAATTATAGTCTACATAGATTCAACTTTGCCTTTGGATATGGTTTCTTAGCACGTTAGAAGTAGATGCAATCGAAGGGTACTTTTAGTCTAATCGAACCCAAATCTCGGTTAAAACTGGGGTCCAAGCCGTTTACTCGAATCCAATGGAAGTAGTATTCCCCAAGCTTTCACAACATTGTGTCACATGCATGTTGTCAATTGTAGATTCGGTTACCAATCTTGGTGTTCAGCAAACTAAGTGGTTAGTTGCTGATCATATGTAAGACAAGTCATCACCTCAAGGCATTGAGAGGACTCAGATGAGCTGCGTGAACCTGTACATACGTGCTATGCCTCTTGTTAAGGAGTATCAGCATATTGATATGATATATATGCTTGAGGCACTTAGTCACAATGTAAACCCTTAGGTGTGGTAGACGTCAAATTCTCGCTCCTCCAGTCAACTATTACTTACTAGCTCGCCAGCCAACCTCATTACAGTTGATGTAACTTAAAACTATGTAGATGTGCTTACAAAACTTAAGGTTACCGTATCGTAACGAACGTATCGTAATTCTGCATGTTAAACTGTGGGTCCGATCTGTGCGCTTACCGAAGGAGGCAAAGCCGCGGGACATCCCGTTGCCTTGCTAGAAGGACTGCGGAGACTAAATATGCAACTTGTTGGATCGTTTGCCTAGAGCTCAAGCAGAAATATCCAAACGATAATATTGATAATGACAATGGCGCATCAAACGACATGCAGTCTTTATGATATGTGCCACTGAGGCTGCCGATCCTATGAATAGATCTATGACACTCGGGCTCTAGAGGCTCCGTCGATTCTTCGGGCTTTGTTAACCCCCGAGGATCACCACCACGAACGGCGGACATTACTAATTCCCGCTATTCGTCCATGACAGACACAATCACAATAACATTGAAAATGTTGCCTTTTCTTGATCCATGGATTCCCTGTCGAGCTTGACCAAGTTCGCGTGTTGCTGCCTTATGTCCATAAATTGTTCCTCTAATGCCTCTCTGGCCCTCTCCTTTCTCTTCTCTACATCCACAGATATTCTCACAACTTGAGTAGATCCGCTTCTATTCTCCTGAAAACATAAAAATTCCGCCAGCTCTGCAAGCTGAATTACTCATAGCCCACTACCATGGGGTCTCCAAGCCCAACAAATTCTCAGCCTCAAGATGCATCGTCTAACGGTGCCACGACCTCTGATTCTGCCGTCAAACCGGAAGCTGCCCAGAAGAATGAGAAATTGCCAAAGATGAAAATCACCCTTTTGATGATCTCCGTGTTTGGAACGATGTTCTTGGTTGGCTTAGATAGAACAATCATCTCTACAGTATGATCCTCTGACTGAATAGAAATTATATTGTTGTGTTCGCTTGCTAACGTCTTTGACTAGGCTATTCCTCAAATCACTGACGACTTCAACTCCCTCGATGATGTTGGTTGGTACGGAAGCGCATACAACCTCACATGCTGTGCTTTTCAATTATTGTTCGGAAAGATTTATGTGCTATACGATGTGAAGACCGCCATGCTTCTGAGCACCCTCCTATTCGAGGTAGCTTCGGCTATCTGCGGTGCGGCGCCGAACTCAGTCGCCTTCATTATTGGCCGAGCAATTGCTGGAGTTGGTGCTGCTGGTATATTTGCGGGAACCGTAAGTCTATTCATTCCATATTCAAAGTCATAGCTGACAGTAAATATCAGATCGTTTGCATTGTCTTCGTGGTTCCTCTTCACAGACGTCCCCAGATACAAGGCTTGTTTGGTGCCCTTTTTGGCATCGCATCAATCGTCGGTCCATTGGTAGGGGGAGCTTTTACCTCGAATGTAACTTGGAGGTGGTGTTTTTACATTAACTTGCCTCTGGGTGGGGTTGCCATGGTTATCATGTTCTTCTTTCTTGATATCCCTGAGCGCGATACAACGAAAGTCTCTTGGAATAAGAAGCTGCCGCAACTGGACGCTCTAGGCACTACATGTATTATCCCTGGGGTTACTTGCCTTTTGCTAGCACTGCAATGGGGTGGTCAGACATATGCCGTAAGTCTTTTTTGGGATCAATCCAATCTTTGTCGATATGCTAACTGTATCTTAGTGGAACAATGGGAAAATCATTGCATTATTGACTCTGATGGGCGCATTGTTGGTCGGTTTCGTTCTAGTCCAGGTATTTATCCCCTCAACCGCCACGATTCCACCACGCGTTTTCAAATTTCGGAGCGTTGTGTCTGCGACCTGGGCAAGTGTTTGCCTCGGTGCTGGAAATTATATCTATGGTAAGCGGTTAAATCATATCCACGTTACTAATGGGCGTATGACTAATTGAACTTTTAGTTTACTTTATCCCTATCTGGTTTCAGTCTATCAAAGGTACCACCGCCGTGCAGTCCGGTATACGCCTGCTTCCTACAATGTTATCAACCGTCGTTGCCTCAATGCTGAGTGGGGCAGTCACACCCAAGATCGGATACTACACACCGCTGGCAATCATAGGTACCTGCCTCATGTCTATTGGAGCTGGCCTTATCACGACCTGGCATGTTGATACTAGTGCGGGGAAATGGATCGGTTATCAGATTCTGTATGGATTTGGCTTGGGCATGTGCTTTCAAACACCCAATTTGGCCGTGCAAACTGTCATGCCAAAGAAGGACGTGCCAATTGGCCTTGCACTGATGCTATTCACCAATTTGCTCGCATCGGCGGTATTCATTTCTGTTGGGGAGAACGTCCTTAGCAGTCAGCTTGTACTGAGACTTTCTGGTATCCCTGGATTTAACGCTAGTCAAGTCGTATCGAGCGGCCTTACCTCATTACTCGAGTCTATACCAGTGAACCTCCGGGATGAGGTACTTGTACGTTACAACGAGGCGTTAATGCAGGTTTTCCAAGTCGGATTGATTGTTACGTGCCTTACCATCCTAGGCACAGCTACATTGGAATGGAAGAGCGTCCTCAAGGAGAAAAAGGCGAAGGAGCAGGCTCAGGCTCAAGCCCAGGCATGCGCTGAGGCAGAGGCAAAGGAAAAGGCCGCCGCTGAAACTAGTGGAGCGATTGAGGAACAGCCAGTTCGTTACGAAGAAAACGTCGTTGAATCGTCAACTTGAAAATTTTCATTTGTATGAGTATGAGGAAGGAAAGACAGAAGTAGAAGGAAAGGATTTATAAACGGAGGAATTCTTAAATACAAGTTGAGTGTGATTTGCTTCAATTTGGCATATTAATTGAATATGATTGTAATAAGATAAATGATACACTCCTCTCGAAAGAACCATTGATTTAAAATATTCGTCTATACAGACTTAAAACATTGTACTAAGAATTCCTTTGACATATCTAATTTTGCAATCTTTCAAAGTTCTGGGTGACAGCCGCACCATAAAATGAGCCCTAAATGGCAGTAATCTAACCATTAATAATATAAATTTACAGCATTGAAATCAATACTATATGGATTTTCTTGACAACGAGAAGCTGTACTAAGAGCAAGTTGACAATCTACGACCAGTCTCCATCCAAAAGCTGAGCCACGCTCTTCCCTGCTAATACATCTTCATGGACTTCCTCAATCGTCCATGGTCTGAAGTTATGACCTTTAGGAAAATTGGTATTTCGAAATTCAGCCCCGGTAGCTAAATGGGCGAAGGCCTGTCCATACTTCTCATACACATACGACTCCGGGTCGTGTTGGAACAGCCATTTGGGCACCTTAACTCGGACCAGTTCTGGGTCGTTCTTCACATCAACCATATTTCCCGCTCCAAGACTCTCGGAGTTCACAAAAGACATCTTTTGAACGCAACTGACCCGCTCGTATCGAAGTAGATTGTAAATACGAGTTCCAAGGGGCCCGCCACTAGGTCCGCCAGCACATGAAAGCTGCAAGCACGCTGCCAGCGTCACTGCATCTTCAATAGCTAGAGTACCTCCACTGACTGAGGCTGGGATCGTGCTATGTGCTGCATCGCCGACCTGTACAACCCGTCCGCCTCGAGATGTCCACTCACGATGGAGGTTACGCCACAGCAGAGGCCAGTGAATTACCGAGCCTTTAGGAGTAGTTCGAACCAATCCTTCAATCGCAGGGTCCCAATCTGAAACACGGCAAAGTACCTTGGCTACTTCCTCTGGATCGATATTTGGATCCCACGACTCAACTGGATCCTCCCCACCTGGTAGTAGGAACTTGTCTCGTGGAGTTAGTCCCCAGGCCACGAAGTCCTTTGACAAATAGAGGCCCAAATGCATTCCTGGGCCGATCCAAAACTCATGATGAGAAATATTCTGCGATACAACATCGCCGAACCGCTCTTTAAACGCCTCATTTTGCAGGGCTAGCTCGGTCGGAAGAGATGCGCGATAGACTGACATACCACTTGAGCGTGTAGACATAGGCTCCCCAGCAATGAGCAGCTCGGAAGCGGTTTTCGACGCATCAGCCGCTACAACAATGTCCGCCACACGAATGTGGCCATCTTCCGTAACTAAACCGGCAACACCCGCAGCCTCGTCCTCGAAGTACTTCTCTACTCGCTGACTATATTCCACCTGTAGGCCAATTCGTGCGACTTGGCGAAGCAACATACGATAAAATTTCTTGCGGATCTGATGCGGGGCAGCGTATGGAAACCCCTGTCGCTTAGCCATGTACTCCGGATCATTGAAACCCAGTGACGTGGGACCGAGGATGAGCTCGCCATTATGCCATCGATAGTACATCGCGCTCTCGCTGTGATCATCTTTAAGCTCACGGCACATATCTGGCCAGTGACGCATGATATCGAGAGCTGATGGACCAACAACAATGATGTCTCCTTAAAGTTATGTTAGTGATTAAAGGTCTGAGAGGCAGATCGGCCAATACAAACCAGCATAAACCGGGCTTTCTCGTCTCTCTAGAATCCCTACTACATTGCTCCCTTTTCTCCAACATTCCAGAGCTGTCATAAGCCCAGCCGGGCCGCTTCCAACGATTAGCACATTTAGATTCGTGTTCGGAGAACGTTCTGGGAGCCCGCTTGGGCTTTCTGTCCATTTGTCCGGATGAAATTCATCTTTTTCACCATCGACAAGATATTGCCCCATTTTCACTTTTTATATGCGTCAACGTGTTCAAAGTTGTTTATTGTTTTGACGAAACGTCATAACCACGCAGAATAGATATATATGACCTGAAATACTAGGCATAGGGCTCGGAAATTCGGAGATCTACCGAGTTCGGGAACAGCACTCATATTTACTAGTGCCCTCTTGTTATATGATCGGTAATATATAGATATAGCATAATATTTATGAATCAAGTGACATTTTAGTTTCGTATCACCAATGCACCGAGCTATACTTTCCTTTTGAACCAAGTAGAAAAACCCCGGCCGTAGACATGGGTCAGGCTCGCTTTCCGAGACGCGCTCGCTTACTCGAATCCAGCCAGATTAGTTGAATTAGGCCGAGTACTGGGACAACTATTTAGGTGAAACATTGTGAAATACGCGAAATCCATTATATGAAAGCTAACACCCCAGGTTCTGCATGAAACTACACTCAACATCCCAGAATTGTCAGACAGCAACATGGCCACTACTATTTCTGTCCAATTGGACGACGAAAGAGAGACAATTTTCGACAAAGGAACGACTTTCTGGAAAAACTATCTCAGGGGCCGACCATCGCCGCCAGATTCATTCTTCGAGCGAATATTCCGTTACCACCAGGAACATCATGGCCATTTTGGTACAGTGCACGATGTTGGTGCTGGGAATGGCCCTTATGCGAACAAGTTGAAGTCTAAATTTGGTCATGTTATCATTTCCGATATTGCTGCTCATAATGTCGAACTTGCGCGGGATAGACTTGGTACTGATGGATTTACATATCGTACTGCACGTGTTGAAGAAGGGGACGATATATCCAACAACAGCGTTGACATGGTCTTTGCTACAAACGTGATGCATTTCTGCGATCAAAAATTGGCCATGGTAACTATCGCCAGACAATTAAAATCGGGCGGGACATTTTGCTGCGCGGGTTTCGGGCCTGCCCGTTTTCAGGATTCCCGTGTGGACAACATATATACACGCATTCATCAGTGTGGTGGGCGTGCGTTATTGGCAAAGGCTGATAACCGTGAGAATATGATATCCTTCATGGCGCGAACGCAGGGTGTATACAATGTCGCACCACTGGACGAACAGTTTTTTCTACCCGGCGCCCATCGGATTCATCTCAATATGGAGATAGGAGGGTTAACAGGACCTTTGCCACCTGAAATCGATACACACGAGCCAGTCTATAGAGGGGTGGAGGATCTTGACGTTTATGTAATGGAAGAAGGATGGAGTTTCATTGCAGACTTGGAAGCCATTAAAGACCATGTCTTATCCTTTCCATTTGCCCAGGAGGATCCCACGGGCTTCGCTGAGCTTTGGCAAGAAATGGAGGATGCTGTTAAGAATGGACAGACAGTCAGCGGTCACTGGCCGGTCAAGATTATATTAGCTACTAGGCGTTGAGCCATCTATCAACATAATTTTATTTGTAATTTGGTAAATATTCTCTAAAGTTTTATGCATCTCCGAGAACTCAATTTGTATGAATCAATGGGAAAGATGGCGCGTCAAGTTAATTCTACTGCAAGATAGAAAAATTACTTTCGTTCTTTCGTTCTCGTGGATGATTTATACAATACATTACAGCGCTTTTGGGATTTATGCACTTCTGATTTCTTACATGAGATATTCAAGGCACCAACAGTGGGAATATTCATTACGTAGTGTTAACTTCTATTTGGAGTATGGAACGATGCTCAATCAATGGTCCGAGTCCGACTAGCTATACCAGCCTCGGATTTCGGATTGCAGATAATTATCGGGTCAATGTCGTCGGTATATTAATTACCATTGCGTATCGATCAATACAACAAACCTTTTATCTCCACTTACCTACGATACAGCAAAATGACCGATATCCTTCATTCATGCCCCTGAAACAGTGAGACTTGGAAAGAAAACTTTAATTGTGATTCTTGCTAACATAGCAACAATTGTATAAAAAATAAAGTTAAATTTAAACGGGTGACAGCTCCGTTGAGACCATGGCAACAGCTCCAAGTTTTCATGGTATATCTCCAACCCTCATTGATTAAACGCTACTATCTTCATCGAATTCACACTCATACCTTCAATGATTCATGTATAATTTATCGGATGCGAAAGGGCCTTGTTCGAATGGGCGGAGAGTTACGATACCAAAGTTAGCTGACTAATCTGTTGCGTTTCTGTTTCTTCCCTATTCTAACAAGTTGCCTAATAAAGGACTGGGATCGCCTAAAGAAGTGCGTCGCTCCCTCATTAAAGGTACGCTAATTGATGGAGAATCTTTGAAATCACAATCTCCATGTGCTGAAAGTTGGTCATACTAGGTCGATTACAGTTCATTTTTGGACAAAATATGGGAAGCTATGCCTGGCGATGAATTCGTCATGGTGGCCTCTAACCCACAATTCCTCGGGAACCCTCTTCTTAAAACGCAGCATTTTATCGGTCTTAGCAAGTGGCAAAAGATCGGCGATGATGAGATTGCGGGAACATATCAGCTACGAGTGGCGCATCAAAGGTACACCGACAGCAACATGAAGGAGATTGCAGTCAAGGGCCATGCCCATGGAACTGGCACAATGACTTACAAATATATCGAGGGTGAGTGGAAATTCGCCGGAGTTTGTCTAAATCCTCGATGGTTTGAGTATGACTATCATTTAGTGTTTGTAGAAGTAGAGATCATTATGAAAAAGAGGCAAATGGAACCTAAATCCGGACCATGCAAGAATATGAAAAAGTCACAACACCCTTATTTGTGTTCGGCTCATTATTCAACTCGCCGCATTTCTGATTAATACAAGCCTATTCTTGTTAATGAAGTTGATCTTGTTGTCTGAGTGGATACTACTAACCCTAGAGAATTCGGAAAAGATGAATTCTGGTGCCTCTGATATAAACGGGACATTCGAACCGACCACGTGAAACATGCATCATGCTACAGATTCTAATATTACGTTTATAATTATTATATTTAATATAAAAATTACACTATAGACTTTTATTTTATATCTTTTGTTAGCTACGATGACGAAGGAAGTCTATATCAGGATTATATATGCCCGGTGTAAGAGGCTTACAAGATGATCCGCGAACCTAACGCGAGTTTCCTACGCAGCACCACCATCCAAACCGATAATCTTTCCATTAATCCATTCGCTTTCACTTGAAGCTAAAAAGCAAACAACTTTTGCAATATCAATGGGATAACCACAACGAGTCAAAGGGGATACTCTGGCAACGATCTGTCACAAAGATTGCAATCCGTTAGTAATTACTTTTCGACACCGAAATCCAGGGCAAACCTACATCCAGAATCTGTTCTTTTGTAAAATGATCGGAGTTTGGAAGATAATCCTTGGCTGTTTCATGGAACATATCTGTCACAGTGCCGCCGGGGGCGACTGCATTGACGGTGATCTCCTTGTCACCGCAATCCTTGGCGAGACACCGAACGAACGTGTTTATCGCGCCTTTTGACGCCGAATACAGCGAGTGTCTTGGGACAGTAAATGAGTCGGCTGTATTGGAACTCATAAAAATAATGCGACCGGGGGAGTTGAGATGTTTGTAAGCTTCGCGCGCAACAAAGAATTGTCCACGAGTGTTGATGTTGAAGACACGGTCAAATTCCTCTTCTGTAACTTCACTGAGATGACCAAAAGAGACAACGCCGGCATTCGAGCAGACAATATCAAGTCCCCCAAAGACTTTGACGGCTCTCTCGAACAAGCGCACAGTCTGTGAGACCTGGCTGACATCTGCTTGGATGGCCACTGAGTCGGTTCCCAAGCTTTTAATTTCCTCCACTATCTTGTTGGCTGGGCCAGAGGATTTCGCATAGTTGACAATGACTTTTGCACCACATTTCCCCAAAGAAACCGCCATGGCAGCTCCAATACCACGACCAGCGCCCGTCACCAAGGCGACTTTGCCATCAAGACGGTAAGGCAAATACGGGGTAGAATTTGAAGAGGTCATCATTTAGTCTTGGATGTTTTTTTTTTCTTTTTGATTTTTCCTCGACTAACTAAAAGTCAGTAGATAATAATGGAGCAAATCAATTTATTTTGAAAAGAGAACTGTCTTAAAATAATTTACATATTGCTACAGCAATGACATGTATATTTTGTTGGCTTAGGCTTCCAGTTGTTAGGGCTAATTGTACCGTACCCTCGGCCTAATTGGGAAAAATGTCCCGCGTACCCGACCAGAAATTGGCCGAAGCCTAGGTTGCACCACAGTGCAGACAGAAATTACCAGAAACGCATTACGCGGAAGGTTATGCAATTGTAACACGGAATACAGAATTTGTGATCGGGGTTGACTGTCAGCAGCAGAACATCGTTCGATAGCCAACATAGGCCTCCATTAGGCCAAAAGGTTATTCTGTGGTCAGAGTTGAAATTTGTTATTAGCAAGGACCAAAAGAGAATGCTTCTAGGAAGATCAGAGACAAGAACAAGAGAACACTGTTATCATGCCTGCTGCAGCCTGTGTCCAAGCGGCCACTCTGCAGAGATTCCTTAACGCTTGGGCGAACTGGGATGCCCAGGAGCACCTGTCTATCTTCACTGATGATTTCAGTCAGCGCACACTGCCTGCCAGACTCGGAATTCCTACCAGGTCCCGAGAACAGGTCGAGCACACATTGCCAATCCTGATCAGTACCGTGAAATCTTATCATGTAAGTAACCTCTAATTAGAAGAACGGTCCTTGAGCACTTACTAAAAGGGGGAACGCAACGCTAGCTGACAGTAAATCATATTGTGCACGACATCGAAAGAAACAAAGCCGCCATCTATGCTTTGTCTAAGGGAGAACTTCCGTGGGGACCATGGGAAATGGAATATTCTGTATTCATCACGTTTTCCGAGGCAGGAGATCAGGTAGCGGCTCTCGAGGAGATGATGGATTCTGCCGTTCTACAAGAATTCGCGCCCAAGTTTGCCCAACATATGCATGCGAAAGAAATTCCGTCTTAATGAGAAAGGCTGGATTGATCGATTTGTCGCTAGGCAATATCGATGTACATTGAATTCTCGTCATTTAAAATAGTAATAATATAATGGGAGTCACCTATATCATTCCTCCTTCAAAGAATATTTCAATCATCATTCTAGTGCAAGAGCGCGATGCTTCGCTGTAATGTCATAAATTATATAATATTGTCCGGCTCCCGACGAAACCCCGCGTGTGCTAAAATCACAGGACTTAACATCGAAACAACTTATTAGATCTACTTGGAACGTGTACCATCATTGATTAAGGAGGTTTTGCCTTCATAATGACCACGTATGCAGTTCTCGGCACCACGGGAAACTGTGGTACGGCTCTCATCGATCTCCTCTTACTCACTCCAGATGCCCGAGTCAAGGCATACTGTCGGAACAAGAACAAGTTGATCCAAAAGGTCCCCAACTTAGATGGAAATAAACGCGTTCAAGTTTATGAAGGAAGTGTGTGCGACATTGATCTGCTAGTCGACTGCAGTCGTGATACACGTGCGATTTTTCACGTTGTCAATACAAATGACAACATTCCAGGATGTCACATCGGCTTGGACACGGCAAAAAGCATTATTGCTGCGCTGAAGACAATTAAAGCAAGCAATTCCAATATGTTTTCAGTAAACTTACCTAAGATTCTCCTCCTCTCTCCGGCACCATCGACGAACGTCTAAGCAGCCACATGCCAGTTCCGGCGAGATTTACTCACCTCCGCATCGAACATCTATGGAGACCTACGCCGAACCAAAGATTTTCTACGGTCCCTGAAGACTTAGCCTCGACAATATTCATCAAAACCAGGAATTATCTCCGTTGATATACAGCGTGGGCAAGAGCTCAATTTGGACCATGACGAGTCTTTCTTTTCCAATCTGGATCTCTCGGATAGTATGGTTGAGGCTACAAACGATATAGAAAATAAGTTTGATATGAGAAATGTCAGTGTGGTAAATGCAAATGGCTCCGCCAAGTTCCCATCTGGAGCACCATACTGTATTGCGATTGGGATTTTGAGACATTTCTTCCCATTTTTGCACAATTATCTTCCCTCGACGGGTCCTAGTTAATCGTTTAATCTAGCCTAGGACATCTAGAATACTTAATTGAGAAGGCCGTATACTTAAACGATATATTTTAAATTTCGATTTCTTTTACCAATTCCGTAGATTGCTAATATGGCTGAACTTACTATAATGAGCAGACTTTCAAAGAATACCATAACATCGCATTAATCTAAAGAGTAGTAATCTTCCATCGAATTCGTTGTGGTCAAGACTAATTGAGGAACGAATCATCTACACACTATGGCTTGTCCTCTCGGAAGACCTCTCCACATGACCTATATTTCCTCTCTAGGAACATGCTTACAGTAAAGTCCCTGAGGCAAAGTGGGAGCAAGCGAATTCAAATCCGTGTTGCGGCTGAAGTCGGGGTTAGGGTTCCCATTTTCATCACAGCCACTCCACTTGAAAATGGCTAGAGCGTAAGCCATATTGATGTTTTCCTGCAACTTGGCCCAGCGCGTGCCCAGGCAGGGATGACGACCCTGTCCCCAGCCGACAACTTTTTATACTTTGTCAGCCGCCTTTTCACTTTCAATACACGTAAAGAAAAGGGATCGGCATGAATAAAATCAAAGATGGGCTACTTACAACCATAATTCTGTTTTTTGAACTCTTCACGCCCTTCACGAAACCGGTCTGGGTCATATCTTTCTGGATTGGGATACAGTTCCTCATTGTAATGTACCTCTGTGCAGTTATAGGCTACAAAGGTGTTGGCAGGAATGACCTCATTGGTACCAGGGATCGGGAGGGGGTCAGAAGACATGTTGAGTCGGATCATTGGAAACCCAACCCACATACGGATAGCCTCCTTGAAACATAGATCTAGAGATGGTATCGATGTTTCCCATGCTTCGAGTGGAATTGAATCAAGTTGGTCTACCAGAGGAGCATGTCTATTCTTGGAGTGAATAGCGGCAGCGGCCTTGATCTCGTTATAGATTTTGTCCTGCCATTCCGGATGGTGGGCGACTATATTCAGCATGGATCCGGTTAGGATACCAGGATTCGCAGTGGAAATAAAAAGAGCACTAATCATGAAGTAAATAATATAATCAATCCGATCGCGGTTATCAAGAAACATTTGCAAAGCGTCGTCCTCGCGAGGAGCGCCTTTCTGGAACCGCCGGTTAACAATTGGTTCCACAAGACTATTCATTCGATACCGCAAGTATTTGCGTTTCAGGTATGGAAATGATGGAAGCCAGGGGACCGCCACGCTATGGAGGCTGCTAGTCGACATTACTTGAGACAAAGTGTGCACCAAATCAGCCAATCGCCTAGGGTCATCCGAAATTTCATTGGTGAAGATAACTCGGGCAGCCTGAGAGACAACAATTTGATAGCATGCGAACGATGGGTTCGTGACTCCACTGGGGTCTTCAGCCATCTTTTCAAATGCAGTACGGGCGTCCCTCCGCAAGTAAGGGAGGCGTCTGGCGAGTTGATCTGACTTCTGAAGGTCAAGTAGACGGCGCTGAAACCAGCTACGACCATTTGGGAAAACGTTCGGCGAATATATAGGATGAATAGGTGGAATGAAGTCGACACCATGCCCCACGAGCTTTGCCCCAGACACGAAATCCATGTTCGGGTGGTCCAGGAACATCTTACGAGCAGACTCGCCACTCAATCCGACGATATGATTTTTTCCCAGCCAGAAACTAAAATTTCTAGTCCTGGACCCTCTCGTGGCCCTTTGCCAGAAGTGCCTAGAGCATATTATTAACTTGGTAAGACGATCAGCAAGAACGATAACGTTTGACTACCATTTCTCAGTAAAGAAACCCCAGGAACCAATGAAAGGAGTCGTGTAGGATGTAAACACCGGCGACTTCTTGTTCACACTTGGAGTATAAGAGAGATAAGTCAAGAAGGCTAAGAAAAACGTAAAGATACCAGTGAGGTAAACAGTCACTGGTGACTGAGCGCTCTCGATATCTAGCAACATCTTCAGTACTGCTGACATTGACGATTGCAAAGTTATTATAGGTTGTGTATTTAGATTAAAACTTTGAAATTTACGGCTTTGTTACACAGCTCAGAGTGAGAAGGACGGTCGTCACGAACACTTATGTCAAAATCGGGGGTGATATGCAGTCGGGCATCGGCTAATTAGGCCGCAATCTTCACGACTACTCCGAGTTTCCGCTCCTTGTCGTTAAATGCATGCATAAATAATTTACATTTACATTCATGGCCATTCGGAAAGGAAGATGAGCGATGGCCGTCGCGTTCTAGATGATATGAAGTTCTTCTATGGTATCAACATCGGCGATGAGACTCGGATTCCAGTCCCCTGTTCTCGTCGGCATATCCCCGATATGGATTTAATCCCGACATTGTTCCATTTAGTAATATCTATTAAGCTTAAACGTAGCATTACAAATCAATAAAATGCAGGCCAGCCTGCTGCCCTAGAGCCAGGTTAGGCGTTACTCATACTCATATTAATGAATTTCCTTGTTCATCTATTGAGTTACCCATCAAAGCGATTATTGAGAGAATTATAATTTAAGCCTTCTGGAAATGGAGATAAATCAAAAGATGAGTAAATTTTAAACATGAATTCATTTAAATGCTTGAAAGATTTATTCGGCTAACCGAGTAGTAAAACCCGGCAAAGGAATATTTTCCAGTCAAGGCAGCCTTGTCGCATTTTACGGTGTAAATATGTCATAGGATTGACATAAATGGTAGTTTACAACCCTATATCTGAAAGTAATTTATTGTGAAGCTGGATGTATCTCCACAATGAAAGTAAAACGACGATCATACTGGCATATCTTTAATCCCATATCGTACTCTGAGCTGAAACAGCCATGTAACTTAACTACATATTGACTAATTCATTAATTCAATAACTAACAATCTCACTAATCGGTGATATGGCCCATTTGCTATGACTAATTCAGTGATATATTATTCATAATAGCTTAACTTATACACCAAGCTATCAATTGACAGACCCCACAGCAGCGACCAACCGAACCATTCCAGCCCTATATGAAATAGCACCGTAATAGTGTAAATAGCGGTAATTTTGCCTAAGGCTGCCAATAACAGAGGTTCAACCGTACTCCATGATAGTGGCTGGTTATATTATCAACGATCCCTCCTATTATGAGCTAGCGCTACGTTGAAAACAAATTTCTCACAATTGTGCCTGAAATCGTCATAATATTTGACTTCTTCGTCGTGGTTAAAGGTTTATCAGGACGCAATTTTGGGGGGCGAGAGGGGGCGGTGATTCGGGCTAGGCCAGCATATGGCTGGAGGCGGCCGCATTTCCAATTCTCGCTCACACCTACAAAAAGCTTAAGCACTCTGACCCTTATAAGACCCCAAGCATTCCTCCAGGCACCTCCTTGCCTTCGTTTTATAGAGGTGGGGGAGTGTTCCGGGGTGCTTCCGGGTCTTATAGGCGTGTGAGTGTGTGTTGGGAATTTAGGCAGATCGACGATGATATCTTCTGGAGTCTTTGTTGCAAAATAGTGGAGGCCTTAGACGGATTTGCAGGACTTTAAAAGTCATATTTTAACCAAAGTGGTGCGATCAAAAACATCAAGAGTGAGTTATTGCGAGCAAATGCTGACAAAGAACCAACACCAAAAGAGAGTGAGTGTTGGTGCACATTTGCTCCGCGCCAGACACAGGGCCTGAGTCATCACACACCAGATTACCTCGTTCTTTCGGTATAAGGAGCTAAGTTGGGTTTTTAGTGAGAACATATTCTCTTGGTACCCGCATTTTGAGAAGCAAATCTGTATTCCCAAGTAACTTGTCGCTCGAAATCAAAGTTTTAACTCGTCGGATGGAAATGGGTCTCATACCCAAGGTTGCTGTGGCCGGGGGTGCCAGTATAGGATGAACCAAAGGTCATTAGTTCTTTAATGCTAATATACATTTAGAACGGGCGACTTGGCATGGTGGTGGTTGACGAACTTGTCAAGGCAGGGTTCCAAACCACGATCCTTACACGATTGTGATCATCTGTGAAAACACACCCTCTAGTGTTTAGGTATCTGAAGTCGACTATACCTGTGAAGAGTCATTCAACAAGGTACTGCAGGGGCATGATGCAGTAGTTTCCGCTGTTTCCGGGCCTGCAGTTACTGAGCAGAAGCCTCTTATCAATGCATCCATTGCTGCAGGCATAAAGCACTTTATTCCGGCCGATTATGCCACAAAGTCTCAGAAACCCAGCTGTTCGGCAATTTCCGTCATATGCGGGGGTATCGGAAATCTCGAATTACCTTCAAGCCAGATCTGATAAGATCAACTGGACGATCGTCGCTCCTGGAGGGTTTCTAGAATATGTTTTTGACTTGCCGTTTGTGCTGGAATTAGCGAACCGGAAGATTGAAATTATAAATGGAGGCGATATTCCCTTTAGTGTCTCGGAATTCGGTACGACTGCAAAATGGATTATTGGGGTGTTGAGACAGCCCAAAAGAGGTGTTGATCACTGCGTGCAGACCCATGCCACGACTGTAACACAAAATGAAGTTTTCGGGCTTGTCAAGAAGTACGACCCGAATCCCGAGAGCTGGACGGTCCTTCAGCAAGAATCCAATGTCAAGCTCGAAAGAGGTATGGGGATGATTAAAAATGGAGATTTCTCTATGAATGCTATATCAACTATGATGTCTGGTATAATATGGAGTGGCGATTATAACTTGGCCTTCAAGGAAACTGACAATGAGTGGCTTGGTGTTGAGATGATCACTAAGGAAAGGCTCGAGGAGTTGATTGAAGACAAAGTCATTCATGGGGCTACGGATGTTGGTTCATCCCAGATTGTGTCTAATGTCGGATAGTAGACCGATATTGGTGAATTCAGAGAGGTCAATCGTTTTAACCTGTCGTAGCGCAGCTTTGAGGTATATCAGAATTCCGACAAATGTGGAAATAAAATTCGATCCCAGTCATGGAAATAATAGTTCTGTTTATTCCAAATCCATATTAGTTTTATTTACTTTTGTAAAGAATTAATGTAGTGAGTCAGTTTCGAGGAGCTCCCATTCAAATGCTAGAAATGCATTTCTATTTTAACGTCCGAACTATGACACGCAGATTAGTATTACGGAGCTTGTCATTGGTCAATTTGAGATCCGTGGGAGCGGACCAATCATGTAGCTTGGATTAGTACGATCAATGAATTGCCAAACCAAATATAAGGCAAGATTCTCTACAATTTTACTTGCTTTAGATAATTTGATATCTTATAGGTTGTCTTTGTGACGGGCTACAGCAATAATTATAGTATTGAATCGATATTGAATGCATTTGGCTACTGACACATTTACATAATGCCACATGCAAAACAAAGGAAAAACCAAAGGAGAAAAGTACAGTCTCGGTGAAATTCTCAGTGAAAGTACCGGCCAATTTATATGGAATCCTCAGTTAACCGCTCTTTATCAACTACGCCAATCTAAAACGCCATCATCTTTTTGATCTCGGCAATGGCCTTACCCGGGTTGAGACCCTTCGGGCAGGTTCTCGAGCAATTGAGAATGGTATGGCATCGGTATACGCTCATGCTATTGTTCAGAGCCTCCTTGCGCTGCTCGGTCTTCTCGTCACGAGAGTCAGCCAACCAACGGTATGATTGCAGCAGAATAGCAGGTCCAAGGTATTCTTCGCTATTCCACCAGTAGGACGGGCAGGAAGTTGAACAGCAAGCGCACAAGATGCATTCGTACAGGCCATCGAGCTTGCGACGGTCCTCGGGCGATTGCCGGTTTTCAAGGCCCTACATAGGTTGTTAGACTAACGAATGGCCATGGCTCACAATGCGACTTACATCTTCAGTCTTAGTATCCCGTTGCAAGTAAGGCTTGATCGATTTGTATTGCTTGTAGAATTGGGTCAAATCAGGCACCAAGTCCTTCACGACGTAGGTGTGTGGCAATGGGTAGATGCGAGACTCTTTGGCGGTATCAGTGGGAATACGGCCTGCAGAAGAAACAAAGGTCAATGAATGTCCCGAATTGGTATATTGCGCTATTCAATGCATCATACATAGACAAGCCAGCGTGTTCACGCCATCAATGTTCATCGCACAGCTTCCGCAAATACCCTCACGGCAGCTTCGTCGGAAAGTCAACGTAGGGTCAACTTCGTTCTTAATCCGGATTAGAGCATCGAGCATCATTGGGCCGGTCTTATTCAGGTCGAGGGTGTAGGATTGCATGCGAGGCTTCTCAGCCGGGCGGTCGGGGTCCCATCGGTACACATGGAAAGTCTTGGTGCGAGCGCTCTCTGAAGGGGCAGGCTCCTTGACAGTGGAAGTCTTGGACTCAGGCACAAACGAGCTGCTGCCGGAGGTCTTTGAGACGGGGTCGACAGTGGCATAGGATCGCGCGAAGACGGCGGGTGTGAACAATGGCCGTGATGAAGCCAGCAGGCGGGAGGAAGTGCGAAGAGCGGCCATGACGAGTCGAAGATTGGGGTTGTATGCAAAGAGAATCCGCGGCAACACACCGGCAGTCACTCGAAGGTGAGCACTGACAGTCAATTCAATCGCAAGGCAGGAGCGGAGAGGGGGGCGACAGCCGTGTGCGTTGCAGGCGGGTGAAAGATGAAGCCAAAGTGGTGCAGGAAGTTCTCGCCTTCTTGTTAGCCTACGCTTGCCTCTCGCTCTGCCGAGGGAACCGTCCAGCGGCGCCCCGTCACGTGAGCTCCCACCCGCCAATCACGGGCAGCCTAATTGCAACCGATCGGAGACTTACGGCAAACATCGTGGCACGTGATCGCATCATTCTACCTTCAATACTTGAAGACTGCCAAATGGTATCACTTGGAAATATTTAAGAAGTACTTGAACTCTTGATAATATTCATTGTCTTTTCGATTTTGAAGTAATAACCGCCTTACACAGCGCGTCTCTTGCAGTAGTGCTTTACCCGAGCCCTTTACCGATCGGAAGCTGTCCGCGGATACGGTTCTATCTATAGGCTTGACAGCGATGAAAGTGCTGTAACTGTGTATGAGCGATGAATATAGAATTTCAAGTGCGAAAGCCGACGACCTGAATTCCAAGTGGTATGTCGAACAGAACATGCACAAGACATTCATGACAGTTTTTACAGATACTCCTATCAAGTTGACAAGTTCTTTCAATAGGGGCTACATTCGAAATTCATCGTACGCAAGCTCCTCAGCAGTTAATCGCTCTTCAGGCAACCAGCGAAGTATTCTCTGAAAGAAGTTGGCAAATATGTCCTCATCTTCCAGAAATTCAGCTCTCTTATTTCTAATGACTACTCTAGTATAGGTATATTACCCTTCTAATTAAGTAAAGAATATAAGCTTGAAAATGCTCAAATAAAAGCACGGTTCACCTTAGAGGTCTCAGTATTTGAGGCAGTTGTCGCTTCTCTTGAGGAATATGAGAGGAGGAGGATAAGAGCGACCATCTCTGCTCATTATCTAGAGTACCAATATCTTCCCGAAAAACAGATGGTTATCCTCAACCATTTTCCAAACCTAAATCAAGGTCACTTTGTTTGAAAAGTTCTATAGCTTGCTGGAACTAAAGCTTTACTGACCAGATTACCAATTGCCAGATATCAACTTTGCAACGCTACTCCATCCCTAATATTACCTCAGGAGCCCAATACACACCAGACGTGATATTACCTCTATGCTTTTGGTTTCCACTTCTGGCTTCAACAGAGTCACAAAGAACTGGCAAAGCTCCGCGACATGGGGCCGGACGAGAGTAATAAATACTATCACTATGAATCTATCCGGATCACAGTGCAAGCAGGCGCAATTTGCTACCAACACCCAATTTTGACCCTTACATTCAAACATCCGATGAACTTATATTTGCTCTACCACCTTTCTTTTCTTCTGAATGATTACCCAAATTTCGAGGTTTAATTTCTTTTAGCTTCTTTCTCTTTCTCTTTAAAACGCCGTCACCGTGAACTGCGGGCCGGTGCAACTTCTATCCCACAATTCAAGGCTTCTATCAACACCCACGTTAGCCAAAATGGATAGCGACGGGATATTACATTTTACTAAGATTACAGGCTCTCCGTCAGATCTTGTAACCCAATATCTATAAATCGTAGATTTCAACATTGAACAGGCTATGTTCCTGTCAAACAACAGAAGTTCAAAGATAGAAAAAGACTGGTATTGATGCTGCGTGTATGTGGAATTTCGAAATGTTTACAACGGATTCATGCAGGCATAATATCATCTTCTTCGTTGTATTATTGTGGATCTGGTACTCACTCTAAGCGGAGTTTATCCGGCGTATAGCAAGCCGCCTTCAATGTAGCTCCCTGTTTACAGTATGTATATCTATAGGGAAAGGGTTCATAAGAAGACAAAACCAAGCACACGCAAACCCTCAGAGACCATTTTCTCAAAATCTACATACCAGGCTCATCCAATTGTCGAAGCCCTTGTCTTGGGTCTTGCACAAGTGAGAAGCACAGCCAGCCACAAAACAGCCCGCCCAATTAGGGTTGTGTTTAGAGGCGATCGCTCGGGGCGGGCCGAAGACTATTTACTATTTAGTGTTAAGTGTTTGTTACTATCGATTATCAAATTAATAATAATAACACGGCCTGTGCGGAAGATTGGCCATGCTAACATGATAGCCAAGACTTGCCTAGTTATGGCGTAGAGAGTACGGCGAAATATAGACGCAATACGAGTCTAGACTGCCAGTTAGCCTCGTCGATCTGCAGCTGTAGGATGATCTCTAGAGGAGAACCACTGAGGCTTTCGCTAGTGGATCATCGCTGACTTCACCTTGCATAAGGATAATCATCCGTGACCCTTGGCTCCGTGTCCGGAGAATACTCCACACCTCGTGCCCTGATCGATCATTGTGGCATGGTTCATGCCACGGTTCTCCACACATCACAACCCGAGTACCCAGGATGATTCTCTCCGGCATCGCGATGATCGCCGCCCACTTTCTAGCAGAACCACTGCAGCTAACAAAATCGCAAAAATGGCTCTTGGCCAGAGCTCCATAGTCGACCTATGGTCAGCTGTGGAATCGGGAGACGGCAACTAGTTGGCCCAATGGTAACCAGCTCTTGCCATGCCAGGCAAGGAACTGACAAGCATTCGACCGGCTCATGCAATGGCGGGAGAGCAGAGAAAACACAGACGAGACAAGAGAAAAGCAATTCTCTGCACTCAGCTTAGCGTTGACTTATGATCACGATGATCGCGGTCCAAGTATCACAAGCATAAATAACTCGTCTCTGCTGTGTTCCAGTATAATTTTTTCGTGTCTATTCACACTTCGCGCTCTTACCTCCATCAATGCCTTCCCTCAAGGTCCTCGCGCTCTTCTCATTGACCCTGCTCAGCCAGGCGTTGGCTACTACCATCCCGGAGACAGATTACGATGCCATTGTCATTGGCGGCGGCCCTGCTGGCCTCAGTGCGACGAGCGGTCTTTCTCGTGTCAGACGAAGGACTTTGATGCTGGACTCAGGTGTATACCGCAACGATCCGACAAGGCACATGCATGACGTTATTGGAAACGATGGTGAGTTTTACGTTCTTTACCCATGTGGTGGAGGGTGCTGAGTATCTAGGAACTGTCCCCGCTGTCTTTAGATATCTTGCCCGCCAGCAGATCTCTAGATACAATGCGACGACAACAATGAAGAACGCGACCGTAATATCCGTCGAGTCCATCAACAATGGCTCGTACTACAAAGCGACCGACTCCGAAGGCTTGGAATATACTGCACGTAGAATCGTCCTAGCCACTGGAATGAAGGATATTCTTCCTGATACTCCTGGTGTGAAGGAGGGCTGGGGTAAGGGTATTTACTGGTGCCCGTGGTGCGATGGTTATGAGCACCGCGATCAGGCCTTTGGTATTCTGGGAAATCTCAGTGACGCCATGGGCAGTGTCATTGAAGTTTGGCAACTGAACGAGGACATTATCGCGTTCGTCAACGGCACCAACACCCCAGAACAGCAGCAGGCATTGGCGGTAAAATACCCAAACTGGCAGGCCCAGCTTGAGGCCTACAATGTCTCCATCAACAATGAGACCATCGTTTCGATCGACCGCCTCCAAGACGGGAGCACAGATAACGACCCTGCCGAGGACCGTGAATTTGATTTATTCCGGGTCAATCTTGCTGATGGGTCCAGTATCGAGCGCGGAGCTTTCATCACCAATTTCCCAGATGCTCAGTACTCCAACATCCCCCAGGAGCTTGACCTACAAATGAACGGAACAAAGATCGCGGTCAGCACCAATATGAAGAGTAATGACACTGGCGTGTATGCGATCGGAGACATCAACAACGATGGTGCTACCAATGTGCCCCATGCTATGTTCAGCGGTAAACGCGCTGCTGTCTATATTCATGGTACGCTTTATTCAAAATTTCTATATCGCTGCATACTGATCAGAGCTACAGTTGAACTCGGTAGACAAGAATCCTTGGCGGCGATCGGAAAGCGAGAATTATCCGACAAAGAGCGCGAGAAGGAGGCGAGGAGACTGGTTGGCAGCGACTTGGACGAGTTGTGGAAGCGAGTTCAGGAGATGAAAAAATAATTATATTGTTACGATACGACACCTTGATGGACAAATGAAGTATTCCTGTTACACGGTCAAAGTGAAAATTCAATAACATGACGATTAAATTCGTCACGTGTACACGCAACAAAGAAGCGTTATCATCGTTGTCATAGCGAAGGCGTAAGAGGTGAAAAAGGATTCCAAGGATATGTCGACATTACATGTGAGCTAGGGCATCACCAGCATTCCCAATATTGCTAGATTGGTAAGCAAGCTATAAACCCCCATAAGGTCTGTAGTGGAAAAATACGTCAACTTCAAGGGTCCCCGTGTGTTGTTAGGTATCAGGCTCCAGTTGCAATTAGGCAACTGTCCGTAATAAATATTACGGCAAACTACTATAAAACCCATGATAAATAACGAGCTAAGCGCGTTCGTCATTCACCATCTGACTTAGTTAAAAAAGATTACAACAGCTTATAATCCACTTAATATGTTTTATAAAAGTAGAATGTCTTGCCTAATAATAAACAACATTACTAACTTCTCTATCTTATCTCAGTGTCATCTACGGTTTCTATTTTCAAGACAGGGTGTTTCTTCATAGCGAGTGGCCTGTAACCATGTGGATTGATCACTTATTCTTCAGTATTCAGAAGATCTTCTTACCTTGTCAATCCTTTGCGCCTTGTTCAATGTAGTCAAATGGGCTGGTAGAGCTGACTAAGATTACGCTGCCCAGTCCGAGGAGTTTTTCTTCCCTTCGATTTTACGTCTTTAGCGCGCTCTATATTGACGCGTGGGACAGACGAACATCCAATGAGAGAAGATTATACTACTGATGGACGGCGGTGGGCACAAAAAGTATCTGGCAGCAGTAGGCTTGCATTAGGTGTGGTTATGGTGTGGTTCGGAGAAAATCTCTCTGTCCCATAAGGATTTTGGAAATCATCATACGCAGTATCCCGTCATAACAGGAACCATTCTAATCAAAAAGACAGCTTGGTTTTCGAGGGCCCTTATGGCGCAGTGGTAACGCGTTCCACTGTACGTTTAATTACCCATGGAAAGGAGATATTGAAACTAATTGTTCGCAGTGTATATTATCCGAGATGGAAAGATTCCTGAGTTCGACTCTCAGTGGGGGCAATTTTTTTTGTTCCTCACAAAAAGTAATGTTACATTCAAATAGCCTTTTTGTCACCGGTAGCGAATTGAATTCCTTTAAAGCGTAATCCACATCTGGATAGGACATTGAAGACCAATATTCTATCTCCTAATAAACCGATACATGAAACTTCAAGTTCCTCAACTTTATTTGTTAATGTATTCTTATCGAGCATCTCATTTCATCTTCTTGGTAACTTTAGGATTCTGCTCCTTGTGCTCCGTTACCTTAAGTATTTCAAATCTCTTCTCAAATGTCGCTTTGGCAAATATGATATCTGGGAGCTTAGGAAACTCGGCCAGGTCGCATCCGATGTCTTTGAATCCGTTTACAGTCGATCGCAGAGTACTTTCTCCCACTACAGAGGTGGCCTTATTGGCAGGACGCCAGGATCTATCTTTCTTCTTACAGCCATCGCATTTTAAGGAGTCTCAAGATATCTTGCCGTGTTGTGAATAGTCCAATGCAGATGGAGATGCTCCCTCTGGAATTTACAGCTTGTGCACTGCCCAATGACTGTTGTCGCGCAGCCCTCTAGATCCTTTCTAAAACGGCACAATGCAGACGCGGCATTCCTGTTTGGCCAAGCCGCACGAGATTGCTCGAAACTCCGTTTTGAATCCCGTGTATAACCCTGCTGAGGATCGGTGGGGGGAAGAGATGAGTTCCCTCGACAACCAGGCCGTCCACAGCCATTGCTTTGAAAAAAATTTCATCCCATACCTTTGCTGCATGCTCGCGCAGAAAATGGGAAAGAGTCATCCAGAGCCGGCATCTTACACAGACTACACTGCCGATATATCACTTGGCCGGGCATTCCTGGAATGGTTTCATCGTCGACGATCTGGTTCTTAGATGAAGTTATCTCTTTTATGTATACAGTCGTTACGAGCATTGCAGTATCGACAATTGACCAATTTCCCGGGTCACCAAATAGTGGATATTTATCCCAGATCGAATCTGTCCTGGCAGCTAGTCTCGCTTGTGTTACCTACTACCCAGTATCTCTACGGCACACCGCTCATAGAAACCATCAAGCCTTCCATCAGTTGTACATTTTACATGTGTAGTGATAATGTCCATGAACGTAAAAAGTTATTGGAAACGACTTAGACAATTGGTGGTAGCGAGGCCAGAAGATGGAAAAACGATATTGTTACGATGCACGAACCGATACAAAATCATAGCTCTTTCTATAGATCATGATAATCTTAATGCAAGCAGCCTATTGACGATGCATCTGAGTACCGGTGAAGGACTGAATAAACGAAACCCAACATCCAACCCCTCCATTCCTACTCTTGCTCCTTTTTCTCCTTCTCGGACAAAGTAGCCCAGTATTGCTTTCTATCAACATAATTCTGATGCCACGTGAAATTAGGGTTGTCTTGCAGAATTTCCCGGATCAACTGTCTTCCCGGCTTCGGTTCTCTTCCGAGCACTTCTTTCATCAACGGATTTGACAAAATCGCCTCCCCCTTGGCAATACCATCAAACCAAGAAATCCGCTTTCGCCAGAAACTCTCCGGTTTCTGACCAATATCATTTTCGGTGTGGTAGCGCACATACTCTTCCGGCGACAGGACCTGGATCTTCACGTTCCGGCCGGTGGTTTCGTTAATAATGTCGACAATGTCAGTTGCTCTCAGCGCGCCACTCGCGGTTAGAAGGACTATCTCGTTCTCGTGGCCGCCTTTTATTAATAATTTGGCGTTTGCCTCGCCGAGCTCTTCGCGGCTAGTGTATGTTATTTGCCCGTCCTCGGCGATGTAGATCGTCTCTGTGGTAGGATACCACTGGAGAAAGAGCGGAAAAGCTTGGGTGTAAATTCCTTCCCTGATGGATGTATATGTGATGCCAGACCTTCTTAACATTAGCATGATCATGGAGACAATTGGACGATATCGTAAATTTACTCTTTAAGCAGCTTCTCAGTCTCGAGATGTGCCTGCTGCACATCGATCTTGGAATCAGATCGCAGCCCACCAAAGGCCAACGAAGTATACCAAGTCTGCCCCGAACAGTCAGTTTCAAAAGAAATTTCATAAGCATTACTGGTTTCTTGACATACATGCTTAACGCCAACTTTTTTTGCGGCCTCAACAACGTTCTTATGCTGTTTCGTTCGTCTTTCGGTATCCCACACGTTCGAACTGACAAAAAAAAGATTCTCAACGTCTGCAAACGCGGCCGTTAATGATGCCGGGTCGTCGTAGTTGACTAGGCGGAAGGCGATTCCCTTGTCCTCGAATTTGGAGCGGTTGGCTTCGCTGGACGAGGCTGCTGCATATTCAGAGGATGGGAGATGCGTGGTGAAGTATTCAAGTACCTGCCGGCCGAGACCGCCGGTGGCACCGGTGACGAGATATTTGAGAGTCATGCTGATGTCGATTGATGAGATATTTGGTGTATTGAGGGGAAGATGAAATGCTAGTATTGATAGAATACTGAATGTTAGTGACAATAGTTATGTTAGGCAATTTATACCTCAGCCCTCTGCATACGGGCTACATTGTGGCGAATACATTTAGTAATTATTCCGATGTTGGAATTTTCATGATTTTTCATAAAAAGTCGAGAAATCAATTGCAGGTGAGAAAGAGCAACTCCGCCGTGGAGATGCGGAGAAAGAGCGGAGTTGACTCAGCTGCGCTCCGCCGGTCTCTGATTGGCTATAGAGGACTCCGCAGCGGATTATCAAGACAACATTTGCCCCTCTATTTTTAGACATTGATTGTGTTCCGCTACATGGATACTAATGCACAGGTCATGATAAGAATAAAGCTGCTGAGCTACATATATATCTAACAATACCTTTTGCGGAGATATGAAATCTTGGATCTAGATCTAGATCTCAGGCAGAGTGCAAACAAGCAAACACATTTTGTTAGATAGAAACCTCTCAACTTCAAATGGTTGTAACCTGGTATCTTTCAGATCTTGTATTTATTTTAGGTACCATAGTAGCAGCTAGCTATATTGATTAATGTATTTAACTTTATAATCCTTATTAATATTCTACTATATGTGATTGACCTCTGCATGTACCTAGAGATATCAAAAATTAATGTCAATCAATTCAATGTTGATAGCAGATTGAAATACCGGCACAGTACTTTAACTGACATCTAGGTGAATTGAGGTTCCAGTTGTTAGGTGAAGTAATCAATATTTCTATGATTTCGCCATATTCCCTTATTTGTTGATGTTGACATTATTTTTCAAATAAAACGCGGACTAAAGTCCAGGGACCCTCCAAAGAAACTTTGAAGCCCAACCGGCTCCGTATCAATTGATGTCTGACATAGAGCCATATGGTCAAAGATATAAAGGTATACATCATGGTCCAGGTTAAAAGGCCGTCAGAGAGCGTCTCACCACTTTAAACATTATACACATGCTTACAAGGCCGTATAAATCGCTGTTTAGAGACTTTACCTTGAGCTAAAATCGACACGGATCTTGCAATCCACCAAAACACTGACCCTGAGTTTGTCAGAACCATATGGAGCTCTGAAAAAGCTCCATATTTGCCAGCTGAAAGTCGAACGGTAGATCTAATCCTACGAAGTCATTCGAATCGCATGCTCAGACGTATTGTGGGGCCGATATCTGCAACCATGCCACGATTGGAAACTCTTGACTTGCGTTGGTATACTCTCTACGACCTGGCTAGGTATGGATTGAGTGGCGATTATCCTTTGATAGGAAATGTTGTATCTGTGTATCCGCTATCCCTTCGAGGGTGCATATTCCGCAGTATTCTTGTGACAGAAGCAGACTTAAGGGAATTCTTTGAGAGAACTCATCTAACATCACTGACATTACGCGATGTTTCCTTTCAACCTCATTTAGGCCACTACTCCAATACTTTGCGCGTGACAACTGTCACACTCAGAGATATATCCTTGATGACATCGAAGACGATAACGCCCTTGCGCACTTCAACGTACCGAGACGCTTCGAGATGCTTGAAGTTTCCTACTTAATCCCCAATCACTTTGGTCCCAGCTAGGTGACATATGAAGGCGGCTATGGAAGTGTGAGACCTCTTGTTAACTGCAGAACTGTCTTTGGAACGGGTCTTGTCTACAGACCAATGCTTACAGCAGAATCCGAAGATTGGGTGTTGAGAAGACTAAGTGAGAATGGGCCACCTATTGGCGTTGGATTCGACTTTGTTGAACTTCAGCAGTGACCCTCGAAAAACTTGGATTGTGCGGAGATGATAGGATATAAACCAAATGCATGACAGAAAATCAAGAAATTGTAATCATAACGAAGGTCAACGCATGATTGTTGAGCATTGAATGTTGTATGATGTATGTGGTATGTTCTATGCTGTGAGAAAGAGAAGCTAAGAAGGCGGGGTGATTAAGTCGGCTCTGATTGGACGACCCCTGAAAAGCGATCCACTATGCTTTCTCCGAACAATCTTCAATCTTCGTCGTCTCGTCGCTTGGAAGAGCAGAGGAAAAGCTGTGCTGGCACATTTCTTTCTGATTGTTGTTACCTGCGATGCTTGTGTCAATCAGCTAGCTGCTGAACAATAGACCAGCTAATCGTATCGATTTAACTCCCTGATCATCGTACATTCCTTGCAGCGGAGTGTCAGAGCTTCTCCACAAAATGACATTGGATAGCCCCGACCTAGCTGGATCGCAGCCTCATTCCTCACCTGTGCAGCCGCCTCCACAACCAATTACACAAAATGTTCCCAAGCGAAAACCCGTTCCAGGTACCGAATCTGAGCCACATACCGTTGCAGCGACAAGCAACGCCGAACCAGCTGTACAGACAGACAACCAAATCGCCGATCAAGAGAAAGGCCCTACTGTCGAATGGCAGTCGCAGAATACCAGCAATGGGAGCCAGAGAGAACTGCATAGGAAATTCGCATTCACATTCCCTTCAATCTCGCTGGCCGCCTTAGATAACCTACGCCTGGGCCCGTTAGACAAGCATCTTCCCTATGAAAGGCGCAAACGCCGTCGTGTTATCGCAGGGATAATGGCTGGCATTATCATTGCATTATTAGCGCTTATAGTCGGGCTTGCAGCTGGACTGACGGTCGGTAAAGAGTATGATCTTTCAACTGCAGATTGTTTGAATATTGAAGGCTGACATCTCATCCAATAGTAAAACCCAAAACTTGCCTCTTCCCACATCGAATGGCGGCCCTTATGCCGGCGACCTCACATACTATGCGCCTGCTCTAGGTGCATGCGGTGCCACATCCTCTTCTTCGGACAGTATCTGTGCCGTCTCCCACATCATATTCGACGCTGCACAAAAAGGATCTAATCCTAACGCCAATCCGCTATGTGGCCTAAAGATTCGGCTTCGACGGAACGATGAGAGCGTTGATGTCACTGTCGTCGATCGATGTGTCGGCTGCAAAGCCACGGATATTGATACCACGACCACAGTGTTTGGCAAGTTGGCTGAAATCGATCAAGGGCGCGTCTCGGTTGAGTGGGCTTGGTTGGAGAGTTCGCCCGTGAACATGACGAGCTCGTGATATAACTTAACCCGTATATTGTATGATTTCGTCATTTGTCCTGCTAGTTTTTTTATTTCTTTGACAGCCTGATACCCTGAAAGTTCGATACCCCTTTGCTACAATGTTCATGGCCTTAGTCAGAATTTTCATGTTCAGTTTTTTCAAGTAAGCTACAAAAGCCGGCATTTGTAAATTAGGATGTTCAAAAACACCTGATCTGTCTACAACATTGCCATAAATCACTGGTTACAGCATCAAAGATATTGCGAAGTCCACAATAGAGTCATTCTTTGATCATGATATAGCTCTATGTGAGAGAGCCTCTTTAACTCTAGATCTTCAATATTGTTGAGATTAATGTTCCTAATACATTTAGCAGCAAGGCACGATATACGAAATCGAAATAAAAGAAAAGAATTGAATGCCTCATTTAAAATATTAAATTCAATATATGGGTATAAGAAAGTAACGAAATCTTAGTCATCATTTCAATAGAAAAGATCATTTATGCTACTAAATAACTTATAACAAATTGAATACCTATAGTTCTCTGCCAATTTACACTGGAATACTAACATTGAATATTAGATAACAGCTTTTAACAGGCAACATGATTCACTCGGTATTTCGACGATGTTCACAACAAATAACAATGAAGCCTAGCTCAGCGCAGATGCAGGCTTTGCTATGGCTTCTCAGATGTTTGTCCCTTCACACCACCATAGTATCCCAATTTCGCCCTGATAGCCACCTTCCAATTCAACTACAAACCTGGACGATCTCTATGAACATGTATCACGAAGAGATTCCAGTCGATGAAGGCATGGCCTTTGAGCAAATGTTAATAAAGCAAATTCTGGAAGGATAAGGAGTCTCCGCCCTCGAAGAGGTAACTCCTGAGATCCTTACCATGATACGTCGTTATATCAGCGTCCCTGTTCCTCTTCCTTACGTCCGTCTCAATCGAAAAGCAATTCGACTGTACTTCCACAACCAGTTCGTCAACAAGCGTGGCGTTGTTGATGGCGTGGAGTACGATAACTCAGCTACCCAAATCGTGACGAGACCAATTCTCTCTCGATTCGAAGCGCTGCTAGAAACCATATACGGCTTGGCTAGAGGGCGTACGCGGCATTCTAGTTGCCAAAACCAGCCTTAAATTCGGGGTGTTTTCCAACTCAAACATTGGTCTGAGAGGTATTCACAGAAAAATACTGTGTCAGCCAATACTCATGTTATGCCAACAAAATTTCAATGCACTGCCCCCTATTGTCATCGAAATCGGGAACGCAAGTAGTCTGCCATACTGGATGGAAAAGGCAGAAGCGTACCTGAATGGATCTCAGGGCGGTATTAAGCTTGTTATTCTTGTGTTGGTTGATGAAGTATTGTCGGAGGAAGGGAAACTGGGCTAGACATCTATTCCTACCGGCCTGAGGTACCAGAAGAGAAAGTGTGGCAGGCAAAGTTTGATGTTACTATAGAGGGGCTTCTCAGACAGCACGGTGAGAGAGATGCGATGGCATCGATCTTAACCAGATAGTTGAGGGCATGTCCAAGGGGTACATGACTGTTCCAACACACGCCTTAAAACAAAACTTCAAGGATTTTCTTGTCATGTGAGACTCTCCTGATTCTTTTGGGTAATAATTGAATACATCTAACATGGAAATTTCACGGAGTTATTGTTTTAGTGAACATTTGAATGATGCCTCCAATTGGATACAGCAAGCATGATCTGTGCCACAATCCCTCTATTTTAAACCATGCCAGAACAGACTCATTGGCAGGTCATCTTTATTTTTGCGATTGGGAACTTCCATTGCAGCAAGATTGAGGAGTACTTAAACTGTTAATAAACTGTAATAAGATGAATCAAAATAAGTTTAATAAATTCATAACTCCATGAAACATGGAGAACTAAATCGCCGTCAATATAGACCGGCAGAAATAAAGTTGCCAAAATAAACAAACAAACAAACAAAAGAAAATGCGTTATCATTCCAAAAGTGAAGACTTTATCTCGCATTGACAATTAAACTTCCCTTCGGAGGCGTAATCGAAAACTGAGCTAGCTTACTGACACTTGCTATCTTGTGACTAATTGTTGTGATACTTGCGGTGCCGGTAATTTCGAGCAAAGGAATATCAGCACATAAGTCCTTGACCAACCATGTTCGGAACTCCATTGCTACCAGTGAATCGACACCATTAGAGCTGATGGATTTAGAAGGATCGATATTTCCAACGGGAATAGCTAACAACGAGGCAAGCTTGTTTCTAATACCATTTGATACAACATTGACAGCCTCTTCCAATGTTGTTGCCGCAATGAGGAGAGATTGCACCAGATATGTCGGGTTCTCCTCAGAATTCTGTGCGCTGGAGACCTTCGTCTTGCGGAGATGAGTGAACATCGGGAAATTAAGGTAAGATGGTGAGGGTACACCCCGCTCATGATACATTGTTCCGGTAGTCAAGCCAGCAATAAGCTGTGTTGTAGCCTTGGACTTGTGTATTGGGTCGATGAGATATTCGAGAATAGTGTGAATCTCATCTTCACGGAGTACCTCAAGTACAGCAGTAGTGTGCCGAGCATAGTCCTTGTTTTCGGCCACGAAACCAACCGAGAGAACACTACCAAGATCCACACTGGCAGATGGCAAGCCGAGAGAAGCCCGGTATCGAGATAGCGCGTCTTGGTAAGTGTTACCAGCAGCATAATTTGCCTGGCTTCGATTGCCTAGGATACCCGTCGCAGATGAAAGCATTACAAAAAAGTCCATATCTCTTGGCAAAGCTTCATGAAGGTTCCATGATCCTCGAACTTTGGGTTTTATCGCTACATTCCAGTCTTCGTAAGGCATGTTCTCAAACATTCCATCCTGAGGAGTATTAGCTGGGTATGCCATCTAGTTCTCCAAATAGCGCAGTAACATACCTTCAACACCATGGCCCCTTGTATGACACCCTTTATTGGTGGCATATATGTGCGGCACTCATCAACAACAGCATTCAGTCTATCTTTATCCGATACATCGCACAAAGAAATCTTAACATTGCACCCTTTCTCTTCCAAATCTTTGATGAAATCTTGTACTGCAGCAGACGGTCTGGAACGAGCGAGGAAGATCAAATGTTTTACACCCCGAGAAACCATCCACGATGCAATGCTACGTCCTAAACCTCCAGTGCCGCCCGCTAAGACGTAAGATGCATTTTCCTTGAACTGATATGGAGACGAAGACTCCGGAACGACAGAAATGAGGTCCTCCTCGCCCGGAACGAATATCATCTTACCCATACCTTTCCCGGATTGCAAAAGGCGAAGGCCTTCTTCTACTTGAGAGTAGTTCATGATTGTAGTTGGCTTGGCTTCCTTGACTTTTCCTTCACTCCACAAACGAATAGTATCTTCCGTCAACCGGGCAATGAGTGAAGGACGATGACGCATCATTGTAGGCAATTCAACACTAGCCATTGTCACGTTGCGCAGGAATGGGGTCAGCTCAACCTTGCCATATGCCTGGGCATCTTTCTTTCCTATCTCAATGAATCGTCCAAATGGAGCTAAACAATCCCATGAAGCACGGAGGGCCTCCCCAGATAGCGAGTTCAACACGACGTCCACACCCTTACCTTTGGTACATCTCATTATACCTTTAACAAAGGTGAGGTCACGGCTGGAGAAGATGTGATCTTCTTGAATACCGTACTCGGCTACTAGAAGGTCACGCTTTTCGGGTGTTGAGACTGTAGCGTAAATTTCGGCGCCCACCATCTTCGAATAGTGAATAGCCGCTTGGCCAACACCACCAGCTGCAGCATGAATGAGAATAGTCTCATCCTTAAGAAGTCTTGCAGCGTCGTTCAGACCATAGATAACAGTAGCGTACACACAAGGAAGACCAGCAGCAATCTCATAGCTGAGATTATCTGGGATTTTGCAAACAACATTCTGGTCAACCCTGCCAAAGGTGTGAAAGCATCCTGTACTCTCCAATCCACAGAGGTATACAACTCGATCGCCGGGCTTGACTCTATCAACAGCTGAACCAACGCGAGTAACAATACCGCCAGCCTCATTACCAAGACTGTAGGCCATGTGCTCGCCCATGGCAATCATCAAGTCGCGGAAGTTCAAACCAACAGCTTTGATATCAATCTCCACCTGTGTTTCCCCAAGAGGCTCGTCGTAAATGGTATCCGTAACCCATTCAAGCTTGTTCAAAAGACCGGGAGAAGAAGTGCTGAGTTTGATAGGGCGGCCGCTGTCCCCAAACGTGATCATCTGTGGATTGGCTTTCGCGAATTTGTTTTTCAAGAAATCATTCCCTGAATCAGAGTCAACAAGACGGGACGTATAAATGCGACCGTTCTTGAGTTGAAACTCTGAGTTGAATTCGCTAGGGAAAAGATCAATGAATTGGTTTTTGAAGATCTTCATAAGGTTATTGAGAAGGATTGTTGGCGATACTTCGTCTTCTATAATCGAAACGCTTGCTAGATTCGCGGCCTCTAGGTCCCTCTCCCAACGAACAGTTCTTAGAAGACCAAGGATCATATCAAATTCAGGTTTGACGAGCGGGTTACCTGTAACCCAAAGGAGACCGCCACCTGTGGCAACCAATTTACGAATCCCAAGGTAGCCACACTCGCTGATGCCTTCTAAGAACGGGTTCTGCACTTCGAGAAGAGATATGCAAATGGCGCTAGTGAGATCAATATCTGGTAGGTCATTTGGACTAATAATAGTCACTTTGGTAACATGATGCAAAGAGAGAAGGCTTTGCTCAAGTCCTGCAGTAATTTCATGACGAGTTTCATGATCCAACAAAATGATATGGTCAATGAGATCCTTGTCGGAGTCCGCTCGGATTGCTGTACCCACAAGAATACTTTGACTGGAGTTATCAGGATTTTGTGAACTTGGAAACTCAATATCAACCCCAGAGAAGCCCGAATCTTTGAACACAACGTCCCACTGTGCAGGAGTAAGAAAGGGGCACCACTTGCGAATTGGCTCTACACCAAGCCACCATCCGGGTAACTGGCCAAATGCAATCTGAGACCAAATTAAATCTTGCCTATTTCCTTCATGCATTAGGATTTTTCCACCAGGCTTCAGAAGCATCCTCAAATTCTTCAAGGTTTTGCGCACATCTGCAGTTGCATGAATGACATTACCAGCAACAACCAGATCATATGTGCCAGCTTCAAAACCTTGTGAAAGAGGGTCTTTTTCTGCATTGAGCGTCCTGAATTGCATGATATTGTTCCAGTGTTTGAAGCGTTCTTTCGCCTTTTCAAAAAACCCGGCTGAGATATCGGTGAATGAATAGGATGAAATTCGGGAGGCCTTCTCAACCTCTTTCATTGCCTGGATATCAGGAGACAAAACGTCCAATATAGCCGCTGTTGAACTTCCCGTACCTGCGCCAACCTCTAAAACGCTAAGATCAGTACGGTTATCTCCTAGAGCCGTCAAGTAACTTTTTAGATGAATTGGAAGATCACCCAAATGCACGACTTCATCATAAACTCGGTCCATGAGATCATCCTGGCCGAACATGAGATGGAGTGGGTCAGATTCTTCCCTTAAGACGGACACAATGTTCCGGCCCATTCGAATTGCAAGTGCACCGTCCGCACTGTGATCTTCAACTTCACGGTAAAGAGCGTCCTTAGCCTCACTAGTCTGCGGGAAGGCGTCGAACTCTGACAACAAGAGCTGTGAAATCTTATTTTCTTTCAACTCTGTGGCTCGAAAGTTCATCCAGTCCCAGTATTGTTTCAGGTGACCGTTCAGTGTCGATGGATTAAAGCCTTCCAGAACGGCCAGTGCGTCAGTCACAAGCAACATGGTTGCTAATTGGTAACGCTGGACCCAGTAGTTATCCTTTTCAATATCCGGCGGAGAAATATTACTGAGTCCACAGGCGGTCTCCGGGTCAAGAAGCTGCAAAGCTGGCTTCCATTCCAGATTATGGCATAATTTTCGAACCTGGCTGCTATCGGAATTGCCAGACTCAAGGGGTGTCACCCGAATACCTTTAATACTAATGCGAGGATCTTGGGTCTCCTGATCCCAAATCTTGACATCACATTCATACTTATCATACGCGATAAGTCCCGCTTTTCCGTATCCAGTATAAGCATGACCAGGAGCTGAGCTCAAATCCGCAGAAAGCCACACTTCCCTGATGAAGGTTGGGACGGCGGCCTTTTCTAGAGTTGGCTTCCCAGTAAAGTCAAGAACGGCAGCTAGAAAGAGATGTAACATGCTGTCCATGGTGGCTGGGTGAATGAGGTGTGGGTGAACGTAGCTCTTTGGCATCGAACTTGGAATATCTGGAACAGTAACTGTGCCCATGACAGATCCCAGGTTCTTCCCATTGACATGGACATTTTTAAGATTCCTAAACAGCGGCCCGAATGAAAGACCGGCAGTTTGCAAATTTTCGTATGACTTCTCGAAGTCTACGGGCTGTTGACACAATCCGACAACACTTTTAAGGGTTTCAGCCCAGGCCTTTTTTTCCTCTTCTTCCTCGCGACCAGCGTCAACAGGGCCTGACGTAGTTTTGTAGTCTATAGCAATGTATCCGGTACAATGCTCGACCCAGTCGTCCCCGATAGGATTATAGGAAGTGACTTGAAATCGCTTCCAGATAGAAGAGCTCCACAAACTAGATTCGTCCATTCTAGTCAACGATACACACGTCTCTATACCTTCCTTTATATCTGGTATAATGAGTGCACGCTTTAGCGCAATGTTTTTTAACCTAAATCCGATAACGGTAGAAGATGGATCTGCCTGTTGATGTGTTGCCTCAATGGCCATGACGATGTAACCTACACCTGGGAAGACATAATTATTGGTAACAAGGTGATCCTTCAACCACGGGTTTTCTTGCAGTCTCAAAAAGTGACGCCAACGCGGAATTTCTTCATTCCAATCAGGAACTGGTGCGCCGAAGAGGTCGTGCCTGGGGTGTTTTCTGAAACGATAATTTTTGCTCAACCTACTCTCGTACATAGTCGTCGAGCTGTGATTAAACCTATATGGAGGAAGGTCAATTAGTAGATGTGGCTTTGTCCTTTCACTATCGGCGGCAGTGTTCACAGCAGTTACTTTCACTGAACCCCCTTTCGCATACAAAGTCCCAACAGTATTCAAGAGTACTTCTGGGCTACTTTCACTACGATTCAGCACTGGCAGGTAATTAATCGGAGATTGATTACCCTTCGCTGCAATGACTTCTTTGATCGCACTCTGTAGAGCCGCATGAGGTCCAATTTCCAGAAGATGATCCGCAAATATGCTTTCGGCGGTTGTATTCATGCGCAGATGGCCTTGCCCTGTCGTGTTTTTTTTGTAGCACATCGCGGAAAGACCGTCTGTAAATCGAACAGGAGATACCATGTTCTCAACCCAATATTGAGCTTCGAGATGATCCACTTGGACTTCCAGTCCAGTGACTGTGGAGAACATTAAAGCCTTATGAGGAGCCTGAAAGGGAGTGCCAGCAGAAAGGTCCCCCATAAGTTGGTGGTAATCAGAAGATACCTCCTTCATGTGAGCGGAATGATACGCATTCTTGACGTTGAGTTTGCGAGCGAAAACCCGATCTGCATCCAGCAAGCCCTTTAGACTATTGACCATCGTCTCGTCACCTGAGACGGTGTTATTTTTAGGACTGTTGTAGCAGGCAATAATGAGCTCCCCCTTTTTATCACTATGCACACGTTCAAGATAAGGTGTTAGCTGCGTTTCACTCAAACCAACAGCGAGCATGGCACCCTTGGCAGCCAGCTGTTTTGCAGAGACATATCCTCGAAAGTAAGCAGCTTTCCATGCTCCTTCTCTAGTTAGTCTACCAGCAGCATATGCAGCCGGTATTTCTCCGGACGAATGGCCGACTACACGTTCGGGATAGACATTCCAACTTGCCAATAAATCGACCAAAGCAATTTGAATCGCTGAACAGCTAGGGTGAGAGAGGTATGACTCGTTTACAAGCGACAAATCTTTGTCTTTGAAAAGCTCATCTAAAAGATGATTAGCACGACTCAAATATTTAAAGTTTTATTTGTCGAAATCTTACCTGTAAGGGTCCATTCACTACCAAGTGACTTCATATATTCAGAGGCCATTTCTACAGATGCCCCGAACACAGGATAAACAAAAAGCTCCCGCCCCATCTTCCAGTGTTGAGCACCCTGTCCAGTAAAAACGAACCCGACCATGGGAGCATTCCGAGCACGAACAGGCTTTGAGTATTTTTCCTTGAACAAATTATCTTTGAGCTCCTCCTTCGACGATGCGAGGACAAAGCTCTTCCACGGAAATTTGGACCTCTTCTCGGATAGAGTGAAAGATAAATCTGCTAGCAAATCAGATTTTCCATGGTTGATTGAAAAGGGCTTGTCACTCAGATATTGAGTGAGTGCATCGGCATTGCGTTTAATGCCCTCGTCATCAAAGGCAGTTAGTGGGAAAACTGTGGGAACTTCTTCTTTATGAATGCCATTGGTACCATTAGCACCGTTGACATGACCATTTATGTTCCCGTTGCCAGTTGCAACACCATTCACAACCCCATCACCATGATCCTTCTTTTCATCGACACCATTAGGAGACGCATTTTCCACTTCGTTGTCTATACCGTTCTCAGGAACCTCATCTTTTTCTACCCTTTCTACGTCGCGAAGAGACCGGATCAATTGTGATATTTCATCCTGGGATGGAATGGTCGGCCGCGTATTATGGATAGCGGATATATTATTATCTTTCAGATAATGGTAGGCATCATCGAGAATACAGTGGCCATTTGTTCCACCAACGCCAAACGAATTTACCGAAATCCTTCGCGGTCCCTCGATAGGCCACGGAACATTCTCCACTGGAAAGGTGATATTCCATTTCTTCGTAGGTATCTTAGGGTTGACTTTCTCGAAATTGGCATTCGGAGGGATAATTCCATTTTCTAGAATCAATACTGATTTGATGATACCAGCAATACCAGCGCCACCTTCGAGATGGCCAACACCAGATTTGATTGCCCCGATGTGAAGGGGGAAACCCTTCCTTCGCGATTTAAATGCGCTAGCGATAGCTCCAGCTTCTATAGGATCGCCAGCTGCTGTACCAGTGCCATGAGCCTCGACAAAATGCGTGTCGGCGGGATTAAGGCCTGCATTTTTATATATTTCTTGAATCAATTTCTCTTGAGCTGTGGCGCTGGGAAGACTAATACCGGGTGTACGGCCGTCTTGGTTGACACCAGTTCCTCTAAGAACAGCGCGAATTGTATCGCCATCTCGGATGGCTGATGAAAGAGGCTTAATGATTAGAGAGCCCACTCCTTCGCCTCGAGCATAGCCGTTTGCTCTGTGGTCGAAAGAAAAGCAACGGCCGTTCGCTCCCAGAAAGCCATGATGACTCATGCCAACAATATCAATGGGAAATTCCACGATATTGACACCACTCACCACCGCCATTTCACTTTCATGAGCATGTAGACTTTGAGCAGCGAGATGCAATGCTACCATGCTGCTCGAACACGCAGTATCTATCGTCATACTGGACGATTTGAAATCGAAAAACCAGCTAACTCGGTTGGATATAATCGAATTTGTGACACTGGTCGGTTTGTATTTTATTGTGCTTTCAGGGTCTGAGTTCAGAAGGGCAAGGTGGTCGTGATTGAACCCGCTGGCGAACACGGATGTTCTGGATCCCACTGTCGTTTGCATAGGAATACCGGCATTTTCGAGAGCATGATAAACACTCTCCATCACCAGCCGCTGCTGGGGATCCAAAGTCAGGAGCTCTGTTTTAATTACATTGAAGAAGGCAGCATCGAAGGCTGCGGGATCTTCAGCGAGGAAATGACCCCCTTCGACGGCGAAGGTACCGCCATGTTCCGGGTCAGGGTGAAAAAAGGCATCTGCATTGAGGCGCTCCGAAGGGAAAGGTGCTGCTGCCGATCGAGCTCGTAGGAGAAACTCCCACAGCTTATCAGTCGAAGTTGCGTCTTCTGGAAAACGAGTGGCCATGCCAATAATAGCAAGCGGCTCAATTTCCTTGAGAGAGGATGACCCCATGCTGTCATCCGTAGCGATTGGGGCCATGGTGATGAGAAGGGGTTTGTTTAGTGTAGAAGAGGGGTGCAGAGGGTGTGGTCTTCACATAATCATCTTTCTCTTTAATAAATGTCCACCGGACAGAACCCCGCCAGGGCAAAGATATCTAGTTCCATGCGCTATCTTACAGTGTGAATTACTAAGACGAATACTAACCGTTCGTATAACCAGAGGATGCCTCTCTCCGCAATTACCCCGGGGCAAGTTTACATGTAACTCGATCCGTGCCAATCCTCGTTGCGGGAAGAGAGTTCCATCTGTTAGTTAGCCCCGTTTTCAAAAGATTTATGGTCAGCAGGAAGAGGGGGTATCTAGTATAACAGTCTGATCCATGTTATGCAATGGCGGTAAATGAGCTAATAGTTTGATATTACTATTTTATAATAGAGGCTGTCCGGGGAGGTGCTATCATTGCATTGTTTTTTCAACCGAGATGTCAGTAATTTGACCGAAGTCCACCTTCTTTTTTCTCGTCTTCCTTCTCGATAGAGAAAATGGTTCTCTAGAGCTAACCCAAGCCACGCCGCAATCTCGCGCTAATCAAAATATAAAGAGGGTCAAAGAGCCAACATGGAAAGGTATCCGAGCATGGCTGCGAATGTTTCCACGTGTGGGTTTGCTTAAAACCCACGGCCAGTATTAACACTATCTGCATGATTTCCCCAGTTTACTGATTGAGGTTACATCGTGGAAACCTCTTATGGAAGGCCTCACATAAACGGACCGGTGACACATATTGGGTAATAAGATATTGGCGAAAGTCTGTGGTTACAAGCTCCGCAGTGGGGTCCGATCTATGTCGGCTATGTATTCTTTGGCACCAATTATGATATGGAGACTGGAGATATTGGGGATTGCTTAAAGTATACGACTGAGACTATTAACCAGCCAATGGGAAGCATATCAGTTCCAACATTATATCATTTCATTACGAAGGAGTGTAATAAGTGTTACAAAGCTACTGTATTTACTAACTCGCCCCTAAGCCTTTTCAGCTAACTCTCTGATCATCTGGGCGATTTTCTTCATCTCGGCATGCCCACGTGGAAAGTCTTCTCCGTTGTGGTGGTGGAATTGCATCGACTGTTCCGGATCGCACAGTTGAGTCATATGCTGGCCATGATGGAAGTCTTGCTCTTCTGGACACCGCACATGGAGTGTAGGGATATCAATTAGAATTCCGTCGATATCTGAATCGTATCTAGTGATTCCGTATCTACCGTCAGATAGACATAACCGTCCGTCTGTTAACGTTTTTGTTTCAAGTGCCATCAGCTCAGCTTTAATAGCTGCAGGATCATGATCGTCGAAATGGCTTTTACTCTTGCGTACCCGCGTTGCCGAGTCTCGGAGAAGAAGTGCGGAGGCCTCTCTGATTAATGTTGAGTTCTGCATTGTCATTTCCGTAAATTCTGCATCATTTATAGGAAACACTTTCAATGGCGTTACTCCATTGATGAAAGTGGCGAATCGAAATGGTCTGTCGCCTGGTAACCTGAAGGGATTCTCTAAAGCATCACGTATGATAATCTGGGCTGCTAGGGCTGTGCCGCCGGAATAGGACAAAACACCGTCAAAGGGCCCATTTTCTCTGATGAGTCGTAAGAGGTCATCTTCTGCCTGTTGTATCGAGGATGGCCTCAATGGATCGTAATAACCGTATAATGGTGTATTAGGGAATTCCGTAGTGTATAAAGACCAATTCCCTAGGAGGTTTTCATATCAGCAGACGGGTTTGATTAACCAATAGCAAGTCTGACGAGGAAGACTTACCCTCTGTGTGTGGAACAGTCCCTTGTACATATTCAAATTCGAAGTCTTCCAGTTCAGCTCGGAACGCGGCTGTCTGCAACTGAAATATCTTTGGACGAACAGCGTCAGTTTTCCCTTCGACTTGGTGTTCAAAATGTTGTTACTACCTCGTTATTTGAACCTCGTCCGTGGAGGCAGAGAATCTTCATCACGAGCGCCAGCAAGTTTTAGATATCCTTCAAAGAATTAAACGCATATGCCAATCATCAAAATGTTGCTAGACATTCGTAATGTTGTTGGACCTGCAGCACATAAACATGAATCCACTAGAGTCATTTTTGCGCCACTTTCATCACCGTAACGGCAGTTTCGAAAAGCACATTCATTTCGGTTACTAGTGGGCAAGAATTGAGAATGTAACATCCAATATTACTTTCTCATCTACTAGCGGGGATACCATGGTAGTGGTGATAATAAAAAATGACCACATTCAATTAGTATTTAGCCATTTCTTCAACATGACCCGTGAGCAATGCGAAGGTGACCGACCCACTGAGTGCAGGCAATGTGACGAGAAGTGCCTATGAGCGCACAGACTTTTAAGTTTTACAAAATGATAAAATCTGATCATTCATTTTCACTAGCGTGGCGAACGAACAGGTCTCCTACGCCGCGTGGTACGGTATTTCAAAAACATGCCCCGTTACGTATTGTATTAACAATACAAACAACGAGGTCTCGGAATTATTCCAACTCTCCAAATAGTATGATTCCCACGGTGCTGTCATATCGAATTAGGTGATTTTTCCTAAATCAAACCCTTATCTTACTTCTTTTCAATAAGCGAAACGTACTACTCAACCCAGCCCAAATAATAAATACAAACACCCAAATATGCAGACGAAGATTAACTCATTTGATAGAATAAGCCGTGTCTTCCCACACATCTGTCTACCAAAGGATGTAGTTTCTATCTGCGCACTTCTCATAATTTTTCTTCTGTCGGTCTACATAATACGGATATCGGCAACCTCTAATAGAAATGCTTCAAATAAGGAGCCCCCAGTCGCGCCCTACTGGGTTCCTTACTTTGGTCATATTTTCAGCTTTCTATTGGACCCAGGTGGTCTGGTACGGGACCTTAAAAAGGGATATCCAAACTCACCGTTCACTATAATGATGATGGGACACAAGTTTCACGTCTACAATTCGTCTGAGGTGATTGCGCATGTGTTCAGTCGCTCACGTGAATACTTGTTCCATCCTATAGTGGCATCAATGATGGAGAATGGTCTAGGCATGCCGAAATCTGACCATTCGAAGTTCGAAGTTCCAGTCACAGAATGGAATAATGATCAGAAAGAATCTCGAGTTTTTGTGCAGGCAAATCATGCGCTTTTTGTTAAAAACCTCGGGGTTCGCTACCTGACGAGTACAATGAAAGTGTACAGCAAGCATTTTGAAGAAGGTTTGCGGGAGAGGATGTGGGAGACTGTTCTCAAGAAAGATATAAAATTTGATCTACATGAGGAGATGGAAAGAATCGTCTTCTTCGCCTCTTTGAACACATTCTTTGGAAAGAGACTACAGCTTGGGTATCCGGAAATATTCGATGACTTTCAAATATTTAATAAGACACTATATGTTGGCGTGCGCTCGAAATTAGCTTTCAGGCTCAATCCTCGGGCGGACCAGGCCCGTAGGAGACTACTGGACAATTTCGACAAGTGGGTTGACACTGAACTAGAAGAATGGGAGGACAACGGACCTGTATGGAATGAGAAGTGGGGGGTCAAGTTGAACTGGGAAAGGGAAAACCTTCTTCGGAAGCATGATTTTACCATGAGGGGCCGTGCATGCTCGCATGTATCTTTTCTATATGTGTGAGTCTTTGACTACAGCGTTTCATCTGTCTATTGAAGATCTATCCGTGATCATTGAATTAACGGAGGAATAGTATGAACCTGAACTCAGCACCAATGACCACATGGTTTTTGATCAACATAATTCAGTCTCCCAATTTACTATCTCGGTTCCAAGCTGAATGCCAGGAATGTCTCATCCCTTCTTCAGACGGGAAACTTGCGTTTGATCTTCAAACCCTGAAAGCTAGGCCTTTGGTGCAAGGAGTATGGAAAGAGTCCCTTCGGTTAGGCTCAGCAAGCGCTGTCGCACGTGTTCTAGCCCAAGATATTGAACTCGATGGTTATATGCTCAAGCAAGGAAGCGTGATATTTATTCCAGTTCAGCTATTACACTACAATAACGGCATCTTTCCGGACCCAGAAGCGTTCGATCCAGACCGATGGGTATTTAATGAGGAGGATACTTCACAGTCTGAAATGAGACAGAAACAAATGGCGGCACATTTGCGCCCGTTTGGTGGTGGTAATGGTATTTGTTCAGGTCGATTTATAGCCGAGGATGAAGTTATTTTGGCAGCCGCAACATTACTCACGAAATATGATTTTTATATGCAGGGGCAAGTGCAATTAAATCCAAGGGCGCTAGGAATCATGTCGCCGAAGGACAAAGTGTGGGTGAAAATACGGGCTAAATAAGCGTTATAATCGGCGATCAAATGGACTTCCGGAAATAGTAGACAGAGATATCGAAATTGCTTCTATAATTTTCTTATCTAAATAACAATGAATTCAGCCACTGTTGCCCCGAGATGTTGGTCTTCTCCCTGTGTCCCTTCGATCATTAACCTGATCCTTCGAGTTTGTACCGGGGTTGGCAGTATTACCTCAGTGGTGTTTCCTCGGCGTATTTTGACTTCTTGGGCTGCCCTGCGATTATAAGGTGCTGATACTTTAACCTTATTTCCATATAACTTGATCTCGTCGCTGTATATAGTGAAGGTAGCTGCAGGTGATGCACCCCAGTTGATGAAGAACCCGGAAACATCAGTCTTATCCCCCAAGTCTATAGTCATTGATGCTGGCTTTGTTGCACTTGTGGGCTGCCAGACTGTTGCATTAGAGCCGTCTACTGCACTCAATGGATAACGTCCATAGCTCCAGGGGTGATCGTCGGAAGTGACAGTTTTACACAGTGCCTTATTTTCCACGACTCCCCCGGATAAACTCTGGATATCCGGTCTTCGAGTAGTAACGGCTAGTGACTCGCCAACTTTCAAAGTATATTCTTTGAATTTCTCGCCGGGGTGTGAATTTTTACTCCCTATGCGAACAGTGGAGGGAACAATATCCTGCGGTAGCCCTAATCGTCGGCGAGTTATCGTCGTGATTTCTGCCCCAATCGCGATATCAAAGCTCGCATCTTGCCACTTAATCCCCTTCACAGTGACCCCTTCAGGAATTTGAGGTGGTAGAACGGGATTAAAATACAGCGCATCTTCACTTAACCTCATACCTGTTAAACCATGCGTATACACCTGCAAAAAGCCCCCTGCGCCAGTGAGGAAAGGAAATGCGGGATTTAGCCCAAATGGAAATGCCATATCATCTCCATCTTTCTCTGGCTTATCCAACGTCGTTTCACTGAACTTGTAGAATGGGCCGCGAAGATAGGGCTCGGAGCTGCGAAGCAGATATGTGTAAGCCGCACAGCCTGATGTTTGAAGCTGTGCTTCATTAATGGAGAAGATGGACCATGTCATTGCTGGCCCGACATATGTGTTCATTATGGAGTACTGCCATATAGTTAGGCATCCTTGCATGCGCTATTAAAGTATATGGAATTCAAGGGAAACGTACGTAGTCAAGGTCGTGTCGAGCCCAATCTTTATCTATCCTATATTCCAGGGGATAGTTCATCAAAGCAACACTGGCTTGTTTCACCTTCCAATCCCCGGGCATTTCCTCAAATTCTAGGGTAATATTTTCTTTGAGATTCATAGGAATGGAAATTTTCTCTGCAATTTCAGACCAATTTTGGGGTATTTCCTGATTCAGAATCCTGGCTGCAGCAGGAGCGTATTCACTCAGAAGCATCTTGATTCCGGTATTCGTGAATGCGCCGTTATTCTTGAAAAATGCAAATTCGTCCTCGAAGTAGTTAGCACTCCTTCCATCCTACGAACAGCCAACAAGTACTCACTGGCTCACCGACAAGTACGGTATCAAACTTGCCGGTCTTTCTGTTCAGCACCACAAATGCAGCGAACATATCCGCCACACTCTTGATTATCGGCCACCCGTTCTGTTTGAGCCATTCAATGTCATTCGTGGACTGAAAATATTGCCAGTGAGCTAATGCAATATCCGTATTTAAATGATATTGATAGCTCTCACAACGCCCTGCATTCGTGCAATTTCCGTAACGCCCACTAGTCCAAGGAAATAATGCCCCTGAGAAGCCGTAGGACTGCGCATTCTCTATTGCCTGAGGTAGAAGCCGACTGCGGTAATTGGTAAAGGCCCGTGCATATTGCGGATGCAGTGCCAGCACACTTGGATATATCCATGTCTCCGCATCCCAGAAGATTAAGCCCGCATATGACTCGCTGGAAAGACCTCCTGGCATTAGGGAGTTATCGTTTAAACCTCTTCCTTCAATCTTATGCGGCATATCTGTAAAAGTATGAAACAATGATGCTCTAACGCTTCTTTGCAATTCTTTATCTCCTGGAATTATGATATCCGCTGAATCCCAAGTTTCTTCCCACTCTTGCCTGTGTTCGGAAACTAATACAGACCACGGCATTGCTTTTGCCTCGAGCGCGGCCTTTTTAGCAGTTGTGAATGCTTGTTGAGGAAATCCATCCGTGGAAGCAATCCCAGCGTATTTTGAAACGGCGAAAGATTTTCCATGTTCCAGATTGACAGTCCAACTCTGAGCAACTGTACTTAGATTTTTGGAAACAACAGGTGAAGTGATTGCATTTCGTCTACTGCCCTTTTGTAAGCCGGGAGAACTGAACTGAACTGATGACAGAACATAGGCAGTAGCATCTTCCACGCCCCATGGCTTAACGCTTGTCCAAATAACATTCTCATCTTCTTCAAAGCCCTTATCCCCGAAATGCGCTCTCACAGCACCAGCCCCATCTAGGACATCAGTGATAGTAACAGTGGTGCTTTGGTTTGCCATCAACTCCAACTTGACGACTCCCACATTTGGTCTTTTACGATGGGCAAAAACGGTAAAATTCAAAGCATACTGAATATCATCGCCATTCTGAGTCGTTGGCGCCCACGTCACACTGGTCTTAACTATGCCATCTCGTATTGACAATGACTGGTAGAATTTTTTGACTGTGCGCTGATCTACCCCAGGCAGATAGCTCTTTCCATCGGCCGTTGTTACAACCAAACCTGTCCAGTCTGGAATACCACTGATAGTGGACTCACCACCTCTTTCGACATTTTCCGGGGTGCTGATGTATTTAACTTTGTCTTGCAAGTTCCAGAAACCAGCTATGGTGCCGAATGTTGCTCTAGGTTGATCGAGTGGCCATGCTATTTTTAATCTGATATCAGAATCTGAGGGTCTGGAAGTGCTTCAAAAACGTACTATTCTGTGCGTATTCTCCGTTGGCGGCTCTTTCAATCCAATATCCAACACCCTCTGACGGGAGTGTCTGTCCAAAGTAGCCATTTGATACATGCGGTGCTGTTTGAAAATGATTGGGTAAAAATGTGTGTGTCTCTAAAAGCCAATCTTCATCCCGATAGGTCTTCTTGCTTTGCGGATACAGCCATTTCTGGGTGTGATAAATTGCATTGTCTAGGTCGCCTCGTGCCGTATTCCATTTTTGACCGACTTGAAATGCAGATACTAAGACCAGTAGATAGCTTAACATCATGAGAATGTGAGGATATGGTAAAATCAAGTCACACGCAAGAGTAGCAAGGCGTAATAAAAGAAATACAGGAATTGTTACCGTCACTCTGCAGTATCAGGGTGGTAACAATACCCGAACCATATCTTTGATTCAAGCTTAAACTGGGGCAAAGTTGGGGGCGTAGACCCACGATATTAGCTTTTACCAGCTATGCCTAACGGCGTCAGCGCTAACGTTAGCTGGACAAATGCGGAGATATCGTCCGCCAGAACGTAACACTTTGTCTTTTCGATTTCTCTCTCATTGGTAACCGGGCAAAATCCCGGTAGGCTAACTTGGACTCTCCATCAATTGATACTGACGATACATTGATCTCTAGAGGCCCTCGGTGATGTTTCTGGGAGGCTAGCTCATACCATGAGCGAAACAATATTGCATGCTCATGCTTCAAATGTTGTTGTACTTACTAATTTAAGAACATGTTTTTGATGTTTCTTTCGTACCATGACGTACATTTGTCATTTTCGACATGAGAATATTGATTGGATTGCATTCAGCTTATCAAGTGCAATAACCGATATCTCATAATAAAGAGTGCTCAACCTCTGCAATGGATTTTAGTGGATGTGTAGAACTATGAGGAGTAGGTGGGTAATAATCGTGTACTGTTAGTGTACAGTTGACTAAGGACTTCAGGACGTCGGCGACTTTTTTTAATAGAAATCTTCGGCAAAATACCGCATAATCATAGCAATGCTTGTGGGTCTAGTCACTCACCATGTTCTGCCATTTGATTAGGACGAATTGTATAATTTATTTGGGGTGATGCGTCAACGCAAGCTTTGAAAATCTCTTGCAATGCTACCCCATCTCCACACCTGTGCACTTATCCCCGCACAACCTGGAGAGAGTGGTGCGATAAGTTGCGAGGTTACTATTTAGTGATAAGTTCATTTATGGCCGAGTTACTGTTCATTGGGTCTTGGGTTACATGGAGGCTGGCTTGATCGCGGTGGTTGAGAATACCAAAATTTCCTCTGGTTATTCTACGGAATAAATTCAATTCGCGTAGTAATGTGACAGCAATAATTATGGATCACGGATCCCAGAACCACAGATTTTGTTGCTATATTTAAAATTTTTCGTATTAATGTATGTACCAGTTGACATTAATTTCGAGAGTATCGGACATCAAAAATGTCTTGGATGATCGGTTTTGGCCAATTCCTTCTCCTCTGCCTGACGGTCTTTGGTTTCAAATCTTTACTTCTCTTTTCTGTTGCGAACGGCTTTGTCGCACATACTCAGCTGCCTCACAAGACCGGAGAATTTCTTGCTCCATTGTCCCGTTCATCCTCTACTACTAATAATGGACTCGAGTATCAAAATGTGCCACTTAATCCCTGGCTTTTGGGCATCTCAGAACGAATGGATCGACAGAACATAGACTTTTTGATTTTTATGTGGCCTTTTGTCGATGGTACAAGGCCCGATGCAGCACTAGTGCTTTTGAATTTTGCAGGGGCAGCTGGGGCAGCATGGATGTTAGTTGTTATAGAGAGTGTGAGAAATATCCATCGAGAAAGAAGGGTTCTTTACTAGTATGTTTTGTCTATTCTTTCGTTTGAGAAATGATATAACTGTGAGCTAACACACCAATGAAGTATCTTCCCTTGGGGATATCTCGTTTTCCACTACTCCCACGCGATGGTTACTCCGCTATATTCCATATGGAACCTGTTTTGGTCACCGTTACAAACCAATCTGAATAAAAGCCGCCCCCGAGACTATGTGATAAACCGTGTTGATACCATTGCTCTGATCTCCAGTCAAGCGCTAGCATATATCGTGCCACTCGCTCTCTTTGCTGCACCTGTGCCACAAGTTTTAAGCGTTTTTCGGAAGCAAACAGTTGTGGCATGGTACCAACCATGGAGTGTGTGGATCGCTGTCACGCATTTTATAGTCACTGTTTTTGTTCGACGCTGGACACAACAGTCTAAGAGTGGAACAGTGGATATCTACAAAGAAAGCCGATCAAATCACCGCACCATTTACGGATTCGCATTTGGGTTAACTGCAACTCCGCATATTATAGTCCTCTCCATAAGTCTTACAGCGCTTCTCTACCCGGGTTTATATTCACCTCGATTCGCCGGCCTGCTCCACCCTCAAAATGTGTTTATACCTCCCTCTCCGTGGTCTGAGATTAAGGCTCCACACCTTGTTGAAGGGTGTAAATGGCTTCTTCAATGGGATTATATCATCGGGTCAACAGCTGTGCTCGTGTGGGTGTTGACTCAATATATCTCTCTACAGCTGTCACAGACCCATGACAAAAGATGTTCGTGGAACTGTCTATTATGGAAGATAGTCATCTGGACCGTCCTCACTGGGCCAACCGCAGCTGCTATTCAGTTGTTGTGGAAGAGAGATGAGATCATTTTTGATGCCGCCATTGAAGAGGCTATTATAACAACCATCAAGAAACAGCCGTGAGATAGTGGATTTGGTAAAAATGGAATGTATGATTTTATTATATCGCCACCTCTATGTTCATCCACTCGACTTCACCACATGTGGCTCTTCACGTGCAAATATGCCGAGTACGTAGCTAGATTATAGCCCTAAACCTAGTATGAGATAGCACAGACACATCTCTCACATCATTAATCGCATAGCATCAACGCAACAGGAAAATTCTGCTGCCAAGGCTATGAGTATAGCCATATAACGACATCAGCGAACATGCATAATCAAAATATCAAAACTATTGCATCTTAGAATGCAATCTCCCTAAAAAAGTTTTGCTCAACTACCCCTCTTAGTAGCACACGTAATCGTGCGATTTTAATTAGTCGAACGAGTTTGGCTTCTGCACACCGGGGTAAAACGTGGTAAGTGAGATTTTGGTGCAGAAGCCTGCATTAGATAGTTAACGATTAGCCTCTGAATAGCATTGTTACCGTATGTATGTATTGAAAGTAATATTCGTGCGGTAATAAATTGCCAACATTGTGCAGGGAAGTAGAGAGTTAACAAGAGGTGTCTTCGTATTCATATCATTGCGAATATAAATATCCAAGAGTAAATATTTGATTATATGGTGAAAGAGGGCCAGTATAGTCATTATGACGGGGTACAGTGTGCCCTCTATTAGGGATCATTTCTTTGATGTAGCCACGTCGCATCCCTACACCACTGTATTGACTCTGTTGGTAGTTTATCTAGTTATACGACACTTCCATAGGAGACGACAGCAAGAAAACGTAGGAGCATCTGCCCATCCCCAAGAACCGCCAGTTATCATACCAACTATCCCTATTATCGGTCATGTCATCTCCCAAGCGCTTTCTTTCGCGGGATTCATCCCAGCACTCTCGCGTCGCTATCCCCAATCCTTGGCGTTCACTCTGTACATGGATCCTCCACAAAGAACCACTACTTGATTGCGCTCTCACTCGTTCATCTAGTATCAATCAATCCAAAATACACAAGCAAGTTCAGCGGAGAGCCGTTCTTTTTCCAGCTGATGGAAACGGTATTTGGTGATGAGCGGCAATTTCGAAAAATGGACCAAAATCTGCTCTAGAACCACACCCAGAAAAAGTGCACGGGATGATGAGGGAGTCATTCTTGCAGCCAGCGTTATCGACTCTGATTAGCGGTGTGAATAGTCGAGTGTTCGACCTCACCACTTTCACTAGCTTGAGGGATAAACAGAGGTCGTGGGAACGAACTGCTCAGATCAAAGTCCCAGCGCCTAGGTAGCGAAGACATACTTTGTTGCGGGATTTTGTCGGCCACCTGGCGATTACGATTTTGATGGGACCGGATATCTTAGGACATAATCCTGATTTGCTTTCCGACCTGTCCACTTTGGATGAGAACTTCGCACTTCTGCTCTCGCCTCTGCCACGATGGACTTCGCCGTTGCGTCGAGCTACTGCTGCGCGTAGCCGTATGATTTCTGCTATATGAAAGTACCAGCGCGGCACTGACCCAGGACCGACATGGGCACACGTCGATAAAATGAGCAATATAATTCATGACCGCATCGAGTCCTTTTCCAAAGCCGGGGGTTTTGATATGGCGAAACCAGCCGCTGAGCAAGGTTGGCTTGGTGCAGTATCCGACAGCATTGTTTTGTGGGCACTCAATGTAAATGCGAATCAAGTAACTTTCTGGACGGTTTTCCATATATTTTCCAACCCGACTCTTCTAGCCGAGATACGTACAGAAATTGAGCCCTTCGCTCAATTTAAAAAAAGCAGAGGGTGGCACAAAACATAGTCTTGATTTTGATTTACTGAATATCCAAAAATACTGTCCACTTTTACAAGGAGCTTTCCTTGAAAATTTACGGTGGGAGTCTGGCGAAATGCTGTACCGGTACATTAACGAGGACTTCACGTTAACAGAATCTCATGACGCAAAGGTCTTCAATCATGATGTTCCCCAGACAGACATCCTCAAAAAGGGAGAATATATCGCTTTGTCTCATGGCACCCATCAAATGGACGATCGATATTTTCCAAATCCTGAAACATTTGATACACGCCGCTTCTGTACTGAAGAGGGTCAAAATTCTCAAAAAGATGATCAGTTATTCGAAGAGAACAACGGCAGTGAGACAGATACTAAAGATAGAGCAAAAGTTGAGTACAAAACTATGTTTCCCTGGGGAGGTGGCGCCAGCATGTGCTAGGGGAAGAAGTTGCAAAGTCAGAGGTCCTTATTTTTGTGGCTGCTATCCTCGCATGTTGGGATATAGAGTGTATTGGTGCGGCTGGTAACCCGAAGCCTTGGAAGCATCCCGGGAATAAGGGTGGCAGTGGCGCGGTAGTGCCTGCAAAAGACATCCGAGTTCGACTGAAGAGGAGAAATGTATTGTGAAGCAGAGCTGAATGAAATAGATTTGTTGTATATAGTATGGCTGATAAAGACCATGAAACACTATTTCATTGAGCGAATTTCCAATACTTGCGAACGAAATTCAATACTCCGGCCAGTTTGGGTCAACTTCGGTCTTCCATGCTTTGAGCCCTCCACGAATGTCACCAATATATCGCTGACCATTTTGGTCAACCCCTAATTCCTTGAACTTTCGAACTGCGAGTTGGGAGTCGTTGCCTAGCCGACATACAAAATAAATCGGATTTCTATCGTCATTTGATGCTGCATCTGAGGGTAGTAACGACCGTAAATTATCCAGTGCATCAACCTGCGATGCGGAGGATTCATTCAGAATTTGCGTAATGGGAATGTTTATGCTGTTTTCAAGACTACATATACCAAACTGAGTCTGGTCGCGCACGTCGATTACTGTACAAGGTTGCTTTGACTTGTGTATTTGCTGATACTGGTCGGCAGAAATTCGTTCTTGTGCAGACAAAAGCTGGGGAGAGTTTGCGGAACCACAAAATTGAATATAATCCGTGGATCCGGACCGCAATGTGTCTAATGTGACAGTAGCCTTGGATGAGCAGACTGCACAATCAGAGCGACGCATCCGGAGACGAATTGTACGGAATGGTGGGTTGCTATAGCCTGAGAAGATATGAAGCGCCGGGCGATCTTCAACCGCGACTACGTTTGTATTCGGAACTGGGACTTTGGTGAGGACTTTGATGGTTTCCAGCGCCTGCAAAACTCCCATTGTGCCGACCACTGGGCCGACAATACCGCCATCAGCGCAACTGACAACGCTTTCCACAGGTGGTGGCTTCGGGAAAACGCATCGGTAACAGGGGCCGCCAGAAGAATCGCCCGGCGGGCTTGGAGGATTATTCAACACTATGAGTTGTCCGTCGGTTCGCAGCGCTGAAGCTGAAACAAGTGGTTTGCCTAAAAGTACCGCGGTGTCCGATATGAGATATCGTGTAGCAGGGTTATCCGTACAGTCCAATACCACGTCGTATTGCTTGAATATATCGGGGGCATTTTCAGGGGACAGATGTTCGTGATGAGCGATATATTTTGGATGTGGGTTAAGTCTATCAAATTAAAAAATCTCAGAAATGTGTTGAAAATGTAAATCAGAAAGCAAGCTCACTCTTCAAGGTATTCAATCGCACTATCGACCTTTAATTTCCCAACATTTTTTGTTCTATGTAGCACTTGACGATGAAGATTGGACGACTCGACAGCATCACCATCCACCAAGCCGAGCTTGCCGACACCAGCCCCAGCAAGGTACAAAGCTGCCGGGCATCCTAGGCCACCGGCTCCGACGAGAAGTACCGACGATGTACGAAGCTTCAATTGGCCTAGTCCAACCGCTATCAGCGTTTCTATCATTGCAGGCAAGTCTCACCAGGAAAGGGATGAAACATCCGTAGTCCAATTCTCACATACCATGAAGTCCGATCTGTGGTACAATCATTTGCCTTCCATATCGTTTATATTCGTCCTCGAGCATCGGCCATTGTTGCGGTAGTTGTTCTTTCGAGGAAGCTCCATTAACAGAGAGTATTGACTTTTCTGTTGAGCGAAGAGCTTCTTTGAGGGCGGTTAATTGCGTTTCAGCTGCCGCTATTTGCGCCGTTAATGATGCGTAAGTCGCCTGTAGTTCAGCAAGATCAACAGCCATTGCAGATGAGAGAAGCTTGTCTACTGAAGAAAGCGTGATGAAAGAGTGAAAATCGTTCTGGAAATCGGGGAATGATTGCCCCACCCCGCGAATACGCGTAGTCATGTGATTCCCAGTTTCCTCATTACAACCGTGCAACAGCAATCAGGAAACCGTTATTTGAACTTGCTGTCCGCTGGGTTTCTATTTTTTCTGTGGAATCAAAAATGGTTTGTCTGTTAGGCGGGGTTTTCCGCCTTCCATGCTGTCCCCAAATCGAGGTGGACCGACAATACTGACAGGGACATCAGAAGTAGTCAGCCTATACAACTTCCCGGAAGAACTGGTGAATAGTGCCTTAATTTGCAAGTATCCCGCAATATATATATTGAACGTCTTGAAGGTATAGAACGGTGGAACAGGGCGCAGTGATTTGCAAACAGTTAGCAGATCAGTGGGCTGATCATTAGGCAAGCTAGTTGGCGACAACGAACAGAGAAGTCTGGCTGGGCGATAAGCAGGCCGTGGCTTCTCTCCTGCTGGATTACCGAGTGTGCGAATCCCTCTCTTTAGGTTGATATCCACGATCAAATACCACAGTTTCAACTGTTCTGAAGGTGGAACTTGAACGCGGATTGAACCAAACATGTGCTCGCCCGAGACTAAAACCTTAGGAAAGCTAAAAATGACCTGATTTGTACCTATACCAGATGCAGCTATTTCCTCCAGACCCTCAATGGGATTTAAACGTGCAGAACGGAAAAAGCCGCAAAGGGTGCATGCATACTCCATCGAAGAGCTATCCGTACTTGCATCTTTCGATGGTGTATATTTGATTTTTCGGGTAAATGTAGTAGTCCCTCGTCTCTCACTGACAATGCGAGCTGTTAATCGATATCTAATTCTATCGAAATTTCCCTCCCATGTCGGTGGTAATGGGTGACCGTAGCTGTGCTCGAATCGGTCATTCGGGACCCAATTATGAGACGGATCAGCGTGGTTTGTTAATGTCGGGAATGGGAATTCAAAAGAGAAATTCTTGTGCACAACAGGCGCTCCGCTGTAGAGATTGATATTCAAGGTCAGAAGCCCAGTCTCCGATTTACTGTTGTCACCATCAGTATCCCAGTCCGGATCCGAGGATCCATACAGCGATAATTCAACTTCCGTGACGCGATCCTTTCGCAATGGGTCGAAGTGGACAAGTCCAATGACTTTGTCACCTGTAGTGTAAATTCCTGATTTAGGGGTCTCAAGTTTGATTCCCTGCGTGAGGAACGTAACTTCAGTCTCCGCCATGTGAACTAACAAATCTTAGAAACGATTTTACACGAGAATTGGTAATGTGCAGACTTGAACTTAATATTCAAAATAACTTCGACTAGAACAAAGGATGGCAACTCAAGTAGATTTTAATCTTTAGTATCTGGGACCGGCGTAGCATATAAGGCGAATGCCATAATCAACACCGTTAAATCACGCGACACAGGGAATATAATAACATACGAGACGCGAAGCGCATCCTAGCCTCATATCGGGTAAGCTGAATTCAGCTGCCGCCAAAGACGATAATGGATTGATACACGCGGGTGCATCTTTGCCCTTCAGAGAGTGAGAGCAAATTAGCTCCCGCCCCATACTCGTATTCCTGGAGGCTGTGCTAGAGATGGCCAAGGCAACAATTATTCTTTATGAATGAATGAATGAATGTTCAACAACATTGAACCTTTCGTATGATTTCAGCCGAGTGAGTATGCTATTGATTTCTCGACTATTGATCACCCGACAACACTTGACAGGCAACATTGTTCAACCCATGTATATAAAAAACACAGCACTTGAGAGCGAGTAAGATCTAAAGCCTACCAAGGACGAACGCCATCCTTGTAGAGAAATTTGCCAGCGTTATCATCCTTCTTGCCCTCAAGCACATTCAGTAACAATATTCCTGACTCTTCCGCTGGGCCTGCATCTCCGCCAGCGGTTCGTGCCTGCTCACCTGGTCCTCTCAGATTTGACTCAACCAAACCCGGGCAAACAGAAAATACTTTAACCCCTTGCGATCCAAACTCTTTGTGCTCTTCCAACATGACCATATTCATAGCCAATTTGCTAACTCGGTATCCAATCGCTCCAATTCTATAATCGAATCGCCCGGGATCTTCGGCTGTTCCCAATGACCCAAGAGAGCTGCTGATATAGACTAGATAGGGCTTTTCCGATTTGAGAAGTAAGGGCATGAATGCACGAGTGGTTAGTGCTGGTCCGACGACATTTGTTTTGAACTGTGTCTCCATCTCCCACGCAAGGTTTTCAGATCGGAGATAGATGCCAGCATTGTTGATCAGCGCATCAAGCCTTCCGAACCGTTTCTTGACTTCTTCTGCAGCCGCAGTAATGGACGACTCATCGGTTGAATCGATATATATTGTTGATAATGAGCCTTTGGTGTTAGGGTCCACTTGAAGGGTTTTAAGGGCTTCTGCTCCCTTTGCTGGGTTGCGGGCGCCTATGATAACATGGTAGCTGGACGACGAGGCAGTGAGCACTTTAGCTGTTGCGAAGCCAACACCGGAGTTTGCTCCTGTAGGAGTTCATTCACGTTAGTCTGTGGAATTTCAAGTGTTTCATATTCGATTATAAAAAATCTTATACCAGTTATCAAGACGATCCTCGATTCCGACGGCATGGCGTTTATTCCTCAGCTATCATCACGTTAGTATTTTCGACAAATATCCCAGAAAATACTGTTTTGATGTTCCCAACTGGGGTTCCATTATTATACCTGAACGACAAGATGATGCTTGATTGATGCCGAACAAATTAACCACAAACCCGACGATAGGATTGCCGCATGTCCGAGTAAATCGACTGAATTGCCGTATGTCCGACTAAATCCGACCAATATCGCCAACGTAATACGCAGGCTACTCTATGTAAACGCATAATTCAATCCCTCAATGATTGAACTGCATATGAAATTTTTCAATAATACTATTGGGATATTGCCACCGGCGAGACAAGTGGGGTGGTCAATTCGGGCTCTTCCAACAATACATTCTTCTGCCTACTCAGAAATATGGACGAATTTAGAAATGTATTCACTAAAAGTAGGATCACTAAAATCACTAATATCACTAGAAATTATCAGAAAAGCTGACAGGTAAAAAAGAAATTGATGGGGCCTGCCCCAAAGCCATATGCGCGTGCCAAAATTACCCTCCCCGCGAAAACTCATGCTCCATATCAAAGGCACGACTGATCCCCTGCACAAATACGTGGTCTTGCCCACCGACTGATGCACCACACTCTGGACAACGAGCCTCCTCTGTTGGCATACCGCATTCTCCGATTGTGAACTGCGCTGCAGTTAGTAACAGTGATCCAATGCTTATAGAGAGATCTCTTACCGGATGGTTGTTTCGACAGTAGTACCAATGCCCTGTACCTGAGAACTGCTCTGCCATTGCGTCGTACACCTGCCTTGTTTCTTCGTTCGTTACAAAAGTGTAAAACTCCAATCCATTAACCAATGACCAAACCTTTTGAATATCGTTTCTCAGGAAATTAAGAGTTCCTGGGTATTGTAGACAAAGGCTTTCGCACTCGTTAAGGGTCATTTCTGCCTGTTCCCGAGCTAAAATTTGGGCTCCCAAGTCAAGTGGTTGCCGTTGTATTTGTTGATTAATAATTGACAGTGTCGAAAACTTCACATGATATAATTTTGCTTGGACCTCTTCAACGAGGAATTTTGAATGCTTGCTAGAGCTCATGAGAGCCAAGCATTTCTCGAGTATATCGCCGGTTCTAGTCGATATCGATTTACACAATACGTAGGCGATCCGTGGGTCAATGAACTCGTGTGCTGAAACCACATGAAAGTCCCAAAGCATGGCCCAGACCAGCCGAAGGCTCATGGATTGGCCGTAGAGCTGAAACCCAGTTTGGATGACCGAATCATCAAAATTGAACGAAGTCAATATGCCCCGCTGCTTAGCGACAGTGTAGGCCAATAAATCTCGCACTCTTCCGAAGGGTTGCTCTGTCTTGGAAACCAGCTTTCCGAAATTCTTGATTTTTTTGTAAAGTTCCGTTCCTCTCTTTTTGTATAAGTCTAAAATCATGTTGATTTGTGTTGACTTGTGGTTGTTAGTGTTGGGTTTCGAGCATTTGGAAATAAAAAGTGCGCGATCATTTTCTATTTCAATTTCCAATTGCTCCAGCTCATTTAATAGGTTCATACGTTCTGCGTGTGCCCAGGTAACAAACCTCTTTGTAGCCTCGTTCAGTAATGCCTTTTTGATAACTCTATTGTATCGGTCTACATCACGAAGGGACATCCGACATTCTGGACATCCTTTTGGGATGTCATGGGAGTCAAAGCCCCATGTCTCGCGCTTGGGCCCAATAATTTTTCCTGTGGAGTCATCGGTGCTATAGTATTGCCTCATTTCCATGACTCCGTCGAGAGAAGATCGTGTATAGAAATGTCCACAGGAGAGAAAAAGTAAAGGATCTTTGTCAATATCAATATTTCTGTACTCTTTGAACTCTATCAGGTCGACATTCCGGCTAAGGACCTCTGGTTTACAACATATCTGGCAATGATCAGAGGTCGGGCACGACTCCCCACAGACTCCTGGGCATTGGTGTCCACACGATAAACTCTTGGTACAACGGAGATTGCAAGGGATGATGTCGCAAGGAACGGCACATGGAAGATTGCATTTGTCGCGGTGTTCGCAACTCCATTCGCATAACTCAGCACAAGGTGGACAGGGTTCATTGCAGTTTTTCGGGCACTGGTTATGTCTGCATCGGATCTCACATGGTCGAGTACAGGGAGGACATGTAGAGCCTGGGTGACACGGACGACTGCATGCATGTGAGCAGGTATTGAACGCCCTGCCACATATTTCGTTACACGGACCGTGATCACCACCTCTGCAATTCCAGCACACCTTTGAGCATACATGCCCGCAAGGTAAGCGAGTATCACATGTGTGCGAGCAATCGAGATTGTCCGAGTTTTCGTGGCAACGTACTTCGAGTTTATGACCACATGGAGCCATTGTTCGAACGGCGGCCTCCTGACACTTGATTTTAAAAATGGTCGCAATTTTGCCACATTCTGTTACAATTGTATGTCCGCATGGGAGCATGATATTCTCTACCAATTCTGGACATTCACCGCATGGCTGATTGCATCTTCTATTGCAAAAGTGACCACAATCTCTCATACGATGACATAATTGCATGCATCGAACAGCCCGGTGATGTGTTTCCGAATGGCACATTAAAGTGCACCTATGTCCGCAATGTAATCTTAGGCCGCACGTTTGGGCACATCCACCCTCCGGAGCAGCCCGGGAAAAGTCGTCGGGATTTGAGACGCAAGCAGTCTGTTTCGGATGGCGAGCGCAGCTTAACTGCAGTTCTTGACCAATATTTTGACCTTTCTTGAAAAGCTCAATGACAGACTGCCATAGTGGTGCAGTAGCTGCAGTAGCTGCGTCACCAATGATATACATACCTTCTTTGGCACGACTAGAGTCAATATTATCAGAAACTTCTTCAACATTCTGTTAATTCAAACTCACCTTAGAAGAACGTTGATTCGGTTCGGGGATTTTAAAAATCCGCAGTCGTGACGTTTATTGCTTCTGACAAGAGACACGATGACAACTGTGGCTTCTTCGCCCTGCGCAATTTTGCGTAAGCTTTCCACCTTTGAAATGGTGGTTATAATAAAACAACCCGTATCTTACCTGAAAGTCATCAATAATAGCCAGTCTCAATTTGTTCAGATTCGTATCTTCCAGCATTTTTTTCAATACTTTTAATTGTCCAGCATATGGTGTTAATATAGCAAGGTCTCTAGATCCATACCTCTCCTGTCGATAAAGATGCTTGGCTAATGTTACTACCATGCGGGCCTCCCAGACATTTGTTTTGCTTTGCATTGGCTCGTCCGGGACATGCGTGTCTTCCCAGTTGCGATGGTCTAACCAGAAGAGCCGGCGCTTCATACCAGCAATATTTGAGTATTCTTTGGTACGAGGATGGTCTTGCAGGCCAGGATACAATGTTTCGCGAATCAATGTTGATATCAACGGATGCATTCGGTGCTGGTGACTAAGCTGGCTAATAGGAAATCGAGATTCCGCTAGTTTCTGCCCAGGATGTGAATTCAAACTCAGGTCGCAGAACTTTGAAGACGCCAACCGTTCAAATAGAGACTGATCAAAATTGTACTTAGGGCCGTTGCCATTGTAGCCCATTGACAATCTAGGATTTGATATTCGCGGCCGTAGCTGTAAGTAATCCCCGATCATTATAAGGTGCTGGATTGAGGGTAGTAGCGCCGTGAGCATATGCGATTCTAGGATTTCTGCAGCTTCTTCGCATATCAAGACCTTAGCGTTGACGTCTCTTAGGAGATTCGCATTGTTGGCTAAGCCTGTGGTAGTAACCCCAATAACTCCCGATTCGTTCAGAATAACGGTGTCGTATTCATGATAAATTCTGGTATGATTTTGTTTTTCTTGCACGTGTTGTTTTAAAAAATCACATAACTGCTCCGAAAGCTCAGAGAAGGCAAGGCGCTTCCAATGTTCGTATAAATGAACGCGTTCAGCAGTCGTTAGTTCCCAAATGCTAGCCAAGAGGAGCTGCTCAATAGTTCGTTCATTACCGGCGACCCCCTGAAAGCCATCATCACCCGAAACATCCCAGTTGCTGGTGGTCACCCGGAAGTCATCACCTGAAAGCCAGCTATTTATCCTCCTGTTAAACTCTTGATCTGGGAGGATGTTAAGGAGATACTGAGATTGCTCAGGAAATTCATTCCTTATATACCTACCAACAACCTTCCCATCTTCATTGATTGATTTGCAAATCTCATCAATGTGAAGACTTAAGCCCAGTAATTTTGCCTTGCTAGCATTGGTATTGACTCTGGAAGTCCTCCCGGACTCATCAAAGGCTGTTTTAGATCGAGATTTTTTCACATGGTCAAGCGAGAGTTCTGCTAGACGAGACTCACTAGCATGTCCAATTCGAATAATGTTGGTGATACCGGAGTTAAGAAGCTCGTTAAGAAATTGATCTAGGGCATGGTTGGTGTAACAACTGCATCAAGTTAGTAAGTGGATGATGGGGAGCCCATTCCAGAAGCAGGATAGGAAACATACACACAAAGAATCGGTCCCAATTGCAATATATCTCGATTCTGCAAAAGGCACTTGGCAAGCTGTACTCCCACGTATGACTTTCCAGTTCCTGGAGGCCCTTGTATAAGTACAACTTCCTGCCTTAATGCTGCAGCCATTGCATCTGCTTGGGCCGTATTCAGTGTCGTAAATTTGGATAGTTGGTCTGACAGAGCTCTGGAGTCCTTTGGCAGCGAGACTTTCAACAAAGCATCGATGTCGCCTAATTTTCGCGCAGACTTGGGTAAGCAGGAGAAGTCTAAGACCATCCCATCTTTGATGTATGCAGGCGGCGGCACCATAATTTCGCCTGCGGTGAGACTTTTAGTGAAACATCTTCTCAAATTTGTATGCTTTTTGCCAGGTTCAAGCCACCTAGCGAAAGGGACTCGGGCATGAGATTGGTGAATATCTTGCAATCTTCGTAGAATGCCTTCGAAAGACTTGTATGATAAAGCAGGAAATTCAACCAGTAGAAGTGATCTTGATAATAGTTTGTCGCTCTTCAATCGAACGAGGTTTGATACATCAGCCTCATATCCTTGATCTGCTAAACGAAGCACCACTGATGCTCTGGTAGCATTGCTAACCAAGTCACGAACAGGAATTGGTCCAGGATAGCCCTTTTTTTTGTGACGATCAGAGCATTCAATCACCCGTCTGGAAACTAGACAAAAGACAACACTGATTTTATCCTGGCATTCACCATCGATAAGAGCCAGAATGGAACTGCCTTCTCTCAGTGTGTCAGATTCACGCCACCATTTCTCTCTGTGTGCCGGGCTTAGTTTTGCAAGCTTGTACAGCTGATCAAATTCCATGTCGATTTCCATACCCTTCAACGGATCAGCCTTCAATTGTTGAACCCTGACGTTGAAGTAGAGCCTTATAGGGGTCGGTGACTGGTGAGAAAGAATTTGTCGTTTTAATTTCCAATCACGACCATGAACTAATACCTGCCAGTTTCTCAAAACGGAACGGACTGAATCGCGAATCAAGCCGCATGTGTCCTCTCGTAGTAGTCGAAATTGAGAGTCTACGAGTCGAGATATGCCACTCTCATGATGTTGCTTTGGAAGAAAATCTGCCCCCTCACTGCATAGTATCTCCGACGTCGTAGGCAACAGTCGAATATTTGATATGAATGCGCCAGGAAAATCGACATCTGATGGGGCCGCCATTGTAGCCATTATTTTCTCAGGCGTTGATGAAGGAGGAATGAGGAAGTGAGATGAGATGGATGGGGTAGAAAAAGAAAATAGAAGGGAAGGTACCCGGCATGCACCACAATAGGCGGCACTATCCCTTTCGGGCGACCGACGCAATACCTTTTGTTTGCAGGCCTTATTGAGTCACTCAAAGTATAGATGATAGAAAGTGTAAACAATCCTCATGAGGAATTGCGTTTGCCTATGCGTCACCTTGCTTTACCTTCGTAATGGCTATTCCAGCTATCTCCTTGTTCATCCCATTTCACAAACTCGATCCATCAAAGAAAAATCAGTGTATATTTCCAACCCAGAAAGGAGAGAGATGTAGGTGGTGTTGCGAAGAAAATGACAACGCAAGCGCGATCTGGCATCAAGAAACTATTCGTACTCAGATAATGTTAGGCCAGCTGATTAGTCTAGATCTACTCCAAATGTATATCTTGTGCAACTGTTCCAAGGAGGACAATGCAAAGCATCAACATCGCATAGAGGATATTGGTTTTTCAATGCCACTGGCACAAAGATGGAATACTGAGATCATGAGATATGACGCTTACCAATCGCAGACGAAAACATCTCTCCCAGCACCCAGCGAGGAATCTCTTACTCAAGCTCCTGTGTCTGAGTTTCGACTTCATATCGCAACACCCGGTCCTAACGACTCTGTCGCCAGAAATATTCTCGATCCTCTTCAAAACTACGACTTTCAGACCGGGTCAGTGTATGCATTTGACAGGGAATCTTCTCCAGGCCACGTCAAGATTGGCTGGACAGCTGTTTCTATTGCAGGTCGGCTCGAACATTGGGCGAATTGTGGCTATAAACCTAACTTAATTATTAGTGTGCACAACATACCTTGTGCCCAGCGCGTTGAGACACTGATACATTACGAATTGATACGAGAATGGCGGCGAGAACGGTCGTGCATAGGGTGTAGAAAGAGTCATAAAGAATGGTTCGAGGTTGATCCGGAAACAGCAAAACAAGTAGTAGTTGATTGGGCAAACTTTATGAAAATTTCTGAGCCTTATACCCCAGAGGGGCTTCTGAACGACATGTGGCTAAAGATCGTCAAAGATATGGAGGCACGTGATCAGGTGGTTACTGCTAGGAAGCTGCTGGACCACTTCGCAGCGGACTTCGCAGCGTTGTTGCTTGAAGAGTTAACACTCATTGAAGACCAGATAGATTCAACAAGACCCTCGCAAGTAGATGAGAAAATAATTGATTCCTTGGAAAGGACATTGGTACACGACGATTTTCTTGAGGCTAAATCATCCCAGTTTCCTTCGTCAGCCAACTTTACAAACAGAACCAGCCAAAAGGGGCTCATGCCTAAACAGATACTACTGCCTTCATCACCAGTGCAATTCCAAGATTCCTAAAAAACATGGCTATCGAAGAACACGAAGTCAGAAGGGAGAGTTGGTGCCAATATATCGATCTCGCCATCAGGCCATGGAATGCCAGAGCCATCATCAAAGGTTAATACGTCAGACTCTTCTACCTCTCCTACCCCGAAAGTCGACCTGCCATCGGATCTTGCTTTACCGTCCAGCGCGGAAATAGGGGAGACGACACTTTCTTCGAACATTAAGCCGCAAGAAAAAGCCGCGAAACCCCTAACACCGATAATGCAGCCTCAAGTAGATGTTGAAGTGCCAATCCTGACTGCATTTGAGATCGAGCTTTTAAGTTATGGCTGGCAGAGATATGGAACCGTGATTGGACCACGCAATGAGAAAAAATGGTACCGTCATTCAGATGGGTTAGGCCAACGAACCCTAAAAGACATATTTGCGTGATTAATTTGTGTCTCTTCTGGGGAATCTGGGGTATTTCGAGCCAGTTAAACTGGGGGCTCTGGTGCAGGGCTCGACCTGGCCACTGACCAATAGGTACCAGGGGCCCAGCCAGCATTAGGCAACTCGTTTCCGAATCAGGCAGTTGATCACCACGAGATATCTTATTCTCGGAGTTAGGGCTTTCGGTATGCCCGAAATATTCCTCAACCATTACTAATGTAAGTGGATGATGTATCCAGGTGGACATGACATTCAATAGGATTTCAGTTGTGGTTTGTTGTGGGAGATCTGTTATAAAGACAGTATAGTAATCCATAAACATAGCACAACTGAAATTGTGTCTTTAATCAGATACTCATTCATTCGAAATCCTAGATTCTATCATGCTAGTTCTTGTAGTCGGCGCGTCTGGCAACATTGGCCAGTGGCTCATCGACAGCCTCGCATCCCGAGGCCACCGCATCCGTATCCTCGCCCGCAATCCCTCACGGATCAACAGCGCCCGACTCAAACACGTCGAAAGCACTGTTCAAAGCACCAGCTACTACGACATCGAAGCTCTCGACCGAGCCTGTGCCGGAGTCGACGCAATAATCAACGCGTACAGTGGAATCCCCGAGCTGCAACTTGAAGGACAACTTCTCCTAATTCGTGCCGCCGAGAGAGCAGGTGTGAAACGCTTCGTTGCGGCGGCCTGGAACTATGACTGGAGCGAGATGCCGCTGGGTATGCATGAGAGCTATGACGCGTACATTGCGCTTTGTAACCACGCCGATATGACATCGAGCATCAAGCCCATTTATATCCTCAGCGGTGTTTTAGCAGAAACTTTCTTTGCTGTGCCTGGTCACGGTGACTTTTCGCCTAAGAATAACGGGTGTTGGGACCCGGAAGCGAAGAGGTTGGAGATCTGGGGAACGGGGGACGAGCCATGGCACTGGACGACGGAGAAAGACGCAGCGGAATTCGCTGTTCACATTGTTGAGCGAAACGATGCAGCGGATGGAGGTTTCTGGAGAGTTTGTTCTGGGGTCAACACGTTGAGGGAGATTGCTGTGACTTATGAGAAGGTCAAGAAATGTAAAGTCGATGTCGAGGTTATGGGCACAGTATCGGACTTGCGAAAGAATGCTTTAGAGGCTAGACGACAGGGTTCTAGGAAGAATTTCTGGTCTTACATCGGTTGGTTCTACCAACTTTATACAATTGACGGGACGTGGACTTTGAAAACACTGGATAATAATAAGTTGGATGTGAAGACTACTAGTTTGGAGGATTTCCTGCGGGACAATACCTCAGTTTGATATCTGCGTCTTTGATTCTCCACCAGAGCCATCGAATATTAATTAAGAACTTCACAGATTTGGAAATCACAAGAAACTGTGCATAGTAAGATTGAATTGAAAGGGTGGTCCTAATATGAACCAAATTCAGCGATTGTGGCGCCTTTCCTATCCAAGACGGTACTTGTCCCAATAGGATAAATTTCCTGTGGGGTGTGTACATTCAGGCTAAAAGAACAGTGCCTACATGCAGACAAAGAGTGGTCGGGTTACCCCGCGATCCAATCCGACTAATTAGCAGCTTTTCTCTATCGGACTCATCTCCGATTTCAAAATATCAGAATAGTAAAAGTTTGAAGAGATATCAATGCGCTGGTCTATTATACATGACGTAATTTATCCAGATCTTCCAACAACAATCGAATATAAATCCAGGCCATCTCATCGAATATACAATTAATACTCAGTAAACCATAGAATAGAGAGTGCTTTACTTTGCTTGTCCCACAAAGACGATCCTAAAGCTAATCAAAATGCTCACTCACGACACCAAGAACAACCGTTTAATCTACCAATACGACTCCGAACAACTATACATAGAACCCTGGGGTCCCAATGCCGTCCGCGTCCGCGCAACCCATCTGCCTGAATTTCCAACAAACCTAGACTGGGCCTTATCATCCGAACTCAGGCCGTCAACTCCTGTCCCGGCGACGATTGAAATCGACAACAAAGTCGAGGGCGGAAAACTCACAAATGGAGCTATTCAAGCCAGCATCTCACCGCGCGGAAAGATCATCATCCGCAACACAAATACCGGAAAGGTGCTGCTAGAAGAATACATGCGCAACCGCAAGGATCCGATTGACCCGAAATGCTCGGCTCTCGACATTGAAGCGCGCGAATTCAAGCCACATCCGGGCTGCGACGATTACCATCTTACTCTACGACTCGAAAGCATTGATCGGAACGAGAAAATCTATGGCATGGGGCAGTACCAGCAGCCGTTTCTCGATCTGAAGGGCGTCGATCTTGAGCTTGCGCATCGCAATTCACAGGCTTCGATTCCATTTGCCGTCTCATCGTTGGGATATGGATTCTTATGGAACAACCCGGGTGTTGGCAGGGCCGTGTTGGGCAAGAACGTTATGTCATTTGAAGCGTTCTCAACTCGCGTTTTGGACTATTGGATTGTGGCGGGCGACTCGCCCAAGGGAATAGTTGAGGCGTATGCCGATGTCACCGGCAAAGTGCCTATGATGCCTGAATACGGACTTGGGTTTTGGCAGTGCAAACTGCGGTACCAAACACAAGATGAACTGTTGAAGGTAGCGCGGGAGTATAAAAAGCGAAATCTGCCAATTGACTTGATTGTTATTGATTTCTTCCACTGGCCATTACAGGGAGAATGGAAGTTTGATCCCGTTTACTGGCCTGACCCTGGTTTGTCCTCTGTTATACCAGAGTATGAGGAGTGCTAACGCAAACAGATGCAATGATAAAAGAACTCAAAGATCTCAACATCGAACTAATGGTTTCCATCTGGCCGACAGTCGACATCCGGTCTGAGAACTACGAGGAAATGGTCGCCAAAGGATACCTCATCCGCACAGATCGTGGGATTCGCAACGGGATGAATTTCCAAGGAGAAACAATCCATTTCGACGCAACCCACCCCGGGTCTCGCAAATATGTGTGGGACAAAGCATATCAAAACTACTTTTCCAAAGGTATCCGTGTGTTTTGGCTCGATGAAGCTGAACCCGAGTACACGGCGTACGACTTCGACAATTACCGTTACCATCTTGGATCCAACGTAACCATTGGAAATATCTATCCTCGTGAATACGCTCGGGCATTCTACGAAGGACAAGCAGCGGCAGGACAGCAAAACATCGTCAATCTGCTGCGATGCGCGTGGGCAGGGTCACAAAAGTATGGCGCGTTAGTGTGGAGTGGCGATATCGCATCCAGCTGGGAGTCGCTGCGTTGCCAGCTCGCGGCAGGGTTGAATATGGGCATTTCAGGGATTCCCTGGTGGACCACAGACATCGGTGGATTTCACGGCGGTGACCCAACGAAGGAGCCGTTCAGGGAACTTCTCGTGCGTTGGTTCCAATGGGGTGCGTTTTGTCCGGTTATGAGGTTGCATGGTGATCGAGAACCGAAACAGCCTCAGCATGGAACGACGGGCGGCGCGGGGTGTCTTTCGGGAGCGGAGAATGAGGTGTGGTCGTACGGGGAAGAAGTGTACAAGATTTGCGTGAAGTACTTGGATATCCGCGAGCAGTTAAGAGATTATACCAGAGAATTAATGAGAGAAGCGCACGAAAAAGGGACGCCGGTTATGAGGCCGCTCTTTTACGAGTTTCCAGATGACGCACATGCATGGACTGTTGAGGACCAGTATCTGTATGGGTCGAAATATCTTTGTGCCCCAGTCTTGTATCCAGGACAGAAGACTCGATCTGTTTATCTACCCAAAGGCACATGGACATTCTTCCAAGATGGTGCTATAGCAGGAGATCATGGGAAAGAATACATAGGAGGAAAAACAGTTGAAGTCGACTGCCCAGTCGAGATTATGCCGGTTTTCGTTCGAGCTTGAAGGTCTAAGACTCTATAAATAAAGGCGTTGAAGATTTGACAAAATACCATTGAATCAACTATGAATCCAACGTATTGAGAAATGTAGTCGTAGTCACCAGGCGCTGAGCGTCGCTTAACGCCCGAAAGACCAGTGGCTTCCAAGAATGTTAATGATGTTGTCCATGGCCGTAAAAAGTCTTCTGGTGGGTATACACATCAGCAGCGACCCACGAATAAGCCGTGAGAGAACGAGCCGGCTTCCAAGTACTCATTCCGTAGCATCAAAGCCAAGCCCTGGGACCTCGACCTGCTAGCGACCTCTTTAGCAAAACTACATAGTAGTATAGTCCAAACCAAGTTCCCAATACATGGAAGCAACCAGGACAGACGGCGGTAAAAGCAGTCGATGGTACGAGTTGTTACCCAGTGAAACTACTGGTGCCGGTCACCATTAACTTCGCCAACCGCGTCCCCACGCTCCGGTCCAAGGAGATGGGTGTTGACGGGAATTATAGGCTCCGTCAGTGTACCCATTGGCCTAAATGAACCAGCTGAACAATAAAAGAAACATGGTAACATCAAGTTTTCTTGTGTTCCACCAATTCAATGGCAGCGGGAGCAGGTCGGCGTCCGTATTTATGTTGCCGGTGACGTGTCACGCCATAGTGCGCGAACCCCCTAAAACGCAACGCAACCTACAGAGAGATCTTCGAAAGAAATTATGAAAAATGCCAATGCATTCTGTGTTCTGTTGAATACCTTACGAAAGTCTAATGCTAAATACCCTATTTTTGCCAATTATGCCCGCTAAACCCCGCATGAACTCTAAAATTCTCCTAGAACTCCACGTGGAACAACTTGCTGTTCCGTATCCGTTCGCCGTAACTATAAAATACGAAAGGCAACGGAGCGAGTGCAAGTGCAATAAATCCGAGTACAGAGTTACCCCAACCGAGGCCTAGACTGTCGTACATTTTGTTTCCGGCAAGGGGGAGGAGCGCTCCGAGCAGGGATCGGAAGACGGTATTGGCTGCCACTGCCGAAGCAGCATAAATCGTATAGGCGTCGACAAGGTAGGTGGAGGTACACATCTGGATCATATGTTAGTAGGTCTCTCTCGATCACGGATGAAAAAACGCACAAAGGCCATAAGCATTCCTACCCCGAGACAAGCTGTCCCCAGGATAGGCAAAATCCAATGAACATGTTTTTCTGCCGTCCAACCATACCTATATCTTGTTCAGTATTCATACAAACGGAGCGAATATGGGGTTACAAACCAGAAAAGAGCGAGCGGAACAGTCCAGGCGGTGATGAACATGGGTGGAAGCCGATATTCTGGCTTTGCAACACCACCGTTCTTCTTGGTCAGATATTGGAGCAGGCGGTCTGACACCATACCGCAGACGAAGAGTCCTATGATAGATCCACAACCGATACCCAAATAGGCCAGGCCAACGGAACCCTGTGAAAAGCCATATTGGCCTTCGAAAACATCGGTCATGGTGGTGAAGAGCAGGTACAGATAACCGTAAATTATAGCAACATAAAGCGATAACAGGAAGACGATGGGAGATAGAAAGAGCATTTTTGTAGGTCGCACGATAGAAAAGATGAATAGATCTTTGGGTGATCTTCCGGTGTCTAAGACAGACCGCAGGTTTTCGTTCCCTGTTTCTTTTCGTAGACGTTTAGCCTTACGATCAAGAAGAACGTAGGCATAAGACTCGCGCATGAAGATTAGTGAAATCACGCTCACGGCTCCGCCCTGTTGCCCTAATCAGTCTGGTTCTATTACAATTGACAGTATTCTGTATGCACGCACCGCAATAGCTAATACCCAGAAGGTCCATCGCCATCCTTTGGCCTGAGTCAAGTATCCACCAGCTATCAATAAATTAGTTTCACTCAGCAAGTCACTTTCTTGATTCTTCCACCACTCACCAACTGGGCCAATGACCGGCCCTAACAACGGTCCTAAAGCCCATGCGGCCATCGCAGCGCCTCGCCTCTCTTTTGGGATCATATCTGCCAGCGAACCAGCACCCAAGGTCAAGGGACAACTACCCGCCAGTCCCGCAAAAAAGCGAAAAATGATCAAGCCTCCCATATTAGGCGCAACGGCACAAGCAACGCTGAAGATAGTATAGAGAATATTACAAGCGTTGTAGAGTGGTGTGCGGCCGTACATCTCCGACAGCGGAGCGATCAACAATGGACCAAAGCAGTAGCCAAGGAGGTAGACAGATACAACGAATGAGGCGAGGTATATGTTGTCGGATTTGAAATCCTGCATAACATCTGGCACTCCAGGGGCAAACATGGACGAACCCAGTGGTCTAGTAGGAGTTCACAATTAGCATTCTACGCCCGCATCCAATTTCTGACTTTGCAGCGACGTACGTCAGTAACGTTATGACCGAAATGGTAACTGTGATGACCAGCTTCCTGCTGAGGGGCCAATTCATTGGGTTCTGGGGATCATCAGGGCCATTCCAGTCCACCAGATTGGGGTCTCGAGTCTCGGGGGTATCTTCGTCTAGCTGGGCGGCTTTTTCGGAAGGCGTCGAACCACGTTCAAGGTCTTTAGTTTCTTCTCGCACTTCCTTTTCTTCCCTGGACTCGTTTCTCTCATTGCTATGGTCTCGAATATCTTTTTCCATGGCCACAGCTTCTTCAACTTGTGTTAATAAATAAACATGCCAAACAGTGCAACTGCAGAGCTTTCCATCTAAGCAAGGAAACTGAACGTACTAGGCTGAGCTCTTGCGCTTTCACCGTGCTGCCAGTTGCGAGATCGGCCTACTATCGACGCAGTGCGTGGGCAAGCCAAATGGAAAGGTGGGGGATTTTCTTGTCAAGCTCCTTCCACGCCCTGTTGATAGGCGAATTAGCAGTTTCAACCTTCTGCTAACTCGGCGGCGCGACTAGGCGGGTGCAGAAGCTGTAGTTTTATCAAACAAACAAGATGACAGAGAATGGCGCGCATATTACGAAGGCGATGTCGCAGCCTCCCATCAGCCTTAATAAAGCATTGTTGGTATTAATGGGCATTAATTTATGAATTTTATGACCCCCTGTTGATTAGCTGCTTTGTATGTGTCAGCCAATAAGTACCAAATTAAATACCTTCACTAATGAGGGGGACCCCTTTTTGGTGTAGTGGTTTTCGGCCAACAGTATGGCTTTGGGGTAATTAATTACCCCAGCTGAGTAAGACGGTCCAATGGTGTTGCATGCCGGATCACACAAGGTCCGAAAGGTGCTTTCTGACCAATCATAGCCCCTCCTCCTGTAGGGAGTGCTCGCTTATGCGTGTGGACGTGGACTACAGCGAAACCATGCACGCATAAGGCCGGCACTGGGCAGTTGTGCAACTGCACGGCCTTTGCGGCGGATCCCCAGCCCAGTCACGGGTCAGCCAAAGCTCAAGGGCGTTCTCCGATTGGCCCAGCCCATATGATGGGCTCCACCCCCAAATCTTCGCGACGCCGCATGCTCCGCTTTCCCCGTGCCTGTTGGCCAATAGGATGTCGATTTCTACGAGGGTCTCATCTATACGAGTACATAACAAAAGTTTGAATATAGTACCACCATTTTCTACCTTTCATCTGCATTGACACCAATTTATGTTGGATTAAGTTTAGACTTCTTAGGGGCCACCGATATATAATGCGAAAAGTTCGAATTTATTAGTATTAATATGAGGAGGACTCATCTTAGTGACATGGAGAAATTTGAAGCTCCTAATCCAGCTGAATAGTGCCCAGTGGTTATGGGATTGTTCGACCTGACACTCGTGGCTGCTGTCCTTTTCAAGGCCAAGATCTCCATGTCATACAATGACCTAGATGACTTACTAGAAATTACTGTCCACCCCTTCAAGAACGAATGAGTGTGGAGCAAATGAAGAATTACCAGCACAGTAACTATTCCCAATGAACTAACTTTACCGGATGACCAATATTGAGTTGCGGGTAGGAAACAAGTCTTCATTAAAGACTAAAATTAAGGTAAATGGCCATACATACTGATTTCAATGTCATTGTGGCCTGCACTATGTAATGACTGTGTTAGACAACGAATACTCCAGTATTAGTCTAGCAAAGGAACCCTCGCTTTTGAATGAAATGTATGCTTGTCATGATCCCACAGAGATGTTCATGTGGTATCCACATGGCGAGGAAGAAAATGTTCCAGCTGGAGAAATGTCTAGCTTGAAATCGGAATTTGGCCCGGGATATCGGTTTTGAAGAGGGAGAATCGCTCCACTGAGAGATCAAATCTCACGAACCAATCCTACCGGAATATGTTCCCCTTAGAAGAAGCATACCAAGAACGTTGGCAAACATTATGTTCATACAGGTGGAAACTTTATCGGGGATATCGTACTTCCTTTGCTCATCTGAGAATAAATATTTAAAACCATTGGTGACTTTACAGAACTAAAACCCCGAATTAAGCTACGTTAAACCGTTTAGAGTTTTCTTTTCTTTTAAATATATTTGATTCCCCTTTAAGCCTATGTGTCTGTGAAAGGTGGATATTATTTACCTGTCTCCTGCAGGTTTACTATTGTTTGTACCATTGTGAGATTGACCTGGATTCCAGAAATAACTTGCTGTTCACTGTCGTCCGTTAATATCTCCTGAGAGCCTGAGAGCCTTCTGCTTGGTGGCCCAGATACAACAGTAGTCAGTGGGCAAGGCTCAAATTCGAATCCTTCTGTTCCCAAGGACGACAATCTCACCATCTCCGGGCGGGATGGTAATGAATGGCCAGGTGTCGTATTCTGGATGTGTGTGCTATTCTGGTAGCTATTGGAATCTCTCCGCCACTTGAATCCCTTTTCTATTATCTTCGTCATGAACATGTTTGCCCCAGGCAGGCACGAACATATTAATCCAGTAGCAATTTCGGCGGACCTATAAAACATTCATCATCAGCTAAAGAAGTAAAAAGCCAAATAATTAGATAATTTAACACACTTACCCGGTCATAGCTAGTCGTACAAAAAGTCGGGTTGGATCCTGCGATGCCGGCTCAAATAGTATGACTAGACGATATAAGCTGAAGAGAGTAGCAACGCCACCAGCACCAAGGAGAGCAATTATCCTTATTTTTTTTCCCCTAGACATATGCAATATCCATACCAACGGAAGCGGTAGGACGAGAATGGTAGCATCTGTCACCAGGCCCACAACACAATCCGTTATGAAAAGAGCCCTCTGATTGATGCATTTTCCCGCAGCGTTTGGTGGGCTCTCCCAGTATGAAGATACAGGGGTGCAAACTACAGCTTTTGCGATAAGGACAGCAATGTAATAGCAGAAGAGGCATAGTATAAACCCATAGATAAAGCGAATCCTGTGTCGATGAGGTGCAAAGACTCGAGCGACCATAAGGAGTAAGGCGGATTTGACAAAGAGCGCTGCGGGGCCGTAAATAATTGTGTTGATATATTCAAGCTAGGGTTGGTTGGATATAAGCATTAAAGGAACTATTTTGTCCGCTAGGTGCCAAGTACTGTACGAAATGTTTCCATTTGTCCCTCACTCACGTGGACTGCGAAATAGCCTGCACCGTATGCTCCCACTAATTGCTGTCAGTGATCAACGGCTTGCAGACAGTTAAGAGCTCATGCACTTACTAGCAGCGTTTATTGAACAATAGGCCATGAAAAATATCTAAAAGTGAGCAAGTCAGATGACAGAGATAGTTGGAAAGATGGGCGTGCACATTACCCATGAGATGTAACAACAGTCTATGATCTTCATAAGCAATTCCATATATTAAAATTTATTTAAAAAACAAGAATCTTACAGTCTTCTACCATGAAACGGAAACCCGGTGAGAAGTAATACCTCACAGAACAGCGTAGGGCAATGAAAAAAGTGCAAACAGACATGCATATTACTTGTGTGGCCAAGTTAAGCTTGCTTAGGGTGGCCTCTCCCACGCCCGTATCGTCCATGATACATAAGTGTCTTTGTCGCAAGGCGGGATTCTTCTACAGTTCGTTTGTATACGAAACGGTAGGATATATCGGCATCTTTTCGTAGTGACCGCATAGAACGGCTTGGATGCAAGGTAGGAAATATGTTTTAATTTTCGTCGGTCATCCATAGATGTAAAGGAGGCAAAAACGTGCCATCGCAAGTCAATTATGTCAGTGGCCGGGGGATCCATCCGATTGACTTTCTCGGTATGCGGCTACTTCATACAGTTAACTGTAGTTGCGCGTGGCAACTTTTAAGCTTTGATTAGCTACCCCTCATCCACCATGCCATTTCTAGTGCAACGAAGGTTATCGGTGGGCTTGGTCTAGACTATCATAAATTCAACTGCGATTTAAATGCAGAGAGCTTGGCATTCACGGTTGAAGCCTAACGCGCCTCCGATTTGCCACGAGGCGGCTTCGCATAACTTCGCTGTGGTCCGCCGTATTAGGCTAACTTAAAGTTCAGCCTTAAGCATGGCACTTTGAAGATTGTACGAAAGACGAAGATAATAAAGGTTTTACCCGCATTTCCACTTGAGTTGTAGTTAAATGAAGAACGGATCGGGATTCTTACTACTTAGAAAACGCGGTATATCTAGCCATTAATTGATCAGCCTCATTCATCTCTTGCTCCAACACCTCTCTGTGCCTCTCACTCCGCATCTTAACCGCACACTCAGACGGTCTGAATAGGCCGTACATTAAACCCCTCCATATACAGAATAGCATCATCCCTTCTCGACGGGCCATCTTTTTCCATGACAGGCAAGATATCAAACGCCCATAACATTTCGCAACGGCTATGGACAGTGAATTTCTTGCTAGCCTAGGACTGGTTCTTCGGTCCAGTCTAACAGAACTATAACCGTCTTTTGACGGATAAGATTCCCCTTTTTCTGCGGTGTAGCTTCGACATATTCCTCTTATAGATACCTCAATGAACGGGACGTGGTGGAATTTGGCAGGAATCGTAGTGGGTTGAAGTGGTGCGAATTCAGGGAGTAAATAGGATTCAAATTGGTATCACATGGATTTGAGAGAATATTCGCAGAAATGAGTGGCTGTATATATTCATGACTGGTGAGGAATGACAGCTGTAATTATAGCGTAGCTTGTGTATAAGATTCAATCAGTAAGGAAAAGTGGTGCTTATAGTTCTGATGAACACTTGTTTCCTATTGTAACGATCTTAGAGGCCACGCCTAGGCTTCAAAAGGCTGACGTACGAATATCACACGTTGAGGCTACCCTCAGAATCGTTGTCGTTATTATTATCATCCTCCTCCTCCTTATCCGCTCCCCCGGCCATAGCTGCGGCTCGTTGAAGCTGCCACTGTAATGTTAAAATTTTCCACAAGGGCAAAGGTTTGTTGACAGGATCTGTGATCGTGAAAACAAACTGGTCACCGGACCTAATCTCTGTTCCATCCATGCGATGGAGACGATCGCCATTTGGGCCCATGCCAGGATCCGGAATTCTGAGGTTTGGTCGTAGAGTCAATGGAACAAATTCTCCTGGCTCATTCTTGAGTAAAGTGTGCTCATTCGAGTGCGCCTTCTTTGTAATCAGTGCCATTAACATCAGGATTAGACAGGAATATTAGAGTATTAGGATGTAATGATCATTTTGAACCCATCTCGGCGTAACTAATACTAGGGTACTCCTCGAGCTGTTTGGAGGAGGCCATGGTCGTGGTCATGATAAGGATATAATATATTTCTCTTCGACTACATCAGTTATTTGTTATTTAATTATATGAGTGGAATATCTATATTCAAATAAAATTGGAGATAGGTGTTCGATTGTGCGGGAATTGTTTTTTGGACAAGAGTCTAAGTTGAAAGGAGACGTCATTGATAGATTAGACGCCTGGTTGTTGATGAGTTGCAGGTTGATCGCTTGTTTGGTTGGTTGAATGTTTGGTTGATGCATATTGGATTGGTATCCGGCTTTTTGCCGTGTTTGTCAACCACTCAACGCGTGCCGCTTTCTAGAAACGCGTGGGTCAGCCATGCACCTCCAAGCCCTGTATCCTTCAATCCATACAACATGCACTGAACAACCTGATCTGGGCAAAATATTAAATATTCCGGCAACTCAATGACAGTTTGAAGTGGTGAACTCGGCATGGGCAAAAAGAGGAAGCGCCCAGCCAAATCCGCTACGGCGCTGGCTACCAATGCAGCCAACCACACAAAACGCCTCAAATCGGACGAAGCAAACTCAAGATTGACTCAGGAACACCTAGTTCTGTCGCGATATTACCGCAGAGTCGTGACATTGCGGCAGTATCTACTCGAAGAACTACCATCTACTTCCAAGGCGCGTCGCCGGCGGATCGCGTCGCTCGGGAAGTCTGGCCATGGTTCTGACGCAACAGCCAACACCAGCCTTCATTTGAATGCAAGCAATGACAAAAACGGTGATATTACGCATTTGGTTCGTCTTTTAGACACCACTCTTGTCGGCGAACTGAAAAGATCTATTCCTACCGTGGTCGAAGCGCGTCAAAGAGACTTTGCTGCATTCACGCAGTCTGAAGAGCGTTCCCTTCTTTGGACCGATACCGGGCCATGTAGTCCCCAGTCTGAGGTATGGCGATCTATTTCTGGTCTATGCGGCCCAAATTTGACAGGATAACCTAACTTCATATAGATTGTCGATTTCGTCATAGCTACCCTGTTCAACAGGGCAATGCGATCAGAGCGAAAACCACAGCATGTTTTGGCCAATGGATTTCATCTCGCTACACGAAAGCAGATCCTAGACAAAAATGTATATGCCATGGAGTTCAATATTCCTGGCCTAGTATCGCAGTTCCCCAATCATCACGTAGCGGCTCTAAAGAAGGCTCCATGGACTGACCTTTTGGGGTTGCTCGGCGTTAGTGGGGACGATATTATGATCAGATTGTTGCTTGATTGCGCGATATTTTCTTGCGTGGACGAGAACAAGTCAGCATTCTACCAAATCAGTGGTATGTGAATCGTTCTGAGTTATCATATTCAGTCAAACTTATTCATTACCAGGTGTCTATCTTTCGGAACTGGAGCCTTTAGATGAAAATCCATCACCAGAATCTCAAGCAAAGGAGTGCAAGCCTCAAGGTACCCCCAAGTTGAAAGTCGCCTCCGACGTACTGCACAAACCAAATAGTATCGTTTTTGTACGGCGACGAATGCTGTATGCCCGCCCAGCGCTGAGCGCACGAGGCGAAATCCGATTTGGGCTAAGACATATTCGTAAGCTTATTTACAAAGTTGAGGTATCGTCTCTAACGTCGATTATAGATGTCCTGAACCGCTTCCCAAATTCGAACGATACCCACCATACACTTCGTGTGATGAAGTACATATTTCCTCGACAGTTTCGACTACATAATGCATTTACCTCTTTGGTTGACAATCGCGAGACTGTCCAACCTTTCAAGGACTATACATTACGGGAAGACGAGATTGCTCGTTTGGAAGAGGTACAAATGGCAAATAATCCGAAAGCGAAACTCAAGATTCCAAGGCGTCTTCGGGGAGCTCCTTTCGAGCTGGTGAAAAAGCTACAAAAGCGTAACCAGCAATGCGCCTACACCGAATTGCTGAAACATTATTGCCCACTTGAAGTACGTTCCTGGTCAAATATCGCATTGATTATATCTCACAATAGCAGGAGACTGGGCCCGCCAAATTTGGCGCGTTACAAGCAGTATCAAACACGCAAGAATCTCAACAGCTCGTTACGCAAATTCCATTACCAACTCAGTCAACAACCCAGCTTTCTCAGGCGTCTGACGGCTATAAAGAAACACCTAATGCAAAACCGTCAGACAAACCTACCCCTGCGCAAAAGCCCTGCTTGACAGACTATGCAACACCAGTGTCTTCTGTGTCCGCATTCTGTCGCGCAGTGCTTCAAAAAGTTATTCCACGAGAGTTTCTTGGCGCAGGCGAAGACGGGATAGCAAACCGGATGAATTTGATGAAACAAGTTGATCGATTCATTCGACTTACTCGTTTCGAAAGCTTGTCGCTGCACGAAGTCTGCAAAGGCTTGAAGGTATGTGTCTGTCAGAGGTTTATATACAACCTGCTAACCTACTAGGTTACTTGCCTTCGTTGGCTCGAGCCCCCAAAATGTCAGGATGGTAGTGACCATAAAATCTCTCTATCGGACCATCGCAAACGTACAGAGATTCTACACGAACTCGTCTACTATATATTTGATTCTCTACTTATTCCCCTCATCCGCACCAATTTCTATGTCACCGAATCACAAGTCTACAAAAATAGATTATTCTATTTCCGGCACGATATATGGCGCAGTATGATCGAGAAACCACTCGCAGATATGAAATCCTCAATGTTCGAGGAGATCAAGCGCGACAGAGTCTACCGTGTCCTTGGCGGAAAGAAGCTGCCAGCGAGTGCAGTGAGACTCCTCCCCAAAGCTACTGGTGCTCGTCCAATTATAAACCTTCGGCGGAGGATAATGAAGCGAATGGGCAACCACTCGTTCCTAGGCCCCAGCACAAATTCTACCTTAACACCAGTTTTCAATGTACTCGATTATGAGAAGAAAGAACACCCAGAGTTGCTTGGCTCGTCCATGTTCTCAGTGAGCGACATGTACCCGCGCCTTAAGACCTTCAAGGATAGATTGATACAAGCAAGCAGCGGAAAGGAGCAAATGTTCTATTTCGTAAAGCTGGATATACAGTCGTGTTTCGATACTATTCCTCAACGCAGGCTGGTCTCGCTAATCGAGAACCTAGTTTCACAACCCGTTTATCATGTAACGAAACACGTTGAAGTTCGACCCGGCGACGGGTACAAAAATAACTTGTGGCCGGAACAAAACTTTCGAAAGTACAAGCCTATCCGAAAATTCATGAATAAGGCTATTGGGATCAGCAAGATACATAGCACCCCCGATTCCGGTAGTATTAAAGGCGCAAGACGCCATACGATTCAAGTGGATACCGCTATAGCGAAGAATCACCGTGTAGACACGTTACTTGATATGCTTGATGAACATGTTAAGAAAAATCTGGTCAAAATCGGCAAGAAGTACTTTCGCCAGAAGAACGGCATTCCTCAGGGCTCTGTGTTGTCAAGCTTGCTTTGCAATTTCTTCTACGGAGAACTCGAGCGCGAGGTCCTGGGATTTTTGAACAACCAAGGTACGCTTTTACTACGGCTTATCGACGACTTTCTGCTAGTTACAACCGATCCGGCTCTCGCGAAGCAATTTTTGCAAGTGATGATGGATGGCCAGCCAGCATACGGCATTACCGTGAACGCGAGTAAAAGTCTTGTGAATTTCGAAGCCACTATAAACGGAATGAAAATGCCTCGACTACATGGATCAACACTGTTTCCATATTGTGGCAACCTCATTGACACGCATACACTAGAGCTACGTAAAGACCGTGACCATGGCCGCGGCCAGGCGAGTGTTGCAGACACTTTAACGATCGAGTTGAGTCGAGTACCAGGACAAGCTTTTCATCGAAAAGTACTTGCATCATTTCGATTGCAAACGCATACGATGTTCCTTGATACCGAACATAACAACCCCAGAGTTGTCTTGCTTGGCATCTATACGAACTTTATGGAGACAGCTATTAAAATGTATCGATACTACAAGTCGCTGGGAGCACGATCGCGGCCTTCTTCAAGCCTTATATTGCGAATTATACACGACCTAGTTGGATTTGCTACGAACCTCGTGCAGTCGAAACGAAGACAAGCGCCCTCAATACCCCCTACAAATATGACTACGACGACCACCGCCAGTGAGAACTCGTCAACTCAACTAAGATTCAAATGCATCATCTCTCCACCCCAGATGCAACATCTCTGTGCTGCTGCTTTCCGCCATGTGCTGTCTAGAAAGCAGACCAAATTTGGCCCGGTCCTTCGCGGTTTGCAGCTAATGGGGAAGAGTAGCCAACCAAAGACTGATAGAGAGGTCTTACAGATGCGACGAATTATCAAAGAGGGGAATTTGATATTTGACGGTTGGAGGTTTTGAATTTAGCATCCTTTGATATCCTTTCCCTGCCGGAGTCAGACTCCCACTCAGCCGACTACCTGCAAAACAATGGCAATCCAATTAAATATTGTATATTATCTCTATACATGTTTGTCTATCGCCACCACCAATATAATTGATTTATATAAGACAGTTAATGGTACTAGCTAATGTCAGGTAATATAATCTAAAATATTATAGATGGAAGCGCCCGCTGCCCCTAGATGTAGTTACTTGTGACTCTACAAGCCAGATTTTTGATAAGATTAAATATCAATTGATTATTGTATTGATATGGGGAAGGCTGCAATACCTAAGCCACCGTTGTGGCCCTATATTCAAAAAATTGTCATCCCACTATATCAATATGCCCTAAAGCTCCCTAGGGTTAGACTTTAGAACCAACAGGTGAGGCAGCCAAGTCAAGTCTAAATAACGCAGACTTGCAGATCTCAGAAACATCTTGGCAGTAGACTTAGGTAACGGTCAAACCCCTTCACACTTGAGCGCAAGGAGTTGACAGCAGCAATTCAAAGTACACAACACCTCAGACCGTCACACGGCAAGTAACATCACCGCACAACATAACCTTACCTCAAACAATGACATCCTCCCCATTACTATTCCGGTACTCAAACGACCAAGTCGCTGCCTCCGATGAAGCCAAAGCATTCTCATGGGAAGCCCCCGTGCCAGTGAACGCTTTCTGGGACAGCTTCAAGCACTTCGCCGCGCGCAGCTTCCCCGACAACTTCTCAGACCCGGAACGCAATCAGCTCCCCATCAACCCCAACAGCGCCGACGACCAAGAAACAAAACTCCGTCCACTTTTACAGCTCCTCCAAGCCAAACTCGCCCAGGAAGAAGCTGCTACCTCGCCGCCGCAGTTACTTCACGAACTGGACTATAAGCGGTGGTATGGACTCTGGCAGGGGATTTACGTGGTGCAGAATGAGCTAGATCTACCCGAAGCCGAGAAGACTGTGCGCATGCTAGTGGATAAGAGACTAGATAAGACGAATGACATCGTCCCGCCGCATATGCTCAGTGACCATCTCGTGAAGATTGGGAAGCACAAGGAGGCAGAGGAAACGGCGAGACTAGTGTGTGCATGGATGGATGCGCATCCGCGGCTAGGCAGGGATTCACCACAGGCAATCAGATTGCGGGGGATTATTGCCAGAGCAGTGTGGCTTCAGGGCGCATCGCGGCGGGTTGAGGCAGAGGCGTTGGTGGGCGAGATTCGAGGGGTTGTAGAGGGGATGGGGGAGGGGAGGTTTGCGGTTTATCAGGGGAGGAGAGGAGGCTGAATGAGAATATGATGGCTGAGATTGAGAAGCATACTTCTCAAACTACTTGAGGATGTTCGACAATTTGAAATTTTCTTTTCATCTATTTGTAAATTATTAACGACGCAACATCATCCCGCGATAGCTTTGGTGAGTCTGCAGATTATAATACTGTAGTATCGTGCTAATTATCAGGGAGTTGATTCCTGCATGGATCAATGCTGACCGTCGCTATAACGTTAGCAATTTATTAGCAGCTTCTACTCTATGACCGATCCGCTCAGCAATTCTGATAGATAACCTTGAGATCGAGAGCTCGTCGCAGTGCAATCCGCGGAATAAATGGATTGCTCGGAATAATGTTCGCCGCGAATCATGACCAGTCGATTATTCGATCCTGGAATAATTCACCGAACGGGATTGTTCTTCCTTTTTCTTCTGTCTTGTTGACTCGTACCTGCGTCATGTGTTGCCACAATGCAAATAGCTAGTAGTCATGGCGGCGTAATCAGACAGATCACTTCATCGCTAGTAGTATGTAGGTCAATAATTTGTGTATTTGTGTTGATCTGGCACTAATGCAGGCACTCTGTTTAGTGTTTGTGACTGATCGGCTGGCCTATTCCAGGCCGAAGCTCTGTCACGACTCAAAAGTCAAGGTTGATCGGAATGCCGAAAGCTTGAGGCAAATCTCGCCAATGTTGGTTTACCTGGCCAGTTTCCCTTGGTCAGGTCGTGTGAGATGGGTCGATCGATCCATGGGATTCACTCGAATAAGGTTTTGATCTGACTATTCCGTTGGACTGGTAAACATACAAAGAGCGACAAGCACTTGTTCAACGTAGAATCGTGCTATTGGCATAGTTTGACGAGGGCTGAACGATGCTCGGATCAAGTAAAGATTGGTGCACAACGCCGAATTCCTACGAGAAAGTACCGTTTCATGCCTCAGGCCGCAACTAGTCACATGACCTGCCTCGTCTACAATCAACATATTCACCTACAATTATTACTACTTCCTCCCTGCATGTCATTCTCACGTGTAAGTTAACACAAACCCCACCTGCAACAACCGCTACTACCACACGGCCGTCTCTGATCCGTAGCACTGATTGCAACGTTTTGTCGGTGTGAAGCCGAAGGCAGATTAGACTAGCTAGCGTCCCCCCTGTCGCCTCCATTCGCATTGCAGTGCCTGATAAGGTTGGCTCCACAGCATACATCCGCTCATTCGTGATGAATATGCTCCCGGCTGTTGAATTTGCTGGACTGACACTGACAGAATCAAGGTCCAAGACGGCCCATGTAGGTACGGCAGGGATATAAGATAGCGATGCACAGGACGGGACCAGGCAGGCTAATACTAGGGCGGCGTTTCATTGTTAAACAGGTTTCGTCAGCGCAGCAGAGAAAGGGAGGTGAAATCCAGTATAGTATTGGCAATAATCAATAATAGCAAACCACAATCCATGAGTAATAATCATAATATATACTGTACTGTTACTTAATCAGTAATGATAGTCATAGCCTGAATGAGAGTCAAGGCCAGTCTTTGACAAGCCACGCGCTGATTGGCCGGGCGGGAGAGTGGGTCTCGTCATACAATGGCAAGCGAGTAACAGGGCAGGAGCGTCCCCTGGCTGGGCTTCCCTTTGCGCCTTCCGTTTCCGTACCTGCCTGCCTGTCACGTCCGGAATAAACAGTAGACGACATCGACGGGCTGATCCTGCTTTGCATCATCTCTACTTCCTATTTTCTGCATCCCCATGTTTCTGTGCTATCCATGAATCCATGAATCCATGATTCCATGATCCATATTAATGCTCAGTCACTGCAAGGCTAGAACTGCCAGCTAGACCCCGATGACGCTAACGCACCTCTGCCGCCTTCCAATAGGACCACTCCTGCCAACGCAGCTTTGACACCGCGATCTGTCTCATCTGATTTGATTCCTGCTTCCTGGTCCCCTCGTCGTTGTCTTAACTTCGTCCACTATCGCAACCGCGTTACAGCTTCCCAGCGAGCTGCTCCAGTCGTCCCTGTTTCTGAACCTGCCACCCCCACCACCACCCTCCAGCCAGTCTCGTCCTCCCTAACCACGTCGCTCGTTAAAAGCTCGCCCATTCAACGGCTGGTCTGCCTTTGTCCAACGGCTGTTGTCACTGATTGCCCACCGCCCGCGCACCATCCTCGACAAAGGAGCAGCGACAAAGCCCAGCAGAACCATCTCTTGTCTGCCCGCTTGCCTAAACGGTAGTTCCAGCCACGCAAACCAGCCTCAAGGAAAAGGAAAAAGGGAAAATAGAACTGGCGACGAGAATAATAACAGGTATTAGGTGCGCCTTTCCATCTGCAGTTAAACGCTTCCTTTGGGCGTGCGCCTCTGACTGGCCGCCTCTGCAGAGCCACGGAGACAACTGCGACCCTCGACAAGCCCCCCGGAGACACATAATAATACCCCCATTCGACCTACGCTGCCCCCCAGTCACATTGGGACAATTCTGCAAAACACTTATCCCTGCAAATCATCAGACTAAATATACCCAAGGATCAAGGCGAGACGGCTAATTGCCGCCAACCCGGGCTGATCAAGGACATCTCTAGCGACAGTTCTGCCTGCTGGAGAGCTTCGATATGCCGCTGAACAGGGCCACCACCGAAATGTCTGACCTGTAGCTAGCCTGGTGTAATCTGCGACGCCGCGCTCACCACCTGTTTATACCTGGCCTTTAGCGAGTGTTGTTCGCACCCAACTAGGGGTTGGGACAACGCATCGACAGCCCAACTTAATCCGGCCCTGGTGGAACCTCTCCATTTCGCACGGTCACCCGAGCCATCTGAGTCCGCTTGCCGGCCTCGTTGTGCAAGATGCCTGACGGAGACGACGAACATGATGCCTTCTCCTCTGTTCAACCACATGTTCTCTCCCACAGACCGCTCCATCTACCCTCTTCCCGCCAGTCCCACGTCGCCCCTGGCTCTGATCAACCACCCCTCGATCGAACCGCGACACTGACTTGTTCATCTCCGCCCACCTCCTACTTACCAGCAACCACATACGTCCCCGAATTCCCCCAACACCTTCCTCTCCATTACTCGTCCAATGGTGCCGCAGGAAACAGTCGGTCAGAGCAAACGCCCTCTCCTGACCCGAGCGAATTCTATCGTCCATATGTCATCGAAGATGCGCCAAAGAGTGCTGGCCTAGGTATGCGACGAATATCGGACAGCAACCCGGGAATGATTTCAGTTACATCGACTCCTCAGAATCCTCCACTGACCTCGAGACATATCGATCCCCCCTTCTATACCCGCAGCCCAGCCGCCAATCCATACCAACTACGCTCCATCTCCGGCTCAAGTATATCGTCGGGAGAGAGTGCTTCTCGACTACAACCCGCCATACGAACAGGCGGACGAGGTCGACAGGCATCTTTTAAGGACCTAGTCGAGCGATTTAATCGTACTGTCGACGAAGTTCCCCCTGTACCCATTCGATCCCCTTCCGCGTTATCGTCTCGAACTGGAAGTCCGTCCCCAAATCCCAACCGTGGTCTTCGACAGCGGGACCTTTCGTTGACTCGACTTCCACGCACCTACCATACAGAGGAGTCTATATTAAACCCACCTCCCTCAGCCAACAACGAACATTCGCTCTATTCCGATCCAATAACGTCATCCGTTGGAGGTGCGGGAGCACGTCGACCACTCTTTGGAGAGCTTTTGACCATTAATACAGATATCAATAGCGCCGGTTATGGGATCGCGCCTCATATTCCTCGACGCAGAGGCTCTGAAAGCAGTATCCCTAGCCCAAACCCGCTCTTGCTTCAACGACGGCAAGGATTAGATCCGGTAGTGTCACCATCATCTCCAACGGCCTGGTATTTAGGCACCAACACGTCCTTGGAAACCGTGAATGCTTCACATTCCAACAATCAGAATCGCAATCACCGTCGTTCGAGGAGTGACGCCTCGTGGAGCGCGTCTAAACCTGTCGGTCCAAGCTCTTTAGGTACCGAGATGGCGGTCGCCTCCTTTCGAGACCCGACGCCTGTTTCCAGTCCGGTCACTCCACATTCCAAGTCGCGCATTCCCATCGCAGCCCGACGCATGAGCCACGACTCCGACTCAGGTGGTCATTCCTCCCCGTCGACCAGACCCGGCTCAGCTGTGGGCCACTATCACAGCACGAGTCCGCACCATGTCTCCCTTGCTCCAAAGGGCAGTAGCCGTCTTCCGAAACCCCTCAGTCCATCAATAACGCCAGTAACAAGCCCCGATAGAAAGAATCGGCCACCCACTACGATCAAATCCCCCAGTCGCCGAGACATAGCTTACAGTCATGGGGTTTCTACTCAAGTCACTGACAGGGGTTCCCTCAAGGTGTACGTTTCTGCGCCTCCGGCCAAGATGTCTCCTCCGCTGCGCAGTTCCCGACCCCGCAAACAAGTATCAACTGCCAGTACTGCAGCATCTCGTGCAAAAGTTGTAGACCGCGTTTCGCGCCTACAATCGTCTGAGGCGATGGACAATGATTCAAGAAATCCTCGGCCGAGAACCCGCAAACCCCCTGAGTTAGGTAACGTTGACTTTGCCGCTCGACGTCAAAGAATCCAACAAGCCTTCAATAAATCCGTGCAGGAGACTGTAAAGAAAGAGGAAGAGGCTGCCGAACGCCGGCGACTTGCACGGTACAGGAGAGATGAGGAGGTTCGATCAATGCTCATTCGCGAGGGAGAGCTGCGCAAAATGGCTTCCATGGAATCTCCTTTGACACCTGTTCAGCCGCCATTCGGCAACACAAACCGCTCTTTCCCTCAAGATACTCCAACAGACAACAAATCTGGTTCTTCTATGCTTTCCATCTCCACCCCGAACCTAAAAATTGACACTAGTGGCTCTTTTGCTCGTCAACCAGAAATGCCTCCAGCGGAGTCTCATCTTGATCTCGGCGATTCCCCTACTCTAGGTATTACAACGCCGACTGTAGAACCACTTCGACCTGATGATGGGATTTCTGATATTCCACCTTCATCAGCCATCACAACGGCGACTAATGGAAGTGATACCACACATTTTGACCTAGAACCTGAAGTGAATTCAGACCAACAAGAGTCGCATCGCAATATTCTCAATCGCATCATGCAGCTTCGAGAGTCAAGTTCAAGCAGCGAATGTGATGAGGATGAGGAAGATGACGAACCATGCGATAACGACGAAAAGGAATCTATACAGATTATGCTTGAGTCCAGCCGAGGTACATTTCTCTTGGACAGGCGAGATAGTGGGGATACCAATGCCACAGAAGATAGCAAAATCGAAGAAACCGATGCATCGACTCAAGACCAGGCTAATCGCTGGAGTATGGCATCATGGGCCTCCTCAGCTAGGGACCAGCAATCTCTTTCTGGCGGTCTGCAAGACGGAGATGCTAACGATGAAACGCTCAGCTCTATTGATGAGGGCAACCAACCATCGTCGCGGTGGAACGAATCTGTCAATATACTGTATCAACATCCGCCGAATGACTTCCTTCACAACAAACCCGTCATGGACTCCATGACTCATATGCCGCAGCAGTCACACCCAGATAGCTTAATTCGACAAGGCCGCTGGGATTCTAAGCGCGTTACACAACTTTACCTACAAGAACTTGTCCGTGGACGCTTCCGTCAATCTCTAGACAGACCTTGGGAAGTCATCCAGTCAGAGGAAGGCTCTGAAAGCCAGTCTAAAACGAACAGCCTCACCGATGAGCCAGTAGTGGTACCCCGAGCCCGGGATTCATCATCTCGGGATCTCTTTTCCCAGCGTGCTAGTTTGAGTTTGAGGGATGATTGGGAAAGCGCATCTCCATCTATTGCAGACTGGATGCAGGTAGCAGCTGGAGAAGAGCCACCGGCTCCACCGCCGAAGGGCGACCCTGGCACCAATGGCATTAATGCAATTGAGAAGAAAGGTTCTTCAGTGCCTATGCTTCCACATCCCCCGCAATCTAAGACTGAAGGGCCGTGGGATGGGCTCGGCCTTGCTATACATGTTCAATCTCCCATCGATAAGGTTGACGTTGTTCCTCCGCCGCCACAGCCTGATCACAGTCCTCCTCCAGTGCCTGATGATTCAGAACACCTTGACGCAAGTTATCCACAACCTACACCACAAACAGTATCGCCAAGCATCTATGATAGCCAGCCGCCATCCAGCGTTGTAGAAAGTGCTCCGTTTCCTACAGTGGAAGAAGGGCAGCCAATCCGACACAGCGAAGATTCTTATTTGACCCAGGGCGGATTTACGCCTTCACCTCCGACATTGGCCTCCTCAGCAACGTCCCAGTATCAAAACTCTTCTTCTCATTTAGCCTCGGAAGTCACCCAAACTGGGTCACCAACACCTGAACAAAAGAAGCTCAAACAGCGCCGTAATGTCATCAAGGAACTTGTCGATACCGAATATACTTACGGTCGTGACATGAAGGTGGTGGACGATATCTACAAAGGGACGTCCAGTTCATGCCTTGATCTCTCCGCGGACGATGTGCGAACACTCTTTGCGAATTCTGATCAAATTGTCCAGTTTTCTATGAACTTCCAGGATGCGCTGAAACAAGCTGCCAAGAGTGTCTATGTGATGCCAAAATCACAGCGATGGAGCAGCAAACGAGGCACTCGTAGTGGACGAGGCAGCCCTCCCGTTGAAGTTCAGAACTCTGTGGGAGATGCAACTAGCTCTGAGCAGGACCAACGCACTTTTATCGGCCATGTTTTCATGGAAAACATGGCTCAAATGGAGAAGGTTTATACAGATTACCTAAAGAACCACGAAGCAGCCAATAAAAAATTACAAATACTTCAGCGGAACCCGAAGGTAGAAATCTGGTTGAAAGAATGTCGTGACTGGGCAATGGATCTTACAGAAGCCTGGAATTTGGATGCATTGCTTGTGAAGCCAGTCCAGCGTCTCGTCAAGTATCCCCTCCTATTAACCCAACTGATCAATGCGACGCCCGAAAGCCATCCAGATTATCCAGCAGTAGCTAAAGCTCTAGAAGCTGTTACCAACATTTCGATTCGCATCAATGATCTCAAAAAGCGTGCCGATGTCGTCGGTCAGGTGGTCAGCAGTCGAAAACGCAAAGAGTCAGACGTGCGCTCAGGGTTAACCAAAGCTTTTGGCCGTCGTACTGAGAAGCTCAGACAACAAGTTGGTCTTTCGGAGATGTATGAAGATGCCGACTACAACGCGTTGTCGACACTGTTCAATGAGAATTTCTTCCAGCTTCAGGTTGTCATGCGTGACGTTGAAATGTATACTCGCGAGGTAAAGTCGGGCATGGATCAATTTAGCGAATACATCACTGCTGTCGAAGGCTGTATCGATGTTGCACAGTCCAATTACACGGAGCTTGAGAGTAAATGGCATCGGTTCCGTATGTATGTACGGGAGATCATGAATGTTGCTCTACCCGAACATGTCAGTCAACTTCTTTTATTTTTTCTTAACATGCAAACAATGAGCTAACCCGATTTAGATTACTGCCGTTCGCAAAGGAGTGATTGATCCGATGCTTACTCTTCTTAAGCTTTACGAAGGTCCGCAAAAGGTTATGACGAAGCGAACCAAACGATTGCTCGACTATGCCCGATTCAAAGCTATAAAGGACCGAGGCGACCGGCCTGATAAGAAAACCACGGAGCAGGGAGAACAGTTTTCAGTGTTGAACGATGCGTTGAAGGATGAGCTTCCGAAGCTTTTCAACCTTACGGTCAAGCTAATGGAAGCCTGTCTCAAGAAGTTTATTGCCATCCAACAGCAATGGTATCAAGTAATTCAACAGAAACTCAGCCCCGTTATCGACCGTTTCCCTGCTGAGATAGCCGGTATTGTCAACGATTGGTCTGCGGATTTTTCCTTCGCTGATGCACAGGTCATGGCTCTCGCGCTTTGCAATGGCGCATTGCTGTCTGAGGCTGGAAAATTGGTCAACTTTAATGCACCAACTGACGGGTCGTCTTCTCCTCGACGACCTTCGACCGTGACTAATGCTAGTGGTCGCACTACTTCAGTCACTTTTGATAGCTCTCCTAAAGTCTCTTATGACCACAGCGCCGGTACTCCTTCTATCTATCAGCAAGGTACTGATGGCCAGAGTGAATATCAAGTGAACACCTCGCGACCATATTGGGCTGCATCTAGCCGTGCTCGCACCAATTCATCTCTATCCGGGCCTTCTCGTCCTAACACTACGGAAATCCCCAACGGAAGCGCTATGTCAGAGGCACTAGCGAACGTAACGTCTCCACGGCCAAGCACTGGATCCGTCGGTCATTCAGCAGAGCCTTTCCCGTCTGTCCCACGGTTGAGTCTTGACATGCCGTTCATGCGGGAATCTCTTTTGCAGGAAACGAACTCGTTTGACCCGGAGACAACTGCTTCACCCGCACGTTTTTCAGGGTTCTTCTCGTCTGCCATGCCTATGCCAGACTCCCCTCGACAAGAAGCTTCTACGAGTTCAGGACCTTCGATAAACAACAATTTTAATCCCAAGGTCTTGTTTCTAGCGGCCAGTCTTTACGAGTTTAATATCGACAAGTCAAGACGTGAAGCGGGCTATCCATATCTTACCTATATCGAAGGCGAGGTCTTTGACGTGATTGCTGAGAAGGGTGAATTATGGCTTGCCAGAAATCAGGACGATCCGTCAGGCCAAGTCGGCTGGATCTGGACTCAACATTTTGCAAAGTTGCCCAGCTAGACTCGCTATTCTCGACTAGCTCTTCATTTCATACATATTCAGGAAGTTCTCGTCTATTAGCGCTTCCATGTCCTATCTACTGCGAATCGCGTTTTGCTAGGCAGTTCCATTTCGAGCATTTTCAGGCGCTTTGCGGTATCATAAGAGCGAGATTAATGACCTAACTAGTACCCTATTTACGACCCAGTTTCCTATCAGACTTTCTGTTTTGATCTGCTTTTCCTTTTCTTTTATTCTACATTGCTTTCCGGTCATTATTACAGGTCAGCGGTATTGTATCTTTACACTTCTTTGTCCGGTTCCCTGGCTTCAGTCTACAATTATTTCTAGACGTACCCCAAACACGGCATATACTTGGGAGGCGTTGGCTGTACAGGAAGGATCTGTGATTACTTCTATCATTGCTTTCTCTTCTTACAATACCATGCAGTCCGCGCTGAGTGCAGACTGCCTTTTACTGATTGTTGATACATTTATGCCGTTGTCTTGCCTTGAACTTTGATGTTCGTTCTAGACAGGCATTGAGCTATGTATTTATGTAGTGTAGATACCCCGAATATTACTTTTGCATATGAATTAGCCTACAATATAATATAGTATATTATCTTCGCTAGTATTTTCCTTCTACGGCTAACGGGAGTTAATATTGAGTGATGACGATGGCGCTTCAGCCACCGTTTATCCAGCCTATCCTGCCCTGATCAGCCACGCCGTCGATCAGCCACACGTGGTGACGTCGCGGGCGAAAGAGGTCAACCACCCAAAAGGAGCCGCCTCGCTCTTACATACAATTTACATCTATTCTTCTTCATTCCTAACATTATTTGATTGTTGAACACTGCACTCGCTCTACTCCCGATCAGCTGAGTTCTGCCCTCGTTGATCTGCACCGACTGCGACGTTCTTTTCGGTCGGGTGTACCCTGATTCGTCTACTAGCTTGCACTGACTCACTAGCAGTTGTATGACGTTGCTTATCAGACCCTAGACATCCCCTTCTTTCTCTGCATTTCACTCTACAGCGTATATATATCTACATACTCGGGTTCATTCTCTCACCGCACCGACCAAATATCCAGAGATTCCCCGTGTCCCGCGGTTCCTCCCATACTTCCGCATACTTCCGCATCACACCAAGGTTCTCACCCCGCGGTGCCAGCGCCGATCTCCAGGCTTAGTGCTTGCTCTGAGATCACCCACAGCAGGAATACATTGGTGTTGACTTTTTGCTGGGTTTGCTTTTAATAACTAGTGAGTCGGTGGGTGCATTGGTTTATAGACATTATAATGCTTGGGCACGGTGGCTGACGCTTGATGGTAATCACAGGGATAGCTGGATAAGGTTACCGGCACACCTCGGTTCAACATCCAGAGACGTCACACGGCGGACGTCATTGTAAGGACTCCAGAGCGCGATTTTCTTGTCGGCGACATAACACGAGGATTGCGATAAGATGCGCGAAGGTGGGCTTGGGAAATTGCATAAACGGATGATGGGGAAGTTTGGGGAGACGGTGTGTTGCCGAGACCGTAGCTCCCCTATCTGGACTCTGGTGTGCTGATTATGTGGTCGCAGTTACATCCTGATGATGCATATCTTAGTTGTAAGTATTAACGGTTGCATTCGTCTGTATGAGGTTCGCTGACCGTCTTGATGTTAGATTACGATATACGATGTACGTACTAAGCATACGCTGGTATTTCTTACTGACTCCTCCAGTGATGCGGGAGGATATTCAAACGTTAAAAAACGATTGGCTTACAGATAATGTATGAACATACTGGGCTTGTGAGGGTAGAATTATGCTAAAATGTACAGGTTATTTCGTTCTGGGAAGAGTGCGTAATGTATGAGTTGCTTGGTATTCTACCCTCCTAACAATTCCACCAGGTACCTTGAGCACGAATTCTTATCGAAATACGAACACTCAAACATCGTCCTCCTCCGCCCGAGCATGTCTTTCATGCTCCTACAAACCCCCGATCCCCGCACCCTCCGCGACGCACTCCCGAACTTCAGCAAAACCACACACGTCTTCCTCCCAATCAACGACTGCCGGAATGTCACCGAAGCCGAGGGCGGAACACACTGGTCGCTACTGCTCGTTTCGATCGTCGACTGCATTGCTTTCCACTACGATTCGCTCCCCCCAGGGAACAGGATGGAAGCTTATACGATCACGATGAAGCTGAGCTCTTTGTTGAACCGCGGAATCAGATTCGTGAATTTGGAGGACTCGCCGATGCAAGAGAATAGCAGCGACTGCGGCGTCTTTGTGTGCTTGAATATGCGGTATCTGCTGCTCGAGCGATTGCTGCGCGCGAATTCGCATCAAAAGGTCAGCATGAGCTTGGCCGGGAAGCGCGTTGACGCGTCGGCGGGACGGAGAGAAATGCTCAAGATTGTCGAAGGTTTTAGGAAGGAGGGTGTTCGAAGACGATCGTAAGGTTCCTTTCCCCTTTCTTTTCAGTGTTTACTAAATTTCGCAGGCATAGTTCTAGCCCATCTGACCGCCATTCCCGGAGTCCTCCACGAATCGATTAACTTTTCAACACTTGCGTTTGATTTTACTTTTATTTTACCATTATCAGCACAGCGTTCGGAATTTTGTTACTGGCGAAAAAAAGGAAAATCGATAAAACGGTTGGAGGATAAATACCATTGGATGTTGCTGGGAGTACATGAATCCTAGATGATAGGGGCTTTACGTAGCTGCTTTGGTTCGGGGTAGTCGAGATGTTTACTATATATGCGTAACGATAATGATATTGATGACGGCATAGATGCACTTTGACATGATATTCGATATACTGAACATATCTTTCTTTGTATTCTTGGGGCCAGACCCGATCACTCCCCCAACCACAAGATCCATATCTAAAATATCATCCTTGACTAGTTGACCTGGAGTTTCCTGGGCTGAACGGCCTGCGAAGGTATATCGATGAGCCATGGTTAGTCTCGTATCTTTCTTAGTGTGGAGAAGAGATTGGAGATACTCGAGGAACTATACTCAGCACACTTATCATGCGATGAGCTGGACAGCTGGTATGCTTCCACACCCCGGGCCCGCAGACTATTTTCAGTTCTACTTCTATTGCCTGCTTCGTCGGTAAGCAATCGTTCTTGTATTCGAGAGCCGAGCGATTGCATTCAGCTTGAGGTTCTTTCTTTTTGATTGTTGGTGAATCAACAGAATCAACGGCCTGCTTTGCGGGGGCAATCGAGGAAGGTGGCTATGAGCTTGGTTTATACCCATACTATGTGCATGTGAGTGATTGCCTGAGGTGACAATTCCATGTACGAACACGCCGTGAATCACCACTTGGTAAGAGGGGAGAAGACAGTAGCATATCTTTAAAAAAGTGTGAGAAGGGAAAAGTAAAGAGCTTGGAAAGAGGAGCGGCCAGATACTGAGCAACTAACGGTATAGACAAAGTAGTTGGAAGGTCTTGAGCTGGTTACGAGGAAGGGACGATGGCAGCACGGCCAGGAAGCCACTAAACTGGCGACAACGCTGCAAATAAGTGCGATCTAAGTTGATAATATCCTTACACTGTTATTACTCTAGTAGTCATTAGATGCTCGATGACTGCAGTCTTGGTTCAGCGATGCACAGGGCAACGCGACTCCAACACCAGGATCAACAATCACTATCCACGGACACCTACACAGATTGCCTTAGCATCAGGCTTCCATCTCGCATGTTCAGTACATCTAGCCCCAAGCTCTCATTGCGTCCTAAGGCACGTCATATGCATGTGCCGGCCCTAACCAGCTGGTCATCGCGTTTAGCAATGGCCCTCCTCATCCTGCCTCCAGTGGAATACCGACAGAACTTTCTTCAACATTTGAAGATCAGCTCTGGCTGGACTACCTGTCAATCGTGTGTATGGTGGACTTGCACGAGATGACGATCTTTGTCTGAAGATAAGTATGCGTCTATTACTTCAATACTGATAACTGATAATAGCCTACAATCATGAGAGCCTCGTCAACAGTATACCACCCCCCTCATCGTCTGTGATTAACCTCTGAGCCCGACTCCTGATGTCGAGTCGCCTAGAAGCAGCAAATGGTCAACTAGTATTCAGGGTCACTGTGTAATAATCTATCTTACGTTGTCATAACCGAGCCACTTTGTACTCACACGCACACGAATATTAGTCTGAGATGAGATTACCAGGGAGCTCACCAAGTGCTCTGAGATAGGATACAATGGATTGATTGATTCCGCACCATTTTATAATTTGATATTTTAAGATATCTTTCTTATTTTAGTTATATTTTATAATTACTTAAATCTCTTTAGAAACCTGAGTATATCGTTACTAGTTACTTTTAAGAAACGTCTATGTGATTCACATTATCGTATCATCCCTCGACACAGCCAGTGACAACTAGAGTGGGGGCTCACCAACGGCTGAAGTACCCCCCGCGAGCGGCCTCCGAATCAGGGGTATGCAAGTGAGCGGTGTCCGAGTGAGTTCAGCATATTACTTGCCCCCTCCACGCACAGCTGAGCTATTATCGTGAAATCTACTGGTTATCGATGTCAGCGTTTAGGTAACAACTTGTGCGGAGAAATAGTTCTACCAAGTGTATTTGCTCATTAAATGCGGTATGTAGCTGACGTTCTAAGTTACGGAAAATCAGAACCCAGTATTGCAGTGTCCAACTTCATTCCTGATGGCACATTGCGTTTTGTATATTTAGTAGAATTACCAATTATAGAAACAATGCTGATTCCAGCTCTTATACCATAGCACATGACTTACTCTTTTACTATTATCATGGTGATAAGTAGCTTTTATTGTCCATTGCCTTATGATCTCCTTTATCTGTTAATAGAATACCCTGAGTGACCTCCGATCTCAGAAGAATCGTTGACTACTTTTTGACAATACAATACTCTACAATCTTTAAATCACTATTGTAGATTTTCAAGTATAAATCAAAGTTACAGTATAGATGACACTTTTTGCTAAGTCTGGAAGCGTCCATCCACAGGCAATACACACCATAGATAGCCACGAGTGAGATCATGGGTGCCTGCCCCAAGTAATTTGTTATATAGAATCGAAAGATATATGTTTACCCCCTTACTACCTACAACACAGCCATGACGAGACAGAAAATGCTAATAGACAAATTTTACCAACACCTCGCAAGAATGGCCAATCACAACGAGCCACACAAACATCACCACTCCCTCCCAGGCTGCACCTTAACCGCCTAGATGCCTCCCCCAGCGACAGGCTCACCGCTCATAAGAGCGGCAAGCCGCACGAACTAGACCAGGACAGGCACCCACGATCTCCCCTGTGACTATCTATGTAACATTTGAAGCATCAATTAATATTCATATGTCTGCCATGGGTCTTGTACTGTACCACTATCGAGTCTTGACGGGTCAGGTGGAGTAATTATTGATCGACGATGATACGACGGTAAGCGCCTCCGCCCAAAAATTACGGCGGACTAAAATAACCGGAGCATTCCCGGCTCCGAGTCACAATTAGTTTATTGTAACGACATGTGTTGATATATTCCTGCGGTTCTGTACATCATTGTATATAAGCATGGTCTAGATGATGAAGGCCCAGAATATAGTAGCCAGCATAGTAGGTTCTTCATCACATCGCCCCAACCCACGACATCAGACTGAGCACTAGTAGTTTCACCGCCAAACAAGAGCCTTCTCGGCGCGCCAGAAGAGCATTGCAGCCGCATACTACCGCGGCGGTACATCACGAGCGCTGATCTTCCACAAAAAGGACCTACCTGCCAATCCAGCAGAATGGCGGGCGATCTTCCTCGGCACCATCGGCTCGCCTGATCCGCATGGCAGACAGCTCGATGGCATGGGCGGCGGCATCTCCAGTCTCTCGAAGATCTGCGTGGTCGGCGCGTCGGAGCGCCGCGATGTGGACATCGACTTCACCTTTGTGCAGGTGGGTGTGAAGGACGACCGCATCGACTATGCTGGCAACTGTGGGAATATGTCCAGCGCAATCGGCCCGTTTGCCGTGGACTCTGGCTTGATTCGTGGCATTACCGGCTCTGAAACCACGGTCAGCCTGTACAACACCAACACGAAGAAGATCATCCACGCCACCTTCCCTGTTGTCCCTGGTGGGGAGGAGGCAGTATATGACGGCGACTTTGCGATTGACGGGGTAGCTGGGACGGGCGCGAAGATCCAGCTCGACTTTATCGACCCGAGCGGATCGAAGACCGGCAAGTTGCTGCCGACAGGGAATGTGGTTGATCGGATCGAGGGGCTAGATGTAACGTGCATCGACGCAGGAAATCCGTGCGTGTTTGTCAAGGCGGATGATCTTGCGGTGGACGGGGCCTTGCTGCCTGAGGAGACCGAGCGACGGGGCGATCTGTTGGCACGGTTGGAGTCTCTTCGCGCCACGGCTGCCGTGGCTATGGGCATGGCGCCGACGGTGGACGAGGTGCCGCCGTCCATCCCCAAGATCTGCTTCGTGTCGACGCCGACGTCGCACGCGCTGGTGTCGGGCGAGCGTCTGGCAGGGGACTCGGTGGACGTGGTGGTCAGGGCCATCTCGACGGGGCAGCCGCACAAGGCGCTACCCATCACGTCGAGCCTATGTGTGTCGGCGGCGGCGCAACTGGACGGCTCTGTGGTGCAGCAGTGCCTGGGCAGGCCGACTGGCCCCAAGACCGAGCTGGTCGTGGGCCATCCCAGCGGCAGGCTCGTCGTCGGCGCGGTCTACGATGCGGCGGGCCAGCTGCGGTCGTCGACGGTGTTCCGCACGGCGCGGCGGCTGATGGAGGGCCGCGTCTACTGGAAGTAGAGTCTAGTTCTGTGATGTACCTGTCTGTAGCTGTCTATGTATCTGGAGTGCAATATACCTGCCTGTACGCCTCTGTCCGTGGCTGCCTGCGCCTACATGCCTGTCTCTGCTCCACCACAGACTCTGGATCGAACTCTGTTTGTATGCGTCTCGCGGCTGCCCTGGCGCACGCCCTGGCCTGGCCCTGGCCCCAGCGCTGCCCGTGCCATGGAAGCCTTTCTCTGTAATGACGTTGTCGCAGCGTATAAAAAGACGGCCTCCTGCTGTGCTCCCTCTGCTTCCCCCTCTCTCTTCTTTCTCCTTCACCCCTCCCGCTCCTCTGCTCCGCTCCTCTGCTCTGCTCTCTGCTCTCCTCCTCTGTTCTCATGGCTCGCTATCCCCTCATCCCCGGCATCCCCTTTGTCGCCTCTGGCGGTCTTATTGGTCTCACGCGTGCGTCTGCCTTTGTGACGATGCCGCGAGGACCTGTCCAGTTCCACAAGACCACAGTGTCTCGCCCTCCTCCTCCTCTTCCTCGTCCAGCTTCTCTCCTCCCTGCCATCCCCGGCGCTCCTCGTCGAGTTGCCTTTCGAGATGCCTGCGTCTCTGCCATCCCCTTCCCTGCCCTCGTCCGTCCTGCCCCCTGTCCCCCCTCTCCCCCTGCGTCTCCCCTCCGCTACACTGTCTGGTGCTCGCCCTCGGTCTCCAAGACTGGTGTTCGTCGCGCCTTCATTAACCGTCGGCTTCCCCCCTTTTCCCCTCCCCCATCCCGTATTCCCCTTCCCCTTCCCCGTCCCCAGCGTCTCCTGCCTGCTGCCCCGCGCAAGTACGGATTTGTTGCTTCCCCTATCCCCTCCTTTGACGCAGCGCTCGCTGAGCCCGCGCTGCCTTCCCCATGCAAGCGTTCCGTTCCCCCGACACGAGCAGTAGGCATACCTGCTACCTGTAGGAAAGTCCACTTTGCTCAAGACGCGTCCCCTGCCACCTTGGCGCGTGGTGATGACGCTCGCCGTAGTGCCAGCTCCCTTCGAAGCATCCTTGTACGGTCCCGGCCAGACAAGGTCAGAGCGAAGAAGAGTGTTAGGTTCGGTGATGCCGTCTCCCACGATGTCGACTACTGGATCGACCGCAAAAAGCACGTCTTCAATGACGGCGGCTTGTGGATGATGGGTAGGCTACAAGGCTGGCGGGTTACCCCCCTGGACACCCCCGATGCTGACGGAGAGACCGAGAAGTACATGACCATGTGGGGACATGATCATAGCTCTTTGCATTACCATACAAAGATGCCGCCCTGCAAGCATGGCTGCTCCTGGGGGAGCATTGTGAAGCTTGCAAGTGCCTACCATCTGAGTGGAGTTTACTTGTGGAATGATCACGACGTGCTACTACGCGCCTGGAGCGAGACCCGTGAGTGGAAACGCGAACGTGGTTGGTGGTGTCTCTGATCCGCTTCTGTACTTGTATCTTCTTTCGATGGGTTTGAGATCCTCACCGCTGGTTTTCTCGTCTCTATTGAAGTTCCCTTCCTCCTTCCCCGTTCTTTGCTTCTGCTTTTGCTTCTGCTTCTGCTTCTGCTTTTGCTTCTGCTTCTGCTTCTGCTTCTGCTTCTGCTTCTGCTTCTGCTTCTGCTTCTGCTTCTGCTTCTGCTTCTGCTTCTTGCTTTTCTGCATTGCTTTGCTCTCCCTGAAAACCATAAAACACCAAAAAAACTTGAAAACACAAAACAATCACCAAAAAATTGCTTGCTGTTCTGCTTTTGCCCTGATTTTGTTTTGCTTTTGCTCTGCTTGTCCTGCTTGTTTCGTTTGTTTCGTTTGTTGGGAACTTCGCTTCCCCTACCCTACCTGTGTGCCCATCTTCCCTTTCCTACGCTCGTGCTTCGTATATTATGCCCATCTGCCCACTGCTTTTCTTCCCCGTCACCTCGTGCGACCGCATGCTTATCCATTACATTGCTTATTTGTTATTACTTCTGCTTTCCGCGCTGCTTTCTCCCCTGCCCACCCATCTGCCCATCCCCCCCTTCCCTCCGCTCGCGTTCTATATCTTATACCCATCGAATCTGCCCATCTTGCTACTTTTCCCCGTCGCTCTTGCATCGTAAACTTATACCACTGTTTTGCTATTGTCGTGCGCTCTTTTCTTGTTTCCTTTGTTTTTCCTTGCTGCCATCTATCTCAGATCTCTATTATTTCATCAAGACTTTCGTATACCGAGGGTCTTGGAGAAGTGATAGCTCTGCTCAGCCCTGCCCCCTATTCTGTGTCCGTTTCTTCTTCACATCTTATTTTCCTCTCGTCTTGTACCATATCTTTAAACGGTACGCTCCTCTTCCGCGACCATCCCAGCCCCATTTACTAACCGTCAGCTACCACACCTTACACCCCTTTCCAAACCACTTACTCGCACTCTTTCTCTTTTTTTTTTGACAATGGTAAACTGTCTCCATTTCCTAACAAGCGAATATTCACTAACCGCCGACGGCCTTTTAGTAGTCTCCAACCCGAAGTCGCTTACAATAGATGAAACGAAGTGAGGATCGGTGTTATGGTGGTGTACTGTATTACGCGGAGAGGCGCGGCTTATGTATCTAATACCTGCTCCTTCATCTAAATGTATACACATTTGATCGATCGAACTATCCACAACCTGTGATCTAATAAGACTTTGACGTTGCTGGTGCAAAATTGGTATATGTATTTCCGGCAAAGTCTTCCCACGGTTGGTAGTAGGAGTTAGTAGTCACCGGGGGCTGTTAGAGGTAGGGGTAAAGCAGTCGGCTGCAGTTTACGCAATCTGATAAGACCGGGTGCTATTCGCTCCAACAGCTCCAGCCAAACCTCCTTTGTTACATTTAAACTCCTTTTCGGTTCATTACCGAGTCATTTCGAGGAGTACTACATTTTTCTACCATGTTCCCATCCGCAATAAATGATTGAATATGTATTCTATAAGCATCATGAAGCCCGATATCTGATATAGATATCAATAGCGACTTGATAGCTGATGAATTATACGAACGAACGAAAAGAATTAAAATAAATAATAACACGCCGGTAAACCAATAACCAGATACCTAAAGGCCAAAGACCGTTCGCCACACAGTTTGCAAGTCAGAGATAAATGATGAGTCCATGTCCTTCCTTCTATATGTTGTGCGATCCATATGATATGAAATAATGATGGAAAAAAAACCGGTCCGAAATAAAATGATGCAAATGATGCAGGAGTTCAAGGAGGAGTGCGCATCGGTCCATATTCAGATCCTTCGCGATGGTGGCCGTGGTAATGGCGCTGATCGCGACTCGCGTGTTCCATTGATATTGGCTGGCTTATGCTCGCTGCTGCCAATGCTGCTTGTTGCTGCTGCTGGGCAACAACTTCGCGCGCGTAGAATTCGACGAGCATCGTCCCGTATGCGTCAAGTTCTTCAACCGTGATGGATAATCGGAAGTCGTTGAGCAGGAGGAATTGCAACTCTAAATGATTTAATTCCACTAGTGGAAGACCGCCGACCTAGTAACATCTAACATTAGCTAAACCATCGAACTGAGGAGAAATAGAATACCTTTGCATAGCGCGAGTTGGTGTAGAAAACGTCGGAAAAGAATTTACTCGCACAGGTGACTCCGGCGATGACTAGCCGGTGGATATTAAAACTATCAACGATGAAAAAGTTGGCAAAGTGGTCTTCATCGTCGTCGTCCAGTTGTAAGGAGGATGTGATGGATGATTCTGGGGACTTTGGTTCCTGCGCTGCTATTCCGCTCGACGACGGAGGTGTGACAACCGTAATGTGAGAATGCTGAGCTGTCCCTGACCGCGAGCGAGAGCGTGCGTCAAGCGACATTGCTGAAGCCGAGTCTATTCGATTCCGTCTGCGCTGGATAGGCCGCCGATTGACCATTTCCGTCATGCGGTCAAAGTAGACTAGTAAGCTTAGAAACACTTCGTATGTGGTTGGACAATACTTGTGAATGCGAGTGAGATAGCTGAGAATGGTAATTGATGGTACGTTCTTCCCGTGGAAGGCCAGGACGCTGCTGGCTTGTGCGCTTAGGTTCGTTGTACCCTCTAGTGGAGGAATGTGTCGATGGATATGTTCATGCTGCAGGTCATTGGTGGCCGTAATCTTGGTCAACAAGCCGGCCACCATTTCAATAATATCCGTGACCGGCATCGAGCTGATTTCGTATTGGCGAGGGACATCTGTTGTTTCCCTTCCGGGCTGTCTCGCGCGTTGAGACTGTGCTAGGAATTCTTCGCTGGCGAAGCTTTGTATATGTGAAAGATCACGCACTTTAATACGGCTCGGTGACGTTGCCACTGAGCTTCCCAGGGACTTGGTAGATGAGATCGTGGGTTGGAGACGTGGAGACGATGGGGATGGAATGTGGAAGCCTGCTGAATGGCCCATCGGCACATTTCCTTGTTGTAGGTCTGAGGGACGATAAGGAGAATTCGCGTCAGCGGTTTGAGAGGAGGGCATTCGGTGAGAGCTCGTCATTGCGTCGGAGCTGGTGCTCGAAAACGGTGAGGAGTGATCGGTATTAATCTGATTAGGGTGTGGTTGCACATATGCTGGTACATCATGCGGGGACGAGTAGGAGGGGGTGTGGGTATGGGCCGAAAGAGAGGGCGTAATCGTAGACGAGATCGGCGTAGACGTTGTTCTGGAGCTATCGGAGCTACCAAGGCTATAGTTATGCTGAGCAGAGGCTGAGCGAAGAGAGGAGTCTGGGTTTGTGACGCGATTAACAACGCCTCCTAGCATCGTGTGTTTGAATGGAGGGCAGTAGGCTTGATGATGCGGCGCGGCTACAGAGCTGATATGCGCCATGCCAATGTCAGTCTTCCAATACGCAGATTCAACAAGAACAATCCATGCGCTGGGTGCTGGCCAAGGCGATGCGGGGCAGGCAGGCTCAGAGGGGAAGAGATAGGGAGTGGGGAGATGACGCAGCGATGGCAAGGCAAAAAGGAGCGCCGATGACCCGGTCAGGCAGACCAGACTAGCGCCATGATGCTGCAGCTACAAGAAGTTGAGGAGGGGTTTTTGGAGGGAGTTATGGCAGAGAGCAAGCAAGCAAACAAGGAGAGCAGAGCAGTTGGAGGTGGTTGCCAGATAGGGAGTAGAGACTTACCCAGTCGGGCTTGGAGGAGGGGGCGGCAAATGTCAAAGTGGCAGCGGGCCAAGCCAAAACCCACAGCGCTGGGATTGCCAGCTATTATTATCGACGTTGATTCACGTCGCACTCACAAGCCTACCTCGACGCAACCCGGTGCATTGTCGGGAGGGAGATCAGTCTTGCTCGTAGTCTCTCGCTCCTCCCCTGGCGATCAGTCCAGCGATAGTCGAAAGTCAATCAGGCCGCGTTCACGCCCAACGACGCCACGAAGCACGGGGGCAGGGATAGGACAATGATTGACGATCACGCCGCAGACCGAAACCGCCCGGCGATGTCGATGCAGGCGCAGCAATTAGATCGAGATGCGAAACTGCTAGGTGTTAGATGTCGTCATAGAATGCTCGCTCGACTCCTGCACGTAGCAGCTCACCGGTAGTCCGCTTCTCTCAACCAGACCCAGCTGGCTTTCGATGGAAGGTATCGTGTATAATTCTAATGGGGGAATCGTATAGAGTGCCTGGTCGGTTGATGCGGAAATGCAATGCTTGAAACTCGCCTAGAATTGAAGAGCAGCTGAAGAAAGCGGTGAACTGGACTGGACTGAATCGAATTGAGTGCGACGAATCGAGCAGATCCCGCGACTTATCAGGATCGCGCCGGATCTTCCTCGTGGCTGGCAGGCGGGACGGCACAAGAGAGAAGACACATTAATTAGGGGACATAAAGAGAGAGAGAGAGGGAGGAGACAGAGATATCAAGAGAGAAAAGAAAAAAGCGATCAAGATAGCAGCATGAAGCAGGCCTAGGCTCTGGCAGCAGCTGGCGACTGCTGTTCTGGCAGGAGCAGCCGGGCCTGGCGAATGACACTGCGCCGCCCGAGCAGGTGGTGGGCTCCATCGTCCTGATTCCGCGCGGGGACGGCCAATCATCTTGTACCTACAGCCAGCACTAATCGTGTATTTATATTCTTTCTATATTCTATATCCTACATAGAATATATACTATATATAAGAATATGTTAATATTGTATAGCTTAGTTTAGACATGCTCACGGATACGACAATCTCTTTTATTAACTCCACTTATCAGTGCTGCAATGATGAACAACCCTATCTCGCCGCCCCAGGTCCGCTATACCCATTGTCCGGCAGATACAAGTGTCGTACTGCGCCCTTGGCTGTCAGCACCACCAGTCGGATCACACCGCCAGAGCTGCCATCCCATTTGATCGCCTCGCCCAGCGCGCTCTTGACAAAGCTGACGCCCTCCTCCTCGGTCATGCCCTCCTTCCAGTTGGCATCGCAGTATCCATAAATGTACGTAGACCCAGACCCGCCAATTGCATACGCTTGCTTGTGGAGAGATCCGCCGAGAGGAATCGAGTATACCTGCCCGCCATGTCGCCGGTCGTAGCCAGCAATGATGATACCCGCACTATCTCATTCCTCACATTAGCTCTGCCTGACCCGAAGGATACCATGAACCCACCTAAGCATGTCTTTGTTCTCATAGCATAGTTCCTGAAACAGGGCAGCCGCGGTCTGGGTGCTGGGAGCCTCTTCATTGGCAATGCCGTACATATTGAGGTGGTAGGAGACGATGTCAGCCACCGCCTGCGTGTCGGCCGCTGACCCGGATCGACAGCACCAGATCGTGTCGTGCACTTGTGTCAGCTTGTCTGTGACTCGATTCGCAATGTATGCACCGGTCGTCGTCCGGCTGTCGGCTCCGAGGATAACGCCGTCTTTGAAGTTGATCGCCATGCTGCTTCTGTCAATTCACGAATGCCAACCGCTTTGGTGTGCTTACATCGAGGTACCCAGGCTAGCAGAAGTCAGTTATATTCAAGTAAAATAGCTATGGAGGGAGAACGCACTTTACTTCGCCCTTCTTCAAATGGTTCATGTCAACGTGGATGCCATCTAGAACAAACGCATTAGCTCCATTCGATACTAGCATGAGCATCGGAACAGCATACCCTCGCCCAACGAACCCGCTGTGTTTGAGATCATCGTGATCTCGCTCTGTATGTAGTATTTTGCGTCTGGATAAGCTGTTGTACAAGGCACAAGTCGGCGGTGGTTGCGTAGCAGGATTGGATTGAGGATGGGAAGTCGAGCTGGTGACGAACTGAGGCAGACAACTAACGCGTAGCTCCGAGGCGGTCAGGTAGCTGGAGCTTGTGATTGGGCCTGCGGTTGGGCGTGCGCTTATCGTCCCAGCGTCCCCTTTTAGCTTGGACGGTAGCCTTGTCGTACAGTTGTCCTGCTGTTCGGTGCATATTGTGATACTCATCTTTATGCCCTCGCTGCGAGAATCCGTTCCTGTCTGCCATTGACTGGTTTGCATCGCTCGCTTCATCTCTGGAGGAAATATCTGCGCCCCTGTGTGTGCCTTGACAATCCTGGGGGAACCAACATTGCGCATGCGACACCCCGCAATGCTACGCGCCTGACCACGACCGCTATCTGCAGTGCCTCCAGCTTCTGAAGAAGTAAATCCAACTATTCTCTATCCACTATGTCTGAATCTCCGCCACCATCGCCTCAATGGAGCATCACAACGATGGCCGGGAACGCTATCCAGTTCCTGCGCCTTCCCGTCCTCGCGTCCTCCGGTCTTGCAGTGATCGCTAGCAGTCTGCTATATTTCAAACAAAAGTATGCCTATTCTTCAACTACAGAGTTGCTTCCAAGTACTGATTATATCACGCAGTGAATTGATCTATCCACGAACTGTCCCCGTCGATGCTCGCACCAACGTCCCCAAGCCATCTGCATTCGATATCTCCGATTACGAGGATCTCCAGATCCCTACTCCCGACGGCGAGTCCTTGCATGCGCTCTTCATCCGTCCATCCCGGAAAGAGCGGAGCCAAAATGTGACTATACTAATGTTCCATGGGAACGCCGGAAATATCGGGCATCGAATTCCCATCGCCAAAGTTCTGACGCGCACATTGAACTGCAATGTGTTCATGCTGGAGTATCGGGGCTACGGGCTGTCGACTGGAACTCCAGATGAGAAGGGCCTCAATACCGATGCACAGACCGCGCTCGATTATCTACGCCATCGAGCCGAGACGAGAGATACGAAGATTGTAGTGTACGGACAGAGTCTAGGCGGTGCTGTGGCGATTAATCTTGTTGCAAAGAACCAACAGAAGGGAGTGATTGCCGGACTCATTTTAGAGAACACTTTTCTTTGCATTCGCAAACTCATTCCTTCGTAAGTAACCCTCTCTTTACTTTCTGGCTTCTTCGAAACTGACAAGGTTAGTGTGTTCCCGCCTGCCCGCTATCTTGCACGCCTTTGTCACCAATACTGGGGCAGCGAGGATGTGCTACCCAAAATCGAAAAGATCCCGATCCTTTTCCTCTCTGGACTCAAGGATGAACTGGTTCCGTAAGTGATCCCTCTGTCTTGGTTTATATATGCTCATCTGAGAAAACCATAGCCCCGCACATATGTCGCAACTATACGCAGTGTGCAAATCGTCTACAAAAATTTGGCGCGAGCTGCCCAATGGCGGCCACAACGACAGTGTCGCCGAGCCGAATTATTTTGATTACGTCAAATCCTTCGTGATTGACGAGGTTCTTGACTAGGCTAGATTCACTGATTTTTATATACCTACACCTACCTATACATAAGAGATACCCCTTCAAGACCCTGCGAAAGACAAACTATCGAGACCAAGTTTTGGGATGTCTGATCTTCTCTAGGGGCTCGACTTCATTCATTCCATATCATTTCATTGGAATTACTTTTTATACTTTCTTCGTGTTTATGTACATATTGATATGGTCGTTAATGAGATTTGATGTTTTTATTATTCGTAACTGACTTTGGTATACATGATATAATATAATTCAACTATTCTACAAGAACCACATCACCATCTTACAAGCCCTCGAACCGAGCCAGCTTCTACGAGATCTTCTCCGTCTCATCAACCAGATCCTCCACCTTGAACCCTTCTACATCCCCTCGCGTAAACATCCGCAATAGCTCGCCCTTCCGCCCACTTCCCTCGCCGTCATAGTCATAAAACCGCTGCACACAGCTCACCAGCCAACTAGCCTCCGACACTGACACCCCCGAGTCCGGCATCACCTGTCCATGCATCAGCACAAGACCCTTATCATCCGCGAGATCCAGATGATGCGTAATAGTCGTATGTGGTTGCGCATAGGAACCGTGCAGTTTGTACGAGGCTAGCTGCGTGAAAACGATCGTCGAGGCATGCGTATTCACCGTGTTCGACGATGACGAAGTTGAAGACGGCTGAGGTGATGCAGGCGGGTGGAAGGCCCATTGCAAAAAGTGAATATCTGCGCCGCCCTCAACCGCAGCCGACTCTTCTGCGGTCTGTTGGCCCTCGGTAGATGAGGCGGGCGCTTGGCGGGGGAGAGGAAGGATGAACTGCGGGTTTGAGCGGGCGACGTTGGCCATGCGCTGGTAGGTATCGAGGGGCACGACGGCGCAGATGGAGTGCGGGTTGTGAGCGTGGCGGAGACGCCAGAGGGTTTCAATTTCTTTGGCGGGGAGGGCGAGGATTTTGTCGATGTTGAGGATCGAACTTAGTGGTTTTATGCCGGGGGGTCCAGAGGCTGCTTTTGCGGCGGCCGCAATTGGTGAGGGTGGCGATTGTTGTGATACAGGCGAAGGAGAGGGGGGAATGGATGTCTTGCTGGACAAATTTGGTACTGGTTCAGGCGTGACAACAGTCGCGGCGCTGCTGCGATGCTTTGAGATTTTTTCCTTGTAAGCTTCTTTCAGCGATTCTATAGATTCGTGTCCTTCTCTACACAAAATAGCGTTAGTCGTTTAATCCACCAGTTCCAGTTAGCCAGGTCAAGTTCCCAGCTAGTCAGGTCAAGTGCTTGGGGCCGCTCACTCCTTTGCTTTCTGCTTCAGTTTATCCTGGTACTTCTCCAAGATCTGCTGGGGGTCGCGATGCGTCGCTAAAAAGCGCACGTCGTGGACCTGCGCCCATCGCCGCTGTTGTTGGGGCTGCAGGTGTCTGGAATTGGTTCGTAAGAGTGTATGAAGTCTGGGTAATCGGAGGGCCATGGTGGGAGTTGAATTGATTGTGTAAAGAGAAAAGTCGAGGGTTGAAGATGGCGAGAACGGTTAGACTGATGCCAAGCCAGCCACTGTCAATTCCGCCGCCTCCCCGAACTGCCGACATTAGCAGCAGCCTTCTTCAATAGCTAATTACATATATAGTGCTAGAATATGAAATATCTTGGTGATATCCCTAAAAACTCTTGGTGAGCCTACATCAATTGATATGCCATGTCAAAACATTGCCCTCGCGTTATTTACTGGATCGAGATGGAGGACCCTGCTTATTCCACATGGATGAGTTGGAGGCGATTGCGAATGCAGTTTTAATTATACATTGGAAATGTTACTTTATCATTCCTAAGGGGCTAGCAGCTTTATTATGTATACCGTTTGGTTGGGATCATACAGACCGGCCACAATGCTGATGCTGAATCGCCCACTAGCAGCGGCTGAAACTGGCCAGATGTTTCCCAGAGACATGCTTATTTTGGAGGAGGGTGGGCTCCTCAATCTCGTCCCCGAGACTAAGACCAGTCTGATGTTGAGCATTGAACCCCCAGCTGTAAGCTTTTCCATCCTTGGTAATAGCAATAGAGTGATCCATCCCTGCAGTCGCAAAAACAATTTCGTCATCAATGCCGGCTATGGGAGTTGCAGCTTTAAGAATTAGTGGTTTTCCATAGGTGTCATATATGATGTCAGATGATGGAATTTTCTTGCTAAGAATACCGAGGGCTTTGTTATCAATGCGTCCCAAAGTAAGACATTGGCCCTGGTCGGTCAACGCCAAACTGTGGTCTTTCCCACCAAATACGGTGGTAATACTCCATTGTTTCCCCAGAGTTTGAACTTCAGTGGGGTAAAGGACCCCAGCATCACTCTGCCCAGCTCCTTTGAAAATTCCAGTTTGCCCGAAATTATTTGATCCCCAAGCATATACTTTGCCATTTTTTCGGATTGCAAATGAATGATAAAGTCCGGCGCCAATATCAATAATATCATGAGAAAGAGCACATTGCCCAGGAGTAAGCCATGGGGCTTTGTGTAAGCGATTGGTGATACGCCTGCCCAGCTGGCCCTGCTCCTCACAGCCCCAGGTGAAAACGGTTCTATTTTATGTCAGCGCGAGAACAGGCTGCGCTCCAGCAGCGAGTTTTATAACAGTCAAATTGATTGTTGCTGCTATCCAGATACGGTAACACCTGCCTGGGATCAGCCCAGACAGGCAAAGTGTTGCTGCCTGAGGCATAAATCACGTGCCCACTTCTTGGTTGAAATTCCGGGCTGAGACTATCAATGTGACATCAGATCGACTTGTGCGACAGGTTTCGGCAAAATTACCGTAGAAGAAAGTGAACTCTTCTGCTTTACTTAAGTTAATATCCCGACACGGTATCATAGTCTGAAACGAAGTGATTCAGGAACGGACCGTGTCCGTTCCAAATGCGGAAACACCAAACTAGAGATATGAGGCTGCCCCCGCAACTCCGCCGAGACCCTCCTTCTCCATCCGCACCGCTTCGACGATAGGCTGATGGCGTGTATCTCTAGCACAGACATCCCACTGTCTTTAATTTGATTCCTGGACACGTTCCCTGCGTCTCCACATTAGCTTCGGACGGAATTCCGCAAGCCTAGGAACGCATGAACTATTCGTATAAAGAGCCCTATTTATCCTCCAAATGTTGTTGAGAGTTTTAGAACTTGAAAAAAGAAATTACACCGACTCACATCTAGAGAGGTTAACAAGAGTCTGTACTGTAGGTACATTTCAAGAATATGACCTTGTTTTCCAAGCAATCACTGTCTTCCAACTGGGAATTCAGGCAAGCCGATGATTCGGCTTCAAATGACTGGCTCCCGGTCCCGTCAATACCGTCGGTCGTGCATCAAGATCTCATAGCGAATGGCAGGTTCGTTCAGATTATGTGAAAAGATGCATTTGTGCGCTATAGAAATGCTAATTGTAATAGATTATCGGACCCTTTCATCGGCTTCAATGAGCTACATGCAGAGTGGGTTGGCGAGAAAGCATGGATCTATAAAACCGTCATACAAACACCAGAAACCCCAGCTGGTGCCAAGGCCTATCTTGTTTTTGATGGCCTCGATACTTTTGCTACTGTCCATCTCAATGGCAAGGTGATATTGGAGAGCGACAACATGTTTCTATCCCACCGGATAGATGTGACGAATAATCTTCTTGAGGCCGGGACACAGGAGCATAGTCTTGAAATTCATTTTGACTCTGCCTTGCTCAGAGCACGGGAAATTCAAAAGCACTATCCAAACCACAAGTGGGTTGGTTTTAATGGCGAGATGGCTAGACTGGGCGTCAGGAAATCGCAGTATCATTGGGGATGGGATTGGGGCCCAGTTCTCATGACAGCGGGAATTTGGAAGGATGTGCGTCTGGAGGTTTATAGTACGAGAGTAGCTGACCTTTGGACCGAACTTGAATTGTCACACGATCACCAACTTGCGCGAATCAAAACCTATGCAAAGATCGAGTCGAGCAACGCATTGAATGGCCATATATCAGTCTTTGGTCTCTCTCTAGACGGCAATGAAATTGACCAGCAAAGTGCTCCCATCGGCTCTGACGGATCTGTTGCAGTGACATTCAAAGTGAAACAGCCAAAGCTCTGGTGGCCAAATGGCTACGGCGAGCAGACTCTATATCAGCTATCAGTCAAAGTGGTTGAAAATGGCACCGAAATACATCAATTATCAAAGAAAATTGGAATACGTACTGCAGAAGTCATTCAACAGCCCGACAAACATGGAAAATCATTTTTCTTTCGAATCAATGGTGTTGACGTTTTCTGCGGCGGTTCCTGCTGGATCCCAGCAGATAACTTTTTGACTCGTATCAGTGCAGAAAAGTACCGGAACTGGATTAAGCTGATGGTTGCAGGAAATCAAGTTATGATCCGGTATGAATAATCCCCCTTTTTTTAACGATAAGAATTCCTGACTTATATTAGTGTCTGGGGTGGTGGTATCTATGAGCATGATGCGTTTTATGATGCATGCGATGACTTAGGCGTCCTGGTCTGGCAGGACTTCATGTTTGGCTGTGGTAACTATCCGGCTTGGCCAGCTATGTTAGAGTCTATCAAACAAGAAGCAATCGATAATGTCAAACGACTCCGACATCACCCGTCCATTGCACTCTATGCTGGGAACAACGAGGACTATCAAGTCCAGGAACAATCGGGACTAACATACAACTACGAGGACAAGAACCGGGAGCATTGGCTAAAGACTGACTTTCCGGCACGCTATATCTATGAGCATATCCTGCCGTCCATTGTGAGGGAGTATTCGCCCAGCGTCTTTTACCACCCCGGAAGCCCGTGGGGAGATGGAAAGATCACCTCTGATCCAACAGTTGGCGATCTGCACCAGTGGAATGGTAAGAAAAACCTTGCTGTCTTGGCTTCAATTAAATCAACCCTGGCTAATGAAACTACTAGTATGGCATGGCACACAAGAAAAATACCAGATTTTTGGATCGATTGGAGGTCGATTTAACAGTGAATTTGGCATGGAGGCCTTCCCACATCTTGAAACAATCGAACATTTTGTTGAGGATAAGAAAGACTTGTTCCCGCAATCTCACGTTATAGACTTTCACAACAAAGCAGACGGCCACGAACGCCGTATAGCTACTTATCTCGTCGAAAATTTGAGGACAGCGACCGATTTGGAGGTAAGCATGGTGCATTATCTCTCACTACTCTACTGAATTATTTACAGACCTACATCTACTTAACACAAGTCGTCCAAGAAGAGACTATGATGTTTGGCTACCGGACCTGGCGACGCCAATTTGGGGATGAACGTCACTGCGGTGGTGCCTTGCTCTGGCAACTGGACGACTGCTGGCCTACAATCTCGTGGGCAATCGTCGATTATTTCCTTCGACCAAAGCCAGCGTATTACGCCATGGCGCGCATTCTTGCTCCAGTCGCCGTCGGTGTCCAGCGGGAACATCACGACTGGAGTATATCGCACGCGCGTCCCGCCAAGAAAAGCAAGTTCGAGTTATGGGCAGTAAGCAGTTTACAGAAAGAGGCTGTGGCTTTGATTGAGCTTCGGTTTATTTCGGTTGATACCGGCCTGGAAGTTCGTGAGCGTATCGTGCACGACAACGTTCGTCTCGTTCCGAACGGGACAACAAATCTCATTCTTGACGGCGTTATCGACCATGCCGCCTACCCCGAGCCTCATATCCTTGCCACGCGCATGTGGATCGATGGAAAGCTCGTGGCGCGGGATGTCGACTGGCCGCAGCCATTCAAATACCTAGACTTCAGTGATCGAGGACTCGAAGTGAGAGAGAAGGAGGGAGCCGCGGCTGACGAGAAAGTGCTAGGAATAAGCGCTCGTAAGCCAGTGAAGTGCCTGGTTTTTGAGGAGCGAGAAGGCGTCACTGTCAGTGATAGCGCGTTGGATATTATCCCTGGAGATGACCAGACCGTGAAGGTCAGTGGATTGAAAGCAGGCGATAAGTCATTGAGATACAAGTACCTTGGACAGTAAATTGTGCGGTGATACGAAACAAGCCATGGTTATGATTGTGATATCTTGGAATTTAGTTTACATGTAGTGTAGACAACTGTCAAGGGTCTGATGAGCATTCACTTACCGACTACTTCAAGTATGCAACACAGAATAATAGTCCAAAACATCCAAAACACTTGGATGTGATCAAGATAGTCCACAGCACTAGTAATCTACAATGCTACGGTATGATCAATCCCCGCATCGTATTGGGATATATCAACAGACTCTGTATAGTGCAATGCCATAAGTAGTACAACATCAGAATCCCACCGATCTTTCTTCGCTTCTTCATATCACATATGCAAGCCAACTGTGATAGACCGTTGGGTTGTTCGGAGAAAATAGCCAATCCGGAGCCGCCAGCCTATCCAGACACAGTTGACCAGTTGGCGATAGGATCGACGGTGTTAGTGATTTGAAAAGGAGTGGCTGAACCACTAGACTGAAAGTATACCTACTCTCTAATCAGGGAAAACAAAAAATCGAATAGTAGCTGCTATCTATCAAGAAGCTGGCAAGCTAGTCATCGAGTAGCCACATAAAATATTATCTAAACCCTAAACTGTAACCAATGGTTCACCTTCTGCTTCATGGTTTCTTCCAGCATTGGTCCCGCAACTGCTCGGAATGAACGAGTCTTCTACGAAGCTGGCTCCACCATCCGCCAAGATGGTAGCAGTTTGAGGATAGAACGTGAAATAGAGGCCATCGTCTTTGTTCGAAGACATACTACAATTTCTGTCCTGGAGATTGTTGACTTTCAAGTGACGACAAACAACAGTTGGATTCTTGTGAAACGCATCCACGGATCTTCGCTTTATTTGGCATGGCCGAATTTGAATCCTCATGCTCGATAAAACATATTGTCTAGGTTGAAATTGTACCTTTGCCAGCTTCGAGACATACATCCATCAATTCAGGGACGGATTGGGTCCTGCTCAGAAGGATCTGCCTACGACCATTGATTAAACAACGGATTTCCCATAAGGCCCTTCAGTCGTGTGTCCGAATTTCATTAAAGCTACTGGGGATGTTACTGGCTTGGTTTATTGGGAAATGGCTGGTTTCTGGCCTGCATGGTGGGAACGCTGTCTTTGGAGATCGGTATCAGCGATAGTGGCTAGATATTGTCGACGAAATTATGCCTTCTTATCTGAAGGCGTTTGAAATTCACAGTGAAATAGAAATGCTCTGAAATAGGAGAATAGTCCCTCATTTTGCTCCATTCACTATTTGTGGCCGATTTGACTGGTAGACAAATGATCACGGCATGAAATTTTGCTCTCTTCAGATGAAAGTTTGCCTGAATATCAGTCAGATAAGAGACCATCTCAGCACACAAATTGCGCAGATGTGCATATTCTGGCTGCAAGTTACATTTAGCAGCTGCCCTAAAGGTGATGCCAGTAGGGTCCAGTGACTATGCTGGTCAAAGTAGCATTGTCTATCTGATTATCATCTGTACTGTTGGGCTCATTGCTAAATGCGGAGTAAACTCTCGGTACTACCTTTACTCCCACCCGGCAGTATGGGCACATATGTTGAACACGTGGGAGCTCAATTTTTGAATTATCAGGTTCAAGGTGTTTCCAACGGTTGAATAACTGCCGAAAGATGAGGATATTATTTTCATCCTTCCTTCAACTTCCTATTTTATTTTAAAATATATCAATTTAAATATATCAATATGTGAATGACTAGAGAAATTATTATTCAGAATGCAATACGTTAAAACCAATGATTGTTATCCTTCCGGGGATCTGGGCCTTATTTCTGACAGCCGAGCATAACTAGTGGCTGGCTAGCTGTTTGAGACTTCATTTGATGCAACGTCAGCATCACGCTTAGCCGCCTTCTGGTGCGGATCTTTCATGTCACTTTCTCCATCAGGCAACTCCATCACAACTTTTGAAGCCCGACGGCAACAATACACCTATTAAATTTGAGCAGACAATGCTTATGTTTGAGCCCTGCACCCATTTCATCGATTGACTTTGGAGGTTGTATAGCTGGAGTCTAGAATGCAGTCGCAAGAGGTGGCGAGGGTTGAAGGAAGAATAGATAATTCCACTCGCTCCATGGCTGAACCCTGTCTGGTCTATGCAATCCCATCAAATACCGCGTCTTCAAACATCTAAATACTAATAGAGAACTCTAATGCGAAATACGAGGCAGCTACAGTATCAATTTATCGGTACGTCATCGAATCGAATTCCCCAGATTGTATGGTAGTATTGTCCACCCCCGCCCAGAAGAACGGAAAATAATAGCTTCTTGGCCGTTGATTGCCGGCATTAACGGACGCCCTAGATCTCGCTTCCTCGGACTCTCGCTTGCATGGTTTCGGGTCCGACTGGCTGGCGGAGGATGTAGTATAGAATCGTCACCAAACATGGTAGCAGATCCATGATTAACGTCGTGTCCATATTACACCTTCAATACATAAAGCTTAGTCGAGATAGCTGGAAGCAGCTATGATCACCATGATTCAGGCGTCCGGGAGTCCGTGGGGTTTGATACATTTCGCGCATTCAAAAATGCGTGCATCAACTGGTTGTTGTAACATCACTCTCAAGGTTGGGCGGATGCAACGGTTGATTTTTATCGTGTTTACTGTGCCAAGACGGCTGCTCATTTCAATCTGCTGATTTCTAGATCATGGAAGTTCTGTTTACGTACAAGAGCGCTCTCGATGTTGGCGTTTTAAGTCGAGCAGGGGCCGACGCCAGGGCCACCAGGCTCAAGTATATAAGAATGTGGAAGGCCTAAAAATTTTTTTGTCAATATTTCCAATCCTAAGCTCGGAAACAAGGAATTCAGCAGGTTTACTGTCTATTCCTCTCTTCTTTTCTTCTTTATAACCCTCCTTATTGCCCTACTTTCTCTCAACGCTTGCGTTGTGTCACTTTGTTCGTATCTTTCAGGTAAAGACGTTCCGGACCAAATACCCAAATCAAAATGTTTTCCACTATGCTCGTGAAAGCTGTCGCTAGTTTTATGGCCATTGGTGTTGCTTCTGCACACATGGAGCTGGACTGGCCGTACCCTCTGCGCAGCAAATTTGACCCCAATACTCCCGAAAACTTGATCGACTACTCCATGACAAGCCCATTGGACGCCGATGGTGAGTTCATATGTATAAAGTCTATGAATCAAAATAACTAACGAGAATAGGCTCCAACTTCCCTTGCAAAGGCTATAACACCAACACCCCCTGGCGCGCCACTGTTGCATGGTCTGCTGGCCAGCAATACAACATTAGTCTCGCTGGCAGCGCCACTCACGGCGGTGGCTCATGCCAGCTGTCGCTGAGCTACGACAACGGCACCTCCTTCCACGTCATCGAGTCAATTGAAGGCGGCTGCCCACTGCAGTCCAAGTACGATTTCACCATGCCCGACGACGTAGCCAACGGTGACGCATTGTTTGCCTGGACCTGGTTTAACTTCGAGGGTAACCGTGAAATGTATATGAACTGCGTCGACATCACGATCTCCGGCGGCTCGGGCACTGCTGGGGCCTTCGAGTCTGCGTACCCGGCTATATTTGTCGCGAATGTTAACAATGGCTGCTCGACCGTGGAGCAACAGGAGGTTGTTTTTGCGAATCCCGGTAAGCAGGTTCTGTATGGCGGAAGTGTGACGAGCTCTAGCTCTCCTTTCCCGTCTTGCTCTTGAAGAGAGTCATTGGCATGGTATTCGGGGTGGGTGACGGGTGAAATGTATATAGGAAATGAAATGTTACCCTAGTTGATGCAGTGTCACGCTATCTTATGCCATAGTACTATTACCCTTGAACAAATCCATTCTGTAGCACAAGCTTGATCAAGCGCCTTGCTTTGTTGATGCATGCTATGTAGCAGTATCTTGAAACAAGTAGATGTAAAGCGCATAATCAAAATGGAAGATGTGAATCCTGGGTCCGGAATGAGCCGAACCATGGGCTGTGTATGCGAAGAATGTGAAGTAGAGTTTGCTATAAATAAGACAATCACAATGTTTATTCACTATATAGACTAATAAAACTAATGATTTTATGTTTCTTTTGAAATTTCAGATAAGCAATGTTCTATCAGACCGAAAATCTGTAAAATCCGAGAAAATTCCGCTCTAAATAAAGAAATCAACACTAGATGACTCGTTCGCATCTTTCCCGTACATGTTGACACAAGAGAATAGATTTAGGCGACAATACTAAATAACCAATTAGAATACAAAATCTGTAATATGTTGCGCAAACCGAACGTGGAAGAGGCGAAAGGGGTAATAACTCACCTCCAGGGATGTTCCGTCTCTCCATACTGAATATCCTCAATCCATTTCTTCACTGTCTGCGCAAGGTCCCCGATTTCATGGCCCTCCTTTAGTCCGCAGTCGACAACCCCTCCATTCCAAGTAATTGAACGGATCGGGCTGACAATAAGAGCGGTTCCCGCCCCAAAGAAATCCAGCAGACGTCCTTGCTCGGAAGCTTCTTTGATCTCACGCATGTAAACTCGTTTTTCTGACACTGTCCAACCATCTGGCACAAGTCGTTCGCGGGCGAGGTCGAGAATCGAGTCTCTCGTTATACCCGGAAGAATTGTGCCGTCGAGAGGTGGAGTGAGGAGTTCCTTGGTGTTTGTCTCAGGATTCACCCATGCGACAAACAAATTCATCGTACCGGCCTCGGTAATGTAGTGTTCTTCAGGCACGGAAGGGTCACCGAGCAGCCACAATACCTGCTGCAACCCTCGCTCGCTGGCTTGCTCCTGAGCGACAATCGTAGGCGCATAGTTACCGCCAACTTTATTATCTCCGGCCCCTCCAGGCCATGCGCGAACTGGTGAAGATGCAGCCTCAAGCGAAATGGCTTTAACGCCACTGCTGCCAAAGTAGTTGCCCACCGGACTTGCGATAACATATAGCAGGGCTGATCGCGGACGCGATACGCTGACATCGGCTCCGGTGCCAATTAAGGTTGGACGTAAATACAATGCGAAGCCACGGCCTCTATTATTATTAACGCCTCGCAGTCAGAACCAGGATTCCGTTCTACACCAGAATGAAAGAACCTACTCAGGAACCCAGCGACTTTCAAGCCGGGCATATTCAATCAGGACCTTGAGAAGTTCATTCTCATTGAATGTCGGCAGAGCTACACGCGCAGCAGATCTGTTGAGTCGTTGGATATTCCTTTCTGGCCGGAATAGGCGTACATTCCCCTGAGCATCTTTGTACGCTTTCATACCCTCAAAGCAACAGAAAGCGTAATGGAAAACAGCTGCTGCTGGATCGAGTTCCAGTGATTTGTAAGGCTCAATGACCGGCTCGGTCCATCCTGTGTTGACATCCCATGAAACGGACAGAATGTGGTCTACACAAAGATATTAGTTTGTTGTGAGAAAAGATCAAAAAATAAAATCCCGCGACAGGCTGATGAGCGCCCTACTTACCCGTAAAAGAACGGCCGAACTGCAGCTTGTCAGCCGGCTGCAATGGCTTGAGCTTGTCGGCCTGCTTGACGAGAAGTTTCGTCGAGTCTATATCTTTAGAGATGCTGCCCATGGTGATCGACTCAACTGGCGCTGGAACTGATAGGATGAAACATGACAGGTGTTTGAAAGGCTGCAGCAGATGTCGTGCTTGACGGGCCAACATTCAACCAACGGATGATCATCCCGAGCGGGGTTCTGAGAACAGAGCTTATACTCTTATCGTCCTAGTGGGCACCAGTTATCAATAATCAGGAACGGGGCTGACAGGTCAAGCTAGCTGTGAGCGGGTGGTAATTAATAATGCTGTTGGTCATGATAAGGCGGTTGATAATATCAGGTAAATGCTCGCAACAATCCATCAACATCTTTGCGACTTGCATCAAATTCTCGGGATGTAGATCAAGAAATATCTACAGGAAAAATGGTATTGCTGGTCTAGCCCAAAACAATGATAGAATCGGGTCGTCAGCAGTACTCTCGGTGTAAAACGAGTGAACGGGCCTTGCGACCGAAAATCCCCAACCAGTTGGAATACGTCGACGGAGACATTGTCCGTCATGCTTGCTATATAGCAGGGGTAGAGAAATGTCTAGTGAAGCTACCCATCAAATCAGAACTCATATCGAAGGAGTGCGAAGTTGAAAACAATAACCGTCTGGGAATGAATAGCGCGACGCAAGGTTATGTGAAGTTCATCTTTAGCTTGTCACTCGTGTACAAGAATCGCAAGAGGTGATTGCAAGGATCACGTGGCAACTATTCTCTCCTGCATCTGCGTGAGTAATATGCTGCTCTGAGCATTTTTCACAGCTGGATCTTCCTGCCGTCATTCACTATGACAAACAGGAACTCATATGACTACATGATAAAATCGTTTCGTCGAGATTTCGTTTACTAAAAAATTGGATGCCACCATCATACTCTAATAATCTAGCCTTCTGAACTGCTCACTGCTGCTCCTACATATTTGATTATTGACCCAAATGTCTAATAAGATTCTATAATAGCAATCTCACTTTATATTCCGCCCTAAATTTTCATTTCCTTCCATTTAGCACTCGTCTTCCCTGATAAAAAGACCCTTATTCAATTCTACTCAAACTTTCTGAAAGTTCATTCTCACCACATTTTCCAAGATAATTGTTCTTTTTTCCAACTCTCATTATTTCCAAAGTCATTTATTATTAGATATATGTTCCTGTTTTAAAATACATGTAGATATGTATGCTTCCTAGTTTAAACCCTTCTTGATTCCTTCCCTTCTCGCGTACCTTGGCCACATATGTATGACTAGGTGATTAGAATTAAAGCTTGACACAGTTATAACAAAACGGACTATACATATCATTGCATTAATGTGCCTTTACCCTACATGTCAACTGGTGGTGGCTTACATTACTTGTATATTAAGTAGAGTATACGCCATTAGGGCTAAAGGATAACGTGACCTGAGGTGTCACAACACCATGTCTGTGACGTATATCAAGCATATACGTACCACTTCCGTGATCAAACTACGACGTCCATAGCTCTAATCATAGCCTATTATAGCAGGCCAGAATATAGATTCTATATGAGTAACCTTAATATGCGAAGCTTATAACATGAAGAGAAATTATATAAAGATTAATAATTAGTAGTCTAGTTTAGATTATAATTATTATGTATATTATTTTCTTACACTATTATATATAGATTTGGTTATTAAGTATATTGTTTCTTGAGTATTTTATTTATAGCATATACCCCTCTCTTATGAAACATGCCATGGACTCTGTTCACACCCTTTCCCAACCCATATCGTGACAATAATGATGATGATGATGATGGATCGGAATATAGATACACTCGACATAGCAGGCTCTTATAGCCATACCTGCAGCGTTAAGACACTATCTAACCATCAACAGAGTAGAGCGATCCGAAATAAGCGGACGGAGTTTCATGCACACTATTTTGTGCATAGACCGTGACAGTCATTGAAGGAATCTTGAGGTTGTCACTTGGTTGAAAGGTCTGACATAGAATATTAATAAAAGAGCCTCCAAGTCCTTCATTCTCCTCCAATAGCTGGGAGCCTCAGAAACTTCTCAAGCTGTCTAAATTAGAACCAGATACCGCCCACTCTAGTGGATTCTGGCGGTCCTTCCCTACATGCGCAGCACCTGGCCTTATAGCGCAAGCAAAGATCGCTGCCCAATCATTGTTTCTACTTTTCCATCTCTAAATTGGATGAGAGCTTTCCCGATAACCGTTCTCAAGGCCGTGTGTCCCGCTCGAGAGCTCCGGGAGCACGTTCGAGGTCCGCTACATTGCTACCATGCACGTAGTTTGCATGAGCCCAGTCGAGTACCTTCGAGTAAGGCCGACACTTGTGAACGCTGTTAATGGTCAGTTTCAAGAGTCACGAAGGCAATGGTGTACAAAACCCTTACGTGCTAAAGTCTGGCAATGGCTGCTTGTAGCCTTTGGCCCAAACATACGTGACCATACCAAGGTCTGGATCACACATGAGCTGTCGGATGATGTCAGTCACAAAGTAATTTTCGACGGTTTCTCTTTGCGCAAGAGACCTACCTTTTGACGCAGCATATCTATACAGTGGTCTGGAATCTGGTTAGCATGACTCCGATCAACTTTTAGGGCCACTAACCGAGGTGGTATCTCAAAGTTTCTTGGTCCTCCCATTCCTTATTCTTGGGCAGGTAATAATCCATATATGTCGCTTGTCGCACCATGTTGAGGCAATGTAGTTGGTGGAACGCCTCAATACCAGCTATATATCCGCCACCCATCTCTTCTGTGTACTCAGCCGCATATTCAGACGCGTTGATTCTATCGAGCTGGTCTCTGGACAGTCGAACTAAACCTCCCTGGGGATACGTGATCTCTTCCCACGCGTCATCGATATCCTGACTCGGAGGACCGCGAAACCTGTTGTACTTTCGAAGTGCTCCATTAAAGCGTTGCGGTGAGAGCTCCCCATCGTCGTAAATCTCGAGCGCGGGCGACCAAGTCGATATCTTCCGTACGCACTTGTCCTTTGGTTCCATGAATATGATCCCGAAGGCAAGCAAACTCAGGACAAGGCCAAGTATCATTCCTACAGCGAGGGAACGGAGATTCCAAAATTGATGGCTTGGCGTCTTCGCGTCCTCGACGTGCCCGTCACCCTGAAAGCTATCTCCGTTGGCGCCTTCAGCATCGTTCACGCGCTGGTAGCTGAACGTTCCCATCCTGGCTCACCAGATTCTGTCCTACAAAACATAAAAACACAAATACAGGGTGATCGGATATCAGATCGACATCACTGGACAACTCTTGCCACGCGAGTTTCACATCACAATTCATGCGACATTTTTGAGTTCTCCAAGACCGAAATAGACATGATCCCTAGTCCCCTTTTGAATTTACTAGTCCGCCCTATTTTTGGTCCGTCCGCAATCCACTCGAAAAAGGGTCGAATCTTACCGTATTGGCAGTACCCGTACGGTAAAATAACATGCGCCAACACATCTCTAGACCAACCGCCACCTAGAGGATCACGACGATAGGTAGTTTAAGTTTTAGTCGGCTCCATAAGTCTCCATTCCTCACGCAGCTGATAGATGGGGGCCGAATATATGAGACATAAGCCCATAATTCATTGCTAAGATTAAGACCGATATCACCCACCCCTGTAACCCGTCCAATGTCGCAAATGCATGACTGAACAATAATAAGATGGCTTAATGTATATCAAATAAAGGTATGCATTAGGCAATATTTAAGATTTTAAATATCAAAAATCATAAAATTAATTAGAATTATGAAGGATAGATATCCAAATATATTTTAATTATCGGCGCATTGTTGAGGACCAAGGGCTATCAATATTGAATGGCATTTTCATGCATTCATACAGAGTTTATTCAAGGTCAGCACAATGACCAGTAGGCCAACAAGCGGTGTTCTTCTGCGCCCACGATGTCAACGCATTCCAGTCTCGACAGCGCCTAAATTGCCCATCTCCCGTTAGCTTCGACCGGTATGGGATATACAATGGGGTGTCGTCGGCGCGGCACTGGATGGACTGGCGGAGAGAGTCGTAGCAGTGGTTGATGTGGATGAGTTTGTCGTCTACCGGTTTGTTCGCCATCAAGTCCTTGATCGCGTCTCGTAGGTAGATCTGTCCATACGTCAACAGAAATTCTTCACAAGCCGCTGGAATGGACGCTGTTTCATACCACGCAGTGAATGTCGTGAAACCCTGTAAGGACATACACTCCTTTACTCGCGTCATCGGGAAAGTCTTCGGCAGCAGGAAGTCCGAAATCTGCTGCCTCATCGTGCGGGATAGCAACGAAGCCATTTGTCGTAAAAGATGCCCATTCAGCATCGGACACAGACTGATTTACGTCGCCATATTTAGTGTAGGTGTGATATTGGTCCCATGTCTTCCCATGGGCATATATGCCAGCTACAGAATTCGTTAGATCCAGTCAGTGATATGAAAGGCACGAGATTACGCACTAAACCCATCATCTTTCGCGGCTAGCCTCAGCCGCTGATTTTGGGTGTATAGAGTAACGTTGCAAACAAGTAATGCCAGGGAGACAAGTACCAATGAGATTGGTATGGAAAGGAACGAAATCGACGTTGAAGTCGTGGATGAGGGCTGTTTTTCACTCCTAGGTTCAGATATCACGTCAAAGTTGTCGCGATATCGACCTTCGGTAGAATCCATCTTCTACTATTTCCGAGAGAACACCCCGCATGCCATTAGAAGTAGAACCGCGAAGACAGATTCACGGGTGCCGATGTGGGCCGACACGACAGAGCTCTGGAGTCGCACTCTAGAACATCATGGGCGTGAAATATAGACTCAGCCTCCACAAGTTAATGCAACCGACAGACAGACCTGCCTGATATAACTAGCATGTTACCCCCCAGTAAGTGGTAAGCGCCACGACTAGTCTTGGCATAAATTGTAACCGCTAGTAAGATTTTGTGGCAGTGTCTGACGTTGTGACTCTTTGGAAGAATCATGGGTTTATTGGTTCGGGGCAGATTCGAGACATACGTTGATCGACACAGCTTGAGGAATGTTCCGGGATGACTGCCAAATTCGTGGTTCTCATTTTGCTTGCTCTCCCTAGTTTGTCGAGTCAGCTGAAAAAAGTAAGCTGCCTCACAAAGTCACCGATTGGCGCATTGTGGTTGCCTATTATACCCTGTCGATCTTACGTCAACGAGTCAGGACTCAGCGCTTACCACTCAGCTACTTTTAGCCCCCAAGCCTACCTCTTTAATATAACTAGAATTAGCTTGTGGGTACTGTCAATTGGGTAGTATCGAACATTCTATTCAACAACTGAACTCTCGCTGGAAACATACACAATCTGGTTTTGCTATCGACAATCAATTTCCTCTCCGTCGACAGTATACACAAAGACACGCCGATAGCACCAAAGTGCCGATATCTACTCCATTTACATACCCTCAATCAATATATCATCAGCTACAATGAATTTCAAGTGGCTATCGCTCTTGAGTCTCTGCTTAGTCTCACAGGCCATTGCACTACCTACCTTATCCCGTAAGTTCATCCTTATTTCAACACTTTCACGTCAAAATGCTAATGAGCGCTAGGACCACAATTTGCTCGCGGTGAGGAGATCACCGACGGTACTCAGATCGGTGAAGGATGGAAACGTAGTGAAGATACCACCGATGGCACTCAGATCGGTGAAGGATGGAAACGTAGTGAAGATCACACCGATGGCACTCAGATCGGCGAGGGCTGGAAACGCAGCGAAGACACTACCGATGGCACTCAAATCGGTGAAGGATGGTAGATTCACTTCAAGATGAATCTGGTTTCTTTTCTTTTCTTCGCTTTGCTTTCTTTTGTTTTAGAACCAAGAACTAGCCATTTCATGGTTAATTTCATATGTAACAGGTCACGTTAAATTTAAGAACCAAATGGTTTTTAAAGGTTCTGGGATAGGACACGCATGTATATACCCTTGGGAATAGTCAAATTGGAAATTGCGCTCTCTTTATCAAAGTCTACGGAGTAAATTTCGGATCTTGAAAACCTTTGTGTATTAATGGCTAGGAATTATACATCCTAATCCCATCATGCTCACGGCTCTCACAGTGTCCAAAGTGGTCATACAGCGCAATCGGATGATCGCTATCTACATAACAGGCTGAATTGTTCTTCGCCCAATCCCTTCGACTATCCCAGTCGATGCAACGCCGCAGCTGTCCATTGCCTGTCTGATTACGACCCCAGGTATACAGCAATGTATCCCCCGAAGTCCCGCACATAATATACTGCAGTAGGCTATCGAAACAGTGCCGGGAGTGTCCCATGGGGAGGCTTGGAGTCTGGCCCGCCGCCAACTCGGTCAAGGTCTTGCGGAGTATTGTTAAGCAGTGAATCTGGTGGTATCTATACCCGTTGTTCCTTTGTCAGTCACTTTGAAGATAGATTACCGAATGAGGTGGGGGTTAACGCACGCGTCAATAATATACACTCCCTTGGAATTATCGGACGGTAAGCTCATGGTGTCCGGAAGATGGTGCGCGGCAGCCCACTCGTGGTCAACGGTCACGAAGCCATGGGCTGGAATGATACGGTCCCACGCTTCATTCACGGCTTGATCATCGTTAGGGTCCGAGGAGCTGTAAATGTTGCTGTACCATTGGAATTCTCTCCAACGAGTGTCAGAGGATGTGAGTTCTATTCCGACAGGCGTAAGCTGAGTTTGCTCAAATTCCAAGAGATGACGGTAGGAACTCACGGTATTCTGGGACTTTGGCCCGAGCTTCAGGTTGGTCCGGCCGGTAGTAGGTCTGTTCCAATGCGAGGATGGTGCATACAATGGACAGGAATACTATTACCGCTTCGCGCCAGAAGTGTAGGGTATTTGTGACATAGCGGTACACGTGCTGGTTGGGATAATGTAAATTGGAGTTGCTGCCGTCAAGAGACGTATATTTCGCTTCTGAGGATTTGAAGCCCGAGAACATGATTGCTGAGTACTTGGGGTGACACTTCTATTCAGTCCTGAGTGTTCTGCGAGAACCAGAGGATTAACATGAGAGTGGATCTTCCCATCTACCGAGTCTAGATCTCACTGGTGGTGGGACAGAGAGGGAAGTATAATGTCTGGTTTCTATTACAGCTAATCGGCCACGTCCACGGAGTAAAGACTTGGCACCAAGCTGGTTTGCTCTAAGCGATCTCACTAGACGATTTGAGAGAATAGTATAATTATGTTGCTATTTAAAACTAGGGGATATCAACTCATTGGAGCACGCGCCTCGCATTAAGCGCTTCAATTACGTGCATCCAGGGAAAGGGTATTTAGGCTTTTTTTATCCACCCTCCCGTTCAGCCGATTCAGGATGGACTATTTTTTATGGTTGTTGAGAATTAAGGGGATGGATGTGCACTTTGGCCCCCAAAGTGACGTTATCTTCTCCTGCCGCCATCAACCCCACACCAGTTGGCCCTGTACCAATGGTACACCAGGGGCCAAAAGTATGATTTTTTATTACATTACGAAAGTTTGGTAGTGGTATTAGCGGCATGTGGTTAGCCACCCGCCGTTAAATTGTATTAGGCCTATGTATTCATAGGACCAACGCCAATACATGGGCTAATTTACACGAAATTATGGTCGAAATTCCACCCAGCCCTAATATCTAATATGGATTAACGTGCAATGGGATGGTGGAGGGAAGGTGGGGAAGGTGGCGGGGGACATTGGCCAGTAAATCTTAGGTCATCCGCTGCAATACACTTGTACCAGGCGCGCGTGTGGTTACGGACAAGACCATCAAATGGTGCTTAGGTGAGAAATTGAGTGCCAAGTGTTAGCTATTCATGTCCAAATAGCGAGATTTGTGTTCATCGCACCTCTCACCAGTGTCATCGAACTGGAGAGCTTCAGAGGCTTTATGTATGTGGGAATATATATACTATATTATTATATTACTATGTACAAGAAAGGTTAAATGTGTATATCTGTGGCACTCTTTTCAGCTCTCCAGAACCAACATTATAACCCTCGCGAACTGCTGCGCCTGGCAGACATAGTTCAACACTGTTCTATCTCCCTCTTCACTTTAATCCCAGACCCCGATGCGCCCCTCGTCTGCCAGTCGTCGGCCCCGACGATATACGTTTGTACCAATCCCTCATCGTGACTAGGAATATTCGAAGGGAGAGACGATGCCCTAACCGACTTGTCGAGGCTGTAGAGACGGCTGGTATGCTGCTCGGTGGCTGGAGATGATTGTAGGGACCGCAAGGCGAAGCCACTCTTGATTCCGCTGACGATGGATCCTGGGGACAGAGGGCCTAAAAGAGCGCGTAAAGTCGGTAGGCAGACCACGATCACACCGAGCCCACATTCGATCATGGACCAGAAGAGGAGGTAGGTTATGAGTGCTATAACATTTTAGTAAGGTTTAAAATATTTTGCGTGAAATTTTCGTACTCTCTCCGTCAGACTGCTCAAATGCATTCACAATATACTTGATGTAGATCGCCATTCGTGCAGCCGATGCTGCAATTGTACTTTTCACCCGTCAGCACGAATATCAAACTCCTGTAGAGAGAAGTTCTCACAGAAGACCGACAAAAAAGACAGCTGCGACGGCAAGCTTTCGTCGGATGTCCATGTACAGCCTCCATATCTGCATTCAAATCAGTCTATCTCGCAGAAAGCCAGACAGGCAATACTGACCTTGAAATGCGGTAGTGCCCAGATTATGACATCGATAATGAAATCAGAGATGGCATATCCCTCGAGGAGAGGCAGCTGAGCGCTGCATTTCTCCGCGACTACCGCGACAGGCGCCCATGCGTTCGTGGGATGAACTCCGCAAAGGAAGATCGCACCGATGCCGAATGCCAACATCCAGACAATAACCAAAACGATCAGGAATATGATGATGATATCCAAGGTCTTGTCTATTTGCATAGTGCAAAAGATTTTGCGGTAGAAGAAGAGGATACTGAGCTTCAGCAAGCCAAATGCGAAGACACCAATGAAGTCAAAGAAGTACTGGATCTGTATAAGATATTAGTATAATTCTCCAATGAGGGTTGGACAGTGAACTACTTGTTGAAGTCGAATCTGCTGGTAAGATATCGAGAATAGGTAGCCATCCGGACCAGGTACATTGGGCGGCGGAAGAAGATCTCCCAAGGAACGTGTCGCAGCACCCCAGATGAGAAGCCCCGCGAGAACAATTTCCAGGAACTGAAAAAGTCAGTTACGTCGACGCATGGAATTTCAGATTCGCTGCCCACCAGTGCTGGTACGGTTAACCAGTCGTCCACCCATGGTCGAATCTTCGCCTTCCCTCGCGTGTAGAAACGTAGAGATACTGCAATGATGCCGAGAACAGGAAATAAAATACTTATGACAATCACCGCGGCAGGTGTAGCGTATGTTCTCGACATGGCGATACCTTCAACAGAACAGCCTTGTGGCTAAGCATGTGTGAAGATTGATGACCGGGGGGGGAAGTGTTATCGTCCTAGGGTGTCATGTGCCTGTCGGGATCGTAAAACGCCATGGAATGTGAAATACGAGGTAACATGTCTTCAGCCCCTCAAGTCATCGACGTCAGTAGCATTGTCGAGAGAAGTCATCGGCTTGTGCGACACGACGCTATCGACCTCGGTCGCAAAAGCGATCGCCATCCAATGGGTAACCACACCGTAAGCGCAAAAAGAACGATTCGTTGTATCGTGGACACGAAGCAAGTCGGGAACTTTTTAGGCTATGCCAACCTAGTGTGCCACGCAGCGCTTTCAAAAGTTTCTTCAAAAGTTTCTTCAGAAGGTTTCTTCAAGAGGCACCCCATAATTAGGTACCGGCTGGGACATTCTTGTGGACGATTGGCCCGGAGGTGTATCACATTCCAAGCTAGCAACGTGTGGTGGTATGAAGTAGAGACATTGCATTGGCTGATTCGTTAGTTCCTGTTAGTTCTTATTGGAAAGAAGCGCTATAACGATCACCCCCGTCGACGAGGGGCCGTATTGGCATGTATTGGTCTGTCATGCACGAGTATCCGTATAATCGTATCAACAGTGACAGTACCGGGAGGTGGCTGGAAGATCTACGCCCCCGCTGCAGCAGGAAAGGACGGTAGCGCTCGAACAATTCATTGTGAAACATATATTTAGCTTGCTCCAGAGATGTTAATTTTGTTGCGGACCATTCAGCATTCACTTAATAATCAATTAATAGTTGGAGAATCCTTAATAGCCGTTCCGAGCCGGCCGGCACCGGATAAGCTCCTTCCTTTGGTGTAAGCATAGCTCTCCCGCTTGACCTTGAAAGCTTCGTCTAGCCAGAACATCCGAGAAGAGACCTTTAAAAGACACAGATGAGTCCTTCAAAAATTGAGTGAAATTCGGAAATTGTTCCGCAACTTTAGTTGTCGACTCACCATGGCCATCGCAACTGTCTTTCAAGCCATAGAGACAACGGTGATTTTGTCATTACTGTTGACGGTCGTTGGGGCTGTCCGGCGGCTCTACTTCCACCCGTTGGCGCATATTCCAGGGCCAAAGCTGGCAGCTCTGACCTGGTGGTACGAGTTTTATTTTGATGTTGTCCAGCCTGGGCAATATGTATTCCATATCCAGGAGCTGCACAAGCAATATGGTAGGTCGTGGATACAACCCGTGAGCAGCGGGATCACACGCAGGTAGAGTAGAATGTAGCTGAACAGGGAATATCTCCTCAGGTCCAATTATTCGCGTCACTCCAGACGAACTACACGTCAATGATATTGGCTTCCTCGACACGGTATATGCGCCGTCAATGAACCGCAGAGACAAGTACGAGTACCAATTAAGAAGCTTGCGAGTTCCCGGCGGCGTAGGCACGACAGCCAGTTATGATGTCCATAAAAAACGTCGTGAAGCTCTTAGTCCTTTCTTCAGCAAACGGAATGTGTTATATTTGGAGTCGTTGGTCACCAAAAAGGTAGAACAACTGTGTCAATTGATCGCGAAACATGCCGGTGAAGGGACACCCGTAAATCTATCAGATGTCCTTTTCGCCTTTTCAAATGAGTATAATTTCGACATGTCCATAAAGCCAAGATGGTACTAATATCATATAGTGTTACCACAAATTTTCTTTTCGCCCAACAGAGCGACAATCTTGCAGATGAGGCAAAGGCCGCTACACTCCGCCACAATAGCAATGAGCTTCTACTAGGAGTACACCTCAATAAGCATTTCCCATGGATTCCAGATTTCCTGGAGTCTCTTCCACTATCTATAAGCAAGCCAATGATGCCTCCTGGGCTGGTCGACTTGCTGGACCTATTCGAGGTGAGCCCCGACTTGATTACCGAGCGATGAACATCATTCCTGACACAGCGATACAGAGAGTTCGTACCGAACTGCTCGCTATCATGAAGGCCAAATCGTCGGGAAAAGTTGGCGAAAAGCCCGTGGGTCCAACGGGGAAGGAGTCAGTCTACGACTCTGTTCTTGACAGTTCCGTCCTCCCGCCACTAGAAAAGTCATTACTTCGTCTTGAGCAGGAGGGTGCACTCCTTGTCCTCGCTGGAACCGAATCGCCTGCCAAATCCCTTCTGATCCTCTTTTACCACATTCTAGCCAATCCCTCAATCCTCAGCAGGCTTCGCAACGAACTCAACACGGTCCCGGCATCTGCCTCCTGGACCCAGCTCGAGCAACTCCCATATCTCTCAGCTGTCATCGAGGAAGCCAACCGCCTTTCGTTCGGTGTCACGGCACGATTAGCCCGCATCGCATATGAACCCATCACCTACACTCCATCCTCTTATGTCACCACCCCATCTAGCACCCCTAAATCCTACACGCTACCTCCCGGCACACCCGTCAGTATCACAACCCTCAGCGCACACACCAACGAAACGGTCTTCCCAGATCCTTTCGCTTTTGATCCGGAGCGATGGCTTGGCGAGAAGGGCCGCGAGCGCCGTAAATTCCAGTTCGCCTTCAGCAAAGGAGGCCGCAAATGTTTGGGTATCGAGCTGGCAGGAGCAGAGCTATATCTCACGACAGCGGCGCTGGTTAGGCAGTTTGACATGACTTTGTGGCAAACTGATGAAACTGACGTGGGGTTTTACCATGATTATCAGGTTGCAACACCGAAACTGGGTTCGAAGGGAGTGAGGGTTATGGCAACTGCGCTTTAAAGAATAAGCATTTCAGCTTGTTACTGAAGTGGAAGTGGAAGTGGAAGTGTATTAATTCAATGCTTTTCTTGGTCTATCTGTGTATTGGAAAAACCTCCTTCGAAATTGCCATTGATTGATACCCTAGACAATTAGAGCCTAGGAGCCTAATGTACCATTCCAATAATAAACTTCTGCATTTTGCACTGTTTTCAAGCTGCGCCTGGATATACAGCCTAAGGAAGACTGGAGTGTAGAAAAGAAAGTGGAACGCTCGAAGATACGAACGGGGCTTGCAATTAAGCTCTAACTCCCGTTACTTAATTTAGGTCCCATAACGTCGCTGCCTATGGAGGTGTGTCACGAAAGTAGTCGGACCCACCAATCAGCTCCCAGGCTGCCGGCAGTGGATCACCCCTGATTGATCACTCGATGTCGATTTGCCAATTCCGGCATGCTGTTCGTGAGGCTTTGGTTGGCTGGAATGGTGCTGCCTTTGCTAGTGCCATCTTGGTCGCGGACATACTGCCAAGTAGTATATACCAATCAACTACTCAGTAGTCATAGCTATTGTTAGAATGAGCTCTCTCCATGCGGCGTCAGGTCGAGTATATGAAGACGCAGACTTCCTGCTCTTCGGTCCAGATACAACAATTCAATAAGCACAGCGGCTTGAAATTGAGCATATTTCATTGCTTTTGATACCTTGAAAACTCCAATTGCCCTTGATATCTCGTAATTCATTCACAATGTCGGCGACAACAGCCACAACAACAACCACATCGTCGACAACGACAGCCTCGGCGACTTGTGTGAGCATGGCGCCGGGCAAAGACGGCTATCTGCCGCCTGAAGCCTGCGACAGTCTGCTATTATACGTGCCATCATTCGCAGCTGCTGTTCTGTTCGTCGTTCTCTTCGGCTTGACCACAATCGCACACATCGCGCAAGGCGTCGCGTATAAAAAGGTAACCACCACATCCAACGACCCACAAACCCCCTACAACCAAAACACCATTTTCTAACTCCATACAGCCATTCACCTGGGTTATCACTATGGGCGCCATATGGGAAATCGGAGCCATGGTCATGGCGGCCTTGCTCGCCAAGCACCAGAACTCGGATACATACGACACCGTCCACCAGGTCCTCTTCCTTCTCGCGCCTCTCTGGATCAATGCCTTCCTCTACATGACCCTGGGCCGCATGGTATGGTTCTTCGACGAGACAAAGCGCCTGGGCGGGCTATCCGCGCAACGATTCGGCTCGCTGTTCGTCTGGCTCGATGTCATTTCGTTCCTCGTTCAGGCCGCCGGTGCACTGCTCTCGTCATCAAAGGATGCTTCGGATTCGACCGTCCAGTTGGGTCTGCATCTCTACATGGCCGGTATTGGCATTCAGGAGTTCTTCATCGTCTGCTTCACGGGCCTTTTGGTCATACTCCACCGCCGACTGATTCGCCAGGAGCAGCGAGGAGTCATGCTTGAGAGGCTGAACAATGGCACTCTGCGCTGGCGATGGCTGTTTTACGGAATGTATTTCGCGCTGGCCATGATCACTGTAAGTTTTCTTTCCCCCACCTTTTTCTTTGTATATGGATGGGGGCCTAAACTGATGAATGATAAGATCCGTATCATCTTCCGTCTGGCTGAATACGCCAGGGGCACCGACGTCAACAACCCCGTCCTTACTCACGAGGCTTACGTGTACGTCTTCGACGCAACACCCATGTTTCTCGCCCTTGTCGCGCTCAATATCTTGCATCCCGGCCGAATTCTCAGCGGGCCCGACGCAAGCTGGCCGCGACTCAGCCGCAAAGAAAAGAAAGAACTCAAACGCCAACGCAAGGCCGAGAAGAAGGCGCGCAAGGACGGGCTACTGTATACCAAAACTACAGATAATGATAGCAACCACAGCGCCGAGGAGCTTACTGCCCCCGCGGCTGTCGAACAGCATCCGTTCAACGATCTGCGATCCCAGGAAGAGGGCGGTTTTCAGCATCATGCTAGTCGATATGATGCGGAGACGGCATTTTATCCGTTGAATGATAACGAGCACTACTCGTCTGCGCGATGGAACAGTTATGCTTCGTATAATAATACTAGGGCTTGATATTTATTCGCTCTGGTTGATTGATTGCATGTCCGTTCAGCGTTATGATAGGGTGGGCATTTATGGAATTTTTCTTTTATTTGAGTGATTTAGCTAGCTATACGCTAGATGGCGTTGAGGGTTGTTATGTTTGCATTTTCATTGCATAAAAGCGAGGGGTGATACCAATAAATCAATGACTGAGTCCACAAAATGTACAAATTATTTTATATCTACAGTCATTAAGCTACATGAAACAATTAATCGGTATGAATAAGTATTAATATTGACCAAAACTTCAGTACACGAATGCAAACCACCCCATCACATCAATGTCCAATGCAAACAAGCACCATCCATGCATTCAAAATAACAACAGAATGACGAGCGTAACCTTGTGCTAAATACCTACTGCCGCCTTTTCTTCCCCCTTAAGTAATAGAACCCGAAATAAAAATATTCGCCGTTACACATCAAGTCATAAAATGCACGTGCATAAATATCAGAGAGCACAATTATTAGAAGAAAACTACCACTTCACCACGATCATTCCGTTTCAGACGCAGAGTCCGCCATAGATCCTTCTCCTCGTCAAGTTTGCTATTCCGGTCAGCCCGGCTGCTGCGTCCACGGCCGCGACGGTCGCGTTCGGGATCGTCATCGTGGTCCTGAGATGATCCTGCGAGAGATGGGCAGTCGCGATGGAAGCGTTTGAGGGCTTTGTTGATCGAGCATCCGCGTTCACTCTCGGGTCCCTTGGTGACCAGGGACAAGAAATAACTAGCTTTTTCTCTCTCGATTTCCTCTTCAGTCAATCTCTCGTGGCGGTATACGACCATTTTGCGGTTGTCGTCTCCGCCACTGTCGGACCCGTGCGGGTGGTATTCGATAGCTTTGAGACGGCGAGAGGGCCGGGTGGAGTCGTAATGGTCATTACCGTAGCTTTGCGAGCTGATTTTGCGTTTTGTCTTACGCGATTCGCCAGATGCATGAACGTGACGCACATTGGGGGTCTTTTTTGAACGACGAACTTGGATCAGCGCACCGGCATGTTCGCCATCAGATGGACGCGTGCGAACGAGTGCTTTCGATGGCGGTTCAGCGCTTCCATGGCTGCTCCCAGACACGTTGGAGCCGCTGAACATAGACATTATACGGCCTGCGCGGCCCTTGAGGGATATGCCTAACCCATTGTCCGCATTTCCGGCCGATTTCTCGCTTCGACGTGTTCGCTTGAGTGGTGACTGTGGATCCTGGTACCGTCGCGAATCCCCCTCCTCGTCGGTGTAATCTTCGTAATCTGGAGAAGGTGATCGCTCATCTCGGAGCATGCGATCCAGGCCACCAGTCAAACCAGAATGCTGGAGGTAAGGTGTGCCTGCATTGTTGATCACGCTCGACGGAGCATCAGTCATGGGCGTATCCTCCTCATGTCGCGCATTAGCAGCGTCTACATCGAGCTCATCCACATGTCCACGCTTTCGCTTCTTCTCGCTAGTCGTTTTTGGCTCTGGAACCGGCGAGCTGCGTTCGACGTCCCTCTTTCGGTTCTTCTTTTCCTTCTTCTTCGGTGCGGGTGTCATGAAGTCCATCGAAATGTTGGAGACTTGATTGCCGTATAACGAAGGCTTAATCGGGTCGGCGCCGTATGAGAACCCATTTTCCTCATAGGCAATATCATATGCCCTGTCTTCCTCCTCGACGTCCGTGTTGTACTGGGCCAAAGCCTGGCTGGGCTCAAAGACTGACCGTGCGTTCGAGATCATCGCCATCTGTTCCTTGGATCCTGCCAGCGAAATTTTGGAGGCGGTGGGAGTTTGGTCAGTGACGAGGAAGTCAAAGACATCGACGTCTTTATCGGGTGGAGCCAGTTCTGCGGATGCCGGAGTGGCTTTCTTCGAGTCGCGTGGAGGACTAGGAGCTGGGGGAGGAGGTTGCTTGTAATCAGGATCGTCTGCATCTGGAGCGTCTTCGACGTACGACTGGCGAAATTTCTTAGTATTGGCGGAGTTTCCGTTGGTGGTGGTGAGCGTTTTCGAGTTGTTATCGGCTTGCTTCTTGTTTTGCTTGTTGCCCTTCTGCGGCTTCTCTTTATATAAGGCGCCCTGGTATTTTTGATCCTCGGTCATGCAGGACTGTGCGAGGCAAGGAAAAGTTCGTTAGTCTTGTCCAATGGAAGGCATGGTTTCTTCAGCGACGCATCATGTTAGGCACAGCGCGCAGCACACCAATCGGGCAACAACGGATGATGGGCATAAAGCCCAATCGACCGCAGCATGGTCAAGTGCATGTGCCCTACGCAGACAGTCCATGCTAATTAAAGAAAAATCTTCCACACCAACCCATGCACGCTCGTGAGAGGCTGCGGCGTCGCTGAAGACCAATGCTAAGGGGATAAAACGATAGAAGACAGTTGCCGTACCGTATGCGATCGATAATCAGTGCCCTGAAAGTGGACCATGCAATCAATACAACTAAACGTGGCGCCGCGACAACGGCCACGATGGGGATCGAGCTTCTTTTTAGTGAGGACATCTCCACAGCCCTACGCATGCGATGAGCATTAGCAACCAACCCAATCTATAATGGGCGCAGATCGCATCGACGAGGGAACGCAAGGGTATAGCCTTACCTCACACTGGAAAGACACCATGATGATTCAGCCCTATAACGGGGTTCCTCCCCACAGCAGTTCGAAGACGAATTCTAACTTCTCCCAATCTGCGACGTGTCAGACTGTCAACGCAAAGTTGTGACGGCCCACTGATAATTGACCGCTCACTGCTCGGCGTCTCGACCTAGTGTCAAATCAAATCTCTCGACCAGACAGATTGAGGCCTGACGATAGCAGTAGTCGCACAGCTGTCTGAAGGGGATTTGTCGAGAGCGATTAGTGCCCGATCTAAGTGGGAGAGTCGCTAGCGACTGGGGGAAACAACGAGGCGGTCAGGAACCCAAGAAACAGCCTGAAAGTGGTGATTGCAACAATGGCACAGGCAGAGTGCGGAGAGTTTGCTTAAAACCAGACAGAAACTTAACGGGAGGAACAGCCCCGATCTTTCGAGGGGTATTGTAGGAAGTCGTGTTATGATCACAGACAGGGTCGTCGCAGATCAACAAGGGCGGCGCGTTTACGATTAATCTTTTTTTCCCCCTTCTGCTTTGTGTTGAGCGCGTGGGAGCCCGCTAGTCCTGTTTCAGATTATTTGTGGGCGCAGTGCAAACTGGTCAAACGCGCGGGGAGAAGCAACAACAGCCAACGTCGGCCGGCGAATAAATGATACACACCGTATATATATATATATATCTATCTATATACTTTATATCTACGGACAGATAAATATAATCCTGAATAAGGAGAGCAACTCCGTGACTTGACCTGATCATGTTTGGCCGACGCGACGCTGAGACAGCCAGGGGCTTCCCTGGCCAATCGGCACCTCAGGCATCCCCTATACTTCACCGCGCCAGCCAATCCTGAGGCCGCAACGAGTCAGGGCTGTCAGCAGACCAACCATGGTGACGATCCTGATTCTCTGCTATTTACTCCTCTCGCTGTTACAGGCTTACTGCACTGAAGCCACGCATGTACTGATACTGCCTCACCCCTGAAACAAGCGCTGCGATCCGTGGTAATTAAAAGCATGCAAAGACCCAAGACAAGTATTAGAGGATTTATCCGACCAGCAGCAAACAGTACATGTATTATTAGCATATGACAGAAGAAGCTACCCAAAGCGAGGAATGATAACCTGCCAGAGGAATACAGGAATACATGATAAGCTATTTAAAGCATGTGGACAGTGTAGGCGGTGTGCATGCATGCATGTATTGTCGGCTTCCCGCCCCGGAAAACAAGCCGCTTCGCTCGCCAACCGCCTAGATCCGCACAATCCAGGGTCATGCGCCTCCTTACTCGACATCTGGTCATCGCACATGGTGTGCCATCCAATATCGCGCTCTGCCTATTCTGCGTGCCATGAGCAGCCTCTCGACCGCCCGGTGGCGAAGAGGGTGTGGTATCGGCGGGTTACCTCCGATCATCAAATGATTTTATGTCGGAGACCAATAGCAACTTATTCTGATTCCATATATATGTCGGTGGGTGGATGCGGCATCACGAGGTAGATGCTAGATGCTTTGCAGCTCCGTGCCGTTCCATGCATCTAACCCCCTCGGGTGAGTCTAGAACAACCAAAGTTAGGAATTATCATCCACGATCGCTAGATAAAAAGTTTCACTCACGGTTCCTTGGTAATTTCAACCTCAGGGTTGGAATCAACGTCTGTCTGCTCCTTTTTGGCGACCTTGGGCGATGCTTGTACTTCCTCTTCCTCTTCCTCATCCCCACAGCCGCAATCGTAGTCGTCGAGGTTGTTGCAATCATATTCCGGCTTATCCAACATATGATTAACCTCGTTGTGAATGAAACAACCCCAGCCGGCGGCAGCGTCGCGAGAGGAGACCTGTGGTGGGTACTTTTTGAGATGTTTCTGAAAATGAGCAGCACATTCGCCGCTAGAATATAGTCAGAATAAAGCTTTCTCTGAGCTGTCATATGATGCCATACCATGGATATAACCGCGCGAAAAGGTATACAAAAGACCGTAATGCTTCCTGCTCATCTTCGGTCGGTTTCTTAGGGTATCGTGCCATTACCGTGTGGAAGTACTTCCAGGTAGCCCGGCCGAGTTCCGCTCTGGTAACAGTCATGCATTTATTAGCTTGATAAGTCCGCGTGATCAATTCGCGGTTGAAGAGCACTCACTTGGCCGTTTCATTCGCTAGTTTCGGCATGACCACCTCACCCTTCAACACATCCTGACTGATAGCGAGATTCGACGAGATCGTGCTCTTGGTATCGACCAAATGGCCTGGCGCTCGGGTCGCCGGGCTCTCAGGACCCTTGGGCTGGATGAAAAGGAAATAGAAAATGAACAAAAGAGCAAATGTGCTGAGGAAAACCAGTCGGGTGGTCGGACGAGCTGCCATTGCTGCGCCGAGTATCTTTTATAGAGTAAAATGAAACGAATGAAGCGAAGTTGATGGTCAATAGCCGTGGATCAAGTCCTTCAAGGGGCCATTATGGTCATATACAGAAGGTGGAAGTGTGGACAAGCGGTGCATGTCCGATGTCACCACGCTGGCATCTCGCCCCTAACTCCTGTTGTTCAATCTCCGCCGCCGAACACAAAGAACGGCCGTCCACCACGTGAGGTGTCACGTGATCAGTTGTTTGGGCTGCCATGTATCAGAAGCTTGATTCACCAGATATTACTATTAAGGTGCCATCCCCCGACATGGTTCAACGTGTTGCGTAGAAATTTTGGGGTTAAACCGATGGAAGCTATATACCAGTACGCAGGTCCAGTCGGAGGAAGGTGTATTGTGACCATCTCAATCCCAACGGGTGATGGTTTCGACTGCGTCAAACTTTCCCTCTCTTCTATGGCTCCTTTCAATAATATGCAACCAGCCGTTGCAGGAGGGACCAAATGCCAAGCATTCCACGTATATTTCAAACTCTCCTCCGTCTCGGGCCCAGTTCGTGCAAACTGGACAACGAAAACGATAGTCTAGGTCTTGAATTAAAGTCTCACACAAATCATAGACATACTTGGACCATATCTCGCTTGCTTCTGACGACTGGCTGCAATTACCTTGTACTTGCTCGTTAGTTTCATGGCTTCTGTGATTGAGAAGTTGTACGATGATCCCCTTCCCCGAATCGCCTGCTACAGAGTCTGCTGTTCTGCCGGCACAAGTCAGTGTATCAGTGGCCGCACTGCCATTTTCTAGTAGAATTTTGACCACCGTATAATGCCCATTCATAGCGGCGTAAACAGCAGTGTGCGATTGCATTGATCGGCCAAGTCCACCTGAGCGCCATGTTGAAGTAAAAGACGACCTATCTTTTGATATCCTTTCTCTGCAGCTAGAAATAGAGGGGTCTGGCCGCGGTCGATTGAGATATTCGGATTCGCGACGTATTGCAATAAAGCCTTAACTGCTGTCGTTTTATTTCTTCTTATGGCATGCATCAAAGTCGTGTAGGGATCTTGGAGAGGCTTATGATTCGGATCCGCGTGCTAGTCCAGCAAGCTATCGATCACGGCCTGATAGTTAGAATGTAGCATCTTACGATATGAATAATGTGTTTCTCGGATCGATTCTATAAGCAGAGATTGCCACTCGTTCTTTTTCAAGTTCACGTCTACTCCTTTTCCCAGCAGTCTCTTGGCCAGTCGAGGAGCGCCGACGCCTGTAGCTTCCAGCAGGAAGGATTCTAGTTCAGTCCTGCAGGTGAGTATTACACCATATTCGAGAGCGGCACAATCCGCATTATCCTGCCCATCTATGATACTCTCGATCAATTGGGTTACATTGTCAGCCAACGTCAACTCGGGATCAGCCTCATGCTCTAACAGCACATTGACTACCGCTTCACGACCTTCGACGACCGCTATTAATAATAAAGTCTGGTTCGATGCCATCAACGTAGTAGGGAAACCCCCATGGCCATTTTATCCTTGGATCCTCAAATCGAATGTCATGCGCAAGTTGCTATCAATCCCGTGATCTAGCATGAACTTCACCACATCGTCGAATCCACTGTAGGTCGCAAAGAATGTTAGTGGCAAAGATTTTTCATTAAGTTGATACCTCGGACCAAGTCCGTGGTCGAGTAAGAGGGTACCCATTTGCCGGTCGCCCTGAACCATAACCTCTCGCAAAGGGTGCTCGGCATCTTCTACACCCTGGAGCGTATCCATGTTAGTGGTCGTTTGTGTGAGAGTCTCAATAGTCCGAGATTCCTCGAATGATCAGACAAGGAAAGCCTGTGACCGCTCCCGCAACCCCCATTTCAAAAGATAAGATCCCGTACTCCTTCGCTAGGCAATCACGGAGAGACCCATCCTTGAGAATGATCTCCCAAGACGCAATTGTGCCCTGATGAACCACAATGCGGGACGGCATCTCCTCGTTATCTTCATTGATTAACTCACTAAAATCATCCATGAACCGCTGCTTGGGTTCACACCCAGCATCTTGACAACACAAACCGGGCTTCAGGTGCAAATATTCGGGAGGAAAAGAGAAACTCTTCTTTCAGCCCGGGAAATCGAAAACGGGACAATCCCAGGATTTCAAGTCTATACGTTGTACATTTGTCATTATTGGATCCCATATTGATCGAGATCGATGTGCCGCGAGCGCTTGTGCAGCTTAGAGAAGGAGACCTGTTATAATATGTCTATTATGCCTATATACCTTTTGCCTCTAAAATGTTAACCTATGTCCAGATGATTTCCACATCCCATCATGAATGTATGAAAGAAGATAACAGTTGAAAATATGTAGTTGTTGTCAAATGGCCAAACTATCCCTTCGTCTCCACCTCAGCATGACCGTCGTTAAGTGTCTCTCCATCAGATGACGCGGTTTTTTCACCACCACCTTGGGTTCCCAGCTTTAGGAAGGGTACTAATAAGACGCCCAGACCGGCTGAGGCAGCAGCAAACCAATACGTTGCTAGATACGGCTTGATCGGGGTTAATGATCCCTCATTGCGAACAGAATTATAAACGGCAGTAGTGATACCAAGACTGATATTACCACATATCTTGGATACGGTGTTGAAGATGCCTCCTGCTAGTGACTGATCGGAAGGTGGAAGACTTGACATGACATACATCTATAATCGAGTTACGAATTAGTGACCAGCAAAAGGACTCGATTGTAAGACGAGGGTGGGCCTACGTTTACCACATTAAATTCAATGTCGGCACCGACGACCATCAAGAGCAGCGGGACAAAGTAGAATCCCCAGTAGATGCTATCGTCTTTCATAAAACTCATAGTGAGGAAAGCCACAAAGTATGCTGTTGCCCCGATCAACATCAGAAGCTTGTTGCTAACCTTGTGTAAAATAAGACCGCAGATGATGTTAACAAGGATCCCATTGACAACCATGGGCATCAGGTGAGCGGTGATTAATAACGGTTTTAATTTCTGAACCTGCTGCATGTATAAGGCAAGCCAGAATTGGCCGCCAACAAAAGCCATGAAGCCAAGGGACAGACACCCAATCAACTAGTTGAGTTAGAAATGTTATGTATATGACGACCTCAAGTTCTACTCACTAGAGAAAAGTTGCGATCCTTCCACACATGCAGCGGCATTAAAGGAGTCGAGTAGATGGACTGCCAGAAGAGAAACGCCCCGATTATTACTACTCCCAAAACTAGCAGGACGATGACATATGGCGTTTGCCAACCACGAGGTGCATCTCCAGCGATCCTGTGTCGGTCAGGACGTGTCGCAGGATAAACCAGGAAACAAGGGAATGCGAGAGGAAGACTCACGATAGGGAAGTGGAAAAAAGGGCAATTCCAGAAACAGCAAGCAACATGCCAATGGGGTCTAGTTTTTTCATGGACAGCCAATTCAAAGGGACCTTCCTTCCAGGAGGATCGGGGGGTACCGTCCAGATGGTGAGGATAGTGAAGATGGCATATATGACAGCTAGAGCCCAAAAGGCTACTCTCCAATTCGCGACCTGGGAGGCAATGCCAGAGACAACCATGCCCCCGACAAAACCTAGAGGGTTGCCGGCACTGAAGCATGCAAAGGCCCGATTTTTGCGCTTGGATGGCTTTTCATAAACGACCCCTAGCGAACCTACAGCAGGAGGTACCACAGAAGCACAAAATATTCCCATAATTCCTGAAAAGACATCCATATAGATAGCGGAGTTGGCGAATCCTGCAATCACGAGAGAAATAGTGAACCCGGCCATACTGGTGATGAACATTATCCGACGACCGAACATGTCAGCGACCTTGCCAAAGGCTAGCAGAAATGCACCGCTACTGAGTCTGTATCATGCATTAGAATTCGTTTCCATTGATAGCCTGATTGGTTAGAACATACGAAATGCCAGCAGTGATCCAGGTAATTTCAGCTGAGTTCATGTTGAGGTCATTTCCTATGGATGCCGTGACCACAATGACTAGACCCTGAAAAAACGAGCTCTGCCCTATGGCCATTGTCGCACTTAACACAAACAAGCATTCTTGGAAAGTACTTGAAAAGCACTCGGGGCGCTCATTGGCATCGCGCAAGCGCTCATTTTGCTGCTCCCCGGATTCTTCCTGCGCGGGAGTCGTGTTTGATTCCTGATATCCCATTTTTGCAGGGTGGAAGTGAGACCTGCGCAACTAAAAACAAGTTGATCGAAAAATCGGGCTAGTTTCCGCTCTGCAGATACCTGGTTTATATATCCCTGATCCAGCCGGTGTTGAAACCGTAGTGGCAACCACTCCTGAGCGTAACAAGTCCCTTATCTCGCTCCTCCAGGAACACAAGAGGAGGATTCTGTTTCCATTATCGGGATGAATAATAACTACAACACCAACAATGACCAATGGTCGAAGGAAAGAAAATCCTACCACATTAGTCACGCCATTTCGGGATATTTCCGCACTGGGCCCCCACCGTTGTTGGGCATCTCTGCGATTGCTAAGCAGGTGTATCTAATACTATCAATGTATTCATTATTTAATATTCTCCTGGCTAAACAGAATTGATTTTATTCGCAGGTACTTTATTCAAACATAGCATACGGAGCTTCTAATCCCAGCTTCTAATAAGTCTTGATATTACAACTCTCTTATGTCAACGCATGGATGATATAAAAATTTGAAGACAAACGAAACAAACAAAACACACAGGGGGAGCTTATCTCCGAGTTGGCCAATATACGCGTGTTTCTCGGCCCCTCCTTCCCAAAAGAGAAAACATTGTTGTCCATCTCTTCTCCGCACTCCACGATGTCACCTTGGCATGATGGCATTCCAACAGTTCATTCTTGTCGTTGCATTCTCGTTATGTCTTCTTCCTGGCTTTCACTACGCTCTGTTAACTCGCAGCCGAGTAGAGTAGCACCAGCTTCATTATGCCGACAATCAGAAGCTGGGCCCTCGCCCTGTTCGCAGCTCGTCATGTCGTCGCAGACTTCGATCCCTTGAGTCTCGTGGATCCTCTTATCGGCTCAGACAATGGCGGCAACGTCTTTGCAGGGGCCAGTTTGCCGTATGGAATGGCAAAGGCTGTCGCAGATGTCAATGGCCAGAATACTGGAGGTTTCGCGACAGATGGCAGCGGTGTCACTGGATTTTCGGCCATGCATGATTCTGGTGAGTTCCCGTCGCTCTTCACGCATTGAGCTATATCAGTCAAGGACACGAAATCAAGCTAACCGTCAAATACCTAGGCACTGGAGGGAATCCCTCGCTTGGCAATTTCCCTATACTTCCTCAGCTTTGTCCCGACGATGTCATTGACAATTGTAAATTCCTCATTACCGACCGCGCCGTGAACTACACGAACGCATCTGTTGTTGCGACGCCCGGGTATTTTGGCGTGTCACTGACAAATGGCATTGATGCGGAAATGACAGCAACTGAGCACGCAGCTCTATACAAGTTCAAGTTCCCGACGGGAGATAATGGCACTGGATCCAAACCATTCGTGCTCCTGGATCTGACTGATCTATGGCAGAGTCGACAGAATGCTTCGGTGAGCGTGGATGCAACCACGGGCCAAATCCGTGCCAACGGTACGTTTCTGCCAAGCTTTGGCGCAGGATACTATCAATCCTTTGTGTGTGTCGACTTTGCGGGTAGTCCAGTCAATGACACTGGAATATGGGTAAATAACCGCGCTGGCACGGAAGTCAAAGACCTTTTTGTCACTCGAGGGTTCAACCTGTTTTACATCCAGGCAGGTGGGTTTGTCACCTTTGAGCCTTCTTCGGATGGTGTGCTGTATGCCCGAGTGGGAGTCAGTCTAGTCAGCACCGAGCAGGCCTGTCAAAATGCGGAGAAAGAGATTTCTGAACCAAGTAAAGACTTTAAACGGATCCAGTCCGCTGCGGAATCAGCATGGAGGGAAAAGCTAAACCCTGTCTCTGTCAAGGCAGATGGTGTCAGCACAAGCCTGCAACAGATGTTTTGGAGTGGAATTTATCGTACAATGATGTCACCGCAAAATTACACAGGCGAGAATCCTCTTTGGAATAGTACCGAACCATATTTTGATTCTTACTACTGGTATGTTCTACATAATTCCACTGAAAACCAATTTCATACGTAATGGTGCTTACATTATTTGCAGCATTTGGGATGCGTTCCGTGCTCAACACCCGCTATTGACAATAATTGACCCAAGTGCGCAGTCTCAGATGCTACGTAGTCTGCTAGACATCTACAAGAATGAAGGTTGGCTACCCGACTGTCGTATGAGTCTTTGCAAGGGATGGACGCAAGGCGGATCCAATGCCGACATCCTCTTCGCGGATGCATATGTCAAGAACTTGACTGGGATTGACTGGAATTTTGCTTATGAAGCAATGGTAAATGACGCTGAGAACGAACCTCTTGAGTGGTCTTATGAGGGACGTGGCGGCTTGCAAAGCTGGAAAACATTGAATTACATCCCTTATCTAGATTTTGATTATCTAGGTTTCGGAACCAATTCTCGATCCATCTCTCGCACGCTCGAATATTCCTATAACGATTTCGGCCTAGCAACCGTCGCAAAAGGGCTTGGAAAGGACAGCGCAGCCAAGTATCTTTCGCGCTCAACCAACTGGCAGAATCTCTTCAAGAAAGACCAGACTTCTTTCATCAATGGGACCGACACCGGATTTAAGGGATTCTTCCAACCGAAGTATCTCAATGGTACTTGGGGTTACCAAGACCCTATAGCATGCAGCGCGCTGGCAAACTTTTGCTCGCTGACGAGCAATCCATCTGAGACATTCGAATCAAGCGTGTGGGAATATCAATTGTAGGTTTCTTTATGACATCATTCACCATTACCTTCACAAATAATGGATTATAGCTAATGACATACAGCTTTGTCCCGCACGACATGAGCAAGGCTATTGAATTGCTCGGTGGTGCTGAGGAATTCATCTCGCGGCTAGACTTCTTCCACGAATCTGGACTAGCTGACATCGGAAACGAACCTGTCTTCCTCACTGTATACGACTACCACTACGCCGGACGCCCTGGTCTATCGACCAAACGAGTCCATTATTACATCCCATCCTCCTTCAACGCCACCGAAGATGGGCTACCAGGTAACGACGACTCCGGCGCCATGGGCTCTTTCACTGTATTCTCCATGCTAGGCCTATTCCCGAACCCAGGCCAGAACGTATATCTCATCTCAACCCCATTCTTCGAGTCCGTTAGCATCAAGCACCCAGAAACAGGCAAAACAGCAACAATTCGCGTATCAAACTTTGATCCTACGTATAAGGACATCTACATCCAGAATGCGACTCTGAACGGTCAGCCGTATACGAAGAGCTGGATTGGCCATGAGTTCTTCCTGCATGGCATGACCCTGGAATTGACTGTTGGTGATAATGAAACTGCGAGTACTTGGGGAAAGAGCGCGGATGATCTGCCGCCAAGTTCGTCGGTGTCATCGATGCTTTCCATGTAAATAGTACTGTATCAGTAGTGACTTCCCGGTAGGGAATACGTTTCTGAATGAAAAATTTTCCATTATAATCAGTCTGGTTATGCAACGTAGAGATTCTGAGTTAATAATGTGTACATGTATGCAAGGTATCCATAATAACGACAAGAGCTCTATTCAAACAAAACAAACACCTGTTATGCACAAATAACCGTTCACTCCTATAGTCTAAGAAACGTAAATTCGAAATCATTAGTTCAGGAAAAAAAATATATATATTAACTCGTCACTTCAAGCTCCATCGGCAGCGTGTTCGGGGATAGCAGTGTGCAGTTCCTGTGGGGACACTGTTTCTAACCTATCCACCTCCTGGCTCGACCTAGACTGCCGCTCTTCCTCGGCTTGTTGCTCCCTCTCTTCCTGGTTTTCTTTATCAACCTGTTCCTCCCAGCTGTCAGCCAGATCATCATCAAAAGATAAGGCTTTCTTCGTCTTGGACGACCCGACCCCAGAGCGGAGGACGAGAAGACCGTTCTTTTTCCTTGGAGGTGACGACGCCTCTGAACTCAGAGCCGTATAGATCGATCCTCCGCCACGCTGCGCCGAAGCTGGGGTATGGCTTCGCGTCAAGTTGAAAAGTGGGGTACTGATACCGCCTGTACCGTCTGAAGTCTGTTGTGTTTGTTTCTTGCGCGATGCAACCTGTGCCCATCCCGCGGAATCAGTGAGTGCATCTTTGGAGGCTTCCCGGAGTGCCTTGGCTTCTGCAGCAGCGGCGCGGCGTGTTTCTTGTTCTTTGAGTTGCTGTCGTTCGCGAAGCCGGACGCAGTCGCCAACGGTCATACCACGGATGCCAATGCCGGACCCTAGGCCAATACCAGGGGAAGTCCACTGGGCAGGTCGGACGACAAAGACGTGTCGGTGAGGTGGTGGATCGAGACTCTCCGCTGCAAAGCCCCAGTCTGAAGCGAGACTGTGGACGAAGGCGCGGAGAGGGGGTTTAGCCGGACGAAATCGGACGGAGCGCTGTGTGGTGCTGGTGGCGAGGTTATGTAGGGTGGTTTCGTAGTCTTGGAGAGTTGAGAGAGTGGATGAGGATGAGAGTTTGACATAAATGTCAAGAGTTTCTTCCGAATAGGGGAGTAGAGGAACAGTATCGCCGGTGGTGTGGGCAGCAACTGGATGCTGACTTAGGGTTGTCGATGGGTCAATATCAACGTTCAAAGCGGATGCTAGAGTTCGGTTGCGTTCAAGACGCGCGCATTCATCGTCACATTTGAGAGGTGTCGCCGATGGAAGGGTTTCAGGTTGCTGGACTTGGCCTTTGGTGGTGACAGCTCGGGCGGCATTACAGCGTTTTTCTTTACGCAGACGGCCACAGGGGCAAGTAATGATGACTTTGGTAGCACATGGTTCCTTCTCAGAACAAGCGAACGGTGCATGGCATTGTTCTGAGCATGGGTGACCGCAAAGTTTCTTGATCTTACCACAGAGCTGTCTGCAAGGCCAGGAGGCATCTTCGCATTCCCCTGGACGATGACATTGTTTCTGACAACTATGAGAGCCGCATTTCAAGGGCTCCCCGCATATCATTCCGCATCTAGCATCGCTCAACCAGCATGGTTGATTCTTAAGCAGTTTCTTGCCACAAAGACACAACTTTTCGGTGAGAAAAGGGCATTTCGGGCACTCCTCCTCGTCCGTGTGGCAATTGTGTGACGTTTGAGGATGATTGCAAGGCTTTGCCCGTTCGCAATCATATCGACAAGGGGGTGGCCGAGTTCCACAAGGCTGAGGGGGGTACAAGACAGTGCGTCCACAGTGGCAGGAGATTTCGTCAAAGATAGCCTCTCTACACGTTCCACAAGGTCCCTTGTGGCACAACTCAGGGCAGGTGTGACGGTTGCATGTCAACATGCGCCCGCAAATACGGGTGCAAATATGCTCAGCTTCAACGTCATTATCTGCCCCACGGCCTCGAGCAGCGTTGAGTGACCTTAACTTGCGTTTGGTAGCCTGTCGCTCGATGGCCTTGCGTTCACCAGTACAACAATGATCCGTACAGGTATGGCGTCCACAGTTCATGCTTGCTTTACATATTCGGAAACATTGCGGGGGTTCCTGAGTACCTTGATGGCATACGGTTTTAAATGAATTGCGGCCACATCGGCAGTTGATGGATACTGTCAACAGGCATGGTCGACATGGGCCAGTATGACAGATCATCGGGCAGGAATGACCGCATGACAAACTCTTGCCACATGGCTCTGAGCAATTAGGGATAGAGTCCTCGCAGGACGTTCTGGGGACAAAGCCTTCGATTTTGGTCAACGGTGTCTTTCCACAAGGACAACGCAACACCACGTCCGGTGAGCGAGGACAATGAGGTGAATTCGCATCTTGGGGATGGCAACCTTTTTCACAGGTATGAATACCGCAGTCGTATGAGCGATTACATGGTTCTCCACAACGGAAGGACCCTATCCAAGTCTCAAGTTTTTCCGGATTGTCAGGTTCTGTGTCCAAAAGCTGACTAGTGATTTCATCTTCCGTCATGCTGCAAAGGATCTGTTTTTCAACTCTACCACAGTAACAGCGAGCATCAACCAGTTCCTCACAAGCATCACAAAAGCCTTCGTGGCACGGGCGCGAACAGAAATGCTTCCCACAGGGAAGCAAGTCGCCGCATATTTCTCCGCAACTCCAGCCATTGACATAGTCAGTTTCAACGCATCTTTTTGTGGTAGAATTCTTTCCGCAGAAACAATCCTGGGTTGGTCCCATGGCCGTGCAGGGTGAACATGGGCCTGCATGACAAGTGGAATCACAAGGATGCGGGCATCCCTTGCGCATCCGAGAGCAAGTCTGTCCACATGAATGGGGAGGTAATCCGGGAAGTGATTGTGGGTCTATCTCCTTCTCACACCAGCATGAATATGTAGTTGGGAAGACATCTTGTGGTAAATTGCATCCAGGACAACGCCATTGTCGAGCTTTGTCGATCTCATTCTCTCCTTGGGGTTGCTGCTGGTTCTGGAAAATCGAACCTTCATTACCGGACCATTTCTTGATGCAACCGAGGTGGAAAACCGTCCAACAAAGTCCACACGACCAAACACGCGACTTGCGGCTGAGCTCGTTTGTGCAAATTGGGCATTCGTAGAGGTTGTTCGCAATGTCCTCGTGGGTACGGGTTGCAATATCGTGGGCTGTGGACTTTGTCGTTACTTTAAGGGTGGCTTTCCGTTGAGAATGAGAATTTGGACTGGTTTTAGGGACAGTTGCGAGGGGTTTATTAGGGACGAATGCTGGGGCATCTGGTCGTAGATTGTCGCCGTCGGCCAAGCTCTCGTCGCCACCCGTGTTTTCCTGGGCCTCGACGTCCTCTCTTGTCAAACGACCACCAAATGCCCTGCCACCAATTTGTGCAGGGGGTTTGCTTGCCGCAGATGCATTAACTGTTCGATTATTCTTCCCCCGAGCCGTCCGATCACCGCGGTTTCCTTTGGTCTTTCCTCGGCCCCGTTCGCGGGTATTATTGGAACGTGTTTGTGGTTGGGGTTGTAACTGATCGGTAGGGACGTTGTCTGTGTGATTATGTGTTTCACCTACATCAGAAGGTGCAGGCTGCGGTGCTTCTCCATCACCTCCCCGGCCACGACCTCGACCTCGGCCACGATGGAAGCCCCGCCCTCGTCCTCGTCCTCGACCTTGACCTCTTGACCTGTTCTGTCCTCTGGTTTGAGACTCTAGATTTGCCGTCACGGCAGATATATTTTCGGCAGTGCTCATGATTCTTGAGCTGTGAAGCGCGGAGAGCGCTGTTTGATGGTTGTTCACCAAAAGCTGTGTTATTGCTGGAAGAATGGTGAAGCTGTGTTGCTGTCAGCGAATTGCGACGAGTCTGGCAAAATTTGGAGGGATAAGTCCTCAGAAACGAAACGAAAGAATTCAAATGTGTAGAAAAGTTCAAGAAAGAAGTTGAAGCCTGTTCCTGACAGACAAAGACGAGCAAAATATGTCCCGAGCACTTGCTGTGGCGGGGATTAATTCTGGGGCGACATAGGATTCTCCGCAACGTGATTGGCCGCGGCGCCGCGGTGGTGGCGGTGATCTCCGGCTAGATCTGGCTTAGGGCGGTGAGTCACCACGACTCATTTGGCGCAATTATTCATTGTTTCCCTTTGTTGCTGAGAATCGAATGACTCTTGATGACTTGGACGTAGCTGGTATTTTCAATGCAACCTACGATGTGTTACTGGTGCTGACCGATAACATGGACATGCCCATGCATCTCGAGTTTCCTTTGTGAGCAGGGAGTTCTATACTTTGATGCCCAAGCATATGCGTCTGTAATTTGAATATCAAATTTGACTGCTTACCTTTTGATTATTTACAGCCCAGAGTAGAAGCTCTATACTTTGTCCTGTTTGATCAACCTCTTAAGATTAGGTTGAAAGGGAGATATCTCGAAGATCATTGAAGAATCAAGGTTATGCGCAAACGAACTGAATTTCAAGTACTATATATAAATGACTTTAACGAATGACATTGGTTACAAACAACTGTGAGACATGTATGTTGAATACATGTTTTATAAACCGAAAGAAACCGAAAGAAAACAAGATAAAAGCACTTTTTAGGTTGCATATGAGGTAGCAGTAGCTTGGCTAGATTCAGAGTGCGACTGCTACGGCAGATTTCTCCAATCCAGCGGGTCCCTGTGCGTGAAGCTCGACGCAGCTGACGAACGAAAACAGTCTCAGGCGACGCTCGTAGAGATTCCTCAAGTTTGCACGCTTCCTTTCGTCAGCGTAATTGTGGCCAGTGATGAGAATCAGCATGAAGAATGTCTCGATCAAACTAGGGGGCACATTTGAAAGTAGCTGTCCCGTCTCGCTCCAATGCAATGCGCTGGATCCAGCAACAAGACCAAAGATAATAAAAAGTCCAATGAGGACTGTTATCTCATGTGCACTGATCCTGCCCATGATATCGGAAACTCGATACGTGAGTGTCGATTCATTGATTGTTTCCCTTGGCGGCGTAGTCAACCGCATTTGATGGAACAGGGCTTCATCCTCTTTGTCGATCGTGGCGAACTCGACTTCGGCATACTCGTCCAACCGCGCCTGCATGTTTCGTAGCACAAATCCATCGTTCATACCGACTAGGCCCGCATATGTTCCGATGATAAGCCACCAGTTTGCGTTAAACTGGAGAGCCGGGCCGATTGCAATCCATGCAACGATTACACATACGAGAATGGCGATACCAATAAGCGTTCCCACAAAGTCAGCGTAGTAGAAAATGGCACGCTGGACAGGGTTCATCTTGGGAGCAGGGATGACGACAACACTATTGTCTACTTGATCGCCGGTCAACGACCGAAGTTTCCGCTCCAGGGCTGAGTCCACGATAAAGATAGAATTCAGGCATGTCTTCGTGTATGCCGAATGACGTTCGTGGATATTAGCCAGGAAGGAAAATATGAACACCATGGCAGCCGACGAAGCCGAATTCATGTCCAACTGCCAGCGGTTGCTCCAGTCATTCATAGGGCCCATGCCGATCCAGACAAGCACAGTTATCCAGTAGATTGAGACTGAAATCAAGTGCCCGATGACGTGCGAGAATGCGGTGACAAAACGTCCGAATCGATTTTCACTGGGCAGTTCGGTTTGGAAATCGGCCGTATGTCGGTGTTGACTAGTTTCGCTTTCAGCGGCCAGAGCTACCAATTCTTCCTTGTTCAATTCTTGGCTGAGCTTGGTCATCATCCGGTTATGACTCGAGAGTCGGGACTTGAGCTGTACAGCAACAAGCATCTCGTCATCATACTGATTCAACTGCTGACGCACCAGCAGGGAGTCGAATAAATAACTGATGATGGCCTGGATGTCGGAGATCAGAACTTGCCAAATGTCAAGGTCGCTGTAAGGGATGCCGAGAAAAGCCCAAGTCACCAACCCAATGAAAATAATACCGAATACAGCCTTGGAGCCTGAGATGACGACAACGCGGTCAAGCCAGCGATCGAGGACTTTGGCCTTGGTTGCGGACGTGAAGCCGGCTGGATTATTATCTTCCCCCTCAACATGCTGGGTTGGAGCAGAGCCTTGGATTTCAGGCTTCGCGCCTGGTTTACTGATGACGCGCAGGAAGCGCTGCATCACGGTTGGATTTACACCCATATTTTTCAATTTTCTTAGTTTTTTTTTTGTTGTCGGTTATTATTTTGGTCAACCAGGAACCTGTTGTTGAATATCTATCTACATATATAGTTGATGCGTCAACCCATATGTCAATGGCTAAAAAACGGACCAACTCACATCAATTTGTTTTGTGAATATACTTTGTCTCTATTTTTGGCCAGCTCTTCAAGTGTCCATAGCTCGTCTCAATCAATCCTTTCCTAACTCTCTATATGGCTGTTGCTAAGGTGGTCGGTCAGGCTGTATTACTTGGCCGATTGGTGAGAAGAATGGCCGGACTGCAGCAATCTGCTGGACGATCACTGCAGACGAACGAACTTGGAAGGCAGGAGTGTTATTCATCGATGGGGAATTGTTAAGCAAGTTCATCAAAGTAGTGCAATTGAGTTGATCGCAACAATCACAAAGCACAGGAGTATTGGATATTTGGTATGTCAGTCAGAAAAATTATTAATTTTTTCCGTTCGAAAAAAATAATAAAAAATTTCGGTGTGTACTCCGCTAGGTGGGCTTGCGAAAATTATATAGTGAAGGAAAATAAAGGATGATGACATGGTCACTATGAGGGATTTTCGTCCCGGAAGTTTGTTTTCCGTCTGTGCGGCTGAGTTCTCCCTGTCTTTTTTCTTCCTGACCGCCAGTGATTTAGGCTGAAACAATACTCGATGCGGCATGAGCCCGGGTCTTTTTGCATGTTTACAAGGCTGTGCTGTCCAGAGGTGGCAGATGGCAATACCGTGTGGTTGGTCATCCCAATAAGGGGTGGACTTGTTTCTCTCGTCAATGTTTGACTTGAGGGCCTTTACTTAGTATTCAAATGTAGTATCGAGATCCCGTATACCCCTTACTGACGGCGGAGTGAAAACGTGGCAGAGCCATATGCGATCCGATGAGTACAGAGAATTGCAGGCGTCGCGCACGTTGACGAGATACAAGCAGACAGATAAGCTTCGGACAAAATTTCCCAGCAGTCCGATTGCCCAGTTAAATCCCGCGCCAAGACCGACCGTCGAACACGATCCACACCTTATTTATACTTGGCTCGCTAGGCCAATCAGGACTGTCTCGTTTGTGACACATTTTATTCAGAATAAAGTCCTCTTATGAGGTGATGCCACAAAGCATGCTTTACTTCCCGCCCTTTTGAAGTTGAAATAGTGAATACCTGGTGTATATGATACAAAGACATTGACCTGGGGATGTGTATTGAAATTGTTTTATAGAAACACAAGTGATAGTAAATCTTAACGAGTCCTATAATTTCACACGATTGATCTTTCACTTGCAGATCAAAGCGAAAAGCACCTCAACTGCCCATTAAGTCCATTGACCCTGAGACCATGCATCACAATTCTAATACAGAACCGGACGGCAAAATGAAACCACGGTAAGGAAAACAACATAGCTGACTATTCCCTAATACCTTGCCCTATATCGTTCATGACACCTTGAGTAGGGAATCAGAATCAGACAAGAAAATAAGACTTAAGGTGAGATTCGTTTCAGGTCGGTGCTAATTCCTGAATGTGTGGTTGCCATTTTGTAGACCTCATGCATGGATATGACTCGCTTTTGAGTTGATTGATGAATGTACTAGGATGACGAATTCTTTGTGTTGAATAGAATTTGGACAGCAGTAGACATGTTGCTTGCAAGTAGAAGAGCTCAGGTGTAGATCTCATAGTCGCTCTATGTCCAAATTTTTCGCGGCAAGTACAGAATTCCAAGAGATTCCCTTGCAGGCTTGGTCACAGAGCGGATATTCGCCTGTGTCCACTTCATGCCACCCAATTTGACTTTTCATTATCTTGCCATCTGCATCGTATTGACGGGTAACTTGAGGTATGTTGTCACACTTGAGCACGGGCGTAACTGGGCAGACACCTCCTTGGAGATGAAGAAGTAAGCCGCTGGTATCACTGTATGTGCTCTTGCAAATGAGACAAGAAATCGGCAAGCGAAGGTGCGCTCCAGAACTCAGATGCTATTGATAGATGCATTCAAAGAATTAATAAACAACGTAACTCTCTAACGCGATTGAATTCAATTCTTACCTTCTTATGGGATTCCTCGTGTGTGAATCGTAAATTACATGGCTTGCAGTAAGTTTTGTAATGCTTGGTCGCAATCATGTGTTTATTAGCTGCATCTTGCGTATAGAACTTCTCCGAGCACGTCCCGCAACCGATTGTTAGTGACCAATGACCAAGTGCCTTTTTGTGCTGGTGGACTGCATTCTTAGAGTAAAACTGTCTGTTGCAAGTCTCACACTCAAGTCGAGCATCCCAGTGATTAAGGGCGTCCATATGCTGATAAGCGGCGTTCTCAGTATCACAGGTCTCACATTGAAAGCAACTCATTTTTATCGACTGAGGTTCTGGTCAAGGAATTGAGAAGGATTTGCCACTGTTGAAACCAGCGGTGCTGCCGCTCCTGAGGAGGTTGTTTGTTTATGATAAGGGAGCTGCAAACACGAATATTACCAGTTCGGTAAGGCCAAGGAAAACTCGTTCGATTTCGGAAGTCGCACAACTATTGTAACAACGTGCAAATTATTAGCATTGCGAAAATCAAATTTGAAATGAGATATAATTGACAGTGGCCTAAAATTGCAATTTTGACCCGGAAACTCTCATTAGACGTGAATAGGAATCGGGGACTAGACGTTTGACTGACGTCGGTGACAAGAAAAGTGGACTAATGTGAAGCAGAAGAGAGACATGGTGAACGTTGGCAAGCTCTGAATACCCAGATGAGTGCTGTTCGTAACCTCAATAAAAGCTCAGGAATTGTATATCTTCCGTTGCAGACTGATCGTGTTGTTGATGCAAAGATTGATATATATATTTGAAAAGGCGGTAGTTAAGATATAACGAAGCATTTGAGAGGCTAAAGGTGCTGTCTATATATTTTAGACGGATAGACTATCCGACTTAACGGTAAGATGGTCTATGAATTGGTCTCCATTTTTCATCTCTTTACATTCTTCTTATTCCTCCATTCTATTTGTTCTGCGCTGGGTCTTTGAATAGTCACATGAACATTGATGAGTTTCTTAGCCCGGCAATAAGAGTATATCTATACCAAGAGACTACCTAGTACCAAAGCTGAGTTGTATAATTATTTTCTTACAAGGTCATATTAAGTAGCTTCCATTAGCTATGAACCTAAAGTACTACGTCCTTTACAGGCAAATAATTCAAATGTTGTGAGATTAGCGTGGACAAGCCGCATATGCATGCTACACATCTCAATTTTCTTTTTCCTACATATACAGGCTACTAACACACAATATTACTAAAGCGGTGAATTACGTACTTGCCGTCAAAAGTCTGAAGAACTACAGTAATTGATCAGTTCAAGGTTTCATTCATATTAAGAGCAAATCTGGACCTGTACGGAATAAACCATTTCAAAGACTACCAGTGCAAGCCATAAATAGTCTCATGCATAATTTCAACGTCTCAATATCATATCTGACACCGATTAGACAGTATTAAGGCTGAACAAGAATAATTTCGGCCTTGCTAGGGACTCCGTTCAGCAAAGCAAACAAATACCAGTATCCTGGCAACATAACACCAGGGTCGCTCAGCAAATTGAGAGTGAAAAGGGTTGGGGTAAGAGCCTGGGGCGACATATACACCCGGCGTTGATCCGTATTGACTGTATGTGTCGAGCTTCCCATACGGACCATAGACCAAGTGAGCTTCTCATTAGAGGCCACAGGTTGCGAAAGAGTAGCGTAGAGTGTTCCGCCAACCTGAACAGTGGAATTCCCCACACTGGTGATGATGGGGCGAGTAGCAAGAGTAACGCCATCAGCTTCGTAGAAATATGGAGGGAAAAAGGTATGCGCATTCAAATGATTCGTGTCACATTCACCCGGGCACAGACCACCACCACCAATGAAAACAGTCGCATTCGGAAGGAGTATTGCACTGGAGTGGTAGTTGCGAGGAATTGGGAGTGCTGCCATTTCCGTGAACTTTTTAGTCTCTGGGTCCCAGATTTCGGGGATCATGCTCGAATTGCCATCCGAGAAGACGACGGAATGTGACTGACCGCCGACGACGAAAACTTTACCGTCAGGCAAAATGACAGAGTTTGCAAAGGTACGAGTAGAATGCATTGGCTCGAGTGTCTCGACAGTTGCTTGACTGCCAGGCTTTCCGATAGTGATTAAGTGAGCATTGGCAGTAGCATCGCTGTCATTGTATGAAGGCGCACCTCCTAGAGAAAGGATCTTTCCCTTGTTGGCGTCATACATGGCCACCGTTCCGGTCATGGCATCACCATCATTATTGCGAATTCCAGCCGGCGTGGAAGTTCCGTTGTCATTTATGTCAAACCAGTTCATCCGAGTGCTTGGCCCAGCTTGAAACACTGATGCGTTGGACCATGCAAACAGCCAGGCATGGTTATCAGATCGATAGAGCCCGCCTTCATCCTTTGTAAGGATAGTCTCAGCTGAAGCATTAGATAGGAGAGTCCATTCGTCCTTATTGACATCATAGACCTCGCCATTCTTCCCACCGATACCGCCGCTAAAGGAGCCACCTATGGTAAAAATGCGTCCATCCGAAAGGATAGTTGAGGAATGGTAACCACGAGGGATATGCATATCAGAAACAGGTTTCCAATCCTGCCCATCAAAGACGCTGGTCCTTTCTTCAGTGTCACCTCCAGCGACGACGATGCGCCCTTGGAAGTCGAGACTGATACTAGGACAGAACATGTCATGTCTCAGATGGGATACAGTGAAGTGCTCGACAGCGCATGCTTCAGGGTCGTAAAAGGCGGTTTGCGTGATATCGTCTCCATGAACGAAGAAACTGTCATTTTTGAAGGAGGACCAGGCAACAAGTATTTTGGTAGTAGGAACAACAGCCACAGCGACCGGGACCAGAGGAAATTTAATTTGGTCACTATACGGGTTCGCAAGAGTTGGCTGGCGGCCATCATGGAACAGTGCTTCAGTAGTGAGCACAAAAGCTCCAAGGAGGAGTGTATGGGGTCTCATGTTGACTTATTTTCGAGGTGGATAAACACGAAAATGAAGACTGAGAGTGTTATTGAGGGATGAAGAAAAAAAGATTTTCTTCAGGAGAGGGGGGCTCTATTTAAGCAGACTCTGTGTTGCTATCTCGTGCAAGCGGAGTATCAACGTTGCACATGTGTAGCTGGCTGCCTTCGTACAAATGAGTCGGCCGGAAATAATCGACTGCTGTGTTTAGGTGCTCACAGAATAAAGAATTAGAGGAACTAAATTCAATTTCAGTATAGTGGAATATAAATCTTTTCGCTTGGCTTGAACGTGCTTAGTACTTCAATTTAGGCAACTCAACTGCACACATTCCTTCCTAAATAGGCATAGCACTATACTATGTTATGACGTTACGAACCCACGGTTGGCAGCACCTACTAGTACAAATCCGCTTCTCAGTCTAAATAGCTTTATGGCTGACTATATTCATGCCTGCAATTTCTACATCAAATTATTCTTCTAATCCTATTCTGCCGCTCGACAGCTCTGTCGATGACGGCAGCCTTGATCTCTTCGTCGTGGTTGTTTAACCAGGCCACCACACTCATTCAGGCATCCATGAATCTATTTTCTTAGCATTTCATGAATCATTTCCAGTGTCTCGATATTTGAGCGTGTCAGGAATCGAAAACGTGGATGATGACGAGTGTCCTAGGAACATTTGAATATATTGACAATGATAATCCCATCAAGCGCTGCATAAGTACTATTTGCAAGGAATTCCGGCTATTCTAAGATGCAAATGTCGTCGTGAATTAATGTTGTGTAACATAAGTCGGGTATCACTCGAAAATATTAAAATTGAATAGAAGCTCCCACAACTATATGCTATACTGTGGAATTCTACAACTAGATATATTCTCCAATCTTAAGCTGGAGGAGAAAGTCAAGCGATCAAATATTTTGAATATGTAATCAACGAAGAGTATGTCGCCTGGTAAATACATATGACGAGAGCAGTGATTAGCCTTGAAGACCAAGGACTAGAAAAAGTCAATCGCTTCTCAGATTCTCCACTGCTCTCCGCCTATTTTATGAATAATTACATGAATTGATTTGCGGATTTCTGCAGATTCATATAAGCAAGGGGGTTTAAGAAGAGTATTGACAAAATTAAAATTAAAATCCGAGGTGCAGAATAAGACTCAAACAAGGGTTGAGTCGAGTTCTGTTGATCAGATGAAATGAATGTGAAAGAAGCTGTATGAAATTCGAGTCAGCATGTTTCGTTTTGTTTTTTAAAAAGGTCAAGTGGATCAGAATAAAGAATGAAAACAAATTTCACGTACAATATAAACACGTCGAATGTGGCAAAGCTTGTAGGCCATTGTTAAATGGAAGGATTCGATTCGTAATCATCATGTTTCTTGCTTGTATTCGCATGCCGATGGAGTATCATAATTTGGTTTGTTTCCGTCGTAGTCATCATCGGCATAAAGCATAATTGACTATCTCCCAAACCTCGTTGTTTGAATTTCACGCTTCCTGTCAACCTCCAGCCAAACATTCGGCGAAAATCAACGACGGGCAAACTTCACATGTTGATAAACTGTCGAAACGCATACCAGACTAAGCCAGGTACAAAGAAGCAGAGAGAATCGCAAGCAGAGCAAATTCCAATGGTTGATTCAATTTAACGAGAGTGGCTTTCAATGTTGCTCCACTGGCACAACAAATTAGTATTTGAAACAAGTTCATACTTCATCACTCCAGGACTCCATCATCAACTTACATTTCTCAATCGATACTTGGCGGCTGGATATTGTCTTTCTTTGCTTTATCGCATATCTCGCCAACACCCAAGCACCACCTGCTGCGTTCGGTCACAACAGGAGCAGCAGCTACCTGCTGGGCGAGCAATAACAGCATAATCTGGGTTATTAGGATGAGTGGCTTCATTTGTAATGTATGTCGCGGTGCGCCTTGTCACTCACTCGTGGGTTATGAGGTTGGAGTTGAGTAAAGAGACAACGAGATAGCTTTGAAGTGTGGACACTGTGGAGCTACTCGATCGATGCAGGAGGAAACAAGGGAGCTGAGGAACAATTGACTTTCCTTTATAATCTCTCAAAGAACACCATGGCGCAGACGAGCTGGCTGGCACTAAATCACGTTGATATCACGCGCACTGTCAATAGACGGACAGGGAGATTTTGGGCAGCAATAAAGTCGTATTCGAACCAACATTGTCGATAATATGGTATCAAATCAGCAGTGAATCTGCTCAAAGACTCAATAGAATCTCCAAGTGGCGACGTTGAGGGCGTTGAGGGTGTGATTCCGAGTTGGTGCGGGATTTCCGTTTTGGTGTATCAATAAGCCCCTGGCACTTCCCAAACGGGTGTTCAATAAGTCCACAACGTGAAGATCCCTCACAAAAGTGTCAAACCTCAAATTATGGACTGCTGATTATGTGTTTGAATTTTTCTTTTCATTATCCATCGCAGTAAGGAATATTCCAATTTTCTATGTATGTTGAGGTTTTCTGAAAGGCCCGACTCGGCAATATCAATACCGAAGATTCACTACCGTCAGAGGATATGGCAGCTTTTACTATTATGATAGCCTCTATTTAAACACTGAGCACTAGCTTATCACGTCATAGGAACGTGGTCGGAGGATATCAAAATCCCTCGAAGCCACTATCCAGTAATTCATTAGTTTAAGCTTTCCAAGGTAAAGGACATACAGTCAAGAAGGACTAGAATAGAAGGCATGGTAGCGAACTAATAATGGAGATAGTTATGAAATACTACTGGCCACAGGCGGATTCTGCAAACTTTCCAGGCTATAGGGATTTGCGCTATTCAATAGCTCCTGCGAATAGCAGTTCGTCCTTACCGATCGCATACGGAAATAAGCATTCGCATTCGCATTGGCCTTTGAGGGCCTGGATTTAGACGCTCGATTTGCCACAGAACCATAACAAAGATTGCTTGTTGTGCATTGGCTTGAGCTTGATTTTCACGTCCAATCTCCATGAGCTTTCAGTTTCTGACACATTGGTACGCCGAGTGTGGTCTATTATCTTGTTGTTAATCCTTACAGAATAGACTAGAGCGAGCGTGCTGTTTGCAGATCTATTGCTTATTGACCAAGATGAAACGTACATATGCTGAGTTACTAAATGTAGAACTCGAACCTACTGTGATGGATCACGGTAGCTCTATGAACGAAAGAATACCAATCACTCCATTCCTTAATCGCTGCCATCTACATCGTTGCTTAATAATGATGAACGGTATGAATGCCTAGTCAAATCCACGAGCTATTTCATAGTCGGCGAGTCACGGCTGCGTACTTGATATGCAGCACTCGGGCCATGTCCAGGTCTGCTTGAATTTTAAAGGCTAGCGCCGTGGAGCAGCTTTCGAATCTACAGGGGACAATGTGCGTTTCTTTGAACACGCTTGGCAATGCTGGCCGTGATCACCCATTAGCCACGGTGCACTTCACATAGAAGGTTGTATCTCTCGGAGAATTCCAAGATGGTGCCAAGGTAAGCTGTCCCATCTCCAGCCACGTCATATTTGAAGCTCAATAGCCACGACGGCGTCCTCCATGGTTGCATTCATCATGCCATACTTTGTGTCACAAAGAGTGAAAATCAATCTAAGCGTAGCGTAGTCATGAGAAGTAGAAAAGTTAATCTGCGTCAGAGTTCCTAGCCGTGGTAACACCCGAATCCATACTGGTGGCTATGAGACAGTGTTGATTGACGGATGCTGATAAGTCGCTTCCCTGACATGATTGGCGAACAACGCCGAAAGCAGCCTAGCATTCTGATTGGCCTATACGGCCGAACAGCCTCAACAGTTTTTCCAGAGATGAAGCCCACGATGGCCATTGGACCGTCGAAGAGATCCAGGAGTCGCACGATGCAGTAGAATCAGCTTACTGGCTGTGGACGCGTCTGTGAACGATAGATGCCACCATGACGTGGGGCACGTGATGTGGAGATGACGTTCGGAGCAGCGGAGCAAATCATCGCTGGGTGTGTTCGCCGCAGCTTCGAAGCAGCACCTCAAGTCTTCTGCTTAGAAATACCCTGCTGTCTGCTGCTCGGATTTTCTTGCGACACAGCGTCTACGGCAAAAAACGGCATCTAATTACGAACTCTGTTTGCCTGTGGAGGGCGACAAATTGCTCCGGAGTCCGCTGCGAAGGGCCAACAACAAATAGGACTTCGTTCCGAAGCTGTCGGTTAAGAGGTGAATGTACTTACCCCTCACGATAATAACAACCAGTCACCACGGAGCGTCTTTATAATTAGCTGAAGCGCCTGTTCCCCCATCACTGCAATGGAGCGACTCGTCCGTCCTGTGACTCGACAATTAACAAGGCAATCCCTGCGATACCCTTATTCAATACCTACAGCTCCCGCCTTCCTACGACTATACAGTATGGGCCATACCGTTCCTCCGGTAGGTGCATCATGGCTATAGAGTTTGCAATATTTCAGCTAAATCTGGTTTCAGTTGAAAGACAAGTCCTTGTTCATCGAAAAGGCATATGTCAATGGCGAGTGGGTTGGTGCCCAGTCAGGCAAGACATTCGAAGTTCACGGTGAGAATTGCCGCGGTTAGAACCCCAGGAAACGGCTTGCTAATGGATAATAACTGCAAAGACCCTTCCGATGGTAAACTCATCGGGACTTGCCCAGAATTCGATGCCGCCGATACAGAAAAGGCCATCGACGCTGCTGCCGCCGCTTTTCCTGCATTTCGCAAGACCCTTGCGCGCGAACGTGCCCGCATGCTGCGAAGATGGTATCAATTAATGGTAGACAACGCAGACGACCTAGCAACACTAATTACATGGGAAAATGGCAAGCCTTTTGCCGATGCCAAAGGAGAGGCCATCTATGCTGCAAACTTCTTTGAGTGGTTTAGTGAAGAAGCTCCCCGTGTCTACGGAGACACTATCCCGTCATCAGTGCCTGGTAACAGAATTATCACCCTCAAGGAACCAGTCGGTGTTTGCGGTCTCATCACTCCATGGAACTTCCCCGCTGCCATGATCACACGAAAAGTGGCGCCTGCTCTGGCAGCTGGCTGCACAGTTGTCGTCAAGTCCCCAGGCGAGACACCTTTCACTGCCAATGCCCTAGCCGAGCTGGCCCATCGTGCCGGGATCCCCAAAGGTGTTGTTAATATCGTAACCACCAATGAGAATGTGGCTGAGGTCGGCGAAACCTTGACCACTCATCCTACCGTCCGGAAGGTCTCCTTCACTGGGTCGACCAACGTCGGTAGACTACTCATGAAGCAGGCCTCTTCGACCATAAAGAAAGTTTCCTGGGAACTCGGAGGCAACGCACCATTCATTGTGTTTGATGACGTCAAGGATATTGATGCCGCCGTTGCAGGCGCTATCACCTCCAAATTCCGCAGTTCAGGACAAACCTGTGTATGCGCCAACCGCATCTATGTTCAGAAGGGAATTTACGACGAATTCGCGAAGCGGTTCGCTGATAAGGTCAGAGGCTTCAAACTCGGACCCGGCTTCGAATCAAGCACTACGCACGGCCCAGTCATTCACTCGCGCGCCGTCGATAAGGTTGCCGAACACGTACATGATGCTGCATCCAAGGGCGCCAAGGTCGTCGTTGGCGGCGAACGAGCGACGGAGTTTGGAGAAAACTTCTATCACCCAACCGTCTTGACGGGCATGACCAAGGACATGTTGATAGCCTCTGAAGAGACTTTTGGTCCTGTCGCTGGGCTATTCCCCTTCGAAACAGAGAGGGACGTCATCGAACTCGCTAACCGTGCCGAGGTCGGCCTAGCTGCATATTTTTTCTCTAGTGATGTTAAGCGCTGTTTCCGTATCGCTGAAGCTTTAGAGGTCGGTATGGTCGGCGTGAACACAGGTCTTATCAGCGATGCTGCTTCACCGTAAGTTACTTTTGATTCCTGCGCATTTATCGACCTTGCATACTAACTCGAATGTTTAGATTCGGCGGCGTTAAGCAGAGTGGGTTTGGCCGTGAAGGCAGTAAGTACGGTATTGACGAATTCGTCACCATTAAGGCAGTTACTTTTGGAGGCATAACCGAGCCAGAGTCTTAATATAGTGTACATTGGATAGATATTAAAAATTGAAATTCTTGGTAATAAAACTAAAAATATTTTGCATGATAGTGCTACCAGCTCGGTTCAATGTTTGTTATTAATCCGTATCATTCTTAAAAAGACAACTATTCCCTGCTCACACATGTAGCTTACAATCTTAATGACTCATCGAAGATCAATGCTGATATAAACAATAGTGGGCACTCCCCCTAAACATCAATTTGTATCGCCACAATCTAGAATTACTAGGCGCAGGCCGTATCTTATCTAACTGTGCTTATCTTATCGCTAGCAATTTTCTCTTTCATGTGACTTCCAACATTGTCAGTAGCGCAGCACGGGCTGGGTCAATCGATTTCAATCAATGAATCATGATTGATGCTCACTGACCCAAACTCTTAGTCCCATACAAGTCCTGAAAACATGTCGTCCACAAAGGACAGTCGGGTGAAGAGACCGGCCTCTCGTAGCCCTTCCCGCTCTGGCTCCGGACTACGGCTTTCAAAACATCACCGCGAGCGAGTAGCCAAGGAAGCCGGTTGGTTCCCTATCGTTCCATATGCATTGCTGTAGTAGAAGGGAATGGCGTTTACTAATTCCTGCGCCAGCTCAGAAACAAGCCAACGACCTTCACCTCGTCGAACGCACTAATGCCCTCTCTCTCCAAGATTTCATAGCCAACTTCATCGATCCAGTAGCCCTCCAGATACGCACAACGACAGCCCTCGCCAAGGATAGCACAACGGAATACCAAGCCCAAATACACACCGCAAACACTATCCCCGAACCAGACTTCGAGGGCTGTTTTGCACTGATCGAACAGACCTCATCGGCCGATTACTCCGCGTCGTCGATAGGATGGTCGCCGTCCAAGAAGAGGAAGGAAATGCGGTTACCGGATATGCGCTACATGGTTTTGCGGTCAACAGAAGACTGGGGAGAAGCATCCGCCGGACACAGCCAGACGGAGACTAGGGAGGAAGGCGTCCGACAGCGAACGCCGCCGGTGGCAGGGTTTCTGTCCTTTATGACGACGTATGAGGACGGGAAGGAGGTCTTGTATTGTTACGAGGTTCATGTGAATCCGGCGTTGCAGGGACAAGGGCTTGGGGCGCAGGTGATGCGTTTGTTTGAGGAGATTGGTAGCAGGATTGGCTTGGAGAAGACTATGTTGACTGTCTTCACAGCTAATGCGGCTGCGGTGAGGTTTTATGAACGGTTGGGGTATGCGGTCGATGAGTACTCGCCTGGACCGAGGAAGTTGCGGAATGGCACTGTGAAGGAGCCTGACTATTTGATTTTATCTAAGGCGCTGAGGTAGATTTATCTTTCGGCATGGTGTACGCTTTTCGTTTAGATTTAGATTGGATGATAGAATCTTCTATAGTTACGATATAAATGATTTTCTCTTTTATGATTGCTAATGAATATGATTTTCGTATCAGATTTGCCTGACCTCTTTGCCTTTCATCTCTGGATGGTCCTCTTCCCATTCGTCTCGTAAGGCAGCGAAAATATAATCGGCAACTAGAATTGTCAGACCGAGGCTCCAGACCAAAGTGATGGCGTAGAAAAAATTGGCATTTCCAGAGCCCGCGTAGATCCACAAGTGATAGAATGCTGGGCCTAGAAGGGTGGCATAGAGTAATGCGGCCGCTGCGAAAAAAGTGTAGCGTGTGACTGAAATATCATTAGCAAATAGTATAATTGTTTAGTGGTGGTTTACACTCACGGGGCGATAGGTGCCGGTACAAAGGCAAGAGTCCAAAGTACAGCGATACGTCGGCAATACTTGGGTATGGTTTGAAGATAGCGAAGATGCCGACCAGCGAGGTTATGACGAACAAGGGTTGGCGCCGCAGTCGAATAGTCAAGCCTCCAACGTAGCCGGCAAGGTGCAACCAGAATACACCAAGGAAAAACCCGCGGAAGGAATCAAATATCTCAATAAAGAAATACCACCATAAACCCGAGTTTGGAGTAAGGTCAGGAACGAGGAGATGAGCTCCGTATGTTGCAGATATGAACTCCCATGAGAACCCTGTGATAGTGAATGAAGCCCCCAGGAGGGTACCCACAGTTGCGATAAAAATACCAAGGCGTTCAAGCACAAAACCTGCCTTTTTGGGCTGGACTTTCTGGTTGCTAGCTAGGCGATCATAACACAGGAGCACTAACGGCGGAAAGAGAAGCGCGGGATATAGTGACAGATAGGATGCAATAGCCAGGGCGATCATTGCATTTACGTTATTCCCATTGACAGCATTTGAGATTGCGTAGAGAATCGAGGTATTTGTAAAAATCGTGGTCGATCGGGCAAGACACGTAGAGACAACAAAGGGGTTGAATAAGTACCTGCATCGGTTAAACATTCTGACAATTATGCAGTGTTAGAGAGCCTACCAAGCAGCAATGGCCACTCCATCCCATCTGATATTCTTGCGCAAGGTATTATGTAAACGACTCGTAATGGATTCGGAGGACTCGGATATGCGAATCAGCGCATTCGCGTTCAGGAGATCAATTGTCATATACAATAAATGGGTGGCTAAAGGGTACGCCCGCGAGTTGGGAAGCAAGGATAATATAGGGAGAAGCAGAGGTGCCTACCAAACAATTAGCTAACAGGTATACACGTTGAAAGGCCACAGTACCTGGTGGAAAACACCGCCATCGTATGGAGACACATTGTGGGTATATAGAAAGAGACCCTCTTGCACTGATCCTTAGTTAGATTCGAACCGCCGCACCGGACATCCAATACTAACATCTCTTAAAGCTACTGATTGGCGTCGAGACCTCTACTCGCGATGTCAGGAGGTCTGGCAACGAGGGAAAGGTAGCGATGAGCAAGAGTCGTAAAGCAACTGCTCCGGCGAACACAGCCGCTTTCCGTCGGTCGACAGGCATTGTTGATTTATTGAATCAAATGCGTCAAGACCATAGCAAATTTCAAAAAAGCGAGCCAGATGCACGGCACAGAAAACACGCCGATGCGGGCTAAAGCAGATGGAGTGTTGTTTTGAGGCTCCAGCTGGCATCGCAGCTTCCCGCAATCCAGACTGCGCACGGGCCACATTGGTCCTTCCCGATTAAAGAAAAAGTCGATAAGTTTTTTTCTTCACATTCGTTATCAGCTGCTACAACACTCGACAAGTCGCATTGCGCAGCAACCCACAATGGCTAAAATAAAGAAGAGAGGTCGGATTCACCTTTGTGTTGTACGTGCTGAAAAATTCTAATATTGATCGCAGGAACCACTGGCCAAGCCAAGAACTTTATCACGCGAACCCAGGCCGTTCGTAAACTGCAGATTTCTCTTCCGGATTTTCGAAGACTATGCATTTTCAAAGGTGAGCCGGGGAGTTCATAAATAACAATGCTTCTCGACTTACGTACTCCTTTCTAGGGATTTATCCCCGTGAGCCCCGCAGCAAAAAGAAGGCATCCAAAACTTCCACTCCCAATACGACTTTTTACTACACCAAAGACATCCAGTACCTCTTACACGAGCCGTTACTACGCAAATTTCGTGAACAAAAGTCTCTCGCAAAGAAGATCGCCCGTTCCCTTGGCCGCGGTGAGGTAGGAGACGCTGCGCGACTCGAGAAAAATCTCGCCCCTAAACTTAGCCTTGACCATATAATCAAGGAGCGTTATCCAACCTTTGTCGACGCATTGAGGGATCTCGATGACTGTCTTTCGCTGCTCTTCCTCTTTGCAAGCCTTCCGTCTACTACCTCCGTACCTCCGAAGACAATTGCCCAGTGTCAGAGATTATGCCATGAGTTCCAGCACTACTTGATCACCACGAATTCGCTTCGAAAGTCATTCCTTTCTATCAAGGGTATTTATTATCAAGCGACTATTCAAGGACAAGACATTTTGTGGCTTGTTCCATATCGTTTTGTCCAAAAGGTGAATGGCGATGTTGATTACCGTATCATGGCCACCTTCGTTGATTTCTATACCACCCTTCTCGGCTTCGTTAATTTCAGGCTATATACATCCATCGGTTTGGTCTATCCCCCCAAATTTGATGCTATAAGTGATGAAAAGGGAGCTGAATTGACTGCCTTCCGCCTTGAAGGCAAAAATGTCGAACAGCTCAAAGCCATCGAGCAACCGAAAGCAGCCACAAATGCTTCAAACAATGAAGTCTCGCGTGAAGTCCAAGAAAAGGTTGACAATGTTGTTAAAATGGCTGGTCTAGACAAAGATTCTGGAGAACAGGCTGCTGAGGACCAAGCGACGAATGAATACGCCATTGACAAATTCGAACCCGCTGCACCTGAAGCCGATACTCTTCCTCAGCCCGAAGCTAGCGGAGATGAGGCCGGCAGTCTATTCTCTTCTTTCACTTTCTTCATTTCACGAGAGGCTCCCAAAGCACCATTGGAATTTATTCTTCGCGCATTTGGCTGCAAGAGGATTGCTTGGGATGAAATTTCTGGAGAAGGCGCTTTCACGCATGACGAGAAAGACACTCGCATTACCCATCAAATTGTTGACCGTCCACAGCTTCCAGAATCAGCACTTCCATCCGTTCCTGAAGATTCAAAGAACGGTGCAGTGAAAGTACGTAATGGCGGTCGTATTCCGGGAAGAACATATATTCAACCACAATGGGTTTGGGACTGCATCAATGACAGTAAACTGTTGCGACCCGACCTCTATGCACCTGGGGCAACCCTTCCACCACACTTGAGTCCATGGGTGAAGACAACCAGAGGCGCATATGATCCTCGTATAACTTTGGCCGCCCAAGAAGAAGAAGGCGAAGCTGAGCGTGCTGCCGAGGAAGAGGACGAAGAAAGTGAAGACGAAGAAAATGTTGCGGAGGCAAAGGCTACAGAAGTTGACGATGAAGAGGAAGAGGAGGACGAGGAGGAAGACCATGGAATGGACGTCGATGGTTCCGAGGATAGTGAAAGCGAGGAAGAGGAAGAGGAAGATTTTGGTGGTTTTGACGATGCTGCAGATGCTGTCTCGGAATCTGAAGACGAAGAAGAGGCCCTACGCTCTCAGCATCAGAAAGAACTCGAAGCCGAAGCTGCTGGTCTACCATTCTCTGGATCAACGAACGGAACATCATCCGCCAAAAAGTCCTCGAAAACGAAGAAATACGAAGCCGAGAAACGGAAAGAGGAAGAGGAACTCGAGAGACAGAAGATGATGTTGAGCCGGAAGAAGCGCAAGCTTCTGGATAAGATGCTTTATTCCAACAAGAAGAAGGAAGAAGAGGCGCAGAAACTGCGGAGCAAGCGCAGGAAAATCGAGAATGCCACCAAATCACAAGCTTAAAAGTTTATCTACATTTCATTTTGACGAGTCTGCGGTGTTAGGAAGGCTACACTTTTGGGAATAGCTCAGCTAGTATATCAAATTTCATTTTTCATAATCCCATCTTTGATGCCAGTAGAACTCCCGCCATTTTCGTACTATGCTGTAATTGGGGCCAGATTTTTAAGGCTCCGAACCAGAGCGGACCCACCACATCTGCGCAGGTTTCCGCGAGCCCAGTTTATGGAAACTTTTCTCAACGCCTTCTTTACCGCCACGACGTGCAAATGCAGAGCACGCTTTTCCCCTGCGGATGACGGCTACGAGTGCTGATGAATATCCCTTATACGAGCAATCAGAGGTCGACCTTGCAAGTGATAGTCACGAAGATGACGCGGTCTCAAACAAAGGCAGAGTGAGACGCCGCGGTCAGACCACAGGAAGCAGAAGGAGGAGTGCTACAAGGGATACATCTCAATCGCCTCCTCCATACAGACCGAATCGGTGGACGGGATCGGACGAGAGATGGCGACACCTAACCCTGCCCGAGCGGAAACTGATCGAACAGCTAGACGAGTTGGAGAATAGAGATTGGTCTTTGGGTCTATACAAAGCACACCTCATCAAAGAGAGGAGGAAAATACGCTTAGAAAATGATCAGGAGTTTAGGACAAAAAATAGGCAGGCCGATTGGACAGCATGGCCTTTGGATCCTGAAGAAGTGGCCCGGCTGGATAGTCACATAGAATACACCCTTCGCAAACGAAGAGATTCAAGTTCATCATCACATCAACCTCAGACCGACCTAAAAAGAACTGCGTATATCGATCTGAATGGACGACGACGCAACGCTGCCCCAGATCCTAATTACTCTGAAAGTCTCTCGGACGAGGATAGTATTTCTGATCCTCCCAGTATCGCCGATAGTACAGAAATCATTGCGTCATATAAACCCCATGTTTTCAAAGCGGAGACCGATTTTCGCGAGAGCGCATCTCTAGAAGAAGCTGTGATTGCACAAATGATGAAAGCTGCCAAGGAAAGGTTCTGGAAAAGACAGTCAGCACCAGATTTTCAATCAGCGGGTTATACTGTGTCGGCTGATGATGAGATGGTGGCTATGCAGCTACAACCTATTGCGCGCAATATTCTCGCCCAGTTTGATGATCTATTGTTTGGCATGCATCAGCGCGCTGACAAGGGACACCCTAGTCGCCGAAAGGGGAGTGTGTTTAGCTCTCCCAGGCGGTCAGTAACTGGAGATGATACAAACAACGATTCGGATGGTGAGTCTGGAGATCAATACCGCGGCAGAAGTGGGAGGCGAAGCGTGTCTATCTCAGCGCGTGGAAAAGGAAGAAGCAAATCTAAAGCTGCCAGCTCGCAGTGGGGGCCATCATCGGTCTCACATTCACGAGTTGGTGACCGATATGCAACAGTTTCTCCGTCAAGGAAACGAGTTGCAAATAGAACTTGGGAATCAGTCATGCTCGTCGCATCCTTATTAGATTGGCCGGAGGAGGTGCTCGACAGAGCTAACGAAAGGGTTCAAGAGCTCTTCGGTAAAACCGCCCCTCTTGCTCCAAGGAGGAGAGACCTGAAAGTGCAATATCTGGGCAGGGGGCTGGTACTCCCAGTACCGGCAAATCCGCGTCACATAGAGCCTTTAATCCATAGGTCAGATCTAGACAAGCACAAGCCGTTGATACACAGTGGGGAAAATGCGATGACGTCGGTTGACCAGTCGCGGTCGTTGTCAAGATCACGATCTGCGATTGGTGTTGACATACCTGCGACTGAAGACCAGGATGAGTCTGCTGATTTGAAGAGAGGACCGAAAGAAGATGTGGACAAGCACCCAGTCTGCCCAGTTGCAAAATGTTCACGACATACAGTACCCTTTTCACGGCCGTGGAATCTTAAAGAACACATGAAACGCAAACATCCTAAAGTCAACCTCTCTCTGCCACAACCGCGACAAGGGGAAATTAAAGCACCAAAATGGAAATCTGAGGAAACAGTATTATCTAGTGATGACCAAGCAGAATACGAGGTGGCAGAAGAGGAGGAAGTTAAACCAAAATTTTTCTGCCCAGTCGAAACTTGTAGTAGACATCGGAAAGGGTTTACGAGAAAATGGAATCGCCAGAAACATATTAAGAAGCTTCACCCTGAGTTTTGGAGCAAGCAAGTTGATTCCGAATGAAAGACTACATGTACCATGAAGACCAAAACATGAATCCATATATTACCAACGTGTTTGTGCTGTGATGAGATGACATGCTCAATATAGCTTCGGAGCTGTCGTTTTCTATCAGTCACAGCAATGTAACTAATTGCTTACAAATTGTTTGACACAACTTTGAATACATCACGTCACGAAGACACTGATTATGGCAGTGAGAATCAAATCAAGTATTCAATGTTCATTCACTATAAAGTGGCATACATGTTTGCACATTTAGTCATTGCTCATTTCAAATCATATTAAGTTTCCTTATCAAGCCGGAATTTGCCATTTAACAAACGCTCCAAACGGCTACCTATTAGTATATGCCTGCCCACAAGGCCCGGCAATATTTCCAGTACTCCTAAAAGCTGGATTTGTGTCATTCGCATACGTCAGACCGTTGAAAGTACCTGCCGGACAAACACTGCTAATGTCATGACCAGACCCGAAATGAGACACGGATGCATTTGTAGCTTGTGACACCACACATCCCTCATAGGAGTACCAATAAGCTTGTATGCAATTCGGAAGGTCAAAGTAGCACGCATTGCAGCAAGCCTGTGCTGATGCTCCCTCCTTCGTGGAGGTAAGATAATAAAGGCTGTTTTCTGTGGAAAAGTTGCCCGGGAGGCTCGCGTTACCGTAGGGCGATGTAGGTATATGGGTCGGAAACGGGCTGGCGCATGGCCAAACACTGCTAGTTGATGCTGCAGGTGTTACCGTGGTGGATTGGATGACTGTGCTAGTCTGCGTAACGGTGGTAGTGGTGGGATTTGCGGGGTTTCCAATTGTGACGGAAATTCCAAGGCATGAGCATATTCCCGAGACACTGGCAGACGGTTGGGCCGCAATCCATGACGAGACGGCCGTTGATGTAGTAGGGGACGTGTTGGAAGCTCCTCGTTTATGGTTGTTGGCTCCGCCTGTGCTCTGTGGTTTTGGTGTGCTTGCTGGAGGGTTTCCGGATAGGAATGTAAATACTGTACTTGTCGAGCCAGATGTGACTGTGATTATTTTTGTTGATGTTACGTTGACTATACTGGTGCTGGTGGTATCACCATGGGTAGTTGTTGGTTGAAGAAGAGATGAACACGCTTTGGTCGCTTCACTTTGTTGTTGGAGCTCGCTGATGAGGGCTTGTAGAGCGGAGCAGCCTTGGTTTGATGACACGGGAACAGCAAGAGCAATAGATAGGGCGTTTGCCAGAGCATAAAAGGCTTGAAGCTTCATCTTGCTATGACTGATCGGTTGGCCCCCTCTGTAGGAATCGACACAGCTTGATGGGGAGAATATTAGGGATTGGATTGTTGCTCCAAGTATAGACTCTACGGAATGAAGATCAGCTACAGACGATTGAGCTTAACCCTACTCTTTATATACAATAGCAGGCATCTAATAGTTTTTCGCATGTCATCATGACTGACTATGGGAGTGGAGATTCAGCTTTGCAGATCCGGGGTGGTACCCAATGATAAGCGCAGTACCAACACCATGGCGTGGCCAGGAACAACTTGGCAAACAGACAGTGTAACACGCAGCGAATCAGTGGCCGCTGTGATTAGCAAGAAGGATTCGGGGTTCATACGAGACCGAGCTTTTTTTAGAGCTATGAGTTTTTCACTAATTAGTTACAAAGTATTTAAGCTGATGTTAAGATCTACCAGTGGAACCGACACGTCATAGCGCGCAGATCCTTTGGTCTCAACCTTTCCTAAAAGAGTTCGTTCTGTTGCGATGTTGGAATAAAATGTCTCACTGGGTTCAACATGGTGTGAATCATAGCCAATGAGACTAAGCATGCTGGCTTACTGCCAAGACTAAATTGAATACGAGATAATTTCGTCGGATCTTATGGAGCTATGAAAACTATACTACTAATTGATGAAAACCTGCACGCGCACTTCATTGCTCCAACCCGCATCCAGTCCCAGAGAAGTCCATGCATGAAGGACGTCTATTGCGAGCACCTTATCTCCGTCTTTCCAGACTGTCCGTCGAGGCACTGCTAACCCTGAAACCATGACCATGACATGCTCGTCAATATCTCTACTGTCCAGTCCAGAATGATAGATACCAAGCACTCCAAGAGCCTTGAGGCTGATGTCAAACCGCAGCCGGCCATTTCCGATAACACATACATCAGAGTTCACCAAAGCTGCGACCCCGGTCATCTTGCCGAGCAAACCTAGTACAACGACATGAGTCATAGAAGAAATCATCGATGAGGCTGCAGTGCACCCGCGGCTCCCTTCAAGAGTAAAGGAGCGGACCGGATACGCCGTTAATATCTCCCAGCCTTTCGGCGCGAAAGACAGTGATACCATCGCATGAGGCCCAGATGGAGTCATCACTTCACTAATCATCCCCGTCGTAAATGAACGAATGATGTATCGGTCATAGCTATTGCTGGAGGACGAGGCTTCAACTCCGGGAAAAGACGTCAGGGGAACTATCGACGATGTATCTGCGGGACTGATGTTGAACAGGCCAAGAATGCCACTACCCGTACGAGCCCAACCGCTGTATGTCCCAATACGCAGTATGTTTCCCTCATTGTAATTATGATAGACATCTAAAGTGCGGCCAGGTACACTTGGACGAAGAATTGTAGTGGTTCCTCGTGTCGTGGGCGCTGTGATTTGGTGAATAAGTTCTACATTGTGTTCACCAGGCTTGTCAGTGATGTATATTGGACCTCCAGAAACACATCGAGCTGCAGCGTGAAAAGATCCATAAGGATGATCGGTCTGAAACATGTCCCAGTCTGGAATCACGTTCAGATGCGCGGTCAACAAGGCGTTGTGTGCATTACAAAATACATGCCATGGATGTGAATCCACCACATCAGGGAAGAAGTCGTCAGAGTTCCGCAGCAGAATGCTAGGTTTATTTGTAGGTATTTGCGAATGAAAAATATGCTGTGGTGTCATTGACATGCATGAGATGGCACGGGTGCTGAAGTATCGCAAGGAAGCAATGGACCACGCATCCTGGTAAGATGAGATGAAGCACCTTCGATATTCTGCATTGTCTAATGAGTCAAGGAAAAATTGTGCATCAGTCTTGATAGCGTCGATACCACATGAAGTCAAAAATTCGTAAAAATCTCCGTAGAATCGGTTGATATCATCAGGATCAATTGCCAGCATTGTGCCACCAGCAACAGGGTCATTCGTCCTAACTTCTTTCGTCTTATACTTTTTGGCTAACTCTCCCTCCGGAGAGATGCCTCCCCAGTAGCCCATCAGTGCGTGCCAAACCCCGATATGTTCGATGTCTGGGTGCTCTTTTCGTATTCTAGTAGCGGCGTGCCGAAGCCCTGATGGAAATCCTTCTGTACTTGCCTCAAAGTTCATCCAGCCACGTCGCCACTGGGTTTCGCCTTGATTGTCAATAGATTGCCAGTTATCATCGATGATCAAATTAGAAACTTTGATTCCATTCGCCTTCAGAGAATCAAGCGCGTGGAGTATTTTGTCCTCACTCAACTTGGGGCCAATACCGTTCCATGTACAGTATGTAAGGCCTTCGTACCAATCAGCGAGCCATTGTGTGCGAACATCTTTATCTACTACAACAATATCATCACCAATAGGAGAATCTGGTTCCTTCGGTATATCTGATACAACTGGGAGTGGAATGTCGGTGATGAAATCCCGGACAACTTTCCGAGCTTCGTATATTAAAGCAGACATACATACTTCAAAGTCCTCTCCAACAGACGCAAGCACCTGGAACTTTGCATCAGTGACGTTGTCGTTTCTGGCGTCAACCACAATTTCTTCCATATCGCTAGATCGGAGTGTTGTCAGGACGTTATTTACGCCCGAGACGGCAAATAACATCAAGTTGAGGCCGTCAGATCGGAGGAAAGAACATAGAATTGCGTCCTCGGTTAACCTGAATCTATTTGTGTCATGCCTTGGGGCAAGCCATGGAGTCCACACCCGCACCAAACACAGATGGCGCATGTACAGCTTTGGGAGTCCAAGCGCAATCGTACTTCTTCCTGATAATCCCCCTTTGCAGAGGTAACGTTCCCAGTGATGCTCCAAAGAAGGGCACCCGGGGCTTCACTTTTTCGTGACTGAATATCAACTTCAGTTGATAAATTCTCTATATAGTCGGTGAATTCATCCCTAGGCGATATCTGAGGCGCAGAATTAGAGTCTGTGGGGAGTGAAATTGACTTTAAGACCCGATACTTAGGGCCCCAGACTAAATCACCATCTTTTATAAATTTTCTCTGGCTTGCCCAATGCCAATCTGCATCACAACTTGATTTGTATCTGAGGGTGAAGCTCGCCTTTCCTGCTTGCGTGGGAAGGTCGATTTCGGAGGAAAATGTATAATGATAAAAGCCATGTCTCACATGATGATCGCCAATTATGGTGCAACTGTTTTCAGGGTCGCATTTTGCTAGAGGTAGAGCCCCCCATTGAGTACTATCCCAGATGTTATGCCAAATTTCGACTTCCCAATCCTGTTCAGGAAACGATGTGCTTGAGAAAAGGACTACCGTGAAACGAATCTATATATTCCTCAATAAACAGTAAGAATCGCTATTTAGAATCATATTTAGCGTATAAAGAGTAATCTAACCTTGTCTTCGTCGGTGGATCTCGACGACTGGCATGACCGCCTGATACACGTTACTTCGGCCAGCGGCGGGTGACAAGTCACTCGGGCAAAAAGACTCGTCTGCGATGGTCTTGCGAAGAGTTCTCGGGCAATCGACTCCCTTGCCGCAAGAGATGATGAACGTGATATCGCGACGATGTCGGAGACGGACATTGCGAGTCAATCTTCTTGTGTATACTTAATTCAAAGATGTATACAGACAGATATACAGTCATAGTGAGACGGAAGTAATACTCAGACGAGCAACAGCCAGTCTACTGACTGAATCACCAGTGGCCGAGGGCAACGTTTGCCTCTGGATGTGACGGCGACTGGTGAAGCCGACGATGACGATGCTGCATGATAAGCTGTTGTGGGGCCGCTGCGTGCGGGCCGTGGTCCTATTGGTCCAAGCCTGTCACTGTGGTGTAAACAATATGGTCGTTTCGTTAGGATTTCACCACTCCATATTCAGGATGAAAAAGACCGGTTTACTCAAGGCTTTGGACATGCCACACGTCGCATTGACCAACTCAATGCAAGGCAAAGAGTCGAGGGTTGTATCTACGATTAGGTCGTGGCAAGTGCATTTACATCAGTATGTGGCAGATCAAATTCAAACTTGCTGGGTGTCTGCCATACACTAGTTGACATGCAAGAAGTTCAAACATTATTAGTACGTATATGGGGAGGCCTATACCCAATCCTCCTGTGTGGTATATTCAAACCTTTGTAACCCTACTGTTCAAAGTACATGTAAAGGATCATCTTTTGCACAATCTCCGCAAAGCCAAGAAAATCAATTGATATATTAGCCGCCGAGGGAATGATTGATTATTATATATTTCCAAAGCACAGAAGGTGTCAACACTTCAATGTAGAATCTGCCAAGAATTCTGCCATAGGGTTTACATGTAGTAGCCTAGATGCTCTTCTAGATTTTGCGGCCACTGATGTTGTTCATGACCCCCAAAACATGGCCTTCAATATCATATGTATCTCTTGTAATTTACCAGAATTGAATAGAGGTGTAGGACGATATCTGAAAGAAAACTCTAGTTCAATATTTGTACCTTTCATTTCACGTGTTAGATGTATATTCCCCGCACTACCACACAGATCAAAGTAGAAAAGTAACCGATTTTTCACCTCCTTCAAATGTTGCATTATTCCAAGCGAGAAATCTCCGACACCATGATCAAACCACTCCGGCGAGTGTATTTCTCCTCGCTTCTATCTTCTGGCAGGAGATCGGCATCCCCATTGGCAATCAAGGCTTCAACCAAAGTACATTTTCCTATCTCACGAAATCCGAGTTTCTGATACAGCTTCACAGTGACATGATTTTCCGGCTTCACCATCAGCCGTACCCTCACTTTCGACGGAGTAGTTCGATACGACTTGAGGTAGCTCAAAGCCTCCTGACAAAGTTTCTGTCCGAGTCGCTGCCCACGGTGGTCTGGAAGGGTAAATAAACTTAGCATTTGCCATCGCTCCTCCATTCGGTCGTCTTCGGGGATCCTCTGATCAGTCTCTGCTGGTAGAGAGAATTGTTCCTTAGTCAACGGCCCACGCAGTGTTAATTGGGCCACCCATATGGCCGATCGCGGATCATCATTATGCAAAGGCGTTGCGCTGCATGCAAACGTTTCTTTCTGGTCGGCGGTTAGACGAGCTTTCCACTCAGTATTAGGAAGCGCGGATTCAATCTCGTAGGTTGATGAGAATGAGCCTGGTGCAATTGAGAGAGCCTGCAGCCGTAGATTTTTGTATTTATCTACCGAGGAGGCTACATCTCCGTCTTTCGGGATTCGAAAGAAGGAATATTGATACTGAAGAGGCATCGTTAAATGATTAATAAAGACGGTGTGATACCCACTTCAGAACGGTGAAGTAACCTCAGCTCTAGCCTCTTTCTGAGGATGACCTTGCAAATTTAATAAAAAGATATTTTCTACCACGAGTAGAATTTTGCTCATCGCTGCTTTATCGGCTAAGGCGAATGCGGGAGGTCGAATAAATGATTACGGAATCAAAAAATCCAGGAAAGGATGGTGAAGAACAGCCACAATTCGCATGCATATTTGAAATCTCCAGGTCCATGATAACCTTACCAATCGATCCCTCATCGCAAGTTTGAACAAGATGCGTACAAACGAAATTAAAGTGTGAGAAACACGAATATTGTCAGATTAGAAGGAAAGAGGCGTCTAGATAAAAAGGAAACCTAAGTATATACATTATTCACTCTATATCCTACATATACAGAAACAGATAGTATCCATGTATGCTGTACAGTCTATATTACCCATCTATCCGAATATAATTTCCTCTAAATTCTTTCTTTCTCCGCTTTCTTCCACCAATGAGCGAAATACGCCTCCTTCAATTCCCATCAATTCCTTAGGAGTTCCAAATTCCACCGCACATCCCGCATCCATAACTAGGATTTTATCAAAATCGGCAATCGTACTAAGTCGATGCGCAATGACGAGAAGTGTAGTCGCGTTACGGCCAAATTCCGACCTTATGGAGCGCTGGATCAAGGCGTCAGTCGCCATATCGACTGCAGATGTAGCCTCATCTAGCACCATAATCTTCGGTCGCGATACGATCGCACGAGCAAGACAAAGCAATTGGCGTTGACCTTGAGAAAGGTTAAGGCCGCCCTCTGAAATGGGTGAATTGAGGGATTTGAAAATGTTAGTGTTGTTATTATTGTCCTTGACAATCGTTCCGCTGCTACTACTTCCAGGCGTTATTGTTCCTGGTGAAGCGTTGTCCTCAGATCCGTTAATCAGTTGCACTCTTTCCAAAGCATCATACAGCTCGGCATTTGAATTTCCACCAAATGGGTCCAAATTAGACCGAACGGTACCGGAGAAAAGAACGGGGTCTTGAGGGATAATCGCCAATCGGCTGCGTAGGTCATATAGTTTGATCTTCGATACGTCAATCCCATCAATGACGATACGGCCCTCGCGGGCTTCCAAGAAGCGGAATAAAGCCAGGGTAAGAGAGGATTTCCCAGCACCTGTCCGCCCGACAACTCCGACTCTTTGATTCTGCTCCACTTGGAAGTTGAGCCCTCGTAGAACAGGAGGTAGATCTGGTGCGTAAGAGACAACTAAATTTTCGACCTCGATGTTTCCCTGTGAAGGCCATGAAGCGGGTACATCCTGACCCTCTTGATTCTCAATGACAATATTTGAATATTCTACAACCCGCTCGGCAGCATTCATCTCCAACTCTAGATCCGAGCATTGGCGAAGGGCCCATTCGATTATGTCAGTGTATTTCAACGCAAAGCTCAGCGCGAATCCTGCAAGGGATGCCGAGGTACCATTCATGATGACAACTAACAAAGCGCTAGTCCCAGTGAACACGGCACCTACTGCGTTCATGCGGAATGTTAACCAGTAATTAAATAGCCATAGATGATACCAAGCTTGCATGTGGCGATCTATCAAGCCATACATATGATGAATATATGTATTCTTCTTTGTGAAGGCACGTATGGTTCCGAGACCAGCAAGGGCAGAACCAAACTGTTCCAGTATCGGACTTCTAGCATTGCTTTCAAGACGGTTAATCTCCCGGGCACCAGTCAGATATAGGCCAGCAAAATGAAGGCATGTGAAGAAGAGAACAATGGCAAAAACAATCAACCAGGGCGAAACAAGCGCACCGGCAATCATAACACCGCAAATCTCAAGCACCTGATTTGCAACGGAGTTGATATTGTAGCCTAATCTCGAGTCAAGGAGGTGAAAATCAGAGGTAAATCGGTTCAAGATGCGGCCAACAGGAATTGTATCAAGCCACCTCAACGGTGCACGGAGAACAGCATAAGTTAATTCATTGAAAAGACTCCGAGACGTGCGAAGTGACGCGTAGAGAACGCAAAAGTATCGAAGTGAGCCGATGATACATGCGAGGAGCGATAGTCCGACGTATATTCCAAGGTAGAACTTGAGGAGATTGTCCTGTGCGCTGGCTGCAAGATTGGTAGTCCCATTTGACGCCATTGGAAATTGATTAAGAGACAGATGCACGGCAGATACACTTTCATTTCCGTAAGGTTGTTCTGCATCCGCAGTCCAGATATTAACCCACCACGACTAATTGTAATCAGCAAGAGAGATGGTTCATGAAGGAATTAAGAGACGGTATGCTGCTTACCCTTCCAACCGTAATCGCCTCGTAAGCTATGGTAACTGCAAGGCCTAGCATCCAGAGAGACATATTACCTCCGGTCGTAAAATATCTTATATAGACTTCCCGTCTTATAGATCCTGTTGCACGTGTTTCATCCTCCATAAATTTCTTAGGTATAGTTTGTCTACCAGTTTCTTGGTCGCCCTGATCCGCACTTGGTTCGGCAACGTGCGAGAATTCTCCAACCCTACCAAAGGCTCCAGATGTTGAATTATTGTCCTTCCCACTGGTGTTTTCAGTTCCAGGCCCTTTTAAATGGTGTTCTCCAAGCAAAATAGAGGTTAGTGAATCCGACCCCTGCAGCTCTTCGATTGTCCCACAACGGACAGTATCCTCTTCCAGGAGAACCGCGTAATCTGTTCGTGAAAGGCATAGATCCACATGATGGGTAACGAGAATACGAGTGCGATCCTGGCCAAGCTCCCCTGTCAAAGCTTCCTCAAAAAGGTGTCGTCCAGTATGTGCATCTACTGCGCTGAAAATGTCGTCCATTACCAGAATCGAAGCTCGTGAATATAGAGCTCGAGCAAATGAAACCCGCCATTTTTGACCGCCACTCAGATTGATACCGTTGGCGCCGATATCGGTCAAGTCTTTATCCGGAAGCATAGAGAGATCCTTTGTTAATGCGCAAGCAGATATAACCTTGTGGTACCGATTAGCATCGTACGGAAGGCCAAATAAAATGTTGTCTTTAAGGCTGGCGTTCTCAATCCATGGTATCTGTGCAACATATGCTATCGATGAGTCAATGAGCCAATTATTACTGTTCGCTAAGCTGTCATATCGTTCTTCGAGGGGTGGAGGTTGAGGGACTCTGACAACGCCATCAAGAATATCAGCTTCACCGAGGATTGTACCGAGTAATAAACTCTTCCCAGACCCTGTTTTTCCAGATATAACACTCAGTCCCTTGTTGGGAAAACAGATATTGAGATTCTTCAGAACAAATCGCTCTTCAAGTGGCGTTTCATCGTCATCAACTGGCCATGCGACGCTTGCATTCTCAAATGCTATCCTGTCAGATGGGATCGTTACTTGAACCTTTTCAAGAGAGTTCAAGTGCTTGTCGATCCGACCCAAACTTACCCATGCCTCAATTAAATCCGATATCAATTCGGGAAGTACAGCAAAGGAAACTTCCAGAGTCTCAAAGATTGACATTGCAGTAAAAGCAACGGAGGCAGTAAGCTGGCCATTGATGGTAGCATAGACAGCGAGTGAAACAGCGGAGAGCATGATAGGACCGAGCAGCCAAATGGTCAAAAGGGCAATATCATACACAAGTGCCTTCCACTGTGCAGCTAATTCCAATTCTCGAACATCCGAAACTTTCTTCTGCCAGGACGATTCTAGAGCAGAGAATTTAATTTGGCGAATACCTTGCAGTACTTCGGTAAGAACTGCTACTTTCTGGTCTCGATATTTCATCAGAGAGGTCTGAGCATTAGCATATTTTTTCGCAGTGTAGATATTGACAGGGAGTACGATGACTGCTACTGAGAGACCAGATAACGTAGCTTTCCAACCCAGAATCTGAAATAGAAATGTACAGGCGATGACTAATTCCAATATGGATGTGGGTAATAAATGGTTGTATTGTACTGCATCCGAGACACACTCCGCATCAACCACAGCGAGATTGATAATACTTTGACGAGTTTTCCCTAATCCTGATTCATCGTCGTCATCGTCATCGTCGTCGTCATCGTCCGATTCTGCGTTGCTAGCCCGGTCATCAACCTGTGGATCTTTTGAATCTGATCCATCAGATTTGGTATCAGCTTTCTCGGGCCCCTTTGCATCTTTCCGCCGCATTGCCTTGGCAAAGACAGTTGCAGCGAGCTGTTCTTGTATCGGCATAGCGAGCTTTGTGTAGACGACCCAGTACAGATAAGAATCAATCGTGGAGGAGATCATTTTAAGGATACCAAGTCCGATAGCCCAAGCCCACATTTTCCATCTCACTTCTTGACCAGCTTCGCGATCCTCGAGAGCTTTAAGTAAACCAAACAGAGCTACCTGGGGAGCGAACTGCAGAAAGGAACCAGTAAATGTCAACGCGTGTTGGAAAATAAGTGCCGGCCAGTAGAGTTTTAATAGCACCTTCCACAAGGGAGAAGATCCTCTGGTAGCCTCAAGAGAACTGTGCAAATTTTTCGACCTCATAGAGTTACAAATATAATGCAAGTTATCGATCTCGAGGCCCTGGTTTTGAATGGCGAATCGAAGGAGATGGTCTGCCCACCCGAATGTGATTATATGCGATAAAGGGCTTGTATACTGTCGATCAACTGGCTTATTGTCGAAAAAAACGTGTGGACGACGTGGAATTGATACATAGGTAAGACCAAGAACCAATCCAACAACAGAGTGCGCAGTCAACAACACGATATGTGTCAAGTCAAAGTATTGTTTCTTTCCGAATTTTTGAGCAAAATAAATTTCAATAAATGGTACCACGAATGCCAAAAAACTGGCGAAAAATCCATAGGCACCAAGTTGATATTTTTTCACTGGTGAAGGTTCCACGGTTATTGCCACTGCATTGAAGCCAAGGGTGGACTACAGTAGCTGTTAACATTCTCTCTGTTCCTGATCACTGTTCGCCCTTACCCAGCTAGCAACCTGAAGCCAGCTTTCAATTAAAAGGTCATCCTCACCGAAGGATCCACACGTGTTGAGGATCGCAATTGGCAGGGAAAGACCAAATCCAGCAATAGTCAGAAACACAACCGCATACAGCAGCTTCCGAGTGTAGGCTATGTATTCATTGACAGTCTCCTCGGTGGCGATACCATCTTCATCTTCATAAGTATCGTATTGCACAACTTCTACATGCTTCGTATGTAGCAACCGTTGTGCGATGGTGGTGATGGCTCGAATGTTGAGCAGGACAGTCACACCAAGTCCCGCTGATGCGACGAACAAGGGGCTAATATGAAGACTGAGACCTGTCATCTCTGTGCAGCACAATCATCAGACTGCTCGATTGTGATGGAGCTCCAAGTTAGAGAGGAAGGAGAGACAGCGTCCAAAGACATGGCTGGATTATAATATTGATCTTGCCTTGGCGCGTTTAAAGGCGTATGAGTCAGCTGGAAAAGGAGGAAGATCGTCGAGCCAGTCATGGTTGGCCGCGGCTCCATGGCACGAGCCGCAGCCAATCGGTTTCTCAGGACTTGGTCTAGCCGGCGATCAGCACTAGGCGCATTGGGACGCCGCCTCTTCCCCGTCAGCCGAATCGAGACAGCGCCTGCAAGAGTCACGATTAGTCACGCTGAGTCGAGTATACTATATAATCTTTAGATGAGCGCAACACTATTGCCTATTATGTCTGTCGATGTGGTATCCAGACTTGAAAAGACAATGAAAACGTAAACCTTTCAATCTGCACATTATATATGCGTAATTGATTTGCTGCACACATATGCGCTACCTTAAAATATTTCATTTGCTTAGGTATTAGTCAACAATTAACCCGTTTATTTTTCACTTCAGAAAACCCATGCGCTTCCAGTTTGATATATAATGCGCTATTATTTCTGGACTAACAGTTGTAGCTTCTCGTAGGGTGCGTGAGATATTCTGCGTAAAAGTCGTGTCTAAAATGACGCCGCCGCAGTCCATGCGTATAAAATCGGTCTCAAAAAATTCAAAGAGACGCCTGGCAGGATTAGCACTATATGCCCCATCTTTCGTTTCCTTAGCGTCTGGAATTCTTTGTACACGGTTTAACCAGTCGCTATACGGTATCGTTGTATGAACGTCAAGGTGGTTGGAGAACTGGTCTACTAGTTCAATCCAAGACTGGCGAATAGGATTCTCAATATGGTAAACAAGATGAGGTGGTCGAGGGTCCAGCAACAGATCACCAACTACTGCAGCTGCAATATCGACTGGAAGCCAAGAAACACTCTGAACAAAAAATATAATGTTAATGGAGGTAACAATGAGAAAACTCAGATTAGGAAAAACGAGGAAAGTTACATACTCCATCAATTCGAGGCAACGCCCCGACTGTTTGTGATGATCGAAGTAGAGCCGGGAAATGCTCCTCAGGATTCCATACCCCATTCATTCGAGATCCTGTCATTTGTCCAATGCGAGCAAATGTTGCCTCGATCCTGTCCGCCTCTGATTCCTCCAAATGGACATCTTGTATCATTTTTTCGCAAACCAGTTTTGCTTGTGCGTAGCCCATTGCCAGACCCGAAGAATCACTTAAAATAGATTCCTCCGGTATACTTTCATTCTTTTGTATGGCAGAATGCTGTCCCACGACTCCAATAGAGGAAATGAATAGAAGTCGAGGTGTGATAGAAGGCCGTTCTGTCTTGTTGCTAATTATACGAGCAAGCTGGATAAGATTTTGTAAAGCCTTGAACTGCGGTTCAAACGACTTGAGTGGTCGTCGAAAACTCATGGGCCAAGCATTGTGAACTATATGCGTCACATCATCGCACAAGGCGCCGTAAACCATATCATCCAGACCGAGTTTTGGAAATTCGGTTTTAGTTTCTAGTACTTGAATTCTAGACCATTTTTGAGGGCTTATTTCAATGTTGCGATTTCTCAATGCTTCGGCCTGTCGATAGACAGCATCTTGAGTGGTTAGACGATTAAGACAAACCACACGGCGGACATCTGTACGGCTGAGTAAATTTTGCAGCACATGGCTTCCTAAACTTCCTGTTGCACCAGTCAAGAGAACAACTGCACCCTTCTCAGTGCTTAAAGGTAGTCTGGGGGGCATAGAGGCAGGCAGAGATGTTTTAGGAAGGGCATTTCGATGAGAATTGTAACTCTGCGATACCGTAGGCCTATTCGGCTCGCTTTGTTGATTTATACGTTGGACAGATGTCTGCTGCGTGAAAAATGATTGTCGTGGGCTTGCTGGATTCACAGCAATAATTAGGCGTAGAAGTTCTGATTCCTTGTTATTACCTCCCGTCCAATTGACCTGACCATATCCTGCATCCATCAAACATTCTCTCCACATGAACTCAGAAGCAAGAGCATGCGTTCGTCCATCTTCAAATAACCACCAGCCTTCTAGTAAGCCAAAAACCAAATCAAACCAAAATAAATTTCGCGTTAGCTCCACCAAACAAAGAAGGCCACCGGGGACAAGCAACTTGCGAATGTTCGTCATCGTGGCGGTTAGGTTTCTCGTCGCATGAATACAGTTGGTCGACATGACAATGTCATACTTGCCAATAAATTCCGGATTTGGCTCTTGCTCAATGTCCATAACAGTAAATCTTGTCATTTCCTTGCAGAAAGCAAATTTCTGTTTTGCAGTAGCAACGAGTGAAGCTGATATATCACTGAATGTGTACTGGAAGGGAATGTTGCAAGCCGCAAGAGCTGGAATCACCCTGCTCGTCGTCCCGCCAGTACCAGCACCGATTTCCAGTATCCGTATACCCTCTCGTGGTTTTCCTCTATAATTATCACTCTTGTCGTTCATTTTGGGTAGCGATAGCGTCAATAGACGAGTTAAAAAACTACAAAGCAGCTGTGTGCCAGCCGCGAACATCGGAGCGTTGAGGTAAACATTTGCCAGTAACTCTTTGCTTTCTCGACTACCAAATATTAGACTAATAGCGTCCACTTTCCCACACAGACAATCTGCAAGTCGAGGTCCAGTTATTGCAAGAAGCCTGTGCTCATCTGAGTAATGAGGGAAGTCTTGTAAGATATTCTTAAGTAGGTTTTCGGACGAGGGAATGTCGATAGAATACCCAGTTCGTTTGTACACACTGCCGCCATCCCGAGAAATGATACCAGCAGCCTCTAAAATTTGATATAGTTGACGTACTAGCTTTTCGTATTTGTGGATATGAGGAATAGCCCTTACTGCTTCGCCTTCAGAAATTGTGGTAAGAGGGCAGCGAAGTATATCAAAAGCTTCCACGATATAAGCTGTGACCAAGTTCAGCTGTCTCGGATGAACGTTGGTGTAAAACCCCGAAAATCCAGTGCCAATGCCTATTCCACTTTTGATCGTTGAGAAAACTTCGTGGATATCATCGAAAAAAGTTGGTCCTTTCCTAGCCTCTTTTTCAATAGCTGGCTGTAGAAGATCATGCGAATTCACCAAAGTGGAAAAGTTGCTTTGAACGTTCTCTGTGTGGAAAGACACGTTTTTTGATGTATCTCTTTTCTGGACCAGAGAGGATGTAGAGACCGTTGAAAACTGAGTGCCCTGAGTAGAAACATCCGACGAAGGAACCGAACATCTTGTTGAATTTGAAGAGGGAGGCTTTTCAGAGTCCAGGAGGCTTAGTAGACCCGCTACTGATATGCCCCGAAGCTCATCGGCGGGCACCGCTATGCAGAAGGCACTCCGTATTTCTGATAAAAATTCTGTTTCCATGAGTGAGTCAATTCCAAGGGCTTCTAAAGTTGTGCTATCGTCAATTTCCTTCGTAGGGATGTCTGTAAAACTGCTGAGAAGCTCCTTCAACTGCGTATGAAGTAAAGACAGCGTAGTCACATTTTCAGGGCATGGAATGTCTTCTTGCCCTTTTCGAATTTGTGTCGCTAAGGTGGAATCTAATAGTTCCTCACTATCTAGGTTTTCCAAAGAGCGGGATATTACAGGCGCGTTTGAAGTTGTAGATGGAGCAACTCCCGCCGTCGAATTAATAAAAGACAGAGTCTTTCCCAATGAAATCATATTCACCCTTGAGAATCTGACACCCAAAAGTGCCACTGCTAGTGACTTAGTGACCCCATTGAAGACCAGAATGTCGCTTTCGAGATTCCTTTTTATATCGTCAAGTTCCTTTGTGTATCCATACACATTCCAAGAGGGAAGTTCTTTGGTTACGTCTAGCGGTGTCAGTGACTCATACATATGCATTTCTTTGATAAAAGTACAGATGTAGACATCGTTTCGAGGAGTATCTCTAAGGCAGTTGACGTGTAAACCTGCCACTTGAAGAAAGTTGTCCATGAGAAATGGTTCACAAGTGTTATCAGCTAGGAGAGAGACAGATGCTTCGGGCATAGAAACAACACCCGCAACCTCAGCGCCCTTCGACGAAAGCCGCTGGATACCCTGGTAGTAGCTTTTGTAGTTGACCACCCTGTCAAATACCCGGTATATAAGCGAACCTTGCATGGATTCTGCCAGGCGATCATCGAGCAGCCTTAGGCAACGATTATTACCCACAAAACGCTCGAGTGCACTGCGGTCGGCGGAGAGATGCACATCGTCTATGTCTTGGATACGTATTATCCCTGATGCGTGGCAAGTACTCGTTTTGGGAGAAGACATGTGATTACTGGTCAAAGTAAAACTCCAGCCTCGACCACCAATATCAGTAGAACGCGAAAGTTCGATATGAATTGAATTTGAGGTATCCAGACCCAAGGGAGCAAGAATTCGCAATTCCGTCACTTGGGGTAAAAGAAGAGTAGAATTTGTAGCGGCTTGGGCTACATGATGCTTGTCATCATGGCTGGAGAGGTGATAAACCGATTGAGCGGCAAGCTCTATGTACAGAGATGCTGGACAGAGACCATTTCCCATGACCGCATGTCCGCTTATAGTCGTCTGAATGTCCAAACACCTTGTATTAACCGCAAAGACTGCAGTATCCTTGCTGCTAGTAGCATATCCGATGAATTGAAGCGGTCTATGACTTTCATTGCCGGTGCTAGTTGCTTTGTCACTTGGATAAGTATTTTCTTCAATGGAGTCTTTGTACTCCAGCCAATACCGCGACATATCAAACTGATAAGGTGGTAGGTTAATCTGTTTGTAGTGAGATCGCTGTCGGTGATGATACAACCAGTGTTGTATTCGGGGATAGCCGCCAATACCGCAAAGTCGGAGGGTGGTATTTAACAGCGAATCCAGCGGCCGATCGTTATTTGAGAGATCCACGGGCAGAAATATTGACCCTTGTGAGTCTTCCATGACACATTTCGCAGCCAATTGTATAATGGAAGACCTAGAGCCTGCTTCAAGCCAGATACAAGAAACCCCTAGACGCTGTTTAACCCTTTGTACAGCATCCCTGAAATAGACCGGCTGGCGGGAATGTGCAACCAAGTTGTCGGCAGTAAAGCTAGTCCAGCTACTGCCCTGAGTGCAAGTCTCAATATTGATTTTGGGATTCCTAAAAGTCAAACTAGCGGCAAGTCTCCTCAGATCAGGTAGTATGTCATCCATGAGACTTGAATGGAATGCTCGATCAGTATTTAGCTCCTTCACTTCAATATTTGAGATCCCTGCCGCAGCAGTTTTGAATTTCCTAGCGGCCGAAGTTGAGCCAGCTAGAACAAGGTCGGAGGAACTGTTATAACATGCTACCTCGAGCGTCTCTGGCAAGATTGTTGCCAAAAGTGCCGGTAACATTCCGTCAATATCTGTTGCTCTTGCGGTTATCATTGTGCCTGTTTCCGAGTTCCATTTATTTACGAAAAGAGATGCACGACCAGAAACATATCTCACGGAGTCATATAATGAGAGCACCCCAGAAATACAGAGCGCTGTAATCTGACCGAAGCTATGTCCGATGATAGTTCTAATCGTCACTCCAGAATTGATCCATGACATAGCGCAAGCGTACTGGAGGGCAAATAAGGAACAATGCAAAGTCACCGGATCGGAAATAGGGTCTTTGCTGAATATATGAGGATAAATGGTAACACTACCTTGTTCGCTCAAGAGAGTGTTAACCTCATCAAGATAGAAACGGAAAAGTGTTATGGTCTCATATATTTCCTTATTCAAGCCCATAATACTACTCGACTGTCCGCCGAAACATAAGACTATTGGCTTTACCTGACCCGATGATTGTGCTGGGAACTGCTGATCATCCTCATTATCTCCCTTATCGTCCTGCCAATCGTCAAGTAAAGAGCGAAGCTCTTCTATGGACTCTATAGCGGCGGTTCTCCGGAATTTAGCACTGAGGTTCTGTTTGTGTGAGAGATTGAAAGCGTAGTCAGCTAGATTGAACATTTGTTGGCTAGCAGAAAGTGTTTGTCGAAGCAGCAAAGAGCAGTATGTTTGAAAGCTCCGACGGGAATGAGCAGCAATAGAAACAATATGTTTCCTTGGGGACGAAATTGTGGATATTGCGGATGATGGTGGTGGTGAAGCAGGTGTTTCACACACAATAAGGGCTCCATTTGTCCCCGACGCTCCGTAGTTGTTGACACAAATACCACGAAAACCCATATTCCATGGAACTGTCTTGTTGGCGATGGCCATATGGTCTAAGTCCGAAGCAGGAATTCGGGGTTAATCGAGACAAAGCTGGCTTGCTTTGGGATTTCGCCTTTTTGGATCATCAAGACGGACTTGATGAGTGCCGCAACGCCTGAGGCGGCTTCTAGATGGCCAATGTTTCCTTTGACAGAGCCGACATGTAATGCCCTTTTCATTTCGCTCTTTCCGCTATTAATTTCACGCTGAGGTCCACCAAAAACAGCACGAATGCTTTGCCATTCGATCGGGTCGCCTACGGGGGTTCCTGTGCCGTGGGCCTCAACATAGGTGATATCTGAGGGTTGCAAATTTGATTGAGCCAGAACTTTACGATAAAGAGTACTTTGAGAGCCAGAATGAGGAACCGTTATTGAGACACAGTTCTCGCTCTGGTTGATTGCGGAGCCGGCAATGACGCCGAGAATTGGGTCTGACGTGGCCAATGCATCGGAGAGTTTCTTGAGTACAACAAGACCGCAGCCCTCCCCACGACAGTATCCATCCGCAGCAGAATCAAAAGCCTTTGAGGCCCCGGTTGGGCTCAAAAATGACGCTGCTCCAAGGTCCTGATACAGGGCTGGACTAGTGATGATATTCACTCCCCCAGCAAGCGCTCCACTACACTCGCCTGCCAAGAGTGCTTTACAAGCAGAATGAATTGCCACCATAGATGACGAACAGGCTGTATCGTAGGTAATTGATGGACCAGTCCATCCAAAATAATGTGCGACCCTTCCACTTAGGAATGCCCTCAAGGATCCTACGGCCGAATATGCGGTCGGTTGATGGGAGTATATGTTATCATGATAGTCCACAGATCCCACCCCAAGATAGCATCCAAAGTCTGTACTGGGATTATTCCGTTGACTGAAATACTCAGCCGATAGCATCGCCTCGACAGCGACTTGAAGTACTAGTCGCTGCTGTGGGTCCATGGACGTTGCCTCTCGCGAGGAAATCTTGAAGAATTGACGGTCAAACGAATCTATATCATTAATGAAATTGCCCCAGAAGCGAGTTCCTGTTACAGAACGACGCAACACATCTGATTTGAATCGATTTGCAGGAAGTTCGGAGAGTGTTGACTTTGCTTGTTGCAACAGGGTCCAGAATTCCTCTAATGTATCAGCCCCGGGAAAGCGGCCAGCCATGCCCACAATTGCAATAGAATTTTCCTGGTTTAGTTGCGGGGGCGTTAGCCCTGAGTTAAGTGGTGGACTTGTCTGTAGTTTGCGAACTTCCTCTGAGAACTGAATATCCAAACCGCCCTCTCTGTGCAGTACTTCTTGTGGTAGACAGTTTGTAAGCCCTACCACCAGAATGGATGGAAAGCGCTCCGCGTCTCCATCCGTCAGGGTAGCATTCATAAGTGTATGCCAATCAACCTGTTCCATTAGAAGTGACTTGATTGCCATTTCATGCAGTATCAGGTCTTGTCGGCCACCATCAATGATTTGGGCGTCGTAATTTGCTCGTAGTGGTCGCATCAACCTTGTCGTGCTGGGAAACTGAAATTCAATGGGTCTCGAATGGGCAAGCTGTATTATCTTTCGTACTGCATCGGCGTTTGATGAGTGATGATAGCGACCTGCGAGGCTAAGAGGGGTAACATGTATGCCCTCGGATAAAAGTGTCTGTCTTATCGACGGGACAGACATCTGGGGGACCACTATTGTCAAGGTTGTACTATCCTTTAACACCGATGTATATGCCTACAACAAATTATTTTGTGATCTTTAGGGGAAAAGACACTGGAAAGAAAAGGGATCGCACTTTGGGATAATTGGCCATGGTCTGAAGAAGCCATAACCTTTGAAGGTCTGTTTTCCACTGCACGACAACTGCTTGCATCGTCTCATTCGGATCATCTCGACCACCGTTGAGATCAACGAAAACACCAAGGCAGGCGGCCAAACGTAACGCTACTGAGGCGTATTCGCTAAAATCAACTGCATTATCTGATAAAGATGCAGCAATCGCAGTCAGAAAACCCGTACACATACCTTGGAGGCCAAATTTCTCTGGTAAGTCGTCATCCGTGCTGCGTGGCTGGCACATTGATCTTTGTATCACGCATTTGATATAGTGCACGACATGAAGAATGACAGTCAATGGGGACTGCAAGGCATTCGATGGAATGCTCTCTAATTTGCACTCAAGAACGCCAGTGTTAAGCCATGTTTGTAATTCCACAAAAGCCTGCAGCCCTTGTGTCTTCCCACTTAGTAAACGAGGTTCGACTTCTGCTATTAAAGACCACAGGCTTGGTAAATTCCTCACGGCATCTGCGAAACGAGCCAAGGTAGGTTCATTGAGAAGGTCAGATCGTAGAAGAGAGAGGCATTTTTGGGATGGCCATGTGGTTGTCTGCGGTCCAAAGATGACAAGTGAAGGCGAAAACACAGAATCCATATTCATCTGTTGCTGGCGATAGACCATGCCATATACAAAGTACAAGAAGACCACCTAAGACCAGAACCGGCACTTAAACCAGTCAAAGGTCAATCAATTTATACCCGACGAGCAAATTAGCACTATTACTTGCTGGAGGACTTGAATTGGTAATCCGGGTGTATCAACCTTTTTATTCACTATATATATCTCTAAGTGTGGAATAACTTAATCACTAGTAGGAAATCAACATTACTCATGAGGATTTAGGTCAAATGGAAGGGAATATCAAACTGACTATTGTCCCAAAAGTCTATTCGTCCTAATCAGTCGGTATTGTCTTTAGTACACCACCCAAGAGAGATCGGCAGTTGAGACGCTCTGACTTTCTCACTTGGGCGCCTTGACCGCTCTGTGGGTGTCATCCCAAATACATGGCCCAGTATTAACGTACGTATGCAAACAAAGTAGCGATTTATGGGGCCTGTATCGTTAGGTATTGCCTCCGAATGTAATATTTGAGGTGCTAACGCTGCCTGCGGATCTGCTATGCCAAGATAGGATTATATTTCGTTCATAGTTGCTTGTGAAGTGTTGTTACTAGTAAGGATGCAAATCCTGATGTGGGCAACCTAATGAGCAATCAATGTGATGGTACGTGGCTACTGTAGTATTACTGATATAACCTTTCCATATAAGGATGCATATGAAACGCTTAAGGATCGTGAGATAGCTTATCAGGTTCACAAGTCAGCGGTTTATTTTTCCTTACTCCTTGATCTTTCAATCAAGACCCATGCATATTTTTAATGCAAGCAACTATGTCATGGACGTTATGGAGCTTCGATTCAAAGTCAACGTCGTACGAGCTACCGATCAGTACCATATGTAATCAAATGTCGAATGATTTATTGTTGCCACCGGGTTTCTAGCCCAGTTGGCGGCAACGCCGAAGGTATATACGTAACCCGAAAGACTTTGTACGGCAGTGCGAACACTGATTAGTTCATGTTTAAATGCATCAATTGATGTGCATTCATGTCAGCTTGTAGAAGCAAATATTAAAGTTGCTCCTACATGTAGATAAAATATATTGAAATACTAAAAATACATATACTCAGGGAAACTGAGATATTCATAGTTATTTGAACTTGGCTACTTGCTAATTCCATCTATCAACTGTACTATGCAGCCTATCAGTGTTAACGAAAGAAAGATACGACTAATATAAGAGTAAATCAGCAACCGATTCAGCAAAAGCATACATTGGAGCCTGGTAGTGCCCAGCAATAGGAAGCGGCAACACGCTCGCGTCACACACTCGGAGATTTTTGACACCCTTGACACGACACTCACTATCAACAACTGTGCCCATGGCCGCAGTGCCGGCATTCTGGTAGAAACTATTTGCGGCTACACTAATACGTCGATCGATTTCAGCATCACTTGAAACGCTGCTCAACGAAGGGCAGCCCTCTGGAGGATTCTCTGACTCAATGACCTCTCTAGCAGGGTCCGTCTCCATTAGGCGCAATGCAAGTCGGACTCCAGCACGCATCGCTGCACGATCAGTTTCCGTTGCAAGATAGTTTCCGTCTAGAACTGGATCTGATAGTGGGTTGGTATCAGCCAAGGTTAGGCTACCACGACTTGTAGGCAAAAGAAGCACGACAGGGGTCGAAATCAGTGTGCCATCCGGTGGGCGAGAGCTATCACCTGCGATAGGCGCATAAGCTACAAATATTTCGGCATTACCGCGGGGTTCCTTTAGATATGGATCTGCGTGGTCTATCTTATCTACACTGGCTGCCTTGATCAGTTCTTCTCGAGGTGTCGAGATAGTTGCAATCCATTCCATAGGGTTACCGTGAACGAACTCAGGTTTGTTGAACAGGGGTGAGCCCACAGTGACTCCTTTCTCCGGGTGCTTCACTTTCCAAAAAAGAGCTGCAGAGATATGGTCATGGAAATTTTCCCCGACGGGTAGATTGGCAATAGTCTTAATGCCATGTTGAGACAAATGCTTCTCCGGGCCGATTCCTGAGAGCATAAGAAGCTGTGGTGTCTTTAGTGCACCACAAGTAAGTATTACTTCCTTTTTGGCCTTGTACTCAACTCCGTTGGTTAATGTGACTCCAGTTGCAATATGATTGTCTCCTTCGAAGGTGACAGATGCAACAGTGCTCTGGGTGATAACGGTGGCACGAGCTAAGTCATATGCCTTACCTGCCGGCTGCCGCTGGGCGTTTTTCCAATTTTCGGTAAATTTGCCAAACCCAAAGGGGTTGCCACTGTTCGTGTCCGGATTATACTGAACACCAACAGACGAAAAAGCCGCTCTGAAAGTCTCTCGCAGCGGGTATATGCGAGCACCGGCCGTTGTTGCAATTGGTCCAGAAAAGCCATGTAAGTCTGAACTAGCTTCTGGGTCATAATGGGTTTCCGACTTTTTAAAATACGGCAGCATATTCTTGTAACTCCATCGCTCATTCCCAACCGCCGATGCCCATGTATCGTAGTCGAAGGAATGACCGCGAGTCCAGAGCCCGTAGTTGACTGCGCTGGACCCAGAGAGTAACCTGCCGACATGGTTATGCACGGCACGGTCTGCAAATCTCGGCTGGTTGGTGGTGAGCAGGTTGTACTGTAAGGGGGACCCGAGCAACCGAGGAGCCGCAATGGGGCTCATGACCTGTTCGCTGTAGTTCTCAGGACCGGCTTCGAGGAGCACGACGCTGTGTCCGGCATGCGACAGGCGTGAAGCCAGGACGCAACCGACGAGCCCACCACCGCAGATCACGTAGTCGTAACTTTGCTCCATCCTTGTGCCTCTTTGTTTCTCGAGAGATCAAACACTGAGTAAGAATGATGGCAAAATCAATTGATAACAACGACTATGTAAATGTTAATGCTCCATGTTGGGATGGATCGCGCAGCCCATCTACCTTTGTATTTTCTATCCCGCCATTTTATGTCTGCAGGCAGCCAGCCTCAAATTTTGGTTCGCGTCCAGCTGTCAATACCAATTGTTCTTTGTATGATCTGCACTTGACGTGCTGGTTTTATCACCGAATAATGTCCGGGCTGAGTCAACAATGCTGCATGGGGCCACCACATTCCGGTACGATACCAGACATTACATACGCCGGTCACAGTCAGATTAGGGCATTACGCATCTGTATTTAATTATCACATAGACCAACCACGCTTGTGAAAATGTCGCATGGCCATCATGGGACCTCCCACGCTAATTCAACCCTGCTACGACTTCAGGTAACCTGCATGAAATAGTGCATAATGCTGCATAGTGGTGTTTTATTGACTTGGGGATTTGGCAGTCGTTGATTAAAATTCGGCCCCTGCAGTACATTTGCAGGTGACGATGTACTCTGAAAACCATGAGTCCACCTCCTCGAGGTGTGTGTCCAACTAGCTCTCTAGCTGACACATCTAATTTTGAGGAATACCGTATTATCTTGCAGGGACGTTGAGGAATTAGAATGACAGGAATTAGGGATTGTGTCCTACTGAATACTCCCATTTTAAGGCCGACAATGGCGTGAGGCATCCTCAAACAATATGCGAACCAGTTGTAGGGGATAGTCATATGGTCAGGTTACTTTGATACTGTCTATCTATTATCTGCCTATTCATTTACTCATCAGTTGATGGGCTTATGACATCTGAGGCTATTCCCAATTTCCAGTCATTGGGGCTATTTCGGTCAATTTACCTAAAAAGAATAGGGCTTTCCTTTCAATCCGGAACTTATCTTTTCACTTCACATTATTTTCTATTTCTATCTTATTTGTCGTTTAGTTTCTCATTCATCATTAACTCAACCGTGGATTGATGTTACTTATTTATCGGTAATGGCGGCTGAGGAAGAAGGCGATCGCAACCAAGATCGCGCGCCAGTTGTTATCGGCGTCTGTGTCCTTCTTATCATCATATCTCTCGTCGCAACTGGGTTGCGATTATATGCCCGTTATTTGGTGCGATTGAAGTTATGGTGGGATGACTGGTTCTGTCTTATCGGACTGGTAGGTATTCATACAATGAAATATACTAGCAGGAACCAAAGGTTACAAAAATGCTAATGAGATTGTCCTTATATGCAGCCTTTCGCACTTCTATCAATGATATTTGATTTTGTCCAGGTTAAATATGGCTTTGGCAAACATGTAGACACACTATCGGCCGAGACCCTAATGGAGTACGGAAAGAATTTTTACATCTTGCTACTTTTTTACAACCTGGGACTAGCATTCTTCAAACTCTCTCTGTTAGCCTTCTACATCCGAGTCTTCTCAGTCCTCAATACAATTCGAACAGCGAGTTACATTCTTAGTGCTGCCATTGTCGCCTGGATGATTGCCACTGAGTTTTTGCTCATCTTTCGTTGTCATCCAGTCGAGATCGCGTGGGAAGGAACAGCACAGCAGCAAGCAACGCAGTGTATCAATATGAACACTGTATTTGTAGCCCAGGCAGCTCCCACCATCTTCTTTGATGTCATCATCCTAGCGCTGCCACTGAAACATATATGGGCCCTCAAACTCAATCGTGGCCAAAAGGTTGGCGTGACGGTGGTGTTCCTTTTGGGATTTTTAGTCACCATTATCAGTATAGTCCGGTTGAAAGTAATATTTTCTACTGGTAATGACTTGACTTGTAAGTATCGTCTCTACTTTTTTTCTATTCTATGTGTTTCAGGTGCTAACCTGGTAATGATTCACAGACAGCTTTGTAGACCTCGGTTTATGGTCTGCAGCAGAGCCAGTAACCGGTTTGCTCTGTTGCTCTCTCGTCACATACGGTCCTTTCGTCAAGAGAATACCGCGATGGCTTGGTGGCAGCGGCCAGAAAACAGAGACCAGTCTCAAAAGCGCCACCACCACCACTAAAAAGAATTCAACATATGGATATAATAACGCCGGGTACCGACGACAGCGTAGTAGCGATGAGATACAGCTGAACAGCTTCGCGGCTAATATTGTCGAATCTAGGGTTACAGATGACGATATTACTGCTTCTGCCCATGTTGCTGTTAGTAAGAACTCGACCTACGGGCCACCCCATAATGGCATTCAGGTCAAACAGGAATACTTTGTGCAGCAGGAACAGGTATAGCCTGAAGAAAATGTTTCACGGTTGAATTTTCTATAATGGTCTCTCGCATTTTAGTGCAAGCTGCTCGGGCACTCTACAGTCATGTCTACCTATGTAGATTGAAACGGACATTCAAAATTGTATTAATTGTATTATCTGTACTATACGGATTCCGGAATCATATCAGAATCAGTAACAGAACCGAGGGTCAGCGAACCCTGATAATGAACTATAAGATTAATTATTTTGCATCTACTTCGTACATGCTATGTACCATCACAAACTAGATATTACTTCTTGGACTGCAAGGGCTGTGATTTAAGAAAAATAACATAGTCCACGGTATTGACCACCTATTACTCCCAGTTGGATCGAATCCAAGCGAATACTACTCTGTGGCTAACATCATATTGTCCATACAATGGGATATTATTATTAAGGACTATCTAAGGCGCGTGGCAACCTGCGGACGGCACTGCCCGTGGGACTCCTGCCTGTGACCACGATCGCTTTTTACTGGAGATTGCACAAATCCTGCTCGTACTAGCAGTAGTAACCGGCCTTATGGCGCTCTGATACACGCCAGCCCAGCCATAGCCCAAAAACAGGATTGACATAACCATACTAATTTAACTCCAAATAATCAACTAGTCTAATAACACAAGATTACATAAAATATAGACAAGGATATTGAATCGTTCACTACCATTAGTTTAAATACGCAAGAACTATCTGCCCAATAAAGCTCTAGTTTATGTTGGGTTTTCTAGTTAATTACTTAGTAGTACTTTGCTCCATATCTCTGTTCGCATTGCCCTTCACTGTAATTCGACACATTCCCTAGATCTAGAATCGTACTAGAAAGGGGAAACAACGTGAGAGACCACTTAATTTACGCTAAGCGGATCCTTCGAGTGGGAAAGCAAGCACTCAACGGGGTTGCCTCGTGGGCTCAATGTGAAATTGAGAAACGTTAAAAACCTAGACTACCAGTCCCTCTTTTGCTTCACAAGCATTATCTCTTTCTCTCCTCATTTTTTTTCCTTCCTCGAACTTTCCTTATTTTATATGCCATTTCAATAGACAATAAATGAAAATGCGCCTTCCTCTGTCACTAGAAGTCTTAGCGGCTCTGGCTTCGTATGCTGTTGCGCTCCCATCATCATCAGCAGCGGCATCTTCCGAATATCAGCGTCACCACAAACGTGCTCCCGAGCTACTTGGATCCAACTTCGGTATTCCTACTTACAATCGCACCTTCGACTACATTGTCGTCGGTGGCGGCAATGCCGGTCTGCCTCTCGCCTACCGCCTTGCACAGGATGGCAAGACTCAGGTCGCTGTCATCGAGGCAGGCAGCTTCTACGAAATCAGCACTGGCAATACAAGCCAGATTCCCGCTAACGATGTCTATTGGACGGGTACCAGTCTAAGCGATGTCAATCCTCTTGTCGACTGGGGATTTCACACTACTCCACAGGCTGGTCTTGGTGGTGCCGTGGCACACTATGCTCGTGGCAAAACGTTAGGTGGTTGCACTGCTCGTAACTACATGGCTTATCAGCGTCCCACGACGGAATCGATGCAGGTTTGGGCTGATAAAGTGGGAGATCAAAGCTACACGTTTGAAAATATGTTGAAATGGTACAAGAAAAGCTTGAATTTCCAGCCACCTAGACGGGGCCAGCGATTCAGCAATGCCACACCAGAATACGATCAGTCTACCTTAAATATCGGAGGACCCCTAAATGTTTCATTCCCAAACTATGCTCAAGCGTTTTCTACTTGGATCAGAAACGCGTTCCAGGAGCTTGGTATTAGGCCTATTAAAGCCTTCACGAGCGGCAATCTTATAGGCTCTTCATGGGATGTTACTACCATCAACAGCGAGAATGGCGAGCGTGCCAGCAGTGAAGCCGCATTTTTGCGCCCTGTACTTGAATCGGGCCGGACTAATCTCGTCGTTTACCCAGAGACTCTGGCCAAGAAGGTTCTCTTTGACGGCACCAAGGCCATAGGTGTTCTTGTGGACACTTCCGGGGCCGAATATGTACTCAGTGCGAAAAAAGAAGTCATCGTATCCGCCGGCGTTTTCCAGTCACCGCAACTTCTGATGGTTTCTGGTGTTGGTCCTGCGGCCACATTAAAACAGTACGACATACCCGTCGTTAAAGATTCTCCCGGAGTAGGCCAGAACATGATCGATCAGCTACTGTTCGGTCCATCTTACCGAGTCAAGGTCTCTACTGCCTCTTCTCTTGCTCCTGGCCTGTCCAGCTATTATGAAGCTGTCGATAAGTTCTACAGCAAGCATGGAGGTCCTCTCTCTAGCCCCGGTGGAGATTTCCTTGGATTCGAAAAAATTCCACAATCACTCCGTTCGAGCTTTAGCAACAATACATTGAAGTCTTTGGCAGAATTCCCCGCCGACTGGCCCGAGGTTGAATATCTCGCAGTGGCGGCATATTTCGGAAATGCCAAAAACCTGGTTGAAGGTTCCCCAGCTGATGGTAGCCAGTACGCGACGCTAGCGATTGGACTAGTGGCACCTACATCCAGAGGCAACATTAGCATCAGTTCTAGTGACATGTCCGACGCACCCCTCATCAATCCAAACTTTCTCGGCACAGAGACGGATCGTGAAGTTGCTATTGCCGCATTCCGCCGCGTCCGACAGGTATTCAACAGCAATGCCATGGCCCCAGTCGTCGACGGACAGGAAGTTTATCCTGGATCGCAATACCAGACCGACAATCAAATCCTAGATTATATAAGCTCAAGTTTCAGCTTGCTTTTCCACGCGTCATCTACGTGCAAGATGGGGTCAGCAAATGATTCCATGGCCGTCATTGATCCTACTGCCAAGGTGTACGGTGTACAAAATCTGCGCGTTGTCGACACATCTTCATTTCCAATCCTCCCCCCGGGACATCCCATGTCGACTGTGTATGCGCTGGCGGAGAAGATTGCTGCAGATATTATTTCAGGTAATTAGTGTGTTTAACCAAAACTCGAATATATTGACAGCTTCTCTCCCTCTAAAGCTCTCTTTTTCATACTCAACTTCTATATTTCACAATTGGCATGGCATCGCATGTGTCTACTTTGCATAATATTTTCTTCATTTTTTTTAGAAGACATCTGTATTCGGTATGGCATTATACATGAAACTCTACGCCACCCTTATCAACAAAATAGAAAAAAACCATGGGAGCTTATACGGAGAAATGCTTAATCACCATACTAGTCACTCAGTTCATTCGTTTATGAAGCATTCTGGCCCAGCTGGCATGTGCACCATATCGCCAATCTGCTCAGACTTTAGTAATCACTCCGTTATCACCCTAAGATTTCGCTGGGTAATTCAAGGGTATAAGCGAGACTATTTATTATTATTATTATTATTATCAATTTTAACGACTTTACCCAGTTTTAATCTATGAAGGTCTCGTTTCAGTGGGCACTAGGGGCCTTATGGAGGCCTAAGCCCCTAATTCCCCCTGTTGCCTGCCCCGAACCGGTACCTAGCGCTACAATGCACAAACGAATTCCTCACCCCAAGTCGCTTATATACGCAGGGCGATTCAGGGGCCTTATAGGAGCTAGCGGGACCACCTGGGCCCATTAGTAGCTGTTTATAATTGAAGCTTGTTCCAGTGTTGTAATGAAACTGTTCTGAATACCCTGGGAAATGTGGAAATTAGGCCACGTATTAATTGATATTATATAATTTTACTACACTAGTCTCCTGCTGGTCGTATTCCCCTTGCTAATAAATTGAAGTAGGAGTTTAGGACGAGGAAATTCAAATGGTTGCAGTATGCCCTTGAGTTGATAATGATAGACAATCATCAATTCCCCAATAGGTCTAACAACACCAACGACTCGGTCCAATTATAATCTCCAGAATCGCCAAGGAGACTATAACGACAAGGTTGTGAGGTAGCTTGGACGCCTTACGAACTATAATAGCGGTGCTCCTAATACGGTATAATACAGGACAATCGTTTTGATCGACGATGGCTGTAATTACAGGTACCCAGTACCCAAAGAAATACTTTCAAGCCTGGATTGCTTTATGAAAACCATCTGACCGTGATGAAATTGCTCAGGTTGTCCACCTATTTCAACTTTTTTAAGATATAATTTCACTGTTTATTGTGCCCGCCCCGAGGGTTTTTCGAGGATTCCAGGATACATATATAACTGTACGTAAGCTCTCGGTCGCAGACATCCGGGAGGCCCGATTGACTTACATATGTAACGTCGGCCACCATGTACGTAAGACTACATATGCATAATTTAAAAAAACAAAAATGACATGGCTGTACACCACTGGATAATTCAGTGGCGTGTGCATTACCTATAGGTACTAGCATGAAATAAAACGAAGGATAGGCTCAACGTTGTACATTATTGTACATCTATGGTGTATTATATATCAAGCCGAATGCTACGTAGAGGAATACGTATATATGTGGAATCCTCGTCATATGATAAAGAGTCTCCAGCAAGAAACATATTTTACGCACCAACCATAATCAGCTTTATCTAGGCATGCCTGAAGAAAATCACCCGCCAGCATAAGTACGTAATTGCGTTAAAGATAGACTCTGCCATCATATCTCAAACAGTAACTTCTAAAACCAAATTGCTGGATAATGTATATGCCGCAAAGTGTCATCGTCAGCACAATTGGCTTGCTCGTCGTATATGTTGTCTGGCGACATGTATTTACCTACTGGCGACTTGCCCATATCCCTGGGCCGTTATTTGCAAGGCTAACAAATTTGCAACGAGTGAGTTGGGTAAAGTCAGGGCGATCACACGAGATCCATCATGATGCTCATCGAAGATATGGCGATGTTGTACGATTTGGGCCAAACATGGTGGCTGTTGCGCATCCGGGTGCAATTTCAACTATTTATCCAATGAGACCAGGTTTTCCCAAGGTATGCTCTATACCCATAGCTTAGCATAAAACAAAAAGGAAGAATTTGTGGAAAAGAAGAAATATAGGAAATAACACGAAGAAAAATCTTATTGACAAGCCTAGGGCGAGTTCTATCGGACCCTGATGCCTTATACTGGCAAGGGCAAGTCGCTGCCGGCAATATTCAACACCAGGGACGAAGCACTACACAAAAAGATTAAAAGCCCTGTTGCACCATTATTCTCCTTAACAAATGTCCTGACTCTTGAGCCCTTTGTTGAACGAGTTCTTCACGTCATGTTTGAACAGCTCAACGCTCGTTTTACTGAATCGCAGGATACATGTGATTTGGCTGCTTGGTTAAAATACTTCGCATTTGATGTAATGGGCACACTGACTCTATCAAAACGGTATGGATTTCTAGAAGAAGGAAAGGATGTTAACAATATGCTTGATTCTATTTGGAATTATATGAAAGCTGCAGCTCCAGTAAGTTGCATACACACAAAATGTAGTTGTTTATATGGCCTTTGATGGAGATATCTAATTTCCATACAGATGACCCAGATTCCGTGGTTTGATGAGCTCTGGAATAAAAGCTCTTGGACAAATATTTTCAGAGGTACTAGGGGGTTTTTGATCTTGAAATTGGTGCGCGACTTCATAGAAGAGCGAGAAAGAGACAATGCCGAGGATTTCTCAAAACAACATCTTACTGATCGGGACATGCTATCTCGGTTTTTGGAGCTACAAAAAGGAAACCCATGCATTCCGCCATGGTAAGTGAGAATTCAATTAGACGTATAAACGTATACATTGATTTAAAATTAGGGCAACTACTGCGTGGACTTTTTCCAATGTTTTTGCCGGGTCTGATTCAACGGCAGTCGTTCTGTGCACCATTTGGTATAATCTTCTGACTCACCCAGACACTATGGACCGGCTGTACGCCGAATTAGTCGAAAGAGAGCAAAAGCACATTCTGACACGTCCATTTCCCAAATGGGAGGAGGTGAGTGAGCTGCCCTACTTAGATGCTTGCATCAATGAAGCAGTCCGGTTACATCCACCATTCTGCTTGCCATTTGAACGAGTCGTTCCATCTGGCGGTGTTACTATCGGAACAGAAAGCGTTTACCTTCCAGAAGGAACCATTGTCGGTATGAATCCATACGTAACTAATCGACACGAACCGACTTTTGGCGAGGATGCCAATGAATGGAATCCCGATAGATGGCTCGGCAAAGATGAGCAGCAACGGAAAAAGCTAGAGCAGAGTGTTCTCACAGTCAGTCATTTTCTTCATCAATTTCGTTTATAGATATTTATGTGCAATAAAATATATTGACAGTATACAACCAGTTCGGAGCAGGAAGACGCATCTGTCTAGGGAAACATGTCGCTATGTTGGAAATGAAAAAGCTAGTCCCTGCTCTCCTATTGAATTATGAGGTAAGTATAATACTGGGATCATATTTCTCACAAAATTCAACTAAGTATTCTGTTTGAAACCAACAGTTTCAGTTACTTGATCGCTCCCGATTTCGAGTTGAGAACTTTTGGTTTTTCCAACAGCGTGACTTGGGTGTCAAGGTTAAGAAGCGTGGATTGTCTCCGAATTAAATGGGTTTGACTAGGTTGTTGAATAAACCATCAAGTGATTATTGAAACCCAACTCTTTCTTAGCTCTTGTAAAGATGAGCATTATTAACCGAAGCTATATAGCAATTGTACTTATCCGTAGGGGTTCAACGACAAACAGCAAAAATCGGGTTCTTCCTGCTCAAACCCGACTGCTTTATATATATATATATTCTGCGCCCCTCCCCCTCTCCTTTCCCATGTGGCTGGGAAGACTCGGGAGGGAACAACAAAGATGTGGTGATTTTTTGCATTTTTGAGTTTTACAAACATTAAAATTTTCACTCCGGAAGAGGAAGAGTAAAAATTTGCAGCGCGGCCTGATCTGGCTAGAGCGCTTTCTCCCCAACTTTCTCCAAGCCATGACGTAACTGCCAATATCTGCTATCCATATTACTACTTCCAGTGTAAACACTCTCTCGTCGGCTCGGCGATGCGCTTCTACAATCTGATATGAAACGGAGTCACTTGTTTGCGTCCGAAGAGCTAAGCGAGGGAAGTTCAAGCGCAACCGGTGTAGACGAACATACTCATACACACGCAGCTTCTGTTCGCCTCTCGTCGCTCAGCGCGCCGGTTTCTCCGCCGCGTAGAAAGCTTGCAGTCACTCGGAATGGGAATGACGGAATCCCCAACAATTGTGAAGAGCGAGCATCTCCTAACCTTGCTGCTGTTGAAGCTGGGCAAGTGAAGGTAGATGACCATGTGAAGCTCTTTTCTACAAGGCTCGCTCAGGCCTCAAGGCCTGAACCGGCCTTAGGACAAATCCCAAGACTGTCTATCGACCATTGGATCGACCTGTATTTAAGAAATCAACATGCCGACGGTCACCACTTTGTAATCCATCAGCACGATCATCCAATAGCAGGACCGCATTATGATCTTCGCCTGCAATTCTCGGAGTCGAGTTCTTTGAGCTGGGCAATCATGTATGGGCTACCTGGGGATCCCAACAGTCAAAGAATCAACCGCAATGCGACCGAGACTCGAGTTCATTGCGTGTGGGTAAGAAAAATCATCTCATGAATATATGCAAGCTAACGAAAGCCAGAACCACCTTATCGAAACCGGGTCTGTACACACAGGGAGTATGATTATCTGGGATACGGGGGAGTATGAGATTCTACCGTACTATCCCGACCAAAGGCTTCCAGAGACCGACGATTCTTCTTCAGATGCATCACAATCATCACTGAAGGAAACGACATCCCAATTTTCAGAAAGTGAGAAACTGAAACAAGCATTTCAGAATGTAGTTCCATCCTAGCAGTGAACTTGCTGGATATATGCTGACATTGCACCAGCGAAAAATTCGTCTACGTTTACATGGTACGCGTCTGCCAAAGGGTTATACTATAGCACTCCGCTTGTCTAGTGAGGAAGATAAAGCGGCTCGCGAGAAGCCTACTACAAAAAAACGTCGACGTAGACATCTAGTACAGGCTCGTCACAAGGAAGCTCGCACACCTTCAACATCTCGTTCTCCATCCCCTAATACTGAAGCATCTCGAGTCCATCTCAATTCATCGATACCCAAGCAGGGTGAGGAACATGAAGATATCGACGAAGGACAACCTAATTTAGGGTCCGATTCAGAATCTATCGATTCAAACACACGTCTTAATAACGCATATCCGGGGGCCACCAATTCTGTGGGATCAATTCACCAGCGCAAGTGGTACATCTCTCTTGATCGCCACAACAGCGGATTTGTTAATTACAAGGAAGAAAAGAGGTGGAAAAGAAAATCTACGGACCCTCTCACTGCCGCCGATTCACCAGGCTTCTCACCATTCTATGTTCGTGGACCTGAGACTGAGCGAAGCGTTATTACCGGAAGAACAGGATATGAAGTGTTTAATGACGAGAAAGTGTACGGCTTCATACCTAGGCGTGGTTGGAGACCAATTCTCAACTAAAGTGAACAAATATATGTCATGTATATATGAGAGAACAGAATTGTTTTCTACTTTGATCCAAGAAGTCACGCATTCAGTATAACGCTATATTATCTTGATATTTCAACCAATTTATATAGAAGGTCTAAATCAAAATAAAATCAGTTCTGGTGTTATTCACTTGACAGGAACACTTTGCGGGTTGTGGAAGGTATCCTGAGGGTCGACTGCGGCCTTGATCTGTATCAGTCGTTCAAGATTGCTGCCCCAATACTCCTGTTGCCCGTTGGCTAATTCGGGGTCAACATATCCCGGGTAAGCTCCGAAAGGAGGGTTTGGCATTTTGCTTATGAAAAGATCGTTAATCCCGTTCAAGAAGTTGTTAGTGGTAGATGAAACTGGCCCAAGAAGATTGATAGCATATGTCTGTATCCAGAACAAAGCGTCACGATGGAAATACGCTGTCGCATCCACAGGTATATCACTGGTCTTACCCCCTTCAAGATCAAAGAAGATGACCCATATCAACGTGCCTGGGTCTGTTGTGTCCAGGTATTTAAAGAAGTCATCAATGACCTCGTCAGGTATGAGAGTTGAATATGTGAAGGGCAATGATTTGGCATAAAAGTGCACCGGAATTCCGCCGCCAATAGCTTCTAGCTCATCCACAGCCCAATCAGCGACAAGTCCAAGCCAATCATTAAACACGGTCACGTTATATCCTTGATTACTCGGAAATTTGGTCTCAAGCTGAAAAGCGTCAAACTCGGCCTTTGTTCCAAAATATGTGCCTTCAATTAAGAGAGTGCCCTCTGTCAAAATGATATTACTCGCAAACTTTCTTGTAAGGTCGGGGTCAGATATGAGATTCTGCCATGCTTTGAAAGTATTCGCTCGAGAGCTTGTATCATCGATGTTGAAAACCAGTTGATATTGGACCGCTTCTCCTGGCTCCGCCTCGGTGTGGAAAGTGAATTCGGTGACGATTCCAAAACTCGCCCCAGCCCCCTTGATACCATAAAGGATGTCAGGGTATTCAGTCGAAGATGCAGTGATAATGCTCGAATTTGCAAGCACCACTTGAGCCGACTCAATATGGTCCAATGCTGAACCCCATTGACGTGAAGTAGGCCCCAACCCTCCAATTGTTGCATGACCACCGATACCGATCTGTGGACCGGTACCATGAGCCATGGCACGTCCTCCTGCATCATGGAGCTTCTTTGTGACATCAGCCAGCAATGTTCCCGAGCCGATAGTTGCATATTGTGTCCTGGGATCGTACGAGAATTGCTGAAAGTTTTTTAAATTCACGACTATGGCACCGTCCACACCCCGAGTCCTAGATTCCCTTATTAACAAGTGACAAATGGCAACGAATTTGGAGAGAACATACCATAGTTGGCATAGCTATGTCCGCCGCTTCTGGCTTGCACCTTGATATCCGCTTCAGCGGCGCATTTGACAATAGCAGCAACTTGCTCGGCCGATGTTGGAAATGTCACAGCAGCGGGGGTGACCGGATGATCCAAATTATACGGCATCACGTCAATGGCCTGATATAGCGGTGCATTTGGAAAGGCGAGTAATGATGTATCACCTCCCACCGCACTCACCAAGCACTGTTCCACGGCGGAACTTGTTGTGTTTCCCATTGTTGTGTTGTTGGCCAGTAAGAAACCCTGCTAAAATGCTTTCCGTTTCCAGATAATGCGGACTTAATGGAAAGAAGACGAGGCTAAAGCAGTGCATATGCGTTTACGAAGAAAGATCTTGAGTCGCCAGGGTAGCAGCGGCTGCTAGATACTATCACGTTGTTCACCGCGTCACGCACACGGGTGCGGGAAAAAGCAATACACCAACTAGGACCAACCGACGATTGTTCATTAAGTATGATTAAGCTTGTTACTGATCAGTGAGTGGACCGGAGCATTATTAGTATTAGCGGAAGCTGTTTAGTGCAGGGTATTTCATACATCAATGTTCTAAATGGGAACTATTTTTGTAGCTCGATGACTAGCTCAAGCCATATGTCAGATTTGCCAATGTTCACGTCTTGAGTGGGGAGGAATCCGGCATTCCGCAACCTTGGGTTGCATTCTTAGGCCTATCAAACCGTCTGCACATCAATGTTGACAAATCTCATCTCGGGATCCGAGTCCTAAAATATCGAGGTTTATGGGAGTCGAAATATAGCCGTCCAATTAGCTGAGATGGTCTCTTATTTCCAGAGGGTGCACCTATGTTTTTTCCCATGGACCGTACAGAGTAGTCGATATCCACTCTCCTAGAACTATGGATGCAGCACGGTGAAGTCAAATGTTTTGCAATTTGCCAACTTCGAGAGGCGCGCCGAATATATCCAGCGAATCAGCTGATGTCATTGAAAGGCTTTTGAACTTTGCTTTTTGACACTATCGTATTCATCGGGGCTATCACATCTTATCACACTCTGTCCGCACCACAGCAAGGCACGGCCACAGACCTCGTGAGCAATGATCGGGTTACCACTGCTCACTGACCGGGGTTACCTAGTTTATGACTTACTCCGTAGACACGGTCTGAGTAAGTGTGCCCTAAGTTTAGTTTCCACCTGCATGGCCACCACAGCCTTCGAAGATATAATGAAACCAAGCAAGTAAAGCCGAACGTGCCAAATTCATCCTTTTTCAATTTCATCTTCCTTTCTCATAAGGTTTGTTTCTTCCTTTTTCAAACTATTTGTTCCGCAAGGCGGTTCGACTACGCCGCAGGCTTCTATATTCTAATTAAATGAAAGGGGAAGGAAAAGAAAGAAAGAATAAGAACGGCTCTGTTGTGCATTGTTTCGAGTTGCACAAGTTCGAAACGACAGACTGCACATACTCATATTAGTACAGTAAATATACAAAATTATATCCATATTCAATCACCTGGTCTGTCTAGACCTTCTCGGTGATGTTGATAGCTGCTCTACATCCATGACGAATAAGATTCACTAAAGGATCATACGGCTTGGCTTCCTTTGCATCGTTTTCGACTGCATAATCCAGATGCTCAAGCTCCTCGTCTCGAGTCTTCCTTAGCAGTGCCAGTAGATCCTTTAGCTCCTCGTCAACCTCCTCCCCACGCTGTTCCGCTTCCTTCATCCATCCCAGCATTGTGCTGATCTGTTCATTGTAGTGGGTGCCAATTTCCGTCTCGACGGCTTCTGTACACGCCATTGCGGCCTCTCTGCCCATAATAGCCGTCGACCAACCAAGAAACGTAGCTGCAACTTCCCAGACTGGGTACATGGCCGTGGGACGAATTTGGTGTTTCGCGACCAGGCGATTGAAATTAGCAAAATGCTCTGCCTCTTGATCATACATATGCTTCATCAACGGTCGTAGGTGCGGATGAGATCGGATGATGGGTGGCTTCTGGGCAGCGTAAATCAGTGTCGCGGCGAGCTCCCCGGCCTGATTGACACGCAGCGCGCTGTCGAGATACTCCCGCTGCTCTTTGCTCAGGACATACCGAGGTTTTGGCAATGCATCATTGGATTTTTGGGGTATGGGCGCTGCAGAATCGCCAGGCTCGTTAGCGTCTGTCTTGGACCGGGACCAGAAACATCGGCGAGGAGGACGGGTGGCGGCTGGAGCTAGAAAATCGAGGTATAGAGGGGGCTCGTTTCTACAGTATCTGGCTGCAGGAACGCGTAATGGGCGCAGGGCTGCCATTGTTGACCCTATGAATAGAGACAGGCTATTGAAGGGGCACACAGTAGCTAATCGATAATAATGCTCCCGGCAGCGCCCGATCTTTGGCAGACGCCATCCGCGCGGCTAAGGTGGCGACTTGGCAGTAGGCCGGTCGGGGCCTCACTCTGGCCACCTGAGTCGACGTCGCGCTTGTTCCAAACTTCGACAACTACTTTCTCCTCGACGCCGCCTTTCTCCAATCGAACAATAGCCTGTCATATATTCCGATACGCTGCCATCTTGCAATCCTATTTATTCGCTAGCTAAAGTCTGTTTTGCTTTTTGTCAATTTGTTTGTCTGCGTCTGTTATCCTAATTCCTGGCTGCACACCTGTGATTTCGACCTTCTTCGCCGCGACTTCCCGCTTGTGTGTCCTGTTCGTGCGCGCCTTCTTGACCGTCGGGGGCTGTTTTGGGAAATCTCGGGGGACCTTTTTGCTAGCTGGCCACTATGACGAGCCTAGACGATGAACTGCTGGCGCTGGCAGGAGACTCCTCTGATGAGGAAGAGGTCTCCTCCCCACAACCCAAGCTCGCCTCTGCCTCTCCCCGACCTATATCTTCTTCGCAAGAAGCCAAAAGATCCCCTCCGCAAAAATCCAACGACATGGCGCGCAAAGGTGTGGCGAAGGCTGTGAAGCCTGCTAGGTCAGCTAAACGAACGAAGCGGCCAAAGAAAGAGGAATCTGACGAAGAAGGTGAACTGTGAGTGTCTTTGGCTATGGATATCGAGGTTTTGCTTAAAAATCATCCACTAATTCTTGCATCCTCATTTCCTTGGTAATATAGATCTGCAGCCGAATCCCATGACTCTAATGCCTCTGCTGCTATGGAAGAATCTGATGCCGATGAACCCTCCTTGCGGGTTGATGGCGATGGGCCAATATTCCCCTATGAGAAGCTGTATTACTCAGCCAAGGACAAACAAGAAATAATGGCTATGCCAGAAATCGAGCGCGAACAGATTTTGTCCGAGCGCTCTCAGCAGGTCGATCGCCATAACCAAGACGTTGTTTTGCGCCGTTTGCTTGCCTCTCGAGAACGCGAACAAGCACGATCTGAGTCGAAAGCCAAACGCAAGGCAAGTGCCGCCGAATTGGAGGATGGCCAACGCAAGAGCTCTCGCCAGAAGACCACACTAGGAGGACGCAAAGTCGGTGAAGCCTCAGATGCTATTGAAGCTTACAAGCGACAACGGGAACAGAAAGGCAAGCGCGATGAGCAACGTCGCCGAGAGGCTGATTCGCGACAAAACCGAGCTCGAAGCTCGTCTCACGAAGAGGGTGCATACTCCGACGTTGATGCAGAAGGAGAAAGTGAAGTTGAATACGAAGATCGGGTGCGCCGCAGCCCATCAGGGCCACCAGTCCCCAAGGATGACCCACCCGCAGAACTGAAAGACATCCAAAGAGTCCGTGTCGGCCGCAGCAACTTTGCTAGCGTGTGTTTCCATCCTACGTTCGCACAATCACTTACTGGTTGTTTCGCACGCGTCAATATTGGACCAAATCGAGACACCGGGCAAAACGAATATCGTGTTTGTATCATCAAGAGTGCGTCTTTCATCCCGGTTATAGCCAGTAATATTTCTAACCATCTCTCAGGGTTTACCCAAGGCCGTCCATACTCAATCGAAGGAACAAATGGTCGTACATACATTACGGATTCGTACGCGGTTCTTGCGCACGGTAAAGCCGAGCGAGAGTTCCCGTTCATACAATGCTCTGACTCTCTCTTTACTGAGGTTGGTTGTGTTACACTTGGCTGCTTAGCCTCTTACTAACTTATCCCTGAAGGCCGAATTCAATCGTTGGCGACAGACTATGGCTGTCGAGGACTGCAAAGTCCCAACCAAATCGACGTTGAGTGCTAAAGTCGTCGACATCAACAAGCTTATCAACTATAAGTTCTCCGCTGAAGAACTAGAGGAGAAGCTACGCAAGCAAGGGTCTAGTAATGTGAACGAGAAGCTTCTGAAGCGTTTTGAACTGGAGCGAAAGTTAAACGAAGCCATTGCCGAGAGTAACGACGATGAAATAGGCGATATACAGGCCCAACTTGCCAAGGAGTCGACTCCTAAGCTTGGCTCAGGCATCTCGCTGAACAAACCTCGTCTCGAGAAGCAGCAGACTCCCGAGCAGCGTCTTGCTGAACTTAACCGTCGTAACCAACGGCTCAACAGTGAAAACGTACGACGTGCGCAGCTTGAAGAGCGCCGAATCAATCGAGAGAAGGCTGCTGCCGTAGCTCGCGGGGAAGCAACTGCGGATCCCTTTTCTCGTGTTAGAACTCTTGCCAAGACCCATCACGACGTCAATGCGCCACGAGGCACGCCGAAGAAGGAGGATGTAGTGGAGGGTACTAATGGATCATCAACTACAGCTAACGATTTCACGTCGAGCCCAACACTGAAGGATACTCCTACAGGGAGCCAGACGAAGCCCAAGGGGATCGCCGTTATCCGACATCGTAATATGGATGATGAGAACATAGCTGCTTTGGACCTGGATTTGGACGGAGATTTTGATCTCGGAATCTAGGCACGGACTTCTTTCTACGTCATACTCAGTACTTAGTTGGTTGTTTTAATTCTGCATAGAACAGCACCGACGCACTTTTTTCTTTTCGTGGGAATATAAAACATTGATGCTGAAGGCTAATTTATTGTTGTAATTACTAGTTTGTGTTTTCCTTCCGACTTGATTCTCCAGAATATCTTTATTCACTGTCTCTTTGGCATTTTGCATTTCGTTGATATCCATGGTTAAAGCACCTTACTTGCAAGGCAGGAGGAGTTTTCGAGGCGCTGGTTCTGTTCTCTAAAATATTTCCCCCGGGTATGTTACAATTAGTTATGGAGCATCATAATCGACCATCCATATTATTTCAATTTTATCGACTCGTCTCTATCATCAATGCTTGATTGTTAAATTGCACGAATGCTTCCAGACGGAAGTGCCTTATCAGCACGTGACCAGGTTGATAGTGACCAAACGCGTCGCGTCCGCCCGCATAACTGGCGTAGCCATAGCAAGCTGCCATTACCCACCCAGCCTTGAAACGTTTCCCACCCTCTACACCATTTCTGCGGTTTGCATCTCCGTCGGCATGACTTTATCGTTACTCATATAGACAATCCTATTTAATTGATATCTCAGGATTTGAACCCTTTCAACTCGGAAGCAATGTCTAGCCCTTCTACTCCGCGTCGACGCTCCGAGTCTCCAGACCATGAAGCTGCAGACTCGCCAGCCACGATGCTTACTCCCGGCCAGAAAATCAAGGCCATGCTCGCCGAGTTTGACAGTGACTCTGAATCAGAAAATGTCCTCTCCACCGTCAATGAGCCGCTCCAGCCAGTGCATTCGAAACTGAGCTCTCACACTCTAACGACAAATTATAATGACGATGACGAGGATGATGATGAAGACGCGGTAGTCTTCGCTCCTAGAGGTCGAATGGCTTCCCGGATGCAGGGTTTAGAAAACGAACAGGCGAAACCAACTGCCTCCAAGCAAGCGGAGACCGCGTATGAGAGAGTAGCGAGGACATTACGTGCCACGTCAGAGGACTCCGTCTCTGAGAATGCCAATAAGTCGACAGAAGAACAGCCCTCGGGAGACGATCTCCCATCAACCTCATTCAAGAAGCGGCTGTTTAACAAGAAGACTAGCGAATTACATGCAACAACAACCAAGCAAGACTCGGCTAGACCCCGACGCGACCGATCTGAAACTCCTCTCTTTGTCGGTGATGAAAGCGAGCCAGAATTAGGAAATGCAGAAGAACCTGAAGCCAAGAAAATTGAGGAATCTAAGAATGCACGGTTCCTTGCCCTCATCCAGCAGAAAAGGAAAGAACGTGAGGAGCGGGAACGGATTGAAGCCGAGAAAAAGGCTGCTAGAGCTGAAAAGGCGAAGCAGTTCAGTTCCGACGTTCTATCTAGAGAGAATAGCGACGATGATCCGGAATCTGCACGAAAATTGACCCAGCAAGCTCGACCGACCCGAAAGGCAAGCAAGAAGGCACTTGAAGAAATGAATAGAGAAACCCAACGCATGAGTCGAAACATGCAATTGACACACCAGGCTCGCACTAAACGGAAACTTACTAAGGAAAGCTTTCTTGCTCGCTTCAATGGTGACCAGCAAAAAGGCGCGTCGTTGGAAAATATTACAGACCGTGGTTTACCAACAATATCTTCAAGCTCCGCCCCATCGTCGTCGGATGGTGAAGCAAATCGAGAAAAAGCGACACCACCCACTTCTCCCATACGGACTGAAGATAACGACAAGACCACAGCAACCACCCATGACGTCGGTAATATAGACACTGAATTCTCAACCATCGAAGAGTCGAGGAGTCAGGTTAATCCGGACAATCTTCAAGATACTGTCACTGTGCAGCAAATCGAATTACTCGAATCTGTAGCCCCATCAGAACTCGTCGTTGAAAAGACAGAAGCTGCTCGTAAAGAGCTTAACAAACCGCCAGTTCGAGTTCGTGTATCCCGTCAGGAGATTGCTCAGCACCAGCAGGAGGCATCAGACGACGAATTGGAAGTCATCACTTCCCCAGGTCGATGCCGCAAGCTGGCAGCCTTTGAAAATCTCCCGTCTAGAAATGCCCAGGAGAGCAAGTCGATGCTGACACTTAAGCTCCTTGCCCACCTCACATCACCTACTCGCACCAAATCTATGAGTCCTGCAGAGCTCGGTGCATCACTGCGCTTGCAAGCCCGGCAGCAAGCACTGCAAGAAAGAAGAGAGAGAATTGAGGAGCTAAGGGCTAGGGGTATATTTATTGAAACTGCGGAAGAACGGGAAGCAATGGAAGCAGATGTCGAGGATCTGGTGGAAAAGGCAAGACAGGAAGGAGAAGAAATAGCTCGCCGTGAAAAAGCTGCTCGGGGAAAGAACTCCAATGGTGATGAGAATGATGAGGAAGATGATGACTACATACTTTCAGACTCCGAGGATGAAGAAGACGAGGAAGAAGAAGAAGAAGAAGTAAATAATGATTCGGATGACGAAGAGGGGGATGAAGATGAGGAACAGGTCGAACAGGTCAATGAAACAAACGGCTTGGTTGAGAATGAAGCTGATGAGGCTTCTGAATCTGACGATGAACAGTCTAAAGTCGCATCTTTGGTTGACAAGGACGAGGCTGCGACACAGAGAAAGCGTGGAAGAAACCGAATGAGAATTGTTAGTGATGATGAAGATGAGGATGAAGATATTCAACAACCTCAAGAAATCAAAACCCCCGCGAAATCCATCGCCCCATCTGTTGGATCTGCACAGCGACCATACTTTCCTGATATTCCCGGGACTTCTTCCTTTGACATGAGCCTAACTCAAGCGTTTGCCGGAACGCTAGCTGAAGACCAATCCGACGCTGGAGAGGACTCATTGGATGCCATTCGCAGTCTTCCAGATCCTCGGTTGTCTGCTACCCAGAATTTTACCCTCGCCCTCGACTCACAGGTGATGGTCAAGGATAGCCAAGAGCTGCATCATGAGGTCATTGACTTGTTTGCTGGATATACACAGTCTGATATGCGTATTTCAGAATCCCCAGCTCCGTCACAGTTTCCGGAGCCGACGCAGGACGCAGGGTTCGTGCTTTCTCCCTTTGACCCTTCGAAACGATTCATGGAACCACCCGTCTCAACCATTGACACTGTTATAATTCCACAAAATGAATCCCCGGTTATGCGGAAACGTCGTCTTCAACGCGGTCGGCCTGTTGAGTTGTCAGACGATGAAAACGATAGCTTTGAGATCAAAGCCAGCGCGTTCGATGTCATGAAGAAAGCTGCAAAGTCAAAGTCAACTGTTCCGTTTGACAAGATTAACAGCAAGGCTAAGGAGCACGTTGATGATGCTGCCGAAGAATCTGAGGATGAGTATGCGGGCTTGGGAGGTGCAAGTGACGACGAAGATGGAGCAGAAAATGACTATGACCGAGAAATGATCAACGACCAAAGCGGAGAAGTAGTTGACGAGAAAGAATTGGCTGCTCTCAATGCGTATGTATCTCATGCTTCCGTACAAATCCCAGTGAAATATAGATATTAATTTTCTTCTAGAAATCACCAGCGTGCTATGGATGAGAAGCAAGTATCAAAACTGTTGAAAGATATTACTACTGGAGCTCTCCGCCGTCGACGTGGCGGTGATGACGATCTGGACCTAGATGACTCGGATGATGAGCGAATGGCTAGACGACGGGCTAAGCAACGCGAGTTTGCCAAAATGCGACAAGCCCTGCTGGCTGACGAGAAGGTCAACGAAATTGCTAACAATCCCAAAAAACAAGCCTTCTTTAAGGCTCTTGAAGATCACGATGATGGCGATGACATGGAGATCGAGTTTGATAATGGGGTCAATTCCCAGGGAGAGTCCTCGCAAGACGTCCAGCCCGAGACCGAGAGTGCGAAGGCTGAAACAAGTAATCAGTCTAAGAAACGCAAACGACCACTTCAGCCTTCTGCTGAAGAGACAACTAATCGCCCTCCACCCAATCTACGAAGAACGGCTGCGTCTGTATCCCGTAAACCGTCCTCGCTTGCTGAAATCAGAGAGACCTTGTCCTTCTTGACAGAAACGCCAGAGTATGATTCTTTTAAGGAAGATGCCTCTGTTGAGGAAGAAATTGTTTACAACACCGACAAAGAAACTTCCGAAGATGAGAATATGGTCTCTGAAAGAAGAAAATCTGTGGATGGGTTTGCCATTCCACCCAATCCTCGTCGCACACGTGGCCGAGTAGTCGATCGTATCGCTCTTCTCCGCGCGGCGTCGTCGAACTCTGCGTCTACCATTACGAAGAGCGCGTTTATGACTAACTCCTCGGCTGATGGGCTGCCTAAAGTCGGTTTCCGGCCGCCACCTTTGCTTCGACGCTCTACAACAGCTTCATCCTCCGCATCTGCTAGCTCCTCTTCGAGTGCTTCTTCCAGCCGAAAGACCAGTACTGCCAACTCAGCGGCATCTGGGACAAAGAAAGGAGCTGTCAATTACTATGCTGCTGCACGAGAACGGGAAAGAGAGCGTGAATTGAGGGTGAAGGAGCGGGGTGGTGCATCCAACACAGCGGCATTGCTGAAGAAAAGGGCGTTGGCTGGTGGTCTGGGGTCGCTAACCCGCAACCAATGGGGGTGATTATTGCCCAAGCATGCAACTGTTTTTCTTACTCTTTGTCTCACAAACCCATGTTGATTTCGCATATTGATGGGTCATATATAGTTAGCTTTTTACATGCAGTTGCATCAAATGGCGTTCTTGTTATTCGTTGCTCATTAACTCATTAGGGAACATTATCAGCCTTAGGTACAGAATTAAAGAAGACAAGACCTTTATTGAGATTTAATAATCCTCCCGCAAAGTACAACATCTTCCCCGAACGGATGCCACTGAACTTCTGTCAGCCTTGAAGCAGGAATCGCGCATCCATCTTCATCAACTAGCCGCTTTGGCGAGACCACAACTCCTCCCTGGCCGAGCCACTTAGGAGCAATAGTAATAATGACCGAGTCGACGAGAGCACTGTATCGCGGCTCCGAAAGAATAGAATTGATTATCGCTCCGCCTCCTTCAATCATAATACTCTTTATATTCTCCTCCGTTGCGAGAATACGGAGGATGGTGTTCCAATCAAACCGAGTGTCGCCATTGACGTCTTGTACTGTCTCAACAGCTATAAACTTCCCACCGTATGCCTCCAAAAGTTCCTGCTTATCTTTAGGCGGAAGAACATTCTTGGAAATAATGATAAAAGGTGCCTTTCCTTTCCCCTCTCTAACAAGCGAAAGAATCTTAGAACCCTCATGAAACCCCCACCTTGCACGAGGATCAATGACAATTGGCCTAGGCTGTTGAAGTTTTTCTTGCTCTCGTCGTAGCTTTTCTAAGTTCTCTTCATGTTTAGTATTTTGAATTTGAGTAAGGTGGCTCTGAAAACCCTGCATTTGCTCGGTTGATGCCCTTCCCATGGCGACGTTTTTCATCAAGTTTCTCAATTCCGGATCTGATGATGCCTTTTTCGCATAATCGCTAATGGCAGCGTCTGGTTGCAGATTTGATTCTACAGTGGACAATTTGTATCCATCTACACCTTCGATACGGCAGTTGAGGCCGGGGTCGTCGGCATTGGCAGTTCCAACGCCAATGAGAATGGCCTGGTGTCGCGAACGGAGGTAGTGAGTCATGGCTTTTGATTGCGGCCCAGACAACACGGTGCGCATCCCTGGGGCTAGCGAGAGGGCAGAGTCGAGAGACGTAGCAAATGTGAGGGTTGTGTATGGGCGAGATGAGTCATTGCCATTCTTTTCCTGCTGTGCTTCCCCCTTCTCAGCCTCAATTTGGCCGTCTTCCGAAGCCTCTGGCGGCAGGTAAGGCTCGAGAAAGGGACGAGAGTTTGCTGGAAAATGCAGCGCATCGGATGGAAATGAAGCCGCCATTTGTTTATACGGTCAATCTCTAGTAGTTTAGGTTACTTTGAACGATGGCTCGGTTCTTGTTGCGGTCTCAAGCAAGGATATTTAGTAGTTGTAACCGAATCTAAATTTCCCGGGGTTGGCGGCGGGCCAGAAGAAAAGCTCGAAGCCCCACCAGATAAAATCTCCAGCTATTGTATACAATCGGGCCATGGTAAAGTGCGCCTAATACAAATGCTAAATCAACGACCGCAACCAAGATGAGTTCACTAAAGTTTCGTCTAATTTAACCTATAAGCATTTGGTTCCATTTTTAAAAATCCCGCTTTTTTCATCACTATGACTCATTTACGCGAGGACTAATACGAGACTAAGCCACACCCCAACGCTGCGTAAGAGATTCGGCCATGGAGGTGCCAGAATAGTATAAAATAGCAGAGAATCTATCAAATTCGAGCAGTAATTGATTATTAACAGCATTTACGAAATATAAAATCACGGGGTATAAAGAATTCCGACCCATCCAACACACTTACGGGCACCATTTTACTTCATATCTTCGATTTATTAGCTCAGAATTAGTCAACGAGTTCATCATGTCACACCGTGGAATGAGGCAGAGGATCGCCAAAGAAACACAGAAGCTAACTCCTGGAATTATTCGATCCACAAAAGGTGCCACCGCTGATGCAGAATTCTATCCAGAACTTCTACCAGCACTACAAGAGAACAAGAAACCTAGAGATACCCGAGTATACGTTGACTATGGGGATAGCTTCACGGTCGCTCAGAGACTGTTGGCTGCTAGACGGACGAATATCGCAGTTTTGAATATGGCCAGTGATCAACTTCCAGGAGGTGGATGGCTTCGGGGCGCTCTTGCACAGGAAGAAGCATTATGCTTACGGTCAACTCTTGCGGCTACTCTGAACCCCTCGCATTATCCGACTCCTCCACTAGCTGCAACATGGAGTCCAGGTGTTGCTGTATTCCGAGAAGATACCAACCATAATTGCACATTACTGAAGAAGGACGATCATTTTGTTGTTAGCGTCGTTAGTATGGCTGGTCTAAGACGGCCGCCATTGACTGGTGATGAATTGGATTATCGTGAGTAATTTACAAATCTCTGTTTTCAGTCGTTTGTGATTTATCTCTAACCTTGGCGTGTGAAAAGGCTTTCCTAAAGACACTGAGTTGGTCAAGAACAAGATCAGGCAAGTTCTTCGTTTAATGGCATTAAATAGGACGTCATGTTGCGTTCTTGGTGCCTTGGGCTGTGGCGTCTTTGGCAATCCACCGAAGCGTGTTGCTCAATTGTTTCGCAACGTCATTCTAGAAGACGAATTTAGAGGCCGCTTTGATGAAATTGTGTTCGCGATTTTGGATCGAGCATTGGTGGGCAACTTTGAGATCTTTCGGGATATTATCGGGGATTTTATTATGGACAGCAAACCAGCAGTCGCATAATATCATGAGCGCAGACATGCAAGTAGGTTATTGCTTTCTGTTATTGTTACCCTTCTAATCAAAACATAGCTCTAGTTCTCATACTGAGCTTTCGCTTTTCGATGTGAAAGCTATAGGTTGTGCCATAAACAATTTCCTCAGATGCGTGACAACCTTCTGGGCTGGTTAGCTCGCCTTCGTTCCTCCTTCTAAACCCCCGCAGCCTTTAAATCAATCACACTGTCTGTTACCTTATTGTTTGTACTTGGAGGTAAGAGGCCCGCGCCAAACAACAAAAGTTTCTTCGGATCTTCCTGCAGGATACGGAGCGATCGCGAGTAACTAGTTGATTCCGGGGTCTCGACTTCAGTCCACTCGCCCTCGCCGAGAGCCTGGTTGACAAATACACTACTATGAGTTCCGCAACTAACAATAATACTACCATTTCGATCACTCCCGTGCGAAGTCCATACTATATACGGCGAAGACTGCGGTTCTGTCGAGGCATTGGAGACGATCAGCCGATTTCCCGTTGCGGAATTGAACTCTTCGGGGTTGCTTGCGATGCGGAAGTAGACTGGGAAGGTGTATGTTGAGGTGTTGAAAAATGAGCCATATTCATAGGTCATAATATACATTCCATTTGGGAGCTAGATTTTTCATGTTCAGTTTGAGTTGACTTTTAAAGATGCACAGATTTATGTAATTTAGGCCTCTGACAACATACCTGTGCAACCGTCGTCATGCCTGGTCGGTCGGTGTAAGTAGGCATAGTACTATTCATTTTATGTCAGCAGGTGTCTGTATTGCAATAATCCTATAAAGACATACACATCATCTACGACAGGACCCCAATTCTCCAGGTCAGAGGAAACTTGGTGAACTAGTTTCTGTCCATGCGTTGTATTTGCTCTTTGGTCTGAGTAGTAGCATATGAGTTTGCCGTTACTATACCCACGATCAGCTTTGGTGTTTTATCAATTAACTAGATAGCCCATAGAGTCTTGGGTTTATATAGCTAATTATGAACGGAAGAGGAATTGCACTTACTAGGTCATTAGAAATGGTTCCCAGACCGGCGTCAGTCCATTATCTGGCTCCGCTTCACCCCCCTCAGCAATGTGACTGACAAATTCCCAAGTAAATCCCGAGTCATACGAGGCATAGAGATCAATATGCGTTGATGAAAGATCCGTAGGAATACTGTTGCCAGCAAGCAGAAGTGTATCGGCGGGGAAACGACCAATGGGCTCCTGAAGCCGGTACAAAAAAGGCTGATATCGCAACCCCAAGTCATTGGCAGTGTCTTGAACACGGGCAATCTCTGTCCAAGTATATCCACGATCCTTTGAGCTGTATATTGGAAAATATACCAGGGGAGGTTCTGGTGAGTAGTTTTCCCAAGTCGCAAGCAAATCGCCATTAGCCAATTGAACGCTGCGAGCGTACAGGACGCGCGGCGTAGTGTAATTCGATGGTGGCGTGAATATAGTTTTGTTAGAGAAGAGTTTGGGGGTTGAGGATGCTGCGGCTGCAGCTGCTAGAGGTAGCGCCTGGAGGAGATGATTGAGGAGTTGCATGTTTCGATACTAAATTATTTCCTCCTTTGAGTACCTTTCGTTAGGAAAGCTGTAAATGCGTGTACAAAATTGAGAGGGCAAGGTCCAATTTATAGATGTCACAGAATCATTATAAACTAGATGAAATTGACAAACATTTCCCCTATTTCCCCCGCCTTGCTAGATTCCAGAAACTGCGAAAAATCCCAGTGAGTATGCGACTAGAGAAAAGTTTATGCATGTTTAGGAGTTTAATATATTTTACCAGCTAATGGTAAAAAAATTATTGGTCAAGTATAGTTTTTTTTTCGGTTATTAGGAAGTAAATAACCTTCACATAGTCAGTTTTGCCCGTCGGGATGTTTCCCGAATAGGAAAATTTGGGCCAATACATGAATTCCACTGCGCAGAGGCGCAACTAACGGAACGAATTTCTCCACGATACAGAAACTACCTGCGACTTTCCCTTGGTTAAAATTGCTTGCTTCGATGGAAAAATAAATAATATATTTATTTCAACGTTCAAATGTTGTCAATGTGAGGTGCAACCATGGATAACATTTCTCACTTATATATGTCATTTGTTATAGTCAATGACCCATCGAACTGGCTGCTATCTATGCGTAAGGGCCAGCTTAGTGGGAAATTATTCTAGACAAGCTTTAATCAAATACTCAATTTGGCTTATTATGAGCTATATTGGATCTAGAATAATGTCGATGCTCTTCAAGACATCATAGAAACGATACAGGGTTACGAAATTCACGTGCGCATCAGCAATTGACGATACTACACCCGTCTGTGGTTAATATACAGCAACACAATAACGGTGAATCATCGGGGATATTTAGAGCCATCTGGATGCTTATTTCCAGTGTATACTAATGAGGGTAGTATGAATATATGAGTTAATCTGTGCGTTCAAAAGTAGTAAGCATAGTAGTATTCAAAAGTTATGTCGCCAAGCGGGAGAAAAAGGAATATCAGGTACATAGTGTTGATTTGAGATAGAGGATACCGATTTCTAACATTGAAATTTTACATATATTTAGTTTTAAACCTCAGTAGCGAATGGTACAGATGTACTTGGCTACATGTATTGTTGGTAAGAATGGTACTGAAATATGACAATCGACTTAGATCGCCTTGTTCCATTATTAGTAGTGATGGAGTTTGGTGCCATATCCTTGTTTCCATTTTTCTTAGGTGTCACAACTTCATACTGTTTGTTTACTATTTTCTATAGCAAACATTGTCCACTCATTGACAATTTTAGACAGTCTATAAGATTACAACGCAGGAGAAGAAATTTCTGTACTGGGAGCCCGATATGTCGCTAACAAATGGCAATAGCGCTAGCTATTTCTACGAAACTTTTAGCTTACAGATAAAAGTGTGCACATTCTTGGAATTCCAAGAGAGGCCATGATCCAATGCGTAGGCGTTATATCATAATATCATTGGGCAATTAGGTTTACCATAGTGTCTGTCAAAGCTCATAACCGCGAACTTGATTACAAACAAAAATTAGGTTTACCAACGAGAAGGAACTAGGGGAGACTAAACTGTTTCTGGGAAGACATATCGGAGTTAAGCATTAAATCAGTCTTGGCACATCAGCAACTTACATTAGCGTGCCACTAATTCTGAGTAGTGACCAATGACCATGCTTGTGTCCGTAGAAAGAGTCTATGTGGGACCACCTTTACCGGATCGGCTCGATTGTCAGCAAGTTGCAGAACTATTTCAACGATCGAGCCCCAGTCCATTTCACATCTCTCAATTCTAACTCATGCAGACTGTCTTAAACATGGCAATGGCCGATCCCGACGCTGACTTAGTGCTGTCAGCGTCTGCTGGCGTCTCTTCCATCCCGCTGGTGCGAATGCGCCAACAAGACGGCATTCGGATGCCCCAGGATGACTGGACCGGCGTCACAAATCGAGAATCTCGGAGGAAGCTCCAAAATCGGTTGAACCAAAGGGCCTATCGTAAGTAATTCTAACAGTTTACTAATATGCCATACCGAAAATGGAATATTCGTCGTTGACCATACTCAGGTGCGAGGAAGACTAATGGCGTTCGTAAAGCGCCAAAACAGCGGGACAGCTCTGTCTCATTAAAATCAGCCATAGATTCTCTATCTCCATCACTGCCGAACATAAAAAAGGAGGCGGTTCAAGAAGAGACCGATGATGGACAGACGGCTACTTATTGCCATACCCCACCAGCATATCGTATAGCGCAACGCCGTTTTGAAGCTACAGTCTACAAAAGTTACTTGCAAGGGTCGCCTCAATTGGAACATTTAATCAATTTGAGCCGCCTAAATGTCCATCGAGCGATACAAGATAATATTATTGCTATTGGAATGACTCCAAGCTGGATGTGCGATGACGACTCGATATCGATCTTCAACCTTGCAGTACCCGGCTTCTCCGAAGATAACATCCCGGCAAGCTTGCGTCCGACTTCTATCCAGCGAAAAATTCCGCATCATCCGTGGCTAGACTTTTTCCCATTTCCACGTATGCGTGACAATCTAATCATAGCCGGTGATACGTTTGACGATGAAAAATTGTGCCATGATTTAAATGCTTTCTGGGATTCGAGGAGCACGGCGACGAGCCTCTTAGTTTGGGGACAACCATGGGATCCAATGAACTGGGAGATCACCGAATTTTTTATTAGAAAGTGGGGATGGTCGCTTAAAGGTTGTGCAGAACTTTTAGCGTCGACTAATAGATGGAGGAGGCGACGTGGAGAGGAGCCGCTAATTTATAGTCGCGTACTAGAATTGGATTGACAATTGATCTTTCTGGTCCCAGTTCAATATATACCAATTGATATGTATATAGTTTATCCAAAATTTTTATTTTGGTTTATATCATCTTGGAAGTAAATATTGTTGATATCTGGGCCATGTTTCACGACCGTGCCCAAAATTTTCATTCAAAATTATCCTGATCATGGGGGAAAAAAAAAAAAAAATTAAAGGTATGACGTCGGATGTCCCGGGTACACTCTAATTCCGGACCCAGCGCCATGAATCGCTGCAATGCGGATTAGATAAAGCATGAGGATTCTTGTGGGTATGTGCCTATTACATTAAGTCTATCATAAAATTATTCAATATTCTCTATTCAATTTTGATGGTTTACAAAATTACTCTATATTACCTTGAACTGATATCTTCCCACGCTTCCCATGAATGAATTCACATTAACTCTACCTCACTCTGACAAGTCATTTTTAAAGTCTAGGCCCAAAAATTGTCTTAAATCCTAATCTCTAAAGATAAACTGGTTCAATTAATCTCCTAATTCCCAATCCAATCCCCTTTGAAAAGTGGATTTCAATTTCTGACTATCAAGATACATGCTATGCAAAGACCATCAAAATTATCACTTAGTACAGTACTAAGTAGTATGCTATCACGCTATTTTGGTTGAGGACTTTCTGTTGTTCAGTATAGATGGACTGAATCTACGACTCTATTCCCCCTAATGCAATTGCATTACGTGCTAGTGAGCACCAACCCTAAGGAGGAATGGAGCACGTTGCCACAAGCAATTTGCGGAATCTAGTGTAAAAGAGGCAATTGAAAACCTTTTTATCGAAGTTCCATAGATTCAGGTGGGTCTCTGCGCCAGGAACTAAGCATAGCTGACATCGTCATCCGTGTCTGTGCGAGCTTTCACCGTCTCGCCGTCGAGCTGTTATTCCCAAAGAAAGCCGAGGAAACCCCTGAATTATTTAGAAGGTAGTAAGAATAAATGTCACATCCACCTCGGTAGAGAAGTTGGTGTGGTATCCTTACGGTGGTGGAGACTGCCGTCTATGTTCACCAATCCACCTCGCCACGTCATTTCAATTTTTCAAGCAATTCCTATAAATAATAGGCGCCACAGCTTGCCGTATTTATCTCCGAACTTATGCAGTTCCAGGAAACACCACCACTCTCCATGATGTGGGGACTATTTCGTCGATTTATAATCGACTCGTGGAAGGTGATGGGCCTCTCAACACGCTCTTGCATCCAGAATTTAGAATATAAATATCTAACCACCCCCGAGTCTTGAACCTACCGAGCCTCTAGTTTCCTGTAACTTAATATTGGCTCATAAATAAGTTATTCTTCCGTCATTATCAAAAACGAATCGATATGACTCAAGCTAACGGTACCGAGTACACCTTCCAAGGCTGGATGGGTCTTGATAAAGGCTCTATTGGCAACCTGAAATGGCAGACTTACGAGCCAAAAGCCTGGGAGGAAACTGATGTCGATATTAAGGTGACGCACTGCGGAATCTGTGGCTCGGATTTGCATACCCTACGCAGTGGATGGGTAAGTCAAACCGTCGTCAAATTTCACGACGATTAAGTTGACTTTTGATGCTTTTAGGGTGCTACCGCATACCCATGCGTTGTTGGTCATGAAATAGTTGGAATCGCTGTCCGAGTTGGTTCTGAAGTGAAGCATGTCAAGGTCGGCGATCGTGTCGGTGTTGGCGCTCAATCAGACTCTTGTCTCAATCGCTCTGGGAAATGCCCGGACTGTTCGGCTGGGCGAGAGAACCTGTGCTTTAACAAGGGTCGCTGTGATACCTACAATAGTGTCTTCTTGAACGGTGGTAAATCCTACGGCGGTTATGCCGACTACAACCGAACCCCAGGCCACTTCGTCATCAAGATTCCTGATGGATTAAGCTCTGCTGCTGCAGCTCCTATGCTCTGCGGTGGTATTACGACCTATGCTCCACTCAAGAATAATGGATGTGGACCCGGAAAGCGCGTTGCGATCATTGGTGTTGGTGGTCTAGGCCACTTTGGCATTCTTTGGGCAAAAGCCCTCGGTGCGGATCGTGTTGTTGGTATTTCGAGAAAGGAATCTAAGCGTACAGACGTCCTTAAGCTTGGTGCCGATGATTACATTGCGACAAGCGAGCAGAAAAACTGGGCTCAGGAGCATTCGGGTAGCTTTGATCTGATTATATCTACAGTATCATCGCCAAACATGCCTCTGCGTGACTACATGAGACTACTGGATTCTAATGGAATTTTGGTTCAAGTCGGAGCCCCTGAAGACAAACTTCCTGACCTTCTTGCATTTGATTTCATTATGAAAGGAAAATCACTTTCGGGAAGTCTGATTGGACCACCTGCACAGATTGAGGAAATGCTTCAGTTCGCAGTTGAAAAGAATGTGCAACCCTGGATCGAGGAGCGACCATTGACGGAGGCTAACCAGGCGATTGTTGATATGGAGAATGGACTTGCTCGCTATCGTTATACACTTGTCAACGAGAAGAATCTCTAAAATGTGCATCAAATGATCTCTTTGGTTGTGGATGGCCTTTTTGTAACGATTCTTTTATGTATCAATAACACAGATCCTGGAAATAGAATCCAATTAGCAGATAAAAATCAAGGGAACTAGTCTCTTGAACATTGAATTATTTCATACCTTCTTCTATTTATGAAGTTGATTGGAAATGTGCTAAAGTAAAGACTTGTTTTCTTTGCTATTTCTTATCAAAGAGCTTCATTTGCCGATGTTTCTACATCTGGTTGGGAAAATTCGATTGCATATTTGTAAAGCTATCCGAAGCCTTACGATAAATGCACGAATAGATTTGATAGGAAGGACCACAGCTAGCCAACATTTTATTTTAATTAAATTGATAAATTTAATGTTATGGTAAACCACTTCAGATTAACATTGTAAGTATATCCTATCCATGCAGGTGAAATGAGATACCGAAAGGTTTGGATTTTCCAACCACGTTTCCACCTTTCCCGTTCAATTATTATTCATACTATATTCAGCACAGAATAGCGACACTTTATTTTACTCAAACAATCAAAATTCCTATGTATCACATGGGACATATTAGCCGCAATATTTTATCAACCATGCCAAGAAATGCAGGGCATTTTTTGCGCCCGACCCTGCCCATACCCTGAACTAAGCCTAATTTGTGCAGTAAAGTAATCTGCGTCTCGTTAATTTAGTATTGGAACGACTCTGTGAACAGTTGAAGGGGAAAATCCTCCTCGATGTTACAAAAGCACTAACACAATACACCAAGAGAAGAGCTCGACCTACCCTCGTGGCGCCAAGCTCAAGCAAATAATAAAGAGGTTATGTGTCACTCAGGGGGAATGGGTTAATCTAGGCGGCCATGAACATATTTCAATTGGTCGTTTGAGTCGGCTCTCGATATCTGACGTAGGTTGACTCCGATCTTATGAAATGGCGTTTTACACGTTCAGCATCACCCTTAACTGGACAGGAATCCTTCCCCCAGACTCCTCCCAAGTTCTTCGGTATTTAGAGATTTTAAATCCGTGGGTATCGAAGCTAATAAACAAACATTACTCTTTTTAATGATTAGGTTCTCGTCATGAGAACCCACCACCTTGTATGGAAATCACAAAATAACATTCGACAGTTATCGAGTAAAGTAATCGAAGTCGCCCCAAAGACAAAACAAAATAAAAGGGAAGAGCTATCAATTGTCACCGCAAGATTAACATCGGTTTCTCAACTTTCATCCAACTCATATTTCCTAAAATCACCAGAATGGCTGACCCTATTTCTATCTCATTTGCTGCAATTGAATTGATTAAACAATGTGCCAAAATAATCAAAGTAATCAAAGATACCGTGGAAACGGCCAGATCTGCCAAGGAAGCACTGATGGAGTTGCTACGTCAGGCAGAGCGATTTCGGGGCCTCTTGCAATTAGCACGCTCGCTGGCAGGCCAAGCAAGACATGGTTCTTCTCCTGGTTCTCTGTTTCAATTCAATGACAGCATATATAGACAGACCCTACGAGAGATCACAATCTTTGTAAACGAAGTTTCGAGAGTAACAGGCGACTTTCGTGGTGGAGTGTGGTGGATAACCCACAAAAAACAAGCAGATGGGCTGGTGAGCAGGATGGCGACCCATGAATACGAAATTAATTCTTTACTTCAATCAATCGCAGCGTTTGTTTTGGAATCCCCTTGATAAATCCTGATCACTGACAACATGAGTTAGGGTCACATCTCTGAGGACCTACGACGAAGTGAAGGAACTCAGCGAGAGAGTGATTTGTCAAATGGAAATTACCACTCCTTTCGAGAATTTGTCGGTTCAAGGTCCTTCCCAATCGCCCACAGGTGATTTAGATTTCCAAGAACAACACTTTACTTACTGGCTCGGGGAAACTTTACAACTAGACATTGAAAATGAATATCTTGATAGACGGACCAAGCTTTCCAATGCCGCATATTGGGGTGATTGGGATTCACTCTTTCAGATAATCCATGATGCACACGCGGAATTCTCTGAGTCCTGGATCAATTGTATTCGATTAAGTAAGGATATTCCCAAAGTCTATGGATTGACTTCAACTGACTTGATTATCAAAGAGCCGCAAATAGAAGCCGACAAGGTGTCTGGATGGACTCCACTTCATCAGGCAGTATATATGAATGCTTCCATTGATGTAGTTGAAAAGATGATATCTCTTGGAGCTTGGAGTAAATTTTTATAATAAGAGACCTTATTCTATTTATTTTACTAATATATATACAATAGAGGCTATCCGAACATTCTGGACTGATGACGGGGAATTCCCTTTCAAAAATATGACTCCGCTCGAGATGGCACGCTCTCTCGGCTTATCGCATCTTTTTGAAGTTCTGTCTCCAGTCATACGGCACAACATTCCATCGGAAATTTTACAAATATTGGAAGAGAATTTTCATGGCTTAATCCGCGCTGATCTGGGTAATCTCATTCTGGCCAAGACACTGCGTCTACCCAAGTTGATAGTCCTAATCGAACTAAATACTCCGCAAATGTGGTTTCCAGTGAAACTAGCCAGCAATAGTCTGCAGGTAATCTATTTTTCTTCATTGAATCGTAACTACATGTAGTTCTAACTGCTACTAGGGCTATTTCTGTATTCTTGATCAACGTGAGTTAGTTGTCAAGAGTTTAGGAACGCATAAGTCTGGACAACCTCAGCAATATCGCATATCGGAAAGTGGGGTGGTCAGTATTGAAAATGCTATTGTATTCACTATATGACACTATATATGTCGCAATTCCTAGTGTGAGAATTATATCCATTAATGCATTCAAAAATCCTCCATTGTCTCATATTAGGTAATTCTAAGTTGTCGGGAAATAAACGTTATATACAATTAGTAACAGAGTGGTACTTGTAACTGGATTTCTTGTAACAATATACTTTGTAAATAACAAACATACTGAAAATGTCGATGGATCGGTCGCCTTCACATCTGTGTAATTTAATATTATCGAGCAATATTTGCCCTTTACTCCCTCACAAGATAGTCGTGAACAATGGACATTAAATAATTAAATATGTACGAATAATGTGTACACATGGCACGCAATTTGACCCAAAATGTTCATAATTGTCTCGGCCTTACATCAATTGGTCTGTAATTCACCAATGACGTGGTGTTCAAATAACGTTGACTCTGATCCGGACTCAGCGTAGGTTGGATTACCCCTCCTAAAGCCTTTTAATATAGGCCAGATAGCACCAAATCATTTTGATGACTCTAAAATTGCTTTGATACTGTGATCAAACCCCAAAATGGCCGCAACAGCTCGTTTCGGTGGTCGTGCACTTGTTGACCAGGAATCTATGACACTATTTTCTGGAGATAGAGAGACAGCGCGAATGAATGAGATTAGGTCGAATATACAATACGTACGTAATAGATGGGGTGATCATGACGAGTACACAAAGCTGAAAAATATGATACGACATCGCATTTTATCTAAGGCGCAGAGTCTTCAAACTCGCAAACTCATTGAAAAGCTTCTTAGTGGTTTCAATGACTGGGCCGATATTAACTATCAGAGACCACATAGCAAATCCGATGATATAGACAATGAACGACTTGCAGCAATTGAACTCTATTGTTCTGAAGAGGGCTACAATCTTATCTTCATTTTGATGAATAATGCATTACGGAACCCTGTTGAAAGTTCTGACGAGTTACTAATCGCGGCGACACTTGTGGAGCATCTAACAATCGAACTGTATAATCTACGTCTTTCGAATATTGGGGACACTAGATATGCTAACTACCAAGGCATCACCTATCGAGGTATAGCTGTGACATCTGAATTAGCACAGGCCTACAGAAGTCTGGCGGACGAAGAGGATATATCAAACCGACATTTCTCTGTTCCCCTTAGCTTCATGTCAAGCTCGACAGATAGAAAGACAATGGAGCATTTCGCTCAGAAAGATCTTGATAAACATCCCCATTTAGAGCCTTTCGAAATGACTATTCACATTTATGGTCTCGATCATCAACTACTACAGCGGTACTCGCAGAAATACAAGTCTAGTGTGGTAACGAGTATTTGCGCAATGCCAGTCGCACAAATTTCCGAATACGCAGAGAAGGAAATATTACTCCGCGGTCCAGCATTCCACGTTATTTCGATGTATACTATCCAAGAACAAGGCCGCAATGTCCATAGGCTAGAGGTTGTGATGCTGAATAGCAATCGAGACCACGGTTCTGAACATGGCTCAAACGACGGAGACAAGCAAGTCCAACGGCAATTCTTTCTTCAAGTGATTCTTGCCTCTCGATATGAAGTATGCGCCGAGCTTGCGAAAAGGTATTCGGCTAAAGATGCAGAAGAATATGTTAAACTGGCACGTATTGCTCGTCAAAGAATCGAAGAGGCTGATCCTAACGAATCCACATTGTCTAAATTACCACAAACAAACACAAGCTTAGACCACGTTAAAGAAGCTACAAGAGTTACATGGCTTGGGTGTTCTTTCTTTCGGTCCTATCCAAGGCATTATGCGAATCTCAGATTAGCCTGGCAGAATACCATCACGGGAGGCTGTTGGAGAGACATAATTAAGCTCCTTCAGAAGGATTACAGCTGGAAGCGAGTGGAGTGGTTTAATGTAGCTAAGTTGCGAAGTACGACTTAATGACTAGTATTTTTACATAGTCGGACAGTAATTGATCATGTCAGATACCGAGGAAGAAGAACTAGAGCAAGACAATGGCTTTACCCTCCTTCACAAGCTTGCGGTTCGAGAATCTCCATCGGAACTTGATTTCGAGGAAAGATCAGCATGGAGGCAGGTTATTCAAGAACTGACTGGTTCTGGAGCGTGGAGTATGTTGACTTGATTTATGACATTCGATGACACAGTGTTTGTTTACTACTAGTGAAGGATCATTGCGCACATTCGACGATTCTTCCAAGACCGCGCTTGAAATTGCCAAAGAAAACGGTCGATCGGAGCTCATAGATGTTCTTACCCCTCACATATATCACAGAACATCTGAAGCAGTGTTAAAAAAGCTCAGTTCAAAGCTACATAGGCTTATGAAGGAGCATGCTGGAACATACGTAAAAGCCCTAACCGCCCTAAACAAAAATGAATTTTCAGACTGATATTCTACCCCAGATCGATAAGCATGACTTTAGAATGCCCCAACTATCGACACTGACGGAGCTAAAGAAGCCAGAAATGTGGATACCAATTCCACACATGTACGGCGTGAGTGCGAAATATGTGATCCCCGCATACGAAACTGACAGGTATTTTAGGGCTTTCTCATAGACCTCGAGGTCAACATTCTGCATGTGACTATCTTTAAGAGAGTGTTTGGGGCAACGCATCAGGAACATTTAGAGTATTATTTGAGCGGTAGTGAAGAGTCGTTATAATATGATAGTGGCTTGTTGATTATACACTTTCTATTCCGCAAGAACCTCAATTATCGACTGCCGTATAGTAAGTGGTGAAACCAGTCAATTATTATCCTTCAAATAACTCGCCCGTCGCTCAAGAATGCGGAGTCCTTAGTTCAACGATCGAGAATCGTACGCCGCAGCCTCGATTTCCACTTTCATATCAGGTCGTGCTAACCTTTCAACTCCGACACAAGTCCATAAGGGTTCATGATCTGGTATATGCTTTTTGAAATTCTCAACCATAATTTTCATAACTTCAGAATCCAGGCTAACATGATACGAGGTCAGTCTGAAAACCTGGTTCCATCCCGTTCCGCCTGCTGTCTTCAAGGCTAAATCGACATTTTTAAATGTTTGGTTGATTTGGGCCTCGACATCCTCTTTAAGAATCCCAGTTTGTGGGTCCCAACCACCTTGAAAGTAAATCTCACAATTAATACTCTTCTTATATCAATTACTGGTGTGGGAAGACTACCTTGACCAGCGCATTCAATGCGATCACCTACACGCACTGCTTGGCTGTATTTATATTTTTGTTGATTAATTTTCCCCAGCCCTTCGTAATTAAAATATTCCGGATGAGACATTTCAATTACAATTCAGCGAAGAATAGTACTTGTAAGTGCGATTCTGGTAGTCTTATCGAATGTAGTGAAATAATCGCAACCGGGGATATTGCCGGCGCTTTCTATCGTTTTGTTTTTGATTACAAATTGTGTTGATTACAAATTGTGGTGTAACCATCATCGACTAAGTAACAGTTCAAAGGCCAAACGAAAACTTGATCTGAATATATTTCACTTAATTTTATGTCTACAAGATATAAAAGCACACATGATATCTTGCTTGCTAGTCGATTGACCTGATTCAGTAATTTTGGGGTTAAAGTTATTTCATGCGGAGCCCATCTGAGTACCTATCAATGACTTCAATATGTATCAGTAGCTACTGGGAAAATTGCGATTTGTAAGTTCTCCTGATGTCGCTTTCTAGAGCTAACATAGGGGGCTACGATTGTATCCATCCACCCTAATTAAAGGCGTTTCCCAAATCCATCGATATTTTCTGCGATTATATCATAGCCGGCGCAACGTCTTGTTTGTTTATTTCTTCAATTTATTAATATTTGCACTATAAGATAGAACTAACAACTGACTTATACGGTAAGAACGAAAAGAAAGTGATTAAAATTAATTCTTAAGCCATATTAAGCCACGGGCGTTGAGAGCAAAAAATCCAACGGGATTGCAAAGACTTCATTCATAACAAAAACAGTCTACCGCTCCAAAATTTCCTGTTTCGAGAACCGGGTTATTCCGACTAATCCCTGAATCTAAGGGCGTACGTCCGGATATTACTTGCGAGCATTGGGCAAGTTGCCAGGGAGGTCAGCAGATATGGTTTTACTAGTCTATCTTATTTGCGTGGACAATCATAGACTAGCAACACTTAGTAGCACCTGCATCAAAACCAACAAGGGGATGAAGCTTAGTTACATTGATGACATTTCGATCTCCACACTTGCTGTGTTGCAGTAGTACGTAAGTATGATTTTCTATCTGGATGTACGGTTCGGATGTCAAGCGGATGTCAAGGACTATTAAGAAGTCAAGACTATCCTTTTTCTCATCTACTATGTGGGGGTCAGTTTTTAATAATAAAACTATTGTTACGATTATATTGCAGTGGCTTTTGGAACTCGCTACACGGGCGAATTTAGCGAGAATAACGGCAAAAGGGTGACGTGCTTGTAATAGTAACGAACCAGAAAAGCCTTAAAAACATGACGCCACGTTATCTTACCTACTTTGGCGTCGGTGCTATGGGCGATGGCTTGCATAACCCTGACCTTTTGTAATTAATTATGGATATGAGCTTGACTAATCAGTACTACTAGCGATGATGTCGAATCTCGATTAGCATCAAATTTTTAACTGGGCTCCCAGAGCTTGCTCCTAAACATTGTTATTCATGGATCAAAGGGAAACAAAACCAGGCAAAATGTCATACAGAATTGAAATCGCCAAAGATGAGGACCTCTATGAACTGATGACCCATTTATGGCGATGCTTCGAAGATCCCTACCAAGGCCTTTTACGCATCTTTTTCCCTATTTTAAACAATGACCGTGAAGCTAGTTTGCTTGAAGCCAGCAACAGACAACGCGAAGAATACAGAGAGACTTACCCAGAGCTCATTTGGCTCAAGGTTGTTGACAACAAGACGAACAAAATCATCGCCGGCGCAAAATGGTACTTTTACGAACGTAACCCCTTTCTTCCAAAGCCAGGGGACAGTGATGACCATGACCCTACAAATGAGGAGGCCTTTTGGTATCCAAAGGGGGTCGGTAGGGAATTTGCTACGTTAGCGATGCATGCGTTTGAGAAGCCGAGGACCACGATGGGCCAAAGACCACATTCATGTAGGTTATAATATTCGCTACATACTTCTCATTTTCCGTCTTTCTTTTCGTTGTCCACTTGTTTTTTATTCGTTTTCGCACTAACCCCATCGATTTCCAAGTCCTAAATATCATTTTCACCCTCCCGGAACACCAGCGCAAAGGTGTTGGCAGAGCAATTCTGGACTGGGGACTCGCAAAGGCGGACAGGCTGGGACTTGAGTCCTGGTTAGATGCTTCTGTCTACGGATTACCGCTTTACCAAAAAGTTGGGTTTTTAACCTACGGACGCAATAATGTTCAGGTGGAAATGCCGGCAAACTATGACGCGGATCAAAAAGCCGAGTGGGAGCATTACAAGAGCATCATGTTGCCGGTTGAGTGTACTGTAATGTGGCGGCCAGCTGGAGGCAAGTTTTCAGTTGGGAAGACAATCACACTATGGACTCACACTATGGACTAAGTAAGAAACGATTTTCTTTTCCTATCATCTCTTTGCTTCTTCTTTAAACTCGGGAGTGTGATATGAGCCCACAGCATGCTGTGCATTAATGGCAAGCTTTTATGCTCACTTACCCACTATTCTAAGTTGCGTATGCACTAATTATGTGGGTTTCATAACAAAAGGAAGAAGAAGGTAGAAGGCGAATTCGGGGATCTTTGCATCCATTGGTTAGATCGTATATTAATACACTATACAATACCTTGGTAAAACGTCGGCATTCGGCAGGAAGGAGAAACTACGGCGTTGATGAAAAAACTCCTAATCTCTCATCCCTTTTCTCTGTCTGCGCCGCAATTTTGACGCGTGAAATTCCCAAGTACAACATCAAACATGGTTGTGGGTAAGGTCCAGAGTTTGTACTTTACCCACTCTTTCAAAACTTGCCAATCAACGACATGCAGACCCTGGCCAGTAGTGACACTAGTGACGGACTAAGGAACCTTTCTTAGTGGCGATTTGTTGATTGATAAGACCCTGGCGCGGACTTTACCAGTTTGATTCTAGAAGATAACACGAAAACCCTCCAAAGGTTCTCGTGAAACTTTTTAAACCGAAAGCCAAGAACTTACGGTACCACCAAGATCATTTCCAAATCTGGTAAGACGGTGTGGAATGCCCTAGTTTGGTAAGCTATCAGCGCGATCATCGTATGATACTCGTTTATCCAAATTGACTAAAAATATGTGGCCCGGGATTCTAGATTCAATTCGCTGCTAGGCTTTTGCTTCCGGCGGTGCTAAGAATTAGTGATAATTGCGACTAGAAGCCCACAGACTCCAACCACGCTGCGTTGAGCCTTTTGAAAAGTAATAATTCCAAACATATCAATAGAAATACACGTGTGCTATTCCAGCTTGGCTTCCAGATGTCATTTTTAGGAATTATTACAGTAATCATTAAAATGCCGAACTTGTCGCTGATCGGTCAATGCTCCTAAGACAAATCGCATTCACTAGTCGCTGCTTACGGTGGACTGCACCGGGAAATCAAAAAGTTCCGCGAGGAGAAAAAGCAAATAATAACATGAAGTCTCACTACGTATTAGTGCCAATAGTAAACGTATTAATGCCAAAAAAGGTATTAGTGCCAAGAAGAGGTAGAAGCTAATGAGAAGTTCGATTTCAAAACAAGAAAACAATCCCTCGTTATCTCAAGGGACACTCACATGTAAAAGGTCAAGGAAAAATGCCTCAAACAGCCACTTTCTTCAGCCACGTTTTTCTAGGTGGAATTCTCTACCAAGATGGGCACAAAATGTCTTTAGCATGTAGAACACGTCAAGCCGTCTAGTAATTATCATTATAATTATAATTTGTATTATAATACTTTTTTATCATTATAAATTATATACCTAGCCAATAAATACTACGTATCAATTATCAGTTATAGTTGGCTTTGTTATTGGCGCCGCCACAAATTACTATAAAGTTTAGGTGCCTAAAAGACTTTTTGTGTCTGTCCGTACAGAATTCTCTATTATTTCTACCTGTTTGCCTCATGACTTTTTATCCCCCTCCCTCCCTCAGATAATGACTAAAGCATTGAGAACAACATAGGAAATTTTCGTAAACATGGATATGTAGAGGTCCCTGCATTAATGTTACTAATGAAAGTTCAAGGACAGGAGATCATAATAAATGGAAGGAAGCAAATGACACAGATGAACCAATCGGGACTTACCCAAAGCCCTTTCTTGACCCATCATCATGGTTGCATCATTATAATGTTCATCAACTATTTTCATGCGTTTACTAATTGCAAAGTTCGATGGTAACTAGCCCTTCCAATGTAAATTTGTAAACTTGGTAATGTGAATGGCAACTCAGCCAGCCAGACCCCCACGCTTGGATCCAACCATAGGCTGACCAAGCAAGCTAGTTTATGCACAAGTATGGGTCGAATCCTGGTCGATGAAGGAAAGTTACGACGGTACCCTAAGCCGGTAAGGCCGATGTATCAACGTAGTCTTTGTCGATGCTAGGTATTCTTCGATGTCAGAGTCGCAGCTTATTGTAGAAAAGCACACGAAAGAATCTTCCTTCCCTGGTGAGGATTAATGCTGGCATTTAATTGAAAATGTCTCGATTCACAGGCGACACATGGACGCCTGCAATAAATGTAATATGCTGGTTCTTTCTGGTTGTCGCAATACTTGGGATTTTGACGAGGCTGGGGACAAAGGCTTGGATATATCGTAAATTTACGAGAGACGATTATGTGATTATTCTTTCCATTGTGAGTATCCTCTCGTTTCTGCCCTTTTTCTTTGCGCCTTGTTGGTTCGAATTTACTGATTTGGAAATGCTTTCCAGATATTCGATATTGGCCAAGCGATAGCAACATCTATGGCCACCGCAAACGGCTATGGTGAACACATTATAACTTTGAGCGACGAGCAAAAAACAGACATCATGAAAAGTCAGTACGCCGCCGAGATCCTCAGCATTGTTAGTCTTGCGTGCTCGAAAATATCGTATGTCATGTTTGTCAGAGGCATCACAGCGGTTCCGATTGATCGCAAGGTGGCATTGGCTTTCATCGTCTTTCTGTCTGTCTGGGGTCTTGTATCTGTGATCACAGTCGCCTTCCAATGCCAACCCCTGCCAACATGGGATTATTTGACAGGGAAATGTTACGATCGGGTAAGTTTTCCGTAGATTAAAATCGAAGAAAAAATATCAGTTACTAATAGAAGTTCAGCAATCGTGGCAGAATTTTTTTGGCATATCCAATATCGTCACCGAAGTAGCCATCCTGTCACAAACTATAGTAATAATTGCCCGGATTCAGACAAGCATTGAGCGAAAATTGAAGATCGGATTTGTTTTTGGTCTTCGAGTGGCGTAAGTACATTAACGATCATTTGACTGGGTTTTATTAACAATTTATTTCTTTATTAGCGTTGTCGCTGCCACCATCGCCCACATTGTGGTATTAAACAACACTTTCCACGATGAAGACATAACCTATGCAAACTGGTCCGTCTCGGTCACGAACCAGATCATTCTGTGCTCAAGCATCATCACTGCATGCTCTGCGCAATTCAAACCATTTCTAGACAGCCTCCGATCGAGTGGTATGCGTCTAGATGCGTTCACTGGCAGTTACCACTACAAATCGCAACGGTCTTACGAATACAATTCTCAGAACAATCGACAAGCAAATTACGGCTCCCAAATAGCATCCAAACAACGCTCAATCAACTTGCGTAGTCTCACCGGACGGGGTGCCAATCCCACGGATAAGCCAGGGGCTACCGAATCCTACGTTTTGGCATCCAAGCCCTCACCAGATTGGGACGCATCGAGTGCTACAAGTCAGTCACGCATAATTCGCGAAGTTAGAACATTCGCCGTGACCGAAGAGCGCCGTCGCTCCTCTGATGGTGAAGAAATATTGTAGATATTCATTTCTTAGAAATATGGTTGGTGTGACTGAAGTTATGGTACTATTCCAGTGGATGGCGAAAGAAACGTGATACGGTAGATTTATTTTGACTTTAGATTAATCATGAACAACTCGCTTATGATCACGCTACATTTGAGTGCACAAATTTGTCCGATTCTTCTAGCTAATCGACTTGCTGAGGAATCTGGGATTCGTGCTAATTCCAGATTACAGATACAGGACCACCTAGGACCTGATGTATTGCCCTAAATTTCACGATAAGTATTACCGACAGACTAAAGTTTCGATTCTATTTCCGGCCAATTGCGGTAATAGTGTTTTTGACTTTCTGTTGGCTTTAACAGACCCTAGAGTACGTACTAGGGGAGTTGTCCGAAAGCCACTAAACTTTAAGGGTTTCGTCCAGAGGGGCTAAACTAGCTCCAACCATTTTTTTATAGTACTAGCAAGGATTAAAACATCGTCTGGTACTTCGATTGGCTGGGGAATTCTATTTACCTTGGGTCGTTAGTCGGGCCAGGTCGGGCCAGGTCGGCTCGACGGGTCAATCCAGAACCCCTAACCATCATGCATGATTGATGACCACAGTGCCACAGCGAAAAGCGTCACGTGGGAAATTATAGTGGTATCGTACTTTCCGATCAAGCATCCGGCGAACTGGCTAATCTCGTTTACGTGTGTTCTGGCAAACCGGATTGAGCAAAAGACTACTCCGAGATATTATTCCACGCATCGGGAATTTCTTCGTGGCTACCGTAGTTCGCGCTATTCCTGTAAGCCAGAAAGCTACACGTCTCCCGAGGAGTTAAATGAGCAGGGATCTATCGCTTGGTCCCGATACGTCGCATTCGATGGCGTCTTACCACCAATGATGCATGTCTCACGAACATCCTTGCACGTCGCTAGCCAAGTTTGATTAATACCACCTCCATACAAAATCACAATTTTTCACACGCAACGTGTCGCCGAGAAGCCAAACGATTCCTCCAAGTGTTCTAGTGCGGGGTGTTCTCCCCTTCTTTTTGCTAACTTTCTATAACGATTACGAAACTATTGGCTTTAGGCTACGCCATTGATTCTACGTTACACATTCTACCATGTCTCCATCGGCGCACTCCACCGACTTAGCAACAGACTAAACGCCAAGGGTGTGAAGGAAATTGTCTGCTGTTGGTTTTGGAACCTTCCTTTCTGAGGAAAACCCAGGGGCATTATGCAAGTGAGAGAGGAAAACCGGCCATTGATTATTATTTTCCGATTGCGGACACCACGTTCCAGCCACCTTGGCAAGCTGTCCAGTGCCCTTCATAGAAAAGTTGTGGATTTCTAGCTCTAGGCTTGTCGGTATTTTATCAAAAGTTTCCCACGGTCCCATTTTGTGTAACCACCGCCCCTTGTTTATCTTCTTCTATGAGTCTTCCTTTTTCTCTGTGCTTCATTTGTTCATAGTGCGCCTAGATACGACGCAATGGAGCAAAGTGAGGTTCACAAGATGGGCAACAATCTCGGTTCAAGAGAGGTGGAAGGTTCCGTCTCCAGCAAACAACGCGATGAGGCAAATCTGGCTCGCTTGGGTAAGCGCAGTGTTTTGAAGGTAAGTCGATATGAAGAAAGAAGAACCCTGGATTCTAGTATTTGATAAAAATACTAATGCTGGTCAGCGCAACTTTGGCTTTTTGGCAGTTCTAGGTTTCAGTACTACGATCTTGATTACGTGGGAGGGCCTTTTCACGTCAGTAAAACCTCAACGCAATCACATCTATCATCAAGCTAATAAACGTTCAGAACATTTCTTCAACCTCTTCAAAAGTATGCTACCTCTCTTGCGGTTGCGTAGTGTTCTTTTCATTCGGATTCTAATAATTGAAAGTGGGGGTCCGGCTGGTGCCGTCTACGGATACCTTTTTGTTTGGGCAGGAATAGCAGCAACCTTTGCGATGCTGTCTGAAATGGTTTCGATGTAGGTTATTTGGCATGCCATATGAATTATACGCAGACTGACAATGCAGGGCTCCGACATCTGGTGGCCAATACCACTGGTGTTCCATGCTGGCGGCTCCTAATGCAATGAAGTTTTCAAGCTATGTAACCGGTACGATACTGATAGAAGTCGATTTAACATTAGCCACTAGGATTGGAACTGACTTGAACAGGATGGCTCACTGTCGTCGGCTGGCAGGCTACATTTGCGACCGCTTGTTATCTCAGCGGGACTATTATCCAAGGTCTCATCGCGCTGGCAAACCCGACCTATGTCGCTCACCCTTGGCATTCTACACTTTTATATTGGGCTGTAGTAGCTTTCGGATTGTTCATTAACACCGTTGGTGGTGCTACTCTCCTTCCTAAATTCGAGGGCCTTATTCTGGTATTGCATATAATTGGGTTTTTTGCTGTGCTTATTCCATTGGTGTACATGTCCGAGCACGTTAGTGCCGAAGAGGTGTTTGCAGCTTGGGAAAACGATGGCGGGTGGGAAACCCAGGGCGTTTCCTTCTTTGTCGGACTTATAGGTGTCGTATTTGCCTTTGCTGGTGGTGATGCTGCCGTGCATGTAAGATTTCTCCCCTTCGTCATTCCGTTGCAACGACTGCAACTAGGGTTAAAGAAAAAAGGCTTACTTTATATCGGAACTAGATGGCTGAAGAAACTCAAAATGCACCTAAAGTCGTCCCAATCTCGATTATGTTTAGCGTTGTCGTCAACGGTGTTCTCGGCTTTGCGATGCTTATTGCTTCCCTCTTTTGCATTGGAAATCTCCAGGAAGCCATCGAATCACCCACTGGCTACCCATTTATGGCAATATTCTTGCAAGGAACCAACTCGGTAGCCGGCGCCACCACAATGGCTTCTGTTGTCAGTGTTATGGCTATTTGTGCCACAACCGGTATGCTTGCCACTGCCTCTCGTATGTTCTGGGCCTTTGCACGCGATCGGGGTATCCCCGGATGGCGTCTCTGGAGTCAGGTGTCCCCGCGCGCCGGTGTGCCTGTCAACGCTGTTTTGTTTACGGCTACGGTATCGACCCTTTTAGGGCTAATCCCGCTTGGGTCACCTGTCGCCTTCAATGACTTGACGTCTATGTCTACTTCAGGCTTATACCTGTCGTATATGGTTTGCTGCATCCTATTACTTTACCGTCGCTGCACCGGTGGAATCATAGACCCTACCGACACTTCTAATCCTGGGGGGCCATCTGCCGCTGACGACGAGCAGATTGTCAACACAGCTGGCGCAAAGCTTGTTTGGGGACCGTTCCACCTCAAAGGAATCTTCGGAATTGCAGTCAATGTTTTTGCCATTATTTATATGCTTATAACCGTGTTTTTCAGCTTTTGGCCTCCAACGGCCCAGGTTACGACGTCTACAATGAACTATAGTGCAGTTGGCACGGTTGGGACGATGGCTTTGAGCCTGGTATATTACTTTGTCCGTGCTAGACACGTATATGAAGGACCAATTGTGGAGATGTAAGAAAACGAAAAGCGCTGGTATTTTTCCTTTCGTTCATTGTGTCAAAACTTGGTTTCAACCTTCAGCTATTCACACAGGAAAAAGGACGTTCGCGCATCGCGTTCTGAATATAAAATAGGACCACATTATCATTATATTTCTAATATTATTGTTTGCATAACACTATCTACCAGCTATTTTCAGTGGAAGATCTATCTGCGTATATATTATTCCGCCAACACACCATTCCTTAGCTTATAATGAATGCTCAAATTGGCGCCTTTTCAAATTGATATATCCCGTGGATTAAATCTTCTACCTATTCCTTGGACACCTTTTAAGTAAAACATTCTTCGATTTTGCTTTATTTTTCTAGCTATCATTCAACTCGGTCCACATTTATCTATCTATGGCAACATTTTGAAGACATTGACTAGCAATCTTTATTTACTATTATATCGATGCCTGGTATTTCTTTAGAAAAGTATTTGAAGGAATTTTCTACCCGATCTCAACCATAGACACCAGGGTTTGAGTAAAACATGTGATAATAATACTATATAAGTAGCAGCTTTAGCAAAATATAGACATACGAACAACATCATGAAGTCATCTGTACATGACGAAGTTTTCCATTTTACAAAGCACTTATAACATGAACAGTCATTCTATGTCTCAAGGGTTGAAGGAACAGGGTCACTATCAAAAACCTCTCAAGCTAGTCTCAATATTAGTTTACACAAGACCACTGAATGCTTACATATACAGGTACAAACTCCAATTGCTGCATTAGCCACCCATACAAATCAAAATGACTGCACTGATAGTTTTACCCTTTGTCTTTGCCGGCGCAATCATAGCAGTGGTGACCACCCTATATTTAAACATTAGACTCATCATTTTATTTTGCCGGAGGTTTTTTATGAAGTAACAATACAGACTCACATGAACTAGTAGGTACTTCTTTGCTGACTAAATCTTTTTCCATGCAGCAGTGGTTCCTCGGAGGTCTACGATGTAAAACCAGAGATAACCAGCAGGTTGCTGAGAGCGCTGGAACATCGATGAGTTCATAGTTAACTACCTTAGATATCCACAATTCGTCGAAAAGTGTGTGTTCGATGGTAGTCACTGCATGGTCTTCGCACTCGCTAAGTCCATTTCCCGTCACACCCATCTGCATTTGCCGAAAAGCTAAAGGTACGTTTGGAATTCTCCCAATCGAATTTACTTCTTGATAAATGTACGATATGCCTTCCCAAGGTATGACTGTCTTCAAATGCGGGATTTGAATACTGCTATCTAGTGAGCAGACATGGCAGAGTAAGAAACCCCTCAAGTTGGATATGTGATGTGAAATCACTCCTTATCTAGTGAAGTTTGTAATGTTTCAAAAGAACTCTTCCTAAGAATTATGCATAACACCTGTCATGGTGAGAACAATATGAAAGAAGAGAGGAGGCCCCCCCGAACATCACAGGCAGATGTTGATCTTGCTCGCAATCGATATCGCTCATCTTTTCTCGACTCTTTTGCGCGTTTAGGAACAAAATTTGACGAAAATGCATGACTTAAACATGTCTTCGATAACTATAGGTCTTGTTAGGCTTTTTTGTTTCCTTGGGATTGAAAACATATTTAGACTCTGAAAATCCATATGGATGATTTTTCATTCCTAGTCAGAAGCTTTCAATGTTCATTTGGCCAATAGTAGCTCCGGCCGGTTCTATATGTAATAAGTAATTTACCCCAACTTTTGAAAAGCTTGTAAGAATCTCACTTTAAATTTGGATATTCGTAGTATACTTTACGATATGTGCCTCTTCAAAGTTGTATGAATTAAATATAGTACTAGCAGAACTAGCAACGCTAACTTATTAGAACATTGAAATGACTGGGTCCAGTAGATCCTCAGCGCTGACTTACGAACAGAATCATCAAAGATCGGCAAACTTATTATTAGGGCTCTATTATTTGTCTTGCAGTTTTTGAAATATTCTATCTTTAATTTGCCAGAAATACATTTCCTATCTTTAACCTGGATGCGAAATAACGGTGAGGCCCTAGATAAGCTGCTCATTAACATTGAATTTGAACGTTACTTTTACCATCACGACTTACGGGGTATTGGTCAATATATTTGATTCAACTTGTCGCACCGCACATACAATCTGCTGGATGGACTAGCGAGAAAGAAATAATGTAACTGGCAGCTCTTTAAAAATTGATATGCCGACTGGCAAGGCCACGTCATCAGTCTACCTGCGAGAGGATGAGTTAGCAGAATAAATTAGCAAATCTAATGTCAAAGCCACGAGCCTAAAAGAATGCACTTCCTCAACAGGATGTGTCAGGGTAGCGCCAATTGTCGGTTATAGCCAGCCACGAACCAGTTCACAGGGAACATGTCCTAGCCTCGGGAGCTTACGCTAGACTGCATTAGCCTCTCCTACTTCAATAAATTAATTGGCTGGCAGGAGATGATTGATCCAAACATGCACCGAGACAAGCTGAAGATTGTTGCTCAGATACACCATTAAAGACGATCCCCATGCATAGGCTGAACGTGGTGGTTCGAAACGCTGTGATTCGTTGAGATTTATACATTGTGGTTGCGATGGTATATATCACTACATATACATATGTACCACCCTCCATCCCTAGTTAACTATTTCGGTGATGTTAATAGTCATGATTTTCCAGACAAGGATCAGAGAGATCTAGCCTGATTTACGTTCAATATGGCCTATCTTTGGCCGGCACCCCCACCGAAGCAATTTGTTTTGTGCTTTGATGGGACAGGAAATAGGTTTTCTGGTGACACGTCAGATACTAATGTACTCAAAATATACCGGGTGAGTAATTAGAAAATCGGAGAGGAAGAGAACGAGAACCTGACCGTATCCCGAGCTATAGATGCTTGACCGAACAAAAAGCCATCAATTTCATTACTATCAACCAGGAATTGGGACCTATGTATCGTCGAATTCACTTTCCTCTATTGGTCGGATCCAGCGCATCCGGTCGGCCTATCTGAAGATGAAGGATGCAGCAATAGGGTCTTCGTTTGACGAACATGTTCTGGGAGGCTACAAATTCCTCATGCGTTACTATACGCCTGGGGACGATATATACATGTTCGGATTCAGTCGAGGTTCATATACCGCTCGCTTCCTCGCAGAAATGCTTGATTTCATTGGCCTCCTTGAGGCTGGAAATGAGGAGTTGATTCGTTTCGCATGGAAAACCTTTGCAAAGTGGCAGCGGCGAAGCAGTGAAACGGAGGAAGACCAGCGAGAGAGAAAAAAACTTTTCAAATATATGCTCGCATTTCGAGAGACGTTCAGTCGCCCAATTAAGCAAATTAGGTTCATGGGTCTTTTCGACACGGTGAACAGCGTACCTGCATTTGAGAACCCCTGGATGCGGAGGAGTCGATTTCCATATACTGCCCGAAGTTCCGCACATATCATTCGCCATGCCGTTTCAATAGACGAACGTAGGGCGAAGTTTCGGCAAGATCTGATTTCTGGGATGACTCCATGGAACCCAACGTCTCACAATCACCCTACACATCACTGGCATCCGCATATTCATAACGAAGAAACCCCTGAAATTGTTGTCAATGATGCCGGATGTGAGCATAAGGAAGCCCATGATAGCCAGCCACATGTGGCAGAGAAAATGATTAAAAACCGAGTGTATCGCCTTCCAGATAGCCAGGGACAGAACATATATCGGGTGACTCCTAGCCAACACATTGGATTAACTAACCCGGGGCAGACAGCATCGAGAGAGGATGTCGCCTCAATCAAAAGTGATCAATCCGGCTTTTCTCTCCGGGTTCGAAGACTGCTCATTTCGGATGAAACAGAGGGTGCTCAGGATATTAAAGAGGTTTGGTTCGCTGGTCAGCATGGAGACGTTGGGGGTGGCTGGAAACTGGATCCGAATGATGAGTGGCCTCTCAGCCATATTCCTCTCGTTTGGATGGTTCAAGAAGCAAAACTGGCAGGTCTTCGTTTCGACTCAATGAAGCTTAAACAATTTGAGTGCCATGATGAACCTGTACGTTCATTTTCCGGATTTGAACCAAACTTCAATAGCAAGTGTACTCGAGACAATGATTTTGAAAAGCATGGCTCTATTCCCTCCACTAGCACATTTCATAAAGCCCTTAAGCACGCTGGGGACAAGGGTATAGTGCATGACTGCCTCAGATTCGGCGGCGGCTTACCATCGATTTCGACAATGAGCTGGTGGATTATGGAATATTTGCCATTCCGAAGAATGGACTTACAACCAGACGGATCCTGGAAACCCATAAACTGGCCGCTTCCTTATGGAGAAGTTCGTGATATCCCCAACAATGCAGAGATTCACGTCTCGGCAATTCGTCGAATGCAGGCTGACTCAAGTTATCGTCCCGGAAATCTTATCATTGGGGGCGGAGGTCGGGGAGTCAAAAGAGCTCCAGAAAAGTATGGAATTGGCGAATGGATCATTTCAAGTAACGAAGGAGATCCGGTGAGGGAGACCTATGTGCGCAAAGGCGAGGCGCAAATACGTTCGGAAGCTTGATTAATTATTTTCTGGCTAGCATGATTGTTATGGTCATATTTTGCGTGAGATTGTCATATCTGTGGTTCGTGTAATGCAAATATCTGGTCATAATGACGAGTTCAATAGTATGTTTTCGCGGCGGTCAATTTGTAATGTCGAAAACTGTTTTCCCTGAATGTCAAAAACAACGACGTAGTTGTAACTTTGCCTTAATATTTAATAATAGGCGATCCACTAATTCAAGGAGATTCGAAACCGCCTTCACCTTTTGACACTCTCTTTCTTTCATCATGCCCAATGCCAAAGTGCTTGTATATATATCGTAATATATCTTGGGATAGTGCTCTATTGTTCTGTTTTGTTTAGAACGTAATTTACAACCCTTGTCTCTTAAAAAGATTTTCATTAAACGTACAATATTATAATTTCTAAAAAAAAAAAAAGGGATAACTCAATAATACTTATATATTATGCTAGTATTGCACTAGCCAAATATTTCTTAGCAGACGCCCTTATACTCTATAGAGCAAGACTGAATTCAAAGAAAAAATCTTTCTTTAATTCCCCCTTACTGCGAACAGTGTCTTTTCAGTCTTAACTATATACCGTGTAGAACCCCATTTCAAGCGACTGAGAATAGAGTGCGTTGTAAATATCTTCGCTCTTCTGATCAATCATGCGTATTTTAAAGTACTGGGCCTTGTCTCGTTCGTCGGTCAACCCCACATCAGCGCCATCAAATTGTTTCCGAAACAAATGGCGCCTAGCCTAGTACGTATGCCCGCTTTCTACCGTGTAGTAATTAGATGCACGGATGGCAGGCAAGGATGAGTAGTAATAATATTAGCGACGTTAACAATTCGCCTACCCGCAGCATTGTTGAGGAAACATCCGAGTTAGGCAATTGTGCTGGAGATTATACTGGATATATTAGAAATATCAGAATACAAATTTCAAAAAACTCGACATATAAAGCGACCATGAGCCTTGATTTGGTTTACGTGCCATCCCATCTAGTTTCGTACTAAATCTCAAGCATTTCATCACTATGGTTGTACCATCTGCTTATCAAATTTACAGCCGGCGCCAGCAGGGCCTTGCAGAGACGAGCCGTTTGATCTTGGAGTTCGCCGGAGTGGAATATGTGAATGTCTTTGTTCAGGTGATGCCCTTCCTAATTAACTCTGCAAACTATATATCTAATCTTTGTATAGGATTGGGAGCAGGAAAAGGAAACCACTCCACTGCAACAGCTACCCGTGCTTCGAGTTTTAAAAGCCGATGGACAATGGGTAAATTTTTGTCTACGATAATATCATTATCGCCAACTGACCAGCTTAATAGAAACAAATCTCAGAAAGCCATACCATGGAACGATTTCTTTCTCATACCTTGGGACTCATGGGTGAAGAGCCACTGGAAGCGGCTTTTACAGACATGTATCATGCAGCATGGACAGATATGATGTCTATGTTCATGTGGAAAGTCTGGCGGGCTCCTAATGACGAGTCAAAACGCCAGGGAGCATCTGAGTTTTGGGTTGAGTTCCCCAAGTTCTTGAAGAAACATGATTCCATTCTGGAGAAAACTGATGGGCCCTTTTACTTGGGATCTCGTGTATGAGCATGTTCCATTTTTTTTTCATATTACTGATCATAGTTACATTGCTAATCTGAGTGCGCAGCCTCATCTCCCAGACATTTACTCATTCACTTGGCTCAACCGATTCATCACGAAATGGCTCCCGTCACCACCAGAGTTGATTACGGAAGAAAATTATCCTCATTTGTGGGCTCTTTGGAAGGGTGTTCGGGAACTCGATGGAATCAAGAGCTATATAGAAAGTGGCAGGTGGGAATTACCTCAGTAGACCTCAGAAATAGTAATTCAATGCCCAGGAAAGCCATAGGGCTGTCCTTGAGGCATTTTGACCAGGAACTAAATGAACTTTGCGGTTGGCAATATTCAACGCAATATGTGGTTCAAAAGCTCTTCAAACTTCTGGCTATCCAAGGCAGCGCCATGCCTTCAGCAATTGTTAGTCTGATTACTAGTCTCGTATTAAGCTAATCTTACCTATGGCAACTTGTGATTGACTGCGACTTCGCTATGATATTGTATATTTTATCAGATGAGAGTAAATGCGCCAGCGGATGAGCCTTCATTTTGTCCCACGCTTGGATAGGCGTAATGAGACCTTCCCCGAGGTCAAGTCTTGAGCTCAATGCCAATAGCCGTTCGGCGCTGGCACCAACCGGAGTTGCAGCAAGTGGGTTAGCCTCGCGGGCAAGTTTTCTGCGCATAGCACAGCCTGCATCTGAGGAGGGCTGGCAAGTATCCGGCGAGGCAGATAAATCTTGGGAAGCTAAATCTTCACGTACGTACTGCAAGCATGGTGTTTCGAGCCTGAGCATAATGTAAGGAAATTCAACCAATTGCGGAGGTAAGTCACGTCGCGTACCTCATGACAAATTCAAGACCAACTTCCGAGCTTAGCAGTGCATCGGTTATACGTCGTACTTGTTGCGTATTTGGAAACTGCCCTTTTTCGTGTAAACATGAAGTGGACTCTGAATTCCATCCGTTGCTCGCGACTCCCGGTTCTGAAATTTTGGGTTGGCTCGGTATTTGTGTGGCAGCTTGACTTTGAGCTGCGGCAGTTCTCTCGTATGCATATTCCGGCATAAATTGGCCGAGCTTTTGATGAATAGACTTAACAAGTGCCACACAGTCTGCATGCGCGAGTCTAAGTCGGCCAACCTCTGATTCCAACCCAAGAACGTACTGTTCTGTACGAGCCCGGTGTGTTCTGTAGTCGATATCAGTTACATGCATTAATGAAATTTCCTTTTGTAAGACCTGACCTCTGAGATCGACGGATCTGGTCGCGTCTTCTAACATAGGCCTTGGTCTGTGGGTCCACCATAGGATCATTTTGGACCTGCCCAGCAGATGTCTCAGTGGGCTGCGGTGGATCCGTTATTGTTTTTAGAAACGAAAAGTACTTGTCCCCAAGAGTACGTCGGGCATGCTTCCAAAGAGTTTCTTGGCCTGGTGCCGTTGTGCGCCCTTGCTCCGGGTTTGACATTTTGTGTGACGACTACAAGCCAAGTGTTGATTTAGTATTCAAAAGTCTGGCTTCTGCGTAAAAGGGAAATGTGGGCATTGGCTTGATAGTCTCAATGGACACCAAATCACTTCTTCTGTCGCTTATCTTTGGCTCGCCTGGTGTTTCGGTGGATATTGAAATATTTAGAAATCTGAGTTGGACCACGAAAGAGATGGAAGCATCAGCCGCATGTGCATAGCTTTTCCTAGACTAGCGTCACCCAACCGCCGCTGCCATGCTAACCAAGAAACAGCATGGTTCACGCCGTAGCCGATGACTAAAACGGACACCTAAGTTATCTGAGGTAGTTAGTTTTATGTTTTATCTTTATACATACCCATATAAGTATTATTCATTTAATGTTTCGGGCAGAAATTGACATAACAATGCACATCTAATGAAAATACCAACTTTTAAGAGCCTAGTATTGTAATTGACGTTTAAACAAAAACCAAACAATACCATATACTACAGCACTTGATACATGTTACGATATAAATAAGCGCCTTGGCAGTGGAGGCAGAATTCGGTTAAGAGAGTGTTAAAATGGTAAAGGCGGTTTTGACCTTGTAGTGTGGGGTAATCATCAATTGATATGTTGGTGCCTAACTTGAATAACATCTTCTCTATTTTGAGAGAGTAGCCAATGGGAAGTACTTAATTGTTATATGCTGACGATGGCTGATCCTCTTTCAATATCTGGACTGATCTTACAAGTCATTACCACCGCCAAAACCGTATACGACTACGCAAGCCAAGTAAAAAATGCACAAAAGGACATTCGAGAGTTGTTCGGAGAGCTATTCGCTCTCAAAGCCATTGTCGACCAGATCCAAATGGAAAAAGATGCCACTATTAAAGTGACGGAAATTTACTTTAATAACACACGTTCGTCAGATGCGTTCGACAAAGCTATGACCGATACAAGGAATCTCTTGCAAGAGATTCTAGACGACTTAGTCGAAAGGGCGTTGCGGGGTCAATCTCTTCTCCGAAATTTAGGATGGCCGGGGAAAAAGACTAATCTGCAAGAGAAAGTTGCAAAGTTAGAAAGAATAAAAACCTATTTTATTCTGGTTTTGATGAACGATAAGGCGTTAGTATAGAACCTCACGTTGTTCACAACTAATACTGACACAGCATATAAGAGAGTTAGGTAGAGACATGTCGATATCCATTGGCGCGATAGCAGAAACAAGCATCCAGCTATACCAAAACAACCAAGGTCGGAATTACCACCTGACACATTTCTACGTCATGTTGAGCTGCTGACTAGCTATATTTCAGATGAAATAAACCGAAAGATCAAAGATTGGATTTGTCCCATTGATCTTGAACTAATGCATCGCAGAGCTCGTTCTACTTGCCAGTCCGGAACAGGACTTTGGTTCATCGATGGGCCATTTCAGCGATGGCTTTCGGGCTCAGATGATATGAGACTACTTTATCTCGAAGGAAAATGTGAGACCACTATATTGCCATTGTTTCCACATATAGAGCTTGCTAAGATAAAGTTTTCAGCTGGATCTGGAAAAACTGTTCTCTGGTACGTTTAATCCTATTAAATGCTATCTAAAATCGGCCCTGGAGCTTGTATCTGATACTTATTCCGAAATCTCGCAGTTCAAGTGCAATAGAAGCAGTTCAGACAGTACCTACAGATAAAACTTCCTTTCAAGTTCTTTACCACTACTGCTCATTTCGCTCCGTGCCTTCCCAACAACTGATCTATATCCTTGGGGCACTTATTACTCAAATCTCTGAAACTATTCCCAGTATCTTAGAAGATTTGAGAGAACCTTATGAGCGAAGAACTGAGCCTACTGCCGATGCTCTGATTGAGATAATTCATAGCCATATCGATACTCGGCAACACTTGCTTGTTTTTATCGATGCTGTTAATGAGAGTTCTGAGAGTGATGCGATCTTCAAAGCACTACACAAACTTATGAAGTTATTACCCAATCTCTTTGCTTTCACTACCAGTACCGTACCTCCACCGAGTCTGTTTGAAAATAACACTCTATTGAGAGTTAAGATGGAAACCTCCTCAAACCCAAATGACATTCATGCGTATATAAATAGGCAATTGGAACAACAACCAGCACTTCATCGCCTCGCACCTCACGTAAAAGACCAAATCAAGAGAACGCTGACAAAGAAAGCAAACGGAATGTAAGTTGGGGCTATGGACACAGTCATTTATAATCCTTTCCGCGAAAAGTACCATGTTTTTGACATTTATAATTCTAGGTTTCGTTATGTTCAGTGCCAACTTGAACTTCTCAGCTCTCAGAGGACGGGCCGAGATGTCATCAGAGCATTAGAGCAGATACCCGATGGCATTAACGGCACATACGAACTTATCCTAGAATGTATCCCGCCAAGTGACAGAGAGCTTGCGAGAGAAATACTCGTCTGGTTAATATATAACCGGCAGCCAATACGACTCTCCGCACTAAACGAAGCTATTGTTTTACAAAGATATGATCGCTATTTGGACGACGAATGCAAGCTATTTGACCAAACTGCCATTCTACACATTTGTCAGGGTCTGCTTACCTATGACGAGAAGACTTCGATCGTTGCTTTGGCTCACTCGTCAGTCCGATCCTATCTAACTTCAGATGCAATAAAAAAGAGTAGAGCCGCTTTTTATAGCGTTGATGAACGAGTGGCTACAAGGAATATCTTTCAAAAGTGCCTCACTTATTTAATGTTTGACGAGTTTAATAATCCATGCCGAAATATCCCGGCACTCAACAAGCGTCTCGCAGAGTATCCCTTGCTACGGTATGCAGCCGAAAATTGGGCCACACACTGCAATGCCATTCAGTATACAGGCGATGGATTAATAGATAGCGATTTAGAACAAGCCATGAGCTTTTTCTATACCCACAAGTTTCATAATGGCGGGAACTATACATCGTGGGCACAGATATTGCTGTTTGAGGCTCCGGCTAAATTATCGTTCATCACCGAACCGCTCTATTATGCCGCCTCGTTCGGGCTACTCCCCGTCGTGGACAGACTGTTGGAAAACGGTGCATCTCGAAATTGCCATGGTGGGAGAAATAAAAGCACGCCTCTGGTTGTAGCGACGTTTCGAGGACATTTGCCTGTGGTGAAACTGCTACTCGAACGAGGTGAAGATCCGAATACTAAAGATATTTATGGGATGACAAGCCTTGAGTGGGCTTTGGAAAAGCGATTCCACGAAATTGAGCATACTCTGCGGCAATATGGTGCTGGAAATACATCACCAAATCCTGACATTCACCAGACATGGATGCTCACCAAGGAGCTAAAATGACTATTGCAATAGCCACGTTTCCGAGAATCTTCCCAAGCCCGGGAGTCGAAAGCAGACACCTGTAGTCCCAAAGGGCATCCTTAAGGACCAGGTGAGCGACTGCTTGGGGTATATTCTCAAAACTGTTCCCAAAATATACTAGCGGAAAACTGAATGGGGAAAAAACAATTATAATCCTTATACATCCAGTATCGAAAACTCCCTTTAAATCCGATGGATTACTATGTGAGTTGACAAGAGGAGAGACAGGGTCACAGAAGGGCGGTGAAATGAATGACAGAAATGGGACGGAACCCAGGGATGTTTTTTTCAATATTTTTATATACTATGGACTACTGCATCTGGTGGCGGTTAACCCTGACAACGCAGCTACTCGTGCTAAGACTGACCCAGCCCCTTGCCCCTTTTGGCTTAGGGCCTTATGTGGCTCTCTGAAGAATGAACTTAAATATTTTGTGATTAGTGATCTTCTCCTTTTGTACAGTCTGGCAATAATTGGGCGTACAGCGGCTCACTTGATGTTTTTTTTTTAGTCTTCGAGTCCAAAAGGAATAGCAAGCACCATTCGCGGCCATGAAATCAAGAATAAAGCCAATAGGCTCTTATTTCAAACGTAATCAATTGTATATGACCCAAATTCTAACTATCTATTAATAAATCCTGCCGCTTATTTCACGGTTTGCCCCAACTTACTCGACGCTGAGAAAATCACGTACCCTGCCAACTAAAGTGATAAGGACTTGAACTAAAGTAACCAAAAATTAAAAATATGGAGCATTAGTCTTCAGTACCCCATAATAAATATTAAATTATAACAGCAATTTTAAGAAGTAGACCCCTGACCTCCGGACCTTTTCACCTTTTACAAAAATCCAACGGACTGGCTTTCCTTGTCGATATTGAGGCCACCAAGAAACCGATTCAAAATCATCACTCACCACCCACATAAATTTAACCTCTGCTAAAAAGAATCTTCGCTGATATTCACCAATGCCAAAGCTTGCAAGTCACTTGTCTGGCGCTGAGTGGAGCGCCAACGGGCCTCAAACAGCAGCTCAGCGCTTCTTCAAAGCATACGTCGATACGGTAGACAGCCATGGTTTCAACCATGGTTCTGGCCAACAGTACTACGCCAAAGACGCAGTCTTCCACAATCAAAACAACGTCCAGTATGTTGGAGGAGATGAGATGTGGGCCTGGATGAAGTTACTCTTCAGACAATTTCGACGCCTCAAACATGATTGGTTGAGTATTTGGGAAATCCAAAACGAAGATGGAACTGCCCAGATAATCTCTCAAAATATCAGGAATATTTGGCTTCCAGAAAATACTTCTGACAATCCATCAGTTAGCGTTCCGATGAGCTTTATATGTCGTATCGGCCCGGCCGATATCTCTGATGCTATCGAGGGCTTACAGTTCAAAGAGGTGTGGCTCTATTGGGATACAAAATTGTTGGATCCATTTCTACAGAACGACGCCATAGTATTTCGCAGAGAAAAAACTTTTCTGTAGTTTGATACGCTGTGACACTCCATTCAATGTTCCATTCTTGACACTATTGGAAATGAGTGGGATCAAAAGGTCGGATCATACAGCTAGATGACATTTGTTTGGATATATCTGACCACTTGAGCCATCTCCGCTTCGTAGACCATATTTGTATAGGATATTTGCTCTTGTCTATATTGCATTTAAATTGAATATAGCATCGCAGAGCGCATCGTGAGAATTATAGAATGGGACCAACACAATCTACTGTTCTCTAAGCTCTTGAGCGTCATTTATTTATTCATTCAAATTTAACGACCTTACCCAGCTCTAAGCTATAAAGGTCTCGATTCAGTGGGCGTTATGGGGCCTTTTAGGGACCCAAGCCCCTCTTTCTTCCCACTGCCTACCCCGGGCTGGTGCCTGGAGTTACAATGCACAAACAAATTTCCTCGCCCCAAGCCGATTATATACGGAGGGTGATTTGGGGACCTGATAGGGGCATATTTCTGGGAACTAAATGAGGGGGCTTCGCCTGCCAGTGACACGCAGCTCAAAGCTGTCAGCCCTCCCCCTAGGGTCCTCCAAGGGTCCCTTCTTCACTTGAGCGTCATTCTCCGGACAATCCTTCATAGAAGAGCCCAGTAAATCTTATGTTTCATATCAGAGGGGCTTAGCCAAATCCCCTCTTTAGTTATTACACCACACTTCGTTGTTGTGCATGTTAACCCGTCTAGGCAGCATTTGCGAAATCCGGATCTTTGACAGAAAATTATTAAATTGTAGCCTAAAAATTAATTATCAATACAATGTATTTTGCTAGCCAGATACAGTATATAATAGCAACGTCAATATTTCTTCTACTAAATTGCGATTGGACGAACATATGCAAATGAATATATAATTACATAATTATGCTTCCAAGGCGATAGATAAACTTAGCGCAAATAGAATCTCTTACATAGAAAATAGCGATGCATCTCCTATTGAAACATTCCAAGCTCGGGGACTCTCCTGTGCACAAGCCAAAACTGAGGTATAGTCCTGGCCATCAATGTTCTTGGCTTTCTTATTTGCTCCATGTTTACACAGCCTTCCAATAACTTTCATCTGTCGGTTTCGCGCAGCCTTATGCAAAGGTGTTTCGTGAAGAAAGGCATCTCTTGCATCTATCAAGGCCCCGAAGCCTAATAAAAGCTCAGCTCCTTCATACCATCCCCCGGCCGCAGCTAAGTGAAGAGCAGTAGTATCTTCCAGCATCTGCGCATTCACATCCGCCCCTTGTTCTAGGAGAGTCTGAGTAATGTCGTGTCGTTTACTGTACACTGCAAGGTGTAGCGGTGTTCTTCTTGCATCCTTCTCGGTGCTGACTGTGTCATAGGATACTTCGTGCCTAAGGAACAATTGCACAAGTCTTTCTCGACCGTGCAAAGCAGCTTCATGCATCACCGTCCAGCCCTAGTATCAACTCGTTAGAAAACATCAAGTTGCATCGCAAAATAAGGCAGGGGAATGTATGTTTCTGGTATTAATAAGATGCACAAATAATCCGAAGACAAAAAGTGAACGCACAAAATTGTAGGACCTAGCATTCGCATCCGCTTTGTATTGCAATAGCAGTTTAACAATATCAACATTATTATTCATTGTAGCTTCTTGTAAAGCAAACCTTCCGGACGTCGATCGGGCATTAGGGTTTGCGCCATATTGTAGCAAAAGATGTACAATCGCGCTGTTTCCTTTTGCTGCCGCCCAGAGTAAAGGTGTTCGTCCGCTTTCTCGAAGTGGCTCCGACGATCCTTGTTGGCGATGGTTGCTGTACTGGCGAATTGATACTATTGCACCTCTAGCAAGTAGTAACTCTGTTACTTGAACATGGCCAAGCTCTGCGGCAAAAGACAGTGGAGTCCGTCCATCACGATCTTGGCCATTAATATTTGCCTTCTCCAACGACGCCTTTACAAGTGGCAAGGATCCGATTTTGACGGCCTGAATGAGAGTATCCGTCAGTTGAGATTCAGTTTCTTCCGGCTCTACCATGCTCGATCTTGTATCGACCAGTGGCTTCGAGTCAGAAAGCGAGCCTTGAGGCAAGGTAGATGCTGTTTCGGCGAATCGTATAAGAGCAGAACCTGCATCATCATCAAATGGGGTTTTTATTGTAGCATCTTGAGGCTTGGGCCCAGTGGCAGCAGAATTTGCCTTCATGATAGCAGACGTTTTGAACGATAAAAGACTAGACAGATAATTTTAGAAAATTTTCACACAAATCCAACCATCCACTAGAGAAAGCCTGGGAGTACAAAGAGAAGGCACTCACAGTGTAACATATCCCATAGCATCCCCAAACGTTACCTTGTTCCGCTCCATCTCGCCTAGCAAGGAATACACTTCTTTTCGTTTGAAATACCATTTCACATCAGTCCGGCTAAGCCGTCTTTGTTGCGCTGGAGCATCGCCATTGCCCTTTGGCGGTTCAGATGAGGAAATATCTTCCTTCAAGTGTGGGCGCAGCTTTTCCTCCATCTTTTCAAAAGTTTTACGGCTATTGCCTATGGGTTCCTTAAGAGACTCGATTGCATTGGTGATTTCCAAATCATTTTCAATGATAGCCCTTACATCGGGGGACTTCAACGAGGCAGTAAGATTACACACCAGTGTATTGAAACTGTTAATATCTCGGGTTATACCCCGGATTTCCTGAGGTGCATGTGTTATTGTAGAAAAGAAATCATATAACTGGATAGATGTTTTTGTCGCAATCTCTGCGACTTGGAGGATTGATAGTAGTTCTGCCATTCCGAATTTGATCCCTTAGTGATTTGGCTCCTCTTAATCTTTCTGGGCTTATGTATTTGAATTTACCGGTCTTTTTCAGAGAGCTCTTGACGTTAATGTTATATCAATTATTTCAAACCATGCGGTGGAGTAGCCAGTGGCCGAAGGAACTGTGGCGAGGCAGTGTCAAGCCCTAATGGATGTATCCGCCACTAACCCCCACCACCACGACGTCAACTCGCGCCTGTTTCCATATTTAGTAACGCTAAAGCAACATTTGGCCTGGTGTAGGCTGTGATTTGGCTCCATAACGAAAGACCCAGGAATACCATTCGCTGCTTTGGTCATCAGGCAAGTTATTTTTGATTCAGTTATTGATCTACATGCATAATAATATCTCGCATCCTATGCCCTGTGCTGTACATCAATTGATACGATAAAGACCAAAATATGAAAGTTGTAGCTTATTCATATGAGGATTAAAAATGGTCTCAAGCAGCACAGTATCTTCATAGATTTAACGCTTCGGTTGCCTGTCAGGCGAATGGTAACTAGTGCGAGGGCTTGATGGAAGAAATCCATTATACGAGCGACAGCAAGAACATTTGAGCATTGATTGATGTCAGAATATTGGCTGTATAGTTCTTAGTCGTCCATCCCCATACAATTCCTGAACACCCTATCCCTGCCGATCCTATCTGACGGAAAAATATGATTTACTAGTGTATAGAGCGCGTTGCATATTTTACTTGTACAAATCTAATCCAAAGACACTGGATGATGAGAAATCTTCTCAGGCGATCCAATGGCCAGAAAACAGCTTTAGACCCTCTAAATCAATTGATGCCATCCTCATCAATATTATCACTTGACTCGGGTAGTGTACATGTGTATATTATATACAGTCCAAGCAAAACAAAGCGTTGTCGAGGAAGAGAACAAAGGATAATAGCATTGGAAGTCTTGTGAGATGGCGCTGCAGGGTGCCATGGTATATTACATGAAATACTGAGCTTCACGGGATAGACACATTATGGTGAACCACCACCAATGATATGTTAAAGAACATATGATTGGCCGAACCGTTTCTAGATATCTTTCCGAGTGGGCCAATCGGAGTGTTTTTATCCATGGTGTATCAAGTTAGTCTCGTCCGTGGCAAGCTGAAAGTGACGTGGCTTGGCATCTTAAACAAACCATTGGGCTGAGATAGGCACTTCCCTATTCGACTCGGATCCTCGACTGGCGAGTTAGAAATTAAGGTTCTACAACCCAATTTTGCTGGGTAGCGTCGTCGCTAGTCAGAGAGCTACACTCATTGGCCAATAATATACCTGGTCGTATACAATACTCGGGAGAGAGAAATGCAATCTTTATATTGACTGCAGTACTAACCCCGCGAAGTGGAGTAGCTGGTTGCGACACTATATGAGCATAGGTTTATTCCTTCCCAAATTCGCGGGATTAGGGTGACAACTTAGCTTGAATAAACACGAGGACTAGACATCGACGCTTTATTTCATTTTCATCATATGAATTGTATTCTGCAGGTCACCCCTTCCATACAAAAGCAGCTATAATATGGACCACCTGCCGCTCCCTGAGGGCGCGAAACATTTCATTGTCGCTCCTTACGAAGCTCCAGAGAAGGAATGGTACGATGGTCTAGGGTTTCTGGACTTCCCTGAGCGAAGAGGCTGGAGTGAAAAGCAACTCCTTGATGCGAACAATGCTGGAGTCGATGCTCAAGGGCTTCTTAAGAGGAGTGATCCTTTAAAAATCGAACAATTCTTTCAAACTTGGCTCTTTTTTGGCCTTGTCATCGATGTATTGGCCATCGGCGGCATCACTGTGACAACAGAAGACTTTCTCAAACCGAAAGGCCTTCAGAAGGCACGCATAGTTGATACCACAAAACTTCCAGCCCTGCTTACGCAGTGGAGAAAGACTATTGAGGAAGCCGAAAAACCCTTAGTGTTTAAAATTTTTACGACATGGGACAAACTTAATGAGAAATTCGAAAGAGCCAAGGCCATTTTGAATCATTTTTGTGTTACGGGGGACGATATTTCAATATCGTGTCAAAATAACCATTGGCCCGTGAGGGACGAAATTTCGACAACGATGATCGCACTAGCTTTCTCCCTAAGAAAAGTGGCTATAACAGCGTGCAACGAAAGAGTTGATCAGGCCAGAGCATGGCCTGGCGCTAGATCAAAAATTCTTACGAAACGTTTAGAGTATAAATGGTGTCTCGCCGACGTTAATACAGCTTTGAAAGAACTCTCTGTTGACGGCCATTACTATGTTGCATCGTCGCCAAGTCCTGGGGTTGATTATCTAGATCATCATCATAATTGCCTTCCTCAGCGCTGTCTCAATCTTGTCGACGAGGATCTCTATCTCACGTGTCACGCGGGGCCTCCGTGGCACAAGCAGCATTGCAAAACTGAAATCGAGTATGGAGGACATCTAGGTGATGACATGACGAGCAAAAATTGGGTCGATGCTGTTTGTAGAGTTATTGACAAAGGAGCATTGCCAGTTGCTCTCTGGAAGAAGGACGACCGACAACTTTGGTCCTCAGAATATCATCTTTCCCAACAGCAAAATATTCCATATATAGCGATTTCACATGTGTAAGTACGCTAGCGGTTGTTTCTTTATCATTACCTTGAGATTCTCGATTTCTAATCTTCAAAATGTATATATTGCTGACCTTTTCAAATCCAGGTGGGCGGACGGGATGGGAAACCCTGATGATAATTGGCTACCAGAATGTCAACTTGACCGTATCACGCACTACATTGAGAATATTCGCTGGAAATCCAAAGAGCCTACTTCAGACGAAAAAAGCCCCGAATTGGTGTGCTTTTGGATGGACACTTTGTGTACGCTCCAGGATAGAATGCCAAATAAGATAATGAGATGTTAACAATTGATCATTTAGGTATTCCAGTCCAAGCTGAAAACAAAGCACGTCGGAAGCAAGCCATAGCTAGTATGCGTCACATATATACCAATGCACGTGGTGTGCTAGTCTTAGACTCTTGGTTGCAGCAAATTCCATCAACTTCCCCAATGCTGACAATTATCACTCGCTTATACCAGTCAAACTGGCTAAAGCGTTTATGGACTCATCAGGAAGGGTTTCTGCCTTCCGCTGTTTATATACAATTCAGTGATCAAGCTATTGAGCTAGACGACCTAAGCAACATGTTTCATGAATACAATGAACTGTTGATTAGCAGAGGGCTTCATTTGGGATTTCCACAAAAAATGTACCAAAAGCTACTTCAGGAGTACACTTTGTTCAAAAGATTGTTTGAATCCACCGGAAGAAGTGAGGAGAATAGATGGACTACCTATCTGGCTTTAGCAGCTTCGATGTCTTACCGGCAAACCTCGAGACTTGCCGACGAAACTATTTGCTTAGCAACTCTTCTAAGTATAGATCTCGATGAGCTTCTAGCTATTCCGGACAAGCCAGATGCAGAGGCCGCTAAACAACGTATGATCATTTTCTTACGGGCGATGAAAAAGTTTGAGACAACTTTGATTTTCAATAATTATGAACGTCTTAACGTTCTTGGGTTTCAATGGGCTCCGAAGTCCTTGCTGAATTTTCGAACCGCTGATGCAGGTAGGGGTGAGGGGCTAGGGACAGGCATTCTCCAGGAGATGAATGGGGAACTGGGCCTTCTAGTCCGCTTTTCTGGATTTGTGATTAATTTTTCCGAATTGGGGACGTCATTGAGACTGTTAAATCGTCCCTTCACGATTAAATGCCGTGGTTCTCTATATACTGACGGGAAATGGTTTGTTATTCACCTACCATACAATGGTTTTCATTGGCCTGTTTCCGATGAATACGCAATAATTTTGTCCACAATACCGAAAGTAGGGGAGACTTTTCAAGCCATTGTTGGCCCACATCATACAGAAGTCGTGGATGACGTACACGTTTTTGAGCATCAGTCGCTCGTAACAGTTGAGGTCCGCGACGATCTACCACCAGAGTTTGATGAATTAGAAATATCATTCCTAAACAGGGCAACCCAATGGTTGATAAGGTGATGCAAACTGGGGAGAGACAGGATCAGCAATACCGAGATCTTTTTGATCCATTGTAAGGCAAATAGCATAGATGCTGTTTATCTGTTATCTCCAGTTCAGGTACTCGAGAAACTTTTGGCTGTCATATTTTTCTTCGAGTCCAGGAATCTCCCTGATCGTAACAGAGGTATAAAAATAAATATATTCAGTTACATGGTACGAACATAATTCAAGAGTCACCATTAATTGATAAAGGTAACATTCTTAAAATAAAATATGTTGCACAGATAGTAAAATAATCTAAAAAGAGGAACTATACAGAAAATGCTCCACTTCTTCCAAAAAGGAAGGTGTCGGATCCGACACTAGATGCGGCTTAGCTCTCGTCATCTCTTCTACATATGACATTCACTTCTCAGCTTCACACACTACGAATTAATCATGCGTGTTGTGGGATAATTCCCGCGAGGTTCCGCCTTTAAAATTATGGATTTCTAAGCACCGCCAAGAGGGGGGAATTTTCTGGGATATAAAGTCCTCATCCAACTCCTATGACTGGGAGGTTATCAGATGAGGTTTTTTTTTTGATATCAATTGCTGTCCCTCGGATCTTGGTCCTAGTTTTGAGCTTCAATTCCCGTCTGAATAGGAAAATCTAAACAAACCCATCCCATAAAAATCAACTTCTCAAGCAGAATGGCTCTGAAGATTGCTCTTGCCGGTGCCACCGGTAACCTTGGGGGCCCTGTTCTGAAAGCTCTTCTCCATGCCAACCTCCATGTCACTGTTCTCTCTCGAATTGGGGGAAACTCATCAAAAATAGCACCTCATTCAAACCTCACAGTCAAGGAGGTCGATTTCAATTCCGTCCAGTCTCTAGTTCCCGCCTTAGAGGGGGTCGAAGTCGTGGTTTCTTGCCTTGCCACTTTAGCCATAGGCAGTCAGAATCCCTTGATTGATGCTGCTGAGGCTGTAGGCGTACGGCGATTTATTCCCGCTGAATTTGGCATGGACTCTCTCAATCCATTATGTGTGCAGTTGCCCGTATGCGCTCCAAAAGCTGCAACACAGCGATACCTTATTGAGAAGTACAGCGCAAACTCTACTTTCACCTATACTGCTATTGCCAATGGACTGTTTCTCGACTGGGGTCTCAAAGTTGGCTTTATTGTGAATCCATCCAAACACACTGCGACATTGTATAACGGCGGCGATGTCCCTTTCAGCGCCACAAATCTCGCCGATGTAGCACAGGCAGTCTTGGGCATAGTCAAAAACCAAGCTCAAACGGCCAATCGAGTTCTTTATATTCATTCTACAGTGACTACGCAGAATAAACTGATTCAGTATGCAAAGGAAAAGGACGGAAAAGAATGGAACACAATTTGCAAGAGTACGGAAGAAGTCAAACAGGAAAGTGAAGCCGAACTAAACAAAGGGGGAGAAGGAAACATCAATGCGGCCATGGATGGATTTTGTATTTGTGCATGTTGGAATCCCGACTATGGTTGTGACTTTTCGGGCCATTTGGATAACGAGTTACTGGGCATAAAGACGCTCGATGAAAGTGATCTGAGGGCTCTGATCGAGGACTTCCTGGGCTGATGGCAAATTTTACACCGATCTGGTTAAAGATCTAGCTAGAGATCAATTTTTTAATCCCACGAGTTTACCTACATGAAAGCGATGTGCAGTGCTAATAAGGCTATAATCCCATTCTTCTTGAACACGGATTCATAAGACCATTACCACCTACCTCAAGTTCTTGTGGCCCGATAGTTTCGAAGTAGGATTTCTTTTACGGGGCTACGGAAAACTATCAACTTATACTGTATGGATACCGTATTAGCTTCACATGGAAAGTTATTGCAGTGCTAGCAATATGTAATCCGTTTGGGATGAAAGCGAGAAGCTGTCTTTATCTTCTCGGCCATAGCCCGATTCTATGGTCGACTCTTTGATGCGTAACAGAGTAGTACACTTTTAGAGACTTGTTTTTTCTTTCTTTTTAATTGTATAATATTAGGGTCTTTGCATAATAAACCATATTAGGCATATTGATCCAGGTAATAGTTAAAGAGGTGCAAGGGCGTGGAATTCTAGAAAGCTTCGATATATCTGAAATGTCAAATCATTTAGACGGCTCGGTGAGGGCAAAATAATCTGGCTATTTGGTTTTAGAGGAAACCCCTGTGCCACAATATCATTTTCCGGGTCGAAGAGCTCTGGATAGGTGCCGAAAAATGAAGGGTCGAGTTTGTAGTGCGAAACTCCATGGTTCATTTTGAGCAGCTTGAAAACTGCTTGGGCACATTCACCAAGTGAGAATAAGCTTGAAACATCTGGAGCCGGAAGTACAGCAGCCGGGTCGATGTCTTTATTTTCCGCGTCAGCGGCGCCCATAGCAACATCAGTAACGCGTAGGTAGACTCTTGTTGCGGGGGCGCCTAAGACCAAATCTGCCATGCAGGCTTCAACGACATAACTGCTGACTACGTCACAGAAAATTTGATCTATCTGAGGGTTTGCAGAGTGCAGGCAAATCAACCGATCCCTCAGAGCTGGAAAGGGTATCCAGTCAATGATCCCAGGATGCTGGTGCTGCAGCTGCAACACTGTTGGTCGATATTGCTTTTCAACTCTATTTAATAACTCGGGACAAGGGTGCAATTGCCAAGTAGTCAAGTCGACGATATGGTAAAATCGTGTTTTCGCATACCATGCCATGGCTGCTGGTCGTGTGAGACTGTTAAAAAGCCCTAGTACTGCCAGCACTTGTCGATAAAGCCTGTTTCATTGTTAGCAAAACGGTATTCAAAAGATATAGTCTCAGGCGGCAGTACATTTCATAATGTTCCAATTGCGGCCCGATCCTCCCTAGCTTTGCCCTTAACAGGTGGCTGAGAGTAGATATATGATCCGAAAATGGAGAGTTTGTCTCAACCCAAGCTTTGCCAAGTTTAAGACTTGAACGTTCACATTCAGATAACGCCCTCATGTATGGCTGCAAGCCCATCTGGTACTCATGGTTCCAGATATTCGGGATCTGAGGTAGTAGCAGACAACTCGAAACGTCTGAAGTTGCATCCCAGCCAAAAGTGTCACAGGATACTTCAAGACAGCCAGCTACCTGAGAAGACAAGGAGGGATGACTGATGGTCGTAGAAGACTCGATTACTGGCATCAAAGGATCATCCGCAGTAACGGAGTATACAGCTGAGCCGCCGAGTTCAGGATTGAAAATCCGATCTTGTGGTTCACTTCCACCTGGCTCACTAGGTGGCACAACCTCAGCAGCCTCATTACTTGACCCCTCAACGGAACATTTGTCCAATGCGTTTGATACTGAGCCAGCCAATGCTTTTAATGTCTCAGTGAGCCTAGTCAACTTTGACTGAAGCTCAACTAGTTCCTTTCGTAGATACTGATTTTCGCTCCGCATCTGCTTTAACCCTTCACTTTCGGTAGTGTCGGCCCCCTCGACACATTTCTGGAGTCCTCTCACATACTCGGCATGTCTGCGACGGTAAGCACGTTGTGACAAACGATTGCGAGTTCTTCTAGACTAGATTTTCAGTTATCGCAAAGTACTACTGCCGGTGCTTGGGCTTACTTTCTTTCTAGGTCCTCAGGATCGCGTTTCTGGCTCTTTTGATTGAGTCTTATCATAGTCGAGACTTGCCCTCTTAGTGGATGCGACCTAAAGAGAGCGCTGGGGTTGTTTTCGCAATGCCCGCAATATAGTGGATCCTGGTCCATGACAATTTCGAACATCATACCAACTAGAATAAGAAAAGTTAAGCGTTAACGACTTATACCGTCGCTGATTGGGCTGCTCGGGTTATGACATAGCATGTCTTAGCTATGTTATATACTAATCCAGGAACGGAAAGGTACGTTGATCATCGTGAAATAAAAGTATCAAGCTTATTCTTGAGCATCCAAAAACAGTTAATGTTTCGAAGGTTTTATAATATTCTGACCAGTAATGCTATAGATACCATATTTATTTCTCCATATATAAAATTTAGATCTCAGAGTGCTGACAGCCACGCAATCAAAATCTCAGGTAATATTTCGGGATTATTGAAGAAAGGGGTACCAAGGAAAATTGATTTATAACCTATGGATAGCCAAAATTGTAATTAAATGACTTCAAATCGGCATAATGCGCAGTTACATGGGGTATTCCTCATATTAACTGCTCGACATGAAGTTTACATTCCTTTCAGTCATTGCTTTAGCGGCTAACGCCGCTCTCGGTGAACACGTCTATCGCACTGAAAATCAACTCATCGTCACAACCACAACAGGAAAATACGGTGGTTTGATTGATCCCAAATTCCCCAAGACACGTCAATTCCGCTCTATTGCCTTCGCTGAACCACCAGTCCTATCACGTCGCTGGTTGCGACCGCAAAAGCTCCCCCCGTCCACTGAGCACCACGATTCGTACACCTTCCCGCCATCATGTCCCCAATTCGTTTCGAAGATTCCTTCATTGAACAACCAGTACTTTTCAGGAGGCACTCTTATCAATAATGGAAACCAGAACGACACATCTGGCCTTGTTGGGGTGGATACTTCGGAAGACTGCCTGTATCTGGCTGTGTGGACGCCCGCGAACGCAACGTTTCATTCGAAGCTGCCTGTTCTGTTCTTCATGTCGGGAGGAGGCTTCACCACTGGCGGCGTGGATATCCCGTACCAGGTACCAACGGGCTGGGTCGAACGTTCGCAGTCACATCTCGTCGTTACAATTAACTATCGGGTTAACATTTTTGGTTTCCCAAATGCGCGGGGTCTGACGGATCAGAACCTGGGGACTCTGGATCAGCGGGCTGCACTCGAGTGGGTACGGGATAACATCGCACAGTTTGGAGGTGATCCTGAGAAAATCACACTCTGGGGTCAGTCGGCCGGTTCTATATCTGCCGACGCTCACGCCCATGCCTTCTATGATGACCCTATCGCCCATGCCTACTTCCTGCAGTCGGGCACTGTCTTTAGTGGTTCCGCGGTGACTGACACAACGTACTCAAACTTCAGCTTCGTAGCAAGGAAATTCGGCTGCCAGTTCGCCAATGACAGTGATGGGATTGCAGAGCTGGAGTGCATGCGCCAGGTATCATTCAAGCAGATTGAGAATTTTGTAGGGCAGTATGCAGACAGTGGCCAACAGCCAGCACTAAACTTCATACTGGTGGCAGATGAGTCCATCATCTTCTCGGACTACGCAGCCCGTGCGCGCGCTGGCAAAGTTGCCCACCGGCCAGCGATCATCTCCAATGTCGCCAACGAGATGTCGTCACTGGTCCCGTTACCTAGCAATCTAACGGCGGGTCCAGACCAGGCGCTCGTTCTCGCGTACGATCTCGCCGACTGGATATGCCCGACGTATAACTCAACCGTCGAACGCAATCGGTTAGGCATTCCTGTCTTCCGATATCAACATGCGGGCACATTTCCAAATCTCAATCCGTTCAAATGGCTGGGTGCGTACCATGGTAGCGACGTGCCAATGAATTTTGGTACCTACGGGATTTTGACAAATCTGGCCAATGCCACTGAATTCGAGACCGAAGTCAGCCGGAATATGCAAGATCATATCCTTGCGTTCGCAAAAGATCCCTATCACGGTCCGCAGAAGATCGGCTGGGAACCGTTAGTCGCCAGTAATGGGTCTAGAGAAGGTCTTATTCGCTTTGGAGCCGATGGTAAGGTGATTCAGTATATTAATGGTATTGAAGTGGATGGAGCCTGTCAGGGAGTCGGGACGTATAACCCGTTCCCTTGAGGAGGGCTGGTATGTAATATTAAATTTGACCTTGATTTCTGCCATAAAGTACCAATTATTTAGAAAGCGGTGGATACTCCTCTACGTGGTAAAACTCCACATAGGTTATGAGATCTCACAGTTGACACAAGGATCAGGAAAAGCTGGATATATTGAAGTAAAGTAGATAACTTGTTGGCTAGTAGGAACTTGTCTGAGATGCGCTTTGGCCCGCAGCAAGATCATTGCTAGCTACTGAATATATATTTCTTTGCGATCTCTCTTTCTCTCTTAAGCTATCCCTATAAGGAAAGTAAGATAATCGTTAGGGCTCCTGAAAGAATAAAGGAATGCGAGTATGAATATATAAATTTCTATTGAAGCATGTGAGCACTTGTTAAGTTGTTGTCTTTTCAATTCTTCTAGTACGGGTAGTTTATTCTCGCCTATACATACACATCCCCAATCTCTATCTGAGAGGAGGCCGACAATGTATGTCGATTGTAGTCGGATCAGGAATAGAAGTTACACAGATAGACGCAGACCTAAGATCCAGTAGATAAGGGCACATTCGCGTAATTCTCCTGAATGAAAATTTGCAAGTCTTCCAAAGCTGCTTTCAGCTCCTCTGTTTTACCCCCGAATCCAAGACGCACATAACCAGAGAACTTAACTCCATCTCCGAAGCATTTCCGCCCTGGCACAAGTAGAATTCCTCTTTCCTCGAGAAGCGCAGTGCATAATTCCAAGTCATCAACAGGCTTACCAGCTCGGGTAAATCTGATGAAGCCAATGGGTCCTCCTACAGGCCTCGCCCATTCACAGACTGAACTATTTTTATCGATGAAAGACTGTACCACGTTGAGATTTTCTTTTGCCAGAGTGCAATTCCTTTCGATCAATCCCTGGGCCAAGGAAGGGCTTAGGACCAAGGAGGCAAGATATTCGTCAATCTGGCTGGCAGTGATAAGGGCGTACGATCGTGCATTAACACAAAGATCGATAGCCTTGGAGCTATGAGAAGCGACCCACCCAACGCGAAGTCCTGGAAACGAGTATGCCTTTGATAAGGAGCTGGTGGCAACTGTATTTTCATAACCCATTGACAGAATTGAAGGCGGATATTCTGTATCTGTTTTAGAGATTGAGTGGAAAAGCGGACGGTAAACTTCATCGCTGAAAATTGTCATCGAGTGTTCTCTCGCGATTTTCACGATCTCTTCAAGGGTAGATTTGTGAATGATTCTACCAGTTGGGTTTTGCGGATTGCTAGAAGTATGAACCCAAGGTTAAAGTTGTTCGTGCGAGGCAAGGGGGGAACATAACGACAGGCTCACCTAATGATGAGCATTTTTGTATTCGGTTGAATGAGTCTTCTGAGCTCTTCCAAATCAAGCTTCCAGTCATCACTTTTCTTTGTTTCCCAAAGACTGACATCTACTCCAAGGGATTTTGGGAGGGAATAGAGCTGCTGATATGTGGGATACTGCACGATAACATGATCACCCGGGCCCAACAAGGCAAATACCACAAGAAAATTTGCCAATGATGCCCCAGGAGTCGTGATTATATTCTCTATTGTCAAATCACCGGATGATTCGGTCGAGTACCAATGGGAGATTTTGGATCGTAGCGATTCGGACCCTTTCATAGGGCCATAATCCAATGCTTTGGAGAGAATGGGGGAGAAAGCTTCAACACCCACATCGGAATCCCCGGTCTGCCGTTGTAGGTCGCCAATCGACCTAGGAAGACAATAGGAATGCGCGAGATTGTGCTTGACGGTAGATGAGCTGCGAGATAAGATCCACTGTACAAATTTATTAGTGTCGATTCGGATGCAGATGCGAGGATACGAACATGATCAACTTCAAAAAGCTCGAGTTTGACCATCTTGAGCAAAGAGAAAGCTTAAGGTAATTTTTGAGTACCGCGAGGAATAAATTGTTGACTTTTGCAGACCCTTATATTAGTATTATCATTGATCCCTCAGGCTTTTCGCTGTCTGTGTGCACAGATACTTATATAATTTTTGTTCCGACAGTTTAGTCTATAGTAATAAGGAGTCAGTTCTCAGGAGATAATTGACCGAGGAAACTGCTTGTAAATTCCTCTGCCTTTTTACGTTTCGAATCTTGTTAATCTTTTGCTTAGGTACATGACCCCGCGCCGCAGAGGTCTAGTTGCAAGAGTTGTTACCTGAGCGCTCGGTTACGTGTCTGCTCGGTTACGTGCGTGTTTGATTACGTTACTGGTGCCCAGTAACCTCCGTCGATAGTTACCAACCAAATTCAACGAATTACCATCCAAAATCGCCTCGGTCTGCGAACTGGACTTCTCACTCATAGCAGATCCTTGGTATTGGAATGAGTAGACAAAAGCTGCGGACTTACGTTCTTAGCACCGATTATATCTCCGATTCCATGGACATCATGATCCATCCTCAGGGCCTATTAGTGCTTCTGTTCGAGCCAGAAATCTTCACTACCAAGCTTATAAAATGCACCTTCTGTAACTATTTCATTCTGACCTCTACCAAGTAGTTTCATAAGTCCAATTTCTACCTAAACTCCATTCCATCACTATGACTTCACTGTTGAGAGGGAGCGCAACTATCATTCGCAAGCCCTCCAAGCTCCTGAGAGGTGGAACCGTCCTTATCCATGGTGATCAGGACCGTATATTGCCTCAAAAGGCCGATGTTCTCATCGAAGGGGACCGGATCTCCAAGATTGAAGCCTCAATTTCGGCACCTGATGGGTGCCATATCATCGATTGCTCTGACAAGATTATATCGCCCGGCTTTGTTGATACCCATCATCATGTATGGCAGTCACCGCTGAAGGGGCTTTTTGGAGATACCGCTCTCTTTCCCTACTTGGCAATAGGTTCGTTCCGCTTCCAATAAAAGTGAATGTAAATGGTAACTTATACTCTCCAGTACACGCGGCCGGCTTGGTGCTCACTTCTGACGACATGTTCTGGGCAAATTTAGCGGGCAATTTGGAGGCTGTTGATGCCGGAACTACCACTACTATGGATCATGCCCATATGAACTGGTCCAAAGACCATAGCATGTCCAGCTCTTTCCCATGAAAGCCCGTAACACTAACAATTATCAATCTAGGTCCATCAGCCATTGCAGGTACCCTCTCGTCAGGCATCCGCTCGATATTTGGCTATACCCCAGTAGCTACACTGGCAGCCACCATGCCAAAAGTCGAGTTCTCGCCTGATCCTTTGCCAGACTGGGTTATGCAGGCCTTTGAGCAACTTGCCACCTCTCACCCGCTAAATGACCCGGAGTCTCGAGTTAAGCTGGGGTTAGGGTTTGACTTCTACCATCTTTCGAAAGAAGTTGTCGTGGGTGTTTTTGAGAGGGCCAAGTCCCTTGGGACGAAGATAATTACATCTCATTTCATCCAGAATTTTGTTCGGGATAGCGAGAGCTTGCCTGTCTTGCTAAAGTCGTATGGTCTTCTTCAAAAGGGCATGGTTCTCTCACATGCCGGCGGGGCTACCGCAGACGACGTCAAATTGATGCACAATGCCAATTGCTTTGTCTCGGCCACCCCGAATACGGAACTCGCCATGGCCGTTGGTCCTCCTGTCTGCTTCCGCGCCGACCTCCCTGGCATCGATCCAATTTGCTCCCTAGGGGTCGATTGTCATTCTGCAACGAGCGGCAGTATGGTCAATGAGATGCGTGTCGCCTTGCAGACTGCAAGGGGCATAGAGAGCAGGACTCACATCCGAAATGGCGAGTGGCCGAGGGAAGTATCCCACAAGACCGTTGATGCGTTCAACATGGGTACTATTCAGGGTGCCCGTGCACTATGTATGGAAGATGACATAGGTAGCATCAAAGTGGGCAAAAAGGCGGACCTAGTGGTGTTCGAAACTCTTAGCCCGGCTATGTCGTGTGTTGCACAGCAGGATCCGGTTATGGCTATTGTTCTGCACTCGAACATACGCGATATCGACACTGTGTTGGTGGATGGAGAAATTAAAAAGCAAAATGGCAAGCTCTGCCCGGTCAAGGCATTTGAGTGGCATAGTGAGAAAGGATTTGTGGACATGGGTCTTGTTATAGAGTGGCGAGAGGTAGCTGACCGGATTCTCGCAATACACCAGAGGGTTGTATCGAAGATGTCGAACAGCCTTCTCTTGGAGATAGAAGATCATGTCCGGGAGAGATTTGGCCATAAGCAAAGCTCTACCAAGCTGTAGTCTCAGGTGACACTACATGAAATTCATGATTTATTCAAGCGCATCGTGGTATCGCATTTGATTTCCACTCCATCCCACCAGCTTCCTCTTTCGCTTCATCTATAAAAGCATATTTTTATATTGTCGTTTGTCCTAATTTGGTCTAGTCTTTGTTTAACTCTTAGTTAATCTGTATCTTAGACACGTTTCCCAGGCAGCAGAAATCCTGGGATAAGGGTTCTATAGGCTACCTAGCTCAACGGAGTCCAAGGATATGCTTACTGCAATATGTACCAGGTCTAGGTCCGTTGTCACATAGGCTGTTGATGTGCAGCACACGGTAAGCCCTTGCACCCCGTGAAATTCAACTCCAAAGGAAGTGGGAAATGAATACTGGCACGAAAAACAGACTTATGAGCACGCTTTATGAGATATATATCTAATAGATATACTAGAAAATTAGACTAAGTCAATGTACCTCCATCCCTAATCATTCAACCATTTGCTTAGTAATCGACCAACGTCACTTCTTCTTTCCAACGACTACTTATTCACTCACCTTCATTTCTAGAATGCAAGTTCTAGTCGAAACATGCCAAAGCCTTCGGATCACCTCAACGGAAAAAAATTAGTGTCGCGGAGAACACAATTCTCTAGTTGCGATGCTTGTCGCCAAGCCCGCGTTGCCTGCGACGCGTCGAAAAACGGATATCAGCCCGGCGAAACGCAATGGTATGGATCATGTTCTAGATGTCTTGTAAAGAATCAGGGGTGCACATTTGAGGTATGAAAGCCATTTCTGAGTGATCACGCTTTTGCACAGTTAATTTTTGCTAAAATGTTTCGTCTGATCAAGTGGATCAAGGATACGAAAGTGGATTCTTCACAACGACATCGATTTCCTTTGGCTGCTAGAGATTCCTTTATTCACTGGGAACCACCTAGTCCGGATATTAAGCCAAATGAATGTGAGTCTTCCACCACCGTGGAAGGGATGACTTATTGGCCAAAAACAAATGATACTCCGTCAGTATAATATCCATTAATTTCTTCTAGGGATCTGACTTTCTATTTAGCATGACTTCTTGCATAGAGTCAAAGTCCAGAACATCCCCATCTTCGATATCAAATGCTCAGAGTGCAGATATTCTAGTATCTCAATGGTCTCATCGGATCTTCCATGGTGGCTTCAGTACTATTTTCGGCCGATGGATAGGCAGAAATGGTTGTCCGCTGGTGTGCGTTTCAAACTGACTAATCTGTATTCAATGCAACATGTTAATGGGGCTATAGGTACGATCCGAGCAGTGAAGCTGTCATCCCACCAATAAAGCTCTTCACAAAACTTGACACTCTGCTGGATGACCAATTGCATTATTTGAAACAAAATAATGCAGCAGAACCATCAAACCTGGGATCAGAGAGAAATTATGAAATCGATCGATCCCTAGACCTCGCGATAAAATCTTATACAGCTCGTTGGTTACCAATTATCGCACAGAATAACTCTCTAGATATCAGAACATATGCTGAAGTATCAAGAAACTACTGGCGAGCTAGTCGAAAAGACATGCTTAGAGTCATCAACCGCGTGTCCTATCGGTCCGTGCTAACACTCTACCTTTTCGGCCAGACCCCTGTTCCCCTGGGCATCTCAGATGATGAAGAACTCGACGGTCTTACCGGGGTGGTATGTACTCAGGTTGCACTGCTACAACTTCAGCAGCTCCGCGGAAGGCTTCGTAGCTGTCAGTTTAACGGCTCCAAGGTATCAGGCTGGTCAGATGCAACTACCAGAGCAGCGCCTAGTGCCAAACTAACGCCTATGTTGGTGGATTTAGAAAACAGAGCATACTGGGCAGCTGTAACGTGGGATACATCAAACTCTGTAACACTGAACTTCAACTCCACTCTATCGACCGGGTTGAAAGGGGCATGTCTCGAACCTGCATGGGTGCTTACTAGAGGGTTTCTAGTGGACCTATTCAATCCGAGAGCAAAAGAGTGGTGTAGAGGCGGCTTTGAGGTGGCTGATGATATTGCAGCTCAGGTAATATCTGCAGCAGGGATTTGTCGGTTGTACGTCTGGAGAACTATTGCGTCAGTAAAGGAAGCACTTCGAGAAGGAGTCAATGAGGACAGTGTCCTCTTTGCATGGAGGGCTCTTCTTGACGGACTTGATATTTTCGAGACAATAATTCGGCCAATATTGCGCAGGTGCGCAGAAAATCTTCATTTACTAAGCCAGGTTAATAGGCTGAATTGGTACGAGACATTGCTTCACTACTATCTAGGGATATTAATTCTCGTCGATGCCGTCGAGGCAGCTCGCCGCTCAGATTTATTGCTACAGCTACCCGAGATAAAACTAGAGGCTGAAACTGAATATTTCAATATTCTAAAATTTGGCCTAGAAAACACGTACAGTGTACACCCGCCCGAAGATGGATCCTCAGATTTGGAAGATATCATCAACACATCATTTATCGCCATTGACCCATATCCCCACCATATGGTTGCTTCTGTACAGCTGATGAGCAAGACAGTAAGACGAAAATATAACCAAGGGGATATTACTTGCAACGAATATGCTCGTCTTTCGTCAATCTTGCTCGAAGCTCTTGAGCAGCTACCTCAAACTTCCAAGTCGGTCTGTTTGGCACGGGACAGCTTGCAATTGTCACTCCAGCCTAGACTTAGCACTTAGAAACTTCTACAGAAATTTTAATGCAATAAAAAATACCATGCAACCTTAATTCAATGGGGTTGAGAAAGAATGTAGATGTCTTTCCACCAATCACGGCTCAGGCTAGATCTCCACCACCGAATCTCCGCAAAGCAACAATAATAATACTAGCTCTCCTCTCCTCTCACCTTACATCTTCAACAACAAACCTCCACGACCAACACAATTAACACCACAATGGACCCCGACACACCGCCTCCCGGACCCGCTCCCTCCGCATTCAACTATATTCTCTCCTTCATCCTCGTCGGCATCGCCTGGGGCTTCACAACGCCCTTCATTCGCCGCGCCGCAGTAGACTTCAACAAACGCCAAGAACAAACCAGTACAACACAACAGACCGCGGGAAACCAACCCAAAACAATCCTCGGGCGCTTAAAATCTCTTTTCTGGACGGTCGTTAACCTCCTCCGCACGCCGGCGTATGCGATTCCGTTAGTCTTGAATTTGACGGGCAGTGTGTGGTTTTTCCTGCTTGTTGGGAAACATGGTATGCTTTTCCCTTGCTTATGGATGGTTTATATGAATGGAGAAGAGGGACTGATGAGTGTTGGTAGAATTATCGCTTACGGTCCCAATTACGAATTCGACAGCATTTCTATTTACTGTGCTTGGGGAATGGTATGTGGAGCGGAAGGTGATTGCGCGGGAGACATGGTTGGGGATGGTGCTTGTGCTGGGTGGAATAGCGTTGTGTGTGGAGTCGAAGAATCATGTTTAATGGATGATCATTATTTTTTAGATGGAGTTGTTAGTTGTATATAGGTATTGGTTTAGTATAAATCATCGATTCATTCACAGTTGATATCTATCACCAAACTAATTCATACAAGCCGCAGAACAAGCAGCGCCAACAGCATCCAGATACAAAGCACCAGAGTATGGGTATACAGCAGACCCAGACATAATACAAAGATAGGAAAGAAAGCACTGTTTTCATGGCATCATGTCGTGACCCGTACCAGCCCATTATATGATATACTCGATTCGGCCATCACGCCGGAGTTATAACATATACATAGGTGTTGACAGTAGGAAGCAAGAACTAATAAACATTGGATTAAACTCCGCGGAACTAGATTCAACGTTAGCATGTTGCATTATTAAAAAAGGGGTTAATCTTACCATGCGCACAACCAAGAACCACATCGCTCCAAAGAACTTGATAAGAGACAGACCAGCAACACTCCACAAGATGACAGACATGTAAATATTGGCCCGCTTGTTCTGGGCGTCAGTTGCATTGCTGCCGTTGTCAAAAGTTTCCAACCCAGCAGTACTCAGTACAACAGCGCCGAGGGCAAAGTTGCAAAAGATCCAGATCAAGACAACACCACTTCGGAAGCCCTTGTAATAATCCTCTTGTTTCTCTGCCTCGGAGACAATGCGCACTTCCTTTGGCGGTTTGCTAGCAAACGCAGACAATTCGAGATCGTATTGCGCATTCAAATCGCCACTGTCTTGTGGGATATTAACATCGACCTTTCCACCAGGCTTGACATTGGCAGAGGGTAGTTTTTCGGCTTTGTCGTCTCCCTTTGTACCCCATGTAACGTCGTGAGTATTGCAAAATGCATAGACGTTGAGGACATTTGTATATGTTGGTGAAAGTAATATATATTGAATGAACTGTTCTCGTCAGTTTTTTGAAATGGTTGAAAATGAGTGAAAGGATAACTTACGCAAGTGAACATGTGCCAAGGGTCAAAAAAGACTAAGGAAGCAATAAACCACATCACGTATGTTGAAGCAAGTGATACAATGATGGTGAAGAATTGAGAGTTGGTAAATAGATCACTAAAGGTGAAACCATTATCTTTCACATCTTCCTGGATCGACCTGACAGTGACGAATATAGCCGCAAATGTAAGGTAAATCATAACGATCACCCAGAAATAAACCATAGTCATGTACCATTTGTTCGAACCTTGCGGCCGATTGCCTAGAGACAAGATAAAGCATGCCACAAGGGTGGACAGATAGATCCACTCAAAGACGACACCCAAGACTTTACCCGCTGTTCCTAAGAGGTCGGCTGAACCCAGGTACTGTGTTAAGATGTGGAAGACCAAGAAGAAATTACCGATAGCGAACCAGGAAAAGAGCATGTTGATCGTCTGAAAGATGAACTCGAATGCAAGCATGAACTTCCGCATGAAGCTGTGACTGCTCCTGCCGACTTGATAGAAGTGAGCAATTGCATATACAGCTGCGAAAAAACTGCCGTTCAACCAACGACGACGCTGCAGGATGAATTCAGCCATACGGTCAGGTACGTCAGTTTCTCCGTTTGAAGACTTAACATAAGACAGAAGCCAGCGACAGTTACGTTTCGTGACGATTTCAAAGCAAAGAATTCGATCTTCAGCCAAGTACATATTAGCTGTGAAAATTCCAGCATTTGCACCATGCATTTTTTCACCCGCGAAATACTTCTCCAGCGGGCCCTGACCAGTCTTGTCGTTCTGCAAGGCGACATAACGATAGGCCGAGAAAGCACCAGGCAGGACGGAAATGAAACCAAAAGCTGATTCAAGAGGCTTGTCCAGGATGTTACTCATCTTATATTCGAAATTTTGTGCCGCAACAAGCGGGTTGATGAGCTTTTTACCCTTGTCCAACATGACCTTGATCTCACCGCAAGCACCTCCGCACATTGGCTCCAAGTCAAACGCTCGCCAGAGGTGGTAGACAGAATCGCGGCCGGGTCGTGTACCGGCGTCGAGCAAGACACAGATATTTGGATCCAAAACACGACCAAAGGCCTGGAAGAACCACCGATGAGAGTTGATCTTCTTCTGATTCTTCTCTTTCAAACAAAACACCATCTGGACTGGAGTCGCAGATCGTCCTTTGATGCTAACTTGGGTACCCTTCAATTCCAGAGCCAATTGCGTTGTATACTCGTAAATATGGGCTGTCACGTCCTTACCGTTGACTTGTTGCTTGGCGATACCATCCTGATACACACCCAAGGCTGCGAGAACAGCACGCGTGCGAGGGTTGATCTTAGCACGACCATCACTAATAACACAAACCACGATCTTTTTCCAGGCTTCCTTTCCCCACGTCTTGCTGTTGCTTCTCGAACACATGTATTCGATATTCTTGAAGACACCGATCATTGTGCGCGCGAACAAGAATTCGTCTTCATTGTACATGGTAACGACAATAAACAGTTCTGTGTGTCGTGGTTTGGCAAACAGAGTCTGTCGGAGCGTGAATCGCTCGCTGTAGAAATCTGCTGGATCGCAAGTAGCAGCGGAATAGCGCATGTGAGTGAACTCATCACGCTCGGGTGGTTGCGCATGGGGAACTTGATTCAACAGCTTGGGTGGCACAGGGCAATCAAGAACTAAATTTCCACGGAAAAGCTGAACCTCTTTCACGGTTTTCCATCGCCGAATCGGCGCCGGACTCGGAGTTGGCTCAGGTTGTAAAGGAGGGTCATCAGTGTACTCTCCGGGCTGTTGGTAGCCCGGAGGCTCGAATGGGTTTGGGCCGTATGGGTTGTCGGATTGTAAGATTGGAACACGGTCATCTTGGTATGGAGAAGCGTTTTGGGGAGGATAGTTGGCTAGGTCATAATCATCATGAGGAGTTCCTGTTGGCTCGTACGGCTGGGTATAGTAGGCGTCATGATGTTCTTCCGGCCGTAACGTATATTCATGGGGGTAGTTTTGGGGGTAGTGGTCTTCGAATCGCTCATTATGGCCGTAGGAGTTGTTGATGCCTTCAACGGAATACTATGCGCACGTTAGTCGCAGCCTGATCCTATCAATTGATAGGCGTACCGTCGGTTGATCCAGCAACTCATCTGTTGAGGGCATCTGCAGTGGTCGGAACTCGGTTTCATGTTGGTAGGGATGTAATGAATGAGAAGATTGGTTCAGTGGACGCCCGGGCGACGGGGTCCGATTATCGAGATGATGGGGATTCATCGAGGGCGAGTGATTTCCGTCATCTGTATAAGGATCTGTGTAGGGTTTCAGTCAGCACCTGTAGGATAGGTGTCGTGGCGGTTGATGTGCCGAGCTGTGCAATTGCGACAATGATGACCAGTTTCAAAATTATTTTGTTTCTGGATCGACTTGAAAAGGGGTTTGACTAGGTAAACATCGTCTCAAATTCAATAGACTCAGAGGCAACGCAAGCTCGAAGACTTAGCGTTGAGTTCGTCCATCTAGCTAGCTTCGAGTCCTAGTAAACAAATACAGCGGAGCGGCTCATGCAGAGCAGGCAGAGCAAACAGCTTGGGGGACGATATAGCAGAAAGAGAATAGCACTCACCTAGACGATTGTACTGCGACATCTTGCAGCAGCAATAATATGCTTGAAACGCAGCCGAGGAGGAAGCAAAAGTTGTTGCGTAGATTAATGGTCCTTGGGGAAATTACTCTTGGCTGGCACGCAGTGAACGGAACCCGCGATGATTCGTCTAGCTAGGCGGGTCCACGCCGCGCGGTCGATATATGATGATGATCAACAGTAATTTGTATTTGTATGCGACTGTATGCAGATTTTTTGGAGAAAATCAAGTAAAGGCACAGCGCAGGATACTATTCAGAAGCACAATACTGCGCAGTTGTGGACAACGGGTTTCCTCGCAAAATAACAGTGATCGGGCAGGTGAATCAGCACCGCCGTCTGTCAGCGTCCAGTCAGATGTGAAACCCGCATACGTCACTGTCGACTGCGGTTAGGCGTCGGTCCTGTGGCTCTTCTTCTCGGTTATTTAAGACTGTTTGATGCATTTAGTAGTCATATCTAATTAATAAGAGGAGTTATTGGTTGCAAATAATACAAGCATGCAGCTGCTATAATTAGAATGGAGAAAAGGTGCTGCCTTGACCATGGTTGAAGGTTGGCAATGCGGGTTGATTGTCGGGCCAACCATAGAGCAGCCAATCACAGCTCGATTTCGCGCAGCCTTCATGTATGAGCCACAACCGCGCCTCGGCGCTGCATCGCCACTGCAGTCTGCCATGAAGCAGTATCCATTGTATAACGTCTGGTCTTAGTTTCGCTTACGCGCTTGGCGCGATACTGCGAAGAGAAGATATTCGTAGAGACATGTATAGGTATTCATATCTATCGACAGCCAAGCTATAAATCATTGACTTATTTCAATATAAGCCAGAGCTACGAGTGACAAGTCAAAACCCAGATACATAAGCTACGGTCTACGAATGGGCAGCATTGTTCTACAGCACCTACCTCTGCTAACGGGCCATAGCTGTGCGGTACGTGCACTTTGGATCCCATCACAGCAACAAACGTGCCTTGCATATAGAGCAGCACTGGGCGTTTTAACACCATCAGGTATGAGTCTGGAACAACCAGCTCGAATGCACGAGAACGCACATTGGTCTGTTCGGCAATGATTCAATTTTCTAAAGCTTCAAGCTAATTCGATCGAATCATTACCCAGCCACCACGCTGAAACGCCTTTTCCTTGCACTGTCTGATCGTTCCTGCGATCGACATGCTTTTGGGTATCTTGTTTCTTCCTTTCCATATCTCCCCAAATAAAATCAAGCAACAAGCACGATGCGACCACCAACTTCGGTGATCTTGCGCTCGGCTTCCTTGCTGACGTATCGTGCCTTGACAACGACGGGAACGTTGGGTAGACGGCCCTTGCCGAGGACCTTGGCGTAGCCGAGAGCGAGGAGATCAATTACGGGAGCAGTGTCTTTAGGGGCTCCTTCAGCGAGGTATTTGTCCTGGGTCTCTTGAGGAAGGAGGGTCCAGAGCTATCAACCATGAGCAAGCAAGTCCAATATAACGGGCATGCAGCCAAGTACAAACCTTGTCCAGATTGACGGTAGGTTTCCATTCGTGGTTGCGCTGGAGGTGGAAGTGGCGCATACCAACTTTACCAAAGTAACCCGGATGGTACTTATCCAAGTTGGTGCGGTGGTGATGCTGACCACCAGCCATACCACGACCACCGGGGTGCTTGCGGTGCTTTCCTACGCGACCGTGGCCGGCAGAGACATGGCCGCGGCTATTTCTGTCAGCAAATGCGTCAGTGAATTTCAGACAATGGACTGACTGTTTCCTGGTCTTTGTCAAACGAGTAGGCATTGTGGCTGTATGTCTATCGATTCGTGGTGTGAGATTGAACTGTCGTTGCTGTTGAAAGAAAAAGCGACGAGATTTGCCTTGCCGAATTGTTGTGTGATCACATGACACTCTGTCAAACAAGACAAACTGCATAAACAGAGCAAACCCGCTGCCTGCTGTTGCCTATTGCGCACGGACCACTCTAGCCGCCTATATAAACAGCACCCACCCTCGGGTCTTTCAACTCTTTTTCTTTCCTCTCCAGCTCTCTTTGCCGTATGGCTTAGATCAAGTGTAGTATCTGTTCTTTTCAGTTTAATCTCTGAAATTGTTCCGTAGGAACAACATTGATTATACCACAATTTGGACCTCGCAGCTGGGGCCCCTGCGCTCGCGTACGCCTTGCTGCATAGTGTCTTCGGTCTAGCACTACCACCGAGTGACGCAAATCCGCCTTTTTCACTATTTCATCGGTATATCCGATGGGCTGGAGAAGAAGTTTTCTCTTTTCTCTCTCTTGAAGTTAGGTTGTTGGTTAAATGTATATGTACATGTGTACATTCTAGGCTCTGGTGCTTTAGATAGGAGGTTGGCTGAGGCAGTGGCAGTGTTTTTGGCTCTTCGTGTTTGTTCATACAGGTAACAAAGCAACCATATTGAGTGTTTCCATCATTTACATTGAGTCTTCCCATCAGATTATGAACTCAATTTCCCAGTAACCTACTTCCATGCTCCACAATCTCCTGGTTATTAAACACCTTCTGCTCATTCCCATGTACTGCCAAATCCACCATCGTAGCCCCAAGCTCATCGGTTCCCATGATTAGGCTTCCCCACGCAAACTTGGGAATAGCAGCACCAAGCACAGCTCCTGGCTTGACAAGATAAACCGCAAATTCATTCTCGGCGCCATATTCTGCAGCTTCCAAAACCCGTGCTTCTGCTGCGCCTCGCACTCGACGTCCGTTCTGAAAGAACCACAAGCTCCGTTCCTGTTTGGCCTCTTCTGGAGGTGGTTCTGTAAAAGCGCCGCCCAGTTGGACGTATCGAAATGGTTTTGCCAGACTGGAAGGACGGGATTTAATGGTATTGATAAATGTGAAAGGGAATTCAATATCGACTTTCTCGTTCCCGTTGAATGTGCCCAGACACCAGATGGCAGCATCGGCTGTTTGCAGCTCGCTGATAGTAGGTTCGTCGTATGCGGTGAAGTCCTTGACTATTATCACCTTGACTTTTGGGTTTTGAGCCACGTCTTCGATACCTCGGCGCGTGAGAAGAATGATGGAGGTTATTGAGGGATGATTGAGACAATGGGTGAGTACTGCACCACCGAGTCTCCCCGTACTGCCAGACAAAACGACTTTCATGGTGAATTTGGATATCTCCTAATGAAAGATTACTTGTTATCATTGAGCTATTAAATTTCAGGAAAAAGTGTGAAATATGTTGAATATAATGCTTCCTACAGTGATTGTCGAGGGTGTTGAGCTGGATTCCGCATACATCCACCGGGGGCCTCGGACCCGTAGAGATACAACAGGCAGCAAAGCCGCGTAGCACTGGCTGGAATAAGGTGCATAATTATTGTAGGGCTATAAAATGGATCACTAAATGTTGAATGAAAGTTACTAGGGTAGGTCACGATGAAGTCTGTTCATATCATTGGAGCCAAGGTAGTATAAAATAAATCGCTGGGTATCAACCTCTCACCACCTCTATACTGTCTATCTCTTAAACTGAAAGCTGAATTCTTTACATGTCTAATAACAACTTAATTCTCAGGACCTGCCTTCTTTTTCTCCAAATATGCAAGAAACCCCTTCGAATAACCCACGGCCTGCTCGTAAGCGGTTTCAAATCCATGGATTCCGCCATAATATGGGTCTTCGATTTCCTGACCACCGCCGACACGTTTGTTCAGAGTACCGTCCGAATTAAAGTCGCCAAACAATCGCACCTCTGCAATATTCGCGTCCGCCCCTGGCGTTGTCGCAGCCCGCGTGCCTCCCTTCCGGGCCCCAGCAGCCACACTATCGCGCAGCCGCAGGAGGTCCCGCAGATTATACTGGTCCATGGCAAGAATGTAGTCAAATGTACGAAAGTCGTCCTTTGTGACCTTCCGTGCCGCGTGGTTGTAGTCCTTGATTCCATGCGCTCGCAGCGTGGTCATTGTGCGGTAGTCTGGAGGGTCGTTAACGTGGTAGGCGCCTGTACCAGCGGAGTCGATCTCGCCGATTAGGGATGTTCGGTGCGGAGCTGCGAGCGATCTGAAGACACCCTCAGCCATAGTCGAACGGCCTGTAGCTGGTCAGTGTGCATTCGTAGTTCCGTGACTGAAGGGGTTCGATTGCGTACAGATATTGCCCAGACAAACAAAAAGCACCGAAGCTGGTGCGGGGTTTGGTGGGCTTGCCATGTCTGCGCGGGGATAGGACGTTGGAATATAATATATGCAAAGGTCAGGACTAATTTCAGGGTAGGAGGAGTATCAATAACGACAGGAGAAAATTGAAGACAAAGCGAGAACAACACGGTGTCTGGAGTTATGGATAATTGTCGACAGCGAGTGTTATCGATAACGAAGAATCTGTGCCCGCAGCGAATCTCGACGATTCATTGGTCCCCCAGATGGCGGATCCATCCAGGTACAACACGCTAGGCCCGTTTCGTACTTTTTCAAGATGCAGTTTCATTCTAGACAACAAATGTCTGACTGGTATTAACACTCGGTTGGGACTCGCAGAAGATATTGAGGATTAATATTGTAATGTACTTCCTTAAATACTTGAGATACTACTCTCGTGCTGCCTACCATGACTTTGCGTTCACAAATATCTCGATGAATATATGCAGGTATGTCAATAATGACCTAATAATTACCCTTCCATAATGCATGTCAAACGGGCCTTCACCTCTCTTTATGTGTAGAAGCCTAGACTCAATATTCTGCCCAGTCTCTTCAATTTTCTCTCAACAAACCTATCACCCGTTTCATGTCCGTAACCGATAATGAATCTCAAGAAAAAGCATGCGTTCTTCAACCTCATCTGGAGCAATCACGTAATATTATTTCCAAAGCGTCATAATGAAGCTGTCGATGACCTTTGGACTACCGGATACAAGATCGAAGAGAATGTCCACCAGCAAGGCCCAACAGCGTTGACGTCATCCCAAGCATGGGCAACATACGAATGTTACAATCCCAGGTACAGCTGCAACGGAACTATCAAAATCTACATGCAAATACCATACAAAGGAACTGAGAGTGAGCCATGGGAGTCTAGAGCCAAGCAAGCAAGCATATTTCCCAACGACGTAAAAGCTGAACTCAAGGCTCTGATAAGACTGAACCACGCTGGCTGTTCATCTGCTCCACGTCTTCTTAACTGGAAGATGGACAAACAAACTGAAGCAATGCCGGTACCGGGAGGCTATGTGGTCTATATCGTCACAAAACAACTCCTTGGTGAACCCTTGACCAATTTGGCGAAGCTATCTCAGTGGGAGCGAAGATCCATTCTGATTGCCTTCAAAGACGCGTATATGTTCGTTAGTCTTAATTTCAGGCTTATAATAATGAGATAATTGATTAATCTATATAGGGAATGCTATGAATGCGGCATCGTCAGTGATGAGAAAAATAAAAGCAATGTCATATGGAACGAGAAGATGCGGAAATGGTTCGTATATGGTTTCATGCTTGATAACCAGATTATTGAAGTTTGTTGACTTTGCCATTCCTCTTTAATAGCTATATCTTGAGCTTTGCCGCCTCGCATACGGCCATTTTGCGGGATATATGGCAGCCGAATGTTTTGCAACAATGGGGCTTCACTTACAATCTTAGAACACAACCGTGGCGTCCATTTTACCCCAGCGGCTTTAATAGGTGGCCATTTTCATTCTAACAGGCAAGCATGAACTTAGTTACCGGTTTCTGGGATTATTTGTATTCTAGGACTGGTTGAACACAGAAACCTCGTGATTCCACACTTGGGAATATATGCTGGTCGGGGAGCTAGGGTGCATTTTTCTCAGACAAACTCAATACACTTCTAATATTTCCTAACCCGCTAACAGTACAAGGCATGTCTTATGGTACTATAGCGCAAACTCAGTTTCCAAATTGCTCGACCCCAAGAGTTGCATTCAACTGCATGGTCAGGAGATTTTTGCTCGTAATCTCCTCCTTCCGAGAGAGTAGCTCATTCACATCCCATTCAACCGTAAGTACCCTACCATTCAAGAACCGACTTCTTGCTGGATCTGCCGTCAGCCAGACTAGTGTCGCACCGGTGAGCAACGGGTCATTAGTTTGGAATCCAGCTTCCCGAAGCACGGAAGGAAGAATTTCAGTGTCATTCATACCCGGGTTCACTGCGATGGCAAGCACAGTTCCCGGATATGAGGCGGCAACGGTTGTGGTATAGTGGATAATAGCCGCCTTGCTATTGGAATAAGCGGCCAAAAAAGGCCACACACCCCAGGCGCTCGAGCTAGATATATTTATCACTCTTACGGGATCCTCGGCCGTAGCCCACGTTACTGCAGCCTTGAGAAATTGCTGGGTCATTGTGTGAGTGCCTTTGAGATTGACTTCCTGGTTTCACAAAGCACAATTGTTAGCCAGGACCTCTCTACAGAGTTCAATTTCACTTATGGTAGGAACATGAAACTGCGAGCTACTTACAAAGTTTCTGAAAAATACATCAGGATCTTGCTCATGAGGCTTATCACTGTCTGTAGTCTCGACCCCGGCGTTGTTGACGAGAATGTGGACCTGAGGATATCTGGAGTTGATTTCACGCCAGGCTTCGGAGACTTGCTCAACAGATGTAATATCTACACTCAGAGAGAGAACCTCAATTTTTGGATTTATCTTTTTCAGTTCTTCCTCAACACTTCCAAGTTTGGTAACATTGGTGGCGATAAGCACAATAGCCTTGACGCCTGCCTTCACAAAGGCTGGGGCAATACCTCTCGCCCCAATTCCGCGACTAGCGCCTGTCAATACCAGTGTCTTGCCATCGAGAGAATTATCCGCTTTTGTCGGGTCAATTGCGGGATAGACCTCCTGGTAAGCCGTTCTGGTAAACTGGCCTGAAGTAACAATCCAATCTTTGGGAAGGGCAGATAGGTCCGACATAGTGGAGGATCAAAGAAGTTGTCAAATTTGTTACCAGAACGGTATATATATACAATTTATTAAAAATAGCTTGAGTAGAATCTCAATCTTCATGGGTCAGGAGGCATTGAGATGTACTTTTATATTCTCAATGTTGAGCTGAATTGTTGTGATTGGCTGGAGCCTTTTACGAGCAAGAATATTTTATTGGCTGGATTCTACGGCGAGCCGCGTACTACATTTCCCATTGGCCATTTTAAGATTAGTGGTATCCATTTAGTGTTGAAACTCACAGTTTGACATCGCCGTAATTCATCATGCGTCCTTGTCTTATTATTCATTCAGTCATCGGTGGATCGATTAAAGGTCTTGCTATACCTCAGCCTCTTGGACACTGGAAATTTCCGTTGCCAGATTAGGTACAAGCCGGATGCCATTGAAATACCGTAAGCTGCAGAAAAAGATCGATGCCCCCTCGAAGGCAACATTGAATGGCTTAGAAAATGATGCTGCACCATCGAAACGTTCGCGTGCTCGAAAGCCAAAAGTCCGCAGTGGCTGCATGACTTGCAAGATTCGCCGAGTAAAATGTGATGAGGGGAAACCCACTTGCCAAAGATGTAAGTTTACTCTCCGGGCAAACAGGCAGTTTAAGTAGCTGTCAAGGGTCGGCATCACAACATGGCACATTTGACATTAGGCGTACAGGCGAGACATTTGGCTTAAAATGCGACGGTTATACCAACCAATCAGCACGCATATCTGAACCTATCGAGATTTGCAAAGCCGTTCTTCTAGGACGGCCTCTCTTACCCCGTCGGAACCCCCAGTCGATTATTCTTGATCCGCAGGATGCTTTGTATTTTGATCTATTCCGGACCAACTTAGTCGATGATCTTTCAGGCTACTGTTGGTCAGACTTCTGGTCGCACGTAGTACTCTGTGAGAGTATGCAAGACACCTGTGTTCGAGAATCTATACTCGCAATTTCCGCACTTTGGATTGCTGTCACTCTTGATTCTCAGCATTGCAGACCACGGCAGTTGTTAAAGTATCAGTGGACTTCTGGAACCATGTTAAATAGTCATCACGCCACCGCCACAAGCCACTTCATCAAAGCACTTTCATTATTCAGGAACAGAGTCGAAACTGAGCCAAATAGCTTATCTCCGAGATTAGTGCTCATCACGTCAATTCTTTTTATCACATTTGAGATGTTACAAGGCAATACAAAGTCTGCCGACCATCTTATTACAAGCAGCATCAATCTACTCAGGGGAACTCTTCAATTGTATCGGCGAGAGACGGGTTCAATCCGCCTGACACCGTTTGCTGCACATTCTATTAATGATATGGAGGATATAGAGCAGTTCCTCCCTTTTTTATCCATAATGAGTGCATTTACACCGTTCTGCGCATCTCAATCGGCCAATATCGTTCTCTGGGATATCTCAAAGGGCCTCAACCTCCAAGAAACTGGTTATTTCAGCACCACAAAACTTCAAACCCAGTGGAATAAATTCTACACTTGCACTGCTGCTTTTATTGGACACTCATTGGAGATCCAAATGCAAGCTACCACTCCCACACCCGCCCTCAAAACCCGACAGCAGGCTATCCTCGCACAACTTCGCATTTGGAAGAGGGAGCTTGCCTCGCGCTGCTCAGGGGGTGATATTCCAACTAAGCGAACACTGCAGGTTCTTCGAATCCAACACTTGATGCTATGGATATGCGTGTCTTCATGCCTTGATACTACCGAGATGGCCTTTGACGAGCATGAGAATAATTTCCAAATCCTCTTAGAGCGATGTGCCGTGTTTCTGCATGAATCGCGTCCAAGATACCCCTTCACACTCGGCACCTCGGTTTTAAGCGCATTAGGGATAGTGATCGTCAAGTGCCGCGTACATAATATACGCATGATGGCAGCTATGCTACTAAATCAAGTTTCATGGCGAGAGGGTGCATGGGACGCTACATTGATGCTTTATGGAAAACTAGGCGTAGTTTTATTAGAGGAGCAGGCGCAAGCAGACAAAGATCCGATTTCTCCAAATCATCGCTGGACTTGGACTTCTGCCGAGTGTGATATCCAGAACGGGAGGCTCATTGCAAAGTATATGAGGGCCACTCCTGACAAGGCAGGGCAATCTGTCTATACAAAACTGGTAATGAGTCTTGACAATTGTCTCGATGTTTGTTCCGAAATCGGCTGTTTTGTCAATCATGCTTCTGATAGTGAGAGATTGCACACCATGGTATCTGATAAGGAATATAGAACTATGCAGAGACATTCGAAACCTCGTTCATGTTGAATTCCCTCTTTGATTAATTTTGCCCCATCATCGGGGGCCTTCAAATTTACAACATGACTTTTACAGGCAACAACACAATAGCTAAGGTGCTTGTACTATTATGAGATAAAACTAAAAATTATTACACTATAAACTAATGTTATACTATGAAATTGAAATATATAAGACTTGCCGAGATATAAATGCACAAAAACCGCCATTTTGTATGTGTATTGTCGTGGCCGGTGGGTCGTGAAATACGTTACAGCCTGCACGCCGACAACTATCTGTGAGTGCGTGTGTGATAGCCTGGAAGTGGAGGCTAGAAGTCTTATTTTGCTGCCTATGAAGAGGGGTTGCTAATTTTAGGCTCGCTTATTCGCTGAGGCATTGCGGCTGAAATCAGACACGGTTTTCAGCCCCCGACTAGCACAACTGTGTCAGCAGTGGATGTTTTAGAGCATCCGGATTTCAGAAGGGGGCCAAGTACTTATCTTCTCGAGGGACGAAATAATATTAGGAAGTTTTGGCAAGGCATGCCCTTAGGCACCCGTCTTATCACACTACATATAGTGGAAGCCGCCTTAGATGTTCATATCTCCATTAATATTAATAATATTTTCAGGTTCATGTCTCAAGTCAATATGCCTTCTTTGCTAGATATACCCACAGAGCTTCGCGAGGCCATTATCCGGCAGGTCCTCTATAACCATGACACGCCGCCTGAGACTCCCTCCAAATCTAATCGGGTTGATTTCCAAGACATCGACTACTCGGCATGGCGGAATAGTCCGCACGGAATCTATCACGAACAACGCAGCATGCACTGTCCCTCTAACTGTATATCACTCCTCTTGACCAATCAACAACTATCTGCAGAGACAAGGACAGTCATTGACCGCATGAAATCAACAACCTACGTTCTAGACGTCTCTGTTTTGAATGACATGGATCTTTTTCCTACCTGGCTATCGGTTCCATATATCACAAAACGGGTGTCCACACTCTACGCGGATGTACGTCTCTTTGGCCATATCATCTCAGAAGAAGTAGCCCGTCGCCAAGTTGGTGATGGAGGCAACTTAGGATTTCACTGGAGCTTTTATGCCTTGTTGGAGCGATTTCTCCGATATGGGCCAGTCGGTGAAAAGAAAGAAACGTCCGGTAGACCCAAGCCACAATTTAGGAATCTAACCTTCGACGATTATGACGTGACCGTTAAGTTACTTGTTCTTAACTTCAAGTCTGCGGAGCCTGAACTATCGTTTCCGCCGGATACGGTTACTTATCAGGAATGGATATCTCACCATTTCACGCATTTTCTAACTCGAAATCGCTTTCAAACTGATATTGATCTCGAAAGGTATACCACCCGCCCGGAGTGGCCTTCCACATTCCTTGTATCTGAGATCCATTCAATTCTTTGTATGAGTTATCATACTGCGTTTTACGGAAAAGAGCTCTATGAACGGATTGGAACCATTCGCATACTTGTGGATGGGGATTTGAAGCATGAGTTTGACCTCGCGAGTATGCTCGCTAGTTTGCGGTTTACTAGCCCGTCGGAGACGTTTGGTCATGTAAGCGCTGAAAAGCGAATACCTGCATTTTGGAACTGGAAGAAGCAGACACTCGCCAGGCGGGACCAACTAGGATTTCCTGTTGTTTGGCCCGAAGACCCAGAGTTAGCATGAGAATGTAAATACCCTAGGCACATATAAGTCGCCTCACTCTTGGACGCGACACGACGATATTTAGATAGCTGCAAAAATCTGGCGAAGAGTAGCGGACAGATAAGAAGAGAACAAGAAGGATCTGGATGCCCCCTTAACGCGTCGTCTACTGCTGGATGGTGTATAATGATTCTGCCTTGAACCTGGCACATAATAATACCAAACCTTATATAAGAGAGCAATATAAAAATAAAATTTTAGAATATGCAACAGCACTAAAAGCCGATGGTTACGAGAAACAACCCATTATAAAAGCTTTTAGTCGGTCTATGCAACTCTGGCAATCACCTGACTAACTTCAAACAGGACAGTCTTCACATCCAAGCATGCAGTAGTGTAGCCGCTTCCTAAATAGGAAATTGGGCCAAGTCTACTCTTTGTAGGAGCAGGCGCAGCTTAGGGCTAAGGCTAGGGCTGTTATTCACCACTCTTTTGCTTCTTTTTTTGTCTCCTTTCTTTTTCATCTTCGTTACGATTCTATAATTATAAAAACTTTTCGCTGTGTCATTATTGCCTAAACCCGAACACTTTATGGAGAGGTGTTCATTCTCGAGGATGTCGAAATGACGATTAAATCTCGACCATCAGTACCTATATCATTAAAACTCCCAGTCTGAAATTTCAACACATACTGTGTAGAGCGCTATTTGATAAGACGTATACATGTCTGACGCTGTTGACAGAGATGCTACTGGCAGTGGATTACTGTGTACGGAAGCCGGTGGATTAATGATCATTGTATAAATCAATTAATGTTTCGATTATGTCTTTGGAATGCGCTATTGAGTCCCGCCTGTCTTGCCTCATGATTGTGGATTAGCACTTTTTCAAAGTAGCTATTTCTCGACTCTGGCGCTTACGCCAATCTCAGTTTCGACAAGCTCGTCAAGCACTTGATCAAGAATGGCAAGCCGGAGAATATCGACACCAAGTCACGCCTCAGATACGATCACGTTTACATGTTCATGAAGGAGAATGTTGCCGATGCTTGTCTTGAGAAGGGAATCCTCTCACGCCCTAGAGAAGTCGCGAGCTTGAACACCTTTGTCCACATGTGAACACCACCGGTAATCAACTGTATTCCACCGTCCATTCTCTATGATGAGGTCATGATTTAAAGGCCATTACCAAAATCCACCAGCTTTCTCTTTTAAAAATCAACAGTCGTACTAAAGTTGATGGACTTGCTTCAAATATTTCTTCATCTTAAACGTCTCCCATTCAACGGGATCTCACTTCCACCGTACCTTCACTTTCATTTCCCTTAGCAAATTTATAAAGAAGCAATCATTTCAACGTCTGGCACTAATATTAAAATAAATATCATAGACATTGAGAGTGAAATAACATCAAAAAGCAGTATATCATTTCACTCGTTCATCATTATAAAAATGTAACAGCTGAAGCTGCGTCGGATAACCCGGCCGCATGATGTCACCCCGCCTTCAATCAAATAACTTTCCAGCACCACATGCATCAACGTCCATTCGATCAGCCACAGTACTCATCCCATCATCTCTGATATTATATCAGTGCCATGGCAAACACCTCAGCACAGACAGAGCAGCAAATAGCATCTCTAGAGAAACGGTCTATCGTGTCGAGTTTCCTCTTCAAATATCCCGACATCCACTCCCGCGCGGCCGAGGTCGCGTTGTTTCATCGAAGTGATAAAGTGCGGACGTATCAGTTGGGTTACTCTTAGATATGATATGGGTGTGTGGAAATGACTAAACGCGACAGGCATTATCTCGCTCCTATCTCGGGCAGTATCGACCGTCATACGGACGCCTCGCCCCTTGACGCGGCGTGGAGAGAGCTTAAAGAGGAGACGTCATTGACACCGGATAGTGCCAAATTATGGCGCAAGGGCCGGCCGTTTACCTTTCAGGATTACTCGGTGGGCAGGGAGTGGACGATTTACCCCTTTGCGTTTTTACTCAAATTGCAGACCCGTACGCGCAGGCATACGGTGGATGAGGAGTGTATAGCGGGCGATGGCGAGACTGACGGAGTTGTGCTGGATTGGGAGCACAGTTTTCACAACTGGTATGACCCGGATGAGGTTCTCTCGCGGTTGTTAGAGGACGGAGAGGAGGCTAGGGTGAGCGGGCAGAAGCTAGTTCCGAGAATCGCTGATTCTCTAATTCAAGTTTATCCTGAATATGAGCTCGGTCCTGTAGCGGGGAGGAGGTTGAGAGAAGGGTTGCAGCAGCTGCAAGATGACCACGAAAGCGGAGCACGGGAACTCACTACGATAGCTTTGAATATATTCCGAGATGTTCTAAATGACGTGCGTCCCTCTGACTCGGATGCGGTGGGAACGAATTGGGAGGAGTGGTGGCGAAAGGCGCGACTGACCGCCTGGCATATCTGGATGAATGGACGAGAATCTATGGGGGCTGCCATAGCGAGTGCACTGCTGACAGCGCTGGCTGAACTGGAGCCTCTGTATCGCGATTTGCAGCCGGATGGAGAGAATGTAGACCGGTTGATCGACGCTCTAATCGAGAAGCGCAGGGCGATGACGACGGCGTTGTCTCAGGCGTTTACGGTGTACGTCGATGACGAACTGTGGGAGTATCGAGACAAAACGACATTGAAAATTGTCAGTCTGTCAGCCAGTTCAACAATAAGAGAGTCGATCCTGCAGCTTCTTTCAGCGCTGGCTGAGGGTAGGATCCACACTGTTGTGGCTGGGGGTAGGATTCGCACTGTTGAGCTACGCGTGTTGGAGTCTCGGCCCCTCTTTGAAGGCGTCAGTCTGGCGTCAGCCATCGTCTCGTCATATGAGAAGTCACGGAAAGATAGGGAACATGAGGTTCAACTCCACGTAACGATATACACGGATGCCTCAGCAGCGCTGGCATGCACAGGCGTGGATATGCTGCTCCTGGGGGCGGACCGCATTGCAAAGGATGGGGCGGTGAGTAACAAGACAGGTAGCCTGCCTGCCATTCTGGCAGCGAAACACGTCGCCCCGCGCAGCAAAGTAGTCGTGCTGAGCGAGCTGGACAAGGTCGCGGATCCTGACTACCATCCGGCGGTAGAGAACAGCGATGTAGAGGAAGTCATGGCAGCATGGAGGAAAACGGTGCGCGAAGAAGCACTAGGCGTTGTCGAGGCGGGAGGGGGGAATGTCCCCGGTCGCGGAAGGGTCGAGGTCAAGAACGTCTACTTTGAATGGGTTCCGCCAGAGCTAATCGATGCTTACATTACAGAGGAGGGCATCCAGGGAGAGGAGAATATTCGGCAGCGGTCGCAGTGGATTGACAAGCAGATTCACCGGTTTTTTGACGACCTCACAGAAGCCTCTCAATCCTCTATGAGTTGTAAGTACTGAGTATCACCAGGCCAACTGGGACGCAATGAGTCACCCAAGGCAATAGTGTGCCATCAGTCAATAATAGTAAGCGAGTGGCAACCCCCGCCGTGTCATGGTCATTACTGGCACTGTTGTTATTATTAATAATGATCGATCATGGATGAAACAGGTGACGCAGCCACCGCCAATCGCCAATCGCCAACCGAGGGCAGCGCGCCAGAGCCAAATATCCTTGACACCAATACATATAGTCATATATATATACATAAGTATACAAATATATACAAATATATACCATATGGATGTATCTGTATGTATTTAATTAATATATTTAAATGTCAAATAGATTAAGCCACTATTGAGGACGTGTATTGAGAGTCCGGGGGTGGAGCAGAGTGGAGCGCGGTGGAGCAACCCCGGACTCTGGCTCGACTAACCCCCAGACAGCGGGCCCACAGTGCAGGGTTCGTCCACCCAATCCGTATGAGCGGCAGCCACCCTTCTTGCCTACTACGTCGCCGGGTCATCCAATGGCCAGGCCGGGCAGCCAGCGGACAGCCAATCCGGGGGTGCCGGCCATGCGTGGTGGTATGCTGGCTGCGCTTCTGCTATCGAGTCGTCATTGATTGGGCACCCGCCCTCCCTCGCCCTCCCTCGCCCTCCCTCATCCCTCCATCATCGTCTGACCCCTCTCCCTCGCTGTATAAAGGGGACCGGCTGCCAGTGGCGTGACTTGCTCCTGTCCTGTCCCTCTACCACAGTGTACCTGTGATACTGTCAAGAACCTCTCCACTCATCATCTCAAGACCAATATCAATCTCATATCAACCTCAACCTCAATATCAATATCAATATCAATCAGACCCCGGCGGTCCTTTCAACCACACGCATCATCATCCCATCCACCAGCAAACATGTCCTCTGCCGTTGCCTCCCAAGCAGGCCAAATCCTGCGCGAGATCTTCAAGATCCCCAGCCGGGCCCGTGAGCAAGTCGGGTCAAGCTGGCGCAGCCGATTCTGGCAGGCTGGTACGTTCCTCCCCTTCATACCGGCAGCCCAACCCTACCCTGCCTGCCTACCCTTCCCCTTATAGTCACGAGAAGGAAGAGACTAACAACCAGCAGAGAAATCTCGCAAAGAACTGCTCCTCACATCGCTCAACATCCACCGGCCAATCTGGATCGTGGGCACGGCCGGCACGTATACCACCGCGTATGCCGGGTATCTGGCGATAAAGTATATGAGGAGAATGAGAGCGTAGGCGAGCTCCTCACTATCTAAACTGTGTTGACAGTGTGGAGCGGGTGTATTTCTGTTTATTGTTCTCTTTGTTGGTGTTGTCTTGTGTTGTGTTTTCATATGGAATATTGAAGATTCCCATGCCTGGCCAAGTGCCCAGCCTGCTCTATGCATTCCCTCTAGTCCTAGATGTCAACTCGACTGAGAAGAATCGTCGGTCGCCTGTCGGTCGATTAGCGAATACATACTTAAATCAAATATACGTCCTACTGCTTGTATAAGTCATCAATCATAATTCATTCATTACCTATTTAGATTATAGCTAGTAGATTATTCCGGTGCCGTGAAATACCGCTTAAACCGCTCAATCCTACACAAATCCAGATCCACCACCACCGAATGGCAGTTCATCAGTAGTGACGGGAATCGCACCGCCCAGAACCGCAGATAACCCTCGGGCAGTCCGCCAATATGCGCTTTCAGATGCTCCGGCATGTCGTTGTAGTGATTGCGCTTGTTGCGAAGTGCTCGTAGCAGATCGAGCATGCGGGATCCTGTATATTTGCGCTGTTTGCCAAGGCTGTCTTTGAAGTCTCTGGGGAGGAGTTTTAAGAAATCCATGTCAGGACCCATGACATCCTCTGCTACGGACTCGAGCGTTTCGAGCGCCGCAGACGGAGGATCACGAGGCTCGAATTCGAAGTGGTCTGACACGTCGCAGAGAAAGTTCAGTCGCTCGGCAGCGCCCCAGAAAAATGGGTGCATGAGCACAGTAGTGGCATCCGGTCTATAAGCGTTAGTCGTAGTCACAGCTATTAGCTGAAGAGATAAACATACCGTCGACGGGGGTTCAGGCTGAGCATGTTGCGAATGAGATCATCGGCTTCAAACGCATAATCACCTAGCCGTTGCAAGTCGTCCAAATTGTAATTGCCCTTGACAATGTTGGCTTCGCGCATGAACTTGCCATCTTTGTCATAGGGATGACCACCACGCGTAAGAACGTAGTAGAAAACGCATCCCAACGAAAAAATGTCAATTGCTCGCGTTGCTCGTCGGTTGGTTTGCGGGTCAACCACTGCCGGCTCTGATGACTCTGTGTGGTTGGAGTGGCTGCCACTGATGGCCATTGCCGACTGCTGGTCCTCATCCACCAACAACTCCGGAGCCCGCCATCCAGAGGTACCAGCTGCATGCGCAGTTGTCGCTCGGAAAGAGCTTTGGTTGTCTTCAAGTTTCTTACACAGGCCAAAGTCGGAGATCAAAAGACGAAGAGCTGGCTGTGCACTTACGCTGCGGCCTCGTGGCGTCGCAACCAAGATATTCTGAGGCTTCAAGTCTCGGTGTACGATTTTAAGTGAGTGGAGGTAACGCACACCCAACGTGATTTGCCGTAACACGTCTGGAACATCCAATCCGCCGTTGACTAGTTGAGGGAAGTCCTGCGACCTCTCAACTACATCTTGCAATGAAGCAGGGCACAGTTCTAGGGCGATATACAAGAAACCAGTAGCTTGTTCACGGCAGTAGTATCGAATAACGTTTGCGTGGTCATCACTCTCTTGTAGTAAGCCAACTTCGTGTGATGCAATATCGTAAAACTCAACAAGCATACGTTTGACAGCCACATCTCGTCCGTCAAAGGTTCCTTTGTAAACAATAGTTCCATGACTACCATGACCCAAGACTGTATCTGTATAGACTTTGAGCTGGCCAATGCGAATGGCCCCGTCCATCTCAAGAATCTCGTTAGACACCTGGCGAGCTAGTTGGATATCTGGCTCAAGACCAGGTGGTGGGGCGAGAGACTGTATTTGTTCCACCACCGGATTCTCGGCCTTGCCACCTTCTGGTCCCGGCTTCGCTTTACGCTTATGAGACTTGCCCCCTCGTTGACCTCGTTGGCGTTTCTTCTTCTTCAATCCTGAATCTTGCAGGTTCAGCTCATCCCCTTCATCATCAGGCCCTCGAGATGGCTCGCGAAATCGAAGCCGAGGTGTTGAGTCTGGGTCGGGCTGTTGCGAAGAACTTCGAGTTCCTCGGGGAGTTGAGTCTCTACCGATAATTTCTGGATCATCGATCTGCACACGAGCTTTCTTCGGAGTTGCTAGCTCAGCTTGAACGCCTAGTGGATGCGACCCTTGGGGATACGTAGTGGTAATCGGGGATGCAGGAGGTGTCGAAAATTGCTGATCATATCCATTGAGAATATTCTTCAAATCAAGTTTCTGCTTCAATTGCTCCTGGAAAAGACCTGAATTGACGTAGATGAAATATCCAAAAAGAGCAAGAATTACCAGAACAACAATATCAGTTCTATTTTCCCAACCAGTGCGAATAATAACACTCTGACGAAGGGCTGGCGGAGAAGCCAGGTATGACGGAGAGCTAACCACATCTCGAGGAGTGCCATTGGGACCACCGCCAATTGCTGATGGGCCAGTAACACTATGCATACTTCGCCGCGGGCCAATGCCGCCAGATGGTGTGTTGAGGGAATGAACACCCACCAATGCTTTCCGCTGACGCTGGAGGTCCAATGTCAACAACGAGTGACTGTCACGGAAAAAGTCCTTATTGTAGCATTGTGCCAGCTCTGCACGGCCAGTTACGAGTGGATATGTCAATTCGGACATAGCAAACCAGCCACCTGTCTCGGTACAGTCGATAAAGACCCGGTGCTGCGAGTCGGCCGTAGTTGCATAGTCCGGGTCAGGCGGCTGGATCGGCTGGGACAATAAAACAAGTGGGAGAGGTGAGTCTGAAGAGTCAACATTGACTGGGCGTGCGACGTCGAAGACACGCACTACAGGACTGGAAAATCGCTGACTGTATCGAGCTCGTTCCATGTGAGAATGGTCGAAGCCGAGAACAACGCCATCATGCAGGCTATATATGTGACTTTGGTCCATCGTCTGGTGATATTGGCTTTGGAGGTCCATATCACGATTGTTCGGCGCCCACTCGGAGTACTTGAGCGTGCAAATCTCTTCTCCGTTTTCGGTATTCTGAATCCGAACGACGTATTGTATTCGACCGATGGTCAATGTGCCAGTTGGTGACTCACAATCACCCTCCCCATCCACTCCAGGCCTATCTATCTTGCAACCCTGTTCGGGAGTGATTGGTCCACGGGAGCTGAACACACGGAGGACATTCCCTGTGCGTGCGTCCACGGTATACGAAGTGGTTTCCTTTAGGGCGGTATACGTCACGGGTGGTACCGTTCCCGAGTACGGGGTCTCGTTGACCAGATCTTTCACAGTCAGACCCAACTGTTGGAGGCCACCTTCGGGGCCAGGCTGGAATATATAAAGACTGCCATCCCGACTCGGTTCGATGATCCAGAGAAAGTCGTCATCGTTGGTTGAGGAATCGGCGTCGAAGCTGGGAGACGAGCGGTTGTGATAAATGCTCTCGACCATTGGGCTACCGGGCACTTCCAACGCCCACCTCGGGGCGCCGGTCTTCCGATCTCGTGCGTGAATGGTGCCATCGACGGTCGCCAATAGAACAAAGTCCTCAACCTCCCAGTCCTGCAGGGACCGCGCTTGAAGCTGCGACACCAGGCCAGCAGTCGGGCTGCCAGGCTGGGCAGGAGGGGCTCGAACGGCATGGCTATCAGAGCCAGCCAGAGCCAGAGTCGCCAGGGCGCTCACATCGTTGTCCGGATTCTTCTTCACGTCCGGGTGAGTATGTGGGTGTGTGTCTCGAAAATAGGTATGCCGGGACTCGTCAATCACGGAGCGTCCGGTCGGGCTGGACGCGGTGTAGACGGACGATGATACGGCGGCATCGTGTTGCTGGGCGTAGGACAGCTGCTGCGGAGCTGTAAGGAGGAGGGAGGGGAGGAGGACGATAGCGGCGCTGGCCGGGAGCGACCTCGATCGACCAGGCAGCCGCCAGCGCATGGTGAATTAAGCAGAGAGACCGGTCGCGGTGACTTTCGGCGAGGGACTCATTTCATGTGCCAGCAGGAGTCTAGGGAGCCAGGAGGAGCGATGAGAGGTGATGAGTTGATGAGGTCGGGGACGACCTCGACCGGAGTTTGTACCCAAAAGAGGCGGGTCGATATAAAAGCTCGTCACTGGCGGATGAACAAGCCTGTCTGTAGGGGAAAGATCAGGGCAGTTGTGGCGTAGCAGTGGGAAGTACAAATGGTATGATGAAGGAGCGAGAAAGAAAACATCTATTAACTACTTGCTTATGGCGGGTGAGGCAGCAGGCAGGACTGGGGTTGGCAGTTGCTGGCTGGGTTAATCCACTCACGGATTTGTGGCAGCCGCCAAGCCTGATTGGGCTAGGCGCGGCGGGACTGGAAGGGCGTGGAAATGTTCCCCTTACACAGTGTGTGTATTATTACAGTTGCAGTCACACATACTGTATAGTGACTATATTTATTACTGACACAGCATGTGCTCTGCCATTGCCATTACTGTGGCTATGCTATGCTATTCTATTGCGAACAGCACTCTGGTCAAATGTTCCCAATCCCTGGCAGCTCGGAGCATATCTCGGGCTGTGCAACTCCCATTACCCTAATCACCATCACCGTTATTATTATTAGGTTATGTCTGACGTGTGCCCACCAGCATCATTCCCTGCCCACAGTAAATAGTGGTTACGTGGTCCATTGTCCAATGTCTACCACTCTTTGATGCATTTACGTGAAGTTTGAACTTTAACCCTCGTTTCAGAGCTCCACCAATAACATCCTCAGGTCAGCACCCAAATCCCTCTCCTACTCTCTCTGCTCTCAAGTACTAGCGAGGCGAGTCCACCGTCTGAAAAATTCAGTCGTCAGGTCGCTGCCGCTCGCTAACCAACACTGGGTCGTCGAAGCGCACAGCTGAAAATAGTGAACAATAATAATACTAGACCATTAGTGCTTTCAGAAGCGACATCTAATGCAAAACTTGCCACCAGACTATCGGCCAGTGCGCCAATCCCGTGTTTCACCCGCCCGGTCGATCCGCTGCCGCCGCTCCACTGGGAAGGGGCCGAATGTCCTGGTTGGATATTTACGCTTTGGTATTTACTATTCGCATCTGATTATCGGTTGATAAATACACAAGTAATTATGATCATCAATTCACGAGGGCTATATATACACTGGCTTTTAAATTCGGCTCCTATCTCGCTAATATAATCCGTCCCTAGATGCAAAATAACCCGTAAAACCCAAACTCCAGCAAAATGTTACAGGCAGAACCGTAGTCAACAGGAGAAATGCAAATAAATATATCACTATTCACCAACATCCTTGGCTATCCATATCAGCATCCCAATCCATGCCAAACCAAACACGCCGGTGAGAACACCTGCGCCTGCGCGGTCTGCAGTCCCAATGTTCATCAACCCGGCATTCGGGTCGAAAGGTGCTTCACTTGCGCCTGCGCCGGGGTTGCTCGTGCTGTTACCACCCGAGCCAGCAGTAAGTGGCGCCGGTTGCTTCGGGGCTGTGTAGTTCGAATTAGGCGAGCTGCTGCTACCATCGAAAAACACCAGGTTATTTGAGAAGATGCCGAGAACGGCCATTTGCTGTTCGATTCCTGACGAGCGATCCCAGGTCGGGTTATACCATTGGATTCCGCAATGCGCGTCGTCGCTGAGACCGGTGCACTGCTTGCCTGCAGCCACGGCTGAGCCTTGTAGCAATGGTTTGATTTCTCCCAGAGTGTATGGTACCAATTGTGTAGTGGTGGCGAGCCACGCTGAGAGAAACCCCTTGAAGCAGATTTGATTGCGATCGCACGTATCAATCGATTCGCACGCGACCTCGGACATGACTTTTCCACCGTACTCGCTGGGGAAGAATAGTGAAATGGTTTTGGCCAGGAGACCGTCGACCCCGTTTTTCCATTTAGTCCCAGCATTTGTCTGTTGCTGCGTTAGAACATGTAAGGGTTATTCATGTTGTAAGACCTACAAAGTTATACATATATGCCGCACCCATAAGATAGGTGCCGTAATTATAAGTCCACTGAATATCCCCGTGGTCGGTGCAGTCCGTAGCCGGCGTCGTGGTATCTGCAATATGCCATTCCGACGTGTTCAGCAACGGAGTCGTTGCGCTCCAATCCCAGATCTTTTCAGCCCAATCTGAGTATGTTTGATTTCCAGTATACCGAGCTAGTCGTGCAGCGATCTGGAACAGCGCACCGTTGGAAATCGCGTTTTTGATCCTGTAGCCGGACTGAATGGGATAAATCTGCCAGCGCAACCCGCCCTTGCACGTAGTATCATCCCACCGGCTAGCCTGCTCGTTGAATACAGCTTGTGCCATACTCAACCAAGATGGGGCATCGGCAACTGCCGGATAGTTGAGTTCTGCGGCTGTGATGGCAGCCAGGCCCCAAAAGGCTTGGTCGTCATTGCCCTGTGTCTGCATTAGTTTCATCTCAAGAGAGAAGGGTGAATGAAAGTTGTATGTTTCTCACTCACCAAATAACTACTATAGTTGGATGTAAAGAAATCCCCATTCGGGCCAGCTTGCCAGACCATACCAGAATTCACTTGTTCATTCCAGGTCGCATCGCCGGTCCAGTGCCAATATTGCATCAACCCCATAAACATAGCACCGCCTTCCCACCACGTTCCGTCGAACTTTCCGGGAATCAGCTTGCTGTCTCGGTCGGCGTAGAACGTCATCATATCGCTGGCCACGGTCGCCGCGCCTTGTTTGAAGGAGTTTGGGTCATTTACATCGATGGTGATCGCTCGCGTCAACGGAGCGAGTAGCAGTGTTTGTGACAGGGTCACGACGAGGGGCGTGAAAAGTTGCATGATTATATATTAATACAGCAAGGCCGGTCAGGTCGATACAGCGAATATATACACAGTCCGAATTTTAAAAATAACAGCAGGTTGCCGCAAAAGGAGAGGCGCCACCCGTCAACGTTCATTGATTCATAGCAGATCAACTATGATGTGGCGCAACGACTTTCAGCGTCAGAGGTAGCAGTCGAGTATCAAGTGCGAGGGAGTCTTCGGGGCGACTTTGGTGGTAAGTGAATCGAGTAAGTCGAGTGAGTCGAGTCAGGCGAGATGAATAATCTCGACCCTATGCAGAGTCGGAAGTACAGCCGCAGGTGGTTCATGTGTCCCTCGGCCATTATGCGGAGGATTAGCATTATTAATTTATTAGCATGCCGTATGGGGCATCAGAGACTAACGCTGAACGGCGTGCTGGGGCACGTGTGACATGAGATGTCTTGGATCTTGAAGTGGCAGTGAACGCTAGGCAAGCGCCAAGAGAGGGCTAGAGTCAGTCTTGAGCCCAGCCTCGGATACGTTGGAGGAACGAGCCCATCTGAAGCCTGACCCCGGCCGCCGCGAGCCAGTCAGAGCCGCGCCAAGAGCCGCCTCTCTGCGGGCGCCTATGGGGGGCTGAGAAACGCAATAAATCCCGCGTTGGTGGAATACGACATTAAGTCGTTAATTTATGTAAAGCGCATGTTCGTCTCGGGTGATTGTTGATATGTCCAGTCTTCCAGTCGCTATTGAGCCTGCAAGTATCGCCGATAGAAAGGTACTTGTAGGATATCTATAGTATCAAAATGCGAGCACTGTGCAGACATGTGCATATCAGACCGTTCTTTAACCAGTACCTTCTGGTTCCTCGTCATTCGGCTCCTACGGATAGTAAGCACGAATTGTTGCTAGTTCTAGAACAGCCTAGTGGAGAAGAAGAGTCGAGCTGGGAATTCAATGACATAATTTCCCAAAGCAGGAAGCGATGCTCCCCTTGACTAGCCTTCATCTTCACATCGCAGACTTCGATGCGCCACCGAAATGTCTGTTGGCCGTCACGATAAGTCGTCTGCTGCCCTAACAAATCGTCAGCTTGAATTCTATCTAAGCAGGTAACCTGAGTTTTGAAGACATGTCAGATATGTAGTAAACACCCCAATCACTGCTGTATGATGCATCAACTCTGCACCAAGTGATGTTTTGATTGTCAGGTTATTGTTATCAGATAGGAAGTAGTGGTCCCAACGGCAGGGTGCAGGCGAGGAAGGTACGCTGTCCTGACCCTCCTTCTTTCCTTCCTCCGCTTCATAAACAACCATCAAGTTAAACTTATTCCCACTTCTATTCCTCTTTCTCATTAAAATACTACCAACCGGCGAGTCACCATACAAATCTATGAAAAGCGTAACAACACCTCGCAAACGCCAGTCCTGGGCCATTCATTATTGAACTCCATTCAATAAGCATCACAACGCAACAATCTCAAAAATCTCAAAAATCAAAAGAAACCCACTCCGTCTTTGGCGGAACAAACGGAAATTTCCCGTCCTTAAAGTACCCGTTCTGTACAAAAAATTGATATTGTTCTGTGATCTCTGGCGTGTAGTCTTCATCGCTACCGATGCAATCTCGAAGCGTGGCGGTTTCAGGCGGTCCGTCTGGGAAAAATATGCGTACCCAGGTTTTATTATCCTGCGGGTGAAGATATCGTGGGTGATTGTCCTTGTACTCAACCGGTCGTCCTTTCCATCGAGTCAACTTTTGTGTCATTGGATCCCGAGTCGTCTCGCCTGCAAGATCGGGAATCGGATTGAGCTCGCCTGGGTCAACTTTGATAACTGGCTTAGGGCCAAGTGGTGCTTTGGGGAGGTTAGAAGGTTTTGCTTGCGGCACGGCTGGTGGTGGCTGGCCAAAGCCACTAGGAGCAATACTAGGCGCCTGCGAGAATGGACTCGTCGTCTGAGCCAGTGATTGAGGTTGGCCAAAGGGCGAAGCAGTCTGTTGGGATGGCTGGCCGAATCCACCTCCACTTCCGAGTACAGGTGGCTGTCCAAACCCTCCGCCTGTAGATGCGGGCTGGTTGCTGATTTGTGAAAACGGTGACATGGTCGTGGCTGGTTGGCCAAAAGGGGACGCAGTAGAGGGTTGACCAAAAGGGGTTGCACCAGCCTCTGATAATGGGTTCACTTGTGTAGCCTGAGAAAATGGTGGTGGTCCCGTACTAGGCTGTCCAAATGCCGTCTTTCCTGGAACTGACGGCTGTCCAAATGACGGCTGGCCAAAGGAAGGTTGCCCGAAAGAAGGCTGTCCGAACCCCGGTTTAGCAAGGGCAGGCTGGTTTGATCCTAGTACAGAGGGCTGTCCAAATGCTGATGGCTGTCCAAACCCAGGCTTTGGTCCCCCTAAGCTCGATGGCTGCCCGAAAGCTGGTGCAGATGAAGGCTTACCGAGTCCACTAGGCTGTCCAAATGCCGGCGTAGATGAAGGTGCGGCAGGCTGCCCGAAGGGTTTTAGCTGACCAAACGCTGACGTTGTAGAGGTCTTCCCTTCTACAATATCGTTCCGATTCGGATGTTCGTTTTCTCCATCGAGAACGTATTTGACTGCGCCATTGAGATCGCGCAGTATCACTTGGATTTGATTCACCGCCTCTTCATGCAGTTTCTGGGCCTCTTCGACTGCTTTGTTCATATTTCCCGAGGCAGCAGCTTCATAGTGTCGTAGCCTCATCTCCTCGAAGCTTTGCTCGCGAGACGGTCCTCCAAAGAGTTGCCTCGGCGCGTTCTTGCCAGGACCATAAGACGAGAAGACCCATGATGGTAAATCTTTGCCTGGTGTGAGATCGGCTTGTATGCCTTCAGCTGTAACGTGGTAGCTGAAAAGTCACGTTAAAAACAGTTTCGAATGTAAATTCTTCGAAATTACTCACCTGATATTTTTGTCTTGCTGTAGCGGGGGACGTCCTGTTAGTCCGAATTGGTCAGCCACGCCCATACTCTTACTATACGTGATAATATGATAAATTTAATGACCCAAAATAAGTGTGCATTTCTTGAAAAATGTTACGCTGATGTTTAAATAATCGAATTAAAGAGCAGGTAAGAGACATGACACAACAATGGGCGGAACTTGCCTGCAGTCGACGCGGTGCTAGGAGCAGAACTTAGAGCACTGAAGCGGTTCGCTGACGAGCCGGCAGTGACCTGGCCTGGGTGCTCATTTCTGCATCGATCTGGTCGTCAAGTCATTAACAATGAAGCTGTATCGCAGTCGGGGATGTGGCCCGTACCTCCGTATCTGCAGCGACCTTGCTGGAAAAACACACAGACTGTCATTATGTCGTATTCATTGGGACCATAGACTCCTTGGGTATTTCCAAGTTAGATAGTGCGATTCATAGGAGTTGGTGGACAGTCGCGTGGAAACTGAGGGAGAGAAAGACGCTGTGCTGTCGAGGAAACTTCGTCAGGCTACGCGTCCTGGCTGCCTGCTGATTGGCTGAGCTTAAGCTGCCCTGGACTCTCACCAGAGAGCCTCGTGTCTATGTGCTACGGCTTTCTTTGACGTTGTCTTGGGAAATAAATTAAAGAAGCTTTTTTTGATTTAAACCTATTTTAGGCGTTATGAAGGGCATCGGTAGCAACATCGAGTTGATTGGGGCTGTTGACAGGTCAATTACATGTACATATATATTTTTCAAGATATCTACCTGGTTGATAAATCTGTTTGATGTACCAGTTGACATGCTAAATGATCAATGTTTAAATCGAAGAGAATATTTAAACCCAGAGAGTTAAAGAATCAAATTATCTCATTAATTTCAACATTAATGGCAATGGAAAAGTGAAGTTAAAGTACGCTATTTCATCTAGTGCTATGCAGTATTGAATGCGCCACCCAACGCCTCCCAGAACACCACTTGAGCTCCATAACATTTGAAGAGCTTTGCAATCAGAAACAAGAGAAATCGTAATCGTATATTTCGTCACACAAAACCTTTGCTATCGACACTCTGGCGAAGATCGTCCCAATTGATGCCATCAATCTTACGTCCGCCTAATGACTCCACGCTCGGCGGCAAATCTTGCATTTTACCACTGGCAAGCCTTCGCATCAACACTGTATCCTTCGCCCCCGAAAGCGCCGCAGCTCTCCCATTCAGTAAACATTCTTCAAACCATGATTCTTCTAGCTCGTCAAATGGCAAGTTGATAAGTTCCATTGCGCGACTGCCTCTCAACTGCCCGGCGGGTGTTTTATGAACAAAAACAACGAGCTGTTCAAGGAATTGCCGTCGTCGATCATGGTCGTATTTCCGAGCAAAGTAGAATGATTCGGTAATATTTGCGCGACAAAGCGTCTCAAAGTACGACTGCTGGACCTTTTCAGATGCGAGTGGTGGAGAGACTGTAAGGTAGTAGGCTATCGCTAGAGAGTCATCGTGTTTCGGTAGATTCTGCTGGGTCAGGACTGAGAGAATCTCGTCGGGAAATGTGGGAATGAGGGAAGGCTCTGTGAGGTACTCCAAGGCTCGCTGCGACTGCTATTAGTAGATTGCCCTGTACATAAGTGGCCAAACATACTCTGAATTCGAGCCGGTCTAGATGCCAGAGACCATCAATGAAAAGCTGGTATTTTTCCGGAAGATGGCACTCTCGTGTAAGCTGAATGAGAGCTTCATTTGAGCCGCGACAATCTCGAAGGAGATAATAGATCACTGCCTGTTTTTGGTGATCGGGGAACGACGAAGCGAGCACTTTTTCGTAGAGATCTCGAAGGGCATGGTTTGTTTTCGGCGGGTATGCTTCTTGCACTGATTCTGAATCTTAGAATTCCAATTGAACAATCTAGAAACGTATGTGGATCCAAACCTGACTTTACGCCCATTAGCTTGAGCAGGCGATCGATGAACAGCTGGTTTTGCAACGAGCGACGGTTCGCGGTGATGCGGTCGAGGGTCTTTTTGTCGTGGGCATAATTTGGCTCGAACTGGAACGTAAATTCGAAGGATTCCCACGACGCCATATTGCTGAAGCGGCGCAATGTCTCTTGCGCGACTGGAATAATCCAATATTATTTTGCCACTGGCAGCTGCGATCCTGCAGTGTTTGGGGCAATGGCAAGGCGGTGAGGAGCTTGTGCTGGCCAGAGGGAGGCAGAAAAGGGAGCTTTTCCTCTTTGGGCGCAGAATAAACAATGCGCACCCAAAACAACAAAGCGGCGGAACCTTCCTTCCTCTCGACATCCATACATCATACATCATATCATCCCCCCATCGCGAGCGACAGCATCTCGACATGGCTTCCATCGCCAGAGGCAGGCCGTCGCGACGCGCCGCGGCTCGAAAATCTCAAGTCGCCGAGGAAGTCCCCGAAGAAGAAGAATTGGGTCACGTCACGCCCACTCCCTCCGACTCCAACGTCGAAGAGGACGACGATGAGACAACACCTGTCGCAACGAAGATGCTCCCGCGACGAGGCGGGCGGCGAAAAGTGTCCGAAGCGCCAGCTCAACCCCCAAAGCGCGCCGCTGCAAGAGGTGGTCGGAGAGGCAGGTCAGCAAAGCCCGTGCCGGAGCCCGCACCGGAGCCTGAGCTCGAGCACGAGGAAGAGCCGGAGCAGCAGGAGGAACCATCGCAGATTGCTGAGACTGTGGAGGAGGAAGAAGAGGATTCCACGGTCATAGCAGCTCAGGAAGAGCCTGAATCGCCCTCTGAGAAAGTTCGGGCAGCTCAGAAGAGAAAGAGGGCAGCAAGTTCTCGTAAGAGCCGTGATTCAGCTACGCCTGTTGCAGAACTGTCCTCACTTCCTACTCCTTCTCCTTCAGCGTCGCCCGAAGCATCTCCGCGAACGCGCCGAGAATTCACCAGTCCTCTTTCCGATATCACCCAATCGGCGGTCAACAAATCCCCCGCGCCATCCAAGCCGGACTCCGGAGAGCAGAAATCGCAGATTTCCATCATCAACCCCATGTCAACGAACCTGGAAAAGCCAATGGACATTGTTTTGAAGTCTCGATCATTAACAGTTCCCACTGTAGAGGAGCCGACCGGCCCCCGTCAACGAATGGTAATCACACACCTAGTGCTTACGAACTTCAAAAGTTACGCTGGCAGACAAGTTGTTGGCCCTTTTCATGTCTCATTCTCTTCTGTGGTTGGACCAAACGGATCTGGCAAATCTAACGTGATCGATTCATTGCTGTTTGTGTTTGGTTTCCGCGCCAGTAAAATGCGACAAGGAAAAATTTCCGCCCTTATTCACAACTCAGCACAGTTTCCAGACTTGACTTTCTGCGAAGTCGAAGTCCATTTCCAAGAAATTATGGATATGCCAGGGGGCGTCCACAAGGTTGTTCCAGAATCGCAATTGGTAGTCTCACGACGAGCGTTCAAGAACAACTCGAGCAAATACTACATGAACGCCAAAGAGGCAAACTTCACTACTGTTACCACCTTTCTTAAAGACCGTGGGATCGACTTGGATCACAAGCGATTCCTCATTTTGCAGGGTGAGGTTGAGTCTATTGCCCAAATGAAGCCTAAAGCTGCCAACGAGCACGAGGATGGTCTTCTCGAATACCTCGAAGACATTATCGGCACATCCAAGTACAAAGCCCCGATTGATGAGGCTGCAACCGAGGTCGAAACATTGAACGACGTTTGCGTGGAGAAGAACAACCGTGTCCAGCACGTCGAGAAGGAAAAGATGGGGCTGGAAGACAAGAAGAACAAAGCCCTCGCCTATATTCGTGACGAGAATGATCTGGTTCTGAAACAATCTGCTTTGTATCAGATCTATATTTCCGAATGTGAGAATAACACCAAAGTCACAGAAGAAGCTATCATGCAGATGCAGGAACTGCTGAACATGGAGCTTGAGAAGCACGAAGGCAACGAGTCTGGCATCAAAGAGCTCGAGAAGGTATACAAACGCAGCGTCAAGGAATACGAGACCATGGAAAAGGCGACACAAGCTATGGTCAAAGAGATGGCAAAATACGACAAAGAAAATGTCAAGTTTGATGAGAAGAGGAAGTTTTTGGCAGGAAAGCAAAAGAAGCTCGAAAAGACGTTGCATTCTAGTCGCCTAGCAGCTTCTGAGTGCAATAGCCTGGTGGAAAAGCACGCATACGATATTGAGAAGAAGTCGGGCGAGATCGCCCAATTTGAAGACGAGATGAAAACTGAAGAGGAGGAGCTGTTTTCGATCCGAGAGAGCCTGAAAGGAAAGACGCAAGGACTTTCAGACCAGATTGCATCGAAACAAAAGTCTTTGGAGCCGTGGAACGCTAAGATCAACAAAAAGCTCTCATCTATTGCTGTTGCACAGAGCGAACTCGATATCCTCAAAGAGAAGAGCAATGCTGGCGCAAAGGCCCTCGAGGAAGCCCAGGCAAGAATTGCTTCAATTAAGGAGAGTCTTGCCAACAAAGAAGCAGACCTCGAGGAAAAACACCAGGAAAAGGGCCAGCTCGAGGATGAAGTCGAGTCCCTGAAAACGGACTTCAAGAAACTGTCTCAGAAGGAGCCTGAATTCCGCTCACAGGTTTCCAGTGCGCGACAAAAAGCGGAGGAAGCTCGAGCTAGTTTTGCCAGTACACAGAATAGAGGCAGCGTGCTGTCTGGTCTGATGCGTCTCAAAGAATCAGGACGTATTGATGGGTTCCACGGTAGACTTGGTAACCTAGGAACCATTGACGAACAGTATGATGTTGCGATTTCTACCGCCTGTCCAGCTCTCGATAATATGGTGGTCGATACGGTAGAAGTTGGCCAACAATGTATTGATTACCTCCGCAAGAACAACCTTGGCCGGTCAAATTTCATCTTACTCGACCGTCTACCCAACAGAGACATGTCTTCCATTTACACACCTGAGAGTGTTCCGCGACTCTTCGATTTGGTCAAGCCTAAGGAGCCCCGATTTGCTGCCGCCTTTTATAGTGTATTGCAAAATACACTCGTTGCCAAAGATTTACAACAAGCAAACAGAATTGCCTATGGAGCTCGGAGGTGGAGAGTGGTCACTCTTGATGGACAGCTTATTGACATGTCTGGTACTATGAGCGGTGGTGGTACACGTGTTGCCAAAGGTGGAATGTCCTCTAAACAAGTTGCCGAGACATCGAAAGAGCAAGTCTCGAAGTTAGAGCATGACCGTGACGATATGGAGAAGAAGCTGCAAGCATTCCAAGAAAAACAGCGCCAACTAGAGGTCTCTATTCGACAAAAGACCGAAGAAATTCCCCGACTCGAAACCAAGATCCAAAAACTAGCCATCGAGATAGAGAGTGGCAAGCGTAGTCTGGCAGACGCCGAGCGACGTGTCAAGGAGCTGAGTGTTGAACATAAACCCTCCAAGTCAGATGAAAGCCGAGCACGAGCACTAGAAACACAGAAGGCTTCCTTGGAAGAGGAAGTCGAGAATTTCCGGTCTGATATGGCTGGTATCGAGCAAGAGATCCAGGAACTCCAGTCCAAGATTATGGAAGTTGGTGGTGTGCGTCTGAGAAGCCAGAAAGCAAAGGTTGATGGCCTCAAGGAACAAATTAATCTTCTTTCGGAGGAAATCTCTAACGCAGAGGTTGCTAAGTCAAAGAACGAGAAACTTGTCAAGAAACACGAGAAGGCTCGTCTGGAGGCAGAAAAGGAGAGCGAGCATCTGAATACTGAGATGGAACAATTAGATGAAGACATCAAAAGTCAAGCGAATGATGCTTCAGGGTCAAGACAAAAAGCAGAGGAAGCCCAAGAGGTGAGAATCTGTGAAGATATTGTCCAATTCATTTATTAACCATATCTAGGCTCTTGAAACGAAACGGAGCGATCTCAAAACGTTGAAGAAGGAACTTGACGAGAAGACTGCTGAATTGAATGAAACTCGTGCCCAAGAAATCGAGATGCGTAACAAATTGGAAGAAAATCAGAAGATCCTCGCAGAAAACCAAAAGCGCAGTCGATACTGGGAGGAGAAACTGGAAAAACTGGCGCTACAGAATGTCAGCGACTTGGGAGAAGACCAGGAGGCGTCTGCGTTGCAAACATTCACTGCCGATGAGCTTCAGGACATGAACAAAGAGTCACTCAAGGCAGTCATTGCAGCACTCGAGGAGAAGACACAGAATGCTTCAGTCGATCTGTCTGTTATCGAAGAGTATCGCCGTCGTGCGGCTGAATACGAATCGCGATCGGCAGATCTGAATGAGGCTTTAGCAGGCCGTGATGCTGCCAAGACCCGGTTGGATGGTCTTCGATCAGCTCGTTTGACTGGTTTCATGGAAGGCTTCAGCACAATCTCTCTACGACTGAAGGAGATGTACCAAATGATTACCATGGGTGGAAATGCCGAATTGGAGTTAGTTGATTCTCTTGATCCATTTTCAGAAGGCATCTTGTTTTCTGTTATGCCTCCAAAGAAGAGTTGGAAGAACATTAGCAATCTATCAGGTGGTGAGAAGACGCTTTCTAGTCTTGCCCTTGTGTTTGCTTTGCATCATTACAAGCCAACTCCTCTTTATGTGATGGACGAAATCGACGCCGCCTTGGACTTCCGAAACGTAAGTCTAATCCAATTCATGTTTAATGCATTAACTAACAAACTTGCAAGGTTTCTATCGTGGCAGCATACATTAAAGAGAGGACGAAGAATGCACAATTCATTGTCATTTCCCTTCGCAACAACATGGTACGTTCACCAATTAAAAGATTTTACCATCAAGTATTAACGTGCTATCCTAGTTCGAACTCGCGGCTCGTCTCGTTGGTGTTTACAAGGTCAATCACATGACCAAGAGTGTGACGGTGGAAAACCAAGACTACATCAACGGCCGTTCAACAGCAACGGCCTCGCAGTCATGAGACACGCATTTCTCGCGCTTTGCATATATACTGGGCCCTTCTTTGTGATTTCATGTTTATAACCCGTAGGGAGGTTCATTATGACGGACTGGGCTGTTTCAATTTCGGATGGGCTTGATTGTCACTGATGATTACGACGCACTTTTGTATGCGCTTAGGAGTTTTGGAGAATGCCTATTTATCACCTTGAATGAAATAGATGACTTTCATTGAGGTTTCCGATTGCAATTCATTATATTACGAACGCATAATATAAATCATTAACGAATGGCTTCGTTATATAATTGATTGAGAGATAAATAAATTACTCTGGTCATGATTCAGAGCACTCTCAGGTCTAGGTGATATCTGGGAGCCTTCAAATGTTGTGTTGGATGGATGGAATTACCGCGTCAATAACATCACGCTGCCTGGCATTACGTATAAGCCATTCGACCTAACGGATCCCAAGTATTTATCTGATTAGTGATAATCATTCGATCCTACGAAAGTGAAATGGCTTTCTTGCCTTTACCATTTTTTTCCGTCATTTTGGCTAGTTCTGTTGAAGGTAGTATAGACTGTCGCAACCGATCATAAACATCATCATCATTGTCATAGCCCATACCATACCCAGCGAAATCCGACACCAAAACAAGAAGCAAGTTATTTAAGCAGCAATGGTAACCTCAACCTCAACACCAGCCTCAATGTTGATGATGATCTGTTTGACGGTCTCGGTAGGGGCGTGTAGGCTGTAGTTATTGCCCGTTAGTAATATCCCACCGGTATTTTGATGTTGAAACTCACTCGATGAGACGTTTGTGGATGCGCATCTCGAACTTGTCCCAGGTCTTGGAACCTTCACCGTTGGGGGTCTTACGTGTGGAGATCTGGAGAGTCTTGGTGGGAAGACGGACTGGAAACGGACCTCAATTAGTTGTGTCGGCGTGAAATAGCATTGGTGTAACTCACCAGGTCCCTTCACGGTAAGAGACTTTGTCTTGGCACGCTCGATGAGCTCCTGGCACACTTTCTCGAGGGAAGCGACCTTGCGAGAGGAGAGGGTGATTCTAATTTTGTGCACTTTCTATAGAAGAATTAGCATATGTTAACATTAATTCTGCGTTATAAAAAATTAAAAATTCGACATACGGGACCCTCGCCGGCACCAAAGTCCTTCTCGCCCTTTTGATAAGACATGATGATCGATGGGATTGAAATTGAGTCGATGAGGTTGGATGCCAGTCACGACCTGAATGCGGCTAATTATGGGTTTCATTAATGTGATGACAGTTGATGTGGCGCGCCCTCGGTTAGGGCGGCGCTAGGCTCCATGCGGCCATGCGCAAAGGGAGGAGGATGACTAAGTCGATGGGATGCTCTCTGGCCAATCATGTGACAACCACTCATAATGTGTCATTATTTGTGCTCAGTCGGCGAGGTCTTGGTTGTTGACATGGCTAGCCGTGTAATTTCTGCATATAACACCTAGAGCGCCGCCTTCACTTCCTCTTTACTGCAGAGAGCCTGTCTATAGTGTCTCCCAGCTATGCAGTTTCCTCTCGCTGTGCCCGTCCCGCCGTTTGCGGTGCGAAAAGCCATTCCAAATAATCAATGGGAAACCATACTGGACGCATGGATTCTTCTCACAGAGCTGCGTATACGCATTTCCCAAAAAGATGACTTTGGCGAGTGTGCCAAGACGGATCGCTTCAGCGTTTCGTTTCTTTCCTCGTACTTTGCTGCTCACAACGATCCCCGGCTGCATGGTGCGGGGCAGAATAATGACGACAACAAGAAGGCGCGAAGATTACGAAAGTCGGTTTTTCTCCTGACGAGGAGGTATTATCTTGAAGTGACTCCTATCCCTGATGAATTGTTGGACTGGAAGCTGCTCGGTGATCTGAGCGAGTGTTATCATTCCAATTCCGCGCTCAGAGAATTATTATCTGAAGTGTGGAATCGTTATGAGCACAAGGCCTCGACAAGTGTCGAGAAAGGGAAAGATGAAATCATGCAGTTGCTCCAAAAAAGAGGCTCTGCAACAGCTATATCTGACTTGATCACCGAGCTTCGGAGGCTTACAGTTCTGGCCTCCTCGCTTCCTCATGCTGGCCACGTGTTGATGACTGGGTCTGATTATTTAGATTCTCTTCATGACGCGTATAAATCTAGTTTATCCAGCAGTAAAGATGTGAGTAGTATCGAGGCTCTACGAAGTGCCCTTGCTGCAAATGCCTATGTAGGGCTTACCTCATTGCTCAAAGCGTCAAAGCCAAACCTGTCCCTTTTATTGGACCATTTGTTTACACTAAAAGTTTCCTCGGGTGTAGGTTCTTCAACGAAAAACAGCAAGACGCCTGAACTACTGTCAGACCTTGTATGCAGTACAGACTTGCTAGTGAGAATAGAGCGTTACTTGGTCTCTGCACCGCAGAAACGTGGCCAGGACCTTGTGAGTTCTTTGAGGACATATCAACAAGAGATGAAGCACCTTCACCATCGCCATCAACGGCACAAAAAGAGAAAAGATAAAGGAAAAGGACCGGCAGAGGAAACATTTGGAGGAGAGAGTGTTTTGCATGCTCATAGACTGTCGTTGATTACTCAAATCCAGGAGCTTTTCCCGGACCTCGGTGCTGGATATGTTCTACGACTATTGGACTTCTACAATGAGGATATGGAAGCAATCATCGCCCACTTACTGGAAGATTCCTTGGCTAATGAGCTCAAGTCCTTCGATAAGTCGGAGCCTCTTCCCGATACCCACATTGCCCATGACGTGATGGAGCCTCACAGCACCCCACCGGAATATTTCGAAAATCCAAATTTCATTCGTAATATCGACATAAAAGAAGATGAAATTATTCAAGCCGCTCGATCCAAGCCGGGTGAGGGAGGAAAGAAGTTACATTTCGGTCGCGCAAATGCCGACTCTACAGCCGACTCCATTCTCGCAGACCGAAGCCAACACGCCACCAACAAAGCTGCTATCCTCTCTGCGTTGGCGACTTTTGATTCAGACGACGATGAGCGAGATGATACATATGATGTAGCAGACGTTGGTGGAACCGTCGACACCGTCGTCACGGGCACAGACGACGCTGAGGGTGAACGAGAAAAGCGTAATCGTGCTGAAGAGACAGACGTGGCTTTGTATCGCATTTGGAAATCGAGCCCGGCACAGTTTGCGCGAGACTCTGCTACGCGTCGGTCGCAAATGCGGACGGCCCTTAAGCGGGAGACTGGCATGACGGACGAGGCCATCGAGGGATGGGCGTTGATGCTACAAAGAGATCCTAAGAAGCAGTCCCGTCTCGAGTCAAGGCTAGCTCTTGCTGGAAGTTCTAGCGGTCAAGAAGCGAGAGCAGCGTCTCAGCCCGATCTACCATCTACAGCTTATCGAAAGCCAAAAGTTGATGGGAACGCTGAGGATGAGGATGGCACTAGTGATGCAGATCGTTCTGTAGGCAATATGCGTGGTAGAGGCAGAGGCGGTCCTCTATCTCGCGGCCGCGGTGGCCCGAATCGCGGTGGACGCGGAGGAGGTCGTGGAAGAGGTGCAAATCATCGACGGCGAGACCAACATGCGAAGAAGATGGCGAAAGCCGGAGCACTTCCTACTTGATATAGACAGCCATTGTCATTCACTATATAGCCAAACAATATAGACCGTCTATACCAGGCGTCAGAATAGGTTCAAAGGAAGTTTTATTGATCATGTAATGTATTACAACATGAATTTATGATTAATTGTTAGGGAATGAGATAGTATACGAGCATATGTAAGAAAATTCCGCCACTCTTGCTACTAGAGTGTCGGTTCGCTCCGTGATTGGTCAGTTTGAGCGCAATCTGGACATGACCATCGTTCAAAAGGGAATCGAAGGCTTCCCCCCGCTGAACTTTTCTTATTCTTGATAATATTCATAATATCCACGCTCAATCTATACTTTTGAGAATCCCTTCTATTAAGACTACTTAAATACGAAGGGAAAGAAGTTTTAGATATTGAGGCTCCTGTTTGTCAGCATACGCGTACCGCGTAACTATCTATTTTGGCGATATAGGAAGAAATCATCGAACGATTCTTGACGGTCAAGAAAAACACGTTTATATATATTCATTATTTTCAAGAGTTTTCAGAGCGACAAATCACAAGGCTAGGAAAATGGAACCTACCTCTGTGGTTAAAAAGGCTACCCCTTCATCCGTCTCCAAATCTTCTAGATTGCACAGTTCAACCAACGACAGAACCAAGCCAGACCCTTCTATCGACCTGGCTCTTCTACGCAAACCACTTTCACGTGTCGCCACGCATCCCACTCTCACGCCGTTTCGGCGGCGGGTCTACCGTACGCTCCTCTCTGTGCCCCACGGCCGCTGGACAACATACTCCGCATTATCAAACCATCTCAACTCCGGGCCACGCGCAATCGGGAATGCCATGAAAACCAACCCATTTGCGCCGGCTGTGCCGTGTCACAGGGTGCTGGCGACGGACCGGACGTTGGGCGGATACAAGGGCGCGTGGAATAATGGCGGCGAGTACTCGGTAGAGAAGAGGAAGTTGTTGGACGGCGAGGGAGTTGAATTTGATGAAAAGAACAGGGCGAGAGGGGATTGTTTCGTTGATTTTGTGGATATGGGAAGTATTTAGGCTTAATTCCTTTCGCGTTGGCTGTCTGATTGGTCTGTTAGTGATTCTTGGAGATGCAAACTGTTAACCGTTCAAAATATAACATGATATTGAAATGTATTATTGAAGTGTAACTGTAAGCACGGGGAAGTCGCCGAAGCCACCGTCGATCCTCTCTCTTCCCCGCTTTGTTTCTCTTCAAGTACTCTAGTCTTATTCTCTAGGGCCTCGACTATAATGTTCACCAGCCAATGATTGATCCCATCGCGTTATAGTCTCCTCGACGGGCCGTTTTCGAGGCAAAAAACCTGGCGATCGTTCCCCGCCTACCTCTTTTCTGGCCACAAGTGAAGTCATTATCCCATCTACGCATGTCATTGCCCCGAATTATGAATATGATGAGGGGTATAGCGCGGCATAGCTCCCAACAGCTGCACAAGTCAATGCTCCTTGCAGGCTGTGGAATGTAACCTTCCAATCAGTCATTCGGCCATATAAAACTCCGCGAATCTCGGCCATGTTTACCAAACCGCGTGCCATCGAGACTGAATCTTTCGAAATTCGGCACCATGCGTTTCCTGTCTATCCTGACAGCGCTGACCAGCCTTCTGAGCCTGCGGGCTGAAGCAGCTGATAGTGTCGACTACTCGCAGTATGTCAATGCCCTCATGGGATCCGAGGGGCCAACGCCAGGCCAGGGTTTCGGTGGAGGAGACATCTTTGTAGGTGGTGCGCGCCCATTTGGGGTCGTTAAGTTTGGTCTCGACAGTACCGCTGCAAATTGGAGCATTGCCGTGCTCAACGGTGGATGGACGCCAGATGGCAATGTCACGGCCTTCAGTAAGCTTCAGCTAGCGCCTAGGTTAAGACACACGTTGAAATAGATACAGCAATGATGCACGAGAGTGGCACCGGAGGAGAGCCCAAGTATGGCATAATTCCTCAAATGCCGTTGACGTCGGTTGATGCACCAGTGAATATTCTCGACAATCAGACATACTCTCAGCCTAGAGTGAGTAATATTATCTAAAAATGTGCGTATCATTAACATGTCTAGATTGGAAATGATACTGCTGGGGTCGGATATTTTAAGACGAGCTTGCAAAGCGGTGTTGTTGCTGAGCTTTCGGCATCTCGACATGCTGGTATCATCACCTATTCGTTTCCAAAAGGACAAAAACATGTCCTAGTGGATGTTTCCCATGTAAGTCTTCATTATTTATACTCCAATCCCCGTTCATGCTGATTTTACTGTAAAGTATCTCCCTGGATCTCCGGGGATACAAATCCCCAATTCTACGTTGGAGGTGAAATTGAGATTAACGATGACGGAAAGTCATACCAAGGTTATGGAACATACATTGGCGGATGGAATAATGGTTAGTTCAGTGGACCGTGTTCCAGGAGTTTCTAACAAATTCAGGTGCCGCGTATACAGTGTACTTCTATGGAGAATTCTCCCAAAACACTAAATCTGCCCAAACGTTCACAGGAATCAACACAGACCCTATGCCACGGTATCAGACTTTAGCCAATGGAGGTATCCCCGATCCTATATACGGTAATAAAACCACCAAGGCAACCTCTGGACCTATGAATTTGCGCGTTGGGGCTCTATTTAGTTGGGATGACGGTGCAGCTGCTCAGGTTACATCTAGAATCGGAATCTCATTCATGTCTGTCCAGAAAGCCAAAGGCTACATTGCTTCGGAAATCCCGTCGTGGAGCCTGAACGATTCTGTTGCTGAGTCTGTGAAGGAATGGAATCAAGACGTCTTCAGCAAGATCCAAGTTCCAGTGGACAAGTCAGCTAATGTGACTAACCTAAGACTTCTATACAGCTCGCTGTACTTTATGCATCTCATGCCGTCAGATCGGACTGGAGAGAATCCTTTGTGGGAGTCATCAGAGCCATTCTGGGATGATTTTTATACGATGTGTAAGTGATGATTTGTAGCAACTATTCATAGCAGTCTTGATGACGTTGATTAGGGGATATTTTCCGCTGCACAGTTAGTTTCTACCATGTCTTGCAGCCAGCATATTATGAGTCTATGATCCGTGGTCTTGTTGATATTTACAAGTGAGACCATATTTATAACGCAGTGGCTAGATGCATAACTAACGGTAACTAGACACCAAGGATTTATGCCTGATGGAAGATCAGGAAACTGGAATGGCTTGGTACAAGGAGGATCAGATGCAGACAATGTCCTTGCAGATGCTTATGTGAAGGGGCTGCGTGGTGCCATCAACTGGACAGAAGCATATGCAGCCATGGTCAAAGATGCCGAAGTCATGCCTTACAACACATACGATCCCACAGATTACACAGCAAGCACGAAGGAAGGTAGGGGTGCGCTGAATGACTGGCTTGAGCTCGGATATGTGTCTGTGGATCGGAACACTCGATGCATCTCACGAACGGTGGAATACAGTCTCAACGATTTCTCATTGAGTCAAGTGGCAGCCGGTATCCAACCTGACGATAAGCAGAAGTATTTGAACCGATCTGCCGGCTGGCAGCTTATCTGGGATCATGACTTGACGAGTTTAAATTTTACCGGGTTCCTGGCACCAAAGTATTCAAATGGCTCGTTCAACCATAGCGACTATGATCCTTTGTACTGTGGTGAGTGCGAGTGGAGCTCAATCACATACGAGGCCGTTCCTTGGGGTGAGTATCTTCTATTTTTACTCCTTCATCGATGCTTACCCTAGCAGAATATTCTTTCGTTATTCCACACGATATGGAGACGTTGATCGAGTTTATGGGCGGTAATTCCACCTTTGAATCTCGATTAGACATCATGGTATGCCTTCCACTTTTGTTGTCTTTTTGGATTTATTTAGCTGATAATCCTACTAGTTTGAACCCGGCGTTGCCAAGCAGAACCTTGGGGCCAACGGAGCAGGCATTACAACACTCATGAATATAGGGTAAGCTTCTTCTTAGCATTTCGTGGCTAGAGGCTCACGCATCATTCAGAAACGAGCCCGACTTCATGACCCCTTACTTGTATCACTACATAAACAAGCAAGCGAAATCGGTGCAGCAAACACGAAATCTTAGTAACACATAGTAAGTCACTTCAAATATCAATAACAACCCACCACCACTAACATCTTCTAGCTACAAAGACGCCGCATACGGAATCCCCGGCAACAGTGATGCCGGCGCCATGAACTCCTGGCTCCTCTGGCAGCTCTGTGGCCTGTACCCCGTGGTCACCCAACCAGTCTACCTGATCGGTTCGCCGTGGTTTCCCGAAATCAATATGACGGTGAACGGTAACAAGACTCTGCATATCACAGCCACTGGACTCGACGAGGGTTACTATGTGCAGAGCGTGAAGGTAAATGGGAAACAGTGGGATAAGAACTGGCTGAGCCACGAGGATATTTTTGTCAATGGTGGTAGCATTGAATTTGAGTTGGGACACGATATGAGGAACTGGGAGACTGGCTATGTGCCGCCTTCGCCTGGTCATTACAAATTATAGGATATAGCGCTTTACATATATGTGTCTCTATTTAAAATGGATGTCTTTGAAATCCTGGAGTTCCGCAAGGTCAATAGGCTATCTAGCATCTCGTCAAGAGGGACCCGAGGTGGATTATTATCTGTTTTTCACCAGGCTTTGCACTCCACAAGCTTAAAAGGTTTGCCTTAGCACCGATGTGTGACTCGCGACGGAGCCGCATACACAGTCAACCAAGAGAAGCTTATTGAGGTGTCATTTTATTGAATATCATGGCTTGCCCTTTGGGCTTTGCACATGTCACAGGCTGCTTTTGGTCTGCTAGATATTGTTAGCGACATGCCTTTGGGTGATTGTAGGAGACTGGGTAGGTAGCAACTTTAGGTATCATATTTTAGCTTCAGGCCCGATACCAAGGCATCCAACGCGATTGCCACTGAGTCGACCCGAAAAAGAAAAAAGACATTATAGTATACTGAAAATTTTCTCTTTTAATGATGTGAATATTTAGTGTATTAATAGAGTATCAGCCTTTTTAAACAAGGACGAGCAATCAAGTTCCTGCGATTATCCCATCAAAGATACGACTACACTAGTTCAGGCATGTTTCTATGGAGGCCTTCTAAATTAGCCAATATGTATATATATTCGCTTAAATCTACCCAGAGCTATTTTCGGGCATTCTATGTATTTAATTATCTTACATGCATCGCGATATACTAGTCGGTTTTAAACTTGAGAGCCGTAGCATCGATTGATCAAATTAGGGTTATCACCAATTAGGCACCATATTGTCGCCACAACAGCATCACGATGTGGCGGTCTTTAAAAAATAGGTATATTAAGGCAGCAATTACCTAGTGGGATTTTCTATTCAATTGTGGAAAGTTTCAACGCCTCACTATGAGACATTAGCGAAGATTGAGGATGACCATCACAATAGCAACTTCTATAAGGTCAATTTCGGCACTACCGCTGGTTATACATGAACAATGGCTTCGCTGGACCATCGTTAGACAAAGACCCGAATGATATATGTGGAAATGATTGCGAGGATGAAGGGGTAGGTGACATCTAGTACGCCGCCCATAGCGTTTTCTGAGCGGCGCTTTTAATTCACTCTTTACACATGGTAACCTGCTTAACTAGTGATCACAAGGATAAAGCTAGGCACGCGCAACATGATCTATACATTTCCAACGATCCATCTCATGCACTCGAAGGATCTACGAACAAAGTCCCTTTTCTAACGATAGCCATGGCCCTCTTGGGCGAAGGATCTTTCATTCAAGTCCATCAAGCGCATGCACATGTACGACTCCACTGTTAGAGCAACGAATAGGAGCGCATCCTCGTTGCCTATCTACGAAGGGGCCTGTGTGGATCTAGCACCTCTCGGCTTCCTTCTAGCAGACAGTGTTGGCCAGACCGTTGTCGGTGACCCTGCTGACTACTGTATCACCAACCTGGATGGGGAAGCGGACGCCTACGAAGTTGACGAAGAAATTGCTCATTGGCTCTCCAATTTTAACCATGACACGGAGCGTCTGACGAATGCTTTCACCACGGCTGCGTACCTCGGCAATCAAGCCAGGATCGAAAGTGATGTCGACAGGGGTAGAAAGACGCTGGTAGTCAGCATTGACATGGAGATAAAAGAGCAACAACGTCGGAATAAATTTCATCCATCAGGAGATTGATTTTCAATCAATTTCATGCTCATCTTGTGTGCATAAACTCTCAAGTTTTCTGTTCATATGAAGAATTAATATTATATTTATTTATAATGATAGTGTGTACTAGACATTTAGTAATATTAATCAAAGGTAGGGAGTTATTATAAATTTTTAGATGTAATATTTCAATCAGATAAGATGCCAGAAAAAGTAGGACGAAATAGAAAAACCAAAAATATCATTAGAACTGTCAAGGTAAATTCAATATGAATTGATGCTATTGAAAAACATCAAGTTATGACGTAACCCTATATCCATACGTGTAAAGTTATCTAATAGAAACGGAAAATATGTGTTAGAAGCCTGACCGGTATCTTGAACGCAGGAGTTTTCTTACCAGACTCAGACCAATCTACCCTAACCCTTTCGTAAAAATAAAGGGCTAATAGCATGTGAATTCAAAGAAAACAGGTACCAAGGGACAGGGGTTCGTGTCTGGCATTTATCACTGGTGAGTTTTCTCCTTTTGAAAATATTGATGGATGTTGGTAAAACTAACGGCATGGAGCAAACCCGAATGTTGTAAGGTTACAGGTTTCTGTTGCTTGAATTCCTATTTTATTAGGAAACTCTTCGCTACGATTGGCAAAGCCAATGGTAATAGGACTGGTAGTGGAAGTGCATGTTACAGCACATAAGGATGGAGTGGGAGAAGCTGCCGTGGAAAAGGACCATAAAAATCCAATAGGCAGATATCGAGACATACTTTGGAGCCTCATAGCTTGGGTGAGCTTTCTGATGAAAATGCTATTATGAAGTAAATTTGTAGAAAGTCAATTTGTACTATAGATATTTTATATAAGAATATTCTCTTAATATCATCTAGATAAAAACTCGCTCATTTCTAAAATTTGATGAATGGCTTGCTTCACATGAAGTTAAACTAGCTCCTAAAATCTTGTAGTGGGTTACAACGTTGTCCTACATAAGCTAGTCACATTCATCCATTAATATTGATAATTGCAGTATGGTAGTTGATGCAACACTGCGTGCAAAATGGTCTCACCACTTCCTCATTGAAAAAATTAAGTAATACAGAAACATCATATGAGGTGGTTATCGATAGCCTCCTTTCTGCTTTCTCCCCATTTCCGTTGCTTAGTATTCTAATATGTAGATATCAGTAAGATCATTGTTTGATCCATCTCAATAACCAGCAATAAAATCACTTTCTTAGGGCTATAAAAGTAGGTCCTTAACAAGAAATTGAAGGATCTGTCTTTTCAATTTTAATACCCTGGTAACACTATAATAAACAAGTATTATTAGCATAATCAGAAATAAAAGCAAGGCTGAATTGTGTAATTTTTTCTCTATCCACAGGTGTAGTCATTTGTATATGTAACTGATTAGGCGCTATCCTGAGGTATTTTCTAATACTACCTGAAAGCTAGAGACTTTGTATCACATTATCCATTAACCTGAGCAGTAGATCCTTGTGTCAAGTAGTTCAGTAAGGGCATTGGCTTTTTTTATTGCCTTGTGATGGCTCTGGCAACCCTACTATATGAGAGAATCATCATGAAAATCCACCATCCTTAATATTCTAGTCTTTTGGTGTAATTCTTTGTCCCTAGAATACCTGTTAGGTGCAGGTGATGTCAGGTCCCACTGATGCGTCGTATTCCTTAACACTGTATACATACCAACAATTTCTATTGTAAGTAGATGAATATCTTTATAGTTACTTGGTGTCACGGCTCATATTGTTTGTAATATACTGGCGTGCCTAAGTGGATTCTAGTTAGATTGTGGCACCAGATGCAATTCCTACAAACCTGTTCCATGACATAAGTCTACAAGTTCTGTCTTACATAAATGGAAAGAATGATCATAAAAGTATCTGGCTGAATTTATTTATCCTATTAAGGGCTATGTTGAATAGGCTCCTGATATTTGATAGACCAAAAATGAGCGACTGTAGTTAACCACGGTAATCTCAGTAGAGGAGTTCTCAATTGACATGAAAGTTGAAGTGTCAATCCATCGTCCTGGTACCCCCAATCCTTAGAAGATCTTTAAACAAGAGTACAATTTGTAAGAGTAAAAGTATTGACTGCGATGGTGCAAGGATTGAGAGTGCCTGTATGGATATCACCGTGAGTATACTAATTTCTATAAAATAAGAAATGAACTCATTAAACTTACAGTCTACAGCCAATGTGTAAGTAGCATCGCATGTAAGAGTAGGATCTATTGCCACGTTCCCAAGAGGTTTGGCAATGGCTTGCATGTCACTTGCATCCAATTTGATAGGATGCAGAGTAGAAATTGCCGAAACAGCAAGTGCAATTGGCAAGAGAAGCCCGAGAGTAAATTGCATCTTCATGATGACAGTAGATAGTTTGAGGGAATTGAAGTTGAGTAGATACTGGAATTATCGACTGGCCTGAAGACAATATTGGATGGTTCGTAAAAGGCACTTAGGGACGAGAGGACTCCTTTATATCTTCGATGAAAGGACTCCTTACATAGATTATCTCAAACTAATCCTAATAGATGTTTAGAAAAAAGATTCTACCTATGTAAGTACTACATATGTGTGTCTATTGTACCACCTAAATGTACAAACCTACTTTTTAACTCGAGGTTGTTGCTGTTCATTTAGTTTGCAGGCCATTCTACTCCTTGGTAGTGTAACATATTGACACACCAAGAACAGGAGTCTAGGGATATAGGAGGTCAGGTGTCCCAGACATAATATCATATATGCTACATATGTACCTTCGAATGAGGTGAAATGGCTACACCACTTACTGATTGATGTAGGATTGTACAGTTCTAGCCAACTTACTAAATTCACACCCATGCTACGTGCACATGCATTCTGTATACTGTGTGACAAAATAATAAAAAGGTGGGATAGGCCTCCATAATCTCGTTTAAAGCTACACATACAAACATTTGAAACTATGGAGCATATTGTTGCGTGTGCAACCAACACTTGCGATGATCCCAAGTAACTTGCGAGCCCGCTGTAACTACTACAACAATGATAATACCTAGATTCTTCATCTAACACTTTCCTATTCTGTAGCTACACAGTTGATGTGTGGTGTGACATACCAATAGTCAACTTGGTATCTTAATCGACTCAATTGATAAAAGTATTTATAAGTGAAACTCCTAATTGAAGAACTGCACGTGAAGGATGTTCTCGTACTGTATGGTACTATAGAAACCACCTATGGAAGGCACAGAGTTTTTATTGCTGGTATTATGGCTCGCTACAGGGTTGCCCAGTACGGACACGGATCGGATGTCGCTATTCGATGTCCGCCGTACATGTCTCTGTGTGTCCGTAAACCTGGCCTGGCTTTGGTTGTGGAACGGAGAACCGGTGAATATCTCCGCGGTACTTCGATAAGATGATCGCCATCAGTAATAAGAATCGATTACACAAAATCGCAAATAATTATATGGAATCAAGGGTGAGACCTAGATAAAAAAAATAGATATTATGGCGATAAACAATCAAATAATGAAAAATCATAATGTACATTCCTAGGCAGATTCAATACTACTATTACTCACTTCATGATAATTATATCATACTGCTTTTTATACATTGAAAATATAAGATTCTAAATGTTATTAGATATGATACCAAGATCTCTAGCTAATCCGTAAAATGCTAATATTAAATTTATTCGATATTGAGAAGGACCGATCAATACATATCATATTGGTGTCAACTACCGCAAAAACGAAGCTCAGAAGAGAGAATTATAATACAGAGGGAACTTGAAGCTATTACATTCATCTGACCTCCTGTCTCAGACAGCGTAGTGCACATCCAGCCCCGTTCAGGTACTAGCCTCGTCTTAAAGAGTTATTTGGCGATCGTTTCCATTGTTGTTACGCAAATATTCTCTCTGAGAGACTATCACGTTACTGAGAAGAACGGCAGTAATGATAGCCCCGTTGTTCGGCTGGTGACATTGTCACAGGAATGGAGATCATCGCCAAAGTTATCAAGGCATTTGACACCGTTAAAGAGGCGCCATCACAGTTCACTGGAGCTAGAAACTTCCTCAATAATATAGACGCCACATTGAAGTTTCTCCACCAACATACTGCCAATTCCAGCCAAGCAACATACAAGCGATATTTTGGGTCTCCTAAACTACATGGTTACGATATCAAAATGTCCTGGGAGTAGCACTATATTAATGAAGTCTAAACATAAGCATAATTTTAAGTATACCCAACCAGATCCAGGCCGATAAGCAGTGCATTGACTAAGCAGAATTCCGATTCTTGTGCGACGTTGATAAAGCCATGCGGGGTAGATAGGGACTTTCCTTCCTAATTCGGAAGGACGAGAGCGATTGTTTGACCCACCATATCAGCTGCCGCTTCCTCCACGTCAATTCATTAATTCATTCCCTCAGTAATGTTGCGCAAGAGAATAAAGCTTACCGTCACGGACAAAGCCAATCTTTCAAGATTCATTCTGCAAACCTAACATGGGTGTCAAGGAGATCCGCACTGCTGTTAAATGCGACTTCAGCAAACCGGCTGCTGAACAGGAAGGGTTCCATGTGAGTAGCTCGTACACTGAAATAAACCTAGCCCCAGCTAAAACCTCCTGCAGAACCGATGGCATCCAGACAGTATGTAGCCATAATCTACCTAATCTCAAACCGCATGCTCAAATGCCATCCCAGTCCCTAGCATCGGTAAAATCGCCAATAATGAAGTCGTCAAAATCGAATGTTTCGACTGGACTGGTGGCCAAATCGGCAACAACGACTCTGCCGACGACATCCGCGACGTTGATCTAACCAAGATCCATTATCTGTCTGGTCCCTTCCACATCGAGACCGCAGAGCCGGGTGATATCCTACTAGTCGAGATTCAGGATGTCCAGCCATTCCAGGACCAGCCGTGGGGGTTCACGGGTGTTTTTGATAAGAAGAATGGTGGTGGGTTTTTAGATGATATATATCCTGAGCCGTAAACATTTTCCTGATTCTCACTTCTCGTGACTGAAGAGGCCTAGTATTAACCGTTGTTGTCCAGTGCAAAAGCTATCTGGGACTTTGAAGGTATCTTCTGCTCCTCTCGACACATCCCGCACGTCCGCTTCCCAGGCTTGATCCACCCTGGTATTCTCGGTAATGCGCCGTCTGCAGAGGTTCTCGCCGAATGGAATCGTCGCGAAGGCGAGCTTATCTCTGCAAATAGTCTCCCTCGCGACGTCGCCAAACCGCCAGAGCCACAGAACGCTCATGCCGGCGGCGCTGATGCGGAATTGAAGACGAAAATCGCGCGCGAGGGTGCCAGAACTATTCCAGTGAGTTTTTTCCCCCTTGTACCAACTGTCACGTCCTTACGATGAAAGGGCCGCCCTGAACACGGCGGAAACTGCGATATCAAAAACCTCTCCCGCGGCTCCAAGATCTATCTCCCCGTCCACGTCACCGGCGCGAAATTCTCTGTTGGTGATTTACATTTCTCTGAAGGTGATGGCGAAATTTCCTTCTGCGGGGCGATTGAGATGGCGGGGATAATCACACTCAAATTCACCGTTCTCAAAGACGGCATGGCCCAAATGGGCACCAAATCCCCCCTCTACATCCCCGGGCCCGTGGAACCGCATTATGGACCAGGACGATATCTCACCTTTGAGGGATTTTCCGTTGACGAGCAGGGGAAGCAGCATTACATGGATGCGACGGTGGCGTATCGGCAGACGTGTCTGCGTGCGATCGAGTATTTGCGTAGATACGGGTATAATGATTATCAGAGCTATTTGCTGCTTAGCTGCGCCCCTATCCAGGGCCATATTGCCGGGATAGTGGATATTCCGAATGCGTGTACTACGTTGGGACTGCCTATGGATATTTTCGATTTCGATATACGGCCGGAGACGAAACCGGAGAAGTTGGATATGGGGAGTTGTGCGTTTGTTGATAAGTAGTTAGTTCAGAGCGAGATTAATATGCTAGTATGTGAGAATGATAAAGTCGTGGTATTCATAAAGCTAGCTACGAATAGCGAATACTGTATCTCGCAGGCCCAATAAAGAGAGAAGAAATAGATCATGATATGCTCCATACTCTCCATGCTCCTAGACAAAAGGATATCGATACTAAAGAATGCACTAGCTGCGTAATTCTTAACGAAAATGCGCAGGCACGGGCAACAACGCTAAGACAAGCAGACTTTTAAGAGAAGAATTTCCGCGCGGCTGCCTTCTCCTTCTTCTCGGCATCGGCGATGATTTTCTTCACACGATTAATCTCGTTGCTAATTGCGGCATCACCAGGAGCAAGCTTCAGAGCTGCTTCCAAGTCTTTAAGGGCATTGTCTTCTTCTTTGGTACCGATCTCAGCGACGGCACGGCGGTAGTGGGCTTTGGCGCGGTCGGAATCCTTTGTGTTGGCGGCATCGGCGGTTTCCAATGCGTACCCGGCCCAAGTCTTGCCATCCTTGAAGCGGTTGACCTTGTTCGCAAGCAAGGCCGAATTAGAGTGTAGGGTGAACCGGAGAGTCTTGAGCTGGCCATCAAGCTCTTTATTATCATCGTCATCTGGGAATTCGTTGAGATAACGTAGGGCCTTCTGATACTTCTCCAAACCGAGATAAGTCTTTCCGCCCTTGAAGGCTGTGTTACCGAGGTCCTTGAGCTTGGCAGCGATTTCATAGACCAAGGGTGCAGTCAAGTCTCCATCGTAATCGGCCGGGTAGTCTTCGTAGGGGTCTCCAGTTGCGTCAAGCACCTTCTTGTCGGCATTGTCGTAGTCATCGCCAGTCAACTCGCCACAGTCGGCGATGATAACATCAACATTGGGCTTGTCGGCTTGGGTTTGAACGTTCTCGATCTTGCGGACCAAGCTCTTGCCGTTGATGACCTGACCAAAGACAACGTGCTTGTTATCAAGATGCGGGGTCTCAACGGTAGTGATGAAAAACTGACTGCCGTTTGTTGCGGGACCAGAGTTGGCCATTGACAAGAGGAAGGGACGGTCATGTTTGAGGTCGAAGTTTTCGTCTTCGAATTTCTCACCGTAGATGGACTCGCCGCCGGTTCCATTGAAGGCAGTAAAGTCACCTCCTTGGATCATGAATTGCTTGATAACGCGGTGGAAAATCGAGCCTGCAGGAATTAGAAGTGGGTAGGAAGTTATAGTGGTAACAACAAACCCTTGAAGCTGAGAGGCTTTCCCTGCTTGCCAACGCCCTTTTCACCTGTACACAGCGCGCGAAAGTTTTCGGCGGTTTTGGGGACGACTATAGTAGAAATCATCGTCAGGTTGCTTGTCGGTCAGGTGGAAGAAAGGAATTACCATCATCGAACTAAGCAGAGCATTATTAGCTATTGCAAGAGCACAATCATTTCCAGTGGCATACCAATTCAAGATAAATTCTGCCCTCCTTTGTGGTACCAAACTCAATGTCTAGATAGACGCGTGAACGACCTAGTCACCATCGTCAGCAAATGCCATTGTCAAGCCGGATGTACCAGTAATTTTGATCTGAAGACACACTTTTAGCAGCCATTGTGAGTGGTCAATGAACGATCACAAGTTCACGATGGGAAAAGGTCAAAAGGTCGTCAATGCGCGCAGAACAACAGAACAAGGAAGTATGTCTGTCTGTGCAGGCTTCAGGAAGCTTCCATCTTCGCTCTTGCACCGTGAAGCCCCGCAAGCCGTGGCGGTGCAGCTCCAGCCTCCACCAGCCTTGCCCCTCGCTCTAGTCTACCTCTGGCTAGCCTACAGCTACATCAGCTATACCTATATAGGCTAAGCTACTTACACTTGTCTACTACGTATACATTGACAAGTGGAGGTTTGAGTTTTCTATTTCTCTCTCGATATACGCCAACTGAACTAGACCGCGGTCGCGCACCCCAGCGTTTGAGGCATTGTGGAATACAAGTGGCGTCGTGACTGTGAGTACCTGGATCCATGTAAACTGTTTTGCCTGAAGGAATCACAAGTTCACCATCTGTCAGATTGCGTGCAGCTGTACTGCTGTTAATTCCTGGTGCAAAATAATGTCTGAGTGTGAGGGACTCGGCACATCAGTGTCAGGGGAGCTTGTAAGTACATGTAACACATCCCTAATATCGCCTTTGGCCTAGATGGCGACGTTCTTAGGGTCGTCAAGAGAAAAACTGATGGTTTTCCTTCTGACCTGGGGCGCAATGTTGTATGAATAAGGCCGGACCACAGCAGAGTGTATTGGACTATTGTTGTAGGTTAATAGAATGTCAGTTTGTCCACAGAAGTCAAAGTTCGCCATGTTGGTATTGTGAATTATACTATGACCACTGGTAGTGTTAGCTTCAGAAACTGTAGTCAACAACGGATGTACAGAGTAGCACTCTTCAGTTCCTAGAGAGCGGGTTTCGACCGTGTAGGAACTCAAGTTTGAGATTTCAGGAGGATTTGGGTGAACAACCACTAGAATTTTGGAATCGCACGTTCCGCAACAGCAGAGTATGCAAAGGCAACATGGGCTAAAACTGCCCAGAATTTTGGCTGCAACATTTCCAATGATTGTCACAATTGGCCGATTTGCAGAGCGACGAAAGAGTGAGATGCTACTGCTGAAATAGTCATGACTGTTGGCGAGTTTCCCTTCCTTTATAAGCAGTTCCGAGGTAGTTCAGTCGCCCACCAGATGTACGTATTGTAATTCGTTCCCGGCAGATATGCCGGAGCCTGGGGATAGAGACAAAATGCGGGGGTTTGCTACAGCCCAACCCCCAAAAGGGGAACTAATTAATTAATCAAGTCGTTGAGCCCTGTCCGTTGAGAGATATTTACGTGCCAAGCTGGGCCTTTGAAATTGTTTATATTGACTACATCCGAAGATATAAGCCCTCCAATTTGCTGCCATGGAACCGGGCGATACACCGGCAAGTCTTCCGTATCTAGAGTGTGCTACGCTTTCTATATTACATACTCCTGTATTATGAAGATGCTTCACCCGGAGAGACCTATCTAACACTGAGGTTGACTTATATGCATACAATGGGAACCGCAAAGAAAGTCTGCTTTACAACAAAAACATTCTAATACAGTGATCCTGACTCCTTGGTCCATTTATATCATTCGAAGAAGACTGTTGAGGCTGGATTAATGATCTCGAAGAGCAAGGCAAGACACCAAACAGCCAATCGGAGACTTGATTGGGGAGAAGAGTGTGCATGTATCTCTCATATGGGCTCATATATATATGTACTCATATTTTTGGTGTGTCAAAGTGATATTTTGTATTTTATATTTGAATACTGCTATATGCATTGATCTATATACATCTATGATACACTCCAGATACGAATGGATCACTCCAACAAAGAATCCGGCATCTTGAACTCGACATACTTTTTACCATCTGGACCCGTCTCTGTTTTCGCCTGATTTTGTTTCGAACTCTCCGATTTTGGGACATCCGTAGAAATCTCAATAGTAACCTATTTCTCGTTAGCCAGTGTGACTGGATACCTAGGCAGCCCGACTCGGAAGAAAGCGCGCAGAGTCCTACCGCTTCATCTGTACTGCGGTAATCAACACCCACCGGTCCATCGTTCTTCAGTTCGACTTCCATCATTGCCTGGAAGACGCCGTTCTTGACGCGCTCGGCTTTGTAAAGGTCCGTCACCTTGCTGACGAAGCGGTCGTACAGCCGCCGCGCTGTCTCGGGATCGGCGGCGTTGTGGAAGTCTGGTTTGTTGCCTTTTTTGATCTGCCCGTATAACGTGAATTGAGAGACTGAGGAAGTTAGTGCGTGTAGCCGGCGTTGGATGGAATATTGAGTACCACATAGGACTTCGCCTTCTATATCCTGGACATTCTTCTTCCACTGTGGAGATATTAGATTTGACAGTGTAAGTGGGGTGAGCGGACTGACGGCGCTGGTCTGGTTTGCCTCATCCGGCCAGAGCTTAGCCTTCAAGACCTTTGCAGCCATAGAGTCGACATCCTTCTCGGTATCATCCTTGCCCACGCCTGCAAAAACGAGTACTCCGCGACCGATGGACGAGATCAGCTGGTTATCGACGGTGACCGAGGCCGACTTGACCCGTTGCAGGACAGCTATATTTAATCAGAAAAGTTTCGCAATTTGTGGAAAGAGCATTACCTTTCATTGTAGCTCATACGATGACGACTAAATGGCCGATGTAAAACCTCAAGCTCACCAGAAGCTGCAGTTATCAAGATAAATCAAGAGATAAGCTGTCGAGAGGAGCTAGAAGAAATGAGGGCTATCCAGAGTGCGACTTCTCGTTGATTTTATATATCTGGTTTGTGAGAAAGATTATGCCTTTCTCGCCATCAGGCCGTATTTGTAAGGCGGTGGATGCCGAAATAAATCATGGCCTAACTGATGACAGTGACGGCTGTGAGAAATGCGCGATTGACAGTAGAGGAAGAGGAAAGATCGATGCTCCCGACGTGATAGTGCCGCACGATCTCTGTGATGTCATTGGTGGGCAGGCTCCACAGTTCCATTTCACCACAGCATGAGTGCGTATATTATTATTATTTATGTATAGAGTTAGGTCGCTTATATTGTTGGAGAAAGAATAAATAATATTTTAAGACAGATTGCTGTTTATAATAGCCTTTGTCGATGTGGTCGTGATGTCATCTAGTCCTGGACCTGGTTCATCTCACCTATTCACAACTGATGATGCCGGTAGTAAATGCTTGTGATTATTCATCTGAACCAGCAGAATAAAAAATATAAAGAAAAGGAAGTATTCAACCCCCAACATTGAAGCTAGTACTTGGTATATTGTATCCTACTTACCATCACAGCCAGCACACACGGCCTGCTATAAACACAGATATGGCCAAAAACGGCAAGGCGGCAAGGCTGCCGGTCAATGCTGGCACAAGCGACATGATTGGTGGCCACACCCAGCAGCTCCACCCGGACATGTTCTCACTCAAAGACAAGACAAGACAGCAGCACAGCAAGCAGCCTTGACAACCACCAAAAACAATCATTGTCTGGTCATATTGCACCACTCTAATATACGCCATCTCTCCACTGCACCCCTTGATTTTAGGTGTGCCCTTCTTACTCGGTTCTACGCCTCGTGGTTTGGGTCGCTCGCCCTTTGTCCAGATTGCATGCCGGCACAATGACATCGCGCAAGACGCAACAAGAGATCGATAAGACCTTTAAGAAGGTCGCCGAGGGCATCGCGACCTTCGAAGGCATCTACGAAAAGATTAAAACTACTACGAATATCGCCCAGCGCGACAAGCTCGAGGAAAACCTGAAACGGGAGATCAAGAAACTGCAGAGGTTTCGGGATCAAATCAAATCGTGGGCGTCTGGAAATGAAGTCAAGGACAAGACCCCGCTGCTGGAGCAAAGAAAAGCGATCGAAACAGTGCGACGCCTATGGTTTTACATTGCTAGAATAAAATGATCCGCTAACTTGATTGAAACAGTGCATGGAACAATTCAAGGCCGTGGAGAAGGAGATGAAAACAAAAGCCTTCTCGAAAGAAGGCCTATCGAATGCGTCGAAACTCGATCCAAAGGAGAAGGAAAAGGTTGACACTTGCGATTTTCTGTCGAGCATGGTGGACGAGCTCCAACAAAGAATCGAAGCCATGGAAGCTGAAGAGGAGGCTCTGTCTGCATCGATGAAGAAAGGCAAGAAGGATACCGTCAAGACGAATCGAATGGCAGATATTTCGCGGATTACGGAACGACATAAGTGGCATGTCAACAAGCTAGAATTGCTCCTGCGCTCATTGGAGAACGGTGTCGTGGAAGTGTCGCAAGTGCTCGATCTAAAGGACAGCATCAAATACTACGTCGAGGATGGGCACAACATTGACTACTCTGGAGAAGACGAAACGTTATACGACGATGTCGTCTTTGGCGATGAGGAGGGCCAATTTGGAATCTCGCCAGACAACGACCGGGTGTCCTCACAGGATACACAGTCTGTTCCGGACGAAGAAGTACCTGAGCCACGACCGAAAGCGAAGACCGATCTGGCGAGCACCCGACGGCCGTCAACGCAAATGAAATCCCCCCTCCCTGTTCTCGCGACCCTGCACTCAACGGCGACGGCTGCTACGACATCGAATTCCATGAAGCCGGCTCCCCCGCCAACGCGTTTACCTGGAGAGACATTGAAATACGCATCCGCCGCGGCCGCAGCTGCAGCAACCGATCGAGGCGTCGGCATCGCACCACTTCCTCCACCCCCGGGGGCTAGTCCTGCCTCATCATCAGCCCTTCCTGTATCGAAAGCTGGCTCTACTGCTTCTCCGAGCGTGACGTCAGCACAGCTCGCCTCACGGATAATTTCGACGCCAGAACCGAGTGAGAAGCCACCCCAATCCCCGGCACCGTCGTATCCAGCTAGCAAGGCAGTATCCTCGACACCGGCTCCATCGACACCGGCAGCAGAGAAGGCGGATGTAGCGAGTTCAAAACTACAGGCACAGGCACTCAATGGAACTGGTGCGGGTAAAGACGAGGAGTCTTCAGAGGAATCTATCTACCACCTGCCTCCTGGGCTACAAGACCTGATCCAATCATTCGAAGCGACAAAGAGCCGAGGCGAAGCGGGAGTGTCGTCGCCGGTGATACAGAGACTGTTGGCAGCATCGCTCAACTCATGTCCGGAGCCCGGTGATGCAGAAAAGCCACGGCATTACAAACCACAAACGCCATACAACACGCCGCTGTATTACCCGCAAGAGCCTTTGCCGATCTTCGATGACCATCGGCTATACGACACGCAGAGAATCGATACGGACACGCTATTCTACATCTTCTACTACCAGCAAGGCACATATCGGCAGTACTTGGCGGCCAAGTCACTGAAGAACCAAAGCTGGCGGTTCCACAAACAATTCCAAACATGGTTCCAACGACACGAAGAGCCGAAGACGATCACGGAGGAGTATGAGCAAGGTACATACCGATTTTTCGACTACGAAAGTACATGGTGAGTAAGTTCCAAAAAAGGATATATAGAGAGAATCTAATTCCTGCTGCAGGATGAACCGCCGAAAAGCGGATTTCAAGTTTATTTACAAGTACTTGGAAGACGATATTTGAAGGCCCGTCGAATGCACTACATTGGTCAATAAAAGAGGTCATTGACATTGACAGTTGGATTAACGTGTTCTAATATTACATTTTTCTCGTTTTCGTTTTCGTTTTCGGATGGGAATGGGTACGGGGACAAAGGATAGGCATGGCTGGCGTGTATAACCATGGTTTTTTTTCGCTTTCTCTTCAAAGTCTATGTCAGAAAACAGCAAACAAATAGATAGAACGATTTGTCCAAGTCAGTCGAACCTCGAACATATCACTCTGTCTGTCCTGGTATATACTGCGGACTACATTCAGTATACAGAACATAATTACTGTAGACCAAGATGGGGATCACATGACGTCACCGCACTTGATAAGTTTCCTAATCGATCACGTGCGTTCTTCGATCCAACTCTTGGCGATAATAGTACGGCAGGCACGCCGGGGAGATAGCAACTCGGCACAGACGAGGCTGATTTACGATTCTGCTAGGAATATTCACTCTTGAAGGAGCTATTGAATACGCAGTCCGTCCTCGAATACAACACGGGACATATGGAGCAGCAGCCAATGGCATTGTCCAGCCCCAGACGGCAGCAATGTGCCGTTCCATTCAGGATGGAATGACAATGCACAGCCATGCCCCAGTAACAATACTATTCGCCTCACTTCTTGCGCGGTTTTCAGTAAGTACGACATCTCATCTTCTAGTCTTCTACTAGGTGTACTTAGTGTAGTGTATTGCGGCATTTTATACCGCCTGCTTCGGTATCGGCCTGAACTCCAAGGCACATACGTAACACAGTAACCGGACCCGGCTAGTCCATCGCTTCTTGGTACCTAGCGGGCCAACGAGCATCGGCGTGCGGCTCAGCTGCGGGGCTTGTCTTCTATACTGCATCACCATTGGCTGGAAGGCCAACAAATCAGCGACTGATTATGTCAGGCATCTGTCAGACAGTCAGCTGAACAAACTGGGCTGCATCGGGTTAGCTGCACAGAGACACCGCCAGACTGCCACTGTTTGGCCCGTCTTGTGAGCGATCCTGGCGGTCAAGGGTCTGACAGTACAGATTGCATGTACAGTATTCTGATCGGTAGGTTTAATTGTAGTGCTGCAAAGAGTCTGAGCATGTGGCAATAATATACGGTCGCGGACGAATTCTCCGAGAAGATTCGCGCAATGTTCTGTGCAGCTGCAGCAATAGAATGCCTACATCTGCCTTAGACTACTGGAATTGATCGTCGATCTGCAAATCAGTCCCCACTGTGACAACAGGCGGGGGACTTGATGAACCTGTTCATACGGAGTGCATTATTATTATTACCACGTACTGCGTGTGGTTAGCATCATCATTATTATCATCATTACTACGTATTGTGTATCGGTTAAAGGTCCTGCCTGGCTTGCTCCTTGCAACCCGAATCAGCCCGACCAAGCCAAGACTCTAGGAGTCATCTGCTGCGGGATGGCTGGGACAGCGGGCGGAATGCTCACCGGTGTCTATCTTATTAGTGAAGTCAGATTATTGAGTGCGTCGATAAATCAGTAATACAGTTCTGACGGGCCACGCCTTGAAATTTCCAACCAGGGTTCTCAGACGAGGCTGCGGGAGGAGCTCGGACTGAGTGATTTTTGTACATGTATACGGATACTGACTTGGACTAGCTCGCTTTGGGACGAGAGTAATGAATCCGCATTCAGTAGTATCGTATTCTGGGTTGATCAATGGCTAGTTAGTGTTTGAATAGATCTATCACAGGATCCCATGCCGATGTGCCGATTGTGCCGAGCAGGAGCCGCACTGCAGTAGAACGACGTATTATTCACTATTATTATTTTTGACCCGAGAATAATATAAAAGATGGAGACGAAACAGGGACCTGGGGGAGGGTCTGCGTGCGCGAATCAGCTCGGATGCCGATACAGGGATGGCCGTTTCCAGCCAATCAAGGCAAGGAACCGTCAATCGCTGCGGATTCATGGAAGAGACTCGAGTCGTAATAATAAACATAATGAATAGAATACGATAATAATAGTGTAGCTGGCCGATCGGACGGTGCAGGCGGGGCTCGCTGCGGATGGGCTGCGCTGATTGGCGCCGGCTGGTGGACTAGGCTGCCGGTGAGAGTCTCCAGTCCTTTTCCTTTCTTTGTCCGACCCGCTTGCGCCACGAATCAGCACCCACAGAGACACACTAGCGCAGAGTCTCTGGCCCGCTAGTGCCGGCCTCAGGCTTCTAGCGTCCTTCGATGGTCGTTCCATGCAGCCAAGTACAGCGTGCGCCCACCCCTCCAGTCGCTGTCGCTGTCTGGCGTCATGTCTCTCTCTGTCTCTCATGTGCTGCGCTGTTTCTCTTCTCTCCTATAAACGGCGCTGCATTCCTCCTCTGCCGACCCCGGATCCCCAGACACTTAATTGCTGCCCTCTCCGCTCCAAGCATATCTAGTCTTCTCTCCTTGTTTTTACCCTCCCCTCACTTCTCTCTCTTATCTGCCTCGCCTTCTAGCAATTCCATTCTCTACACACCCACACCCTCACCCACATCCATACCAACATGGTAAGTAGTTCCAGTGTCCTGCGCAAACACAGCCAACAGTGCCTAGGAATCCATCTTCTTCGAATACAGCCAGCCCATGGAGCCCTCGTTCTCCAACGCCAGCTCCGAGTCGGCCCAGATGTCTTTCGTCGGAGGTCGCTATGCCCAGCCATCTGATGTCGACGTCTACCCCTCCGTTTTCGACTTCAACTACCTGCACTCGACATACCCCTCTCCAGCCTCCAGCTTCAACACTTCCTACTGCCCGTCACCATACCAGGGTTTCGAGGCCGCGCTCCCGCTCGAGATCCCCGCTGGATTGGGCATGCAAGCCTACATGGACACAAGCGGCCTGGGAATCAGCGAGCCTCTGCCGTCGGCCGGTTACACTGGCACTCGCCCCATAATGATCCCGCGCTCGAATCAGGCTCAGAACTACTACGATTCAATGTCCTTTTCCTCGTCGCCCTACACCTACTCACCTCTCGCCCAGTCACCCATCGCTGTTACATCCACTCCGGCACCTGCCCAGGTGACGCGCAAAACCAAACGCAGCCAATCTGAGAAGTTCGTACAGTCATCTTTACATGAGAATACAGCTAATAGTGAATAGGTTGGCTCGAAACTTCACCTGCGAGGACTGTGGTAGCTCGTTTACCCGCTTTGCAGATGTGAGACGCCACCGGAGCAGCGTCCACAATCCGGTGCTGAGAGATTGCCCAGAAGAAGGCTGCTCTCGGAAGGGAAGCATGGGATTTCCGCGCATGGATCACATGGTCGAGCATCTCCGGTCCTATCACCATCATAACATCCCAAAACGCCCCTTCAACCCGTCGAAGCGCGCGGGCACCAAACGCAAGGCTGGCTCGATGCTTGACAATGCCCTTGCCATGCGGTAAGCTGGTGCATTGCTCCTCTCTGACGTGTTACGAGTTACGATTTAATGTTATTGGGCGGCATTTTCATATACCCTTCCCAATTCTCGCATACCCTTTGTAGACCGGTTTTTAACTTTTTTTCTTTTCACCTTTCAGTTGATTCTTTTGGGAAGACAGTACAGTTTAGAGTTTTCATTACATGATACACGATTTATGACATGTTTTACCTACAACGACAGTCAGGTTACAGTGAGGCATCCAGCTATTCTTTTGCTATTCTTTCGCTTTCTTTTCTTTTCTTTTCACTTCTTGTTGTTATTTATCTCTTTTTGTTGATCTTGAGTCATTTCGCATGGCAGTGTTGTTATCTTCAGACTTGTATTCATTTCTACGTTTAATTGCTAGGTAAAGAATAGCATATACAATACACAATATCACTTGTATTTCACTATACAGTATACACATGTTAAGTTCTACCCGTAATTGGCTGCATGCCAGAACCAACCTCGGCATAACCGTCGGGACACGCCACGCACAACAGCGTTTCAAGATCACAACACCAGTTGACGTAGACCAGCAGTATTTGCTGTCCACGACTTGGCTTGATGTTCCGCTCACCCGGGTTCCCTCTCAACCTGATCTTCGCTTATTTCTTCTACAAACATATCTCGGTGAGCCTGTCATCGCGAATAGAGTTCCAAAGTGAGGCTCTGATGACTCCTTGAACCGGCCGGCAAGTACTGGATATAGCCGGCTGTTTCGAACCAGCTCTATCTTGCATATCGATCGCTACGGTGTTATTTTGTTATTTTGTTATTTTATTCTATTATCTTATTTCATTATTCCTTTCTGCCTGCTGAATTGACAAATGGGAATTCGTCGCGCGCTTCCGTAGCGCAAAGTAAAATATAGTGTCTGCTCAGCCTGGTCAGCCGATACTTGCGTCAATCTTGCTTCGAGCCAACCTTATGTGCCTTGCCAGCCCGGGCTGAGGTCGTCAACGTGTCTGTGCACATTCATTGATGTATGCAGCGTGTGATAGCTTGTTGTTGAGTTCCTAGAGCTTAATTCGATGGTGGTAGCCATATATAAGCTACATAGCTGAGGCGGTTTACACATGGTGCATGCATCTTGCATCTAGATATCGCATCGATTACGAGTGCTACATTCTGCCTACCGTTTAATAAACTGCCACTTTTCGTACTTGTATCCATTCTTGTATATGTAACCCATGATCCATGATCCTGTCCTTGTCCTCGGCAAGATCCTAGCCCTGCGACGAGACAGTGCAGATGCGGGGACGATAAGGGATAAGGTTTCTGGGACAATGGGTTAATCTACGTACGTATTCCTATTATCATCTGGAGTAGACATACTACTGCACTACATAACGTATCGGAGTCTGCCGATACCCAACACAGCCAATAACATCGCCCATCACAGCGATCGCGGCGTCAGCTCCAGTCCTCCCGGCTCATCGGCCAGGCACTGTGCTCTGCATTGCCGCGATCGTTGGAGCGATGGAGCAATGGCATTTTCGTGGCTGGTCATGTGCCAACGGCGCTGGACATGATGTGCGAATTGGTGGATTATTAATTATGGGTTCTTGTTTCCAGTCCTATGGGATATCCCCAGCCAGCGATCAGCGCACGTCATCGGGTAGATGTACTTCTTGTTAGTAGGGACGGTTAGTGTCGGCAAGCCTCTGTGGTTATGCTGGACTACGTGGTTATCTGGTATCCAGAATGCGGAAACGCGACTTGCGATTCGGTTCTCATTTATCAGACTACGTGAATGAAAGTAAGGATGTTCGTGTAGGCGAGGTCCGATGGGCGTACTATACACGGGTAGACGGTCATTGATGTGGTGATCATCATCGATGCCGTGTTTGCCCGGGAATTGTTGGTAGAGTGCCTGGTTTGGTGATTTGGAATAAATGTGAGGCTCTATCGTGTAGACCAGTTGTGTTGTACGAGGGTTGTTTAATCTGGATGATGATTATGATGGAGATCTGCTATGAAAACTTCTTCCCTGGACTCGGTGCCAATCCCGTATCGACAGACACCTGCTGAGCCTCCTCTGGTTTGATATTGAATTTGTCCAACTTGTCCAACGACAACTGCAAGAAATCATGTTTATTTGTCCACGCAACCTGGCTCTGCGCAAATCCCTCGCTCTTCTCTGGTGCCGGCGGAGGGTCGGTGATCTTCGTGACTAAATATGCAGTCGATGCCTGCGCGATGCCGTACATGAGCACGCCGATAAAAGGGGTTTTGAGTACGACGGTAAACGCGAATGCAAACCCAAACAAGACGCCCTCGCGGTCCCGAAACCATTTCCGTTTTTGGTCCTTGTCGAATTTGATACGAGAGAAGTATGGATCGAGCTGGGGAAGAGTTTAGCGTGATGAACCTTTGAAAAATTGGTTACTTACCAGTTCGCGCATCAGACTTCGTGAGGCATAGTAGGTGTGTAGGAATAACACAATGTAGCGTTTTGGAAGGATGATCCCGGAGCCAAAAATGACCGCTGCTGGAACCGTCCCAATGGATTTTTTGACAGTATAGAAACTTGCGGCGGGCATCACGAATCGTCCGACTACAGGAAGTAGCGATAAAGCGTAGATGCCAACCCACATGCCAACCTTCCGCGCATATCGTCGAAAGAAGGCTAGCAGGGCCTCTGTGGTTGGCTTCTTTGATTTCGAACCCGAACCACGCTTTGTTGGGTAACTGGCAAGATTCTGGTAGTACATTGCACGGAGATGGTGAGGGTTTTCGGTTTCGTGTTTCTCAATATACGTCCTGTCCACCCATTTCAGAGATAGCATGAATCTGAAAATCGTTAGATATGCACGAGACATTGAGAGTCAAGACCCACATATCGTCTAGTGTGGGCGTGATATATCGCATGAGCGTCATTAGTAGGAACGGCACTTGGAGGACTGAGTTGGACAGAAAGTTCAACCCTCCGATGACCTCGTCGTCCCAAGTTGCTCGGTCCAGATCGCTGACCCATGATGCCATCCAAATAAACAATTTGATTATTATGATCTGCTGCCGTTAGGACGAGTTCGGCTGGAATTCAATCTGTATTCGTACTGGTATTTGGACTATCAGTTGAATAACAATTCCTCCCACGACAGCAAGAGCTGCCTGGCGGAAATGCTCATGCTGGAACAACTGCGGATTGCGGAGAGCTCGGAGTGCTGCGGGCGTCAATACAACATTTTCTATCATATAGGGGATTTGGTTAACCTACTGCCCACGACAGTCAGCTGGGCTCCGCGCACGATGGCATTGGGCTCGAAGCTGGACATGTTCTCACAATTATTGGTATTGTTGACAGGGTGTATGTGGTGTAGAGCTTGGGCCTCGGGTGACCTTATCGGCGACGTCAAGCGTAAGCTGACGGCCTGAGGAGTCAGGCCACCGCTGAGCCCCCTCAATCGCGCCAGCAAAAGTAAGTCCGAGAACATTATTGTTATCATCATCCTCCGACACTTCTAATCCATTCTCTGCTTTGACCGCTTCTACTGTCACCTACAGCCATGCCGTGTGTAATCTAATAATCCTCCTCATCTCCATCGATGTTGTCATCTCGGTCCGCTCGTTATCCAGCATGTCTGATCCTCCGGCTCCAATCCGACGATCTGCGACCCTGCCCACGAGGTTGATGTCGCAAAGACGCGAATCAAGCGGTTCACCTACGTCTACTGCGCAAGGATCTGACCCAGTCCTTTATTTCAACCCCTCCGCAAAAATCGTCAAGTTCGCTCCTGATGCGCCCCGTGTAGCATCGCAATCCGCTCCATCTATTGACTTTGACTATCCAGTCGACACCATCGAGACTCTCCCATGGCGTTCACCTACTGAACGAACAGTTGCTGTCGGCCGGCTGCGACTAGAGCTAGTCTCCGGCTTAACACCCTTTCTCAAGTGTGGAACAGTCGTGCAGGCGATTCTGAAAAATTCGCAATGCTGGTGTGTTGACCGCAGTTCGACATTCGTCCTGCGCATTCGTTCATTGACCTACTACCGAATCGAGCTTCCGAATCAGACACCAGAAGAGGTGAGGTTGGTTGAGGAATTCAAAAACGCACTGCCGAAGGTGCTTCGGTATGAAGTCACCCCGTGCCCATTCGAGCGTGGCTTTAGTGTGCCGTTGCCTGTTGAAGCTCGCACGCCGAAGAAGAAGAAGGCTTGGCGGCCGAAAGATCGAAGAGACAGTGCTCCGGTGATTTTAGGTGTTAAGAATAATGGATGGCTTGAAGCGAATAATGCTGCGGACACACAGCGACCGCGTAGCGCGGGGACATCTGATGGTGAAGCAACGGATGACAGTGCTTCGACTACAACAAACAGTGCACTACAGGCGGAAGCTTCGGGCGAAGAGGTGCAGGAACCTGCTTCATCCTACTTGAGCGACGAAACACCAGGTTTTATCAAGCGGTCTGTGACAGAGCCGCAATCGGTCCACAATATCCTCGCGAGGTTTCAGCCAATTCCAGAATCGGACAGTGAAGACGACGACAGGCTGTCTTCGAGTGCCGACTCTTTCCACTCTTTCTTGCCGTCAAGCTTTGAATCATCTGCATCTCCATCTTTCACAAGCCAACCAGAATCACCTCTTGATACTAGCTTCCAGGATTTATCCATCGCGCGTCAACGTCCTCATGGCCATAATAGAGACATATCTGATGTCACTATCACTGCAGGAGTTTTGTCTTCAGCAGCTCAGACTACCCCGCGATTGCACCAACTTGTGCTTGACGAGCAAGAAAATGTGAAGTCTTCAGCGAACTCTATTCCCTCCTCTGCCACCCGCTCTCAACACAGCTTTTCTAAAACGTCTGCTTTTGCCACAGGCACAGAGTCAGTTTTTATTAATTCCACCTCAGATGAGAGATCTACACTAAAGTCCCGCTCTCCTCGGTCATCTACACAGCGTGCTCTCTCCCCCATGCCCCCTCCCTCGACACTGGCGCAAACGTCAGAATATTCCGAAACCGATATCACCACATCTCTGTTCCATAAGACATGTGCATTAGTACTTGTTCCACCACTTCAATTATTACTACTTTTAATCCACATCGCAGCACGTATTGCCGCCGGCCACACTGTGCAGACAGCCCTCTTGGATACTACACACGGGGCGGATGAGGATGATGACGATTTCGAAATGCCCAAGACTCCCGGCAACTTTCGACAGTCAATCATCTTCGACGACCCTTCTGATTCATTATCTGATCTTGATTAACGGCCGATACTTTTTTGTTCACATCACTTGGACTGTATTATTTGTCTAATACCTTCTTTCGTTCACTTCTGCGAAGGCTGGCCTTGATTGCGATACGCATTTGTAATCATTAATTGCGACTCATGTATTTCTCGTCATGACTTTTCTTTCCATTAGCGTGCATCTCCCGAGCCCATCCATGTCTGTATTACTTCAAGCGTTGCTACAGGATTGTGTCTCTTACCAATGTGAAATACTTTATGTATATGGTTTATATCCGAAGTAATATACTGTTCTTACACTAGTAGAATCAATATTTCCATGCCACAATAATCCGAATTCACATGACATCGATTTGACAAGTCTCGACTCGATGAAAAATCTACAAACACCCGCAAAACGCCAGATCCATGCAATACCCCATTCCAACATCATTGACCCCAGCACCCCTCTCAAGCCTTGGTAGCCTTCGTCTTCGCCTTCCCTTTCTTCTTCGCACTCCGATCCCTCTTCTTCATCCCCACCATGCCCGCCTTACAGACATCCGCATATTTCACAAAAAAAGACTCCAAATCCACCGGCGCCACGATTGTCGATAATTTCACCTTTGGCCCGCTTTCCGTCCTCTTTTTCACCCCCGGTTTGTTGCCGTCTGGTCTGCTTTTATCGGCGTTCTGCGTCCGCCCGTCTGTGGCTCGTACGAGAATCGAGCCTGGCGCGATTGTTGGGTCGGTGTCGTCTGGCGAGAGCCGCTTTTGGATGAGGTACACGCTTCCTCGCGATTTCTGTGAGGTGGTTGAGAGGAGGGACGTGAGAGACGTGAAAAACTGATGTTCTTGTTAGGAAAGGGGATGACTAGGGGGTTGAATATTCGTGCCTCTTCGTTGCTCATGTGCGCTGTCATTTTTTCCAGTCCTCCGTGCGGGGAGGAGGGATGGTGGTGCGGACTGGTGTGTTGCTTGGGATTGCCTCGGGGATAGGAGTTGGAGAATGATAGAAGGTAAAGTCCAATAAAGAATTTAGAGGAGTTGTATCTGCATAAATTGTGACTGGACGTAGCGCATCAGTCAGCCTGGCTTGTCAAGCAAGAGGGTACGTTGATCGGTGCAGTGGGGAGAGAAAGTGCGGAAGCTTGGACCGTCGTTAGCTCCGCCTGTCCTCCGCAAAAGTTCAGTGTTCCCGCGTAAGAAAAAATAGGTAGCAAGTGCGACAGTCTACAGACAGATTAAAATGCCACGTCCACGGCATCTCACGACTGGACTACCGCGCCAGCTACGAGAAGAATTGGGGATAAGAGATCGGTACGGCGAGAAGAAGAGAAACCAGCCCGGACCTCCAGTGTCGCGCAAAGAGCGACGAAAAGAAGAGAGAAAGGGAAAGAGGCATCCGAATCAACACCAACAAGCGAAAAGACATTCTCAGTACGACGATGACGATGATGAAGAAGACGAGGAAAGTGTCGACGAAGGTATCAGCTCCGAAGAGGAGATTAGCGAGCCTGTGACCAAGACGAAAAAGACGGCTGTCGATGACCATAACGGGTCGAAGTCGGAGCGCAAGATATCGAAAGGTGTCCGCGAGAGGCTTGAGCAGGACGATAAAGAGATTGAAGCGTTGGAGAAGCGACTTGGTATCAAAGGACGGAAAAATCTCCCCAAGGCGTTCGAGGAAGATGGTCTTGCGGATATTCTCGGCGATCTTGCTGAGGATTCGGAATTAGAGGATAGCAGGAAACGAAAGCGGGAAGGGAATGAGTGGCTACAGAGGAAGAGGAGGAAGGCTCAAGGGTTGGATTCAGAAGATGAGGATGGTGGTGGAAGTGAGGATTTGCATGACCTAGACGAGGGTTCGGATATTTTGGATGAGGATGAGACGGACGAGTCTGATGACGATGTCGATGGTGGAGGAAGCGAAGTTAACTTCTCAGGGTTTGACGATGAAGTGGACGAAGATGAAGAAGAGTTGTCGAATGAAGCCACACAAAAGAAAGTACGAGAAAATCCCTACGTGGCTCCGGTCACGGCGACGCCTGCGACAAAATACATCCCCCCTTCGCTGCGCGCAAGAGCTGCAGGTAGCTCTGACGATGATGTTCGTCTACGCCGACAAGCCCAAGGGCTACTGAACAAGTTGTCCGAGGCGAATCTCGTCTCTATTCTCAACGATGCCGAGAAGCTCTATCGAGAGAATCCTCGCCAGAGTGTCACTTCGACATTCGTAACTCTGCTCCTAAATCTCGTCACAGATCGGGCACTACTACAGGACACATTCATCATCCTCCATGCAGGTTTCATTGCTGCGTTGTACAAGGTTGTTGGAATGGATTTTGGTGCGCTGATAATCCAGAATTTGGTCGAGACATTCGACAAGTCTGCAGACGAGAGAGGTCCATTTTTGGGAAAAGAGCATCTCAATTTGATGTCCCTGCTGTCTCAGCTATACAATTTCCACGTCATTGGAAGCAATCTGGTTTTTGACTATATTCGACTTTTCTTGCAAGAAATAACAGAGACGAATACTGAATTGCTGTTAAAAATAATAAGAGGTAATTTTCGTATTCTGTCTACATTTATTTGCATATACTGATCTAGACACAGGCTCCGGTCCTCAATTGCGTCAAGACGATCCATCGGCTCTCAAAGACATCGTCCTCCTGATTCAACCCGCTGTAGCCAAGGCAGAAGAATCATCTTTGTCGGTCCGCACCAAGTTCATGATCGAAACAATCACCGATCTCAAAAACAACCGCATGAAGACCGGCGTTGCGGCGTCGACAATCACATCCGAGCACATAACCAAAATGCGCAAAATCCTAGGCTCATTAAACAACCGCGGAATCCGCGCCACGGAACCCATGCGCATCTCAAGGGCCGACATCCAGAATTCAGCAAAGAAAGGGAAATGGTGGCTTATAGGTGCTAGTTGGAAGGAAGAAGATCCGTTAGAAGCTGCACGAAGAGAACTTTCTACTTCAACTGGCGCTGGCACACAGATACAGGCAGACAACGACAGCGATGGAGAGCCAGATCTAGTCAATATCGCCAAAGCGCACCGTATGAACACTGACGTTCGCCGCTCGATCTTCGTGGCTATCATGTCCGCGACGGACTATCGGGACGCGCACGTGCGGCTGTTGAAATTGCATTTGAAACGCAATCAGGAATATGAAATCCCTCGCGTCCTCGTTCACTGTGCCATGGAGGAAGAAGCATATAACCCATACTACACACTTATTGCCCGCCGAATGTGCGGTGAAATGGGGCGACGAATCAAAATGTCCTTTATGTTCACGCTATGGGACGTTTTCAAACGTATAGGAGAGAAGGGCGATTTCGATGAGGACGACGAGGACGAATTCAACGGCTTTGACGACGACGACAACGAGGCGAAACTGAACATGAAAGCAATCGTCAATCTCGCCAAAATGTTTGGCGGTCTAGTTTCTGATAACTCCCTAACACTGGCGGTCTTGAAGAACCTCAACTTTGCCTATCTCCAACCGAAGACTAGTACTTTTGTCGAAATACTCATCATTACTGTGATTCAACAATTCCAAGCAAAAAAGACGTCGTCGGCAAGCAATAAGAAAAACACATGGGATGAAAGCCAAAGGGATGGGAAAGCACTTGCTCGCATCTTCCTACAGACACATGATGTAGCGCCACATATAGTCAAGGGACTGATATACTTTGTGCGCAAAGTTGTGGCAAAGTCGGATATTGTGAGTTCCTCCAAAGAAATGAACCTTGTAAAATGGGGGTGTGGTGTTGCAGTTGATGCTTTGAAGGGAGTACAATTGGATGGCTAGGCTAGATTTTTACGTTGTATATTGATGAATCTTACATATCCCAGCGAAAATTATTGATAAAATGGGTGCATATCAAATATATATCCACAGATATTTTATATTGTTTTCATAAGAGATGACCGGAATGTGGCTTCGAGTTAGTTCGTAATATATCTAGGTTTCAATATTGTGATGAATTTCATAATTTCATAATCAGGACCGCATAAGCAAATCCCATTCGGCAGCAACCTGCCATTTCTTCACATTTCCCGATATTTCTGAAGAACCTTTATCCATCTCGTCGCTATCATCGTCACTCAATTCCGGTGATTGGGAAGATGCAATCACCTTGCGCGTTAGTTCCTTATATTCATTCTTCATATTCAACTCAACTTCCCACATTAAACCAAGCTGAATGCCGATTAGTTCGCCGGTTGAGAGCACTGTTCTCGATGGGGAGATAGGCCATGTATCCGGAGCATTGTGTTGTATATGAGCGGGTTGAGTGTTAGCACGACTGGATGTTGGTTCTCCTAGTAGTAGTATGTCTCGCTCGATATCTGTTTTGGTTATTGTATGATGTGCACCCTGATCATTTGTTTCAATAACCACCTGCGTAGCATGTACCATAATGACGGGCCCCGATGAATTCAAATATCCGTTTTGGCAGGAATCCACTCTGGCGGTGAACGAGTATCGGCTCGGGTCGGCAAGATAATGGGACCGATTCCCTTGCTCACGTTTCATTCCAAGTTCTAGAATCCAATTTCGAACCTGTTCTGCCATACCACCGGGGAGATACGTCGCAGTGGCTGAGGATTTCGCTCGTCCCCGTCGAGTTAAAGTATGGGTGGATGTAGGAGAGAAAGGTGCCGGTGGCGGGCTATCAGCGTTAGTTCCCTGTTCACGGCCTGGGGATGGAGATCGAGGTAAGACAAAAGCTGGTCTTTTCTTTGTATTTTGTAAATTTGAATCAGTGCGGGTCGGTGGTGTCGAAGGCGAGTTCGCCAATGGAGTGTAGTTCGAAGATACAACATAACGCGGAGGACCTCGAAATGCAGGTGTTTGGCTAGCAGTGATAGAATTGTGTTCGAATGCCCCAATACTGGGTGTTTCTGGCTCGAGAATATACTTACGTCGCGATGGGGCTGGTGTCTCCGTAGGCGGGCGTCGTTTAAGCGGTCCATGATGTGGAAATGGAGATGCTAGCGTATATCGAACTCTTCCTTGTTCTGGAGATGGGGGCGAGTTCTCTGAAGAGGAAGATATAGTATTCTGAGACTGGGATTCTCCGGGAAACCCTTCATCTGTGAGGTCTACCGGTTCTGGACGAGAAATTCGGCGTCTCTTGTTCGGATCCGGCGGGGCAAAGAGATCTTCGAAAGGCGAATTTTCATCGCGTTGTCTCTCATCCGACACGTCATTTTCTTCTTCTATGCTTTTTTGTGCAAGATCATGGTCTTTTATATTTCGTTCTGTAGTACCGTCAACCGCGTTGCTTCTTTGAAGCGGTGTAGGCGTGGCAAATGGCACTCGCGAGGAATCGTCGCGAGATGCGCGTCCGAAAGGCCCTAACGCTGCTCTTTGCCGGAATCTTTCAATTCCATCTTTGGGGGGTTGGACTGATCGTTGATTCTGATTCTGAGGTATAAGAAATCGAGGCGCCGATGCGAATTGATTGCGGTAGTTATTGCTATCATTATTGCGGGCAGGCGTATTCAATGTAAATGTCGGGCCTCGTGGGGCTTTTCGAGAAGGAGTTTTTCCGTCACGGATCCGATTGGGCATGCGAGCGAGTGACTGTGTCTGGCTATCCAGATCATCTGAAAACCATGGCTTTGCTTTGCGATTCAATAAATGTCTCTGAGTGAGGACGTCAATTGAAAGTTGGCGAAACGGTCGTGGGGGGATGCGATCTGTTTTCCGCCCTTTACTGCAGGCAGAATTTTCCACCGCCTGTAACCCGGAGGTATGACATCATTGCATCTGCCTGCTCATTACCTTCATGTATCAATTGTTAAGCTTAGAAAATATCTAAATCTATCAAGTGTAAGTTGCAGCTGACGGTAGGGAAGTATTAGATGAAAAATAATGGAATCAATTAATTAAATTACAGGGCAAATAAATAAAGTATGATGTCCTGCCAAATCAAGGCTGGTCTGAGCTATTATATACTGAAAATAACAAGTCGCTAATCATATATCTGGCCTCCCTGGAAAGGCCGCTTATCCCAGTACGGAGGACTGCTCTTATTATAATATGGGCCATCTCTGCATTGAGGATTTTCTCGATCCTCAACTGTACCAGCAGGCCATATCGGAATAAAACATGCTTCGTCATTGTCACATTTTTGGGGACATTCATTCCAGGTTGTCCATGACAGGTAATCAATTAGGTTTTGGATAGACAAGACAACATCATCGTACTTCACAATATCTAGAGCAGAGCGTAAGGTGCTGCAGATTGTGCTTGACACATCGTTTACTGCAGCGCTGGCAATAGTCGAGCTAGGCTGGTTGGGTGTCTGAAAATACCCTGTGCAGCGATTGATTTCCGCGCGGGAGTCTCGGTTGTCAAAGTCAATAAAAGGTAGCAAAACTCGCTCAATCTCAAGTTGAAGAGCATCCACAGTATCTAGTTTTCCTGACACGAAATATTTCAAGTCATCCGAGTACCGGGTGACAATCATGTCCGTGACATGTTGCCAATTATACGATGTTTGGCTGGGATCTGTACTCATCACAAGGTCAGACAAATCTTGCTTAATCGGCTCCAGCAAGTTCAGTGATATATTTGTGAGGCGCGGAAGTCCTGATGACTGGTTGAACAGATCCAATTCAGGATAGCCATACGCAGTAACAAACTGATCATAGTTCAAGCGCACACGGTCGCCCCCGATGCCACTATATCGCTTAGCGATGACTTTGTATAACCGCCACATCTCATCTATTACTGGTTTGCGGGCAGATCCATCATCGGAATATGGCTTCCCTCGAACCATATTGACAAGATGCAGATCATGGGCGAAGTCGCAGAGAATGATTTCGAAGCCGGTCTCCATCCGTATCAAGCCATCTATACGGCCATCCCAATCCTCGCTAAAGAGTTTACAGGCCATCATTGCTCTGCTGATATCATCGTGAGAATCCTCAATTGTGTCGTTGAACAAAATCCGATCCTGGCTGTCCAGAGTACCCATTTCTGATTTTCCGGCAGAGATACCATCGATATAGAGAAGTCGGAGATCTTTGCTCGCTGCGTATGTGTGCAGCCACCCTCTTTCAGCTCTTTCCTGTTTGAGAGGAGCCTGGTTGGAGTGGAGTGATCCTTTGGCTCGTATCTCATACGACGGGCTTTTATGATGCCCCATCCATTTGTTGACGAACCACAAAGCATGCTCGGGCTCAAATGCGAGCCATTCAAATGACGTAACTGGTTGGTTAGAATGGGACCCGTGGTAAAGCATTGTATGCTGTGGAACAGTCGCAAGGAAGAAAGACATGCCGTTGTGGTTCCATGATGAACCCCATTGTCTCATGGAAGAGTGAATGGCATTAAAAATGTGATTGGCATTTCCGACAGCCGCGGTGGTTGTCATATATAAGCCTGCGATGACAAGAATGCTGAAAAGCAGCATGATGCCCACTCTGATAAGGCATGTTGGTGCGACATTATTGACGATGCGTACGTGCCAAACAAGCATAAGCTAGTGGCTTGGCGCTACGGGCCGGAGTGGAGCCAGCCCACCGCGGATCTCAATGTGATGCTGGTTTCGCTCCTTCGAGGAAGAGAATGGCGGCACGGTATAGTTATTGTGAGGGCGTATACTAGTAAAACTGAATGGGAATAAACAGTACTGCATATAAGTCATAGACACATGTAGAATCGCTTAGAATTGCCGGTTGGGCTGGCAGCACGTGGCAGGTGAGGTATTTGCGATATCCTAGCCGCGGGTGACGTCAGCGGTGATAGGGCGGGCTAGCGTCTGGCTGGCGCTGTACAGAGTATATCATCTCGGCATCTGCACTCTCTAGTCTTTGCTTTCGTGTTAGACGCTTAGTACATCAGAATTAGTATCCGATCATTCCTACCATCGCTTGCCAGAACCACCAGCTTAATCCCATAATGCCAACGACAAACCCATTCTCCCCATCCCTGCGTATCATCTCGACTCATGACCCTGCCACCGGACGTGCAGTGTTCAGTGATGTCCCCGAGCATCCTCCGACTGGGGAAATGCCTAGTTTCATTGTCGGTAATGAGCCATCACGGAATCTAAGGCTGTATTCAACCAATACGTTTCCTGTCAGCGGGCTGTCCCCATCATCTGATGTCACCAGGGAAGAAGATTCAAATTCCGACCTCAAATTCTATGCTCATGACCTAGACCATCCTTCACCTCCAGATGGGTCTAATAAAAGTCATACTTCATGTAGAATATTTGAATTGGCCCCAGCACACGAGGGACCAATGCATCGAACGATCACTTTTGACTACTGCGTCGTGATAGACGGCGTGATTGAATGGGAGCTTGACTCAGGCGAGAGGAGGATATTGAGAAAGGGCGATGTCGCGATCCAAAGAGGTACCGCACATTCTTGGAAAAATATCACGCCTGCGGAAGAGAATAACGGCTGGGCAAGGGTGTTCTTCGTGATTTTGTCAAGTGAAAAGATCAAGGTGAAAGAAGGGAGAGAGCTGGGTCATGGGTTTAATTTACCGAGCCTGAGAGATTCAGCAAAGAGTCCCTATTGATTGGGATACTATCACCGATAGTCTCGCATCGCGTTTTTCATTCTGCACTATATTGATGCTTGTCAATTGTTACACATGTTTCGATTTCGGTAATAAGTTGGGTTAGCGAATTGATTGATTTGATGTCCTTTGGAGAATTGGAAGATTGACCATCTCGAGTCAGTAGAAAGCTCGTCCATTCAGCATCTTTTGCGCCGATACAATCTTTCTGTAGATCATCGCCTGTGTGTATACGTGTCCATGTAAAATCGTTGTCAGAGGTAGTCGCCGCAGCTAAGAAATGCTTGGCTTGTCTTGCTGCAATGTCATATATCAAACGATGTGGTTTTTCTTGGCCAGCTTCATAGCTGGTTACAACCATATCGATATCATTTTCTGCCGAATAAGGATGCTTTGCATTTGTGTCACTTTGCTCGAAACCTGGCAGCTCCATGCTCGACCGATCCCTATCAGCACGCGTATTGCCTATCGACAAGCCCAGCGATTTCAAGACAGCCGGCACACGGTCGTCGGAATTCGAAATGACTCCGGTAACAATATAATCAAATACATTGTTTGCTGCTTTAAAGCTTTGAAGTCCCCTGAAAAACGGCTCCACATCGTCGTACAATGCGTAACCCTCTTTGCTAGCAAAGACCTCAAGTAATTTCTCAATCATCCCGTTAGGAAGGTCCGTATTTTCATTTAACACCGCGGAAAAGGTGTCTTTCAGCAAATCGCTCCACCATTGTCGGGGACCTCCATATTGTCCACGAAGAACTTCATCACGACCATAATTCGGATGAGCTTTGCTCTGCGCTTTGAACGCAGTTCTAAAAGCACTTTCCAATCGTGTACTTGTCAGCTTGGATTCAGGCAGCCCAAAGGAACGGCCAACCGATGCATATAGCTCCGAGACTGGTCGGCGAGGGTGGAAAAGAGTTGAGAAGGCATCGAATGTGAGCAGGAGTGCGCGTCCGGTCACTGCATGTTTCTGAAATGAGTGAGTGGACATGCGCGCGACACTGTGCAATAGGGGGTTCATTGGAGTAGATGTTGAAATAATAATGACAACAGAGATGCAGCAGAAACGTGACCTGAGAAACAAACACCTGCAAAATTTTAGGCCGATCTTTAGCGCGCACTTTGCTCCTTTCTCCTTCCATATTTAGCTAGTCTCAGGGTCTCCGAATGTTTGCATTCAACATGATTGGCTGTTCCCCGAGGCAAATACGGCAAAAAACCAAGCAATGTCGCTGCGATGCAAACAAATCATACAACACAAACTAACACTTCATACAACCAACACGGGATCTTTGGGTGACTATAAGAGCATGCTGTGGCCTGTATTCAAATACTATGCAGATAGAGAACATCATCAATTACAGACGTCTATCAAGAATAGAAAAGTGTCAATTTAATCCCCTGATACTTCTATCCATATCATCTTGACCCAACATCGCAAATAGTACTAAGCATAACATTTTCGACTATCAAGATAATGGCGACGCTAGTGCCTGGAGCGAATTTCGGAAAGGAGTTCACCAACTTCAACATCCTGCAGGCTACCTATAAAATTGTGGATGGCCATGAAATCCGTGCCGATTTGTTGATTCCAAAATCCCTCTCAAAAGACAAAGCGCCAGTCATTGCTCGGTTTCACGGGGGAGGACTGGTGGGCTATCTCACGACTTGCGTCAGAATGTAACGCTAACGACGATTGCTATAGGTCCGAGGAGACTCCATCTATGCAGCCTGGTTTCCTTTATGGGTTCTTGAACTGGCGGAAGAACACAGCGCTGTCATAGTCTCTGCAAACTACCGCTTTCTCCCCGAAGTGACCGGTCTTGATGTATTGGATGATGTTGACGACTTCTGGACTTGGTTACACTCCGAAGACCTCACAAAGATCCTCAAACAACAAGAACATCCCATAAGCCTTGATCTAGACCGGATTCTCACTGCTGGCGACTCAGCAGGTGGGTTGCTTAGTGTTTATCTCACTCTGTCCCAACCCGATAATATTCGCGCTGGAACTGCTGCCTATCCTGCACTTCATTGGGATAATCCACCTTTATTACCTTCAACGATAAGCGCATTTATAAGTCACGTACCAGAGTCCTTCATTGATGAGTATCTCACAAATATCAAGCCTGGACACGTGGAATCCTCTGACCTCGCCCTCCAACGTGTGGACCTATCATCAGCTATTACCGCGAATCAAAGAGGATACGGATTCTATATCCGTGGTTCCGATGCATCGTCCCAGCGCGATCGGTTATACCAGCTTTCTAGACTAGACAAAGCAGACGCCAGGCTTCCGCGCGGTGGATTGGTGATCCTCCACGGCGTAGATGACGACCTTGTGCCGATTGGGGCTAGTGAGAGATTTGTGGATAAGGCGAGAAATATCCTGAAAGACAGACAAGGTGGTGATAGGGTGGTTCTGAGTCAACAACCAGGTGGTCATGGATTCGATGTGAATGCATCGGCGAAGGAACAGTGGCTAGCTGATGCCTTGAAGGTTGCCATAGATACATGGCTCGAATGATAAGGGGTTGAATTTAAGGGAGTACGTCCCTCGTATATGTACAATAGTCAAGTTTATTGTTTATCGAGATAGAAACAGCAACTCAACTCATTTATCAGACATATCATTAGTCGCGAAAATGTTATTAGCTTCTTTGTGGTCGTTATGATGAATGACTGATATTAATTCATCGTCTTATTTTTGAAATCTGTGAATACCTTTCCTTTTCTTCCGCAAATAATATCGATCTATTCTTTGTACTTCTTCATGCAGTCCATAGCGAGGACGGCGTCACTGTGAACAAACCATTGGCGTCTTCAATGACGTTTCCACTCAGACCAAGTAGATTAGCGTCAATATCAGATTGCATCAGAAAGTTTTGCATCATCGGACCTGATAGCGCCATCTCAGCAGTTAGATTATCCGCAGTTGTACTGTAAAGCAAAGCAGGATCTTCGACGGTGTCTAGAGAAGGAAGCAACCCAGCCGAGCCATTAACCCCCTGCTCCTCTTCATGGCCCTCGGAAATTCCACATATCGAAAGGATGTCAGTATTGATATAATTCTCGGCCGTCCGTGGGGCAAATTCTTCTGTTAAACAATGTTTAACGGATCGTAGATTGTCATGAAACTCGGTCGCCGCAAGATTTCCATGCTTGCTCATTGATCCCAGAATTTCAAAAGCCGTTTCAAACGAGGTGTAATCGTTTGTGTTACCTGGAGGAAGGAGAGTTGAAATGAGCAGAACCAGGGCTACTGAAAAGAGGTACTGAGCATAGAAGTAACAAAATATGGGCATGGATCCCTCAATCCACTCATCCGTAATTAACAAATTTGAATGCCTGGCCGCGTGAATGCATGCTTCACTTAATATGAGCAATGGCTGCGAAACTTTTTCGGGACTTTTTCGAGTGGCGGCAACTCCTCGATTGCCACGAAGGCACATGAGGACATATAGAAGAATGGGCCTGGTTGCCAATATCATGCACTGATAATATTAGCATCTATATTAAATTCCCAAAAGTAGTGCAGATTATTACCTGGTTAAATTGAAGATGCAGTGATAGGACATGTTTCGGGGTCGATTGGTCACGCGACAGTCTGATGCTACTGGGCAAACACTGTACCCAATTTTTCAAAGCAATTAGAAGTTGCTGTTCCCTATGTAGAAAGGATGCAGGGTGTTCCTTGCGACTGTAGACCTTGTCGATTACTTGTCCTGTAATTTTGGAAAGTTCAATACTGGCCACAAAATATTCCGGGTCGCTGAATTGGCTGTCCGCAGCAACTTCAGAAGGCATATCAACGTAAATGTCATTGTCTGCGACGGCGAGAGGAAACCCTGTTTTAGAGCCCCACATGCGATCAAAAACGTATATCGCCCACCATATGCGCACTCGATGCTGGCGCTCGACAGGGTTCATGCACTGACGCTCTGGAATGTTGTGGTTAAGACCAATAATGAGAGCCATGCGTAGGGCATTGCCAATCAAAAGAAATCCGGAGTGGCGTCTATTTAGAAAGTACGAATAGAGAGACTGTAAGATTGCGATGAGAACAATTTCTAAACAGAGGCGCCAATTTACGTACCAGTAATAGAAGACACTCGATGTGGGTCAAGTTTGGTCTTTCAGGCAAAATGGGTATCATCATCATAGCTCGTACGTAGTAAGCAGCCCCGGGAACCGCACAGTCGCTATGCGTAGTCGATCGGCCCGAGTAGACTTCCCCAAGAGCGAATATGGCGAGAAACTTGCATCTGACGACGGAATCCTGGAAATTTCGACCTCTATACATTTCTTCCAGCTGATCCAGAGTCGAATCTCGTAGAAATAGATGATATACTCGACCAGCTTGATTGAAGGCAACTTTTACCAGCAACCGTGCTTGTGCCAAAGATGGCCAATCAGTTTCGGCGCCGGAAAGCGCGTGAAGATTAGGCTCCTTGATATACTGCGTACGAGGACAGTGAGGTACGTCGGGGTTTCTTGACAGGAATTGACGTAGCCTTGTGGCAAAAGCTGTGCATGCTGCCTCGCCGATATATATTGGGGGGACAGATGGGTCATATGAATAAAACCACGCCCGATCACCGAGCAGAGGGTTGCGGACATTAGAATCGGGGTCACTGGCTGATACTTCCGGGCCCTGTGGCGAGGTTTCAGAGCTACTGTTTTTGATGTCATGTAGCTGTTCCTTGAGCCATTTATTTTCCATCATGACTTGATCCAGGTAGCTGGGCTAGAAGTCAGCTCTTAATACGCCGTAGATTCATCAGGGCTCACCTCTCGTTGACCTTGACCTGACGGTCCCGGGAGACATAATTGCATTCTTCAGCACATCCAGCCAGGCGGCATTTCTCACATGGTCTTTCACCGGAGCATTTCACCTTATGAGCATGACACCTGTGGCAGCTGATAATTCCTTTAGTCAGCATAAATGAGTGTATGGCATATCCAGGACGCCATACGCAACGGGTTTTTTCTTTGGGCGCTTGTGGGTAAGCGAGCCTTCCGTTTCGGCTTCGCAAGAATACTTTCTAGACGAAGTCGGGGTGATGGGGTCGTCCATCGTGTTCGCCGTGATTGAACTTGTGATGATGATATTACATGTAAATGTTGGCGGGTAGCTAGAGTTTGGCAGGTCATTGCCGAACGGACAACCTAGTCATTACCCTGGACAACTTCGAGTGTTCGAAGTGCGAATCCAAAGCAGTCCACCAAGCTTCACGGTAATCGATCAACTGGGATTTAATCCAGCGATGATGGTGATGCATGATAAAATCCGAGAGAAAAGGTAGACGGCGATTCTCCACATCGGGCGCCTTCCCCAAAGGCGCAGTACCGTCTGCAAATTGCAATTATAATTGCCGATTAAGGTTAGGCTAGACGGAGGTAGAACGCCTCTGTGAGCCAATCAGATGCAATCTGCGTATACTACGACGTTAAGAAGGGTTCGCTCTTATGGATATTGGTCAACTTTTTAAATGTACTAGTAATACATATCCCCATTTTATATAGATTTTTTATTATTGCCACATAGGAATGATTTAGTGCCATATTAGCTTATTAAATTGAAACTTTTCAGGGGTATTCCAGGGTAGGACTATGAAGAGATATTAGAGGGGCAGAAAGTATCTTGAGGCCATTTTGTATTATTAGTATATACATGTATCATCTTTGAATTTATGACGGGTTTACGTACATGTACACCCCCCAACATCGAAGTCGTTACATATATGACGGAGGATCAACTGGTGCAGCCTAGTACCTGACCCATGACTACAAACATCGTAAGTGCTATATAGACAGAGTGACCGGGATATGGATGGCCTTTGGGAACACCCGGCTTTTTCCAGATTATTCATTGCGACTATCTTGATGATACATTCAGCTTCGTAAATCCCCATCGTATTCATGGATACAGTTAGAATGTAGCCGGTGGCATAGACTGATAGCGAGGTAGATGCAGGCTAGGCCCAAGCCGGGATAGTGGAGAGCCTTTCCTGAACGGGACGACTGGCACCGACGTGGTGGGGAGAAAGATTATTCTAAATCCAGCACCGCGTTCTTCCTCCTTTTGGTACTTCTTTCATCCTCCAATGCGCCCGTTTGCGCGCCTCTCTCGTTCCCTGCCACCTCTTTACTCCATCTCTTGCTGTGTTTGAGCATGCGGCAGAACTTTCATATCCTCGCCATCTCCTCGCTTTCGTGCTTCTGAGTCGACCGGCGCGACCAATCTCTAGCTCGCGATCCCTCCTCGCGTCTGTGCTGCGCTAATCATCGAGGTGACAACCTGTATTGGCCAACGAAGACATTTGGTTCGCGCTTTTCAGCGCTCACCAACTGCTATTGCTTCTTTATCCCTTTGCATAACGACATGATCGTCTCCCCATGGTTTTTCTACGCTTGACCGTCAAAGTCCCCCCTCGGGTGTCCCCTGATATCTACCGGCCTAGAAACAGCAACACAGACGGCACAACGACCAATGGCGCCAATGGCAAAACTATTGCCTTCCTCGTGCCTGTTCCGAATCCAGAAGAAATCACATTGGGCGGACTGGCAGGTTTGATACAGGAGAAATGGAAAAAACTTCGGCCAAACGCAAGGTGAGTAAAGTGTCCTGCAAGTGGTGGTTCCTAGATTCTAACCCTTTGATCCAAACCAAAGTTCCTTGGATATTAAGAAAATCCTCGATGAACAGCACCCCGACGAGAATCTTGACGTTGATCTTACTGTCGCAGACGTGTTCGTGCAGCATGGCCGCGCCGCTGCGGATGGGCAAGACCAGCGCGCAACTGTGCTTGTCGTACAAAACCCAGTTATCATAAATACATACACTCGAGAAGACTCTGTCTTTCAGGACTGGACAGGTGCAGCAACCTCGTCCCAGAGCTTGTTCAGGCCAACAACTCACTCCTTTCGGCAACCCTCCAAAATTCATACGATCAAAGAAGATGAGCCATTGTTAGATCATAGCTCAACTCGTACTGATAATGAGTTTCTGCGTGATGGTTCCAACTACTCACACTACGATATACACGAAGCTGATATCCCAATGAACTCCGTGGAAAGAGAAAAGCCTGAAGATGTTCACGAACGCCTAGAATCCCCAAGTTACAACGACGAGTTCGCTACCGATGATCGTGAAGTGCTGGAAAGCTCTCCAAATCTTCCTCGTGATGTCAGCGAGGAATTAGGCGATTCGCCAATTCCAAAAAATGCGCATATGTCGTACCTCGAGCGTATCGAAGAAGAGAACACGAAAGCGTCCAGTGAAGGTCGGGGTGAATCACATGATCCAAAAGTTGAGAAACAAGAGCCTACCGTCAATGGTTCGGAGAATGCGACTCGAATCCAAGAAGCTCCGCAGTCGCACCTTGAAACAGTAACTCATTCTGCCAAGGATGCCTTGCCTAATGGAACGGTGAAAAATACGGCAACGTCAGCGACACCACAAACTGATGCAACTGGCGACATTGACATGGTAGATGCGAATGGTTCTGCGGAAAAGCCTGTCGCTGAAACTACTCACCAAACGCAATCACAAAATCACCTACCCCGTCATGGAGACACCAACCACACTCCGAACTCGGATGATAAAATATCACGAGATACTACTACTACTAAAAGAAAGCGTCGGAGCTTGGACGAACTACCCCCTTCCAAAGAACCGCGGCTTGAGCTTACTACAATACCCTCTACCCCGGCTTCCCGCAAAAAGCAACGCGCCGAGAGTAATGGAATCGTCTCGCAAGACGTGGAACCAACATCCACCATTAGACCGCGGTCTCGTGAGCGGGCCCCATCTTTCTCATCACCTCAAAAGGCTTTTAGATCCTCTATACGAGCTCCAAATCTACCACCGGGCAGTTTGGGTCTAGGAATAACCAGCAGTCCAGGGTCCCGTCTATCAAAGAAAACGCACGATGTATTTGACATTGATAAAAGTGTCAGCAAATCACTGTTTACACAGGATAAGGAACTCGCGTTGAGTCAATCGGTAGCCTCTACCCCATCCAAATTAGGCATAGCAGCTGAGAACTCGACTGCTAACTATCGTTCTGCATTGCGGAAGAAGTCACCTGCTGAACGTAATCATAATCGGCGGTCCATTTCATTTGTTGACGACGAGGTGGTTGAAACTACATCTGCTAGAGAACCCCAGGTGACATTTAAACCGCCGAACATAGAAAGGCGTGTAGCATCTCCTTCCGTCGGCGCCTCTGAAGGATCTCGTTCAACTCCGCACCGGTATACTAGCGTATGGCCCCCCAATGTACCAAGAGAAAGACTTGAAAAGTATATCGAGGAATCGAAATCCACGACCGAAAATGATCCCGAGGCTGTCAAAAACATGGACAGTACCCATATTCAGCAATCTAAACCATCTGTGGCGATTAAAGATGATTCCAAACGGAGCCTTGCCAAATCAACCCAGCGAGGTAGCACTCCTTCAGCCGAACATCCATCAAGTTCAAAGAAGAGTGACAGCACAGGAAAGGCAGCAGGAGAGGCCGCTGGCGACCATCCGAAGAAACCAGCCAAGAAGAAACAGTCGCAGCGCTTGTCCGACTTCGTTAAGGTTGACTATGACTCTAGTTCATCTGATAGCGATGAAAATTCATTGAATCTCAGGAAGAGGAAAATACAAGACTCGTCTTTTGCCGATAACAACATATTGACTCCAGCTGAGAAGGCTCGGAATGGGATTAAGGTGCCTAGTGTTGTGGTTTCGAAATCTGTCCTAGAGAGCCGCGCTCCTATTACAACCGGGAAGAGAAAAACACCGGATTCGTCCATGACTGATGACAATCTCTTGCCTCAAACTGAGAAGGTTCGGAATGGAATCAAGGCGCCTAGTGTTGAAATTTCGAAATCTCTACCAGAGAAGCGTGCTCCAACTACTAAAACAAAGCCCATGGCTAAGCGAACAATTTCGACCATGAAACCAGATTTATCTTCACAGATCAATCGCGCATCAAAGTCACCGCCCCGTGAGCATGTTAAGGGAGTTAAAGCAAGATCAGTCTCCGATGCATCTCAGTCGTCCTTGGCGACAAAGCAGTTGAACTCTGAATTGGAATCGGCCCATCACGAGTCGGCTGTCAAGTCCTCTTTGCCTGTTTCTACGGTTGACCCGGTCGCTGAAAAACCGGCCGGTGATTCTAAGTCCTCGTCTAGCTCATCTTCGAACTCAGACAACGAATCTGGTACCTCTGGGCCTGGGTCTGAGTCTGAATCTGGATCTGAATCGGAATCGGAATCCGATTCTGAGTCTGCGCCTGAACCTGAGTCTGAGCCTGAGTTGAAATCCGATGTTAAGAGCAAGCCTAACGGTGCGCCAGTGGCTAAATCCAAGCTTGAGGCCGAACCCTCTGGAGCGAGATCACAACCCAAATCGAAATCTAATTCCGAGTCCACCTCTAGCTCCGGCTCTGACTCAGAGTCTGAATCGGACAGCGATGGTGGTCTGTTTGCTCACATGAAGGAAGACCAGAACGTGCCGATTCCTAAAAAGCCAGACGTCAGTTTTTCGCAGCCCATCTTCGGCTCCAGCAATGGCTTTACTTCAGTTAATACTGCCAAGCGCCATACTTTTAGTACTCTTAGGGAGGATATGCGCAAAGAACAGGAGGCGCGCAAATCGCAAAATACGACCCCCGATGCCAATCAAACTCCCCGTCGTAGAGACATTTTTGAAATGCCATCTGGCGATGACAGTGACTCGTCAGACTACGATGACGACAGCCATAATGATAATCGGGGCGATATTCTACCTACAGGGAAAGCAAGATCCTTGTCACTTCGTAAGCAGAATCAGCCGGCCCGTCGTTGACCGATTTTTCCAGAGAATATCAACAGGTGTCGATATCAAGAATTGCCCAATTTGTCAGGTGCCTAGTTGAAAAGGGAGTGATTTGGGGGAATTCATTGCACATGTATGATTAATAAATTCTTCTATGTACTTATCCTTTTAATACCCGGCACGATTTCAATGTCTATGGAACCGCCAAGTCATGTCAACGTCTAGAAGATGCCAGAAAGAGTTAATAAGTCAGAAACTTTTCTCATTCATCTCCCGACCTGCCATCTTCTAAAACAATTCGTAAATGAAACCTGAATATCTGAACTTCCATATCTTCAAGGCACACTGGTCGCGCTTCCGTTCACCTCTCCAACGCCTTCCACAAATCCTTTCGGTGGAGCCTGGACCTCGAAGTTCCAACCTAGTTTATCCTCTTCTGTACCATTCTGAATACCCTTGAGCGTTTTCAGAAGTTTCCTACACACCTCGCCACCAAGGTTATCCGTGCCGACATCAAATGCAAACTTGTCGTGTTTCGACTCCAACGTTATCGACTTGACCGGCACGAGCGCTGCTGCTGTGCCCGCCGCAAAGATTTCTGCAAACTGCGAGATTTCCTCGTACGGAATCCGTCGCTTCTCGACCTTATACCCAAACAACTTGGACGCAATATCGCACACAGACGACGCTGTGACCGAATCAATGACATTCTTACTATCAGGGGTCACAAGAGTAACAGATCCATTGTCGTCTTTCCGAACGCCGATAAAGGCCGAAGTAGAGAATTCATCAACCTCACTACGCGTCTTGCTGTCCAGGTGTAACGTGATACCGTACTTAGACGCATACGCCTTTTGCGAGTGACGAAGCACTGGGGCGTAATTCCCACCGACTTTTGCTGACCCAGTGCCCTCTGGAGCAGCCCGATCAAAATCCTCAAGAATCAGAGCATCAACTCCATGTACACCATGATACACGCCTGTCGGCATGACAAATACCACAAAAGTATACTCATCACCGGGCGCCAAGCCTAACTGCGCTCCCGACCCAAATATCAACGGACGAATATACATCGCTGCTCCCGTTGCGTGCGGAGGCACAAACTCTGCATTGGCCGCAACCGCCAAGTTCACACACTTGAGGAAGTGTTCCTCAGGCACCTGCGGAATCGAGACGAAGTCGGCAGAGCGCTGCATGCGCACGGCGTTGCGCTGCGGTCGGAATATTGTGACTTTTGCGTCGTGGGGGGATCGGAAGGCCTTCATGCCTTCGTACGCCTGCTGCCCGTAGTTGAGACCCGGCGCCATGCCGTGGATTTGCAGGTGAGGGGATGCGACGAATTTCGGCTCCGACCAGGTGCCGCCGCCGGAGTGGCTGAAGTGGGATTCGACATGGCCGTTGACTAGAAAGTAACCATTAACTATGAGTTTTGTGTGAATAGAGGTGGGGGAGGGTGAGGAGACATACCTTCTCGGACCTTGAAGCCGACATTATTCCAGTCTGCAGGATGAGTTTCGACGATTAGACCAATTCCCAGGAAGATATATCCCGGCATACTTACCAATGGTGCCCACCGGCGGGGGAGGGAATGCCGACGCCATCTCTTTGTCTCTCTCGTTTTTGTGTCTCTCGTCTTGGTCACTGACTCACAGATGGACAAAAATTTCCCCGCAGGATGGCGATAGAGGTCCGGGGAGTTTGAGGATCACGCCCACCGCAAAGTATATATATAATGGATATGAGGCCAATAGAATACAGATTGAATACAGTCAACCCCAGCTTTTATACTCTGACGCAACCACTGAGTGTGAAGACGTTGTTAAATGCTGAGAGCGAAAACAGCGCCGAACCCGGAGCTGACTCAGCATGCTTCGGGCTGATCAACCAGTAGTTACACATTCCTGGCATTGTATACAATTTGCAAGTATACATTCATACATTTATACTCTCATACCGTATGCTCAAATACTAGAATCGCTTCTAGCTATATGACATTATATACAACGCCTGGCATATCTCGTTTCCATCATAGTTGGCAACATTGAAGCTTCACGGCGCATCCGATCCCGGCCGCCAGCCCTGTTCGGGAAGCAAGCAATGGGTCAATGTACGTACATAATCGCCCCAGCCTAGAATGAATGGGATGCACCGCGATTTACCACCAAGCTCTGCTAACCCCATAATTATGACTGGGACTACATGTTGTGCAATCATGCGTCAAGGTATACGCCTGCTGAAAGGCAGCCGTGAGTTTGTTGTCACTCCACAAGACGCTTGTCCCACACCTGCAGCCTGGCTGCTGTTGATAGCTAGGCTGGTATCTTTGCCCGGTCTTCCAGACTTGGTAACTTGTTGCAAGGAGCGGGTCGAGTGCATTTGCTATTGTTTCTAATCTCTGAAGAATATCTCTATTGAGATCCACACCGGATGGATAGGAGTATATATTCGGTGGCTGGGGAAAACTGTGGTCCACCATCCTGAGACACATTTGTTCTATATTGGACGGGGTTTCTGCCATTATTTCAGTCACTCTTCGCATATCCACAGTGTATGTCGGAGAGAAATAGGTTGTCCTTGTCAGTGTGTTGTTCAGCTTCATCAACAGCGGCACGAGCACCCAGAGTGCCTCGTCCTTATACATAGTATCGTACGAGCCATTTCCAGTGCAGACCAGTGTGTGCCGCAAAAAGTTTAATTGCTGTGTGGTAAATGAGTAATAGCATGGCTGTACAGCTAGACTGAGGCATCGGACAGGCAGTTTCTGGTCGAATGGGAAACACAGTTCCGCGAGCGTACCGATAAAGCCACGAACGATCTCAGCATCGCTCTTCCCATACTGCGCAGGCTGGTTAATGTTTGTGTAAGAAAATGCGTATTGCTGAGGTGGTAGCATATTATTCCAGGGATGAGGCTGTGGAAGTGTACCAATGTTGCTTCTTAGTCGATTGCAAGCGTCTTGAATAGCGACGAGGAGTGTCTCCCGTGTTTTATGACAGTTTTGAAACTCGTAGTTGATTGAATAGCTTGGATGACAACAGTACACGATATCAATAAATCGGCCCGGCATCAATACTAGCTGTGGTTTGTTTTTAAATAGAAATGTTTTCGCCGACTTTGTCATTATGGTAAACAATCAAGTTAGTCCCATAGTTGACTGGTTGAATGGCCAACTTACGCTGCCCATGCATAGGATCACGTTTGGTTGCTTAGCGCGTATAGCCGCGAGAACGAGGCTATCATATCGTTCCATTTCAGCGCAACGGGATACTTCCAAGCTCTTGTGCAGAGTCTGCGATAGGAACGGCCATCTATCCATAACTGAAACGTTGTTGGTGATGCATTGTCCACCCTGTGAAACCCTCGCGATCCCTTCTCTCAGTGCCCCCAACGACGGACATGACGAAATCACCGCTTCAATACCACTTGACCAAGGATGATTAGCCAGCGGTTCTTGCAACAAGACCAGCAATCCACCAGGTGTAAATGGCCGAGCAAAAGCGCGGGTGACAGTTCGTTCCTCGTCCGGTATACTTCGGAAGGAATTATTGACGAAGCTTATAATATTCTCAAATTCATATTCATAATTCGGCCCCGGACAATTGCTGGGAGGATGATACAGACTCGGAGGGTTGGGCTGAGCGATTGATAAGCCTTGAAAAACAGATTCAAGGTCTCCCATGCCTCCATTCCAAACTTGAGAAAATGTCATCGGCAGCGCCATTAGAAGATCTGAATATATATGTGTACATGATTGAAATATTGTGGCTTAAGATCGGCGATAAAACTGTATATGTACAGAATACACATGGTGGTAGCTCCCAAGCGATCCAGTGACGAGTGTAGGGTCGTTTTTAATGCAGCCACAGCCTGAAGCCACCTATCAAGGCCGCAAATTAGCGAGCGTCAGAGATGTGCAGGGGTATCATGCATGGCCAGGTTGACATACCGCGCAGGCCGGCGCTAAGCACGGGATTTGGGTCGAATATAGCTTCCCATATGCTGGATTCCTGGCATTTTCAGAGATTTTTAAATCTGATTGATATACCTACTGAATAGATGGTTGTCATTCATGATCAGCAGGATTTTTGTGTTTCGAAATGTTGACCTGATACAAGAAATAAATGGCTGCTGAGCATAAAATATGTCGAACAACATGAAACCCTACTAGATAGATTTAGTATCTGTTTGTATAATATTGAATGGCACCACCATAGAGAGCGGCCCGTTCCTGAGCCCCAAGGACGAACAGTGAATACGAACTATAAAGAACCCTTCAGGCGTGGTTGAATCCACTGACTCCGCTAAAGTATAGGGCCTGGATGCCTCTTGCTTCCGGGGACTGCCTCCTCTAGGATGGGGTGCTAAGACGCCACCCGCGGCCCGTCGGGGTCATACTTGTCCATCACCTTATTTCCCCGGTAGGCTGAACTCTCTATCTACAAAACAATGTTAATTACCATTACAAGCCAACGTGTACGCAGTTACAAGATAGTAGCAGGGAGAAATGAGTACAGAGGAATGAATATGCTAGAACGTGATAAACATGCTCTGAACTGGGAGTGTGGGGAAATCTTTGACATTATGACGCTGGAAAATTCAATATCATTTATTGTGGGAGACTGATATAAATAATTATTAAAAATTTATATTTTTTTGATGACATTTTAGTAGAAAAACCATCTCTAGCTACTTCCGTTTCAAGGCTTTGCATTTTCCCCAGAGTCAGCAAAATAAAAGCAAACATAGCCATCCATGGCAATTAGCTTGTTATATTGTTAAATAAGATTATTGTTCTCATCTCGAAACATAGTTATTGCGTCAATTTATATCGTGACGCCCAAACATCAATTATATCAATAGCTGTTATTAAATATTGCCAGCTGAAAAATGTTACATTGCTCATCAATACTCTCCGGATATCTTCCTGCACATGATACTAGTTATCTAATCTCAGAGGCAGAGGACTCCACAGATGTCATTGTGACAGCTCGAGGCATTTACAAGACCAATCCTTGTGAGTGAACAGATGAGGACCCGAGATTGGGGACGAATGCCCAGACTAGCAGCTTTAGTTGGGTAATGTTGATTGGGCCAGAGCTGTGGACAAATGCCGCAAAGGAATCCACCGTGCACGTTATCGATTATCTATCAATGTCTCCCCCTTTTAGTGGGCCAATGGCCGATCTTGATAAAACTTGGCTGCTCACGATGCCACGATGGAACAGTAGTTGGTGTTGGCATTGCCGGGGAGAAGGCGATCTCCGCCCCTTTTCTTTCTAATCTGATCCCGATTCTCTCTTCATTTTCGAGAACACAACTCCCGCTGGGATTCATTTCGATACACACTCCCGCCCTGCCATGGAAAGTTCCGAAACACGAGCTGAAAGTGATGCAGTCGGAGAACCGTTCATAGCACGCGACAGTGAATCCGATCACAATCCAATCAGCAGACGAGAATTTCGGTACGGGTCTCCAACCATCCGCTGCATAGCTGGTGCGTACTAACAATCATAAGTCATAATACAGTGTACACCTCGAAGCAAAAACACCGTGAGTGAAAGCGCCCGAACGAACGACGCACCCGACTGAAGCTGAAAATTTGAAGGGCGTTTTCTTTCACACCTCCGTGGCCTATTATACAGGCAGTCTACCGTACCCTTCGGTTCCGATAATGCATACCAATACGTTTCGACAGACGATCAGTATGAGTCTTTTCAGGAGCAGGGTGTGCAGCAGGGTCCGCGATCCTTGAAAAACTCCGTTTCGAGAATGATTGTCTCGAATATTAAACTTTTCGCATCCATGATGATAGTACCGGCAGCATTAATTGTTGGCGTAATTAAAGTACACCCAGCTGCGGCCTTTTCCCTCAACCTAGCAGCTGTCATCCCACTGTCAGTCGCCCTCACGATGGCCACTGAATCGTTGTCGCGTGATCTTGGGCCCACTGCCGGTGCTCTCCTCAATATCAGCTGCGGTAACCTGGCAGAAATTATTATTTTGTATGTCAGGTCCTCAATTCTTCTTTGCTTTCGCCTACTAACGTTTTCTAGGATGTGAGTTTTTATTCTCTAATAATGGCAACAAAATTCTAAGAAGGATAGGACTGCTCTTTCGGAGGGACATGTGCGCATTGTCCAGGCATCGCTTCTTGGATCGCTCCTCGTAAATCTGCTGCTTGTGCTGGGCCTTTCGCTTGTCGTCGCAGGCATGGCCTACAATGAGCAAACCTACGACGATACCTCTGCACAGCTGTTCATCGGACAACTGAATTTGACCGTGTTTAGTTTCATTTTACCTGTAAGTTCATGCATGCAGTTGGCAAAAGAACTAGGGACTAATAGCTTTAGACTGCATTCTATGGAGCCATGAGCAAAGTTACCGACGCCGATCACGCGTCAATTGCATTTAGTCGAGCGGTTTCACTCATTTTGTTAATTGTGTATATAATTTATCTCACATTTCATTTGAGATCTCAACAAACTTCCTCCGAAAAAGCCTTTGAAATGGACCAGAATGCTCAAAACCGATCGGAGCGGGCTTCTGAAAGTAAGCAACCCCTGGAAGGACTGCTTGTTATACGTTTTTTCTTTGAATCTAATGTTTGAAGAAGTCGAGCTGCCTCCCCTCCCGAAACCTGGTCCTCACACGAGGTGGAAATCAAGCAGCCTCAGTGCACCTCCAACTTTCGACTACCGACACATTCTTTCTAAGCCTGCAACATCATCGTTTCCTTTTCCTCGACACAGTCTCGATCACGTTCGATCACGGGCTTCAGATGCCAGCCGTACAAATGACGATCCAGAATCTCAAGAGGAACAACGTCCAGCCGATCGACCGACATGGATGAGCCGTATCTTCGCTCTTGCAACCCTAATTGCTTCCACTATTGTAATTGGAATCTGTGCAGATACCGTGGTTGCGAATTTCCGTACTCTGAACGAACGAGGTACGCTTAGAGAATCGTTCGTCGGTCTCATCATTCTCCCCGTCGCCGGCAATATTGCCGAGGTCATCACTTCAGCCATGGTGGCTGCAAAAGGCGAGATCGATCTAGCAATAAATGTCGCCGTTGGATCCGCAATTCAAATTGGATTAATGGTCACCCCTCTAACGGTCCTTGCTGGCTGGGCAATGGGGAAGAATATGAGTCTGCATTTCAACGGTTTCGAAACAGTGGCCATCGTTGCGGCTTCCTTGATGGTTAGCTTCTTGCTTGTAAGAGGGAAAGCGAATCACTTTGAGGGAATCATTCTTATTGCGTCTTATGCAGGAGTATCGTAAGTTCTATCTGAAGTTTTCAAGTACATATACTTCTTTGACAACTAATTTTCGAATAGCATTGGAGCATTGCTTCTACCGGATTCACGTTAGCGATATGACCCCTTGACTGGCCTGCTATTAACCCTCGAAATTGGACTCCATTTTGAAGAACTATTTTCTACTTTAGCGTGATTTCGTTTTACATATCATGTAGATCATTAGATTTTCCTGTACATATCAGGCAATATTGTGCCCCAGACCAGCTTGCTCAGTTCTTTCTGTATTTACTTTCTTGGTAGGTTATAATTCTGACCCCAAAGACTCTTTTCCATGTCCACCAAATTATTTTGGTGCTTCACAGAATCTTTTCGCCACAATTGGCAGCATTTATTTGCTAAGTCGTCTCGGTTGAAAAGCAGACTGCCGAAAAGTATATTGAAGAGCGTTGTAAAATTAGCCTGCAACAGGCATGTGGTTTGATTTCTGATTTTGAAGCTCTTGGTCGCTTGACAATTTTAAAAATAATTCCCAACTGTGAAGTTGATCGCTTCTGCTACTCATTGTGAAGTCTTCCAGTTTTACTACACACCTAAATAGTGTTAAAGCCTATAGTGTTGCCCATGACTTTCGTAAACCAAAAAGAATGGATAAGTGAAAAGCCGGGTCAGATATTGTCCGAAATGTATGGCTTGGCCTGAGCGCTCGCTTCTCGGTGGTACATAGTACATTCATCGAAGAAATTTGAAGAAAATATTCCCAAGTCCTGACTACTGTAATCTTTTCAGAGACTTTAAGATCCTTAGCCAGTTACCTAAAAGAGGATATGGATCAGGGGCAATAATTGGGGGCTAGTTACGGAGAATCGGTAAACCGGTAAAATCGTCTAGTCATTATGCCGAGTAGAGTAGTATTGATATTTCTAGAACGATTCTCGTGGAAATTCCATGAGTCGCCAACGAATCAGATTCTAGGATAATATCAAGCAGCAGGCACTACGTAAATATGTATCAGAGATCGGCAATGCAATCTCTTGTGAAGGCTTGTCTCAGTTTAAGACATGACATATTTAGGTTTCCACATCACATAAATGATGAAGTTAACGGTGGCCGCCAACGCACTCTATGACAACAAAAGTAATGTTTTCAAAGGCTCTTGGAAAAATTAAGAATCTTTAAGTATTTTGTTATAGCCTTGAATTTATTCATGTTTAAGAAGGACTTTTCCCGCCGTGCCTTCAATATTTTACGTCAAACCAATCACATACAGATAGACTTACTTGGACCAGGAAGCTTTGCGGGGGCTATCTTAATAAGCATTTAAGATCCGTTACGTCTTGAAACTACTCCCAGAGAGCAGTAAGCAATGCTGCAATGCTACTTTACGTTCCCCGAAAACCAGCTAATGTATACAGTTTGCGGCCTAGTTGGGGCTAAACGCAAATCAACCCGCACGTGTGGCAGATCAATAGTTAGGGAGGTACTGCTATAGTGTCAAATGTCCAGTGTCATAATGCTTATTTCTCGTATTTGATGACTCCTCAAAATCTATTTAAACCCCGATGCCGTCTCCCCTGAGGTCGCCAATTCCTCTCATAAAATTGACAAGCATTAAGTATTCTACATTTGCCACAAGAACCTGATAGCAGAAGATCTCGAAATCGACAATATAAGCATTCATAAGTGCTAAACTTATCAAAAACAATGCATTTCAACACTCGAACTGCGCTGGAGCTCCTTCCACTGCTTCAGCTGGCATCGGCAGCCCCGCAACTGGTAACAAGAAACTCCAGTGCCTGTGCTCCAGGCTTTTATCTCCCCGGAATAGCCAATTTCCAACTCCAGCTTCCAATTGGAAGTGAGGGACATCCGCAAACTGAATCTGGTTCGGAGCTAAGCGGCTGCGGTGGCTTCCAAGATCCCGACTGGTTCTATTGGGACAGCAATGGAAAGTATATTGTCATGAAAGCACCTCCCAGTTCTACAGACTGTGTCAAAACTACAAATAGCAAACACTGCCGAACAGAGTTCCGCGAGGAGAAACCCGATAGCTGGTCTGCAAGTGCCACAAATACGATGACTGTCAAAGTTGCCGTAGCCAAGGCTGATGATGGCAAGTACGGTACTGTCATTGGACAGGTGTTCTCCGCAGAGTACTCTAAACCGGTTGCAGAATTATTCTATAAGCCATCTGGTGAGATTAATATCGGCGTGGAACAAACTACAAGCGGTGGAAACAGTGATTATACCTCAGTTGGGAATGTCCCAGAAGGAACCACCTTCACCTACGAGCTGAGCTATTCTCATGACTCCTTGACATTTTCTTTAAATGGAGGAAAAGCGCAGAGTTTCGCCACCGATCAACTTGGTAACCCTGACAGTTATTTCAAGTTCGGCAACTACAACCAAGGAACAGATGCTGAGAGTGAGGTCCATGTTTATTCTGTGGATGTTGTGCACAAGTAGTAGCTTTTTCTTTTGTTGAAATTTGATGTACAATAAGCAACAACATCCGAGACGGCTATAAACGAGAAAACTCCTATGGAACGTATATTTTTGAAACTTGAAGATTATATGGTCATGGAGATACTCATCGAAAGAAGGTCCCTTTACAGTATAATGTCTGACAAATATTGAAATCAAATTTCTCCTCTTAAGCACTTATTCTTAACAACAACATACAAAGCCATAAAGCTATTAAATCCGCGACTTATCATGGCGCGGTATTCCCTCAATTTGTACCCCGTCAAACCATCCAACCCTGTCCTCTGTAAATTGTTCAAATTGTGGTTTCAACTTTGACTCATGCAAATTAAAATCATCCACAGTTCCGATCCTCAAAATACTCAGCCCCGGAAATCTGGTGCTTCTCCTATACATGAGATTCCCGCAGATAGAGCAAAAGCTGTCTTCCATAAAGGCACCCGAGGCAATTGTCCTATTTTGTGCATATCTGGACAACTTTTCCTCCCCACGAAGGTGCTTGAGACTCCTGTCCTTGACAGTGAAATTCGAACAGAACATCGATGAGCTGAGCTTGCGGCAATCGGTGCAATTGCAAACAAAGGTATTGACGAGATCTTCACCTTCAACAGGCTGTTCCCAAACCATTAGCTTGAGCACATAAAATTGGGCAAGTCGCAATGCTCTTAGGGTTCAGACAACTTACGAAGGATAGTTGCACTGCTCCACATAGACATGTTGCGGTCGCGGTTCCATCTGGTTTGACGCCAGATGCACCGGGTGAAGGGATTGGAATATGAACTCCTGCCATTTGCAGCTTTGGAAACTAGAAGTTTTACTATAATTGATCTTCAATGGAAAACAAATGTCATTTCTGGATTTCTGCTTCGTCTTTATAGTGCTTTGGTCTCTCTCTACGGGACAAGGGCCCCAGATAATTGGTAATCACTATGAGGTATTTTGGCATAATCTAAGCAAAAGATTTGGATTTGTAACTAAGAAATAATATATCCGTACTATTCGAGTAGAAAACCTCGCCTCTCAAGTCAAAGCACGCTGGAATTAGTGAGCCCTATAGAGCTATGAAGCTTACTATTGGCTGAGGGGAAACCCTTTCGCTGACAAATGACTCGCAAAAATCGTCGTATTTGGTTAGGCTGGTTACCCCTCTCGATCGTCATCGAAGAGTAACAGAGTGTTCGCAAAACTAACCTCTTCTGATAGCTTCAATTCTAAATTGCAGTTGTTATTCCTCTCATTTACAAATTATTTTTGATTTTTCTGAGTTACGCCAATAGGCTTCTTCAAGAACCACCAACGACATGGTCCGGCATCCCGGAATGAGCCGTGGCTGTGCAACATGTAGAAAACGTCGGATTAAGGTCAGAACCAGAGTAGAGGTGCAGCTATAGATTAGTTTTTGATTCTAGTCATAGTGCGACGAGAAGATTCCATCTTGTTCACAATGCTCACGAGGCAGGAGGCCGTGTCCTGGAGCAACCGGTGGCAAGATATTTCTTTTCACTCAAGCAGGCAATCCTCGAAAGTGTTCACGAATTCCACCACAACCAAGCGAATTACGCAATAATGATAATCCCAGCAACTCTCTAAAGTCTTCTAAAGAATCCTCCGACTTTGTGCAAAGCACGGTTAAGCTGAATAGAAAGCATGGCCAAAGTCAGGAGATGGGTCTGAATATAGTCGCAAGTCACACGCCCACCACATTTATTGGGACACAAGCAGTATCACAATTTATCTCTTTCTTTGCAAAGTCGGCTATAAATAAAACTAAATCGAATAGTTGGATGAACATACTTCCAGATATGCTAGCAAGTGGCTCCCGAATCGAATTAAGATCGTCCGTGCTAGCAGCAGCATTTGCATTGTATAGTACAATATGTCAGGACACATCTTCGGAGATGGAAGCAAGACGACTATATGTAACTGGCCTAAAGCAACAGCGTGTCAAAATGATTCTTGCGTCTCACTCATCGGAAAGGATCATTCCAAAGGTTGAAGATGTTGCGATGGCTGTTATGCTAGCTTATTACGAAGTAATATCGCCGACGACCGACACAGCTTACTTTCAGCATATATTAGGAGCCAAGGTTTTGCTGGAGATGATTGGCCCTCAGAACTGTCAGGAAGGTTATTTCCATCAACTGTTTCAAACCGTGAGGCTATACATGGTAATACTGATCTCATACATGAAGCTCAAAGCGCCTTTCTTAACTAAACATTGATTGCTTTAGGTTTATATATCTATAACGACAAAGTCGACGACAATATTTGCTTCAGAAAGCTGGACTGAGATTCCATTTCGAACTTCGAGGAAGACTACTTGTGATCGCATTGTGGATGTCCTGCTACAGCTGCCGCAGATTTGGGTACCACCAAATAACAATGTGCCAGAACAGCGAGCTTCTGATTTAACACTGCGTGGATTTATGAATAAACTAAAGGCCATTTGGAAAATATTGGAGCTTGGTCATCAAGTAATGGCATCACATATGGATTTGTGGGATACGGACCGGATACAGATGCACGGAATAGACCTTTATGACTTTGTTCCTGGGCCTGTTATGGTTACTGACTCGGAGACAGCAATTACGACAGCTCTCTACAGCCTTGCCTGGATCTACATTCTAGACGAAATTCAAACACGATGTCCAGAGATGCAAATGTGTGAAAGATTACTTCTTGGTCACTGTGATGCTGTGCTCAGAGCAGGCCATTTTATTGAAGATTTTGAAGACGGATGTGGCTTGATACGAATGGCCTTTCCCTTGAGGTCAGTCGCTCTTCTTAGCCCTGACCCTTTGCAACGAGAGTATGCGAAATATCGTTTGGAGCTATGGCGTGTCAATAGGGGTTTAGGGGGGATTTGTGCCGTTGTAACGGCTCCTGACAATAACATTTCGGCTGGTAGGGAAAATCAATATACTAGTTGAGGCTGATTGAATTAAGCACTGGCGTTAGAAAAGTTATGAGGCAAGAACATTCAACTTATCACAGAGCATGTAGTCAATAAGCGATTTGTATTTGGTCGAAATCGACAACGAACTGTAAAACTGTACTTCTAGACTTAAATTTGCCCAGAAAGAACTGCGATTCATGGCACTATGGCAGTAATGGGCATAAGTATGGTATTTCACTCTATGGCCTGAGCATTTTGAGAATATCTAAAAGATCTCAATATGAGTCTTGCAGTTCCGGTTACAGAAAAGACGGTAACCGGAGCTTGCCGAGTTAGTAATGCCGAGGACCGGCAGAAATCAATCATAAATTCCGATATCTCTTCGCGCTAGTGATAATAACATGTGAAGATGATTCATCTAAAGAATATCTATATTCTAGTTGAAATGAAAACCAACACACCAACCTTCCCACCATTATCAATTCAAGTCTACAGAAGAAATGGCACACCAGGAGTTACCGCATCTCAAACTCCCAGAGGGCATCACATCTCGCCAAATTGACCTCTCATCGTTCGGTCACCTTTCCTTCCACGTTCTAGAGGCTGGCTCTCCGTCTAATCCATTGATTTTGCTACTCCATGGATTTCCCATGTTAGCTTACTCATGGCGAAGAATCATGTTACCACTTGCCAACTCCGGATACTATGTAGTTGCTCCGGATCAGCGGGGTTATGGTAGAACAACAGGGTGGGATACGCGGACGTACACTGAAGTTGATTTACATGCTTTTTCGACTACGATATTCGTTAGAGACGCACTAGCTCTGGTCTCTGCCATGGGCTTTGAAAAGGTGAAATGCGTTGTCGGTATTGATGCAGGTGGCGTGACAGCCGGCGCCTGTGCGATAATGCGACCTGATATATTTGAAAGCGTCATGCTTTTGACCCATCCATTTAACGGATCCCCAAAGCTGCCATTCAATATTTCGAATGATTTAAAAAACGAGGGACTCGTCCAAAATAACATTGCTACTAATAAAACAGGCTCAACGTCGATACATGAACAACTTGCCGCGCTTGGCCGTAAACATTATAAATGGTACTATTCTACCCCAGAAGCAAATGCAGACATGACCATTCCATCCACAAAGGGAGGTTTGAGCGCCTTTTTACGTGGTTATTTTTACGTCAAATCAGCCTCGTGGGCGGGCAACAAGCCGCATCCACTCCAGGGAGGATGGATAGCGTCTGAACTCGTCAAGCTGCCATATTATTATATAATGCCCCTCAATTCAACAATGCCGGAGGCCATTGAGGAGCTAATGGTTCATGAATCTAAAGAAGAAATAGAATTATCGAAAGAGTGGTTATCTGATGAGGACATTGAAGTGTATACCTCCGAGTACAGTCGTACCACATTCGCAGGCGGTCTAAATTGGTATAGAGCTTACACAGATGGAAAGTTTAAGCAAGGAATGGACGTCTTTGCTGGGTTAAAGATCAAAATTCCCTGCGCATTCATTGCCGGGGACAAAGACTGGGGTACATATCAAGAGCCCGGGACCATAGAGAAAATGCGCGATGGTACATTTTGTGAAGACTTTCGTTTTTTCAAGATAGTTGAAGGCGCTGGTCATTGGATCCCACAAGAGAAACCGGATGAGGTTGTTGAGGGAATTCTGAACCTTGTGAATGGCGTCAAATGATGCTAGTCCCTTCCTATGCAGGGCCTTTCTGGATCTTTAAATGTGGGAGGGAATTACGCTTTTCAAATTTGGTTTATCGATCTTCTTGAAATTTCACCATCATTCTTCGAGGACAAAAGCTATGCTGGCGCGTAAATATTTTAAATACTACCTGATCAAGAAAAGGTGGCGAGAGTACCTCGATCATTTTACTACCGAATATAACCCCTTCCTCGACAACAAGATCCAAAGCACTGGTCACCTACACGTCTTTAGAGTAAGTAGTAGCTCTACCAAAAGCAAGAAAGATAGGGGTTGAAATGGACCTACCGTAGTATACCACCCGCAGCGCAGTTGACATTTCGGATGCTTGTGGGTACTTTAGAGCTTTTTGGGAGCTAAAAAGAATTAAAGTGGTCAACAAGTAACCACAATTTGTCATTATGAAGGTGGAATTTTACTCAATATGAGGAAAGTTTGTTTCGTAGCTTGGAAGCATGTCGATATATGGGGGCGGGTGTCCGCGAAGAAGCACACACTTCTTCGCCAAAACTTTATGGAGTTTACTGGCCATGGCGAGTCTTTTTGAGAGACAAGTTGCGGTTGTATCGGAGATCGAGAATGAGGCATTATAGAAGATCAATGAAGTGAGTCAGGGGTTTTAAAGAGCGGAAAATGGTTTCACGAAATAAGTCACAGTAACAATTGTTACCAAAAATGGCTTCATTGTTCGAGAATTCCCTGCATAAACACTAAAGATTTGGCGTACGACCTTTGCTGTGTTACGAATATCTCGAGGGCTATATCATCTAATTAGTGGAGGTGACTTACTGACTGTTACCCAACTGAGTCTTGCCAATACTGACTCAGTTGTTATTAGAATTTCAAATTCTAGCTATCAAATAAGAGAAAGAGCGAGAAAAGGGGTTGACTGTTTCAACTGTCGTGCACAGTCCTTCAAGGTTGCATCAGCTTTCCTATCTCCTGATGCTCCCAAGGTAACTCCTTGTGACACCTACAAGAAAACATTGACATCATTTTATTCCGGGATGTTATATTGGGTCTTGTGGTATTCTTTATATGACCTTCATGCCTAGCCCGCGAGTTATACCTACATACTTTCGACGCGATGCTTTAACTATATTTAAAGTGGAGATTTGTCCCACAGTGCAAACTCTTTAACATCTTCCATCCAGCCTTGGCTATTATCATCGAGATTTAAGTCAAAACGTTAGAGCGTACGTACCAAGATGGAACGTAGTTCGAAATATGCCAGGCTATGTATATCAAGCATGTTAGAAATATAACCTGCTGCTTCACTCTGTCCATGAGAAGTTCAGAATATTGGGGTAGAGCGGGACTCTATTCTAGCAAAGCTATATCAGAAAAGGCATAACGAAGCAGCCTTCGCATACGGGTGTGATCGATTTAGTTAATCACTATATTTTATAAATTTTTTAAGGTTTTCCATATCACCCACTTTCCCAAAAGATCATGGAGAAAAAGGCTTGCTGAGCGCATACCAATAATATTTCGGGATTTCTCATGATAGTAGTCTGGGTTTTTACTGAGATCAGTCCAGTCTGATTTTAAACCATAGATATCTGTCTACTCGGCCAGTCAGAAAGTCTCTATGCAGTAGCTGACTCCTGCATATAGTATTACCTGTCCAAGCTTAAGCGGTGATACATGACAGGAAATTCGGTGCCACTCTAACTGCACTCCCATATTTATCATGTAACGCATTTTACAACCCCGACGGGCCACCCAAGCATGCGGGCCACCTGTAATCTCGCGCACCAATTCCATGAAATTCTGGAATCAGATTTCAGTACTTACTACTCTTGGTATGGAAACATTGTTTGCACGAGCACCAATGGCGTCAACTTCGTGCACGTTTTTCCCGGTCTCGTTTATACACAGGCGATGAGTAATGCAAGAACCACAATAGGTCAAGTGATGAAATACATGGCGATTGTCTTTGGAAAATAGATCACCGTACGGTTAGAAGACTGTGGTGAAACACATTCGTATTTAGCTACAAGCGCCGCGCCCAGTACCCGCCAGCTAAGGACAGCCCTTCTAAGGCTTTGGGCGTATCAATTCCTGAGGGCAAAGGAACAGCCTTAGACAAATCAAATTTTGTGGGAAGTGGAGTCTATTCTGTGGATTCTCGTGGAAATTCCAAAGCGAATGATATACTGGCCAAGTATCGAGCGAACGGAATGAGAGAGAAGGCTTGTAAGTATGGAGGGAGAATTCAAACGAGTGATTGGCAAGTGATATTCAGGAACATATAACATACCAGAAGTATTGACATTATAGAGTTATTATTAAATTCCAAGTTAATTTGCTATCCATCAATTCCATACATCTTTGAATCTAGTAACTATCGACTACGTGTCATAAAGTGATCAATTGATGCCCTCATAGTTACTATGAAATAAATGTTCATCGGAAACATTGAACTTACGTATGTAAATATATACAAAACATAAGTCCCCAAAGCCCGATAAATCCAACACCCCAACCTTGTCATTAATTTTACATACAATTTCCAACGCCGCAATACTAGCGGGGGAAACATAAATGTTCGCTTCTTAATTTATATTGATAGTTACACATAGAATCCACCAGCAACAATATCATTGACTGTCCGGTCATGTAAGTCAGAAAATAACAAACAAATCTCCACGCGTTCCCTCCAACTAAGCATCTAAAAACCCCACGAAGCAACGTACAAAACACTCTTAGAGGTATTAAACATATATAAAGCCTAATACAAGATTTATCATAAACCATATAGTATTGAAGGCCTGTAGTCAGCCATTAGAGAAATGTGGGAGAATGTTTAGGCTTAAATTCCAACTAAAATGTCTGGTAATAGAACTTCTAAGGGTTAAGAGCATTTGAGATTTAGAAAGTCTATGACATAATAAAGGGGGGGTGCCTCTACTTCTATGGATTTCCTATTAGTAGTATCCGGAGCTCATTTCAACCAAGCTACAACATCCCCTTTAATAGCATCCCGTATCGATTTGGCCTCTGAAGGTTCCTTGGTACCATACCCATGGCCGCCTCCCTTGAGTGTTATTAATCTGATTCTATCCGCGCCTCGATTGTTCTGGAGCTTTGTTTTGGCACTCCACACAAAAGCGTCACTACACGCCCACGGGACAACCGGGTCGTTGTCGCCATGCAGAATAACCAAGCCGCCCGGTGGAAGATATATTGTAGGGTGCTCGAGTCTCTTAAGCTGATATAGATGGTATTTGTGTGTGGATGAAGCGCTTCCATCGCGACTGAAAAGCTGTGGTATCATTCCCTCTTTGATCATATCACCAAAGATTCCATTCCGCTCCCAGGTCGTGTCGCTTGACACAACATTTCCAGTCTTTATTCTGGTTTTGCAGTAGTCAGTGAGTTTTTTTGTAGGAGAGGGTTCCTTACCATCACCTACTGGGAGAGGTTCTTGGTTTAACATTGGATATGAAGCTATCGATACGCGGATTTGGTCCGGATAGGTCAACGCAAGATAAATATTGAGAAAGCCACCAGCGGAATCTCCTGTCGTGAGAATTCGACGAAGGTCAAGCTGCACATAATGTGAAGCCAACCAGTTTGCAGTATCCTTGGAGCGTAGCCATCCCCAAAAGTCGTCTATATCTTCCAAAATTTCGACTCCGGTTGACTCTGGAAGCAAACGATGATTACCACAGACGATGACTGCGGATTGGTCTAGGGCTAGCTGAAGGACCCAAAGAGGAAACCAGGGGAAATAAAGGGAGTCTCCAAAGACCTATTTCCCTTTAGGTCTGTCATTTTTATTCTCCTGGGGTTGTGTGGGAATACGTACCAAACCACCGCCGTGGAAATAAGTAATTATAGGCCTAGGACCTGAACAGATCGACTTTGGAGTCAGAACATCAGCACGGATTCCATGACCTTTAACCGTTTTGTAGTCCATATTTAAGATCTCGAATTTGTCGAAATGCTCATCTTTGATTTTGTCAAGCTGTTGGGGCGACGTCATTGTGAGTATACGCAAAGTTGTCGAGTATAGGCTATTTCAGGAAAGAATTGCGTGAGATGGAAATAGATGGAGCTGTATGCTAGATAAAGCTTACTGCTGTGCCACTGTTGTGCTTTGTGGTCGTATTTTGTGTTGCATCGAGGGGAGGTACATTTATAGGCTTTCAAAATCGATGACTACATGTATCTAATGACTATATGACTCTATATATGCCTACTTCAGATGTCGAATTTAATGGATAACTCTATATATATTTAGTGTTAACATATACGTATGACTAAATGTCTCTTATCAGTTGACACCTACTTATACTTGATAATCAGAAATATGAGTCTATATGTGACTACTTGTATTTAATGACGATATCAATGACTATACATACAATGTTAATTTTAAATAACTGCATGCATCCATAGAGTCATTTGCCTCAACAAGAACAAAGGAGGATGCATAACCAGTCATCTGCATCCGCATCACAAAAGGTAATTCATGCCTCGCACCGTATATTATCTGCTGATGCGATTCACGCATCTAAGCAACTCCAAACATGAGTGGTGGGTGACATAGGGCCGAATTATCGACTACCTGCTGGCACGAAGATGAACGAGTGGCAAGTATTGCTCGAATTAGTTGCATGTTTGTATCTGCCTAGTCATTTTTACAGCAAACAATCGTTATTCAAGGTGCCGTTTGGCGTGTTGTAGATGGCCAATTGCAGCATGAGATGGTGGTGAGACAGCCAAACTGTCGGGGGGAACTCATGTTCATACCCCCACTGTAAGTATGGATATTCCAATCGCCATATTTACATTCATTGAATATTGCTAGGTATTAGTGTTGTTATACTGTTATTATGTGATGCTTGTTGACTGGTATTCTAATCTATTAAGTGGTGCACTAACTATCTACTATCTATTAACAATTAACTTGCAGTGCAATATGATACAACGAATAAACAACATAAGAAAATTCAACAACGCATGGAATGCAAATTAGGACTTCTCGGCTGTGGTAGGAAGTGTTGTCTCGGGGTTAGGAGTCGAAACACCTGAAGTCTGCTCCTCCTTCACCTTACGCCCATTATTTTTAGGCACACGCGCCAACCAGTACAAGAACAAGGCACCGAAAACGTTGAACACGATAAAGACCCAGAGCAGGCCAAAGTTGCGCCATGTGTCGGCGGGGTTGATGGACACTGATCCCAGGAATGTATTTGTGTCTTTCACGGAACAGAACGAGCAATTATCTGTGGCTGCGTCGTTCTGGAGATATCCGCCAACTTGGCTGATGTATGGACCCATGAACTCGCCACAAGTTTGGTTAGGTGGAGGAGTAAAGACGTGGTATTCGTTGGAAGCACACTGTACGGATGTGTCACGGACTGCGGTTGACAACATGCCGGCGATAAGATATGTGAATGGGGAAACACGGTACATGAAAATCCAAAAACCTGGCAGAGCAGTTGGACCGGCCAAAACACTGTATAAGTTGGTTAATGAGCGATACACAGAAGAATTGAACATGACTACTTACCCGCAAAAGATCAGGCAGAGGGCGAAGACCAAATTTGCGACGTTGCCTGCCGTCTCTGCAGTGTCAATACCAGCAACAACCATGTGCGCAAAAGTCGAGGTGAACATCAAAAACTGGAAAACGAGCATCCACATCAAGCCACCCCGTTCATGGACGGTGTTGGTTACTTCCGCATTTCGGTATAGGCCGATGGGGTAGTACCAGCAACAATAAAGGAGAGTTGCGCAGAGAAGGTTCCAAGGAATTTCGGCAACTACGAAGGACAAGATAAATGCCTGCCATGAGAATGCCTTGGAAGGACGCTCCCGGACTTCGTAGAGGGATCGTTGGGTGACAAAAACTGGCATGATCTGTTGGCACAGTTGACCGAAAATAGTCATTAACATAAACAAGCCGAACATCTGATTCGTAAGTCCCTGCTGAGTGTTTGGTGCATGGAAGAATGAGAAACCGATGAAAAGTGCACTCAGAACACAGAGAGCAATCTTAGCATAGATGTAGGTAGGGGTACGCCAATACTGCTCAAAGACTCGCTTTTGTACTTCGTAATATTGCGCAAGGAATGGCGCTGCAAACTCCCGGTAATCAGCCTTATTGTGTGCGGAACTATCAACTGGAATCCGAGATCTTTCAGCTTTCAATTGGTCTAATGTAGCGGACACTTCTTGGTACTCGGGAGAGTTTCTCCAGGTCTCAAACCAGTCTATCTCAGTGTGGGACCCAGGGGCTGCTCCGATGACTTCGAGCATCCACTCTGCGGGATTGGCCTCCGATGGGCAGCTGTGTGCACCGTTCTTTTCGAAATAGTCGATCATTGTACGGGAAGATTCTCCGACGGGCCCAAAATACACTGTTCGACCACCCTTAGCAAGGAAAAGGAGTCTGTCGAATCGCTGGAATAGAATGGCTGATGGCTGGTGGATGGTGCAAAGAATTGCCTGCCCGTTCTGCTTCAACTTCTCCAACAGACTGAGAATGGACCATGATGTCTGCGAATCCAAACCAGAGGTAGGTTCATCAAGGAAGAGTAGTAGTTGTGGCTTGGCTGCTAGCTCGACACCAATAGTAAGTCGTTTTCGCTGCTCGACGTTCAAACCTTCTCCTGGAACACCAACAACAGCGTCCGCGTACTGTTCCATTTCAAGGAGTTTGATAACTTCCTCAACATAATCGATCTTTTCCTTGCGAGATACATGGGCTGGCTGACGTAAGAGCGCACTGAAAACTAGGGCTTCACGGACCGTCGAAGTTTCGAGATGAAGATCTTGCTGTTGAACGTAACCGGTTTTTCGTTGGAAGGAGCTGTCACGTTGCTTGCCATCGACGAGAATTTCACCGGTGATCACACCCATGGTCACACGAGTGGCCAAAACGTCAAGAAGGGTGGTTTTACCTGCACCACTGACTCCCATGAGGGCAGTAAGGGTACCAGGCTTGATCCAGCCATCAACGTTGTCCAAAATGCGACGAGGTTCACCTTTAATCTTAATGTCATAGCAAAGGTCGCGCCACTGGAAAATTGCAGTCTGCTTTTGAATAAAGTTAGAAGCATCTGTGCGTGCTTCTTCCTTTTGCGGACCAGGTTCCTGGCTGCTGGCATCCTCAGGGTCTTCGGAGAACCCTTTCTTCATCTCCTGAGGAATATGACCGCGGCGGAAAACAAGCACCTCGCCCTTAGATTTCTTGGCTTGGATGTATTCTGTGGTGAGCAGATGGATGGCAAAGAAGAACAACATGAATGCCCAAAGAATACCGAAGTTTCTCCATCGGTGGGATGCCTCGTAATTGTAGGCAGAGGCAAGGTAGACATCGCCATCAACATAGCTTTGTCCAGGAACGCTGCCGACAGCGTTGCAGAATCCATGCTCAAGTGACCCGTAAGGTGGCGTAAGAGTAGTACATGGGAAATGGCGTCCGGAGAACTCATTGATCATGATCGACTCGAATGCGTAGGCGACAGGATCAATGTAGTTGATCCAACGCGACCAACCGAGCATGTATGTCGTCGGAATAGCAAACCCGGTGTACATTACCAGTCCCAGAATGAAGATTGCAGCCGGCACCAATGCTTGAGATAAGGTACGCGACACAGAGGCCATGGTGCGGAAGATCATACTCATTGTGAGCGTAACTATATAGCTGAATAAAACGAAAAAGAAAAAGGGACCCGGTTCGCGGCGTAAGTTGGTTAAAAAGTATATGGGGATGTTGAAAGTAAATGTGTTGATAGTTTTATATGGCATATCGCACAATGCAGAGGCAAACGCCTCGGCAGAGGCATGATATAGAGCATAGCGAGTGTGCTTTTCGACTATGGGGCGCTGCGCATACATGATGAGGATTTCCAAAGCTGAACTAAAAGCAGCCATCAAAACGGCGTAGAATAGCAAAGCACCGCGAGAGAAAAATGACTCGGCCGTTGCGGGAAGGTTGTAGAAGACAGAAGCAATGATCAACGCCATGGCGAAATTACCGATGAGGGCAGTCAATGTTAAGCTGGGGTCGGCCTTTAATCGCTTGAAGCCACGCCACAGGCAGAGCTGAATCTGCTCGACATATGAGAGAGTGTAGGGGGAATGTAGACGCTGGCGGTTGGATTGTTGCAGTTTTCTGGACTCCTTAAATTGTTCTAGGTCATGGCCTCCGACAGGATGATCTCGCTCATACTGATCAATCTCTTCCATGAGAACCTTGCGCTCATCGCTGTTCTTCCAAGCAGTTGCGAACTCATCCGGAGTGCGTGGAGCCCGATTCTCAAAGCCACGACGGATAATCCGCTCATTTGGATTGGTCATGGAAGTCAAGAAATCAGCATCCGTTTGGCGGTCAGCACACTCGAAGCCCAGGTTGATGAAATACTGCTTAGCCGACTTCGAATTACCAAAGTAAATCTGGCGTCCTTCATACAGAACAATTGCTTTGTCGAAGATGTCGTATGCTGACTGTGGAGCTTGGTAGATAGCAACGGCGGCGGTGATCTTGGAAATTTCGGCCTCGAGTCGCAGCGTCTTACAAAATTCAATGGCATTTGCACTGTCCAAACCTCGGGTGGAGTTATCCCAGCACTGCAACGGCGCACCGCTTAGGGCAGCTTCAGCAATACTGACTCGCTTCCGCTCACCACCAGAGACGCCACGAATGAAATCGTTGCCCACTTTCGTGTTGATGGTATGCCGAATTCCGAAAGTAGCCATGATCATGTCACGCATGTGGATTGCATATTCATGCACACTGACGCCTCCGGGTATATACTTCGGTGCCCTAGCCCGGGCGGCAAAGTACAATGTGTCTCCGACGGTGAGTTGGGGGAAATGCACGTCCTGTTCTGCGGTATAGATGGCCTCGCCACGGAAATGCTTATGCATGTCATTGTAGGGAATACCCTGGTAGTTGACGTGAGAGCTTGCGTCGAGGTAGAACCCATTTGTTTCTCCAGCGATTGTCTTCAAGAATGTTGAGCATCCAGAGCCGGGCGGGCCCAGCACCACTAACATCTCACCAGCATGAACCAAGCCATCAAAGTTACGCAAAATATTGATCCGTCGCTTTCCTGTACCGGCCAGCTGCCGAGCTACACCGACCGCCTGTAGACCAATAGTACCGACTGTGCTTTGGAAGTCTGCGGCAGTGCCAAACCCATAGGCGCTGAGGTCTTTGAAGCACACGCCTGCGGTTCGGCCCTTAAACCGGCTGCTATCTTCGTTTCGTAGCTTGAACATGGCACGCATCCATGCTTTGGCATTGAAGTTGTCTGAGGAAGCATCGAGCTCGGAGCCTGGCTCTGCATTGAACGGGTTTTTGTCGGTCTGGGTGCGGATGGATTGCTGTGTATATTGGCGTGCCAGGGACTTCACATCCTCTCTCTCGGCCTCCTCATCCCGCACCGCGGCAAGTTCTTCGAATGAGTGGGAGTTCGTGACACTGCCGGCCAATGTCGACTCCTCAGTTTCGGGGACAACACCGGGTCTGCCATGGCTGCTACCGGGGGATAGGGTCAATGAGCCAGAAAAGTCTCTAGGCAGCGGAGGCGAATTCGGAGCGGCTTCTTGAAATGAAGCACGCTGCGTTGGCGAACCGGGGCCTGTCGAATTGGCGCTGTGGTCGTAGTTGAAGTTGGACGCGAACATAGCTGCGCGAGACGCTCGTGAGCGGATCAAATCATGCGTCTGTTTTGATTGGGCGGAAATGTATCACAGCAGCAGGAGAGATAACACAGTGCGTGGCGTACGAACACGCAGCGAGACACGAATGTCGCAAGGGGGAATTAGGGTCGATGATAAATCGATAATAATCGAGAAAGAAAAATACCCTCCGAGCTAACTCACATACACAGTCTGTACCCCCCTCGTCCTATATAGGACAAACAAGCACAGGGAGCCCGGCAGCACAGGGAGCCGGCAGCAGAGGAATCCGCATCCGACAACTATGGAATGGTGTACGTAAGCAGGGATGGCGCGTGTGGTTGGCTCCTGCTCAGCCCTAACAGCACTAACAACACGAACAACTGGCTAGCTGGCCGGGCCGGATGGTCGATTGGTCGGTCGATTTAGTCCGTCTTACACTTTTTTCGCAGGCGCGTTCCGGTTCCGAGCATGACTCAGGACTAATCACTATGACTGCGCATTAATCTTGCATCGAATCGTTTTATTGTCTTGGCAGCCTAGTGGGGAGCGGATGTTTACCCCATGCTCGTGCAGAATGCTCTGTAACCGAGATCGATAACGCTAATATGCATAAGTTAATTGGCATTGTTTCCAGGGGCTCCTCGGATTCCGATGATGCTTGTGGGCATTCCAGTCTGTTACTGCCAGCTACGTAATATCATTTCTCGCACTGACCGTGACTGTGCACGCTGTAAAGGAACAGCGGAAAATTAAACGAACGGCAATGATCTACCGCTACTTACGCCACCATTGTCTTCGTTATACATGACACATTATTTTCACATTCTGTCTCAGGCATCAAGAAAGGCTGCACGTGACTTGCCGGAGCGGTTTTGGCTCTTCCGAGCTAACCGCCAAGACTCCAGCCCAATGAGGCAAGACGTTCAACCAATATGGTTAGATTGTCGGGCCGGATGGGCTCGCTGCCGGTGGCCCGTGCGTTGCTTGCCAGCCGGGCTGTCTTACAGTCCGTATACCGTATAGCTGTAGTACGCTTTGATCCTCCCTCGTAGTTTCAGGTGTTTCATCCATATTACGCACTCTCTGTCAACGGCCTTGATGCCTAGGCTTAGCCTTTCGGATCCTCGGAAGGGCAACGGCACATGCAGTCTTGCGTCAATAATGATTGATGATCTAGTCTAATTATGTACGTGGGACGATCAATTGATATAGGTGGTGGCTGCCTGGAACCATCAATTGATACATCCATCACCACAACATCGAAACAATAGCCACTGGCCTTTTATGGCAACGCCGTAATCCTCCCCTCAATCCCCTCCCTTTCCCCCTCTGTCAAAGTGATATCGAAGTGTTCTTTCAGGGCTTTTACACGCTCTTCCTCGGTTTCACACGATGCTAGAAGAGACGTCTTACCGCCCAAGTTCTGCTTGACATCGCCATTGACAAGCATCACCTTTCCATAAATCTCGCTACTACCCTGACGCCGCAAGAACCGGACTACCAACATGGTATAAGTCTGAAAGCTCCCGGAATGGGTACTAACCCAATGGTTAATAGGCTCAAAATCGCGGGGTAGCCACTCGTTCTCCCCGAAAGCATAAAACGAATTCCACGGACGATCGATGCAGTTGCGGTATTGATACACCCATAGTCTTTGTGGCTCGGTTAGGTAGTCAGGGATGCATTCATGCACGAGACGGACTTGTTGCGATCCGAGATTAGACGTGACTTGGCCACTGATCAGCGGCAGGGGCCTTGTTGGGCCATCACCGCCGAAACAGACATCGCACGAATAGCGACTGCCGTCCGGTAAAGTGATAATACAAACGAGATGGCACCTGTTGAGCTCAGTCAGTATTCGACATCAACTTAGATTTTTATAGGCCCAACTGGGTCGTTACCATCCTGAATAAGGGCCTTGGGGAACCCCATCTTTCCTGAAACGAATTCGCGCTCCAGTCAAGTAGGCACGAAACCCTAATGCGCGAAGAGTGTGGTAGAACAAGACGCTCGATTCCATGCAGTACCCACCGCGTCCATTACGTAGGAATTTCCGATACAGGTCCTGCACGTCGAGACTGATGTCCACCGTCTTTGTGTAGTGTAGTGACAGGTTCTCGTAAGGAAATGCAGCAATGTGATGGACGTGTAGTGCTGTCAGGAACTCGGTATCTAGTGCTGGTTTCTGATCGGTGCGGAAGCGCTGTGGGATATCGATATATTGTAGATATCGATCAATCTGATCAGCCGTTAAGCCAGATGTTTCGGTCGCCATGAGTGCCAATGGTTGAGAGTCAATGAGTTGATTTGTATATTAAAATGGAATAAAATGATGCAATGAAAAATATAAGAATTGGTATAATTTTCGACCTTTTGTTAGTCACTGAGTCACATTTTTCACTCGTGTAAATTTCTTCACTATCAATTGATGTTTTAGGCAACGTCCGACTTAGCGCAACCCGTTGTGAGTCATGTCATTGATGCAAGATAGCCACGAAGAAAAGCCCGGTATTATTATATAACCCACATCTATGTATTTATACACAATTTATTACCGAAGATGAATGAGATTGTCTATGTGCTAGTATACATGATTAGCAGCAAGTCCGTATCTAGAGAAAATCCAACCATTGACCCTAACGACCAGAACAGCCAGTCAGTGGCATTGTGGACAGATAATAGGAATATACCCATATAATTAATATATGATTTAAGTCCATCTAGATGCTAAGCTTCTCGCACTCCTCCAACGGCTTCAGACCAAAAGCCTTTGTGCCGCCCTGCCAGCTTAAGCCTACCCACTTCCTCGAGAATTCTCTCAGGTCATTCTCATATTCAGAGATAGTAGCCTTCGTAACATTTCCTGTGCCTCCAGCATCGACAATTTTTCGAGCCAGATCGGCTGCATCGCGCAGTGCAGTGTTAACACCAGCTCCTCCCGTAGGCGGCATATTATGAATCGCATCTCCCAACAGGGTAACCCTTGACACGGGCTCCCAGTCTGGCATCGACGGATCAACTGAACTCATCTTCAATGTGGAAGTTTGTGTTCGATCCTGCAGCTCAATCATTGGCTTGAGGCGTGAATGCCATCCTTTCGTCAGTAACACCGCCAAGTCGGAGGATGCCTCATTGTCGAGACGAAGAACCTCCGTGTCTGAGATCGGGAGGTGTTCTTTGCGCAGAACCATAACCCAGTAGATATAGTCATCCGGTAAGGTGATATGCTCCACAGTCTTCCCCTGCGGAAACCGGATTGCTTCCAAGACCCCTGTCTTAGGCGCATTATCACTTGAACCATCGTCATACAAAAGCGCCATTCCATGCTGCGCATCCTCAAGGAATTTCTTCTCGAACTCCTCTGAGATGGGTGTTTTCCCGTACAAAATTCTCATTCCGGTGTCGAGGAACGGATACTCTGGTAACAGCTGCTGACGAACAGGCGACTTGACCCCATCAGCACCGACCAGCAATGCACCAGTCTCCGACGAGCCGTCGGTGAAATGTACCGTAACACCACTGTCGGTGGTGGTATAGTTTGCCACAGCCTTTCCAAAATGGAGCTCATTCTCGAGCCCAGTCAGAAGCACATCGCGCATAGTTGTACGATCGACTGTATAGGGTTTCACATTCCCCAACGGCGGTGGTCCACCACCAAGGGCTCCTGCAGCGAGGGCCTCAGCTGTATGCGTACTAAGACGTGTGCCTGGTTTGGACGGTTCAAAGACAGCGGATGTCTTTTCGAAAAGACTCCATATTTCGTCACTAAGTGCATATTGAAGCGACAAGATGCCAAACTCTGATATGCGGAGACGATAGCCTTGTGCGCGAAAGCTGCGTTTCAAGTCCTTCTCAAAGATCTTGAAAGATATTGAATGCTTTTTGAGGGCCTGCGCGAGACATAAGCCGCCTAGTCCTGCGCCTGAAATGAGAACTGTGTTGTTGTTGGTTGTAGACATGGCGGATAGATGTCAGCAGGTAGAAATAGAACTTCTTGGGAGAAACAAGTGTTTTGAGTTTAGTAAACAAACGTGAAATGTGAATATCGCTTATTATGTCCACGACTATTGCAATACACATCAAGTGATGTTATTGATGGGGAGGATGAGAAGAACAGGAGACGTGCCCCGTTATATAATCTAGCGACTAGTCATATGTGGTCATTCAGTAGGCAGATATGGTGTCGGTGGCCTTTCACCGATTCACCGATTCTTCAGCTTCAAAATTGCCAACCTTTTACCACTTGGATTGCAACAATCTAAACTTGAGTGATGAAACTAAGATGTTGCATTTTGTTTGAAATGTATAGAACAGTCTAACCGAATCAGGCGAAGTATTCGGAGTCAACCAATTAGGACCCAGTATTGTGGTCGACATGTCGGGCTCAAAGGCGGCTTTACGGCCACTGTATTTTATTAAGGCCACACATGCTCCCGAGGTTTTATAGTTGCTGCCTTGGCTTCGAATTGCTATAGGATGTGTTCCTAGTGCACATTGTGCGTGGAGATTTCTAATGTTGATAATATTCACAGATATATCTATGAAGTATACACGCACCTTTTTGACTCTACTGAGAATAACTAGATCAATTTAAAGCGAACGTATGCTTTAGCATCAAGCAAAACAAAATTCTGTAAAAAGTCGCTACCGAATATTGACCACCAAGATGCTAAATGGACGAGATGACAGACCTAGTTAAAGCTATATAAGACAAATCTTTTCAATCATTCCAGGAAGGATCATAACTTCTCATGACAGTCATAGTAAGTGTATAAAGAATACACCAGGGGGATAGATTGCATCGGCTAGCCACGGTTGAAATTTGACAGCAGCCTGGCAGCAAATATGTGTATGACGCAGTGATATCGTCCCGAAATAAACAGAAGTTTGAGCAAATCTTGTCAGTCAACGCACGACTGCATTGAGCGTGTACTCCGCGTGCTATTGAAACTGCAAACTTTGAGTAGCCACATGTGGGAGATCGAGAATATAATAAACAATTTATATAAATTAATCGTAGTAAAGCTATTCAGTGGTGAGGGTGGATAATGGCTTTCCGATTCCAGTACAATTAGTGGAGCCACATAATGTTTTTTTTTTGGTGAAAGAGCAAGTCCTTATTCGTGGGTAGATATGTAATAAATTGCCTTCGAAGGCAATGGATGGCGAAGAAATAGTTCCAACCATTGGTCAAACACTGCAGCTTATTTGGTAGTTGTGGGGTGTCAAAGAAAAGTGATTTGAATGGTTATTTTAAGTTTATCGTGTTGGTGAACATAAGCCTACTCGTCTTACGGCGATTAATTGGTTTATCTCTGAAGTTGAAATTTCCCGACGACGATGCTTAAATGAAAGCCTTGCGCTACTATGAACACATACCGCGGCCATGGACCGTTGTCAGGCATACTTTCAAACCTCCAGGTATTTGATGGTGGGAAAACATTTTATAGTATTTGCCGATATTTTCGAACTCATCTATGGCGTAGTTTAGTATATTGTAAAATATCATATATCCCTGCTATGAATACCACCCACCATCATGAGTAAATATCCATGAAGGATCATATTTCTCCTGTACAAGATGCAGAAGATCAGGGTAGTACTGGATGTAAACCAGTTAATACGCTCTTTTCCACAAGAAACAGGGAGCCATGAGAAGAACTCGCCTTTTGTGCAGGCGGGTGACCTCCTCTAATTGTAATGCCTTTCTGCATCATCATTCCAATGGGGAAATCATTCGTCCCGAGAAAAAAATCTCCAATGAGAGCGACGCGACCACTTTTGCGAGTGGATTTGAGTACCGCGTGTACTGTATCACCGCTGTCTGTCTCCATTCGCATGGTTCGCATAGCTACATGCTTAGACGTATTGGTGCTCCGAAACCCACTGGCCTCAATACCACAGTCCAGTCCGTGTGGTTGCACAGAAAGTATGTAATCGGAGACGTTTGGATGCCGCGTAACGTCCACGGGGATCATACCATATACCTCCGCAATCTGAAGTCTCTGGGAATCTTTGTCGATGGCATAGACCCTACTTGCCCCACGTAATAACGCGAGACGCTGGATCGATAATCCAACCGGTCCACATCCCCATACCCCGACAATATCTCCCTCTCCCACTCCAGCCAGTTCACAGCCATGCCACGCAGCCGTAGTCACGTCAGCCAAAGCAAGCAGTTTCTTTGGCTCCGTGTCTGCAGGTACTTTTACACAGGTCAAGTCTGCGTTGGGGACACGACAGTATTCTGCCTGATCGCCTGGATAACCACCCATTACATCGGAGTAGCCAAAGGCACCAGATAATCGATGTCCGTATAGCTTTTCCATTGTCTTTGATGGATTTGTTGTATCACAGAAAGAGAATTCTTTCCGCTCGCAATATTGGCATTTGCCACAAGCGATTATGGGTAGAATGATGACGCGATCGCCGATCTGTAGGTAGTTTACATCGAAACCAACTTCCGTGACAAATCCAATGGCCTCGTGACCCATTATCATGCCTTTTCGTGTGTAGTCTTTTGGTTCCCCAGTATATAAGTGTAGGTCCGAGCCGCAGATGGTGTTATGTGTGATTTGTACAATCGCATCGGCCGGTTCGGTAATGACTGGTTTGGCGACATCTCTAATTTCGATGTTCCAAGGATCCATCCATACTGCTGCCTTCATGGTCTCAGTGGGATGAGGTTTGTATTGAGATGCGCATGCTTGCCTGTATAGCAACGGGCCACGTTAGCAGTTCTTTCGTGATAATATGATTTATGAGTTTGATGTACGGTGGAACTCCGGTTCCCATATTTTTCTTCAGTTTCGAATCAAAGTCAATTTAAATTGAAATAGTCCACGTTCCATACGCACCGTGAATAGGACGCTAAATTTATACTGAATGTGTAGTGAAATAGTAGTATGTTCAATATGGGATCGTGCTCAACGAATAATCCCTCAATTAGCCAGTAAATACCATCTTTTATGTTTCGGTACTATGTTATTTACCCATAATACTAGTTTCGATTTGACATCATCCAGAAATTATCCCTTGTAAGAAGTATTGGGGCAAAAGATGTCATTCTCGTGGCAACCGGAAGCAAGGACCGGATCCCATATTCCCGCTATCTCGCCGACGTGTAGAATATACCATGTAACACTCTACTTTGAATTGGTGCATTGAAAAAATAAGCTACGGAGAATTGTCTGTCATCATTACGGAAGTATGAATCTTATTTACTTGCGTAGTGAAACCCACATGCTAATTTTATGACAGAGAAGCACATGTTCAAACGTTATGGAGTCTACATAATTACATCAATGTTAATCAAAATCGCCTGCTAGTGGAATCCCACCGATATTGAACAAGATACATTTTAGTTTCTAAATGAATTAAAATTACTTATCAAGCCCTAGTACGTCTTTTAATCACCACTCCTACTCCGGGCAGTAGGCAAACTTGAAACAGCCTAGAGAGCATTTATAATGATAAAACAAAAGTGAAATTTTCCTGCAACTACCAATAAGATGCAAAAGAATAATATATTGTTCTCTTTACAGGAAGGCCAAGTTCGGTATACGGTAATGCGTCATGTGGGGATTAATCACAAACTGTGGTCATCCTGCCAGTCAGCCGACACCATCCAGTACATATAGTCTCTGGCATCGTTCGGAGGATATTAGTTCGTTTTTTTCTCTTTGTCGATCCAGTTTCAAGGCGATGTGACTCTATTGTTGGTGTGACGAATGTGTCGTCTTCCGATGAACGAGAAAGGATATTTGATAGGCCCAAGTAATATTACTAGGGGGCTCTAAACTAGTTCGACGGCATGGAAAGGGAATACTGAATTACTAGTAGCACGCCTAAATTTTTAGCCCTAAATGCTTATAGCTCGGACCTACAAGGGCCTTTCGTGTTTCGCATCTTGGTGCTACTACTGTACTTGGTAGCCTATTTAACTCTTTTAGGGATCGGCATGCTAAAGACGAGCCTAAATTCAACACCCGATCGATGATGCGTACTCCTTTCATACGCACAGCAACAAATCAGCGACTAGTGCGGTTCTAATGTGGCCACGCGTCAAAGCACGCGGTCACTTGTCCCCGGCACCGACGACGATGTCCAGTCATTTCAACCATTATGGAATGAGATCAGATCACCGGCACATATCATATCACACCCATACATTCTATTTTCTAATCAGAGTGGTTCATTAACCCCAAAAAACATTGGCGGGGAAATGCGGGGAAGCTGAAGAAGCTGGAAGAGGAGTGGCAGCGAGCCCGAGCGCCGGGAGATGATGTTTTGACGCCGGCCTAGCCCAGAGCGAGGCCTGCATCTGGTCATACTACTTAATTCTCGATGTGACTGTGCACGGAGGTAGGATAGTGGCTTATTCATGTCAAGAAAAGGTACCGCCGATTACTATCCGTTATTGTTATGTATGGACTCGCTCGAAATCTATCACACCCTACCCAAATTGGGTGGCTGGTGTTTATTTTCACCCTATCACCACCTTTTTCAAAGAATTTCTTGGATCATTTGAAAACCTAAATGCTACATATGCAATAATGACTCCCGCCAATACAATTTACACCCTTATTTACAGATATGGAAATGACCCGATGTCACCATGGAAGGGAATTTATGATTACTTCCCCGTGGTTCCACGAGACCGTGCATATCTACCTAGGGCAAGATTTTCCTGGAATCACATTAAACAATCTGAAAGACTAACACGAGGGCTCCACGATTTCCAATCTTTGTCTGCTGATAAAAAAGCTTGGGCAGTAGTACGAATACCACCGCCGTCCGCATTCCTAAGCGGAGAGTGGAGAATAACTGTGGTTGTCAAGGACAGCCACTCTTGTCATCACTTCCTCCTTTGTTCATCAGACCAGGCTAATTATCTATATAAATCCTCCAGAGGTCGTAGTCTTTTGGGCTGCCCGGCATCCATCGCCTTTTCTCTCAGTTCTGAATCTTGTTTTCCTTTTTTGGAAAGCAAAACTTAAGAGTCAAAATGCGCTGGGCATTTCTCGCATCAAGCATTCTGCTTGCTCATGTGAGCGCAGAGCAATTCGCCATTCCAGAAGTAGAGAAGGTCGTGAGCTCGGCGCTTCGTACGTATTCCGAATATGTACACTACGCCGGCCCGACAGAGGCTGTAGCAGCCTCAGAATCCCCAGCTGCAGTGTCACACGCAGCCGCTGATACTGATCCCTCCTACTGGTTAGCTGATGTAACTCATCAGGTATATATTGTTTTGATTAATTAGAAAAGAAATAGAGTATTGCTTGGTACTAATAAAAAGCAGGGACTTTCCCCTCATGCGGCCAGTGGGTATGTCGTGTTCCGAAACGTGAAAGATTATGGTGCTGTCGGTGAGTCATACCAGTCCATACAATAAAGTTATAGCTTGCTAACAGAATTTTAGGTGATGGTGTGACAGATGACACAGCAGCCATCAACAAGGCGATTAGCGACGGTAATCGCAACGGTCCGGCGTCCGGCGTCACAACTTCAACGACACCAGCGATTGTCTATTTTCCTGCAGGAACTTATCTCATTTCAACATCCATTATCGACTACTATTTTACCCAACTCATTGGTAACCCGAATTCTCCTGCTATTATTAAGGCTACTTCCGGTTTTACCGGTCTAGGGCTTATCGACGGGGGTACTACAACCCACTACTCGATCTTATAAATAGTTTCAACTAATTCTCTGAGTAGATCAATACCAGTCATCAGGGAATCAAGGCTGGACTTCAACCAACGTGTTCCTCCGTCAGATTCGCAACTTGGTCCTGGATCTGACCGCGATCCCCGCAAGTTCCGCTGCCACAGGAATCCACTGGCCGACAGCGCAGGCCACAAGTATTCAAAATGTTGCGATCCACATGAGCTCAGGTTCAAATGCCCAAGGACAGGGTATCTTTGTTGAGAACGGTTCGGCTGGGTTTTTGACCGACGTCACTATTACTGGTGGTTTATACGGCCTCAATGTTGGTAACCAACAGTATACCATGCGCAATGTCACCATTTCTGGGGCGATTACTGGTATCAGTCAGATCTGGAACTGGGGGTGGACTTATATCGGCCTTGAAATCTCGAGCTGCACTACCGCGATCTCAATGACCGCGGGTGGCACATCAGCCGTAGCCGTCGGATCTGTTCAGGTCATTGATAGTTCCATTAGTAACTGTAACACCTTTATCGATACAGTGTGGTCCACCAGCTCTTCTCCTGCAGGTGCAGGAAACTTGATAATTGAGAATGTGCAACTCACAAACGTACCAACAGCAGTTCAAGGGCCCTCGAGTGTTTATTTGGCTGGTGGTACAACTACAATCTCGGGTTTTGGTCAAGGGCACCAGTACACCCCAACTGGACCAGGAACGCTGCAGGGTACATTTGCCCCGGCTGCTCGACCAAATGGTCTTTTAGCAAGCGGATCAAGTAGCTACTACACCAAAAGCAAACCACAGTATGCAAGTTTGTCAACTAGTAATGTCGTCAGTATGCGGAGCTCCGGCGCCAAGGGTGACGGAACTACAGACGATACAGCTGCCATTCAGAGTGCACTCAACTCAGCTGCTTCTGCGGGCAAGGTTGCATTCTTTGACTTTGGTCTTTATGTTGTGACTGACACGATTTACATTCCACCGGGATCCAAAGTTGTTGGTGAGACGTATGCAACGATCCAAGCGAGTGGAAGCAAGTTTACCAACATTGATTCTCCCCACCCCGTGGTGCAAGTGGGCAAAAGCGGTGACACGGGAACGATTGAGTGGTCAGACATGATTGTTAGTACGCAGGGAGCTACCGCTGGTGCCGTTCTTATTGAGTACAATCTCGATGGCGATCTAGGCTCGGGTCTCTGGGACGTGCACACCCGCATTGGAGGGTACACGGGGTCAAATCTGCAAGTAGCACAATGCCCAACCTCGGCAGCAGTGTCAGCGAGCTGTGAAGCAGCATATATGTCATTGCACATTACGAGCTCAGCTAAGAATGTCTATTTCGAGAACAATTGGTTCTGGACGGCGGACCACGATGTCGATGATCCCAGCAATACCCAAATTTCTATCTATACCGGCCGTGGGGCTTTGATTGAAGGGTCGAATATCATTCTGTAAGTGATCTGAATTTTAGCATGATGCGAAATCTCCCCTATAACTAATAAAACTAAGATACGGCACGGCTGTTGAACATCACTCACTTTATCAATACCAATTCTCTGGAGCCTCCAACGTCGTTGCTGGATTCATCCAAACCGAAACACCATACTACCAACCTAGCCCGGACGCCAAGTCTGGCCCGTATGCATACAACTCAAGTATCAACGATCCTAACTACAGTACCTGCCTGTCCGGTAACTGCGATGCCGTTGGGCTGCGCGTGTCCAACAGCAACTCTATCCATATTTATGGCGCTGGACTCTACAGCTTTTTCAATAAATACAGTACTACCTGTTCGAACTCGGGGGGATCGGAAAATTGTCAAAGCGAGATTTTCCGTGTTGACGGGTCGACAACCGGCTTGAGAGTGTATACCCTCAACACGGTGGGCGTGACAAATATGATTACAGTGAACAGCAGCAGCGAGGCGCTGTACTCGGATAACATCAGTGTGTATCCGGACGGACTTGCTCTGTTCACGTATAACTAGCGTACTTTTATATATGCAAGTGTCATCCAATAACCGATACAATATGCGATTGAGATTATAGGTGGGATATTTCAAAACTGTATATAGGGTTTTACCTTCCATCCCGCCGATATTGGTGTTACGCAAAAGATTGTCATGATTCTTTCCTTTTTCCACCACCATAGTAGCATATTGTTTCCTCTTAAAGTTTAGACTACGTCCAGGCTTTGTTTTCCTCCCTTCACATGCATCTCAATGTGGATGAAGGTTCAGTTGACTCTGGAGTATTATTGGACCAGTTCGTCTCTTGTCGAACAATCTAGATGGCAGAATCAGCGCAAAAGTGGGACCGAAGGCCCCCATTTCCCCCTTCCCCACCTAATGATACAACAGTTGGCTAATTCTAGAATCTCACTGGTAGTCCCGAGGAGGCAACTCAACCGAAGAAGTAAACCCCGATTGGTACCCGATATGTGGAGCCGCCAGAAGGAAAAATCTAGAAGATGTAAAACAGGAAAAACAGCAACAAAATGCACGAGAGGAAAAGAAAATACTGAACGGCTCCATCGCCACCCATCGTCGTTAGCCAATGTACGGTGACGAGAGACTTCAGCCACCCAATCCCGACGCCGCCCGGAGATCCGCCGTTATTGAACCGGACATATGACGCCTTACCGTGGGTCGCGATGGAGCGATGGCTGCGCTACAATTAACCTTATTTGCTGGCGCTTTAAAATAGAACCACAGGCTCGCCCTCCATCCTTGTCCTGTTTTCCCGGGTTCCCATGGGTCGGGTGGCCTTGCAAGGCCTGCCATTTGATATCCATTAATGACCAAAACTCCACGGCTAATCAGTGCTATTTCCACTCATCGGGTCTAGACCGAACCGCGGATATGATCCAGGCACACTGCTTTCTGCCACTCACATGTCTGTACAAAAGAAAATATCCGAGTAGAAGCGATGGGTCTGGTTCAGGAACGAGGCACCAGGAACGTGGCCAACGAGATTCAATATGTACCTTGGAGTTGGGTTCGTGGCGTAGCGGAGGCCTTTGTTGTCCAATGGATGGGAAATTATTCAACTGGCGAGTGGGAAAAAAATGGAGAAGTGAAAAAAAAGAAAAGGCCGTCGAAATTATATAAGGAGTAATCCTCTTCCCGCTTGCCCGCGGTTTCTTTTGACTCAAACACCAGTCATTCTCTTGCTGTCCAGTCTTTCTTTCAGTCCTTCTTTGAAGACATTCATCCATCACTCTCTTTGGAGCAGAAGTCTTCCATTATCAATATCTTTAGTTTGTCTCCGTTGATCCGAGACATTAACACTCTTTCAAAATAGCAAAAATGATGTTCACCAATGCTTTCGGTCTTCTCGCCTCATTTGGCGCCTTAGCTGCTGCCCTTCCCACTGCCTTGGAACAGCGCGACACCAACTCTACCGGCGGGGGTGTCGAAATCATCAACAACATGGGCAAGAATATCTACCTTTGGTCGGTCAGCGATAGTGCAGATGCCGAAATGGTGACACTCACTTCAGGTGGAAACACTTACAGTGAACCCTGGAAAACCAACAGCAACGGAGGAGGCATCTCTATCAAGCTGTCCACTACTCCCGATCAGGCTGATGTCCTTCAATATGAGTACACCCTCTCGGCGCCGACAATCTTCTGGGACCTTTCCTGCATCAACATGGGCACTGGATCTGAATTCAGCACCGCTGGCTTTGCTGTCACTTCCAACGATAACGGCGCCTGCCCTTCTGCCACATGCAAGCCTGGAGATACTGCCTGCGCTGATGCTTATTTGTTCCCAACTGATGACCACGCTACTCATGGATGCCCGGATACCGTCCAAATGACTTTGAACTTGGGTCCATCATCTGCCGAGTAATTGTTCATTATATTCTCACTCGGACATGACTTGCCTTGTTTAAATATTTCATTCTTTTGATGAATTATGACACATACTACCTCTAACCAATGCCACGCACCACTGGGAGAAGTAGAAGGTGAAGGAAAAGGTCAAAAACCAAAACCTGCTGTTTGGATTGAACCTATGAAACTTGATGATCAATGGTATACTAGGACTTGGCGTTGCTTTGTGCACGGAGGGCGGATTTCTTTTTGGAACTTGGATTTTATAAAACGATGATCGATGAAGTGAAAATGTTACATAGATCAAAATACATTCACTAAATTTTTTTTAAATAGACCAGGCTTTGTTGAACTTGCTGGAAGCTTCAGATGTTCTATAACAGTCCTTGTACTGCATTTCTTTAGTGCCGCCAGTTTAAAAAACGAGTATTTTTCATGTTTTTAAAATACTTCTTTGTTTCAAATTATTCGATGGTAAGATATCTTATAGTGCTGGGGCTGAATTTAACTCTGTATGAAGCAAATATTTGAAGCTATAACATTTTGGTTGTAAAACATTTCATTTTGTAGATTCGAAAGTTATAATCAAGAACCAGTAATATCGTTGCTAATATCGATGCTAGTGTCGGTGTGAGTCACGACCCTGCCACTTTCAATTGGCCCGGTGACAAATACTGTGATAATTCCAAGTTCCAAGACAGCGTCCCGCTTGCGACTTATTGTTGGCCGGTATCCTACTGATTGAAGTACTTCTCTTTACTAGAGAAGTGTTATCTTCCTTCAATCTTCGCTCTCCGCTGTTAAAATGGCTACTATATATACAAATCAAACAAATCTTTGCGACCTCGGCCATCCAGTTGTGGATCTCCGCTCGGTAAACAAGCCCCTCAAGCTTCGTGTCCCTCAAGACGAAGACCTCCCAGCACTACTAGACATACTTTCAAATACTGAAAACATAAAAACTGATCTTTCGGTCGCTGCGCTTAATGCTCAAGAGCGTGAAGGTATCTGCCGCCGGTGGCTTACGCTCAATAATCCTCTAGATCATATGAATTTCATCATGATCGATACCAGGGAAAGTCCAGGAAAACCCATTGGCATAACTGGACTAGGCTGGATTGGCCCGATGGAAAATAGTAGCCAAGAAGACTTCGACGATGTGTCTATGAGAGCTGGAGCTGCTGGGGTTATGGTGAATCCCGAAGCAAGACGGAAGGGATTTGCCGCCGAGGCTCTTAAGATTGTGATTGACTACGGCTTAAAAGAATTAAACTTGGCAGAAATAAGAGTTGGCACTCCGTCTTCTAATATGGCCATGCGAGGATTAATGGAGGGTAAATTCGAGATGGAGCCTGAGGAGTGTAGGCAAGTGGATAGGTTTGGGAACGACTTGATGTGGCGAATCAACAAGGAAAGATGGTCTCTCTTCCTAGGCCATGAATAAGACTAAATATACCATATCAAATAAAATTTTGAGTTTCTCCCGAGAAAAGCTTATAACTATCCAGTCGTTAGGGGAAATCATGACATGCCTCATTTCCTAGCCCTTGCAGTTATCATTCCACAGGTACCACAGCTCCATCCCTTCGATTGAAAGCTCTCAACCAATGGAACAACTTATACTACAGAGAGCCAGCGAAAAATTATTGATCATTCTTGGCCACTCTACTTATTTGCACATAATCCGCCCTTTTTGTGCATGATCAGCGGCTCTTCTGATTCTAGACTATCTTTCATCCCCACTCCATTTCCGTCTATCAAACATTCCGAAATCCAATTGTTTATGAATAATTTGTATGAGAGACGTACAGTTCTACGAAAACAAAAAAGAAAAATAGGTTCGACCTCTCCAAAGATAATACTACTTTGAGATGCTTGTATCAACACCGTTTTCTTTACTGACATCTGATCCAACATGCGCTCTCGCTCACCATCGCTATCTATTCACTCCAAACATGAAGCACCAAATGCGACAGTTTCTCAAGAGACCATCAAGAGACCATTTTTAGTACAGCAGCATCCTACACAATCACAAAGCAGCCTACGGCTTCCTTCTGCTCTTCGAGATAGCGGTATTGAACTTCAACAGTATACTCATGGGCCAGGTAATGTCAATGACGCAGGACAGCCATGGATTAGTGGCTCGCTAGAAGTGTGGATGATTGGGTGTTTCGCAATAATGGCATTCATGGTCTCTTTAGATGCTTTGATTATGGTTACAACTCTCAAGGTTCGATGCGCCTCAAAAATATCCTGTGTCACAGTTTCAATTAACACCGAAAAGAATATTTCCCAGATTTACGACTCCAGTTATCCTCGTGACGCTACTTGGCCTATAACTGTCTATTTCCTCCTAAACATACCGATTCAAAGGGTCGCAGTGGCTGCAACAGAGATGATCAGCCGCCGATTTGTTCTTATCTCTGGAATCTCAATTTTTAGCATCGGGGTGATTCTTCTTTCGGCAGCACCCGTTCTGTTTCCTATTCTTCTCGTTGGCCGAGGGCTCCAGGGAATGGGATCCGGCGTCATGACTTCGGTTGCCCCTGCGATGTTGACGGAGATGATCCCTCCACAGAGAAGATCTCGATACAACTGCGCCATATTTTTTGCTGCTGCTCTTGGAGTCGGCCTAGGACCTGCTCTCGGAGGCGTGTTTTTGGAAGACCTGGCAATATGGCGATGGATATATTACATATCCGCCCCGTTTTGTTTTATTCTTCTGATGTCCACCCCGTTCGCGATTCGACCTGTCGGAGAGATACTTGGGCCTAAACTAAGCATTCTAAGTATTGACTGGACAGGCATATGCTTTTTGATGGCTAGTTTGACGGCGTTGGTCCTCGGTATCACTTGGGCCGGTGTTCCCGATCAGGTCACAGCTTGGCGTACGTTGTTCCCACTAGCAGCAGGTATCGTTTGTTTAGTAGGGACTGTTATGTATGAGAGGTCTGGGGCGTCGAAGCCAATTTTTTCATTTCAAGTTCTTAAGACATCGCCAGTGACGTTCGTGTGCGTTTTCATTCACAGCCTTGTGGTAAGTGATCTCATGAAGCACAACGTGACAACATCCATGTCCTTACTGACCGTTAATTCAGATGTTCATCCAAGTATTTTATGTCCCAGAATTCCTACAAGGGGTATATGAGTTATCACCCAGTTATATGGGAGCATTACTAGTGCCATTAACATCAACTTCACTTTTGGTTACTGCAATCACGGGTATCATCACAGAAAGATTTCGTGCATATCGTTGGGCAATCTGGTCCGGGTGGGCTCTGACTATAGCGTCAGCTGGTTGTATGACGATATTCAGCGCTAGCACCAGCCTGGTGATTTGTGTTATTGTGCTAATAGTCGCCGGTGTCGGTCACGGTTTGGTTATGTCAGGCAGTCATACCGCGATCCAAAGAATGGCTACGTCTGCGAATGTTCGTGACGCCTTACTACTTTCCAACTTCATCCGGACAATTGCAATATGTGTGGCAGTTTCTGCGGGTGGGACGACTTTTCAGGCGCGCTTCTACTCTCGCTTGTTTCAGTCAAATGTTCCAGGGCTACTTGCAAATCTGGGTTTTAATGAAGCATACTGGCGTCTACCAAAGATACATATTCCAAATGAGATTTGGGAGGCGCGCAAGGAGGTTTATGCTTTGACCTTCCGAGACATCATGTATACGAGTCTCGTTCTAGCTGGTCTGGGTGGATTGTTGTCGCTACTTTTGGCATGGCGGAAGAGGAGTTTATAAATCTCATGCTGTTGTAGTTTTTCTTCTACCAAGGATAAACATTATACACACAATAACTCTTTTTAATAAGCTCATCCGTTGGAGGATATCCTATTCTTCAGGATATACCATCTTTCTCGTCACACCCCCATCAACCACCATTTCCGTCCCAGTGACAAACTCAGCGTCTACAAGATACTCAACTGCTCGCAGAATATCCTCAACCCTACCCACTCGACCAGAGAAATGCCATCGGTGGTCGTCCTCGGATAGGCCATCCTCCCATTTCGTCCCATTTTCATCCGCCTCTTTACATTCGTTTGCCACATTGATCCAGCCGGGCAAAATAGCATTGACGGAAATTCTATCTGGACCAAGGCTAGATGCCATGGCATGTGTGAGACCAATAAGACCGGCTTTTGTGGCGGCATACCCTTCGGAATTGGGTTCTGATTGGTGCGCACGGGTTGACGAAATATGGACAATCGAACCACGTTGTTGAGGGGCGTTGGCCGACTTCATCAAAGCTATGCATCCCTGACTCATCAGCATTGAGCCTGTCAGGTTCGTCTGGATGCTTTTGTTCCATGTGTCGAGGCTCAGCTCCGCAAAAGGAGTATTTCCAATGGCACCAGTATAAGCGGCATTATTAATTAATACATCAAGATGGCCATTAAAGAAAATAGTAGCTTTCTCTATAGCAGACTTTATCTCCGCAGGCTGGCTAAGGTCACATATAGCTTTGTCGTATTGAGTAGAGGAGAAAATTTGAGAGAATTGCTCGTGTGTGTGCTCAAGCTCTTCTTTGTTAATGTCAACAAGGAACACGCGATGTCCTTTTTGGAGCAGTAGTCGAGATAGTCCGCGGCCAATACCACGGCCGGCACCCGTAATCAGGAAATTTTTCCCCATGTTGGTTGGCAGCCTTCATGAGGTGAGGGGTAGGAGTATGGTTTGTCGAGATTTTCTCCTCTGTACGATATGATGTCATTGATGGCGACAATGCCTATACCCTATAGAGAAGAATTCTTAGAGCTCTCTTACGATGCGTTCCTACTGAAATTTCTGTTTGTTCTTAATGTGTTTATCAAAAATAAAAACTAGACTATTAACGAAGCTGGGGAACAATGAAAATAACCCCATTTTTTATTATTGTCTTGGAACGCTTTTCTTCTCCTCCTTACAGCTTCCGGCAGCAACCGACTTGAAAACTCCGCACATACGATAATGCACGTAGTAATAAATCTCCACATTATGATCCAGCGCACTTCAGCTTGTGATCCATTGGAGCCTTGGTTCGGCCAGTCGAACAGTTGAAGTGGTTGTTTACTAAGGTTTAGTGATTCCAAAGTACGAGTCATTCTAAATTATAAGGGACGATGGTTATATGATATGTGATAGTATCCATGATGCACCTAGTGCGATACACCGACAGATTTCCATCGCAAACCCACATTGGCCAATAGCACACTGAACAACCCGACGGCGGCGGTCGGTGTTGGCTACTAGTCGATGTGTGAATATGTCAACATTTCAGGGGCCGAAATTTTGATTGGCTTAGCTTAGCGTCATTCACCCCTGTTCTTCTTTTCTCCCACCGTGCCATGCATGAGTTCTCAAGCCGCCGAGGGCCATAATCTGGCACTTGAACTATTCTAGCTAAATATTCATCAGCAAATGTGGAGCGTATCACAGAGGTAAATAATAGTAAAACATTGATAATGTTGGCTCTACGTCAAATAAGGCTAGAAACACGGGTTTTAATGTCAATGAGACTGCAGAGACCCTGATGGCCTCGTCAGAGGTCAGTTATGTAACGTAGCATACGCGTTAAGATGGAAATAAGGCCCCTGCGGCATGTACTTGATATATAAAGCTCTATTTAATCAAACACATGAAATCGGACCCCAAACACCAAAAACGCTGGCTAAGATATTAAATTGCAATATCATAGATACGATCATTGAATTACTTCGCGATGAAGCTTCTCGAGTGTTTTGCGGTCGGTCTTGCCATAAAGCAGACTGCAGCCATTGGGTTCTCGACCTATGCACAGCTCGTCGAAGGGGCAGATAACTCTGGCCAGATCGCATATTCAAAGCCAGACCGCTCCACGACATTATTTCTTTACATTCAGATTACTCCGGATGGAGCTGACCATAGTAATATAATCAGCCAGTTCAACACCTTGGCTGAAAACTATGGAAGTCAAGGAATTTCAGTGATTCCCCGAGTGCGCTACGGTTATTCAGATGGATCCATCGCAACTGAACCGGACGAGAGCATACTCATGAACGATGTCTCGACATGGGCAGGCGTCTTTTCAAATATCACCGGTACAATCGATATTCCAGTGATTCAGGCTGGATTCCTGGGACAATGGGGAGAGTGGCATGTAAGACTATGATTTAATTTCTCCACAAGAGTATGAATTGAGTTGCTAACTGGCCTAGGATGGACAATACTGTCAAGCCCACGGAACTGCCGATACAGCGGCAGACCTCAAAATCAAGAAGAGCATTGTCGACACTCTTCTAGGAAGTGGACACAAAGTTGCACTTCGATATCCTCAGGATCACCAGGCTATGTATAACGGCAGCCGCACAGTCACTCTCCACGACGATTGCATCTTTGATGGAGGTCCCAACGGCACCGATGGAGGTACATGGCCATCCGATGATCGCCAAACCTGGATTGACTATACGAAAAAGGTTTCTTCCAATAATACTTTCGGCGGAGAGGGATGTGACGATGCTGGGGATGCAACATTTGACTGGTCGGATTACGGCGCTGTGTGCGGCAGTGATGGAATTGCCGCTTACATCAACGCTTTCCAGATTGCATATCTCAATGTGAGTACTTGACTAGAAGTCGAAGTAATACGTATATCTTAGTCACTAACATGGAATAGGCTTACAACCCCAAAAAATTTCAAGCGCTATTTGAGGATTCGAGCGAGACAGACTGTGTAAATGCAATTCAAGCCGCGCTCGAGCAGTGGAGTTAAGAGGTTGAACAACAGGTCACTATGTCCGTAGCCATTGATAAGCAAATATCCTCTCTTTTATGCATAATTGGATACATATATATTGTTGATACAAAATGTCTTCGATAAAGATTGTATTCCTTCACGTGCAAAGCGTGCGATTAGTGATAGGACTGCCAATTAATGTAAATAACAGCCAATAATATTGAAGTTGTCCCTATTCAGTGACGAAGCGTATCAATTTCCTCAAATAGACTATTTGCTGTATTCTCCTCAACTCTATGCACATATTGTCTATTCCAACTTGAGAGATTTTGGTCACTCAGTCCGAATGAAGCAAACCATGCAGCAGCCAAATCACAAACTAAGCACGACAGACCCGGATTTCGGTCGACTTTACCACCGACTTTATCTATCATTATACAGATTATTGTGGGGCCAGTATGCCATGCTGTTCAGACTTTGATATATCTGGTCCACTGGGATGTAAGATAAGGCTTTAGTTTCCATCAATAAATATTCTTAACTCCACCACAGCCCTTGAATTCTCCATCACTTGATACTACACATACATACGCTTTGACATGAATCGAAGCATTAGCAGAAATAAAATAAAATAACCTATAAGTTTCCACGGTGCCGGTCTTCCGTTGTAAGCATTCTAGACTTAATTCCGATTCTCCAAAATTTGTATAAAGAGATGTCCAGGACAAAGGTAACAAGTCTCATTAAAAATACATCTCCTGCTTGACATCTTCCGGCACAATTTTTTGAATCCTAATTGAAAACCTTCAACAATAATGGCTCAATCTCCCGGAACCCGCATCTTTATGACGGGAGCCAGTGGCTACATCGGCAGCGTAGTCACCGAATTTGTAATCTCCCAGGGATACGAGGTCCACGGCCTTTCCCGTACGGAGGATAACGATACAAAAATGCGAAGACTAGGAGCTGTCCCCGTTCGCGGCAATCTTCAATCCCTCGATGTGCTACGCCGAGAAAGTGAAAATGCTCAAATCGTCATTCACCTTGCCGGCGTCATGACCAGGCACCGGGATTATAACGAGAGCCTTCGTATCGACGCTGCTGCAGTCGACGCTATTTGCCAGACTTTGCGAGGCACTGGCAAGCGCCTACTCGTCACCTCTGGCTCCATGGTGGTTGCTTCTGATCCATCTGGCAATGAAACCACGGAAGCGTAGCCCTTAAGGAAAACCCCGGTTAAGGACAAGGTAATGGCCGAAGAGCATGCCCTGAGCTGGTCTAAAAAAGAAGGGGTTCATGTGGTTTCAATTCGGCTAGCGCCTTATGTATATGGACGTGGAGGCAGTGGTGTGCGACTGTTTATGCAAATGTATAGAAGTCGTGGTGAGGTGGTATACATCTGGGAAGGAAGTACAAGAACATCGGCTGTACACGTTGACGATGCGGCAAGATTGTAGCTTCTTGCGGCAGAAAAGGCAAAGGCTGGAGAAGTGTTCAACTGCACATCATCGACAGATGTGACGGCATTGCGACTTGCAAAGGCAATTGGGTCGATACTCGATCTACCCATAAAGTCCGTCCCATTTGAAGAAGCTGTGACGAGATTTGGTATGTTTTTAGCCAGTTTCCTCAGCACCGAAAATTGGGCGAGTAGCACAAAAGCGATCAAGGCATTAGAATGGGGACCTAGTGAGCCAGACATACTTGAGGATATTACGGCCGGTTCATATGCAACAGTGACCAAGAAATTATTGGAATTTTGATACCGTTTCAGGTTCGAAAAAATGTAGTCTAATGTCTTTTCTAGAGTATCGAATGCATCAAGGGACATGGAAGTATTAAGGTTGTTTGAAGAAATTCATAAACTCTATATTTCATAACATATACGCTGTGGTATCCCTAGTCTAGACCAACGGATGCCTATATACAAATTCGATAGAAATCCCCAACATCTAAACACTCCATGAACAGAACCAAACCCAGGGTTAAAAATACAGAACCTATACCAACAGAGCTGTCATGTAGCGTAAATTTCACACACACATAAATGACTAGTGAAAAAATAATGCTCATCAATAAAAAAATATACACCGAGACATGGATGAGTTAGACCGGAGCGCCTGGTACGATCCCTACCCTTTGAGAAGGAGGATATGTGATAAACAGGGGGAATGAAAGGCAGAATCGAGGCAAGAGGCACCTAGAACATATATAGCTCAAAATCGGAACTCGCCGTATGCTACCCATACCATCATGCCAATCCATGCAGTGGCAAAGATGACAGTGAGGATAGCTGCGCCGGCACGGTCACCAGTGTTGACGGGCTTCGGTTGTGGTACGGTTTGTTCGCCTCCTCCAGCCATGCCACCAGATGGGTCACTCGTGCTGTTACCACCTGTTGTAGATGTCACGGGCGCTGGAGTTTCCGGCGCAGTATAGCCTGAAGACCCATACTGGAAGAAGACAAGGGCGTTGGCAAAGGCGCTGAGAGCGGCCATTTCTTGTTCAATACCGTCTGTACCGTCCCAAGTCGTATTGTGCCAAACAATACCGCATTCGTTATTAGGTCCCGAACATTGTGTGCCGGCAGCCTCAGCAGACTTTTTCATTTTGGGCTCAATCTCTCCATATGTATACGGAGCGAGTTGGGCAACCAGGGATAACCAGTTTGTTATCAGGCCTTTGTAAATGATCTGATCTCGGTTACAGGTCCCATACGGCTCGCAGGATATTTCGGACAATGTATTGCTGCCGTATTCGGCAGGGAAAAATCTTTCAAACAATTGGCCCATCAAGCCATCGATGCCGGTTTTGTATCTAGCGGCTCCATTCGTCTAGGAAAATCATCAGTGGCGATTTGAGTAAGAGGGGGAAACATGACTTACGAAGTTGTACATGTAAGCAAGGCCAGCAATATAAGAACCGTAGTTGTAACTCCATTGCTGGTCGTTCGGGGCACCGCAGTTCTGATTAATGAGGATGGAATCGTTCAAAAACCAAGTCTGGTTGTCCAATAGAGGAACCGACATGGTCCAATCCCAAACCGTGTCCGCCCAGTCTGCGTAGGTCTGATTATTTGTGAACCTTGCGAGACGCGCTGCCAGCTGCATAAATCCAGCATTGGAAATCGAGTTCTTCGCGTTGTAACCGGATCCTTGGATAGAGTTGACTTGCCACCGTAACCCTCCACCACATGACGCTTTATCTGTTTCCCAGCGAGCAACGAAATCATTGAATGCACCTTGTGCGAGACTCAACCAGGATGGGTTATTTGGTACGTCGGGAAATTTTTGCTCGATGGCAGTCGTTGCTGCCAATGCCCAAAACTCTTGGTCATCATTTCCCTATACACGAAGCATCCCGTCAGAGCTATTCAATCAAGTTATCTTCTATATCCATAGTTTTCTCACTTACCATATACATACTGGCCGAGGCAGGGTCGAAATCGTTGGCATCTCCCTTCTGATTCAACATGCCTTTGTTGACCAGGTCATTATACTGATCGTCGCCGGTCCAATGCCAGTAATTAATCAAAAAGGTGAAGAAGGCACCTCCTTCCCACCACGTGTTGTAAAATTGCCCCGGGATATTTCGGACTGATGGATCGCGATTATTATAATAGTTCACGGCCGATGCGGCTGCTGTGGTGGCGGCGTCCTTGAGTGACTGGGCGCTATCTGCATCAACGGTTATTCCTGCCGTAAAAGGCGCCAGCGCCAGTAGCTGAAAGGACAGTAGATTCGACAAGTGCATATTTGCGCTGTTGGAGCGATCGTGATGCGGTCGACTCTGGATATTCTAGATGGCGACAACGGGAGCCATCTGCCCGCTTCACGAGAATACCAAGTAAGGTCGTTCGGTGATCTCTGTCGGAAAGATAAGAATTTCGAAATGAGAAAACTCAAGCAGTATATTCAACGGCTATTATGTATATGGCTCGATAAGCAATGTGAACGAATGTCGGCGCAAAATGTGGCCAGTCTCTTGGAAGTTCGGCGGCTAGGTCACGATGGATGATGCATTTGGCTGGAGAAAAGACTAAAGGAAACGAGTCCGGGCCTCCGGTGCCGCCAAGGAGAACGCTTCTCCTAACCTGAGACTAACACCTGAGACAAGACAGGTGAGATGACATACCCATACCACCAGGCCCTTGGGGCCTAACCGGTGATCAACGCGTAAGCCCAATCCCATGATCCACGGCAAGGAGAGGCTGTGCGCGCTATCCAAGCCTATCATCGACATCGGCCGAAAAGACTGGGCCCCCGTTGCTTGGTTCAGACCAGCTGGCCAACCGGCGCTCTCTCAAGCCTGGCCCCTTGCTCCAGTAGGCCGCCACAATGGGCCAGTCCCATCCGAGTGGACAGTTAACTGGCCGGTCGCCGTGCTTGCATCCGCACTATTCCGGCCACTTTTCCTATTCTGGCGGCCTTTCGTTGAGGATGCTAAATTAAATGATTCGGTATTAAATACAAAAATAATCATGAATATGAATGAATGGTATTGAGCTGCTCAACAATACATATACCTATGTGATGCGAGAGCTGGAGATGCAGCATAGAATCCTTGGGCCGCTTTTAAATAATCGTGCACGTGGAGAATACAGCATACATAGCAACACAACAGCAGGTGGTAGCACATACATGGGTGTGATAGTTCCGCAGAGGCCGGTTATTAGGCTGTTTATTAGGCTGGAGCTTCACTATGATATCAGTCCCTACCGACAAAGTCTTTCGTAGTCTTTCGTAACATTTGAAATGGAAACGTCCAACAGACACGGTATTGGTGGATTTTTATTAGTTGATGCTCACCAGTGCTAAATAACGATCGAGCATAATTCCTGCGTATAGAAAGTGACCAATGCAATGTGGTCCAAGCTTGGTAGATAAATATATATATCTGATATATTTTCTATTGTTGACATTGATGCTTGACAGCCTGCCCATTATATCATATTGTTCAGTGAAATGAGTGCTCTTTGTGCTGTTTCCCTTTGCCAATCTAATGAAATACTGCTTCGAACAATCACAACGAGTATCCCCATAACTCGTATCACGTCTGTTAACCCAACAATATGAGATGGTCTTCTCTGATCATCTTCCTCTGCGTTTCCTTTGAATGGATTCAACGATGGAACAGAGCCAATTCCGGATGTTGTTACCACGATGTATAAGGCCTTACTCGTGGTCATTTGGAATTCCTCAATGTAACGGCTTCGACATTGCTCCATGAAAGTGAGTTGGTCTGATGTGCAGGCAGGGGCTTCAAGTGCGTTGTTTAGAAACTCAAGAGTGTAATATGAAAGATACATCCGAAATATCGAACGAAAAAGGTAATGGGATATATAGTCGAAGTCAATGTGATCGGAAAGGTTACACGGTGCTAGTGACGGTTCCATTAAATCCTCTGTATAAGTCTCATCAGAAGAGAAGAATGCGTTTGCTAATTTTTCGACCTCATCAACATTCTGTAAGATGAATGATAAATTGCGTAAAAGGATATTCGGATCTTTTGTGCTTATCAGTTGTCGAATTAAACTGCATATCCGAGCGCAGTGAGTAGCAAAAATTGTATTCTGCACGGTCGTAGTCGCATGTCTATATGACGAGAACTCGCAACGTCGATAAGCTTCTTCAATCCATGTAAAACGTTCTTCAGGAAAGTCTTGTCCGGTCATAATTGCTTGACATTGCTTTTTACGCAAACTAATTAATAAATTGACCCCACGAAAGATAGCTCGGCGACAAGAAACTAATTCGAAGGTGACAAACTTACTATAGTGTTGAAAACCATAAAAAATAACTTTTCTCCCTGTGTTGTGGAGAATTGCGCAAGGTCTCGAATGCGAAGCAACTCTGTCATGCCTTGAACATGGTTATCCCATCGCAGTGCTGCCATTTCGGGGAGATACCATGTCGCGTTCCCCAACTTATCTGAATCAGCAGATATATTAGTCCAGACTTGTACGAGCTCTGTGATAGGCAGTGGTAGACATGAATTGGTCAAGATGGGACGAAATGGGGCTGTTAGAGGTGAAAGGAGCTAGAGATCTTACCTCATAAACGCTCAAAAGCCAAACACTTAATAATGTGTCATCTCTCTTGGATTTCTCTTCATCACGCAGGGCCGAATTAATAGCAGAAAGCGCATTTCCGTATTCTAGTATCTGGGTTACAGTACTAGATGACCGAGCTAAATGGAAAAGATATGAACATCCGATAGTTTTGCCGACATAATAAATGGAAGACCCTTCATTAACTCCAGACAAAAGGCGTGGAATGAAGTTGAACGAGCTCGCATTGTCACCATTCACCATGTCAGAGGAAAATAAGTGTATCGCCATAGGCATCGCCTGGTCCTTCCACGACTCTTGCAACAGGTTTTGCGATAGACAGTATCTCTGTCTTGAAAAGGATTGCGAGCCCGCATCATGCTGGTCTAAGAAACACTTTCTCTGTTGAACTTTCCGACCAAATGAAATGCGATGACTAAGAGTTTTATTGGAGTGAATTTTCCTTGTGTCATGCTCAATGGTGTGGACTTTATGGGTTTCTTGTTGTAATTCGGAATCTTCTGTGTTCTGAACTGCCTGACCTCCCGCCTTTGTGGCCCTTTTGCGACGGTCATGGCCTATTTTGTGGTGGAAAGACGAGACTGTGTCTACGCGAAAGCGCATCGCCAGCTCATCCCGATATCCCCGACATGTTTGTCCATTTATCAGACACCGACGGCACTGAGGTCGTTCGAGGTCGCACTGTTAACGCATATTTGAATTTAAATTAATAAAATTACGCGGACTTTCGGCGTTGCAAGCACGGTGAAATCATAGCACTCACCCTTATCCGCCGTTGGCGGCAGTTGTAACAGCCAAAACTAGGTTGACCGGTATTCGGCATTATTCTGTGACCAAGTCCAGTATTACAGCTTGAAAACCGTAATAAGCAGTAATTCATGCCAAGCAGTGTCCGCTGAAGATTACGACACGAGTGGTACTGTTAATTTATGAGCTTGCACTGGGATCAAATCAACCAGGGGGTTAGTTTGAATAAGCTAATCCGTTTCTAGCTAATGCCGAACTAGTGTACAGAATAAGTCAGGGTAGGGACTTTCAAAGGGTCCACTATTTATTACGTAGTTATAACACGTAAACCGCCCCCAAACCTTGAGGGCCTTGGCCTCAGTCATCTTCCGGCTGGAACTGATAACAGCTCGTTCTGCCACAGTCCGTCATCGTTAATACCGTATGTATCATTGGGCAGCCATGAACGGTGATACCGTAGAAATATGTGATGGTCTTTGGTGTCAATAACAACACTCATGGAATCCACACGAGAAGCCTCTGGGATATTTTCCCCCGGTCCAATTCCTTCAGACTCGATTTCTACCATTCGTTCCAGTGCCAGAATCGGCCCGGATACCCAGATGTCTTCATGTCCCTTTAATTCTCGTAAGAGTAGAGTCACTTGACGACGAATCAGCCAATCACGGCATTTAAATCCACAAAACAGCAGCGGTGGGACGATAGACGTCACCGAAGGGAAAATTGACAGCGCCGATTGACCTTTCGTGGGTGTTATAAGAGATTTCGCTAGCACAACTGCTCGCTGGAAATGTGCAAGAAATTTGTCGTATCTCATTTCGTTCGCTTCAGGTTCGCTGCTCGTGAATAATTTAATGTAAATAACTTCGCTCCATAATGCAAATAGTGTAAGGGCATCACGATCACTCTGTGGCACATCATCCCCGTGTATCGTAATAGAACGCTTTAATTGTGTCCTCCATAGCCGTAGCATGCTCAGAACTGCGCCTTCTCCATTACGTATATGTGTAATTGCGGGTCCTATGTTGAAGCCCTGAGCATCAATACGTAATAATACCCACCCCAGAACAATGATGAAGTGATTAACAGCCTCCGCATTAACATGAGATTTCGTGGGCCGAGAGTTTTCGACATCCGGAGAAGGAAGCGATGGGTGATCATCTTCCACGAAGGTTTTTGGATCTGCGCAGGTTGATCGATGTATTTGTAGTTGAGAGAAAGTTTGTATAAAGGCTGGACCACTTGAACCAACGCTGAAATTCTCTTTTTGCCATTCCTGTAAAAGCCGGTATCCGGATTGAAAATGATAATCCGCGATATTGGTATCCTCTTCAAAAAGAGCGAGACATACCAAGACAACACAAGTGGTTAGCACGACTTGATTTCGTGAGCTGCCTGGTGGTGCCTTGGAGAGATATTGTCGAAGACATGCAATTGATTTGTTACACTGTTGGAGACTGAGATAAGCTTGCCCAGCATCTATTGCGTGCTTCAACTGCACCCGTTCAAATTGTATGTGCCTAGCGCTCATGGCAATGACGGCATGGCGGACTGCAGGCTGTTCCTCGCTAAGTTGATGAACCAATCCATGCCAGAACTCGTCGTGAAAATATCCCCCACAATGACGAGCTGTGTAATTGCGGAAGAGGTTCAAGTGCCATCGTTCCGGTTGGGTGAGATCAACTTGGCCAGGAGAATTTAGGGTGACAGGGATGATTAGGTCTTGCTCGAATTGCTGGGCAGTTGAAGCCTTGGCCACAATGGGAATATGAAGAGTGCTTTGCCTCACCCTCCTGGCGGCCTTTGTTCTTTTGTCAGGAATGGTGCAGTATCCTTCGCATTCTCGTCCGGAACTAATGCACATGCGACATGACGGACGGTTCTCGTCGCATTTCTTATGTCGACGCCTGCATATTCATGAGTAATTGCTGCATAGGGAAAATCAGATAAATGGCAGTGGGTTTGGGAATTAAAAAGACAGAGAGAATGAATGGCACTTTTTGAGACTTTTAGGGTGGGGCGTTAGCATAGAGTTGACCTTACTTGCAAGTTAAACAGCCTGTTCGCACTTTCGGGTGACTCGTTCTAACCCTTCGTTCTTTGTCACACTGTTTCTCAGTACTAACCATTGCGGAGACTGCTAAATATGTGGGAATAATAGCTCGGTCGAATGTCACGATGCCGTTCAAGCCCGAAAGGACGTCTAACTCCTGCTAGAGGGCGTATGAGTGCCTTTATAGTTTTATGCGTATATGCATGTCTCCACTTTTCTAGCTATTCAGCGAGCGCCTCTTCGACAGGCGAAGTGGATTATCATGCAGCAGCATACTCGATATGGTTTTAACATTGTTTTGTATGCCGTACCCGAAAGTTTCAACATCAAGCAGTGAACCACAGACGTTGTGGTTTGCTCCACAACTTTCCGCGGTTAACACGAGTCAAATCCCACCCTGGTTAATTCCGCTCTTGTCTCTGATACTAGTGTAATGCCTAGTAAAACCAGCGGACGTCCCGAGAAATGATTCAGGATATCACGCAGGGTGATGAAAGCGGATAATTTGGCGGGAGCGCACACACCGCAAGGAATGGGAGAGGATCCACTGAAATAATTTAGCTCACCAACAGGTAACAAATCAGGCCTTGAATATGGCAGGAGGGAGCGAGCACCGTGGTTTAAATTGGGAAATCAGTACGAAATCAGTCCGACAATAAGCTTCTCCGCTACGGACTGGGCGGTGGCACATTTTTACTACATCCGGAGTAGCTTCACACCATAGTAGAGGGGCCTGCAAGAGAAACGGCCCCCTGAGCAGAAGCGCGATGCGCTCTAGTTGCGTCGTCGCTACTAACTAAATAACACTGCCTGGGGTACTGGTCCGTGATAGACCCTTAAAATAGAAAACATTTACACCATGATCCTGTCAGGGTCCGCCTATCGTTCTCAACATATGTGACTATTAGGTCTGCACGATGCTACTGGTTTTCATGCGGTCGTGTTGTTTTCAACATGAATTAGAGCCAACAGGTAATGGACGATCGTTACATGAATTATTTATTCGGGAGCCCTATGGAACCATGCGCAACGACGTTGACGCCCACGTAACAGTCCAGACTCGGCGTGAGCGTCATTGGTTGAATGGAGGGGCGACAAACAAGAAATGATCTACGAAAGAGCAACTATCAGCTGCTGGGCTACGGGATTCGCTAAGTGATGGAATCTCGGAGTTAGCGATGAATTATTGATGTTGGGTAAGCGCTAATCAAAACACAAATCCTCTTCAGACTCTTCGGCAATAATAAATTTCTGTGGATGTTGGCTGAGGAATTGCGGATTGCGCAAAAACAGGGTTCAAGTAATGACCCTAGTATTATTCCGGTAGGCCAGTTGCTGTCGGTAGTTAGCCTATTGATCTATCAACCTATTACAGCATGTAATGCCAACCCACAACCAATGGAAACTGAATTTATTGGCAAGCTCGTATTGCTAGCGAAAGCTAAGTATGCAGGGATTTCCCCCCGGCTCCAGCCCTAAACACTTTATGGTAAGAAACATTGGATCAGAGTTATTAGTAATTTTTTAGTGGAACTCCCGGCGCCCATGTGTTGCTATTAAAAGTATATTCAGCGGATTCACAGTCTTCAGCTTTGTTGGGTTGCAAGTCTGTGCCGTTTCAGGGATTGATGGACATGGTATTTGTCACTTCGCCATATTAAACTATCCACCAGAATGCTTCTAGTAAAAAGAGGGGCCAATGTCGTCTCCACCACGACGTTGGTGAGTTGACAATATGCATAGACGGCAGAGTAGTCCCAACACGAGTGCAAACACGAGTCAGAAAAATGTCGATTGTCTCTTGGCGACACACCCTCCGATTACTCATATCTCCACCTCCTCCCGTCCCCCTAAATAATACGTGTTATTAGAGTGCTGACTCGATCTGGTCTCTCCCATGTGGAATCTAGTGTTAATCCCGATAGTAGGCAGACCCTTGGGACCTTTCAGGTTATATGACCGCAAAGCGTATTGACTTTATGGTTATAATGCTGACGATTCTTGGAACATTCAAGAAATGGTCTTGTTCTAGAATTAATCTAACAACAGGGCTATTGCTAAATGGCTGCATCCTTGCATTCCACCATTATTTAGTGTACGGAACCAACCTTACGAATGAGTGACATTGGGGCCAACTGATAGTGGTGGCTTGAAACACCAACAGACAGAGATGCGGCATTTATCGGTGAATATGACATCCAAGTTGGTTTCTCGCTAGATACCGAATGGGAAGCTTTCTTCTTATTATCATGTGCGCAGGACTCACCAGGGAGCCAATGGCCCTGGAGATTGCAGGCGAAATCTGTTGGATCACGGCCTTTACCAGTTCAAACGTCAAGGGTACTCACTCATGACAGCTATCTCTGCATCGTCGGCCTTCGGGCTTCGGAAGTACGGGTTTACCCAGTGTATCGCTGCTATTGCATCACTGGACCTTTGAATTAATATTAAGTTGTGAAGCTTAATCTAGTTTCGACTTAGCATGACCTGCCCACCATGCACATTGACTTGTGAAATGCTTATCGCTAATAAGGAATGAATAACTGAATCCTTAAATGGTACAAAGTAGTCTTCTGATCATCTAGTCGAGTGGAACTAACTTACCCTGGAATCTCACGACCTATGCTGCACACGCGGATAGGAACGGTCAAGCAGGGTCCAATTAATCAACTTGTGAATAAACATTTTCCTTTTCTCTAAGACGTTAAATGCTGATCTGAAGTGTCTTCTTCACAGCTTATCCATTTAAGGACTTAATAATGCCTCCCACTCAACATGCTGCAAAACAGTTGTTTGTTTAATTTGTCTTCTGCAAGACCCTAGTACTAGCCGGGATCAAATTTCTTGAGCTAGTGCACTTAGACACGCCTAGACAGACACCGATAAACCTTCGTACGGGTGTAACCATCCCGATGGTTTCGAGTGGATAACTTCGTTTAAAATATGCTATCGGGTACCTCTGGGCTCCTTAAATCCGCCCAATGAATTGCTTCCTCAAAAGAAAAATAGGCATTTAGCTTAATTTATTTATCTCCCATCAATATGGAGTTTACTTGATTGGTTGGTTGGTTCTATTCACTCCTTGATGACACTATGATGTTTCTTCTGCTGATTCAGATATTGAAAAGCGAGTTTCGTGCTGTCTCTATACTCTTCATCAAAATCTGTTGGGTTAATAAGAGCCTCAGCATGCTATAACTTATGCTGCAGTTTGTATCATCTTCACACTCTCATCCCATAATCTACTCGCAGCTTCAGCGTCATACACATGCTCAGCGTATCCAGGGCTGAGCGGTGGTGAATTAACGTCGAACGGCTGACTTTCTGACACATCTTCCAGGAATTTGCCCCCCTTCCCTTCCCACTCCCTCGCAGTGGCTGCCCAGACTGTAGTAGCCGCGCCTTGTTTAGAATTTTTCAAATTAGCTTGGATTGCTGGGTTTTGCGCCAGAGCTGCCATTTGATCGGCCGGTGTTTTCCTGTTGAGATCAGTACCGAGAATTATACCTGGGTGGGCTGCGAGCCCTCGAACACCCTGTGCCGAAAAACGACGATCGACTTCGAGGGCCATATAGATATTGGCAGTCTTGGATTGCGCATATGCTAGTAAAGGCTGATACTCTTCAGGATTGTTATCAAAGAAGTAATCGCCGAAGCGAATCTTTGATTGCCGATGTCCTTGTGCAGAGAGACAGACCACTCTTGAGTTGTAGGATGGCGTCGAGGAGGATATGAGTGCATCCTTGACGGCCTGGAATAGGGCAAAATGACCTAAGTGATTGATCCCAAAGTGCTGCTCAAATCCATCTTTGGTTTGATCTTTTGGGTAGCCTCTAACACCTTGATCATGAATAGTGTTAACATTTACCATCTTGTATGATGCTGACAGAACAATTGATAACTTACCAGCATTGCAAATAAGAACATTCAATTTTCCACCCGACAATTCCAAGAATTCGCTCGCGACTTGACGAATATTCTCTAACGAGTCGAGATACATTTCCAAGAAAACGACTTTTCCTGGTTTCCCATCCACTGTCAAAGACTTGACGGCGTTTTCACCTTTCTCGCGATTCTGCCCAGTAATGTATACATCTGCACCGGTAGCATGGATTGCTCGCGCGGTTTGGTAGCCAATTCCGCCAGTGCCGCCAGTGATCAAGAAAACCTTTCCACCCAGCTTACCTTCTAGATCTTGGTCACGGATTACTTTCAACGCGGTTGGTCGGGCATCACCCTCCCCATTCAAGTATTTGTGATCAGCTGCGTAGGGAGCAAGGAATGACGACATTGTGTAGAAATTTGTATTTTTTGATCGTTTGATTTTTTGTAGAAGAATTTATGTTCTTTCTACCTGGCCTTAATCGAGCTATACTGACGCTTTTATATCCTACAAATTTATAGGGGTCTGTTTCACGGTGGCTCTGTCCCGCGGCGATCAATTATCTCCATGGACATATTAACGGGTTTTAGGGTTATCTCCTACGGCTTCGCCACATAGTTAAACGGATTTCACCTGTGAACGGCGCACCACCCATTTAAAGCTGGCTTTTTTGGGCTCTCAAGATTTTGCACTTTTATTAGAAAATATAGCCTGAAATTGATACATAATATTAGTTTCAGACTCTTTTTTAATAAAAGTGCGAAAAAATAAGGGTCTCAAAATGCCAGCTTTATATAGGAATTGGATGTGTCAGTGTACGTCGTTCATGGGTTAAATACATTAATGCTAGAATTTGAGAATGCGAAAAACATTATAGTGGTAAATCATGAGTCTGAACTAGTGATAGTGAAACATAGAATTAAATGTCATCAAATACTAATGACCCCGCAGGTTTATAATTTCTTGGTCAGTTTCTTTGTACGGGTTGTGTCCGTTGTTGATGACACCCGGATTGTTCAGCTGTATTGTTTCTGGAGAATAATTACCTGTCTTTGGAGTCGCATATATTCCATAGTATTGGCTAGATATAGACAGACATTCTAATGAAATTGGATTCTTTTGGGGTTTTTTTCGTGCGAAGCCTTTCCCCTCTCAATCGTGCAAATCACAGTGGTCCAGTTCAGCCACTGCGAGGATTGATAAGCAGAGACCTACATCAATTCAATTTATTTGTTTCGAATACTATAAGTAAATTTGTGTAGACCTAATTACTCATTTTAGGTTTAATTTTAACGGTACCAATTAACGTATCTTGTAGCTATAATTCAACATTTTTGAAAGGCTTGAGTCAACTAAGTACCGCCGAAGGATAACAGACTAATAATATATGCATAAAAAACTGCCGACCAACGCTATAATTAAGCTTATTGTGCTTATAATTATTTGATCACCACAAAACTACAATAACCGAAAACGAATTTATTGTCAAATTTTAGAGTACCCATTGGAGGTTTCTTTCATGTTCATGTATGGTTCATCAACGGGTGACGTCACGACTCGCCTAGAGCCACAATTTTCCATCTTAGCCCGACATTATTTAGTCAATCAATGTGTTAGGCACTGTAGTGAGACAGTATATTTATAAGTTTGAATTCTTTATAGCTCGTAGCAATCACTACCCAAAACTTTCTCCTATCACCGAAAGCTTACCAAAGCTATGACTATCCCAGAACTACAATGGGCCCAGGTGGCCGAGAAGAAAGGTGGTGCTTTGGTATACAAACAAATCCCCGTCCCTAAACCCCAGTCAGATGAGATCCTAGTGAAGATCCGATATTCTGGTGTCTGTCATACCGACCTGCATGCCTGGAAGGGTGACTGGCCATTGGAAAGAAAAACCCCACTTGTGGACGGGCACGAGGGGGCTGGTATTGTCGTGTCGAAGGGCTCTGGAGTAACTGAGTTCGAAATTGGTGATCACGCTGGAATCAAGTGGCTGAATGGATCCTGCCTTGCCTGCGAATTTTGTAGGCAAGGGGACGAGCCTCTGTGCCCAGGAGCCTTGTTGTCCGGATACACTGTTGATGGCACCTTTCAGCAGTACTGTATTGGCAAGGCTGCCCATGCGTCATATATCCCAAAACAAGTGCGATTGGATGCGGTTGCACCAATCCTCTGTGCGGGCATAACCGTATATAAAGGGCTGAAAGAGTCGGGAGCACGACCAGGTCAGACAGTAGCGATCGTCGGGGCTGGTGGTGGGCTAGGATCGTTGGCACTGCAGTACGCAAAGGCGATGGGCCTTAGAGTGGTTGCCATAGACGGTGGGAATGAAAAGAAGGAAATGTGTGAGAAGCTGGGGGCAGAGGTATGTACGCGGTTTACTTCCTGCAACAAAATATTTCCTTGAGTAGCTCTGACTGAGATCGAAAAACAGGCATATGTAGATATTAAAAAGTCCAAAGATATTCCCGCAGATGTTAAGGCTGCGACGCCTGAGAGCCTTGGCGCTCATGCAGTTATCCTTCTCGCGGTGGCCGAAAAGCCGTTCGAGCAAGCGACAGAATATGTGAGATCGCGTGGGTCGATTGTTGCAATTGGCCTTCCTGCTGGAGCGGTGCTCAAAGCTCCAGTATTCAACACCGTGGTACGGATGATAAATATCAAGGGTAGCTACGTTGGTAATCGGCAGGATGGCGTTGAAGCACTTGACTTTTTCGCACGAGGGCTCATCAAAGCCCCATATAAGACTGCTCCATTGAAAGACCTCCCTCGAATTTTTGACCTGATGGGTTTGTATCCCTCTTCCCGCAATCTGGCTTTGAATATGCTTGCTGATAGAAGATTAGAAAAGGGAGAGATCGCTGGCCGATATGTGTTGGAAATACCGGAATGATCAGGCTATGCTAACATTATACATGTACAGTATTTGAAAGGATATCACATAATCGTACGTATTTGGAGTAAGCCTATGTTTCTCCCACAAAGGGATTTGTTGTTTTATTACTCTGTAAACCCCGGCACAGCGTATACACATATCACAAATACATTATAGGGCCTCTGATTGGCCGCTATCGGCTCTGGAAGGCCCCCAATGGGACCTATATTAGAAGATAATGCAAAAATCAATCAATCATTTAGTTACGTATAACAAATATGTGCGACGGCATGGCGCCGCTTTATGCTCAGCCTTAGCCTGGCAATATCTGTAAAGGTTGTATTGATGATCCTGATATGATTCCATCCAATTCCAGACAGTTACAGAACGAATGCAAAACTTTTTGTTAATATTTGCCCCCCTCCATCCCAAGCCCCCAATCCCTCCCCCGGTTTTACTGCAGACACCCTCCACTAAATCTTTTTCAAAAAGGCCCGAAAGCATGTTTTTAGTACGTAATTTATTAGTTTATCACTTTTCCGAACTGGTTCCTGCATTAGGGCTATGTACCCCGCATTTCACTAATTCATAGTCTCGTAGTCACGTTGCAACGATCAACGTGCCATAGAATTCCCCAATTGCGACTAATGCAACTTATGACGCGACTCTGCATATATGAATGTTGAAGCCGCTATCAGGTATATCCTTTCGAAACCACCACAATCGCAGCCATCTGACGGGGCATGCAATCGAGTTATGGAATTGCGGGCTCCATTGCGGAGTCGGCTATGGGAGACTCATATAGCGCATGTTGCTGTCCGGATAAGTCACAACAGCTCCTTTTCTGGTGTTAGTATCCACACCAATATTTTCACTGGCAGTATTCATTTCCGTCTGGGGCTGCCATCTCATGGAGCCTGGTCAGGGCTCATTGCTATTCTGTCTTCGCAACTGCGAAAGATGCATCATTCTTTGCTTCCGGTAATTGCTTTTAGGGGAGCAGCCTGGGCAATAACTCCTGCTGCTACCCGTCTATCTTACGTCGTCCCTCCTCCGGCAGCAGATAGTGGTAAAACATGGAAGAAAGCGCATGCTGATGTGGCCGTAATAGTAGCTCAGATGACCGTCGAGGAAAAGGTATCAGCATTTTTTTTTTTCGTCATCAGACTGAAAAGAGCTTGTTGAAACTGATTCTGTGCAAATACAAAAAGTTCATGTTGTCAATGGTCAGGCCGGCCCGTGTGCAGGTCAAAGTGGCAATGAGACCCGACTAGGAATTCCCAAAATGTGCTTTCAGGATGGCCCTGCAGGCGTTCGACCTGCTGTTGGAAACATATTGAGCGGACGGGGGACAAGAACAGTTTTGATGGTACCCTAGATCACAAGCTGCGTCAATGTATTCAACCAGGAGACTTCTAAATGCAAACAGGGTGTTCGTTACCATGACTTGGGTGGATTCCGCTTTTTCGTGAGTAGTGTCTAAGCCTGGATCTCTCTCTGGAGTCTACCAAGATCCGGTGTGGAGTCTAGCGAAATTAAGGAAGGATTCTGACCATGGGCGGATCATTCCCAGGCTTAACTGAGATATGTGTTGATGCTGGCTATATTAATGGCCATCGGTATGCTAAGAAAGAAGTTAAGCCGGCTCCAGTTGCTGGATTCTCCGGAAATAGGGTCACATGGAAGGAAGGCAATATTATTATGTAGAATACTGAATATATTCCTAGCAACTCTGGGAATGATCCTAGTGACTAGAATATGAAGAGAATGGTTGAATTTTCTGGCCAAGAAAGAACATGGGGTCTAGAGTTCTGTATTCGGAGAGAAGTATCTGCTCCTTTTGATTTTAGCTGGGAAGATCTTTTATCTCTCTTTAATCTGTGTTGAATTAGTTTTAGCACTAGGAGGTAGTAACAGGTATAGCCCCTTTGTAGTTAATTCTTTCCAAGAGATTGTGGCACTTCAAAATATCATTATCCTCGCAATAAAGAGTATCTTCTATAGCCTACTATTCTGTAAAATATATGAGATTTCATGGGTGCCTGGATCTTGAATTTTAATAATAAACACACCATTTCAGAAAAAGATCATTACAGAAGTGAGAGAATGGGATATTGAGCTACTTATAAGAAAAGCTGAATTAGCTACATTAGGCCGAAAGTATGGCTCGGGCACAGGGCTGGAAAAGTCCAGGGTTAGAACTTAACTCGCCGCTTCATTGAAAAATCTTCTCCTTTATTTAGGCGAGCCAAGGCTTTGTAGCGGTCCACCAGATCGGGGGCTTTCTGGGAGAGGATATTTATAACGTGGTCGTGATACTCCGCTATCTTGCACCCGATAGGAAAATTGTTAATCTCTTTCTCCAGGCCACGCTCCTATACCAGAAAGGGGATCAGTGTCAGAAAGTCAGACTAGAAAAAGTGTAGACAGTTTACCAACCTTTTCCAGCGCCATCCACTGATAAAAGGGCCGAAGTCTCTCCGCATGTTCCTTGCTTTGTGCCCAGCGCAGGTCATCGTCCGATACCTTCACAACAGACCCAAAGTTGTAGTCAATGTCGGCACGGAGCTCTTCCATACTCATGTTGGCCAGACTCGGTCGAAAGTCCTTCTCCCATGGATCAGTCGGCCATCGCATCCTGGGTGGGCCCTCACCATCCTTGTTCGCCGGGCTTGGGGTGGTGGCACTAGGCCCGGGAGCTGTGTCCATCCTGATTTGCATATATATGAAGCAGGGGAAGATAAATAATTTTATCAACCGGGTGGATAATCCTAAATCATAAAAGAGGATTTCATAGAAGCCTTGATCTGAGATAAGGGTGGAAGGGTCTCCGTTTCAAGAGGGGTAGCCTGTTTATATTTTTGGGCCGTCAGGTGACATGCACACTGAGAGGTAATCTCTATAGGGATACTAGCCAACATGCAGAATTCACAGATAAAGTAGATTTATTTCAGGCTTCAGTGATTCTTAAGTTCGCTCTCTTATTTTCTTGTTTCACAAGCAATATGAAGCCACCGATTATACTTTCTCTTTTCGCATGGCTTGCCCAGGCGCTGCCTGCAAACAATTTCCGGCTGGCATCACCACCGCTGCAACCTGGGATCGAGACTTCATCTACGCGCGCTCATATGCAATGGGAAAGGAATATTGCGACTTGGAAATCCATGTTGCTATGGGCATGGTGACGGTGGGTGGCACCAGTATAATCCGATCATAAGGAGATTCTCCTAACTGCTTCACAGGTATGCAGACCCGTATGACACGGGTATTGCCACTTGGCATGGTGTGAAAGGCATGATGGACTCTGGAGTTCAAATTTGCTCTAAGCATGTTATTGCATATGAGTATGAGACATTTAGGTAAGGGGTCTGTGAGCCCTCGGATATGGGGGCTGACTTCTACGCAGAAACCCTACCAACTTCACCGAGCCTTGCGGCATCTACAATGCGTCTGAACAGGTCCCTATCTCCAGCAACGTCGACGAAAATACGACTCATGATATCCACCTTTGGTCCTTCGCAGAGGCCGTGAGTGCAGTAACCACCCACAAAATGTGTGCGTACAATGCCATCAACGACACTCACTCCTGTGCCAACTCTGAGTCCAACAATGGCTTGCTCAAGGCTGAGTTCGGATTCTAGGGAGCAGTTATCAGTAACCGGGGAGGTGAGCGACTCATGTATCTATCTGTTATGTTCGCATGCTAACCGGCTCAGGAACCTGGCACACTGAGGCTTTCGCCATGGGCGGTCTCGATGCTAGTATGCCCTGTTTGGGCTAGGGCAACGCCTTGGGCTCATTCTTTGATCAGCAACTATATAACTTAGTCTCCAACCTGTGTCTCGCCTTGACGACGTAGCCACGCGCGTCCTCACTCCCTAGATCTCGACCGGCAATAAGAGTGATCATCCCGGCAAAGGTTCACCGCAATCCAACAAAGATTACATTGTACACTATCTGGAATGCATCATGGCCCGGGTTCCCCTGCCCTTACCAACATACAGGGACGTCTAGGATCACTTTAAGTCCAGGAAGAAAATCCCAGGAAGCAAACACTGGGATCTATAGCCTCGTAGGGATCATTGGCTGTGCGTTTTCGAACATTCTGACACACATGCTTCTTCTAAAGATTAAACAATGATACTACACAATCACTTTAGATTGTATGCGCAGCTAAGATATGTTCTTTTTCCTCTAAGAATCTGTTAATAAAATGTAGCACTAAGTTCTGTGCTCCGTATATAAATGACAAATCTGCCTTTATCGACCAATTTTACATGTGATCGCGCCGCCAAGCAAGGTGACTGGCTAGGCTCTCGTTGAAACATGGGGCTGACTTCTTGAGGGACATTAATGGGCCATTCACAACAATGAAAGATAAAGGCTAGGCTACATTAGGAATACAGCTGAGCCAACGCATCCGTCGATAGTGTTGGCAATTATGATTGGTCCAAAAAGGGGAGAAGGCTCCGTGCACTAGGCTAATTCTGGCCACGTGGGCATAACGACGGGCCGCTGTTCGAAGCTCCGACTGGCTCCAACGTTCCGCTGTCAAGGTCCTCGTCAGCTCTCGTTCGGAGTCTGCCCACGCGGAACTCTGAGAGAGTGATCGAACGCTATTATCAAGGCCGGATCATTGTTATTGGCTTCTGGTTGAGTATCCTGACTTTAGTAGCTCTGAGTAGTCACTCTATGGCGAGCTGCCGGGTCAGATGGTGGCATGGTCACTCTCTGCCAAGGACTGGCATAGGATTTGACGCTAAACTACTTCCGGCAGACACCGGCTTATTGCTTTTTGCCCCGACTCTGGGGTCAAATGTTGTAGGCCTTGTTCATCATTCAGCTGACCACCACTGCTGTTCGTTTTATTGCGGATACAGTAGACAGGCTTTGACTGCCCGTTCGGTATAGAACCGGCATATTCACAGTGATCATCAATACTAATCCCCGTTACATTTATATATCAGTGATCCGTCATTTCACTTTGTACGACGGCATCGCGGTGGCGGTCAGGCATTGAGGATGTCGTCCAACTCGACCGCAGTGGCCTCCCAGTCTGGGATCCTGGGAGGTGGTAACCCGTCCGTCTATGACTCCAAAAACCCCATCCTAGTCTTTATCATTCAGGTACACCGCTCCTGGCTTTTATACTCCGTCCCTGGGTGGTACGTCGATTAACAACGGTTGACTAGGCTGGTATAATCATCATTTTCTGCTGGCTTTTGCATTGGCCATTGTCCAAAATTCGCCAGCCCCGAGTAATTGCCGAAGTGATCGGAGGCATTCTTCTGGGCCCGTCTGTGTTCGGTCGCATACCTGGATTCACGGATGCGATCTTCCCTACGGCATCAATTCCCACCTTGAATGCTACAGCCAATCTGGGCCTAGTCTTGTTCTTGTTTCTCGTTGGCCTTGAGACAGATCTGCGATTCTTGGTCAGCAATTGGCGGATTTCAGCAAGCGTCTCGGCTGCCGGCATGGCATTGCCATTTGGGTTGGGGTGTGCGGTATCATACGGCTTATACAACCAATTTCGGAATGATCCCGGTGTAGTACATGTTGACTTTGGCACGTATCTTCTTTTTGTTGGTATTGCAATGGCCATTACGGTAAGATACATACCCGGCGGTGGACTTGCTTGGACTTCTACGCTAATCTGTTGTAGGCTTTCCCTGTGCTCTGTCGCATCTTGACTGAATTGAAACTGCTTAGTACAAACGTCGGAGTGATTGTATTATCAGCAGGTGTCGGCAACGACGTCACTGGTTGGATTCTCCTTGCGCTTTGCGTGGCCCTCGTAAACGCAGGCAGTGGCATAACCGCTTTATGGGTGTTACTCGTCGCCGTGGGCTACATATTATTTCTGTCGTTCGTATTACGACCCGTCTTCATTTGGTATCTTCGAAAAACCGGCAGTCTCGAAAAAGGCCCAAGCCAGTCTGTAGTAACCGTAACCTTATTACTGGCTTTGGCATCGGCTTTCTTCACTCAAGCGATTGGAATTCATGCTATTTTTGGAGGCTTCGTTGTGGGCTTAATTTGCCCACATGAAGGAGGCTTTGCCATTAAATTGACTGAAAAGATCGAGGATCTTGTCGCTGCTATTTTCCTGCCTCTGTATTTCGCCTTGTCAGGTTTGCAGACCAATTTAGGCTTGCTTAACTCGGGTATTGTTTGGGGTTATGTTATTGCAATCATTGCTATCGCTTTCTTCGCCAAGGTTGTTGGTGGAACTTTGGCGTCGAGGTTCACTGGCTTGTTATGGCGAGAGAGTCTCACGGTTGGTGTCTTGATGAGTTGCAAGGGTCTGGTGGAGCTTATCGTCTTGGTACGTACATTGCCAGTCTCTTTCGCGGAGTGGAGTGGTCTAACATTGTCTCAGAATATCGGTCTTCAGGCAAAGATTCTCAGCCAGCGCACTTTTACTATGTTTGTCGTAATGGCTTTGGTCACCACTTTTATGACAACACCGCTGACATCGTTTCTATATCCGAAATGGTACCAAGATAAGGTCGCCAGATGGAGGCGCGGTGAGATCGACTGGGATGGAAATGTAATCCATTCTGACGACTCCCAAGATGACCCCTCAAGCTTGATTGCAAAACTCAATGCGAAGCCTATTGAGAAAGTCACCGTCTATCTTCGCCTGGACAGCCTTGCCAGTGTGTGCACTTTTGTTGGTCTGCTAGGCGCCCGCAGTGTATCAAAGGACAGTGCACCACGCATGCATTATTCCAAAAGAAGCTCACCAGTTCCAACCCAATCCTCAACAGAGAGCCAGATTAATGCTGTGGATTCGGAGCCGAGCGCTCTTCTTCACGCCCATGGTGTTCGTCTGATAGAACTAACCGATCGTTTATCCAGTACAATGCAGGTATCGGAAATCCAAGAATATTCCATCTGGGACCCAGTCGTCAACGTCTTTCGATCATTTGGTCAAATCAATAATATTCCCTCTGAAGGCCGGGTGTCGGTTGTCCCGGAAAGCTCCTATGCGGATGCAGTCTTAGATATGGTACGTGATACTGCATCCGAATTTCTCCTCGTTCCATGGAGTGCTAGCGGCAACATGAGCGATCTCCAGAGTGTGTGGGGAGTAGAGGACTCATCGAACAGAGTCAATGCCTCATACCCCTCGTTTGTTTCAGAAATACTTCAACGCAGTTCCGTCAACAATGTTGGCATTCTCATCGACAGAGCCTTGGAAATTCCAAGCAAAGAAGGACTCGGTCTAGAGCGATCCAGCAGCGGACGAACTGTGCCCAATATTCGAACCAACTTGGCATCTCTAACTACCGGAAACCGTGAGCAACATCTCCTTTTCATGTATTTCGGCGGTGCCGATGATCGTTTTGCGCTGCGATTTGTTCTTCAACTGGCGCGAAATGAACTTGTCACCGCGACTATTATTTATGTGGATGTTCCTGCCTCAACTTCCCAAACCACGGCGGAGAGTTCTTCCTCAGCCGCGACACACGAAGAGTCTGATGCAATCTTTTTCGCGTCTATTCGCGACTCTCTACCTGCTGAGCTATCTTCGCGGGTTGTCTTCCGCAAGGAATCTTTGACTAACACTGCAACAACGGCTGCTAGCCTTGCCGTTGGCATCGCTCAGGATGAAGCCACTCGAGCGCGAGATGAGACGAATCAAATGGTCATTGTTGGGCGTCGCACTGTTCAGGAGGAGTCTTCACCCGTGGAGTCTGGTGGCGAAGCCGATACTCAACGAGCATTAGGAGTGGTAGGGAATGCACTAGTTCGGAGGGGCGTCAAGGCGAGTGTTTTGGTGTTGCAGGGTGTTGCATGATGTTCACTTCTTGTTCATATTTTGCGATCTATGAATGCTACATTGTGCCTTTGGTTCCCTGGGTAAATAAGTTGCTCTAGCTACAATAAAGAGCATCACCAATTTTAGGGAATAGAATGCTACATTATACGGACGACCTGAATAAAAGTAGAGTAAATCCTTCAGTACTGCTGCTAGGTACATGATAACACATACCATGATCCCTGATCACTGATTCTACGTGTATATACAGAGAACTTAGTTAACAGTTACGGTCTTGTATTTCCGAGTCAGTCATATCAGTATGACCGAACGATGCCACTCTCAGTCGCTATGTGGCGAGCATCCTGGGTATCCTCCGGATGAGCGTAGAATCTCCTTGTGTTGTAATGCCGATATAATTCCATAAAATATTTTCGGGAGCCAGCACCGATTGCTAACACCGATTCATACGGAGCCCATTTCCATGGTATATTGTATAAAAGCCTCGAATTCTTGCATTCGTGGACACAAAAAATTGTCAATCCAGTCACGGCGCCATTCATCCTCGAGCCAACAAGTATAAAGAGTTTTGCAATATTCCCAATAGTCTGGATACCATCCGGCTTGCTCCCAATCGACAATCGCCAAAATGCGAGATGGGCTTGTTGAAGATACAACGATGTTTTCCCGATGAAGGTCACCATGAGTCAACTTAATTTCACCATCATCTGGCAATAAATACCTCGATGGGTCGTCATATCTTTGTGAAATAGGTAGCCAAGATTGTGGCAAGCCAGCAAACCAGTCATTGAAAGCTCTAATATTCGGAAAAGGATCATGCTTTGGTTGTGATTGAAATACATAGTCTAGCAGATGCTGACGGTTTATGGATCCTTGTAATAATTAGGAAACACGTATAACAAATTTATTGTTGATAGAGTCGGGGCATACCGATGTAGTGATCCTGGGGGTCTTGTTCAAGTTGGCGCAAGGTTTTCATAATCTGGCATAGCTGATCACAAAGCGAGGCTTTGTCCGCCGCATTGAGATCATCCCATAGATGCTGAAGTGTCTGTCCATGGATGATCTCCATGTAAATAAACACATAGTCTTCTTGATCAACCCGCCAGCCAAAGACCTCAGGCACTGGAACCTCATCGCGAAAGGCTCGTTTAACCATCCATAGGTTCTGAGCCTCTGCAACCGTTACATCAGGACCAAACTTAACAAGAACATTCAGATCTTCAAAAATTACAGGCTTCGGCTTCGGACTTGTCTTAATATCCTGAGACAAAGCTCTGACTTGCGCAGGTGAAGGGAGGCGTTGGTGTTTTTTGAAAAATGATGAATCCACAAAATCTTGGCTTTTCTGGGATACATCAGGCAATGGCTCTGTGAAACATTTAAGACGCATTATACTGGATTTTACAAAAAGAGTAGGTTGAAAAACCGCAGTTTTACATCCTTGGAGTCAATAACAGACTGGCATAGATATATCACAGGAGAGGCCTGACTGATGGCTGGGATCGGAACAAAGATATTCCGTTACTGATATTGTTGTCAGTGGGTTCGAGGTTAATTGATTGAGACGCAACAAGGCGAAAATGTGTTAGCTATGGAAGCATTAATGATTAGGCTGAGAATTTAGACATTTCATAAGTATATACAAAATTTGATCCTGATGTTTCGTGTTTCTATTCACGATCCCAACTGTATTGTGCCCCGCCTTATTTAGTAGACAATAGGCCCAAAACTATCACGTAAGGAAGAAATTCGCAAGAGGACACTACTCTCCAATAAATGAGATATGTTCTATTTTAGGCCTGCATCAATTTCATATGGGTTGTCCGCCTCGATTTGATAGGCAGGTAAGGTTCGAAACACATTGCAAAGCCGCCAAAGACATGAAACAATATTAAGCGCCCTGACTGCAAACGCGCAAAGAATGCGTAAGCATATAGTCCCTAGTCTTGCAGATCATTTATTCTAAGTATTTTTTAGCTACAGAGTTAGTTCAGAAGGCTGGCGGCTCCCAACACCATACTTAGGAGCAATCCCTGTATCTCCATGCATCGGGTTTTAAAAAAAAAATCTTTAAATTCGGGTCTCATAGGCCAAGGAAAGTCGACGGAAACACCCCTTTCATTTTCTTAAACCAGAACTGTCATGCCCTGCTTGTCTGATGGCTCATATAATCGATGTAACATTTGAAGCCAGTAACAATCCTTTATAATTCCATGTAATGTTTTTAGCTAAAGTGCTCCATCTTTGATTAAGAGCCTTAGAGACCCATTTTCGAGAATTTCCGGATACATTAGTTCTAACAGTTTTGATCGAATACGCGCCGCATGGTGTTTTAGAATACCCTTCAAAAATATTGCGAAGAATGAAACTTGTTGACGGAAACCTTACATACAAGATGTTCGGGAGCCTATTCAGTTCTCGTCAAATGAACGGGCCCGCTTTTCTACCGCTTTCTACCGTCTCCAAACAGGGTGTCACATTTTTGGACATATGGAGTATTAGCCCCTATGCCCAAAGAGAAAGGATGAACAATTCGTAAACGATTGGCTTGAGTAAAGATTTTCTGCTGCGGACGCATGGCATCCCTTATGGGTAACCATGCCACCATGGGAAGTGGAGGAGGTGGGATGTATTTGGCTGTATTGTGACGACAAGTATCACAAAATCTTCAAGCAAATCACTGAAGCGCTTATCACGAGATTTGTTCCACGTCACCCCGGTGCCTCACTCGGCATCAAAAATCACCTGCACGGAGACGAATACCAGAAGGCACACCCATGTCAAACATGGATGGACTCATAAGTACGTATATTGCTTCCAGGACGTTCTGTTTAAAAGCAGAGAATTTGGGGCGAAGTACTAATTTTCCTTCATCTGCAGGTATTGACGGATTACACCGGAGAGATGAAATGATTGCAATCGGTCTATGTTTCTTTGCCGAAATACTGCGTTCGAATTACGAAGAGAAAGAAATCGGTTATATTCGACGTCCCTTTTGGACCGCTATAGATAGGGAGTTGTGGCATCTTGGAAAAGTCGAGAATGAAGAGATTGCATCTTTTATCGCCAGCTGATCGCTATGAAACGTGAAGATCTCGAGTATGTTATTTCTTCCTTCCCGCTTTTAGACCAGCCAAATTAAGCATGGGTTAAATGGTGGTGCGCTGGGACCCTCTTCATCCAGATATATGGTTGTTATGGCCATTCGGAAACGGTGTCCCAACGGATGTAATGGCTGCAGGCGAATGGAATTGGGGTTATGTATTGTGGGATACAGAGTGTATTATGCAATGAAATCCCCCAGTTTTGGAACGAAACTATGATCCTTGACCGACGTTCACCAATAGAGAGAATATATAGAGAAGAAAGAAAACTCGTACTTCACATTTGACTAAACATAACAATATATCATCAAGTCAGAAAGTCAATTGGTATTTCCGCTGATGGAACTTGAAAGTCTGATGTTAGTTCACTATGGTCAACACAATGGTTCCAAGTTTACGTTCAGAGTCTGTGGAGACTGAATCTGCCGTAGTATATAATTATATATCCATTGATAGAGTGACTGCCTAGAAGATCTGGAGTCTTGTAGTGCAACGGTCTATATATAACAAGGACGCGGAAATAAAATATAGAAATTAATGTCAAACTCGTTATCTTGCGTATTGTTTCTTCACTCTGAGCTCTATTTCCGTCGCGGTAGGTAATTGTGCAGTAACACTGCGGCTCTATGGAACAATGACCACGAAACACGAGCCATTATCCTTATTTATTTTAATAATGTGATACAAATTTGAATGAAAATTCTTTTGTTCTCGTCTTCTTTTATCCTTGTTTCTGTTTTTACAGTGTGGCTCACTATGGTGTAATATAAGAGACCGAAAATGAATTTCCACTTTACTTGCAATCATGAACATCGTATACCAGGCCCTCTTTCCAGAATCACATTGAAATTTCATAAACAAACACCAGAAGGATTTTATAAAAAATAGAATAATGCCTTGCAATCCTTCAGCCCGCCTTTCCAAACTCGACACCCTCAAAGAAATGTACAAGCAGTTCCTATCCAATGAAGCACTTGTTACGGATTATCAGAAGATGATCACTTATCTCCAATCACAAATTGAGTTTCTCAATAGCGAAAACACGCTTTTTAATATGTCGAGTCATAACAATTCTGATTGCAGACACGACGACGGTCTTGATGACGATGTTGAAGATCACGAAAGCGATATTACGGTAATTCACAGAAGTGCAGACCCGGATATCGATGATAGAAAACAAACCAGGATCAGGAGGGACGTAGTGGAATATAGGGTTAGTGCTTGTCGGTTTTGTTTCTGGAAATGGAGTCGCTTGTCCATCAAGGTCATATCTAGTGAATAAGCGGAGGGGTTGAGGTGGCAGAGTGGAACATATTAAAGATGCATAGATATGTACTTCAAGGCTTTCTAGAGGCATCTCTTGGAGAATCATGGGAATTATTAATAGTTACTTTCAAATGAGCACCTTCATGATAAACACACCTAACCTCAAAAGAAGTTGTCTAGAGGATATTTCTAATATAACAACCTTTACTATCAAACAACTACGTTTTCATTTCTTTCTTTTGCCTTTATATTGAGTCGATTAACTTAGTGTAATTTTTATTTACACCCCTACAGAAAGCTCTCTATTTGCCCCGCCGGTGACTATTGATAGTAGTAATCGCAGGTAGATTGAATAAGAATATAACCATGACCCATAATTTGGATGGCGTGTCAGAATTCGAGCTGTTTGACTGGCTATTGCTAAGTTAGCAATCAATTTGAACAATTATTTGGACGTAGAGGATGTCAGGGCATCCTTGGATTGGAACCCCTATTTGACGTCTATTTAAGCACAAGTGGCTGAATTAGTCGTAGGGACGGGAGAGCTGGAAAACGGTTACCTCGGCCTAGAAAATGATCGGGCGGCCAGGTTTTCCTTGTAAATAACATAGATGGAAAGAATATCTTATATTTAGGTTTAAAGTGACGATATCATACAAACTCAGAAGTTGATATGATAAAGTGAGATAAGTGAATACATCTCAGGCATTAATCCAAATTTGGAAGAGACCATGATATTAGCCTATGGGAGAGCCAAGAACAGTTCCTTCAGTCTTGGGAAATCAGGCGTTCCAAGCCCTGTCACTGGATCCCAGCCCTCTACAGCGGCGAAGCCATCACTGTCACAACCTAAACTTGTGCCGTTTGTAATATCCTTAAGAACATAGGGGTTCGCGTACAGGACTGGATTCAAAAAGCCGACTGTTGACTTTCCTGCCGCGAGACGTTCTTCGTTGATCTATTCATAGTTAGCCCAGAAACGATAAATACAGCCGCATAAGGCATACTAAGGTGATAACAGCTGCCCACAGTGGTGCGGACAAGCTAGTGCCAAAGAAATGTGTGAATCTGCCTCTCAAGAACGAAGGGAAATATGCTCCGTTGGCAGAGATATCGGGGAATCCTCTACCAATGCGATTGTATAGTCCCTTGGTGGTGTTAAAGTCAACATTCAATTTCTCATAATATGGGTATTGAGGGTTTCCGATTTCGAAGTATTCCGCAACAGCTAGTTCCTGGTACCATGGAGCCTTGAAATAGTTCGAAAAGCCGCCAGCTGAAGAGAAATTAGTGGCAGCACCGTGGAGGTTTACTTGCATCACACTTTCAGAATCGTTTACGTTCTGATCATTGTAAAGCATAGTGCCGCCGACAGATGTCACCCAGGGACAACCTGAGGGGTATTGAGGATTGAAAATACGAGATTCGGGGCCTAAGCAACCATTTTTGTGACCACTGTCATTAGGCGAAGAGGCAACACCGTAGTCACCCGAACAGAACAGCAATGTGTGACCTTGCATCGCAAGCTTCAGGAATTCGTTGCACTGGCGCTCAACGTACTTTTGTGGTAGATCGGCTTCAGCTTGTCCATAAGATGCGGAAATGACATTTGTGGGTTTGTAAACTCCGCATTGCAGTTGACCTGTTTAATCTCTTTTAGAATATTTGGCTGATATCTCGTGAAAAAGAGTTACCTTGGTATCCACCCTCCCGTGTGTCAGGGTAAATAGGATCAATGTTTGGGTCGTTACCGGTTTGACCATATGCGCTATAATTGCAATAGGACTACTCAGGTTAGACTCCGTGGAACGAATGATTACGGATATATGTACGAACCCCGTCCAGTGCATCCAAAAAGGTGTTGAACAAGTTCGTAGTAGCTACCTCGGCTGGCTCATAGAGTTGATCATCAACTTGATAAAGAACGGTTTCTTGCGGGTATATCAAAGATATTCTGCGGCCATGTTTTAATCAACCAGCCACATTCAATCATTCAATACGTAATTACTTACGTCATTTCAATATCGATGTTAGACTCTCCACCATTCAGCGAGCTGTTTGCTGGAACTGAGTAATTGGCACCGTCGATTAGGTGTGGCGTCGGATACGTTCCTTGAGGTATTTCAGGGTTTATATGCTTCCAGTACAGGTCCAGATCAGACTTTGCAAAGTAATCGCCTTGCTCATAAAGGCCCAGCACATTTTGGGGATTTGGTTTGTTGGCCGGCAAGGGAATATCGTACAGGGCCCGGATACAAGGTGCGGTCATGTTAAAACCACAACCGGCGAGGTCTTGTGGAACCCCTTCCGGTGCAGACCAGTTCTCGGGGGGGTTGACTTCCATAGTTTTATGTAAAGCCGTGCGAGCGTGACTGCTTCTTGTATTCTTCTTGTGTGCCCTCTTAACATTACGCTTAACAACTTGTGTCATCTTGATCCCGGGTCTGATATAATCAACATGTGGCGCGATGTGCTCTGGAAGATGGTACCTGTTCCTAAATTTAGTTGCCTTCGGGTTGTGATACACATTTCTCCGACTAACTGGTCACAGCCAACACGAATACCGTCACTCTGTGTATGCTCGTGTTCGTAGTACTCGGTCTGAAACAGTCGCTCAGCTTCCTCACTTGTCGCATCGAAAGCTAGCCAGCCCTTATTATCTGAGTGGACGAGACGGGACTTGTCGATACCAGATTCGTGCAGCCACTCCTTGATAGCATTGACATGTTCTTGCAATGGGGCGAACATCGTATGGACCTCATCCATGGAGAAATATTGGCCATATTTCTCTGACTGAGGGTCAGAGCTGCCTATCATCAGTGACCAGCCCACTAAAATACGATAGCCATTGATTTCAAATTATGTTTACTCACACCTCCACTAAACAGCTGATCAGTAAGAGACAATTGTTATTATTCCGACAGATACCTACTAAGATAATCTGGTCCATTGTGCAAATTTGTCTGCATCAATCCAATCCGAATCGGAAGAATTGCAGAGCTCTCGACCCGAGACGTTTTAACCCAGTCGGTAGATGGTCGATGGCGCTTCTCGTGCAGGATATGTCGAGCCGGAGATGGCGCTGCCACTGACAGCGCCGCAAGGGCTGAGACGACTGCAAGCTGCAAAAAAATCATGGTGACAGGTGATATCTAGCTTTCGCAAAAGAAAAGAGAAGATCAATGCGAAGCAACCATTTTAACGACGAAACCACGCAGGCAGGACCCGATCATCCATCGTATCTGACTGGCAGACTGGAAGCTAACGGCCACGATTCTGTACTACCGTAGGCTTGACCAGGGTGACAGGGTCTCTAGTCAGAAGAAACAAGCAACCGGATCGTGATTTTTGTTTATCAAAAAGATTTCCCCGCCACAATTCGGGAATAGCTTATCTTTAGTGTTACATTGCGCAGTGATTGTGGCCCTGTTGTTAGAACTTATCATGCGCTATTGCGGAGACTTTCAGGGGCCACTTGTTGGCATTGGTCGTACAATAATGTTGGTCGCAGCATCGCGCTTGTTCTAGCAATATATGGAATACTACTTTGCGGCATGGAGTATGGTGTTATTTTCAAATTTAAAGATGAGGCGTGATATCACGAGCTGTCTAATAAAAATCTTATCATAAGATTATTTTGATATTATCTCGTATAAGATTATAAGATTCAATGGGGTCACTGGCTGAGCAGCAGACGGCTACCTGGCTGCCTTCCGAAGTGCCTGCTTACAAAGAAAAAAATAGATTAAATCCCATGTCTCTTACTGCCTAAAACAATAAAGAATTTCAGATTGAATAAAGATACTCTTTATAATAAGACATAAAAATAGAATAAACCATAATACTTAATATATTTATTTTTTTTAAAATATTCTATATTTAGTATTGTATTTGAATTTAATGCATCTAATTTATATGCAAGTCTGTGTCGCATTAAGAAGAAATCTACGAAGATTCAATTTTGAGTAAGGTATAGTTCATTCCTACACACATATGTGGCAACGTCAAATAAGAAAACTAACTTCTATAAGTGTCGCCAAGTCAAATATAGAGCTTCAAAGCTTGAGCGACGATAGAAACTCAAGAACCCGGGCCTGAAAGGGCTTCGGGCTCATCCAATGGTGGACTATGACCCGACCGTTCAAAAAAGGCTAGCTGAGAATTTAGAATGCTTTCTTTAACTCTATGCTGTATTCAAGCGGTGTGATGAGGTCATGACGTCCGACCACGACGAGGGTCGGGGTTGCGATGTCCTTGAGTCCAGCACGGACATCGTATCTGGGCACATTGAAACCAAAGGCTGCATCCTGCGTTGCCGCGTGGAATCTTCTCCCATCTTGCTTTTTATTTGCCCCTTCGAATTTTAAAGAAGTGTACTTTCCATCAATCGTCTCGCCAACTTCATCTGGTAAGTCGGGGGAATAGAGAGGAGCAATCTCCGTATATACATCTTCGAAGTCTTGCTTATCACGCAGGTAGCCAGCCCATAGCCTTAACTGACGATCAGGGTTGACTTTAAGCCGCGTAGAAGTCAAAATTTGCTTCAATACGTTCATCATACCACGACTTCCCCAGGCGAATGTGTCACGCAGTATAAGACACAACAAATGACTGGGAAAGGCAAGGGCGTAGGTTAGAGCGAGGAAGCCGCCATAAGACCCCCCAGCAAGAACAATCTTTTCCGCGCCCGCCATTGGCTAAAAGAGTTAATCATTTCTAATACTTCTATTGAAATGCTACGTGGCTTTCAGACCGCAAAGCTTCAACATCTGCAATCCAGCGTTCGTTCGTGTAGGGCTGTTTTAGGTCACTGATACCACTTCCTCGTGCATCATAGACCAGAATGCGGTATTGGGACTGAAGAAACCCAAAAGAGTTTTCAGGTTCTCTGTGATCGGAAAATCCAGGCGCTCCATGAAGGGCGATGAGAAGTGGCTTGTTCTTGATTGATGGGTCTGCATCTAAGAGTCGGACGTGAAGACTAGCTCCATCATCCACGTTAACGCGGAAGGCTGACATGGTTATTTATGATACACAGTATTCAAATCCAAATTCCAAAGGGCACATTGGCATAATTGTCAAACAGAAAATTTGATCGTAAAATACTGGATTTAAATACTCAGCATGTTATCTATGTCGAACTTGGACTGAAGCCTTGGGATCCGGGAACAGGGATAAAAGACCATATGGACTCCGGATTCCGACCTGAGGATTAGGAATAAATTGATGTACTCGATACAAGTCGAGATTGCATCATTTGGATATATTATCATAAAAATCCGAATTCTGTGAATTCGACACTGGTAATGACATAATCTCTAGTGAAACCGTTCTCGTGCTATTTACATCACCCACCTACGGTCTCATTCCTCACGGTACACATCAAATGGTACTTGAGAAATCTATATTAATAATTTGACTTCTTTACATAAATTGACATATAAATATCAATTGATATCAACGTAACTTTATAGGCTCTTTTAAACCTATTCTAAAAGCCTAGAAACTAAAGTTTAGAATAATAAATTTCAACTATAGTATCTGGCTCTGATAATAATTAAATCTGTCAGGCTCTATATATAAGGACTAAAAGGGAAATAACATGAAATAGGCGTAAAACCAGCGTAGAACCAGCCCAGCAATGGTTCGGAAATGTCTCAACGATAGGCTGTAAGCAGATTCGCAAATGGCCTGAGAGTAGGTCAGAACAATAGAGTATCGAAAGAATTGAAAACCATTTCATCGAAAATTCTTTCAGCAAGGATATGGCGTCAAGATCAACATTGCATGGGAGCAATCGCCCCACAAAGAAGAAGACACGCTTTGGTTGAGCAGTCGGCTGATGGAGAAAGATAACCACAATTTTTTCCTGCTTATTGTCGCGATAAGACATACATAGTCAGCAAGGGACAGAGTAATACTAACCTCCAACAAGATTGTCAGCCGATGCGCCTATGAGCTTGGTAAACAGATGGTTTGTGTTAGTGGCAGCTTTATTGCGAAAATGCTTATCTACTGTTATATGACGGGATGTTTAGTTTGAAAAGGGCTGCCGCCTTTACAAAGAAATGTACAGAGAAAAAGATTTGTTGGTTGGTTTTCGGAATATCAATTGATCTGGTAAACTGGGAGGGTTTGATGATCTTTCCCGTTGGTTTATAGTCTAAAGGAATATTCACAACGTATTTGCGCCTGACTAGATAATTTTGACCTTGTAAAATTAAAATAAAGTCACTGGTATATCTGATCTCTACTGGCCAAATGTTTATAGGACTAGAGATTGTTGTAAAGTACGTCAATTCTTTACTATTACTATTCCCAAATCGTACGCCAACCGGAATTTTCGGCACTGTACAGCTTTAGGGACAAAATAATCATAATTGGAGTTGATTTTGCTGCAATATTATTTCTTATTGGCCCACAATAACATCAGAATCTAACAGCATCATTATCGCCCAATTAACAGTTGTTCCATAGCTCGTTCCGCTTTATTGCGTGCGGAAACTTCCGAATGCTTAAGGACACATCCAAATAATCCCCGAATTACGTGCCCAAAATACAGTGGTTGTATCAGATTACTAAGTTTGTTACATCTAAAAACTATCAACTGGTTCATTTTTAAGTTATTGTACATGTCAACTTAGCTATAAAAGGTTCTATATTTTGAGGCCGTCTAGAAAAATGAATAATTTTGGAAAAATATATGTATAATAAAGGTAGATACATGTATACGTTAGTCTAAGAAAGATAAGGAGTTTACGTTGAGTGTTTGCCAGCCTTTGATTTAAAGCCATTTAATAAATATGTCGATGATCTAGAAGTGTTCACAAGCCAATTTATCTTACCCAGATTATGTACTGTAAAATATTAAGTAATCTCATAACAAGCCGATTGTATTGGGTGGGGTGGGTCAGATGGGCGTGTACGAAAGTATGTGGACGTGCCTAATAGCTTGTGGCTGACGAGAGGCATTACATGCATGACCAACAAAATGTTGGCAATCGAATCGTGTGTTATTATGTTGTCAGGGTTACATGTGGTGGGACAGTGGATAAACCTAAAAGCCCACAAATGCATACAGATAGCATGTGACGCTGAGAGAATGGTCTGTATATGATCTTCCTTTGAGTCCTTCCCTCAGCTACAGAAATTCTTAGGTGCTTCTGCATGACTTTTGAAACTAAAGAGATAGAAAAAATGGCCACTATTCCTGCTGTGCAACAAATATCACTCTCACTCAGTCTCGAAAAAAATGCCATTGCACAAGCAGCTTCAGCTAGCTCATCTCGACTGGAGCGCGATCTGAAAACAATCCGTGATTATGTAGAGCCTATCGTTGCACCGGCTCAATTGCCCGTTCCGCTAGATCAGCGCTTTCCGCCATTCAGTATCTCGGTGTCAAGACCGTTTGCCAAGAAGATTGAATCTATCCATCAATTGCTCGACCGTGCCCTCGTCAACATTGTAGAGCGATGGCATACGGACTTAGAGGCGAACTTCCCATCTAGAATGCCCCTGGAGCCGCATGAAGAGGATTTATTGCGATGGATCAGCTCACAATGTAGTGGTGATGTAGCCACAAGGACCATACCGAGGTTCAGCGAGAGATACGGCATGTGGAGAACGGATTTCTTGATCGAGAAAGGCCATGAAGCCGAAGCCAAGATCTGCGAAATCAATGCACGCATACCGTACAATGGCTTTTTCATGGCCGGCTTACATGAGGAGTCGAGTAGGCTACTGGGGGCAGGAAAACTGGGCTTTGAGATCCCAAATAATTATGAGGTATCTTATTGCCATGGAGAAGAGGTTAAGAAACCAAAGCTTACAGACTATCCTGAATAGGTGACTAAAAAAACGATCATAGATTGCTTTGATCGTTCGAAGCCGCTCTATCATATTCATAAAAAATGGCCTGGGGTTGACTCCCGAGTGTTTGGGTGTGAGTACACACATGCGACCGGGCAGGACATAGTACACGTTGAGCCGTCGGAGTTACAAATCCAACAAGACGAGGGCTCGCCAACTGGATGGATCCTTTATTTTCAACCCGCAGATCCCACCGAGAAAAAACAGAAAATTGAGCAGTGCACGCTCGAACTGTTTCAAGAAGAACTCCGGGACATAGAACCACAGATCCTAAAACAGCTGGCGACGTGCTGTGTGAACGACTTCAGAAATATCTTATTACTACACGATAAGCGAATTCTGGGCATTGTTCAAGAGGAAATCTCAAACCTCGTGCAACAGAATATACTGGATGCAAATGAAGCACGAGTACTTCACAATGGAATCGCAGAAACCGCCATTCCAGGATCAAAAGCTATGAAGCAATTACTAGAAAAGTCACACCAAGACCCTCTCCAGCGATACAAATACATAGTCAAGCCAGTGCGAGATGCTTCATGTAACGGTATCCGCCTTGGGGAGCAATTTGACAAGGATGAGTGGATTGCCCTTCTAGAGCGATTTGCAAGTCACCCATTACAGCCAAGCGAAGACGCCTACGTCGTGCAGAAATTGGCTGATCACTTATGGTGCGATATTGTGCGTCATGACGTGCATGCTACACCAAAAGTTGAGAACTTTCACTTGATCGGTTCTTGCCACATGATTAATTCAAAATTGTTCGTCTTTGGCCCTTGGAGGATCGGTCACACAATTCATGTCGGTCTCTCAAGTGCGGGTATGGGAATTGTGATGAGTTGTGTGTTGCGCCCGGATGGACTTGAGCAGCTAGATGAAAGGAAAGAAGAATGACATTGGTTAGCAGGCTGGAAGCCTCGGAAAAGCAGACAGACTGCTATAAAGGCTCTATGATTTCTGTGTAAGGACTAGCATTTGAATGATAAATTCAAAGAACGTCTGCCAAAATGAAAAGCACCGCACTGTACCATCTATCGCAGCCCCAACCTCAGCCTCTAAACATCGCAGCCTTTATATACTTGATCAAGCAGCTAGTATAGTGTTTACTACCACGATATAGGCTAGGAATAAGATTGCTTTATAGTACAAGTGAGATACATCCGTAGACTTGGCGTACAGATATTGGCCATCTATATTAGTTGGAAAGAAATAAGTAGTTTATGGGCAGAACTAAATACAGATAGTGAATGCTAGACTCAATAACAAGCAATATGTTGAGGTTAATGAAAAATATATGAATAATCCTGACTTCAATTCATATTTATCAAATGCGACAGAATGAAAGAGGCTGTGTGTCAAGGGCGGGGTTGAGGGCTTGAGCTAAATTAAGCTACGTTAAATACGAGATTGATCGCACTAACCAGCGACTTCAAAAAATGACACTGTTTACTTTAAAACGTAACCTAATTGAACTATTCTTGAAATATGGGCCTAGCCATTTGCCTTTCAAAGGAAATTAACTATGAAGGGGATACTCAAAAAGTCAATCCAGTCGCTAAGAAGAACGGAGGAGAATGGTACAGTTCAAAAGCAAGCCAGTGTCACGACTGGGAGTAGCATTTTGTCCAATCCTGAACCAATACCCGACGTGGATGATGATACTAAACAACTCAAAAATGCATCGCATGAGCTAGAGCAGACACTTAGACTCTATTTCGAGAAAGCATCAAATGGCAACAATCAATTACAGAACCTTCCTTTCCAAGGAAATGAACTTTCTGCCGCATCAGACCCCGATCAATTGGCAGATCTTATCAGCAAAGTCATAGTCACAGAATCCCATAAGGGAAATAAGATATCAAGAAAATTTTCTAGTGTATTCGGAAAAATATACCCTGTCGCCTCGCTAGTGATCCAATTCGGCACCGCTGCCGGTGAAGCCTTCCAACCTGTCAAGGCGTTGATGGGTGGGTTAGATATCCTTCTTAACCTTGCAGAAGAGGAAAGGTCGCGCGCTGGAGATTTCCTCAAAAACATAAATAATATCACATATCAATGTTCCCGTATTGCGGAGTTGCAAAAGACTATTGGCAAAAGAGAATGGAATAGACTGGTTATTCAAAAGTCTACTCAGCTGCTTACAGCTGTGATCCGGTATTTCAACGCAAGCATCGTTTTCTTTTGCCAGAATTCTCTGCAAATCCTCGGAAATTCCGTTTTTCAAGGGACACAAAGATATTCTAGTGTTCTAGAATCTCTCAAGCAGGCTATTGCAGAATATGACCAGGCGCTCTTGCTTCAAATTGCGTTGACTACGTTGTCGACTAGCGCTAAAATTAATTCTGTCATTCCCGACGGAAAAGATACAGGTCATCCTGATGCCACTACTTTAAAGTGGTTAAAATCCTCCTATTGGGAAACCGAAGCCCAGTACATGAATTCCTTGAGCAGAAGGCAAGATGGCTCTTTCCGTTGGATACTAGATTTGAATGTGTTCCAGCAATGGAGAAGAAGAGAGAATCAAGGTTTATGGCTCACAGCAGCACCCGGTTTTGGAAAGTCGACGCTGACAGCATACCTAACCCAACTCCTAAAGTCAGAAGATTCTTCAGAAGTGGTTGTTTTATTCTTCTTATTCCGCAGTACAAATCCACAGCTTAGGACTTTGAATAATTTGATTCGAACACTCGCCGCGCAGATCTTAAAAAATGTTCCAGATACACAGGAGTACTTTGGAAATCTGTGTGCTCAAGGATTTGAATCAGAAGACCCTTCAATTCTTTTCGATACCCTTGTGTGGACGCCGCTGTCGGGGTTGACACAACAGATATACACGGTTGTCGATGGTCTTGATGAGTGCTGTCCCGAACAAAGTTCATCATTGGCAATAGGACAGAAAGTGAGTCTTGACGTCTCTGACATGTTGCAGAAACTCCCCGGTCAGTGTTTTATGACTAGCCGGCCGATTTCGATACCTACCGCAAAGCTTGAAAAATGCCTACATCATCGACTGCTCGCAGAAAATTCAGACGATATTGAGGCTTATGTGTCAAAGCGCGTGGCCCAATCTAGCGTCCTACAGAAAGGTTTTAATACTCTGAGCAAAGACCCGTCTATAGTACTAGTCGAAAAGGCCCAGGGAAACTTCTTGTGGGCATTTACTGTGCTAGGATTACTTGATAAACCCAGCCTGTCCATCGATACCTTTGAATCCTTTCTTACCAGCGTTCCAGAAAATCTCAATCAAGTCTACAACGAAGTGCTTGGTCGACTTGACCGTGCTGGGAGTCTCGAACTAGCAAAACTGGTAGCGGGATGTGTATTGTTCGGTGTATCCACAATGACGGTTGATATGCTGCAAGCAGTTGTCTGTATTATCCATGGAGAGGTTTTCGGCTTAGAGGAATTTATCGAAGCCGAGTGTGGGTCAATTTTGACCATTGCTTCAAGCAAATCACCATCCAACATAATCCAGCCAGTACATGAGACATTCAAGAAGTTTATCACTAGCAACGATGCACTGAACTGCGGAAGACTATCATCTGATATTTGTCATCTTCATTTCACAATTGCTTGTCTAGAATGCTTGCTTGATTCTGAGAATTTGCAATATAATTCTCTTCATGAATATGCCTGTCAGAACTGGTTCACTCATTTCACTGCTTTTCAGAACCATGAGGAGGCATATTTAGGGAGCGAATATTTGGAACGATTACTGTTATGTTTGCATACATTCTTCACCTCCGAGCAGACCTTTTGCACTTGGCTCAGAGAATTGCTTCTTCTCGTTCAGGATGATACCCGAGCACGATTTTTTTGTTTTGAATTGGTCGACATGCATAGTACAATATCCGAATGGCTCATTTCTCTAAACACTAACGGCTTCTGGTCGAACCTGAGTAGTGAAAATATGAAATCCGAATCACTATCAAAGGCGTCTCAGTGGAGTAATCGACAAGTCCAGACTCAAAGCCAAGATTTAGCACAATTCATATCCAAATGTGTAGCCCAAACATGGTTGCGAACAAACTGGAAGGAGTCTTCTCTCAGTCATTGGATATTTCTGCAAACGAAGAAAACGGCCCAGATGCTTCTGTGGGATGATCCTGAAGGGATCAGTGGCCCTAAACGTTATGTGAGATCCATAAGTCACAGCGATTTCAGCTCTACAACGATAGAAGAAGCCAGACGTCTGGGGACGTTGGGTAACTTTGTGCCCTTGGTCGGTGTCCAGGCAGGAAACTATGCTTTCGGATGCTTGGCTGCCAATGATCCCTCATGTGAGCGATTTTTCCTGTCGGCTCTGGACGAGCATCCAGAATGGTGGCACCTACATGAAACACTGGGAGAATGGTACTATCGAAATGATAACAAAAAGCAAGCCATGCGAGCATTTGAAAATGCCATTGAGTATGATCCCAAATCTCCGTCTTCCGCCACGCACATGTATTGGACAACGAAATGTGAAATATGTCTTGATTCCAACGACCTCATCGGGGCAGTGGAAACTTTGAAGCGGGCTGAAGAAATTTGTCTTGATGGACCTGCATTCAAATACTGGGATCGCATGGCGAGGATATGGAAAGATCATGACCGATGGGACGAAGTCAAAACTGTCTATACTGATGCGCTTCGCAAACGGACCGTTTGCCGTGACGAGTACTGGATGGGGCTGGTAGAAGCAAACGAGAAGCTCCGTGACTCGCAAGGTGTTCTTGATACCCTCATCTCGGCATTGCAAGACGACCCCAAAAACTCTAGACGTTACGGAAACAAACTATGTCGCTTTGCATCGGAGCTCGCGGAATGTATGTTATTTGACGAATCGATCAGCTTCCTTTGCTTAGCTATTGAAATCCAGCCAAACGATAAAAGAGAGTATCACATGCTTTTGGCTAAAACGTACATGGGTGCACGTAAGTGGGAAAAGGCAGCTGAAGCATATGAAGCAATACTCCTAGAAGAAGAAAAGAATGTCAATATTCAAAACGCAATGTACAGCAGCCTTGGAGATGCTTATTTGGCAATGGGTAAGCTGAAAGAAGCCAAAGCCGCAATTGAGAAAGCCAACATCTCCGACCCAAAACTCATCTTACCCGACACATTCGCTCTGGGCTACCTTATTGACAATCAATTCTCCGATGCAATTCGAATTCTCAAAAGATGCATTTCACAAACACACTCAGATAAGGTTTCCGGGATCTTTAACGCTATCCAGGCTGGTATGGTCATGAATATGCACTTGGTTTTGGGTAAAGCATATAAAGCCGCAGGTCGCGATGCTGAAGAGAGTCATATAGTATATGAGGCTGGAATTGCCGTGTTTGATAAATTAAAAGAAGATGTGCTCAAAAACATTCCGAAACCAGAAGACCAGCAAGTGCCTGTCTGGCGATGCGATGCTCGGGTTCTCATGATTTATGGCGAATTACTACTCCTAGTCGGCAGGCTCGCGGAGGCATTGCAGCAATATGAAGCTGCCTACGCGATAATTTCCAAAACGCGCTTTGTAGAGGATGACGATATACTCGAGTGGGAGTATGGCTATTGTCAATCATCACTTGAAAGAGCAAGGCTGAATTTGCCACTTTCCATGCAGGCCGAAAGAGAAGTAATACGTAAGACTTTGGAACTCAGGATCAGTAATTCTTATCGAACAGAGTGGTATTCATTCATGAAATCTAGTATACCGCGGTTCAGGGGAGGGGAGAACGGATGGTCAACGAAAATTCTTGGGGTGAAAACGGTTTAAATGAAGGATTTATTAACTTAGTGCTCTTATTCTATCCAGGATAAATATTATACTTCTAAAATGGAACTACATGCAGGCAATATTGAAGCCAGCTTCGTCCAAAAGTAGGAAGGAAGTGGAAACATGGTATTAACTCATCTGTGAATATAGCGATGAGTTTAGAAGCACCAACTAGTTGAGGAGTTATCTCTGTAGACTACCATACAGAACGGTCCTTCGGTTATGATGTTAAAGACTAAGGAAGCTGTTTTGCTTTAATTTTGCCAAACGAAGTCAAATTCTCAATAGCGCACCACGGACATGTTCACCCAGTCGTGCCCTCCATAAGCGGTTCTCATTTAGAATAAAGATTTCACCTTTCTGACCAAAGCAGAAATTGGCAGCTCCTCCTTCAACCACGATTCTTCCGAGCAGGATACCACCTGGAGACCATACATTCACTCCATCGCCGCATCCGCTGTACACGTTGCCTTCCATGTCACACTTGATGCCATCAGGAATACCTTGATCAGCCATGGCAAATAGGCGGCGGTTTGTAAGAAACGGTTGGCCGTGGATTGTGGATATATCGAATGCGTAACTAGCCATGTCAGTATGTGTGGCTCATTTATATACCTCTTTGTTTCATAACATTGGAATACGTCTGTAGATGAACGGCTGCTCACATTGTTGAAGCTTTGTAATCCAATATCCCTTCACTCCCATGTACTCGATCTGTATCTGTGACAAACAAGGTTTTCTCATCTGGCGAAAAACATAGCCCGTTAGGATGTCCAAACCCATCCGCCATAGCGCGGATAGTCTTTGTCCCAGGATCATAGCGATATATCTGGGGTGGCAAATTCTGGGCTGGACGAAACTTTTGCTCAAAGCCATATGGGGGATCAGTAAACCAGATACTGCCATCCGTAGAATGTACGATCACATCATTGACCGAGTTGAAGGGGCGCCCATAAAAATCAGAAAGTAGCAGTTGGACATCGTACGGAGCGCTAAAGCTCATATAGTATAGGCCGCTTGGCCTGTTGAGGAGCCCTTGGCCGCAGAAAAGGATACCATCTTTGTAATTGACGCCGCCATTTCCCATAGGCACTGCGCTAGAGTCGATTTCTTCGCAGGTGATTTTGGATGGGTCATTGTTCAGAACGACTTTGGATATCTGGACGCGCTCCTCGTGAGGGGGTGTATTTGGGAAGTCACCAAAACGGTTGCTTGTGATGAAAAGCTCATTTGTAGCTTGTATATAGACACCAGCCTCGTGAGCGAAAGGATACCGATTGTTTTCTACTAACAACTCTAGAGTTGGAGAGCCCCCAAGCAAATTATGAAACTGCTCGTCATGGGCGACGAATGCGGAAATGTTGGACATTGCAGCATGAGTCTGTGATAATATCGTCTCTTATCAAGGAGAATAATAGCTCGATTAATTTTCTTCACAGAGGAAATTATTAAATTCTCTATTCGGGGTTAGGCCGATGCGGGGATCTCGTGGGGCCAATATACTCGGCTGGATGACCGATACTCCCTAGCTTGGGTAGTAAACGTGCAACTTGGAGAAATTGTGCGTATATGGAATTATAGAAATATTTCAAAAGAACTAATTCCCTTTGCCGCTACCTCCAATTATGTCCACCCATCGCTCCGTCTTCTGCGTTAGAACATCGATACCTTCCTGCATAACTCAAGTGCTTTTGAAATAGGTTATGAGGGCACATGTAGTGTATGTTAACGCGTATATATTCTATTGCTATACTTATCATTATTATTTATTAATTCAAGAAGCCTCTTAATATAAAACTTAGTATTAATACCGGAATTGATGGTATACTTATAATGAGCGTCAAGGATCTAAAGAAAGTTGTGCAATTAATAAATGGCCGAATGAACCAAAATGCTTCTCTATAGTTGGACAGGAAACAGATGTAGGTATGGTGGTTCATATTAAGGAAAGATCGAGTACAAGGGACGAGAAATTGAAGTAATTTAAAATTGAATATCAATCAAATAGCCTATACTTCATTATACATCGTGTGAATAGAACGTAGTGTTTCTTTCAAGTCACAGTCCGATTTTTTTAAACTTTTTTTTAATGTAATGGATGGACGTTATTTCTATATATCGTTGTTGGCATGGTCATTCTGTATTATCTCTCACCGACAAAGCCTTTGTTGGTGAGCCAACCCTCTGGGATGTCACACCAACATTCTGCAATTAAACAGAGAAAGTTCCGGAAGTATTCGTAGACTGGAAAATATTCAACTAGAGACTGCCGCAAACAATTCTAGATCCTGTGTAGTTTTCTGCAGCCGCCAAATACTAGTGTATCCTGCCTCGGCCGTAGAGATTTCAAGGCACCCAAATTAGGAATTCCCCCAGAATGACCTTATGGCAGCCAAATACTATGCCCCTGATGAGTTGAAAGTATAAATATAATTGTTTATGAAAACATTCGAATATCGCTCCTCACTTGAACCGAAATTTAAGGACCCAGATAACCCAGCAAGCGCTCAAAACTTCGAGCTATTGCCATTACGTCGGCATTGTATTTCAGCTGTGCGTGATTGGATACCATTTAACATAATACTCAATGTTCCCCCAATTTAAATTTCAACCCTACGCACCGTGCCAAGCCAATTGGCTGGAATATTGACAATCAGCTACACTCATCCCCTTGTTATCCTTGGCCTCTACATCGGCACCGTGGCTGACTAACAAGTCATACGCTGGAGACACAACCTTATATGTAGCTAGGTGCAATGGGATTTGGCCACTAGAATCTCGAGCGTTGACATCCAAACCCCAACTGAGCAGTGTAGATATTGCATCAATATTATCCCCTCTTACTGCATAATGCAAGGCAGTTCTTTGCTGTGCATCTGTGGCATGTATTTGAGCACCGGCAGCGAGGAGAGTCTCAAGTGCAACGACGCTTCCATTACGAGCCGCTCCGTGAAACGGCCTTGTGCCACCCACGCCTCCTGATTCTAACTTGGCACCGTACCGAAGAAGCTCGGGTATGAGATGAGGGTTTCTCGAGTTAATCGCACAAAAAAGGGCACGTTTTGTCTCAATTGATCCGTATTTTGTCTTGACTCCAGATTGGGATTCTGTATCAGCGCCGTATTTGAGTAGTAAACGGACGAACTCCACTTGATTTCCTTCAATTGCAAGGTGCAAGGGTGTGTCCCCATTGCAATTAAAAGCTTCTGTCTTTGCTCCAGCTTTAAGAAGGAAACGAACAACCTCCAGATGATGGTGAGCGACGGCAACATGGAGTGGAGTCTGGCGTGACGTAGAACTTGCTTGCACATCCGCACCCCTGTCAAGAAGTAGCGACACCGCTGGTAAAGAACCACTTGATGCAGCGTTCAGTAAATGATACAAGGTAACTCTTTCCCCGGCATCCAGAAGCAAAGTCATAATATTTGTGTGACCGTATCTCGTAGCAAGCTCGAGGGCGGAATGTCCTTGCATTGTTGCTGAAGCATCAAACCCATTTGCTAGGAGTAATTTGACAATGTCAGTACAGCCGCGCTGGGAGGCAAGAGGCATGGCTGTTGTTCTATGTTCCACATGATCTCGCGGCATGCTGTCAGTTTCTAATAAGAATTTGACAATTCCATAATGCTTGTGATAAATAGCAAAGTGCAAACAACACCAATTTTCATACTTGATTTTCGGACCTCCATATGTGTATCTTGAACCATCTTTGGATGCCGAGTAAACATAGGGGTCTTTGCTTGTATCAATATTTGGGTACACGTAATAGTCTCCAGGAGCCTTTGAAAGTAAAAGTCTGAGGATGCCTTTGTGACCTTTTTTTGCCGCTAGGTGTATCAGACCTGGACCAAAAGAGTCCTGTGGTATCTTCATACCATCACCTAAAATAATCTTGACAATTCCTTCATGGCCATTCTCAACAGCACTGGTTAAAGCACCTAAAAGATTGCGGCGTTTCTGCCCTTGTATACGCTTGGACAGTACTCTCACTACATCCTCATAACCGCGCGAAGAAGCTTTATTAAGGCCCTGTAGGATATTTTGGGACGAGGCTCTTGCTCCGTGCTTCAGGAACAACAAGACGGCCCATAGCCAGTTTTTCATAGCGGCATATCCTAGGGCAGTGTCAAGCACGTTGGCCTTTTTATACGAGTTACTGCGACGGAGTAATTGAAAGGATTGCAGATCAGAAACGAACGATTTTAGTCCTGTCGGTAGATGCGTAAGAAGAACTCGTACAACAGACTTCTGTCGACAATTGATTGCAGCAATCAATGACCGCTCCAAAAGGAGCAACCCCTTCAAGTTTCGAAGGCTCCGCTCCTTAGACAGCAACCTTATGACCAGAGCATCATATCCCTCCTCGCATGCGATGTGGAGTGCCTTTTCTGACCCCGTACATATCTTCCAAGTTTTAGTCGTATATACCTCCAGTTGCGCGATGTATGTTTGAAAAGACGGCCGTTGTAAACCGGATATAAAATTCGCGATAGAATGGTTTCCCGCCATCTTGAATCTGAAACGGTCCAAATATGTCAGATGGGAGACAATGAGGTAGAGAATATCTTGTGGTAGCGAAGTGAGTCCCTTATAGCTATGTCAGAAGAATGAGTTCCTGGTGATATGAGTAGCAGCTTGCCTTGTGGGTTGAACAATTCACTCTTTCAACCCTCTGGACATGAAAAGCGACCCCTCGTTTCTCCTTTTTGCCACCTTTTAGCCAGTTGGCCATGATGGACATAGGACAGGATCAAATGTCTTAGTGGGGTTAATGCTGGCGCGTGCTAAATTATGTGGAAACTTCAAGTTTTTAATGAAAATATTATATTTAGGGCTCTCACAGTCGCATCAAACAGGATTTCTTCTATTATTGACGATTCTGCTGGCATCGAGTATCAATTTATGGATTTAAGCTAAACAGACACACAGCCTCGCGTGCGTAAGTCAGCCTCGTAAACATATTTAGGTTTCGCACAGCCCGCTACGAGGGTCTACGTAGTAGCCCAAGCTGCTTACTGGAGAAGGCAAGATCGGCAGATTATAGGTTCAAGCGATACCGGGGTGAGGAAAATATACATAGGACTCGTTTGCTTACTTATATAAGCCTCGTAAAGGACCCGTGATTTCACGTCTGCCTCTGTAATATTTCGGTTTCCACTTTATTCGGTTAATTAGGATGCTTCGGATTATCTTCACGATTTGTAGTTCTGTATGCCTAACTAACTCAATTTCTGTCTTTAGTTATTTTGTTATTTAATGGTTTTGCGTTTCACCTGGATACACTGGTATAGCTCTTACAGCAGATGGATTAGTAGCGCTATGTCGAAGATACTCATCGTCTTATATTTTAAACCTATTCACTCTTATAGGCATAGGCCTTACTTATATCAGAGAAGTATATTACTATACTTGGAGATAAGACGGTTATATTGATGTGAGAAAGTCAAGGGGTGCGAGGTCGAGAGGTTGTAATAGCTCGCTGACAAGCAGGACCCGACTTGAAGCCGCCGTGTAACTTTGTCTTTGCCCATTTTTTGAGTCCCTCGATAAGGAAAGAAAAAGTTGATAGAATGTGAATTGGGCTTATATGTAAGTGATTTGTGGAGATGAAGAAGAATTGGCGTAAATCGTGTCCTATTCCTTCGTTGTTCTGGCTTTGATGCAATGCGTAGATAGACCAAGCATAACGAATCGACTGAGATGAAGTCGTAACAGCACTACCTTATAGTAGGAACCAGTCACAGGTCTACGTTGAACGCGCTGATTCGTGACGTTACAGTCATTATTGCCATAATATCAGGGGTACGTTCTACCGGCCATATCTGATCCACTGTTCATCAAGCTATGGCAAATACCTACCGGCGATATCACCAGTGCTCGTCCTAATCTAGTTCGAGCGACCTGCTTCCCTAAGGAGCGGCAGGGTGCTGTTAGGGTGCGATCAGGGAAGAGGCACTTTCAATGTTAATATCAGCCGGTTATTATTTTAGAACATTGAATCTGTTCTTGCCTCGATCCAGCTTAGTTGTGTAATATTTAAAAGATACATTAAGGTTTGGTGCCTAGCACTAGTAATAGCATCAGAAATATTTCGTAGTTACTCAACTATCAAGGCAGTTACACAACAGGCGTCAATTCCTATTGCGGGTATTGTTGAGGCTTGGTAATTTTCCTTTCAGGTTTGTCCTTTGTTCGGCACTTCCATAGAACGGCACGCTTGTTTGGATTCTATTTTATACCTCTCTTCAGCAGAATGCAACCAGCCTTAATAATTTATTTTCTTACTAATATCCATTGAAAATACTATCATTGTAGACCTACTACCTCTGCGTATATGTAAAATCCTGGCCCCAATGATCATAAACTAGGCTTCCCAATTGGGAAGCGTGTAACTACGTCATAGGCTGGCTCGGTCAGCCAAGTTTGAACAGCAGAAACATACATGATACATACCCTTGCCAAGGGAATGAGAAATTCGAATAGTGTAAATTAAGCATTGAAATTATTTAATTCTTATCACGATCATCTCACTAGGCAAGTCAATGTTGGTTGGAGCCTGAGGCCTCCCAGGACGGCTGACCAATAACAGTTAATGGACTAGTTTTCCCCGCATTTCCTGGGGAAGTCTCACTCTGTCAGCACAACAGTCTCTTTTTCTCTCTTTCACCAACAATACCTTTACTGTTACGACACTCTGCATGGACATCCTGCGATAGCCGCCATGTCGCAGGCATTATCTTACATTAAGAGTGTCGTCGACCTCGTAGAGGACTGGGCAGATCGCACTTCCCTCCGCACTGTGGCTGGCGTGCTCGGCCTTGTTTCCTCTGCAGCTACCAATGCACGCCTTAGCAACTCTCTTGGGTGTGCCGGCTATACAGCCAAGCATGTAACACAGTCGTCGACCTCACTCACAGCTACACTTCACCTTGCAGGTGAGCCGTGTAACGTTTATGGCCCAGATATACGTGATTTGAAGCTGCTGGTTGAGTACCAAACCGGTGAGTGCTGTTCCTAGTATCATGCATGTCAAGATACTAAATTTGCACAGATAGTCGTCTTCATGTGAAAATCTACGACGCGGCAGAAGATGTATACCAGATTCCACGTGACGTGCTCGCGTTTCCGGAAGGAAGCAATGACACTTACAGCGACGGCCTGCTCACGTTCTCGTACACTGAGAGCCCGTTTTCATTCGCTGTCCAGCGTAGTGATACCAAAGAAACCCTGTTCAATACCTCTGGCGATGCACTAGTCTTCGAGCCTCAATACGTGCATCTTCGTACATCTCTGCCAACCGATCCATACATCTACGGACTCGGCGAAGATGTTGATTCGTTCCGTCGACAGACTGACAATTACAAGCGAACGATATATAACGTTGGAGATGCGTTCTTGCCCGAACACGCCAATCTGTATAGCAGTCACCCGATATATTTAGAAATGCGCGATGGCAGTGCCCATGGCGTGTTTCTCGCGAGTAGTAACGGTATGGACGTTTTCATCGCGAAGACAGCAGAAGGTCAGCAGTACCTTGAGTACAATGTCATCGGTGGTGTCCTTGACTTTTACTTCCTTGCCGGCCCGAGCCCAGTCGACGTCGGGAGGCAGTATGCCGAGGTGGTGGGCGCGGTGAGTTGTCTTGAAAACTACTATGATATCCCGTATATACTAAGATTTTGAAAGCCCGCGGAGCAAGCGTACTGGACATATGGATTTCATCAGTGCAAATTCGGGTACAGTGATGTCATGATGGTTGCCGAGGTTGTGACGAATTACTCTGAAGCCAACATTCCAGTGGAGACCATCTGGTCGGATATTGATTACAGTAAGAATCATTTCGAAGCTCGATTGACCTTGTGCTGACTGCACAGTGAATCTCCGTCGCACGTGGACACTGGATCCTGACAGATTCCCCATTCACAAGGTCCGGGAATTAGTCAACTATCTGCATGAGCATGATCAGCACTATGTAGTGATGGTTGATCCCCCGATCTCAGTTGACGATCCACAGTCGTATGATAAACTGATGGAAAGTGAGGCATATTTCCGAAATGATGATGGCTCTGTTTTTCTCGCTGGGATGTGGCCTGGTGCTACTGCATTTGTCGATTGGTTTCATCCGAATGCGCAAGAGTATTGGGGCGGTCAGCTCTTGTCTTTCTTTGACGCGGAGACGGGGGTAGATGTCGATGCGATGTGGATTGATATGAACGAGGTGTGTTAATCCACAGGTCCCAGAGAATGATCAATATTGACATCTATATTGCCTGCCAACTTCTGCCCATATCCATGTGAAGACGCAGTAGCCTGGTCCAAAGCAGCCGGCCTTCCACCACCACCACCGCAACTACGAGACTCATGGCGCCCATTACCCGGATTCCCATCTGACTTCCAGCCGTCAAGCAGCGGGTTAAAACCGCCTAAAACTCTCAGCAAAAGGAAAGGAAAAAGTGGCCAGCGACTCGGTCTGCCCGGGAGAGATCTGCTGAACCCTCCTTATCCACTGGGCACAGTCGATGGAATCATTTACGGAGGCACGATCTTTACAGACAGACATCAATATGGTGGTTACGCGTTTTACGATACGAAGAACCTCTTCGCAACTAGTATGATGCAGGCAACTCGAAAGGCCATGCTCGACCGTCGGCCTAACAAACGGCCGCTGATCATATCACGTTCTACCTTTGCAGGCGACGGCAAGCAATCTGGACATTGGACGGGTAAAAATACATTTATTCATTTCGAGATATCTTCAAAGAACATAATCATCTAACGTTTTTTCTAGGAGACAACATCTCTTCCTGGGCCCACTACCGAATCTCCATCCGGCAAAACATGGAATTCGCAGCAATATTCCAAATGCCCACCATCGGAGCTGACGTCTGCGGCTTCAACGCTGAGACGTGGGAAACGCTGTGTTTGCGCTGGGTAGCTCTAGGTGCCTGGTACCCATTCTTCCGCAACCACGCCGACATTCAAGCGCCCTTCCAAGAATTCTACCTCTGGCCGGCCGTCGCAGACGCCGCGCGCGCAGCCATCAAGACTCGCTATCAGCTACTCGACTACTTCTACACGGAATTCCACTACCAAACCGTTGACGGCACACCAACCACAATCCTCCCGCTTTTCTTCGTGTACCCGTCTGACCCGAACACCCTCGACATCGAAATGCAGTTCTTCTACGGCTCGGCACTGCTCGTTTCGCCTGTGACCGACGACGAGTCGACCTCGGTCACATTCTATCTGCCGGCAGATACCTGGTACGACTTTTTCACAGGTGAGAAGCTTACTGTTTCCGAGGGGACATGGGTTACCCGTGAGAACGTGGCATATGACGAGATTCCCGTACATATTCGCGGCGGGACGGTTGTGCCAATGCGCGTGGACGGGGCAAATACGACGACGCAGCTCCGGAAGCTAGATTTCGAGTTAATCGTCGCGCCGGGGACGGATGGGACGGCGCGGGGGAGACTGTATCTGGACGATGGGGAGAGTCTGGAGCAGGACGTTGAGCGGACGAGTGAGATTTCGTTCGAGTATGATTCAGGCACGAAGAAGTTGCATGTGCGTGGCCGGTTTGGGTATCCGACCGATGTGAGGGTGGTTCGTGTGAGAGTGCTAGGGGAAGCGGTTAGGAGACATGGACAGCAGCAGGTCCCAATGGGCACGAAGCTGGGTCGGACGGTGGAGATTGACCGGTCGTTGGAAGAAGGGTTTAGTGTTTATCTTGGTTAGGATTGGTACATACGTGTGTACATGGGCGGAGGTATGGATTAGTATGAATGAATACATGTAATATTCACAGTTGTCTATGAGAAATATCTGCGTATGCAATATATACAAGGAATGAAATAGTCCCGATACAGGATATATAAAAACCGAACGCCGGTAATGGGTGAAGGTAAAAAGTGACATCACACAATAACTCGTTCGCCGGCATGTAACGGCAACGTCTTATTCGAGGCATTCACCATTGACACATCAATGTAGTCGCGGAAAGTCTCATGCAGGCGCAGAGCCATGTACCTCGAGACGGTGTCACGCAGGGCATCGGCGACCAACTCTTTGCCTAGCCAGAAATGCCTGACAAACTCGCCAGAACAACCAGAATCGGCTTTCTGAGGGTACCCGTTGGCTTCGGTACAAGCAAGCTCGATGACTTCGGTACCGCGCTCGTACTCGTAGCGCATGAAATCGCTGAATGCCGCCTGCTCGTGGCTCCATTCATACCGCCACTTGGAGCATTTCTCAAACTTTGTGTCGGTGACGCAGTCCTCCCAGACATTAAGCATTTCAGTGGTCCTCGGACTGGCCTGTGCAATAATGAAGCCAGTGTTGAGGTTAGTATTGCCACGCGAGTCCTTGTTGAACGGCTGATCTGGATCCAGGGCCATGGCCAGGAGAGTCTCTTCGCGGATATTCCAGTAGTTGAACAGCCACTCAACGGGTAGATGGGTGTGGGGGAAAACGGCGTCAGAGTCGAGGAACACAACGTAATCATATGACTTCAGGGCCTCCCGGATCATGGGAACCTTGACCCATGTTTGATGTCTGTCGGTATATGCCGGGGACTGGATAAACTTGTACTCGTAACCGTGCACCATGGCTAAACTCCAGTTAGTATACTGCCAATCAATCTGCGGGAGGGATAGAAAGACCTACCATAGAGATAGTGGTTCAGCATACCCGCTGTCTGATGGGTGATCGAGTCGTATTGCATGGTTTCATTGAGCATCCCACCTTCTCCGTTGAGAGGGCGGGTGTCGACATCCAAAATCAGGACCTTCTTGCCTAGGGGCTCAGTAAAGCGTGGCGGTTCAGTAAGCTCGTAGGTCTGGCCATCATGGTTGACAAATTTAGACGCATCGACGGGGTGCACGAAGGGCTTGTAAAGCAGCGGGATGAGGTGGTGGGTATCTGACAGTCGGGATTCGGAGGACGAAAGTTCTATATGTGAATAGCCCCTAGATAAAGTGGTTAGCACGTGGAATAATGGTGATAAGAATGAGAGTAATAATGTTATGTTAGATGCAAGGGGGGACATACTGTATGACTCTAGAATTGTCGGCAAACGTAGTGGTATCATAGGCATAAAACAGCACAAGTAAAACAACAGTAACAGCGGCAACCGTGACTGGCCAAGGGCAGCGCTGGCGCAAGTGTTTTCTGTCAGGAGCAGTGAAGTTCATCGTTGTTGCATTATTAGGATTATTAGGATTAATGTATAAATGGAGGTTGCGTGTAGAGGAAGGCTTCCGCTGGTGCCTATAAGACAACAAATGAGGAGTAGCGAGTCCTTTTCGACGAGGACGAGAGCGAGTGTTTTGAAACGAGTGTAAGAGCAGGAAACTACTGCAGGAAGACAAGACTAGAGGCTGACAGAGATGAGTCGAAACACGAAGATCATATCATGATGGGGAAGAAGAGCAGAACGTGATGAGAGAATGAAGGGGAAGCAGCATGATGATCGGATGAATGACGGTGGCGGATGTGACACGAAGGAACAAGCTTACTGATTCTCACAGCGATCCCAGCGCTGGGCTGACTTTTTGCGCGGGCCGTATTGGCCCCACGGGCGACGGAGCGTCATGGAAATACAGAGTAATACAGACCTTATGTGACCCTTTCTGTGATAGTCACCGTTTCCGTGTAACCGCGGCGTATCAACTATGTAACGCCTCCGACCGATCTGCCAATGATACAACTCGGCGCGGTGGAGCCCGCCGGGCGGGTCCAAGCCTCGATATGGAGTCCGATTCTAAAGCCAATCAGGATACCCATAGCCGGTTGGGTCCGATGGTCGAAACTGGACCAATTATAGAACCGAATGCCCTGCCGTATCTGACATGGCGCAGTGGGGTGTGGTTTCGTTTGGCTGACAGCAGCAGCGTGCTCCAGACTAGGCCTAGTGCGGTCTAGGGCTTTGGCCGAACCCAGCGCACAATACCGGAAACTTGTCGCGCTAACGGCGAATCGGTTGTGCAGCGGACCAATGGACGGTGACTGTGTCAGCCAACGCCCCGGATACAGCCTGGCGTAGTCCATCAGGTTAGCAAGGCTAAGGTATTGGGCTGCTTTTTTTAGCCGCATGCGAAACCTAACCGTGATAGCACTGGGGAGGCTGATTGGCTGGTTCATGCTGTAGTCGGCGCTTGAGCTCGTAAATTTGTTATTGAGTAATAATTTACCACTACTGATGAGGAACTGAAAGTAGTGAAGAGTGACCCGATGGGGGATTTCTCGCAACGACTGACTCCCGTTGGGCTTCCGGATGCGTGGTTTATTGACCCGACTCCCTGCCTGGGATTAATTGGGCTCTCTTTCCGTCGCTCTGGTTCGCCATGTCACTGTTGCACGGGATCGTCTTTGAACGAAGTGTGCGAGGATGGAGGGCCAGCAAGACACTGCAGGCTAAACCAGAGCTGGCTCCGAGCAAAACAAAGGTCGCTTGCGCTGCGCCAAGTATGCCTCCACCACTCACCAGCGGCCAGTACTTCGCATGTCTCACTTCCGGCACTTCCCAGGAGGGAGCAAGGCTGGGTCGTACAAAGGGTTTTTTTTTTCGGGGACGATGCTCTGCCCCGCCTGCTATTCGCTCAGCCGCAAAAGCCTCAAAGTGTCTTTGTCAAAAATCGGTCAGCAGCCCCTTTCGCAGCGGCGCACCATTCCTACCTTTTTGGCGCGCTCTAGCCCTCTAGTTACTGGCTACGCTCTCGCTAGGGAACATCCTGACTCTAATTACTAGGTCAATTTGGTCGCTAGTGTACAGGGAGGTCGCTCTCAGGGCTAAGCTTATGCATTCCTGGCGCCTGATTGACTAAACTAGTCTGCGTGCAATCAAGAATCCATTATTCCGGCCGCTACCTGCTGTCCTCTTTGTGTTATGTCTGTCTGTTGACCAGTTGTCCATTGCATTTGAGTAGCGCCACAGCGAGAGACTGAACAGAAGAAAAGAATAATATACATCAGTCACCATGGGCGCCAGCAACGACGAAGAAGAGTCCGCCAGGCTTGATCCGAGTCTGCCGACCTCAGAAAAAAGTATCCCTGAGCGACGGGGCCTGCATCCTATCTTTTTTATCGTGTAAGCATTCCACTGTGACAATGATCACGCCGAGACTCAGCAATAAACGGGCACGCAAGCTGACTCCAGTCACCCATACTACGTAGTGCTTGGATAGTGTTGAGCTCCGGCTTGATCTTGTTCAACAAGCAAATTCTTGGCCACACCAAATTCTGTAAGTGCATATCTCAACTACTTTAATTCTACTTTCTCTCGTACTTGTCTGTTTACTTTTGTCAGAACTCATGCTAACGTATTCCAGCTTTCCGTACGTTGTCATCACCTGCACTTTTACTGCATTTCTAACCCTGCGCAGCTATCTTCCTAACGACATGGCATCTTGTCTTCGCAACCATTATGACCCAGATCCTGGCTCGCTATACGAACCTCCTTGATGGCCGCCGCAGGGTCAAGATGACCGGCCGTGTCTATCTGCGCGCCATCGTGCCCATCGGAGTGTTCTTTAGCTTGAGTCTGATCTGCGGTAATGTCACCTATCTCTATCTCAGCGTGCCATTTATCCAGATGCTCAAGGTCAGACCAAAGTTCTCCCCAGCCTGCATTTCTAGAAATCCAGGTCCAGAGCAGTCGCTGATAGTCATAGGCCACCACCCCCGTCGTGATCCTTCTCTTCTCCTGGGTCTTCAAACTTGAGCCCATCAACCTTAAGCAGTTTGGCAATGTGTGCATCATTGTGCTGGGTGTGATGGTTTCGTGCTTTGGCGAAGTCGATTTTATCCTCATCGGCGTTTTATTCCAGATTGGCGGTATAGTTTTCGAAGCCATCAGACTCGTCATGGTCCAGCGGCTATTGTCATCCGATGAATTCAAAATGGATCCTCTGGTTTCGCTCTACTACTTCGCTCCCGCCTGTGCGCTTATGAATGGAGCAGTTGCTTTAGCTGTCGAACTGCCGAGGATGAAACTTGCGGATATCCAAGACGTCGGTGTGGGTGTTTTGATTGCGAACGCCCTCGTTGCCTTCTTGCTCAATATTTCTGTTGTCTTTCTCGTACGTATTGCTCCAAATTTTTCCTTTATATCAACATACTAACAAGCCTCAAGATTAGCAAAACCTCGTCCCTAGTCATGCGCCTGTGCGGCATCCTCAAGGACATCCTGATTGTCATTTCCTCCATGATATTATGGCACAACCCCGTTACAGCACTGCAAGGCGGCGGCTACGGAATCTCGCTTCTAGGTCTTGTGTACTATATGCTCGGTTACGATCGCATTGTCGGATATGCCTCCCGTGCCGGCGGGGCCATTGGCGCATACCACTCCAAAAACCGGGTGATATCTGTGCTGATACTGATGCTGGTTGGTTTCGTGGTTGTCCTATTCCTCACCGCAATCCTAGCGATCAATTATGCGCCGGAGAAAGTCGATCAGCTGAAAAGCTGGATCTATTACACAACGACGGGGGATGATACATCCTAAGATGATTCGTTTAAAATATTCTTGACTTTGTCTAACGATACACATTTTCCACTTTGCATCTGGGCGGCGTTTGAGTATTACTGTACAATATGGTCGACTATTACCTTTTCTTGGTTTCGGGTTAATATCCCGATTTTTCAGTTGTTTACAATCTTTTCCTTGATTCCCTATATTATCCCTCATGAGCTGGCGCGCAACACTTTACCTATTGCATAAACACTTTGATTCTGTCTTGATATGGCTATATCATAGATAATTGATTAGATGCGATGACTAACTTAATCGTGGAAAATACACCGCAGTCTCCAAAATCATTAATATGTTTGCTATTAATATTCCAAATTAATCCACCTTACCAACAAAGTCCCGGAAATTTCCGCTATTTTCCAACGCTCCCTACTCCAACACTGCATTTTCCACATGGGTGATGTCAAAATAAAGTCATCACTGAATACCTGATATCCGATACTGTACGATGATCATCGACGATCAGTATTTATGAATGAGGGGGCCTGCCGAGAATTTCACAGTCTAAACTAGGCAGCATGGCCGCAACATCGTAATAGCGGACCAAGCCGACATTATACCGAAGGTAGATGATCAATATATAAATTCGCATTTCCTGCGCTTCTAATAATTAAATCACCTCTGACAAATTACATCCATAGCAGTATTCGCTTTTTAATTTCCAGCGGTATATGTAAATTGAAACATAATGCCGTTACTACTCGACCTCCCCATCGAACTCCTCGACCGAATCGTCGAAGAGACTATACCTGAAGATTTTGAGGCGGTCGCACTATCCTGCAAACTCTTGTATTCTGTGAGCACGCACTTCCTGAAGAAATATAATCCACGCAGGAAGCGTTTTCGGAATTTTGCTTTCTCGCGAAAAGTCAACCGCAGTAAGGCCGGCTGGGATCATGTGAGTAATGACACGGGCTTTGTTGTTCCTGACTCGAGGGAGCTGTTGGAAAGGATCGCGGCGGAGCCTGAATTGGTCAGGTACATTCGGGCAATTGATCTCAAATGGCCGGAGGAGGAGGAGGAGGAAGGCTACAGTGACGGTTCAAACGGTGAAGAGAATGAGAGAAATGATGAGAGTCCAGCCGAGCCTGATGAGCGAGTACCGCTATCCGATACTCTCAAGCAACTAGTTTATACCTACCCTTTGCTACAAGAATTCGACCAAGACCTGGAGGACTGGATACACGCAATTGAATTAGCGACACACCCAGCAGATGAAGATGAAGCCGAGGTCTACGCAGAATGTCTTCTGCTAACCATGCTATCGAATCTACAAAAGATTTCTTTACCCAGAATCTGGGGACACAAGATGGACCCTGAAGATAGTAGGGACTCGCCCGGGGTCAAAGCCCTCGAGCCTATATTGAAGTACCTTGTACACCGTGCGAACAACCCAGAGCAATTCCCAGACAGCCCATTATCGAAACTCAAAATTGTCAATCTGACCACCGGAATTGGGTACGAGGAGAAATATGCTTTGACGGCATTTACATCATTCCTAGCTATCAATTCCGTGTCCGAGGTATGCCTAAGCAACTGCATTTTCAAAGACGATGGATACACTGGCTCCACTTTTCAACCCCTGTTCAATAGTTACAGCCATAATTTGCGGAAATTAGAATTAATGGCGAGTGTTGCGGGGCCATCAGAACTTTCAGAACTACTTTTGCGGATTCCTAATCTTCAAATTTTCCACTTTGCACATGAAACTAAATGGCACGGGTGCGGACATGACTGGAATGTCGGTGCGTTTTTCGCTACCGTGCAGGAGCACTGTGCAGAGACACTACAGGAGCTGTCTGTGTGTATCATTGAGCAGTATGGTGGACAGGGCACGACCTTATACGATATGACCCGTTTTCAGAAACTGTCGCTACTAGATATGGAAATTCGGATGCTCTGCGGCCCGGCTTATAACCCATCACTCAGACATGACGAGGAGGAGGATTTGCCGAAAAGATCTAGCTGGCCGAGACTAGTAGAAATGTTGCCAGCATCGATTAAAAAACTCAATCTATATCTAAACGACTTCAAGGACGAGAAGCCCGATTGCCTTAGTCATATATTCCAAGGTTTCAAAGAAAACCGCGAGGCGAATCTTCCGCATCTGCAGGAGGTAACCCTTTTCTCGCCCATTGTTAAACAGCCAAAACCCCCTGCAAATGTCAGAAGAGCTCTCCAGGCTGTGGGCGATAGCGGTGTTTCTATAGTAGAAACTCAGAATCGGTGGCCGTCTTGGGTGGATGACTTTTTTGATCGCCACGGTTTTGACGGAGTTGGTGAATAGTACTAATCTTCTATCGGATAAAATTTAAATTGAAGTTGACCAGTAATTCATTTCCTTAATGAAATGAAATAAAGATTCAACGTAGAATCAATATAGAACTATCTACTCTCGTCTTGTACGTTCAGTCACACCAAAACAGACAATGTACAGTCTCTTTTCATAAAAACCTGTATCTCTTTAGGTAAAAGGAGGATAATACGTTTCTCTCTCAACAACTTTTTATATCTAAATTTGCATTCTTCTTTGTTGAGTGCCGATCTGCGATTATAATTTGGTTTTTCGTACGGTTTCTTGTGGTCATTTACTCCCATTTTAGCTCTCCCTGGTTCATTTTGCCCATAAATTCAAAGTACAAGCAGATAGATAAGGCAGTCCTTACTTTTTATCTCTTACTATACGGTTCGCACATATGATTCAAGCTGCTAATTGCGTATTTAGCTTAAAATCATAATACCGTACTCCATGTAGATAAGTCCTAGATTTGCCCGCCAATCTGTCAAAATAGCAATTGTGAAGTCTTTGTCGATTATCAGTTTGGTATACTTGTATTTGAGGAAGCTGTCCATATTCCATTACAATAGTTCAACTTGGCTGAGGTATAGCCTAGATTGATAAATAGCGAGATAACCTATGAATACTCTGGAATCGCTCAAGTTTACCCGAATTGACATATCAAAGTATAGGTAGTATGGCGCTAGCGAATTCTGCCTGGTGCTGCCTACTTCTACGTATCCGATATTTAACCATTCAAAATTAGTACTTAAATGTAACTAAATACAGTTCAATTATTAAAGAAGAACTAAATAACTTGATAAAAAGGGACGTGTTTAAAAGATGAACGTATTGAAACCATTCCAAATTCCATAACTAGCATGTCTTAGAAGTGATAGTTAATCCGATCAACCAACCATATTCTGAACATGAAGCCGACTTCGAAATCAGTCAAAAATAAGCATAGATAATGAATCTGCCTTCGCTATTAAACATTGGATTTCCTCCTTTTAATTGAGTCGCTGGCCAGTCGCTCTTAAACAGACTACTTGTGATGTTGTGACTTTATATTTTCAACAAAACAGTACAAGACCGCCCACACGTTGAGGAATACAACAGCGCTACACTAACTTGATGCATATTACGATATACATAGATCCTTGATGCCTTGGTAGTGGGGAGAAATGAATCAAAGAGAGCGGGAAAAGATCAAGACGGTTTCCGTCTGTATGGAAGAGGAAAAAAATAAGTTACAAAGGGTTTTACTGCCAGATATAAAAAGAATCGAATTAACTAGGATACCTTGGCAGTAGAGTGGATTTATCCAAGGGGGCGTTCATTATGAAAGAGCCTCGAATATCCCCGTGTCATCGTCAACTCCGGGCCATGAATTTTACATCATAATTATTCTGACATTAGGCAGAACATTGATATGAACAGACAGCACTTATTGGAAACATTCTTCTAAAAGTTAATAGTAAAATAAATCCCAATCCTCGATCTTAATCATTTAAACCCAATGAAGGCGGCCATACCCGTCTTGCTTGCGACGTCGCTCGTAGCAAATGCGCTCTCACTCCACAAACGCGATATCCCGGCCGTGGTAAAGCTAGATACCCAAGGTTACCGAGCGTCAGACGCTATATCAAAAGACCGCGAGAGGATTAAAAAAGACAAAATAGTAAATCAGAATATTGATAATGCAGTAAGTCTTGCAAAATGCAGACCCGGTTCTTATCATGCTGACATCGTCAATAGGGAAACATGTATCTATGCAATGTCAGCCTCGGCAATCCAGCGCAACATCTTCGCTTGATTCTCGACACTGGAAGTAGTGACTTATTCTGCAATTCGGCTTCCTCCGACCTATGCTCATCTGATTCTTCCCTATATTGTGAGCTGGGAACATACAACGCCAGCTCCTCCTCGTCCTATAAACATGTCAATTCCAATTTTGGTATCTCTTATTATGACGGATCGTCTGCAAGTGGTGATTATGTTAGAGATATCCTTACGATTGGAGGGGCCACAGTACCAAACTTTGAGTTTGCAGTGGCTGAATCCTCGTCGAGCCCAGGTTAGTCCATCCCATTTTCGCTTGTTGTATAAATATCAGTTGCTTAGCACACTGTGTTTTATACAGGTGTCATAGGTCTAGGATATGCTAAAAATGAAGCCCTCATTAATATGGGGGGTTCAGGATATGCAAACCTACCTCAAGCCATGGTTGAGAGTGGACTTATAAACTCCAAAGCATACAGTCTTTGGCTCGATGATAGAGACACTAACACCGGGTCAATACTTTTTGGTGGCGTCGATACAAGAAAGTACAGTGGCAAATTGCAGACTCTGCCGCTCGTACCAATACATGGTGAATATTCCCAATTCTTGGTCAATTTGACAGATCTGGCTCTCGATGTAGATGGAAGCAGAGAAGAGACATTTCAGTCTGAGCAACTTCCAACACTTGCAGTACTGGATTCAGGTACAAGCTCAATATTTCTACCAGATTCTATCGTGTCTAGCATTTACAAAGGCCTAAACGTCACCTACAAGTCTGACCACGGAGTCGGTTATATCCCTTGCAATATGGCAAATAAGGATATCGCATTGAAATTCAGATTTGGCACAGCATCTATATCTGTGAATATTAAAGAATTATTTCTCAAGCAGCGAGACACCACGAAGCTAGACGATAACAGTGACCCATGTATAATGGGGATTCATCCCACTGGGTCAGGTACTGTGATACTAGGAGATTCTTTCCTTCGCAGTGCCTATGTGGTCTACGATCTCGACAACAATGAGATATCGCTAGCTAAAACAGTCTTCAATTTTAGTGGCAATGGCACCATTTTGGAAATTGGGCCATCTGTTCCTCACGCTACCCCAGTAACTTCATACTTGGGTGAAACGACAGCATAGCCGGCGATGGCAAATGGCTCCTCATCCACAGATTTTCTCAAAGTAGGGTAAATATGCTTGACAGCAATTTAGAACTTATTGTGGATGTTGCTTTTGCGGTCTGTCTACTCACTATGATCTGAAACGCAACTGCTTGTTTGAATAAAGATACCAAGGTATGTCGACACATCAATTAATATAGTAATACGACTATGTGGAGATATAATTCATAATATCGCTTAATAACAGAGAAATTTCGAGTCTCACGCTTTCAACTATCATACTGTCGCGCTACTAACGCTAATTTAACCGTAGAAGCGAAATAGATATTGATTCGATACTAAGAATTTACACAATATATATGAACCCAGTAGCCTGTTGAGCAGGAAAGCAGCAAGGTATCGCGGTGTGCCAAAGTAATGGTACGCGGCCCAGACATTCAAGGACTATTCATTAACGAGGGACAAGGAGAGAAGGGATATAATGAGAGCGTCTTACTGTTAGGAGGGTTGTATATGGCGTTGATAAGTGCAACTACAGACGCACGTTTCATGGCGGGTTAAGGAATAGTTCCAGTGATCCAGGATAGGATCACGATGGTAGCGGAATAAGCCGAGTCTGGCATAGGCATCATGGCGACGTCTGAAATGGGCATTTCAGTCAATTCTAACCCATATGCCATTTGGAGGAAATACGAAGGAACCCACAGCGAGCGGCAGGATTTAAGGGGTAGACAGCAATGATGAGTACTATCGTGGAGATATAAATTAATTCTATTTAATGATTACTTACGCACGGAGAATCAACAATGGTAGCTTTATCCATACTGAAGGATATGGATGGAGTGACATTTATTGGATTGATATTGACAAAGTTATAATTACGACAGATCCAAGATCACAAGGCTGGTGGCGAGGGCATCCAAGCTCTGCACGCTCAGCGCATTTCCAGACAATGTCCAATTGACAGAACCCCACGGGGTAGATGCAGTGGAAGCGGCAGCGAATGGCAATTCAATGGAAACCGGCGACGACGAATCAGCGTATCCCAAATTGACGACACTGATCAGCGCTTGGTTGTCTACGATCCAGTAAGCCACATCTAGCAGCCGGTGCCCCTCGACCGAGATACCCTTCGGTTGAGCACCAGTCAAGAAGTCGAGAACTGGGGACTTAGTCACAACCTTGGACTGCTTTGAGTTTGCAGTCGCCAAATCATCGAGCGTGGGGAAAGTCCACATCATAATCGACTTCGCTTTGTGGTTCAGACTTAGCTGATTCATGACCCATGTTTCATCGACAGTCGGGTTACGGTCCCAGTATTGCTCGCCGTCAAAGGACTGAGGCACCGCCCACACAGGCCGCGGGGATTGTCCAAGATATTCTTCATATTGAGCGAGGATATCCAGACGGTTGGACACGTCCTGGAGCTCACCCGCACAATTGTCGCATCCACAGTCGCCATATGTCGTGTTACATGGAGTGTTCCATTTTTGAGACCATGTTGCATTGATACCAATCGGGTATGCATCTTCCATCAGGATGTCAGCGCCTTGAGAGTACTTGTCGAAGTAGTAGTTCTCGCAGTTGAGAACCAGACTGACAGGATGATACTTATCAATCTTAGTAATCGTATCATAAGCAAGAGAGGTAGCATTGAACGGGTCCTGATTTCCATCAGGCTCGTCGGCAGTATACCACGCTAAAAGGCTGCTGTAGTCTTTAGCCATAGTGACTTGTTCAGCGACGGAGGTCAGATTTGTATAAGTTCCTCGCATATCGTACTGGAACGGGAGATTTAACTCGTCCAAATAGTCAAAAATTAACGATGCGTTCGACGAATATGATGCTACTGGATGAATTGCGCTGTATCCCAAGTCATAGTATGTTTTCACATTCTCAAGACTCAATTCGAGATATCCGCCCCAAGACGTATAGAACCCAAAGGCAAGAAATGGAATAAATTCATAGTTTGATGCATTGTTGCTGAATAACAACCCACCGTTCAGATTATCAATCTTCGTGACACTCCCGGTCTTCTTATCGGGTAAGTAGAACAATTTCGTCGTTGCAGTGAAAGTTTGATTCCCATCATCTGACGCTCCATATAACACGACATCGTAAGCATCATACTGCGGTTGTAGCTGACTGATATCAAAATCGAATAGATTGTTCGTGCTGTTCACGGACACATTATTCGAGACGAGGACCTGGTCTGTGTTCTCCAGAGAAATGGTAAAGAACAAGTTATTAAACGGCTGCGATGGTCCTCCGAGCTGCTGAGTAGAGTTGCGATATGGCTCTCCATGATACTTTGACAGCGCCGCATCGACAATGAACGAGCCAGTCTTTTCGGACGATACATAGATGCTGTGTCGCGGCTCGACCTGCACATAGAGTAAGGGAGTTGGCGACGGTTTCGGCGGTTCCAATTGGCCTCCAGGGTTAATGTTCGGAGAGCTATTAATTGATAAATCAGTCTCAAATCTGATTCTCATTTGAGCATCCTTTGAACACGTAAACATACCCGCTCTCGTATGGCTTGCCGCACCAGCGGGGGATAGCTGTGGTCGTCTGCGCGATAACCCCTTGCGCTGCAAGAAAGGCCGCGAGGGCAGCGGTGAATGTCGTAGCAATTGTCATTATGCTTCCTCGCACATGTCGCGCCGCAACATTCAAGCGGCGGCGGATGACGGCGGTCGCGTAAACCGGAACTGTCGTTATTTAATGGCCATCCCTTCTTCCAACACTCTGGAAGTCGCAATGTTGCATTGGTGAACTGTGGAAGGTTGATGGTGGGCCAGGGGTAATTCCGCCTGTCCTAATCTAGAAGGTTGCATGGACATCAATAAACCGCCCCAACTCTCTCTCCAAATTTTTTGTGAAGATAAATAATATACGCAGTCTAGATGAATATGTATATATATATAGATTATCTATATATATATATATACATACACATCAACAAAAAAATCCGCAATAGTGATAGGAACAAAAATCGATCGGAACGAGACTCGAACTCGCAACCTTCGGTGGTTTTCGGAGCCGAAAACCGATGCGCTAGCCATTGCGCCATCCGACCTTGATTGCATTAAGCACTATTAAAATCTATATTACTGCCTGGCTGACTTTAAGCCAAAGCGTCATGGCTTTGAAGTACTGGAAACGATATAACTATTAACCTTAGTCGTTTCCTTTTGTTTTCTTTTCTAGTTGAAGTTTATTTCAACATATTGGTGCTTAGGGTGTTAATTTTGTCAAATATATCAGTTGATACATGTACATTTCTTGAAGGCACATAGCCAATTTCAACGAATATATATAAGGTTGACTTAATTGATATATATCATTGGTCAACATCCAATGTATCTACCAGTTGACATGTCAGATGTAGAACGACTGGTAACTTTGAAGTCAAACCAAATATGTCAACATTTGAATGTTGAATTCAATATTGAAGAGAGGCTCTACAGATGAAACCCGACTTTCATGAGTACACGACACTACATAGATTTCAAATGCTGTCTCTTTTATTTTCGATCGCAAACCACGCTTCTCAGCTGAGATGCTAAACTAGCTCCTGAGGTTGATCATCATACGGAAACGATAATTGCAATGTATGTACCACGCATTTGAGCTGATGTAGCGGCCTACCGGTTGGCTGTAAGTGCCCATCATTTTACCAGCCGGCTCATATCAGTGACCATTCTATCATAATCGCGATTCACATTTAAAAGCTCACTGCTGTTTTCGTGGATCATCCTGAATAATTGGTCCGAAAAGGGGTTGCTGGGGTCAACCTCGTGGCATCGTAGTAAATTCCTTGTGGCAGTAGGGCTGACAATTTCCTTGAAAACGTCAAGTCGAGCATTGGACCAGGCTTGAAGTATTTCTTCACCTCTTCCTTGGTTGATAACATATTCAAACGCGTCTGCTAGGGAGTCGGCATCGAGAATGCCCGTGGTCAGGCCAAGTCCTCCCCAAGGCTATCGCCGGTCATGGCCAGAGAGTCAGCAAATAAGATTTTCATACTCATTATTACTGAGAGAGGGGGCTTACATTCGTCAGGTGGGCGGCGTCCCCAATTAATAGGCATCGTCCAGACTTCATTGTGGGAGTGTTTCTTTGGTGAAGACGATATGGCTGAGCTCTTAGCAGCTGATAATCCAAAGGTCGTGAACCAGGGATCAATTTCTCCAACTTTCGCGTCAGAGTAACATCGAAGACCTCCGATCGAGACTCTTCCTCTGACATTGCCAAGGTACAGCGCCATAAATTAGGCAATCTTCCATCAGGCCGTTCGATGGTGGAGAAGAAAGCCCAATCTATTGGGTCGACATAATATATACTAGAAGGACCATCCGCTGGTGGCTGGAGATCCACGCGGATATCTACCGCCACGACTATATGAGGCCACGTAAAACCTTCGAGATGCAACCCCAGTTTCTTTCGTACCACAGATTTTCCTCCGTCGGCACCAACTACAAAAGAACCTTTGACCTGTATCTCAGAACCAGCCGTGTTCACCGCAGTAACAATTGCTGATTTTGCGTCTTGGCAAATATTGACAACCGTGTGGCCGAGATATACCTCCGCCAAATCCGAATTGACAATTTTTGGCAGTATAATCTCTCTAAATCTGTTTTGCGGTAGAGCGAGCATTCCGTATCCAATGTCACCGTCTTTAAGAGGAGAATTGATGTAAGGGTCCCACGTGACTATTAGATCACCCCAGTCTTTGCCATTTTTATCAAGTCCAGCTTTTTGAGGGACTTTTCTCCAGGAGAAGCCTCTTTTGATAAAGCCTTTGGTATTAGCCTCCTCCCATATCCCGGCCTTTTGGAGCGCTGCGTGCGTCGAGCCTGGGTATCCGAGCGCGCGGAAGTGTGGTTGTATTTCCTCTTCTTGTTCAAAAAGAGCCACTCGAATACCTAGTCTGATTAATCGTAAAGCCAGCAGGCAGCCACAAGGACCCGCTCCAACCACAATGACTTGCGGTTCGGAGGTCATGACTGCGACGATGCTTGGTGATTAGGTAGGAATTGAGTTTGTTGTATAAATCAAGTAGAAACAGAGAAGGCATAAGACGGTAGATTCGGCGTGATGACTATTTTATACCTTGTTTTTCTTTTTGTATATCCGTATCGAAAATAGTAAAATAATAAACTTGAAAATATATACATGATCCATTTCGGTTCGCCGTGTAATGCGATTCATGAGGCATCGGGTTCCGCCCCCGTCCCGACCCGACTGGAGCCATCAATTTTCTTTTCGTATAGGAATAGCAAAATAAAAAAAGTAAAAAATACATATGTGTGCTTCAGTTTTTGGCTTGTGGTTTAATGAGATTTGATGAAGGTATCGGTTTCCACCCCCGCCTCGATTCTCATGGAGACATTAGTGGCTGTCTACACCTCATGAGAGAAATTAGCTACTATAAAGTGGAAGGTTGAGCTTCGGTTGGGTTTCTTCTACACAACAGTTGCCACAAATATCGCTACGGTTATTAGTTGATTGGGTCCACGACTTGTCAACCCCGTAAGCTCTCTCCAGTCTCATCTGCGGAAACCCCTTCTCCCAAAAAGGACTTAATCATGGATTTGACGGGAGAGGCTTTGGCACGCATGCAAATTACTGCCATTATGCATCGCTATGCCAGCAATGCTCGTGATAACGCCGACTGGGATGCTATCGCTAGCTGCTTCGAGTCACATGGCACCTACCGACTATCAAATGGCCGCGAACTACCACCCAGCCGTGCGAAAGAAGTGGTACGGGGCAACGAGGCCAAATATATCCGCCACCATATCACCACTATTGATATTGTCTTTGTCAGCAAGGACGAAGCGCACACAGACGCCCAATTTTTCGCCACAACTGAACACAAGTTTATTGATCACTCGGGTCATTGGAAGGATGTGTTCCGAAAACAGAAGGACGGTTCATGGCTCATACATGACAGGACTATTGTGACTGAAAAACAGGATCCTGATGGTTGGTCTGCCAAGGTTTGTGGGGAGGACAGCCTACGAATGTTTGAAAAGGAAAAGGCAAGACTTGATGTGAACCACTAGATAAATTCGATATGGTGAAAGTAAGAATCTCATTCTCTTTCAAATAACCTAATCACAAATATGTCTCTGTCTCATACAAGGATAAATCAATATTGCCCTATTGTAACATCTTCCCCTCTATGAAGAACACAGTTCGGTCGAGGTACTAAATTGCTTCACTCAAACAGAGTAATGATGCTTTTATAATTTAGTAGGATAATAATAAATAATATAACAACATAGAGTATTTTCTCGTCTATTATTATTTAAGAGAATATAAAAATAGACCGCTAAATAGCGCTTAAGTAAGGCCGAAAGGCCCCTGATAAATGCTACATAAAAGTACAATTGAATACTATTTATCCATAAACAAATCAGTTCAGCTTTAATTGTCCTATATAAATATCTACATGTGCACGAGGCCAACACCTAACCTGCCATCTTTCGGAAGCATCATCAGTGCTGGAGGCTTTCATCTCCTACGTAAGGTATTCCGCAACCTTTGATGTCCAGCAAGAACTGGCGGCTGCTTTGAAGTATAGGTGTGTCTGGTCTTTTGGAGTCTTCGAGAACCTCAATGTAAAAATCGAAAAGTGCAGGAACGTCGTGGAGTGGAATCAAAGTTTTGCAGATGGTCTGAATGCACGGGATGCCCTCTCCAGGTTGTAGAATTCTCCCATGAGGATTAAAGTCCGTGGTAGGATCATTCAATGAGATCAAGGGTGCCCTACGCAGCATATCATCGTCGATTCCAGTTGTATTTCCCGTAGAGAGATAGAGACCCACGATGTAGCACCACATTATCAAAGCCACCCGTGACACGGCCACAGGCCACCAAACCGGCCTCAGGTAGTCATCACCACTAGTTTGCAAAATCCATATGACATTTCCAGCATGTGCAATAGCCTTCCGAGCATAGGATGATTGAGCCCACTGTTGTAGTTGCGTAAGATATGGTCTTCCAACTTTGTACCCTTCTTTTCCTGCTATCAATTGTACGTCGTCGAAACAAATATATAGCTCGAGCCACATTAATTGGGAGATTAATAAGCAGGATACTTTGAGATCAGCTCCGGGTTGAGCTGCAAAGACTCTTTCCGCAAGGATATTCCATTTCACCAGCATGTTTTCAAGCTCTTCTAGCTGACGAAGTTGCATGAAATCACCAGCCCCACTCACCGAACTCGAGGACGAAAAACGTTCCTCAAGAGGAATAAATCGATAGCTCTCCGAGTACTGGGATACCTGGGGTTGGATGGCACAGAGCAGGAGTCGTAGCTGCAATGGAGTTACGTAAAGGTTGAGGTGTAGGAAATCGTGGCGAAGAAACAGGCGATAGAATTCTGGTAAAGACGGTGGGTGCAAAGTTGTTGTTGGCCATCCTTCATTCGACCATTTATCAACTAAATCAGCCCAGTTTTCCTCTTTTTCTAGCAAAAAAAGCTCGTCCGAGACCGGCATCGGACAACGAAGTTTTGTAAAGCCTATCGATGGTTGAACACTGTAGAGGAGGCTAATTTCGTGATCGATCATGAACCAGACTTGGCACAATCTGACGAAGCTACTATTAGTTTGAACAGATTATTAATTCTGCTTAGCTCATACCTGAGATCTCTTTCTTTATTCTTCCAACTGGACCAGGATATAGCTGTCTTGTCATAGCTTCCGGGCTTTCCCGTGCAGTGTGACCGAAAATATCCCCGCCGAAGGAAGAACTGGTTTCATCATTAGCAACTCTCCTGTGCTAAACTCACCAATACACATACAGCACTCAAGATACCTTTATAGGCCTCTGCCATCTCCATGTGTCTCTTGATACCAGACCAAGCACTGAAGACTGTAATCATGACCCACGCGCTTAAAACCCATTTGTCAGTAAGGCGAGTTTCATCCTGTGTTGCGCCTTCGGTAATGGTTAGGCGAATGAGGTACCCCAATTCGGTTGAGAATAATCGCGCTTCTTCTACTGGCGTAACGAGACAGCCGAGAACCATAGCTGTAGTAAGAAAAATTCCAATATCTGCGTAAGGGTTATTGGTATCCCAACTGCTTTCGGAGAACATGGAGGTATGGGCAATAGGGTAAAGGGGTAGAAATGCTGCCCGATATGCTATAAAAAGAGATTGGATCGTTTCCAAAGGAGGAAAAAGGTGTGGTATCCTCATGAATTCATTGCGATCTAGGAGCTTGTAAAGCATTCCGTAGACTCGGGCAGAAATTGTATCTCTAAATGATTCCACAATCCTTGAAATAGGGGCCTCGGTTGTAGATAGGGTTTTATTGGTGACGCAGATGTGCTGCCAGCAGGACCTATCATGGAGAAACTCGCAGATACGATTGGCATTTACTGTGGGACCTCGTTTAAAGCGATACTCAAAAGGACAGTTGGCGTAGGGATTGATTGTGCTTGCTACGCCGACAGCAGGTGTTGGTGTTTTGGTCAGAGCTTCCTGAGTATCCAACGAATCTTGGTCGCCCTCAAGGGTACCGTCAAAAAGAGTATCTGCGGTCGGCCACGGGAAGTGCTGAAAACCCTCTCCAATATACTGGCTAGGTACCTGAAACGGAAAGGATAGTTCCCGTAGAAACTCTGTATCAGAGCTGATCCTTTCTAAGCCAACTAATTCTTGTTCACCCATTGGATGTATTGGCAGGCCTGCTATATTAGGTGTCCGTTGGTTGGCTGTATTTATGACAGAACCTCGCTCCAGAAATGAGGTGGTTTGATCAAGGGCTGATAAGTTATTAAGTGAAGCCTCTACGACCTTGAAGTAATCCTGCGTTAGCATGTAGATATGCAGGGAGAACGTATTACTCACCTGAGCTGCTGGGTGTGAAGTCGCCACAGGTGACAGGTCGGTGCAACTGGGGAGGTACGTCGAGTTTTTCGGGTCATCCGCGTATTGCTCGAAGCTATTCTGGCCTGGTAGAGTATTCTGCCGTTTAATGGTAGTATGCGGTCTGTCCAAAGTACAGACCAAGGATTTACGCTGGCATCGATCGCAAGGGAATCGGCCATCACACCGTAGCTTCGCTTGTGCGCATCTGTCGCAGGCAACAGACGCTCTTAATTTCCGACCTGTTGATATTAGGTTTTCGTCTTGTGATCGGCCTCTTCCTTCTTGCTGTAGCTGATGTATTCTCTCATGTCTTCTAAGTACGTCACTGGACCTATGAGTTGCAAGGTCATCAGTAAAGGAGACGCGGCTGGGACCATATACCTTCTAGTAAACTTGTGGAAACATTCTTTGCACTCAAATTGTCGCGATGCACCATCTGTATACCATATAAGCGGCTACTTAGTTCCATATGAAGAATGTGGCAACTTACGCCGGATCTGGTGTCTTTGTAGATGTTCCTTCCTCGTAAATCTCTGGTCACACTGCACGCAAATGTAGCGTGGTAACTGCGATACAGGATGCATATGGAAGATACTGCTGTCTCCTAGTTGCTATGACCGGAAATAAATTACTTGTAGTACGCTTTCTGAGTTGCTTAGAAAAAATTTCATGGTTTGGGCAGAGACGGGAAGAATTTTGGTTGCAACTAGGGTTAACACTACTAGATGATCAAATACTATTAGGTGATCGATATCGTTAATTCGGATGTTTGTGGGGAAGCGAAACTCTCCTCCCCACCATATGGATGTCTAGACTCATTCGGAAATGTATTAACCAAGCCGACACCGCCAGTGCACTTCCGTACGGGGGTGGCGGGGCCGAGCTTTGATGGGAGGACTCTGGTCCAAACAAAGCCAGAGTAAAGTAGGAAAAATCTGGACGAACTTTAACATACTAATACGCATACATCATGAATCTAGATCAAAGAAAATCTTCATCATCAGAGCCCAGACGATGACGGAGACCATTAACCATCCTTTGATAGGAGCCATTGCGGGCAAAGCCGAGGATGGAATTGTTCAATTTCTGGGCGTCAGATACGCATCGCTAACAGATCGTTTAGCGGAGCCTGAGCTACTATCCCACTATGATGGTGAGGAGATTGACGCTACCAAAAAGGGGTATTTCATTCTTATTCTAGGACAGGATACGGATTTGCATGACTAACATCTAGGCCAGGCCGCAAGTAATTTCTCCACCAAATGGATGCGACATCGAGTACGGCTTCTTACAACACTCACTACAACACTCTAACTTTGAGATTTCGGATCTGGATGGTCTACACCTCAATATCACCGCACCCAGTGGTGCTCAGGATCTACCAGTTCTCGTCTTTGTTCATGGAGGTGGGTTTGCCCTGGGTTCCAATGCATGGCCACAATATGACCACCTAAGACTGGTGAAATTATCTGTCATGGCGGGGTTACCAATCCTGGCTGTAGGGATCAAGTCAGTTCCGTGTCCGCCACAATCATTGAAACCAGGTCTAACCCCTTCAGTTACCGTTTGGGGGTGCCGGGGTTTTTGACATCTGAAGAGCTCCAAGCTGCCGGCTACAAGCCTAACAACGGTATTCAGGACCAGCGAATTGCCTTAAAGTGGGTGAAGCAGTACATCCAAGGATTTGGTGGCGATGCCAATAATGTCACTCTAATGGGGCAAAGCGCTGGAGGGGGTATGTATTTGTTCGGTATCTTCCCATGTATGAGAATTCTGACATAAAGATTGTTTAATTAGTGGCCTCATTGCTCCATCTTCAGTCAGAAGAACCCCTCTTTGAGCAACTTATAGTGATGTCGGGAACCTCACTGGCTCTTCCCCCCATCACGCCACAAGTTGCCGAGACGGCGTATGCCCTATGCCTTAAGGCCATGGGTATACAGGAATTATCGGCGGGAAACCGCGTGCGAGATATTGTACATGGTCCTTTGTCAAAATTGTGGACGAATATTCCCTCCTACATCCCACTGCGTCCGGTCATTGACAATGATACTGTATTTCGTGGGCCCACCCATGAAGATTTCGCTGGGGGTTCTGCCCAAGTTGAAGCTGTTCTACCAGGTGCGAAGTGGTGTAGGAGAGTTCTGCTTGGAGATTGCCAATCCGACGTGAGTTTAAGATCTTCATTGGATTGATGCATTGCTTGCTGACTCCTGACCTTTAGGCTAGTATCTTCGGCTACAACCTCATGAAATGTCAGACAGGGATCGCAAACGCATTTCACAACTCCCTAACTAAACATTTGAGCTATACTCCGGAGACCGTTTGTGCCTTGGAGCAGGCTTACGGTATCAACTCCAATACGACTGATGAGGTGGCATTGCAAAATATTTTGAAGGCTATTTCTGACATCCGCTTCTACGCGCCTGTGCTGGCAATAGGAAACAACTGGCCAGGAGAAACATACGTTTATCACTTCAACGAACCCAATCCGTGGGAAGGCCCCTGGAAGGGGGCGGCTTCCCATTGTTTGGACTTTGTCTTTCTCTTTCAAAACTTCAATGAATATCTCACTTCGACCCAACAGGAACGAGCGAGGCAATTCGCGGAGCACGTAATTAGCTTTATAAATGGGAAGGCACCATTTCCATCCCGTCAGTCCACCAGAAACGGAGCTATGGTGTATGGGCACCCAGTGAATGGGGCTGTATTTGTCCAGAGTGTTTCACCCAACGATTTTGGCAGACGAGAGACAATATTGCGGCTTGCTCAAGGAGTAAGACTTGACGAATTAAACGCAGCGCTGGGCCACTTTCTCGACGGTAAATAATCGTGGACAGATCACAGCCGCTAGCGACTTTGCATGTAATTCAAAGCAGTTGGCAGATAGAACCCCCTGTGAACGAGCCTCGGGAGGAACTTCTGGACATGCTGAAGTAACCAATTCATTAGTCTCGTATATTTCTTGGACAAAGTTAACCTCCGGCCATTCAGCCTCCTTCTAATTCTTTGCATGTTGTTCCATTCCTTAACATGGGGGTTCCTTTACATGGGAGTGATAAGGCGGTTGAATATTCGAAAATGGTTTGTGTTGATCCAGAAAATTGAAAAGTCAATCACAGCTCGTGTAGTCCTGGTCTAGGGGGATGTACTGCAGTCTTGTAACGGGATTGGTTTGGTTGAACATGGGCCTGTTGTAAACTTAAGATCATTTGCTTATAATAAACTCCGTCAATATTTACATGAGACTGTACAATAAGCCCATACAACTGGTGGACTTCAGTAACTTGGTGACCGTCGGCACTATAACAACATTTTAGCTTTAGCTATCTATCGGGGACTGGCATGTAATCACGAGTCAGGCTCTTTCTACTTAACAAGTATGATCATATCCGAGATACAGATTCTCAATTCATCTTGCGGCGATTCTAAACTGAGCCATTAATGCTGCCGCTATGTAATTTTGCCATTTACAACGAAAATAATCATATAATCAACACGTTCCCGCCGACAAAACACTAGTAGAACTTCCCATACCATAAGGCACGTTTGTATGTGCTTGCGGTCAGTAATCGAGTGGCTCTAGTTTGTACGACTGTTCTGTAACAGTTTGTCTCTTTGGTTTAAGCCTTAGATAGTTTATGCCTTTTCTAAGTAGGCGGATTTGTGGATGTTGTCCTCCACGGGTGCATCAACATGTGCGTTGAAGTCAGTTTTGCGTTCGACGATAAAAAATGTGGCTAGTGCGTTATAGTGAGTACGAGAGTATCATCGAGGATGAGTTTCTGGAAAGGATATATTCAATACTAACCAACGAGCGCGCTAGCTGAAAAGGCTCCTGCGGCCACCCAGACGTATCGGTATGCGATCACGTACGTCTGAAGTTGAGCGATTTCCGCCGCGGATTTAATCGCTGATGTAATGCCAGGAACAGTGGACAAGGCTTCAAGGTTCCCAGAGTTTAAAACATCAACTAGCAGACTTAGAGAGGTTTCTGGTAGACCCAGTGGTAACGTGGCCGCGGCCACCTTGGACGCCAGATTAGAGGTAATGCAGTGGTTGAAGATAGCGTTGTAGATGGCTAGCCCGACAGTGCCTCCGAGATTTCGAACCGCAAGGATCAGTCCTGTCGTTGTGGACAGCAGTTCAAGAGGAGTCGCGAATTGCGCCACCGTCATGCCGTTAGCCAAGCATAATCCCATTCCACCTCCGACAAAGATGGGATAGACCCAGAAATTGGCGTCTGGGGTATTTATCGTAATGGTTGCCGCCAGGATATCAAATATGATAAATAAGACGAATGCCAACGTAGAAGGCGGACGGAGTAGCTTTGTCTTCCATGAAAACGCTGCACCAAAACCCGCAATGATTATACCCGCGATGAAGGCAACGGTGTAATTTGCACCAACTAGGAGTGTATCTGGCGATAAGAATTTTCGAGTCTCCGACGGCCAGTAGTTGTTAGAAGCGAAAAAACTCAAGCCTTCTACAAACTGGCATCCAAGAGCGATTGCAAAATTTCGATGTAAGAAGAGCTTATGATGAACTATTCCATCCTTTTTGACGAATAACGCGTAGGATATTAAGCCGATAAGCAAGCCAACTCCAACAACGAACGGAGCCACCACATGCGGGTCTGACCATGAGTATGGGTTTTGTGACCATGACAAACCCATGCAAAAGAGGACAGTTCCGCCAGTCAACAAAGCATAAGCAGGCCAGTCCAATTTTCCGAGTTTTTCATAAAATTTCAGTTCTACTTGGAGATTCCGTGGCGGGGGGTTGTAAAGGAGCGTAGATAAGAGGGCCGACAACGCGAAGACACCTGCACATACATAGTAATATACCCGAAAGCCCTCATTATTGCCATCACGTACCAGTGCCCCTCCAAACAGTAGGGATGCCACTGCAGATAAGGCGCCTGCAGAGCAGAAAAAACCTTGAGCAAAGGGTCTCCATCTGCGAGGAAGAACCTCAGAAGAGATAGTTGCAACCAAAGGCTGAGCGCCAAAGCCGATGCCACTGATCACAAACCCAGCAAGTATCGAGCCCGGAGAATTAGCTCGAGAGACGACGACGCTGCCGATGCATCCCAGAGAAGTAAAGAACACTAATGGCCACTTACGGCCCCAGTAATCTGCGGCTTGGCTAACCGGAGGACTCAGGGCAGCCGTCAATATGGTAATTGACGATGTGAACCAAACCTGATACTCTGTTGCCCCCGTTACTGCTGCAATACTGTGACCCAGGCTACCGGATCCAACAACGCTGATGAGCTGGGCAAAATACACCATATTGACTGCCTGTAATCTGTAATCAGGCTATATCTGCGACATGAGTGTCGGTTGTCACGTACCACTACCAGTACAAATGTCTTTGCGTGGACTGTCCCATTTGAATTCTGTCCAGATACATCTTCCACATGAGTTATAGTGCTTCCACCCATGGCCGTGCGTTTCAGATGGCGTTGTTACAGAACGGAAAAGTAATTGAAAAAATAATCTTATTTCAACCCGGCTATAACGAGCATAGTCAAAGAGAGGAGGTTTTCAGAGTTAATAATCTGGAGAAAATATGAGAAAATCCATGTCACTTTATCTTCCCCGCAATGTCCGAGTTGGCGAGAACGTGGAGATTGTAGTTGGGGAAGATGTATTAACAGATTGTGGGGAAGTTCGGTTGTATGAAAGATTGATGACACTCTTGGCACCGAATTTCACAACCGGCAGATGACGAGCAAAATGCGCAAAGTATAAAGTACATCTAGACCAGTATAGACATTACCGCCACCACCCGAGCCGGTAGATGTGAACCATTGAACTTTGTTGGGTTTCAGTTAACAGAGAATTTCGGGAAAGATGGGGAAATTGCGATGATTACGCCACAGCTCCCCGTAGTCTTAAAAAGACAACCTGAAATCCGTCACATCCCTGACATTAGGCGAACAATCATCGTCTTAACCATAGTCCTAGATGCTGAGCACGGGCAATTTAAATAGTCAGGAAGAATAACTCTTTCAGATGAGACAACTTTATTTCACCCACAATCCCTTCCAAGCTATGGAAAAGAACACATGCCATAGATTTTGACCCTATGCGAGTCAGTCCCGGTTCCGCCACCGGAACGCGGGGGGATTCAGTCCAGTGGCTCGGGGAGAGCAAACCTTAACCAAAGGATTTTGAACGAAATTATGTTTAGTCGGTATATAATCCATCATGATTTTAAATGGATTGATGAAAATTAATGCTCTTGGGTTTGAGCAAAATAAGCAACCCGTATCCGGTGTGCATGCTTGTAAGACCCCACCAAGACGAATGGCTCATTCGTTTATTTAGGTTCCTGAGAATTACGCTTCCATAATAATCCCGAATACATATAAATCAAAGCATCGTGAAGGCAGTCTATTACGTCTATATCAACCATGCGCCTCCCATATGTCGCCGATCCGCCGCCCACAAGCACTCCCAAGGAAGCCGAGATACTCGCTCGAATACAAGACCGACGCGCTCCTAATGGCCTTCTACCTCTAGATCGGGCTCTCTTACACTCGTACCCTATTGCCGACGGGTGGAATTCGTTCATTGGAGCAATCCGTACTCAGACCAGCCTTAACACTTTGATCCGTGAGCTGATCATTTGTCGCGTGGCTGTGCTCAACGGAGCATTGTTTGAATGGGAGCAACATGAACCTTTGTTGATCGAGGGAGGTGTGAGCGGTGCTGCATTGCAGGTAATTCGTGATGCTGAAGCCGATATCTCGAAGAATACAAGGGAGAAAATCTTGAGCCCGATGGAGGGCGCTGTGCTGAGGTATACTGATGCAATCACCAAATCCGTGACTGTGCCAGAAGAGGTATTTCAGGAGGTCAGGGTCCTCTTTAACGACCAAGAAGTGGTTGAGATTACAACTACTGCGGCGGCATACAACTGTGTGAGCCGTTTCTTGGTTGCATTGGATATCGGTGAGAGTAATAATTAATTTGACGGTGTTTAGTAACCAGCCAATAAATAATAAAAGGGACATCTGGAAATTGATACAGAGACTCCCAACTTTGATAGAGACACTCTTGTATTTGTAAATCAATGTAAAGATTTCCCCGCAAAGTTGCGGAGATTCCTACGGGTACTTTAAAGGTTTGTCTGCACATTTATTAAATTGTTGACGACTACCCACTGATCTAAAAAACACGTCGCAAAATGAAAACCGCCTAGACGGCTGTCTTTCTAGTCAGCCTCCTGTAAGTCTTCACACTACCGCTGTCATGATGTAAGGGCTTTCACCATAGTGAAAGCATTCAGAAGCCATAGATAGATGCTTTCTATATTCTTTATATACCTATAGCTATATACTAGAACCCTGGCTCCTCCATGTACTACTAGAACACATGTTCCCTATAAATTCAAAATGCATACATATCTTAGATCATTACAACTGCGCCTTGTTTCTCTGTTGATGCTCTACGTCTTCCTAACAATGACAGCTTTCTCAAAATTGTTCTTCTGAGCTAACTGGCCAATATAGGAGAGAATTAAGCTGTATATTTTAGCAGGCTTCATATAGATGCAAATTATTAGCCATTAGACTGGTAAGAACCAGTTCCGAAATATCATTAGAGGCTAAGTATAACGGGGAATTGTGACCCACCACCTCTTTACGAGGATGGAATGGAGTGGCTTACGAACCACTTTATTCTCCTTATAGAAGTTTCTCAAAATTTGATGCCGGACAAGCAAAGTAAAAGGCTACTTGAGGATATTTTAATCTCCATATGAATATCTATAAACCCTTATGATAATTCCACATTCCTGAATTCACTCAAAGCATCTCCCAGGATTCACCCTCCGTGTAGTCCGTAGGGTTCCAATCGCTAGTTGACCTAAAGGCTCATGCTCCTGCACATCGCCTAAACGGATTCTTATATCTTGGAGTAGCCTTGTTTTCTCCTGGCCACCAATCGTATTGCTTATGGCTGGTAAACCTAGATATGGTGAATAGAGCAACGAGCCGACATCTTCTAGTACCTCAGGGTTTAGGCTGACCAAGTTCAACACGATCGTAATCAGTCCACAAAGAGCGAGCACTGTAGTAGCCACCGCAAAGACATTCAACCAAGCAAAATTGACCACGTAGATTTGCTTATCGACATAAACTCGAGTGCCAGTGGTATTGATAGGAGTAGTTGGCGTCCCGCCTAGAAGGCCCATAGGATCGACGCTGCCATACAAGTATGTATTGAGCAATTGGGCTAGCCCGATCTCTAATTCGTCAACTGAGGGAGATGCTGTTGAGGGATCAGAGAGATTGGCTTCTAAAGGTGTTTGAGGATAGCGAAGGTATGCCTCAGACAGCGAAAAGTTTTGAAAGGCTAGCAACGAATTCCATTGTCCTCCAATTTGTAACTCTAGAGTACGACTGTTCATTTCAAATGGTGGATTACTTGTATTAATTTGACGCATGGCTTGCACAGCACACGCGGGCTGGTCTCCCGATGTTGTAAGAACCGTGCACATCACTTGGGACTCCACGTAAATTTGCGTCCAAGCGAAAGAGACTTGAGCCGATCCACCAGCAGGGCTGAGAACCACCTTCCAAGTGGGGTAGATTTGATTTGTGGAATTTCCCTGGGGTATAAAAGCGATATAGATACCAGAGCCATTTAGATTCAGGTCTGTTTTAGATTTGCTGCTGAAGAAGAGATCATAATAGGATGAGTTCATCACGAAACTAGTGTTTCCGGGTTTATCCAGTCCAGTGATAGGTACTCCCGTGAGGGAAGAATAGAGTAAACTCCCTGTAGGAACAGGCGTCCATGCGGGGGGATCTGTCCGATTCTTCAAATGCCTCAGAAATGGAACCTTCAAGTTGTTGAAAGGATCCATTGAGGAGTTCATAATGCTCTTAGACCCGGAGAGTAGACTGGTTGCATAGAGAGTGTTAACAAATCCACCGAATGACCCATCGTCGTCCGCCCCGTCAAGCAAAGATGGTGTGCTCAAATTGGCGTACTGAAGAGTTTGAGTAGCCGAGTTGACTGTATTCGTTGTTGAAAGAACATGCAGCGGTGATTGTCCACCAACTGGCGAGAAGGCCCACGTAGTGAGGAGGATAATACCAAGAATATTGACTTTACGGAGTGTTATTTGGGTCAATACCGAGTTCATAAATGTGGAGCTGCGATTAATCTGCTCTAATACGAGAATCGAACCGCCTCGTTCCAGCCTCCATTCTCCCAGTCTTCTTCTCAAGCGTCCGGCCACAGCGGTGAATACCAAGGGAAAGAGGGTCGCGGACTTGTTTAGAGTACATCAGTATCAGAGACTCTATTCTTACGGAAATAGTGGGATAGGGCTATCCGTACAACATACAATCCTTCCTGCATCCGATTAAGGTCACTGTCGTCAACCATATCCCCGTTACGACTCACGCAGATGCCGATGAGAATATAGAATGGAATTGCTGCCGCGACACACAGAAGATCCAAAAGTAATATGGATACATGGTATCTTCGTAACCTGGTTGGGCCGCGGGACCATGTCGTATGCGTGTCATTGACAACATTTTGGGAGGGTCCCAGCGAATTCCTACCCTGGTCGGAGACCAGTTCATATCTTTCCATGACGAAGGTATAGGTAGTAATTTGATTTTCCTTCGTCACAGGTTACACCATGTTTGTAATGTCATTAAATGAAATAAAGTTTTGGGTTTGAATTTCCCAATGGGAGAGATTATCTATCAATTAATATGGATCATATATAGTCGTGCCTCCGCCCAACTGCGGCAGCACGCGAAATAATATCAATCTATTAAGGAGCACAAAAACAGACTAGGTCTGCATGCACCAATTTCCTCGGGGTTATCAGCTTCCATATTGGTTGGATAATCAGGTTTGAACTCGGCTAGTGGCCCTAGTCTTGAGTTGTTATGCACTTACAATCCTGCACGAACTAGGCTGCGAGCCAATGATTCATTGGGCTATCACATTGCTTGCTTTTCCTTCATTTTCACCATTATTATTTCTTTTTCCCTCCACATATTGTACTCCTGGTCCGTGCAAAGCAGAACATGCAGTTACTATTACTGTTATTATAGCTGGTACATGTGGCCAGCAGCATTAAGTACCTTAGTTTGTTTCGTCGCACTGGACTGCCAAAATTAGATATCCTCTCTTAGCGCTCGGATTAGCAGCTCCATTGCCTCAGCCTCATGCGTTTTACGGTAGCTCCGGACGCTAGCAATAATGGTGTGCTGGCCAACAGCCTCGCGATTGATCGGGGCTAATCTCTGGGAAGAGGTAGCTTGCAGTTGTTCATAAATGGGTGATAAAAATAGGCAATCATGCTATACCCAGTCATCAATCTGCTTAATTTGCGAACGCCAAAGTCTTTTAGCCTTCAATCGCCGATGACCACTGACCCTTCGGAGCCTATCAACGTTATCCAGCCGTATGTCCTGGTAGAGAAAATCATAAACAATCTATCTTTCGAGCTTTCCTTTTGAAAGAACATTGTTTCACAAAAAATTACTTACTCGGAAATGTTCCAGCATAATAAGCCTCCCCATTTCGCGATTCCACAAGCTGAGGATAGTCAAACTATATTGCCGAAATTAGATCAAGGAGATGGACTTCCAGATATCCAGCGGAATACCATCGAATCGGGTATCTACAATTGGCTATCTCTAGCTGCCCGACTGGTCGTAATATTACCCTTTGTAATGCTACTTATCGCCGCGATTGCTCTAAATGGGAAACCTATAAATGAAGCCCATTGGGAAATGGTCCAAGTTGCAATAAAAGTAGTATGTGGTTTATCCATTCAACGAGGAAGAAGTGGTATATTATTCTAACCATTTGGCAGGCAGTAACTCTATTTCCTCTATGCTTCGCGATGATTGTGGGCCAACTATTGCAAAAAATAGCACAGTTCAAACTCGAGCGTGGTGCGATTGTAGGAACACTACAGCAGTTGGTGGGATCGACTACCGTATTTGGTACTTTATCGACTTTATTTTCCTTTCGTTCATTGAATCGACTAGGAATTGGCCTCTTCTTCCTCTGGGCGCTTTCACCACTTGGAGCACAGGGTACCCTTCGGATTCTCTCAGCTTCCTACAAGTATACCGTCTCCTCGCCCCATCTCGCATATCTAAACGTCGTCGCAACTTCTAGCCTGGTAAATAAGACTCTCTGGAATTACCAAAATTCTGCAGCTGATGATCTGTTTATTGCCGGTCTTGTCACGTACAAGGTTACCGGTCAATCCAGTACTGATCTTTGGGGAAATGTGAAGATCCCGATCCTCAATGATACCATGTCGGCTGGTAGTTGGATCGATACAACTGACCGATCCGTTCCATATTCCTCCACTATCGGTATCCCACTGTTTGGTCTACTGGAAAATGGTAACACAAGTGGCACTATAACAACCTCTTATATCTCCTTTGAGTGTGCTGATCTCGTCCAAGTGTCGTATCAGTCTACATTGTTCAACAGGAGTGCTTATTATCCTCCGTCCATGACCTATCTAAATGGTACTAGTCAGGAAGCAGCAATACTCTGGATTGACGCGATTTATCAGGAAGGTTGGACCACGGGAAATTATTCGGCGGCCACGTGCTCAGCGACATTGGTTCCTGTCGAAGCCTCGATAAGCTGTATCCGATCTCTTGGTATGGCTAGTACTCGAGGCGAGTGCTCAGTCACGTCAATTCGAGTGAACAACGGAAACATATCTACAAAAGACCTCCCAGATATATTTTCCGACGAAGATTCGTTCAATAATTTCAGCTCTTCGATCCAAAAAACCATGCCTCTGGTCCACCCAGCCACTCCTTCCATTATGGATGGTTTTATGAACGATCCATATACCCTTGGAAATATGATGGATATGAACATTTCCCTATTCCAGATGGATCCTATTCTTTTCTCTCAACGCCTAACGCAGTTGATCAATTCATTCTACATGGCTAGACTGGAATACCAGTTTCTCACAATGATTTCCGTTCCTGGTATGGATATCAATAACACTGATAACTTTACTGTCACGTACGGATCAAGTTCTGCCGTTTTCAACATTTCAACGGGGAGAGGTAGTCACAAAGAAACCTTCATGACATGTTCCATTCAGGGTGTCTGGTTCTTCTTCTTTCTTTTGGCCACACTCGTTCTCATAGCGTCATGTATAGCTACCTTTGTGATCGCGTCGAAGATACTGACTCCTGACATTCTGGGGTACGTCTCCTCACTAACAAGGGATAAACCGCAATTCAAGTCATTTAAGATCCCAAGTACATTGAATGGATGGAAGCGAGCACAGCTACTGGGAGACGTCTTCATCCGGTTTGGCGATGTCGATCCTCATTCTTCCGATATTGGTACACTTGATATTGGACTCAAATCATCGACAAGAAGATCTAGATCACACAGAGAGTTTCTCTAGCTTGTGTTTTACAAACCGCGCGAAAATAGGTCTATTGTTTAAGAATATCACTAATCTGTCTACTCTACTAATTGACCTCATTGGAGTCGTTTCTGTTTCGGAAAAAAGAATGGGAAATAGCACATTGCAGATTAAATATACATGTGTAATGCCAAATGCATGTGAATGTAGCAAAAAAAAATTGAACTATATATCATTCTTTTCCTCCGCAATTCCCACCATTTTCAGTGAGTCTTTCCAAAGGCGTTTTTCATTTACTGGATCATAAGTCTGGCGAACATAACCAGCGCCGAAAACATCATTATCGTCTTCACCACGTTTTGCCTCCTCACAATCCTCCAAATACTTACCTCCCTTATCCTCCCATTCCTTTCCAACAGCAGCAAGAACGCTAGTAGCGGCCCCTTGCTCGGGTGTTTTCAACATCTGAACAAGTTTCTCGTCGCTCATAATCTGCGCCACAAATTCACTGCCTAAGTGTCTGGATATGTTTGTGTTTACTCCACCTGGATGAAGGCTGGTAGCGTGAAGGCCCTGCTGGCCATAGCGACGATCTATCTCGTTGGCCATGTAAATATTGGCAAGCTTTGAGTTCGCATAAGCCACACCATGGTTATATCCACCATTTTGGAAATTATAATTGTCGCTTTCATTAAGATTCCACACGCGATGGGCCGAGGATGAAATGGCCACAACCCTAGAATGAAATTCCGGGCTCGAACTCAGTAACAGCGCATTTTTAAGTAGCTGGAATAGGAGAAAATGGCTCAGATGATTTGTAGCGAAATGCATCTCATAGCCATCCTCAGTGAGCTTGAGCTCTTCAATCCCCATAATCCCAGCGTTGTTGATGAGTATGTTGACCTTTTCATTTGAGAGTGCCAGGATATTTGCCGCAGCCGCTCTTATACTGGCAAAAGATGTATTGTCCATCTTGACCAACGAGACGCGACCTGGTTCTAGAATCCCAGTAAGAGCAGTCTTGGCCTTCTCCAAGTCGCGGGCAGTCAAGAACAAGGTGGCTCCGGTGGCAGACAATGCCCTTGCAGTCTCAAGGCCAATTCCAGAAGTCGCACCAGTGATGACTATTACTTTGCCCGCGAGTTTTCCAAGAAGGCCCTGATCATGGATGATTTCGAGGGCGGTTGGTCTGATTTTTCCCGTGCCTTGGTTGGCGGGAGTGAGAGCGTCCGTACTCATATTAACAAGAAATTGAAAAAGAAATATGAGAATTATAATCGCGAGAATAGCAGACCAAGAGCTGGATTACCACCAATTTGTGCGATGATGAAGCCAACGATTGATGTCTGCATTCTTTAAAGATTGCGCTGGGGTAACACATCTTTATATATATGCCAATAGCTACCAAGAGTACTTTGTCTCCATAGTTACACAATTCATCTTCTATTGGCATTATTACAGATGAGTTATTTTAGGGGATTACAAATGCTGAAGCTGTTAAATGGGATGGCATGGGCGACGGAGAATGCCCGCGGCCCCAGCGGACCTTGGCGGCCGATCCGCGGCCGCCCAGCGGCGGCTCTGGATACTTCCGCCACTTTTATGAAATTGTCAATTCACTCATTTTAGGAGTCGCTTCTATCGAATATGACAAACTATACTCAATCTGACGACATGAGAACCCCTATCAGCGAATACGACCCTCCGCAGGCTCATCAAGTGTGTATTTCTTGCAAGAAGCGGAAGAGGAAATGCAACAAGGCGCGTCCTAAATGTTCGTCATGCTTAGAGTAAGCCACCCTCACAGACTTTCTCACCGCTTGATGAAAACCATACTTACAATAGTAACGGTAATAGGAGAAATTTGAATTGCGAGTACTCGGCACCGCGGAAGAGTTCCGATTCTACCTCTGTGCTGGATCAATTGCCGAATAGTTTTTTTGTCGATGATGGCCCAGCTGACGCTCAATCCATCGACATTCCCACCATTTTGTTTTTAGATCCCACCATCTTACGCAATGGATATGTAGAAATTTCTCGTACCGCTAATCTTGTACCAGAACCAATTCTGCGTTTACTTGGAGATCTAGAAGAGATCGAAGAAATCTCGTCTCGATTCTTTGGGCATATACATCTCTGGATGCCTTTTATCTCAAAGAAAAGGTTTTATGAAATCCACTTGCGGCCATCATTTCAATCACGACCAGATATTGTTCTCCTCTTACTTTCTCTGAAACTCATTACCACCTTACCTCCTACACAACCCCGTAACCCTCGGACCTCTCTATATAAAACCATCAAGCACTTCTACCTTGAACTCGAGGGGTCCAGTACGTTATCTATCCTTATATTGCAAGCTGGTGTCCTATTAGCCTTCTACGAACTCGGACATGCTATATACCCGGCAGCGTACTTGTCTATTGGTGCATGTGCGCGCTATGCACATGCTTTGGGCATTAATGCTAGCGGCAAACTCAACAAGGGGAGAGTTGTTACCTTGGTCGAGGTGGAAGAGAGGAGGAGAGTCTGGTGGGCAATCGTAATTTTGGACCGGTCAGTCCTCGGCATTTATCTATACTCTGTTAATATTAATTATCAGCATAGCTTTGTGAGTGTCGGTTGCCCGGGAAGGCCTTTTGCGACCGCGAATCCTATATTAGAAGACTATTTACCGGTGGATGACAAAGCATGGGATGAGGGTGTAGGCGTCATGTCTCTCAGTGTGGTTTCTGTACTAACGAATGTTTTAGATCATCAGACCGGAGGATTACTTTACCTTGTCTTCACCGATGAGTAGTCATATGAGTAAATTTGCGTTACTGTGTCAAGCTGCGAGGTTACTGGGCCAGGTTCTCGATTATGTTTCGAGCGACCACGCAGTTCACGACGATGTTTGGATACAATTAGACCGAACGCTCCAGTCAATGACCGCCGCTTCACTCAAGGTAGACGCACCGGACTATAGTCAGATTACTTTTGTTTATAGGTTTGTTATGTTCTATTGTTGTATAACTAGCCCCTTTTAACTGATTCATCCTAGTGCTCTCGTCGCTCTGTATACGCCCTGGATTGCTTCTAGTTCCTCCAATGAGGCTGACAATGTTCGTTCTCAACGAGCAAAGGTCATCATTGAACAAATCACAGAGACAATAAAGGAAAATCTCATGGCGCGAAAGTGCTTTTTTGGGGTCGACCCTGAGGACATGTCACCATGGGGTCTTTTTTTCGCTTACCGCATTTCTGTGTCACACATGCGAAGGTCTCGGGAAAATCCCGACTCATTATACATTTTGAAGAATTTGAAGGAGGTTTTTATGACAATAGATTCGAGGTGGAATGCTGCGGGTACCGTCCTATCTTTCAGATTTATGCATTCCCAGTACCTAACCGTGAGCAACAGGGGTTTATCTTCAGCTTCTCGAGGCACAAGAAGTCATGGAGAACTGTTAATTAAAATTAAAGGGGACACCGATCGAAATGGAAATCGAGGAGAAAATATTGGATGATCGGAGGAACGATAATGAATTTGTCATTTGAGGACGTGATTTGGTGTACTGGTGTGGGCCGACGATAACGACGATCGATCAAAATGCAGTAGAAAAACAATCCAATTATTAATGATATTTGGCTCAATCAAAGGCGCGAAAGAGAGGGCGCTGTGCGGGGTACCGGATTTAAGCGGAGATGACTGTGGCCTATAAATTGCAGCTTCGTCCGCCGAAGCTTCAGGATTTCCTCAAGAACAAACAACAGAGAAGAAAAAGAAGAAGTAGTAGGAAAACATGTCGGCGGTTTTCAGAGAAGGAGCTACTGCTCTTATCACTGGAGGCGCCTCGGGAATTGGTCTCGCCACAGCGAAATTCTGCTATGCTCAGGGCATGAATGTAGTCCTGCTCGATATCAACAAGGATGCTCTCTCAACAGCAGCAGCGGAGTTACCTTCAACTTCAACTAAAACAACATCTACCTTTGATATCGACGTGTCTGCGAAGGACGCCTGGAAGAAAGTCCAGCATGATGTCCTTGCGAAACATCCATCTGGTATCGATTTCTTGATGCTTAATGCCGGCACTAGCATCCGACCTGCGGAAGGCAAAACCCCGTGGCAAGATCCTGAATATTTTGAAAAGACAATCGCCATTAACACCTTTGGATATATTCATGGACTGGCAGCCTTCCTCGACATCGTCACAAGTGAAAAGACGGAACAGCGGGCTATTGTTCTTACTGGCTCTAAGCAAGGAATAACAAACCCTCCAGGAAATCCAGCATATAATGCTTCGAAAAGTGCAGTCAAGACAATCGCCGAACAATTATCCTTTGATCTACACACCAGCAATCCAAATGTGGGAGTCCACTTGTTGATCCCAGGTTGGACCTATACAGGGCTGACGACACGTTATTTCAAAACCAAACCCGACGGTGCCTGGACATCGGAGCAAGTAGTCGAATATATGACTGGGAAATTGGCCGAAGGGGTTTTTTATATTTTATGCCCAGACAATGAGGTGACTGAAGAGTTAGACCGGAAGAGGGTGGTCTGGGGGTGTGGAGATCTTGTTCACGATCGACCGCCATTGTCACGCTGGAGAGCCGATTGGAAGGAAAAGGCAGCGAAAGGAATCCAAGATATTAAAATGTAGAAGTTTTCTCCATAAGACTGAATGCTAATTAATGAATATTAGTTGATAACCTTGCTTTTTGATCGCAAGTCAATTAACCGAGACTAATACTGGACGTCTGGATACAAACTTCAAAAGAGTAGACCCCACTCTATCTATGAACATACACAACGCTTGACTGAGGACTGCCCTACATATAACTCTAGCCGAGTTGAGGTCGTGTAGAGCATAGTAAAATGTAGTGGTTCTCGTTTCATCAGATGCTTGTTGATCCGATAATGACGGACAAACTGCTTGATACAGTTGATTTTATATTAACAATATTTAAAACTTTCCTGTCTCAATATTGAAGATGAGGTTAACGATTGGTCGCAAAATGTTTCGTACAAGAGCAGACGGTGCAGTTACTATTCAGGGCCTGCCAATTATCTCTGACACTAGTATATGTATATGAAAACTGTTATTCCCTTATCTATGGTCTTCTCCCTAACATTCCTTAGTGGTTTGAAGGGCAGACTTGGAGTGAATTTCTCAGGGAGACTCTTAGTGTAATGCTAGGCCATCTCGCTAAAAACATCCCAACATAACAGCACTGGTTTTCAGGACCAAGACCTTTTTCTCATTGGCTTCTACGGGCTTTATGTCTATATTGCACAAGGGTTTTTCAGAGCTGATGTGATCTCCCAAAGTTCATCTAAAATGGTGCTCAGATGATGAAGTTTTTAAATTGAACTTCACTCGGGCTACAATTTATGTTCTACGAAAGATTGGTTCGAAGCCACGCATGCTTTGTCAAGATTATATCAATACTCCTAAGTGGTAGTGCAAAAGTTGGTGCAATATAAGCATTATTACAAAGGGATCCGGATATTGCAGGTGGAGGTGTTTGCACTGATGTTACTCAGCTTTATTACTCGGTCTTCTCCATATCAGCCTGTATTTGAAACGCAACACCAGCTGCTACTGCTGTTCCCATGGCTATCACCGGAGTAACGGATTTCATGAATATAGCGCAGTCTCCTGCAGCAAAAACCCCGGGAACCGAGGCCTCATTGAACGGTTGAGAGACTTTAATCTCCCCGCTTTCAATCGTCTCGAGACCAAGTTGCTGTACGAATGGTCCGTTCAGGACGTACTTGGGTCCATGAGCCTTGTTTAAAATTAGCATTTTAAATAATCCAATATATTGACGATTTCACACACCATAAACCCTTCTTCTGCAGAGCTACCGTCTTGAAAATGAATTTTCACAAGTCCTCCTGGGGGGCCTTTCTCCAGCCTTGCGAAAGGACGAGAGTCAATTGTATAAGCGTCGTTATTGACAACGCTTTGAAGAGCCGACGCTCTGTCCTTGTCACCGTTGGTGTAGATTGTCACACTTTGAGCTAAGCGCCTAGCCATGCGAGCAACATGTATTGCTCGCTGAGTATCCTGCAGAAGATCTGTCGCTAAAACACCTGCTGACTGTGCGCCCTTTTCTTCGTATCCATCACAAAACAAGCAGTGAAAACTTTCGTTTTTAGTTGCTTGCAATAAAAACATATATTTGATATCGGACTTACATTCCATCCGCCCAACATTCCTCATACCCGTCAATATCAGGATAAACGTCCCTCACACCTGTAGCCAAGACGAGTTTTCGTCCCTGCCATATTTCCCCATTCGCATCAATAGCTTCGAAATTCCCCGTGGATATTTTTTTAACGGTGTTTATACCAACATCCTCAAATTGGATAGTCGAGTACCGGGCGAGCAAGTCTCTGCGACCCGCATCTCGGAAGTCTGCTGAATTGCGATGGTCCCAGCCAACTACATTGTGCATGTGCTTGGCTTTTGCGTTTCTAAAAGTACCCGAATTGAAGACCACAGCGGTGTGGAGTTGGCGTGCGAGACCGGTGGCTGTTGAGAGGCCGGCTGGGCCTGCCCCGATAATAAGTGCGTCAAAAAGTGCGCAGGCCATGTGTATTTTGTTACAAATTATAAAATGAGCTTTCTTTAAAATGAAGTCAGTGATTAGTATCTGGTTTTGCCTAGAGTATACTTTGGAAATTTATGGCGATTTATAACTACTCTACAATAGCTCGGAGACAATAACGGAGACTTTCATTGAAAGACCAAGAGCCTAGAGCATGTAACGTCACTCCACTGAATATTTGAACTTAAAAAAGAACGCCAACCATAAATCATTTGTTTATTGCAGTACTTGCCTTGATTGTGTTTATTCCAAATAACGAAAAGTTTCCGAGGCGGCCGAAAGTCTCCTTACGGCGAGCACGATTATGGGGCCAACTAATTATATGGGAACTATACAAAAGATACTAACTTCTCTATATACTCAACAGGTCTACGTAATTTCTCATAGCTTCCCCCTAGTGTTGATCGATTGTCGCTGGCCATGTTCCTTACTACTATCCTCCAACTCAAGCAAAAGATGTCCCTCCGCAACATCAATTCCTTGGCTATGTGAGTCTAGATCAACTTCAACGACCCACTTGACAACACCCGATCGGTGACTTCTGACTTCCAGCTCCATCTTCATCTGTTTGATATAAGCAACAACTTGATCCTGGGCAATCTCGTCCCCTTCTGCCACGAGAACCTCCAAAAGCTTGCCCGAGAGCGGGGATACTAGATGAGCTGGATTTGATGGGTCGCCCCGTCGGTGCGATGCCGAGGTAATTGCTGAGGAAGACGCGTTTGTCTCAGTTAGATGTAGTCGGTATGGAGTCGTCGACGGGGACGAGGACGATGAAGCTGTATATTCGACTTCAGCTGTGAGAGAAGAAGGAAACTCGTTGCGAAGAACACGCTTGAGTAGAATGTGACTTTGGAGTGTTTTGTCAGAAGAGGGGTTTCCATTCGGATTGGGTTCGGAAAGCGGCTCTAGGGTCAGGGACCAGGCGTCACCTTTGCGGAAAAGGACGCTCGAGGATGCGGCTACTAGATTTCCTTGCGGCAGTGAGTTGGTTGAGCTTGATAAATTGGGACTCTTGGCTTTTTCAGACAGCCTTTGACTAGTGCTGAGCAGACTAGGTAGATTGCGTTCAAGCCATTGAGTGTCTGGGTTCCCATACACAAGGAAGTCACTGTCAATGATCGCTCTTAAAAGATCTAGGTTCGTTTTCACTCCAGATACTATAATATCTCCCAGCGCTCGACGTGCTTTGAGGATAGCAGTATTCCAATCCGCAGCTGTGACGATTATCTTGGCTAGTAAGTTATCAAAATCGAAGCCAATTAAAGTAGGCGAGGTTGATGAAAAGTGAGTATCGACTCGCACACCGTTTCCCCTAGGAAGTACAAACTGAGTAATGTTGCCAATGCTTAAGGAGAAATCGGACTCGGGTACTTCAGCACAAAGTCTTAGTTGAATAGAGCACTGTTTGGGCGGCGTGTACGGATCCTGCATATCACCAAGTCCAAGCTTGTCTAAAGACAGCCCTTGAGCTAGTAGAAGTTGCGTCTGTACTAAATCGATGCCGGAGATACACTCTGTTATCGTGTGCTCGACTTGTAATCGTGGGTTTATCTCTAAGAAAAAGAATTCTTTCGAACTTTCATGGACAAGGAACTCGAATGTTCCTAATGAAAAATAGTGAACCTGTTGAAAATATTAACGAGGAGCCCAAATTAATAAATTAATTGGCGACCTACATCACTAGCCATCTTAACGGCTGCATCGATAACATCCCGGATAGTCTCACGATCACAACTCACCGACGGCGCATACTCAACAATCTTCTGAAACCGTCGTTGCACACTGCAATCTCTCTCCCAGAGATGCCTCACACGACCAGTCCCGTCACCGATAATCTGAACTTCCACGTGATGGAATCCATTGATAGCAGCCTTTTCTACAAACACTGTTCCCGACGGCGACTCTCCCTTAGCCCTACTAACGGCATTTGAAAGCTCACTCGCCGCTTTGACTAACCGAATCCCTCTTCCGCCGCCACCGTCAACTGCTTTGATCATGACCGGATAATTGACTTTATTAGCAAACTGCCCGATTTCGTTCACATCACCACTAGAAGTCTCCATGGCCGGTAGCACTGGCACGCCAGAACGAACTGCAAGGGTCTTAGCATGGAGCTTATTGCCCATCTGCTCCAGAATCTCCCAACCGGGCCCAACGAGGACAGCACCAGCATCATCCCACAAGCGACGAGCAAAATCAGCACTTTCACTGAGAAAGCCATAGCCCGGGTGCACAGCATCAATTGCATGCTGTTTGACGATATTCACGAGAAGCGAGATGTCCATGTAAGACCCTGGTGAGGGGAGCAGAATACGATGGTCCGGGCGACCGACATCGCAATGTGTCTGGTCGCCTTCGGTGTACGGTGCAAAAGTCTCAATGGCAACTCCATCTTCCATGGGGATTAGCTCCCGAGCAGCTTGGAGAATACGGATTGCAATTTCCCCTCTAATATCTGTCAATTTTTGAACGCATTGTATTGATTGAGAATATCAACATGCCTATTAGCAACCAGAAGGCGCCGAATTGGTCTGGCCGGAGGGCGCATAGCTGAACAGCTTGACGCAGGCGCAATAAATCGCCCGCTGATAGTTTATTATCTGTATAGTCGAATACCAAGGCCAATATCCGCTCAAAATATTTTGCAGAGGCCATTATGTGTAAATCGGTTAATGTTATGATCCATGCGGGGAAAGCTCTCCACAACCCCGCATGCACGCTAAGAAAGCCGAGGCTCTCGGCGGAGCCTATATGGACCAGGTCGGCTCTTTTACTTTTATGTATCATTGATTCAACACGGCAAATGTGTGACTATCTGGTGAATATACTAGTATGACCAGCTTAAAGGTATAGTAGGGCAATGGCGAAATCCAAGCTGGACGACGAATCGTCCAAAACAGCCGTCCAGCGCCTGGACCAGGTAACAGCACATGTCGCCGACGAGCAACACCATAACTCTGCGTCTGGGATATCAAAGCGACAATCAAGCTCGCCATTGCCGGCAGATTACTCTGACATTCTCTCAACCGTATCAACCCTCAGAACTCTAGCCCGGACGCCTAATAGTACACAACGAGGTTACGTTCGTCAAAAGCAAGCAGGAAAACTCTGGGTGCGTGAGCGAATTGAGGAGCTACTCGACCGCGACACATTCCGCGAGGTCGGTTCGATATCTGGGACGGTGAAATGGGAGACAACAAGTGCCACGCAAGAGCGGCCGGTCAGCTTTACTCCAAGCAACAATATCCAGGGCACTGGAAAGCTGCGCGGGCGAGACGTGCTCCTGACAGCAGATGATTTCAGTATTCGCAGCGGCCATGCAGACGGTGCCACTTCGGGAAAGACGCAGTATTTGGAGAAAATGGCTATTGCGCTGAAACTGCCCGTTGTGAAGCTCGTAGATGGTAGCTCGGGAGGAGGCAGTGTGACGACGATTAAGAAAGAAGGCTGGAGTTATCTTCCAAGTCTTCCACATTTTCGCTATGTTGTTGAGCAGTTGAATATGGGGATTCCAAATATAGGTGCCGTTCTCGGGCCAGCAGTAAGATTGACTTCCATGTAGATAATGTGAAGAAGGATTGCTGATTCAAGTGTAGATCGGACTAGGGGCGGCGCGAGTCGTGGCTTGTCATTTCAGCGTCATGGCCGCAGATATCGGCACTCTCTTCAATGCTGGGCCAAAAGTTGTCGAAGGGGCGACATTTGAAGAAGGACTCAGCTTCCAGGATCTTGGCGGGCCTATGATGCATTGCACCAACGGTACGATCGATAATCTAGCAGCTAACGAAGCCGAATGCTTTGAGCAAATCCGGACAATTCTGGAATATCTACCCAATTCTGGTCTTGACGCGCCGCCCGTGATCTCATGTGAGGATCCTGAGAATAGAGAAGATGTTGCATTACGATCTATCATTCCTCGAAAGCAGGCCCGAATGTACAACCCCAGAACCATAATCAACTCGGTTGTCGATCGTGGGTCGTGGTTTGAAATCGGCGGTTTATGGGGCAAGACTGCTATCGGTGGTTTGGCCCGTCTAGCAGGTCATCCGGTTGGAGTCATTTCGTTAAATTGTGAAGTTAACGGTGGCGCCCTGGATGCACACGGAAGTCAAAAGTTGACGCGACTTCTAAAACTATGCGATGTGATGAACATTCCAGTGTTGCAGTTTGTCGACGTTCGTAAGTGATTGTATTCTCTTTTGCATACTTCATTACTCTGACTGTAACAGCTGGATACGCTATCGGAACGATGGCGGAGAGAACAGCGACTATGCGCTGGGGCGTAGAACTCACCAAGGCGTATTTCTCCACCACGGTACCCATTTTCAGTGTCATCACACGAAAAGTCTTCGGTGTTGCTGGTGGGGTCATGCTGGGAGCACGAGATCCTCCCATGCAAGTGGCCTGGCCCTCTGGACAATGGGGTTCTCTCCCTCTCGAAGGAGGAATCGAAGTCGGTCACCGCCACGAGCTGCGCGAGGCTGAGAAAGTGGGACGAAAGGAGGAGATGTATCGGGCTTTGGATACTGAATATCGGCGACTGATGAATCCCGTCAGAACAGCCAATGCTTTTGGGGTCGAAGAGATTATAGACCCCAAAGACACGCGGGCAGTGTGTTGTGTATGGGTGAAACACATGTATGGAGCTGCGATGAGGGAGCGGCTGGCGCAGCGTGCGAGTGGAAGAGTGCAGCCTTCTTTTGCGTGACCATACATCAATTAATGTTCGAGTATCCATCAATTTCTCTAATCGATGCCCGTGCACAGCCATATGTCTCATGCATGTCTACACGTGTAATATAGTATATATCGATTGCTAATATAGGAGACATAATGCGGCTTGTCTTGGCAGGGTTTGATATTATTAAGCAGCTGTGAGTCATCCATCTCCTCTCCAAAAAACAGGTATCACCTCGTATTTACGATATTATATCACTCTATACGATATTGATTATTAACCGTATTTATGTATACATGTAGTAATAGCAAACAATTAAGATCCCAATTTCCTGATGCGATGTCGGCGTGGATGTCGTGCTCTGCCATCTCCAGGCAGCGTCATTGCTGTGCTGACCGATTCGCCTGGAAGTAACTTGGTTACACTTCCCTTTCTGATTGTATTAATAATTAATGCGCCCAAGCTTGAACAAAAGACGAGAAAAAAGCAAAAAGTGAGTCATTACGATTGGGTGCCGGCTGTCGGCATCGTGGAGGTGGGGTGGTGGCTTGTAGTCATAGGGCGCATCTGATAATATTCATGCTTGGTATTCAGGAAAAAACTTGGATGTCAACTATTCCTTAATAATAGTATGACTCAGGCCAGGCGGCAGCGTTGACACTATGTTCAGCTATATTATATGGTCTTCGCGCCTGACTCCCTCATGCCTCCCGATGCATTCTCTACGCGATTGACTGTCCGCAATTGACTGTCGCTGCCACCATGAATAGAACAGTGAACAGGTCCATCGAGGCCTTCACGCGTAAGCCCTCGCGGCTGAACATTGCCATTGACCTAAACGATCAGACTAAAGGCTTCGTGCCCTCGTACACCACGTTCGACCGCATCGAGGGCGAGGTCGCGTTGCAGGCCGACTGCCAGACCAAATTCGACCACATCGACATCATTTTCGAAGGTGTGTCTTAACAGTTCCAATGGCATCGTAAAACTGAAATAGACTGACCAAATAGGATCATCCAAAACAATCGTCCAGCGTCAAGCCACAATGGCCCCTGCATCCAACGACATCAAGGCAATGCATCCATTCCTCAAACTGCGACAGCCCATCGACGAATCCTCTTACCCAGAGCCTCGCGAATTCAAGCCCAGATGCCTGTACAAGTTCCCCTTCACATTTGTCGTGCCCCAGCAAATGCTACCTCAAAGCTGTAGCCACTCGACCAACAACCCGCACTTGAAGGCGGCCCACATACAGCTGCCTCCCAGCCTGGGCGATCCCATGTTGGCGAGTAATGGCAAGACCCTGCTCGACGATTTTGCGCCTCAAATGACTGAGGTCTCATATCGAATTCGAGTTGTAGTGATGAAGCGTGATCCCTCGGGTGGGAAACCGCAGACTCTGTGTTCTGTAGCGAAGAAGATTCGTATTGTACCGGCCAGTCTGGAGCAGCCGCCGCTCGAAGTCACCTGCAATTGCACGGATGACTACCGTACTCGCATGGAAAAGGACGTGCGGAAGAGCTTGCTGGGGAAAAAGACTGGTCGTCTGGTCATGGCCGCTGCCCAGCCAAAGCCCCTGCAGCTGCCGCCACCGGGGGAGAAGCAGGACTGTTCTATTAGCAGTCACGTTACCGTGCATTTGCGATTCGATCCAGAGAATGACGAGCAGCCACCGCAATTGAGATCAGTGTGGAGCAAGTTGAGGGTAATGACCTTCTATTCAGCACATCCTTGGACTACCTTCCCTTCCAAGACCGTCACCATGTTCTGGAATTCCATGCAAGGCATGTACTCGGAAAATGTCCAACTCTCTTCGCTGTGTGTGCTATCTGCGCAATGGGAGCAGCATACAGGTGTATCTGCAGATACAGAACGTCGAAGCTCAGTCGAATCAAGTGCTTCAAGCCAGACCATCACAGGCCCATCGGCCTCGTATTCAGGGAAAACATTCTACACTGCCTCCATCATTGTCCCAATCAATTTACCCAAAAATAAGGCATTTGTGCCAACTTTTCACTCATGCTTGATATCGCGCGTTTATCTGCTTGATCTGTCTTTATCGTATCAATCACCAAACACTCGAGTCATCGCATCGAGCATTTCTCTCAAGGTACCAGTCCAGATTACCTCTGTATACCGCAACAATATTGCCCCAGTCGATGCATCAGCCGATCCAGAGCTTTCCCAGATGCGGATCGAAGAGGAATTCTATCGGCCGCGAAGCATTGCGCCTCCAAGTCTAGAATATCTAGAGCAGGCATCTCTACGCAGCGGGACGTCGCGGCGAGAATCATCGCTGTCGGAATTGATGGGTGATACACAGGGGCTGGACGAAACCAGCCCGCCTGACTATTTGACAGTGACGCAGTCGACGCAAGTGAGGACATCCCGTCCGATAGAAGCAGACTCTATGCTCAGGGTTATGTGTTAGTTCTATTCTAATGTTTCTATGGCAGGGTTAAGGATCACGGAGTTCTGAAGATTGAATACCCATTAAATTCGGAGGTTTCAGGCAAAAGATATTAAATTTAATTCTTAATAATTGATGTTATACTAGACGAGATTATATCCAAATATTAAACAAAGTCGGTTGTGCAATTTTTTTGAATAAAGCAAATATGAATTACATACAACTAAGCTGATAGGAGAAGCATTGAGGGACAGTGAGACCCCAAAACATGACATTTCACATGTACAGTACATTTCCCACATCCATATTTCAGTATCAACAGGTTAAACTATCATCACGGATGCCCTCAATATTCTAAACGCACGCCGTGATCATCCCTGGGCAATTCGGTAGAGCACATTCATACCTCACCGAGCAGCCCAGAGTACAACCCTTATCAGAACATTGACCTGCACTAGTGCAAGGATAACCCAGGCAAGACTTTCCACAATCATCACAATCTCGCTGGACCACTTCATGGTATTGCGACTTTAATTCGTCGACTACCGCAGTTGGTGCCCGGCACAGAACATCACCCAAGTCATTGTTGTAAATAGACGAGACCCCGCCGGGGTGGTGCCAAAGAATCGAGTTCTCGTGTGAAGCACCTCCGACACCATGAGCCGAAAGAGTTGCATTGTCGCATTCTTTATAGGTGTAGATATCCGCATTTAGGGCAGATGATGACATCATACCACTGGTAAATGCCAGTGTCGATAGGATTGACGCGTAGGAGAACTGCATGATGAATCTATTCTCAATGTCAAGTCAGAAATTGATGATTTTGTGATGTGAAGTCTAATATACCTAGAAGGCTTGAATCTCCAAAATAATGAATCAATTCTCTCAAGCTATCAATATTTTCACTGAGACGAATAAGGCAAGAATATGTTGATGATATAGATAACAGAATAAAAGTGCAAACAATATCCGTTGCTGGGCGTCTTAATTTATATGTTGAAAGAATATAAGCATCCTATTTGCGCGTATCTTTGCTTATTATGGCAATTGCTTTCTCGATCCTGTTACCTGGATACAATATCCATAGCAATGAGTATTAATAGCACATGTGTTGATGTCAACCTTTCTAGAATATCAATGCCTCTATTACCTCCATACTACAGTCAGCGCTAGATCATAATTCCGCCCCTGGGCGCGCATTGCATTTCTGGATTAGGTTTCCGAAGTAAAGTTTTCTCTGTGACGCAAATTTTGATCGACAGTTCGGTAATAGATCAGTTCGAAACGTGATTCGAAGCTTGGACCAGCTATTGGGCCTAGCCAAGACAGCTCTGGGGCTGGGATGAAACGAGGCATTTCGGTAGCTGCTTTGATGATGATATTGCAAGAATGGTTTTATATTGTGTAACTAAGCCTCATGTATAGACAGATAGATCAAAGAAATTCAAGAATTAACCGGGGAGTGCGTGGCGTGAAATTGGCGTCAAAATACACTCGCTTGTCAATGGGTTGGTCAATTGATAATTTGGCGTCTATTTATAAATGATGTCATCCGGCCAGGTTTAGTTCCTGCAGGACGTGGTGGGGATTCGTATTCGACTATTACCCCACAACTCTCTTAAAGAACAACACGCAGACAAAGTAAATCTAACCAATTCAAGGGACCTACATCATATCTTTAGAGATCGCCCGCGACTACGATGCGTATTACATATGCCAATTGGACAGTCAGATCTATTCTAGTTAGGTCCTTGTCCATGACACATCCAATACTCCCAATGGGGAAATATGCGTCGCTACCCTTCTCAATTGAGACTCCGAATGGAAAAAAAGAGCTCTGCGGGTTAGCCCCCAATGCGATTAATGCGGGCAGATGTTTCTGTATAACGAAGCGTTCTCCACGGTAAAAGGCGATCATCAACGGGCCTTTTGCGAGGAGAGCTGCGCCTCAGCCCCCACGGCGTTCTTGAGAGTCAAGTTAGGGTAGACGGTCGCCCGCTTGTATAGCTATATTACTTGATACGTTAGAACGAACAATTACGTCATGAATGCTGTTTTAACTGGGTGTGGGGAATTTTGGCTGTTGTTCTGCTGGAGCTCATCGAGATGAGTGATCATTATAGACATCTTGTCACTAGATATCAAGACACTCTCCCAAGATCTTGACTTAACTGTTGACACTTTTGTCGTCTGTTACGTGCTGTTTTTCGTCGACAAGGCTTATTTATCTAACACATGCCTGGTAGGGATACTGGTTGATGACCTTTTCGTCAAGCCTGCTTTATGACTAGTGCAGCAATCCAAGGCAGTAAATATATAGACCTAGTCCTGCCGACACTATTGAAACTAATCCTAACCGTATTTATGTACCTTTGATCAGTAATAGACCCGCAAGGCTTCGAAAATAACAACAAAACAAGTGTCATTAGAGCAACTCAATGGAATTACAATTCAATAATAGCAAATCTGCATGAAAGCAAGGTATATATTCAGATTAGTAGTGATTACATACATACATACATATATATATATATATATAACCTTTTAGGAAACATTTCGAAGATGGAAATGTCAGCTTATAGCAACAGTATAGATTAGTCGTAAGTTAAATGAGTCAATGTGGGAAATGATGGATGCCAGACAGGGTCATGGGACGGCCCTATCTCATCCAGACTCACTCCCGTCAGATCTCTTCTCATCCCGAGGTTGCTCAACTGTCTTTTTTCCAATCAATTTCCTAAACACTAGAAGTGTCTGCTCAATACCACCGTCTATGAGAGGATAAAATGTGACCATGAGCAAGGTCAGCCAGAGCCAAATAATGGCCACGATAATCCATGCCACGAAAAACTGCGCAAATCAGCACACTAAACCATAAAATTGAAAGGGAAAAAAAGGGAAAAGAAAGAAGAAAGAAGAAAATACGTACCCCCTTCCCGAAGATATACCGACTACCATACATCGGCAACGGCCAAATTACCCAATGCCCCAAAAACGTAGCCACAGACCAAAACCCGGCAATTCTCGCCCAGCGTTTGAGCTCCTTTGCATCTGCTAATATTTCCGTAGTATCGTTATGACGTGGGCCTGCTTGATGAGCCGTTGTCAAGTCCGAATCGAGCTTCTCCAGCGCAAGATGCTCCTTCTTAAACTCCGCCCAGTCGTATCGCTGCGGGCCGGTCAGGAGCGTGATGATGAGCGAGTACAGAATTGGCGAGAAAGCGGAGGCTACGGTTCCATATACGCATGGTAGCACTTGGCCAGTTGAGGAGACTGTTACGGCGCCGTAGAAATGGTGCGCAGTGCTCAGCCAGACGGCCAAACCAGTTGCGAGGCCAAGTACGGGTGCGAGGATGGCCGCGAGACGGGTTTGTCGGCGCCAGAGCACGGTGAATGCCATAGGGAAGATGCCGGGGCATGTAACGACTCCTAAATTTTATTAGACTTGGTTGGAATTAAGGAGCAAGGTGAAGTACCAAGCATATACAAGGTCCACTGCAAATCAGCACCGACATAGTACAGCATGGTACTGAAAGCAGCCGAAAACAAAGCAAAGAAAACGACACCGAAATGGCTCCATCGGATAATCTGTCGATCAGATGCGGATTTGTTGAAGTATTCGCGGTAAATGTCGAAACTGATGATCGAGCTTACTGCAATCACCTGTGCGGATAGCGTCGATGTCACTGCCATGAAGGTGATTAGCACCACTGCGGCAGCGCCACCACTGCCAGCGATGGTGAGAGCTGAGTAGGGCAAGACGAGACCGGAGCTGACTTCTGACGCCGACATGCGCTGTGCAATTTGAGTGATCAGTAGGGAGCTTTTGACAATGGGAAGGAAGGGAACAGTTACTCTTGGATATGTTGGAAATACGGGAGTATTCTCCAGACCAACTGCAACAGAGCTCATCACCGTGCCAAGCGCCCAGGGAATGGCAAAGTAGGCGATGCCGCCGATTGTGTATCCTGGGACAACGGCTGCAGGAGACGCTGAAAAGGCTTTGATGAAGTAGCTTGTGTCCATCTGGCTTGGTAAGTAGGAATACACATGTTGCCGTTGAATGAACATACAATAACTAGACCGAAGTTGCCGCATATATGGATAATCCCGAATAAGATCGCCTACTCAGTGAGTTTACATTCCAACTAGCTCTCTCAAAAAAAGCAGAGCTTACATCTTTTGATGTCATGGTCAAGTACGTCCCATGCTCATTGCCCGAAACCGGGTTTCGCAAACCAGCCGCTTGCACGAGATCGTACAAGTTTCCTACGGAGCCGATTTCGCTGTATGTGAATGCTTTGATTGAGAAGTAGCATGCCACGAGGACGATGACCACGGTGTGGAAGTAGTCGGTCAGAAAGCTAATTTGTTAGGATGACAACACGCTAATGTCATGTGAAATGCTTACGTTGCTTTGATGCCCCCGACGAACGTGTACAAAGACACCCCGAGTGGAAGGAGGAAAGTTGCTGCGATGACATGCATACCAGTCCTGCATAGTCAGCCACATATATCACTATACTGATAGTAGAAATGAACCTACATGGCTGAGATCACCGCGGAAGCACCCAGGAGCATATTCGCGCACGCAAAAATATTGTTGATTAAACACAACACCATGAACACCACATGCGCAACGCGTCCATACCGCACGCGCACCACTTCCAGAGATGTGTGTGCCTCAGGAATTTTGCGCTTGCATGATACGCCCAGTAATGCGAAGAACACGATCATCGGGCTGCAACCCGCGGCGAACCAGAAAGGGCCGGCGACGCCGTAGTTATATCCGACGAGACTGGAGCCGAGGAGGGCGGTGGACCAGAGCCAGGACTGGAAGAGTCAGTATTTGTATGAGATTGTAGGATTGGGTAACTTACAGATACAACCGCGGATGCAGTGAGACCGGTGCGAACGGTACGGTTTGCGGTCATGAACCTGATGAAACATGGTTAGTGTGCATCAATTGGTGGTATAGAAACATACATTTCTGTCTTTTTATTATCCTCGCCAATGGTCTTGCTCAACAGACGTGTGATGAGCATCATGACTATGAATCGGTCAGCTAGCTACATAACTAGTTAGGGTTTGTGCCTACCCGTCGCGATCACCAGTCCAACAACTACGACAATAACATATCCAACTGCCTGCGACAGCGGTGGCTGCACTGCGACGCCAGTGCTGTCTGCTCTACTGTCCAGATGCATGGCGGTGAATTGAGTTTGGTAGTTGGTATGTCTGGATTGACATTCGGCGCGTCCAGGGTACTAGTATTATATGCTACATCAAAGCGCCAGCAGCTCGCAAGCTAAATCCACAGGCCAGCCCTAGCGACCCGGGTCAATGGACTCGGTACGTAATTCATGTATTTGAAATGTGCCCGTATTGCGTGCTTTGCATAGTGGATTGTCAATGGCATTGATTTTTACGGTGGTGTGTGGCCATGTTAGCTTCTTCTGCAGGATGATTAACGTTGACCCATTTTAGCACGGGCGATCTGTACCGAACTAGAAATTAGACTTCAGTAGATATTAATGTTCAGGCATTTAAAGGTTGAAACTTATAATGCTGCCATAATGGACCGCGATCGCGCAAGATAGGGACTGTACATAGGAATTACCGCATTGGGTTCTATTAGCCCTAAATGCCAGACGACCAGAACCTGATACCCAGTTTTATTTAGCGTCCCAGCCAATTGTAGGCATCAATTACATGATCTCATTAGAATATTTTTAATTTTCCTCCATGGTAGCACACGTAGCTCTGATTATCCGTGTTGTAAACCTGGCGATCGACAAGCCCGAAATCAACCTAAAATCTAGATGGGCCACCATCGCGCAATCCCGGCCCATGCTGAGGTTATCACGCAACATGTGCAAGCAGGGTCTAGGCGGGGTAAATAGGCGTTCGTCATTGATATTTATCGACAAGTATAAACACCGGTATTATTATTTAAATATCTACCCATAGCATCGATTGTAGGCTAGTTGCTAGCAATTGGAAGACCACAGCAAAAATGGCACAGTCCGAAACCCCGGCTCGCAAGAGCCTCATTCTCAATGCCTTTGTCGAAATGTGTAAGCTCTACAAAATATAAAGTATTTCAACGTTCAATGACGACTAATAAAATAACAAGGCAGCGGCCACCAGTCGCCAGGTCTATGGCGCCATCTTCGCGACGAGTCCTGGAGATTCAACGATGTGCATCACTGGATCGATTTGGCGAAGCTGCTCGAGGAAGCGAAATTCCACGGCATTTTTATTGCTGACGTTCTAGGTATTTCCCTTTCTCAAGTATAAGAATTCAATTTAAGAATCGAGTATAGGTGGATATGATGTCTACAAAGGCCCGCGCAATCTCGATCCGGCAATCATTTCTGGCGCGCAATGGCCGGTGAATGAGCCGTTGGCTGTCGTCCCAGCCATGGCTGCTGCGACCAAGAGTATCGGCTTTGGTGTAACTGTTGCCACGACATACGAACAGCCCTATCATCTGGCCCGGCGCTTGTCCACTGTCGACCACCTTTCAAATGGACGGTGAGTGTATGATACGATTAGAGGCTAGATATCGTTGCTGACAGATTAGAGTCGGATGGAACGTTAGTGATCTCAGGTCAATGTAATGTTTATATTCACTAAAAAATACAGATTGTCACCGGCTATCTCGACTCCGCAGCTCGCAACCTCGGACGCACCGAACAACCCCAACACGACGACCGTTATGCCATTGCCGAGGAATACGTCAAAGTCACCTACAAGCTTTGGGAATCGTCCTGGCGCGATGATGCCGTTGTACGTGACCGGGAGCGCGGCGTCTACACCGAACCGTCTCGCGTTCGTCTCATCAACCATGAAGGGAAATACTACACCGTCCCTGGTCCACACATCTGCCAACCCTCGCCGCAACGCACACCCCTAATCCTGCAAGCTGGAACCTCCAAAGCCGGAAAAACCTTCGCGGCACAACACGCTGAAGCCATCTTCGTCGCCGGCCACAGCCCATCAGTCGTCAGCAAAAACATCACCGAGATTCGCGAGCTTGCAAAGGCGGAATTCGGGCGTGACCCACAGAGTTTGAAGTTTCTTGCTCTCTTCTGCCCAGTTCTCGGCCGCACAGAAGAGGAAGCGCAAGAGAAATTTGCAGAATATCGTAATTTGGGATCGCTAGAAGGCGCATTGGCGCTGTTTGGCGGGTGGACGGGTATTGATTTGAATCAGTATGATGATGATCAGGAACTGAGGCATGTTGAGAGCAATGCGATCAGATCTGCCGTTGAGGGTTGGTCAAAAGCGTCGCCGGGAGTGGCCAAATGGACGAAGCTGACAGTCGCGCAACATATCACTGTTGGAGGCCTGGGGACGACCTCGGTGGGAACGCCGGAGCAGGTTGCTGATGAATTGGAGAGATGGGTGAGAGAGGCCGACGTTGACGGGTTTAATTTTGTGCGTCATTATAACCGGAAAATGTTGCATGTACCTTGGTGGCTGACTATAAATAGGCATACGCGCTTAAACCTGGCTCATTTGTCGATATCATCGAATTGTTGCTGCCAGAACTGCGCAAGCGAGGACTGTTCTGGAATGATTATGCAGTTCAAGGAGGCACGTACCGCGAGAATTTCTTCGGCAAGCAAGGACAATCTGGTCCGCGAGATGACCATCCAGCGGCCAAGTATCGGTGGAAGGCTGGTGTTGACGCTGCGGATCATAAGATTCCCGAGAGCTAAGCTTGAAATGAATACATTCATGGAAGGGAAAGACACGGAGAACATCAAAATTCGATCAGTGTATAATGTTGATTGTAGACTGTCATACATGTACCAGCTCACTGGAATAAATAAACAAAAAATAACCCAATATGAAACATTGAACCATAGTAATCTTTTGAACGCCACACCATGCAGCAGTAGAACATCTACGTCAACATATCATCAAGCTTCTCACCAAGTATATCTTCAATACTCCTCACCCATTTGATCGCCTCTTTCTCCACCTGCTCATCCTCATCCTCCATCAATTCACTAATAAACGGTAACATTTCCGGCAGCAAAGCGAGCCATTCCTCACCCAGCCGCTCTGTCAGAGCCTGTTCGGCTTTCAGCGCTGCGAGTCGCGTGTGTGCGCTATCGCCACCTTCTGCTGCTGCGGATGTGGCGGGACGGAGGTACTTCATGATCTGCGTATTCATCTCCTTGTAATTATCGGGAGAATCCGCAGCCACGGCTAATTCAGCAATGGCAGGGACAGCCTCGTTAATAATGATGGTGGCGGTAGATGAATTCGTGGCGCGCAGAAGTTGAGAGATGAGGGCTTTAGAAACGCCGCTGAGGTGTGATGGAGATTGCCAGAAGCCTGTCCAATACGTTAGTGTTGTTTTATTACATGATTAAGGGTTGGGATATTACCGTCTTGGTCATGCTCAAATGCCGAATTGAGCATTCGCACAGCTGCTAACCACAGGTCTTTCGACTCCTTCGCGCCCGGTTTGGCAGTCTTAAGCACTTCGATCGCATTGTCGAGAATGTAGCTAGAGTAGCTGGTGACAATAGACTTGAGCGTGCCGAAGAAAGTTTGAAGGAATTTATAAAACGAAGTCAACCGTAGCACCTGGCCTTCCGCGTCACTCTTTGGTAGCCCGTTTGTGGCCCATTCAACAAGATCAATGAACAAAGGCCGGAAGACAGTGTCGTTCAATTTGTAGATCATCTTGATCGCGACGTTGTTCACAATACCCTCAACTGCCTCGAGTTCCGTTTCTTCGAATTGCGAGTCTTCCGGTGTTGAAGTTTGCTCTCTACGAAGATCGAAAGCCTTGTGAAGTAATTTAGTAAGTGTACCGACGTTCTTAACAGTATCCGATTTAGGATGTTTGTCAATCGCGACAGTCACAATATCAAGGGCTTCCTTGGTAGCCATAGATCCTGAAGCAGTTGCTACCGACCAGTTCCTCTCAACAGCACCAAAGGATTCCTTCTCATCAACTTTCTTGGCTATCAGCTTCAACGTGTCACGTCGAGCGTCATCGCCTTCGCTGGAAAGCTCCAGCTTGGCAGATTTGAATGACAGCTGCAGGATCGTATCGAGGTTTTTGCTTGAAAACATATATGGAACTTGAACAAGCAAAGCAGAAAGCAAAGAGAAAACAGCATTGTGAAGTGGCTCGTTGACGGTTTCACTGTCCATGCTGGCTTCCAGAAGACTGAATGATCTCTTGAGTGTTTCAGGGAGAGTTGGGATAACGGCTTCACCTAAAACATCCGCCATTGACGCCAGACATAACAGGCCCATGACACGAATCCTGTTATCTGTTTGGCCAAGACAGGCATCACTGGCAATCACCATGGCTGCTGGTATAACCTTTTCGGTATCCTTTCGCCCGTATTTCTCGGCAATCCTGTCAATGCACGCCACGGCAGCATGCTTGAGGAGAATATCATCGGATGACTTGACAATATCAACAAGGAAGGCGATAAAGTCCAGTACTCTGTTCTGTGACGAACCATCCCGCTCGGCAGGTTGACGAAGACGGTTTTCCAAAAGACGAAGCACCTTGCGGCGGACATCCGCGCTAGGTCGTTGAAGAAGCTGTTCGACAGTATCGAGAAAGTCTACAAGAGACAATACGTTGAGAACAGAGGCAAGTACTTCGCTACATGCAATGCTGACAGGCTTGGTGTCGTGGACTAGGTCCGCGAGAGAGAGAACCTGCTCCAGAATTTGCGAGAAAATATTACCAATAACAGCAATCTTTTCCTCATCGTCAGAGTCGAAAATAGCCTTCATCTGTGACCCTAGAGTAGGGTTCTTGAACAAGTGTGCCAGTGAGCGAAGCAAAGTTTCAGTGACCGTGTACTTGTCACCTGCGCCTTCGTTTCCGATGCCCAGGAGGGCCTGGGAGATGGCCGGTTTGGGTTTAAGGCAATCATTAACGAGACTCAGGTATTTTTGATAACTAATGAGTTGCACCTGGGGATCGAGGCCAGTTACAAGGCTTGTCGCCAAGCTCGAGACGTTCTTGTCCAGGCCATAACGATTGGCAAGCATAGCAAGAACAGCAAATAAGAAATCTTGAGCACCAAGCTTCGTGACAAGGGCCTGGAATAGTCGTTGTCTGCGATGAGACGGGATATGTTCGAAAGCAGCGGTAAAGCTGAGCAACAGGTCGGACGTTCCGGCAACGACGTCGCGTTTTTGATTGCGCAGCGACTGGACGAGGACCGGAACAACCTGGTCGATTGTCTGGTCAATTACCATCACTGAGTAATCGTCATCTTTCTTGAGAACGCTAGAACCCATGAAAGTGAAGATGGGCATCACACTGTGGAGTACTTGCTCAGGGGCGATGACAGCAAGACCAGACACAAGTAGCAAGGCAGTGTTTTGTACTTGAGGGCTCTCTGTGGTGCGAACGCAGTCCACGACAAGGTCAGCACGGATAGTAGAGGTATCGAAGGAGGCTTTAGATGATGTTTTAGATTTGTTGACAATTGCCAACAAACTGCCAAGAGCCAAACTGAGAAGATATCCCAAGCTTGACTGAATCCGAGATTTGAGAACATGAAGCGCCGCTAATGCTTTGAATAAACCGGTGGAAAGTTCGGGATCGTCTTCAGGCACAGATCCATCAACAAGCTCTAGAATGTACGTCACTTGTTCGATTGTTCCATTCAATTCGGTTGAGCTCAGAGCAGCCACGGCATTGTTTTGATTGGTACGTCGTCTTTTTGGAGAAGGACTATGGCTTTCCAAGGTAGCGATAAGTTCTGGGATTTTATTGAGGAACTCGACAAGAATAGCTCCGGGAAGCTGTACACTTCTAAGCGCCTCTCTGGCGTCGCTCTTTACTGCATCATTCCCGTTAAATGACAAATCGAATAATCGTCGCGACGTCGAAGCTTGTCTCTCCGGACCAATTTTGCTCCATATCTGTCCGATGCGTGTGAAAACGGCCGAGACGAAATCCGGTCTAATATTACTTGAAGATTTCTCAATGCTTGAGATCAGCACATTCTCTGCATCCTTATCCTTGGGGCTGACAGTGGCAACGATCTCCTGGTCGAGTTCTGCAGATGATAACTGCTCTTTGGCACAAATTTCTGAAACTTCTGCTTGATACAGAGCACGCCACTGGGTAATCAATGGAGCAAGTTCCTTGGTTCGTGTCATCGAGCTGATCTTATCCACACCATTCACAACCTTCAAAAGTCGAAGTTTTACCGCAAAAAGTGGCGTGGAAACTACATGTGAGCAGAGGAATGACAGAAAGCTTTGTCGGAGCGATTTCTTCAGCTCAATGCCAGACTCCTCAGTTGAATCAGAGCTAGAGCCTTTCAGCGCGCGTTGGACAATTGAAACGATGTAGGTGTGATCCTGAACATATCCTTCCAAGCCGCTGAGTAATACTGCATCAACGATCTTTTCTGCGTCGCGGGTCGACATCCAGTTTTGAGTCTTCTTTTCGTATAGTGAATCATGGGCCCAAATTGTGACATTATCTTCATTCTTGGCCTTTTGTTGTAGTGTAGCAAGTGTACCCACAAGTTTAGCAGCTTCAGTTCGGACGGCTTTTGCTGGATCTGCTAGTGCAGCAATGATATAAGGTATCAAAGCCTGCATATCAAACCCTGATTTAAAAGCTTCTATAGACGTCGAAATATCTTTCAAAGCAGTAACCCGGACTTGTACTGCGTGGTGGCCGGAGAAAACCCTGATGAGAAACGATAGATATTGGGGACTTTCAGCTAATTGGGATTTGCCAAGAATCGGAAGGCTGCTGATTCTATTCCATTTCTCAGGTGATTCTACTGCGATGGTGAGCGCTTGTAGCAGTTTTTCGAATAGAGGGGGGTTTTTCTGTGCTAGGAATGAGGAAGACAACAGAGACTCCTGGGACAGCGACTCGAGTAATGGTGCAAATGTGTCAACCTCTTCCTGCTCATCGATGTCCTCCATTTCAACGTCTTCAGTGGGCTGGTTCGCGGGATGCGCTTCAATGGCAAGTTGTAAGCTGTGCTCCAAACTATCTACATCCATCCCCGAATCCGCAGTGACAGCTTGCAGCAGCGGTCGGTACGTGTCCGATATATTCAAAGTCTGAACAAATTCGGAAACCCCATTTTGGAGTTCCAGAGACAATTCGCCAGATTTCTGCAAATCAACCGTCCTCTGCAGAATCAACTTCAGGGCATCCTTGCTTCCCGCTTCATCTAGCAGGCCACTCTCAAAAAGAGAGGTAATAAAATCCATTCCTGCCTCAGGTCCACGCTTTTGCATACGTGCAAAGCAGCCTGATATCAGCCCCAAAAGAAGTTTCGAGGTTTTGTATTGTGTAGCAACATCGGTCAACAGGTCGACGTTTTCATCGAGCCGTAAGAAAGAACGAATCACATCCTTAGGAAGAGAGTAGTCTTCTTTCTGCTCTGCCAGAACTGCAAGGGTGACCATTGCTGAATTCACAGTTTCCGGAGTCCAGGAGCCAGAGACTGCGCTCATTAAAGTATCGATGACATTTTCCTTGAGAGCGGCTTTCGTTGCAAACACAACTGTAATCATGTAGCAGCCAATTATCAATTCTGAGATTTTATTCATGGCAAAGCCGTCGTTGAGAACAGGTAGAAATCGCAAGAAAATATCCTCATGGTTTTTCCTCTCGACATCTTGACGGCCAGAGCGAGCAGCATCCAGCATGTGCGAAATGGCCTGTGTCATAATTCCTGACCAGAAAACCAGAAGGCCATGGTAGTGAGCCTTTTGTTTCGATACTTGAAGTGTATAGTTGTTGAAAGCGGCTGTAAACGCCTTATTCTTAACTGCGGTGCGAACGATAGCCTCTCGGGGAGGATTTATGCGACTCTCTTTGTACGGATGAAAATCGTTGAGCGCTGGTGTAAAGTCTTGTGGTAAAATATGCAATAGATTCAGGAAAATAGGCAACGAATGATATGGAAGAAATGTGAGGACGAAAAATGCCGTATTGAATTCGTGAACACTGTGATTTACATCTGTCAAAATTTGTTCTCAGCGGCTCGTGCTATGTTCTTACCGAAACCGTCTCACCAGCCACTCTAATGCTCTTATCGCCGGTGACAGTTGTAATCTTCCACCAACCAAAGCCATGAATGATTCCAAAACACTATCGAGCTCTTTATTTTGTGCTGGGGTCATCTCCGCCCGATCCTGGGTCTTGCTGTGTGGACTGAAGATATTTCGGTCGAATTCTGTGAATCGTGTGTCCAGCTGGCACAGCTCCCGAAATCCATCGTAGCATATTTCGTATATGGCGTGAAAGTCTTGCGATTTCGCGGTTTTGTAGTCGAAAATCAAGGATTTCGAGTGTGCAACTTGTTGCGCCTTAAGGTCGAGCTGATTTGTCGACTTGGTCGCAATCTGCGCCAGCTGCGCAGAGAGGGAAGAAGCCATCGTGACGGAGTGAGACGAAATCTTTCTCACCGACGACTATCCATCCCACCTTTACGACCTGCGATTGAAGAGAGCGTGGGACAGAATTGAAGCGCGGCGTGGTGGAAGATAAGTTTTGAGAAAGGCGATAAAGAATAAATTATTGTTGCTGCGGTAAAAAATTATTGTCCCGGCAAGGAAGTTTTTCCCGGACCTGTGGAGCATGCAGGTGGAGTAGCAGCAGGTATAGCCGACAGCGTCATAGCGAGAGAGCGCTGACAGCAAGAAACACCACAGTGCAACAGAGCATGGATCTCACGAGCTCCAAGGTTAGTATTTCCTCCCTACCGGTAGATTCTGTGCTGATCGCGTCTATGCAGGGAGCGCAGCCGATCCCCAAATTCGGTAGCTTCAGGCCGAAACCAGCTCCGGTAGCTGAAGCCCGTCGCGAGGAGGAAAAACCCCGACACAGAGATGAAAGCTCGCGGCATCGGCCCCGGCATCACACCCATCGCCATCGCTCGCGTTCTCGTGAACGGTCCTCACGTCATCGCTCCAAGAGGGATAAGGAGTCCAAAGATGAGCCAAAGGAACTTCCACAGGAGACCGCGAAGCCTACCGAGGCGGCGTCGGATTTATACGTGATTGATCGGAAGGGGGACATCCATAACTTGACGTATGGTACTCTGCATCGCTACAATATACCTCGCTATCGTCGCGCTGGCCAGGGCGGAATAATTGGCTTACCGCGGAGATTCAAGATTGATCGCAATTACCATGATGAAGGCTCAGTGCTTATTCATGCTGACATTTGGCACGGCGATGAAACACGCCACAGGAACAAAAGTTTACTGTCTGGATCAATTACAAAGGAGCGACGATTGTTCCGTATGCGTCAAGATGGTACAGCTGATATCAACGCGGATAAGGACTATGTACCGCTCAGCTCTGGCGGGAGTCGAAAGCGCCGACGGAAACTAGGCGATTATGCCCTCGAAGACGTATCGGATTCGGATTCTGAGAAATATGGATATCGGTCAATACATGGGAAAGCTAAAGCCGAGCAGGACGTTCCAAGTGACATGGGGTCAACTTCAGCCTCAGACAGCGATGGAGAAGGGACTGCTTTTAAATGGGAAAGAGAAATCAGACAACAAAATTCCCAGCTGTTGAAAAATGCAGAAGATAACCCCACCAATGTGGATACCTGGGTGGAAGTCATTGAATATCAAAGCACACTTCTCGCTGGGGCTGACGGCCGTCGACAACTGACGGCCGCTGAGAAGCGAAGTCTAGCGGACATCAAATTATCTCTATATGATAAAGCTCTCAAAAAACTAGGCAACCGACCAGGGAAAGATCTCCTACTTCTGGGGTATCTGGAGGAGGGTGCGAATTTGTGGGAATCGAAAAAGCTTACGGAACAGTGGAATGCTATCCTAAAAAACAACCCTGGATTTATCAGTCTTTGGGTTCGTTACTTGGACTTTCGACAAAGCGAATTTTTAGAATTCACATATGAGCGGTGCAAAAACATTTACCTGGAGTGCATGAAGCTCAATGCATCAATCTCGGACAATGTAGAAAAGAATACGATCTTGACTTATCTCTTTCTCCGAATGACTCTTTTCATGCGAGAGGCTGGTTTCTCGGAATTTGCAGTCGGTTTATGGCAAGCTGTTTTGGAATTTACAGTGTTCCGTCCTGGTGAGCCTAATGAAAGTTTGAGGAGTGAGATTCTTGCTACATTCTCGTCCTTCTGGGATTCAGAAGTCGCGCGAATTGGAGAACCCGGAGCCAAGGGATGGAAAAGTGGCAGCAGCTCGGAATTAGAGATATCAAGTTCTACTTCGCAAACTGAACTTCGAACGAAGTCGCTATTTTCTTCGTGGAATAAAGCAGAAAAGCGATTAACTCACAGCGCTCGTCTTCCTGCGAGATCTGTGGATGAAGTCGAGAATGAAGATCCCTATCGTGTCGTTTTATGGTCAGATATCGAAGAATTCCTACCTTTTTTCATCGACTGGGATAATCCGAGTCATCTGATCGAGAGCTTCATAGCTTTTTGTCACTTGCCCCCATTAAACTCTCCGAGATGTTATGAAAAGGCAGGATCTTCTGGTGGCGATGCCTTTCTTCGTAACGAAATAATGTATTTTTCCAACAACTCAGTCATGGGCATTTTACACCCCGTGTCTGATGATCCAGAAACGAACAGTTCATCCAAGCTGTTCAAGTTGGCCATTCTCCAAAATATGGTACACACTACCGACTCTCTCTTCGGCTACAAGAACTGGTTCCCATCATTGTCTGCCTGGAAAATGGCCACTGCGAGCGCAGAGTCGATTATTGATGCAGACTGGATCCGTCGATCCCTGAGACTTCTAGTCGAATCTTCACCCCATGATGACATATTAGCAGAGTATACACTAGCTATCGAATTTGCCGTCAACGAGAAAGACGCGAAGAAATACGCAAAATCACTTCTCAAGAAACGACCGTCAAGTCTTCGGCTCTACAACGCGTTTGGAATAATTGAATCTTGCTCTGGAAACTCATCAACTGCAACACATGTATGGGCAACAACTCTCTCGATGGCAACAGACTTACAGGAGATACAAAAACTCGAATACGGCCCTCTAATCCACAGCTGGGTATGGGAGTACTTGTCATCTAATACGCCTGCAAAAGCAATTGAGCTGCTCCTGTCAGTGCCTACATTCACTGTTGATCTGAAAGCCTTGGGGGAGGCCTCTTCGCAAAGAAACATAACTCCTGCTGAACATTTAAAAGCCTTGCGGTTCCTTGACGAATGCTCAGATCACGCGCTTTCAGTTCAGAATTTTTATGCATTCACAGCATGGACGGATCTTGCTGCTCTCCTACGCTACCTAACAAAGTCCTCCCATCTTCCATCCGCCATAGAGTTATACACCAGCGCCTTTGCCCGACTCAACGTTTACTCCCATATCCCTGAAGCCCATAAATTATACGCATCAGAACTACTGCATCAAAATCGCTCACGCCTATTGTACCATCACATCACCACCCGGCAGACACACAAGCCGACCGATATCAGAGAATTACTACTCGAAAGTGTAAAACTTTTCCCTGGAAACACCATCTTTCTCTCACTATTTACCTGGAACGAATCCCGTTTCCGAATCGACGAGCGAATCCGCGACGTCCTACCCATGTCATCAACTTCTTCCACACGCAGACACGGAGATGCGGGCAGAATACCCATCACATCATCCCTCCTTTCAATCTTCACTGAACTCTCTCGACCGGTCTATTCAGGCTCGACAGTACACTCTGCCCGCGCCGCGTTTGAGCGCGCCGTGTCATCACCCTCCTCCGACGCAAATACCACAAAATCCACATTATCATCCTCCCTTACCCTCTGGAGGCTCTACATCACCTTCGAACTTCACCGTGCCCAAAGCCCGGCCGCCGCAAAGCGGGTTTTCTACAGAGCGCTACGCGCTTGTCCGTGGTCAAAGGGCATACTAATGCTCGCATTCGACGAAACTTTATGGGGTGAAAGCGGGGAACTCGATGATTGGTGGGAACTTAGGAGACTGTACAATGTGCTTGTTGATAAAGAATTGAGGATTCATGCTGAGATCGATGAAGGGTTGTTTGATGAAGCAGAGGAGGTTGTTATTGAGAGAGCCGCGAGAAGGCGTCAGGTGGAGATCCACAAGGAAAAGGGCAAGACGGGACGAAGAGGCAAGAATAAGGGGTTGGTGATAGATTTGCCAGATGATAAGAGTAGTGATGATGAGATGAAGCTGGGGTAGGAATAGAAAACTCCTCTAGTGATTGGGGTTCTACTCATCAGACTGGAAATAGGAGGGACCTGCTGTTTATGCACGGTACAGAATCTTACCCCGATGTTACATATGGCCTAAATATGAATAAAACAGAGTGAATCGCTTGTTTGTTCACTCATCATTGCATGGATATAAAAATCATTTACTATATACAAAGCGCCAATGGGTACTTCCCTTGCAGAACCCATGTAATCCGATCCTATATATTTTCAAATAAAGTCCCATTCCGGAGCCTGAATTACAAACAGAAATGAAAAGAGCATGGAAGCAGAAGATTAGAAGTGTTCCTTCCAGAACTTAAATATAACATCTCTCGTCGACGACTCTTGAGCTGCCTCGCGAATTTCTCGTGCTGCCGAATTGGGTCCACAAAAGTATATACCGACTTCGGATCTCTCCAGACCGGCAAGATAGGTTTGATCGAGTAGGCCATCACGTATGGCGCCAAAAAGCCTTTTGAAGTCTGGGCGTCCGAAGTTGGTGCGTGACTTGAGTTCGGTGAGAGGGTCAAGCTCTGTGCCCACAGAGTTGAGGTAGATATTTGCGGTTGTATCCTGATCAAGGTTTTGGGTGAGATAGGTATGAATGCGTAGGAATTCAGGCCCGCCCTGGGTGCTCGCAGACATGGCGGACTGCTGCTCGAGAGAGGAAAGGAGGGCTTGGAACCATTCGAAGGAGTTTGTGTCCTTGCATATCCAAATAAACTCTACACGGCGCAGACGGCGGGGAGGATTGGGTCCGCCGCAGAGATGCCAGATATTTTTGAGGATCGATGCCCATGGGGTGACACCTATTCCTGTGCCAATGAGCACGGCGACTTCGTTGTCGAAGACATCCTCGGCGGGGGCTCCGTAAGGTCCATCGACACGTAAGGTAGGCATTTGTTGTCCGTTTTGCATCGCGATTTCGTACATACCCAAGGGGTCGAGGCCTTCCAGGTCTTTGGCTTGGGCGGGACCGCAACCGAGGGCGTCACCGAGGGCACGAGTGAAGTCACCAACCTGGCGGACATGGATGCTGATATAAGGATCGAAGGGGCAAGAGGTGATTGTGAAAGGGTGCCATTGGGTGTTTGAGACCTCAGGTACTTGGATGAAAATCCACTGGCCTGCTTTGTATTTCATGCTGGGTTTGCAGAATTGGATTTCCATTGCATCATAAGGGTGACGGATGACTTTGTAGATTTCAGTGTCACGACGGGCGCGAATCTCTCGGTACAGACGCTCCAGCATATAGATTACTCCTCCCCATAGCTCCCACCTCCATCCTTCGTATCCCAGGCAGTGGTTCCAGAAGTTGGAACCGGCAAATGGTGAGTATGGGTCGGTTGTATCGCGGACAAAACAGCCAGTCGCGTGGGTGTAAAGGGCCAGCATGAATGGAACAAACAGGTGATGCACATACCAGAACGTCTCGTACGACTGTTGTCGAATCCTTCGGTGGGAGGTAGTGTACATGAGCAGCATGCACAACAGCATCACGTGTCCTGTGATACCACCGGCCTGGGTATAGTGAATTTGAATAGCAGTCTCTGGGCGAAGTTGATCCTTCTCGACATTGTAGAAATTAACATAGTGGGCTGCGGTATGAATGATGCTGAAAATCAGCAAGGAATAAGACACTTGACGGTGAAACCACTGCGTTTCATCTAATGGGAACCATCGAATTTTGGGCCGCACGTATCTGAGTAGAGTTCGACACATGGGGAAAATAATCAAAGCGCCATCCACGCTGAGACAGAGACCGGCGCCTCGTGAAATCCATACCGAATACCTCAACTTGTTGAGAGCGTCTAGGTTGTGGTTACTTGATTGCAAATACCTAGCATCCAGTCAGTACCAAAGCTTAAGAAGTTTTGTTCCACTCAATGTAGGCTCACCATCCGAGAGCAAAAAGTCCAATGTGTCCACCCCAGAAGAAGAAATAGAAGAGCAGCTTGCTCTTTGTGAACTGTGCCCTCCAATTCATCTTGACTTGCTGTATGTACAGGTAACCGACCAGCGATTGGGGTGTATATAGTACTTTGGACGTGGGTTGTCCGGCAATCCCAGAGGTGAGTAATCCAATGCGGAAACCCCGTCAGGCCTCGCTGTACGTGGCTGACGAAGTTTTGCTGCACTTAACTCTTGGGTCCAATGTAAATCAACAGTAACGAGACACGGTGGGATCCATGTTGTGAGATCATCAAGCGTTGAGGTAGAGTCGGGACTGCAGAAAAGAGTCAAGATATGCAAGCGTTATACGCATTCAATAGCGAATTCGTCTTAATGGCACAATTTTCAATGGCATTGACTCAAGCCCGGCAGTCCAAGGTGAGCCACAATCGAAACGATGAGGAGCAGGCAAAATGCGGGGGTATCAATGCGAGAGTGTTCGTACAGTGGTGTATCTACCGAGTTATCTAAGATGCAAAGTAAATTTCTAGGTCATGAATCGTCCGTTGTATGTTATCTGGGGGCAATAGACGGGATTTGCCAAGCGTGGTGGCCGGCTCGACTGTTCGTGGTGGTGGTGATTTGGCGATGTCGCAACGAGCGGTACGAAGCGACCAGTCTACCACCTGAAGTAGGCGTCTTTTAGGCTGGCGCCGTCCTTGGCAACATCAATTAAACCAGCGGTGCTAAAGTGCAGCCAATGACAACGCAGGGCAGCCAGAAAATGCAGGGCCTCGATCGCTGAGGAGTTCCCTGCCGTCTAATTATATCTTCGCAAGGTGACGCACGCTGGTCCAGTCGCTCGGTATCCGAGCCCCTCACGACGAGACAGGAGGACGTCTATTCTCCGCAGAATGACACTCTATGAGTTCCAAGTCAGCCACTACCTAGTTCTCTCATTCGTCTGCCCGGCGATGAATATCATGTGTCTAGGTTCAGAACTGACCGCCAGTCTGTCAATATAATAGTATCTGATGAACGCCCACCGGGCACTACTGTCGGCAGAATATACTCTGTACTGTATATCGTATATATCCACCACCAAGTTTTTCTCTTGTTACTTGTTGTGAAAGGGAAGGATAGAAGCTTCTCTGGCTAAGCGAGCTGCATAGTGTTTCTATTTCTGATCTGTTCTTGAGGAAAGAGCGAAGGGCACACTGAGAAGGAGCGACCAGCGAAAAAACAGGCAGCCAATCGCAGGCCACCGTGCCGCAGCCCGCCCAAAACAAAAAAGGGAAATAGGGCCGGCCGCTGCTGTGATTGGATGGGCTAAGCGGGCGCTCGGCACGGCCCAGTTTGATCACTTTCAATGTGGGCCAATCAGGAGCCGTCTGCAAGCGCTCTTCTTCGTCTCTTCTCTCTAGTCTCAACTCTCTCCTCTGCTACTATCACCACAGCATGATCGAGAGTGTGAAACGCCTCTGAATAATGTATCTTTAGCACAGTGGCACATTCGGCCATCCTCCTGCATGACTCGCACCGATCCCAGAGTACCAAGAAACTCCCTATCGTCAAAGCGTCGCCGTCCCCGTGGTCACTGAAGCTCTGCTTGGTTACGGTCTGACCAGATGTGATGAGAGTGATGAAGTGACGGTGTGCAATGGCCTCAGTTCTAGTCGAGATCGGAAGTTTCTCCGGTAAATGCGCACTGACATTGTGATGGACTACCTCCGAGTGTATATGGTGCCTTTCACCTGCGAGAAACGTGGGCTTTCGAGACATACATCTAATCTCCCCGTCTGCATCATATCATCAATGCTATATATAGATGCCAACTGCTAAGTATACTCGCACTCCAACTCCAGAAAGCCAAGACGACGCTACACACAGGCTTGTGCAGACAATTACCGTGCCAATATTGAGACAGCGATCATACTTTGTCCGCACGCTAGGATGAGTCTAAAGCAGCTTGCCGCACTTAAGCTGCTGCAAGTTCGCCCTCCCCGTCACACTTAGCTCGACGGCCGATCGCTGTAGTGACCGTGCGCACCCGATTAACGAGCCACCTCTGCACCGTCATTCGATGAGCTTCCTGCAGCTTAGCGCTGTCGTTTCTCTAGCTTTGCCGCCCTAGTAAGACCCCAGACCAGTTGTGAATTGTGACTCGGTGAGGGGTTTACTCACGTCGTACGACTCTGACTTTGGCGTGCATGCATCTCCTCCATGGGCATTATCACTGGCTGGCCGAACAAATTTAGCACAGTAAACCAGGATGTTAACTTCCGCTGCTCCAATCACCACGAAGTTGCGGCCAAACAAATCACACGCATCACTAAATCTTTACCTCCGGGCTCGGCTTGCTTGCACAAAATGGCTGGACTGGGTAGCTAGCCCATTGACGGCTTGGCTGCCAGCAGAGAGACAATCTTCTGCATCCATGCAACTTAACTTAATCCACATATCTCGTCCTCAGACTCGTCAAATTCTGCGTCATTCATTCGAGCAGCCATCGATCCAAGTTCAACTTGTGTGAATCTCGACGTCGACTTACCTTGCAATCCAGAGCTCACCAAGACGTACACTGTGTTCATGCTCTGAGGTCAATTTACCACCAAGTGGAAAGCACAACGGTGAAAAGCCGAGAGTCGGGTTGCGAGCATCCACCACTATATAAAACTCTTCGGTTGGGATATTATTCGCAATGGGTCGCTTGATCAAGAATCACTGGGCACGATTGATTATCCTTTCAGCCGCAGCATGTAAGCTCTAACCGTTATACGTGTTATTGGCTTTTCTAATATAGTGAATTACAGGGCAAGTCGGTGCCTCCATTGAAGGCTTCATCTGGCCAAAGGTATTCTGGGATTTCCTGACAAAAAACCTGGACGGGTCTGTCATGCCAGTGCCAGTCCTACAGATAATGAACCTTGTTCTCGGCCTCATCGCGCTTGCTTGGGAATGGCCTCTGAAACTACTAGCGGGCACAACTCCCCATCAAAGCATCGTGCTCCGTCTACTCGTTTACCCACTAAGTGCGCTTACATGCGCACTTATGTATCAGTCGGGTGATGTTGCGGTTTATTATTTGATAGGAATGGCGACTTATTTTTGGGCGTACAGTGAAGGAGAGGTGAGCCATGACATGATCAATTGATATTTCCGACCATTAACTAATCCGTCAATAGATTGTCTGCGCAGTACCTTGGACACTCCCGAGAAAGTCAAGAAGGCTAGAGAAAGTCTGAAAATTTGCAGCGTTTGGTTTATCTTGGTTTATCTTGGTTAGCGATATGATACCAGTTGCATTTCTTGCATAAGGGTTGGTGGCGTTCATTTAAAATCACGACGTTACGTATTGAATATATATTAATAGATGCATTTATAAAACTATTTATTTATTTATTTTGTGAAGTAATCGGTAACACAATAACTACTTAGGGTTGATATTCCTCTAAAACCGCTCTATGGTTCGCCGAGACCTGAACAAAGTTTGCCGAACATTACCACCCCCAGCCGAAGTAACCAGTGGCAACAGTTTTCAGAAATACCAAATGCGGTCCAGAAAAAAACAATAATCAAATCAATGGATTTGAACATCATCATTACTTTCTCTCAGACTAACATGCAGCTCAATACGACAAGTAACTAACCTTCCAGCACAAACAACTTACAAGTCTCTCAACATCGAGACAATAATAACGAACGAAACATGACTACCGATCAGACATTGAATCCGAACCTCAAACTCGCACCGACAACGCATGACGAATACAGCACTGACCAAAATGAAGCTATATATGACAATGATCACGACGTGGACCGCAAGAGGAGTTTCAATGGGCGACTCGGTCAGTTTTTACACCAACCGATGACGACGACGACGACGACTTCAACACAGCAGCACCCGATTCAATCCCCGCAACAAAGACGCATAATAACACGCTCAAAATCCTCCTCACTCTCCCCAAGCGCATCTCTCCCCTCCTCATCGCCATCTCCATCGCCATCCAAACGCAAACCGCTCAAACGCAAACGCTCACCCCACAAGACCGTCATCTCTTCTACACCCTTCTCACCACCCTCCCGTCTCCGAGACACAATCCCCGCGAATCTGATACTCCTCCTAATCGGCGTAAACCCCGGACTGATGACAGGCTCAACGGGGTACGCGTACGCACACCCGTCCAATCTATTTTGGAAACTACTCTACTCGTCGGGGATCACGACGGTGCGACACGCGCCCAGCGACACGTACAAGCTTCCCGCACTATATGCGGTCGGAAACACGAATATCGTGGAGCGACCAACGCGTGATGCGAGTATGTTAAGCAAAGCGGAGATGGATGCGGGGGTGGCTGTTCTCGAAGCTAAAATCGCAAGCCAAAAACCCGAGGCGGTAGCGTTGGTTGGGAAGAGTATTTGGGAGAGTATTTGGAGGGTTAGACATGGTAGGGCGATTCGGAAGGAGGAGTTTCGGTATGGATGGCAGGATGAGGGGGAGAATATGGGGGTTTGTATTGATGATAGTGGCGGCGCTGATGAGGAAGGCTGGAAGGGTGCGAGGGTGTTTGTGGCTACGACGACGAGTGGGTTGGCTGCGACTATGAGTTTACAGGAAAAGCAGCTGGTGTGGAATGAATTGGGGGAATGGGTGAAGCGGAGAAGAGAGGAGAGGGGGTTTGTTCCTGGCACAGTAGGTACAGCAGCTACATGATATACGTAGTGGTAGGACGGATAGAAATACTGTTTTAATCTGGTAGGGTTGTCTCATAAGAGGTATACTCATCGTCGCATTCTCGCTGAGCTGAATAGATTACATTTCTAGATATACAAAGGGTCGGAATCAACATTTCACCGATTTCATATTTCCCTAGTCCAAAAGCAGCCCGTGCTGGACCAGGAGACGAAATCGGTAACCTGGTAGAACTGTAGCCAGGTTCGTCTCCATTTCAAACGAATCGCGAGATCACACTTGGAAAGTGTTGACAAAGTTTCCACCATTCGATAGGTTGCGGCGACCGCTGCGCTCGGGGTTCTTTTAACAATCGTTAGTGGGAGGTTCCAAGGAGGTCAATGATATGAAACTCACGGTAGCTTCCTGAATTTCACCCTTCTCTAAGATCTGCTCCACAACCTCCTCGTCTCGGGATGTGCCAAACTCGTTCTCAAGCACGGCTTTGCTGGCTCCATCGAGGATTCCCTGAGCGCCTTGTCTGTCATTGTATTTGAATTAGTCTAGTTCTTTCTTGTGGAGAGAATGAGGTGATTAGCATACTTGTGTGTCACAAACACCTTCCAGCCAGAAACAACCTGTGCGAGAGGGATGGTACGGTCATTACGCCATTTCTTAGCGGTATCAACGTCGTCAACGAAAATGACAAAGTCGTCGACTTTGCCTTGGTAGAAGACTTTGGTGAACTGGTCGTTTCCACGAGGCATGATGGCTGATGCTTGATGTTTGATGCTTGATGGTCGGTGGTTGATGGATTGATTGTTCGATGGATAGGGCTATGGGCGAAAGGATGATAGAGTGAAGATGTCTTACTTTGGAAAGATACTGCAGAACAGACAGGTTGCGAGGGACAGACGAGCTTAAGTAGCGGTGCAAGCTTAACAGGCAATGATGTATGCGGGAGACTGATCGACGTCATAGGGCCCGCCCAACTGCGGATCTCCAGGGACCCGTTATTGTCACGCGGGCAATCAGAGCTGGCAAAATGGTGATAACAGCTAATCATCTACCTAGATGATAAAATACACGTCCTGAATAACGCTAACCAGCCTATGATCTAATTTGCAGCTGTCCTCTTCTTCTTCGTCGCCGCATTCCTATGCAGCGTCAAGCCTCCGCCGTTGCATTACGTCGTTCATTGTTCCCCAGACCCCACTATGTCGAAACCGCCAGAAGCACGCTGAAAGCTCTGATGCTACGATTGTTGACGCCTAACTAGGCGGCACTCTCTTATTCGGTGCCAGAGCTCCTATTGCTGAACAGGCCAAACACAGAAAGCGAAGACGGCCATCGTTTCCACAGGGACCGCGCCTGACTCTTTGACTTTGTGTCACTAAGTTTGGTGCTGAGATTATCTGACGTTGCCCGGGCTAGGCTTTGTCTGGCCTTGGGACGTGGGTCTTGCATGCTCTGTGTTCGTGCTAGGGGAATACTTTCAGACTTCGCTTCCATGTCTGCGTCATTGGATGAATTTGCGGTGTCCATTTCCTTTTCATCTTCCATTATTTCCCAACCACTGTCCACAGATAAAGAAGTAGCTTTTCCGAGAGAAGCGGAGCGTCGATTACTAAAAACACCGCGTAAAGAAAGACCCCGTATAATCGACTTGCGCATCATCGTTTGAGTCTGGAGATAATCGGTTCGGCCTAGGGTCATCCCTGGATACGGAAGGATTTCATGACTGAAAATATCTGCAATGCTTCGTTCCAATTTTACTCGGCTCCATCGCAAAGGCGCTAGAATCGTAGGTTCACCAATGTTTGTTTTGGCAACCGACCGAGAGCGCGTCAATTCAGAATCCTGTAACAGTCGGACCTCACTGTCGTACACAGGATTGTAAGTTTTCTTGATGATGACCTGAGGCTGTTCAGCCCGGAGAAACGAATGCGAGGACAGTGATCTCAAAGAGGCTGTTCGAGAGAGTAGTAATGATCGACCGTCGCTTTCCAATGTCTGCAAAGGAATGGATAAGAGGGAGAACCGTCGAGGTTCTAATGATAAGGTCGGTATTTCTTCTGGTGATATGGCCGATGCTTTCAATATTTCCGTTTTCCAGTTCCGTTCTTCACTAGCTGAAGAGGCACTGAGAATGAGCTCATAACGGTTCTTGTTATACTGAAAGACAACTTTCCAAGAAAATGGAGTATCGAAACAAGCAACGCCTATCTGAAGTTAGCAACACTCTGTAACAAGGAGGTTCGTTACCTTTACCCTGCCCGTTCATCAACGTGTCAACTGTCATGTCTGTGAGATAAATAGATGCAACGAGAATCAGTTTGCGAGAATCATGTGCCGGCTTTGCTAGCACAATATAGCTCGAGAATAATATGCAAACCAAATATTGTCCATCTACGCCTCCTAGAGAACTATAAGCTACGTGGAGAACCCCACAGAGAATAAACGGTCCTAAATCTTGATACACGTTCTCGACGATAGTCTACAATTGTTAGCGTGCAGTCTACTCAAGCTCAAAGAGACTTACTTGGTCACCATATTCGAGACGCTCATGCAAGGAGACTGTCTTTTCAATGCGCATGCGAAGGTAAGGATTCCCAACAATGGTGTTGATTGTATCCACTGCTTCTATATTCCTATCCAAAACCCATTTAACCTTGGAGTGCACTGATGGATAATCTGGCTCGGGGAGTGTTTTCAAAAGTTCACTCAGAAGCAGTCGATACTTGCAAACACGTTGAACTGGCTAGAAAAGTTTAAATAGTAGCTCTCTATTCGGAAACAGTAACCATACCTTCGCAATGAGATCGTCGACTGTCAGAGAATTTTTGCCATTTTCTTTGCGTCTCTGTGTTGAATCTACCGATTTTGAGAGTGCTTCAACACCTTCTGCCCAGAATCCATCCGCTGGCCGAGTTTGACGAAGAATGGAAAGGTCTTCTACGAGGACATCGAAGTTGTCTATAAAACTTTCATACAAACCAAAACCTGCAGTCTTCACAATTGTGTTAGGTATATTTCACATTTCGAGCCAGACCTCTCACCAAATCGTCAATTTCCATGGCTACCATCAAGGCTTCCGCTGGATCTGCAGTGTCCTTTCTCAGCTGTCCGTCAACGAGTCGTCTGATATTTCGCTTCAAGACTGGTCGATTGTGGATTTTTTGAACAATCCCTGTCCTTTTTTGGACTAAATTAACCCTGTAAGCTTCTGTTGACAGTGGACTGACGATTTCCAATCTCTTCTTGAAAGCATCGTGCATATCGTATAAGCGTCGCAAGTCACGAAGGACGGTAGGTCGCATGGTGAGATACGCTGAGAGGAGCTAATTTGACAATCCAAGTCAGCACATATCTATAATTTCAATTGACACACCTACCTGAACCAGTGTTTGTAGCCCATGGACATAATTTGCCTCGGAGCTGTAAATCTCCCGCAATACGTGACGCCTCTTGACTGCCCTCGCTTTGTTTGCATGATTCATTATACCGTAGAGAGCGGATCTAGTACTATCCATAGACTTCCGTGATGGCTTAATACTGCTGCTAGCGATTGTGTTTGTCATGGATCTCAAGTCGCTAGAGGTCGGTATGCTAATACTCGCTGTTTTCACTCTCCCCAGGATCGATGAGCATACAGACAATTGATCCACTGACTCTCCCACAGGTGAGGATGGTGCCAGTGGATATTTTACCTTCTCATTGAACGGAGGCTCATCGAACCATCCATCGACGTGGGTGGCAGGCTGGTATTCTTTTCTTCGTGACCGAAGACTCTCTACCCATCTTGTCCATGGGTACGAAGCATGTGCATCGGGTACCAGTCCGACCGAATTGGATGATTTCTGGTCTTGGAAACACTCATCGTCACGTAGAAGCTCGTGTTGGTCTCCCTTGAATCCAGGCAACTGCTCGTCCTCGAAGCTCACACGGGAGAGATCCTCAGACGCTGACATTTTGTCAGTTGCAAGACAACTGCTATAGATACTATGGATGGTGTAACTAATTATTTGTATTGAGAAAGTTCGTGCGCCATTGATGCCAGATACAGGTAGAAGATAAGATCAATAGGCGGCGTTGAGAGTGTCAGTCTGCATCTGTGCAGACGGAAGGTGCGATGTGCCTGCCGTCTATGGACGAAGATTCAGATATTTACAACCAATAGACATATTAATGCGAGTGTAATCTATTATTTTCTTGAATATGTTCATCTTTTGTGTTTATGATTTTGGTTTCTGGTAGCTAAAAGATTCTAGATGCTAATGTCAACTGCAATGTTGATTTTTAGTGGCATCAATAGATGACTAGAATCTAGAGAGATATAAAATCACCTCAACATTACTGAACTATGTGCACCTGGATTTAATCAACCACGATTTTCATTTATTGACCCAAACTCCCTGTAAATTAACTGAGATATTATCGAACTTTGACGCAATAGATTGATTTTTCTTCACTGCTCTAGATGTCAAGTTTGATGATCTTTGTAAACAAGACATTGTAGGTGGATGTTAAGGCAGCAAGGCAACAACAGCTACATATGTAATAGTGCAATTGATGTGGGGGATGTCAGTCCCACCGTGAATTTCCGCTATTACTGCACCGCAACGCCTGACTGCATGTGCTTGTCGATAATGTCCCTTTCCTAATTTATCTGTTTATGTATGCTATGGGCCTTCCTATGGAGAGAAATATCCACGCGCCAACTGTCCCCTCCGGTCCGACGACGGCGGGGACCGGGTTCAAAGACCTGACCAAGTTCTCGATGGTGGAGCTTATGAACGAGAAAGAACACATCGAAGCCGAGCTTTCAGCCTACAGCAGTGTTCTTACATCGGTACGTCGAGTGTTTATTGGAAGCGGCATATTCCAAAACTGACGGGGATTTTCCTTAGCAAGGAGTGACCATGGACACAACGTTGACCACATTCGACGGTTTTCCCCGCGACGACATCGATGTGGCTCAGAGTATGCGCTGACTGAATCTCGTTGACCTACGTCTACTTACAATATAAACCAGTCCGTACCACGCGAGCTCGCATCGTACACCTTCGGAACGATCACAAGGAGGTTATGAAATACCTGGAAAAAGGCCTACACGCGCACTTTGAAGCTTTACAACAGGCCCAAAATGGGACAGCGGTATCTGGAAACTCCTCTACGGCCCAACTACCAATCCTAAACGGACTTGCAACGTCGTCAGCGACTACGACAGAAACGCCCTTCGCGAAAGTCAATAGTGTTGCTAGTGGCAGCCCGGCAGATCAAGCCGGCCTGAAAGCTGGAGACTCTATTCGTAGCTTTGGCAGTGTTAATTGGGTCAACCACGAGCATCTATCCAAGGTCGGAGAAGTTGTACAGCAAAACGAAGGAGTATGGATGCCCATCCATTTGCTTAATCGAGGCCAAACAACTGACAAATCTGCTAGCGCGCTCTCGTGGTCAAGATTGTACGGCAGAACGAGTCCGGTCCAGGCACCAGGGAGCTGAGTCTCAGCCTAATCCCTCGACGCAATTGGGGAGGCCGGGGGCTGCTGGGATGCCACTTGGTGCCTTTGTGACGGGGTTCATGAAGCCACGAATGAAATGAATGTGTATTACTGAGCATATGGAGTTTGGGTTGGAAATCCGGCAACATCATGATGGGACAATGAGTTACCAACGTCTAGCAATAAAATTAAAAAAACGAGGCGCTCGTCCAACAGTGTTGTACACTTATTTGTAATCAGGACTGTTTAAACCGGTAGCAGCCTTGTGGCGAGACGGGTAATTGATAGCTACCCAAAACAAAGCGAATAAAGCATCAAGAGGGTGCAGCGCACCATTGTTCTCCGCAGGCTGCAGCAGGCGTCAGGCTAGTTCTGGTTTCTTGGCTGTTCTTTTGGCCCCTAGTACCTGCTAGTACTACGTACTAGTAACCACTAAATAAGAGCAATACTAAGGAGAGATCGCACTGACCCGACGGAGGGGCTCACAGAGGGGCAAAATCTGCGCGGTCACGTGACAGGCCAATCCCCCGTTCGTTTGTTGTCACCGCCCGGCGTCGAAAATTCCATCCCCAAAAGGGATTTAAATCCATTGATTTCCTTCCTCTGCAACCCTTGCGTCCACACAGCTCTGTGACACGCTTAATTCTGCTATCGTGCGCCGCAAATCTCTTCGCTGGAACTTCTGTCGTGAAGCAAAATTCCGCCTTTTGCTGTGTTTATTTGTGGCCGATAATTTTCTGCATCACGTCATTTACGCAACATGGCTGAGCAACAAGGCCCTCCCACCTTCAAGCTGGTTCTAGTCGGTGATGGTGGTACTGGCAAGGCAAGTGGTCTTCAAGACGCTCTCAGCAGTCGCCTTGTCTCACATCTCAATTCTTCCCTACGATCCATTTCGCAGACGCATACCGCGTGACCCCGCTCTTACCTATACCCATCGACTATCGTACCTGCTGGGGGCAATACCATCCATCATTTTCGCGCGCTGGAGAAATTCTGGACTAACAATTTATTGCTGTACCACAGACCACTTTCGTCAAGCGCCATTTGACCGGTGAATTCGAGAAGAAATACATTGCCACCTTAGGTGTGGAAGTCCACCCTCTTGGTTTCACTACCGTACGTGCATATCCCTTTTTCGGCTGTTTTAGTCGCTGTCATACATCTCTTACTGATATATAATAGAACCTGGGACCAATCCAGTTCGATGTTTGGGATACTGCCGGTCAGGAGAAGTTCGGTGGTCTTCGTGATGGATACTACATTAACGGCCAATGCGGTATTATCATGTTCGATGTCACGTCACGTATCACCTACAAGAACGTCCCCAACTGGCACCGTACGTTGTTCTCCTTGAAACCCTGGGATTGAACGAGCTGACGAATTTTTTTAGGTGACTTGGTCCGCGTGTGCGAGAATATCCCCATTGTTCTCACCGGTAACAAGGTCGATGTGAAGGAGCGCAAGGTCAAGGCCAAGACCATTACTTTCCACAGGAAGAAGAACCTTCAATACTACGACATCTCCGCCAAGTCGAACTACAACTTCGAGAAGCCGTTCTTGTGGCTTGCTCGCAAGCTAGTTGGCAACCAGTCTTTGGTACGCTCTTCCCTTGATTAAATTTCAGAGTTCTTTTCTAACACCTATTATAGGAATTCGTCGCTGCCCCTGCTCTGGCTCCTCCCGAGGTCCACGTGGACCCTCAAGTTTTGGCCAGGTACGAGGAGGAATTGACCATCGCCACTGCCGCGCCTCTGCCTGACGAGGAGGATGGAGACCTGTAAATTTCAGTGTCATCACCCCCTTAAATCATAACACAAAATTGAAAAAAGAGAGATTATAAATTTAAACGGGACGAATTCTACGTGATCGAATGATGGGATGGATGGAAAACGGGAACACGGCAAACTTGGGTACAGCAAGCCTTTTAACTTATACTGCTAGACAAGGAATCATGACTATTGATTTAAAGAGATTCTACCAAAAGAAATGGGGCTTGTTCTTGAGAGAACTGCCGACAAGGCAATATCAAGCAGCTGGAAACCAGTCCTAGCTTGGGATGATTTGCACATTGTTTCCATTTTCTCTCCCGTAACGTATCTTTTTCTATTATTTGTTTCTTATTCTAGTTGAGTTTCTTTCTTTTTGTGATCAGTCTCGTGTTTTTTCTGCAGATGTCATGAAAACTCTTCAGCTCTCGCAGTTCTGTGGCTAGTAGTAGTAGTAGACTCGGTAGTGTTTTCTTAGAGCTTTTCCAAATATCTCTTCAACCATTTCTCTTTTCAACCGTTCCTCCCCAGTGAAGATCTTTTAGATCCGACATTCGCAAAATCCGATGCGAATACTCGCACAACATAATCTGAGGTCACTTTACAAGTCTTGGGTTGAAAAATCCGACGTGTGATATGTAGATTAATAAGAAAAGATACTCAATGTAAACCGAACTGAGACGGTTGACCTTTTGGAGGACGATCCTATACTAAAAGCAATTTTCTTTTGAAATCGATGAAAAGAAAGTTTGAATCAATTTATAGGAAAAATTAGAAAATCTATTTCACGGCTTCTATGAAAGATCGCAGATCTAGCAGCAATTTCTCACTTTCGATGAAAATGTCTGCTATGACAGCAGAGTCAGAAAACTCAATCTAGATGATTAAAAGCATGTACGAGAACGAAAATGGTAAAAAGGAAAAGAAATAATAGGAGGGGTACAGCTGTCCTGACAGCACTGGGTATCAGGTTTCGTTGATTCCATTCCATTGTCCCAGGGAATCAGCACCAAGCAAACTCCATCCATCCATCCATTCCAAACCCGCTAACACATAAACACGAAATAAAGTAAAAATAAAATAAAATACAAGAAAGAGAGTGCTATCGTTGATAGAACCCGAAAGGGGAAGTAGATGGCGTCCAAAATATCTAATTGACATTCTTGATAATCAAATTAGTTATCTTTCAGTTCAAAAGAATTCAGTTAAAATGATAGGGATAGACTTACAAAAAGGAACTTGAGCTCACGGATTCCGAGGCGCGAGATCTGTTTGGCGGCGTTTTCGTCTAGAGCACCTTCGATAAGCTCACGTTTCTTGTCTTGCAGAGCTAAAATGCGGTCTTCAACCGTGTTTTGGATCAGAAGGTGGTGGATTTGAACAGGTCTCAATTGACCCAGGCGATGTGCACGGTCGATAGCTTGTTCTTCGATATATGGGTTCCAGAAGGGGTCAAAGATGATGACTTGAGAAGCGGCGACAAGATTGAGGCCCGCATTACCGGCTTTCAAAGACACCAACATGATATCGCACTCGGGGTTATCGGTGAACTCTAAAACAGAATCATTACGCTCCGAGGGTCGCATGCTTCCATCGTAGCGACGATATTTCCATCCTTTGCGACTAATCGGCACTTCCAGAAGGTCCAAGAGGGAAGTGAATTGGCTGAAGATAATTGTCTTTTCGCCCTGTCCTTCACCCTTCAACTTTTCAAGTATCTCGAGTGCTTTGTCAATCTTGGCGCTGGTTTCCCAATTCTTTTCGATCCGTCTCAGGTATTTGCGTTTAGCAGCAGCATTCTTCTGTGCTTCTTTCTTGAGAACAGCTAGAGTCTTCTTTGGCTTCTTAGCCTTCTTGGGGGGTTTGCCCTTCCCTTTGCGCTTTCTTTTGATTACTCTCTTCTTTGACTCTCGTTTCTCATCGGAATCGTAATCGTCGGGTACAATAAACTCTGCCAAATCGGAATCCTCATCTGAGTCATCATCGCTCTCATCTGAGTCAGAGTCGGAATCAGCCGTCTCGTCATCATTAGTTGGAATTTCTGACGGTTCATCAGCCTCGGAACCTTCTGTTGGAAAATGAACCTTTTTGAAGGAAACATTATCCGTGACCTTCTTCGGATCAATCCTAGCTCGGCAGTTTGGACATTTGGCTTCAACCTGGCCGTCATGTCCTTGTTGGATGGCAAGCGACGGGTCTGAAATTCTGGCAAAGCACTCGGCGCAAGTTGCATGGCCACAAGGGTAGAAAATGACTGCGTTTTCCACGGCATCGATACAAACAGGACACTCTAGAGGTTCATTCTCCTTCAGCCGTCGGATAACATCGACATCAAACTGCTTCGCATTCTCGACCAAGTCTACATTTTCGGTGACTGCGCTAACATCGACGCTAAGATCGTTGATCAAGTGAGGGTGGCAGCAGGCTTGTCGTAGACGAAGCAGCAGCACAAGAATGTTTGAGTAATTCCGGCCAATAGATCCAGCCTCAAGATACCTATTAAATTGTATCTGAGTGTTCGTTTCCAAACCTTTGTATAGACTGAGTTCGTCCTCGCTGAAAGAAGCATGAACCTTTTCAGTAACGCGAGGTGGCAGATTTAGAATTGGTTTCCCGTCTATCTTGGAGTATTTTGTTCTGCGTAGAAGCACGGCCTTCAACACGACTTGTAACTGCTGCAAAGCTTTCTGTTGCGCGGTTGGAACATTAGATTTCAGCGGCCTCGTAAAGTCCTGCAAAAAGGTTTGAATTAGAATACAGTGCGCGTTATTATACTTGGAGAACTTTGATCAATTTACCTTGTTAAACAGCTCTAGGCTGTTGTATGGACGGATCCTTAAAAACCTGAGTAGTGAATGTAGTTCAGCTACGCTGTTCATCATTGGTGTGCCGCTCATACACCACCTATGAGTGGAATTGAGTGAGCAGCAAGCGAGAGATGACTTTGTATTGCGGTTCTTAATGCATTGTGCCTCATCAATAATCACGCGGTACCAGGTGCTCTCTGGTCCAAGTAGAGGAAGAGATTGAGCTTCTCCGACGATATTTGCACTGCTTTGACCTGCAAACCGTCTGTTGTTGTCCCATTCCTCCTTGCGTTTGAGTTCTGACCCTAATGTACCGAATGTAGTCAGGACCACATCATATTTCCGCAACTTAGCAAATGTGGTTTTCCGCTTCTCTCCATGGAGAATAAAGACATTAAGCTTGTGTTCTGGTCTAACCATCCTTTCGATTTCACGTTTCCATTGTTGCATCAGAGCGACAGGAGCAACAATCAACGTCGTTTTTCTGGTGTCATCTGACGATGGTCGTGATACCATGAGAGCAATGGCCTGCATAGTCTTGCCAAGACCCATGTCATCCGCGAGAATACCGCCTTTATTAGTTCCTTCTTCCATCGATTTCATCCACGCCACCCCGACCTTTTGATGGTCAAGGAGAGCATATCGTAGCTCTGTTGGTGTCCCTTCCCACTTGTCTTTTGTGAGGTCAACGTCGGGTCTGAGATTCTCCAGCATCTGTTTCAGTTCCTGGTTGGCTTGCTTATTGTCAAGGAAATCGGGATCACTTGAAGAGTTAGCTAGCTCGAGAGGAAGGGGTTTTCTTGCATACCCAGGGCGTGACAACGAGGGGAATAGGCTTGCCCGGTCGCCCGTGCCAGTTCTATCGAGGAAAGCTCCAACAGCTCCCAAGTTTCTAACATCTCCTAAACTTCTTGCAGCACGCAAAGCCTGAGTGTAAGCATCAGGGATCTTGATTGGGCTCTCTTGAGAAGTAGACGAAGAGCGGTGGGAGGCCGCGAGAGCAGAAGGCCACTGAGTTGGGTACATAGTATGGCGATTGTTAGGGCCTTCAACATGGACGGAACGGTATGACTGGGATGATCGGGGTACTGGTACTGCGGACATACTGCGCCGAAAGTCCTGTGGCGATATCTCTGCAATATCACTATCGCTGCTATCGTTGGCAGTAGGGGCAGTATCCCTCCACATGGGCGTTTCCATTGTTTCCATATTTCTACTTGAGCTGAATGGTGACGGTGCAAGGGAGGGTTGTCGCTGATGAAATGGCAGAGCAACTCGACTTGAGCCTATAGTTGAGGCCTGTCCCGGTGACACTTGATTATGATCATGTGAAAGCGCTCGGTATGACTCTTGCCTGAATGCGGCCGGCGGGTTTGTAGAGAACCCGGGCATGTTTGAGGGAGCAGGCGCTGGAGTAGACGAATTTGTTGACGAGTAGAGAGAATCTTGGTTCCATTGCTCTTGTAAGCGTCTGGCCAGCTCTTCGTCTTTGCGCTCCTGTTCGTGACGATCTTTCAACCAGTTTTCAGCCTCATACTGCCCCTCCGCAAATGAATCGACATCTTCTAATCCAAGAAGTCTGTGAAGCTGAGTATCGTCGTCATCCAAGCCCTCATCCCCCAAGCTGAAGCTGTGGGTTGACGCTGCGCCGGGGGTAGACGGGCCCGATTCGCGAGAGTACATGTGGTCAGTAGCTGGCGACGAAGCGTAAAGCAAAGTAGGATTGGGATGGTTGCGGTGAGGTGTTGGGTGAGAAGAGGATGTGGGATAGACCGGACCTGGGGGTTGTCCAGCAATATATTGCGCTTGGAGTTCGGGATCTAATTCGTTAGAGATTGAAGCGAACGGCGAGCTAGGCATTCTGTCATCGCCAGCACCGTCAAAGGTAGACTGCAATCGGACGGTAGGGTGAGGCTGCGGAGAGAGACGAGGAGCGAGGCCTCTACGCTGATCTAACTGACGGCGCAATGCCCTGATGGTTGACTCCAGTTCCATCCTGTCTTCTTCAGCACCAGGGCGGGCTTCCAGGAGACTCTCCAGAAGCGCTTGGTGTAGCTCCAAGTCCTCCAAGATGTCCTCGGTGGACATGGCGTTGGGAGAGGAGGCCATGACGCGCAATGAGGGCTGGTCGGGAGCCAAACGGGCACACGGCAACGACAGCTGCACTCAGCTTAACTCAGCCGGGCGGGGAGGGCTAAAGAGTATGCTCAAAGAGGCAGGCTGCAGCTTGCAGGTGAGCGCTGGGCGCTGGCCACATCTGCAGTCGCTTTGATCAGCCTCGTTTGCCGTAAGCAGGCTGTCCTTTTTTTTCGTTTGGATTGTTACAAAGAGTATTCATCGCGTCACGATAAGGATTTGCCCAGGTGGGTCAGGGGAACCGCAAAAAAAAAGGTGCTCATTGGCTGGGCGACGAAGCTCTGGCCGCAGCCTTAGCTGGTTTAAGGATAGTCCACATCGTCTTGCGCATTGTCATGTGGACCATCTTATATACATTCTACATTTTAGATATATTCTCTGTGCAAATTCATTGTAGGTTCACTAGATCAGTTAGGCTATATTTACAGATAATAGTTATTTAATTATTTTAGCTCTATCTTATTTTATATTAACTCTGCATATGTTGCTTCAAATATATCTCTTTGACTATTTTTTATGTTGTCTCCCCTTTGGCATCCTTCTCTTTGTCATCTGTTCTATATATCCCCACCAACAATAGCGTATGTGCAGTTTCTGCGATTCACACAAGACCCCTATTGAAATTACATATGTACAATCTTAATATTTATGTGTTTGCAAAGCACATACAAAGCATCATCATAGCTTATTCTTTGTCTAGTTCAGATGATAAGATATGGCAAGAATGGACACCTAGAGTTTGGCAGCTCTTTATTTTCTGACAGGAAGACTTTATGAAAAGAAGAGGCTGGGGCTCATGGGCTAGGCAGCCGGTGAAACAACCAGTTGGCCAGTGAAGCTATCCGTGAAGGGTCAAATATGTCAATTTATAGGCATACTACTAGATTAACCAGTATATCTATTTCAAACATAATTATGAGCGTGTCATGAGCTGCATGGTTATAACCAGATCCTGCCCTGGTGGGTTAAATGGCCTCATTGGATGGGTAATGAGGCTGTAATTTACGTAATTAAACATCATTGACTTGTCTCTCTTAACCTTAACAACCTGTCGGCTAACCTTGACTAGACAATCAATACACCTATACTCAACAACTACAGATCCAGAGATCCATATGATAACCATGCTGCAATCATACCAGGACAGACTGCCTCCCATCAGAGAGGCATCCGCCTAGCAGAAGACAGATGATCTTACAGATCTTGTAGGAGATTGCTCATCTTCTGTAAGTGCAGACCATGATATTGTGGGTCAGCAATAGAGCAAATGGTTGTTAGTTATAGCATGCATATTGTATGTGATTGTAACTCAATGACCCGATGAAATTGACCTGATATTTGTAGCATTATCCTTGTTGTTTATGCCGGTTACCTTCTAGGTGAGTACTACCTTCCACACAAGAGTGGTGGTGAAATAACAAAACACCCTTTTCTTTTCTTCTTCTTTTTTAAATGAATCCTTGCAGTTCATTCATCTGAAACAATACATTTTTGGGCTCTTATTATTATAACGGTTCCTCCGTTCCTACTTCCTTTTAAGGAGTGGATGGAATAATTTCCCCCACAACTTTGCCCAAAGGAGAAGGAAAAAAAACTTGAGGATATCTCAAGGAAATTGAGTGATATGAAGACGAGAGCTTCTAAGACTGCATCTCATGTCTTGGCTGCGTTGGGTTGCATGCATGCTTGGTCTGTTGTAGATTATGTGCCCTCTTTGGAAGAAGCTCTAGAGGCTTTGCAATGTTGAAGTTAGAAATATAAACAACAAAACCTTAGAAGCCTCTTTGCTGTATCAATTGAAGTGCATCCTGCTGGGTTAACAGAGCGTAGGTGAGGCCAAGACGGCGGACTTATCGGGGGGTGAAAATGCACGTGTCGGATGATGCTCTATATTCCGGAATGAGAGTAGTTCCTAAACATTCTCTAGAGAGAACCCCACAAATCAGGATAGCCTCTAGTCAATGTTGCAGAGCTTTGGATGAATGCATACCAAATATCAATTGATAGTCGATGCTAAGTCGGTAGGGCTAAGAGCAAGACGAGAGCGTCCGATAGTCCGCGGGGAATGCGGGGCCAGTGGGATAAGATAGGCTAGCTATAGTTCACGAAGGCGGCAATACCAGTCCAGTAGTTCTGGCTATGGTTGTATGTAGCCTTGGCCAGAGGGGCCTTGAATCGCCGGAATTCATAGTGAGACATGCAACGGTGGCGTCGCTTGTGAGTCGTCATCACAGCCCCATGGCGCTAACCAATCTGGGCCTAGGTCCCAATCAGTGCTGCAAACAACATGGCCAAATTAAGGGGCCTAGCGACTAATACTAGGTGTCTTGCCTGGGTTTCGTCGTTCCTGATCACCACAGACTTGTTCGCCATGGTCTGATAGATAGGTAGCTGGTCTTTTTCTGTGATCCTGACCCTGCAAGCTGGACGTTTCTATCCCTGTTGCTGCTGCTATCTTCCCGAGTCGCTCGTTATTAATATTGTTATGCACTTCCCTGCATTCCGACGGCCACATAAAACGCGCACCTTTTGTTCCCACCCTGACGGCGCCTGCTCTCATTTATCGCCTATTTCGTACTTACTGGCTCACTCAACAACATGGATCTGATCACTCATTTATATCGACGAGACTGTGGAAGCGGTGATGACTGTGAGAAGCCGACCTCAAAATTGCTGACCGATGTCGTTCCGGCTGTTGTCACGGGAGTGTGAGTTCCCTCTTCTTCAATTGATGGATTCGGCTGGACCAGCGTTGACATGTGATGAACAGGGTTCTTATAGTCGCTGGAATCGTGTTTTTTATCATCGCCAGGCGCAGACGCAAGCAATTCCAGAGGGAGGAGGACAAGGAACGCGAGTCTCTCGAAATCGACGTTTATGAGCCGTCGCACGCTCACTACCAGGGACCAGCATATGGCGATCCGTTTAGCAATTCACAATCCCTGATCCGGGATCCCGACTATAACGAGTTTTCATTAGCACCGCCGACCCCCAGAAGAGATCAGTCCCCGGCCAAGTCGTACAACACCGACTCCAGCTACGAGCCGCACTCAACCACATCCCCACCTCCAGCCTATCCGCACGGCGGGCCTAGTGCCAGGGATCATCATCCAGATAATAAGATATAAGAAAATTGCAATTATTGTTGTGACGAAGCTAAGCGTCCTGTGTTTGTTTTTGTCCTTTTTATACCGGACCCGGCGACAGAGGCGCAGGCTCGTTTTCTGGGGCCGAGGGAGCAACCTGTATTATAGGCTATGTAGTGTATCAGGTCTCATAATCGATTATGGCACTGTACAAATCGTTCTATATGTTTTATACCTTCTATACGTCCTATATCGCTCGAGTTGTTTCTGTAGACATGCTGCATGTTATCACTATATCTATCGTGGTTATCGCTGCCAAGACCGATTATGGCGGGCGAGCGGGGCGTCTGCTCTGCCAGCGCTGGTTGGCCAATGTGCGCATCACCTTTCCCTCGACGTCAGATCAAAAGTGCAAGAGTTCATACGACAACCCTCGCTGCACCAGACTCGTTTGCAACAGACTCTCTCGAATTGTCGCTCCTTTACTACAGCGGCGTGCTTTGTGCCATCTCACTGGCTCTCGCTGCTTGCCGTATTACGCTCCACTGCAGTCACTTCAGCGCGCTTAGTGCTCGCGCCTCGACACCTGGTGCCCGCCTCGGACGGCGCGTCTTTCTGCCATCCTGTCTTCTACAATCAGAAAATGGCACGCTGAGAGCCATCTGCTGCCTCGCAGACACTTATATCCTCAGAACTGCGAAAATTCCTATTCACACAATGTCAAAAGCATCATCTTCTGCCCTCTCCACATCGCTCGGCAAGCCTCTATCGTCCGAAACAAAAGTGGCTGAGTCCTACTGGCTGCGGAGGCAGATGTCGAGACATGCTGAACAGTCGGATAGTGAGGACACCACTAGCAGCAGCGACCGGACTAACCACACTACACCACATCTGTCACCGAAATCCCGCTCTTTATCGGATGCCGCGAAACATGGCCTCTTACAAACATCTTCACTTCGCGACTTGCTTCATTCGACTAAAGACGATATAGGCATTACCAGCAGCCCGACGACCCCTCAAAAACCTCACGTCCTCCAGCCTTCCATACATGGCCTGTCCCTCCAGGTGCCCCGACAAACTGTGGCCACTCCAGGTGCATCCACCAACGCCGCCAACCGTACCCCTCTTTCCCCCAAACTCGATCCAGCGCAAACATACGGATCTCCTGTATCGGCAATTCCCCGTCGCTCTCGCGGCTTGGACTTTTCTCGCGCCTGTACGAATTTACACCACTCTACGCTCGCCGAGTCATCCCCAGAATCATCTCCCAACGTCGGTGGCCGTGGCATAAATATTCCGCAGCGACGGGGAGGCTCCTCATTTGGGTTTGGGTCGCCTGGTATGGGCTTCTCACAACAAGTGGGCAGTGTGCCAGGCGATCGAACCGCGATGTCCAGTTCGGTGTCTAGCGTCAACATGATGGAGTCAGATACTAGCAGCAGCGAAGACGATGACGACGAGTCGATGAACCCTGATCGTGACGATATGATGATTACAGCAACGCCGCAGGCAAGCAAGATAGGCGGAGGACTTGCAAATCCTTTTGGTGCGCCAGCTCCTAGCCCGGGGAATGAATGGATGGGAGCGTATTCTCCTGCCGCCGCTAGCCTACTCAGTTTTCAGCGGGCACGATTCCGCAAGACTCGTAACAGTCGTCAGAGTTCTAGCAGTGCCAGCGGGAATAGTTCAAAGCCCAGCCCAGCACCCCTGTCGCCACCTGTGTTGAAGAGCATCGAAGCTTCCAATGGAGGCTACTTTTCCCGCGAAATGTCCAAAGCCACGGTTCAGTCACGCCGGGAAAGCTTGAGCTTGGGAACTAGGGACCTGCATTTGTCAGATTTGAGTGACGATGGAGATAGTAGAGCGATAAGAGGTGATAGCCCTGCTGATGCAGGCCCACGTGGAGTGATCCGTCGAGCTGTCACCAGACGAGGAAATTTACTGGTAAGTTTGTTGCTATGATTTGCTGGATGATAGCTAACATTCCTTAGCCCAAACCGAAGACATTTGCTCGTGTCCGCGCCGCCTTGCTTGAAGAAAGCGCTCCTCTAGACAGTGAAGCTAAGCGAGAAGCTGAGGTCATCCGGCAGGTTCGCGAGAGTGATGATACTATTGAAGCGAAAAGTCCTACTTTTCCTTTAGACAAGCTTGAGGAGCTTACATCTACCGCCTCTGTTTCTGAAGAGACTGCTCCATCGACTTCTGAAAACAGCTTTTCGAACCAAGCCTCTCTGAATTCTGGAGGCGCGAAGTACTGGGAAAAGTTCGATGGGCGCTACCGCACACCGCCACCCCCAGGCCGTATGTCAACACAGTCTTCGGCTATAAGTGAAGACGCTTCGATGGACACTCCTCAATCAATCATTGGGAAAGATAACTGGCGTCGTTCTCCGGTCCCGCAGGTCATCAACCCTCCGCTCGCAAGCGAATTTCATCGCAAGCGTCGGCGTGACGATGACTTGGATCCGGAGTCATTCAAACGTCGAGCTGTTTCTCCTGGCATGAGTGTGCAGAGCAGCCCCGTCTTGACAAACTCTCCCATCGTCAAAGATGGCAATGCGTGGATCGTTCCTCCGAAATCGTCAGCTGCACTCTTCACTGAGACCAGCAGTTCCAGCACCCCCAGCAACGGTGTAAAGCGCGTGGGCTTACAAGGGATGACCGAAACCAATGACGGATTAATGAATATGAGCATTGAGTGAGCAATGTCTGCTTTGGCTGTGTGGCCCTCTAATTTGAATTTGAACAAACTCTTGTTAGCGTATAACGATTTAGCATTCTGGGCCTGGGATCAGGTGCATATGGCGTTGCTTGACTATTCTTATTAATGAGATTTAATTATATTAGTATTTATTTAGGGACAATACATATTATAGTTAATTATTTGCTGAGACTTTCCATGTAACTATCATTTTATCTCGATTCTTGGCAGGGACATCCCTCCACGCTAACCGCCTTAACGTGTGGTCTGCAACCTGCGACAGTGGCCTACCCCGCGAACATAGACTCAATTCACTGCACATTGTACACCACGTCCAGCGAGCGTTGTTTTTACGATCGGATATTTCTCCTTTGTCATAAACTTAGTCTCCGACATTCGTGTTTTCAAGTCCCAAAACATGAGTTCTACTGTTGACATTGCTTCCTCGTTCATCGAGGGAGCTCCCCCCGGAGAGGCATGACAGCCCGTGGTTTTCCTATCATGTTTGAAGCTTGACATTGCTAACTGTTCTTGAGGAAACCAGCTTACTGAAGTCATAAACGGTCGGTCTCGCCTCCCCTGCGATATAGTACCCCCCAATGTCGTCCCGCCAGAGTAAACTTATGCTGACCGAGGTTCAAAAATATCAGACATCAAGGCCCTTACTGCCGATGGTCCGGATATTATCCCTTCACTGGAACCTGCTTTCAAGAAATACAACGAAACACAATTGGCGACAGTCAAACTGCCTGGGAGCAGTCAGGAGGTGTGTGGATGGCAATAATGACTCGCGAGTACCGTGGACAAAAGTTGATTCTTGTGGATAGGTGCTCGTGAGTGAGTTCAACAGACTCGACGGAGATCGATACTATGATATTGAGACATCGACATCGTTTGAATTCGATCATGTTACCCAAGTAATTTCTCCTATTACCCTCCGTGAGAAGTCATAACTGACAAGTCTTGTCCCTATAGAGAGCTTCCGGTGCTCAGTCATACCCACTCGATTCTCAAAATGCCGATCTAGTGTAAACATAACCCTTTATCAAGATAGAAGAGGCATAGATGAGAAGAGGCTAAAACACATTCAGGAAATCCCTTCTCAAATCCCTCTCCACCCACGCCAAAGAACACTACCCCAGCTCCTCTTACGGCGTGTATCCCATCGAGAATGATTCCGCGGTTGCCATAGTGTTGGTCGCCAACAGATACTCCCCTAACAACTACTGGTTCGTGGTTCACACCTATCTGGTACAATAGCGTTTCTAATCGTTGGTAACAGGAACGGTCGCTACCGCGCTATCTACCAAGTCCCCGTTTCATCCTCCTCCACTACCATCACAGGGAACATCTACGTCGATGTGCATTACTACGAAGACGGTAATGTTGCTCTGAGCAACAGCAAGCCCGTCTCTCTTTCCGTCCCCTCGCTATCCGCTGAGTCCATTATCTCCAAAATCGCCGCCGCCGAGCGCGATCATCAGGAAGAGCTCAATCGTGGATTTAGCAGACTGGCTGAAGGCGCGTTCAAGAGTTTGAGACGACAGCTACCCATCACCAGACAGAAAGTTGAGTGGGAGAAAGTCGGAGGATACAGGCTTGGTCAGGATATTTCTGGTGGTAGAGGAAGATGATTTGTTTGGTTTTGATGAATCATGATTTGTTTTTCTCTCGCTGTTATCTGATTTCTTCTATATGCACATATAATGTAGTCATGTTCGTGACAATTTTCCTGTTTCCCAGATAGCTGGGAGTTGTAGATGAGGTTGAAGCGATTACACTGTCTACGCAACATTTGATCATTCGATACAGAGGTGAACAGAGGCTATATAAAAGATTCCATAAATTCCTTGGGATGGATCAAGACTGGTTTGAAATGACCATGATATTGTCCGAATAAAGCTTGCACATTCTCTGACATTCCCTTAAAAAGCAACGCAGTCCTCCCGGCTGATGCCAGCCATTTGACGTTGAGGCAAAAATAATTCGTTATTTTGGTGTTGCAAAACACACCTCGTCCCGGCAACAATATCCCCTCCCCACTGCTTAGCCCACCATTTATCAGACGCCCTTTGAGAGAACTCGCCATAAGCCTGCAGAATCCGCAGAGCAACTGGGTCCCTTGCTGCTATCAACGCAGTGAACTCGCGAGTCAAATAGACCAACCACATAAAAATCATCGCCGAGTGCGAAGGGTTGGCGTGCATAGCCAGCATATTGAGATTCAAGCTTTGCACAGCACCACGGTATATTGGTTTCAAAGGATCCAACTCAGGCGGCTGCAGGTCTATCATGTTGTGCAAGTCTCCAATAACCGCTTTACTCGGTACCTGTTCAGGTGATGCGCATATCAAATGATCCCATTTCTCCAAATTGAAAAACGGTTTCAAGCGTCCCATCTTGAGTGCTTTCGTGCTCTCTCCTTCGATGACCACGTAGACGCCATGGGCGAGTTCTGCAAACTCGCCCATACGCACAAGAAGCGTCGAAGGATCCAAAGGCTGCGCAGATGCAACGGCGATAATGAAGATCAAAGCCCCGCATATGTACACAGAGTCACAGTTCTCAGCAGTAATCAGGGCCAGTTGCGGTCTGAGCAAAGCCAATGCGGCGGTTTGGTGGTGAAGACTTAACAATCGATGATGTCTAGCCTCGGCCTTGGACATGTTCTCTGTTTGTATCAAATGGAGTGCAGAGACTGAGAGCAGGGAGTGCGCCACATAGTCATGATCAAAGCCAATTTGAACAATTAATGAAGCATACAAGGTTTGGACAGGAATTCGATCCGTCAGCGTATAGCTAACTTGTGTTGTGAAATGCTCTAAGAGTGATAGATCCGCATTGAACGGATGTCGGGTTAAGGGGGCATGGTTAGAAGGCCATGGATTGGTTAAAAATGTCGGGTTTTGGTTGTAATAATAAAAAGCAGTATCATGGTCGTTTCTAGCGTGGCTGTTATACATTATAAATTGAATTGAATGGCAGTCGTCGTTATTATATGCGCATATTTCACCGCGCTTGATGCAAAGACTGCAAGCCGGCCGTTGTCGATCGCACTATTTGAATGGAGCAAGGTTAACGAAGTTAGCTTGAAATAGCTAAGCATTATTGGTCTCTTGGATTTAGATTAATGTGTAAAAAAGGTTGATTGCAGAGAATATTTACCTTGACTTTACGTGCCTTGCACACCAGACAGCCATGACGGCTTTTGTAATGGAAACGTCGTGAAGGCATCAGCTGCTGTTAAAAATCATGTACATGAATCAGGATGCTGAGCACAGTAGCAATGGGCATCATATCAAATGTAATTTCCGTTGGATGAAATATCTCCACTACACAGAGAAGACGAGAGTCAGGAGAAAGGTCAGTAACGACGGATGGATGTTGTATTGAAGATGTATTTGGATTTCACACCATCAGCCTGTTTGGGGACTGGCGGTATTTTCATGCTGCTAATTCCGGAGACGCTATCGTAAACCTTTCCTATTATAGCAAGGTGCTATCCTCAAACTTCGAGTGTGGACATGTTTCGACTAGGCTTGAAGAGGTAATATAATTGATGATCACATCATACTGGAGTTTCAATTCATGATGGCTATACTCTTATATTGAGGGATTATTTTCTAGAAAGATTCATCTCTGTGAAGAGATCGATCATTGAAACAAAGCAATCGACTCTGTTCGAACACTGGAAAATTATCATACAGCGGCTGAGCCAGCCCTAAGGACGCCGATTATCTCAACTCAACATCAAATAACATGACATAAACTCATCCCTCAGTATATACCCTCTTCTATACCCTCTCTCTAAAGTTGTGTAATCAAATATGGATTGACTCCCTACCCGATAAAGTTGGATTAGCCTGGTTGCCCGCGGAAACTCGATCGGCTCGAGGACACAAATCTTTTTGGAGTCGGCAGTAGGATCTCTTCAGATATGGCTTATATTGCAGTTTCCCGGGCATTGGACGTACGAAGACGTCTTTATTGAAACCAAAACACTGTCAGACTTAAGTTGATTGAAGGTGAGTATACTGTAGCAGGGTCTTATATAGCTGAACAAAAGAAATCAGCAACGGGTCGTTTGAATTTATCAAAAGTATTACTCACGTCGAGGGGTTTGAGGTCCGACCTGTTTTACCACCAGAAGATAAAACGCCGAATTTATTTCATCGAAATTGAGGGATATTCCAAAATATCAATGAATTTATTGTTCCGAGGAACATATCAAGATGCATTGAGTAGTGCCGGGTTTTGCACTACCCAATTTTCGTCAGACAAGAGAAACATCTCTTATAGACAGATTGTCGGGACCGCCAAATGAGCTTTTGTAAAGTGTAGACTGTGCCTGGAACCTGTTGTGACTCTCTTCGATGAGCATGTCAGAGACTTGTTTATAGCCTTTTGAAGCTGCAGCCATGAGTGCAGTGTGACCATTTTTATCCTCTAGTTTTAAATCGACATTTTCCTGTTCGAGAAGCAAGCCGGTGATGGCGTGCCTACCAGATAGAACTGACTTGAAGAGGGGTGTCTGGCCAAGTCTGTCTTTAGAATTAACATCAACTTTCTTCGTTGCCAAAAGTTTTTTGACGACTGAGTAATAACCTCTTTGAGTTCTTATAAAGTATTCGTCATTGGATTGGATGCATGCAAGGGAGAGGGGCGTGAGTCCATAATTATCCTTGATATCCAAATCGAATAGGTTTGTCGCTATGAGGAATTCAACAACACTCGCAGAGCCTCTAGAAGCAGCTAACGAAAGAAGAGTTCGTCCATCATGATCCTTTGTGTTCACATCAACTTCGTTCGTCCCTAAAAGGAGCTCAACAATACTTCTAGCACCGCTGCAGGCGGCCAAAGAAAGAGGAGTCCGTCCATAATGGTCCTTCATATCCAAATCAACCTTTTTTGTCTCTATAAGGAGTTCAACAACAGACTTTCGACCCCCTATGGCGGCTAATGAGAGTGGACTCATCCCGGAAACGTCTTGAAGATTGAAGTCAAGTCCATTCGACTCTAAAAGAATTTTAACAATTGTATCTTCACCTTGATATGCTGCCCATGAGAGAGGAGACTGCATATTTCGATCCCACGAGTTTATCTCAACCCTGCCCGTCGCGAGAAGCATTTTGACAATGGACGCATGACCGAATGAAGAAGCCAATGAGAGTGGAGACTGCCCATTGGCATCTTTTGAGTTCAAATCAACTTCGTGTTTCTCCAATAAAAGCTGCACAATTGACTCCTTGCCGCTCTGGGCAGCGTGTGCAAGAGGGGACGTCCCATATTCATCGCCCGCATTCACGTCAACTTTGCCAGACTCAATAAGTAACTTAACTATGTTGATATTGCCACTTGAAATGGCCTGAAAAAGCGTCAGTTGGTACGGTGAATTGTTTTCCGTAGCAATCTTGCCAGTGAGGAGAAGTATTGTACGGGGAATCAGATATTGAGAATCTTCCAACCGCGAGAGTATATTTCCACCGTTTGAAAAAGTGGAGCTGCTTTGATATATTCCTTTTCGGTACGTTTTGCAAATCTCTGATAACAACATGGCTACAGAGGAGTTGCTATTTTCAATATCAAGCTGCAAAAATGCCTTAACAGAATCTTCATTTCCATTCGCAAGGGCCACAAAAAGGGGTGTTCCGAATTTTTCGTCTTCTATTTTAAGATAGTCTAAACGTGACGGATGAATATTTATGAGATATGGTGCGTTAGACTCTGCTAGCAAATATAAAAGACTGGCGTTGGACGTCAAAGGTTTGCTTCGAAGTTCGTTACGCAACCGGATCAACTTAGTGTGGTCAAACGTATTAAGGAAATACTTTTGAGAAACCCCCGCCTTCTCCGCCTCATTCGCATGATAAAAGATGTTCTGCAAGCAGTAACCAAGAAAAGGGAATATTCTAGTCGTGAGAGATTTTATTTGTGGCCGCGATATCTCTGAATTCCAGTAGCTGAGTATTTGATTGATGTAGCTTATGCAGCATTCTTTGAGGTTATCGTGGTATTGACCCCGTGAGCCAGGTTCAAGAGTAGACCAAATTGAGTTTAAGTAGCTCTCGTTGAGAAGAAACTCTCTTACTGATTCGTGAATAAATTGGACTTTGGGGACGCTGAATAAGGGAGGACCAAGTTGATAATTGCTGGTTTTAATTCCAACCAGGCCTTTTGATGAACTAAGGATAAATCGGTTGATAGTTTGCTCTGAAACTAACTCCTCATCCCATGGTTTGATGCTGTCAGGCTTAATCCCAGAGAGAATGGCAAAGTATAGTTCTTCTGGCGCTAGTGGCCGCTTCGCAAAGAGAACCCATTGCAAACACGTTGCAAGTCTCTTTTCATTAACCTCGCTTCGACAAATAATATTAGTAAAGAGATCATGTAAATCAGCAGGGATTTCACGAAGTCTTTCCTGCAAGTCTTCCACGTTGCCATCGTCATACTCCTTATTCAATATTTTGACGACAAGAACAACCCACAGAAAAATCCCAGATGACTTCTGCTGGAGCTCTTCTTTAATTAGTTGAGATAAACGGCTGCCGCCAACTCGAAGTTCACGGATGATGTATTCATTGATGTCGTTATCGTGACCTTGCTGATTTTCAAGCACTATATTCAACCCATTTCTAATGGTTATATGTGGATAGTGCCTGCTTGAAAAACAGGCCCGAAATTGAATCTGAAGCGAAGAAGAAACATCGCTAACCTCCTCAAAAAAAGACATCATATCTCGAATTTCCGGCTCATAACATTCATCCAATGCGTCAATGAAAAAAACCAGTGAAACTTCATCCAGCATCTGTATTGCCTGTATGAAGAGTTCCTTCAGCGGTTCAACGCTCCATTTGGGGTAAATTCCTCCATTTGATGTCCATATTTTATTAGCCTCGTTGAGGGACTGAAGGTGTGGGTGTTTTTGTAGAAGTTGATATAACAATGATCGATACATCCCTATCGTAGATTTTTCCAAATCTTGTCCACGCGCATTAAAGAAGAAGGAGGCTATTGTTTTATCTTGCCATTGTCTGTTTCCATTTGCAAGAATAAACTTCATGAGTGTTGACTTTCCAGTACCAGGTTTTCCCTTGACCCATAAAAAACCATGATGTTTGTCTAGGCCTGAATCATTAAGCCATTCGAGGTATTCAGAAGTCTCCAGAAGCCATTGGCATGTCTTTGAGTTTGCGTTCTTGATATTGTTTTGGTGACCATCGATCTGATCAAATTTCAAAGATTCCATCAAAGATTCACTTTGCTTCTTCTTTTCAGAATTAGACTCATCAACCCCTGGTGGGCTTAGAATTTTGGTCTTGGTATCAGCGGCATTTTCTTGAGGGTCTAGGTATGAAAGTATCTCTTTAGCTGAAGCTGCTGCCGTAGCTGCCGCGTAGTGCTGCCATTGATCGCATTTATGAGAGTCTGAATAATCGGATATGCCACGAATCACCATGTAAGGGACGTTAGCACCAAGCCCAGCTGCCTCCATTTCAAAACAGAGTATATTTCCTTGAAACTCTTGGCTAATCGTGTCTCGTTTTCGGGCACTTTTCATGACGCGATCCCCGGATGCAACCAAGCCGTAATGAATTATAGGCGAGTCAGATTGACGTGGTGGCCGATCGATACTGCGCGATATGTCACACTTTTCACAGGCAATTTGGTTCGCTGGATGCGAATAGTGAGATTCAAAGAGGGTGTCCGACTCGAGCTGTGGCCGTCTGTAAATGGATAGTTGCGAGTACTGTAGTAACATATCTGATATGAAATCCAAGATTTTGTTTGATTTTGTCATGTGATCTGAACGCATCATCTCAACAGCACTCCGTAAACGAACATGAGGTGATGGAAGAGACCCTTTAAGTCGAAAGCCAGCATCTGTATCCTTTCCCAAGTCATATTGAATCACCCCGCCATAGGTGTCGTTGGGCATGCTCACAACAACATCCCCTAGGCGGATATCATGATTATAACTAGGCACGCCTCCTCCAATTCCGACGAGTAAACGGTGCTTGACGGACGGGAATGTGCGTTCCATATCAGTGGCAACAATTGCCGCGGCGCCTTTGCCTGAGCTACCTGGAAGGCAAGCTATCACCGCATTGTGACCGCTAAGTTCACCGAGGACATAGAGGTTAGAATCTCCTTGTTTTGTCGGCAAGCGAGGATGCTCAAGACTCAGCATGTACCGTACGGCGCTCAGTTCAAAGCTCATTGCGCAGACAATTCCGACGGTATAATCATCGTAAGTCAGTTTGTTTCCAACTTGACAACTTTCATTTACAGGAGAAGGTAGGGTATTTTCACGTTTTCTTTTACGTTTATCGTGCATGGTGGGGTGTTCTGTCTGCCAGTTCATTGCGGACATCTTCCAGTCATTGAGATGAGCGTTTCTTCTTCGAGAAAACGGCGCAAGATACTGAGACGCATTTGCCGCATCAACCTAGCAGCTAGTTCGATAACTGCGATCGAAGCAATCGACATGAATTGAAATAGTAATACCCAAAAAGAGACAACAAGATGAGTAGTGATGGTCGCAAGGCTGAAGCGCCTAGAAAACACCAATGAGATCGTGTGAGGCTTGCTAGTTTGCGCTTCCCGTGATCTCGACTTCTCAAGCCTAGGCTGCTGACGTTGATACCCGAAACTGATGTCTGTATTCTTTTTGTAAAGTATGATCGATTAGCGCGCAAATCTACAGTTTACCATTGATACACGGGTCGATTGCCCGAGTAAATTGGGTACTGGATTATAGTTCGTCTTTCGCAGTTATCGACTAACCCCAACCCCAACAACAACAAACAGCCACATCTCGTTCGTCTGATGTTTTTAAGCAACAAAAAATTATAAGGTCTTTTATTCAGATACTTTGTTGAGGCTTCACGCAAATTATAAATCTCATTCGCCAAAGCACAGGCAGCTGAAGTGTTTAGCCCTGGCTGTTCAAATCTTTGGTCTCCCCCAGAGAATTCAGTTCAGCTTGAGAAAGACTGGCCTGATCTACATTGTATAGGATGCAGCTCGCCATCCTGATAGTTCACCTGAGCTTCTATTGCGAGCGTTGTATATCTCACACCCTGAATTCGATATCAATCCAACTGATATCGTTACAGACCTTAACAATATGTGAAAGCTCCTTGCATTCGTTACCCCCAACCTGAGAATGAGAGGTATTATGTCGAGAAAGATTAGATCGTTATAACGAGGAAACAACAAAGACATGCTGCCCAAGGATCTGTAAACCAAGTGGGAAACCAAGGAAATTTGGAAAATAATACCGGCATGCACCGAGAGAAAGATCGTTGATATCGTACAGCCTGTTGATGATGTTGGTATTGGAAAATATGGAGTCAGCTTGGAGTCAGCTTTAAGTCAGCTCCATGAATGCTGCCGACTTAGGTGAGGAGAGCAAGCTATTGGAGAGGCCTCGAATAATGATGGGAAATTGACCATTAGGCAAACAAGATACGATATGGAGGATTTTCATATATTATTTGGGCCCAACAGAATGCTGATTCAAACTTTAATGAACTTTCTGATTGATTAATATCATCGCGAGTTAGAATTAGTCATCCTGAATAATGCTGCTTGTCCCATAGTGGCCATGGGATACCCGAGTTGTGTAATTAGTAGTTATAATTAGTGGTCGATATCCAGTCTGGAGTTCGGATATCCCAATACATCAAAACTGGTGGCTGCTGAGATTTACATGCGGTCGTATACTATAAATGTTTGAACTAGAATATATAATGGCAATTCCACTGGCTCAACTAGACTATGACTCGTACGCTATTGACACTGTTCTGTATGTAATTTGAAGTTTAGGCTTTTGAATAACTGATATGGATTGGGTGTCTGTCATTCGTAGCTGTTCTGTCAACGCCAAATAGTAGTCGATGAAGGTAGAGAGAATGGTTCGATATATCTAGTCCCATTAGACTAGAGAACGCAGTTATTTATCACTTGCAATTCCCAACCGATATACCAACCCTTCCTGCGCACCAACCTCTCCTCCACAGATCCTCTTCCATCCATATTCAACCCCTTTTTCTCCAGAGACCCCATCGCCCCAAACGATTTGCAGATCAGGCATTATTGAATGACTGACTTTCAACCAGTCATCCCAGACAGGATCTACTTTCTGATAGTATGTTTCCGCTCCAACCGCACGGATAGCCGCATCCCGAATGCCGGATGTGTTGACCTGAATTTTGCCTAGTCGAGTCATGTCTTCGCGAGTTGTTTGCAGTTCTTCACTTGTGTAAATCTAGATACGATGTCAACACAGATATTAAATATATTCAAGAGCAATAGAGAGATAAAAAGAATTTGGTTACTTGCCTTTTGTTGACTACCAATTTGTAAAATTACAATTTTCGGGCCCGCATCTGGATAGTATTTCCCTAGAACCTCTAGCAAATGCTGTAGAGAAGAATCCCTGCCTCCAAAATCCATAATAATGACCTTCTTTGGCGTATCCTGAGGCAACCAACCCGGTAGCGTATTTGCACCATCCAATGTCTTTGGCAAATTATCATACGCAATGGTATCCGACGGTACCGCTGACCCTAACTTATTGCCAATGCTATCAATTAGACTCGGGGTCTGAGTGACTTGTAAAAACTTGACTGGGCCGGATCCCTCAGGTCTCTTAAAGACATGATAAGCGAATGAGCGCGCGGTCTTTCCCGAGGCAGATAAACTGATTAGAAAAGCTTGCGATAAATCTGCGTCTTCCTGAGTCCAAGGCAGATCGATCCCTAGCGGATGAATAGGATTAATTTGACCATGCAATTTATTCGTGACTGTTCGTGTTGAGAAAACATATTCACTAAGAAGGTATCCTGTCTGCCAAATTGGACGAAATAGGGCTTCCCAGCCTAAATCAGTCATATTGGCGGGATTTTTTACGGGAAAGTTTATTAGCGGATTGACAACATATTGGTTGTATATAGTCATTAACAGTTTTCGGTGCTCGCTGACTTCACTCCAGTGGCCGTCGGGTTGACTAGGTTCGAGTTTCAGATCTATTGGTACGTCTGCCGTAGGCCAGAAACCCCATAGAACCGCGCCTGGGCTGATTCCCGGTGTAGTGGATTCAGTTACGACTGCAAAACCCCAGGCAGGAACAATCCCCCAGCCCGCCGACTTGATAGATTCAGTGTTCGGGACTGGATATGCATCCCACCTACATCACGTTAGCCGACATGGCAAATTCCGCAAGACGCATCGGTGACGACCATACCAATGAAGAAGGGTACCGCCACGTGCATAACTAAGGTTATTTGAACTAAGGCTGATCACAGCTGGACGAACACGGACATGAGTTGGGGAATTTGTCAATTGGTTCAGCGCAGAGACGCCGAGCGACGAGAATGGGATCACTCTGTGCTGTGAATTGTCTTGTTTAGATACGACGTGGATTTCCATTTTGCTTTGGGATATTTATGTTGTGTACTTTCAGGTCAATAAGATGTAAGAAGCATCGTAAGATGCGGGTTGGGTTTGATCAGGATTGAGCACTGGGCTTACTGTTACGTACGTAGTATAATTGTTGGCGCTAATCCTATCTCGGTATGTGGCATGTTGCCCACATGCATGTCTCATCTATACTCTATCAGTTAATATGTCTTGAAATCTTATTGGCGAAACCTGGCTGTAGAGTACCATCTGATTCGACATTGTTGGCCCTGGCGATTCCCATGAAACCCTGCCCATGGGGATTGCCAAATCTCACTATCGATAGAAAGTGGGATAAATCGTTACTTTCAATGGCTGGAGCTTCGATTGGGAGATTGACCATTCTCGTGGGACTCAAGATAATACAAATATAGCAGATTCTCTGACTAGGATGTTGTATGCATTCATTCTAGCCCGGTATTTGAATCCGGGTCTTCCGTCCCAGTGCACAGACATCGGACCTACATCTCCGATTAAGTATCTCCTTCGATTTTAGTCTCCAGAGAAGGGAAATATGGCCGAAGTCGTTTATAATCGTAGTTTAGAGTCCTGATTTTGGTTGAAACCAAAAGTTGGATTTTTCTACCTATGTGTGTTCTCTTCTCGGTAGACTGTCTAATTCTTCGGCGCACCCTTAAGACCTGCGTCCTGTCCGGGGAATCACGACCTTTTCAAAATAGTTCTCCTTTGCCATCTTGACAGCCTCAGCAGTGCGTTCATCAAGATCCTCTTGTTCCAATCCCAGGTCAGCGTTGTTGTTAGTCAACTGAATTGCTGGGGCATCCGGGTAGAACATGCGGGCGTACAACAAGATGCCGAAGCCGTTGCGATCTCCAGTTTGCAACATTTGCTTTCCTCTAGCAAAGCGCTCTTTAACAGGCTCACTGCTGATTTTCCATTCGTCTCGAGTCGTTCCAGTCACACGTAGCAGGGACTCGAACATTTCTTGCTGGTTCACTTGGAACGAGGAGATGCCTACCATTTTGTTCTTGAATTGAGCAAGATGGGTCGCCTTATCGTTCGCATCCTCTGGAATTACTTTGAGGGACAAAAGACTAGCAACACCAAGAGCAGTTTTATTCCATGTGCTTGTATCCATCCGTTGAGTTCCATCATCGTAGAAGGTAACCTCGCGGTTATTGATATCAAATCCGTATGACCAGAGCCCGCAAGAAAGACTGTATTCATACCAGAACCCGCATGCAATGCCAATCCACGAGCTCTTTCCAAGCTGCTCTATTTGATCTCGAATCTTTTTCTTAGCAAGTCCGATCATGGTGTCTTGATCGGCTGATTCGTTGGCTGCGTTACCACCAAATTCATTGGGCAGAACCCAGGGAACACCAGCTTCAGCCGCAGCCACATTGAGCTTCTCTGCTTCATCGGTGGCTGTTACTGCCAAGGTAACAATTAGTACATCCTGGCCTTTTAGGGCTTCGACAAGCGTGCTAGGCTCGTTGTAATCGACTTTTTTAACCTCAACGCCTTCGGCGATGACATTGAGGCTGTCATGGCGTGTTAGGGCTGTGACCCTAAAGTGCCCCTTTTTAAGAAGAGCGTCGACAATGAACTTTCCGCATTGCCCACCTGCCTGCAGATATTTCAGTATGATGTTTTGGTAAGTCAGGCTTTCATAAGTGATGGATCGCACATACACCAACTATTGCCACATTCTCGATGCGGTTTTTGAATCCAGCGGGTTGATCTTTCGCGTAGGAGGTTGCCATTTTCAATATTATAGTTGAGGGTTTGCATTAACTTGTTCTTTCTTTTTGCATCAGATTATGATCTAAATGAAAAGTCCGTCGGTTTGGGTGTGAGCGTTTCCGCTCTTTATATTCCATGATTTCTAGTATCTACAGCACTGAACATCTTAGACCCGCAAGATGCCTATTCTCGTGGACATCATCAACGGTCAGAAAGTTGCCGAAGTCCGTTTGGGAACCGGTAATATTATAAGGTGCAGATGAAGGCAACTTGTAACTTCATAGTACATGTTCAGGTTAATCGCATTTTGTGGGGAAACAATGTCCAGGCCAGGTTATCCTGGGTGCACCGTAGAAACTCTACCATTGGATAGATAAACGGGAAAATATTATTTTAGAATATGCCGAATTGATATCGGTCGGAATTCAAGTCAAAGCCGGTCCTCACAGAGTCATTTACCTCCACAGGTCGTGGTCGACAGTGGATAGGGTTCGGATATAACGGGGATAAACTTCCGGACTTTGCCTACCGTCCGCCATGTGGCAGGGCAATTCATCGCTTCAATTAAGTCATATTATACTGCACTATATGTTTTATATGGAAAAAATTTTGTTGATATATCACTAGTTCGTAGATGGCGGGCTAGTGATGTTGGGGGGATGAAAGATAAAACAGTCAATTCCAGCGGTAACGAAGCTCAAATTCATTGGTGTTTCACATAATAAAAAGCCATATAATTAAACATATATATACACAGGATGTACATGAACATACTGCGTAGCTGTCTCTGTTGGCTTGTCAATGCTTCTCGTTTTTAAAATATATCACAAGGTTAATCAAACATTCTTCACTGACTTATACTACCTATATAAGCACTCACTGTAATAAGTGTATTACAAATAATAATGAACACCCACTATTCTACTTAATACTCATAATGATTGTTCACTGAGTAGATGTTAAAAATTACAAAAAAGCATCAATATAATAAAATTTGCTCAGAACCACCTTTGCTTATCCTTTAGTCTTGAAGAGTATTCTAACTTGAGGGTTTAGATAAATGATACTAATGATATTACTACTATTTATTATTAAGGTCATACTTAGAAAATTAATCTATCTGGAATGATTTATCGGTTTATGCTTGCTCAATAGATTAGGATGACTATCATTATCAAAAATGATATAGTAGAGCGGCTTTAGGGTACCTATTCCGAGCTGAACATGCTCAGGGATCGCGGCTGCATATGCAATTACTGTAGCTACTATTGGAATGCTTTTTGATGGGAGCTTCTAGGTAGCAAGGTTAGTATGATACTCCTAGGTTGCTAACCGACTTTTAAAGTGCTACCGAGGGACGTAAGTTTCTACAATGGTGATATACTGTATGAATCTACACATATGTGCTCAACTTAAATGAATCTCATCATTATTCTGCATCTTGTATTAACGAACACTGACATCGTCGTGCTCCAGGCTAGACAATATTAAGGTCGCTATATTGCCAGATCCAACAGTCAACAAAGTAACCATGTCTCCAGAGAATGATTGTTCATTTCCTGGCCAGCACTATTGCTAGGGTAAATGACTATTTTCAAGGACCTCAGCCATTTCCTTATACCAACTAGATCCAAATATCCTCAGCTACATTTATCCATTTTTTACTGCCCGTAGAAATCGTCTTAGAGACAAATAGGACTGAGGTCAGGAATTTCTCTGCACACCATGGTCATATATACTAACTACATCACTGCAGCACTGAACAAAAGAGGATACCACATGCCTTCTATGGTATGCACCAACAAACTGAATCCACATCACCTAACCCATGTAGTCCCGGTTACACCACTTCATTCAAAATATTCTAGGCCAGTGTCGTCCCATTTTCGCCACTCTTCAACTTGCTGCGGGTTGCTCGCGCCGCTCATACCACCACTACCGCCCCAGCCCTCGTGAGAACTCCGGGGTTGCTGTCTGGGATAAAACAGCATAGGATGGACGCCATTCCTGAATTTAGATCAGCTTATTGGTTGGTATCAGAGCCTATTTGCCGACTGCCGGGGCACACTATGACCCGGGACATATTTTAAACAATTTCTGCATGCGCTTTGGCCGTTAGCAGGAAAGTGTGATCCGCAGACCTCCTTTTCTCTATATTTCGCTATTAGAGATTTCAGGTAGGCATGCATGGCTTTAGTTCGAACCTATAATTTATGTGGTATCTCCATCCTCTTTCCTAACTATTCATACCATTATATAAAGGGAGTAATGATTTCAGATTTTTTGACTCCTCTCTCATCATAACCAGCACAACTTTCACTCAAGAAGCTACTTTAGTATAACTGTGCATTGTTTATTTACATAATAAATACATATATCACATTATGTCTATTATCATTCCACAAGATGAGGCTGTCTATCACTCCGAAAGCTTGAAACCAAGAGGCCTTCTCAAACGCATTTCCCCGGCTGAATTTCGGAAAAATCGTCTTTCGCCTTATTTCTGGGGTCAAAGGGCTGAAAAGAAATCTCCCACTTTCTCTTTAGAAACTGGATACAGGGAAGCACGTGAAATTATCGGGAATGGCACAACTCGGAGCATACAGACTATATTAGAGCGCGGTCAGGAAGTCCTCAATTTGGTATTTGATAGTCTCGACAACTCTACTGTCAACTCAAAAATAACAGTGGTGCCATTGCGCCTTTCCGACGAATTGCAGCAATGGCGTGATGATCAACTCAAACTCGGCCGCATACTACCGCATAAGGGAGATGGACTCCTTCGTACATCTCAAGAAGCCATTGAATTATTGGGTGCACAAGACTGGGCTGAACCGCTTCTCACCAACGGCGCTCTGTATGGCTCAGGGTTTGCTAATTTTTTTATTGGAGCCTATGACGCTGAGACGCTGTATTCGAACTACGCAGTTGACGTTGGATTTTTTTACGAGCATGGGTACCATAAAATCTTTCCCGAATTCGAAATGCTTGTGAGAGAAGCTCTTGAAGACCCTCACGCTAGGGGAACTTTGGGGGGCAAAGAACGTAGAGATGTGGCAGGCATGGGCCTCCAATATATCAAGAACAAAGTCATGCTGGAAGAAAAATACAAGGCGCAACTAACGAATATGACCGCAAGACTAAACCGACGCGATGGTTATCTGGTGTACTTTTGTGACAGCAGCATCTTAGGAATGGCTGGTGAGGCACTAGCACGCGGCTATGACAAAGCAGGGGTCATGAATGATTTTGCATTCAGTAACCCTGGCACCGACATCGTTGATGTGGGCTCAGATATCTACAATTCTGAGCTATTTAACTCCATTTTAAACACTGCTGACATCACAAAAACTGGAATTATCACAGAAGACAGCTTAAGGTGTGTGTATGACGCATACTCGCATGCTGGAGCGAAGATGTTTAATCAGCGTTGGTCAGAGCCTGGAGCACGTATGGTGACTGCATTGTACTCATGGCATATCCAAGACAGCAGACATGAGTTTTTAAGGCGTGCGTTATTGGGCTATCCAATGCGGCGGAAATATTTGTCTGAACAGCAAGAGGCAGACTGGTGTGAGGCGTTTGATTCTTCGTTCCACACTACAGGTTTTAGTAGGCCGATGAAAGACGCTTGCAACGGTGCGGACCCATGTGATCAAGTGAAGCTACACCTTGATCAGTGGGGTGGTAGTACTCTTCTTGCCGACTTGTGGTGGTTATTGTCGACTAGGACTGTGGAATATGCTAGCAAAGGTGTCGTGTCTAGCGATGAAGAAAAGAAGCATGCAGAGGAGCTGAGACTTGCTATGGCTAGAGCCTATTCTCTTGGGCTAGTGGATGAGATGACATGGCTAGTTGCTCACGCAAATCACCATGCGTGGCAGGTGAATTACCTATATGAAGCAGCGATGTTCGGAAGTTTGCTGGATGATGGTGGCTTGAAAGGCAAGCTTGACCGGTCAAATATTTAAACCTGTCTTATTATGCTTCACAATTTTTGTTGTATGAGCTTTTTTCAATTTCGGGCCAGTGTTTCGTCGAAAATGAAAAGTAATACTCTTTTATTTATGATTACGAAACAACTTGACACTTAGGTTTCACTCTAAGTATCAAATCCCCATCCTAAAAGTTTTCCGGGAAGGTCAAGAAATTCGAGCCGGCCGCAAAAAGACGCAGCATCGACAGTGGCAAATGCCGAGGCGTCAAAGGCGGTGGATAGACATCGTTGAGATATCCTCCGTTAACGCAACTTCATGCTTGTACAAGTGATCGATGAAAAGGATCTGACCAATACCTTGGAGGTCCCTGTAGGCCCTTGATCCGAAACGATTGAAAGTGTTGAAATAGGTTTAAGACAGAGGTGATGAGAACCTTGTTATTTTTATTATGAGGGGCTGATGGATTGGGTATATACATACAGTCACGCTATAAAAGTATTCGCGTTTTTCCGCGCACCCGCGACACGCTTAATTTTTCCCTTTTTTTCAACCCCCCCGACCTGTTCTCCGTTTCCAGGCTAATGTTTTGGGTGATGGGATATTGCTGAGCATGAGTTTCAGCCATTCTGTTTTTGATGGTACTGGGGCCGGGAAAATAATGGAGATGCTTGCTGAATGCTGCACAAGTGAGGAATATACCAGGCACATCAAGAGTTAAGGTGTCTGCAGAGTATGCTTGAAATCCAAAAGTGTATCATCTAACTGGACATGTTCATATCCCATTCTAGAGACAATCCCCAAAAGAATCTGTGTTTCCTCTCTGCATTTATGAAAGTCTCTGGTGTCCTGCAGCCTTTCAAGAACAATACAAAGGAAGAAGAAATTGTAGATCACCTGTGAGTACCAAAACCTCGGTGCGAATTCACCATCGTCTAACGGATCACATTCTGTAATCAGCTTGACTATCGTACGTAGGCAACTTACACATCCTCTATACTGCTTGGCTTTATACTGCAGATTGAATAGAAGTGAATAGGGTCGCATGAGCTCAACACAGAAATGAGGGGCAGAGTAGGTCTTAGAGATTGCTTGGATGTGCTTGCGTAGTGGAGGCATCATATCAGGACTGAAAGTCTCGAGTTTCTCTCGGTAATTCCTTTCGAATTCGTTGAATGCGTTGATCGCCCTTTTTCGGTTTTTGGATTCGTCTTCGGTGATGGGTTGCTGGATTGCACACAACTCGCGGTGGCAGCTGATGCCCAACTTTTTGTATTCCTGTTGCCGTTTATGAAATGGTTTGTCAATTTCAACATAGGAATAAAAAAGTTGTTCTCTCTGTCTGATTGATCTCAAGGCCCGTATGACAGCAAAATCGCCAATGCAGGTACGTGAGACATTTTCGGCACAGCAATGATTCATGCGGGAGGTGTTGATTCAGAGGCCACAGTCGCTGTTGAACTCGTCTGTTACTGTGACTTTGAGCTTTTCATCAAAATCGATTGAATGCTCCACTTGAAATGCGTTGTGTTGGACAATATTCGTAACAGCAAAAGCATCGATAATTGGATCGCCTTCAGGTGTGTAACTGAGTTGAGAAGATCTTCCGCCCCGTTCAGGAGAGAACAGTCTCAAGAAAGGGCCTGCTTTCGATGGATTTTCGTACAGAAACTGAGTTATCCGCGACGGAAGGAGTGCATGTGGTCCAACAGCGATTTGCGATTGAGAGAGCCTCACAGACATCGGGAATCCATCCTTCTCGAAATGTCCCATCATTAAAGCCTTTTCACAAAGCAAAAGCTCTCCCTGGCTAATGTGCCTTTTCGCAAACATCCCTTTCCCTCTACCCGCTTCGCTGCCACGACGAGTCACCGCCGGACCAATGTAGTCAGCGAAGTCTAATTGACAATTCCTTTTTCTGCTAGCCTCAGTATGCATGGTGCAGAAATCAAAAGCACCTTTGGTGGACTCCTGGACCCTTTCACGGCAGCTTTCAAGGAGAAGTTTAGTATCAACGGCGTCAGGAAATTCGGCGAGCAAAGCTTGGCAAGCCGAAGTACTCTTCTTGTATTGACGAAGAAGATACAAAGCTCGAACCTTGAAATGCATTGCCTTTTTGTTTTTAGGCTGGCAAGAGAGGACTTTTTCGCAATCACTTAGAGCACCATCAAACTGTGAGATCTGTAAGCGAACAACGGCTCTGTTGGGATGCAATGAAAATCCATAATTCGGGGCTGTCCGCCTGGAGTTGGTTGTACCGTAGTGCTGCAGTATATTTCATACTAGCTGCATGGACATTTCCTCGAGCGAACAGCTTATTCCATTGTTCTTTCAAATCCTGGGGACTCAGCTGAGGACTGGGTAGTCTGAGTTAGATATTCAAAGCCGTATAAAATTCACCTTGAAATAATTAAGTAGGTTTGAAATGGGCTTTCTACACTAATTATAACGTATTCTTATATACCCTTGCAATCTCTCAGGATAGTATATTAATTTTGTGTAACGTAATCGCGAACCCACCCAGACGGGACACCCGGCCCAGACACACACTTTCTCATATGCACAATCAGAAAGTATTCGTAGTTTTTTTAAATCCTTGCCACAAAAGAGGGTGTGTTGATATGCATAATATAAATGTAAAATTATTGATGAACAGAGATCCGCGGCAACGACAGATGCTAACAAATTGATAGGTTTATCTATACAGAGCCTATAAAGCAAAAACGCAGCCTCGATATATAATCAGGTAATTATGTAACCCTTTTGGAGGAGTATGTATTGACGCCTCGTAGAGTGCTTGTATATCATTGGTAGGATATACACATGACTCTCTTCAAATACCAGTCAAGATAATTCTGCCAAATCACGTGATAACCATCAAGCCCTACCTTTCCAGCCTGGAATTACTAATTGATACTTTAGGCCAGTACTCCCAATTAGGAGCTCTAAAGACATAATTAAGGAATTAACACTAGCACAGATCTCAACTTGTACCACCATGGGGGTCACTTTGTCAGTGTGGTGGCTAAGAGCCGATCTTGTGCTGGTTTCCTCTATCTGTCTAACAATAGTGCCCACGTGTATACCAGTCATATACTCGGAGATTTGACATTTGTGGGGAATATAGTTGGTAAATGACTCGCATAAGGGTTAGGCGATCGCGGGGAGCCTCCTAAAAAGAAATTAGGAGAGCTTCGTATGATTCTTCCGTTTTCACTTTCTCTCTCAAAAGCTCTGATTATTTTCACACAATGATAACGAATTTCTTTATTAAAATCTAGATGAATAAATCACTTTTATATCTGACATCGATCTCAATAATAGGACAAATTTCTAAATAATGATGGGAATCTAAGGCAAAGTGTAACCGCCGTCAATTATAATGTTCGCTCCGGTCATGTAACTGCAAGCATCACTTGCTAAGAAGACGTATGCCTGGTCAAATAGGATTAGACAAGGTTGCAAACATCGAGAATTTATACTTACGGACTTAAGCTCTGCTGGATCGCAGATTCTTCGTGCGGGAACCATTGCGAGCCATTTCTCAAACAGCTCCTTTGGTTGTTGAGTAAGCACTATTATAATAATTAGCCACATTTTCTTTTTATAGAGTTAGTACTACAGGAGATATGCTTACTTTCTGTCATCATAAATCCAGGGGAGATGCAATTAATTCGGGCAAAGTCGACCCATTCAACAGCCAAACTCTTAGCCAGGTGTAAGGCTGCCGCCTTGGAGGCATTATAGGCAACCTGGGTCTGGGGGATATTGACTAAAGTGGCGCTGACCGAAGCGGTTATGATAAAATTTCCCTTTCCCTGCTTCTTGAAGATCTTTCCAGCGGCCTGGGCAGTCCACATAACCCCGTCATAGTTGACGCGGTTGTCTCTAGCCCAGGTCTCTTCTGTGTACTCGAGGTTAGGCGAGTTGGTGCAGACACCTGCATTAGCCACCACAATGTCAAGACGACCGCGTCCAAACTCCTCTGTAATCTGATTGATGGTGGCAGCAATGTCTGATCGGATAGTGACATCGGACTGATAAGCCTGCACCCGCACCCCGGTCTCTGCCGCAACGTTGGCAGCTGTCTCGGGAGCGTTTACGCTTGTGGTGTAGATGATTGCCACGTCGGCCCCGGCTTCTGCGAGGCCTCGGACCACTTCCAGGCCAATGCCTCTCGCGCCACCAGTAACAGCCGCAATCTTGCCCTTGAGGGAGAACTGCGAAAGCACGGGGGCATGCACGTCTGGAGGCTGGTAGAGAGGCATTTTGAATGTGGTGGTTTCAAAGATTAAAAGGATTCTAAAATTCTAAGAGAGGGGATATGAACGATAATGATGAATTTGTTGATGAAAAAGTCGAGAGGATATTAGGACTTCGTTAAATAATTAAAGATGTGCTATGCCGTCACGATACCGAGCAGATTGAATGCTATCACGAATTTATCGTGTCGCTTCTTTCGTCTTTTTCGTCCTCGTGATATTCGCACGACAAAACTACCACTACAGGCAATATATCCGAGAATGAAGCGAACCATACACCACCTAACCGAAAACGGCAATTTTGGCGGCTTGCAGATTCTCACAATATTTTACCCGGCAAAGTTTTGTGTTTATCGTAGATGTCGATAATGAACATCTTTTTTATTCACATTACTCAATAATTTGTTCAGACTTTCAAACGATAATTCATAATTAATAGCGATGGCAACGACCATTGTTATCTGATTCCGAGTTACATCTAAGTACATCTTCTATCTCCATGCAGCGCGTTCATTAATAATCTTGATTTCTATTACATTCCTGAAAAATACCCGCCAAAGTCATATTCCAATCCCCAAAGGCGACAAACTCGCTGATCTATTCAGCCTAAAGGGCAAAGTCGTCGTTGTGACTGGCGCATCCAACCCCCGTAGTATCGGTTTTGAGGCAGCTCGCGGATGTGCTGAGATGGGCGCACTCGTAGCAATCACATACCTTGCCCATGAAGAAGACGCAATCAAGAACGCGTAACAGCTCACAAAGGAGTTCGGCGTCAAAGCTAAAGCGTACAAATGTGATATCCGCGATTACGATACTTTGAAGTGAAGGGGCTGATTGATTCTCTGTTATTGGTGATTTAAGTCAGATTGACGGCTCATCGACGACGCCGATCAAGCAGCCAATTCCGGTGTTTTGGATGGAGGATACACTGCCTGGTAATTTTTCATTGTTATTTAAGATATTATACATAGAAAAGTGACCTTGAATATTATTTTTTTAATCATGTTTACGGGATGAACTTCAGTATTTGGAATAGGAACTTCGCAATTGAACAAACGTGCAACTATAGCTCTGTAGTCCCTGACTCAACCATATTATGTGCATGCTGTCTCTCATCTTACCCAATGATTTCATACATCAATTCAAGCTTTTAGAGATTATATGAGGTTGACATGTTCTGGGAACAGAAACTTTTGCGGACTGGATGCGATTGGCTGGTAAGAGGAGGGGAAATTCTCCATATGTGAGTAACCCCATGACTGATGAAAGCTCAAAATGTGGGGAAGTCGGTGGATCTATGTATAGGGTGCAAATGCGGGTTATCGCCAAATTTGCCCGATCCTCTCATGGAGACAAGACAGTCATGTTGGAGAAGGTTGACCGAAAATAACTGGAGCAAGTGGGATGCTCCTTAGCGATAAGAATTTTGTCATCACGTTGCTTTTTTCATGCGGGGTATATATATAGACAGTTTACTTCAATTTCTCAAAATTATCGAAAGTCAAACAACACACCAATTTACCTTGGATAGAATTGTCCGGTTGAAATAAATTCAGAATGGAGGTGTGTATATCGACTCTATCCTATACGAATTCCCAACTAATATTATTTTAGAACGCATCTTTCGTTCTCAAAGATATCAAGAGTGTTGTTATTGAGGATCGACCAAAGCCGCGGCTTAAAGATCCTCATGATGTGATGGTACATGTTGCACAGACCGGTATCTGCGGTAGCGATGTAAGTTGTTACCTTATGACTTGTTCCTACAATTTGACTGACATATTTGACAGGTTCACTAGTAAGTGTTCTATTACTAAAGTATGTTTAATCCTGGTACTGACTCTATTAAGCTGGCAACGTGGCCGCATTGGTGACTATGTTCTTAGCGGCCCCATGGTCCTAGGACATGAATCTTCTGGTGTCGTCGTTGAAGTAGGCGATAAAGTAAAAAACCTGAAGCCAGGCGACCGCGTTGCCCTTGAACCTGGTGTCCCATGCCGGCGGTGCGACTATTGCCGTGGAGGAAACTATCATCTTTGTGGTGATATGATCTTCGCTGCCACTCCTCCATGGGACGGTACACTTGCCAAATATTATATCAATGCCGCAGACTTCTGCTACAAAGTGCCTGACTCTATGTCACTAGAAGAAGCAGCTATGGTTGAACCCGTCTCTGTAGCCTGCACAATCGGCAAAACAGCCGATCTCCGTGCCCACCAGACTGTTCTCGTTCTAGGTTGTGGTCCTATTGGAGTTCTCAGCCAGGCTGTTGCCAAGGCCTGGGGAGCAAAAACCGTCATTGGCGTTGACGTGGTGGAATCTAGGCTTGAGGTTGCTAAGCAATTTGGCGCCGATTACACCTTCTCTCCTCCACGAGTGGAGCCTGGTGAGGATCCTATTGCGCATGCGGAAAAGGTCGCAAACTTATTGAAGGAGAAATTTAACCTTGGCGAGGGGCCTGACGTTGTTTTGGAGTGTTCCGGTGCGGAGCCATGTGTTCAATTGGGAATCTTCGCAGCCAGGAGAGGTGCGACTTTCGTTCAGGCTGGCATGGGCAAGGAGAATATCTTGTTCCCAATCACAGCCGTCTGTGTTCGAGGGTTGATCATTAAGGGATCCATTCGTTACTTGACAGGGTGCTACCCAGCTGCAATTGACTTGATCTCCAGCGGACGCATTCAGGCCAAAAAGTTGATCACGAACAGATTTAAATTTGAACAGGCCGAAGAAGCTTTTGAGTTAGTTAAGGCAAGACGGCAGGACGTTTTCAAGGTTATGATTGCTGGCGTTGATTACTGAACATTTTATGTGTGTAAAAAAAGGAAAATATAGATTATGTTAATTTCACTATTTTTACTATATCAAAGAGAATCGATAACAACGAAGAGGACTTCAGTGAGAAAGGCTTCCGTCCGTGCTGACATGGAAGCTCCGTTATAGGAAGTAATAAGATTTACATCTGATATTAATGTTATTGTGCCTGAGTATCTACATTAAAGTTCTTAAATATGGCGACCTCATTACTTTTGCTGTTGACTTGGATAGGACCATGTTTGTCTCGGCTCTTCAAGGATAAAAGCCATTTAAGGTAGCTAAATACATTTAGGGGTTCACATCTGTAGACCTCTTTACATTTTGTCCTTCTACGTCAAATAAAGTTGTTTTTACGTCCAAAAACTTCCTAGTATAGATGAAAGAACCATCATCCTTCGCATAATTTCTCATCACCAGTCGACATGATTGAACTATCAGTTGATAATTTACATCAATAAGCAGTCTCATTCTTCCAAATTTGTAATCTCGTAATGTGTAGCTTCCCCGTCTCCTGAGAACATCTGCTTACTTTCCATAATACCCTGCCCTGACTCCTTCATCTGTTTCTGGTATCGCTTAGCAACGAGGCGTGTGGGCGTGTCATGTTCAGCGTAGAGTAGGTTAATTTCTTCTAGGGTAAGATTGGCGGTTTCGGGATAAAAGAAGTAGACCACAGGGATAAACGTAAAATTGAGGCACATGAAGATGAGATATGCCTTCCATCGCAGGTTATTGATAAGGGTTGGAGTGATCATGACAATGAAGAAGTTCTATCTCATATTAGCTTCGTTTTTCCACTTATATAACCGGTGATAAATGTGACAGATACTAACCCAGATCCAATTGGATGAAATGGCTATAGCACTTCCCTTTGCTCGAACATGGAGAGGCAAGATTTCTGGCACATAAACCCAAGGGATACAAGCCACAGTGGCGCCATATATGAGCATGAACAGATAGAAAAAGGCCACGCATGCGGAAGATGTGACATGACCATGTGCAGTACCCTGGAAACTCAGGAGGATGGCTACAAGCATCATTGATATGCCACATCCCAAAGACCCCCAGATCATGGGCTTCCGCCGTCCAATACGATCCGCTACTAGCGTTGGGAAAATGGCACCGACGACGAACATGATATTGATTCTATTTGGTCTGTTAGACTGTGCATTGAATGTCCCCAGGAGGAAGCCTACTTACGTTGCGCTGAGGAGAACTGACATATTCTCCGACAAGCCGACATTATTTTTAAGCGCCGTGGGCATGTAATAACTACACAAGCGTTAGTTTGCTGAAAACATCGATAGTCATAGAGCGATTGAAGTGATAGGGGAAACAAACACTATAAGATTAATCCCTCCCATCTGGTTCATAAACTGCATTCCATAAGCTAGGAGAACGCGTTTCCCTGTCTGGACTCGGTCTTTCTTGAAAATTCGGCGCCATGAATACTCGCCGGCTACGGATTCCATCTGCAATGCCTCCATGATAACAGTCTGTTCTTGAATTACCTTCTCATCTTCAGGGCTCATATCATAGAGTTCGCATAATACGTTAATAGCCTCTTCGTTTCGGCCCTTGCTATACAAGTATCGAGGAGATTCTGGTAACCCGAAGACCATGAATGTGACAATCTAATTGAAATAAGTGTCAGTATACATCATTGAAAGAAAGGCAAATGTATCCCACCAAAGCAAAGATTAGTTGGCATGCAACAGGCACTCGCCAGCCAACTGGTGAATCAATATGCACCATGCCATAGTCAAAGAACGCCGCTATTTGAAGTCAGTGAAGCCCATCAAATAAATTTTTGAAGGAAGACTCACAAACAACAAGCCCGATCCCGATGAATAAAACCTCCGAGGACACCAAACTGCCTCTGTTCGACGCATCGCAAACTTCGCTCTGGTAGACAGGGACTGTGGAAGTCTCAAAGCCCGTTCCAATACCAGTAATGAAACGCCCAACCATCAATTGTGCAAGACCATATGTTGACGCCTGCAAAGATGCCCCAACCTAGTAGAAATGCGGGATCAGTTCCGTCGCCTCTCAAAGCTGTGAGTAGCAAGTTTCACCACATACCACAATCCAGGCCATCGCGAACCAGATGGAGCGCCGCCTGCCAAAGTAGTCTCCAAGAAATATGTTCAAAATACACCCAGAGAAACAACCCAAATTATATATGCTGAGCATAATGCCCTCAGTCGAATCATCAGGGTTGTTCACCACATCGAGGAAATTTTTGTTTGTAACCAAGCCACTCATCACCCCTTGGTCATAGCCTATTACACCGTAAGCTAAATATATAAAATCACATGGTGTATACCATATAATAGCGACTTACCAAAGAAGATAAAAGCAATCTGACATGTAAATGTGATGGCCCAGCGGAGGCCTCGACCTTTGCCAAAGATATTGAACTTCATGATTGATTTCTTCAAGAGATTGAGGACATGAACCAAAATCAATAGTAGATTCTATTCTAATCTACCTCTAATCAAGTATTGGACTAACATCCAGGTTTCATCTAAACCCCATGGCGTGAGACATCACATTTTATATACCAGCGTAACATCGAGAGATAACTATGCCTCAATAAGAACTTAGGCTACGAAATCCCCATGGAGACTTCTCCAGATTTTACCTCTTTGAAGGGGGCACTGACTGGTAACCCGCGAGGGCTCCTCCTCGCACAGGGAATTATTGGCCCAGCCATACCTTTCACTGTTCCAGTCCGAGAAAATTATGCGTGAGAGCGCTGGGTGGGTCCAAAAATGCAAACTAATCCATATACAGGAATTTTCACGATATACTAGAAGAGGTAACTTTAGCTTACATCTTCCTAATCTTCAGATGACATATTTGCCCAAAAAACTTGGTGATGCGCTATTTTATATAGATTTACGTAGAATGAAAGGCCCAGAGAAAGTATAGAATACCATGAATCGTTACTTAGCCCCACAAGTCTGGCCGGAAACATGAATGGTTAAACAAGTGGTGGCAAAAATATCCCCGTTGATGTATACATCTTTGTATAGGAACCAAGGAAAAGATCTTTGCTGAACAATTCCTTATAGATATCAAATCTATTCTTGATTGTGTAGTCAAATATGAATCTTTTATATTCCATGCTATTGTGACTCGTTAACCGGTAAAGTCTATCTGCTGGAACAGACTCGTGTTTGAAATTGCCACATAGATCTCCTCAGTAATACGCTGCGCTCTCTCGCATGGCACATATGCTGATGGTTTTACGGAGAAGTTTCAATGACTAAGTATCCCTGGACCGACCACGACGTTACCATTTCCAAATCCAAGTGACTTAACGTCCCCTCAAAAAAGAACATTTTTCGGTAGTTGTAATGCGTATGCTTGTCGCGCATACCAGCCATAGAACGGCCACACTAACGGGATTATTCCCACCCGCAGCTAGGCGATGCATATACCCAGCTCGTTGGTGTGTCGGACGCAGGTTGTTGAGCCAATGCTCTGTCAGCCTTTCATATGATCCTGACAGAGACTCTGCAGAGCCAATATATATCAATATTGCGACTTTCAGATGCAAATATCGGCACCTTTATGCTCATGGTGATTCAGCCATCGGTCTCTCTTCAATTCCAAGCGCTTCATAAGGCAGGTCCCACTCTTGGAGTAAGGTTTTGACCCGGTATTCGGTGGCGATGCCTAAAGAGTCTTGTATGTCCCTAAACATTCCAACTAGGAGATGCCTGTCCGCTGTATCCGTGCAGCATCGACCTGCAACATACAAAGGCTGAATGGCTCTTAGTTTTACTGCGTCACAGAGTGTTCCTTGAATGATTGCGATGACTTCAGACGCGTGAAGGTGTAGCTGCCGTTCAATGATCCGGTAAGTGTATAATAGATCGAATGGAGTTCGTTCTCCTTGTGAGATAGAGCCGAAGAGAAGGAGGGAGGGGCGATGGATAAGCAGGAGCATGCGAGCCATATGGTAGTACATCATAGTGGTGGCGCATAGGTCATTGCTAAACCAAAGCTCACGGCCAAATAATTTCGAAGTTCCGCGCTCGTCGTGCCGGGTTAAGAAGGACCCGTCTGGATGAAATGAGGGTGAGAGGATCTGAATCCACGAATCGAATTGGTTTTCCAGGTATATGTATTCCGCATTCGTATCCCCCACTGACGTTGGTCCCCCATGGGGCAGTAGAGGGTCAGGGTTCAGTATTGGAGCTAAGTAGTCGACAAGCTTGCATACCAGTCGTATGAGTGTATAGGACAAGATTTTATCTCTTGCATGTTCTGGCGTAGCAGACAAACTGTTGGAGCTGAAACTTGTAGTAAGTCTGCCATCGTCCTCAATAACGAGACCCATGTTGCGCCAAAGCGAAAGATTCTCCGTATCTATGCGCGTCCGTCGATGTGAAACAACTATTAAAAAAGTGTCAGTCATTGCTTGTAAACAGATTATCTGTTTGGTGACTCACATGATTCTTCGAAGTCATTAACGACAAAATTCCAAAAGCCAGCTTTGAGTTCCATAATGTCTTTTGTGAAGGGATACACCTGAGAGAACATTGAATTCGGTTCCAGTAATTTGCCATCGTCAATTAGATCAAGAAGCTTGGAGAATCCAGTCAAATGTCCAGCCCAAGCATTCCCAGTTGCGCTTAAATGTTCATACTGGATAAGAATGCATGTGCCTAGCAATCTAACAATAGGGTCCTCGCCCTCGGCTTGTACCATGAGATCGCCTTGTGATAATGACACTGATGGAGAGACGTGGTTGTGGAGATTTTGCGTCGATTGATTATCCTTAGGTGTGATAGACTTGACGAGCGTCTGTATTGCTCTCTCGTAGTATTTTGCGCTGTACCAGAGAAAGCCTAGCCGACTTTGAGTGAACTTTAAAGCGATCATCTTTTGAGTCTTTCCTCGAAGAACATCCGAGACAGGTATTCTCATTTGACCAAGCTGCTTAGCAGCGACCGCACAGGCGGCATAGCGCAGTATGGGATGGTCTCGGGCCAGGGTTAAGGTTTCACGACTGAAAACTTCATAACGGTAGAGTAAGTCCATCCTGATGGCAACATTAGGGTCAGATGTATTGAGCAGAATCTGCCAAATATACTTACCAAGGAGCTATGCATTCCGAATAATGCCGGAGGAGGAACAGTTCCTCCTGGGAGTCCTTGAATGAATCGATTGTCGAATCCCCGGGCACGCAGTTTCTTTCTGGAATGGTGGATTCAAGTGTCTCAAGGTCTTCAAGTCTGTTAGCTGCTGATATATAATAGCATCTGCGTAGATAACGATATACACCTACTTCTCGAAGAATCAACCTCCAGTAAAATGTCTTGTACCTCAGTGCTGTTCAAGATCGAGTGACCCACAGTGGAGTTCTCGGCAGCCGGCTGGTTGGCTGTATCTCTCGTAGTGGTGGTCTCAACAGGGAAATTGTTGATTGGCACATCACTTGGTAAGAGGACTGTTTGAGCATAGGCGTCCAGCCCTGGCGGACTAGCTATTACGGTCCTACCTCGACGGACTCTTGAAGCTACAGACGTTAGATCCAGGCTGACTCTTCGGAAGAATATGTCAACATACTGGGAGAGTCTTCGCTGTTCGCCCCTATGAAAAGAACTGAGTCGTTCACGTCAGGCCTGTCAGCCTGCGTCGTGTGGTTGGCCCCATTCTGCTCGACTGTGAAAGCGTGTTGCTTGAAGACAGAGTCTAGAATTCGACATTTCCGGCCCCCTTTCTGGCACTGGCCACAGCGAGGCTGACTCTCATCGCATTTGATTTTGCGCCTGCGGCATTCAGGACTGTGGCAAGTCAGCAGAGGTCGTCGTCATCGTCGTCACTCTCTAGGGACTCGGAGCACGCACCAGCCTTTCCGCGATCGCCTTGCACTTCGGGGGTGAGCACCAACGTCGCTGCTACTAGTAGCAGTGTTTCTCGACTGCACCATCCCTTAGGTTTTGTATTTGCTAATGAATAAGGAATACTCCCCGAGGCGGGAGTTAGCATGAAAAGTAGATAGAGGGCGCGATTTGCAGCATGCGCGAACAGAGAGTTCTGCACGGAGGGGCCGGATAATTTTCCTATTACGGGATAGGCGGTTCCGCTGCTGGTCCATACTATCAACTGATCTAGGGAATTTATGCGGAATTGCGCTTGCTGACAACTCTTAAATTCTACCTCATTGCGTGTGCTATTCCCCGCCTTTTCAATAACCCCTTAAGCGTTATACCCAAGCGTTTCATAATAAAAGTCACCTAGTTCATGTGATATCATTTTATTCTTAAACAACCCCGGAGAATACGATCAATATATCCCCGCAAAACCCGCACTGACGAGAGCTGTGCGGGGGGATTGCTTGAAGAAATGTATAATTAAACCCTACCTTTGAAAGTGACGTTTCGATGTCGCGTAAATCCCCATTCACAGTAATTGACCCCGTTATCAAACTTTATACTAGCCTCGTCAACCCCTAACATACAACTAGTGGGCCAAAGTTACGATACTGAATCCGCCTCCCGCTAGCATATTACCCCGGACTCCAGTATACAGGACTGGCGGTATAGTTGACAGGAAGCTGAGTATAAATAAGGTCATGGGTATCGGGTATTAGGATATCCAACCTTCTCTCTATTAACGTCTTCATTTTTGCAACTAATTTCTTCACTATGGTAGCTTCCAACACTGAGAAGAAGCCTTTCCTGGGGCTGACAGGCGGGTGGTTGACATTTTGGATCACGGTAGCTACATTACCCTCAACAGAGAATATCTTTTCTATGGACTAACATGCTCTCGTTGTTCAGTTCGCGTGTGCGACTGATATGACCCTTTTTGGCTACGACCAAGGTGTCTTCAGTGAGATCTCAGATCATGAAAATAGAGATAGGCTACTGACAATCCTTCTCGATTACAGGTGGAGTTGTTGTCACACAGAACTTTTTGGAACTTCACGATCTAGTTGGGCCTTCTAAAACAAAGATTCTTTCCACCGTCTCTGCTATCTACGATGTTGGCTGTTTCATCGGAGCTGTTATAGCATTCACCATCGGAGAACGCCTAGGGCGGAAAAAGGCTATCATCTTTGGTACTACTATTATGACTATTGGAGCCATCATCCAGGCGTCCTCATTCAGTCTTCCACAGATGTTTGTAGGGCGAACAATCCTAGGGTAGGTGGCCCCCCAAGCCTGACCTATATCTTGACTTTGTTTGGCCTGACATGAATATTAAGCATCGGCAACGGCATCAACACTGCAACCGCGCCTATCTGGCAGACTGAAACTGCCGATTCCAAGTGGCGTGGAAAACTTGTTATCATCGAAATGATGATGAATATTGCCGGGTTTACGCTTGTTAATTGGATTAATTATGCGCTTTCTTTCAAAGGAGGCGCGTTCGCGTGGCGTTTCCCACTTGCATTCCAATTGATCTTCAACATCGCACTCTACGCAACGGTACCTTGGCTACCGGAGTCTCCTAGGTGAACTTGCAGCCCTTTCTTTAATTTTCCAATAAGCGAACAGATAATTAACAACGTATATTCAGATGGCTTATGGCGCATGGCCGGGAAACCGAAGCTCGAGAAGTGCTTTCGTGCCTGCAGGCTAAACCTGTCGAGGATCCCTATGTGTTAACTGTATACAATGAAATCGAGTACAGCATCCAGTACGAGATCGCAAATGCAGTACGATGGAGAGATATCATATTTGGAAAGAAGAATGCGAACGACACCAAGACCTTACGAAGGCTGCTTCTCGGTGCAGGCACGCAGTTCATGCAGCAGTTCGAAGGAATCAATATCATGTCATACTATCTACCTACCGTGCTCATCAACTCAGTTGGTCTCAGTAATGAGAAAGCTCGGCTCATCACTGGAATCAACGCAACGACCTATCTTGTCATTTCATGCGTCTCCGTGCTCCTGGTCGAGCGAATGGGCCGTAGAGGCTTGATGCTTCTTTCAACAGCCGGGCAGGGCCTGTCCTTCTTGATCATCACTGTTTTACTTTGCTATGCGGAGAGGAGTTCTAATGGATCAGCCGTTGCTACTGCCTCTGTTGCTTTCTTTTTTCTCTATTATATCTCCTTTGGCGTGGGGATGCTGGGAGTTCCGTGGTTGTACCCTACCGAGATCAACTCTCTTCCTATGCGTACAAAGGGCGCAGCTGTGGCGACAGCTACTAATTGGTGAGAGTGTACCCATTATATTTCTACTATAAATGGTACTAATACTGGTAAACTTTATAGGATCACCAATTTCGTCATCGTCGAAATCACGCCGATTGGAATTCAAAACCTTGGCTGGCGATTCTGGATCGTTTGGACGGTGTTCAATGCTGCTTTCATACCCGTTATTTACTTCTTTTACCCCGAAACTTGTAAGTATCATAACATTATTCTTCCTCGTGAGAATACTTGACTAATTTGTCTCTTTAAGCAAACCGTATCCTCGAGGATATGGATGCATACTACCGATCAAACCCATCACTGATCGTTACACGCGATAAGGACGCAATAAGCACAAAACGACCGCAGAAGTTTATCCAGCAAGAGAACGAGGAATTGCAGAAAAACTTGAGGCGAGCATCTGTTTCTGCTGCCGGGGATACCAAGGATCTAGCAGAGCACGTGGACTAAGCATTGTCTGAAGGATTTAACAGCAAATCAAAGCTTAGTGGTAAATTTAAATATATTAAAATACAAACTTGAATCGTAAAGAGCTCAATTAGCTAGACATATTTGTATATAAATTTATATTATTATTTCTTATCAGTGGTAAGGGATTGGTAACTAATTTTCATCACATTTTGGCGTGGCGTTTTGGGGTTAGTGATCGTAATATTTGGAGAAGTAAGTAAAAAATATGCAGGAGATATGCTTATTTCGCTCTTTTTGAATATTATTCTGAAAGAAACAGACTAGCTCTATCAGATACAGTCTCCAATTTCAGCTTCATTTCGGCGTGAATATATATTCTTGTGGCGAGGGCTATGGTTTTGCTAGCGCTACCTTACATGTATTTACGGTGGACTATATTGTATTACTAATGCCTCCAGAACTGCGGAGCCCCGCTAACAATTCTCTTCCAACGACACTACAACACTCGCCATATCGTTGCCAACATAGTGTCAAACAACCAATCGCTACTGCAGTTGCACAAAGTAGGAATATCCCTAAAAAGGCTCGGTAGAATGGCCGTCCAGCAAGACTCAGCTCAACAACAGCCCGCGAAACCCGCCTGGAAGCAGCTGTCCAATTTCACCAACGGACACCCTCTCGGCATCGAAAAGACACTGCGTTTGATTCAAGCTATTTGCCAAGTTCTTGCATCGAGCATATTCATTTCCTATATCCCCAATGCCGTGTATGCTGTAGGGTGTGCAACGGCCAAGAATCAGATTGCGTTAGGTGTGTTTTCTCGATAGCGTCCTCGCACACCACCCCGATCTAACCGTAAATTCATCGGCAAAGCTCGTCGGTATTTGAGATTTTTCAAATTCATTGAATCTTTCAATGCTGGCTATACAGCATGGCAAGTCCCTGCGGCTACAGGAACCGATTCCGTCAAAAAGTTGCTCGAGGTTAGCAAATGGACTGTCCTAGGCGTTTACTTTCTAATGGAGGACTTCACCATTGTAAGCTCTTATTTCTACCCCACATATAAATGGCTGTACGCAAGTAAGACAATTAACGAGTAAGCTCGACGCAATGGGTGTCTGGGTAGCGCCATGGGCTCAGGACCTTTTCACCGAAAGCAATAAATGGTGGTTCTACGCTATCTCGCTGAGTCTGATTGGCTCGACTTTCAGCCTCTTTTTCCCACCGTCGCAGTCCAATTCAGAGGCTGACAAGACAACGAAGACGGAAAACGAAAAGAAGCCAGTAGTTAAACAGACACCGGATTTGACACCTCTTGTGAAAAAAATAATTGTTGATGGGTGTGATATCTTGCTCCCGGGAAGCTTTCTTGGATGGATCCAGGCAACGCCGACGCAGGTTGGTGTTGCTATGATTGTCAGCACGTTGGTGACTTCGAAGGATATTTGGGTCAAGGTTAATATGTGAACTGGAATTCCGAGTTCCTTTTTTGAATTCATTGCTGTGTTTTGGTGATGGCTTGAAAAGAAATGAGCGACGAGAACGGAAATTTAGTTTTCAATTACTTGCGCAATGTTGATAAATATACAGGAGGTATTAGACATAGTAGAAAGTGAAATGGTTATATACTTGGTTATTACTTCCCCTCAGACCCAGTGGCTTTATTGAAAATATCCGTCGTGTGCTCCCAAACTTTCTTTCCTACTCCGTTTGCTAAATAATCCTTGACTAGCACCGAGGACGATTGCTTTGAGTCAATCGGTGCTGTGTCGAATCCCAACCTATAAGCTCCACTACCCTTCTCACCATCCGCCCCCGTCGTCGCGACATTCTGGTTCTTTGGTGAAAATAGTGAAGTCGTCGCTGCATAGGTATGCCTCTCTCCAGATTCTGAAAGTGGCACAATGCCGATGCTGGATGTAGGGAAAGGCTTCAGCAACAGGAACAGCAAGCTCGTTATGCCTTTAAGGATAGGGTTGAGTTCACGCGCCGCATTGGTTTGCACCCCGCCAGGATTGCTGTGTAAAAAGCTAACTGAGGGGTTGGTAGCGGCAAAATGGATCAAGGATAGAGAGTTCATGGTAATGGCGTGTCCCGCGGCATTCGATAGGCTGTAGTTAGTCTTCAGATCCAAGTCGGTCTCGACCAGTTTTTTTTCGTTTCCAGGGCCGAGGACAGAAATGACTCGTGCGAGGCTGCCTGAGGAACCGGCAACGTTGAGTTGTGGGAGAAGGTCCTGAACAAAGCGCATACGGGCGTAGTAATGCAGACTTAGTTTCCTATCCAGGCCCTCGCTTGTTTCTACAGCGTGTTAGCAATTCTTCTCATGACAACACCAGGGGAATAAAATATACCAGTTCGTCCCTGCATAGTTAGCACACCAGGAGTCATAAAGAGCAGATTCACTTTTTCTTCTTTCTTGCCAATCTCCTGGCATGCCTCGTCCACGCTCTTCAGCAAGGAAACATCAGTCTTGATAAAGCTAACTTGAGCCGAGTCGTTGATACCGCGTAGTTCGGTGATTATCTGCGATGCTTGGGACTCATTGCGACCGATCAGATAAATATGAGGCGCAGTGGCATTGCGGGTGAACTCCCGGGCTGTCGAAAGACCGATGCCGCTTGTTCCACCGACTATTCAATCATATATCAGCAAAACAGATATCTATATCGAAGGAGAAAGTAACCGATTTACGCACCGAACACAGCGACTAGGCCAGAGCCAAGCTTTTTGATAGTCGCGTTGTGTGCGCGAATCTCGGAGATAGACACCATTGTCCGTTTCTGGAATGCGTGAGTCGGGTGTGATTCTTTATAATTAATATTACCAATGTTCCTGGTGGATAGGAACGGGAAGGGCACAGTTAGGTTTATGTTCCCATGTACAATATATAAAAAATTGATACAGCTTGATATAGGCAGCAGCTGGTGACGAAGATGGTGCAAGAGCTGACCAGAGCTTTTCTCGGGTGTCGGGAGGAGGAGCTATGACGTGCCCCGCTACGGCCGAATTCATCCGGATTGAGGACACGGACAATGCTCGGTCGATTCTTGGCTGATGGCAACGTGAACTTTTCTGTTACAATCCACAGGAATATGCCACAGCAAAGGTTATAACGGGTGGTGAGTATATATACAGAGTATAGCAGCACAAAGCAATTGACCTTCTGATATACTCCGCTAGTCAGAAAACAGTTAGACTTGTACAAATATAAATTAGCGCATTCCATCGCAACAATGATATAATCGATCGTTGGCAATTATCAAACGATAACTTGATCATAATACAGGAATCAGATGTAGAATATTATAGCTTCATATGATGATTGAATATAGTGCTTCGATTGCTGACTTTACAACATCTCGTACATTTGATATGTGGAGCGGGATCTTTGGATTGAAATGTTATACATACATGCAGCTAAAATGAGAAACATAGAGCTGATAAATGGACGCTAAAATTCAATACCCAGTCATCGCACTGTTTAGCTCACCCCACAATTTTCGTGCCAGACTATTTCGCATGACTTCTGCACGTCTTGATGCCCACCAGCACTCTTGCTTCGGCAATAGAATGTCAACAGCTCGGTAGAAATGATATAATAAGAAATGTGCCCGCGGGTCATTGTCGAACAACATGTTCATGAACCTTTGATGAAACATAATCGAGAAAGTGAACACCACTCTCGATACATCACCTAGTATATCAGATTGTACATCTAGAATAGATGCGCTCTTTGCGTCTCCCCTAGCAGTGTCTTCTCTGCTTGGTAAAAGGGAAAGAAGAACCGAGAGTCGTCGAGCAACGTCCATAAACGCTTCTTGCGAACATACCTGCTGATCATGCCACTTCGTAGGATCATGTCTTATTGAGTTTAAGTCTCTATGTTGAGCTAACTCTGGTCGATCAGGTAGTTCATAGTAGACTTGGTTGAGAATCAACTCGGGGTTGTTGTAGAAGGCCGCGAGATGATTCGCATAAAAGGAGGGATCCCGGCCAACAGATAAGCTGAAGTCTTTAACTAATACTATAGGACGACGGATCAATTGGCTCTCAAAGATCGAAGAGATATCAAGTGACTGCCACTTGTAAGTGGAGAAGACATAGCGTACGCCGTTGACTAGATTGAGCAATTGGTCATCGGGTGCAAAGTAAAGTAAGTCATTGGAGTTAGCCCTGGCGGAACATGTTTCTGGTAGGAAAATATCCATATCACTCCAAGCCTCACAGAAGATCAAAGCAGAGGTGCATAGAGTGGCGTCTTGGTTAAGTTTCATAGTCTGGTCGCTCAATACATTCCTGTAGCTGCGGAGGGCGTGCGACAAATGCTTTCGCGAGAGTGTGGTGTATTTGTTGCATTTATTGATTTTGGCATGCAAGAACGAAAGATGACGTGCTGACACACAGAGAACCGCATGCATGAGATGGTCATACTCGAATGCAAGCCTAACAGCGTCTTTCCATACAGGAGCTATTAAGGGCAGAGTTTGGTTGGTATGGGTCTGGAAATGGTGAAACAGATGCATATCTTCCAGATTAATTGGATTGCTCTTCAGCGTTGATATTGGAGATGACAATAGCGGTGTTGACGACAACTTTGAAGGCTCGAGCATACTTCTCTCGGGAATTGGTCGTTGTCGGGGAGAACGGCAACACGTATCTTCTCTTTGAATACACCGTTTGCATGAGGGGTAACCCTCATCACACTATAGTTGACATGAGGAACAATAAACAATAATCAGAGAAAAAAATAAGAAAAGATTTCAGCCATGACATACTTTGACTTTCCTTCGCTTGCAATTGGAGCAGCCATTCCGTGATTTCTGATGTGGTCGTTTGCGCCTTGAAGGCGGTTTTTCGCGCACTTCCTCGAGATTCTGCGTATCGAATACATTTGATAGGTACTGAGGGAATGATTGCGACATGATATGCAACTATGGAACTGGCGAAACCATTCTGACTCTCTACGTTGCAGTGATCAGTCGATGTCTTGGCTGACACAGAGAGGCGAGTTAAATAAGCACTAGGCGATTGCGGGTTAGTGTGGTGATTGTTCAAGGCCCCTGCCCAAAACGGTGTATGTATGGGTTGGGATGATCAATATGCGATTATCACAAAACATAGTGAAACCACAAACATAAATATACGAGGCTTTTGAAGCGGAGGCTGTAAGGTCTATGATCCGTCGTATCCTCTCGGATGGGGCTGTATTGCTCCCCCACAGACATTGAAATGGAACCTTCATATCTATAACTCTAGAATTTTCTCAATTACTTTTGAAATACTAGTGTTTCAGGAAGTATGCTTTTATTTTAAGTATCAATAAAACGATACTAGTTGAAAACGTAGCATAATTACTCCGTTCGGAACTGAACCTTGAAATATTCCTGATCGTTTTCACATTACCAAACCGTGAAGTTCGGTAATTCCTAACCGTATGGTTCATCTGAGCCTTTAAATACTTGCATCGCCGTTCCAGGATTCTCCTGGGAATGGAAGAAGTTCATGTAGGCAATCACCATAAACTCGAATAACCTTCACCCCTGCATGCCTTTTCCCTTTCTCAAAATCATGTGTAAAGAATGACGCATTGCATTTTACACATTTCCCATTTGGAAAATTCAATGTATATGAATTACACTCCATATTCGAGAGAACAAGAAAGCTGGTGTGAGGACAAAAACGTATAGAATCGACAGACCCGTTAGTTACGATTGAACGGGCCGATTTTAACTTTTTTATCATGGTAAATTTGTAGATTGTTTCAAAAATCAATTCGTAATTTGGTCGGTTTTTAAACTTTTTCGTACTGTAATAATCATTTGACCGTGCTGACCGAATGAATCCCTTAACCCCAATATCAATTCTGTCGAACAATGGGTGATCTGCGACAACACAACTATGCCGTAGAGCCTCCTGATGTAGAGGAAAAGTGAGACTTTTCACAGCAGGTGGACACGGTGCCCGCCATGTATCATGCCCCCAGAAACACCCCCAAAGATGAAACCCATCTGCGATCGAGAGCTTGATACAAGGGCACACCTCAAAAACACCAGCATCTTTGAGACATCGATCATACGGGAATACACTATCCCAGCTCGTTTGGCGCAGAATATTCTTTATTCTATGCAGCCTGCAGCATGCTTTGCAAGCAGTAAACTGGTCGTTCTGTAGGAGTTTAAGCAGTTGTAGTTTTGCGGAACGTTTCTCCTGATGCGGTAAAATGCCACTGTGCATGCTTTCTAGGATAGATGGTTGAAGAGTGTTAAAGATTGCAGTGCAAGTTAATCGAAACGCCATTTGATGGGCTGGAATATGCAGATAGCTATCAATCTGAAAAATAAGCTCGGTTGGGAGCTCTAGAATGTAAGCTTTTGTCATTTTCTTGTCTTTAATATTTGTCAGGGTTGTCTGTCAGCTCTGAGTGCGAAATGTTGAGGCTGGAAATTATTCTTGTTGAGTATTGATTGGTGCGGACGCGTTTTGGTGTTGTTTGACAAACTCTAGTGATGCTGATGTTTGAATGAAATCTAATTAGACACTGCTAGGCTTCACTATTGCCGAGACTTGCTGGGATATCCATTTGAAATTGGGTGTGTGCGTTGTCTGTATACTTTATATCCCAATAACTTTTCGATGGTAGAAAGAGTAAAGTTTTCAAAAAATGTCTTTAGCAGGAGTCAAACAAACATATTGTTCCCTAAACCTCGACTTACGTTCAAGGAAAGAATACAAAGCCGTATAAAAGAATGAATCCTCGCAAATGGAAAGATGTAAAATTAATGAAAGCTTGTACAAAAGATGTTTCAAAAGTTGTTTCATCAAATGATTAAACCGTTAATTAGGACTGTACAGTTCACAGCGTACGTATCTACTCTTTAATGTCCATATTCATCAAAGAAGATTTTTAGACGATTACGAACAATCATTAAAGATTGACTTTTTTACTTTTTTCATTCATAGTCTAGGATAGTTGTTCTATATGTATAATTCTAATTGCTTCATATATCTCGAGCATCATGGGTCAATCCACGTCAATTGATATCAACGATATCCCCAAGCTGCATGGTACATAAGTAGCAAAGGAACTTTAGTCATGCGAATTGCGATCCAATTTGATTTAGGATAGTATCGACATTTCTTCTTGGTGGCTTATATTTCAGCTGGATTACTTCCTTTTGAGAAACATTCGGACTTGGAATGATGTTTTGGAACACTTTGTCGCGGGTCTCTTGGCTAAAAGCTCATCAAATTTCACAGATTTATCATTTACACAAGATAAGTGTTGTTGTATGCCCATAGTCGTCGACTAGTTATAATATAGAGACAGTTTTAAGCCATCTTTCTAGTTGGAAGTCTTCAGGGGGAATTAAAAATATCCTCGCAAATAATAGCCCATATATTGTTAACATGAAATTCCATATTAAGAAACTATCTCTTTAGAGACGAGCCTCCAATGTAAACCTTTACAATGTTCCTGTCATCTCCAGTCATAAGGAACTTTTCAAAAATAGTCTCAACCGAATCGTCATCCTCTATCGGCGTGACAATCCCCAAGCTACCACATCCGATCTCATTATTTCGTTCTGCGTCGATAGTGTGAATTTCCAATGCATCGAATTCCTTTCCTTCGACAAAATTTCCAACTCTCTCATCAATACCGCATACCTGAGCGCCACCTAGGGTAGCAAGGAAGAAACCCTCGTGCAGTTTTAAAGCAGGATCGGCACCTTTACTGAACGTCTCTCGCGCCTTAGAGATGATGAATGCTTGACGCATGGCATCGAGAATACTACATGAGAACCCGCCACCAACATCAGTGCCCAACCCGACTTTGATCCCTCGACGAAGGTATTCCCGAATTGGAGCCATCATGAATTCTCCGAGTGTGGATGTGGAAATTGGACAATGCGCGATCCCGCACCCTTTGCTCTTGATGTGGCTGATTTCGTCCTCCTCAAGGAAGATGCTGTGCGCCAGAATGGTCTTTGGACCAAGTAGTCCAAAGTGGTCGTATAGGTCAGCCTCGTGCTTGAATTTTGGGAAGAGTTGCCTGGTGAACTGCATTTCATCTTGGGCTTCGTTGAAGTGTGTCTGAATATGAATGTCGGGGTCATTGGCAGCAATACGGCCAAGCCCTGAGAGTAATTCCTCATCACATGTAATCGCAAACCTGGGTGTCAGTACTGGCTTGACTCGTTTCCCCTCGGCATCGATCTTGCGTACATGCGCGATTAGGTCTTCGGTTTGTTTGAGTGAGTCCTGCGCGGAAGCCTCACGGTACCAGTCCGGAGAATTACGATTCATATTGCACTTCCCCACGAACGCTCTTTGACCTTGCTCAAGACAGATGTCAGCCAGCACTTTGGTCGCTTCCCCATGTAAACTGCCATAGTATGCAGTCGTTGTAACGCCCTGGCGAATCCCCGCTGCCACGCATGCTGCGTACATTCTCCTTGCATATGCTGGATCCTCGAATTTCCGTTCATGTGCAAAGGTGACGTTATTCAGCCAGTCCAATAATGTTTGATCACGACCCATACCCCGCTGCGCCCACTGTGGTGCGTGGTGATGCGTGTCAACAAACCCAGGAATGAGGAAATCGCCTCTGCTGAGATACTTCACGGGGAAGACATCGGGAGTGTAGCCGCTCTCAACGACCAGGTCATTTATTTTCGAGCGCGGAGTGTCTTTAGCGATCTTTTGGATTTTGCCGTTGTCGTCGACAATGAGAAAGCATTCCTGCAGGATTTCAAGAGTGTTGGCGTCCAGAGAGTGGATGACAGTGCCGTAAAAAGCGATGGGGAGGCCACGCATGGGTGGCACGGTCTGCTCAGACGCCATCTTCTATGGAAAATACAGGATATTATAATATCGCTGAATCGCTGACATAGGCCGTCCGCGAGTCTACTTTCAGCGACTTCGACAGATTCTACAAAGGTTGTGAGGAGGTTGTGAGGAAGCAAATCGCGGGGTTCGAGGATACTACGATAAGCTTATCAACCAACGTCATAACTAGCGTCTTTTTTAGGGAGAGGCTGCATTGTATGCAACTATTGATGGAACTATCGATGCATCATGATGTGTATATACAGCCAAAATCAATTATAGCGTACCAGGAGTTCTTCACCCGCCAAATAGCGCTCTACGTTCTTCACCACCTCGTCGTACATACGGCCGATATACTCTTCCGACCCATACCCCATATGCGGCGAGAGAAGCACATCGCTACGCCCATTCTTTCCCCACTCGGTCGTTCGCCATTCACTGTCGGCAGGGAGTGGCTCGACATCGAATACATCAATAGCCGCGCCGCGAATACGGCCGGCCTTGAGGGTTTCTAACAGGGCATCCTGGTCAATCAATGGCCCCCTGGATGTATTGACAAGTAGTGCTGTCGGCTTCATCGCGGCCAACTCCTCTCTGCCGATCATGCCACGACTTCGGTCCGACAAGACGTAGTGTAGTGACACAATATCAGCTTGACGCAGCAAATCGAGCTTGGATACTGCCACCGTAATGCTCCCTGCAGGCAATCCGATCTCCGCAGCGGCTTCATCTGCCTTTTCCTGCGACAGACTGGAGCTCCATGCAATAACCTTCATCCCGAATGCCAGCACAGCAATTTTGGCGGTCGCCTTGCCGAGTCGCCCCAATCCTACCAAACCTAGTATTTTCCCTGGCAGTTCGATCGCAAGACTGTTTCCTTGCCAGTACGACTTTTCGCTTTTTAGTGCAATGTCGTCACGGGCAATATGGCGCGCCAGCCCGAGAATCAATGCCCAATTCTGCTGTGTGGTCGAATCGGGCCCAATGCTTTCGGTGCCCCGACTTGTACCCGCAACCACAATTCCCTTTGTTGAGGCAAATTCATGATCGATCGACAAATTACGGACACCGGTTGTAAGAAGAAGCCGCAAATTGGGCAAGGATCCGAGTACGTCTGCCTTGAAAGCACTGCGTTCGCGCATAGTTGAGATCACCTCAAAAGGCTCCAGTCGTTTGATCTGGGCCTCGCGTTCATCGGGAATTCGGACATTGAGAGTATTGGGAAAAAGGGTGAGTGAGACCTTGCTAGCAGCTGTAAGATGAGCGAACTTGGGTGTCGCGATGCCCTGGTAATCATCCAGAATGGCAATTCTTACGGGAGGGGACATTTCTTTAGCCGGCGTGAGGTAGTGGCGTACGTAAATATCTGCGATCGTCTCAGAAAGCGCAAGGTTTGAAAAGGCATGGATGCATGTTTAACATATCACAGAACAGGGGTTTATAATCAAGAAAATCACGCCATTTAAGGTATACAACATTACAAATAAAAGGAAAGCGAAACTGCGGGGAGAACCAACTATGTTGACATTCATAGCGATATCGGCCGACGTCGACGGCTATTCGACTGCCGACGGACCATGGTTCTCCGCTATAACCACTATAAAAAAGTATGATATGATATATGAATCTAAATATTCCCAGAACTAGAGATAAGGCATCTACATCACGTATTATAAGATGAAAGAGACGAAAGCCATCCGGGACATCCTCCTCCGGTCAATCTCTCTTTTCAGCATCACCAGGCACGTCGCCACCACAACCGCCTCATCAAGATACTCGTCTGCCACGCGGTCGATAATAAGAAGCCCACCATTGCCTGCGGTGCTACACGTTGATCCTGCTGTGCGTGTCTCCTTGGACCGACCAAATTCCGCAATAATCTTTCCCTTCCCATTTCCGTGATTAGTCTCGTCGTCTTCCCCCGGAGCAAGTGTCTGATGCCGAAGGACGATCAGATTGGTTCTATTCCCCGTTTCAGTGTCTCTCCGCTTTCCATATGACCATTCAAATTCACTTTCGGGGTGTTTATCATGTCTTGGTACAGTGAACTTAATGGTACGAGAGGTCCATTTAGCTATTATCGGGACCGTGTACTTTGAAGCGCTCGACAAACAGTCTTCATTAAGAGAGCTGTAGACATGTAGGATAGGGTCTCTTCCCGGCCCAAAGAAATACTTCGTCTCTACCAGCTCCGCTTCTGTCCGCGTATCACTCAGTACAGCATCACCAGAATGCAGCCGACTTCTTCTAGATACATAGGCTATCCTGTCGTTATTGGTGTGGTCGAAAATGGGAATTTCCATCTGGAAATCAGGCACTGGCATTGGGATGGGGAAGCGAAAGAGGCCTATTCCGCGCGCATCAATTTGGAAGGATCGACCCGGACAGAATTGGCTTTGGGAACTTTCGTCGATGGATACAATGGTTGTCGCGTCTGATGCGGCATCAGAGTACAAGTCGGTACTCTCGGATTGGCTGCTACTACATCTCCGAATGATGGAGGAGTAGCTTGGTGGGTAAATTTTATAGTCGTGAGTGCTCATTGTATGGACATTCAGATTTTATGAAAAAATAGAGACAGACGTCAAGTAATGAATGTTTTTCCAGTTAAAGGATGGACTCGCCCTTTTTATGCTACCTACCAACCCAACAGCGGCGTCTCTACCGAAGTAGGAAACTTGGTGAATACGAGCCGAATTTAGCCACAACTCGAATCGCCTCCATAAGCAAGATCTTCTCTGTAGGCACATCCTATGCTTTTGGGGCTAGCATATTTTATGTATTTTACATTAGATAAAATTGTTAGCTCAACATGACTATGGAAAATGAATGTCCAACGGCACTTTGGTAAATTAATGACAATGGCTGCTTAATCACACTTCCGCCCAATTTAGTGATTTGCTCGTATTACTAAACAAGCCACCCTTTTGCAGTTGAATTTTTTGTTATCCATATGGTTTCATTCTACCCCACCGTGGTATTATGATGATCTAATAATATTTCAATTAAAATGTCCCAGAATGCCCCATTATGCTTGTAGCTACGCGGTGCATAGTATTACCGTCCTACCTATTGGACATCAGTTCTGTACTAGACATCAGAACATGAAAGAAGGTTAAATAGACTACTGGTATGGTGCATTAGAATTATTCTAGCCAATATATAGCTACTGCCTCATCATAATTAGTGTACAGATAAAAAGGTATCGTTCAAGCCAGGTTAGACCTAAATTGTCGAATAGTAAGACAAAAGAAAAGAGCGTCTAAACCCCGGTCCGACTTCACCGAACCCAGAATCTAAAACTCCGGCCATGGGATGTAGCGTAATGAGATTGTTCGCCCGTATACGACATTGAGTAACTTGTCTGGTTGAATATGCATCGGCTGAAACTGTTAGACTTCGTTTTTGCTGTCACCACATATACATACCCCGCTGTTAAATCAATGTCCATGAGTCCAGAAATACACATTCTGACGCAGTTTCGTTGTGTCTTGAGTAAATGTCGCATCGAACTGGTGTGCATATTTCATGTTGACCTCCAAAATGAGCAGATTCTTTCGCTTTCCTGGCAAAATGGTAAAAGTCCCTAAACGAGCCACGTGGTCGTCGATAACGTTGAGGGAGATATTATAATGTTCCTTTGCTTCTGTACCGTCGCCATAGCCAAAAACCATTCCAAAATGAGATTTGTCCTTTTCATTTTTCATCATTTCATTTATGTCGAAAATCCATGCGACGTTTTTTTCATCCAATTTATGCATAAGTTGATGTGGATTTGGGTTTGGTTGAGTCAATAATTTAATTGAAAACCCCCATTCCCCAGCTTGAATATTGAGAGGTTCGGTCTCAGTTCGGCCCTTTTCCACGGTAGTGAAATCGTAAACGTCCCTTTCCATCTTGTCAAAAGAAAGAATATTTTGAATGCAAATACAGAAAGTGGTCACAAAATTGCCTCCATCGCTTGATGTCGGACTGCTCCTTTTGGTATCATTCATCGTCGGTGGTGGTAACTAGAAGGAGACTAGTTGTAGTTGAATTATTGGCAATTTTCCCAATCTAAGTAGTATATTGAAGAAAGAACTTCAGAGATACAAAGACTAAGACTTTTATAAAATTCAAACCATAGATACTAACATTATGACTACAAAGTTCCTTTGATACATTGACTCCTAGCCTAAATGCTATAAGTATGAGTCAATTAGTGAATGAGTCTTGTAATGTATCATTTATCAACCCTTTCATCGCAATAGAAGACAGAATAATACTAAAACAAGGCATCGGCCATTCCCTTCTAGCATACCAATACGTCAGGAAAGAACTAGTATTCAGAAACACAAGCACCTTAGGGCTAAGTTTACACAGCACTCGCTTTACATTATATAATACTTTTAAAGTACCAATCAAAGGCCCTAAGAAATCCAATATTAAGCCTTTGGAGTAGAGTAATTAGTTAAAGAAAAGGAAATTTGTTACATTAACCAATTCCCAAAGAGGGGGCTATTTAAACATTCTATATACATGATTGATAACGAGTACCCTAAAGTACCTCATTGCAATACAAGAGAAAGAGTGTTTAATATGCCACATAGTGACTGAAGGTCATGGGAATTCTCAAGGTTGGTTTGACAGTTTTACTGGATCTGAGCTCGCGCAACATTCTTTGCAACCACACCAGAGGCTGTTCTCTGAACCGACATAGCCATGCGTCCAGAAAAAGACATTTACGTCAACGCCGATATCTTCAGCCCTGCCTGTACCCTTGTATTTATGAAACTCACGTAAGATGTCGGTTTTTAGGATCCACATGTTCTGCTTGGATCCTTGAAGAATGTCGACTTTTCCTACGAAGGCGGACCGCTTACCCTCTATAGTGAGTTCGCCTTTAATAGTTTTGTTCTCCATTATGTCGCCGAATCCCATGACCATTCTATAGGCAAGCTGCTCGGAAATTTGTTTATATGATCCGAGGTAGAAGGCGTCTCTCCAACGAGTGTCGAATTCGTCATCTTCGCCGTCCCCATCATCTCCGTCGTTAAGTATAAGATAACAGCCCCATCCTCCTGACCGAATGAGGAGAGGATTATTTTCATCCGTTTTCGAAATTTCCAATTTCCTTATTGCACTCCAAAACCCTTCCGCTCCATCTCTCTTAAGATGCAGATATACGCCATTTTCATCAAGCTCAAACAGGATAAGCGCCCAAGACGCTGGAAGCTTGGTGGCTGGGTTGGTCTCGGTAGCAGTTGCGGCTTCATTCACTTCGGTGATGGCGATTTTATACATGATAGTAGTATAAAATGAGGTTTGTGATTATTGAATGTTTTATTCTTGGTTTGCTTCGTTAAGAAGAGTAATATATTGAAGAAATATTTTTTAGAAAGTTCAAAGGGAGGAGTGGTGAGAGCTCAATTTATGCCATAGACTGGTGCATTATGACTACAAATCACCCTATCTGAATCACCTTTTTGAGTCATATTATGTGTGTGTGTATGACAAAATATTTATGACTACAATGATGAGTCCCTTACGCGTACCATCGATCGAGTGTTTAATCTCAAATCAATAGAACAAACTAGAAATATAGGGATAGTAAGAGATGTTCGTGATTCATATCTAGTATATCCACATATCTTAGGCAAAAGCAGATCTAATTCAATTCCAAGAAAGCGTAGTGTTCCATATCTCTTTCTTGTGTCTTCTTGATTTTGATTGCCCAAAAAACCTGTATATGCAGAATGGGAGGACAATATTTTGTAATGCTCTTCTGTTAACCAGTTCGATGATTCGTTGTCACTGAAAGATGTATAACATGGCCAGCGTGTGTCATATTAAAGAAAACTGGAGAAACCATCATCTTAACAATACAGGATAAGAATGTTATCTTACGTAAGATTAAAATGTAGTCATATCAGAATTTGAGATGAGACTGACTTTTATTAGGAATAAATAGTCATAGAAATGAATTAGCAATAGAATCGTTATAAAAAGACAAGAACAGAAAGTCTATCTTGAAAATAAGCAGAGATATCACAAGACTGAGACAGAAACTTGTTTTCAGGTTGGGATAGTGACATTGTACGTCTGACAGCCTCCTAACACGGGTACTCCGTTCATCCTATCATTGATCCATGACCAACCAGCTAGGAAGCCATGAGCGCCAGCAGATCCATGGGAGGCATTTAGCGCTCGATAGTACTCTATATCTGCACCCTCACCACAAAACTTTTCCACAAGTGCATCCGTGTCCTCCACGACACTCACTTCGTCTGCTGTTCCCTTGTAGTTGTAAATCGGGGCTGCCGGAACCCCGTGCAAACCCATAATTCCAGTATTCTGAATGACACTATTCGGCACAGTAGCAGTGAGAAAAGAGGGCACATCGAAGAAAGGCACAAAGTCAGTATTGTTGAATACCGAAATCGTGTCCACTATACAACTGTGAGCAGCTTGGGAAAGCCTCAAAGCATCGCCTTGAACGAGATTCTCAGATAACCAGTCAGAGATATTCAAATACTCCTTTGCGAGGCCAAGAACACCCGAAGCAATGAGCCCAGCGTCCGCCGTACCGTCAATAGTGCCGAAGACGGAGCTGGCATTGGGCGTTAAAGCTGTAAGCAGTGCTCCTGCAAACTTGAGTTCAGGTGCATAAGAGGCCTGCAATTCAAGCGCCCATTCGCTTGCCAAAGCACCTCCCGAAGTCCCGGCAAGAACAACCTTGGCATTGTCGTCAATTCCCGTAATATTTTTGGACGATAAACAAGCTCTAGTAGCGTCCAGCATGGAATATCCAGCCCTTAGCCCATTTGAGAAAGAAGCTGTGAATCCTTCGTAATCGGTAACCGCGACGTTCCAGCCTTGTTGAAGACCAGCGCTGACGGTTATTGCTTCTGGCAACGATGTGTCATTCTGAAAAAGCGTGTACGATGGACTGCAGTCAACAGACGCCGAGTCGTAGGCAAACTGTATTTCTAGAAGTTTATCACTCGCTGCGTTTGGTGGAATGAAAACTGTGGTTACAATGGCTGTAGGGGCTCCTTGGCTGTCTCTAGATCGAAGAAGTAGTTGGTATGTATCCGCTAATGCGGTTGTATTAACGCGAGTAGTAGGAGGGACTCTTCGGGATCGGAGAATTGTGCCCGGTGAAGCTGTCTCGAACGATGGTGGTGGCTGATAGAACGCGTCGACCGACGGAGGCAATGGCGATACCCGATCAACGCTCTGGCCATTAGAAACGGTGGCCAGGTAGAGAAGTGGAAAGGTGAGGCAGTATATGCATCGCATTTTTTTTCGGGCGTAAAATGAGAATTTCAGATCAACAGAACTAAATATGAATGTAATGTCTTACTGAGCAATCTAGTGTAGATGCACCACCTTGTATATGGTTATTACCGAGGTCCGCCTGACAGTGCGCTACTTGAATGCCTCTTGACCCGTAGTAAAAAAAAAAAGGAAAAAGAGAAAATATTCTCTTTTCTTTACTATATAATGATGCTGCAAACAGCTGATAGACTAGGTGGGTCTTCCAGGTTTACAAATGTAACCTCAGAGGTTTCCTAAAACGGAAACGTCTCACATCACTTTGACTGTCAAGTGTCTAGGAGAGGCTAAGGATTATGCCTAAAATTTGTCATTTGGACGATTATAATTTTATCGACCAGGATCTGCAGAGAATCGCCATTTTCTCACTAGTGTTGAAGAGTATTTGAGTATAATTTTGATGAAGATTCTCCAGTACAGCGAGCAATAATATGATTGTATTGTGGGGCGGATCCTCACGAAGACATAAATCCAGTCATTAACGCAGTTATATGCAGTTTTTAATCTATCAATTGTTGATATTTTAGTATATTTTTAGTAAACTCGAATTTTCAAATAGCTTTAATTGATCACTGTGGTTAAAATTCACATCACACCAAGGTAACGTCAGAAAAGTCATATTATATCATAGCACCCGTTCCATCCGTTGTATATCCAGCACGTGTAATGCGGTCCGGCAAAGAACACAGCAGTTGATGAATCTTGCTGTTGTTACGGTGAAATCGCTCGAGATACAGACAGATTGCTCGGTACTCTACTCGTGCCCGTTGCTCGATCCACCACAACGACTCGCTAGCTCGCACATACCACAGGGCTAGTAGCAATAAAGCTACAGGGTCCTTCTCCTGCAGCAGATCCCTGAAGGACGACTGAGATTGGCTCATGAAGCTGACCATTTGAATGCCCGGAGACTCATTGCCTGTGAGTCTCTGTAACCGTGCTAGCACGTGAGCTGCTACGAAGTAAGGGTTGTTCTGTTTATTGCATGATGCGCTCATATTACACATCTCGGCCAAGGTCGTGGGAATACCCTCTGTGCCAACAAGAGGTAATTCGAAATGTAGCCCGGCATACTCATGGGCCATAGCCCGAAAGATGCCTCCAGGCCGTAGAGGATTGGTCAGATCCCATATAGTTTTCTTCGCCTCGCTCAATCGAAACCACTCTAGATCCGATGGATCCGATTGTCGAAGTGGCCAGGCTTCTTCTGGAGTGGCTGCGTCAAAGGAGGCAATGGTCATGATGCCTAGTAGGGCTGCTGTAGCCCACAGAGGGTCAAAGTCTGATGAGTCGATATGGCGCGAAAGCTTCTCATTGAAGAGACGAACGCATTGAGAAAAATGGTGTGCCTCGGTCCTCGTCCGGTAGCTTTTTGTGGGCATAGCTTGGTAACGCTCGTGCGCGGCTGCTACGGTAAGCATGGTATGCATCAAGTATGGGTTCTACCTAGTCAGCCGGACAGAAGCGAGAAAGTATAATGGATAGAACTCTTGGCCTACCCTGAATGCGATATGCGGGACGCGATACTTCCAGATCTTCATCATTTCAGTGCTGAATGAGTTGACGGCACGCATACGAAATCTCTGTAATCTATGTATGCATTGCGTGTCCATCATGAAGCTAGTAACATCATCGGAGCAGAAAATGGGCAAGCTTAAAGACGGAGGGAGGAATTCAACTGCCCGAGATTGGAATCCTGTCGTCAAAATCTGGAGGTCTGACGTCTGTGCCACAAAGTTGCATAATACACCGTAATCCTTGCATCTCTGACACTGGGGCTTCCCCTCGTCGCACTGGGGATATAAGCTTGATATTCGACGAAGAGCAGGGCCCGACTTACTTTTACCCTCCGGAGCTTGCAGTTTCGGCAGCCAAAGCGTGATTTCTTGTAGTGTCTTCGCTTTCGCTGTGTTGACCCACTCACAGTAGTTTCCATATTTTATTAGATTTCGTTAATCATCCACCCTTAATCAAAGTTGACTGATGTCAAAAGTGACGTTCTTACGACCTGATTACAATCCGGGATCTCGTAAGCACGGGCTAACCGGCGCTCGTCTCGTGGATCTACACGCTATACTCCCTGTCGCGTTGCGAACACTCTTATTGGTGGAGAGGTGGATTAGGGTTGATTAAATGGATCCTCACCAGCATTCTCATATCAAGAAACCTGACACGCACCACCTTCGGACTTCTCGGGTCCGTTACTGTGTAATCTAATCCGCTGGTATCTCCTCAGCTTGCCCAAATGGACCAGTTGTTTGCCATTGAACTGCATTTAAGGAGGGCGTATTTCCGGGAGTAGGCAACAGCCTGACTCCAAATCATTTCCACATATCCATCGCAAGCATAAATCGCCCCTTCTTTTACTACAGCATTTCTGCAACTACTCTATAGTCCAAAATGCGTGTGTTCATCACTGGTGGCTCCGGTCTGATCGGAAAAGCGGTCATCAAAGAGCTTCTCGACGCAGGACACACCGTCTTGGGCCTCGCACGCTCCGACAAGGCAGCAGAGGAGCTGGCTGCCCTTGGAGCAGATGTGCAGAGGGGCTCCCTCTATGACTTGGATATACTGAAACAAGGAGCTGCTTCATCGGATGGCGTGATCCATCTAGCATTCGTTCACGATTTTGCCAACTTCGAGCAAGGCTGTCGCACAGACCGGGAAGCCATCCAAGCTATGGCGGATGTTCTCGCTGGATCAAATCGTCCTCTGATAATCACCACTGGAACCCTACTGCTCACACACGGTCGCATCGGGACTGAAGACGACTCTCATGACGCCTCGTCCTCAACGTTCGCCGCTCGTGGGCAGTCGGAAGTGTTGGCTAGAAGACTTGCTTCCAAGGGTGTTCGCACAGCAATCATGCGTCTTGCGCCTACAAACCATGGTGATGATGACAAACATATGTTCATGTCCACCCTAATTTCTACTGCACGTGAGAAAGGCGTCTCTGTCTATGTCGGCGATGGACTGAACCACTGGCCTGCAGTGCACTATTTGGACACTGCCGTTGCCTACCGACTTGCGCTAGAGAAGGCGAGCGCTGGTTCGACATTCCACGTCGTTGCAGAAGAAGGTGTCAAGATGAAGGATATCGCGGAAATGATTGGGAAGAAACTTGGCCTCCCGGCCCAGTCGAAGTCTATAGAAGAGGCGCAGGAACACTTCGGCTCGTTTGGCTTGGCAGTTGCTGCCGATAACTTTGTCTCAAACAAGAAGACTCGGGAAGTATTGGGTTGGAACCCCCAGCAATGTACACTGCTTGCCGATCTTGAAGATGGAAGCTACTTCAAGGATGTATGATACCAGCAAGCAAAGTTTATTTGCTCACCGTTTCGATATCAATATCAATGAAAGGCGTTTGAAACAAAGTAGACACTATTTGACCCTGTTTTCTAAGCTAAAGTTCATAAAAAAGGTCTTGAGAATTGAGTAAGGTCGACTGAAAAAAGTTAATATTTCTCCATTCAACCCCCCTGCTATATACAATCCATAAAATCATAAATACAATTGATAGGCCAACAAGCATCTATCTATCAGCCACCCCCATTCATATCATTCATTACATTCATATGTGTTGGTATCAATTGGCCATCAACTCCAAGCGACCCATAATATGTATGAGATGGTGTGATACACACAAGAACAGAAAAGAGGGAGATTAAAGATCAATCAGAAGTTCACGCTTAATATGCGCTAGACACAAGGAAAATAAGAGAAAGGGAAGAGCGCCATGCCACATCTGATAGATACTAATCAGTGGATTACAAACCGTAGAAAGATGCAACCTCTTGACCCAGCCAATGATAATTGTAAAACAACGGATTAACCATCATCATTGGATCAGTAGGGGTCATGAGGTTGGTCGGAATCTGGTCGAATATCTGGTGTTGCTGCTGTTGTTCCATAGTGACTTCAGCCATGCGATTCAAAACCTGTTGAGTCTGCGCTTTGAACTGGCTTATCAGACGGTCTGCGCCCTGACGTTTTTGTCGAAACTCGTCGAGCAATACTTGTACAGTGTCGAGAGAATCGTATCCCTGCGTATTGTCCCATATAACACTGTTTCCCTGCCGCAACGAGCGGATATTTTGCTCGAGACACCATAGAATGGTCACTCCCGCAGAGTATACGTGGCACAGGGTAATCCACAGCCATTTAATTTTGCCAATCGAGTAGCTACGCGAATACGACTGGATTATGAGAATGCTGGCGTTGCCACAGCTGACGATGCAATCGTGGTTTGGGTAAGGGTTGAGTATGGAAGGGCGGTATAGAAGTGTTAATGCAGAATTGTAGAGAAAGTCGTAGTAGTTGGTGGAGTAATGCACACAGCTTTCGATAATGGGAGCGTAGGAACGCCATGCGTCGAGTTCTTGTCGAAAATCCTCGATTAGGTGTAGCACGTTTGGGACGTTCGGGTCGGCATGTGGATTGTAGACTATAATTTACTGTCAGCTCAAACTTTTCGAGAATGTAAGGTTCAGTGGTAATTAGAAACTTACAGCATCGATATATCCGCGAGAAAATCCGACGTAATTGAACCACCTGCACTGATATTGACATGGAACAATTTCGAGGGGCATCCATCCAGTTATCGTCCAGCTCGCGAGGTATATCAACTACAATGTCTTCATCAGAAATGCCCAATGGTCGGCTGAGTGTAACCGAAATCAAGCGATCAAGATTGTAAAGGCTCCAAAAAGCACGCTTGTCCATCTCATGCTCGCGTATATCCTTTGTCGACACATTTGGAGGCGGTCTGGCTTTGTGCAGGCCTAAACTCGTGGCAAGCCTCATTGCCGTTCCCAAGACATGCCAAATACTGGGTCCCGATGGCGTTGATAAAGAATATAGAGCCAAACTCAGGAGTGCTTGCAACGACACTCGGTCCTCATTCTGCAGGGTTGGTGTTAATGTCTGTCTCGCCGCTCCATAGAAGGCGGTCGCTTGTGTGATATCGTTCGTGGTTGTCAGCAGAGCTGTTGCTATTGTCATGTGGTACGAGTTCTGCACCTGTGGAGAGACCGGTTGGTTTGAGTAAATGCGTCGCATTCCGCGCATGAATTCGACTTTGTGGAGGAAGGGATACTGTGTTCCAACACCCTCAAAGTACTGGCCCACAAGTCGCTCCGCTTCCTCCCATGATGATAGTCGCCGCACCGATGGTATAGCCGATGATGTAGGACGAGGAACTGAGCTGCGTCTATTTTCTAGCTTATCACGAAATATCTCCGATATATTGGGTAATTGTCCACCATCCAAAGAGGGTAATGATGATGGTCTACTCATTGGTGAGTTGACCACGTCAACTGCATCATTCTGAGCGCTCAGGCCCGGGCCGGCTCGTGGTTGTGCAAGCAAAGTCGGCACATGGAACCACTGATCAGGGTCTTGTTGTTGTTCCTGTTCCTCTTGATGTTGCTGCGGCGGCGGCGGCGGCGGCGGTGGTGGTTGCTGCTGTTGATCCTGTCCCTCTTCAATGGCAACATTAGCACCTGTCGGTTTATTGGACAGGTCTAATCCGGTCCGTGATCGCAGCGTCTGCTCCAGCCATTCTACTCGCTTTTGTAGGTTCTCAATTTGGTCTCGAGGGACGGGTTGATGCGCAACCGACTGACCTAATGTGAGCACTGTGCACACAACCCCGGCACGAGTACAAGCGGAGCAATTCGGGTAGCGAAAGTCGCATTTTTTCTTGCGCTTGCGACAGAACTCGCATGCGGTCGAGACGCGTTTGGTCTTTGAACCATGGCCATCCCGATCACCCGCTTCAGGGCTCTGCGGCGATAAAGGCCGCTTGCCGTATATTGACGAGGTTGTCGAGAGCGCCGAAGACGCAGGTACGGCGTTTTCAACGTGCTGTATCGAGGAAGAGGAGCCGGGAGACACGGAGGACGAGGGAACCGACTGCGCAGGCGGCGGGACGACTTGCGATGTATTCGTGAGCGACGACGAAACAGCCACGGTCGGATTCAGTCGAAAGCGACCCAGCTGGCCACGGAAATTCGAAGCCTTTTCGGCAGCGCGACCACTGGCAGCAGCGCCGGCTGTCATAATATCGTAAATTCACTCCCCTCAGGTGTTCTACTCAACCACGCCGAACCGGTCCTGTCCTGTCCTGTCCTGTTCTGTGTTCTCCGGCCGGTTCTCATAAGGGGCGGGCGCTGTGCCTTCTTTCCGAGGAAGAAAGTGACAGTTTCGAGCCAGATGCGAGCCGCACAACCCTGCAGGTGGCCGGTCAGATAGGGTCCTGATAGCCGGAGGAACACGCAGCGGCCTATCACGACTGATCAATGCTGACCAGGCCTCGTTTCGGATCGGCGGTTTGTGCTTTTCCGGACGCTGTGGGGAATCGCGCGAGCAACTCTGGCCGGGGATCGGCGGCGCCAGGGGGGAAACGGTTAGGTTGCTGTGAGAAGAGGCCGGCCATCTTGCTGCTCGACAAAGTTCACGAGTCGAAAAACATGGAGGTACATATCTTTTGCCATCGCCGCAAATCAAGTCTACGTCGGGAGGAGACATACGATGCAGCATAAAACCATGCAGCCCGGCTGCCTTTGCGACACCTGCGATCACGGGTGGGTCTCGCGATCTTCGATGTCGCGCGCCAATGCTATAATGACAGGCAATAATCCGGAGAAGCTTGGATTGGCAGGGAACAACTGGATTGGGGGTAGAATAGGCGAGATCGATGGAGTCCCGTCGTTTCAGGAGGTAGGGGTAAGTCGTCGTTTTGCCATTCTCAAGTGCCCTGTTCTCTCTACGTTGCATCGAAGTTTCCAGCTCCCGACAGAGCGCGCTAGCCTCCAGAGATGAATGAGGCCCTCCTAGTAAATAGCCCCGTCTACTATGGGAACCATTATTTCGTGTTTCATTGCTCTTGTTACCTTAATTCCTTATAATTTCCTGTTACTTCAAGAGCATCTTTTGTAGCTGCCTGTTGATTGGCCACACCAGACAGCTCTGTGATTGGGCAATTTTAAAGTTCTGCTCTATTATGGGTCTCATGCGCTAATATCATTGGCCAGCGCCTCTCCCAGCCTGGAAGATTGGCTTGTAGTAGCTCCGTACATACATATGCATGTATACAGTGACGTCTGGACTGGGCCCTGGAAAGAAGACCGAAGTATATTTTAGATGCATGCATGCGCGTTTCAGGTTGCTCGTTTCTCTTTATGTGCCAAATGTTCTAGGCAGGCTTAGTATTCATAAAAATAGCATAAGCATTCAACTAATAAGGAACGACTGTCTGTCATTGGTTGTCAAATATGAACAATGAACGAGAGAACCCACTAAATACGCTACCTATATGTAATCCTAACAACACAGCGGGGGGATGCTTTTGCTTCGAGTCAGATTAGAGTTACGAAAGTAAAACTACGTCCCAAATAGGAACCATCAAAAAAGAAGGGAAGTAGCGCCGTGAATGAACCGTCATATGGGCTACTACCCTAGAGAGCTGGGACTTATATGCCGACACGTTATACGTATGATACATACATAATAGAGTAGACTAGCAGGGTCATTCAAATATACGGCATTGCATTATCATCATTATTGCTAAACAGTAGATGTCTCGCCTGGAGTAATCACATAATCAAACTCGGCTTGTTCAACCATCTTATATAGCGCATCAGCCACCCCGTAACTGAATGCATAACCACCACCGGCAAACCCGTATGCCGAAAGCACTGTCCGATTCCCGATCTTCTGCGAGTCGAGGCGGAATCCGCCTTCTCTGCCGGGTCTAATGCCAATGACATAACTAATATCAGACTCGGCTGGCTCTGCAGGCACAACCTCAGGAGCAAGAATGTGAGCGCGTCGGATTTCATCGCGAGCGACTTCTAGATCGGGCTCTCCACTTCTACAGGCACCGAGTGGTTAGCATATGTTGAGCAGAGTAAAACATTGAAAAGATTCCTCGGGTGCTTACAGATTATCTCTCGAATTATGTCCGCCCAGGATGAGATGGCCTGTCAAGGGCCGAGGGATAATGTATGTGTACTCTTTTCCATTCCGGAAGTACATCGTATGATGCTCTGATGTGCGAAGACGCACGTTCTGACCTCTGTCGGGGAAGGATTTCTCATCCCGCACATCCGTCAGATCACGACTACCCCAGCCACTGGCGTTGATAAAGACAGTGGACTGTGGGTACAGGTCGTACAGCTCTTTGAGGGACTGTACTTTTCGGCGGACGAATTCTCCGCCCAATGACCTGACTTTTGCACCGACCCAAGGAATATGGATGGTGGGATCAACTACAAGACAGTCGTATGACCAAGCAGTGTCGAAGTTTGGTGGATATTCACCAGGTTTTAATGTTCGAAACTGAGCAAGTAAACGGTTAGCCTTGTTCATCTATGCGTGATTCGTCTCACCAAAAACACACGTTTTTCAAAACAGTCTGTCCCCATAATGAAGAGTTTTTCCCGGGTGCTTGTTCCAGGTATTCTCGGCCCTGGACAATGCAGACGCCAGATGTTGGGTCCTCTTGAGCCATCTGTAGTAGACGTCGGTGAGTAACCGCCTGGAGATATTTCTGATCATCGGGAATGCCGGCAGCTGCATGCCAGGCGGCTCCTGCCCATGCCGAGGCGTAGAGTATATTGTCGTCTCCAGGAAGATATTCGCCTACCAAGGTGACCTGAAAGCCATTCTGCAAAAGTTGTAGAGCAGCAGAGCAACCAATAATCCCGGCGCCCAGGACAACAACCGGCCGGCGAGAAAAGGGTATATCGTTCTCCTCTGCTAGCTTCACCTGGCCCGGCATGACGGCCATTAATCAGATATGAGACTGCACAAGGTGAGTCAAATAATGTATAGGAACAGTTTCACCCCGTCGAAAAGATATGCGATAGATAAGACAAAGAAATTTGCAGCTGAAAAAAGGAGAAAAAGCACGCCTGATGGTCGACCTACACAGCGTATACAGTCGAATTTTTATACAAAATTGAAAACTGATTAATAGGAGAACGCTCTGCTTTTTCTGATCGGGAGGACCCGCCTAGAGCATCAGACCCGGTCATTATTTTATATAGTGTCAGATCTCGAGTTCACAAGCCTTGGATGCACGTTGATCCATATTAATCGTCGGGTCTACCCGACACCGCACCTGTGGCTACGATTTCGTCCGCCAGGCTGGCCCATCCAATGGACGATCTCTGCCTCGGACATACCCCGCGTTCCAGACAACGCCCTTTAAAAACGGGCTTTATCCCTGTCTGGTCGAGTGCTCCGGAGTCTGTTCGACCCAAGCGATGCCGATGCGCGTACCCAGTGTCCATGTGAGATCTAATTTGCATGACCGGGTCGTAAGTAACAAGAGTGAGTGTAATAATAATAAATAATGCGTCTACGATGAAATATTGCTATGCACACCTTGCAAGCGAGGTAGGAATCTGCTCGATGCAGCTAAAAGGGTTTTGCATCGTACATGACAGGCGGCTTGTTCCGCCGGCGTGTCCGGCTCGTTTGTCCCTTAGTATACATCACATCAGTTCACGATGTGATAAACCCGAAAAAGGCTCGGACGAAGGATTATTGAAGCGTAGTATTATTTCCATGAATTCTGCAGACATCTTTGAAAAGAGAGGGCAATCGTTCATGCCTACCAGGTACTACTTGCAGCCCTGCGGTGGACCGCTAGACCTCTTCATACCTTGTACAGTTACTATCTTGAAAATCGACTGTGCCTCCCATGCACCTGTTGAGGGCTTTGCATTCACCGTCCCGTTTAGGTTTTGTCGACTCGTCACTGGGATCAGCTCATGCAGGCCGGAAACAGTACTTCCGCGTTTCAGGGTGTTGGTTGGCCAATGCAAATCAACGTGTCGGGTTGCACCGCCTATTGCCAACCTGGATCAATTGATGCTCTATCCACGATGCACGATTGCAATGATGATTGGCCGAAGCTTCATTTGTATATGTGCTGGGGGCCCTATTATTGCGCCACGGCCGACAGCTCAAAGCCGAGTGGGCGGGGTCGACGTGTCGCAGATATTATTATAAGAACTTACTCCTCTCGCTTAGGCATGCATGGTTGATAACGGTATCGGGATTACCGACGATCCTCGACCTCGACAGATGAGGCCGCCGCGAGGCACGATGCTTCGCATACGACACCATGCCTGACGATCCATCACATGAAGTGGCTTTTGCAGGGCCAAATTGTCAGTCCGCAATCGACATACCAGCCGGTATATTATCAGTACAAATTGCAAACCATTGCAACCCCTCAGGTGATGCCTGTTCAGGTTGAAGCCAGGACGGAAACAGGATCAGGTTGCTGCCTAAGGAACCCAGGCCAACAACCTATCACGTGAACAGGCTTATGTCATCTTTCCTGTGAATTGCGTCACGTGAGAATCACCTGACGCCGCCGGGCCGAATATCAGCCCGGAGCCGATCTAGTCCTAGCTGGGCAGCTGGGCCGACCGCAATTAATAATTGCGAAATCGGCCCCCAGCGGACAACCCAATCCGATGATCTATCCACACGCTCAGGATTCTGGGTCCATCCACACAGCATGCCCCAACACACACGCCCAGTCTCCATTTGCTAATTGAGCATAATGAGCTGCCCATACGGGCATAGAGCCGGCGATCCGCAATATATGAAGCGCGACATGGCCAAATGCGGCCTCCCTTTAGCCGCAGCAGCGCCTCCACTATTATGGGCCATCGTGGCGTGTTTTGGCTGGCAAGCGGCCAGGGCTAGTGGTCAGGCCCCGCAGCATGCCGTCCTGTCTGCATCGTGAAAGGTCGAATGTGTCAGGATTTGTGCGAAATCATGCACCATTGCGCCAGGGTTACAGTACAGGACTAACGCCCAGCCGTTTAATGCGCTTGTAAAGTCTACTGGCCGTTGGACCACTGACGGTTGGCGCTGACATCGCTATTCATCTATGCTTTTCTTTTTGTAGCTTGGCCTCGTGTTTAGTGCTCGTGTTTAGTGCTCGTGGGATTGTGCCGGAACTCTCGGCGCCACTACAGAGCGCGGGATACTCCTTAACGGGGACAAACATGATCTTCCTAGAGCTTGAATCATCCTCTGTGATTGTTCCGGACGCGGATGGCTCGCAGATGTCACACATAGCCGGCGATCAATCGAGGTTGATAGGGCACAATTGATGTCCAACATGGACGAGAAGAAGGGTCCCGACCCTATTCAAACGACAGAGGCCGAAGAACGGTCCAATTTCAAAGGCAATGGTCCTGCCCCTGAGGTATGATAGGGTGTTTGAAACTTGTGCTCGTGAATTCGAGCTCGAAGCAGCGGCCTTGGGTTAACGCTGTACTTTTGTCTATTTCTAGGTAACAGCAGCAGATGACAAGCTCATGCCACAGGATGCCGATGGTAGTGACGTGGCTGTCATTGATGATGATGAAGCGCGAAAAATCCTTGACTACGATGCCAATGACTCGCCGTACCCAGAAGTACGAGCAGTCGTGCCACCGCAAGATGACCAAAAGCTTCCAACAAATACGGTGCGCATGTGGGTTATTGGTATATTATTCACTATAGTAAGCTAGTCGGGATTGATGTCTCTGCCTCTTGGAACCTTTATCTAACCCGCATCTAGATCGGATGCGCGTTAAATCAACTCTTCAGTCTGCGCAAGCCCAGCGTAACAATCAACGTGCTTGTGGGACAGTTACTGGCGTACCCCGTAGGCGTCGCCTGGGCCCGACTGATGCCTATTGGCATCCTCAACCCAGATCGCAATTTCAATATCAAAGAACACGCCCTCATCACCATCATGGCTAATGTCTCCTTTGGATCTGCGGCTGCTACCCAGGTTATTGAGGCGACTATGAAATTCTACAACCTGGGAACTCGACCCGGGTTTGGTATTCTGCTCACTATTTCTACGCAGCTTTTTGGTTTCGGTCTGGCTGGGTTGTTTCAACGGTGGTTGGTGCAACCGGCTGCCATGATTTGGCCCGGTGTTTTGTCCAACGCCGCTCTATTCATGACTTTGCACTCGAAAGCGAATGCTTTCGCTGATGGCTGGACTATCTCTCGCCGAAAGTTCTTCCTTATTGTTTTCGGCGCCGGTTTCGCATGGTACTTCCTGCCGGGATTCTTGTTCACAGCGTTGAGTTACTTTAGTTTCATTTGCTGGATTGTGCCTCACAATGTTGTGGTCAACCAACTTTTTGGCCAGGTTACAGGCCTTGGCATGTCAGTTTTGACATTTGATTGGAGTCAGGTGCGTAAATCAGATTTGTCGAAAGCTCCATACAACTGACCATATTAGGTTGTCTATGCCAATGCAAATCCATTGTTGACGCCATTCTGGGCTGGTGTAAATGTCATGGGGGGCTTTGTGTTCTTTTTTTGGCTTATTTGCCCCATCCTTTATTACACTAATACTTGGAATTTCGCATACATGCCAATGATGAACTCGGGCGTGTTCGACAACACCGGCAAGTCGTACAACACGTCAAGAATCATGAACCATGATGGGACTGTCAATACCAAGGCTTATGAAGAATATTCGCCTCTTTTCCTGCCCGCCGGCTATGCTCTCACTTACGGGATTGCGTTCGCCAATTTGACGGGAATTTTCGTGCACATTGCCCTCTACCACGGTAAAGAAATATGGACGATTTGGAAAGGTGATGGCAAGAAAGATATCCACGCACGACTGAATGAAGTTTATCAACAAGTTCCTTGGTGGTGGTTCGCCGGTGTCACTGTATTAATGTGGGTATTGAGCATCGTAGTAAACGAGGTGTGGAATACTGGCTTGCCTGTTTGGGCTGTGCTAGTTGGCTTCCTCATGCCGCTCGTCTACTTCCTCCCTGTGGGAATCATCAAGGCCCTCACCAACATCAGCACCAACGAAATCAACCTAATTACCGAATTCATTGCAGGCTATGCATTTTTGGGCCGGCCGATCGCTAACATGTCTTTCAAATTCCTCGGCTATGCTGGTGTTGCACAGGGATTAGAGTGAGTCTGTCTTGGAAAAAAAAAGAAAAAAAAAAAGGTCAACATGGTACTGACATGTGTCGTAGATTTATGGCTGATCAAAAACTTGGACATTACTTCCACATTCCTCCTCGGATGGTTTTCATGGCCCAAGGATTGGCCACTCTCGTGGGAGCGCTTGTCCAGGCAGGTCTGACGATTGGTGTTCTTGAAGGTGTCAATAACGTTTGCACCTCTGCTCAATCCGGAGGCTATAGCTGCCCACACGGCCAAGTGACGTATTCATCATCTCTTATCTGGGGTATTTGCAGTTCCACCCTTTAAAGCTGTGATTATTTATACTAACAATCATCAGGTGCTCTTGGACCTGGCCGTAGCTATTCGCCAGGTCAAATCTATGGCAAACTGTTATGGTTCTTTCTCATTGGGCCTTGTGTCGTGCTCGTAACATGGGCATTAGGGCGCAAGTGGAAGTTCTTCAACTACGTCACCTGGCCGGTGATCTTCGGAGGCATGAGCTTGGTGCCGCCAGCCACTGGCATCAACTTTTCTTCATGGTGGGCATTCAACGTCGTTTTCAACGGCATCATTAAACGTCGCAGAGGTGCTTGGTGGTCCAAGTATAGTAAGTTACTTCTTCTAGACAACCGCAGCATAGCATACCCATGATTAGATCGGCCGCTAACAATGGGGCTAGACTTTGTCCTTGCCGCCGCACTCGACTGTGGTGTTGCTGTATCTCTTGTCATTATATTCTTCTGCATTGTCCTTCCCGGCGCCAAGCTGGAATGGTGGGGTAATACTGTCTACACGAAGACGGCAGACGGACTGGGTACACCGTGGAAGAAGCTTTCCCCAGGCGAGACGTTTGGACCAACGACATGGAGCTGAGATGTCTTTATTGGATGTCTTGTGTATATTTCCTGTATAATTGTGAACTACATTCAGCCAGCGTTTAGTTAATAGTGTCAGTTTCTGTGAATTTCGTCATTGGTGATGCCAGGTACATAGATGATCGGCGAGGAATACGAAGGCCCCACTCGAGGCAGGTAAATAATCAATCACCAAAATCATTCATTGTTGAGATTGGAAAAATATTGTTGGAAATGATTCTTGTAGTGTAGACCAACTGGACTGGTGTGCTATGCGATAAACTGATTCACAATGCGCAGGGAACAATAAACCACATGATATAACCCTCGACTCTCAACAGGCAACGATCGCTCACTGTGGCTTGTCAGAAACAACATCATTGATCATTCCACACTGCACGTGCGAGGAACAGTTTCAAAATACGAGTACTGATTTATTTCACGCCGAAGATCAAATCCCTTTTCCAATTGAATCGGGAATCATAACTAGATCTAATCAATTAGGTTTGCACAACCCCAGCTGAACCCCGATTAACCACTCGCGAGATACATCCCAGAATGGTATGAGTTAGTTTATCGTGGTCAAGATGTTTAATCAACTTGTCGTGTCACGTCACTGCATCGAGATGATTAAGTACATTTAGTGGTTCGTACTAGGGGTTTAATTTCAGTGGAATACTACCCTGCTTTACCCTTTTGGGGTGCGAATTGGTTGCTTTTTGCCAGCTTCCTTCTCGGGATTAATCTAGTTCTTGCATTGTGCACACTTCAGATATATTTGATAGATAAATTCTACTCAGATAATAATAATATAGGCTGGTTTGTATGCAGAGGCCTAAATACTACGTCTGTACCAGCACAGCCGATCACAATTAAAAATAGTATGCTAACCCTATCAAGCCTCAGAAGCAGTGGGGTACGATACGAGCGCTTTCAGCTCACAAGTACCAGATCATCCATTTAGATACCCCTTAAAGTTAACTTTTATCAGTTAGTAGTATTTTCTAGAAATTCGGTATTCGGGATAAGAGGGATGGTGAGGCCCCTAGGTCAGCTAAGCAATGCCTACCTCGTAATCGTATTAAGCATATCTGAAGTGGAGCCAGCCGGCAAGTGTTTTGGAGGCCATTTCCTCATACACGCCGAGCCAAACATCTCGCATGATATCTGCATGCAAAGTAAAGTTAAGCGAGTGGCGGGACGATCCCTTATTTCCGCCCCATATTCACTGTCGATCAATCTGGGAAATACATGGGAAGGAGTATATAAAGAGCCGGGTAGCCGATTAACCGTGGAGGATTGTGATACAGATCAACAAAAATATATTCATATCTAAGAAGATATTGTAAATATTATTAAAAAAAATGAAGTCTGCTGTCTCTGTTATTGCGGCCTCCTCTGCCCTGCTGGGCGTGGCCAGTGCCTCCGTTCAGGGTTTCGACATCAGCAACTACCAGGGCAACATTGACTGGAGCGGTGCATACAACTCTGGCGCACGATTCGTCATTATCAAAGTAAGTTTGCGTCATTTCAAGTGATATGTGGTCGCTGTACTGACAATCACCAACCAGGCCACCGAGGGAACAGACTACATCGACTCTGGTTTCAATAGCCACTACACAGGCGCCACCAACGCCGGCTTCATCCGCGGTGGCTATCACTTTGCGCACCCAGACAGCAGCTCTGGTGCGGATCAAGCAAACTATTTCCTCGCCCACGGTGGTGGCTGGTCGGCCGATGGAATCACCCTCCCCGGTATGCTCGACATTGAATACGCACCCAGCGGAAACGAATGCTACGGGCTCTCTGCCAGCGACATGGTCAGCTGGATCACCGACTTTGTCAACACCTACGAGTCCGCCACTGGCCGTTACCCGATGATCTATTCCACTAACGACTGGTGGTCAACCTGCACTGGAAACTCCGATGCGTTCAGCTCGAACTCCCCGCTTGTGCTGGCTGATTATAATAGCAGCCCAGGCACAATTCCTGGTGGCTGGCCATACCAGACAATTTGGCAGAACTCCGATAGCTACGCCTATGGAGGGGACTCGGATGTGTTCAACGGCGACGAAACGGCTCTTAAGAAGATTGCTAGCGGTTAAGTATCTTACTCACTCGGCTGGGATGTGTCAGATGTAGAGTGGTGATAATTGACTAGATTGTCTCCAATTAATTAGCTAGACTGATCAATTTATTTGGTTGGCTTTGAATCATAGCAGATTATGCATTAGAATTGCAAATAGACGATCAAGTAAATGATTTGATTGGCGTCATCCGTACTACTGATGATTAGAAATGTTGAAGCCGCTGTCAATGATGTTATTATGGCTAATCTGGCAAATGATACAGTCCTTTGACATGATATCTAGCGGGTAAGGAATCGGGCGTCGCCAGCTCACTTTTGCTACGTTAAATGAACAATTTTCTGGTCTCGAATATGAAGAAATTATAAATTAATTGCTAAATCATCGGTCCATGAAGACTGAGAATCCTTGTCCAAGAGAGCATTTTAGGCAGCACGACGTTGAGGTCTGACTGAGAATAAAATGCATTAACAAGGAAAACCACAAGGATAAAATTTAAGACCAATCAATATATTGCTGCTCAGAATTGTGTCCAGCATGGAACAATCACTTATTCATCCACCTGTGAAATCGAAGGGTCTCTCATCGTAACTCTCACACCCTGGCTATCATCCTTTATATTCTCGGTAACGAGATCCCTCACAATCGCAATATCGTCGTGTGTCGTCTCAAAGAGCTCCAATGTCATTGACGTCTGGTCTCCGGTCCCGTCCCACGGGTCACATCTCCTAAATAAGGTAGCGAGAATCATGTACATTTCTTGGTACGCTAGGTTGATTCCCAGGCAGACTCTAGTACCGCACGAGAACGTTAACTGGTGCCTCTTGAGGGTTGCATTCTCCAGAAAGCGCTCAGGCCGGAACTCTTCTGGGGAGGGGTAGATCTCAGGAAGTCGGGAAGGAAGCACTGCGCTCGTCGCCATGCAAGTGCCGGCTGGAATCCTGTATGACATCTTAGTCTTGCCGTTCGTATATATCAGATCTTCATCGGGTGAAACGCGCTCTTGGCGAGTCGAGACTGCGGGGCGCAAACGGAGTCCTTCTTGGATGACGGCACTGAGATACGGCAGGTTCTCAATTTTAGAAATCTTGGGAACGGTGCCTTCAGGAATAGCATCCTGGAGCTCGGCCCTGAGTTTTTTTAATATATGCGGATTTGAAAGGAGATGGTAGGTAATAGCACTTAGAGTGTTAGCCGTGCTGTCAGTTCCTGCGGCGAGTAGATTCTGTGCCTCTTCTGCTAGTCTAGCTGGGCTTTTCTCAGATTCCGGAAGATCGCTTTGTAAAAGGCCATGGAATATTGTTCACTTTTCTTCATTGTGTATCGTGGAAGATTTGATCTTATTGATCTTAACTATGGATGCCTGCAAACTTCTCAGTACGAGGACCTTAAGCAAAAATTAGGACAGGATAAGAAACCTGCATACTTCAATTGTATCGATGCTATTCCTAGCCGTTGGCATGATCATGGCAACTGCAGACGGTGGAAGTTTCCTCATCAGATGTCCAATCCGGGAAAGTATCAGCCAATATGCCAAGTCATAACCATTTTATGATAGGATTCAAAATACGGCTTATTAAGATCTTGTCTGTTAAAACAGACTGAATCCTCTCCAAACGCGTACTTGGCAATGATATCGTGGGTGGTAGCACGGTACAGAAGACTCAAGTTGACAGGAACCTTTTTAATAACGTGCTCATCTAGTCGCTGGATGATCCGATCGAGGACCTCGAGAACTGTTGTCTCAAGGCGCCGGATATTCTGCTTAGAGAAGAATGGGTTTAGAGCTGCGCGGTGGCTTCTTATGAAGATCGTGCTTTTGGGATCCGAGAGCAGTGGGTGAAGCGCTCAAGCCATTTATTGTCCTCTGCCCTTTGTCACGTTTCTTTCCAGGACCGGCAAATATTTGATCAATAAATTCAGGATCATTGACATGTACTGTGTCCGGCGATATTCTGACTATTGGACCTGGAGAAAGAATTACTAACGCTCAGTTGGTCGAGTCAGGGATACCTACCGTACTGCCTATGCATTTCTTCAATCTCCCACATATAGTGGCCTCGACGAATCACATCATGGTAGAACGCATAGGACATGCCAAGAACCGGCAATCCCAGATTTGGTAGACATTACGGACGACTATAGAAAGTCACTTCAAACTAGGATGCTCCTTGAATGTTAAAAGATTCTCGAGAGCTCTAGGGAAGGATAACAAACAGCGAGAGTGCTGAGCAGCTGATGTTTAAATGTTGGGAGACCTCGCGCTAGTTCCTTGTTGTAAGCTGTCTATAAATAGGGATGACCTTCACTTAGCAAAGGCGTATGCCTTCCCTAATATACGTGTAGTTGGTAATTATATTATATTACTTTCCAATAAAATAGATGAATATTAAAAACATAAAATATCAATACATCTAAATCTATCAGACGTGCGAGACAGACACCCAGCCTAGACCTAATTTGGCGCGGACGACGGTGCCTGGTAAATGCGGAGAGCACACTAGACCGCATACGGGGTATTTTGCAGTCTCCACCATCATACTATATCTTTACCTTTTGTATTAATATGATAAATATGTTTAGATAGATGGGATATCAATATTGCATATGTAGAAAGTTAGATTTATATCTAATCTAATTGAATTTGCACTTTATCTTAATTTGCTACTGAGTAATCTCACTAGACAGAGAGTTCAATAGCTTTTGTCCAACTCCCACAGTCTCTTGGCAATATCCTCCTGAGCTACAAAGTAAGCCATTTGATAAGCGGTCCAGCCTTTGTTTCCTGCTGGTTGCCTTACATCGGCACCGGCGTGGATTAGTATTTCCACTACAGCTGCATGTCCCTGTTCCGCAGCTGCGGCTAGAGCGGTATATCCCTGGTAATAGCATCCATCTGCGTTGACAGAAGCCCCAGCGGATATTAACCTTTCGACACAGTCCAGATGACCTCCAAATGCAGCGGCCTGGAGAGGCGTTAAGCATTTGTACCGCATCAGCGGTGGATTTATATCGGCTCCTTTTTCAAGAAAGAACTCGAGCAGTTCCAGATTCCCTGACGCCGCAGCTGCTGTTAAAGGAGAACGGCCATTATTATTTGCTACCGGTGCATTAATATCAGCGCCGTTGTCCAGCAGCAGTGTTGCGATTTCCATATGACCGCCCTCTGCTGCAGCCTGCAATGGGGTCCGCCCCATGTATTTATGTGCAGGGGAGTTGATATTGGCGCCTGCCTCTAGCAACCTCTTCACAATTGCGATATGCCCATGTAACGCAGCGACTGTTAGAGCAGTGCGGCCGCCATTATTCCCACCGGGAGCATCAACATCAGCACCCGCGTCGAGCAGTTTATTAACGATATCTATATAGCCATGGGCAGATGCCGCCTGCAATGCAGTCTGGCCATACCAGCCGTGCGGGGATTCATTCACAAGATTGTCGAGATTCTGGTTATTGTCGATGTTTTGGTCAATCAGCGTGGCGACGGTCTCATACTCGCCATTGCGCGCGGCGGTCTGCAAAGGCGACCAGGTGTTTTCGTCGTCGTGCTCGCCCTCGATGATTTCAGCTTGTGTTGGTGGGGTCAAGATGATTTTGCCGTATTTTCGCGGCGCCATGGGTTGGTTTATCTAAGGGGTCGAGCTTCCTGCGAAGCATGTACGCTCTTCCAGAGTATCGTGTTCGCAGCTGCGGGCAGAGGGAAAATCAGTGCCGCGAAGCATCGCAATGCAGGTAGGATCTTATGCAGCATGATTTCATGGCGACATAATCCATACTAAGTATTACTAACATATGCAAGCGACGATTATCCCCACGACATTGCTGGCGGGCCAATCAGCGCGCGACAGACCAGGTTGGGCAAAGTACAGTGTCTGCCTCAGGAATCAACAGAGTAGAAACGCATTCCACGTGATGTTTTAATTTTCGCCCTTAGGGTAACCCTAGATCTAGCCTTCATACTATGTATGTGAATATATATATGCATATTATTCGCATACTTTCTCTACAAACTGTCAAATACAGATAACGGGGTGAAATACTACAGAATATTGAATATATAGATAACATGAAGCACAACAAAAAGAGTACAAGCGGCCACCTCCGAAAGGAACAAGGCGCGCCTTCCACATCGGGCCTAGCGGGGCCCAATCGGCGCTGAGCTTATCGCGGGCCAATCGGGGAGCAAGGGCTTGGCACATGGAATCGTTAAGACACGGCCAAAGGTGACATCGCAAAAACATCGCAGGGCCAATCGCACGCAGTCCATTTGCACTCGCCAGGGGCTCGATTTTATTTAAGATGGCCGCCGTCCAGCAGCTTCACCAGCTCGCCTCAGCCCTGCTAGCCGTCATCAGCGCCATCAGGCCCTACCATCCACCATGAAGGCCACCGCTGCCTCGCTGCTGCTCGCCGCACTCGCCGCGTCTCCCCAATGCCACGCCCGCGCCGCCCCCGTGGTCGACGAGACATACCCATATACAGGGCCTGATGTCCCCATCGCCGACTGGGTTGACCCGACCATCAATGGCAATGGCAAAGGCTTCCCGCGCCTAGTTGAAGCTCCCGCCGTTCGACCAGCCAAGGAGAACCCAACCAACAACGTCAACGTGATCTCCTTGTCGTATTTGCCTGGTGGCATCAACATCCACTACCAGACTCCCTTTGGTCTCGGCGAGACTCCCAAAGTCCATTGGGGCACGAACCCCAAGCACCTCGACCGTGTTGCGGGGGGATACTCCCATACGTAGGTGTTGTGTTTCGTTGTTGTTTGCCTGAGAGAGGTCATGACTGAGAATAAATGAAACTAGATATGATCGAACCCCGCCCTGCTCGGAGGTCGCTGCTGTCACGCAATGCAGCCAGTTTTTCCACGAAGTCCAGCTGCACAATCTCAAACACAGCACCACCTATTACTACCGCATTCCTGCCGCGAACGGTACGACCGAGTCTGAACTGCTTACCTTTACGACGGCACGCCGAGCCGGCCACCGCGGAGAATTCTCTGTAGCCGTACTGAACGACATGGGGTATACCAATGCCCAAGGAACTTTCCGCGAGCTGCAGAAGATGGTCAAGGAGGGCGCCGCTTTCGCCTGGCATGGTGGTGATTTATCTTATGCCGATGATTGGTATTCAGGTATCCTGCCATGTGAGGATTCATGGCCCGTGTGCTATAACGGAACCAACACCGAGCTTCCTGGCGGTGGCCCAATTCCAGACGAATACAAAGTTCCCCTACCCGCTGGCGAGATCGCCAACCAAGGAGGCCCTAGGGGTGGTGATATGTCTGTTCTTTATGAGTCAAATTGGGATCTGTGGCAGCAGTGGATCTTGAATGTAACCACCAAGATTCCTTACATGGCCTTGGTCGGTAACCATGAAGCTTCCTGTGCCGAGTTTGATGGTCCTGGAAACGTCCTGACTGCGTATTTGAATAATGATAAATCCAACTCGACCGCTTCGAAGTCTGGACTCAATTATTACAGCTGCCCGCCCTCACAGAGGTATTTACTTAGTTTCTTTATCGAATGACTCCCAGCTAACCGAGCATAGGAACTTCACTGCCTACCAACATCGTTTCTGGATGCCTGGTAACGAAACCGGTGGTGTTGGTAACTTCTGGTACTCTTTCGACTACGGCCTCGCGCACTTCATCGCCCTTGATGGCGAGACCGATCTGGCCGAAAGCCCCGAGTGGCCGTTTGCCAGGGACATCAAGGGTAACGAGACTACGCCGAAGGAGAGTGAAACCTTTGTCACAGATAGCGGTCCTTTCGGCAAAATTGACGATAATGACATTTATAACAACAAGGCCTACCAGCAGTACCAGTGGCTCAAGCAAGACTTAGCCAAGGTTGACCGCACCAAGACCCCATGGATTATTGCAATGAGCCATCGACCAATGTATTCATCTCAATATTCTTCATACCAGAAGGCCATTCAGGCTGCATGGCAGGATCTGTTCTTTGAGTACGGAGTTGATGTCTACCTTTCTGGGTAAGTTGCTTTCATGATGGTTTCGATCTTCAACTCTTCCTTTGAATGTTTATCTAATTACATCAGACACATCCATTGGTACGAGCGTCTCTTCCCTCTTGGCACCAACGGCACCATCGATTCGAAATCAATCGTCAACAACCATACCTACTACACTAATCCCGGCAAATCGATCACCCATTTGATTAACGGTATGGCCGGCAACATCGAAAGCCATAGCACTCTGAGCGCTGGTAAAAATATTGAGAATATCACCGCCGTGCTTGATCAGGTCCACTTTGGTTTGAGCAAGCTGACATTCTTCAACGAGACTGCGTTGAAGTGGGAGTTTGTTCGGGGTGACGATGGATCGATTGGTGACTACTTGTATTTGTTAAAGAAGGGGCACTCCCCACGAGCCTGATTAGGCGGTGTCAAGTGTTAGCTTGTTGGAGTATACGATAGCCGAGGAAAATGTAATTATTGGTCCAAAAGACATCCAAATAGAATTTAGGTTTTATTTACCGGACCGTTAGCAAACAAATTGTATTTGTCAAGAGTTTCTATTTGCCTCTTGTAGTATAACTGTGCTTGTAAGTGTTAGTTTGAACTGAAACACATTCATTCATTGGAAATATTCAGTGTTGGCTTCACATGACAGTTGCATCAAACAAGTACAATAATATGACAAAAGTTTGAATATAACACTGAATATCAAGATTTTCTGGCTTTCATCCCCATGTACACGAGCTTATGTTAGATCAAATTTAGACATCTTGGAGTCGCCCGTAGATAATGCAAGAAGTTAAAATACCTCACCTACTTTTGTACTGCTATATTCAACTTTATCACCAACAGGAATTTGTCAAGGTTTAATTGATACATAGTTTGTGAGCAACTCTTAAATAAGCAATTATGTATGATTCCAATGAAATTGATTTGACGCCATTGTCAAACTATCGCTTCAAATGTTGTTTTTGAGCAGTCATTCTGATGAATGGCCTTTATTACATAAAGGTCATTATTGTCCTTCATCGTCTTCAACCTTTCGAACTACACAACTTTCCCACCGCACTATGGCGATTTACTTGGCAATAAAACAACATTACGTGCGTAAGTCCTCATAATACATCTTTCACCTGTCAACAAGCTCGATAAGAAACATGGATATCCAAGAGGGAAATCAGCTACAGCCTGGCGGAGACTTCATACTGAGACTGCCGAATGAACTTTTGGATTTGACTATTTGCCTAGCCTCTGAATTCCCTCGTGAACGGTCCTGGTCAGATCGCAATAGGTATATCACAACGTCAATATTCTCTTTGGTGTGTCACAGGTTCTACAGGATTGCAATGCCATGGTTGTATAAGGACCTCTTCATTGGCGACGGGTCTTATGGCCCTTTTCCTATGAGAAAAGCTGCCCCTCTTCATCGCGGCGTCCAGGAGAATACAGATGATCTCTCTTGAAAAACTGCCGTAGATTAACCATCCATGTCCCACTCGTAAATAATGGCACCAAAATTTCCGAAATTTGATATTGTGAAGGGCCTCATCAAATGGTCCACCGGCACCAAAACTTTTGAACTCATCAGGCCAAATTTCGACAAAACATTTATCGTTTGGGAGTTACTACGAGTGGGACTACAACAAATGCCTAGTCTGGACGATCTCATTGTAGACGGGAGATACGATATCTATGGTGTATCTCTATCTCCATTGTTCGACGTACTCAAGGATGTTCAGTCTAGTAGCCTTCAAACCCTCAAAATATCTGACATTTCAGGGACAGGTCGGGCCGCCTCGGTTGAGGACTTCAAAGTGAGTAGTTTATAATGCAAACATTACCCACGGAATTTTTGTATTTGCTTTGGAAAGTATGCTAACTTGGGCTTTTTTGGGGCAGGAAAAAGAAGGAACCAGCCGGATTACTACGTTGAAATTGTCAGCCTTCAGCCAGACTCCGAAAGTGCTTGAAGGTCTTTTGAGATGGCAGAAAAAACTGGAGGTTTTTAGCCTAGAAAGCTATGCGCCTTTTACAAAAAACTGTTTTGTCAAAGATGTACAGGAACTTGAAAGCTGGGCACGTGCTCTTGGGCGTGAGGCTGTTCGCAAAGAAATGTCTCGTTTAGGAAAAATCCAAATTTTCTTGTGGGTTCGAAAGCCTAGCGACGCTGAGCAGCATATTCAAAACCGACTAGGTGCACTCGCTGCGGAGCTCAAACCATACAATATCGAGGTGACCGTTGAGGACACCAATTTACCTGGAAGCTAGTTTGCAGAAGACTGGGAACGAAATTGAACGAACATTAGTTGACCGACGAAGAATTGCCGCTGGGTATTTCAAACGTTGTTCATTTATGTATTGTTTTTGACTGTTTCCCAAAAGAAATAACAGCACTTAGGAACCATTTAAAGGATCAAATCGATATTCTCGACATCAAAAGTGTGAAAGACTAGTTGAATAAATTTAATCATTGCTAAGATAGGGTACTATAAAGTGATCTGTTTGAGGAACAACTCCTTTTCAAAGCATAAATGTTAGATCGTTCCCTGCAACGACCATACAACGAACTTCTAGGAACTAAGAATAAATACACTGATAGAGCAAGGAGCTGACATACATTCTGGTGAGCGATCGTGATTGGCTGGCGTGTATTGTATGTTGACTCCACCAAACAAGTGACGTCATGCGGAACTGATTTCTTGAACTGAAAACAAATTGGTTGATTCTATCTATCATTATTTTCTGGTAATTCTCAATCATTAACCGTCAGTGAGTTCATGCTGTATGTAATCATTGGTCAGTCTACGATTATTAGATGCTAACACAGCAGATAACTAGAGAATATTCCACATCAATTGATCCAGACAAAAATGGCCGCATCAACATTCGGACTGCTTACAAACTACACTCTTCCTTCAACATCTTCGTCTTCGTCTACTTCATCGGTCAAGGGAGGGGTCAAGGGAGTCCAGAAGCCATGTTTTGGCTGTGATTGCGGCGGCACTGATTGCGATTGCTGCATTATCCCTTGCAGCGTGATGTGAATGTAGAAACGGGCTTGTCGCTAATGTACGTATATCAGACCGGCGGGATATCCCTGACCAAGCTGATCGGATGAATTTTCAAGGCAAACGTCAATGATGATTAATGAATTTCCCGAGTTTTCTCATCCTAAGTACTTAGGATCAATTCAGAGACTGTTTCGGACACTACATTGAGTTATAAATGAATATTAATGAAGTGGGGTTATCCCACTCGGTTGAGATTCTTCTCCCACATCGTTTCTCCACCTCGGACTGGTATACAGAAATTGACAACTGGGCATGCTAAGATTACCTGAAGTTGAATGTCAATCAAACGAGATGTTTTGCACTGGCAATGACTTTACAAACGGAATTCTACGGCGGACAGTAGTGCTCAATGTTGTTATAGAACCATCAGTATGAAACAGCATGACGATGAGATGAAGTAGCCTAGCCCCACAAAATTGAGGTGTAAAAGTGATGCAAGCCTGATGGTTAATCATGCTTAGAAATAAGGCTTTTCGGCCGGCCTAGTTCCCATTCGTCCTGACGTATTTAAAGGTCTGTGGCGCGATTATAACATCTTGGCTATCTCCTAGCGAACAGCAGAGACCAAATCACATCAGTTTATAGCGAATAGTACGTAGCACAATGTCGCCAACACAGATGAAACAATGGACTGTTGCTGGCACAAAGAATGGCTTCGACGATCTCAAATTGGAGAATGTTGCCGTTCCCCAGGTCGGCGAGAATGAAGTACTCGTGAAGTTGCATGCAGCTTCACTGAATTATCGCGATTTGATTATTCCAAAGGTACAACTTCATTCTTTTTCATTCGCTTTGATATTCGCTTTGATATTTTCCTTTCTGTCTTAGCTTGAAATCCTCACTAGTAACACGAAATTGATTTGTTGAAGGGAAAATACCCTTTTCCCGTCAAAGCTCCGGTAGCAGCCTGCTCTGACGGTGCCGGAGTAGTCGTTGCTATTGGATCAAAAGTGTCGAAATGGGCGAAGGGCGATAAAGTGGTAACGCTGTTCAACCAAGGGCATCAATTTGGTTCTGTCGATATTGCTGCAAGCCAAACCGGTCTTGGTGGTGTCTTGGACGGGACCCTAAGAGAATACGGGGTGTTCAACGAGAATGGGCTTGTACGGCAGCCATCGAATTTGAATGCGCTCGAAGCGGCGACCTTGACATGCGCTGGATTAACTGCGTGGAATGCGTTGTACGGACTGAAGCAGCTCATGCCAGGCGATACGGTACTTGTGCAGGGCACAGGCGGTGTTTCCATATTCGGTCTTTTGGTATGTGTCCAGCTGATGCGACGGAGGCTTTTGACACAGGCAAGGAACGATCGCTAATCATTGCTTACAATGTATAGCTCGCCAAAGCTGCCGGTGCAACCGTCATTGCAACCACTTCATCAAAACAAAAAGCTGACACGCTCACCAAGCTTGGCGCCCACCATGTCCTCAATTACAAGACCGATATCAACTGGGGTGAAACAGCACGTAACCTTACGCCCGGTGGCGCTGGAATCGATCATATTCTCGAAGTTGGAGGACCTGGTACGCTGGAGCAATCTCTGAAAGCGATCAAGTACGAAGGAGTCATCAGCATTATTGGATTTGTTGGTGGAACGAATTCTAAAGACAGTCCGCAGATTCTGGACGCTTTGTCAAACATTTGCACATTCAGAGGTGTCTACGTCGGCTCTAGAGCGCAGATGGAGGACATGGTGCGGGCGATCGAGGTTAACAATATTCATCCAGTGGTTGACAAGGAAGTTTTTCCACTGGATAAAGCCAGGGATGCTTATGAATACATGGTGAGTCTCTTTAAAATCTGTTATTATTACTTGGTCAGAGACACGCTAATCTCCCAAATTACATGTGCAGTGGGCCCAAAAGCATTTCGGAAAGATCGCCATTCAGATTGCGTAGGAATAATTCTGACCAATCGCTACTACGTATCCTAGTCATACACGGAAATGAATCGAAAACTATTGACGCCGTAAGATTTAAGTCCCGGGGGTTTAATCTTGGCGATAGGCCACCTGTATGTACTATGTAGAGCCTAGACAGTAGAACTGTAGATGCAAAAGAATCACACGCTTCACTTCAATCCTGTCGTCGAATTAAATTGGTCACAGAGATCTAATCTAGTAGTCTCCGCGCACAGGCGCCACATCACATTTTTCCTGCGTTTAACAGGGATACCCAATAGTTGATGGGTTACATTGATGTGCAAAGCTTGATTCGGCAGTTGAACTGGCAAAACATACGGTTAGCCATCAATTGACACGTGCAGGGGTCTTATATTGCATCTTTCCCTGACTGAGTCGGCTCCATAACAAGCGAAGACACCCCCGCACTTGTTCGGCTCGAATTGCTTAAATTATCCCGCTTTATGGGGTATTCTCAAGCCTCGGTTCGGCCTGATCTCTAGACGGACCATCGTACACTGAGGCCGATTCTCCAGCAAAAAGCGGTGCCATTTTGTGGGGAGCTGGAAAGGGGGAACTGCGTAGCTGATACTCGGTCCCGAAGAACCCGCAGTGTTAGTCCCAATAAGACTATAATACTGCGACTTAGGCCCGTAGGTGAGGCGGCACTCCAATCAGAATCAGCCTGAACATTTGGGCTGACCGATACTCCTTTGCTAACTAACAGGGTAGCGCTCTGGGGCTTTAGAATCCAATGAAATAGAGGGGTGTACGCAAGTCTCGCCGTATAGGTACAGGACTCGCACTACTATAGCCGCGACTCATTACCTGTTCGACTATCTGTTTGGGATAGGGTTATCCACGCTTCCACTTTCAATGTTCCGATAGACATTACAGCCATTCTGCATTCAACGTCCTGTTTGAGTGATTTACTATGGACCAGACTCACCTAGAAGGCTAGCAGTCGAGTATAGTACATGTTAGCTGCAGCAGGCTCGTTCTGGACTCGGAAACACATGAAGATGCGGAAAGCGGGAATGGCCATCCTGGACGAAGGGCCCTGTAGAACGACAATAAAAGGTTACTCTGTTCTTGAATACACCGCAGGATGCATGAAGTTGGTTAAATAGCCCAACATTCCCCAAAACGGTTAAAAGCAAATGTGAGCGAGTGGGTTGGCGAGGGGTGACAGTCTTGACAGCTGTACCAGCGTGATGAAATATGTAGATCAGCAAGTGCTAATTATCCAAGCGACATGAGTGGTTGCAAAACAGGGAAAATCAGTTGGCGATCGTCTTCTTTTCCCTTATTCGGTAAGATATTGATGGATAATTTGCCTATGAGTGGCTGAGAAACATTTTCCCCCTTAAGAGCCTTTGTGGCACCCAATACTTTTCATGTGGTTGAGTGAGATCTATTAAAGACACGATAAGCCCGATCTGAATAATTTCCTTCAGGAAGAGAATTTCCTGCTTAGAGCCATACGTATTCAAATCCCCCATCAGTGCAAAAATGCATGTCCGTGCAGTCCTAAGCAATACAGCTAGCCTCGCTCTACTTGGCGCCATTGTGCCGGCTGCAGCAGACATATGTTCAAACATAAAAACCGCGTCCAGCTCGAGCGATATTCTGTCCGAACCTCTTTCTCTCGCCTACGAGACCGAGATTCAAAACTACTGGTCCGCCGCCTGCTCTGGCTTGCGTCCGACATGTATGGTCTTTCCGACAAGTGCCGAGGAAGTCTCAGACATAATCCAGGCACTTCAACAAACAGATGATTTATTTGCTGTCAAATCTGGTGGGCATATGCCCAACAATGGATTCTCCAGCATCCAGGGCGGCTTGCTGCTTTCAACCAAGAATTTAAATAATATTGTGGCATACGACGCAGACACACAGACAGCAAAGATCGGCCCAGGTTTGACCTGGGCTCAAGCACAACAAGGCTTGGAAGGGACGGGTATGACTGTTGTTGGTGGCCGATTGGGCGGCGTGGGCATTGGAGGTTATATCCTTGGAGGTAAGATTCTGTATTCCTCTTTCTTGGGACGTTGTACAATTACTAAGCGGTTACTCTTCGTGGCTTTTAGCCGGTCTCAGCTTTTTGAGTGCACAATATGGATGGGCAGCAAATAATGTTGTTGATTTAGAAGTCGTCCTTGCCAATGGAACAATTGTGCATGCTAATGACTTCGAGAATGAAGGTTGGCGTTGATTTTCTTCATGTGTTACTTCACGTGCTTTTGTTAACATCCAAGTCAAGATCTTTTTGCGGCACTGAAAGGTGGCGGTAGCAGTTTCGGCATCGTGACTCAGTATACTTTAAAAACCTACCCAATCGCTGACAAGGTAAGCCACCTCTTATAAATTGTATAATCACAGCTAATAGTATGATAGGTATGGGGAGGCGTCATAACTTTTGGTCAAGACAAAACTCCCCAGGTACTCGAGGCCATTCGGAATTTTGTAGAATACTACCCCGACGACAAGGCCGCGATTATTCCTACATGTGAACACACAGCTCTTTTCACTTCTTGGTTTGTATTTTTCTTCTATGATGGCGAAACTGCTCCGGCAGGTGTATTCGATAATTTTACAGATATCGGCTCGTTGACGAGCACCGTTCAAACTTGGGACAGTTATTACGATTTAGTGAGCACCACTTATTTTAAGAAAAAATCCTTCTATCGCTTCCTTTTTGTGGTAGCTTGTTACTGACATTGCGATATAGCTCCAAAGTAATGACGAGTATGATTTGCAGTGAGTTTCCACTTGTAGAATTATTAAACAACTCCAATACTGATATAAATGCCACAGCGGCCAACGATACGCCATTGCAACCGAAACAACTCCCCTTCCAAGCGCAGAATTTGGTACAGAAGTCTTGACGAATATTTGGGAGACCTTTTATAATATTACTTCCGAGGTCATCCTTGACACTGGAATGATCGGCACAATTGCCATGCAACCTATGTCTCGCACAATAACGAGCAAAGCGAAAGCGCTCGGAGGAGTAAGCTAGTTTATTGCAAATTTATTCCCGAATATCCACTCAGAGTACACTACAGGATTTACTTGATTTCCCCGATACAACAGACTACATCATTTTTGAATTGGATATTTCCCACTCTCTTTCACTAGACGACGATACCACTGAGGCTGCCATTGAATCCCTATATACATCATTGGGAAATGTTGTGGAAAATTATATCCGAGAAGGCAAGCTACCAGATGTGTACCGGCCATTGTTCATGAATGATGCCCACGGTACACAGGACTACTGGGGCCGTATTGCGCCGTCATCACGGGCCTTCGCCAAGCAGGTTCGGGAGAAGTATGACCCAGAATTGTTTTGGCAGAAGAGGACCAGTGGAGGTTTTAGACTGGGTTAATCGATATAACCGAGTGCCAGAAGACTTAGTGAGGTTGAAATAAAACATATAAGTAGTATTAAGTATATGTGGAAAGGGGGTTTGGATATGTTCTCTTAATATGATATAATAACCATTGACCTGTCTTTGTTTATTAATGTTCACAAGAGGTACTCTTAGGTAAATAAGCGTCGACATCGAGGTATTTTAGACAGCAACCACGGATTCTCTCGATGTATCGGCTAATCTTTGTCAAAAGGTTCAGTAGTCGCTGGGTGGTAAGGTACATTTAAGAAGACGTGTAATAATAGGTGACAATGTTAGCTGGTGTAAAAGCAGTGACTTAACACTAGAGATTCTGTGGAAACAGCTTGGAAACGGTCACTATCTTATTGACCAAAGCAGCCACACTGGCACTATTCAGCACATCAAACAGAGTAATATCAGCCTTGAGGTTCGCCAAAACCCAACTCCGGATCTCGACAGCCATCAAAGAGTCCACTCCATAAGCATACAGTGGGCGGCTAGGATCGATGTCTTCAGCCGCAGTTTGTAAATCCTTGGCTAACCGTTCAGACACGATAGCCGTTATTAAGTTCAACGCCTCGTCCGTAGAGGAACACGAAGACAGCTGGGAAGCCAAAGATTGGGCCTCATTCAAAACTCCATCCCCAGACTCTTTTATACGATCTCTACCTATCTTCCTTAGCATCTGAAAGCGGTTGTCGTCAAAGTAGAAGGGCCGATCCAGTCCCTCGGCCTCCAGGATTCCTCCTGTTGGTAGACCACAAATGACCTGTGCAGGGACATCTGCCTGCCCGAAGCGCCCGGTCATTGCAGCCGTCATGAGTGCGTGAAACTTGGTTTCATCAACGCCCACCGCTTCCCATTTCTTTAGATTTGTTGTGCCACCTCTTTCGGCAATCAATCCAATGCCCACCATGAGGCCAAGATCAACACTTACGGCAGTAAGCCCATGGCGGCGTCGATAAGAGGCCAACGCGTCCTGGTAGGTATTCCCGGCTGCATAGTTAGCCTGGCTACGGTTTCCCACCACACCGGAAATCGAACTGAGCATGACGAAAAAGTCCAAGTCGCTTGGGAGTGATTGATGCAAGACCCAGGATCCCTGCACCTTGGGTCCTATTGCTTGCTGCCATTGCGAATGGGTCATTTTTTCATAAATCGAATCCTCCAACACTGCTGCACTCTGGATGACACCGCGGATAGGTGGTAAATCAACTGTGCATTGAGAGATTACTCTCTCCATCGATACAGCGTCTGATATATCACAAGCGTATATGTGGATGGAAACGCCAATAGATGCCATTTCCTCAATTAGAGGCTTCGCCGCACTAGATGCTAATCCCGACCGTGAGACAATAGCCAGGTGTCGTGCCCCTTTTGTTGCCAGCAGACGAACTAAGCTCCTTCCAAGTCCCCCGAGCCCACCAGCCAATAAATAGGTGGCTTTTGGATTGAGTATAAGTGGTGTTTTGACTCGAGGGGTGACTGGGATTTTATCGTGAGAGTTAATGGAGAGAAAAACCTTTCCATGCCTCGCATGAGAATGAAACTGCTCGTGAGCGTCTTCTAGGCTGCGTACAGTCAAGTGTTTGAGTGGGTTAAACGAGCGATATCGGAGCGTTGTAGTGACATCTCTAAGTATATTGGCAATCAAGGTGGTATCACCTTCTTGCATTATCCGATCGAAATTGAGGACTGAGTAAGATGCGTTTCTCCGATATGGTTGCATATCAAATGACGATTCCAGTGTTGCACTGGCAGAGCTCATATCTATAAATCTGCCCGTCGCTGCTACACATCGTAATAGCTGCTTCAACGTCTCAGGTGTCGCACTAGTACTTATGACAATGCCCACTCCCAAATCACCAGTGAGTGTAGAAATAGCAGCCGAAAGATCTGGATCACTGTCCGAGAAGATACAGTCTGGATCCACACCATAGCTTTGCACAAGCACTGAATGCTCCTCCTTGGTCGCCACTGTTACGAATAGGTTTGCCTTTCGGTGCTGGGCGAGTTGGACACATGCAACTCCAACAGCACAGCATGCCCCTTGCACGAGAACTCTTGTTCCAGCCTGAGCCAGTCCAATATTAACCAGGCCATGATACGCTGTTCCAATTGTAACTGGCCAAGAAGCGCCATCAGTGTACGGCACATTGTCCGGTAATATCTGACATAGGGACTCTTTGACATGTTCAATGATGCGTTGAGGCCCTAAGCCGACGGCACAAACACGGTCACCGATTTGATGATGCGTGCAGTTGCTGCCGACGGCCTTCACAATTCCACTAAACTCTTTTATAGAAACCAATCCATCGCTGAAAATAATCCAAATATTTAGTACAGATAGCATGGAATGAGTCCCATATGGAAATAAAATGACTTACTCGATACCAAAAGCTTTCACTTCTACTTCCACCTCATCCAAAGCCAGCTCTTTCTGACCCTGAGCGATATCGAAATACAGGGGGGATGAGCCAAACTGCATCAACTGTAGGTTTGCACGGATTTCGCCTACAGTGATATTTTCGAGAGTCGGTGTTCCATTGTCGATCCCATTCAGAAGACTGACTCCCTCGTCTACCTCCCATCGATTGATGCAGAGGTTTCCATCCACTTCAACAAATTCCCTGTCACTACCTGGCGCATCCAAGGTTTGTAAAATCCTATCCGCTGTTTCTCCAACTTCTAGGTGTGGCCTGTCCTCCAAGAGCAGATAGCTGAGATCTAAATTGGGGTTTTCGTTCCTCAGAGCACGCAAATAGCCGATTGCAGTCTGCTTGACGGGATTATCACCCATTGCAACCCAGACAAACCGTGAACTGGATAGAATGACCGCCTTCAGGAAATCAAACATCTCTGATGAGATTTCAGCAAGAATTGAATCATGACCCGCATCTAGAAGAGATATGATAGTGGCGCTACTTGGGGCACCTGTCACATCTGAAGGCGATTGAATCCTCCGTGACGTTTGGCCTCGTTGCGTAAAAAGTGTCTGTAGACTGCTGATTATCTCTTCTAGATGATCCGAAAGTTTAGCCGGTTCAATTATATAGACCTTAGATGCCGTAATTCCTGGTTCCATTTCTTTAGAATTCGCCTCTTTCGAGAATACGCTTAGGCCACTGAGAGATATAATCTTTTTCCATGCCCTATAATAAACATGGATTGTTAGAACGCCTGCATAATTCATCTTGTCTAAGAGAAATATTTCTCACCCTGAATGTGGCATTTCTTGCCCCCGCCCTGTAGCGATGAGTTTCCCTCCGGCACGTAGCCATTGCTGCACGTCTAGAATTAGAGATGACTCTTCCGAAGAGTTGTGAATTACTATCACATCGAATAACCTTTCCTTAAAAGTGGCGCCTATCGGCTCGTCATTTAGTAGCTGCAAGGCAATATGTTTATCGGAAATCCCTGGGTGCTCTATTTTCATTGCGTCTAAGATACCGGAGTCAGTGGTTGCCAACGTATAACTGGAAAATCGACAAGCTGTTGTATCTTGACCAGTACCTGCTCCTAGTCGAGACAGCAATGAACGTGTGAACACCACAGATCCGCCGATTTGGAGAATCGATAGGTCTGTGTTCTTGTGGATGATAAGATCCATGATCTATGAGGTATAGTTAGTAACGGAGTCGTAGGTGACAGAACGAGAGTGGAGAGAATAATGGGCAAAATAGACGCATGGTTCCAAGCAATCCCAACAGATATTCTACTTGAACAGCCACTTACCACAAAAAGTTGTTTTTCTATTACAGCTCCCTCGTTCACATCATCATAGTCAATCTCCGAGGACTTTGTAGTCACATAACAAGCTAAAAGCTCTTCTACCATCATATCGATATCTGGTTTCCAGATCAAGGTACCAAAAGGAGCATTTTTTCTATCAATGGTACCTTCATTTGTAGCCTTTCTTGAAGGAAGAATCCTGCAACGAATCCCTGTGACTTGGACTTTGGGCTCATCCCATTCCATATCTGACATGAAGATATCTGCCACAAGATCGCGCGGGTCCTTGTGGTAGTTACTGATTTTGCAAAATCCACTAAAACGCGAACCTGAACCAGACGGAAAATCGTGGAGAAAAAATTTAATGCTTTCAAATGCAATCGGAATAGCGGCATTGGAAACCCCCCCATCACCGAAGGCTGCAAACATGGAGTGAAAAATGACATCAAGAGTGGTGGGATGTATCAAATGGGGACTTTCTTCACACACTGGCATTGATGCTTTGGTATCGGGAATCTTTATCACGGTGCAGCAACGGTTCTTTCCACTAAGAATCTCATCAAGGTCCTGGAAAAGAGGTCCGTACTGCAGCCCTACTGAATTTGTCGAGGTATAAAAATCCTGGGTCTTGACTGTACGCGTGCACAACGCTTTGGATTGTATGTATTCTTGTTTCACAGCCTCTTTTATGATGTCCCTGGCCCTGGACCATGAATGATCAGTCATTGGACGATAGGTTATATAAATAGACCCAGATGACGTTTCCTGCAGATCGTTATCATTGAGCTGGCAGCTATAGACAGAAAAGTCCCACTCCCGTCTAGAGTCATTTTGCTTGACATTGGTCTTTCTCTCCCTTAACTGCAGTACCATCTCAGTCCCTGATTTCCCGCTATCCGGGATTACTATTGCCTTGTCCAGCTTCACGTCTTGAAGCACAATAGTGTCAACCACCCTATCCGAGTCTGCGATTTGTAATACGGCCTCGACAGCCATTGCAATAGTTCCTGATGCAGGATAGAGAATATCAGAGTGAATCACATGGTCTGCAACCCATGGCTGTTCGCTGATGCGGAGAATATTCCGCCACCGCGGTTCTTGTGCCGTACAATCAGGAACCAGCGCCCCCAGGAGATCGTGGCGGCCGTGTTTTCGAAAACGATAATTCTGACTGACTCGAGACTCACCCCAGTATCGTAGGGAATGATTCCAAGGGTAAGACGGTAAACTGACAAGGGGCCTATGCTTCTTTTCGTGGTACACATTGTTTACGGCTTGTATGGAAACAGGCACGCCATGAATGTAAAGTTCTCCGGCTACCTTCATCGCCGTTTTGACTGCATCCTCCCCACGTGTTAGGATACTCTGATATCCAACTGCTTCTAATCCATAATGTTGAATGATCTGGCGAAGAGGTCCTTTTAAAGCTCCGTGTGGCCCAATCTCCACTAAAAGATCAAATGCGGATTCTCCCTCCAGTCCGCCGCGGCGTCGGCGATGACGACGACTTGTGTCTGAGAGCAAAGTACCAACGGCATCCGAAAATAACACAGGTGAGACGAGGTTTTTAACCCAGTACTCGGGGCCGAGATCTGTATGATGTGCCACGAGATCGCCGGTGACACTAGATGCCATTTTGATCGCTGTAGTATCGGCATCCTTGTTAAACTCGGTTGATGTAATGCCCTGGAGCCGAGCTCGATACCTCTCTGATACTCGCAGCATATGGTGTGAGTGATATGCATTGTCAACTTGCAGCTTCCGACAAAAAACCTCGTCAGCAGCCAGTTTCTTATGTAGGTCATCAATTCCAATCTCATCGCCTGATATGGTGACAGACATAGGGGAATTAACACAAGCAACGACTATTTTGCCCCCTTCGACAGTTTTGATATACTCGTCGGCTGCGTCTCTAGAAAGACCAGCGGCCATCATGGCACCTTTTAGTGTATCTGGCAACTCCATGCTAAGCTCCGCGCATAGTTTGCCACGCCAGTATGCAATTGTCCATGCATCTTGACGAGACAACGCTCCATGACAAACGGCCGCAGCAATCTCACCACTAGAATGACCGACGACACCAGCAGGTTCGATATTCCACCATCTCAAGAGATCCATCAGGGCAATTTGAAGAATGGTACACATTGGTTGACTTATTTCTGCACGATGCATGTTTGATTTGCCGATGGGCTTTTGCAGCTCTTCGAGAACAGACCAGGTGCTGTCGTGTGCAGTTTGCAAGAACGAATCTGCTTCCGCGACGCTCGACTGGAATACGGGGTAGACCAACAGCTCAACTCCCATTTGTGCCCATTGAGCGCCTTGGCCTGTGAATACAAATGCAATTCGGGGCGGTTTGCTAGAGCGAAAGCAGTTCGTAGGTGACGATGTCAATGTTTGATAGATTTCAGTCATGCTAGAACCAGTTACATATGACTTCCACCCAAGTTTCGAGCGCCGATTGCTAAGTGTAAGAGCCAGGCGTTGGAGACTAGACTCTTCATCACCTTTCGCTTCTTGTTCTGGTAGAAACCTGTTTCGGGAACTTGCATAGTTAGCATATTGACTGTGTATTCGTCGCAATGCGGTTTCGTCTGCTGCGCTGAACACGAAAAGTAGTGTTTTCAAACCGTGTGACCGCTCAGTATGCTGCCTACATATATCTTCATGACAATCCTTCGTGCAGCCGTTCATGAAGACACTCCCGTCAACTCCATCTAGAATTGCATGGGCATTGGTGCCACCGTATCCGAATGAGTTGACGCTGGCTCTAAGCGTGCGACCAGCTGGCCACGGGGAGACTGAGGTTGGTACCTTTAGTTTCCACTTGTCGAAAGGGATTCGCCGGTTTGGTTTCTCAAAGTGAATATTAGGGACAATTGTACGGTTCTCCAACATCAAGATACATTTTATAACGCCTGCCAAGCCGGCGGCTCCTTCTAGATGCCCGATCTGCAAAATTATTTAGTACACAAGGAGTATCATATTGAACATACAAAATCTATAACTTACATTTGATTTAACTGAGCCCACGATGAGCTCGCTCCCAGGCTGGCGCTCTTTGCTAAGTGTATGGGCTACCGCAGCTAACTCCAATGGGTCCCCGACAGCGGTTCCCGTCCCCTTGAGATGCGTACATATCAGCAATGGGTCTCTTTTGTAGAAATAGGAATCCAAACTTACATGGGCTTCGAAAAAAGCAGTGTCTGCAAAGTCCAATCCGGCTGAAGCGTACGTCGAACGAATCAGGTCTCCCTGGGCGTCACTGTTCGGCAACGTAATACCAGCAGTATGACCGTCTTGGTTGACACCGGTGCTGCGAATTATAGCACGAATAGAGTCCCCATCTACAAGAGCGTCTTTCAGAGGTTTCAAAATGAGTGCTGCAATCCCTTCCCCGCGACCATACCCAGTCACTTCGTCGGCAAAGGACCGCGACAACCCATCCTTGGACGTCATGTGCAGATTCCCCAACCACATGGCCAAGTCCGGGCTCAAGATGAGGTTTGCACCACAAACCACGGCCATTTTTGCTTCTCCATCTCTCAGACTCTGGCATGCCAAATGCATACCGACCAAGCTCGACGAGCAAGCCGTGTCAAGAGTTAAACTTGGTCCGCGGAAATCATAGAACCACGAAACTCGATTCGACAACAATGAGAAACCTGTCCCAGTACCTGCATATTGGGGAGATGTCTCTGGGTCACGCATAAGCATTTCGTGAAAATCGCGAGTGAAACAGCCGACATAGCAACTGGTGGCACTACCCTGCAGGTTTTCGATAGGAAAGCCGCCGTTTTCGAGGGCTTCATACGTCACTTCGAGGAGCATCCGCGCCGTAGGGTCCATTGCCATGGCCTCCTGGGCGGTTATGTTGAAGAATGGTGCGTCAAAGGCAGCCAAGTCATGTTCGATGAAGTGGCCTCCAGGGGCATTGAGTGTATTGAGCTTGTCAGAAGGGTGATGAAAGGCATCGGCGTTGTATCGAGATGAAGGTGGTTTTGAGAATGCGGCTATGCTTAATGTCAATATCCTCTGTCTTTGTTTTGACAAAAGGAAAACTCACATTTTTTGCTTCTTAATAATTCCCAGAAGTTAGCAGCATTGGAGGCACTTCCGGGGAAACGGCAGGCCAGGCCAACAACGGCGATGGGACAGCGTTCTCCCATATTAACCCTAATCCTAACCCTAATTTACCAACAGCAAAGGTCGACCAAATAATATAAAGAATCAAGCTACCATCATTGCCTTTTAATACTTCGAAAAGATGACCCCTTTTATTTTTGAAAATACCCACAAGGGAAACTTTACAACTCAATCCGGCTGTCATCATGCTCTGAACACAATATTATTACGACCCGTTGGTTGCTTCCACAGAATGAAACCAAGCTACGTCCGTCCGGTATCGTGCAACGCAAGCCCAAAAATTCGATGACATACACCGTGGTCCTGGTGTCAGACAAGGCCGCCTCTTAGCATGACCACGTCACAAATTAAATGTAGCTAAGTAGTACTTATCAGCAAGTCGAGTCATATTCCTGCAGGATCGTTTTTCCTCGGCTTTAATCTCCTTCTTTTGATTGAGTAGTTTAGCACTAGCTTGGACAATTATCCTTTCCTGATTCCGATTCGACACAATTTCAGCTCGTTGTACTTGGTCTATGAAATTTTTTCTGCAGGTATTACCATTAAAAACCAATGCACCATAAATTTGACTTATTTGCGGTCTAGGAAATAGCCTACGTAGTATCCTATGGTTGTTGACTCGGAAGTAGAATGATCTTGGCTGCTCGAGCTTAAAGTGAGAGAACGCTGAGATGAGTTCATCGCAAATTCTCCATAAAGGAAAATACTGGTTCGATACAGTGAAGACGGAAATAATGCGCTTCTTGTGTCTTCACGGACGAGGCACAAACGCCGATATCTTCGAGTCACAGCTCGGTAGGTCCGATAATTTGATCTTGTTTTCTTGACTACTATTTTTTTGTATAAATTAAATCTTCACTGACAGAATCAGCCGCACTACATAGCAGAATCTCCTCTGAGCATACGTTTGACTTTATTGACGCCGAATTCGATTGTCCTCCGGCTCCGGGCATTGGGGACCTTTTTGCCCCTCCCTACCTTTGCTGGTACTCCCAGTTTGACCCTACACACATCCAAACTGCGCACGATTATATTAGATCGACAATCGAAGAAGACGGTCCCTATGACGGAGTGATTGGGTTTTCCGAAGGAGCCGCCCTCGCGGCAAGCTTTTTGATCAGCTTGCAACACAGAAACGATGAATCCGGGGGAAACCAGACAGACTTGCTGTTCAAAGTCGCTATATTCTTCAACAGCGCAATAGTCCTCTCGCCGTCGAAAACTCTAGGAAGTAATATCACACAATGGATCGCCAAGAGTAGGGCCCAACTTATCGAGTTTATCCACTGTAATCCCAAGGAGTTCGAAAAGCTCCCCGACACCTTTGGCTTTACGTCTATTTGCTTATCGTCGTTCAAAAGCCGAATTGCGATACCTACCCTGCATGTCATTGGGGAAAGAGATGGGTTTGTAGACGACGCGCGGCAGCTAGTGGAGTTTTGTTGTAAGCAGACAGCTGAGGTTTTTGTTCACAGTGGGGGACACGAGCTTCCCCGTGACGAGGCAACATTGGATCGATTTGCTACGCGCTTTGAAGCAGTGATTGCGTTGGCTGCAGTTGTTTGATAGATCAAAGATGGATGCGTGGATAAAAACAATTCAGTCAAATACTAAAACCCAGCATTGTGGCATGACTAGCCTTACACACCCCGTTAGAAAATAGGCAATTTTAGGAGAATAATTGGAAAATAAAGACATTGGGCGTTTGATTAGCTTCTACCTAGGGAGCTGAAAAAACGCACTTATTGGAACTTTTTGCACTCAGCCAGCCACAACGAGCGGTTGCAAGGGCTTTATTTCCGACGTCGATGCTAAGGACATTTAGAGGAAATGTTTCCGAGCACTTTGCCTTTCAAATGCAGCCTTGTATGCATGTAGCCATTTAATTGGCTCACACTGCATGCCGAAATTCCATCGGTGGCTCTAAATAATGTAAAATAAAAATTTCAGATCCATATTTCGAATAATACCTGCAGTAGTGTAATGCAACCAGTGAGCTCATAGCATGCATAAAACGTACCATTCATTTGATGAATATCTATCTAGTCGAGGCCGCCTACGAGTTGCGCAAATTGAAATACCACTTATTTTCAAAAATAAAAAATCAGTAAAAAGATTTACCCAAATTGAAAAAGAAAATGGGCAAAGGCGACTCCCAGTCCGACAGTCAACAGCTCCTGCCAGTGGTTCTTAAAAACCGAGCACAACAAAACCCGCAGGGTGCCTGGGCTCAATTTCCTGTGTCTGATCAGACATATGCCTCTGGTCTTCAAACCGCGACAAACTGGCAGGTTAACCATGCCGTTAACCGAGTGGCATGGCTGTTAGATGACTGGTTTGGAGCAAGCTCTGACTTTGAGACACTCGCATATATCGGCCCGTTTGATTTAAGATATTATATCATTGTGATCGCTGCTATAAAAGTGGGATATAAAGTGAGTGTGCTACATACTAGGCAGTTAGGAATGGTTTCCAGAAAACTTATGAAACGATAATAGACATTTTTACCGTCCCCCCGTAACAGCAAAGTCGCTCAATTGCATCTGATCCAGCAGTTAAAATGCACAAAACTGGTGACTGCAGATCCTCAGCCCGCTGCGGTTAATATGGTGTTGGAAGAGCTTCCGATGGCAACAGCTCATATCCCTTCTCTTCGAGAACTACTAAATAATCATGACGAACATGATGAGAGAGAATACCCATATGAAAAGTCCTATGATGAAGCGAATGACGAACCAATATTTATTCTCCATACCTCTGGTTCAACTGGGATCCCCAAACCATTGATATACACACACCGGTTCATCACTCGCACCGTCAATGTGACAGCACTGGCCGCGCCAGTTGGGTTTCGAAGCGGCAATGACAATATACGGACAGGACACTGGTTTACATTTCTCGCTCCATTCCATATCTCTGGCATGGGCTTTGGACTGATGGTTGCCGCTTTCAATGACTGTGTCCCTGTATTTCCGCTGCCCGGCCAGCCGCTGACGACAGCGCAGTTTGTCGACGCTGTCAAGCATGTTGACATGGACTGGGCATTTGTTCTACCCTTTATTCTTGAGGATCTGAGCAAAGACCCCATGGCGCTCGAGTTGGTCTCTCGCAAACTAAGCCATTTGTATTTTGCTGGCGGAAGCGTACCGCAAGCGGCTGGCAATATTGTTACTTCGAAGATCCCGGTTTATCAAACAACTGGTTCAAGTGAAATGAGCTTGCTGAGCCAAATCCATTCCTTTGAGGGAAGCAGCAGCCGCTTGAGAGACGACTGGGCATATATTCATCTGCACCCAACACTTAATGCGGAGTATCGACACCACTATGGAGATTTGTATGAGATGGTAATAGTTAAAAGTCCCGAGAGTGAAGAGTTTCAGCCCATATTTCTCCATTTTCCGGATCGAGAGGAGTATGAAACTAGGGACCTCCTCAGTCCACATCCAACTGTGCCCGGCATGTGGCGGTATCGTGGTCGTAAGGATGATATTATTGTTTTCTTGAACGGCGAAAAGACGAACCCAATATCTTTTGAACAAGAGGTTTCGAGACATCCCGAGGTGCGTTCGGCATTGGTGGCAGGCTCTCAGCGATTTGAAGCATGTTTGCTAGTTGAGCTTCACCAAGGAGAGTCACTCTCGAAGAAGGACCTGGAAAAGGTTGTCAATAGCATCTGGCCTGCTGTCCAGACAGCAAACAGTGAATGCCCAGCTCATGCGCGTGTTTCAAAAGCAAATATCCTTGTTGTAAACCCATCAAAACCCATGGCACGTGCGGCCAAAGGAACTGTTCAACGAGCAGCAACATTAGCTCTTTACGAAGAGGAGATTAACAAGCTCTATGCTGAAAAGGATTTTGATAACTCATTATTAACCGGCGGTAGATTCGCGGCAGTTGACAAGACAAACCTAGGTGCGGTGTCTAGAGCTGTACGAGAGCTTGTGTATGAGGTTACGCAATGGGAAATCAGCTTTACCGACGAAGCTGATTTCTTTTCATTGGGAATGGACTCTCTTCACGTACTGCAACTTGGTCGCCAGCTAAACATGCCACCGAGTACTATCTATAACAACCCGTCAGTCAATTTGCTATCCAAGGCAGCCATGTCGCAGCCTATCGACCAACCTCGGCGTACCGAGGCTATCACTAGTCTATTGCAACATTATGAGAAGCAGATTGACAATCTAACTGCTACCGCCGAATCCGATAGGCTTGGATATAATAAAAACCAACCCAATCCAAATGAAGGGGCAGTCGTCGCTCTAACCGGCTCAACCGGGGCGGTTGGATCATATATCCTGCAAAAGCTGCTCCAAAGCGATGGCGTCACGCATGTGTACTGTCTCAACCGCGCAGCCGATTCCAAGACCCTTCAACACGCGCGAAATATTCAACGACGCATCAAAATGGAATTATCATGTAACCGAGTGACATTTCTACAAGTAGATCTGGCTCAGCCTAACTTTGCCATCCACGACACTGATCTGTATCTTAAAATGCAGAGAACCGTCACCCATTTTATCCATAATGCCTGGCCGGTCAATTTCAACCAAACATTGCAGTCTTTCCGACCAAGTTTGGATGGGGTTTTGGGACTCATCTCCTTTGCAGCACGAGCAAGCTGCTTAGTGTCCACTTTGTATCTGTCTTCAATCAGTGCCGTGTCAAACTATCACCTCATTGCCGGTACTGAGGATGATAATAATTTGATCCCTGAGGAAATCATCGACAACCCCATATCCCCCGCGGCGATGGGGTACGGTGAAAGTAAGTACTTAGCGGAGAGGATCCTGGATTATGCGTCGGAAAAGTTACAGTTGAAAAATTTTGGTATTGCCCGAGTGGGACAGATCGCAGGGACATCTTCACCAGAGCAGGGTCCTGCTCACGGATGGAATCGCCACGAGTGGCTACCTAGTCTGGTCATTAGCTCTCGATATCTCAATGCTATTCCGGAATCACTTGGATCCAAAAAAAATGAAGATGTGACAGGTGTCTTGGATCGTATTGATTGGGTTCCTATTGACCATCTTGCATCGCTACTTGTCGAGATTTTGTTCAGTTCTGGGATGGACGCTGAAGATTCGCCGGGTGCTCGCGTTTTCCATCCCATTAATCCTAATTGGATCAGCTGGCAAAGTCTAGTTCCGACCGTGGTGGCAGCATTGAAGGAAACATCATTGACAGAGGAGATCAAGGTGGTCAAGTATGAGGAATGGCTGGCCCTTCTTCAATTCACTGCAACGGCCACAAAAGATCTGGGTGAAAGCAGCAGTCATATACTCAGGGAAAATCCCGCGGTCAAGCTGTTGGAATTTTATCAAAGTATCGCCCTAAATGCCGATGCCAAACCAAAGCCCTTGGAGCTTACGCAGACGTTGGAGAAATGCCCCTCGTTGCAAAAGTTGGGAGCCATTCGGTCGGAATGGCTTTGCGGATGGATCAAGGACTGGATTCTTGTAATGGATTAGGGCAGTGAGACCGTAGTCATATGGATTTGTAAGGTCAATAGGTACGTATAATAATGGTAATTATTGGCTACCCTATATACTGGTAATTAGATATGTTTAGTCCTGTAGATCCATGCTTTTGGTTATATGTATATTCAAATCACGTAATCGGTCTATTGCGGCGCTCGAACTTGTTAGGGGTGAGGATCATAGAAAGAATTACTCACCACAACATGATGACCCTGATTTCCGAATGCAATTGCGGCGGAGGGACCCCATTGACCAACACGTTTAATGGTAGTGCATTAGAATCGGATTTATTCTTCATAACGGCCATCCTAAATTCTTTTCAAATTTTTTTTATGTATCTGCTGATAGCTTCGCTCCTTGCTGGGGCGATTGAAAAACTAGGATATATTGCATTGAATTTTCCACAACCCAAAATAGGATCTTTTGTCCCTCTTTGCCAGGCATCTACGGGAATAATGCAAATAGTCTTGAATTAAATGTTAAACCACGGCCTAATGTACCTTTTCTAGTAAGCCCAGTTGATAAGCTCGACCTTTTGAACAGTCGTCTAGATAGTTCCGTATATCCGATAGTGACAAAGATAAATGACGTGAGCGCTCGCATGAGTAAAGTGGAAGAAGTCAAATCCTGAAATTTCTAATTACCATACCTTATTTCACGACAGTAGAATTAAGCATAATTATAAGCTATTTCCCTACTGTTACTATATATATGTAGTATAAATACGGAACCCGCGTGTTGTGATAGGGATTTTGCCCAGGGAAAGAGGCTTAAGTCTGCAGATTATGGCAGCCAAGAAACTCTGGAAAGTTAGTGTACCTTTCTTAAGATTGGCTAATTACTGCTAGCAAATGAAACTAACATTGATCTATACAATTGCGGGGCTAAAATGGTTATATCACATTTCATTGGATTAACATGACCCTGATCGCAAAGCATTCCTCTTGCGGATAGCCCGGCAGATGAGAGAATTGCACGGCCTAGACTGGTGGCTATGCATACGAAAATTGGTCAATTACGAGCAAAAATACATAGAAAGAGAGTAGCTATCGAATTCTTTCTCTTTAGTTTTGCACTTAGAAGTGCGTTAGACTTTGGAAGTGATGACCATTTGGCGATACGGCTAGATTTCAATAACAATATAGTGGGATTCACCAAAGCTTGAGCTGACATCTAGTGGGAAATCATGCTGAAACTCTGTGGATATCTTTGTTAAAGTAGATTGACTACAATTCTCATTATCGACTCGATTTAAGTCTAGAAAGACATAAATTTCACGCTTTTTTAACCCTGTATCGTTAGAAGTAAAACGTTCATAACGGAATTTCCCATGGAAACGGTGCACACGAAAGTGATCTCGAGATCTAGAAATATTTCCTCCTATACAAAACTCCATATCGTTCAAAATATATAAGCGGATCCAAAACTTTGAAAACACACGGAGCTCCAAGATACACGTTCAAAGTCCCTAGGCCAAGTGACCATATCTACCCCCTGGAATTTGCGATAAGCGGAGAATAAGTTGTATGGAATGGTATTTCAGAAAGCACTATAAGGAAGGAGTTAGAAGATTCTGTGGTATGTCATTGCATAAGAAGACTTACGCGCTACGATAAAACAACCGTATGTTAGCCATGTCTTTCTGTTTTTTCGTGGCCGAAATTATTGACATCATTTAGGTTCCTGCTTCCATATCTTCCTGGACTCGATATATTTGTAGGCCGCGGTACAGAGTTAGATGCAGCTGCATCTTTTTTGTCTTTGTTCTTTTTCCAAAGAAAGGGAAGGACGAGGCACATGGTAGAGATAGAACTTGAAGTCAAGTATTATTTTGTCAGGTAGGTTTTCTTTTGGGAAATAGATTTAATTGAAATCAAATTCGGTTTGCTTGAAGCCTTGGTAGAAATTCATGTGGAGGTCATGGCCTATTATTTAAAGGGATGGCTCATGTTCGTGTTTAGAAAACGAGGAACGAGGAACGAGAATACCGCAAAACAATTGTCGGCCGTACTAGTTACCGCCATGCCTACCTGTCAGCGCTAAACTAAGAACAAGCGTGACGAACGAATCATTTACTCCCGTTGTGATATCATCTGTATACAAGCTTTTCTTGAAACCCGTTATCACCATAAGCCGGGTTCTATTGGACTCTTGCCGCTCGCGATGCTTACTGTTTTTGGATTAAAACTGATTACGTATATGCATGGCAGATACCTGTGTCACAGAATCGGATTGAGCCGATCTTATCCTATAGTGGACCTACTTGCGATCGCTTACTGTCCAATCCTAAAAGCTCTACATTGCAATATTTTAAGTTGCTTTTATGTTTCAAATGTTGTTGTTGGGTGATATCGGTAGCTGATTTTTGACTGCAAACAATAAGCATCCCAATTAAGGAACTAGTCGAGATCGACATGGGAATCAGGTGGAATAGATGCTTTGAGGCAGTGCAGCTCTGGTTTATATAACGATTATGAGGGTACTGCTATCTGGGGGAATGCTTACAATGTAAAACGTGAACGCAGTTTGGCGAGTGTGCCCTTGAGCTGTAACATTAAAGTTTTCAATTTATTTCATCCATTCAGCATGGTCTTTAATATATTTCAATTAATGGTTATTTATTTGGTTAAGGCATTAATATCAATGACATGTATCAATTGATATTTAATTTAGCATCAAGGAATGGCGTTAAACTTAATAAACCTATATTTGCTATGCTCATGGCTATTATTACCGTTACCAGTTTCCAGTATTTTCCATTTCAATAGAAAGAATTTCTAAAATCTGCTACTTTTGTCAACACTGTTAAAGAACAAAGTACTTAAGAAAAGGGATATAAGAAGACGTTCGATACAGTATATTGTCAAATCGAAATTGTATCTCGGAAATTGAGTATTATCGCTGGAATTAAACACTAGTCAACTGTCCGGCTCAATAAAAATAACTAGCAGGAGAATTGAGACATGTTATGATCCTTTTTTATTACATGAGCTTAGGGTGACGAGTCGACAAAATACGGTCTATGGATTTGTGGTTATGCTCTTATAAAAGTGGACTGCCAATTAGCATGTATGATATGAGACTGCTCATTTACCAATTGATCTCTATTGCAATGCTGAACGACCGAGCCTCCAGTTGTGGTTCAATGATTCTTATAAATCAAGATAGACGGATATACGGAAATACTCGGGTATACGGATTTACATAGATAGAGGAGACAGGGGTGTCGATCCAGTAAATATATATATATTGCGCCAAAATTTCATTTAGACTCAAAAGTGGCAAAGGCGTCGTTAATCGGTCTGGTAATACTTCTAATTGTTCCCGTTGCAGTTTGTCCGAGTATAACATCTCACTATCAGGCAACCTACAAAGCCCTAATCCGTATAACCGGTAAACACAACGCAGGTCGCCGATGCCCTCTCAAGATGGATTCTCACTCTTCGAGCACAATTGACCTAGAAGTAGGTCAATCGGAAATTCAAAAGCGATTGACCGTTACTTTTCGCAACATTAATGTTCATGTGACAGCCCCGGATATGGCGTTGGGAGAGACATTGGCGTCGGTCGCAGATCCACGACAAGTTCTAAACAACTTTCGCAAAGATCAGCGGCCAAAAAGGGTACGGGAAATGTTACATACTTTGAGTGGCTAATTAACATGTAGTTGACTGGGCGGCTAACTGGACCGCATAGACTATCCTCAAAGATGTCACTGGACAGGTCAAACCTGGGGAGATGGTAAGAACCATAGAAATCTTGAAATGCTGATAAATATCGGCTGATGAGATACGTGGTAGTTACTTGTTTTAGGGAGACCAGGATCCGGATGTACGTCTCTTCTACGTGTTCTATCTAATGATCGGGACTCCTTCGACGAGGTGGTTGGAGAGACCCAGTATGGGAGTATGGACCATAAAGAAGCAAAGAGATTCCGACAGCAAATTATGTTTAATAACGAAGACGACGTTCACTTTCCAACACTGACAGTGAACCGTTCAATTAAATTCGCACTTCGCACCAAAGTTCCGCGCGAACGTCCCGAGCATTTGAAGGACGAAAAAGAATTTGTCCAACAAAAGCGAGATAGCATCTTAGAATCTCTGGGAATTCCACATACGAAGAAGACACTGGTGGGCAATGAATATATTCGTGGTGTCTCTGGCGGAGAGAGGAAGAGAGTATCACTCGCCGAGGTGATGGCTGGACAGGTAAGCTCTGTTCACTTCAAACCGACATATTATAAATTATAGTTACCCATGATACTAATGGCAATTCATTAGAGCCCGGTCCAGTTCTGGGATAACCCAACTCGTGGCCTAGATTCAAAGACTGCCGTGGAATTTGCACATATGCTGCGACGTGAGGCTGACGAGAATAGCAAAACCATTGTCGCTACAATGTACCAAGCTGGAAATGGGATCTACGACGAATTTGACAAAGTTTTGGTTCTAGCTGAAGGTCGAGTGATATACTACGGACCCCGCCATTTAGCCCGGGGCTATTTCGAGGACATAGGGTTTATATGCCCCAAAGGAGCCAATATTGCTGACTTTCTTACCTCGGTGACAGTCCTTACTGAGCGTATCGTCCACTCTGGGATGGAAAATGAAGTGCCAACTACTGCTTCACAGTTCGAAGCTGCTTATCGAAAGAGTGGGATTTATATTGAAATGATTGATGGAATTGTTGAACCGGACAAACTGAAGAGTGAAAATGATGATTTTATTATGGCAGTCTCCAAAGAGAAGCGAAAAACGCATATTCCTCGTTCTCAGAGCCCTTACACTGCCAATCTCCGGGATCAAATTGTGGCTTGCACTATACGGTTGGTAGCCCCCTGACTGGAGGTATGGCTACATTACTAATAATAAAATAGTCAATTTCAAATCGTGATGGGTGATAGGCTTTCACTGGCAATTAAAGTAGGGTCAGCAGTAATTCAGGCTCTTGTCTGCGGCAGTCTCTTCTACAACCTTGAACTCGACAGCTCATCTATTTTCCTAAGACCCGGGGTTCTTTTCTTTCCTGTTCTATATTTCTTGTTGGAATCATTAGGTGAAACAACCGGTGCTTTCATGGGTCGTTCGATTTTAGCTCGCCAGAAACGGTTTGCGTTTTATCGTCCGACAGCTTTCTGTATCGCCAACGCTATAACCGATATTCCAATCGTCATCCTACAGGTCTCATGTTTTTCGCTTATTCTATACTTCATGACTTCGTTACAGAGAGGTGCAGGGAAATTCTTTACATTTTGGGTTATCGTTTGCGTGAACACACTCTGCTCTATGCAGCTCTTTCGCACGATAGGTGCTTTGTGTAGGAAATTTGGAAATGCCTCGAAGATGTCAGGACTACTGTCTACGGTATTCTTTGTTTATGGAGGTAAATATCTCTCTATTACGATTTAATCAAAAAAAGCCAATATAGGTGACATCTGATAGGTTACCTCATCCCCTTCAACAAGATGCACGTCTGGTTCCGTTGGATTTTCTACCTCAACCCCAGCGCGTACGCCTTCGAAGCTCTGATGGCCAACGAATTTAGTGGCTTAAAACTAAGATGCGTGGAGCCAGATTACATTCCATATGGAATTGGATACTCGGACTTCGGGTCCGCTAATCGTGGTTGCTCTGTGATTGGCAGTAATGATGACGGAATCATTGACGGGGCGGACTATATAAGAGACCAGTACCACTATTCATCGCACCATATCTGGCGCAGTTTTGGAGTCATCGTTGGAATGTGGATATTCTTTATCTTCCTAACCTCAATTGGCTTCGAGATGAGAAATAGTCAATCCGGCTCCTCAGTTTTGTTATACAAACGTGGAAGCGAAAAAAAGCGATCCTATTCCAACGATACGGAGAAGACTGGTGGCCTGCCCAGTACTGAAACGGGGCTTGCTTTGACTAAGAAGGTGAAGCAGTCTACATTCACTTGGGCTCATATTGACTACCATGTTCCTTACCAAGGGCAAAAGAAGCAACTGTTAAACCAAGTGTTTGGATACGTAAAGCCAGGGAACTTGGTTGCGCTGATGGGATGCTCTGGTGCAGGAAAGACTACGTATGGTCGCACTTTCTCACTTATTTCTAAAAATAAAGTGGATTATGAATATGGCTAATGGGGGAGTTCTAGGCTGCTTGATGTTTTGGCTCAGCGGAAAGACAGCGGCGAGATCCACGGGTCCATTCTGATTGATGGTCGTCCGCAAGGTGTTAGTTTCCAACGGACCACCGGATACTGCGAGCAAATGGATGTCCACGAAGCTAGTGCGACGGTGAAAGAAGCCCTAATTTTTTCTGCATTACTTCGTCAGCCAGCCTCGGTACCACGAGAAGAAAAGCTGGAGTATGTGGACTACATTATCAACCTTTTGGAGCTTACGGACATCCAAGATGCTCTCATTGGCAGTTAGTATTCATACAGAAAGATACGAACTCAGAGACAGAATAGTGACTAACTGACAAACAGTTCCCGGAGCTGGTCTAAGTATCGAGCAACGCAAGAGAGTCACACTAGGAGTGGAGCTTGTGGCAAAGCCCACCCTACTCTTCCTAGACGAGCCTACTTCTGGTTTGGATGGGCAGTCTGCGTACAATATCATTCGCTTCCTAAGAAAACTTGTCAACAGTGGACAGGCAGTGCTGGTAAAATTTCTCATGACGAGTCTTTCATTCATTATACTAAACTACTACATAGTGCACTATCCATCAGCCCTCCGCGGTTCTTTTCGATGCTTTCGACTCCCTTCTTCTGCTTGCTAAGGGTGGTAAAATGGCTTATTTCGGTGAGAGTATGTTTTCTGTCTTTATTGCTACTAGATCGACATATTATTCATGACCTGACATGGTAATTACACCCAGCCGGCCAAGAGTCTGGTAAAGTTCTAGACTATTTCGCCAGAAACGGCGCACCCTGTCCCCCTGATGCCAACCCAGCTGAGCACATTGTTGAGGTTATTCAAAGGAACGAGGAACATAAAACCAACTGGGTCGATGTCTGGAATCAGTCAGAAGAACGCCAGCAGGTTCTTGCGGAGTTAGAGGCTCTTAACAATGAAAGCAAGGCGGCTACAGACGAAGAGGAAGACCAGTCGGACTACGCAACATCATGCTGGTTTCAATTCTGCATGGTTCTTAAAAGGATAATGACCCAACTTTGGAGGTCACCTGTAAGACAGTTTTTTATCACATTTATTTAGAGAAAGCTAATAATCCCAAGGACTACATGTGGAACAAAATTATCCTCCACGTTTTCGCCGCCCTATTCAGTGGCTTCACCTTTTGGAAAATGGGAAACACCTCTTTTGATATGCAGCTCCGTCTGTTTGCTATTTTTAATTTCATTTTTGTGGCCCCAGGATGTATCAACCAGATGCAACCATTTTTTCTGCACAATCGAGATATTTTTGAAACGCGCGAGAAAAAGGTACGTGACATTCCCATTATCAAGATAATCCAAACCCACAGTCATCATACTAACAATTCAATGTTTCTAGTCTAAAACATACCACTGGATGGCTTTCATTGGCGCGCAAGTTGTGTCCGAGATACCATACTTGATTATTTGTGCTACGCTCTATTTTCTCTGCTGGTATTATACCGCTGGCTTTCCAACTACATCGAGTGTTGCTGGGCATCTCTATCTCCAAATGATATGTGAGAAATCCACCAGGCCTCCTGAAAAGTGAAAATGTATTCGAAATTGCTAATGACATAAATGAAAAAATTCAGTCTATGAATTCCTGTACACATCACTCGGCCAGGCAATCGCTGCATATGCACCCAATGAATACTTCGCCGCAATCATGAATCCTGTTATCATCGGTGCCGGCTTGATCAGTTTCTGCGGAGTTGTGGTGCCGTATACACAAATGCAGCCATTCTGGCGGTACTGGTTATATTATCTAGACCCTTTCACCTATCTCGTCGGCGGCCTACTCGGCGAAGTACTGTGGGATGTCAAGGTAGAATGTGCGGCATTTGAATTAGTGCACTTCAGTGTCTCCACTTTGAATCAAACATGCGGTCAATACATGTCGGAGTTTTTGAGTCAACAACCAGGGTATCTGGTAGATCCGGATTCGACATCGACGTGCTCTTTCTGCCAATACTCGACAGGGGCAGACTATGCCAGGACATTCAATTTGAATGAGAAATATTATGCGTGGAGAGATGTACGTTTTTTACCTCGGTAATCCTTTATCATTTTACTTTATGGACTATGGCTGACCTTCATCAGACTGGAATTACCGCGCTGTTTTGCATTTCGTCGTATGCTTTTGTGTTTCTCATGATGAAGTTAAGAAGTAAAAAGACGAAGAGTGCAAGATCGGAGTAACTTCCGAGTCTGAGGATTTGTTAGAAAGTGTCAGGGGATTCCTACTCCATTTGATTCAAACTGCATAGAGTTTTGATAGACAACTAGAGATAGACTGTACCATAGGAGTTTTCGGATAGGTTTGAACATGTATTCAAAGTCTCTACTCAATACTAGTGAATAAAATATTGGCAAAAGAATTTCTGTATACTAAGCCAAAGGTAGCATACGTAACAAATGAAACAAAATCTAGCATAGTATGCTCATAACATTAATACATCCTCCAAAGACTCTTGAGTCATTCAAGTCTGTCAGTCAAATCATCCTGCATGGTTATTTTCATAATTTTTCGTTTGTTTTGCATAGTCATCTCGCTCGTCGTCAATAATCCCGGGGGTATCACTTTTATGTTCTTCTCCTTCCCATCATTATGTCTAATCCTCATTAATCTCATTGTGTCCATTCCTCGCTTGTTCCCGGTCTATACATGGGATATAACGTAGGAAGAGACGTTTACTTGTTGAGCCATTGGACCAGCTCAAGCAGCTCCTGTCGTCGCTCATCCTCAAGTTGGTCCTCCTCAGAGAGGACGGATTGGAAGATGGGCAAGAGCTGGGGTGTAAGCTGGCGGACGGTTGGGTTTTCCCATTTATCTGTGGTATGTTAGAATGGCTAGTCTCGAGATTGAAGTGAAGTAAACGTACACAGCTGAGCGATCATCTTATACAGAGGCTCGTTTTCCTCGTAGTCGTTCTTTAATGGCAATATGTTAACAATAGCAGGAAGCACGTCGGAAATTGGCACCTTGTCATGCTGCTTCAAGATCATGCGAGACAAGCAACCGGTGGCATTATCGGGAAGACGGGAGACCTCTTGTTGGAGGCATGGCTCAAGCTTCTGCAAAATTGTGGGAAATTGCGAAACAATAGATGCGTCGTTGGTGGCCTCGATGAGACGGCCAGTTGCGTAGGCAGCATTGGATTTTGTCTGGGGGTCCTCGTCGGCGAGGCGCTTGAGAAGAAGAGGCAAGAAACGACCAGTCAAAGGGGTAACAGTGTCCTTCATGCCGGTGATCACTTCGGCAAGAACCCCGACGGCGGTAGCACGCTCAATGTTCTCCGAGCTGCTGATGAACCGAAAGACGCTCTTCTCGAAGATCTTCCATAGTTCTGGGAAATCTGGACCCAGAGCAGCGGCAAGGCCAGAAACGATGTCAAGAGCGCGGTCGATTACAATCCAGTCAAACTCAGATGTCTCGTCCATAACTTCTTGGAGTTCCTCGTCCTCGCCAAAGTCCTGCTGGCAGGTGTGCTTCTTGTTGATGAGATCAGTCACTTGTTGAACAACGCTGGTGAGCACAGTCTCATTAGCAATGAGAGCTGGGCCAGTGTAGCGCAGGTTGTCAGCAAGGTTGCTGCAAAGATCGCCAACGGTAGCCCTGTCAAAGGTAATTAGCACGAGAGAACACAAGCAAGAGTCAATGGCAAAAAAATGTGAGGTCATGCAAGTAATCAGATGCGTTGAAATGCGTCTTTAACATCAATCACGCTCGGCGTGTCTGAGTGAGCTGGGTAACGGTGTTGTCATCATTTTAAGGCAAGGGTTACAATGAGCAAAGAAAGTATACTTACGGATCAGCTTCCTCACCCCACATCTTGATAGTGGCGGTCATCAAAATCTCGCCAAATTTCTTGACTTCAGCAGGGGGCTGCACCTTCACAGGAAGGCCAGCCTCCCACTTAGGCATCTGACCATTATCTTCAGCCAAGGCGAAAAGAGTAGCATAGGCACGGTGAAGAGTGCTGATAGTGCTCTTGCGGACGCCCTCGTACGGATGCTCAGTAAGAGGCAAGACCAACTCAATGGTCTTCTCAAAGTATGGGAGATAGGCGCCCTTGGTGTGGCTGATCAGGTCGCCAATGACCTCGACGGCGATTTCCTTCTCAAGAGCTAGTGGGGTAACGGTGGTGAAGTCTTCCCAGTCGTCCTCCTCATCAATGTCAATATCCTCAATATCACCATCCTCGTCATCTGAGACTTCAGCAACCTTGATCTTGCGGCCACCGATTGTAACCTCCTGGCCAACGAGATCCTTGGCGGCTTCACCGAGCTCAACCTCAAGATCGGCTTCTTCCTGTTCAATGCAAGCGCTCAGGCCCTTGAAGACACCTTCAAGGAATGGCTTGAAGTCCTCTCCATAGACTTTGGAAATGGATCCCCAGAGCATATAAGTGCTCTCCTTAAGACGAGAGTGGTCGAGGTGCAAAGCCTCCTCACTAGCGCGCATAAGCGGCTCAACGTAAGGCTGATAGTTTTGAGGTCCAGCAGCAGCGGACATTTGACCCATGGCATCAATGATGCTAGCACGAAGGTCGAGCTCCTCCTCGTTTTCCTTCTTGGTAACGTATTCCTGCATAAGGTGCATCGACTTCTCAAAATACGGGAGGAACGCCTCGCCGGCAGAAGAGGCGAGCGAGCCAATGGCATTGGCAGTCAAGCCCTTGATCTTGAAATCAGGGTGGTTAAAGAGCTTGTGCAAGAAAGGTACAAGCTCATCTTGGTAGGGAACGACATCCTTGGATTCAAGACCCTCGACAACAGCGGCAATTGCGCTGACGGCAGCCTTCATGATGTTGACTGTAGGTCCAGTTTCCTCGCCCTTGTAGTTTTGCATTGCGCTAGCAAGGTTCTGGACCAATAACGGCATGAGTTTAGCGTGTTCCTTACCGACATCCTCGGCCAGGTCGTCAGCAAGGCGGGCAACACCGTGGAGGGTTGCTTGGCGGACCTTGGGGTCTTTGTCGTTCAGAAGGTGGAGCACCATGGGCATAATTTCATTGAATTGTGTGCTGATAAAGTCAGGAGCACCCTCGACACACATTCCCAAAGCCATGATACCGGCACGGCGGTGGTCTGGATCCTCGCTGTTGAAATACTGGCCAAGAGCTTGCAGCAGCGGGACAACAACCTGGCTTGGTGGCAGGCTCTGAGCAAGCATATCGAGAAGACCCAGTGCAGATCGAGCTGGAGTAATCTCATCCTCATCATCGTCGTCGTCAAGCTCAGTGACGACGTTAAGGGCAGTGCGGGTGAGCTGTTCACCAACTTTGAGGCCTTGGACTTTCATCTTGCGATACTTGACGCACTGCATCAAAAAGCTAATGGCCTGTGTACGGGTATCTTCCGCCAGCTGGGTGTTGGCAGTAATCTCGTTCATGAAAGTAATCAGATCCTTCAGGTGGACAGTCATCAAGGCAGGATCACAGCCGAGCAAAGTCTGGAAGACCTCGAAAGCCTGCATGATGCGGTCTTCGTCTGTTGTGTCGATCGCATCCTTGAGAACACGAACCATGTCAGGGAAGACCTGTTGGAAAGCCTTGACAGGAGCTTCATCCTCGTCAGAATCGAGATGTGTGGCGAGCTTGCTGAGAGCCAACAAAGTGTTGATCCGCACCTCGGCGCTCTCCGGGTCACGGATAGTTTTGCTGAAAAGGGTGAACAGATCCTTGAACTTCTCTTCGAAACCTTCTCCGAGTGACTCGAGGATGGTGAAGAAAATGTACACTGCAATTGCACGCTCATCTTTGTTGCTACTTTGGGCAGCCTGGACCAAAAAGTTTGGCAATTCCGCCCACTCTCCGTCGGGCAGATCAATTTTGGCGACGGAAGAGACCACGCGAGAGATGGCGTGGCGTACCAACTCGGAGCTGCTACTCATAGTACCGCGCAGCAATTGTTCACGGATCTGGGGCTTCTGGTCGGCCGGGAACTTGAGCCAGAACTTGCCAACAAGGCTGCGAGCCTCAACGGCGGCCAGCTGGCGCAGGTCGTCATTCTCATGGCCGGTGGCAATCTGGATGAGGAAAATAAAGGACTCGGGCTTGTTATAGAACTCTTTCTGCAGGACACCGGTGGCGTCTTTTACGTTGCCATTGGCAGCTATAACCAGGGGCGCATGTCAGTTTGCGATAAGGCGATCTGCAAGAGGTGCTGGTACGTACGGTTCAGAATAATCTGCAGCTGCTGCAGGAATCGTTGCTGATCCATGGCTGATGATTATCTATCGACGCAAAGCGTCGTTGTGATGGGGGAAAAAAGAAAAGTGACAGAGAACGCGGGGTTGCACAACCCTATGAACTATCGTCGTCACTGACAAACACAAACACAGAGAACTATTGAATAGCCTTCAATAGCTCTAGAGTCCCTTGAAATAGCGGGCACAATAAACAATGGTTAGGGATAGGAAAAAGAGGCAGAGAACAGGGGAGGAAGGAAAGGAAAGAAGCGTTTCGGCGTTTTTGGGCTTTTAGTAAATAATAAAAAAAATATTTTTTCCTCCTGTTGATCCGCCTAAACAGCGCCGCGGCCCAATCGCCCGCGCCCACGCGTCTCCACCCCTCCCAGTGCCCCTCTACACTGCTGTTACTCTCTATTTATTTTGATATGGCATTCTCTCGTGTATCTTTCTTAGATTGGAAAAGAAATGGTATCCTAAGATGGTTGCTATATACATCAATGCATTGACTCCAGGGTCCTTCTTTAGTTTTGCCGCCCACACGCTACTCCAGCCTGAAAGAAAAATAAATCGTGTTCCAAATAAGATGAGGTGAAACAGTAAAATAAACGCCAAAATAGGTCCTTGGTTCACGCCTGCCAATAACTCAAGCATGTAAGCGAGCCGAATACAGCTAATCTTCGTCTTCCGAGTCGTAATCGTCATTCATGAGGAGTGACCGGTAACCCCGGGCAGCAAGATTCTCTTCGAGCCCGCCATCCGACTCTGGATCCGCATATCCTGCAAAGTGAAATCTTAGTATTGATCTAAAAAGAAACAGGGCCTAAGCATTGGTATACAAAAACATACCTTCTCCGCCAAAGTAGCTTAGAGCCACTGGTAAGAAAATGAGAGCGTGAGTGGCGGCGAATATGACCAGAGCCAGCCAGATGCGGAAATAGTAGATCTCGAAGATTTTACTGCGAGTGAATGCGAGCACACATACACCAAGGAGTTTGGTGATAGTAATTCCGCTAAAGACACTGCCTCCAACGTTCACAAGAGCAGTCCAAGCCCGCGCGTCCTTGCCACGCAATTTGGGGCTCCGATCTAGGATTGTGCGAGATGGAAACATAAATGCGCGTGCGATATGGGCACAAAATTCGACTCCGATACCAACACAGATAACCAGATTGACGAGCGATACTGCGTTCAAAGAAACACCAGCGACAGCCATGGTACCGATAATATCAACTACAATCATAACAACTGTAGTAGTAATAACCGCCCCAGTAGCGACCGAGCCAAGTAATAAGGAGCTAAGAACAAAGATTATAGCAACAGCTGCCCCAAGAAGAGTTCCGGTCAGGCGAATGATACTTGCGTATTGATCAAAGAATATGTAGAACTTGGAATACGGAAAGATATCGATATTGTGTTCGTTTGATAGGTCGCTCGAAATGCGTCGTGCTGAGGCGTAGGCATTAATGAAATCGGCCTGGCTCTTCAGTGGAGTATGACTCGAACGGAAGTGACTTGCGCTAATCGTGATGTCCTTGGGGTCAATTACAAGGGCATCACTGTATGGGGCTTTTCCTCCGAGTGGGCAGGACGCGTCTGTCGGTGACTTAATCCACTTCTCGGCATAATGAATGAATTCCTGGCCTTCGGGCATCCCGAACAAAGAGATATTCCATGGTGGAACACGGTCCTCAAAACATACTTTTTTCCCTTCTTTACAACAGTCTTGCTGAGGATTGAGCCAGTAGAAGAAATCATCGATCCAGCTGGCAGTCGAGCCAGAGATATAAGACACGTTGGGGCGCTTGGCTTCTTGCTCTAGAACAAATGACAGTGAATACTCTTCACATGTAGAAAACCGGCCACACATCTGTCGCTGGTGCGAACGCTGTGTCATATTCACGTCGCGCGTAACAAAGTACACGGGTGGCCCAGTTTGGAAGTACGCATCAAGATCATCAAAATATTGGATAAGGTAAGAGTCTCTGGGAAGAGCAATGCGCTGGTCCAGGCCAAGTTGCACTTCGGGTATCAGAGCGAGGCCGGCAGAGAAGAGCCCTAAGAATATAACGACCACAGCCGCCTTTACCCGCCGATCCAGCAAAGCAGGGGCATAAACGCGGCGAATGAACTTCTGCAACATGCTCTCTCCGGCCATGTCATCAAAGGCAGCACCATCTTGAAGACCAGAAGAAGTTGCCCGTCGGACCGTCAAACAAGGGAAGCAGTCGGCCCGAAGACTCTCTACTCGCTTTTGGTTGAGGGCTAGAACAGAGATGAACATGGTGACTTGCAATATAGCATTGATAAAAACAGCTCCAGCAGCATATGCAGCAAAGTTCTTGACTGCAGGCATGCCAGCCAAGATGCCCAAAGCAAAAGCCACAGTTTCAGTAGTAGCTGACAAAAGGATGCTTGGTCCCATACGACCAAGCGCACGCGCAACACGCTCATCAATCTCTTCGTCGGGATGGCTGATATTGACACGATCAAACTCATTGACGATGAGAAAGATATTGTCAACACCAACAGCTAGAACAAGGAAAGGAATCACCTCGGCGATGATTAAGGTCACCTTGATGCCAGCCGCAGAAAACAATCCAACGGAAGCAGAAACCGACATTAAAACAATCACAATGCCAACAATACCCAAGGTGAACTTAGACTGCACCAATGCATTGGATGGGTTTATCAAAAGTGACCTAAATGTCAATGCCCCCGACCCTAAGGCTATTGAAGCGTAGATGAACATGATGACGTAGCTTATAACGACGATCTTCGCATCTGTGTTGGTCGACTTATTGAGCTCTTGTTCCAGGCTCTTCTCCGTGTTAAACGAGACACGCAGATGACGCTCGGCGGCTTCTTCCTGCACGACGGAGAGAATTCGCTGCAAACTGTCTTCCCAATCCATTGCTCTCAGTTCCCCTTCCGATCCTTGCGCATGGTTATTCACAACCCAGGTAACCACGAGGGCATTTGCATCAAGGACATTTCCTGTTTCTTCATAACCGCCAAAGATCATGGTAGGTTGAAGCGGTTGTTGGAAGTCTGGTAGACAACTGACATCACCAGGAGACTCAGCACAATGAATGAGTTTGTCCGACCAGTTATCTGGAGTTATGCCGGCCATAGAACCACCATAATAACCCATTGGTGACTGTACCACACAGGCGTCTCCGGTTGGTTTAAAGCACACGTCGTCAAGGGAAAGTCCTTGGTTCAGAGAAATCATTCGGCGAACCCTACTCTCAACATCAGACCACCAGGTTAATGTTTCGTAACTCAAAACAGGCCCGGTGTCATTCACCAAAAAGACCTGCTCGGCGCGATAGAAAGGACCAAAATTTTCGTCAAAGTATTCCTTTTCTTGAGCAGCGTCCGAAGTGGGACTAACCCACAAACGAACGGGGTCAGTTTCGACAGTAAATTGTAACCATCCAAGGCTGAGCAAGCCGACAATAATTATACTCAAGGATATTGTAATGGTAGGAAACCGGGCACATGTTCCACCAAGGCGACTGAAAACAGTATCACATATATCATTCAACTTATAATCCTTCAATTGATTCTCCACGTAGCTAGAGCCATGAATATAATCGATTTCATCTTCGTCATCGCTTGCGACAGGGTCTTGCAAAAGTCGGACTCGCTCCGGTTTGCGAAAACGTCGCTCTCTGTATGTAACGTAGCTTGATACCAGTATGATTATCAACAAGAATACTGAGTATATAAGAATAACGGCAAAGGATAAGCATGGCATCAATCCAACATGACAAAACTGTTGTGATTTGACCTCGCGCAAAGTTGGACAGACGGGTGGACAGTCTACGCAAGAGCATCGGAAGGCAGGGTCGGAATCATTGCAGGCCTTGGGGGTGATCGGAAGCGCCTGCATACCGTGGGGGTCAGGATTACTCGGCTCTGTTTCGTAATTGATCTGGAAAGGACTGCCGAGAAGCTTCTTGTCACCCAGAAATTTCATAAACTGAGTGTAATTTTTCGCCCCGCCTCCAATAAAGTCGATAGCCTTGCCACCAGATGCGCCATTCTTAACGTTTTTACAACTGTCATAGAAGCCACTCTGGTACTCTTCAGACCATAGATTCTCCAATTCTGTGACGAGAAGCTTGTCTCCCTTCGGTTCTGTTTGCGTGATATTGACGAAGAGTGATTGATCTGGGGAACACGTAAACGTACAAAACATGTTGAAAAAATTGGTGACACATGCCGGACACGAAGCGATGATCCCTTCGGCGAGTTTCAGGTTCTTCTTCAACGCATCGACCTGTTACAATCGAAATGTGTCAATGTGTGGTACATCCAGGCGAAACACGTAACTTGTCGTCTTACCTGCTCTTCTTCACAGCAGACTGGTCCCTCAGACCACTGAATTCCACAGAGCGATACTAACTTCTCTCGCACGGATGCGTCCGGCTCGCGAGCAAGCCCGTTGTCGGGACAGGGCAGCTCCCCGCCAAAAAAGCTCTTCTTTCCACAGTGACCTCGAATCGCACAACGACCCGGCTCATGCAGAGCAGTATCTCCCTGTGCGGTGACACTGGATAATAGCAAAGCGGACACCAGGCCCTTAGCTAAGGTAGGGAAACGAAAGCCTCGCATGCTGGCCAGCTCGCGGCTCGTGACCGAGCGAGGCCGAGGCTGCAGGCACGCAGGTCTAACTTTTGCCTAAGCGGTTTCTGCACAGCTAGAATATTCCAGCAATGTAAATCATCGAAAATTGCAGCGAGAGAGTCCCAGTGGCTGGTCAGGGGTATTGTGGTGTCGTAGTGTTGTGGACAAGAGAAGAGTGTTGGCTATGACGACAACGGATAAACAGGCAGCGGGTCACGTGCCGCAACTCCGCGACAGAAGGAGCGACGCTTAGTAATCTCTCGATATAACTTACTGGCAAGAACAACAACAAGCAACTTGCAAAAGACTGTGACTATGACAAGAAATCGACAACGATATCGGCGATGGCCACGGCCACGGCGACAACGACAACGACTGAGATTGGTGACAATGCGCGTACTTGGCAAGTAGGTGTTATGCGGTGCCTGATTCGCGGGCGCATGACATCAGGCCGTGCTTCCGTTGTCTCCCGCAGCCTCCAGCGAGCACCGAGCGAGCAGTGAAGCCCATCCAGGCACGGCCTCCATCGTAGGCTAATCCATTAGTCCGGCAAAGCTTGGACGCGGCGTCACCTGCCCTGACCTCGCCGATCGTCCCCCTATCTCCTATCCCCTAATCCGCAATGGCGCCACGTGTGTCGCGAAAATTCTTGCGGCCCTACCGGATGTGACTCAAGCTTGGACGGCGAGAAACGAAGAAATGACATGGCGCGAATCAGGCACCGTTGATACCCAAGTACATACTATTATTCACCACATCGATATCTCTTGGTAATTGCGGGTTAGGCGACTCTATGAAGAGCATGTGACAAGCTAGAATTGGCCGGCTTCTATATGTAACGGTCGTACAGCACATGATCATATCCTATCAAATCATCCTCTCGATCAACTTTGATACAACCACGAGCAGAGGTGACCTGTCAAGACGAATAAACGCGGTGTTAAAGATACTCCGTTATGGAATTGATTTATATTCGCTTTGTCAATACTCCAAAGTTACATTGACCCTTAGATTCAGATCAAATTCAACGGTAGCTAGAAATAGCTTGGCTTCCTGTCACATCTCTTCTAGGGAAAAATGCGTCGGATGCTGTGTTCGATTCCAAATGCTAACTAAAACACCAATCCGCCGCCGTCAACCACAATATCAGCTCCATTAATATAGCTTCCACCGATATCACTGCACAGTAACACAACTGGGCCGGTCAATTCCTCCGGTGAACCCATCCGGCGCATGGGGTTTCGCTCTGCCCATATTTGTCGCCATGGGGCCAAGCCATCGCCCTCATTCAACACCGTATCCATATACCCGGGGGAAATAGTGTTTACATGGATCCCGTAGCGCGTCCATTCCGCAGCCAGACTGTTCTTCATGTGTAGCAGTGCTGCTTTTGAGGTGTTGTAGGCAGCTTGTGGCTGAGGATAATTGACGCGGTGGCCGGAGATAGATGCAATGAAAATGATCTTACCGCCGTGGTTACTAGAGATCATTTCTCTTTCCAGTTTGTCAGCAACCATAAAGATATCAAACCTTGCCTTGCTTCTTGAGCAAATAGGATGTATACGAACCGTGCTACGGCCTGCGCGGCAATCCAACATCCAGTGGTATTAACGTCTATAATCTTCCGCCAGTGATCAACCGACTGTTCTACTGACGGCACACAGCCAACCATCCCTGCAAAGCAACACAGGATATTGAGCTCGCCCAGCTGCTGCTTTGCGGCCTGCACGGCAGCTATCACGCCCTTTTCATCTGTAACATCACATGCTTGGGTAATGATCTTTGCAGATGGAAAGTCTGCTTGTAGCGCCTTGACGACATCTTTGCCCTTTTCGATTGCATTTGGAAGATCGAATAAAGCCAGCCCAGACGCTCCATGCTCAAGTAATGCGCGAGCCGAGACAATGGCGAGCATTCCTGTACCGCCAGTCACTGACTTGTCAGCGAGACCCTACACGCTATTGGAGGTCGGGGCACGTTTGCGCCATACAAACAGCATTCCCATGAACCGTAAACCTCGCCGCAGCCCTTTCGGTCGGACTGCTTCTAGCTAGGTAAGGTTTGGGCGGAGGAGTCCGTGATGAACCACCTTCAAACTCGCCTAGCTGAATCCAGGGCATTTTGCCAATTACGTCAGGCACTGGAGGGAGCGGGAGATCTTTGTTTTCGTTGGAAGGCGCCATATTTGACCCTGAATACCGCTATATTCTGTTTGTCCGGGTAAATTATTTTTGAACAGGATGTAGCAACTTGTTGAATGGACCCAAGTACTGAGTATAACCGGGTAAGATGGCAAAAATCGACGATTTTTGCACTAAATAATAATAAAGTGACGCGAAAGTAATAATGCCCTAGTAACTCTATCCTCTCAGAACGATTAAATCCTATGCTCTGTTCAACATTGTGGCGGACACAAGCGTGGAGTAGAAGATCGGATGGCAGTGCGCCGATGCGGAGAGAACAACGACGATCTGGCAAGGCTGATTTCGATTGGATGATCTATCTAGAAAACTTAAAGACCAGCGCAAAATTTAAAGTCGGGGCATTATCAACTCTATTTGAATATGTTTGGTGCTGCAATGTAAGCATGTCATCAAGTATTACCAATATAATTTGACAATTTGCACGGAGCATTTGAAGAATGCGGGGTATGCATTCCCAGAGTCATAGTGTGTGACTCACATATAGTTTTGAATAAACCCATGCATTGCTTCATTTGTCACTATTTATAAGGATTCTATAATAGTGTCCGGACATTTCCAATGTGAATTGAAGGTGCCGTCCTCTAAAATTCTGTATCCACAAACCTCTGTAGGGCTGGTTAGTCACACTTCTCAAAGAATTCAATTCTTTCGAGTCTGTGCAGCATTCACTAAATCAAGAGCTGTGGCTTTTAGCTACTGCTGTTTAACCCTAGTTAACATTTTTAAAGGGATCAAACAATTAGACCAACTAATATGTGATAGATAACCAACCACAATTTGAAATAGAAAACAGTACATATTTCTTTTACGAATAAAGCTCTCATTTTACTCTCTTTCCTTAACTTGACAGAGTAACATATTTCACACCCCATCGGCCTTCCTTTGAATGGCCTTTTTTGGCATGAATTCATCCTGATATGCCTTGAAAAACTCTGGTGGCTTAAGTGGATGGCTACCAGTAACATCATGAAAGCAGTTGGTGGAGATATAATTCGTCTTTCCCTCTCTTACGAGAGAGTAGTATTCCAGCAAGTACTGCATTTCAGTCACATCATTATCCGTCTGAAAACGAAGGACTCGGCGGGCTTCGTTTCTGTCTATCCTTAACATGCTTCAACTCATGGGTGACTCCATATGGTGAACTTACTCCGATACATCGTCAAATTTCATCTCGACGCCTAAACAGTTACTGGCAATTTGTGCTAGCTCGTCGCCATTGAGAAGCATTGGTCCTCGTAAATTAGTAATTTTAATTCATACATAAGAACCAAGTCTTACCAGTCAGAGTCATGAGCTGACCCCGATGCTTGTCGCTAAACCCGTGCTTCCCCTTTCCAGTAAGGATATGAGCTGCTAATTGAGCGACGTCCTGGCCGTGTTAATTACAAACGGTAAAGCCAATGATTTAAAAGACTCACTGCCAACGCAACTGGGGGGAATTTATTCTTCGGTCCGATAGGAATTGGTATTAAACCCTCTTCTTGTGCTTGTGGTGCATACAGCAGTAGATTCTCGGCATAAAAACCAGGCCTAAAAAAAGCCGTTAGAATCATATAAAGCCATATTGATGCTGAGAGAAATAAAGTACCGAAGAATAACAGAAGAATAACCTGTTCTCGTAGTCTCATCTCCTTTCAACTTCATAAACATTGCCTCCAAATCCACAAATTCTCTCAGTCTCGGCTGCGCCTCCCTGTCGGCCACATCGCAACCTGCCGCACTCAAAAAACATACATTTTGAATATTCGCCCTCTTAGCAGCCTCAATGTACTCCATTGTGATATCTACCTTGCTCGCGTGGGCTGGTGGAATCAACATCAATGTGTCGGCTTTGGTGTTTTGAAGTATCTTGGCTGTATCCCGCATACGCCCAGGTATGTGCTGGGTTATGGTTGCACCAAGACTTTGGAGTTGTTGGCAGTATTGAGTAGTCGGATCGAGCACAAGAGCAGTAATTTGACCGATTTTATTCTTGAAAGGTGTTGTGGTAAGCAGTAATTTAGTGATGAGGTAGCCGGTGTTGCCGTCGGCTGAAGTGATGCAGATATTGCGAGACATTTGACTATTTGACAATCAATAAATACTATTAGAAAGAAATTGAGAAATTGATGAAAATTAATTTTCCCGGACATCTGTAATCTTTAATGAATGCTTAAGCAGCATGTGTGATGTCATGTTGACTTCCGGAAAGAAAATCCGCAAGCAGGAGTATAATTATCGTCAGTTAAACGAGATGATGTGAGAACACTTTTTAAGAAAAGAAATAATTGAATACTTAGTGTTATGGATAATTTGCACAATATCTTGAAGTGGATTCATATTAGAGATAAATTGAGGAAGATCTAATGAAACACAAACTAGAGAAAACAGGAAATCCATTCCACACAAAACATAAGAACATGGGTATTGTTTAAATACATGGTTCAGGGTAAAATACATATTCAATACGCGGAGATAATCAAAACAATGAAAATTATTCGACGATCAGATGCAAATCAACAGAAATAACGTCCGCAACGCTGCATAATCAGAATCTAACCTCAATAACCATAATCCGTCCCCAAAAGATCGAATGTCGAATGACCGACATAGTCTAAGCAAGTCCCATCAAACTAGCAAGTCCTCCCAACAGCCCAGTTACAGTAGAGAACATACTGAGGTCGGCCGCAGTGAGGGGTGTCGCAGCCACTGTTTCCGAACTAGATGTTGAAGTCGTGGATTTGAATGAGTCGTGCTTGATTGATGAAACCTTAGGGGTCGGAGATCGCGTAATCGCAGAAGAGGATGTAGAAGATGGGGTGGTGGAAGGGGTCTGAGAAGGGGAAAATGAAGGAGAGGGGGTGGAAGAGGGGGTGATGGAAGGGGACAGTGAGAGAGTTAGTATAGACTCGTCATGCATATTCAATGGCTGCGCAGCACCAACGTTGTTAGAAGCTGGAAATTCATATTCACGAGAGGAAAATGACATACTCGAGGGAGAGCGTTGACTGATACCAGTACAACCGCAAATAGAGCAAGTAGGAAAGACGGTGAGAAATGAGAATACATGATGGGCAGGCTGAAATTTATTTGTACAATCGATAGGGGAGAATATTTGAATGTTGTAGAGTGAGAGATTGGAAGGTGCAACTTGAGCTGGATGGATGTCTCATGTTTATATCCTCCCAGAACGAGGGAATTGTGTACTGATGTCATATGTCCATTAGTAACATTTTCCTCGTTGTGACAATGAAGAAAGCCAAGCAATTGATTGATACTCAAGTAAGTTAGGGTTTTGTATGGAATGCGGAGTGCAGTAGGATCGACATGTCATGTCCCCTTACCATAGCAATGAGGAATGTATACTGTCACTTTGCAAGTATTTCCTTTTTTGTAAACCTAAATTGCCTACTCTTAATGCCTAATGCACTCTAGCCCATGAAAGACACGAGAAAAGCATTGCTCTTCAAAAGCTGTTGTTGAAAACGTCTAGATGTCATCATTAATATCCAACAATGCCTTTTTACCGATACACTGATAGCGCTCGAGTGGGTTAAGGCATTGTTAATAAAAGCATAGACTGATTATTCCGTTTTAGGTGAATCTACGTTACTGATTGCCCAGGCAACTCATTTCTAATCATCTCGTCGTCAAGAACATTAACCGAGCGACAGAGCCGACATACACTGGCATAGTTTTTAATGGAATGTGGCGCAAGTCGCTATCCAGTTGACAGGAGGAATGTTCTTCGCGTGATTGAAATATTCCGACAAATTTTATTTCTTCGTTTTGACGTCTAACATATCTAAAAAGCCATCATTCCCTGGTTTTGAAATTTTGCGTACTCTATGAATGAACTGGTCAATAGCCATCCCTCTCCCTCAATAATTGCACCACATGCTCGTTTAGCCAGTATTCCTCCAACTTCGCCCTTTCCATATTGTTCGCCCCAGTAATTCTCCCTTTGCATTTTTCACTCCCACATGTACAATCGAACGGCTGGTCCATGTTCCACTCAGTAGAGGGGTAGAAGAATGTCACAGGCTCCTCGGTCTTCAACGGCCGATGATCCACCACGCGCACCTCCATTTTCTGCATGTCAAACACAACCGATGGGTCGCAGGAGTGATTGCAGTAGACCAAATCCGAGTTGAGTTCAATGTGCCTGGTGCGATTGAGCTGGACGGTTGTGTAGCGCTGGGCAGGGACGGTGCTGATGACGTCCTCCTCGATACGTGCGAATACGGCGCCGGCGGGGAGTGAGACGAGGGAGATTGCGCCGGAACCAAAGGGCTTGTCGCTGCGAATTACATGGAGGAGGTCGGGATGCGTTGGCGGGGGGTGGGATTTCCGTGGTGTTTGCGACGGCGCTTGAGGTTGAACGAGATCGGGCTCTGCGATTGGCGACATGCTGTGCTGATTAAATTGACGACGTCAATTGTAATTGAATAATGCTCTACTAGTGGCCTCTATATGTAGATATTGGTAGCTGGGAAAATAGGTTGATCAGGGTCTGGTCTACACGGATTGCTGGCGCTGTAAATAAATAAACAATATTTTTACTAACGATTTCCACGTGCAAACCTGCCAATAATTATTAGATCTAAAACTTCCGGATGCCTTCCGACACCGGACAATCAAATACACACACCGATTGACTGAAATATATTAAGCGTCCCTTCTTCCGAGGACCGAGACTTGCCGAGCTGAGAAAAGCTTTTCACGTTCTGCGTTTAGAAGACGTTGACTGGTAAATAGAAAATGGTATGCGCTGGGTTCAGAAAGCACGACGTCGATTGCACATGTATTTAATTCCATTACTAGATGATTGCCCGAGACTAGCTTCTATTCTAATGCGTCGGAGGCATCAAGTTTGCTGGTTCACGTCAAATCAAGATAGAAATGAGCATGGCCCATGTTGTTTCATTTCCGGCCATGCTTATTCGCGGAAAACGCAGGGTCTTGGCACAATTATTGCTTGTTAGATGAACCCGAGTGTGAGTATGAGCGAAAGTAAAACGGCGGGGCTAAGAAATAAGGGCCAAAACTGAAAATCACAACCCATATTACTGCAATAGTGACACGACAGCTCAGCTGCGTGAACCATGGTTTAAGTGATCGACGAATCATCACTTCTTAACCGTCATTAAAATCCAGCCTTTACGTCATGCTTCGCGGGCTGTGCCAGTGAACCGAATACGAGCTGTCTCGTTTTGCCCGTTCCCGGCGAAAATCCCTCAGAAAAAATGGCCTCAAATCACAGGAAAAGGGATACGGGTGCCCATTTAGCACCTCAGCTGGGCGCATGATCACTTATATAGATATCTGTATGTCGGGCTGTGCAGTTGCGAGCCTATATAAAGAACCTTCTCACCTGTTAACTAGCTAAGCTTTTATATTTTGCCCAACATTTTGAAACGTACTACAAATCAAATTCAATTGGAATTACATCGAACCTTCAAAGTATTCAACGTCAACTGGTACAGTGAGTCAATGAACTATTAGCAGGTTGCTAAACCTAATACGAGACAATACAGACCAGAATACTCAAATATTTATCAGCAGAAGACAGGTGTTGAATAGAAAATAAAATGCCCAAAGACAAGCAATCCGAGGACGATATGCTCTCTTGTTTCACCGACACCCATGGGATCATTACCACTACCATGAACGACGTGCCCGGCCACAGAGTCAAACAAGTCCTCGGCACCGTGTATGGTCTGACTGTGCGCTCACGTAACTGGGGTGCTGGGCTTGGTGGCGTGGCCCGGTCAATAGCCGGAGGGGAGATACGCGTGTTTACAAAGTTGCTGTATACAGCACGCAACGAGGCGGTTGAGCGGATGGTTGGAGAGTGCATGTCTAGAGGTGGAAATGCACTGGTAGCAATGCGCTTTGACGTTGTCGATATGGGTGGGTTCTCGCAAATATGTGCGTATGGCACTGCTTGCATTGTGGAGAAAGTTGATCAGGTTTGAAATACGGAACTTTAAAGATGTCTGTTCTTATTTCAAGAGTAGTTTCACATTTCCCTAGTCTATATGTTCATACAATATCCTCTTAGCGAGCTTTTATAGCAAATTCAACTTACGGTCAGCTTTGACAAGTGCAATATTGGGCGAACTGTGCCATCTACACGCCGTGATATTATATCAGTTTGCCAGGCCCTAAAACCTACTGTCGAACTTTAAACCACTATACCAAAAAGGGCGCAACCCTTATTTAGTAAGGATTCTAGTCGCATATTATTTCTGACACCTACTTACTCCCCACTCCCAACTTACTCTCCACGTGTCTCTTAATCGGCAGAGGCCCGATTGGCTGATTGTCTCTTTCGTGAACTCCTGCGAAGGGCAGTCTCACAGCAAACCGAGGGTAACCAACCCAGTGGAGCAGTTTACTGGTCTAGAATGCTAGCATCTTATTCTGCGGCGATAATTATAAGATCTTCTAGATGGCATACATGTACCGATTTCTTGCTATCCGGTCCAGAGCCGTTGTTTGGTTGATGATGTGCAAATGCGATATATTTGAAACTGACAAGTTCTTGCAATCCGGTACAGAGATATTTACTCAATACAGTGATAAGCCTACAACAGCGTCTTAAATCATCGAACACATCAAATGACTGGCAAAACTACTTTAAATGTTGCATATATATACAGTACATACCAGCCAATCAGAGCCAGCCAGGGCATCCACCAATCAGGATATACCCCCACCACCGTATTCAATGTTCTCTTTCGCTTCTTTTGTATCTTGATCACCTTCAAACCGCCTACATAAATCATAAATGATACCGACAGCCACAATGCCTAAAGAAAAATGAAAAATTCACAGCCTGAAAAAAGCCATACACAAAACCGCTTTCTCAACCTCCCCGTCGATATTCAGCTCAACATGATGCGGCATCTCTCCGACATCTACACACTCAAAGATCTCCTCAACGCTTTCCCAGAATTGTATCCGGTTTTCCAACCATATGCGCGCTCCATACTAAATTCCATTTTCTGGCAACCTCTGCGCTATGTGAATGATGACCGTGGTGTGGTGTATAGGTGGATGCTCAAGGAGTTGCAGTTGGAGCACCTTCTCGAGCAGCCTCCACAAATGCCTTCTGTTCACCAGGTACCAGCCTACGGTAGATACCGTGGTCGACTAGTTATCTGTGATGATAAAGAAGTTGATTAGCATCGCTTAATGACGTTGCTACCTCTAGTACTTTTCATTGGCAATGCCTACAATATTTCTGGATTCAGCAAACAATGAGCCATATAAACATTATCCTACTGTATGGACCCCGTCATAGTGGCAAATTATGACTTTTTGCCACTTTGAATGGAGATATTACCTCCTAGCTTTGTTCAAGGCTAGAATTGGTATGCGAGACCGACATTTTCTTCCTTTGAACGTATTTCTTTTCATTATGAAAGCAAAATCTCAGATACCCGATTTCAAAGTAATCCATGTATGGTCGCTGTTTCTACTTCTCTCTTTTGTTTCATTCTTTAACAAGATTTACTTGGTGTGGCCACTACAAATGACCTAAACTCAATTAATCTTGATTGAGATAGAATATCTTTGATATATCATACATCTTATAGCATATATCTTTTACTGATATCTGCTACAGAATTATTATTGAAAATTATGTTGATGGAAACAGTAATATATCAATTGATGAATAGGTAGGGTTGGTATTATATCGAATACAAGCCATAATCTGGGGTTTGAAAATTATACTTAATATAACATATGAACTCTCTATGACAATTAGTACATCAATTGATATGTACTTTGTTGATATAAATTTACTTATATTTATTCTTTCTGCCTAATCCTAGAAGACTATTGACGATAGGAAGTGTTTTGTTTCCTTTTACGGAAATTTCACTCTTCGACATCAATTCTCATACTAACCAGGCTACTAAGTAAGTTATTATTGATCCAATCCTTCAGAGAAGCATGGACTCTTACTATTAACTACATCTTAGTGCAATCACTAGCCAGAGATTTCGCCCTGAAGCACCTTTACTGAGACTTGCCCGACAGCTATCAATCTGGAAAGCATGTGGAGGGAAGGCCAAAGGTTGCTGGAGAAATGCCGTAGTTCAACAGAGCCTTACAGCCTCAAACGCTCGGTATTCAAGATTCCTCACACATTACAAGCCTTAGACTTCATGGATGGTATCCAACGCGATGTTCGTTTTCTCTCCCTGTTTGTTTCTATGATCGATGAAAAGTACGTTTGCTTTCAATATCCGACTTTCGCCTGGCTACTAAGCCTGCTGACCAATATAGATGCTTTTTGTACTGCCAGTATAACATGCGAATATTTTGGGACGCCCAATCAGTTACTTGACAAGCTTTAAAAATACTACTAGCTGCACAGCTACTGAAAACATTTGACCTCAGGGAACCTATATTGGATAATGAGAAGCACTGTTTACACAGAAAGAATTTCAACTGGTGGGGTGTGGATTATGAATGAATAGATGACACTGGGTACGTTGGATGGAGCTCAGTAAATTGTACTGAACTACATGTTGAGATTCGGGATCTTCCCAGCCAAATAGTGGAATTAGGAGCCGGCCACCTACACGAGCTTCTCGCAATGCTCGCTCTTAAATATTGTTGACATTCTATTCTGTACAGATAGTTGATTTATGCCACTGAGCCCTATTCATTTTGTCAGGGTTCACTTTCTAGGAAATAAAATTCAAGGAAATGTGTGAACAGCTATTGTATGGCTATCTTGTTTGTGTATATTGTCGTATTAGGTTGTATCCATGCAGATAATGCCACCGCCAATTTCATTGTGCACGTGAAACTGGAGTTTGTTCTAGAAACTTTATGCAAACGGACATTGAAGTTATTGACACTATATTATTGTGCATTGAATCCTGTGCAGCAATCAAACGACTGCCACATTCATCACATGTAAAATAGTCACCATGGAAATAATAACCTTATGTCAAGATCTCATTTATTGGTTACTCCCCACTCTTGTTGGTTTATAGCTATCTCTTAATATTTTCTAGAAATTTGCCTCCTTGGCCATTTCAGTTCCCACAACATTGGAACTAAAAAATGGTATCAGTGATCCAGCAACTGAATGAGATATTGGAGAGAGGGCAATACATTGGAGAAATTGAAGAAGTACGAAGAAATTCTATTATTTTCGTCCTAGGTCTCTAACATTTATTTTTCCAATCTAGAATGATTTCAAAGATCAGCTTCAAGGTGCTTTTCACAACAAGCTTGGTCATTATTACCAACTGTACCTTTTTGCAATCACCTATGTCCACACAACACAGGAGATGCACTGGACAGTCCCACTCTTGAGGTTCTTCTCTGCCTTTGCTGAGGAGAGATCCAAAATCCGATTTATTTCGTCGAGGAAAATGGTGCTCTACGGAATTAGAAATACAGCGTTCGATATTCCGCGCCGGCGCGGAATAATTGAATACATGTCCGATGTTTTGCAAAACGTTGAGTCTCTTACCACCCATTATCCCGGACACGAATCCTTCTACGACCCTGGGGCGTATAGGCGAATACATACTCTCAGGTTAAAAGGTGGTGTATTTGAAGGCATGACTGGAGAGCCCAGGGCCGTTCTCGCCGTTTTTCGCATAATTTTAGCTGCTGAACTTTTTGTGCGAATAAACCCCGGGGAGAATGATGACTTACTGAAAGACCTCATAAAAGCGTGGTGGTGGAACGAAGGAGAGTTCGGGGAAAACTATCCACTTTATCTGGGGAAGTACTCAATTGCGAATTCATTACATTACCCCGGGGTTTTTGGAAAGCTACTGGACAACCTGGGACATCTCCATGCTGACAAAAAGGGTCGTTCTCGTGAAGATCCACGATTGATTTTGTAAGAGTTTGACCGGTTTCTTTTTCCCTGTGTTTTATTTTACGTCTAACTTCAGTCAATCACAATGCTCTTTCTAAAACCTTCATTCTTGTTAGACCTTATCTTGTTCGCCAAAATCAAACACGGCCATGGTTAGAATTTGGCAGAGGGTACGTCAATTTTATAAGCCGGAGAGATCATCGCAGAAGGCGCAGTTCTGCTAGCCTCTTTCCAAAACAATTTCGGTTTCCTCTTGATTTCGATATGCCATCCAACTTTAATCCAGCCCTAATAGCTACCCAGAAGGTCGATCCAGGTCCTGGATCTGCTTCCCAAGCTGGTGACGCAAAAATTAATACTTCTGGCCAAGTAGTTCCTGAAATTTTCGATCACTCTATGATGGATTATCCAGCAACCATCCCTGAGCAGTCTAATGAAGCTGCTCCATATCATAATACAGTAGCAGACACGGTATCTTGTCTAGCAACTGGAAAAGGATTAGAACGTCTGCCAGTAAAGCCAAACACATTCACCGTTCCAGACTGGAGTGATAGTGAATCGTCGAACGAAGGCGCCGCTCCTCCTCCTCCACTTCCCCCCTCTACTACCACGTCTGTTTCTCTCCCAGAAGAGACTACTGCTACTGTTTCCAACAATCCTCTAGCTCCCTCCGCCGAGAATGTTAGGATGACCTTTACTGGAGGTGCCTCTGCAGATGTATCTGTAATTGGTGAGGTCCCAGGTGCAGCAGAAGAGCTTTCTGGAGTCATTTCTGCGGGGAATTTCGGGGAATTGCCGTCGCCATCTGCACAAAAAAGGGATATGCTTGCAGCTTTCCAGGAGGCTCTCGCCTTTGGCTCTCGCTTGAGCAGAATAGAAGAAGAACCCCCTGAAGATAGCGCTCAAAAATTTCCCCACGGCGACTCTGTTCAAGTAAAACACGCAACCTCTAAAAAACGAGACGAAAAAGCCGTGCGGTTTCTCATGGAGGATTCCATTACGGAAAAAGACTTTATTTCGCACCTTTCAAATCCACCTGTGGAAGCCCGTGGTACGGAACGACTCGGTTTTTTGACAGCCTATACAGAGTTGGCTAATAAATTCGAAGAAATCGAAGAAACATACACAATAAACCAACCAGAAGCCTCCCATTCCAGCTCAACTCTTTCCTCTCCACCAACAGACTTGGATACTCCTATTATTCCTCAACCTCTACCTCCACCTCCAACCGTACATCGTCGAAGCGGGCGAGAACGACGAGCTCCAGAGAGATACGATGCCGACCACGAGCCCATTCAGGTGAAAAGAAAGATCAAATCTGACAGAGCGCCTAAGAATAAGGCCATACCCAACCCCAAACCCACAGTAAAGAAACACGAAAGAAGCCCGATTCGGAAGAAGAAACCTACAAAGAAAGGATGTGGTGCTCGACGATCAGCACCCAAATCTAAATCTATTCCTCAACAGACTGTTTCTGTGAGCAGTAGGGGAAGGGTGCGGCTACCCACTGTGAGGTATACTCCTTGAAGTGATTTGTGTAGTACATGTACCCAGGAAATTTTGTGGCTCTGTTTTTTTTTTTTTCTCCTGTCGATATTTGTGTTAAAATTTTCATAAATCTATCGAATATCGTTAATAGAAGTACGTTTTTCTGTGAATCGAGATTTAAATAAAATGGAATTTCGGATTGATTCTGCTTTGAATTCAAACGTATAAATGTAATGGCAACATCTTTACTTAAGGCATCTGTGAATCCTAACGATCAATCTCTAATCTAAGCGAGTATTAACAGCCGGTGCCTCCACAACCGATATTGAGAACTATCGATCAGAGTGAAACATTCGCATTGTAAGCAATCGAGGTCGAGTTCAACCATTACTGGGCTAGAGATTTAAACACACATTCTATTATTCATGCTAGAGGCTATGCATTATTTTATCATACTCGATCGCCTCGACCAATCAAGCCAGTACTAACACTGGCGATGCTCTAAGGTGAGATCGAGTGGATGACAGCCCGATTGAAGTTTATTGTTATTGGTGTGATATATTCTATGGAGTAGCCTAGTCTATAATTAGAGGTATCGTTTTGTCAGGCCCAATTCGGGTGAGATATTCATCGCAAAACAACCCCGCGAGGTTTCATTCGTCGTCAGGCAGCAGAATTGATTCTATTATGCCAACGGTAAAACTAACATCATAAAAAGGAATTGATAAATAGGTGGGTTATAGAGGGGTTATGATTTGTATTCAATAGTTAATTTTCATATAGGTGGGACAAAAAAATACCTGATATTTGATCTGTGGACAATCCAGGCAAATTAAAACCTCCCAACACAACGCCAAATCTATATACTGCTCTTAACGATGTCGTGCGAATACGACACCAAGAGATACGCTCTCACGCGTGTTCGCCAGACTCAAATCTTTCTTTCAGCCCTTTCTTTCCCGTATGGACTCGCTTCCATTCTGGTCACACACGGCATAGCAGAGACAGCCTTACAATTAACGCTCGTATGTCTTCCATTTCATATCGACTCCCAGCTGAAGTCCTTTATGCCTATTACTACAGATTTCTAACTCCCATCAATATCTAGTTACTATCATCAGGCCTTTTTGCTACCGGTACATTGTTTTACCATCGTCTCAGCAAGCAAAGCAAGGCCAAACATCAACACCCGATCGCTGAAGTCGTCGCGGACGTTTTGTTCACAGTCCTATTTATAGTTCTCTGGATTGTCGTCCTCATACTATGGGCCAAGCGACGTACCCCTTGGGGCAACCGCGTTGTGGAACAAGTTCCACAGATGTACGCTCACTTTCTGACCTTCATGCTAGGGTAAGTCAACGTCCCGTCCCGATTAACGGATATGAAAAAGGGGACACTCTAAAATTTTAAGTATAGAGCGACGCATTTCGTAGCATTCGTCAAAGCTACAGCCCATCACTACCGCTCAATACGCGCTCGTCTGTTCGGTAGCAGAGTTACATTTGTGCAATGTCCATCCTGCTCTCGAACTGCACATGTAGAAGCCTCAGAAGGGTTGACCGGAAATGCTACTTCTGCCAACTGGCGACGGTCCAATCGGGATAAGCTAGCCGAGGATACTGAGGATCCTGTTTTCGATTTTTATACCGATGAGCCTTCGTCCTCTGCTAACCCAAACATCAACCTTGCTGGTGATGAACAGGAGCAGGGTGTATTGTTGAGACCGTCGGAGGAGGATGCTAGGCCTGTTGATTTGGAGGGGTCTGGGGATGCGTGAGTTGTTTGAGACTATTGTGTGGCTAGAGGGGTATTGTAGGAGGTTGATATCAGTGAACAGTCGATGTCAAAGTAGTCATGACTCGATATCGAAGTAGATGCATTTCATAACAGAATGTAGTCACCAGTTCATATGTAATGGATCAATTCGTGTAGAAGTTCCATATCTACATTGTGATTCCAGAAATACCAGAAAACAAGTCAAGAATATTTCATAAGATAAGCAATGAAACAGTTAATCTACATAGCGCATCAAGCACTCACCAGGTAAATTTGATCCTGACAACAGTCGTACATCTTGAAACACCAGATTAGAAAATATCTTCAAGTCCAACACGGTGAAAGAAGCAAGGCAAGGATAATAGAATATACCACTGATTATATCTAATGTGCATGATGCATCTTCAAGATGAATGAACTAATGATATGCCTGCGCCAGCGACACCCGAGTTAGCCATGAGATCAGACAGACATAGAAAGCATTGGGTTATGAATTTGAAGTCCCAAAAAACCGCCAACAATACTAAACGCTCAAGTTTTCCGTCACGCCGTTATAATACACCTTAATAACCCTCTTCGTCGGCCTGCTGGTGAATATGTCGACTCCGCGTTGGGTCCTTGCGCATCGCTTGTCCGGAGCCAGTGAATCCGACTAGTTATTGGTTAGATGAATATCTGCCTTAGGCGGGTGGGAAAAAATAGAATACCTCTTGCATTGACACCCTCCGGGGTACGGAACATGCTCTCCTTTTTGCTAGATTTGCCAAATTTGGACTTGCTTGAGAAGTCCTGCCATTTGGATTTACCAGCTTCAAGCTCCTTATTGGCCTTCACCTTGCGTGGCACTTTAGCCGGCCGTGGAGGCCCATCGCTCACTTTGCTGGGCTCTTTGCGAGCTTGGTTGGCGAGGGTGGGGTTGATATCAGCAGCCGCAGAAATGACACTGGTGCTGGGTGGGACAGCCTGAGATGATGTTCCTGGGGCTCCATCAGCTTTGCGTTTACGTGAATCAGCACTATTTGAGATGGGCTTGATGTCTCTCGCCGTCAAAGTCTCCGTTGTCGCGTACGACTTGAAGGAGACTATATAAACGGGTTTACTGGATGATCCCGTGATTGAAGTAATGCGTGCTGGATAATAGGCACCATCGCCAGACACCCAACGAGCGAGCACATTGTCATTGACTGAGAACGACACGGGTGTGTGCTCATCGGCCGGGGCGGAATCTGCGGTGGACTTGCGGTAACCGGCTTGATATGCCGGGTGGTTTTCTTTCGACCATTTTTCTTTGGCTGGCGGTTGTGGTGATTTGGAAACGGTAGGGGTTGCGGGTGGTTTCAGTTCGGCAATAGAGGCCTCGGTGAGGTTGATGAATTCTTCTAATTCAGCCTTTAGGCTTTGAAGCTCCGCATTATCGGGGTCTACCTGCAAGCTGGATTGCACAGTTTCCAGCTAGTGGGCAGAATGTGAGAAAAGAGACCTTGGGAAGGAGATGTGAGGATAGGGCACCAACCTGTAACTTGAACTCTTTGACTTCTGCCTCGAGGGCAGCCACATCAGACGCCATTGCGCATGTAATCGATAGAAGTCGGGGTTGAAGACACTAAGGGCGGGTTGATGGGAGTTGAAGAGGAAATAGAATATATCTTGTCTTCGCAGGGCAGTAAGAATGGCATTAATTAAAATTATTGATGGTGAATTCGATCTCGCAATGCGGGGATCATTGGATTATTGGAGCATCGGAGCATTCGACAAAAGGAACAGCGGAGATCACGTGATTGATACAAATGTGCAAAGGATGCAAACAGCGCAGCCCACCCACCAGGCTTGGTCATTATATACATATTATTATTATTAATAATAGTTAATGTTTTATTTATAGAGGATTAAGCTCTGCAGGTTCTTCATATGACCCGAAAGCTCTATTCTCACTGTTTCATTTTCACATTGGCTTTTCAAATATACGGAAATAAATCCGACAATCAAATCGATTTAAATACAAAAATAATTGCACTTCATCTCAACTAATAATCACCACAAATACCTAGGCCTTGTGATAAATAGAACATTTGGAAGCTCGTCTGGTTGTACACTAGCCTTGCATCTAAACATACCATGAATCAGCTCATTGAAGACAAGTAACTGAGCAGGATCCTGCAAATAGTCGAATACATGACCGAGTGCCGCTTTTTAATCGTTCTTTTTGTTCTGACTGTATTTAACTTCTTACTGTGAGAGCTAATATTTAAGTTTAACTTTATTATCCATAGTATGATTCCTCCAGGGAGACGTTAACTTGATGTAAATCTAATAACCCCCCCCCCCCCTGGGATCACTAATCATTCACCACGGTAAAGCATCTCCTCATTCGCATAACCGAGGTAGTAGCAAGAATTCATAGATAAAGAAGGGTGTTTCCTATCTGCTGTCGAGGTTCTTATGGTCTCAAGTTTCATATTATTTGCTACGCAGTCCTGTTATCCAACCATGCCTATCTACGAAATCATTCACGCAGTTCCTCTTAGCGAGAAACAGCAAGATGAGCTAGCCGAAGCGATCACTATTATCCATACCACCGCATTTGGTGTGCTCCGGTTATTCGTTAATGTTAGGTTCGTAGACGCTTCACGCGTGAACACTTACATTGCTGGCAAACGACGCAAAGCGAACCACATCCGGGCTACCGTCCGCTTAGGCTCACGTACCAATGAAGGGTTCTTGTCTCTCTGTAAATCTGTTGAGGAAGTCTGGAATCGGATCGTTTATGAGCCTGCACAGAGAGAAAATTCACTTGTCCCCGAACAGAATCGATACAAGCTACAAACCCTGATTGTATCACCGGTCAACCTCATTGGGTTCGAGGCCGGCTTTGAGTTACCCCTTGGCGGAGAGGATGGGAATTGGCTGACAAAGCATTGGAATGAGTTTCGCCAAAAAGCAAGCGAGGGAGACGAAGATTTTATTCAGGTGGTTAAGGAAGTCGAAGAACGAGGTCTTCTGAAATAGAATACCATTTCACTAAGATCAATTGATATTCCAGATGTCTCTGAGAACGCTGTGTTATTGCCGAGCTCTATTTAATTTTCAATAAGGATGATACTCGAAATATCTATAATATCTCAACGACGAGCACTTTAGGGTTAAATACCCCTATTAATATATAAATTTTTAAAATGCTGATACCTCCTAATACCAAACTTTTATCAAGAAAAAGATATAGATTTAGGTTTGTGCAGGCCAAGTTTAGGGCTAATTAATATCAGGAGTGGCGTCACTATGGCGTCTGGTTCAATAGTACTTGAAGTTGCCTAGCTTGTTATATATAGTAAAGCTGAACCCATGTTCATTTTAACAATCGAATAGTTAATGATGGATAGACACGTTCTATCAAGGAACAAGGTAATAAAATATTACCAGATGTCGCTGGATTAACGATCAAGTGGTTCTATACTTAAGGAGTAAACTTTTAGTGATAGAAATATCCACGACATGGGCTAAAGCAGGTTAGCACCAATTGGTATGCCATACAACAGAATCAAGGGCCCGAATAATACAGTGTGGGTGTGTCAACAATGAGTCGCATTTAAGCGCGCAGAACGGAATTAGCAGCCCTAGTAATAAATTTATTCGTGTCTGTATGGACTCTGGACGGATTGTCACGCTATCATGGTCTCCGCATATGGCTAGTGCCGGCAATTTACCACGTATCACGGCTGACGTTCAATTCTGGCATTCACTCATTGGGACAGGCAGTTATACATCTACTTCCACTTGCCCTCCCACTGACCATCTTCTGTGTTGCGAAACACAGATCAAATGCCTGGCAAACTGATCGGCGCGGATCTACAACCGGGATGTTCCGTTAAATCCGAGCAGGACCGCTAGGCCGCATTCGGGCTGGCGCAACCATTGATGAGAGAATTGTTGGGTTCCCCGCTACGGCGATGACTCACTCACTCAGAGCGCAGTGTATTTTGTATTTCGTCTTTCATCGTTCGTCTTCCGTTCAATGGCCAGTGGAAACTAGAAGCAGCCAATGGCAGAAGAAATATTGAATGGTCATGGACGGTCTAGGCCGAGCGATGCACGTGACTATGGAGGCTGCAGCCTGACGGGCCAGGCATGGAAGGAAGTCGGCCTCGATCGAACGTCAGCACAGTTTAGTCTTTTCACTGGTACCGAGGGCTCAGCAGGAATTAAGTGGGAGTACTGAGGACGGGCGAGCGCCTCCTAGAAAAGGCGCAGGAAACGTTGCGCTCATTATCTGGATTTATAAGCAGCATGCAGCGGCCTGGACTTAGGGCGGCGGCTCTCCACGGGGCCGCCACGCTACGCTGCCATTGGCTCGCTGCCAGATAAAGCCGAGTGGCCTGCCTGGCCGCCTGCCGCCGCTTTACGGCTCCGGGCCAGCAGTGTGCCCGCCTCCCGGAGCCGGGCCTCGCTGCCTTCTTTCCCTCCACCCTGCCTGCCGGTATTCGCCTCCGTCATTGATGCCAACATCGCTTTTGCAGACATCCATCTGCGTCCTGTGCCCTGGGCCATCTCGTTGCTCTTAGAGACTCTTCGTGTGCCTCGACACCTTGCACCCCTACGTTCGCCTCTTGCACGCTTGCCTCATCGTCCCCCTCCCCAGCCCTTGCCCTCGTATTACGACCTCATCACCCCGCTCGCCCAAGTTTCTCCCGACTTGCACCGTTCTCTCGCTTCACCCCGTGGCCACTCGCACATCAGAAGCCAGCTGTCGTTAAGCAGCGTACAGCCTGTGGTTGTTCTTTCGGTGGCCTGCGAGTGTCGTCATCACTCGGTGAGAAAGAACTGCGAATATCTGATAATCGGTAAGCAAACTGCAATGAGTGCGAACAGCCGTTCTCCAATATACTGCATCCTGCATCACCAGAGCATCTACCTATTGTATAATCTGCCAAATCCCTCCGCTCCTATAGCAGAGAAGCCAATGCACATTCAATTTCTGTTAATTTCTTGTTAAAATTTCTTTTGATCCGCAATTCTTTCTGTTTAAAGATCAGCCGACATCTGAAGTTTTTCGTCCAAGCCGCGTGAAGACTAACGGCCTTTTTCTTAAAGTCTGTCTTCGAAATTCGTCGTTTTCGCCAACGATCTCTCGCAGCGCTGATTGCTAGCCGGCCATCGACTCATCGCCAGTCGAATCGCCCAATCTCACGCTCAAATTAAAATAGAAGCAAACGGGCGGGAAGCCCGGTCTCACAGAGGACACACCGCTTCAATTGACTTTTCCCCTCTATCGATATTCCACTTTTAACTTCATTCACTCTATCCAACCTTATTATCTTGTCCCCTACTTAATCCGTCATCATGGCCGACTTCAGTTCTGTCTATCCACAGAACCTTTACCTTTCTCCTGAGCAGCAGAATCTGTTGATGGCTGCTCTGAATGCCAACAACTCTCAGCAGAAACAAAATGAGAAGAAAGGCAGTGCTGGTGGCTTGTCACACAACCAGTCGACATCCAGCAATACGAGCCCTTCGCAGGAAAACACCAGTTTCGACCCATCTCGCTCCAGCTACTTTGAGTCGCCACTACTAAATGATGCCCCAGGCTCAGGCCACTTGGGATTTGCTCCTGATGAAAGTCCTTTCCTTGATTTTGACCCAGATCTTGACTTTGACATACAAGGTGCCGATGACCTGATTGGCGAGCTACCTGATTTGGACAATCACGAGCTAGGCGACAAGCGCAAGTCCATTGGTGAAAGCGATTCCGGTTTCGAAAATGGCAAAAAGAGACGCGAAAGCGAGGACAAAGATAAGGCCTCGAAGAAGCCAGGCCGGAAGCCTCTAACTTCTGAGCCCACTACTGTATGTATTGTAAATTTGCCGTAATCTGTTCTTTAGCTAACATTCAATTCAGAAACGAAAGGCCCAGAATCGCGCCGCCCAGCGTGCTTTCCGTGAACGAAAGGAGAAGCACCTCAAAGACCTCGAAACAAAAGTCGACGAGCTTGAGAAGGCTTCGGAAACTGCCAACCAAGAGAATGGTCTTCTTCGAGCTCAAGTTGGGAGACTTCAAGTTGAATTACGAGAATATCGCAAACGTCTATCGTGGCTTAGCGGTGGAAATGGTTTATCAACCATGAGCGCATTTCAAAACAACAACACCCGCAATATTACTAACCTTAGCAACAATGACTTCTTTTTCGACTTTCCGAAATTCGGTGATCTTCCGGGAAACCACATGTTCAAAAATAGCGGCTCGGATAACCAGAACAAAACAACCAGCCCTACGTCCTCAGGCGTGTCACCATCCAGTGACATTCCTGGGATTATGAATCGGGGATCACTGAAAAATGCCAGCCAGTCAACGTCAAAGTCAACCAATGCTAATGGCACCTTGAATGGCTACCCGAGCGGACTAAATACATCCACTACATATAAACAGCTGACCAGCACCAGTTCGTCCGCATCTAATTCTGATTCTCCAAGTGCTTCTTCCGAGTCGCAGCACGGCCCGACCTCGTCCATGGGAACTTCGCCAGAGCCGAGCTTAAACTCGCCAAATGTGAGCAAGACAAATGAGGCCGGGTGCGAGAATTGCTCTGCGAATTACAGCACCATTGATGGTGAGAAATCCTTCTGCGACCAGCTCGGCATGGCATGCGGCAATATTAGAAACCCAGTGCCGGCCGCCCGGAGTAAGAATAATAACAATTCAAATTTGCTAGGCCAATTACAACCAACAGCCGCCGATCAATCACTTTCATTCGACTGGCTAGCTCAGCAGAACGGTGGCAGCTTTGATCCGGTTTTGTTCAATGATTACCGAGAGCCCCAGGACGCAATCTTGTCACAGGACTTTGGTGCATTTTTCAACGATGCCTTCCCATTGCCTGATCTCGACAGTCCTTTCGGTAACCTCAACGAGACAGCCAGTCCGAAAGCCTCGAACATGCCAAAGCCCGATCTCATCTCTCAGATTGATAAGAAACAAGACGAAGACGACGAGGTTGTCCCTGGTGAAGATAAGTCACAGATGATGACTTGCACTAAGATATGGTACGTTCCTCTCCTTTTTTTTAACTACTTTACCTCTCTAATGCTTCGACTAGGGATCGGTTGCAATCAATGGAGAAATTCCGCAATGGCGAAATCGATGTCGACTCGTTGTGTACGGAACTCCGCACCAAGGCACGCTGTTCCGAGGGCGGAGTGGTCGTGAATAAAAGGGACGTCGACGATATTATGGGGCGTGTGGACACGCCCAACACTACTCCTACGCAATCATAATATTTATTTTACTGCGCATGATTGAAATAATTTCTGTCACTTTTTGTTTGGAAATTCACATACCCATAAAAACACTCGCTTTGTTCTTTTCTCAAAACTCCGCTCTTTCCCTTTTTCGGATGTGGATCTTCGTCTTTTAGATATGCATTTTCAGTGGAGAACGAAGGCGAATGCATTTTGGTTTGGAGTCGATGGATCCACCAAATCATGATCCGACTGCCAGTTTTGAATCTCAGTCGACAAAACAATCTGCTTTCAGACATTTAATGAGATTTGAATGCGTTCGTTCATGGTTGAATATTTGCAAGTGGATTCTCACTTATCCTACGTTTTTGTTTCTCTTTCAATCAGCTCTTTTTTTTTTCCTCTTTTCTTTTTGAATTCACGTCTACTGTATGGAAATAGCGGAGGGTCAACATGGATGTATTGATGAAAAGGGAAGGCACATCTGGATGAGGCGAATTGGATGGAATGGGAGTATTAAACAAGTTGATTTCGACGCATCAATTTGTGTTTGTAGGGAGATTTGGTCTGGCGTAGCGTATCAGAATGATCACCACAGAGTTGAGTTGCAATTGAGCTTACTCTCTACCACGCTGTTGGAGCGGTGTCAAATCTGATACTTGGTTGCCTCTTTATTTCTGTTTCTTACTGATTGATATCAATTGATATTGTGTACATTGGCCTACCATATATGACTTGAGCATAGCACGTGTAACAAATTCTGCTATCAGTAATTGAAACACTTGAATATCTTCTAGAATACTGCTGCTACACGGATAGACACTCTATGAACACACTTTACCGACGCATTGTTAGGCAAGGAAGAAATATCATCATTAGAAGGAGGAAAATCTTTCTTCCAAACACCTAGATAAGGGTATCGATCGCTACTGGCAAAAAGTCTCTCATTCACAGAACACAAACGAAAGGGAAATGGAGGTAATAGGGGACCACCAAACCAATAAATAGTTTGATATCTCAGGCTCCAGTGGACATGTTTCAAACAATTGAGTGCCACATTCCATTCTTCAATTTCTCCTCCAAATCTCGCTCTCGTATCCCATTCCATGTTTATGTGAACTCTTCTGCCATCATCCATGTTCCGTCGCATCGCATTCATCAACAACCTTCCCGATTTCTTTCACGTCTGCTTCGTTGCTCCCCTGTCTGTCGCATGCCCGCCCTCGTTCTCCACGTTGGTATCATCCAAGGATCATCCTTTTGTTCCACCACTCTTCAGCTATTGCAGCCTGAATCAACTTTCTCAACTGCCTTCTGCTCCCGCCCTGCTCATCGGGATAACACGCCAAAATCAAAGATGAATAACAGAAAAAAGTTGGTGTCGTAAAGTACAGGGGGGGAAGGTAAAGGCAATGACAAGGCACAAGCGTCCCGTGTGGCCAAAGGACTACAGGTTGACACTGTATTCCCTTCCATTGGTTAGCAAGATGTCGATGAAAAATTTAGGTTTACTAATAAGAAGCTTCGCAGTGGGTGAACACATTGCTCGCTCAAACATGAAAGAAAAAGAATAAGATATAAGAAAGATCGAGACAGTGTCAGAAAAAGGAAAAAGGTAAACGCTTTTCTAAGAGAAATGGGGAACAGAAAACATAGACACAAACAGGTCGTGATTAGTTCTAGCAGAGCGTTCAAGATTCGCCGCCCGTAGTAGTAGCCGGCTTTTCGCTAGATGGGACAGGAGAGTCGCTGGTCTTGTTGAACCCGCCCCGACCGCGTCCACGGCCACCACGATCAGATCCGCGACCGCGTCCTCGGCCAAAGCCTCCACGTCCTCGTCCAGTTTCGCTGTCACTGGCCCCGCTCTGGTATCCGCCTCGAGTCGCGGCACTGGCACCACCCCGAGAGCTGCTTTGCCAAGTTCCCGCATTTCCCTCACGGCGAGAACCACGGTCTTCGAAGAATTTGACGTTTGGCTTGCGTGGCTGACCCTGGGGGGTAGGTTTCTTGTGCTCTATCGGTTGGCGATCAAGAGCGGCTTTGGCCTCTTCAACCGATCCAAATGTTACGACATGACCAAACTTGCCCCATTTCTCAACCTTGATGATCTTAGCCAGATCTTCCTCGGGGAACAAGTCGCGGGCTGCCTGTTCATTCTCAACATTAGAGATGAAAAGCCCGTTGCTTTGCTTCTTTTCTCCTCTAAACGCTGGAGACTCTGGTTTCTCAGTCTCCTTATTGCCGTTGGTCTCTTTTTCGGTAGTAACTGGCTGTGGGGTAGATGACTTGGGCGCAATCGGTGCTGGCGACGCTGTGGTAGCTGGAGGTGGCTGGGGCTTCACTTGGGACACAGAGGTGGTTTGGAAGGGGGCTCCGCGACCGCTTTGAGCAGTCTGTCCAAACTGAGGAACCGTAGGTGCACCTGGCCCACCAGCCAATTGAGAAGCAGCGTTAGTGGCAGTAGTTCCTGTCTTTTGAGTACGATGAGCAAAGTTGAATCCCTGGGCACGCATCTCAGTACCAATTCTCCCGCCTTCAATATCTAGAACCAAATAACCGAAAGCGGCATCGGCCAAGTTGAAATTCCACATGTTTTTGAAGGCACTTTCGTCGACTTGACCTCCACCGTTAGCAGCAGCAACTGGTCCACCGAAAGGGTTGCCACCGTTGGCTACGGAGGGCATTTTTTGAACAATGTCGATGGCATTATCCAGTAGAGTCTTCTGAGCTTCATTGGACGAGATAGCCGATTCAACCTCGCCACGGACAGTGTCCCAGACATCGTTAAAAGATGCCTTGGATGCCGCTAGCTTTCCACGATAATGGTCGAGGGTAGGATTAACGGAAAACTCATTGTAAGATGAGCCATATCGGAAATGCAAGCCGGCAGAGATCGAGAAGTCGGCCTTGAGTGTAACAGAAAGTTGGTTCAACATACCCTCACGAGCAGGAGAGGCATGTGTCACGAAAATTCGGGTCTCTGAAGGATCATAGACACGGTTTGCGGTGTCGACCAGCTCTCCCATTTGTAAAAGTGTAGTCCACATAGTACCCTGTCCTCCGGCAATTGTCGTCTTTCCTTCCCCATTGTCAAACAACTTGTGCATGACGACGGCGCCACCCAGACCTAGAAGACGAAGCTTGACGCCACCGATATCCAGAAGTCTAGAGTTGGCTTCGTCGATAATGTGAAGATTATCGACCTTGTATTCGCCTGAGCGGAATTTCTCTAATACTCGCACATCTTCGCATGCACCCCACACTGTGTAGACGGGAACATCCAGAGTCAGCCTCTTTTCGAGGAGCTGTGGGAGCTCGGAAAGAGGCAGTTGATCCGGACTGAATCGCGACTTGATTGATTGCTGTGGACCAATCTGGGCAATTGTACGTTTCACGTGGTCTGGCAAGAGCGGCGAATACTGAGCGACATGTTTCAAAGTCCTGCAGAACAAAGCTTTTCTTAGCAACCATGATTCTGAAATTTTGGGTGTTTTGCAACGTACTTATCAGCTATTCTCTCAAGAGATGTCTCATCATAAAAGCCAAAATCGCCGGTATGAATGATATGGTCCGCACGTGCTTGCTTGGCAAGCTCGTTCAAGGACTTTAGATTTCCTGGGGTGGCATTCGCATCAGTCTACAAGTCTTCGATATAACCCGCATTGGCAATAGAGCTCCTGCGGTTGGAAGACATAACATTCGTTCATACCTCTAACATCTGCAACACACAAAACCCTCACTGGACCATTTTGAATGAGCCTTCCATTGTTGGGGAGCAGTGGAGTTGCGCCTGGGACGGGGCCACTTGGAGTCGCACCGTTTGGGAGTGCGTTCGTAATTCCAAAATTGTGAGGAGGGCGGGGCTAGACAGAAGAAGAAGTGAGGACATGGTTAGCGGTCTCTTGATAAGAACGAGGGAAAAGAAAGGCTCTGTCAGAAAGCGAGAGCGATGCGCCGCAGCGGCCAAAGGGGGCTGCGGAGCTCGGGGCACACTCACTGAAGCCATGGGTGATGTACGTCGAAGGTAAAGAGCTATGTGCGAGATCGAAAGGTCGATTAAAGTCCAGTAAAAAGGAGAAAGACAAGAACAAGAGACAAGGGGGGTGAGGTCGAGAGGTTGAAGATGCGTTTACCTGAGGTGATGATTGAAGGCAGGATTGGAAAAGCAACGGGAAGGAGGCAAACACGCTAGACCAAAAGAGAAGGTTCTTAGCTCTCCAATGCGGTCAATGACGGCGGACTGGGACGATTTGCTGGGAGACGCACCACTGCGCTGCGGGTTGCAAATGGGTAGAACAGAGAGACTGGCGAGAGAATCGACGCTATCTTCAGCCTAGGAGCTAAAGTTATGGCAAACAGAGGAGTTGCAGAGACGCTGTGTGCGAACACGGCGAGGTTGTTTGGACTGTTTGGCTGCAGGGCCCACTTACATAAGCCGGACGCCACGCCGCCACAACCTCAGCCACCGCTCCTCGTGCAGCCACGTGATTCTGCTTCTACTTTTTTTATTCATTCATCCAATATTTTGGTATTTTCAATCTGATCACTAATTACTCATTACAGTCCTAGATTATAGAAGAGTCCAGATGTCCCTTTGCTCTAACACTTTTGTATCTCTTATCAACCATTCTTGGCACGTGATAAAATAGCCCTGCAAGCTGGAATATGTATCAACTTTAAACACGAATTCAAATGTTACATTGATAGCTCTGAGCATTTCAAATGTTGAATCCTTGACCACTTCTCACTCTCCTAGAAGGATCAATTTACGTGCAGAGATATTAGCCCAGGGGCATTTAGATTAAACGAGAGAAGTCCTACGTTTGGGCTTGCATATCATTTGGTCGATCGGTACCAATCCAAGCATAAACACGCAATTTTATCTCCAACTTTGCCTCCTAGAAGCTCATAGATAGAAAGTTCCAATCGCCTATGTATACTCGAAAATGAAAAATCAACAGAGGGTAATTTAGAATGCCCTTTTCTCGAATGGTGGATAGGCTACTATAATCATATATACACACTCCAACACATCGAATCACAGTACACTTCATGCAGCATGGACTTTCAGCCTCGGAAAAGTCTCAGGCCGCCTTCCTCTAAACCTTCGTCATCTGATATGGTTCTGTCTACGCCATTTGCATCGTCCTCCCCATCGGATTCACCGAGCAATCCGCTCGCACTTTTCCCAAGCAGAGAAGCAAAAAACTCGTCTCGTGCGTGATCAGTCCAAGATCCGCGGTCTTCTGGAGCCATAAAATTTTGTAATTTTTCATGAATATTGTATCGCATTTTACGGCCCTTGGATGCCTTTGTATCGACGTCTTTCCGGATCTTGTCCTTGCGCATACCGGAAGCGTGGTGGGTGGGAAGTTGTAAGTGTAGAGAGTCGAGTCCATTTGTGACAGCCTCTGATGAGGACATGCGTTGCTCAACTAGTTCACGAAGGAGAGACTGGTAAAACACAGTGTCGTCATAGATGGGCTGCTCTGGCTCATCAGAGACGTTATTTGTACGTGGCTTCTTGGAAATGCGGTCGCCAGTTTCAGATGTTACGTGGGCGTCCAGGACAACTGTGATTGATTGTTTGTCAGAATTACCAAGAAGTTTTCCTCGGGCGTTCGGAAGACTGGTATTGGTCCCGCGGACTTTGTGATTCCACTTTTCGAGCACAGTTCGTCGATGAACCTGAGCATCTGCTTCCAGATCTTGCATGCGCTGCCATAAAGACTCGCAAGAAGTTGTTGACGAAACCGGTGATGGCCTTTTCCGTTTCTTACTTTCGTCTTTTGACTGATTGTATGACAGAGCGAAGCGCAATTCCTCCAGGGTAGACCATAGAGCGAGGGCAGCAGATTCTGCAGATTTGATAGCATTATCGTCAAATCCACCTTCTTCAACAAGATGATTTGAAATACCATTCACAGCCGTTAATCCCTTCTGCAGTTTGATTCGCGCGTTGAGTAGAGCATCAAAAGCCAGGCGTTGTTGTTTGACCGCTAGGCCTTTCGTCGCGTCGGCTTTGGCAGCCTGAGAGATGGTGGCAGCAACGCTTTTTTGGTCTGCAGCCATCAGTCGGCGTAGCTCTTCCCGATCATCAGTTCCGGTTCCATTTGTTCGAATTGTGGGCTCTTCGTTCGACATCGAAGAGTCATCCGAACTATTGTCAGAGTCTTCGTCTTCTGAACCTTGTTGCATATCGGAATCGTCCTCCATGGCTCGCCCATCTTCTAAGTTATCTTCTTCGAAATCTTGAACATCCTCATCAGATTGACTGTCTACGTCAACGCTGTCGTCGCTGGAAATATCTTCATCGTCATCAAATTGAGGGTGTCCAAACGGGTCGTCGTCGTCGCTCACAGTCTCCAAGGCCTGGCGGCTGACTCGCGATCCCGAATACTCCTTTCCGAGGCTGACAGTTTCTGGTTTGCGAAGTTTACTCTTGCTGAATAATTCGTCAGCCATTCTGAGCTGGGGCCTCTCAAGCTACAATGCAACTCACCCAACGTCCTGATAATGTTCACGGCCAGCATTTTCATCCACCTCCGATTCCGATTCATCGTCGGAGCCTTGATGGCCGGTATCTAGGTCTTCAGGATCGAAATCTGTAACGCAAGCAAAGAATCGTTAGCGAGGCCCCAGAATATGAAATTCGCTTCTGAACGGTTTTTGGTAGCTGGCATTCCTCTAAACATACCTTTGGGTGTGGGATCGTCCAGATCGGCGAGTTGCTCTGCGAGACTCTTGAAGCCTGACTTCCCCATGGCTTTGTAGGTAGCTAGAATATGCACCTGATAGCTATTCTCGGTATGTTCTCAGTTCTGCTGCCAGTCAGTTTAATTGTTTAATCTCGAAACTTTTTTCTGCCCCGTGCAAAAAATGCGGAGACTCGGGAAAAATTTCACGGCAAGTGGGGCTGGGCCGTAGAGGGCAGTCCGAGCCGGGTTTGCTACTTCTTTTAACGTTACAATTTAATGACTACTAGGTACTGACAACATCGTCCGTCATTAACATTGAACATGAACATGAACACGAACACTGAATATTAACTGCTGCCGGTAGCAGGACTACCGCTTAACTACCTGTTATTCTGTGTTTTTTATAGTCACGGGATTACTCCTTGAATGCCTAGAGAATGCGCCAGAGAAGCTTCTTCTCGACCTTGCGGGCTCTCCAGCATGACAACCCACTAGTATGCAAGCCTGACCTTTCATCATCTCCATACAAGCACACTGGAGCTGACATATCGACACTGATTATAGGGACTCCCAAAATCAGGCACACCACCAACCCTACGAAGTCGTCGCGGTCTTCCCGAGAAGCGCAAAATACGCGATGTCGCAAAAGTAATAGCTGTCTCTTCTGCCAAAGGCGGGGTTGGAAAATCCACAATTGCGGGTTCGTCTCCAAACATTACTGAAAAATAAAAGAACAAGCCTGTGTGAAAGAGAAGAACCTGATTGTGTGTCTGGATTATGTAGTCAACCTAGCTCTAGCCCTTGCCCGTAGAGGGATCCGTACCGGCATCCTCGATACAGACATCTTCGGGCCCTCAATACCCACGCTATTGAACCTGCATGGTGAACCACGCTTGGACTCGACGAACTGTCTGATTCCTCTCACAAATTACGGCCTGAAATCCATGTCGATGGGCTACCTCCTTCCGCACGCATCATCCAACAACCCTTCAACCGATACCTCTACTACTCCTCCAATGGACACAACGCCAATAAGCTGGCGTGGACTCATGGTGACCAAAGCAATGCATCAGCTTTTGCACTCCGTCTCCTGGGGCCCTCTCGACGTACTCATTCTCGACCTTCCGCCCGGAACCGGCGATGTGCAGTTGACGATTGGACAAGAAATCATCCTCGACGGCGCCGTCATTGTCTCAACACCGCAGGATATCGCCCTTCGCGACGCAGTTCGTGGATTCGGGATGTTTCAAAGAATGGACGTTCCAGTGCTTGGCATGATACGGAATATGGCCTTTTTCGAATGTCCGCATTGCGGCAAGGAGACCAAGATATTTTCTCACTCGCACGAAGACAGTCCTGAACAAGGTGTTGTGGCGCAGTGTAATAGGCTTGGTATAGAGTTTCTAGGTGACATCCCTCTTGATGCAAGGGTTTGCGAGGATGCAGACCGAGGAATGCCCACGGTAGTCGCCGAGGAAGGAAATGACAACAGTGCACGGAGGCGAGCCTTTATGAGTGTTGCGGAGAAAGTTGCAAGGAAGGTAGGGTTAGACTGGAAATAGCTGTATATTATCAGGTCAAAAGTTGTATGATATAGAAGTTATATGTATGATATTGGGATGACATGTACTAGAGTTCTTTGCCATTATACCCCAGGCATCAAAAGACTATCAATAAACGTATAATGGAATATTCAATGTTCAATAAACATTTGAAGTATGTTATGGGCACGTGGGTAACCAACCAATCTGTAAAGGTGTAAACACAGTCTAGGTGACACAACAAAAAAGCAAAAGGAATCGATATCTCCGAAAGACACGTATGTATATGAACCGTCCACGTATATAAGACAACAATAGAAACAGATGGTGCATTCACAAATTGTTCAATAGATGAATCATCCTGAACGCTACTCTTCGGCAGTGATAAACTCATCACGATCTGGCATTTCTGGTCTTTGAGCATTAAAAGGGAATTCTTTATCCCTATCATTCGAGATCGGTTTGGGTGTAATAACCCCGGTTTCATGGGAAACGTTATTTGTATTCGCATCACCATCTACAGTGCGTAGTCCCGCATTGGCTGACGGTCCTTCGACGGTACTTGACTGAATAGCCTTTTTGCCCTTCAAAATACCAGGAGCATGATGGACAGCTGTGGTGCTAGCATTCGGGAAGCTTGCTAGCCCCTTGTCATCAATAGTAGTCGAAGGGGCGTGCGACACGCTATCTGCTAAAGTGCTGGCGCTTCGATCAGAGCGATAAAGAGACTTTTGGAATAATGACGACTCTGCAAATCTCGGTACACTGTCGGTACTTGACAGTGACAAGGTATCCGGGCGTAATGAGACGTTATCTTTGATGCTGATCACACCGTCAGCATCCAGGACAGCCTTTGTGCTGGCATTTTCCAGCCAACTTGATTGATGTGAACCGTGGTTAGTGTCGGGACTAGGGAGAAGAATAAGAGGCGAGCTACCCGAATCCATTGATACAGGTACGATCACATCATTACCCTGCTCTTGAGCAGGGCCATGGAAAACCAAGTTCGCAGATAGCTTCTTTTCTTGATCCGTGTCAATAGCCTGACCACGGTCGCTCACAATACGAGAGCGACTTCGCGAACGACTATGAGACTGCTCTCCATTTGGTAGTGGAGAAAGCTCATTTCTTCTTGATCCCGCCAAACTATCTTGGTGTCGACTGTCTGTTTGTTCCGTAGCGGTATCATCAGTTCCTCGACCTCTCCCTTCATCAGGTGTAGACGTGGCATAAGTGGTCTCATCAACCTTGTTTTCTTTCCTGACAACTTCTTTGTCATGCTTATTCACCATTAGAGACCATAGCATCAGGCCATAGCTCTTCCGTGGCTTTGAGGGAGCAATATCTTTTTCCATCCGTCTACTCGCTATAGCGCACGCCGGGGGGATTTCGTCATCAAAACCGTAATATCCCTTCTCAAAATCCTTGATGCGGTTACGTTGAACTCGGAGTTTTTGCTTTGCAAACTTCTCGTCCCATGACTTTTTCGCCCCTAGCCACTTGCTGACAATTGCTGGATTGATAGAGCCGACCTTTTCTCGCGGTTGTTGAAGCGCCGGAATAGTATGCGGTGCATCGAGATTATATATCACACCATGTCTGTCCACTCTTTGTCTGATCATATGCTTCCGGAACGAGGGTAAAGCATCGCCTGCTTTTCCAACAGACCCCTTCGGCTGTTGTTCATCGGATTCTGAAAATGATGAGGAACTAGAAATTGATGAAGCATAGTCATTTGGAATTTCGATATCTTCGTGCTGCGCATGGGCTAATGCCCAAGCACCAAATTGAGCAATTGACCGAAACATAAACGTTGCGGGTCTGGTCCAACTCAGGGTGGGAGAAACATGGCACAAGTCATCCCAAACTTGAAGTTGTACGTATGTAGGTTCGTACTTGTTGATTAAGATCCTGTCAGGATCATGTTCATCAAGGTAGGCATCCATTGGAAGGTAGGACATTGGATTAGCTGCTTTATGCGCTAGATATATCTGCTCATCGCGTAGCAGTTCTCCACCGCCAGTCAAGATTAAAAGGGGAGGCAGTCCGCCCAAGGATGGCTGCAAAACAGGCGACACCAATGGATGCGATAACATCTGGTTGGGGCAGTACATCTGGATTTGATCTTTTATTTCTACCGTAGTATTGTTTCCCATGGGAACAACTAGAGTATCCGCCTTGCCAGTTCGAATATGTTCTTCATTGGTTGGCTTCAGGTTACTGTGGAGGCCGGGATAGGCGTGGCGATGTTCTTCAGAAATGCTCTCCTTTATAGCAAAGCCTTGGATAGCAGTCTTTTGGTCAGAAGGCTGGTCCTTCCTTCCTATACCATTAGATTTAGCTTGGCCAGCCCGCCCACCTTCCGTTGCAGCCTTGTAAATCGAAGCTAAGTCATCCGAGTTTGGAGGTGGCCATGCTGATGACGGACGATGCATGAAGCCATGCTCGGGAATGTAGTCAAGCGAACTCCCAGCTGCAACGGACGGGAAAGAATGGGTGAGATCAACCCATGGGGAGATGAGAATGGCCCCGGCCGGTAGCGGAAGGCTCTGATCCCGTAGCACAACCAGCATCCTTCAAATGTCAGCGAACTGCACCTATCAAGTGGTTTGAGCGCTACTCACGAAAGTAGCATGCCGCCACCGGCAGAATCACCGGCTACAATAATTTCTGAGGGGTCTTGAATGGTCAAGAGATATAGGTATGCTGCTAGACAATCTTGTAGACCGCAGGGGAAAGGGAATTGAGGTGAGAGGCGATAAGAGGCTAGTGATTCAGTCAGTATGGGCCTTCCTGTGTGGACAAAAGCCACTTACTGTGCCGAGTCAGTAGACCGCTGATACGCTAAGGACGGGTTCAACATACCGTGCAATAACCCGGGCCTTTAACTTCCGCGCATGCCGCTGTATCATATAGCGGTGGGTGTCAATGCTACCGAAGAAGTAAGCTCCCCCGTGGACGTAAAACATGACGCGTTTCGACCGCGTGCGACTTTGTTTCCTAGCGTTGTAATCACTCTTCATCTCGATCCATTCGCATTTGAGGTCTTCCTGGTGACCGCGCCATTGCCACCAGGTCTTCCCACCCACACGTGTTATGCCCCGCTCGCCCAATTGCGCATTGATGCTCCCCGCGGCTTTGGTCAGGTAATCGGTTGGGATGACCTCCTCCTTGATCTTGACCCAATGCGGCGTGGGAATCTTCTGGGCAGTGAATGCCTGGATATCTTCAACAGTGTGGAGTGCAGCATGTTTGAGAAAGGCGCGGACGACATGTAGTCCTTCGTCGTAGGATACATGTGCGGTGGGTTTTTGGTGACGAGACTTTCGGTCGAGATACTATGGCATTTTAGATCTATCTGGCAGACAGGGCATGGGAATGGATAAATGTACGTGAGAAAACCATGTCGACACCACCGTCGGAGTCACGCTTGCCCCGACGCAGGCGGTATTCAGATGCATCGTTAATAACTGTTGTTAGTGAAACATGCGATGCGGATCGACTTGAGACTGTAAGAGCCCTGGCAGGTGTATCAGGGGTAAACGGTAATAAAACGACAACTTGGACGGAACCGCCGTTCTCTCAATGGGTCCAGCCGGCACAAGCAGCGGCATCAACGTCAGCTTCAGCTATACAGAAAAAGACCGAAGCATTGCGAGAGTGACGCAAACAGCAGCGACGAGATGCGGCCGGAGGAAGCTGCGATCGGTGACATCATCGCCATTGGCGTCACGCTCCAGGCATACTAGGCCTAGTCAGGCTAGCGCATCATGGCAGTTCAATCGTAGTGCAACCAGCACAAACAAGGCGCATTTCGTCGCGACGACGCCTCTTCCCTACGTCGACTAGGAAGCTATGTCTTTTGCCCGCTTCTTCAGCTAGTGAAACCCTAATCGGACCCTGAAACAAGACGAAGCTGGCGGTGTTTTATGATGCGAGCAAAACTCAACGACCGATTAAGCTTTGCCGTTCCCCGCACACCGATATGTCATTGGTCCAAGCACCCGCGAAAAAGAGGAGGAGGTTGACCTCGCCGCGATTTAGCACTACAGCTCTCAATTGCCTTCTCTCGCACATAGACAAAACTCGAATATCATAGGGATCAAACTCTCGTCGCATCACGCTATATCTATCCCAGGGCACTCACGTAGCCTACCAAATCAAGTAGCCATGGCAGGTCCTGCTCCAGGGACAACGGCCATTCCGTCCACTATGAAGGCGTGGCTCTGGAACACCACCAGCGGAGGCCTTGAAAAGAACATTTACAGATCTGATACTGCCAAACGACCGGGTCAGACACTGCAGTCTAACCAGGTCCTTGTGAAGGTCATTTCCATGTCTCTCAACCCTGCCGACTACAAGGTCCCTGAAATGGGATTTATCTACAAATGCGTGGTCTCCACACCAGCGTCGCCCGGCATGGACTTTTGTGGAAGTGTTGCCGCAGTCGGTCCCGGAGTAACGAATGTCAAGGTGGGACAGCTCGTTTTTGGGTGCTTGGTCTTGCCGTTGCAGCACGGTTCTCTGGCAGAGTACATCGTCACACCAGGCGATGTTATCGTTCCCATTCCAGACGGCGTTGAGGTTGATCATGCTGCCACAGTAGGTATTGCTGGGCAAACCGCGCTGCAAGTCATTCAAAATAAAGTTGGAGAAGGTGATCATGTTTTCATCAACGGTGGATCTGGTGGCGTAGGGATATATGCGATTCAGATCGCAAAAGCCCTTGGATGTCAGGTCACCGCGACATGCTCGACTCGAAATGTTGAGTTGTTGAAAAGTCTTGGAGCGGATGAGGTTCTCGATTATACGACTGTCGACGTTGTCCAACATTTGCGCAAGCAAGGACCACTATTCAGTCTTTGCCTCGACATGATCGGCGAACCGGACGAGTTGTATCGCGAAAGCCACAACTTTCTCCTCCCTAACAAGTTATTTGCACAAGTTGGAAACGGCTCACATTTGGCTACTGCAGCACGGCTCATTACCCCTAAGATCTTCGGCGGCGGGCAGCGACCATATCAGCTAGTTTTTTTCAAGAACAGGTACGAAGATCTGAAAATAATAGGCGACTGGATGCAGCAGGGCAAAGTAAAGGCGGTCTTAGATAGTGTATACGAGTTTGATGACGCCGTTCAAGCTTACGAAAAACTTAAAAGTCATCGTGCCAGGGGGAAGATTGTTGTACACGTTTCCGCCAAACCAGTTTGATAGTTGTATATATGATTATGACACGTCTTTATTTATATTTTATTTGACAGCGCCGCCAAAATTGCGTTTGAATTGACATTTTCGTGTCCTTCGGGCCCTCCCTCCAAAGATCATTTCCTATAAAACATCCCGTTTGCACCGGCTAACTGGGCACCTGTTTTTTCATTTTCCTTTTATCTGAACACTTCTCTCTTGGTACCAATGAAGCGCCTGTCATAAACTCAATGACAGACTCTGAAGAGCATCTCCATGGCAGAAATGGCAAGGACAAAATCCAAGGATCTTGCAAGCCAGTCTTTTGCAAATCATGCTACTACGGATAGCCCCAAACAAATGTACATAAAGCAAACCCTAAATCATCGTGGCACACAAATCTAACACAACTCAGAATTCCTAGCGGCGAAGGGCCGTTTCTCATGGCTAGTCAGCTTACTCTTGATCAAATCCAGCATCTACTGGACTTCGAATATCGGCCAGAAGCGGATATACATCGATGGATACTGGAGGAAGACTTGGAGCAGGGGTCAGAAAAAGAGCAGGCGGGTAGGTTATCAAACGTTTTCACCGTACGATATTGTGATATCGTTTTTCCTTTCTTTTCCTTTCTGACAATCTCGATTACCAGGACTCCAAGGAATCTCCATCTTAGCAAAGAGTAGGCTCCAACGATTGCACGACAGAGACTGCAAAGTACTAGAGCGTGCTGAAGAAGCAGCAGATACCTTGCTCATAGATCGCATGATTGCGCACAATCAACATGATCCACTAGAAAATATAGTGATCGCAAAGAGTGACCAAATTTTCTTTCACTCCAAAAATAGCCAGCTTGAAATCACAGGTTTCCCTGATCGAGCCGTTGGGATCAAAACCAAGAAGGGCGAATTCTTTATGCTACTTGTAGTGCGAACAGCAACTCCAGTCTACTTTGATGATGCTTTAACACAGCTTATTCTTTTCTTGTACGGCAGCTTTGACGCCCTGTGCAAGCTTTTACCAGATCAAGACAAAAGGAAAACTTTTGGTTTCATCACCGACGCAGTGAATTTCAGATTTGCCCTGATTGGGCCGGATCGTGTACTACGTTTATCTAAGAAGCTCTATTGGGTTAAGGATGAAAAAGTGATTGCAGCGTACATTAATTATGGGGTTAAGAATGTACTACTTGCTGGATGTCGTGCCACAAGTGAGTTGTAACCTGGACGACGTTGGTGTTGATACCACCGCAATCGGGAAGCCGCATCACGCAAATGCGTTTATAAATAATGGTATCTTTTCACATTCACAATTTCGAAACATGTGAATACATCAATTGTATTTTATTCAACAGAGATGTGATATCCATTAGAACCAATCATCGTCTTTTTAATAATCAAATACTGCGTGACTGTCTTATAATCCCACATCTTCCCCCTCCCTCTAAATACGTCTAGCTTTCAAATTAATTTGAACATTTCAAGTAATCATAGCAGTAATGAACGTGCAATCTATATTTTGATGCTTTTTGTCATGGCTTCATATCAATGCCATTATTGCTACATGTATTTAAATAAATTTTCTTATGGGAAAACAATTTAAATATTACTTGATGTTCCCTAGGTCAATCGATGTAATCCAACCAGAAAATATTGGATGATAATTGGTAATATTACTTTCCTAACTTGTAGAATCACACCCTTCATCTTTTAACCGAACATTTTGAATAATCTAACTCATAGCAAAGTGAAAAACTGAATTTTCTAGCCTTGTAGACTAGAGCTTGTATCTATGGCGGTTAGTTCTCGCTCGATATGCTCATTAGTAACATGTTTTGTCTCAATCTTTTCCCAACCCTCTTCTCCGTCCATCTCTAACCATCACAATGATCACTTCATGTGAATAAGCCCAGTTAAAAGAGTGCTCATTTCCGTGGGTTGCATATGTGAGTGCTCCTTATGTTTCGGGCTGTTCAACCAAGTAGTGTTGGATACCCGTTGGTGATTCCAGTGAGACGCTATCTACACGGAATTTAGTATGTTTACCCAATTTAACAATAGCGAAAAATTTGAGGGCTCTCAATGAAATACCTCTTTTAAATGGCGGCCTTTTCTTACCCGCGTAATCATCGTTGAAATAGCTGTCTATATTAGTGTATAGATGAAGCTTGGTGCCTATCGCGTCGAAAAACGCGTTGGTCGAAGTGCAATAAAGAAAGGACCGAAAACGAATAACCGAGGTACTTGAATATGGCATATAATATAAGACCGGAACCTTTGAGATGTCGAGGAAGGCGTTTTTCGGCGGTATTGGAGGTATGTGCGTAAATGCGAGAGCAATAGATACCAATTTTGTCGCCTTTGTCGGATATTAACAAGAAGAAAATTAACATATCAAACATAAAACATAAAACGAGATAGATCAATCGATAACGATAAACCTCTAGCTATATCAGGTGACTTCATAAGCAATTCAACCAGTCCGTAGAGTGGGAGAGTTTTGGCATCGAGTGCTGGATTTGCCAGCAGAATCTCTCCAACTAAATCAATGGCATGAAGATCGTAGATGAGAGTTATGCGGTGGCCTTCTGTTACTTCTGTGATTTCATACTCACAGTCGCTATAGAAAGCAGCCCATTGAATATGGGACCCGCTGGTTGCAACCCAGTTAACGTCAACTTGTTCTGCACCATGGCGTACTGTCAGGCTACCCCAGCTGAACTTTGATGGGAGGCTGACCAAAAGAGATCCATTCTAAGATCCAGACCTGGGAGTGTCGACATGAGCCTTGAAGTGGCCAGATGGACTCGAATAGACCCACTCAGATATCGGCATCGACTCTTAAACTTGCAGGCCAGCTGTTCCATTTCCGATTTTATCTTTACATTAAGCTTGTACGACTCAGCAATCAATCCTGTGGCTTGCAAATCGTTTTCCGTATCTGAGAGAATGCTTGGAAGTAAAGTCTGTTCAACATGCTGAATGAGGCCAAAATCCGCTGGATGAATGAAAGCTTGTTGCAAAATCTTTCAAGTCCATTTTTCCCGCTCGCCGGTAAGTTTCATCAAGCATGTCTGCTCGGCCTCTTCCACGATGTAGGATACCAGTTGCAGACTAGCTTTTTAACACGAGATATTTCCTTAGAGTCTCCATCACCCTCGATCGGCAGCGTGACCTTGTTTACTCCACCTTTGTCTTTGGATGTCCAGTAAATATTGATAGGGCTAGGCTGCATTGGCTGGGTCCGAATCCTAGTCCAAGAGATATCTGAATCGTTCTTATCAGTACGGACAGCAATGGTGCCACCGCAAATAAACGATGTCTTGCTTTGCTGAGTGCGGATCAGCTCAGAAAGACGGTTTATCTGTGACATTTGTAACTTTTCCCTTCTGGTTTCGTCTGAAAGTTGACTATTATCTATAATCTATTGACAGATTGATGGTGTTGCACATGTGCTTTTCATACAGGATGAAAGAGAAAGAAGAGTTAAGCTGTCCTCGATAGTGGACATGCGTATTTATATAAAAGACATCAATTCATAATGATACAGTGTCAATTATCCAGTCCCGTTGACTATTCGCCAACAAATATTTCAAATGTTCAATGTTAAAATGACGGATAAAGTCAGAGTGAAGCTGTTAGCGGTTTCGCGACTGTGGTCGAGCCGACTCTTTGCAGAGGTACATAGCCTGAGGTACCGTTGCTATAGCAGTAGCAGCGCCGTGAGCTTTTGATGGATTTGATGTTTATTATGAAGATGAAAAACTATACAGATATTGAGTTTGTAGTTGTCAACTGGTCTGGTCGTGGTTGAACGCAAGTCGTGGTTGCTAAAATTATTAACTACAGTCTGGACCTCTTCAATATTTGAATGAGAGTCGAATTATTATAGATCTAATTGACAAAGGTAAAGGTATGGGAATGTTATGAGATATCCAACTATAGACACGATTTCTACAGCATTGTTCCCTTATTTTGTTGCTTGTCGACCTTGTAGTTCTTCCAAATAGCAACGGCCGGAATGGTCAAGATGGAAAAGCAGACGGCGGCAACTGATTCGTACTTTTGAGTGTAACCCCAGGCATAATTGATGGCATCTCGCGTTGGTGTCCCGACGGGGTAGGTGTACTGAACTAGATATCCGCTGTTATAGATTTCGGTTGCGTTCGACTTGAGTGCGTCGGGCAGCGCAGAGGCAAGAGCGTCGGGGAAGGTGCTGCTGTAGATGGAAGTGCTCACAGCACTTCCGATCGAGCTTCCCAAACTGCTGAACATGAAAATGAGCGAGAGCATCATAGGCACACCCATGCGGTCGGCGGCGGCCATGACAGCCATGTCGTTTCCTATGACAAGAGTCCCGCCAGAGAAAGCAATAAAAATCTGACACATGATCAGGTAGCCGATAGAGCCTTCCTGGCCCCTGAAGTGGATCTGAAGGCCTGCACCGAGCAGGAGCAGGGGAACACCGAAAGCCAGACAAGTGTATTTGAACTGTTTAGTGAAGCGGACAGACAAACCAAAGACTGGTCCCCAGAAACACGACCCCACGTTGTAAATTTGGGTCATATAACCAGTGTCGGCCAAGTTGAGGTTGTACGCAACCATGACGAAGTAGTAGTAATTCAAGTCCCAACAGCTGAAGGAAAGGTTCAAGGCGGCTGCACAAAGGCACGCACCGAGCACGGTACGCTTTTTTAGTAGCTCCCATCGAACAAATTGCACTCGCGCACCGAACCGTTCCCAGGCTGCAAAGACAAAGAATAGCAGGAATCCGATGATAATCATACAGATGAATGCCGCGCTATCGTAGGTGATGCGTCGAGACGACTGCAGACTGAACGGAAGCAAGAAGAGGATGAAGGCAGACATGAGCAGAAAAGCGCCAACAACTGGATAGATATCAGTATTTCTCCATGTTCATTAATATTTGATAGGAAAATGCATACCGTCGAATTCATGCAAGTAGTAAACAAGCGATTGTTTGACGGTGCGACCGCTTGGTTCCTTGTTATAGACGCCTAGTCTCTTGGCCTTGCGCTGATAGAACTTGAAAACAACGGCCAATGGAAGAAACACGAAAGGCATGATGATACTAAACACACCGTAGCCCCATCTCCATCCGCTCGTCTTGACGAACGAAGCGGCAGCCAAGGGGCCCGTAAACGCGGTGCAGATAAATGGAGTATTGACGAAGCCAAAGGCAAAAGCACGGTTTCGCATACCCGACGTGTCTGCGATGAAGACGTCCAGGATTACGTAGAGAGCATCATACCCAATCCAGTAAAGTACGTAACCAGCGGCGTAGCTATCAGGTCCAGTGCAGGAGGCCAGGAGGATAATTCCAATAATATAGACGATGAGCGCAATCACCAAACCTTCACTACGGCCCCACAGATTGAGAACTTTGGCAATAGGTAGTTTTAGCACGCCACCGACGATGGTCGCCAGAATGTTGGCTGTTGCAATAGCCGGGGCGTTCTGGAAGTCGGAATATGCCGTAAAAAGCAGCTGGTTTCCTACCGCTGACTGGAAGGCAAGCATGAAAAAGCAGACCCAAATCCTGCAACAAAGTTAGGTTATGTTTGGAAAAGAAGTGATGCAACTGACCAGGCATAAGTTGCGTAGACAGCCTTCTTGCCCCACACGAGGGCGGATGCTTCAGCTTTTTGAACACCGGCCTCTGCATAGGAAGTAACCTTGTCAGGATTCTGCAGGACCTCCTTTTCATTGCGGGCCTCGAGACTCAAGTTGTCGGAATCGTTGGCGGCGGCGTCCTCGGCGCTCGGGGGTGCTTTCTCGTCAGGAATACCATCTGTAGGCAAGACAGTAGCGCCAACTTGGGACGTATCCCGGTTGTGAACGTTGTCAAGGACCACACCCATATTGTTAGTTGACGCAGGGGCGGTAGACAGGCGCAAAGGTCGCAAAGTCACAAAGCAGAGGCAGAGAAGAGGAACGGGTATGGAGGCACGAGCGGGTTAATATAGACGCTTTCTGTTGCACGGTATCCACCGGGGCAGTCGGCCTATCGGTTCGTCTGGTACGTTTTCCCACGTTGATGGGCAGGGGAAGAACCATGCACGAAAGAAGAAGAAAGGGGAAATGGGGTGTAGCGACAGGCAAAAGACGACAATAAAAGCGCCAAGGCAGTAGGCTCGACAGGCTGCGGATCTGATAACATTGTTGCTAAACCTAAACCGGATCAGATAACGCGTCGGTCGCAGCGGGTTCTGGAAAAGCGCCCGTTCCTGAGAGAATAATCAGATGGGTGGTGAGAGTCGGCTGACGACGCCCCGAGGGATTGCTCGAGGGAAAAGAACGCGACCAGTGATAACAGGGATAACTAACAAGTGGTAACCGTGTCGGCCAGTCACTGTCGCAGTTGCATCCAGTGTCCACTTGGAGTGGAGGCCTCAGCGTAGTGCGAGTCGGAGCGCTGCGCTCGAACTGGAAGGAAAAAATTGCATTTCGGGTTCCCCACTAGCGGGCCATAGGCAGCATCCGGTTATGCCAGCGCACTGCAGCCTCCCAGGAAAATGTCATAACCATGACACAGAGAAGAGCAGAGCAATAGCAGAATAAAACCAGAGAACGAGAGAAGAGGGAGGGACAGATAGAAGCGGAAAGAAGAAGAGGAAGGACCGGCCTCTCCGTGCAACCCTGCCTTAATTGGGCCTAGCTCGTCTGATGACCCCCACGAGCCCTGCGCCGTTACTACTTCGGGACTAGCCCTCTCAGCGGCTTATCTGATTAGATCCAAACCTCATCTTTTTTTCTTTTCTTTTTTTTGTTTCTTTTGTTGGTTTTGCAATGACACTAGTGGCTACTAGCAGCCAGTAACCATCAGTATCGCAATAACAATGACATGGCGAAATTATAATATGGCCGAGAATGCTTCTAGAACATGTCGCCTCAAATCCTGCAGGCTGTAGATTGAACTTCTGGCCTCCGACGTCGGCTGTCTTTCTTTTATTTCTGCCGTTGTGAATAATATATATCTCGCAGAAGCGAAATTGCTACTGCCAAGACCTCAGAAATATCAGCCATGGCTTTTGTGGAGGTTCTGCTGGAGGCAGCAATGCCTGAGGCAGAAAGTCAGGTGATTTCCTCGTTGGCGCTTACGCTTCGATTTCTCTCTGTATCATAGTTCTCTTCTCGAACCTTAGTTTTCTCGCGAATAGACGCCATAAACATGCTTTAGGACTTATCCCTCACAGCTTTCATCAATTGTAAATTCAGAATTTTTCCAACCATTGCGATGGATCGAGTCAATGGCAGAACGACGTGAGCATGCTGGGGAGTAGGTTCATATAAAAGTATTGAATCTTGGCTTGGAGATCTATAACTGGGTTGTCGTTATTGTAATTGCTAACTTTGCATCTAAATCCCCTTTTATATTTAATAACCACGAAGTACTAAGTGTTAAGTGTGAATCGGATTGATCGTCTCAAAGTCGGTCATAACAGTCAAAACGAGACTAATGCCGTTCCAATACCCGAAGCTAAACGGCGGGATCGGTTCCCCGATACAGCTATCCTTGCGCGTATCTCTTCCAAATATAGCCTTCTTACTTTTCTTACTTCTTTCTATCCACGAACTATGTTACATTTTGGAATTCTTCTCTCAAAAGAGACGATCGGCGAAAGCTTAAGCGGGGACTATCGTACGATGCACCTGAAAAGCTTTCATCTTCCAACCGGATTTGGCGAAAGCTCTTGGATGTCGCACAAGCTGCGGGGATTCTGAGACATCGACAAAAGCAAACGACTGAATATCGAACAACTTCTTGACCTTCTAGTCACACAAATGCTGTACGTGGCATTAATGCCCATTAAAGCTCCACCTCGGGCTATGGAAAATGGAACTGGCCCACCTCGGACAGCTAGATCAACATGGATATACCATATTCGAGTTGGGATAGCACGCTACAAATTCACCGCTAAACTGAGTTGATCCTTAAGGATGCATATTCCCGAACATGTTCGGGCTTTTGCATGATCTTCTGGCTCCGTGAATCATGCCAACTTTATCCAGCCTAAGGTATAAGTAGCATGAACTCATCCGACTAATAGGACCCCGGTATGTCGAAGCATCTCTAACTGACGGCAATCATGGTGAACGCGCCATTTACTGCTAAGATGCTTGCATCAATCCGCTTCATGGTATACCTTCTTCTTGTCTGTCTGCCATGGACGATGGGCCTGCGTCAGTTCAGACATGACAGCAATTTCCAACCAGACTATATTCTTCGAGTCGGTGAAGAGACTACATCGGCTGCCTGTCGGACGAGGTTGTCTGCTGTAGTAAACGGTATGCCAAACTAGATACTTCAATATGCCTATGTGTTTCAAAACTAACAACCCTTTGCGGGTTTATAGGAACGACGCCAGGACCAACACTCTATATGAAAGAAAACCAGACTACTTGGGTTAGAGTTTATAATGACTTTCGGTCGGAAAATTTAACTATGGTGAGTGGCAAACTCCTCGGTGCATTTGAAAAAAGCTAATCGGGGTTTTGCTGTTACCAGCATTGGCATGGCTTGAGCCAATCGGTCTCCCCATGGTCAGATGGTACGCCTCAAGCCAGCCAGTGGCCAATTAAGGTAGGACAAATCTTTCATAAATCAGACTTATTGATACTGACATGATTGTTGCTCAAAGGCCCAGCATTTCTTCGACTACGAGATTCGACCACAGATCGGAGAAGCTGGCTCGTATTTCTATCATTCTCATATTGGATTTCAGGCAGTAACCGCCACGGGACCTTTAGTTGTTCATGAAGCGGGTGAAAACTCTCCTTATGATTATGAGAGCGAGAAGATAATCTTCCTGTCCGAACTTTTCAATTGGACAGATGCGACAGTCCAGAAATATCTGACGGCTCCAATTTCGGAGTTTGGATGGTAAGTCACGCTTACCTAACAATACCCATGTCGGTATTATACCTGTCTATGTGCCGAGTATCTGATTGCTTACCCTCTTAGGACTGGAGAAGCAGCATCTATCCTCGTCAACGGAAACGGATACCTCGGCCTCCCTGCCAACGAGACTGAAACATCCAAACCTTGGGCAAAGCCAGACCTATCTGCCGAAAAGCCATGCAGCCCAGAGATAATCGAAGTCGAGCCGGACACGACCTATCGTTTCCGCACCATTGGTGGCGTTTCTCTCAGCCCTCTAGTTCTTGCGTTTGAAGACCATGACAATTTGACAATTATCGCTGCCGATGCAAGGTATACGCAGCCTGCGAGCACAGACCTAATCCAAATAGCATCGGGACAGCGATATGACTTTATTATACATACAAAATCAGAGGAAGAGCTGCAAGATCTAGGTAAAAGCATGTTCTGGATGCAGATCGAGACGCGATATAGAGATCTAAACGACACGTTTTACGCTATCTTGTCGTACAAGACCAACGCGAGTCTAAATACTACGGTACCACCTTCTCCCCCTACCGAAAAGCCTGTTGATATCCCATTTCATAATCAAGACTGGTTAGAATACACCTTACAGCCGCGGGAACCGAATGGCTTTCCAACAGCCGATCAAGTGACTCGGCAAGTGGTCCTGGTTTCGTCGCAAATCATTGCCCAAAGCGGTGCATTCTGGACAGTGAATAATCGCACATGGACGGAGGACAACCAACATGAGGGGGAAAACCCATTCAATGACAGGAACCCATCAGCCGACACCCCTTACCTAGTCGATGTGTACCGGCGCGGAGAGCGTGCCGTACCAAATTATGAGACTGCAGTTCAGAAGCATGGCGGGTGGGATCCCGACCTCAATGTCTATCCAGCCAAGATAGGTGAGGTCATTGATATCATCCTGATCAACGAACCAAACGGTGTATATGGAGGTTTTGATACCCATCCGTGGCATATTCACGGCGACCATGTATACGATCTTGGCTGTGGATCTGGGACGTACAATGCCACTGAGAATGAGGAGCGGTTGAAAGGGTATAATCCGATCCAGAGAGACACTAGTCTTTTATTCAAGTATGTTGATGGAGACGAAGTCGGTGCCGGACACAATTATACTTGCCAAGGATGGAGGGCATGGCGAGTCAAAGTCCAGAACCCTGGGTAAGTAGCATAACCTTCATCTATATAGTCTAATGTGCTGATTGTTACAGTGTTTGGATGATACATTGTCATATCCTTCAACATATGATCATGGGTATGGAAGCTGTTTGGGTGATGGGCAATGCATCTGAGATAACTCGCGGCACGACACCAGAGCTCGTCGAGGGTTATCTTAGTTACGGGGGAAATGCATATGGAAACTCAATATTCGATCCGTTAGTAAGTCACTACTTTGACGATTGATGGTTTTGTTAGATGATGAGGCAAGTTACTATATATCCCTGGGGTATGTTAACTCCATGTATGATTGATTCAATGTGGTGTAATGTATTTCACAAGCGAGCGGCGCACCCCCGATTCCCATATATAACCAACAATTTTGGGCCCTCAATATTTCACCACTTTTACTAGAAAATAATGTCTGAAATTAATATAGAATATAGATTCTACTCTTAATATTATATATGCTTAGTTTTTCAAAATAATTGTTAATGGTTATAAAGATAATTAAGATGCATAAAAAATATACAGAATTACAGCGTAATTTTTTGGAGTAATAATAATTTCTAGGTTAATCTTTTTGATCCTATTAATATTGAAATATATTTTTATTTATAATATACAATAAGTATAAAATAATTTCAGACTATATTTCTAGTAAAAGTGGTGAAATATTGAGGGCCCAAAATTGTTGGTTATATATGGGAATCGGGGGTGCGTCGCTCGCTTGTGAAATACGATATGATATCTGTATTAGAACAAAGATATCTCATTCAAATATAGGATCATTCAACTGCAATATTCTTTAAACAGCTTACCTCCCTTCCAAACATGTGTCACGTTCTGGGGGTCCCCCAGAATACTGATATCATCCAACGGATTACTTGTCACAGCGATGAGATCCGCATCATACCCTTCTTTCAACTGTCCGGATAACGGTGCAAAATGACTTCCTAATGTTTCCGGGCCGGTAGCTGTGCAAGCTTCAATCGCTGCCAAAGGTGTCAGACCAGCCTCGACAGCAAAAGCTAATTCCTTTCCATGTTCGCCGGCAATCCAGTCCGTCCCGAGTGCAATCTTGACCCCATGTTTGACAGCGAGTGCATAAGATTTCTTGTTATGCTCGTCAATCTTCAAAAGCTTTTGGTAGTTGATTGGCGCCCACCCTTTAGGATTTTTTATCCCTTCAACAACAATCAATCTTGTTGCAATAAGTATGGCGCCTTTTTCTTTCATGAGCGCAATTGCTTCTTCGTCCAAATAACTTCCGTGTTCAATGGTTCGCACACCAGCATTGAGTGCGTTGAGAATTCCTTCTTTTCCATGGCAATGAGCCGCAACAATTCTCTTCGTGCGCGCTGCCTCATCAACAATCGCCTTGAGTTCCTCGGGCGAAAACTGCGCGTCTTCAGGGTCGTCCAAAAGACTGCCAACACCGCCGGTAGCACACACTTTAATCAATTTTGCGCCTCGGCGAACCATCAGTCGCACCGTCTTAAGACAATCAGTCATCCCATCACAGACTTGAAATGGACCGCCGTGTCGTCCATTATCGAGGACGGTATCAATCGGCACATTATGAACATCGGCATGCCCACCTGTCATGCTTATCACGCCGACACTGGAATACACATTAGGACCGACGAGGGTCCCCTCTTCAACGGCAGGAGATATCTCCCCAGCATATCCGCCAGTCTCGCGGACGGTCGTGAATCCCGCAAGGAGAGTCCTCTCCAGCTCCTTGGAGACACGCGCTCCGGCAAGAGCAGGCGAAGCAAATATAGCTTCATAAGAACCCCCGCCTTCATCGGGACTGTCGCCAGAATAGTGCATGTGGCAGTCCCACATTCCTGGCATCAACACAGGTACATGGCGAAATTGCACTGTCGTATATTTTGGTGGGATAGAGGACTGCAGGCCAACCCATGCAATTTTCGAGCCATGGATCACGAGAGCACCGTCGGTGATCGGCTCGCCACGACCTGGGATGAGGAGAGACGCCTTGATGCCAAATATTCCATCGGGTGATGCAATAGAGGGTTGAACGGCATGTCTGGGCCTGGAGGGCAGGTCAGAACGAACCTCCTCGCGGGATACAATACGCATGGCAGGAATTAATATTTTCAAGAAACGGCACTCAACACTTCAATGGTTGCACAGATGAAGTTGCAAAGTCGAGGGTTCCAGCATCAATGTAAATGTGAATGTGAATGTTAGTTGGCGTCACTAGAGCCCACGCCTTCCCCAAAACAGAAGGTCGCAGCGGCTCTACCAACAACAAGAACATTGAAGAAAAGAAAAACCAACATCGAGCGCTGATTAATATTCCCTTGCTCTTCAGCCAGGCAGCAGCGCTGGCACTCTTGCTACGAATAGCCCTGACATTTACAGATGCATATCGCCATTATCTGCAGCAATTGATGGCTTCAGCCTCATTGTGGGGTTAACGTTAACCCCACTCGGAGCAAAGTCCGATCGCTGTAGAGAGCTGCATTTGCCGGACTGTATTCAACACTCCATATGAAATGTCTTTATTTGAGTATCGGTCAGAAAGTCTATACCAAAAAACATGGCACACACCCACAATATCCTGCTGTTCCCAGGCGACGGCATCGGCCCTGAAGTGATGGCCGAAGCCGTGAAAATCCTCAACCACGTTGCATCTCTCGCTTCTGTTTCCGCGTCGCACCAGTTTCATTTTCGTTCCGAACTGATCGGTGGCTGCAGCATCGACGAGCATGGCAAATCTGTCACTCCAGAGGTCCTCTCCATTGCACGCGACTGGGCCGATGCGGTTCTCTTCGCTGCTGTCGGGGGCCCCAAATGGGATAGTCAGAGAAGAGGCCTTGACGGGCCCGAAGGCGGCCTCTTGCAGGTTCGGCGTGCATTGGATATCTATGCAAATCTGAGGCCGTGTGCAGCAGATACCCCATCTCCATCCATCTCAAGAGAGTTTAGCCCTTTTAAGCGGGATGTTATCGAAGGTGTAGACTTTGTAGTGGTGAGGGAGAATTGTGGGGGAGCATACTTTGGGAAGAAAATAGAGGATGCTGACTACGGTTTGTTTCTTTTCTTCTCTATGTTGCTGGGGTTAGGTCGTCGGTATTGAAAGGGAGGAGACTAACAGATGATAGCAATGGATGAATGGGGCTATTCGACAGCTGAAATCCAACGTGTCACTCGTATAGCAGCGCAACTGGCTCTTCGACACAATCCCCCGTGGCCAGTTATTTCACTCGATAAAGCGAATGTGCTTGCTTCTTCTCGGCTCTGGCGCAAAGTGTTTGAGCAGACCATGCAAACCGAATTTCCACAGGTCCAATACATGAACCAGCTTGCCGATTCTGCATCGTTGATTCTAGCAATCAACCCCCGCAAACTGAACGGCGTCTTGCTTGCTGATAATACCTTTGGGGATATGATATCCGACCAAGCAGGCAGTATCGTAGGTACATTAGGAGTCCTGCCATCTGCCAGCCTCAACACTCTACCAGGGTTGCCACTAGATGCAGGTAAAAAGCAAAAGGCTTTGTACGAGCCTACCCATGGCTCAGCTCCAGAGTATGTCATTCTGTTGTTCTGAATGTACTTTGCGGCAGACTGATACTGAAACACAATAGCATTGCGGGAAAAAATATTGCTAACCCGACCGCGATGATTCTTTGCGTCGCATTGATGTTCCGATATTCCTTTGACATGGAAAAAGAAGCCAAACAAATAGAGGATGCAGTTAGAAATGTGCTAGAGGCAGGCGTACGGACGGGAGACTTGCGAGGAACAGCGACCACAAAGGAGTTTGGAGATGCCGTTGTTGCAGAACTGGAGAAGATTGCTTCTTAATTCCGAGGTTTGAACACAGTCACCAAGAGTAAATTAACTTTCAAGACGGGTTCTTTAAGGTCCTTGCAATCTCTTATCACAGAATAAAATTGCTATGGATATAGAAGGCTACACATTATACTATACAAACACCATTCAGCATTATTACATATGTGCCTTTGTCCCATCATTCCGCCTTTGAGTGTTTAGCAAAGCCATCTTTCTTTCTATCGGTCAACAATTAATAGGCCTCATCATATAGTTTATTAACTGACCCATTTGCAGGCAGAACATTTGAAGATCTTCATCTCCTCACCATCTACTAGCACAAACTCATCTATCCCTGAATTTCTCCAGTTCTAAACATCCAACTACACAATACCTTCAGTTCAAAACCAAAATGCCACGCCCAGCCCTCCCCAAACCGGGCTTTTCTCTCCTTCGCCTCCACAACACCCAAAACCCTCATCACATCGCAACACTGTCATCTGCAGCAAAGACAAGTCTCATTGACTCGATTGCAGAGGATATTGAAGGATGTGTCTATGTTATAGGCCATTATTGTCAAACCGGTGTGCTTGATACCAACAACACAGTACAATTTGACCAGGTCATACGCAAGATCAAGCATGGAGAGAGGCGTGCGCTACGAAAGACGCTTCAAAGAATGAGATCACTCAAGAAGCAGGCCAAGAAAGCGAAGAAAGGGCTCAGGATGATGAAAAGTTTGATGAAGAAGGATGCGCTACGCAAGGATCAAGAACAAGCACAAACAGGTAGTCAGATGAAGTTGGCTTTAGCCCCTACTGTTACTCAAGGATCTGAGTTGCTGGCCTTTCCTTCCTTCAATAGTGATGTGGGAAATGCGAACAATTCTTCGGATAGTCAACCAACTGCCCCGACTACCACCACATCCGCCGAAGTTCCTGCGGCTCACTGTGGCGAAGAGGCTGTGATTACTGTAAAGGAAATATTGTGGAACGAGACATCGAAGCAGCGTGGAAACGAGGTAGATGATGCCAAACATGTGCAGAATGTACAGACCATGGAGAACAATGATATGGATTGATCCGGCTCATCTTCGGATACTGATTAACAATGGAAGATTAGGAGATTTTTCTAAGATAAAGGGCTTGATCTGAAATTGATTGAATGTATAAGGCTGAATTTGAAATTGTAATATTAGTCAGAAAGTGTCAGTGACATCTGAAGTGGAGTGTTTCCAGTAAACTAGACGGTAGCATAGTAAGCTCGTACGCGGTGTATTATATATCATTAGTCGCGAATATCAAGATAGATGGCGAGAAAATGGCATGGACTGTTACGATCTATTCATTCTTACCTAAGAAAAATGCTCTGGCATCTAGTACTTACCAGAGCACCTGTAGGATGGTTCGGAAAAGAGACTACTTGTACTCAGATTTGAACTGCTCAATGATTCATCCGAGATTGCACGGGCCGAGATCTCGGGCAGGATATTTGCAGCGGTGACATGTGATGTTTCCATGGAAGTAATTTTGGACATAATTTTCTTCCAACAGACATTAATATTGTCAGGGGTCGCCACCTGGATCACATCATTGTCGGCGTCCCGGCTTCACGCGAAAAAAACTCGGCCGTTCGATTTTGCGTGGCAGCTGCACCATTCATATGTAATTAAATCATATGTAATTGGCACTGGGTGAAAACTAGGCTGGTTGTGCCTCGGCAAATCTCCTGGTTGTGATTTGATGCTGATAACGCGGTTGATGATAACATGGATCCACCGGGCTATTCCCGACTCCCGAGCAAAAAGCAGCAGGAAAACGCCAGCAATTCGTTATTCTCTCTCCAAATTGATTTTTTGCTGCTGCAATTGATATAGATTTTTGTTGCCCTATCCGGCCACTGCATAACAGCCTCGTTGCAGCCGCCCAGAACTCACAGCAACCTAGCAACCACCTGTCGGCCGAAAAGCGAAACCGCAGCACACGATGAGCCAGTCCGGCGACTACGACGCTGTGCGCAAAGACATTGTCGCTCAGCTCAAAAAGCCTGATTATGACGATGGCAGCGCCGGTCCGGTATTCGTGCGACTCGCCTGGTAAGCGGACCATTCCTCTTTCCCCTCTTTTTATTCCTTTGTTATTGTGACAGGTAGTTCGCGTGCGGAAGACTGACTTGGGGATTTGAATGCAGGCACTCCGCCGGTACATATGACGTCGCATCCGACACTGGCGGTTCAAACGGTGCTGGCATGCGATACGAAGCAGAGGGAGGAGACCCAGCTAATGCTGGTCTGCAGGTTGCGCGAGCATTCCTTGAGCCCGTGAAAGAACGACACCCGTGGATCACATACTCCGATCTCTGGACATTAGCTGGTGTAGTCGCTGTGAAAGAGATGGGAGGGCCCGACGTCAAGTGGCTTCCTGGCCGAACAGATTTCGTAGACGACAGCAAATTGCCTCCGCGCGGCAGGCTGCCTGACGCCGCCCAAGGCGCTGACCATCTCCGTCACATCTTCTACCGTATGGGATTCAACGACCAAGAGATCGTTGCGTTATCTGGAGCACACAATCTGGGCCGCGGGCACAAGGACCGCAGTGGCTTCGACGGACCATGGGTGAACAATCCCACGCGTTTCTCCAACCAATACTTTCGGTTACTCCTCAACCTCGAGTGGAAACCAACCACGCTGTCAAACGGCGTCAAGCAGTTCAACTACAGCGATCCTGATGCGCCGGCCGACGAAAAGGAAGAGCCATTGATGATGCTGCCCACCGACATGTCGTTGCTCTCGGACTCTTCGTTCCTGCTATGGGTCAAGAAATACGCCGACGACAAGGATCTTTTCTTCCAGCACTTTGCCGATGTCTTTGGCAAGCTGTTGGAGTTAGGCATCAAGCGCGACGACAAGGGCAGCGTGATCAACACCGATAATGTGCGCGGCGGATACGTGTCGGCACCGAAGAAGAGCACTGTTCCAGAGGGACCGCTGAAGTCGGAAGGACAACGGCAGCAGATTGTTGAGCGGGCCAGGTTGTAGGTCTGTTTGTATTTGTTTGTATTTGTTTGTATCTGTTTGTTAGATTGTGTTGCACATGTTAGAATAATAGCAGTTAGAGTAGAATAGAGAATAGACTGGATGGCTGATAGATGGACGACAGTAGATGTAGTTCAGAAGGGAAGGAGAGAAAAGGAGCGAAGGAAGGAGTCTTATTAATGGGCGGGCGCACATTGGCTCGGCAAATGCGGGGAGATCCGGGGTAACTACATACTATTAGAAAATAAACCGTAGGTACCGAGGTAGTATGATGGATTGTGACAATTAATAGTTTGTTTTATATTGATATTAATTAAATGTATTTGCGTATAATTCAATCCTTACGTTCTTTGGTGGCACAAGGTATCATTAATTATATGTACTGTGGTATACTGCTGGTAAGACCATGTAAACAAACCTTATGTACACAACATTTGAAACAAGTAACCATTAAACATTCAAAAATGAATACACGGGCATATATATCTATTGGCCAAAATCCCCCAAATTAGCCTTCTTGGGCTGGAAGGCCTGTCCATATTGCTGCAAGTTAGAGATGGATGATTTTCTCTTCTTGGGCACCACAGCCAACTCAGCTGGAAGCATCGCGGCAGAAGATGGCGCTCGAGGATATGGCATCATTGCAAAGTGCGGGTACACGTCAGGCGAAGGGGCCAGGGTTGGAAAAGACTTGCCAGATGCTGATGTGATATTTTCGCTAAACCCTGAACTCGGAAACGATGAACCATGGTGCTGATGTTGGTTTTCATTCCTTCCTGGTGGTAATACAGAGCTTTCGTATTGTGCCCTGTTGTAAAATGAAGAAGCAGGAAAAGTACCTTTCATGTTAAAAGCAGCAGTTTCTTGAAAGTCTATCTCTATTGAAGGCACTAGGAAATCGCCTCCTTGAAAGGGCCTGTGTCTCATAATGGTCTGAAATCTTTGTCCTTGTGGTACGATGTTGACATTCGACTCCATTCCCCGTACGTGTGCTTGGAACTGATCCCGTCCTAAATCCTGAGGCGCCACAGTGACATTATTCTGCTCGTTGTAATGTCGTACGTTCTGGCCGATATCTCCAGTATTGTTAGTTTCCCCAGCCCCAGATGGAATGACAGAGCTGGTCTGAACATCAGCTTCAGATTCACCAATAAGTCTTAAGTCTTCCTCCATTCTATTTACGTCATCTGTAAAAAATGCCTCCAAGAAAGGATAGTTGTTTGGCTGACCATCAGAACTACAGACACCTGCCTCGAAGGTTCCACTTTGTAAACCATCTCTGGCATTGGCATTGAAATCTGGTATATTGTCGTAGCCGTCTAATTCTACAATCCGAAGAACGTTCGGATAATTGGCAAGTGTGGAATCGGGTATTGATTGAGAAATTAGGGTTTCAGGTGTCGGATCATGAATTTGACTTGTAAAGTGGCCATCATTACTGTACAGAGATGGAGAAGGAGCAGTTTCCCTCTCGTATCTCTGATTCTGTATATTCGTAAATCGAGCAAATTCTTTGTCAAATTCAATACCACCAATTTCAGCCTCACCTATCTGACCCTGTTCCACGTAGTTCTGTACTGCATCGCCATTGGTAGAAGCAAGGGCTGGTCGCCTCGAAGCCCACGGCTCGTGGTGTTGCGTAATCACTATCTCGTTCTGAACAGCATAGCCGATATCTCCTAACACCCCAGATGCCACTACAATATCCATGGAATCCGGGTTTAACACCCTTTCATAGAATAGAACAGGTGGCCACCATTTTGCCGGGATTAACGAACCATCTGGAGCCGGTTTGATATCACCAATAATACGGCCATCCAACAGAAATGGGTCATACATCCGGATGGTGTCTTTCTTCTCACCTAGACCAGAATCTGTCCAATAAACGCGGTACTTGGTATTTGGGTCATTGGTTTCTTTTCGGTCGCAATAAATACCACCAAGCCACCGATAAAGAACATGTTCTTCCTCCCCATTCTTGTCCAGGACTTCAAAATGTATATTGTCACTGGTGTGATTTGTTGGAGCTATGCCAAGCGGTGGGCAAAAGGCCAGCCTCAGGGGCATGTTCCAACGTGAATAAAAACTGTGAACATAATTTTCGCAGTCAGTAGCAGAGCAAGGACGTCGTATCGGAGGAGGCGGGTGTAGACTTTTCTGTAGGAGCTCCTCGATACTGACAGCGTCAGACTGGTCCCGTTGAAACTGGTCGCTTGTAGATAGAAACGATAGCGTTTCCTCTTCATTGACTATCTCGTGGCTGCCACAACGTTCCACGATCTGCTCAGTAAAATGAAATTGTTTTCGCAATAGAGTACTTCTTTTCAAGAGTTGATAAAAACCATGGACATTACTGATAACTCTGTGGAAACCGACTCTTTTTTCCTGCAAATTCGTGCCTGTGTTCAAGGTCTTGTTCCAGTCAGTCTTCACTAGGCTGGCGAACAGTTGGCGAACATTGTCTTCCCGGGTCTCTTCGCTGAGATCAATGTTTGTGAATCCAACACCGAGAAACCTTCCAGCTGTAATAATACAATCCCCTGCAACCCGCAGTCCACGATCCGTTTTCAATGCAGCAGGCCCTTTACCCCACTGTGTAAATTCAGTTCCATCGGTTTGGATTTTGTAATCGTGTTCCACGTCTGACAAAAGATGAACCTTGTCGGTCGGCTGGACGTAGCTGTATCGGCCTCCATCCGGAACGGTCGAGCTACAGTGATCTTGTTGTATTCCTCCGGCAGATGGATGTAGTTCCAGGTCCTTGTAACGCAGTCGGATTAACATTCGCTCTACACCCTCGCGAATGGTTTTCAAATTAGGCGGTTCCTCCTTTGGACATGGGATTTCGGTCTCGCTATTCCGGTCAGGGCTGCTATCTTCAGCCAGCGTTTTCACGACCGGCAATAGACGCTGCTGCTCCCATGCTTCTTCACCTTCTGGTACATTAGGATAGTGACGACTAACAGGCGCTTTGTTCAATCGTTTCAAGATCTCCGGTTTCAACAGTCGAGGGCCTGTGTCACGAGCAACATCCCGAAATTCGGCCTCGGTTTTCAAGCGATGTCGCGGATCCTGATTATACAATAATTTTCTAAATGCAGCTCCTCTATCATTTCCAGTTCTAGGAGAATGGTGATTAATCCCCCAGAAATGAAACCTCATCAAAGCGACCCCATCGGGCATCTCTGGCTTTCGGCCGCACAAGAAATTATACCTGAAATTCGGAGGTGGATCATCAAGGTCATCCAATTGAATTATTTGCTCTTCAATTTCTGGAGGCTTGGAATAATCTCCAGAAACTCCGGATTTATGACCTACCCTCCCCCATTTCTCTTCGTAGCTCTTCTTTGAGGCTTTGTTACTCCTTCGATCCAAGTCCTCACCTTCCATCCTCACACTCACAGGCTGAATATAAGCTGTTTGGATGTGAATGTTATTTTGAAAGTCGACAGTAATGATTGAAAATTGTCGTTGAATATGGTCAGCATATCCATGAAGCGGACAATCGACTTTCTTATATATCCTGACAGCCACCTCAGGGTGAAAGTAAACCTTGTAGACAGATTGTGCCATAAATAGAGCATAATAGATTGTGAACAATGCATTTCAAATGCAAGGACAAACCAGAATTTCGCATGACAAAAGGATAGGAACCAGGGTTATTGTATCTTTCTGTCTTTGAAAGAGAAATGTACTTGCAAGGCTATTATAATTGACTTTTGTTTCCTTGAGACGAGTTCTCTTTATGCTCGGACTCAATGTTCTTGGTACTTTCGGCAGGTTTGTCACTCTCGAATCGTGTCTGTTTAATTCAAGAATCGCATCGAGACCGTTCTGCGTCAATTACTTCAGGAAGAAGTATGTGAGGAGTTCAACAGACCCCAAAGCCAGCTATTCCGAATGGATCGCAAACAGCGGGTGTTCTCCTCTTAGCCTTCGCCAATGGTTCGTCGACATCAACAGATCAGTGCAATCTTTAAACATCCAAATCCATTTCTGAGCAAAACTTTCCGTTATCTCGAAGCCGTACGAATCCCACGGGTCACACCAAATAATAAGACCTGGTCTACCGCTGGAGGGGCCACATTCACCCATCATATCATTGCAGAGCTCAGTATCGTCATAATCGTCCATTCTGCGCAACAGGGCATCGCGAACCGACGGCAGTGGCAAAGGATCAATCCACGGATGATGTGGAATGAGCTTCTGGAGTTCAGTAGGTCGCAGCGTCGGTGGCAAGGTAGCTAGGTCTAATTTCCATGGATTTTTCATGTTCCAAGGGGATAGAGTATCGTCATTTCCCATTTCTTCTGTGGACATTCCCATCGTCGCGATATTCGATATGACAGCACGGATGATATTGAACTGGGTCACTGAAAGAATCAGATCAGCAGTAGGGGAGCCTCGCGCCAGGCCTAGACAAAGGTTATCGTGCAATTTCTGGAGAATAGTATGGGCGCGCAAGTCTTTCTTTAAGATTTCTTTCTCCCTGCTTAACTTGGAAGAAGCTTTTTTCTTTGAAGTGGACACCTCCGTACTGCCGTCCCGGGCCTTTTTCAAAAAATCATCTGGCGCCGTGACAACCCACTTCCTCCGCGCAGATGGACCGCAAGCTTTCGGATTAGCTCGGTCCTCACTGGCTTTTCTTTGGCCTGGTATGACGGTCAGAGATGTGCTGAGATGGGAGGCTGTAGAGAACTGTACGATGGGCTCTTTGGTTCATGCGATTCTGCAGTCGCCTCCGTTCTGCAGCGCTGGATTGCTGCATCGCGCCTGTCTGAACGTTCCGATCTTCCGCCTTCGTAATGCAGCTTGAATATTGCCAAGCCAATTAGGTCGTTGGGCGCCCGTTGCAGAAGGAAGTTTCAGTTACAGCGGGCGGCTTGTTGGAGCAGTTGGAAGTCGGTGAGTTTGCAAGCTGGCAGTTGGTGTTGGCAAGTCGGAGTTTCAGCTGCGGCCGGAACTCGGCCGGATTTAAGCCCCAGCAGATTGCCCACATCATCATCACTACTTATTTAGTAACGGATCTGAGCCTCCTCCCGTCAAAGAAGCAATGTCTATGTACGCGTCTTCCATGGGTAATTGTATCAACTGACGGTCTGGATGCTGAACATGTTAGTATGCTATCTGTATTTAAAATTGTGCAGGTAATACGCTTGCAGAGAGGGATATCGGTGCCACGAGTCTGTGGATTTGTTATGCAGACTAAGCATTGGGTGCTTCATGTTGGTTAACAATGTACAGGAAATCTAAAAAACCGACAAAGAGCAGGCCTTCCAGAATTGGAGCTACCCAAGAAACAAAGGACCTTCTCAAGAGCCTTGCCGTAGAGCATTCAAAGGGTAGCCAGTCTATAGATCATGTGATTCCCGGAAAAGGAGCCGGTCTTATTCTGCTGCTTCACGGGCCTTCTGGGATTGGCAAAACCTTGACGGCGGAGAGTTTGGCCATGTTGACAGAAAAGCCACTATAAAATGTGAATATTTCGGACACAGGCTCCGAATCGGACATGGTTGAGCAAAACTACAATACCATTTTCCAAGTTGCGACTCGATGCATCCACCTCGTTCCAGCTATACGTGACACAGACGGAAGAGGTAGCTAAACGAGAAGGGTTGCAGTAGACTGGCTCTGTTGTCTGTCTATCGAATGGATGACAGCAGAGACTGCATAACTTGAACATTGGACTGCTTCCTGCGAGGAATGTGATTGGAAGCTCTACTTTGTTTGTCTCGCTATTACTATTCAAGTATTTTTCTATTAGTTTCTCTTGAGAAACTCTAACCCCTTGCTGAAATATATCTAGCATGATGGTGTAACAGCTAGCCTCCTTGCTTTCTCGGGCTTAACAGCGAGAGAATGAGCTTGCCAAAGATCACTGGCAGCCACAACGCAAGTAGATGTAAAATTACCAGCACCAATGGCCGAAACCAGAGAGTAATTTTCACATTCCAGACTCAAGAGTCAGCGTGAAAATGTCACTGAGGCTAACCCTTTCTGGGTTCTCAGCAGAATTTAGCATCCCACGACTTGTCTTGACCTTTCCAGTACCGAGCGAATTTGGGACTGCAGGCCGAGCAAGGGAACTGACGACGGATCTCGCAACTGTGTGGCTGGTGAGGAGCAGTGACGTATCGTGGAAGTGGAGTACACCCTGTATACGTGGCTAGCGTCCAAGCTTAGCTGCAACTGCAAGCTCCTTTCTGGGGGGAATCTGAATCGAAACCAAATGAACAGGCCCAACAGAACCATGGCAACTGCTCTTTCTAGCTTCCGTAGCTTTGGAGATCGGCACCAAGACAACTCCTATGATACTGCTCTCTGACTTTCACTTCCCGGCTCCATCGTTAAATTTGACGAGCAAAAGAAGCAAATCGTAATCTCCCCATGAGTGCAAATTGCCGATGAGAAACGGCAGCCGTGATACACATTGCAATATTGTTGCCTTGTACAACACTGTTCGGAAATACGAATTGGACTGGCTCATACTGGGTCAGGAATCGGTAGAAGCAGCAGCACGACGGTGTAATTATGATTTGTCAATTGTGACCCGTGGGCGGCGAAATATTGAGCGACTGAGCTTGAACCTAATTTCTCGCAGTTGATTAGTCTGCACCGCATGCGTTGATGTCGAGTCGGGCTGCAGACCCACTGTGACTGGCTGCTCACTGTGGGGAGACAGCGAACTATTGTCTGCCTGCAGATCCCAGATCTGATCAAGGAAACCCGTGTGGCGCAGTAGCCGATGATTGGGTTGCGATCGCCGATTCCTACTATTTCGTAGCGTATCCTGTAATTCGAATTCGGAAATTCGGGGCCAGCCACGACGTAACGTGGTCAATGGGCAGTTAATCGAAGCTGCAAGAAAAACAGGAAGTTTGCTTCTGCAGTCATCAATGATATCACACGCTTCCAGCGACGCTGGGCAAGATTAGGGAGCGGCAGACGTCAGGTAGAGACAGAGATAGATCGATGGGGGGGTCTTGATCGTGACGCAATGGAAACACGGAGCAGCCAGCCCTGGACCCAGCAATCTCTCACCAGTAACTACTCCGTGCTCCGTACAGAGTCATAGTTAGGTTATAACTCCGAGCGCAGCGCGTGTTAGCGTGGCGTGCTAAACTAGCACGACGATGGAGGCGTTGTATCAATTGATAGGTACCAATGACCGAAAAACAGGGGAGAGGCAGAGAGCAGAGAGACCATTGAAGACTAGAAGAAAGCTTGGACGAGAGGCGGTGGCCACTGTGGCAGTGACTGACTGGGAAGGTGCAGTCATCGCAGTGGCTCCTTCTTTATGCCAGTGTCTGCTGCTATATATTTCAATGTTGCCTGCCCGCTCCTTCTCCCCTCGCATGCCTCCCTTACCATTCGTATCATCATCATCATATTATTCTACCAATCCACAACTACCCAGCTCCTTCTCATACAGACACTCTCTTCCCCTCTAGAACAGCCGTCGTCACATCATGAAGGTCGCCGCTGTCTCCGCCGCTCTCCTCGCAGCTTCCGTGGCTGCCGACAGCATCTCCTCATGCGGGGTATGTTCTCTGCCTGCCCCATGCTTCTGTCTACATTTGTTCAGTCTTGGCTGACGATCCGCAGCAAATGTGCTATAACAACATGGTGGGCAAAGCCGAGGCCCTGGGATGCCCTGCCAATGATCTTGCCTGCCTTTGTACCAAAAGAGACTTCGACTACGGTATCCGTGACTGCACCGTTGAGGCTTGCCCCAACGACAACGTTCAGTCAGTCCAGGCCTATGGCCAATCCATGTGCGCCTCAGCTAGTAAGTTTCCCTGCTCAACGTTCTCAAAGCCGATGAGGTGTCTGACTTTGTTTCTTTTATTGTAGCTGCAAGTGGCGGTGCTTCTGGGACTGGTGGATCTGGTTCCGCTTCCACTGGTACTGCGACTGATACTGAGACTGCGACTGGGACTGAAACTGCGACTGGGACTGAAACTGCGACTGGGACTGAAACTGCGACTGGGACTGAAACTAGCACTGGATCGGTATGTTTTGATTGCCAATTAAAATGATACTTGCCCTAACATCGATCACAGGGAGCTGGCCCAACAGCTACCGATGCTACTTCGACGCCTTATACCACTGAACCTGTTCTGACAACAATCACCTCTGGCTCCGATGTCATTACTAGCACAGTAGGCAGCACTACCCTTTATACTGCCGCTGACAGTGCAGGTGCTAGTGGCTCTGGGGCCTCAACTCCGTACACTACCGAACCGGTTTTGACAACGGCAACCTCCGGATCTGAAACTCAGACCAACACCGTTGGTAGCACAACTCTTTACACCGCAGTCAGCGGCTCTGGCTCTGGCTCCGCTTCTGTTTCCAGTGGTGCTTCTCCTACCGACACTGCTTCCGGCAGTGCTGGTGCTTCTGGCACCGGTGGTGCCGGAGCCAGCGGTAGTTCTGGATCTTCTACCTCCGCCTCAGGTTCAGGTTCAGGTTCAGGCTCAGGCTCAGGCTCAGGTTCAGGCTCTGGTGCTCCCACTGCGTCTGGTGCAGGTGCCAGCAGCACTGGTGCTGCCCACCCAATGGCTACCATTGGCAGTGGAGCTGCCGGTGCCATTGGTCTTGCTGCTCTTCTCGTCCTCTAATTCAAATGCAATTGTATCTATGTTACGATTGTGCTTTGATCGACTTCAAACCCCCTATTCTATATCATGATCATGGCTGATGTTATTACGTTCCAATTCTCTTCACACAATAATGTTTAAATTCTATCACTCAACAAAGTCTACACAGTCATTCCTTCCCTTGACGACTGCCATGAAAGCACGGTTCCCAAACAGCGTCGACACAGTTTTGCTATAGTGACCTTTTGGCGGGTTATCTGGCCAATTGCCCTTGTATATAATAACGCTGACGGTCACGACACGAGCAGGCAGCTAGCTTCATGGACGAACCTCTCAGTTCGTAATCAAAATATTCCCCCCCAAAATGTCTCCCATTAAGTAAGCACGTGGAAGAACATATTGCAATGCTTTATGTGTAAATAATACATCAGTGAATTGATTGGTACACAATATCTATCCAAAACCTCCAGATGTCATTCACAATGGTTAGAGTAATGTTTAGTCCACTAACGAAATATGTACAAGACAGTGAACATTGAAACATTGAAAATATGAAACAATTAAAAAAATGAAAATCGTACAGATACACGAACACAAACCGTGCGCCGAGTATTGCATGGCCAGGATAAGATAACAGGACAGACTGATTAACACTGATAGACAATAACCCAAGGTCAACCATTATTAACAATGATCTTATACTCAAAAGTTCGAACACAAATGCTCCCTACCACTGAACACCATTCGAAATGAAACCAAGTAAAGAAAAGATTCAGACGAGATAAACAAAATATGAAAGAGACATATGATGGATCGTCATCTAGTAAGCTTGTCCATCGTAAGGATGTTTATCCTCGCCTCTGGCGGCGACGCCAAGAGCATCTAATTCTTTGTTGACGTCGAGCTGCGTTTGCGATCGAATGAACGAGCCACGGTCATCTCGCACCGGTTCGTAACGGAGATCCGGGTTCTTAGAGAAGATAGCGTAGCACGCGGATACCAGCACTAGGAGCAACAGAATAAGAGCGAATATGGCATTGTATAGCACAAGGATGACGCCCATCACGGAGTTGACAATTGCCTGTTACGAAGATGATTAGATACTTGAGAAGGAGAGAGCAAGAGCAGGGGCATAGAGAGACGACGAACCGGCTGATTGAAGACACTGGTGAACATAAGTAGAAACACGGCGTTGACGAAATACACCGCGAAAATGGCAATATTAAACGTGTTAGTTTTCTTATCCATCCATGGTCTAAAAATGGAGGCAAAGATGAGTGCTGTGGTTTCAATAATTAAAAGGCCGATAGCTTGCACGACACCAGAACCTTGCGCGAGTCCGATGAAGGCACCCTTGACGAAAATGTACACCAGGGTAGGGAAGACCCAGTAATAGGCGGTTGCTCGGTATGAAACGTACAAGAAACCCCACGTATGTAGGAACTTGGGGTTCGAGTATAGAATATAAGCCGGGTTCTGATGCATGGAAATGGATCGCTGGGCGAGGCGAAGCACCCGGAAGGCTGCCCAGAATAAGATAACAGTCATCGAAAGGATCATGAGGACAGCCAAAATAGCTTCTGCAACCGAATCGCGGCGGGTTAGTTCCCACAGGCACAGGACAACCATTTGAGGGTAGCCAATGAGAATCTGTCAAGTATTGATTAGCAAGTGTCAAGAAGGCGCAAAGCACGGCTTGACAGAATAATACTTACAAGTCGAAACAAAATGCCGCGCATCACGCTAGTCCACCCATTTCTGAAATCTGCGAATGTTTCCGCTCGCATCCACCTTAGCCGGACGGCAAGCTTGGTGAACAGCTTGAATAGAACGATCAAAAGAATGACCAGCATGAAGAAAACCGCTAGGAAAATCAACCCGGTCATGAAAATGTTAGTAGGCTCAATTTTCGCCCGAAATCCAACTCGGAGCATGCCCTTCAAAACCATCGAGTTTGAAGACGCAGAGTTGTCTCGCGCCGTGAGCGTGTGCAAAGCCCGCTTGGCAATTTTACCCAGTTCCAGAGATCGCTTTTGTACGCTAACGGATGTGATGGTCAGTGACTGGAGGACAAGAGACGGCGTTCCACCCGTTGCTTGCTGATACCACGTGCTGAGGGTTTGAAGAAATCCCACTCGAATAATGCCCATGCTCCATTGGAAGTTTTGCGTCCAAGCCTCAACGATGGGCGGCATGGTAACCGAGGTCATTCCGTACATGGCCTGGGCTTGGAAAAAACCGAAGAGGGATAGCGCATTTGCAGCAACATGCGCCGAAGTATTGGAAAACCCAAGTCCGGAAGCAATGGCCGACGCTGTTAATGCTAATCCAGCAACAACCGCTAGCGTCCATCCGACGGCTTTCTGGTAGACGGTTTTGCCATTAGACAGTTCTGCTTCCACACATGCGACCCTTCGTCCGACACTACTTGAGTTGATATAGATGCGAATTTTGCCGTCCAGATCAGGCACAGTATATGCCACAGCTGTTGTATTATAGTTAGCATTTCCTGGCAAAGGCAGTCATTGGACCAAAGAGCAAGACATACAAGGAATATTGCCGGCGACGTTACTCGGTACGCTGCTAGATGCCTTTAAATCAAGAGGCGCACCAGCTGTTTCAATAGGACAGAAATTTGTGGACAAAGATGTTTGGCCACCACAGGGGTCAATGTCGATAGGGTCGAGGTAATAGCCGTAGGCGATGACCTGGAGGGTCAGGGAGACATTACCAGTGACGGAAGCATTTGCGTTGATATTATATGATATTGTACTGTTTCCAGGGTAGTAAGTCACATCAAAAAGACTTGCAGTGATAAGAGAGTCATCCATGCAAGTCTCTAGCGATGTAGACTGCAGATACTCTTCGGCAGCACCGCATTGCAGATAGGAGAAGACTGCTAGCAGCGGGAGGCGAAAAAGCGAACGCATCGTAATATATTCTGCCAAGTGTTTGTTCCCTTATACCAATTTATATACGCCGGGGTTGGGTCGTCCTGTCTACCCTGTTTAACGCACCAAATGCAACGCCATCCACTATGTTGGTTACTCGGTCGATCTAACACTGCGCGAGGGGGCTCGGTATCCAAGGGGGTCGAGACTAGGGCGGGCTGCGACCGAGCGAGAGGCACCGATTGCAGAGAAAACGAAGCGAACGACGACAGCGGGACTGAACGAGCGAGAGGTTGGACTGAGTGAGGTTAAGGTTGAGAACTGAGAAGAGATCTCGACGCTAGCGTCTTCCGCGAGATGCCGTGGAGTTGAAGGTAGCCAGTAGATGTCGCGTTTTGCAGGAGCGATCCGGGGTTGGTGCAGGCCCAAAGTAGACACGGTGAGAGGTGGGTATCTAACAATAATTATATGTAAGGTCTTCACGGAAATAACATATGAACAGCATGAATGCAAGAATGTAACAACGCAATAATGTGAAGGGATCCGGTGATGATGCGACGCTGAGACAGTGCAACCAGGCGCGGGTGGGGCAGCCGGTGTGGCTGAGCATACAATGGCCAATCACCGGCCGTAGATCCCTGATGTCTCAGTGGACGAGTCACATGACCTGGCGTGGCCTAGATGACCAACAGTCCATGGCGTGGTTTCGAGTCATGCAAAGCTTTTTCTTTTATCTTATTGTAATTGTTTGGTCCAGCGATATTAATTTGTTCCTGCAGTTGTTGGCAGACAATAAACATTTTTGAGTATTTGTTCATTGGGCTCAAGCCACGGGTGAAGAATTCAATATGGCTGTCAAACTTGATATATTATTATAACACGCAGTACCTGTATGTTAAATTGCGAATGTTGAATTGATATTGAAGGTGACGTGAAAACACAACACCAACGACCTACTACATGTACATACACCTATCAATGATATTATTGAAGATTGCTTCGCATTAGTAACATTTGAAGTATCGCACGGGGACAAGGCCGATCTGGAGACTGGTGGACAGGTTGCAGCCAGCGGGCCCGATCTGCCGCCTTCCGCCAACTAACTTAATAATTATCATGGCTTAGTTAACTAATTAGTTATTCCTTCCTCCAGATCGTCTTTGTCGTGACCTGCCACCATCTTTGTCTCGCCTTTTTGCCTCGCTTCTCGATAACCGCGCGATCTCCCCGAGTGTCACAGAGTGCCACGATGGCCGTTGAAAGCTGATACAGCTTTGTTGCGACTGCACGCTGCAACTGCGGGGTGGCAGCTGGCCGTGCCCGAAAAGACAATTCAATAAACCTCTGGATTTTTTATATAGCTCAACTCAACCAACTCCCCCGCCCAGGCGGTAGCGACGCTAAGCAAAACCAAACACGGCACAATATGGAGAAACCTCCTGCCGTCGTCATCATCGCCCGGTGAGTCCTGCATGTGTCCTTGCTCTTGTACTCGCCGACCAGACGTGACTGATATTCCGCTGGCTAGCCACGGAGCGCGCATCGATGCCGTCGACAAGGAATGGCACTTGACTTCGCCCACACCCTACGACCCTCCTCTCACATACGGTGGATGGTTACAAGGGCGCGCTCTTGGGGCTCGTATTGCCAGCCTGTTGAGGGCGAGAGAAGAGTCCGTGCAGAATCATTCACCCACTGCAAGCAGCTCGACTACAACGCTCCAAGATGCGGTTGATTCCGGCCCAGAAGAACTGCACCAGAGAGTGCCGAAGAAAGTGCGGCAGCATAGGGTGGTCATCCATTCTTCCCCCTTCCTCCGCTGCGTCCAAACCTCGATTGCGATCAGTGCGGGCATGAGCCAGTATCACCGCGTTGAAAGGGAACGGCTCGGCGCCGAGGGTTCGCCGACGCCAGATATTTCATCTGAGGAGATATCGCCGTCCACAAGCCCATTCCGGTCGTCGACCCCAAATATGCTAGAGAGGCTAGCCAAGTCTGGGGACAAGGACAAGATAAACGGCCATGCGAAACAACCCAAGGCGGTCTCAAAGACCCGCCTGCGAATCGATGCCTTCCTAGGAGAATGGCTATCGCCAGACTACTATGATCAGATAACTCCCCCTCCAGGATCAGTGATGATGGTTGCGGGAGCAAAGGCAGACCTCTTGAGACGTGGTGAGGGTCTTCCGCGTGCCAATGACTCTGCTTTCCAGTCCCCCACCGGCCACTTTCCAGGTGGATGGAAAAATAGCTCGCTACCATCGTCACCTGCCACGGACAATGAAGAAGACAAGTTCCCAGGCATGGGTTCACTAGCCGATGCTTTGCCCCAGGTCGGCCGCTCAGGACACGATGATGGACTGCGCGGCGGACGATTGGTAAAAGGATTTACTATCCGTGATGTGTTGTCCCGAGCACATTCACACAATCATGAAGAATTTTTCGAAGGCTACATTCCTCCACTCCCATCCTATGCCATCTCACCGGCCGATTCAATTCCCGCCGGCTACGTTGCCCATGCAAGAGACGCCTGCGTTGATGTCGACTACCAGTGGGACAGTATGAGAGACCCACCGAATTGGGGAGATGGAGGAGAGTATGGTGAGGAATGGAGTGCGATGCATAAGCGCTTTCGGAATGGCCTTTTGAATCTACTGGATTGGTATGCCCATGAGAAACCACAGAGCCATGGACACCACCATCGGCATCATCATCATCACGAGGACGACGAAACAGACACAGTAGTGGTCCTTGTTACACATGGAGCTGGTTGTAATGCTCTGATTGGTGCACTGACAAATCAACCAGTCCTCATAGATGTGGCCATGGCTTCCCTCACAATGGCAGTACGCAAGGACGTCTTCAAAATCAAGGATTCAGACAACCAGCCAAGAAATAAGAAACAGGATGAGCAGGATGAACATACTCGTCAGGTGTCTGACATATCTGTTCTTGAAGCTTACGACTTATCTCTGATTGCATCAACGGAGCACCTCGATGTTACGTCCAACCCTCTTGCGATTCCTCAGCTCCCTCATCCTGGTCTTGAACGGTCCAGGTCGATTTCAGCATATCGGCATCGAGGTGACGGACGCCCAGTTCTTATTCCAAACAGCTACGAAATATCTACGCAACCCACCCGTAATCCTGGCTTACACCGGGCAGCTACAACGAATTCATCCCGCCATCATCGTTCTCGAGAAGGTTCTGGCTTGTGGGGATCGATGTCGTCTGAAGTTGACAAGGACAGTGTTCTAGAAGAAAAAGACAGCATGCCTTACTTCAGCCAGCCTGGATTGTCGGGCAGCAACCCAAATGAAATATCTCCTCAAACATCAATAAACGCGAAGCCGTCATCTTCGAAACCGCCACTAGAGGAAGTTAAATCACAGCGAGGACTTTGGAGTAGCGCAATTACCGCGCAGGAACGCGAACCAGCTACAAAGCGAAGATGGACCGTCAGCGAGCGTCGCTAGTACCGGTTGCTACGACGATACTCTACTCGTACGATCTTTAATGCCTCAATATATACCCTCCCAGCTTTCATATGTTTCTGAGCACTCAAAAATGCACGATACCTCTTTTGCATGTTATCACGACCATCTCGTCTCATTTCCAATTGACAGCATTGATTGCTGACTATTCCGGGCGTTTATTCTCATCTCTATTGCATTATTTCATTTTCCATAGGCTCCTCCATGTCCTACATGTGTTACTTCGTTTTATACTACCATATAGCATGCCAAAATGGCGACCCAAAATAGCGACCAGAATGCTCTAGATGAATTTCCTAAATACATCAATCGATCCCAAAGTATTTATCAACCATTTATCTTTATATCACTCATACCGCTCTAATACGTAAGAATTGGACAACCCAAACAACCTCAAATCGTCCCATCAGGGAGATTTTCTTTTCTGTAATCAACCGTTCTAGCCCTAACCAAGATTCTTCCTTCACGCCTCGGCGCGATTCCCCAGGTCCATGAGGGAGTGAACTCTTCTCCAGCATCTTCCACACAGCCACTGCTTTGCACACCTGCCAAGCGCATCCATTTCTTGAGTACCTTTCTTGCAAGACGCATGCGGTTCTCCTCTTCTGCAGGCGAGGTGGCTGTATAAGTGACATAGTTGGTTTCTTCGTGCGAAGAGATTAATATTTCCGGTTCCGAGTCTGATTCTGAATCTAATACATGCGGCGTGTTTGTCGCGGTCGAGTTCTCAGAGGAAGAAGGGTAGGAGTTCGATAGAGTGGCAGATAATATTGCCGAGGATGCTCTATTGTGTTGATGAGAATTATGGTGGGTATGACCCTGTTTATGCATGTTGTGATCGTGGTAACGACCGTATCGGCGCATTCTAGGGCGTTTCTGTTTGGTAACACTTATATTGTGTTCTTCTGTTGTGGTGGTGGTGGTGGTGGTGGTGGTGGTGGTCTTCCACAAATTATTGTCCTTTCTTTCAGCAGCTGGAGAAGGGGTTTTGACCCAGCCACCGCCAGTCTGTGCATGTAGACGGGAATGAACATCGTCCCAGTGGCGATGCAAAGACACACTCATCCGTCGCCATTTGCCCATTACTTTCAGGCTTAGGAAGTACTGTCTTAGAATGGCGGAAATCAGCATGCCGTTTTCTTCAGAGACTACCTCTTCGACCTCGCCGCCTTCCGACTGAACCAGTAAAGACGTATATCCATCTTTGCCGCGGCTCATGTACCCTCTGGTTGCGAGGGTGTATTTTCGTTCGTAGTCAATGGGTTCCCCGCCGACTTTTACCCAATTTACTCGACTGCCAGGTGGCCCCGAAGCGGTAAATTCGAATGTAATATTCGAAACTTGAGGAAACCGTCCTTCGAGGGCGGGTAACTGACTGACACCGTTTTCCAAGGCGTCAACAAGGTCCTTGCCTGATAGTTTCAGCACCACCACAGGATCTTCAAAGGGGAAGCAGTTCAATATGTCCTTTAGTCGTAGCAAGCCTGGCGGATAGACTTGATCGCCACGAATCGTGCCCGCAGCCATAATAGAACAGTCGGTGTTGTAGTAGAAGCGCATGAGATCACAAACAAAGTTGCCGAGATTTGACTCACGCGTGCGCACAGTAGTAAATCGCCCGTCTAAAGGCGAGGCCGTGTAGCCAACTGGTTTCTCTAGTTTTGATTGAAGCGCAGACGTGAGCTTTGTGACAAGCCTTTCCGAGTCAGGATCGATGGGAATCGATCTGACAATGTCTCTGCGGATGATATTAAAGTCCCAGCCAGTCTTAGGGTTGCGGTAAGCTTCTACATAGCTGAGTTGTTTGAAATCTGTACCTGAACGCAGCACGTGCACCCCGTTCACTATTGAATGCGCGTAGTAATGATCGTGTCCACCAAGGATGATATCAACTAAACCCGGCGGTATTCTCTCAGCCAGTTTGTTGTCATTTGGTTCACGTTGATGAGTTACTGCAATGACAATCTCTGCACCTTGTTTGCGCAATTCCGGTACTAGTTCCATGGCCGTTTTGGACGCCGATTTGTAGACCAGCCCTGGCGGTAGCGAATTAATCGTATCCAACCTGTTAAATTAGCATGCAGCCAAACACATGAATAACTCCCAGCGCAGAGAGAGGAGAGAATACCATTCCCGCTCCCCAAGTCCAATTACGCCCACCTTGATCCCGTTCGATGAAGTCAACATGACTGTTCTCTCACAATTCCCAAGTGGTACATCTTCCCCTAAAGCAGGATCAAGGACATTCGCCAGTAACCAAGGAAATTTGCATTGGCTGCGTAGATGTCTGAATTGAGCGACACCAAAATCTAAATCATGATTCTGTAAATGACATTCCCTACATGCATCAGCCAGGGTACCGCCCGTCCGCCTAGATTGCAACAGCAACATACACCCACGCAGGCAACGTCTGTTCCAGCATTATTGAGAAACGGCACCATATGCCGCCCCTTTGTCACGGAGCTTTCCAAGCTGGGATTAAACACGTCGCCGGAGAAAAAAGTTAATAGGTTCGGAAGAGAGGCGTATTGAGAGTCGGAGCGGTAGTGGTTGATGACTGACTGAAATCGCTGAACACCACCAACGGGGTCAGATGAGCCTGGTCTAGTTGGTGGTAATGGAAATCAAGATCAGCGCGACACGCAGATGAAACAGGCGTTTCAAACTCACTCGACATGGTACACGTCGTTGTAGTGTAGTAACCGCAGGTCCGGCGGCCCTTGTCTGCCAGATGAGTAAGTGACAGTCAGGCCATCGGACTCGGCTGGCAATGGCATTTTATGAAGCAGAGCCCAATGACGAACGACGGGGAGAGAGGGCTCTGCGTGAAAGCGTCTTCCTGCGGGGAAGATTGGCGGTCTGCGGGGAAGGGCGAACTACCCAGAGAGGATCGAATAGGCCAACGGTCGATGAGCACAGGAAAGAAGCCCAAGTACCACGCTGTACGCTGAGGATATCATCGAAAGTAGTGCCCAGGAGCAAACACACAGCAGCAAAGACAGACAGGCAGGCAAGTAGCATGGAGGCAAGTAGCATGGGATGGAGCTACCCGGAGACTGCCGCGCAACAATGGAGAAGCTGCAGCCAAGCCCAAACAGGCTAACAGCCATGGATGCCTGAGGCCGCGACAACAGCGATCTACAGAAAAACAGATTGATGAATAGCGGCTTGGTAGTGATATGTAATATGTAATATGTGATACGTGATACGTGATATGTGGTATTGAAGACTGCGAGCTCGGGTAAATTCAATCCAAAAGGAAGATATAATAGAGTACACAAATGCGGGTATACCCAAAACGACATGGTAGCACTCTTACTCAAACGCCAATATTTACCAAAACTACAGAAGAAGGTTGTGTTTGTATGCAGAGGAAAATAGTGGTAAAGCCCTCATCACGACCCAACCGCTTTGGCTCCCGTTAGATTCACGACACGGCTACCACCAGCTGCACTGGTGAGTGCTGGCTGGTCAAACGCACTTTGTGGTGCAATAACCCAGGCGGGTACGACGTTGCCATGTCTTTCCTGTTGACTGCTGATCGTTTGCCAAACGTTTGGAAAGCCCTTCGCCATGGCTCCAACGTGTTTAGCACCTGGAATCACAAACCGAGCGGGGTTATGTGTCAAATAACCACCAAGCAGGTTCTGGTTTATGAGAGAGGCAACAATGGACTCTAGATCGCGCAGTAGCCTCGACGTGTGCTCGATTTCAGAGTGATCGTTGGAATACGGCACCAGGTCACCTATGTTGCCCGCATATTCTTCGTCTTCGTGACCAGGGACACGCTGGCCGTCGGAATTTTCAACAAAAACTCCGTTCTGGTCATAATAACCAGGTGGATAAAGGTAATCCGCGTCGTCGGTCGCATCTCGAGAGGCGGATAGTGTCGAGGGAAAGTCTGTGATAACATCATAGTCACTGTCCCTGGAGGTATGAAGAGTGAAGACATCACTGAATCCATTCGTTTCAATCGACGAAAGGGTTGCGGCGCCGATATGGCCTGAATGCCGTGCCTGGATGAACCTGACGGCTGTTTCCAATTTGCTGAGATGAAGCATCGGTGGCGGGGACCGCTGGGCCGTCGGGTCGCCATGAAAGCCACCGTAAATAAAGACTTTGCGGATCAGAGATCGCCAGACAAGAAGCTCGCAACGATTGCGTATTTGATACAGTAACCCATTCTTAATGTACCACTCAGCGGTAGGAGAGCCTTGTCTAAAATGGTCGCGAAATGACAAGTAGTCACCGGAGCAGATGAGTTTGCACAGTGGAATGAATATTTGAGAAAGATCCCGAGCCTCGGGTTTTTGCAGTAGTGTTAGAGAAGGGAATCGACCCATGACGATATTACACGAGATGAGGTGGATTAGAATATGGCGCTTTTGCTGGTAACAATTGACGTGGCATTGCATATACGATTCCCACAGAGCCTTGTGGGCGAGGAAGAACTGGTTGTTTGAAAATAGGTATAGTCCGAGATAGTAGAGATAGGTCACTCGCTGCGCGGCTGGATAAAAGCTAAGGGGGGCCGATTGAGCGGAAATGCTTTTAAATATTGTATCTGCACCTCGGAGACTGCCGCACTATAGAATATCAACTTATTGTCCTCCGGAAAAAGCAGCACGAACCATATTACCCTATGTAGCAGCTTTAGACACTGGTTAACCATCAGATAAACACCTGCCCGCTTCCCTTCTGGTCTACCTTTTGTTCCCGTCGTGCCAACACGATCAGTCAGACACTTGATGAAACCCTCACGAACAACATTGGCGGCATCCTCAACCAAGTTCGACCTTTCGAATGCGTCTTGTGGTTCGTCCGCTCGTAGTTTGCGCAGCAACTCAGGATCATTTTCGAGCGCCATTGCCAGACCGGCGACAACCTGCGACAAATAAATGACAGTACGAAGAACGATGGCACCCATTTGGGAGTCTCCTAGAGCTTGCATGCATTGGCTGTAGTCGCGGAAGTTAGGATGGAATTTCAGGCCTCGCCAAAGACAAAATGGACTTACTACAACACTCCGTTCAAAGCTTTGTATGCTTCCAGCTGGTTTGAAATATTCCCATCCCGGAGATAAGCTAGGTAGGACCTGATGAATATCGGGAACGCTGGCCAAGTTGTTCCTTCTGTGGTCTTGGGAACAAGCGCCTCGCAGCGTTTCAACAAAGCCTCGTCGCCCGGCCCGGATGGATAGTTTGCCCGTAGCTCGATAGCCATGGCCCGGTATCCATCTCTCATGCGCTCAGGCAGGACTTGCAAGAGCTCGCGTAAATCATCACCCTGCCGATGAGCTACTACCTGCGAAATTCCCGACAGAAACTGGTCGAGCATGCTGGTGGCCATTGGCGGCACAGCCAGGGCACCGAACAAAGCGGCGCAATTATGAGGAGAAGGACTGGCACTAGAGAGTCGCGTGTAGATGGCAAGCAGCGTCGTAGAAAGACTCACGCATGTTGTTCGGAAGTCCAGCTCTTGAAAAGTCTGGTCGGCGTCGGGCAGGACTAGGTCATCGCTGGGGTCAATGCCGGGATCAGGAGGGTCGGGGAACTGGCGGTCGATCACAGCCCAGAGGCGCTCCAGTAATGAGCTGCGTCTGCGTGACCTGGAGGTGGAGAATGTGGAATTGGCGAAGTTGTTGTTCTTGTGGTGGTGGTTGCTGTTGTTAGAGCTGGCCAGTTGCGGCAGGACCGCCCCCCACTTGCAGCCTTTGGTTATGCCACCGCCTTTGTGGCCCTGCTCCTCCTTCTTGTTCGTCTTCTTGTTCTGGTTCTTGTTTTTCGCCTGCTGCTGCTCGCTGCTCTGGTTTTTCTTGCCTTGTTTCTTATTTTTGTTGTTTTCGAGTATATACTGCAGGAAACTGGCGATTTGTCGCGATTCATGGCGCCCTCGCCGCGACATGGCGGCAGCACGAACAGCGTAGATCAGGAATTAGGGCAGCTCAAAACTATCAACCAGCGGCCTGCTCGCAGCTGTTGACGGGCCTGCTGCTTTATGAAGCCGCCTGGCTCTTTGTTGTCTGTCGTATCCATCACGTCCATCGTGTCTTTGTACGAGCTATACTTGACGTCTTTCACGGGACGCTGCTTTCTGTTGTTTGCTGCTGCGTCTTTGTGCCTGCCAAGCTTCTGACACATGCCACAGAAATATCTCCGACGTAGCCCTGACCCCTCGCCACTAGCCGCCTGGTAATGGACCAACAGAGACGCTGCGTCGTGTATCTGTCTAGAATCTAGAATCCACAGACAATGGCAACAAATCGAGATTGCAAAACAAGGCATGTGGCGGCCCACAATCACATGTTGGCGGTTGACGTCATCGATACTGCTGCCAGCTAAATTCTCCCAACACCCAGACAGAACTTGCCATCAGTCAATGAGATTATTATTACTGACACTGTTGTTGGCTTGACGGTCCATTGTGCGAATAGTCTTGCGGTTTTAGTTCTCACTGATTGCGGCGAGTATGGCGATCATTGACAGGGCGTTATCCCTGCTTGCCTTTGCTTTCAAGCACCCTCTGGCGTTCGTATACATCGCCTTGCAGGAGATTTTGAGCCTTGTATTCTCGCCCTCCCCTCCGCCACCGACCGATAAGCTTCACCGTCCTAGGATCGCCGTAATTGGTGCTGGACTAACCGGCGTCTCCTCTGCCGCTCACTGTGTCGGCCATGGATTCGATGTCAAGATTTTTGAAGGGAGAGTGAAACAAAAGGGATTAGGCGGTATATGGAGTGTAAGCCTCGCCTCGTACCTAATATGCCTACTATGAAAAGCTGACAGATTGTTAGCGTGTGAACTCGACATCTGCCCTCCAAATCCATTCCATCATGTTTCGCTTTCACCCGTCCGTGAAATGGGATTCTGCCTACCCAAGCCAAAAGAAGATAAAAGAGCAAATAGTCTCAGTTTGGGAACGGTATGGCCTGGAGAAAAAGACCGTGTTCGATACGCCTGTGCAATCGGTGAAGAGGAATTCAGCTGGTCGGTGGATCATCAACGATAATGAGGTGGAACATGGCACTTTTGATGGAATTATTGCAGCTGTGGGATCATGCGGAGATCCACAAATGATACAATTGCCTAGCCACGAAAAGTTCAAAGGCCCAACATTTCATTCTTCAGAGCTTGATGGAAAACAAGTGAAAGGAAAGAAAGTCCTAATTATTGGTGGTGGAGCTAGCGCTATAGAGGCCTTAGAGTATGCTGTGAAGTGCGGAGCTGCAGAAATCGATGTGCTGTCGCGTTCTGACAAATGGGTGATTCCCCGCAATGTCTTTGTTGATATGCTGTTAGCACTCAATATTTTCGGTGGAGAGACCTCACTCTCTTGGATACCAGAGTGGTTTTTAAGAAGGTTCTTTTACAGAGATCTCGACGACATCTCACCCGCCAATAAGGGCTTGTATACAGATACACCAATGGTGAACTCTCAACTTTTCGATCAAATCCGTGCTGGAAAAGCCAGATGGCTTCGAGGAGACATAATCTCCGCAGAGGAAGATGGTATTTTATTCAACCACCGGGCTAAAGGAGTACCAAAGGGTGGACCAGGTCATGAATCGCAAGTCAGGGGAGATGTCATCATTATGGCAACTGGCTACAAACGACCTTCAATTTCGTTTCTTCCAGACCAAGTGTTTGAACAGCGTTACGCGCCGCCAAACTGGTATCTCCAGGTTTTTCCACCTCAAGATCCCAGCATCTGTGCCACGAATAGCACCTACTTAAATGCTATCGGAACTGTCGGCAACTACCACATTGGCATATATACGCGGCTCTTGCTTATGTTCCTCGTTGATCCTTTGACGCGTCCCCAAGAACCATTGATGAAACTCTGGATCGACCTGACGAGGTTTCTAAAGAAATTTGCGCCTACGAAAGCGTTTGACTTTTTCACTTACGCTGAGCTCATATATTGGTATTGCTTCGTGAGCATCATCAATCCATTTCGATGGAAGTGGGTGCCATTTATTTTCTTTGGCATGTTCCGCGGCTTGCCTGCAACAGTCGTTGAACAGGAGGACCGTTTTCGCGAACTGAATGGAAAGGCTGAGTGAAAGGACCTTGCAGATCAAGATTTGGCTCTCATTATACAGAGTGACTTTAAAATTCCGTTCTTACTATGACAAGCCCAGCCTTTTATCCTACTATCATACTTCAACTTGAGATATGACTAGAATGGTATTTCATACTCTAGCACCTGACACCCCGCCTCTGTTTCCCCTGAACATCAGTTGTCTTTGTTGGCTTCTCGATCAAGCCGTGGACCGCCATTTCCGTAAGCCAGCAGATAATCAATCAGAATCGAGCGAGGATTCACTTATCTAATTTCAAGTGTCCATCGTTTAGAAGAGTCATGAAATGTTTGCTCATATGGGTGACTACTGAATATTCTTTAGGGTGCCGTGATAAATGTGTTGTACACTAAGATGATAAAAGTTTTTAATACAGTTTTAAGATTTTCTACCTATCTTTCATCTGCATATACACCAATTTATTTCAGAATAATTTAGGTTTTTGGAGGGGCCAACCGTAGATAATACAAAGAGTTGAAATATTATTAGTATTGATATGGGGAGGGCTCCTATACCTCATCCACTTTTGTCATGCTATATTCAAACTTCTGTCGCCATACTTCACCTATGATTTATCTTGGGTAGGCTTCCGGACGCGATATGGCTCGCATAGCCTAAGAAGCGAAAATGAGTCTCTGCTATCCAAACCAGTACTATCATTTAAGTCAGCTGGTTGAACTCGCAAATAAATAATTTAATACTGATTTCCTTTAATTATATGTCGAATAGCATCACGCAATAACGTTTTCCACACCTAAATCCAACCCCACACTATGGGCTGTGCATGCAGCGCCACTCCCAGACCTAGTCTAATTTGGAATACAATTCACAGTCGAACCGCTGAGAAATGGAAAGAGATAGAAACTACACATGTATGCTTATTAAACTAAGAAATTATTATCATCCATTCGAGTACAAGTCTTTAGCAATACGGATCTTGAAAGCAATATGATCTGCGTGGCCTCCGTTCGTCCATTGGCTACTGAGATCCATCCTAACGCGAGTACCACTTAATCAATAGCAAAGAAAAGAAACCAGAAACAAAAACGAACTCAAGAACCAAGGAAATATATAAACTATGTTTAATAACATTGGCGCTGCAAGCTTTTGATAGTCTAAATCATTTCTATTCGCTATTCAGGATTTCATCTCAACATTGCAGATAGGCCAGCTATCATTAGCCAACTCATAGAGAACAACCGTAATCAACATATAATTATTTAGGATGAGATCTCTAAGGAAATGATGGATTATAAAACAACACAGTGGACAAATTTCTTCTGACGCCGAGGTAAAAGCAAGAGCTGGGTAACTGTATTTAGAAGCTCGCGTGCACCTTCGCTCGTGTCAATCGACAACTCCAGATAGGAGACTCCGCCAATCTTCTTACAAAGCTGCCTGCCTTGCTGAAGACTTTCGGGTTCCTGCAACGTCCTGGTGTCACTTTGGGAAGGCTCACTACACCCGACGAGGATGATAGGAACACCTCTCAACAAGTCAAGAACTTGACCAATCCACTTTGAGGTTTGTGAGTTAGTATTCTTTTTAAAAAAATATATATATTAATCATCGTGCGTGAATTTAGTGACACACCTTTTTCTCAACGCTCTCTATGGACTCTGGTGAATTGGTAGCAAAACAAATGATGGCTATTTCAGAGACGGCGTATGAGGAGGAAAGTGGGGGCTGATACGAATCATCCCGCGAGGTCCCATCCGAGAGGGATAAATGAAGCTCAATATCTTTGCCGTCTGCGTGAATATTGACGAGTTCTTTATTCTTATGTGCGGGGTGACGATGGCGGCTATCCTCGCAAGTATATTCAGAAAATATGTTCAGCAGACATGCAGGGCTAGAGATAGGGTCACCAAAGACGGTGAGTTTCCGACAAAGTTTTTTTCCTCGTAACATGCTATTGGTTGCAGATCTTTCTCATTCAATGTGCAAAATTAAATCTGTGAGCTTTTTTTTCTTTTGCGGGTTGGCAATTGACACAAGGAGATATGTCAGCTTCCAAAGTCAGTTCTTTAGGACAATACGTCGATCCGCTACTTAAAGTGGGTAGGAGGCTATCAAAGTCTATTTTAAGAACATTATCTTCCTAGACCTCAGTCTATAGGAAGATATGGCGACTGTGTAATCGAATTATAGAATAACACCTTCATAGTACGAAGAAATTGAGGATGGTAAAAAATCATAGAGTATTTCATATTTTGGAATTGAAATACACTTTTACAAAGAAAATGTATTTTAATGAAGAGGGATGTTGAATTGTTTGAAGACCAATATAGTTCAAAAGCTACGTTCTCTGAGAAAAGGAAAATTTTCAAGCCCTGTTCAAAACTTTTAAACCTCAAGCCAATAAGAATGGTATATATCTATAGATATAGGCATCGCTATTAATACATTCTAGACATTAAATATTATAGTTCATGCATATGCCCAGGAATTTCGATATACAGTTTGCAATAGTATTCTCGATCTCTATTTCTGCGGCTGTTGCAAGTGTCATTCATATGCGTCGCTCACATCGTCTGGATGATTTTCGGCCATCTCTAGGCGATCGTCTCCTCTTCTTCGTCCTCCGACCTGTCGTCCTTCTTTATATTAAACCTGAGATAGCGGTACATGTTCCGTAACAAACAATATAACCAGAAAATGTTGAGAGCCTGCAAGGCTGCCAATAGTGCAAAGGTGATGATGTTTGAAATCCAGCATTTGTATTGTTCTGTCTCCCAGTTAAGTTCGTAGGGTCCAACGGTTTGAAACTCATAAAAAAGGGAGAGAATAATCCGTATGTTGAGATAATTTCGAAGATAGACCCAAGCACTGATTGAAGTGGCGTAGAAGGGTATGACTAGGGGACTATCAATGTAATGGAGAGATTTGGAGGTCTAGATAAATGAACAGTTAGATCGGTCCTAATAGCTCTTTCTCTGCTAAAGAAAGAAACGAATTGGCGGACAAAAACTTACAGCAAGAATCAAGTCACTGATATCATGAGTGAGATAAACAGCAATACCGATGTGCGTAAAGTGAAACCGATAGCTAAGACCAATGAGTGCAACGGTGACAATATGATGAGCCACAAGCTCTCTGAAATCTTTGCGTGGTTTCTCTAAACCAAGCAGCATAACAATCGCTTGTTGAGTCCAATATGCTGCTTGGAATAAGTAATAGAATTTGAACCACGCGGACAGGGTTCTATGTGGAAATAATTCGTACATCCCTCTCATGTTGAAGTACCACACTGGCGTTTGTCGCATAACATACAGTCCAACTGGTCCCATAATTGCAAAGTAAATTGCCGTGTACATCTGTTCCATAAACCGTGCTTGCTTTGCACGTGAGTTTATACCGTAGAAGCGAGCTAAGGGTCGTAGTAGTTCTTGCATGATGAATTCCCGAGTAAAGGACAATAATATAGTGTAAAAAGCCACAAATGCAATATCCCATGGCCCTTTTCCATATTGGGTAGGCAATACGGCCCCTGAGAGCGAGTCGACATTTGGCGTTTGTTTGTAGGATAGAAAGATGAGGTGGTGAATAACGTTGTCTTCGGTTGGATTGGAAGTATAGAAAAAAAGAATAGCGAGCAGTAAAACTGATGGAATTGTCCAGGTATGTTTCACAGCATATTGTTTCCAATGGTGCAACTGCGACCTGGACTTGTTGCGTCTCTTGTGCAAGCTCTTCGGACGCTCGGTCGTCGTAGACGACGTATTGGTCGGAGATTTCAGAGGCGTTTTCTGACCTAATAAGCTAGATTGCCTCAACCGTGTCGTCCCATGACCTCGCATAGAAGCATCACTCAACTGATACCTGGATGCAGCCATCGTCCGGAATTGCGCATGGCGATGACGGACAAGGGCTTTGGAAACTAATTTATAGCTGGCGCTCGGAAGTATCGTGGAGATTGCTGTATTACTAGTGAACGACATAAGAGTAGCTTGAGAAGATGCAATTGACAACAAAAGACCCAATTCGTCCATGTAGACGAGGCGACTCCAGGGGATAAGTCTTGTATAGGCCTTCCCAACGGGGTTAGTCTGTCGAGATATATGGGGCTGCACTGGTATGCTAGACCTTATATAGCATAATTATGGAGCCTTGTGTTGTACTAGTCCTAAAGGGGTAAGTATGGGGTATCTCGCAAGCCTCGCAAGATCAAGCTTATCCGAGAAGATGCGAGTCGATACACTATTCACTATACTCTATACACAATATACTATAGTATATCTGCGCCAGGGTGTATAAATCTTGACATGAGCCAGAATACATCATGAAGTATCTCTTCCAACAATACTTGCGCCAAATTTTACCCTTTTTGCAGTTCGAAAGGATCACAACACCGACGTTGAGGCTCATCGTGGAGGGAAACGTTAATATTGCGCCCTGAACGATTGATTACTGAATTAAACAGAAGAACTCAAACACTGGACACATTGGCCGCTTTGTATTATGTGTCTACTGGCAGATGCTCAAAATATGAGAATAGCATGAACAACGCCATACCTATAAGTACCGGCATAATTCAACTTAAGAAGTCGTCATTTGCAACTACAATTCATATTTCGCCTATTCCTTCAGAAGTACCACAACATTTTTTATTTGTGACAAAACAGAAACCCCCAAACCCTGCTCAAGGTAGCCTTGTGCAAACGCTATCAAATGATAAAATTCTTGTTTGTTGTAAACGACAATAATAAATTACGCAACCTCATATGTTGTAGTGATTTTAATTCCCTCGCTGGCCCGCCTCGCATCAAGACTTCCACTATCACTGCTGTCACTTCTTCTCCTTCCCAGCCCAAAAATAAAATTCTTGGAGTCTTCGTGATTATTCTGGGAGGATTCGACGCGCTGCATACCGATACATGTAGTAACTGAGCGCCCATTGTTGACGGGAGGTTCGAAGATGAGAAGCTCGCTGTCGCGCTTGGAAAGTCGAGCAAAAAGTGTGTAAATAGGCGGCAGATTAACAACTATAGTTGCGATGAACTAGAAAAGTTTATCAGCATATTAATATATATTGATATACATGTTTCGGCAACTGAAAGGAATTTAGAAACAAATAAACGTACACCTTCGCGTATGGCCCACGCAGCACCAGTGCTAACGTTAGCGATATCATTGACTGATATCGCCCACCGGAGGCTAGAAGCGATAATGATAAATACCCCAGAAGATAATAACAAGCTAAGGCCAATTTTCCTAATCAGTCCGTTAGTATATATTAATATTTAGTAAAGAGTGGTTGGCATACTTGGAGAAAGAAATATTTGTTCTGTTGACAATAGGAAAAGGAACAACGAGGAGAATGGCGTCGGTCAGAATGTTAATTGGCCCAATCAAGTAATAGTTGAGTAAATCGTTTGTACATTGCCCTACGTTGGTGAATTTCTTAGCTTGGTATTCCGATTTTTCCAAATCCAAGGACGATACTCACGACCTGGATTCGGGTATATTTGCCAGTTACCCTGAATTGGTCGACATTCCAGGCAGAATGCTAAGATAATTGCAATATAACTAAGGCCGACAAAAATTGCATTCCACTTAACAACCTTTTGTTGCCAAAGTCCGAGCCTAATATATGGTCAACTGAAGCCCTTTATTTCAAGTGATAGATGAGCCTCACGTTATGCGGTTGAAAAGAACCAACGTGCAGGCTTTGAGGGCCCATATTAGACTCATGTACACGAACCAAGCTGCGTAGTAGCATTTGGCACCGTATACAAATCGGGCGTACTCCTCCGGCATAAATGTCAATTTGTATCGCTCCGAATCAGAAATACCAATATTCACTCCATTATTGAGAACCTGATTCATTAGGACAACCTGACTCTGTTTGAAACGATTAGAAAAGCAAAAGAATGTTACATTTCAAATCTGCCACAGCTTCCTTGGGTGGAGTATTCTATGTAAATGGGGAGGAAACTAACAACCCAGAGCAAAATGCAGAGAATTGCAAAATAGTCATCGAGTTTCCATCCTCTAAAACCCACTATCTTCGTCCTTGCAAAGATTCGTATTATAATAACGACAATGGAAATTGAAAATTCGATAAAGGCTTCAACCAGAAACCGATGTTTGTCAATGGACACTGCGCTTTGGATGTCGACCATTCTTGCACACCATGCCCAGCTGGACCTGCCAGCCTTAAAACAGGTCAGCTTCTCCCCGAGTCATGAATCGTGCTGAACGTTTGAAGAACTGTGGAAATCTGGAGATGATAAATATGGGGTAAGGCCCAGACAGGCCTTCAAGTAGGCGCGCTGAACCTCTATATATGATGGGGCCCCATCAGCGAGTATGACGGGATGAGCACAATTAGGATTGCTAAAGCTCCACAGTGGCTTTCAGCTAGAAATAATAATGATGTTTAGTAGAATCCCTGGACCCTAGACGAGCAAGCTAAGACATGCATTGCTCCGACAAGTTGCACTGCTAGTGTTACGCTGTCTCTCCGCCCCCAAATTGGGCTTTCGGCAAAGGATCTCCGGGGTCATTATTCTAGTCGATCTGGGATTAGATATGTATCATCATACAACGCTCTAACTGGGCACAAACTCCGTAGTCTGTAGTCAGTGACTACTAGTCACTGCGTGGTGACTTGGTTAATTTACCCACGGACCTAGAGTTCAGTTTTTCTATGCTGTTACAATAATACTTGCTTTCGTATGGCGCATGTCACCTTCCTAAGTCCATTGCTTTTGATCTTCAGAGAGTGATGTAGTTATGTAAAGAGCAGCAGGATTACTTGAAAATCAATCCCTAGTGCATGTTTTACTTCCCGACATCTAGGATGAGGCACAAATAGAGACAACGAACACCGCACCAAAAAGCAAGGCCACCAGGACTTAAAACAATAATCACCGACAGCGCGTTCCAACTAATTCCATGTCAAGTGCCAACTGCCTCTTGCACGATATGGATAGTTTTCAAATGAAAAAGTCGTGCACAGAAAATACCAGCACCAAATATGAAGCTGAATTGCAAATCACCGATTCTTTTTGTTTATTTCTCCTCGTCTATGATGCTTAGTGAAATTAGTGAAGTAAGATTTTAAAAATAAAAATACGAATTTCCAATCAAAGTCGCCAGAATCGCTCTGTAACGCACCTCTTGGGGCGGCTGACAAGATCGTTACGGGCTTTTCCCGTTTATGACTAGGGATAACGAGGGGGCCAAAACTTCAAATCCACGTCCCATTTTTGGCAACTCTTAGGCTTGAGCTTTGAAGTAATTGGCTTCCTTGTGTTTAAATGACGGTGTCAGTTTATATGATAAATACGCGCAGATTATAATGATTAATATCGGTGAAGACATTGGCAATTTGACTTGTGTGCAACATTTTGAATCATGAAGGTGCATTAATCCTATTTCATGCTATTTCACTGATGAGTCCGGGGTTGTTTTAATCTCTTCGGGAATGTCCTGCGATCATATTTCGTTACACAAGTGAAAAGGCGGCGAACGAACTTGATAATCGACATTATGATACGGAAGTCATACTATATAAGATGACGCTACCCGTATTTTGGTAACAGCTGAAGCACACTACGCAGCCCTCTTTACTTATTAGTATCATATCATACCTCTAAAAAAAATATCAGGCCCTCCCAATGTGACGATAATTCAATACGGGCGTTAGGATAATGGCGATTCAGTAAATACAATTTTTTGATTAATTTGACAGGAACCTTGATTTTCATTATCTAAGGAATCACTTTTTGACATCATAAGGAGAGCGAGTTACCTACAGTATTGATTATCTCAAGCCCCAATAAAGTAGCATATTTATAGATGAGGAATTCAATGCGATTAACTGGATATTCTAGCGTATGAAATTTCGCTGAATTCTTTAGCAGTTTTTCAATGTAGCCCGGGAACTGGGTCGTGATTATTGAATTAGGTTGCTATGATGGTAATTCTTGGAGAAAGATGATGAATTGTAGTAGACAGGTCATTAAGTCAAGATGTTCTTGATATCATGAAATCTAAACACGAATAATGTCTCACCATGAACGCCAACAATGCAAGAATCAATCGCTCGGCAAAACCCAGGTCGTAACACTGCTGGCTGGAATATTTCCACTCCATGTTGCACCACTGGACAGATCCGCAGTTACATAGATATCGTTACCAAATCTATTCTCAATGACCACCGTCCGTGACCCATCCGGGTTTAGACTTGCCACACTCTGAATTCCGTTCCCATTGGGGTAGGTATAACTCCCATTCCCCTGCAATACGCGTGCACCAGGTGGCATAAACTTGCTGAATTGCGCAATCATGTAGTACGATATACTGAGTGTGTAATTCGCATTGGCGTTTGTGGTCACTAATCCGTTACATGAGTCACAACCGCCAATAAGATGTGGACCGGCGTCTTGGTTTGCGCCTAATGTCCACGCAGTCACGCCGTTTGCCCAGTTCTGGAGAGGTCCCATGGTAAATTGTACGGCTTGCGTCCAGTTCAGGCTCTCAGAAGTCCAACATTCAGTCATGTACTGTTCCACATCTGGATTCTGGTTGTGGAATTCAGTGAGGACGGTCCAATTGGCTGGAGAGGCATAGCAATGCCATGCAACAGCCTTAACATACTGTCCTGCATAGTTGACTACATCTTGGGGGTAGTATGCGCTATCTGTGTATGTGTTAGTATCCGACGAGCCGGATAAAAGAAGACACACAAACCGGTATTATCATCGAATGCCCAGACACTCGTCTCCAAACCAGCCTTTTTTAAAGCTGGTGCAACATAATCACCAATCAGATGGGCAGATTCATTGGAATAAACGTACATGGTCGGATACCCGGATTTGCTGTTCAAGGGCTCGTTTTGGATTGTAATCGCATCGATATCCACACCGAAATTTTGGTATGCCTGGATATACTTAACAAAGTACTGGGCAAACGCATTGCTGTAACCTGTACTACCAACTCCCCCACTAGTGAGAAAGCCATCATTTAAATTGTTATTGGTCGTGTTGCCATCAAGCGCTCCATTCAACTTCATCCAGCCTGGCGCACTCCACGACGAACCCACTATTCTAAGACTGGGATTGAGACTCTTCATTTGGGATAGAAGCTGTGCCATCGCAGTCCCTTGACTTCCAAGCGCAAACCCTGACAAGCTTTCATCCACTTTGCCGTCGTTATCATCATATGTATAGGCCGTCGACGATAGATCGCTTGACCCGATGGTGTGTCTCATCAACGAAAAACTAGCTCCTGCATCGGTCATCAATTCTTTTAACAGATTTTTCAACGTCGCGTTCGATTGGGTACTGAACGAGCTAACCGTGGCATCGGTTACCGTTGCGCCGAAGCCTGCGATAGTTTGCTTATAACCAGACTCTGTGTCATCGATACTCAAGTTCCAGGTTCGCGCAGAACCCGGGTTACCGTGGCCCCGAATAGGGGCGGTGATGCTATCAAGTTGATATGTTTTTTCATCCGAGCAGTACGCGGAGGCGTTTTTCTTGGTGTGACCTAGTCCAAGGCCGAGACCGACACCCAATGCGATCGCCAATATGATAATGACGACGATGGCCACCAATGTAATCGCCCATCGGAGTCTTTGCAAAGGCCGGAGGACGGGGTGTCTTTGTATTGTCTTTGCCAGCGACGCCGGCGGCCACTTGTGAGAGGGTTTCATTATGCGGGATCACATAACGTATCGCTTTGAATTTCGCAAGGAATATGGTATTCCCCCCTCCCCCAAAGAAGACAAGAAAAAACACAAAGCGAAAAGCGTCTCTCAGATGGGAGCGAAGGTGGTGATGAAAATCAGGAAACGAGTATCTGGCGGATGGAAATGCCTCGGCGCTAATGCAAGATAGTTATCAGTAGGCAGCCCCATTCTTTTTCGGCCTAGATAAATCACACCATGCTGATCATGTAGATCATCATTATTCTTGGCCGAAAGAACCGAGAACGAAAATACCCTGCACCTCCAGCTTAGATGCGGGATAATTCTTTGACTTCTTTTTCACAGCAGGCCGGTCTAGTTTCAATGTTCAATTTCTCTCCTGGGCACCCATTATTATTGTGTTTTGTTGTGTCTGCAGTCGGATGTAACACAGCTAGCTTATCATCCATCCTGTAAGCCTAATACAAAATTGGCAATCGTGCCCCTTGATCTTCCGGATATCACTGGCCGGTAATTTCTGGGCGTCGGTTGGTGACTCAATCCGCCTTCTCCGTTTTCTGGAACGTCCGTAGTTGTGAATATCTTCAATCCCCTCTCACGCTCGATGCTTGGTGGAAGTTTCTGGTCGATTCTCCCTTCCCAGGAATTTAGCAGTTAGAATTCTTTAATGGTAAAAATATGATCGGGAATCCATATAATAAGAAGCAAAATTGAAAGCACAATAGACCAGACTGCAAAAAAATGGCGAGTTCATGATATATGCTAACTGTATCGCTGCGTTTGTGTATACTCCCATCGGGAAGACAAATGCCCACGCAGACATGTAGAACTCTGCATTGCGCTCACTACCTGATTGGGTAAAAATCGTGTATACGATTCCAGCAGACACGAGTGATCACCAGAATGTCGTATATCCCCAGGACAATAGGACGGCGAATTGGCTTGTCGCAGAGAGTCCTGAAGCAACGTCCGCAGTTAAAAAGATTCCGGAATGGGATTCGGCAAAGGTCCCCTTTTTCACCGCTTATCCTAAGATCAGCAATGCAAAAAGTCCTTGCTCAAAGGGCCGCAGAGAACTATGTCTTCATAAACGTGGTCGATAGCGGAAAGGCTTTGTTGAAAAGGCGTGATTGAAAGACATCATCCACGGATACAGCCAAGGGCAAACCTACACCAACTTGTGCAAAGTTACTGCGAGAATGGCCGTGCCATGTGGGATTCAGAACCATTGTGATGAAAAGCTCCATAGGGCACCATATAATCGAGAAGGCTGTCTCGTAGTTTGATCGCCCTCCCCATTGACGTGGGGATTGGTGATTGCAAATAATCATGCGATAACTTTCTCATTCCAACATAGTCTATAGTCTTATTGGGATGATTAAGCTTTTTCTTGCCAATGAATGAGGCTTTCACAGACATGGTGTCGTGCAAGTATGGTATCGTGTAGATCTGGGGATGCCTGGAGGCCTCGACTTTCGATTCGCCGCAACGTGAGAGTGGCATTATACACCATAGTTCCCAATAACTCTTTATGGTTTCACCGATGGTATCAAGTAAGGACCACTCAGAAACATTGAGAGAACCATTTGGGGCTCGGCCTGGTACTGAGGACCACATGTGTTTGATGACCTCGAGGTCAGTCCATACTAATAGACCGATCGGTGAAACACAGGTTTAGAACATTACACCCCAGAAACCTCCCACTTCGCAAGTGATACCCATATTTTAGATTTAGATTTTATGATCCAGGGTATTTCAATAGCTCGCGTTCGTTTCTGTACATCGCTCTCTTCAATGTATCCTTGGAGCTTTAAATAACATGTAGAGTGAAGAAAAGAAAGCGTCATACACAAACTCGATCCACGAAAATACAAAATGCGTACGGACAATCTTGTTTGAAATCCCCTCTGATACTGAAAATCACGTTCCTTGGTTCTTAAACGAGCAAGTTATGCGCTCTCGTTTACAGTCTTCCTCACGTCTCCAATTAGAATAACCTTTAGTCTCGTCCGATCTAGAAACCTCGCCTCATCTTCCTCGATCTCTTTTTTGGCCTCGGGGGTGCCTATCTTAGCATAGAAACGGTTCATATGCTCTTGATCTTTAAATGTGACGATAGTTAAAGCGTCATATTCGAAGTCCTGATCGTCACCCAAGACCACCGTGGCAGGGGCCGGAATCGCTTCACCGCGAGCAAGGTAGAACCGCTGATGACTAAGGAAAAAGTCTTCACCTGCTAGTCGTTGTAGAATTGGGACGTGATTATTCTCGTAGTGGTTTTGGAATTCTGTTGGGGTGGTGTCGGGTTTCCGGTATGCGATGACAAGGCCGTGGATCGGCATAGTGAAGTTGGCCTGTAAAGATGGCACAATCTTAATTTCCCTATATGACTGTCAGGAAAGCAGATAGATTGAGAGGATGTTCTCGTCATTTTATACCCTCGCTCGTCTTTACAATGGGTACTCATTGAAAAATTAGAACGAAATAACAGAGAGATTCGGCGATCCTGATTGGCAGGCTCGTATAAGTGTGAGTCATCCGGCCAATAGCCAGGCCGGATGGAGTTGGTTGGTTGACAATGATTACTTGCTCTCTTTAGCATTGCAGTGTTGGTTGAGAGATTATTCCCAAGTAGAGCATATAATAACTGGCTATCGCGTAAATTCTATTGTATTTTGCATATTCACAATGCACACGCATCAATTGATGTAGCCGTACCATTCAATTGATCTTAATATTGTTTTATTACTATATTCAGGTTTAACCACTGTACCCAGCCCCTAGGCTATGTCTCAGGTTGGCGCGTCACCCTTACTTTCAATTGACTGTATGAACTGGAAGTACATATATACAAGAATGCATACATGAATAAAATACGCGATATTTTAAAAGCATTATAGAAATTTGTAGGGAAGTTTCTTTTGGTGTTCTGAAGAGTGCATGACTAATCCTACTCCGCACTCATCGATAACTTCCCCGATTTCTTTTTGTTGATCGGGACTCTCCAATCCCATAACTTTTAGTTTTTGAATCTCTACACCCAAAAGGCCAAGTTTTGTCAATAATCAGCAGTAAATTTTAATGGAGTCCTCTTTTATGTTAAGTTTCTTCATTTATTGTCTGACGGCCTTGCCCATTTCGACAGGACAGTTGCAGTTCCTCAGATCCAATTGGGACTGATACAAAATGGCTGTGCCACGCGAGGCAGCAGCTGCCTTTGCATACACAGAACCGCAGATTGTTACGGTTCTCAACCAAGCTGGGTTTTTATTAGCGCTTAACCTCGTCAACGCCTGTCTTGACAAATTCCTGTACTGTGGTTTGGTTGGTCAGCTACTTATTGGTATTCTCTGGGGCACCCCCGGCGCAAAATGGCTTGATCAGGAGACAGAAACAGTCATACAGCAACTCGGCTATCTGGGTCTGATCATGTTGGTTTACGAAGGTGAGTTTACGTTGCGTCCTGCTGGAAAGGTTCTTTGCTCATATAAGCAGGTGGCTTGTCAACATCGGTTAAATTGCTGAGACGAAACCTTCTTGTTTCCGTGGCTGTCGCGGTTACTGGGATTGGCGTACCAATCGGTTTATCGTTTGCCCTCAAGAAACTAGGGACAACAAGCTCTCTTCAAGTTTTTGCAGCTGGCATGGCACTTAGCGCAACTAGTTTGGGAACCACCTTTACTATCCTATCAACTACACAGCTTTTAGCTACACGGCTTGGCACTGTAACAACTAGTGCGGCAATGCTAGACGATGTCGTTGGTCTCATAATGATCCAAGTAATCTCGAACCTTGGTGAGAATGAAAATTCCTTCAAAATTGTGACAGTCATTCGGCCGATCTTTGTCTCGATCGGATTTGCCATTGGTATCTACCTTCTGTGGAAATTTGTCCTGAAAACTGGCCTAAATCGATATCTACTTTCGAAGAATAAAGTCCCGGAATTCTTGCGTACTATGCCCTGTGCATTTATCGTACAAACGGCTGTTCTAGTTGGGATCGTCTCTGCTGCCACATATGCAGGAACATCAACCTTTTTTGCTGCTTACATTGCCGGAATCATCACCTCCTCATTTGACGAGTTGGTAGGTGAGTCCAAAGAGTCAGTTATAAAGGCGTCGGGTGCCGCCCGTTCAACTACTGGTGCGGTTCATAACCAAGCTAGAAGTCCCATAGAAGGGAATGTGCATCAGCAAAGTGCCTCCATCTATGGGGAAGGATCATCAAGTACTTGTCCTCCAGAGCGGCAGACCTCACCCAGTGAAGTACATACGGGTGAAATAGTCTATAAGACATATTACAAACAACCTGTCAACCGAATCCTTGTTCCCATGTTTTTTGTAAGCGTTCTTCCTCAATTCCTGAACACCGAGCTAATATACCCAGGCATCGATTGGTTTTGCGATTCCCATCGCAAAAATGTTCCAAGGAAGCATCGTCTGGAGAGGCCTCGTTTATGCTATTATGATGATCTTTGGAAAAGCGGTGACTGGTCTATGGCTTGTTAGATTTTCACAAAGCCAACCTCTTGGTGCCGCCGGTCTTAAATCGATTTTTTATTTTATCCCTTTTTCCACCACTCAAAGTTCAAAAAACAAAAAAGGGGACAAGCCGCTTCCATCCGGGACTCAAAGTTCAGAAATTCGACAACAAGGTGACACTAACACCGGGACAAATGATGAGAATGCTAAAGCTTCCATCTCAAACACCGACACACACCCAGCAAGTCGGATCGTGTCTCGGCCTGTTGTATCTATTCCTACTAAACCTAGATCTTTATACCCACCGTCCATTCTCGGGCTAGCAATGGTCGCACGAGGAGAGATTGGCTATCTCATTGCTTCACTTGCGGAGGGGCAGGGTATTTTCTCCGCCGGACCTTCTGGAGAAGCTTCGGAAATATATTTGATCGTCATCTGGGCCATATCGATTTGTACATTGGTAGGTCCAATTTGCGTGGGAATTATTGTCAAACGAGTGAGGAAGCTGCAACGCCTAAGGGAGGTTTCGGGTGGAACGGATCCCCTGGGGGCTTGGGGTATATAATTCTAGTCACCGGTCAGTGATAATAGGTATTTAGAACCTTTGAATGTAGATACCTCACCAATAAATTGATCATTTAGTGATTCTTTATATAACCAGACGATTGAAATTCTTTGGGTTTCAATACGGCCGTCTCTAAGTGAGAGCATGATATAAGAGATTTTGTTTTTAATTAAGGGAAGCTTTCAGTCATTGGATTTTGTCGTAAGGGGTGATGTTGGGTGTGAAAAGAATACATATTGCATTGTGAATACACTAAGCTACCTATCAATACATAAAGACATCGCGTATAACTTGATTTGTCAGTCGGGTGGCATCAAAGCCAAGAGTTATCAAGGATATTAATAACGGGTTGCGTCTCGACCAACGGTCCTGCTATTATCGAGATCGGAATCCACGCGTGGATCCAATTTGTTGGTCAGATTGGAGTTGTGGGGACCAGCAGTATATTGAGCATTGCCGCTTCCTGGAGTTGTGTAGCTACTACCTGCCGGAGCGAGCCCAGAGCCAAGATTCTGGTGACGAGCACGATTGTCTAAGTCGGAATCCACGCGAGGGTCTAATTTGTTAGCAATGTTGGAACCGTGGGGGCCAACATTGGTGGACTGGGTGTTATTCATTTTGTAATCACTCCCCCCTGAAGCGAAGTCATTTGTGGTACCATATTGACCTGTTTTGGGGTTTAGCATAGATCTTCCTTGAGGAAGGATAACATAAGAGACACTACATACCTCGGTTACTGTCGACACGGGGATCTGCCACATTGCCTAGAGTGGAACCATGAGGACCAGCATTTGTTGATCGAGGGTCGGCAAAGGCAACCCCGGAAGAAACGCCGCTAGCAGGAGCATATTGGCCTATAAAGATTAGAATATTGTTTTTGAAAATTTTCAGGTTCAAGGTATTGTACATACTCTGGGTACTGTCAATACGGGGGTCTGCCTTGTTGGCTAGGTTGGAGCTGTGAGGGCCAGCGTTGGTTGATTGGGGGTTATTGCCGTACCCACTGCCAGAGCCTACACCAGGTGCAGTTCCATATTGAGCTATCTACGTTAGAAAAGCGTCCCGACAGAGTATGTTAAAGATGTGGGATCATACTTCGGTTGCTATCAATGCGGGAATCAGCTTGGTTCGACGTACGACCAGGTTTAGTTGTTCCTGATCCGCCAGCGTATCCCGTAGTAGTTGTAGTCGTGGTGTTATCGTAAGGGGACGAGGAAACTCCGCTAGTGCCACCAGTACTGGTATCAGTACGCGCCGCGCGGTTATCTGATCATGTTTTGTTAGATGATGCTGAAAGTGGAAAGCACAAATGCTGTATGTACTTACCCCGGTCACTGTCGACACGAGGATCCAACTTATTGGCTAGTTTAGAGTCATGGGGACCAGCATTTGAGGAGCGACTGGGCTCGTCATGGTGGTCATGCGTGATAGCATCTTTGACCTTATGGATGAAGTTCGACATATTGGTGGTATCAGTCCTGTCTTGAAAGTATTCAAATGTTTAAAATACTGTGTGAGATTTGGTTGATCGGGACAGTTCAATATTAATCGTATCCGTGATTGTGGACAAGTATTACTGGAATTTAATTATCATTCCGTCGTTTATATACCGTGGGATTGCTGAACTGATGCGTATGTGTATTGTGTGGTTCATGACGTTTTTCCATTGAAATGCAATGATCCATTCATTCTTGGAAGCAAAGAATATCGACACCGTCGGCGGACGTCATCCACATGGGTATTGCATCACTTCACACCTCTTGGTAGGGGAGTTCGTTGTACAAAGCACATCATCGTGGCTTGTGGTGATGTTTCAGATGCCTATTGGCGGTTCCAAACTTTTGTCTGCGATGGATCTGGGGATGATCCGGCGTGGAGATCGACGGTGATCACTGTGGCGACTAAGGCTCAGAGGTGATTCTTGATTCATGCCAGCGGTCCATGTTTCCGCATCGTGGATGGAGCGTGAAACAAGGCATGAATCGAGACGGTTGATGATTCGACGTCATGAGACCCGCCTTTTTGGCGCGCCCAGATTGGCTGTGTCCGCATCGGGGCTAGTGCAGTGAGCTAGTCCATTTGCAGCTACGGGGATGACATGACCATGATTTCATCGCCGCCGCTGGTGACGTTCATCAGACTGATAAGCTATACTTCTGCTTCCAACGATCGGTAATGCCTAATGCCTAATGCTACAGGGTACGGAATACTTGCCGCGAGCTTGCCGAGTGCCTGCGAACCTGGTAGGAGTCTGAGCTGCCAGTGACTCTCCCACAAGCCGAGACAATGGCTCCTGTTCGATGCTATTCGTGCTGGTACCGTTAGGAGCGTAGGAATGTCCGAACCATGACACGCAGCATCATCGTCATGCGATATTGAAGCATAGGGAAGTATCTTCTGATCCAATCGCACTCCACTATCTGCATGCCGCTTGCAATGAGGTCTGTTCTATCAAATGACTTGGCCCACACTGTGGTTGATACGGCATTTCTGAGTCAAGTAGTATCTCCGAGTATAACATACGAACCGCTGAGATAGTTTGATTATCCGTCAAAATGCACGCCATCTCCGACACTATCAAGGAGGACCACCGTGAACTCGAAGCTTGCTACGAAAAGATTGTTCTCGTTAATCGACCAGGACGAAAAGGCAATTTGGCAGAATCAGTTCGCATGGGAGCTTGCCCACCACCTATGCGCGGAGGAGTTATTTATTCATCCTGTCTTTGAAAAAAGGTTGCACAATGGAAAAGAAATTGAGCACAAAGATCGGGGAGAACACCAAACTGTAGGCTAATGAATTGTTACTCAGCAAAGGGGAACCTCGTCCCCCCTTTAGGTTCTTGAATTCTGATGGTTATTTCTGCCATAAATGAAAGAGAAACTGAAGAAATTTCAAGACACAAGATCTTCGAACCCCAGCTTCATCCCGGCAATCCATGATCTGATGAAGGTCCTGGGACCGCACATCGAAGAAGAAAACTTTGCTCTGCCCGCGCTCGAACAGATGCTTTCCCCTCAGGAAAGTGACTCAATGAGCCACTCATTCGCCCGGACCAAGATACTAGTTCCTTCACGTTCACATCCGTCTGCTCCCAACAATCTCCCTTTAATACACCAGCCGCGCTAATGAATGCACCGGTTGATCTAATTGCGGACCTTTTTAGAGAGTTTCCTGAGGATACTCCGTGGAGATGGGGTGATAATCCATAGTGAGGTTCAAAATCGCGGTCATCGTGTATGACTGTTATAGAAATATAGATGCCGTAATAATGCTGAGGTGACCTGCTCGATTCATCGTTTGTAAGCATAGCAACTTCACAAAGAGCATAGTCTTTCATTTAGGCGCGGCGGATTTTTCAACTCTCTTGGGGTTTCAATCGACCATGCCTGTTGCTATAGCTGTGTACGTGTTCATAGCGTCCGTTGAAGTATTCGTTTCTGTGGAAGAATGAAACAAACTCCAGGGGACACTTTTAAAGCCCGAGCAAAGGCTGGCTTGATCAGACAACTAGGAGAATTATAAAGACTTGCAGATTTTAATCGAACCAGGAACAGAATAGCCGGTCCTCGTAGCTGCATATGTAGTGGATTTACGAAATAATTAGTATGTTCTAGACCGAGGTAAGTTTATGGTCTTTCTCATATGTAACGAAAATACAAACCCGTTATTGGTGCAACTTATGGCTTTCATAAGGCTTATAGGATGTATGCATCAGCAATTAGATCCGATAAAAGTTGACGATCTTAAGGCTAGTTCCGCCGTGGGTCCAATGTGATGCAAGTTAGGAAAACGTCATTCATTATCTATAGTATTTAGTCAATTGACGAATGTCATAATCACATATACTCTGTTTGATCATACAAATTCGATAATCGAGGTTTTGTATTGAGTTTCAATTGAATAATCGATTAAAGCCAGATAGATGGCTTAAATGTTTTGTATAGAAAGAACTGGTGTAAAAGCTGACTAAATATTATGATCTACCACAAGCTCCACAGATTGCATCATCCCCACTCCGAAACAGGAAACGTCAATGAAATCATAGTCCAACCCCTCCCTAAAATATAGGAACTGCAAATATGTAACTAAAGAAAACTAAAGAAAAGAACAAGAGAGTTTTAAGAGACTTCACATATTCACATCGTGACTTGTACTATATATTTGTCATTGTCTTGATTTTGGCTGAAGAGAAAAGTTTAGAACCCAACAGTTAATCTATATCAATTGACGGCTTCTGGCAGACGACTGGGTATCGAAATGCCCTTTGCCCCAAGCTCCAATTCGGATATCACTGTTTGTGTATCTTTGTTAGAGCCGACGATATATGTCACTACGCATTCTTCTGCCCCGTCAGTGCTACGTGGTCGTGTTGTCCTCAGCGTATCCAAAGAAGTACGGATTCGGCATGCAGTGATCAGGTTTCAGGGAGCAATTCGCTCTCGGAAAGTTGGACGACGGAGGGCCAATGATCAACTCATCGTCAGCCAGACCTGGCCGATGCTTGGAGTTGGGTCTCGTACCTATAGCAATACCCTATTTTCAGATAGGAATTGCAGAGCAAAGAGGCGAGGTTCCACCTGCTTCGCCTCTTCGACTACCGAGTCTGAAAATCATAGACCCAATTGCCATGAAATACTCACACCAGGCCGATACGTGTATGGATTTGAGCTGACCCCTGATCAAATGCTTCCCGAATCCTTTGATATTGGTGGTTATCAGCTGAAATACCATCTTCAAGCGCTTGTGTACCGACCCGGCATATTCAATCGTGACATCTCCCAGAGCCAAGAGGTTACTGTACTTCGCTGTCCAGATGAAATGTATCAGCACGATACTGAACACATCAGCCTTTCAAGGACGTGGAACAAGCGGATACCCTATCAGGTAGAAGTTTCTGGCAAAGGAGCTCCAATAGATGGGGACATTCCAATTGCAATCACAGTTTCATGCCGCGACATACAGTCTATAATAATCCAAGTCTACTTGGGTCAGAAAATCACCTACTCAGATGTTAAGGGGAAGGAGCCCAAGCTACGTAGGAAATTGTTAATGAAAGGGAAATGCAGGGATTTATCGGCGGCTAAGTTTAGCTGTGTTGGGCCATCCTGTGATGTTTCCCCGTTTATAAACCTCGAACAGCAAGGCGAAACGGTGAAAATTTACACCAACTTACCTCTTCCTGATGAAAGTTCGCGATTTATCACCATGCATTCGGATGTAGATTGTGAAAAGTTACGGGTAACGCACTCACTGCTTGTATGTCCTCCCTTGGTGGCTCTTACTCAGAATCAGAATCCGGCTGACTGAACAACGCAGTTCATCATAGATGTTACTACACCCCCAAACGAATATTCACCTCATAGGCCGACCCTGTGTCGTCTTACCGCAGAAACCGCCTTTTGCATCCGATCGCCCCATACTCAAGTCCACAACATGTTTGTACCCCAGTATTCGCAAAACGACATGGGGACAGATGGCAATTTAACCGATTGGGCTCGAATATCGGATACGAGTGAACGGCTTTCTAGCCATGACTTGGCGACTATCGTCACCCAACCTCCTAGTGCTATTGCCGGAAATAATACCCAACAAGCCGATAGCATAGGGACTGCATGTGTTTCACCAACTTATTTCCCACCAATTTATCGTGATCTAAGCCTAGGTGCCTTTGGAGAACGTCAATATACATCTTCGTTTCCACCGCCGCCAGCGTACGAGTCGATTATGTAGAATTAGTTTCCAGTTGAACAGGCGGCAGTGATGTCGAGTTGAAGTTATGTTCAGCTTGTGCTTCATGACGCGGAATTCCTACTCTGCAAGTCATATTCACGATTTGACCTTTCTTTTCACAATGAAGAACGATGGGATACAATGTATTATGAGGCCTATATATGCAAAGATAATTCATGGACCTTGTGTGAATGCAGCTTCCCCGGTTCAATATAGAAACACACCAATTGCTCGTCTAAACAACGCGAGCATCTTGGCCGTTGCCTGTCACAGTTGGTATTCCATTCCCTACAAGACTTGCAGGGGGGTTCTTCGACAAGATACAAGTCATGTGTAGCCTCATTTCTATTGGCACCCGCCAAACTTAGAGATCGTTCTATATCCCGTATGGGAGACAACGTCTCAGAAAGGATGCTATCATCCTCCACGGACGATGATAGCCAATTCAAAACAAATTCGATTCTTTTCCTTTTTCTTTGCCAACATCCAGTGCATTTTGTTCTCAAAAATATTGGCTAGTAGCCATTGCACAATCCTCTACTCCTAATTAGAGAAACCCTTCCCTGAATCATGATGGTCATCACTTACGTTTATTATCTGTGAAGCCAAAGCCGTTGGCCCTATGGCGAGGGTAACCACTGTTCCAGGCAACAAAAAAGGATAAAAACATGTAAAAAACGATATATATGGTCGGGCCAAGCTCCTAATAAAGCATTGCTTTCCATGCTTTAAAGGCATTAGCATGAATTCAAACAGTTTTGTGGATGTCACTTCAACCAGTGTGATTTCCGGTTATGCGGGATAAACTTCCGGAGACTGGAAATCAATGTCCACAAAGTTCCCATCTTATTTTTTGACGTCATTTCTTATGATTGGTCGTAATAAACGAGAATGAAAACTACCACTCGGTATTGGATGTGCGTATAGTCAGCTCTATATGAATGCAGAACAAAATTAGTCCAGGAATTTAGGCCACAGAACTATGTATTATTATCTATAAAAGCAGTAATTGCACCTTAAGGCTCGAGACACCGTAATGTAAAATACAGCCATTCCATGTTAAGACTAGACTGTACTCTCTCACGACGGTTACGTAAGCGCCAGCGACTCACAAGCCAGCAGTGCGACCATAGAGCCAATAAATCACTACGATCGTGCCCCACTACCCCACTACCCCGCCCTCAATAGATCAACAAACAAACAGTACGATCGGATCAATAACATTGAATGAATGTGGAATAAATAACCACCACTACGCACTCACGGCGACACAACGTGGTGAGCATCATGGCTCCCAGTAAGTGGCCACTCGGGTTTCTTTTATCAAAAGCTAAGATAGGCCCCCCCCGCTGACACCTGCAGCTCCTCCCCCGGATCGCCGTCCCATAATCATATCCGGTCCTTCAGGCGTTGGCAAAGGCACCCTTTACCAGAAGCTGTTTGACGCACACCCAGACACCTTTGCCCTATCTGTTAGTCATACAACGCGCAAGCGGCGGCCTCATGAAGTCGAGGGGAAAGACTATTTCTTTATTTCCCCTGCCGAGTTTCCCGCCTTGGTCTCTCAAGGCGCCTTCGTGGAATACGCGTTGTTTAATGGGCATTACTACGGAACCAGCAAGAAAGCTATAGAAACCCAGAGGGCAAAGGGGCTAGTGGTTGTGCTTGATATTGAGATGCAGGGTGTTCAACAGATGAAAGAAAGTGGGTCTATTGATGCTCGATATGTCTTCATCAAGCCACCGAGCTTCCACGCTCTCGAGGCCCGTCTGAGGAACCGAGCTACTGAGGAAGAAGTAGATATACGGGAGAGGTTGACCCAAGCTCGAGTTGAGGTAGAATATGCGGAGACGCAAAACGATGTTTACGATTTGATCATTATCAATGATGATTTGGAAAAAGCATATAAAGAACTTCACGATTTTGTATATAGTCCGATATAATTAGATAGTCTGTTTGCTAGGTTTTCGATATCGAGTTGAATGTCTGTATTAGTGTTATTCGATATTATATAGTTTCATAATATTGATACTAGATGCATTCTTCAATCGCATTCTTAGCCTCAATTTCTCACCCGATATGCCGGAAATTCCTCGCTATAAAAACACATCTGATAGTGAATATCTGTACCAAAACACGGGTCGGTAGGTTGGTTCTATATAATTGGTGCACACTGAAAAAGTTCATGCTGTGCACTTATAATATTTCAAAATGATAGACTCTTACAATTACAACGTCAATCAAGTCTTCGATGCTAGCAGCTATCCAATTAGCCGCTTTGCTACAGAGTTTGGACTCCAGTCTATGTCATCTATCTATTCACGGAAGCAAGCAGTACCTAAAGATCAGCTCTCATTCTTCTCGGATATGGTGATTCATCGAAACCGGCAATATGGGGATGGTGACATCGTAAGGGAGCAGTCGATTTTGGACTTGAGCAAATGGCTGCGGCTCTGAAAGCATGGTAACCGATTCCAAATATCTCCTATTGTGTTGCCAACTTCAGGTTTGAAATGAATTCCTTCTAAAGTTAACCTGTCACTTACTTGTTTAGTGCCTGGTGCTGGACAACTCAAGTCTTCCATGCAGACTACTACACCTAGAACTAGCATTTTATCGTCACGAAATAGACATGCCCAATCGAACCTTGGGTTCCATGTACTGGAAACTTGAACGCCTATGGACAGCGCCAACATGGGCAATGTCTGACTTATGGTCAATAGTCAAGGAAACGGTAAAGCTATCGTGGATGGATTGGGAACGGCCGTGTCAGGACCCGTCGGAGGCAATGATACGCAATTTATTTTGTTCACTATCGGCGCAATCAACTCGACGCTCGCATACAACGCGAACGTCCAGATTAATGCTGCATCAACCCACGATCTTACTGATCTGGTTCTCCAAATCGATATGTCGGCGCTTGGGCAAGCGCCGAATTCTGAAATATCGCAGAAATACGCGCATACCTCCTACTTCCATCCAGTGTCACTTCAAGAAGAACAACCACAGGATCCAGGGTTTATATTAGCTTATAGTACTTCTAATGGTGCCTATGAATATACTGTCAAGGCTACAATGGGCATTGTGGCATGGGTGTGGCTGGAGCATCCGCTTGGAGTGTATGGGCATTTCTCCGACAATGGTTTTTGGTTGGCCAAGGGGGAGAGCAAGATAATACATTTTATATTCAAGAATGACTGGGCTGAAAGGGTGTGGGTTCGCGATGTACAGCTCCGGAGCCTATGGAATAACACAATTTATAGCGAGTGATTGCCTGTGGCAATATCTTGGTTTCCTGGCATCTGGGCTTGTGTTATGTCTCCATGTATGCACATTTATGAGATTAAAGATTAATATGCTGATATAGGGGTAGCGCTACTGCATTAGATTGAAATCGTCTGAAGCCGTTGAATTTGTGTATATTTAGGCACTTGTTTATATACGTGGTGAGTTTCTTCTCGCTTTTCGTTTCCTTAAAGTACATGCACAGTAAATCAATGAACGCGTAATCGGATTGAATCGAAATACGTGGAAACACTGGCGACAGAGAATCAAACGGACATTAAAGGTCAGAACAATATGAATTGAGAAGCTTCCAACCCATTCACTGGTTATCACCAAACGCAGCAAATAAATAATACCACAGGTTCCGGATTTAAGCCGCCGCGTTGATGGCGGCAACATGATCCGTAACCAGCAAGGTGTAGTCGCTGCTACCATAGTAGATAGCATAGTCATCGAGAGAGAGTGAGGTGCTCAGGGTATCACCCCACTGCCAGAACGAATCGGCGGCAACGCTGCTAATGGCAGTGGTTTGCCAGGGGACCTCATTGGAGTGAGTAGTCGAACCATATTCTTCCAAGAGGCATGGTTTCCCAGCGGCCTGGCAGGCTTCTCCATGAGAAGTGACCCACGAAGATCCCCATGAATCTTGCTCGCCCCCTAATTTGAATTGTTAGCACTTTATATATGTATAGGAGGAAATGGGGAGAGGGGGAAAGACTGACATTGACTCGGGTACATATGAAAAGTTCCGAAATCAATGGTAGGAATGGTCAAAGTCTCTTGCCAGTTATTTCCCTCGTAGTACGTGTAGGGATAGCTACCATCCGAACCAGTTGTAAGACCCATACCCTCTGCAAGATGATTAGTTGCGATGTTTTATTTTCATTCATAGAATAGGATACTTACCATCACCAATACACACCATGCGATCAGGTTCAAGTGACTTAATGAATTCACTAGTCGCCTTAACCCAGTTGTAGATCACATCAGTGCTGCAGCCACTGCAGCGGGGTTCATTGGCCAGCTCCCAGGCAAAGATGGCTGGAGATCCAATATATCGGCCCACAACAGCCTTGATGTAATTCTGATACGCACTTTGTGCCTCAGTATTCGTATACCATTCAGTTTGATTACCACCATAGTTGTTAACATATGCATTCATACCACCGTAATCATCCCAGTTGTTGACAAAGTTGATGATTAATTTGATATCGTGAGCTTCAGCAGACTGCACAACATAATCAAGACGCTGCAATCCATCAGCACCAGTGTTAATTGTTTGCTGACCGTTTTCAAGCAATTGAAACCACACTGTTCCTGAGCTAGGCTGAGTGTTGACATCATTAAAACCCCAAACTCGCAGATACTTTAGGCCTGATGACTTTAAATGACCCATAACCAAGTCAACATCGGCATTGTTGGTGAGAAAAGAAATCCAGTAAGAATTGGTGCCAGCAATGTATCCCTCTTTACCATCAACTACGAAGCTGGGACCTTTGGCGTAGGGCAAAGAGCTACCAGTTGGGCTACCAGTTGCCGAGGTAGAGGTCGTGGTTGATGTAGAGGTAGTTGTCGACAATGCCGACGTCGTTGTTGTCAGAGTCGTCGGTGCTGGACATCGTATCCACGGTCAGCTGACAGAGCTTATAGACAAACGCTTACGAGATGGAAAAATGTCATCACCTGATGTCGAGGACGATGAGGAGCTTGTCGTGCTCGCTGAGGACGACACGGACGAGCTTACTGGAAGGCACTGGCTATACCAAGGGTTTTGATACTGGCATGACCAGCCAGCGTTGCAAGTCGTTGCGCCGCTCCAGTTTTCGCCACCGCATTGGCCGTAATTTCCTGTCTGGGAAGCGGCCAAGCCGACCAAGGAAGAAGTGAAGAGAATTGAATACCTCATTTTGAAGAGGTTTGGCCTGTCTCTTTATTCGTATCTTGCTTGTTGATCCAACAAAAGAACCGTCGGGCACCGGAGGGCTTTATATATAGTTTTTCACGGCAACCCTCTCCGTAGGTTCTGTGAATTAGACTCATAGTCACTGCCGAAGGTGATTCCCCATATCCCATGAATGTGATGGCCAGAGGAGCCAAATTTTCATATTGAATTTCTGCGAAACTTCACTTTTTCCTGAACCGGCATTGTGGCGTCTACCCCACATGACTCCTCAGATTCAAAGAAGGAAGGTTAGTTTCATTAAGTTTATTGCCCAAAATTATTGTCAGTGTTTTTCGTCTTATAAACGTTACCCCGTTCCTAATCAGGTAAAATGCGGGTGGAACTCTCCTGCTGACGCCGACGGGCTTGCTTTATCCAGCACGGGAACACTGCGTGACCTGAATGGCAAGGTTAAATAAATACAACCCGCAGGGTAAAAACGAAGGGTAAAAACGAGATTAACGAGGATAAATGTTTGAGAATAGAGGGCGCTAATAACACATGCATTCTTGACATAGCCTCGTGGTTACAATAAAATACAACACACCAATTGATATCTGCAGTTGGAGGGTCTTCACCGTGGAATGTCGGCCTCAAAATCATATTTTAATGATTATCGAATTTCCGAGATATCCAATCCTTCCGGTTCTAGATAGTGTGGCTTGCTGTTCTCGGCACAGCAAACATCGGACGAGCTCCGCTCTAACCTCTTAAGATTGTTTTGAAACGGCGGGCTTGACGAGCAGGACCTAGAGACAAAATGAAGCGAGCGCCACTGGAGGAAGCTTCCCGTGACGATTGTGGTCACTCCGGCGAAACATTTTCCATTCTTCTTCCGTTCTTCTTCAACTGTTCGAGTTTTTTTTTTTTGTATTCTCTATGGCATCCAGAGTCTAGCTATTCTCTTGACCTAAATCCATGATGTCGCAGGGTTCGTGTGCGGCCTTGACGCTATGAGGATCATGCGAGTGAAGTCATTAGGATGGTCGATTTTGGGAATCTGAGGTAACAAAGTCATCGGCTTCGTGGGTCTTGAGAAGCCTTAAGCTAACTATACTCTCGGCTGACGCATAGACTCTCAACAATGTGAATGGGTATAGACGTAAATGCAACACAAAATACTCACAGGCAACGAAGCGGCAGGTTGTGCGGACACACTGGGTGTGGTGAATAAAGTAACGGAACAAGCTAGGCCAGTGAAATGGAGGATCATGATGGTGATTATGATGGTGGTTTGATTATCGTATCTAAACCCGTCTAATTGGCGATGAGCAGAGAGCTATCCTTAGGTAATTGCCTATCCATCAATGAAAAGGGGAGAATCAAGAAGTTGAATGTGGACACTCTTGGATAGAATGGTAATGTAGACAAGCAGCAGACAGAGTACCTAGTCAGTCGCTAACAATGCAGATCGTCGATCACATCTCCAGGTCATTTCCGGCGATATGCCTACTAACGTAGTCGTTTTAAGGCCAATTTAAGGTCTTGTTCTTTTGAGGGATGTCGACCATGGTCGAACTCAGTTTGGTTGTTTCTAGAACTATCGAGAAGACGAGAAGGTGAAAGACTGCGGTCGTTACGAAGAAGTAGTAAACAATATTTGCACCACCGTTGCTATCAATGCTCTGGATTAGTTATGCAGGGGGGTCCAGGAGAGGGTACCAAGTTGAAAGATGAATGCGAAAGTCATTAGAATAATTCGATTATTATTTATAGAGAATTATTCATATAAAAAGTTTCCGTTTTAATATATACGTGATTATATTACACGCTCATATGTTTTGGCACGGGTGATATATGCCTTGGTGCCTTTGGCATTCTTCACAGATGATAGTGAGGATACCGATGGTTAGTTCCGCTTTTCCTTACATTATCTGATACTTCATTTGGTAACGTATAATTTAAAAATATCCATTATTTCATCGACTGAAATTAAAAATTTAAAAAATCGCCAATGAATAAACGAGTATGATATTAAACTATGCGTGGGCCTCCATACAGTTAACTCTCTTATCGGCTACCGTACTCCAGTTAATTGGTCAGTCAGCTTGACTCATCTCGTCTTTCGTCAAGGCGGGGATGCAAAATGCTTATACGAACACAGCATGGTATGACTCACCTTTCTTTCCCTTCTCAGTCAGTATATCAAAAGCAACTGGCGACATTCCGTTTAAAAAATTTCCCCTCTTGATTAAATTTACGATACGCAGGATTGATAGAAATTCTTTCGTCTACACGCGCACCGATAACTTCACCATGCACAACATCGAAACCTTCGAGCTCATCAAAGTACGTGAACAATACAAGCAGCTCAGTCTTGAATTTCTAATCAGATTAAAACCTGACTACTATGAATATAGTGGGTGAACGACCATTTCCCCAACACGCTCTACAGCTTCTTCGGCTCTGCTCCTGTTGCTCTGACGCTTGAGAGTCTTGTCTCCCTGTCGACTGACCCAGAAACCACCACCAGAAATCTAGAATCGCTCAATTCACTTTCTTTAGAACTCCCTACCAGTTTTATAATCCGTAAATCCATCGCTACGGCTATATTCAGCGACACTGACGGTGTCACGACAGAGCATGTCCTAACGACTGCGGGCTCCACTGGGGGCAATGCGGTGGTCATGCAGTCACTGTTGCAGCCCGGAGACCATGTTATCGTGCAGTACCCCACATTTGGCCAATTGCTAGCGATTCCAAAGGCACTTCCTGGCGTGAATGTTTCATTGTGGAAAATGGACCCCACGAAGGGCTGGGATGCAGATATTAATGAGCTGGAAGCCCTCGTTCAGAAAGGCAAAACCAAGTTGCTTGTCTTGAACAACCCGCACAACCCTACCGGATCTTCTCTCACGGGTAAAAGACGACGCCAGATTGTGGATATAGCCAAGAAATACAATATCTGGTTACACGTGGACGAGATTTTCCGCCCTCTCTTTTACGACTCCGAAGTTGATTCGTCTTCGTTTCTAGAGTTTAGTGATGAATACCCCCAAATAGTTGTTACCGGGTCATTAAGCAAAGCCTGGGCCCTAGCGGGCCTCCGAGTCGGCTGGGTTGTCACCAAAGAACGGCGCGCACTTCGGGCTTTCCACAACATGGCCAAGTATCTATCTGGCGAATGTGGCGCTCTTGACGAAGCCATCGCCGTCGAGGCCTTGTCATCTCGTTGTAGGGGTAATATTCTACAGAGACAACTTCACCAAGCACAGACCAACATATCAATCCTTGAAAAGTTCGTGCAGCGTAATGTGCCAAAGGTAGCATGGACAAAACCTACCTCTGGTGCAACAGCCTTTGTACAATTTCGCAAAGATGTCGATAGGCCAGTGGACGATATCGACTTCTGTGAAAAACTAAAAGCCGTGAAAGGTGTTTTATTGGTACCTGGAAGCTTGTGTTTCGGAGATGGGTCAAAGGAAACCGGTGGGCAAGCAGGACAGGACATCAAGGGGTTTGTGCGCTGGCACTTGACGGGGAGTACCGAGGTCATGGAGAAGGGGATCACTGAAATTGAAGCATTTTTGAATGACGGATTTGATAGAGTCAAAGCTGCACCGCAGTTACCCCATGTTTCTCGACTTTGATAAAAGTGGATAACAGCTTTCTAATATGAGAAATTTCACGAATTGATAACGGGAATATTTTATTCCCAATATCCACTCCATGTTGACGGCCTGCGTTTCCAAGGAGTGTCAGAAGACCGTTGTAAATTCTCAATGGCACCAGCATATCGAATTAGAGTGGCTTCGGAGAATGCTGTAACCTATGAGAGCTAGACCATATGGCATTCCAGATACCTTATTGGTACCTGCCGGCAAGGTTACTAGAGGATACCCAGCTCACGCGGCGATTTGAGTGGTTGGGCCAAAGTCTGACGGTACGAGTAGCGCTGTTAAAGCTACCTCTTTATATTTAAGAGCGGCATCGATCCCACCTTCGCGAGTGGTGTGTTGGCAGTAATGCAGTGACTCCCAATTTGTCCCATCCATAACAGCCTTGGTGGCCAGCGATTCTAGGAAGCCATCCTGCTCAGACGCAAACGCCAGGTTTATGACCTAGATGCCTTCCCTCGACCTGGACATTTTCGAGGTTGAACTGCTCCAGGCCTTCAAGAGACCTCATAGTAGAATTCTCCAGCTGAGTAAGATAGCTCTTGATGTTATTGTAAAAGTCCACTTTAACGTACGCATATTCGGATTCATTGGGAAACCCACGCTGTGATCCGTAGCCCCAGTTCCAACCAGCTAGGTTGGCTACGTCTCGGGTAGAACAGAAATTCAGTTCCATTGATAATGGCAGCCCCAGCATTCTCTATCAGATCTGGTAGCTCTATTAGCTGGCTGTTTTAAGCTGTATCATTATACTGCCATAACGACATCCGGAGTAGTCCGAACACTGCGTTCTTTAGCGTAGACTTGTCGGCTGGAAACTGTGCGTAGCCACCACGAGGAGTTTCTCCCTGCTGCAAAAAAAGTATAGTTGTCCCGTGGATCGATTCCATAAATTGCATCCAAGACATTCGTAGCATCGCGAGTAGTTTTCCAAAACATCCTACCGAATCCTGGTGTATAGGCCCAGGAATGGCACCTGCACGAGAGGTCAGTCCCTTGGTGGGTTTAATGCCGACAATATTTCACCTCTCGGCTGGATCATTACTACCAGACAGCGATTTGTCAGGTATTCATCCGGCCTTGACAAGAATCAGGTCGCAAACCACTCCCGTCCGTCTCCGTGCCCAGTGCAAAAGACTACTTGGTTACTATCCACCGCAGCGGCGGACCCCCAGCTGCTGTCGCCTGCATTGACAGTAAAATATACGGATTTCGACACTGTCCCCTACCGGCTGAGTAACCCTCGAAATAATCACTTGATCGCATGTCCGCCCGCCCACTCGCTGAGAGACGCTTAAGCAAGAAGCACTGTACCGGCGTGTAGGAGCCGCTGAATAACGTGCGCATCTCGTAGAACTATGGAGCCAATGAGTGCGAGACCCCCAGCAGTCATCTTCATTTATCCCTGCTCGCGATGTTGTCCATTACAAGAAACGGAATGCCATGTAAAAGACCCCGAATCTTGCCTAGTTTGCGCTCGACATCAAGCTCCTCAGCAATTTATCGCGTCTAGATTAAGCTGCAAGATGGCTCTGTCTGTCTTGTTAAGGCAACATTGAATATGAATGAAGTTGAGGGAAAAGCTAGGCATGACATACTTCAAATACGTCAGCACCTGATATATACGCTCCAAATAGCAATGCAATAGCTGCACACTCGTTAAACTGTCCCTGCTAAACTCACCCTAGACATCATCGATACTGGCTTCATCAAGCTTGAAGCCATTGCAGAGCGGCATGGAGAGCGCACCAGGGTTGCTGCCGTTGATAGGGGACAGCGGGTGGAAATGATATATATTCGAAGCCCCGAGGGGGGCATGACTATTACTGCCCATGGCCGTGGTAGTTACGCCAGACATGTTGGCATAGTCAAGATCATGATGATTTCTGAATTCTGTCTCGAATAATATGCAGAATGCTAGATTATTCACTACCATCGACGCCTTCAATAATGACTGATCAATGATATCGACTGAGACTGACGCGAGGCTCTAGTCAATCTCTTAGAGCTCGATACTACGGAGAGGCGCTGGTCGGATGCATCTGTGTGATGAGAAGACTGACCGTTTGCGACGTGTGAGTGACCTATTGTACGCGTCTCTTTGACTTCTGCTGGACCTGGTGGCTATTTTGACCAGTATCAAGCCTACAGATCCCCATTTCTAGAATCAACACATCAAATTATCGCCGAATTCATACCTGTTGCTGGAATATCGAGAGGGATGGGAGATGCCATAACCAAAGCGCTCAATCGCGGGCTGCAAGCGAGCTTTCGTGATCGCTCCATTGCAGGGCGTGTCGTCGGTACTCAAATTCCAGCTCCTGTGAAAGTGTAACCGAATTGATCCTTGTCCCGAATCCTTCCGTCGGCTCTTTCATCTGAGCCTCTCAGGAGACGAAAGGACGAATCGATATCGCACGAGGCCATCCGTATGCATGAAAATAATGTCCGGGCTGGGCCGGACTTTTACGGCATCATCTCAGCAAATGGAGCCAGCACCAACCCCCGCAGACAGAGACAGTGCATCTACTATGGATATTATTACGATCAAGAAATAACATTGTGGATGCCGGCACGTCTAGTAAGCATGCTATTACCTAATTCCAACCCCAGGTTACATGGCAACTTGATGGCCCACGCGGAGATGAATTGTCCCCCCACAGCCCAGGCGTGAGGCTACTCCGCGAATACCCGCCGTGTCGAGTTTCGAGATGTCAGACAACCCCATGGGGCTTCGTGTTTCCCCAGTTGAGGCATTTTCCAGCAACCCACAAATGTCACACAATGGCGGTTGAGAATACCCCGTACTCGGTCTGGAGGCCCAATGTCCGGGGAAACATGTTGGGGAACTCGTTATTCTTCACTTGACTTGAGGGCCCCCGCAACCTCTCCACGAATTGTATTGTACGTACTCCATATTATCTATGATTCCACAGCACCCTGCTTGATACTGGAGACGACCAAGATGCCCGATGAGGGAGTTTGGGGCGCCGAGCCGTAGATCCCATTAATTCAGCGAATCATCATGGCAGTGGTTTGGATGTGCGCACACCACCGTCACTACTACATGTACTCAGGCTTGTCTGTGCCCCGGCGACCGGGTTCCGATTTGCTCGCCATGTTTGCCTATACCAAATACTGGATATGGAAATATTTGCTTATTGTGAATTTTTCGTCATCGTCGTCATCATCAGTATTGAGCCCAGGGTAAAGCAGCCAAATAGGCAGGAGGAGGAGAGCCAATGGCAGGCGGCCTATTCTGAAACAAGACTAAGCTTCGGCCGGGTTCCGTGGTTCGCTCAAAAAATCTGCGCTTCTAGAAGGCGTCGTGTCTTCTTCGCACTCACACACACGCTATCGACATCGACTCACGAGGAAAGGAGGAGGCATCATAATAGCGCGGATGCAGAGATAACTGTTCGCCGCTAGAAGCGCGTTAGAAACGGCGACGGAGGAGGCCGACTGTCACGACTCGATGTCGGCCCATAATTTTGCATGGATTAATTTTCTTAGTGGTGCTGGCGTAGTCATCAGAGAGGAGGTCGCGTGCGCTGTACAGTCGCTAGTCGTGGGTATACTTACAGTGCCACCAACGCTATCATCATTATTATTAGAATGTCATTCGCAGTATACGGAGCAGGACATGCTTAGTAGGAGTATTATCATTAGACGGCGTGCTAAGATTACCCGCTAGCGTCCGCCGATCGCGCGTGCAATGCTACCGTCGTTATCAAATGCCTCAGCCAGGGATGTTTGGCTGGGTAGGGCAGCCACAGAGACGCCGCGGCGTTATCAGACTACAAAGCACCATGTGTCAGTGTGGTGACTGGCCGGGGCAGTCGCAGTCCTCCAGGATCACCCTAGCAGGCCGGTCCGATGGTCTGTCCAGCCCGCTCAAACTGGGAATGCGACTCTGCCGGCCGCCCAAGCCACTCAGGGGCCGCCGTCCGCCAAGCCGGTGGATCAGTGGGGCTCCCCGCCCCAGGCAATCGCCGACATTCGTCAATTTGCAGGCTTGGCAGGCCCAGCCGGCTGGGGCTGCGCGATAACGCCACATAATGATAGCGTCACTAATTAATTCGATTTAGCAGTCCGAGCTGCCGATCGCGCGGCTTGGCGCCATTCGGGCCAATCAGCACGCCCTGGCAAGTCTCGCAGCGTCCGAAGCCGCTCTTTCCTGCCAGGCATTTCCAGGCATACATAAGTTGGCCTGGGGAAGCCGCGAAGGAAGCTGCTTGCTTGCTCTTCTAGAAGTCTTCTCTCCTCCTCCTCCTCCTCCTCCCCTCCCTGGCCCTCGCCTCGTCCCTGCCTGCCACCGGCCATCGCAGACATGCCCTCCTCAGACAACATCTCCTCCGACTACGAGGTCTCCAAGCCCATGGCTTCCGGCTTCTCCGAGAAAAATGCTGACCAGCTGGTCGTCCCGCCGCTGTACGACCAGGAGCTCGGCGAGATGACAGAGCAGGAGCGGAAAGGCCACCACAAGTTCAACCGCCTGGGCTGGAAGCGCCTGACCGTCGTGCTCATCGTCGAGGCCATCGCCCTGGGAAGTCTCTCGCTCCCCAAGACCTTCGCCACGCTCGGCATGGTGCCTGGCGTCCTTTGTTCCGTCGGTCTCGGTCTCATCGCTATCTATACCAGCTATGTCGTCGGCCAGGTCAAGCTCAAGTTCCCCCAGGTCGCCCACTACCCGGACGCCGGCACGCTCCTGTTCGGCCGCTTTGGCTATGAGCTGATCAATGTCATGCTTGGCTTGCAACTCCTGTTCTTGGTCGGCTCGCACTGTCTGACTGGTACTATCGCCTTTATGACCATCACCAATAGCGGCATCTGCTCTATTGTCTGGGCCGTCATCTCTGCCATCATTCTGTTCCTCCTCGCCCTGCCCCCGAGTTTCGCTGAGGTGGCTATCCTCGGCTACGTCGATTTTGCTTCCATCATCATCGCCATTGGCATCACCATCATTGGCACCGGTGTCGAAAACACCAACTCCATTGGCGGACCCGTCGTGTGGTCGGCCTGGCCCAAGGACGGGATCACCTTCACTGATGGCTTCATCGCCGTCTCCAACATTATCTTCGCTTACAGTTTCGCCATGTGCCAGTTCTCTTTCATGGATGAAATGCACACCCCGAAGGACTTCGTCAAGTCGATTTGGACCTTGGGCCTCACCGAGATGATCATCTACACCGTAACCGGTGCCCTGGTCTATGCTTTCGTGGGCATGGATGTCAAGAGCCCCGCGTTGCTATCCGCCGGCCACCTTCTGAGCAAAGTCGCTTTCGGAATCGCCCTTCCAGTCATTTTCATCAGTGGTTCCATTAATGGCACTGTTCTGGGTCGCCTTATTCACGGACGTGTCTATAAAAACTCTCCAATTCGTTTCATTAACACGAAGATGGGCTGGATCACCTGGATCTCCTTGATTGCCGTCATCACTGTTGTCGCCTTCATTATCGCCGAAGTGATTCCTTTCTTTTCCGACTTGCTCTCCATCTCGTCCGCTCTGTTCATCTCTGGCTTCAGCTTCTACTTCCCGGCCTTGATGTGGTTTATGCTTATCCGCGAGGGCAAGTGGTACGCTAACAAGAAAAATCTGGCTCTCTCTGCCGTCAATGCCTTCACTTTTATCATTGGCATTGTCACACTGGTGGCCGGTACTTATTCCAGTGTCGATGACATCGTATGTATTCCTTCTACTCCACCGTCGCTATGTATGACTGCGGGTTACTAACGTAAGTAATAGGTCAACAATTACAGAGATGGCACAGTCCGAGGAGTTTTCACCTGCGCCGAGCCATCTTAGAGCCCTAGGAAGGCATTTTCATTGTAACAGCATCTCGTCGAATTTAGCGTGGTCTTCCTCTATTCATCTCCCGCGGCTCTGCATAGTATTGTGTTGGTAGACTAGACTACAGTCCGTTATCAGACCAATTATTCATATACATATTCATAATCACACCCATATTACTAATGACCGTAGTGGCGGACTCGAACTAGAACGTCACAGCCACCTGCGACAAACATGTTATTGACCGCCTCGACGCTGACACTGGCATGTGTAAATTAGTTGTTGCGGGGTAGTTTATAATTGTCGTTCGTCAACTCGGGACTATCAACCCCGACTCGAATAAAGAACTCACAGCTCAAGGTACACATGATTATAGTGTCACAATTCTGCTGATATTCGAACAAGTCACGGATAATCGTAAATAAAAATGGAACGGTGCAATGCTTGCATGGCATAAGCAACTTGCCGTTATGAAATCGAAATAAAGTAAGCTGCTACAAAATGAGTATACTTTCGTATGCTGAACCTGTTGTATCGAATGTTTCAATTATTGACATGAACAAAAGAGTTGAACGTGAGATATTAATGAATTGATGATCATTCTAAGTAATGATACCATTGATCTTATACAGCTACACGCAATCCATAAAAATATGTGGTCGCCGTGAGGAAGCAAAAGGAAAAGCAAACGAATAGCGGGAACCAGAAAAGACTCGAGTCTAAGCTTCTAAAACGAACCCAAACACAATGAAACTTCAATCAAAAGCAGATTCACCCCAAAAGGGATCAATCGAATGGGATCATTATTATTCCATTAAATAGGCTCGTCTCTGGGCTCAATCAAAACTTCATTGACGGCCACATGTGGCGGCTGACTCAGTGCATATACAATCGAGTTGGCGACATCTTCAGGGTCAAGAATCTGTGCACCCGATGGCTCGCCGTACTTCTTAATAGCTTCGGCATCCGTCGACATGCCGAGCAGATCGGTAGCAGTATTGCCGGGCTGTACGCTGGTGACGCGCAGTCCTGCCCCTGCTGTTTCTAAACGCAGCGATTGAAGCGTTGCTTCAACAAAGAATTTGCTGGCGGAGTACACGCCCAGTCCAGGGAATACTTTCCGGCCTGCGTCAGAAGAAATGGCGACGATATGCCCACTGCCGCGGGAGAGCATACCGGGCACTGTGGACGACAAACAGTTCAAAAGGCCTTTACAGTTCACATCTACGGTGCGCTCCCACTCTTCCATCTGGACATTTGCCATCATTGTGAAATACATCACACCCGCACAAGATATGAGAATGTCAACCGGACCCAGCTCTTCGGTGGCCTTTTCGACAAGGGTTACTACTTGTTTCCTGTCTGTGACATCGGTTTTTTGAATGGTAATCTTAACACCGTGGACTGTGGTCTTGCGCTTGATTGTTTCGAGAGCATCCAACCGTCGAGCACCAAGTGCGACATGACAACCCTGCTTTGCCAACGCCGTAGCAACTGCGGCGCCGATACCAGAGGAAGCACCAGTAATTACTGCCACCTTCCCACTTAACGGGGACTTGAAAGCTGCCTTGGGAGGCCGGGTTAGCGCCTCACTTCTGGAAGGTGGCCTGGGGAGCCATCCTCTGGCGAACCAATGTCGCGTGTAAGTTTCGAGGAGATCACTATCGACCTTGGGTCGCTCGACAGCGAGCCTAAAGGGCCGAGTAGCAGTATTGTCAAGAACAACGATGCCTCGAAGAAAGTCAACAGTCGGCATGCCACTGCGCAGAATATCTACCGTGAACGAGCCGTCTCCGCCCTTGGCCAAGCCTCGTTTGTCGTTCCAAAGCGTAACCCATTCATCCCATCCAACGGGTTGAGTGGTATATCCGAGCTCATTGAGGTTTTGAAAGACAGATCGCGTGCTCACCGGATTAGGATCTCCGAGGTGGAAGATAGACTGATCTGTTTCGGTTTGGGACGAGAGATGAACGATGGATCTGCTGACGAAGTCAACAGGTGTCATCTCTGCACGCCAGCCATCAACATCAGGCGCAAATCCAAGCTTGATTGATTCCACTATTAGAGCTGAGAGGAGATCCCAGGCATTAGTTGCACCCGTAACACTGTGGCCGCTGATTGTGCCGGCACGGTGTATTTTCACTGGCAAACCACGTCGACCAGCCTCGAGAACTAATTGTTCTGCAACCCATTTAGTCTGTCCATAGCCATCTAGAAGTTTCTCGGGTACCTCTTCAACAGGTAGAATGGTCGTTTCCGGCCAACCTGTCTGGCCAGAGGGAGGAAGTACGCCATTTGTAGATACATATTGCACTGTGGCGCCATTCTTGCAGGCTAAACGGAGAATCTCTCTTGTTCCACCGATGTTTGCATCGCGTAGAGCAGCATACGGGTAAACGAGATTGACGCTGGCGGCAGCATGGACAATAACTTGAACTCGAGCGGCCAGACTATCGAATGATTCAGGTGAAAGCCCGAAGCGGTCGCGGGATAAGTTCCCAGGAAGAACTTCGACACGCTCCATGACAGAATCACGCCATAGGCCCATATCAAGTAGGTTGCGACGAATACGTGCCACACCTCCGGCCCGGTCATCATCTTCAGGATCGCTGAAACGAACCAGGCAGATGATGTTTGCTGATGTGTTTTCTAGTAAGTCACTGAGTAAAAAGGCGCCTAAATAACCAGTAACACCAGTCAATAGAACTGTATCTGCGTCGTGAATTGGGAATAGCTTCGCCTCAGCCGAAGGCTTTATATCAGTGTCAAGAGTAGAATCTCGACGTAAGAAGGCAGGGAGCTCTGCTTGTATAGCTGCTGTGTGCCCATCCCTCACAGCGCGTACGATCCCGACGTGTCCTTGGATGGTTGGATTTTCTGCTAAACGGGAGATGGGAACGCGGAAACCAAATGTTCTCGCCATTCTAGACGAGAGATCAGCAAGCAATAGGGACTGGCCACCCAAGTCGAAAAAGTTGCTCTCTGTTTTCAGAAGTGTGTGGGAAGTTTTCAATGTCGCTGCCCATATTGTAGCAATTTCCTTGGTACTGATGGGATCTTTGTCGGTATGGTGTGTATTGCCATTGACAGGGCTCGTGGTTCGAGGAAGCGGCAGACTCTTGAGATCGACCTTACCAGAGACACCATGTGTGGGTATATGATCAAGCTCAACCCACAGAACCGGTATCATGTACTGTGCAAGATAAGACGAAAGTGTACGACGTGATCCCGGACTGTGCCCAGTCTCATTGATATCCACCTCTGGGCGATCGGGGGAGGCACCGGCTGTGTCACGAACAATATACGCCACTAACTGTCTATCCAATCCTTCACCATAGGAAATGACACAGCAATTGCTGACTGCTAAATGCTTGATTATTGCGTTTTCAACCTTGCCTGGTACGACGGAATATCCTCTTAACTTGATCATGGAGCCGACGCGACCGGTAATTTCGAGCAGTCCAGAAGGCAGCATTCGCCCTAAGTCTCCAGTCCTATACATGCGCGCTCCAGGATTTTTCGTATCGAATGGATCTGTAACGAATGCCTTGGCAGTTGTCTCTGGTCGATTGAGATACCCACGAGCGAGTAATGGGCCGCCGACAAAAAGCTCCCCGCTGATGCCATCATCTACTTTCTGCCCAGCCTCGTCGAGAATATAAGTGTGTATAGGGTCTAGTGGTGGTCCAACAGGACAGTATGCAGCCTCACTGTCAACCATTTCGCGGATGTCTCCGCACGCGATCTCGTGAGTTTCACAAGCGCTATAACAATTCAATAGACGAGTTTTAGGAAGAGCTTTGATAGCTCTGTGGGCCAAATCCGTTGTGACAACCTCGCCATTTAACCATAAGGTCCGCAGCTCTGTTACGCGGGACCCAAGATGCGGGTGGCACGATAGAATGGTGGCCAATAGGGTGGGCGTCATCAGAGTTTCAGTGATTCGCTTAGAGACAAGCAAGTCAACGAGAGTTGCCGGGTCGTAGCTTACTTCATCTGGTACGACTACAACTGTAGCACCGCGAAGCAAGGGGCGTAAAATCTCCCAGATGAAAAACACATTGCATGCCACTCGGTCTCCAGGGTGAAGGTTTGAAAGGGCAAATCTAAGGTTATATGATAGCACGGGCGCTCTGTGAGGATTGGCAATCCCCTTTGGTTTGCCGGTAGTTCCTGATGAATATGATACAAAGGCAAGCCGGTCCAGGTCTTCATCCGCTGGAAGGGGTCCGGGTTCGATACCATTCTCACTGGGCTCGGTGAACGGTTCATCTAGAGCAATCAAAGGCACGCCCGATTTGATCTTGCACTTTTCGGACTTGTGTGTGATGACCACGGTTGGCCTGGCATCGTCCAGCACGTCGGTGAGGAGGTCCGGAGGGTATGCAAGTTCTAGGACAAGGAACGCTCCTCCAGCGCGAAGAATGGCGAGACATGCAATTACATAGTCGGCGCTTCGAGGCAGCAACACACCTACGAGCGTGTCTCGACCTACACCATGACGACGAAGTCGCAGCGCAAGGATGTCAACCTGAGCATCTAGTTCTTTGTAAGTGTAGTTGACATTGGTGTCGTCTTCTAACGCTATGGCATCGGGAGCCGCTAGTGCCTGGTGCCTGAAGAGTGCAGACAGATCTTTTGTGGTATCGATAACAGACATTTCTGGGACTCCACTAATTACACGAGTTGAGAAATCCCAAGGAATAGCTGGGACATGTAAAACCGAGTGAACGAGCGACTGAGGAAGATTATATGCCCCGCACAAAGTGTTCTCTGGTCGCGAGAAACTTGAATAGCGAGTGGATACTTGAGAAATCGTCGATCAATGAGCTCTTGAGGAGCCGTCACGATGTGTCCAGACCCTCCCCCACGCAAATGGCGGTGCTCGCGGCTACGTTGTATATGGCTTTGTGTTCGTATACATTCGAACTGGGAAGCCAGTAGGAAGAACAGAGGCAAAAGATTATATCGGCAATAAAAAGAAAAAAAAAACAAAAACGAAAAAATAGTGTGCCTCAGGACGAATCGCAATTATTGCAGATGGCGTTATCAGTGCTAGCAATAAAATTAGCCAATCAGAGCTGTTTCTGAGGTGTTCAAGCTTAGCCCAGCGAACCACATCTATTTGCTTTTTCTTACTTTTCTTTTCTTTTCATGCACAAGTAAACAGCCTTGGTCTTGTCTTCATACTTAACCTTGGATCAAAATTATTAATATTGTTCATCTATAGAGTCGAAGTCAAATTGTCAACATGACGGTGAGCTAGGCATCCCCAACAAATTTGATTTAGTCGCATAGTGGGGCTCAGGTCGATTTATTCGCGTGTTTGTCACATGTCAAAAAAAAAAAAAAAAAACCCTCTAGATAAGGACAGGTCACGCGATCACCTGCTGCGGTGTGTTGCCCTAGTCCTACGCACACTGCATACTAATTTATTGGGCTGTATTTAGCCAAGGTCTAGACCTTTTTGTGTACCTCATTCTAGTCTACTTGCTCTTTTTTGATCTTGCAACAAAGGCACTCGTTGGAAATGCATTTTTTAAGGCCTAAACATAATATTTTTTTTTGAGTTCGCGACCGTTGGACTGCTCTATGCCTACGTCGTTCGACGCTGATTTGTGCTGCCATTAACTTGATTAACCAATATCATGTGTGATTATTTGATAAGAATATTCATAGCCTATACACAATCTAGCATCGTTGAATAACATGAACTCCGAGGAGTACGGAAAGAAAAGTAGTTTTACCTGAAGTTCAGCACTAGGAAGATCAATCCGTCCTGTTGTTTCCTCTGCATTTGCATCATTAGCAATCCCATGAAAATAAAAGGGGGAATTGCGTTCGGAATATAACCCAAGTTGTGGCTAGATGGAGTACAAGCGGAAAATTGCAAACATTGACGTGCTGTATCATGCACGCAATATTATTTTTCACGCGACAAGCAAGGTTCTCAATTGCGACATAAAAAATTGCAACTTGTGGTATTGCCTATGATGTCGCAAAGTCCCAATGACGAGCACAGCATTAACCTAGACGCATTTCAATCAACTTTCCAATGAACTGATCAATAGACATTGTCGGAGTCTCTTCGCTTGAACATGCCGCCATATTATACATTTTGCCGGCAGGATTGTGGCTTTGAACTAGCCTTTGAAACATCCTAATCTAAACAACAACTCCACGTTCAAAGAAGTTTTCCAAAATCAAGACCAGCTTGAGATAAATGTGCGGAAAGTGTACGACCAAGTCAGACCAGTCTGCTACTGATGCCGTTTCTTCGTGGCCCGTAAATATGAGCGCTTCGAGATCTTCCTCGAGTGTCGCTGTCAGGTGCTGAAGTATTTTCTCAGAACTTCCATGCCGAGCGTTACTGCTCCGCATCACTGTATAGGCATCCCTATATCCATCAACACGATTGACCATTTCTAGGGGCGTTGCAGGCAGCATTCGATTAATGTAAAGAAGCATAGCGGGGAAGAAAGTGTGTGCTCCTCTAGTAATTTGATGCCTCATCAGAGTCTGAACTAATCGTAGCGGAACTAATGGAAGGGAGGAGCGTACATCGAGATTGGCCAGTGGCCAGTTATATCATACTTGACGGCAGTTTTCATAAATCCCACGATAGCATGAACAGATCTCTCCAGTTTTATTTTGATGGCATGCCGTTCATTGAGCTGTATCTCCGGAGGCACCTCTTGACTTTGAACTTCTAGCAACATGACTTGTGCGTTGACAAGTCTAATGCGGGCCGACCTAGGTATATCCAGTTTCAAGTCAGCCATCAAGGGGAGGTTTCAATTGTAAGTAGCATTGATAAATAAATATGAGGTAATGCCTAGCGTTTGAACGTACTGGTAGTAAATATAGGCAAGTATCGTGTGCGACATCACTGACGGGTCACCTCTCTGCTGCAAAATTTGGTCAAGTGAAGTTGTTTCCCATGTGTCTAGTTGATTGCTGACGCGTTTTACCGTTTCCACAATGTTGGGAAGGTCTTTCATAGCCAGCATACTCAGTCCACGTAACATATCCTTGATATCCTCAGCCAACGTAACGATCTCGGTAAGAATTCCACTTAGTCGAGACACTTTTATAGAAAGATAGAGAAGGGTTTGTTTCGAGCTGACAGAGTACACCCTTGAGGCCGACACTTCGAAATTTAGGTCTTGTTCGTTTAAAAGGTCATGGGTAGGGTTAAATTCATTAGGTGGAATTAGAAGCCGGGTCCGAACGCCTAGTGACAGAATTCGGTCGCGAATGATACATGAGCACCACAAGCGTCGATATTGCATCGCCTTCGTATTCATAGCTGTCGTGAGGTTTTTATCTGGTTTTTCGCTTTTTTGAAGATGGGCACCGCATTTGCGGGCGTTTGAAATCGCTCTTTGCAGCCAATTAACATTGCACAGTGGATTATCTATGGCGAAACGATACGAAAGAAGTAGAGTTCCCTGAGCGATGGAATAAGGATTTGATTCGGCTTGCAACTCAAACAAGATCTGAATATACGTGAGTACGTCGCGGACAAAATATACGTCAGAGCTGGTAAACCTTTGCGCGCTCATAAAATGTATCCCGTGCTTCTTCATAATGAATGAACCCAAGGGCAGTGATGGTACGGTGATCGACAATCTTTTTTTTTCGTTAAGCAAGTGTGCCATCGGTACTAAGCTTTTAGATTGCAGACTTACCCCAGCTGCAGCAAACAACATTGCCTGCAAAACAAACAGAGATATTGTTGAATTTTCCCTCTGGGTACCCGACCCGACGTCTGAGTATATCTGCCAAAAGTTTGTCTCATCTAACATAGGAAGATAAGGATGTATGTGCCGAAAGTAATGAACAAGAAAATCATCAAACTGAGGTTGAGCCGGTAGATAGAAACATCCTTGAAGTTCTAGCAACGCCCGATCCTTCATACTGAGATGTTCCAATCCATCTAGCTTGGCGAATGGGTATTTGGAGTACAATCGAAAATGCGAATGGTCTGCCACTCTAGATGCGCTGTTCGCATTGCAACTATTGACAAGTGGGTCCTCGTTGCCCTCACGGGGAGGGAACGGATTCATCAGGTGGTGAAATATTTGCTAATTAGAGAACGAAAAGTATGAGTTTCTTGGCTTAGATATGTAATTTTACAAGGTCGAAGCATGAACCTACTGTTTCAAGATCCTCCATGGTGGCGCCATCGAACGCACCCTTGTGCAATGCCGTTCCAACTGCGCAGAGAAATTCGGTCCTTGGTAAGAACGACCTGTGGATATTTTTGTGATAACGGAAGCACAATCTCGTTTATGTGAGACGCGTTACATTTGCTGCACATTAAGAAAAGTAAAATGGCAGTGGTAGGCGACCAGTTGATGTGCTGCACAAGGGAATGGACGGACAGCAGTCTTAACGGGCCATCTTCAGTTATCTGGCGCTCGTGTTTTCGACCAACAAAACCCGCATAGCCGAAACTGCCAGAAAGCCCCGATGCCAACCAAATGCGGGGTTAGCCAGTCTGGAACAACCGGAAATCGCTCCCTCCACGTTCGCCGAATTCGCGGAGAAATCAAGTAAGCCTTCTACAAGGCCCGCTCTTGTTTGGTAACTCGATTTGGGCGATATACTTTAACAACGAAAATGGTGCATTATTTTGTAATATGCCTTGTTCCTTTACTCGATTTCATTCCCCAATATTATTTTTTCATCGTTAGCATAGATTTGACTTTAAAATTGTCATGGTATTTCCGAAACTTTATGCAACCGTTGGCGGCCGCATTTGTCGGCAGAAATCGGCATAGTCGGCTCGCTCTAAGATGGTCAGAGTCTCTTTTGGCTGTCCTCGTAAGACATAATTGAGAAATAAAACAGGCAATCCTGTAAAGCCCACTGGAGGCGGGGACTCTTGAACATTGAATACCAGGACAACATAACGTACTATTAACTAACAAAACTGTTGAAATGGCACTTTGGAATCTGCATGTTGGGCCACTTCAAACTAGCCATGGCGACGAGTCGGCGACGAATCGGCCCGACTCAGCAAGCCCTGGGCAGCCAATTGCGACGCAATTTCTATATAGGGTAAAGCGCAGGGAGAATCCGCTCCAAATCGTCCGCTCGCATACATGAGCAATTCCATGACTTTTGTTGAACGGCAAAGCCTTCAAGCGGCTACGACTATCCGAGTAGACGTTCTCGTTTCGGATTTTGCAAATGGTGATCATAGTTTAAACATTAACCTTAGTGTCGCCTAGACCTACTTCATGTAGGATTTGTAGTGGATGAAAGCAATTGAAAATTTGAAGCTATAAAAGCAGAACGGATGTTGCGGGGAGTTTGAGCGAGTTGCACATTTGACGTTCTTATGAAACTAAATGAACCCATGACGACACGGTAAAACTATGTACTATACACTGATTATACTCCTATTCACGACAGGCATCGATATATCTTCCAGCATCTGATTCTGATTGTCGTTCGTATATCAGTGGATATAAACCATTCCATCTCATGGTTATACGGTACCATAGAATAGACATGTACTATGCAATCAGGAGAAACTACAACATATACCGAAACGTCAGACTTCGATCTCCTCGTTCACTTGAAGTGGCTACGGACGGCCCCGTAGTGCTGTCTTCATTTGCCAAAGCTTCCTCCCTTCTGAAATTAACTCGCTGGTACGAAAAGCGCAGGATGAGTACCGCCAGTGTTCCTGCAACAGCGAATCCGAGTTCCAAGGCATGACCAAGGATATATTTTGGGGCATCTTGTGTACGATAGAAATTGGAAGCCATGGCTATATAATATATTTCAGCCCACGCTTAAATCTCTCACCTGCGCACATTGGGTATAAAAGAAGATAGTCACAACTTACCACCACCTAAGTTTCCAATACCAATATGGATAGCCATTCCTGCTGCTCGTTTGTATCCCCCCGCCAAATTGTTGCTAAGCCAGGTAACATTTCCAGGAAAAGCCGGATAAATTCCTGTACGACGCTTTTATTAGCTACTGCGTTTAACTTGTACTTTTGGCTAGGTAGATAGTGGTAAAAACTGTAAAGAACGAACGACTTACCAACAACAGCCAAAAACGTCCCAAAGTAAACAACCCCAGGCACACCACGACCAGATGAAACTATGCAAATAATAAAGCCAGCGATGATGCAGAGAAAGAAGCCTAAGATGAAAGGAGATCTTTGACCAGCCTTGTCCGAAAAGAGGGCCGCAATGACAGAGACAATAGCGGCTGTGATGTAGATTGGAAGCTATTGAAAAGTGTAAATCAGCCAGAAGGTTTATAACTGACAAAACGGGCCCGGTTGCAACCTACAGTCAGAAGCTGGGCTGTAGAAGAGGAATAACCCAGATCTTTGATAATAGTAGGTAGAAAGAAAGATATTCCATAAAGAGGACATACAATTCCCCAGTACACTGTTGATCGATATCATTATCAGAATGTAAGCATTTGATAGAGTTTAGTAGTTGCACTTACTGATCAATGCTAAATAAACCTGCCAATCAGTAAATGCGTCTCGCACATATTTCCAAGAGAACGTCTCCTCATCTACCAACTGTCTGCCACGGCTATCTGTATTTTGGTTTCTTAGGCGAGCCACAACCCATTCCCTTTCATCCTTCGTCAAGAAAGAGGCGGTTTCGGGAAAATCATGGATCACGAAGAAAGAGATGAAACCCACAACGACGGTGGCCAGGCCTTCAAGTATGAAAATCCATCGCCAGCCGGAGTATCCTCCGACACCGTTCATCTTCTGCAAAAGTTGTTTAGAGACTGATCTTAAAAATTCTTGGATAAAAAGGAAATAATAATAGTCGAATCATTTATTAACGAGAACATTGTGCATAATTTGCAAAGAGTAAGAAAGAAAGCGGAAAGATCAACTTACAGCAATTGCATACGCCAACAAACCGGAGAAAGCACCGGCAATACTAGCTGAGCTAAAAAACAGTGCTTGGCGATATTGGGCCTCATGGCGACAGTACCACATGGTGATGTAGAAGGCGACTCCAGGATAAAGACCGGCTTCTATTAGTGTCTATTAGTCTCTGGGAACAAACTGGTAAAGTACTCTTTTTAATGACAGTGAATCGTACCAGCCACCCCGAGAAAGATCCTGGCAGTCAATAATCCAGCGTAATTTTGCACAACTCCCATCAGTGTCTAATATTAAGTTTAGTTAGAACAAAAAGCTTCTCTCTCGCCGTATCATTCATGTGTCGTACCATGACAACCCCCCACGCTACCATGATCGAAGGAAGCCATATAGATGGCCGCAGACGTTTCAAAAGAAGATTCGACGGGACTTCAAAAGCCGCATAGGTAAAAAAAAAGACGGTGACTGTAAATGCGTTAATATGGACCGATCCATGGCAATCTGTAGAACAGCAACAAGATAAGGGAGAAAATGGGAACGAACGGCAGAGATTATACTGGGGGCCTACTAGCCCTAGTTCTTCGGGAAGACCCTCTATTTTGGCGTTTCCAATGTTACCTCTATCAAGGAAACACAACAGATACAAGATGGACAACATGGGAAGGAGACGCAGATCCATTTTTCGTAAGACCTTTTTCTCGTCAATGTTATGGAATACATCGCTTGCTTGCTCGACGTCCTGCTTTTGTATGTCGGAAAACTTCTCGTTAGAAACATAAGTGGTGGTGTTGTTATCGGAATCTCTTAGGCTAGAAGCGTGAGTCATGTTGACAGTATTAAACTTGGTGCATAAATCAGAAAAGAAAAGAAAAACAATCAAGTCCACTTAGTCTTGTAGACCGCTGTGTCAAAAGAAGTTGTTGACCTTGGTCTATATAATCGCTTCACGCTTATAACCAACACTTAGTTGTACGGAATTCCCCGCACATTGCTTCGGATCCGATGAGGTAGCGGGGGAATTTGTGGCTCGGATCCGAGAATGTAGGTCCATTCCTGGGGGACAATGCGTGATCTGCGTAGTGTAATACCGAATTGCAGTCCTACGCCGTCATCGTCGCACCAATCAAAATACAGTTCTTCACAGATGGCGAGATCATCCCCGCAAATCCCCAGAGCTTCAGGATCGGTTCCGGCTGTGGCTGGAAATTGACGCTTTGTTTTCTAGGGCGCGTCCTTATCAACGCAGGGTTGAGAAATCCGGATTCTCACCGAAGCTTTCGTGACATATTGCGGGGAAGCTGATATATATCCTCGAGGTGTACCCCGCATTTAGGCTCGATAAAGTCAAAAACAGAGTTAAATTGCCCCACGCCGTTTCTATTATTATTCAATGATTTCTATCAAGCACAACAGTAACTACATCCGTGTCCACCATTTCAAACTATCCAATCACAAGTTGTCGTCAGCGAGCTATAATCTTTTTTCCTATTCTTTTCTACGCCAGTTACTTCGGCTTTCGTAGGATTCTCATCTTTCGTTGAAACGCATACAAACTAGTTGATCTGCTCCGTGATTCATTCTAGCATTCCATTCCATGTAACTAGGACCGGGTACCTATCCTACATATCATTTCTCTGCCCGCAATTATCTTTCCAGGTTACCCACATTATTGTCTCAACCTAGTCTGATCTTTTGTAGGCTTGCATGAGACCTACCCGGCATCAGCGATATTCCTATCCGCTCTTATAAAGACAGTCCGAAAAAGACTCTTTCAATTTGCATCACAGCATTTCAAAGGAAAAAATGATTCTCACAGTTGGATGCTGGTCCAACAATAAATCGGTTGATTGCTGTAACCCTACCTACTTATAACGAGATTGTGGAATAATATAATTGGAATGTTGGCAGAATTACAAGTCATTGAGGGCTTTTGGGATTCTAGCGTCGGTGGTGATATATTCTATTAATCATTCATTGGCTGGTGAGTAGAATACGTTTTTCACTGAAGTAATGAGAGCCTTCAAACGACGGGAAGTATCTCAAAGAGAATATGCTTGACCTCGATATTATTCAAAGGACGAAATGGCTAAATTGATAGAGGAGCTTTGAATGTTAGACAAGTAAGTACATTGAACATGTTTCCCATCCTTAAACATGCGTTGCGATGTTATTCGAAAAAGTCACAAGTGGCCTAGAACCACAATCGTATTCGGATCGATTACATTTGGCAAGAATGCGCCTAGTTTACGAGTATTCCAAGCATTGTTGCCTACGGTTACACGAGCGTAGTCGCTTACACTTTTATAAGCGTAATTGAAAATCATTTTTAGAACCGGTGAAAACTAGTAAAGTTCCCTTCAAGTAATAATAATGCGCTACACATAACCTTCCTTACTATTTTCTAATGAAGTGTAAGTCTACTAGATCTACTGGTGAACCCGTTCCAACTACTAAACGAATAGGAAGACCGCAAAAACAGAAAAAGTGAAATGCACTAGTTGTGAGTGTGTGGCGAGTGCTATTAAAACATGATTGGAACAATCGAACCAATGGGTTGCTTCTGCACGATCTGAACGCTGAAGTCAAAACTTCTGCTTAAACTATCAATTGAACTATATCGAGAAGAGACAGGGTTGAGTATATACGTAGATCTGTGTCTGGATGCCCACAGACCTTTTCTAGAAATTACCTAGTGATGTCACTGTTGAAGGTTTAAATATGGTACTGGGCCTTTCCTACCAAGAAGTGCTCGGCTGATGTTATTGGAACCCAAGCGCTTGGGCCTTCCCTGGTGGTGGACAAATTCAACTACCTCTGTTAAGTTCACGCATCGTGTGTCGCCAATTTGATCTTCACCCCGCAATTGTAGGATGAGTCCCGTGGATCAACTAAAATTTACTCCCACTCATTGGTGATGCCCAAACTATGTTCTTAGCGCGAAACGCTCACTATCGAAAGTTGGTCATGCTTTTCCAGCTACTCTGCGCGCAATGGTCCGTTGTACTTTGGATGCCGACCGTGCAGAGAACCCGGCCATGAGCAGGCTTATAACCCTCCAAGTGCGTGGCTGATGAAAGAAATTTGGAATTTTCAATTGATTTAGCCCTCGCAAAACATATCAAGGTCCTTTGATGTGTTTGTAATTTGTCTGAAATCTGTTGATATTCCTCATTAAAGATGAGGCTTATGCTTCAAAAACCGGAAGGGGTTGCAGGTGCTTCCTGGCCTGCAATTGTGATTGGTTTATTCGTTGCATTTGGGGGAGTCTTGTTTGGGTATATACTCTCATCACTTCTGCTTCTGTCAATGTAAGGCAGCACAAGCTAATAATCGTTCACCTATATAGATATGATACAGGAACGATAAGTGGCATCTTAGCCATGCCATATTGGCAAGATCTCTTCTCAACTGGCTATCGAGATAGTACCGGCCACCTGAATGTTACAGCCTCTCAAACATCAGCCATAGTATCTATTCTCTCGGCAGGAACATTCTTTGGCGCACTCGGCGCCGCTCCCATTGCCGATCGTTTGGGTCGCCGTTGGAGTCTGATTGCTTCCTGCTGCGTCTTCATTCTCGGTGTTATCTTGCAAACTGCCGCTACTGCCATTCCATTGTTTCTTGCTGGAAGATTCTTTGCTGGCTTGGGCGTTGGTTTGGTGTCAGCCTTAAGTGAGTATCTACATACTACCCGGTAATGGGCAATGGCGTTACAAAAACGAACACTAATATTAGACTAGTTCCGCTATATCAATCTGAGACAGCACCAAAATGGATTCGTGGATCAATAGTCGGTGCATACCAGTTCTCAATCACGGTTGGCCTTCTCCTGGCATCAATTGTGAATAACTCTACCAAAGACAGAAATGACACGGGCTGTTATCGCATCCCAGTCGCAGTGCAATTTGCGTGGGCAATAATATTGATTACTGGAATGCTTATTCTTCCAGATACGCCACGTTTTATGATAAGAAATGATGACTATGAGGGGGCCGCAAAAGCCCTTGGGAGACTTCGTCGTCTACCAGTAGATCATATAGCCATTCGGGAAGAGCTTACCGAAATCGAAGCCAACCACAAATTTGAGATGACCCTCGGAAAAGCTACTTATTTGGACTGTTTCAAAGGAAATCTTCTGAAACGTCTTCTAACGGGCTGCGGCTTACAGGCCTTGCAACAGCTGACTGGCATCAACTTTATTTTTTACTATGGAACGCAGGTGAGAAAAACTGATCAAATCCGCTTTGATTTTTATTCGGATAAGCTCGCAAATCCAAAATTACTACTACATAGTGTTAGGCTGATAGGATTGGTGCAAACAGTTTTTCAAAAACTCAGGCTTTCACAACTCCTTCATAATTTCCTTGATCACAAATTGTGTCAACGTCGGGTCAACAATACCTGGTCTATGGGCCATTGAGAAACTGGGCCGACGCCCAGTTCTCTTCTGGGGTGCTGTAGGCATGTGTGTCTCGCAATTTCTTGTTGCAATTCTTGGTACCACGACAACAACGCAGAACGCCACTGGGGTGATTATCGTCGAGAATGAACCTGCTCAAAAGGCGGCTATTGCTTTCATTTGCATATTTATCTTCTTTTTCGCCGCGAGCTGGGGACCGTGTGCTTGGTGAGTTAATGCCCTGTTGTTAAATTGTGTCGTCCTTATTAACTGTTGTGCTTTTGTCCGGAAGGGTGGTTACGGGTGAAATATTCCCTCTCAAAGTCAGGGCTAAGTCGTTATCTATGACTACAGCCACTAACTGGCTCTTAAATTGGGCCATCGCTTATTCGACCCCCTACCTAGTTGACTATGGTCCAGGTAATGCCAATCTACAGTCAAAAATATTCTTTATATGGGGCTCTTGCTGCTTTCTCTGCATCGCTTTCGTGTACTTCTTGATATATGAAACAAAGGGACTTACTCTGGAGCAAATCGACGAATTGTACGCAGAGGTCAGTAGTGCAAGGATTACTCCTGGTTGGACTCCGTCAGTTACCTTCAAGGATATACAGGAGGGCAAAGCAGAAGTTGTCCACCGAGAAAAGACTTGAGGTAGCGGTCTTCAGGAAAAGAGCAGAGAACAAAATTACCGTACTCTGTTTTCTGGCTGGATGATAGTTCTTTCTTTTCGCTTCATTCATTCTCTACTTTTTATGCTTTTCAACCGGAGATTCTACAATATGCAGTAACAGGCCAGGAGGGAAGGGAAAAAAACCAGCAAAAGAAAAAGAAAAAGGAAAAATGGGAGCGAGAGAGACTTAAGGAGATGTCAATCATTCTGGAAAATAGTAATTGATATTTGCGTATACAACATTTCACGGGTACGTACCAAGGCCCAGGAAGATTGTATTTTGTGCGGCCTAGGATGCGCATGTAACACCTGGGTTTTACTGCGAGTGACCATCATTCTTATTGCCAGATTTCGAAACAATAGCCTTTATATCGGGTTGACCTAGAACATCTAGCCTCTAAAATTCGCGTTGGGTCAAGTGACCATCCCGGACTTTGATACTTGGCGGAAATGGCGTAGCCATATCTAAATCCCGATCTATTACTCACAAGACGAATAAAGCCGCCATGATTATTTGAGGTTACTTTCATTCTGTCTTAAGTTAAATAGCTAGACAGAGCGGGGAGAAGAGAGAGTGGTCGATTTGGACTAGAGAGGGAACTACGCTGCAAATGTGGTACGGATAACACGGGGTACCTATACATGGGTCGTCAATGTGGAACAACATTATTAGAACCTAGTACTCTGTAGGTTCGGATTGTTAGTTTAGGAAACGCGAAGCGGGCCCTAGAGATACATTACAAATATTTCTATTGACAAGTCCGTGTCTAGGTATGTGACATCCTCTTTCTATCGTGTCGGGGATACGGAGCCTATCATTAAACATGAGCAGAATAACTAAGTATAAGTGATCTCTGTAGAACACTTTGTTATCTATTGTTGGACTGGAAGCCTAAGTCAATACTGTTATTAATAACGGTTCGGCTATTTGGAAAGTTTGACATCCTGTGCAATTATTTCGGCTTGGGTCTGTGTCTATGCTACAGACTTACCTGAATATTTGTGAAGCTTTAAATAATACTGACCCGAGGAAGGATTGTAGCAGACGGAAAAGAGGGAATAGAAATGGCATACCAATAGTATATCGTCTCCAGTTAACAAATGGTTAAAATACTCCGGCGTGAGATAGATCTGCGGACCTTGGTAACTCCGACATTGTAGATCCCGAGTCTAGATACAAAAATGAGGTAGACGGAATAAATAACCTGTTTACATATTGCTAGAACTCAGGAAAAGAAAATATACACTCCACAGCTCATGTGAGCCTTAAAGAAATGCTGAACTTCTTTCAAGCTCTTCCAATTAAATTTAAACAACTCTCTTCCACCCCTTTTTTGTCACTTGTTCTCATAAACTCGGGACTTATTTTTTGGATTGGACATTGCAATTAACAATGGTTGGTTTCAGCATTCTTTCATCCTTATTTGCGATTACGATGGTCGCACAATCATCATCGGGACTAGTTAGACGTCAAATTTCAACGTGTGCAGGAGTTGGATCTATTTGTCGCGTTGATCATAACACCATCCTCAATTCTACTGGATACGATGTAAGTCAAAAAGCTCATTCCAATCATAGTAGAGGAAAACACATCGAAGACAGTGTTGACACTCGGATCCAATCATAGTATACACTTGACGGAGATATTTGCTCCTGTCCGGTGAGTGGAATATTGACTTTGGTAAAGGAGCTTGGTCTAATAGAAACTAATTATATGATAAAATTACATAATAGACCAGACAGGTTAGTAAAATAATTGCCCCCAGTGAGAGAGCTAATCAATAAAACTAATCGATACTTGGTTTTAGGTGTGCAACCCTGTGTTCATCAATGATGACTCTGGAGTAAGTCAGCTTCTTGCATAGTGCTAAAAGGTTAGAATGATCATAAAATGCTGAGCATCAACAGACACAATATGATGTGAGATATATCTTTATCTGAGACAAATAAAACAAGAAAAAGTCGAAACTAAAAGGGAACAATAGATGTTCTATAGGGTTGCATATGGAGGAACTGGAGGAATTTTCGTAAGTAGGCATCATATGCAAAGACACCACACAGAAGTACTCACTTGATGTCATGAGTAGGTATGTCAGGGATAGGTCAACATATACTGTATCCACGAACTCGTCCTAAAAACACTACAATCTAAGACTTCATGGGTTGTGTACCTTTTGTTGTCAGAAGTAACGGGTTTACGGAAATCCAGGTATCAACGACAGCAATGATTAGGTCGTTGAGTTCGATTATTATAAATTATTTTCGGGGTTTTGTAATCGACACGCTCCTTGCATCAGATGGCTCTAAACCTGGTGTTTTTTCTATAAGTTTAGTGTTTTTTTCGGGACTTTCATACTTGTTCCACTTGGTCATGTGAAATCAAAGGTCCGACTGTAAGCCTACATTAAAGCCGAGAAACAAATTTGACTGGGCCAATTATAGCGAGGACAGATCTATCAGAGTTGCAACGAAATCGTGGGTTTCCATGCTTGGGTGCTTTTCCTTAATGGAGCAAAATGGATATGCATCGCATCAGTAGCTTTCGACACATTTCGGGATGAAATAGGTCGTATAAATGAATCTACTTTCTTCTTTGTCCAGTTTAGAATGATTAAAATGGGCTTTAGAACCCTTTGACCAGTAATATTCTCCAAACTACCTTCCCCTGGTAAAATGTCGTCAAGGTGGAGGGGAGACATTTGCTCTTCTGAAGTGCCTCACAAAAGCCTCTACAAAAAAACGTGCAGCCGTATTATCTTCGCCAGTTGTAATCTTATGTTAAACTCTCATTCAAATATTTCACACTTAAGCTAGAAAAAGTCATGAATACATCTATTTGCTTTTCCGTGCGTCCTAAGGTAGGTTTCGAAAGAGCACGAGCAGAGGTAGTCATTTAAGGATTTATCAAGGAGTAATTTGAATTTGTTTTCACTTTCCTTTCAAGAAGAAAAGAACATAAAGACAAGACGGGAATTAAATGAAAGGGTCTACATCATTTTGGCAAACTTTGTACATACATAGACGGGCTTGAGAATTGGAAAACTTAAGACTGAATATCGCATGGGATAAAGTAATTTTAGAACTGTACGGTCCGTTGAATAAGAACCAAGGGACTAAGAAAAGAAAGATTAGAAAAGAAACCCGGAAAACGAAATCTAAGATTATGTACCAGAAGAAGGATGGAGATAACATCATCGGATGTAGATAGCATGAACAACATAATTGACCCTAATAGTGCAGCCTATTATAATATATTTACTATACATTCATAAAAAGAAACCAACAAATTAACTGTAACACTATATGTACATCTGCTTTCATATCCATTATTACATCTATAATCACTCATGCTGCACACGTAGCTGCCCATTAAAGTAAGACGGTGCAAAGTCCCAAGCGCCGGAAAATTTACGACCCCATAGAAACTTGACTATATATGCCGCAAAAGTAGGAAGAGGTGGGAACGGCGATACTTGGCCATCTATTTCAAAAGCATTGTCGGCGCAGGTCATTGCTAGTGGGATGTGCCTAGGGTCGTACATAGTTAGCTTGATGATGCGGCGAAAACGACAATGAAAGAAAAATCACGACTCTTGAGAGGAAGAAAAGACAGAAGACCTACCGGTATTTATCAAAGTTTGGTTGATAGTGCTTCTCAACGCCGTTCCAGAGCGCCCTGAGCGTGTCACTTTCGATTATGTGAAGGTCGTATAGTGGTGCAATCTCGTTGTGCAAATGCTTTTCCACTAAAGAACCGAATGACTTTAAAATGGCGAGGAGCGTCGACCCGTCGTAGTTACTGGGCTCAGTCAGAAATACATAGTCGTGGAAACGCACGAGGCCGTCATGGAAGTCATGATGCTCGCGCACGTTGTCTGCCATAGCTCCCGGCTGTCCGAGAGCATTTTCGAGCGCGGGAAACAGGTGATCCTCTTCCATGTCGTGATGCGATTTGAGCATCTCAAACACACATTGATTAAAGATGAGAAAGTCCCGCGCAGCTGGCGTATTAGGGGCCACTGCCAGACACTGGTTATAAGATGCATTGAGTCCTCGCAGTACTATATTATGTATAAGTGCCATATCCTTGGTGAATTTAATCACGTAATGATCGCGCGAAACGTCAGGACGCGCGGATAGTCCCGTATCCGAAATCAGCTTGAACGGGTAGCTAGCCCAAAGTTTGCGTTCTTGAGAAATGGCGGTGGTGCTCGTTGTGCCTGATGCTATTGTGGTGTTTGAATTCTCCGCTTTTACAGGTGAATATAGTGATGATATATTCATGGCTCCTTGAGAGTGCGATTGGTTATAGCAGGTCAAACTTGGCCGTTGGCGTGGAGAATTAGCAGGAGGCGAGGCCGGCACTGTCAATGGGTAATAGTGAGGCGCGAAATTAGCCTGAGGAAGTGATACGTGTCTAAGAAACCTTTGGTCTATATAGCGAGGTGGTTCTTAGCCCTATTTATGCCTTCCGGTGCATTGTTCGCGATCTGCTTCGGGGCGGCGAAGCACCCGAGAGACAACGCCGCAGTTGTCGTGTATAAAAAGCACTTTGTGGATTGTCATCTAAACCATAGAAGGTCTGTTTGATACCGTGCCTGTTATTTATCCTTATCCTTTACCTATTCAAATCAAAGGGCCTGAGCGGGGAGAAATTAACTCTCTTAATCTGAACTCACCCATCCCACGGCGGCCCCGTGGCTAATTTCTCGGACCCGAAAAAGCTCAGACTCCTCCGAGTGTTTGTGAACCCTTAACCTCATCAATCCTTCAAGAAATCTTCTGTAAATTTGATACTGTACCAGAAGCACAATCGCCAATGAAAGCAATATGCATTTTATTAGTAGTGAGTATAATATCGTTATTTCCCTTAACGGTACCTACGATATGATGGTTATATGACCATGAAAACAATAATATTGCAACACTGTTAGCAATCAGCGAAATTTTGGAGAGCGCGAGGCTCAGCGTTGAGTAGTAGAACATGGATAATTCCTGCTTAGTGGCGTATATAATGTGACGTATTCTTATGTAATTCGACCCCTGCACATGTGATTGCAGAGTAGCACCGAAAGGTCAACTGTAGGTGGAAAATGATCTAGTTATTCTAGCAATAAAGGGGACAGCAGAAGATCTATATTATCTAGTCATCACCGATAATTATACAAATATCAGGTATAACTATTTGCAATTATTTTTGAAAGCGTATTTACGATGAGGAGAGGAAGATGCCTCCTTGCTGGCGACACAGCTCATTTAAACAATGTAAGAAAGCTGCCATTACCTACTAGGGAAGCGCTGTCTGCGCGATTGACTCGGGTTGCGGTCATTCATTGCTTTGGGTCTGAGAACTGTTTTGTTGGATGCCGATGCTATGGTGGAGAGCCTCAATTTGATCATCAACGAAATGGAACCGATCGATCTTCTGGATCTCCATTCTGATGATGGGAGAAGAGTTGTCCGGACCTTTGTGAACCCCATAAGTCCGCAAAACAAGTTGAGGTGCAAAAAATTCCGACACTGCTATGGAGTATTGGTTCCTCCCGCAATAATCAAGAAGACATCGGAAAATTATGGAGGCTTTTGGGGGTTCAGTTTTCGATCATTGGCCAACTGATATGAGAAAGTGGATCGCATCTACAGGTTTTTAAAGTCTGGATTATTCGGGTTCAACGGAACTGTATATCAATTATTAGTTCCCTCTTTCATACTCGTCATTACTAGTGTAATGTTCTCAGTTCATCCGATACTTATTTATGATTACTCCACTCGAGGCTGAGCCTACCTAGAGATACTTCCTTGATCGCGATCTAGTTCGCCTTTCTTCTTAACCAGGAAAATATTGGTGGATTGAATACGACTGGCTTCAACTATAAGGCGGTAGGAATGATTACACTCGCACCATTCACGCGGCTCTTTGCTATTCAACCTCTTTGAATAAATTATATGGGATTAATGGTCTAGGAAAGATCGTATATCACAATTTATTCGTCTCCATAAAGTTGATGGCAAAAAGGACTGCATGACGATCACACAATTACAGGAAAATTAGAACATTCACGATACATGTTTCAGAAGCACGGGATTAGCACCTTCAGCCATATATTTTTAGGCTGATCTCGTAGTGTTACCTACCGACATTACATGCATGCACATAAACCTACCATTTTAGTCTCCACGCGAAGTAGGCAGCTATAAGAGCAGCAACGCCACTAGTTCTCAATACCCATACAATACCTTCATCTTCTCCAGATCTCCTTGTTTTGAATAGTACAAAAATGAAGCTACTTGACAAGGCAGCCAAAATTTGTGGGACTGAAATGGCAGCATTATGAACGCCTAGCATGGAGCCATTTCGACTTGATATCCACTGTTGACACTCTATTCCAGCATCCGAGTCTTGTTCATAGTGGCTCATTGCAATCTCTTCACCTAAAATAGCGAAGGGTGCCCATTGCGTAATCCCCCAAGACATACCCGTGAGAGCGATGAGAAATATTGCAATCCTAGTGGAAGAGACGAACGTCATGCAGAAAGAGCAGAAAGCATATAATAGATGGCTAATAGCCCAGACGATGTTTGTCTCTCGCCACCATCCAACTCGAGAACGGATTACAGATTTCTCAGAGAGTGCACGAAGAGAATTCGTAGAAGTGACGTACGGAGCGAGCACCATCGTCACAAAAGCCATTACTGCAGACAGAAGGTTGGCAAAGGTGCCGAGCCGAATGCCGGCATCTCTTAAAAGATAAAAGTGCTCTATGCCACGTCTCTGTGATTCAGCGATGTACAAACGGCCGACGTAGGACGTGCTGTAGAAGAGGAAGCCGAACCATCCCATCCAAGCGAAAAATTGAACTAAGCACACGCGTTGCGATCGTGGAGGCATGGATAACCATCCGCCCTTGACAGTTTGAAGAATCCGAAGTAGAACCATTCCCTTCCGGGGCTCGTAAACGAACTCCCTAGGGTCCTCCTCACGGATAAAGTAAACTGTGACAAGCACTGTGCATACCAAAACCGCGACAGAGACTAGAGACAAGAAGCGGAATTTCCATGCTTCATTATCATTCGAGATATAACCCGGGGGAAGTGAACCGAGTATATAACCCAAAATATTGCTTAGCCCTACGAAACGTCCCGCCCATGCACTAGCGATCGATTGCTGCTCTGGGGGACAGACATCGACTATCAAGGAGCGAAGACCTGACTGGAGGGGTTGAATCGAGAAGTTGAGAAGAGTAATGCATACAACAATTCCAAACTGTATCATACTCTTAACACCGTCAAAGGAGTGAACGCCAACTATAGCTGCCAGAGCGCGCATAATATTGCTAACCCATGCCAACGCTATAAGCGAAAGCACTGTGCCAACCGCCCCTCCGAGGATGAAGGGTCGTCTACGGCCAAGCCGAAGTTGAGAGTTGTCTGCTATAGCGCCAACAATGGGTTGAACAATTGCGCCGCATACTGGACCAATTGCCCATATCAGCGAGGACTGCGACTTGGAAATTCCCAAGTAAGCGATATATGCAGTGCCATGCGAGAAAAGTGTCGACCATATGAGTTGAAGGCTAGTAGTTCTATCAGCTACGTACAACATTCGTCATAATTCCACCAGGAAGAACGGTTACCCTCCGAATCCACATGTCAGAGCAACGATCAACCTGGTAGGTAGTTTCAGCACGTCCAGACTGTCTGTTACTGAGTTCATCGTTGAAGACGATTCGCTGTCGCGCAAGTTTCTATAATCATGAAAGCTATTTTCATCTATCGTTTGGACAATGATGGAAGAACACATTTCTTCTCGAGGGAAGCGGAATGCGTGCGAGGAAGGGTTGCATCGATACGCCATAGTGGACGAGGCGGGACATGCACTGTAATTACGAAAGAGGTCTAAAGACAAGGGTATTTTCTAGTCCTGAAGAAAATGCATAAAAGTATGGCGTATTTTCATCTTGAAAAGCTCGGCGGCTGCCACATCAACAGCAATGCAAGGGCTATCCACGGTCCGGCAATCCGGAAAGTCGCTATAGTCCAAAATTGATAAACGACGACAATCTTCACTAGGTGCACTAATAGGCCACCACCTTGTCCACTTTTTGCTTGTGACCTATGCCAGCATTTTTGCAGACCATGACTGCCATGAATTGGCGAGTGGAAGGCTTCGGGGTCGACGTCCCGCACGCATACGATTCCGAGCGTGGCCTTCGAGTACAGAACCGCCGAGGTAGAATTTCTAGCAGCTGCATGGCACTGCTGCTACTGGTCTGTATTTTTGCGGCGACTTTTTTCGGAGCTGTTGTGTTGCTTTGGACTACTGGGATGAACCACAATGGCCGGTCGGCATGGATATGGGCGTGTAAGTCCGGGAGATGGTGCTTTCGGGGGGCGGTGGCTGATTCTTCGCAGCGACGGTGCCGGACATCCTGGCGCGTGGAACCTGACCTTGGAACACTAAGTTATGTGTCATGACCTTCCGGTGGGATCGGGTGCGTTATTGTCGGTGACTGCTCATTGATCGTCGTTCGTCTATGGGGTGCATAGGGGTGTAGCACGATTAGCTGATGACATCCGGGAGATGCTGGAGGGGGAGAGCTAGGGGGTCCCATTAGAATAGCATTTTCCCCTCTCTAGTCAACACTGAACATGCGCACAGAGTTTAGTGATTTTGAACACCCCTCGTACTCTCCCCATTTTCTGTCTTTTTATTTGTGCCGGTCCGTCACCACCTTTCTTTGGCTGTACAATATTTCTCTTCAGTTTGGTCCGTCGCTAGGAGCATCATGGGGCAGCAAGAGGGTAACGGCAGTGCTGGATACTCGCAGCTGGCCAGTGAAGAACAATCTATTGGATCCGAGGAACGACAGTTTGGAAATGGTGACCATTTGTGTGAGAATGAGAGTGGATTATTTTACAACACCAAAGAGCTTGCTTATATCAACCCTTTGCGAGACCGCGCAACATGTGCACAGGATGGCACACGTCGATATCGATATTTTATTGTTTGTGTAACTGTTCTTACGCTGCTCTTTTCGATTCTCCAGTTGTTAGCCTTATTCCGTGGTGAGTTGCGCATTCCGCTCAGAGAGGATGCGCAAATCCAGCCACCAGGTCGACAGGAAGAGGAAATGCGCCTGCTAAACTCAGAGTGGCCGTGTGGTATATCAGCGGAGGAGGCGAAGAAGGCGGGTTGCCATTTTGATCTGGGCCTGATAGCCTGGCTGCCGCATTCATGCTATAACAAGGAGCTCGACGAATCTTTCCGCACTCTCTATCCCTGGAAATTCTGGCTCCCAAATGACGAGGACACTGGACCAAATACCACGAAGCCAATCACCATCGAGAGGCTGCAAGACCTACCACTTCAGATGGTTGATTTAGACTGGCCGGGCCACAGTTGGTCGACTTTGATGTTCCATGATGCTCATTGCCTACACGCGTGGCAATACATGCATCAAGCGCTACTAAAGAACAAGGAAATCCCCACTTCTATCACAAGGTGGTCGCATACCACTCATTGCTCGCATGAAGCTTTGATGGATACCTCCAACGTCACCTACAGAGAGATCAGCCCGACAGCCCACAATCGTTATCCTGCGTGCGTCCAGGTGGAGAGCTTGCGCGGTGAGATGCCTGATTTGTATTAACTTCAAAACGCAAAATGATGTAATTCCATTGTTACCATGAGAGATCCAAATAAAAACAAGTTAAAACGGTTTCAAGTCCAAAGAAAGTTCCAAGTGTTAAAAGTCTGCGTGGGCCATCTGTTTCCCGTGCACATCAACGAGAGATGAAGGGTTAAGCATTCGGTTAAGGAGTCTGGCCCTGGCCCGTGGATTACACTCCCCAAAGCCTAACGCAAGAAACTAAGAGGGTTATGGGGATATCTTCAAGGAGAGAATTTTCAACTGGCGTGGGACAGGACGTAGAGGTAAGAACAAGTCATTCAAAATGGATGTAGCTACATTACAACCGAGGAGATTTGTACTCGTGTGACAGATATTCGTATAGCATACGAACATCATTTGGGGCTAATATACAAAAATAAACTGTTAAGAATGGTTATCCCTTAGCTGGAATGCCTCTGTTGGTGCATTTTTTTACATGCACTTTCCATGGTACATGAATTCAGAAAAGAGCAGTGTTTATTCTATTAAATTTCCAAAAATTTTATTATATGGGGATACCATCTTCTTCGGGTAGCGTTCGTATTCGCACAACTCGCTTAAGAGCATGCTACGTTTCCATGTACCCATTCATCTCCCCTTCTATCCTTCCCTAACGAGGCGCCGGCAAATGACCAATACTCGGACGAGCTCATGCCGATGAATTATTGGAGTAGAACGCATTATTTAAGATCATCCGAACTTAACCTGCTCCACTCCGTACACTGGTATTCCTCGGAGGATTTTGTAGCTGGAGGATACGGTGCTCATGTATCGCCGGTTTTATGCGAACGTAGTCTAAGATTGTCGCTAGTGCCATGCCTCATGCCACATTTTACGGTCAAAGTTCTGTTGGCCCCCTCCGGAGGACACACTATTTACACTCAGGGCTTTCGCCATCATTAGGGTAAGGACGAAGAGAAACGGAACATAGTGGACAAAAGCTATTTCTCTACCACTTTAGAACATCACCTTGTACTGCAATTACCACCGCTTTAGGACAGCTATTTCAGACCAACCGAAATTAATTTTTCACTATGAGATTCAATATTGCCGCAATTGCGGGAGCCCTTGTGGCTGTTTCTATGGCATTCCCACTTGACGGTTAGTTTCCTCTCCATTGACCTAGATATACAATATTGACTTGAGTAGCGTCGTTTGGAAAGGCTCAAGGGAAAGCCCAGCGTGATGTCGATGCAGCACGCGAGTACCTAGAAACAATATCAGTTGTGGAGCGTGACGTCGAGGGCAAGGCTCAAGGCAAAGCCCAGCGTGATGTAAATGAAGAAGACGAGTACCTAGAAACCTCCTTAGAGGTGGCTGAACGGGATCTCGAAGGCAAAGCTCAAGGCAAGGCCCAACGTGATCTTGAGGGGAAGGCTCAAGGTAAGGCCCAACGCGATCTTGAGGGAAAGGCTCAGGGAAAGGCCCAGCGTGATCTCGAAGGCAAAGCCCAAGGAAAGGCCCAGCGTGATCTTGAGGGAAAGGCGCAGGGAAAGGCCCAGCGTGACCTCGAAGGCAAGGCTCAAGGTAAGGCCCAACGCGATCTTGAGGGAAAGGCGCAGGGAAAGGCCCAGCGTGATCTCGAAGGCAAAGCCCAAGGAAAGGCCCAGCGTGATCTCGAAGGAAAAGCTCAAGGCAAGGCCCAACGCGATCTTGAGGGCAAGGCTCAAGGAAAGGCCCAGCGTGATCTCGAAGGCAAGGCCCAAGGCAAGGCCCAACGCGATCTTGAGGGCAAGGCTCAAGGAAAGGCCCAGCGTGATCTCGAAGGCAAAGCCCAAGGAAAGGCCCAGCGTGATCTCGAAGGAAAAGCTCAAGGCAAGGCCCAGCGTGATCTCGAAGGAAAAGCCCAAGGCAAGGCTCAGCGTGATCTTGAGGGAAAGGCTCAAGGCAAAGCCCAGCGTGCATAGAGCTGCTCACCGTGGAAAGTTACCCACTTCTCGCCATCTCCAAAACCCGCACATGTTGCCAATCACTATCACGTAGCTTTTTAGAGCTTCTGTATATTGGCTTTAGAGAAAAGTTAACGGATAAGAGATGTGGGAGGTTGGTTGCTACCATCACTTTTCTTCCACAAAGAAGCTGTATGGCTGTTTTGAAGAAGCGCTCTGTGTTCTCCTAGATAATAGGAATTTGATAGTTGTTCTAACTACATGACTAAAAACGACAGCTATTGATGATCCTGACGGGCCTTGCTTTTCTGAGGCTGCGATATATGCTACAGAATTTACCTGGATAACGGATTTCGAACCTTGATAATTGAACTTGAACTGTTTTTGCTTAATAATCAATACATTTTCTGCCATTTTATAATCGTCAACCTCGAAGGAGCCTCAGCTGTATTTTATATGTTTGTTGCATTCCAATATTACTCCGGGGATGCTCAGGCGATGATGCAGGCCACTCCGTAAGAGTCGTGGCAAATTTACATAAAAAGTAGTCCTTTTGGTATTTTCTCTATCATTTATCGGATTCAAATGGGCTTTGGCTTAGGGAGTTGATACCTGTACCTTAGATGTTACTACGTAAACCCGAACTAATTTTTTTTGGTCTAGCTGAAAACCAATTTTCTTAATAAAATACTACTAAATTTGGCTCGCTTTTGATCTTTATAGAAATTTTCAATTCCTCGATTTTGAAGCGAATTTTGACCGAGTTAAAGCGATTGAAGTGCATGTAGTAAATTTATAGAAGATTAAATTGACCGCTAAATATAATAAATTAAATTAGGGTACATATATTAATTTCTAATTTAAAGTCCTATTCATCTAATAAAAATATGAAAATTTCACTTTTATAGCGTATTGAATAACTACCTAAAACTTATCCTCTGTCTCACCGCTGTATTGAAGCATATCTAAAATTCCAAAGTCTCTATATTGATATCCTTCTAAGATTAGGTTTGCCAGGATCCCAATGTTACAACTAGCTATGAGAGAAAGCTACTAATAACGTTATAAAATGTATTTCTTAGTGCGGTGGAAGCCCGTCAAAGTAATGTGAGGCCTAGCGGCAGCGGGGCGCGCGCAGACACGTACCGCAGGTTCAGAGGCTTATAAGCGTGCTAACCCTGGAATTGGGCATTGGCCCAATTACCTCAGAATTACTTTTCGGCATTTAGAGATTGGCAGTGACAAGAGCCTTACAAGTAAGACCTTATTAACTCGAATTTATTAGTATTTTTCTTAGTATTAAGGGATTTCAAAGTTTTTAATATTATACATTTACTATGTGACGCCAAATTTACCCCTATTTTAATAATTAGAAATAGCGCATTGCCGTTTCCAATAACACTCCTAGGGTGAAAGGGAGCGATTTGTTTGTGTTGGCAAAGAACGGTAAAAGACTCAAAAATTTTCATTATTCGAAAAAACAACAATCCTACTAGTACATTATTAGAAAGACTGATTACACGCCTTACTCAAAAAATATTAGTGCGGGTGTACATAGTAATATGTCTCATTGCAGCTTCCAGTACTCGGAGCCCACCAAGCCTTTGGTGGAGATTCGGCGGGAAAATATTTATGCATAATAATGGGCCATAATCCTAAAAAACGAGCATGTTGTGTAGATGAGAAAGTGTCAGAAATAATATGCGACTAGAATCCTTACTAAATAAGGATTGCGCCCTTTTAGGTATAGTGGTTTATAGTTCGACAGAAAGTAATATGTCATATGGCCCGGAGATTGGGAGTGTAAGAGTAACCTACTCTGCACTTACGCCATGTTTTAGAACAACACCAGAGACCTCGGATAACCGAAAGGACCACGATGTGGGGTCGTATTGGTAAAGTATATGTGGCTGTACAAGAATGTCGGGAACTTTGCCAACCACAATGGGCCAATTGCGACCCTTCTGACTAAGTTCTTAGAGGCTTATATTCTGCTCACTAGCAGCCTCGGTACGGATACCACTAATATCTTGCAGTGAGCTCCCAGCTGGCTCCTACGAACCATCATTTGATTAGGTCTAACAAAGACGGCGAAAATAAGTTCATCTTAGAACCCAACAACTACAACTACAACGGCCTCTATGATCACTATGTATTTTGATCAACTAACCCTAAAAGCTTTACTAATATGCTCAGAAAATGGATAAGGTAGCCCAATTCTATTTCTCACTATAGGCGAGGTTTAAGCAAAAACGTCGGAATACTTGATCGAGCAGTGTATTGATTACTGATTGAAGCCTTAGCAAAAGGAAGTAGTTTGCCGACGGGATTTCCTTTAGGGACCACTATCATCCTCATGCCTAGTAATCTTAGTGTAGATGATGGCGTGTAGTTCGAAGGATTACCAGAATATTCGAGCATATGGGACACTCCGACCTTCAAGCTCCAATCTTGTTACTCCAAGGCGAAGACCTTGACCGCTCTTCCTTAGCTTCCACATGACAAGAGAATTGTGCTTCGGGTGCTAAGGATGCCTGTAGTCAGCAGTTAGATCGAAGTCCATCGCCAACATAATTATCACTAACATAATCACTAAACTAACTACATCGCAACACAGTTACATTGATATATTATGCGGGCTAACACAAAATATAAACTGTTTGAGGTAAGTGGATGGCTTGGCTTTGTAACGGAGCACTTTTCTAAAGAGACCCTTTGTGGGATCGTTGAATCACCTAACCTAGAAGGGCACATCTATCGTGGGTCCTGGTTTTCTACTGGATAATATTATTGGCATGGCAAAGTCAAACAATTGGCAAAAGGCATAGGAGGGAGATGTCGCAATCAACTGTCAATGCAAAAGATGCATTGGATGAAAGTCTTCACTGGTCGGCACATTAAACTCAATATTGACTCCGATGTCTCGTATTATAAGCATTAGCTTGTTCATTATGCAGATAAACTATTACGCGTTTTGACTATGAAACGCCCGATTACGGTCTCCACACAAAGTTGAGAGGGGAGAAGGATATGGAACAATAATACATCCCGCTTTTTTCAAGTAACAAAAAATAATATTATACGTACCAAAGAGCATCGTTATCTGTTGGGTAGCTGGCCTCCTCTATTGGTCAGGCTGGCTACCACCCCCTGCAAGGCGCACATCTCTACCTAGTGTAGATCAAATATTGTTTCCAGACCTCAAGATCGTTGATTTCTATGGTAGACACGTCTTGCCTTCATGGCTTCCTAAACCTTGCCATGGTTCTCTCTGTTTAGCTGTGTATGTCTGCAGCCAAATATCCGGACTGACTCGGTTTGCCTCGTGTCAAATTCACGCTGTTTGTCAAGATTGTAGCGCCGTATATTCCCATTCCATAGACGGGACGGTGATTGCAATTCGCTTTGGGGTGCACAATGATATATTCCCCGCTGATCCCAAATTAGCCCCCAACTGTATCTTGGCCGTCTGTTTAAATCTGGTAATTACAGCTAGTTACGCCTTTCGGGGGGCCGCACAATTAGGATTAAAATAAAACAAATGGATTGCATGCACTCCACTGCGCTGCGGGGGCAATTACTTCTTGGGGTAAGTGTAAGTATGGCGCAGAGCGTCACCCAAAGACAAAGAGGAATGGTGATCGCCTTGATTGCGCAAATCCTTTGGTCTATTGAATTATCAGTGTACCCTAAATTTGCTTTTGCCATCTCAATCATTCGACACTGATGGAGCGACCAGCATCCCGTTCTCACAGGGCTTCTCATGTTCGCGACGATGCCCGCCACCCGCTCGCAAAGGCCTGCGATCAATGTCATCGATGCAAAGTTGCTTGTAATGGAGAGCGCCCAACATGTAACCGATGTGTAATGAATGAGAGCCCATGCACCTACAGCACCGGTAAACCCATTGGAAAACCCAAGGGATCTAAGAATCGAAACAAATTGGAGGCTCAAAGACCAGTCACGAACAACATTAGCAACGCCCCCTCCACGCAAACACCAACAAATAGTTCTTCAAGCAAACGGAAGACGACCGCAGGAGCAAGCCCAGGAGCGTATCAATTGGGTGTTGGTACACCTGAGCAGTGAACAAGTATGAGGAAATATTGACTGCTTATAGAACCACAAACGGCAACGATCGAGTATCTCCCTGCCCACTCCGACAAGTCCAGATGGAGTAATGTTGGGATTGAGCCGAGAGCCAGAGCTCTCATCGGGGGCCTCAATTTCGTCTGTTCGCCCAATCGAGCAGCTCGAAGCTCAAGATGGGTACACAGCAGCTGCATATTCTGCACCGACTCCGGAATTCCTCAAGCTACACCTATCTTCATTGCATCCCCCAGAACTCGAGCTTGATCTTTCTTTTGACCGCGACCTCGACTCGTCTCAAGATTGGAGCGCCAACATGGCCAATAATACTCAACACAAGAACGCTCTAGATCCATTTCTACCGACAATAGAGCAGTCCTCGTTCACAACTCCGATTCTACCTCTCGTTGACGGTGCGCACGACTCGACCGAGACAGCAAGTATCAAGACACCCGCTGAAACATTGCAGGCGGCGAACCAGGCAGGATGTGGATGCATCTCTACCGCCGAATCGCTTGCAGTTATACCGAAATTGCAGCAATACTCAACCCGGCGCATCAACCTCTCTGTCGACGGAGCGTTGCGGCTGACCCGTCAGTGTACTTCTGTCATTTCGAACCATGTGGATTGTCCTCATCACGCAAGAACGACCTTGTCGCAGACGTGTTTGCTCACCTGCTTAATGATCCTTATGCAAGTTTCTGCCTGTTATGCATTCCTTCGCGTCTCGCTAGATGACCCAGAGTGCCATAATCTATTTCCTGTGTCGGTTGGTGGCTTACATATCGAGGACGACGAGACAAGACGACATGTGGTCACTACAGTGTTAGATGCTGAAATCCGCAAGGCCCTTGCCCTAAGTACGAGACTGGAGACGTTGGCAACCAACGCCTTACCGTTCGAACCTCTCCTCTCATTTGTTCGACAGGAGTTGGGTCTAGCATTAGAATGGCCGAGGCTAGTGTAAATATCCGTTCTTTGACTCTGCCGTCATTAGCCAACTGGATGGTATGTCCGAACTTCGTGGTGCGTCCGAGCCTTTATTTACAGACGAAGAATCTGGGTATTTGGATTGATCCTCCCAGCTTGGATGGATTAAACGACATATACAGAGCTTGGGACAGCTTTGCGAGCCCAGCCACCATTGCTGACAGTATGCTTCTCGAAACTCTGTTTGAGAACCCTTGTCTAATTCTCCTAAGTCGATCTATTATCATGATGCGTCCATTCTATAGTATCACTGTCATGGTGCCACCAACCTGGTGCCCATAATTATCAAATCTTTCCCCGGGATAGCGCCAACTGTCATTGTCGTGGTGTCCACGCCATCCCAAAATCATCCATCACTCATCCAGTAGATTTTCGTTGCTGACACAGGGTCTCAATACACGAGGAGGACCTACGTGACTTGCAATTTAAATCTCAGATAATTGATTCTCATTTCATTGTCCTTTATAGCCACACGAAATCCCTCACTTTCAAGAATGCGTGCATCGATACACCGTGAGCTGAACAGTGGCGATTCGGAACTATCCTGGGGTCGAATTATAACCCCCTGCAAATGACCAACTATCAGAGTTCGATGATTAATCTGTTATCTTCACTCTATAGCAGTCTTTATAACACATTATGCGCATCTAGTGGAAAGGAAAATTGTGGATCAAATGCAGGTAGATAGAGGTAAGATTATACTACTTAAGTGCAACTTTAGGGTTGATAGGTCAGTCATAACAATTCATATTCCTGCGACCCTATCGACGGGTCACCCTTTCAAATAGTACGTCAAATACCACTAGGATGGCTTTTGGTGGATATGGTGAGAGGAAAACCTAATTACTTGCCACTGTATGATGGGCAAAAAGTGGTTCAACGCAGCAAGCTCGCTTAAGCAGGGGAAATGTGGGCTCGGTTGGAACGAGGCCTGGATTTCTTGTGAAGATAATTAAAATATATAATTAATCGTAAATGAAAATTTACGCGACACTGAGGCTACATACTGGCTACCTGTTGATATTCTCATGTCTCTTTCAGTTAGGCACCGGGGAGTAAGCTTCAATGTTAATTATCTATCGCCTGTTGACTTGCTCTCCTCTTTCTCCGCCTCCGCTTTCTTCATCTTCTGTTTCAGCACATCAAACCTCTCCAGCGCATCTTTCTTCCACACCTGAGCAGCTTTATAGGACGCCTCTAAAATTGGTATACCCCTCTTCTTTTCACTAGTCAAGTCGACCCATTCCATTTTAGTGGACGTGAAAATGTGAACATCCGGTTTGACAATATTTTTGCTTTCATCGTCCAATGTTCCCACTTTTACAAACGTCGTCCACGTGAAGTCGTCACCATAATCAGTGCAAAGTATTACGGAGCAATTCGGGCATCGAGCAGCCTTTTGGCCGTCACCAGAGGCTGTGGGTAGGTCGCTGAGGATTGGTTTAGTCTCTGAAGTGAAACGAAAGTTTGATGTTTCGATTATTGAATTTATGGCGAAGGCGGCACCAGTTTCGCGCTGGCACCATGTGCAATGGCAGCAATTTGTACAGAGAAAGGGGGCAAGAACTTCGTATGTGATGGTCTTGCATGTACAGTGACCCTTCAGGGGCGTAAAGTTCTCGGTTGCCATTATAAGGGTTGCAAAGGCCGAGAAAACTGGTGTAATTGACGCCGCTATGTGATATTAGATGTACGCCCAAGAACAAGAAAATGTTCGAGGTGCCATGTCGAAGGCGGGGAATGTGTTTTCAATACCTACAGTGGGGACGTATGTTTACTTCAGCTTCTCAAAAGGCAAGATCTTGCGATACCATACAAGCAAAGCTTGACTTCTGGTTAGAATACTCCCACAAGCAATTTTATCGAAGACTAGCTGCAGTAGCACTGGAGGTGTGATTAATGAGCTTCTTGCCGGACTTTGTGAGTCGTGCAAGATAACTTCCGGAATAAAGCGCTCGTTACGCTGGGTGTTCAAGCCGCTAGCGATTTTTGGTTAGGTACTATAGCAGACACCGGCCAATTAGATAGTCGGGTTAAACTATGGTGGTAAACATATAAACATACCCCCCTCTAAGTTAGCGCATGCAAGCATCGTCTTGTCTCATGTCTTCGGACACAGCTCAATCTTACTCATGGCTGATACTGTTATGTTAAACTCAACACCTACGGCGTAGGTCATGATTTAAGGGATTTGAATACCTAATATAACCAATAATGGGCCTCGTTCTGCACTCGAGAGCCACTCACCCCCCCCAGGACTCAAGACCGGCCCTGTCCTTCCGCACCCTTACCATACTCATCCCTCTTCTGTTCTTTCTCTCTATTATTTTTGTACTGCTCACCACCCAAGCAGACATCAGATTCAACATCCGACAAGGCTACCCAGTCATAAAATCAATACCCACATCATATCCTTCCCACAAGATAGCAAGCGGCGCTATTGTGCCTGCTCAATACAGGAAGCCCCCTCAACTTCCTCCATTATTTACTGCTACCAATGAATCTTTGATCAACGATGCGTACAGTCTTTGCACAAAAAAAAGATATCTGCTGGACAATCTAGCAACAAATATAAAACCTAAAGAAGCGACGTTCGATAATGTGTTGCTGCCTATCGTCCACGAAGAGGATGCAGCTGCGATGGAAAGGAGGATTATTGGGTTTTACCAGGCTGTGTCTACGGACTCTCGATTGCGGGATGCAAGTTCGAAAGGAGAGGAGATGATGGATGAGTGCAATATCGAGGCATCTATGCGAGAGGATATATTTGCTCTGGTACAAACTGCTTGGGATAGATCGCGAAAGGCTGGCAGCAAGTTAGATGATGAGAGCTTGAGGCTATTAGACCAGAAGCGAAAGAGCTACATTCAGAATGGGTTGGGAATTGGAAAAGGGCCGAAGAGAGACCGATTCAAGGAAATCAAGAAGAGACTAAGCCAACTGTCAATCGAGTTTCAGAAGAATCTGAATGAGGAGAATGGAGGAATATGGTTTACGAGGAAAGAGTTAGAGGGTGTGCCAGAAGACATATTGAGTGGATTGGAACCGGGCATAGGAGCGAACCAGGGCAAGCTGAAGCTTTCATTTAAATCGACGGACCTTTTCTCTGCCCTAAAATTTGCTTTGGATGCGGAAACGAGGCAGAGGGTCTTTATTCAGAATGAGAACAAGGTGAGTTTTGCTCCGCTTCTGAAGAAAGATACTTACTAAATCAGCTTAATCAAAATGTTCCATTGTTCAAGGAGGCCATCATTCTAAGAGACGAAGCTGCCAGGCTGCTAGGATATCCGAACTACGCTTCGTTTCGGATAGAAGACAAAATGGCTAAGACACCAAAGGCTGTAACTGATTTCCTTAATGATATCAAGGACCGACTCAGGACAGGAGGTGCCAAGGAAGTTGCACATCTCATGGAAATTAAGAGTAACGATCTCATGATAAGAGAGCTAGCACATACAAAGGACAAGGACATCTATCTTTGGGATGACAGATTCTATAATAGGTTGATGGTTGAGCAGGAATTTGCGATTGACGAAGAGAAAATTGCGGAGTATTTTCCTCTTCAATCTACACTCGAAGGCATGTTAGCTATATTTGAGCAGCTAATGGGGTTTGTGTTTGTTGAACTTGGAGATCTGGACAAAGCAAAAATCTCAGGTAAGTCTTTTAGAGCATGTATGTTCGGTAGACCTCGCCAAAACATTCCCTGTGGCCATAGCAGCTCTAGAAGTATCATATGGCACCGCGCTTGAAGGAACAACATAAAACTCTGTTATTACCGCACAGTCAACCTTGATCGCGAACTCGACAGCGTCCCATGCAATACAACGTATTTTCAGTTCTTACCAATTATCATCCAGAGTCCACGACCCGCCACAACAGGCGCCTTTACTGCTAGAACCTTCATTACTGGCATCGTGCAAATGGGGGTCTACCGAACTAAACCTGTCTAACATAAGAGGTGCCTGAATATAACTAACGTCGTTTAGCTACTGGGAGAGCGGAAGATATCACATGGCATAAAGACGTAAAGATGTTTAGCGTTTGGGATGATGAAGGAGAAGGCAACGGATTCGTTGGTTATTTCTACTTGGATCTTCACCCTCGTCCCGGCAAATTTGGCCACGCTGCCAATTTCTCTCTTCAACCAGGCTTTATTTTACCCAATGGAACACGTCGATATCCAGCTACTGCACTCGTCTGTAATTTCTCCAAGCCCACTAAGGAGAAACCATCACTTCTCAAGCACGATGAAATTGTGCTTCTATTTCATGAACTCGGACACGGCATTCACGATCTCGCAGGTCGAACCAAATATTCTCAGTTCCATGGAACGTCCGTTGTTCGCGACTTCGTTGAAGCCCCTTCCCAGATGCTTGAGAATTGGGCTTGGACTTATTCTCAACTCAAATCTCTTAGTAAACACTACGAGACAGGAGAGAGCCTCCCTGATGATCTGATCGCGAAGCAGATCAACGTAAGACACGTTAATGATGCACTCTTGAATCTTCATCAACTCCATTTCGGCATCTTTGACATGACGGTCCACACGCCGAAAAGCCATGAAGAAGTTGAATCTATGAAATTCTCCGAATTATACAATGATCTTCGTGCACAGATAACTGGTCTCAAGGGCCCGGAATCCTTAGGGGCAAAGTCCGACTGGGGTAATGGCCAAACCACATTTGGTCACCTGATGGGTGAATACGACGCTGGCTATTACGGATATTTGAGTAGCCAAGTCTACAGTGCAGACATTTTCTCTTCAGTTTTCAAAAAAAACCCGATGGACGGCAAGGAGGGTAGACGTTATAGACATATGGTTTTGGAGAGGGGGGGTAGTCAAGATGAGATGAAGATTTTAGAGGATTTCCTGGGGAGAAAACCAAGCACGGAGGCATTTTATCAGGAGCTAGGTTTGATGTAGAAGTAGATTTGTTGCTAATTGGAAGGAGTTGCAATGTTCTCATTTTAGACGACGATTGAAAATAATGCTGTTTCAACTAATAGCGGCCACTCTTAACTATTGCATCCGTGCATTAGGTGAATGTGCTCGTTGTCATTAGTCTTACGGCCCTCGGTTGTATCTTGAGCTCAACATTGCTGTTTTTAAATTTTTTTAAATTTAAATTTTCTTGGAAATACCTATCATAATTACCTATCCTAATACAGATGCTTTCACACAGGATCTCAGAAATTGATGTAAGTTAATAATTCTACCTACTACTTCAAATGTCAACACCAAAAAGTGATCGAAATATTGCTGAATATTTTCAGCGTGGATATGAATGCTCGGTTCAGCTTTAATTCTTAGCCTCAAACTTGACACAGCCTAGAAACTGCATATCTACACGTGTATTCAGCTTCTTTGGCGGTGTACCCATCATTTGGAAGACCATCATGCAGTGTAAAGTATGCGGCCAGCTGGCTGCTTCCTCCGGTATCCACTTGTCCAATAAAGCAGCACGATGCAAGGACTCCAAGGCATAAACGCAGTGGTTAACATGCCAGCTATGCTCCGTGTACATCAGCCTCTCGGTCGACATTTCGCGTTCGTCATGTAGAATCATCTCTTCCGTAAAATTTGCATCTCGGTAGTAACTCCAAGGCCCCTGGGCTTGTGCTCGTTCAGATCCTTCTTTATAAAAGCACTCTGGACGGGTCCAGTGCCAATTCATAGGGTCAAATATGCAACCTAGGGCTTCAGCTTCTTCCGGGTTGTTACCACAACTTGGTGTCTTTGCCACGACAGTGCCAAGCCTTGGAAAATCATACAAATCCGGATTCACCTTATTCGGCGCAAGTTGTGCGTCGAGAGAAAGTTCCTGCACAATTTCTTGACCGGTATTCGAATGTTTAGTTGTTGTACTCGTCGTGAGAATCTTCTGGGTAGCAACAGAAATAGCTGTTATGATAAGGATCACGATGAAAAAGATAGCGAACAAAGCAGATTTTTGAATGCGGTAAGATCTTCGCTGGTGACGGTTTTCATCGACTGGCAGGTCTCCATCTAAGAGGCCGTCCTCTTCCTTCAGAAAAGGAACTTCCTCAGATCGTTTGTTTGACATGAAGGCAGCCTTGTGCGAATCGTGAAGTAATTGACAAACCGTATTTTAAGGAAATAGACAGTGATGCGGTGGGCTGGTAGGATGACTTTGCTTTTGCTCTCTATGCACACATAAGAAACCAACCTGGGAAAGAATGATCGCGCATCCCAGCAAGCATCAATATTTCCAAAGACCAATTCTGGTATTCCTACTCCGGAAAAAAGATAGTGACGATATCGTATGTCCACAAGAGCCCATTTTTCCCGTTGTGTGTGTGCTTGTTGACCTCCGACACTTCTGATTTTGTCCGGAACCCGAAGCAACGCGGAAGGTCATATTATACGGGGTCGCCGGGAGTAGTACTTACACTGCAATCCGCGACGCTAGACGTGGTTGGCATGCAGCCGAAGTCCGGCGGCGAGCAATTTTTTAAACCTTCTAGCATAGATTACGGAAGGTTGTGGAAAGATGTACATGTGACGGTGATTTTGCTGTACAAGCCGTTTAAGCCGTTTTGCACAAGCATGTAAGATTGGGGAGTTGACATCTCCCAATTTTGAAATCTCACTTCACGTTTCCAACTCCGCTTTAATACAAGGATGCGGTGTTATTCTTCGAATCGGCCACAATTGAACAGCGTCATTCGAAGTCTTTTTTTATTTGTTTCGTTTTTATTCTATGTTTTTCATTTCATTTTTCTATTTAAGGAAATTTTGATTTGTTCTATGGTAGGCTAACGAGTAACATGCGGGCTCAATAGATAGAATAGATTAATTGGTCAATTCTACAAATGAATATCTCTACATGTATACATTTTAGCTCGCCTTCAAGAACTAAGTCAATTCTTCAAAGATTCAACCAAGGTCTAAAAGGTTTTAACTACCTTGAGGTCATGACCTATCCCTCAAAAGATGAGAATTATTTTCGGTGTAAACTATGTTCTAAATCTGCATTGGAAAGCGGGACCAGAGAGATGACATGGCAGGGCAGGCTTGCATCCCTGTTGTTCGGGGGACTTTAAATCAGATTACGTATTAGTATTACCGTTAGTAATATCTACACAACTGGGTTAGGATTCAAAAAACCGAAGAGAGAGCCATCTAGGTGACGACAATATGAAATTTTCTAATAGTGCAAGCACAAACCTGTTATGGAGGAAGCCAAAGCAATGTGTGTGATCTACATGTAGTAAGAAAGTTCTGTGAGAGACAAGAAGCCGAGCCGGGTTAGAATTCAAAATAGCCGAAGTTATTTAAGGTCGTGGTTCAGCACTGATCATCCATTAGGTCTGTACAGGACAGGCTAAACTAGACGCTGTATCATGACAATATCGTCACTATCTCCTCTATAGGACTTAGAAACCCGATTCTCGCTCCTGTCTTCCTAGTCTGCAGGCACCCAACCCAACTCCTCCTCACCAAATTGCCACTTGTCGCTTGCCCTGTTTTCATCCAACCAATTGTAAATTTGATCCCAATTTCTGCAGACATGTACCACCTCAAATTGGTAGCTACCGCCTGGGAAGTCTTCCCCCGCCAGTGAAGTGTCGCCGGCACACATGAGACTCTGACGTATGTAGTCGAAGCAATGATCCTGTGACAGTTAATCACTCTCCCTCATTGAAAGTTTGAAAGTAAAACTAAAAGCTTTCTCGCACCATATGTAACGTGTCGCGTGGCATGCTTTTCAACCCTAGAGCAAGGGCATCGTATTCAGCCATTATCGAATACAGGCAATGAATGGAATGCACAATTGCAGTGCCGTACATATATCGGTCTTCCACACCATCTTGCTTCCATGTAATCTTTTTTGGCATGGCACGGTTCTTCACGAGCTCCTCATCTATCTCTACAAAGCCTTGGCCAGCTACTCTCACTATTAGCAACTCTAATGGCATTCACAAACCGGAATAGGAGGCGCCTTACGAGGAACGAGCGTTTTCCAGTGTTCCCTGGCCTGTCTCAGTGACTCTAGACTGCTGTGGTTGGAAATAAAATACGGTTGTTTTGTAAATGTGACTAGGCGGTGGTCAATCTGTGGCACGTAACCTGTAATATCGCTGCTTAGGTCAAATTGCTGAACTTTCTCAAATGATCGTTGTCGAAAGAGCAGGAAAGCGACTGCGAGCGCGAGTATTATGTCTACGACGTAGAAAAAGGGAGATCGAGAAAGTTTAGAGCGGTATGATGATCTGTCGAATAGATTTTCATGTCCATTCTGCACTGATTTCTCCTCATCTTGGCTGAGTTGTGAATACCCTGCTTGACCCATATCTGCAATGCGAATACGTACGCAATTGACTATGCGTGAATGTGTCGTGGGACGGCGGAATATTCGTGACCTTGTCTTTTTGAAATAAGGTTACAAAGTCAGCTTTTCTTTTATCATCATATTTCCGGTTAGTAGAATAGCATGTGCATGGTTAGTTGCGTTGTGGTGGAATTAGTACACAGCCATTTGTTCGGAGGTTGCGCGGAGGGCTGTTCCGGACTATGCTATGTTTTCGGCGTAGGCATAGAGTCATGATCTAACGCCATTCACAATAGTAAAACCATTCAGAAGATATAGATGGATGCTCTTTATGGTATTTGTATACTTTTAGCCATATATTAGAGCCCTAGGCTCCTCATGTATTGCTAGAACACATCTTATATATTCAGAAAGCATATATGCCTAAGATCATTCACATAGCGCACCCCTCACATTTGGCATTCCTATTGTGATAAATTGATCGTAACTTCAAAGTAGCTTTACCTGATACAGATCGCAGTTTCAGATGCGTGCTACTGTCGAGTTCATAATAGCACTCGGTCATGATACATACGTTTGTTAGTAGCCAAGAATCTAGCCCACTTTAACCTCACTCTACTTGAGGATTTTCTGTTGAAGTTATGATATATTATTATATAATAGGATTACATCTTGAATGAACATATCGCACTTCACAATGAACGAGTTTGACGAGTTGGTCGAGTCTGCTCAACGGTGGAGAAAAATTGGTGCCGGAGTCGAAGAACAAGAAGGCGATAATTATCTCAGAAACCGAAGGCAACCATATTGGGACTACAGGGCCCTCTGGAAAGCGTTGAAAAAAATCAATCTTACAAGCGGACAACTATTGAAGCTTCTCCCAAGTCCTGTCCTGGACCTCTTTTACTCATCCCCATCCGATCAGCCAAAGGCTGCACCCAGATCAACTGCATGGCTCGATGGCATCCGTGGTTGTGCCGCCTTGGTTGTCTTCATTGAGCACCTGAGTCTCTCAGTGCAAGATTCCCATGCCATGCTGAGAGCGTACGGCTCTCCCGGTGCAACTTCTTTTTGGCAATTGCCAATAGTTCGCTTGCTCTATGACGGTAGCCCAATGGTACCCATATTCTACGTCACTTCTGGCTGTGCTTTGTCACTTCAGCCACTGTCACATATTTACAAAGGAGAATGGTCGGAATTTTACGCGACCATTTCGAGTGCGACTTTCCGAAGGGCGTTTCGGCTGTTCCTTCCAAGTGCTGCAGTGTCCTTCCTCGCCATGATATTCACGCAGCTGGGTGTCTACAATTACCCATACCATTTTATCGAGGGTAATGCAATTATAATCGACCGTCCCCAGCGACTGCCAAACTTTGCAGCGCAATATGTGGATTGGCTAAATTGGGTGACGACCCAGTTACTCTACTCGCAAGAGATGTTTCAGCCGCTGTCTAGAACAACGATATCGAACTACGGTTTCCAGCTCTGGACTATATCAACTGAATTTTATGCGTCTATAACCTTATTTATTACGTTGGTTGGCCTCGCGCAGTTGCCAGTCTCAAGACGGCAGTTCCTAGTCTTCAGCATATGTGCCTTCGCCTTTTACCTGGATCGATGGGATATTGCTTGCTTCATGGCTGGCATAAGCATCACGGAGCTCTCTATGAAAGTGAAAAAGCCCAATGAGTTTGCCCGTCTTCCTCTACATAATCCTGGCAAGTCCATCTCGTCATGGCTCTCGGCGACTAGACAATATGGGTTTGCGCTGCTTTTCGTTTCAGGCCTCTTTCTTGCATCATATCCGTACAAACAAGCTTCAGAGAACTTCATCTACCAAGGTTTCGCTGCCATCATCGACAACGTACGCTTCTGGGAATCTATCGGTGCTGTCTTCATCCTCATCTCGGTGTCCCAGCTCGTTTTCATGAAAAGACTGCTCACGTCTGCAATTCTAGGATATCTAGGTCGGATCAGCTATGGTGTATACCTTACTCATGTAGTTTTTCTGAATACGTTTGGTTGGAGGATAGTTCCATGGATGTGGAGAATTACTGGTGATGAAGGATGGTTGCAACGCCAAGGAGGCTTTGCTGCTGGGCTAATATGTTGTTTAATGCTGTTGATCTGGATCGCAGACATTTGGACGAGAGCGGTGGACGAGCCCTGTGTGAGGCTTGCGAAGGGAATAGAGAGATGGGCAAGTTCCAGGTAGACGCAGTTACATTTTCAGGGCCACACATTCCATATACGTCAATTGTTATAGATAGTTATGCCAATCGTCATCAGTGCGAAATATAATAATTATTCAAAACATGGGAAGTATTAGCTGGTCCTGTCAATGAAAGATCTACTTAAAGCTCTGTATTTCTTCTATCAAATGGCAGAGGCTTTGCTCTAATTGTAGGCGACTTACGCTGCAACAATCACTGTAGTTTGACTGCATCACTGCTTCTATATTCCGTGAGGAACTTTACTGAGGCGAATTAAATTGAGATTTATGACGTCTACCCAGTTAATCTCTTGGCTGAAGGATGGTACACTGAGAGTTAAGAGATGAGAATTGCCGGCTGGGGCAGCATAGTCCCCCGTTTTACCACGAAATGTGGGCAATGTGGTGTCTTTACGAGGGTCTACTTGGATTACGATCTTTATGGGTTGTTCGGTTAGCATACTACGAAGACGTCTACTCCTTACAGAATCGTGATGTTTCGGAATGCAAAAGCTGATACCGTGGTCATCAAAGTCTTGGTACTTTTCACGGTAACTGGCACGCCTGCAGAGCGTACGTCTTATGACGTTTTGAATATCTTGAATGTCTTGAATCTATTAGATCTCCACTTTACAATCCGAAAAGCCAACCCAGGTATAAGTAGCTATCTTATCCAAAGGATCAGGCGGCTGATCACCTATGCCAGCCATATGCATGAGACTCGTGGAGCAATGCACCGTATGCTGATAACTCAGCGAATCAAAATCCATCTGCTCAGAATACCCGCTCAGAAACCCTCGATGCTGCCTTTGCCACATTAGTGCGCAGTGGATGACATGCTCGCGTAATGGTGTCCAGTACGGTCGATCTCTTTCAACTCGTTCCGACATTTCTTCGAGTGTCAGGAGTCGTGTACCGTCCTGTGAATCGTAGGCTTGCCATGGCGCTGTGCGCATAAACTCCTCCGTTCCTTCCTTGTCCCAGCATAATTCGGGCACCCACATGTTAGCGAGTAGGTCGAACACACATCCCTGTGCTCGGGCTTCCGCCGTTGAGTTTCCGCAATGTAAATATTTCATTCTTTGTTCCGTTGTCGTTTTGCTTGTGAATGGTCGGCAGATTATGACAATAATTGTCGTGAGAAGCACAGCAACCAGGAATGTCGCGGCGTGCGAAAGAAGTAGACGCGTTCTAGAGGCCTGTTTGTCATGTGAGAACCAATGCTGTTGCTCTGGAGACCGAGGTAACAGAGAGTCCTTTTCCACCTCGCCATCTTCTGGCACAGGTACATATGGAGAAGGACCCGGCGTCATGAAACCTGCAAACACCATTATGTGATAATAGCCTTAAAAAGGATACAACCACAACAACCAACTACAAGACTAAAAGAGTGAAAATCATTTGCATAATGTCCAAGGGATGCCAGGATCTAGTGGGATGGTGATATACTGCTCTCATCATACCTCCGAAATGCCTGTTCGGGCGCTAAAGCGTTGTGGGAATGGCTGGTCTGCAGTTCCCCCCATCGTCAGCAAATCTCCGGACTTTTTTGCTAGAGATTCCCAGTCTGACCATGCGATTTTTCTCCGCCCGGCGATGATAATGCGGAGGCTACCTGATGCTAGGTACTGCCGACTACAGTTCGTTGCTGTCATATCAAGTATGATTGGTGGTACTATTGTCGACGACGCCAAAGACTTCAGGCGTCAATCAATGACCAAGCTGAACTGTTTCTCAGCTACATACACATATTCTAGGATCACTATGTCGCGTCTAATCGGTGTCCCGACCGTGGCAGGAAAGTTCGACCGTTTATAACCTCATGTCATACTGGCGCTACCAAGCGAGGCACACCCAAATCCGTACGGTAAGAGTAGCGAGGGCAAGAATTTGCACCCACACCAGGATTACTGGCATTAAGAGTACCTCCAAGAACGCCAAGTTATATCTACCAGGATGTCAAAGGCTCAGGCAGAGAAAAGGCGAGTCTGGCAAGTATTGTAAGAGGTTCCAGCCACCAAACCAAACAAATCTTGGGGGCGTGGGCAAGCTAACCGTGTTTGACCACGCTGTCTCCTTCCTTTTCTGCGCAGACTTCTTAGTCTATCTTGACCAGCCAGCCCCACTCGGTCGCGCCTGCCGTCGGAGGTGCAATAATCCCGTGACTCTAGATCAAACAACAAGCTTCAACGAGTGAAGTTTTTGAGACTATGCTGAGTGAGATCAAACATCGCCGATGCTGTGTCGTGCTAGCCTTTTGGACGCAGGTGTCTCTTTACCTTCACGATAATGTAGGCAGATCAGAAATCATAATATGGGTTGTCATGTCCGTCAAATAATATTATAAATTAGGGGCGACTATTCTGCCTTCTTCCATTCAATCCCATATACTCTTTTCCTTTTATATCCTTCAGCGCCCCCCCTGTGGTCTTCCCATGATCATACACATGAGATACTAATGGCATATCGTGGTTGTATCTGGAATTGTGACGATGGCCTCGAACAGATTGGCGTGGCATCAGCACCCAACTTCACTGGCCCTTATACCCGTGCTCATGATTATCCCATCTTCCCCAGCGACGCCGAGGACCCCTTTGTTTGGCGTGATAAAAGAGGAAATTTCCACTTGCTCATGCACTCGCTGGACTCTGCTGACAATGGAGTTGGCTCTGGGCCCAAAGTGGCCCTCATGGATATGCGCACCTTTCCGACGAATATTTCCCGCGAGATTAACCTGGCCATGACGATGATCGGCGTGAATATGGAGGAGAAGAGAGATAGGAGAGCCGGTAGGAAATGTCCTTGTGACCCAAAACATATAATCAACTGGGGTCTCGGGAATGCGAGCGGGAATTCGTTGCAGTGCGGCCACGTCGACATCCCATTACCTGACAGTACATAGGTGTATAATCTCACTTAAGATATATATGGATATGTAGTTGCCAATAAGAAAAGAAAGTGAAGTGTACCTGTCTATATAAGAGGCTAGGCAATAAAGGCTGAGGCAATTGACTAACTCATTGTATTAGAGTAAACTGTCGCCGAATTTACTATTCATTCATTCGAAACCTCCCTGATTCTGAACTCGAACATCTGATTAGACGGCACAGAGTTTCTGTCTCTCATTTTATCCGCGGTTTGAATGCCCGCAATAGGAACACGATATTCGAATCGTTGGCCTTGCATCGGCGTTCTGCCGCCTTCCAGAGGATATGGGAAGGGGAGATATTCGGGCATCAGGCCTAGCTGTGCCAAAACCGTGCCCTGGTCCCATGAGATATGCTCGTGGTATAATCGATCGCCTCGAATGTTGACCACTGCCGTAAACGGGATCTCGGCTTTCTTGTATGTTGGAGGAATCCCCGGGATGCTGGAAATATACGAGAACTTAATCAAAACCAACTCAGATAAACAAGTTAGAATAATGGGAAATATACAGCCAGTCTATTTCACGATCATGGGTGATCTTCATGATGAACTCATCGATCACTCGGTCAATCCCTATAGTGCGACTAATGAGCTCTAGCTCCGTATCCTCAGCGTTATTAAAGATGAAGTTGTGGCGATAAAAGTGCGACAGTGCTACACGTCCAATACCACCTGTCAACTGTATGAAGTGCATTAGGTGAGTTTTCGGTATATTGTAGACATTTGACCGGGGAGGCAAGGCAAGCCACTCACCGAGGGCACATGGTTAACGTAAGGTTCCTGGACCATTGTACTCATGGTGTGTTCTACGGAGCGATTGGAAAACTCGTAGTCGGTGTGTTCATCCCAGATGGCCTCGAGGTCAAAATAGGGCCCTCCAAGGGTCGCTTTGAGAAACGTCAGACTTCGTGTATGTGATTGGACTTCAGTCCAATAGTGGAAGGTATCTTGAAAGGGTGTAGCGAATAGAAAGGACTCTTGGCGAGGATACAAGTACACCTTGGCGTCATTGGATTTGTCCAAAGGGAATGTTGCGCTGCCAGCGAGATGTTGGAGTATATGGATAGGGGCAGATGCAATATTGGCCTTGTCTGCTGCATCTCCATAGATCACTGCACATATAATTTCTCGCGTGGTGACCAAATGAGGCGCGACTTTGTTCCAGCTCTTTGGGACATAGGCTGAGATGGATTTAGTGTAAGTAATTGTCCCATCTATATACCTAAAACAAAAACAAAACAAAAACAAAAGGGGAGACTGGTCGTAAAATATGTTACATACAAACAAGGCCAATTTTGCCCGAATCATTACATTTATTGCAGCTTCTCAGAGCCTCTACTGCGCTTATGAGGACGCTGGGACCGATATCAGTAAGCGCTCGCTCCTGGATCTCTACCACGGTGTATCCTTCCTCAGCCCATTTGGCGAGCGGTGACGGCACGCCGTCAATGATCACACATGGCTCATCGCTATCTGAGCTCAGTAGGATGAGACCTGGACCATATCCTCGGTGTGTAAGTGGCAGCAGCAAAGAGAACCCTAGTGCCAGCTGTGTCATCTGGACGCATGGTAGCTGAGCCGGTGGCTGTCTCTCGGTAGACATGGTGGCGGTGAAAAGCTATGTTTTGAAGTTAATAGCTACTAGGACTATAGAATGACAAAAGTCAAATATACCAGTGGTCCTAGCGCGTCGGAACACGCCGGAAAAGGATTGCAGTTTTGAGAGATATTGTTCCGACTTCTTCGGAATGATCATTGGAAACATCTCCAGAGTTCCGCAATTATTGTGCGCAGATAAGATAGCCCGAAGAACGATATGGTATCAAAGTTGACACTGACGTGCCAACTATACGCATCTGGTATTCCCCCTGCGACGGTTCAGAAAATGGCGTCAGTATTGGAGGACGTCCATCCGATGTTCGAGCTAGGCGGGCGCAGTTACATTGTAACAGGCGGGGCTCAAGGCATTGGATTTGCCGTAACGCGTGCCATCTGCGAGTATGGCGCTAATGTCGTCGTGCTGGACATCCAAGAGAAGCCGGTCGAGGAGTTCTATACCCTCAGTGTCAAGTACGGCGTGAAGGCGACATATATACAATCAGATATGCGTCAAGAGGATAGCTTGAGCATTGGAGTTGCAAAAGCTATTTCAGTGCTCGGGACTGTAGACGGAATCATACCAGCAGCAGGAATTGCCATCGACAAACCCTTCGTTGAGCAAACTTGGGATGAATTCACACGCATTCAAGAGATCAATGTAAGCTTCCAAACCATGGTCTCCAACTTCTGCGAATTGCCTGGTTCATATCTCTTCACTATCTAGGTCCGCGGAACCTTTTTTGCTACCCAGCAAGTTGTAAAGCAGTTGCTCAAGCAAGGTACTGGAGGGAGCATAGTTCTAATTGCTTCGCAATCAGCACATATCGCTTTGCCAGGCTATCGCATGGCGGCATATAATGCGTCTAAAGGAGGGATCTTTGTGTTAGCCAAGGCACTCGCAGTAGAGCTGGCCCCGCATAGTATCCGGGTCAACACTATCTCTCCCGGATTTGTGGACTCGGACATGACGAGAAATGTGCGGGCATCCAAGTCCAAGCGCGAAGGAGAGCAGATGTGGCTCGCACCCCCGTTGCAGCGACTGAGCACGCAAAATGACCTTACTGGCGCGGTCATATACTTGCTGAGCGACGCTTCGAGGCATACCACCGCTGCCGACATTCCGATCACAGGCGGTCTTCATGCCGGGACTATTGATGGGCTGATTTGCTACGAGTGAGAGCAGTGAACACATCTCTAGACGTTTTAGTATTTATTTAATTATGATCATGCTTATAGAATTGCTGCTAAGGTCCCCTATAACTGATAGATTTTTGCGTAACATAAATATATACCCAACTGTTCCTACAACTGCGAGGGCCGTCAAAGATGGGCCAAACGGAACTAAGACAAACTTTGGCATAAGCAATATACAGGAACATGCAGGAATCGCGCTTTCCGAAATGCAAGAGATAATGACAGCAGAAACACTAGCATACTATACGTGGCGATGGTTCACTCCTTACCGCCGCACGCTTTCGGCTTGGATTCCGATAGTTGCATTTTAAGCTTTACCAACTGTTTCCCCCAGGAATCCGGAGTGTTAACCTCCACCCAGAGCACAGACTGAGTGCACGGCCTACGTCGGAACTGAAATGGCTATGTTTCCTCTCTGATTAATACCTGGGTGTTCGCCTCTCTGATTTCTGCCAACCAACAAAGCAACACGCAAAAAAGCACAGGAAGTTTTGTGGGAGCCATGGGATTTTCATTGCAAGATCTGACTCTCTCGACCCTTGTGGTCTCACTGCTGGGTTCAGTAAGGAAATACCACCCCCTCTCCTGTGCCTCTGATCTAGCCATGTTGGTATTAACAATGTCTGGCAGCTCGGCGGCGTTTCTTTTGGCATAGGTGAGTCGTCTTTGTCGTGACCTGTGTGCTCCAACCCCTTACGCATGACTTTTCCATTGTAGATTACGGTTACTGGTCGGGCATGCTGGGCATGACTCAGTTTAAGAAAGATTTTGGAGTGTATAATTCTGATACAGACACTTGGGGAATTCCTTCAAGTTGGCAATCTGCTGGGAGCGGCGCTCCCATTGCTGCACTAGCTGTGGGTGCCTTGATATCAGGCGCGGTGGGCCAGCAATTGGGTCGTCTTCGAGTATTTCGTATAGGCTCTGTTGTGGTGCTTATTGGCGTTGTAATCCAAAGCTCTAGCATCCGTTCTTTTTGGCAGATTGTAGGTGGACGTATCGTCACGACTATAGCTCTCGGCATCCTTGCCAACGCCATCCCCGCGTATCTTGCCGAATGTGCCCCGTTGGCCATCCGCGGAACTGTGATCAACTGCTACCAGTTCTCGATCTCTGTTGGGGCGATCTTGGTGAATACAGGCAACTGGGGCATGCAAGGCCGGACGGACCAATGGGCCTACCGTATGGTCATCGTTCTACAGGCCGTCATTCCTTGTTTTTTCTTATTAGGCTCCTTCTTCATTCCAGAGAGTCCTCGTTGGTTGCTCGGCCAGGGTCGCCAAACTGAGGCGCAGAGGTCGTTGGAAATCCTGCGGAGCAACACTCGGCGCGACGTGATCGAGCGCGAGATCCAACTCATACTCGCATCGGAAGAAGAGAACAGGCATCAATTCAACAGCTCCTGGGTTGACTGCTTCAAGTATAGCCTGGAATCCTAACCCTAAAATTATATCGCTGATGGCTGACGTTTCTTTTTTTTCCCTCGCCTTAGAGGAAGCAACCTTCGCCGAACGCTCATCGCTACTGGTGTGCAGTGTCTGCAGCAAGCCCAGGGCAACTCATTCATGGCCTCGTATTGCGTGACCTTCTTTGAGGCCATCGGCTTCAATGATGTTTACAAGATCACTGTGCTATTCTACCTATGCATGGTAGTCGGAACCGCGGTGTGCTTTTACCTGCCAGATCGAGTTGGTCGTCGCTGGCTTATGATTAGTACTGCTCTCATTATGGGAGTGTGTATGTTTGTTGTCGCCGTCATCACGGGATCAAGTTTGGCCCAAAACGTACACGCCATGAAAGGAGCTATCGGCGCTATATTCATTTGGCAGTTTCTGATGGCTATCGGCTGGAGTAGTTGGTGCGTCTATACTCAGCTATCCACACCTGAATGGAAGAATCACTCACTAACAAACTATCTAGCGTGTGGATTGTCACCGCAGAGATGCCAAGTCTGATGATTCGGGAAAAATCAATCATGACGGCTACCTTCTGTGGATTCTGTGTGTCTATTATCGTCACTTTTGTGAATCCCTACATTCAAAATGCTGGGTATGGTAACTTGCAAGGGCGTATTGGATTCCTTTACGGCAGCTTCTCTTTTGTCTCGGCAATCTGGACCCTGCTATTCTTACCTGAGACGCGTAACCGCAATCTTGAAGAGCTTGATGAGCTTTTCCAGAACAAGGTCTCCGTGTGGAAGTTTCCCAAATACCAGACAACCGGATATGGCGCGCAGTTGACCGAAGTCGAAGAAGTAGCACACCGAGGTGAGGACTTTTCCGAGAAAGAAGCTACTGTGCGTTTTGAAGATGATGCTTGAAATATGATAGGCAGAGAGAGGGATCAGGAATGTCTGTGGGACGTTTCGTGAGCGCCTCTTCATATCTATGCATCAGATTTTTGTGCTCCTACGTGGATCTTCCAATGATGCTGTGTAGCACATAGTATTAGCACAATGAGGTCGTTATTTAGCAAGAATAGTGCGTTAAGGTTTGGCCTTGTTGACGCCATGAATTTCATATATCTATCTCCAATTGTACGACCCTATAGGGTTACATTATTGAACTGTACGATGATAACTACTGCTTACTAAAACGAAGGGTTATCTAGCAATCATTGAAAATATAAAATTTAGCGAAATCGTCTACCCCCCAGTATAATTCTGAAACAATCACGTAGAATGAGATTCCAACCACTGCTGAGTGAGACCTTTATAATCCCGAGGCTTGTATGGTTCCATTATCTCTGTGATTTGTGTGGACTTCCGATGGGGTTTGATGCCCAAATCATTCAGCAATAGGTCGACGTAAGGTATTGAATCAAAGGCAAAGTCGGGAATTGAGGCACCATATCCACAAGGATATCGCCACTTTTGAAATTGGGTGTCTAGCATCACCTTCTTGATCACCTCCTCTTGATTCTTAGGGGTCCGCTCCAGCTTTCCATCCAAATACGCGGATATCCACAATCCCTGAGCGTTGGCGAACACGGCAGTTGTTACTGTTGAGACCATGCCAGCAAAGGCAATGTTACGCTTGAAGAACGATTGGGTAGGAACGATGAATCGGTAGTTGCGCAGTGGTTCCTTGCTCGGGGCCGGGGTTCTCAGAACCGGTTGCGCACGAAGGATGGGGAACATATCGCGGACCTCCTTATCCGCCTGGTCTATCAATGATCTTGTCTGGGCTTCTGTTTTTTGAAGGCCAGTATCAAAGTTGACGAACTTCAGGCCCGATCCTTTCTTCCACCCTGTCGCACAGATGAGCGCATCCGTGTCAAGCTTCTCGCCAGTGGTGAGCTGAATGTAATTACCTTCCAGCTGCTTAATATCAGCGATATGGACGCGAATTTGGCCCTGCTTTACAAGGTCGAAGAAGTTGGTCGGGTAGTTGTGGATGCCAACACCACTGCCCGTCCAGAAAGCACTGTTCCAGGGCTTCAGTTTAAATAATTCTGGGTGGTCATGATAGCCGTGCGCCTCGTAGACCTCATTGCTAATCTGGTTCCAGAAATTATCCACGATGAATCGACCGATGCCAGTTTTATGAAGAAATGATCGGGCCACGCCAAATCCATCCTCATCTCCCCAGGGCACAGGGCTAAACCAAGTCAGTAGTCGGGTTGACAGGAGCTCCTCCATCATTCTCTTGAAAGGAGTGACATAAGGCGGGCAGATCCAGACCGGTCCCTGACCAGTTGGTCGTATTATCAAATCCACCTTGGCGCCGGATGTGGCAAAGGCATACGCGACATCGAAGGACGATTTCCCAGCACCGACTACAGCCGCCTTCTTTGCGGTGTGTAGTATGTCTCCACGAGCACAAAAGTCTTTGGCGTGGAAGAATGCCGGAGTGAATGTCTCTTGGCCTGCATATGTTGGGAGATTCGGTTGCGAAGTCAGTCCAGTTGCGACAATTAACTTCTTCGAATGGAGCACCTCCTCTTGCTCCTGCTTTGAGACCATAGTTACAAACCAAGTGTCATCTGGCCTGGACTCGATCTGAGTTGTTGTCATGTTGAAACGTGTTCGTTCAGCAATTCCGAACTTCGTTGCCAAGTCAGAGAGGTAGCGATGCAATGTTTCGGCCGGTATGTGTTGGCCACTTTTGACGCCATACACATCCTCGGACATGGGAAAGTCGGGATGCTCATATGATCCCTTTAGGTTATTGGACTTTAAGCCGGCATAGAGGCGCTCTTTGGACCAAGTACCTCCAAAGCTGCTGCCGGCCTCGGTGATCAATATCTTCTCGTCGGGGTGCAACTCTATATAAGCCTTTGCGGCTGCGAGTCCATACCAGCCTACCATAATACACAATATGCTGTCAATTGATTACATAGCAGAGAAAAATCTTAACGCGAATTTCATTTAACATACCAGCGCCGATGACGATAAGATCAAAAATATCCGCCATAGCAAGTGGGATTACCGATATCACTTCAAAAATCGCTGCGTCTTGTGCGAAGAGTAGGTCAAAAACCGCTTAGGATCGATCGGTTGCCTATACTCCTCTCATCTCAGAGACTTCAAGCCCTATATGAATGGAAAGTGGAGCGCCTATGTGTGTTGATGGATGACAGAAATCAGGAACGGAACTTTCCGATATTCCTAACCAGCTTCTTGACAGGAAAATATTCGAATTTCCGAGTAGATGCAGGCATGATTCTATTAATCTAATCCGATATCTGAAATTGTATATTGGAAATTCATTTTCTTAATGAGGACGGCAATCAGTGAGAAATAAAATACGTAGAACTTCCATCATTCACCATCCAGTGTATCATTCGTGTTAACACAAAAAAAAACTAAAAATTTAAAAAAGTTGAAAAGCGGGAAAAAGAAAAGTAAGAAATCAGGCCCTTTCAAAGCCCATGTCTTCCCAGCCAGCAATCACTTTGTCTTTGACCGACACAGGATATGAGCGGTTGAAATCAACACTTCGAAAGCTACGCTGGCCCTCATACTCCATCGGCAGGAGACAGTTGGAAACAATTTTGCCACCACAACTAGCCCGACCAGTGCCCTTATAATGCATGTATGGACTCAGTGGATGTACGGTCACATCGTCAAAAACATATTCGTCCTTGGATGGGTGACATCGATTTACAAAGGCCCACATGAGCTCTTTAAAATCATCAATAGCTACATCATCCCCGACGACGAGAATTCGGTTCGTAAGCATAGCCGATTTGTCGTTGAAAACAATCTTCCCTATTTTATTGCAAAGTTCTTCTGGTGTTGTTTTCATCTGGCCAAGTTTCTCAATGTCAATCTGCAATGCACACCACGTTGCCATCGTTTCTAACGGGGCAAATGCCTCTTTAACTGGTATGTTATGTTGTTGCAACAGCGTAACCATCTGAGGTGCAGCGAGAAGAACGGTTGTATGCTAACGAAAACCATAATACCAATTAGCTTTTGCATAAGAGAAGAGCGTTGTAGATAATATTTCTTGCATAACCCACCGACTCGTCTGTGATCCTTCCTGGCACGGAAATAGGTAAGATGGCACTGTCACGATATGTGATGGTGTTGACTTTGAATAAAGGCATAGCCCGACGACCTTCCTTGAACAGAATGCCTAGATAATCCTCAAATGGCCCTTCATAGCCCTTTTCGGTGAGCGACAGGGTCCCTTCTAAGACAATCTCAGAATTTGCGGGCACAAGAAGGTCGCTCAGCTCGCATGTAACAAGGTCTAATGGCTTCCCAAGCAACGCGCCAACGAACTCGGCCTCTGATACATTCTCGGCCAGGGGTAAGGCAGCTGCAATACTTGCTGCTGGGGGCACGCCGAGAGCTAGGGCCCAAGGAATCTCAGTCTTACCCTCTTCCTTCCATTTCTGAAAAATAATGGAAACATGCTGTCCGCCGCCAACGAGACATACAATATGCCTGTTGTCATGAACCATGCCACGGAAGATAGACCAATTGGTCCAATTGCCATCTGGAGCTTGCAACACATGCATACCGTATGTCTGAATATATTTGCCTCCATCGTCCTTGTGTAGCAACGGTACCGGGAGCCGATTAAGGTCAATTTCATTTCCTTCAATCTTATTTTGCTTGCACGGACCGGTAGCCACTACATTGGGGGGAACAGGAGGTGCTTTGAGCGCCGCCTGAAGCTTTTGAGATATATCCGCCCATCGCGCATTTCTAGCAAGCCCCAGATTTCGCGCAATCCGGCCATATCGCTCCTCCTCGTTGTTCCGAAGACATGCTGCATTTCCAAACATGCGCCAAAGTCCGCCTTTTGCCCCCTTGATGTTGTTGAACAAGGGTGCTTTGCCATTCACTTCGCTCACCCGCCGTACAACCGCTCCGACTTCTAGGTGGGGATCGACTTCGCAATTGATTTCTGCCAAGTCATTGTCTTTCAGAAGAACATCGATAAAGGTGCGGAAATCGGCAGCAGGGTTTTGATTCAGAGTAGATGAGTCCATATACCTTCTACATGAAGCTCTACTCTGCAGAATCCAGTTGTGTCCTCCTCTTTTCATGAAATTTTGCGGGGTCCGACAAAGAGCCATGTTGCAGTCAACCACCTGATGTGTATGTTTAGAAAAAGGATATTGTGCAAAGCTCAATTTCTTTTTCTTGTTTACCTTGATCTCCATCCACCCCTCCCTCACTATCCGTGAGATCAAAAGGGGTATTGGAGAAAGTTGAATTGTGATCAATTATTCGTTCCGACGGTGTTCCGAAGAGGATTCGGATCCAGGAAAAGGAACATTCCGACTGCGTTGATTGAGCAGTTAAAGGGGGGGGCGCAAAAGAACAATTATATTTACTTTCAAATATATAGCAATCAATATAAGCTGTCATTGATCGGATTACGGGGACAATTGGCTATACTTTGCGGCAAGGGCCATTGATCATGATTAGGCCATTTTCTGCAGCGATTTTCAAACGAAGCTACCGTGCCAACTCCTCCCTGCTAAACGTGACTTTTTGTGAACCTTCACATACTTATCAATCACAATCGCGGCGTTTTCACCTATGCACCTCATGGCAGAGAGACAATCCTGTTTCCTTTATGCCATCTCGGCCAAAGCGCATAGTCATAGGCATAACGGGTGCCACGGGAACTTGCTATGCAATCCGGCTGCTGGAAGTCCTCCAAAGCCTGGAAATTGAAACGCACCTAATTATTAGCAAGTGGGCGATTGCAACTCTGAAATATGAAACCAAGCTTCCCGAAGCGGATATTCGTAGACTTGCGTCTATTAACTACTTATCCAAGGACTTGTCTGCTCCAATTGCGTCGGGCTCGTTCCAACACGATGGGATGATCATCGTTCCCTGCAGCATGAAGACTCTGGCCGCGGTCCGCACTGGGCTCTGCGATGATCTCATCTCACGAGCTGCAGATGTCTCTTTGAAAGAACATCGAAGGCTGATCCTGGCCGTGCGTGAGACCCCGTTGAGTGATATCCATCTGGATAATATGCTTTTTCTACGCCGTGCTGGGGCAACCATATTTCCTCCAATGCCTGCATTCTATACTCGGCCTAATAGCCTGGATGACTTGGTGGACCAAACTGTTGGCCGGATTCTGGATATGTTAAGCATTTCAACGACTGGATTTTCAAGATGGAATGGCTTTGAACGATCACTAAAATAATAAATATAATATGGTATACGACATTTCGCTGCTGGATTTATCCGCTGCCAAAGTCGGGACCTTTTTTGATAAAACAAATTACATGTTTGGAAACGAGCTGTCGGCTTCTCCTAACGCCCAGTCATACATCAAGCTATTTGGCCCCATGTTCGAAGAGCTATTAACGGTAAAGCTCCCCATCTCTGTTAGATCCATCAAAAGAGGCTGCATTGGCAACGCCAGATCGGTGGGATCGTAAGTTGTAAAAGCCAGTGAAGCATCAGACTGTGATCTGTTTGACCTGATCCTACTGGCACTGGCAGTGCCAGTGGGAGAGTTCATGGGTTTGCTAGCAAAATAGTCGTCCTCTCGAGAAATGAAGTCAAGCTCTCTCATCAATTTGAGTCGATTCCTCAATCTTCGTGCTGCAAGGGAGGAGTTACTGTAGGTCGCAGCTAGTCGGAAAGCCTTGCTGAAGCTTCCGTTTACCGACATTAAATGAGAGGAATACTCTTCCGGCGACCAATTAATGCGATGCTGTTCTATGTATGCAACAATCAAAAAGAGAAGGGCGCATGTACTGGCTAGAATATGTTGAAAATGTGGGAGCTGCTTTCGATATATGTCAGTGGTCTCATCTAATGCGGAAAGCAAGTCAATGCTCTCCGATATAAGATCCAAGCCGGAGGGAATTTTGGTTTTGCTGAGCTCAGTAGTTGATTTTGGAAGAAACCATGGCCTCAGCAGTAAAGCACGCACTGCGTTTGCCCGGAGGTAGAGCAATATTACCCACGAGGGTGGCTTCGCTTTGGAAATACACCAGGCGGCAGGATTCGTCAAATCGTAGCCATGCAGGCATTTTTTCTTCCACTGCTCGATCTGGAAGTTCATCATCTCCAGTGTGTCCTCATCATCACAGTTGCCCCCGGTAGCAACCCGGTCGATGGGTTCACTGAACCTATCGCTAATCAAAGTAAATGAGTGCATGGCTTTAAGGTAAGGAGATGTGACCTATTCCGCAAATCACATGTGGTCAGTAAAGAATAAATGAACCGGGTTTCCATGGGCTACTTACGTAGATGCTAAGAGCCGCATCGAAGCTACACTCACGGAAGTTTGTTGGAAGCCCAGTTGCAGCGCTCCATTGACGGTCTAGAACTATCACACTGCTGATTAGGGTAGCGATCTCTTCGCGTTCCTGCTCGGATTCTATGAGTTGATTTGGGATCTCTCGGGTGTGTAGGCCCAATTCCATAAGCATACGACCGGCTAGTCCGCACATACGCCAAGCAAATTTGAGTTGGTCCTTGAAAAAGTGATGGATTCCCTGGAGACATATATTAATAAACGGTTCAAGTGAAAATGTCATTGTTTCAAGCAAAGTCCATACCACCATCAAGGTAACGACCACCTTTTTAGTACTGACTGCGGGATCATTGACGACCAAATGGACCACTTCACGACAACTAGAGTAGAGGTTCTCTGCCATGTCACGCTGAGAGGGAGACTCAGTCCAAAGTGCAATGGCAAGAGCGAGACTGAGTATAGTCACGTCGTAGGCTTCCACCACTGATTCTCTTGTATCGTTCTCGCAGGGTTGCTTTCCATACCAGATACCACTCTGGTCTACTAAGCGCTCAACATCAATGATCGGATGGAATTCGCCTATGATTTCTTGATAGATATAGATCAGGTGTAGGAACTCCCGTCGGCTAAGAAGAGTTCGGAACAGTGGCTGTTCCTGGGTAGTTGCTTTGCCCAAAGTTTGCTGTCCCTTAGCTGAATCTTCATCATTCAGATTATTTTCATCGATGGTAGCATATTCAATTTCGGGGCCAGACGTGCTAATTTTCATCTGCGCAACGTTCAGGCTGTAGTCCGGGCTCGTCGGGCCATAGAAGGGTCGTGCAACCCGTTTGGATGAATTGGCAGGGACCAGGATTGGTTCTGTTTGCGGTATTATATCCTCAGCCGACTGCTCTTCCGCGAGCTCGATCTGAAGCTTAGGGTCAACGGGTTTGGGAGGGCTGGTGTCAGTTCCCTGTGTCATTGTGGTTGGCTCAGCGATTGCTAAGTTGGATGGCTCCTTAGCCTGTTTTGCCAGGGATTCCAGCTGGCCCTGCATACCTGCTATTAGGCCACCTAGAACTTGCAGTCTCCTGGAAGGTGTCTGGCTGTAAGTCTTGACTGAACAAATAAGAAGATATATCCGACACATACTCTGGCATCCAGGCGAGATCCTTCACATTCTGAGGGATTCTGCTCTCGGGAGACCGCACAGCAGTGTCGCTGCTCCATTCATTAGGAGTGGCCGAATTGACCGCATAGTTGCAAGTTTGCCTACGACCGACACAGTATGCGCAAGGCTCCATTCCGTCGCATCGGCCTTTGCGCTTTCGACATGCCTCGCATGCCTTTGGGGCATATCGCGCTCGCTTCTTGCCCGGTTCCGGAACATTATTCTCCATATATGGCTTTGCTTTACGAAGGTTGCCTCGGTTCTCCATCGCCTAGATTGTTTTCTATGGTGTTGGGGATCAAAACATCAATTGAATCAATGCCGTTTTAGAAGGCAAACTAAGGAAGGACATTATAATATTCCACCGTCAGATATCGTTATCTACCAAGTCTCCTCTCTTCTCAAGATCTCTTCGCCTGTAAAGCTAATAAACCTCACTAAGGTGCAAAATGCAGTAGCCGGTCTTATCTGCGGGGAAGCGCTTATCTTTGTGGAGACGCAGGCTTGGAATAAAGGATAAAGGTCGAATCTTCAGGTTCGTTGGTGTATTAGCGCCTATCTGCTCGTCGAGAAGATACACTAGGAATGCCACGCCGGAACGCCGTAGGAACGTTCCGGTGGGTTGGCCGGCTGCGTCGGTTATTTACTCGAGCTAAGTGGGCATTATTGATTATGCATTCTCGTTCTAGTCGTCGGCAAAACATACCAAGTCAGAGTTTGCGTATAATGGCAGATCTGTGCGTCACATTATTTTAACTATGCCATGCTGATACCGAACAAACTAACTGCTTTCTAGGGAAACATATTCGGCTTCATTTGCCTTCTTAGAAGGACTGTGGGAGGTAAGGCCTCACAGCATGATAATTTGCCACATTCAATTGATATATATATATATATATATATATGTTCAAATCCAGAGATTGAGAGATATACTAATGTTTCAATTAGGCCGGTGTCAGCCATGTATTCGTCAACCTGGGCTCAGATCATCCAGCGATTATGGAAGCGCTGTCGCGCGCATCCCAGACAAAGGGAGTGAATTTTCCTCGCGTGATTACATGCCCCCATGAGGTTGGTGCCAATGATACGCAGATCTCCAATATCTGTGGCTAACTCGTGTTGGTCTATTCATATAGATGGTCGCGATGTGCATGGCGGATGGTTTTGCTCGACTCACCGGCAAGCCCCAATGTGTTATCGTTCACGTCGATGTAGGTACTCAAATGCTAGGATGCGCAATGCATAACGCTTCGGTGGCCCGATGCCCCGTCATTGTGTTTGCCGGTCTCTCCCCCTTCACGCTTGAAGGAGAGATGCCTGGTTCCCGGACAGAATTCATCCACTGGCTACAAGATGCTCCTGACCAGAAACAAATCGTCTCCCAGTTCTGTCGATACACGACTGAGTTCAAGACAGGCAAAAATATCAAGCAAATATTGAACCGTGCCATCCAGTTTGCTACCAGTGACCCCAAGGGACCAGTGTATTTGACAGGGGCTCGCGAAGTGATGGAGGAAACAGTTCCGCGATACAAACTCGATTCCAGCGTATGGAAGGGCGTGGCGCCAACCGCACTACCTCAAGACGGCCTTGAGACGATCGTTTCGCTGCTAGCAGTCGCTGATGAGCCACTGATAATTGTTGGCTATACAGGACGCGACCACGGCACCGTTCCGGAATTGGTGTCCCTAGTCGAGAATATCCCTGGAATTCGCGTGCTAGATGGTCTGGGAAGCGACGTCTGCTTTCCACAGACCCATCGAGCCTCCTTGGGAGTGCGAATTGGTAGTCATGAGCGCATCAAGACGGCCGATGTCATTCTTGTGTTACACATCGATGTGCCGTGGATTCCTACGCAGTGCAAGCCTCGTTTAGACGCCAAGATTGTCCATATCGACGTTGATCCCCTCAAGACTAACATGCCGGTGCATTACATTCCTGCCCTTCATCGATACTCGGCAGATGCAAAGACGGCGCTTCGGCAGCTCAATAAATATATCGCCAGTCACACGCAATACTCCACGCTTCGCATCTCGGAGCCGCACCTGTCTCGCTGGTCTGCTTTGGCAGCCGAACACCAAGATCGCCTAAAGCGATCTCAAAAACTCGCATTGGCCTCTGATGAACTCGCTTCTCCTTCAATCTCTCATCTATGTGCAGCCATACGACAACAATGCCCCCAAGACACGATATACTCAGTCGAGGCTGTCACTAATGCCCCTTTCGTCTATGAGCAGTTGCAAGTAGACAAGCCCGGTCATCTACTCAACGCAGGTGCTGGTGGTTTAGGTTGGTCAGGTGGTGCGTCAATTGGCATCAAGCTTGCTGCAGACTGGCTGGCCGGGGGGCAAGGAAAAGGCCAGTTCGTATGTGAGATTGTTGGTGATGGTACTTTCATGTTTGGTGTACCAGGAACTGTATACTGGATCGCTCGAAAATACAAGTTGCCCACTCTGACAATAGTCTTGAGTAACAAAGGTTCGTTAGTCTATGTTGCTGGCTGATCGTAGTTGAACTGACAGAAAATTTAGGCTGGAATGCCCCTCGTGTTTCTCTTGAACTCGTACACCCAACTGGTTACGGCTCAAGAGTGTCCAACGAGGAGCTGAACATCTCATTTGCGCCAACCCCGGACTTTTCAGGGATAGCCAAGGCTGCTGCCAATGGAAACGCATGGGCCGGCGTCGCGAGGACAGTTAAAGATTTGTCAGTGCTCCTACCTGAAGCCATCCAAAATGTCCACAGCGGAATATCAGCTGTGCTCGAAGTCCAACTCGCAGGGTCCTGGGAGGAGGAGAATAATGTTCGGAGTCAGATCTGATCGCTTTCTATCTTCCCACATATGGCTAGGGGTTTGAAAGTACTTCATTCAAGTTAGATGATATATAACAATATTCACCAATATCCTGTGCGCGCTTATGCATCAAGAAAGTAATGTGTAAAATTCGTAGTAGTAGTTTTGTGACTCTTTTTTCATCTTTGTGTATTTATGGCAGACTTACCAAATGTAGCTCTTCCTTGCAGATACTTCCTAAATGGTTTTTGATATTGTCATCACGCTTGCTGTCTATATGAGACTTAATACAAGATTGCAGGCTACAAAGTACTATCAGTGAGTTGCACACTATATAAATAATAGTTGGAAGATGTCTAACTTGAAATTTCTTTTCTACGATTGACACGAAATTAGTGATAAGCCTCTATAACAAACTTAGTTGGGAAAAATTAGCGACTTAACTAAGTCACTTTCATTCAGTTCGGAATTGCTCCGGAATGGAAGGAAGTCGCTCGCACCCTTTTATACATAGTCTAGCGGAGGAAATGTTGATTCTATTCCCAGGCAGTACCCAAGAGGTAGGGAAATAAAATTTTTTTGGCACAATGCTCCACCATCGTCCAACAAGGGTCCTGGTGCAACTCAGCCGCGCGAGGACTAGCAGAAGGTGCGCCAGGATAAATGGCATCCACTCGCATAGTTACCAACAGGGAAACGTGCCTTTGGTAATCAATGGACAAGATGTCACGACAAGCGAAAGTTTCGAGGTCATCAGTCCACTGACTGGCAAGCCCATCTGGCGTACAGCGACGGCATCCAAGCAAGAAGTGCTCGACGCAGTCGAAACTGCCCAGAGCGTGTTCCCTGCATGGTCAAAAACCAAACCACACGAGCGACGAGACATCTTCCTGCGGGCTTCTGATCTTATGGTCAAGCGCCGAGAAGAACTCGGAGAGTACATGCACCAGGAAATCGGCGCCAATAGGCAATACCAGGACTTCATCTTGGGATTAAGCATTGAGGGGCTGCGAGACACTGCAGGAAGAATTGCTGGTGCCATGCAGGGCCAAGTCCCAGTCTCAATGCATCCAGGAATGAACTCGATCATCCACAAGCGACCGTACGGTGTTATTTTAGGAATCGCGCCATGGTATGTTGTTCAGTCTTCAACCTTTCTTTCTTTTTTAACATTCGAAAACCGGCAGGAATGCTCCATATCACCTTGGTCTTCGTTCTATTACTTTCGCCCTAGCGGCCGGCAATACTGCTATTCTTAAAGGGCCAGAGCTCTCTCCGAAATGTTACTGGGCATTTGTTGATGTGTTCAGAGAAGCCGGTCTTCCCGATGGAACACTCAATCTCCTCTTCCATCGGCCCGCGGATGCTGGGCCAGTGACAGAAATGCTCATTTCTCATCCACATGTGAAGAAGATCAATTTTACTGGCAGCACCAAGGTTGGAAGTATTATTTCTGCCACTGCTGGGAAGCACCTGAAGCCCGTTTTGATGGAGCTTGGAGGCAAGGCAAACGCGATTGTGTTAAAAGATGCTGATATCGAAAAAGCTGCTCTACATTGTGCGAATGGCGCGTTTCTCAATGTAAGGAATATACACTTAGGATCGAATCATTTTTTATCATTTTCTAACGGCATCTACCTAGGCTGGTCAAATTTGCATGTCCACTGAACGTATTCTCGTTCATTCGTCTATCGCTTCTAAATTCGAGTCGGTGCTTAAGGAAACAACATCCCGATTATTTGGATCTCCTGAGACAACTCCCGTCGTCGTCACTTCGGCGTCGGCTAAGCGAAATCGCGAGCTTGTTGCGAGCGCCGTGTCCCAAGGAGCCCAAATTCTCTCCGGAACCACAGATATAGTACACGATACGGACACAAGGATTAGCCCCATTGTGGTCAGCAATGTGGACAAGTCAATGGGCTTGTATGGGACGGAGTCTTTTGGGCCTAGCGTCTCGCTTTATACTTTTGAAACGGTAGAGGAAGCTGTGGCGTTGGCAAATGACACAGAGTATGGGCTCGCAGCATCAATATTCACTGAAAACCTCGCAGAGGCCTTCCAACTAGCAGAACTGCTCGATTCCGGGGCGGTGCATATCAACTCCATGACTATCCATGACGAGTTCGCCCTCCCTCATGGAGGCGTCAAGAAGAGTGGATTCGGTCGTTTCAACGGCTATCAGGGCTTGGACGAATTCTTGTACTGCAAGACAGTTACCTGGATGCAATAATTGAATTTGGGAATTCCCATGATGGTGTTTTGTGACATCAATTTCTGTCTACATAGCTCCTGTTCGTTTGTGTATGTATCAATAGTGAATTCATGCCAGCACTCCCGGTCCTAGTTGCGAATTAGATTTAACCAGTTTCATTATAACGCTACATTTCAATTGAACGCCAATGTTTTTGCACTCAAAATTCAAATACAAACAGTCAATTTATTTCTTTATTCATTTTGGTTTTTCTGGTCCTACTTGATTCTTTCCAGAGCTTCACGCATTTTTCCCCTCCCCGCAGGTATTCTGGCAGATATGGGACTAACAGAATCGATGCGTACGGCTGCACCCATCTCCAAAGACGGAATGCTGCCCTGACAGTGTCAGTCATGTTCCTGAGTCACTGTCCTGCTGTCCCGAATAGTGTTGGAGATCCGGAATGGCGAGGTGATTCCGAAGTACGGAATGATATGGCTAGGTCGGAACACTTGTGTTTCTCCCATCAGGCTTGGTGGAGAAAATTTCTTTTGTTTTGTGGGCTACACATATATAGGAAACTCTTTTTATGAACTACGTTTTACAGGCAGAGTCCTCTTCACTCAGTTTTTCGCATGCACTCGAAGTGTTCCCCTACCACGTCCCTACTGCATCCAGACCTGCGCCATGCCTCAACCTCGATACACGACCGTACCTAAATACAATTCCAGGGTCCTTGTCCGTGGAGATGTTGGCTACGAGGTATGCAGATGCAACAACCCTACAGCAGACACGCCAGACCGGTTTCCATCTGAAATCCACGTTGTAGAAACCCCAACTGATGTGGCTACGGCACTCAAGCGTGCCACTGAGTTGGGAACAACTGTCGGAATTCGATCCTCAGGTCATATTATGAATCTTGGAAACCTCATCCAAGATGGGATTCTGATCGATACGGTGAATCTCAATCGGCACATTAACTATGACCCGGTCACGAGAGAAATAGCTTTTGGCCCTTCTTGTCGAGTCGAGGAGTTGGCTGCAAAGCTAAAGGAGGTGAACCGATTCTTCCCTCATGGCCACGCGCCCACTGTCGGATCAGGGGGCTTCCTCCTGGCTGGGGGGCAAGGATGGTTTGTCCGTGGATGGGGCGCCACCAACCAGCAGTGGATTCTCAAGATGGAAATTGTCGTGCCTGATGGCCGCACTGTAATAGCCAGCCGAACTGAAAACCAAGACTTGTTTTGGGCAGCCAGAGGCAGTGGCTTGGGCTTCTTTGGGGTTGTGACGCGCTTCTGGGGAAGAACAATTCCGGCGTCTAAGATGTGGGAGCGCATATTGAAATTCGAAGTTAACTCGGACAACTACGAGACACTGATGACGTGGTCTATTGAGCGCGGACGCGACACTCCCAAATATGGCACTGATTTGAATCTTACCATTGATTATCCTCAAAAGTATGACCCAGCGTATACCACAGACGACGTGCCCCCCGGCGCAAAGCTCCATTTGACTTTGAACCTTCTCTGCTACACCGACACCCTCCGTGAAGCTCGAACACTACTCAGTGCATATGACAATATGCCTGAGAACGTTCGAGAATGGTTGATTCAATTCCATCCAGTACAAAGCAGAACCTTTGAGGAAGTGTTTAATAGAAAACGCGGCTTTCTAGGAAATTCTGGGAAAGAACGTTGGCAAATTAACAGCATCATGAACGACCCAGCCGTTCCACTGCCACGAGTAAGTTGTCTCTCAATGGTGGGATGTATATATCCATGCAAGACTACGTGCTAACAGGAAATCTTAAAGCTTCTCCAAGCCATCAAGCCAGCTCACCTTGAGCTGCCTACTCGGACTACATCAGTATTCATGTGTCACTGCGACATTGTCCCAGATGAGGAAGATGCAGTCCTAAGTCTACCACAGGATTTATACATCTCAACAGTAACTGGATGGACAGACCCAAAACTCGAGCCTGCCATCTACCAAAACATGCGTGACCATTACAGGCGAGCATTCCCTGTGGCAGTGGGCCAATACATCACCGAGCTAGATGTCAACAATGACGACGCAAACGTGAGTGCTAATAATAATATCCCGTTAAAAGAGAGAGAAATATGTTTGACTAACAACTTCATAACAGACCAAGGTTTTCTCCGATACTGCGCTAGCCAAGTTCCTTAAGATTAGAGCGAAATGGGACCCTAAAGAATTGTTCCCTAACTACAAGAAGTTCGTTCAAGCACATGACAAGATAAACAGGCTGCAGAATAAACCATCGCTTTAGTGCAAATTCTGACATTTATTCTCTATTTCGATATGAAATTAGACAGCTACATTCTTTCCCATCCAAAATTCTAGACAGCTCACATATTAATATCCAGTACTACAATATCTACCTATCAATATATATATGTGTGTGTGTGTGTGTTTTGTGTATACGAATAAAACCAGCAATTATTGACAGTAATGAACTTTTCTTTGTTGATTTATCTTAATAGACACAATTTCCACCAAGGAGCAGATGGGGTTCACACATCCCTGGTCTGAAATCAATTTGAAATCAATTTGTAGTGGTCTTAGTGCTGGTTTGCAGAGAAAAATTTGTTGTTTCCTGAGAGTCAGGGAATACACCTATGTCAAGTCCCAAGAAGGGAAAAAAAAATTCCCTCCAATGTTGTCAAATCATAGAATCTCATTTTCTTGTTGCTGCTTACCTTGTCAAGACATCTTGCTAGGTGGAACACAAAGTGTACATTATGAAGCATGCCTGTCTAGAATGAAGGACTAAACATGAAGAAAAATATAAGGACTTACAATAGGTAGTGCAGTTAACGGTGAAATATTAGAATATCGTTAGTTATTGATTTTGTATTTGTCATCATACGTAACCACAGAAAGCAAGACCAAATGACCTTGCTCATAAGTTACAACACAAGTTGGTCATGGAAAAAAGGACGTTAACAAGAGGCCCTGGGGCATTTTCCACATGTTGGATTTCGCTGTCATGAACAGTTGGCTAGCCACATCAGATTTATTTTTGTCTCTTCTGCTTTTCTTTTTGGCCAGATTTCTCTTGTTACATATACGCGCCATAATATTCATTCAGCACAGAGCTACTCACAAGGACTTCATGGATATAGAAAAAGAACATGTGTAGATGTCATTCTTGTCTGCTAATGAAATATGAGGTCTCAAATCCCATGTTCTAGCATCTAACCCTACGGCCTGCGTTGTTCGTATAAACTATGCAAACTACCGTCGACCGTCAAGTAACCACTTCAAGCCTTCAGTGCAGTTCTCTGCAAACTTCGAGGAGAGAGAGTGTGTTGGATAGCTATACCAAAATATATGTGGCATCCCGGGATATACGATTACACGTGTCTGGATTTGATTGTCCAGACGCAGCTCTCTTTCATAAATCAGTGCTTCGTCCCTAAGGATATCAGACCCGCAGATTTGAAAGAAATGCGGGGGTAGGTCTGCATGGCCGGTTGGCCAGAGCAGAGGGTTCCATAAAGGTGAAGTGATATCCGGAGATACTACCTGATCAAAAAATGCAATCGACTTTGATGATAGTGAGCCATTTGCATTGCGCCCTAGGCTTTCCCGACTTTTGTAGAGATCTTGATATTTGTCGGTCATTGCCTGTGGTACGAGGGTGGGAAAAGCACTCAAGTACACGCCCGTTATAGGCGGATAAAGACCAATATCGCGCGCTCGATGGATCAGGGGGATTGTGATATGGCCACCTGCAGAAGAACCGCCCAGGACAAAGCCTTGAGATAAATCTACCTGCAACGCGCTCGCATTATCAATAACCTGTAAGCAATTATTTGAATGTAAGCCAGTTAGAACATCTGGTAGGGAGAAAGGCTGCTGCTTTACCCAGCGAATTGCATCCCAGCAATCTTCATAAGCGGTTGGGAACTTAGATTCCGGTGCCAAGCGGTAGTCCAGGCTGACAGCAACACAACGACAGGCCTGCACAGTGCGAATACACGCCGCAGATTCCATTTCAGGACTGCCAATACAGAATCCGCCACCATGGATCATGATCACCAGCGGCTTGTTTTCGTTCTCCTGTTCGGGCGAGTTATGGCACCGATACAGGAGAGCGCGGACTTTATGACCGTCTTGAACCGGGATAAACAGTTCTGCCTCGGTCACATCACCAGATGCTGCTGCCAGAAGTTTGTCGGTATCGTCACGGAGCGCCTGGTGCCACGCCGCGCGTGTTTGCGCCAGAGCAGAAGCAGAGGATCCGATGCCTGGCAGCCGTCGCTGAACGCCATTCTCGAGCATCTACGTTGCATGTTTTTAACATTCATATGGAGCATATGTCATCGCTAGTACGCACCTCAACGAGCTCTGGGTCGAGAGGGCTGAATTCATCCCATCGTTCAGGATCGTTAACTCGTGCAGCCTGGTCCATTGAGCGAGAGGCAGAGGGGAGTACCTGAGAAAGAACCTAATAGCTTCTGGCATATCATCGTGTCTCAAAACACATGCTGGCGTGGGTGTTCCCTTCTAATATCAGCAGCCCCCATAGCAGGTCGCCAAGCTCGGCCGGCTAAACAGGGTTGCTCGGCAAATCGCGCTGCCAAACACGCTAGTCTGCATTTTGTTCGCACGGCAAATGTCTTAGTCAGACAGAGTAAACACAAGCGCACACACAAAACACGAAGGCCAGACCTGTTGAGGGTCTTCTCATGCATGTAGAACCAACTATTAGATTTAGGTAGTCACTGATAAGCTAACTACCGCTTGGAAGGACTTCAGTGCCGCACGGCGCAGTGCAGAGCTAGTCATGTGAGAAGGGCTGTCTGATTGTGGAATAGCGTGTGGTCTTGACGTGAAACAGCCGACTCGTTTGCCCTCGTCAAGTCTCTCTCGACATGCGACTGTCAGCCTCCATGGATGCAAATAGACGATCGGCTCAATGTCTTCTCCATCGAATTCGCAGTGCAGACCGAGCCCTGCGAATCAAGTCTTTCGCTCCCGACTAGGGTGCTGGACGTGTCGCGAAAAGAAAGTCAAGTGTGACGAACAACGCCCGCGCTGCCGAAGGTGCATCCGTTTAGGAAGATCTTGCGACTACACGCAGCGCCCTCGCAAGAAATATACACGGCGCAGTCAGGGGAAAGGAGCAGAAATCCACGATGATCCCGATACAGGCCCATTATCCTTGCCGAGTGGCTCGCCAGATGATGGTTCTTTACGGGCAGTCATTATTCATGCGGACCACCAGGGAGAGACACAGCACAGGAGTGGTATGCCCACCCTCCTAGATGACAGCAGCCCAACCCAAACCGACTACCTCCGTTTCTTATCGGCATCAGACCACGAAGCTATAGACTACTTTCGCTCTGTCCTGTCTACACTGGTCGACACCAAGCTTCCGGAGCACTCCGGGCCAGCTATGGTTTGGACCTTGGCACAAAGAAACCCCATGCTGCTGCATATGGTGTGCACCTTGGGTGCCCAGAATTTGTCTTATCAGACGACTTTAGCACAAGACCAGGTACGATTCCGCCGAGCGCAAGCAATGCAGCACTACGGGGATGCGCTACAGCTTTTGAGTGCCGCGACCCACAATATCCATGCCGTGCACATGTCCGATTTTGATTGCATCCTTGCCACTCTGTGGTTGATGATTGTGTACGAGCAGAAATATGGAGACGGGCGTGGAGTAGGCCTCATTGCACACTTCCAGGGTGCCGCCCTTCTTCTCAAGGATCACCTGCGGAACATCTGCGGCACTCTCACTGACCTGGACGCAACTCACAATCTCAATTCTACTCTGTCTCCTATCAGCAGCCGGATGGTGATATGGATCTCTTTAACTGATGGTGGCGCGACATTTAACGAAATTCGAAGCGGATTCAATCACCTACTCGGCGAGGCACTGCAGCACGGCAGTCATGTTAATGTCGTCATCATGAGACTTCGCTTAATCGTCGCCCTCCACAAACATTCAAATCTGGCATATCGCGAAATTTGGGGCGATTCATATCCCCAAACCCAGCTTCTCGAGGACTTGGCTAGCGAGCATCTATTCTATCTACAATCCGAGGCAGGCCAGCTACGGTATGTCATTTCCCAGCATGTCGAGGGCGATCATACGGACCTAGAAGCACAAACTTACAGCACCCACCACATCATCCAAGCAATCCAGGACTTGGAGAGGCGATACAGCGGTTATATTGAAGCGGCAACGCTTTTGGACTTGCCTGAAGAAGGGTCACAAAGAAGATTTGTGATGAATATCCGCACCGCAGTGGCATGGTATTATGCAGTTTTGCTCTATTTTCACGCATTTTGCCCATCGGACAACAGCACCCAGCGGCAAAGGGCCCTAGGAGAGACCATGAAATTGTGTGGAAAGGCCTTCCAAGACCACAAAGAACGGGCCATGTTACAAATGGCCTGGCCATTGTACGTTGCAGCGTTAGAGACGGACGACATCATTCACCAGAATTGGATCCTGGATCGGTATGATGCCCTGCAAAACTACGGCGAGAATTACCGGCGGGCCTATGAGGCGTTGCGTTTGGTACTGTCGCAGCCGCGGCGGACCCCGATTGACCGATATGAATTTCTCCAGCGGGGCGGCGGAAACGAAAACTTTACCATCTGACTTGAAATTGGCCGCGGCCCAGTCGGCTAAATCCGCCGCGATTCCAAATCACTTGCGAAATTCAACCAAGATACGAAGCTTGCTTGACCCCGATTTTCTCAGCAGAAGATTTAAACGCGGGTTACCCGGCAGAGGAACGTTCCATGGCTTGCATTAATAACACAAGTCCAGGTACCCTGTGTTAAAGCTCGCCGGCCGTCGCCGTCATCAATAGCCATACAATATCCGCCGCCATGGAGGTCGCTGTCGAGAGCCCCCTCAAGTAAGTCGGTTTCAGCGCTCCTGGAATCGACCAGCCAGCTCACCAGAAGCTACAGTACTCCTTTGTTGGACCAGCGGTTTTCTGCTTTGAAGCAGCGCCTCGTCAGGCCCGAAAACAAACAGAATGTTATTGAGTCGTACAATAAGCTGGTCAAATTGCTTGAAGCGGAAACCGCTCTGATTGAAAAGAATGGACCGAACATGGTTCCAGAAATTGACTTTGAAGACGTTCGGAAGAATGGTTAGTTACACATCTGCGGCTTAAGAACTGTTCAACTCTTACAGAATGTATAGGTGGCGTGCTTCCAGATGCCTTTGCTGACATTGTTCGCGACCGTGGCTGCTTGATCTTACGCAATGTCGTCCCCGAACAGCAGGCCGTCGCTTGGGAAGCATCACTTAAAGACTATATACACCGCCATCCGGGAATAGGAGGCTTCCCGCAACAAAACCCCGTGGGATGGAATATTTACTGGACAAAGGCCCAAGTTGAGATGCGATCGCATCCTGAAGTCTTGAAGGCCTTGAAGTGTGTTTCACGCCTCTGGCACGTAGCCGATCCGTCTGCGGCGATCGATCTAGACAGTCAAATTGTGTACCCAGATCGAATCCGGATTCGGTATCCATCCGATGATCCGCGCCAGTTTCCCCTAGCACCACATCTAGACAGTGGTGCTATTGAGAGGTGGGAGGATGAGACCAACCGCATGAATTTCAATGTGATTTTTGAGGGCAATTGGCAGAATTGGGATCCTTGGTTGGTGGACCACCGCATCCATGCGAAGAGCAATTTGTATACAGATCTCAATACTGGGGAGATATCTTGCTCAGCCTGGCGTAGCCTTCAGGGTTGGCTGTCTCTTTCGCACACCAATACTGGCGAAGGAACCCTGCGAATTCTGCCCAGCATCAAGCTGTCCACTGCGTACATTATGCTTCGGCCGCTATTCCACACAGGAGAATACAACGACTCCCTCCCGACCTTTCCCGGAGCAACGCCAGGTAAAACCCAGTTTTTTCCGACCACTGAACATCATCCCCATCTTTCTCTGGACCGCGCCATAGTCGGGATCCCTCCTGTCCGGCCGGGCGACTACGTCTTTTGGCACTGTGACCTCGTCCATGGAGTCGATGCGACTAATACGGGAAAGAACGATTCCAGTGTATTCTACAATGCCTGTAACCCTCTTACTCCGTACAATATTGAATCATTGATCCACACCCGCGAGGAATTCCTCAAGGCCGAGGTTCCCACAGACTTTGTCCAGTCACAGAAACCTACCTGGGAGAAGGAGTCGCAGCATGAAGATTGCGGTGCGAAGAGGGAAAATATTCTAAGCGAAGAGGGAGAACGAACTCTAGGCTTGCGTCGGTTCGACGACGATGAGCTGGGTCTCATAGAGGGTCAGCGAGAGGTGAGACGACTGGCCAATTCCCGATTGGGATTATAATTCTAGATACGACGCATAGGACTTGTTATCAATCCATACTTTCTTTTCCTGAATATCCCTTTTGCTTTTTGCTTTTTTCTTTTTTGGTTGATCGAGTCCAACGAAATATAAAGCATGGACACGTCAAAGAGTATCCTGCGCTCATCATTGTCAATTGGGTCAAGGTTTGCAAGCGATCTATACTTCAGCTGTAGACTGTAGCGTTGCCTAGGCAGTTATACGTCGGAATGTTGAATGGAAGTTCGGCCAGACAAAGCGAATGCTAATTGTTGCAGTAGCATCCAACACTACCCCTCAACACTGATACGTTCTTCAGATTGAGTATTAGATAAGAGATGAAAGAATCACATCAACGTGCATACGCCTGCATGATAATATTCACCTGCGTAACTAGATGATTGACCCAGCTCTATACACGTAATTTGTAATTATTTCCTCGGTGTGCGTAGGCTCTAGTACGTGCAGCCAGGCTCGTAAGCGAATCAATCGGCATAGTGTAATATATAGCGGAGCAAGGGGGAGCGCTCCCAAGCAAATCTAGCAACGCCGTATTATACGTAGTAATTTGAAGTTGGTAGGGTACTCATCCAGTCACACAATGAGCCCAGTCCAGTGTCTCCTCCGCCCATTCCATATGACTGGAAAGTCCCATATATATAGGACAAGGAAGAGGTGAGATCGGCGTCGGAATTGACTTCCCCTCTTTCACCCAGGAATAATTTTTGATATCATCACTGGCAGAGCCGTTCAGTGTCAACTGTGAGTCGAGATAGCTCATAGCCGCGTATAGGTCGTGTGCTCAGCTCTCATAGCCATTGGCAGCCATTCCACGATATAACTGCTCAAAATATATGCTCATATCAACCTGTGCCTGGACCGGTGCCGAGGATGCATTTGCAGCATAGATGGTATCAGGGTACTCATTGCGAGTAAACGCAGCTCTCATGCCAGAGTACGACCCGCCGATCATAATCCATGGTGCTCCTTTGGACGACAGATTGTCGGAGGGAAGATCCGAGCGACTAAAAGCTTTTGGTAAAGTATGGGATATCAACTATTGCTTTGGCGTGCGTCAAGTATTGAAAGTTTTCTGCTGGTGTGTTCACATTTATAGGGCCCATCGGTAGTGAATCTCCGTAGTACCTGTAGCCCCAAGGCAAGACGTTAGTTTGGATGATTCTCACTTCAAAAAAGTCAATGTAAATTGAGAAGAAGAACAAATCGATGTTCCCAGACAATGCCAATCCTTCCAAAGTTCCCCAAAAAGCTCCTCAAACACGATGATTCGCCTAACATATGTTGCGCCGAGCTATACGCGGAAGACTCGCCGACATCGTAGAAAAAAACAGGCACTCCAGAACGGTAATATTTAGTTGTCACCCAGTACCTATTCTGGTATGTGCCTAGGATGTGATTTTCATGATCGATTGGGATCTGTAGATGTCAGTATATTTTGGATTGCTTCACCAGCGCAAGACAAAAAGAGAGCATACATCGGCATACTCAGTAGTTATCGTCTTCGAATAAGATATGTCCACCATCTTACGAAAATTCACCGGGTCCAATAACACGCTATCTGCGCTGAACCCTAATGAAGTAGCGAGATGGAGGTCTCGAGTTGCGGGGGTGTTGATGAAACCGATGCATGATGCTTGTTGTACCAGCAGACTGGTTAGGTATGTACACGAGAGAAGTGTCTCGAAAAGTGATAATATCATTGTGTATAATGCTGTGAATATATACATAGATTTATATCATTGATGCGTATAAATAATGCCGTGCGAGAGGTGTTAAAAAAAGAGCAAGACTTTTATCATGATATGTCGTGAAAGAGATGGAAACCATATTTATTTACTCTACACTATTCTTCTTTCTCCTGAACAGATACACAGATTACTACATGCGGAAGTCAAGATGGCACAACATTGTGTGACAATATTGATCGATATTACCGTGAACGGGAGTCTCGTCAGCACGATTTCCAGAATAGGCAATAAGTCAGCCCTCGAACCCTTGCCCTAAAGCCTAGACAATCTGTCAAACAAGCTAAACATAACTTATTGATAAAGCCAGCCATCCACTTTGTATGGTTTGTCTACTATGTCTGGTTTGCCCTCTTTCTTGCATGCCAGCCAGGTTTACTGGAATGTGGCCGAAGCAAGGGGGTATCCGGGGTGGAAAATATTTACCCGTTTGGCAAATCAGGTGGCATGTGTTGCTCAATTCCTTGGTCAGAACCACTCGAGGTATGTCTGGCTTTGATAGCCACCGTCTAGCTTGCAATCAGTTTTTTGGAGGTGCCTAGAATGAGATGAGTCTCACTTTACGCAGCATATAGTGCCTCACACCAACCACATCCATTCTGTCCACGACTTGATAATCCAATACACCAAACAGTGGCTGGTAGAGTAATCCCTAGATTCATAGCTTGGATTCGAATTCGCTCCCCATGGTTATGTATAGCATGAAGCATTATTATTCAATTCGATATTCAACATCAAAGCTCATTTTACTTGTATTTCTCATAATTTCTAATATACATGTGCTCTAATACCTTTTCTATCGAACTTAGGATAAAGAACGGAATATAGTACCATTAATCATTGCAAATGTATGCAGACCTGACATACGTATAGCGATCTTGGTGCCAGCCCAGAGGTAGATCTCTCCAAGACTAATCTAACTTCTAGAAACATTCCAGAGACCGATCTACATCGAGCCAGCGTACCCAACATTCCGATGTAGGGTTGGACGGTATCTGCCATGTTACGTTACTAAGGAATGTGAGTATGCCAAAGGCTGGTTATCAAGCTTATCTGATAAACCAAGCGAAAAACTAAAAGACTTGAAGAGAAAAGGGCGACAAACAGTTCTATAATATTATATCTAGACATATCGATACACACCTCTTATGTACTAATCTTCCACTAACCCAAACAGCCCTCACGTTACCATCATCCCCATTCCACACCCACTTCTCAATCTTCTCTGTCCAGTTCTCCCATCCAAACAAGTCTATATTCCCTGTATCCTCTTGCCCCCTTTCTACTAGCACATCATCCTCTGCTGCTAAAGTCTCAACAGGTGCCTCGAGTTCAATCAACTGTGCGTCAAAATACATCCCCATCTCAAACCCGCCGATCTTTTCCGTCATATCAACGACTTGCGCGCCGCCCCTCGTTGCCAGATAAAGCGCTTCCTCGACGCTGAGACTCACGGCCTGTTATCTCGGATGCAGCTGCTTGTGAGGAAACAAGCCGTGAGATGAGACAAGCTTGACGCGCTGTCTCGAGTATACTGGGCGAATATCTACCGCTAAAATGTGACCTGGCCTGCTAAATCAGTTACGCGACTCGCCCTAATCCCAAACAAGGCAGATAAATCACCCGTTTATTTGGATAGGGCCAATCGGGAAGTGCCACGCGAGGGATATCTTGGGTGATGGGAACGCTGCACCATTCTAAAGTCTAATACTTTCCATATCCTCGAGTAAATTTCCTATCACTCTCTCGTTTTCTTTATTTGAATGAGGAAACAAGCCGAACATAAAAATCATGCCTTCCAAACAAAAGGAGGCCGAGAAGCCATGAGTCTTGCAGAAGTTGGCGCAGCAGTAACATTTGGACACAGGTGAATGCGACTGGCTTTACCCTGACCACTTCGTATCGTAGTTTGGTTCTTCATATGCGCACGCGCATATTAAAAATTCCGTGTAGCCTTCATGTCTACTTCAGAAGGCCGTACTATTTAGATAAAAGCTATAGACGGGGGAGAAATCAAGTGTTACCCCAAGTCGGTTCTGAATTTCAAAGACCTTACTTCCCCCAGTGTAATACGAGATTTCAGGCATGTTTCTTTAAAACGGTGGTGGGGCTATATATTGATTGGAATAAGTCAGGGGTGGAATGGAATAAGGGTTGTTGGCTGCAACGAAATCTTTAGCTAACTCAGAGACATCGGGCTACAATAAACCGTAGACATATAGTACTTTTAACAATACAGCCTGATGCTACCGTCTCATATGGTATACGGTGTGGTGCTTAAAGCACTCCCGCACGAAGCTTGACGCTAGGTTGTTAGCCGTCCTTGTCAGCCAGACAATGCATGCTGAGCTGGGGCGGGAAAAGGATTCTCGAAGCTATTCGAGTATTGAATATGAATTAAATTTGCCGATATCGTTTATCGAGGCACGGTAAGTCTTACATATCCAATTTTTGTTTTCAGTTAAAAGCGAAAAGAGAATGATCAAGTAAGATAAATTCCATTTCCATCCTGTGAAAAGGCCGACTTAGCTTCCGATACTCCTTGTCAGAGTATGCTTAAACGCTCATTCAGATGTCATCTACGACTCCTATAGCCTGAATCTAACGTTTCATAGGAGGTTTGGCTTAGGGCTTAAGACTAGAACAGAGGCTGATGAACTGCTGACGAGCAATCAATGTATAGTCAGGGGTTTGCAAGATATTTTCCTCGAAATGATCAATCCGTATTCATAAAGGCTTTGCGACCTACACTTCGCCTGGCAAAACGACGCTATGCGGGGTTATTAATGAAACTCGTATTTCCTACACATGGCGTCCGTCTATGCAGGTTCACTCCGGCTGAGCCGCCTGTAATAGCCGTCTGTGATAGGCCTATCTGAAGGATGAATGCATATGGTAGAATAACGATCGTATTTCAATGGCCCCCAAATTAGTTGAGTTGGTGAGCTTATCAAAATTCAATGGGTCTTACCCTTGCTTCGGAAGGGACCCCAACAGTCGATATATATTTCCGGGCGATCATTCGTATTAGAATACGGGTTGAACTCCAACTTTATGAATCGGCTCACGGATTTGGAAATGAGGATAGATGAACGACCCATCGGTTTCAAATAGTACGAAGATTGTCTATCTATTTCTTCCTTCCGCCCCAACAATTGGCAAAGACATCCTTTTTGCTGGAGCTCCGTTGAGGTTGCTCGTTGACATAAATACAGAGCAGGAGCCATTAATGGATGTCTTATTCTTAAACCAAAGAAAATCAGCCGAATTCTCATTAAAGAACATTTATACCCCAACCACAAAATTCAACCAATACCATGCGTTTCACTTTTCTTTTCGGCTCTTTCGCTGTTGTTGTCGCTATCAACGCAGCCGCCAATACTTCTCCGATTGACGCCATTACCCAGGCTTTGGAGCATGGTGACTTTGTGGATGCTGCTATTGATATTCTGACGTTGGGAAGTTGCGATGTTTCTAATCTTGCTGGTAATTATTTTTTCTACTCTCATACTATAAGAAAGGATGGTCCCTTCTTGTTTAATAGATACTAAGTGAAAACCCAGACTGTGTCGGCGTATTTGCTCCTATAGTTATGGATTGTGGCCTAGCTGCACTAGACCAGGGTACAAAGCCAAGTGAGGATTTGAAATGTTTCGAGGATACCCTAGAAGCTATTGGCACTGGATCTGGACCTAAAGGGGTAAGCCTCTTATTTAATGCCTTCTTGGTGCTCTTTCACCCGAATGTACTTGATGATGCTGATCTGCTCTTCCACTTTAAAAATTAGTTTGGTACCTGCGCAGCTTGTATTGAAGAGGGGATTTCTATTGCCCAGTCTCTCTTAAAAGATATATAGACTAGAAGGGAATGAGAAGTTGAGGGGGCGCCTTACTTGTACGAGGTGTAAGATTCGGCCCAGGAATTAGGTTGATTCAGATCGACACTGGTTGACGTGGAAATCCTGCGATATCAACATTTGAATAAGTAACACGTTTGGCCGTTGATAGAATCGTATTTAGATAGTAATGAGTAGATAACTATATCATGACAACCATTTGAAATTGAGTTGAAAATATCTGGTATAATTGGCTACATATGTAGTAATATATAATCCATCAGATAGCAATCTGAGTATAGAAATAAAAAGTGTTACTATATAGTAAATAGTGAAAATTCCTGCGAGTCTAATGTCTCTCCATAACTGTAGGCAGCGCACGGGATTCAGCTGCTTCTCCAGCAGGAGCTGTATATAAGATGTCCTTATGTGACTTCATTTTTTTAAATTATCAGGTGTAGTATTGAAGATCTACTACATGAGCCTTCTGCGCGACTTGTCGATAAATGAGTAGACCTTGTCGACTTGGGTGATGCTGTTCAGGTCGTCTTCAATTGACGCGATGGTCGTGTTATCTACCGGGTCCTCTTGGCTAACAAGAAACTGTGTCTGTTCTGACTATCAGTTAATAATCAGTTTTTGTTCAACACTCTCCCGTTGACCGGTTTGCCGTTGGCCCATTTGGCATTCAGTTAAGACTCAATGCTGGACAGGTTACAAAAAAGCCGAGAAAGAAAAGGAAAAGAGCAACAAACACACCCTAGATTTTGTAACGCACGAGAGAATCGGCTTAGAGGGATAACTGGAGCCCCTGAATATTTCCCACATGTAGTCCAAATATATTTTTTATCAAGTAGAGGCCGCCACTTCGGAATTTGTATAGGCGCCTATGTCAATTGATATTCAGCAACTCCCCTTTCGATTCGAGGATTAGCGAAATTCAACCGGTACAACAAAGAAAAGTTTGCTAGAAGAAATAGTTATTCCGAACACTACTTATATAGAAAAGTTAGCTCCACACCAAGTTGCTAAGCATACTTAGTTGTCACAACATACGAGCATTCTCCATGGTAATAGAATTCGTAAAACCACCATATATAGCGATGCTTTTGTTGAAGCTCTTTGCATAAATTGATGCCACGAGCTATCCACACCGACTATCACTGGTTCGTGGAAATTGCTGGCCCGTTGAGCGGATTTCTTGGTTCTCAGGCTTCACCGGAGTGTCATCTCGTTCATATAGATATCTGGACCAGAATAAATATAGCGGACTAACTGACTGCTCTAGCAAATCGCTGTTACTGGCTTGATAGTCAACCCAGGAGGCCATTTTCAGAAACAAAATATGAATAGAAGCAATAATTCAATTCGAAAGAACAACATCGAGATGTTATATTGAGATGAAAGATAATACTTCCTCCTGCCTAGGCTTTGTAATATAATAGGTAAGAATCTATCCATATTCATTTCTGATTGTTGATCGTGACTTTGTCAAATAGGCAACAATTGGTTGTCAGGTTTCTGTATTTAAACCGTTACTTCTCCTTTCATGAACTCCCACAGGGCCTTCCCCGTGTAATACTCAGGACTGGAGCCAATAAGGAAATCAGGGTTGAAAGACGCCCCAAATTCTCCAATTGAAGATAGCATACCTTTGATGCCACTCTCTAGGAGGTCAAAGTAAGTGAAATTGGTCTCGATGGGATTTAGATCAAATGGAGAGAGTGTGAGATGGGGGCCAGTCAGACGCGCTAGAAGTTGCCTGATTGGAGCTACATTACTGCACAATCGGGAAAGAAAAACAACCCGCCCTTTGACAGGACTGTCTGGTTGGCATCTCCTTCATACTGTCCTAGCCACCCAATGCCGATGAAGCCTGGCTCGCAAGCAAGATCTTGCACCGTATATCCTTAAAATAGCGCTTTCTTTCCAGTGAGAGCACAAGGTCAGAAAGGGTAAACGGGCTCTTCGCTGGTTTCAGAACAGCGGTGTGGTCACGGAGGAGTCTACAATATTAATGGTCGAAACCACAACCCCGAAAGACCCTGCTATGAGGAGAATCAAACAAAATGCTACCCCCCTAATCCATTTGTTTCGACAGGTTATAGTCACTAAGCTCCAAGATGTCCAATCATAACATGTGGACGGCTATCTATGCAATGCATGTCTAGCAAAGTACTCGAATACGTCGTGCGAGATACCGAGGCTCGCTGCGGCCAACAATCCACCTAGTTTGTTAGTACGTCACGCGCAGGGTTCACTGCAAATCATTGATCTAGGTTGATTATCTCGGTCAAAACTGCCCGTCAAATTGGGGAGACTTGACTCCACTCCTGGGCGTAAGAGGCATTCTTTTGCATCTCCATGGTGAGGCTTGTATCTGCGCTCAACAAAATTTGCCGATATCTCATCGCGGAGCCGGTCCAGGAGAAGAGTACGGAAACAAATATGGCTTGGCACTCAGGAGTACAGTAAATATAGGCTCTTCAGGCATGTACTTAAGTAGATATAAGAACAGAAAATATTCTGGACTTAATATTCATGATTTTCTAGTAGACCTCGACAGGTTACTCCGCCGCACTCATACGACCCATATACCCTACCATTCATTGTATATATCAATGGATAATAATACAACGCAAGGTTGAATTGAAAGTGAACATATTTGATGATTACTACCATGTGCACCTAATAGCAGATATGGAGACACATTTCATATTAGTTGATATGTGTCAATTAATCTAGTAATGGCAAAATGATAGAGGGGCGGAACAGTAATAATATCCATATATGATGCCTAGTTCATAAAGTATATGTGACCGGATCTGAGTATCCAGTGGAAGTTGAACTGCCTATGTTTGTGGCAATCCTGACGTCGATGGAAGACGAATTCACGCCCATGTCCGTTAAATTGACTGTTCTGGTGAAATTATAGCCAAATTGTGCAGGAGTTGAGTTCCACTTCGAGGTTGTGTTGATACGCCATTGTGTCCAGCTGGTAGCATTAGCCCAAAATTCCCAATTGACCATGAATTCTCCCGGGGCAGATGTTGAGATGGTAAAATTCCGGAATTCGGGGCCCTTTGGGTCTCGATGCAAGGCGATATCAATTTCGAGGACAGAATGGCTGAGGCCTGGGATTGTGGCTGTCCAGGCATTGTTTCTTGTTTTTTTGATGTCTCCTACAAGTCCTTTCCATTTGCCACATGTAGCGAATTGACCACTATACACGCCACGTGGGTTGAGACTCAAGTCCACTTGTTTTTCAGTCAGTGCTTCGTTCAGGAGTATGACATACAATCGGTCTTTCTGCTCTGAGACTGCCGTGATGAAATCGACGTCAGGTCCGCTAACATTCATTAAGTTGACCGGCATCCATAAACGCGCAGTCTGCCCATATATAGTTCCAGCCTCGAAACCATACGGTTTGTGCGAACCAACCTTGGCAGTCATAAAGCCCTGTGGGAAACTAATCTGACCTTTGGATCGAACATGCGCTTCCGACAAGAGGTAGTCGGTGACCCATCCGAGATGCCACCATCCATGCCATGGGAACCTCGATGCCGACGAATGGCCCTGGGACCAGTAGTATGAAGGTATACCACTAGTAGGGTCGACCAGGGCATCGCGGCCTTTTGCTGCGGCTCGAGCCAGGTCGAGGAATAATTGCTCACCGGTCAGTTCATAGAAGCGCACGAATGCACCGGCATGGCTGGCCAGCGTTATTGGGCCGGCTTCATTAACGCTACCAGAATACCCTGGATGTTCAGTATTCATACCAACTTGACTAATCTGCCAGTCTTGTAAGGGTTGACCACCACTACTTCTTACCCGGTCATCAACAACAGGGTGGTTTATGATGTGGAGGGTGTAGTATCGAGCAACCTGAATAGCGGCTTCGCGATAAGTTTCATTTGATGTAATCTCGTGCAGATCGAGAAGTGCCTGTGCGCCAAAGATGACATGGAAGTCACGAATGACATAGGAGTCGTCGCACACGCCGAGAAAGTTACCCTGTTGAACGGCATTGTGAATGTACCAGCTGGCCCCTTGCTCGGCTGCTTTGAGGTATTTCTTCTGTCCAAGAATCTTGTATGCTGGTATAAATCCGTACCACGTCGCACGGTAGTCTGTCAGCTGAGGGTATAGCTCGACCGTCGGTTGTGTTTTGATGTAACCGACTGAGAAACTGCCATTAGTATACTGCCAGCTTAACATTTTATCAGCTGCAAGCTGCACACGCGAAACGAGTTCTGTGTCATTCGGCGAAAATAGGAGAATATTTCCCATATCTGCTAAAGCGTAGAAGTTGGTGGACATGGGTGGCACGTAGTCGACACTGCTTATGCCCGCGTGAATGAGCTCAGAGACGAATGTGCCCGAGGCTCCTTGTCCTTGAGCGTATTCCCCGAGAACTGCGCCAGCGAATGGTCCCGTTGTTGCCTGTTGAGCCAACTTGAAGTTCCGCGCATATGGTAGACGTTGGTTTTGGACGATGGGGTCCTCTGAAATAGCATCAACCATCCACATGGCGCCGACGTCAGAGATTTTAGTGGACTCAGCTCCGACAGTAAGTCCCATGGCCTGCCAAAGGTGCCACTGAGAAGCAGGAGTAACCAGGAAATTGCGGATTCTTTGCATTCGATGAGACAAAGATTCCAAATTATCAGCCTTATTGACATAGTCTCGAAGAGGGTAGATATCCTGCGTGACCTTCTTATTCACTTCGAACCACCCATCTTCCCTGGACAGCAGAAGCCAGAATCTAGCAGTCAAGGACGTTCCACCAGTAACACGCGATTTTACCTGGCCCAGAATTGGATAGACCGCAGTTGGGCTCAGGGCCCCGTCAAAATTGCGCAAGGACATTCCCACTTGCCAAACTGTTTGAGTGATCGCATTCGACTGCCAGGGATCGCGCGCAAGCGATGGATCGGCAACGACAGCGTATGTGAGATTGCTTCCGGAATCCTCAATAATTGAAACGAGACTGGTGGTGCTAGCTTCCACGCTGATCATGGGCACTTGCGGCACGCCAATACTCCAATGTCGGGCCAGCTGGTTGTTTGCCTCAATTATCGAAGATGTCCAATATCCGGGAATCACTCCACTTTTCAGGTGCGTATCTTCTACCGTTGCGACCGTAGGACTGAGTAGCGAATACCACCCCGTCGATTTGGGTGTCCAGCTAATGTCAACGGTAATAGCTTCGAATCCGTATGTGGAGTTTATGCTCCACAGGGCAGTGTACACACCGGCATCATTTTCAGTTGCGAACTGGAGAGCGTCTTGCCCGACCGCAGAGACGTTGTACATCTGCAGTTTAGTGTAGTTACCCGCCGCGCCAATCTCCACGCTGCTGGTGCTGGGTGCTACAGTAGCATAATCGGAGAAAATTCCATAGCTGCTATTCGGAGTCTGCACGGTTGTTATTCCCAAAAGGTCCAACTGGGAAAGTTTCCAGCTATTGTGTTGGCCGTTGGACCATGCCAACTGCAGTGTCTTGCCCGTCAGCTTGGCACTGGTGTTGTTGATTGAAGCATGAGGTGTCCCCAGCGACAAGCCCCAACGCGCCTGCAGGACCAAGGCAAAAGAAGATAGGAACAACACCATCCCTTTTGGTAAAATCGGCTACAGACAGGAGAAGCACGGTGTGCCAAGTAGGATATAGTTAAGCACGAGGCAAAAATAGAATGGCAGTATACATTTCTCTTTATACTCTGGAATTCCACCCTGAAGCTCAAGTAAATTGGGACCAATGCGCACTGATTCAGAAAAAATGACCGAATCCATTATTGTTTCGAATCCCCACAAATTGGTATAATTTCAGTGTCAACTCGGCGCCTCCGCAATTCTTCGGTCTCTTGTCTTAATTCTCCACTTTGTAGCGCATATTCTTAGCTCTTCCCCGCATCTCAACGGAGCTGCCGACTTCATCTGGGGAAATTGGAATATTCGGAAATCTCAGATCAACTTCCGATTTGTTTATTTCGCATGAGTTGCAGGGTATCAAAGGTTAAAGTATGCGATAAGAACAACATTGAAAACGGTCGACCGTGTGAGAAAGTAATTATGGATTTGGACTTCTCTGAAAGTTCAGCGCGCTTTTATAGGACCCCTGGCTCGGAATCAAATTATCAGCCGAGATATTATAAGGGAAAGCTTGCTCGTTAGTACTAAAATTTCCAAACAAGTCGAGGTAGTTGAACCGAGATGCTAATCCTAGTCCCATCATGTCAAAAGATAGAAAGTCATGGTTTGAGCTACTATCCCACGGAAGCTCCACCCAACCATTATTTCCCGGGAACAGCGTAGACGAATGGTCATCCCACAGTGACTGTTGATCAGTTATATTATTATCACTATTACCGTCATTGAGAGAAGAAAATTCAGCATGAGCATATCTGTCGCTGGTGTTGGTCTGGTCGATGTTATGATTGGACCATGTCGCCGGTGTCGTAATGCCCTCGACGCCTGCTGGTAGGGTACACGTTGTTTTTTCCTGCGATAAGTTATGGGTAAGCTGTGTATGTGGTAGGGTGATAGAATGAGTAGATAATGGGCTGTGAGGTGACAGGTAGATATTCCGACGAAACATTTTAGGGTCGCTCTTATGTGCTTCCGATTGAATAATATTCCGATCGTGTAATGAAGCAGGACTGTAGTGGTTCGAAACATCTAGTGGCTGCATAGAGTCTCCTGGCAATTCTTGAAAACTGTCACGGTGTTCTGCATGGACATGACCTGTCCTCTGCATCGAGGAACGACCTCTCCGTTCTTTACTCCCCTTTCCATATTCAAGAAACTCAATAGTGTCTCGAGTTAAAGCTTTCAAAACCTGTTGCGTACGGCCTATTTGCGGCCATCGGATACTCACTTTGTCAATCACAACTCTCAGCTGTCCGAGGCATGCCCGGACAGCCAGTATATCCTTCCTGGCCTGCACACGCGCTTCCGGAAAATCCCATAATGTGAACAGAAAGGTAATTCCAGCCATTATCACATGATGCACATCGCTCCAAGTGAAGGTCATTGACCTGATATCGTGGTCTAGCTGTACAAATGCAATCTGTATTATTGAGATCGCGGCTGAGTAGCAAGATAGCATGTGTTTATCGGTAGACACTGGGTTTCTTGGAGATGGGCGTTTTAAAAGGAGAATGGTATTGAAATACCAGAATGTCCACCTTTGATTGTTAGTTCCAATTGAGATGTGAATACCTTGCTTAGCTCACCAGTCATGAGAATATTTTTCAAGGCTGGAAATCTCCAATCCATGGTCTTTCCACTGATTCAATTTCCTCTCCATGGACTCCAGAAAATCATTCTGTGGGTTATTACAGTTCATCGTTGCAGCATCTTGTTTCCCGTCCCAGTCTCCCTTGGATAGATACAGCTGAGAGATAATTTCATTCTGCAATTCTTGTAATTGCAGCCAGTGAATGAACTGCGCTCTTTGACTCTCATGCAAAGTCATAGAGGGATATTCCACGTCCGTTCTTCCATGTTTGAATGCGAACGGTCGTCCCAAGATGAGACTAAAAGTTTGGTCTAACGAATAAGTGGTCCAAAAGAGCCTCCTCTTCCGGTCCATCGCCTTTTTGCTTTCTTCTCGACTTACCGATCCATGATTCAAAGAAATTGCTCTTTCAGTGTGCAGTCCCAGGTCAATGCACATGCGCACACTTAATCCAGAAATATACCAGATTGGGGCACTGGTTGAATGTTGAAGCGAATAGAAGAGGAAAAGAAGAAGACATTGTAAAGACCGTTCATCTTTGGATTGGATTATGTCTGTTAACTTGACTATCGCGTTCGAGTAGTAGCTTTTGGCTCGTGCGACTACAAGTTCTTCTGGTTGCTTCCCATCAACCCCGGAGAGAAGAGCAATTGCGAGCACCATGTATAGCATGAACCTTGTCTTGATTTGATCAAGTGATGGTGTTGATTGTTCGAGAGAAAAATTTGAAGAATGTGGCTGCAGCGAAGAATAATCGTATAACTCTGCTACCTCCTTGATCAACTCATCTTTTTCGAGAATCGCGTACGGAAATTGACACCGCGAAAAGAATATCTCTATGAGACTCGCAACCACTTCACGAGATGGGAGTTGGCGTTGCTGAGAACTGACAGATGTAGGTTCCGAAGAGCGACCTTGGTTTAGGGAATGGTTTGGCTGGACTTTGTCGCGACTATCTTCGTCTGCAAGGGAACTTAGTCCAGCATCGTTGTCATGACTAGTATCTTTCTTCTGAGCAGCAGCAGACTCCAACACTGCTCGGGCAAGATGAATGCCACTTGAAAGGCCTAGAAAATGGGCATCACCATCGACCTCACCAAGCATGATCAAGTCTGCATGTGCCTTTGAACCTTCTCCTCCATCACTATTCGCTCCTTTCTCCGAAGAGTCCGCACATTGTTCTCTTAGGTGTTTGTTGTCCGTGCTTGAAATTTGCTCATCATTATTTTCATATCTTGCATTGTTCTCCGCTTCCAGTCTTCCCAGCTGAGTTTCTAATTGATAGATATACGACCGAGAGATGATCTGCCCCGTGGTGGCGTGCATGAACTCACAGTGTGTACCTGCAGCTTTGCAAGGCCCACAGAGCGGACGGCCGATGTCGCAACGAGATTTTCGCTTGCGACAGCGATTGCACGCTGGTAATGTGTGGTAGTTGAACGACATCCTACCTTTTGTTATGGGTTATTGAAGAACGGACGGATGGATGTACACGGACGAGTTCAGTTAAGTCAGAATTTATCAAACTTTATACATGCTAGTAATAATACGCCGTAATAAATTACGATGAGATATGAATTTAATCGGCTTAAAATATAAATGTAAATTTTGAGCGATTTATTTATTTAGGTATATTGATATATTAGTTTACGTTATCATGTAATATTAAGAGGTTAAATATTTGAATTTCTAAAAATTTGGTTCTTTTATAGCGATTCTCATATTGTCAATTGTAATTTTGATGTTTCAGATCTATTGCCAAAATCGTCTGGCGAATTATTCTGACAGATTTTCTGCGGGGTAACTCCGAATTATGTAGGGTCCTATGGAGATGTAGCCCCGGGGTTCTTCAAGCTAAGCACTGGCCATAAATTCAATGTTATATGTCGTCAATGGGAGGATTACATGTATTGAATTAATTTTCATTGAATATTTTGAATGTTTCGAATAATATAGGACCTTGCTAGGACCTTCGTCCACGCAATTCTGTATACTCCAAGCTTAGACCTCCGCGCTCCCGTGGTTATCTACAAGTACGTAGTTAATTAGGACAACTCCTCACTTTTCACTCGACATGCTCTGATACACCATTACCCAACATCTGTTTCGGCGTTGCCTGATGCTCAGAGTGAACATTACAATTCCCAAAATGTGAATCAACCTCTTCCAAGGTCAATCCCTTCGTCTCCGGATATTTGAAATAGACTAGTACCATGCACAAGACATTAAAAGTCATGAAGATGAAATATGTGCGTGCACCGATATGGGCGACGGCGACGGGCCATACTTGACCGACGATGATGGATCCGATGGACTGGCCTGATGCTGCGATACCAAGGCCTTTGGCGCGGACGTTGGCCGGAAAGATCTAAAGAATTAGCGTTTATCCCAATCTGTTTATAGGAACAGGTGCTATAGAGGAAGTCATACCTCAGCTGCGTAAATCCAGGTTGTTGGTCCTAAGCCAATCGAATAGCCGACTGTGAAGAAGAAGATGAAGAAAATGTTCACCTTGTTTGCTGAGTCATTGCTCTGGTTGGGGTATGCCGTTTGCAATGCACCATTAATCTGAAGAATAATAGGTTAATAATATGTCAAACCATCACTTCAAAATTTAGATATCAACATACCATCAAGGCAAAAGCCATGATGGCAGCGCCAACCCCCAAGGCATGTCTTCTTCCGACACGGTCAATAAGGAACAGTCCAACGATAGTACAGCCGACTTGAACGGTACCATCGAGACCACTGGCTAGCAGACTCAGGCTTTTCGACGTGCCTGCTGCGAGGAAGTTGGATGGTAAATAATAACTGTTCATCAAATCACTGGCGTTAGTTCACCAGGGATATCACTGAAACATAGACGAAAAACAGCCAATGGACATACCGAATGCCAGATGCTCCGCTCATCTGTTGCAGAAAGCCCAGCATCCAAGCCCTCCAAAGTCTAGACCACAGTGGCTTTTGCTTGAAGAACATTGTCGCACTCTTGACTGAATTCTCCTTGTGCCACAAGATATTTGCACGAATTTCTTCTAGTTCCTCTTGGACTTGTTCTAAATTATCACGACCACGGAACAAAGTCAAAGATTGAATGGCAGCCTCAGTTTGATCCTTTTCAAGGAGCCATCGTGGACTTTCGGGGAGAAAAGGGGCGCCGACACAGAAGAATAAGGCGGGGACAAATTGCATTATGATGCTCAACCGCCATTGGAGGTCGATTCCTTTACCAGTCTTCCAAAAGCTGAAGCCGTATCCGACCCAGAAAGCGATAGAAATACTGTCATGTCATCAGTTACATGTAAGTTCACTTGATTATGTACCAATCATACCCAGTAACCTATATGAATTCTTAGTTAAAGATGCCCTTCCGCGACCATATATCAGATGATAAGGTGGATTACTTACAATGCCAACCTGATTCAGGGCACCGAATGCTCCTCTCTGCTTGGCAGGGCTGATTTCGGACAAGTATAACGGAACTGCAGTTGATACGATGCCGACGCCGACACCAGAAATAATTCTCCCGATGATCATCATGGCAAGATGAACAGCTCCAGCCTGTAAGGCGGCACCTACACAGAGAATCATCACCCCTACAATTCCGGCCCAGCGTCGGCCGAGACGGTCATTGACGGGGCCACTGAGGAAGACATACGATGCCCAAGATCCTAGTTTAATCAACTTTTAATACCGCAACAGTCTATTTAAAGGTAAACTGAGTTGACATACCAGCATAGAAAATGGCAGTGATCAGTCCGGTAATATCTGAGGAAGGATCGTGCAAGGCTTCTTTAAAACCGGGGGCTACGTAAATGGTAGATATAATACCAATGTCGTATCTGTAATCAAATACCATTAGTCATCGCATGCCAACATGCTGTAGCAAGTCTGGTACATACCCCCAGAATATAGCACCCATGGCAAAACATGTAGCCGAAAGAATGGCATGCCAAGTTAACTTGTCTTGAGCCGTCGCCATCTTGAACAGCAAGAGGTTATTAATCTTAGAACAATTTTCAGGTACGAGAATTTTTGATCCTTCAATCCAGTGTTAAGCAGACACTGTTGGTGGAACAGAGACTCAAGGATGAACAGTTGTCGCAAATAAATAACAGGGCTCCATCGACTTGATATCATATGATATCCACAAATTTCGGTGGACTTTTCGACCCATCAATTGCTCCTGACCCGACATGCTGAGATTGCGGGGGAAGGGAAACGAGGAGGGAAAAACTATAACAGGCAGCTCCGTTAAAGGGCGAAAAGCATGGTGGGGAACGGACCGAGAATATGCACAGCAGCAGCACGGAACAGCCGAAGACAACCTTTATTTCGGGAGTCAATATTCAATCTTGGCCTTAATTAAGTGGGTTCTTTAAAGAGTCGGATCCAAATTTGATTAATTGTGGAAGTTCACCCCAAGAGATTGAATTGAATTTCGAGAATTTTAACTTGCTTCCCTAATCCGAAGAAGAGGCCAAAAAAACAAAGAGAGAAGGAAAAAAGAAAAGTACATCCCGCCTAGAAGTCAAGTTAGCTCAATAACAACATGTTAGGAACCAAAGTGGTCCATCAGAAATCTCACAGACTGACTCAGTCAATTACTTTGCATACTTTCTGCACAAGCGAACCACTGTCCTTTTCCTGGCATCCTGGAAACAGCTTACGCATGCAATTACCGAGTGATATTGATCTAACGGCCAACTATCTGAGCTCAGACCCATCATCGCGTCAGGTTGTGTTTACGCCGTGCGCCGTGCGGAAAGCATGCCGAACCCGGGAAACATGTGACGCAAATGAATCACAAAAAGACCAAGGAAGTCTCTGGCAAATAGACTTCATTCTCCGAAATGGCCGTCTCTCTAGTCTGATTGGCACGCCAAGAAAACCAAGCCTCGCAGCGGTAGTAGAAAACTATGCGTCTGGCTTTCAAGATTTTGAAACTATCACACTATGGGATACAACAAACTTCGCCGCTATAGCAGGGGGTACGGGGATATGCCCGTATTTAGCACTTTCGGACACACTTAATGAATTGAACGAAGTGGAATCCAAACGCCGAATTCTGTTATGGTCTATCCGTTACAATGATTTGACGTTTGTCAAATATGTGCTGGACGTTAGGTATCTAAGTCTGGATCAATGGTCGGAGATAGTCATATTTGTTACCTCGGGGGCAGAGTCGTATTGTCAGAGCGCGCATGCCCTTACGGTTCAGATTGAAAAGGTGAGAAGTGAATTGCCAGTTGAGAATCAATCGAGACTTCGTTTTGTTCACGGTCGTATGATGCAAGAGCACCTGGCAGATGCGGCAAATAATATGGACTGTACTGCAGGGCATTATATCTTTTTCTGTGGAGGAAAGGGCTTTCAATGGCAGATAAAGAGATGGTGTTTGCCTAGAAAACTATCTGTTAAAATAATCCAACAGCCGGTCGATTCTACTGGCAAAGAGTAATCGGAAATCTATGAATGGCTAAAAGATCCGTGTACATGTGTATATCAAGTAACGCACGGCGAGAAATAAATTTAATGTATGTGAGGATCATTCTTCATATGCTCTAATTTCAAAAACACCCCCATATACATGCTCGTTTTCTCCGTGGATTTCCAGGATCTCCAACCCGAGGGCATCGGTAGTCACCTTTCTAGCTAATAAAACCTCACGGCGTGCCAAGTGATTATTACTCTCTTCGTATAATGTAACCTCGTCGGTCGTGGAAAGGTCCAATAGCCGCCATGATTTCACGCAAAAGGGAATATTAGCCTCCGGATGGCCTCGCAATACGGATTCCATTGCTGTGTGAAATGTGTAAGTGAATAGAAACGAGCATTTGAATTGAAGAAGAGAGGAGGAAAGTTCTAACCATGATCGAAATCAGTATCAAAGCCCAATACTACTCTTCCAATAGATTGCGGGGTTGCCCATCCCAACTTGATAAGTCTTCTCTGTCCTTCAGCACGGATAGGCACCCAGCAGTTGGCCGCTTTGGTCGGACGGGAAACACCGTTACAAATGTTAGCCAAAGCCCATGCATCGACATGAGGATTCACTGTCAAAGCAAGGTTATGCCCCATTGGTCGACGAATGGGGGTCCACCTTTCGAAAGTATCAACGCCGATGCCATTTGGAGGCTTTTGTGTACACTCATGTTCTACAGTCATCAGAGCAGATACACGAGTAAGAGTTGTATGGACAGCAACCGCCTCGTTTTCAAGCAGACACAGGAAGATGTACTGATCCTGTGGGTTCTCTGCTTCAAAGTCCAGGCTCAGAATTTGTTCACCGGGCTGTAAGTCGATAGACTTTTCTCCCAGAATAACCTCAGGGGTATAGTTGTATGGCTTAATGGATCCCCGAACCTGTACTTTCAAGGTGGTCTCCTCGACGGCCTCGACAATGATACTAAAGGCTGGAAATCGGCCTTTCCGTAAGGGACACATCTGTGCCAAACTTCTGGTGAGAACCTTAGATGGTCCGTTGTCGGGCAAACTATCCAGAACAAATGACGAGCATTGGCTTTCTAGCTTGACCGTCGATCGCACCAGATCCATAGGATCATTGAGTTTGTACCCAGGGATAAATTGGCCTCTCCGCATTAGCTCTAGCTGCAGCAACTCCATATTCCTTTTGGCTAACAGATCAATGGGACGAATATTCAGTGTCTTGCACAAAGCCACCGCGGTACCCAATGCATTCCCATTATTACCACAAGTGGCCATAACGCGGGATGAGCCAAATGCGACGTGAGTGGCAGAGATGATGCGTCCTCCATACAATAAGTTTTCTACCTGTGAGCAGATCATTGTGGAGAACGGAATCTGATAAACTCCCTTTGAATGCCATTGTGTACAACCGGCGATTTCAGAAAAGACGCCATCAGCTGGATGAAGATCGATTGACCATCCCCCATAGGAAACGGCGTCATGATGAAATCGTTGCTCGATGATGTCTTGCTGTTTGAGCATATAAGGGCCGATGAATCGTCGAGACTCTCTTTTTCCGGGAATGGTGCCAACCCATTCTAAGGTAAGGTTTTTGGCATCGGGGAACTTGCCAGAATTCTTGAAGTAATCCCATACTCCATAGACTACTCTCCACAGTTCCCATTTAATTTTTTCCGTGTCGTGGATAGTATCAAGTCTTCCGCCGTATTCGATCCACCAGAGTTGGCAACCCATTTCCTTCACAGAAAATGTTTTATATCGTGGAATCTCATCCTCTAGGTTCTTAAGGGCATAGCTCGGAGCTGTGAATTTCACGGGATGGCCGGTATCCTTGGAGTAGAAATAGATCGAGTGGCCAAGAAGATGGCCATATTCGGAGTCAGGGGCAAACAATTCTTTAAATTCATCCTTTTGTTCTGCCCCGATTCTGAAGGGTGCACCAGCCAGAAACGACAGTGCGCCATCCCCCGTCGCATCAACAAAGAAGGACGCATTGATCTGGAAAGAAGTCGACGTCTGCGAGTTAAATGCTTGAACAGATCGAATTCGATGAGTATTTGCTTTTTCACAAGACACAAGCGCCGTGTTTAGAAGCAAGGTGATATTCTTCTCCTCGATGACTTTTTCCAAGAGGATAGTGTCCAGAATAAGTGGATTTCCTTCAGGGTTTCGGTGGAGGTTTTCTGTTAGTATCTCATCGACAACAAATCCCTCACGAGCGTAGCGATTGTTATTGAACATGTGCGAAGTCGCGCCGAGAATCCACAGCCGTACCTCGGAAGAAGCATTTCCACCTAAGACTGGTCGATCTTGAAGTAACGTGACGATGACTCCTTGACGTGCTGCTGCGATTGCTGTGCAGACACCTGATAGTCCTCCACCACATACTGCCAGATCTGAGGATAGCTGCTCGACTCGGAAACTTCTCGAGTCAGTGGCATCTTCTTGGATCAGGTCGGGCACTGGAAGCGTTCTTGCGGGCGCCATCATTCGCATTCAACTGGGACTGTAATGGACAAGATGAGAGGAATTATCGGGACACCAAGAGGTGACAAGTGCTCTGTTCAATTTATTTTCCGCCCTCGCCATGCCCACGAGTTGAGTAAAGGTCCCCTCAGCCCATTGCATTCTGATCGTCTCCTCTTGCAGCTCCCCATTTAGTAAAAAAAACTCTTCTGCAGTTACGCAAGAGCGATCGCTGCACGGCGCTGCCGAGCGCGCAGTTGGCCTGTCCAGCGAGCGCAAGGAACGAGTTAGGGATTGGAGGCTTCCAATAGCGGGATAGAAGAGAATCGGGAGCTCCGTCGACAAGAGAGCTAAGATGGTGCCTGGGAATTAAAATCGGCAACTCCGGCGAAAACTGCTTATCTCTTCTTGGAAAGGCTGACTAGAGACAAGTGTGCAACCAGTCTTGAAACAGACTAGCTCCAATTTCCGCCAAAGGGTGTCACCTGACGCACTAGACCCGGTCTAGTAAGGTGGTAGATGTTGCCAAGGGTGGATCTCCTCTTACCGGGCAAGCGTCTGAGAATGCGATAACAATACGTCGACGATCTATGTTCTGCCTCTAAGCGACTGAAATAATCAGCATAACTACTGCGTCTGGGATTTGATTCAGCTTTCTCCCCAATGGCAAACAGCCCCGCTAATTTGGAGGGTGTTTTTGTCGCGGTGCATTCCGAAGTGCCTCTTCGTGTGATGCAGCCTAGGTCTGCATGTACTTTCTGTAGAAATCGCAAGATCAAGGTTAGAAACCGGACTAATGTATTTCAAATGGATATGCCTTTCTTGTTAACAGCAGAGCCAATAGTGTGATGGCCAAGGGCCAGCATGTACACCTTGCATTAAACACCGTAAAGCTTCAACATGTTCGATTAGAACACAGCACCGAGGACAGGAACGGGACTACCTTACTTACCTCGAGAATCGAATACGTCGACTGCAGCCTAGTGCTCTGAATAATAGCAATTCTATATCAGGGGACCACCCTACGGAAATTCCTCCTTTATATGATAATAATAACACGGAAGCAGCCGCAAAGAGAGATACATCAAGCATTGATTCCTTGATTTGCGATATTGGCGCTCTTCCTATTGCTGCATCATCTTACAGTGCCCGAAGATCTGCAGAAGGTCCCTCATTAGCGGCAGTCGTTCTTGCGTCAGCCACCTGCACAGAGCCGTGGCATCCGACAATTGGCATTTCAACTGATCTCCGCGAAGCGCCGAGATTGCTTGCGACGAAACTTCCTTCGAAGGAGACTACACGCAAATTAATCTCACATTATCTGTCACATGTTTATCCCCGTATGCCTTTTTTTGACATTCGCGGGCTATGGCAGCAAGTCGACGACATCTATGGCGAACTGAATCAGGTCAACCAGATATCCAGCCATGATGATGGAGCATTCTCACATTCTGCCACTCCCTTTGTCTACGGCGATGGCAATATAGATCATATCCGCCGAGGAACTGCCTATTTCGATGTTATCATTGTATGCTCAATTGCAACGTCTTCGCTCTCGCGAAGTGCAGACTCCATCGTCGCGAACAATGCGAGAGAATTATTTCGCCTCGCTCTTCGTTTCGCCGAATATGCGGTTCTACCAAACACTGTTATCGGACTGCAAGCAATACTGTTTTTGATCCTATACGGAATCATGAATCCATCGGATCTCAACGTCTGGTACTTGATCGGTGTCGGCATGCGAATATGTGTAGATCTAGGTCTACATCAAGATCCGCCACCCAAATTTTTAGCTAGTATGAACAAAAACATGCTAGAAACTCGCCGACGCTTATTCTGGGCCACTTATTCCTTCGATCGCTCCATGTCACTCAGCCACAGTCTACCGTGTGAAATATCGGACAGTGTTATTCAAGTCGGACTACCACATTTTCGTGTCGAGCCTACAGCGAGTGAGGAGGATGTTTTATATTATACTCAGCGCTATCGAATCATACAACTGCAGTCTTTAATTTTTAACCGCCTGTATACTTCGTCATCTAGGTCGTCGATTATCGGACCATGGGATACTTGTAAGGGTGAAGAAGTAATCGCAGAACTTCTTGGAAGCCTTTTTGCTTGGAATGAAAATAATGCTTTGTTATCTTTACCGGAGTCCAAACAACTCATGGAAAGCGAAAGATTGCAAAGTCTCATACTAATCTACCGCCCCAATAAATCCATCCGGCTTCGATCATATAACGATCTTGTACAGCTGTGGGAAACCTCGTTGGCATTTTCACGAATATACCGTTCGTTTGTGGAACGGAATGAAATATTATACATTGCTATCGCTGCAGAGAAGATTTTTACTACAGGATTAACAATTTTATATGCATTCTGGCAATTACAATCAATCTTGTCGGACCCATATCTTGACGGAAATCAAGTCTCATCACCCGGTACTCTGCAGGAGGTTACTTTGTGGAACGGTGTCCGAGACGTATCCTTCGTCCTGCAAAGTCTTTCTGGAAGATGGAAGGAAGGTCGGTCATTGGCTCATCGGTTTGAGGATATTGCAGAGAGGACTATTGGGCTCCTGATGAATCGAATGGCTACCCAGCACCATGCTGATGGCCAGCAGAGTGAGGGATTGCCGGAAGAATTAGTAGAACTGTGGCAGTATTCAAATAGTCCATCGAGTTCCGTGATGGGTATTGGAGTCAGGAATGATTCTATGCTCTCTATGGATGACGATGTGGCGCTAAGGGACTTGGTTCTCGAAATTGTGCGCGGATAAAACAAGTATAATAAGATTGGCAACATTGAGGTCCACCTTTACAGTCAAACATTGTTCAATGCAAGAAAAGGAGGGAATCAGAAAAGCGTCCCGGTCAATACTGATTCCCCGAAGTCCTACAAAATTGCCCCTGGTAATATTCTCCGATAGGCTCGCTCCAGACCTTTAACGCCGAAGTACAATGTTATAGCTATCGCGTGATGGTCCCGAGCACAGTAATGAGAGATATTATCTAGCCCTTTCTAGCCTTACTACTAAGCCACTGCTGAGCACTGTTTCACCTGTGAGACCTGCGACGACGGATGAAGTACATTACATGGAGTCTCCTGTGAAATGAGAAATTTGCTACTAAAGATAGATGTAGGTCTCATTGCCAATTTAAGTCTCAAAGAAATTAAACAGACAAGGTGCATAATCCAATGACTACAGAGAACCCTTTGTTCAGCAGAAATTAGCTAAATGTGTGTCGATTTTGGTCCGGTGAAAATGAATCATTGACCTGGCACGAAATTACTATCAAAGCTACGCGAAGGTAGTAGATTTAATGACTTTCTGCTCGACATGCCACTGCCGTTTATGAGTGTCAGTTGGCTTGCATTATGCGGCATAGTAGACACTTACCATCTTCCATGGTGCGTTCCACGCTAGTAGTATTGGTATAGCCTTCTTGTAGGCATCAGTCTTCACAGATTGCTCGAAATGGTCCATACTTTCCCACCCCCTACAAACCAAAAAGCACCGGGCCTTCTCACCCTTGACGTTCTCATGGTCTTGTTCTTCCAGCACCCAGCCATATGCCACACTCGTATCCACTCGTACCTCCTTGGTATAAATTTCATCAAACTTAAGAAAATCATCTTCGACTCGTTTCCGAAACTCTGGTGTGACACGAGAAGCTGGAAAGTAGTTCTGCACATACTCGATCATGTTTCCCGTGGCGGGGCCATCCGTTCCGAATGCTGATCGATTCAAGGCAACGTGGTAAAGGCTCTGGAGCTCGCCACCGGAACTGCGAACAGAGTTTATAAAGGAGCTGTACTCCTGGATTCTTGAAGGGTTTGTGCCGTCCTGAGCACCATCCCACTCTGACAAGATCTGAGCGCCATTCTCCTGGACTTTTGTGCCGAAAGCAATGTGTTGGGAATTCTTCACTCCCTCAAGAGCCACAGCGACTTTTCGGATCAAGTTTTTAACATTGAGTGGCTCTCCACCAAAATCAATGATCTCCGTGACAACCATTTTGCGATGTGATTTGTTCTGCAGTGGCGTCTTAATTTTACTAATGACCTTGTATCGCGACAGAGGGAGCTGAGAAGATGTGAAGATGTCAAGTTATTTTGAGGTTCAGCAGCTTAATATACGCCGTACGGACAAAAATAATGTAGCTGCTTTCGATGATAAATAGCGGAGAGGATTCCGGGTGGAGAAATCGAATACATGGAATCCCGCGGGACTCCGCGGCTGGGACCGTGTTTATCAGCAAGCTGAGTCCCGCCTGATCTGATTATATAGCTATCGATATCATTTAACGGCTATTAATGTTAAATCAAAATGGGACGCTCCTAAATTTTATATGTACAATAAAACTAGTGTCAGAGGTAGTTCCAATTTGTCATAGACGACACTATAGTCCAGTCAAGTAAATCAGTTGCAGGAATAACTTCCGCGTTGCCCAAATCCATACTAGTATTGCTGGTCACGTTGGACTCATACTGAAAGGAAGGTTGTGCGTCTTGATATTGATCACCATCACAAAGTGTTGGGCTTGTTACCGTTCGTCTGTGTTTGTCTACCGTAAGATATGGCTTCTCTAAGTCTTTTCCCTTCCCTGCTTCCTCGACGAGGGTGGAATTGGATGCAAGCATGCCATCTGTATTCGATATCGCCATCAACTGCTCCGTGTGGATGATAGTGGCCTTGTGCATTAGATGTCTGATGGGTCTCCATAGCATCCCCTTTCTATGCCCTGAGGTCAACTTCCATTTATCCTGTACCAAGTTAATCACATTCCAGGCCTGCTGAGCGATCTGACTCGATGGTCGAAGACACAGTTCTGAAAGGACAAAGGCAACATAAGACCAATGCGCGTTAGCCCGAAATAGCCAGCTCCACATATAGGTATCTGGCCTACTCTCCAGTGCGTATGTGGTCTCAATGATTTGGAGTGAGGTGATGATCAATTTTTCGCGGCACTGAGGAGACGCACCTTGAGCGATGTAGTCAAGGTTATTGTTGTTGACATTTCCAGGTCTTTTTTCACCATGGATAAAGACGACAATCCAGAGATTCGCCAGGACGAGCCGCGCGAGCAGAATACAAACCCGTTGCATGGGAATGCTTTTGTCGCATACGCTGATATATTTCTTATTGATGCAATCTGCAATATCCCTGTAAATCTCTTCATTCTCTTGTTGGGCATGGAACTTTGAATGGGAGCTATTCGGCCTGCTGGTGGCTATGGTAGACGTCACACGACTCAGGGCTCTGGCAACTTCGCATCGAATAAGGGCAAATGTCATTCCTGTAAAGCAGCCAGTACGGGGCAATGGATCACTTTTCATTTTCGGGTAGATATCATTGTCATCCACATTAGAAGGAAACAAGGTGTCATATGAACCCTCGAAAATCTGCTGATCGGTGCCCTGCTCTTCTGACGAGCGCATATCCAATAGTACAATGTGCCACCAGAGTCTTCGGCGCATCTCTGTGTCAAAAGGCATCAACCCGAGCAGAGAGCCGTCACGATGCAGACCCAAGCCCTGGCTAATCCGGACCACGAGACCAGTCATCGACCAAACAAATTTGGTGTCGTCCACTTGCCGCACTGCCGTCAAGAATAGAACAACACCTTGAAGTAGCTCCAGGCTTTGAGTATTTAGTATATTGGCCCTCGTAATAGCATGCTGAATTGCACACCGAAACCCATTCAGGATGACGTCCCGGGTCACGCCCATGTTTGAATAGCATTGATTAGGAGACAAGCTGGTGGTCGCTGCAAAATATATTGCAAATACTAGACACTCCAAATTTTTATTTGGAGGAACTTTATGCTCGATCGTGTCGATAATGAAACCCCGCATAGTCGGCCAATGAAGGATAGGGACTAATGGCGCAATATTTTTCTCGTAAACCATGACCAAATACAATGCTTTCTGTTCTGGCGGGTGAAATCTACTCAAGTCACGGAAATGTGAGCGATGGCCGAACAGGGACCCGTTGAATATAAAATTAGTCGTCCAAGCGCTTTCTATTTGTCCTTCTTTTCCCTCTCCATCGTCATCTTTCTCGTTATCATCATCTACCCCTTCTTCCTCAGACGCCGAAGAATCCAATACATTTTCCATTTCCTTGGCCTAAGGACGCTACGTCAGATGTTTCCAGATCAACGGAAACGACAGAGGCGGTATGCCTACCTCATCAGCAAGAACTTGCCAGAGCTTGCTGCTTACGTACCGACTTTTTCCTTTGTGCACAGCTAGACGACCAAAATCTTCAGACAGACTGAATGTTGTTGTGGGGATGGAGTCTGCAGAAACAAGGATACTCGCATTAGTAAGAGAGTAATCTACCGCAGGAGGGAAAGAGCCGTTTTGAGACAGATGATCAAGCTTCTGTTCAAGTTTCTCTATACGAGACAGCACCTCATCGTTCAGAAGGTGAGTGTGTGGATCAGTTATATGGGTGTGAGATTCCTTGGGCCGCCGCTTCTTGATGCCCTCTGGGAATACACACTGTACTTGACTTCGAATGCAGTTCGAACATGGAAGGATGCGATCACAGCGCACTTTTCTCTTTCTGCATCGGAGACAGCTGTGACGTAAGTTCTCCACATGAAACCCACTATCCAAGTATCCATTCATCAGTTCGGTAATTGGATGTAACTTAACTAATGATGCAATGATTAAAAGATGGGATAGTTGATTCCGCAGAGAATATAGTGAAGTCAGGCAACGGTAAGTCCTAGGGTTGAGATCCCAGAGCAGTTGACGATGGTACGATTTCAAGGATAAAATTTGAATAGTAGTATTAAAGTTATCGAATATCATGAGACAATAATTACTAATCTTTGATAGTGCCAGGGGCATCCCACTTCGTACCGAACGAGCGGGATACCGAAGGGCCGAGAACTCCGAGATGCCCGCTCTGACTTGATGATGCCGAGTGCCGATTCCGTTAAATGTTCGAAATTTTGAATGGAAAATGACTGGATATAGGGCCCTTGTGTGATTTAACGTGTTTCTTGGGTGTTACAGATATCTGGTAGGGTGGATAAATTGATAATATTCATCAACATTCATCCCCGCCCGGGAATGGTCTGATGGTCTCCCCCGCTAGTAAAAAACTGACCGAAGGCTCTATTACGTGATATGTTATCATTAACCCTATACTTTATATTGGCAAATGAACACAGTGATTTATTTGGATTAGGCAGAAACAACATCAATTTAGCAAGGTCTGCTTCAGCTTGCCCTCCTGCAGTAATCGTGGGTGCTAGTGGAAACTTTGGTCTTTATATTGTCCACGAACTTATAAGACAGAAGGTTCGATTTCGACGCATTGTAATTCTTTTCAAAGTGGAAAGGAAGTAAGAATCCTCTGCAGCTGTCGCGAAAGGCATCGAAGTCGTCGTAGGGGACTACAAAGATACCAAATCGTATGAAGGTATATAACAAAAGAAATAGTAAAGACGAAATGCTAAAACTACTAGTTTTGATGTAGTCATCTCTCTCTATAACCAGTAACGTGACCATGACAGATCAAACACAAATAATTGACGCTTCTATCGACGCCAGAGTCACACATTTTTATCCGAATTTGGGATCGACATTAGGTAAGCAGCTTTCCTTGAGGAGCGGTATTTTAGAGACCAACATCTCACTCAACGTTAACTCAGGGACAAGGCAGATCAAGATCACGGATTTGTCTCAACCGAGATCATTATTGGCGTCCTGCTGAGACTTTTGCGCTGTCAGTCGCCTTCCGACTAGATCAGAGGAACAAAACCTTTATTACGGAAATTTGGTTCTTTTCCTTTTCCTTTTCCTTTGCTTTCTTTCCAGGATTTGTTCGTTGCTGATAGCCGCACTGATATTTCTGTGAGGCATACTATCGATTCGATTTTTCTCACCTTCGAAACCGGTCTGACAGAGAGAAGGCTAGAACGGCAACAATACAGTTCGCGAAACGATTGATCTCTTAAAAGAGACAGACAAGACCTAATATCAAGTTATGATATTACCGACTAAGGACACGAGAGTGTCTCCGGAGGAAACTCGTCAAGCTGGACAGATCGACCTAGAGCTGACTTATTGAAAGCCCCATTTTCGAGTCAGTATGGGTTGTTCCTGGGCCATGGCATAATGATTTGTTCTGTTTTAAACCGAAAGATCTCGCTGGAATGTTCAACGCATGTACTTAGGTCGTAGAACTTGATTAGAGGAAGCATGAAAAGACTTTTTCGTATGATTATGTAAACTCAAAGCGCAAGGAAGTCTATTATTCAATTCTATTCATGGAGAATAATGGCCCATCTCCATATGAAAATTTATGAAACTCAGCTCTATCTAAAACGCAAGAATCATAAATAATTACGGGTGCTATCAGAGAGTCCATGGTTGTGTTACCAGTTTTCATAGCAGGGAAATGAAAGAAGGCATAACATCCCTCCTGACATCCGTGGGAGGATTCTTCCTCTCGGGGGTTCGGCTTGAAGAACCCGCAAGGCCGAGCTTCCAGGCATCTAAGATCCGTCCCATCCGATTGTTTTTCCTGGAGACAATAAAGCTAGTTATAAATAAGCAAAGTTCCTCTAATGTTTTAAAGACAAAAAGGTAGGCTGAACGAATCTTGCTATCCCAGTTCTTAACCCAAGAAAAGACAAGTCACATAGAGGTAGCGCTCCAACCCAAATTCAGAAAGGGGGTGGGTATAGCTTTCATCCCAGTCAGGCAGACAAATAGGTGTCAGAGGGCCAATGATGCAAAAGGCCATGGACCATGAGGCTACTGGTGGTAGAATAGTAGCAGACGATGAAGAATATATTCGGAGCACGATTCCGCTATGGCACAATGAACTGCGAGGATTTCGATCGCACGTAGTATTACGGTGGGCTTTGACTGGTACGTATATATCTCCCTCCCACCTGGGCATTATGAGTATGATTAATATCAATTGATGTCAAACTGTACCTTATAGTCCTCGGTCTAGCAGTGTTTATTCTCACTGCCCTCTCAATATTTTCTGGGGCTTTGTACCTGACAGAAACGAAATTGTCTTCTCTCACGATATGGATCGTGGACTTTGACAGCTTAATACCACCATATGATTCGTTGGATGCCGTCATTGGTCCGCTTGTCACTGAGATGATTATGACGCAGTCCAGCCAAACCATGGGCGGCTTAAACTTCGTAACTCGCCCTCCTATCAATTTTCAAAACAATCCTATGGCTGTCCGACAGAAAGTCTATAACGAAGATGCATATGCTGCTATTATAATAAATGCGAATGCTACCAGCTCTTTGCAAGAGTCCATCGCGTTTAAGGACGCGTCGTACGATCCCCTCGGTGCTGCCCAAATCATATATAACTCAGCTCGTGATGAAACCACCTATTATAACTATATTATTCCAACGCTAAATCAACTGAAACAAGTGGCCTTGGATGGGTTTGGACCACGATGGATCGAAATACTTACCAAGAATGGTCTGACTAACATTTCTAACGTTCCTCCTCAAGCGTTAAATCCAGCTATCGGCTTCACGGAAATCGATCTCCGGCCCTTCGGTCCAGCTGTCGCAACGCCAGCTGTTAGTATAGGGTTGATATACCTAATTATCATCTCCTTTTTTGCATTTCCTTTCCTGATACCCATCCATAGCCAGCTCACTTTGAACAAGAAACATCGTCCGGTGAAAGCTTCACACATGATCATATGGCGTCTCTTCTCGAACTTCGTTGTATATCTTATTCTTTCGTTTTTTTATTCTCTCGTACCGCTAGCTTTTCAAATCCCATTCACCAATTCGCCAGAACCAGCCATGGAACCAGCAAGGAACGCAAATGCGTACGGAAAAAGTTCCTTCGTAGTCTACTGGATGCTAAATTGGATCGGTATGGCGGCGCTGGGTCTTCCTAGTGAGAATATGGCCATGATATTAGGGGCACCCTGGAGTGCACTTTGGTTGACCTTCTGGGTCATCTCCAATGTATCGACGGGATTTTATCCCTTGAATTTGGCATCCAACTTTTATAAGTGGGGATACGTGTGGCCACTTCATCGAAGTAAGTTTTTTTTTTTTGACTACTTCATTCTCAAAAATGGTTTATTATTCACCGACTTGCATTTTCAGCTAACCTGCGCAAATATATAATTGTTGAACAGTTGTTGAAGGCTCACGTACAATACTTTTTGGCACATACTCCCGCATTGGACTCGACTTTGGTGTGTTGCTCGGATGGATAGGCGTTTCGATCATTCTCTTTCCCGTTGCAACGGCATTTCTGGGCTGGAAATCCACAAGGTTGATAGCCTAGATTCTATCTTATCGCTTAATGGGCCTAGACTCTACCCTTATCAGATCAAGTAGATTCAATTCAACTTACGTGGCAATATGACAACAAATGATTTAAAATCAACCAAACTTCGTCATTATTACGACAGACGTATCCATTTTCTAGGCTCGGAAATTGGTGCGAGAAAACAAGGATCGTGATCTGGATAACTTGTTGAATTGAAGATACGATACGTTTTGGGGTTTGGCAGGTCAATAATATGGTGACGCTTGCCAACTGTACAGACAAAAATAAAGTAGCTGCTGGTTTTGACTTTATGAATTATCTGGCTTTTAATGAAATAAGGGCTGAGAGGATTTATAAGCGGAGTGGAAGAATCATTTAAATACATGGAATCCCGCGGGACTCCGTCGCTAGAATCGCGTTTATCTGCAAGATGGAAGGCTAATTTGGCTATATATTTCATTCAGGCAATCGAAAATATTTCTTTTCCTTTTTTTAAAGTTATTCATTTTCCTAATGTATTATTTTCAATAATCTGAATGTAGAGTATACAATATATAAATGTTTATTTAAGTTTGTATAAAGTATTAAAAGTAGACTGGTAGATGTGTAGGGTTTGGGTGGGTAGGGGGGTCCTTACCACCTATAGGGAAATTCTAATATAAGTCTCCCACCAATACTCATCCACCCATATCTAGTAATTCCCCATCCACTAATTACTTCAACAGTAATTAATATTGATTAATAAACCCAATATAAGAAGAAAAATATCATGATATAAATTCATAGATAGCTCTTTAGACTTATCTGACTAGATAATAATAATTTTTAATCTAGTTTAAGAGGTTAATAATAGATCTTTATACATGGTTTATTTTATCAAGACTCTCTATTAGTACAAAATAGATTTAAGGGAGAATAATAGCAATATAATATAGCTATTGATTTGATTATTATATATTAAAATTACAAAAGGAGAGTCCTGTAACATGGTCAGTTCATGAAGTCTGGATAGGCCATATCTGGCAAGATGTAACAGGGGGTAACAGGGATAGGCCCAGGGAGCAGGTTCAAGCCTAATGTAACACGGTCTGGCAGGACCGTGTCCGGGGGTGTCTGGATAGACTAGATGTGGGTGAGTTGAAGCTTCACCGATTGATATCGATGCTATAGAGCAAGGCTACTAGAGAGGGAGTTATCGGTTTATGTTATATGGTTAGGGAAGGCTTCGAGCCGAAGGCTATTCGAAGCCGAGTAGGCTTATGTTGAAAGTTAGGTCAAAGATTATACAAAAGATATTGCTTGGTTTCCTTCCTTTGGGTGGGAAACCAAGCCTATATGCCTGAGTCCCTATCTCAGGTCATTGATACCTAATCTAACTAGATAAAGACATATATAGCGAGGTGAGGGGTACTGGCATCATGCCCGGGGTGTTATGGTATCAATTGTGATATATCACAATTGACCCCGGGGTATCCCTGAGCCCCCCGGTCCTGCAGCCGTGATGCTGCACATCAACCCTGTCTTGTCGTACGCCGACTTAGAATTACCTCTGCCAGGTCCCCGTCAGCTCTGGGAGGCGAAGTCAGCAATAGAATGGAAAGAAATATACCTCTACCTGGAACCTCTGGGCACGGAGCGCCTCCCCTCGTTGGTGGATTTACTCCAAGATATGTCCCAACTAAGAGCCTTCCAAGGCCGAATCGACACCCATGCAGTAGCATTTGTCTTACTGCATGGCATCGCCGCACTAATCAAGGAATACCACCGTCTAAGGTTCATCTCCAAGGGACATTGCAAGCACTGGAACGCACTACTTATCAGCTCGCGTCACCAGGAACTCTGTGCTGCGCTGCAATACTTCCGGACCGTCTGTTCCGCATTGCAGGACCCTCCACGACCAGAAATTGATCTCGTTTATGAGGCCACCTCGATATTCCTTTACGCGTCACTGGAAGAACTCCAGCTGTTCGCAGGTAAAGAGGACAAAAATGAGGCTCGACGCGTGTATCACAGTGCTCTGGAGTGGATCAATAGTGTTGACTCGCGGCGCGCAATCTTGCATGCCGGACAGACTGTCCGTGCCGCAAAAGCCATCCCCGTGGTGTCGCTGCGTGGATTCCTGGCTATTACGGTCTACCATGCGAGCCTGGAGTTTTGGTCTTACAGTGTTGTGTCCAGAACAAAAACCAATCCTGCAAGAGCGATGGCTATCAGTGGTAGTAGTCCACAGGTTGTTAGATCGCCACCTGAAATGGTGGTATTTCTGGATGCGGAGGAAACACCAGACGTGCAAAAGTTCATTTCCCTCGCATGTGGTGATCCAGCACTACAAGGGTTGCAGGGAACAGCTTCCTTGGTATAGGAGGCGAGTCTGACGATGCTCGTTATCCAAGGGGTGCTTAGGAAGGATGCATCAAATGATACGTTGCAGCCGCTGGTATTGAGCTTGTGTCAATTGATGAGGGATCTGGGGAACGCGGCAGGCGGAGACGAACATGGTCGCAGAAATGGACATGGTTCTAGTATGATATAATGTAGTGCATTCACTGCAGATGGGAAAGTAATGCAACATGATCCTCAATAGTAATGCATATATCCACGAGGAGGAGGATCATGCTGATTACCCACATTTATTGATTAATCAAGACACAGATAGATGGATGGATATGATATTCATCGGTTATTCACAACCTCAGTGTCCTCTGCTTTTCTGAATGGACTCGTCCGCACAAGAATCTGCCCATCGTCCTCAATAAACTTGGCGTAGAAGCTCACAGTATTAGACAAATCCCACCAACTCGACTTCCCCAGATGAACGAAGTCTTCCCAGTCAGCGACAAAATCACATTGCTCGAAACTCAACTGCGGGTTTCTGTATCTCCATTCTACTAAACATGCAGCTTTGATACTATTCTTCCCTGTTTTAATTTTTTGATTTTCAAAGATATATGTCGGATAATCCACATTCGATTTTGAATAATAATAATAATAATAGTAAATAGTATTAAATATAATTATTATACCCTTTAATTTTTGTAGCTGTTTAATTTATCTTTTTTCTATTTAGTTTTAGTACTTCACGGTTCATCTTATGCACAGACTCCTGTTCTTGATCCTCTCACCCTGAAACCTTATCTCAGCAGGGTCACACTGCTCTGTGTGAAATGTCAAAGCGGTAGAAAACATACTGTTACTCTTATTGGCCACCAAACAGCTCCACTGTGACTGAATTTCCGCATAGCAGTCTAAGAATAGTTTATAATTTTTCTTAATAATCTTAATTACTTTTTTAAAGCTTTATTTTTTTATTGTATAAAATTCAATAACTAATTGTGAGGCCCTACATGTTATAAGAGGTCTATAACCCTTCGGCGCCTCTGAGGCACCTTCGGAGGACCTCACAGCGCCGCTGCCAAGGCACTAGCTAGCCGAGACACTATATAATCCGCACCTGCGGCCATGTATGCCGCAGATCAGCAATCAGTCTGTATCTAACCGAGCCCTACGTTCGACCAATAAATCCCAACGTTTGCCTGCTTTCCAGTAACCGTCTCACACTAATATAAATTATTAAATAAATAATTTTATTTTTTTTAATATAATTTTTAACTCGTTTTAATTATTAATTAATAGAGATATATAGAGTTAAATTTATTAAATAAATTTTTTAAACTTAATTATATCTTAAAATAATTTTAGTTTATCTTAATTATTAATCTTATAATATTATATATAATAAAATTTATTAATATTTAAATAAAATGATATATAAATAAATAGATAAAATTATAATTTATAAATTAATTAAGATTATATTTAAGATAAAAAAATATATATTAAAGAATAGAACATAACTTTAAAAATTTAATTATTAATATTTATATAAAAAAGAAAGAAGTTACTTATAAATATTGATATTAGATGTTCTTAGATCCTCTAATAAGAAACTGAGCTATGTAATCTTATTGGCTAAAAAGATATTAGAAGATTTAGGGTAGATAGTAGTAAAGGTGGTGAAAGTGTTCCTTGTCTTGGGTCTGAGCTCTGAGATAACTGAAACCGTAACACGTCACATGAGAATGAAAATAAAGTTTGCCGGTTATATTTGGTTATAACGGTAATGGGAACCCGATCTAGTTAAAATTTTAAACCGAGCCAAAGGGGACGACTAAAACGAGCGGATAATATCCCATGGGGAACCACACAAACTTGTTCATAGCTTGCGTAAAATTGGAAAGTGAAGACAAATATCTCAACAAAAATATATATAACCAACATCCTAAATCTTAAGATATAAATAATATAAATCTAAATAATATATTCATCAAAGTTAATTCAATAAAAATAATTAATAAGTAAAAATTCTTGAAAGTATAAAAATAATTAAAAGTTTATCTGTATTTTTTGGAACTCATATGACGCGGTGTAGCGCCGAGTCCAGGGGGTGTGTGAGGGTTTTGGCCTCAGACGTACTTTACTTGAGTGGTACAAAGTGACTGCTTATTCTTGATGGCGATTCTAGTAACACAATGCACAATATGATATTATCTGAGTTGCAAGTCACTATATGTCTAATCGATGCCTTAGAACCTTGCACATGGTCTCGCTTGATAACCTCACCCACACTCTCTACTTCTATTTCCCTTTCCTGATATATTTGTATTCTCTTTGAATGGAACCTAGATTAGACATAATAATGGAATATTCTGAGGTCGAGATTGGCCTTCCTAACATCTATATCCTATCGCAGGTGAGAAGGGTTTTGTTCAGATAATATCTACAGTGGCTTTGTAGAGCAGGCCTTAAACCACTAGGTAAAGACCAAATTCTCCGATATATTACCTTCCAACTTCCTATGTCTATATCACCTCTTATTAAAGTTGAATGATCAGTTCCTCTGCCTTTCAAACACCTCAGAATATTTGACAGCTTGATTCTGATTCTAGGGCTAATACATGCAGAAAAGACTTTAAAAGAAAACAATGCTTTCTAACCTTCTTCTTTCTCATATTTAAAATCTTGAATAGGCTGCACAGATGGTAATGAATATGAATCTTATTCTTCAAAACATTAATGTTCTGCATGCTGAATATGAGAGAAAGATAAAAAAAGAAGGTAAGAAGACAAGAAGGCATGCTATACTTAAAGGAAATGCTATTTGATCTATATAGGAGGGCCTAGATTATATCCAGGAGCTTGATACACAAGTTGAAGTACCGGTTGAAATGTCATCGCGTTTGCCTCTCCAGCGAGCTCCACTACACTGTAGTGACTGCAGGACTATCGGGACATACAACAAGAAGTTGTGCTAGTAAATAATTACCTATTTAATATTAAATGATTTATATCTTAATAATATTGTCTATTGAAAAAGCTTCAATTTCCGGAGGTTGCATGGAAAAGTGGCGACTCTGCCGTGTTACGTTATGGTATCTTGTGTATGCATAATTTCGACCAAATTCTCTCCAATTTTATCGTCTGCTTATGGTAGTTAGTGGGCAGACAAATTTTTATTCTTCTGCTACTAACACTCAAGTCTAGTCGATGTTTCTAAGAAGTATTGAGATTTAAAAAATTCAAATCTGTCACTCGCGTGTGTTTGCCCAGTTTTGATTTATGCAGAACCTGAAACAAATTTAGAATCCAATTCCCCCTTGCTCCTCACCGAGTGGTATGACTCGAGCTAAGAATAGACTTCCACTACGTCTCTAGGTCCATTATCCTTTCTATCAATATCATTTAATTGGTGGACTTGAAAGGATATATGTAATGAGATCTTAACCTTCCTAACCACCCTAGTACAGGCAGTTTAGAACACGAATGATTTTAAGCGCATGACTACCATCGCTCTGCTTTGTCTTCAAAGGTAACTCTCTAGCATCCACTTCTTCCCGATAAAGGCGTCTTAGAGTTGTGGTTCGGTCGAGTCCGACGGCGCTCCACCCCACCAATCTCCATTCTGCGGAAGACAGATGTCCTCCAGTTAGGTTGAATGTGTGGGACCAATGACACTAAGTACTGTATGGGGCCCCGGAATATCACAGATTTTGGGGTAGAATCATGGAAAAGAAATGCGGTGTAGTGCTAGCCTACTAGTCATTCTCATCCCGCTACCGACTCACGAATACCGAACAAGCAACCTCTTTTGTAGAGATAGAGTAAGCCGAAGCCCCACTAATTTCCCCATTGAAGTCTACTTTGTGTTATAAGGTATTTCATTTCATCGCGGTCTAAATATATCCCCCGTATTGTATTTATATTCCATAACATCCGCTGTCTCGCATTCCCTCTTAAAGATATCGGCCGCTTCAAATTTCTGATCAAGCAATCATGAATTCTGATAATATCTACGAGGACCCTCATAGGGTTCCCCAGCATTCCCTCCGTCAATATGTGACGACAGATAGTGTCTTGCTTCCAATTCCTCGTGATACCTTTGAGAAGCTCTACCTGAACCCCAAGCTTCCTCACAAGGGAAGTCTTCACAAAACTTTTGGAAATCCGACTCCTATTGCTCTGATGGGGTTCGTGTTGTCTGCGTTACCTATGTCTTGCATTCAGATGGGTTGGCGGGGCGCTGGCGGCAACGGTGGTGCGATCCTGTACGTCTGATTCTTGTTGACTAATTAGAATTGATTACTGAAAGCGGTGCTGGAGGCCCGTTTACATTTTCTTTGGTGGATTAGTTCAAATTCTTGGAGCAATCGGCGAGTGGCTAATTGGAAATACTTTTTCATCTGCTCTTTTTTTCACATATGGTAAGTAGTATTAACAGTAACCAGTTCTATTTATTAAAAAAAGGGAAAACAAAAGGATCTTTACTAACTTTCATCCGACTTTAGGGACATTCTGGCTTGTTAATGGAACCTCCGAAATGCCATTTTTCGCAGTGGGCGTCAATTATTCACCTACTGGAAACAACCTGGAGGGCCAGACCACTGATATGTTTTATGCTACTGTTGGTGTGTGTCCACGCTGTCTAGGCCCCTGAGTGTCTCACACCTTACTAATGATACAAAACTACAGGATTCTACTACATATTCCTAGGCGTATTGTCGTTTGTCTATCTCATTTGCTCTATTCGGACAAACATGTGCCTTGTACTCGGGCTTATCATTCTTGTTGTCGATGTTGGCATGTTTTGCGGAGTCTATTTTAATCTTGCGCTGGGCAATTATGGTTTGGCTGGAGGACTCAAGGTGGTATGTGACTGCCCGCCCCTATTATTCCTCCGCGAAGTAGCTAAAGAAGGTCTGCTCAGGCTGCTGGCGCCTTGACAATGGCACTGTGTGCCCCGGTTGGGTACCTTTTCATTGCTCAGATCCTGGAAGCAGTCGACTTCCCCATCAGCCTGCCAGTTGGAGACCTCAGTACGATGATACTTGGCAAAACTCAAAGAGCTCGTATGGCGGAGCAGGGTCTTGAATCTGGTATAATGGACAGTAGTCTGGCTGATAAGCAAAATAGTGAATAAGCCCTTACGAGATTTTCTACCTCAGTAATTTTGTCTGCCCAAGAATGCTCTATAGCGGCAGATAGCCCGGACTCCCCCGCGCAGGTGGACAAGCTAAACAATTACAGGAACCTTGTAGCTTGCATAAGTTATGTAGTCAAGGGCTGTAAGAATGAGTGCTTGCTTTTACATGCCCTGTCAAATTCTCAACAAATGTGTTAGTTCCTGAAGACTCCAGAAATGACGGAAGATTATGAGTACTACTCAAAGTAAAACAATATTCAAAGATTTAGTCTATATACAAAGCTATATATCACCAATTTCGAAACCATCCGGAAGTCTGGGATTCTTCCGGGTCCATCCCGATTTCGGAGTTAGGGTTCAGGCATTGCATTATCATCACCCGTACCATGATCCTCCAGCTGCTCAAGAGGTTCTTCATCTACTCCAGCCCCATTCCTTCGATACTTTCCTAAAGAACATTCACCAAGTCCATTTAGGGTAGACCCCAGCTACTTTATAATGCTTTCCTCTTCATTATCCCTAATCGGGTCTAAATCAATCTACGCTGATGCCTTCTCCTCGGATAATACCTCAATATCTTCATTTGACAGGTATTTCTCAAGGAAAGTCCGCTGAGGTTCCTAAATCTCGAATTTCGATGCATACATATACATCATCAGGTCCTAAACTGTCTCTGGTTTTAAAGAGCCGACGGTAGTGGCAAACATCACACGCGCAATTAAAGAGTCGCTTAACGCCTGCACAAGTTGCAGGGATTGACAGAATGTCATATGCAATACTAGCCCTGAAAGGAAACCTAAAACGAAAATCGCAACAAGAAACGGGGAGTATGTTAAGAAAAAGCTGGAAAACAATGAGAAATTGAGGTGGCTTTGAGTCCTTTTCCGAGGATATTGAAAATTGGTGTTGTGATCACAAGCCAGTTATTTGGTATCCAAAACCGGAACCTTTGAGAGGAGCTGGAACTGTTATAATCTAAGGCATGTGTGCATTCTGATTATACGTGGAAGATTGTTCTATCATATATGAGAAGGACCTAGAGCTCATAAATATAGCCAAAGACATACAAAGAACATCTATCTATAGCCTAAAGGGTTTCACTATGGTGAAAGCCCTTTGATCATGACAGGAACGGTAAACAGCCTAGATGAAATAGTAAAGTGAAGGTAAGTGCGAAGGCAATACGTCTAGTATAATAATTTGATAGTAGAAATTTAGGGTTAGATATCGTCGAGAGTGATTGGTGCGACTGTCATCTATCCTATGGTGTCTTTTTCGTTATCCAGCAGGTAACGTATCTCGTCCAACAACTGAGGATCCGCTCTAAACTTCAGACCTTTCATCTCAATCTTTTGCAGCAGATGAAATCCTTTCAGACGCCAATGCCTTGAGAGTTGCACATATGTTGCGCAGGGTACCTGAATATGCCTGAATAAAAAGAAGGGTAAAAACCACTGACAGGCGCATCCGCGATGCCTAGCTAGTGACAGATATTGTCAGGCTTAACAAATTTTTAGGGGGTCTATATCAGATCCTATTTACTAACAAATTGTAGAGATAAGAAGTATTTTTAGGAAAATTTATAAAATTTTAAATGTTTTATAAAATAACTTTAACCCTAGAATTAATTCCTCTCAACTTGGAATCACTTACATATTTTGGTTTGAGAAACTATATATAATCTTGGTAAATATCATCTTTTGAAAAAGAAAAATCGATTAATAGCTCTAAGGTCGTTTTTGTAATATTAAGAATATTAAAATATATTCTTGTAAATTTAAAACAATATAATAACCTTTTGAAAATTCTAAAATAATAATTTATTACAATTTTTTTATGTTATTATTATTATTATTATTACTATTGTAAAAAATATTTTCTAATTTTAATATCTATCAAGATATTATTTTTGTTTAATACGTCAATTACCTGTAAGGCTCCTTGGCACTGCCAACCTCTAAATGCCAAAAAGTAATACTGAGGTAATTGGGCCATTGCCCAATTCCAGGGTTGGCACGCTTATAAGCCTCTGTGAGCCTGCAGCGCTCTCGCTGCTGCCAGGCCTCACATTACCTTGTGTTAAATTATTTACTATAATATAACCCTGGATTACACTGTAATTCATCGCTAACTAATTACATTTAGGTCTATTCGACGAGAAGTGCCGCCTTTATCTCTTCTGGCGATGAGCCCCGGCTATTCATAGGAGCAAACAGTAGAAAGGAGTTGCATAACGTATATCATAGTCATTGCATGCTTGTGTAATCAGTCTAGATCTAACTTTGGTAATGGTCTAAATGAAACAAAATGTCAACAGTCTCACTTAGAGATCGATTTAGAATAGAAGTCCACCAATTTAGGAAGAACCACACTAGAATCATCATAAAGCGCAATATGAGTCTTTCCAGGAACAACAAAGAGTTCCTTAGGTTCTTTGGCCTTCTCGATGGCAATCTCGCTGAAATATTTGGTGTCCGCGTCGGAACCAGCAATCATGAGAAGTGGGCGAGGAGAAATTAAATGATTGAAGGCAAAGGCATCGAAATTGGCAAGTAAATCGGTACTCCGGAGCGGAAAACGGTTGGTTGAGCGACAGTGACCTCCACGAGGAGTACGATAGTAGTCAGCCGCCTCCTTGTAGAGAGCTGGGTAGACGTCCGGGACGGTAGCAGGGTCGTCGGGAGCAAATGGCAATTGAGCATACTCTTCGCCCTTCGCTTCAGCAAGGCGTGCCTTGGCAGCAGCTTCTAGCGTGCCAGCGATCGCAGAAGCAGGAGATGCAGCCGCAGTATCTTTAACACCTTCACGGATCATCTGACCAAAATCTACAGAGCTAACACCCGCGACAGCCTTAATGCGAACATCAGTCTGAGCAGCAAAATTTATATAACCTCCGGAAGCGCAAATTCCCAATCCTCCAATTCGCTCAGTGTCCACCTCAGGCAGGAGGGACAGATAAGTCACTGCCGATTTGATATCCTCTACACGCTGGGCAGGATCTTCTAGTCCACGCGGCTCCCCAGAGCTCTCACCCTGGTAAGCTGCATCGAAAGCCAAGGTGATATACCCCTGCTCGGTAAGAAGACTAGCGTACAGACCAGCCGTCTGCTCCTTGACACCCCCACCTGGATGGCTAACTACAATAGCGGCACGCTTGCGGTTTGTTGCTGAAGTATCGGGGCTTCGCAGAATACCAACAACGTTGAGGCCTCTGCTATTGAAACTAACTTTGCGTTCCGTAGTCATGATGGAAAAAGGTAAAATGATATGAAAAATTGTCAAAAGGATATAATTAGAAGCACTTTAATTCTTAATAGGGCTTAAAACTGATTAATTTGCGTCTCCCTGTAGCGCCGAATTACCGCTCCTATATTTATACCTTTCCATATAGTACAGAGATCTGTAGTTGGAAGAATGCCGAACCTCTAAAGAATTCCGATAAGCACAAACGGCAGTCCGAAGATTTTCGGGAATCCGTTCATTAAAGTTAACTCCGGCCGAAAGATTTAAATCCGCATAAGCAATGATGCAATCCTTAATTATCGCCGAAATTGACCGAGGGCACCGTGGTGGGGAAGGAATTAGGGTTCCATGACAAACTACGTCTTCATTAAACCTACATCAATTGTTACCGGCGAGGCCTCTCCACGAGGGAGAGGTTGGTGACAATTTACGATTGGTAGTTAACAGCTCCCAAATGGCATAACCATTGTCAGCCCATAGCAGAAGAAACGGGTCGATGAGCAGGCCCAAACCGCATCGGGGGCAAGAAGCCGACGGTATATGGCATCCTAATATGCTCTATCTTAGGATTGCAACCATGGAATCTGCACCTTGAAAATTTCAGGCACTGACCCCGCAGGGGCTTAGCGTGGCCAACGCGTCGCGGTACCTCAACTTTATTTTCAGCTTACATCTTTGAATACATTAAATACTATTTACCTTAGCTACTTGATAACTACTTCATAACTACCCAATAATAACCTACTGAAAATTTCATTCAAATTTTTATAAGTTTGAAATTCTAATGTGACTGGTATGTCGGAATATTTGGCACTAAACACATTTAAAAAAAGATTCAAAACACTCAAAATATAATGAACACCATCAAAACAGCAACCAAAAATTCAACACATCTCAATTTTCATTATCTTACCCAATGACAAATATTGATGTAAATTCACATGTAACTACATCTAGATAGATGAGTTCTTTGCAACTAAGGCTTGTATCTCAATCCAATCGAATTTGCCACTAAACTCAATTTGTTCTAACGCGTAAAAAGTCCAACATGGTAACATAATCACATGACCACCTAGAATGGTACCAGACATACCATCCGACCTGTATGTACCTTATTGCAACTTATTAAATGGAGATAATCTGACCGCTGAAAGATGTATTTTGTCACACATCTGCAACGCAAGGGCTCTATCAGTCAGCAAATGGCACTGCGTTGTTATCACCCGTTACTGTCTGGAGAGAATGTATATAATTACAGTACAATAGTGCATCTCCACTGTACAGAAATATAAGACTGCAGTACCTCTTCGTGTTTCAGCTTCAAATGCAAGGTATATAGTAGTAGTAGTAATAGTAGTATAGTATTCGTTCATACATTTAGGCCTCTTTTGAGAGGCTGGTGGCGCGGCTAACGGACAGGAAGAGCTCCTGTCTAAGCGGTTTAATTCCTCAACTTTTCTAGATACAATTCGCCTACGTTTACTAAACAGCCCAATCTAATTCCTGTCATATAAAAGGGCCCTTTAATTGTTAAGTTTCACTGCACTTAGATAACAACAACGTTTTATCCTTACATTTTAGAACATATCAATGTATAATCCTAACCTGCTTTTCTCACCTATTTTATCTTAGCTAATAGAAACCTCCTAACCTGTCCTTAAAATTAATATTTATTAATATCATCATCTTATAAGACATATAAACTTATCCTTACTCAGCTAAAACTGCCAATCGCTAATATTGCACCCAAGTAATCCAATTAGAACCTAAAAATACCTTTTAGTATATATTTTACCAAGTGATTCCAATACCTGGCTCTGAAGCGTGCATCTTCTCCGATATTTTGTTAAGAAGAGTGGCAAATTGCGAAATTTCAGTTGTTGTTCCGGTGAAGGGATATTACGAGGGTATGATGAGGTGTAAAAGATCAGCTTAGGGTGTTTATTGCCTCATTGGTCTTCCCAGGTTTTATATGAGCAAAAGCGATAGTGTGTAATGGGGCCATGGCGGTTTAGGTATAGTACTGAAAAGTATTATATTGTTCTAAAGGAGAGTTAGTAAAAGGACGAATTGCTGTAGCTCGGTCACAATATATAATAAGTTTTCCCGTCCATGGAACCCCTCGATACCAAGATTTCGTTATCTGAAAATTTAGGAAAATCCAAAAATATATATGTAGGCCCGTGGTATGGTTAGGTGATGTTATCAATTTATTCTTGATAAAACTCATAATTATACCTCTTTCGGCACTTAAATGGCCAAAAACTTTGGTAGAAGAGTGATTAAATTCTTATCTTCTCTCTCTTTCTTTGTTTTTTCCCCTCATTCTCTACACTCTCACCGTATCACTATCAGAACCTGGATTGCAATTCTACAGTATATAGTGGTGGGAATGTTTTGAACTACTTCATCACCCAACAGCGAGTGCTAACTGCAGCTGCACCAAAGTAATTCAATGATTGACATGCTTGTTACCACTTTAGCTTTGAATCTCACGCACCCGGAAGGCTTGGTATTTATTATTGATCTTTAGTGTAATCGTGGAGGATGCGAAAATTGAAGAAGTGAAATGAATCTTGAGTAGGATACTGATTAAAGGTTAGAAATGATTCTAAACCTAATATTCATGACCTCAATGTTTTGGGCTCTATTTGATTTTACTGGTTCAGATAACCCTGATGCACGGTCTGTTTAACCTGCCGAGGTTCTGGGCTGCGATGATGATTCTGATAGAGGATAGCTACAGCTTTGCGCTATGTTAAAGCCTTGAGTGGCGAAAGGCTAGCTACGCTCAATCATAATTGGGTCCGAGGAGGTATGTTTTCCAGACGGAAGAGACTCGGTGCCGCCTGGCTGTCTTAGCTCAACGTTTGGTGTTCAATTCTCTATAGATCAAACCCATTGTGGAAAATTATTATCCATATGATGATATAACGTATTGAGGAACTATCTAAGCGAAGCATTCGTGGACGTTGCAAACGGACGCCGTGTAGCAGGATGCCTGAGGCCGCTTGAGTTGTCAGTTCTTTTCGGCACTGCCGACTAGCTGTTTCATGAAACCACAGCGGGCACACGCGGTTGACAGATGCAAGAGGTAT